GCTAGGCCCACAATGCTATTTGTCCCAGTAGCATGAAGACAGTGCCACTAATGCAGGTTCAAACCTACTGACCAATAGGAGGCTTCCCGGTGATTTCTCGAAGCGTTCTTGAGTGCCGGCCTTCCTTCAGGGTCGTCGCCATGGTTTCAGCAATGTCCTGACGAATTTCTGTGTCGTCGCGATTTGTGGAGCAACCATCACTGGGGCCAGACCCAGTGAGGTAACGACATACCGCCGAAGGAGCTTTGCGATAAGACCCGAAAACCACTTTGCAACTTTCATGAAAGCCATGAAGAGGCTATCGCGAGACGTGCCATGTCCAGCCGTGACCACGCAGATGACATAACGGAAGGCTCGCAGGCCTGATTTGGAAAGGGCTCGATGTGTTGGTCCGTGCAAACCTAAGCCGTGCGCGGGATGTCGACGGCCAGTGCCGGTAGGAGTCTCCAACTTTGGAGAAAGCTGATCATTATTTCCCATCAAGCATAGCGCAGTTGTGGCCAATGAACGGTGTGTTCCACGTCATACCGAAACCCTTGGACATGCTGCCAGCCGTCACACATGGTGCTAAATCCCGTTCTCATGGCTCCAAGACTTGGCAGCATCTTAGCGCAGAGGAACGCAGATCACCAAGTCCTGACCTGACTCACTATATCGGGAGCATCATTCTCTCCATTTGTCAGGTGTTGCAAAGCAGACTGCGCCTTACTAGCGGGCGAGATCTGCCTCGACTCGCCTGCTTTCCATTCCACTCCGCAGTTCTAAAACCAGGATTAGCAGTAGTGGAAAAGGACCCTGACTAACGATCGGCAGGCGGTGATGCGTCGAGCGTGGACTATTGCCCATTCCCACGGAACGCGGGCGCACCAATAGCTTATATTCAAGATCAGCACGCGCTCACATGTAAACTAACGACACAAACACCATATTATTGGTAGGGGACGTTCCATATGTGGCGAGGCGGCACAACGCTTTATCGATCTGCGTAATCTGGTGAAGTTCGCTGACTGGGCCCGAATTCAGGTAGTCATTGAAGCTGCACAGCTAACTCTTCGGCTGAGCCAATTACATCTTTGTGACCAGCCATGCAAGATACTTCTCATTTGTGAGCTGGCAAACAATGGTGGTTGCCGTGCAATGGCGCCCACGCTAATGACCCAGTGCGCAGCTGGCAGACCAAAGGTTCCTCCTGCTGTCACTTCATTGCCTCGAGAAGTGGTCGGCTAATTATTCCACACCCCCCGCCCCCAAGTACCAGCAACAAGATTGCCAAGGGCGTCGCAATCCCACGCGCCCCCACAGCGAGTCGCCACTTAGTCGTGCTATCACAGCATGCTGTCGTTATCCAGTGGCTTATCAAACCAGTCTTCACTCGTCCCGTGTTGATATTGCGATCCCATGCCCGCCCATGTGAAGTGGAATGCTCGGAGACGCTTCACGCGAGGCAACGCAGCGTCACAGATCCGCAAGTTGTGCACGGCAAAAGCTGGGGAGGTTACATCGTCCAGCGTCAAGATCTGGTCTGGCAGGTGAGTTGCTCGATGTCCCTTTCGTCTCGTGCCGAGCCAGGCCAGGCACCAAAAGACGATCAGCCGCTTGCTCCGTGCACTTTCCCGCCCGTCTGTTCCTCCCGTGGCGGGTGTGCAGCATTGACCCTCCTCCGGGGTTCGGCCCAAGGCAGCACACCCACATGTTCCACGGATAGGAAGGTCCTTTGATGTTCAAGTGAGCCATCTGTGCCTACTGTACAAAGCATTTGGTACGATTCACGCGCAAGATATGCAAGGCGGGGACGGACAGAGCCTTCGTCTATTCCGTTGTCTGCGGGGAGCATGCTCGAGGTCTAGTCGACATTTCGACTCGCTTGGCGCAACACCGCTGGAGACCTGCATGCAGTTCACACTATACATGCCTGCCCATCTCGTCACCGCCATCGTTGGCGAATAATGTCTTGCAATAATGCTCAGTGGACACACCGTGGGCGAGGCTGGTGATGAGCCGCGGGTTGCCGTCAAGTACCCACCTGTCTTCAGCATCGTCATCTCCCATCCTACATTTCAATGTCTATGAAATTGCATTTGCGGCTCAAATGTCTCAACTGCGCAACCCGTCCGGTGGGCGAGCCGGAGCTATCGACGCCCACGCGGTGCGGGAGCGGGGCGTTCAAAGAGCTGGCATGGCGAGGACTCAATGAACCGCAAAGTCGGAACCAGCCATTCTGTGGCCAGTGCGATCCGAACCCAAGTCCTGTCAAGCGTTCGAGAACTCGACCCATTGCAGGTACCGAAGGGCCCTTGCCTTGCAAGATCATGTTATTGAGCTCCACCGCACACCAAGCACGGAGCACTACGGCCAGACCTCCAACCTCGTCGGTGCACTACTGGCGACGGAGGAAAATGCTATTGGCTCTCGAGTTTGGATGATGCCACCCGCCTGGGCCGCCGGTCTCCCCGTGCCTGGCATGCGTGTCAGCCCGGGCTATCTGTGGAGCGGTCCCCTGCAGGCCAATACCAGATACCCTTACCCCATCCAGGGCCCCCCCCCGGGGCAGTTCTACCAGCAAGGCTTGGGGGTGGTGGCATTGAGCAACACGGGCTTGCCCGGCTCCCCCTGCTGGTGTTCCCAGCATGTACCTGTGGTCCACAGGTTACAGCCGACAACGGTGCTGCAGGACGCAGAGCTCGTCCTCTGGATGTTCCATGCGAGGACCAGGGACTCCCCCCGTACTCTGCCTGCCATAACCCGGGAGCGGGCCCTTGTCTCGTTTCGGATCCTCTTCAATCTCGGCACCTCCCTCCCTCCCTTGCGGGCAAGGCTACCAGGACCTGGGCACCCGCGCAAAAGGTTTAACGGTGGTGCCTCGAGTTCTTCCAGAATGTCTCAAGAACAGTGTCTCGGCGACGACGACAAGAGACCACCCCCGGCGTGGCGACGCTTGGGTCCTTTTTGTGTGGGGAACGAGATTAATACCATGTCTCCCCAACGGTGGTGCGTTGTCGCCCACGTGAATATGGCCGAAAGCTCCTTGAGACAATGTTCCAACCGGACAACGCCAGGCATGAAAGGGCCCCAAAACCTTAGCCTGGGAACTCTGGGCAATCGGGACCTACCCGACCTACACCGCGCGAACTCGTCCCATGCACAACGACGCCACCAGGCACACGTGCTGGGGAAGCAGAGGGAGGGGAGTGGGAATGGACTGGTCCCTGCATCACCACAACACCAAAAGGGCCCAGGTACGTACCTCTGGGCACACGAATCCAAGCTGTGGAGTATCACCGAGCCATGGTCCCCGTAGAATATTTGGAGTCATGACCACGCGTGGAGTTTGATCCAGAAGGCCAGCATGGAAGGCCGCGTTTCCAGCCACCATATGCACAAGCTTGCGCTATCGCGGGCTGGTCATCGCTGACACACTCACTAGGGCTCATCCCGCTTGCTCGATAGGGCCTAGGGTGCTGAATAGGCGTGCTAGCGCCATGTCACTTGTCTCTGACTGAAGCACCCGCGCGTGGCCACAGTTAGCGCCACAAAGATACAGACAGAGGGAAGGGGACTTGCCAACCTAGTCTGCAATGGAACGATTTTACGAAACGTATGAGCATGCTTGTTCTGCCGCCACACACACGCACTCACACCCACACGCGCACCCAAACTACCAAAGTACCATTTTCCCATGTGTATTACTTTTGTGTTTGCTGTTGCGCGCATGGCTCTTCCTTGTTTGATGTCGGCGGGATCAGTTGCGGGGGCATCATATCGCCGGCCGGACTAATAAGCCAGGAATGGAGACCGGCGGTGTGGATAGAACATCCTGTTTCGTCGGGATGGGGACGGCTCATCTATTCACTTATGCAGGCATGCGTAAGTTGCAGTACATTTCCAGCGGATAACGCTCCGGCCAGGGACCCCCCTGTTATCGACTTGCCAAACTGGGGAATCTTCTAGGCATGATGCTGGAAATAGCACGTCGAAAGTCTGACCAAGGTTCGAGACTGCCTTGTCTCTCGACATGACAATGTGGCGGAAGAACACAGTGATCACCGCGGCGTTATCTCTTTTAGCATTTGACAGGCTGGGTCCATGGAGCTGTTTTTGTGGGCAGTGTTTCATGTGATTGTCGGGAGAAAGTGACTTGGACTGTCACGGTGGAAGACGGATTCGCCACTGAGAGGCAGCCTCTTGTTTTCGTTGTACTCGTCGTTGTTTGTTGATTATTGCAGCTGGCCGTTTCCATTATTGTTACTGGTGGGACGGTTCGTTCCATGGCGGTCCGCCCGGAACTGAGACGCGCTTGGAGAAGTGGGCAACACCGGCAGAATAGAAATCCCGGTTTCGTCATGCGCATCGCTTAACGTTCTGCTTCCACCATTAACACGCAAGATATACGTGGTTCTCTATGATCCCGCGATTGGACAAGGCGCAGCCTGGGCGTATGGCTATCTGGAAGGGCCTCATTCTGGTACAAATGTCTAACACCATCGGTCACACGACCAACTTAGCCCGTCTCGCTCGTTTGGTGCGCTGAGCGAGACCACCGAGGCTTCGTCCCCCATGATACCGCGCCTGTCGATACAGCAACGCTTGATTTCCGGGCCTGCGCCCGCCTCGTCGTGGCGCATGCTGAAAACCTGCTTTACCGCCCGTTGCGGTGAGGCTCGAGCCACCGCCATTGACTCGATTAGCTTGCTTTGCCATGCAGTGCATAATGCGAGTGACGTCTCCCCACAGACAACGGCTGGCGATCTGACGATCGTAGGCTTGGACCGGTCATAGGTCCTTACATAGAGCTGCACGTGTGGGTTGGGGGGGGACCTAATGCTCCTGCGAGGGCTGGAGACGGCGCGAAGCCGTTCACAAGCGCGGTCTCTTGTGTGACGATGGTGCATCTCAGCTGTTCTGGGCAGAGAGTGTGTCTGTATGTTTGCGCCCGTCGCTGTTGTCGAGGCTGATGGGGCTTATCTCGGCCACGGAAGAGATGGGGATCGGATGGTGGCGTGCCATGGGCCATGTGTCGGCCACGAGTCAACCGATGGTTCGAGTGGGCGCAGGAGGGAGGGAGCTAGCAGCACTGGAGCAACGCTACCAGAGAGCGGCAGCTTGGCAAGGTGTCACGCAGCAGAGGAAGCATGGTCACCGGCGCTGACGTTTGTCCTGGATGTGCTAAAGTAGTGCGGGCGCGGTGTTGAAGCCGGCCTGCATGGGAAATGAGGATGATGCAAGTGGTGTGGAGGAGGACCGGGCCGGGCGCTTGCTTCGGAGGAGGGGACGACGCCTCTCGGCCGGGGACTCGTGGGAGAACGCTCAGACAGGATGTTTGCTGGCAGTTGTGGCCGGGGAGACGGCGATGTAGTTACTGGATGTGTTCGTGTGCAGTCCGGGGCACCACGGCCGTGTTTGCTTTGCCCAGGGCGGCCTAGGGCAGCTGTATCATCAGGCGTTTTGCTGTCCCAGAAGGCGCAACAGAGCCTGGAAGGCGTGGAAGCTGTGGAAGCAGCGAGGTCGAGGGTCTCGATTGCTGCAACCTGCAGCACCCCCGCCTGCGCCACGGACGCCCGCATGCAGGCCTCAAGTCAACAACGACACAAACTCCAGAGTGTTGTCGCGCTCAACTTTGAAGCTGCCCAGCTCGCTACTGGGGAGGTCCCGACCCCGTGCGTCAGCTGCGTGGTCTGACGGCGAAGCCTACGGCGGCGTCGGCCAACGATACGACGCCTCGCCAGCCCAGCCACATGGCATCTGTCACCATCCCGCACGGCTACGCGCAAGGCGTGTTCCGCTGGCTGGATAGCGATGCGCACATGTGGCCAAACTAATTACTGGCACGCCAACACGGCTCCGTCCCTCCGCCACCATGACTCGACGTGCATATGCAGGTATGGCGGCGCAACTGAAACACCCGCAACACCATGGCCGACACACAAAGTCCACACAACCACCTTTCGGCCGCCGTCATGGCCTTGCAGCGAGCAGCGCCCCGCGGGCAGTCCCCTCCATGGAAACGACCAACGACCCCTAAAACTCGCCATGTCGACTCAGGGACCTGCATCCCACTAAGACACGCACGCTTGTCCGCAATGCTGCACGTCGCTTCTACGTCCATTCTACGGCGGCTTCCATCTGACAGTGTGGCCCGATCAGCCGTCCTTCTGCTGCCGTAGACCTTGTCCATGAACAACGCGGGCTCTTGACCTTACTCGAACAGTACCAACCTCATGTCAGCCGATCGAGCTATGGCTCTCTCGACACTGTGCAATGGGTTCAGAGAGCTAATCCTCCAAGGAGACCTAACCCCGATACATCAGCCTCACCCGGGTGCTGTAGCGGCTGTTGCAGTCCTTGGTCAAGGGCGATTTCCTTGTTATTGAGTTGCTCGACTGCGGTCAACAATGCCGTCCCAAAACCCACACGGCATGAGGATATATCAAGCCAAGAAGCCGGAGCCAGCGTTCCTGCCGTTTGCTGGCCTCGGTCATTACTTGGTTCATGTTCGAACATATTCGTGCGAGGTAGCCGAGCTATTGGATGGCGGCTGGAACTTTCCTCGCCAGTCTCGATAAGCATGCAAGCCCACCAAGGCCAAACATTGGCTCCGGATAGCGTAACGTCAAACGGCCAGGTAGCGCATCGAGCAGCCACGGGGCCAGTCGTCTCATCTGATGCTAGCAGCCCCGGAGGCTGACTAGCAGCGGCAACTATTGAACACACCCATGCGTCGATTATGGCAGATACATCCCCAAGCCCAGGTCACTGTGGTGGCCGATCAAATTTCGGCCAAGGGACGAGCTGAACGAGTGCCAAGCCGAGCCTAGCGCGTGTATGTGGAGGAGACATGCTGGACGAAGCGAACAGAGAGCGCAAATTCAGCGTCAGCGCCAGGCCGCTAGCAAAGATGGCTTGCATTACGGCTTTTGAGGCGTTCAGAGCCATGGGACTGTTCATTATTGCGGCCGCGCCACCACGGCCATCACATTCAAGCTACTTGAGGCTAGGTTAGCGTCCGGGAATGGCCGGCTCACTTACACGGTGATTTGATTTCGGCCGGCACATGTAGACACTTCGTTGACGCTATACCGTTTTTCGAGGCCCCCAGAACCCGTATAGCTTCCTGCACCAAGGACAGACTGTGCCTCAGCCCCGTCCTTCTTTGCATGTTCCATGGTACTAGTTGCCCGCATGTATAGAACTAAGATAGCTACATGGCCTCTCTGGGCGTCCCTTCTCTACGCCGAAGCCTGCCTCAACTTGGAGGCCCTTCCCACACGCCCCAAGCTCCGCATTACCCATCGGTCTTATTTGGTGGAAATCGCGCCTGGAACTCCGTAGCTGCTTGACGCGGTGGCAAAGTAGCTCATGGCGCAAGTGGAAATGTAAAATGCCGTGTGTATTTCAGCTTATGCGGAGTAATGAATAAGGGTCTAGTTACAAAGATCCCTTGTCTCGGGTAGTATCTCCTACACGTCCGGCATGCTGGCGTTTCCGACCGGCACAACGCAAGACACTACACTTTCGAGATCGCATCTGGCCGTCAAGTCCTTCGAACGTCCAGGGGACGTACGACACGGGCACAGGGCAAACGCAATGTGGAGAGCGTCCGTGTTGTGTGGCTGTTCAACCAAACGCCAATCAGCGAGCTAGTCTGCTTACTGGTGCCTGGATCCAGGTCCTCGTGGAGCACACGCTCCCTCCAAAGACACACGGACTCATGATCCGCTGGGAAAACAGGGACAAGGAAGGGTCTGAGGGTCGCGCTGGCGCGAGACCAAGGGCTCCTCTCTCTCCAGGCGCCTGAAGATCGCTCCCACGATCGCCGCCTAGGGTGGTTTTGAACGGGGTGCTCCCGAATCCTTATCCTTGGTCATGGCGCTGCTGGCCCCATACTTGGACCGACCTGTCAAAGCCTGGTTTTGGCTCTGTTCCCGTTCGTCTTCCGCGTCCTTCTACTTTCCCATGCCTCACTTCTCGAGATCGCGATCGAGATCGCTGATCTTCCTCTCTTGACGGTTCTTATGACCCTGATCGCCGGTGAGAATGGGAAGCAGCGCAAAGTGAGTGTGGTCCAAGCAGAGCGAGAGGTCATGGCGGTGGCGTCGTGGTTTCTTCAACGTCTGTGTCTAGCATTGTTTTTTCTTTTCCTGTCTGTTATTGTTGTTGGCTGCTGCCATGTGGTCCCGGCCGTCTCTTTGCTTTTTTTGGGCGGCTTTTTCCGTGGTCCCCTGATTTCCTGTCACACATACGCGCACGCGCCCACACACACACACATTGACACCCCCAGATCGGCATGCATGGGACAATGTCTCACTTCTCGAGTCAGGTCTGCATGTTGGCTTGACAGGCTGGCTGGTTGGCTGGTAAGCCGGATATTGAAGGCTGCCTGTCCCCATTGAACAGCCGAGGAAGAAAAGAAAAAAACGCCACAGACGTGTTGGGGGCTTGTGCTCGTGTCTTTGCTTGGGTCTTTCCGCGTGCTCGTGCATACACGGTCCTCATGGTCTAACCGGAACTCCGCCGGGGATGAATTATGGTTTCTTTGTGGCGCATGTTTACTCGTGCATGTGTGCAGGTGTGTGGTATGTGGTGTGAGTGGGTGGGTGTGGAGGCGGGTACGTGCTCATGCACTTGCTATCTCTGCTGATGGAAAGAGAGAGACCGAGAGGGAGAGTCATGCCGCCACTTCTGCTTGCACTGCACATCATGCAAGGCGACGGCGGGCCTCGAGTCATTGCCGGGGCCGTGCTGGTGGTGGCCACGGCGCGTCTGAGGCTGTTTGGCGATGGCCTGAGAACAACAAGCACGCTGCATGTGATTTGTTGTATTCTGGCCTGCCTCCTCTAGGGATATCCGGTGATGTCTCGAATAGACGCTTCCTGGTTTTCCGCCATTTTTGGGGGGTCGTGCGGGCTGTCTGGCGAGCGTGGTATCAGAGGAAATGGAGAAAAACAGACTGTGATTGGTTTTCTTTCTCTCCGTCGTGTAACATGGATGCCCTCTAACAACGGCGTGTCTCTGGGATTGCTGATGAGCCATCAGAGGGTTTCTCCGTGAACACACTTGCAACGACGCGCGTACGCAGGATTACTTTGATGCCTCGAGCGGACCATGTGGCCAGGAATCCCCTGTGTAGATCATTGTGTTGTGGGGACTTGACACGACTGGGGGTTCTTCGCCCTGTATCCTTGGGAGCATTTGGGATCAATGACTAGATGTGCTGAAGGCTTTCCTCGTGGGACGCAAGATGTCATTTTGGCGGTAATGTAGTTTCCCAAGTCTCTTGACTTGTTGCCGGCGTATCGCATGAACATGGACGGAGCAGCAAGGGGTAATGGTGATCTTGAGGCTTTGTGATCAATGATTATATTGTGTTCTTTATTCACTTCACTATCGAAACTTTCTAGCCGCGGAGGTCTAGGACGCATCGATGATACCCTTGTCCGCACGTCCCGGGAGATCTCAGGCAAACAGGTTTGTGTTGTTTGGCATGACGATGGAAGGATGATTAAATTATCCTGAAGTTCTTCTTTATTCCCGCGGTTGTATTCACATACGGTTGTACTCACATACGGTTGTTTCTTTTCATGGCAGACTGAATTCCAAGTGAAAGTATATGTAGGAAATATCCCCACTGCTCGCGCTCTCGGATCGTGAATCGCCCAAGTCACATCGATCCTCTAAGCCCATGTGTTTCCTTGTCACTGTCTGCATGGCCGCGCCCGAGAATGCAGTCACCATCATCATGTGTATATCGAGCCTGGAAACCCCAGCCGCTGTCACGGGACTGTGCCGTCCTGCGCCGCTACTGCTGCTGCTGCTGCTGCTGCTACTGCATGCATTCTTTTGCTTTCCTGGTCTGGTTTTTCTTTTGATTTGCTTTCTCAGCGTGTGCCGTTTATCCAACAGACAGGAATCCGTGCCTCTGCAGATCTGTCGTTTCTTCTTCTCCTTCTCCTTATTCTTCTCCCTCCTCAGAAGGGTGATGTCTCACCCCTCCTGGAGGAGATATCCTTCACCACCGTCTTCACGCGGCCGCGGCGTTGGGGCCTTTGTCTTTTCTCCCACGGCTTGCCGTGCCTGGAATTCCATATCCATGACAAAAAAAGATCCCCGTTCGCTCCTCGACGCCGCCTCGACAGAAGCACGAGCATTGTCTCAGAACGCATGCAAAGCGGGCTTGGAGACACGGGACAGTGTGCCCAATGCTCACTCAGATTGGCAACGTCCAAAGAGGCGAGGAGAGAACAGAACATGAGAGAAATTTACCATCAATAGAAGATGAAGAAGGAAAAATAGATATAGGAAATTGCAAAAGGTAAGATCCGCGAGCGGCCGCCAGCGACATTCCCACGACAGACGGGCCCAAGTCATCGAGGACGCGTGCTACCCGCACTTGGCTTGGTAACCTCATACGGCACGAGAGAGGGGAGACACAGATAGATAGATCCTGTGAAGCCGTGTACGATTTATAGCAGTGCCGCGAGAAAGAGAAGTATACCAACCAAACCGCGCACAAAGGATCTCTCCCATATACGTGGAAAACGCAATCACGGCGCACGTAGGCCCATAGTCTACTGCTTACCTGACCTCGCCCGTGCCGGATACCTCTCCACTTGGAGTTCCTTCCAGTGCCTCCACGAACATGAAGAAAGAAACAAAAAAAAAAAAACATACACCATAAATCTGACCGCTTGCCTTTGACTGCACGGCAAAGTGAATGGCTTCTCACACAGGATGAGACGCTTTGGGGCGGAGCGATGTGTAACAACGCACAGGGTCGGCAGCAGAGTACACGATAGTATCCAATTTCGTAGCGGAGGAGCTCACCCCGACACCACACGGCACGGTACGGCACGACACGGCCAGGGAGCATCTCTTCCGGCGCGTAGGAAGCCCATGTCGTGGGGAAAGGGAAAGGGAAAGGAGGAAGGGGAGGCTGTGAGGGGAGATGTCAGTCCCGGCGGCGTGTAAGTTTTCATCTCAAGCCGGCCCCCAAAGGGTGTCCGCCTGATGATTGCTAGCTCTAGACAGTTTGAGACGGCAATGTATTGGACGGCTTGCCTGGCTCAATGCCCCTGGCCTTTGCCCTCAGAACGTGTGCCGCCTGCCTGCGGTTAAGAAGACGGGGTTGACTTCCAACGCTCGACAATGACTTTCGAGCGCCCCCTCTTGACTATAGGCTCCAGCACAGAGGCACTTTCTGCATGATTTGCTGCGCAAGCTTGCTTGTACCCCAAGGGAGCCTAGCAGGTTACTATTTATCAAGTCGTTATGGCGTTCTCGCTCGACACCACAGGGTGTTGGGCGTGTGAGCGTCATATCATGTGTGGCTTCTCCGTCATTCGACCTACCTAAGGATGCATGGACTATGGGCATCTGTACCTTTAAATATGGTGACTGCCATTCGCCAATGTTAATCAACAGAGCGCCACCGGGTGTGTCACTGCTGGCAACCAAGTCACTGTAGTGCTACACTCCTTCGCTGTGGGGTCAACCATCGCTTCACGGTCGACACTATGGTAACGAGTGCCCAGAAAACAGTGGCCTTCTATTACTTGGTCCGAAATGATGCTAGCATCTCGCTTGCCCCAAGTCCTCGCATGAAATCCCATGAAAAGCCTTCCTTCCGTTATGGGTATCGACGTGTCTCATTCATCATCATTCACCGAATCGAATCCAAATTGTGCAAAACATACACACCAACCTATCCCTCCCCTGTGAACTCTGCTGTCCAATCTTTCCTAATCTCCAGCTCGGTGAGTTCTGGTGTCTTGTTGATGACGAGTCCCTTTTCGTTGGCCAGATGCAGCAGACTGATGAAGCAGAAACTTGTGGAGATGTCTCCCATTGCAGACTTCGAGTATGCCGACTGCAAGTTGTTCATCACGTCTGTGAACAGCAGCGTCTGCTCGGGCTCCGAAGGTGTCACTGTTGCATCCTTTTGTGGCGTCGGCATTGGTGTCCGCTCGGGTTCCTGTCATATTCGTCAGCATGTGTCATGATACGGAACACGATCAGCTTGGAAACTCACCTCTGCCAGCTCAAGACCCATCCCCTTCCACATGTTCTCCTTCAGGCGTCGCACATCGACCTTCTTCGCGACACGCGCAAAGTTGACGTACTCTGGTCTTAAACGCCGTGTCGATGTGACGAGCTGGGTACCAAAGCCACCCATCGTCAGACCGCCGTCAATGAGGCCTGTAAAGCCAAAATTTGTTGTGGGTGCAGCATCGCCCCCAGGTGAGAAGTGGTCTCGAGCATCCGCAAACTCCATGTCATCGTCATCGTCCAGGAGACCACCGCCCGGCAGTGGCATCTCGTCGTCGAAAAAGTTGGCATCATAATCTCCTTGAGGAAGCATGTCATCCTGTTCAGTGCTTTGTAAGGGTGCATTTTGCGCCCAGAAAGCCTCGTCCATGTCACGAGGCGCCATATTGTCGTGCTGGCCGTGGTTTCCGAAGAGGCCGTTCGACTGTCCCATGCGGGCCTTCCGGCTCAGCCGGGCTTTCGGCTTCAAGAACAAGCTCAGAAGCTGTGTCGAATTAAAGTGCTTATCGTCCGGGAGCAGGTTGCGGGTTTTCGACCTCCAGTCTTTCTTGGGCATGGAGATGGCAGAATTGCTTGACGCCTGGGTGTAGATGGCGTCTGCGAGCTTCGGATCGAGAGGTGACGCAAAGTCAATCTCAAAGGGCTCTTTCTCCTTGCGTGTCCGCGTCGCCCCTTCGGGCTTGTTGACATCCTTGATCTTCCTGATGCGCCAATGCTCGGGGCCGGCCCAATTCTTCTGGAGAGCCTGGTCGAAATATCCGAGGATGTCCTGATGCATTTGGTCATCTCCTTGACCCCGTCGCATCGACACCACAAAATCGCCGTTGTCGTCGTCTACCCCATCGACGCCGTCAGCACCAGCCTCGGCATCCTCCAGTCCGAGATCGAATGGTCTCATTTGAGGCTCCAGCTTGACCTCCTTGGCCCAGGCTTCACCACCTTCACCAAACGCAACGTCGACATCAAAGCCGCCCATGTTGGTCATGTCATCAAACCCGGCATGGTTGTCATCATCAATATCCATGCCTGATTTGTTGCCAATCCCACCAAAGCCATCCTCCGCGTCATCCTCGTTGTCGTCCTCTTGAGCGCGCAAGAATGGGATGTCGAGTGAATCGGAGGGGTTACCGAGGTCAAAATTCTTGAGCGAAGGGCATACGTCCTGCTCGTCCAAGCGAGACAGATCTGGGAAGAACTTGGCTCCAAGCGCCGCGATGTCGATCTCGACATCCTCCTCTTCTGCCTCTTGCTCGAGCTGATCTGCGATCATGGTAGCTTCGTCTTCCTCGTCCTCTGGACCACCAGCCTCATCGTCCCCTGTGAAGTCCTCCCTTCTCCTCGGTTTAATGACATCTGCCGATGCATCGTTGCTGTCATCACTGCTATCAAAGACGATGCGTCCTTGAGCATCGATCATGAGATGGTTGAGCAGGAGACCCTTGGCACCTCCCTCATCGAAATCAGCTGATGCTTTCTTGAAAAGCGGGTCGACCGCAAACTCGAGTTCGAGCTTCTTGAGCTGAAGGGAAGCAAATGACGACGCAAGGGTTGCCTCAGACGAGCGTTGCTGCAAGTGTGTTTGGTCCAAGTCAGTCAAGGGTCCTTCCCAACATCACGATCAGAATCTGGCATACCCGCTTCTTCTTCGTCCTCCTGATCACGTTGCCGTCCTGGTCAACCTCGTCCTCGCTCTCCTCGCCTTCCCCATCCTCTCCGTCCTTTTCTCTCTTTTTTGCGTTGCTGTCGGCCAGACCGCTGAGGAGCTTGCCGGTCTCCGTGGCCACACTGTCGACTCTGCTGGTGTAGATCTTCACACAGCCGTCCAGCGTGCAACTTGCCCTCTGGAAGTTTACGCCGTCGCCTTCCTTGAGGAGGGACATATCATGGAAGTAATCGATGAGAGCGAAGTTCCACGAGTTGGCAGCATTGATCTTATTGTCGGTGGCCATCTTCATCCACTCCTCAAAGTTTGCGAGGATGGGCACACGCTTCATGGGCGTGACACCGGTGCCTCCCATGGCGAAGTCGTCGTCGTCGTCCCCGCCGAGCCGCGGGTCGCGCGAATCCGAGCGGGGAGACGCATTTTCAGCACCGTTCTCCAGCCTGAGGGCGCCCTTTTTAGGCGTGGCGGCGGCGGCCTGCAGCTCGTTGATCTGCTTCTCGTGGAGGGCCTTGCGCGAGTGCAGGCGGCCCTTTTTCTCCTGGGCGTCGTCGTTGAGAGGGATCCTGCGCGAGTTGTGGGCACATTTTCAGCAAATGCAAATGCAGGGGTTGTGGTTTCCCATGCGATGGGCCAGGCAACGCAGGGAGTAAACAAAGGGCAAGAGGGGTGGCGTGCAGAGCGGGACGACGTACCTGATGGCGGAGCTGGCGGTGCCGGCCGAAGGCTTTGTGCCAGAGGCGACACGGGGAGCCTGTGCTACGCGAGGCATCTTCTGTGAGGGTGCATGCGCGGAGGCGATGTCGTGTCGTGATGAGGAGGGGGAGGGGATTGTCTGGTGTTATGAAGCATCTCAGGACCCCTTGCTTTGGCGGTGCCGCCCCAGCGCCCGTCGTGCAGGCCGCCGGAAGTAAACAAATGGGCTGTTGACCCCGCACGGGCCAGCAGGCCCGTTGACACATGCCCGACCAGGCACGGCTGCTGACATAATCACGACTGAGGCAGCGGGAAAGAAGAAGACGATGCAATCATGGCTGGCTCAAGGCCCAGGTTACTCGTATCAACCATTAAGGCACCCACGCGTGAAATCCCAAGGACAGACGATATGCGAAGTAAAACAAGCTAGGCCAGCTGTGCGCCGGGTCCATCCAGCCTGGGTCTGGTCAAGTGGCCTTCGTGATTCACTTCCACCTTTGACAATTGGATTAATCACCCCCATGGTCCCACGGGCAATGTGTGCCGAGGTGATTCGAGGACAGAGGGAGCCACAGTTGACACATGGTAGATGCATCCCAGGTCTGCCAGGCATCATGATGGGTTGAGTTGAGCTGGCCCAGTCAGTGGGCCAAGGGAGGGAGCCCATGCCAAGTCAAGAGGCGCAACCTGCCCAAACAGGCAGCACAACGTGGGCAGGCGAGCGGCCGCTCTCCCATGTGTCCCCAACGTCGTTGTGTGTGTGTGGGTGGGTGCTTTCCAGGCACCGCACCATAACCTGCCTGTGTCCATTCGCTGCTGGCTGGCCGGGGTTGTGGGCAGCCAAGCTCCGGGGCCCAGTCTGTCGTCACCAGTTGTGCACGCTCTGGTTTAACCTTAAGTTCCTTGGCTGCGCACGCGCTCTGACAGGCACAGCATCCAGTGGGGAGGCTTTGCTCAGCCAACTCTCGTCACCTCGAGCCGGCGACTCCACGGCTGGCTTCTACATCCTTCATTGCTACCAGACTGCTGCTGCTGCTACTGCTTACGAGACTTGCTCTTCTGCTCCAGCCGTGAGCCGCTACACTGCGCCGAAGCGGCGCAATCTTCACGGCCTTCGCCCGACGCCAGCTTCGGCATCGTCATCCTTATCGCTCCCGTGCCGCATGGTCAACCCTAACGGCGGCCATGTCGCGGCCCGCATCGGCGGCTCAAAAACCTTCAACATGCCACGAGCTCGGCGTAGGATCGAGCGCCTGAGACAGCGGCCTCTCTACGCGACAGTCTTCATCTTCAGCCTGCTCGCCGTGTACTGCCTCTTTATTCGGGGCCCCCAGCCTGCACCAGCGCCCACCTCACTCCACAGCCGCTCTCTCCAGCGCCGCGCCGGCGAGGATTGCCGCCTTGTCCACGATGCCGACGACAAGTGCGCGTTTGTGCGCCGCAACTGCCAGGATGATGAGGCCGGTCTTATCCAGTACCTGCAGTTCTACTACTGCGGCCTCGGGGGTGCCAAGCCTCTCGCCTTTGTCGTCCTGATGGTTTGGCTCGGCATGCTCTTCACCACCATCGGTATCGCCGCCAGCGACTTCTTCAGCATCAATCTAAGCACCATCGCCACCATCCTTGGCCTCAGCGAGAGCCTCGCAGGCGTCACGTTCTTGGCCTTTGGCAACGGCTCCCCCGATGTCTTCAGCACCTTTGCTGCCATGAGCTCCAATAGTGGCAGCATGGCGGTCGGAGAGCTTATTGGCGCTGCTGGCTTCATCACGGCCGTCGTGGCTGGCTCCATGGCCCTCGTGCGGGAGTTCAAGGTCATGAAGAGCACTTTTCTCCGCGACGTGCTCTTCTTCCTTGTGGCCGTCTCCTTCACCATGGTGTTCCTCTCCGACGGCGACATCTACCTATGGGAATGTCTCAGCATGGTCATCTTCTACGCCTTCTACGTCATCTTTGTTGTACTATGGCACGCCTACGAAAAGAGAAAAGACAATCGCAAGGCAAAGGAGATAGCGTCGCGCAGCCACTATTTCCTGTCTGGGGATGGCCGCAGCACCGATGAACTCGAACCATACAGGGACTTCCCCGACGAAGCAGCCGACCGACCCACGGAGCAGCGGCCGCCAATGCACCCAATGCATGCAAGCGTCGACATTGGTGTGCTGGAGAGAGGCCCACGCATTGACGTGGAAGCGCCTGACAAAGACGAGGACTATGATCGTGCCCAACATATTGCCGCCGAGATGACGAGCAGCATGCGCGTGAATCGTCCGCGGGGAGCTAGGAGTAATACTACCATCGCCCCGATTCGGCCGAGTTTGATTGGAGCTCTTGAGTTCCGGTCGGTACTTGCCTCGCTGCAGCAGGAAGGAAACATGCACATGAGGCCCTTGCACCACAGAAGCCAGTCACACGATGCTCTTTCAACGCCCCCAGGTCAAGTGTTCTCGGCGCCTAGGGTGGATTTCCAAGCACATGAAGCTGCCGCCGATGCGCTGGCTGCGGCTAGGAGCCGAGCGTTGTCGTCGGGTAACATCCCTTTGTCTTTAGATGCGGATCTGCTACAAGGACAATCTCCAGCAAGTCGAAGTCGGGCCACTAGTACTCACACTGTCGACGGCATGCTTGCGCCACCGCTTCCCGATCAGCCGCGAGGAGCAAACCCGGCAGAGCCTGCCACGCGTGACGGCGGTCCCTCTGACCCCAGTGCAACACAACTTCGACTCCAAATCCCTAGTCCCATGGGAAGCGAATTCTCGTCGCCAGCAACCTCGCCATTCCCGCGCTTTACAGACTCGCCAATGATCATGACTCCCCACCCAGAACACCCACAGCTTCCGCGACTTGACCTGCCAACACCTGGGTTAGATGACCGTCCCGGCTTTATGAGTCTGTCGACGCCAGTCGAACGGAGGCCGATCAATTGGTGGCCTTACCATCATCTGCCAGCACCACATGTGCTTTTCAACACCCTCTTCCCAACACTGACGGATTGGCAGAGTAAAAGCATTGGCTCCAAGCTCGTCAGCGTCTTGTCTGTGCCTAGCGTTCTTTTGCTTGTCATCACTCTTCCGGTCGTAGAGAGCGAAACGACGGATGACGACATGGGCGCAGATATCACAGAGCACCCAGCCTCGGGTCACATGGGCAATGTCGCTCCTGCAGTGTCCTTTGAACCCAACGCGCACATCGAACACGAAACAGAGTGGCAACGATATCAGAGAAGACGAGGCGCGACCACTTCAAATATCTCGATTCCTACACTCATTGAAGTGGATGAGCCACGTTCAGGACAATCATCGCCAAGAAACATCTTTCCTCCCCTCTCGAACCAGGTTCATGCTGGCAAACCGGCGTCTGACATTGGCCCGGATTCTAGCAATTTCGCTGACGAGACGGGAGGCTGGAATAGGTGGCTTCTGATAATCCAGGTCTTTACTGGGCCACTTTTTTGCGTCGTCATCGTGTGGGCAAACATCTTGGAGGACCTAGAAAGACCTGCCATGGTGCTCATCAGGGGCATTATGGGCTCTCTGGTCGTGTCGCTGGTCCTCCTGGGTGCTTTGTTATCGTTGACCTCGGCTGAGAGGCGCCCAAAGTATCATTTTCTCTTCTGCTTCCTTGGCTTCTGCATCTCGATTGCGTGGATCTCCACGATCGCGGGCGAAGTTGTCGGGGTACTCAAGGCTTTTGGTGTCATCTTGAATATCTCCGAGGCTATACTCGGCCTGACAGTATTTGCAGTGGGCAATTCTGTGGGCGATCTGGTTGCCGACATTACTGTTGCACGGCTTGGGTATTCCGTCATGGCGTTGTAAGTCTCACCAGCCACCTTTCCCGTACTTCTCTGCCTAGCTGGGACAAACTGACTCCTGAGTTTGAATCCAGGTCTGCGTGCTTTGGTGGCCCTCTACTCAATATTCTTCTTGGTATCGGCCTGGGGGGCGCCTACCAGATTGTCCAGTCGGCCAACAAGAAACATCACAAGCATCCCGAACGGACTCTTGAGTACAAAGCGTACCACATCCACGTCAGTGGTACGTTGATGATATCCGCCATCACGTTGCTCGTCACCTTGGTGGCGCTACTTGTCGTGATTCCATACAACAAGTGGATCATGAGCCGAAGGATAGGCATTTTCCTCATCGCACTGTGGTCGGTGAGCACAATCACGAACCTAGTCGTCGAAATAACGGGGGCTTGGCAGGATGTTTCTTGATTGAGTCGGCCTAGTTTCACTCCGTGTGTTTTCCCTTCTACGACTTGTCCATAATTATCCAAGCATGAGTATGGCCCGAATGTTTTTTGTCATGACTCGGACTTGGACCTGGGCACCCATAGGTGGTTGCCTTGTCCCCATTGGAAGAAACCATGGCCAGTACACTACCAACACATTTTGAACACCAGATACCCGGCATATCTTTGCCTTCTCGACGAGAGTAGCAGCCATTAGCGAAGTACACTTTCTGAAGTAGCAGTAAATTTGATATCGAATGAGATCGGGCGCGTGGTTCTGCTTAACTGGCCGGCTATGATCTTGGCCGATTGAGTACTTGTCATGATGAGGGGAGCCCTCCACCTTGCTACAGATGCAGCCCAAGCTCCGCGTGAGAGAATAGGCACATGCCAAAGACAGCCAGACAACCAAGGAGGCTCCCCCAACGATTGGCTGCGAGGCTCCGGGTGCTTGAGTTGGTGGGGCCCGCGACCGCCAGCAGCAGCAACAGGGTCCAGGCGGGTTCCTGGAGCTTAGCTCCTCAGGGAAGGAGGGGCAGCCATTGTTCTTGCCCCTGGGCCTGCCCGCCTCGCCTCCGATCCGCGTCTACATACAACTATCTGAACAACTCCCACTCCAGCTTCTGCCTCTACGTCTTCTCTTGCCACGGCAGCTCTCTATCCGTGGATGCCCCTTCGAGCTTCGATTCTCACACAACTCCCACCAGACACACCACAATCCATCAACATGGCCAGTGCCGCGGTCGCCAGCCAGGGCGTCGTCCCTCTCGAGGACCGCCCTATCAAGAACACAATCTGCCTCTTTGACGTCGATGGCACCCTCACACCAGCCCGTCTGGTAAGCCAGCCCCCGCCCTTTTCCTTCCGGCGCATCCAATTCCTCCACGAAACCCAAGCAGTTGGCTCAGCCACCTTTCCACGGCCAACCACTAACTCATGGCTTCAACCCTTTCTCTAGGAAGTCTCCTCCGAGATGCTCGCGACCCTCCAAGCTCTCCGCCAGAAGGTCGCCATTGGCTTCGTCGGTGGCTCCGACCTCGTCAAGCAGCAAGAGCAGCTGGGCGCGCCTGGCCGGCCAGTGACCGCCATGTTCGACTTTTGCTTCAGCGAGAACGGCCTCACCGCCTACAAGCTCGGTCAGGAGCTGCCCAGCAACAGCTTCATCAAGTGGATCGGCGAGGACAAGTACAAGCAGCTCGTCAAGTTTGTCCTCCACTACGTCGCCGACCTCGACATCCCCGTCAAGCGCGGAACCTTTATCGAGTTCCGCAACGGCATGGTCAACATCAGCCCAATCGGCCGCAACGCCAGCACTGCCGAGCGCAACGAGTACGAGAAGTACGACAAGGAGCACAAGATCCGCGAGACATTTGTTGCCAAGCTCAAGGAGGAGTTCGGCGACCTGGGCCTGACGTGAGTTTGGACTCGCCCTTGCGCTCTCCCTCTCTCTCTCTCTCTCTCTCTCTCTCTCTTATTGCTTTTGATCTGGACGAGGAAACTAACATGGGGGTACTCCACATCACAGCTTCTCAATCGGCGGCCAGATCTCGTTCGACGTGTTCCCCACCGGCTGGGACAAGACATACTGCCTCGGCCACCTCGAGAGCGAGGCCAAGAAGGGCGGCGTCGAGTACACCACAATCCACTTCTTCGGCGACAAGACTTTCAAGGGCGGCAACGACTACGAGATCTACGAGGACCCTCGGACGACGGGCCACTCCGTCACGGGTCCTGAGGACACCATGAAGATCCTCAAGGAGCTGTTTGACGTCTAAACATGGATCCCATGGATCCCCCAGACGGTCTCGCCCCGCGATAGAACGAAAACAATTAAAACAAGAAACAATTCTGAGATCTACGGGACTGTCAGACTTGCCTGTATGCTAGCATTCTACATGACTGTCAAAGCGCTGGGTTCTTGTCGTACTTGAACGTGATGTTCGGCGTCATCACGTTGCTGCCATCGTGATTGAGGAACTGCGGGCCGCGACGCAGGTGCAGCAAGCTTCCCAAAGTGGTCCACAAAGTCACGATCAAAGGATACAAAACAAACCCCCAGACAAGCGGCCTGTCATCAATGTTGCGTGTGCTTCCAAATATTGTACTCGGAATTGAAGCGGCTAGCTAAATGAACCAATATTAACAAGAAAACTCGTATCCAAAAAATGAAAGACGACGACGACTCTCAAAAGGTATATCCAGTGCCATATGCCTGCTCTTCTACTCGTTTCTCCAGCCATGCAGCTCAAACCCTCCTTGCTGTTTCCCTCCTTGATTCTAGCTCCGTCCCGCCGGTACCAAGGCTCACCTGCCAAATTCTAGGTGAGGGATAATCACTGGTCCGTACTTTGTGGGCCCCGTGAATGCCCCGTCGCCCTGCACGACAAAGTCCACCGCGAGACTGAGCTTGTTGAGCCCGTTGCCATTCTGCTGCTGGAAGTGCGGTGGCTGTTGCGGCATGCCCTGCGCCTGGTCCGGGTCGTATGCCACGACGGCGACGTAGTTGCGGCGGCCCATGAGCTTCTTGAGTTCGCGCGGCGCCCCGGAGGCGTCGGTGTGGAAGATCTCCATCATGTCTTCCTTGGTGTCGCTGACTTCGTGCGTGCTCTTCTGTCCGTTCGCTGGCACGTATTGTGCCTTGTTGTTGTGGAGGAGCTTAAGGATATACTGCGCTGCGGGTGCCGCGACGATGGGCGAAGTGATGACCTGGTACATGGTCTTATGGTCGCTTGGGTGGCTTGGGTCGTGGACTAAGCCTGCACCAGCGGCATTGACGTCTGCGACAATGGTTGTGTCAGTACAAGTATGAGGAAGCGTAGAACACGGAGCAGAACTCACCACCCGACAAGAACGTCATTCTGATACCCTTCTGGTGTGCAATGCCCTGCAGGGTCCGAATCAGGTACGTCCGCTCAAGGTCCTTGGACTCGTGTGTCCACATGTCGCGCAAAATCTCGCCAATGTCCAGGTCGCCAAATTGATTGACGACGTTGCCCATGAGACCTGATTTACCAACGGCCTTCTTCACAGAGCTAAAGCCGTGCGCGACCACGTCTTTGCCACCGACAATGCCAGCCACCGACGACGTCACCTTGCCGAGCATGTTGTAAGTCGTGTTGACAGCTTTCTTTCCCGTGGCGAAAGTGTTGGCCAAAGTCTCCACTGTGTCAAGTCGAGGGTACACAACTGGCACTGAAAGCATCCAGATGCAATGCTGCACACTGGGAGGCAGCATTGCAACCTTCGGGAACAAGCCTTGGTACGTGGGTCCAGCGATGACCCGGGTCTGATTCCGTTCAGACCTAACATCGGCGCCAATGACGACGACAGCAGGGCCGAGGTGCTTGACAAAGTGCCAACCTTGGCCAGTGACCGTGAAGAGATCTAGATCATGGCTGATGCCTCGCAGAACCTCCAACGTGGTGTGATGCTGGAAAAGCAGATACATGTCGATCGCTATTCTGCCAATGTTCTTGAATGTCTGTGAGGTTTGCATGTACTCGGGGTACGAACCATAGCCGTCAAATCTGCCGACTCAATCAGCATGCCTGCACAAAAACCATCCTCATTATAATCACTTACATGTCGTGATCGTCAATCTGGCAAACGTGGGGGATCTGCGCAAAGGCCTCTCGGAGGAAAGGCTGGTCAAAGTGGCTCGTGTAGAAGTGGAAGTATGCGTGGGACACATCCTCTTCGTGTCGTGCTGTCCATGAGGCCTTTTGCCGGTTGTCTTTGCCTTGCATAGCCAACCACTGCTTCAGCAACGGGACCTCCTTCCACAACCTGTCTCCGTAGATCTGGTCGCCAAGGCCAAGCTGCACGTGGAAGCCGCCACAGTCGACGTTCTTCTGCAGTACGTCTTTCCACATGAAACCAACGCCGCCAAGCTTGCTCCGCTCCGCTTGCGTGGTGCTCGCGGCAAAGTCGTTGCCAGAATGAGCAATGAAGCGCCAGTTTGTCTCGTTCTTGCCAGCGACAATGAACTCGTATCTTGTGCAGCCCAAGTGAGATGTAACGGCATAAGTCCATCTTTGGGTGGGGCCATCTTCCATCTGAATGTCAATATCGTACTTGAGAAACTGCCATCGTTGATGTGTGTAAATGCAGTTCGGCTGAAGTTGGCGAGGGTTTGGAGAGAGATCAGCACTCTTATGCAGGTGGATCGTCGGCGGCTGGGGCGCATCGGTGACGATCAAGATGCTTCCGAGCCAGACTCCCCGCTCGAGGTCCATATTTACGTATCTCAGATACGGGCCAAAATAGACGCCGTTTGTGGGCTGAACCTTGTACATGTCCACGCCAGCACCTGGAGGCGGCCCGGAAAATCCAGCAGCAGTCGGCGCAGCCGAGGCAGCCACACTCATGATACTTTCTGCGTAGCCGGGTGTCTGGGGCGGGAACATCGGCGAAGCCAGAGCTGCTTGTTTTCCGAACAGAGGTGATGCCAAGGGATTGCCGTACGTCGAAGCTGCTGGCGAGAGTGGCGCAACGTCATGTTGGATGGGGTTGGGCCCCTTCGGAAACTCCCATTGCGTCGCTTGCGTCGCCAAGTGGATATAGTAATACTGGCCAGAGTTCTGATCCAGATGTGCAATCCAGCCCTCAGGCAGAGGCGGTGGTGAAGACGGACCTTGTCCCTGAAACGGAGAAGGAGTTTGTGTGATGATTTGCTGAGGCTTGTGGGTCGTCTGCGCACTTGTGGACGCCTCGGGCTTGGGATCGTTTGCAAATGCCGGATGCCCAGGATGCTGCAGCGCCGGCGAGGCGAGTCCAGCACCAACTTCGGCCTGCTTCTTCTGTGGCGAAGCTACTTGCGACGGGCCAGTTGCTGGATGTCCAGCTGGGGCTGGACCTGCACCAGCAGCACCGGGGCGTTGCTTCTCGGCGGGATAGCCAGCACCGCCACTGCCGGTTATACTCGAGTACGCAGGAGGTGGGTCGTTTCCGGCCATCTGCATGCGTTGGAAGTCCTGCTCTAAAACACTGACTTGGAGATTCGAGCCTGCCGCCGTGCTGGCGGAGGCGCTCCCAGGCGCATTTTGCGTGCTCGGTGCTGGGCCGCTCGGGACCGGTTCCGCGCCTTGGTAAACTGTAGGCGGGCCATGCGGCTGGGTGCCGTGATCTTCCGTAGGTGTCCATGGCCGAGCCGGCCGACTCTGTGCCGCTGGAGCGGGCTGTTGTTGCTGTTGTGGCGGTTGCTGTCCATATTGCGCCAATCGCTGTGACGCGGCAGAGCTCTGGAAGCTGCTGAGGGTTCCTGTCCCGGCGATGCCAGCTGCGGCATATCTCGCCTCGATTCCCCCTCCTGGAATCTGGCCGGGTTCGACAATTGGTGTTTCCGGCGGCGGCGGAGATCCACGGCTGGCCCTGGTCGTCGAAGTGGACGCTGTCGAGGCGAATCGGTTCATGCTGCTCTCGATGGGCTTCTGAAGGAAGCCTGGCTCACTGCCTTGTGGCCGACTGACGTGCGAGGTCTGTATCGACTCGGACGGGTGGCCTCCTGGAGGTGGATAGTAAGGCTTCTTCTGATAATTGGGGAAGTTGGAAGCTGCCGGGTGTTGCGGCTGCTGGGAGACCAGAGGCTTCGCAAAAAGGTTGCCGTCGTCAGAAGCCGGGCTTGCCGGGCTCAAGGCTCCTGGTAGAGGACGAGGGGCAGTACCACGACGCTCTGCCAGTCCGGGGCGCTTGTCCGCCGTTGGGCTGGTGTCTAGTCGTGGAGAAGTGTCGTTGTTGGGACTTGTATATCGCCTGCCGCCGTCGGCTGGATAGGGAGGCCTTGAGCTCTGACTGGGTCGGAAGTCATCGTCCTCGGGATAAGGCAGAGGGGCAGCCGAGCTCGAGGCTCCCGGTGGGAGGGGAAACGTCGGCTGCTTTGACGATGCTGGAGCTGGATAGTTGAAAGGACTGGAAGTCGAAGAGGGAGGAGGGCTTTGCGGCTTGAAGATTCTCAAAGGCTCCACGGTCGGGCTATCGCCACCTTCCGAGGGTTTGCTGAGGAACATCTCCTCGTCGGGGCGACCATGGCGACGGTCCATGGTGACTCGTCAGCGAGCTGCCTTGTGGGACAGCTAGCTAGCAAAGCCAAGGGACAAGCAGTTCGACCAACACGAGGGTGAAACGCGCACTGCAAGGTCCCAGGCAAGACTAAGCACGATCTGGACCTGGAGATGCCTGCTTGCTGGGCCCCCCAAAAAGTGTAAGAAGCTCGGCCGCGAAGCTGTGGTTGGTGGTGGAGGGTGGCCGCTGTGATCGAGGCCTGGTGGGGTAGGTAGAACTGTCGTTTCAAGGTCTTTGGAGGAACGGGCAGCGAGATGTTGCCCGTTGTACTCAGTGAAGCACCTCACCAATCAGGCTGACGTGTAGGACCCCCAAGAAGCAGGATCACAAGCTTTGACTTGCAAGAGGAGAAAAAGATGACAGGAAGAGGTGGACAAGTTGGCGCAAGCGGCAAGAGGAAAAAGGGGAGTTGCGGTCCTGAGGAGCTCGTGAGGGGCCCCGTCGGACAGCTCTTGGGCTAGTGGGAGGAACGATGCGATGCGCCCAGCGCGCGCGCGGGCAGTTGGACCAGGCTCACAGCACGATGCGACCACCAGGGGTCTCTCTCTGTTCCCCTCCTCCCCCACCTCGTTGGCGGGCGTTGCCATCCCATCGCGCTCGACCTGAGCTCCAAGGGTGTCGGGCAGTCCAGTCTGGCCTGTGAGCGATGCGGGCGAGGAGCTGGAGGGCCGGCCAGCCCCGCTACAGCTTGGCGGCGGGTGCTGATTGGCAACTAGCGCCGGCGGCTACAGAAATGGAGCCCCACGGGTGCCCTCCTGCAAGCGCCCAATGCAAGACCACAACCTCGCCATGGCTCTTGTTCACATGAGATACCACTCTGGCCACCACCGGGGCGCAACACCGGTAGGCAAGACTGTGACCCTCTCGTAAGAAACTGGCTTCTTTCCCCATGTCTGCCGAAGTACCGATGCCATCTGGCCTTTGGCCCATACATAGTGCACTTTGGCTTGGACTGGGCAGTTGCTTGTCGGTTTCAGCTGGAAACTGTTCCGGCTTGCGGTTTACAAGCAATAGGCCCCTCAACTATTACCAGACTCGCTCACCACGTACGCTTGCTTGGGCCCAAGCAAGTCCTCCTCACGCAACGAGACACTTCAGCCTTAGACTTCACTTGCTTGGTGCTGACAAGGTTCAGGGTCGGCACCTGTTGCAGAGCGGATACTGCCGAGCCCTACAAGCGCCTGCCCAACTCGAGCTAGAAATCACTGATGCAGCCAATCACGGCCTGCGGCGCGACTGGGCCTTTTTTGTTTGTCTCCAGCGCGGCGCTAGGTTTCATCCTGTCTGTGCAATTGTTCTCGCACCAGCAGCACCAGCAAAGGTGACCGGCCAAAAGGCTTGATACGGGCTCAGCCAATATTTGCGTCCCTTTCTCGCATCCCGAGAATGGCACGGGATTTTTCTTTTTCGCGTGGAATCTTCTAGCTCGCAATTGCAGCCACAGGTGACACTTGGAGGTTCCAATCGTCTAGTTCAAGTTGACCTGTAAGAGGGCCTCTCCAGAAATATTGGTGCCTAAACTCAGGACTGTAGCAAAGTCGCCGCCGCCAACGCCAGTGACGCCCACACCAGCACCCAGGCCGCGCAGTCCCATACTGAAATGAGCTTACGCAAGTCTTTGTCGCCTTTGTTATTCTCCCCCACTGAGTCATGACACTGGAACAAAAGCCGGGCCCGGGCCAGGGAAGGGAATTCGAGGCTGTCCATCTGTGGGAGGACAAGGTGGATGGATCATTGCGTGATCCCATGACCGCATCTGACTTATTTCCTCCTTGATCCTCGTATCGCAGTGATTCTGAGGGACAGTGCCATGTAGTTGCCGTGGGGATCAATCCCACCCCGATCTGAAACTGGTGATTGGGAGAAGAGAGGCCGTAAATAATCTATTAGTACGTCGCGTCCTTCCAGACGACCTTGAGTGTTTTGCGTCCTCGTCGGACCTCCGTACCGAACGTACTTGCTGTTCTAATGTGACCAAAGGGGCCGCGCGGCAGAACCGACGTCGGCGCGATCCCCGGTCCAGGCAAGGCATATTCCGCAAATGGCACAGCATCGCATGATAGTCAAAAACCATCGCCCAAGGAAATCATTTTCTCCCACTCTCGATGCAGACGAGCAGTCATGCTGAGCCTGGCACGATTGAGAGACACACCACCACGACGCGGGGAAGCGAACCACTCATCTCTCAGGTTACGGTTGTCAGAAGCTAAACAGCTAGCTCGATCCTGCACCACACCTAAGATAGCGCATTGCGTATACCACATCCTGCTTTTTATCTCGGTGCCTGGCAGGGCGTCGCCACCTTTCGTGGGTGCGCACTCTGGGGGATGCACATCATTGCGCGGCTCGACTGGCTGCCTATCTCTTGTGACACATGGTGATGGCGTATGCCTTCTTACTAGCCTAATGTAGCCCCAGTATTGAATTGAAGATATAAAGCATCAGCTCTGTTCTGTAGTAGTGCTCGTAACTCCTTTAGTTAACCATCGCATCATCTACAACATGGCCAACTCGAACTCCAACCACAATAACAATCAGGAGCCCTTTTGGGCTTTTGTCAATTCCTTCAACCCGGATCATCCCAACGGAGCTGGCGCGGGTGTTGACCATGCCGGAGCCGGATATGGCCCTGGCTTCCCCTGGGCGGCTGCCGCGGACGGCAACGCTGCCTTCGGCACGCCTTGGGGAGCTCATGCCGGATGGGGTCCTTGGGGTCCCGCGTTCGGAGGCGGCCACCCCTGGGGTCGTGGAGGCGGTAGTCGGCATGCGCATCGTCACCATCACCACCACAGCAGCGGTCCCGGTCACGAATCATCCGCTGATGAGGAACCAAATGACCACTTTGAAGGAGAGAAGTCCCCAGACACAATGAGGGATGCGCCCGAAGGGGATGGCACCCACGAAACCGTCCTCCCTCCTCACCCTCCTCCTCCACCGTTTCCTGTAGGACCTCACCCACCACCTCCGCCTCCTCCGCCTCATGCGCGTCACCCACCACACCCTGGACACCCGCCTGGTCCGGGCTTCGGTCATCGAGGCCGTGGTCGAGGCCGTGGCTGTACGTGGGCACCTGGAGGACGTGGACATGGCCGGGGTGGACACCGTGGACGTCACGAGAGTTCGCCGCCGCCTGAGTACAGCGGACCCTTCGACTTGCGTCCCCTGATGCATGCCTTCAACCGCCATCCGATTGCCGACACCATACGCGAGTATTTTGCCCAGGCAAATGCTCGGGCGACTGCAGGCCAGACGAATGCAGACGGCGAAAGCTTTGTTCCCCCCGTTGACACCTTTAGCACCGACAACGCATATGTCCTCCATGTGGCGCTGCCAGGATGTTCCAAGGAGGACGTTGGTGTCCACTGGGATGCCGACAAGGGTAGCGTCAATGTCGCTGGTGTCGTATACCGCCCCGGTGACGAGACTTTTGTCCAGGGCCTTGTCACTGGCGAGCGCCGAATTGGCATGTTTGAACGTACCATCAGCCTGCCACCAGCTGGTGCGAGCGAGAAGGAGGAAATCGACGGCTTCAACATCAGTGCCAGAATGGAGAATGGACTGTTGATCGTCACCGTTCCCAAAGTCGAAAAGGAGTGGACCGAGATTCGAAAGGTGGATATTGATTGACGACCATTGGTGGACTTGACTCTTTCGAAATTTTGACTTTTGCCAGCCGGAATTGATGGTTTCGCTTAGGCTTTGTTTTCCCTCGCTTGACAGTCTGCTTTATACAAACGCCATAGGAGAAAAATTAAACGAAAAAAAAAAAAACCGTAAATGTAAACATCAATCGAGGTATTCGAATGGGTGCTGTAGACCACCGGGCTTTGCCAGATCATTACCGAAGGTTCCTTTTCACCAAGTGTGATGTCCAACATGCGTATGAATTGCAAGCCTGTGCGGGAGCGGTGTGGAATCATTTCGAGGCTTCCTGGCTGGCGGCTAGCACGTCTTCATCGAGGTTCTCCATGACCTCGAGCACGAGGCTGAGGCTCTCCATGAACGAATTGACGGCGACACGAAGCATCCGATTCGTGGTAGCTCTGTAATCGGTTCGCAGTATACTGCCCTCGGGGAGCGTTTGTCCGTCTTCGGTGATGTCGAGTGTCTTTGCGATCGAGAAGGAGCGGTGGACAAGCGGCGAGAGCTCCTTGTCGACTTGCAGAGCCTTGAGCGCAATGGAAGCCAGGCGCGGGGTGGGGAACGGGGAATCAATGACGCTGGACATGGTTTGTTAGACACGTGGACCATTGTGTCGGGAAGATGAGACTCACATTCGACAGGGGTATCGCTCATCGAGGGACGACGCCATCGTGTCTTGGGCTGTGTCGTGGCGTGGTGTGGGAAAAAGCTGTTTGTAGTGGGGTAGTCGAGATGCCGCGCTCAGGAATGTGGTATGCTTCTGATTTTCACAGACGTTGCCAGGAGCTTGTTTCTAGAGGGGCACGGGGGCTGTAGTGTGTAGCTGTGGCTGTGCTCCAAGAGGCTCCGTGTGCAACGGCGGCGGCGCGAGTCTCAGCCTAGCGACTGACAGGCGGCATAGTGGCCGATGCGGGACGGGACTGGCATTTGGATGACCCCGTCGGCCGTTTCAGCCCCAAGCAGAGGGGACCGGGGCGGTTGCTACTGGCAACCTACAGCACCTTCCAAGGTTGTGGTGGCGAGCAGCAGCGGGTCGAGCCGCCCCAAGCCCGGGCCAGCTGCCGCCAGATCGGGCACGGCAACAAAACAAAGACCCCCTGTCGGTCAAAACAGTAGCCTCCAGGCCGGGCCAGCAACAACAACAGCCGCTTCGCATACTCCTTACTACAAGAGCATCTCGACCTGCGTCACCTCCGCACTTTCCCTTCTCCCTTCTGCCAGTCACTTCCTTCCGCCTCCGCCTGCATCCGCCCCCTTGCCCAGCACTTGCGTTCAGCGACATCCTCTGCTCATGATCCTTCCTGCCGTGGCCGCCTGACAACCCGACGCCCGCCTCTTCGCCGACCCGACGCACCGCTGCGCACCCCGACCTCCTTCTCCCTGATTCAAGATCGCAGCAGTGGTCGCGTGACCTCAGATTGCCCGTCATGCCTTCCTCGCGCAGCTCTAGCACGGGGCAGGTCATTGAGTATCTCCCAGGTATGTCGATGCGCTTCACTATGCCTCCGTCCGGCCACGAAACCTCCGCTGCGCCCAGCTTGACACCGGCACCGTCATGTATTCTTTTCTCCAGACGTCCAAGAAGCGCATCACTGGTGGCTGGGGGTTCAATGCTTCCGATGGCGGCTGGGATGGCATCTCGAATATTACACCGCCTCCATTCATGTGGACAACAACACCAACGACATTGCTGACATTCTTGCCAGACCGCCTCTATCTGGCCTCATACATTACACCTCCCACAGCCGACACGGTGTTCCCCTACCCCGAGCCATCTCTCCGTGGATCACCGTCCAAGCGCTCCCAGCGCGCGGTAGACCCGGCCGCTCAGTCGAAAACCAGCAGACAAGCTCCGTGCTACTTCACCGTCGACGACACGCTTCTGTACAATGCGTTTCACCACGACTTTGGCCCGCTGCACATCGGTCACCTGTACCGCTTCGCCCTACAGTTCCATGATCTGCTTGGTGCCAAGGAGAACCAGAATCGCCCAATTGTCTTCTGGAGCCGGCCAGACGCGCGGAGTGAGTCTTTGAAAACAGGGTGTGCATGCCGTGTTCAAAGTTTGCTGACCTTGAGATAACAGGTCGCGCAAATGCCTCTTGCTTGTTGGCATGCTACATGGTTCTGATCCAGTCGTGGCCGCCTCATCTCGCCCTCGCGCCGATCGCGCAGATCGATCCCCCGTTGATGCCTTTCCGCGATGCTGGCTACAGCCAGGCAGATTACGGCTTGACCGTGCAGGATGTCGTCTACGGTGTCTGGAAGGCCAAGGAGGAAGGCTGCTGCGTTTTGGACAACTTTGACCTCGACGAGTACGAGAGATTTGAGCGTGTGGAGCACGGAGATTTCAACTGGATCACACCTCATTTCCTGGCTTTTGCCTCACCTCAGCAGACGCCGGTCGCCCGTGTTTCTGAATCCTCCGAGGCGTTTGAGAGACTTCCCAAGACCATTGGCGCTGTGAACGCGGATCCCATGCTTCCCCAACCATTCAAGAACGTGCTCAAGCACTTTGTCGAGCGCAACATTGGGCTGGTGGTTCGGTTGAACTCTCCATTGTATTCCCCCTCGTACTTTGAAGCTCTGGGCATTCAGCATCTCGACATGATTTTCGAGGACGGCACCTGTCCTCCTCTGAGCACCGTTCGGAAATTCATCACGCTGGCTCACGAGACTATCACAGTGAAGAAGAAGGGGATCGCAGTTCATTGCAAGGCTGGCTTGGGCCGTACTGGCTGCCTCATTGGCGCCTACCTCATATACCGACACGGCTTTACAGCCAACGAAATCATCTCGTTCATGCGCTTCATGCGACCAGGCATGGTCGTTGGCCCCCAGCAACACTGGCTTCACATCAATCAGGGCACTTTCCGCCAGTGGTGGATCGAGGAGCGGCTGGAAAGGAAGCTGAGGAAGGAGTTTGCCTCGAACCCGGCTCCCAGCACTCCGATTCGGGCAATGCAGAAGGCGTCGCTGGGCAGAAATGCTCAGAACTCGACCCCGCCTAACAGAAGCCCCTCGAATCGGACACCACTCAGCGAGATGGACTCCGAGCGTCGCAACGCGGGAGTTCAAGAGGACTTCCTTCCTGCTCCTACGCCAGGACAGCCGAGAAAGACCAGCCGGGTCGACCGGCACCACCCGTATCAGCGCAGCACCATCCAGACCACGCTTGAGGAGGAGGTTTACGAGCAAGAGACCGAGATCATCTCGATCCACCGCGAGTCAGACAGCAACGGTTCTGATGAGGAAGCACATATCCGCATGCGCTCTCGTCAACGGGCGTCTCAGTCTCCCGCTCGCAGCGAGAAGAGCCGGTCGATCAGCCACACCACGACAACAGTCTATCAAATTATCGACAACGATGCGTCCAACGATGCCGAGAACATTGGCAGTGGCCGACCCAAGAGCATCCCCGATCATGTCGGCAGCTCTCCGGTGCGCTCTGCTAGCGCCTCTGGCGTTCTGACAAAGGTTCGTGGCAGCAAGCGCTCCACCGAGTCGAGCCGCACCAAGGAGTCCTCCGGCGTTCGCAAGACAAGTGGACGGGTTGGCAGTGTGAGCGCCAATCCCAGCGCCGCGTCGACCGTGCGCAAGGTGTCGGCTATGTAGGGATGAAGATCCTTCGGCGGTCGCGCCTGCCGGGGTGGGAGAATTCGCTTCTTTTGCTGCGTTTTCTTGCATATCATTTTACTTTGATAATCTTACGGGCACCCACCACCACTTGACGATGACGATATTCACGACTCACACCCTCTCTGCATGCACAGGCGTTCTTGGGGTCTCTGCCGAGCGGACTTCCGTGGCGAAGTCATCCTTGATGCGGATTTTTGGGGCAAAAGGGGTGTTTTTGGCGTTTTGGAGTGTGTTTCTGCTTGCATGGCTTCACGAAATCTTGTACTGGTTATGCTTTTTGGCTTCTCCATGGCACTGTATTGTATTTGTCCAGTTTTAAGTCCACCAATCCGACCTACCCAATGGTTAGTCATTCATGAAGGGCTTGAAAGACCGCATCCAGGGTGAAGCAGTGACAATCAAAGGTCGACATCTCGTGCTCCCTGTGTGCTGCATGGCCGTATGTATCGGATGACGTCTGTGTCATGTTCAGATCCGACTTTGCACATGCTACTTTGCGTACTGCAGAATGATCGATCCCAAATTTTTGGTTTCAAACGGTTTCATTCTAAACGAAGTTGTCGATAATATCAAAAACCCCAATCACCAACTCTCAAATTCAGCCAAGGATGGGTTGACACAATCCCACACGAAAGGCCTGGGTTTTCCAGATTAACCCCCTCGGACAGTGCGGTTCTGCCTCGACTGTAAAGTTCTCTCGCATTCACCACGCAGAGACGGGCTGTGACGCCCGCGCCGCGTTGTCTCTTTCAGCGCTACCAGATAAAACAAGTCATCCCAGGCAGATGCGCTTGTTCGGCGGTGTAGGTCGCATACCTTGGGGGCTGGTTGTTTCGGGCCTGCTCTTGTGTGTGGCTTTGTGGTTTCACTCCGCTTTTTCTCTGCTTTGTTTTGTTTTGTTTTCTTGTCCAGTTCGTGGCGTGGCATGCCTTTCTTTAAATTTTATTTGACTCGGATCTTTCCCTTCTCATATAATAACAAAGTCCACTTTTTGTATGGTTTGCGGAACTGCTTCGCCTTGTGGTTTCCCGTGCCGATTGAACGGGACAGAGTGCTTGGTCTCATGCCAGACTCACTCTCTCTCGCCGGCGGGACAGAAACAGAACCCGAGACAGGTTGCTAGTTTGTAATGGGCTGTGTGAGCGGGTTTGGCTTCACGCCAGCCTAGACATGCCTGTCTGTCTGGCATAATGCTTTGTCCGTTTGAGAAGTGAGAGTTCGAGAACCAAGATAACCAGAAGAAACCAACAACTGGGCGAGCTCAAGGGGCATTAAATCATTCGATCTTTCTCCCAATTATCAAATGGATATAGTGTATTGAGAGACGGAGTGCACATCTCAAGGAAAACAAGAAGATGACATACTCTGCGAGGAAGGGCCACGCGGCACACCAGTCATAATGTTGATTGTGAGGGTTTCTTCATGATCGTAGACACTCATCCAAAGTCTACTTGATCTGCTATTTCAAGACCACTCAACCGTAACCTGATCACTTCCGGTCATGATATATACCGCTTTCTATACTTTACTCGACCACAGCCTTCACAGCCCAGCTAGGACGAAGTCGACGATGGAACTGTGCTTTCATCCGTACCATTATCCTTGCCTTCGTCCTTGCCCTTCTCCTCAGCTGGCGCCTTCAGCGTCCTGTCTGCGCCATGGTCCTGCTGGTCCTTGCCTTTGCCTCCATCCCCAGTCTCGCGCTTGCCATTGTTGTCGTTGTCGTTGTCGTCCTCCTCGAGAAGCTCTGGGGGCAAGTTGCCACCAAACGAGGCGAGCAGGGCATCGAGCTTGCTCTCTAGGCTCGACAGGTTGGCCTCGAGGGCTGCGGCGTGTTGTTCACCCCTGTGGTTTCACAGTCACGTGTAAGTGTTTGTGTGTTGAAATGGACATGGGGCGAGCGACCAAAGCGAAACAATCACTCAGTTGTGCTGTCAAGGACGCCATGACTGGCATGGGCCATGGGGTGTATCCGTGGCATGACAGCCAGCATCAGAGTGGCGGGCGGACAGAGTGTGAATCACATCATGCGCATCAATAAGCAGTTGGAATCTCGGCTTGATAGAACACTCCTTGTGTGCGTTGCCGTCCACAAGAAGAGCACGCCCACTCGGCTGATTCGAGACAATGGAGGACCAGACCAGGCCATTTTGAGCAGAAAGTTGGCATCCACAGCTGTAGGGGCAGAGTGGGAGAAACCATTGGCACGACAGCACGACTTCGGACACCGTTCGTGCGAATGGGGAGCGGTCCGCAGCTGCAGAGCGTTGCGCGAAACAGTGTCTGCCTCGTTCGCCAATGCCGCTTCTGGCTAAGGGTGGAAAAGGACGGGGGATCTAGGTCTGCTGGGATGTGTCGGGGGTACATTTCTTGATTAGAAGCACAGGTGTGTCACAAGACAGACGACCGGATCAGACTTATGCCCGACGCCTGGCATAGAGTGGTGGCTTGAGTCAGGAGCTTGGCGGGCACGAATGAACGTGTGTCCTCTGACCTGCAAGCAGCGTCCCGTGGGGGAAAGTGAGTGGTGACATCTGGGCAGTGCTCCACCACAGCTGGACCAGGCAGTTCGGATTGTGAGGCTACCGAAGATTGCCCAAGACGTCGGTGAGGAGCGGGCCGATGGCACTGTGCTGGTGTTCAGCGTGCCGGTGATATGGTGACCTGTGAGAAGGACGGCTTGTCCCGTGGGCAGGCGCCCGAGGCTTGGGGAGGGGGCATGGGAAAGAGGATGAGCGACGGGAGACATGATGGCGTTTGGCCACGATCGAGACATGGGAAATGCGGAAGAATGCGGTGCTGGGTCCGACAATGCGCAGTCCCCTGCCAGGCGACCAGCGCGGCGGGAGGAGAAGGGAAAGGGGGTCCCGGAGGACGGGAAGGGTCTGGATCGTCAGGGTCCAGTGCCCACCGTGCGCTGTCTTGCACATGCAGCTGGCGAACCAGCGACCCTCGTTTCCCCTGGCGAATGTCGAGGGCATGCGCCCGGGACCCCGGAAACAGCAATTGCACTGTCGAGACGGGCACAGTGCCGTACCAGTGGCAAACCACTCGGGAGGGATGGGGGGAGAAGACACTGGGGTTTCTGGCCACGGGATGCGAAAGGCAGAATGGCGAATGCGAGGCGAGGATGGGACTTTGCAAAGGGCCGTGGCCAGGCGCAACAGCCGCTGCAATGCACAACCTCGGGTGGCACGACGTCCGCACGTACCTGGCGAGATCCTGGAAGGCCTAGACTCTCCGTGTCAGCCCAGTGCCAATGCCGGTGTCAGTGCGTGGCGTCTGGGGAGGGGGAAAGGGATATGTCAAGTTTGTTTCCGGCCCATTAGAGCAGCCTGCCGGTCTGGTCTGGGTACGGCCCGGTCTCGACTCTGCCACTGGCTCTCTTCAATTAGAGAGAGAGAGAGGGGTTGGCTCACCTTTGCCAGCTCGGCCTGGGCAGACTGCGCGGTGGTGGTCGTTGTCGTGTCGCGGCTGCTGCCATCCGCAGGGACCGAGCCCCCCGCGCGCTGTGATGGGGCCATTGTGGGCAGACGTGCTCTATTGTGCCGGCCGGGGCGAGGGTTGCGAGACAAAGGAGTCAATGATGGCAATTGAAGGCAAGAGGTTCTGGTGCTTGTCTGCCGGCGGTCAGACCCTTGGGGGGGGGGCGCTGGGTGCAGGTCACAGCGAGGAGGTTGCGTGTCCAGTCAGGCTCTCGTCGCAGAAACCTTGGACCAGGCCACGGCGGTTAAAAAAATGCCATGTCTGGCCAGGGCCCCCACACTTGCCATGGAAGGGCAATCTGGCTCTACACCAGGCATCTGCCTCACCCCATCGCTTTCTGCGCGCGGCATCGACATTCCCATCAGCAGCCAACCATCAAAGCTTACACATTCAGGCCACTCGTCGGCATCTTCCGTCGACAGCCCTGGAGGGCGAGGCGACCCCGACACGACAGGGTACCAAAGGGGGGTAGGGTCCCATGCGCAGCGTATGTATTGGCAAACCGCCATCACGCCTCCATGTGACTGCCCGCCCGCATCGCGCTCTCTTCCAACGAACGCTTCCGACCTAATTATTGCAATCACTGGCTCGCAACCCGCAGACGCCTGCCCTGCCGGCAGCACCAATATCTTATTGCTCCTCGATCGATTCTCCGAGACCCGCGTTCACAAGCACTTGGCACCTCTACGGAACTACTGTGCCCCAAAAGTCCGCGCTTGTTGTGTCTCAGTCCTGGTGGAACCCCATCGCCGCGTGGCGGGTGGTCCGACCTTGGGGCAGCCGAGATTGTCCATGACATAATAGCATGGCGGTAGACTCGCATTCTGGAGACCTGCAAACACAGAACTAGATGAGCCCACGGCGTGTGCGGCGGCCGTGTGGCGGATGCCATTGGAATCGTGATCCAAGGCGGATACCCAGCCGACTGACGCCTGCCATTCCGGATCTCGAGTCGTCCTTTTCAGGGGCTCGTTGTGCATGTCTGCCACGGATTTCACGCATAGCTGGTCGGCGTTCACGTTTCGTGGAGCTTCTTGCCCGCCGTGCTTCGTCCCGGGAGTGGCCTGCACATATCTTTCTGGACCTGGCGTCGCCCCGTCTACATGCCTGGCATCGAAGCAGTGCCAGGGGCATCATTGCGACTCTCAATGACAAGCCATCGCGATAGCAGCAGCACCACCATCATCATCGAATCTGTGTCAGGTGGTCCGGGAAGTAGGCGATACCAAAGCTTATCGTGTTCAGATGGGGGGTGAGGCTCGCTCGTCGCGGTTCCATGGCCTCCCAGACCGTGGCCAGTTGTCGACAGTTGCGTTCTGCAACCTTTGGCATCTAGACACCATGTTGGCCGAGCCCATAGTCTGCTGTTCTCTCCCTGCTGATACCTTCCTGGAACGTGCTCCAGTGCGTCGAACGTACCAGGATGGTCAAATTTGGGTGACTAGGATGGGGGATGGACGAGGCATGCGAGTGCCTAGCGTCGGGATATGCTCCGTTAGCTTGTTAGGGGCCAACATAGAGTCTGGAGCACCTGCATCCACGCATGCAGTCCATTTCAGTCAGTCCACAGATGATGGTTGTGAGCAGGGAGTCCGTCGCCTGGGATCGAGCTAAGCAAGCACCACCACCCATGCCCTGGCCGCTCTCGGAAACCGTCTCGCAAGCAGCCGATGCGGATCAAGAGAGCAGAGCCGACCTGGTCCCTGCCAGCAGCATGGGGAAGTGTACATGGCGTGCGTCGTGGGTTGCACAGATCGGTGATTGTGTTCTTGGATGCGGCACAGAGAACAACAACATGCCACTTGCACGCTTGTGCATGCAGCCGGAGACGCGCCCTCATTCGTCACCGCAGATCCGCATCGAGATGGCCGCCCACGCATCCCAGCCCTTGCTCATGCACAACTCGGGTTCTGCCTGCCAATATCGTCATATGCGATGTTGGCTGGCCTGTGCTTCGTGTGGCTCATCGGAACCATTACCGGTGCACATGGCTGCAGGCTCCACCAGGTCCACCCTTGCTTGTGTGCTGTGCAACCTCGAACGTCAAGACAACCTTGATACCTGGAACCACCAGACGCTCATGTCCGACCTGGCTGATTGCGATAGCCAGTGCCGCACACACTGGGGACGTATCCGACCAGCAAAAGGTGCGCGCAAACAGGAAATAGGCGCGTCTCCAGCTGCCGACCCGTGACGCTTGCGACTGTCCCGGTCCGGCTCACAACGGAGCCGACTCCACAAGCCATATTGGCAGAGCGCGCCCTAGTGCAACGGGAATGACGCAGTGTAGTGTGGGAGCCCTGGAGCTGACATATGCCGCCTGCTGCAAGTTCCTCCCTCACCTGCAGTGGCAGCGCCAAATTGAAGAGGACGCCGGTTCAGACACCAGCAACCTTGACGGGACAATAAAAACAGAAAGCTTCCCCCACCGAAAGCATCCCCCCCGGCCTCAGAGCCGGACATGCGGTCGCACACTCAGCCCTGCTCGCAATTGGCTAGCCGCCGTCTCTGCGCGGCTTCCTCGACCGATCCCCCACGCTTTTCTCGATGGCGACACTGCGCTGCCTGTGCCTGGCGACGACATACTTGAGGTAGCGCTCACCCACCCTGAGGTCATTGCTCTCCACCTTCAGTTCGATGTATCGACGTTGTGCAGCACCGCCTCTCTTTCCCCTTTCTGGACTCTGGCATTCCGCCTTCCCTGTCTTGCCGAGACCGTGGCCTTGTCATCAATCATCCTGCTAGCACACTGGCCTGTCTAGAGTTGTCCGTCACTCTCATTGCCCAGACAAGGGATGAACACGACAACAAACCTCGATTTTGTGGCAGCAATTCGACCGTGATCAGCTCGGCAAGCTCGAGCAATTGAACCATGGGTTGCGCACCAGCCACGTTGAAGTTTGGGAGATCTGGCGACAAAGGTCAATGAGTGACGGCCCGAACGGCCCCATGTCGATCAGATTACTCTTTCCAGATCACGGAACGCTCAAGCGCAATGTGCCTCGACTGCCGAGGATCAGGCCTTGCCTCTACATGGTCCCCATGCTTGGCTGCTCAACGATCATCGATCCGTCCGAAGGTGCCATAGTGCCATATGATGACTTGTAGGTAGTGTTCGAGAAGATAATCTGTGGCGGGTTGTGGGATCCAAGCACCATGCGGCAGGGACAAGGGCTAGCCTAGGCTGGTATCTTGCTCCATTCGCTGTAGCTCTCGGTCGGACTGTAGCTCGTTCCTATTTGTCGATCTCGATCCTCGAGACAAGCATCAGATGTGCTGTAGGCCGAGTTGTGTATCGGCTTGATGCATGTCGGGCGTCCCTTGGTCGCTTTGCTCTAGTCTGGTCGCCTGCCAACTAGAATCCTGCCAGCTTGTGAACTACCTGTCGGCATATCTGGGCGAGACTGCCTGGGCATGGTCACTGTCGTTGACTATCCGATCAGATACTGTTTGTGTAGGAGGTCGCTTGAAAAAGAGGCGCCTAGACGCGCCTGTCTGTCTCTCGCAACTGTTGCACCGTGCTTGTCTGGGATTGCGCTTCACCTGACATGACATTACACCGCAGTGGCCATGATGTTTCCGCTGACGCACGAGCGGAGGCTCCTAAAGTCGTAGTCAATTCATCCCGGCAAGGTCAACTCCATGCTCCAAGCTGTGATCTCGGATCGACAGCGAGCCAGGTTTTGTCGTCCTCCGTTGAGCGAAAACAGTAGCTAAGCGCAATCATGTCGAGGCACCCGACTCACTCTTGCAACAGCAGCTTGGCCGCAGATCTGCATGGGCGATGTGCGTTTACCACAATGCGGCGGTTGCACCATGGGCTTCTTTGCCCTGAAGCCAAGAGTAGATCTCGTGGCGAGCCTGGCCGGATCGCACAAGCACACATGGTTAAGTGACACCCTGGATGGATGAGACCTTCCCAGCAAGCTGATGGGACGCAGACTGATCGGCGCTGTACCTCTTTTGCCTGGTGTTGTGAGGTGACATGGATAAGGATCGGCATAAGCGAAGTTGTGCCTGGCGAGGACGGCAGTCTTGGGATTCCATGCGGGCCTTTTCCTCCGTTCCCAGCACAAGCCACCGCTGTTGGCCTGGACGACCATGGGAGTTTGGCCCGCCCGAGGCCGAGGATGGATACGAAGATGGCAGACAGCCTTGTTGCGACGAGTGGAGGCTCTGACGACACTTAAAAGCATGGGCAATCCAAGGCTGTCCCACGGGTCAGACTTGGCTCCCTTCCATACCTGCCATTGCTGTAGCGGGTTTTGGGGCATGGCTGGGACAGGCCATGTAATTAACAGAGGTTGGAAGCATGCAACGCTGCCTCTAGCTCGCCGGCCAGGCCCCAGCTACTGCCCTCTGTCGTCAAGGTGCAGCTAGGAGTGGGGAGGCCTAATTGCCTGTGCTGAAGGTGGTGGGCAGGGCCATGTCGAGGTCTCACGCTGGAGCGCCAGGGCTGCGATGCTACCATAGTAGGTACCTGCTGCTGTAGGCCTGGCGGTTCCTGCCTGCCCGGCACAGCATCCAGCCAGCGAGGCGCCAGAGCCGTGTGGGTGGGCGAATGGGCGGCAGCCCAATGAGCGGGCGGCGGCGAGGTGTCCGGCCGATCCAGAGAACAGTGCTGGGACATCGAGATCTGACAAACGGCATGGGGATCGAGCTTTGCATCGCCGATACCAGCTGCCCGCCATGGCATACTCGATTTCCATCTCTTCGCCATGCACACTCCGATGATGTCCTTCCCGCTTTCTTGCATCCAGCGGCAGGCGGCGCTATCCTGCTTGCCTCTTAACATCCCATTCCGCTCCCTGCACATCCGCCCAAACAACATCCACATGTGCTCTGCCAGGCCCTCGTCCATCACCAACCTTCAACAACATCACTCACAACCACCACCACCACCACCATCACCACCCCTAAAACAAGAAGAGTAAAGGCACTTGCAACAACAGTCTCGAGCTACCAGAATACAGCAAAGTCGTCCATTCGCCCACGTTCGCTTCTATACGATCGGCAAGGCCTTGAGAGCTCTAGCACGCCAACAGCAGCAAGTTGCCATCAGCAAAATCGCCGTGTGGGCTTCCAGACTGCATCGAAGGCCCCATCAGCAGCAGGCAAGCCTACCTGCAGTGGCTGCCACCAGGACTGGTCGACACGAGTTTGAGACCAGAATTGGAGAGCCGACAAGCAACCAGGTGCTGTCTTGGTACGTTGGCCTGATTCGGTCACTGCACACTGCCTAGCTGCAACAAACCAACACTGTGCGCCTGTGCCAGGCGCCTCCCGACTTCTAGACCTCCGGACCCACCCGCCTGCCTCCCCTTCCCTTCGCACGGTGGACACGGCCTTCGACTCTGCTCCCGGTAAGCTACACCTCCCCACCTCCCACGGCCCACCCTCCGAATGCTCTCGCCTCTCTGCCCCCTTGTTCTCCAGCACACACGAGGCGTCAAGAGCCACCTGCACAACCCTCGCACAGCATCGCGCAGTGTCGACTGGTTATTAGACCGGTCCTGTGGTTCTTTGGCAGTGCTCGGCGCCCTCTAGCACGTTTAGGCTTTACTTGAGACGAGCCTATTTTCGTGTCCTCCAGCATCCGCCAGCGTCCTCGTCAAGCTGGTCGCGGCTGTTGCAGGTCCATCCATACCTTCATCCTGCTACCACCTCGGCACATCACTGGTGCTCCTTCACACTGCCACATTGGCTGATCCATATTCCCTCCTGGATACGCAGGTTGTACAGACATAAACTACAGTACTCCACGGCACTCGTCCCACTGACGTACCTACCGCAAAACCGCCGGTCGCAGCCGCTTCTTCAGCTGGTACAGACCAGCCCACACATCCTCAAGACTCGACTGTTTACCGCCGACACATCCTTCTGCAGCTGCTCCGCGCGTCGCATTCCAGCTGCGCTCTTACAAGTATCTTAATGCTTGCCCAATAACCCGAGATTCCTATTTCTGGCCGTGCCCATACTGTGCAATTCAGCCATATGACGTCCTCACTCGAACTCATCTTTGGAGAGTTGGGTCTGTCACAGTACCTTGATACTTTTGTCGACCAGGGCTTTGATACCTGGGAGACAATTCTGGACATTACCGAGTCGGACTTGTCAGTGCATTCGCAACGCGCCCACACTACAACAAGGTCTCATTGCTGATTACTCGACAGAGATGCTTTGGGTGTCAAACTTGGACATCGAAGAGTAAGCACTTGCCTACAACGGATCATGGCACGTCATTACGTCAGGCTGACCACGTCCAGAAACTTCAACGTCGCATCGCCAACTCGAGAGGACTTGGTGCGCAGGTGTCCCTTGTGTCTCCAGCCCGACAAAGTATCGAGGATGGCAGAGTCGACTCTGGTCGACCCGATGTAGTGCCCAAGAACGACGCACGCGACGGCTCATCTTCCACAAAAAGGAAATATCGAAGGCATCCCAAGGTATGATTGAGCATCTCCGAACCCCTTTGTCCAGCCACGTTGCTATCATGACTTCTTCCCTCGGCGTCGCCGAAATAAAACAACGCTCTCTCTGCTAACAATAGCATAGCCCGATGAAAATGCTCCCGAACGACCGCCCTCGGCATATGTTCTCTTTTCGAACAGTGAGTAGATCTTATTGTCAACCCTAGCGAATGGTCTAGCTAATACATGCACCCAGAAATGCGTGAGGACCTCAAGGGGCGGCAGCTAACATTCACGGAGATCGCCAAGCTCGTCGGTGAGAACTGGCAGAGTCTGACTCGCGCCGAGCGGGAACCCTACGAAACTCAAGCTCAGGAAGACAAGGAAAGATACAATCGGGAGCTTGCCGACTATAAGAAGACCGCGGACTACGAGAAGTATTGCGAATACTTGAACGATTTCCGCAAGCGACAAGCAATCCAGACACAAGGTTCGCTCACCCGTTGGACTACACGCTGTACTATCAATCGTGACTAATGGGCTCACAGAGAAAGATGCGGCCAAACGTCTCAAAGCGGAGAGCTCGGAGAGCAACCGTGCAAGCGCCACAAGCGGATCGATGGGCTCTGCGGAACATGGCAGTGGTTCTGAGAGCGCTCATGGGAGTGAACCGCCTCCCAGTCGCCAACAGAGATTTGGTTCGACAACCTCTGAATTCGTACCCAGCGCGAATGGCTTTGGCAAGATCAGTTATGCCGACGAGCCGATGACAACTGCGAGCCTGACATCCGATAATCTGGCCCGCAATCGTATGCGGGGGTTGTCCAGTCCAATATCTCATGAGCCCCTGCCACCTGCTGGTGGGAGGAATGGCTGGGCGAATGGACACCGCACGTCCATCGATGCCTCCAACACGAAACTACCATGGTTGCAGGGACACGATCATCGAATGACATATGCATCCACTGACGGCAAAACCTTGCCCAGTCTGTCTTCGACGCCTAACCACGGAAGCAGATCTTCCATGTCCTCAGGGTCTGCATCTGCATCTCGTCCGCCCTCGTTGAAGACCGAACCCTCATCCTCTGGAAGTATGTCATCGGTCTCCCACAGCCTCCCAAGAACGCCTAGCGACGCTTCGCTCCCGATCCATGCCTTACTCTCTTCCAAACCAGAGCCATCCTACTTGTCCCAACCAATTCCGCCGTTGCATCCTTCTCCACGGACTTCTTCGCTCGGCTTTCCCTCAGGTTCGCCTTGCGTTCCACCAGACGTTCCAATGCAAGGAGTACAGCCGACCTATACCAACGGTACGTGCTATACACCTTCAAGGGCGTTCTTTTCGGTTTCGTGTTTTTCCTTTTGCTAATCAATTTTGTAGGATGCCAAGTTTCGTCGTATCCCAAGATGCCTATCCAGATGGAGCCCATGGGGTTTCCCGGGCTCTCTTCCAGGTTGTCCGATGCAAAGCTACAAAATCAACGAGATGGCGGATTGGACGGCATCAGTGCGCTTTTGCGAGCTCGAGATATAGTCGATCGGCGACCGTCTTGATGACGAATGCTCAGATCAACGAACGAGACCCAATGCTCCCCAATGGCAACAGCTGCATAATTCTTCACAACACAAAATTTACCTGTGCTAAGGATTAGGGTGTTCACGCACCCGAAACCAAGCTCAGGACAAACCTCGCGGAGCTCTCAACATCTGGTCAACTGTTGGAGATACACCGCCTTATTCCGAGGATACCCTATTGTTTTATTACGACAGCGTACATGATTCATTGTTACATAAAACTTGAACTTGCATTGGAAACTGGAAGGTCTGAGAGGTCCTGCTTAAAAAGGTCGTTTGGCGTTCAAGGAGTTTTGCGCATGGCGTGTGGAATCACGGATCATATTTGGTTGTAACGAACATCTCATGTCATGACAAGTATATCCCCACGAGAGCGTCGGTACATAGTCACGAAAGATAAAACCCTGGCACGGCTACCAGGCATTGTAATCCACCCTTCTACCATATTTGAACCAGCCAAAACCAATGTAATGCGAGCATGAGCATAACGGGTCAATGTGTAACTTAGTGACACCCAGCATGCCATCATCGACTGTGCCCATCGCTAGGCCGCCATTCCTATGAAGACAAATTAGGTGACCAAAGCACTATTACTTGCCGCTTTGCAATTGAGAGCATGCCTATCCCGCAACACAATGTCACGAAGAATAGGAACAAGCCTTTCATTGCCCCTGTTGATCACGAAGTACACAGCGAGCAGATCACTACACGCGAACACCATGTGCAGACCACGAAGAATAATTTCTTTCGACCCGAGAATAGAATGAATTTGAACCAGGCCTCACACAGGGCTTATCCGTGTGAGCATTGTGCCATACTTCAGCACATGCAATGGAAAGGGGAAAAACACGACAACGCCCAGAAAACGACATGGTTAACACCGCCAGACAAAACACCATTCCCTGCTGAAGCACCGGTGTTCCATGTCCTTATGAAAAGCCCGCTTCAAGCAGTAACCGCAAGAGAAGAGTTCCTGTTGCGTCGGATATTGACCGGTCAAACTACCGGAATCTTCATTTCGTGGACGGCTCCGAGAGTGTCGACCGTGTCCGCTCAAACGGATCCCTACTGACGTCCGTGACGAGCGCAGGGCTGCTCAAGCCCATCATTGGCTCATTCGAGGTCATGGCCCTACCTTCAAGGCTGGGTCTGGGCCGAATCTTCTCATTTTGTGTGAGCTCCTTCTCCCTGTTCTTCTCGAGGAGGGCGCCACCAAGTGTGGCGCACTTGAGAATGGTCTGAATCAGATGGTTCTGTTGTAGTGGCTTGGACAAGTATTCATCCATCTGGGCTTGTATGCAACGCTCGCGATCGCCCATCATGGCATGAGCAGTCAGAGCAATGATGGGCGTCCTGTGGGTTCCCAAGCTGCGTTCGTACTCTCTGATCTTTCCAGTTGCCTCAAAACCTCCCTAAATTGTCTGTTAGAACATCAAAAGACACACAAGCTGTGACAGCAGGACAGATATCGGGAACTCACCATGATGGGCATCTGGACATCCATGAGGATGACATCAAACTTCTTCTTCTTGATAGCCTCGACAGCTTCAAGACCGTTGCCGACCACGGTCACGACGTGGTGGTACTTCTCAAGAATCTTCACAGCCAGCCTTTGGTTGACGCGGTTGTCCTCGGCAAGCAGGATATCGAATGACCTTGTATTGTCGGCCAGCGATGGCGTGGCGCGATTCTCGAGGGCAGGGACCATACCATTGGCCAAATCAATGAGCTGGCACGGCGTCGTCATGTACGAAGTGATGCCCAAGTCCAGACACGACTTCAAAGCAACGTGCACCGCAGGCGCCAAGAGCACGATTGGCAGATATTTGTAATCCTCAATCGCTCTCAGCTTGCGGGCCGTCTCAATTGACTCGACGATGATAACGTCGTAGGGAGGGTCGTTGGAACCAGTGTTGTTCGCCGAGCCCTCGCTATTGGCAACCACGGGCACAAGGTCGAGCTGCTTAAGCATGCTCACAATCTGGCTGCCGAATTGCGTCCGACCTTTATCGATGAAGAGTACTTGATGACCCTTGTAGGGCTTCAGCTGCTTGTCGATGTTCGACAACTCGCCTTCGGCCAGCTTCACCACACACGTGAAATAGAACGAACTGCCCTTGCCGAACTCGCTCTTAACCCAGACATCACCTCCCATCAAAGTGACCAGGCGTTTGGAAATCGACAGACCCAGACCGGTGCCACCAAATTTGCGTGTCATCGAGCCGTCGGCCTGCTGGAAGGTATCGAAAATGAGGTCAAGCTTGTCTTGTGGAATCCCGATACCCGTGTCCGAGACGGTGAACTCGATAGCATACTCTTGTGGATCTTTCGTGAGGGTATTCTGGGCTTTCTTGATAGTAAGGCTGACCTCTCCGTGCTCTGTGAACTTGATGGCGTTTCCGACTAGGTTGAGAATGATTTGCCTTAGGCGGAAAGAGTCTCCCACGACGTAGTCTGGCAGAGAACTGTCCACCTGGTATGTAAGATCCAAGAACTTTTCGTTTGCCTTGACGGCTAGGGTCTTCAAAGCATTGAAGACGGTGCCTCTGAGGGTGTAAGGTATTTCCTCTACAACCATGCGCCGAGCCTCAATCTTGGACAGATCCAAAATGTCGTCAATGATTGTGAGCAAGCTGTTGGCGAGGTTGTTGACAATGTTCAACATTTCTCTCTGGTACTGGGTAAGATCCGTATCAAGTGTGAGCTGTGTCATGCCGATGATGCCGTTCATTGGAGTTCGGATCTCGTGTGACATGTTGGCCAAGAATTCCGACTTGGTCTTGTTGGCCTGCTCGGCAGCCTCTCTGGCCTGAGTGTTTCTTTGAATACTATCCCGTAAGTTGTAGACCATTTGGTTGATTTTGCGTTTGAGTTCGTCCATCTCCCCGGACGCTTCCACGTCAACCAGCTTTGTGAAATTTCCATCGGTAGCAGCATTAGTGATGTCTCCGAAGGCCCTCACTTGTGTGGTCTAAAGTTGGTGTCAGTAATGTCATATACGCAGAGCGTTCGAGACGACTCCAGGCTGGATGCAACCTACCAAGTTCGTCGCCATGGTGTTCACGTCTGCAGTGATTTCCTTCCAGCGACCTTTCAGGCCGCCCACGTCAGCCTGGCCACCCATCTTGCCGTCGACTCCGACGTCCTTTGCGACGCGTTGGACTTCATTGCAGAAGACTGAAAGTCGGTCTACCATGTTGTTGATGGTCTCCTTGAGCACGAGTATTTCTCCTTTGGCCTGGACGTCGATTTTTTGGCTCATGTCGCCATCAGCAATGGCTTGAGTCACTGTTGAGATGCTTCGGACCTGAGACGTGAGGTTAAGCGCCATTGTGTTGACATTCTCGGTAAGGTCCTTCCATTTGCCCTCAACATCGTCGACTCTGGCCTGGCCGCCAAGTGTTCCGTCTGTGCCGACTTCTCTCGCGACTTTGCTGACCTCGAAGGCGAAAGTTCCCAGGCGGTCTACCATGGAGTTTATGGTGTTCTTGAGCTCCAAAATCTCACCCTTGGCGGGGACTCCAATCTTCTTGGTAAGATCTCCCCGTGCCACAGCGGTTGTGACCTTGGAAATCTCTCGCACCTGCGTTGTCAAGTTCATGGCCATGCCATTGACATTGTCGGTCAAGTCTCGCCAAGTGCCTTCCACGTCGTTGACAGTGGCCTGACCGCCGAGACGACCCTCGGTACCGACCTCGCGAGCAATCTTGCTGACTTCCCGCGCGAATTGCTGCAGCTGCTCCACCATGGAGTTGATGGTTGATTTGAGCTCAAAAATCTCGCCGCGGCACTCGGCACGAACTTTCTGGGTAAGGTCACCCTTGGCTACAGCGGTAGTGACCTTAGCAATATCCCTGACCTGTGTTGATAGGTTGTTGGCCATGGCATTGACATTGACTGTGAGCTCGTTCCACATGCCCTGTACCCCCATGACGTCGGCCTGGCCGCCAAGGATTCCTTCGGTTCCTACGTCACGAGCCACGCGAGTAACTTCGGATGCGAAAGTACGTAGTTGTTCCACCATGGTGTTGATGGTCTGCTGAAGCTGTAGAATCTCCCCCTTGGCAGGTCTTTCGATTTTCTTGGTCAAGTCGCCATGTGCGACGGCCGTGGTGACAGTTGCAATTTCTCGCACTAGAGCATGATTGTGAGCAGCACGTCTTTGTGACTGGAATTGGCCGCATCCCACTTACCCTGGTCAGTCAAATTTTGAGCCATCACGTTTACTGAACGAATCCAAGTTAGCAAACTACCACAAGAAATGGTAAACCAGAGATCCGTACCATTGTCTGTCAGTTCCTTCCATGTGCCATCAACACCTTCAATCATGGCTTGACCTCCAAGCATGCCATCTGTGCCGACCTCTCGGGCGACACGGGACACTTCGCTTGCGAAGACCTGGAGCTGGTCCATCATGGTGTTGATCGTGCGTTTGAATGTTGTGATTTCGGGGTCCATCTCGACTGTGTTCATGCGGACCTTTTTGCTCAGGTCACCTTTGGCAACGGCAGTCACAATCTCACCGATTTCACGGAGTGCTTTCTGGAAAGCCTCGTTGGCCTTCTGATGCTTCCATAGCTCGCGTTCCAGCGCGGCCACGCGCTCCTCCTCAAGGACACGCAGGGCCTTCTCCTGGAGTTGCTTCTGCTGTAGTAGCTGCTCGCTGACACTTGTGAGTTCTTGTCGTTGACTGTCCAGGACCTTGGACTGGTCATCAATGTGCTCGCGGAGGCCCTCGAGGGCCTCGTCGGTCAGGGGGAACCCCTTTGTGTTTCGCTCTTCGGTGGCGCCGTTGCGACCTGTGCCAGATTTGCTGCGATGAGTGGCTGGGTCTGTGAGAGTAGGGGAAGAGGACCCCTCACCAAAGAGGGAGTCGGCCGTTTCATTGGGAGTGGCAGGAAAGTTGGGCTGATTGGAGTTGCTGGCCTTTGCCTCAAGCTGCTGAATCCTGAGGACAAGGGCCGAGAGTTCACGCTCGAGGGCTTCCTTGGCAGGGCCATCTGACCCAGCAAGTCGGATCTGTGAGTTTGTGCCCAAGGGGACGGGTGAGGGGTCTTTGGGGGATACGGCCAGCGACTTGACGATGGCTGCAGCCGACGCCAGGGCCGATTCGTCGGCCATGACTCTCATTGCAGACGTAGCGGGGTGGGCAGGCTAGAGCTCGAAATGATTGCGGCAATATCGACGAGCTATTGTGCAAGTCTGGCGGCTGTTTGACCCTGTGGAGATGCAGCCGCGAAATGGCAAACTACGGGCAGGGGGGGGGCTAAGTTGAGTGACGGTGTGCCGCCGAGGCGACAGTGAGCTAAGAGGTACTAAGTCGTCTGGTAGTGAGGCATATCTAGCTGTGCAGAAGCAGTATTGCGATGCTACAGATGGGGCGTTGTTGCTGCTTGTTGCTTGCTGTTGTTGATGATGATGATGTTGCTGGAGAGGGACGGTGAGGCCGCGACGGAGCCTAGAGGTGCTGGGTGGCGTGGGCGGTCGCGGAAGATGGGAGGAGGCCAGGCGGGAAGCCGGCGACGACAAGGCGGCGGCCACGCAACAGGGCGACAAAAGGGCAAGGGAGCGGAAGGGTCGCACGAGGCACAAAGGCGGGAGTCCGAGTCGAGAGTGTGCGACGACGAGGACGAGGACAAAGGACGATGAGAGGCAGATGGCAGCTGCAGATACCTGGGGGAAGGAGGAGAGGAGTGGAAGCAACCAGCCGGGCCAGCAGTTGCGGATGCCAATTTGCAAATTGCAGAGTCGAGTCGAGCCCCAAACTAGACGGGTGCAGGCGGCGGCGGCGGCGGCGGCAGCGGAGAAGCAGCACTTGCCCAGCTGGAGCAAGAGGTCCTTTGACGGCGGGTGTGACTGGGGTGGCCCAGCGAGGACGGACGGGTGGGGGACGGCAAGCAGGCGAGGCAGGCAGGACAGGGCAGGGTAGGCCCGCACGGCACCCGTGAGCACGTTGCCTGGTTGGACTGGGCGCTAGCTGGCTGCTCGCCCCGTGGCTGGCAAGGGGGTGGTGTGGTGGTGGCACCGTCGTCGCTCAGGCTGTCTGTCGGGCTCCGGGCAGAGAGGGGGAGGGGGAGGCGTGCGTGCGTGCGTGCGTGCGTGCCCAGATGATGGGTGGAGACAAGACCCTGCGAGGCGGCTTCTCAAAGACCACCCGCTCCTCGAGCACGTATCGCGACGTGGCACACAAGCTCGTCAGTCCTCTCGTTCGTTCCCGTGTCCTCGACGGTATGGTGTGTGCGCCGTGGGTTACCTTGCAGCACCAGCACCAGCACCAGCACCAGCATCACCACCAGTGCCGCAGCCCGGCAGCCCGGCAGCCCACCCATCTCTTTGTCTTGGCCTCGCCTCTGCTCCTCACCTCCCCTTACGGTCTCTCTCGTTGGTCCATGCCACAGGCCGGCTGGCAGACAGAAAGCAGTCCTGTCCAGGCAGGCTCTGCTCTCTAGCAAATTGTCCCCCTCTGCTGGCTTCAGCGCAGCCAACTAACCCCACCACCCTTATTCCCCCCCTATCGGAGCCTGCGGCTGTCAGATGCAGGCCCATCAGGCTACGCTCCTTCTAAGGTAGTCTGTCTGCAAGGACCCTTTCTTGGTGCCGTTCCGCCACCTCTTCTGCGCTTCTTCGGCTCTCAGTGCAACAGCCTCCACAGCTCTCGGCCTGGACTGGTGATGGACGTGGTTTCTTCTCGTGTCCTCGAGTAGTCGCCGTTCCTTGACAAAATATGGCACTACGAGCTGAGCATCGCTAGTGAACACACAGAATAGCCAGCACTCTGCCAGTGCCCTTAGCGTGGCAGCAGGTCCAAGCTTTGCCTGGAGGCGCCACCCGTCATGCGTACGGTAGTCGTTGACAGCACAGTGTGTGCCATTGACAGCTCTCTCGCTTTTCAAGGCTCAGCCCTGCTCATTGCACCTTGATTCAATAGACTCCTCCTTGTGGGCAGACACTGGTACCGGGAGTGAACGTTCTGAGTATGAATGGCCATGTTGTAAAATGCCGCCCGCCTCAACCACGCGTGCCTCCACTGGTGCATGAAACCACTTTCGTAGGTCCTGTACGTCCGCCTCGCGTGAACTGTGCGAACATGCGGTCTGGTCCATCCCCTTGAGGAGACCCTAGCGGAGTCGAAGAAGACAGGGGGTGGCAACGCCTCGCAGAGTCTCGCATGCTTTGCCTGCGAGAGGCCGTCGCATCGTGGGCTGGCCCAATCCTCTGCTCGGGATCTAGGGAGGCGGGTTAACGTGCCAGGCTGGGGTCCCTAGTAGACGCAGACGAAGATCGTTGGCCAGCGCTCACAACTGAACTCAACTCCGATGGCTGCGCTATGATTGGATCAAGTATGGAATGGGCATCGTACAGGCCAACGATCGATGCACTAAACACTCTGAAGCTAGCATTCAACCTCCTGGGCAATGGTCACGGTCCGATTGCAGTATCGTTTTCATCCGCAAAACCGGGAACGTGGTAAGACTGAAAAAGAAAATTGAAAATAAGAAAAGAGCGAGCAAAAAGAAACTTTGTTATCTCGGAAAACTGTCGTCCTAAAAGGTCTGGTCGTGGCATCTACATCAGACAAAAGGCGCGGAAAGGCTTCGAAGCGCCAGCTCAGCGACAATCAGTGAAACAGTTATCATTGTGTGAGTGAGCTTAGAGACATGTCAATCGGCGCGTCTCGTCGGTTGCAATTGACCACGCTGAACCGTTGGACTGGTGGTCCAGTATGCCGGTCTTGCTGGAGGACTAGATACCTGGTGCCCGCAGCAAATGAATCTTCCTACTGCATGCAAGGCTCTGGTGGCTGCCCTCCTAGTGTGGGAATCATGTTTGTCTCAGGTGGTTGCGCGGAACAAGGCGTATATCTGTGGTTCTGCGATTCCGAGGTGGCAATATTTCGACACAATTCCCACAGGACGTGATCCAGCAGTGCCCACATTCAGGGCGTCTGTCTGGACATCAAAGGCCCTTGATTGGATCGGATGGCGCGCGACCCTGGCCCAGTACATCAAGTAGGTCGGTTGTGTCGCTTCAGCTTGAGAAAGTCGGGCGGACGAGGCCTGCTCAGTGACTTGCAGAGAACGACGCTGAATCAGACGTAGACGCTGCAATCACATGCTGGTGGTGGTGGTCGTCGTCGTGAAGCAACTTGAGACCAGGATGGCTGGACCGAAGCTTGGTGGTGTTCATTCCTGGCCCGTTTCATGTTTGCCGATCTCAGTCAGGCTCACAAGGGGGTTCGCTGGATCGGTTGTGTGTGGCGTGTATGCCTGCTAGACGGATGGCACGCCCGACAGGAAACAGAAGTGGGCTTTCTTTTCCGTCGGTCGTGCCTGAGGCAGCGAGGGACCGACGTGGTCGAGTGGTTTACGGGCTTGAGAAACCCTCGTCTTGTTCAGGCTAGCGCCCTTGCTGAAGCTGTTGAGGTTTCCCCACATGGGCTCCCGAAGCGTTCTAGGGAGTGTGCCCCTATGACGTCAGGTGTCTGGCACAAGCCGTAGCGTCGGGGTGCAGCACCTCAGCAGTGAGAGATACCTAGGTAGTGGCTCAAGGGTGGGCTTTAGTGAAGCGAGCGCAATGGCATGGCGGGTACCATAACTGATAAGCTGGAAAGAGAAAGAGCCAAGCTTGTGGTGGCGCTGCCTGGGCCGGGCAAGGAGGAGTATGGCACCATTGTATGGCTCGAGGGCTGGTCATTCGGTAGCAACGGTGTATTGCCAGGCCAGGCGTGGAACCGGTTGTATGAGGTGACCGTCGTGTTTGTCGTCAGCTCAGTCCCTCCTACCTGGCCTGCCCGTCGCATGTCGGCTTGTCCGAGTTTGTCGACGACGGTGTGCTCAAGTGGCTTTTCGATGCCGATCTGCAAGGCCGGGCTAGAGTGTGATCTGGAGACGGACAGGGCTCAAAGCCAGGGGCCGGGTGCAAGCAAGCCCAGCAGCAACCAATGGCAATGGTGGTCGCGACGATCCTTGAGCGATGGCTGTTTCGTCGAGGTGGGTAAGAAAGGAGAGGGATGCTCAAAGAGCATGTCAAGCAGGCGCGCCCCACCACACGAGAAAATTGAGGGTCCTGCCTGCATTTGTGCTGTTCAGGTCCCTGCCCCGCCATCCCATCTGATCTCTCGTCGACACACCCACCCAGCATCGCCAGTGGTCGGCCACGCGGTCCCCTTTTACGCATCAAGATAGCCATTCACACAACATCTAGCAGGCAACACCCTTGCTCTGCCCCGTATAGCGCTTTCGAGAGTTGAGGCCTTCCCTCGTGGCAACAACCAACCCGATGGGAAAACCTTGGCAAGGCTCTTCGGCCCCCGACGAGAACCTAGCACATAAGTGCCCACCTGCACCGTATCTCTCGACGGAGTACAGCCTGCGCAGTTGAGCTCTGCCCCTGAGTGCAGTTCCTATCTAGGTAGCACTCACTAAGCTGCCCGGGTCTCGGGACGGGCAAATGAACCTTCTTACCGACTTAGCACACATTCGAGATTGCTGCAACGAACCAAAGGGACTCCGCCACCTGCAAAGTTGCCAAGGGTCCATTCCTCCCCACACAACGTCCTCCGCGGATTGGACGCAAAGTTGCCGCTGCGCTTGGCGGCGCAGTGCAATCTAGTACCAATCGAGGCCATGATCCACGCTTCAGTGCAGATGACACGCCGCCCGCCTGACAGGCTAGGCCCACTCGGTCCATGGCCTGCAGTACTCCCGCCGTGGTACTGTAGATACGAGCCTTGCCTGCGTCTGCTCGGCAGCTGGTCTTATCCTCACGCCTTGCACAATCTGTGCCGCAAGCCATCTAACGGAATACCAAGCCCTTGTTACGCAGTATGCTTCCCCGATAGTGAGCTGCCACTGGCATCCGGCTTTGCCAAATCAGATTTACCCTGATCGGCACGAGACGGCTGCCTCCGGCAAGGAACATGACAGCTAGACCCTGCCAAGTCCCCACCGGCATGGGAACAGAGGGTAGCAATAAGGGAGAGGCGTCAGTGCTCGGGAGGCAACCGACCCACACGTGGCTTGCATAGCCGTTGACATGGGAGACGAACGGGGGGGGGGGGGGCGGGCAAGCGGACAAGTGAAGAAGGAGGAGGGGGAAGGGGCTTGCGAAAAATAGGGTTCAGGCCAGACGTCGGAGCCCATTCCGCGAGGGACAAGAAATGAGACGGAACAAAACGAAATGAGACGAAACAACAACAGTGGTCACATCTAGCACATGGGCATGAACACTAAGCACTTGCACCTGCACACTTGTGATAGCCCAGCCTCCCTGGCCGAGGTGAAGCTTTATGCAACTATGTCGATGAGGGACATGACAATGTCAACAGAAACAGCAAAGCACTCTTCTGCCTGAGAAGCCGTAGCTCCTCACGACACGATCAGATGATCCGAGAGGCATCATCTATGGAGCTTAAACAGACAAAAGTTGTAATATCAGTACCACTCTGCGTGGCACCAGATGTAATCTCAAAGTCAGTTGGGTATTGGAGCTGCTGGGGAGAGAGTCAAAGCAAGGCAAGAGAATATGTACGATGGAGTACCGGGGGAACTAAGACCACATGAGCACATGAGAAGAAAACAACGAGCTCCATCGCAAAGTCCAGGAAAACCACACCTCTTCCATAATCGAAGCAATGGCGGCCGGAGGAGTATTATATAAACAAGAAATTAGTCAATCGTTCCCTCAAGAGTTTCGTGCTGCCTTCCTCGCTCAAATCAGATCAGCGTCGCGGCACGCCTCCGCGACCAAAGTTGCCCATTCCACCGCCTGTGTTCCAACCCTGGGTCACACTCTGCCTGACGATGAGCGCCGCAGCGGCCTGCGCGGCCTGGCGCTCCTTCTGGCGGTGCCGGTCACGTAGAAACCCGGCAGCTTCGGGCCGCATGCGGAGGATACGCAGGATCATGTCGTCCGAAGGATCGGCCTGGGCCTCCTTGCGTTTCTCCTCCTTGGCGCGGCGCATTGTGCCCAGATTCCGGCTCATCATGATGCTCTTGCCACGGCGAATTGTGCCCATGGAGGCGAATCCAGGCCCCGCGCCGCCAAGCCCACCACCCAGGGTCGGCGGCGCGGACAAACGGTTGGTGGCTTGGAGCTGTTGCTGCTGCCGCTGGAGGGTCGCAGCCGTCATGCGCTCCGACAACCGGATCAGGTTATCGGTGGTGTCGAAGTAGAAGAAGGCCAAGGACGCAAGTTCGTGATACTTAGGCGACTTGAGCACTTCGGCCGGAACACCCAACACCTCGCCATCCTCGTCCTTGGCGTTGAAAAACTCGAAAAGCAGCTCAAGCCACTTGAAGACGATGTCGACCTCCTTCTGAGTCAACGGGCGCTGGGTCGATGGCTTGTCAGATAGTGGTGGAACGAGGAGTGCTTCAATAGCCATGAGGACCTCCTTCCATAGCCGCTTCATGACAGCGACCATGGTCGCTTCGGTTAATGTTTGTTTCATGATGGCAAAGTTCTCATCAAAGTAGTCGAACAAAGATTTGAGAGCTCCGACGACATCCGCTTCCGATATCTGTGGTATCGTCGATGTGCGCCGGAATAGCGAGTTGACTTGCGAGGCAATGCCGCGACCCAAAAGGCCCCGCAAAGCCTCCATGGACAGAGACAAGTAGATTTGCCGTGTGAGCTGCAGCGTGTTAGTGTCCTGACAGTACTTCTCGCCTGGTTTGGTTGACCTCTTACCTTATCCGTGATCTTGCGCACCATATCTCGCTCTGTTCGTTTCAGGTGACGGAAGGCCTTGCCAAAGTAAAACTGGATATCATCCCGCTCGCCTTCCATGCTGACGCGGATGAGGATTCTGCCCTGCGTGTCCAGATCCAGCCAGAACTCGCGAGGTAGATAATCGCTGAAGTGAAGGGGATCCAGCTTCAATGACGTCCTTCCCACAAAGTCATGGTCGCCAAAGACGTCGTAGTCCCAAATTGTTGCCACAATGTTGAGCGCGCCGGTCACAGTCACTTCCACAGACTCATCCCATCGCGGGCTGAGAGTCCTCATGATCACGCGTGTCTTATGTAGTCGCTTTTGATATTCGTCCACGAGGACGACATACGGATCGCTTGTCCCATTGGGATCGCATGCTTTGATCTCCTCAGCTTCGACGAGCTTGATGGTAAAGACATACTTCGTTGGTCGTCGCGCTTGCTTCTTGGTAGGGCCATCCACCTTCTCGAGGATTGCGGCGCAAGCATCGACGTTCATCAAGCTTTCTAGCTTGTCGAGCTCCTGCATGGCCCACTCGATGTTGTTCAGTTTGACAAGAGACTGCAGAATCTGTTAGTGGGCAAAATTATCAAGTGGAAGTGCTAGTGTTACAACTCACCTCGGGATAGAATTGGAATGGTTCCATCTTGTCCTTTGCATTCCAAGCTTCCTTTGCATACTGGAGGAACCGTCCCTGGGCAGTCTTGTTCGCTGCAGTAGCTTCCTGCTCCTCAGGTCTCTGCTCGTCCATCTCCCGGTTGAATTTCTGATCCACAGCCTCACAGTACTTTGCCAGGCTGTTCGCAAAGATCTTGGCCAGCACAGTCATGAACCGAGCATGATGAACGTCATTCGCCCACTGCAGCTTGAAGACTTGTTCGGCAGTCTGGTGGAACAGCTGGAACATGTCGATGACAGAGTGGCTGTGGCGTTCAGCGTCCAGTGGGACATGTCCTTCAGCTTGACTTCGCACACGGAACTGATCCTGCTTGATCGCCTCGTCCAGGAACTCATCAGCCTTCTGTTCGGCATTCTGGAGCCAGCGCCACACATAGTTGATGAGCAGCTCCTCCACATCGAATGAAAATTGCTTGTTGGGAAGCGCTGATCGATGTATCGTTCTGATCTCCACGAGCTCCCTGTACAGCTCGAATCCCTCTTGAACATCGAGCTCCTCTCCACGCTCCTGGGAGACTTGATCAATCCGTCTCACAAGGTCATGCGCATCATTCTCGAAGTTTGGGAAAGTGGTGTTGACCAGGACTGTGAGAGGATTGACGCCCATTACTTCCGGGTTGTTCTTATACCGCTTCTTGATCCTCTCGCTAAGCTTGACGACTTGCTTCCCCAATTGAACGACGTGGCCAAAATGCCACTCCTCCTGACTTTGTGGAATCTCAGCATCCAAGAAACCCCGATATACCATGGCGGCCTGCTCTTCCAGGCCAGCCCTCAATATGCGGGCAAACTCGGCTGCATCGTCCTCTTTCCTGGAGAATGCAGGATCGCTGTATATTTGGTTGTCAAGCACAAACAAGGTTGGCCCAATCGTTGGGGGCTTTGGTTCGTAGCAATGCATAAGTTTGTCGTATAATTCCCGTAGCAGCGCGTCATGTACCGAGGAAAGCGTGTTCTGATACACGGCGTGGTCATTGATGGTCCAGCGTCCACGGTCTATGGTAGCGAGGTTCTCCTCCCACAAAAATATGTGCGGCGCTTTCTTAGTCGGAGGCGGGGGACCTTTGACGAGATCAAAAGTCTTGTCAAGATCCACAGCTGAGAACAGCGTGTCCGTGAAGCGCCTGGCGGCGCTTTCGACGAAGACGACCAGGCGAGTGAATTGCGGTAGGCGCCACCGGACGCACAGCTCTGTAAGAAGCTCCATCGACTGTTTGGAGAACGGCCCGGTCTGGTCGCTACCATTGTCGTGCATGGCGTCAAATTCGAGGACATAACTGACAATAGTTTTGAAGAAATCTCTGGGTGCTGGGGGAATGAACGTGTATTGGGCCTCATCTACCGATCTGATGCTGCTCGGCGTGTCGTCAAGCGATATCGAGCTCAGACTTAGAGCGTGCTCGATGCCAAATGCGCTTCCGTCAGACATGGACAATGCCCTACTCAGATCAGCATAGGCTTGATCTTCGTCGTAACTTGAAGGATTGCTGGGGAGTGGCTTGTCGAGAATGACACTGCTCCGTGAGGAAGTTTTGGCAAGCGTGGGCTGGGCTGTGAGGATGTCCAACATCATCTGGGACAATTGTGGCGCTTCGGCTCGCTTCCAGTCCTGGTAGGCGTCCTCCAGATCGAAATCTTGGCTCCTGAGCGCGCCGCGTGCGTTCGAATTCAAGCGAAGTTGGTACGACTTGAGATCCTTCAACGCGGCTTCCTCCGTCCAGTTGGGTTTCTGAGCATCGATATGGCTTTGGACGTCCGAATGTGATAAGCCGAAGATCTGGGCAACCACCTGGACCAGAGGCATGTCCTTGACATCATAGCTCAGCGGTGCTATGACCTCAATCGTAGTGCCGGCACTACCCTCGCCGCCAATCGACAGGTTCTGGTCGTTGGTGAGCAGCTTGTTCTCCAATGTTGTCAATCTGTTCATCAGTTCTGGCTTGGCCTGCTCATAGCCTTGGTCCCGCAGCAGGCTGCTGAGAAGACGGACAAACAAGGCAAGGTGCCGGTCGACCAAGTGCTTCCACGAGTCGTCGCCGGGCGTGTGTCCCATCATACATGCTTTGGTGGCCGACGAGTAGAACATGAGCACCAGAGGCTCTGCCTTGCGATCCTTGTCTATGCTCTTTCGAAACCCTTGCTCTGTGAATGCGGTGTATGCCTGAGCAAACGTCTTCTTGACAGCCGGGTCGTTGTAGCCAGGTAGTCTCTCCTGCCCAGTGATAACCCCTTGCATGCGCTTCTCAAGACCACCTCTGATGCCGTGCGGAAGCTTGACACTGCTCGAGTTGCCAGGCACGAACTCTTTCACAAGATCCCCGACATTGGTCGTGTGCGTGCGTTGCGGAGGTTTCGGTGCCGGCACCCATTGCTTCCGCTTGGTCTTTGGCTGGAGCAGGTAGTGTAAGTAGGCAACTCTAAGGGCGTATGTGTAGGCATCATCGTAGCTGACGGCGGCCTGCCGTGAAGGTGCCGAGTTCGACCGGTCGCGGCGAGCGGTCTGTTGGACACTGTTGAGGCGCCTGTTGAAGGGCTGCTGCATCGACGCCCTCGATGAGGCTGACATGGTATACGGCTGGCCGGCGAGGTCCGCGCAGCTGCTCACGGCGGGGGTTTGGGTCGGCTGGTATTGATGAGCCTAGGACGGCGCGACACTCATGGCGGTGCGGCGTGGAGAGATGTCTCGGCCTCGACGCCGCTGCAGACTGGCGTGCGTGGTCGGGCGAGGCGACGTCAGTGGGTTGCGATGCGCAGGGATTGGGCGTCGCTAGGCGCAAATGACCAGAAGGAGGGGAGGGGCTGCGCTTGAGAGGTGGCGCACAATGGGACTTCGGGCGGGCGAGGCAGGGCGGTTTCGTCTTGAGCTGGAGAAGCGTCTCTATAGCTTGCGGCAGGAGGGAGAAGGAGTCCAAGAAGGCGTCACGCAGAGCGCTAATGTTCGTGTCACGGTTGGGTGACGACGGGTTGGGGGGTTGTTGCGAGACGCAAGAGCGGCTTGGGCGCCTGGGCGGTGTCTGATAGCACCCACACTTGCGCACCCACCTCGCCAGCTCTGGAGCTTGCTTGGTGGTGATGCGCTGCTGCTGGGGCGGTTAAGGGGTCGTCGTCCAAGCGGGGCCGGACTATGCGGGCACGGCGGTGTTACACACTGCATTCATCTGCGACTCACGGCTTGTCGATACCGCCTTGTGCTGGTCAAGGTCGCAGCCAGACAGACATCTACGGACGTCCGCAACCCGTCAGAAGATATGACTGCCTGTCGGTCAGAACTGGCATCTGCGCGAACGTCAGCCCCTTGGGCCTCTGAGGCTCATGAGCTGCTGCGCCCGCCCGCATCGGCAAGTAAGTGTAAGGCAAGGTACTAAGTTTGGCGGATGACGTTATGCTCTCTTGTGGCCAGGTTTGTTTTGGAATGCACGGGCTGCGAGCACCAGACCTTGCTCGTGCGCCGGCGCATGTGCCTGTCGACAGGCAACCTCTTTCCGAACGCCAACTCCAGATCCGCCTCCACGACTGCAACATTGTCCCGAGGTGAAACTTGCCTGTGTTGCTTGCTTGCACAGATGGGTGCTCTTGATAGCTTCGATTGGCGTCCTTGCAGCAAAGAATCAAAAGCAGCCACATTTGTCTCGACGGGCCATACTCAGGGGGCCCTTCGCCAAAGCATGCTAGTACCCCCAGGGTACCTTAAAGTGCAGGTGCCACAAGAGCAGTGCGCGGTGATGGGTCTTGCATCGGCCACTCTCTTCATTACCCGACTGCCTGCACGTTAGTTGACAGTGCGGGCCCGCCTGTGCTCGTAATCCGACATTGCTTCGAGCGAATCGTCAAAGCCTCACAGATCTGTCTGCCAAGGTCTGACAGTCCACCTGTCTGGTCGGGAGCTTTGTGTACGAGCACGTGGCTCACGTGGCTTTTGCTCGGGATGACCGAGCCCTAGCATATTAGAGACGCAACTGTTAACAAGACAAGTATTGCACTCGGCCACGTGTGTACTTAGCGTAGTGTAGGAATGCCCGTTGTAACCCAGTCGCTTCGTGAGGCACAAGCCAAGTGCCGCGGGCATGTTTGTCCAGACAGAAGGGAGAGATGAGATGATGCTGCACCCAAGCAAGCGCCACTGGCTAGGCACGAGCGTCGGCATGGCACGGTAACACTCTTGTCGTTCAGCGTTTGAGTACAAGCAATCACGAGGCTTTTCAGGCTTGTCGCATGCCTAGCACGCACGGCTGCTCAACACGAGACCAGAGTACGAGGCTCCACGCCACAGGCGGTCACTGCTACCGACCAGAATGACCAAGGTATTGTCTTGGCCATGTGACATGCTAGACCAGTGGCGACCCGACGTGACACATTGAACGTTCGAGGCAACATGTGCAGCAAATGCACATGCCAGCCAGTATCTGGCCAAGAAATGCCTCTACTGCTCGTCAAGAAAGTCCACCTCGGATGTTCATGCCTGCTGGTATCGCTGTCTCTCCTGGCAACCAGCTCGATTATGCGCGTGGGGTAAAGAAAACATCCAGGGCTTGGCAGACTCAAACCTGGAGTAGCCGTCCAGTGTCGCATAACGGCGTTCTCGGGTGGGTCTGCCGTTGACCTCGTGTCACGCATGAGAAACACAGAGATGGCAGTATACTGGACAACCTTGTCCCAAGGCTGCCGTTGCACAGCTGATCAGGGCGGCAAGGGCTGGGCAAGAAAAGCTCCCTGCCTTCCTCCCTGCCTGCCTGCCTTCTGCCTGCCTGCCTTGAATGCGTAGCGTAATGAGCCACTCGGCGACAGCTGATGGAAGGACCTCAGAGAACAATACCTTGCTGGTGTGGGTACAGTACTGAAGAAGGAGAACCTTTGCCAGGTGATCGCTCGTGGCCCACCTGGAAGCCCCCGGCTGTCGCCTTGCGCTGCTCGCTCAGGGCTGCTGGACAGGAACGGGGCATGTGTGTCATTGGCGCCGGTGCCTGTAAAGTCGATGGATGCGGGTGGGTGTGGTTGATCCCCTGCCTGCCTCGTCAAGTGCTTGGTGGAGTCGTGACGGTCATCTCAAGGGGCCGGCCCAGTCAAGTTCGTGGTTGCGCCCCCTCTCTCGCGCACCCTGGTGCCCCACCACCAGCGAGCTCTCGGCCTGCACTGCGCTGCACTGCCCTGCCAGTTCCCCCCCGTCCTGTTGTTCACGCCGCCAGCCTGTCGCCGCTGTAGGTTCGCAGGCTGTTGCGACATCTGGACTCGCTCCGTCGACAACGGCAGACCCTTTGTTCGAACGACCTGCAGCCCGCCAACCCCATCGCTTCGTCCCATCCTGCCTGCCCTTTGCCACTGCTCGCGCCAACTCACAGTTGCAGACAAAGAAGGCACATACCCACACATCCGTGCTCCTTTCGACAAGTACGACTCCCCGCCACGCCGCGACGACGACCGCCACCTTCTTCGGCGTACACCAGCTCCAGTCACTGCTGCTCTTTCCCGCCTGCGAAACCCGCACTTCTACCTCTCTACCTCTGCATCTTGCCAGACAGTCGTGTCCAGCTTGCCACGCGCGGGCTCAACCGTCCAAGTGGCACCAGGCTCATAAACATCGCTCGCGATTTCCAGCATCTCCTCTAGACAGGCCTACATATATCGCTGCTGCGGAACCTCACCCGCCCTCGCATGTGCTTTCACACCATATATCTAGTCGCCCAGCCCGTACAGTGCTGCCTCTGTAAAAGAAGAGCCGCCGACCTGCGACTGCGCCTGTCCTGACGGTTCCTCAGCATACCGATCCGAAATATCCTCACCGTCTATTACAAATACGACTGATGAACCGCCCGAACCTTGGTGCGCGACCTTGCTACAATGGGTAATGTCAGCAGCAGGCCTGACGATGGCTCTGCCCTCTGTCTTAGGGACCCAAACCGATGTCCGTACTGTCAACTCTTCCCTATTCATTGTGGCCGTGTCGCTTACAGGCTCTTGTAGTGTCAATTTCGTCCTTGGTGATTACCAGCCCGAGGAAGCGCACTTCAATCACAGTATTCCCCAACGCGTTCCCCCCCACTCGTGTGTCTGCCTCGAGGCCAGTCGGAGATGCTTCGCCGGTGGAATTCGTTCAGGTAAGTCGGCTGGCACAAGAAGGTCCTCGTTGTGTCGTAGTAGACTGAAGCTGACCTGGACTCAGGATCCCGATCCGGCAGCCACTCCAAGCTTCCTGCTGAAGCTGAGCAGCGACGACGAACTCGTCTTCACGTTCACATTTGCCGTCCGGCAAGATGCCGCGGGCGGCGATACATTAATCAACGGATTGACTTACGTGTATGCTTCCAACCATCGAGAAGTTGACAACCTCGTGACGAGAGAATTCCACGCCGATCCGAATCTACACAAGAACTCGAATGTCGAGCTCGTCGGAGATTACAGCACAGGCGGCAGCCCATCAGTAACATTTGACTGGTCGTGGAAATGGAAACCACCAAAAGCTACAGAAGATAGAGGAAACGGCTGGAGAAACTCTTGCAGCGTAAGACTTCCATGTTATTCGGACAAGATTACCTGCTTTGTGGACACCAAACTGACCTTTGCATAGTTTGTCGAGTATGATCAGAGAGGCCACCGACTAGTCACATTGGCGAGCTTCTCCTTCTGGGTTACTGGTGGGTGCAGCTTATCAAAACCTCGCCCGTCCCCTTCAATTGACATTGGTGGCTTCTTCTAGGAAATGGGGGCTATATCAGCCAACCCAACTCGCCTTCGCCTGTCTTTCAACTTGCAGTGCCCCCCAAGATACGAGTTGCGTCGGCGCAATCAGTCGAATCCCGCATCAGCGAGATCGAAGAGCCTGCGTCCCCGTTGATGCCTCCTTCAGAGGCCTCCCCCTCGTTGCCAATAGGCTTGCAATCGCAGAGAGAGTCTGTAAAGGTGGACATATCATGCCCTCGTCCAGCTGAAGACATGAACTTGAGTGACGATGGACCCGTCTTTCGTGCGACGATGAAAGCTCTTGAGCAGAAGACAGGGAACATGAGGACCCATATGAAGAAGGTCTTGAAGAAGGCGGAACAGGCCCAGACTGCACAGAATGAGGCGAACGACGCCTTTGTCAGTTTCATCGATGCTCTTCGGGAAGCTTCCGCGACCAACGCCAACGCAGTACGACCAGCGCTTGAGCATTATTTCGACAAAATCGCACGCGAAATACTAGCCTATGAACGACAAAACACAATCAATATGCAAAAGATCATCATTGATCCCATCAGCAAGTTATACGTATACGACATCAAACAGGCGGAGGCAAAAAAGCGCGATTTCGAGGAAGAAAGCAAGGAGTACTATGCCTACGTCTCACGCTATCTAGGACAGCGGACCGACCCGGTAAAGACCAAGAAAATAGCGGACAGCGACTCAAAGTACCAGAACAAACGGCGAAACTTCGAACTGAAACGCTTCGACTACTCGTCATTCATGCAAGATCTGCACGGGGGTCGCAAGGAGCAAGAAGTCCTCTCACATCTCACAAAATATGCCAACACACAAGCGCAATGCTTCCTCCGTGCAGCAAAGAAAGTCGATGAACTCCTGCCACAGCTGGAAGCACTGTCCTCTGAGGTGACAGAAGCTGACAAAGAGTTTCAATACCAAAGGCGAGAAAGAGAGGAGAAGAGGCGTGTGCTCGAGAAGAGCAACGGTACGCAGAATGATGGCGAGTCCACAATGCAGGGCTCCAACCCAATACCGGTGCCGTCACCGAATGGCCACCAAACAAACTCGGAACCCGAGCTTGGTCGCGCAGATAGTACTGGTTCCCAGTTGCGGGGCGTGAGCTCAAGCAACTCCGGCTCAATGGCAGCTGCGGGTATTGAGCTTTCGAGATCACCAGGAAGCGTTGGACAGAGTACTAGTCCTGCTGCCACCTCCAAGTTCAGAGGCATCCGGGATCTTGAGGAAAGAGACATGTCGCAGTTGACGCTCGTGGACAAGACATCGTCGCATCGCAAAGAAGGCCTTCTGTGGGCTCTCAATCGCCCTGGCGCGCACGTCGATCCTCTGTCTCTCAACAAACAGGGTTGGCACAAGTAAGTACCAATGAACTACCCCTGATTAACTCCCCGACGCCTACTAATGTCGACCAAGGTTCTGGGTCGTGCTTGATGGCGGCCGGCTCTCCGAATACAGCAATTGGAAGCAGAAATTAGACTTGCACATGGAGCCCATCGATCTGCGCATGGCCTCCGTCCGCGAGGCCAGGAATGCCGAGCGTAGATTTTGTTTTGAGGTGATCACTCCTCAGTTCAAGAGGGTATATCAAGCCACAACCGATGATGACATGGCCAATTGGATCCTGTCCATCAACAACGCACTTCAGAGTGCTGTAGAACGTGGTCTCAAGGAAAAGCCTTCCACGCCATCCAGCGGTAGCTCGTCGAGTCTCAAGAGGGACATCGGGTCGATTCTCACAGGCAAGAGTATCTCGCTGAATCATGGACAGCACGGAGGTCACTCCTCGGCACCTGCCTACGCTTCTCGTCGTACCACGGTTGGCGCTAAGCCGGCTGGCATGCGGCCACCAAGCAACAGCTATGATGAAAACCCCGATAAGCTGTTACAAATGCTACGCGACAACGACCAGGGCAACTGCTGGTGTGCAGACTGTGGCAGCTCATCGAAAGTAGAATGGGTCTCGATCAATCTAGCGATAATCCTCTGCATCGAGTGCAGTGGTATCCACAGGTCTCTCGGAACACACATCAGCAAGGTCCGGTCTCTCACACTGGATATCACTTCCTTCACGGCCGATATCATCGAGTTGTTGCTCCTAGTCGGTAACAGAGTTTCCAACATGATCTGGGAGGCGAAGTTGGATGCCGATATCAAGCCTGGGCCCCAAGCTTCGCGTGAGCAGCGCCTCAAGTTCATCACGGCGAAATATGTGGATCGCGCCTTTGTTGAGCCCATCTCGACGACGCTTTCTCGATATCCTAGTCCCGACGAGACCCTCCTGGCAGCCATTAAGCGCAACGAGATACAGCAGGTCATCTACGCACTAGCTCTCAAGGCCAATCCAAACGTGCTTGACAAGGTGCGCGGCACACATCCCGTTTATCTCGCACTTGCAGCAGCAGATCCGGCCTCGCCCTCACCAAGTACCGCAAACTCCACTCCGGCAACACCAGAAAAGACCGTGCCGTTCCCGATTGCAGAAATGCTGCTGCAAAATGGTGCTGAGCTCCCGGCAACTCTGCCAGCGTTCCCTTTGAGTCGAAGCGCGCAAGCGTTTGTAGAGCAGAAACGCGGCCGTGTAGCCGCAGTGGACGCGATGGGGAGCTCAGTTACCACCACGCTGAGTCCCAGCGCCAGTGAGCGCCAACCCTCTCGTGACAAGGACCGTCTACAGAAACGTATTAGTGCCGGGGGCAGGCTAGCGAGGTCGCCAATCGCCGAGCGGTAGATACGCCGGAGATCGACGTCCTCGACTATATCCTCGACTGCGTCCTCCCCATCCTCAGTTCAGACGCCGCCACAAAGACTAGTGCGGCGGAACTCGACATACACTAGCTAGCAGCTACCCATCATGCCAGCTACCTCTGGTCGTTGGTGGAGAAGGACAGATCGGCTCCTGTCGAGGACAGACTGGCTACACCTGGCACCGTCCACAGAATCGTTCTGCCTGCCGTTCCTGCATGCCAGAAGGCACACGGATCCTCCTTCGCCTCGTCTGGCTATGCGAACGCAAGCTCAACTCACGATGCACAGCAAAGACCTGCACGGTGGGTAGGCATTAGACGCCTTTCTCCCACCAGACACGACGCCGCCAACAGTCACTCAACCCCCATAAAGCGCAATCGAGAAGCTCATGCTGCTCAAATGTCGCAAGCGCCCGCTCGAGGCTTGACTTGCTGCGCTATAGAGTGCGTGTACAGATGCGAGCGCCCCAGCTGGCGCATCCCGGCCCAGCCACTTCTCCCTTGACAACGGCGTTGGGCCTTCCTTTGGATGGATATAGGTAGCGCAGAGACCGAAGCAGCGTCGCTGTCCACACATATACGAAAGAGTAATGGTAATCAGCATCGCGATGTACATGCTGGAAATTCTTATCACAGGGTTGGAATACCAAAGCAAAGCCACCCCAAGGCACGTAGAGATGACCGTAATGGGTATAGATAGACCGAATTCCGTCACTCGCAACAAATGATGTTCTCTCTCAGCGGCCGCGCTGCGGTGGTGTGCTCCGCTTGGACAAAAGTTCGTCTCGCTCAAGCTTGTGTGACCAGCCACCTTTTCAACCTCCTGACGTGCCGCCTCGTATATTTCTTGCAAGGACATTGCACCGTGAGACAACGCCCGTATGTCTGGGACCGTACCCCCTGGCTGTGGAACACGAACGGTGGAGTTTTTAGGAGAGCATCATGTCAGGCAGGAGATCGGCATTCAATCATTGTTCCTAGTCACATGGCAGCACAAGTGGATGGAAGCATGAATCGGTATATATATATATGATTGAATGGCACGTGATTACAACTCCTAGATTTTTTTGTAGTGCAGAATGAGAACAGTCAACGCGATCCCAGCAGATGAAAGCGCCCTAGTTATGGAAGAAAATAGGAGCACAACAGAAATGGCGCCCCCCGGGAAAACACGCAAACCACATCCAAGCCTGGAATGTTGTGCACCCGTGATTTGCTGGAAGACAGAGAGGGAGAGAGAGAGAAAAAAGCATTACCACAACTCCTCCTGGCATGCCGTGCTGGCGGTGATGGAGCTTCGTGTGCTCGTCACAACCTATTCACGACTTCTTGCGCAGGACCACTATATCCGGGCACTTGTTGTTCAGTTGCCGTTTGTCATCGTCTTCTGTGCCTTGGCCTGCTCCGCCTCCTCTTTTGTATAAAAGCTCGCTGCATCGTCCCCAAATAGCTGCTGGTCGCCCTTACCACCCAGTTCCATGAACTCCTGCGCCGCCCGCTTATCGTCTGGGCGCGCCTCACCAGGCGTGGCGTTGGTCTTGTCGGCTGCAGTCGGGTTCTTCGCATAGACTTTGAGCTGGCCCGATTTCGGCAGATCGATCTGGCGCGTGACCTGCACAGAGTTTATGGAGCTCAGCAGTGTCCTCTCGCGGGCGACACCGCGGCGATGCACCTCAAGGCCTCCAATACCGGCCACTAGGCCATCAGTACTGTCCGCGACACCAGGTGTCTTTTGTGTGAGCCACGGATGTGTCAGGCACTGGTCGATAGTGTAGCGCTTCTCGGGATCAACAACAAGCATGCAGTCGATCAAATCCAAGGCCGGGTCGCCTACAGAGTCCCAGTATGGTGAGGGGTAGTCGAAACGGCCATTCTTAATCTGTTGGGAGAGCGTGTATGGAAACTCGCGCGAGTAGAGCTCGTCAGAAAATGGTGGGAAGCCGCACAGGCAGATGTACAGCACTACACCCAGCGACCATACATCGACAGCCTTTGTGTACTTCCGGTGCCGGCCCTTGGCCAGGATTTCTGGCGCAACATAGCTAGGTGTACCACAAAGAGTGGTGGTGAAGGATTCTTCGCCGATAATCTTGGCCAATCCAAAATCGGCAAGCTTCACATGCAAGTCTTTGTCAACGAGCAGGATATTTTCAGGCTTGATGTCACGGTGGACGATGTTCCGATCGTGCTATGATGCGGCAAATGTATCAGCAAAGCACTCACAAGGCCGAGAGTGTAGTGCAGCGGGCAGCTCCGGGCAGAAGCAGAGAAGGGCACTTACCAGGTACTTGATGCCCTGGAACAGTTGCTTAAACAAGAACCGGGTTGCATCTTCGCTCAGCTTCTGTTTCATGACAATGTGGTTGAACAATTCGCCTTCTGGTGCCAATTCAAGAACAAGATAAACGGCCTTCTTCTCGTTGAATGTGTCCTTCAAGCAGAGGACGTTTGGATGCGCCACACTCATGAGGACAGCGATTTCCTGCTGCAGGCCATCGGTCTTGGATCGATCTTCCATACCCGGAGTCTTGGCAAAGACCTTGACTGCGAAGCGTTGACCTGTAGATTTCTCTACGCAGAGGAAGACCTCTGCAAAGTGGCCCTTGCCCAGACGCTCCAGCAGGGTGTACTGCTGCAGGAACCCGGATGAGGACCGGCTTCTCGGGTAGCGGAAGATGAAGCGGGCTTTGTCATTCACCGCAATTTCGTCTAGCTCTTGCAGCTCGCGACGCTGGTTGCGCCCGACAATGGCCTCGTTGACAAATGTGCCGTTGCTGGAAAGATCCTCGAGTACGGTGACTGTGTCCTTTCCCTTGTTTTCAGTGAACAGCAGGCAGTGCCGGTTTGAGACCACCGGATCGTCCACCACAATATCTGCGTATCACTGGTGTCAGCGACGCGCTTGGGACGGCCCATTGGGTAAGATGATTTCGAAAGAACCTTACCGCACTCTGGATGGCGCCCGATCAAGTAGCCGCCGGCTGGAATGCCACCAACCTTGGACTTTTCATACGTTGTCTCCTCTGGTAATGGGCTTTTCTCCTTGCTCTGCTTGACTGTCTTGGTCGCGCCAACTGTCTCTGGCAATGGGCAGCTCGAGCGCTTCTTCAGTACTACACAGCGCCCGTATCGAGTGTCTAGAGGTAGGAGATAGCCCCAGACTCCTTCCTTTGCCTCATCTGCAACCTCCTCCGACAGGGCAGCGTCAGGGTCCACAAACTGGGATGCTGCAAAAGCTTGGGTATCCTGTGGCGGCGAGGAGAAGCCGTACTGAGAGACTGCCTCGTCGGGTGACTGATGGGTAATCTGGCTTGGCCGGCCTTCTGGAGGCTCCACGGTTGCCTCCTTTCGGAGCTCGTCGGACGATTCGAGGTTGGTGACGGGAGAAGGCAGCTTTTGCCGGTTCTTGGTTATTGGGGTCTTTAGGTGTTCTTCGGGCTTGTTGTTATTGTTCGTATGCGATATCCGTTCGGAGCGCCGGGGCTTCTTGGACAGATCATCATCGTGACTACCAGCGGACTCCTGTCCGACGACTCGTTAGCAAAGGGCTCCAGGTCCAGGTCCGCGAGAGATGCGAGAAAGGGCTCACTCGGCCACGCTTCAATTGGCTCTTCTCGCGGGGCGCCATGACGCCTGACTGCTCTACAGGCAGCTGGGGCGAGTGCCTGGAAGGGTCGTTGGGTGGATCAGCGGGGGGTGGCAGCGACGTGAGGACGTGAACTGTGAAGGCAACAATGTCGATAAGATGAGTGTGACTGTGCGCAAGAGCTGTGCAACGATGCGCGACAGGCAGACCCAACGCGTTGCTGAGCCGTCGCAAAAGAGCTGAGAAGCTGCAGAGGAGAAGGCGCGGTAGCCTGGCGATGGATATTAGAAGGGGCAAGAGACGGAGGCAGCAGGGCTTTGAGGGCGATGGGCGATGGGAGGGAGACTTGGGAAGCTCGAGTCACGGGGAGGTCGCGCAAGTCACACCCGTCAACGACGGCGGCGGAGGTGCTGCGCAAGTGGTGCTTGGGTGATGCTTCGTGCCGGGGGCGGGCGGTTGCAACGGCCGGGCTGGGAGCTGGACCGCCCCAGTGGGTGCCTGCCTGCCTGCCTGCCTGCCCGCTTGCCTGCCTGCTCCTCCAGTGGGGCGCCGCTATGGCGCGCTTCATGTGGGCACAGCCCAGTATCCAGACAGCTTCCATCAAAGCGCTCAATCAGTCCCGCCTGGCGCATCTCGTTTACGACCCTCAGAGCTGCCCATGCCCACGCTTTGAGCATGGTGTTGCGCTGGCCAGCAGGAGGTACGATCGTACAAGTTTCTATTCGGTGCGAAACTGGCTTCGAGGCATTCAGCATCCCAACCATACAACACCAGCACAACCTTTGGCCGCACACGTCGCCCATGGCTCGATCATTCGGTACCATCACGTCCTCGCTGCGCAGCAGGCTTTTTTGCCAAACCGGGAGGGCAGTGTGGCCTTGCAAGGCTGTCCAGGTAGTCAGCCTCTAGTTAGTCAGCCGGTAGAGCGCAACCGACCGCCTGCCTCTGGCCCCCCTTGCCACAACCACAGAATCAGCTGATGGCAATCCTGTGATGCCTATTGAGCTTCAAAACACGAACAGGTAGCCAGCCATTGGCCAGCAAGCCGTGGGTATAGCTGGTTCCTCTATTTCGAGACCTTCTCTACCACGAGGTTAAGCTGCGCTCTCTGAAAAGTCATACATCGAAAAAGACACCAGGCATGGGACTCGCGGGTGTGCCCAGACCCTGGCCTTGACAGATCGTGCTCGCAGGGTCAATGAAATCCGCTCACACGCTTATTTTGTCGAACCCCGGGCATTCGGACCCATGAGATCGGGTGGGGAGCTTGCGAATCCGTCGGGGGCTGGTCGTTCGCCCGCACGGGACTCGGATCATGATGACTGGCACGCGGAAGCGTAAAGGATCGTCTCGAGAGGGCCGAATGACGTGACGCCTCAGTCACAGCCTGCCAAGGTGACCAGATCAGCGACTGGGCCCTGCCGCTGCCCACTTGTGCGATCGGGCAACGCAAACCCCCGTCACCCGTCCCGTCATGGGGAACCGTGCAGGATGTCTGGTACGTACATGTCTCGGGTCCTGCCTCGAATTACATAAGCAGAGAGTGCCGGTGAAATCGGATGAGCCGCTTTATTCCCTTCGCCAACCATGACGCACGAGGAGACGACCCAGCGGCTGTGACGCGGGTTTCGGACAATAAAAGAGCCTCACCAATCATCAAGGAGTCAAGTTCCCCGAATCTATGCAGGGCAAACCCTCGAACAGATGTCTCACGTCGGGTGGAGTTCCGACCGACAAAGTCATGTCCACAAGCGGCTGTCTTGGTCGAAGCTTCTGTCAAACTCTCACCTGAGTCGAGACTCTCTGACGCTGCACACAAAATCATGTGCCTGCAGAGCGACCTTGACATGAACTAGATCCGAACTTTAAGGGGTTTGGTCGATTTCTTTCGACCCAATTTGGACTACCAGTTGTTTGCTGTGCTAGTTGGGACAGTGCAGTGATGAAGGATTCCACCAAGCTTCCTGACCCAACATTGCATGGCAGACCCGATGACAATCCTAGCTACAACCACCGCTAAGAGGACTCGGCGCGGAAGCTCCACCACCTGCCTGGGCTGGCTGAGTCTACGATGGCTCTCTGTGGGGGGCTGGATATACATGTCTCACCTGAAACTCTGTTCACTGCCACCACCTTCTTGATGGCAGACAGGACGGAAAGCTTCGTTCTTGTCACTATCCAGTCACTTTCATGTGTGGAAAGCGACAGTCGAGTCGACCGTGTATCACCTCGGTCAGTAAAAACGATTCCGAGAGATGCACCAGGCGCATGAACAGGCGGTCTTCCCGCGCAAATGCCGATGGCCTTGCGGCTCTCGCAAGTCGACCGGCTTGGACAGTTGATAGTCAGGCATGCACGCAATCCCCGTCTGAACTGACATGGCCAGACCTCAGGGAATGGTCGCCTAGCGCGGCTTGGCTGGAGGTGGTGGATCCCAGAACAATCTTTCCGAGATCGCCAAACTATGTTGTGCTACCTGTGTTGGTGATGGTTTTCTGAGCACCAACCCGGCATGTTGGCAGTGGCGTGGGCGACGTCTAGGCTCTGTCACAAAGGGACCAACATGACAGGACGCATACGTCCGGAAGCAGTCACCGTCCAACACAAACCCAAATTGTCCGATACTTGCCTCACTCTCTTTGTCTGTTCGAGCGCCCTGATACATGTACCATGGCCTCTCCACCCCGCGAGCGGTTGTGTCTTTGAGAACCTGGTCACCCACTTTCCATACAGCCACAGGCGTGTCCGCATTCATTCATGATGACCACAAAACCAGCCGGACGACGGTCGACTCTGCGCCAGAAAGGCTGGTCTCCGACATCTGCCTTCCAGAGTGCCTACTCAAAGACAACAAGAAGTCCCGTGAACTTGCAGAAGCCTCTTCCGCCACGACCGGCCTCGTTCTCGTCCTCGGTCTACTCTGATGGTGCATCAAGCTTCGATTCTGCCGAAGATTACCAAGTCGACATGACGTCCCGGCAGAACCCCAATCGTTACGGCATGGACGTCTCCAAGATTCTTCCGACGGCCCACCCGGACTGTGGATGCGGTATCGACGAGGAAGACTCGGGCGAGTCGAGCAGTCCCGTCACCCCGGTCGGCTCGGCAGATTGTGACCCTGGTCTCCGGCTGCCCATCTACAGCACGTATTCCAGCTCTGGTTCCTTCGCGTACAACTCCACGCCAAAATCGTATCGAAAGAGCAACGACTTCCGACGGAGCGTTGCGGACCCACCGGTGGAGAGGATCAGAAAACCGGTGGAGAGGATCAAAGCAAGCGGCAAGACTTTTACACTGATGGACCAAGGGGCAGGTCGGCGAAGCGGGACGAAGAAGGCCATGTCTCCAGTCGAAAGGGCTACCGAGGGTCTGGGCATCAAGGATGTGCCGGTGGCCCAGCCAACCATTACGTTCGCAGCGGCGGCAGCTCCGTCCAATGCGTACTCGGAACGGGCCGTGGCCCGGCGTGCGGCGGCGGCCCCACCACCACTGAAGCTGTACGAGCGCGCGCTGGCCGACAGCTACGTCAAGACGCCGTACCCTCGCACGACAAGACACATGTCGGTCATGACGCAGAAGAGCGTATTCGAGGACGGCGACGACGACGACGGCGAAGATGACGACTACAGGCGATTTGGCGGGCGGCGGCGCAAGGACAGCCTGTACGCGAAGCGCTTCTCGGGGCTGGGCGACTTGACCCAGACACTGCGCCGGTCGTCGATGCGGCTAAGCATGAGCCACGACGTCCAAGAGATTATCCCGAGCATCGCGGTCCAGGCCAAGCATCGCACGCCCCGGATGCCTCCCATGGGCGTCCAGAGAGAAGCTGCCCCGGTCACGCCGACGAGCGTGGGGCGGGCGACTGCTGTGCACGAGCCGGCGTCGCCGGGGGTCCAGCCACGGCGGACGACATCGGCACCGGCACCGTCGCCGGGACCGGGCAGGGTCAAGACGATGCTGATGAAGGCCAAGAGGAGCCTGAGCATGGGCTTCGCGGCCGAGGAGTCGAAGAAGGAGAAGAAGGAGAAGCGGGACCGAGAGACGCTGCGGAAGATGGTCAAGTCTGGCACGGCGGATGCGAGGCTTGGGCAGAACTTTGTGTGAGCGACAAGCGACAGGACGGACCGTGGTGTGTGTGTATGCGTGTATGTGTTGTGTTGTGCAAATGTGCGTGCTTTTGTGTGGTTGTGCTTATCAGAGGCTGAAGCTTGCGTTTGCCTCACTAATACCAGTCGTTTGTTGTGGCGACCCAATCCTTTGACTAATAAAAGACGCCGTAGAAATGTATTTGACATGCTTATAGACAATGACAAGGCCCTCACTCATCACTAAATATCTAAGTTGTGGTCAATCTCGACACCCCCCAGCATGGGCGCCCATGCGAGTGTGGGGGGTTTTGGGCGGACTCTACTGCACCCCGCATTGCCGCGGCGACCACGTCCCACTCTGAGCGCCTTCTTCGCTCGTGTTCCCCCAACTGCGCATCCCACCGCCTCCGGCTCAGCACAAACTGGCCACTGTTCAGCTGCCGCAATCACACAGCTACCCTGGGGTACACAGCTAGGCCCGGCCTGGACAGATCCTCGGCTCATTCCAGTGCATCCAGTCTCCAGACAGCCGTGGCTCTTTTTCCCACCTTGCTCAAGTACTCCTTCCACGATCCGTTCGTTCCATTGCAACAACGGACACAGTAATGTCCTCGGCAGCAACTGCCGCTGCTGCTTTGGACGAGCCTGTCCCAATCTGCGTCAACGGGGACAACAGTGACACCGACGACGACGACGACAACACCAGCAGTGCTTCGCGGCCACGATACAACCTGCGGTCCAGGCGGCGGTCTGCTGCCCAGCTCGCCATCGCAGCGACACCGGCACTCACGCACGACGACGACGACGACGACAGTGCACCGGTATTCTCTGCTCAACAACAGCAGCAGCGACGGAAACAGCAGCGCCATTCTAGCGTCGACCATTATACGAGCCAGTCTGGAGAGCTGTCGTCGGGAGTTGCGGCTGATCTTCTCGTTGTTCCTTCTGGGGGAGCCTCGTCGTACTGGGATGTGACAGCCATGGCCCCGCTCAGTCCCGTCTCGGCGGTAAGTTGCCGAGTCCACTTTATTTCGTCATCTGGTGGTGGTGGTGCATGGATGGCGTGTGTCCACGAACGGGGGTTGTCTGTCTTTTGGCTCCTTTTCTTTGCCCAATGAACCATTTCAATGAAATACTACGACGGCAAGAATAATCAGTAAAAGGGGTCAAGGGGTAACTTCTCCGAGTGCGCCTGGGAGGTCAGGCACCTACGTCCCCACTGCTGCCAATCAAGCTGCGCTCTGCCGTGGCGATTGATGTCTGGACACACTCCATCCATTTAGATCAGGCCTGCAACGCACATCCCCCAGCTCCCTCCAAATGGACCACCTCACCAACACAGCACCACCTCCACCACCACCCATCCAGCCCAGTGCAACCCAGAGGCTCATTTAGGGCCGCTCAAAGGGGTCATATGGAACTCTTTTCAGGTCGTTGATGGACATACACACACACACACACGCAAGGACGACGCTGGGAGACATAGGACACAATTTCCCTGAAAAAAGAAACAAGACTTGCAAGATGCTGATCCGGTCAAAGGCCGCCATCGCGCGCCTCCGCGCCTACAGGCCGCCTCCGTTCCCCACGTGGGACCGTCTCCCCGTGAGCCGCCGCGCCGCCGTGCTCGTCCTGCTCTACGCCGACCGCAGGGGCGACCTCAGGGTCGTCATCACCATGCGGGCTGCGAGCCTGCGGAGTTCTCTGGTACGTTTCAGTCATTTTGACTGGGGCTGCTCACCGTGGAGAGTGGCCGGTGTGCTTGTGATATAAATTGGGAACTGCAGTAGCTGATTGTCTTGTTCGCGGAAATAGGACACGCAGCGTTACCAGGTGGGAAGGCTGATACACTAGAGGAAACTGGATGTAAGTGCAATTCTCTCTCTACATGTTTTGCACGCCACTCAGATAGGACTGCGCTTCTCTTCCCGTCCACTACCCCCCCTGGCCCCTCCGTGTCTGGATAGATAAATTGTGTACCCCAAGAAAGAGAGTCGGGACTGACCGCCATGGTGACAGACCAAATAGCACGCCGCGAGGCATGGGAGGAGATTGGCTTGCCTCTAGACGAGGCCAAGCTCCCCAAGCCATTCCGGATAGAAGCCCTGTGCGACTTGCCCTGCAGCTTGGCTCGCACCGAGATCGCCGTCCGCCCCTGCGTCGCCTTCCTGCACGCCGACGACATCCCTCCCGATGCCCAACTCACAGGCAACAACAACACTTCATCCCAGCAACAGCAGAGCACCAACCTCGTCGAAGAAGCCATGATGCCGCGCCTCGACGCCAAGGAAGTCGCCGCCGTCTTCTCGGCGCCGCTGCACAACTTCCTCCTCGCGCAGGACCGCGACCCGCTCGCCGGCGAGAAGCCCTTGCCGAGCGGGCACTGGTACGACGGCCGCTGGACCCGCTGGCACGGCAAGCCGTGGCGCGTGCACAACTTCCACGTCCCCGTCAACGACCAGCGCGTGGTGCGCCCCAAGGTGCGTGAGTCGGGCCAGGCCGCGCTCGCGGACCGCCTGGATGATTACAATGGCAGCGGCAGCGGCGGCGGCGAGGACAGCACCGAGGAGCTGCTCGACGACCAGAGGTTCCTGGTCTGGGGCATGACCGGCCGGATCATTGTCGACGTCGCGCGCGTGGCGTACGGCGTCGAGCCCCAGTTTGAGCACAATGAGCATTACGGCGACGAGGAAATCATCAGCAGGCTCGAGGCTGCAGGGCTGCTGGGCGAGAAGAAGAGGAACGAGGTCGGGCAGGAGGCGATCAAGGAGGTTGTCAAGGATGAGAAGATGTGAAGAGTTGGGGAAGGTGAGGCCCGCTCGTGTGCCCGAGCCCAAGTCCAAGCATATGGCAGATATGCGCTATCGGCTTGACTTGACTCGACTCGAAATATAAATGACACATCCTATCTGTTCAGACTGGGCGAAACACCGATGGCCCTTTCTGTCCCTGGCGACTTGTCCGATCTCATGCGGAGGATGGGGTGAAGAGGTTGCTGCGTGTTCCGCGGAATAGACGCTAACTCTCATTCCGAGTCTGAATATATCTGCACACTTCGAATCTCCGAGTGATCTCGCCATTTGGGCCGCTTCCACCACATCCTCTCCCTTCCATCTCCCTCCTGCTTCCTGCCTGCAGAAACCTTGTCGTCGAGCCCCAACTTCCTCCCAGTCCCCAATCGCGATTCTCGTCCAATATAAAGAAAAGAGCCTCAATTGTTCACCCCGTATCAATGACAAGCCGTCTCCTTGTACGCCCGCGTCCCCTGCCCCGAGCTGCCAAAGAACCAGTACCCGACCCCGGCCCCGACCGCGACGGCAATCATGACCCAGCCGTTGTACGTCATGAAGAGCAGCATGATCATGAAGGCGTAGAAGTTCTGCAGGCCGTACAGGGCCGACTTGACGAGGCGGACCTGCTTGCTTGTGCCGCCGTTGTTGCTGCTGTAGTCGCCGCCGCCGCCGTTCGTGGAAGTGGAGTTGCTGTTTCGTCCTGCGATGATGGTGGGTGTGAGGAACGGGGTTGATTCAGTCACTGCTGGTTGCTGCTGCTGCTGCTGTGTCTGATCGTGACTGGAAATGGAGGAATAGAGGAGGTCTATAGGTTTCAGGGAATCTTCTCTGGAATGTGGAGCAAGAAGCGGGAAAGGGGGAAAGGAGAAAGTCCCGCCCGCCCGCGCCCGCCAGCCTGCAGCCACAAGTCCAGAGCAGGTTATATCTTAGCCATTTGGGGGATTTTTGGTTCGCGACCGCTTTCAATCTACATGGAGGCAGAGAAGAAGGAAAGTTTGTTTTCGATCCCGTTCGGCGTGTTGTTTGTGTTGTGAGGGGGGAGGAATGGAGCTAGGTCTGTTTGGACGGGGATGGAGGGCGGCGGGGGGGGAGGGGCCGAACGAAAAGCAGAGCCAACGGCAGCCTATATCCTTTTGTCTAGTCGATAATCACAGCGTGAATCTGCCACGAGAGCTCGGCGGAATATATTCTCTGGGAGACACCCTGGGTCTACACCCCTATGCTCGACCAGGCTCGGAGCAAACTGACGCATGAGAAGAAAGGAACAAGTCACACTTACTGGGCAGCGCGTCGGGATGGCGGGTGGTACGCTCGTCGTAGCGGCGAGCGGCCGCGCGGAGGGCCTCGTACCCGGCGGTGATGGCGACGATGGCGAGGAGGGAGAGGATGAGCGAGCCTGGGCCACGGATGTGCCACTGGCGGAAGACGATGCAGAGGTTGTTTGTATTCCAGGTGAAGAGCATGTTCATGCTGCAGCGGTCGCCGCCCATGTCCATGCCGCTGTGGTCCATATGCGAGTGGTCCATGGTGACAAGATGTGGTGGGTGTACTCGGGATATATGTGGTGCGCGCTGTCGAGTACAGCTGGGGAAGCTACAGTGGTAGAGGACGGTGATGATGATGATGATGAGGGGATGAGGTGAGGTGAGGTGAGCAGGAGTCCTGGTCGTCGTCCGAGGTCAAGTGTCGCGGCCTGTTTCAGGGTCTACCCTAGGGTACACTAGGCCCGCCCAGCCCTTGACGTCCTTGGCGCTTTCCCCAAACTGGCAGTGGGTGGGGCATCCCCTCCAGGGGTCCTCCCATTGTGGGGGAACTCCGAGGTCTTGCTTCGGACGCCACCATCAATCCTGTAAGAATAACCACTGAAAGTGACAGGTGAGACATTTTTGTCATCTGCCCGTGGTGAAGGGTTCTCTGTCATACACTCGGCTGACCCTCCTACGTCTCGGCCATCAGACCTCCCGGAGGCTGGTAGGTAAGCCGGTCGAAGGGACAATGTAGGAAGCCACTAGAAGGCCCGCACCCGGAAACCTCAGGAAGCTGTAAGTCGTGTCTGATGGCACAGCAAAAGAGGTTGACAGCGCCTTGGAAGGAACGAGCTCCCCAGTGTAGCCCTTCGAGCGATACGATGAGATTCGCCGATGCTGCATGGTGAACCTGCTCGACATCAAGTAGTGCTACAATGACGGTCGCGAAGGTGACTACCGCAGCTGGCTCTCACAGTCTAGTGGAAGGCTTGTGCCTCGCATGAGCTGCTGGCGAGTAGGAGCACACGAAGTATCAGTGGCGCCTGTCAGCGATGATGGCCATCTTGAGAGGCTTGACAATGAGGGCGTCAAGCAATCGGTGATGGGAGTTTGACGTCCAACGTGCGAGCTGGCGCTACGAGTCGCATGAGCAGAGATGACTCTAGTTTCTTGTTGCTCTTCCAGGAGAGCATATCCATGTCAGTCGGACATGATGGGAGTCATATATTGCCCTCCAAGTCTCCGTGCAACACCCGCTCACTTATACCGGGTTTTCCGAGCAGAAGGTGGCACACTAGCGCCAGGCATTCTATCGTCTAAGCAAGACTCTCTAATGCATACGACTTGAGTCCTTCATGTGCGCAACACGAAATTTCACTTGGCGAAATCACAATCTTACCAAGGTATAGAGTTCCTACTCCATGACGTATCGAGGGAGGCCAGGCCCGGCAGTTCCGGTCCTCCGTCAAACCACAAAAGTGGGACCCTGCCGGCCCTCCGCTTGCGGGCGGGGGGAACGTCTTCCCACGCGTGGGGTCGGGTGTTTTCTCTCTCCGGGACTTGCAATCTTCTTCTTCAGAACAGCCCCGTCCAGCCATAGAATAGCCCCTGCATATCCAGCACAGCCTGTGGCTTCAAGATCGACACAGCAATATCTATACGCGCACATACAAGAAACTCGCGATGCCGCTTGGTCCGCCTGTCAACCTGCCCAAGTGGTTAGTAAGCCAGCTGTCCATCGCCAGACATCACATATCCGCCGCACCTGAGTCTCAAGATACATATATGCATATGCCGTCACGATATATCGAGTCGCACGAAAGACTAATAAAGGCCTTGGTGTCTGTCTCGCAGGCTCGAGGAGAACTCACACCTCCTCAAACCACCCGTCAACAACTACTGCGTGTATAACGAAGGCTTCACAGTCATGGTCCGTCACACTCATCCCTTCCCCCCAAAGTCCCTCCCTTCTCATCGTCACACGTACAGTTCCTAGGTGTCTCCCCCCTCTCTTTCTCACACACACACACTTACACTTAAACTCATACCAACATCAACTATCTGTCTCCTCTCACTTCCATAGAAAAAACGTTGGCTTCATCGCCCCTCTTCTCTTACCTCCGCAATCTATACTCACACAATTTTCCCGCTGGGCCAAAAAAAAAACACCAGATCGTAGGCGGCCCCAACGCCCGCACAGACTACCACATCAACGAAACCCCAGAGTACTTCTACCAGCACAAGGGCGCCATGATGCTCAAGGTCGTCGACACCGTCCCTACTGCTGCGGCTGCTGCTGCTGCTTCTTCATCTGGCGCTGGCACCACCACAAAGCAGGTTTTCAAAGACATCATCATCCGCGAGGGCGACATGTTCCTCCTCCCCGCCAACACGCCGCACAACCCCGTGCGCTTCGCCGACACGGTCGGCGTGGTGCTCGAGCAGCGCCGGCCCGAGGGCAGCCTGGACCGGATGCGCTGGTACTGCCAGTCCGACACCTGCGCCGGCAACAGCACCGGTGGTGGGACAGAGGCAGAGGCAGAGGCTGAGGCTGAGGCGCCCACCATCGTCCACGAGGCGAGCTTCCACTGCACGGACCTCGGCTCGCAGATCAAGGAGGCCATCGCGGCCTTCATGGCGAGCGACGAGAAGCGCAAGTGTCCCCGGTGCGGGACGCTGGCCAGCTCCCTGCCCAGGGAAGGGTCGATCCAGGACCCGAATCTTGTTTCCGCCGCTGCTTGAATCCCCCCATCCCCCACGCACACTTTGGGGATCACGTTCGCCAGAGTTCAGCAAATAGGCTCAAGATGTGAAGGGAGGTTCAAACCAAAGTTGCCATGATTATTATGCTATAACTACCTATAACTATGCCAAATCCTCGTACGGTCTCGATCCTGAGCCGCGTGTATGCTTTTTTGTAAGAATTGTGTGAAAACAAATGCGTAACTATACAATTGGTAAAACATGGTGGCGGCTTCTGACCATTCCTGCCCGTCTTAGCCGCCCGACGTCGAAGAACGGCTCGCGTGAGTGTGTCGAACTAGTCGGTGTTCTCGAAAGACGACCTCATATCTTCATTTGCTGTCATCTCAGGGTGCATTTGTCGTGTCGCGTATATGGGTTGACGAAAAGACACGAATTATTTCTTGAAGTTCACCCACTCGCACCGACAACCGCCCGTCCCTCCATCAATCCCACCAATCGAAGGATCGCGCTGAGCCATAGGGTTGACGAGCCCACCGCCAAAGCCACGATCGGCTATAATCAACTTGGCGTCCGTGGTATTGACGTGCTTGTCCTCCGTCAGCCCCCAGTAGTAGTCGATCTTCTGGGTCGGGTCACCTCCGTGCATATCCTCAGTCACTGTCACAGGGTACGGCATCGTGCCTGGCTTGGAGAAGATCGATGCCCCCTCTGTCCCCGGCGTCGTGCCGTTCCCGAGCAGCTGTGTCGTGTTCTCCTTGCGCGTCCAGATCTGTACGAGGAAGCGCGCCTGACCAAATACCACGAGATAGTTCGCGTCCTCCCGAGGCGCGCCGCCATCGCGGTCCAACGGGCTTGCTCTGACTTTGTCGTTCATGAAGATGGTCTTGTTGAAGTATGTATAGAAGCCGTAGTGCTCGGTTGGCAGGCCACGGTCAAACAGGCGAATTGGCTGCTGGACCGGACGAGGGAAGAGATGGGCAGGCGCAATGGTGCCATCTGCTTTCAGCCCAGGTCTGGGAAGCTGGTCGGCAATGTCAAAGTCGGCTGTGCCGTTGTCGCCGCCTGAGCCAATTTGATTGTTGAAACCTTGGCGGCGGGCCAGTACATTGGGTCCTACGGTCTCGTTCACAGAATGGAGAAGACTGATGTAGAACGGCGTCGCCTCTCCAGCCTTCTTCTCGGAGACGATACGGTCGGTAGTATTGCCGAGGAAATCCATGTCCTTGAACTTGGGCGGCGCTGGGCTCGGTGAGAATCCCATGGTAACGGGATCTGCACCGTCGGGTACACTCCAGGAGGCTTGTGTGTGGTTATCGAATTGGACTTGGAAGATGAACTCGGGCTGATTCGCGGCGAATGGAGCAACAGAAGCGTGCTCCTCCTTTGGAAGGGAGCAACTCCATGACGTCTTCGGTGTCCCTTGGTGCATGCAATCCGAGAACGCCACAGTGTTGTCCGGACCGGACATGGTGAGCACACCCGTCGGCATGGGAGGGAAGTTGGTCAAGTTGAGGAAGACAGAAACCGGCTCTTCTGTGTGCGTAACGATGGCCTTCCGAGTGAGAACTACAGCCAGCACGATGGCGAGAATGACGAGCGCCAGGAGACCACCAATGACACCCAGGCAGATCCGTCGTCGCTGGCGGCCTTCACGGCCCGTACGACCCATGCAACCATTCTCAGGCATGCAGCCACGGCCTCGCCAGAAGCCGCCGACCTTCCTTGCAACCACATCTTCCTTCTCGTGGCGTCGCCTTTGCCGCTCGGTCTTGTTGGCGCGTCCGCGGGCCTCGAGGAAGTGATCGCCTGGCAGGCTGCCGGGCGCACGGTCTGGAAGTGCCGTATGACCGAGAGCAGCAGGAGTAAGCGGAACATCGGAAAGACCGACCGAACCCTGGGAGGTCATCGTTCCAGGCAGCCCCGGTGTCGACGGCCGTGGCGATGCCACGCGTGCTTGTTGAGGGAAGAGCTGTGCAGGTGGTAGCACGACGCCATACTTGACCTGCTCTTTCGGAGGCGAGTAAGGTGGAGGAAGCTCGGGTGCAAAAGCGGCAGTGTTGCTGGCTGATGATGTCGGTGCCTTTTCGGCTGTGCTCTCGGCATTGCGTTGCGTCAAGTGACTGGTAGAGATAGGGGCAATCTTCTCAGACTGCTGGACCTCAACGATCCGGGCTGGGATTGCTGATGAACCAGACGTTTCTGCGTTCTTCTCATTCGAGTGTTTCCACCATTGCTCTGTGGAAGGCGAAGTGGTGGACGTGAGGTCGTGAGGAGTCTTTGCAGAAAAGGGGGTTGTAACGTGATCCCACCAGCCATGCGACCTGGACGCGGCACTGTCCGGAGTCATCGCCGTCACTGGTGGCCGGAGAGACTTTCTTGTGGCTAGCGGACTGCCGTCCTCCTCAAACAGAGTACATGGGGTGTCGAGATCATCATCCTCAGTCACTGCAGCATCCCCTGTCTGCTTCAATCGGCTGGTGGCCGGCAGCGGTGGTGCCGTGCCTGGCCCTTGAGCAGCAGCAATCGGAGGAAAGGTCTGGAGACCCTGTTGAGGAGAAATGCTGGCTTCTGTGTCCGGCGACCACACGGAGCGCAGTTGTTGTGGTGAAGAATTCGAATGGGCCTGGCTCTGCTGGCCCGGAATATGTGAGGCGCCGAACATGTTGGCTGGTGTCTCCAAGACAGCAGTCCATGGACTGACTTGATGGGATGCTGCGTTGTTTTCGGGCACCGCGATGCCAATCACAATGGGTCTTTCAGCAGGAGACAGATCTGCTGACGGGCCACGGCCGTGCTTCTTGACGCTCTTGTTGAACCGGGAATAGCCTTGCTTCTTCTTGAGCCACGAGAAGCTGCCAATAGAGGCCGAGGTCGGCTCTCCTTCGAGGGCAAGAAGGGCAGCAGTGTCTACGAATTTGCCGCGCTTGTCCTCCCGAGCGCTAGCCAAAGCCGACTTGGGGCCCGATGCTGCTGGTCTTCTGAACTTTGACATGTCAGTGACGAGCTTGATGCCAGCTTTTGCGTTCTGGGCCTTCTGGCGGCCCTTGGATTTGATACGAGAGGGGCGTTGGACTGAGTATCGGCTCTGAGGACCACGGAGCGTAGTTGTATCCTCCGAGTTGGGGATGGGGGTGATAGTGCTGTGGTGAGCGTCTGGTGAGGTCGACGTGGTCACTTTGCAGTCATCCTCGTCTTCCCAGTCCTCCCACTCGTCCTTCTGGTGGGAATTGGCGATGGTTGCCATTGCTAAGGCGGCTAGTCGGTGGCCTCTTGTTATTGATGAAAAGTTTCAGACGACTGAACGGATTAAAGGGAGTATGTGTATATATGTTTGTCAAGGCAAATGACGCTTGGGGAAGAGAATACAAAACTCTGGGGCCGGCCAAAGAGTTTGTGGATATGAAAAGAGCAGAGTCTCAGGGGCAGAAACGTTCGTCTGGCGTGCAGAGTAATGAGGTGATCGAGGCTGTTGATGATGTTTGACGGAAGGAGTGTCAAGATGAACAAGCTAGGAGTCAGGCGTGACTGGACGTGCAGAGGACGGCACAACGATGGCAAGTCAACTCCAGCACCAAAACAAAAGAAAGAGTAAAGGCCGCGTCACAAACACAGGACGACAGTTCCGACGGGAGGAGAAGCAGGAGATTCAATTGTGATTTGGGCAGGCATTGGCAGAGACGCGGTTTTGAGGCAGACGGCGGCTGGCCATGGGCCACCGTGCCACGCAAGCGCGGCCAGCCCGCGAGGCCGAAGCAACAGTGTCGCCACGTCGTCTGGCGATGGCTCTGGCGAGGCCATGGCGGCGCTTGAGTGGACGGCAGGAGAGGACGAGCGACATGTCCTGTGGAGCAGGCGACCGCGGATGGCCGGCGCGGGACGAATGGCAGGCCATGGAGTGCTGGTGGTGATGCGCGAAACAGATGAAGCGTTGGAATAGGCGCCGGAGGGGAGGGCTGGGTCGATGCTGATTCGCCAGGTGGCCCCTGCCGCCGGTAATGTGGTGCCTGGGCTGGCTGCAGGCCGGGCGGCAACGAGTGGCCCTGCTTGCGCGTCCCAGGCCAAGCCAGCTGGGAGGTGTCTGTTGTGCAACAATCTGGGACACGGAGGGAAGACACAAAGATGAGACGGCACGGGCAGAGATGCGACATGGCGAGGAACCTGCGCTCTCGAACAGGATGCCGTCAGCCAGCGATCGAGGCCGGATCTCGGTGTGGGAGTTGGCATCCCGGGGCCATCCCATCCAAACAACGAGCATCCTTGCAGGGCGGGTGGGATGTCCACCAAGGCTGCACTCTGTTGGCGGGGTTGTGTGCTGCCAAATATAGGCCGCCTGCGGGGCGGGCAGGCAGGCCGTCACTGGCCGGACGGCAGAACCCTTATGCAACTGGCAAGCCTCATGCAGCCCTTGAGCAAGAGTCCTCGAGGCTGTCACTGATTGCAGGCATTCGCATCCTTCCCTTTCCCGCCGGCGCCGACTCGGCCAAGTCTCTACCTACTTCCATCAATTACCACCTGGGTGAGCTAACAGTCGCAAGTGGGAGTTGCACGACCCCAGCTGCTCGATGGCCGACTCCAGGTCGGTCCAGCCGTTGTCAAAGAATGAGGCAACTAGCAGACGCAACCTCGGACGCACCATGTGGACGCCCATACCTTACCTTAGCTGCCGATCTCACTTGCTCGACAGACATCGAGCTCGTCGACAAGCCAGCCCGACAGCCGTGGCCTGGTTTCGTCACAAGGGCTGCCTGGGTGAGGTGAGCAGCCACCACCCAGCAAGGGTGCTTGCCTATCCCGGCTGGGATTCTTGCACTGCCCAGCCTCACAGGCCCATCCACGTTACCTACAATGCGCTGCGTCCTGACGCCACCACCATCAGCATCTTCCGTCACCTGACATCAGTGGACGAATATCCAACAAACATGCGCGTCCAAAAGCCTATCGTGGCCGCTCCCGTGGCCTACATCCTCGCAAGACGCGCCTCGTCGACACCGCCCGATGGTCCGCAATGGCGCTGCGATTCTGTCTGGAACATGCTCCGGCCCGTTGCTTCCGACAACCCCCGGGAACATTTCCCCAGCGAATGGAGCCTGTGCTAGCGTCACCCGTCCGCTATGTCCGCCAACTTGGCGTACCCTCTCGCCTCTCCTGACCCAGCGTAAAACCAGGGAAGGAGTCCCTTCCAAGACTCCAATGCACCTCGCGCATGGTGGGGACCAGCACCCCCTCGAGCGATCCTGGACCTGTGGCTGCCCGGAGTTCGGAATGGGAGCAAAGCAATACTCTCCGTCCAGTCCAGAATCTCGTCGGCTATCCACGTACCCATGCCCACCCGATAAATCCTGCCACAGCGTCGGCGCCCGCACCGTTACATCATTAGCTCAGCATACTCAAGTAAGCCGGGCCAGACTTCGACCCTTCTGTGTGGTTAGGCTTGCGCTGAGCCACCACGAGCCTTGGTGCAGTCCCTCCGTGCCGAGGGCTGTCTTGCCGGACTGCCCGTCTCTATCTCCTCATCCCCCGTTTCGAGCCGCCAGGTCTTCCGGCTCCGGGTCTCCAATGCTCTGTGCCCGGCGACATGGGCCTCGCCACTGAACCGACGGGATGGGCGACACCGGAGGAATGGGCGGCCAACCGCGACATTATTGCCAACCTCTACATCGACGAGAAGCGGAAGCTCAAAGATGTCATGCGCATCATGCGCGACGAGCATGGATTTCATGCCACGTAAGCCTCGTGCCCAAACCCTCCCTACATGCGATTCTTCGCAGGCACGGGACGCCCTTGATGAACATCCTCACCTACAAACGGCGATATCGCGCCATAGGTCTCAAGGCGGAATGTACAAGCAGGATCATGACTAACCGCCAGACATGTGTGCCAGGGAGAAGATGTACAAAATCCGCCTGAACAAGTGGGGTCTTCAAAAGTATCTCAGGCATCAGACTCCCGACTCCTTCAAACATGGACGGCGGGCCCTAGGCAAGCAGGCGGAACAATTCCTCGATCGTGCACTGCCCGTTCAACAAAAGCGCCTGAGTATCGTGTCCGTGGAATGCGGCGGCACGGCAATTACGTCGCCCAAGCCGATGACACCACGCGTGCTGGCGTCCCCGGAGCAGTGGCGGTTGCCCGAAGAGTGCATCTTCATCGCTCACAATTACTTGTTCGGAACATTTGAAAGTCGCACTTGGACGCCACCGGCAAACACGGAACATTCGTTGGTCTGGATCCGTCAGGTCGCCATCGGATCCAATTGTCTTAGCCGCAATATGACGGATCTTGGGTTCTCCATGCTCGAGCTTTGCTTCGCCAACTTTCGCGCACGGCTCACGGCTGCAGAACCCCATCTGCTGTCAGATATTCTAAGCGCCCTTGCACAGCTTTCACGATCGTCAGACGAACTCGTGGACGTTTTCGTCAACTATGCGCTTGGCCTATGTACCATACTGTGTCCCATAAACCATCCTGTGCGGCAGCTCCTCTCAAATCTCCACAAACAGGGCTGGACCAAGATCAAGCCTCATTTACAGAATATGCTCGCTGCCTATTGGGAGACGGCACGACTGCATGCCGACCCTCGGGATCCGTACATCGATTTGCAAGAAGGCCACATTACCTTCCTAGGAACAATCGCGGGCTGGCTTCATCCACATCATGCAGTGACTTCGATACAAAATATCCTGCGGCGGCGGAAGTTACAAGGTCTCGTTGACCCTATAACAGACCAGCAGATACACTCTGACCTAGTCCTCATGCTCTACCATTCCGGCCAATGCGAAGAGGCCAAAAGCTTAGCCCTCGAGATGGTAGAAAGCAAGCCCATCTATCCTTCGGCCGTGACCAATTCTCATGCTATTCTTGCCCAGGTGGCCGAAAAGGACGGCGAGATTGACGAAGCCATCGCATGGGCCCGCAAGAACTTCACCTATGCAATGGCGACGTGGGGTCCCGGGTACCACCGCACTGCGCAGACCGTGTTGGAGCTGATATTGCTCCTCCGCAAGGCAGAGCAGATTGACGAGGCTCGGCAGCTCGTCCAGATATTCGACGTTTCGTGGGAAGAGTTTTGCAAACAGCTAGAGAAGTCGGAGACATTGATGAGTCGCGGCAAGCGGTTCAAGGCGCGGCCCAGCCTGCTGTTCATCAAGGGCTTCCATGCCCGGTTTCAGCAGGCATTCGACGAAATGGAACATGGCGAGATGATCAATCGTACCGACGTAGGGTCTCAGACCCCAAGTCCCAACTCTAGCGCCTCGTTGTCAAGGAGTGGTTCGGAATGATGGCATGTTGGGTAGGAAGAGATGAAAGGTGCAAGGTGGTGATTCAGGTACACCTCACTACCACTGAGGGAAAGACCCGACGTATACAGAGACCTCGAAGATAGGAGCATCCATATGCCGACCTGGATGTATGCTTGCCCATCGACCTGTCCGCGACATCATACGCTGGAAAAGAAAGTAGAACCGGCAAGACGAAAAAATTAAATCAAGTCAAATAGGCAGGCAATCAACCTGGGGTGGCATGATCAATACGTGCATGATTCTTTTCAGAAAAGACTTCAGAGCTACACGCGTTGGAGAGACGTATATTTATCAATTACGATCATGAACTGCCCAGCATTGACTGTAGAGTGCATACAATAAAACGAGGAGCTCGCGTGTAAGGGTCCCACCACATTCGAAGCAATTCTGCTTGTTGACAGCCATAGAAGCGGTAGGCACCCCCGCGTTTTGTGAGTGCGGTCAACCAAGAACATTTTGCCCGTCCTTAAGCTTGCCTACGTATGTAAGCAGATCAGCTCCGTTCTACTGGTCACGTTGTCTTGATATATCGTCAATGGGACCTGGCAATTTGATGCGTTCGTGAGAACCACGGTATCCGCCATTCATTGATTACGAAATGATATCTTCTACAGCTCCTGCTTCGCTTCCTCGGGGGTCTGAGGCGCCCGTGCAGCCTGCAGTAACGCCAACAGGTCCTTGGCCCAGTCGCCGCCTTGCCCGTTCTTGATCACCGTCTTGAGGTGATGGTCCCAGCAACTCCCATCGTCCCAGCCCGCACCGCTCTGCGCGGCAGTGCCACAGACGACGTCCGGCGTCGCTGCCGCCGCCGTGCTGCTGCTGCTGCCGCCCTCATCGTTCCTGGGCCAGACGCCCGTGACGGCACCGGCGTCAGTATCTAGGAACGTGTCCGCCACGATCCTCGCGACCTTGTCCTTGCGCGCAGCCCACGCCTCGTCGGGGGTCAGCAGGATCTGGAGGAACTGGCGCATCCCGCCGGAGGCCAGGAACTCGTCCCTAATCACGGGACTCTTCAATAGGCCCCGCAGGACGGCGAGGGTCAGGCGAGTCTGGTCGGACTCGAAGCGGGACTGGGCCGTGGACATGGACGAGGACGAGGACAAGGATGATGGGGCGAGGTTGTCATACAGGGTATCCTTGAGCGAGACGGGCTGCAGTCTGCACGACCGGTCCATCAGGCCGCCGGCGGCCCAGGACTTCTCGAGCGCGGCGAGGCTGGCCGGGTTATTCCTGATCGCGGCCGCGAGGATCGAGCTCGCCAGGAAATCGGGCCTCTCCTCCATGCCGGTCTTGCTGGCATCAGAGGTCTGCTCCATTGTGGTGTGGTACGCGTCCATGTCCCGCTCGAGCAGGATACAGAAGAGCGCCTGCACGAGGTCGGCGTCCTCGGAGATCTTGAGGCCATAGTACATGTCGTGCGACAGGTCCTCGAGCTCCGCAAGGGCCGGGACCAGAGTGCCCGCCTCGACGCCGTCGGGGAGGGCTACGTGGTCCTTGACGATGGAGCGGGAGTGTGCGAACTCGGTGTTCTGCTCGCGCGGCTCCTTGATCACGCCGTGGGGTTCGTAAGCCGGTGCTCCGGGCCTGGGGCCAGCTTGCCGTGAGTTGTCTGCCGCCTCCGAGTCTGGATGCTGGTCGACGAGGACGACGGAGTGGTCCACGGGCAGGCCCTCGAGTGCTGGGTCGTCTTGCTCGTTAGGGTTGTAGATCTTGGCGACTTTCTGCCCGGTCTGCATGTCAAGCTGCACGTGGAGGCCTGGCGGCAGGTCCTGGTCGTCATGGACGACCTGGAACTCGTGCGTTGCAGAGAAGATGCGAGGATAACATTCCGCCGGGTTTTCCGTGTGGCAGATGAGATCTGGCGAGTCTGCAGATGGCGATTGCTGTGACGCTGGTGGTGGTGGTGCAGCTGGGGCTGCGCCGGCGCCCGCAAGGGGTGATGAGATGAGGAGGACGAGGAAGGCAAGTGAGAATGTTGAGATTGTTGTCACGGCCCGACGCCGTTGTGGCCGCGTGAGTGAGAGCATTTTTTTTGCGTGTTGTGCAGGTTATGTGGGAGGTTGTACAGGCTGCGTGGCGTGATGCAGTGAAGCAAGCTTGTGAGCGTCAAATGTGCTTGACACGCAGTATTGGAAGATGATGAGTCTGACACAAGTATCCTGAAGGTGAATTACGATGTGATCAGGGCAGAGTGAGTTCCAGTTCCCAAGTACACGGGACAGTGAGTGTGTTGGAAGGAAAGCCCCCGCCGTGACGCACGATGATGGAGCAGTTGTGTGAGTGTTGTGCGATGTCTCTTTTGGTGGTCGTCGTCGTTGAAGCCTTATAAGTGGCGCTGTGTGCAGTGGTGGGTTGTGGGTTGATGTGGCCAATTTCCATGGTTTCTGTATTGGCCAGGTTGCAACTGGGACCAATGGACACGACGACGCAGAAGCTTGCAGAAAGAAAGAGTCATTCGCTCTTGTTGATGATGCTTGGGCCCATGCACATGGGCCCGGAGTCATCCGCCACGGCTTCCTAGCGTATCTACTGTAGCACGCAGCATGTTGGCAAAGAAAGCCTCTTTGAGAAGACGGGTATTGTCTTGTTGATCGATGGATGATTGTAAGTGAATGCCGGCATGCAAGCCCATGTCTCGATGCCTGCCGTGCAGTGTGTAGTGCTCTCAAGGTTACCCGGCACTCGTGGGCCACAGTCTCCTGCAGGCGGCTCTGAGAGCACTCCCAGGCGAGAGCAAACCCCCCCCCCTTCTCAAAGGTGGAGGCAGCCACTCCTGCCCTGATTGGCTGCCGAGCTCCCATCCAATCGAGACTGCCTCAATTCCAACTGCGAACCACTGACCTCACGGCACGCCCAGCGCAAGAAGCTCGCCGACGAACGACGACATCTGCAGCTTCGCAACGCTCCAATTGGCAGACCCCCTCGCACTTCTGCCGCCCTCACGACCCTCCCGAGACGACCACACAATGCAGGCCTTCCGGACAAGAGCCGCCTGTGCCGCCCGGCAGACGGCAACGCGCGCCTCTCCGCTGCGCTCTCGCTCATTCGCCTCCGACCATGGCCACGGCCACGCAGCGCCAGAGGTTGCCGAAGGCCTTGGTGTATGTATTCCTTCACTCTCGCGCGAGAGAGAGAGATCGTAGTCGCGCAGTGACTCGGCTCGAGGTCACGGTGGCAAGGGGGAAGAAGAAAAGGCTGGACTGACACGCACGCGGCACACATAGACTGCGTTCTACGTCTTCGTTGGCGCCATTCCGCTCTCCATTCTCGGATACCAGATCACCCGGCCCGGCAAGGACGGCGAGCCGTCAAGCATGACAAAGTGGCTCCAGGGCTTTGACGCCTTCAACGAGACCGAGCGCCGCAACACCATCCGCACAAACATTGTCGAGGAGGCCGCACACGACAAGCACCTCTTCTACTACGGCCAGAGGAACCAGCACGTCGAGCTCAAGATGCCCGAGTATGTCTACCTTGTTTTTTGTCTCTCCAAGTAGCATTGGGGGAAGTAGTGGTTTTTAGTTGCATGAGGACCAAACTTGAGTGGGACGGGATTGCGCATATATGCGACGGCACAAGCGAATCTCGAGGCTTGGCTAGAGACGTTTTTGTTTTTACCTTTTTACCCGCGCGGCGCAGACTAACCTTGATGTCCAATGCAGGCTCTTCAACACTGGCTCGCCATACGCAAGACCTGCCGGCCACCGCGCCGCCAACCTCGAAGCCGTCACAGAGCACTACCGGAAGCAGTACGAGGAGGAGGAGGAGCGCAAGATCCAGAAGCTCGCCGCCCTCAAGAAGAACGAGTCATCATGAGCTGGCGATTAGCGAAGGTCTGGGATGAGCGGCGGGACAGTTGGGTGAAGTCACCATTAGAGCGAGAGAAGAGCATATGAGGGGGAAAGGTGTACCATACCAGCAGCGAACGCACCGGATGAGCCAACAAATCTGGAGGAGCTTTCAAGAGACTTCCGACCACAAAGTATATAGACGTGGAAGAATCTCTGAAGCTGCTTGCAAGTAGGCACACAAGAAGATGCATCGGGTCTCGGTAACCCAGCATGGTCAAAAAATTCCCATTTGTATTTCCATCGTCTATGGATGGGGAGCTTTGCGCGCCAATATGATCCCCTGTGCTTGCTCGTACACTTCAATAGGAGAAGCTGGAGAACAGTGTAACGCAACCTAGCTCTCTGGCTAGTGTCTTGTTGGAGTCGCTAGGGCAAGAAGGAATCACCACATGTCGCATCTTCTCTAAGCCCATCATCATTGTTGCCACACCGACGCTCGGGTTTGACAAAAGTCACTCGACAAGTGGTAACGAGTACACTCAAACGCCTCGCAAAAACATCGAGACTTGAGCGATTTATCAAAAAAGAAATCGCCATGGGACAAAAGGTTCCGTTCAGGATATACAGGAATAGTCCTACCGCGGCCTCTTGAGCACATCATCTCCCGGCAAGTGAACGCCAGAGAGAATGTCGCATTCGCCAGACGCCACTTTGTCCTCGAGTCGATCATGCACCCGACACTTATTTTTGTGTGGTGCCTTCTGGATCGATGTGCAAGAGTGGCTCGCTCCATGAGCAGCAGATCATGAACTGGCATTGTTCCAAAACGATGGACCCGCGCCGCTTGGTTTGGATGCACATAAAGAGAAGTACATCTGGAAAAGTGGAAAGGTAACATCAAGATATATTATGCGGGACATGGAAGTGGGGAAGACTCCAGAGGACCATCTTGGTACGCATCGACGCTTGCGAGATATCAAGGTGACAAGGCAAAAGTCCTTGAACCTGGGCACACAGAACAACAGATGCATAAATGGCTGGGGCGGCCCGGGCGCCAACATCATCTCCCACGAAAGATTCGCAGCAGAACAGAGCACAAACACAATACGATACTGGTATTGAAGACGCTTTGAGAATTTTTGTTCCTTTTTTGATTTCTCTGCTCATAACAAGCAGACCCACGCATGGGACAACGCGTTTTCATTTCGTCGTCATCCTGTGCATCGTTGCCGGTAGCGGCATTGTTTTTCAAAAGCTCAACTACCGAGTAGTAAAAAAGACCATCCCGTTCGCCTGTACCGTATGATGAATGCAGCCATGATCTTTTTCCCTTTTCGCCAACATGTCCCCAACGCTCGATCGACTGTTTACTTGAGAGGAATGAAACGCGAAGAGTGGGTGGCACCGATACCGGGTCTGCCGTGCTTGACGGGCTTGCTGTAGAAGTTGTTAGCGACCTAGTGTCCCCTCGTCGACTATGCCGTCTGGAGAGTGTAGCAGAGGGTGGGAAACGTACTATGAGATGGAGAACTCGGCGAGGTAGTGGCCAACCATCTCGGGCTTGATCTCGACCTGGTTGAACTCCTTGCCGGAGTAGATGCCGATGACGCTGCCAATCATCTCGGGAACGACAATCATGTCACGGAGGTGAGTCTTGACAAGGTCGGGCTTCTCGTTGGGCTTGGCCTCCTGCTTGGCCTTGCGGAGCTTCTTGATCAGGCCCATGGGCTTGCGCTTCAGGCCGCGGTTGATCCGGCGGCGGGCGCGGGCGTGGACGACATCGCGGAGCTGCTCGGAGTCGAGGTCCAGGAGACTAGAGGTATTCGACTGTTAGTGTCTTTTCCTTTGAAGTCTGCATGGTTGTTGAGCATGTGTATGATTGCATAATGTCTCGTCCTCCTCTTTCTCGCTCTTCGATCCCTAGCACAGCAAAATGCGCAGTTGCCTCGCAGATGGTCTTCGACAGAGAAGGGCTGCGCCAGTCGGGATCGATGTTGTTGAGAGAGCGTGCCGTTTTCGGGACGTGGTGGTGGTGGTGGTGTGTGGGCGGTGGCTCAAGGCCGGTGCTCTGGAATTCATGGCGGAGGTGCAACATACGCATCAAGGTCGATGCCTCTGTAAGAGAACTTGCGGAACTGTCTTCTCTTCTTGATCTCGGCGGCCTCCTCGGCGTTCTGTTGGCGGCATAAAAACAAAATGTCAGTCCACCGTCGCATTCCTCATCGATCGCATTGGCGAAGCGCCCACGACGACATTGGGCTGTGCTCGCGGAGAGCAAGGACGATGTAAACGTACGTAATCAGGGTCGTCAGCCATTTTTGCGGATTGGGTTGTTGTGTCCGGGAGTGTGCTTCTCGATGGTTGCAATTCCTTGATCCAGGGAGCGCTCTCAGATTGTAGTCGTGCTGGAGGAGGATTTCGACGAGGGGGACCACTTTCTGGTTTTTGCAAAACCAGTAGCGAATTTGTGGTGTGGGGACCCATTGAGCAAGTGCAGGTCCTCGTGGTCGCGCATGGGTGGTCTGTGCACGTACTCCTTCTTGGAGTCCCAGGTAGGCGCAACCGCTCTTGGGTTTCCCGAGATACTTGCAGTACCTACGTACGTACATTTACGCGTATTTACGGCCGGAGCAACAGCTCCTTTCAACCCCGATTCTCGCCCCCCGGGCATGGCCCGAGGTGTGTCCCAGCACTATCCTTACACGGGGTGAGATGGATGGGCAACTGCTGAGGTATCCCGGTGCCAGAGTTCGACGATCTATGCGTGTTGGGTAGTCAGACAAGCGTCGTTGGCTGGCCGTCTTGAATCCGGCCGGCCACAGCCGCCAAAGCGTGTTGTCATTGTGAAGCATCTTGAGAAGATTTGATCTTGGAAGTCGTGGATCTCATGTCTTTCGTGATAGTATTAGTGGCACCATGACCCACTCTTGGCTTAGTCCTTCCGCCGTAACGATGGCTATCTATCCATAGATATACTGTACATCAACAGAAACGAGAGCGACTTGAGGTACAGAGTCAGAGACGGCGTGACCACTTGAGATCGTCACCTCCATGTCCCCTCAATTCCAAAACACCTCCTTTCGAATGGATATCACGAGTGCTAAACGAGGGATGCTCAACGCTGATGAACGAGCTGGTCAAGAATCAAACCCCAATGAACTTTTTGCTGGTGCTGAATGTGCACGCACCCAGCACATCCGGAACGCCCTTCTCCTGTAAAATCCCACTGCCATGAAACCCTCCAGTCGATAGATAGCTGGTAGCTTTGTAAGCCAGGTATATCTTCCTGTCCTGTTATTGTATGGGTGCTGCTGATGAGCGCGGGAAACGTGTCATGCCTTTTTTTGGTCGTATGGCACCATCTTTAACGACCTGCGACATGCGCCGCACCGTCTCGCTATCAGACACGAGCTCAAGCTGGTGCGACGCAGATGACCACCGCACTATAGTGTGGCCGCCTGCCCTAGTCAACTTTCTCGACTTCAAGCGCTGGTCGCGCTTCGATCTGGTGACGTAGATTCGCGAGCTCGTCTGTGAGGTAGCCGATTCGTTCTTCCTGACTTCGCTCCGTAGATTCCATGGCTTGCAGGCGGTCGCTAAACTGCCGTACCTGCTCCTCTAGACTGTGAATATATGTCCAGATGCCGTGATCGTTCGCAAATAAGTTGTTGCTCGAACTGTCGCCACTCCCACCAGTCTGCCCGTTGGTAGACAGATCTGTTTGACTTGGCAGCCCGTGTGCTGCGACGGCATTTGCGACGCTCGCAGTGGCGCCCGCAGCCGCAGAAGCAGCGTAACGTGCCGCATCGGCAGCGCTGAAGCCTATTGTTGCAGAGTAGTGTCAGCTTTCAAGTCGGGATTGGTGCTGTACAACCGAAGTTGCCGGCCAAAACTTACCTGGTGAAGAGTGCCGGTCTGTAGGGTCGCGACCATATGACTGGTGCGGCGAGTAGTCTAAGAAAACTCCATGTCAGCTTGGTCAATCCTCCTGCGAGAGTGGATTCATCCTTAGGGGTGGTAATTTACTTTCTGCGATTGCGTTATGCGATTCTGCAGACGCGTTTGCGGCCAAGTTTGAGATACTCGACTTCAAGGCCTCGAGCACGCTGTCGGATGGGCCAGAGGCATAGGTATGCGATGGCGTGTGATGCGACTCGGAGACCTTATCACTGGCTTGTGCATGGGATGGTTTGAGACTTTGAATGTTGAGTCGTTGGCGATCCTCATCCGAGAGTCCGCCGTCATTGGCACCATCGTAGACGACATCTGTCATTACGGAATCGCCCTCGAGCTGGCTGGTGCCCTCCATATCGTCATCCAAAAAGCTGCCGCCCATGCTGCTGCGACGACCAACGCATCCCCCAGGTCCCTTGCTGTGACGGGCGAGGGCATCGCCCCGAGCAAACTTGCGATCGCACTTTGGACATATATGAGGCTTCTCGCCAGTATGGAGTTTGCTGTGGCGCTTCAAGTCGTGAAGTCTTCGAAACCTCATCTGACATGTCTGACACACATATGGCTTCTCTTGACTATGCGTCAACAGATGGCTCTTAAGATTATGATGTCGCGTGAACTCGGTTTCGCAGTATGGGCATTTATGCTTCTTCGAGTTTGGCGATCGTGGCGCCGCGATATTGCTTGAAGTGAGGGGCATTGTCATGCCTCGCGCTGGTGGTGCTGGCATCGACTCGGCGGGCGGAAGAAGCCCGGGGTACGACATCGACATGCCGCCCTTCTCCTCTGCAGATGTAGTCGAGGTTTGCGGCATAAACCCCTGCCGATCGTTGCGACCATCAATTTCCATGGGGGCCGGACTCTCGGTAATGGGTACAGACGCATCGGATGCAGGTGGCAAGCCGACTGTGCCGTCCGCGGCGATGTCTCTCTTTTCCTCAACCTCGGGTCCAGTCGCTGTCGTCGGCACCGTGATCGCCATCGCCGTCGCATGTGAATCCGAGGGGTCTGCCACGTGCTGCACTTCCGCAACATGCTGTGTCTCGTGCGGCGCTGTCTGCGCGTCCAGTTGCGGATCTACGTGATGCTCGATTGACTGTTCGGGTTGTTGTTCGACTTGTTGCTCAATGTGGTGCTCCATCTGAGCTTCTGGCTGCATCTCCGAAGTCTGTTCGACATGATGCTCGGTACCATGGTGCGCTTCGGTGTGGTTCTGCTCGACATGGTGGTCGTCGATGAGGGGCGCATCCTGGGGACGGCTCATCGCCAGAGACTCGGCCGACATGAGCGCAACCTGCGCACGGTAGGCAGGGTTGTCGCTGGCGCCGGTCACCTGTAGCCTGAACTGCTCGTCGTGCCTGCGCCTCTCGTCCTCTGCAGCGGCAGCGCCAGTCAAAGGCGCAGGCGAGCGCCTGACCGAGACGTTGAGCAGCCTGGCTGACTTGGTTGGCGACAGCGCAGGGTCTATTTGCGCGGCGAGGTCGGAGTTTGGCGACGTAGGCGTGGCCTCGCGCTGCCGCTTCAGCGACTGCGTAGCGCGCGCCGCCGCCTCGACCGCCAATGACTCGATCGAGGTGGGAGCTTGGGCAGTGGAGCGATGAGAGGCGGGTGGTGAGAAGGGCGGGGGGTCAGTCACGACAGGACCTTTCTCAGCCTCCATGAGTCTGGGCTGGGGCTGCCCCGAGAGCGCAATTGAGCACTCTGCGAGGCGATTGTCTGGAACCCAGACAAGAATGGACTGCGACGGGGCGTTGCGCGTCAAGGGCGCATCGTCAAGCTCCCAGGGCGAGGCGGCGCAACTGTGTGGCTGAGGAGCGTGGCTGCTTGGGCGAGAGTGGTGATGGGGTGTTTGGTGGTTCGCGATTTGAGGCGCGTGGGTGTGTATAAGTCAGTAGGTGTTTGGCGCCAACATGAACAATGGCAGAATTTGCCACGGCCGCATGCTCAGAGGTAGACAGGAGAATTGCCTCGGGCCGGAGCAGAGGAGCAAGCGATTATCGATCGCAAGACCAGGGGACTTCTGCACGAGTATTAGTGGCAAATGCAGTCCAACATGGCAGTCGCGACAAGCAGCGCCTGGGCTGGGCGATGAGGCGTATGGGCGAGCGGGCGGCGCAGAGAATTGTGGCGGAAGAGGGAGCGATTGGGGGTGCAAAGAAGGAAAAGGACGACTGAGCCTCAGGGACGGGGGGGGGCGGACTGGGGGGGCGGAGGGAGAAGGCCCAGCACTTGAGTGGCCACACATCAGGCTGGGAAGGGGGGGCGACTTCGAGGCCGACCTCAACGATGCACCAACTCCGCCAGCCGCTACTGATGTGGCCAGGATCAAATCCGATGTGCTTGTCACTCTGCCTGCCCGCCCAGCGCGCCGAGGTGTGCGACGCTGCGCTGACAGGCGGCACTGTGCCGGTGGCGCAGAAACTACAGTGTCTCACTACCTCTCCTTGCCCTTGGATTTCTTGTGTATCTCATGTACACTCTGTACAGTTGTTCCATCCCAGGCCCGACTGTGCCTGCTGCCGTCTGCTCCAGCCGAGTTTGAGCGCTGGATTCGCCCCGCCGTCACCTATGCGTAGCTGGCTGGCACGCTTCCACGCTTGCCCGTGCAAGGGATCGGTCCCCCAGCGCTCTAATCCCAGCGTCACATCCAAGCTGCGACCACCGCTCCTCTCGCCCATCGATGCATAGCTCTAGCAGCAGCCACCTGCTTATTACCTATTACCTCATCCAGCTACGTTTCAAGTGTTCCGTTTCGGTGGTACATAGTACTGGCCCCCTCGCTCGTGGGGCCGTCGGTGCTCCGTAAAAAGACCTGGCTGGGGATCAGCAATAATCTCCTGTGTCACCGTTTTTGCCAGGCAGGCGCGTCAAGGGTGACCCCGGCCTCTCCACACGAGGCCATCAGCCCACAATCAACAACCGGCAGCATCGTGGCTGGGCGCTACTGCGAACAATCGTCCCGCCCGCTCGTCAACTTCTCGCAGCCATGTCGTGGGCTCTCCCGTCAGCCCGACTCCCCACGGTGCCTGCATAAACTCGGCCTGGGCCCGACCACGATGCGCTTATGTCTCTGAGCTGTGCGGCAGCGCCGCGCGATCGGGACGATACCAGTAGCGGAAGTCAATAGTCGAGAGAGAGCGAGGAAAGTTATGCCCCTCCCTCTGATAGGACCACACGGGAATAACTCGAGACAATCGAGGATGGCTGTCCCTGACCCACAACCCATCTCTGCCCAAATGAGCTCTCAGCAAAGAATACGAGATGTTGAAGTCGAAGATCGGGCGAATGTGACAAGGACTCGGATGTCACAGCCCAGCCAGCCCCGCGACTACCAGCGAGGATGGGACGTCACCCCAGCCCAATAGCGTGGTGACCTGGCCCTGCTGTGGCCTTCTCCGGCAATTGCACCTGCGACATGGTCGCATTATTGGCCTGCTGGGTCAGCAACCCTGGTCCGCCCGACCTCCTCCATCTTTCTGTCCGAGTCGCAAAAGAGTAGCGGCTCGGTCCCATTGGATCATCTCTCCACAGCACGATCTGGATTCATTTTACAGATGACCATTGATCGAGGGCGCGGTTCATCTGATGCTCGATGTGCTGTAGGAGCGAACACTCCTCTCCAGATATGCTCGGGCGCCTGGTCAATTCCACGAAACCACTACTACGTCAGCCTGAGTGGAGCAGAGACGGACCATGACTGGCGCGGCAGATGTGCGGAGGTGGTTCTGACGCTGCGTTGTCTTCTTCTTCGATTGCTCATTGAGCCCGGAAAGTGGCAGACGTAGCCAGGTCTGGGGTATGTTGCGAGTACCCGAGTTCGGATCAACGGGCATCCTTACAGCAGATATCAGATTTCATGGCGGCCGAGACTGGCTTCCCAAGGTTGACGGCGCTGGTTCCGCCCACGCCTCACGCCACTTTCTCCACGGCGCAGTGGTTCGTCTGGAGCAATGGGTGAATAGGACAGAATCCCGCTAGCCTGTTGCCGATATGCACGGCAACGTCAGCAGCGCACCTCGCCTGACCCAATCTGGCATTCAGACGTGGCAGGGGGGGCTTGTGTGGTGTCGTGGGCACCACTAGCGCGGGTTGGTTTCCCGAAGCTCCACCAGGTTACGGAGGTATGACAAGTGCTGGCTAGCCTGGACTGTGGCTAGAGCCTCTCGCAGTCGTGTTGCGCCACAAATCTCGATATTCCTCCCACCCATACACCAGCGTGGAGATAGCCAGACAAACGAGCAGTCAAGCGAGACGCAACGATTGAAAGGCAACTTGCGTCCCTGAGCTGCAACGCCGCCTCTGGCGCTTCTGAGAAGCTCGTCTTTGCTCCACTTATACATCCCGAGGTCCCCTAGACGCGCTTGTGGTCCTAAGCCTCCAAATACCTGCTTGGTGTGCATTTGAGCAGGCAGGTTATGAGCTTGAGTAAAGTTTCAGAAGCACCGTTGTGTCATCAAGCTCCCGGCTCCGCAGCACTATGTTGCAATACTTTCGCCACACTTGCATGGGCTCGGGCCGAGAGCACAGTATCAGAAGCCCATAAGAGGTTGCAGAGGTGTGGCACATAGAAGATTGCTGTATCAGATTCTTAGCAGGCGGCAATCATTGTTTCGTGACATCGAACTTGGGTCACGTGTGGGCAGTTTCCAGCGAGCTGTAAGTCAGCAAGGATGTTGAGCAAGCCGATACTGGTGTTAAACCTGTGGTCCCAAACATACCACAAATGTCGCAAGGGCAACCGTGAGACTGATCAGGCTGTGGATACTGACAATGTGTACTTGTGTATGGTTCTCAGCGCTCTCAACACTGGATTTGGCACAGCTGTCTCGAGAGAGAGGAAGCGTAAGATCGGGCTGGGTATGCCCAACTGCACCCGGTATGTCGAGTACGTTGTGACACCTCACCACGACATGACGAGGTCCGCCACAAAGGACAGAAGGTCTACGGGATGCCATAGCGTATCTAGATCACCCATCCTGTAAATGTTCTTTGGGCTCAATAAGCCTCGCGCTCTGATTTTCTTACGGAATATGGGCTCGCCAGGTATAGTGTATCGTCGCGAGTGTGGCTTCCTATATCCAGCTTTGGCCCAAGGAATCATCTCGCAACCAGTTCGTCTTGCTGATGATGTATGGCGATGCTCATCTCGCTTGGTTTCCTCTTCCCTGGGAAACTGCCGTGACGAAATAGATGAATTGTCATGCAGTATGATAATAAATGCTGGCTTCTTTTGTAGATGGCCGTTCTGGAACCCCGAGCTGCCTGCCAGACTTGTCGTGTCTCTTGTGACACATATTCCTTTTATCATTGCAAGGGACTCAATATTGGGCAAGTGGGCGTCGTATTCTATTTAAGTTCAGACCAAGTTGGCCGCAAGGACTATCGCAGCACAACCGTGTGACAACAAGCAAACAAATTTCAGCATCACCCAGTCTCCATCTGGATTCTCGGGGAGAGGTATATGCATTGATGGCAAGGGACGAATTCACACGAGACAGAGCGTCGACCTTGAATTGGGCCTGTCGATGTAGACAACAGCCCTGAGAACTGACAACGTGCCACGAAAGCGCCAATCTCGGAGAGAAGTGGCATGGGGCCACGGAGTGAGTCGCCCGTCGCTCAGGATATGGCCGCGACAGCCTTGATAGTCTGGTCAATTCGGCCCTTGTCGTCTTGTCGCTACTGTTTGTACAGCGGGCTGGACGGACTTTCTTCTCCCAGACCGGGAAATCACAGTCACATCTTTGCGAAACTAATTCCTGGGCAAGTCGACGGAACGCCGTGCTGATTCTTTCTTTCCCTGGTCTCACATATCATAATCAAGCTCTGGGGGCACGGAATGGATGGTGATTAAATGGCGGACGTTAGCGTGAGCAATTCTTACCTTGGTCTGGGCTCCATGTGTCCGAACGTCGGCCGGAAGGAAGCTACCACAACAACCAGCCACGATAAGCAATTCAAGCCTCGGGGGCCTCAACTCATTGATGTGTTCTTTCCGTGCTATTTCACAAAAAAATTGTTCCAAGTAGTCCCTTCCACCTCGAGAACAATTCTCGGGGCAAGGACATGTGGATAGCCTCAACTTCTTCCTGTAAAGACACTCCCGTGCAAGTTATCGAGCCTGACGACGCCAGTGCACGCTGATACCGCGTGCGTTTTGAGACGGCAGGACGAGACACGCAGGCTGATGGGACGTACAATCACGTCTGAGCACCTTACGTACGTACCTAGAACGAAGAAAACGGAAGCCAACCCCCTTGCTGCGACGCTTCGAAACCCAACATCCGGAGCTGGACGCATGAACCTACCAGTCCAAAGCGGACGAAAATGCGGACGGTCCCCAGTGAAACTGAAGCGCAATCGTCAAATAAACCGGAGCACAGTTTTCCTCGACTGCTACGACGAATGAACTAAAAGGGTCGACTCCAGGCCTGAGCGAGCATGATCACATGGTCTGTCTCCTGCGAACCACGAAGTCACTTTTTGCTGATCCAGCCTGATGCGCTCGCGTGTCATTCATCTCGCAATGGCAAGCAGGATTCTGCTGGGCGGAGCTTGCCAGATGTACTGAGATAGGGCGGAGGCCAGGTCGTTGATTCACGCGTAACCACAAGATGCGCTCACCGTACTAAGCCGGCCGAGCCCGGCACAGCGCCTGACTCGCTGTGTTTTGTGGTGGTGAGGGCTATCAAGCACGAGCCTGACGCGAGATGACGGGGAAAAAGTGAAACTTTCGAGATTCGATGATCTCTTGTTTGCTGGGGAGCGCTAAATGAGCGTAGCATTTATGCTAATAGCAGCCAACGGCAGTTGCCCGGTTGGTAAAGTGACCCCTTGCTTGACATCGGAGTGATCAAAAGAGTAGGATCGGCTCGCCAGGCTGGAACTCCAGGTGCGGCACCAGTGCATCGCCACGACGCAAATAGCTAGAGCACCTGATTAGTTGTGGGAATGCTCTTGATGCATGCCAACATTTGTTGTTGTGTTTGCGGTGGTACGTCATCGTGGTTGCGAAGCACGGCGCAAGGATAGTTCCGCTCTGCACAGCCGCCGTGGACCGCCCTCCCTTGTTTCATTACGTGGGCTTTCGACCAAAGGGGGGTTTGCAAAGGAACTGGCCGAGAGGGATGGCAAGCACTACAATCTGGCATTCGTAGACTTCCGAGTTATTGCAACTAATAATCACGCCGCAATGTCCATGGCTCCGCTGCTCTGGTCTGGCTGAGCGCTGGTGTCGAGGGCCGAGCGACGGCACGCTCGCCAGCTGTCCCAATGAGGGCAAGCCAGGGGAAAATGTGCGGATTGCTGCCGATTAGCGTCGACTAATGGCTGGGCCATCCAAATTGTGCATGCTTAGCGCTGGTGTCTGGAGAAGGAAGGGCTGGAGTTGCGCGTGGAGATGGATGGCGCTTGTGCAATTTGGATGCCACTGAGTACTCGTTTCGGGTCGCGCCGTGAGTTGCAAGGGCGATGGGTACTGTAGAATAGTAACCCTTCAAGGGCGATGATCTTGCATTGCTTCACATGACCACGACTGGACTTGACGTCAACACTGCATGCCACAGACTACCGAAGCCATGAATGCATGAATGGGCACTGACTGCATCATGGAGTCTACTGCGTGTGATGGCCAGCTGCCGTTGAGTCAAGCAGCGTTTGTTACTTGATGGCCGTGATGGCTGGAGCGGCTGGGGCTCACCATGCTTCATCCGCAGCTGGATCGGGCGTTGCGTAAGAAAGCGTTACAAGGCCGCGCGGACTTGGCGCTCGAGGAACGAGGCGGCGGGGGCACGGACGATCAAGGGGCAACGGAGCAGCAGGGACTGGACTGGTACCAGCGCGAACAAGGCAGTGGAGGGCTGGGCTTGCCTGGGCATTGCATTCCTGGCCCACGGGCGGCGCGACAGCGTCTCCTGGCCAGCCAGCAGCAGCCTCTGCCCACGAAGAGGGCGTGCCATGGCTTATTGCGCGTGATGCTGGTAAGCGAGTTCTCCTCCCCACGGTGTCCCAGCCGTTGTCGAGGCCACGCCAACTTCGTAAGCGCTGGGCGGGCTCTATGGCATGCTCTGGACGAGACAGCCCGGCGATTTGTCCACAGAGCGGATGGGCTGAACGAGGGGACCAGGGGCTTGGGGCAGGTGTTCATGGATGGGCAAGATGAGCGGCGGCGACGACCTTTGCAACTTGTGACTGCACAGTAGCGTAATTAGGCCAGCACCAACTGGGCACGCGTGGCCGGCCACTCCAAGGTGTAATTTCACAGGGTGGAGCCCGGATCCAGGCACAAGGGCTGGTACCTGGCAGCAGCCGGCCGCTGATTGGCCGGGCCCCGATCGGCGGCAGGGCTCCCCTTTTTCATTGTTGTCTTGGTCTGGTTGCTGGCTAACACGCCGCCAGCACCGCCCAGGCCATCTCGCAATAGCCTGCGACCACGCCTTGCGTGGCAGCCCCAGCCAGGGATCTCGCACCCACGACGACCGCAGCATGACCCAGAGAGTCCAGCCCAGCCCAGCGTGGTGGACTGCCGAGCATGTCTCCGTAAAGCGTAGGGTTGGCAAACCGCCCCTGCCCCGGCGGTTTCTACGCCTGGGCTGGGGCAGCATGAGGGCGGCCATGGGCCTGCGTAGCACCCAATATCGTCTCATTTGGCCCCTTCCCCTTTACATCTACCCGCCTCCTCCCCTCCCTCCCTTCACGCCACAGCCCGCTGTCTCTTCTGCCTCGCTTTGCGCGTCGTTCCATCATCCAACTGGAAGTGTTCAGGCTCGTCTGTCCTTCCGCCACGTTCATTTCTGGAACCTTACTCTCACGCTCGCTATCACCGCCACAAGACCCAATCTCTTCAGCATTTTTCTATCGCTTTTTGGAAATATCCACAATCAATAGGGTAAGCACGAGACGCATACTGTGTTGTCCAGCAACCACCCAAGGGGTCCGAGTCTCTGTCCATCCTCTGGTCGCCCAAGCATTGCAGCCGTGGACACGACGACGCGATATCTAGCGACAATCAGGAGCAGCAGCCCTGCTAGGAGCCGGCACTTTCGCAACAACAAAAAATCCCTATCTATGTAGCGACTCGCCGCCGCTCGGTTTGCAATTGCACTGCCCATAAGTGGTATCGACCACCAGACCGGACTATGCGACGACAGGATCGGACATGGATGCTGGGCCCTTTGGGACGGATATGCGAGGCACAGACTGGCTAGTTGTACCTCGGACTTGCTAACTCATCCATCGCAGAATATACTGAAGTCAAGATGAAGTCTGCTATTGCTTCTCTCACCCTCGCGGCGGGCCTTGTCGCTGCCCAGCCTCACCAGCACCACGGCCACCAGCACCTTCACAAGCGCGAGGGCTCTCCTGTTCTGGCAGAGCGCGACTACCAGACCACCGTTGTCCCCGCGTACGCCACCGCCTACGTAGACCCCCAGGGCAAAGTCATCAAGGAGGACGAGGCTGAGAAGGGTATCGAGAACGGCCTGTACGTCGTCATCGGCGAGACGACCCCAGTCTTCACTCCTCCCCCGCCTCCGCCGCCGAAGCCCACTACCTCGTCGACTCCCCAGGCCGTCTTCATCGAGCAGGCCACGCCTTCCCCCTCGCCCTCGGCCCCTGCCGACGATGGTTATCCCACTGGAGGCACTGGCCTGACCGCCGACTTCCCTAACAAGAAGATCAAGTGCTCGTCCTTCCCCAGCGACTACGGTGCGCTCCCGATCAGCTGGATGGGTCTCGGTGGCTGGTCTGGCATCCAAAACGTCCCCAGCTACAAGCTTGGTGATGCTGCCATCAGCTTCATCGAGACTGCTATCAAGGGCATGGGCTGCCGTAGCAACGCGTACTGCTCGTATGCCTGCCCTGCTGGCTACGTCAAGACCCAGTGGCCCGCTAGCCAGGGCGCCACCGGCCAGTCGATCGGCGGTCTTTACTGCAACGCTGATGGCTACCTCGAGCTCAGCCGTCCCCAGGTCAAGACCCTCTGCATGCCCGGTGTTGGTGGTGTGACCGTTGTCAACAAGCTCAAGAAGAACGTCGCTCTTTGCCGGACCGACTACCCCGGCACTGAGAACATGGTCTGCCCTACCGACGTCCAACCTGGCGCCACCGTCACCCTCGCCAACGTTGACACATCCGACTACTACATCTGGCAGAACAAGAAGACCACTCTGCAGTACTACGCCAACAAGCAGGGTATCCCTGTTGAGGACGCTTGCGTCTGGGATTGTGCTCAGGACCACGACGGTTGCGGTAACTGGGCTCCCATGATTATTGGTACTGGCCGCACCGCTGGCATCACGTACCTTTCCATCTTCCAGAACTTGCCCATGAGCACAGCCAAGCCCGACTACAACGTCCGCATGAGCGGTGATGTGACAATCAAGTGCGGCTTCAGCAACGGCGTCTACACTGGCTCGAGCGACACCAACGGCTGCACAGTAAGTCTTGCCATCTCTCACCCTTTAGAACCCCCCGATCTTGAGAATTCCGCAACTGACGAAATCACAGACTGGAGTTGGCCCCGGCGGTGCCATCATTGAGTTCTACTAGATTCCCTTGGATGCGCAACGGCACGAGGAGTTTTACTGCAAGCCACTGTTTGCGACTCGTTTTGACAAGCTATGCTGTTTCTAACGACCTGATCTTCCAACATTTATGTCGCAAATCTTCTCTTCCAAGCAATATACTTTTGACAAAGGGGTGCCTTGATGGGCGGCGTGTTATACTGAATATAATCTCTATTGTGTATCGTTACGGAGTGGCTCCTTTGTTTTTTTTTATTAGCTTCATTCCTGATATAGCCACGAGCTCGTGGATTTTGTGCATGCGTGAGTGATCTGCGGTCTCCGAGGCCGTGCAGTCCGCCTCAGCATGCCAAGCGCAATAGACAGATAGACCTGCATGCGACGCAATCGTGGGGTGAACACCAAAGAAGCTCACTGGTCCCATATATGCCCATCAGCCACTCGACAGGATGTCATGATGATGCGGAGGGTTTTCCGTGCGTGCATCCTTCGGCTAGTTTTGACCCAGTCTAGCATAGCCTTGCTGACAAAGTGCCGACTCTGCGCGCGGGGGGGGATGCGCGTGAGTTTGGGGAAGGCGAAAAGAGAAGCGGTCGGTTTTATCCGTGTGGGGAAGAAACTGTTGGAGACGCGGACAGCTTCCGGGCTGGGGGGACCTCGAATCAAGTGCATTGCTTGTAGGTAATGCCATGACTCTCTTTTTTTCTGCATGGTCACGAGACTCTTTTTCACGACTTGGGAGTAGGGGGCCTGTGAGTTCCTCGTCCGAGGACTCTCTTCGTTCACCTCCATCTCTCACATCACACATCTTGAATGTCTCTGCTCCTGCTACTGCCCCTGCACTGCTCTTCGTTGCCAGCCAGGGCCCCAATTGCCGGCAATCAACGCAAGCCTATAGACCAATCACGGTACCCCAATTCCTGCGAACTTATCTCTCCAAAAAAACGCCAATCTGTCGATAACTGCTAGTCTGCAGCAAGAGTCAAGCAGTTGTCAGCGAACAAGCGTCAAACTCAAAAACCACAGCGTGCGTCTGCACGATAGGGCCAAGCTGCTGGGCTCTGCCAGCTATTATCTCGAGGGCTAATCGCAAGGTCTCGTGCCCCGGCCCCCACTAGCCAGTGGCGGCGGCAATCGCCCAGCGACAGTCTTTGGAAGCCTGCAGGGGATTGGCTCTTCTGGTTTACCTATTACTCACAACGGTATCGTCATTATCTTTATCCCCTCCCGAGGTGTGGACACCGAGCAGCAGTAGCAGCTCGATAGAGCACGGAGAGGAAATCATTCTTGACCTTGCGTGAGAAGATACCCTTACGATAAGCACAAGAACCTTTTTCCTAATCCCATTGCGCTGAGATTTTCTGGCTTATCAGTGGGATAGCTTTTCGTCAGCCTTCTGGGAGAGGCAAGGGTATCTTCGCCAGCCAGGTTTTACGGGAACCTTTTTTTTTCCCCTCGCGAGGACGGCATCGCCAAGGGTATTTTTATCAGCACGTCATTGGGGGACATTATTGGTCGACAGACACTTCACCTTCAAAGTTGGCACAGGGGTCTTCGGTGGGCAGAGGAACATCCTTTCTCCATCTGCCGGCAGTCGGCTTCCTCTGACAACCAGACTGTCCGCCTCTCACTACAACGCGCGCGGCATCGTCACTTTGCCACGATAAGGCAAAGCTCACCCCGACGAGTTCAGCAGGACAGCCCGTCTGTACTCAGATACTGCGAAGTACAGCAAGCACGACCGTCACGTCGGCAGGCGCATCACAACCATGTCTCTGCCACGCGTCGGTTCGCTCGAGACGTTCCTGGGGATCCCTGGCGGCGCAAACCGCGGGGATGGGGACTCCCGCCGTGGCTCCGTCTCGTCCATTGGCTCCGCGTCGCTGCGGGCGCGCAAGATCACGTTCAACCCGCTCCCAGAGTCTTGGGATCCGGGTTATCGATCCTTTGGCGATGAGGGGCTCGACGGTCCTGGTGCGCCCCAGCTGTCTCAACAGCAACACCATCACCAACAGCCGCAGTCTGTTGGTGCCTTTGAGGTTCCGCAGTGGAGGCGCATCTGTAAGTCGTCTGTTCCCGCCATGCGGCAGGGAAAATAAGCCTGTTTGAGAAGCCCAAGACTGACTCGCCTCCAATACCGCCTACAGTGCAAGTCATCGTCACCGTGATAAACTGCCTGCTCGCAGCAGGCATAGTCTTCGGCTACGCGGCCATCAAGCCGGTCCTCAAGAAAGAGGGCGCCTACCGCGACGTCTGCGACGGCGACGACACCTGCGTAGAGCTGCACCTCAACTTCATGTTCACCGTCGCCGCCGTGGCGACCAACATTGCCGCCCTTCCCATCGGCGCCATCCTCGACCACTACGGTCCCCGCGTGTGCGGGCTCCTGGGGGCCTGCTTCCTCGCCGTTGGCGCCCTGATGCTCGCCTTCGCTGCCGACCTCCCGTTCGACGGCTTCTTGAGCGGTTACCTGTTCCTCGCGCTCGGTGGACCATTTACGTACATCGCGTCATATCACCTCTCTAATGCGTTCCCGCGGCGGTCGGGCCTGATCTTGGCCCTGCTCACGGGCGCATTTGACGCCTCGAGCGCGCTGTTCCTCGTGTACAGGCTCGTGTACGAGAGCACGGGGGACTCGCTTGGACACCACGAGTTCTTCCTCGCGTACCTGGTGGTGCCCGTGCTGATCATTGTCACGCAGCTGACCATCCTGCCGAAGCAGTCGTACAAGACGGTGGGAGAAATGGTGGACGACATCCATGCCGGCCCCATTGGCGGCGGCGGCGCCGCCCTGTATGACCCCGACAACGAAGACGCCATCGTGGACGACCAGGTTGACGAGCAGACCGCCCTGCTGAGGGAGGAGCAGCGCCAGAGCGACCTCGAGCACCAGGCCGCGATTGCCGGGATCGACGAGCTCCTCGGCAACGAGCCGGGCAAGAACCTGGTCGACGAGCAGATCTCGCGCGAGGAGGCCAAGAACGAGCGCAGCGGCGTGTGGGGCGCGATGCACGCGGCCACGGCGTGGGAGCAGCTGTGCTCGCCGTGGTTCGTGCTCGTGTGCCTCTTCACCGTGGTGCAGATGACGCGCATCAACTACTTTGTCGCGACGATCCGGGGCCAGTACGAGGCGCTGCTGGGCTCGCCCGAGGGCGCCGTCGAGATGAACAACTTTTTCGACCTCGCGCTCCCGCTCGGCGGCATCATCTCGATCCCGTTCATCGGCGGGATCCTCGACGGCACGAGCACCGTGGCCGTGCTCGCGACCCTCGTCGCCGTGGCCACCTCGATTGGCGCGCTCGGCGTCCTCCCTTACACGTGGGCGGGCTACGCCAACATTGTCCTGTTTGTGCTGTACCGCCCGTTCTACTACACCGCCGTCAGCGACTACTGCGCCAAAGTGTTTGGCTTCCGCACCTTCGGTACCGTGTACGGCACCATCATCTGCCTCGCCGGCGTGCTCAACTTCAGCCAGAGCCTGCTCGACTACATGTTCCGCGTCACCTTTGGCGGCAACCCGGTCCCCGTGAACCTGATCCTCCTCGTGACGGGCCTGGTCATTGGCCTGTTGCTGGTCGCGTACGTGTGGGTGCAGGCGAGGCTGCTCAGGGGCAAGAAGATGGTCCACGTGACGGCTTGAGTTGGGGGATGCAGTGAGTGGTATGTTGGTGGTGGTGCTGGCTTCCAAAAGGGACCGATGATGGACTAGGGGTGAAAAACGGCCCTTACTATATATGTGATTGAGCCTTTGCTGGTGGATGAATGTTTTAATCTGGTATTCCCGCCACGTCTTGTATATACAAGTAGATAGTGCTTAGCACGTTCAGAATGACAGCCATCATCCCCTTTCGGTCAACCTAGGAAGTCAGTCTCACGACTGCGTTGCCACTGATCCTCCGGCGTTTCCACGTTACTATCTTCCGCCGAGCGAGTCCATTACGTGGGCATTATCCTGTTCTGTTTGGTGTGCAAATGAGCAGGAAACAACCCACTACCCTTACGGTTTGCATGGATATATATCGCGCCTCGCACCTCGGCATACCCGAGCTCGAGTCAGATGTGCATCGGCACGAAGGAATGCAATAAGCTACGCTACGCTACACTAACACAAACCCTCGCCCTTGTCGCCTCCAATCGAATCATCTGCATAACAACACTCACACAGCTGCACTGCCATGCAAGAAGAATCATGTATGGGATATGCACCACCCGCCCTAAAAGTGCCAATGGGGAACACTGTGCACAGTCCCCAGAATGTCTAGATAGATGTCACCAACGGGCGGACGCAATAATCAACTACAATACGGTACCCATCAGAGAGATATCCGCTCCGGGGTGAGGAGCCGCGCAGAGAAACAAAGTCTTGGCACCTGCCTCTTGGGGAAATGGCATCAACGATCCCGCTTGCAACGCAACCCCGGGATGGTTCTTCTCTTTGTTGTATTTGATAATGCGACGACTGCGCCACTTTGCGGAGAGGAGACGCCCATTCTTTGTTTGACCGAATTTCTTCCCCGAGTATAGATAGATCTGGAAGGGCAAAGCCGGTGGACGTCAGTGGGTATGGTGTCACAACGGCTCAGGGGACAATTGGCATTGTCCTCTCTGCCTTCTCTGCGGGGTGAGGGGATTAGGCGGCGGACCGATAAAAAGGACGAGCTCCATATCAAGCACGACAGCGATGATCCATGCCCCCTCAAACGGGGCGCCAAGACCATCAAGCTGTTGGTCCCGTCCGGCTGCCTGACATGATTATCGCCCCCAGCAGCAAGGGCAGGCAGGAGAATGCTGTGCGCAGAACAACGAATCGTGCACAGGCATCGCGTGATTGGAGTTTTGGCCGACTCGCTGCGCAAAAACAGGTCACTTCATATACTAGACCGCCACAGTGCTCACTCAGTGTCGCCTTCTGCCTGACCCTCCCGGCTTCCGGACGCGCCGGTCCAGCCTGCTCGTCCAGGGGGGTGAGGGGAACACAAGATCTCGAGGTGTCGTTCGTCTGATATGTATGCCCAGACAAGCTTTGCGCGCACGACTCTGGGTCGAGCATCCGGCAGCAAACATCCGAGGAAGCTGGTGCTCTTGGTCGCTGTTGCAAGGTTGGCAGCCAGGCACAAGAGACAAGCCAAGCCTTGCAGAGTCGCATCCTGGTTTACCATGGCAAGGTGCAGGCCCTGTCACACTGTGTTGGCGGTGGTGATGTTGTTCGTAGGGGTTTCGATACACGCGCAAATGGTCGAGCAACGGCTGGGCGCACCCGATCCGGGCCCTCCAGCATCCCATCCTTGCGCCTTCTCCATTCGGAACAGCGCCTTTGATGAGCATCAGGCTTGGCATGACAAGTGACAATTTATTTATAAGGTCGTCGAAGCCGTCGTCTTCTTGCCATCCCCTTCCTGTTGTCTCTCGGCACAGCTCTCGGACTCTTCTCCCCGTTTCTGTGCTGGTAGTAGTCTTGATCATCCAAGTCGTCAAGATGAGAACTGCGTCGTCGCTCGCGCTCGCGGGCCTGCTCGTCGCCAAGGCAGCGGCAACCTGCGACAGCAACAAGTTGACACCCGAGAAGCTGGCTGCCGATATCACGACCGGCGAGTAAGTGCTCTCTCGCCTTCTCCGGACAGTTTGCATGGTCTATAACCGTAATATCCGACTAACACCCCCGTGCCAACCAGGCTCCAGAACAACCTCTGGAACCTCAACCACATTGGCAACCTGAATGGAGGTAACCGCGCCTTTGGCCTGCCCGGCTACAAGGCATCGGTCGACTATGTGCTCGGCCGTGTTGCTCGCGAAGACTTCAGCAGTTTCACCACCTGGACCCAGTCCTTCGTCGCCTTCTTCTCGCAGACCCGCAGCCTTGAGCTTACTGGACCTGATGGCGAGGCTGTCGAGACCGTTGCCATGCTGTACAACCCGGGCACTGAGCTGCCCGACGGCGTGACTGCCCCACTAGTCAGTGTTCCGGTCGATGATGAGCGAGGTGAGCAGTTTTCAATATTTGTATCTATCCAATGTGCTTCGCATGACTAAATGTGCGTCTTGCTGACTGTAAACACCACCAGGCTCTGGCTGTTTCGAGGATCAGTACGAGGGCATCGATGTCGAGGGCAAGATTGCGCTCGTCCGGAGAGGAGTCTGCGCCGTCTCGGACAAGCTCAAGGTCGCCAAGGCCAAGGGTGCTCTTGCGCTCGTCATGTGGCACCAAGCCGAGGGCACGCCCACCGTCGCTACTCTGGGGGTCGAGAACATTGGCCTTCTCATTCCCATTGCCACTGTCTACAAGGCAGTCGGCGAGGCCTGGGTCGCCCGCCTCGCGGCCGGCGAAGAGCTGACAGTCCACCTCGTCATCGACGCCATCTTTGAGGACCGCGAGACCTGGAACGTCTTTGCCGAGACCAAGGAGGGTGACCCCAACAACGTTGTTATGCTTGGTGCCCACCTCGACTCCGTCCAGGCCGGACCGGGTATCAATGATGACGGCTCCGGCACCACTGCCCTGCTTGAGATTGCCACCGCGCTGCGCAGGTACACGGGCATCAAGAACAAGGTCCGTCTCGCCTGGTGGGGTGCCGAGGAGAGCGGCCTGCTCGGCTCGCTGCACTACACCGAGACGCTGCCCGCGGAGGAGGCCGACAAGATCCGTGTCTACTTCAACTACGACATGATCGGCTCGCCGTTCCCCGAGTTCGCCGTGTATGACGGCTCCAACGCAGGCGACCGTGTCGTCTCGCAGCCCCTGTTCGACTATCTTGTCGCCGCTGGCAAGCCCGCCTACTACGGCGGCTTCGGCTCGTCCTCTGACTACGTCGGCTTCCTGCAGCTCGGTATCCCGTCGTCTGGCCTGTTCACCGGAGCCGGCGCACCCACCGACCCGTGCTACCACCTGGCCTGCGACACGCTGGACAACATCGACTGGGACGGCCTGACCGTCAACGCCAAGGCTGCGGCCACTGTGGCGGCCAAGTTCGCTCTGGACCTCGAGGGAGTGCCCCCACGCACCAAGACCACAGTCAACAAGCGTTCGCGCAACTCGATCCGCGCGCAGTTCCAGAAGTGGGCCAGAGCCAAGGAGTCTGGCGTGCTTAACAAGTCCTGCTCGCACGGCGAGAAGACTACCGTGTAGATGTCTCGTCTGACGGAGGCTTTTTGATGTAATTCTCGTAAATGCAGTCAACGAATTGATGAGATCTATGATGGTGCAAATGTGTTCCTGCTGGTCTTGTTTGAGAAACACCAGGTTTCGTTGATTCATGTTCATACAAATTGTGAGCGTCCCATAGCTCTTTAGTTCTTGACGACTGCCACAGTCAGGTCTTGTGGCCGGACTTTGCTGTTGTATATTTGGTTGAGCAGTCACTGTCATCGAGAGCCTCATACTTTATCACACAGGGGGACATCACCGTTTGTGACCCGCTGCACAAACTCCGGATCCGGGTCGTAGAGCATGACATGGAAATGCTCAACAGCCTGAACCGACTTCAGCGAGCGCCAATTCTTGAACCATATGTACTGTCCAAATTCAACTCTAATCAGCATTTCTCTTTTTTTGTCCAGACGGGAACGAGACAACAGGTATCCCGAGGTCTATCGATGAGAGGAAGCATCCCAAGTCTGCGAGGCAGGAAAATGACTTACACGATCCCGGGCCACATGCCGACCAAACTTGTCGGCGACATAGTCGTCAATCTGCCGCCTCGCGCGGTCCGTCAGATCGGTCGTGACAGGGTCCTCCTCGAGGTCAAACTTGGTCCACACGACCAGGTGCACGATCTTGGGATCAATGCCGTACGGCCAGTCGTTCCAGAGTATCTTGATGTCATCATCGTTTGCAAAGGGCTCTCGGGCGGCGTTCTGCTCCGCCTTTCCCGCGGTGTGGTAATCACCGTTCGGCAAAGAGGATGATGGCAAGGCGACGACGTCCCAGCCCAGCCGCTCCGACAAGACAAACTTCATGACGCTGCCATGGTCCCTCCGGAGCTTCCAGTTGTACTCGAGGTACCGGCGCAGCTGGGAGGGCACGCGGCGGAACGCGTCGAGCCGGTTGTCCGCGATGATCTGCTGGACCTCGTGCCACGAGGCCACGCGGTACTCGGCGTCGGGCGTGCCGATGATGCCCTCGTCCTTGGCGCTCAGGCTGCGCAGGAACTCTGGGCACTCGGCCTCCCGCTCCGCCGGCGGGACGTTGACCTGCCAGTACGGCAGAGGCGGTGTGTCGGTGACGCTGCCCATGCTGGCTGGCTGGCTGGAATCCTTTTTGTGGGAAAGGGGGGTTGGTAAAATGCTGCCAATGAGACAAGGGTTTTTTTTTCCTTGTGTAGGGATACTCGGCGAGGGTCTACGTTTCAGCGGTGGAGGAGGAAAAAGAACAAGAAGGATAATGTGTGGCGGCTAATTTTCTTTGTTGGCTGAAAAATGCCATGCATGGGTTGCGTGTTGTGTTGCGTCTTTCAACGAAATCGGACTATCGACGGCTCGGAAGGCGTGCTCGTTCCTGACCGAGCTGAACCCTTCCGCAGTAGCTGCCACTGCATGTGGAGTGGGGGGCCCCTGTGGGGGTTCCGGCAGTCAAAGCCCAGGTGAAGCGACATATTAGGGAGACGAATCCATCAATCCACAAACGCAAGTTGCTCGAAGCTTGCATACCGGCCGTCTTCGTGATTTGGGTGGATGTGCGCAGTCCAGTGAAGTTGGTTTGCTTCGTTACCTGCCCTGAGACAACCAGAGCCAGGCCCTGACCATTTGCTGCTTCTGTCTGGGTTTGTAGTGGCGGTTTTATTGATTCATACATTCATGGCTTACACCTCGAGCTTCTTACTTTGAGGTTATTCGGCGATCGGGAGTGGCTTGATGGCTCGCTAGATCTGGCTTTTGTTTCTCGATACAGGAGTGAGCAAGTTTTATGAATGATCACAAGAAGTACTGCTACTGTCTCGCTTACATGGTTACTCGGTTGTCGGCTTGTGTACGACCATCCCTGGTCAGTTCCGTCAGTCTTCAGATGTCAAAGATTCCTACCCGCAGCAGCGTTTCACCGCCTGGACCCCTGAAGACGCGGCTGCGGTTCCAATTAAGGTTGCCGTAAACCAAGCTTCTCGTAGTTGTGTCCTCCCCTCGCCATGTCACCGCTGGCGGCGCGAGGGCCGATACAGATCTGCGGTAGGGATCCCGGCCGACTGGAACTTTGTCCACTAGCCACAGGCCCCACGCCTCACCGCTCAGGATGAGCCGGCCTTAAGGCAACAAGTGCTTTGGTCTGTCGTCTCCTGAATTCAATATGTTCCACTAATGCACGGCCTCTGGGTCCAGTGCCGTTGTAATCCACGTGGAGCACCCTTTTGGTCTTGTTGAAGAGCAGGGCAGTTTCAATGATTGCAATGCCTGCGGCATCTTTTCGGGAAGGAGACCCTTTGGACTGGCCTAAGCTTCAGCAGCCGAGCCCGTTCCAGACTTTCAGTCCGTCGGTCGTGGCGCATGATAACTCCTTCGCAGCTTCCCGCTCTTCGAGATAAGGGCAGAGTACCCTTGCCTGCATATGCACTGGCTGCCCTATGACAGGCGCAGGCGCACATACAGTGGTCTGTATCTGGCATCCCCCTGCGCAAGCGTCGCCGCTGATTGAATTCTGGCTGCAGCGGCGGTAAGCACACCACGCCGGACGGCATGCCTCCTGTGATACTCCCGCGAGGCCAAGCCTGGCACAGGGCATCTTCGATCGTACCAGGGCGCAAACATGGCTCAATTTTAGTTTCCGTCGTCCAGAGATGAAGCGCCCCACGAGATCCCCGGCCGGGCCCGCTCCGTGGAGCCATTGTGTCAAAGGACCACGAATAACACCGATGTGCCTACGCTCATTCTAGCTGGAGATGCAGCATCAGCTTGCACATGGACTGGTGGATGACCGATGGTAAGATCCCGCGAAGCTGGCGGCACCGCCACCACTCGGAGTGGTAGGGCTGACGGCAGACGACAAGAATAGTGCGTCTTGGTGGATGACGTGATATCAGATCAGCTTCGGCATCAGCTGGGCAAGAAAAGGCGCTATTTACCCAGCCGACGGCTCAACCCAGGGTCCAGAAAATTTGGGGCGTGTTTGTTGGCAGAGTGGCCATCCAGAATGGCTATCCGCATTCATGCAGGCACGGCCTCATCAATGTACGGTTCCGGAGCGAGACCAGTGACCCCCAAATGTCTCAGCTGAGTTCTGGATGAGATAGCCGATGACAGCAGCAGCTGGCATGGCCAGCTCTAGCCTTTTGCCGTGTGTTAGGCTCTAATTTTGTATCAGCTTGCGCAGAACCTGGTGCAGCAACATCTCCCCAGCTTGCGGACGTCGTTGACCATGAACACAAGGCGATATACTGGTACGGCGCGTAAGCGGAGTGACCCGCCTGGATGGGTCAAACTTCTCCTAGCACGTCCACCTGGTTCTTTTGGTTCAGCGGTGGAGATGATGGTTTCCCGTTGCTCGCCCATGGAGATGCATGTAATTTCCTGGAGGCCATGATGTGTGGGTTGACCCGCTTGCCGCGTTGTAGTTCCCACCAGCCAACACCACCAAGCCATCTGAAAGTGCCTCGAATCTATGTATGTGAGTACTGCACGACTACAACTTGTTTTTGATGCGAAACTTTGCAAGCCCTGCTGAGAGCCGATTGCGTTTCTGCCTTGGCGCTGACGATAGTGGGCACCTGCTTTTTTCTTTGCAGAGCTTCTATCGTTGGGGATATTGGTCACGACACCCTGCACTTCCAAGACCTTTGAGCATAGCAGCACCTTCGTTTGACGCTGACGAGAGCATCGGCCATTTGCTCGCATTTGCTCCCTGGTCGAATCGGCAACGGCCTAGCCCCAACGTGTCGGCGAGCGGGCCAGGGTCAGGGGGCGAGGGAGCATAGATCGTCGTATGTCGTCGGGAGAGAATGTCGAGGATGTTGTGCTTGAAGCAGCTGGGCTTGGGTGTGGCGGGATCGGCCAGTGCTGAACTGTTGCGGTACGCAATACCCACACACACCACTGTAGCCCCAACGCCACAAGCTGGGCTGCCAAAAAGTGTGAGGCAAGCACCTAGAGCCGCTGGTGGCTTCGGAGTGGTCGCTGCTATTGTCACTAGCGTGTATGTAGTCCTGTGTCGCCGACTCGGGAGGGCTGGTCTCTCGCCTGGTGCCGTGTAGAAAGGACTGCACAGAGTGAGGGCTGACGGGGACCGGCCGGCCACGCCGTATCGTAGGGTCCTGAGCGGTGCCTGGGGAGGCGTTGACGGCCCAGAGACGTGCGTGCCGTGGGCGGTCGGAGGTGTCTTGTTGGCATGCTGAGTGGCTGTTACCAAAGATTACGTCAAACCCGTTGCACAGCCAGAGCTTTACCCTTGCAAGGCGCAATGCTCGTCGGAATACTGTAGTTGGGGTCGGGTTTGTCGCCTCCCGCTGCAGTCGCTCCCGGGCTGGGAGCTCCTGTGCTGCTGGAAAGTTACCCCGCCATGGGTCAATTTGCTTCGAGCTGGCCCGGCCCAGGATGCCCACCTGGCCCCACCTTCCCGGGGGCCCTTTCATCATAGCAGCAGCCAGCTTGGGATCCATAGAGGCTCCCGCTGCCGCAGCTCTCCCCGTCTCCGTCTTCGCGGCTCTTAAAAGAGCTGGCTCTCCTCTTCCTCCCACCCTGCCTCGCTCGACTCCTCTCCAGCCCGTCTCCATCTTGCCTGTCAAGCATCCGGCAGACAAAATGTTCGTGGCCGAGCCTCCCCCTTTTCGCTCGAGCTGTCATCTCTTGCTAACTCGAAGCTGCTTGCAGTCCTCACCATCCCAGCCCACTCGCTGAAGCTCCGATACCGTCATTATGGCCTCCATGATCAAGAGTGCGCTCCCCTCCCACCTGAAGCCAGACAGCGGCAAGGAGGAGGGCCAGAGGCACCATGGAAAGTTCGTTATCCCCTGATCCAAACATCGCAACACCTCTCCCTTCCAATACATTCATCCTGCAAACCATGCCGCCATGAGGCCTGGACTCGTCGTGATTCAGCTTGTGGACAGCTTCAATGGCTGTCCGCGACTGGGACCGTCGTTACTAGCCCCAATTGGCACATGATTCCATCATTGTGGATGTAGATCAGATAACTAACCTTCGGTTTCGCAGGACTCGGTCCCACATGGTGAGTTCTTGCTTGCTCTACTTTGTAGCCGTCGACCGATTGCCACAGACAACGCTTCCCCTTTCGACAAATCATCACGCAATCGTGCTGTCCAGTTGTCAATAGTTGTCGTCACTGGTACTCCATCGGCTGAAGCAGGTGCTTCACACCTTGTTCTCCCGATGGCAGGCACAAGCGATGGCGGAGAAACTTCTGGTGTTTTGCCGATAACTTTCACATGACTTCGACCTCGCAGCAGATCTCTGTCTCATGAAGCCGTGGCTGTGGCAAACGACTTCGCTACAATCGGCGATTTTTGGAGAGTCTGTTCCAGTTCTAACATTCAACTAGGCCTTCGAGAACACCTCCACCAATGTCGCCGCTGCTCAGATGCGCAACCGCCTCACTGAGCTTGCGGAGACCTGTACCGACCCCGAGCAGAAGAAGGTTCGTCCCTGTAAAAGGCCGCAAGAATTCCTGTTCTCGAGTTGCTAACCTCCAAATAGCTCTTCGAGACTGAGATGGACAACTTCTTCTCACTCTTCCGCCGATACCTGAACGACAAAGCCAAGGGCAACGCCGTGTACGTTTTTCCAAATTGAAAAAGACATTGGGATCATATACTGACGCCTTGATAGTGACTGGGATCGTATTGCCCCCCCTGCCCAGGGTCAGGTCGTCGACTACGAGGACCTCGCCAACTCCGAGTCTGTTGGTTTCCTCAACAAGCTTGCTGTCCTGAAGCTGAACGGTGGCCTTGGTACCTCCATGGGCTGTGTCGGCCCCAAGTCCGTCATTGAGGTTCGTGATGGCATGTCGTTCCTCGACATGTCGGTCCGCCAGATCGAGTACCTCAACCGTACCTACAACACCAACGTGCCTTTCATCCTGATGAACTCTTTCAACACGAACGACGACACGGCCGCCATCATCAAGAAGTATGAGGGTCACAATGTTGACATCCTCACCTTCAACCAATCTCGTTATCCTAGAATCTACAAGGACTCTTTGCTCCCTGTCTCCAAGAACTTTGATTCCTCGATCAACGACTGGTACCCTCCTGGACACGGTGACGTCTTCGAGTCTCTCTACAACTCTGGAATCCTTGACACCCTCCTCGAGCGTGGCATCGAGATCGTCTTCCTCTCCAACGCCGACAACCTGGGCGCTGTTGTTGACCTGCGTATCCTGCAGCACATGGTCGAGAGCGAGGCCGAGTACATCATGGAGTTGACCAACAAGACCAAGGCTGATGTCAAGGGTGGCACCATCATTGATTACGAGGGCTCCGTCAGACTTCTCGAAATCGCCCAGGTTCCCAAGGAGCACGTCAACGAGTTCAAGTCGATCAAGAAGTTCAAGTACTTCAACACCAACAACATCTGGATGAACCTCAAGGCCATCAAGCGTGTTGTCGAGAACAACGAGCTCGAGATGGAGATCATCCCCAACGGCAAGACCATCCCTGGTGACAAGAAGGGCGAGTCCGACATCTCCATCCTGCAGCTCGAGACCGCTGTCGGTGCTGCCATCCGTCATTTCAAGAACGCCCACGGTGTCAACGTGCCCCGTCGCCGTTTCTTGCCCGTCAAGACCTGCTCAGACTTGATGCTCGTCAAGTCTGACCTGTACACTGTCAAGCACGGACAGCTCCAAATGAGCTCCACTCGCTTCGGCGATGCTCCTCTGATCAAGCTGGGCAGTGACTTCAAGAAGGTTTCCGACTTCCAGAAGAGGATCCCATCGATTCCCAAGATGATCGAGCTTGACCACCTCACCATCACCGGCAACGTGACACTTCACCGTGGCGTCACCCTTAAGGGCACAGTCATCATCGTTGCGACCGAGGGCTCTACCATTGACATTCCCCCGGGATCCATCCTTGAGAATGTTGTTGTCCAGGGCAGCTTGCGCCTCCTCGAACACTAAATGTGTACTTTTGAAGTGCCTTTGTGGTCTGGCATGGGATATTCATGTACAAGCACGTTATTGTTTTTGGTAGCAGTTCTTTTTCATCATGCGCGCAAAGCTGTTTTGCGGAACACTTGACCCGCAACGCGCAGGCGGGATGTTAGTGCTAATAGAAGCCTTTAAGTAATGCAAAAAAGGGGAAATGAACCGTCTTACACGTTGCCGTAAATGATGCATCTGCGTGAAGACATACTGAAACGCCGCTGTTGTGACGCCACTGTATAAACTGGCCGAGAAGCCACCACGTCAGTGCCACCAAAACAGAGCCGCAGGACAGCCAGCTACCCTAAGTGGGTAACCTCCTATGCTTGGCACGCAACAGTAACGGAAACTGAATATTGGGGTTATGGTGATGTATTCAAATGGCTACATCATGGCCATGGTGGACGAGCTATCTAAATGGGCCACCAGCTACGTCTTCTAGAAGGTGGGCGCGGCGCCGATCGCCCTGCTGTGTGCCTCATTGTTGTGGCGCTAGACCACCAATTCTCGTGGTTCCTCGTCCCAGTCTGGGATGAGCCTGTCTGGCCGATCTGGTCGACATACTGACTCGTCAGCGCGCATACTGCTTCCGCGCAGCTTGTCGGGTTTGCTGACTGTCGACTACTGGTGAAGCCTAGGCTTGCTTTCGTCAAGTGTGCAAAGGGTTGACCTTGAGCATGTCGCAATTGTGCGTTCTTTCTGTGGGATGCACAGATAGGCTTGGACCGCTGCTGGGGTCGGTTGATGGTCTTCATGGCCTCCGTCGCTTGTTTTTGGATACATCATGGCCTGGCTCAATTCCAGGACTTTGTGAGGCGGTGCTTACCGCAAGTAATCCGTGTCTTGTGGTCGCCATCGCGTGTAATAATGATAACTCGCTGTTCACCCATCACCACCCGCCCCTCACTTGCCCTTTTTGCGCATCGCCATTGCTTCGGTACAGGCTGGGCAGAACCACCGGCCCTCGGGCTCAGACTTGAGGCCGACACAGTTCCAATGGAACCACTCGTACCTACAGGACGGGTTGTCACAGGCCACCATATCGCCATACGACACGTGCTGGCAAAGACAGTATTTCTTGCCCTCCTCATCTTCCTCTTCATCGTCTGATCCGCCTGAGGCCGAGGCCTCGGGTTCCTTGTCGGCCATATCTTCGTCGCCATCATGATCTGCGCTCGGAGACGGGCGTTTCTGCGCTTGTGGTACGGGTGTCCCACTTCCCGCCCGTGACCCCCGCACGGAGGACTGGACAGACTCGGCATCCGACAGCTCACTATCTGCCGTGGATGCTGGCGAGCCTTTCGAGTTTGCGGCTCTCTTAACCCTCGATAATGTCGACTTCGCATTTGGTGGCTTCTTGCGGCTGACACCACCAGATGGCGTCGTCTTCCGGGTGGAAGCTACGGTCTTGTTGCTTGTCCGTGGTGCAACACTGCCTGCCCGTGATACACTTGGAGTCCCCCCCTTGGGTGTGCCAGGTCCTGAGGAAGCATGCCGGGCGAGTCCGCTTGAGGCGGCAGGTGCATTGGGAAGTCCTGTGTTGGCGCGTGGAAGTCGTTTCGGGACGCTGCCAATGCCTGGGCCGGCAGACGATTCGCGTTGATTTCGGTTCAGAAGCATGCTTGCTGCGGGTGTCGTTGGAGCAGAACTCGGGTGCGTTTGGGACAATGCCGCTCGCACAACTGCGGGCGCTTTCGTGCTTGTAGGGGTGGAGCTATTGTTGAGGATCGGGTTGAGAGGGGTGCTGGCCGTTGCAGCCAGGACTCTGACGCTCGTGTTCGAGTGGTTTGCCGCGCTGGGACGCAGAGTGGATGGTATTTCGTCGGGGTTTTCGAAGCCGGGCTCTGACCGCCGGACAAGTAGTTCTATCTGACCATCGAGGTGTTTGAGGTGCTTATCGTACATGCGCTTAAGCTTCTCGGCGAGGTGGATCTTCTCGGCGGCGAGCTGGTCGGCCTTTGTGAAGTTGGAGCGGATGGTTTCGCGAAGTTGGTTCTCACGCGGGTTTGGTTGGTGGCTGCCATTGGCACGAATCCAGCGCTGGATCTTGAGGTCGCATTCTTCGATTGTCTTGACGCAGTCGTTGTATGCTCTGTCCTTGTCGAGGATCTCGTCCTGGACGAAGCGCAGCTCCTCGGGCAGGTTTTGAGTGCGGTGGATCCAGTCCTCGAGGATGGTGGCGGGATCCTGGGCTTCTGCTGAGGGCGCCATCCTCTTGACAAAGTCGATCGAGAGATCGTCTCTAGGCATGGTGCCGGATTAGCCCGGGGGCACGACGCGTGACGAGAACGGTGGAGGCCGTAGTCGAGGGCACTATTTGGGCAGTGCCTTTGGTGGGAGAGGTCATGAGGCGACACGCATCTCTCTGGGAGTCCAGGCTTGTGGTGACGACGGCGGGCGCGCAGTTTAAGGAGTGACGACAGGGACGCGACGCGCGTGTGGGCAAAGGAAGAATAGAGGGGCGGTCGGGGTGTGGTGGCTCAAGGCTAGACTAAAAAAGTTTGGCTCACCTGTGGGCGGATCCTGGAAGAATTTACACTGGGGAAGCTGGGCGGCAGGTGAGGCCCTGGCAGGCAGGCGCTCGGTCGCTGGCGCACGGGGGCAGGGGGCCAGGCAGCAGACGACGCTCGAGATGCCCGCTCCGGTTGCCGGCGATGGGCCACGCTCGTACGGCGAGGTTCTGGCTGCAAAGGAAAAGCAAAGTAAAGCAAAGCTCTCGGCCTGGGAGGAATTGATGCCTTTCTGTCGTCGAGATGCTGCGTCACTGCCCCAGCCGGGTGCGCAGCTGGTGGAGTGCAGAGGGGGAAAGGAAAGCGATAGCGGCGCCGACGCAGTTAGAGCAGCCAGGCTCTTTGGGCTGCGGATGGCCGCTATGACGAGCAAAAGCGGCAAACCAGCAAGAGAAGGCTGTTATCAGAAGCGAAGGCGAGGGCAGGTGGATGGCTTGCGCGCGGGTGCAGAAGGTGGAACGGGCAACAAGAAATGGTATTCTTGTCGCCAAGGTGGTCGTCGCAGGAAGAGGTGCGGAACAAGTGACGCTGTGCCGGCCTCGGCTGGTGGCAGTTGACGCACGGCAAGGCAGAGAGCGGTGGCGGCCTGGAGTAGGTCCTGCTGGAGCCACTACATACGTCAACCCAGCTCTCTGGCTGGCACGACCCCAGGTTTGCCATTCGAGCTGCCTACAATACTTACCTACCTACACTAAGTAACCTTGGACGTTCCACGCGGTTCCGTCGATGGCCGGTGGCGGACGCTGTGGTCTCGTGACGACGTGCAGCCCATGGTCAGGACACACCTTTCAGGCAAGGAGACTTCGCGGCCGTGCTCGTCCTTTGCATCCATGTCTGAACAGATGGCACACCATTGTCAGGGCCGCAATATGCAGCGATGCTTGGTCATCTTCAAGGCATGCCAGATCTGCCGGGGGTTCCTTTGGTTGGACGGTGGCGGGGCCAGCCTAGCGCGGGTTTTGTTCCTGCATGGGTCCATCCATGTCTTGTACCACTGTATCCCATCTCGCTAGCCTGTTCAGTCTTCTTCACCTTCAAGCCTCGTCCTCTCGCTCACCTTTGCCAGCTTACTTGCCGCTTCGACTCACGGACGCCGTGCCTTCTCTGCGTACCTACTGTACCTTGGCCAGCGAGACACTTGAAGACCCGGCGCTTTCCACCTCAGGCCTGCCCGAGCCCATCTGAGAGGCGCATATATCGTGCTCTGGGACGCGGTTCCTGCTCCCGCCTGGCCAGCCACCTCACCACACACGTAGAGCGTGACATTGCTTGTCGGCGCATCAAAAGTTCCTCTGCGATCACTGGGCCTTACAGCGACGCGCCCGCTGCTGGGCCATCTCGACGAGCATGGAAGTTGACCCCACGAATCCGTATCGGCTGCGGTTGCCGAGGCCAAACTACCTGCCGCACAATGTTGATGCCCATATCCTAGGGGATGAAATCAACATACCCCTGGACCGGCCTAGCGATCTGGAGAATGCGGCATACCTCAACAAGGTCAAGCGGGCTGCCCACGATCATGGCATCACAAAGCCCAAGGGCTACAACGTCTCGTATCACTTCAACCCAGACATGGAGCAGCACCACTTTGGCCAGACACATCCCATGAAGCCCTGGCGCCTCACACTTACGAAAAGCCTCGTCACCTCGTACGGCATGAACTTTGCAATGGACAACTACATGGCTCGTGCGGCCACGTTTGAGGAACTCACTTCCTTCCACTCGAGCGACTACGTCGACTTCCTCGCAACGGTGGCCCCGCAGCCTCTTCCCTTGGACGTGGACAACCCCAACCCTGATCTTAAGTTCAATCTCGGTGGTAGTGACTGTCCACTATTTGAGGGTCTCTACAACTACTGCTCCATGTCCGCAGGCGCCTCGCTCGACGCCGCGCGCAAGATTACGTCCAAGCAGTCGGATATCGCCGTTGCCTGGGGCGGAGGCCTGCACCACGCCAAGAGAACCGAGGCGTCTGGGTTCTGTTATATCAACGATATCGTCATTGCCATATTACAGCTTCTCCGGTGCTACCCTCGGGTGCTGTACATCGACATTGATGTGCACCACGGTGACGGTGTCGAGGAGGCTTTCTTCTCAACCGATCGCGTCATGACGGTGTCTTTCCACAAGTACGACCCGTTGAATTTCTTCCCCGGCACGGGCGCGCTGGACGACAACGGACCCCAGAGCGAGCACAACCCGGGCGCGCATCATGCGATCAACGTACCGCTGAACGATGGCATCACCGATGAGCAGTACGAGTCGCTGTTCAAGCGAATCATCTCGAAATGTGTCGAAAAGTTCAGGCCCAGTGCCATTGCCCTGCAGTGCGGCGCTGACTCGCTCGCCGGTGACCGGCTCGGCAAGTTCAACTTGCTGGTCGAGGGCCATGCCTCGTGCGTCGAGTTCTGCAAGAGCCTAAACATCCCGCTCATTCTGTTCGGCGGTGGCGGGTACACACCGCGCAACGTCGCTCGCGCGTGGGCTTACGAGACAGCCGTCGCCATCGGCCACCAGCACAACATTTCACCCACAATTCCAGCCCACACACCCTGGCGTGAGCGCTTCCGCCACGAGGCGCTGTGCCCGACGCTCGAGGAGATTCTGGGAGAGCCTCGCCAGAACCGGAACCCGCCCAAGAAGCTCGACGAGATTGTTCGGCATGTGACTGAGCAGCTGCGGTTCGTTGGGCAGGCGCCGAGCGTGCAGTACCAGACTATCCCACCCGATCTAGGACCCATTCGGGACGAGGTTGAGGCGAGGATAAAAGAAGAGTACGAGGATCAGGACGAGATTGGGCGCAAGATGAGGGAGGAGGGCATGGGCGACCGGATGGAGCTGTGATGAGGACGCATTGATACCACGAACCCTGTATGTAGCGTGTGATAGGCTTGTAATGTGAAAACGTGATGGTCTCTCTGGAGGGTTGGCCCTCAGCTAGAAGTACATAACATTGGCGTTTGACCATTGGACATTGGGAATAACGCACATAGCCGTCGTGGCGTGGGAGAGACACGTCCAGCATTCTATTGCTATTTCTCCCCAGACCCTTAGTTGCATGCTCTATGGCCGACTTGGTGACACTATTCTCGGGAACTGCTCCCAACTCAGGACCCTGCTCTCCGACTCACCTAGCTCAGATAAAATGAAGAGACCTGCATACATTTATATATAAAGCAAAGTACCTTGAGGTACATATGTACAGACTACAAGCCCGAGCCCATCCGGACTTCTACGGCCGGACACTCGGCGAACGGCACGGCGATGGGCTTCTCGAGGCACACGCGGACCTGCCAGCCCCGCTCGCGCATGGACCTGTTGTCGTTGTTGTTGTCGTCTTTGTCGTGGGAGTCTGGGCCGCGGCGGCTGGGGTCGAGCCGGAACTCGTCGAGGATCTTGGTGGCGATGTGTGTGCCTAGGGCTTCTAGGGTCTCGAAGGAGGACTTCTCCATGGCCTTTTTTTTTCGGGGGGAAAGGGCGGGGCAGCCTACTGTCAGCACGAGCCGTTTGATAGATAACAAAAGAATCGCCGGGTCACCGGGAAGGATATGAAAACAGGGACAGTCATAAGTCGACGAAGCATGTCCATAAGAAAGCCATGATGGCCAAAAAGGACACAAGAGATAAAGGCAAACCGACAATACCAACAACAACAAGTGTTACCTGCCAGTAGCCGTTGTAGCAGCACCAAGGGAAATGAATAAAGAACGCGGAAAAGCACGGCAATGAGCGTGTAGTATAGAAGAAAGAAAAGAAAGACGAAGGGGAAAAGAAAAATAAACTCACATCGACGACAACCCGCTCAATCTGGTCATGAACATCGTCGCCCGTAACGTCGAACCGGTCAATCTCGACCTCTGCGACTAGCATCTGCCGCGCGAGCCGCTCGTTGGCGTTGACCCCGACCAGCGTGGGCACGTGCAAGCCAGAGATGCGCAGGCTGCGCGCGTACGCGGCCAGGGGATTCTTCTTCTGCTTCTTCTTCTTCTTTTTGTCATCATCATCATCATCATTATCGTCGTCACCGTCGTCACCACCACCAAGTAATGTATCCCGGTCTTTGAAGCTTGCTGTGGTGGTCAGGCTCACGCCCGCGCCGAGCAGGGAGGCCTTGGGCAGGTGGATGGTCAGGGACAGGGAGCGCAGCGCGCTCGCGTCGAGAAAGGGGACCTGGTCTGGGGGGAGGGCGACCTGGCTCCCGTCGGTCACGCGGCCGGTCAGCCGGACCCAGAGGAGCTCGAAGATGGCGCTGGAACTTGGTGAGTGGGAGGAGGAGGAGGAGGAGGAGGCCGTGGAGTTTGTGGCCGCGGCCGCTGGTTGCGATGATGAGCTGGCGATGCCGCCGCCTCCCCCTCCCCCTCCATTCAGCCCTTCCAGGCCGCGGAGCAGGGTCTTGCTCAGATTGCCGTAGTGCACCGTCTCCGAGTCGACGAGCCGGTCGCCGGCGGAGGAGGCGTCGAAGCCGGCCCGGAATGAGAGCTCCGAGGACAGCAGGACCGGCTGGACCTTGCCGGAGCGGCCCCAGGCGTCGCGGCCGCACGGGATCGTGGCCTGCAGGTTGCGCACGCGGACCACGGCGACGGGCTCCCCGGCCTGGGCGCGGACCTGGAATGTGCTCTGCAGCGGAGCTGCCGGGTCGTCGCCCTCGGCTGTGAGCTTGGGGATGATGATGTTGCTGTTGTTGGGGTTGTCCATGGTGGTTGCTGCAGGCTTGCGGAGGAAAGACAGCATCGCTGAAAAGAACTCGAAGGCCCCTCCTTGTGGCTCTCTCTTTTTTATCTGGTCAAGGATCTGGATCTGAATCAGACAAGGTTCACAGTTGGACAAACGTTTCGCACCAACTGTTGCGATGGGTGATGTTGAAGTTGAGGATGTTTAGCGTCCCGGGGCAAGATGCAAGCTATAGTGGGGTCACCAAGGTCTCGAGCTCGTCCAGTCAGGGGAAATCAACACTGACAAGAGGTTGAGGATTAAAGAGTCAACTATGGCAGTACCGAAATATGGAGATAAAGCATCGTTGTACCAAATCAAGCAAGCACTCTTGGGCACAGGATTGCCGTCGTGCGCGGTTCAATGACGAAGGCGTGATGCAACGCCCCCACTCCTGGAGATCCCGCAGTTTCGTTGATGTTACAAGCACAGCGTATCAAACTCCAACACTGGACGTGTAAAATGTCCCATTGACTATGATGTGAAAACATGGCTATGATTCCTCGCCTACTGTGAAACACGTAGGACCACTTCAGAACTCTTCTCCTTGGTCTGGACGCCCAATATGACTGGCTTCCTCATGGATTCTCGCAGACCATGGCCCAGGTCTCGTGCGTCTGGTCCAGCCCCCATGGGGCAAAATCCAGAGACTGCTTCTCGATATCCTCGAACCCGTGCTTTAGGTACAAGGCATGCGCCACGGCCGACGACTCCAGGAAGACTGGCAGACCCAGCTCCCGCGCACTCTTGAGCATATCCTGGATCAACATGCCCCCGGCTCCCCGGCGCTCATGCTTCGGGTCGGTCTGAAGGAGATGCAGGTCTACAAGACAGAATAGTTTTTGGTGGTCAGCATCTAAAGCTACGTCCGACAAGAAAACAGCCGATATCGTGTGTGTTTGACTCACAGACACAAGGCTTGCCCGCCATGATCCGGCCCCTCATCTTGGCCAGCCCGCCAAACAACGCCTCGCACGCCTCGACGTTGCATCCCGGGCCCCAGGTCCGAGGGGTCGGCGCGGCCGCCGCCTCCGGGTAGACGTGCCACTTGGCCATGGCGATCACCTGCTCCTGACCGCCCTCATTGCCGCCTGCCGGAGAAATGTCCGTGTCAACCACTTTGGTCCAGCGCGTGGTCGCGTCGGTGCGCAGCTGCTCGGCCAGCTCGGCGGCGCGCCCCGGCCCGGCGGCGGCGGGCATCGGGCCCGGAAACAGGTACGGCGTGAAAGGGTTGTTGGCATAGGCGTCATGCTCGATCTTAGCGAGCCGGTCCGCGTCGGCGGCGGTCGCGGCGTGGACTTGGAGGGGCATCTTGTCAAAAACAGTGTGGCTACTCGAATGGTTGTGGCCTAGTCACCCGGACATGGCTCTCCTCATGCCTGTGGCCCGCTTGGGGCCAATGTAGGTATTATATCTGTTCTACTCGGGATGGCAGTGTGTAGGGCGCCGTGCGTGGTCCCTGGTGACCTGGTCGTCGCCCACATCGGCCTTTCCGGCCAGGGTCCAGCCCAGCGATGATCCGCTCGTATGGCAACTCCATACTTTGCCGACATATGGCACAACCCATGTCTGGCATGTTTGGGAATCTCTGCCGTGAGACGTTTGATAGTGATAAGTCCCGGCGTGACTCATTCGGCCGCGTGGAGGTTCCCGAGGTGCCCGGACTGGACGGAGGAGGAATGCCATCGTAGGAAGAGCTTCCTGTTGTGGAGGCGGGGTATCTGTCCGCACCGGGTGGGGGCCAGGAACTGCCTGCCCGCCCTATTCTATAGCCTCTGCCCGTACAAGATGAGGGAGTATACAGAGTACAAGCACATACTTTAGGCATGCAGTCAGCAGGTGCGCCTTACGCCGCCACGTTCCCGGCTGTTAGCGGCTAGTGTTGCGCGATCGAAGCCGCGGCCGAGAATGCTCAACCCCCTCGTCGCGTGTGGGTAGACAGAGGCACCAGGCGGATACCGTAGCATGGGGCACTGCCGCCCCGAGCTTTGTGGCTGACAGCTTAGAGGATTACACGGCCAGGGTTGTTGGCCCATCCCGGACTTGTTTGCAGAGCACACACCCACCATGAACTACACCATCCCGAGCCCGACGTCGCCGGCGCGGGGCCGGGGCCTGCTCGCCGCCCGGGCCGTCCGTCCCGGCGACATCATTGCCGTGTTCGACGGAGCCGGGACCCCGGCCATTGCCATCCCGGACTCGAACCACCTCGCCCACACCTGCAGCTACTGCCTCGCCACGCCCGCCGACAACAACGACACCACCACAACAACACCGCCCGTCAAGCTGCGTGCCTGCACCGGCTGCCGGGTCGTCGCCTATTGCAGCCCGGCATGCCAGAAGCGCGACTGGCAGCTCGTCCACAAGCTCGAGTGCAAGGTCTTCCAGCGCGTCCGCGCCTCGACCTCGGCCTCTGGGCATGTCGCTCTCCCGACGCCGGTGCGGGCTCTCGTGCAGATCCTCCTCCTCCGCTCCGATGCGGATCGGAATGCCCTCGTGGGTAAGCTCGAGAGCCATGTCGACGACTTTAGGCGGCTGCCACCTGGTAATGTCAACGACAGTAACAGGTCCAGTGCCGAGGCTGTGAGCTGGCAGGACATGGAGCTCCAGGCCATGGCTGCGCTGCACTACCTTGGCCGCGCGGTGGGCGAGAGGGAGAAGAATGAGGCACTGGAGGTGCTCTGCAAGGTGTGTGGCCATGTCTTCTGCAGCGCCCACAAAACACCCGTCTAATGAACGTAAACAACAAACAGCTGCAAGTCAACTCCTTCAACCGCCTCGACGCAGACATCGGGCAGACGGGCCTGTTCCTGCACCCGCAGCTGGCCATGGTCAACCACTCGTGCTTGCCCAGCGCGTACGTGCAGTTCTCCGGCCGCGTTGCCGTGCTGCGTGCGTACCAGGCCATCAACGAGGGTGACGAGGTCGAGATATCATACATCGGTAGGTTTAACCCCCTCGATGCTTCGCACCAAAATCGCCAACGCACAGTATACTAGTCACTAACAAACATATGTATTACCACCGCCGTCGGCAGACCAAGCTCTGCCTCTCTCCCAGCGACAAGCAAGCCTCAAGGCTCGGTACCATTTCACGTGTGCCTGTCCTCGCTGCGCCGAAGACCTCGACGTGTATCAGGCCTGCCAGCGTTATCCTCACTTACAGCTCAACGACCTAAGCCTGGCGACCGACCTTTCTGAGCTCATCCGCCAACAGACCTCGCCGCCGCTCAGCAAGACCAAGGACTTCTCCAAGGCCATAGCCCAGGTCCAAGCGTCCTTTACTTCCCTTCCCACGCCGCCTCGCAGCAGCTCGGGCGCTACCACAACAGCAGACGCAGGCTCGACCGAGGACCTCCGCCGTCGCTGGTCCCTCTGCCAACCACTTCTTCTCGCCGACACCACCCACTCAACTCCCTTCGCCATACATCCCGTTCCAGAAATCCTCACAGACGCCGTGATCCACTTCTCAAGCCGCGCCAACTACGCCGCCGGCCTGGCGCTATCATCCCTTCTCGCGACACAAGTCGAACCTGTCCGCAACCCGTTCCCAGAATCACCCGGCCGGGTCAAGGGGCTGCTCACACTGGCCAAGCTCCTCGCCAACGCGGCCGCGCCAGCAGCAGCAGCAGCAGCAGCAGAAGAAGAATGGTCATCATCACCATCGGCATCGGCATCCCCACGACAAAAGCCACAGTCGAAAGCGCTGCAGGCGGCAGAGAAGGCTATCCTCGCCGTGCTGCGCACCATGGACGTCCCGACGACATGCGAGGTGCTACTACTGCTCGTCCTGCGCTCCGCCTCGTCGTCGACGGCATCCCCTTCCCCAAGGCCGGCCACGAGTAGTGATGCCCAGCACCAGAACAACAACAACCACCACCACCACCGCATGCTGATCCAGCCCTACCACCACGAAGCCCAGGATATCCTCCAGGACATCCGCGCCCTCCCCGGCCGGCACGCCGAGCAGGACCTCGTGCGCAAGCTCTTGGACCAGCGCGGTCGTCCTGGTCCCGGTCTCGGCAGCAGCAGCAGCAGGACGCAGGAGGAGAAGCTGTTCCTCGAAATGGTCATCGTGAAGCCCCTGAGAGAGATCGCCGGGCTCGCGCGGAGCGTCATGGATGCCGAGTTCGGCGGTGCTGCTGTGCAGTAGTGAATTTTGTGTGTGTGGGGCGTCCCAACGCAGTTCGCGTCCACGTGGTTGAAGGATTGCTCTTTTTGGAACGAGTGCGTGCTCTAAAGCAAAGGTTCGAGTCACGCGAGGAAAAATTCTCAAGAGGCCACTTTCACGGTGAAGCTGGCACAGACGAATACAGTCACGCTTCTCTATCTCTTGCCCTCCGGATATGGGATGATCTGGAAAACCGTATGCAGTCTATTGTGGTCTATGGCTAACAGAATGACTGCGGCATTCCTGGCGTGGAAGGCCAACACATAAGAGGCATCACAGCCTTCACTGTTTTGAGCGCCGTGCTCGGCCGGCAGAATACTCGCAAGTAAGACAATTTATGCCCCGTGTTGCAAGCAACACATGTATGTCATGGACACTGTTTCCGTAGTAAAGCAGTACAACCATGAAAATGTTCATTGCAGCTTTCTAACGTGTATCCACTCGGGCGGCGTGTGACGTAACCTAAAGCAGAAATGATTGAACCTTGCATCAAGGAATGTGAGCCCAAAGACAGCTAAAGAGAAGAAGCGTCTGGGCGGTGTTCGCGCAGTCAGGATGTGTATCAAAAGGGCAACCCAGAAAGAACGCCGTTATTCAAGTGTAGAGAACGCCCCCAGAAACAATAGCCCACAAGACCCATGGGTGGCTGGCCCGAACGCCATCGTGGCGAGTGCGGAAGGAAGGAAAGCATTGCAAATGCAGAAACGGCATGAAACAGACAGCCACAACGCCTGAAGGCAGTGTTCTCCTGTGGCGCAACAGGAATCTTTGGAATCCTACCAGAAATCAAATGCACAACGCCTACCCAGAATTGTTCCTGTCAATGGAATCGAGCATTAGTGAAAAGCAAAAAGATAATGGCGCCTGATCCTCGCCACAAAAAGTCAGTATGGCCGGGTAGCGCAGATATGTATAGGTGGGAGCAGGCTTGACGAGGAACTCGTAGATCAGATCTCAACGTCTGGTTGTCGTGATTGCAGTGGACGTAGACTTGGCACGCCCCCCAGTCGACAGTGCGATGTTCGAGAACTTCAGAATCTCAAGCGTGGATTCACAAGCCAAGCTTGATTGACCTAAAGATGGCGGCGTCCAGGTTGTAGTGCTTAGTCGCTGGGGTTGGTCGAGCTCGTCGAACGTATAGTCTCCGAAAGATGTCCTGGAATGTGCTTGCATATCTGACGAGCAGATCGCATTCCCTACTGGGTTGCAGTCGACCATATACCTTGATTTGAACTGGTGAAAAGGCGAAAAGAATCCGTCTTTTCCCATCCTTCGGCACTTGTGTGCCCTTTTCATTTATCAAGTCAATCACCGAAAGTCCAGCTGGAATGGCTTGAATCGTCCGCCGACAGTGGCACATCGTGGACACTTCCGCCGCGCGCCTTGCTCCTCCATAAGGATATTGACGCAGTCTCGGCAGATGCCACAGATGCACTCGGTGCAGGCATAAGACTCTTTCAACCTCGATGTACGCTGGCATGCAGCACAGTATATGTGGACATCCTGGGATGAGTAGCTGGGCGATGAGTCGGAGAGCCCAGAAGCTCCTATATGGAAAGTATCGCCGGTTTCCCCGCTTTCAACTGATGGGAATGGGTCGGCAAGCTCTTGTGCAAACGATGGCGGCGTAAGTGCTTGCTGCTGCAGAGGCGAGGCTTGGTATCCGTGGAAATGCTGCTGCGTAAATGGGGGGAGTGAGGCTCGGTTGACTGAAACGGGCGAGCGTGGGATCTAGAGACGAGGTATCAGTAAAACAATTAAGCCGAGGAAGGTAGATTTAGTGGACTCACAGGTGTGCGATCCTCATCGATATCCTCAGTAGCGGATGCGGCGGCATCGATCAGGTCTTCCCATCGCTTCCCAAAATTGGTGGACGGTTCGACAGACTGCGCCTTTCTGTCCAGAAAGTCGTCGTCTCGTATGCGGCGAAACCAATCCGCAGCGGTGCCACGGGATCTCTGCTTCTTGTGGCTGCGCTTGCTTATCGACTGCTTCCGGGGTCGGCTCACGCCCATCGACCTCTGCAGCGGTGGCAGGGTCGAAGAACGACCCGGAGGCGAATTGGAGAGGATTGAGGGAAGTAGATCTCTGCGGCTGGGACCGTTGAGGCGGGAGTATGGGTCGCTCGTGGGGTCATGAATTGGAGGCAATTCGATTGTGGATCGGGGGATTCTTGGGCCTTCGACGTCTGAGTGCCAGCCCTATTTCAGATGTAAGTCAGCAGCTTGATAAGTCGCAATTATGGCAAATGATGTGGCATACGGCATCAGAGTCCCAATCATGCTCGATCTTGTGTTGCTGCCCGAGCTGTGCAAGAGCTGCTGCGGCACTGGCGGCTGGGAGCAAAGAGGCGCTAACATAATCGTCCAAGTGTCGCGGTGTGCCGGGGGCGCTCGAACCGTCTCGCATGTAGCCGTGGCGGTCATGATGATATAGCTTGTTTGCATCGAGGCTCTTGGGAGTTCTGTTCTGCTGTTGGTGCTGGTTGGGCGTGCCTTGGTTCTGTGGCTTTTCTGACGGTGGCGTATTGATCATCAACAAGAAGCTTTCCTCGGTCGCTGGGAGCTTCGCTATGTAATGCTCAGGGTGTGCTCGCCGGATGTGCTCCTGCATGGAACGATATCTCTTTTCCTGTTTGGAACAGTCAACACCCGCCGCTCCATGTATTAGGACTCAAATAGTCATGGAAGCTTTGGCCGCATGCATGCCGTTGAGGCTGACATGTGAGGCACAGCACGGTCGCAAGCGCCTCCAGAGAGTGGACTGGCAACCTCAGCAGCTCCAAAAGTGGACGTGGCTGCTAGCGGGACAGGACAGCGGCAACTTACGCCAATGCATCTCTTGCGACAACTAGAATGATCCTGATTATACAGCGGACAGACGACCTCATTGTTGGCATCGGTGATGGAGAAGCTCGACGTGAGCGACGACCGAGGCGGCATCGTGAAGCGACCCCCACTCTGGAAGGTCTCAATCAGAGGGGCTCAGGGACGGGCCGTATCGATTTCGACGATAAGACGAAAAAGTGATGGAACCGCGACGAGTCTGACCAGAAAGGTCTTTGAAGCTGTCGGCCGTGACAATGCAAGGTATATCTATGACGGGGCAGAAGGCCACGGGGTGCCTCGAGGCTGGCTGCCTTGCAACGGGGAGGATTGAAACGAGAGAAGAGGGAGAAGGTTGGAGAGGGCGCCAGAAGTCAGAAAAAGGTAGTATGTAGTAACAGTTGGTCAGGCGAGCCACCCTCTCCGGCGGGCGAAAAGTGAGCCAGGCTAAGGATGATTGAATCTCTTGCGAAGGCCTGGCTAGCTCGAGCGCTACGCTTTCGCACGCCCTGTCCTGGCCCGGCGGAAGATTGAATCTAAATTTTCCTCGGCTGTGGAAGAAATGATGGAATGCCCTGGGGCGAGCCGGATAGCAATGCTCAGAGGGCCAGAGCTCCCAGAGGTGCTAGCCGTGGGGTTGAGAGCACAGCTTCTAGGTGGTGGGATGGACGAGCTCTGCCAGGTGGCCTGGAAGCTGGAGCTCAAGCTCTCATTTGGACCAAAGACGGCGATTGGGAAGCTCCAGGCTCGTTGAAGAAAGCGGAACAGGGAGGAAGATGATAGCAAAGGCCTGGCTGGAAGCAGGGAGACTGGCGCAGTTCGTCATTTGTCTCTGGCCAGGTCGGGCGGGCGGCCAAGCACCGAGAGCAGCAGCTGCCCAGAGAGCTAGGAGCTCCCCATGCGAAAGAGCAGAGCTTCTCCTCCTGCGGCAGCTGGGGCGCGAGAGCCGAGAGCACCCACCCACATGGGCAGCGCAGGCAAGGGGACGAGAGGCACCGGATCGAGAGGGGGCGAGGCAGGTGAGGCTGGTGATTGGCTCTTCGGGCATGCTCGAGTCGAGCCTGGCGTAACGCAGGTCAGGGCTGCTTGTGAGCACGCTGACTCTTGTCGAATCGAGCATGTACGGGACTGGGCTGGCTGGGATGCGGGGTCGGTGGTTGCGGGTGGGCTGCGTTCTGCTGAACTCGACTGGCCTTCCCAACGAGCACCCGACAAAAGAGCTGCAGCACCTGCCCTGCCCTGGTGGATCTCCTGGCACATGGCATGGACGGGGCCTCGACGACGTCCCAGGATGCTGCCCGTGTTTGACGCCAGGCTCGTCGTCTCCAGTCAGGCTCGTCGCCTGCTCTCAGCTTTGCCTGGACATGTATGTGCTCGCACCTCCCTAGAACGTCTGCAAGCCGTTGCAGCCCCCGTCTCGCAAAGCCTCCTCACCTGCACATTCTCGACATTACCCTCATGCCCGTCAAGTCATGCGCTCTTCGTAGCAAAGCGCGCCGCCCAGCTCAACCAAGGATGCGCCTCAAGTTCATGCGAGCCATGCTTGTCAACAGGGGGGCCTGCCTCCTTAGCAAGCCTGGTGGGTAAGGGCAGGCTCCGCTTTAAGGCGGGCCACCAAGCCTTTGCCTCGTTGCGGGCCCAAGTCTTCGTCAGTCTTGCGGGTTTTCGCCACTTGCGAGACTGGTCATTGGTCAGGATGGGTCATCAGGCGGAACCCTTTCGATGCCAGGTCCTCTCGTCCCCGCGAAGGCACACAAATCCCAGATCTCACCTGGGAAGGATTCAGCTCAGCTTCGACAGAGCGCAACCACATGCTACGTTACGGGACAGCGCACGAACGTGGCCGATGTGGAAGGGCGCTTCAGAATTTCGGATCGTCTCCTCACCGCAATCATCTCGAGCTCCTGGCTGGCGCCTCGCCCGGACACCGCCAGCTTCGAGACGCCCATGCGCAGTCACATGCACAGAACCTCAAACTTGGTGGTGCGAGACCCCGATTCAAGCTCGCCAGGCTAAGAGGGGCCCAAGCGGGCCGGATCCATCTTGCGACAGACCTTGGCGAGCGAAGGGTCGCGCTTGGTGGCCTTCTAGACCCCTTCTCTGCCTGCAGGTACTTTTTCCCCCCGTGCAGACACCCTCATCGCTTGTCGATGTGTTACACTCGAGGGGCATGCGCGCATCCAAAAAGTACTTCGAGGCGTTGCAGCTTCCGGCAGCTGAATTGGGATGTGCATCTGCCGGTCTTTCATTCCTCGATAGATTGGCAAAGAATGGGGACAGGGTCCTGGTCACTGATTAGGAAAGCTGAAAACGAGACGACGGTCAGGAGGAACTCAAGCAGCCAACCCAACGACGCCTTGCTAGCGCAGAACAAGCTCAGGCGACAGCTAGATGGTAGACATCGGCTCGAGCTCAAGATGGCCCATTTTGAGTCGGATGCACGTTGGCATGAGGTAGCATCACAAGTACCAATGAATGTGGACTTCATGTTGGTGCCCTGCCGAGCAATCAGGTCTTGTGCTGGAAACGCCCCAAAAGGAAAGAAAAAAAAATTTGGCCATGTGGCCAGGGGCGAGCAACGACTGAGCCCTTTCGATTGGTTAAACCACGCTGTAGTATGGCGAGCTTGGACCGGACATTATTGTCCTTTCACAGGCCTCGGCTAGATGTGATTGAACCCAGGCCAGGACTGACTCGGATCAAGCTTGAGAGTCAGGTCCCCTTCCATTCTGCTGTCAGCTTAAACCGTGGTGTCTGAAGAGGCGGAAGATTGCTACAAGCATTGGTAGCTCTTCAGGTTTGTCTTGACGAATCCTTGCCACTCCTTCGGTACTAAAGGTCATCAGCTTTGCAACGAGAGGCTTGAGGAAGTGTGAGAAAAGAGCAGGAAAACGAGAAGAAAAAGAAAAAAAAAGAAGAAAAGATGCATGGCCAGACCCTGGTGATATGGTGAAGATTGTGGAGCCCTGGATGCCTCAAGGTGTGGAAGGTGCATCGTGCAACCACTCACTGTGGTACACCCAAACCGACGCTTCGGTACAGTGCCCAGAGCATCTGATCACAAGCGATTGGTACGACTCTAGTGACTCATTGCCTGGGTTTGCCTCTTATCCCGCGGCTGACAGACAAGTCTTAAAAGTCATCACACGGCGTACTGCTTACCTAGTGTACGTATTCTTTGCAGTGTTACTGAATGGTGCCCACGCAGTGCCTTACATTTAGCACCTGGCCGTGCAGTCCAGCTTGTCAGCCAACTGCCGATGACTCGGACCGTGCTCCCGGACCCAGACTCAGGAAGATGCGCGACAGCACTATCCAATGGGGACGCCTTCACCAACTCAAGAAGTGTGCCTGTTCCGAAAGCCCGGCACAGGTCCCGTAGTGTCGCCAATTTTGTCGATCCCTCTGCCTTAGATAACGTTTCGCCGAGATCGAGCTTGATTATGGACACTCGCCTTGCCAGCTGGAAGCCGGTCTTTGCGCTCGGTGCATAATTGCTTCTCCAAGACTAGCCAGCGTAAGCTTCCGGTTGGGGATGCTTCACGATGCGAACTCGGACAGAGAGGCATCGGTTGCCCTAATATATGCGGGAAAGCATCTTACATGCGACCAAAGACGACCCACAGCGAAGCACAGCACAGCGACTGGGATTCGACAATACATGGGACGATCCGCTCGCGTCCACGTGCCCTGGTTGATTGACAGTTCAAAGCGCTCGTTCGCATGAACATTATCGACATGGATGCTGCCAATAGAGCAGCCGCCGTCGTGCGTGCCAGCAGGGCCAGACTACGGCCTGATCTTGTGCTACGTCAGGCCAGAACCATCGAGACATGACATTCCCCCCCAGAAATCGCTCCAGGTTATGCCCCGCTATACCAAATCATGGAGAGACATGCGTGGAGGCTGGACAAGCCAAGACGCCCCGTTCGAGTAGCCGTCAGCTTTCTCCTTTGCCTTTCTGCGCTTTCCCTGCCCTGACAGCTGGGCTGTTCTCGCGCAAGGCCGTAGCCGAATTACCGGTTCCGAGGTGGGCAAGCTTCAGGCAGGTGGCTGGCCCTGGAAAGCATGGTGCATGCCCGCAGACCATTGGCGGTCTAGGGCTCCATAGCGTGACGACACCTTAAAGGGGCGGCGCTATAGCGATCAACCACCTGCAGCCTTCGGCTCCAGCTTCCCTGTTCGCGCCGGCGCCGTGGCCACCACATCCAAACGCTGTGGTTGGCTTCCGGCCGCCGAAGCAAGTCGATCGGGTCTGGGGGTTCATCTCAATCCTCCCAAAGAAGCATGAGACAATGTTGCGTCTTGCCACGATGAGGTCAATGTGCCCTGCACCACGGTAAAAGCAGCAAATAAGCGGGCTGCATTTGCTGCCTCCTCGCCCAGCCATCTCCTCCAAGCATCAGAAAAGGTTCTGCAGACGTCCTTTGCTTCCTTATAATTACCGTCCCGCTCGCGCAGCCATCATCTCCGGGTGGCCACTCGCGTGTTTGGCCTGCTGTTGATGCAATCCTCGAACGACACTGATCCCGGATCTGCCCATTCCCCATCTCAAGCTTCGCCATTCTCTTCGAGCTCGACGTCCCGTGTTCAGCTGGTGCCGCGGCCGTTGGTCTCGGCTGAGTCGCCTGCATGCCAGTCGCGCCTTCCATCCCGCTGAGTTGACGATAAAAGGCACCTGCCGTCCCATGTCTGCCGCCCCGGCCGGACTCGTCAAATCCAGCTCGTCCCACGATCAATTGAACAGATCACGTCTGTTTCGACACCATCGCCGAAGTCTGTACCGACGACTGACCTAACCCGGCAGGCGGCACTACGATCCAGAGACTGTCCAGCTCTCACGGCCGACAATGATCAGCTGAGGTCTCACATTGGCGCAGTCGACAGCGTCCACCCCTGGAACACTGCTGCATAGCAAAGTCCTTCCACCGCGATAACAGCACAGCCAGATTGGACAATGGCCTTGACCGTGAAGCAACTCAATTCAGACGCCTCTTTCCTTCTCTTGTTCGAACCGCTCCTGCCATTGGCTGCCCAGGACACGGTCTCACCACGACCATTCACCGTCCTGTTAGATCCTTGGCTTACAGGCCCGTCAGAGATCTTCCACAAAGCCATATCCGTCACCACTCAGAAGCAAGCACCATGTATCGCCTCATTGTTGGAGCTACCCGAGCCCGATCTCGTCATAATCAGTCAACATAAGAGCGATCACTGCAACGAGGCTACCCTGCGCCAGCTGCCGGCTCACAACACAAAGACCCTGATCCTTGCAGAGCCCAACTCGGCCCGGCTGATCCGGAGCTGGAAGCACTTTGACAACAGCAAGGTTAGGACAATCCCTCGATGGCAAGATCCCCGCATCACCGGCAAGCAGGCCGTTCTACGCATACCAGTTCCTGCTATCGCCGCTGGCGGACACAGGGGTGAGGTGACTGTCGCTTTCATCCCGCAGAAGCATGACATCGCAGGCCTTCACGCCGCGATAGGCATAACGTATCGACCCCCATCGACACACAATCTCACCATTCAGCCTCGCCCCAGCTCGCATGTTGTGACGCCGCCGACAACTCCAGGAGCGCTCAAGACTACATTCATTGACTCGCGAGGCTCCTTGACCGTCACGAACCAGTTATTGTTGCCTCCGTCACCTCCAGCGTCCTCGCACTCGCTCAGGTCGTACCGATCAGCATCCAGCATTAACCCTTTACCAACTTCGCCAACTTCACCAACTTCAACACATTCAGCAGGCGACTCGTCCGTCTTACGATCACGGCCAGTATCGGCTCTGTATTCCACCCAGGTGCTGAACATTCCTTCAAAGGCCAACGCTCGTCAATCAATCGCCACGATTCCGAGCACCGCCTCCCACTGTCACCCAGTATCTCTCATATTTTCGCCCCATGGCATATCGTACTCAGCATTGGAGCCATACGCCACATCGCATCTCGTGACTGAAGCTGCACTACCGCTTACAGCTCTTTTGCATTGCATGAACTTGGTTGACAATCCATGGTGGATGGGTGGCAACATCAACTCTGGTGCACCTGGTGGAGCTGTGATTGCTGCGAAACTAGGGGCACGGGTGTGGATTGGCGCTCATGATGGGGACAAAGAGGTCAAGGGCCTTGCGACCGGAATGTTGAAGACGAGAAGTTTTGGCCTTAGCGAACTGCGTCAGGTTGTCGCTCAGGCCGCTCGCCCGGGCGTGCCTCACACGGCGACACCGCCACAATCGCCTACGCGCGTTGATGGAACGAATTCGCAAATGCCCGGCGAAGACCAGTCCGACACGGAGTGTGGTACTGAAATCATGCAGCTGAGTAGTGGCGATGAGGTTCTTGTGTCTGGAGACGGACAAATGCTGTGGGGTCCTGATATAATCGACCATGGCAGGGAACATCTCAACCAAGGGCGTAATCAAAGCTCACACCAAAGCTCACACCATCCATCGAGCGATGCTGGCAAACCTGGGAGAAGTACTGCCGGCCACGAGTCTGCGTTCAAGACAGCTACCTCTTTAGGGAAAGGAGCTCGCTTGAAAGCCCGCGCATCCATGTCATTCCTCACACAGAGGCTTAAAATGTAGACCAGGCACTCGGCTCTGGGTCTGCGACGGTATTTGGTTCATATTTCGTCCACAAGGCCCCCGGTCAAGGACAGACCTTGGCATACGAATCCACGACCAAATTCTTGTACTTCTCTTGTCATTTTCCCACTCCATTTCCTTGTTTCGAGCGGATATGTATGATTCAAGCACAATGATACTTTTTCTGGACTGCAACTTCGCAGTCCGCGGCTTGTACAACTCTAGAGTATTCTCATACTCGTATAATAATCAAATAATGACGTTCGATTGAGCACGCTGGCTCTTGCCAAGTGTAGATGTTTCCTTTCATCGCAAGCGACAGGGTGGCCGTTGCTGTCTGTTGATTCCCCCTTCCGTGGACAATGGATCACAGTCGTCTACTGGTGCTCTGTCACAGCCTTCATATTCACAACACACACCACCGGCAGATTTTCGTCGTATCGTATAATATGTAGCGAATAGTCTGCCACGGGCACGACCCTCACATGGTCCTAAAGCTATTTGGTCTCCAAAAATCAAGCATATCCTGATACTCCATTCTGTCATTCGAGAACCAGCCCTCTGCTGCATTGTTATAGGCCGACTCGTCGAAGACGGCGCGCAAATCTGAGTGACCCATGATGTCTTCGTCTTGCATAGCGTTGACGCCGTCCTCGGGTGAGTGGCTGTGAATATGGTAATGCAAGCTATTGGGCGCGCTCCTCCGGTTCTCGTCGCTTCCATACGCGGGTCGACCTGCGTTGTACTGCTGCAGCTGTGTGTCATCACAAATTTCTCGTGAAAGAGTATCGATTGTGTCGCGCTGACAATGACGTGGCAAGGATGGCAAACATGCCATATGAGTCAACCCGGAGCTCGGGATCTGGGGCAATGGTACGACATCACTTGCTGCCTCCTGGCTTTGTGCTATTGCATGGTGGCCATCGCAACATGGTCTGGGGCTTGGAGAGTGGCGATGGTGCTGTGAGTGAGGATGCCCTCCCGAGCAGCTACTCAATAAGGGGGGTGTCTGTTGAGATGGATCTACGGTCCCATAGAGTGATTCCCCTGTGTCTCTGTACTGGCAGTCTAAATCCAGCTCATGTATCGCCTCCTTCCCCCTATCTCCGTCTTGTTGTTCGTGCTGATCTCCAGCGGGTGAAGCTTGCTGAAGGCTCAGATGTGCGCACAACTCTTTCGATCGTTCAACAGGATTTACACAGGATTTATCTGAGCTCCGGCCCGCATCACCCAGCTTGACACAGTCTTGTTGATTGATATGATGAGTAACGTAGTGCATGGGAGGCTTTGTCTCGGTGTGTTGCGTCGTGATCATATCCTGTGTCCGACTCTGCTCGGCAGACGGAGACGGACCTGGAAATGGGCTGCAGGCGACTCCAGAGACATGAACATTGGTAGATTGTAATGGTGCTTCACCGGTCGCTAGAGTCGTTCGTGAACAGGAAGTGGGCCGGGCTCCTTCACTCCTCAGACCTTCGAGTCGACGTGCATATACATCAGTTTCATCTGGATGAGACTCCGCAGAGCACACCATGCCGTCTGCAATGATGTCAATGCCAGTGTTACGAAACACACCCGTGGCGAAGAGCGTCTCCCTGTACATATCAAACATTTCGTCTCCATATGATGCAGCAGTATGCTCCGTTGTGCTGAGACTACTCGACCTCACCCTGTGTAGACTCATTAACGATCTTGAAGCTCCAGTCTTTTGAGTCGCTGGTTCCTCAAGAGGCTGGGCGTAATTGATGTCTTCGAGTTCAATGGGGTGGCTCTGTTCTTGGATGTGTCTGTGAACCATTTTCTCCTTTTCGTGATCAAATGGGAATATCCCGGACATTCCCGGTTTTGGAAACAGGTCTGCTTGGGCATCCACTACTGAGGTCTTTTCATTCGATACGATATTAGTTGTGGGCTCATTCAGCTGTATCGGGAAAAAAGACGAGGCTTCGGCTCTTTCACGTTCCAGTCTTCTGTTGTGTCTTGTTGTATTCTTAGACGGCCTGATTGTAGTTGTGATCCCGACATTCGGGAACACAAGATCAGATGCTAAGCAGGCGTCAGTGACAAACATTTTGTAGTGATCTCGCACGATGCATACATACTGGACTGGACATCTGAATTTCGACGATTTCCAAAAAGTCCGGGACCAAGTTGCAGCGGTAGCTAAAGTCTGATAAGTATTCTGCATGTGCAGCATGACCAGGCAGAGGCACCTACTGATATTCTTCCTGTCGAAATCACTGCCGAGATGCCTTTATTCGATATCCCGTTGCCCTTATAAGACAGGACGGGTCTGCGTTTCCTCGGAACAGCCTCCTCGATGTCTGGCTGTGCTGTGTTCCGGGATTCCAAACCTCCATGGGCTTTCGCAGAGTGCTTGAGAGCTTTCCGCTGCTTCTTGGGTTCGTACTTGTCAGGTCGGGTTTTCCATCTTGGCCTCCTTTCGAACTGTTCTTGTTTCGAGCGGCAAAGGTCGCCATTTGCGTTAGGGATGCTGGCATCAGAGGAATTGCTCCGCTGGCGCTGCTTGGGGTGAAGATTTGCCATCGATGGGTCAACAGGAGCTGTCGGAATATAGCATTCAAGCCACTCTGGATGCTGTCGTGTCCGAGAAGCCGGTCGCAGAGCTGGAACTGGGCTGTGGCATGTCGAGCCGGAGCTGTCCAGCGTCGCAGCCAGCCAGGCAATGATATCCTTATTTTCTCTTTGAGTCCTCTCAGAAGTCGGCATAGTTTCACGCCAGCAGAAGGTCCGATATTTCCACTGCGGGTGTTACAGCCGACGGAAGGCGAGGTGATGCCGCAGAGTCTCTACCAAAGGCAAGCAATTCGAGGTAAAAGAGCCGGCCGTGTAGCACCAGCAGAGATGGCCGAGACCCAAGAAAACCCGTAGGGTTGGCCACGCCTTTCAAGCTGTGAGGAGTGGATAAGTGCATGAGCTTTTGCATGAGGCAGCTGGTGAATGGTGCAAGTTGTCCAACAGCACTCACTTCACGTTTGCCAGAGGCCCAGGAAGGCGCAACCAGGCCACCACGGCTGCCATTTGAACACCACTTGGGCACTTGCACGTCCTCATGGGGTCCAAGTGTCCTCTGCGAGTCAAGTATGACGAGGCTCAATCTTCATCTCATTTGGCAGCTTGAACGCTCTTTCACTTCCAGCTCACGTCGACATGCGGCCTCTAGTTCGTGCAAGAACAGCCTCACGCCAAGGTCTGCTTCCTCCTGCTCGGCCCACCTAGGGATCTTGGTCACTTCAAGCACGCGCAGTCTCTTCCTTGTCCAGCATTCGCCACCTGGCTTGCAATCTTGGAGTATCTTAGGCATGGCCGCCAGTTGAAAGTTCGAACCACAGCAGAGTACTGCCCAAAGTAGCAAGCCAACTAATTACGACTTCAGCTGCAGCTTGACAGCCAGGGAGCATGCGGCTCAACGACCCCTGCACCTCTCGCTTATATGACAAGTATTATTGCTCCCATCCCTGGCGCCTCGAATATGGAGCCCTGTCACTTGAGGTGCGTTACAGGCTGCGGTCTTGGACAACCTGTGCCTGTGCAGCGCCTTTGCTATCCCTTGTGGGTGTAATCAGGAATAGCCCCAGCACGTGCGACCGCCCGCATGTGGTGATCCCCCAAGCTCGAGCATCCCAACCACGGAGGCGCTGGAACCATGTTTCCATTTCTGTTTCTATTTCTGTTTCTTGCTAAACCGAGGACAGGACCATGGTCACGGGAACGAGTCGTTTCGATGCTGATCTGTGACCACCTGGCAGGCGACTGCCAAGGAGTTTCATCCGGCGTGGACTGGCCGGACACGTCGAACTTTGGACGCTGGTGGTGCAGAGGACGCCAGGTTAGGCCCACCCGAGCAAGCATACACTACGCAGCGTGCCCAGACTGGATGGCCAAAATCGGAGGTTCCAATTATGGCATGGCTGCCAAGCTTCGAGAATAGCCCGAAACAGAGGGCGATCCAGGGGAGCAATCGCAAACACCAGCAGCTCCGAAAGCAGCACCGGGCCAAGGTGACCTGTGCGTCAGACCCTGGTTCCGACGCCGAGCTTGGCAACCTCAACCACGCGCAAAGTCTCGAGATGCGACTCTTGCTGTCCCAGGTGAAAATCGCGCCCCCTCGTTCTTGCACCGCATGATCGCCAACACGCCATTTCCTCGCCCGCGGGATACGACGCAGGTGCCGACTCGGCAGCCTCGCCATGTCCGGCGCCTCCACCGCTGGTCGCTCGCGCTTCGCGGTCCACGCAACACGGCCGCTGGTTCGCCACAGCGCGTATCAACATGCTCCTGCCATGGGGCCAGGACGTGTGGGCAGACGCAGCTGAGCCGGCTGGCCGACTGACAGATTGACGCAGTCCGCTGTCCTGGCGCCGATCTGAGACGCGACCCTCTTCACGTATTCGCAGACGACGCTTGCAAGGCAGTATTACCCTCACAGCACTACACGACTCCAAGGCTCACAAATGACAGATCTGCTTTTGTGTGGTTTGCACTTGACATGCCAGGCTGGAAGACCCGGGCCGTTAGCCGTCATGAAACTCGTTCTTTTGCAGGTTCACCAGGCACACATAGCTGCTGCCGTCCCAGAGTTTCGCACCAGCACCAGAACCAGCATCTTGAAGCACGTCAACTGCTGGACCTCGACTGCCAGCGCTACGGCATGGTCTGCGAGGCGCGGCCATGAGCAAAGTGGCTCCCACTACCTCTGCGAAAGAGGCCGAGATTTTGCGTGAACCATATCACGGCGGCTCTGTCGAGCTACACAGCGAACGCGGCCACTAGGAGAACATGGACAACGAAAACCTGTGGACAAGTGGTCAGAGAAATCAAGCTTCAAGCGTCCCACATGCACGGCGCCTGACTCCACGAAGGTTCCTGCGACGGGCCCGCCCACATGCTTCCGCGTTGCAGTCTGATCATGAAAGTTCCCCACCAATGCGCGCGTGGGCCGCCAGACCAGAAACGCATGCTGCACATCAGATAGAAAACTTGCCGACGGCCATGACCAGGGCGTGTTCAGACGTCCGGAAAACGGGCGACGAGTGCCGTTGAATCACTTGGTATGAAACAAGACTGCACGAATCACGAGCTTCCTTGGACCTGTGTCGACAGGGTCGAAGACACGAATAGTATGGTTCTAGCTTCCAGATGCAACATCAAACTGCATCAACAGCTCACACGCGCGCTCCACAACTCACAACTTCGACTGCTATGTATAGCAGGCATGCGGCTCAAGCCGAATGACAGGCCACTTCTGCTGATTATGCCCTGACCCCGGGGAGGCCATGTGTTCCAGCTGTCTCAAGTTGTCTCCTGAAGTCATCACCCTGGCGCCGATTCGGTTATGCTTGCACCACTTCGCGCGAGCAAGACTGTATGGACAGACCGCATACTCTCGCGCATCTTTGTTCTACAGCTTGATTCCATCAGATCGAGTTTGCCAGGGATCTCACCGGTCGTCAAAACAGAGTTTCGTAGTAGCCGAACATTGCTGCCGAGGACGATTACGCGTCAACTGTCCGTGCATGGTCCGGGTATGAGGGCCTCCTGGCTGCTTGCAGCTGCGAGCGCTTGAGAGACAGACTTGTAAGGCTATGTGGTCACTCTATAAACGGACCAAATAGATTAAGCATGGTTGCCGTTGTCCTTCGTCCAGTCCTTCCAGTGCATACCCGCAGTCGACAAGAATTGGCGAGCGGGAGAGTGGAACTGCATCCATTACGGCACTAGGCTGTGACGCCAAAGAAGACCCCTGAAAGGGCTTCAGGACAAGGGCCTGTCATGCCCAAGATAGCATGGGGAAAAGCTTGAGTGGGTTGTGGAGACCTGGCGACATGCGTGCCACGCATGGATACCTGCATCTTTGGGCTCTGCATGGACAGGAGGCGCCCAGGATGAAATCTTTGTCAGCTGCGAGTTGCAGACGTCTTCAAAGACTCCTTGTCAATGGAGCAGGTTTCCCATCCTGCAACACTAGGGACGGAGAACATGTCGGTCATCCTTGCAGGTGGTGCAGCAAGCCGTCGAGCTGCCATGGATATAAAGCAGAAAGAAACGGGTTTCAGCGGGCCGGCCCTGCTGATGAACAGCTTCATCATCACCCGCCTTTCCCGTTACGGTCCAACCGCGAGCTTGCACCAGCGCGCCAAGAAAGTGTCTATGTTGGCAGCAGGACGAGTCTCAGGGGCACCACACATCTGGAGGGTCAAAGCTTGCGAGGCAGCAAGCATTGGTTGACCCCTCAATCCCATTACGCTCGGATCAATGGGGCTACATCGGCCACCCGACCCAGGCTGTGTGGAACGGACCATGAGGTCGTTTGGGTAGTCCTTGTCGACGATGTTGCGGATCGTTTCTGAAGTCAAGCAGGGCCCCTGGCACCATTGAGTGGCACCCACCTCGACGTCACCCCGTCCGTTAGTACTTTGATCCGCACTTCGGCTTGTCCCTCGTTGATCCCAAGCTGGCCAGCGGTTATATAACTCGGCTAATGTGCATTGGTTCTGGGACCACTCCAGTACCTGTTCTCAGTATCCCACGCCTTTTACGCCCGGCTTGCTCGCCGCTTCTCATCGACAGTATACAACCAGTCGGCTTCGTTCCACCGCTGCAGATTCATTCCCAGTCAGCCACCTCGGCAGCTTCGTTCGGCCATCACAACCTTATCCCCACAATTTTGACTACTGGTCATTGAGGCAGAAGGCACAGTAAGTCATGGTGTGCTCAGGGCCTATACCATAGTCCGGCTGGCTATAGACCAGGAACAGGCCATTTCAAAGAAAGTTTGTCTAACGCAGTGAGAGCAGTCATCAACATCTCTGTCAACTATCACACCCCCCCCCAACCAAAATGTCTAAGCTGTTCATTGGGTGAGCACCTCGCAAGACATACTTTATGTTCGCAGATTCTGACCATTTCACAGTGGCCTTGCATGGCACACGGAGGAGTATACACTGCGACAAAAGTTCGAGGAGTTTGGCATAGTTGACGAAGCTGTAGGTGCAAGATGATCGTCGTATGACGTTGCCCGTTCAGACCTCGTGACTAACACAGTCGTCGGCACACAGGTGGTCGTCAAGGACCGTGACACGGGCCGAAGCCGGGGCTTTGGGTTTGTTCGTTATGGCTCTGAGGAGGATGCACAGAAAGCGATTGCCGCCATGAACAACGTCGAGTGAGTGGGAGCAATGCCGGCCGTGCTGGTCGATGCCTAACAACCGAGTGCTAACAGTGCCGCACAGGTTTGACGGACGGACGATTCGTGTTGACAAGGCCTCGGACACGGGGCCAAAAGGCGGGTACGGTGGAGGCCGGGTCGGACCTGCTGGCTTTGGTGTCGCGGGTGGTTACGCCCCGTCACAGATGCCTTATGCTGGAGGCCAACCCGCCATGTACGGCATGGCCCCGAATCCAGCAATGTATGCCCCAGCATATGGACGAGGCGGCTATCCGTCCCAGGGCGCATATGGCGCGCCCCCAGCGCAGGGTGCGTAGCCGATGACAATCGAGAGTCCCATAGCAAAGCTGACAAATTTCTCAACAGGATACTCGATGCCTGGGGCCTACGGCTACCCTGACCAGAGCAGCCAAATGTCTCCTCAAGGACCACCTCGGTACTAGAGCAGATCAGGCGAGCCATCTCCATTCGGCGCCCTCTCTTGGATGTGCATTGCTTTCTTGCTGCATGCTTCTGGTTCATCCTCGATTCTCCCTTACAGGCCCCGGCGAATGATACCCATGTGCTGCGAGTTCGAATCTGCACGACTTCTCACCCGTACGATACGTGGCGGCAAGAATACGCAACTGCCGAACACGAGTCTCTTTTCTCTGGACAATTTCGCACACTCAACGAGTCCCAGACTCGCTCATTGAGACGTGTCGCACTTTCTTTTTCAGCGGCACGCTCTTCTTCGATATTGGCACAACAATCTCTTTTCTTCATTGATCTCGGAAGACGAAAAGATTTTCGATCTCCAATACCACAACCGCATCCCCGCGCGAGCCATTCTTTTTTTTTTCGTCGCGTAGGAGCGGCATGGCCCAACAGCAGGGGACAATATGCACGGGCACAGCGCCAGAAAGGCCGTTGACACATTTCCACAGAGAGGATGGCCGGATAAGCTGGTGCACGCTTTGGCACGACTTTTCAGCGTCGTTCAGATTAGAGCCCTGCACTCAGATAGCTTGCTTGTCGTCCCTGGAAGATGGGGCACGAGCAGAAATGAAAAACAGTAAAATTCCCGACACGTCGCTGCCAGGCACGAAGTGAGCTGCATGTGCATGCAACTATGACCCAGGTTCACAGAGTCTATGAATAGTCTATTCAGCCCCTGCTAGTATGAGGTTGGCACTAGAGTTCCTCTCGTAGAGCATGCGGCACCAAGTGAAGACGGCCCAGAGTGCGAGGCAGTGAGTTGGGTCTACTTCTCTGTCTCCTCCTGCTCGACCACACTACTCCGCCGACGGAAGTGATTCTTGCCCACGCCATGGTTCTCCTCCTGCACGGGGGACACCACCGCTGCGCTTGCGCCGCCGCCGCCGCTGCCTCTGTCGATCCTCCTGACGCGATCACACAGGTCCGTGATGTGCGCGTCGCCGCTGTCCGGCGGGGCCAGCGCGTCCAGCGCCGTCTCCAGGTTGAGCAGGTACTCCCTGTTGGTCCCGCTGGGGCCGCTGCTGTGGTAGATGTGCTCCGCCAGGGCCTGGGGATCCTGGGCGCCGGTGAACTGCGGGTTCGTGGGCGTGCCTATGTACACTAGCGTCTTGACCGTTGGCGGGAGGTTTTGTTGTTGTTGTTGTTGTTGTTGCTGTTGTTGTCGTCCCTGTCCATCATGAGTGGTGGCAGCAGGAGGAGCGGGCTGGAAATCCGTGTAGTGGATCGTGTAGCCGTTGATCTCGCGGATGTCGAGATAGTCCTTGACCTCTGCGACCTTGTCGGCGCGGATGCGGTACGCGACACCCCAGACACGGTCGGGCGCCGAGTCGTGGTGTTGGACGTCGTCGGCCAGGGTGGCCCAGAAGTCCCGCTCGATCAGGGTGACGACCCGGCCGGGAGCCTCGGGGGTGCCTCTGTGGTCCTCGCTGGTTTTGTTTTTCTTGGAGGTGAGTATTGGGTATTACAAGACTACCGAAATATTTCCATTCTTGAGGAAGGGAGAGTGGGAGAGAGAAAGAGGCGACCAGGCCTAGCTGTTTTGTGTCTCACCTGGCCTGGTTGTGTGAACGGAGGATTAGCTTGGATCGGCGTGGCCAGGCAAGAGGGTTTACTGGATCAGAGACTCACTTGCCAGAACCGCCGAACATAGCCGGTCACGTATCCGGGGACCCTGCGGTCTTGACAGCGTCAGCCTTGTCCGCTGCAGGAGAGCAGTGCTAGGTCTTAGAAGATGGGGTCGGTAACGAACCAAAGTGAGGCGGGGGTTTCCAGATGAGGCTGCCATAGCCAAAGAGCCAGAACTCGTCGGCGGCCGAGTCGCCGTTGACGTCGTGGGTCATGGTCCTGGGTATAGTGCGTATGTATGACTATGACTTGGAGGGTGGTGGCCTGGTCGGTCTCGTAAGGTGGCGTTGCAGAAGAGTGGCTGGCCATCGGGCCCGGCACGGAACGGAAGGAAAGGAAGGCGTGGCAGAGGGCAGGGGCGGCACGGCAGCGGCAGCGGCTACGGCGGGGGTCCACAGGCGGTGGCTCCCCTCCGGCGGCAGGGGCCGAGCATCGGGGCTGGACGGCCACAGCACAGCGCAGCCCAGTGAGTGGCAGGACTTGGTGGGGCATTCTGGAAGGGCCAGATTCTTCAGGGTCCTCCGGCAAGGCTGTTTCGTCGGGGACTGGGTCTACGGCCTGGCTACGCATACGCAGTACGTAGCGATGATTTCGTGGCGCAGTCTATTCGGTCGGCTGGGCTTGAATGGCGCTGGTGCCGTCCATGGTTCTGGAGCGGCTGACTTGCATACCGTGGCTATGGCGTCTCAGGCGCGGGCAGGTTTCTGATCACGAGATCACTTCGGTCTCCAGGAACGGCGGGCCGCGGGCGAGGCTCACCAGCAGCATCACCTCGGGACGACTGGCAGATAGATACCCAATGTAGCCCAGGGTTGACCCGTGGAACGCGACGGGCGGATGGCGGCGTGCCGGGCTGGCGGGGCAGAGACGTAACCAGTGGGGGCCAAACCCCTAAACTTGAGCGGCCAAATAGCCGTGCCGCCCCCACCACAGCTGCCATGGAAGCCCAGTGAGCTCTGGACGGCAGGCAGGTCGACACGCAGAGCTGCCCTGGCAGTCAGCCCCCGTCCCATCAGCTCCTCCTCCCCAGAACCAGCGCGCAACGTCTTTCTTCTTTGCTTCCCATTCCTCCTGCCTCTCGTCTCTCCATCTTCGCAGCTGCCCCAGACTCACCAACCATGGCATACAACAGACCCTACAACCCGGACGAGCTGCCCAGGTGAGTTTCGACATCTTGTCCGCCCCCCCCCCCCCGGCCCACGCGACCAACCACAGCCAGTACCCCGCCATACAGGCGGCCTCTGACAAAGTTCAGTCCCGTCACGGGGCTGCGGGCTTTGGCACCTGTCGCCTTTTTGCTCCTCCTGCAGATGGCTTGCTGACGGCTTCTTTCATAGGTTCGCGGAGCCTGACCAGGTTGGTTTCTGCCTTCGGGATCTGACAAAAGCATGCCCGTCGCAACTATCTAACCCCCGCTGCCTCGCGATATAGAAGGGCGGAAACGCGCCTCATCCTTCTCGATACGACTCCAAGCCTGCGCCCCCTCTACCAAGCGAACGTGACCGGCGAGACTCTGGCCGCCGCCACGATGATCGCTACAATTACGACTCTGGCCGCACTGGAAGTGGACGCGGCCCCATGTCACCACCTCCTGTCGCAACTGGCCCTCGGCCGACTCAGCATGGTCGCCCCCCGGCCACGAGCAGGCCACCGCCTTCGCCAGCGCCCGAGACTGGAGGCGACCCCACGATGTTGCCGCTATTCAGGGCTGTCGACAAGAATGGTTCGCCTGGGAACCCCCATGTACTTGGCCCGCCGTAGTGCACCTCACTGACACCACTGAGCAGGAACCGGCCAGCTTTCCGAGAAGGAACTCTCCGCCGCGCTCGTCAACGGCGACTGGACCCCATTCGACCCTCACACGATCCGCATGATGATCCGCATGTTCGACAGCGACCGGTCGGGCACCATTGGCTTCCAGGAGTTCTGCGGGCTGTGGTCGTTCCTCGCCGAGTGGCGCAAGCTCTTCGACCAGTTCGACACGGACCGCAGCGGCAGCATCAGCCTCGACGAGTTCACGCGCGCTCTGGTCAACTTTGGCTACCGGCTGTCGCCCAAGTTTATCGAGACGCTCTTTTACACGTACGACAAGAACCGCGCCAACGTGCTCAGCTTCGACCTGTTCGTCCAGGCCTGCATCAGCCTGAAGCGCATGACCGACGTGTTCAAGAAGTACGACGAGGATCGCGACGGCTACATCACGCTGAGCTTCGAGGACTTCCTGTTCGAGATTCTGAAGCAGCTCAAGTAGAGGCGTGCTGGTGGTTGTGCAAAGAGATTTCAGGCTGCCAAGGCACCACCGCTTTGGTCGCCGGGTAGCGGACTCAACCCAAGGTGCTAGACTCAATGTTGCGGCCATACGAGGTGACGATGGAAGGCACATCTCAGCCCAGCGGCCGCAATTGGAGCTTTATGCTATGGAGGGGCCTCTTCACCTGGCGAAGGATATGGCTCTGCTTGTCCCGGCATTGCGTGACGATAAGGCGGTGTTGCCGCAGACGCCAATGGCCCACGATAGATACCCAAAGCTCGCATGGAAACGAGCAATGATGACCACGCAGATGGATAATTGGTGATGCTGGTCAACCAGTCGAAGAAGACGTACGCGGTTGGATATGGTGCATTGTAGAATTGCACTGATGAGCCTTTAGTCATGATGCGCGTGAATCAATTGAACGATTACTGCCCTCTGCCAGCTGCGAGTTGAACAATAGGCGAGTTTTTGCCAAACGCAAAGGCTTTGGAATACGCAGAATACGAATGCCCTTTTTGACACATGGGCCCCCCCTCCATTTCCCGCTTGCTACTTACACCAAAGTAAAGCACTCAGGCGTGGTGTACAGCAATCACTCCGGCTCCTGATCCTTCCACTTCTGCCTCAACCCTTCGACGTCGAACCCGCACCGGGCGGCCTTGTCCACCACGGCCCTCGCCTTGCCCGTGACGGGCGCGTCAATCATGGCCCCGTCGAGCGTCCACGCGCCCCTGCCGGCCCGGCCGGCCTTTTCGTCCGCCACGACCACCCGGACCGCCCACTCGACCTCCTTCTCTCCCGGCGCGAACAGCCTCTGCACGGTGGCCACCTGGGACGGGTGTATGCACTGCTTCCCGTTGAACCCCAGGGCTTTACCGCCAGAGCACTCCTCCTCGAGCCTGGCCTCGCCCTCGGGCCCGCGGTACGACGTGCAAACGAGGTCGATCGCTGAGGGGAGGTTGTGCGCGCGCGCGCTCGTGACGATGGCGGACCGCGCGTACAGGAACTCGGACAGGGAAGGGGTGCGGGTCAGCGAGAGGTCCAGCGCGAAGTCCTCGGCCGCGAAGATCAGGCCCGACAGGTAGGGCGAGGACGCGCAGATCTGGGGCAGGTTGAGGATCGCCTGGGCCGACTCGATGAGGGCTATTATCTTGAGTGGTTGCTGCTGGCGGCGGGACGCCTCCTCTTCTTCTTCCTGTGATGTGGTGCTGCTGTTGCTGGTCGTCGTCGTTGTCGTGTTGTGTCGCTCCGGAGCTAGGTGCCGCAGGGCGTCTGTCACGAAGCTCAGGTCGCTGGCCGAGTTGACCTTTGGCACCACGATGGCGTCCAGGTGCGGCAGCGCCGCGAGCGCGGTGAGGTCGTCGAGAGCATAGGGCGTCGAGACGGCGTTGATCCGGATCGCGAGCTCGCCAATGTTTAGCGGCCGCTGTCCTGGAGACGAGGACGAGGAGAGGTTGGTGAGGTGCTCGCGCAGGGCCTGGCGGGCCGTGGGCTTTGCGGCCGGGGTGACGCTGTCCTCGAGGTCGTAGGTGATGTTGTCGGAGGTGAGGCCGAGGGACTTTTGCAGCATCCGTGGGGAGGAGGCCGGGACTGTGTGTCGTGTGCGGGACGTCGGGTGGTACTGGTTAGCTACTTTGCGAGTTCTCTTGAGAGTGGCCGTGGTTCCCCGGCGGTTGGGGTAGGATTACCGTAGAGGAGAGAGCGCCGGAGGATCGCGCTGGAGCGCGCCGAGAGTGCTGCTGCCATCTCTCTCTTTTGGAACCCTCGTCGGCGGGTCAGATATCTGTGACGGCTTTGGGAGACTGCGCACACAGGCGGAGATATGACGAGTCGTTGTCGTCTTTGTGAAAGCGCAAGTCCGCCCCCAACAGAGCAGAGCTATGGTGGGCCGGCGCCGGCGGACGACGGCGCTGCGGGGAAGACGACGGGCCTGCCCCACGGCAGCTGGGCAGGAGGAGCCGAGGCGCCGGTGCACGATCCCAGCGGCGCGGAAGCGCCCCCGGGGATCCCTGGAAGTTGTGCGGGGTATGCGCCGAGCTGCGAACCCTTGATAGGACCTATCTACATCGTCAACTCTTCTCATCTAGAGGCGCACACATGTTTGAACGGTGCAGACGCACACAAGCTACATGTGTTTGAGTATGACACACATCTGACGACACGTGCGGGCGCGATTGGGACCAGGGGGATCGCATGACCGGTATAGAACACATGCTCCCAATTCCGATCCGAGCTTTCCCTCGCGGTTTACACACTTGTGCGCACCAGTAACGACTGGTAACCTACGAATTGTGCTCTAGATCAGTACAAACTGGTAACGGAACTCAAGAAGAAGAAGAAGAAGAAAGGAAACCCCGAAATGGCAACCCCATATAGACCTGGTCTCTTTCTCAAAAACTTCCCTGACCTAATTTGAGAGAATGATCGCAGAGCGAGTATGGCAAGACTTGACATGCTCTTCCAGAAGACGAGTGAATCCAGCTGGACCTATTTCAGTGAAAGACCATGTGTCGGCTCATACAGTCAGCTTGGGCGTTTTCACTGCCTCATTGACACTCTGAGCATACGCGAGATGGCAACACACGGGAATATAGGTTGGGTGTCCTCGAGGTACAGTCAAGCAGGTGGCACCTTTTACGCTCCTAGTTGGAGTTGTCCTTTCTTACACGCCAGACTCTGGATCCAAAGCACATTCTCCCCCTCCGCGTGCTTACCTTCATATATATGTCTTTTCAAGAGGTTACCCCGATTACCCCAGTAAAAGCAGACTTAGAAGGTGGTATTTATCATAAGTTTTGGACACATCTCTACTCTTCATCACATTGCGATGCCCCCAAGCATGGAAGCCAGTCGTGGACTCTGCACCTCCTGCCCCAGCTCGCACTACTCTGCAGCAATGTCTTCGCCGCTCCAACTAGGCCACCTTTATATCAGTGGCCTCGCCCTGGGACGGCAGAGAGAAGCTGCCACGGTGCTTTGCGACCAACAGCACGGCACCTCGAGTAGTACCTGGAAATAGGTGGTTCGCATCCAAGGATAGACCAACATCGCCGGCCCCCTGTGGCGTTGCGAAGGGACACCACGCTGCCCAGCCTTAGATTTGCCGTCACGCCACAGAATATCCACCCAGCGTGGCAGTGTGCGGGTGTGGTGATAATGAGTACCCGCCGTGGTATATTGAACATCCATTCTCCATACGAAACGAAACGAACGCCCCGGCAGTGTCAAGATCAAGATGGACAAAGCGTTCGTGGCCTCCGGACACGCCTCCGCGAAACCCTTTTCTAGATTTGTTTACCATGTTTTACTTCCGCCCTGTGAGAGGCCAGGAGACGGATCTGAGACAATAACAAACCGAGCCGAAAAGGCCAGATACACGCACGCACGCGGACGAATCTGGGCTCTGAGACATGGCATTTCTCCGCCCCCAAGACACTCTTATGTAGACAGCCCTGCGATTCGGCGCAACAGCCAGGCAGGCCGCCAATGATCGCAAGGGGGCCGGAGCATTGCGAACCTTCCGCATTTTCCGTCCGCTGTGTGTTCGGAACGTAGGCAAGCCTCACCCGTCTGTCATTTGTTCCTTCTGTGTCCTGTCTTGTGTACTATGTATAGCTCCCTGCATGCGGGTAGTTGGAAAACAACTTCGTCCGCCTCACATGGAAAGACCCGAGCATGTGAGCCTTACCTTCCAGCTTAGGTGAGATACCTGCATTCTTCGTTGCGGCTCGACGGGAGTGCACAGCTTATAGACTGTGTCTCTTCCGCTCCTTGAACCGAAATACCTCGCGCAAGGCTGGGAGCCATAAGATCTTCAAGAAAGAGACGACTGATATCAGCCCACTCTGGATCCCATGTCTCGTTGCCCGGGAGATAGGTCGCTGTAGCTGTGAGTTTATTAAAGTAGGACGTAGCCCTTCTTGGCCTGCGACTTACAAGCTTCCGCCATGCTGGCGTGGGACGAAGTCAAGTGTAGACCATGACGTCGGTGCGCGGAATGAAGGGATGTCTCAAGGTTGGCAAATTGTAGACGAGGCGAAGTCAGGCACAGCCGCCACTATGCCATATCGGCCAAGCGGAGAAGGAAGCCTCCACAAGGCATCTCCGCGCTCGTGACACGCCCTCTTGAAGCATGAACCAAACGATTTGCGCCATCTGCCGTGTGGGATGAGGGAGAATGCCGTGACAGCCAGGTAGTGTTTTTCCTTTGCACGGTTAGTGAGGGATGAGAGTGTTCCAATGCCGGAGCCAGGAGACCTGTCCCGAGCATAAAACAAAGTTCACGAGCCACCAGGACGGAAGCAGCGTGGGTCATCGGAAGGCGATCACGATCTCAGGCTCCATGCTCGCTTTTACCTCCATCCGCTCTCGCAAGCGACTGCGAATGAGACGTACGGCTTGGCCATATCACAGATGCGACCAGGCTCTCCTCAAACACTACTCGGCGCCCCAGAAGGGATGGTTCTGGCCATCATGCATGCCTCCTCGTCACCTGACACACGCCGGCTGTACAATCAACAATGAGTGTCTGCCGCGGCCCGTCGCAGGAAGATCGAAATGCCTCTTCGTCTCAGACCAGGGTCATGGGACTCTCGGGAAGTGAGCGTGGCGGATGGCCTGGTGATGCGCCATTGCGAGGCTCTGAGCTTGCACGACGAAGAAAATTGCCGCCCTCTCCTGCTCCTTGCTTCTTGTGTGGCTGAGATGTCGTGTGTCGCGCCTCTGTCTGGCGAGAACTAATTATTCGCTCCCTTAGCTGGGAAAGGTGAGGTGAGAAGGTACGCTCCAGGCCTGGAGGCGGAAAGGGTCGATGAAGATCTGTGTCTCAGACAGGGCACTGGGTCGAAAACGAGGACCCATCATGAAGACGTTTCGCCTGCATCGTTGGTCATGCTGGAAGCGTGATGGGCTTTTCCGTGTTGTGTCTTGATTTGGGTGGGCATGAATGTGCCTGAGACAAGCATGGAGGCTAGGAATTCCGCGCGCGGCGCACGGTTGACCAGCTGACCTGAGGCGTTCTCACTTTCCCGTCGCGTCGGCCTGTCAATGTCTCAAGAAGAAGGATCAGGGAGAAAAGCAAGTGCCATCAATAAACCTGTCATTCGCGGCTTGGACCAGGGTGGTGTGGCTTCAAGATGGACGCGGAAATTCGGTGACCCTGGAGTCCTCAGCACAACACAACACCCAATGCGTGTCTACAGATGGACCGTGGCCCGCGGCAGACTCCGTCAATAGCTCATTTTCACCTCGGTCACATGAGTGGCAGGTACCAACCAAGTAGGGCTTTCCTGGACAAGACCAGCAGCATGATGTCTTTGCGTAGACACCAAAACCCCGGTGCGATGGCAAGAGCTACCTGCGGTGGTCTTGAATTATGCAAACCTGCTGTAGATAGCCCCCATCGAATCTGACAAAACATGCAGTGCACGGCAGAGCCTCTCCAACACGCACTTGGACGCGGTGTTGCTACGGTGACCTGCGAAGGCCAATCTCCGCTGCAGCGACCACTGCATGGTGATCTGAGTACAGGCGCCCGGTGATGATGGTGAAGAATGTTGAGCGCAGTGCTACCTACCACTTGTAATCTCGCCAACGATTCATTCCCCGGCCTATACTAACACGAACGGCGAGTCACTGCCAATCATGAAACTGTACCAGTGCTGTGTTGGTTGACGTCGACATGCCAGAGCGCTTGCTAGCCGCCAGCCAATAATAGCATTGCATGGGTGCAACTGCCGGCGCGGACAAGGACGGCCGGGCAGGCGGCCGGAGGCCCGGCAGCGCGGCAACTCCGCGCCCCCCCCCCCCCCACCCCAAAGGCCGGTCGGGTGGTCGGCCGCAGGCGGGAGGGCAGTTGAGAAAGCCCACACGCACACCACGTTGTCAATTGCTAATTATGGCTCCCTCGCTGGAGTCAAGGATGCCAGTCATCGCAACAGGATGGGTCGTGGATCGTCCTAGCTGCAGCTCTTGTTCTCACCACAATACTGCGGACGTCCCCGGGCGCAGCCCTCGCCAGTGGGCCAGCGATTGGCACCAGGTCGCAATTGTGGACCGCGAAATGATGCCATCTTCGGGGCAGCAACCAGTGGTTTGGTTCTGCCAAACCTGCGCCGAGACACCTCCTCCGCCCGGGGGAGCCGTCGACAATGCCGTGCTGGGGCGGAGCGCGATCAACGCTGCGCAGTGATGGCATCGGGGAGCGGAGGTGGTCGATCGCTGAGACGAGCCTGGGGAGCCGGGCCTGAGGAGCGAGACGATCACTCCGGTTGATGGTCTCGCTGATGTCGAGTCCCGGAGCCCGCGGCTGGGATCGACTGTGGCTTGGATGCGGATGGGCGTCCAAATGTCTCAGAGCGGTCCAGACACAATAGGCAGGCCATGCGGAAGGCGCCACCGAGGAGCAAGCCTGGCACCAAACAATGACCTTTGTCACCACCCACTGCAACACTGCATCCAAGGTCACCCGCGCCTCTCCTGTAGGTAGTCCCATGCAGCCACAGTGACACCAACAAAGCATCTCGACAGTCACGCCCACGGCCCCCAGTAGCCTTCCGCTCTGCATCGACGGGCCCTTGGCCAGCTGTTTCAGAGCCTGCGCCGTGCCGCCGACCTTGACGCCATCGCGCTCCCGCCCCAGCCCGTCGTCGCCGCCGTGCAGCAAAGGGATGGGTGGATTCAAATCGTTGTTCCGACTGTTTCGTCACAAGTCTCAATGGCCATCGTACTACGATCGATGGCAGCCCACAGTAGCAGACAGGCATGTTGGCGCGGCGGCGGCGGCAAGGCACGCACGTTCATTCTTGCTGAGCAGCCTGCAGTATCCTGCCACACCCTCGGCGCCCTATTCCCAAAGGATCGACGCGCTTCGTGCTAATGCGACCAGCAGGCTGCAGCAGCCTCACGGACTTTGTTGTTTACGGCGGGCGGCACGGCTCCAGACAGCGCCAGTGGCGACAGCTTGATGCGGGCCATGGCATCCAATCGATGGGCCTCAAACTCCCCGCTCTGGCTGCCGGTCCTGGGTCATGATGATGACACGCAAAGCGGCTGGCCCGCCTCGAAGCTCCCTGACCAGCACAACCCTAGACTGCGTACCCTGGACTCTCGCTGGCTCTGACGTTAATCACACGCTAGGATAGGATCGTGGAATGGATGGAGCGGCCCAGAGTGCCAGTAGAGGCAAACCGATCCGCATCCTCTGTCCCTAGCGGGCGCACAAGGGCTAACTATGGCGTCTGTTGTAGCACGGCCATGATTGACACCTCAGCCCCACGGGCTGTGGTGCGGCAGTCCGATGGGTGCAACGACGTCGATGCAATCCCTCAATAGTACCAATCCATGGATGATTTCAGCGTGACGAATCGTCTGGATAGCAGGGTCTGATTCCAGCTCAATGTGCTCCACACTCTTCGAGGCCAGCATTGCACAGAGCATGGAGATCCCGATGTACGAGGCACAGAATTTCACTTGTGAGTGCACGAGCCCGACCAGTCTCTGCGTGTCGGGAGCGAACGTCACGAGCGTCTGCAATGCAACAGCCCCGCCTCGACACGGCTTGCCGCCACAGCAGCACGAGGCAATGCGCATAGATGGTCCAGCGGTCTGTGCACACGGCGACGCTTCCTTTTCTCTAGGAAGAAAAACAAGGTGCGGTGCGTGCTCAGTGACAGTTCAACGGGGCGGCAGGCAGATCCTTGGGGCAGCCCGGAGCGGGCGACAAGGGTTGCTCGCCCTTCCGCGCAGCCTCATTCCTAAGATTTGCAGGGTCCAACGCTCTAGCCGCGTGCCTCCCTGAAACCCTGATCCCGTCGCCTGGACCCTGCGCCGCCTCGTGGACCCTTCAATGCTGCGAGCGGCATAATGCTGAGCAGGCACTTGAGGCTTCGTCTTACATGCCGCCTCGGTGTCTGCAGGCTCGATCCTGGCATCGCTGCGTTGCCCCCTCAAGACAGCTCACCAGGTCGCCCCGTTGTACTCAGGAGCCGGAAGACCCTGAATCCCTTAGTACGACCCTGCCCGGGGCATGCCCCGCAATCCCTGGGGTTTATGGGCGAGGAACTATGTACGAGGGACCCGGGATTGTTTCCCGCCTCGTTATTTCTGGGCCCTTTGGATCCTGCCCGCGTGTACATTTTCGATCCCTTAGGAAGTGATTCGCTATAGGATGCGCACAGCACCAACCAGGTCGGCCATCGCCGCTGTGACGTCGCGCAGGACTTCTGCACAGGCGCGCGCGAAGAAACTCGGAGACTTCATAGGGAGACACCCTCAGAGTTGCACGCGCTAGGCAATCATTCCCTATGCAAGCAATTGCATCGGTCCGTGGCCACCCCGATGATCCTTCTGGAAGAACGACGCGAAGATGGGCAGGGAAACCTTCAGAGGACCTCGCTTTACGGCGCAAGGGAGAGGAGGCTCCAGGATCCGACGATTTTAGGTGTGGTCCGCTGACGAACTGGCTCACGGATGCGTGCAGCGGTAGCAACAAACATTGCTCCCTCGATGACGGTGTGTGTTACGCCGGCAACGCGCAGTCTCGGCTAGTCGGTCTGCATACCTGCCTGAGCCTTTGCTCCGGAATTGACGTAGCCATCGGCACCGTTTCGGACGATTGCACGCGCAAGCATTCTGTATCCCAAACTTGTCGGGTCATGGTTGCACACGCCGCACGAGCATGGAGGATCCCCTTCCCTTCTACACGCGGGGACTTTTTCTTTCTTCGCATATGCCTTGCCCGTTGTACATGTTTGCTTCGGAAACTATAGCAGAGAGAGTTGCTCCGACGCCGCAAGGGATGGCAGGGGGCGAACCGGTCCCGAGGATTTGGGAAAATGCATTTTCTGAGCTGCTTGCCGTAGCTGGGGAGTTGTGGAGCTGAAACTAGAGTTTGTTGACACCACTCGCAGTTGGGTATGAGATGGCTGACAACGACTTTACAAATTTGCAAATCCTGAAAGTCACATGGGTGACGTACAGGCAAACAGCAGCACATTATTGCATCTCGGATTAAGGCATGTCTTGTCTCGTCTTGTCTCCAGTGTACACGCGGCCGGGGAGACAAGACGAGACAGCAACACTCGGGTTTCTCGGATCCCCACACCCCGAAATGCCAAGCGATTGGCACAGATAGCCGAAAACAAGAATGCATTGACAACTCGGGGAGAGACGACGACGACGACGACGACGACGACGATCAAACGGAGACGGTGACCCAAGTTCTAAAACAGCGCCGGATTTCTTATCGCATCTCTTTCTACCTCCCCCGCTTCCTTCGTCTGCTTACTATGACCAGGCCCCCCTTCTGCTACCCCATGCGGCAGTTAATGAGAGTGCAATATATCACCAGCCCAGCACAACATGGATGCTGCGACGCCGCCCGCCAAGCACGTTTCGGAAGGACCAGGCACGGCGCCAGGGGGGCATGCACATTTTCATCCGGACAAGTACTTTTGCCCGATTTTTTTTTTCTTTCCTTTCCTCCCACACTGAGGCAGTTTCAAGACTGTTTGATAAATCGGCGCATCCCCCCGTCCCAACCCGGGCTCAAGATAAAAGTCTCCGGTGAACATCGGATCAAAGGAAAGGAAAGGGAAGGGAGGGACGGGGGGTTTAATATCCCCGGTTGTTGAGGGCACAGCATGGGATGTATCCCCCTCCCTCCCCCGTGCGCGTGGTTTATGCAAGTTGGTGGTGGTGGTTGCTGCATGATGTGATGTATTCGCATGAAAGTTCCTTTTTTTTGCGTGTGTGTTTGTGTGTGCAGCAGGGACTGTCTGGTGTTGAGTTGAGTAATGACTTAGGAATGGGTTGGTAATCACGTCCTTGCGTGCGTGCTTAGAGATTGTGTTGTCAGCAGTCAAGTGGTCCGCAATGTTCGGGGCAGGTAAGCAAGCAAGCATATCAAGCAAGGCAAAAGCAAACAACTCTGGATTTCCGAGTGTGCATTGATTGAGCTGGTGTTGCAAGGGGGGAACAAGACCCAGACGGTCGGGCCGTGCCTGGGGCGTGGGAAGAGGTTGAAGGTTGAAGGTGATTGGCTCTTGCGCCTTTGGGGCTGTCAGAGACAGAGACGTGCAAGACAGGATGGAGTGGTTGAAGGCTTCAAGCCATAAAGCCATTTGTAGACCACAACAAGCACCTTTCACAGTGTATCACATTTTTGGGGGATCGTTCTTTTCTCAGTTCACGTGTAGAAAATACATTGTAAGGTTTTTCTTTCTTGGTGGACATTGCTGGTTCAAATGCCTCTCTTGTCCTTGTTTGGTCGCGCGCGCTGCTGATATGTCTCACCTCAAGCATTTTTGACTCGTTGTTTGGGTACTTGGGTAGAAAAGGGGAGCCGGAAAGAGCTCCGTCCGCATGAGGCCCCCGACGGATGCGGCCATAACGGGTTTGCATACCAGGTGAGACCTCGAGGGCGCTTTTGTCGTCTGAGCAGCTATGTAAGTTAGGTAGCACCGCGAGCATAAAGAACGGCATGTGCCACGGGGCGTGTGTGTGTGTGTGTGTGTGTGTGTGTGAAGTGCAGTACAGGAAGCTGTTTGCGTCCAATCTCTGTACATATCAGCGTACACTATTCACAAGAATTGATAAAGTGTGGCGCAAAGGGCCTGTGTAAGAATAGGCGCGTGTCACGTTTTTCGATCGGTACGGACTTCCGACATGGCCAAAAGAACATTAGGGTCTAGACTGCGCCTCGAGCCTGGTGACAAGATCGGGAAAGACCAGGGTCTGGATTTGTGTCCTTTTCTTGAAGAATGCCATCGGACGATTGCAGAAATGCATCATCTTCGTCAGTCATGGCGAGGCGGAGCAAAATGCCCAAGCGGGGCGGCTTCTCACAGCCTTTTGACAATGCGGTGTTAGTGCGGATCGATGCGGATGGGGATGTTGATGGGGAATCTAGAAACACGTGGTTTCTGGTGCGGTTCTGCGCCTTGGCTTTTGTCTAGATCCTTATTCTTGTGTGCGAATGTGTTCACTTGGAGACTATATATCTCTATTTCTTGTCTTACAAACTGCGACAAAAGTGGACTGTTCCGGCTGGGTGGCCAGACTGTTGGGAGACGTAGACTCGACGCTAGCCCAGGAAGGCGTGTAGTGCATGTCTTGCAACTACGCGTTTGAGACCCGTGGTTGAAGATGGCTCAAGCCGGGGAGAACGTGCGGATGGGCTCGATCTTGTTTGGCGTGGTCTGGCGCTCTTCTCGAATCTTGCATCGTGAGACCAGGCTTGTCTGCGGGTGGCTCTATCAGATGAATCAGCTTCCAGCAATGGAATGGGGGGGCTGTCCTGTCGAAGCCTGGGCCAGGGGGGCCGCCTTGACAGCCACGGAGCCGCAATCACGATCTGCATGTGTAGATTCAAGACAACGTCTGATGTGTCTCGGGTCCCTTTTCTTTGCGGCGTCCGTTGTCGCTCATGGGCCAGGTCAGGTGCCTTTGTGTGAGTCTCAGTGTGCCACCTTGGTGTTGCCTTAGTCACTCATGGCGGGACAGGCAGAATGTGAACTCGGGTGAAAAGTTTGGGGGCCATTCCTCGCAGGCCATTAGCTCTGGCAATGTCTCTGAACACACGGGAAGACAAGCAACTGCTAACTCTGCCCTAGAAGATCGGAACGACACGCCTGCTGGTGGTGTTGACCAAGCCTTTTTGTGGCTGTAGAAACGTGGGAATGTGTAGGTCGTGTGGCTTGTGTGCAGAGGCCGCCGAGGAGCCTCGCCTGGCCCATTTGGACGCCTCCCCTTTGTACTATGGACATTGTGCATCGCGAGATTGCAGCCATGATCGCCATCTTCTCTTCTGCTCGCCCCTATGGGAGACGACAGAGATAAAGGTTCGACTAGTCAAGGCATGACAGGAGCTCGCCGGTCCCGACTGGCTCGCAGCAACGGGCGTGCCGAGTTGACGGGCTCGGCGCGGCGACCGGGGGAGAGAGGGCGGGCGCCGACGGGTGGGGATGGAGGCGTCGTATAGTCGGCACGGCATACACCATACATGACCTTGTCTCGAGCCTTTACTATGGTAGTCTGGTGTGCTACAACAGGCTGCTGTGGCTCTCATGCGGCGCCGTGACTAAGGCCGTGAAAGGGCCTAGCAGGGCCGCCTTGGCCGGGGCCTGCGCGCGCGGCGGAAACGCCGCCTCGTGGGGCGTTGACAACGTGGCTCACGCACACTTGGCGCGCGTTGTGAGGCTTAAACAACAGCGGCTCACAGGAGTGGGCTCGAGGTCTAGACCAGACCATTTGGCCAGCCCTGGAGGCCGTTGTCCGCTGCTGCTGCTGGGGCAGGCGCGATCGTCAGGAGCCAATCACTGCCCGCCCCACTGGTTCCCGCCAGCGGCGGCTGTCCGTATCACCGGGAACGCGGCGCTACTGGCTGGACCAGTGGGCGGCGCATCAGCAAGTGTCCACCTCACGAGGCAACGACAAACAACAGCCACCACCACCACCACCATCACCACCAATAACAGCAGAAGCCACGGCGATGTTGGCCGAGGACGATGCATCGTCACGATCGTGCTGGCCATGATGCCAGCCGCCGGCTCTGAGCTGTACGCTTTGGCCCTGGTGCCGAACCAGAGCGCCACGCGGCTACCGAGTATTACAATCGACAAGCCATATGCACACACGCAAAGACTCGAAGGACGGCCAACACACCTCCATGATCGCAACCAATACCAACAACTATGACACCGTAAATAACATTCGCAGCGATTATAGCTGCGAGGCGCGCGCCAGCGCACAAGCAGCGAGACGCCGCTGGGCTACGTTTGCGGCCGCAGGAGCCTCATGTGTTTCCCGTCGTTTGAACTACTATGGTAGCCATCCTGCGCTTGTTGTGGCGTCGTTGAGGCGCCAGCCAGCCAGCCGTATACCAGTATCGACTGTCGTTCTTCTGCCCCCGGGGGCGGTCCAGACCTGTCCATGGGGCCGCCTCGAGGACGAGCGAGACAGCCATCGCCAATGCAGCGCGCGACGACGACGAGGCTCACGATCCGGACGGATGCGAACGAGCACACCCTCGACCAGTATAGTCTTTTAAGGACAGCTGTAATCATGATGGCATGAGCGCTCAGACCACACGATCCTCCCGAGGCGGAGCATCGACACTTGATCTTGATCTTGATCTCGCTTATGGCTGAGGGCTGGTCTAGAACCCCTTCATCAGTCGTGAGCAACCACAGCCGACTCTTGAACTTATGCATCCCTTCGGGGCTTCCCGTTGCTTTGCTCCCTGACAGCCCACTGTTCCAATATGGTACTTTATCCAAGATGAACGCGCGGCAATCACCGGATACCTACCTCATCCCGTTCGGTAAGGGGCAGCAGCCAGGTGGGCAGGGCCTGGCCTGGCCTGCGGGTCTCCGACGTGTCCGGAATCAACGGTCAAAGACGTCGTGATCGTGTAAGAAGCAACATTGGGAATATTAGCATTGTCACTGTATGCCCTAGGGGTGTCAGGAACGTCCGATCCATAATGCCCGCTGCCGATATGGGGCAGACATGGCTTCCACTTTCCACCACCCTCTGTTTAGCCCTGTCCTGACTTGACGGCCGTCAAAAGCTGCTGCTTTCTTCTGTCGTCTGCAATGTCCCGCCGTTGCAACAGTAGGCGCCACACACACATGCATACACATCCACACACACATGCATACACATACCCTGGTCTGAAAACTTGGTTTCTTCTTTCGTCCCAGATAGAGTGGCAGTCTCAAGTGTGAGAACTTTCCGAGCTTGCCTTGCAGACACATGGGACAGACCTGACACGGAGACCGGCTGTGGCTGCGACTGCGGGACAAGGCAGGGGGGCAGGTCACTCTGGTCAGCCCTCCTGCGTGGTCGTGACTCGCAGGCCTGCCGGCCGCCACTTTTACGTGGGGGAGAGAGAGACAGGCGATGTCTGTGTGGGAACATGACCGTAAGGACATTGAATTCGCGGTCCTGAGCGAACTCGTGCGTCCTGGACCAATGGCAAGCCATGCCAAGGCGAGCAGACCTTGGAAGAGAAAAACGGATAGAAAGTGGTACGAGCTCAGACCTGCACCGCCATGAGGATACAGTAAGTCGATCTTGGCCATGATGCATACCTCGCTTACAGCAAGTCGTCTGGTGCGTCGTGGCAGGTAGCAATAGCCAATCTCAAGGGTGGATTGGATGTAGAGGTGCGCCTGTGTGTGTGTGACTACTGGACGTCCTGTGCACGGGGGGTGGGGGCAACCAGCAGCAAGCCTGTCGCTGGAACCGTTCAGGCGTGAAAAAAAGCTGTCTGGAGACGGACAGTAGTGCCCGAGATTATTGCATCAGGCCGGGCAGGCCAGGCAAGGGACACCCCTGGTTCTTGGCAGTCTCTTGACGAGATTACCTCCGTCTCTGGCACAGTTGTATTCTTCGGTCGCAGCCCGATTCAGGAAGCTTCTGGGTCGCAAAGAGTGGGCGATCCTTTTCTTCCATCGTCAGCGTCAGATCAGTCACTCTGCGCCCCTCCCAAGACCGCCTCACTGGCTCGGCATGAAGCGGTGCGACCAGGGGTACTTGATTCGTTGGCTGGCTGCACCCATGTTCAGGCTGGGGCGGGGGGGGGGGGAAACGGCGAGTCCACCAGCAGTGCAACCCCGGACGGTAAGTGGGTACAATCGGGTAAGCCCAGGTGGGTTTATTGGGCATTCGTGGGTGGTGAGGGAGTGCAGAAACGAGGGATCACTGCCCAGAAGGCCGATGGGCAGGGCTTGAGGAGGCATTGACCAGCCCATGCCATGCTGCATGTGGGTGAAAGGGGAGACGAGAGAGACAGGCCTGGGTGCAGGCATGCCTGCATACGCCATGAGAAGAATTGTGTTCATGCAGGCCATCGACAAGATGGGCACTCGAAGGAAAGAGCATGGCCCATCTCGTGGCGGCAGGGGCACAGCCTCCTTCTCATTGGCCCCAGAGGGACCCCACATCATCTGGCCAAGAGGAAGAAGAAACAAAAGTCGTAACCGTTCAGCCAGGGGGGGGGCGAGGTTGACGACGCTGGTCGATCGTGAGCGAATGGGCTGCCCATATGCCTGCCCACCACCAATGTTCATGTAGATGGGATCGGCTTTGTTGGTTTCGTTGCTCACATGTCCTTGCTGCACCCAAAACGGCTCAATGTGCTGGTGCTATCTCATCTTAGCACGCGCGCGGCAGATCCGGGTGGCCTGCCTGCCCTCCCTTCCAGCCAGCCTTCCCAGCCAGCCAGCCTCTCCGACCCCTGCCCTGCCAGGCGGTCTGCTCTTTTCATCTGGGCAGTACATGCGGCCAGGGTCGTCTTGCATGTTCCATATCAGGTCTTTTGTTATTGTCCCCCGGCCGAGGTAGCAATGTGCAGGCGGTGGTGCAGCCCTTGACTGACTCTGTGTGTTGGTTGGTAAAAGGCGTGCGTACGTACGTATGCAACGCCGGCAGAATGATACTGTCCTATGCTGCGTGGTTTGAGCATCATGGAGCGGGTACGTCTGCTGCGTGCGTAGTTTTGCAGCATCTTGCCTCGACGTGGTCCGACGGTGGTGCAGATCACCTGAACTGTAAGGTAAGAGAGCGCGCGCCTACAGAAATTAGGGGACACTGCAGACACGACCTTGGCGGCAGTATGTAGTGAGGGTTCACGAGCGAGACAACAAAGCTACATCGGTTGCTCCCTTACAATAAACGTTATTCAATAATGGCTCATGTATTCGCCGTGTACCGTAGCAACTACGTAGGGCCCTCGATTATGCAGCCTGCAACGGATCGAGCGACGGTTTACTTTGTGAAAAGCGTGTGTGTGAGCGGGACGAGCAGCATGTCATTAAGAGTGAGGCGCTGGCCGCCTGCAGGGTGATGCAACTCCATATCATATGCCACTGCTGTCCGTCCCGCGGCGGGAAAAGTATGTGCAGTAGTGCCCGTAAGGGATGCAAATCACGCAGTGGTCTTGTTCCCAAGTCTTGTGATGTATGATGTATGATGTGTCTTTCGTCCTTGCTGTTCCTTTCGGCCCTTGAGCGGTGGTCTGCGCAGCCTGGTTGGTAGATCGTGCAAAGGTGGTGTGGCGCAGCGGTCTTGGGACCAATCAGAGTGAACCATGCCGCACCTCCTGGCAATACTTGCTTGCAAGTCTTCAGTGTTTCTGGTGGTTTCCTTGGTCACGTTCGGGTTTGTACTTTTCTCTGGTGTGTGACACGCCGTGTCCGCATTTCGAGACGGGTGTATGAGAGGATTTTGACCCGTGCTGATACTATCTGAAAGGGTTGCTGAGGGCGAATAGCTGGTTGGTGCAGCTTACCAGAGCACAACTGGGAAGCCCGAGAATGACGGCGTAGCTAGCGCTGGGAGTGGAGAACGTGGCCAATGACGATGATGTGTAAAGCCTCCGAAAGGGTTCTGAACTGACCTGCCAACGCCTGAGCCTGGATGCATACACTAATAATGAATGCACCATTTTAGAGCAGATGAGTAGTCATCTGCAGTGCTGCGGCACCTTTCGTGACAGGAACTGCCGACTACCGTCCCTACGCTGGTAGGCTAGAGGATAGGGTCTGGTGGTGATGTGATGCTGCCCAGCCGCCCGCTGCTGCCAAGCAAAGATCATCAGATAGCTTACGACAAGCTGCAGCACCTCGGGAGGTCTAGACACAGAGCGAACAGGGCCACAACCCACCACCGGGGACGATGCCTTCAACGAACCTCTGATCGAAGCTATCGATCACTATTGGCCGGTGATCATTGCCAGAAAGACGCCACATGGTCCGGACTTTGCAGTGGGACCCGTGCGTAGCGTGGCCATAATTACCGGTGCGGCGGCAGCGGGCGGATCGCAATACCAGCGCAGTATTAGCCCAAAGGCGCCTGACGCTGCTGACGCTGATGCTGTGGGTGTTTGAGGAAGGTATGGGTCACAGGCAGCCTTCTTCGAACTGGCCAGGGGGGAGAGCATCATAGCTGCTGGGCTTTGTGGTCCTTGTCGTCCGTTGGAGGCGTCGATCAATAATGTCACAGAGTGCATAACGGCCCTTGGGGGCCAGCCATCCATGTCCCGGACGGGTCGGTGGCTTCCATAATGCTCCTTGACGCTCTCCTCCGCCGTGAAGCAAAGCACCCCGATTAATGAGCAAGGTCTAGCTAAATAGTGCATTCTTGCTGAAACCTGGTTCGACCGAGAGGCCATGTGTGTCACTCTTGCACGATGCCAAGATTTCGAGGCTTGCGTGTTTGTGCTGCCGGGGGGGGGGGAGACGAGCCATCATCGATGAGAAAGGCTGGCGGCCGCAAAGCACGGCGGCGGAATGACGGATGGGCCGGGACTTGCACGCGAGCGAGGGAGGAGGTTGAGCGCGTGGCGTGTGACTGGCTGGCGCTGGGGCCTCCTTCCCAGGTAACCTATCCCATCTCGGACCGTCGTACTATTAGAGAAACAAAGACACGGCAGGCTCGGCAGGCGGCGGCGAATAGCAACACGAGCAGCCGGCCGAGGATGGAAAGATGGAAAAAGAGGGTGGAAAACGGGAGGTGGGCCCCACTCGCCCAGTCACAGCCACTCTGCCAATCCCAGCGCAGCATCGACAAGTCCTGGCTTGGGGCTGATGCTTGGCCCCTGGGCGACGCCTCCCGCTACTGTAGGACGACTGCCAAAGGGGCGCTATGGCCATGGTGATCGTCGTAATGCCGCATCATCAAAGCACACCGCTTCCACACCACCCAGCCTGCCCTGCAGCAGCAAGGGGGGCTGTGATTGGCCGCGGCGCTTCTCAAGGCCCATCAGAGCCATGCCGACCCCTGCCCACATGGCGCAGAGGAGGATTTCCATTTCCACCACCGTCCCCAACCCCGTCTGTGCACTCTCGGCTGCCGTGGGTGCTCGGGCCCTCTGGGGGCTTCAAGACTACCACCTAACCATCACCAGGCTATGATGCTGCTAGCGGACTATCAAACACGACCCATGGCTGATCAAGCAAACAGACAATATCACCAGGCGCGGGAGGCTGGCCGTGCTAATGCTAATGGGGAGTAGCAGAGCCCCAAGCGTGCCTGCTCGACGGCCTCAATTGGGCCCAAGTCATCGCATCCAATATCGTCAGTCTCCACCTGCCACCTGACTGAACGCCTTTCAAGCATCAAGGCGCTGGTCATCGTGGCTCGCAAGTGGTCGCACGGCGAGGCACAGCCTGCAGGCCAGGGAGGACAAGCGACTGGACATGCGAGATGAGATGGCTGGAATCTATTCCGTGACTCAGCTCGTCAAGTTCTTTGTCCTTCCGCCAAGCCGCTCAGTCAATCAGCCAATCCGTCAGTCATGTAATCGGGCGAGGAGCGGCAGCAAAGCAAGGCAGCCGCAGCCTGCCGTTCCACGCCAACCATATGCACCCAACCAGCTCGAGAGAAGAGATGTGGGCTGCCTGTCCTTGGAGTTCGTCGCGGCTTGCTGTACGATGCCGGAAAGACGGTGGCATCTGTGTTACTCAGATCTGCGGGACGGTAGCTGGCCACAGCACGGACCCGGTCGTTTTGTGTCACCCTCGCCTACGGTGGTTTGTCTTTGTCTCGAAGCAAATCTGTGAACGGCCATCGCGGCTTTTTTCCTTTCCGTGCTTACAACAATTCAATTTGTCTGGCGCCGTGGCTGAAAGAATGTAAAATCCTCCCTCAACCCCCCTTAGTGAAACAAGTCAGAGATAGATAGATCCCAAGGCAGAGTCTGCACCTCTGACAAAGGTTGAGTCGTCAGACGCATGATCATCGGCTCGTCAGGAACCCGGCAAGTTGCTCTATTGCCCTCGCGCAGAGATATGGGTCCGTGCCGGAACGGGCTGATCGAGCATTTGATGGTCCCGGCCGCTGAGACGGTGGAGAGGTGCAGCCGGGATGTGCAGAGCATGCCGTTGGGTGCAACGCACAGAGATGGCTGTAGCGTCGCACCCCGGGCACGACCGTCTGGGTGTTGCATGGGGCCCTTCGAATCGCTCATGCGGAATCTCATGTTACAGCCTTCCCGCCATGTTTACTCGGGAGCAAGGTTTCAAGGCGGATCCTCGACCCTATTAACGACAAGGCCCTCGACTAAATTACATGGTGCTCATCTCGCTACCATGTACGCGAGCACTTCAGCCGATGCCAGAGCCCAACACGGAGTCTGGGACGGCGCCTGCTGGCCGACATAATTTCGTTTGAAGCTTTGAAACTCGACTGAGAATGCCACAAAAACAAGTGCCCAAACTCGGCCATTGTTGACTCTAGGGGGACCACTCGCTCCGGAGAATGCGGAGGAATGCCATCAACATGGCAAGACTCGTGGCTGAGTCACCCATGTACTCTTGCCAGTAACTTTGGCAGGCAGCGACTTTGATTAGGCGGCAGAGAAATCGATTTTTCCTCAATGCAGCTAGGCTGGGCAACAGCATATCCGCTTGTTCCATGTTGTTCTGGTGCAGCACAGAGTTTTCCTCTGGCTGCTGTACTATGGTAGAGGCATGGCAGCAAGACAGGCTTGAACTCTAACAGGGGCGATCCTGCTGGGTCGTTTTGGTGCAGAGCGTGCCCAAGATTAGAGTTCCAAGATCCCCATCACGGGCTGCCAAAAAGGTCTCAAGTGGAAGCTGGCGATTAACTCAAGACTTGGGACAAGTCTTGCTTCCCACTGCTCACCACGGGCCATGAAGGCGGAGGACGGGCCCTATTCCTAAAGTCTTTAGGCAGGAGATCAGTGGAGTCGCAATGAGTGGCCCGGCACATTGCCCACAAGCACAGACTGTGGATGCGCACACACACAGCAGTCACGCCCGAAGGCAAAGCATGCGAGTCACGAGCGGCGTGGGCAATGACGACTTGTTCAGCCAGTCAGGAGCGTGGACGGCAATGCTAGAGGCTCGCTTCCCTGGTACGCAGACGGAACGCGCTGGCGCCAGCCGTACCTACATGAATGCCAGTACCTTCGCGTCCATGTTGGCAGTTCCTCGAACAGCCAGTGCGACCACACGTCGTGGACGAGTGTCACCACCACACAAGTTGCCCCCCTATCCCCTTGCTGTCGTCCCAGGCGGTGGTGATTGGCCAGCAAGGCCCGTGAACGATGAATCTGCCACGTTGGCCACACCCCCTGAACAGGACCCATGGCAGCAGGCTCATGTGTCAGACAATCCTGGTGGTTCTGGATATTGGCGGCGTCACCAAAGATTGCGGTCGCTGCCCATCATTCCCTCGAACGGGGCGCCACCCTGGGCATGGGCGGGCCTTGGACTTGTCTTGTTCGCCCCGTCCGGCCTGTGTGCCTCTGTCGACTGCCGCCGCGAGGACCGCCCCTGGGCCCGCCCAATCTCCAGGCCTGCAGGCTGACGAGGGTGCCGGGCAGGGCCAGTCAACGGAGCCGGTGGTAAGAATAGAGCGCTACTGCGGGCGACTGCAGGCCGCTTGCACCCTGAACTGGCTCGACTGGCTGGCTTCGCTGGCTGCCCACCCACCCGCCTCGAAACCCCCGGCAAGTTGCTCTGCGGCGTCGCGCTGTCGTCGTGGCCGGGCTGTAGGCCCCGGCACCAGTGGGGACCAAGTGCGTCAGACAAGGGGCTGATTGATCGCTGGTGACTGCGCTGGCCTTTTCTGATCACGAGTGGAGCATGGCTGCGGCCTGCGAGCGAGCGAGCGAGCGCATTCGTGTGAGTGGATGTGCCCACTCGTGTGTGTGTGTGAGTGCGTGTGCGTATGTGTGTGAGTGTGTGAACGACGCCGCCGCCGCCGCCGCCGCCGAGCCCAAAAGCCCGGGCGCCCGACATGAATGGGCAGGGGGTTCCCATCGAAACCCACTCATGACCGCCTTGAGCCACTGGGACCACCTGCTCACCCGTTCCTTCCTCCTGTCTCTGCCTCATCCTGCCCTGCCTGTTCTTGCCTGCCTGCCTGCCTGCTGCCCTGCCCGGTCTCCACTCACACCATCTCGTACGCCCCTCCGCCTTCCCCACCCCAGGCCTTGCTTGCGCACGCCCTCAAACTCAACTCGCCCTCGCACACACACCCTCGGCCTGCTCCTCACCCCCCCGACACTCACACCCCCCAGCCCAAGACAGACCCTGGGTTCTCCCCTCCGCGGTCAAACCGTCGTTATCGAGATATCTACATCACGTCCCCATCTTCACACCTCGGCTTCCAGAGCTTCACTCACTTCCTCACTACACTCCTTGCTCCTCATCTTCGTCCTCCCTCCTCCGCCACCACCAACCGTCCTATATCTGCACGACCATACCCTCTGGTCGTTGCCCGCGCCACTTCAACTCCATCATCGACATCGCCGACTCTTGCTGCTCACGCCAGTCACCGGTTGACCCGTTTACTCGACGTCGACACTCCTTGTTAATACTCCGGTCTCAGCCGCCTTTCTCGCACTCCTGCAAACCAGCAGACATCTCCGGGACCTTTGATCAACCACCAGGACAATCACCGTGGACATTTCTACAGGACATCCACGGAACTGACCAGGAAAGACAGAGCACCCTCGTGTCATACATTTCCGGGACTTTCTTCTCTTGTTCCCACTTTGGACTGCGTCGTTTCTCCTGTTTGATACGAGACAGGATTCTTCCCACCACGGAGACTACAAACCAGACGCAAATAGGAGAGCCTCGCCATCATGCATAATGTTCAATATGGTTATCCTTCACCACCGGCTTCGCCAGCCTACGACAACAAGTGCGCTTACCAGCAGCCCCAGTTTGTCTCCAATGTCTGCCAACCCCGGTACATCCCCGTCGCCCCAGAGGAAAGACTAGGCAAGTTTCTCGGCGATAGCCTCCAGCTTGTGGGGATCATTGGCACCGGTGCCTACGGTGTGGTCTATTTGGCCTTGGACGTCAAGACTGGTATCCAGTACGCAGTCAAGACACTCAGCAAGTACAATGCCGATGGCACCCCCTTGGACCGCCGCCAAGTCGCTTTCCAGCATCAGGAACTCCGCCTCCACTACCTGGCTTCCGCCCACCCCAACGTTGTGTCCATGCACAAGATTGTGGATGATCCGGATTGCATCTACGTTGTCCTCGAGTACTGCCCGGAAGGTGACTTGTTCCTCAACATCACCGAGCGCGGCCAGTATGTTGGCAACGATGAGCTCGCCAAGAGCGTCTTCCTGCAGATCCTGGATGCCGTTGAGCACTGCCACACTCTGGGTGTCTACCACCGCGATCTCAAGCCGGAAAACATCCTTGTGTCCAACAACGGTGCGACTGTGAAGCTTGCCGATTTCGGACTTGCCACTTCTTCCGAGCGTTCTGAGGATTATGGATGCGGTTCAACATTCTACATGTCTCCAGGTAAGCCTCCCTCTGCACCGATATCCTTCTCATGCCTGAGACTAACGTCCTCTGCAGAGTGCCTCAACCCCTCTTCACGGAGACCATTCTACTACTGCCCCCCAAATGATGTTTGGAGCCTGGGAGTCATTCTGGTCAACCTGACCTGCGGCAGGAACCCTTGGAAACAGGCTTCTGTCGAGGACTCAGCATACCGTGCCTTCGTCACCGACTCTGACTTCCTGAGGACCATTTTGCCTCTGTCAGATGACTTGAACCACATCCTGGGACGGATCTTCACACCCAACCCGGACCAGAGAATTACGTTGAGCGAGCTTCGCAACGCCATCCTGGCTGCTGCGTCGTTCACCATTCCCCCACCACCGCTGCTTTCCAGCCATTGCCTACTCCCGTCGCCTCCCCCGAGGCTTCGGAGTACGTTGACTGTGAGGAGGCCATTTTGGATGATCTGGACGACGCCGCCTCCCTGGCCACTTCAGACTCGGACTCTGACTGTGAGTCAACATGCTCATCAGATGATGGCTCCCTCATCTCGAGCTGCTCCACGATCGACGAGGAGGAACTTCTCGATGAGGCTCCCTCTCCCGTGGGTCACTTGGCTGTTCCGGAGCAGCAATTCTTCGACACCAAGCCCTACTTCCAGGAGTTTGTGCCACAATATGGCCACCCCGTGCGCGCTGCCCACGTGCCTGAGCCTTGCCACTTCCAAGCACCCGCGCCGAAGGCCGCATTCAGTTTTTGGGATGTCGTGAACCGCTACGCACCTGCGCCGGCTCATCACCCAGTGTCTTTCCACCACCAGGTTCCACTTTTCACCCATATTCCTGGATACTAGAATTCACCGGCCTGATCGTCTTGGGCCGCGCCCACGGCACTTCAATTCTTCAGCCTTTGGGACGCCAGCTGGATTTTCTGCGGTACACTGCGCTTTGCACATACTTCCAAACAAATGTACCAGAATCTTTAATCAACAAAAATCGCGGGTAGACGACGCACTTCTCCCATGTACTCGACACTTTCAGACATTTGTATCATTTCAGCGAGGAGTTGGTGGTTTTTTATATTCTCTTTTATCTTGGGTTACAGCCAGTCACATTGGAGCTATCGCCTTTCTTTTTGTCATCTTCGCGTGGTGCCTTGACCGGGCTACGAATTACCTTCGTTCTGCATACCATCACTTTTGGTTTGAGGCATTTCTTTCAACGTTGCTAGAGAGCGATAACGGATGGGGAAAATCATGATGGCGTTCTTGGTTGAATGGGAAATGACTAGAAAGACTTATGGCTCACAAGCCTGCGGAGTTTTCATTCAGCCTCAAAAGGCGACAACAAAATCTCGCTCAATGCGGGAGAGTAGGGTACACAGGCCGATGCGCCTAAGGATCCCTCTGGGACGAATCACAAATAGAATTCGTACACCAAAACTTGAATCATCGGTCAACTGTGACATGCGCATTCCTGCTCGACAATACGAAACCCTGAGCCACCAGGACAGCAAAACCACATCAGACATCCACGATTGCGGTCACTAGTCGTCCTGCATAGCCGAGCCTTGCCTGCCAACTGCAGGGTCAACCGGACTTGGTGCAGGAGAACAAAGTGAAGCGTGCTGGCGCGATACGCTGATGCGTAATGAGCGCACTGATCGCTGCAGCAGGTGTTGCTTCCTTAATTGGCGTGGTGGTCGCAAGGCTAGTAGTCACTTGTTTGATCGACAACTAGAGCATTGAAAGCGTGTGTGTGCGCGAGATGTGGGGGCATGTAAGCCTCGATTGCTACATGTCACCTCCTCACACCCAGGTGCTTGCTCTCTGCTCCGTATGTTTGATTTCAGAAGGGTATGTTGCCATCTTTTCTTTATTGCGGGTAAACTTGTTTGATGGGCGCGCACATGGCACATACCGCAGCCGCCGCAAGGCGGGCGGGAAAAGTTCCAACCGTTCAGTGACTGACTTGCGCTTTTCATTCGTAGATCTACGTAGCGTACCTCACTAAACACACTGACTTGGACGCATGGGCCCTTTCCTTCGTGCCGCTTCTGGGGGCGTGCGTCGCTGGCCGGGGGGGGGGGGGGAGGGGAGAGAGAGAGAGAGAGAGAGAGAGCTAACGAGGCACGCTAGAGGGAGGTTTAATCTATTTGACGCACGGTCGATCATTCACTTCACTTGTCTCTTTTCTCTCAACCAGACAAAACCGCGGAAGCCACGGCTGAAAGGGAGAAGGAGAGAGAGAGAGGAGGTGCTAGAGTTAGTAATGTGTGCTTGAGCAACGCACGGCGGCGCTCGCTCCGACTCCTCTGTAGTGTCTTGTGTCCCTACGTGAGTGCGTGCGTGGGTGCGTGCCTTGTCTGACAAGGCGGATTCCTTTCTTTTGCCTCTCCCGTTTCTCAAGATGCCCGCTGCAGATAATGCTTGCGCAAGATGCCAAGCATTGCGAAAAAAGGGCCAGTCGTCGTATATTGGGGCGAGTCGCCGTGGTCATCATCATCATGCACGCGTCATACCATGTTCTCGAAGGAGGGGGGCCAATGCGAAAGGAGTAGGATGACCATTATTAGGGGGGGGGGGGGGGCGGTTGAAAAGGCTGAATTAGCGTGGGGATAGAACCATGTTTGGAAGGACATGGGGGCATTATTAAATTTAGAGAACCCATCCCGTGCCGTTGTTGTTGCTGCTGCTGCCGCTCCTGCCGTCGAGTGCTGTGCATTTTCCGCGTGGCTGAGCTGACGGGGTTGGTCGTCGTTTGGCGGAGCAGTCGAGAAACTAGCTAGCGCAGGGCTGGCTGTGCGACTGTTTAGTTAGTTAGTCCCTTGCGACCAGCTGGCGCTGCTGGTGGTGTTTGCTGCAGGGGCTGAGTTTAGCTGATTGGGTCCTCGTTTCGCCATCGTGATCTTAATCCTGGTTCTGCATTCGTCGGTGTTCACCTCAGCTGGCCAAGCCTATACCCAGCCTGCCTGCTCAGGAGGACCTAGGGGGGGGGGGTTGTTCGTGCAGGTCAGCAACTAGTGAGCGTAAGTAGCGTGGCTGCTTGTTTGCCAGCCTCTCCGGGCGAGGTTCCCGGGGGGCTACAAGCAGACATCCCGGCGCAGGCGGTGGTCATTCTCGACTTGGGACCCCATGCTCAATGCCTAGCTCTAGATGACTGGTTTATCATCATCGTCGTCTTGCGCTGGGCCCCGGAATCCTTCGGGGGCTTTGAGAAGCCCACACTCACTGCGTACGTATGTAGGTAGTCTTGGGGGACCAACACCCTGGATCCTTGTCTCTGGCTCAAATCCGTGGGTAGGGCAGGGCAGGGCAGGGCAATGTGTGTGTGCACTACCGCTTGCGGTCGCAAACCCCCCCCCCCCCCCCGCCTGTGTGTGTCTCTTGCACGTTCCTCCCGCTCTCCCAAAGCGTGCCTTGATCTCCGCGATGACAGGGCCGGGGGACTCGGTGTCAGATGGAGCTTGTGGTGATCGACACGAGTGAAATGTCCCCCCCTTGGCCGGTGCCGAAATTGGTATTTCCCCCATACAAGGACGAGTGTCAGACACTGTCCTGCTGACATTTGATCCGAGATTAGATTGTGCGCCTTTACGGCTGCTCGGCGGGGGCAGATCATCCGGATCGCGACATTTTGCACGCTTGGTCCTCGGATCGACTCATCGACGTGGGCGATATGCCAGTCTGGAATAGAAGAGGAGGAGGAGGTCGCATTGCACTTGGCAAAACCACCCTGGGTATCCCTCCCCGTGGGTGGTGGTGGTGGTGGTGCTCCAGGCATATGCAGGACCTGCCTAGCTTCCCGGGGAAGGGCCCGTCGAGCTACTCGCTGAGCTACCGCCCTGGTCTGACGTCAAGCCAATCCTTTAGCCTTTGTCTCCAGCCTGTCAAGTCTGTCACGGGGCCGGTCCCTGGAGTGCTTCACGGCGTGCTGGGGCACCACCCCTCGGCTGGAGCATCACTAACCGCTGGCGGCTGCTGGGCAATTTATTGATCGCCGACCCGGCTCCCCGCCGTCCGCACCACTTCCAGCATGGCACGAGTCGTATCAATATCGAGATGGGCACGAACAAGAAGGAGATGCAGGAGTAAGAGGAGAGCGTTCTGGACAAAGAGCTGGTCTGTGCATGACGCCGAGTGCTGCCCCGAGAATCCGGCTGTGTGTCTGGGGGGTCTGATGGCACTCTTTGCTTTTTTCCACATCGAATCTACATGCGCGTCAGGTTCAGTGATCATGTCGGTCCAGGTCCCTGATTTGAAAGAGCCCCGAAGAGACTGATCATATTTATTACCCCGGTTGGTCGGCCGGTTTTCAAAGCCAAGCCTCCCGTAGGTTTTCTTGGGAGTTGAGGCTCGATGCGGGGCAGAGTGCGACAGCAATGGATCACTCGTGAGTGCTAGTTCCACTTTTGCCTTGCCTTGCCAATCAACGATGTTGTTGTGCTGGAGGTGGGGGGCTGGAAACAGCGTCTCCACGCAACAACGAAAAGAAAGAAACCCAATGGGCATTGATCATGTGCCGCAATTCACCATGGCAACGACGACGACGACGACGACGACGACGACGACGACGACGACGACGACGACGACGACGACGACGACTTGGAGATGCAGCTCAGAGACACCTTGTCACATCTGTCAGCTGCCGGCATGATCCAGCGCGCATTCACTTGGAAAGCAACAGCGGCCGATGGGAGCATTGCCCAACTGCCACCCCTCTCTGCACGGCTTGTGCTCACCCCGAAGCGGCCACCGGCAGATGAGGCGTCACATTGCATCGTGGTAGCAGATATATTACTGCCGGCAACAGAGATCGCCTTTGCACCTTTTCTTTTGAGGTCTGACAGGGGCTGCACGAGTTTGACTGACTGACTGCTGACTGAAGGTGGAGCGTGGACCGCATATGCCGTGAGAGAGACGTGTTGGATCTGGGGTGGTAGCAGTAATCAGAGTGGCTGGCGCCACGCGGCAGGTGGTTGACCTTGTATGGACACACGCGCTGCGAGCAAAGCCGGATGGGAGCAGGAGAGCGGATGGAGCGAGAGAGAGGTGCTGAAGATGGTGGTTGGGTGGCATCGCGAAGGCGAAATGCGACGACGCAATGCCCAGAAGCGAGATGCGATGTCAACCTGACGAGGCGGGACTTGCTGCCTTTCTCTCCATGCCTGTGGCCGGGCAGGCTCGCATCGAAGACAAAACCAAGGCGGACATGCTGCTGCAGTGCAACGCTGTTGGGATCGCCCGCATGCTGCAGCCATCTCTCCCGCCGGGCTTGATTGGTTGCTCGTGCGACAAGCGTCGATGCAATAACGGCTGGTGCTGCTTTGCTCCTGCGGTCAGGAGGCACGCCAGCTCAACTCAGCTCAGATGGGAGTCTTTGCCTAGCCTTCCACTCTTGTTCCTTCTCTCCCCAGTGTTGGCCGGTTGTCCATGTGACCCCCCCCCCCCCCCCTTGGGCCACCCTCAGCCGACCGGACCCAGACATGCAGTCATATGCAGATGCAGATGCAGGCGGATGTACTCTGCATCCGTGGCTGCATACATGCATGCAATGCGTGTGGACTATTATGCATGCAGGTCTGGTCTCGCCTCCCTCCCTTGCGCGAGACGGACACCCCAGAGTCAGGCTCCGGCCAGCAACTACTATGGTAAGGTGTCGGCTCTGCCACTACTGGGCGTCTAGTCTCCCATGATGTACTCCCACCCCAGCTGGCTGGCGGGCGATTACATGGTTGTCGCGGTTGTGTCTTGTTGGCTCTAGTTACCTACTTCTGTGCCCAGATCCAGTCAGGGTCATGGCAGCCAAAAGGTCCTCCAGGGTAATTATGTTCTCCAACTCGCTACAGTAATACTTGTCGCAGGTATGGTACTCTTTTGAGAGGCTGGTGCAGTCGACTGGCGTGCATTCTTTCTTCATTGCTCAGCACAGGCCGGTCGAGTCCCACTTTTCTATATCCCGCCGTGTTAAGGGCTGGGCCAGGGACAACTCTCGGTCCACATGGCCAACACAACCAAGTCCCGCCTCCATAGTCTGGTTGGCTATCATAGCATGAAGAAGTGAGGATGGGTCCGGGAGGAAGTGGATGCACCGCGGTATGCCGTGTCATCGTCTGTATGGCTGACACCACTCGGTGCGTGCTTGGGACCTCGGTGCCCGCGCATGGGCAGACTAACCTTCAAACCCACTACCACACAACAAAGCGGTGTGCAAATGCCCTCTGCTACTGATGTCCACCGCGCTCGGAGACCACCCTCCACGCCCAAACTATCACGCCACTCTGCCCACAGCACGGGACGGACAACGGGACCAGCCCTGGCCCTCCTCGCCATCGTGTCTTGCGCGCAAAAGTCACAAGGTGCTGCTGCTGCTGCTGCCGCGCGTGGCACTCGCTGCGCTGTTTCTGGTTTCTCTCGCCCGCTAAGCTCCCGGAGCAACCTTGCGGATCCGGAACGATCGAGCGACACGGCTGAGACGGCGGACGGCTTTGCGACATTTGCAAACGTTGTCTTCTCCCTGGGAATTTTAACCACGTGGACTTGGCTTTTGCTTGTCTTCCTCCCCCGAAGTCTTGTCGTTTTTATTTTTTCTATTTCCCTTGTGCGAAACACTGGTCTCAAACTGAGAACTGAGCCATGTTTCGCGTTTTCCTTTCCGTTGACCAATGAGGCACCGTCTTACACGTGCGAGCAAGAGATTTCCAGGGTGGATGAGGACAGGTGTGTGTGGGTGTGGCAAACGCTGATAAGACAAAGCCTTGTGCGATCGTCGATGAAGTGAGGCCGTCGGCGCACGAATGTCTCCCGACAGTGAGACAGTGGCGTTGACATGAGCAAAAGGAAAGAAAAGACTCAAGAGACGGGGTTTAAAACGTGGGATTTGAGACCTCCGCGATTAGCTAGTGTGTGTGCGTGCGTGCGTGCGTACGTGGGTTTCGCATGGTTTTCTTGCGAGAAGGCTTAAATCCCGATGTGAAGGAATGGCGTTTTGACAGTTCTGCAATCGCGGATGAACATCTCTTCCTGTTTGCCCAGGCCGCTTCTGAAGAAATCGATCCCGTCTCGATCTGTGTCTCGGGGCAATTCTTAAGATTTGTCGCTGGGGAGGGAGTATGTGCTTGGATGATGCCGTGTTTAATGGCTGCTGTCAGTCCCGGTTTCTGCTTAGAAACTCAGACTTGGGTATGTGAACGCAGTGCCTGCTTCCTAGTCTACTAGTTGTGCGCAGTTGGGCAAGAGAGATCTATGCAATCCATCTAAACAACACTCAACGAACTGCGAACCTCATGAGCTGTGGAGACTGCAACTCCATAGAGTCTCACTGGCATGCCAGCTCCCCTAACCCACCCAGCCCAGACCAAAGTGGTCCTAGTCAGACAAGCCGTAGACAGAACTAAAGCATCAAAAAGTCAAAAGCACACGCGCGATACGATTACGACAAGGCGCCGTTCTCCATCGGGCCAGATGACCGGAAACTCTGGCAGTGTCTCTGAATCGCTCCCAGAGATCGGGGAATGCGCGAAGAGGTCGCGGAAGACCGGGTTGGCCAACAGCCAACACGCACAGGTCCGACTCGGACAGCTTTTCCGTATGAGGCTGTCGTGTGTGTCGCGCTGGCCGATCTTGTGGGGGTGCCATGACGAGAAATAGAGTTCTTGCCAAATATACCAAAACACGACGTGCCGCGATACCGGTCAAGCAGCCTCGCCTGAGTAACTTAGAGGCACCAGCCCCCGATGGGGATGATTGATGAAAGTATCTTTTGTCCATTGTATATCTCAGCTGATGAGGAAAAGCCCACCGCGCTTGACCACTTCATGCTACAGGCCGAGCCGGGCAAAGCGTGTGGCAAACGTCATGTCACACGTCAAGGCGTTGACAATTGTCTCACCTTTAATTAGCAGACTTTGCGGCCATGGCAGGCCGGAGCAGAACTCAAATCATTGCGAACCTGTCATTGCCTCGTCCGCAAGCCGCCTGCAAACTCACGCGCCTCGGCCAGGCCCTTTTAGAGTTTCGGCAACCATTCCCAAAAGTGATGTTGTCGTCGGCTGCGCGCACATGACCTCGGGCCCTGCCTAAAGTTTCCTCTGGCAGTCCCTTGGCACCGTCCCGCGTGGAACTCTCTGCAGTTGATAAGGCTCCTTCAGGAATGGACAGCCAGGCCAGTCCGGGTTAGAGCCATCTTAGTGACCAGCTCCTTGGAGTTGAGCTTCGGTGCTTCGGTGTTAGAGCATGGTGGAAGCCAAGGCAACACGTCATCCCTGATAGACCAAGGGGACTACGACTCGTGCCCTTCTAGTATCTGACTAACAGAACGAACATCCCGAGGCGAGCAGGGTTGTGCTTTGACTAATGTTCGAGTCCGCCCGAGGAACTTTTTGTGGTCCTTTCGTTCAGGCTGGTGAATTCCTTCCAGAGTGCTCCTAGTTCTAAGTGCGATGCGACAGCCGTCGACGCTAGACATTCGTTCAGATCTGCCAGGCCGTGCGTCTCGCGGCCACGACTGAATCGTTCGCAGACTGTGTCAAGGACCGCAGATCAAAGGCTATTGAACAGCCTGTTTATGAGCATGATCGCTGAAGAATCTTCGCTGCATTCATGATCCAGGAACGGCAAGGCTGTTGTCTTCTTGTGCACGCCGTGCACTATCAAGAATGTCTGGAGGGTTAGCACTGCTAACCAGGCAACCAAGCATTTCCCCAACGCCAATTTTTCCGCGTATATGGGCATGGCGCAGTGGATGGTTTCTCGTACCACCCACCTTATGATGGACGTGAGAAGGGTTCACCCATATCAACCAGCAGACACAGGATCTGCAAACTTTGCCATGCCGAATGTTCGTGGCAAGACGGGATTCCCCATCACCAGAGAACGCAGCAGCAACCTTTTACTACTAATCGGCCCACTGGCTCGCGTGCATCACGCCATGCTCCGTGCAGATCTCCTGCCGATCATGGCCTCAAGCAGTACAGACAATGCTTGTGCTGAGGGCCTGGCATGGCGGACGGCTTCTCGAGTTCTCGGTCTCCAAAAGGTCCTGCGTCGCCTCGTTCGTGGTGTGATCCGGAGGGATATAAGTGGTTGGTTCAGCACTAGGACATCCGCGAGGCTCGACCGGTACGGGAGACTAGTCAACTCTAAATGCCCACGCGACTGTTCCAACAAGAGGATCGACACAAGCACTTGGCTGAAGAAGTAATAGTCAGAGCTCGCTTGGCCATGTGCCGGCCCCCAAAGATCTATTTGCCATTGGTCCGTCGGCTCTAGCTCCTTGGCTGGCTCGCCACTGGCAACTACCTCGGAAAATACCAGTAGTAACTAGCTAGGCAAGCCTCTAAAGCGCTCCGCGAAACTCTGTTGCCTGGCAACCGTGACTGGCAGGGACACGCTTTGCGAGTCAGTCGAGTGTGCGGTGGCAGACTGGCGATCTTTTTCTGACAGCGGAACGGCGGACACAGTGATCGTCGTCGCGTGGTCATGTTTCAGATAGGACAACTGTCTCGAGCAATACCGAATCACCTCATGCTGAGCCATCTCCTATCTCGCTGTTGTCCGACCTCTACAGCGTGACTTGCTTGGGGCAAGCGTGTCGCGGATATATCGGGTCAAGGTTAAGGCATGGAACGTTAACTGCCGAACTTGCGCTCCCTTCACCGCGGAAGAGAAGAGCATAGCCATATCAAGTTCGACCAGGCCTAAAGCTAAGCTGTAGTAGACCCGCAGCCGAAGTTCCGGAGAACATGGGACATCTCGACAAGAGCGATTTCGAGAATGTTGCTCCAGGGTTTGACTAATCAAGGAAACCGACCAAAACCTGTGATCACGAAGAAACAAGAACTCTGCCGGGATCTGATATCAAGGGCGCCACAAAGCCAAGACCCAATCTGATACTGGGCGGCGGCGGCCGTATAAGCGTGTCATCTTGGGTTTGTTGGTTCTACACCCTTCTTGTCAACACTCGCAAGAGTCACGGCACCCGTCCGCCTCGCGAGTATTACAGCGGAGCTCCCCACAGACACGATCTGGATTCTCAGCCACCCGACACACGCAAATACACTCCGTGGCTACAGACGCCTCGCGAGGAAACTATGTGTCAAGAGGGCCATACCATCAGCCGGGAAGCTGCTGCTACGTCCCGGCAAAGCCAGTGGCGTTCGAGGCTGGCGTCCCCCGGCTGTGGGGACCTGGGGCGGCTGGAAGGGCTGGAACATTTCATGGGCACTTTTCCTTCACGGAGGCCCGACTTTAGTGCAACCATGGGATTGTTGTTGGTGGTGGTGGGCAAGCCACAGCCCCCTTACACGCAGCTGGGCATTGGACACTCGGCAGGCCACTCCCGTCAGATGGCCCGGCTGAAAGTTGTTTCTGAGGCTTGGTAAACCCGGAGGCGTGCCGGGCTTGGGCTGAATCGACATAGACTTTTCGCTTGCCCTTCGTAGTCCTGCGCAAATCGCGGTGCCCATACGAGCGCGCGAGGACCACGTTCTGCTTTGACACTTTTAGCCACATCCATGTCTTTGAAGTCTCCGGGCCCTCGGATCGTGCAGCTTGGCTGTTGACTGGTCGGGAAGCGTGTATTAGGTTGGGAAGGTCCGGTGTTAGGGTCGGGCATGTTCCGCGAACTGTGCAGGGTAATAAGGCCTACCATACCTGGTGTATGGCGTTTTGTGTTCGAGCGGACTTTGCCATCGGCAGAGCCTCTCATCCAAGAGATATCACATTTTGGCGGTGCATGTGGCTGTATCTCAAATCCTATGGTGCTAGCTTGAGGTTTGTACTGCCATCCTAGATGCACACCCTTCTTCTTGTATTTTGCGGACGGCACTGGAGTTTGTTCTACATGAAACATTCGTGCTTTCTTGTCTATCTATCTCTTGAAGCTCGAAACGGAGAACGTATCGGGATCTACACCAGGGTCTTTGCACAAACTAGCATGCTTCGTTCTATTCTTGAGCTCTATCCGTAGGGTTTCCTGTAGTATGGCGGTTTGGAAGTCTCAACCTTGTGTATCTTGGAGGTGTCTGGCTCTTCTGGCCAAAGAGAGGCGTAGCTGATATCGTAGGTAGGCACGGAAGCAAACTGGACACCAGGTTACGCGAGACTGCCTATTTAGGCACATGTCTAATGTCCACCTTGGCTTTGGGGAGACAGGTCCAGAAATATGGATTCGTTGGCGCGGCGGATAGCGGCAAAAGCAAGGACCAAAGAGGATATACATTTCTATCGTTCTAGAATATCTACATCGTCAACTTGACACCAGTCCAAAAGGGAGGTCGTGCAGGCTATGTAAGCCTCCTGACTGTCCCTGCCAGGGTCCGGTTTTGGGCAACACCGTGTCCATGCTGTCAAGGACTGAGAGCACTCTTGGAGAGTTTGCTCTTCGCACACCTGGACGGCTGCGGCTACTTTTGCTTGAAAGCGACAGCGGTTTTCGAGCTGAAGAAGGGGTGCTTCAAGGCTTCAACTGGGGTGATTCGCTTGTCAGGATTCAGTGCCAGACATCTCTCAAGCAAATCGACGAAGTGGTTGAGATCGCGGAGGGCTATTTCGCTGAGACCAGATGAAGCAGCCATGAGCCTGGTGCGTAAATCACGAGTTGGCTTGACCACAGCCAGAGTCTTGACGGTCGTCTGTTGAAATTGTTAGCTTTAGCTTCATTCGAGCTTTCTTGATGGAGTCGTGATTCGCCCACCTTTCCAAGAACTTTGTCTTGCTCGACGCTGATGAAGTTGCCCATTTCGTCGAAGTGCAATGGCGCGAGCTCACCGCGTTTGTAAAGCTTCGCACTGAACTTGCCACGAACTTCGATGATGGCCTTGAGCATCTGGTTGTTGCTGCTGCCGGTAAACAGGATCTTGCCCGTGTACATCTCATAGAGTGTGCAGCCGACTGACCACATGTCGATCGCATAATCATATGGCATGCCGAGCATGATCTCTGGCGCACGATAGAAGCGACTGACCAAATAGGGCGTGATCTCGTTGTGCGCAGTCGCCGCGTCCGACTTGTCGATCGCAGTACCTAGATCACAAATCTTGAGGATGGTGCATTTCTCATCCGTCTATGGCGTGGTCAGTGAATTTCTTATTTGGACATTATGATGGGAGTAGACTTACCAAGATATTGTCGGGTTTAAGATCGGCGTGAACTATGGAGCACTTACGCAAATGTGCGAGTGCCACAAACATCTGATGAGCATACGTGCGTGTTGCGCTCAAGTTGATGCCGACATTGTTGCCGAACTTCTTGAGAACCTCGCGGAGGTTGTAGCTCAAATTCTCAAAGGCAAGACACAAGTGAGCTTTGTGTTCAAAGTAACGTTCGAACTTGACAATGTGCTTGCGATTCTCTGGGTCAGCCTCGTTTAGCTTTTGCAGAATCGCGATCTCGGTGAAGCCGCCCTTTCGCAAAGCATCGTTGTTTCGCATCATCTTGATGGCGACGAGCTTTTTGTTGGTGATGTCCACGGCCCGGGCCACTCCAGAGAACATGCCCTTGCCGAGGGTCGACTGTACCTGGTAGCGACCATCCATAATTTCACCGATACGAATCTTGTAGTACCCATCCAGGTCGTCTCCTTCCAGGATACCTCCAGCTTTGGCTTGAGTGAGTGTTGCCGGGAGCTTACGGTCGTCCAGGACAGTAGATGATGGCATAGGCTTTGGCGCAACCAACTTGTCCTCGTCGATCTCCTCTGCGAACATATCGAATCCATCGTCGTCATCGTCAGCATCCGCCTTCTTCAACTCTTCGTCAGGCTGCACAGGCGCAATTGCGGCTTTTTGATCAACCGGAAGTCGTTCTCCGTGTGGCCCGATCTGACCGTGTCGCATTTCGTCACGAAGCTCGTCCTCCCGCATATCTACCGTCGGGTCATAGTCGGCAGCTGAGGGCCCGTCTTCCTCACCGGCGGCTGACCTGCTATTGGACATCAAGGAGCCAGGGTCTTTGGACAGATCTGGTGGCGCAGGTGACAAACCATCCCGGAATGGGGTGGAAGGCGATGCCGGAGACGACACAACTACAAGCTTCGTCAGCACGGATTCCTCTGCTGGAACATACATGTACACACCGGATCCTGGCGTATCTATTGCCATTGGAGTGCTTCCTCTTGTCGCAATGGATTGTGGGGTTTCGACTGCCCTCGCCGATGTTTGTAGAGCTTGGACTAGCATCGGTGTCCCACCTCGCGACTTCGCCAGCAGCTCTTCGCGCCGTCTCCGGCGTCGCTCAATCTCGGCTTCGACGTCTACGGGTTTCTCTTCTTCGAAGTCTCGATCGTCGACCACTGTGTCGGTGCCTGATTTGCCATTTAATGAGGTGTCATCTGCACGACCAAGTTTAGTGCTAGATAAGGGCTCATTATGTGGTCGAGATACTTCGGGTTGGCGGCGCATATCGGCTTGGCGTCCATCGCCAGGACCATTCCTCATTTGCCGTTCATCGTTGCGTCGCGGCCCAGAGCGATCGTTGGCGCCACGGTGTGAAGCTCTCTCGGGAGTCCGCGATCGACGCCGTGAGCGTTTGTCTGTATGTCGGTCGAAGTCCCGATCTCTGCTTCGATCTCTACCGGATCCTCGGGTATACTCGCGTTCCCGATCCCGGTCGTCGTAATGTAGAGCTGTGGAAGAGTATGATGGCCTGTCTTCGTCATCGTACGAGAGGCGTGAGCGATTATTGCGCTCACGTGCGTCTTCGTAGTGTACTCGGAATCGACGATGGTCGTTGTCTGCGTGGCCGTTGCCGGAGAAGCGGTCTCGGTCATCTCGAGGTCGCTTGTTACCGCGTGGAGAACGGCTTCGTCGCGCTGGATGAGACTGGCGGTGCCTCGGACTTCGAGGATAGTCAGGCGATCTCGATCCAGGGGATCTAGCTCGGTGTCTGTCGAGACGGTCAACACCAGCTCCACGAGAGTGAGGTAGTGTAGTTGCCTTGGATCTCCCACCGCCACGCTCCATAATCTCCCCTTCATCAGAGCTCCCTGGGGTCGCCATGTCGCTCACTTTGTGCAGCGTGACTTGTCACAGCCGAAAGAGGGTATAATCGACGCTTCCTCGGCTTCAAATCAAGAAATGGGAGTGTCAGTCAATGAAATTGGCAGGAGTAACAGGCGCAGAAAAGAGTCGAACCAGGAAGCGTGTGCTCAGCTCTTCCTCATCGGCGCGTCGATGGCTCGGAGAGCCAAAACGATCGAGCTAGCAAATCGATGTCGGTCGTGTATGCAAGGGCGCAATAAGCTGGGGCGGATACGCGGAGCTTGGAAATGATGTTGGAAAGCACGCGGTTGTCGTGGATCTGGTCGGAGCTTGTCGGCGCCTGGGCCTGACTAGTGCCCTCTGAGTGCTTACATAAGGTAATCCCAAGAGTTACCGTGCGGATTCGGCTGTGGAATGGGCGCCGACCGCCGGATAATGGGCCAAGTTACACTGTCTGCGCACGTTGGCCGTCACAGGCCTCCAAGGGTCTGCCCGGAGAGGCGCCCCGCGCTCTTTAGTGTGCAAAAAGCCGTCCAGGGGAGTTTTCATGTGAGATCCTGTTCGATCGAATCTCACAAATCTCTGCTCGACTCTTTCGTCTCTATCACAACACACCATACAGCACTTCACACCATGGGCGGCACTAACAGAGAAGGTAAGTTCTCTTTGGTCGCGCAGCTGCTGTGCGAGACTTCTGTGGAGAAATGCGGCATATGCTTATACTCAGCGAAGGCGGCAAGGTCAAGCCCCTGAAGGCGGCCAAGAAGGAGAAGAAGGACCTCGACGACGACGACAAGGCGTTCCTCGAGAAGAAGAAGGCCGGTAAGTTAATTCTACCTGCTCGCGCCCGCTCACCAGGTGTTGTGAATCACCAGTCTGATGCACTGCGCAGACGAGAAGGCGAGAGCCGAGATGGCCAAGAAGGCTGCTGGAAAGGGCCCCCTTGCCACCGGAGGCATCAAGAAGAGCGGCAAGAAGTAGACTGGCGCCAGGCATGGACATGCGGCGAGTTCTGTAGAGAGCGCGTGGCCGAACAGGACATGAATTGACGTGGACAAGGCTTGATTTCGACTTCGGCATGATGCCACCCGGTGCTGCGCTTATGGCGTCCATTTCTAGCAACACAGCGTAGACCATTATGAATCCTTCCATTAACTCCATCCTAGTGGCTTCCTGGTGATCTGGTGTTCAAGTGTGGAATGTTGCGCGCAAGGATAGGAAAAGACCCCCATGCCATTCTGGTGCTCCATAGTTCATTCTGCCCGCTAGCAGGCCCAGCGATTTAGCTGCCACGTTATGCGCCTCGGAACCTCTCTACAATCACAAGCCGAAAAGGAAAGGCCCAACAAAAACGTGCCGCATCCCAGCACGCTGACACAACATTATCAAGTCAAAATCCCTTCGATCAACGTCTTTTCCAAGGGGTATTGATGAACGCGCCCTGCTTCGAACCGTCAGCATCACAACCCTAGCAACATGGCCACTACCGGTACCACCACGGGCCGGGACGCTCCTCACTCTACAACCCAATATCGGAATCGCAAGGAGACTACATCGGCAGACAGTTTGAAAGAGGCGGTTCAAATTGTGGAACACAAGATTGAGCAAGCAGCGTTACTGATCTGGGATCAACTCCCAACATGGCGTCGTGATAACCAGTTCATAATCTCAGGCTACCGTGCCGACAGCAACAGTTATCGCTCCTCGTTCGCTTCTGTGCTCGCCGTCCACAACGAATCCGTCAACATCTGGACTCACGTCTTTGGCGCCACTGCCTTCCTGTTCGGCAGCGTTTGGTTGTTCCAGGTCGTTGCTCGCCGGTATGAAACCGCCAGCAGCTCGGATGTTCTCGTCTTCTCCTGTTTCTTCACAGGGGCGGTCTTGTGTCTGGGGATGAGCGCCACATACCATACCATATCGAACCATTCGCAGGATGTGGCCAAATGGGGCAACAAGCTCGACTACTCCGGCATCGTCCTGCTCATCGTTGGCAGCTATGTGCCAGCCCTTTACTATGGCTTATTCTGCCACCCAGGGCTCATGACCATTTACCTGGGCGGAGTGCGTATAATCCTTTGGTGGCGTCTTCCACATTCAGGACTAACATTGCATTGTAGATCTTCCTGCTGGGTCTGGCATGTGGTGTAGTATCCTGGGTTGAGAGCTTCCGGACCCCAGCCTGGAGGCCGTACCGTGCCGGCATCTTCGTCGGTCTTGGTGCCTCAGGAGTTGTCCCGGTCTGTCATGCACTTGGCATGTACGGTTACCGCCAGTTGGACGAACAGATGGGGCTGAGCTGGGTACTTTTGCAAGGAGGCCTCTACATCTTCGGGGCATTTCTCTATGCTGTAAGTTTTGCCCGGACCGTCAAAAGCTGACCTTGGACGTCAGGGCTGATATCTTGTAGGCGCGATGGCCAGAACGGAATTTCCCTGGCAAATTCGACATATGGGGCAGCTCGCATCAGTTGTTCCACATCCTCATAGTGTTTGCGGCCGCGTCGCATCTGACGGGCATGATCAAGGCCTTTGACCACCACCATGCAGTCATGGGATCACAATGTCCGCTATAGACATGCTGAGATCTGCCTAAGGAAGGATTCGCCATGCATCATCAACCCCATCGTTGGCTCCGTTGTGGGCACAATTAGTACAAATCTCACAACGTACCTGCAAATTGAGCATCACACTGTATTTCTGATTGTGCCCAAATGTGCAATTGGTCCCTTGAGTTTGACAGATGGTCGGGGCTTGTAAGGCACCTGCGCGACTGGTGTCTTGTTGTAGCTTGTCTCTGGTGGTCTGGGGAGGAACAAATGGCGCCCACACCTCACCCCACCCATTTCACGCACCTAAAAGTTATTCGAGCCATGATCCATGCTTCCACAATCTGCGACAACAAGCGCGCACTCCCGATCACAATGCTGTCTAGGCTCTCATCATCAGACGTAACGAGTTCCCCGTCCGTGTTTTGAGCAGCCATACCCTGCGCGGCCAGAACTAACCGTGAAGTCATGCTCCGCCAACCTTGAGCAGTGAGGAGCTCCGCTGCGGCCGACCACAAGGTGACTTGAGAAAAGCCCATTCAACACAGCACATCAAACGGATGCTGCCCCAAGCACAGACTGCAACATGAGAACTAGAAAGTCGAATCAAGCAAAGCGCTATCGGCCGTCCGATCTTGATCCCACCCTGGGCTCAGACGAAGAGGAAATCGCAAATGTGGCACCCCCTGGTGGCGAGGAGTCGGAGGACGGCTATCGCGACGAAGAAGCTGGCGGTACAGAATCGGACGCCAAAGACGCCCAGCTAGATCTCGTCGACTCCTCAGAGTCCGAACTGGAGCCGGAGGAGGAACCCGCCCCGAGTAGACGCAATGCAAAGCCAATCGCTGCACGGCCAAGGAAAAAAGAGGTGCCGATCCAGGTTGCGTCGGCCCGGGCTCTCAATGCAGTTCCAGATTATCCATTGGACCCGTCTGCAAAATGGACGAGAGCATACACGGGCCCGTTGAAACGGTGGACGCGATTTCATGATATGGTGATCCTTCTCTACGGAGATCGGGACAACTACAGCAGAATCGTGTCGCGCATCACAAGAGCGTGGTGGGATTTCCAGGTCCTCCCCCCAAGGCCAGTTCACCAGAAGCATATCGACCTTTCAGCATATCCATGGACGGCCAGTACGTACTCGGAAGAGCAGAGAGCTCGGCTCGGAGATCGATTGAGAATGCACGCCGACAATGGTGGCTCCAGACAGTCCTCGGCCATATTGACTCCCGAAGCTGCGTTCTCGTCGTTTCTACCTAGCACGAATGCCAAATTAACAGCCTTGATCGGTGGGCATGGATATCAGAAAGCATATTTGACCCAACAAGGCAGCAGTATCTTTCTGTCTGAGGATGGCTCTCCCGCTTCAATAACAGCAGACGATGTTCCTGTTTCCGGCGGCTGGCTTTTGGACGTAGGAGGTATTGTTGTTGCCATAAACTGGGCACCATCATCCAGCCAGCGGGACCAACTCTTGGCCATGTCCGTTATCCCCGAGGCGGATCAAGCGTACCAGCAGGATCTCTCCAAAGCACCGACTACTTCCACGCAACCGGAGGGTAGTGTACAGATCTGGAAGTTTCCCGTCGAGAGAGGTCGGGACGGAACCATGCGTCCATCGCGGCGACCACCACAGCTAATGCATGCTGTCTGCTCCCTTTGGGGCCGTGTCGCGAGACTTCAGTGGTGCCCGATTCCCATCGGCCATGATGAAGTTGCCTCCCTCCTCGCCATATTATGCGCCGATGGCAAGCTAAGGGTTGTAGAGGCCAAGATGCTCGGCGGCTCATCAGATGGGTGGTTTGGTAAGCCGGTTATGCATTTTGCTTATATCTCAAGTTGCGATGGCTGACCAATAATAGAACGGGTACAGGACGCGATGGTTACCTTAGAGATCCCCAACGAGCACACCGTAGCAATCACCTGCTTTACCTGGGTCAATTGGAACAGGATTGCTGTAGGTTGTTCAGACGGCTCTATCGCTTTATGGTCGCTGTTCCCCTGCCAAATGCTACAGAGACATCCGATACACTGTAGTAGTGTTATCGACATTGTGTCAGGCTATCCTTCACAGCCGTCCTATGTCACATCTCTACCTATAGGTGGAGTTCTTACGTTGACAGACCTGAATCGACCTTCTGCCGAGATGTCGTACAATGCCAATCTTTCGGTCTCGCTCCAGCCAAACCTGCTTGCGTGGAGCGAGGTGCTGCGAGGATATCTATCCATGTGGCCGACGAACTTTACCGCGAACTCGACCGTGTCGTTTTCAGGGCTAACAACATTCCCTCAACCACGACACATCATGACTGTCGAAAGTCAAGTGACATGCTTGGCGATGAGCCCGTGCAACCCTTTTCTGCTGGTCGGCACTTCCGATGGATCACTGTGGTCGACGAATGTCCTGCGCAAAATCATGGGATACAGAGAGAAAGTCAACAAGATCAGAATCTTCAAACATGAGTACAGACCAGCCCAACCCAGCCCAGACCACGGACGCTCTCGAGGCGTTGTACGAATCACGCACGGGTACCTTCCGGAGGTCAACGATCACCCACGAGCAAACTTTACTGGGAAACAGGCTTCCGAAAATAAGAAGGGCAAAGGAAAGAAGGCACAGAAAGGGTCGGCCAAAAAGGCCCAGCGTGATGTTGAAGACGACGGCTTCGACAACATGGATGAAGGAGGAGCCATGACCTTTGCCACGGGACCTCTCATTATTGAGGATCCACACACCCGAGTAACGTCGATTGCATGGAATCCGAATGCTCTTTTCAGCTGCTGGGCTGCTGTTGCCATGGGCTCGGGACTCGTCCGAGTGATCGACCTCGGCGTCGATGGCTTGGGAGACGCGATGGAGAATTCCGATTCTCCAGAGAACTCTGATGAAGACATGCCAGATGTCGATAACGAGGACGCCTAAGGTTGTGTTCTGCATCAGCGTGCCGATGTCCACAACTTCCATGGATGACAGTCATCCATTTCAAGACACACCTAGACGGGAAGAATCACAAACCGATCATGAATACCAAGCCAAGATAACACGATGGAAACAGGGATGATCGAACACTCCGGAATCGAAGTTCCCCAGCTCCAACTTCCCCATCGCGGACGTTCCTGAGGACCTCGGCGACAGTGAGGTCTGGTTCGTCGTATACCATAGCTCTCAGCGAGTTGCCCGAGACGGAGAGCCCTAAGTAACAATCTGAAACTACTCTGAAGAACGAGCTCGTCAAAAGTTGGGGTGTGCCTTCTGGTTGTTGCCCAAATAGTCCATCAGTGACCTGGACGCTCCATCTTCCGACAAGCATCGAGTGGGTCACATAAGCGCATGCTCTCCCCGTCCGCCCTAGCGCCGTCTGCCGGCCGATAATTCGGAGCTGCTCACCCATGCTATCGGGATGCGGCTATCCGGCCAGGCGTCTGGCTTCGCCTGGGAACTCGACTCGTGTGCCTGGAAGCCATGCTATCCTGCACTAGCTTGACAGGTTGGAGAACCCTTGGTGATACCAATCAGGCCGTGGCCTAGAAATTGGCGGCTGATCCGGCGCATATCGAGCCACGAGGTCCCTGTGGGACGACGGTGACCCTGGTCGATCGTGGCCCCTCCTTCTCCCACCTCCCCACGGCCCCGGGAAGCCTATCTCCACGACCGCGCATTCAGCCCCAAAGTTTCGCCTCCCAAACTCCTCGCGTCGTGAATTGTTTTCGGTACTTGTCGCAAAGGCATACTCGGGATTCACACAGCCGCGTCAAAGCACCAATGTCACGCAAGAGGACGTGGAGCGAAGCACGACTCGAACAAGAGCCGCGGATATCGGTATCCTTCAGCCCAATCGTCCCCATCATTATTGAGTGACTGCTCACACCCTCTACCAGACTCCTTCGACCAGTCACCGTAGTGCTGAACATGAGGCACTCACGTCTCCCAGCCACGGGCAAAGGCGCCCGCAAAGCGACGAGTCGCCGGCACAACCCCACGTGCCAGTGATTTCGCGCAAAGTCAAGGCGTGCGCTGCCTGTCGCAAGCATAAGGTAGCCTCATACTGAACAAAGGCATGAAATCTGAGAAGAGGCCCTAACGACCTTTGTGGCACAGATTAAATGTATAATGGATAGTAGTGGTCCTCCATGCCGGCGATGCACAGAGAAAGGCCTTGGCTGCGTCTTGAACAAAAGCCTCCAGACGCTCATCAGTGAGCGGAATCAGTGAGTACTCGCGGAGCTTTGTCGTGTATATTCCGGCCGTCTGAGTTTGAGGTGCTGACCGTTGCGCGCAACCCGATAGATTCTCGGAATCTATCATCCGAGACATGGAGATGATGCATTCAAGTCTCCAGACTGTTCTCAAGACACTCAACTTACCACCTGTAGCGCCTCTGGAAACTGTCCGGAACGAGCAACATAGCCCGATATCAGAAGAGCCATTACAATTTGAGAAAGGGCCGTCTTGTGACAACTCCCCGAAAGCTCACCCAGTTGATGACAATGAGCTGCCGAACGTCCCGATCCAGTCTGTCTATCACCTCACGAAACTAAGTGCGCTTCGCTCCCCAGATTCACTTCGACAGGAGTCCACGCCGAAATCCGATACTATCGATGACTTCATATCCAAAGGACAGCTGCCGCTAGCCGACGCTGAACGTCTATTCCTCCTATACAAGGACAAACTTGATCACTATCTATATCACATCACCACCTCGATCAAGAGCCTGGAGCAGGCTAGGAGGCGGAGTCGCATACTCACAGTCAGCATGCTGACGGTTGCCGCACTGCATGACCCACAAGGCAATGCGAACTACGGTGTCTGCAGCCAAGAATTCCGTAGGGTCATGGCCGGCAGCATATTCAGCAGGAGGATTGACCGTGATTACCTGCGCGCCATGTGCATCGCTTCGTATTGGCTCAGTGATATCAGCTGGATGATATCAGGATATGCCATTCGCCGGGCAGCAGAGTTCAACCTGCAAGGGTACTACCGGAGGGCTATCGCGGAACCGGATGAGGAAGCCATTGATTTTGTGCGGATATGGTACGTGTCGTACACGAAAGTCAGTTGATCATTGGGGACGCAATTGACCCCTTCGCGTCGGTCTAGGTATGCGCTCTACATCTGCGATCAGCATCTCAGCACATTGTTTTCGAGACAGTCTGTCATTCGAGAAGATTCGACAATACAGGGCTGGCAGGAGGTAATCAAAGCACCACTTGCGAACGGGCAGGATGTCCGACTTGCGTCCCAAGTCGTGATCCTTGATATCCTGCGAAGTATTCGTGATCTGTTCGGGCCAGACACAGGGGAAACGGTACCGCAGGTTTATCTGATGCAAATATCTGCATTTGCGCGGCAAATTGACCAATACGTGGGACATTGGTCAACAGCACTCAAAGGTATGGCGACTTTCGAACCCACCGGCCAAAACTCGACCGAGGCTAATGAAGCTATCTCGCAGACATTGGCACATATCCGAGAAAGGGGGCACTCTTACACTTCCACTTCGGAAAGCTGTACCTGTACTCTCACGTGTTTCGAGGGCTGCGTGATGCCACGATTCCAGCGCACTTTCGAGAATGTGCAACCCATGCCGTACACTCGGCGACCGCCATCATCAACCTGCACCTCAACGACGCCGACATCAAGGAGGCGATATCCGGCCTGCCGACGTACATCCACTCGATGACGGGCTTCGCGTGCATGTTCCTCGCCAAATTGGCCATGACGCAAGGCGACGACATGATTGAGCGCAGCACCGTCACAGACCTCATCACTCGGCTCATCTCGCTGTATCGTGCCCAGTCTGTCAGCAAGTGGCATTTGATCAAGCTGATGGCCGGAGGGCTCGACAAGGTTGTGCAGACGCTATCGACCAGCGAGCCTCCTTCGCCGACTAAAAAGAGAGCCCAGCTCACTCAGCAACAGAACGCCATGAAGAAGGGAAACTTTGAGGCGCTATCGGCCGTCATGTTGCCCCAGACAGATCAGCAACAAGCCCAGCAGGGCCAGAACCATCGGCAGAACAAGCAAGCGCATTCTCAGCCAACCCCGAGGGGGGCAGGCCTGCTTTCACAAGACCAGCAGATCCCTCCAGACCTGGACTTGGGGCTGGAAGGGTTTGGAGGATTCTCCGAGGGCGACGCCTCGCTGCTTGGTCTGGACTCCAACTTCCTCTTGGGCTATGACATGAGCTTGGGGCCGGAACAGCTCATGTATCTCAGCAACGGGCACAGCAGCTTCGACACAGATCTCAGCCCCACGTTCTTATGATTGCAAAAACAGCACAGCATCACTGGTAGAACAGCCCAGATAAAAGACATGAAAATAGCAGCACGGTTCCGGGGCATTTTATAGCGAGGATTAAGCATCGTGCCTCAGAGCTGAACACGAGTGGCAGAGCCCTAGCGCGTTGCACGAATGGCGCATGCTTACAGAAATTGAGTGATTACTTTTCGAGACCATTCTCTGATCACATTGGACATGTCTTGAACACGCCATTTGGCGCTCATGCCTGGTAGCGTGATCCCAGCCGTGCACGGGGATTTCTCCGGTAGGGTTCAGCGCTTCTGATCTATATTTTCTGAGCCGGCAGTCTGGAGCCTTTATGGAAAATGATACCATCATGCCAGCATGATTTATATTCAACAGCAGATAGGCATGAGAAGCTTCACGGACCAGAAGGTCTATTGCTTGGGAGTCTGGTGAGCCGGGAGCCTTGTTAACGCGTTCCGCAGGCGCCACCAAGAAACCCAATGTCGGCAGACGGGTCCTAGCTCGGGTTTGCGATGGATGGATCTTATGCCAGGCCGCAGAACGGCATAGTAGTAGTAGACCCTCATCAATGTTCGCGCTGAAGTTCCCAGGGCTCCTGCAACATGACGCCTTGCTAGCAGGGTTTCACGATAACTGCCTTCCGTCTTGGGAAGCAAGCTGTCTGGTCTGTCAGGTACGGGCCCCGCACATCCCGCACTTTTGGGATTGGCTTTGTTCCCCACACTCTGGGTTGGTGGGCTTGCAGGAAGGTTTGATCGACTGCATGTAACAGTCACGACATTAGCGGACGACCAAGACTACATTTCCGCGGATGAACGGAGCGCTTGAAGAGCCATGGTTGACGCCTTATGCCGTGAAGACCCGGTGGTGCTTGATGATAAGAGTACCGAACACGGGGCATTACTGCCATGGGGGCATTGTTCGGCACTTTTCTTACTGCCGACAAAATGGATCGTCTGCCCGCCGGATCCATTGCTAGTCTACATGGCAGCTTATCTTGTTCGACCGAGAAGGACTTGGACGCCGCAGACCTGGAAGGGATGAGGTCCGGAAAACGCAGGGCTTCCCCCCAGCGAACGGATAAGAACTGCCTGATAACAATCGACAAAGACGTTGAGGACCGAGGGCGAGGGCTGGAAGCTTGGACATGATCGCGACAGGCGCCATAGGTGGTTGCTGGACCCCGAATCACACCACCAGGCATCATCACATGGGGCTCAAGAGCGCGACGATGGACAATGCTAATGAACGTGGCTTAATTTGTGCCGAGCCAGTAAAGGGAGGAATAAAACAAGCCAACCAACCAGGCACAACTAGCAGTTCCCCGATCAGCAATGTCAGTCGCTCGGTCCAAAGCAGTAGAAGCAGTGCATTCGAACACGGCCGCATGTCTCTGGAATGCTCTCTCGGGTGTATGGCGACGGCGAAAGCGGCAGCTGTGTCGCCGCTACGTGTGTCTTGTCATTGGGTTAGGTCGTCTTGTCTAACCACAACTTTGTCGCCCATCTAGAGCCCGCTGGCGAACAACTCGAGCCACACACTGTTCGGGATGGAGGAGCTGGTGCATGTGCGGGAGGGCTGCAGGATTTGGGGCGGCGTGCGGAGGGTGGGGTCCCTTGCCCAAGGTGGGTTAAAAGCGGGGAGGACCCCTCAGGCGCGAGCATGTTGGCCAATCAGGACGGGCGTGAAGGGGGAAAAAATTGATTTGTGTGAGCGCGGTCTCGCTCTGGGCCCTGGCGATTTACCTGGGCGGGTGAAAAGTGGTCGGCTGGCGACTCCGATGATCGCTCTCCTGTGCCCATAGTGAATGACTCCTGCTCCACTGTCTTGCCGCCGGCGGCCCTCCGACCGCCGCTGGCCATCGTCGCCGTCTGCCCTTGCTCTGCTCTCTCGAGCGACTCGTCCTGGCACGGCTGCCAGCAAACTTTCCCTACCACTCCTGCCCTCCGGCGCCGACTCCAAGACAGACGACGAGTCACCTTGCGAAGCTGCTATCGTCTCCTCCCACGGCCGCTCCGTACCCGTCGGCTAACCGCAATTCCCCCAAGGGTACAACGACACAACGGGTAAAGCTCTCTCTTCTCCTCGAGTCAGCCCATCTCTTCGCTCGCACATTAACAAACAGTCACACACCTTGGGGTGTCCTCCACCTCTAACCCAGCTCTCCTCCATTTCTCATCGTCACCAATCCACGGGTCATATCTTTGGCTAACCATTGAACTCCAATTGCTCCAACACACAGCAGTCTGTCCGCTTCCTCGCCTCCGACCTTCGTTCTCGGTCTCGCTCCCCACCACCGCCACCATGCTTCGCACACGGCAGGCCAACAAGGCCGCCAAGGCCCTCGCTCAGGCCTCAAGACAGCAGAGACGGACCTTGACTACCCCCAGACGGCTTCTGCCATCGTAAACCAGAACAAAAAGACCCCCTCGGGTGTAAGGAATCAAGCCACATCTGCCGCTGCGTATGTTGTCTTTTCTTTCTCTCCTGGCCAACTCTCTTGAGGTCGAGCTACGACTTTTTTTTTTTGTGGTGACGCGACTGACATGACCTCTTGTGTACTTACAGGCCGTCGAGGGCTGCTCCCGCGCCACATTTCAACGTCGCCGCCAACAAGGACAAGAGCCATGTTGAGCCTCTGCAGCCCCGCCGTACACCGGAGATGGACGAATCGTACGTTGTATCCGTCCGACACATATACATTTGCGTCGCAGAAGCTCATCGTTGTTCATTAGGTTCATCGGCAAGACCGGTGGTGAGATTTTCCACGAGATGATGCTCCGGAGAGGTGTCAAGCACATCTGTACGTAATTCTGGTACCGCTGTCTGTTCTGAACTCTGAGCTATGACTAACGTGACTTCTCTCTACAGTCGGCTATCCTGGCGGTGCCATTCTTCCCGTGTTCGATGCCATCTACAACTCAAAACACTTCGATTTCATCCTGCCCAAGCACGAGCAGGGCGCCGGCCACATGGCCGAGGGTTACGCTCGCGCCTCCGGCAAGCCTGGTGTCGTTCTTGTCACATCGGGTCCCGGCGCGACAAACGTCATCACTCCGATGCAGGATGCTATGTCTGACGGTACTCCCATGGTTGTCTTCACTGGTCAGGTCGTCACCGGCGCCATCGGCAGCGATGCCTTCCAGGAGGCCGATGTTGTTGGCATCTCCAGAGCATGCACAAAGTGGAACGTCATGGTTAGGAACGTCGAGGAGCTGCCCCGGAGAATCAACGAAGCCTTCGACATCGCCACCAGCGGCCGCCCTGGCCCCGTCCTCGTCGATCTGCCCAAGGATGTGACCGCCAGCATCCTCCGCAAGGCCATCCCCACCGAGTCTGCCCTCCCCACATCGCCCAGCGCAGCCTCCCAGGTTGCCATCGAGGCCACGAGGAGACAGCTCCAGCAGTCGATCAAGCGTGTTGGTGATCTCATCAACATCGCCAAGAAGCCCGTTATATACGCTGGTCAGGGTGTCGTCCTGTCTGAGGGCGGTGTAGAGCTGTTGAGAGAACTCTCGGAGAAGGCGTCGATCCCTGTCACCACCACCCTTCTGGGTCTTGGTGCCTTTGACGAGCTTGACGAGAAGTCTCTCTACATGTTGGGCATGCATGGCTCTGCCTTTGCCAACATGGCGATGCAGGAGGCTGACCTCATCATTGCCATTGGCGCCCGCTTCGATGACCGCGTGACCCTTGCCATTTCCAAGTTTGCGCCTGCTGCCAAGGCTGCCGCGCTCGAGGGCCGTGGTGGTATCGTGCACTTCGAAATTATGCCCAAGAACATCAACAAGGTTGTCCAGGCTACCGAGGCAGTCGAGGGTGACGTTGCGCAGAGCTTGTCGCAGCTCATGCCGTACGTCAACAAGACCAGCATGTCTGACCGGAGCGAGTGGTTCGATGCCATCAATGGCTGGAAGAAGAAGTGGCCCATGGACCACTACGAGCGCGCCGAGCGCACCGGCCTCATCAAGCCCCAGACTCTGATTGAGGAGCTCAGCAAGCTCACTGCGGATCGCAAGGAGGACACCATCATTGCCACCGGTGTCGGCCAGCACCAGATGTGGACTGCCCAGCATTTCAGGTGGAGACACCCGCGGACAATGGTCACCTCTGGCGGGCTCGGCACGATGGGCTTTGGCCTTCCCGCCGCCATTGGCGCCAAGGTTGCCCGGCCCGAGGCCCTCGTCGTCGACATTGACGGCGACGCGTCTTTCAACATGACCCTGACTGAGCTGTCCACTGCTGCCCAGTTCAACATCGGCGTCAAGGTCATTGTCCTGAATAACGAGGAGCAGGGTATGGTCACACAATGGCAAAACCTGTTTTACGAGGACCGCTACGCGCACACTCACCAAAAGAACCCCGATTTCATGAAGCTTGCCGACGCCATGGGTGTTCAGCACCGGAGACTCATCAAGCCCGAGGAGACCGTCGAGGCCCTCAAGTGGCTCATTGAGACAGACGGCCCGGCCTTGCTCGAGGTCATGACCGATAAGAAGGTGCCCGTTCTGCCCATGGTGCCTGCTGGCTCGGGTCTGCACGAGTTCCTTGTGTTCGACGGTGGTAAGTGCCTACATTTCCGAATCCAATGTAAAGACCCAGATGCTAACCGCTGTTATGTTTTATGTTTATAGAGAAGGACAAGAAGCGGAGAGAGTTGATGCGCACGAGGACCGGCGGCCTCCACAGCTAGCTTGGACGTTCCGACTGACGCATTGCATTTCTGACGATTTAATTTTCGACCATATTCCCTTAGGAGCACTTGCCGTAGCGTGGAGGACGGCGGAGGACGATGTCACGACGGTATGGCAGCAGCAAAAGCCCAAATGGGGCGATAGTTGTCGAGGCGCGGATCGAGGCTCTATTGGAGTGCTCGTGTCTCTGGTGGTTTCTGCTTTTTCAACATACGGATCAACCAAAAGCAAGTGGGATATTCTGTACATAAAGCCAAGTGTATACAAAACAAGCGCTTTCATCATTATTAAACATGTTGCTCATCAAACGCCATGATTGTGATGAATGACTGGAAGGGGGAGGGGCCACTACCAACGCAATATTTGCTTGTGGAGTCCCCTTCGTGGGCGCCCCGTGGGGCGTTTGGTCGCGTGCACTTGAGGCAATGGTCTGCACTGTCCCCTATTCTGACTCGGGCACTTGCGGCAATGCCCGGCCACAACACCGAAACCCCTGGACCTGAGCACGATGCAGATTCGAGGTTTGTAGAGAAGAGAAGGTTGTGGTCTTGCCATGCCGTGACAACCTGGAAGAGGAACACGCTGGTCACCAGACAGGCTCGACAAACCGCACCGAGCCGGAATACAGGGCAGGTATATGTCATTGGGGAAAACCCCATCGGCGAAATGCTCGGCGCCGCGCCCTGATTGGGGCTGCTGTGGGGAATTGGGGTGGTGGGGGAAATGGGATCGTGGCCGGCTTCACTCTCGGGGGCTCTTGGCCCGGGGATATGCGCCGTGAACCCCGCCTTGCTTCCCGCCGCTGTCCTGGCTGCCATGAGGGCTCCTGAGGCTGCGACAGAGGACTCGTCTTTTCGATTCCCATCATTTTGCTTCTTTGGCATCAGAAGTCTGCGACTGCATATGCTGCTTTAGCTAAGCTGTTTTCCTTGTTGCACAGGGCGGGGCAATCTCCGGCCTCGGTCCACGATCAACGCGGGGCGCGCATGCCAACCAAATTTCCCTACAGTTGTCCAGACACCTGCTTGCCACACTTTTGACTCTTCTTGCACTTCGAATTTCACGACTTAGCAAGCCATAAAAGACCACCATGTCGGGTCCCGTCCCCCAGACCACGGCGCTGCAGGATGTCTACACGGCGGAGTCCCTTGGCGAGCAGGGCGTCCGCTGGAATACGCTCCTCGAAAAGTTCCAGGAGACGTATGGCACGTCAGCAGAGTTCGTCGCGCGGTCTCCAGGCAGAGTCAACATCATCGGCGAGCACATCGACTACTCGCTGTACCCGTGCCTGCCCATGGCCATCTATCCGGATGTGATCGTCGCCGTGTCCTCGACCGCCGCCTCGGACGAGCCCGCCAGCACCACGGGCACTTATAAGCTGCAGATTGCCAACGTCGCCTCGGACCGGTTCCCGACCCGCGAGTTCGACGTGCCCTACGGCGACGTTGAGATCGATGCCACCAAGCACGAGTGGACAAACTACTTCAAGGCCGGCCTGCGCGGCGCCCTGGAGCTGCTGCGCAAGAAGCACGGCCAGGACTTCAAGCCGCGCAGCATGAAGGTGCTCATGGACGGCACGGTCCCCGCGGGCGGCGGCCTCAGCTCCAGCGCAGCATTCGTCAGTGCCGCGGCGCTGGCCGTCATGTTCGCCAACGGCGAGCGGGACATTGACAAGAAGGCGCTGACCGAGGTCGCCATTGTCAGCGAGCGCGCCGTTGGTGTCAACTCGGGAGGGTGAGTTGCGACTGGATCAGCAAGATCCTCATAAATGTTGGCCATGTGTGAGCCCTTCAAAGTGCTGACTATTCTCCCATCTCATTAGCATGGACCAGTCCGCCTCCGTCTTTTCCGAGATGGGCTCGGCGCTGCTCGTCTCGTTCAGCCCCTCGCTGTCCGCGCGCCCCGTCTTCTTCCCCAAGACGAACCCGGAGCTGTGCTTCCTCATCGCGCAGTCCTTTGTCACGTCCAACAAGCAGGTCACGGGCCCGATCCACTACAACCTGCGCGTCGTCGAGGTCAGCATGGCGGCGGCGGTGCTCAACGCCAAGTTCTGCCCGGGCACCGAGCTGCCCAAGGACGCCGGCCCGCTCGGCGTCTCCCTCCGCGGCTTCCACGACAACTACTTCAACGCCCAGCAGAAGGACGGCGGCGGCAATGCCAAGCCCCTCCCCGAGCAGCTCGCGGAGCTCATCGAGATGACCAAGTCGGCGCTGGACAAGGAGGAGGGCTACACGGTCGCCGACGTGGCCGCCCTGACGGGTACCACCGTCGAGGACGTCAAGGCGCGCTTCCTCTCGAGCTTCCCCGTGCGCGGCGAGTTCTTCAAGCTGCGCCAGCGCGCGCTGCACGTCTTCACCGAGGCCCTCCGTACGCAGCAGTTCCTCGCGCTGCTCGAGGACACGACCCAGCACCCTCCCGCCGCCGCACCCAGCGGGGGCACCGACGACTCAGTCGCGTACAACCAGCGGCTCGGCAGCCTGATGAACCAGACGCAGGACTCGTGCCGGGACGTCTACGAGTGCAGCTGCCCCGAGATCGACCAGATCTGCGGCATCATTCGCGGCGCGGGCGGCTACGGCAGCCGCCTGACCGGCGCGGGCTGGGGAGGGTGCAGCGTGCACCTGGTCCCCGCGGACAAGGTCGAAGATATCAAGAAGGCGCTCGTCGAGCAGTACTACTCCAAGCGGACCGTGAGCGACAAGGACATGGAGGGCGCGATCGTCGTGAGCCGGCCCATGAGCGGGAGTGCGGTCGTCACGCTGGATGGCGGTCGGTTCTGAAAAGTGACGATGATAGTATCTGCGGGTGAACATGGACGGTTTTGAGGGGGGTTGAGGGATTGAGAAAGAACGCCGAGACGTGTGTCTTGTGCGTGCGTGTTTGTGTGAACCTCGCCAAGTTTATGCGTCCCGTGTGTCTGGGACTAGCCGCAACGTGTGGGAATAAATACTCGCAATCTACAAGTGGAAGAAGAATACCGTGGTTTGCACCAAGTAGAGAGGACCCTCAACAATAAGACTCGTCTTTCTGGACGCTCACGGAGCAAGGTGTGTAAGGTCGCTGTACAAGAACTAGCACTTGACACGATGCGAAAAGCTACCTTAAGGTACTGATGCATAATCATGATTGATGTGTTTATCCATTAATGTAACGTGTACCCATTGTCCAGCAAGAATTCCCCATTTCCCTCCCTATTTCCGGCCAAATTATATAAATCAAAACCAAAGAAGACACCATCTTTCGTCCCCGGGTGTGTGAAAACCCCAGTGGAAGAGACGAGGAATGCGCCCGGTGAAACGCCTTTGCCGTCGCTATGCTTTCTTTCCGTTGTCTATTACCCAGAAATGAAAAACCATGACCAAAATTCTTCTTCTGCCTCTCATTGAGGAAAGACGTGTTTCGCTGAAAAGCGAGATTACAATACCCCAAGTCCCTCCTTGTATATACACCTCGTCATTTCATGACATTCTGCCGCGCGTGTTCTTTATCTCGTCGTTTGCGTCGCCGGCTACATGCCGCACTGGCGAAAAAAAAGTGAAGTGGATGAAAGTCATTCTCGTTTAGGACCGGAACCGGTATGCTAGGGTCCCGTTCCACGGCGGGTATGTGGTGTGCCACAGCCCGTTGTCATAGGTCGTCGTTGTCATTGTGGCTGCTACCGCTGGGGGAGAAGTTGTTGTGGTGAAAATACTTGTGCTGCTGCTGCTGCTCGTAGAAGACAATGAAGATGAGGAGGAAGACGACGATGAGGATGTCTGTGTGGAGACGGTGGACAGCGCGGTCGTTGTGGCCGATGCTGTCGTGGTCGTAGTGATCGGTGGTCCAGGAGCTGGGATTACCACAGTCGGGTTGGAGGAGGGTGCCGTTGTTTCTGTGACTGTGGTGGCAGAGACGAGGACCACGGTCGTGGGCAGGAGGACTGTGGCGCCATTGGCGTCGGTCGTGGTTATGGTTGTCACGAATGTTGGTTCCGGGACGGGGACGAGGATGCTGTTTGTCGTTGTTGTTGTGAGGATGGCTGTCGGCTGGGGCACGACGGTGTTGCCGTCATTGTCCTCTACGGTTGTTGTCACGAGGAGTGTGGTTGTGGGCTGGATGCCAATGATGGAGATTGTGGTGGGCACAACATGTGTGACGGTGTTGGTGCTAGGCTGCTCGACGACAGTGGTGGTGGTAATTGGTGTCGGCGCTGCTGTGACGGTCTGGAAGACGGTCGTCGTGTCGACGTCTCCTTCGCCTCCGCCGTTGCCGCCGTCGCTTCCACCATTATCGCCGCCTCCGCCTCCGCTGCCAGTGCCATTCCCGGAGCCGCTGCCGTTGCCGTTGCCTCCACCGCTGCCACCACTCCCACCATTGCCGCTGCCGCCGCCGTTGATGGGCACTACAGACCACGTCGCGCGAGCTACGAGGGGAGCCGTCGGTGTTGTGGTGGTGATCGTCGCCGTCGTCTCTAGCGTTCGCAAGCCAGCAACTGGTAGGGCACCGGCATTGTGAAAGAGCAGCGCGGTGGCCAACCACAGAGAGGCCGGCACGCTGGGGGATCGCATCGTGGAACCTCTTGGGGACGGGAGATGTAGAGCTGGCGATCGATCACGGAGCGCGGAACGGTGGTTCACTTGCAGCAGGTGAGAGACACGAGGACTGGTCAAGTCTCCATGTGCGTCAGAGGGACGTGGCCTGGTTTTATTCGGCCTGTCTGCCACCATGGGCCCTGCCACGCGGGACAGGGCCCTCTGGTGTTGAGCAGGATGCGACAAAAATGCAGAGGTTGGGATGGTTCGTCACGACCCTGTTTCGCAGCACTGAGACCACTCACTGAAGAATGTGTTTCACGGGGCCCGCGCCGCCGGGGGAAATGGAGGGGCTGGTGGCTGGGATGGCGCCGTGCACGGGTGGCTGGGGGCTGGGCTGCCCGGGCTCAGCAGGGGTCCCCCGCCGCCCGTCCCGGCCGAGTCCCTGCGCTGCACAACCCCGGCGGGTGCTCCGGCGACTGTTGGTACCTGCATCCTCAAAGTAACTAGCTGTCTCGTGCCCAATGGCTACGTTGATTAGATGGACAAGCTGGTGGAGGTGTCGAAGATGAAGCTACCGCCATGCCCCGATTCGACCATGTTCATGACTCGGCAGCAACGGCGGCAGCAGCAGAGCCTCATCTCTTCCACAAGATGGTCCACCTCGGGGTCCTGAGGCCCAGCTGCCCTGACGCTGAACTGGCCGGCGACCTCGATGGACATCCCACCATCGTCAAGAATGGGACGCGGCCACCCAGGAGCAACCAGGTCGGCAAAGGCTGACGAGGGAGCTTCATACCGCCCGCAAGGCAAAAGGATGAGCCCTTACACAATCTTTCGGCGCTCGAAGCTCCCCGAGCAGACATCCCAACGGTCTGGTGGCCTGAGGTCCATTCCTCATTGAACAACAAGGGTGTCGCGTACACCAGAACAGGCAGCCGCATATTCTACCGCAAGTACGAAGGGCGGACTTGGCGGGCCACAATCTGGTGTGGCTGAGCATGGGATCATCGTCGGTTCCTGATGGCGAGAGGGACAAAGCAGTACTCCAGCACTGTTTAGATTGGCCCAGAGAGCCGCCAGTCAAGTAGGGCCCCTCACCAACGGGGGGCGGTGCAACGCCAGCGCCGCGGTAGGGGTGCGGCTGATGGATGTCCTGCCTATGACGCACCGTGGATCCCCCAGCTGTGCAGTTGCGCTCGTGACGTGATTGGCTGCGCAACGCAAACTTACGTGGGGAGTACACTGCCTCAATGAAGGCGACCGAGTGCCACGATGCACAAGTAATTACGGGATGGGCAAGCACCAAAGAAAAAGAGATAACTAGGACAACGTCCCCGCTCCTTTGTCGTGAGCGTTGGATCCTCTGTCACGATAGTTCTCTTCTCTTTGCAAGCAGTCGACAATTCAGTCTCGGCTTGGCTTACACGCACGACCATTGAACCGCCAACTACCCCGCCCGCTCACGAGCTCTCAAAGCTCGTCATAGCCATCCCACCAACAGGCAACAGCTTGCCAAACAGCTTTCCCCGGCTCCACCACAACGACCTGTTTCTTCTGCCCTACGCTTGAACTGGGCCTCGTTCAGCCCGGACTCCGCATCCCGCATCCTCCAGCAGCAGCATCGTTTTTCAGCTTCGCACCGTCCACTTTTCCCCCGACCAACCTTCTTCACCCTTCGGCCCCGTGTCAAGTATCCACAACATCTTTATCAGCCAGCACTCTGCTCGACCCTCGGATGTCTTACTACAATCAGCAGCCCTACCCAGGTGGCCAATACGGCCAGCCACCTCCTCCTCAGCAAGGCCACTATCCTCCTCCCGCTGGCACATACCCCCCGCCAGGCCAATACCCTCCTCAGCAGGGCCAATATCCGCCTCAAGGGCAGTATCCTCCTCCCGGGCAGTATCCGCCTCCGCAACAAGGACATTACCCACCTCCTGCTGGCGGGCAGTATCACCAGCCGCCTCCGCCCCAACAGGGCCACTATCCTCCGCCAGCTGGCCAGTACCCTCCGCCTGCCGGCCAGTACCCCCCGCCAGGACAGTATCCTCCGCCTCAACAGCAGCCGTACGGTGCTCCTCCGCCGCATCAACAATACGGTGCTCCCCCTCCAGGCCAATACGGTGCTCCTCCGCCAGGGCCACCTCCCCAGCACGGCTACGGGGCGCCACCACCACAACATGGCGGCCCTCCGGCGCCGGCCAGCCTCGGATATGGGCCACCTCAGATCATCCAGTGGGACGCCACGCCTGACGCGCAGGCCCTCCGAAATGCGATGAAGGGCTTTGGAACTGACGAGAAGACCCTGATCCGTGTACTGTCGACCAAGGACCCTCTTCAGATCGAGGCCATCCAAGCTGCGTTCACACGCAATTTTGGCCGCAACCTGATCAAGGATATCGAATCGGAGACTCGTGGCGAGTTTGAGAAGGGTCTGGTCGCGCTTTGTCGGGGACCTCTGATGCATGATGTGTACCTGCTGCGCGAGGCGCTCAAGGGGCCCGGCACGAACGAGGCTGTCCTCAACGATGTCTTGCTCGGCCGGTCGAACGCCGACATGGCGGCAATCAAGAGCGCCTACGCAAGAGAGTTCCGTGCTTCACTCGAGAGCGATGTCAAGGGCGACCTCAGCTTCAAGACGGAAGAACACTTCATGATCGTCCTCGCAGGGAACAGGATAGAGGAGAGCACGCCGATAAACCAGCAGGCCATCGAGCAGGAAGTAAAGGACCTGCATCGCGCGACCGCGGGCCAGATGGGCACGGACGAGATGCTGGTCTGCTCGATCCTGAGCACGCGAAGCAACGCGCAGATCCAGGCCATCAACCGCACGTACGAGCAGAGGTTCCGGAAGAAGTTTGAGGATGTTATCCGCAGTGTAAGTCCAGAATTTCCGGATGCTTCAGCATACATCGAAACAAGACACTGACACCCCCAAAGGAATTCAGTGGCCACATGAAGGACGCCCTGCTGTTCCAGCTCCGATCAGCAACTGACAGGGAACGCAATGCGGCGATATTGCTGGAGGAGTCCATGGCAGGAATGGGCACCAAGGATACCCTTCTCGTTTCCAGGGTCGTCCGTTACCACTGGGACAAGGTGTTTATGGCTGGCGTTAAGAATAAGTATCGGATGCTGTATGGCAAGGCTCTTGGGGCTCGCATCAAGGGCGAGACAAGCGGGGACTATGAGCGGCTCATGCTCGCTTGCATTGGGGAGTTCTAAGTGTGGAAGTATGGTGTTACGTTGTGTGCTCCGCAAGGGCGAACGTGGCAGCTTTCTGAAAACACCACGGGCCGGATGTGACTGCACTACAGATACATAATTTCAAAGCAGAACAGCCATGCAAGATGATGCGCGTGGTTTAAATACTATCGCAAGAGCGGGTTCATTGTGAATGACAGCCTAACAGAAAAACTTGACAATCCAAAGAAAAACCATTGCCGGACTGAATCGAGATATTGTCATGTAATGCTCACACGTGACCAGAAGGGATAACTGGCAATGTCATCATTGTGATTCAATTCTCGTTCCGGGATAATCCAACGACAATCCTGCCTTCGCAACCGCTCCAAGCCGAATCTTGGTCTGGCGACATTCGCGCGAAAATACTGAGAAGCGGCTGCGTGCTTTCAGCAGCGGGCCACCCAGTCATGGTATAGTCGGGGAATCCGATGCTGGTAAATTCGTGATGTGGAGCTGAAGCAGGTCGTCGTATATCTCACCGCCAGACATCGCTCGATAAGACGTCCAAGGAGGCGAATAGGTTGGGGGCGGTGTCTCGCAGGTCATCCGAGATCGCGAGCCGCGCCACGAAGGTACACCGGTGCTCAAGACCTCCAGGCTCCTCCGGCTTGTGGAAGGCGCCACTGTGCAACAACAGCCCGCCCCCCTGTGGAGTCTTGCCCCTGCAGTGCAGCGCGGCACCTTTAAAAGTACCCATCCATCTCCCTCGCACGGCTGAGGACCAGCCCGCCTCGTCTTCCTTTAACTTCAACATCCCATTGACTTTTCACCACAGCGCGATTTGCATTTCCCGTCCAGCGGCTCGATGGTGGCGAGTGCGGGTATTCAGCTGCGGTAGGCATTGACTCCAAAACCGCAGGTGCCCCATCCATGACGACCCTGACTCACGTATGGAAGAAACCGCGCTCCAGTTGCTAACACGGCTTTTTGTAGTGCTGCTCTTTTCTGATAATCCACATTCACAGTCACGTATGATGACGAGCATATATAAAGCATAGCTATGACATCTCCCTAGCCCCAATTCAAAGAGTCATGGGATTTCTTGCCGCAACCCTTCACCTCTAGCTGAGACTCTACTCGCCATGGCTGCCAAACACTCCGGGCCGGTCGAGGTCCTGCTCGAACCTATTACTTCCCTATATAACATGCCAGCCATGCCCCATCCTCTCCTCAGTGGCGTACCGAGCACCACCGAAGGTTACGCCCTCATAGGGGCTCTACTGCCGGCAGGTATCGCGATAGCATGCATCATTCTTCACCTTGCACGGCTGGCACTACCTAAGGGTCCACGATGGACCCGCCGCTTCGCAAAAGAGCCGATTTCACGGCAACCGCGCAGCTGGTCAAGATGGGCGGTCAGCCTCCTCGGTTTATCAGCCATTGGGTTGGCTCTTTCTATCCTCGATATCGCCACGAGGTCGTCTTTTCAACCAATCTGGAGCTGCGAACCCCTTCCCTGGCTTCTGGCTCTTCTGCTCATCCTGGCTGCACGGCCCGGGAAGACCCCAAAGACTTTACTTGTCATATTCGCTACAGTTCTGGTCTGCGATAGTTTATCAGTCCTGCTCAGGTACAGCAAGGTGAAACATGTCCACATCTTTTTCATCGCCTGTCTTGTCACAGACTGCGTGACCATAGCGGTCATTTTCTGCATGCCCATGAGGCATCCGGCGTTAGCGAAAGACGGCGTAGCCAAACCATTCGAATCACCCGACTCGCGACTAAGGAGTCCCGAAGATGACTTGACCCTCTGGCAATTCATGACGGTCACTTGGATATCGCCATTGATGAGCCGTGGCTATCATCACACCCTCGAAGACGAGAACGTCTGGCAACTGCCCTACGACTTCCAGCACGAACGGCTGCATCTGCTGTTCAGAGAACTCCAAGGCTCAATCCTTCGTCGCCTGCTTACGGCCAATGTGCTCGACCTCATCACAACTGTCTGCCTTGGTATACTCGAATCTTTGGCGAATTTGTCTACCCCAGTCCTCTTGCAGCAGCTTCTCCAGTCCATCGCGAAGGGAAGCTCTCATCGACACGAGTCGTTTCTTTTCGCTCTGGCAATCCTTGTTATGCGTCTCGTTTCGACACAGTGTGCTATCTTGTCCTTGTGGTTTTCCCGCCGTGCATATGAGAGGTCACGGGGAGAAATGCTCACCATGGTCTACGCCAAGACCCTCACGCGCAAGTCAAAGGGCGGACACATTGAAGAGAAGCCTCAAGAGTCTGCGGATGATGCCAACACTACCACTTGTCCCGGTGGACGCAGAGCTAATAACAGTGGCAATCAGCACTTCCATGACAAAGTCATATGCTCTCTGCATCAGAGAATCCTCTCCTGGCTTCCTTTTCTCAAACAAAAGTCGAAGGCGGCAGTACCCAAAGACCAGCCGGCAACTATGGGCAAAATCCTCAATCTCATGCGAGGAGACGTCTACGAGGTATCGCAGCGTTTCTGGGACTTCCCCTCGATTATCACCAAGCCACTTCAGCTCTGTTTTGCTGTTTATCTCCTGTGGCAATTGATTGGTGCTTCAGTTCTGCTTGGCATTGCTTGGATTGTAATCATTCAACTGCTCAATGCTGGAATTGTCCGGATACTGCTGGCCATGTCGAAAAGTCGGCGCAAGGCCACCGACGAGCGTCTCCAAGCCACGACCCAGTTTGTCGAGGCGATTCGCCATCTTCGCTGGTATGACTGGCAGGACAAGTGGCTAGACAGCATCATGGAGGCTCGAAAGAAGGAACTTCACATACGCCTGAAGTCAAGTCTCTGGAGCATGGGCATCACTGCAACCAATCTCGCAGCTGGAGCACTGTTTCCGGTGTTCAGTTTCTTCGCCTATACTTATATTGCGGGCCGTCCACTGCGCATAGATATCGCCTTTCCTGCCTTGGCATTGTTCCAGATGCTGGAGTCTTCGATGAAGGAGGTGCCACAGCTCATCATGGTGTGGCTGGATGCATCTGTGGCTATGGGCCGCCTTGAGAAGTTCATGCAGGAGCCAGACAAGGATGAACCTGTTACCGACGATACCTCGGCCACTATAGAGTTTCACGACACAACACTGGCGTGGCCCGGAAGCAACATCGTTGTCCTCAGACACCTCAATCTGTGCTTCCAACCTGGTCTCAACGTCGTGTGCGGCAGAGTCGGATGCGGCAAGACTGCCCTGCTTGAGGGCATCCTTGGCGAGCTCGACCAGACTGCGGGCCACAGTGTGCTCCCGAATGAGATGGTAGGATACTGCGCTCAAGCGCCGTGGTTGCAGAACATGAGCATCAGGGATAACATCCTCTTCAACTTTCCCTACGACCCGGTGCGCTACAGGCAGGTCATTGATGCTTGCGCGCTTACTCCAGACCTTGCCACTTTTAAGCACGGCGACTTATCTGCAATTGGAGAGAACGGAATTGGCCTCTCAGGAGGGCAGAAAGCCCGCGTGGCTTTGGCCCGGGCCGTCTACAGCAATGCGCGCGTCTTGCTACTCGACGATCCGCTGGCCCCTCTAGATCATAATACCGCCGAGTCAATTATCCGCAAACTCTTCTGTGGACCTCTGATGCAGGATCGGACCGTCGTGCTGGTTACTCATCGGGTAGATTTGTGCACCCATCTCGCTGATCAAGTCGTCGAGATCATCGATGGTGAAGCGAGAGTTCTCGAATCTAGTGAGATCGAGCGCGAGGCTGAAATCCTAGCTCGAGAGCAGGGTAAAGAAAACACGGCGGGTGTTGAAGAAGGATCCCACGTCGCCAGCGGAGAAGACACCAACGCTGCGGTGCCGGACAAGTTCATTGAGGACGAGCATCGCGCGTCAGGAGGCGTCGTTGCACGAGTATATTGGACATACATCAAGGCCGGCAAGCTTCGATGGTGGACGGTTGTCCTTGCGCTCTTCGTGCTTTGGCGATTGGTACTTCTCCTCAACCAATGGTTTCTGAAGGCATGGGGCGAGGCATATTCCGAGGCAGAGGCTTTCAAGAACCTGGCCATCTCCGTGACTGGTCCAGGCGACGACCTTTTCAAGAATCTGCCTCGACCAGATGATGATGTTCGACCGTGGCTCATGTGGTACCTTGTCATTGGCATTGCTGACACCGCTCTGTTCACGTTGTCGCAGTGTGGCTTTCTCATCATCATGTTCGTGGCTGCCCGGGATCTCTTCTCCCGTGTGCTTCAGAAAGTCTGTCGCGCCAATTTTCGCTTCTACGATGTCACCCCTGTAGGACGCCTCATGAACCGTTTGACGTCGGACATAGGCATGATTGACGGCGGCATTGCTTATCCGTTGCAGTTGGTTGCACTGAACATCCTGTCGTGGGGTTCTTGCATGTTGGTTATTGCTCTCGCCACACCGATATTCTTTGCTTTTGCGATGGCCATGACCGTGTTCTTCCTCCTCATCTTCAAACGCTACTTGCCAACATCTCAAAGTCTACGCCGTCTCGAGATGGCGTCACTGAGCCCACTCATGTCCAACTTTGGCATATTGGTGGATGGGCTTGCAACAATCAGGGCATTCAAGGCCCAGCCGCACTTTCAAAGCCGCAACATCGAAGTGACGGACACTTTCCAGAAGATGGACCATTTCTACTGGAGCGTGCAGGCTTGGCTCCAATACAGGTTCGACGCACTGTCTGCGATATCGACGTTCAGCCTAACTGCTCTAGCTTTGTACCAAGGCCTCTCGCCGGGTATGACTGCCTTTGTGCTCACCACAGCTGCGCAGTTCGTCACTGCCACACATTCGCTCTGCAGGATGTACGGACAGTTGCAGATGGACTTTGTATCAGTCGAGCGCGTGGTTGAGCTTCTTGACCTGGACGAAGAACCAAGTGGAGATGTCAGGCCGCCCGCAGTCTGGCCCGCCAACACGGACAGCATCACCTTCAACCATGTCACCCTCAAGTACGCACCGCATTTGGATCCTTCGTTGTCGGATGTGTCCTTCAGTATCCCCGGCGGGTCAACCTGTGCAATCCTTGGCCGAACTGGATCCGGCAAGTCGACATTAGCACTCGCGCTGCTGGCAACGATGCGACCCGAGTCTGGAAGCATCATTGTGGGTGACATCGACCTGGCCAAGCTTGACGTTCATGCTTGGCGCCAGAGAATCAGCTTCGTTGCCCAAGATCCTGTCCTCTTCCCGGGAACACTGCGTAAGAACATCGATCCACTTCAGGAACACTCTGATGAAGAGTGTCTGGCAGTCCTGCATCGCGTGCTCGGCGAGGAGTGGACACTCGAATCAGCAGTCGATGCTGGCGGCAAGAACCTGAGCCAAGGTCAGCGACAACTCGTTGGCATTGGACGCGCCGTGCTTCGCCGCAGTCCTGTTGTCGTACTCGATGAGGCGACAGCAAGTATCGACATGAAGACGGCGGCCGCAATATACGACGTCCTCCACGAGGAGTTGAGGCACAGCACCGTCATCACCATCGCCCACCGCCTCGAGGCCGTCAAGGACGCAGACTATTTCGTGAGACTCGATGCAGGCCGTGTGGTTGAGGCAGGACCCATAGAGGTCAGTGGAGAGTCTGCTGCGGCATCGTGATTATATTTCACCGGGGCTCCAAGATGGTGCCGGTCGTGGTGTGAAAACAAGGGAATGCTAAAGCACCATGCTCATCCTGGAGTTGAGGTCACGTCACGGTTGTTGCTGCTCTTCAATATATTGGTCCCCTAGCGTTCATCCACAGTATTGCCCTTGTCCCGTCGTTGTGCGAAAGTGTACAGAATACAATGGCAATGACAATGGAAGGGCTCGTAGAACTTGCACCTGATTAACGGGCCTCGAGGTCACGACGTCGCGAGCCACCAGCGTAACAAATCTAGGCTCTGGCGAGCCAGAACATTATAGCTCTCTGCGGGCACACCTGAAGTTGAGACAAATTCGACTCGCGCATGAGTATGCCATGGTCAAGCTTAGCAATGCTTGTTCAGTGATGTGTATGGTCGTCCAATAACAGTGCATGCTGGTGGATCAATGCGTCGCAAGTGCCACCTCGTGGGTCGAGCCTGCCCGGACGGATCAAAGGTGTTCCAGGTTAGTATAATAACTAACTGCCTCGGCCTAAAGAGGGATAGTTATTTATCGTGACCAGGCGAGATGATTGGCTGTTGCAGATATATACCCCACTATACTTTATCACTTTTTATTTAACTCTGCGCTCTTGTCCAATACTTTTACCTTTTTGGAAAAACGATGCTCCATTCCACTTTCGCATGCCTTTTGCAGCGCGACTCCACGCGACGCCGTATCGACGCCACCACCAACGGCCGCACGGTGAGCAGCTGAGGTCCGAGTTCGCCATGCAGTTCTGGACATGACTTGCTAACCTGCCCGTAGCTGCCTGAGAGTCATCTGCTGCAGTGAGGCAATTGCGACGAAATATCTTTTGCCACCCGTGCCCTGCTGTAATTTACTTGGTTGCTGCGCGTGTGCATGCCTCACTTGCTAGATGTGGATGCGTGCCTGCCGTGTTAGACGACAGACCACACCTTCTCGGCAGCACCGCACCGAGTTGTGCACGCATCAACACTATCATCCATTCCGGTACACGCGTTGCATGCCCATCCGCTTCTGAAGCAGTGTTCGGGTGAAGCCCATCAGCAGTCTTTGGGTGTTGTTTCGTCCAGTTGTCACCCCAAGATCCATGCCGTCCTTGGTGCGCGAGGTCGTTAGCCGTCACCTACAATGCCGCCCGCCCTGCCCTCGCCGACCGACGGCAACCCGCCGCCGGTGGCATACATGTCCAAATACCGCCTGGACTCGCAAGAGAGGCCTCCAAGTTACAGGCCTCCGGCAGACTTTCCCTCTCCGAACCAGAATCACCAGGCCGATCCCACGTTTCACAGACATAGAGATCTGGTCGACTCCAGCATCCAGGAGGCCAAGCCCGAGGCCGTGCGTACTGCTGTCCGTCGCAATTGGCAAAAGACGCTGATGGGGTCGGCCTGGCACGAGGCCTTCATAGTACGTTGCGGCTCCCTGATTCACGAGCGAGGCATGGCATCCAGGCTAACCACGCATACAGCTCAATATCTTGATCACAACCACAAGCGAGGATGTCGTGGCCAAAACCGTCAAGCAGCTTGCCCACCTCATTGCTCCAGGCTCGGCTAGGCACCTCATACCTCAGTTCCATGCGCCGGACTTCGACGCACTCGCCGACGACATCCTAAACAGATGTAGCGATCAGTTCCTGGACAAGGCCCTCGAACGGCGCCTCCAGACCATCGGTCCAAAGGCCTTGATCAATGCCCTTGCCAGAGCCGAGCGTCTTGGCTACGAGAAGGGCGACATCCTAGACGAGAGTTCCGAAAGGATCATTGGTGGTATGCCGCGGCCGCCGTTGCCCTTGCCACCCAAACAACATCAACAGCCACCACCACCTCCGCCCCCTCACCCAAACTCAGCCGTGCCGCCGGCACCGTATGTTCCCCAGCCGCAAGGCATGAACACGTTCCGTTGTACCCAATGCGGCGACATATTCGATGATATAGGCGTGTACAACCACGTGAGTCTCCGGATTGTGACTGCTTTGCTTCCAAGCGGAGAGCTAACGAGAAACAGCATGTCGCAAACCGCATGTGTAGAGCGCGACCGGTCGACAATCAGGGTGCCAAGTATGTGTGTCCATACTGCAACGCAGGCTTCAAGACCAAAGGTGGACTCAACTATGTGCGTTGATTAGACGTCTCTTTGGCAGGACAAGACTGATCTTCCTCTCTAGCATGAGCTTAACAAGGTGTGCGGTCCCTCGAAACAGGCCTCATTGCCGCCAGCACAACCATCTACCCCCGTACCAGTACCACCAGGCCCTGTGTTCAACCACTACACAGGCCCCAACCTTCCCACCCCGACTCCTGCATTTGCGCCACCACCAACAGCGGTGCATGCAGCCAGCACGCCTCCGTCTTCGTCCGACCCGTACGCCCATCTGACCCCTCAAGCCCGTGCCAGGATGAACGAAGAAATCAGACAGGCCGAGTTGACATTTGCACCACGAATCAAAGAGGCCGAAGCAATCACAAACCCTGCTGAGCGGAAAACCAGGCTTGCAAATCTGAACAATAGCTTCAGCACGAGACAAAGCGTGATCCGCAAGAGATATGGCGTCAGGCTTCGTATCCGACGGACACGAGCCGAGATCGAGGCGCAAAACGCTCGTATGGGGATTAGCAATACCACGAGCGAGACCGATGACCCGCCGTCTCACAAGAGACAGCGTGTCGACGGCGTAAACACCGCGTCCGCGTCACCTTTGCCGTCCAGTGGCCCGCCCATACCCCGAGTCGCTACTGCGGATATATCTGCGGGCTTAGGGGGCACAGCGGCCACGCCAGCGACGATGGACCCTACGCGTGGATTCACCAGCGTAAATAGAGCCCAGCCCCCGCCGCAAACAAGCAACAGCCTATCGTCGCTGCAGCAGAAAGGCTATCGTGTCTCATCACATCTGGGGCAGAGTTCACCAGAAAGAGTCGCATCAGATCTTGGTGCCACGGGGAATCCGATTTCACTGAGTGACTCCGCGGGCACGTCCGGGTCCGAATCGGAATCAGGGGACTCGGGCGATGACGAGATACCTGCCATAATGCCAACTGGCAGAGCGACGGGAAGATGATTTGCGAGAGACGGTCGAAAAGATCCCGAGCGTAGCGTTGATGTCAAACCCGGGGGAGTTTTACTGAGCACATGTACCCAACGACGGCTTGCGTCTGATTTTGCTAGCTCGCATAGACTTGCTGGCTAACATAGACCTTGTTATTAATACATAGGTGCTCCTAAATCGAGCAGGGAAAAATCTGCATAATGAACTCGACCCCTCAATGGCTCTGGCAAGCTTCTATGAAATGCCAAGGCGGAACATCCAAGATGGCCACAAGCAAGTGCACCCAGGATCGAATTTGAGCGCAAGGTCACTGACTCCGCAACGACAAAATCATGAGTCATGGGGATCTGCATGGCCGATATTGCGCGTGCTACAATGGCTCTTGTGATAACCAGTACGCAGTTCTGTTCACTCACGACCTTGCACTCCCTACTGACAACAGTCACAATACATAGCTATGGCCAGCCGAAATATCCAGGAAGACGACGCTTAGTGTGGACTCGGATGCATTGTGTTTTGGTGATCTTTTCATTCATGGCCTGTTCTAGCTTCAATCCGTAACCCCAGCGCCTCGTGGTTTTGGTATCACAACAAAAGAAATAAGAAGAAAAAAAAATAGAAAAGAGGCCTCTGATGGCATGTGATGGACCTCATTGTGCCCCTCAAGAGATAGGTAAAGGAAGCCGCTCGATGGTGATGGTGATGATGATGGTTAGAAGAACAGAAAACGAAGAAGCATAATGTTGAGCACGTTAGCCCGCCGCCCTATTGGGGGTACTCTCTGCCGCATACCAGAGTAGAAGCTTTCGCGCCGCCCTCGTGGTGACAACTCTCAACCCGTGACCCGACGCACCCAGAGCGTGGTGGGCTCGTATTCGGCGTCACGGTCCAGCCGCTTGTAGGCACGATGCAGCTTGAGACCAATCTCGTAGGACTCGCGGTCGACCTCTGCGAGCTCGAGCTTGAGCGCCTCGACCTTGCGCTTCTCGGCTTCCCGCTTCCGCACGACGGCCTCGCTCGCCAGGACATTGTCCGTGGGCATGAGCTCCGTCATCTGCTTGATCGCCGTGTTGAGGTTGATCCGTCTGTTGCCGAGGGCGGACAGCTTGGCGTTGAGCTGTGCGACGCGGTCCTTGGCGGCGTCCTCAGGTGGCGCAGGCGGGAGAGACTTGAACTCTGATGAGAGCGAGGTGACGGAGTCGTTGGCTCCACTGCTAAAGAGCCCTGCCTTCTTGAGAGGCTTGTTTGTGGCGGACTTGACCCCGGCAGATGCCGGTTCTCTCTGGTACGGCGAGCTCATGTCAATCCTGACAACGGTGTCGACGGGCGGTGATCGCGGACCCTGTCCCTCGTAGCCAGCCACAATGGGTCGCTTGCGGTCCAGGACTGATGGCCCGGCGGGTTGGGATTGTAGAGGCTGAGCGTCTGGTTCTATTCTAGCGGCAGTGGCGGGGGCAGACGGGGCGTCTGGTTGTGTGGCCCGTTGTTCTTGTTGCGGCCTGGTTGGAGCTGCTATCACGGGCGTCTGTGGCTGAGAAGGTACTGAATAGACCGAGGACGACCAGGACGGTTGTGCGTGGTGTCCTGCCCCACCTGCCGGCTTGCGTCTTATGGCCTTTTCTGTAGAAGGAACGTTGAGTGAGTCGCGCACGTCCGGGGCATATGCCTGGGGCTGCGGCGCAGAAGGTCGCAGTTGTGGTTGTTGTGTTTGTGGTGGTGCAGCTTGTTGTTCCTTGGATGGCATAGAACGGACTGGAGGCGCCTGGCGGGCCTCTGGCGGGGGGCTCGGATAGTGCGCCGACTGCGCCTGGGCACTTGCAGTGGGAGTCGACCGGCCGCTGCTTCCCATGGACTGCACGGGGGACAGCACGCGGTTGCCGCCGCGTGCAGATGCAGAGGCATACCCCAGGGGAGGAGGGCGGTTGCGTGGTGACACTGCAAGGGGCGGCGCATTGTCTGAGTCTTGCAGCGGTTCGGCCAGCACCATCCGGCCGCTCCCGCCTTGCCAGGCTGGCCGTGGAGGAGTCTGGCGTTCCGGCTCCGGTGTCGCGCTGGGCGCGCGGCGGGTGACACGGGGGCCATATGGGCTGCTGCTCTGCTGGACTGGCTGCCCCGGGCGCGGAGGCGTGGCGTTGACTTCGCGGCGTGTCAGGTCGCTGGCGTATGCCTGTGGGTTGACCTGGGATTTGCGGCCCTTGTCGGTCGATGTCGGCTCGCCCGTCCTCGGGTCCCAGCGGACATTGTGGTCGTGAGGGCGCTGCTGGGGCTGGTGCATGCGCTCTTGCGAGGCCCTCTCGCGGAGGGCCTGCCGGGCGGCGTCGCTGTTCTTGCGACGCTCACGGCGCATGCTGGGGATGTTGCTGCGAGCCTCGGCGCCGCGCTGCGGCGGCGCGCTGTAGCCGTTGGCCGTGGCTTGAGCCATGTCGTCGGGCTCGTCTATGGGAGAGACGTCCCGGGCGTTGCTGTGGAGTGGGATAGACGTGTTAGTCGGCCTGCGACAGAGCTTCTACAGCAAAAGAATGTTGCACCAGACAACAACCCGCAAAGTGAGAAAAAGAGTTGTACGGCGGCATCGTCGTCGAGTGCAGGAAGTGGCATGAAGGCGAGGGCAGGCTGAGGGGACCACTATTAAGGAGCGGCATATGAAACAAGGACGATGGAGTCGGCGCGGGACCCTGGCCTTGGTCGAAAAGGGCAGGCGTCCGTCCTCGCAAAGAAGGCACATGTGTATGCATATGTCCTGTTGCCCCCGTCACTTGAAGCGAGGCGAAGAGTCTCTTGGGCATGTGCCCTGTCGCGTGCTCGTCTTGTCTCGCTGTCCGGCGTATATAAGTCCTGACGCGCAGGACGACGGCGTGGCTGCTTACCGGTGTCTGGGGCCGACAATATCCGGAGAGCTTGGCGGGGAGACCTCGAGAGGGTTCTGGGGGTAGTAGCCGTGTTCCTGACGCAGTTGCTGGGCGGCAAAGACTGCAGCTTCTGGCGACGGTTGCGAGTAGACGGACGAGGCCGGCCGGCCGTACTGGCTCGAGATGCCCAGAGAGTCGGGCCGCTGCTGATAGGCAGCACCAGACAACTGCGCCGGAGGCGGCCCTCTTGTTGGGCGGCCCCTATGGGACTGCGGGGCCAGCATCGTGAGGATGGACCAGCTTGCGACGAGGTGCACTGGGACGAGGAGAAGGAGAAAAAGTGACGAGTGAGAGGGATGTCAGAAGGGAGCAGAAGCAAAGATCGGCGCAGTTGGAGCAAGGCCGTCCGATGTCTGGCGACAAACAAGCAGGATGCCGTTGGCTGTGGGGGGCATGACGATGATGCAGCTGGTTGCTTCTTGGTGCTTATTATGGCCATCCTTCTAACCTGGGACACGCCACGCAGAGTGCCCGGCCGGTTCCCACTGCAGGGTGTTTGCGCAGGGGTATCCCCAGCACAGGGGATCCCGTCCCTCGTCGTCGTACCCACGGGCAACCTCAGCCCGCAGCCTGCTGGGCACCAGCATCGGCCTGCGACGACAGCGTGGGGAGAGGCCATCGTCGCGCCCTGCTGGCCGCGCTTGCAGGCCGGCCATGACCACAGCTGGGCCACCGCGTCCAATGGCTCGCCAGGCTGTCTGGGTCGGGTCGAGGGGCTGTGCCCAGCAGCGCCAGCACTAACCCAGGGGCTTCAGCTCGATGGCGCAGCTCCTGGTTCAGGGAACACGTCCCTGGTCCTCTCCAGCCTGCAGGGCAAACAACAGACAGACTTATCTGCGCCAGATGGAGCGCAAGGGACCGAACCGAAAAGGGTTGGCGACGCAAAGTGATCGCTCACTAATGAGGCATGCAGCGCCATGCCATGCCGGTTGTGGCTGCAAAGTGCCCGGCCTGAGACACGCAGATCGCAGCCACTAGGGGACCGCTTGGCCTGCAGCGAATGGGACGAGTGCATCGACAAAGAAAAGCAAGCCACCAGAACTTACAATGGATTTGACATTTTGATGCCCGCGGCTGGGCGCCACGCCTTGCCCTTGGGCTTCGTCTTGGTCGTGATGCTGTATGCGTAGAGCCCGGTGCCGCCGTGCACGCCCTTGCGGTCCTGGTTGTGCCATGCTGGCGGTTCGGGCGGTCCTCTGGACCACGAGGCCACGCCAAGCTGGATCTCCTGGTCGAGGGACAACGGGGTGCTTCCCCCGACGCTGGCCGCCGCGCGCTGATGGTGCCGATGCTCTCCCATCTTTGAGGCAGGAACCTTTCCGCGGGCGATGCTGTGCCGGCCTCGCTCACGCTCTGGAGGCGGTGTCGGTGTCGGTGACGGTGCCGTTCTGGTCTCAAGTCGCTGCCTCAGCCGATGGAGCTGTTTGGTAAAGTATCGTCGGAAGGGTCGCTCAGCTGAATGCCTGTCTGCCGGCCATGTCGTCTGAAACTGACTGGTCTGCTGGAAGCCGAGGTTGATGCCAAGCGAGATGACGGGCCAGCCCATCAAGACCTACTGCGAGCATACAATTCTTCTCCGCAGGAGCATACAATTCTTCTCCGCAGGAGCATACAAGACATCGCTGTTGCAAGTAGAATAACTAGGTCTCCGCCCTCCAGCCGAGGGCTGGCCAGACTGGCGACAAGGCCATTCTTAAAACAATTGGGTGGAAACTCAGCACGGCCGCCCAGTTCATGCGCCCACCGTGAGGCGTGATAGGTACTGGTCGTTGCCCCAGCCTTGTCACGGCCTCGGGCGCGAGCCGTGTTGCAATTTTGTGGTTCGAGCTCCGGGGACGAATCACGCAGCACATCCATCCATCTTAGCAGCATCATCATCACGACCTATTAGGCGAGGGTCGCTCTGACAGCATCGGATGTCCACTGGCCCGCCTCGGTGGAGTCGAGGCCCCTGCATCCTATCCTGCCAGGCATTGGCTCCAGGCCCGCCAAGCGTGTCATTGTCGATCCAAGCCTTCGCGGATGTTCTGTACATGAAACGGCTGGGGGCGGGTCCCTTGGGTCTTAGTCGCGCGTAATGTAGGCTAGAGCCCTACCTAGGCACTCGTCGTTATTAGCTGCAGCCAGCTGAGCATAGGTTAATATCATGTTGAGCTGTCGCATGGACCTCCAGCTTGCGCTGACCTGAGGCGCCCGTCGCAGCTCAACGGCTTGTCGGCCGAGACCCTTTCGTAGAGCCAGGAGCCAGACATGATGGCCAACGGGCATTTCGCAGAAACCAGAGTTGCGATTGGCAGGCCTTGGGCAGGCCCACCATCGCGGAGCTTGTCAAGCTTCGGCGTTAATGTGGTGCACAGATTGTTGGTAGCGTATGGTCCACCATCACGCCAAGCAGCAACAGGATTGTTTTCTTCTTTCTCTCCTGAACTTGCACTGTTCTGACTTGAAATGAGCTTGTCAATAACAAGCCTGGTGATCCGGAAATTTACCGTCCGGCAACTCACTCCACCCTTTTTGGCAATAGGACGAGATTGGACCAGCACAAGCAGGCTATGCTGCCAGGTGCAAGGCCAGCAGCAGCCCAAGCGTGGTCGAGGTAATCTGTATGGATATATCCAGGAGCTCGGGGGGTGCCTGCACCTGAATAGGCCTCGAACAGCTCGGCTCTTGGTTGTGGAGACAACCCCTTCCTCGACATCTCGACTCGTGTGTGCCAAGCTCGGGGTCCGTGGATAACAATGAGAATTTTCAAACCGAGACAGCTCCCATATGTCGAAGAGCTTGTTCGGAGGAAGTGCCTTGCCTTTCGTTGACGACTCTGCGAAGGAACGATGGCGATGTGTAATAAAAGCAGTTTCTTCTAGTCAAGGTAGATCTGGAGCATTAAGGGATGATCAATCGTGAAGGGGTTTGAAAATAGCAATCCTTTGCAACAATCTGTCTGTAGATATTGATCGCAAATCACAAATTGGAATGAAGTGGCTGCAGTGACTCAAGTATGAAAGTCCTTGGAATAGCGTAAAGGATTGTTGTCGTTCTGTGGTTGTTCTCGACTGTGGCCCTCACGATGAGGTAATGCACAACTGCGTGAAATCAGTGCAGCATGAGACGAAAGTTAGATTGGCGTTTCTGTGCCCCTTCATCGCATCTCATTCTTTAGGAGCAGCATGGGTGTTTGATGCTGCATCGTCCGTGATGCGTGTCTGTGATTGATGAAAGAGGCGCACACAGAGAGAGAGAGACAGAGAGTGAAGGATAAAAGAGTGGGGCTTTTCATAAAGTGGGTCTGCAGAGCATGGCGATGGCAGAGCGGGCGGGTGCCCGGTTAATCTTCGCTTGCCAGCTGGGCATCCCACCAAGCAGCAACTTTGGGCAGCCACAGCAGATTGTTCAAAATCTTTGGAGGGGCACGCAGCCAGCCGCTAAGAAATTGCCAGGGCAGGGCGGGCAGGCCCCTGGTTCGAAGGCAGCACAGGCAGCCCCGTCCCGCCGCGCGCGAACAGTGTGAGTGGCCGAACCAGCACGCAGCAAGCAAGCAAGCAAGCAAGCAACCAGCAGCAGCAGCAGAGCCTGCACCAGGTCGAAATCCCGTACAGTGGTCGACGACGCCCACTTTCTCTTTACCTGGCACCGGCATCTCGTGAGCCTCAACCCACGACCAAGCCTCGCACCTCCGGCTCCCGTTCGTCCCTTCCGGTCCCGCAGCCCGTTTTTGCCGGAACATTGTGTGTGTGTGTGCCAACCATCAACCCCGTCTTGGCCACAATATCACATCGATCACCACCACCTCGAGAGAGAGACTCAAAAGGGAAAGAAAAGTATCGCCCGTCAAGAGTTTCGTCCAGCATGGCTGCCCCCGCCCAGCCTCAGCTCGTCTTCGTCGACGGCTCCTTCGCGGAGCTGGCGCAGGAGATGGCCGACTACCTCAACATCAGCGACGAGGTCAAGCCCCTGCTCGAGAAGGACCAGAAGGACGACGTTCTTAAGAAGATCATTGTCGCCTCCGCCGCGCTCAACAGCATGCCCGAGAAGGAGTTTACCGCCTCGTACAACCTGCTCGTCTACCTCGTCCTGCAGTCCGACAAGCCCGAGGCCCTCCTGCCCCGGGTCTGCGACAACCTGCTCAAGCCCGTCACCTCGTCTCCGACCAACGGGCCCGGCCTCGCCCTCAGCGCCCTCACAAACATCTTCAACATGCTCAAGCCCGAGAACCCCATTCGGTACAGTGTATTCACCACCATCCTGCGCTTCCTCAAGCACAACGGCATGTTCGACGTCGTCAAGCGGTACCTGCCCCACCTCGACACGTGGTTCAAGCAGTGGAACACTTCCGAGGAGGACCAGCGCAAGCTCTACGAGCAGATTGCCGACACAGCGGCCGAGAGTGGCGATCAGGAGTGAGTATTTCACCGTTCTGGAGGAGTTATCCGGGGGTGGGAATGAGAGGGAAGGAGATCTGCGTCTCAACAAGTAAAACATGAAAAAATGGCTAACGTGGGCTTCTTCGCCACACTTTTTCTCAGGGCCGCGTTTGAGTACACGATAAAGGCGCTCAACACCTTTGACGAGAACAGCGCCAAGTCCGAGGCTGCGCAGCAGCTCTCGCTCCGTGCCGTCAAGGCCTCCATCACGTCCCCCACACAATTCGACTTCCAGGGCCTGCGGGCCATCCCCGCCGTCCAGGCCCTCTCCGAGTCACATCCCGTCTACTCGGAACTGCTCGACATCTTTGCCGAGAAGGACCTCGAGGACTACACAGACTTCTGCGAGGAGCACGAGGGCTTCATAGAGAAGGAGCATCTCGACGACGAGAAGCTGACCCGCAAGATGCGCCTTCTCACCTTTGCCAGCCTCGCCGCGAGCATCTCGAGCCGGGAGATCCCCTACCAGGCCATTGCCAAGGCCCTCAACATCCCCCAGGAGCAGGTCGAGATCTGGACCATCGACGTCATCCGCGCCGGCCTCGTCGAGGGCCGGTTATCCCAACAGAAGCAGCTCTTCCTCGTCCACAAGACGACGTACCGCGTCTTTGGAGAGAAGCAGTGGCGTGAGCTTAGCGACCGCCTGGACCTGTGGAAGGGCGTCTTCACGACCGTCATTGGCACCCTGCGCCGCGAACAGGCCAACGCCGAGGCGCAGCGCAAGCGCGAGCAGGAGGACATTGAGCGCAAGCTGGCGGGTATCGGCATGGGTGGCGTCCCGACCGGCGAGCGGGGCAACCGTCGCGGCGAGCGGCCGCCGCGGAAGGAGAGGACAGACGACGACGACTAGAGGGTGAGATTTAGAGCAGCGTGGAGGTTTAGAGAGCAAACTCATGACGGTCTGACACCAACAAAAGTCGAGGTACAGGAAAAGCAAATTCTAAATGGGACAAAAAAAAAATAAAGAAAATATCCCCATTTCTACCACTTTCACGGCGCCAGCTCTATCTCGCATTTCGTGTCTGCTGCCAAACCGTCATATAGTCGAGCATTGTGAACTGGACACAAGATGCTCTTTCGAGCACTACAGCAGAGACGGGCAAATGCAACATGAAACTTTGCACTTGTTTTTTTTTCTTGAGTCGTACAGATATTGGATCTTGGTCTGTATTTCGTAATACTACTGGTTCTTGACTGCTGCGTGACGGGGAAAATGGAAATGCCCGGGTCTATAGGGCGGTGTCGTTTTAAATATTATGAGGATATCCTGGGATTGACCAAGTGGTTGCTTGCACTACGCGATTCTCGCGTTCTCGAGTTGCTCATGGCTTCGTTTGAAGTGAAAATGCTTTGCGCCAGGGAAATGTCTGCATTCCGACTCGAGTAGTTTAAAGATCCTTGCCGAGACGGGCGGTCAGGGCGTCCTGGGTCTTCTTGTAAACCTCGGTAGGCTGAGGGCGGGCGTCAATCTTGATGACGCGGTTCTGCTTCTCGTAATAGTCGACGACGGGCATACTAGTCTCGATAAAGGTGCGGAAGCGCTTGCGGATCGACTCGGCATTGTCGTCAGCGCGGCCACTGGTCTTGCCGCGCTCGAGCAGCCGCTTCTCCATCTCAGACTCGGGACAATCGAAGAAGAGCACAAACTTGGCGGGGCAGACGACCTCCTCGAATTTGATGGCCTGGTCGAACTTGCGAGGGAAACCATCAATGAGGAACTTGCCCTTCTTGCCAGCGACGTCACCCTTTCCACTGGGGTCTATGGCAGCAGTCATCGCGTTCTCCAGCAGCGCAACAGTAACCTCGAGGGGAACAATTAGCCCCTCCTTGATATAGTTCTTGATGAGTTCGCCGAACTGAGAGCCGGGACGTTCCTGTTCGGCACGCAGAAGGTCTCCCGCAGAGAGATGGGTGAAGCCGTAGTCCCTGACAAGGTTGGCGCACTGAGTGCCCTTGCCGGCGCCGGGTCCGCCAAGGACGAAGACAACGGTCACATTGTCGGGCGAGAAGGCCGGGGTAGGCTTTGAGGGCGCACCGATCTGAGGGTTCTGCTTCGCGGCATGCATGGCGTCTGTACAGGAAGGAGAGAAAATACCCCCAAGGTCAGCTCTCTGTAATAAGCTTGGCTGAGGTTGTGCGCATTGCTCAGAACTAACCTGCTTTCTTGTTTACCAGCAGTGCGTAACCACCAGATCCAGCAACAATGACGAGGACAAAAGGCCAGAACTTGACAGCGGCCTTGTTGCCTTTGGGGGCCTCGCTGCTGTAGGTGCGGCGGAAGCTTGAGTTCCCGAACTTGGGCTGGCGCTGGGCAGTGTTTCGGAGGACTCGCGAGGTGGTGGAGGAGCAGGTCGAGAAGGCTGGCGATGCAGAGGCAGTCTTTGCCGCGAATCGAGAAGCGGACGCAGAGACCTTGATGGAGGCAGGGGCGGCCTTCGCCGTCACTTGCCGCCAGAGCATGCGCTGCATGGAAGCTGCCATTGGTGCGATCGGTGACGTGTGTATGGTCGGTTCCAAGGCCAGAGGGCAGATAAAGGGGGGGGAGGTGCTGCTAGGTACCGCTGGAGCGTTTTTGCCGCCGAGAAGGGGATCGAATGATCAGAGGAAGCGAAGGGTCTAAGGAGCGTGAGAATTGAGAGCTAAATATCGTACAGTAACGGCATTCAGAAGCGATTCATGCGCCAGCAGCAGAACCGTGAAAATGGTGATCTGGAGAGACAGCTGCGGATGGAAAAAGGAGCAACCTTGGAAATGACGTTTGGGTCTCGACCCAGCTGCCCAGCTCCACTCCGTCCCAGACAGGAGCGGCTATGGGTACCTCGACAACCCTGATGGATGAGTACTTTACGTAAGCAGCGGTACAGACCATTGCTGCAGGAACAGGAGACTACTTTGCAAATGTCACATTGATTAAGTGGATGACTTTTGTGTGTGTACTAATGATTGAGTGTCATGGAGATCGTGTGTCTCTGAATTACATGGCAGATTCTAAGCTGCGCGGTATGATATAGAAAATGGTGGCAGAGGGCGAAGCCTGTGAATAATGCTAAACTTCAGCGCAAATGCTGTAACAGGGTCCCCCGATCTGTCCACTTGGCAGATATTGCTCTGCCAGGGAAGCTCGGGTGCCCGCACGCCTTCGACTGTGAAGGAAGAAAGTAAGGTCCCAAAAGGTATCTGAATCTCGGAAAGCCTGCCGCCTTTGAACGCCTTGATAAGCTGCCAGGAGCGACTAGCTCTGTTAAACAAAAGAATAAGATTTCGTCTCGTCTGTACATGTTTCATCTGCCTTCGTCTCTAAATAACGGTTTACCGAATCCCATCACCTCGCCAGACCAAAGGTTGTCTGGTTCGCCGACGGGCTCTTAAAAGCCTGATCGGCGTAGGCACCGGGAATGGGCACAGCCTCGTACGTCTGCTCTCCTGGAGCTACCGGACCGTGCTCATTGATACTTTGAGACTGTGAAGGTGCGCTTGGTGTCGTTGGTGTTCGTAGTCCGCCAAGCTTGGGTGTCGCTGACGGCGCCTTGGCGGGAGGGGCTTGCAGGACAAATGTCTTCTGGCTGTTGCTGCTCTTGGGGCTAGCAAAGGCTGACAGAGGCTCCGTTGCCGGTGCGGGTGTGAACACGGGCGACTCGGCGATGTCACCGAGAGACTTGAATGCAGTTGGTGGGAAGCGCGGCGACATTGCGTATTGCGAAAATGCCGGAGACTTGGGTCCAAAACCAGGAGTGTTGGGCGCAGACTGAGTCCGGAGCTGAGCAAGGTAGAGATCGGACCGGGCACGGTCGCGCAAGTCCATGGACTTGGTCAGCTTCCTCTTTGAGTAGTATCTCCAGAACACGATGCTGTACAGAGCGATGCTGATGACATCGATGACGACTTCGATGATGATGCAAATCAGAGCCCAGTTCTATAGGTGGCGTGTTAGCTTGTTGGATCTTCCAAAATGCGATTGTCACGAGCACACAACTCACCTGAAGACGGCACACAAGTGCGTAGTCGACCTTGTCGGCAAAGAGATCGGCACGGTGGTTGTCGACGCAGGCCCATCCCCACATGTCCTGGTTACCACTGTTCGATTTTGTGAACTGGAGGGCTCCTGCGGTGCCAGCCCACATGAGCATGGAAAAGATGAACCAGCCAACGGCGAACAGAGTATAGTAGACGCCGACCTTCTCAGCCCGGCGGTGACCGCCACGGCAGTAGCCAACAAAGATGAGGATACAAGCGAGGAGCGAGATACACGCGGCGACAAGGGTGACAATCTGCGGCCAAGTCTGGGTGTTGCTGGCCCATGCCGGAAGACCATTCTGTGCAGCAAGACCGGACGTCGCACGGAAGATGGCGAAGGATGAGCCGACCATGGCAAGAATGATGAGTGAGCAACTGAAGCCGATGCCACGCAGGGCAAACTTGGCAAGTCGAACCTTGGCTTTCATGCTCTGTGTACACAACACGGGTCAGTCACAGTTCGTTGAGGAAGGATTCGGGTGTCTTCAAGTACTCACCACGTCCTTGGCCTGCTCCTTGTCGGTGTCCTTCTCGCGTTTCTCCAGAATCTCCTCTTCACGGAAGGTCGGGCTCAAAGGGTTCTCGAACTTGCGTGCAGGAGTGCCGGGGACCCTCATGGCACTCTTGAGTGGTGAAGCTGGTGTCATGGGCATGACGACAGACTCTCTATTGCCACCGATGTAACCGAAGCCTACATCTGCAGGTTGTGGTTGTTGGGCTTGCGAGCGATCACTGAAAGGCAGCGACTTGTGCTCGACGGGAGAGTAGACGGTTGTGGCTTCGGCGAATCTGGGTGTCCTGGGCTGCTTCAGGGACGATCCGGATGAGGAACCGGAAGATGACGATCGGGAGGGAGCAAGGTTGAGCGCAGCAGGCCGCCGCCTTTCGTCTTGTGGCGCCATTTCTGGTAAAGGACGACGATGTGTGACAGGCCAATGCTCTGAGGAGAATAGTTGAGCAAGCAAGACAGCTCCCTGTTCTGGCGTGCTCGAAACTGTACGCTGGACAGAGATGGAGCTACGGCGACGGTTGACAGAGTGGAACGACGACGAGACGAGAGAGAGGAAGAGAGAGACCAGCTGACGAGGAACAGGTTCTTGAGGGCCGCTTGAGAGGGGACCTTGGTGGTTTTGAGTAGTAGGCGCCAGGTGAGGGCGCACGCACTCTATTGGGCCTTGAGAGGGCGAGCCGCCAGCAAGGATGCAAGCGGATGCAACGGGGGATGGTGGGCCGATGGGCAGCAAGTCAAGAGCTGGGTGCTTAGTAGAGGATGCTGATAGGCTGGCTGGAAGATGGCAATCCGAAAAGGGCCAGAGCTGTCGAATCCTGGTGAGGACGAGCTACGCGCCGCCGACCAAGGGCTTCCGACGGCGGCTGCTGGAGACTTGTGACTCGACTTGCAGGAGCAACGTCTTGAGCTGAAGATGGTCTGTCACAGAGACAGCGCTTGGGCGACTGATGGTACGGAGCTCGTCAGAGAAGATGCATCAGGAGACTTGGACTCGGGCTGGACAGCATCTGCCTACTATATGTCGGCACCAGGTGACCGTCGCCGGGAGGGGTCGAGTCCGCAAAGTCTGGCCGACGCTCCAGAGCTTCGCCAAGCAGCTCGGACACCGTACGACCAACCACCTTCCCCATGGATATTGTCAGATCCCAAGAGGACCACCCCGGGACTTGCATGCAGGTGCTGGTGTGCTGCTGCTACCCTGCGCTGTGAGGCGGCCGGTTGCAGTCAGCAGCGACTGAGCTACACCACATCGTCCACTCGCTGGCGGCGCGGTGGCCTTTGGGGACACGGCCGCAGAAAACATCCATTTCCACACACGAATTCCGAGGCAGCGCGTGCTGCTGGGGAGGATAGAAAGTGGCGCCGACTGGGCGTTGTGGAGGGTCCGGGCGGCGTGCTGGCGGGAGGTTGATCGCTGGTTGGATGTGGGATGTGGGAATCGTGGGCGGCAAGCAGGGTCGGCCGTGCATGCTGCTGCCAGGCTAGAGAGAACGCTAGGGACGCTCTGTGTCGTGATTGGCAGGGCGTGGCGGCAGACAGGGGCACTCCCCTGCTTCCCGCAGAAGCGTGATTGGCGGGACAGGGCATAGCTCGCGCCCGCCCCCTCAGGCGGCAGCCAATGAGAGCCGGTGCCCACGTGATTGCCGGTTTCTTGCTCTGCATGTTCCTGTGCCGAGAGCGCTTACAGGGTTTCATGGATTGGCCAGCCTTCTTCACCCAAAGTGCCGTCCGGCCACCAAGATCACAACACGCAGGCCAAACGATCACTTCTGTGCCCGCGGGTGCTCCGGCTCGATTGCGACGCTGCCAGCAGCCAAGTGGTGGCAACAAGGACAGAACCAGCAGCAATGCCGTCAAGGCACGTGAGGTTACACCGGCCCCCAAAATAGATCCAAGTCACCTTGGGTGTTTGTTTCCATTCACACAGGGCCGGGCCAAAGTCTCCCACACGCTGGCGGATATGCACGCGAGTCCCGGTAGGTCATCATAAGACGGCACTTAAGGCCACGAGCACCCACGTGTCTTTCATCCGATCGGGCTCTCTAGTGCAATCTGCACACCATCTTCACGGTTTCCGGCCCGAATGCTGGATTTCCAGAACATCAAGGCTGCGGCATACGCTCACCCACCGTGCTGTACCACCCCTTCACAGGATACTGCTCAGGGTGCCATGTCCCGAGGTCATCGTGGAGAGAGTGCAGAGCGACACCTTCATGACGTCCAGTACTTATTTTTAGGCACCCACCTGAAAATGTGATGTTCACCGTATCTATCGCGACCTTGATCTCGTCTTACATGCATGAGACAATGATACTCTGACACGGGTTGCTTCTCGAACGAACATGACCGGCACTTCGGCGACAAAGCCACAGCCGGACGGCTAGTACTCTCCGTCATGTCACACGTTGAGAAGGCTTCTGGGATACCGCTCAGGTGGTTTGCTGGCTTATCGCACCCAGATATTGAATCAGATTATGATACGCTGTAAAGACTACACTACTAAGAAGTGATGGCGTGTGCAGCACAGCCAGCCGTTGAGCACTTGTCCAGATTGCTCTAGGTGAACACGTGCGAATTGAGTGATAAGAAACTGCTGAAACTCTACAGGACCTTGAGGCGTTGCAAGTGCGTGCTTCTTCTTGTTGCTCCTTTTCCGTTCGGACGGGATTACTGTCGGAAACAGGAATTACAGCTCAAGTCGCCGTGTACGTCAACGTCCGCCATCAACAGCTTGCGGCGACGAGTCGTATTGCCATGCAGAGCATTTTTGCCCCGGACGAGATCCTTCACACATATGGAAATATTTTTAATTTCTTTTCCACAAGTCTTTCGAGTGCGTGCCAACTTCGCAATCATGTTTGCTCGAGCTAAAGGGCCGGAGTCTCGGTTTCAAATGCTGGAGGGTTAAATACAAAGGCAAGATGTCGTGCTCATGTGGACCTACTGTCTACACGACAAGTCATACGTCTGACTCTGAAGGTGTGTTTCCATTCAAGTTGGAGCTTATCGAGTCTAAATATGGTGAGGCCACAGCTCTTTCGAATGTTTTATGCGTGGGTTTATGCTGGCCACGAATTACAGAAGAGGCCAAGTAGATTTTCCCAGGAGCAATGGCAACTTTTTCCTTAAGCATGGCGGTCGTGTCTCTTGTAATCCACTCCGGTTTCAATCTGATCTCGTTATCTCTTCATAGTTAGTTCCTCGACTCGAACTTGAAACTCTGGGTGATGAGTCAGCATCCATGGAGGTGCGCCACAGAATTGAATCATAGTGGCCCACTAAGTCGATGCGCACAGAACTGTCAGCCGGCATGGGTATATCAGCTCGAACCTGTGTAGGCAAGATGCGAACAGTTTTTGACCATATGAACTCGCTGATAGAGTCGAATCAAGGACAACAACAAGCAAAAGGATTTTTGTTGTCTAGATAATATCGTGATACGTGTTGGTCTAGTGTTGCCAGTCGACGTGTTCTGGCTGACACTCTTGGGAGTCCGCTTTGGACAAGTCGTTGCTCTTGGAACGCAGCCCCGTAACCGTAGAGGCGTGCCCCTCCAAAGTGCTTACCTAATCGACCGCGGAGTCATTGGGCTGCCTGCCCCTCCACAGAATTGGATTTTTTGCGCCGACCGCAGGCTTTCGAACGACGACGACGTCAAAACATCATACCCGACCGCGACAGCCACCCGCGACAATAAGCCCAGGCACCGATATATCGTGAACCTCCGATCGAAATTTCTGAACACCCGAAAAGAAAGGAAATCGCGCCCACCATGGACAAGTACGGCAACGACATCGAGTCGGAGCACTCCGACTCGGGCAACGAGTCTCCCGATGAGGAGGAGCTCGTGGGTGAGGAGATTACGACAGAGAAGCCTCTGAAGTCCGCGATGAAGAAGTCTGCCGCGCCGGCGCAGGCTCCCGTGCAAAGACCGACCCTGCCCCCGCAGACCGATGCGAAGGACCTCGACCTGAGCACGCTCACCCCCCTTACCCCAGAGATTATCGCCCGCCAGGCGACCATCAACATTGGCACAATCGGCCACGTCGCCCACGGCAAGTCGACTGTCGTCAAGGCCATCTCCGGCGTCCAGACCGTCCGCTTCAAGAACGAGCTGATTCGCAACATTACCATCAAGCTTGGTTACGCAAACGCCAAGATCTACAAGTGCGACAACGCCGAGTGCCCGCGCCCGACATGCTACCGCAGCTACAAGAGTGAGAAGGAGGTCGACCCTCCTTGTGAGAGAGAAGGATGCAGTGGCACATACAGACTGCTGCGCCACGTCTCGTGAGTCTTCTGAATATCGCTCTGAGCACAAGGTTACGAACTCTAGCTGACAGTGTCGGCATCATCTAGCTTTGTCGATTGCCCTGGTCACGATATTCTCATGAGCACCATGTTGTCAGGTGCCGCCGTCATGGACGCCGCCCTGCTCCTGATTGCTGGCAACGAAACCGTTCCTCAGCCCCAGACTTCAGAACACTTGGCTGCTATTGAGATCATGAAGCTCGACAAGATCATCATCCTGCAGAACAAGGTCGATCTGATGCGCGAGGAGGCGGCCCAGCAACACTACCAGTCCATTCTCAAGTTCGTTAGGGGCACACCTGCCGCCAAGTCGCCCATCATCCCCATCTCTGCCCAGCTGAAGTTCAACATTGATGCTATCAACGAGGCCATTGTCAACACCATCCCTGTCCCTCCCAGGGACTTCACCCAAGAGCCCCACATGATGGTTATCCGTTCTTTCGACGTCAACAAGCCCGGTGCGGAGATTGACGAGCTCAAGGGTGGTGTTGCTGGTGGTTCGATTCTGCACGGTGTCCTCAAGCTCGGTGACGAGATTGAGATCAGGCCAGGTATCGTCACCCGTGACGAGAAGGGTGCTCTCAAGTGCAAGCCCATCTGCAGCAGAATCGTGTCGCTCAACTCCGAGTTCAATGACCTCAAGTACGCCGTGCCTGGTGGTCTGATCGGTGTCGGTACCCGGATCGACCCTACTCTCTGCCGTGCCGATCGCCTCGTCGGTTTCGTGCTTGGTCTCAAGGGACGCCTTCCCGCCATCTACAGCGAGATCGAAGTCAACTTCTACCTGCTCAAGCGCCTTCTCGGTGTCAGGACCGCGGATGGCAAGCAGGCCAAGGTCGCCAAGCTGGCCAAGAACGAAGTCCTCATGGTCAACATTGGCTCCACATCAACAGGTGCCAAGGTCGCGGCCATCAAGCAGGATGCCGCCAAGCTGGTCCTCACCTCGCCGGCTTGCACGAACCTGGGCGAGAAGATTGCTCTTTCCAGACGTATTGAGAAGCACTGGCGTCTGATTGGATGGGCCACCATCACAGCGTAAGTCCTGCCTTATCCCATGATCATGCCCCCCCAAACATCTCGATTTGACCTGCTCGTGCTAACTTGTCTTTAAAGTGGTGTCACTCTCGAGCCTTCCGAGTCCTAAGCGCTAGGTCCTTGGTATCATGCAAGAGAGGGAGTTTTCTTTTCTGCCAATGTTGCTTGCGCCTTTGTCTGATCACGGGCGGTCGAGAGCTCTCAGCCCGCCTCTACCCCACCCCACCAGTCACAAGGCGTGGACGGTAGTCTGTCGTTGCCAACCTTTCGACACGCGAAAATATGCAATTCCTGTGCCCTTTCAACTACACTCGCAGTGATTTTCCGTGTAGATAGAACATCAATCTTTTACAGCCAAAAGGCGAAGAAACAAACGCTGAGCTGTATACCGGATTGAAGAATCTCGGGCAGGAAGGTGGATGTGCAGGCAGTCGGGCAAGGACTGCGACAGGGGGGAAGAAGAAAAAGAAAAAAGAGGAAATGAAGTAAAAGATATAAAACATTCTCAAAAGCAATTCCTGATGCCTTGTGTCGCCATGCATGACGTGTGTTTCGAACCTTGAGAGGCTATGCAACCTGGACGAGTTCTAAAGCATGACTCCACAAAATTTACCTGTTCATCGACACCACATGGCGTAATCCCCCAGGTGATGTGGCCGTGAGAAACTCGGTGACAAAAATGGTGGAGTCAGTTATTCAAGCATATCACCTCACTCGATGAAGGCTCAACCTTGTCGGAAACGACAAAGACTGCAGGTTGGAATGGTTTTTTTTTTCTGTTATTCTTGTCCAGGCGGATCGGCATTAGAGTCTAATAGGCAACGTCCTTGCGAACAGGACCAGAAAGGAATTCTTCGGATTTAATCCCGCGGGAATCGAAGAAGTTTACCCCAATTGGCGTTGCAATTTGGTTGCCAGCAACGAAATAACATGCTGAACTGAGACCGAGACTTCTTGTAATCGAATACTCCACACACCAAACCAGATTCCTGGGCACTAACCAGTGCCCTCTTTTGTATATCGTCTTTGGGAGGTTTTGCCGATCTTACTCGGCGGCCTTGGGCTCCTCGGCAGCAGCAGCGGTCTCGGCGGGCTTCTCGGCTTCGGCAGCAGGCGCGGCAGACTCGGCAGCGGGCTCGGCCTCGGACGAGGTCCAGAGGGTCTTTGTGGCGAAGTTAACGAATTGATCCTCTTCAAACAAATTTGTGGATGCCAACTTACGAGGTTGTCGCGCAGGAGTTGCATGATGAGAGTGGAGTCCTTGTAGCTCTCCTCGCTGAGAGTGTCGAGCTCTGCAAGCACACGAGGAGTTAGTGGCAATCCAAATGAACACACGTGGCCGAGGTGCACTTACCAGCAATGGCATCGTCGAAAGCCTGCTTGGCGAGGTGGCAAGCCTGATCGGGGGCGTTCAGGATCTCATAGTAGAAGACCGAGAAGTTGAGAGCAAGACCCAGGCGGATGGGGTGGGTAGGAGGCAGCTCGGTCTGAGCGACCTCTGTGGCGGCCTTGTATGCCTCGAGGGACTTGTCGGCGGAGTCTTTGCGGCGGTCGCCAATGGCGAACTCGGCGAGGTAGCGGTGGTAATCACCCTTCCTGCGTGGGAATCAGTATCGCAGAACAAGTGCGCTCTTGTGAGCCCCGACAAACGCAGAAAGACATACATCTTGTGGTAGAAGACCTTGGACTCGCCAGACTTGGCAGAAGGGATGAGGTGAGCATCAAGGACATCGAGGATGTCATCGCAGATCTTGGCAAGCTCGGCCTCGATCTTCTGGCGGTACTCCTTGATGAGGCCAACCTGGGAAGAGTTGCCCTTGGACTCCTCCTTCTGCTCGATGGAGGTGACGATTCTCCATGAGGCACGGCGGGCGCCAATGACGTTCTTGTAGGCGACGGAGAGCAGGTTGCGCTCCTCGATGGTGAGGTCGCGGTCCTCGGAGGCGACAATCTTCATGTTCTCAACCATTTCTAATGCAGGGCTCGGGGTCAGTCCAGGGTTATGCTTTGGCAGCAAGCATTGCCATGACCCATGAACGAGATGTGAACGATGGAAAACATACCCTCGTAACGCTCAGCCTGCTCAGCGAGCTTGGCGAGGTAGACAGCGTCTTCGTGACCCATTTTTGATGATGGATGATTTGGTAATGAGCTAGGTTTCGGGTATCGAGATCTGAGGGTACACGAAGGCGAATCAGTAAACAAGCAGACATGTGAGGCGGGCCAGTCAAAGGCGCATATTCATGAGCGACGATGGAGGCGTGGTGTAGAAAGGGGGCGGTCGTTGGCAGGCGGAGCTGGATAGTGGGTATCTTGTGCCGAGCACAGTGGATGGCCAACGATGAACGCGGCCAGCATGCCCAGCGAGCCAGGCGGTGACCAGCAAGTCTCATCGCGATGATGGACGAGCGAGACAACGCGGGAGGGACAAATTGACCGGTGTCGCGCGTTGCCTGGGTTGAGGCCGCCTGGCGCAGTCTAAAACAACCACGGACAAGCGGCGGCGACGAGAAGGAATGGGAGGCAGTCGCGAAGGTGGCGAGGGGATTGGGTGCGCGTACCAGAGATCTTGTGGGAGAGGACGCGAATGTGCGACGTGAGGGCTGTTTGTGGTGGAAATGGTGAGAGATGGTTGGGATGCAGGCAATGATCGATCAGGAGAGTAGAGGTCGAGCGGGCTTGGGAGACTTGGTGGGGTGCAAATGAAGGGCGGCCCTCGCATGAGGGGACGAGCGGCACCCGTGGGCTGGGGCGGGCAAGTGGACAGCAGCAGGCGGGCAGCGGCCGATACACTCCTGGACCTGATGACGCACCTGGGCAGGGCCGGCTGGAGGTCAGCCAGGCAGGCAGACTAGCCAGGCTCCGCCCAGCAGCGCACCTGCGCATCCATCCCAGGGAGACGTCGCCCAAGGCAAGGCATGGCAGGGCAGGGCAGGGCAGGTGACAGGATTGGCCGATCGACCACTCAGTGCTGGTGTGCAGGGCATGGCGGGGATCATTGTTATGCAGCCGTGCCCTCAAGATACCAGACACGCCTGCTGCACGCCCCCCCCCCCCACGAGGAGAACAGCGTTGACAGCATCGGGGGTTGCAGCCGGCAAGGACTTGCACGTGAACACACCTTTGCTTCCTTGGATATGTATGCCGGGTGATTGTGAGAACAGGCGCGTGGTCGTTGTTGTGTCTGGTGGGTGGTTGTTGATGGTGATGTGTACCTTAAGGTATGTAGAGCAGGCAGACGCCCCAAAGGTGGCAGCCATGGCAGACTCAGGTGGGGTTGAGGCTCAGCCGCGTCAAAGTCCTGCTGCTGTCGTGTCGGGTCCAGCTTTGGCCCGCCATTGTCTGCCTCTCATTCCACAGATTGGCCAAGGCATTGTTTACATACTCAAACAGTCGATTCCACCACTGACGCATTGGTGCACCCCTTCCTTCCATTGTTGCCGTTGGCAACATTGCCCAGGCTGCCCAGAGGAGCCGAGGAGCTTACATGCAGGCTGTGGAGACTGGTCGAGGAGACTCTCCTGGCTGCACCAGGCAAGGTATCAACATGTTTCGAGCTCAGGTTTCATGTTGCTGACCTGGATCCATGGTCCGCCTCGCCTTGCCGGCCTGGTCTGCCTCGCCTGCGAAGCACGCAATCTGCTGCCCATGCCACCCCAGTATGCGCAGTGTGACTAGCTTTAGCTGGCTTCAACCTCTTCACTGTCCCCAGGTGACCAGATCTAGTTGGGCCCAGTACGGTAGAGGCACAACCCGTGGTATCTACCATAACAACTAGCGCCTTTTAAAAAGACCTTCAAACTGCTCTCGGCTCATCTTCTTCCTCCTCATCGCGAGCGCCGTAATGCCGCTGCCATGCCGAAGGGCCTGTGTCAAGTGCAAGAATCCACAGAACCACTGCAAGTAACCCCGAGTTGGCTCTGTGATTGCGAGGCCCTCACCGCTCTGTTTAGGTGTCTCTGGACGCACCCAAAGTGCTCTCTGACCCGCCGCTCCAGCATGCTTGCACGCTTCACTCGTCTCGATCGTCATCCAAGGATGAGAGAGGGCTGAGAGCCGACGCTGACATAACCAGCCACAATTCCGGCAGTGGGTGGGGCACCGCAACCATGATTTGCGGGACTGAGGGGCCCTTGGGCGGCGAGCGGCCCGGGTAGCTCCGCCAGCTTCCCAGTGACGCAGACTCGGCCCACTTTCAAGCTTCCTCCACCTGCATCTGGTGCTGCCTCAGCTCACAACCAGACTAACACAACACCACCTCCAACACATCACATCACCTCACCTCACTCGACTCCAGTCCCGCATAGCTCTCGTAAGTCTAACAGCCCCCGAGGCATTGATTCCCTGGATCCCCTGCCAGGCCTGCCCATATATCCCGAGCTCCCTCCCGTACTTTCACAACCTGGTCCATCAGCCCACTAACGTCATCCTGCAACGTCACGTTCACCGGCCGTCCAGATCCCATTATCCCCTCACAATGCTTCGCCAGACCATCACCAAGAGCGGCCTTGCCGGCTCTGCCCCTCGCCGCGCCTTCTCGACCACTATCCGCGCCATGGCCAGTGGCGACACCGGTGCTCCGTCCAAGTACGGTGCCGCCAGCAGGTACGTGCCGGTGCCAACTAGCCTTGCCCAGTTCCCAAATCCGCTGTTCCCGGTTTCCCCACGGCGGAATTGAGTTGAGCGGTTTAGCCGACCCCAAGCTGATCTCCCCCCCTCCCATAAAACAGCGACGCCTTCCAGAAGCGCGAAAAGGCCAACGAGGACTACGCCATCCGCCAGCGCGAGAAGGAGAAGCTCCTGGAGCTCAAAAAGAAGCTCGCCGAGCAGCAGGCCCACCTCAAGAAGCTGTCCGACCACATGTCAGTTCCCTCCGCCCCCCTCCTCCCCCTGATCAGTCCAGCCGCACCTTTCCAACCTGTCGTCCTTAACCGCCCCGGTCTCGTACCTCGCTGCTGTCAGCCTTAGGCGGCGAGACCGAGACAAGTGGTGAATGACGATCCTGCCTCGGCGTCTTTTCGTCAACGGCTTTGCTAACCAGGGGCACACTTTCACCAGTGACGAGATCACCAAGGAGCAGGGCGGCGAGCACAACTAGATGCCATGGCATGGCAAAAGGCGTGCAAAAAAAACGGAAAAACACAAAGTTGTGGCAGACGGCGCCCACGGCCGCGAAGAAAAGCCTGGTTACAGCGACGTGGTAGATGTTGCTTATCGGAGCTACCCTCTCTCCACTCACAATCTCATCCACGAAAATCAACCTCACGATGCCATGTACTTCTAGGAAATAACCACATATAGCAACTACTGGTCGGATCAGAAGCAGCAAAGCAAACTAGTGAATATGCAGCATGTGTGGAACATGTCAATTTCAAACAAGGTCAATAGCATGGATTGAGGGCAAATTATCACGGCGGAAGACTTCCACTCTATGCGACGTGCTGGCCATCGGTGGCTGCCTGCTTGAGTAGAAGCAAACGTGATATCACGAGCACCGAAGCCGTGGGTCAAAATTTCAACGTGTACAAAACGAAAGGCCACGGCCGGGTTTTGCCCGAGCCTTCCGTGGATCTCAATTGCTCAATTGTCTACAAGTTGTCTCCAGAATAATGCCCTTGTCCCCTTGAATCCGCAAAACCCACATTACGGCCTTTTCAGGCCTCTTCTGCTCCCGAGATCCCCGCGCACCTCCCTCCACAGGTACGCAGTACACTATCTGCGAGATGTCCGGAGCATTGCACTGGGGAGCGGAGGCCTATGCTTCACCAGGTCCTTGTCTACCACATCTAGCCGCGACGGCCCATGTACGAGCGGTAGAAGCTGTCGGCAACATCAGACTCGGGTCCACCGTACTGGCTACCCATCTGACTGCTGGCCTTCTGTGCGGCTGTCACCTTGGCCTGCAGAGCAGCGGCGTTGGTGTCAATCCACTGCAACTGCGTCAGGTGGCCGTTGAGGACACGAACAATCTGGCTCAGCTGTTGTGAAGGAGGTGCGTTAGCATGTGAGCAGACCCTGTAGATGATAAATTGCGCAGAGTGGTACATTACTTACCGGGTCGTCAGGTTTGTTGCCCTTGTTCAGGGTACCGGAAATGTCGTTGATCTCCTTGATCATCTTGCTCAGGTCGCGACCCATCTCGTCTAACCTCTCGGTCACCTTCTCAGCAGTCTTGTACGTCTGCTCCCGCTCCTGATCGGGTCCAGCCAATTGCTCGCCGGGGCCGATCTGCTTGGAGATGAGTGAATCCACCTCACTCTCGTACTTATCGAGCCAGGACTCGAGCTCTTCCTGCTGACTCTCGACGGTGACCAGGTGACGCTCGACTTCCCTGCTCGCTTTCTCCGCCTCAAAAGTGTTGAGATACAGCTTCTGGATCTTTTCGCCATTCTCGACCAGTAGACGATCCCACGCGGCCACTTGCTCAGCCTGAGCCTTGAACTCCTTCTGGTATTTGGACAGGTCGCTCGCCCACCGTGTGATGATTTCATCCATGGTCTTGTTCTTGAGGCGCGCCAAGGACGATGTTGGACCGGCAGTAGAAGCAGCCAGATTGGCTGTGGTACTGGTTGCAGGTTGTGTGGTGGACGTAGTAGTGGCGGCCGCTGGCTTCGCCGCGCCACCAAAGAGACCTCCAGATGCAGGCGCTGTGGATGTCGTCGCGGAGGTGGTAGCTGGTGTGGCGCTTGTTGTCGCCGCAGTTGTTGTAGCAGGTGTGGTGCTTGAAGAAGTGGCTGCACCGCCGCCGAAGAGGCCACCAGTGGTCTTCGCCGGCGCCGCAGCACTGCTAGCTGCAGACGCATCGCCTGCTGGCTTTGCACCAAATAGCGATCCCGCAGTCGCTGGGGCTGCGGTCGTCGTAGGTGTTGTGCTTGCGGCCTTGGCTCCAAACAGAGAACTTGCTGTGGCTGGGGCTGCGGTTGTTGCAGGTGCTGTGGAGGCAGGCGTCGATGAATTTCCGAATAGAGAGGTAGTAGCGCCGGTGCTAGCAGCTGGTGCTGTGCTTGTGGTAGCGGCGCCGAACAAAGACGGCTTGGCCGTTGCCGTGTCGCCAGGCTTGGAGGCCGGCTGTCCAAACAAGGAAGACGCCGGTGCAGGAGTTGTCGATGCCGTTGTGGCGGGCGCAGGGGTTGTAGTACCAGCAGCCGGCTTTGCGCCAAAGAGACTGGGTGTCGAGCTTGCTGCTCCCTCAGCAGGCTTCGGGGCTCCGAACAGACCTCCGGCAGGTTTCGCTGCCTGTGCTGAATTGTTGCCGAATAGTGAAGTCGCAGCTGGCGTGGCCGAAGTGGTGGACGGAGCAGCGGATGTGGCAGCCTGTGAGGTTCCGCCGAGCCCAGAGAACAAGCTAGGCTTGTCGCCTGTAGCAGCTGGCGCAGCGCCGAAGAGACTCGTCGCTGGTTTGGCTGCCGCCGTCGGAGGCGCTCCGGCTGGGGTAGTAGAAGCCCCTAGGCTGAACATGGGCTTCGCAGGTGTGGCCAGACTGCCAGAGGTCGCTCCAGTGGTGCCAGCATTGCCGAAGAGTCCAGCACCGGAAGTGCCGCCGCCGCCGCCGCCGAAGAGACCCCCTGATTGTGTAGCCGGGGCAGTACCGGCGGGAGTTGTGGGCTTGGAGCTCTGATTGCCGAACAAGCCGCCAGAAGAAAGGCCGGTGCCTGCTGCGGGTGTTGTACTGCTTGGAGCAGCTGATGATGTACCTGTTGTGTTTCCAAAGAGACCACCAGACTGCGCAGGCTTAGCAGCGCCACCTCCAAACAAGCCACCGCCGGCAGCTGGTGTCTGTGAACCACCGCCAAAAAGGCCGCCGGAGGAGGTAGCAGGAGCTGGAGAAGCACCGGTCGCAGCCCCAAAGAGAGGTTTCTGCTCTGCAGGCTTTGCGCCAAACAAGCCACCTGCGCCCGCGCTTGGAGTTGTCCCGGTAGAGGCATTGCCGCCGGCAGCTGGAGTGCCGAAAGAGAAGCCGCCTGATGTTGCTGGTTTACTGCCAAAGAGACTCGGTGTCGATGCTGCGGGTGTCGTTGAGCCACCACCAAAGAGTCCGCCGCTCGCAGGTGCGCTGCTTGTGGTGCTATTGTTGGCCTGGCCAGCCGAGCTGGAGCCGAAGCTAAACGACATGGCGAGGACACCGAGTGGTGAGTGCTGTACGATGTGTTGACCGAGTGCTGTCGGGAAAACGTCAAGACCTCGCAGGGTCAATCAGTTCATGCTCGAGACCTGGGGGGCTGGCAATGTAGCAGTGCCGCGCCAAGCTCAATGGCGTGCCTCTCCGAAACTGGATGCGTCGATGTGGTCGGTCAGTCGGAACGAGGATTCGTCTCGATGAAGGCGGTCGTGGCTATTGAAGGGCGTGTTGTTGCGGTTTGCTGGTGTCGTCGCTGGCAAAGTCGTTGGCGAGACGCTCTGGACTTTTTAGCGTGCGCATTGCGCGCGTCTCTGCACTTTTGGCGCCTCGACGTGGAGAAGCTCAGGCCTGCTGCAAGCTCGGAGCTGTTGCCCAGCTGCAGGCAAAAACATGCCAGGAGGTCTCGGCCAATAGGGAAGCTTCTCGCAGTGGAGCGGGTCTGGTGTCTGGCCCAAGAAGTGGAAGCTGCAAGTCTCAGTTCCAGAAGCGCTTGTGTGGCTGAAGACAGTGAGTGTGGCTGGACACGTCCCTGGGTCGGACTGCTCAGCGGAGAGGCGAGGAGGTATGGGGTCTGGTCTGTAGACCCCGCTGGGTACAATGATCTCCACGAACCAGTGCGCCAAGAATACACACCCACTTGACCACTCCAGGGCTGGTTCCAGGGGAACTCGAGACCACGATCACTTTCATCCCCTTCGCCGATCTTGCAGCAGAAACAGCAGCACCATCCAAACCCCCAAGCTCTACAGCAGTACTATCTTGCAAGCTGCCAAACTTCCCTCCAGCTCTGGAATATTCCGCATCGTCCATCGTAAATTCTCGACATCTTGGGATACTTCGAGTCTGACGTAATTTCGGAACAAGACGCCCATTGCTTCGACCCAACAATAAGTCGCCAGAATGGCGGACGACAGGCGGAGATCTGTGAGCCTCGAGGCGCCCGAAAGAAAAGGCACTGAAGACCCAGGTGCTCGTGCTCTTGGTAAGTTGTATATAACCCACGCTGCTGTGCGGATCCGCGGTGTACTGATATCATACTGTAGAGGACAGCTCCGACTCCGAGGACCACTTCTCAGACGCCCAATCCGCCCAAGAAAGCAATAGAGCAACCTCACCAATCCCAAGGACTCGTGTCGAGAGGGTAGACGATGAACCATCGTACGGTGAAGTGCCAGGAACTGAAGCGTACGAGAAGCGCACAGAGGACGCTGAACCAGACGAGATTGCGGTCGTTCCCGATACAAAGCTCGAGGCAGAAAACTCTCCAAGGTCACCGGCCACTCCAGGGGACCGACCGATTCCGAAGACGGTCGTGGACGAGTCCGAGGACGCCCCAAACTCAAAGACACACCACTTCCATGATGACCTCCACCAGGCGGATGCGGCACCAGATCTTGTGCGGAAACCAGACGGCACTGCGGCAGTCAACCCCGTGCCATCCTCCCTAGAGACCGAAGGAACAACAAGTGGTACGACCAAAGACTCCTAAGCTGCCCTACCGCGATTGACCATTCTCCGCGTAGGTGAAACGACCCCTCCTGAGGTGTCGGGAGAACCCTCCCGGCCAAAAAGTCCTGGCGGTGTGCACAATCTCACGAACTTTGATGACGAAGATGATGATGACGATGGTGACGAAGACGAAGATGAAGAAGACGTGGAGGCAGACGATGTCGACGACTTTGGGGATGACTTCGATGATTTCGAAGAGGGTGATGGAGATCAAGATGGAGATGATTTTGGGGATTTCGACGACAATTTCCAGCAGGCGGACACCAATACTGCAGACGTCTCAATACCGGCTCAGCCTGCTGTGTCGGCACCTTCTTTTGTAAGTTCTCCAGGCTCGAAACACCGCGTTCTTGGCTGATTTCTAATTTGGCGGTTTTCATGTAGCCTATTCTCGATCTCGACGGACTTGATTCTGAGGAGATAATCAGTGCTACGGAACCGTATCTGGATGCGTTGTATCCGCCAGACCTATCAGACCTTCCGCAACTCGCATCCCCGCCAAAGGAAAACCCAATATTCTTCAATTCGCGGAGTGCTTCCTTATGGTCACAACTGGCTGCGCCACCGCCACTTCAGCCTCCTGACTGGATCAGATCAAACATACGAAGGCTGTTCCTGGTTTCGCTTGGAGTTCCTGTCGACCTGGACGAGATTCTTCCTGCCTCAAAGCAGAAGAAGCTGGTTCTCCCATCGTTACACAAAGTTTCCTCAAATGGCTCGTTACGAACTTCAACAGACAGCAGGTCCTTGTCCCGAGTCCGCAAGACCGATGCGAACGACTCCAGCGTCTCTGTGGATTCCAAGGGCAAAGAGAAGCTCAAGACAAGCTCCAAGAAGAAAAAGGGAGTGCCAGAAAGTCCAGAACTGGACCTCGTATCTGCCAAGCAATTATGCTCGACGACAGAGGAGGCTTTGACCGGCATGACGGACGATGAATTACAGAAGCATATGAAGGGACTCAAAGACTTGGAAACGCTTGCCAACGAAGTTCTCGAGTACTGGAAAAAGAAGACAGACGAAAAGCTCGGGGACCGGGAGGCTTTTGAAGGGGTGATAGAAAATCTTGTGGCACATGCTCGAAAGACAAGGAAATAGGCATGATCTCAATTAGATGATACTCAGCTCTTGGTTTCTTAGACCACTTTCTTCAGACCTATCATGGCACCAGGATGTGATTCCCTGCCTGTCCATCCGGACTTGACTCTCTTCAAACGAGTACACCAGATGGATGCCAAGCTGATACTATGAACATGAACAGCGACTGACTGCTAACATAGATTCAACGTACTTCTTGCGCCAGATGTTCTTTAGCCCCGAAGACAAAGCCTTTCTCCGAGTTTTCCTCCTTGGAACGTACAGCAAGCGCCCTCACCTTCTTCCCGACGAAGCAGATGCGGACGCAGAACCACCCAAAGAGAGCCCCAGGCTCACCTTGAAGGTCCACCCTCCCTTTTTCTCGCCAGTAGATCCACCCCTCGAGACACTCTGACTACTATCTCGTCTGGCAGCTTGCTGTTGCTGCTGCTGCTGGTGTGATGAAACAGACGCTGCTCGGGCCTGGTTTCCTTGCTTATTGTTACTGCTGTTATTGCTCACACCGTCCTCATCATCAACGACGGCGGCCGTAAAGAGCACCTTCAACCACAGACTACAGTCCAGACACTCGACCATGAGCACGCCCTCGTCCTCATTCTCCTCGAGGTTGTGCTCCTTGAAGCGGTACCCGCGGGGGTTCCCGCACCGGCACGCGCGGAAGTACAGGCCCTTGCGCTCGTCAAAGTCCACGTCGTCCAGGTCCACGACCTCCAGCCCTGTCTGGAACGAGCGGGTGGCGGAAAAGGTTGCGCTGTGCGTGAACTGCTGCTGCCTTGACGTCGTGGACGACGACGAGTTCGAGACGAGCAGAGACCGGTTGTACTCGGCCCGCTTCTTGGTGTCTGATAGTGTGGTGTATGCTTCCTGGATCTGATCTACTGTATATGTCACCTTTGGAGGCGATGAACCCTTTTTGGTCGTTTTGCTGCTGCTGCTGCTGCTGCTGGCGGTAGTCTCTCCATCTTCGCCATTTGGTTGTCTTGTACTGGTCTTGTCTGGGTGGTGCTGGAGCAGGGCGCGGTGATATGCTTTCTTGACCACCTTGGACTGTGCCGTTGATGTCTGACCCTCCAAGTGCTTTGGCGTCAGGGATAAAATCTCATAAAGCGTGGGCTGCTTTGCGTTTGGTGGAGCCATTTTGAGAGGCGGGAGTCCCGTGGATTGTGTCTCCTCCGGTCTTGCAAGCACTGATCTGAGGAATTTTGACGATAGTGTTGTTGCCGTTGATTTTGAGTGTGACTGTGAGCATCTATGAGATCACAGGCCTGGAACTGACAGGGGCCTGACCGATGTGGTCGTGGTTGGCCATTGGGAAAACCGGTTTTGCGGGCTCAATGGTTTCAACGGGGGACCGGGCTGACTCGCTTAGTCACGTGAGCACCATGTTGCTGCAACGCAATGGGGGCGAACGACTCTTTGTAGTTCCCCTGCGGCAAGGCACCAGCGAAGCTGCTGATGAAGTCGGTCCAGCTGCGTGCTGCTTTAAATCAAAGAAAGGTGTGTGGTGATGCGGCCCTGGAGGCCATCCTGGTGTGGGAAAGCTGGGTTACGCCTCTGATAATTTAGGCCCACAGCCCGAGACTACTGCACAGGGACTTGCATGAACCGGGCTACGAATTCGAGCGTGTGCTTGGAAAGGTACGGCATTTGATATTGCTCAACTTTGGTACACGGTGATACAGATATTTGGTACATATGGTTTGACAAGACACGAGAAAATCCAATGCAGGTCGATTCACCTGGGATACTTGCTCCATCTCGCCTTTCCAATCTGCAGTGGTGGTTTAACTGGTTAGCATCGATCATGATCCTGCGCGCATCCAGGAGGTTATCTCTCAGACGTACCTTGCGCCACTCCCGTACGAGTTTCGGCATGCCCAGCATGGCCGTTCTCCTTTTCTCCATCCTGTAGTAACCATTGTCAGTATCCATATCGTGCACCAAGCCAGCGTCGTCTGGGGAGGCGGCCGAGCCATGCTGGGAGAGACCACATACTTTGCCGCCAGCATTCTCTCGTGGAGATGACCCTTGACACGTTGCCCAACACCAGTACCACGGACACGTAAGCCGAGTTCGACTCTGTGCCGTAACCTCTCCTCGGTGCCCTTTGAAGTGAACGGTAGGAGCTCCTCTACGCCTTGCTCTCTCGCGAGCTTCACGAGCTCAGCCTGCCGCCGCAGCGAGTACTCGGGATCGTGCCATTTGCCGGTGATCGGGTGCTTGTGTGGGAGGAACGGGTTCGGTGTCGCGCCGTCCTTGATTGTGTTTGTGCTTGTCGTCTTGGGGAGGATCTGAGAGGGCGGGTATTTGGCGAGGAAGCGCTGCAGGCGCGGATGCAGCTGCTTGGCAAGCTCGACGTATCTGGAGGCCGGCGCGGCCATCGTTGGTCTTCTCTGAATGGTGCTGTTCTTGTTCGCTGGAAGGGTGGGAGCTTTGCTTGTTGTTATCCGCGTGGTGCGCCGACGATTCGAGTTCTAGAAATTGAGCAGAGCATTCAACCCACTCGACAACTGCGCAGGGGTGGACCTTTTCCGCTGGCGCAGGAAGGAGCGTCCCCACAAAGCCGGTCCCGGGCCAGGGCTGAGGCGTACCTCTGATCAACGTATGTAGTGAATAGCAGTGGTGACCGTGTTTAATATTGCACGCGAGTTCGGAGTCATCTCCATTTGTAACACGGACCCTACGCGTCGGAATATCTGAGGGCTCTACAAATATAGAAAATTATGGCCAAACAGCCAGCGTGCAGAAGCTTGTACCTACCGCCCAGCGAGGTAACAAGTAATTGTGGGGCCATGGCCATGTGTGGTTCGTCGCGGAAAGCAGGCATGCCAGCAACCTCTCTGCAGCCAGTTCAAAATCTCGACCAGGCCAGCGATTCTCCTTTGCAAGCACAGCGTTTCGACCCCAGTTCTCTTGCATCAAGTTTGTGACCAGCATATACCCAACCCACCATGGCGCCTGGTGCCATCACCGCGGGCTTCAAACCAAAGTTCATTCCCAAGGCCGAACGCGAGCGTCTTGCGAAACAAAAACAGGAGGAGGAGGAAAAGAAGAAGCTAGCACTTCAAGATACCAAACAGAACGACACACGCAACGGACGTAGTACACGAGACCCTCGCGATCGCGATGTGCGCGTTCCTACTGGGCCCAAGGCTATGCGCCAGGATGGGCACGACAGGTCGCGTAACGATGGCTACCGAGACGAGCGCCGTGGAGACTATCGGAACGGCAACAGCATGAACAACGGAAACAACCATACCAAGACAAATACCAAACGGCCGCCGCCCGAGGACCGAGACGAGACGCTCCTGCGAGAACGATACATGGGACCGGACCTGAGTCAAAGTACTTTCTCAGCCACCAAGAAGCGGAAGCGCACCAAAAAGGAGGAGTTCAAATTCGATTGGGACAATCAGGAGGATACGACAGGCGACCTTGCCCTCGACGACGAAGCCCAGAACGAAGCCAACATACACAAGCGGGCCAGGGCGATCAGAGAAGAAGAGCCTGACCCAGAACGTGGCGAGGCCCTTGCGCGGCAGCTCATCGAAGGCTACTACCGTGCTCGTGACCTGGCCGAAGATGCGAGGAGGCAGCGGGAAAGGGCCAACGAGGTCAAGCAAAAGGTCTTTAGCAAACGCTGGACGGAGAAGACGCTGGAAGAAATGCAAGCCCGGGATTGGCGCATTCTCAGGGAGGACTTCGACATATCCACGAAAGGTGGCAACGTGCCTCATCCTCTTCGCAACTGGAGAGAGTCAAGCTTGCCGTCGAAACTGCTGTCTGTCATTGACGAACTTGGATATGCGGAGCCATCGCCCATCCAGCGCGCCACGATCCCTATTGCGCTCGAAGCACGTGATCTTATTGGTGTGGCCGTCACAGGTTCAGGAAAGACAGCAGCATTCCTCCTTCCCCTCCTGGACTACATTTCCAAATTGCCACCTCTGACGGAATTCACAAAGAACGACGGCCCCTATGCGTTGATCATCGCACCAACAAGAGAGTTGGCGCAACAGATTGCCCTTGCTGCGGAGCAATTCTCCAAACCCTTTGGCTTCAACGTGGTTACACTTATCGGTGGTCATCAGCTGGAAGAGCAGGTTTATGCCATGCGCAATGGAGCAGAAATCATTGTGGCCACTCCTGGTCGTCTCGTTGATTGTCTCGAGCGTCGTGTGCTGGTCTTGTCACAATGTCATTATGTCATCATGGACGAGGCCGACCGAATGGTGGAGATGGGTTTCGAAGAGCCATTGAGAAAAGTACTAGACGCCCTTCCTGCCACGGATGAAAGGCCCGATATGGATATCGATGGCGCTCAGTTCCATTCGCATAACTCATTTGGCACCTCCCGCACGAGGAGAACCATGATGTTTACGGCGACAATGCCGCCAGCCGTGGAACGCATCGCAAAGACCTATCTTCGCTCGCCAGTAATCGTCACTATCGGTACCCAGGGCGAGGCTGTCGATACAGTCGAGCAACGAGTCGAGTTCGTGCAAGGCGAACGCGCACGCCAGGACCGCATCCTCAACATTCTGCACAGCGGTGAGTTCCCCGCGCCAGCCATCGTCTTCGTCAACATGAAGCAGAACTGTGAGGCTGTCGCAAAAGAGGTCCGTCGTTCCGGGTTTACAGTCGTCACTCTGCACGGCAACAAGACACAAGAGCAGCGTGAGACGGCCCTTCAGGCCTTGCGTAACGGTACAGCCAAGGTCTTGGTGGCTACCGACCTTGCTGGTCGTGGTATTGATGTGCCAGATGTGTCGCTGGTCGTGAACTTCAACATGGCCACGTCTATTGAGAGCTACACCCATCGTATCGGTCGCACTGGTCGTGCAGGCAAGAAGGGTGTAGCCATCACATTCCTTGGCAACGAGGATGCTCCGGTCTTGTACGATCTCAAGCAAATGATCTCAAAGAGTCCTGTGTCCAAGGTACCAGACGCCCTACGGCAGCATGAAGCTGCCAAGCAGAAGCCTACCAAAGGACGAGGAGATTAGACTGATAGATAGTCTTCAAATGTCAATTCCTGGCAGTGTACAAACAGAAAACACCCAGTTGTAGCAGTACGTGGGCACTTCAAACGCTTTGGGAGACTGTGAAATGCTGCTCTAAGTCCTCGCCGCCCGGCAGGCTCTTGACCAAATGCGTGCCTCTGATCCATGCTGTGCTCCATGATTGGCCGAGGAGCAATTGAGACCCTGCATTTGGCCGGCACCGGGGGCCAACGCTTGGCGATCGGGACCAGTCACCGCCTGCCCGTCGCGATTAGAAACGTGCAAAGGACAAAGATTTCCCTGGCCGCGCACTTCCCACGGCATTGTCTCGACAGATGCTGCACGGCCTTGACAACCCTCGCCGGGACACCAGAGTCGCATGTTATTGTGGCTATTGTACTATACTGTATCATTTCTCATCGCCATTGCTTATTGCTTCTACGACCCGTTTGACGACACCACGAAGCGACAGAAACAGGCCCCTGTTTCCTACTTGGATTTCTGACACAGTTGACTCCGAGTGGTCACTGTACCACGATTGTACACCCCCACCTGGTCATCGAAAGGTGCCGCTCATTTGGCACAGACGGGCCTCAGGCCGTTGTATTATCCTCGAGTTCGACTGGCTGGTATTTATTCCGAGCTGTACTTTGGACGCTACCTCAAAGGGTTCTGAGCAGAGCCTCGAGCTGTCCCAGCATGTCTGCCTTTCGATCTGCCCCTCGTCTTTGCCGCCACAGGCTTGCTAGTCCGTTTCAATTGCCGGCTTCCCCAGTTTATCGGAGCTTCCACGCGCTGAGCCAGCTGTCCCGGATCCAGGCAGCCACCTCACCTTACGAGTTCGTACCCATCATTCCACTAACCTGCAACTCCACAGCCCTGCCTGACCTTCCTCATGAGCTCCCCCGCCCCCACTCCCAGACCTTCCTAAACCAGGTGGCCAGCCAGCAACACGACAGCTGACTTTGCACTTACACTACGCCAGGTCAAGTCCTCATCGACTGACTCCCGCCACTCTCGTCCCACGAAATCCCCTTCAGCAATTGTCTCTGTCTTTTCAATCTTCAGAGACCAAACTTAGTACCCGCACATTCAAGCGACACTGCTCGTACCGACGACACAACATGTGCCGATTCGCAGGTGGTCTTGAGCAGACCGGCGGTGCCAACCCCGACCCGAAGGCCCAGCGCGAGCTCCTTCCCACCAATGTCGTCCCAAAGCACTACGATGTGACGCTCGAGCCCAACTTTGAGAAGTTCACGTTTGAAGGCACTGCCATCATCGACTTTGATGTCCAGGAGGACTCCAAGTCTATCGCTCTCCACACCCTGGAGCTCGACATCCACAGCGCACACATCAAGTCTGGTGAAAGCATTGTCACGTAAGTCCGCTAGCCGTACACAGATCCAGCCGAGGTCGCATCTCCAAAGCTAATGATTTGGCTTCAATTGCAGATCATCTTCAGCCATCACCTACGACGAGCCGAAGCAAGTCTCCACGATCGAACTGAAGGATGTCGTCCCCAAGGGCAAGTGCCAGTTGGAGGTCAAGTTCACTGGCCAGCTGAACGACAAGATGGCTGGTTTCTACCGCTCCACATATAAGAAGCCAGACGGCTCTGAGGGCATCCTCGCCACGACCCAGATGGAAGCCAACGACTGCCGCAGAGCGTTCCCCTGCTTCGACGAGCCGTCTCACAAGGCTACCTTTGGCATCACCCTGATTGCTGACAAGCACTTGACCTGCTTGAGCAACATGGATGTTGCGTCCGAGTCAGAGATCAAGTCCGAGGTTACCGGAACGACAAAGAAGGTTGTCAAGTTCAACCCAACGCCGCTGATGTCGACTTATCTGTGTGCCTTCATCGTGGGCGAACTCAACTACATCGAGACCAACGCCTTCCGTGTACCCATCAGAGTCTACGCACCGGCCAGCTCGGATATCGAGCATGGGCGTTTCTCTCTGGAGCTTGCTGCCAGGACTTTGAAGTACTACGAGCAGCAGTTCGGACACGACTTTCCCCTTCCCAAAATGGACATGGTTGCCATTCCCGACTTTGCTGCTGGTGCCATGGAGAACTGGGGCCTCATCACTTACCGTGTCGTTGATCTCATGCTCGATGAGAAGGCTAGCGGTGCTGCCACCAAGGAGCGCGTGGCCGAGGTTGTCCAGCACGAGCTCGCCCACCAGTGGTTCGGTAACTTGGTTACCATGGACTGGTGGGAGGGTCTTTGGCTTAACGAGGGTTTCGCCACCTTGATGAGCTGGTTGAGTAAGTGTTACCTGTCTTGTAAAGCAGTGTGTTGAATTCAATACTGACCACACGTGCAGGCTGCAACCATTTCTGGCCTGAGTGGAAGGTGTGGGAGAGCTACGTCACGGACAACCTCCAAAGTGCTTTGGCATTGGACTCGCTCCGCAGCAGTCACCCAATTGAAGTACCGGTCAAGCGCGCAAGCGAAGTCGACCAGATCTTCGATGCCATTTCCTACTCGAAGGGCTCTTGTGTGCTGCGCATGATCTCCACGTACCTTGGCGAGGATATATTCCTGGAAGGTGTCCGCAGATACATCAAGAAGCACGCATACGGCAACACCCAGACAGAAGACCTCTGGCAGGCGCTGGAGGATGCTAGTGGCAAGCCCGTCAGAGAGATCATGTCTATCTGGACCAAGAATGTCGGTTACCCTGTCGTACAGGTTACTGAGAATGCAGGGGACAACACGATTCACGTCAAGCAGAACCGCTTCCTGCGCACTGGTGATGTGAAGCCAGAGGAGGACACTGTCCTCTACCCGGTCTTCCTTGGATTGCGTACTCAGGATGGCATTGACGAGACCGTCACTCTTAGCAAGAGGGAAGACAACTTCAAGGTCAAGGACACCGATTTCTTCAAGCTCAACGCCAACCACACGAGCATTTACCGGACATCGTACTCTCCCGAGCGTCTAGCTAAGCTTGGCCAGGCTGCCAAGGACGGTCGCCTCACTGTGGAGGACCGAGCTGGTATGATTGCCGATGCTGGTGCTCTTGCCACATCTGGTTACCAGAAGACTTCAGGAGTACTCAACCTGCTCAAGGGATTTGACAGTGAGGAATCTTTTGTTGTGTGGAGCGAGATCATTGGCAGGGTCGCCGCGGTCCAGGGCGCGTGGATCTTCGAGGACGCGGCGGTCAGGGACGGCATCGAATCGTTCTTGAAGGACATTAGTAGCAAGCGTGCGCACCAGATCGGATGGGAGTTTTCGGAGAAGGACGGCCACATTGAGCAGCAGTTCAAGGCCATGCTGTTTGGTGCTGCCGGCATGGCAGGAGACAAGCAGATCATTGCTGCCGCCAAGGACATGTTCAACAAGTTCATGGCCGGGGACAGGTCCGCCATCCACCCCAACATCCGTGGCAGCGTCTTCGGCATGGCGCTAAAGTACGGCGGCAAGGAGGAGGTGAGTTTGTTCACTCCGGAACGTGCCGATTAGTCGCAAGCTTGTGCTAACAATATTGCAGTACGACCACGTCCTCAATTTCTTCCGCAGCAGCTCCAACAGCGACGAGCGCAACACAGCTATGCGGTCGCTCGGTCGCGCCCGCGACCCCGAGCTCATCAAGCGGACACTTGAGCTGTCCCTGAGTGGCGAGGTGAAGAACCAGGACCTGTACCTGCCCATTGCCGGCCTCCGAAGCCACGCAGAGGGCATCACTGCACTGTTCGAATGGCTGCAGGAGCAGTGGCCTGAGCTTCACAAGAGACTCAATGGCAACCCGAACATGCTGGGATCGATGGTGACGATATGCACGGCTGGCTTCACGCGGGCGGAGCAACTGGAGCAGGTTGAGGCTTTCTTCAAGGACATTGACACCAAGTCGTTTGACCAGGCGTTGGCGCAGAGCAAGGACTCGATCCGCAGCAAGATCTCGTGGATTGAGCGTGACGGCAAGGACGTGGCTGACTGGGTTGACGCCAACGGCTACCGGGCGAACCTGTAGAAGGTCAGATGATGTAGCTCACCAATGAAAAGAGACAGTAAATACACGGATTTGGATATCACTCCGGGTTTCCCAAGTAGTTCGCTGACAATACTGCGAGTATCTGCCAGGCAGAACCGCAAGTCGGCTGACGGGATGATGGCCGGCGCCGGCGGTGCGAGAGATTGGCCGTCTCCGGTGGTGCGAGAGAATTGCTGATGCGGGCGACTGTCAGTGTGTATGTGTTTGGCTGCAGCAACCTCGGCTCAAAGGCTGTGCTGAAGGTAGGGATGGTGAGCACCCAGGCGGGGACTGCTGTACCCACACGCCAGGATGACCTACCTCGGGAGTGGAGGGGCTTCTCCAGGCGAGTTTGGGGTAACTTAAGCGGCGCCTGCAGCAGCACTAACCGGGCAGGGGCCTCAGGCGCCGGCGCGGAATGACGCCGTCGTCACCGTGGGGAAGCTGCGAGCTTGCCCGCCTTGCTCTTGCTTCAACGACCTTGTACATGATGGCCAGGGTCGTCCAACAAAGTACTTTTATCCTTCCTCCTCTCCAGATCTGAAGCCTGGGTGGTCGACTTCTGGCTCACCACAACACCAAACCTTAGCTCCGATCTACAGGACCAGAGCATTCGACTGCACAGGATGTCGAGACGTCTGACCATCAAGAAGATCGAGGGCAAGCCTGGGGCTGTCTTCTACCCGTAAGTCTTTCATTCCTCCATGACTGACCACTCTTTTACCCCCAAACAAAACCTCAATCTCACTGTGTTGTGTCTCTCTATCCATAGTCTCCAGCTCAATGACGTTCCCAAGCCAGAGCCTGGTCCGAATGAGGTCCTTGTCAAGATCCACGCCGCCGCTCTAAACCACCGCGACTTCTTCCAGCGCCAGCACTTGTACCCAGGCATCTCATTCGAGAATCCAATCCTCGCGGACGGCAGCGGCACCGTGGTTGCTGTCGGCGCCGACGTCTCGGCTTCCACCAAGGCCCTGCTCAACAAGCCTGTCATCCTCACTCCCTCGCGCGGCTGGGCCGCGCACCCAGACGGCCCCGAGGACTATTACAAGTTCTCCGTCATTGGCGGCAGCGTTGCGTACCCCTTTGGCTGCGGGCAGGACTACATGGCCGTCCACGAGTCCGAGGTTGAGCCGCAGCCCGAGCACCTCTCTGCGCACGAGGCCGCGGCCCTCCCGCTCGTCGGGCTCACGGGCTGGCGCGCATTCGTAACCAAGTCCGGCAACGCCGTCCCGGGCCGCAACATTCTGGTCACTGGCATCGGCGGCGGCGTCGCGCTGCAGGTCCTCCAGTTCGCCGTCGCAAAGGGCTGCTCCGTCTACGTGACCTCGGGCGACCCGGCCAAGCTCGAAAAGGCCAAAAAGCTTGGCGCGGCCGGTGGTGTGAGCTACCGCGACAAGGACTGGGACAAGCAGCTCCTCAAACAGCTCCCCAAGTCGCGCCCTTATATCGACGCCATCATCGACGGCGCTGGCGGCGACGTGGTCAACCGCGCCGTGCGCCTGCTCAAGCCCGGTGGCGTGGTCAGCTGCTATGGCATGACGACGGGGCCCAAGATGCCGTGGACCATGTCGGCCGTGCTCAAGAATGTCGAGCTCAAAGGCAGCACGATGGGCAGCAGGGCAGAGTTTGCCGAGATGGTCGCGTTCGTCGCCGAGAGGAAAATTGTGCCCGTCGTCAGCCGCGTGGTAAAAGGTCTGGATAACCTAGGCGAGATTGATGGCCTTTTCAAGGAGATGGGCGAGGGCAAGCAGTTTGGTAAACTGGTCATTGAGATCTCCAAGCCTGGCGAGACTGCGAAACTTTGAGGTCCGGCCCGCCCAAAACTACGGTACCAGGAGTGAGGGGACAGGAGGTAGGATACTTCTTTGACTGGTAATCAGTGTTTGTTTGTTCTGACACCAAAAGGAATCTAGCTAGCCAGCTGTTTCTTTCGGAATCTCGCCAGACACGCATGCTTGGCTGGAATGCGATAATTGAGTCCTCCGTAACTCTCACGCACATGGCTCTGTATGCGCCCCGTCATCTGATTTGCTTGTGTGGTTCATTTTTGACATGCAATGTAACCTGTCAAATTGTTATAGCTCTTAACGCCTTGCAGCTCGAGTGTGTGTGGCCTCTCTGTTCTCAAACTTGTCTGAAGACTTTCATGCACGCCATGAGACGCCTGTATCCTACACACACGATGATCATCCAAAAGCTCAAGTGTAGGCAGGCTTAGCAAAGACTGGAGAGAAACTGGCCAAGGGAGGTCATGAATTCATCATCAAGCCGGTAGAAAGTGCCAAAGTAAGGGCTCGAGTATTGGTACACAGCAGGAACCGCCCTCCTCGCGTCATCATGACTTGTCGTCTGTCTCTACCGCCGCAGCCTCCTGGCTGTCACCGCTGCCGCCATTCTTCGCTCCGAGCCCAATGCTAATGGATATCTTCTTCGCCGTGGCCCCTTGAGCTGGTCCTCCTCCTCCTCCTCCTCCTCCTCCTCCATCTCGTCCGTTTGTGGCGCCCGGTTTCTTCTTGCGTGTCGAGCTATGCGTACTCGACGCGTTCGAGCTCGCCGAGGAGCTGTTTCTGCGCTTGTGCTGTATCAGCTGTGACAGGTCCTCCTCCTGGTCTTCTTCCCGCCTTCGCTTCTCTGACAGCCGTTCGAGCGGTGGCTGTGCGGCGCCTTCGCTAGCGGCTTTGGCACCTTCCTCCCTCGGATCAACACCTTCCGCCTTGTCTTCGTCTGCGGACAAGGCCCCTGCATCTGCATTGTCGTCAAGATCTTCGTCCGAGGCATAGTCCACCAGTGGCTTAGCGAGAGGAGTTTCGCCGTTCTCGCTCCTCAATGGAACGTCGTCGTCGTCGTCAGATGCGCCCCAGTACTCGTCCTCAGTAATGTTTGTCGCCAGTTGCTCCCCCATTAGCTCGTGACGGGTCATGCCTGTCGGATTGGAATACCGCGCCATTTGCGGGGATTCGCTGTCCGTCCTCACTGGCTTATCCATGCCCTCTTTGTTGATGAAGCGCACGCCATAGACCTGAAATGTTTCAATAAACAGCAGCTTCTCGATCCTCGGCGCATATGCTTTGACGATGATCCTGCTCGTGGTCTTCATGTCGTCTTTCCTAATGACATCAAAGAATTCCAGGCAGGCTGAAGTGAGCAGGTTGTCGCGAGGCAGCAAAGCCTCGAGAAGATCAAAAAGTGCTCCAATCGCGTTAGATTTGATCAAGTGCTGAAGATAGAACTCGTCCGGCACCACAACCAGCTGCCGCAGGAACCGAATGGCAACTATCAAATTCGTGTTAGCAGGCGTATCATGCACTCCATGGCGGGCGCGAAACAATGTCAAACTTACCCAGCTTCAAAAACTTCTCCTGTGCGCCAAGCAGCTGCGTGATCCGCGGTATCATATCGTGTCTCAGAATGAGATTCCGGCATCGGTACGGATGCTGCCGGACGAAGAAACATAATATCTCAACGAGGCATGTAAACATGGCCGCCTGCTGCACGGTGAAGGACATGTCTGTCCTGTCGCGCAGATTCATGATCGGCTGGAAAAGCCGGGTAGCCGACGTCTCGAAGAAGATGTGAAGAAAACGCTCCTGCTGCGGGTCGTGCCCTGGAGGCAATCTGCTAGCTGTGCGGGGGAGGAATTCGCCATTGGACTTGGCAAAAGCCTCAGGCTGCATGGGAGGCCCTTGGTCAAGCAATACTTTAAGAGCGTCAGAAATCTGAGATTTGACCCCAAGATCGACCTCGACCAGAAGCAGGTCGATCAAGGACTCGGTCAAGGGCGGCTGCTTCTCGTGCATCTGACGGTAAATCGTCATCCGGATCATTTGGGGGTCATGGTCAATCATCGATACGAGGATGTCGGTCGCGCCCACGCGGACAGACACGTCGCTGTGTCGTAGGCCAAAGTTGATGACTTGGAGCAGGCCGTGGGCAATGAAATTGTTGTACAACGTCTGGCGTGAAGGCGGCTGCAGGTTCTTCGCGATTGCGCAGCATTGTTGGATGAAGAGAACTGCTTCCTTTTTCCGCCGGGGTTCTTGCTGTGCTGGTGATTTGAAGATGCTGAAAAGCTCGTTGAGGAAACTGCCGTTTGACTGCAAGTGCTGCACAATATCGACTTGATTGAAGAAGATGAGCGAGTTGAGCACGGAAAACGTGTTGTCGTCGAGTATGCGGGCTAACACGACGTCCTTCAGATATTGCAACCGGTAGGTCTGGTGGATCTTGGTGAGGATTGTCGTGTCCTCGATGCGTACAACCTCCTTGAAACGACCCTCTCCCTCAAGCCACTGCCGGTGATTAGCCTTGTGGCTCGGGAAGTCTGGATCGTATTCGAGGGCTCCGACAACGCCAATGACACATTCGTCCGAAACCGCACGCTCTATAATGCTAGTGTCGTTGAGAAGAATGATGATCTTCATGATGTTACAAAGGCGATGAAGGTCGTTGAGCGCCTCGAGGTCTTCGGCTTCGCTGACCAACGGGATCAGCTTGCTGATGTAGTCTTCCGAAATGACGAACTTTGTCAGTGCATCGCGCCCGTTGGCACTTCCGCTCATGATACGCATCTGCGACTCGATTTCGGGCAGGTTGGGGAATGATGCTGGGGGTAGTGAAATCGAATTGACCATGTCCATGGCAAGTTCGTCTGAGAGGCTGTCATCTTGACCGTGTCCTCCGTGATAGCCCTGCTGGACGCTGTTGATAAATTTCCTGCATAAGACGTTAGCATCTTTTGCCGTTGCACCGACAGCGCATGACTCGGCTCAAATGCTTTACCATATCAATGCACAGCCCTCCGACTCCTGGAAACTAAGGGCCATGTCAACACCATTTGACGGCTCGGTCCATACAATCAAGGTTTCTACAATGCCACAAGGTCAGCATGAGGATGTACAAGGACCATGCACCATAGTGAATGGGGATCCTGCGCATTTTCGACTCGACGTTGCGTACCCTGCTGCTTGTGAAAACCGTCCTCCTTGCAAATTCGCGTTTCCAGAAGGACGCGATCGGGTTCCTCCTCAGACTCGACAATGACTCGAGGCTCACGCTGTGAGCCATCTTCCATCTAAGGGTTGGTCAGCATGGTCAGCAAGCCTTTCTCTATCATTGTGTGCGCGCTTTCCAACACGACACGCGTGACAAGCTGGAGCAGGGGACGCCGAGGTGGCACAACGCAAGCCAAGCCGCGCCGGCGCGCGAGGCAGGAAGAAACTAACTGTGTCAAACTCTGCGGTACAGAACCCGGTGCCACGATCGAACCAGTCATTGTGACGCAGCTCATAGACCTTGACCCGTTTTCTGTCCGTCGACGGATGCGGCACCTGTTGTGCCGCCATCGCCAGCGGCTCGGCAGAGCGAAGGTCAGTCGCCAGGCGCGTATGGTGCTGGAGGAGATCTGGCGCAAGATCAAAGTGTTGTTGAAGGGAGAGTTCTGTGTCGGCCTGGCTGAGAAGCGTGAGCGCAGCCACCTTGATCGATTTTGCTGGGCGCGCGCTAGACGCTGTGCGCGCACGCGACAGAATCTGATGGGAGTCGGGACGTCGGCCGTTGTCGCTATCAAAGCGATTGCAGCAATGCGCTCGAGCGCATCGACTGTCTGGGGACGGGTGCGTGCCGGAGCCGCAGCGGTGGCGGGCAGGACGGATGCCAGGGGCGCTGGGCGATGGTCGGGCGACAGAGGCGGTGGTGGACAGTGGTGGAGGAGGACGATGGACGAGGGACCACCGCGGCGGCGGCGGCGGCGGCGATGGATGCGCTCTACGAGGGTCGGGTCGGGCAGGCGCTGCACCAGGAGCCAGGCTAGGCTGTAGAGAGGCGGGCGGTGGGTCTGCTTTGGGGCCAGGCGTGGGCAACTCAGCGTGACGTGAGAACTCTAGCAGCAACCAAGGATGGGGCCCGGCGCCGCGGCAGGCAAGGGTCTCCGGCCAGATCAAGCGCTTCCAAGTGCCACACAGACCTGCTGGCGGGTGTGGATGCTGGGCCGATTAGTCAGGATACGGCAGGGTATCGTCGTTGCCCGAAGGCGGCCCCACGGTTTCCTGCTGCGACAATCCCGAAAAGAGGATGTGGAGAGAGGTTGCGAGCCTCTGCTGCTGCTGGGACGACAAGCAGAGAGTCCTAAATGGTAAGCAGTGGTTTGGGACACGTGCACGACGAGGCACCCAGTCCGGCGAGTGGTAGAGAGAGACGTCGGCCTCGGAGATGAAAGTTATGGCTTGTGGGACGATCGCAAGATGCCTTGCTGACGGCGCCTGATTGAATCCACGAGCTAGCGAAGTCGGAGCGGAAGCCTGTTTGCAAGATGTTTAATGCAGAAGTGATGACCAGCGGAGGAGGAAGCGGCCGTTCTGGTGGACTATGACAAAAGCGAGTATTGATGTGAGTGCTCGTCGCATGGTCAGGCAGCAAGGCAGAACCCCGACATGAGAGAGCCGGCACTAAAAGTGTTTGGACACGGGCGACGGGCTCAGAACAGCATTCGAGCAGTGGTGGACTGGGGGGGAGGTAGTGAGAACCATTGCACGAGTTTGTGCAACGAGTCACCGTCACTGTCTGTAAAGAAGGTCGCCAGTGAGCCTGCGCCCTGTTGCGTCATCCGCGTTTTGGCAACTGCACGCACTGCACTTGAGCACTGCACCGCCCTGCCTGGCCACGAAACCGGCAAGTGCCGGCGCGAGAGGATCGCCCTCCGTCTCATTTCCGTGCCAGGCTTGTACACCAAGAGCTACCTGACGCTGCACGTCGTCCTCCTCGCTGCCCACGAGCCTCGAGCATGCTGCACAGAGGTACTAAATTATAGCTAGATGGACCCTGGGAAAGATCAAGGTTAGCCTCTTGGCCGTCGTCTCTGCCTGACGGCGACCACCTGCCTGGGCAACCTTGAAGGAGCTGCCGCTGCCAGGCAGGGGTTTTCTAGCTAGCGCCGCCAACGGCCGTCGCTAGCGCAGGGTTGCCCCCCCGAAGCCCCCACCGGTGCTGCTGCAAGGCAGTCCCTGACGTCCATGGATGCCTTCCATGTCTTCCCCCCAATAGGGCTCACGGCGTGGAGATCGAAAAGTGGCGGCCACGCGCTGCTGCTGCCAATCGCTGTATCGTGACACCACACACAACGCTCGAATCCGCGCGCCCACGGCATCTCCTCTCCTGTCTCAGTTACCCCAGATCCTGCAGTCCAGAAGCCTGCCCCTCTCCTCGCATGTCCCGTGCCCCGCTCCGGGCGCGCGGGCGTCCCAGCCAAGACAACAAATCTGGCTTGTTGTTGGGCATTCGCGCAGTCCGCATACAGCCTGGCCCGGAATGACGCGAGTCTCTCAACACGTCCTTGTCGAGTTTTCAATGAGCCAGTGCAGTAAACCACCCCGCTATAGAATACCTACGTCAGCAGAGTGAAACCCGCCGCATTGCGTTTCTTTCCGGCCCGCAGGTAGGCCCTGTCGGCAAACCGCAAGCGGAGATCGCCATCCCCCAGCTTATTATCCCTGCCCAGCAAACCCCACGGAATCCCGGGGGGGCCACGAGGCACATATAAGTCAATCATTAGATGCTGGGCGCATGGATTTCAGTAGGAGCGCAGCGAGTGACGTCCATAATCAGCTCTGAACTCGTTTTGATATCTCTCGACACCGTCAGGCTCAATCGCGTGTAATTCAACGAAACACGTAATTTTTGAAGATTTGTGTAAAACTACCACTTACCTCAAGGAACATGACATTACACCAACCATTTTCCATCAATTTGCCAAACTACAATTTTCCAACTAGGACCCGAGAAGCCATCCCGCAGTTCACAGGAAGGCAACTGGGCTTCCTTAGAAACGTGTTACTTCCCAGCTACCAAAACGAGCATCGATTCCGGTATGTAGATTGTCAATGAGATCGCCATAACCACTTCATTCCCGCACAACCGTCCGTTTCATAAAACAGTCTAGTAAATCCCTCCGTCCGCCGGGACACTCCCTCCATCGTCAGAACTGTCCAGCTTAAAGTCGATTCGCCCATGGTTTGGAGGACCAAGTTCGCCGTCCCGGCCTTTTCCCAACACCTACAAGATATCAGCTAAGAAGCGGCAGACGACATACATAAACACACACACACACACAGAGAGAGAGAGAGAGAGAGAGAGAGAGAGAGAGAGAGAGAGAGGCTTTATTGAAGCACGACCTGCTAAAATCCGCAGACCAATGTGTATGTGCCCCGGCCGAACTACAACTAGCAGCCTGGCAACTTTCTTTATTCGAAACTGGCATACTTCCCATGACAAGTCTTCATCCCCGTCCTGGGACGAGCACATTTCCAGCTGGCAACAATGCACCCGCATAAAATTCATTTCGCCAGCAAACACAAATCTATGAGCATGTCCCATGAATCCAGGCCTTCGGGCCTCCCCCAGCACTTCTTCCACAAAAATAGCAATGCGGAAAGCGAAAGATCTCAGGGCACCCTCCTTGGTGCTTTCTTGAATTTCCACGAATGACCAGCGATCACACGACTTGGCAACTGCATGTCTTCCACTGAGTTCATGGAACTCTCCGAAACAGAAAGAAAGGAGAAGGTTATCCAGAATTTGTCACGCTTGAGCGGGAGAGCTTCTATCTTCAATGAGCGACTCCCAATAGGAAGGTGACTAAGGGCTTCTGGCCCAGGCAATCGGGTTGGATAGCTATCATATTGAAAGACGCTTCGCGTGTAACGCTATTGGAGTTTGCCAAACATTACGGCAAGTCAGCCTAGCTGAAAAGCCCTTTTGTGAAAGATTGGTGTTGTCCACGGAGATGAATTAATCTCCTACTTTTTTTCTGGGTCGATTTTGGGATAGATCGGCCTTGGCGAGGTGGACTCAGCTGGCCGACAGGAACGAGAGAGCGGCATGTCAGGGTTCTACTTCCGGGTATCCAGGATCAACCGCTGATTTTGGCCTCCGTTGTTCTTCGTCATTGGCTCCTCGAATAACAGTTCTGCAGTTATGCAGTTCTGCTCGATTCCCGAGGCAGAACAAAATGCACGACGGCCATTCCTGATCGTGCTCATGGAGAAAGACGCGAGAGGTCGTGATTGCTTCCTTATCGCCGGCATAGAAGCTCTTCGCGAATCGTCGAGTACGCCATGGAGATAACACTGTTCCCGTGATGCAGTCGCGTGATTTGCGAAAATTTGGCCGGCGCTCACGCACCATTTGCATGCGGCTAGTGAGTCCTGCATATTGCGCCTTTATCTACGAGAAAGCCCACAGCAAGCCTGCGGACATGGCGACGGGCGAACATCATGGATGCCGTATCTCGAACAAAGGAAAAGAGACCGCGCCGGCCCTCGCTTACGTGTCTGCAGAATCAAGCTTTATGCTAGTTCCAGGCACGAAGCCGGTCACAACGTTCCCACTCCAGGATTGTAATCACATGCTGCGTCTGGTCTCGTCGCCCCAGATGATTTCGGGGAGATTGCCAGGCGGATTGGGGACACAACCTCCTATCATTAACCTTACCACGTTTGAGGACCGTGACGAGCGAAGTCAGCATCGTCGGGACCGAGGCAGACCCTGTTGCGTTGACTCAGGTGAGCCAATGCCAAGCCACAGGCTATTTGCTAGAACCGACGATGCCTGACTCTATCACATCCTGTGCCTCATCATGTGGTTGACTTGGTTCAGGGCGCGTGTTTGGCTGATGAATGAGACGAGGAACACGTGACGTTTTTCTCAGCGCCCGATTGAACCTCCGAATTCGGCTCGGAATCACTTCCACCTCATCGAGGTGTCGCTAAATTTCTGGGATAAACACACAAGTGTGTTCTAGGCACATCAACCATATGCTGCCCACGAAGTACTAGGTGTTCAATAAGAAGCAGCTGATCTCAGCCACGTCATCGTCTTCAAGCTGTCGCTGTGGTGATTGCTCCGAGCGCACTAGGATGATCTAGGGCCAAAGTTAGAGATGGCTACGGCTGGGATCGCTTTAAAAATGGCTGCGGTGCTCATTAGGGCCGCATGGGCCGTACTATGGTAGGAGGGTATTTACGACGAGCTGCTGCTGGCGCCAATCAAGGCCGAATATTGTTTTGAGTGACGACGAAGCGATACAATTAATGGCAGGACGTGCCGGAGCAACCACTATCATGTTATGCAGGCCCGAGATAGACCACTGCACTCAATGACAGGCGTAGGGGTAGGTCAATCATCGATACATTGTGTTGCATCGTGGGAAAACGTACTTCAAGGAGGTGGTGGGGTGTGCAGTTATGAATTAGGTACCGGCGCAGGAACTCTCTCCCCTCCCTCCACAATCCACCAGGCACAAAGAGATCCCATTGGTAGAGTCATGATCCATGGCTATCTTTCCATCATTGACAAATCTCGCTCTGTGAAACCTACTCAAGTCGACCTCACGCCTCAACCGATAAATTCCCCAATCTCCCAATTCAGCTCTGGCAGCTGCTCTCATCTCGACGACGCGCAGAACGGCAATATGACCATACGCTCTAGCATCACTCTGGACGCTAACAGCGCGACGGTCCTTGCTGATGGCGACGTACGCCTGGCTCATCTCGTCATTAACACCTGCGTTACGGATCCCGGAGATGAAAATGCGGTCGGCGGCAGGGGCGATGTGGACTTGCTCGGGAGTAATCTCGCCGAGGATACAGATGGCAATAGCAGGTCTAGGGAATGGGCGGCGTATGACTAGGTCTCTGTGAATGCCCAACTCATGACTGAACTTGCGGATACCGTCCTTGAAATCTCGGGCAGAGGCTCGATGAGTTTCAGCTTGAGAAACTCCGGCAGTCCTTTGACGTTGTGGTATGTCTTGATCGTGGCGCTGGGCCCGTTGTGTGATATATCCTCGAAGACGTCGTGGTGAAGTGCGCCTTGCAAAATTCATGTGACAGGACCGGCATTTTGTGTTTTCTCTGCCTCTTGCTCGATCTGGATAGCCTCCTGCTGCTGGAAGAGGTCGATAAGTATGCCGCCAATGATCTTACGTTTCTTCCCCGGCTTGTGGACACCCTTCAGACGGCTTAGGAAGAGCTCTGAGCCATTAACAACTATCAACTTGATACCAGGTTGGTGTTCGAAACTTTCCTTGACGTGCATAGAGTCTACCAGGCGCTTGAAGAGGCTATCCATGTAGGCGTTTCCGTTGTTGTGGATATTCACATCGGCGCGGCCGTCGTCGCGGATAGTGCCACCAGCATCATTGCTGGTCTCAGTCATCCAGGTAAGTTCCTGACAACCATAGCAGATACCGAGAATTGGCACGTCAAGATGGAAAACAGCAGGATCGATGTGATCTGAGAACACTGATGCCCTTGGACTTGGACGTTAGCTCGCCGAAGTTGGTGTTGCAATCCAGCATCTCAGCATAGACCATCAAACTCCGCAGCCGTTGCAAGATCAAATGACTCGTCTGGCAGCCGAAGTCCAACTCCAAAATGGTGTCGAAGTCGTTGTGCGGCCTCACCCTCCTGGATGTCCGTCATCTTGGTGTTGGCTAAGATAAGGTCTTTCGTATGAAGAGATAGCCGTTGATAGCTCACTGCACTCAATGACAGGGGAAAGGTAATTCATCGATATATTGTGTATTGCATGGTGGGATGAGGACGAGGTACGTCGAGGAGGTGGGGTGTGCAGTTATGAATTGGGTACTGGGGTAGGAACACCCGCACACTCCCCTCCTTCCACGGCCTGCGTATTCAGTTCTTCACCATTCTCTTCCATCAAGTGCTCGGAAGCAGCGGACACTCAACGTTGCCAGCGTCAGTGGCTGCCCGTTGCTGGGCTCGACTGGGCCGGGAAGTGGAACCTGGCGGTCTGCGACCGCCCAGCAGTCCCAGCAATTCTTGGCCGACGGTGAGCAGGCACACTTTGGCGGCTGGGGCCGAGCTAGGCTCAGGCCGAGTAATACGAGCCTCGAGGCTACTGCCGTGCAGATAGCCTCAGGCGCCTTTGGGCGGAATTGCGGACCCCCACACGCTGGGAGGGTGTCCTGCAGAAAACGCTGCATGGATGGGTTTGGCTCGTGCGGGCCACGCCAAGATATGCCGCAGTTTCCCATCGGGGATCTGATGAGCACCGGATATCCCATACCACTACTGGATCTATCGACGAGGAGATGGCCACGTCCATGGTGCTTGTGGGTCGCTCCATGATGCCTGCTGGCGATCACTTGTGGGTCCTCTCTTGTCTAAATGGGGACAGTGCTGTCGCAGATTTTCCATTCTGCTCGAGCCAACGACGATGACGGAGGCCATGCCGTTGTGCCCTTAAGATGGCCTCGGTGGTGCCATTTCGTATGACGAGGAGGTCAGGTTGCTTACGCCGTGGCTGGCTGGACATGCGGCGCGGTGGTAGCAGCCTTCGGCCTGACACGCGTGGCACGAGCCTGGCCGTCCGATATCAAGCAAATGCTTGCAAAGGCAGCGCGAAGCTGAAGGACCATTGGGAGAGTGCTGCATGGCGTGCATCAAATGATGCGAGTTGGCACAGGCGTGGGTGGGGACTAAGAGGCTGCTGGTGTTCTAGCATCTGCCTCCCCTGACATTCACATCGTCCCAGCTGAATGCTAATCGTGGACCAAGCCGTTTCAGGACGGGAAGCCGCAGCCCTAGGCTGGAAAGGACATGAGCCCAAGCCCGCCGACAACGTCGCCCACCTGCTCATTGCAGGAGTCCAGACTCCGGCCAAACTGCATCTGCGGCGGACTGCTTGATACCTGCAAGCCAAGTAAGTTGGGAGTGACACGTGCGGACAGTGCAAAGCATATCTCGCCAGCCACCCACATCCAGTCACTGGTTGACAACGGACGGCAGTCGCCTCAGTACGCAGTTCTGCAAGCCAGCGGGAGGCCATGGCCACGAGTCCCTGTCCTGTCTCCGGCGCGTTATACGAGCAGCATGTTCCCAGCACTTGGAAAGCCCGGAAGCTGCCAGGACTAGGATCCTGATAGCAGCCGTCCCGATGCATCACGGTGAGCAGCCTCGATGGCGACTACAGGTCCCACGGCCTGGGTTCCGCGACGAGGCTGCATTAGGCCGCAGGACGGCTCGCCAACCACGCACGACCAGCTCTGCTAGCGCAGTTGTTCCCGCCCACTGCGGGCCACAGGCTAGGTGGCGGAGCTATCCCGGTGTTGTTCCTGGCCTAACCCGACATGATGCAGCGCTGGGTGATGATGGAGCTACCGCGAGCCAGAGCCACTTGCTTGACGGCGAGGTGCGACCTGCGGCGGCCCTGAAAAGCAGTCCTCCCCATTGCCCTCGCAGCATAAGTCCAGGCTTGCACCGTCTTTCCTCCTCCCACCAGGAGGCCTGCCTACAACACCACCCAGCTTCTTGACTTTACTTTACAGGTCTCTCTCATCCATCCTCGGCCCTGCTATTCAACACGGATCGTTTCTTATCCACCCGAGGCAGAACGACAAAGACGACAACTTTGTCTGATACAAGCCTCTCGTTTGTTCCCGGGGCTCAGACTGACCCTTGTCATCGCCATGTCCATCCTCGGCAAGATCAAGCTCGGCAAGAGCCAGTCCAAGGAGAAGAAGGAGCAAGAAGCACAGAAGGCCAAAGACGAGGCACAAAAGCCCAAGTATGTTCACGTACCGAGCCATGCGGCTGCTGATGCAATGACGGGTGCTCCTCCTTGCTGGGCCGCCGAAGACCGGCCACGCATCCTGGCCGCCAACCAGCAGCGCATCTCGAGAGACGCAAGCCGCCTCAGCTTGCCCTCGATCCCTCGTGTTCAAAGCTCCCTATCATACGTCACATATCCAGCAAGCGAGGCAAGCCCAGTTGTGGCATTGCAAAAGAACTATAGCTACAGCAGCATGCCTGGCACTTCCGCTTGGGCAAGCCGGGCACCCTCCCTGGTCGAGTCCCGACACAGAGCACGTTACCCCGGAAGCAGTGGACAGGACGTCGTTCCTCCCATGCCGAGGCGTAAGCACAACAGAACACTGTCTGGCCCCTCAAGTCTGTATGGGCGAGGTGCGTCTTCCTACATCTCCTTTATCACAATCAAGCCAAACACTAACCGCTGAGCTGCAGGCACTTCTGCAAATACTAGTGTGGCAAGTGTCGAGTCTGGGCTTGAGATGTGGTCGAGGAAGCAAGCTCCTGTGCTTCTCCCAGCCACTAGAGGCATCTCTGACCTGAGCGCTTCCGGAGCGTCTCAGTCTCGGCCAACCATGGCTCGACGCAGCACAACCGACACGAGATCGACCACACGCAGCGCTCGCCGAGTGAGCCCGTTGAACCCCGCGGCCCTTATGGCCAAATCTGTCGAGCCTCCTCTTGCAACCGGCTCTTCCCAAGCAACGACGTCCAACTCATCATTCACTTCAGAATCGCCATCAGAGCGCTCAGAAGAAGCCATTGATTCCACGGCACCAAGCTCCATCGCGAGAACCCCAGATTTGGCCACAACCAGGAAGGAGTATGAGCCACCAACGGGCACCAAGCTGGCGGAGGCTCTCTCCGATGAGAAGACTGCACTGGAGGAGTCGGCCCCCCGCCACACTCGTGCAGCCTTCTGGAAGAACAAGAAGCATTCTGCCGATGCAAGCCGTGGTCGTGACGAGACATCGCCGAAAGATGTGAGCGTCTCTCGGAAGCCCGAGATTGCGACAGCTTCGAAGCACGCAATGTCGGCAAAAGATACCGAGGTGACTGAGCTGCCGACCAAGGAGTACAAGGCGGCCAATGGAGCAAAGAAGTCGAATGCTCGTGAACAGCGCAATGCTGAAGGCAAGAAGAAGCGTTGGGCCTGGTTCAACAAAGACACAGCAGTTGTGTCGGCTTAATGACAAGACAGTAAGCATCGCAGGGCTGACTTTCCACATTGGTGTGCATCACTTGTAGCATTTTCCCTTTGTTCACGCTTTGTTTCGTCGTCTCTTGGAAGTCGGGAATGTTTCCAGAAGGGCATGTCGATAATCTGACCGATGCATTCCCATGGGTTTTGCTTAGAAGCCAGGAGTTTGAGGAGTTCGTACCATTGGTTATTGCTACACTCACAAGCGTCGTCATGGGACATAAAAGATGATAGCACAATGCCTTCGAGCTATAGAAAAGTGGTTATTCTATATTCTCGTGATTTCATGTATGCGGTGTATTCTGAACAAGGCTGTTCTGTGAATTGTTGTTCCAGCGGTTGAGTAGTTGCATGGATGGGTGGGGCGTCTTTTTGGGTGCCTGGCTCCGCCTGCTACGTAAGTGGGTTTCTGAGGCCACCACCGTGGCTTCTTCTCAGGCGCAAGCGGTGCCGTCACAAGCTCAGCCGAGTCCCTCCATTTGCAGCTGAGACGCGTCCACTCAAGTAAACCCCCATCCCCACGTTCGGTGGACTTAGATGGGTGAGACAACTAGTTCCCCAAATCTTTACCATTGACATTGTGCAAGCTCCTTCGTGACCTCAATGGTACTGTACAATCACGAAAAAGCAAAAGCGGACACCTACACATCCCGTGCCATTTCAAGATCCTGATGCACAACAGGTCGTGAAGACGGCCGTCTCTACCTCACCATGGCGGCCGAGCAGTACCTACACATCCTGGTGTTGGGTGTGCCCGTAGTCGGCACGCTTCTCCTCGCCATCGTAAGGCCCTCCTGCGCCGTGCGCCCTTAGGCAAGGCCTTTACATATTTACCAAGTACTGACACCTTTGACCACCTTTGACCGCCAGCTGTACGCCGTCCTCCACTTCTTCGCACCGAAGCCGCGGCCCGTTCTTCCCTCAGAGAAGTACTACCTGACCTCGACGCCCGATGGAAAAGGCACCGTAACTCGACAACTACCGTGCTGGCACGACCGATGGCACGCAGAGCGGCAGGCCAGCGACAAGTCCAACAAGAATGACCCCGACGGGCAATACATACCAGACACGGGCTCCATCGAACCAGCCGAAGTCAAGATGAGCATTGTGATACCCGCGTACAACGAGGAGAGCCGGATCCTCGGTCCTCTCAAAGAGGCTGTCGAATACTTGGATGCTGCCTTTGGGCGGCCGTCGCAGCCCAACGCGAAAGGCGCCGCTACCAGCCCCCGCACGGCGCGCCCAACGACACCCCGTCGACATGTTAAGAATGCGCCCCGGGAAGATGTTACAGGGTACGAGATTATCATTGTGAATGACGGCAGCAAGGACAACACTGTACACGTCTGCTTGCAGTTTGCCCGGGAGAATGGCCTCCACGACATCATCCGGGTCGTCAACCTGGAGAAGAACCGAGGCAAGGGCGGCAGCGTGACGCACGGCTTCCGCCACGTCCGCGGGGAATATGCCCTCTTTGCGGATGCGGATGGTGCCTCCAAGTTCAGCGATCTGGGCAAATTGGTCGAGGGCTGCGAGGAGGTCGCAGACAGCAGCTACCGGGGGGTCGCCATCGGCAGCAGAGGTCACCTTGTGGGGAGCGAGGCGGTTGTTAAGCGCTCCGCTATGCGCAACTTCCTGATGCGGTCCTTTCACCTCGTCCTGATGATCTTGACCCCGCCGGCGACCTCACGAATCCGCGACACGCAGTGTGGCTTCAAGCTCTTCTCTCGAGCTGCGTTGCCGCACATTGTGCCATATATGCACACGGAGGGGTGGATTTTCGATATCGAGATGCTCATGCTAGCCGAGTCAGCACCGGCAGTCCCTATCCTAGGCCACAACGGCAGCGCTATTGGCAGCAGCCCGGGCATCAAGGTGGCAGAGGTGCCGATCGATTGGCATGAGGTACCTGGCAGCAAGATGGACCTGATTGCGGACAGCATCAAAATGGCCATAGGCCTCGCTGTGTTGCGGGCGAGCTGGATGCTGGGTGTATACAGAAGGCGTCTGACATGACGCATGATACGAGGGACGACCCGTATACAAGAATCTCACAAGGTCGAAGCATATCCGCCTTCTACTACCTAAGTGTTTCGTGATGCTAGCACGATAATCCTGATGAAGAGCGCAAGCGTTAACAGGGTCGCAGCGTGAGTTCTTGTCTCACTGTAAGACAAGGCCGGATGTCCAAAGCCAGGCCCTTAGATCCTTGACATGTGACAGGACAACATAGTAGACGTCCTTTGGCGTGGGCCCGCTTAGTTCAAATGTTCCTATCGCTGAAATCCGCGGGTGGCGTTTTGTGGCTGTGGCAGGTCCAAGTCCAGAGATCTGGCAAACCACAAATCAGTGTGTTGGCAGGACGTGTCTAGTCTATTGTGTCATGACTTTGCAGACAGGACAGGGCAGGAGAAATGGATCCGTTCCGAGAGACGCCCCATACCTTACGCGTTGAGAAAAACAGGGGTCTCGGTGCGCATATTCCCGTGGTGTTCAGGGTGGATCCGCCATCAGATGTTGCCCCTGGAGCATAGCGTGGATTGCCACCACCCCTGCCGCCCAAGGAAAATGAAGATGGCCCTAGAGCGCGGGCAGTCGAACGATCGTGGTCCTGCAGTGGGCAGTTGCGCAGAGACATGCTGATCTGATCTGATCTGACCGCACGTGGCCCTGCTGGTTCCTTGCTGCAAGGAGGGCGAGGGAAACAATTGCCCAACCAGAAAAGGTGACCTCGCTCGCCTCTTCTGCCTTGTGTTTAGCCATGTCTGCAATTTTGCTCTTTGCTTTTTAAGTTGTTCGATCCTGCTTCCTCGATCTGTCGCTGCCCTTACGGGAACCACTCAGCCCGATCCCTCGTCCTGCCAGGCACACCTCAGACCCCTGCGTGACCGCCAACTGCGGCCGCCCCCCAGCACAAAAAGAAGCCCGCCAGCACCTCAGCGCCCCTGCCGCCATCACCCCAAGCATACCGCCATTGTCTGTCATTTGTTGCATCGCACCGTCTCTTGGCCGGCATACTCTCTCTCCGTCTCTGCAGCGTTTTGTTTCCTCCCGGGTCGTTGACGCTTGCTCCCTCGAGTTGCTCAAGTACCGCCTATCTCGACACAGCACACGGCAAGCGACATCCCTGGACTGCCTCTCGATTTATTCGCCACACACCCCGCTACACACAGCCAAAGCGAGACGCCCTCCTCACCCCATGACGTCCACGACAACAACCCACGACGTGCGCGCCCAGCAGCGCCTGGAGGACCACGAGGCCGATGTCGTCGTCGTAGGCGCCGGCGTGTTTGGGTGTGCCGTCGCCCACACCCTCGCCAACCAGGGCCGCAGCGTCATCCTCCTCGAGCGCTGGATGCGCCAGCCAAACCGCATCGTCGGTGAGCTCATGCAGCCCGGCGGCCTGCGCTCTCTCCACAAGCTCGGGCTCGAGGGCTGCGTCGAGGGCATCGACGCCATCCCTACGACTGGCTACGACGTCATCTACTACGGCCGCGACGTCTCCATCCCTTACCCCTATCTCGACGAATCCGGCAACGTGATACCAGAGAAGGATGCCCAGGCCATGCTTGCGAGCGGCAAGAACGGCCACGCAAATGGGCATGCAAATGGTCACGCCAATGGGCATCCGAACGGGTCGGCCCACCCCAAGAAGAGCGACATGAAACGACCAGAAGGTGTTGCCTTTCACCACGGCCGTTTCATCAACGAGCTTCGCAAGGCTTGCCTTAAGCACCCTAATATCTCCGTTTTCGAGACCGAAGTCGTCAGCACCATCACGGGAGACCACAGCCCACAAGTCCTCGGAGTTGAGACACGGACGACCGATCCCGAAACTGGAAAGAAGAACCCCGACACCTTCTTTGCCCAGCTCACCATCATCGCCGATGGGTATGCGTCCAAGTTCCGCAAGCAATATGTAACGGAGAGTCCAATCGTTCGCAGCAAGTTCTACGCCCTGGAGTTGATAGACTGCAAGCTTCCACACCAGGGTCACGGCCACGTCGTCATTGGTGCTCCATCACCAGTCCTCCTCTATCAGATCGGCACACACGAGACCCGTGTTTTGGTGGACGTCCCCGAGAAGCTTCCAGAGGCTTCTCCAGCCGCAGGTGGTGTGCGAGGCTACATGAGAAACACAGTCCTGCCAATCCTGCCACCATCCGTCCAGCCCTCATTCCTAGCTGCACTCGACAAAGAAGACCGCATTCCATCGAGCATGCCGAACAGCTGGCTTCCGCCGTCAAAGCAAACACAGAACCCTGGTGTCGTTGTGCTCGGTGATGCCATGAACATGAGACACCCTCTGACCGGCGGCGGCATGACGGTCGCGCTGAACGACGTTGTCATTCTAAACGAAGTCCTCTCTTTAGAGAAGGTGCCCGACCTTGGCGACACGGCGGCGGTAGCCCGTGCAATGAATGAGTTGCACAAACGACGGAAGAGCCTTACAGGCATCATCAACGTCCTGGCTCAGGCTTTATACAGCTTGTTCTCTGCACAGGACCCGAACCTCGCCAAGCTGCGCCGTGGCTGCTTCGAGTACTTTGTGCGCGGCAACAGCGACGAGCCCGTCAGCATGTTGGGCGGCGTGCTACAGAACCCGGCGACCCTGACGCGGCACTTCTTCACTGTCGCTTTCCTCGCGATATGGCTCGACTGGAAGGACAACGGCCTCTGGAACTTGCCCCTCAATATCTACAGCGCCATTGCGGTGCTGTGGACAGCCTCCGTCGTGTTCTTGCCTGTTCTGTGGCGAGAGCTGGCAAAATAACGGAGTAGATCATTCAACGGTGGTAAGATACAGATTACAGCAGCAGCAGCGAGCATTTCTTCTCAGCGTCCTTTGCGGCGAAGCGGGTGGCACAAAAAAAGCCATCGTATATACTGCTGTGGAAAGTTTTGTTTCAGGGTTCTGCTCCTTTTCACGATGGAGACAAGGAAGAGCTGGATATGTGACTCGAGGAAGTGCGGTTCACAAGGCTGGGGAAAGTACAGATATATAACGCGGTGCTCTCTGACATGTGCCATTGGGCAAAGTCTGCGCCACAAACTCATCATACAACATGCATAGAGACGAAAGAGACACACACGCACTTGCGCCTCGCCTCCTGTCTCGCCAGGGTTTCTCGTCATGGTCTCGATGGATCAAAATGAGGACCGGTGGCAGGCGGTGAGGCCACTGAGGCGAGATATAGACATTTAATGGTAATGACTTGAACAACACTGACCCAAGGTGTGCTCTCATCAAATTCTACAGTGAAATGCCTCGGCGTCAGGTTGTGATCGTGGAATGAGGAAATGCTTACGCACATAGTAAGTACCACATAATTAAGATACGGTCGTCGAGACGCACAGGCTTGGCACATACTGTATCCTGGAGAAGCAGTGGCAGGACTACTTGAAAATTTTGATATCTCTCCCTATCGCTTGCACACACACACACACACACACACACACACACACACACACACACACTGGAGAGTGGTGGCGTCCAAGGGCAAGATGGCGAGTGATGTATGTTTTAGTATTTATGGCCGGCCTAAGCGTTTTCACGGGCTCTAAGCTTAGTTATATTTAGATGTGTCCTCTCCTTCTCACTTCCGCCAATGCGGAATGCAGGACTGGCCTGGCGCTCGCTGAAGGCCAGAGACCATCACCCTGACGGATGTGGATAAATTGTACAAGAAATATACATGGATAGCCCAGATGGTGGAAGGGCCTCCCTCACTCAGCTCTCTCGACAACGCGCTGCCAGCTTAATTGGCGGCGGCAGCGGCGGAAGCAGCACCGAGCTCCCTGGTGTGACGATGCACATCCTCATCGTGGTGCAGCATGACTGGGATCCCCTCGTCACGCGGGCTAGGCCATTGGGGGGCCTGCCGGCCTGAAATGCGGTACCCAAGTCGTTTTGTGTCGCCATCTATGCGGTACCGCATCATATAAAAGGCGCTGTCTGGGCGCTCGTCGTCTTCGCGCTCCAATTCGATGGCTGCTGTGCGTGCCTTCTCTTCCATCTGCTTGAACTTCTCGAACTGGACCACGGCATCGTTCATGATTCGCAACGCCTCTGCCGAAACAGCCGCGCTGTGGTCTGCAATATTTGCCCGCTGGGCCTTGGTGGAGTCGATGCCGCTCTGGAGGATCGCTCGAATTTCTGTCCTCCGTTCATCATTGCCAGTCATGTTTTGAACATGACGCCGTACGGACTTGAGCTGGTCCATGGTGTTCCTTTCATCGGCCATCTTGCTTTGTGGTATTGCGCTGATGAGTTCTTTAAGTCCGTCCACATTCAAGGTTTGCGTGTGCAGCATCAGCAGTGCTCGGAACGTCTGTCTCGAGAAGCAGGGATTGGTGGTGCCAGCCTTTTCCATCGCAAGCTTACACAGCAGCAATGCTCGATCATGCTGTCCCAGCTTGATGCATGTGATTGCAGAGTTTGCGTAAGCCTTTGGTTCCACATCAATCTGCAGAGCCTCAAACTTGTGTACGGTCCTTTGCATATGCCGGAAGACCTTCTCAGGTGATCCTCGTACTCTGTCGAGTTCATACTTGAGATAAGCGGTTGCCGCGGACGTAACGGGGCGTCCACTCTCATGTGCTTTCTGGATAAGGTCCAGGGCAACCTTGTGACCTCCAGCTTTATGGAAGCTCGCAATTACGGCCAAGCGCAAACATCGTTCGCTGTGCGGCATGCCATAACTGCTTGCCCGTTGGTAAAGAAAGAGAGCAGCAGCGGGTTTCCCATTAGCAAGGTGGTGACTCATGGCATCATGCGCTTCCCGGGCATCCATAGGCCGTCCCGCTAGGGTGCGTTTATCGACCGCAAGCTCCTTATGTCGTATTGGACGCGGTGTTCCTGTGGTGGAAGACGTGGCAGCGGCGCGGAGGATACGGCGCGTGACTGCATTGTATGAATCCGGGTGAAGGGCCCTCATTCTGTTGGACAGCTTCTGCAGCTGCCAATAGGACAAGCGCCACCTCGTCCGACTGTTATCAAGAATGACGTTGCAGAAGCTGGCGTCTAGTGTTACGCCCGAATCGAAACAATATTCGAACCATTCGAAAAACCCATCCCTGTCCTCCACCTCGCCATATTTGTTGGCAACAACCGTCATCATCCAGGGGTTGAGCTTAACGGCAAGATGTGACGTATACTTGTCAAGGAATAAGCGAACATCACCAACGCAATTCTTTCTGGAGAATTCCTTGAGCACAGGCACAAAAGCCATCGAGTACTCAGCCTGTTGCATTTTGTAGGCTGATGATCGTCGCATCGCCGCGAACATTTCCTCTGTGGCTGCCCAATCACCGGCCCGGGCCTTCCGAAGTGCAAAGTATCCTTGAATCGGGATATCCATGCACATCGCGGGGAAAAGCCGTGTGACTTCTTCGAGGTATTGTTGAGCTTGCGCTTCTTCGTCAGCTCGCAAAGCAAATTCAATGATGGCTCGATATGAGCCTTGAGGGTGCGCGGTGCGGTCGAGGAGCCCTTGCGTTCTGACATCCTCAAACAAAGCTTGGGAGAGCGTAAAGTCCTCGTGTCGTTTCCAATGGGCGTGGAGGAGACGCATGATCCATCTTGACCTCAACTTGCCGTCGGCTGCATCCTGCATACGCGCAAGGGCCTGTAGCACTTGGCCGACTTTACAAGCACTTGTTTTCTCCACAGCTTGCACGACGCAGTCGACTGTATCCTGGAAGCCTTGGAAGCTCGGTGTCATCTTGGCGTAGTTGAGCAGGAAATATTTGATCACTCGCTTGTGGTCGCCAAGGTCGAAAAGCGACTTGATGAACCACCCGACAAAATCGCCGTCGTTAGACTGGGACAATACGCGCCAATAGACAGACTCCATGCTCCTGACGTCCCTCATGCGGCTAGCGAGTGTTATAAGTTCCTCGCCAAGATCATGGACTTCTTGGCTGTGCATGTGAGGGCTTTCGGGAAACACGGTGTTGAAAAGCCGAACGGCAGTGCGAAAATTGTCGCGGGAGATTGCGTCTAAACCGTCAGGAGAAATGAGTTTTCGCATGACCATCATCGGATCGTGGGCGTAGAAGTCTGCCTCGTCAATCGTACCTGGCCTCAAGGCAACGTTGATGATTGCTAGGGCATGCTCCCATTTGCCTCGCTTTTGGCACTCTTTAGCGAGCCTCGCTGACAGAAACTTCCACGCCGGTCCGTTTGATTCGTACGCGTTGGTGAGCTGGCACCCGCGAAGGAATTCGGCTACCGCACGGTCAATGCTGGCTTTGTCGTGCTCGTTGTTGAGCTCTGCTTGGATGGCCTCGATCAAGGACGCGACCTTGCCCTCGCCAGCGTGGCCTGGTGTGGTTCTTGAGGACAGACCCCAAGGCAAGCTCGGTACAGTGCCCGGGGGCAATAAGAGTTCCTGCGGCGGGATGGCGACCCGGACAGGCTTTCGCCGGGTAGACGATTTTCGTTGTGAAGCTGAGGGTGCGATGTCCTGTTGTCCCTGGCTAGCCCCAGATTGACTCTTCGTATGCTCCTCGTTCAAAGCAGGCAGCTTCTCTGACTTGCTTTTCTTCGAGTGATCGACTCTTCTTCGGGCCGGCAGCTCCAGGTCGTCGAGTGAAAGTGGCTGATCATGAGGGTGTGGACCGAATCGCATTGCTACGGCGTCCTCATCGAACGGGAGCCACGAAGCAGCCTCGTCTGGATTCGATCGGTATCGTCTGGCCGACTGGAGCTTCTCCTTGTTGGAAACTGCGGTCTGCAGCGTACTGATGCGGCGCCTGCGGTCTTCGACGATAGCCCCGATGGCACAGGAGGTCCCCAAAGCGAGACCTCGAAGAGCACGAATGGCCGCTTTCGAGGGTACTGGGATGGGCGGCGTCATGGTGTCGCGTGCCTGGCGCAGAATGCGCCGTGAGCATCAGTCGTTCAATTGGATATGTGTAAGGACCGCATGTCTTCACTAAGCGCTAGCGAAAGACGGCCTTGGATCCAGCTCGACAGTCGTCGAATGTGGTGCTACAGGCGGGCATGCACAAGATAGAAACATACGACCAGCGAGATTCTGCGCGGAGCGGAAGGCCCGACCCACACTTCCATGCACTAAGCGAGGGGTATGATCTAAGCACAACAGAGCGAGGGATGGGCTGGGAGTTGACGCTGTGCACGTCTGGTGACAGTAGCAATCCCGCCGCTGACACTTTCAAAGAGAGCGGGAGAATCGCGCGATCGTAAGCTGAGTGTATTTCTGTGATTCTTACTTACAAGTCCCCCTCCGCGTGGGACTGATGGCTTCTATAGTGACATGTCTAATCCTTGTCTTTATTCCCACACAACGCCATGCAAATGCTTCCTTAGTCTACAGCGACTGCCTCCGCCAGAAAAAAAAACCTTAACATCGTACAAGACGGCCAATCGGTATCTCTGTCGCCAGTATTATACAATGAGCTCGGGTGTCTCAGATGGGAACCAGACGTCCAGATTCTTCAATATGGTCTGGTATAAGAACAACATGCATCCGCTCTGAACACTGGTCCAGACAGCACGCGGGCCCACGCCTCTGAACCAGCCTCCTATACCTTCATGGCGATAGATGAGGCGGAGGCCCTTAGTAACGGACTCTGTATCCAGCGTAAGGGCGCCTGGCTTTGGCGTGTATGTAGATGGAGAGGAGGTCGATATAGGCCGCTTGTATTCCTTTGACGGAGTGGAGTGCGTCTCCTTGACTTTGCTCTTCGTGTCTGTCGTGGCTCGTTCTTTGGTATGCGTCAAGACTGGCGGAGTGTCGATCTGTGTTTGCAACCTCGTCTTCACCACATCCAAGGGACAAGTAATGACTCCTGCGAGGCCGCCGCCTGCTGCACCAGTTGCGAACTCGAGTGGGACACCAATGTCTTTACTGTCTTTCCAGGCACGCGCCCAGGCCAGGAACTGCTCGTAGAACATGAACTGTAGCGCTGAAAAGGGGAGGTCGCGGTACAGCGTAGCCTTGTAGCCAGAGAAGAGCTCTGAAAAGCCCTCGGTGCGGACAATGACTTTGGCAGCGTCAAAGGTGCCGCGATAATTGTAGCCGGACTTGAAATAAGGATTGTTATACCGTCCTTGTAATTGTAACCTGGTTTTAAGGACTTCGGAAGGGACGTAGACGATCGACGCAGCAAGATCGCCAAGGAATCCTGTCGCATTAACCATGTCAGCCAATGTGCAAAGATCATCTGAGTCCTTGAGAGGACAGATGTACTGACCCGCTGTGAGATAACTCAGATGAGGTTGAATGCCATAATCGATCATATGCCGCTTGCTGAATTCATATGTTCCAAAGAAGAGCACCGTGCCAGGAAATGACCCCATCATGGCCGGCAGCCATCCGCCATAGAGACCTCGTCTGATGCCTTCCTGCCGCCATATTGTGTAGTAGGATGAGCCGAGTGATGTGTATTTGGGCGGGAAATGAGGGTCGCCCTGTTGTCTCGTTTTGACCGTGTCGAGCGAGTGCATGAGCATGTCGCCAGTCGTGCCACCAATTCCACCAGCTATCATAGCCTGGGAAGATCGTCAGCTGGTCCGCTCAAATCAAGGATGGTGCTGGATCATCACCCACATGAAGGTATGGCGGACGGCCCTCATCGTCCTCCCCGCCAGCGGTCATCTTTGCGATTGCTCAACTCGCGTCCCTGTAAAAAGCCAGGCCCTAGATCGGATTCACAGGGCTTTCACCATCCATTCTCACGAGCCCACGGCTCCGTCAATAGGCGAGTGCAGAGGTTGTAAAATATAGGCGTCGGGATAACTGGAAGCGGGCCAGAAGTCCCGTGGAAAGGCGGTCTCGCCCAAAGCGCTCTTGGTCGTAGAGTCGTGCGTATGTGAAGGAATCTAAGTGGGACAGCGATGTGTATAGTACAATGCGAACAATACAGGGCGTTCCGAGGGAGCCGCAGTGCGATGCGGGAAGTTGTTGAAAGGGGCACTCTATGCTGGAGGGCTACCACGTTCCCGCCGCGGCACGATGACGGGGCTCCCTCCCTCAATTTTTGTTGCGCGAGGAGACCCTAGGCAGCGCCCGCCCATTACGCCCGATAAGCGGCGATATCGGTCTAAACCAAAAAAGTCGGCCACCAGTAAACCCCGGCTGAGCTTAACACGGACCCAGAGCCCGAGGTCACAGTCATGACTAACTTCGGAATGCATCAGACGGCACAGCTCAATAAAATGCTGGATTCCATGAAGCTCGCTGGAGCAAGCGGCTCAACACATGATCTTGGTTATGGCTTTGTGTGCATGGTACATGGTCATGGCCATTGATTCACTTTGCCGCATCGTCCGGTGCAGACGACTCATGCTTGTTGGACTGGGATCATCCTCAACGCGAGGCTTTCGTCTTGTCGATATGCTCCCACCACCTGACCCGGCCCGCCTTATGGAAGGGATACAGGATATGCGTGACTTTGCCTGTGATCAGCCCTATGGGTACAGGGCCGTATGTGTTGCTATCCAGATTATCCCGCGCGCTGCCATCTCCCTGCACCCAGACGTGGTAGTCGGGTACCCGGACCACTGACTCGGGGAACGGACTTCTTGTCTTGACTACATCGCCCTCCAAACCCACGATCCTCTTTACAGCCGTGCTTTCCGGATTTGTCGGGTTCCTGACGGGAGATTGTTAGTATACACTGTAACCTCGGGTGGCACTCTGGTGGTTTCCAATTGAGTGCCGTCGGCCAAGACATAGCTTCTGCGCAGCTCACAGCCGTTGCATGTAGTGCTTGACTTTTCAAAGGACCTACCAGAATGTGACGATCATCCCACGCTTTAGCCCCTCCTGAGCCTTGAACTTGTAGTTAAGCACAACATCATTGCGCATCGTCGAGTCCTTGTCTGCATTGAAGTACGGGTACATGGAGGCGCCGCTGATCCAGGTCACCTCAGCCACCCAGTCGTTGAACATGATGATGACGGGCATCCATAGCAGGGTCGAGGCAGCGAAGGCTCCGCCATTCCGAAGCTTGCTGCCAAGCGAAGAGGCCCGGGCTTGATGGCCTCCTGCTGCCGGCTGCGGCACTGCACGCCTCAGAAAAGACCTCCAGATCATGTGCTGACAGGATGGGGCAGTCGAAAGCAGTGGATTGTAGTTCGCTATACCTGCCGTTGTGGTGACTTGCGATGCTGGAGGGTTAGAAGGTGCTGCCACAGCCCACAATGCCGGACTGCAACTTTCCCTGGTTAGAACCATGCGTGATGGGCCCCCACATTGGAGCTGCAGCCACCAATGTCTCACTCAAAGTTTGTACAACTTCCAGTATGTAAGCCGCCCCTCATTCTCATGTCCAACTACTTAAAGGGCTATTCCGCAGAACATCAGAGGGTGAACACAATCAACAGGACTTGTCCGTACAGTCGATTTCTCGGCAGCTCTGCGTCGGCCGAACCACCATGATCTGCCCCATCACAACCACGAGCTACCTGCTCGGCACCACCTTCATCGGCCTCGGAGCCTTTGGCCTGGCCAGCCCAGCACAGGCACAACTCACCTTCGGCGTTCGCCCTTCCTCACCCTCGGCCGCTGCGGCCGGCAATCCCGAGACTCAGGCCTTCATTTACTCCAAGGCCGGGCGGGACCTCGCCTTCGGCGCCCTGCTGGTGCTCTTTCAATACCGCCGCAACAAGCCTGGCGTGACTACCGTGATGGGCCTCGCCGCCTTTGCTGGCTTCGTCGACGGCCTTGCAGTGTACAAGTTCGCGCCGCCTGACCTGCGGCCCAAGGTTTGGGGCCATTGCATTGGGGCGTCGCTCATCCTTGCTGTCGCAGTCGTTCGGTATAGGGCTCGTTTGTGGTAGACGCCAATATCAGCTGGCCGCTCGCTCACAAACTTGGAACCACGCTGAATGCAGCATGTGCGTTAAAGGGTTCTCTAGCGACAGGAAATGCGGGCATCCCAATCGTGTGATCGGGCCCATGTTGCATTGCAGAAAAGCCGGAAGGAGTATTTGGATGATTTTGACCTTTTTATTGCCTATACTTTTGAGTATCTATCATCAACCCAGCACAATCTAACACATGTAGATGATGTCTCAACGCAGCCAGATCGTCTTTTGAAGCCGTGTTGAGACAGGTCCGAGCCTGCTGCAGTGGCTCTGTGACAAAAACGAGATGTGCTGTGGGCTTGACAACTATCCACACTCGTGTGGGTGTCCATCGGTCTGGCGGGGTGCAGATATCACAACATCGGGCCATCGGGTAGCCGGATGCAGCAGTGCTCTTTGGGAAGCCTCCTCCTGGCCGCCCATCAGGGCGTACGCTCCGGCGGATTTGTATGTTGGCCTCCGAAGCATTTCGTCCGACTTTTTGTTCCACCTTTCTACATCGTCTCGGGGGCGTTGTCGTCGCTCTCACTGACACTCTCGTCTCCACTGACTTCGGCGTTCTCACGCTCTCTCTTCTCCATCAGAGCTTGCAGCTCAGCATCATCGGAATCTGTGACAGCCTTGGGATCCATCTTCACGACGAGCTGGCCACCAGCCTTCTCGATGCTGGTACGAATGTTGACAATAGCCTCCTCTAGCCGGGCGATACCGGTGTTCTTGTCGAGACATGTGTTGGTCAGTACGTAGAGTGGCGGCGACACAAGTCGGACCTTGACCTGGTTTTCTTCGGTGTTGCCAGCCTCAGCAGTGCGGAGAGCAGCCTTGACAGCGTCGATGCCCTCGTACTCGAAGCACGTAACTTCGACGTCAGCGCGGACCTTTGTAGGCTGAGGGGTGAGGCGCTTTCCAATGTAGGACTTGAGCTCTTCCGAGACGGCGTCGCTAGGGAATGTGATGTCGCTCCAGACGTCGGGGTTTCTAAGGACGATGTCAACCGACTGCGCGATTGTGTAATGACTGTTATGCTTCGAGTAGACTCGAGCAGAACCCCGTGACTTACGTGATGGAGAGCTTGAAAGCATCGATGGCGTGACCGTACTTCTTGTTAAGCGGCCAGGCTATGCTCTCGTACAGCGACTCGATGGGGGTGTTGACCTTCTCAGCAACGTGGCGCATGATGGAGTGGACCATCTTGCTCTTGTTGTAGCGCTCCTCACACTTGACGATATCCTCGGGGGACACACGGCGCTTTGACAGATCAATGTAACCTAACCGAAAGTTTTAGCCAAACAGCGTTTCGCGACGTGGGATCTTCGGTGGCTCAAGCGTACCCTTCTCCTTGTCGACTCTGAGAACGACGACGACTTCGTTGCGACCGACTCTGATGAGCTTCTGAATGGATCTGATACGACGTCTCGAAAGTTCGGAGAGCAAAATCATGCCGTCGATGTTGTCGTACTCGAGCAGTTTTACGTAGGCACCCATATCGGCGATCTGGGCGACAACCAGGGTCAGCGATCTGAGCTGTACTTGGACGCAGTGTCTTGTCGCGTGCTCACCTGCTTGACATTGACCATGACGAAGCTATCGATCTCCGGATACTTCTCCTCGTAGAAGCGGCAGTTGGTTAACGACATGTTGGCGGTTTGTTGCGCTCAGTACTGGGTGAAGTCGAAGTGGCGTGTCGTGAGTTATTGCGATGCGGGGGTTTGAGGGACGAGTGAGACGATGGGCCGGGGTCGCTCTAGGATTGCAGGGCGTCGGAGAAGTGACTGGCGATCCGGACGTTCTCGAAGAGGGGAGGCTTGTCGACGTTGCGAAGCGGTGGGATGGCGATGATGTCGCTCGTCGTCGTCTGTCGTGGCTCGTCTGGTTGCGCTGCGAGTCACCAAGTCTTGCGTGGGGCACAACGGAGGGGTTCAAAATGTCGAAAATTTACTAATGTGTGAGCCAGAACTGTGCAGCGAGCCCGCTCGGGCTGTGGCATATTTAAACGGCGCATTCCGGCCGCGATCACACCGCTGACTGCTGCAGGCCGGGCCGTTCTTTTGATCGTGTGAGCCACATGTCGCACAGTGCTGGTGCCGCATACATAGCTCCAGGCTGGAGGATCTTTGCCAAACGGTCGGCCAGCCTTGTGGCTCAACGAACGCGGACGCGAACCCCCACGCCACGCTTGTTGTGTCTCGGTCGCAGAGTCTGGACGAGAACTCATGGCCATCATGGGATCACATGGTCCAGTATTTTAATCTGTTGTACGCAGCCTTGTCGTGTCGATTTACAACTCTGGCTGCTGGGGGGGCTCGTCAACGTGGACTGTTTGCAGCATCTCAGAACGGCACTGTGTGCTCGAGAACCGGGATGCAGCATGTGGGCTGCAAAAGAGTGACGCCTGGCCCCGGCAGAGCAGGCCCAAGCTTCCGAGAAAGCTATCCTCCACCTCGGCGCAGATTTGCGCTGTCCATCTCTTTTTTCCCTCTTCATTTCCTCAACATGCCCAGGTGACTTGGAACCCTCAAGCTTGCACTCCTGGATCACAAGATCCCGACCCGGCCCAGCATGCCGCGGAGCTTGCCAGTCCTCCCTGTACCTCCACCTTGATCGCCGATCGTGTGCAGAGTCCGCTTCCTACCCGACTCCCTGGCCATTCCTCGGCCCTCGTCTCGTTCTTCCCTCTCGGACCGCCATGCCGCAGAGCCAGGCTGTGCATCCAAGCTCCGCGACAACGTGTGTTTGACAATCACTTGCGAGCACATTTAGCCTCAGCAGCATCCCGGCCAAATCCATCACAGTCGTCATCATTTGCGCATTCTTGGTGATGCAACCGAAGCCACGCTTCTGGCATCGTCTTCCGGTTGGCTCAGGCGGGTCTGCGTCAGCATCTCAATCATAGCAAAGATGGACATGCTTGAAGCTGCAGCTGGGAGCGGCAGTGCCAGCTCCAGCACTATCGCGGCCGCGCTCAACTCTACGGCAGCTGCAATAGCAGCAGCCTCTACACTAGCACTGGAGGGCAGCCGAGAGGTGCCGCCCTCGTCATGGCTCGGCCTTTTCGGCAAGCTGATCTTTTGGGTCCTCCAGGCCGTTTCTTTTGTGGTCTTTTGGAGCCTCAAGATCACAACAATCTCGGTGCCGACCTTGATCTTCTCTCTGCTTTCCACGAGTCTGACAGTCACCATGAAAGCGACAACGCTCATGTTCTTGACCGCGATCATGGGAGCTGGTATCACATGGGTGGTCAGGTATCGCTACCTCAACATGTACTCGCGGCTGCCACCTGAGCCTCAGCGCCGGGAGCCCGAGCTTGTTCTCTTCCCGGATGTTGCTCATGAGGGCGCCAAGCCCGGCTTGGCCAACTACCTGGACGAGTTCTTGAGCGCTATCAAGATCTTTGGCTACCTTGAGCGCCCAGTGTTCCACGAACTCACGAGGAGCATGCAGACAAGGAAGCTTATTGCTGGCGAGACACTGAACCTGGAAGAAGAAAAGGGTTTCTGCATTGTCGTCGACGGCTTGGTCGAGATCTTTGTCAAGTCGTCTCACCGTGACACGATACAGTCCGAAAAGACACGTATTCCGCGCCGTACTGGCGGACTAGACGAACATGGACGCTCAGGCCAACAGCGGTATCAGCTGCTGACCGAGGTCCGCAATGGTGCACCCATGTCTTCTCTTTTCTCGATCATGTCGCTGTTCACGGAAAACGTTGCACTCAGCCTTCCGGGAGAAGAGAGTCCTGGCCCTGAATTCATGGAGACTGGGTCCTTGCACCGCCGTTCAACATCCGAACTGCAGCCTGGGACGCCCCAGCGTGATGGAGTCCACGATGGGTATTTCACCGTAACACATGAACCAGAGGCAATCACGCCGGTTTCCCCAAGCAAGACGACGGAGTCTGGCATTCCGCCGATTTCTCTTGATTCGTCGGCCCCGTTTAGGCCGACACGGCCAGCATTTGTCAAGAGTCACAGGACAAATTCTGCACATCCAGATATCATCGCTCGGGCTACTGTGGACACGACAATCGCCATCATTCCTGCCAGCGCCTTCAGACGTCTTACGCGCGTATATCCAAAAGCAACCGCCCACATTGTTCACGTCATCCTGTCGCGCTTCCAGCGTGTGACACTTGCTACGGCGTACGACTATCTCGGACTGACCAGTGAAGTCCTTCAAACAGAGAGAGACATGATCGATTATACCGCTTGCCAACTGCCGAATGTTTTGCGTGGCGATGCTTTAGACCGGCTTAAAGAGAAATTCAGTATGGAAAGAGAACGAACTGGAGACAAGGATAGTGGCAAGGGCATTGCGCTGCACAATACTTCGGCAACTTCGCGAGGCCGCCGGGGAAGCACAGGCTTACGCAAGGATGCTGCTCTTCACGCAATGAGCAAGACTTTGCCACGGTCCGTTGTGGCCTCTACTATTGCACCTCCTCAAGAAAGGCAATCCATCCACACTGCTGGCCCTGGAGATCTTTTGGCAAATGTGCAGCTGGCACGTGGCTCTGTAGCGCGACCTACGCCGCTCAGCGACCCTTGGGCACCAAACGAGCACCCTAGCCCTCTAGCACAGCGCACTTTTGAGTACTTTTCTGCTCAGCCACGCGCCAGACTCTCTATTGATCCGCGGGGGTCTGTTGACGAGGACAACATTTTCCGGCAGTCCATCTTGGAGTGCGTCTTCCATGCTCTGGGCATGCCGCAGGAAGGTCACACACCTCGCCAGGCAGATTCGGTAGAGGGTTCGCCCCGACTCGTCTCTTATGACCAGAGACGTCAGAAGGCAGTGTTTTCCAACAACGCTTTCGGTTTCATGGAGCCATTCGAGAACAATGCTGAATGGGAGTCAGAATCCATGACGTCTGGCGGATTCTCAATCGGCCGCACTCCGACACCACAACAGCTAGCCAGCGAATTGAAACACGAAGCCGAGATTGTTTTCTTCCCACAAGGCTCGGTCCTCGTGGAGCAAGGCGAACGCAGTCCTGGCATATATTATGTCATTGATGGCTTTCTTGACCTTTGCATACCTGCTGGCGATTCCGACCGGGATATCCTTACTTCGTCCAGCAAATCGCTCATGTCTGCCATGCGCAGGGCAGACTCCCTTGGGCCTCATAATTGGACACCATCCGAGTCTGTCAGCCCCCAACGTCCAGATCAAAGCTCCACCGGCACGCCTGAGGCTACACCTCGAAATGGGCCCGAGCGTCGTAGGGTCGGGCTTGTCAAGCCTGGCGGGATCGCTGGTTATATCAGCACCGTCACGTCTTATCGTTCCTTCGTTGACATTGTCGCGAAGACTGATGTTTACGTGGGGTTCATCCCTCGTGCCCAGCTGGAGAAGATTGTTGACAGATACCCTATCGTCCTGCTTACCATGGCCAAACGGCTGACCAATCTTCTCCCTCGACAACTGCTGCACATTGATTTTGCTCTCGAATGGGTTCAGGTCGAGGCTGGCCACGTGCTATTCAATAAAGGAGAGGATAGCGAGGCAATTTATCTCGTTCTGAACGGTCGTCTCCGGCAGGTCGAGGACCGTCAAGATGGGGGCATGAGTGTCAGGGCCGAGTTTGGTCAGGGCGACAGTGTTGGTGAACTGGAAGTGTTGACAGAGTCTGCTCGGAGTGGAACGTTGAGCGCGATTCGCGACACGGAGCTTGTCAAGTTTCCGCGAACGCTCTTCAACAGCCTTGCACAAGAACATCCCAACATCACCATCAAAATCTCCAAGATTATTGCGTCGCGCATGCGCACCCTGATCGACAATCCCATGCTTGCCAAGGATGGCGGTTCGGAAACAGCCATTTACAAGACGTCCTCTACGCTCAACTTGAGGACTGTTGCGATCATTCCAGTCCGCGCTGGCATTCCGGTCGTTGAGTTCGGGAACCGCTTGATGGCTGCCTTGACCCAGGTCGGCCCCCCAAGCGGAGCGACATCTCTGACTCAATCTGCCATTCTCAGTCATCTGGGCAAACATGCTTTCAACCGAATGGGTAAACTCAAGCTCGCACACTACTTGGCTGATTTGGAAGAAAAGTATGGCCTTGTTGTTTACATTGCCGGTAAGTCAAAATTGTCGCCACGCAACTTCTCCACTCGCGGAATGATGAGAAAACACCTTGCCCGAGCTCGCTCAATGAAGGTTCAAAATAACTCTAATTTTTTCCTGACCGCCATTCACCTCTCTACAATGTCATTCACTGCACAGCCTGTCTTCAGAGCTAACAACAGACACTCGTCATAGATACCAATGTCAATTCTCCATGGACGCAGACTTGCATCACACAAGCAGACTGTATTCTTACGGTCGGCCTTGCTGAGGGTTCTCCAGAGATTGGCGAGTACGAGCGTTTCATGCTCGGTATGAAGTCAACAGCCAGGAAGTCCCTGGTACTCCTCCATGCCGACAGATACTCGCAACCAGGACTGGCAAGATCGTGGCTGCGTCATCGGGTGTGGATCAATGGAGGCCATTTCCATATCCAGATGGCGTTTCGGCAAACAATGCCAGTTGACCCCACGCCCTCAAGAAAGGCGGGTACTACCTTGAAGCAACGCGTGCAGATCCTGCAAGCCGAGATTCAAAAGTACACTAGCCGCAGGGTCCGTGACCGACCATACTATTCCCCCGAGGCTCCATTCAAGGGCGACTTTCACAGACTCGCTCGACGATTGTGCGGCAAATCCATTGGGCTAGTTCTGGGTGGAGGCGGCGCTCGAGGCATCTCTCAGGTCGGCATCATACGATCTATGGAAGAGGCCGGTATTCCGATCGACATCATCGGCGGCACCTCGATTGGCTCCTTCATTGGAGCACTGTACGCGCGCCACGCTGATGTTGTGCCCATGTTGGGCCTTGCGAAGAAGTTTGCAGGCCGCATGGCCAGCGTGTGGCGGTTCGCGTTGGACCTGACGTACCCGTCGGCTTCCTATACGACCGGCCACGAGTTCAACCGGGGTATTTTCAAGACCTTTGGGAACCACCAGATTGAAGATTTCTGGCTCGAGTACTACTGTAACACGACCAACATCAGCAAAAGCAGAGGTGAGATACACACTAGCGGATATGCCTGGCGGTATGTCCGAGCATCCATGTCTCTGGCCGGACTGCTGCCACCGCTCTGTGACGAAGGCAGCATGCTGCTGGACGGCGGGTACATTGACAACCTGACCGTCTCCCACATGAAGTCTCTGGGCGCCGACGTCATCTTCGCCATTGACGTAGGAGCCCTGGACGACGACACGCCACAAGCCTACGGCGATTCCCTCTCGGGAGTGTGGGCCTTTTTCAACCGCTGGAACCCTTTTTCTTCGATCCCCAACCCCCCCACGCTCGCCGAGATCCAGGGCCGCCTCGCGTACGTCTCGAGTGTCGACGCGCTTGAGCGCGCCAAGACCATGCCGGGCTGCATCTACATGCGCCCACCCATCGACGAGTACGGCACGCTCGACTTTGGCAAGTTTGACGAGATCTACCAGATGGGCTACGAGTACGGCCACAAGTTCCTCGCCAAGCTCAAGGACGAAGGTAAGCTCCCGCTCGTGGAGGAGACCGAGGCAAAGAAGGCGCTGCGCCGCACCATGGCTCCGAGACGGGCAAGCATATAGACAAGGGCCGTTTCCAGTCCTGTGCGCGCGCGCGCGTGTGTGTATGTGTCTTTTTGCATTGCATTCATCATCACCGAGCGTGGTTGGTCATTGGCGTCTGCATGTGTAGAATGCGACCTTGCAAGCAAGCCATTTACCGTGTACATGTCACGTCGGCACAGACTAGAGTAGACCTAGAACATCAGCAATGTCGTTTGTCGTTTGTCGATAATATTGACAGGCTTATTTGCTTTGAAACCGATCTTTCGTGCCGAATCACACCCGCGTTCTTCTGTGCTTGTGTAAATGTAGGCAGTGCATCTGTGGATTTGGATTAGCCACACCACTCTGTAACTGGCGCCACGACGTGGACGCGGCTTTTTTGAGCATCGTGCGTTTCACAGCGTTGTCGCCGTACACGCAAGGACAAGATCAGGTCATAAATTGTTTTTCATTCCCATGTAATCCCAATCCCATGCTAGATATGAGTGTATTCTTTCTGATTTTTTCATCTGCTGGCTCTTTCCCCCCCGATTCTTTTTCCTGTCCCCGTCACCTTGTCTGCGTTTGAACAACAAAGACTCGCCTCTCTTCTCCCTCCTCTCCCTCTCTTTCTCTCGAGACTTGGGGAAACAAAGACAAATCGCGCCTGGTACGCCGAGAAAATGCGTAACCCCTGGATCCGCCAGGGCATGTGTGCGTGTGTGTGTGTGTGTGTATGACCTGACAGAAAGAGGAGCTTCGTAGCCATTTGAGCCATGATACGTTTGTAGTAAAGGAAGAGCGACAAAAGCGTCTTGCACGCAAAAGAAGCTGCTGAAGCTACTGCTGCTGCTTGGGTGTGTACGTGCGGGAATCCGTCTCGCTTTAGTAGACCTTCTTCTTCTCGTCGATGCTGAACTGGCCGGGCCCGCCGTTGACGAGCAGGAGCAAGCCACCGACAATCGAGAGGATCTGGAAGAAGTCGTACTTGGCAAAGTCCTTGTGCGGGTGGTTGGGGTGGAGCTGTTGTTGTTTAAAATAAATGTCAGTATGCTGGATCTTACGATTTTGGAACTGGGGGAACGGGGCGTGTAAAATCATGACTTACAGTCCAGAAGTTGTTGACAAGTAGGTTGAAGATGCTGAGGATGACGACCAGCAGGGTTGCGCTGAACTTGGCCTTGAAGCCAACAACAACCATGACGCTCGCGACAAATCCAATAAGAGAGACAACAATGCGCCACAGGGTCCACTCGCCGCTGAAGACGAAGCCGATGAAAAGAAAGATGAGCAGGATGCGACCAGCGAGCTGGAAGTACATCTTGCGGTCCTTCTCGTCGAGAGTGGGGAGCCCGGCAAAGGCCTTTGTCTTGCGAACCCAAGAATCAGACAGGACCATGAGCAGGCCACCGCAGACCGAGAGGTTGCGAAGGAAGAAGTTGAGATCGAAGATGAGGCCGTAGCCGAGGGCCTGGAGCACGACAACGCCCATGAGGCCGGCGACAGCATAGTCTGAGTGCTTGCGGATGATGACGAGGGTTGAGCATGAGATCATGGCGATTATGTTGATGATGAGGAAGAGGTGCGTGACGCCACCGGGAACTGTAAAGGTGAGGCTGTCAGCAAACCATGACCACTGAGGCTCTGAGCTCTAGCGAGAGGGGGCCATATTGGCTGCTTACTTCCTCTGTACGAATTGAGGTACTGAAGCTGGTCAGACCATTGGGTGACGATGCGCAGGGCATCCTCGAGGAACGTCACGACGATCAGGAAGCGGCCAATGGCAGGGAGGTATCTGCAGCGAGTGAAGATTCAGGTCAGCGGAAATGCAGGGGCGCTTGAGCTCGAGCCGAGGCGGCGGCGGCGGCGGCGGCGGCGGCAACGTACGGCTTGATGGGCTCGGAGACGGTGTCGAGAAGGTCCTCGATCTTGCTCGTCTGCTGGCGGATGGCGTCGAGCGGGCTGGGATCAGCGGCCTCTGGGCGCGGGCCGCCGAAGGGGTTCTGGCCGCCGAGCTGGTAGCCAGCGGTGCCTCTGATCTGAGCCATGGCTGGGGGGTGGGGTTGGTGTTGCTGTGTGGGCGCTGGTGAGTGCTGCTTGTGCTGTGCTGGGCAGTTGGTGAAGCGGGAGCGGGAGCTCGAAGGATGCCAGAGGCCGAACGGAAAGCGAGTCGAAGGAGCAGAGAAGGATGAAGTGGCGGCAGAGGGCGTCGGGGCCTTCGAAAAAAGAGCCGGCAGCTAGCGGAGCTTGGTGTGAGGGAAGGACGAGTGGTGGCGGGCGGCGGACGAGGGTGAGTCGAGTCGATTGAGGAGGACCCTGCAAGTTGCAAGCTGGCCCGACTGGAGCGAGGAGCTCGTGCTGTAACGTGGAGCGGCGCAAGGGACCGGACGGTGGGCACTGCCGGCAGTCAACCACACCCGCACGCACACTCACTCTCAGACACACCCACAAGAGGTCTCTCTTGTTCTCTTTCTCTCCTCTTCTGTCGCAGCTTGCTGTGGGCGGGTTCAGAAGAACTACCCGCAGCTATGTATGGGCTGGTGTCGCGACTAGGAAATCGAGAAGATGGAATTGGGATCAGGGCAGAGTCCAGCAGGGCGTGCCGGTGGAAGCGGATGGCCCAGAGTGGTTATACACGACACAAACATGGCCGCAACGAGACATGAGCTCTCTGGACCTCCATAAAGAGCGACGTTGTGGGCGAGCAGAGGGCAAAGGGGGACCTCCAGGGCGGAGCCCGGGGCGAGGCGATCACGCGTGCAAGCCAAGCCTTGACGGTTGCTATTTATTCCTCTCGTGATTATCCTTGGGTCGTTCGACGCCATCATCTCTCCTAGTCCTGGGCCCAGTGGGCAGCTGATCCATGGTCAATGAGCGATGATGACGTTTATTCGTGCCATTGGTGTGTGTGCCGTGAAGGGTGGTGGTGACATGTACCTCCCTCCGGGCTTACAGGTCGAATACACCGTGTCCTCAAGACAACAAAGGAAACACGGAGCTCCCGTGTTCCTCACGGGCCTGCCCGATCGGAGACAAAACCCCACCAGGCACGGCATGCCACGCCGCAAAGGGGAAGGTCCGGACCCTAAACGCCCCCTGGCAGGCTTTGAGCTGTCTGCAGGTCTCTAGTTGCGGCTCTCTCTTGGCTTCTGGAGCCGCTGCCAGCTCTTTGCGGCAGCCATCCAGGTCGCCCCGTCCAGAGCTTCTTTATCCATTCTAATGTAGTCGCATGGCGGCCAGCCCTTCGAATGGTCAACGACTTGCCATCTTGGGGGCTGCCGATGCCACCTTCTCCGCACATGCACCCTCCATTCCCCAATGCCTCTCTATGAACACGGTTGCCACTTGGGGAGCGAGGACCCCGCAGCTCCAGTCGCCCACCAATTCGTCAACTGCCATCATCGTCGTGGTTTGTTTGGTGTCTGCTAGAGTCTTGAGAAACCCTTCAGGCACGTTACCTCGCTCTGCTCAGAGATCCGGCTAGTGGCGCGTGCCAGACAGGTGGACGCAGCCCTGCTGCTACCAGCACATGCCAATCGTCGTCCAGCCCACCATTTGCATTGTTGCGCCTGCTCAGAGAGACGGCTCAATTGTGAACGGCACATGCCAGCTCGCCCTGGAGATCTGCCCTGGGATCCGTCGGAAGAATGCACGAGCCATCAGAGCACGTTCCCTCTCAAGTTTTCTCTCCGGACACCGGATCCCGGACACAAAGGAACAATGGGTATCCTTTTTGATATACACAATCTACTTACATGGCGTGGCCTGGTCTTGTTATATACACGTCTAAAGCCTTCCATTTCCCGCCCTGTTGTTACATCCCTCCTTTATCTCGTTTTGAGCTTGGTGGCACTGGCCTGCATGTAGCCGCTCTCGACAACCAGCTTGCCGAGGCACCACAAGTAGCAGATGCCGAACCCAGCAGCACCCAAGCCCACGTTGGCCACTACCCACAGATCCGGCTTTCCTGTGGGTGGCGTCATGGTCGCCTGCAACACGTGCCAGGCACACATGCACAGGTAGAAAATGCCGTGCACGACCACCGTCCCCCACTGCTGCCAGCCGAGTGGCCAGTCCTGGAAGTATGTGCTCAACGAGACTGGCGGAAGCCCGAGTAGGTATGCCCACAGCAGAGTGAAAACGGCATAGGGCACCCGCAAGTCGACTCTCTGAAGAAGCGGGAACATTGTCCAGGCTCCAAGCAGGTTTGCAAAGCCCACCCAGGCCCTCGTGTCCCTGCCCAGTCCTTCATGTCCAGCCAACAGCAAAGTCATCGGCATCAATGGCAGCAATACGCTCTTCTCGTGAACCTGGTAGCTGAAAAGGAAGAAGCCCCATGCCGTGGCTGCAAAGGCGTAAGGGAGCAGTTCTCGTCTCGGGCGCAGCAGAATCACTGCACAAGGCGGAGTAATTGCCGCCAGTGTTGCGACCAGAGACAATTTCTGGAGCACGGCGGTCGGATACTTGCGCAACTTGATGACCACGTTGGCGGCGCACCAGAAATTGGCAACCTTGTCCTCAAATAACCCGCGCGCAAATGGGAAGACGCGATGGACCATCTGAACCAATTGCTCAACAACCGGGTAGTAGAACGCATCGGTGCTGATGAATTGAGTGAGAAAAGCAAAAATGGGTAGCGGTGGTCGGCCACCATTGATGTCGGGTTGAGACTGAATGCCTCGCCTGGCGTCGTATATCGTACCCAGGACTAGTGGCAGCACCAGAATGGCAAACGACACAATGGTGACGGCGGCAATTCCGAGAAAAAGGCGGAAGTTGTGCGAGAGCACGGAACGTCCGAGGAGGAATGCAAACACGACTGGCGCGTAGTAAAGCGCCATCTGCTTGAATCCCAGCGCAAGGACGAAGAAGGCTGCAGACCACATCAGACGACCAGCAACCATGCTCGACATGGAAGCAACCACCAGTCCAAGCATGACCGTGTTGTACTGAAAGTGAACATGGTCAATGAGGATCAGCCCTGGCTGCATGAGGATTGCCACAAGTGCGACGTTGGAGGTCCACTGCGCAATGCCAGAGGCTCGGCTGAACCTGCGGACAAAGATGACGACAGCAGGGATATAGATGAGGTACTCGGAGACGATGACGGTCGCCCGCATGAATATTTTGAGGTTCGGGTTGTGGGAGCCGCGAGACGTGTAGAGTTCGAACCATGAGGGGTCGATCAGTGAACCAATCTTGCCGAGGAGCCAGCTGTGGTATGCTGTCAGAGGGGGGTAGTCGAGTCCCCACCACTTGAGGTCGTGAAAATACCACTGCGACATTGGCAGCTGTGTTGTGACCTCCATCCAGTGGCGTTGCGCTTCGTAGTCTCCGAACAAAGGTGGTTTCTGAAAGCCTGTGATGAGCAATGTTAGCCAGGCCCTTGTGCTCGATGTTTCGAGAGCAGCTCTGAAATTCAGAAGCCGACCCTCGTGCCTAGCCCAATGGGTGACCACTGCTCTGGGTAGAGCTGACTTACCTGAGTATCCCCAAAGACCTGCCGACCACCTGAAGATGCCGACCGCCATGAGAATCAAGGGCAGGACTTCCCATTGTGAATGCGAGCTTCTAGCTGGCCATAACAAGGCCGCGAGGGGGAATGACGGGGTGCGGACGAGCGTTTCTGGTTTCCTTGAAGGGTTGTCGTCAAAGCGAGCCGTCTTCTTAGCCCGGCGTCGGGGATTGTGTGCGGGTGAAGCCGCCGGGGTGGCCATGTTGACGAGTCCTCGCTAGCCGGCAAGGAATGGCGGCAGCTTCGCTAATTGAACTCGTATCTGGTGGTGTGGGCTGTCGCGATTGTGTGCGTGCGAGCGAGGGAGCTGCGGGAGTTTGGGGAGAGCAGCAGCGGTGGTTGCCAGCGCGCGTTGTGGAAATGTCGCCAAATGCGCAGCTGGAGTTGTGAGGCGAACGCTGGGATCAGGGGTTTCCGGGGCCCCACGGCAGGCACGGCCTGCGGCGCACCTGTCCAACCCAAACTTGGCGCCAAGACAGTGAGCTTCAGCGGCGCGCGGAGCTGCAGGGCAGCCAGCCCCTCCAGGGCCTCCCCCCACGGCAGCTGTTGCGACGTCCTGTTTCTTGGGGACGGTTGGTGAGCAAGTCATGGGGACCTGGTGAGGGAAACTCGAGATATCGTCCATAGCATTGACAGAGTTCAGGCCCTCTTTCAGAGTCGAGAGTCCTGGACATACACACTCCCATCAGGGCCTGCAGCGCACAGTGCACGACTCCTAGGGGCTGCCCAGCCTCAACCTCACGATGCCGTTCCCTTTCACCTTGCCTACTACGTCATCCTTCACCTTCTCGTCCAGCTTCCAGAGCGATTCTCATCCCTCACTGCCTCTGGGCACCAGTGACCACCGGGCAAGGCTGCGGGACACTCTGAAGAAGCACAAGAGGCTCCCAGCGACCTCCCAGCCTGCTGACCTGCCTGCCGTCGTGGCTGCAACCAACAGCTACCTCCCGTATCTGTTCGCCCTCGATGCTGGGCTGAGCCGCAGGCCTCTGCTGAATGACCACATCAGCCTCTCCCCGACCTCCACACCAAGTATAGAATGGCGGCCAACCCTCTCAGACAATGCCATCCCCGGCCGGGAAACTGCCCGCGTCAAGCTGCAGTCTCTCGAGAACGAGCTCTCCTTCACGCTGGCAACCCTGGGCTACACGCACTCGCAGCTTGCCCGCGCAGCACTACACCCCCTATACTCAACATCTGAGGCTTCCCTCAGTGCCCAGGCCCGCACAGCAGCCATCACGACAGCCTCAAAGCACCTCCTCGATGCCGCCTCGGTACACAGCTACCTCGCCAAGCGCGGCGAATCGCACGTCACAGCGCCTCCGTGCCCAGACATTGCACAGTCGACGGCGAAAGCGCTGTCCCTGCTGGCCCTGGCAGAGGCCATAATCCTAGCTGTCCTAAAGGACGACCCGTACCCGGCAATCGTGGCCCAGGACAGGAACCAGAACGACCGCGAGTGGATGTACAGAGCCCCCGAAATCCCCAAGGTCCGCGTGCACCTGCTCGCACGGCTCTGTCTCGCGGCGGCAGATCATGCCGCGCAGGCGTCGTCGCTGTGCCAGTCGCTACCTGCGAAGGGAATCTCGAAGCTCAACGATGGCTTCCTCAAGTATCTCGAGGACTTCCGCAAGACCTGCCGGGCAAAGGCATGTCGTTTCTTGGGGCTGGACGCGGACATGTCAGGGCAAACAGGCACTGCCATCGGCTGGCTGCGTACAGGCCTTCAGGAACTCGGGGTAGAATCCACCGAAGCGAAGAAGGGGCTGAGTCTCAGCAGGATGAAGAAAGACTGGTCAGAGCGTCGGGAGGATAAGAAGGTCGAGAAAGGGACGACGTGGGGCTCTGACGGTGGCAAGTTCGAGGAGATCAGAATCCTCGAGATGCTCAACGCGAAGTGGTCAAAGATGAACGACACCGTGAGTAGGCCCTGTCGCCGATCAGCCCGAAGCGACACACAGATACTAACACCAACCACGACACAGATGCTCACGCAGACCGTTCCCGCGCCACCAACGTTACTAGCCGGGTTGCCGTCCGGCAGAGATCCTTACTCTGTCAAGACGTATGAGCCGCCGGAGCTTGACAAGGAAGTCCTCGACGCGATGCGAGCACCTCCGAGGCACGAAAGTGTCTCGGACGACCATCTCGACGGCGGCATGAGCTCTGGCGACGAGGATAGGCAGGCCACACCGCAGCCAGTGGGTGCCTTTCCAAGCACCCAGGGCGACTATCGGACTGAGTCGGCGAGATCTTACTATTAGAGAGCATTTCGGTCGACCATGAATGGAGCTAGACGATTCGATATTGGAACGCCGAAAAATCATCGTCGTCACCATGGAATTGGTCAGATACATTGTCTCATTTGCCTGGACGGTATATACCCTGCCCTCATCCGTGGTCGATGCTAGAGATTTAATCACCACATATCTGAATCTGGAACCGGCTTCAACATATTGGATGCAACTGATTGAAACCCATGCCGTGCTGCTGACTATGCTACTGGCCATGCTAAAATCGAGTACATGCTCTCTATTTCCATGATCTAAAACAAATCGGCGATGATCCGGAAGCACAGTCCTCCAATGCATGAACATATCATGAGCCAGACCAAAGACAAGATGTCAAGACCACTAGAGTGCGTCTCAGTCAATGCCCCAACTATGTGGTTGTGTCTATCAGCTAGTTCTAAAAGTTAACAGATACAAGTCTTCGGCATCTACACCTCAGTTGGCGCCAGGGGACAAGGCCACACCTATTTCATCGTCATTGTCTGCTATCCTCGCCACGTCCGATTCTGGATTGCTGCCGAAAGGAGCACCCGTGGCCGCAGCGACCGATTCCTCGGACAGCGTGGCCTCTGCAAACCAGGCGTCAATGTCCTCGCCGCCATTGTGGATCTCGGCATGCTCCATCTCGCGAAGCATGATGGCACGCTCCTTAACCACAACGTCGACCCAGCGCAGCTGTCCCGCGCGACGCTGCATATAGGCGGTCATCGTCGCACGGTTGGCCTCGTGCAGCCGGCGTTCCGCATTGGCCATGAGCTCCGACTGAATCGTCTGCTCCTCGCGCATCTGCCAGCTGTACGTGGCGAGCTCGGTGTCCATCCATTTCCTCCATGCCTTGAAGCCACGATCCATCTTGATTTGAAAGTCTTTCAGAGATGATTCGAGCTGTTCCTGACCGTTGGGCTTCCCTGCCCAGTACAGCTTGAGTTGGGAGGTGTATTGTGCCTCGAGCTGGCGCTCATCCGAGAGCCTGGCTGCATATTCGGACTCGACGTGTGCCTCCTGAAGCTTAATCTTGTCTTCCACGGTTGCGAGCAAATTTTCTCGTTCCTGGGCATGGCGCTCCTTGAGATCCTCCATCTTGGCTGCGTTATCCGTAGTAAGTTGCTCGTCTTCTTGAGTATGCATGTCGTGGACCATGGATCTTTGTATGTCGTGGAGTCTTTCAAAAGCCTCTCGTAGACCACTGAACTTGATGGCGACCTCCTGGCGTCTGGCCTGCTCCCGCTGGATGCGCTGCTCCAGCTCCTTCTGGCGCCTTTCTTCGGCGATTCGTTCTTGTTCCTGACGAAGCAGCTCAGTCTTGAGCGCGATCTCTCGCTCGTATTCCTCAATCTGCCGTAGGATCTCTTGCAGCTCTGCTTCCTTCTCAGCCTCCCGGACCTCTCGTTGCATGCGCCTACGGTCCGCTTCAGCTTTGACGGCAGCCAGCTGTTCCATCGTGCAATGACATGTCCGCCACCGCGCGCTGCATACGTAACAGAACTCTGCACCGCAGCGGCATGTCATGTGCTGGCATGCCTCGCGGTGTTCCACAAACGCATTGCAGCCGTAACATCGTTTCCATCCCTCCTCTTCCGCAAGCTCGTTGGTCTGTGCCAGGTCTCGATCTTGGGGACAAGCTTCCCTGCCATGCTCCGCACCCCTGCAGATTATACAGGTCCGGTGCCGGTTGCGGCATGTTGCAATGTTTTGGGCACGGTTGATTTCGTGGGGCCGGCACCAGACGCTGCAGTTTGCCTCACTGCAGTAGATCCTGTCGCTCACAGGCAGACCCCACTCCCAGCCCTTGTTGCGCCATTTCTCAAGCAGTTCACCACGAATGACGGTGGTGATTGTCTCATCCGGAATCTGGTTCAAACAGCACTTGGCAGGCCATTGTTGCTCGTTCTCGCAGGCTGTACCGATCAGTCGTTCGAAACAATCCACACAATAGTGGTGGCACGGGGCCTTGATCATGTCCCTTGAGTCGAAGTCATCGAGGCAAGATACGCATTCCCTATAGAACAGAGTTAGCATTAATTCACATGTATCATACGAAGTCAGGCCATACTCACACCTGGACTGGCTCGACTTTCTGTTTCACTTCAGGTCGTGCAGATAATGTGGGGTCCAAAACGACGTCGTCCGTACGATATAAGAGGCTTCGTGCCGCACCCGCTGCGCTTGTCTCTGGTCTATCCGGCCCGTGGGATTTCCAGAGGAGGGAGAAGATGGATCGATTCCGCTTAGACTTGGGCTTTGCGCCTGTATCTGGCGAGAGGATACTGCGTATTTCAGCAGGGATATCTTTCCTCAGGGACCTCTTGGGCATGACATAAGGCTGCCTATGCGTGGAGGTGCGTGGCAGAGGGGCCGCACGCTTCATACAAACATCTTCAGGCTCGGTTGGCGCTCGTTGCTCTGTTGTGATCACCGTGTCGGCTGCCACGGTCTGCCCCTGCTGGACTTGTTGCTGTTGTTCGATCTCCAGCCTGGCTAGCTCTGCCGCGGCTTCTTGCACCCGTCGAAGCTCCTCCTCTTGTTCCTGTGCGATGCGTTCTCGAACCCTGTTCACAGAATCACGAATGACTCTGACAACCTCGTCCGGGTCCGCCTCCGCAATCCACTGCAAACCCACCGGCGGGTCGTATTGCTTCCACTCTACGTCATCAAGGTTGTTGAAGAGGTCGTCAAAGGTAAGGCTGTCGTCTTCCTCCTCGGTGCCGAGGCCCACGCCTTTTCCTTTCTCTTCATACATGGGTCCTCCATACTCGTCCTCCCACCAGGCATCTTCATGGTGGAAGGGGTTAGCGGTGACTGAGGCGACAAGCGAGACGCCCAAGCCGGGATCCTCGACTTGAACTTGGGTCATGGGTTTCTGTTTCAGGGCAGCACACGAGCTGCTGGGATGCCCGAACCGCGTGGTTATACTCGAATTGGAAGCACTCGTGTGCTTTTTACTTCACACCTTGGGACCGATCAGTTCAATCGCCAAGGAAGCATGCTGACCGTGTGGGTGGCTCGCAAGTCTCCCAATCGCGAAGGCCGTACCAAGATGATTTGCAGAGGTGAGCAGAAGAGCAAAGGAGGAGGGATAAGTGATTTGAGACCCCCGAGGCAGCCATCATAGCAAGCCGTGTATATCAGTGTTTGCTCTTGTGAGCGCTCGGGCAGCCTAGCCGGGCCCATGGGCAGTGGCGGCGGACGGTGCCTTGCAGCCATGAGGTCTGCCTTGCTTCCCACAGAGGGACCGAGAATGTCAGAGCTGAGCTGCACAGCTGCAGGCTGGAGCTGCCCGTGGCGAGGACGCGGGCTGTGATAGGCGTGCCGCGGCTGCCATTACTCTGGTGGTGTGGGAGGTGGTCACGCAGCAGTGGCTGAGAGCAGGCGTGCTGCTCCACTAGCATGCCTCCAGGTGCTCAGCCTCGAGCGATCAATGGCGGGGTTGAGGGCCGGGGAACTGCGCTTGCTACCGCTTTTGGTCACCGGGGGGGCTGCCTGGCAGAGAGAGATTGACTCACCAGAGCCCCCAAGGTCCCAAGGTTGACCTGCAGGTGGTAGAGTCTAACTCGATGAATCCAGGGCTAATCAGCATGTCTAAGTCGCGGATGGAATGGGCCATGGTGCGTTAAAAGACCCACTAGTCCTCTACCGCACCAGGCAGTAGTAAGGCCAACTGACAGCCGCCAGGACTCAAGAGGCCTGCACTACTCCACAACCTCTGCTTGGTGATGTTGAGTCGGTCAATGTCGTGAACAGCGATATGGCTGCTTGATACCATATGGACGTCATATTGCTTGCGTTCACAAGGTCGTTTTCTGGCCGTCGCGCCACCCAGACATCAATCTCTGTACCCAGAGTCTGCAGAAAAACGCAATGCGGAGGGTTACCGTCTTTCTGGCCTGTCTGACACTCCGCGATCATCTCCCTTTCTCTTCTCTTCAGCCTCTGCTATTCTAGCGACATCGCGCACGCGAACCCTTGCAGTTTCCCCTGGAGCTGTCGATAACATGCGCAAATAAAGGATACATTCGGGAGCCCTGCCGAGAGCTGATTTTCCGGGGCTCCGGCACGGCCGAGCGCAATTCCTCCGGATCCTGGCCGACGATAACGATCTGCCAAGCCCTACAGAACCACTGTATCCCGGCGACCTGCCTCTTCTGGGTGCCAACTCGACCTCTACCATGTCTTCTTGGCGTGTCTTGAGCCCAGCGGTCTCACCAGTATGGCACTGGGGAAATGACGATGATGCGAACCTGCATCATTTTGCTTGGATGCCCAGGCCGTGTTGCTCGCCTCGGCGCCAGTGGTCCTGCCTCCGCCTAGCCAAGGCCGTTGCGTAATTATGCCATGTCGCCTGGGCCCGGGTACAAGAGACATAAAAGGCTGGCATACACGCGATGTTTCGCCGCCTGGGCTGGCCGGCACCCTTCCTCACCGACTCCGTTCCTGTCAGATCCAGCCAAGATGAAGTTCACCAGTGCCTGCACCCTCGCCTGCCTCGGCCCTCTTGCCCAGGCCTGCCTCTTGCCTGAGGAGGCGGCTCACGGCAAGATGGCCATCCGCCGCCGCCAGGCCGGTGCCGACAATGGCTTCGCCATCGGCAAGACGGACAGATTCGAGGGCGGCAAGCTGTTCCCCCGCGGCCTCGGGACGCAGTCCAACGAGACTCGCTTCGACAGCATCCTAAGCGTCGAGGAGATCCGCTCTGGCCTCCAGGGCCTGGTCAACGAGTACGGCATCGAGACCTTCGAGACGCCCTACGTCACTCACGAGAACGCGACCATCTTTGGCGGCAAGGTTGGTGGCCAGGGCTCCTGCAACGAGGCCTACCGTGTCTACCTCAATGCAGCGATCCATGCTCGCGAGCGTGGCTCCTCCGACAACCTTCTGTACTTCATTTCCGATCTCCTCTATGCGGACAAGCACAAGACCGGGCTCACCTACGGCGGCCGCTCCTACTCGCGCTGCGACGTCAGCAAGGCGCTCGGCACCGGCATCGTTTTCTTGCCGCTCAGCAACCCTGACGGTGTCGCCTATGACCAGGCCACTAACGAGTGCTGGCGCAAGAACCGCAACCCGGCAGGCGCGGTCGACCTCAACCGCAACTTTGACTTCCTGTGGAACCTCACCAAGTTCACGCCCACGGTTGCCCCCAATGTTGCCTCGGAGGACCCCGAGGCTGAGACGTTCCATGGCGTGGCTCCCTTCTCCGAGCCCGAGTCTCAGTCCATCAAATGGGTGATGGACACCTTCAACAAGGTCCGCTGGTTCATGGACATCCATTCCTTTGCCGGCGTTGTGCTGTACAGCTGGGGCAGCGACGAAAACCAGTCTCGGGACACGAACATGAACTTCTTGAACCCCGAGTATGATGCCTCTCGCGGCCTGATGCCAGACAGCCCCGCGGAGGGCCTCGTCTATGGCGAATACATCCCCTCAAAGGACTGGTCCGAGGTCATCTACGCCGGCATGCGCACCGGCAATGCCATGGACGGCGCCACCGGCCGCCACTACGAGGTCACGCAGGCCGCTTACCTATACCCGACCTCCGGCGCCAGCGACGACTACGCGTACTCGCGCCACTTTGCCGACCCCAGCCTCAACCGCATCAACGGCTACACCGTCGAGTTTGGCTTCGGCAATGAGAACGCCTCGTGCCCCTTCTACCCGACCGAGGAGCAGTACCACCTCAACATCCTCGAGACCAACGCCGGCTTCATGGAGTTCCTCCTCTCCGCGGCCGAGATTGGTCTTGGCGAGCCCGCTATCTGCTGAGCATACGTCGTCCTCGGACCATGCATTATGGGCGGAAAGTAGCAGGAACAATTACAACCACCCGGAAATAGCTTCACCGGCACAAAGTGCATATTAATACATATTGTTAATACTTACTCCATGCAAATTTTCCGATAGACATTGCCCAACCGGTTAACTACCAGCGGGTTCTTGTATATTTGAGACATCTAGAGTTCATGTAACACGAACAAAGACATACCTGTCTCGTGGCCAAGTGTCCCAGAAACCACAGTTCACCCACTCTACAGCTTAGACCGCGGGGATCCAGCAAACTCGACCCTGTTCTTGATCGTTCCGACGCCTTCAAGGCTGACCTCGACCACGTCACCGTCCTTGAGCCACAGCTTTGGGTTGCGGCCCATGCCCACGCCCGACGGAGTCCCCGTGAAGATCACGTCGCCCGGGAGCAGAGTGGTGCCTTTACTCAGGAAGGCGATCGTCTGGCGGATGTTGAAGATCATGTCGCTTGTATTAGAGTCCTATGGCACAGTTTTCGGTTTCTCCCAGGTTAGCTGCGCTGTTCACGTCGATCCGGGGGCTGGTGGTGGTGGGAAAGTGCAGTCACAGTGAAAGAGGGAGGAAGTACCTGGACTGTCTTGCCGTTGAGCTTTGTGCTGATGCGCAGAGCCTGCGGGTCTTTGATGATGTGGGACGACACGATTCCCGGGCCGTATGGCGCCCACTGTAGTAGACACATGTCAGCGCCGGCTATATTCAGTCATATGAGATGCCATCCACGGAGGGGCCTTGGTAGTGGCCGCAGTGGAGGCGGCGGCGGGGGCAGCAACTCGTTGAAATTGTCAGAAACTCACACCGTCGAACCCTTTACCAAGAGACCACTGCCCGCCACCCTTGGCGATCTGCCAGTCCCGGTGTGACACGTCGTTGCCCACGGCGTAGCCGAGGACATGGTCGAGCGCGTCGGCCTCGGACACGTCTCTGCAGACCTTGCCGATGACGGCGACGAGCTCACACTCATAGTCGAGGCCCTCGCCCTCCTGGGCCAGCGCGTGGACTGGGATCGGGTCCGTCGGGCCAGAGAGGGATGTCACTGGCTTGTACTGGATGATTCCAGAACGAGGAGATTGTCAGCCTCGTGTCCCCAATATCTTTTCGTTCTCAGAGAGAAAGCTATGTGTGCTGGTCGAGAAGCGACAAGTCCCAAAACTTACAAAGAGTACTGGATACTTCGGAATGGCCATGTTCGACTACAGACACGGGACGGAGATCAGCCTTGGAATAACCCCCATTTCGCGCCGACCTCTGTCTGGATCGGGCTTAAGTGGGCAAAACATTACCTCCTTAGCATGGAGAGCGTAGTTGAGCCCAAGACACCGCACGGTCTGCACATCCTCGAGGGCAAGCGGGGAGAGCAGGAGGCGCACGATGGCAACCTGGTCGGTGACGTCGTGCTTGCCAAAGATGTTGCCGGTTATGATGCGGGCCTTTGTCGTCTTGGCGATGTCGGCCTCGCCCTCGGGCAAGTTGGCGTCGCCGTAGTACACGTTGCCATCTGTGGCGAGGAAGCGGACGAGACGCTTTCGTGGTGGATATGGAGCTGGTCAGTCTTGTGGGCTTTGTGATGGGGTTTGCGGTTTTCTATGCCATGTCAAGACTCACCGTGAAGGACGGCATGTTGTTGTTGTTGGGCTTGCTACGGCTACGAGCGAAGCCGGGCAAAGAATACTGGAGATAAGTTACAGTAGACCTGCAACACCAAGTCAAATGTCTTTGTTTGGCCTGACTACAACCTGAATAGAGCTACCCAGAAAAGTGCAAGTCGGTTGAGACTAGACTTGTCTCTCAGATGCCTGGAACCCTGAGTTAAGGCAAAATACCGAAAAATATATTATTGTTGGAGGAACCCTCGGCAATCGAGGAAGGAGAAGAGTTGGAGACAAGGTCTCAAAGAGAGTGATGATGCGAGCTCCCGCATTTATCCCACCACTCATGGGGCTCTCCGCCCCGAGCTTCGAGATGGACGAATGGAACTCCGGAGCATGCAGACCGATCATCGGGGGTCGGGAGTGGAGCTATCTCTCCACGCCCGCGGTAGGTAGGTGCATGCGAATTGATGCTGCTTATTGATTATGGCCCAGCCGAGCCGAGCAACAATCCATCGTCGATTTCCAAGGTTGCTACACGATGGCCATCTTGCGTGACAGTGCAGAGGACAATTGACGAGAGCCTTGTATTGCACTTTCGACAGCTTTACAACAACTATGATCAGGAATCAGGAACCTGCCATTCGAATTCCTGGGTGGGGGTGGATGGCCAGTGAGAGGGGGAGCCTTAGACGAATGAGCTCACCTTGAGAAAGACCCGAGACCCGCTGCATGGCAGGGACGGGCAGGTGGAGAACACGCAGCATACGCCGAGGCAAGTGGTGTGCACTGGCAATAAGGACGGGCCCCACTAAAACTTTTTCTCTGGCGGGTTTCGCAGGTGAAAGTTAGAGCCTTGGGGGACCTGACCTGCTGCGTGCAAACCCAGCACGGATCAAGCACTTTGCGCCAGGCTCAATTCCTTGCGATTGCCTGCCACCGTCGCCCAGCACAACTTGCCCGACATGGCACCTTCAAAGTCCACGCTGAAGCGCAAGGCTTCAACCGCCCAGGAAGACCCTGCGGTCCTTTCTGACGACGAGTTTGGCGGAGTCGCTCTGGAAGGCGTTCTTGATGGAGAATCCGACGACGAGGACTTCACAGACAACGACGACGACGACCAGAACGATAGCGACGTCTCGGGCTCCGAGGACTACGACGAGGATGAGGAGGACGATCTAGCCAGCGACGATGTCCCCTCGGATGGCGAGAGCGCTGAGCGCAAAGTGGCCACCAACGGTGCCTTCGACGACGAGGAGCTGGGACCCAACTACACGGTCGAGACCGACGCCAATGGCGGCACGAGATATGTCTACAAGGAGATCGACCCCGTCTACGACTCGGACGACTCGGACGCCAATGAAGGCGCCAACACAATCGGCAACATCCCTCTCTCCTTCTACGACTCGTACCCTCACATTGGCTACACGATTGACGGCAAGAAGATCATGCGCCCTGCCGCCGGCGATGCGCTCGACAACCTGCTGGACAGCATAGAAGTGCCCAAGGGATGGACCGGCCTGACGGACCCTCAGACAGGCAAGCCGCTGAACCTGAGCCAGGACGAGCTCGAGCTCCTGCGCAAGCTGCAGATGGGCGAGATCCCGGCCGAGGGATACGACCCTTACCCAGACACGGTCGAGTGGTTCACATCACAGATTGAGGAAATGCCCCTGAGCGCGGCACCCGAGCCCAAGAGGAGATTCCTTCCCAGCAAGCACGAGCAGAAGCGGGTCATGAAGCTCGTCAAGGCGATCAAGGAGGGGCGCATTCAGCCATACAAGGAGCCGAAGAAGGAAGACGAGGAGGAGGAAGAGGTGGATGATGATCTTCAAGCATATGGTAAAGTCTCCCATGAGATATTTGGCGATCTGCTTCCAAATGACTGACAACTAGAGACAGATCTCTGGGCCGACGAGCAGCCTCAAGCACCGCACATCATGAATATCCCGGCGCCCAAGCTCGCGCCGCCAGGCTACGACTTGAGCTACAACCCGCCACCCGAGTACCTACCCGACGAGGAAGAGCGCAAGAAGTGGGAGGAGATGGATCCCGAAGAGCGTGACAAGGAGTACCTGCCTCAAAAGTACGACTCGTTGCGAAAGACGCCGGCATACGATTCTTTCGTCAAGGAGAGATTCGAGCGGTGCTTGGATCTCTACCTGGCCCCCAGAGTGCGCAAGAACAGATTAAACATTGATCCGACGTCTCTACTGCCCAAACTGCCGAGACCTGAAGAGGTGAGATTCAACCCATCCTCCCACATCCTTTTCCTCCAGTGCTTCAGACTGACTTTTGTTCCTTGATAGCTCCGCCCCTTCCCAACAGTAGCTGCCGTAGAGTATGTCGGCCACGAAGGACGAGTGCGGTCAGTAGCGGTTGACCCCACAGGCGAGTGGCTGGCCAGCGGCGGCGACGACGGCACCGTGCGCGTCTGGGGCCTCCGGGACGGCAAGCAGCAGTGGTCCGTCAAGCTGAGCAGCGACGAGCCCGTGGAGACGGTGCGCTGGCGGCCGGGACAGGACGCATCCATCCTTGCGGCCGTCGTGGCCGAGGACATCTTCCTGATGATCCCCGCGTACGGCAACCCTGAGCTCGAGCAGGCAAGCCGGGACATTCTGGACGCCGGCTTCGGCTACGCGACCAACGCGAAACAACTCACCACGGCCACGGGGGCCCGCAAGGACCCTCCCGCGAAATGGATCCGGCCCGGCGCCCGCCTCGAGGACGAGGGCGTGCTGCTCAAGGCGACGGTGCGCGCGCCGATCCGCACGCTCCAGTGGCACCGCCGGGGCGACTACTTCTGCACCGTCTCGCCGACGGGCCAGCGGAGCTCGGTAGCCATCCACACGCTCAGCAAGCACCTCACCCAGATTCCCTTCCGCAAGCTCCCTGGGCTGGCGCAGACGGCCCAGTTCCACCCTTCGCGGCCCCTGTTCTTCGTCGCGACCCAGCGCATGGTCCGCTGCTACGACCTGCAGCGCCAGGAGCTCGTCAAGGTGGTCCAGCCGGGCGCCCGGTGGATCTCGAGCTTCGACATCCACCCGGGCGGCGACAACCTCGTCGTGGGCTCCTACGACCGCCGCCTCCTGTGGCACGAGCTCGAGCTGTCGACCCGCCCCTTCAAGACGATGCGGTTCCACACCGAGGCCATCCGCGCCGTCAAGTTCCACCGCCACTTCCCCCTCTTCGCAGACGCCAGCGACGACGGCTCCCTCCAGATCTTCCACGCAAAGGTCGTCAACGACGTCATGGAGGACCCCGTCATCGTGCCCGTCAAGATGCTCAAGGGCCACAAGGTCGTCAAGAAGCTCGGCATCCTCGACGTCGACTGGCACCCGCAGCACCCGTGGTGTGTCAGCGCCGGTGCGGACGGCACGTGCAGGCTGTGGCAGTAAGAGGACGGTACTAAGAAAGGTGTTTGAGGAGGATGGAAAAGGGGAATGGTGGGGGAAAACTCTGCAGGTGTTCCGGTCAGGAGTATCTTGCATGAGGGCGCGTGTATATCAACAAAGAAGGAAACATGCACAAGCGAGAAGAAGAAGGGAGTCACATAATAGCGACGGCGTCATATCATCGTTTTGGACTAGGGCGGTAAATATAAAGCTAGAATATGAGACAGAAAGGAAAAGTCATTACTATTCAGCAAGGTCATGATAGAGTGTGCATGTGTCCTAACACCAGGCAAACGTTCTCCGGGCCGACATCGCTCCGACCGCCAGACATGACATTGACTGACCTTCGAGTTCGTGAAATTGACGCGAATGTTACGAATCATTGTTCGCCAACGATCCATCCCTTGAGAACACGGAGAATAAGAGACAAGAAAAAAATGAGCAAAGAACGCTGAGGAACGATGACAAACAAAATATTTTGGTGTACGGCGAGCATCATGGGCATATATTCGTAGATGTCGTCCATGCATGCTCTATGCGGGTGCGGATGCAGATACAGATCATGATGCTGATGCTGATCTACTTTGTATAGAAAATGTATTTTGGAATGAGCTGTGCCCCTTTGCCGGAATTCTATGACATATGCCGCGGGGGATGCTGCCGTGATTGAGTTCGTATACCAATGTACTGGAGAAATGTCGCTTTTGTCTTGACCACGGCCATGGGAGAAGTAAGTTGAACCCAGGATAAGAAAAAGATGTCGATGAGGCGGAGTTTGCTCATGGCTGGAAATACTTTGCAAAAATAAATATACGATTGGCAGAGGAAAAGATGAAAAAGTAGTCGTTTGTAGTCAAGACAAACGCCAGGATTGAAGAGACAAGGTATTGTACGGGACTGTGTCGGTTTGAAGGGTGTGTGAGAACATCTCCAGCCGCGCAGTATGAGCCGTAGAGATACCAAGTGGTCAAAAAGCGGCGTCCAGCTGGAAAGCGACCCGGGGCAGAAACAAGATCGTATGACCTCGCATCAGCAATCGAACAAGGTGTATAGTAGATCCAAGGCGGCAGCTGCGGCCATGGCGCGCGCATTGATCATTATCGTTCTGCGCCACAGCTAGACGAGATTGCTGATCAGCATCTCATCGATGGAGAAGGGTGAGGCGGAGTCGTCGTCAAATTGCCCTCCTGTGGCGCAGACGAACAGGTCAGTGGCATACGGCCCTTCTTCTTCATCACCAGGATAGGTGACCGGGCACCAGGAAGAGCCAGTCATGACGCTGCGGCTGCTAGTGGTCGACTTTGCTCCCAGAACCAAGCTTTCACTAAGCCCGAGAGCGGCAGGAGTAGGGGAGCCACGAGTGTTGGCGAGTAGAGCAGGAGGCAAGGGTGCCCAGCTTTCAATATTGGTGGGGTAACTTTGAGCGTGACTGATCTCGTGAGCAGCCATGGCATGCTCGGTGAGGTCGAGTGCTTGATATGTTTCGACGTCGTAGCCAGGATCGAGGCAGCGGTTGTCTAGGACGTAGACAAGATATGGCCGAGCTTGGTCGGGTTGATCGGGGTGGTCGATGACGCCCTTGAGAGTAGCCAAGGAGTCGATGGAAGGTTCATATGCCTCAGCGAGGGCCGGAATTTGTGCGGAGGTAATCAGAGGACTCTGGGCAGGCTGGGAGATGGCCGTGATCTCGTCGTCGTCTGTCAGATGAGCCTGAAGGAGAGACGCTTCGAGATCCGTAGCGACACGGCTAAAGCGCTCGTTGAGGACGGGTGGACGGTTACGGCAGTAGAGGCCCGCGTAAAAGTCGGACGAGGAAGCGGGTGCCATGTCGGCCTCACAGCCGGGGCACGGAGCCTGCTCATCATGCAGGTGGTAGGGATCGGTGATGGCGGCCATGGTCCGATGGGAGGGAGTGTGTGTCTGAGGGAGTGCAAAGTCCCCGGAGGTTTGAAGGCTCAAGGAGTGGATGGAAGGCGCAGAGCAAGGAGGGAGAGGCGGGCGAGGTATGATTTACGGAAGAGGGCAGAGAGAAGGAGCGGGAAGGCAAAGGCGAGAGATACAGAACGTGCAGATGTACAGCGTGACTGGAGAAGGGCTGGGGACGGAGAGGAAATAGAGTGGACAAGGTGAGTTGAGAAGTCGGGGAGGAGCAAGCGATTTAAGGCCTATCTGGCGGTGCGCGCACACGACGGGGCTTCCACGCGGCGGTAACTACAGCCAAGTAAGAAAGTACTACATGCGTCAGGGACTCGAGCCGCCGAGGTGTGGTGATGGCGGATGTAGCTGCGTGTGGGTGGTACCGACCCTCAGGCACAACCCGCCCACCGGCAATGCGAAGTCGGAGGGTCTTCCCCAATGACGTGCCCACGGAGCAAGTCTCCCTCTCATGCCCAGCCCTTGGGGACTCCCGAGGTCGCGACAGAATAGAGCAAACAATGAAGAGCGTACGCTTAGCTACGGCAGGCAATCCAAAGGTTGCCTCGAGCCGAGTTCCAGGTACCTGGTGGGTGGTGCGCGCACCACCAGCTAACCAGGCGTGCCCACAGGTGCACGTGCTTGACTGGGACCTCTGCCGGCATGGGCAGATGGATTCTCTGCACCACAGAGTTGGAGCGGCGTCATCTTATGGAGCAGATGCTTCCCCTCGTCAGGGCAGGCGGGCAAGTCGACGATGCAGGCCGTCTGCATCGCATCCTGCGAGCCGACATGGCTGTTTAGCCAAAGGTCGGCGCGACAGTGCTACTGAAGAACATCCATAAAGAAAGATACCTTGGTGATGAGGATGTCGTGACAGCAAGACATGGCGTGGGGCCAGAGTCGAGTGTGCGATGCCAGTACTAAGCAGAGAGGAGGGATGCAATCAATCAAGATGGTTCGAGGCAACTGGTCCAACTTCGTGCCGCTTCCAACCGCCCAGGTCGCCCTGCAGGCTCAAGGTTGGCAGCCCGCCTCTGCAAGTCTAAGTGCAAGCGCAAGTGCAAGCGCGGACCCGAAATGCGGGGGTGGGGTCGACACGCCGCTCCAGGGTCGTTGTGCTCCACACAAAAACTTCGGAGCTGCCCAGGTGGGATTACCTAGACGAAGGTATGCGAAGGTACGTCCTTCCGCTGGTCGACTGTAACACAGTCCTCCGGGGCTCCCTGTTGGCACGCCTTTCGCAGTGCCTTGCGCGGTTTGCCTCGCCTCCACGCACCAGGATGGCTCCGGCATGCAACTCGTCCCAACCAAGAACGTGGACAGCGTGCCGAAAGTAGTCGGCCTCGCATCGGCCCGCTCCAGGACGAGCCGCCAGACCTCCAAAGACCCGTCATATTCCGCTACGCATACTGAGCCAAAGCTAAAGTAAGCTTAACTCTGGCCCAGAGTCGACCGGTGCAGCACATGATGCTGCCAAACTCCAGCACGCACCCCACTTCCGTCTGATCTGGTCTTCTAGAGCACCGTTCCCGCTCGAGAGACCCCTACTAGTGCCCGCCCCGTCCCGTCACAGAGGCGGCGCCTTCACGGTAGATCAATAGGTGAGCCACGTATCAGAGAACGGTTGCAATGTCGCACCCCGCATCTTCACATGCCCCCATAAGTCATCATCGCTGATCCCCTCCAGTATCACTTCAGACGATGCCACAGCATTGAGCTGGCTTATTCTGTTGACCGGCACGAAGCAGAGGGGTGGAGTGCATCCTTGAGTCTGAAATGGCAGCAGTGAGCGCAAACGTTCTTCCCTCGACAACCTTGACCTGTACTGTCCCCGTCCCGCTTGCCAGATCGACCGATGCGAGCAGGCAGCATCCGTGACAGTTGCCTTATATCGCGACATGTCTACCGAGAAAGAAAAAAAACAACGCAAGGTCGTTGAACGCACGTCTCGAGCCAGGTGCCGAGCTTGCGACGGCCCCAAGCATGCAGGTTTCTCGGCCGCGCAAGCTTGAACATTTGAGTAACCGCTGAGAAAATCAGCTCCTGTCTCAAAAAGTGCATTATTACGCAGGGCGGTCGTCATGTGCTTACGAAACGATGCAGGACAAAAGGCGCTGTATTGCCCTCTCCAGCCCTGTTCCATCCGCGCCAAGTCCTTGGCGATCGTGGGCCACACCTGCATTTCTCTTGGCATTGTGATATGTGACAACCAAGGAGACTCGTGGGCCTGATTGCCTTTGACAGCCTGGCATGGGGACCTGCAATAATTACCGTCCGTGCGGAACGGGCCATGAGCACTTCCTGACAAATCGGCAGGACACAAGGGTCTTCTTCTTGGACATCTGTTGGCGAATCATCGCTGTAAGCTGGACGACCCAAACGCTCAATAGCATATAGTGCCGGACGCACATCGAGCAGGTCGCTTGACAACTGTGTATGTAGCTGACGCATTGTTGAAGTCGTAAACAGCTCTGCTGCAGTCTTTCGACTTGCAAGCCATGGTAACCACGCGAGTGTCAAGTGTATTCTTGTTCGAGGCTCTCCAACACATCAGTCGCGAGCTCAAGACTGCACACGCCGGAACATCCTATACCGCGCGCGACGGGTTATCATTCAGCTTCGCACAGCAGATGCCCAATCTACGTTGGTACATTATGCAATCACATTCCCGGACAAAGTCGTCCCTCGTATGGTCATAAGTGGGGGTAGGTTGTGGATTACCCCTTTGTCAACAGGCTATCGGATACACCTTGCAAACAGGCTATCCCGGTGTTCCAGCTTCCCATACCACCAATCAGTATGGGGTTTTAGGCTCATTGATACCCATATTAGTACAAGCCGTTGTTCAGTCCAGGGTCAACGGCCAAACTGGCCGTTCTTAGTTGCCTATGGAGACTTTGACTTGTCGATGAGCCCGTGTATCATGGCAGGACGATTTGCGAGCAGTTCCGCTCCTTGACATAGAGTTAATTGAACTATGGTACGGCTGTCAAGTAAGTATAGAAAGTCGAGACATGACCAAAAGCCAACCGCTATTCGCAATGGACACATTTGAGGTCATCATTGCAGGGCACAACAATATCATCTTTCGCCTCAGACCCATCTTGTCAACATAGACCCGCTTTCTTCATCTTGGGTAGAGCATACCTTTTAGCACCCCTCCCACCCTGATTTCTATATCCACGAACAAGAACGATGTCGTCCAGTCCCAAGTCCGTCCTCATAACCGGCTGCACCGATGGCACCGCCGGCGCCGCCCTAGCGAAACAGTTCCACCTGCGCGGCTTGCGTGTCTTCGCGACTGCCCGCAAGCTGGAGAATATGGCCGGCCTGGCTGAGATGGGCATCGAGACGCTCGAGCTCGACGTCACCAACAAGGAACAGATCCGGGACGTCGTCGAGAGTGTGCGAGAGAAGTTGACCGCGGGACCGGACGTGGAAGGAGGGGAAGGAGGAGACCACCGCACGGGTGTCGGTGCCAAGGAAGCAAAGCTTGACATCCTGGTCAACAACGCCGGGTACTGGAACTTGATGCCGCTCGCGGACCAGGACCTCGACGCCGCCCGGCAGATGTTTGAGATCAACTACTTTGGGCTACTGGCCGTCACGCAGGCCTGCCTGCCCTTGCTTGTTCGGCCCCCGGTAGCTGGAGGAGGAAGGGAGCAGCAGCAGCAACACAGCATCATCGCCAACGTGGGTAGCATTAGCACCATTGTGCCTCCGCCGTACCAGGGCGTATATGTGGCCAGTAAAGCCGCCGTCGGCGCGCTGACGGATGTGCTGAGACTTGAGCTTGCTCCTCTCGGCGTCAAGGTCGTGCAAGTCTTGACGGGGAGTGTGGCCACTAGGTTTCTGGAAGTGCCGGCGTGGAAGCCCGAGGCTGGTGCGCAGCAGAGCGCGTATTATCCGGCCTCCCTGATGGAGACGGTCGAGAAGAGGACGTACATGGATATCAGCAAGGCCATGGAGCCGGAGAAGTATGCGAAGCGGGTTGTCGGGCATCTGCTGGGCGGATTGGAGAACAGGCGCCTGCCCAGGCAGCTGACGAGAGGCGCCTTGGTGTCGATGTTGCTCGTCGCGGCGAGGCTGGGGTTGCGGGGGATGGTGGAGAACATGTTCGTGAAGCAGAGCGGGCTGGGGGATGTCGTGACCATGAGGGCGGAGGCGGGCAGAGGTGATTGAGTAGGTGATTTGGGTTCTCTTCGCCGGGTATAATAACTCTAGGACATTAGCGATATAGTCACCACTTTCTTTGAATCTGACTAAATTTATGAAATAAAAGACGTTTGTTTCATGGGCAGATTGAGGGAGTCCTCTTCTTTGTGTGATTCAGTTGTTAAGCCGTTTAGCGAAAATCCTGAAATCTCTGTCCGCAGAAGCATTGCGTCAATCGTGCCCATAAAATTGAAGCTCTGCTTGATAACCACGAAAACCACCTAACTTGCCAGAACTGGCCGAGAACTCAACCTTGGAATGTTTCTTTATATGTTAGTGACCCGCTTTTCAGTTCGTTTACACTTGGGCAGGGGTCCAGCTGCGCTCAAGTGGGGCTGTCGCCCGGGCCGGTACGTACCGGTGTCGCCATCGCGAGCCGGAGCCTGACAAATCCGTCCGTCGCAAATCGTCAAATCCAACACTACTCTCTACTTCTGGCTTACGACACCACCTAACACTCACTGGAAGCTCCGGCATTCGACAGAACAGACATTCGCGACCGCTCTTCGATCACTGGCAACATATTCCCAACTCGACATGGCCGCGCAACGAGCTTCAATGCGTGAGTTCGCCCCCTCCTCCACGCACGGCGCAAGATCAGATCTGCTCTGGCGACATCCCACTCAACACGGGCCCTGTTCGAGCCGCAAGCCGCGAGTCCTCCGCTGACACACAATCATTTGAGCCGCGCAGCTTCTCTCATCTCCCAGCCAGAGGCCCCCAAGCCGACACTCAACTCCGACGCAGCCTCCAAGCCCAAAGTACGCCCTCCTTCGCCTTGACCCTTCCACAAACAAGAAACTTGCCCAGGACCACCGCGGCACCCTCGGATCCTTCATAAAAAGCACCCCGAAGACCTCTTATCGGTAGAAAAAAAAATTGTGCTGACCATAGCCAAACGCACCCTCCAGCCCTGCTGCGTATGCAAGGACGAAAAGGCGCAGCGCGACGAGTGCATGCTCTTCTCCAAGACGGCGGACCCGACGATAGAGTGCAAGTCGACGATTGCGCAGTACAAGAGCTGCATGGCCGGGTTCGGCTTCCAGGTCTGATCTGTGCCTCCGGGATAATCATGGGTTACGACCGTTGTTGTTGATGATGTTGGCGCGGGTACTCAAGAGTTCCGGGTAGGGCGATGTTGACGAAATAGACGACATGATGGAATGCTGCTGGCATGATACTCAAAGGGTTGGGGTGCCGACGGTACGGTGGCAGGACTCAAAGAATACGGGTCGGAGTTGTGACGGTGCCAGAAGGGCTCATCGTCGAGCGCGCCTTGGGTGTACAACAGTCTAAGTGAAAGCAAAAGCCTCCCGTTTGGGGTAGGGTTAGATCATCTGTATATTTTTTGTAAAACAAACCGTACACAATTAGAGGACGCACCTGGAACATGTGGATCAGACACTAGTGGTGGAACCGCCTACTCAGGCAGGTCGAGTCAACACAAGACAATCGCGACCGCCTGGAAGACATCCTACCAGGAAGACCACAGACATCGGTCGTCTTGACCAGAAAAGGAACCTGCCTATTTTTCGAGCTTATTATCAGTTCCATTGTCTCCTACCCTTCCTCTATCCCTGGGCAGTGTGCATGGTGGCTAACCATTCGACGTTTCTGTGGCGCATAAAGTTGTCTGGTTGAATAGAGCGATGCCAGGAGTTACGCAATGGAAAGAGAGAGAGAGAGAGAGAGAGAGATCGACAAGATCGAAATGACATAAAACCTAAGAAACAATTGAACGGCTAGAAACTTCGTACGGTAACATCAAAAGAGACATGATCTCGTCCGCGCATCCTGCCTGATTCCATATTACCTGGTGCAGATGCAAGTCTGACTGGGGACGCCCATCACACAAACCGCCGATGAAGGAATGCAGCGAATACGACATTCCCAAGCCTTTCACTGATCTCTCTCTCTCTCTCTCTATGTCTCTCTATCTATCTATCTGCATATGTATGAATATCATATATATTATGCTTGTGTGTGCTCTTGTGTGCCCATCGACTACAGGGGGGCGGGCCATCGCAAGCACTAAACGTGAGGACCTGTGGGTGTCCTTCACGATCGAGTCCTTGTGGTAAGAACTCAACCCTCGTCTCCTAAATGACTTGTATATAGCTGTTCTACGGGCACCTATGGGAGGACTCATGGAAGCCACCATAGAGCCATGCCCGTCGCCGTCATGATTCGCAGTCAACGAATACTGTTGCATGACGGGCAAATCGGGAATGCCCTATGGGACACCGTCGTCGCAACTCATCTGAACCAGGAGAGGCGAGCTCATGACTAAAAGCTTACTCGCCAGGCATGATCACGGTCATGGCTAAGACATTCGAATCGTCGTCCAAATCATCCTGCTGGCCTCGACACTCACCAAGGGGTCTCAAGGGGCCTACTCACCCCCATAGCGACGCAGCAGTACCCGAGGTTCTGAAATTTTTATGACAAAGCACGGTGAGCCTCTTCTCGTGTCATGGTCAACATCGCCCAGTCCAGCCTTGCCTTCGCGTGATTTTGTATCCGATTAGCCGCGCTTGTTCGTAACCCGTGTCCTTGACGCCCTCTACAGAAGCTCAAAGACCATCCATGGATGTTCCAAACTCCTGGCCAGCCTAGATGGCGCCAGATGGAGTACACGTTGGCTCCTGGACTGAGACGGCGGTTCACTTTACCAGCTTTCCTTCTACACTTCACCAGCCTCGGCACTCGTCGCTATCTATATGTTGTGCCTTCCCAGCTGCCTCTGGTTCCACTGGGTCAAAGCAAAAAGGGGGTGGAAGACTTCCCATTTAGACCATGGTTCGTGCCATGTTTCTTGTTTGCCAAACCACCCGCTCTCTCGACCTCAGCATACATGCTGCACAACCACCGAACAAGAAGCACTTTGTTTTAGGCTTAATAAAATCCAAGTAGGCTGAAGTTGCGGACCGAGACGTGTACGCCATGCTGTTTCGCCGCCGCCGCCGACGCCGTCGAGTGTGTGGCACAAAGCACGGTCCCGACTTCTCGGGTTTGTATCCAGACTCCAACCTCGGCAAACCAGCTCGGTAATGAGGCCTGTCGGATGAAACCACCGTAGCGTAGGCTTGCCGTTCGGTAAGAAAACGGATTGCTGGACCACTCACCCTTCGCTGTCCAGCTTTCCGCTGTTATTCGTGCTCAATATATTGGCCCGGCGCGCACCTGGCCGGGTAAAGTCGCATTTCCAGCTCAGCTGGGCACTTCCTGGCGAATCGGTCGGTTAAAAGCAGCATCGTACACTGGTCATCAATTTTGCCCCTTTCAGCCCGATCTGTACTCGCGATCCAAGTAATCTGAGCGATCCCTGCTGGTCTTCGTCCGACCTGGGAAAACATAAGCCAGGTCCCTTGCTTGTACCGCCCTATGGGGCGTCAACGAGCAACACGCGAACAGATGCGTCACGTCTTGAGCCGCATTTCTTGGCTTTGTGGTTCCTTCGGAGGAAGGGATAAGTCCCGGAACCACGTGATGCTCACACGTTTCTGCCAAGAAGGCATGCCCAAGGTCCATGCAAGCACTTTGAATTACCGTCGAGTTGGTTTTGGCATGTCATGAAAGGTGCATGCCGAGCGCTCAACACCTGAAATTGGCGGTAGCGACACCGGGCAAGTGTCACTGGGGAGGTGGAACTGGGCAATCCCTTACTCATCTTGCAATTGGTTATGAGCCACCCCTTACTTGAAGGCTGGGGTTGTATTGGGTCAGTTCCGACTGCCAGAACGTCTCCTGGTCAGTCTGTTCGCCCAGCGTCTTGAAATGTCGCTGGACGTCGCCTGGCTGTTGTGGGATCATGCACATCAAGTCGGTATGTAGTAGTCAGGTAGCTGGTCCTCGCGCAAGTCGTCCGGTGTTCGCTGGTATGCATCGCAGTTCGTGCCAGCATCAGTCGTTATGTCACGGGGTCGAGCCCACGAGCGTAGGATCGGGGTAGATCACGAGCGGGAAAAACACTTGCGCCAATGAGAAACATGACAGAAGTGGACTCGAGTCTCCTTGATGGGGAAACATTTGCATGGGCTCGGGGCACAACAGGCAAGGTAGCATGCTGGGGTCGTATGTCGTTGATTTTACCGGACACTGCCAAACTAACTTTAAGATTTGGGTCACGCCTTGGCTGGCTTTTTGCCGCAAGGTAAGATTCATGCGAAACCTGTCCACTGGGTCAACGAGGCCGCCGGCTACTGCGGCCGGTTCCGGAGCTGCAGTCCGAGCTGGGAGACAAACCGGACTCATTCCTGAAGGGTGCAATGAGTGGTGATTCATATCCAGGAGCTGTTGTCAATTCGAGACTCGAGCTTGTTGGACGAGATCCAAGTAGAGCGAGGGCTTGTCCTGTGAGCTGCATTTAGCCGGCTTTAGCCTAAGCAGGACAGGGGCTTTTCGAGTGGCAGATCTACGGGCGGGACGTGGTTGGAACAGTCTGGGGTGCGTTGGGCCGGCGCCACCCAGCGCCTGGTCCCTCGGCCATCGCAGCTGGTGGATATCGCAGGCTGGAGCCGCGCAGAATTCGGGGCCACCTAGTCTAGCCTAGCCCGGGGAGAGGGAGACATGCATGCCGCTGGCTGCGAGGCTGGCAAAGGGCGGCCCTGTGGGCAGTTGTCGCGTGGTAGGCGGATCGCCGCCCCGAAATGCCGATGTGGGTGCGGTGGCTCGTGGGAGACGACTTGGGCGAGCTGGCTGCCGGTAGTCGAGGGTCGCTAGTGTGTACAGTCATGTATTTCGTAGGAGGCGTAGGGTGCTTCTGCCAGGGTGATGCCGGTGGCTGGTCTGCGAAAATGCAAAAGAGCAGCGTGCCGGAGTGCGCTTGTGAAGTGAATGAGCGACTGCGAATGCCAATGCATGGTGCACAACGCTGCGGAAAGAGCCCAGGGCTCGGGCTTGCTCCTGCCGCAGCGGCAGCACAACAGGTAAAGATACGTACCTCAAGGTGCCTTGATCTTCGACCTCGGGAGGCTTGGAAGGCTGTCAAGATCTGGGCTGGCATGCACGCTGTGATGTGGGATAATTGCAGATTCATCTCCACGCCAGACGACAGACGTTGCCAGACTTCCCAAGCCGAGGCGGGAACGCAATGCAAAGCACCCCGGCTATTTGCTTTTGACGCCAGGGAACCCAATGCCATTAGTTATGGGCTCCCACAAAGCCACGCGGCCAGCCCAGCGCCATCCAGAAAGGCAATGAGCCTGATTTGGGCCGCGCCCACGATTCGGTCGCACGACAAGCTCACGCCTGCTTCGAGCTTGGCCTGTTCGGGCTCCTGTGGCGTGGATGGATGGCGACCACACCCCACACACCACCACACCATACCACGCCACGGCGCCCCTGCACGGCTCCAGCCTTGGTGCTCTTCTTGCATGTGTGTGTCGTTTCCCCATGCCCCATCCTTGAGGGCCGATTCCCCATCTGGGGCCCCCAATCTCTCATGCCGGGGTATTAAGCCGCCCGCGGCCAGGGGTCCCGCATGCCTGCGCTGCCGGCGCCGGGTTGGCACTTTTGACGCCGCGTCCAGGCCTTGGAGCTTACACGTATCTGCCGTGCAACAACCGACCACTGTCCGCGTCTCGCCGCTGGGTACGGCAGCTGCGTTTCCGGCCCGCATGGCCGCTGTCTCGAGTTCCGCGCCTTACCATGGGCACGTGGTGCTCGACACCGTGTTTCGTCGACGGGTCTCATATATTAGTTGCCCCTTCCACCTCCAGCGTCGTCCCCAGTCCGTCTCCGTCCTCCACGGCTTCTCCAGAGTCTGCACCCTTCCTGGCAAAGAGTAGCACCGCCTGGAGCTCTCCACTCGTGCCATTTCCCTCTGTCGGCCGGCCGCAAACAGCATACACCCAACACTTTTCAAGATGGCTCTTGGTGCTCTCGTCAAGAAGCAGCCAAATGGCGACGCCCTGGCGCACGCCCAGGACGAGGCTCCCCAGTTCGAGAAGGTCGACTGGAAGAAGGATCCTGGCTTGAGAAAGCTCTACTTCTACGCTTTTGTGCTGTGCATGGCGTCTGCCACCACTGGTTACGATGGGTAAGTTGTCGCCAGAGCGTAGACCAGCACCAATCATGCCTTGGAGCCATTCTTGGACACAATTCTTCTAACTGTGCCCCGCTGCAGAATGTTCTTCAACTCTGTACAGCTCTTTCAGACCTGGAAGGACTACTTCGGAAACCCGCAGGGATCCGATCTTGGTCTTCTCGGTGCTCTCTACCAGATTGGTAGCATCTTCTCCATCTTGCTAGTGTAAGTGCTTTTGCACCGAAACGAGAATCATGCTTGCTGTCACAAATTCATCATCTAACACCGCAAAAGTCCTCTCCTTGCCGACAACTTCGGTCGCAAGGTGCCCATCATCATTGGATGCGTAATTATGGTTGCTGGTGCCTTTGTTCAGGGATTCGCCCAGAATCTGGGCATGTTCATGGGTGGCCGTGTCCTGATGGGTGCTGGCAACAGCTTGGCCCAGGTCACGTCTCCCATGCTGCTAACCGAGCTCTGCCACCCTCAGCACCGTGGTCGTCTCACGGCAGTTTACAACTGTCTCTGGAACGCTGGTGCCATCGGTAAGCTTGCCACGCGTGTCCAACTCATTCTCCGTTCGGACACAGACTGACCAAGTTGATGCCTCTCCGTATAGTCGTCGCCTGGTTGTCCTTCGGCACCCACTATATCCCCAACGAGTGGTCGTGGCGTATCCCTGCTATTGTGCAGGCCTTCCCGTCCGTAATCCAGCTTGTCTTCATCTTCTGGGTCCCGGAATCGCCCCGTTACCTCGTTGCCAAGGACCGTGCCGAGGAGGCTCTACACATCCTGGCCACGTATCACGCCAACGGCAACGCCAACCACCCGACCGTGCAGTTCGAGTACCGTGAGATCAAGGAGACGATCAGAATGGAGATGGAGAGCAAGGCCAACAGCAGCTATGCCGACTTCCTGAAGACCAAGGGCAACCGCTGGCGCCTCATTGTCCTGCTCTCCCTGGGTCTGTTCTCGCAGGTCAGTATCTGCAAGTCTCAGCACTATCTGAGAGAGCTGGAAATTGACAATATGAATGTAGTGGAGCGGAAACGCTATCATCAGCAACTACGCAGGTGTCCTGTACACGAACGCCGGCGTCACTGACTCAAACTCGCAATTTGGTGTAAGTACAGTCCAATGCCCAGGCCAATCTATCATGTTTGCCACGAGCTGTCTCATTGACCATTTTGTCTTCAATAGCTATCTGGTGGTCAGACCATCCTGTCGCTGATTGTCTCCGTCTCCATGGCTTTGCTCATTGACCGCTTCGGCCGCCGGCCAATGTTCCTCCTTTCAACTGGTGGCATGTTCGGTGTCTTCGTGTTCTGGACACTGACCGCCGGTCTCTACGAGCAGCACAACGCTCCCGGTTCCAACTACGCCATGATCTTCTTCATCTGGCTCTTTGGTGTCTTTTACTCGATCGCATGGTCTGGCCTTCTCATCGGCTACGCGATTGAGATTCTCCCTTACAAGCTGCGTGCTAAGGGTCTCATGGTTCTTAACATGACCGTCCAGGCTGCACTCTGCCTCAACACCTACGTGAACCCGCTGGCCTTTGATGGCTTCGGCAAGAACAACTCGTGGAAGCTGTACCTCATCTACACATGCTGGATCTTCTGCGAGTTGACCTTTGTCTACTTCATGTACATTGAGACTCGTGGCCCTACTCTGGAGGAGCTTGTCAAGGTCATTGATGGCGACGATGCCAAGGTCGCTCATCTCGACCTTGAGCAGGTTGAGAAGGAGACTGCCATCCACCACGATGTTCAGGAATTCTCCGGAACTCACAAGGCATAAGCGTTTATCTAGCGCTCGACGCATATCGGCCTGGCGAGGTTTTTAAATGCCCAGTACGTACTTAGCTGTTGCCGGCAAGCTCGCAGGATACCGTTAGTCTAGTTCTTAGTGCTTCTATTCATGCCATGGTATTGTCAAACTTTCTGAATTCTCCTGTGCATGTAACCAGTACGAGCACAGAGTATGCTGCCTTTGCATGTGCGTGTAGGGGAAAGAATTGGTTCTCTTGTGGGTGTTAAACTTGCCACTGGCTTTTCCATCTCCGCCGCTGCATTCATCACGTCTCATCCTGTCTTGCTCAGGATGCTTCTGGTCACAGAGCAAAACAAAATTGATAAATTCTCCATTTTTGTGAACAGTGAGGGCAAAACCCAACGTGGAGGGCACTTCGGCCACTGAGCTGCACTCGCGTGGGGATAAGTGCGCTGCAGTTAGCATAGTAAAGACAACCAAGGCCTTGGTTCTACTTCTCGATGAAGTGGCACAGCAATTCTGCCATACAGTCACTATTCGCGTCATGTGGATTTGTATTCTCGTAGACCTCACCTGGGAAGAATATATGCGTGTTGTGTTTCGCAGGATCACTTACACGGAACATCGAAGCCTTTTGATTGGCTGGGACGAGCTGGTTGATTGAGCCATGCATCGTCTCCACTCAGCGTTGTCCAGAGTGCCTGCACCTGCTGGGGTGCGGCTCTAGCGTGCGTCGAGCCGCGTCGAAGCAGGCTGCAACCGCAAGTCTGGAAAAATTCCATCAGACACACACAATCACCATCACCTCAACCCGACAAGCCGGCTCGCAACCCCCCCGGCGCTGCACACAACATCTCCAAAGCCCAATGTCATAGAAGACTGTATTGTGTCGCCGACTTGACCGGATCAAGGGCTGAACGGACACACCCTATCGCATCTCCTCGCGGCGAGCGGGCGAGGCAGACGACCACCAGCGCGGCAGACCACGACGAAGCACGCGTGTGCGCGTACTATCCCACCAAGCGCAGCAGCGAGGCCTGCAAACCGTAGCAGCTATGGCGGACAACAGCAATCACCAGCGCGATGTGTCGCAGTACAAGTACTCGGCCATGTCCAACCTGGTCCTCCAGGCGGATCGTCGCTTCATCACGCGGAGGACCGACGAGGCCACGGGCGACCCCGAGTCGCTTGCTGGCCGCCTCAGCATCACCGACATGGGCGCCCGGGTCGCGCGCGATGAGGCGCCTAAGAAGAAGGCCATGCCGGACGTCGCCCGCGGCGGGCTCGACGAGGGCCAGGACATCTTGGCGCGAGAGAGGCAGAAACAGAAGGCAAACCAGCAGACTCGCCAGGTCGGTATCCTGGGCCAAACCGATCTGATGGTCGAGGGCTTGATCTACCGGCCCAGGACATCGGCGACGCGCGAGACCTACAACCTGATCCTGGCGCTCGTCGCAAACAATCTCGGCGATGTCTCACATGAGATTGTTCTCAGTGCGGCCGACGCGGTTCTGGAATACCTAAAGGATGAAGACCTCAAGGACTTTGACAAGAAGAAAGAGATCGACGATCTGCTCGGTGCCACGCTCAACCCCAAGCAGTTCAACGAACTGGTAAATCTAGGCAAAAAGATTACAGATTATGATGCCCAAGATGACGACGAGGACATGGGCGATGGCGGCGCTGGCATCGACGATGGCGAGATCGACGACCGTCAAGGTGTGGCCGTCGTATTCGACGACGAAGATGAAGATGATGAAGCCGCGATAACCCACGAAGTCCGTGATGAATCCTCGGAGGACGAAGCCGAGGCAGAGGACCAGGACGAGGACGAGGCCGCGGCGACTGATACTGCGCGCGAGCGTGCCGAAGCTCTTACCAGCACAGAGGAGATGCTCATCGATGGCGGTGCTGCTGACAGCAAGCGCAAGGCCAAGGAAGAGAAGAATTACATCCCTGCGCGCGAGATTGATGCGTACTGGCTGCAGCGCGAGATTGGCCAGATCTATCCTGACGCACACACACAACACGACAAGACGAGTCAGGCTCTACATATACTGTCCGGTGAACCCGATGAGCCAGGCGGTGATGAGAAGCAGCTCCGCGATATTGAGAACGATCTCATGGAGCTGTTTGACTATGAGCACCACGAGGTTGTGCAGAAGCTCATCGAAAACCGCGAGAAGGTTGTGTGGCTCACGCGTCTCGCAAAGGCCGAGAACGACGAAGCCCGCAAGGTTCTCGAACGGGAGATGGCGTCAGAAGGTGTCAAGTGGATTCTTGATGAGCTCCATGGCAAGAGGGCCGCTGACGGTGCCAAGAAGGTAGAGATCAAGATGGATATTGATGTGCCGCAAGAGTACCTCGAGGACAACAAGCCCAAGCAGGAAGACGGCCGACTCGTGGGCAACCTGCAGCCACGCAAGCTGATCAACCTCGACAACCTCGTCTTCGATCAGGGCAACCACTTGATGACCAACGCCAAGGTCAGGCTGCCCGAAGGCTCGACAAAACGCACCTTCAAGGGCTATGAAGAGATCCATGTCCCGCCACCAAAGAAGCGGAACGACCCTGGCGATGTTCTGATTCCTATCACAGACATGCCTGAGTGGTCTCGTCTCCCGTTCTCCACAGCAAAGTCTCTGAACAAGATCCAGTCCAAGTGCTACCCGTCCGCGTTCCAGGACGATGGCAACATGCTTATCTGCGCTCCGACTGGCAGTGGTAAAACAAACGTGGCTATGCTCACCATATTGCGAGAGCTCGGCAAGCACCGTGACCCCCGGACTGGCGATATAGACCTGGACGCATTCAAGATCGTCTACATCGCGCCACTCAAAGCGCTGGTACAGGAGCAGGTCGGCAACTTTGGCGCGCGGCTCAAGGAGTACGGCATCACCGTGTCCGAATTGACCGGTGATAGGCAGTTGACCAAGCAGCAAATCTCAGAGACCCAGATCATTGTCACCACACCGGAGAAATGGGATGTCATCACAAGAAAGGCGACGGACTTGACTTACACGAACCTCGTTCGCTTGATCATCATTGATGAGATCCACCTTCTCCATGATGATCGCGGTCCTGTACTGGAGAGTATCGTGAGTAGAACGATACGCAAGACCGAACAGACTGGCGACCTTGTGAGACTGGTCGGTCTCTCCGCCACACTGCCCAACTACAAGGATGTTGCAAGCTTCCTGCGGGTAGACGTCGAGAAGGATCTGTTCCACTTTGATGGATCGTTCAGGCCTTGTCCGCTGAGACAGGAGTTCATTGGTGTCACGGATAAGAAGGCCATCAAGCAGCTCAAGACGATGAACGACATCACGTACAACAAGGTCATCGAGCATGTGGGTACTCACCGCAACCAGATGCTCATCTTTGTGCACTCCCGCAAGGAGACAGCCAAGACAGCCAAGTACATCCGCGACAAGGCGTTGGAGATGGAGACTATCAACCAGATCCTCAAGCACGACTCAGGCTCGAGAGAAGCCCTGAACGAGGCTGGCAACGACGCTACGGATGCGGATCTCAAAGATCTACTGCCATACGGATTTGGTATCCATCACGCTGGTATGAGCAGAGTTGACAGAGCCGAGGTCGAGGACCTGTTTGCCAACGGTCTGATCCAAGTCCTCGTTTGCACGGCCACTCTTGCTTGGGGTGTCAACCTCCCTGCCCACACAGTCATCATCAAGGGCACCCAGGTCTACTCCCCCGAAAAGGGTAGTTGGATCGAGCTCAGCCCACAGGACGTCCTGCAAATGCTTGGTCGTGCCGGAAGGCCTCAGTACGACACGTACGGTGAGGGTATCATTATTACGACACAAGGCGAAATGCAATACTACCTGTCCCTCCTTAACCAGCAGCTGCCCATCGAGAGTCAGTTTGTCAGCAAGCTCGTCGACAATCTCAACGCTGAAATTGTCCTTGGCAACGTGCGCACTCGCGATGAGGGTGTCGAGTGGCTTGGATATACCTATCTGTTCGTGCGCATGCTCAGGTCTCCTGGCCTGTACAGTGTTGGCGCAGAGTACGAGGACGACGGCGCCCTGGAGCAGAAACGAGTGGATCTCATTCACTCAGCTGCTACCGTGCTTAAAAAGGCAAATCTTATCACGTACGATGAGAAGACGGGCAAGCTCAAGGCCACTGAGCTGGGCAGGATATCCTCCCACTACTACATCACACACGGCTCCATGGACACTTACAACAAACTGATTCAGCCGTCGATCACGACGATTGAGCTTTTCCGTGTCTTTGCTCTAAGTGCCGAATTCAAGTACATTCCCGTCCGTCAAGACGAGAAGCTGGAGTTGGCGAAGCTTCTTGGGCGGGTGCCTATACCGGTCAAGGAGAGTATCGAGGAGCCTCACGCAAAGATCAACGTCTTGCTGCAAGCATACATCTCCCGGCTCAAGCTCGATGGTCTCGCGCTCATGGCTGACATGGTATACGTGACGCAATCCGCAGGCCGTATCTTGCGCGCCATCTTCGAGATCACGCTGCAGAAGGGTTGGTCTAGCGTGACAAAGACTGCGTTAGATCTCTGCAAGATGGCCGAGAAGCGCATGTGGCCCACCATGACGCCCCTACGACAATTCCCCTCTTGTCCGCGGGAGATCATCGCCAAGGCGGAGAGAATCGACGTGCCATGGAGCAGTTACTTCGATCTCGACCCCCCACGCATGGGCGAGCTGCTGGGTATGCCCAAGGCAGGCCGTACTGTCTGCTCCCTTGTGTCCAAGTTCCCCAGAGTCGAGATCTCTGCGCAGGCCCAACCGATGACGCGATCTATGCTACGGGTAGAGCTGTCCATCACACCCAACTTCGAGTGGGACGACTCAGTACATGGCTCCGCGGAGAACTTCTGGATCATGGTCGAGGATTGTGACGGTGAGGACGTGCTCTTCTACGACCAGTTCCTGCTGCGCAAAGACTATGCTGTGGGCGAAGCTACGGAGCATCTAGTCGACTTCACTGTGCCCATTACGGATCCCATGCCACCAAACTATTTCATCTCCGTCATTTCGGACAGATGGATGCACTCGGAAACGAGGCTTCCCGTCTCGTTCCGTAAGCTCATTCTGCCGCAGAAGTTCCCGCCTCACACACAGCTGCTCGATCTGCAACCTCTGCCTGTTGCTGCGCTCAAGGCTAAGGACTATTCCGCGCTTTATCCGGACTGGACATACTTCAACAAAATCCAGACACAAACGTTCAACTCGTTGTATGGGACGGACGAGAACGTCTTCGTTGGAGCCCCAACTGGCAGTGGCAAGACTGTTTGCGCCGAGTTCGCCATCTTGCGACACTGGTCCAAGCCCGAGATCGGTCGCGCAGTGTATATTGCACCATCACAGGAATTGGTTGACATCAGATACCAGGACTGGCAGAAGCGCTTTAGTCATCTTCGTGGCGGCAAGGATATTGTGAAGCTCACCGGCGACACGACAACAGACCTGAAGCTGCTGGAGAAAGGTGATCTGATCATGGCGACGCCAACACAATGGGATGTCTTGTCGAGGCAGTGGCAGAGACGGAAGAACATCCTTACCGTTGAGCTATTCATCGCTGACGAGCTGCATTTGCTGGGCGGTCATCTTGGGTATATCTACGAGATCATTGTCTCTCGCATGCACTACATCCGAACCACGGCCGAGATCTCGATGCGCATCATTGGTCTCAGCGTGTCGCTGGCGAATGCTCAGGACATCAGTGAGTGGATCGGTGCCAAGAAGAAGGACACGTACAACTTCAGCCCTCACGTGCGGCCTGTACCGCTTGAGCTCCGTATCCAGTCGTTCTCGATCCCTCACTTTCCCTCGCTGATGCTCGCAATGGCCAAGCCCACATACGTTGCCATCAATGAGTTGTCGCCTGACCAGCCGGCCTTGGTGTTTGTGCCGAGCAGGAAGCAGACCAGATCGAGCGCTAGAGACATTCTAGCTGCATGCTTGGCTGATGACGACGAGGACAGATTCCTGCACGTCGACGTGGAGCAGTTGAGACCTTTACTGGAAAGAATTCGGGAGGAGGCACTGGCTGAAGCACTTTCCCACGGTGTTGGTTACTACCACGAGGCGCTCAGTCAGTCCGACAAGCGCATCGTCCTGCACTTATACAAGCAGGGTGCGATTCAGGTACTCGTCGCGTCTCGTGACGTCTGCTGGGAACTCGACACGACTGCTCACCTCGTCGTGGTAATGGGTACGCAGTACTTTGAGGGCCGTGAGCATCGCTACGTCGACTACCAGCTCAGTGAGGTTCTCCAAATGTTTGGCAAAGCCCTTCGGCCATCTGGCGACGGACGGAGTCGTGGCGTTTTGATGGTGCCTGCGGTCAAGCGCGAGTATTTCAAAAAGTTCCTCAATGAGGCACTGCCCGTCGAATCGCACCTTCACAACTTTATGCACGATGCTCTGGTGACAGAAGTCAGCACAAAGATGATTGAGTCGACGGACGATGCCATCAGCTGGGTCACGTTTACATACTTCTACAAGCGCATTTTGGCAAACCCCAGCTACTACAGCTTGCCCAGCTTGACGGAGGATGCTTTCAACACGTACCTGTCAGACCTCATTGAGGGCACGCTCAAGGAGCTGACAGAGTCCAAGATTGTCGACCTTGACGAGGAGGATGGTTCCGTGGCAGCCCAGAATGCTGCCATGATTGCAGCATACTACAACATCTCGTACATTACAATGCAGACGTTCCTGTTGTCCCTGAGCGCAAGGACGAAGCTCAAGGGTTTACTCGAGATTGTGACGTCCGCGACCGAGTTCGAGGCTATTCAGATCCGACGACATGAAGAAACCCTGCTCCGTCGCATCTACGACCGAGTGCCGGCGAAGATGTCAGAGCCGGTTTACGACTCGCCTCACTTCAAGGCCTTCGTACTGCTCCAGGCCCACTTCTCTAGGATGCAGCTGCCCATCGATCTCGCGAAGGATCAGGAGGTTATCGTTTCGAAGGTTCTCAGCTTGCTGAGCGCGGCAGTAGATGTCTTGTCCTCTGATGGACACCTTAATGCCATGAACGCCATGGAGATGTCTCAGATGGTTGTGCAGGCGATGTGGGATCGCGATAGCCCACTCAAGCAAATCCCGCACTTCACACCAGAAGTCGTCAAGGTCGCGAACGAGTTTGAGATCAAGGACATCTTCGACTTCATGGAGGCGATGAACCCAGAGGAGAACCCCAACTATGGCACTCTTGTCAAACGACTTGGACTCTCTCAGAACCAGCTGGCCCAAGCTGCTGCTTTCACCAATGACAAGTATCCCGACATCACGCTAGAGTTTGACGTCATCGACGAGGACGAGATCCGCGCTGGCGAGCCGGCATACCTGAGTATCCGGATTGAGCGTGAGGTTGATGAGGAGGACGGCCCGGCAGACATGACTGTGCATGCACCGTTCTACCCAGTCAAGAAGACGGAGAATTGGTGGCTGGTGGTCGGCGAGGAGAGCACGAAGAACCTGCTGGCCATCAAGCGCGTCACGATTCCTGGGCAGCAGCTTCAGACCAAGCTTGAGTTCACGGTGCCAACCGCTGGCAAGCACGATCTCAAGCTCTTCCTGATGAGCGACAGCTATGTCGGCGTGGATCAGGAGCCTTCGTTCACGATCACGGCGGCCGAGGGCATGGATGTCGACGATGACGACGATGAGGACGAGGACGAGGACGAAGAGGAAGATGACGAGTGAATATTTCTTGACACGGACACAAAGGCATTGGGGTCCCCAACGCATTACCTAGAGAGACTGTATTTTATAATGAATACAGGTTACAATTTGTGATTCGCAAGTGTCGTCTTGTGTCTCGGTCGTTCGGTGACGGCCGCGTCTTTGCTCAGCGCAGCACCCTTCCGTAAGCTGACATTGCGGTACGAAGGGCACGTGCGTTTGTGAAATTGGCATCACCGGCCACAGCAATTGAGATCAACAGCCATTGGCGGCTGCCATTACATACAGATGTCATGATGTCAATTGAGAAAAATGAGAGTGAATGCATTGGGGCGTGACTGACAGCACGAGGACCAGAAAGAAGCAGCCGGGATATTGACGAATTGACGAGCGCCCAAAGATAGTCGCTGGCTGTTGGTCCAAAGTCACATGACTGGATGCAGGCGGGCTATCTCCAAAAAAGCATGATGCTGTCGCTCTATGGGCGGGCGGCGCCAAAGGGCGAGACCGTGGGAGGGCCAGCCAGTCGTGGCGTGGCTCCTCGAGCCAAGGTTGCCCGAGGAGGTAGGAGATCTGCGGGACTGAGAGAGCGCGCCTCTGCGAGAGGAGAGAGGCGCACGAGACTGGGCAAAATAGATTGGCCAGGTTTGGCATGCTCTAGCGGCCAAAACGGCAGGTCTTATTATGTCCACGCCGGCGCGCTAGGCAGACTGCAGGTGGTATGGGTCCCACCTGGCCGCAATTAACCACCCCAGGCATGACCTCAGGCGCAGGAAAGCCCGTTGGTGTTTCTTCCTCCCAGCCTCTCCAGACTTCGCACTCGGCGCAGCCCTCATCACCTCCCCACGATCCGGTCGCGCCATCTCAATTACATCTCGCGAAGCTCGTCCAGCCCTTCCGAGAGCTTCCGCCTGCAATATAAGGTACGTGAGATCCGCCTCGCCCAGCTGGGAGAGCTCCTGCCTCGGCCTTGCCGTGACGCGTCCCGTCCAGGCTGAGCACGCACCTGGCCGGTTCAGGTCGCCCGTCGCCTTTCCTCCTCGTCTTCGCATCGACTTGTCCAGTACAAGATCTAAATTGAGGCTGACACATGTTCTCCGATCGCGTTCAGCATCATCGCCATCGCCCCCTTCCGTGCGTCGCGTCAGAGTGCGTCCCACCTACGTGCTTCTTGCCTCCACGCTTGCCAACCATGGCGGACGAATCTTCACCCGCGCAACCTGCGGTGCAGAACAATGAGGCAGCTGCGCCCGCGCCCAAGGACAATGCCGTGACAGAGCCGACTTCGACCGATGCTGGCGCCACTGATGCCGCGCCTGCGGCCGCGGGTGCCAAGGATGTCGAGATGAAGGACGTGAAGGACAAGGACGACCAGACGGCAGAGAAGCCGTCTGCTGCTGATGGTGAGCTCACCCGAACTATCTCTCGCTTTCACTGGTGGTACTTGGTTGAGGTGTATGCACGCAAATCGCGCGGTTCGCGACTCCATCGCACGCGACACTTGCGGGCATTATTGGTGTACTGTTCGGCCAGATAATACCTGTGCGGTAGCTTCCAGCGAGGTCAGCTAACAAATGTTGTTTTCGTTGTGCAGAGCCCACCTCGAAGCCCGCCGAGGCTGACGCAAAGCAAGAGAGTGCCGACGCCACCGCTCAGGGTGAGACTAGCGACGAGAAGCCGGCAGAGAGAGATTCCGAGACCAAAGCCGATGACTCCACAGCTCAGCTCGACACATCCGCCAAGGGCCGTCGCAAGTCTACCGCCGGCGACAGCAAGGCCAAAACTTTGAAGAAGAAGGCCTCCAAGGCCAAGATACTCAACCTCGACGCGAAGCCGGGCGATCATTTCTTTGCCAAGCTCAAGGGGTTCCCACCGTGGCCAGTCGTCATCTGCGCAGAGGATATGCTGCCCCAGAACATGCTGAGCTCGCGCCCAGTCACAGCGGCTCGTGAAGATGGCACATACCGCGACGACTTCGCCGATGGTGGCAAGAGAGCCGCTGATCGGACCTTCCCGGTGATGTATTTGTATACCAACGAATTGTACGTCAGACCTCGCGGAGCTCCTTATCTCCTCGTATCGCGTAACTGACCTGCCATGACTTCACAGCTCCTGGACTCCCAACACGGATCTTAGCGAACTTGACCCAGAGACCGTTGCCGACATGGTGACAAGCAAGATGCGCAAGGATCTGCAGAAGGCGCACGAGCTTGCGGCCGAGAACAACGATCTTCAATATTACCGCGATCTCCTACAGAAGTTCGAAGAAGAACGCGAGCAGGCCCTCCAGGAAAGGGAGGAGAGAGCTAGGGCCAAGGCAGCCGCCGCAGCCGAGAAGAAAGCCAAGGCCTCCGCGAAGACAGCGAAGACACCCCGGAAGAGCAAGTCTGGCGTCGATGAAGATGGCGACATGGACATGGCAGACATTGGTGATGATGATGAGGCAGTGCCCAAGTCAAAGACGAAGAAGCGCAAGGCAGAAGATGCCAGTGAGGTGGGTTTCTTTCCACTGCATACTGGAAGTTACATTGATGCTGATTTGACTGCAGACGCCTCAACGATCGGACTCCGTCAAGAAGCCGAAAATCAAGCTTACATCGTCTTCGACGCCGAAGGCTAATGGTGTGGCCTCGCCAAAGGACGCGTCGTCCAAGACCCTCAAGGTCAAGGCAAAGCCCAAGAAGGTGGAGACTCCCAAGGAGCCTGAGCTCAGCCCCGAGGAAAAGAAGGAGCGAAAGCAGAAGGAGATCTTGTTCCTACGTCACCGCCTTCAGAAGGGCCTCCTGAATCGGACTGCGCCACCCCAAGAAGAAGAGATGAAGAGCATGTCCGAATTCTTGGGCAAGTTGGAGACATTCCCTGATTTGGAGGCAGATATTATTAAAGCCACCAAGATCAACAAGGTGCTCAAGGCGATGCTCAAACTCGACTCAATCCCGAAGGACGAGGAGTTTAAGTTTACGCCTCGCTCCAAGGCGCTCTTGGACAAGTGGACAAAAATCCTCAATGCGGCTGAGGCTAGCACACCAGTGCCCACGAGCACGACCAACGGTGTCAATGGAGAGAGCAAGACGGCCACCTCGAATGGTGTCAAGGAATCCTCCGCCGATGCCGCGGACAAGCCTGACTCGGGCGCACCGGCATCCAAGACAGCGGCTCCTGAGGAGAGCACCAAGAGCTCCGAGTCAACCAAAGAGGAGGCTCCTGAGGTCAAGGGGGCTGGAGACGAGGTAAGCCAGAATCACCAAACTCTCAGAGTTGCGTAATACAGCCTTGCTAACCCCAGACAGACCAAGACTTCATCAGACGCAGCTGCCGGTGCGGTCGAGTCTACAGCGTGAAGCACCAAGCGATCGTGTCGGTACGGTATGCGGCTGTGAAATAATCTTGTTTTCTATGAGGCGTTCACGGCGGATGTTTTTGCATTTATCGATAGTATGCCCGGCTTTTGAGGCATCTGGTCATTGAGCATGATAAAGATCAGATTGCCACGGCAGGCAAAAAGCGCATTTCTGGTGGGGAGGGGGAGCTCTTGATCTGTAAAGATACGGACTGGCTGCGATAACGCGGCCAGCCAGGGAATCACTTGGTGCTACACACGATGACGGGGGAAGGTTGCTTTTCGCTGGTGCAACGAGAATCAATGAGGAGAAGCACCGTCCATCTCGCTGGAGAACTTCGTTACAACTGCTTTAGGAGTTTTTGGAGGATGTCGAAGCAGTCACGGGTAGTGCAAGACACGCTCAACTTCGTATAGGTCAGAAGAACACAAAGATAGTGATAGTCCTTAGGCTTGATCCTGCTGCCTGGTGTTTATGGCTTTTGAAGGAGTGAGGAGACGGTCCTGAAATCGTTGTGGCGCGCATAGGCCCTGATTGGCTAGGAGCATTCTGGTGGGTCCGTGGTGTGCTTAAGGTGCCTGAGGAAGCGCGTCATCAGCCAAGCGTGCCTGGTCTGCCAGAAGCTACTGTGAGTGCATGGGGGTGGAAGCTCCTCGACATGACGATAAGTCAGCCACGACTCGCCACGAGCACAAGCTCTACATGCACCACTATTGCCGTCTTTCTGCTCCCTCGTCACTTCTGCCACCTCCTCATCACGTACACTGGAGGTTCCAGTGCAGCTCCCACGAAGGCCTTACGATCCGGTTACCACCTGCCCAACGCAAGCATCCACCAACAACAGCTCCCTCCGTAGCTGCCCGGATCAGTACGTGGGGCAGGATCCCACACCACCGCTCCACGCCTGCAGCTTTCTTGACGTCCTCGTAGCCTGACAGCAGCATACGACCAACGCAGATCGATCGCAGAGCGATCTGTCTTTCATCTCTACGTCGCGCCGTGCCAAACTGTCCGGGAAGCCGGTCTGAGAAACATCCAAGAGCATCGCCCCGGAAGCCTTTCGCCTCCACGCCCACCATGCTCCTCCGACTCCGAGGGCCGGATGGCATGATCCGGATCACCATCGACAAGGATGACACCTTCGGGACGCTTGGTGAAATGGTAAGTCGCCCTGGCTGTTGTTCCTGCTCATTTTGCTCTCTGGTAGCTCGCTCACACGTATTTGATCTGCCAGCTCACGCAACAACTTCCGCCCACTGTCGACCCACGATCGATATCCATGTCCCCCGACCCGCTGGCCAAGGATTCCAAGAAGATTGTCGATATCGCGCAATACAAGGTTGGCCAGATAGGGCTGAAGTATGTTTACTTGCGATCTCGCATTCCTTCTGGTTTCCCGGCATACTAACAACAACATGTGCTTGACTGTAGTCACGGAGATTTGATATTCATAAAGTACTCCCACCTAGACTCCAACATGAACGGTGACACCACGAGCTCGACATCGCTGGCAACCTCATCAAACAGACTTGATGGCAAGCCAATCTTGCCCACGGCCGATTTCCCTATCAACCCTGCGCCACTGAGATCACCGACGGCCATTATCAAGAATCCATGGGAGGTGGTGAGGCAGTCGCCTCTGGACGACCGATTAGACAAGCTCGATGGCAAGATACCACGGGGAAGGGACCACCGTATGTGCAAGCATGCGCCCAAGGGCATGTGCGACTACTGCATGCCTCTCGACCCTTTCAACCCTCAATACCTGAAGGACAAGAAGATCAAATACCTGTCACTTCATTCGCACCTCCGCAAGGTCAACTCCGCGACCAACAAACCTGAGCTGGGCAGCTCCTTCATTCCGCCGCTCAAAGAGCCCTACCACCGTGTCAAGCGGGATTGCCCATCGGGCCATCCTCAGTGGCCAGAAGGTATTTGCACAAAATGCCAGCCAAGCGCCATCACGCTGCAGCCACAGAGTTTCCGCTGCGTTGATCACGTCGAGTTTGCATCTTTCGATATTGTGAACACATTCCTGAACTCTTGGCGTGCGACTGGGTCGCAACGAGTAGGTTACCTATACGGACGGTATGCTGAGTACACTGAAGTACCGCTTGGAGTCAAGGCGGTGGTGGAGGCGATCTACGAGCCGCCGCAGGTGGATGAGGTTGATGGCGTGACACTCAACCCCTTTGAGGCTGAGAACGCAGTCAACGAGGTAGCCAAGCTATGCGGACTTGAGCAGGTCGGCGTCATCCTTACCGATTTGCTGGATGCGGGAGCTGGAGACGGGACGGTAATCTGCAAGAGGCATGCCGACTCGTACTTTCTGTCGTCCCTAGAAGTCTGCTTTGCGTCACGGCTGCAAGCACAGCACCCCCTTGCCACAAAATGGAGCGACACTGGGCGGTTTGGCTCCCGCTTTGTCACCTGTATAGTGTCTGGTGATGAAGCTGGGCAGATCGCGATTTCTGCCTACCAGGCCTCTAACGACTCTGTCGAAATGGTTCGCGCTGATCTTATTGAGCCGTCGGCAGATCCGAACGTCATGCTCGTCCGAGACGAGGAGGAAGAAGATGGATCGACGAGCCGGACCAGGTATATTCCAGAAGTCTTCTACCGCAGAATTAACGAGTACGGACTCGAAGTCCAAGAGAACGCGAAACCATCATTCCCAGTAGAATATCTCTTCGTCACGGTAACACATGGTTTCCCTGCGGAGCCGAAACCACTCTTCACGACGCCGACTTTCCCCATCGCTAACCGCGAGGCGATGGGTGAAAGCCAGGAGCTTCGTGCTGTTGCCAAGGCGCTTGGTCCTAGCGGCAACAACAAGGTCGCAGCGCTCTCTGACTTCCAATTGCTGGCATTCATCCATGGCATGGGAGTGCTGTCAAAAGTAAGTCTGACGTCTTTGTTACAGATCGCACGATGGAGGTGTGCTAACCCGTTTGTCATTACAGGAGGAGGAGGCTCTTCTCTGCCGGGCCGCAACCACACAGGATCTGGCCGACACGTATCAGTTGTTCTCTATGCCCGGATGGCAGACCCTGGAAGCCATTTTGCAATCGACTGGTGAGAGAATCCCCAAGCGTCCTCGCCCTCCGAGCGGCGACGGCTACCAGCTTGATACTGCGTCGCTGTCCTCACTGTCTCCATCGTCAACCTCTGCTTCTACTGCAACCCCTAATCTTCAGAAAACCCGTGGTGGTGAGCCGCTCACTAAGCGTCTTGCTGCCGTTAGGCTGAACGAGCGGAACAACCACGTACCCGACCAGAGCAGCAGCAGTACCGTCAACGACCAGCAACCAAGACGTGATCAGCCACACTACGACCGCGCGCAGTTTAAGGATCTGTAGGCGTGGAATATGCCTGTTAGTGGGGTAACTGTTTCTTTGGGCTCCAACATTAGAAGTGGGAATATTGTGGAAATACAGCAGCCAGTACGACTGGAGGAGCTGCTTCTCCGGAGGCGAGACAATGAGCCAACTTGCAAGCAGCTAGACTAGTGGTGATGATACAGATTCAATGTTCCCCACGGTGGTGTTAAGGCTCTTCCGCAGATCCGCGTATCGGATCATTACTCTAAATGCATGGACACTTCAAGATATGCGATGTCCTCAATTTCTTTCTAACGCGCGTAAGCCAAAGCGGAATACTAGTGACGTGTGGCGCTTGCACGGCAGTAGAATGGTTGAACCTTGTCACGGACGAATGCTAAGCATAGAGACCACATGTTCCGCGGAGTATGACTCTATGCAGGATCAATAATAGCCTGTTGACGGATGCCCCGCCGTCAAAGATCATGATTGGCCAACATCTACCGCACAACGTCCGAGAGCTCAGAAAGCTTCATCCATGCTGTCCTGGACTGAGCGGCGCAGCCTGCGGTTGTAGAGCTTCTTCTCGGCTGCATCGCCCCAAAAGAGCTTGTGTGCTTCCAAGTGAACCAGAGTCCGCGGGTCGTAAGGGGGTGATTCCTCCTCGAGCGCTTCGATTATGGCGTCTATGTGCTGTCTAACATCGTCGCGGCGGCTGCTGCCAGGAAAATAGCATGGTGTGCCGTCCTTGCTTACTCGGTGGTGAAAGACCTTGGTCTCATAGCGCACTCTTGGTTGTTCCTCGGGAAACCGTGGGCTGAACGTCAGTCGGACGCGGAACATCCCGCCGTCGAGATTTGTCATGGGACGCCCGAAGAACGTCAAGATCCACACAAATGGGTTGCCATCGAGAATTTCCACGTTGCGTGGAGCTCCGCTCTGCTTAAACGCATCACGGATTTGCTCGTACTGGCGAGCCAGGTTGATGCCCACAGTGCTTTCGAGATTCTTGGTCTCCTTGCCTTCCTCTGTCCACTGCACTACCTCCTGATCAAGGGCTGCTTTGATGGCACGCAGTCGCGTCTCTAGTGCCGTGTAGTTGAACTTCCCGTCCATGGAGTTGCCGGCTCCCTCAAAGGGCATTCGCGCAAACGAAGTGCCATCAGGAGATTCTAATCGTGCCTTATTGACGGCGTCCAGATAGGACTCGTAGTGCCATAAGAATCTGTGTTTGATGAGATCCTTGAAAGGCTCCCACGCGGTCTCGACGTCGTCCGGATGTTGGTATGTAGCGTCAATGGCATAGGCATGACGTTCAAACACTGGAGGTTGATTCCCACCTGGTTCCGGAATGTCCAGAAGCTGTTCTAGTCGTCTAATGACGGTGACCCTCAGAGTCTCGTGTCGAATCTTCATGCCCATCAGCTTTCGGAACTACTTGTCTGCGAGCCTGTGATACGAACCTTCCTGACGTAGTCGAGCTGATCCTTCTTGTCTGTTTCTCCATGTTTGTTCTCAAATCCAGGCTCGTTTTCGTATGGATTTGAGGACATGAGACTTTGGATAGACAGCAGAATCGATTCCAGGCCTTGCGCAGCCGACCACTCTTCGCCTGGCTCACCCCTCCAGGTACTGAAGAACATGAGTTATTTAGCACACGGCCGTTACTCTGGAGAACAGGCGCTGGAACTTGCACTAACCCAAGAATGGACCTATATAGATTCAAGAAGACGTACTGTCAGTTCTTGTGGACATCTGGTCATGAATTCGGAAAGTGATACGCACAGACAAACCTTGCCACAGGCGTATATGTTTGGATTGAAGCGACACTGGCCTCTATTCGTCGTCATGGATGTCACTGCAGGAAATTTTCTTGGGTAGTCTGGACCAAGTTAGGGCCTCGAGCGGCATGTCTCGCAGACGTGGTGGACAGACTGACCTTTTGGGAATCTGATAGCAAACTACAAGGCGGTCAGTACATTTCTACGACTTCGCCCCCAACATGAGGTGTCTCTCAGCGTTGCTTATCGCTGGCCTGTAGTTCTAGCCGTCTCACCTCGAAGAATCCGAACTCATAAGGGCTATCATGAGGCCCAATGATGATGGCTCTGACATTGCGGACATCCGAGTCACGGAAAGCCACAGCCAGTGCTGTGATGATGTAGTGAGACGAGCAAGCAAGTCAGTCGCCATGTTTGGGGCGTGACCAGATGATGCGAGACTACATACACAAATCCGAGCTCTTTTGGAGGTCACTGATTTCCTGTTGCCATGAAGAATAGTGTCAGCGAGGGTGTATGAGGACGGATACAAGGTTGGTACCTTTGTGATGCGGAAGATAGAGTGGTCTGCCATGGCCGTGACTCGGATGGGCAGCCACGGCGGAGGGAGAGGAGAGAAAGATGCGTTTGTGTGTCGATGGCGGATCTAGTTCAAGACGGAGCTTTCTGTTTTGCCGGTCTTTATCTGCAGCCTATTTTGTCTCTTGATACGTAGCGGTGAAGTTTGCCTGAAAAAGCAAGCCGGCTGGCGAGGCACTTTGACGTGTGGGGAGGCTGCAGGCTGTGGGTGGTGCAGACACCCGTACCACGAGATGCTGGAACAACGAGGCCTGCTGCAAGGTGCCGGTGTGCAATCTCGAGCCTTTGCACCGCACCAGAAGACACGCGGAAATGGGCAGCTGGGACAGGCAGGCGCGCTGATAAGCGGAAGAGAATGGCTGTGGTGGTTGTGGTGGAGGACGAGGGTGGTGGTGGTGATGGTGGTGATCACGGGGTCTGGTGAGGCCCAAGGCAGGGATATGTTGGTGGAGGCCGACACTGCTGGAGGAGGAGCAACCCTCAATGGCCGCGCTGCCACGATGCGAAGCTCTGGCACTTTTGGCACAAACAACCAGTTGCAGTCAGTGAGCCTCAAGCTCCGCTGCGTGACTAAGTACACTACCCTATGTAGAAATCAGGAGCCCCATCTACAATCTGCGACCCTGCCCTTCTCCGTGGGTCTTTCGAGGCATCTATTCTGTTTGCAATCCAGGATTGCCCGCTCGCATTGTTGGACCCAGATGTCCCCAGACCATCGCCACGCCTCTTGAGAGGTGTGTGCCCCGCCTCTGGTGGTCGTTGCCGCCGTCCGCCGGTCGTTTCCCAGCCTGGGACCAAATCCAAGCCACGCTTGCCGCAGACTTCATGGACAAGAAATCTGCTCTTCTGGATTGTCAACCCGGTATGACCTGGCGGATGCCGTGGTCCTGTCTTGTTGACCCCCCCCCCCCCCCAGCTCAAGACGGTCCGTCTGCATAAGCGTACGATGGCGCACATAGTCCGGTCCCGGCCCCCATGTCAGCCCGGCCGGGAACCCCTTGGGGGCTCCGCCGCCTAAATTTCTCCAGGATTGCCTATTCCAGTAGGCGCGTCCCCTATTGAGCGACCACCATCACCACCCACAACCACCACCTCCATCTCTATCTCCAACATCAGCACCGGGGCCCTCAAAACTCACCAGGCCACTTCTCTGCTCTCGCAGCCACCTCCGCACAGGCAACCCGCCGCCTCCCTCCACCATGGCTCCCTCCGACAAGCTCGATCTCGGCCGTGTCCTCGTCATTGGCGGCTGCGGCTTCCTCGGCCACCATGTCGTCAACCTCGTCCTCCGCGACTGGAACTCGTCCTCCGTTGCCGTAGTCGATCTCAGGTGCCAGCGCAACCGCCGCCCTGCCTCTGACGGCGTCGAGTACGTCGAGGCCGACATCACCGACGCCGACAATCTCGCAAAGGTCCTGGGCCGCCTCCGTCCAGACGTCGTCATCCATACCGCCTCTCCCCCCGCCCAAGGCAGTTCCGCCATCTCTAACGACCTCTTCAAGAAAGTCAATGTCGACGGCACTCGTGCCGTCATTGCCGCCTGCCAGCAGGCCGGTGTCCAGGCTCTCGTATACACGAGCTCGGCCAGCATCCTCAGCGACAACACCAGCGACCTCGTCAACGCCGATGAAGAGTACCCCGTGATCCGCGGCAAGCAGCAAACCGAGTACTACTCCGAGACCAAAGCGCAGGCCGAGGAGCTTGTCCTCGCTGCAAACCGCGCCGCTGAAGCCCCCAAGTTGCTCACCACCTCTATCCGCCCCTCGGGCATCTTTGGCGAGGGCGACGTTCAGCTCGTCTACCACACCGTCCAGATCTACAAGACCAACAAGGACAAGGTCCAGGTTGGCGACAACTCGAACCTCTTCGACTTTACCTACGTCGAGAACGTCGCTCACGCACACCTGCTCGCCGCCCGCGCGCTGCTGCTCACCGCCAGCAACCCCACGATACCGCTTGACCACGAGCGCGTCGACGGCGAGGCCTTCATCGTGACCAATGGCAGCCCCGTCTACTTCTGGGACATGATGCGCGCTATTTGGCGCGCCGCCGGGTCCCCGCGCGGCACCAGCCACGTCTGGACGCTGTCTCGCGACCTGGGTCTCGTCCTCGGCCTGCTTAGCGAGATTGCATTTGGCATCATGCGCAAGCCTCCGACCTTCAACCGCCAGCGCATCATCTACAGCACAATGACGCGGTACTATGACATCTCAAAGGCGCGGACGAGGCTTGGGTACGAACCACTTGTAACGCTCACCGAGGGCGTGCAGAGAGCTGTCAAGTGGACCATGGAAAATGACCCGCGGATGGGGGCGCCCGTAAAGGCTTAGACGAAGGGGACAGCAGATAACGTGGACGATGAGGAAAAGAATGGGATCATGGCAGTAACAGCGTACTTTCACTTCTATGCAGTAGGCTTGCATTGAAGAACGTGAAGGTCAGGGCAAAAGGTTGGGATGGGTAACACGACTATGTCCAAGGTGACATGTATACAGACATCTTTAATAATATTTATTCGCTTTGGTCCCTGTGTGGCCACCTACAAACAGTGGCCGGCGAGCATTGGGATGTACACCAATGTGCAAGCCTAGCGAGGACAGCGCACCGAAACTACCCCAGGCTGTGGGGTGGGATCGGGAAAACCTACGCTTATGGTTGACTCGTACTGCAGCCATCCCCATCCCGCAATAATGGAAAGGCACATCGTAGCCTGAGTTCGGAGACAACCTGTTTCGACTCTGCTAAGCTGCTGCTTCTACACGCGCGTCATGACCTTCCCTTGCCTCATTCAGTCATATCGTTCGTGGTCAATGCACCCCCTCATCTGGGTATCTACTGTATGCCAGTCGTCCTAGCAGTGTGTCCGCGCCTTGCTGGAGTTCAAAACCGCGCTCTGCCTGAGCGAAATGTTCGATCGCTCCCTCTGACTCTTCTTGGCTTTGCCCTTGATTTCTTTGGCTTGCTTCTTCAGCTTCTCTGTCGTTGTGTCCCTGTAGGACAGGCTCGCGGGGCGACTCTAGCGCTGTGTTGCCGTGCCAGGTGCCGCAGCAGCAGCAGTAGGCCCAGATGGTTGTGTCTTTGCCGGGCCTGCCGGTGCGACTGGCTGCTGGCTGTTTTGTGATTGTTGCTGCTGGTGGAGACCATTTTGTGTCGTCGTACTGCTGCCTTTTCTCTGTGATGCCAATTTGTCTTTGCCCGGGTTGTATGGTGCCGCGACGCCGAGCAGCTTCTCCTGCCTGTTGAATATACCGGCAGGACCACTGGCGCTGCCAAACGTGAATTCGTAGGTGCCGTCGGCTTGCATCACTGCTGGGCTGCCCTGTGTGGGCGCGCTGACCTGCTCCTGATGCAGCTTGTCGAGGGACTCGCCCACGATTGCGTACTGCGCCCAGTTGATCGCCGGCATACGGACTACATTCTGTGGCTTTGGCAGGTTGTGCCACGGCTGCGAGCTTTGCTTGGCTGTTGGCTGTTTGCCGGCCCTTGACGCTCGTGCTTTCGGCTTCCTCTGTCTCCGTGGTGCCATTGCCGCGGTACCTGGATCTTCAGATATCGACGAGGGCACCCCAGACTCATCGTCTGTGTCGGAGCCGCCGTCACTACTGCTGTCTGAGTCTCCGCCTTCCCCAATGAACAAGTTGTCGCCTTCCTGGGCGACCTTCCCACTACCCAGGTCTGCGAGGAAGGCTGCCGGGTCTGCCAGCGCGGCCTCCTTGGCCTTGCTCAGCGCCACCATGTCGGCGGAAGCCTTGCGCTTCTGCATCTGCAGGATGGCGATGGCGCTCTGCAGGGCGAGCACATCTGGGTTGCTGGCAAAGTCTATGGGCTCCGGCCGGGGAGGCTCCACTGCCGTCTGCGGCAGTTGGTTGAGATGTGTGTACTCTGGTCTTTCTGGGAGCTCGCTGGCCCGGAGCGGCGGTGTTATCGGGCTGTATGGCGGCCTCTGAGGGGATTCCGACCGCCTGGACGGCGGCGACCCTGGCCGTGCATCCTGTGAAGTGGATGTTTCTTCCTTGTGGGGTGTGACGGAGGCGACCTTGTCGTGAGAGGTGGTCGCTTCTGGTACGGCTTGAGGATGGGATTGTGTCTGTTGCTCCGAGATCTGAGCTACTCCCTGGGGCGGCGATGGCGCCACCACCGTGTTGGCGTTTGTGATATTCGTGTTCAGAGTCAGGCTGGGCATGGTTTCCCGGAGTGGTGCTGCCCTGCAGCAGATAATTTTAGATATGGTGCTGAGACTATGTGAGACGTGACGTCCCTGCCACGACGGGGAAGACGTCTCGCTGCCTCTACTAGCCAGTCGTGATGCTGCGGGGTTATTTGGGACTATCTGTGGACTGTTTCCAACGCTGTTATCCTTGCTTCTGGCGAGATGTATTGGCGATGACTTGTCGAGCAACCCGTCTAGGGGCTGGTCTCCACATGCTTATTGTCCTCATACGGGGGCTTAGTCAGGTGGGGCACAGGTCCACTGCCCAGTTCATTGGTTCCATCATTGAGTACATGCTTGTCACTACCTGCCTGCCTCTCTGTCTGCCTGCGTCTGGGTGCCTGCCTGGAGGTCCAAGTCAAACACGAAAACCCAAGATAGGATAATCACAAAAATCGCGGTTCAACCAAGAGCGGCACGATTTATCCTAATGCGAGGCACTCCCGGTTACATGGCCAGGTCCTAATGAAGCCAACCTTGTTCAGGAGTCAACCCGAGTGGGCGGGGGCTCTACGGCTCATGGCGGGAAGGGTGTTCCCATCCCCGGCACGGCTGCCTTCACACGAGTTCCACGGCACACGTGGTTTAGAAGATTCGTTCGAATACGGTTCTGAGACTCGGTCCTCGCACTCATTGCGAGATATCCCACCTGAGAGGTTGACCATCATGTAGTCTTGGCCAAAGGCCCAGGTTCAGCCACCGTAGCTTGTGTCGGTTGCATGCATCGCACAAAAGAAAGGACAATGTTCTGGCCCGTCCCCGTCCTTGGCTTCCCGCGATCAGAACCCACGCCTAGCGGGCGGCTACAGTATCCCCAACTCACCTCTATGGTTGCCTCGCATCGTATGATCGCAAACCACCAAATTGCCCTGGCGCGCATCGTTGGTTGTTGCGTGCAAGCCACCAGCTACCACATGTCTCGGGGCCTGAGCCGAGCCCAGAACACCAACACGGCCGCAAAGTCCGGATGGGCATTCAGGTATGCGACCAGAAAAGCAGGAACACACAGCATTTAACATACACAAGTCAGCGACACACGTGGAAAGCCTTGCGAGCCTTACTAAAGTAAGCATGTCAATGCTGGAAGGTATCTTCCGCCACCCACCAGTGAAAGAAGGATGACACAGTATTGCCCGAGGCAGGACTCGACCACTCGCTGTCGTGTCTGTCCTGAGCCTGTCCCAAAGGGTCGACAGATGGGGAACATCATGATGGTCGTAAGCCCCCAAAGTGGCAACCCGGTTGGCTCCCGAGCTGAACAGCCTCCAAGCGCCGAGGGCTGCAGGTGGGCGTACAGACTCTGCAGGGAGCACGAGCCGGGGTGTGGCACCCATGGGCCGATCGACTGCACGACAATCTCCGTCCCGACTGGCTGGTGGCTCGCAGCTGGTCCCGACGTTTGCAGTTAGGTCAGGCATGGCACAGTGGACATGCCTACAATCCTTTGACGTGGCCGACTGTGCCCGTGGCCTGCTGCGCAGGACTGGAGGTCCTGCGCCTATTGGGAACTTCCGAGACACAATGGACGTAACTGCTGGACAAGGTTGTCATGGCAATTGTGATGGTTTTGTCTCAGTGCCACGGGCAATTTCCGTCGGTCGCCAGGATGCATTTGGCAACCACCACGTGTGGGACAACACGAACTCTGACGACTAATTCGCCGGTCACGCTTCACCTGTCTCGGACGCTCGGCGCCCAGGTCTCACTTACTATGGTACAACCAGAGACATTTTTTGCTCAACGCACGAGAATGCAGCTCGTGAGAGTTTCTTGAGCGGGTCCGACCTGGCGGCCTATTCGTCTGAGTCCAGGCTGGGCTGGCTGACTGGCTGGCAGGCATCACAGGTTGGGTTTGGTCCTGCAGCAAACGTGTGTTCGCACGCGCGTGCGTTCCACACAGCCTCGAGGAACGTGCTTAAATACTGTAGAGCATGTGCCCAAGCCCAAGCTGGGCGTGCGTGGTCCTCCTGACGACCCAGCTCGTTGGGTCTGGCTCGCTCAAGAGTTGGACGCAGCTGAGTTAGTTCTTCCCTATCCGACGCCATCCCAACTCTATTTCCTCCCTCGTCCCTCGCCAGCGCCTCACAGCTGTTTTGCTGTCCCCACAACGTCGTCTTCGTTCTCCCTTGATACGCCATTCACACAGTTGCAGCGATTAGTCCCGAACGCGAGTCTCGAGACGGAACGTTGGTGGGCAGTTTCCGCTGTCGAGGGACGATTTTCTCCTTCCCCTCGTTTCATTGCTCTGGCCTACGTCCACGCGAGAAGATAATAGTGGCCAAAGTCCCGGAGCCAGGCGTCTGCGGCAATGCCGTCTCAGCACGCTAAACTCTAACAGGCGAAGAACGCGGCTCGACCTAATTAGCGTTTCGCGGACATCAGCGCGTGGGTAATGAGGGCAACCGCCGCCGTTGGGACGCCGCTCTGCTAGCCCGCCACCGTACTGTGCGTGCTGATCTCTGCCGATCATTCCTTTGTGCCGTGCCATTGCCCTGCGTTCTACCGAGCATCAAGGCGTGAACCCACCTGAATCCCCGGCCAAAGGGTCTTTTTGATGGGACTCCCGCAGGCAATTTAACATTCTCGAATTCCCAGCCGAGCGGACCCTTTGTAGCAACAGATACATTGTTGCTTGCAGAAGTTCCATTTTCCACTTTACACGCTTCTTCAAGCTGTCCCTTCTTCGACCTCTAGGCATAGAACAGCCAGTCACGACATTTTTACATCGACGAGGTCGTTTTTTCTTTCTCTTACACGTGGTGCGAAGGGTCAACTTCAAGCAACATCGCGCAACGACTGAGGATACCTTCGCACATTGACGACTCGGCATCCTTGACAAGTCGGCAGCGACTTTTATACGGCTGTGAAGCCTTTCCGTGTGCATGGCCACGCTATCATCCAGGATGGCGGCCTTTCAGTCACTTGATGAATCGGTTCATCGGCCTGGACCTGCGGACGGCTTTGCGCGCCATTCCGTGCTTGCACCGCGGCGCGAAATGCTTCGCAACTTCTCCTACCCGACCCGAGCTGTGAAGCCCGCTTCGCGGTTGTCGACAGCACAAACACCCAGAACTCCATGGCAATCACTTGACGAGAAATCCCCGTCACGAGGCACGAACGACAAAAAAGAACCAGCATCGTTGAAACCAGAGTATTTGGCGTACTTGTCGCTTCTCGAACCCGAATCATCACCCGAGGACGATGAGGAACCACGCAACAGTGTGATTTGCGAGAAATGTTCAAAGAAGCTCGATCCTGTCGATGAGAAGTCGCTGGATGATCAAGATGGTGAGGCTGAGATCCATGCCATGACTACGGTGGAGACCACCATCGAGGCTTCACCACAGCCACATCGTCCTAAACCCGTCGACGTCGAAGCCTGCAGGAACCAGGAGGCCACCTTGGACGTTGGCTCGCCCTCCAGCCCAGAGAGGAGCCCGGTCTCGCCTGCTTTCCTACAGCGCGGGTTTTCAAGGCGACGGAAGTCAACGACCCAGAGCCAGTACAGTTCAGACAGGAGCTCGGTGGATGGAGGCAGCGTACACACAATGCAGACGGCGAAGCTGAGCAAGAGAAGCTCGCGGGAGGCCAAGAGCGGCTGGCTCTCGCAGATCAAGGAGTGGACGAGCGTAGCCGAGCCGTCGAGCCAGGCCATCAAGCAGCACAAGGTCGAGACATTTGGCAAGGCGGGCATCGCGCCGAATGACCCCCGCGCGAGAGCGAAGCTGAATCTTCCGACGGCCACCCTGCCTCCCGAGGCGATCAAACCTGCGGGCCGCCCACTGAAGCCGGACGAAATCATGAGGCGGCAGGCTGGGGAGCGCAAGAAGCAGGAACGGGAGGAGCGGTGGTCAATGTCTTCGTCGGCCGGCCGGCTATCTCATGCTTCGCGATCCAGCATGAGCGGGCACTCGTCCAGCAGCAGCTTGGGGCGCACATGCCACAGCAAGGCAGAATCCTAAAACGCGAAGCAGGCAGGCATTGGCGTGGTGATGCGTTGAGCATGTATGTTACAACAGTCGTTTTGTGGTGGGGTTTATTTTTTTCATCGCCCGCATTTTAGGATAAATAATAACCGGAGATACCTTTTGCCATTGTCACAACGCGAACGGCCAAACTCTTCCAGTGACTGTCTATCCGGACGTTGCGGTGTCATTGATATGAACGTGGTGGTGATGGTGGTGGCTGACATAGACCCCGACGATGTGGAGGTGTGGTATGACGGTGTCTCTGGCACGCTGCAATTGACGGCTGCACCAAGCTACGTAAGCATACCTAGCGTAGGTACTTAGGCAAGGAGCATGTGGTCAGGGTCACTTGGGTGTTGGTGGTTAGCGCAGAATCTGGCAGAAGTGACCAAGAGAGCAGCCAATTGGTGGCAGTGAGGAAGCAAGACAGGCTTCCTTGCGCCTGCGAGTGTACTGTAGTTCACGAAACCCAAAAACGCCTCGTCCCAGTGGTTCACGACACAGGCATGTTCTGCTGCTTGGTAGGCGATGTTGGAGTCGATGATCGGAGCGGGCAGCAGCGGCAGCAGGGTTCAGAACGCACCAGTGCGGCGCGGGCCAGCCAATCAGAGACGCGGGGCCGCCGAATCGGGCATCGCGTGGAGGAGTGGGTTCGAGTCGATGACGTCGCAATGGCGGGCACATGCACACATGCGCCGGCTAGTTAAAGGCAAGAGCAACGAGGAAGGAAGCACCAAGGAAGGGCAGGCAGCCACGACAGTGAGGGAGGCTCCTTCTCCCAGTGCGCTCGGTGCGGGCGGTCCAGACCTAATCGATCGGCTGGGCAACACTTTGGTTACTCATGGGCGATCTGCGCGGCCAGGGTAATGCTTGGCCTCACCAGGGAGGAGCTTTAGCTACTGCTGCTACTGCTGCTGCAGTGACGTTGACGCAATTGTTTCCAAATTCCCATCTTGCACCCCGGCAATCCCACCTAGATACAGTCCGCCATTCCGCCTTCCACTTCATCTCCTCTTTGTCCAGCTCCAAGCCTCCTTCTCTCATCATCTCCCCTTGGCCCTCTGTCACGAGCCCTCTAGTGGTAGCAACAGCAGCCGAGCGAGCAACTGAAACGACCTGGGCTGCCTCATCATCCTCATCGCCACCATGAACAAGATCTGGAGGTCCAACGACCTCGAAGACGAGGATGTACGACCCAGCTCTCGCCACGAGACACGCGAGGGCGAGCATGGCCCCGACGAGCACACTCGCCTGCTCCCCAACCGCGTCGAGAGCACCTCATACCTGAGTCCGGATGACCCAGCTGTAAGCATCCCCAGTAGTGTTGTCAACATCCAGCCATTGGGCGCTCTCCTCGATTCACTCGACTCTGCGAGAGCTCTCTTTGCCTCTTCCTCCCTTTGCATCATGATCGCTCACATCTCTTTCTCGCATGGATAGGTCTCTCCTTACAACCTTTGGAGTGTCCGCGCCACGCGCTACCTCACAATCTTCTTCACGCTCGCCACGTTTGCCTGGTGGGTGGTGCTTCTCGTCGCCATGTTTGCCACGCCCCCAGGGTTTCACACGCGCGGGTCTGGCTTCTTCTGCTTCAGCTTTGCAAGCCTCGCTCTGGCCAACCTGCTCTTCTCCCTCATCTTCTTCGCCGTGCCTTCCAAGGCGGTCCGCATCCTCAGCCTCATCATGAGCGGCGTCCTCCTTATCAACACAGTGCTGCTCATCTCGGTTGAACAGACGCGACACGAGGAGGGTTGGGTTGGCATGGTCAGCACTTTGTGTAAGCTACATCCGTCTCGCGGTAGATCCAGGCAGAACAATGGGTTTGAAGCTGACTTCGTACTTTGGCGGACCAACAGGGGCGCTTCTCATGGCTGTCTGGACGCTGGTCACTGACAGACTGGTCGCGTGGGGCAAATCAGAAGAAGAGCAACGCTTAACCGGACGCGCCGAGACTCGCCGCAGCCTGGGTGAATGGACTGCAGTCCTCATCTCCATCATCTGCATGGTCGTCTTTGTCGCTGTCGTTATTCTAATGACCTGCACCCTGATTCTGCGGGCCCTGGATGCTGGACTGGCTCCCCCCGGCGACTTGTACTGGGTCGATGGCGAAAAGTACCAGTTGCACGTCTACTGCCATGGAAACCAGACGGACCACAAGGGCAACAAGCTTCCGACTGTCCTGATCGAGGGCGGCGAGGGGCCAGTTGAAGATGGTCTGTGGCAATTTGCGGACGACGCAATCAACAACGGGACAATTTCGCGCTACTGCTTTGTTGACCGTCCTGGTATCGCATGGGTATGTAATAGGATGATTTCGTACTTCAACTGGAAACGGCGCTAACCAATGTTTCAGAGTGACACGGCGCCTTCTCCGCTCTCTGCTGGTATGGCTGTCGAGGTCATGAGCGAGGCTCTTGCCCGTGCTGGCGAGGAGGGACCGTGGGGTAAGCTCCCCCCTTTGTTTCAATGAGTCCATTGGGGAAAGCAACTAATCGTTTCATAGTCCTGATGAGCGCTGGCGTCGGGTCCATATACTCTCGGATCTTCTCAGCTCGTCACGGCAAGGATGTTAAAGGCCTGCTGCTTATCGACCCTCTCCACGAAGATCTCCTCGCCGGGACAATCGGTTCTCCTGGACGAGGCTTCATGCTATGGATCCGCGGTGTACTGTCCCCGCTTGGCATTGACCGTGTACCCGGAGCTCTCTTCAAGGGCCGTACCAAAGAGGACCGTGTCTGGGGCAGGTCGTCCTATCAGACGGGCAAGACCATCTTCAGCAAGCTGCAGGAGAACCTGGTTGCGGGCACACTCTCTAAGCGTGATGTGGACACCAGCAGGGCAATCCAGCTCCCCAGAGTACCATTCAGCATTGTCAGTTCGGGTGTCGAAATCCGCAAGAGTTCCGAGTGGGAGGAGAAGCAGCGCGATCTCACCCACATCACCGACAAGCTACTTGACTGGGATATTGTCAATCACGCGCCGCACCAAGTTTGGAACACGCTCGATGGTCGCAAGACCATTGAGAAGAGACTCGGCACACTAGTGAAGGCCTAAGCGACAGTGCGAACATAGACTGATACGAAGCGATTCACCGGCAGGAGCGGAATCCGCACATGGCGTGGTCGGCTAGCAGGTAGCTGTCGTGAATTGGCGTCCACGTCAGAAAGGCAAATTTGAGGAGCTTGTGGCGCAGCTTGTCACCATAATCTACGTTGACAAATGCCGTCTCATCATGGTCACACGGGTGGTTGGTTAGAATCAGCACATAGTCTCTTCGTGCGTAAGCGATTGGGTCATTTCTTTCACTGGTCTGATTTGTTTCTCTCTACATCCTGCTATCTTCTTCTTTTTGGAAAATCGGTCGTTGGTGGTATCCATACCGCGCTCGTGCCAATCAACTAATGTAACGCCGTTTCAATATGCTTGGTGTGTGTGTATTGCGGTATCTTTGTGCGCGTGAAAGCAAAAATGGAGCAAAACATCAGTCTCGCGGAGACGGCAGGACAAGGCAAATCGTGGCCCTGGACACAACTTTTGCGCTGCATCCGGATCTTTCCTTGGATATGACCCGGCGTACATGATACGTATTTGTGCGAGTGAGCAGTGGGCATCGCGCATGTGAAGGTGCGTGCGTCCCGAGAGAGCATGCCGATACACAATCGAGTACACGAGAACTCATCACCCCGTGCCCGTGGTGACGGAGTTGGGTGGCCGCCCCGCAGGCGCGGACTGCCGCCACTCCCGCCGCTGAGACTTGTCCGGAGGGTCCAGCCCGTCATCGCCGCGCGGGAAGTCTGGGTTCCTCCACTTCTGCGGCGGTGTGCCCGGGTTCTGGCCGGAAGGGTATGCCGGCTCCTGGATTGGCCGGACGCTGCTCTCCTTCTGCCATGCAATCGGATCTGTCTCTACCCTCGTAGCCAATGGACGCCTGTTCGCATCTTGTCGTCCAGCGTATTCAACGTCATACTGTCGTACGCCGCCGCTAACGGCCCTGCTCTCGATCCGCTTCAGAATCTCCTTGGTCGTGATCTCACCACTGTTACTGAAGAGAGAAGAGTCTCCAAGAATGTCCATGAGCTCGACAGGGACCTTATCATCTCATCAGTATTTTGGTATCAAAGAATGAGCAGCACAAGAAAAGGCGACTTACCATGCACATGTCCTCGATGAATTGAATCAAATCCTCCACACACGAGACTGCCACCATAGGCTCATCCGAAAAGCTCGGGCTTTTAGCCGTAGAGTACAGAACGTTTGGCGCGATGACTCGTGCAAGGTTATGCACGTCCATTCTAGAACCGTTTTCCTCGTCTACCTGGTGGAACGTCGATACCCACTTCAGAAAGCTGAAAAGAACTTCGAGGGAGTCGCGATTTGGCTGCGGAAGAAGACAGCACGCCAAGTGCAGGCAGTGTCTTCTTTTATCCGCATCGCTGATCTTGGTGGCAACTGTCCAGAGCCTGTACAGTTTCTGGGTCATGAGAGGATCCGGGAGTTCGCGCAGGTAACGTTTCAGAAGTGCTGCCAGCTGGTGCGGGGTTTCGTCGTTCCACCGAACAGCATCACAGCCGTCTCTGTCCACGGCTGCCACCTGCTCCGTCAACCTCTTGATGTTGCCGTTCTTGCGAAAGACGCCCTCCACCGACAGATCTTTGTTCTTCATGGCGGTGATGATGTCTTCCACGATAGCAGGGATGCGCAGCGCACCTGGGCCGACCCCGTCGGTGGAGTCGGCTCCATCGCGTTCGATGGCGACTTCCAACGGCACACCAAAGACGCCCTTCTTCTTGACGTTTTTCTTGTTCTCCTTGGTGCCAAACGCCTTGCCAAACTTGTTCCAGAATGTGGGTGCTTTCCTGGCTTCGATGAGACCAAGCAGCTCTTCCAGCGTGAATTCGGACTCAAGCAATGGTTGCATAGTGAGCACAGCGACATGTCGCACGATGAAGTATTCAAGCCCAGAAAGCTCAGAGAAGAACCTACGCCCACCGCCTCTTTGCGGCGATCGCTCGCCTTGGCCACGGTAGTCTTGTTCGCGACCTCCAGATTGACTTCGCTGATGGCCAGGCCCAAACGACGGGTCGGTTGCTGGCGAACGAAACAGTTCCTGTCGAGACTGACGATAGGCAGCGGGTTGTTGTTCTCGAGCTTGCTCGGCTGCGACAATTCGAGGTATATCGTCCAAAGTGAGGGCATCCTGGTGACCAAAGTACTGTTCGGTGCTAGCGCCCAGCCCCAATTCCCTGTCCTCGTCGATTCGCGGATCCCGACTTTGGAACCCTGAGTCGGCACCAGCGGAACCCGGCCTGCCATTGCCCCGCTCAGGCCCATCAATCACTCTAGAAGATCGAGCTTTGCGGAGGCTTGTTGACAAATGCTTGTCCAGGCGTGTGCTGCGGAGTCGGCGCACATCATTGAGCGTGTTCTCATATGATACCTCCCTCTGATGGCGTTCTGGATCGCCGGCGTACGATTTTGAGCGCGAATCAGACCTGAGGAGAACTGACTCCCGGCTGAAGGAGAGTCGGTGTCCGTCCATGGAGTCATATCCATTCAAATTAGGATCTTCCGAAGTGTGAGGCAGGGCGCCGCTGTTTCTCAGGATCTCCAGAAGTCGTGCCAGTGCCACCTTCAGCAGGAAAACATATTGCTGAAGCTTGGAGACGCGCTCCAGTGGTTGGCCCCATTCTTCTGTTTGCGCTTCGCATTCGATACAGTATATCTTCTCGTCCCGATGCACGCGGGCCTCATTCGGGGGCATCCCGTGCTCCTTGCCACAGATTGTGCAATTGACACAACCCTCATGCCATCTCTTGTCGCCATGGAGTGCACAACTATCCTCGATGGGTTTCCGACACAGCTTGCACTGGTCAGAGTCGTTCGCCGACAACGAGGCCATCCCTAGTGTCATCTGAAGCGAGGATTCGTCGGTTCTCATGTTTTCAAGAACACCAAGGTCGTCGAGAAACTGATGCAGTCCCTCGACAGAACGATGTTCACGCTCCAATTTGAGGGTTCCCTGCAAGCAGATTCGAATGAGGAGTTTGAGGTAGTGCGCCAACCCTGTCACGAGCGATAGCAGCTCCTGCGTGACCCCGAGTTTCCGCACACCTGTATCCTGAGTCTTAGATAATAGCGAGAAGAAGGACACAATCTTCTTGCACAGTAGCTTGGCCTCTCTGCCATATGATAGCCCTAGGATGCGACTCGTATCAGCTTACAATTCGGAAAATCAAGGGTGAAATCGACAAACCTCTCATGCCGGAACGCTTCATGGTCTCGTCCAAGCGATCTGCTGATTTGAACAATATCTCCACATGCACGATAAACTTCTTGGCCACGAAGACCCCATCCACATACGCGCCATTGCTGACGTGTAGCAGCATATCTGAGATGCAGGCTGCCGAGGACTCTTCGAATGTGGACAGGACGCTCCAGATCTTGTAGACTTTATCTTCCATGCTTTCCTCTTGGCGTCTTATAAGCTCTCGGTCTTGATCGCTGACAGGCTCTTTGGGTGGTGCAGGAGCGTCTTGCGGAGTTGTCAGGCGCACGTTCCAGAATTTGTGGATCATGTAGCATTCTGGATGCCAGTGCTGGTTTTGCCCATTGCGGAATATCTCTACGAATTGCTTCAGGATTGCTGTCTGGCAGCCATTGCAGCGTTGAGCGAATTGTGTCGAGTAATGGTAGTGGCAGTACACGTTGCTGTCGTGCTCATAGTAGCTGTCTTGCGCGCCAAACACTGTGGAGCAGAGCGTGCAAGTAAAATGGTCAACGTGATACTTGCGATCCAAGGCTGTGATGTACGAGCCGCGTAGAGCCCCGCCACATTGGTGGCATAAAAGGCCGAGTCGTCGGAAGTAGTCTGTCTCGCACAGCGGATATTGGCCACCTCCTTGTTCGTCTTCGGCTGGGAAGAATTTGGATGCGACGATCTGGCCACAATCCTGTTGGTGGGTAGACCTGGTCAGTTATATGCAAGCACAATAGAGCGAGGCGGAAACTCCCAAACTCACACGACACTTAAAGCAGTCTAAGTGGAATGTGCCGTCCAAAGCGCGCACAAACTGTCCAGTTAATTGTTCGCCACACTTGTGGCAGACGCGTACTGCGCCGCTCCCTGATCTACCACCACTCCTGCCTCGAGATCTGTTACGTTCATCGCTCGGACGGTGATCACTGCGTGCATCACTCCTGGCGCTGAGAGCTGGTGAGCCGGGAGTCCGCGGTGCCGGTGGCCCATATGCGGAGCCGCCATTCTGTGAGAACGCCGGACTGGCGGTCATCTCCGACCGAGAGCGATCGAGCTGGTAGGGCGGGAAACCTGTGACCCGGTCATCGGGCGGACCGCCGAGATGTTCATTCTCCATCACTGCACCTCGACTGGCGATGTTTCAAGCCTGGGAACCCTTCAAAAGAGTCTATTCCGAGCTATGATTTGCGTCGCTGGGACGACGCAGCCTTGGAGACTGGAGGTACACAACACAAGTCGAGGCAAGTACTGCAGTGGCAGAAGGCTTGTCCGACATCAGACCTGAGGCGCCGTTTAGGAATTGGTTCGACTGGAGCCACGACCTGGCGCGACGAATGCAGGCAATTGAGGCGGAGCGTTGGACGGCCAAAGCTCCTGACAGGTGGGACAATTTTGGAACAGTGGTGGCAGTGAAGGCCAAGCTCCCGCAGGCTAGGTGCAGCAAGGAGGCACGACGTTGCGATGGGAACCAGCTCGGCGGCGGTGGGCTGGAGCAACAGGGCTGTAGAGAGCGATGCTGGAGGATCCGTGTCGGTCGAGATTGAGAGTGGTCTCCGCTGGGCCGCCGTGTCGGGCCGCCGTGGCTTCAGGCTGGCAGCAATGACTGCCAGCACTGTTGGCGTGACGGTGAAGCACAGCAGTATGAGTCTCGAGCTCGATCGTGGGGTTGGTCGAGCCGGACGTGCCAGGCGGTGGCAGACTCAGGAGGGCGGTGGTGGTGTGTTGGCAACGAGGCCCGAGAGGGTGGTGCAGAGCGTTGTTCCTTGCAGGGCGGGCGGGCTGAAGGAGGAGGCGGCGGCGGCGGCAGGAGGCGACGACGGCGTTGCTGCAATGGAAAGTCGAGCAGACGGACAGACTCCCGCTGCGGTGCGAGGGTCAGAACAGGATAGGACGGGCCCCTTGCTGTGCTGCTGCTCCGGAGTGGTGCCCTACCAGAAGGGCGGCGGTTGATCCACGCGATGGAGTCGGGCCCCCGAAAAAGCGGTTTGGCGTGGGCGTGAGAGGGGGGGCGGCAATGCCAACTGTGGGCCCTGCGAGAGGGGAGCGGCTGATGCTCGTTGGCGAGCTGCAGGGCTCCCGGCGTCGCGCGTTTATTGGACGAGCCCGCACCCTGCCACTTCCTCCTGAGGTCGTCCAGCGTGGCTCCTCTTCTTGCCCCGACAAGACAAGACGAGCTGGGCTGGGCTGGGCATGCAAGGCGGGTAGTTTGGCAGCTGTTGTGAGGCGGCACTCTGACACAATACACATTCCGGTTTCTTGGTCAAATCCAGATGCTGGCTCTGCCCAACGGAGGTCCATCAGTGTTATGGGTCGGCCCATCGCCCCGCCGGTCTCGACGGCTGGGAATGCCAATGTTTACAACCAGGTCTTGCCGTTCTGCGTCGCATTTGACGATGGCCTCTGATTAGCTACCTACCTAGGTACTTACGTATCCCGTGCAGGGTAGAGGGTGAGAGACCACTAGAGGCGCAGCAGGATGTTCGACGAGGTGGTTTCGTCAGCTTGGCACTTCCGCCCATGTGGCCGATGCGCAGAGAGCACTGCATACCACGCCCTTGCCGATCTACAAGCACCTGGGAAAGTGGCTAAGCGCACAGAGTCACGGGCTTCCGGTTATCCCAATCACACACAAGTCAAAGTCAGACGCGTCGAGTCGCGCTGAGGTGTGTTCTGAGGGCTCTCTGGAGCCGCTAATGTGTGTGTTAGCGCAGTCAGAGCAGCCTAGCTCGTCCTCGTTGCACTACCCTAGGGTACTCTATTGATCCCGACAGGCTCGGAAGCATGCTGGCTTGATTGTGCTCGACGTCGAATTGCCTTTTACATCAGGGGTCCTATTCTGCTCGGTGCTGTCAGCCTTGCAGCGACACACATCACATGCCTTGCCGTTGAGCTGACTGCCCATGGTGAGAACGACGGACCCACCCGCGACTGTCACTGGCCATGAGCTACGAAAGCCAGGGGTGTAATTAGATAGTACTTTTACTCTCAAGGTTGGATAGCGCATCACAGCGCCTTGAGATCCCCTGGAGACATTCCAGGCACAGTGGTGCTGGCTATTAGCGCGCGTCCGAGCAGTAGACGAGGATGTGCCAAGACTGCCACTGTACTATAGTAGCAATTGGGCAATACTGCAACAAAGGGTATCCACCTGCGAAGATTGCAGGGGAACTCTTGCAAGCTGCTCGGGCCAGAGCTATGTTGGGTCTCTGATTTTCACACGACCACGGTCATTGACCCGACAATGCCTCTCCATCGGCAGAACCTGTTGTCCCGTCGTGAATTGTGACCACTTTCGCGAGCAAAATAGAAACAGGAGCGTCCCAAAATAAGCTTGAATGCATCCCGGGGCGGAGCACAGCCCAGTCTGCACACTAAAAATAAACATGGAGGGCATCAACAGCTACCCAACACCTGTCAGATGCACCACGATGGGCTGTGCGCAAATTGAGCAGCCTGGTCGCGTGCCGAATGCTGGATAGAAAGCCGATGATAGACTGCCCGCATCGTGGCTATGCCTGCGGACAGCGGGCAGACTTGCATATGACTTGATATTGATGAAATATCACATCCACAAGGCTGCAGCTCGGCAGCCACAACGCCAGAACTTCGTGGAAAGACTAGCACAGATTGCGATGAGGACAGCTTCATGACCATGATGGCAGTTTGCATCACCGATAGCTTAGCAAAGGGGCTGCAGCGGAAGTGGATGTGGTGCCGTGGACCAAACACCTTGTGCAGATCATAACGCCAGTGAATGCATCTGCGCAATTGATTTGTATCCACCATGTTTACTTAGCATCACAACTGCCACCCTGTTCGCCTTGTTGCCTAAGGGCATGCACCACAATTTTGGCTGGGCTCTCGAGGGTACGATCCCCAAGCGATACTGACTAAGTAGCTCTGCGGGTCGGATATCCATTGTGCAAACAACGACCATACTTGAGCCGCTTGTCGCTTGAGATGGCCATGTTCGACGTGACGAATGGAGGACTTGCCCGTCGAGATTCTTGTGCACATCGCAGCACCAAGCAGGGCAGTCGACGATGCCAGATACAGGGCACTCGCTTCAGCATATGTTGACTTTGAGCCGGCCAAGCGACTGGCTGTGCCGGCCTCGGACGACAATTGCAAGCACACCGAGCAACCCGCCAGCTCAATCTCATACATATCCAGGCAGGACCCGCCAGCGCCTCTGCCTTCACGCCACACTTGCGAATCGTCACCAGACCTACGAGCTCCTTTGTTCTCCATCGCCTCCCCGGAGGCTTCTTTTGGAAGTGTCATTGACAATGCGGGCTCCCCTCGCGTTGCCAGGCCTCACCACGTGCCTTCATCGCAACCCTCCGTGCCGCCTTCAGCGTCGCAGTCATGGCAGTCTCCCAGCAGTCTCGTTGGCGATTCGCAGCCAGAAGTCTTGTCAGCGCTGGCAGACTTGACCTCACCTACGCGACTGCTCGAGTACTATCTACAGGGCTTCGACAGTTTCACGACATCTTCCCTCTCGCCATTGCAAAGTGCGGCCAATGCCCCTGGAAGCAGGCAGCTTCCTAGCTACGTCTCTCCTTCTCCCAGCCGCCGGCCAGCTCCAACAAATATCACTCCAGAACCGCGAAATACAGACGTGGTGTCTGGATCCCCTCTGCATAATGACAGCCACGATTCGAGTCTCTCCTTTTCTGAGCTCAAGCCCGTAACTCAGGCACCAGCAAGGCCAGCGCATATCACTGCCACGACAGTATCCCTGGATTCTCAGCACCGGGACAGACAAGTAGTGGCTCGGCCACTTCCGCATGCAAGCACAGCTTTATCGAATCGAACAACTCTGAGCAGGTCGGACTCGGAACCTCTGATCCTACCCAAGTCCGGAGCAAACACGACTCTTGCTTCCCCACAAGCGCTGTCCCGTGCCATCAGTGATCTTGGACCACGGTCCTCCAATACAGAGGCCACAACAAGCAGCCTGTCCAACGTCACCTTCTTCGCCTCGCACGGCTTCACCTATGCTTCGCTGGACCTCTACGCCCCAGAGCCCGCCGTGGCCAGCGACACCATCGGGCCCGCCGACCTCGTGACGCCCCAGCTTCGCGACCTGCTCGCGGACGCCCAGCCACGCCGCAAGTCCCAGCCCAAGTCCCAGACGAGGACGCTCCGCCCGACAGAGCGCGGGTACTGGGACGTGGACTGCTCGTCGTGGCCTGCCGAGCTCAAGCGTGCCACGTGGGCGCACCTCGCCAACTGGGTGGGCATGGGCCTCGCGGGCTGGGGGACACGTTGCACGCGAGACGTCGGGTTCACCAGGGTCAGGGTGTACTGCTGGGGCGAGACGGCACCATATCTGTATTATCTGCTCTGGCTCACGAGCTATCGCAAAATCTTGTCTGTCGAGTGTGCTTGGATCGATGCAGATGGGGAGGCGGTCCTGATCATGGGAATGCGTTAGATTTTGCATACTTGGGGAGCGGACTTGGGTACTCTTCCGCCAGCGAGAGATATTCTGATTACATGGCCAGACAAGAATCGAAACATATAAACTAGGTTTATAAGACTTGACCCAAAAAAACGTTCAAAGCCCAAAGTCACTCAAGAAATGGGACTTGACAAAGGCACCAAAGGAGAACGGATATATTGCCGACCACTGAAAGACCGACCTCTAGAAATACACAGTGGGCCTGAACACTAGCAACGCCGACCTTGGCACGTGAGACGGGGGTTGCGAGCAGCTCCCCCGAAAAGCACCCATTCCAACCCTGCCCAGACCTAACGCCGAGGAGGAGCACTCAAAACCTCTACAGGAAGAGCTCGATACATGATGTGTGTGTAAGGAGAAGAATCTACGTCGTCAGTCCAACGGAGGAGGGGCTGAGCAATTCAAGTCCACTCTGCGTCTTTCTGAATCATTACGAAAGAACATCAGGGTAACGCAAGAATGGGAGGAGAGAGCCTGCAGGTGCGCAAGGGGTGCTTATGCTGTATCAGGGCTCCGCTTCCTCACTACGGGCTTTCTGCCATAGGCAGCCTCGTAATCCTTCTCGTAGCGAGCAGACTCCGCGCGTGCGAGATCCTCATATGGCTATGTTTATGATTCTGGTTAGTGATATCGTTGTGCTGGTATGCTGGAATGCGAGAAAGCTAGGAGCAGCTACTTACCTGGCGTTCGGCAGCGGACAGGTTCTTCCAGGCGGTGCTGATGGCTCCAGCGGTGCTGGAGAGACCGTCCGGGCCGCCCGAGAACTCGCCAGAGGCCCACTTGGCCTTGGTGAAGAAGCCGAAGGAAGACGTCGGGTGCTTGGGTGCACGCTCGTCCTTGATGGTCTTGACATTGCCCTTGGGGTAGTTGTGGAGGCGCTTCAGCTTAAGGCGGGCATTGTTGGCCGCGGACACCTCTTCCACCGTGTGAGACTCAACCCAAGCCTTGTACGCAGCAGCGTTGGCGCGCCGGTTTTCTTCGGCTTTCTCGGCATATCGCTGTGATTTTCTACACGTTAGTGGCTGCCATTTACACATCAAGAGCACCCGCGCCCCCTACCGGCACAGAGGCCACCTACCTGTAGCTCAGAAGCGGAAAGTGTCTTATACGCCTGTGCGACACCGGCCATCTTCTCCGTAACCTTCTCGAACTCAGTGCCCTGGCTGCCCTGCAAGTTCTCCGCTACATAGATCCTCCATGCTGATTCTGGGGCAGTCTTTGGCTCGAATAAAATAGCTATTCTCTTGAGCTGGCGCCGATCTTCGATCGCGAGAGTCTCCGGGGCCTTTGGCTTTGGTGTCTTTTTGGCAGGCTTGGGCTTGGGCTTGGTGGCGGCCTTCTTCTTGGCCTTGGGCTTCGCGGCCTTGCCCGCCTTTGTCTTCTTCGTAGCGGCGGCCTTAGTTGTCGCAGACTTTGTGGAGGCTTTGGGGCGCCCGACCGAGGCGAACTGGCGCACGCCTTGGAAGGCGCAGTTTGCTTGCGCCTGCGAGATGGGAGCTTTCAGCCGGATTGTTAAAGTACGAGATGGCACGGCTGCGACTGTCGGGCCGAGGCGCCGGAGCGCGGCGCGGGAGGCGGCGCAGAGCATTGCGATGGGATGCGTGTGGTCGATTGAGCGGTCAAGGTTGTCGTCAAGTTTGCTGGACCCTTGTGAGGCAGCTTCGTCGTCGCAAAAGGCTGTGATCTGGACCTTGCAAGCGGCGACGTCAGGCTTGTGCAAGACTTGTGCAACCGTGCGGCGATGTTTGGGGCCCTTGGACCTTGCGCTGGGGGGGGGTCTCTTGTCCTGCCGTGTGGGCACTTTCTTGTTTTGGGGCGTCCGCCTGGGCTGTCGCGTGAAACACACACGAGCGTCGCTCCTGTCAGGGCATGAAGGAGGGGGCTGGGAGCCTGGCCTGGAGCTCCCCAAGCCAAGCTCTCTACCCCAGGGATCGAATGCTCCAAGCTGCATGGCAAGCTACCCGGCGCCGGGCCCAATCACTAGCTCGAGCGTTCCCCCTGGCGCGTTACATCAAGTGGGGCTCTCGCAAGGAGCCGGGCCCCACGCAGCGCCGTGTGATGGAACTGGCTGCTGGCAGCAGACGTCAATGTGTGGCGCAGGCGCATGTGGCTGAGGCGTGCAAACACGCTTCTAGGCTCGTCAGGCTGTCGATGCATAGACCCACTCAGTTGTTGCAGTCGACTCTCGAAGTTTGAAGATCAGTCTTGGGCGTCCAGGCAGTGACTGCGTACCCTCCCGACAAAGTTGGCAGACCTCCCCTCAAGACTTTCGACAGCATAGCCACGCTTGTGCAGTATTCAAGCCTACAACATTTCTGCGCAGGACATTGCACAACAGCAAGGACGCTGCGTCCCATCGTCTGGAACCGAGCTTCTAATCTGGAGGCACCCGGAGCCGAGTCTGGTAGCTCTCACCACTGTAGTTGCAATCGAGCCGCAACTACCAGAACCAAACCATGGCTCGGCTGAGAGACTCACGCTCACCAACTTCTCCAGGAAGCCAGCAATCCAGAAGGCGCAGAGATGATGACAGAAGAGACCGTGGGCGCGACCGCGATTGGGATCGCGATCGGGACCGGCGAGACCATGGCAGGCTGAGCCGCTCGAGAAGTCCGTTTGATGTGAGTTGGCATCACCAGCGTCTCCACGACACGAACAGACCACTGATATACACCTCTGAACAGCGCCGACAACGCGAGCGTGAACGACCCCGCGACCATGACTTCCGCCGTCGGGACGACGACCACTACCGCGGAGGACGAGACCGGAGAAGGTCGCGTGATCGCTACAATGATCGGCGCCGGAGCCGAGACAGGAACGGAGATTCACACCGTGACAGGCGAGACGACTCCCGGGATCGTGACCGAGCGCGGCGCGAAGGTACTACTGACTCTCATCCCCGAAGCAGGCGCGGCGACAGCCGCGATCGTGCATCGGGAGCGACTGACAATGCGAAACCAAAAGCTCCCGACGTAAGTCTTGCTCATCTTTCAAGATCACCCGTCATGTTTGGGAGCAATTGCTTACAAGCCCATCCACAGTCCAAGCCAGCAGGCGGATTGAGCGAAGCCGAGAAGAAAGCCGAACGACTAGCGAAACTGGCAGCATGGAAGAAGAAGCAGGAAGAAAAGCAAGGGGAGAAGCAGAAGGAGGCGTTAGCGGCGGGGCCACGGCAACTGCTAACAGACCTGGACAACAAGTCGACTGCGGCATCATCCACTGCTACACCAACCGCAAACTCCCCAGGCACAGCCTCGCCTGCCGACGTAATCTCACCCGCGACGCCCTATGCTGGCAAATTTGACCCAAAGGCTATAGCCAAGAAGGCGGCCCAGAAGTCAGCCGCTCTGGGAAACGTGCCAGCTTCAAAGCTTGGCGCTATCGTTCCTCAAACAACGGCTCTGGCTCCCGCTCCATCACAACCGGTCAAGGTCTCTGCTTTAGCTCAGAACAGAGCAAAGGCTAGTGGGTTTGGGTTTTCAAAGCTGGCCACGGACACGGATAAAGCACCCCAAAAGAGAAAGCTTATGCTGGACGAAGACGAGGCATCAGACCGAAAATTAGCGAAGCTGCCCTCACTACCACTGCCAGGCGAGGACGACACATCATATGATGTCCAAGATGATGACGATGACGACGGCGCCGACAACTTTGCTGGTGACGAAGAGGAGGAAGCTGCTGCCGCTCGTGCAGCTCAGGAGAGGCGAGAGGAGCGGATGGCGCACGAAAATGCAGAGAAGGCGTCTGAAATGCAAATCGACAGCGCCAACGGTACGACTGCGGAGCACACGAACGGGAACCTTTCTCAAGCCGCGACGACAGAGACGATGGACGTCGACGAAGAGGATGACGTCGATCCCTTAGATGCGTTCATGAACGATCTTGAAGCTAAACCGGCGCCAAGGCCATCAACCAAGACGTCCCAAGCGATGAAGAAGGAAACCGAACAGGAACCGGAAGCATACTTCAGCGATGATGATTACGACTATCGCAAGAGTGACGGCCAGAACGAGTTCATGAGTGCTCTCAAGGCCAAGGCACGCAAGAAGAAGGACATCCCTGCCGTTGACTACAGCAAGATTGAGCTGGATCCGATCAGGAAGAACTTCTGGGTAGAACCGGCCGAACTTGCCGACATGACAGAGGCTGAGCTGGCCGACCTACGCCTCGAGCTCGATGGAATCAAAGTGACCGGCAAGGATGTGCCGAAGCCGGTCCAGAAATGGTCGCAACTCGCAATGTCTCGGAAGACCCTGGATATTGTCGACAGCCTTGGTTTCGAGAAGCCCACGCCAATCCAGATGCAGGCTTTCCCCGCCATCATGTCAGGCAGAGATGTCATCGGTGTGGCCAAGACCGGCTCTGGCAAGACGGTGGCCTTCTTGTTGCCCATGTTTCGACACATCATGGACCAGCGGCCTCTCAAGGAGAACGAAGGGCCTATCGGTCTGATTATGACCCCTACACGAGAATTGGCCACTCAGATCCACCGCGACTGCAAACCTTTTCTCAAAGCCATGGGCCTACGTGCTGTTTGTGCGTATGGAGGAGCCCCAATCAAGGATCACATCGCAGAATTAAAGCGCGGTGCTGAGATTGTGGTTTGCACTCCTGGCCGCATGATTGACCTGTTAGCTGCCAATCAGGGCCGCGTCACGAACCTCAGACGCGTAACCTACGTTGTCCTGGATGAGGCCGACCGCATGTTTGACATGGGGTTTGAGCCCCAGGTCATGAAAATCTTTGCGAATATGCGCCCGGACCGTCAAACCATTCTTTTCTCTGCGACAATGCCTCGTCTGATTGATGCGCTGACAAAAAAGGTTCTCAACCAACCTGTCGAGATCACCGTTGGCGGCCGCAGTGTTGTCGCGAAAGAGATCACCCAGGTCGTTGAGATTCGTGAAGAGAACCAAAAGTTTGTCCGACTGCTTGAGCTTCTGGGAGAGCTGTACGACCAGGATGAGGATGCGCGCACACTAGTTTTCGTCGAACGGCAAGAGAAGGCAGACGATCTTCTCAAGGAGCTGATGCGCAAGGGCTATCCGTGCATGTCGATCCATGGTGGCAAGGACCAGATCGATCGCGACTCTACTATTGAGGATTTCAAGAATGGAGTCATCCCGATTCTCATCGCCACGTCCGTGGCGGCAAGAGGTCTGGACGTGAAGCAGCTCAAGCTCGTCGTCAACTACGATGCGCCAAATCACTTGGAAGATTATGTCCACAGGGCTGGACGTACTGGTCGTGCCGGCAATACCGGCACAGCAGTGACATTTGTAACATCAGAACAGGAGAACTGCGCTGTGGGTATTGCGAAGGCCTTGGAACAAAGCGGTCAGCCTGTTCCTGAGCAGCTCGAAGAGATGCGGAAGTCCTTCAGGGAAAAGGTCAAGTCCGGGAAGGCCAAGGATCAGTCTGGCTTTGGAGGCAAAGGCTTAGACCGTCTCGATCAGGAGAGAGAGGCGACTCGTGCGCGCGAGCGGAAGTCCCACCGCACCGAAGGCGACGAGGAGGACGGCGAGAAGGAGGACAAGAAGAAGAGGTCAGATGACAAGGCGGACAAGGCCGTCTCGGCGATCAAGACTGCCGCCTCGGGCATCACCTCGAGAGACGCGACCAAGACGGTCGACCTGGAGCTCAAGTACACGATTGTCAAGCGAGACGATGCGCCACCGCCTGCCGCCGTGCCTGCACCGACTGCCAGTAACAACCCGTTGGATAAGGCATCAGCAGCTATCAATGCGATCAACGCCCGCCTTGGCAAGACAGGACAGTTCCGCACCGGACAGCCCGTGGACAACAAGGGTCCTGACGCGGGAGCGTACCATGCGACTCTCGAGATCAACGACTTCCCACAAAAGGCTCGCTGGGCAGTCACCAATCGCACGAATGTGGCCAAGATTTTGGAGGCCACGGGCACATCTATCACAACCAAGGGCACGTTCTATCCGGCGGGCAAGGAGGTGCCGCCGGGAGGCGAGGCCAAGCTCTACATTCTGGTGGAAGGCGACACGGAGCTGGTTGTCGCCAACGCGATGGAGGAGCTTACTCGCCTGCTCAAGGAGGGCACTCTGGCTGCGGCCGATGCGGACAACCGCGCCCCTATTGGAGGAAGGTATACTGTAACATAGAACCATATGATCTGGGAGTTGTCAGGGTCCTGGCTGGCTGGCGGGAAAGCATTCTTGGAACAGGAACACGTGTGGCGCGTGGGCTGTTCGGTAGGGCTCGTAATTTATAGGTTTCAAGTAGCCTCCATTTATACAGCTTTTCCCCCAATGTTGCTCATGTGAGAGTATTACGCTCAAAAGACGTGCTGCCTCTACCGATCATACGTCACCACGTTTATCATGCTTTCGAAAATGCAAGGCTTTATTGAAAATAGATGCCACGGATGCCAACATACGTGGGACGAGAAAGAGAGAACAAAACCCCTTCCTCCAGCTCTCCGCAACTGCCTTCTTCCCACGATCGCCCTGATCGCCAACGCGCAATGGGCTCAGCAAGCAAACAGACAGACAGACATGTATGCAGACACAAATAAGAAGCACACAATCTCAGCCCGCCCACCCCCAAACACACACACACACCAAAGCACACGAGCGAGCTTAGTTATGTGTCCTCGCCTCGGCGGCCTCGTCGGCGTCCCGCTGCCTCACGTTGCTGTTGCTAATCTCCTGAAGGGTCTCGTTGCGCGACTGCTTCTTCTGCGCGGCGAGCTGGGTGGCGAGTTTCCCCGTGTTCTTGCTGTTCGCCGCGTTTGCGCGGGCCTTTTGTAGTTGTGCGTGTGTTTGTGTAAGCAAGGTGGTGTGCGTGGTGTGAGTTGGGCAGAAGACGACAAAGAAGAAGAAGAACATGTATGACTAGGTAGGTCCCTTTGCTTACCTCTGCTGCCTCGGCGGCTCTCCTGCGCGCATCGTCAGGACCGTCCGCAGCAGGGGCCGCGCCGCCCAGAGTCCGGGGCGGGCCGCCGACTTTCCTGGCTGCTACGGCCGAGGGCGGGACGGCGGCGCGGGCGGGCTGCTCGGGCGCGGTGCCGAGGGCTCTCCCCGGCTGGGAGAAGTTGTCGCCGTCGGACTTGCTGCAGAGGTTGCCCATTGGTTGCTGCCAGGCTGTGGTGTGCGGAGCGGGACGTGATGTGACGTGACGTGTCGTGAGTGGGCGGATGGCGGGTGGCAGGCAAGTACCTTCTGGTATGCAGGCAGGTTTGGTGGTGTTGAGGCCAATGATAAGGGTGCGCTGCGCTGGTGTCGTTTGTCCTCGGATCCGAGGTTGTGGTAATAGGTGGGGGGTGGAGTGTGCGGAGCGAATGTACGGGGAAGGAGCCGACGGCTGATGTTGGAGGATGAGGATGAGGCTGGTCTGGTACTGTACCTGTGCCTCAGCGATTGTGACCCGAGAGTGTGTCCTCGACACTCGGCGGGCTGCGTGATTAGATACCTACCACCTAGCTTGATGCCCGGGGATGCCAAGGCGGAGGAATTGGGGCTGTTGTGGCAGCCGGCTGGGGTCCCGGGCCGAGAGGATCCATAGTTGGCCTGAGATACAAGAAGGACTGGACGGTCCGTAGTACGACCGGCAGCTCTACATGGCCAATGAGATACTATCTCTGGGGAGCTGAGACGTCAAAGGGGGGTGTATTGTACCTAGCAGGGCTGAGAGGAGCGCATGCCCAGCTGCGCATGCTGTCACAACTCAGTTAGATGCACCACTGAGTTATGCATTCATTCCGCGACTGCCTTGTGCAAGCTGGCGGGCGGGACAAGGGACCAGAACCAGCGGGGTGTTTTCCTCACCAACAGCCGCCTGCTGATTGGCTGCTACGTCAGAGCCGCCCGAAAGGGCAGGCACGTCAGAAATGGGTTTTTGGGGTGGCAGTGGCCATCAAGGGACTCAAAAGGCGAGCACTCGTCTCGTCTCCAGCCCGTGCAGCGCACACTGACTGCATGCACCTCCCGCCGCCGCCGCTCGAGGGCTCTGTCGGCGCCGCGCACTCGGCCCTGGAAATCTTCCACGCCATGGCACGACCCTGAAATCGAGTCCGAGTCCCTTGAGAGCTTCCCCGTCCATCCCTCCCGCGATTCCCCGGCTCCTAAACTCTGACCTGACGGTGATCATTGCGCACACATTCCCCGTCCTGTTGCAACCATCGCCGTTGCGCCGCCGCCACTCCTCCGTCTCCGCCTCCGCCTCCTCCTCCTCCTCCGGCTCCGGTTGCCGCCGTGCTCGCTCCGAGACATTGCGCTCGCCGTGTACGACGTGACACGGGCGAAGCGCGGTCGCTCTGGCATTTCTCGTCACAGGGTCTACCTCGCCGCCATGGACCCTCTACACCACAGTGCCGGGCTCTTCATCGACCCTTCGGTCTCGCCCTTCTCGCCTTCGTCACGCGACGATGTCCCTTCCTCAGCCGCCAGCACACACCATGGCCACCAGGAGCTTGACGACTTCCATTTTGACTTTGACCAGGCCTTTGCCGACCTCGACTCGGTCTCGTTCGCCCTACAAAAGCCCTCACACGACGATGCCTGCCTCTCGACCTGTGTTGCAGGCATTGGCGGGTTCCCTCACCATCAGCCCCCGGCAGCTCATCGAGGCGCCGTACTCTCTCAGGCCAGTCACGCTCGCCAGCGTCATTCGGTCTCTTCGGTTCCTTGCACTCCCTACCTCGGCTTCACCACAGATTTCTACCAGCCGACGCCACTGTCTCAGCAGCCACAACACTTTACGCATGCCCATTCATATGGACTCGGCCCTGCGCTGGATTTCAAGCTGCCCATGGCTTTTGATCATAAAGGCAACGACATGACTTTCCAAAACCTCCAGCAGCTGGGCAATGTCTGCGATCCCAACGCCGAAGTGTGCCATCTGACCTCGTGCCCAGTCATCGACGACTGTGCCTCGGTCAACTGCAGCATGGTCTCTTGCTCCGAACAGTGCTGCTCTGTCGAGGTCTGCCACGATGAGGCGTGTGAAGATGGTCTCTGTCAGGAAGATGGCTGTGATCAGGGCACGCCATGCGACAATGTGGACTGCCTGGACCCTGCTATCTCTGAGCACTATGATCCCATGTGGCACGTACACCACGACGACTGGCTGTCCGAGAGTCATCTGAAGGACCACCCGACAGCACATAGCCAGCAGTCATGCAACCACACGAATGCGGAACATGACGTCGCCGCCACGTTGCGAGACTTGAAAGCACCGTCCAGTGACATGCATCCTGCCATGTTTCCAGGTTTCGGCTGCAGCATATTAGACGGATTGGACCATCCTGACCCTCCACCTCACCACTTCTCCCCACCACCAGCGCAGCCAGATCTCACATACGCCTCCACTGTGGACTCAAGTCCGCCCGAGTCAAAGACGGACTGCGCATCGCATACCTGCCTATGGTCATTGGGGACGACCGAATCAGGCGACCAGGAGCATGTCTGCGGCAAGGTCTTCGAAACTAGCGAGCAACTGAACGACCACTTATGTCAGGACCACGTGACCTTCATGTCGAGTAAAACGAAATACATATGCTTATGGAAGGGATGCATGCGGCGTGACGACCAGGTATTTGCTTCTCGCAACAAACTGCGGCGACACATTGCCACACATACCTGCTGTAAGTCGTACACCCATCACCTTCGCTCTGAAGGGCTATACACTAATGCCTTTGCTAGACAAACCACACCAATGCCTGATATGCGGCGAGAGATTCTCTGCGAAACAAGCGCTAGACCAGCACGAGCGCACGCACACGGGTGACAAGCCGTACACGTGCCCGTACGAGGGCTGCACCAAGTCATTCAAGCAGAAGAGCGCACTGACGATGCACATCCGCACGCACACGGGCGAAAAGCCGCTCAAGTGCGAGATTTGCGGCAAGAGCTTCTGTGAGTCGTCGAACCTGTCGAAGCACCGCAAGACACACAATCCGGACTACAAGTATAAGTGCGATGAGCCCGGGTGCGACAGCCAGTTCATCCGTATCGACCAGCTGCGCCGGCACCAGGCCAAGCATGTCCGGCAGAAGAAGAAGAGTGATGCAAGGTCATCGCAGCAGCAGCAGAAGACGAATGTGTCTACAGTGAACCCGGTGCCTGCTGTCGCGGGGGATTGGGCGTTGATTGATATCTAAGTTGAGCCGCGCGTTGAACGTGTTTCCGCGTCATAGCATCCCATGTATATAATTCGAAGCGAAGCATGACGTCCATGAGGGACTGGCGGAAGCGAAGAACTGAAGCCCAAAAAGTACAACGACGTGGTTTTTCACAATTTCTTTGTCCACATGTTGCACTCCGCGCACACATACGCGCGTCGATAGCTTCAAAACGGTCAAACATCAGGGTGAAGAAAGCATAGCTACGTGCAAGACCAAGGTCATGCCTCGTCTCGTGCTTCAATGGAAAGTCGGCGTAGATTTCTGTTCCCGCCCCTCTCTTCCGGAGTGATTGGTCACACAGGGAAATGGGTACATACCGTTCTTTCCTAGAACAAGTCCTTTTCACTAGTGTTGCTCCAATGGCTCAGCTTCGGGTTTGTTGTCAGCCTGTGCGGCTGCACGCATATTCATACTTGGAATGGCAGAACCACGCAAGGCGAGAATAATCAGAAATCTCCCGTTGAAAGTATGGGCAAATGCTGCTAGGAACGAGACAGACAGCTGGGCGGGTTCGATTATAGTCTAGCATATTCTGGGCATTCAACCACGGGCGTGAAAAGTAAAAAAGGATCCGGATGTGAAACCTCAAGAAGGTTTGACAGGCTCTCAATGTCAAGTCAGCCATCGCCTCTTCCTCCTAATCCATGGCACATGCGTCACAATGTAGAATCTCAGGTCATGAGGCTGGGGTCTTGGGTCTTGTCTTTTTTTTGAACTTGTTTTCTCTTTGTTTTTTGTTCATGTGCCTCCGAATTCGGCAAAATTTTCATCTTTCGCATTTTCGGGGGCAGCTCTCTTTGGCTGCTGCAGTGTGTAAAACCTCGTATAACACCTATGAATGAACCCGAGAAAAGCCGTTGCCGTCAAAATGCAAGATATGATGATCCCCCCGTTTGGTCGTAGTCTTGTTCGTTTCTCTTTTTTACTTTTTTTAGCCTTCTATTTCCACCCGTCTGGAAGAAGAAAAAGTAAAGAAGAAGGGCTCCATCGAGGGCTCACACGACTGGGCAAGCACGCTTTTTGTTTTGTTTTTTTGCAGCATCGCCCAGGGTGGAGCAGCCCTGTAGTTGCTTTTTCCGTCCCACGAATCACCCACGCATTGTCAAAAGCTTTAGTTGGCCTGGAGAAATAGAACGTCAGCAAGGGCTCCCGACAACATAGGATGTTGTGCGCAATGTTGGGCACGCTGATGAGTGTGCCCCGAGATTGTGCAGGGTCCGACCTAAACATACCTTGACAGCGTACTTCCTTTGAGGGAAGTGCGTGCTGCGCTTCTTTGTCTTCTCCAGGGTCTTGGCCTGCTCGGCGGGCGACAGACGGCGGCGGATGGCGCGGGTCTGCTTGGGGCGGAGGTCGAGAGGCAGGTACTTCTTGTTCTTGTAGAACAGGCGGAGCTGAGACCGCTGCTTGAGGTTGATGACAGTCAAGGTGCGGGCGATGGACTTGCGAAGGTCGTGGCTGGGAGACGGGAAACCAGTCAGCATACAAAGTACAATTACACCCCCAAGGTCGTGTTATCGTTCCAAATGAGCCAATGCCGTTGCCGCGAATTCGTTCCAAGTCGTAATCAACAGTGTCCAACAATTCCCATGCGCATATTCTCCAGACAGTGAAACCCAGCCGGGCTGCGGAATCGAGATGCTTGAGATGTACAAAGAATACTGGAATGCGTATCGGCAGATGGGTTGTCGTCGGCGAGGCTGGCGAGGTGCATGGTCGGACACGGGCGATTGGCTCAGATGGACAATGTTTGACGCTTTGTTGATGTATGTCGCTTACATTCTGTTCAGCTTGCTGCCGGAGGAGGTGATCTTCTGGATGCGGAGCTGGCCGAGCTCGGTCTTGAGGTCAGACAGAGTCTTGACCAGCTCGTCCTTGCTCTTGTTCCAGAGCTCGCCGCTCTTAACCTTGGAAGTAGACTATTCGCGTGGCCGCAGAGTTAGCGAGCAATTTCGTGTCGACGTCGGAATGGCATGACGAGAGCCTGCCGGCAGAGGTCCGACATACCATGATCGCGATTAGGGGTTGTCGTGGGATATGGGCAATCGGTGGCCTCTCCTGGGGTGCTGTGGTCGGTTGTCGTGATGATTGCCGGCGGATCGCTGGGTGGTCGTAAATTTCCTGCAGCACGCAGAACGGGTCCAGCGAAATGGCCAAAATTTGGGAAAATTTTAGTGGGAGCTCGCTTGGGCAGTGCAAAGAGGCTTGGAGGGGGGGGGACGTCGGCATCCACTTCGCATGTGGTCTGTGCTTGGCTGGATAGCCACAACCACTAGCCACAGCAAGACCCTTGCCTTGCCCCTGTTGGCTGCCCCCAAACTTTCCCGTCAGCAGCACGGCGCCAACAAGACGGGACGTCACCCGTGAGTACTCCTGCAGCCCATGTAGTCTCAAGTGGGTTCCGTTGTCTAGCAAAGACCTGTAGCCAGTCCTCGCCCACAACTCGAGGCGTGCAACTGCTCACCATCACTGGGCTTCCTTCGTCATTGGAATACAGTCTATGTATTTGTGACGTGGAAGATTGGCAAAGTACAGCATCACCGCGCTCAGCATTCTCCAAGCCATGCTCACCTTTTTTTTTTTTTTTTTTTTTTTTTTTTGGATATCCAGTCTCGTTCAACAGGTAACACAAGTACATAGTTGAGTGGCATCTCAACTGCATCCATGGGTCCCGAGGTCTTGCATCAACTTTGGACACGGCTCCACTTCCACCCCCAACTTAGGCAGTACGGGTGTCTCACGGTCTGTGGAACTTATCGACATTGAGTAGCATGTCTCGCTGAAACCCGACCGGTTTGGTTTCCGAGTTCCATGCGCAACTTCTGTCAAAATGACCAGCGAGCGCCTCATGCAAAGCGTGCCGCAGTACATCTGAGAATACTAGTAATTGTCGAATCACTTCTCCTCTTCGACGGTTCGCTTGACTCCCTCGACGAAAGCCTCGACTGCCTCTCCACCGCCCAACGGGACCTGTCCTCTTCTCACATAGCCCCCATTCTCGACCTTGATCTGTAGTGCGTCCGCGATACTCGGCAGTCCACCATCGCGAATCGCCATGGTCAGGCTAGACAAGCTCTGGTGAAATTGAGGACTGCGAAAGACCTTCTGAAGGAGTGCCTTCTTCTGGCCCAGGCTCATTGCTTGTTTCGCAGCCTCAATGGCAGCAGGTGTAGGTTCCGTCGCGTTTTCCCCTCTGTCTGCTTGTTGTGAGAGGATGAGAACAGCTGGCGGAAGAAAGCTTAGAAGCGTATCGATCTGCTCCTCGCTGGCATCTTGTGCCAGGGGAACAGTCGATGATGGTGTCAGAAGATCTGAGAGCATGGGATATAGTTTGTCTTCTCCTTGGCCACCGCCACTCGACGCTCCACCCTTCAATGAGTCCAGAAAGTTTCGAACCGCTGTGGCAGCATCCTGCCCTCCGGGAGCAGCTCTGCATTCACACAATTAGCAAATGATCGAGTTGGGGAGCCATGATTTGAATGAACCATCTTCGCACTGCCCGGCGTCAATTGCTCCATAGCTGCGCAGGTTTCAAACAGGACACATCCAAGTGCACCGCACTGATGGCCAAAGATGCGTCTATTCTTTATCGGTTTTTCTTTTCGCCTTGTAATGACTTGGTCTTGGAAACAGTGGCAGAAGTAGGCTCGGAAGTGGTGGGGTTGTTCACCTACGCTCTGGCACCATCAGCACCTCCTTCTCTAGATTCCTCGCCCTCGTCCCGGATGTCACCACCAGTAGCATCTGCGCCAGCACCACCGCTACCACGACCACCAGGCGTGTTTCTTGAGTTTCGCTGGACATCTTCCATGGCGTCGTCCTCATCGTCGTCATCATCGTCGTTGTTCCGTCGGTCATCGTTGTCACTGTTGTCCACGTTCGCAAGCACCCGTGCTACGTCGATCTCTTCGCCTTGCAGAAGGTCATCGACAATATCTCCGATCTTGAGATCCCTCTTGCTGAACCATGTCGGGTCGCCGGTACGGCCTTGGGGTTTTGACTGCAGCCAGAAGATATATCGCTGGCTAGAGGAAGAGAATTTGAGAACGAAGATGCGGCCATTCGTCTTGGCGGACGGCGTCGTCTGAACTCTGCTGTCGTATGCGAGGAAGTTTCCGTCACCGGGCACCATGACAAGATCGAGCTCGGGCTGGTCTATGGGAGTGGCGCGTTCTCTCCAGCAGAAGTGGACAAGCTCTGCGTGAAGAACATTAGTATCAGGACCATGTGGCTCCGCCATAGCCAACATCCCTCGGCTACCTACCATCTTCACCCTGGTATAGAAAAATGTAGCCCTTGCGAGGATCCGGTCGGACTTTGTAGGGTTTCGACGATGACTAGCATGTGAGGTTAGTTTCCTTGCGCCTCGGACATGGACTAATAGAGCCTTGCGGGTTGGACGAACATCGACATCGCACATCCCCGCCTTGAACGTAATGAGAGGTGTTATGGACATTGTGACTGTCGGCGGATATCCTTGCTCCAGGTGGTATTCCTCCTTTGTGTGTGTCTGGTTGTCCGAGGTTGAGTTGTCTTCTCTTATGGCAGCTTGTGGTGACGTGATCGGCGCGTGAGAACGTTGTTGTCTGCAGAACTCGGGTGTCGTCAAACGAGCTTCCAGCTCGCAATCGACAAGGCTACAAGACATCATACGTAAGGCCACGGTGAGGCAGGCGCGGATGGTCCCACCATGCGTCTATTGGTCAGTAGAGCCCCACCACTTCTCGAGAGCTTGAGCCACAGTCGCGGTCGACTGCCAGCCCCATGGCGGGGCAAACTGTGGCTGGTGTGATAAGATAAGACCAGAACCAGCCTATGCCCGGCCGGTGCTAGCGCGAATCGCACAGGGTAGTTCAATCGCTAATTGCGCCCACACAAAAAATTGAATGAAATCGACCTGCTGCAAAGCTGGGTTGGATCTTCAACTTCAACACTGAGAGCCCGCCGACATCACCGACAATTCGACACCCCCTAACCCCACGCCAACACAGCACCGTCACAATGTCGCAGCCGAGCCAACAGAAGAAGTTCGGAAAGTCGACCCGGGAGGTCCCTCACCACTCCCAGAAGGCCCAGAAGTGGTACCCTGCCGACGATGACTCTCAGCCCAAGACCGTAAGTTGAGCCTGTCGTGCCACGGCCAAAGCGATTGCCAGATGTCTCTCTTCGCCTCGGATCACGGCGCGCAAACTCGAGCAACCAAACATCACGCGCAAGCCCTGTGCCACCGCCCCGGCATCGAATATTGTCTGGGTCGACAAGAATTCCTCCGGATATGACCATGGGTACGCCCGACACCATGCGAAGACAGGGAATGGATCGAGCAACAACGACATATTGTTTCGCAGCACCTTCAACGCAAGTAGTGCACGCGCAACATCCATCCTTTGTCAGATCAACCAGCGAGCCCAGCGAGAGAAAGCGAGAGAGACATCCGGCCATTCACGAGACCAGCAAGCGCACTTCTTCAAGTCATAGGATGTGTTCACTGACAATTCGTTCGCACGATACAGGTCCGCAAGGCCATCCGCGCCTGGGCTCCTCGGGAGTCTCTCCAGCCCGGTACCGTCCTGATCCTCTTGGCCGGCCGCTTCCGGGGCAAGCGCGTTGTCCTCCTGAAGAACCTCGAGCAGGGTGTTCTGCTCGTCACCGGTCCCTTCAAGATCAACGGTGTGCCCATCCGGAGAGTCAACGCCAGATACGTCATCGCCACCTCCTACAAGATTGACGTCTCCGGCCTCGACGAGAAGAAGATCAGCGAGATTGCCGAGTCCAAGTACTTTGCCCGCGACAAGACCAGCGACAAGGCCACCGAGGACGCTTTCTTCAAGCAGGGCGAGAAGCCCCAGGTACGACTTGCCCGCAACCAAGTTTGGACATGAGCGTCAGGAATGGTAGACTGACATTGTTTTTACCCCCGTGAACAGAAGAAGGAGATCAGCAGCAGCCGCGCCGCCGACCAGAAGGCCGTCGACAAGGTTCTGATTGCCAGCATCAAGAAGGTCGACCTCCTCGCCAGCTACCTCTCCAGCTCCTTCAGCCTGCGCAAGGGTGACAAGCCCCACGAGATGAAGTGGTAGACAGTTTGTTTTTCTCACTCTATCTTCCACATCATCCCGGAGCGAATTCCATACTTTGCATGAATTTCCCCAGCCAGCCACCGAAAGCTTCCTCTTCTGCTGAGAAATCGTTGTCATGATGACACACGGATTTGATTCGAGACGGGAAATGAGTAAGAATGGCTGAGTTGTGGTGAAAAGGAAACCAACATTGGGGGGCGCAACGGGGGGACAAACACCACAATCACCACAAAACCACCACCACCAACGAAAACAAAAACGGGAAAACAATTAAAGGATTCTCTTTTTATTGATGGGACAACAGCAAAAAGACACATTCAATGAAAGAGAAGCGCGGGAGTTGGTCTTGACTTCTTTTGGGCAGTTCTCATGTGATGACACGACACCGGGGGTTGGGTTCTTGTTTCGTTTTTTTTCTGCTCAAGGAAAAAAGAGGAGAAATGCATTCCAAAACCTAACAATGGAACAAAGAGAACAACAACACACACAATCTAAAAAAAAGATGAAACAAACCTGGCCTCGAGACAATTGCTTGCATATCGTTGGAAGTGACATCATTTCTCGCTACCCCTTCGCGTCCATCCTTTCTAACGTGCTTGAGCAAAGTACATATGGTAACTGGGAACTCTTTCATCCGGAGTACTAAAATGCCCGGACCGGTAGTAACAATACGTTGGTTCCCCAGGAACGACCTGTACTTTGCTCGAGGTCTGCCTCTTGACCGGCGGCTATACCGCTTACAGCATTATAGACTGAGTGCACTCGGATTTCGGACATTTGAGCTCTATTCCTTGAACTGCTCGTAAAGCGCGACAGACACAACTTCACACGTGCGAAGTAGCTAAATGGAATGGGACTAGTTCGTTCAGTTTTCGCTATGCATTGTTGACAAATCACTACCGTTGCTGCTCTACTTTGTACATTTTCGCATATATATCTAAACATTGCGCTCGGCAAAACTCTGAATCATGCCCTCGGGCGTCGCCTCGTAGTGCTTGAGCGTGACCTTGCCGGTCGCCTCGTCGAGGAATGTGTTGGCCTGCACGAAAACCTTACGGGGCTGCTTGTTGCGCAGGACCTCGTCGCGGACCTTCTTTCCCCAGAACTCCGGATCCACGTTGGTCATGTCGTTGTAGAACTTGGTGCCAGTCTCGACATCGGCGGTGCTCTTGTAGATGTGGATCTTCTGCAGGTACTCGCCAACGGCTTTGCGGCCAGCAGTCAAGATCTTAGAGCGGTCCAGCTTGATGGTCAAGCCGGACACATCGTCGCCCTGGTAGTCGAGCTTGCAAAAGTCGTCACCAGCCTGCAGGAAGCACTGCAGGATGGAGAAACGGGCTTGCGAGTGTGCTTGTCCCCACTTGCGGCTCTTGGGATCCCACATCTCGAGAGAAGCCAGACCAGCACGTGCCACTATAAAGCTGTCAGTCGGTTGCGTCGATAGATCAGAGGCATCACGATGAAAGAAGCAGAAGATACTTACTGGAAAGGTAAGAGGCGTACAGGACATCGCCGGCCTCGCCGTCCATATTTACCTCGCCGTTGCCGAAGCCGAAGATCTTGAGCGCCGGAAACTCACAGCTCAAGTACATGGCCACAAGCTCGGCGCGGCACTCCTCGTACGAAGCAGCCACGCTGCCAAAGACAGAGCCCCACGTCTGGCCTGGCTTGTACCATGTTGTGATGGGCTTGTTAGTGAGGGGCGAGACCGGCGGGTTCTCCTTGTCAAAGTTGTAGACACCCGGCGATGTCTCCTGGAGCAGCTTGCCACAACCGTGACCAGTCAGTTCGTGCAGACCGACCTGGACCTCGAAAGCGGCATCACGATACTTGTGGTAGATGGGCAAGTCCTTTTCGGCGATGAAGGGGATCTTCTCGTTGGGAGCCTTGGCGCTCAGGACATTACCGAGAGAAACATTCTTGAAGCCCTCGTTTTGACGAATGACGTCGTAGTTGGGGATGTTGATGCCGGCTGGGATACCGGAACCGGCAAAGGTGAGGACTTCCAAGGATGTAAAGTCAGGCGACAGGAACTTGTCCTTCTCGAACTCGGCACCCCACGGAAGGAGTGGGATCATCTCTGGCGCAGCGTCGACAAGCGCTCCAAAGGCACGTGTCCTCTCGAGGTTGACCATCGAAGCAAAACCCTCCCACTCGCCCCGAACACCAGCAGGATCTCTGTAGGTTTCGATGAAACCAATGTTGGACTCGACCATGGGCCCTTTGTCCTTGATCCAGTAGCGCTGGCTGTCCAGGAAGGCGGACAAGGAGCCAGTCTCGAACGACTTGGCATACGCAATGTACATGTTTGTCTGCGTCTCGTTGTCTCCGCTCTCGGCCGCCTTCTTGGCGCTTGCGGCGATTGCGGCCATCTCCTTGGCATAGTCGCCATAGACAAGCTTGATGGTTTTGCCAGTAAGAGGGCCATCCTCGACCGTGAAACTGGTCTCCTTGCCGATGTCACCGCCCTGCTCGGGCACAGAGGTAATGGCAGAGGCGATGAGGATCTCGAAAGAACCGTCCTTGGCCTTTCTCAGGCGAGTGTTCTCGGGGAGAAGACCCTTCTTCTCCATGAAAGCAGATACGGCCTCAATCTCGGCTTTGGTGATGTCGGTGCAGTTGGGATAGTATGTCGTCATGTGGCCGGCGTCCATGAAGCCGAGGTGCATCAGGCCCGGCTTCTCGGCCGAGAAGATGCCGCCGTTGGTGGCCTTGTAAAAGCCCTCGGCGTCTGGAGATGTGGCCGCAATGGCCGCAAAGGAAGCCTCCGAGGACCGTGGCACAAACTTTGAGTCGCCAAAGCTCTTGTAGTTGCCACTGTTGCCCAGGAATTGTGCGGCATACTGGAGGAAGTGGCTGAGCTCCTCATCCGAGATACCAGCCTTGCCCTGGAGGGCCTTCCAGTCCCCGGCACAGCTCTTGTGCAGGGCGAGGATGAAGTCATAGATGGCTTCGGCCTCTGGGGAGATCTGCCTCAGCACGATCCTGGTGCCCTCGAAGGCGGCCCTGCTGATGTGGTGGGCATAGCGCTTCTGCTTGTCCGAGAGGGCATCAAAGTGCTTCTCGATCTCGAGCCGGACGACGCTTGGCGGGGCATCGGCCAGGTAGTGCTTGAGCTCTTGGGCCTCCATGGTGAGATGGCGGGCGGAGGGTCTGCGGAGGAAGGAGGGGTTGTGCACGAGGGTTTGTAGCCTGAGAGCTGCACGAGGGCGGCAATGGCGTATGCTCAGAGTGTGGAAGTGGGAATAAGAGGGACGAGGAGCTGCGACAGAAGCAGCAGCGATGATACCATCAATAGGTGAGGTTCTGCGGAAGCTGGAGCTGGAGCGGGAGCTGGAAACACGTGAGGTTGCCCGTTGGCAGAACAAGACCCTAAAACTCATGCTTGTAGTGAACAGGAAGGTGCACCGGCGTGGATTGACCTTCCTAACGCAGCACGCATACCCAGCTGTGGCCAGTGAGAGTGTCCCAGCAGAGCAAAGCGCCGCTGCCCGCCGCAAGGCTTCAACTCCGCATTCCCATGCGACAACAGCGCAAACAGCCGCACCTGGCCGTGCACATTGTGCGGTGGCTCCCCGACCGCCTGCCTCCTTGAGCAGCGAACTCCGACCCGTCACTCCGGACCTCGGAACAGGGCCCAGGCACCAGCTGCGCAATAATTCGAAATGTGCTGTTTTCATCACACTTGCTGTCAGAGACTAACGTACTATCTGGCTGGCCCCTTTATGCCGAACGTGGCTTCTGGTCGGAGAGAGTGGCTGCAAGTAAGATCTGCCAGCGTGTTGCGCAGTGCGGGGAAAGTGAGGGGCAGTCGTCTTTGTCCCTCGCTTCTGCGGAATGCGGAACAAATCAACCAACGGCCGGCAAGTGTCTGCAGAAGCTCGAAGGATTATCCCTTGCGATCCTCCTCTCGCACGAGAAGCTCCCAGCAAAACGAAACAGGTCATCATCAAGCAGCCGACATGGCGAAAAACAGTCCAATCGTTTCCGTATACCACTGCAAGCAGAAGCACAATCTGAGCTGACGTTCATGCCCACGGAAAGGGAGCTCAGTCATCCTTTGTTAATAGTGTTGACTGATGACCGAACATGCCACATCTACATCATGAGTCTAACTCTACCGGGAAACTGAGGCGAGCTGCGTAATTAAAAAGTCTGTGAGAACAGTCTGCTTGTCGTCTCGGGTACAAATTGGCGGGGGCGGAGCTGAGCTGCCGGTGTAGACAATGAATGAGGGCGGCTGTGCTGTCTCGAAAAACCATATTTTGGTTGATACGGCACAAGACTTGTTTGCTTATGGTCCTCTCAGAGACTGAGGTCGGCAAAAAAATCCCAACGTCGGTCGTCGGAAATCATACAGTGATTCCGAACGTCCAACATTGAGCCGACCCGGCGCGGAGCCGCAACCGAAGCCCAGACCGGGATCCGGAGGCCAACGCACGTCTCCCGGGCTCGCTTTGCAGTAGCGCCCGCCTTTCTCTGACTGTTGGAGCAGGGCCGTAACCCTTTGACGCCCAGGGCCAAGCCTGGGCTGTGCAGGTGGTGTTGCCTGTTTCAATATGTTCGGTCAGCTCTGGTTTTCGGGATGTGGAGGCGCACTGGTAGACATGGTCTGATGCGTGGGCAGCTCAGATTAAGTACCTTGGACGTAGCCCTATTTAGGTCAGACGTGCAATGGTCCAGCCCTGGGTGACCAAACCTGAAGAGTCTGTTGCTCGAGAGATTGCAACTTGGGGCCTGAGCCCGCCAATCAGGACATGCTGGCAGACGAAGTCTCAGCGCAGCTTCACGTCGCAGACTGCTGCCACTGCCCGACAAGCGAAGGGGTGACTGCATACACGGCTGGATATGCCTACATGACGGGCGAGGCGTGAGCCAGCCGGCGCAGTCCTGGGCTGAGCCACAATGTCACCGCCCTCAGACACGAGGCAGGTGGTCTGAATCTCGCACACAGTCTTGGTTCAGACCATGCTGTGGAAACGCATTAGGAATTGTTGAGAACTTGCAGCAGCCCTGATATCTCGTCAGAGGAGCCGAGCGGCGCTTCCCGCCTGTCGTGGGCTGGCGCCGACATATGCATTGCGACAGCCAAAACTGCCTGATTAGCAACGGCTGCAGATCATTCTTTGACCAGGCTCCAAAGCCTGCCAGGCAGAGGTACTTCGCTTGCAAGTCACTCCGATGCGAACCCAATCAGGAGCCGAAGAGGGCCAATAATTCAAGAAAGACTCGCCTCTGCCCATGCCAATCTAGGCGGCGGGACCCGTGTCTGTTCGTGTTTTGTCACGTAAACTGGCGGGAGCGGATTGGGCATGGACATCGGCAATTCCACCACCCTTGGCAGGATTGGGAAACGCAGATTTGTGTTACCGCCCAGCTGGTAAAATTTGGCGCGCGCGCATGCAACAACCTGTGGCAGCTTGCATCAGACTCGAGAAAGACTTGAGAATGGTACACACAAATGCGCCAGCCAAGGCTCGCTTCTCTCCCTGCCGGGGAATTGTTGAGCTTCACGGGCTTGTGAGATGCCGTGGACTTGCGCTCGGTACGAAGACCCCTGGCATCGCAGCAAGCGAGGGAGCAATGTTGGGCAACGTAATCGGCCACGGGCTGTGGCCGCCAGGAACCCCCGTCTTGAAGGCGAAACATGAAGGTGGATGGGTGCCCCGTCCTGAATGTCGTTAAGCTTTGGCCCCAATGAACGACGGGTAAGCTTTTGTAAACTCTCCGCGATGAACATTCCACGTCGCTGCGTTTCCTATTGAACCTTCAGGGCCTGCCAACCCCAAAGCACGCGGCACGCCGAAGCAGAACTTCTAGGTCGATGGAGGCATGTCTTTGGTTGTGCTGTACTTGGCCGCACGCGGTGGTCAGGCCTGAGAAGCGCTGGATTTCGCTTGGGCCATGCGAGAAAACATGGGAATATTTGCTTGGTGGAGATCTGACGGTATGCTGGTGGCACTCGAAAAATGGTCACGCAGCAAGCCAGAGAGCCCCCCACGCAGGTGCGCGTGGGGGCCATGCCGCTTCTCGATGCAAATTTCGCCGGGTTTGACACAACAGCGTGGGCGATTTGAGTTCCGGCGGAGGAGGCGTCGCCGTATCCTAGATCCTCGGCGGCTCCACCCCCACTGCGCTAAGAAATGGCTCCAGTCCGCCATCATAGCGTGGCTGAACATGGCTGCTGTAGCCGACTGCCCAACAAGGCGAGCAAGGACAAGCCAGCCAGCCAGCCAGCCAGGTTCGGCAGTGTTATGAACTGATGATAGCATGCCTTGTCTGGCTGCCCAATCTATGGACAATGGGTGGGCGTACGCCAGAGCGCGCCGAAATGAAGTCTCCGTGCTCGGGGCAGGCCGGGCCTGGTCCGTGTGTGATAGTCACGCGAGCAGCGTGACAAGGTTGGCCAGATGTGTCGGTGACGGTGTCGGTGACGGTGTGGAGTCGAGACTGGAGGTGGTCTGCATTGAAAGAGATGTGGCTTTGAGAATCTTGCGCGGCGCCTTGACCAAGCTGCCGGGTCAGGCACACGACCGATTCTGCTCGAGTTGCCATGTGGCATCAGCGGCTATCGCGTCGGATTCGAGCCCGTGCCGGCTACTACATGTCCTGGAGGAGAATTTGATCAGCAGTGCCGTGGGGTCCATCAAGATGTCTTGCGCTTGGCACATGTGGGGTGTCAAACCTGGGACGTGGTTGCGCTCATGCCGTGGAGGGGTTTGCGTCATGGAAGCCAAACGAAGGAAATTAGAAACGATCAGACCTGGGTGTGTCCGCCTGGTTTATGAGCCTTGACATGACCTACTATAACTAGAGCAGGCGGGGCACGGCCCCAACAGGGCAACCATGTGGTCCAGAGTTGGGACCAGAGGAAGCGAGCTGCCTGCCTCTTTCTGCGCCTGTGCCTCCTCGCCTTGCCTCACCGATGCCCTCAGGTAACGGGCGTTTTGCAATGCAGATCTGAGTTATGGAACGGCGTGCTCGCAGCTGCGATGCAGACAAGTGCGGCCGGGGGCCCAGGCGCGTATCAGCGGCTGTGGGGCCGGGTGCGAGTGGCTTTTCCTCGTCGCCTCTGCCATGCCTTTCTTCTTTCGCCGTCGCGTGGCCGGAACAGAAGTACCTTCCTACACACACCCGGCCATGCATGCTAGGCCTCGCGGGACCTCTTTCGCTTCCCCGGTGGGCACATGGCCTTTTGCACGCTAACACCAGCATGGGCATTGAAATCAGCACCCGGACCGCAAGGGCGTTCCATTGGGGTGGAGGCATATTACTATTATCTCGTCGCCAGGCTGGCGCAAGGCCACAGAAAGAACCAGGAGGTCGACGATGTGGCCATTATACCCAGGGTCCGTCTCACCGGTTGCCGAGCACGACCTCCCAACAGTACAGGCCGTAGCTCCATGCAGGTCATCCCCTAATCATCATGGTGCTGCATGTTCTGCCTGCGCAGAGGTGAGAAAGCGTGCAGGCACCCGCGCATGGCGGTGCGAAACGTCCAGTGTGTCCAGGGGGTCGTATGGCATGGCATTGCGATGCATAACATCTCATTGGTCACGAGCCACCAGCATGGCAAAGTCCACCGGACGCCCTTGTTTCTTTTTTTTCCCTTTTTGTGTGCGGCACGGCGCAGATGTGCCGCACACCCTGTCAAAGGAGCTGTTGTCATCTGACACGCCTGGAACAACCTCACTGGCCGTGGCCTACGAACAGCAGATGAGTGCTCGCCGAGACGCGCAGGGCGAGGCAAGGAGACTGGACGCTGGCATAATGTGTGTGGTCTGTGGCATCGCACAAACCCCCCAAAACACGTGGGCAAGAAGGTGCCCCCCACCCGGGAGCCAGGCCGACTCCAAGGCTGTGGCAGTCGCTAAAGGTCCCAATTGGCCCGGCCGCAGGCTCGGCAGCAAGCCCGGCTGCCGGTAAACAAGGGCGAACTGTGCAACTATTTCCTCCTTGGTGTGTTTCAATTAGTGGCCAAGGCTCACCTGGTCAGCAGGAAAAAGCAGCGCCTAGCGTCCTTGACGGTGCCAGGAGCCAGTTCCGTCGGGAAAATATGGCCCTCGAGAACGTACCTTGTCTTACTGTCCAGAGTTAAGGCGCGTGCCCAGGAGGACCGCAAAGGATCTCCGCCGCCAGCCCATCTCCTGGCCGCCCCCTCCACCGAAGCCCGGCGGGCCCATTGACCTCATCGCGCGGATGAGCACACACCACCTCGGGTGTGCAGGGGAGGCTCTGGCGGGCGCACCAGGCCGAGCCAGGCAGACTCCCCACGCGGTAGCAGGGCCTGCGAGGTTCTTTTGGTTTTCTCTGGCCCTTCTGTGGGTGGAGGATCGTGGGGCGCGCTGGACTGTGCCCCGGTCCGTGCACCGTCATCGGCTTACCTCACCGCAGTGCTCGGGTACTTGCGCCTCGAGTACCTACGCCCACCCCCAGTCCCCCCCGGGGGGTCCAGCAGTCCGCTCCCGCACAGCACGTCCAGACTTGCATCATGAATTGTTGTTCTGCGCTGCTTCTGCTCCCAGCCGCCAGGCGATCAAAAGTCTAATCCTTGGACGGGATCCTCTAGGGGGGACCGACCCCGGCTCGGTCGGCGCCCCTTGTGCAGCCCGCCCGCCTGTCGTCGTTTCCGCCCCGGCCTCGCGCTGCCTTGGGGTCGCTCACTCACGCACGCACTTGCCTGACCGTCCCTCCGTCCCTCCGCCCCTCTGGCATTAATTAGATAAAGCGATCGCCTGCCCAAGGCGGGTTTTGTTTCTTCTTGCTCCTGCCTCTGGTCTTACTTGGTTTCAAGCCTTGCATCTTGCTATTATCCGCTCTCCGCCTGTCTCAGTCTTGTCGTGGAAGCACTGCCTCTCTTGTCTTAGACCCTTGCACATCTTATACCGCCAGCTTCTTGATTCACAGCCCGGGGCATCCCTTGGCCTCCTCGCCGTCATTGCCAGACCGTTGAACCACTCGCCCACGCCTCTCTTCTCTTCTGCTACAACTCTTGCCCTGCTTTGCGACTTTATAAACCCAGCAATGCTGTCCTACGATGCACCCGTCTCGGTCAATGGCCAGACTCCCACGTCCAAGATGGTCAACATGAATATCAACAACCTCGGCCCCAACCCGGCGCCCAAGAAGACAACCATGACGCCTGTCACGCCCAACAACACCATTGCCAAGACAAATGGACACTCCTCGCCGGCGCACCACCACATCTGGCTTGTCACGGGCCCTGCCGGCTGTGGCAAGTCGACTGTTGCCAGCCATCTTGCGACCTCTTTGAACTTGCCATATGTCGAAGGCGACGAGGTAAGTCGTGTGCACATCCCGGGGCATTGTTGCCCACAGCCGCGCTAGTATTATATACACCTTGGATGGACCAGAGGGAACTCGCCCGACAGGTACTGACACGGCTTCGTTTCTCACAGTTTCATCCCCAAGCAAACATTGAGAAGATGGCCGCCGGTATCCCGCTTACCGATGCCGACCGGTGGGACTGGCTCACCGTCCTGCGCGAGCAAGCCCTCCAGAAGCTCTCGGCCGGTGCTGAAGGCGTGGTCGTCACCTGCTCGGCTCTGAAGCGCAAATACCGCGACGTGATCCGGGTCGCCCCTTACTACTCGCACGACGTCCTCCTCCACTTCATCTACCTCCATGCGCCCGAGGAGGTCCTGCTGGAACGCGTCGGGGCCAGGCAGGGCCACTACATGGGCGCCAACATGGTCCACAGCCAGTTTTCCATCCTCGAGCCGCCGACTGCCGAGGAGCAGGACGTCATCAGCATCGACGTCAGCAAGACCATGGACGCCGTGGTCGCCGAGGCACTGAGCAAAGTGCAGCAAGCCGTTGACGAGTCTTCGCGGTAAAAATGTCGCCAAGACCCTCACACGCGAGTGAAGACACATATCGAACATTTGTCATATTTTGCATTTACCAGCGACTTGAGGCAGACCCTTAGAGCTGCGTGTTTCAGCTTTTTGCATGCACGAGGACGGGGCGTACAGGGTGTTTGTTTTTCTTGGAGTGTTTTTTTGGCGTCATATCAATTGCTCCTGTTTTTGGGTTGGGGATATCGAAAAAGCACCATTGGCTCGTTGGACGAGGACAAGGCTTATTGCTTGAGGGAGGGTGGTTGATGAGACCAGGGGAGGAACAGGGACTCTTTCGGGTGCAGGTGGAGGAGGGCGGAGGAACTGTTGGGCGCAAAGCTGCCGGGCCTTGGTCTGCATCCATCGTCATGATGACAGATCACTCTGTGTTGGCAGCTTACTGCTATGTCACCAGAGTGGCCACATGACTTTGTGTGGCCAGTTGATCGAGGTTACCTCTGACCGGTCAAGAGCACGGCCGTGCCGGGGTGGCGCAAGCAAGCACTTTGCTGACTTGGCCCAGCGTCGTCGTCATACACGGCTGGTGGTCTTGTGACATGGATGGGCCATGCCCGCCGCCCACTCCTGCGGCTGGGCTGGGTTTGCTCGGCAGCCAGCCAGCCAGCGGGCTGCTGCTGCTGCTGCAGGACAACGGAGTCACCACCGCCCGCCCACCCATCCACCCGCGCCCCGATTTGCGGGGTTAGAGTGTGCATTGCATTGCAGGCGCCAATGGCCGGGCTTTTCTCTCTCGAGGGTGCAACGGCCGCTGCTGTACATCATTTTGGCTCCTGCATGAGAGATCAATTCTGTACATAGAAAGCCAGCCTGGCAGTCCTTACTTACCTAGGCCACATCTGGATACAAGACCATATTTTAAGCGCTTTTTTGGCCGATCGCATGCATGCCAGCCTTGCCAACCCCCAAGTGACGACCCCGGCCTGCTTCAGCGGTGTCCCTCGAGCCAGGTTTTCGTGTACAAATTCCTGCCCGCCATACAGCTTGGTTACTCGGCGAAATTAAAACTTAATGCGAGAGGATTCTCCGCCAATGGCATCAAAAGGGGAACGGGATTTACGGCTTTGTACCAGTAGCGCCATCTTCTACATTTGACAATGTGTGCAGTTTCTCAACGCAATCAGTTCCGTGTGCCCTTCAAATGCCCCAGAGGTGATGTGAGGGTGGAACTTAAAAATGCCAGCATGGCAGAATACATGGTCAGATTGATGGTTTTTTTTTTGGCTGTGGCGTGTTTTTGGTCTGCAAACAAAGATGACGAAACGAAAGCATCATTCAGCGATAAGAGGGCTCGGGTGGCTTTCCGTCGTGGCTCTCTTTCTGCGCCCCAGAATCCAAAGTCTTTGTTGTAATACGTCTGTCTGTGCGGTTTCGAGCTGCTCCCACCCCTTCGTGTGGAAAGAGAGAAGGTAAGTCACCGGAACTGGTTCCGCTAATCCTGGAGGGGTTTTTTTTTTCCCCTGGGGGGGGGGGGGGGGGGGAGGGGTCATTCTGGCTTGTTGGTCGTTCTTTTTTTGCCCACTTTAAGTTTTGGTCATTCACTCCAGGCAATGAGTGTTGCAAGTATTCAAAGATAAATGAGACGGATTAAACGAAAACGATGAAGCAACATAGTTTCTGGATTGCTAGGCTACTGGAAGTTTTAATTCAGAGAGCAAAGCATGTGCGTGGGCGCACAACATTAACGAGCATGTCACGCCGTGCGAAACTTGTCTGTAATGTAACTTTCGTTCCTAGTCGATGGGCCATTAGATGGAGATTACGAAGAAAACTTGAAAAGAATTGCTAGCCTGTACGCATCGAGTTTCTCTCGCCCCTCACGTCAGATAAAAAAAAAACATAAATCAGCAGTAGTCGTGCTCGTGTTCCCTTTTCCTGCCGGTTGTGAGGAATCTGTGATTGATTGACGGTCATCTGATTGAGAAGCACGGTAGTTGATTGAAAAGGACCCATCCACATGCGCTGCACGTGTTTTGTCTATCGTTCATCAGCTTGAATCTGTCTGGCGAGCGATGAGCTCAAGGCAATCAGGGGTTTGCCCATGTAGTCTCTCTCTTGCGAGATGCTATGTGACTATTTACATCTGAGTGTCCGTATCAGGACCTGATTCGTAGCCAGGCCTAGTCATGACATCCAACTTTTGCCAACCGCTAGGGAAACCCACCTCCTCTCCTCGGGCCAGAAAAGGCCTACCGCCAGACGAAAAGTCTCCTCACAAGTCGGGAAATAGTCACCTCACCGCAGATGCATGATCATGACGTCCGGCTCCTCGACGGCCTGCCTGACCACGTCCGCGGCCCGGGCCATCGTGGCCCCGTCCACGATGCGGTGATCCGCGCTCCAGCTGAAGTTGCAGACCTGCTTCTTGACCACGTTGTCGTGCTCGTCGAACGCGGGGACCGTGCGCATGCGGCCCATGCCCAGGATCGCCACCTCCTTGTCCACGATGACGGGCGAGAGGTACGTGCCGCCAATGTTGCCAATGTTGGACACGGTGATGGTGCCGCCCGTCAGGTCTGCGGGGGACAGCTTGCCCGCGGCGGCCTTGGCCTGGAGGCGGACCAGCTCGGCCGCGATCGAGAGCACATTGAGCGAGGCGACGTCCTTGATCACGGGGACCAGCAGGCCCGAGGGCGTGTCCATGGCCACGCCGATGTTGTGCTGCGAGCGGTGCACCAGGGTTGGTTTGGAGGACGAGGACGGGTCGGAGCCGCCGACATCGACCCGCGCGTTGAGGATCGGGTACTTGAACAGCGCGAGGGAGACGGCCTTGATGACAAAGGGCAGGTACGAGAGCTTGGAGACCTCGTTCTCCCCCAGCGCAGAAGTCGCGAGCACCTTGTTGAGCCGCCGGCGCAGCTCGTGCAGCGACGAGAAGTCGACCTCGTCCGTGTACAGGAAGTGCGGGATCGTCAGGGAGCGCGTCATGGCCTTGAACATCTGCGTCTGGATGTTGGTCAGGGCCACGGGGGTCTCGACTTGTTCGGTGGTGCTGGCTGGGGGTGCTCGCGAGGATGAAGAGGATGCTGCTGATGGGGCCTGGTTGCTGCTGCTACTACTGCCCTCCTCGAGGAATTTATATATGTCCTCCTTGAGCACCCTGCCGTCCTTGCCCGTGCCATCTACCACCGCGATGTCGATCTCGTGCTGCTTGAGGAGATGCCGTACGGCGGGCGTGGCCAGGTGTGCGGATTTGCCCTTTGGCTTTGATGACGGCGGCGGCGTCGGACCTGAGCTGCTGCTGCTCTCTGTGGGTGCTGGCTCTGTAGGGGTTTGCTCTGCGACTGCATCTGTGCTCTGTGCCTGTTTTTCTGGCACGGCTCCTGACGATGACGCTTCCGCCGGAGCTGGCGCGTCACCCGTGAGGGCATCGAGGTCCTCCTTCTTGACGTCGCCCTGGATATCAATGTCGACAAAGGGCTTTCCGACCTTTGCCATCTCGCCGGCCTCGTAGTAGAGCTTCTTGACGACGCCCGAGAAGCGGCTCGTGATCTCGACCGACGCCTTGTCGCTCTGCACCTCGCACAGCGGTGAGAACTCCTCGACTCGCGCCTCGGGCTCGACGAACCACTGAATGACCTCGCATTCAACGATACCTGGTAGACCACGGAACAGCGGCTCTGGTCAGCTTGTCGCCACGGCCGATCAAACAAACAGGACTTTGGACTCCCCCCCGAGACTCACCCTCGCCTATATCTGCGAGCAGGACCGGCTTGACCACCTGCATCCGTGCCGTCGAGCGGAAACCTCTGGACATGTAGAGGGCGGCGCTGTGCGTGGTAGGGTCGGCCCTGCGGCTCACAGCGTGGCATGTCCGCCATTGCCAACGGAGGGCGCGAGAGCTGCGCTGGAGAAACATGTTGTCGAGTCCCCGCGGTGTGGTGCTTGGCGATTGAGCTTCTGGAGATTACTGGGACTGATGTATATGCTCGGGCAAATGTCACACGACCGTGGGAAGAAAGTCGAGGAAAAACACAGGGCCATTCCGGCCGTTGCAGGCCAAGGGCAGCCGCGGGCGGCGGCTTAACATTGTCGAGAATCCCCCGCCTACGCCGCTGGTATCCGACGAATCTGGGGTACGCCGGTGGCAGCCGACCTCCGTGGGCCGATGTACCGCTCAGGGCACAGCACTATGGCGCTGTACTTGTGCCCGGCCGCAGCTCCACCGGACCAAAAACCTGGGGAAAGTGATTCGCTCTGGGGACACCCAACACTGCCTCCACTCGGCGAGCTCTGGCTGGAACAAGCCCGCCCTCCAGCGACCAAAGGTGGGCGGATAGCGCGATAGCACTTTGCGACTCCCAAAAAAAGGCGGCCCGCCGTAATTGTCAGTCACCAAACCTGTCGTCATTCTCTCCCACCCGCCCACCGCGAACAGCAAGCCGGCAGCACCACCCCTCAGACATGTCTTTTGCGCGGTCCAGTCGATCACTGGTCTGCCTCGGCTGCCAATGGCGGACATTCATGTCCTCCACCAGGCTCTTGGCCGAGCCCGCCAGGAAGTCCGCCGCTGGCGCCGCTGCAGCACCAGCAGCCACCCGCACGGCCGGCAACATCACGACAGAGAGATCGGCCAGCGCGACAACGGACAAGCCGCCGAAAACCACACCAGACAGCGCCGCCGCCGCCGCCGCCGCAGCGCCCGGGACTTCCTCATTACAACGCCCGCCACGGCCCATCGCCCCCGCCACGTTTGAAGACGCGCCGCGATCGTACGGAAAGCGAGTCGAGACTTTCGAGCCCAAGCCCTTGCCCCGGCCGATCGGCTTGCCCTACCCGCCGGTGCCGGGCGAGAACACGGGCATCGACAACCGGTCCCTCAAGGAGCGCCGCGACGACTTTGTCGACTACGACAAGCATCTGCAGCGGCGGCAGGAACTGTGAGTCCCCCTTTTTCTTTCAGAACGAGAGTTCTGCCGCCCTTGGTTACACAACCAAAGGGAAAAAACACACACACACACACACACACAAAAAAGGCACGTAGATTGCTACTGCAAACAAAGCTGACAATGAGATGCTACGGACAGGAAGAGCAAAATGGCCCGCCCTTACTTCCGCGACTGGGGCAACCTGCAGTTCAGCAAGGGCAAGACCTTCATCGCCCCGCCCCGCCCGTTCCGCGCCGACGTGTCGCTCTTCTTCCCCAACCTGTACGGCGAGACCCTGCTCAAGACGGACCGCCGGCCGCGCGACACCACCCCTTGCCTAGAGGGCAAGGTCTCGGTCGTGAGCGTGTACAGCGGCGTCTGGGGCGAGACGCAGGCCCGGTCGTTCACGGGTGCCAAGGAGAACCCGGCGCTGGCCAAGATCCTCCTCGCGGAGAACAGCAGCAACAAAAGTAATGCTGCCGCGGCCGCCGGTGGTAGCGATAGCGGTAGTGGTGGTAGTAATACCCTGCAGCTCGTCAACATCAACATCGAGGAGGACACGCTCAAGTACTGGCTCATCCGGCTCTTCATGTCCGGCCTGCGCTCCCGCATCCCGCAGGCAGACTGGGACAAGTACTTTGTCGTGCGGAGAGGGATCACCGACGAGATCCGCGAGAGCCTGGGCCTGCTCAACAGCAAGGTCGGCTACGTGTACCTCGTGGACCGCGAGTGCCGGATCCGCTGGGCGGGCAGCGCCGACGCCGAGGAGCACGAGCGCGAGGGCCTGGCCAGGAGCGTGCAGCGGCTACTGGAGGAGGCGGGCAAGGCATAATCGTCGTCGTCGCTGTCGCCGCCGTCATGATTCGCTTCCTTTCTCCGAAACTGCCAGGGGGAAACGGATGTATGTGTCAAGAGCAATTATCATGACTTGAACCGATTCAAGGCTTGCTGCTTCGAGATCTACCTTTGTATAACAGACTTGTAATAATACGTACTTATAGACGCCATGATAGATCACTGTATACCACATCGTGTCAAAATAGCCCCTAAAGCTCCTATAAATGTCCGGATTCGAAATACACCAGTGTCATGGCGTTACATTATAAAGTTGTCAAGTACGTGATTTGCTTTAACCAAAACATGCAGAATGCCCAGCCAGAAAAACGCCAAATATCCCAATGGTTCTGCTCCCAGCCTGCAGCCTGAGGAGCGGAGTGCCATAGACGCTGAGACTACCAGAGAGAAAGACACCTGCTAATGACTTTGCGATGACTGTCGCTGCTGTATTCGTGCGGCCTGAACCGGCGTAGTCGGCCTCCTCGGCTTTTTCACTAGAAGGCGTGCTCTTTGTCTGCCTGTCTGTCCGTCTGTGGCACATGGGCTAAGAATCGGTCATGCTGCCACAGCCTGGCCCGTTTGCCCACCTTGCAGTCCCACCACCGATGCCTCCCCCTTCCTCACATGAAGAAGAAGAATATGATGAAGCAGAAAGCAATGAACCCGCCCATGATGATGCCGTCCCTCCGCTTCCGGGCCGAGATCTTGCCAATCAGGGTGTTCAGGCCGGGCACCTGGCTCGCGGCGAGGGTGATGCGGCGGTTGATGCTGGCCAGCGTCTCGCGCTGCAGGGCGAAGCTCTCGTTGGTCACGTACGCCTGGCTCAGCACGCTGTCGACCATGTTGTGGCTGTTGTCGATGCGGTTGCGCTCCTCGAGCATGTACTCGGCCTCGGCGGCCTCGGGGTTCTGCGCGCGGTACGTGTTGATGTCGTCGTGCACGTTGTGCAGCAGGTTCGCCCGGTTGCGCGCGTCGGCCAGGTTCGAGCGCAGCCGGATCAAGTCCCGCCGGTGCTCTGCGAGCTTCTCGCGCAGCAGGGACAGGTTGTTTTGCTTGAGCGCCGACGAAGTCAGGGACGCTTCCGAGTCGAGCAGCCGGCCGAGCTGGTTTACTACGTTGTCACGCTGCGCGAGGCACAAATCGTGGTTCCGTTGTTAGCTCTTGAGTGTCCTCTCTTTGCTGGCAGATGTGGCCGGTCGGTCGTGCTGGTGTGGGTTTCCTCGACTACCTTTTCTAAGATCTCCTCCAGTTTTGTCTCGGTCTCTTGCTCTTCCCGCGTCGGCTTGGGTGGTATATTCGACACGGTCGCGTATTGTGAATATGTGTGGAACAGAGTCTCGGTCTGTAAAGGGGACACCGCAAGAGAAGAAGTGCATTGTTTAGCATTCGGCCATCGTCTGTGCTAAGCGAGCAAGCTGGAGCCTTTATGAAGGGCGCCATGTGTGCTCACCTGAGACTCAAGACTGCGCGCCTGCTGCCGTAGCTGGGCCCAGCCCTGGTTGCCCGTTGCCGTCGCCATCTGCGGCGATTCTCGGAGCTGGTGACGCCGTGGTAGCAGTGTGCGAACAGCTGTTCCGGTCAGGTCCTTCGTGGGAGTCGAACTCCTGTAGAGCTGGCCTGATCTGGTCAGGAGGCGGTCGGTCGTGGGCCGGCTACAGAGAGCAGGGAGGAGTCTTGTGAGGAGGTTATCGCAGACGAAGGCGTGCAGTGTGGTGGTGGTCGCCGTGCCAGTCGTATGGGAACTGTCCTGTCGCTTCCAAAGGTTGGTGATGATGTGAGGCGGACGGTTCTAGGCAAGGGAGGCAGGTGCCTGTGGGGATTGTAGCTCGAACTCGTTCAGGCGGCGCCGGCGGCTGCTTGTGGAGAGACGCTGCGCGGGACCCCTGCAGGGCTTCCGAGACGTCACAGGCCGACGGGCAGGGATTGCGCGGCAGCTGGATGTCACTACGCTTGGCACGCTGCCAGGTAACTTATACAAGTAGCCCATCTGCTTAATTACATGCAGCTTGAGTTGAGTTCGTGGGCTGCAGACCTGCAATTGTGCACATATACTAACTACGGCGCTCAGTTTCATCCACCGCAATACTGATCACTCAGGTTGGTGGTGACTGCTGTGTTTACTGCACGCAACATTTGAGAAATATATCGGCTTCTTCGTAAAATAATTTGCGCAACGATCTTGGAAATCTGTGTGTGTGTAGATTTATGTACTAAAACTGGAAATTGGCGGCACATTGATCACAAGCACAAATGCCATGAAGGGCACAAGTTCATGGAGCTAGTCTCAGCCCGTGGCCTTTGCCCAAGCTCTCCATGTCCGCAATATTGATAATCCCAAAACTCCAATGAGCCCCAGAAAAGAAGTAGCCCGATCCATCATGTATTACACCATAAAAGCATCCTGAAATCCTGCGCATATCCTAAGAAGAGTTCAATTCGTGAAGGTAGCGGCCTATTGTAGCCCCCCCCCCCCCCCCCCCCCCCAAAGGGTTGAGTGGCGTCTAGTGATTGATTCGACGTCTCGACGAGACTAAGGTCCACTCCTAGATCTGAATGACAACAGCCTGGGCTGGCGCACCATCACCCCAGATCCCAACCACAGCCATCGCAAAGCCGACGCCCGAAATGATGGTCTGGAGCAGCTGCGTGTTGACAAAGGCCTGGACCTCGGCACGCACCTCCTCACCATTGACGTCGTCCTCCAAGTCCTCGCCGCTGATGCTGGCGCTGCCCTCGTCGCTGTGGGCATCAGAGCCCAGCATCTCGTAGCTCTGCTCCATACGCCGTGCGGCTGCCTTGTCCTTGCGCAGCTGGGCGGCGGCAGCTCTCCTCTGTGCAGCGGCGTTGCTGGACGACGGCGAACCCAGCAGCATCGGCGCGGCAAAGTCGGCGATGCGGGCGCCGAGGCAGAAGAAGGAGGTGTACAGGAGATAGGGATGCCTGAAGCCGCGAGGCGAGAGCCCAAAGGCGAGGAGGAAAGCGGAGCAGGAGACAGTGGTGAGGATGTTGAGGTTGGCCGAGGCAGTAGACGAGAGCGAGCGCAAGGCCTTTGCGGCCGACGAGGCGGAGGGAAGCTCGAGGAGGGACGGAATGGTGAGGGTGGTAAGCGTGTAAGAGGCGCCCTGTGATATCATGCATATGTGGATTAGCGATGGTGGTGCCCGGGTTGATGCTGGGCTGGGGGATGAACTGTGATGGCGCGTACCGTCATCAGACCGAGGGTGACGGTGCCCACGAACTTGCAGATGGAGACCTTGCGGGACGACATGGCTGCTGAGGATGGCGACGATGATGGGCGAGAATGTCTGCCACGAGCACGAGAAGCAGTAGTAGTTGGTGCTGTCGCTGAGTCGTGTGAGGTGAAGTCACGCTGCCGGTTAGGCAGATGACTGGGAGGACAGGGAGCTGTTGGGGATGGATGGGCGCGAGCTGGAGGTGGCGTGCGGCGGGGTCAGGCTTGCTCGGGCGACCGGGGCCGGGCTAGTTGGAGGTACTGGACAGTACTTAAGGTACCGTCGACGTCAGGCATCTGCGAGACGAGGTACCTTGGGCGTTCTCCAGCCGGCCAGCGATTTGCTTGCTTGCCTGCCTCGTTTTGTTTGTTCATTCAATGTTGCATTATTACATGTCGCGGGTACCCGTGCACGCTGCTTGTTGTGTCCACGGATGTCATGACCACACATTCATGTATCCATGGATGCACTTTGTGAGGGAGGGAGGACCAACTTGATGATGACGCATCGCCGCAAACCAGCACTGCTTGCTAGCGTTCCAGCAGCGAGCACAAGCACGACTGACTGACTGACTCAATTTAGCCTTTGAGCAGCCGCTTTGACGCCAGCAACCCACACCTTGTCACTTCCGCCCAATCCCTGCCATCAGAGATCTGATCGATGCCGCTAGGTACCACAATGGCGCCCTCGCGAAACCTGGAGCAGTGGACCATATCTGAGCCGAGCAAGAATCCATACTTATACAAGCAGGCATATTGCATCTGTCTTGGTGCGGCATCTCACGACGAGGAGGCGCTCGCCTGCGACGCTGCTGACCCTGCCACGTTGAAATGTGTGTGCGCCCTGACTCTGTGCCAGGAAGTACCTTGGCTGGAGTATGTGTACTTTAGGCGCCCGCGTACTGTGACACACGCCATAGTTGGCACGTCCAAACGGCATTTTGGTGTCAATATTTTCTCACGACTCCTGCAGCCAATTGCAGTTCTCTGGGCTTCACGATACACAAGCACGGCAATTCGGCTGGCTGGCGGCACCTTTTTTTTTTTCTTTCTCAGAGTTTGTGGTGCTATGTGTTTTGAAAATTATCATGACAGCCACGGCTTGAATGTCTCCCCAAGGAAGCCATTGTGGTCTGATGTAAGCATGCATCTTGTGGAACACCACACGCGTAAAATAGGCATCATACTTCTCCCCGACTATCCTGAGCCCGTGCACGGGAGTCGCCGACAAGTTGCATCCCAATTGTCTCGTTCCGCATCGCTCCCTCGCAGACAGGCACTGCGGCGCCAATTCCGCAGAGTGTGCAAGTGTGGATCTCGACCCCAACCCCAGACTTGACCCAAGGCTGACGAACGACCCCTGCCAGCCCCAGAGCCGAGGCTTCTGCTTCTGCTGCTCCTCCCCATCCTCTCGCACTCGCTCTGCCTGCCCCAAGGCGAAGCCCACTTCTCGGCACTTCCTAAGCATCAAGACTTCCCCCGTCTCTTTCCTCGCAGAACATTCCTTCCCACCACACCGCGGGACACAAGAAGCTCAACCTGCTGTGCTACACATCACCAAGGCGGCCAACTCCCCATCGGCAACTTATCGCTGTCTCAGCCCCATAGCGCCGCGTATAACGACGTCACCATGCCTGTCCCCAGGTCCGAATACCTCAGCAGCACCTGGAAGGATGGCATCTTTGGTAAACAACGAGTCACTCTCCCTACGACACCGCGAGAACACCATGACTGACACGCAGGCCCACCCTCTCGACAAACAGCTGGCCGAGTCGCCTTTGTGACTGGCGGCGCCGGCTCCATCTGCTCCGCCCAGACCCGCGCGCTCGTCGCCCTCGGCGCCAACGCCGCCATCATCGGCCGCAACGTCGAAAAGACGGAGCGCGTCGCCGCCGACATTGCCACGGCCCGCTCGGGCGCAAAGGTCATTGGCATCGGCGGCTGCGACGTTCGCGATGTACGTCCTTCTGCCTTGTTTGGATAGATGGAGACAAAAGTCTTCCGAGGTTTTCGAGTCTTTTTCGGCTGACGTGTGATGCTCATTCTCCCCCACCACAGCCTCAAGCTCTCGTCGACGCAGCCAAGCGATGCGCTGATGAGCTCGGTGGCATCGACTTTGTCATGTAAGCTCATCCAACCCGACTGCCACTCTCCCTTTCTCTCGGCGCGCTCGCAGCTGACAAAAGCTCTACCTCACAGCGCCGGCGCAGCAGGAAACTTTGTCGCCCCGATCGCCGGCCTCTCCTCCAACGCCTTCCGCACCGTCATGGAGATCGACGTGATGGGCACCTACAACACCGTCAAGGCCACGATCCCGTACCTCGTCGAGTCCGCGAAGCGCAACCCGAACCCCTCCACCGACGGCCTGACCGGAGGCCGGATAATCGCCGTCTCCGCGGCGTTCCACTACACGGGCTCGCCCATGCAGGCGCACGTCATGGCCGCCAAGTCGAGCGTGGACAACATCATGGTCTCCGTGGCCCTCGAGTACGGGCCCTTTGGCGTGACGGCCAATGTCGTCACACCCGGCGGCATCGAGGGAACAGAGGGCATGGAGAGGCTGGCCAGCAGCAAGATCAGCTCCAAGGAAATGGGCCGCGCGATCCCCTCGGGGCGCATGGGCACGGTCAGGGACATTGCGGATGCGACGGTGTACCTGTTCAGCGACGCGGGCAACTACGTCAATGGCAATATCCTCGTCGTCGACGGCGCGGGCTGGCGGGCCAGCCACTCCGGGGTCGGGCTGGATGTCGGCATGAAGTATCCGGATTACCTCCTCGACGGCAAGTTCTCGCCGCACGTCAAGACTGGGCGCAAGGAGAAGCCGAAGCTATAGAGCGGGGTGGCACGGGGAGCGGGAAATGTTAAGAGTTGAGAGAAGCTTGCATAATCATTCGCACGGAAGCATGCTGGATTGTTTATTATTGACATTTCCAAATATACATATACTAGACAAGCGACATCTGTATTCCCGTGGTCCGAACGCCTCGCTGAAATGGCACTAGAGGATGATGAAAACCGACAAAACAGGCAGTTTTCCATATTCGATAAAACCCGAATAAGAAGACGACGATGATGGCAGGGTAGCGTAGATCATCTAGAACGTGGCGTCGTCGGTGGGTATGGCGCAATGTTCGGCTGACCCTGACTGTGCGCTCCAGCGATCGGTGACAACGGTGATGGCTGTGCCCAATCTTGCGTATCGATGCCCATTCGCTGGTTGCCTGCGGCCGACGGCTGAGCTGTCTCAGCGTAAGGGGGAACCCGGACCGCATAGGTGTCGCTGGACCCGGTGTAGTGGGCTGGGGGAGCTGTTGCTGCTACAGGCGGAGCGGACACTGCAGATACTTGTGGCACATATTCCCCTGATCCGGGCGTGGTCCATGGGGCGGCATAGTACTGCGCCTCAGCCGCCCTGGACGAATTGTCCTGAACCCACGGGGGTTGATTTGCAGCCAGATCGTTGTGATACGGACTGGTGTAAGTGGCAGAGGTCGGCTCGCGCTCGTTCTGCCGATCCATAAAAGGCACCGATGTCTGCTCCCGGTGGCTGTCTGCAACATATTCGAAGGGGACCGATGTTTGAGGGGCGTATCGCATGTTCTCATGCATCGGCACTGATGTGGGCACTGGCAAATCGTCGTTGAGATGCTGCAGAGATATGGACGCAGGGTTCGTCCCGCCGATCGCAAGAGGCAGGTAGTCACTGCCGGTGGTCCAAGTCGCATTCAGTTTACTCTTCTTGCTAGACTTTTTCTTTCTGGGCCAGACTGAGGACACGAACGATGAGGACGAAGGGGATAAAGTTGAAATCGCTGGCATCGGAGAGTGCCGCCAACGGTGCAGGCCAAACCATATCGTGAAGATTATGATTGTGCTCGGGACTGTAAAGACCCAATAGATCCAGAAGTTGTCTTGTATGACACCGGGCTGGTCCCATTTTAGACTGGGAACTGCCCAGAGCGCGGCAAAGAAGGTACCGGGAAGGAAAAGCATCGTCATGATGGCGATCGTCTTCATGGCGGAGCTGTCCTTTTTGGCGGCTTCTGCGAGCTCTTTGCTGGCTTGTGCCAGCTTGATGCTGATGCGAGCATCCTCGTGTGTCAACAGGGAGGTAATCTGCGGACTTTGTCAGACTCTTAGTCGGGCGCATCTCGGCGCTCATGGTCCTGTTTGTCAAGACTTACCACAGTTGCCTGATTCCGCGAGCGTTCTTGGATGTACAGGATGTATTCTTTGGAGTCTGTCAGACTGCGCTTGATTGAAGGGATACCGCTGGTAAAAGCCTCTAGCTGCTCGAGGAACATGTCCTTGGTATGATCCATGGTGTACGACTCGAGCTTGTCGAGCTTGATGGCCGACATGAGATGAGAGGCTATGCTGAGGCCGATGGCGACATGCCTGGACTGATTGGCGAGGTCGACAAGCACGGAGCCGACCTTCCTGGATGCCTTGGTGAGCTCCTCCATATTCTCTTGCTGCTGCCGTAGCTTGGTTGTGACGGGGTTACCACCGTAGGGCCCGTGACCGGTGGTGTTTTCGAGGGTGCGAACTGCTCTGAGCTGCGAATATGTGACTAGGTCGACCCAGTTGCTGAGCTGCACCAGAGAAACCCAGGACAGGACAAATGGAGTGTGCAACCTGTTGCTCTCCATATTGAGAATGCGTTGAAAGTCTGCAAAGGAGCGACTGCTACCGCTGTCCCTCAGGAGCAGAATTGCCCTGGTGATTCGGGTTCTGGGGTTGAATGCCCACATGAGCGAGTAGAGCACGGTGCCAATATAGTAGCAATGCCTCCGTTGCCAGGACTCGTAGTGCAGCCCATAACGGTTGCTGCGGATGAGATGGAGGAACCGCGGATCGAGCCGGCAGGCGTTGAAGGTTTCCTGGAAAGTGCTCTCGGGCACGCCAATCACCTCGTTGTCGTCACGGGGGATCTTGACAAGGGACAGAGCCGCGCTGACGTCTGGCTCTGTCTCGAGGGCGCTCAGGCTCGAGATGGCGTTCCAGGGAAGCTGGTCGGTGACTGACCAGCCACGCTCGCGGGTGGCGTTGTTGTAGTTGCGGACAGAGATGCACTGGAGCGTCTTGATGTCGGGAGTATCGTCGGCGAACTTGTCGCTGGGCAGCCTCGCGAGCTGGCGGAGAGTGTCCATGCTGCCGGTGTGCGAGTTGCTGGTCCCGTGATGGAGAGGTACCCTTCCTTTCAACAAAGTTATTGTGTAGGTGGCCAAGAGGCAACGACGCGTGGGCGTTGCTCGTAACTACGTCCCAAGATGAGGGGAGCCCCGACAGCAGATGACGGAGGCAGCATTGTTTGCTCGCAAGGGACTCATGGAGGCAGGCAAGCACCATGGTTATAACGTGCGGGATAGGCTGGGGCCGATTGTTAAGCCCAGCTGAAGTCGCAACGAGACGCTTATGCACGTCGTCGGGCTGGAGAGGCATGGGTACGATGCCCGGGGGCCTGGCAAGCTGCTTGTCGTCCTGTCATCCCTGCAGTTCTTTCCGAGTCGACAGGCTCAGACCCGGGTGATTTACCCACTTGGGCAAAGGCTTGTCTCTGGATGCCAGAGACAAGGCTCGGTGCAGCACAGGGCGGCTGTGACTGGGGTGATCAAAGACGCGCTCAGCCTCCTTCGCGTCTGGCGCATGTTCCTTGGTTGTAATTGGGGAAGAGAGCCGGTCACGAAAAGGACAAAGCAGCCAACACCGGACTACACAAATGTTAAAATGTCCTTTGACGCGGCAGTGGCGCAGCTGCTAGTACGGTAAGAGGAAGGAGCAGCCCTCCCTCGACGCCCCGCCCCCAGTTCCACGCGCGCCAACGCTCGCAAGCGTTATCAATTGTTCGAATAAGCCCCGGCAAGGTGGCGGAGCCGGCCGGCCCCCGCAGCGGCTGGTCCCTTTTCCCGCTATTTTTAGCCCAACATACTTACCCAGTCGACCCCATCGCCTCTTGGTGCTCGCAGGCATCATTTTACTTTTCTGATGCTGGCCATAGACTGTGTTGGCGAGATTTCAAATCTTGATGCCGCCGACACTAGCGCGTGCAGAACAGCAAGGAGTGGTGTACAAACCAACATTGTCCCCCATGCTGTCCCCGTCCTTGCACCTGGCGCTTAGGCAGGATCTTTTACGGCTCTGCGTGTCCTCGTCCGTCCAGTGTCAAGCGCGGATGAAACCCCTAGGAGGCTGAGAGATCGAGGGTTTGATTATTCATGGGAACTCGTTTATAGTTAATAATAAAACAAGTGCTATTTCGGGTGCGGGGCTTCCAGTGGTGCGCACTTTTCTCATGCTCCTAGTGTCCGCACATTGTGCGACTCCATCGTCCCGAGAACCCTTGTTCTGGCGTAATCTCGATAGCTCAGGAACAGTGCCTGCAGGTCATTACTGTATTCGGACGAGGGGAGTGATCATGCTGGAAAGTGGAATCCCATAGCACTCCCCAAGGTCGAACATGCGACTTTTTTCTCATACTTGCTGCGCAAAACGCTAGTGGGCTGACTTTGTCCTAGAGCCATTCTCGAAGGAACGACTGCCCCATCGACAGGCACGCAAGCTTCCAGCTCCCAGGTTCGTGGAGATGGGAACAGCTTGGTATCGAGCCAATTGCCCCCCCCCCCCTTTCTAAGAGTTATATAGTGAAGAGCCTCGCATCAGAATCTCACCACTATTTCATACCGTATCCGTAACAGACACATGCCAAGCAAAATCACCGCCTCCCCAATGAAGACAGATACCTCAGCTCTCTCTCAATCTCCCCAAGCTTCGGACTCACGCTCTCGGCACTCTTGAGCGTCAGCACGGCACCCTTCTGCGCAACGTCAACCAGATCCTCGACCTTGCCACCCTGTGCGAGCCCGGCGACCAGCACGCCGAGGAAAGTGTCCCCCACGCCATTGACGCTGACAACGTCCTGCTCTGCCACCGTCTCCACCGTCGGGAACATGCGCATGTACAGCCCGCCGACCTGCGTGTAGTGCTCGGGGCTGCTGTTGCTTCGGGACAATATGTACGGCTCGTGCGCGGCGTCGAAGAGCCTCGGGTCCTCGCGCGGGAGCACCGAGGCGAGCAGCGCGCCCTTGCTGCCCATCTTGGTGATGATGGTCGGGATGTACGGCAGCAGGCGGACAATCTGCTGCGGGATGCCCGTGTCCGTGATCTCGGCAGACGTCAGGGCGACAAACTTGTCCCGCGCCCCCTGCAGGCCAAAGGCATCTAGCACGTCCCACCACTTTTGCGACTCAAAGTAGTCATTGGCCTGGGCGGCGTCGTGCATCGCCTTGAGCTCGTACTGATTTGGCGAGGCTAGGTGGACGCTTGCGTTGGGGAAGACGCGGAGCGGCGCGAGCGATTTCGTGCCGGAGAACAACCGTGTAGACTTTTCGAGGGAAACGGGCTCAAAGGCAACTTGTGCGGTCGTCTTGTTGTCCTTCGCGGCGGTGAGGAAGGAGCGGATGTCGATGTCGGACCAGTTTGCATCGACGACGAGCCATTTCGGTGACTCTGTCGAGATGATCTCGTGCCAGTGGGCCGGGAAGGATTGAGCCGTGAAGATGCCCATGTCTGCCATGGCCATGACGAGGTTCTTGTTGGCATCGTTGACCGCGACGTATTGCGCGGTCCTGTTTCCTGGGTGCTGCTGGCCGTCTAGTCGTCTGACCAAGGAAGTGTCCATACCACATGATTCGAGTGAAGTAAGGACTGTAGAGCCAGCTCTAATATCGACAACAAATCGTGGTCAGACAGAAATATGAACGCAAGGCTCAAAGGGTTGCGGACCAAATCCGCAGCAGGACTTACAAGTCGTCACCGATCAGACTGCAAAGTTTGACTCTGCTTTCACTGTTTGCCCTGTGGGCTGCGAGAGCGACATTGCGCCCGACGCCGCCGATGGACTGGCTGATTTGAGCCGGGTTAGATGTGTGCAAGTTTGGTGCAGGCGAGCTGTCTGCATTCCCACTGGTGTAATCGCAACTCAGATCTACAGCCACTGAACCAGCGACCAGGATATCGGCATGGGCGGGCTTAGGTGATGCCTCTGGTTGGACTGCGGCGGCATTTGGCGGTACTACAGGTCTCTGGCTAGTTGACTTCACCCTGGACGGCACATTCATTAGGCACTGTTTGTACACAAGACTTGAAGACGCAAAATGCTTGATTTGAGGCTCACTGCTTCACAGGTAGTACAATATCTCCGGAGACCATCTGCGAAATAGCGGTGGCAATCTTGGCTGCCCGATCGACGTTGGACTGGACAAGTGCCTTGTTGGCTGGCACGCTGCGGCCATTTGTGAGCTCTTTTATCCTCTTGAGGATGAATGGGGTGTTCTCGTTTCCATGGGCGCCCTGCTCATTCGACTCTCTGACGGCTTGGTCAATGATGCTGTTCATCTCGTCTCTGGGAATGGAGTACTCTTCAGGGATCGGTGAAGCGAAAATAAGCCCCGTCTCAATGCTGAGGCGCTCCTGGGCTAGGATCATGGCGGCAGCTTCCTGTACGTTGTACACGACCGAGGGGCTGTTGATGCCGCTCTCACGCGCCCAGAAAGCGGGAAAGTCAACCTTGGGCGCCCCGTTGTCGGAGAAGGTCGCCACAGGGACGCCCTGGGTTTCAAGATACTCCAGAGTCCTTGGGATATCCAAGAAGCCCTTCGAGCCGCTGCACACGACCGCCACACGAGTCCGACCGAGCTCTGTAAGATCCGCGGACACGTCCATGCTGTTGTGACCGCCTCGGTGCACGCCACCAAGACCACCTGTGCCAAATACCCGGATGCCCGCGAGGCGTGCAAGCAACATGGTGCCAGAAATGGTCGTGCCACCATTCATCTTCTCACCCATGAGACCCTGTTGACTTGGTTAGCCAGCTGCCTCGACCACCAGTTGGTTGGCCCACATCGAGATGGCGCTCACCTTGCCGACCATGAAGGCAACATCCCTGCGGGAGACCTTCTTTGCCGAACCCTGACACATGCGATCGATCTCGTGCGGCAACAGTCCCACAGACGGGACACCGTCGAGAATGCCAACCACGGCGGGGACACCACCGTTGGCCCGGACAATCTCCTCAAGACCCAGGTCCTCGACAGCACCGTGGGTGTAGATGGTGGACTCGAGAGCGACGACAGGCTTGTTGGTGGCAATGGCATCGGTGACTTCTTCAGACACGTAGAGAAGGTCCTTGAGCCCGCCTTGCCATACAGGAGACGAAGGGGTCGAGAACGCCCTCGCTGCCGACAGACGCGCGGCGGTCCTTGTATGGGCGACGCGGCGAGTCAAGGCCACCGAGGCCGACCGCGAGGCAAGTGTCCTGGAGAACATTGTTGCTGTTGCGTTGGTGGTCGGCGGGGAGCCCCGAGTTATGCACGGGCGTCGCAAAGAGTTGCTTCTGGCTCTGCTTTGAAGGCCGCTTTGCAGCAAGCTCTCGAACGGGCAGGCAATGTCCGTGAGATCGCACCAACTTCGACTGATTTGAAGAATTGAAAGGAGGGCAGTGTCGAGGTCGAGCAGGCCGACAGTGGTGGTTGCTACCCGGCGGGGGGAGTTAAAAGGAAGTCGCGGGTGGTTATCGTCGGCAGGGTCCTCCGGTGGCCGATCACGGTGTGCGCCTAGAGTAGCGCGCCTGGTCGCAGTGGGCCGGCCGGCGACCGGCGCTCCGCTCCGTTCAGCTCAGGAACCATACGAGACTACTGCTCAGATTGAGGTGGAGAGCGGAGGACAGCCCGGTCGACAGGTCGAGATAGGGAGGCGTAGCGCCATCGTTGGAAATGTTCTTGGCGTGGTCCAGGAAGAAGAGAGAGAGCGCTGGCTTTGTGCTGCCAGTGTCTGAGAGCAGGAGTGACCACAATGGATAGAGGCCAGGGAGTTCTCCACAGACAGGGCTCCAACACTCAGCCGCCCATCTCCATCTACATGGCCCAGCTCACGTCGATGGGTCGAGCAAGTCTCTTTAACAAGTCGTCTGCAATTCGCCTGACAAAGGGCCTCCCCATCATGTTGTCAATTCTTTATGGAGATGAATGCCCCTGCTCGGCAGAAACCGAAGGCACGAGGTCCAATCTCTCGTCGGCGTCCCGTCTTTCCGTGACCCTGGTCTGACGTCGACAATCCGGTTTCATGAACCTGGTCTTGCACACAAGCCTGCCCTCCGTATCCATGCGACCACCGCAACGGACCCCAAGTGCTCATGTATAGACCGTCCCATCCCATCCTACTCGGCCGACAATCATTCAGTGCCTGCTCGTGATTGTCTGCTTGTGCTCGAGTATGCGCTGGAGAACACCAGGTGCCGCCATTCCATAAGGTGATTTCGACATGCTGGTCACTATGTCTCCCTGGTTCGCTGCTGCGCTGGTCGCAGTGGCCTCGCTGTCTGGGCTGGCAACCGCCCAGGAGTTCACCATCGCCAACGGGCAGATCTTCACACCAGGTCCTGCCGTGCTCGATGCGCCGCAGCCCGGAACGCCTCTCGGCGGACGTAAGTACTATACTTTGCTTGTTACCCGACTCTCCCTGGGCCACACCCGTGGTCTCCTCAGCCTGAGGCACAGTCACTGACGGCGACCTTGCAGAGCTCCTCGAGGTCGCTCTTGACGTCTCCGCCAACGGCAGGCTGCAGCTACCGCCGTACCCAGCCGATACGCCCAGCCGCATCCACAACATCACCATCTTTCTGCAGAGCTACGTTACAGGTCGCAACTTCACCATCACCAATGCCACGGCCTCGGCCGGCAATGCGAGCCTGGGAGACATCATGCTCTCCGAGCCCGGCAGCACCGTCAAGCACGTCAAGTGGATCTGGCCAGACTGCCTGATGGGCAACGGGCCGCCAGCGACGGCTGAAAGTGATCGTGGTCGATACAACGTAGGTCAATCATCATGTTGCGTGTTTCGAGATAGTCTCTCTTCTCCTAGGGGTTGTTGGGGCAGCCAGGAGAGCAACTACTAACGACCCCGCGACAGATCTCTATCCGCCAGAACTTCCTGCTCAATGGCGAGTCACACTACACCATATTCAACGTGCCCATCTCCGTCACCAACAGCATCCAGAGCATCGCCGGCAGCAGCTCAGACTTTGGCGGAGGAGAGGGTCAAGGGGGCCGACCGTCTTGTGATCTTCTCAACAACCCCCTGGCACCATTTGAGGAAGCCGAGGAGGCTTTCTTGACGAGCACCAGAACCGTAAGGGTGCTGTTCGCACCGGGGGATGCGATAACAGTTCAACAGACATTCGCCGTGCCGGGGGCGGGTGCTGGTGCAACGGCATGGCCGTTCAGGTGGTTGACAGCTTTCCTGTCCCTGCTTGTGTTGAGTATATTGTCTTAGTACTCGTTAATTTGGAGCATGACTATTACTTTCCTCGAGAATGTGCATGATATTCGAGAGAGATGGACAGAGGCCATAAATGTGCCTGCGAACCACTTTCGGTGGCACTGACTAGAATCTTGCAGGCCTTGTTCGCAGGAGATGCGGCACACCCGGATTCATCCTGTTCTCCAACAATTTGACTTGCCCGTCTCGAGGATTTGGGCATTCGCAATACATGGATACGTCACATATACGACGATCCCCGCGTTTAACACACATCCCTGCTCACCCATTCGACACAACTATCTCCACGCTAGCACAACGTTTTGGGTCTGGCAGCACCGACGCACCAGCCCTAGAACTGGCTTCTACTATGGTATAACAATACCCAAAATCTGGTCTCGCAAGCTGTATATTTTCCTTGCATTTGTCGAACTGGGGCATCTTGCAGAACCAATACTCTGCCATGGAGTAGCAAATGGCCCATTTGAGGATTTATTAGAGTCCCTGACTACACTAAGTAAGCAACTGGTGTTTCCGTGGAGCATATAGTTGGTGAGTCGGTGCGCACCCCACACCCGTTCATTACTATCCTTTTGCAAGCGTGCGGTACAACCCGCAATTATATAAGTAGCTCGCTGTGTCCTCATTCTGCAACTCTGCGGGCGTTGTTTCCCTACTTGTTCACAAATGCTTTGAGGCGCGACCTGCCCAGCTGATCACCGAGACCGTCTCAAACTTGTATTTCTATCAACTCTGAGGTTGCCAGGCAGGTGCTCTTTGACTCAACCCGTCAGCTCGTCAGGGGGGAACATCATTTCATACCCTCAATTGACGATAGCTCCCTCGCAGTTGCTTCGCTTCCCTCCCTCCCCGCAATGGTCACCAAAGCCTTGCAGAGAGACTAAATATGCCCACGCACAAACGCTGGCTCCCCCGTGAAGGGTTCTACGCGGACGTCCTGTTTCAGCTCATTGGAAGGACCGCGTTCAACCCCGCGCTGCTGGTCCCGCTGTTTCTACTCACGCGACTGACGGAGCGAGGCAAGGCTCTGGCGCTGCTGCACCCTCTGGCTGCTTCGCGGCTGGGCACACTCACATGGATAGCTGTGGCCCGTTTGGCCAACGCATGGCTCTCGGACCGGGTGATCAACAATGGCCTAAGCGATAGGTACGATTGGCCAAGGGAGATTGCTGTGGTGACAGGCGGAGCTGGCGGGATTGGCGGGCATCTGGTCAGGCTGCTGGAAGAGAAGGGCATGAAGGTGATTGTGCTGGACATCTTGCCTATGACTTACAAGACTGGTAAGGTCTCCCAGAGACAAGCACAAGCTCCTGTAAAAACGAGCTGTACTCCAACACCACTGACACGTCTTGACGAAATCGCCCAGGCCCAAATGTCCACTACTACCAAGTCGACCTCACTAAGTCCGCCAAAGTCGCCGCAGTCGCTACTCGGGTTCGCGAGGAGATCGGCTCACCCACAATTCTGATCAACAACGCGGGGGTCCTCCGGGGTAAGGCGATCCTCGATACGTCCGACGAGGACCTGCGCTTCACCTTCGAGGTCAACACGTTTGCGCACTACTACACGGTCCGCGAATTCCTGCCCGCCATGGTCCGCGCGGACCACGGGATGGTCGTCACCGTCGCCAGCGCGGCGAGCTACTTTGGCGCACCGCAGGTCGTCGACTACAGCTCCACCAAGGCGGCGGCGCTGGCCTTCCACGAGGGACTCGCCGCGGAGCTCAAGACGCACTACCGGGCGCCCCGCGTGCGGACCGTGATTGTCCACCCGGGGGCCGTGGACACGGCGCTGTTTGGCGGGCACACGAACCAGACGCCGTTCATGACGCCAACGCTGCACCCGGAGACGGTCGCCGAGGCCATCTACGATCAGGTCATCACGGGCAGGAGCGGGCAGGTGCTGCTCCCAAAGTTCGTCAATGTGCTGCCATGGTTCCGCGCGCTGCCGTCCTGGCTGCAGTATTCTGAGCGGGCCAAGTCGAATGAACTGATGGCCAAGTTTACCGGTCGGGAGGTTGTCGCGGATTTGAAGAAATATTACAAGGAATCGTGATGGGCGTTTATGTCTTTGACGACCACAAGTGGAGAGAAGATATTTTAGGCCAAACTGGAGAACGGAAGCTGCGGTGATGCAGGCATATCTGAGACACCACGACCTCATCTAATCTACTTGAACGGTGCCTGCAATGGAACCAGTAGATATACGCCTGTGGATCATGTACGCTCGAAACTAAGTCGTATCCATGAAGTTGTCGACTGGATGTTTGTTGAGGCTGGAAGCTCTCCACCTAAGGCCTGACATGGAGGGTATCCACTACCTGCAACCAAACCCACTATCCTCAGTGCTGCGAGCAGGGGTCTAGCGCCCGCGTTGGCGTCCTATCGATAGCCAAAAATTTCTGGGAAGCCCGCCGACGGGTCGCTGTTGCTGCCCTCTGGTGCTGTGCTATTATTGTTTGGCCAGGCCTCGGAAGTTTTGTGCAGGCAAGAAAGCTTGCCGCTCGTCACAACAGTTTCCTGCCAGCACACGCGCGCCATCGAGAAAACGAAGTCACGATGCCTCCCACAAAGAAAGGCAAGCCGGTTCCCGAGGAGGACGACGACTTCATGTCGTCCAGCGCCGAGGTGGAGTCTGTCTATGGCAGCGACAACGACAGCGACAACGAGCACTCCCTCCCGGCCCAGAACGACCCGCGCATATTCGACAAGGACTCTGACGAGGAGGAGCTCGAACGTCTTGTCCTCGGCGACACTGCCAACTTCAAGGATGCTCTGTTCAGCGGCGAGGGCATTGACGGTGCCAGCTCGGCACTCGGGGGTGGCAAGGGCCACGCAGAGGGCGAGGACGGTGACAATTCCGACAGCGCCGAAATGGACGATGCGGACCTCTTCACATTCGACGTGGGCGGCTCGAAACCAAGCGGCGGCGATGACGGCGAGGAGGGCGGTCTGCAAATCACAAAGGGATCGGGAATGGGTGCTGGCCTGAGCCACGGTGACCCGCCGGCGTGGGAGGACAGCGACGACGAGCGCTTCACAATCTCGCTCGCAAGCGTGTCGCAACTGCGGAAATTCCGGGTCAGCGAGGCCGAGGACATTGTGAGCGGATCCGAGTACATCAGGCGTCTGCGGACGCAATTCTTGATGCTGAACCCCAAGCCCGATTGGGTGCGGGAGGCGGAGGAGCGGCCCTCGAAACGGCGGAGGAGGTCCTCTGCCGCCGCCAGCTCTGACGACGACGACGAGTACGACTCGGAGGCCAGGGGCAGTGACTCGGACGAGGATATGCGCGCGGGCGATGTGGACGGCGCGGAAGCTCTCCCTCTTGATCGCTTCCTCCGCGATGCCAGGGCCCTTGCTGGCGGCGATGGCCAGAGGTCGAGAAAACTTCGCCCCGAGGTCATTGACATCCAGCGGTCTCGCGACATCCCCGACACGCACAAGGAAGTCGTGACCTCGTTGTCGTTCCACCCAGAATTCCCCGTCCTGCTCTCCTCGAGCACGTCCGCCATTATGCACCTTCACCACATCGCGCCCACCGCCCACCCGACGCCAAACCCGCTCTTGACCTCGGTCCAGATCAAGCAGGTCCCCGTCCAGCACGCCGAGTTTCTGTATCCCGAGGGCGACCGCATCTTCTTCGCGGGCCGCAGGCGATACATTCATTCCTGGGAGCTGTCTACGGGCGCGATACAAAAGACGAACAAGGTGCAGGGCCACCGGCTGGAGCAGAAGACATGGGAGCGCTTCAAGACGAGCCCCTGCGGACGGTATCTGGGCCTGATCGCCTCGACACGCAAGGGCGGCGGTATTATCAACATCCTTAATGTCAACACAATGCAGTGGATCGCGGCCGCGCGGCTGGACAGCAGGGGCGGCATCATTGATTTCTGCTGGTGGAGCAACGGCAACGGCATGACGATTCTCGGCAAGGGGGGACAAGTCGGAGAGTTCAGCATGGCATCGAGGCGGTTCCTGGGTATCTGGAACGACGAGGGCTCCACCGGAGCATCGGCGCTGGCGCTGAGCGGACCAGGTCGCAGCGGGAAGAGCGCGCCAGGGCCCGCGCTGCTGGGCGGCGACAGGTGGGTGGCTGTCGGCTCGACGAGCGGCATCGTCAACATCTACGAGCGCGAGAACCTCATCGCCAAGGACGCCAAGGAGGACGACGAGGACCAGGTCACGCTCAAGGACCGCCCAACGCCCACACGCACATTCGAACAGCTCACGACGCCCTGCACGGTCCTGACGTTCAGTCCCGACGGGCAGCTCCTGGCTCTGGCGAGCAAGCACAAGAAGGACGCCCTGCGGCTCGCGCACCTGCCCAGCTGTACCGTGTACAGGAACTGGCCGACGGAGCAGACGCCCTTGGGTCGGATATCTGCCGTCGCGTTCGGCCGCAAGAGCGACATGCTGGCTGTGGGCAACGACGGAGGCAAGGTCAGGTTATGGGAGATCCGCAACTAGATGAGGGTGGTGTCTTCCAGGAAGTGTGCTTTCCGAGCTTGGACATGACGCGGCATTTTTGATCGAGCGATAGATATCATCATCAGGGTAGAGAGAACAGAAAATGTCGAGTATAATGAGAACGCGATATTATTTCCCGCAATTCTCCCTCGAGTTGAATTGTGGCTCTCACGCAAATGGTCTCGATAGGTTATTGTCAACCTGGAGCTTCTGCCGTGCCTGATGACCCGGCTTTTGACTTTTGTCTTTTTTCATCTTTCTTCGCCTTTTCCCCCTTGCCACGATAAGTAGAATTTGGCATATGCGTTGAAGCTCTCCGGGAAGCGCACAAGCACTTCCCTCCGTTCCCCCCTTTGCTCCTTTGCAAAAGGAGTTCCATCAAATCTCATGACCCCGTCTCTCTGCCCATGCAGTGCCCATGTCATGAGATCGAACTCCCCAGCTCTCCCCCGCTCTTTTCTGGCCGTGCTCACGCCGGCGCGGTGCCCTTCCAGTACTGCGTCGGGACGAACGGCATCTTGGTCACGACGGCAGGCCGCTTCTTCCCCCTGACCGAGACCTCGACCTCGGTGCCGGACTTGTGCAGGCCGTCCTTGATGTAGCCCATGGCGATGTTCTTGCCGAGCGTCGGCGAGGGGCACCCGCTGGTGACGACGCCAATCTTGTTGCCCTGCTTGTCGGTGATCTCGGCGCCCTCGCGCGCGGGGGCGCCCGTGACGACGAGTCCGACCCTCCGCCTCTCGACTCCCTTGCCGCCTTTGCTCTTGAGCACGAGCTGCGGCAGGATCACCTCGGCGCCGTGGAACTTGTCGGTGGCCTCCGGGTCCCGCCGGTCCTTGCCGACGACCCAGCCCAGCGCGCCCTCGACGGGCGTCGTCGTGTCGTCCAGGTCGTGCCCGTACAGGCACATGCCGGCCTCGAGGCGCAGCGAGTCGCGGGCGCCCAGGCCGGCCCACTGGAGCCGCTCCGGGCCCGCGGTCTCGAGGAGCGCCTCGGTCACGGCCACCGTGTCCTCGGGGCTGATGGAGATCTCGAACCCGTCCTCGCCCGTGTAGCCCGCGCGGCTGACGAGCACGGGGCCGGTGCTGCAGCCCTTGATCTTGAGGAACTTGCTCTGGCCGAAGAAGAGCTCGCGCAGGTTCCCATCATCAATGAGGACATCCTGGAGAATCTGCTCGGACATGGGGCCCTGGAGGGCCACGAGGCCCCATCCGTCGAGGACCTCGTGCCTGACCTCGCCAGCGCCCGGGGTTTCGGAGCGGAACTGCTCGAGCTGCTCGCCCAGGTACTTGAGGTCCTTGTCGCGGCAGGCCGCGTTGGTGACGACGTAGAACAGCTCGTCGCCGAGCTTCGTGATGACCGTGTCGTCCACGATGCCCCCCGTGCCGGGCCAGAGGAGCGTGCTCAGGGTGCCCTGGTGGACGGGCAGCGTCTTGAGGGACGCCGGGGTGACGCGCTCGAGGAACCGGACGGCCCCGGGGCCCTCGAAGCGGTGCTGCACCATGTGCCCGACGTCAAAGAGCGAGGCGTTGGTCCGCGTGAAGTGGTGCGAGGCGCTGACGCCCAGGCTCGAGTACTGCACGGGCATCTCGAAGCCGCCAAACGGCACCATCTTGGCCCCGTGCGCGAGGTGCAGGTCGTACAGCGCGGTGCGCTTTAGCGGTCCAGACGACGGCGACGAGGACGAGGCATAGCTACGGCGGCTGCTGGAGAACGGCGGTTGGGTCTTGCCGGCGACGGTGCTCCTGGATTGTGAGGATGTCGTTGACGGTGAAGCTTTTGGGGAGCTCCGAACAGCGGCAGATGACGCAGCTCGGGCGCCGAAGGGAGCAGCCGCGGACTGCTGGAGAGAGTGTATGCGCGTGGGCAGGCGGCCAATGACCCGCTGGAGTCTCATCGTGATGACTGTCAACAACCAATTGGCAGATATCAGATGCAAAGGAATCGATTGTTGGAGGTTGGAAGGTCACGACACAAACGCCGCCTTCTCTGCAAGCAGATAACGGACATGCCGCTTCGGCTACAGAGGGCCCAGCGCTGGGCAACATAATTGGCGGGGGCAGGTTGGCCACATGCAAGTGCCGTGCCCGCGCCGATGGCGGGGCTCTGCTGGGACAGCTCCGAGTCATGTCTTTTCCCAGACAGCCTCGTTGCACAACACATTCATCTTCCGGGCTACGGATAGCTTTGCTGAAACAGACATTAACTGCTTGCTGGGGGAATTGCCCCAAGATGAACCAGCTCAAGTCATTGCTGCAACCCCGTCAATGCACAAGAATGGGGTGGTCCCTGGACGACACGCACATGCTATCAATGTCAGGGGTCCGTCCTATCAAGCAACAATGACAAGACCAATCATAACGAAGAACCCTTTGCAAACACAGAGCACCCAACCTTGGGTTTTTCAACGCCAGGGCTTACGTAACGAACCTGCCACGGGCGAGTTCATATCTCACGGTGTGCTGTTTTCAAGACAGAGTATAGTTTCCAACATATCCATTCTAAGCGCTCGGGTCATACTTCGTGTCTAGGGCACAAACAGATGGAGATACTTCTTTTGATCTGTCCCAGATAACAAGTTGTACAGACTTCATCCCGTGACGCCTCTTCCATTTTGGTTCCAAACTCATGATAGACGTCTTCGTATGCCAGAAGGCCAGGCAGGCGCACCCGATGAGCGAGTGCGTGTTCACAACACGGGCGCAAAGCGGGAGGGCAGCCGATGGGTAGGAGTAGAAAAATGCGTTGTTTATGGACTATATCGATTGCTCCGGAAAATGACAAGCGAAATACAATCGGCCCATGCGAACTGCCGAAGAAACGATGTGAAGCCGAGCCGTGGTAGATGAAGCAGCGCGTCTGGTCCTTTACTGGTGGCCGGCCTTGCGGAGAGTGGTAGCGAGCCACTCGAGACCCTCGTACAGACCGTCACCGGAGGTGGCGCAAGTGGATTGGATGTACTGTCGCGGACGTTAGCAAATCCTTCGAGGAAAAGCGACCGCCCAATGTCTGTCTCAGTGCAGCGCGCATATCATGGAAGAAACTTACCCAGGCACGCTGTCTCAGGCCGTGGAGACCAAGCTTGTCAGTGATCTCGGCAGCGTTCATGGCGTTCTGCGAGGAATTTCAAGTTAGCTTCAGGCCGCAAATAGTACTCGTATCCAAGGATGGTGGAAACGTACAGGCAGATCCTGCTTGTTGGCAAAGACGAGGAGGATGGCATCCCGGAGCTCATCCTCGTTGAGCATGCGCTGCAGCTCTTCGCGGGCCTCGACGATACGGTCGCGATCGTTGCTGTCAACAACGAAGATGATGCCCTGGGTGTTCTGGAAGTAGTGGCGCCACAGAGGACGGATCTTGTCCTGACCACCGACATCCCACACGGTGAACTGGATGTTCTTGTACTCGACGGTCTCGACGTTGAAGCCTGTATGGAGGTAGCGGCTGGGTTAGATATCGATGTTGTGGACATGTTGTGGTTCGTCCAATAAGTTCAGGGGAGCAGGTGTGCGTACCGATGGTGGGGATGGTGGTGACGATCTCACCAAGCTTGAGCTTGTAGAGAATGGTGGTCTTTCCGGCAGCGTCCAAACCGACCATCAGGATTCTCATCTCCTTCTTGCCCCAGAGCTTGTCGAAAATCTTGGAAAATGTGAGACCCATTTTGGCGACCTGCTATCGAAAGACACGGGAGGTGGGTATTAAGGGTGCTCGGTTGAGACTTGAAATCTGGAAAGCGTCGAGTCGGTCAGCGCTGGATCAGGGGAAGAAACTCTTGGAGAGTGTCGCGCCAGGGGTCCGTGATAAGCGAAGGGGAGGTTGGTGGCTGTCCGATGCGTCCAATCCAGTCTCCGTCGTGTCGCAGCATGCTCTTTATGAACTCCCTTCCGACGGCCAAGGACACATGTGCAGGTACCAGTTCCGCCGTGACGGGCCACTCTGGGTAACGTGGATGACGGAATGGACTGCGGAGCCAACGGCGATAGGGGTATGAGGCTGACCAGGACTTGCGACGGACGACCAGATGCCGGCTAGGCTGCGACAAAGAAGTAAAGGCAGCAGCTGCAAGGCGCGCACGTGCAGGACCAGTGCCAGTGCGATGAGACTCCAGAGGAGGCAGCGGCTGGTGGCCAGGACGACACGAAGGCACACGAGGCCGGCGCAAGTGGGAGAGACGGCGAGGCAGCGAACGCGCACGGGGTCAGATCCCACGAGGCCGTGGCAAATGGAGGGCAGGGGCAGTATGTGATGAAAGCAGAGGAAGCCGGGGCACTTACTAGACGGCGGCAATGAGACCTGCTCAAGTGAAGAGAGGACGTGGGATTGATGCCGTGGAGATGTGGATGTGGATGGGGATGATGATGGGGGGTGAGGCAGGCAGGCAGGACGGAGGCAGGAGGAAATAACGAAGCGTTGCAGGCGGAGGGCAGGCTGGCCAGGCTGGGCTGGGCTGGCTGAGCAGAGCGAGTGGGCGGCCGGGCAGGAGTGGCAGGTGGGATGGCCCAGGGTGAGGGCGTGCAAGGTGGGCTCTGCAAAGTGTGGCGTGGGCGGCGAACGGGACAGCAGGGCACGCCTGGCGGTGAGTGAGAGCACCTGGCAGCAGGGATGCCAAATGCCAGATGCCTGTGGCCTGGCGGCGGCGGCTCCCCAGGCCTGGAGGGCACCTGGGCAGGGAGACTGCAAGTGGACGGATGGCTTCACACGACATCATCCTGTCCTGGCAACAGCGTGCCTACAGACTGCAACATCTGCTCTAAGAGCCCCTGTGCAAAGCTTCACTTCTTGTCGCTCATGAGGCCCACCACGGCCTGCGGCTTGGTGCGGCTTTTCCTGCTGCCTGCGTCATCTGGCCAGCTGTTGCTCGAAAAAAGGGGAGCTCGATCGCATCTACCTTGGGGACTGATCTACTTGGTACGTATGTATCTGCCAGGTGTTCACAACGGACATGAGTAAGTAAAGGTAGAGTATCTTTGACCTCGAGCCACATCGGTTCTATCTTGTGGCCTGCTTTCCTGGTGTGCCCCTCCCGGTACACCTCCCGGCAAAGACTGGGACCAACTTCATCAAGCCGTCCAGGCACCTACAGTTACGGCTCCTCATGAGGTGTTGACAAGCAATATTTGATGCACTGCCGCAGAGGACACAATGCTTCATGGGTGTCCCGGCAGTCGACGAGCACAAGAGTGGGCTCCAAACCAGACAGTTGGCCACCACTGGGCCGTCTCATTGGCCAGCCCAGGCGGGCCTTGTGCGAGCCAGCCAGGCACGGGAATTGTGGATGCACGAGATTGTCCAGGATGCGTTGTCGTGATAGGCACAGCATCGCCGCATCCACCACGGGCGTCTCCCGTCCTCGCAGATGTGCATGTCGCAAGAGCTCTCTGGTTGCGTGTGGCTGGAGGTTTCTCGAGAGCTTGGAAAGGGGGTCGGTTTTCGTGTCTAGGGGCCTCCCTCCGTGCCTCTGATGGACTTGACCGGGAACTCTACAATCAGACACATATACCAAGGATGGGAGCCTTCTAAAAACCTCAGGGGGAATTTGCTTTGGGTTCTAAGTCTCAATCGTGTGATTCTCAACGGCTAGCCAAGAAACCCCAGCCGACGTCACCAAAGCGTAGGATAGTGCACCTGGTACGTCAACCATCTCGTGCTGCACCGGCGTCGTTGGACACAATGCAAGCATTGTTTGTGTCTTCCGTTCTTCCCACAAGCTGAACCCCTGGACCTGAGCATCTGGCTTCTCTTGCCTGGGGGGAACAGCGCTAGTACCAAATTGGAGGGCGGATCCACACCCACCTTGGCGCTCGAGGTCCACGGAGATCACAAGTGTCCAACTCTGGGCCACCTGCAACGAACTAAGCACATTGTGAGAGTGACGGGAGTGTCTTGGAAAGCACCCAGCAACCACAACGAGACCACGACAGCCTCTACCAGCCAGCATCTCGACGACAACAAACCACGGCAAGGACAATTGGCCCACCCGCAAAACCAAAACAGCCATGCACGTCCTCAACTCGGCGCTGGCCGTCCTGGCCACGCTGCTCCCCGCCACCATCCTCGCGCACAACATCCAGCTGCCCGCCCACGGCCGCGAGTGCTTCCACGAGGAGCTGCACCGCGACGACAAGATGACCGTCACCTTCCAGGTCGGCGACCGCGAGTTCGGCAGCGCGGGCAACCTCGACATCGACTTCTGGATCACCAACCCGCAGGGCAACTACGAGACCTACCAGAAGGCCGTCTCCAACGGCGACTACTCGTTCGACGCCAAGCAGGACGGCAAGTTTGTCTACTGCTTCGGCAACGAGGGCTGGGGCGCAAACACAAAGGAGGTCTCGTTCAACGTCCACGGCATCGTCTATGTCGCCGAGCACGAGATGGACCGGGACCCGCTCGAGACGGAGGGTAAGTCTCTTGTTCTCTCTCTCTCCCTCACTCGCCATCTACCCATCTATCTCTCCTTTGCAATTTCCGTCTTCTCAGGTGTCTCTCGTCTGGGGCTCCCCTTCTGCTGCTGCCATCGGCGCTTCAATTGTCTGACAAAATTCGCTAGTCCGTCACCTCGCCGAGCTCATCGCCTCCGTCAAGGACGAGCAGTCGTACATTGTCGTCCGCGAGCGCACCCACCGCAACACGGCCGAGAGCACAAACAGCAGAGTCAAGTGGTGGAACATCTTCGTCATCGGCGTCGTCATCGGCGAGTCCCTCTTCCAGGTCTGGTGGCTCCGGAGGTTCTTCGAGGTCAAGCGCGTGTTATAAATTTAAAATTTAAAATGAAAAGGAGAAGGGAAGGGGAAATGCCAAACTAGCTCTCTGTCCTCGGAAAGAGCTGGACGTGCTGCACTTGCGCAAGGAGATATACGCGGCAAGTAACGGGTTCTAGCAGACGATGATGAGCATGGCAATGGGCGTTCGTAGAGAAGCACCGCTCTGATCGAGTCGACTATGCCGCCACGTCCCGGTCATCACTTGTGGCTTGTTCGAAGGGTATCTGGAGTCAGATATACCGGTGCAGGCACAATAAATTCGGTGTGACACCTGCCATTCAACAGAATGACGAATCAAAAGATGACAAAGCTCACCGGACCCGTTTGATGAGCGCATGTTACGATTCATACCATTTCCCCTTGCTTGACGTGATTTCTACCTGCGGTCCGCAAGTCGGGCCATCGAGACTGACTGGTGAGAGGATGGAAATGGCAATCTCCGCCTACAAGATTGCGTCTGCTCCAGGAACAGTCGCATGAAAGAACTGGAGAAGGTCGACACGGAGTACAACATACCAACGGAGCACTGCTTTTATTCATATTCGTTACGGATGTCGCGAGCTATCTTCGTACAAACAAGCTAGTTGCCAACCGCAGAAATGTAGTTCGTCATCGCATGCAACCTCTCAGTTGTGAGCTTGAGCGATACGCGCAGCAGCTCGTGCGCCGCACTGGGTTCATTGGCCTGAAGCTTTTCCCAGCCCTCGCGGTCCATTACCCAAAGCACGGAATCCTTGACGGCCAGCACGGTCGCAGTCCGATCAGTCTCCGAGAAGAAGGGCAGCTCGCCACAGGTGGTGCCCTGCACAATTGGCTCCGATAGTCGACCCTGTGGTGTCTCGTAGTCGGCTCTGAGCTCGCCGCGTTCAATTAGATAGAATCCATTGGCCTGCTCCCCACGGTGATACAGTACGGTCCCCACCGCGTACTCCTTCCTCGTGAAGAATGGCGTGGCTTTGTACCAGAAGTCCTCGTTCTTGTCACTGAGGTCGTGGAAGATTTGCAGCATCAGACGTAGAGGCTCGCTAAGGCTCTGCCACCGGGTGACACGGCGCGCTTCTTCGGTCCTGGCCAAGACGTTGCCAGCAGCTTCGTGAAGATGACTTCTCCGTGGTGAGTGGGACAATTCGTCAAAGGACTGATTGATAGACCTCTTGCCTGGAACATCAAGACATTTCGATGGCGGAGGAGATTTGATCTTAAGAGCTTCTTGTCGAGCATAGAAGGTCTTGAGCTGTTCATTCTCGCAGCACTCAAGGGCGGAGTTGAGATCAGGCATGAACATGACCTCGATGCCAGCCTCACCGAGCCCAACAGCTCGCAAGTCACGGCCTATTCTGCTGTCTGCATCCTTGCCACTGATAATCAGATTGACACCTCGCTTGTGAAGCAGCCGACTAATTGTCATGAAGGCTTCACCAGCAGTGTAGTCGAGTCCAGTGACGTGTCCCAGGTCGACAATGACATACTTGATTGGGTGCAAGTTGAAAGCAGCGTCCGAGATCAGCTCTCTGATCTTCTCATCGACTCCGACGATAGTGCCGAAGAAAAGAAACCCAGACAGCTTGATGATGTATGTTTGCTCGCCAACAGCTTGCAGGTAGAGATGCTGCGACGGGTTGCGTCGGACCATTGAACCAACCTGGTCACCAGTATACGTTGCTCGAATGGCAGGGACCCTGGACGAGTGGAAAATGGCGGAAATGAATGCAAGTATCATGCCCAGGAAAATGCCGGTGACGAAGTCATATATGCCCATGGTCAAGACAATCACAACAATCTGTTCCAGTCAGCACCTATAATTTCATACATGTGGCATATCAAGGGCACATACCGTCAAATACTCAGAAAGCTTTAGCTTATGCCTTGGATGGACAAGTGCATCGCCCAGCAACTCGAAACCAAGAACGAAGATCAGAGTTCCGACCATCATTACCGGGATGAACCCGATCACGACAGGTCCGAGGGTCAGGACAACAAAGGTGAGTGCGGCAAGCATATAGCCTGCAAGTCTGCTGTCACCTCCTGACCTCATGAAGAAGAGGGTGTTTGCATAGACGAGATAGTTCTGGATGCTTCCAACACAGCCAGAGATGAAGTTCGAATAGCCGTGCAGCTTAAGTTCATGGTTCAAGTCGGCGTGGTCTTCTCCGGTGCTCTGAGCCAGTGCGGGAACATTGATTGGCACGTGCAGCAGGCTGAAGAACGTCAATGCGACCATGGCACCCAAGCACTCGGCGATGGCATCCCACCTGACCAAGTTAAACTCTGCCACTGCTGTCAGCCCAACGGATCGTACCAAAAAAGTGACAAAGTTGTCGAAATGCCACTTACTGTAAAGTGTCCAAAAGTACCACCATGGCTCATCATCTGGAGGAGCCTCGAAGATCCACCCAGTCGTTCGTAAGGCGTCCGTCTGCAGCTCATCAATGGAAAACACGAAGAAGTAGAAAACGAACGGAATCATCAGAATGTAGACCGACAGGAAATACTGTGAGGTGATCTTCTTCTGCAGGACAAACAGCAAAATGGCTAGGGCCAGCGGGATGATCCACAGCGGCAGGATCTCGGTTTGGAAAAGCTTCTGGATGGTTTCGAGGTCGTAATGGAATTCGTCCAGTCGTCCGGACACCTCGAAACCGGTGGCGATGAGGAACCAGCCAACGCCTCCGATGCAGCCGATGAGGATATGGCGCGGGATGAACCCCACGATATAGCCGAGCCGGAATTTGCCCATGAGGTAGAACACTACGCCAGTAAGCATCGAACTGACGGCGAAGGAAGTGATTGTTGTCGCAATGACAGCATCTGGCTGATCCTCCCCAACGATCTGGGTAATCTTCGCCGCCATGCTGTGGAAGAAAGGCACCACTTCGATCTGTTGTTCCTGTCAGTGTTTGCAGGAAAGCGGAGCTTGAGGGGATAGACGAAGCTCACCAATTCAGAGCCAACACAGCCTCGGAAAATGCTTCCGGTGGAGAAGGTCAATTGAGAGACGATGGTGCTGACATAGAAGATTGAGATGCCAGCTGGGCCCAAGCTGGAAAAGATCGGGTTGCCCAACGGAAACAAGATCATGCCTTTGTTATGTTAGCTGCTGAGAGGATCTGACCTTTAGTTGGAATAAGCACTTGCCATATGAAAGAGCATCCAGAATATTCAGAAGAAGACCAACAACGACAGCCGGAAGACAGCGGACGGGCTGCATCACGACATTCTGCCAAAGGCTCTTCGCACTCCAGGATTTTGGGTGTATGGTTTCCGCCACACCACGAAACTTGCTGGCGCTCTGATCCGTCACGGTCGAGAGCCAGTTACCCCACGAGGGCTGGTCCTGCACTGGCTTCTGTCCCTCCAGGTCCTCAAGATCTGTCTCGCCGCCAAGAGAGGTCGTGCTCAATGGTTTGACTCCGAGGAGCGGAGTGTACTCAGATATTAGGCCATTCCCAATGCTCAAAGGCGGACTGGGTACGACTGCATCAGCATCTTGTGTAGCTGGGTTATAAGCGTGATGGTTGCCAAGACGTGGCCGCTTCATGTTTGTATCGCTATTGTCCACCAGTGCAGGCGGGGACTGCCTAAACATGCTTGTGAGCATAGAAGGTCCTGCCTCAGCATATTCCTCGATGGCCTCGGGTGAGGGCGGTTCTGAGACTTCGGCAATTGTGTCAGCAGAAGGGGGCTGCAGGTCGTCGAGCCGATCGATGGGGGTCTCAGAGGCATTGTGCGAGGTGGAGGATAATCGTCGACCCCGTAGGAAGGGTGAAGAGCGCTTGTCAGACTGGTCCGATAGCACATAGGATGCCAGCTCTGCAGTGTCTTCGCGCACGCTGCGAGCATATTGCGTGGAGTCGACCGGAGCTACGGGACGATTGGTCAGTCTTCGAAAATGAATGTGGCCAGACAGTGTTGTAGGCTGGGCGCATACCCAAATGATCCCGGATAGAAACAGGCACGAACGATCGCGTGGGTTCGCGATGGCTGGACGCGCTGTAGGAGGACGAGAGAAGCCATGGTTCGTGTTGCGACTGCCGAGGCAGGTGCACGCCGTCTGCTTCGCGGATGTCGTCTTCGTCCTCCCCAGTTTGAGCACGGCGGCCCAAAGAGCCAGACCTACTCCTCCAGGAGGAGAAACCCACGCCCCGTCCTGTCATGGCCGACGTATGAGCCAGGTAGCTCGGCAGGTGTCGGATTTAAAGCGACGGCATGAGGTGTGACGTCGAGCGTGGGAAGGCGTGGGAAGGCGTGGGAAGAAAGCCGCAGCGGAGGACGAATGTAGTTGCAATATAGTGGTGGGTTGAACCCCAGATGCCGGAGAAAAACAAAGTCGGCTGGCGAGCTGGGTCGCTCCTAAAGTAGGCTCGAGTGGCAATCGTGAAAGCAAGAGGTGGATAGTCTCAATTGACTCGGAGTGGTCCCGCGGTCCTTCAAGAGTCGGCCCGCATTAGACTTTTGCGGCTGTCGAGCGTCAATGAAACAGGGATGCCAGCGATGACGACCTAACGGCCGGCGCGTTCCCACCCACCGTCGCATTCAAGACAGCCCTGGAGCAGGGGACTGGCAAAAGCCAGCAGCCAACGCTGCAAGTGGAAGTGGGCTCATGCATGCATGCAGCTCCGGGCATGCAGCAGGGGAGCCGCAGAGTTTGCATCCAACGGCCGTGGCGGTCCAGACCCCAGACCTGCTGCTCCAAGGTCCGAGCAACGTTTCCATTCCCAGAACCGCCTTCGTCCGTATTAGCCACCACTTTTTGTGCCATGTTTCAAGCATGTATAGGTATCTTGTTGTGCGCGACACTCACGTCTAAAGCAGGCTTCGTGCACGCTAGCGTGGTTTTGAAGCTTGATTCAGCATTAGCTTCTGCGTGGATTGTGCCATCTCCCCAGTTGCTTATCGCCATACAAACGGGCAAGTAATACTGCTTCACTTTCTTACGCGATAGTTTGACGGCCCCGCCTCGAGTACATCCCCGTCCGTCGGCGGCTATTTCTAGTGCTGCAGCTCGGGAACCACCCACAATATCCGCTGTGAACCCAGAGGTGCCCCTGGACAATGCTGTCCAGTGTCAGGAGAAGCCCTTGAGGCAAAGTGAGCCATGTCCACCCGATCCCAATCATGCCTCGGCGAGCGACACTGTATGTTGAGCTTGGTTTGGCGTGCAAGCATATTCCGAAACCGGCATTTCGCGCCAAGACATCACAGCCGTTGAAATACAAGACATTCCCCAGCTCTCTTGGCACGCCATCGTCATCGTGTCTTGCGTGCGAAATTTTCTCGCATCTTAACTGCTGCTGACGACCCCTGTGCGATGACCCCATCGCAAGGTGCAAGGGGGAGTCCATCTCGGATGCACATGTGCTAGTTGGCCCAGCTAGCTGCCATTCAGGGCTGTGGCGTGCTGTTGACTGTCAGCACCTCTACCGGGCTGAACTTATTGTCGTGCGCGGCACCTGCGCGAGCTTTGCTGCAGCCATGCGAGTGAATCACTTATGGGTGATCCAACCAGGCCACGTGAAATTGTGCGCGCAACAGCATTATTGTTCCGTGGAACACTGTCTCATGCGGTGGTGACAAAGCGCCCGTGACCGCATGTATGCCAAAATACATACCGGCTGCCAGTGCGGATGCATGATGCATTTACACTCCGGCATCGGCAGCAACACATGCGGGACGGACTGGCTCGACGCCTTGGTACGATGGCCACCATGGCCATGCCGCGTGCCACAGCCCATACGGACGCTACGTTCTAAACGAAAAAAAATCCTTCGGCATATGCTTGCGGAGATGCTCCTGTGCAACTGTCGTCGGCAAAAGAAAATCCACAGCAAGACAACTGTTCGTATCCTGAGTATGTGTCGATGGCTTGCAGACGAGCCTTTGTGAGTGCCTTGTGGCAATCTGGCGACGTGCGGATTGAAGGTCTTCGAAGTATCGTTCGTGGTCCTCGCTGTAACGTTCAGCCAAGCTTCTGCAGGTAGCCTTGTGCTATTAGACGCTCAACATCTCCTTGGCGAACGTAGAACTGACTGTTCTTGGTGAGGGTGATTGCGCTGGAAATACGAATTAGCAAATCGACAGATGTGTTGTACGATGAAAAGAGCAATCGCCACAGACATACCCATATTCTGTCTGGATTTCTCCCGCATCTTTAAGCACGCGGACATCAATGAACAGGTCGCGAGGCGGCTCCAGGCTCCCCGTCAGATCTATATCCGTCCATTGGCCTTTATATGCTGCGAGCAAATCACTGTACTGCCGAACATAGTCTTCTTCATGGGGACTCAGACTGCTGGTGGTGTTATCGCCCAGACCTGACCCGGTTGACACTGCCCCATCACGGACTTGCTGACCGGCGAGATCGACAATGTCGGAACCTTTCCACACGAGCTCCTCGAGCCTGTCCGTGCGTGTGCGATGGTAGGCGAGGAGGCACCGCTTGTTTCGCCTCATCGACAGGTGATTTACAAGCAGAGTGCATGCCGTTGCCTGATCCCTGCTTGGGTCGAAGGACCCTTGGAAGGGTTCAAGCAGGCTGTTGACGTCCTTGTCCAGGTCACGAACCTCCCTCGTCACTGCGCGAACAACTTCCGTCTGGTAAGGAGGCAGGTGGGCTAGATTCTGCATGCGCTTTGCATTTTGCACCTGCTCAGATGTCAGATTTGCGATGAGGGCTTTCGTGTGGGCGGTGACGTGAAGGCGCTTACAAGCTTGTTTCCAAGGTCCCCGTACATGGCGTCCAACGTCCAAGTCCACGAATTCAGCGACAATTGGCTTCGAGCAGTCTCCTGGGTGGCTGGCAGGGCTTGTGAAAAGACGGAGATGGGATACGACGCTCAGCACTGACGAAGAATTGGCCAGAATGATGAAATGTGTGATGATGCCGTAGGCGTGACCCAGACAGCTTGACGCGCTTGGAGATGGCGGGGTCTGGGCTGCACGCGTTTGGCCCATGAGAGGGTGGCTGACGCGCGATCACATGTGTCCAATGAAATCATACTCTCAGGCCGAAGCCGGCAGGAAGGGTCTGCTCTGCCCCGAAAAAAAGTCTGCCCCGCCCTTGTCAAGCGGACACAATAAGTTGGCGTCTCCACCACCACGCTAAGCAGGGACAGAGTCCCGCCTTTTCTGTTCTGACCCCAAGAATCCCAAAAAATTGTCGTTGATCCTGAGCTCCGTCATGACCCCGCTACTCCCCCATGGCTATCTGCGCCTTAGACTGGATCAAACTGGTACTTTCCAAGCTGATTCGTCGCCTTAGCTCGCTTTGGACTGTCCCATCAGTCGTAGTCTCCACGTCCTGAGTCGCTCAAATCTTTCTCCTGCTGCTGTTCTTGCTCTTGACAGCAGCCTGGCGTCTCTCCTCAAGCTCATCCAGCATTGAAACCCAGCTCTCTGAGGCCAATCCCTTCTCCGAGACTCGTTAGGGTCTTGTGTCACAATTGCACTAGTCTTGCGACAGTAGCTCTCCAAGCTTCCAGCCAAGATGTCGGCCGCACAAAAGATCGCAATCGTCTCCGTCTTTGACAAGACGGGCCTGCTGGACCTGGCTAAAGGCCTCGTCCAGCAGTCCGTCCGCATTCTTGCATCTGGCGGCACTGCCAAGATGATCAGGGAATCTGGATTCCCCGTAGAGTAAGCTTGCAGCCACTCCGGGACCTCTACAAGACAACTCCAGGCTGACAGGACTGGCACAGGGACATCTCTGCCATCACAAAGGCCCCCGAGATGCTTGCCGGCCGCGTCAAGACCCTCCACCCTGCCGTCCACGCCGGTATTCTTGCCCGTAACCTGGCCACCGACGAGAAGGACCTCGCCGAGCAGAGCATTGACAAGGTCGACTTTGTCATCTGCAACCTCTACCCCTTCAAGGAGACTGTCGCCAAGCCCAACGTCACCGTCCCTGAAGCCGTCGAGGAAATCGACATTGGTGGTGTGACCCTCATCCGTGCCGCTGCCAAGAACCATGCCCGTGTTGCAATTCTCAGCGACCCCAACGACTACGCCGAGTTCTTGAAGGAGCTTGAGAGTGGCGAGATCAAGGAGGAGAGCCGCAAGCGCTATGCGCTCAAAGCCTTCGAGCACACTGCCGACTACGACTCCAACATTGCTGGATTCTTCCGCTCCAAGTATGCCGGCGATGGCGAGCAGCACTTGGCCCTCCGCTACGGCGCCAACCCCCACCAGAAGCCCGCTGCGGCGTACACCACCAACGGCCAGATCCCCTTCAAGGTGCTCGGCGGAGCCCCTGGCTACATCAACCTGCTTGATGCCCTCAACAGCTGGCCTCTGGTAAAGGAGCTCAAGGCAGCCCTCGGCAAGCCCGCTGCTGCCAGCTTCAAGCACGTCTCCCCGGCTGGTGCTGCCATTGGCGTCCCTCTCTCTGCAGAGGAGCGCAAGGTCTACTTTGTCGATGACATTCAAGGCATCGAGACTTCAGGTCTTGCTCAGGCCTATGCTCGCGCCCGTGGCGCTGACCGCATGAGCAGCTTCGGCGACATGATTGCCCTCAGTGACGTTGTGGACGTCCCCACGGCGAGCATCATCTCCAAGGAGGTCTCTGATGGCGTCATTGCTCCCGGCTATGAGCCTGCCGCGCTGGAAATTCTCAAGAAGAAGAAGGGTGGCAAGTACCTCGTCCTCCAGATGGACCCCGAGTACCAGCCGGACCCGATCGAGACGCGGACAGTCTACGGCATCAACCTCACCCAGCACCGCAACGACATTGAGATCTCCCCCGAGACCTTCAGCCGCACTGTCACGCCCAAGGACTTTACCCTGCCCGAGTCCGCGACACGCGACCTTACCGTCGCCACCATTGCCCTCAAGTACACCCAGAGCAACTCAGTCTGCTACGCCAAGAACGGCCAGGTCGTCGGCCTCGGCGCTGGCCAGCAGTCCCGCATCCACTGCACCCGCCTGGCCGGTGACAAGGCCGACAACCTCTGGCTGCGCTTCCACCCGCGCGTCCTGGCCATCAAGTGGAAGAAGGGCACCAAGCGCCCCGACAAGAGCAACGCCATCGACCTCCTCGTCAGCGGCGAGCTACCCAAATCTGGTCCCGAGCGCGAGCAGTTCGAGGCCGTCTTCGAGGAGGTCCCCGCCGCCTTCACCGAAGAGGAGCGCAACGACTGGCTCAACAAGCAGACCGACGTCGCCGTGTCCAGCGACGCTTTCGTAAGTTCTACTCCCACCAATCCAACGAAGGCTTGATTTCTTCGTGCAGCGTAAAGCAACGAAAACAATAACAACGACTAATTCTTGCCCTTTGGCGTGTACAGTTCCCCTTCATCGACAACGTCTATCGTGCCGCCCGCTCCGGCGTCAAGTACATCGCCGCGCCCGGCGGCTCGCAGAACGACTCTGCCGTGTACGAGACTGCTGAGAAGCTCAACATTGTCGTCGTCGAGCAGAAGATCCGTCTGTTCCACCACTAACGCGGGCAAGCCCCTCACCATATATGCCACTTTGATGGGTCCAGGGTCCTCGAAGCGAACAACGAAAAAAAAAGAAAAAGAAATCTAGAGCCGTGTCAACACGCACGAGCCAGGGAATGAGTTATGATTTGACAGATATGAAATGGGAATGGCGAAAAAAAGAAATGGGATTCAACACGAATATAGCGGCAAAATGTGGGAAGATGGACGAGGGGAAAGACAGGCGGGCATAACAACGAAGTTCCCGCGAGAGAGACTCGCCATTGTATTGATACCCGCAGGCGAACAACAATGACACAAAAAGAAAGTTTGAACCATAGGTCATTGCATGTACACATTGTGCACGTAACCCCGGACGGATCACGGGTATTCTGACTTCAGAAGCGCTTATCCGCTTGCTTTTACTGGTACGCACAGTGGCATTTCTCCAATGCCCCTGATCGGACGACTGCGTGCGTGCCGAGTTGTGGAGAAACAGGAAGCTTTGAAATTGCATGAAGCTGATCCCTCACGTGTCGTATGGTCACATCGACCCAAAGTTAAAATACACTCACTGCACTTCTGCGCAAAATTATGTATCGGGCATCTGACGCATCGATTTCTTTTACTATTTTGTGGTGTCTACCTGACGTCTCTTGGACTCCTCGGAGACTGATCAAGGAGCTTGCACTGGCAGCAACCTGACTGACCTCGCCGGGGTATTTTCATCAAACGGGTCGTGCCTCTAAATTCGTGAATCATGCCAAAGATTGTCCGATATGATTGGTTCGAGCTACTGTCATGGCACAAGCTTACAGCTTCTGCATGGCAATAACGTCAGTCGACTGGACGTAGTCCTCAAACTCGGCGATCTTGTCCGCCAGATCCTCAAGAGAGACCTTCTCGTCCTCAACGACAAGGTTGATCTGGAGCTTGCTAACACCGTAACCGACGGGCACAAGCTTGGAAGCACCCCAGACCAGACCATCCATCTCGATGGAGCGGACGGAGGACTCAAGGGCAGTCATGTCGGTCTCATCATCTGTGCAAAGGAGTGCATTGTCAGTAAGTGGCTTCAAAGCTAGATTCAGCGGTTATGTGCTAGACTTACCCCAGGGCTTAACCTCCATGGTGACCACCGACTTGGCAGCAACCTTGGGCTTGGCGGCCTTCTTCTCCTTGTAGGCAGCAAGACGCTCCTCACGGATGCGAACGGCCTCGGGATCCTCCTCCTCGTCGGAGCCGAACAAGTCGACATCATCGTCGTCGGCAGCGGGCTCAGCGGCAGGGGCCTGAGCGGGGTTCACGGTGACCTCGGCAACCTCAGGGCCGTAGACGGTGTAAGGCTTGGAGGCATCACCGGGGAGGGTGGCGAACTCGTCCTCGAAAGAGGCAATGTGCTTGTACCACCGGGCAGCGGCGGCATACTTGGTGGCGTCAGGAGACGAGGAGAGAGCCTTGAAGACGGCAACATCGGCTTGCGAAGGAGCGTAGCTAAGTATAGAAGGTCAGCAATATGAACCACGGGTTCATCAACAAACTGTGGCCGCCAGCTCCTCGGTACTGCTGTTCAGGAAGGACAAGGTGTAGTGATTGATATATCAGAGTTGCACAGAGTGCTTTGTTCTTGTCCTCAAGCGCAGGGTCTTAAGCTGCTCGGAAACACGGACCAAGGTTCTCATCATCTAGGAGGGGGGTAGGAAAGAGCGCCAGTCCCAGCAAGTCGCAGCGAGCCAGAACCGAGTGCAGTGATGCGCATGTGGTTGTCTGTGGTGATCGGGCGGTGCGGGGCAGAGGACCGTGGGATGCGTCGGGCGGCAACAGCAAGGCAGAAAGAGGCTTACCCGTTGATGTAAGAGCGGGAGGTAACCCAGGTGTTGAGCACTGTATCCGGAGAGTCAGCACGATGTGCGCGACAGGAGTTTGAAGGGATGAAGGAGAGGGTTGGCCGCGGGGTCCTGTGTCTGTCATTTGCGGCCCGCGGACGACAAACAATAGGACCTCAGCAACAGGAGGAAAGGTGGCAGATGGCGGGAAGCGGGGGGTTGCGGGAGAACTTACCGGCAGCGCCGGCGTCGGTGAGGAGATCAGTGAAGCCCATTGTGAGTGTTTGACGTCGACGTGAAGTAGAAGTCTTGTGTGTGGGGGGACGGAAGTGAAGATGTCGTGGGCGAAGATGGACTTCAGAAAGAAGAGAGGTCGCTTTTTCTGCAGAGGGGGAGGAAAGGGAAGGTGGGAGAGGCTGTTGCCCGGTGGTGGGGTCATGGCCAGAGGACGTGTAAAAAAATTCGCGCGGCTACACCAGAGCATGCCTGGGCCGACGCGCGAACTTTTTTCTCAGGCAATCGGGAGCCGCGCATGGCAACAAAATTTCATGGGAAGGGTGTTCCCAATTTTTCCCGCCTCACACAGCGCGACCCCTCCTCCTCCTCGTCCTTCCTTCTCCTGGGCAGCCTCCAGGGTAACGGGCAGAAGCCAGACTCCCCGCTAGAGGGATCCATTTCAGGCACAAAGCCCAGCCCACCCGCCTACCAGGAGCACCCGCAGACGCGCCCAAGCAGCATGCGGCTTGTGACCGCGCAGCCATTGGCTGGCGGCCTTCAGAAGAGCCCCAGAATTCGTCTCTGGAGAGTACCCGCCTGGGCCTGGTGAAAGTTCCAGGCCTGCACAGCTTCGAGACGCGTCTGACGTGCAGCTGCCGGAGCGCTGATGCTGAGCCTGGCGAGGCGTAGCAGCTATTAGGACCGCGACATCGCAGCCTACGGGTAGCCGCGAGGCTGAAGGGCAAGCTCAGGGCATTGCGACTGTGGTTGGACGCTCAATAGAGGCGTTGCTGGCGGCGTGCACGAAAGGGCGTGCTGGGCGCATTCTGAGAGGAATGGGGGAGTGAATGAAAGATCAGCAACGGTGAAGACATCGCGACGGAATTTATGTGGAGGAGCAGTGGTTCCTACCTGGTACGCAGCACGGACTCACCGTGTGCTCTCCCAGACGGGTCTCTCATTTCCGAGATATGCCTGTCTTGCCCGTCCGAATGCTAACCTCGCCTGGCTGTCTCTTCATCTGCACGATATTTCATTTTTTGGGTTGTCCGACAGCACTGTAATTGAGATGACTCGGTAGACCACAACCTGACGTGTTGGGCAGCCAGTAGTGGTGTTTGAAGGACCACGCCATGGTGCAATTCAAGGCCAGGAGCTTGGGCTGCACAGAAACTTTTAGTGGGTCTTGCTAGCTGATAAGATAGTGACCGCGCCATGATCTCACAGCGATGCGCTCCCACCCTTGCAGCGAACATCCTAGAAAGCTCGAGATTGGTCGGTGACTCTTCAGCTTAAAGCCAGAACCCTCTGGCACCGGCGAATCACGACAGAAGCGAGTAGTCTTCCAGAGCCGGCGATGCCGGTCTCGCCATTACTTATTGTTGACCTGCCTCAGTTCTGATCATCTTCTTCCCTGTGCTTTGGAAGTTTCGGCATCCACGACTTACAAAATGCTCCCGCGAAGACAACTGCTCACAACCACACGGCGGGTCACTCGGGTTACGCCCCCGTCCTTAACCAGACTCAGTGCCCGCCCATCACCTGCGTCAAGAGCTGCAGTGCTCGCCACAAGCAACACTCTGCTTCGCACAGTCCCTTCCTCTCTCCCCTTCAGCAGAGGATATGCAAGTGGTCGGCCACACCCTCCTGGCGGCACCCACCGCATGGACCTGGGCGGCGAGCCGGAGAAGCCCGCTCTGGAACAATTCGGAATCGACTTGACGGCCAAGGCCCGTGATGGCAAGCTGGACCCAGTCATCGGCAGAGACGCCGAGATACAACGCACCATCCAAGTACTCTCAAGACGGACAAAGAACAACCCAATCCTCACTGGTGCAGCTGGTGTCGGAAAGACGGCAGTTGCAGAAGGCTTGGCGTTACGCATCGTTCAAGGAAACGTCCCAGAAAGCATCAAAGATAAGAAGGTCATCTCGCTGGACCTTGGGTCCTTGATTGCCGGTGCAAAGTACCGAGGCGACTTTGAAGAGAGGCTGAAAAAGGTTCTCAGCGAGGTCCAGAAGGCCGAAGGCCAAGTGATCCTCTTCATCGACGAAATCCACACACTTCTGGGCTTGGGTAAAGCTGAGGGCTCCATCGACGCTTCCAACCTGCTCAAGCCTGCGTTGGCCAGGGGCGAGCTGCAGTGCTGCGGAGCCACGACGCTCACCGAGTATCGACTCATTGAGAAGGATGTTGCGCTCGCTCGTCGGTTCCAACCCATTCTCCTCGACGAGCCATCAGTAGAAGACACGATCAGCATCTTGCGTGGCATCAAGGAAAAGTACGAAGTCCACCATGGTGTGAGAATCACCGATGGTGCCCTTGTGGCCGCTGCGTCGTACTCAAACCGGTACATCACGGATCGGTTCTTGCCTGACAAAGCCATTGACCTCATGGATGAGGCCGCCAGTTCCCTGCGACTACAACAAGAAAGCAAGCCCGAGGCCATCATGCGCCTCGACCAGAAGATTATGACTATTCAGATCGAGCTTGAGAGTCTCCGAAAGGAGAAGGACGTCGCAAGCCGCGAACGACGCGAGAAGCTTGAGGATGATCTTGCCAAGTACCAGGAAGAGGCCAAAACCCTGACTGAGCGCTGGGACAAAGAGCGAGGTGAGATCGAGGGGCTCAAGAAGGTGCAAGAGGACCTCGACAAGGCGAGATCTGAACTCGAGGTGGCTCAGCGCACAGGCAACTTTGCACGTGCCTCTGAGCTCCGCTTCGGTGTCATCCCCAACTTGGAGCAGAAGCTGCCCAAGGAGGGCGACGTGCAAGAGGGAAGTCAAGGACCAGACAGCTTGCTCCACGACTCTGTGACGGCGGATGACATTGCCAACGTCGTGTCGAGGGTCACGGGTATCCCTGTTACCAAGCTCACCTCTGGACATGTCGAAAAGCTGATTCACATGGAAGACGCGCTGCGCAACTCGATCCGTGGACAGGACGAGGCCCTCAAGGCTGTTGCAGATGTAGTCAGGCTGCAACGTGCTGGTCTCAGCGATGACCATCGGCCTCTTGCCTCACTATTCATGGCTGGACCGACTGGTGTCGGAAAGACATTGCTGGCCAAGAAGCTCGCCGAGTTCCTCTTCTCTACCGAATCAGCTGTCATCCGGTTCGACATGAGCGAGTTCCAGGAGAAGCACACCATCTCTCGGCTGATTGGTGCTCCCGCTGGCTATGTCGGCTACGAGGACTCTGGTCAGCTCACCGAGGCTGTGAGGAGGAAGCCTTACGCCGTACTACTGCTGGATGAGTTTGAGAAGGCACATCGCGATATCTCGGCATTGCTACTCCAGGTCCTCGACGACGGCTTCTTGACCGACTCCCAAGGTCACAAGGTCGACTTCCGCAACACGATCATCATCCTCACCTCAAACCTTGGCGCCGACATCCTGGTCGGCGCAAACCCGCACCATCCTTACCAAGAGACCCCGGACGGCGAAATCAGCCCCGACGTGCGCAAGGCGGTGCTGGACGTTGTATCGAACAACTATGCGCCCGAGTTCTTGAACCGCATCGACAGCTTCATCCTCTTCAAGCGACTCTCGATGAGCGCCATGCGCGACATTGTTGACATCCGCCTTCGGGAGCTCCAGGGCCGTCTGGACGACCGCCGCATCACGCTCGAGGTGGACGACGATGTCCGCGAGTGGCTCGCCGAGCGCGGCTATGATCCCAAATTCGGCGCCCGGCCCCTGAACCGGCTCATCACCAATCAGATCAGCAATGGCCTGGCTGACAAGATCATCCGCGGCGAGATCAAGGGCGGCGACCATGTCTCTGCCAAGGTCAAGGCCGACGGGTCGGGCCTCGAGGTTTCTGTGCACGATGCTTCCGCATCCGCGTAAACAGTCTCGTCGGCGTGAACTGCGATTTCTATTTTCCCCCAATTTTTTTTCCCTGTACAAAATATGCTTGTATGAGTTAATGCTGGATAGCAAGGCTGTAACAATATTTTTACGACTGAAACGACCTTGTAACATTGTATACATTACAACCAAATTGTAATATAGTTTTGCACATTTTACATCGCATGACGTGCTTGAAAAATTCATTTCGCCGTGATAAGTCAGACTGAGTATCAGGCATACATATCTAATAATCCAGAGTCGCAGCTTGTCAGTGGTTGCAAAGGTGTGGTCTCATCATGGCATGTCAATCAATGTGAGCAATGCTCACGTCCGCCCGCCGGAACCCAATTGCGCCGATCCGCTTCTCTATTTCTCCGCCCGTACCTGCCTGGCCTGTACTCTGTGATGTCTATATATATGTTACCCTCCCTTCCATGCCTGCTCTACCTTTCCTGGTCTCCATCCAAACCGAAACCCGCCTTGCATATCGCGTCGTGCCATCATCCTCGTAATCATCATCATGGAACCAGTAATAAAAAGAATACTGGTTAAAGAAAAAAAAAACCAAGTACCACAGGAACCATCACCCAAGCGGGGACCACCAACTCGTGAAAGTCGCGGTATCCTAAACACCATAACAAGAACGCCAAATCGATCTAGCTCTTCATAAAAATTCAAAAAATCGTGACAGAGCCAAAATGCTCTTTAGTCGCGGAGGCGCTGCTCCTGCAACAAAAACTTTCATGCTTTCGTGATCCTACCGGATCATTCAGACTTGCTGCTCACCAGGGCAGGAATCGCCGGGACAGGAGGAATATCGTCATCCGCCTCAGCTGTTCGAGGCGCGACTGTTAGACCGCCCGAAGTGCCTGGTCTGACAGGTGCGCCGCCATCGTCGTCAGTCGCGGCATCGCGCATTAACTTGGTGGCGTCCACGCTCAGAGACCTGGTCCCCATGTGCCGCGGCAACGGTGGGACCGGGGGAACGGCTGCTGCGCTGCCGCCGGCTCCCGGAGGTGACAACATCAGTGCCTTGCGCAGACCAATAATTTCGGCCACGCGGTCATCCCGGAAGCTGCCAAGGAAGCCCGCGGAGCCGAGACTCTTGCGGTGCTGGTGCCCTGGCCGATGAGCCGGGAACGTTCCGCTAGGGGAGCGACTCAGAGGGCCGGAGGAAGTGCTGGGTCGTTGCTGGGCAGGCGAGGGCGGGCCACTTTCTATGGCTTCCTCGTTGTGGTCTGTGTCGTCATCGATGTCATCCACGTCGTCGCTCGGTTCAAGTTCCAAACTCTTGTCCGACGGCCGGCTGCTCGCTCTACGCGTGTCGAAAATTGACGCGGTATCTATCGCCGGTATTGCCGACCTCTGCTTCGTCCTTGGCAGAGTATGGTGTTGCTGGTGGTGATGCTCAATCCTTGACATCCGTGGAGAGTCTTGGATGGCAGCATCCAAACCTAACGTGGGAACTGATTGGTCTAGGTCCACATCAGACGCATTGCTCATGGGCGAAACAGGGGTTGGGGACGAGAAGTCAAAGTCGGGCTTAGACTGAGCGAATTCTGCGTCGTCATAGATTGCATGTGCCCCGGGACGAGCCTTTGGCTGCTGCTGCCCGATGTCCTCCGGTGGAGAAGTGAGCAAGTCAGCATCCGTATCGAGGTTTTGGGCTGCGATCTGCTCATTGTGCAAGGGCGAAGGTGTCGATTTATGTCCACTCGAGGCTGTCTGCAGGCGAGGTACAGCCACGAAACCTCGACTTGATGCAGAATCCTCTCGTCGCAAACTGGTCGAGCTGACTTCGCTACTCACGACAGACTCAGTCTTTCGGGTCTCGCGAGAAGACCGACGGAGCGACTCATGCACTCTAGGCGTGATTATTATGCTGCTGGTTGTTGATGGTCCATCGGCACCTACAAGACTCGGTGTTGACGGCGTAAGCGAGTTGTCGGTTGCTGTCAAAGTCGTGCCCACATCAGAGCCGCGTTGTACCCGCGGGTCCTCATGCAAGTCTAAGCTTGTCTCGTCTACGCCGGAGTACTTGCCGGCAGGGGGTACCAGGGGAAATGCTCGTGCTCCTGTATCTGGATCCCGGATAGCTCGAGTAGACTGCCGCAGCAGCGACGGCCGATCGGTCTCGTCTGTGACGTTCGTATCGGAGATCGACAGTGGGGCGGCAGCTTGGTGGTCATCACGTTCCAGCAAGGGAATAGACAGGAGCGATCCGATTGTGTTGGCACGCTTTGTGCGGCCTGGGCTGAGGGGCTCATCGTGAAGCTTCTTGGGGCTGGCGATTGTGCCGATGGTGACTGCCTGCCTAGCACCTGCAACGGTCTCCGCGGTGTCGATAGCGTTGGCATATGCAGTTCGTTGCAGAGGTTTTGTTTCGGGCTCCTCCTCGGGCTCGACGACGGTGAGTGTGTCAAGAGTAACCATGTCAATGTCCTTGTTGATTTGCTTCTGCAAACGCTCCACAACTTGCTCCCTAGATTTATCATTGGGCTTGGGCCGTTTTGTAATCTGCCCGGATAGCGGTGAGCCGGCAGCAGCTTCGAATGGTTCTCGGGCGACAAGTGTTTTGTCCATAATGAAGTGCCCACGCTTGTGTGCCGTCATGCGGACCTTGAGCGCATTGCCGCGGAGGACACTGGCGAGGCCGGTCTGGACTCTATCCAGAATGGCCTCTGTGTCCCTGCGACAGTGCGATTTTTCGGTGCCGATTGTGAAATGCAGCGGCTCATCGAGGGTCCATCCGCGCCCACGCAACTCCGTGATGGTGAGCTCTATATCAGTCCTCGCGTTGATCCTCTGGTCGAGCTCGTCCCGCAGTGTGTAGCATGCGGACCCCAGCGAGTTGAGCATGTCAATCGTCTCGTCTGAGTCGATGTCCACGAGGAAGCCTCCAAGGTTACTCCGAATCGTCCTGTTCAAGTGCTCGAAGCGTGGCCCGATGTTATTAGTGACAGTAATCTTCAGCTCAAGCCCGTCTCCCTCGTGCGGACGACATCGGGCACAGCGTCTAGAAGAAGTGCAACTCAAGTGACGTTGGATGAAAGCCTTGCGTGCTGTTCGGAGGATGCCTTCGACAGCGTAGGACGTTTCGAAGAACAGATCCTCGCCCAAGGCTGCATCGAGAGGGGTGGCCTGAGTGCTGTTGATTTCGATGGTCTTCTGCCATTCACGCGGCTTGGGCAAATGGTTCTGACTAGTGATTTCTATCTGCACCGAGTACCCTGGAATCCTTTCAAAGGACTGGGGCTTCTCTAGGAACAGGTTGCGAGGCACACATGTCAGAGGCTGCACGCGACCGGGGCGATACGGAAAGGTCTCTTGGGCTGGCAGAGGCTCTTCTCTAAAAGGGCCATCTTTCCACACAAAGCCATCGTCATGCTGTCGCATAAAAAGGCCAATGATCTGGTGAGCCGAAAGTGTCACTTCGCGGGCAGCTTCTCCGGTCAGCGGCTGCTTTTGGTAGGACTTGTACGTCCGTGAGGCCCATGTCTCTGACCCACGGATGATGTCCGTGCAGATCTCGAACCTCAACGGCTTGCCAGTGCCGTCGCCCACATTGGTGCGGTCCAGAGCGATGGGGTCTTTGCGCGTGATGAGTTCTTGGCAGCAGTGGTCGACACGGCGGAGCAGGGCCTGACATACAGCGTCTGAGGCCCTGAAAGCTGGCGAGCCCTCGTAGATGCGGCTGTAGGAAAAGTCGAGGGGCTCTTCAAAGGTCAGAGACACGTGCACGGCGAGTTCTGTGGCTTCGCCGAGCAGCTCAGGCTTTGGGGGCTGCGAGAGCGGTGCCTGGTGCAAGGGCAGGTTGGTGCTTGTCGTGTTGGTTGTGTGGTTCGAGGTGGCCGTGACCTGGCGCTGGAGGGCGTGCCCGCTCGCGTTGCTCGCTGCGAGCTGCAGGCCTGAGCTGCTACGGCGGTCCTGGCTGCGGAGATCTTTGGTGAGGCTCTTCATGAAGCCCTTGAAGCCCCCCCTGGACTTTGGCTTGTCCCGCGGTGCCTCCATGCTTGCAGCAGTTGAGCGGTGAGCACAGGTTCGTGTGGTCCTGCTGCAGTCGAGGGCCCAAGATGATTGACTGGACTGACGCGAGGTGGGAAGAGAGGTGGAAAAGTCGAGAGCGGGCAAGCCCATGCATGTGGTTGATGCTGCTCGCCTGGGGCCGGACCAGGGCAGAGGTGGCAGGGGAAGACTGGGCAGGTCCCCGGTTTTTGTCTAGGGTGCCCGTCCTGTAGTGTCAATCACTAGCAGTATCCTTCCAGTGTCGATTGTCGCACCATACACTGACAGTCTCATGTGTCTGAGTCGGCGGTGGCAAGGTGCAGTTGCGAGGCGTGGTGTTCCCTTTTCAACTCTTGGTCTCTGGCTTCTGCAAGACAAGAGTGAGGGTTGTTTGTCACTTGTGCCGGACCAGTGTTTGTTTTCATCAGCCAACGTCAACAAGAAAGGTGCATAAACTCTCGACACTGGCCCTGACTAAACTAGTCCGCGAGCAGACAAGGAGGGGGCCATCGGGCAGGCTAGCAGCGGAGAAGTCATGCAACAAAGCACGCCTGGCGGAGCCGGCCTGGAGCCGGCGCCAAACGGCAGATGCAGGGCCACGACAGTCGGACCACGCCCTTGTCGAACCATCCCATCGCGCTGGGCTCCTGGTCTGCCACAGCAGAGCCATTGTCGTGTGTTGTCGCTGCAGGCTTACACTTCGACAGGTCACCAGGCAGGGCCGCTCCAGGCTTGTCCATTCAAACAAGACCTCCTTACACCATCTCCTCCGCGACAACCCCGGATTCCAACTCCTCTTTGTCAGCCATGAGTTGGTGAGATCGGGGGCGGATGTATTAGAGGGTCGGGCGGAAACGGCTGCCGTTTGTGGGCACCACCACCACCACAGACCTTGGCGTGGTTCTGAAGCATGGCCACCACACCTGATGGTCACTCGCCAGGCGGAAGGTTTGGGCAGCCACCCGCCCGCGGATGTAGTCGTTTGGCGCACACGTGTCAGAAGGCGTCAAGAATGGCACATCAACACGCAGAGCCCAAGGCCGGTCAGCATATCTCCAATGGAAGTCGCGGCACTCGGTACTGGTGCCTCACGGGGCCGTTCCCCGGGGAGGCTGGGCTTCCGAAGCCAGGGGCCGCCGCCAGCCTCCATGCATAGAAGAAGCGGGTACCGCGGCGTGCATGCCGGCCAGATGGCGAACCCTGCTGGGCGATCCAAGACTCCACAACTCCGCCAAACACTTTCCCTGCTCCTGCGATGGAGCTTTCTCATCCATCAATTTACTCGAGACGAGTCCAGTATGTTGGCAAAGGATTCACAACTGTGCAAGAGATATTTGAACACACACCAGGCAGATTTGAAAGCGGCCGATCGAGGCTTGTATTGTGTCTGGTCTTCCCCGTCGATATACACTCCCTAGCGAGGCGACCGTCCACCTCAGTCCATTTGCAGTTCGATATCCTTCGCCATGACCCAGTACCCTGCTGCTTGGATGATACGGCAGACAATCTTGAGCTCGTCTGGCGAGCGTGGGGCATATACCATGGTGAAGTTCTTGGGCACGGGCATTTTAAGCCATCTCTGTGCCGTCAAAGGATGCCGTTGGCCCCAGCCCTTTGCGAGAACCTCCTTCTGGTCTTCGGGGTGCAGGTTCATGTGCATGGCGTAGTCGGAGTTGTGCACGTGAACAATCTCGCCCTGGCAGGTATTGTTTACGGGGTAGCGTGCAAACAAGCCGATGCCGTGCTTCTCGAAGCACGAGGTCCCGAGACCTAGAATGGTGTTGTGCTCTTGGCTGTGCCGTGCCAGCACACGTCTTAGGGCTAGATAACATTCCCGAGAGCCGAATTGGTCTGTTTGTCGCTGGGGTGCAATACCCACGACGTTCGGTCTTGGACCACAGCGGTACGGCAGTGGTTCTTTACGGAGCATGCCACATGCTGGCTCTATACCGTCGTCCTGGATGAGAGGTTCGAAGGGATCCCGCAACGCCCAGAGCTTGAGCCAGTTGATCTTGAGATAACCCAAGAACGTCGACGGTGTACCTCCCGGGCCCAGCTTTAGGTAGTTTTGAAAATCATTGTGAACGAACAAGAGGACGGGGACAAAAGCGACAACAAGAACGAGGATGGTAGGTTGAAGTAGCCGTATTGCCGTGATCAGGCAGACCGAGACTGTGACGATTTCTGGTGCCCCTAGTGTCACACAGATCGGATCCTGGGTAATGGTCACGAGAAACTTGACGGGTTCGTCGTCCGTGTGCTGCCATTGAGTTGTCTCGGCTCTAGTCGAGCATGAAGCCATGGTGTCAGAAACAATAACAGTGCAACTGCCTCTAGAAGATAGGCATGGAAGAAAGGGGTCTCGAATTTATGTATCAGATGAAGTGTGCGTGCTCTAGGTGAAGCGTGCTTGACGACTATAAAGCGCGAGACTGGATTCGGAGCTGGCGAGGATGTCGTTCGGTCATTGGGATCTAGGAGAGAGGACAGAAAGAGCGGTGGGAGTTCAGGGACTGAGGGGGTCACGGCCCAGATGAGGAGAGGCGTTGGGTTCTGACGATCTAAGTACGCAATCTGGCTGCAACAGGCAGATGGATGCCCATGGCCCTCACCCGGGGGAAGCGGTTCGTGGTCGTGTGATCGGATAAGAGCGACTTTGAGTGGACAGGACTTGCCTCCTGCAGGGCCTAGCATCCCGCCGAGGTCGGCGGACAAGGAAAGCGCTTTACGACGAGCACGGGGTGCGTGGTCCAGGACATTGGGCGGTTCGCTTGGCCACTCGTGGCCGTGTGACAAGCTTTTGGGGATCCTCAGGCATAGCTAGCCAGAGTCAATGGGCGATGCGGCGTCGAGGTGCATAAGCAGAATCCACAAACCAGCCTGATGTCATTTGTTCGTCAAGTCCCCCCGCGGCGGGCCAAGAAGGCCCAGGGAAACTCAACACGACCCCTGCTACGATCGGTACCACGGGCGCTGGGCATGTCAGCATGTCCGAGATTGCTGATTGTCGGAGCTTGGCCCTGTCAGCCGCTCTTTAGGACGCGGTTAAAATCTCGAAGCTCTGGGGTAACTCTGAGGGGGCCTAGCTGAACAGAATGGTTTTGGTTCGGGTTGACACGGCCATGTACTGCTGGTGCTTTGCGGCAGCAGCAATGTCCTGGAGCGCCAGAAGGCTGCAGCACTGAATTGATGAAGAGGAATACCTAATGTTAAATTGTTGCATCAGATTCCCGGCATTCATAAAATGTTGAGGCAACCTTCTGTGTGGTGCTGTAGTCCGACGTTACTGATGGGTCCTAGTCCTTGTCATCTTGGTCACTGTCGTCTTCTGGCTCTCGGTTCCATCCACTCTGGCAAGTTGCACTTAGCGTATGTGTGCCCTCGGAACGCGTGCCTGGGCGAGTGTCATGAAGCTGATGAGAATGGACCATTCACAATGTATGGCGAGGAGACCTTGATCAGCACCTAGATAAAGTCTCGTAGCGTCGACTCTCTGTGGCCAATACTACGCTGTGTTCTAAGTTTGCGGGGACATGCCTCCAAGCCAGACCCAACCAGGTGCTGCTCAGGTGGTCAATGACGGGTTGCCTTGACAACGGACACTTGTTAGAGGGCATGGCTAGCAGCCCCCTTATCGCGCTGCCTCATTGCCTTGGTCGGCGGTGGGCACCTCTTGCCGGTTCTGCCGCCCGCCCGGCCTCTGATTGGTGCAAAAGGCGGGTGCTGCGCTTGGCTATGCCCCGCCGAGGCTAGGCAATGCCTGCTCCTGGGCGGCGGCGACTTGCTCAACACAACAAACGACCAGCAACCTTGGAAGCTTGTGCAGTTGCATTGCCAAAGCTCTACCTCTGCCACCTCTTCTCCTTCTTATTCTTGTCCATGCGCCTGCACTCTAAAGAAAAGAACGCAATACCTCCATACAACAGCCGACAAGTTTGAGGCAGTGTTACGAAGCACTTGTGCTACCAGCCTCCACTCCCACAAGTGCATCACTGGCGCCCGCCCTTTGCTCTCCGACACGCCAGCATTCCTCCGCGCCACGCGATTGTCTTGCCATACCCAGTGTGTCCGATTGAGCGGCTCGGTCCCATGCGCCGCTGAAGGACACTATGGGTGTTTTTCAGAACCCGCTGGCCAAGCGCAAAGGCCGTGGAGCAGGATTGCCCGTCTACGAGAAGCTTAACAAAGATCGGCTCTCCGATGACGACGACTCCTACGATTCCTCAGACTATGACTCTGACGACTCCTCGCCCTCGGGCCCCGACACCTCGCGGAACGTCTCAGCATCTGCTGCCTCCGTGACCGCCCCGATAATGCCCAGGCGACCTTTTGCCAGCCCGCGGAGACCAGGCTTTCACTTTCCATACCGGCTACCAAGCAAGGTTACACGTTACCTGTGCCTCGGGCTCGTATCTCTCATCAGTCTCTTCATACTCAGCCTTGTCCGCGCAAGCCAGAACGAGAATAGAAGGATCATCGAAGGACTTCTTCCTGCGCGACCTTCAGCTCCGCCGCTCTGGGAGTCCTACGACTTTCTGACACGATACTATGGCGGTGTGAGGAATCTCGTCTCATTGTCCGCCAATGTGCCCGAGTATCCTAGGGCCCAGGATGAGCTGCCACTTGACAAGCTCCTGTTCCTCAACTCGACTGGCGATCTACCTGCCGAGAGACGCAGCATCCCAGGCAGTAAAGACTTTACACAATACCCGAAGAGCGTGTTCAAGGCTGGTACCGAGCAGATTCACGACTGCTTCCTTGACAGTGCAAACAAGGTCCGCGTACCGCCCATCCGGTACTTTGACGGCCGGCCCAACGGCTTTCCGGATGCGGTCGTCGGTTCCTACGAGCTGCTGAGTCTGCCCGAAGATATCTGCTTTGAACGCTATGGCCGATACGCTCCGTATGGCTATGGCTACTCGAAGAAAACTGGTGGGCTGGGCATTGGCGAGCATGGTGAGAAGGAGGGTTTCGAGTCCACATGGTCGAAGGTGCCTAAAGTTGAGTGGCAAGACATGAACTGGGCCGAGACACAGCGCCGCTGCTACAATGCCAACGCTGCGCGGTTCAAAGATATGCCTGCGGTCCATCAAGACCCTCATGGCTTCTATATTCATGAAAAGCCGGCCGCCTTTCCACCAAAGAACATTCTGGCTGAGACTTCATCGACGAAACTCGATACAAGCGGCCCGGGGGCAAGAGACACATCATCCACCCCTCCAGAATCATCTCAAGGTGCTGTTCAGAAGCAGTCGCGTACTGCTGTGGTCATTCGTTGCTGGGATGAATTTTTGTGGCGTGAGGAGGATGTCATGAACTTGCGCTCGCTCATCACCGAGATGTCTCTAGCCTCTGGTGGTCGCTACGATGTCCACCTCCTCGTCCAGGTCAAGAATGACGCCAAGTTCCCCGTGTGGGCTGATGCCGAGATCTATAAGGAGCGCATCGAGGCGTCCATCCCTGCCGAGTTCAGGGGCATGGTGACCCTATGGACAGAGACCCAGATGCTGGCACTCTACCAGGGCATATATGACCTTTACGCTCGTGGTCCAGACTTGCCGGTGCACGGTGTCTATCGTGGTTTGCAGATGGCCATGCAGTACTTTGCCTACAAGCACCCTGAGTACGACTACTTCTGGCAGTGGGAGATGGATATTCGCTATACAGGTCACTACTTCGACTTCTTCAGCAAGGTAGAGAACTGGTCAAAGCAGCAACCCCGCAAAGGACTTTGGGAACGCAACGGGCGTTTTTACCTGCCGACGGTCCATGGGAGCTGGGAAGATTTCAAGCAGATGGCTCGTGTGCAGTCTGAGATGGGCACTACCGGGGCTGACAACATCTGGAGTGGTCTGGGAGAGAACAAGCAAGCCAAGGGCCGGGGCGAGAAGCCCATCTGGGGTCCTGTGCGCCCCTTTAACGAGGATGACTGGTTCGAGACCGACAATGATCCCCAGCCAGAGACGACTTATGAGAAAGACCGCTATTCCTGGGGCGTAGGCGAGGAAGCCGAGTACATTGCCTTCAACCCGATCTACGATCCTGAGGGCACCACTTGGGGCCTCGCAGACGACATCACTGGCTACAACACGACGGAAGCAAAGGTTCCTCGCCGAGCTCAGATCATCACTGCCGCGCGCATGTCCCGCCGTCTTCTGATGACGATGCACAGAGAGACTGCCTTCAAAAAGCACCATGCTTTCCCCGAGATGTGGCCGGCTACCGTTGCCTTACACCATGGTCTCAAGGCCGTCTTTGCACCGCATCCTCTCTATGTCGATCGCGAATGGCCCACGGCTGTGTTTGGTCAGACTCTGAACAACGGCAAAAACGGCGCCAGCGGAGGCTCGCGGACGTCGGTGTTTGGTGAGCGCGAGCACAACCTGCGTGGTCTTTCGTGGTTCTACGACTCTGGTTTCGCGCCGAATCTGTACAGACGCTGGCTGGGACTCAAGGTTAACAACGATGGCGGCGAGGAGTTCGAGCAGGTTGAGGACCAGAGCAGAACCGGCGCCTCCGTGCCCGAGATGCGTGGCGGCGAAGGCCGTATGTGCCTGCCGCCGATGTTGCTCCACCCGATCAAGAATGTCGAGCTTCCCGTCGAGGCTGACCCGGCTGAGCTCGAGATTCCTGAGTCGGATCCTAATGCTTGAAGACCGGAGCCTGGCTTTTCTGATGTAATGATTCACGCGCCTTCATGATTGAGCCCGGCACCCTTCGAGCTTTTTGCGAGCACATAGTTGTATATATCATTCGCGCACAATTCCGATGATGGATAGAGAATGGCGTTTTGGGCTTTACTTCTTGGGGCGTACACGGGCAGCATAGATATTCTGTCTTGTATTTAACAGAGTCAAATCAAGTCCGGGTTGCCGAGTGACCCAATGTCGAAATTGAAATGCATATCATAAGAGAGATGAGGTGTTCTTAGCTCGAAGCCGTTGACTCATGCATCGCCTCTCGCAGCTGAACCGCGTTGGTACCCATTCTAGAGTAAGTATGGCTTGTCTTCATCTATGACTGACCCCTCCGCGGTTGATATCGCCGTCTTCATCGCCCGTGCTAAGCCCGTCACGACCGTCAGCCTCATCATCGTCATCGTCACTACCACGATCTTCTTCATTATCATCGTCGTCCTCCTCCTCCTTGCTAAGCTCTTCCTGTTCCTCGGCTCCAGCATCACTAAGCCGCTCGTGAGGAGGCAACTGACTTCTCAGTCCTGCAAGCACCGCACTCAGCCCGTTTCGAAGCTGCTCCGTGCGGGCCTGCCGGACTTGCAGATCCAGTGTGGCGATGCGCTCGCGTAGTTCTCGCATCCTGAATGCCTCAGGGTCTTCTTCTGGGGCTTGTCCTTGCGAATCTCCTCCACCGCCATGGGTGCTCGATGGTGGCCTTGCCAGGGATGTGAACTGGCTTAGGACCGTCGGCGAGATCTGGTCGATTGTGCCCGGGATAGCGCTGAGCTCGCCACCCGCACTGCCATGAGCATGCTCGGCAGCTGGTAGCGGCGGCGGCGCCGTGGCCGATGAGCCCAGGAAGGCGTTCTCGAACCGGCCGGCCATGCCGCCGCCCTTGATGGCAAAGACGACCTCCTCGATGCCATGCCAGTTCTCTTTCGGGGGTCTGGCTCGGCCACTACCGCCAGCCTTGTTGCTCGATGGTGTCGGAGGCAGGAGCACTTTCCGCCACGCCGCGGCAACTTCTTCGACTGGGTTCCCGTATGCACCGCAGCCCCAGGCCCCGCCTAGGACGAGCTTCCGGCACCCTTTGGCCTGGAAGATGCGCATGACCACGCGCATCTTGTGTATAACTGCCTCGCGGTCCTTTTGGTTGGCATAGCGTTTGATGACCAGTGCCTCGTGGATGTCTTCGTCGCCATCCTCGTCCTCTTCCTCTCCCTCTTCCTCTTCATCCGAGTTCGAGTCCAAGTCATTCTCAGGTGAAGTTCGTGGCTGGTCTGTCGTGGATTTGACACCTCCGTCATCGCCATCCGGTACCTCCTCGACCTCGGGGAACCGCAGCATCGCAGCGCTGACGCAGTCTACGAACCACCGGTCCTTCTTATCCAAGTCGTTACCGGCCTCGTCACGGAAGACGAGGACGTCGGGTGTGTACACGGCGCCGAGCTCGGGGAGGCGGTAGAACTCGTCCCGCAGCGACGGGAGCAAGGTGGTCCGCATGCAGAGCGACTCCTCCTGGGTCATGGCGCCGTTGAGGAAGCCGCCCCCGGGGCTCAGGGGGGACGCCATGTTGAGGATGCCCACGCGGGAGGTAGTGTTGGCGAGGTCCGCCCTGGTGGTCTTGGTGGGTTTGGCGGCACTGGCTGTCGCGCCGCATGCATCATCGCCTGCTGGTTCAAGGAGGTACCGGGCGACGGTGAGGGTGTCTGCAATGGCGAGCCGGATGCGTGGCGGTGTTGCCGATGCAGGGTTGGCGGTCTTGTCCGGCCTCGACTTCGAACCCGGAGCCACGTCCGGCAGCGCCGGGCCCGTTGCGGCACCGGGCCGCTCCGGAGCCGTGAGCTCCTCCTCGTTGTCCCCGTGCCCTCTTCCTTTACCCTTCCTGCCCTTAGCTTTGCCCTTGCCGGAGGATCTGCTACTGCCATTGGGCGCAGGCTGTTTTGCATCCTTGAACTTGGTTGTTTCAACCGTTGAGGTGGTTGTTCTGGCAGTGGTCGCGGCGGCGGGCTCAACAATGAGCTCTGCCGCGTCGATGCCCCGGCGGGCGCGGGGGTGTGCATTCAGCAGCGCCGGGATTAGCTTGTTCACCGTGGCTTTTGCCCTTTTGGCACGAGCATCACGGCGGAACTCTGGCGGCGGCCGGCCGAGCGAGGGCTCAGTGCGGCCCATTGTGCAAACTGAAGACGAACCGAGGAGGAGATGTGTTTGACGGATGGGAGGCGACCTCTGCGGGCAGGCCGATGTGCTCATGACATGGCGACATCATTTTCAAGGTGGGTGGAGTTCCTGGTGCCACTGGAACCTTGATGGCCGCCTGTGTTGGACTTTGGTGCACCTACGTACACGATGCGTCGAGTAGGCATTCGAGCGGACATGAGGCGTATCGCCAAGCAGCTCCGACGGCGATTTACATCATTGCCGCCCTGCTTTTTTCAGGAGTACTTCAACTATCGTAGATGGTTTGAAGTAACTTGTTCGGCCTGGTCTGCTCTGGTTCTGCACGTACGTCAAGGTGCCTGACTACAGCAGGTGCCGGGGTCATGACAGCCAATCAGCGCGCAGAAACTAGGCTACTTAGCTCCATTGGAGCTTCCGTCGCAAACCACTTGCAAGCTTACAGCTAGGCACGTCGCCCTGATCATTTCTTCCTTCCGCTTGACTCACATCTCCGGCTCGTCCTTGCCTTGAACCATCTCCGCACCCTGTTTTCTAGCGTCGCCTGGTGGTAGCGCCTATGGACACCATGGCAGACCCGGCCCAGACTCCAGGTGGCCTGCCCTTTCCGACCGATCCGCAAGAGTTCGACAGCGACGAGCGCATCTCCTTCTCGAGGCTCGACAACAAGTTCCTTGCCGTCAACGACGATGGCACAGAGTACGAATTCGACAACCAGCTCAAGCGCTGGATCCCTCAGGTAGACGAGGAGCTCGTACGCCAGCAACAGCAGGCATACGGCGTGGGCGGCGATGATGACGACGGCGCAGACAGCCAGCACAACAACAAGAAGCGCAAGACGGCCAATGGCTCCGACCGGCCCAACAAGAAGCACAAGCAGCCACCAGCGCCGCGACAAAACACCGCCATCTACGTGACCGGGCTCCCCGCGGACGCGACCGTCGAGGAGGTCCACGACGTGTTCTCGAGGAAATGCGGCGTCATTGCCGAGGAGATTGACAGCGGCAATCCTCGCATCAAGCTTTATACGGATGCGGACGGCAAATTCAAGGGCGACGCTCTCATCGTATTCTTCAAGCCCCAGAGCGTAGACATGGCCATCATGCTACTCGACGACACCCCGTTTCGCTTCAGCGCCTCGGATCCCAACATGCGTGTCCAGGCCGCCGACTCGAGCTACAAGAAGACCACCTACGACAAGGACGCTGCAGGTGGTGCAGGTGGTGGTCATGCCGAGAATGGAGCCGCGTCGGACCGCGCGAATGCTATCACGGGCGTCGGCGTAAAACCCAAGGACAAAACGCGGGAGCAGGACAAGCAGAAAGTCATCAAGCGGACGCAGAAGCTGGACGCGAAATTGGCGGATTGGGACGACGATGACCCGTACGGCGGTCAACTGGAGACCAACGCACGTAAGGATCGGGTCGTCATTCTCAGGCACATGTTCACACTGCAGGAGCTCGAGGAGGATCCGGCCGCGTTGCTCGATATCAAGGAGGACATTCGCGACGAGTGCTCTAAACTTGGCGCTGTAACCAATGTGGTGCTGTATGACCTTGAGGTCGATGGTGTGGCCAGCGTCAAGTTTAAAGATCCCAGCGCGGCAGAGGCCTGCGTGAACCTCATGGATGGCCGCGCTTTCGACGGAAGGACAGTCAGAGCATCCATCGCGACTGGAAAGGAGAAGTTAAGACAATCAGGCAAGGACAAAGGGGATGTGGAGGACGATGAGCATTGAAGGGTCAAGAAGATACGTCGTGCAATACCAAGACGTCCCGTGGAAGAGGATGCCACGAGATATCTACACAAGGGTTTTATCCTTGCGCATACCGATATTTATGCCACTCATACCTGCGACACATTTCGACAGCCACAGTCGAAGAAGCCATCGTTTGCTGATCTATTCAGACGTCTGAAGCATGAGACAGGCATCCATGATCAGTCGAGGCTTCCAACCAAGCTCTGGGTCGGTGGTCGTTCCCAGAAGAGAGCAATATATGTCACAGAATAATGGTCGACCCACCTGTTGAGGCACCTTGATGCCCGGCAAGCGATCTGCGGATCTAGAAAGCCCGCTCCTTTTACGGGTGATTCTGAGCGCATCACATGAGCTACCCATGACATGCAGGAGCATATCGCCAAGCGCGCTTAGATACGTCCCGCTCGTTCAGGCCGTGTAAAAAGTGCCCCCGAGCCCTTGCTCTGCACATGGCGTCGCTAAATCGCGGGCTCTTCTTATGTTGAAGAAATCCATCAGTCTTCTATGCTGATATTCAACGCCATACGATGGCTGTCTGAAGAAGACCAAGCTCCTGGCTAGAAAGGCCGCGAGCTACGTTCTCGGCAAATATAAAAAGACATGAAAATCATAGACTCAAATGCTACTTGAAGTAATGATACGTTGTCTTGTGGTGCAAGTCATGCGAAAAGAAAACAAAAAAAAAATTAAAAAATTAGGATCATGTATCTGCCTGCGCCATCTACGTACAAGTTCCAAACCAGAATGCACAATTCAACGTCTCAGTTGACAATCAAAAAGCTACGTATAATATCACCACTTGCCTCGAACGGGCCTTGTGAGCCTGTCACAACGGCGCGGGTCGATACTCCTGGCGATAACCTCGATCTCGCCTATCTCCTTGGTCCCCAGCCTCGGCGGTGATAGCCGGCTCCGCGGCCGCTGTCCCATTCACGCTCGCCCCAAACGCTGCAGTGTTGGACGTCGCGACGCTGGCTTGACTCAGTCCCAGAAGACCAGCCACACTCACACTCCCCGTACTGCTGCTCATCGTACCGTTGGGAGCTGTAGCAGCAGCGGCAGACGAGGACCAGGAGGAGGAGGAGGAGGAGGGCGGCGTGAGGGTTTTGGTCACAGTGACCATCTGCGTGACTGTCTTGGAGAGGGTGGTGACGCGGTACGCCAAGGTTTTTGTGATTGTCTTCTGGACGCTCTCTGTGATTGTTGTGGTTGAAGGTACGAGGGCTGCCGGTGGATTTTCCGGTGGTGGCTGGTGGTTCTCGTTGCTGCCCTGGCCCTCAACAGTGTTCTCGCCGGGTCCGCTTGTTGCTTGTTGGACAACCGGTGATCCCTGGACGGGCAAGGTTTGCGGCGGAGGCGGCGGCTGCTCTTGCTGCTCTTGTGGCCATGAGGCCGCCGGAGGAGGGGAAGGCAGTCCCGGAAACCCGTCCACAACGACAGTCGTGAAAGTGATATGTATCGAGGGCGGCTGCGGTTGCCCGGCTTGCTGGCCCGGCGCCCCGAGGATAACCAATGGTGAGGGAGATGGTGGTGACTGTGGCATGTCCATTACTGCAGGAGGATCCGGAACCGGGACAGTCGTGGTGGTGAGCACTTGAATCGGACCGCTGTTCAAGACCACCACTGGCGAAGCGGCACCCTGCGAAGGCGTATTGCTGCTGCTTGCTACCACAAACCCTCCAGCTTGCGAGACAGGCGAGGGGATCGACGGACCATGGACCACCGTCGGACTGGGCTGCTGCTGCTGCTGCTGCTCATTGTCACCGTCATCCAGGGCTGTGCCCGGCAGCGCGGATCTCGCAATAGCCGGTGATCCACGCTTTCCAACAACATTGTGAAATCCCCGAGCGGGCGGCGGTCGCGGGGGTGATGGTGCCGCAAGAGACGTCTGCGCGAAGAGGCAAGCGGCCACCAGCATCAAGATGGCCAAGAGGCTGGCGGGTTGGTGCAGAGCAGTAGCGGCGGACGACCTGACACGATATCTTGGCCGCAGGCTGCGGCGGGAGGGCCTTGTGGTGGTGCAAGGCATGCTTCGGGGCCTCGCTCCTCGCCCTCTTGCTGGTTCCGTCATTTATTTTCGATCTGTTTGTCTGTCTGTTTTGTTGCGTAAGGGGGAAAGATGGCACAGATACCACGCTTCTTCTTCTTCTTTCTTCTCCTTTTGAGGACGTTCTCCTCTTGTGGGATATCTTTGCTGTGTAGGTAATGCGGTGCTGTCGTTGTCGGTTTTGCAATGTTTTCGTCTTCGGCCCCCGATGATATCCGAAAATATCTGACGGAGCTGCGGTAATCCGAGAGGATTGAAATTCTGGACTTGACAGCTTCACACAAATATTTTCTCCACCAGCGGAAGAGGGCCAGTGCCGTCAGAAGCGCGAGAGAGCTACCTTGTGGTCGCTCGGCTGCCGTCTGAACGAACGAACGAACGAACGAAAAGCGCCGCTCGGCACCTGGCACAGCGTGTAGCTCGGGGATGGATCGTGCCGAACAGGTCGAAAAACTGCAACACGGAATTCCGAAAGCAAGGAGGACGAAGAGAAGGGTATCGTGTGTGTGTGTGTGCAGGTTGAACTCAGGGAAAACAGAAAGACAAAGCCACGAGAAACAGGGATGAAGTGAGCAAAGAGAGTAAAGAAAAGAAGGCGAGGAAAGGGAAAGGGGGCCAGATGATAGATGCAAAGGGCGGAAAATCGGGACACCTTTTCTTTTTCATCAGTTCCTACCACGTCCAAACAATAGATCAGCATCTCAAGAAGGGATGAGGAGTTGAAGCTATCCAGGTACAGTTAGATGTGCACCCTACGTACATGCGCGTGTACATGCGCGTGTACGTGTCGTTTTGCCATTATTGTTTCCCTCGCCCTGACTATCCCCTGTGGCTTTCTCACATTGTCTTGAGGAAGCCCGCGGAGTTCCGCATGGTAGTAGTGATGGTTCCATCCACTGTCATAAAGAGGCGGAACTTCTCTGGATTAGCACATTTCCAGGCGGGCAGGGGAAGTGCAAGAGATGACGACGGACAGCCGGGCACGCAAAAGCGATAGTTGCTCGCAGCATTGGCCCGACGATGTCGTTAGCAGGGCGTTGGCAATCTCATGAGCTATTAGGTTTCGCGGCCATGGGTTTCCCTCTTTTTCTGACCATATCGAGGGATGTCAAATCTTCTCTGCTCTTTTACAGCGGGACAGACATGAACATTCAAGTTACTCATGAGATCACCCTCCCCCTACCAGCATCATCCAATATACATTTCGACCTCCAGCCCCTCAACAAAGTATTGGATTAGTGCACACCATGGTCAAGGCCCTCTGCCACACAAGTCGACATCAAGCTTTCAACCTCTATCAGTCTCCTCGGCTATCCCCTCTCATCTCGTTCATGCCTCTCTAGATTGTCGACATATTTTTGCGTCTTGTTAATCCCCAGGACCGCTGATTTTCACCGCTACTCGCAAAGCTTCTAGGAGAGTCTGAATCAAAGGAGGGCAAAGGGCAAGGAGGGGTCCGTTATTGTCTCACAGCTACACAAAAGGCAACAAGTCCGTGAGACCCGCTGTGCACGGGTGTCGCTGAGAAAGGGAACGATGGCATTTTCTGCAACGGAGGGGGATAGTACAGGTCTTTTTTTGGATTTAAATAGGATCCTATCATTCCAACACGACAACTGTATCCGAGAAGGGAGGGGCTGTGGGGAGGGATACAGGTCTCGGTCATACACCCTGTACGTGGCGTCTGCTGGTGTGCTCCCTTGCTGATTTCTCGCGTGGCCAGCAGCTTTGTCAGAAGAGAATGGTGGAAAAAGGCAGGGCCAACACGATCGTCACAGGATGCACGCGCAAGGTTTTGAAGAGATTCTGCGTTGTCGCTCATGTGGCTCCGTGCACACATCTCGATTGTGTCGATCTATGTATGCCCCGAGGGCCCTCGATCGTGCTAGATCTCTCCGTCGCTTCAAACATCCCCCCTCGTGCCCAGAACCATGGTTAATGCTTTTCTCTCTGGGCTATGCAATCTCATGGGCTTTTCCCCTATACTCGTCCGTGGCCTCCATCGTGTTTTCGAGCTTTCGGGCCCTCTGCTCTGGAATTTCTTTTCCCGCGCATTCGGAAGATACAAGAGATGGACCTCGGCTTTGTTACTCTCGGTGATGTGTTGGTCATAAAGACTAGTGAGAGTGTAGATGTAAATGCAGTCAGGGTATCGAACATCCTTATGTGAGTTTGTAAAAGCAATAACGCCGCCGTCAAAACGAGAAGCAAAACAAACAAGAACGAGTTGGAGTTCTCGTAGTACCCAAGCGCAGTAACCGGAATAAATGCTGGTGAAGTGATGCTAGCCCATGGTGCCGTGAGGTCGTGCATGGTAGAGAGAGTGTTATGAAGGGGAAACGCGCGTGGCGCAGACGCATAATATCAAGAGTGTTCCCGTGAAATTGCGCTTCGGCTCAGTCCTCCCAGATGGTCTCCAAGTCGAGATCTCCTCGTCGCTCTGCACCACAGACACTCCATCTCTTCCGCTTGTCTCGTGAGCCGACGCCCAATGTCCGCCCCCGAGTCGGCACGTCTAAATTGCCACGGCCTTTCCCATCCTCTCCTTCGGCAGCATCAGCAGCAGCTTTGAGTTGAGCGATGCGCTCGGCTTCGAGAGCGGCCTCTTCGGCATCTGGCGTATCCGGAATCGTCTCCAGACTAGAGATGCTAGGGCTTCGAGACCTCATGGAGCTGGGGGTTGATGGGACGGAGGAAGAATGAGAATAGCTGGGAAAGCTGTAGCTTCCCAGGCTACTGTCGGGCCTGTAGGACGGCGAAGTCGCCAGGCTGGAAGGCGTTCCGGGGAGTGAAGGGCCTCCAGAGCTTGTCACGGTGTAGCGGAGAGGAGATGCATTTCTGAGGGCAGATGAAGGCGGAGCCCCATGCACTGGCGAACTGCTTCGGTCGGGGTGACGCTGGTCGGTATCCAGAACTGATGTCCGCACGGGTGAAGACGGGAAAGCCTCGTCAGTAGGTTTGCGGGGAACGCGCTGCCGGCTGGGTGACCCAGACGGGCTCGACGGACGAATGAGTGGCGGATAGACGATGCGGCCGGCTCCATCGAGCCCAGGCAGAGAGCGTGTGCGGTTCATGCTTGGCAGCTGGAGACTGGCCGTGGACTTTGACCGGGTGTGTGAGCCTGAGAGTGGCGAGGTTGTGCGTGGCCGGTAGGGAAGAGCAGTGGTGCTCCATGGCGAGGTCGGCGAGAGTGGCTCGGTGGACCGGCGGACGTTGAGCGGTTTGCGAGCTAGATCTGAGTCGTGGGTGATGATGGGCGTAGTCGGACTGTGGTGAAAGCGCATGGTTGGTAATGGGGAGGAGCGGAACTCCTCCAGACTCTCGGTCTCAGGCACAGGCTCCATCTTGGGTTGTGTTGTCGGCGGTCCCTCTTTGAGCAGCCGCGTAGCAGAGGAGGTGGTCAAGGTGAGAGAGAGGGTTGAGAGCTCGGCAGCTGCGAAGAGATGAATCACAACAAGGTCAGGCAGCCTCGTGCAAGGTGCATGCACACGGACGACAGGGACTGGCCGCCTTAGAGGTGAGGCATGGAAACAGGCTGGGGCCGTGCTTCACGCAGTGCAAGGCAGCTGGAATGCGGACCTTTAGCCGGAGGCCAGGAAGGGCGAGGACCGACGGAGGATGAAACCACGGGGAAGCTGGCGGAGGCGATCTGCTGCTATGCTGGGCACGTCACATGTGCCGAGTCTGATTGTGTGTCGTGTGTGCGCCCGCAGCAAAGATTGATTGCTCAACGGTGGTGCTGGCTCGCCTGCCCTGGCCTGGCCTGCCTGCACGCTCTGCACGACGAGCGAGTGCGGAGGATCGAGAAGGTTGGAGGCGACGGGGATGGGTTGGCCGAAGAGGGGCGGCGGAGGCGCAAGGGAGCAGCCGAGATGTGATGTGACACGCCAGCGGCTGCACACCTGAGGCCGCGTCGGTGAGGGCGGTCGCACAATGATTTCAGGCAAGGGAACCAAGCTGCCCGGATGGTGCTATTCTTCTTGTTCTTTGCCGAGCGACAAGACGTCTTGCAAAGAGCACCAGATGGTCTGGGAAAGGGGACGGCCAGCTTACGAAAGACAGGCACTTGTCCGCGGCTGCAGCCCATTCCTGGGCTCCCACTGGGCCGGCAGCTAAGACCTGAGAAAGGGGGTGGAGGCACCTTAAGGTAGTCAGTGGGGAACCACGGCCGCCCAGGCCAGTCAGGTCAGTCCCCTCATGGCTTGGGCAAGTGCAGCATTGTCCGCACTGAGCACTCTGGGCTACGAGCCTGCTGGAGAGCTCCTGGCTAGTGCTGCTAACTTCGCTTGGCCACGGGCTACCACGAGCCATGACCCCATCTCTGCTGCCCAAAGGCAAGCATCAGGCATTGCAAAGGACTGCATTGAAGCTCGCCTGGCCTCACGCGGCTCGTCGACATGCCGCAGCTCCTAGTATGGAACCCAGCTCGGTTTGCCCGCGGGCTACTGTAGGTGGGTGGACATGCATATGAGCGCGTGAACCCTGGATGCTTGACAGGGCAGGACAGCCTGTCAATCTGGCACCGACGGTCAGGGTCCTCGTGGGGTTGTCCGTCGCCTTTGCCACTTGAGCACTCCGCACCCGGCCCTTCAAGCCGCCAGCTCCCTGGCCAAACACGCTCATGCGAAGAGTGGAGCGGCGGGCATCGAGGCGATGGACCAAAAGATCCATTGCAACGCTCTCGGATGATTCCCGAACAGCCCGCAGTTTGCTCTGGTCACCCGCCCGCCTCTCTGGAAGTTTGGACGAATTGGCAACCAGGATAAAGGTCCATATCATGTAGGCTGTCGTCGGTCGTCCATCATCGAGGCTGCCCACGTGGGTGGGTTCTGGAAAGGTGCCTGGCCACTAAAATGCCTCTTCTGCCACACCATTGCACTCACTCACTGGCATCTGGATAGCCTACTCGGACGGAGCGAAGCCCGGTCGCTTCGTGTCTCATCAAATACGTCGCAGGTAATCTTCGGTCGTCACCTGCTGCCACAAACCCCATCGTCGCTGTTGCCGGGTATAGTTCTACCTCGAAAAGCGTGAAGCCTCCACAACTTTGACGCCATTCTGCATGGCATCGGCTCGAGCTCTGATTAGAAGGTCGGCAAGGGACGCCCGGCACCTGGCTCAAGGCTGAATTCCTGCTAAGAACAGATTCCAGTGTCGTGGCCATCCGCCCTGGCAATGAATGAGTAGCAAAGTAAGACGAATTCGCTTGGGAAGGTCGCCCTATGGGATTTCGGGTCGGGGATGTACCCGTCCTACCGTGTGTATGGTCACGGTGATAATGGATCGAGACCATGGCGTAAACTACTGGATATGTTCATGTTTGGCTGACGCCATTATTGATTACGGCAGAGGGCGAGCCTGGTCGTCTGCAGACTGCGAGGTTTCAGTGACTACCTGCTTATAGTGACTATGGGAAGAGTTCCTTACGTAGGCCGCGTGAAAAGAAGTCTGCAGGCTTTCGAATGGGTACGATCACGCTGAATTACGCTACTTGCATTAAGGTAGGGTCCCGTGAGTATGAATGGGTACTGTACGATTGAGCTCGCTTTGTCTCTTCGTGTCTTGGTCTGACAGTTGAATCATGGCGCGCTACATGACGGCGATAGATCGGTTTGTGATGGCAGCACTTATTTGCAGCGCATCAGACAGTATCTAGTTTCAAGGCGATGCTCGGATGTCGTGGACTGGCCGAGATAGCATGCATTGTGGGCAGGGCGTGGTTCCTGCCAGAGGTCTCTGCAGCTGGTGGTTGATGGGGCCTGCCACCGCAAACTGACCACAGTTGCAGGTCCGTCCTGGTGCGCCTGCCTCGAGTGGGGCCCGCTCCCGCCAAGCCCACCCGGGCGCCGCCTTCCCCCTGGAATTCGATCAGCATCTCATCGTGACTTTATCGAGCCTCGTATTCCTTGACCGCGCCGCATCTCCTGTCCACAGCACCACGACGTGCCCTCGTCATTGTCAAGCCAGGTTGCTGGCAACAGTCAGCTTCGAGTCCTCTGCATGGCTGGCCGGACTTCTTGATTCCATCTCGAGCCCTCCACCTCGCTCCACTGCCCGCTGGCGACGCTCACTTTCGACTTCGCTGACGTGCCTCGACAACGGCTAGTCCACGACGCACGACGCTTGCCCATCTCTCAACATGGTGCGGCCCATGGGGGCAGTTCGCATGCGGCGGACAAACTATGTCACCCTCTTCATCGGAGCCGTGCTCTGCCTTTTCATCATCTACTTCCTCTCCGGCAGCGGCGACTCCTCAACCTCGACAAGCAAGACGCCCATAAAGAAGCCGACGAAATCAAGTCTTATCGGCGACCGGCCGCCCGTCAAGCGGTACAATCTGAACAATGTCACCATCACACCGGACCCTATTGGCAATCGGGAGGCTGTCCTGATCCTTACGCCCATGGCGCGCTTCTACCCCGAGTACTGGGAGAACTTGCTCAAGCTCAACTATCCGCACGAACTCATCACTCTCGGCTATATCCTGCCGAAGACAAAAGAGGGCAACGCCGCCACAGCCGCGCTTCAGGCAGCAGTCTCCAAGACGCAGCGAGGCCCCGTCAAGGATCGGTTCCGGAGCGTCGTCATCGAGCGAGAAGACTTTGAGACGCCATTGATATCCCAGGACGAGAGCGAGCGTCACAAGATGTCGAACCAGAAGGCCAGACGTGCTGCCATGTCGCTAGCTCGTAACTCTCTACTCTTTACGACACTCGGCATCGATACCTCGTGGGTCCTCTGGCTGGACGGTGATATCATTGAGACACCGCCAACCCTCATCCAAGATCTGGCTGCCCACGACAAGGCCCTTATTGTGGCGAACTGCTTCCAGAAATACACCAACCCAGAGACCGGGAAGCTGGAAGAAAGGCCGTATGACTACAACAGCTGGCAGGATAGCACTGCCGCGCAAGAAATGGCTTCGAAGATGGGTCCTGACGACATCATCGTCGAAGGCTATCAAGAGATGGCCACCTGGAGAGCGCTCATGGCTAAAATGCCCGATCCGGAGAAGAACAACAACCCCAACTTTGAAGTTCCCCTCGACGGCGTTGGTGGCACTGCGTTGCTGGTCAAGGCTGACGTCCATCGGGACGGCGCCATGTTTCCTGCATTCCCTTTCTACCACTTGATCGAGACTGAGGGTTTCGCCAAAATGGCGAGGAGATTAGGCTACAAGCCGTTCGGACTTCCGAACTACAAGGTGAGAACGCCTCGTTCCTGTGTTGAATGCACTATGCTGACGATTTAATGCTTGTCAGGTCTACCACTACAACGAATAGAGCTTTGGGAAGCCCTGCTTTCCCATACCCATGAGTCAAATCTTACTATATTATGTCATGAGGGTCATTGTTGCATAGGAGAACCGGAGTTTTTCCGACTGGTCATTGTCATCTTGGTATCATTGAACAGTGTCAAAAAGAGCATCGCGAACTCGCGACTTGTTTTATGTGTGCCCTTAAACTATGTAGGGCAGTCTGGCGAGACAATTTTCGTGTGTGGTGTCATGATTTTACAATTACGCTGTGCTTCTGAAGAGTGAATGGAAACCTAAGAGGCATTATTTTGCAAACTCGGGACATGCAGAGCTGCCCTGTACTCTGAACCCAATCGCAATCCCTCACCGCTGTCTGCCTCGCCGCATGCCAACTCCCCCATCACCTCGAGCCCATATCCCGCGCGTTTCGCTACTTTCATCGTCCCTGATACCGACCCCCATCATCATTGACCCAGAACTCGACGAGCCTCCGCGCGCCGACGGCGTCGCCCGCGCGGATCAGGGCCGCGACGTCGACGTTCAGCGGGGAATCGGTCTCCGGGCAGCCGAGGAGCATGCGGACGGCGCGGACGCTCTCGAGGATGCCGTAGGCCGGGGTCCAGGCGTCCTTGAGCAGGTCCAGGCATATCTCGCCGGTGGCGAGGGCAATGTTTGCGTGGACGACGGGCGTCACAAAGGAGATCTTGGGCGGCTTGTTGGGGTACTCTGTCGGTATCGAGATGTGTAGGAGCCAGCGGCCGTCTGTAAGTATACCGGGGGATCAATGTGTCAGCGAAAGTGTGCGGTCGGTCTCCTTAATGGATAATAATAAAACCCCAACGAATCGAGAGAACCGAGCTTCGGCGCAGCTATCGCCAGCTGGTAAGAAGACAGGGGAAGTAGAAGGGGGGGGGAGGAAGGCAAAGAGGGGATCGCTTCTCTTCAATAAAAAACAATCGCCCTCCTCCATCTGCTATTAAAACTCACCATCATAGCCGCCCCCGATCCCCCGCCCGTTGACCACGGCCTCCCACTCGAGCAGCTCTCCCTCGTTGACGGGTCCCAGCCGCTCGATGCCGGCCTCGGCCGCGCGCTCCTTCTCCCACACACCCAGCTCCTTGATCAGCCGCTTCGTCGCGCTGCGTGACGATGACGACGACGAGCCCTCACTCTTGCTCGATTTCGACTTGGATCCGCTGCCGGCCATATCTTCTTCTTCTTTGCCGTGCCGCGGTGGCGTGTTGACGTTGATGTGGAAGGAAGTCTGTCTGTTGGGGGGCCTGCGGGAGTAGATACGCGCGCATGCGCGTGTGGGTGTCGTCTTTTCGGATTGGTCGGTGTCGGACAGCTCAATAGAGGCGCGAAACAAAAAGGCTTCCAGAATATCTCCAAGATAAAGGTTACTCCGAGAAGTCCGGGCTGTTTTGTCTTCCGCGCAGGCCAGTGCGTGGGTGTCAATTGAAGGAGGCCGTTCAGAGGGGGCCGGTACCAATTGAATGCTGGCGGCGATTGTCACTGGTTGTTGTTGTTGTTGCCTGACTCTGGGCAGAAGCTGAAGCTGAAGATTAAACGCGACCCGCCCGTGGGCCCCTGCCCAGCTGGGTCGAGCCTCGGGATGCTTGGGCAGGGCAGGGGACGGGCCTCCACCCGCCCCCACACTCGCCCCAGAAATCAAGATTCACACCTTTGGGGGGAGACATCGTGGTGGTACTGGTGTTGAGGTGGTTAACGTAGGCTATGCTATGTTAAAGGACCCAGCGCAGTTCCCACCTGCACTACTGCCCGGTATTACTACACTACACACCCCGCCTAGTGCCCGAGTATCAAGTGTCGACTGTCTCTGCCAGCCTCAGCATTGCTTCCCAGAAGACAAATCCACCATGCTGTTGCGTGTCACGCGCATAGTTGTGTGGGGACGTCCATGCCGCCGCTACCCTTCGAAGCATGCTTAATCTGTAACCATAATCAATCTCTCCCACGGGCAATACCGTACACCCCTAAAGTAGTCTGCTAGATACATGGGCCACGACTGGAAGCTCTCGTCGTGCCTGAAAATTTGTTGTAGAATCGTGCAATCATCGTTATGCAATCCACCCATTGGGCGGTTAATTTCAAGGAGTATTGCGCGATATGGCTGTCGTACTGCGCAGAGCCTCATCACGACGTTCTTGCGGCGCCGTCATGGCCCAAGACAGACCGTGGCTGGCGCGTAGTTGACGCTGAGAGACGATATCGATGTGCTAGCAATCTGGGCAAGTGCCGTCCAAACACCGTCTAGGATTCGGAGTGCTGCTTCGATTTCCAGAACTGCATCATCCGACTGATGCGCTTCGCTCTGCTTACTTTTGCCTTCTGCTCAGGCTCGTCTTCCACGGCAACCTCCATGCTCAGCTTGCTTCTTTCCCCATGGGCACTGCTGATCAATCTGCTCAGGCTAGCCAGACTCGATCGCCGCCTCCCAAACGCAGTGGACGTGAAGGATGCGGGTCTCTGATCATGAAAAGGTTTGCCTCTTGGCCGGACTGGCGGTAGGAAACTACTGTCCCTAGTCATCGTAGAGTTGCTGCTGGTCAATGACGGTACATCGACAGAGATCCTCACTATCTCTGGACCCGGCTCTCCCATCAACAGAGACTGGAAGCTGTTTTCATCCGCGATGGATGAGGGCGCAGTCGAAATGCGGTGAACATCAGACATGGGCGATCGTGGGGATGGGAACGATGACGAGTGGTTCATCGAGTACGGGCTGGCGGACATCAGAGATGGAGGCGGCAAGCTCACGGACTTGACGTCTACGGGTGCAAGGTCGCGAGCGCTTCGTCTTGGGGATGGTACCGAAATGCTTGACGTTTCGGAATCAGGTCGCAAAGCAGGCTGGCATTCCTCTTCAACAATGACAAAGTCGTGAAGAGAACCCCCGGCCGTCTCCGTTCTCATGCGAGAGCCAGGTGGCTGCATGTCAAGGCTCGACCCACTACCTTTGCGCTTGATAGAGTTCGATGCCAAAGCCGACTCTGGCAAGAGAAAACTAAGATCTCTTTCCTGGGTGGGAGTGTCGGCAGAGTCGTTCTCGGACGCAGATGAGTCGACCGCCTTGCCTTTGGGGTCGGCGGGCGCTGTGATCGAATTGATAGACGAGGTGGCATCAGAAGCATCATCATCTTCTTCGTCCTCCTCAAAGACGTCGGCCATGGTTGAGGACGACCCAAAGCGATTGATACCGAACTTGCCCTCAAAGGGAGGCAAGGTCGGCGCACTCTCAGCACGGCGATGATAATGCATACCCGGACCGCTGAATCCTCTCATGCCCGCGGCACTGTGAAGAGGGCGCCGTGAAGATTGTCCCGTGCGCTGGGCAGCCTCCCATTCGGCGTTGTAGGTGGGGGTATTGAAAGGACCCAATGCAGCATCCAAATCAATCATCTGGTACGAGGCTTCGTCGTCGGAACTCGATCTGGGGCGCGTGATCTTGTGTGACGCTACTGGGAATGTGGCTGCAGACATGGGGGCGAATGGAGGCAGGTCGTCTCCGTCAGGCTCGTCTTCGTAAGCCTCGTCATCAAACATTATTCTTGGTGGTGGTGGCGTCAGGGACCGACGGCGCCCAGCTATCATCTTGGCCGAACGGGATTTGCCTTTTCGGGTCAAGATTGAAGTGCCCCAGGCACGAACCTTCTTTTGCTTCTTCTTCTTGCCAGATGACTTCTTCACGCTCGAAGTGACCTCTTCCACAACGTCGACCCGTGCCGCGTCAGGCTCGAGCTCGGGAGTCGTCACTTTATTGGACGTTCTCGAGCTGTCTGAGCCCGAGCTGTGCGGTCGCCCCTTACTCAGGGCATTTGAGCCAGTGAAAGGATCGAGCCCGAAAAAGGACCAACGCTTTGGTGTTTTGGTTGGTGTAGACACTGATGGTTCTGTAGTATCGTCTTGACTCAACCCAATCAAGAGGGGAATCGAATTACGCCGGCGAGGTGACATGGATTCAATAGGAGGCACCGCAATAGTGGGCGTGTTCTCAAGAACGGCACCGGCAGTGCTCGGTCGGGAATTCGATCTCGGTGCGGACGTGACTGACCCGAGCAGATTCCCGGAGTCCCGATCTGAAACCACGGCTCCGCCGAGGGAGATAATGGAGGAGATGCTGTTGGAAGCAGAATGGCCACCAGGTCGGATCGTTGCGAATGTGCTCGTGGTGTCTGTCGAGACGAGCGACAATGGGCGAGGTATGAACTCGAGGGTGTCGGAGAATCCAACTCGAGCACGCGGGGCCGGTTTGGGAGGGGTCTCGGCTTCTGGCTCGGGGGCTTGGACCGGTGGTTCAGGTTCAGCTGCCATAGACTCGAGAGGAGTTGTCGGCTCGTTGCTCTCACTGTCAAGCATCGGTGGTTCCATTCCAGGTGGGCTCAATAATGGCGAGGTAGGTTTGAGCGCGGCTGGGCTGGTCGGGGCGCTGCTGCCCCGGGAGGAGTTGTTGCTAGGCTTGAGAATCATCGTGAGGTCGTGTTGCGAAATGGCTGCAGAGCGGCGATGTTGGTGACCACGTCTGCGAGCGGGTGGATCAGAGGGCTTGAGGTGAGGAGACGCGAAGCCGCTTTCTGATTTGGTAGGGCTCGTGCTCATAACTGTGATTGACTCGCCAGCCCGGAGCTTGCCGCCCACAAACTCACTGGCACCACGTCGGTGTCCATGGCGGACCGGTGGCACGTGTGGAGATTGCGGTGTTTTTGGAGGGCTGAGCAGGGAGTCTTGATCGTCGAGCTTCGCACCAGGGTTGAATGAGAAGTCCGGTAACGCAGGCGAGCGCCCAGGAGATCGTGGCTGGCGGGCTGTGCTGTCTGGTGCGAGAGAGGCTCCAGGGTTGAAGCTGAATTCAGGAAGGCCAGGCGAGGGTCTCGGGCTGCGATCAGTCCCTTGTTGAAGGATCTCCGGCAGTCGGTCGGCAGGCTCAAATGCGGACCTAGTGCGCCGTCCGGTCGCCCTAGAGTACGAAGATGGAGCGGAAGAGGGTTCCTGCCGCGCGGGAAAGACGAAGTGAGGGTTTGGCGGTGGCAGCGAGAGATCCGGAGACGTGCCAAATGGGGACTTTGGATGAGAGCATGACGTGTTCTCGATCTTGATGGGCGCCGGGATGCGGATGTTGCGAGTTGGCGATTCGCCCGGCAGCCCAACAGCCGGTAGTTCGAAGGTGCTATCGGCTGTTGTGGTAGCCATTTTTATTCCAAGCTGCACTGCAGCCTGAGATAGAATTATCGGCCAGCCAAGGCTCCCATGAATCACTGAGACGTGCCCAGGCGAAGATGAGACGAGACGAGACGAGACGAAGCAGAAAAGGCGGACGTCCCTAGTCGTGGTTCGCCGAATGCAAGTGTGACATTGAGGACGCGAGTTGCGCGAGACCGATTGAGTTGATCCTGCAACAGAATGTGTTCCCGGCCCGGATGACCCAGAATACAGGCGCTATGCTGCAATGTCGACGTTTGAGGCGTCTTAAAAATGGGGGTGTAGTAGCGGTAAAGTCTCGACTGGAGAAGACGTGTGCGGATGGTTCAGTCGATGGTGTGCGAGCAGCAGCACGGCGGGGCGTGGCGTGGCAGAAGGCAAAAGCGGCGATGGTACAAAAGGAGCGGACGGTCAGGACCAGTTGCGAAGCCTGTCGCTAGACAACAGGCAGGGCGACTGGAGCTGAACCAAGTGGTGGTTGTGGTTGAGGCGAAGGGTGTCGATGCTGGTTGAGGTTGTTGTGGGAATGGTGATGGAAGAGCAACGGGCAGCGGTGTCTGGCCGAGTGGGTGGAGGGCAGAGACGCAAGGGAAAGGAGTGAGCGAGCAGCGCCAGCCGGGCCAGCCAGCCAGCCAGAGCGACGGCGGCGGACGGGAGTGGATGGCGCGGCCAGAACAGACCGGGCGCTGCTGGGCTGGCTCAGCAGGCAGCGTGGGCGCCCGCGTGCAGCTGCACCCTCACAGTGTGCAGATTACGGCCTGGGGATCCCCCCCACTGCGCGGGCGCCCATTTGGTCCCCCAGGCGCTCCCTCGCCCGTATCGCGGCAGCAGGCCCTGCCCACCTTGCCTTGGCCGGGTCTGCGCCTGTCCTTGCATGGATGCGACCATTCTGCGTGCATGCGTGCAGGCGTGCTCGCGGTGCATGCGACCATCTCTCACAATCCTGCTTGATACAGAACGCTGCCTCAGGCTTGCGCGATTAGTTGCTGCACTGGCGAGTCATTGCCAACGCTCTTCTCGCCAGGCGTCTCTGTCCTCGGCTGCCGAGACCTGCCGCCCTTCATAACCGACCTGCAATTGTCGAGCTCGTTATCGCCAGGCACTCGCAGCCACGTTATAGGGCACGCACGCCTGGTCGTGAATCTGAGATGCTTCCTTTTTCGCCTTGCATGAATGGTCCATACTGGCCAATCAATCGGTGAACCACGGCTACTGCGTAATGTCAAACGTGCTCGACCGCTCTCGATATAAGCTGGCTCTCCACGTTTCTGCTTCTACAATCACCTAGGCAATCATGCGAAGAAACAGCCCTCAAAGTACCAGGCCTGAGTGCGCAGTCCGGCCCGCGAGGCGAGTTGGAGCAGTCGACATGCGTCCTGCCAGGTTGAGGCTTGGCTACCGCCCGTCTGCATTACCATGGTGGGTTTGTCTTGGATCACTCCGTGCGGCGATGGCTTCTTTCGGCTGCACCCTGGTAGATCCGGCTTATGCTAGATAACATGCCCTTGGCCAGGCCTGCAGGGCGGTTTCCCGGCAGCAAATAGCAGGGCGCCGCCTCCCGAATCAGCACCTCCAAGCCGATGGATTGTCTTGTGTTGGTCTGGCCGCCCGTGGCTTGTATCCCCAGCCAGCCCGTCCGCGCCGTCGACTTTCAGCAATGGCCGACATCTTGGCCCAACCAGCCTGTAAACCCGTTTCAAGCCAGACGGATGCCCCTGGGCCTGCTCGGCCGGCGCAACCCAGGGCGCGCACAGACATCTCCGCATGTGCAGGTGGATCTTTTTGGGCAACCTTGCAAGTCCTGCCCAGGCTTCTGGCCACTCACGTCCCGACGCTCAAGGTTTTTTGCTGGCGGCCCTCGGGGACCCAGGCTCGCCAGGCGGTCAGGGGTTGCCTCTTCGCGGCTTAGCGGCAGACACCCTGGGCAATGCAGATGATTGTTTCCTGCAAGGTACCAGATTCGCCATGCAAGGGTCGACTATGCGCTCTCAAAGGTCGCCTGCAATCCTACAGCCAGCTTTGCAACCCACCAGGCACGCAAGAGCACAAATCCAGCAGGGTCCATGGGAATGGCACAGCGCGATGTCTCTCTGCTGTGCTGTCGATAATGCATACCTTAAGGTACTCATGTCCAAATACCGTTAAAAGAAAACACCCTGTGGCACAGGCGGATGGACGATCTGGATGCTCAGCCTCGCTCGGAGTGGCCCTCCACTTTCTCGACCTTCATTAGGCCTAGTGCATTGAGTGCACGTCAGAAACAGATTTCCGTCATGTTTGTTTCCATGGACGGACAACGGCGATGCCGCAGCCCCGTTCACCAGACTTTGAAATGGCTCGCCTGTTAGAGGATTCGGCTTGGATATGTCTGGATGAGCCGCGAGAACTTGCATCCTGCGTGCGTGTGTTGCTCCAGCTCAGCCATGTCCAAAAGGTAGAATGAAAGGGCCGCGGCTCGCTCTGACGAGGGTCACGCGGCCTCCGACCGCTCTGATTGCTTCCGACATGGGCTTTCAAGCCGCCACGGTACATCGGCAGCCCCATGACGACAAAGTGTCTCCATAGGCAGGGCCTCCTTGCAATGTTTATATTTGCTTTGCCCGGCGGCCTCAGCGAATGCCAGAGAGCACAAAAAGACGGGGCGGTCGGGGCTTGGATGGGATAATATGAACACCTCGTATCAGTGCAAAAGGCAAGGACATGCCCGAAAACGCTGCACGGCCCTGATGCTAGAAGTTATGCAAGGCACAGCTGAAGGAATTGGCCAATGGGACCTTGAGGGCGCCTAAGCTGCCGAGCTCGTCTCGCTCGTATCGTATCGTGTCCTTCCACTAGGCTGACCGGGGCGCGCACCACACAGGATTAGCTGCATCTCCTAAGGCACCTTGTTTGAGTTCGTTCATGCTGATCCGCATCAGGGCCCCCGGTGCAGAGGCCGAGAATAGAGGCTGACGGCGACTGTAAGCCGGATTGATCATTTTGGCGCAGCAATCAGTGGTGAATGTGCCAGAACTTCCGCGGCTTCACCCACTATTCTGGTCGTGGCCCAGGCAAATAGATGCGGACCCTGATCGCCACTGGTTGTGGCTATCAGCATTCCAGCACCTGCAGTTCATGCCACGCAATTTGCCATGTCTTCGAGGTCGCTATGAGTCTGCTTCTGAGCTGGGACCAGTCTGACAGCTGTCTAGGACTGCATGATTAGAAATGAGATGAGAGCCAGTTCATCATCTTAGCAGCTCTCTTGCAAGTCTATGAGGAGTTGTCCCTGGTGTTTACACGGGACCGGGGGCGCAGGCTGCTTGCTGAGCTACGGCCGACGGCTGAGTGTCATGCCCACGAGTCAATGCCAGCGCACCTGGCGCGCCTCTGTCCCAGACCCCGACTTTCCCGGGTCAGTTTGGGTGTCACGACTCGGTCCCGCAAGCGAGCTGGCAAGAAGGCACACGAGAACATGCGCGCGATTTAGGGTCCGTCCATGGGGTCGCTGACGCCCGTCAGCCAGCCTCGGCCCGTTCAGGCACTGCCCAAAGAAGGAAAGGGCCAGCGGAGCCGGCATCACTGGGCGGTGAGAAAGGGGACCCTGGAGCGATTGTTCAGAGTGGAGGAGCACTGGGGCATGGCGAATGTCACAATCCGCGGTTCGGACGAAGTCCCCACTGTGATTGGGGCAGGCCCCACGCTCACCGCCTTGCTCTTGTGGACGGCTACTGGTCATGGAGCACTGAAGCACCTGATCGTAACGGCAGAAAAAAAAACCCGTCGAGATTTGCATTACCCTACATTCAGGGATCATCCAATCCTCACGCAACTGGCAGCACGACAACAAACAGCCCGGGAGTGTCTGCAATTTCGGTCCCATCTGGCACATCCATCCGACTCCACCACGGCGAACAGACTCTGTGACGAGACGAAAACACGTGCGCATCAGCCCGTCCACCGCCCACCCATTCGTGGCTTCAGTCCCAGCTCCCAATCGCTGCCCGGTGATTTTGATCTGAAACACACCATCATGTCTTCCGAGCAAGCCCAAAATGCGCCGGTGAAGACGCAAGACGAGACTGCGGTGCCAGCACAAGGCATGCGCAGGAACGGTACGCGGGGATTTCCAGATGGCCCAACGGCCGGCCGCGAAGGACTGTCACTGACAATGTTCACCGGACCTAGGCAAGCAATGGCACGCCCCCAGAAAGGCCTTCCGCCCGGCGTCGGGGTTGACTTCATTCGCGAAGCGCACGCAGGCGCGCGCCGAACTGGCCGCCACCAAGGCGAAAGAGAAGGAGATGAAGGATGAGAAGGAGGCAGAGCGTCAGGTATGGTTGCCGAAGTCGATACAGACCTATTGCCACATTGGCAGGGTACGGCATCGCATAATGCAGGAATGCTGACCAGAGTTGATCTTCCAACCCATTTAGAGACGAGTACAAGCGATCAAAGACAAGCGCGAGGCCAAGGCTGAGAAGGAGCGATACGAGAAGATGGCTGCGACGATGCACAAAAAGCGGGTTGAGCGCCTGAAGCGCAAGGAGAAGCGCAACAAGCTCATCAACTCTTAGTTGCAGTCATGGAACTCACAGACTTTGGTTACGCAGCAAGACGAGCTTGTAGCCGATGCAGGCCTGTAGTTGTAGAAGAGGCACAAGACCCAATGTGCCTTCCTGCAGCCAGCTCCGGAGAACGACCGAAGAGGAAGCAGGCATAGGCTATGCTCCGTGCCGAACCTCTCAGCGAACAGGAGACATTGGCACGGCCGAGGGAAAGACCCATGACCCCGTGGGTGTACACGACCAAGCGACAGGCCCTCGTTGAGCTCGGGGTGTCGTTTGGGGAACAGTATCGTTGCACCAGCCTCCAAACTCGCAGCTCGACTCGCTGGAAATGGCGATCTTTTGCTTTCGGGGCCGCCTGCGAGAATTTCAAGTCTCGCCTGTGTGTGTGGCGGAGGCTTTGAAGGAAATTACCGGACCACCTCTATGCGCGATGTGCCTGGAACATGGCTGTATTTTGCGCGATTCTCAGGATTGGAAATGGTGCCGCTCCTATATTTGGCAGAGTGTCCGAGACATTACTCGGTTCAAGATGATCATGAGACAATGCAATCAGAATAAAGCTCTGGGCTGAGTCCTTGGAAATGAAGCAAAGACTTTCCTGGCTTGACCTCGTGTTGAGTTGACTTGACGCACGACTTGAGGTCATAATTAATGAATTATACTTCTGCACATATTGCATGCATGTGAAAGTGTGGGAAGACGGGGACGCTCCAAAGCACCAGGTGCAACCATAGTGGGTCAGGCCCCTGGCTGGGACGACCCAGGCAGGTATGACGCCGCTGGCTGGGACCCAAGCACAACCCTTGGGAAGAGCTGGTCCCGCATACACAACCCATCACTGCATCTCCCCTACACCTGCGTTCAAGCAGCAGAGGCAAGGAACGCAGCACGCACGGCACACAACTCCTGCGCAGTCTTCTTTGAAAGGCTCTCACGCAGCCAGAGGGGCCATGGCCCAGGCGAACAGCCCGCTGCCAGCAGCATCCACAAACACTGCAGAGGGCACCAAACAGCACCGCCAACCTCGGCACCAGATCAAGCGCTCCTTGACTGAGCTCGCAGGACCGGTCCGCCTGCCCCGGCACAATGACAAAGACCGTCAACAACAGCAGCTTCGAGGCCGCGACCTAAAAGATCATGACGAGCGCCGGCATTCTCCCCGCCATCATCAACACCACCATGGACACCACACCCACAAGGACCGCGATGAGCACCGCTCCGGACTCGTGAACCAGCTCCTGCCAGTGCCAGGCTCGGCGGGAGGCCACCATTTTTTTGGCCGCGCATCAGCGGACATGCCACGCTCAGAGCGAACTTCTTCATACTTTGGCAGCGATCTAGACCGCAGTCGGCGGCCGAGTCTAGTTGGTGGAGGTGGTGCAGCTGGTCCTGGCAAGATAGACATTTCGAATGCTGCTTCCGGAGTGATAGCTGGGGACATACAGAGACGAGCGAAGGGGAAGACAAAGGCGGAGCGGGAGGCACTGCTGCTCCGGGAACGGGCCGATGCTATCAGTCGTGCAAAGTGAGTGATGCACAGCCGGTACTGCACTTCCTTCTGCTGGCGCGAACAACAGCAAGATACGACCGCTGTGCAGGGAAGCTGCAAGTACTTGAGACGCTGAAAGCCCACAAACTGACCAAGTTGCTTGTCTACACAGCGCGCTCCGAACCTCTCTGGCCGAATTGAGCGCCTTCTCCAATGACGCGACCAAAACTTTGGACGACTCGTACTATTCGGTTCTCGAGCGGCTCGGCACCCTCCAGCAAACCATTGTTGCCTTGCGCGAGCTCGCAAGCTTGTCCAGCGATCTCGCCCAATCGTTCAAGCACGACTCGAGCGAGCTTACCGAGGAGATCGAGGCCCAGATACAGCCATTTGGCGAGCTCGACGAGCACCAGGACCGCATCAAGAGCCTACAGCAGCGCATCACTGTTGGTCGAGACAAGACGAAAGGTCTGACCGAGCGCGTAGACCGTGTGCGCGAGCGCGTAGAAGGGTGGGAGGCTGCGGACCAGGACTGGCGAGTGCGCACAAGGAAGCGCCTCAGGGTCATATGGGTGGTAGTTGTTACCACTGCTATCATCATGCTGCTGCTAGTCTTGCTGGGCGCCCACCAGGATGAGCTTCTGTCCGCGTCCACCACAGCTGCGGCAGTGGGAGCAGCATCGGCACTGTCATCAGGTATTAGCTCAGCTGGGGCTTCGGTCTACTCCTCAGCCGTACACAGGCCAGTAACGACGGGAAACTCGGGGGGAGATGTTGGCCCAGACACCCTCGGTGACGCGCTCCCAGCTGAGAGCAAGGCAGAGCAACGCTGTCATGAGGATGATGCCGTGGGTGGTTTAAGAAGACTGATTGATGAAGTCACGGAGGCTTTCCGGGCACGGCAACAGGAGGACCGACCAGATCCGGACGTGCTGAGAGTCCTTGACGAGCTTTAGGCACGGGGATTGGCATAAAGGTCATATGTTGGATTTTTTCCCCACTCTCAAATTATTTTCCTTTTTTTGCAAGATCAAAGATACCCAAATTGCGAGCGAGCAGCATCTCGATAACAGAATCCTCCATCTGCTTTTATCTCTGTGCATTGCCACATGGTGTTTGCCTGCACAAGGAGACAATACAGATCATGATGTAAAATGAGCGGGCAAAAATGATTCAAGAGCAGCAAGTTACAATCATAGAAGCTAGTTCGTTCTACGATGAGCTAAGCCATGCTGCGGCATGATGCGTTGGATTCTAATTCGAGATGACTGATAGCTATCACCCTGGAACATAATTATCTGCATTTTACTCATCTGGCCATGGAGAGCAGTCAAGAAGACATAGGCCGCACAGTCCACACGCACATGCACGCCAAGGCACAGTGACGACGCAAACTAACGGAATCAATTGAGTTTTTGACGGGAAGACCGAGCTTACGGCGATCCATCTCGCGTGCTCTGAAGAGAAAGAATAAAGTGGCATGCCGGACTGCCGTGGAGCGCGGGTGGGTGTGGGGAACTGTCGACAAACAAGGCCTGGTTCCATGTGCCGAGACATCCATCTCTGGGTCTTATAATTGTACACAGCCTCACGAATGGTGCGAATGCAAGCATGGCAGAGCGCTCTTTGATCTTCCCGAGAACGAGGGTGCTGATGACAGCACTTGGCCACTCTAGTAAATGGCATACAAACTTGTGGTATATGTAAACACCAAACGAGAAACGGCACAATTCGCCAGCATGGTCGTAATTCCGAGTGCGGTGATGACAAGGCTTGATCGATGGAGTGCTTGATGGAGTGCCCAGACGGATCGGACACCAAACACTTCCAACGTTGCCGATCATCCATCTGCATGTGGGAGAGTCTCACATTGCCCTCCATGGGCAGCCACAACTGTAGAGATCGGAGCAGCAGCCAAGACATGCATGCTTGAACCTGTGGCTCTGGGCAAATCGACGACGGGGCAAAAGAAGACCAGCAGTATCTTGTCATGGTAATGCAGTGTCGCCCGCTCACGCAGGGAGCCATGGTGGGCTTGGCCGGCAGGACAGGGCTCGAACTCAGCTGGCCAGGGCACACATGCACGATGCTCGCTGTCGATCCCGGTCATCTGGTTCCTGTCACTCCTTCGTGTGTCACAAGGCAGGGATGGTTGCCCTCTTGGCTCGCCATGGGCCAGAGCCAGATGAGATGATCTCATCAGGGTCTCCAGCTATTTTCCGCGCGGAGTGATGCCAGATCCTCCAGGAAGAAGACCGCGCCTGCGCGCGCGCAACCCCTTTGGGCACCTCCGTCGCCGAGGGTGGTTTCGCAAATGGGAGCCTGGAGAGCGAGAGCTGGGTTGCGGCGCTACTGCTTGCTCCAAGGCTGTTGGCAACGTGCCTGGCTGGCAGGGGCTATGCAAGGCGGACAGGAGGTGGGTGACGTACGCACAATAAGCGTCAAGCGTAGGGCACTCCGGCGAGCTTGTGGAGGCTCCGTGTCCCGCTCAGACCGGGACGGCACGCTTGGCAGCGCTTCTGTTGCGGCACTCAGTCACAGCGATGCGTAAAACACACTGCCGTGAGCCGTCACGCCTGGAAATCCGGCATCTCTAGCTGGGCTGTCTTGTGGAGACGAGACCCGCCACCCTGGTCGTTGCCGATCCTGGTACGTTCGGAGGGTTGTGCAGGTGTGACAACCACGTTGGGATGGGTTGTATGCAATCGCAAGTTCTGGTGCCGGACCCTCGAGGTCATGATGGGGGCAGGCGTCACCAGGTCCCAGTGATCACACGCTCTTCTTTGCCGTGGCACAGGCGCGGCAGAATACTAAGGTAGTGATGATGTGATGATGCTCTGGTTGGGCCGAAGGGCGCTCTCTCCCAAGGAGGCTCCCCCCGACGGGCCGCGCGTCGCAAGGCGGCTTGTAAATTGCGATAGTTGAAGCTATGGCGATCTGTTTCTGGGACCGCGGGTCAGCCAGTCCGGGCCACCACGGGAGGTTGACTTTGAGGACTTACGGCAGGGACCAGCGGGCACTCCCAGGTAATCTCTGGCGCACTATGATAGCACGCTTGGTTGCGAATGGTATGCCCCAGGGTGGATGAGACACGGGATTAAACCTTGCAAACACTGTTAAGCGCAGGCGTCGAGGCGTGAGCTGTTTTCGACCAGAACTGCTTCATGATGAGCAGGGCAGGGGCAGCCCGTGCCCTTTCCTGCTTGCAGGCACCCGAGTGACCTCGGGTACGCGTATGAAGGCGCGCAACGCACCACTCACTAACCTCAAGCAAGGCTTCGAGGCCGTATGTAGGTACGCTTACGCAGTCCTCACAAGCCCAACTGTAACATCGCCCAAGGCCATCACGAAACAGAACCCCATCACGGCAGCCCGGTTCCGGACTGTCCAGACTCCCAACAGTCCCAGCCAACCACTGGCAAACAACCTTGGAACCCTGGCAGTGGTCCCCTGACTCGATGTTCCCTGGCAGGCCCGCGCCATCCTGCCAACTGCGAGTGGCATTGTAATGCCCATGCGGTCCCGCCAAAAGCTGACCTCATCGCGCTAGCTAGCCCAGGCGCTCGACAATCCACGGCGTCGCTGCGCAAGCTCCCAGCTCTGCCAAATAAGCGCAGCCTCCGTCCTTCTTCCCTCTCGCTCTTCCTTATCCTCGAGCTGAAGACCAGCTTCACCACTGCTTGACAAAGCACCAGGTGCGGGCACAGAGGACCACTACAGAGCTTATTGAGCGACCAGCCGAGGCGATCAGCACCGCAGCAATGGCCACAACTACTACGTCAGCGCCGCCCAGCGGCCAGTCTGCCGCCCTGAATGGCGGGGTCCCTACGACGGCCAGCAGCAACCCATCCCACGAAGCTGCTTCTCCCCCGTCTGGCCAAATGCTTACCGGCAAGCAAGAGCACTGTTCGTCGTCCTCAGTCCTGTAGCTCTAGCAGCAGCTTTGTACACCAGTACTAACACAGAATCAGATCTCAAGCGCGAGCTTATCTCTGAGCAGGTCCACTGGGAAATCTCCGAGCTCAACTCCCCGACGGCGCTGCGCAGGTTCGGCGCACCGTTTAAGTCAGAATTTGGCGAGGTCTCTCCTCTCGACTCGGAGCTCCCCTTACTTCGCTACATCTTTGTACACCATGTTCGCGAGTTCCCATTTCTCGACAAGGCCAAGGAGAAGGAGTTTTGGCAGGATAAGTTGCAGATGGTATGTGTTTCAAAAGTCCGCGCTATACGTACAGAGCGCCGCTGATGTCTTTGTTGGATTGCTGCAGTTCCTTGAGTCCTTTGCGAACAAGTCCATTTCATCCTCCGAAGACAGATTAGAAGAGACCAAGCGCCGCAAGCTTGCGATAAAATGCAGAAAGCTGGTGGAGCTCATGATGGTGTCGGGCATTCCCACCTCTTCCGGCTTCGAAGAGCGAATAAGGTTCGCTGAGATGGAGATTGTTGATCGAGACGCAATCGACACCGGTGTGCTCAACACCATGCCTCAGGGAAACTTTATCAACGGCTGGGACGTCAACGTCGCTGGCGTACATATTACTTCAGAGCGACGCAACATTCGGTATCACAAACATGCAGTGAGTCTTATAAGTGGCCCGAATTCGTAGACGGAAAGCTGACTTCGAGTACAGGAATTCATTCTCCGTGCGCACAGGAAAGGCGAGCTCGAGTACTACATCTCCAGACGCTATGGCGACTTTGTCAAATTGCACAAGCGACTACGGACCGAACTGCCTGGAAAGATCTTGCCTCCCTTGCCGAAGAAGAACAAGTCCGACACTGACGCCACTGGTCTCTTCGCTGGTGATGGTGCCGATTCCGACGCTTCTAGTGTGTCTTCCATGTCGACAGTGAATCGGGGTAATGGACTTGCAGCATCAATGAAAAACCTGTCGGTTCGGGATCATCGCCGAAACAGGTCGACGGCGTCCTCCCTTCGTGCATCTCCACGCCCATCTACAGATGGCTCCAGGGCGGGAAGTCCCAAGGCTGAGGTATGTTTCAACGCGAGCTATTTGGAAGAGGACGTGTTGACTAACAACAAATTCTAGAATACGATACTATGGAGAGAAAACCAGCGTATATCATTGAGGGCATTCCTGAGGCAACTGCTGCAAAGCCCGCAAATTGCTGGAACAAAAGCGATCGACGAGTTCCTTACTCTAAACCACATCACACCGACTGACGAAGACGTGGAGGACATCGCCCGGCGGAAAGTCGTTGACGAGAAGAGAGTCGAGGAGCAGAAGAAGTTCTACGAGATCGCACGGAAGCGCGCGGCTGAGCTAGACGTTTACATGGAGCAATTCCGCCGCGACATTGTGGAATCCAATGGGCTCACCAACCTCTTCCAAGAAATCAAGGAGAAGGAGACCATCCCAGAGCTCAGCGTCAAATATCAAAAGTTTGCCGAATGGCTGCGCATAGAGATTGCAGCCGTCGTCTACCATCTCTTCTTGGCTGAAGACAATTCCCCGGAACTGTTTGCCCAGCTCAAGAGGATACACTCACTCATCCCTTACACGCTGCTCAAGAACGTCATCAGAATCGCAAACCCTGCTGCTGTCATGTCCGGCGTCCTCGACCTGTTCCTTGCTCAGCCGTGGGGATCTCGGTCGCTGCTCCAGCGCATCTTCTCGGCGGCTCTCAACGATGGCATCAAGAACTACCAGAGGTCGATCGACGCTGTCTCTGCCAAGATCGAGGACGACCTTCTCGTGTTGAAACTCAAGACGTTCAGCGAGGCAGATGAGCCCATCAAAGAGGCAATTCGAGAAGAAGCTGTTGCCGATGATGTCGACATCATCGTTGCTGCGCTAAGGTCAGAACTGATTGAGCCGGCTCTGACCCCAGAACAGATCACTCGCCTATACAACGCATACGTCGCGTTTAATAGTGCGGTAGAGAATATCGACGCGGAGCTCAAGCAGGGCGCTCAGTTCTTCTCACACCTCAAGCAGCTCATGAAACTCCAGACGCGTCAGCGAGACAAGACCATGATGCTGCAGCTGATTGAGGAGCCCGTCACCTTGCAGCTCTTCCGGGACCTTTTCCACATCTTCTATGAGCCTCTTGTCCGGGTTTACAAGTCGGCGAACGTGTACAACAGCATCACAGACTTCAGTGTGTTTGTTGACGACATGATACAAGTAAGCAGTCTCGTCAGAAGTGGCTGTATCATCGCATTACTGACATTATATCCCAGGTTGTTGAACGTTGCCGAGAACAGGATGCATCAGCCGATCCTAATCAGACCGTCCAGGCCTTTATTGACCTGTGTGCTCGACATGAGCACAACTTTTACAAGTTCGTCCATGAGGTGCATACACACGACAACGGCCTCTTCACGGCCCTCATGGGATGGATCGAAGGCATCCTCGAGTTTCTTCGCAAGGGTCCAGCTGGTGGCTCGATCGACATCAATGCCGTCTTTGAGGGTGGCGTTAGCACCAACCTCATTGACCGGGAAAAGGCTGTCAACGAGATCAACGAGCTCATATCTTGGCAAGAAGCCCGCAAGAAGTGGCACCACGACAAGACGCGTCAGAAGATGGCTGCTGAGGGTGAAGTAGGAGTAGACTCCACATTGCCAGGCATGCCGAGCTTCAGCGCGAGTGACTTTGGCCTCGATGAGATGGACCTCGAAGATATGAACTACGATGACGGCTCTGATGAGGAGGCCGAAGCGGCCGAGGAGGAGGAACTAGATCCGATAGAGGCGGAGCGCCGGCGCCGGTCAAAGAAGCAGGATAGACTGAGGCGAAGCGCAGGCGAGCCTGCCAAGCCGTCTGTTAGCGAGGTACATAAGCTACGGGATAACTTCCTGGCCATGCTCAGGAATGTGCTTGCTCCATAGATAGATAGAACAAAGAAAAGCCGGGCTTGGTCAGCTTCATTCGTCCAGGTTGGGATCCAGAGGTGCAGAGGTGCAGAGGTGCAGAGGGCTGGTAGTCCACGAAACTGTACGCATGGCCTGAGGGGGTAAAGGACTTTGCCATTAATGTGTCTAATGAGACTGGGATATGTCGGCCTCCTGGGACGCTGGACCGCTCATTTGTTTGTACTCCAAGGACTAAAGTCGTCGTTCCGAGACGGTCGGCATGAGGTAGATGAGGACGCAAAGTGAAACATGACGGAAAAGCTCACTTGGTGTTTACACAGGCGGCGGGGAATGCTGTGTCGTTCATTGAGAGGGCCCTCAGGATTAGACATTAAAGGTATGTAAACTACACCGGCTGGCCGGTCATGGAAGCCTCCAATCTTCAAAATGAAGCTCCTCGGCTTTCGACAGCCTGTGTGGTCAGCACGAATACAGTTTCCTGAAAAGTCAGTATGCTAAGTTCCTGGTATGCTCAATTTCTCGGCCATTTGTGCCAGCCCGCGATGGTTACCCGTCCATTTCTCGGGACCCACTTCGGGACTGCCACGAGATGGCCAATCGCCACGCGACCGTCCGATCATTTGGAAGGAGGTGCGTGCTAAGGAATTGAAATCCCCTGATTACGGTGAGCAGCTCATGAGTTACAATTGACACAAGAGCAGAGTTGCAACGTTCAAGATATATCAAAGAAGGGTTCCCGGCGGCTGGAAAGGGACCCACTAAAATGGCCCTACCATAAACATGATTGGTCGGCAAGACCTCGGTTCAAGGGAAGGGCGATCTGAATTACGCCGGCTCCGATTGGCCCAGGGCCGGCACCCGGGGCCATGGGTTGTACTCATCATCCACTGCCCAGGCGCCCGGAAGAGGCGATTTCGACCTCCACCTCTCCCGCTCCCGACCACGAGCAACCCCATCTCCGTCCGCCTGGGGACTTATTTCGCCCACTCGCATCTTCCGCGTGACAACCTCGAAATACAGCGCCGAGTCGTAGCTGGGTTCGTCTGCACCGATCATCTTGCGCGGCGCCTTTCCGACTTGTTCCCCGCAGCCGCTCACGTTTCTTGCAGCGTTCGAAAAAATATCAGCCATGGCGTCTTCGATGGCCATGCGGAGGCTCGCCACTGGCTCTGCCGTACGTTGCATTCCTGGTCACTCCGTTGCGATGCTCGGATGAGAGCGGCGGTCGGGGACATTGTGGCGGTTCCGGCGCAATTGGGCGGCAACCCGAGGATTGCAAGCCGAAGCTCATCATGATCACCCGACCACGACCAACTCTTCCGCGCGCATCATGCCGCATCGAAGTCAAACCTGGCGATGATGTGCTTTTGCTGATGGAAATATCGCAATAGTTCGCGCGTGTCCAGTCCCGGGCGTTCTCCTCGACCCGCCCTGCTTGTACGCATCCCATATTCTTGCGACGACCTTCCAGCCCGACAACAACAGCTCTCTAACTCAATCTTTTAATAGCTCGCATCTGGACAAATAACAATCTCCGTGCCAAGGAGGCAAATGTGCACATCAGCAACAAATACCCGGTCATCGTACGTTTGGCAACCGCCAACCCCCCAAAACACCACAACACATCACGACAGACTCTCACATTCGTCTGAACAGGATCATGAGTACGACGCGATCGTGTGCGGTGCTGGTGGCGCCGGTTTGAGAGCAGGATGTCTTTCTCCCCGTTCCCTGAATGAAGTTCTTGACAAATGCTGACTATATTGTAGTGTCAGTAATTTCTGCGCCGCGTACCGCGGTGCTAGCATAACGGTGGCCGATATTATACTAACAGGACTCATAGTGGCCTTGCCGAGGCTGGTTTCAAGACCGCCGTCATCTCCAAGCTTTTCCCGACACGTTCGCACACAGTCGCCGCTCAGGGTAAGAAGGCCCGAACCCTCTACACAACCACATATGTCTGACACGATTGCAGGTGGTATCAACGCCGCTCTTGGCAACATGCACGAGGACGACTGGAGGTGGCACATGTACGACACGGTCAAGGGTTCCGATTGGCTCGGTGACCAGGATGCGATTCACTACATGACACGAGAGGCCCCTGCTTCTATTATCGAGCTCGAGAACTACGGCTGCCCATTCTCCAGAACCGAGGATGGCAAGATGTAGGTTGATCCTGGGTCTTGTTTGTGTGGCAGACACTGATCGAGATATCCCATGTAGCTACCAGCGTGCCTTCGGTGGTCAGTCCAAGGACTATGGAAAGGGTGGTCAGGCTTACCGCTGCTGCGCTGCCGCTGACCGTACCGGCCACGCTCTTCTCCACACTCTCTACGGCCAGTCCCTGCGATACAACACCGACTACTTCATCGAGTACTTCGCTATTGACCTGATTATGGAGGATGGCGAGTGCCGCGGTATTCTCGCTTACAACCAGGAGGACGGTACACTTCACAGATTCATGGCCAACCACACCGTTCTTGCCACTGGAGGATACGGACGCGCTTACTTCAGCTGCACATCTGCCCACACCTGTACCGGTGACGGAATGGCTATGGTCGCTCGTGCCGGTCTGCCTAACCAGGATCTGGAGTTCGTCCAGTTCCACCCTACTGGTATCTACGGAGCTGGCTGCCTGATCACTGAGGGTTCTCGCGGTGAGGGTGGTTACCTGCTCAACTCTGAGGGTGAGCGTTTCATGGAGCGTTACGCCCCGACTGCCAAGGATCTTGCTTCTCGCGATGTCGTCTCCCGGTCCATGACTCTCGAGATCCGCGAGGGCCGTGGTGTTGGTCCCGATAAGGACCACATCTACCTCCAGCTCAGCCACTTGCCCGCCGAGATTCTTGCCGAGCGTCTCCCCGGTATCTCTGAGACTGCCGCCATCTTCGCCGGTGTTGATGTCACCAAGCAGCCTATTCCCGTCCTGCCCACTGTCCACTACAACATGGGTGGTATCCCGACCAAGTACACTGGTGAGGTCATCACCCTGGACGAGAACGGCAAGGACAAGGTTGTCAATGGTCTGTACGCTTGCGGTGAGGCCGCTTGCGTTTCCGTCCACGGTGCCAACCGCCTTGGTGCCAACTCGCTGCTCGACCTCGTCGTCTTTGGCCGTGCCGTCGCCCACACCATTCGCGACAAGGGCACCCCGGGAGCTGCCCACAAGCCCATTAGCGCCGATGCTGGTGCTGCTTCTATTGAGGACCTTGACAAGGTTCGCAAATCTGATGGACCCAAGAGCACTGCGGAGATCAGACTGGCGATGCAGAAGGCTATGCAGACGGATGTCTCGGTCTTCCGTACCCAGGAGAGCTTGGACGAGGGTGTCCAGAAGGTTACCGAGATCGATGGCACTTTCTCCCAGGTGGGCATCAAGGACCGCAGCATGATCTGGAACTCGGATCTCGTTGAGACCCTTGAGCTGAGAAACTTGCTCACTTGCGCGTAAGCTGACCTGACTTTGATGACCCCCTGACAGCACGTTCAGCTATTGACATACCTTTTAGTACCCAAACCGCTGTTGCCGCCGCCAACCGCAAGGAGTCTCGTGGTGCCCACGCCCGCGAGGACTTCCCTGAGCGTGACGACGAGAACTGGATGAAGCACACCCTGACCTACCAGAAGCAGCCCCACGGCAAGATCGACCTCACCTACAGAGGCGTCATTGCCACGACGCTTGATGAGGCCGAGTGCAAGCCCGTCCCTCCTTTCAAGCGCACCTACTAAGCGATTGCGGTGTTGGCATCTTGGCTCAGGCTCGATCATGTTTCAGCATGCGATTGACCGGATCGTCAATGTCAGCAGATGATTAGTCCCGGAGCAGGAGCGAGAGGCCTCGAATTAATCGCTATCCCGAAGCGGGAGTCTGACCGCTCAGAAGCGAGAGAAGTCTCGGAAAGGAGATGATGAGAAAGCCCCGCCAGCAGTCATACCATGTTGAAGAGTGTGGCGTTGAGAAGGGGCTTGTGTAATCCTAGGCGAGCTCTCAGGCGCATGTGTACAGGATTCGCTTAGCATTCGCTTTATTTTGTCTGTCAAAAATTACAAGAAGTTCCAAATCTGTTGTTCCTGTCCGTGTTCTGTTTTTGGTGAATTTCTCCCGTGGGCATCAGCACATGTTATTTTCCCTGTATCATAGTGTCGAACATTGCCTTGTTGGCAGTTCTGAACAATGGAGGCTAGTGCTTGGTCGCACTGCTGGTACGTGTTGGGATTGCCAAGGTGGTAAGTAAGGCGCTTTGCTTCTCTGGATGAGTCGGGCCCCCACGTGGCGCTGGGTGTGGGTGACACCTGACGGGCTATCAGCCCTGCCGTGCCTGGAACACCTTATCTCTCCCGAGGTCCGTCCCTCTCGTGCACTCGCACTCCTTCTCTCCAAGTTATCGCCTGGCTCGCACGATACCCTTTGTTTTTATTTCCCCTTGGTAACGCACTCTCTGTAACTGCCAGTCCTAATTCGTCAATCCGCTCGTCTCGTGAGCCCGCGGACTTGTCTCCTTGCTGTCAATCAGCCCCACCACCAACGACATCTCGCAAATCTGACTCGTGATAGTCACGTCCACTCCCTCGGCAGCGTGCGTTTTCTCTTCACTCCAGACACACAACCACCTCAGCTGCGTGTTTCCAAGTAGAGATCCACAAGCCTCGCAGTCATGGAGGCTATATCAAAGTGCATGGGTAATCCCTCTGACAGTCAGAGCGCCCAGCCAACCGCCGCCACACTCGTTGCGACGACCGTGGTAGCCACCGTCGCCTTTCTGGCCCTGAGCCGGATCGCCCTGTGGCCTCAACGCCAACGCATAATCCGGGGCCCGGTCACCACGAGTCTGCCTAGGATACCCAAGGCGGAGAGGGACAAGATTGTGTACACGCATGATCACTTCCCCGGCGGTCGCGATGTTGAAACTCCCGTGAGTCGCACTTCAACCCTCGCCCACCTCCAAGTAGAGGTGACCGTCGTGCTAATCATTGCTACGTGCAGTATGGTAGCATCCATGTCTACGAGTTCGGCCCCGAGGACGGCCGCAAGGTTCTTTTCGTCCACGGCATCAGCACCTCGTGCATGACCCTTGAGGACATTGTCCGTCCTCTCGCCGAGCGAGGCTGCCGTGTTATGCTTTTTGTAAGTGACCCCTGCCAGTGATCAGTCCCACCGTGTGCCACCCGTACTCATGGCTTTCAACCCCAAGGATCTCTTTGGCCGCGGATACTCGGACGCTCCCGGAGACGTCGAGTACGACTCACGGCTCTACACCACACAGATCCTCTTGGTCCTCGCCTCCTCGCCCCTGGCCTGGACTGGCAACAACGCCTTCAGCATCGTCGGCTACTCCCTCGGCGGCGGCATCGCGGCCAACTTTGCCGCTGCGTTCCCGCACATGGTCGACACGCTCATCCTGCTCGCGCCTGCGGGCATCATCCGCCCAGAGAACTTTGGCCGCATGACCCGGCTCATTTTCACCTCGGGCATCATTCCCGAGCGGCTGCTCGCGTACCTGACGAAGCGGCGGCTGGGCAAGCCCATTGCCAACTCGGTGGCGAAGCGCAAGCCGGCCGCCATTGCCAGCAACGGCAACGCTAACGGCAACGGTACAGCCTCCGGGCCACCGCAGGCCACCTCGTCGTCATCGGCGACGGGCAGGGAGACGTTCGAGGACGCCGCGCTGCAGGAGGTTGTGGACCCGCTGGACCGGCCGGACGCCGAGCCCACGGCGACCGAGAAGCGCGTGGGCGAGTTCGTCAACTGGACCATCCACCACCACGACGGGTTCGTCCCGGCCTTCATGTCGACGGTGCGCTTCGCGCCCATGCTCGACCAGCACGAGCACTGGCGCAAGCTCGCGCGCCGGGCCCCTGGCACCACGGCCGTGCTGCTCGGCAGGCACGACACCCTGGTGAACAAGGAGGATTATGCCGAAGATGCGCTTCCGCTGCTGGGCGGGGAAGGGAACGTGTTCTGGCGCGTCGTGCCCGGCGGACACAACTTCCCGTTCACGCACCCGAATAAGGTGGTCGAGCAGATCTACGAGTTTTGGGGCTGGGCGCAGGATTCGTGAAAAGGGGAAGGATGGCCAAAAATATCAGAGAGGAAAAGATCTGAGCGAGGTCTGGCCATCTTTGGGGGGCCACCTATTGACACGTTTGTTCTCCCCCCTCTGCATTAGACTTGGTTTTCCGCGTTCAGCCATGTTTCTAGAATCGTCGTTTGAACAACAGGATAGATTGTTGACATTGGAATAAATCAGATGTTTACAAAATCGTTAACGCCGTGTCATACATTATTGGGACATGATCTCGTGCTCATTAAAATGCTCTTTCCTTCCCTTCTCCCAACCAAACCTCACTCACTCTGATCTTAGTGGTCCATAGCATTACGGCCGTTGAGTAGGATCAGGCAAGTCGTCAGCGCAACCACCTCGTCCAGCTCCTCGCCGTTGAGCGCCAGGATCAGGTCCTTGCCCATGCCCCAGGGCGTGCACTGGGCAATCTCGCAGCGCTTCTGGTTGAGGCACTTTTGGAGGTAGCCGATCTGGCCGCCCTGCGTCAGGTCCCAGAAGTAGGGGATGCTGTTCTTGATAAAGGCCTCGTGCTTGTCGGCCAGCTTGTCGTCGACGGGGTACATCTCGATGGCGTGCCTTGAGTGCTCGCTCCCGGGGGGGAAGCGGATGGTCGAGTTGTCAAACGAGACAAACGTCATGTTGAGGTCACAGACCTTCTCGCCCTTCTGGTCGACCATGGTCTTGAGCGTCCGCATCATGGAGCCGCTCGAGGTGATGGTGTACTTTGGCGGCTCTGGCTGCTGGCCTTTTTCCTCGTTACCCTCGGACATGCGCTGGGCGACTTTTGCCGCCTCCTTCTGGAACGAGGAGCTGAAGTCGTCAAAGGGCTTGCGGATCTTGTCGGTGAGCTCGTAGATGAAGGCATCGCCCTTGAAGTGGATACCTCCTTTGACATAGAAGATCTTGGTCGGCTCGAGGTAGACATCCTCGTTGAGGGGGAAGTCGTCGGGGTGGAATGGGTGCGGCATGGCGGCGGCGGGCGTCTAATTCGTTTTTTTGTCTGTTGCGGGTAGTAGTTGGGATTCTGGATCTGCAATTTGGGCTCGACAGGAAGCCCTGTGGTTGTCCTGAAGATTTCTACTGGGCCCCCTTCGCATGTGTATATGATTGACTCTTGCTTGCTAGTTCCTGACAGGTGCCAGGCCGAGCAAGGTCCCTTTTTGTTAACTTTGTGTCGGCATGGCTGGCCGTGCTTCCACTGCGATGCCCGTGGCCGCGCGCAAACTGACGTCACGCAATGGGGCTCCAAACCGGATTTTCTGGCTGACAGATCATGCTGGATCCGGCACGAGGATCCGCCGTGACACATTGTAATCGGACAATTCCTAGAAGGGCCATTTGAAGAACTTCGTCATTCTCGCCTGGGGACCAGAAATTGGAGGCTCGCGTGTGCAGCGTGGACAATTGAGCCGGGCAAGGCCGCCGTTTGCTGTTGGGTCTATGAAGCTAGCGATAGGCCCGTGCTAGTAGCTCTGTGCTCTTATCCATGGCGGGGTCTGTCAAACGGTGGGGTCCCCACTGTAGGCACCTTCCTGCCAGCAACCTTTATGGGTGGAAGCGGCTGTTGCTGGGACTGTCTCGCAGAGGGATCAACGACTACAGATGAAAAGAGATGAGCGAGTTTCGTCGACTTCCAAGTGCTTTTACTCGAAAATGTAAGGGTTCTGTACAAAAGTGTTGGGGATAGAGAGAGATGCATCTCAACCATTTGAGGTGATCCAGCCTGGGCTCAGAGGCAGTCGTCACCACCAGTGGGGTGGTTGCCAGACTCGGGCTACAAGTCGTGTATTGTGCAGTAATCTGACCATGAACCAGTCCAATACTTTGGACTCATGCTTACCCAAGTCTGCAGTACCAGGCACACACGCGACCAAAGATATGAAGACCTGCCTGTTGTGCCTGGCGCTGCTGACCATGTCCAGCGCCGAGCTCTATCTGGCACCGCCGGAGTGCGCCGGTTCGGCGGCCGCCTCCACGCACTAACATCACGGCCTCCGCACTGGGACAAAGACTGGTTGTGGGGAGAGCAGGTGACCTCGGAGACAACAACTACCCCTTTCTCCCAACTCTGGAAAGGGAATACCTAGGCGCAGAAATCTACTACTTCTTGCCCGATTAAAGAAAGACTCTAGATTCATCCATTCAAGCAGTCACCTGTAGAAACCATGGCAACATCGACCATCCCGGCGTGGACCGCCACCCCAGCCAGCGACGCCGCCCGCGTCGAGGACACGTGCAAGACATACGGCCTGACCGTCAATGAGTTCCACGAGCTCCGCAAGCGTTGTGTTGCGGCAAAGGCCACAGCCTACTGCCCATACAGCCGCTTCCGCGTCGGCGCCTCGGTCATCTCTGTCGACAACGCCTACTTCGACGGCGCCAACGTCGAGAACGCCTCATATCCTGTAGGCACCTGTGCCGAGCGGGTCGCCATCGCAAAGGCCGTCACCGAGGGCCACCGCAAGCTCAGGGCCGTTGCTGTTGCCACAGACATCGCTCCCCCCGCCAGTCCTTGCGGCATGTGCCGTCAGTTGTACGTTCTCGGGGCCTGGCTTTCCGACTCTTCTCATTGCTTGCTTCAAGGCTGACAGTCTGGCTTTTTTAGCATCCGCGAGTTTTGCGCTTTGGAGGGACCAATCATCATGTTCGACAAGGATGAGAACTACACTGTCCTTCGGCTGCAAGAGGTAAGCATTCCAGAAGAAGCCTTCTTGCATTTTCAGGTGGCTAACACGGCGAGACAGCTCCTGCCTCTCTCGTTTGGGCCCGAAGCTTTGCCACCAGCAAGCTCGCTGCCTCCGCAGTAATCCGTGACCGTGCTATGATTTGTATCTTGGAGATACCATGGGGCGGCATATGCTGGAGCGGCACAGAACCATTGAAACACGCCAGGTTACAGCACCAAAGACGAAACTCGGCGCACGAAGGCGTTCGGTGCTTACCAATATTTTGAGGGGAATGGTCCGCCCTTGAGTCCCTCCAGGTTTTCGTCGGCTTCGGCATACAAGGTTCTCGGCGGCTGTCGTTGGCCCTATAGATCATACGACGAGTATGCCCGGTGTGAGAGAATGTTGCACCATGTCGCAAACAGCGGGGGCCATAGAGGTCGTTTCAATGAAGAGCAGCGGTGCAGCATCGTTATACCGAGCTTCAGCAAAAGCGTGGCCAAACAGGATACCCAGAACCTGTCCTCTGCGAGTTATGGACCTCTACTGAACATATTGAACACATGGAAAATGTGTGAACCCGAGCAATGTGAAAATCAACCGAGTGCTGGAGACGAATTATGGTTGTTGTTATCGTCCAGGAAAGGGAAATTTGATGTGGACTTCCGGGCCCAAGATGCCCAGCGGAAACGCCTCACTTCGTTCCGGTCGACTGAGCGTGTCTATTGGTGCTCAGCAAATGTCCACAAGTCTGGTCTCGAAAGGCCCACTGGAGACGCAAATGGTTGGTATGGCCCGAATGTTGGTGGTTTTGTGTCATAATCTGACTCACGACAACCAACCATTGGTCTCGCTGAGAGGCTGCAGAATATATAGGGGCCTTTCCATCATCAGGTAACCTCAGGTTTCCCAAACGGCCCACACCTCCAAAGGAGCTAAGCTTCTGAATAATCCACCACTGTTGGTTTGCAATTTGACTTTACCGCCATCAAGCATTCAACATGAACCAACATCGCAGGGTTCACCTGCAGTGGACCGGCTAGTTTGTGGCACCGTGCCCTTGGTGCCAGCGAATCAAGGTCGGCAAGCTGCCTTATAAGTAGCTTAGCATGCCCTAAATTCTTCCATCCTTTTGGACTTTCTCTTCAGGGCAACTGACTTACAACGCCCAGTCTTGCTGCGCACTCCCGCCAATTTACGCAACATGGCAACCTCGAACGAGGACTCAACGGACCAGCCTCCGTATCCCTCATGGTCCGAACTCAAGTGCGCACGGAAGTCTCTCACTTATTCAAAGGGGTACTGGCGCATCCACTGGCCTCTCGAAGGCGAGTATCCCGCAGCCATCTCCGTTGCCGCTGAACGGCGAACAGCAATCGGTCTCGAGCCATTCTACGATCCAACCACCGACAAATGGCATGATATTGCGGACCTTCCTCTCACCACTCCGGTCAAGATCTCCTCTATCACGGCCGAGATGAGGGAGCTCAATGTGTACGAGCGGGACTGGGTCGAGTGCCATCGTTATTGCGCCGGCGCGAAGTTTGTCACTTATGGAGATCTCGACGATGATGTGAGGCCGTACGCCAAGGAAATGAAGGAGGATGGCAGCTGGGAGGAGGATTCCGACACGGAATACCTCATCCGATGCTGCGGAGAGGAGCGGCCGATCGGGAAAAGGGCGTTGACGCTGAAGGTCGTTCCTCCTCCTGAGCGCGACTATCTCACGATTCGCGACTATATAAGCGGTTAGTCGGTACTCTATTCTCTTGCGTATTTCATTTCTTTTTGGGTTTCATAAAATGGGGCCATCTTTTCTGTTTGCTGAACCACTGATCCCATAGCTCTGCATCCTTTTTTTATGAGCTTGCGCGAGGACATCATGAAAGCCAAAGAAGTAGCGCCATTCGAGCAGTTTGATAAGCCCAGATCCAGGAAATGGATGATCCTACCTGGTCCCTTACACAGTCTCTCAATGGGAGACAGATGGCCGACGGCACCCGAGTAGTGCTCAATACTACTGCTCTCTCTGTGGGAAGAAAATAAGACCACATCAGCATACCGACAGGCTTCCATCGCAAGTACCCCCTTCGTCAGCGAGCATGGTTGGAAGATGTGATTCTCTTGGAATTGATAGCTGTATATATTGCGCTCGTAGTGCTGATAGACCCTTCGATCTGCAATTCTCCTGTGAAGGAGAAGATTGCTGTAAGATTGTTGGGCGTAAGAGTATATATGCCAATCTCTTAGGAAATGTTGTTCTGAGGTGGAAAGACAGTATCGAACCAGGACTGAGTAATGAGACTAGCTGTAATAGACTCTGCTACTGAAAGTACATCTAGAACCTAGTTATTTATAGCCTGCGATAAGGTTTATAGATTACATCAAGCTATTTCTACCCTCGCGATAGAAAGATACTCCCATGCAGATCTGTGTGCTGCAGTCGAAGGAGAGCAGTAGGAGCTCCGATTCGCAATGGCAGGACTAGCCACAGCTGTCCCGCAAGCGCCGTTGGAGCAGTCACGAAGGCCGTTCTTGAGACTGGCATTGTTGCACAGGCAGAATGAGTCGCGGGCGGCGCACCCAAGCGCCGGGTACTGCCCGAGCATTTTATTGAAGCAGGCCTCAATCGCAGGCCGGGAGGGAGTCGAAGCCCGCAATCTATGTGCTGGGAGGCTTGGTGGTTGTTGTCATACTTGGTCGTGCTGTGGTTGTTTCTGGGTTGCCGGAGGTCGAGGAGCTCAAATCCGTGCTCGACTCTGTGAATGGCCTCATGGATAATTGGGTAGCTGGCACGGACACGGAGAGGTTGCAGTCACCTAGCTGGCAATTGCCGATCCCGCAAAAGTCGGGGCCAGTACCGCACCGCCCTTGAGCATTGCAGCAGTCACCCCATTTCCCGGCGCACTTCTTATACCCGTGCTGTTTGCCACAGTCGCCGGTGGTGCTCCAAATCTTGTCTCCATAGCAGAGGCCTTCGTAGCATATGCCTGGCGCGCAGTCTTCTTCTCTGACAGTTGTGAACGAGGGATATGGCCCATGTTAGTAGTTGAATCTCAGGGGCTTGTTCAGATGATCTGATACTTACACGGAATCACCGCAAGTGAACGTGTTCGAGTTACAACATGGAAAGCTGGTACCCTACAAGTGGCATTGCCATTGGGAAGACCGCACTTTCTGTCCCAAGCTCTTACAGGTTCGATGACTGACTCTCAATGTTAGCTATTGCTAGCAGAAGCAGCTACTGTCCAGAAACTCGGCACTTACAACCGCGGACACAGTATTCCGTGTTATGGCGGAGGTTGTTGCATTCTTTGTTGACTCCAGGATTCAGCTGGAAGAAAAGGTCGACGGAAATACCGTAGCGTTTGGCCAACTTGGCGCAGGTGCAGCAGTCCAGCTCAGTGTCGTAGGTGTTGGCTGTGTATCGGCAGCTGATCTCGCCGGCGTTCAGGTTCCCAGTCGTAATCAAGGGGTTTGGCCCGACGGGAGTTGGAATGGCAGACTCCGATGTTGAGCTGGCGAGCAAAGTGGAAGCGTTTGTAGGGGCAGATGACGCAGAAGTAAAGATCGGCATGTCGTGTATCTCAAACTCGTCCGGCAACCACCATGCGGGCTCACATTCATCAGCTCGCACAACGCATGCCAAGTGGACGAAGAAGGCGTACAGGATGAGGGGCATGAGCCAGACTCGACCCTGCCCGGCCATTTTCGATATTTTCGTGTGTTTCGGAAGCTGTGAAGTTTGGGACACGATCGTAAGATTAAGGTAGGGGGCAACTTTTTGAAAAGAGACGGTAATGAATGGTCTTTGAGAAGGCAGAATGCTCGAGAAAAGACACAGCAGAGCAGGTTATCGCTTAGATGAAATACAGGCAGTTCCTTTCGACCCCCGTTCTCTTGTTGTTCTATTTTGCACGTCTTCACCTCGTCTCCGAGATATGTTGGTTCGTGTATGTCCGCCGAACCACAATGCACTAGTTTCGTTTTGGAGTTGGACTCGCGCAACCATGTTGGCGAGGCTGACATGCTCCCTGGTGGATGCTGCATAGAGCCGAGCGGTGCCATGTCGGCACTTAGTGAAAAGTTCATCTTTTTGCCAATAAATCTGTGGATAGCTAGCCCCTAGCGCTTCTTGTTGGTCGCGGAACTTTGGTCCCATTTCGTCCTTGACCGCCGCGTTGGTCGACATTGGATCCTTGTGAAAGACAACCCACGAAGCTTGACGTTTAATGGCTGCACAATAGGTGTGCAGGTTATCTGGGACTGGGGCTAGGCATGGAAGTCAATCACCATGGACACCGTGGGGACGGGGCTTCAAGCTTGGTGGAGATGGCGGTGTTGGTAATGGTGAGTATTTCTTTATGCTGTGATATTCCCATCTCAATCTGCGGACACTACGAGGGTTGCCTGGGCTCGAGACTCGTCCATTCCAGATTCGAAACCTCTCTCACAAGGCAAGCATGGAACCTCTGTCGTCTAGTCATAGTATTCACAGTCGGCTCCGCCTCCGATACGGACTCATTGTTCATAAACATGAACTCCATAGCGGCAGCACCAGAAACGTGAAGCACGGGTCTCGTCCTCGAGAACCTTGCGCTCTCAGGGGTCGGGGCGGCAGGTGTACAGTAGATTCAGCTAGTGCAAACTTCTGGGCTCGTCATCTTTTGCGGACCACTGGCTCGTCGGCCCGGTCCACGAAGGTTCGACAACTGCCCGTAGATTCTCTCACGGAAGGAAGACCAATAGTTTCCGCAGATATTTGTCCCTACTGGATCCCAAAGGAAACTATTTTGAGCGTCCCCGTCCCGAGTACGAAGACCAGGATGTCTCAATGATCATCCACGCCAAAGACTGGGGCGGCTCTGGTGATGGCACAACGGACGATACGGCCGCTTTCTAGCTGGCGATTAACGACAGTTTGGACAAGATGCTCTTTCTCGACGTGGGCTCGTGTATTCTTAGATCTACTATTACTATCCCTTCGGACGTATCGATTGTGGGGAAACCAGGTCGCAACTGGTTGCCTCTGGGCCTTAGTTTTCAGATGCCAGGTGAGCTCTCACACTCGTACTTTGATACAATGTTCAGAAGCTAAAGGCGGACTTGTACCCAGCAATCCCAAGGTTCTGATCCAGGTTGGATCGCCCGGTGAGATCGGTACCGGCTGCGAGTCTGATGATGTATCTTGCTCCTTCTTGGTCTGGATAGTTTGAGAACATATGGTTGTGGGGGCTGTCTACATGATTGGGTAAGTCTCCTCGTGCTTTTCCTACCAGAATCATCATGCCATGAGTCCCAGCAGCCAGTATGAAATCAGAGCCCCGTAGCCATGGTGGTGGAAGCACTGACACCCGCTGTGGGCCACCAGGCTTTAGTGCCAGACCTCCTTTAGCCGCACCAATCAGGACCCAAGTCCTTGGGTGTTTCGGCACCTGCCGGGAGGCAGCAGGGCGGCATCAGGGCAACGCGTCTTGCGACTGGGCAGCCGATGCGGCTCAAATGCGTCCCCGGAGGATGACATCACTAGATCAGGGGTGCACGGTGGTGAGCGCCCAGCATCCTCGCGCGCAAACCATGCCAGTGTTTCCAGTGTTGGTGGGTCACTCACCACCTTGGAATTTCCTGTTGATTCTTTGATGAGGTCAATACGAGGCTGGCCTCACCTAATAAGAGTACATCCTACTCTAGACGTTTAGGCCAGACCGCCATAAGCGGGTCAGCACGACGTAGACGCAGAAACTAGGACCTTGCCAAGGTACAATGATCTGCGGATAACGACGGGTTCATGGGCAAGATCATGCCGAAGCTCGTGCCATCTGAGTTCACCCCATTGTGTAGATCGCGCCGAACTTGCTAAGAACCACTGTGGAGAAACTGGAGAAAGTGCGGGTATCATGCTGGACAACAAGCACTCCGGTGCCACACCAAAGCGGATATCTGCCCCGTGGAGGGAGGGAGGTTGTCTGGGGGAGACGAGGGGGATAGCCGCAGAGGAGTCTGGGGGCTTTGTGCATGACCTGCTTATAAGAAGGGGGTCCAACACGACCTCGTTCCCTCCCGAGCCCGCCGTTCTTGTTCTTCTGCATCTCTCTCAGGATCGGCAAGCTGCTGCACTGGACTTCACACATACCAATCTCGAGGGGTCTAAACAGATTTGCCCAACATGGCGAAACTCCCCAAGATCAGTACGTGCCATGTGACTCCCACGGCCCCGACATGGCCTGCCCAGACAAGCATCATGCTGACACTTTCGCACCAGCCAAGCCTTACTTCATAGCGCTCGTCGCTACTGTTGGAGGCATGCTATTCGGCTTCGACATCTCGTCAATGGCCGGCATCATCAACTCGGAGCAGTATATCGAGTACTTTGACAACCCCTCGGGAGTCATCCAGGGTGCCATCGGCTCTTCCCTGGCCGCCGGGTCCGTCGTTGGTAGCCTGATGGCAGGGCCTATTTCGGATCGATGGGGTCGTCGTGACAGGTACGGACTACACAAGCCGTACGGCGACTAAATCGTACGAGCTCTTGTTTTGCTGACAAGCCTCTTCTTTGGTCTCCAGTATCATGTTCGCCTGCCTGTGGTGGATCGCCGGCACCTCTGTCCAGGTTGCTACGACTGGCGTAGGTAGTCTGATCGCTGGTCGTATCCTCAACGGTGTCTGCGTGGGCATCACTTCTTCCCAGGTCCCCGTTCATATTGCCGAGATCGCAAAGCACGTAAGTACCGACAAGGCTTTCGTCATTGCCTCACATCCCGCAGAGGAGACGATGACCATAAATTTTGCTCGATCACACTGACACAAAATCTGCCCCTGCCAACAGAATCAACGCGGCTCACTCGTGTGCTGCCAGCAGATTGCCATCGAGGTCGGCATCCTGGTCATGTACTTTATCGGCTTCGGATGCACAAAGATCCCGGGAACGGCCTCGTTCCGCACTGCCTGGGGCTGCCAGTTCATCCCCTGCGTCATTCTGCTCTTGGGCATGCCTTTCCTCCCCCGAAGCCCCCGGTGGCTGGCAAAGGTCGGCCGAGACGAAGAGGCGATCCAGATCCTAGCGGACATCCAGGCAGGCGGTAATATTCACGACCCGGCTGTCGTCGCCGAGTGGGAAGAGATTGTCAAAGTGATTGCGGCCGAGCGCGAGACAGGTCGCGGCTGGAGGATGTTCGTCCGCAACGGGATGTGGAAGCGGACGCTTGCGGGCATGTCTGTCCAGGCGTGGCAGGTAAGCGCACTGCCCGATGTCGTCTGATGTATCGCTTCCGCGAGCACGTTACGAGCTAATACTAACTTGGGACTGACCCTCAGCAAATGTCTGGCGCCAACGTCATGGTCTACTACATGCCATATGTCTTCCTGATGGCCGATCTTTCCGGTGACACCAATACCATCAGCGCTGGTGTGCAGTATGCTTTGTTCATCATGTGAGTCTTCTCTCCTCCAGGACCAAATCTTTTCTGGACCAGGCATGCTAACGAAGACCAACATAGTTTCACCGTCATCATGTTCTTCTTCATTGACAAGACTGGCCGCCGCACTCTGCTCATCTGGGGCGCCGTGGGCATGGGCATATGCCATTTTGTCGTCGCTGGCCTCCTGGGCGGGTACTCTGTCGACGTCCCCGAGGGCGTCAACGGCAACGCCAACGTGACGATGCGAGTCACGGGATCGCCTGCTTACGGTGTCATCGCCTTCAGCTACCTCCTCATCATTGTCTACGCCCTCACCCTCGCGCCCGTGGCCTGGATCTACGCCGCCGAGGTGTGGTCGCTGGGCACGCGGGCGACGGGCATGTCCCTCGCCGCCACGGCCAACTGGCTCTTCAACTTTGCCCTGGGCATGTTCACGCCGGAGGGCTTCGTCAACATCAAGTACAAGATCTTCATCATCTTTGGCATCCTGTGCTTCGGCGCTGCGGCACAGGCGTTCTTCACCTACCCGGAGACGTGCGGCAAGACGCTCGAGGAGATCGAGGTCATGTTTGCCAAGGGCTCGATGCCGGCGTGGAAGACGAGAAAGGGCGAGTCGCGCCTGGATGCAGAGATCCAGGCTGTGCGGGATCGCAAGGGCGCCGGGGGTTTGAATGGTGGGGATGAGCCGCGCGTGTCCACGTCAGAGAAGGTTTGACGGGCGTAGCTAACACTTGAGGGGGGGGGGCCTCAAATGCAGAAGGAAAGATTCCAGATATGGTCTTCGTTCTTCCGGGTATACGATAGAGGTGTTTGATGTTGAAAACAGCTTGAACCAGCACGAGTCCGTGGGGATTCGTGTCATAGTATCATAGTATCAAATGCCAAAATGACACTGCCATTTCAGCATCGATACATGGTGGCTGTGGCTTGACAATCGTGCCTGAAGAGCAGCTGCCAATATCCCAGGTTGAAGATGTCGTAACGTCGTGTTTGTATGCACAGGCGTGATCGAGTTATGTGTAGGAGATCAGCATCTTCAGGGAGCCTCGAAACAAGGACTCTCTATTAATGCTGGCCTATCAGGGGCTGGCGGGTCTGCATCCGGAGCACGTTTCAAGGATCTGCCCCACTCCCAGGTGCCTGTCTGTGCCTGAATGCAGGCCTGGCCCGCCCGACTGGCGCCAAATCGGGACCCTGGGGCGCAACACGCCCAGTAAACACCAAGCTCGATTCATTGGTGATCACCTCTCGTGCCCCCCTTACCCAGCGAACCATCCCGACAGGCGACGGCAACAACCCACGCCCATTGCAATACCGTCTAACATGACATTGCGGCGATAATCTCGACGAGCCTTCCGCCTGCGACACTGGTACTTTTGCCCTTTCGACTCTTGCGACTGCCCGGTCAAAAAACCATTCCGGTGAACACGACAGCGCCAACAGCACCTCCACGAGACGCCCGCGGCGACGACGACGACGACGACCAACACCCCCACGATGGACCAGGCAGACATTCCCGCGCTGCTTTCGCGGCTGGCCAGCGATGAGGACGCCGCGCGCAAGATGGCCGTCTTCAAGCTGCAGTCCTCAATCAACGACCCTGCCTTTGCCGACGTCTTCATTTCCGCGGGAGGCCTGATCATCCTGCGGCGGCTCATCATGACTGCGGGCGGCAACACGCTCGCCTACTCGCTGCAGAGCCTGACGCGCGTCCTCGAGGTCGACATGGGCTGGGAGATTTTCGAGGGTCCCACGGCCGGCGACCTCGTCGAGCGCATCGTCGAGCTCGTCGTCACCAACCCGCTCGTCAATATTCTCAGGGGCGCAATGTCCATCCTCGTCGCCCTCGTCAGCCACTCGCAGTCCGCGCCCGCGCCGACGTCGCCGACGACATCTACCGCCGGCACCCTCGGCGCCGCCAAGGCCCCCGGCTCCTTTGGCTTCCGCGCCCTCAAGCCCGCCGTCGCCGTGTACCCGCAGTTCTTCGGCCTCGTCATCCAGCAGCTGCACTCGGCCGACCACTCGCTCTGCGCCAACGCGCTGATGCTCATAAACGCCCTGATCCGGGACGCCGTGTCGAACGAGGGCGGCCAGCAGCGAGACGGCGCCAGCGGCGCCGGCAAGTCTGCGAGCTCGGGCGAGGACTGGCCCAAGTTCATCAAGAAGCTGCAGGACCTGGGCCTCATCAAGGCCGTCTTCAACCTCATGCAGAGCTCTGCCCTGCAGGACCTGGCGCACCCGCTGCTGGAGTTCCAGTCTCTGACCAAGCTGTTGCTGCGCAAGTGGAAGGAGGTCAAGGTCGACGTGGAGAAGCCGGAGCACAGACGGGCGCTCAAGGGCCTGCACCTGTCCAGTGCGCCGAGCAGGGACCTCAAGGACCTGGGCAGCACGAACCCCATTGCCAGGATAGAGGAGCTCCTGGAGAACGGCAAGAAGGGCAGCCGCAAACACAACCCGGAGAAGTGGAGACGGCTCGGCTTCGAGACGGAGAGCCCCGCGATGGAGTTTGAGGAGACGGGGTTCCTGGGCATGATGGACCTCACCGACTACGTGCGCAGGAACGAGGACAACTTCCAGAAGATGCTGCTCGAGCAGTCCACGAAGCCGCTGCACGAGAGATGCCCGATTGCCCGGGCGAGTCTGGCGGTCACGCTGACGCTCTACGAGCACTTCGACTGCGACAAGTCGGACTGGGAAGACGTCCGCGGCTATCAGCTGACAGACGCCGACCACCAGGACAAGCTTTTCCGGCCGCTCATACTGCAGTGGTCAAGGATACATACTGCAGGTCTGCACGCGTTCTTCCGACTATGGAAGGCTACCGGGGCCGAGCAATCCGACTTTGACAAGGTCGCCGAACTCATGAGAATATTAGTCGAGCAAGTCATTGGCCAGGCAGGCCGGACAAAGGACGTCATGGAGGTCGAGGAGGAGCTCTTCGAGTACGAGTGCAGCCGGCTGCGGGAGCTGCAGATGGAGCTTCTGGAGCTCTCGTTTGAGAACCAGTGGGGACAGCATCTATACCAGGTCCGCGACGTCCTCAAGCAAGAAGCCCTCACGTTTATCAAGGAGCAGCGCGTGCGGTGCCTGCTGCAGGGATCATGGTTCCAAAAGCCCGCGCCGAGAAAGGAGAGCCGCGCCGCGGCCGACGCTGCTGCCAACGGCGGCGGCCCCGGCGGCGTTGGCAACAGGAGAGCAGCAAACGGCACGCTGTGGCGGTATGTCAAGCTGTCGCATAACCGGCGCTATCTGCACTGGGCGGACTTCGCGCTGCGCACGGCGCAGGAGCCCTCCCTCGACTCGCTCGCCGAGAAGATTGACTTGCGCACAATCAGCTCGGTCGTGTCCAACGTGTCGACCACCAGCAATGACGACGCAAAGAGCGGTGTTAGCGACCCCACGCTCAAGATGCAGCCGAACGGGAACGGTCTGGGAGGTGCCGCGGGGGGGACCAAACACCTCGCCAAGATTACGATATTCAGCTTCGTCGAGAGTGACAGCAACGGCCACCTGTCCGACCACGACGACAGCGAGCATCCCAAGGAGCAGCCGCTGCTCACGCTGCACCCGATCAACCACAGCCTGGCGTCCGAGTGGCTCGACGGCCTGCTCATGCTGCTCGACCAGTCGCCCATTACGTCCGAGACCAACAAGATGACCAAGCTGGTTGAGGACTACGGGATGAAGATCCGCCTGCTCAATGTCAGGATGGAGGCAGCGTATGCCGGGCCGCCACCGGGAGCGGGCGAGGTGCCCAGCCGCGAGGGGCTGGATGATGATTACTGGTATGATATATGATGAGGGTTTGGTCGGCGGGTGGTGCGCGCAGCCAAGAGAGCTATTAGCCAGGGAGCCGCCGCGGGAGGTGGAAACGCACGTCCACGTGTCTTCTCACTGGTCTCTATTATTTGTTTGATGATTTTTACAAGTTCCGGAGAGGAGAGCTAGGACGGTGATAATCTTGGCTGCCCTTGTCTTCGGATTCCCATGGGAGCGATTGTAGGCGGAAGCATTTTGTGTGTTGAGAACGCGATATACCCTGATACAGAGGACGCTGGAAGATAGCAATTAATTGGAGAACTCCGCCTAATCCACCTGAAGAGAGTTAGTTGCATGGGACGTGGGAATTGCATGCAAGCACCACATGCCCAATACCACCACATGAGCTCAGTTGGAATAATGTGCTCACGGGCGATCTATTGACACTGCCGCCCGAGCTGGATGCCAAGTGTGCCCAGCCCCTTCAGCTGTGCTGCACGAACCGGGGGCACTTACATGCAACTCTGCATGTTCTGTTCAGCAGGGGGGCTTGGTTGGAGGACAGGGGAGGGCATTCTGGCGGGGCAGACAGCTCGCACGTACGTGCGAGCTGTCCGGGGTACATGAACCTCCTGTTGTTTCTTTTCTCGAGGTTCTACAATTCTCCTGGGCGTGTTTTGTCTCTCTTTCTCAGCTTTACCTTTTTATTTTCCTCTGCAACGCCAAGCGTTCTCAGAGCAGAGACCAAGTCCAAACAAACTTACAAGAGGACAATTGAAACGACGACCGTTTATCGAGGTGGGACGCCCGCCCCACTATTGGGCAACCTCAGCTTCAGCGGCCACTTCGTCATCGTCCTCTCCTCGCACACTATACACATTTGCTTGTCTAGCGCTCGACCGCCACGACGAAGGTCGCATTACTGATTTGACCCGTCGACTCTATGAGATACCTTCGGAAAAGTCAGGCGTGACGCTGACTATATCGAGAGCTGCCCGGACAAGTCCACCGAGAGAGTCTAATGATCTGGTTCCGCAAGTGACGTCTCCCACGACATGACATCTGAGGCGGTGCGGCCTGGTGGCATGGCTGAGTTACCAGCGGAGCCGGTGACGCCGACCAGGGGCGCGAATCGCAACCACCGTGGGAATTTCAGGAATGGGACATGGTATTGTCAGTGTTTTTATTTTCTTTCTTTCATAGATTTGTTCTATGCTGTGCGGTGACACTTGCCGGCTGCAGGTCGTTGGTCATTACCACGGGGAACCTTTTCTCTCATAACATCATGGTGACCTTCGACACAACCTCACGTGCTTTGCTTGCCGCTGCATGCATTCTTCTAGCGGCTGCAGACTTGCAAATTGTCACTGACCGTCCCAATCACAGGCGACTGCTCCCCGGCGCTGCCATGCCTGTACCTCAAAGCCGCCAACAGCAAGAACCCGGCCAACAATGGCAGGCACTTCTACAGCTGCCAGAAGGACAAGACCAAGACGAACTCGTGCGGCTTGTTCATGTGGGAGGACGAGGCAAGCTCGCGGGCGAGGAACTATCTCCTGTCGAACGGCCGGAGCGAGCTGACCCAGACTCAGCTGCCGTTCACGGCGACTCCAGCCTCGGCGGCGGTTCCTACGCGCACGACGCCAGGAACGGGAGGCGCTAGGAGTGAAAGGAGACGGCCACTCACGCAGGCTACGCTGGAGAACATGCCTATCCGTTCGAGGAGTGGTCGGCGGGCCAGGGACGCTGCTGCTGCGGCTGACGGGCTCGAGGACGGCGGTAATGCTTCTTCAGGGAGCGAGACCGCAAGCGGTGACAGCGAGAGCGGCGGATCGGCGGCTGGGCGGGGAGAAGGACAGCAGCAACGGACTCAGATGGGCGACCACGTTGATGCATCGTCATCATCATCACACACAGCCTCGTCTCGCACCCTGCGCTCGTCTGGCAGCCAGCGGCAGCAACAGCAACAAGCGTCCCAGACGGACCCTTCCCAGCAGGGCACGAAACGCAAAGCACCCGCCGGCGACGACGAGTTCAGCGACTTCTCAGACGGCGAGGTCGAGGAGCTGGCGGCCATCGAGCAGCGCTCTGGTGGGTGGAGCGGCGGCAGCACTGTCAGGACCCGCGATGTGTTTGCTACGCCGAACGTGCCTGGCGGGCGATCCATCTTCGCCTCGTTTTATCATGACGACGACGACGATAACAGTGGAAACGGCAACGGCAACGGCCTACCGACGCCAACGACGGATCGATCGGTCCGGCGTGTCCTCTTTGCTCCAAACTCGCAGCACGACAAGGACGCACAGCACGCACCGGGCAGCAACGCCCACCATCGGCTAGACACATCACCCACGGCGGCAGCAGCAGGAGCAGTAGGAGCAGCAGGAGGCAAACGCCAGCGAAACACCATAGACGGCACATACACGCCATCCACACAGCGCCGTAGCGGCGCCGCCGGCGCCGCCGCCGCTCAGACACCCTCGTCGTCGTCATCAAGGACCATGACGACGACGCCCGGCACGAGCTTCAGCAGCGACCCCGGCGAGGCCGTCAACATCACGGCAGACGTCATGGAGCTCCTGCGTGGGCAGCACGTCAGCCCGGCCGCCCTGGACGGCATCCGCGGCGTGCTCGACACGTTCGCACGCCGGACCGCCGGGTTTGAGCGCGGGCGGGACAGCAGCAGGCGCGAGATCCGGCGGCAGCAGCGCCGGATCGCCGAGCTCGAGCAGCGTGCTGCTGTCCTGGAGAACTCGCGGGATCTGGATCGTGCGGCCCGCAGGGGAGGGACGCGACGGATGGAGGAGTAGCGGTGTTGTGGTGGTTTTCTCGAGCTCGTGTTTTCCAGCATGAGATGACAGGACGAGAAAATGGTTGGTGGCCTCATGACTGACGATGATGATGATAAGACTTGGCTTATTTGTACGGCGTTTTCTTTTTCCACAATACCTATTTGCAAATCTTCTCTTGAATCTTTTCTGTCTCGCGCCACGTTCTTGCACAGATTTCCTCGTAGACATCGTTTAAATGCATTTTTTTCATTCTGTGCTTGCTCTTCACTAATCAAATGGTATCCTGCGAAGCGCCTCCCCTCCGCCCTGTTTCCTCATTGCCTGAGCCGCGGCCAGAGCACTGGGCACCTTGATCCCGCAGCAGTCGCCCCAGCTGTTGAGCTTATGTGCGTGTTTGACGCCACCATGCGCAGCGCATACGTCTCCAGAGTCGGCCTCGTCAGCATCGTCAGCACCGCCGGCGGGCTCCTCGCTCATGTCGGCTACGGCCGGTATCAGAGATCCAAAGAGGAAGTGCTGCATGACGGGCAGTTTCCGCAACACTTCAGCCACAAACATCTTGCGCATGCCACCTTCGATCTTGGTCCAGCTCTTCGCCGAGGAGATGTCGTCGAGCATAGGGCTGTGCCATCGGAGCCCCTGAACAGTCTTTGTGCTGTTGACAAAGTTGACCTGGTCAAGGTAGAGGAAGTCGTGCCCAAACTCCTCCAGGGTCAGCTCTTGGTGTATCGCAAGAGGAGTGATGAATGGATGGTGCAGGAGCTGGCTTGCTCCAAACAAGAAGGGCAGGAACTGATAGTCGTCAAGACCCCAGACTCCATGAGAGCCAGCCGGCTCGAGATAGTAAGTTGACTGAATCGCCCGCATCAGGGCCAAGTACCGGCTGAACACACGGAGAACCAAAGCCTTGAAGTCAGACTTCTGGATGATTTGCAGCTGGTAAAGGCAAAGAAGCCACATGACGAAGTTGAGCTCGTGGCCTGAGCCATAATCTATGCGCGAACGGTTGCCAAACGAGTTATTGAGATATGTCTCCACCTCGGCGATCGCCTCTGGCGAAGACAACCCGAGACTCAAATGCCAGGACGGACTCGCACTCTTAGCCTTGTCCAAGAATGTGCGGAACAGCTTGTTTCCGAATCGTGATCCTTCAGCGTCCTCAGGGGGTGTCGCGAGCACCAGCGCCTCGGCCTCGTCCAGGATCGCCACGAGGTTCTTGACGGCGGGGCTGCAGTCAGCATCCTTGAGGTCCGATGTTGGGGTGTCTGTGACAGCATCGGACAGCCCAAACACGAAGGCTAGGATTAAGTCGTAAGTAAGCGACGACAGGAACAGATCATGGTCCTTAGTAGAGAGAATCCGCCTCGAAGGGACCTGGTACGAGAGCGTTGACGCCGTTGGCGGTGGCGGCAGGGACGGCGTGGACGGGACTGGCTGGGATCCAGCAGGGACCGCTCGCTTCTTTCTAGGCTCGAGCTTGGGTAGCCTCTCCCGGAGATTTGGTAGCGATGCAGCAGGAGCTGCGGGTTGGGAGATCGAGATGGACGTCATGGTGTCTGCGGATAGAAAGGAGGGAGAGATAGAGTGAGCCTTTAGAACACACATGGAACGCACTGACATATGTCCCCGCGGATAGGCAGGCAGGTGCAGCGCAGGGTGCACGCCACGCTCACGCCATGCCCACTTCACCCATCGTCAATGGAATGGTGGGGAACAAAGTGGGTGGCGCCTAGCTCCAGCTTGCCAATTTATCGACAAGAGCTTGCATCGGCATCATTTTTTCTGGCGAAGCGCTCCCCTGCACCTGGGCAGCTCAACAACACCAAGAACGCGCCTTTCCGCAGCCTTGACCGCCCCGGCACCGAGACAGTACCTTACCTCCCAGAGCCCTCTGCCGTCGACGAAAACAATGTCGCACAGCGACCCAGAGGCGCGTCTGTCGCACCTCCCCAAGGCAGACGGATCCGCGACATTCTCGTATGCCGGCTATACAATCGTCGGAGCCGTCAACGGGCCAATCGAGGTTCAGCGACGTGATGAGCTGCCAGAAGAGGCTGCCATCGACGTCGTAGTCCGGCCAGCAGCCGGTGTTGGTGGCATGTACTTCCTTTACAGCCGTCGTGCAAGCTTGCCGTAGCTAATTGTTACAACCAGGTACCCGCGAACGCCACCTCGAATCCATCCTTGAGGCGACTCTGCGCCAGATCATTCTCGTCAACAGCTTCCCACGGACGCTCATCCAGGTCATCCTCCAGATCACCGTGGCGCCGGAGAACGAATACGTCAATGCCAAGGTCTCCCAGGCCAGTCTGGTATGTACTTACTCCAGCAGCGGCGGAGGAATAATGGGCATCTGTAGTGTTATTGAGCTGACACGGCGGCTCATTAGAATCTGCCAATGCTTCCGGCGCTTCTCCAGACTGCCGTCCTGTCACTTCTCTCAGCTGGCGTACCACTGACCGCCACCGTCACTCCGGTGTCATTCAGCATCAAACATAGCGGCTCTGAGATTGTCGTAAACCCCTCTCCGCGCCAGGTCGAAACAGCCAAGAGCTTCCATGTGTTCGCTTTCACTTCGCACGACGAATTGATACTGGCAGAAAGTGAAGGCAGTTTCACGACAAGGCAGTGGGACGACCTTTACAACCAAGCTCGTGCTTACTGCTGCCCTTCCGGCCCCTCTGGCACTGACATTGACATGGATGATGAGCGCAGCCCCGATGTCGACTTGAAGAGCTTTGTACGAAGCACCATGCAGGAAAAGATAACCGAGGACCTCCACTGGAAGACTCTTGGCTGAGGCTATTGCTTGCGAGGTCATGATCGAAACGCCAAGCAACGATGCCCCATGCAAACCCGCGAATCCCACGAGCCAGAGAAAGGTTGTTTGCTGGCTTGGAAATCGAGCCATCCAGCATGAAGAGGGTGGCGGGATCGAAGACCTGACAACAGCCTCACATTCGCCGTCTCTGAGGACAGCACTGCACAAAGGTGCACCGCTTGTTACGAAACCAGCGACACATCTAACATGGTTCGCTTCTTCAGCAACACATCAGATCGGCCAGCGACCTGGGCGCCAGGTCGTAAGCGCTAGATCAAACTCCCCGCAGCCTCAGAGTAGGATTGTGTGCAGCATAGAGAACAGGCTAAGGGATCCCTTAGCGGCTGTTGTCTGGGGTGACCGGGCCCCTGAGTATTGGCATCTGAAGCCTCAGCTCGGTGCAACATCTGGGCATATGCTAGCCGCGTCGGGCTGAAATGGACCCCTCGTCGCTTACGAGAGGGCGTTGTCATGCGCCATAAGTCAGTCATGTTACGCCGGACAATGGAAAGCAAGATGGCCACAGGACTTTGCACCCAGCAGTGTGCCCAGGGCCAAGCGCTGTGCAATTTTGTGGCGTTGTTCTCGTTGCCGGGGGATTCTCCCGTGCACGACTCAGTTTCTAGCAACGTCTGGAAATCAGTCGCCTTACCCGCAATGGAGACCGCACTTCTAACAACGACCAATGAGCTGCTTGTGAGCGTGTGAGTGAATAAACAACACAAGCGGTGCCGCCACCCTGATACCTGGCCCAAAACGGTGTATTCTCCTATCCTGTCGGGCCTGCAAAGTGGAGGAGGGACCGCTCCGCAGCGGAGGTCCCCTGCCCCCAGCGAAACTCGAAACCATCTGAAGCTGCCCTGGACGGGGCCGAGAACCCCACAGACCCGTCGCTGCCGCCGGCTCGACCAGTGTAAGGTGGCATCGAGGTTTGTGTCAAGGTAGCGCTGACAGTGCCAAACTCGGCTGAGACGACAGCAGCCCCGGTCCCGCCTGCTTCAGACTGTTAGCCTTGGCGGTCGCGATCTCAGGGGGGCCATGTAACGGCAATGATCCTCTCGAGGTTCCATCCCCGTCCCGTGAAGCTCGCCGTTGATACTGCTGTGGAGCGTGCAGTCCTCACCGCACTCGCCGTAGGACGGACCCCAGCAGTCGCTTGTAGAACCTCTACCGACACGAAGCGAGCAGGGACGGGAACGTCCCGCCCATTCACAAGCAACCCCTGCCCTGCCTCAGGAATTTCCCTATCGCTGATGGCGGATACGCGGCAGTGCTTGAGACCCCCACCGCCTCGGGACCTCAACTCTTGTCCAAAACAACTGTATCGTGGAGGATATGCAGCCATCAGGTCATGTTGACCCTTGCCCCTGTGCGGTAGCAGAAAGTCCCCTTGGTGAAGATATCGCGGGCACGTGCACCAAGCGTGGAACACCATACCTCATTGTCAGGAGAAGGCCAGGAGCTGTCAACCCTTGACAGAGCTGAATATCGCAGGGTCGCCTATTTAGCTTCGGCTGCACCTGTCGATGCTGGTCCCTCGACCTCTTCCCGGACCTTATAGACTTTTAACCTTCTTTAGATCTGCAGCGCCCTTTTTGGCCCGGCCTCGTGCAGTTTGCAGTGCGAGCAGTTCGGCAGTGGTAGAACTCTGGTAGTTCTCCATCGGTGCGGTTGATAATCTTTTCTGTCACTCACTGTCTGTCCTCCTTTCTCAGCATAGTTTTCGGTCACCGCGGTCTTGCAGCAACACAGCGCCATCTTTCTTCTTCGTCTTCTCTGTCTGGGAAAGCCGCCTCAACGACGCACGCCTGTCTTGCACACGTTTCTTCTTCTTGTGCGCCAGTGTCTCTCGGCCTCGAAGAACAGCCCGGCCCGCCGTTTGGTTCATAGTGCCGATCTAGCGCCCGACCTTAATTGTCGTTGCAACCCCATTTGACGAAGCTGGTTCTTGGTCTGCCTCGATACTTTTGTCGGCCCCGAAACCGACGACGTCACACGGCATCTCTGTGTGCGCTAGCAAGAAGACACCTCAAGGTGGTAGGTTCAACCCGAGACATCCATTCCCTCTCCCGGTCACGCTCTTTCGGACATAGCCATCTCCTCGCCGGCACCGTCACATCTGTGACTGGCCGGGGCTTACCTCGCATGTGCCCACGTGCATGCAGGGCTGCTGTGGAAAGTTCCAAGGCCATGGTGAGGGGAAATGCGGCAATGGCCAATCCGAGGCTGCATGGTACTGTCTGCATGCAGGGCTTGGGGATCGTGCATCCTCGTTGCGCACATGACGAGGCGCATCACGGAGCCACGACGAGTGTGGTCTTGAGCCAGAGACGAGAGAGAAAGGGCGGACGGGCGGCCGAGGGATCTTTGGCGGGACATTGGGGAAAGTGGCACAAGCTGACTCGACATGGGCGTGTTGCATAGCATTCCTTTGTCTCGGATAATCCCCCTGCGCTGTGGATAATAATAAGCTCGACAAGATGGCGGGATTAGCGGCCTTGAACTCCCCTTCGGGCATACACCCGGGTCTCACCCAAAACCCCGTGGCTAGCGGGGGTGCCGCTGCACCCGCTGGCGCCCCTTCGGACTCCGACACCAGCACGCCTGCTCCTGCTCAAGTACAAGACGGCCACCTCTCGCCGGCCGATGCGTCGACGAGGGTCGTCACGCACAGCATCCTCCGCGGTGCCGCACTTGACGACGCGGCCCATGCCGGCCTCCGCTCCGCGCCTCTTCCCACCAACAAGCTCGCTCACGATGAGTCTTCGGCCGTCGACCTAGCTGCCCCAGCCGTCGACCTAGCTGCCCCAGCCGACTCCCGGCTCTCTGCTCCGTCCCACCCTCGCGGCCACCGCAAGACTGCCTCCTCGGTCGACCAAGTCCCGCGCCAGACCTTGATGAAAGCGCTTGCCTCGGTCGCCCGCAAACACAAGCCAGAGTCCCTTTCACTTCCAGCCATGCTCAACGGCGACGCCTCCGCGGCCGCCCAGCGCCCGGCGTCCTCGTCCTCCCAGAGACTGTCCGACGCCCTGGCCGAGCTCGCCGCAAACAGAAACTCGCCTCTGACTGCCATCCCTGCTCTGCAGTCGCCCTGCTTCTACCACACCCGTTTCGATGATAATGTCAACATTGACAAGGTCCTCGAGGAAATCAAGAACGATGACTACATGTCGCATTCCCGCCTGGTCCAGACTGCGACCGGCGTGCGGGAGGTCTCCAAGCAGCTCCAGCGCCGCCCGATCCGGCGCGCAGTCCGCAACGTCATGATCGTCACAAAGGCCAGGGACAACGAACTTGTCTATCTCACCAGAGAACTCACCTCCTGGCTGATCAGAACTCCAAGATATGGTTCAAAGGTCGGAGTCAACGTCTACGTTGATGCTAAGCTGCGCAACTCAAAACGCTTTGGCGCAGCAAGCATCGTTGACGAAGATCCCCGTTTCGAGTCGATGCTGCGGTATTGGTCCCCCGATCTCTGCTGGAGCCACCCAGAGAAGTTCGACCTCGTGTTGACTCTGGGCGGCGATGGCACTGTTCTCTTCACTTCTTGGCTGTTCCAGCGCATCGTCCCACCTGTCCTGTCCTTCAGCCTGGGCAGTCTCGGGTTCTTGACCACTTTCGAGTATGAGAAGTACAAGCAGCACCTGAACAAGATCATGGGCGATGAAGGTATGCGGGTCAACCTTCGCATGCGCTTCACGTGTACCGTGTTCCGGGATGGCGAGGAAGGAGAGCAGTTCGAGGTTCTCAACGAGCTCCTCATTGACCGTGGGCCGTCGCCCTATGTGTCCAATCTGGAGCTCTACGGCGACAACGAGCTTCTGACCGTCGTTCAGGCGGATGGATGCATCTTCTCCACGCCCACCGGTTCTACCGCGTATTCCCTGTCCGCCGGAGGCTCGCTGGTGCACCCTGACCTTCCCGCCATTCTCCTGACCCCTATCTGTCCTCATACGCTGTCGTTCAGACCTATGGTCTTGAGCGATACCATGCTTCTGCGGGTGGCGGTGCCGCGCAATTCCCGCGCCACCGCTTACTGCGCGTTTGACGGCAAGGGACGCGTGGAACTGAAGCACGGCGACTACGTGACCATTAGCGCCTCGCAGTACCCCTTCCCGACGGTCATGAAGACGGGCAATGAGTGGTTTGACAGCGTGTCGCGCACATTGCAGTGGAACACGAGAGCTGCCACCCAGAAGGGTTTTGAGAGCGGCACCAGCACGCACGCCTCGTCTTCGGACAATGGCAAGGATGCTGATGACAACAACGATGAGCCCGAGTGGGACATTGACACCGACTCGGCCTGCTACGCCAGCGAAGACGGCGGCAGCATCAGCGCAAGCCCGCTCAGGAGACAAATGAGTCTGCTGGGCTTTTAGATGTGCTTGCACAACCATTATAGAAGGACCGCACAACTATAGACGGAAGAGAACCAAGAAACGAACCGCCGCGTAGAAAACGTGGTTGACGACAACCTGCACGGTCAGCTGCTAGCTGATCCGGACATGCACAGTTTTTCATCATTTCCTCTTTACATATAAACACATATATACCCCCACATTGGTATAACAGCGAATTTCAGGGACAAGTCCTGAGTGAGCTTTTCGAAATACAAGTCTATCATTCAAAAACACACAATGCTGGCTGTTTCAAGAAGCGAAGAGGTGATTTGCTTGCATCGTGACAAAGTATGTTGTATGGGTCTGCCATCTGGTGTAAAAAGCGCACGGAGCAGGGACGTGATAAGAACGCACATGCCGGATAGGACGCCACGGAAGCATTGCTTGAGCTCGACATGGAAAATGAAGATCCGCCGGAAATGGTGTTCATTCCGTGATCCCCAGGTCCATCTGTTCACGCGTGCGCGTCTTGTCGGAGCCACATCCACAACGGCTTGCTTTTTTCTTCTTGTTGATGGTGCACCACATTTCGAGGCTATGCGAGGCGCCCCGAGGGGTTGCATACGAGGATGCCTGCGTCGATCTAATTTCCTTTTCTACTGCTGAACATGGGTGTCACGTCCTTTGGAGGGGGAGCGTGTTGTACCTGCATCGCCCTGCACGCGACTGCGGGGAAGCCGAATAAAGGCCTGTACAGTATGGTCTTCGATGTACTAGGGTCAAGGCCGGCCACGGTTCCTTTCCTCTCAGCATCGATGATGGTCGAATGAATGAATGACTGAATATCTTGTGCGTCTTGAATTGATAACCACACTTGAGCCATGACCGATCCTGAATCAGAGACCTAAGCACATATCTTCTCCTGAGAGTCTATGTCTTGAAATCATACGTCTGTGTCCTCATACGGACATGTTGCGCTGCGGCGCGTTCAGACTGAAGCGACAAGACAGCATCATCCTCATCTGCCGCTCGATGGATGAGTGAGCACGCGTCATCGTTTCAGGGTAGAAGGTGTTGTGCATCTTCGCGCGTGTCAGAAAGACATGTGGTAATTAGGACGGCGCAAGCACCGACGCTAAGGAGTGTGTGCTTTTGTTTTTTTGTCGGTCTTCCTGTTCTGACCGCGGGGGCAAGGCACCACTGTCCAGAACAGATGCTGCGATGCCATTTGCTCCAAAGGGACACCAGGGCAATTCCCGGGGAGCAGATTGGGCCGAACTACAGGGAGGGGTACTGCTTCTTCTTTATTTAAAGTTGGTCGCAGTGCTACATTGTGGGCGAGCACGCACCAATGCGGCCTTGTTGTGCTTCAGGCGCAAAGGTGCAGTTGACGAGGCCTCGTCATTACACGGCTGCACGGCCATGTCTCGGCGCGTCAAAGGTCTCCAGAAAGTGCTGCATGTATCAAGATGTATTATGCGCCTTGACGGCAAGACAACAACAAATGCTCGAAGTCAATGGTGCGGGTTCTGATTTGAATTAGATTGATTGTGGATGTCCGAGTCCGCCCTGGAGAGGCGGGAGAGCGGACGGCCGTTACTTGAGGAACTGGGAATAAACAACTTTCCTATTTGGGCGGGCAGAGTGTTATGCCATTGGCCGACGCGCCTTGGGAGGCTGCAAGTCACTGTACCTTGGGCAGCGCCCCAGAGAAAGAGGTTGGGCGTGGGGCGGGGCCCGGACGCCCTCTGGAGGCTGGGCAGGCTGCGTCGCGTGGGCTTCGGGCGCTGCACGTCGAGAGATTACAGTGCTCAAGTGCCGGCAGGAACCAGGGCCACAGCGCTGTGACGCGCTGTGAGCCGGGCGGTCGGAGGATGCCAGGCTGGTGCTCAGGTGCAAAGTGGACGCAGACGCGCTTGTGGGGCATTGCTTACCAGCAGCGGTACGTACTGGCCAGGAACCGCGCCTGTGGACCCCAGACCCCAGAAGGCACGACACGCTTTACAACAAACCCACCCCGGTCCCCCATTTCTATCAAAGCCAATGCCACCACCACCACCACCACTTCCTGCCCGCTTCTTTTCCAGACTCTCGCTCTCGTCATTGCAAATCACGCCACTCTCTTCCTCCTCATCCTCTTCACTATACACGCCCGAGCGCTTGCTTCACGTCGGCCTCGTGGGGAGAAGTACGCTTCGACCGCGACAAGTATCAACACCGCCCCATACGCGCTGCATCTGATACACTTTGCCCTTGTTGTGGCTCCTGACAGCTAGCTGTTGTGCTCCACCGCGTCTGGTCTCGCCGCTGGCACCACTGCTCGTTCGCCACCCACCGTCCGACTCGCCATCGAGCCAGTGATTATGCACCGAGCTCGACAGTAGTGCTTTCAGTCGACAGATAGCCGTTGGAACAGTTCTGCAATCCGAAGGACAACAGCCCCGCAACAATCGCGAGCCTCACTATGGCGGACTCTACACTCCCCACAAGCAACGAAAGAGCGCTCTCGAGCAGCCCTTCGAGCATCAGCCCAGATTCCTCTGCTCTGTCTCTGCAATCTTCCTTTAGGCTAGAGTCTGGTTTTCCGGGTCATGGCTCAGACAGCGAAAAGCACCCCAAGGGAAAGCGGAAGAGGACGACGTAAGCAAAGCTCCGCAGGTCACCCCCAATTCCTTGGATCGCCAATGTACTGACCTCTCCTGGATACATCCAGATCGCATGACAAGACGATCCTCGAGACATCCTACCTCGCGAACCCTAAACCCGACAAGGCTGCACGCCTGGAGATTGTGCGGCAGGTCTCGCTGAACGAGAAAGAAGTACAGGTATGTCAAGGATAGTGCTGGACATGTGACAGTCAAGCAGTGTGCAAGTGCGCAACCATGAGTCTTGACTAACAATGTTACTTCCAAATAGATCTGGTTCCAAAACAGGCGCCAAAATGATCGCCGGAAGTCTCGGCCGTTGTCGGCAGAGGAGATTGCGGCTCTGCGGTACGGCGGTGCCGTCCAGATCTTGTCGGCAGACTCGTCTTTTGCAGTCAGCGATATTGCCGATCAGCCCTCGGCATCTTCATTCGATCTGCGCCAAAGCTCGACATCCCCACAACAGCAACCCATCAGCGCGGAGGTCGGAACCCCGCCATCCTCCTCCTCTCCAAGACCAGCCGAGCCAGTCTGCACTCCCGCCCCAGAGTCAACCGTGAAGGCGGCAGCTCAGCCGTTCGATCTGAACTCTCTCCCGTCCTCATCTCAGAAGTCCGAGCCGGAGCGGGTACCTGAAACCCAGTCTCAGTCCTTCTCAACGTCAGTAGGGTATCTGTCGAATCGCTGGAACATGAGCAATTCGTTCTCCACGCCGTCGGCGGCCGCCCACCGTGATGATGATGAGCATCGGTAAGTTACTTTGATCTATGTCTCCACGACCATACCGACTAATAATGAGACAAGGTTTGAATCAATGCCTTCTTCAGCAGAGTCGACGCACCGTCTCTCCACCTCTTCACTTTTTGCCAGCCAGACTTCTTCACAATTTCGCTTGTCACTATCGTTGGAAGGCAAGGCAGAGCTTGTTTCGTCCCAACCCTCCCCGCCGCGGCCCTCCATCTCGCCGATGCCACAAGATACAACGCCCTTGCCACCAGTCCGCTTAAATCGGACTTTGCAGAGAAGCCGGAGCTCACCTCTGGGTGTAACTCTCCCTCCAATTTCAACACTCACAGCCCACCTTCCGCCGCAGCTCAGTCGAGGCCGGTCCCGGGACGTACACGCCTGGGAGTCGTGCTGTGACGCAGACAGCCGTGACGAGCTCACTAAATTAGCCGAGAGCGAGTCCTCAGGCTCGGCTGTTGCCGCTATCAGCCTTCTCCGATCTAGCAGCAGCTCGGCAAGCCTGAGCAGCTTGGTACAAAATTCAAGCGCACCTTTGTCAAGCAGCCCTGGCAACGGCGTTCTTCAGGCAAACTCCAACAAGCGAAATGCGCCACCGAGCAACAGGACCCATGGCCGCACTGGCTCTGGGCATAAGAAACCCAAGATCAGCCGAACGACCAGCAGTGTTGCTATGATGCAGACCTCGGCCTTGCAGCACCCCGACAAGGAGAACGACGGGCTGACACAAGAGGAACTTGAGCCGGAGAAGAAGGCTGCCGGCAAGGGAAGCCTCTCCGTGATCTTGAGTCCGTCAGCTGATAGCGACAAGGAGAACTGGAGCCCGGATGAGGAGGGCAACCCAGCACACAGGAGAAGAGCCTTGCCAGAACTGTCGGCGGCCCCGAAGCTTCCCCCGGTTTTGGCAAGCAAAAACATCCGACGAGCTGGGCGTGTTCTGGGCGAGCACCACTCTTTACTGAACAAGAGAGCGAACACAGCGCCAATGCTAGGCAAGGGTGCCAACGGGAGCGGGAACCGCGACAAGGTCGACATATTCGATGACAGCACAGCTGCCGGCGAGGAGGAAGAGCAAGAAAATGCGGACAAGGAAGCTGCTGGCCCGCCGAAGAAGCGAAACGAGGTGGAACGTTTCATGCGTGGATCAGTCAGCCCGAGCAAGAAGGGCGACTTTGATTGTATAGCAGGCCTCTTGTCTTTAAGTCAAGGGGCCTGGCGGTGATGATGTACTGTTTCTGATGATAGCAGCGGTCTAGCAGAGATCTTTGTGTTCTAATATGCCCACGAATAACGACAAAAACTGGCATTTCATGATTTGACCTGAACTGACAAGTCTTTTGTGCAGGCGAGTGAAGAGTTGGAAAATCTCCGGCCCAAACATTGACAAAGCAGGACTATTGTAATTGACCGCGGCATCGTGAGCTATGCGCTGGAATTCTCGGGCCCGAATCCATCGGGTCTCTACGACGGGAACTAGTAGCAGGCGGCACAGGATCAGGCCTTATTTTCATTGTTCCTGCGACCTATATACTGAGGAGGACGCCTAGACTGTTGTTGCCTCCCCCGACGCGGTTCCAAATGGCCTCTCCCTCTGTGTGCTTAGAAACACCCATCCGCTCAGTCGAGCTGCTGCTGCTGCTGCTGGCGGCGGCGGCGGCCTACTACAAACCCGCGAGCACGCTCTGCACGCCCACGCTCCGCGCATCGTCGCGGTTCTGGATAAACGTCTTGAAGTCGGCCTTGGACAACTTCCTTCCCCCTCCGCCTCCTCCCGCGCCACCACCGCCGCCGCCGCCCCCAGCACCAGCACCTCCTCCGGCCCCGCCCGAGCCCAGGTTCCGCGACCGCTCGCGGAGGGCGTCCGGGCCGATGATGAAGAGGTACCCGATCTCGGTGAGCAGCTCGACGGCCATCTCGACCTCCTTGGTCAGGGGCCACACCTTGAGCGTGGCGACGTACTTTGCAATGTCCTTTGTGACCATGAGGCCGCCGGTGGGGTTGACCTTGAACTTTTTAAAGTGCTCGAAGACGAGGCGCTGCACGGCGAGGGCGAGCTCGCTGGCAAAGACCTCGAGGTTCTGCCCGTCGACCGTCTGCTCGACGAGCGACGTCGCGCGCGCCAGGAAGTCGCAGATGGACTTGCACGTGCCCGTCTCGAGGGACTCGATGCCCACGAGGTCGTCGCGGGGCAGGAAGTCGCCCTTTTTCTGCTGAGCGAGCGACTTGGCGACCCAGTTGACAATGACGTCGATGGTGCTCTTGACCACGCCGCTGGCCTTCTTCTCGATCGCATCGATGCCCATCTTGCTCTGTGCCTCCATGCTCCGGCGCACAGTGGTGTTGGGCTCAGCCAGGCGGATCAGGACCGCCGTGATGAAGCGCTCCATGATGCTCGTGATGGTGATGGCCGGGCGCATGTTTTGTACGTACGTGAGGTCCGGCGTCGTCTTTGTGTTTTCCTGCGAGGTGGCCTTCTCGAGCGCCGCGTCGAGGGCTGTTTCTACATACGTGTGGCCCATGCTCGTTATGAGCAGGTTGAGCAGGATGTTGACGTCCTTGGGTGTCTCGCTCTGGCTGCCCAGCTCCAACGTGCGCCGCACGCCCTCGGCCAACCAGGTCAGCATCCTCTTCGCGTTGGCGATGCTGACCACTCCGTCAGACTCGGACACCTCAATCTCGTTCTTGTTCTTGTCCGAGTCTCGCACACCAGCGACCCTCAACATCATGGCTTTTTGCGTTGGTGTGAGATCGGTCGAGTCTATGCGCTCGAGGTAGGCGTCCTTGGCAGAGGCAATCAGCTGGTTTCCCTGCTGCGCCAGAGAGGCCATGAAACCCGACGGCGCCTTCTTCCTACGCGAGTGATATATATTGTACTTGAACAGCAAGGAATTGTACAACTCTTCCAAGCTCTTCTTCTCTCGGTCAATGTACGAGTTGCCCATCATGTAGGGGACAAATAGCTCCTCGAGCTGTTGGTCCAAGGACTGCGCGATCTGCGCGGAGCAAGCTTCAGGGTGCTCCGTCAGGCCGTGGCTCTTCAGGTCTTCCACCAAAGTGCCGATGTAGCTCCTCGAAGCATGGAGGGACCGTAGGAACGCCAATGATGATATGCTGTCGGCTTTCTCGAGAACCATCTCCAGCCGCTGTTGTATCGACTGCTGAAAGACTCTCTGGATGAATTTGATGAGGACAGTCTCGTAGTAAGGAAATGCCCTCCGGATGATGAAGGACTCTTCCTGCATGACGATGCGCACTTCGTCGACAAGTGACTGCAGACTCGGCTCGACTCCCGGCGGTACTGCATCAGGGTCGGCCAGTTGCTCCCACACTTCTCCGTCCGTCGTGACCTCATCTGCGATGAGCTGGTCCCTATCGATGAAGAACTGATGCTGGTTCACAAACACCGCAATGACGCTTGCGCCACCGTTGAAGTCGTGAAGGACCTTGGCGCACTCCATCATATCTTCAAAGTTTTGCTTCCGGTAGCTGTTGTTGAACTGCTTGAGCAGGTCCTGCTCCAGCGTCTCGCAGAACTTCTCAAGGATCTCTCTGGTGTTGTGCGCCCTGCCGCCCGCCGGGGAATTCCCATTTGTTGAAGCATTCCGGCCGAGGCCATTCGTCTGAGCCCAAGAAGCAGGGTCCAGCCTCTGGCTTATGCGCATCAGCTGCTGGGCGATGACGGCGCAGCGTACCTTGTTCTCGGCACCACCTTGCCTCTGGATGTCCTGGAGTGACGAGAGCTCGCCCGTTTCGCTGACCTGGAGCCAGCACTGGATGAGGAAGTTGGCGTCTAGGGCTCGCCGTCGTTTCCGGTCGAGCTCCTCGAGGCGCTCGCCAATCTGTAGAGCAACATTGCCGTCCGAGCTGGATATCCTGCCTCGTGAAGACGCAGATCCCTGCGGGTTGTTGAGCTGGACATCGAGGTCTTCGAACTGCTGGATGGACTGTTCGAGCTTGCGCCCGAGCGTGTCGAGCGTCTGCTGGTGCTGCGCCTCTGCGCGGCGCACCTGGGACAACAGCTCCGACTCCTTCTCCTGCAGTTCCTCGGACAGGTTCCCTAGGCCTTGCAAGGCATTCTCAAAGGACCGGATGAGGGGCTTCGGGTCGAATGCGCTTGGTGCGGGGCCGGAGCGGCGGTTCGTGGGGGATATTGTCTCTGCGAGGCTGTCGACAAAGTCGCGGACGATGAAGTCCTTGCTGGAAAAGTCCTCGAGGGTGAAGCTGGGACCCTTTGGGTAGAGCGCCCGGGACCCGGAAGCTGGGCGATCCATTGGCGATCAGGGCAGCATGAGGCGCAGCGTCGACATGCGAAGACGTGGGCTGATGCGCCGAGGCCGATGTCGACAATCGATGGTGGTGGAGAGGGGCTGGCAGGCGGTTGAGACAGCAGTGGCCCTTCGAGGGGGTTGGTACTCGGGCGTCGTCGATGCAGTCGTTGGCGGGATGGTGGTCGTGCAGCAGGCTCAAAGGACGTCGTTTGCTGGCGAGGGAATGCCCGTCATGGCAAGGCAGAGGGACGGGACCAAGTACATCGCGGCCCGAGGGCTTGTGGTTGTGATGTTTGGCGACACCACCCGTGGACACCCCCTTGTTCCACAGGAGCTCTAGACTGGCCGCCCGCCCTTGGGGTGTTGCCGCTGTCCGGGGTGCTCAAGTGTGAGGAAACCTCCCGGGTAGGGTTCACTGTACTGTAGGTGTGTCTGGTATGGGCTTTTGACAAACACTACTGCACGCGCCAACTATTGCATTGTCAACGTAATTAAGGTACCTACTACATGCCTAGAACAAAGTACACACTAACGTAGGGTAGCTTAAAGTACGTCCGTCGGCACATAAAAGCAGGTAACTGCCAACGTTCACGAGGTTTGCTGCCTAGAAATGACCTTGGCGAGAGCCTCGTAATTGGCTCTGTGGGTGCTACGTAATGTGTGGCGCATTGTTTGCAAGCTCGCAGATCAACAGCCGTGTTTCCAGGTTAATTAGCGTGCAGGGCTGACGTTGTGCGAGGGAATCTCGCAGGCCAACCACTCACCCGCGCGGATCGTGCGTGCTGCGCCCAAATGCCATGCGGCGGGCCAGTCGACATCCCCAACGACTTTAAGGCGGCACTGTCTGCCAGACAGACTGGACCGACCTCTTGGCCCGGGCCTACGGCACTTCCACTCTTGTTATATCTCGACTCGTACGGCCTGCCTGCCTGTCTTGCTGCTCACCACCACACTCGCTCCCCTCGACACGCTGCCCGCAAACCCGCCCACTTACAGTACTTCCCTTTGCCGGCCCAGCCAGTGCGAGCCGGCAGACACGGCCGCGTCCCTTGTCAGCCCAGCACAAACCCTGCACCCCTCGCATGTGAAGTGCCACGAGCTTCCAGCACCGACCGACTCCTGCCACTTTGACTATAGCACGCCCGTTCGCTCCCGTCCGTGACGGCATCTGCCCGGCGGCCTTTGACAGCACTGACTGTCCTCCTCCGCAACCCAATTGCCTCGCACCGAGAGCTTCAACCTTTCTCCACCGCCGAGTGGGCTCTCTGTCCTTTACACCACACACCACACACCGCCCGGGCCGCTGCTTGTAGTCAACGATATCGGCTCTTTGGTACGGCGAACATGTCCTTCAAATCCAAAAAGACGGGCACCGTCTACCGCGATGACGACAAGCTCGCCCCCAAGGCGAACGCCAGCCTCATCAACATGAACGACCCTATAATAAAGGTACCCCCAACCCAGCCATCGCTCAATTCCGGCAGAGCTCCCGAAAGGACTAACCATGAGCAATTCACGCCAGCGTAACCAACGACTCATTCCCTTTGCCGAGCGCGCCAAGCAGGAGGAGCTCGAATCGCACTTTGGCCTCCGTCGCTTCTTCAAGAACCAGGTCTACGTCGTCCTCTACGTCCTCGTCCACGCCGTCTTCTCCGTCTACATCCGCTTTCGCATCGCGTACAACGCCGTCTCTGGCCAGCTCGCCTCCATCCTCCGCCACCATCACAACGACCCGGCCTACATCCGCAACGATGTCAGCACGCTCAAGCGCATGCCCCAGCATGTCAGCATCATCCTCACCCTCGAAGGGGGCGGCAGGAAAGGCGACGCTGTCGAGAAGCTCATTGACGAGGTTTCCGAAGTCGCTGCCTGGTGCGCCGCTGCGGGTATTATGAACCTCTCTGTGTACGAGAAGACAGGTACGCGCATGCACTTTTTGCTCAAGTTTTCAGGAGATTGGCCATGACTCTTTGACTCATGTATTTTGTTAACACACGCGCGCCACACAGGCATCCTCAAGCAATACATGCCGCAAGTCCACAACATCGTCTCCCAAAAGCTCCGCAGATGGTTCGGCAAACACTCCGGCCCCTCCTTGACCGTCTTTGCGCGCGGCGCCGAGCCCATTTACGGCCGCAACCAGGACCCGATCATGGGCCTGATGCTCTTGTCAGCCGAGGACGGCCGCGAGGCCATTGTCGACCTGACACGCGTGCTTGCCGACATGGCGCAAAAGGACAAGCTGTCTACCGCCGACATTACCGCCGATGTCATTGACAACGAGCTTAGCGAGGCCGTCATGGCCGAGCCCGACCTGCTCATCTCTTTCGAGCCTTATATTGACCTCCAGGGTTACCCTCCTTGGCAGATCCGCCTTACGGAGATTTACTACGCACCGGACAACCACGGCGTGGGGTACCAGGTCTTCCTGCAGGGCCTCCGCAAGTACGGGGAGGCGACGTTCAAGTTGGGAAAGTAGTTTAGGCTCCTCCCGGCCCTTTCCAGTGGCCTTGCATGCGCAGAGTTGGTATAGAGAGGTGCAAGAGGCACAGCTGTAATGAAGAGAACGGGGACCTTGCGTATCTCCAGGAAAAGCTTAGACGGACACCACATGGCGTCAATCTGCATCAAAATGATAATCACCTTACCAGCTCCCCTGCATCGTCATATACGCAATGCTCCGTGGTGATCAGTCTTCAAATGTCCTTCTTCCACGGCCGCATCTCCTGGTTCACCTCATCCCACGTGTATACAGGACCAGTTCCGACGTTGTACCGATAGTAATTGTCTGTCCCGCCCTTGACCATGGCGCGGCGGAAAGTTATGTTGATCCGCCCGCCGTCGGCCTCGTTCTTGCCGCTTCGCTTGGGGATCGAGTGCAGCCAGTTGGCCTGCGTAGTCCCGCGCATGAGGATCATGTCACCACTCCCGAGCGGCAGCTTGATGGGCTTGGCATCGTTGTTGGCCTGCTCGTCCTTCCCAGCCCCGGCCTTTGGTGGGGGCTTATGCTTCATCATAAAGTCCCTTCGCGCACCGAGGCTGAAGCTCGCGATCGCCGGCAAGGGCCCCAGGAAGCGCTCGTCGTCGCTGTGGTACGAGATGCTGTCCGCCCCGCTGGCGTAGTAGTTTACCAGGCAGAAGTTGAAGGTGCAACCTGCTGCGCGCTGCGTGCTGATGCGCAGGTCGTCCAGACACTTGGGGATCGGGCGCGGGTGTGTATACCCCGAGTAGAGCTTCTCCTTGGCCACGTCGACTGGCTTGAGGGTCTTGGCGTCGACCACAATCTTGCTTGCCGTTGAGTCTGCTTGGTCTCCTGGGTCTTCTAGTAGCGAGGTTTCTGATAGGCTACCTTCTGGTGATGTGAGGGACGATGCAAAATGGCTCGTGTCGTCCACTCCAAAGACAGTGGTCCACCGGGGTGTGCGTATGTGCGTCGAGAAGCCTCCACGCTGGATATCGTATTCGACTCTGTAGAAAGGCAGCGACGAGCGGAGATGGTAGAACAGGTCTTTTGCAGAAGAACGGGGTATGTACGGCTCGTAGTAGACTAAGTCTAGATCAGGCTGGTCGTTGATGACCCTTTCGAGACTGCTCGGGAGGGACGACAGCTCAGCCTTGATGTGTTGTGGCAGATGAGCAATGGGGAATGGATAGCTATCGTGTTCTGAAAAGCCAATCTGGGCGTTAATTTCCTTTCGCCCTTCATCAGAGCCGTGAACCGCTTGAGTCGTCTGCCCGTTGCTGGTAGCTCCTGTTGGCAGGTTTATCGCGGACGGCTTCGCCTTCTTGGATGAGGGGCCCCCGAAGAAGGCATCTATCGTTCTCTTCCGAGCCGACATGCTTGCAACTTCGCTATCATAAATATCAGTGTCCCGTGATCGCTCAAGTCTCGTTTCGTTGACCCCAATGATTCACAGATTACCAGAATGCTTGTGCAGCGGACTACGTTGCGGTGGAACTAGAGTCTAATATGGTTAATGACGTGTGCATTAATAACCGGAAGCGTGACAGGCACTCCAAGACAAAAAGCAACGATGCGTACTCTCTGAACAACCGAACACTTTGTCCCAGAATCCCACAATGGGTGACTGCGTCCCAGGCCAGGAACCCTTATATGCAGCCGTCTCTCATGTGGCATCGCAGATTTTTGTCCAATCATGCATCCCATTTCTTAGACGCCGCAGACATGAAAATGAGCGTGGAAACATCAAGTTGGGGCAAGTGGGTCCGTTGCCGCACTTGACGATTCACACCTGCCGTAGCAGAATTATGCTGAAATTTTGAACTTCAGGCCACCTTCCACGGGTCCTGGAATCTGAGCAGGATCACGTCCAGAACAGAACGTGCATGAGAAATTCATAGCGGCCACCTTCAGGGACGCAACACAGATGGCAGTATGATCACTTCGCGCGCTTCGTCGCCTGCCATCCTCTCACTTGACAAGCCCAAGACCACAAAGCTAACCAGAATGATTCACAGCACCAACCAGGCGGCTCAGCAGAGACTGGAACCATGCTGGCCTTCCGCCCCCCAGTCGTGCGGTCTGCCGCTGGTGTCCTCGACCGGGCTCTCTTCTCAAAGACAGTCCGACTGGCTGCAGCGGCAGTTGAGGACAAGACAAAGATTGCAAAGTGGCGCAGGACGCTCGAGAAGGCCAACGAGATGCTCGTCGTGGACCGCCTCCAGGCAATCCGGCCACATCCAGACCCTGCAATGGCCGCCAAGGGCTCAAAATGCTTGCTTCTTGATACCGCGATCAAGCACGACAACCCAGAGACTTGGGGCCCGTGTCTCAAGGAAGCCGTGAGCCAACAAGAAGTGGGCGTCGTCCCATTCGACCTCACTCTGCAATACGACTACTGGAGCTACGAGGACGTAATGTCCTCGCTTATCCCTCCGGAGGCCATTGACGTCCATGATGGCATCCCAGTTGGCTTCAACACAGCTGGACATGTGGCACATCTGAATCTGCGTGATGCATATCTTCCGTACAAGAAGCTTATTGCAGAGGTACTCGTCGACAAGAACCCAAACATCCGCACGGTCATCAACAAGACGGCTGATGTCGGCAATGAGTCCGAGTTCCGCACTTTCTCGTACGAAATCCTGGCTGGCGATCCAGATCTCAACGTAGAGGTGCGCGAGAACGAGTGCACATTCCGCTTCGACTACTCGAAAGTGTACTGGAACAGCAAGCTGCATCGCGAGCACACTCGCCTCATCGACATGTTCCAGCCGGGAGAGGTCGTTTGCGACATCATGGCCGGCATCGGTCCGTTCGCCGTGCCGGCAGGGAAAAAAGGCGTGTTCGTATGGGCAAATGACTATAATCCGGAAAGCTTCAACTGCCTCGAGGATGCCATCAAACGCAACAAGGTGAGTGGCATTACAGTGTGCCGTATTGCGGTGTCTGTCATCAGCTCTTGTTCTTGCATTTGTTCTAACCGAGTCTTTCTGGTTGATAGGTGTCACAATACGTGCGACCATTCAATCGTGATGGCAAAGTTTTCGTCACTGAAGCCGCGGACTCGGTCTTTGCAGCTTTCCAGAACGGCGAAAGTGCGCTGCATGAGCCCTCGAGGAAGGATAAACGTGACCGTAGGCGAGATCTTGCGAACGCGGCCAACCCCAGTGTCACGCCACCAGCGCCGAGGCCCGAGCCGAAGAGCACACCCATACCAGCCACAATTTCGCACTTCGTCATGAACCTCCCCGCTTCAGCTATCAGCTTCTTGCCCAGTTATCGAGGGCTGTACGTTGGCAAGGAGGAGCTGTTTGAGCCTCATACGAGCACCAAGCTGCCCATGGTCCACGTCCACTGTTTCGCACCGAAACAGGTGGACAGCGACGCACCACTGTGGGATGTCTGTGAACGTATCTCAACCGAGCTGGGCGTCCAAATCCAGCCGGGTGACCCTGAGGTCCCAGGAAGGGCCGCCATACACAATGTGCGGACTGTGGCGCCAAATAAGGACATGTTCTGCGCCTCTTTCAGACTGCTTCCAGAAGTCGCGTTCGCCTCGCGGTCCTAAGGAGATCAGAGCTGCATCGGGATCTATAGATGCCTCGGATGTCCATGTCTACTACCTCAGACGTGCAAGTGACCAAAGTTCAGTCAGATTCATACACAGCCAACAAAAAGCTCTTGCACTGAGAACGCGATGAACACCACGACGGGAACCCTTGGTCGTTCTTCAATATGGTTACGCAACAAAATGTGCTGCCATGCCATCAGCTCAAGCACATCTAAATATTGGTTGTGTCGACCGTGCGAACGGCTTGACATGCTATCACACTCCGGTTCATCGGCCACTACGCGACGTGGCATGGCACAAGCGGGAGAGGACCTGCTACCGTGCTACCATGAAGACGTTTTCGCGCACGTCCCGTCCAGATGATAGCTTCTGTCACTTCCCAAAGCTTTAATTTGTGTGGTGAACAGTTGCTACATGCTGCAATCATATCTCAAACACACGGCTACATGGTTTCACTGTAATGCTTCCAGACGCGGTTGTGAGCCGCTTAGAGCTTTATCGTTGCAACACTTGTGCGCACCAGCGGTTTGCGTACGCGGTTAGCATGCACATGCCGTGCGGGATTTGACAACGACAGACCAGAGATCAGCAACCGTATACAGCAAGAATTCAAGCAAGGAGCGATAGAATTCAGCGTCACAAGAGCAAGTTGAACGACGATCTTGTCATTAATTTTCCGTGATTGAATTCTACCTATTGATCGACAAGGACCAAAGATTCCACGCGAGGCCAAGATCCGGCCTGATGTCGGAGGTCGATAAAGTTCAGGCACGAACAGAACGACGCCTAGCTTTAGAGCACTTGCCAATTGCAGCCAGGATCCACCCCAAGAGCCGAAGCCAACAGAACTCTTTTGTTATCAGGCCGCGATATGCTCTGGGAAAGCGATTGACGTGTATCAGGAGAATAAGTGCTTCCCGTGTGCCCGTATCAATTCCGAGAAACGAAACATCGCGTTCTCGTTGCTATCTGATCTCCCTTGTGTTTCACCGATAGCGGTTCCCTAAAGACACTCTGATTGACGGCCTGGGCAAGTAGACGCATCATCGCCACCATCCGAGATACCCGTCTAGGCAAGCCGAATCTGTCGGCGAGCAACACATGGTTCTTCGGAGGAATTGCGGACCTCATGCCAGGCGGACAGGAGTTTGGAGAGCAACCAACGCATCTAATCTGCTGCAGATAAGCACACACGAGATGGGTGCAGGCTTGCTTGTGCAGGCTGCCCACAGCAGCGGGCCCTCGAGGCAGCCAAACCCTCGGCCAATTACACCCAAAACCCTCGCTGCCGTTGGGCCAAATGCACGAGCTGCATGGCGAGCCACAGCTTCAGAAGATCCGCGCGTGGCTGGCCATGTTCCTACAGTGCCACTACAGGCGTCGGCGCTGCTCGTGTCCCCCTCCCTGCATGCGTGGATGCAGTGCATGCATGCAACTCTTTCTGTTCCGCATACAGCAGCCAGCCACAGCGAGATGGTCCGGCACCGTCATCACCACCAACCACTTCAACCACACCCTGCGACAGCCGCCACCGCGTTTCCGCCATGCAGGTGGTACTGCATGTCATTCGCCCTCGCCAGTTGTCCGAACCGCCTGGGAGCAAGCACCAGCAACCTTTGGCGCATGTGGGCGTTGTCTAGCGCGGCATCGCTCATCCTTGGAGCCACAGACGGTATGTTTTCCTGCCCTGTTTTTCATGGCACAGCCTTCTTGCAATCGTACCGATTGCACCACAGTCGGGGCCTCCGTCCTCCCCCCCCCCCCCCCCCCCCCCCCCAAGATTAGCTGCGCATGTCTTATTGTCTGATCGATCTCGTCGCGTCCGGGGATGCGAACCATATGCTTCCGCCAAGTCTGCCTTGTGGGGACCCAAAGCACGACATGCTCCGCCGCCTTGCCAACCTGGCTCCAGCATGATGTAAATCCACTGCGGCTACCATCAAACCCATGTTACTGATGCCGTTGCTCCCTTACTCCTGCTCCTGCCGCGAATGATGTGCGGTGCCAGATCCGCAGTGCTAAGTCTGCTCCGGGGAACGCTGCTGCATTGGGAGCCCCGAGCAGGGTTCTGGCACGGCGCTGGGCGCCGCGTACGAACGACATAGCTTATCGTGCTGGAATAAGCTGCATCGCGATGCAATCATGGTATGAGTGCCGTCTTGCCGGTCTTTGCTCGTCGTCTCCAGTATACCCCCATGCACGGTGCTTTCACTCCGATCCGAGACGTTGATCCATAATTACCAAGGTTTGATACCTGTCACGCCATCCAGGAGCATAGCGCTTAGCCTTTGCCAGTAGAACAACTGGTCTTTTGGTTCGGCCCAGAACGGGGTCTGTCCGTTGCAGCGACCACGAGGCTGCCATCTCCCCATCACCTGGAAGGTCGCCAGTCAGACCAATGTCGAAATTGGGAGCCCTTTGCAACAAATGAATTCCACTGGCCTTGTGCCTCGAGGGGTACGAGCACTCCCTCCCTCGGTGGGCTGAGACCAGCTATGGAAACAAAGCAGGACGTCACTTGCGGCATGCCGCGCAATGTCGAAAAGGCCGCCTTCCGGGCAAGACTCCGTAGGGCAAGACATTGTCATGCCTACAGAACTCCCCACTCCATCCGGACAGCACATACTCCGTACCTCAGGAAAAACACGCGGACTCGGCCAACCGGGAGGGCCAGGTCAGAGTGGGGGGTTCAAGGTACCCGTTTGGCGCGTGCGGCCCGAAGCATGACAAGTCTTGGAACTCTGAGTTTGGCGTGTTTTCCGCGGCAGAGTAGGGTGACAAAGGAGCGCTCAATTATTCGTACATTGCTCGGAGCCGGGTCGAGCGAGCCAGCGCTGACGGCGGCGGCGACCACTGCACGGTTTGTAATAATATGCATGTGAAAATGTTTGGACGTTTTCATTCCTGGGCCCTCCGCCGGCGGGCCGCTCTTTGGAAAGCCGCGTGTTGCCTGCCGTCACCACCTGAAGGATGATACCACCTCCTCTGGCGGGCGAGATTATGGTTGAATGATTACTTGCGCCTTCTGGCTACAAGTGTAATTAGTGGCCAGCACATACGGCACAGTGAGTGTCGTTTGCGATCGCACCGGCCCGACCAAGATGGCGTGGGTGTGTGTCACGATCAGAGAGGGACGGCAGGCGGCAAGGGTGGATAACACGGCGTGCCCCCCCAAGGTTCGACGACGAACGCATCCAAACGGATTGGCCAATGAGGCTTGCCGGGGGAGGGCAGCATGTGGCATAATAGAGTCTCTGTGGTGGCTGGCCAAAGGGGTATGTACACTAAGTACGTATCCTCAGCACTGCACGACGGGCGGCCCTTGGCAGCCCATCCCCGGGGGGAAGGCCGGCGACTAGCATTGGCGCGGTGGCATCGGGCGGTGGACGAGCACCAGGAAGCGGGCGGCGGCGGCTCTCCTGGGCGGGCTCGGCCATGCAATGCAACGTCGGAAGTTGATGAGCGCGCCATGGGGCCAGCAGCTGCCGGAGCGAGAAGACTGGGCCTTGCCAGGCGCAACTGAGGCTGACCGGTCGGGGCCAGGTTGTGGCGGTAGGGCAAAGGGAGGAGTGATGGATCAATTGGCCCCGATGGGACGCATGGAGCGACGCGACCTTCCAAGGTTGATGATGGAGGACAAGCCGGCAGCCAGGCGGGGTAGGGGGGACAGCTGTTGTTGTTGATGCTGCTGCTCCTGCAGGTGTGCAACCACCACCACGACGACCGTGGCCCGCCGTTGACTCTGGCTGCAGATAGCGTGCTTACACAGTGGCATAAGTGACCTACCTACAAACGGGGGGGCCTGCGAACTGATAACGCAGCACGCCTCAAATCACGCAACACATTGCGTGGTGGTGCGCCTTTCCCCGCCTCACAGGCGTCGTCCCTGCAGTCGACCGCCGTCTCGCTTCCTTCCTGTACGTCTCACTTCTGACGTGTACCCCAGGCCGCCGCCACAAGCTTGTCCCTCTCGCCGTGCCGTGCTGTTGGCCTTCCCTCGCTCATTTCGTCGCTGTCTTGCCATGTCTTGTGGGGAATGAGCACAAACAAACTTGGACACCTGAGGGGTCCTCTGTGATCCAGCGGCTCGAGAACATTTACCTCAAGGGTAGCGTAGCCAGGCTGCATTCTAGATCCGCCAGTGGTGCCCGTTGGCGAGCAATGGCTTGCCTCGCCGCTCTTCAATTGAGTTGTTGTATGCTCAGCCCTCAAGTCTCCAGCACTGCCGCCGCCCGTCGTGGTAGTGCTGGGGGTGTGTTGTTGTTGTTGTTGCTGTTGACAGAGAACTGAGACCTGGCCGCCTGGTCGTTCGCAGGTGCTGGGCTCGGAAGTCAATCTGTCTGTCATGCCTATCATCATCATCACCACCAACCACGGGCCGTGTCAAATACAAGCACAATGGCTGGCTTTGCCTGCTTGCAGCATATCATGCATCCAATGGCTGTTTCGCCCTCGTTCCACGTTCCCCCCACGGTTAGCTGGCATGAGGCTGAGACCATCCAACAGTCCGGTCGCCCAAGTGTCCCCTTCCCACCAAGGCTGCGCTTTGCAACTCTAATCTGCGCCATGTCGGGAATTTCACGGGAGCCAGAGAACAACGGGCGGGCGCCTCGGTCTGCTTTCGAACGGGCCACGGGTGGGCCGTGGACGGATAGACGCCCGGTCGGCTGAGTAACAGAAAGCGGGAATCCAAGATTAAAAAAATAAAAAATAAAAATGCGGACTGCTCGGCTGATCCTGCTGCCGCAAGGCTTTGGGTGGAATTCCTTCCGATATCAGTGCTGAGACAATATCGAGAGCCCAGAAGCTCGGAGTCATACCCACCCAGCCGATCCACAATGTTTCAACATGGTTCGCCACAGGCCCAGGGATGAGGTGGTTGTATTGTTGTATCTAGTGATTCGGGAGCCGGGGCGTTTGCGCAGTATTGAACTGTCTATCAGACAGGTCTTGACCAGCTCGGTTCCAGGCCAGTACGAAAACGCAAAGCTTCGCGAGTTGACGCGGGTCAGGATCCCGAAACGGCCATAGGGGTACGGGCAGCACTGTTGCAGCTCCGCATGGGCGCAGGCGGCCGAAGCGGATGGGCCGGCCGACTAGCTCCGAGCAGACACGAGTGCCGTGCCGCCGGAGGTGAGACTGGCCAGGCGGCCAGGCGCCCCTGCGTAAGGTTGCCGTTTGTTGTCATCACCACATGGGCGGGATGAAGCCGGGAGATGGGGTCGAGATTGCGGCCACGCCTGAGGAGGTGGAAGCGGAGCTTGCCGTCAAATAGAAATGTGCACCACATCCAAAGCGCCACCGAGGCTTGTGACACCTTCAGTGAAAGGTCTAGACGGCCCTCTTGCAGACGGAAGCATTCGTGCAGACGACCCTAATGTGCTGTCAAAAGCTCGGGGACGCGGAACAAGTCCTGAGGGAGTTACAGTTCTTTTGCGTTAGTGAGAACCGTGGCTGCCGCTGACAGGAGGTTGACGCGATAAGTTTGGCGTCGTCGAAACTCAGCACAAATCCGTGACGTAAACTTTACGCGGCGCATCCATGACCAAGCCCAGAGTCTCTGGGCCAATGACGTATCGCTTGGCCAATGTCCTTGAGGTATCTCGCCCCAAAGGGTCTTATCATCAACCGGTTCGAGCTCCACGAGAGCCAAAGAATGAGATGTGTGAAGCTCGCCATTGTTACGTCGAGTCGCACGGCGTTCCCAGGTCATGGCCGGATTTGTTCAAACAGCCAAACATGTCGTTGAGCTTCGCGACTATTCGCAGGGCAGTGTCGACCGGCGAGAATCGCCAGTTTAGTCCTCTGCTCCAAGTTCGGAGGAGTGGCGTGCCGCAACCGACCTGTGGTGTCAGAGGTTATTTCTTCTGTTTGCTCGCGTAATTACCCGATCAGCCAATCCTCGAAAATATGAGGTGATTCAAGTGCCGATTGTCGGTCAACCAGAACCTACAATGAACATGTCAGGGTCCTCGGGAGAATGTGGCCATACTCGACGCCAGCAGTCTCAGCTTATGTGCCCCGTACTTGCCGGATGCCCCCAGAACCAAATATGGGAAAGGCTGGATGAACCCTGGCCCCGCGGATCACCTGGAGTTTCCCCGGCTGGCGGAGATTGACGGGCGAGCTTGGCACGATAGTAAGTCGCTTCTCTGTGTGTGGGTTTTCAATTGGCGCCAGTTCTGTACCCCCTCTGTCAGTCAACGTGCAGGAAAACCCCGGCCGAGCAACGCGGGCCACCTTGGTCGCTTGATATCTGAACAGTCATCAAAAGTCTATCCTGCCCTCCAATCCTTACTAGGCCGAGACGTGGAGGCTAGGATAGCGATGACGGATTGCCAATGTTGGCTCCTTTCGAAAGAGGTCAGCATCGTCAACCAGTGTTGGTTAATAAGACTGTGAAAGACTTGCGTTGCTAGACCGGATTGAATGATTGGAAACTACTGCCAAACAGACTTTGCGGAGTCATCACCTCAACTCGTGTCTTATTGCCCATCGCGGGTTCCGAAGGAGTCCAGTGGCGTGGTGCCTACCTCCACGGAGGGGCGCATAGAGACAGGTCGGTCCCTGCACAGCCGAGTTCCTAGGCCCGAGTGACGGGGATTTCCCGGCACGGCTGGAAGTGTCTGGCCGGCCGGCCAGGGCTCGCAGCACGTAGGCGCGAGTCCACTTTGCGGAGTTGCTGACTTTCTCTATGCTCAGTGGTTGAGAGAGCACCGCTAAGGCACTAGGGCAATCCACCATGGAGGGTTTGTTTGAGATCTCCCGTTGGCGCTTCCCCAGCTCGCCAGGGCCAGGAGCCGCAAGGAAGGCACCTCACGGCCTGGCGAGCCGCAGGTTCCTTGGATTTCGATGCCTGGGATATGTGCTATCCCAGATGCTGGATGTGATCTATCCATCACGAGGAGAAGAGGACGAGGAAGATGAAGAAGACGATGGCGGCATTGGCTGCTTCCTTGGAATGGGGAGCTTGGCATTTGCCAACTTAAAATGCATCTTGGCAGGTACGATATGATGCATGGTGAGAAGCAGAGGCCATGGTCTAGGCAAGCCACACACACACTCTCTCTCTCTGTGTCCTCTCTCTCTCTCTCTCTCTCTCTCTCTCTCTCTCTCTCTCTCTCTCTTGCGTTGCATGCACAATAATATGGTCTTTTCTTGGGCTCGAACCTTTGTGCAGAGCCATTGAAGCACATGCAGTGCAGCTGATAGGTTACCAGGCCTGGCGGCGATCGAAGCCAGCACCTGGAAGGGCAAGCCCCGTGGTTTAGGGGGGGCTGATAACTTACGTATCAAGCAGCTTGTGGCCCGCAGGTTTCCCTCGACAGTCCCTGTCTTGTCTCTGATCTTCAGTTTCGCAGTCAAGCCCGGCAGCGTAGATTGATTGACAAGGTTCAGCAGTCTGATCTCTGGGCTTCTATACGAGAAGCAAATGCGTGACCAGCGCACATAAGAATGACGGGACTCCTCTGACCGAGTGCAAGCATAAGACATTGTCCCCGCAGTCCCTGGCCTGGGCAATCTATCTACTCCGCCGTCCCATGGGGAGAAGCCCGCATTAGCCGTTGTTTGTGGCGAGGCAGCACTGCACAATACTGGCTGAGAGACCCCTGCCAGTCTCGCAAGCCAAGACACTCCCCCGCAACGAATTGGCCTCCCTTGGGCGCGAGCTGAACGGCCTTCGTCTGGTGTTCGGACGCAGATGGACCCATGATGGGCCAGGCGCTGTTTCAGCGCCGTGGCTGATCGGTTCGTTGCGAGGAGCCGCCTGGTTGATCCGCAGAGCCTGCGCAGACTTGCAAGGTCACGTTCATCCTCGACATGGCTTGTTGTGCATTGTCTGGCGGGCTGATAACGCCAAGTAGACAGGGGCTGGGTGTTGGCTCCGTGTAGGCGAAAGCAGCACCGAGAGTTTAGGTGGACAGAACTGTGTGTGGCACGGGCACACAGCCAGCTACGAGCACTGGCGCAATGAGCTACGTTGTTAAGCCGGCCACCAAGGAGATAGAGTTACACGCCTGGCTCCACTGGGTCAGTAGGCTGCATGGGCGCGGTCCTGTGGGCAATACAACTTGCGTTGAGATACACCCCTGCCACTGAGACTTTTGTTTATCTTGATCCAAGGATGGCAGCACCTCGTCACTCGTTGGGCTTGTACCAGAACAACGAACAACAGCGCCCAGCTGGCACGTTTCAGGAGCACGACGAGCACCCATCCTCGAGCGAATCGGGCATCGGGCATCGGGCATGCATGATGGATCCCGGGGTTTCCTGCGTTCCAACGGCCGCCTGTGCCGTAGATTACATGCTGATGCAGGACGAGTGGGCAACGGCACGGTGGCCGTGTATCACGCCAGCATGTCTCAGAGGGGGCCCATCCGGCGTTGCTCTGTGGACGTTTTGAGTATCGAGATAAGCCAAGGGAACATGATGTGCTTCCGGCCACGCTGTTGTGAGGCTCTGGCAGGCCACTCGTGATTCAGACTCGAAGCAAATGTCTGATTAGGTGCTCTGCTGCAAACATTTCCAGCCGGGTGCCGACCGAAGCAGAATGCCTGGGCGCTGCCGCGTAACATGCCAGCTGCGTCAGGGAAGGGGACTGACTGAATTGGTATCGTAGGAGGGGACCCCACGGCCGACGGTTGTGGTGTAACCACCAGCGGTACCACCAAGGATGCTGTCTCGATCCCTGGACGGGGTGCGACGTCAAGGGCGGTTCTTCCGATCTGCCGGGATCTCGTCTGCAGGCTGCAGGTGTGCGGGCACTCCGCGCGGGCTGGATGATCGCTGGCGACGCGCAAGGGGGGGGCGACGACCTGGGAGAATGACTGTGCCGTACTGTACTGGACAGGACTGGACTGCTATTATGAGAGGAGCGGAGGGGGGTGGGTCGAAGCAAGCCGGCGCGATGGCGTTGGTGCTAAGTGGCCCTGCCCTGCCCCGGCCCTGGGAGGGAGGGACTTGTTGTGCAGCAGCAGCCCAGTACCCTGGAGTTTCGAGGAGAAAGGCCATGCCACTACCTGCCTGCCTGCCCGGTGTGGGCACCGGCCAAGCCCGCCTCTCTGCTCGCTCGGCTCTCTCTGGCTGGGCTGGGCTGGGGGTCTTGCGCCGCCGGGCAGTCGCCCCCCACACCCAGCGTGCGTTCTCGAGCGCCCACTCCCCCTTCGTGCCATGCCCATGCCGTGCCCTGCCCGCTCCTCCCCTCGACCGCAAAAAACAGACTTTGCCCATATGGACGCTTCCACGCCTTCTTCAACTGCCCTCCTTATCTCTCTCGCTCAACCCGTCCTGTCCAACCCTCACTTCCATCTTCCAGTGCGTCGTCGTCGCCTCCTCGCTCTGCAGTCGTGCCCTGGTCCTGCTCGAACCGAACCCTGTCGACCTGCCTGCGCACGCCAACCTTTGTCCGCCTGTTGCAGACTCGCCGCCCGCCTGAATCGCACCCTTGTCCGTCTCCCTGGTCGCGCACGCCTTCTGGAAGCCCACGCCACGCATTGCCACAGGTTCTTCAGTCCAAGCTCGACCTTCCTCACCTCTTGATCACCACTACTCTCGGCGTCGAAGGCTTCGCCTCAACCTCCCAATCGCCCCCGGCCTCTGCACTTGTCATACTTGAGCGTTTCCAATCGAGTGGGTGGGACACAGGGTCTATGCGGGTGGACGGCGCTCCCGTCAGTCAAGCTCGCATCGTCAGCCATCATTCGCACCTCCCCGTCTGGGACCAGCACGATCCCTCCCAGCCACTGTGACCATGGCAGCAGTTCTTTCGTCCGAAGATCTGAGCATCTTTGGCTCCTCGCCCGGCTTGCGACGGTCTCACTCCCATTCACACTTCTTGTCTCAATCTGGCGACTTCAACTCGGCTCACACACCCTCTCACATCGATGACGACTTCAGGAGTCCCTTCAGGCACCCCGTTATTGTCCCCGGCTCAAGCTCTTCGTCCGGCCCGCCATCGCCGCACGATTTTCACCCCTCAGACTCTTCGAACCCGTCGTATCCGTCCACTCCGGCCTCCAATCTTTCACTAGATGGGGGTTCTTGCGATTTTGACATGAGAGACAAGATGATGGAGGGCACTACGCTGTCCGATTTTGAGGATGCTACATTCTACGCTCATATCGAAGACCTGGAACCACCAGCAAGTCCTCATACCGGAGACTCATACACGGTGTCGCCCACAGAGCCGGATGTGTCGTCGGCAAGCACATCAAGGCCACAGTCTCCTGACCCTGTAGAGCACGCGGAAGACGACACGGCCGCCAAGCACCACCCGACCCAGCATGTTGACTACCTGTCGCACAACTGGAAGGAAGAAGATATTTGGTCTTCGTGGCGCTATATAGTGTCAAAAAGAGGCGACTATAGTAACTCCTCGCGGCTGGAGAATGCATCTTGGAGGACGTGGATGAAGTCAAAATACCGGCTCAAAACTGTGTCGCCGGAAACACTGAACTGGTATGGCTGCTACTCATCTTGTTCTGCTGACTGTTCGTTCAACTAATACGTGCTTAATTGCAGGCTGAAGGACTGTGATGTCACATGGCTGTACGGGCCGCTTCAACCCAGCAACGTGGGCTCTTTGGAGGGAAACAGCAGCCGCGGTCGCACTAGAGGCGCGCGATCTCCATCATTCGGACATAAGAAGCCTATTCTGAAAAAGCGAAGCATGTCTGAGGTTATGCTGCAAAAATCTATATCATCGTCTTCACTACTCAAGCAGGCCACTGCGGCAATCGAGGCCGAACAGAAGGGTACTCGGTGTCGTATCCCACATCGTCCTATTATCAAACGGTCTACTACGGATTACATGGCGTACCCCATGGTATCACACAGGGGCAGTCGCTCCGGCACCAGTCCCCATCCATCCACGGACAACTCTGGCATCGTATCTCCCACTGCTGAGCGCAAGCACATTCATTTTGACGAGCAAGTCAAGCAATGCATAGCGGTCGAAGTCAAGGGCGACGACGATGAGGATGAACTTGAGCCACACAGATGGGACTTTGAAGACGACAGCGAGTCTGATGACGGTGCGATCATGATGAAGTCCACTAGATCAGCAAAGAAAACAGTCATGCCGCGGCGCAGGGCTCCTGCTCCCGTCTGCGACAGCAAAACGATAGCAATGCTACCCTCGACCACGCTCAAGTACCGCATCGACTCGCCTGAGCCAACCGAGACCGCCATGAAGCACAGCGGCAGTCCAGTGCTATCCACCTCATCCTCACAAGAGACCTTGCGGCCATCAAAGCCCGCCAGTCTCTTGTACCCCTACGATGAGGAAGACGGCTTTGACATGGAGATGGGTGGACAGGCTCCAATTTCGAGTCCTGTTGACTCGGTGGCGAATTCATATCGACAGTCATCATTCCACCGGTCGTCCTCGTCCGACAGTGTCCTCGAGGCACCGAAAGGCATGAAGCGGACAGAATCTGGCATGCTGATGCCGGTCGATGAGCACGGCAACGTCCAGTCAGGCCAGGAAGGCATCATAGGGCGTGTCATTGATACCGTCAACACCGCCAAAGACATTGCGCATGTCATTTGGAATGTCGGCTGGAATCGGAGATGATAACCTGTGTGGTAATAGGAGGTGGGCCGAGCCCCTGGCGAGGCAGATCCCCGTTCCGCATCCTCACGATCTCAAGAATGACTTCACATCTCCAGCGTCGGCGGCCAATTCTGGCAAGGATGTGCAGCAAACGAAACGACTGGCTGCTTTTATGTCATGCTGAGCCGATCTCCCACTCCACCCCCGCATTCAGGGTCTCTCTCACCGCATCCAAAGTGGGGTCGTCGCCGCCACTCCATCAGACAGCCGCCATTGAGCGTTTTTTGGTCATTATCTTTTTTGCTTTTTTGCTTTTTTCTTTCTCCCTCCACAGCGGAGTTATGCGTCAATCTGCATCGCATGCTGTTGTGTTTTGGGCGTTGATTTGCTCAACTGAAACACTCTGTATCCCAAATCACACGAAAAGCAACGGGTCTGGAGCAAGGGGTCTTCGGAGGCGGCCTTGCTCTGAAACAATGGTGTTTGAATTTTCCCAATAATGATTAATTGTTGTATTGCAAACTAGATACCTGGAGTTTCTAACGGGCTTGCATTTTGGGGTATGGAAAATGGGCCACGGTCAGGGTTTGGGACAGGCTTATACATGGAACAGTCAGGTATACCTATGTACAAACTGTATATACAGGCAGTGTATACCGCCATCAACCGAGTCGTTCATTGAAACCCTCCGTACATGATGATGGTGTTCCGCAAAAGCTTGCAATGTTTCGTCGTGTCAAAGTGGTGACGGTCATACTCGGCGGCTGTGTGTCCTTCTCATTCAGGTCTGTTGTGGACATGTCAAGCCCGTCAGGCGTCAAAACCGTCGACCGACAAAACAATAGCAAGTCGTCACGACCCAAAACGGCTTTCCAAAGACCAGGAAGAGGAGGCAGCAATGGCGACAAGGAGAACTCGAGGGTGACCAACTAGTCTTTCTCTCTTCCAAGGAGAGCCTTGGGATGGCCAGTCAAATATTTGATGGAGGACATTCACTCATTGGTGGCAACATCTGACGAAAAGTCACTTGGAAACGGCGGGATTCTCATGAATTATCTCTTGCGGTGTACATACCCCAAGGGATATGTATTTTTCAATAATCTATGTGTTGTTGTGGTGGTACAATTTCTTAATCTCCATGATTGGTTTACTGCCCGATTCGTGATGTCGTCTCGCTCGCATGCATGCTGATGTTTCTTGGTGGCGATGGTGATGGTGATGATACATGTTACTTCTTGTTATACAATTTCCACGCTTCCCGTCTTCTTTCGTACACACCGCTTATGCTTAAGCGTACGCCCGTCTACTCTGCCTCGATAGTGTTGCTGGTTTATACAGGTGAGTGGGCAGTGCACCGACCGACCAAGCGCGCTCAAGAGATGGGTGCCGTCACGGGCGAGCTTGACGCCGCATCACCACCGAGGGTGGCGGCCGAGTCAGCCTCGGCGGCGAGGCTGCTGCTCTTGACGACATCGACTGCCTCGACGAGCACCTTGTTTGCATGGACATTGACGTCCTGCAGCTTGACAGTCAGCACGTCGCCCACGCGGACGTTTCCGATGCGGGTGACGCCGTTCAGGGCGTCGGCGCGCAGCACGGCGCTGCGCTCGAACCAGTCGAGCTTGCCCGAGATGGACTGCTTGCCAAGCACGTGCTCGACGGTGAGCTGGAAAGTCTCGGGCAGGGGCGCCTCGTTGAACTTCCACGCCCGCACGAGCGCGTACAGCATCCACTGGTCACCGCCGTCGCCGTTGGTCAGAGCGCGCGCCTGGCGCTCGCGCAGCCGCAGCATCGGCAGGACCCGATCGAGCTGCGCCTTCGGGAAGGGCAGGAACGTGTCGTCCTTGTTCCCTACCAGGGACTTCCCGCGGCGCTGCTCTTCGAGAAGCGCGGCCTCGATCTGCCAGTGCACGATGAGGTCAGAGTAGCGGCGCAGCGGAGAGGTGGCCTTTGTGTACATGTCCACGCCGAGGGTCCAGTGCGGGCCCGCGTTGGTCGTGAGCTCGTCGACGCCAACAAGAGAGCGCAGCTGCCGCCATTGTTGATCGCCTGGACGGATTCCCTGCTTGAGGAGTGGGTAGAACACATCTCTGGTGTACTGCGCAATGCGCTCCATGTTACGTGCGGCGTGGGGCTGCGTGCGGTATGGGATTGGGATGCCACGGTCATGGCACCATCGCGCGGCCACTTCACCAGCAAGCTTCATGACGTTCTCGACAATGTCGGTATCTGTCCTCTGTTTGTAGCCGATGCGAATCGAGGGATCTGTCTTCGGCGCCGTTGAGTCAGGTTGTTGTGTCGCTTGGAAATATGCGTCGACTTCGGCCCGAGGCTGGAATAGCGGCGTCGCGCCTCGGCTGAGCCGCCTCTCGTGCATGCGCTTCCCTAGTCTCGAGAGGAGCTTGAGGTCTTCTAGCTGAGCTGGTGTTGGCTCTTCGGTCATGGGTCTGTTTGGTGGTGGCGCCTCTTGCGATTGTGAGCCTATCGCAAGCTGACCTGTCCCCACGACCGGCTCTCCTCTAACTTCGCCAAGAGCTCGTGATACGTTCTCGCCGTTCATGTAGACCACATCTTGAAGAATACCAGGGGTAATCTTTGACTCAAGAATCTGGCCAGACTCGTCTACAAGCGCGCTGAAAGTAAGGCAAGGCCGCTTTGGGGCTAGAGAGAATTTGGCACGCCCGATCTTTTCTGGAAGCATCCGCTCGAAGTTGCCAGGCAGATAGATCGTCTGCGGCAAAAGCTCTGCATACTTTGCCACGGGTGTATCTGGCGAGATGCGGGAACCTGGATCGGCAATATGTGCATGGATCCAGAACTCATCATGCTTCTCTGTCTTCTCCACAGACACGGCATCGTCGATATCTACTGTGGTGTCGGCATCGATACAGAACGCGGTAACACCGGTCCACTTCTTCCTCAAGCCTGCAAACAAGTCCTTTTGCAGATGCATTTCGAGCGGACCTTCGGGCAGCGGACGTATATACCCGCCGTTCTTGTCGATCTCGACGTCTGGAAACCTAGTGGTGAATCGTGCGGGGATCTCCCATGGTGATATCTGGCCGACCTCCTGCAGAAAGGTCCACCCTGTCGAGCCGTTCAAGAGCTCCGTCTCTTGATATCGGTCCACTGCTCGCAGGATCGCAGAACCAAGCGCTTGCAGCCGCGAGTAATTGGGGAACTTGCGGTAGCCACACCACAACTCAATGAAATGCAAGAAGTCGCGATCTGTCCGCGACCATTTCACGGTGGGCACAAAGTTGCCATCTGAAGGACCGATCACGCCGCACGAGGTGAGGGGTCGATGCTTCCGGCTCTGGTCGATAGCTTCGCGAGCGGTGCGGGCAAAGGAGGCCAGCGAGGGCGGAGTGCCCTTTTTGCGCAGCTCGTGGGTGGCGTTGCCCGTCACGGCGGCGATCTGGATGTACTCACGAACCATTTGCTCGACTCGCTGTACGGTACGAACCTCCGACAGAGGACTGACTTCGAAAAGGTAAGACCTACGGTGGCCCGTGGCCATGAGCGGTCGGAAGAATGTCTCGCTTTGCATCAGCGCCCGGTGAACCGCGTACAGGGCGGCCGGTTCGAATGAGCCCTTCGTCTTCATTCCTGCAGGGAGCAACTTGTCCGCAATCTCGTACAGGGTCAGGTAGCGGTGCTTGTGCTGGTCACCGATGAAGGCGCTCGAGGCATCAAGCGTACCCGCGTTGTGCTGATAGATCTCTTCAGACTTTTGCACAAACTCGAGCATCTTATGCAGTAGTACAGCTCCTGTTGATCTTTGCGGGCCGTGTCCAAGATCCTGTAGAGCATTGAGAAGCTCCAGTGGCGCGTCCGAGGGCGGGAGCTCCCGGATGACAGGCTCAATCTCCTGGGGAGTGGCAAAGCCATTGACCATGAAGAGCGTCTTCACCCCCATACCATAGAACCACTTGCCGCTACTCGTATAGTAGTGTTCATAGCCGTTGAATTTGCCCAGGCAGATCGCCAAGGCTGGTCGCCGTGAACCCCCCGAGCTACAACATAATGTTTCAGCATGCAGTCATAGTTTTCCCCTCTCCTGTAAGCCCAAGGCCAGGGATAAGCATACCTCAACTCCACAAGATCGCCCGCCTGGAGCAGGGCATCGTCCGAGCGCAGGTCACTCAGCTCGTCCCCATCAAACAGCGGCTTGGTGATATCAAACTGCACTGTGGTCATGTTCTGCGGGCGGGTGTAGGTGTTTGAAGTCTCGCCCTCCGCGGCGTGGTCCGTCAGCATCGACTGCACCGCGCCTGGGTTCTCCTTCTCCCATGCACGCAGGCGCTCCCGTATCGGCGGCTTGATCTCACGATCCGGGAGGCCCGCGAGTGCTCTTGCCGCAGCGCTGCTCAGGCCGCCGGAATGCCTGACCGTAGCCATGCTCTTGAAAATCACCTGTTAACCTTCTGGGAACATGATACCTCTTCGAATGTTCACCACAGCCGACTGAGATGCAGACCGCATGCAAAGACTTACCCTCCGTGCATCAATCTGCGCCCGTATACTCTCTGCAGCGGATCCGGCTTTTTTTGTCGTCGTCGCTATCGCCCGGCTCTCTTTACCGCTGGAGGTGCGCACCGCACACCTCCAGCACACGTACGATCTCCTGGAGGCCTGCAACATCGTGTTACTTGCAGGGTCTGGTCGCGGATAATGGCCACAAGAAAAAGCCAAAAAAGATATATGTTGTAGGCGACACTTCCGAATGGTCTTGCCGTCACCACGTCGCCCACGTTTTAAGAAATTTGTATGGGGCGGCGGTTGCTAGCGGCTAGCTCTGCAGGCGCCAGCTTGACCCGCGCTCACGTGACTGGAGCTATGCTGCAGGCCGAACTTGTATCCCCCAGCTTTCACGGGCTCCAGGGCTTTCCCAAAGGCTTTCAAAGCCTCCTACAGAACTCAAAGAATCATTGGCATGCTCGATATGATGACTCTTGGTTCCCACATTCCTCAGACAATCTCAACGGCCATGGGCCAGTTCCTTGGAGCGACACAGCCTGCCAGCGTGCTAGCAACAGTAGCTCCACCACAGTGAACTTAGCAAACACTCTGGGGCAGCAGAAGAGTGTTTGACATTACAAGTGCACAAGCGACCGACGAACCACGATAGATACCAACGCGGAACGCGTTTAGACAGTGGACAGGAGACTTTTGCGGTCCCAGCGCTGGGTACGCAATAAGCAAAAACGCAGCAAGTGCGTACAGCGCTCACTGCGCAGATGCGCTGGATAGACGGAACTCGAGTCCTTCGTCGCAGACACAAAGACATGGTGTGAGAAACGTAACTGCATCCGCGACATTGGCGCTTGACATATGTCTGTATCGTGGATTGCCGAGTGTCTTGAGGTTGGCATAGATCACCAGCTTGTATGATAACCTCATCGTCTCGACCACTGCTAACGACTGCCAGCCACAAGCACCAATCGCACTGTACAGCCACAGCCTGTCAGCAATGGCCAGGCTCGCCCGGTCTGTGCAGGGCCAGGATAACAGAAAGGCAAGGAGGACCCTTTAAAATTCCTTCAGACCTTGGGGCTCCGCCCGCCGTCAAGCCACCCCATGTCATGCTGGGACTTTGAAACATATGGGTCGGCAGCCCTCCCCGGCACAAGACGGCGCAAGGGGACCCTTCGCTCGTGCGCTGTGGTGACCCATTTCGTTACGAAAAGAAGGAAACGAGCGCCACGATGGAGCGGAGAAGCCAGTTGGAACTTGTGGCTATGGCTCAGCTCCGCTTCGGAATTCAGGGTCTGTTGACAGTGACAAGTATAGAGAAACAGCCCGAACAACCTGGTCTGCTCACAGAAGGGCCGTGGCGTCGTCGTGATTCGGCACGGACGGGACCGACACGGCTTCGGCGCGAGCGTCAGGTCACTGCCGCGAAGGCAGCATTACTCTGTTCGTAACTGAACCAGTCAGTGGTCGGGAGCATCAAAGTTGTCAGTCCTGCGAGGAGAATGAGAAGTTGAGTTCCTGGCTGGCTGCCATCAGACGATACAGAAGATCTGATGAAGGTTGGGACACGATCGTAATGGGGCGATCTCCCAAGCGACAAACTCGCCTTCATAACCCCTTGCATCTATCTGATCGATGGGCGATGCAAAAACTCCATCTGGCAGCGATAGGCGCAACAAGCATCACTGATCTTCGTATGCTCGGCAGGGCAGCCCAGATTCTCATTGCCAGATCAACGGGATTAACAGTCCTCAATGCCTGGAGCAACAGGCACGATTCGCAACAAGCTCCATCACTCTCATCGGCAACGTGTTGTAGCGGAGCGGCGACATTGTTCCGTTTCCGCTGAGCTGGACCAATCACCCTGCATTCGTGTACAGGCGACGTCAACACCATCACCGTGACACACAGGATCAACTGGGGATAAGAACGTGGAGGAAAGGGGTCCAATCATGTCGGTGTGTAGCGATGAGGTCCAGAAGAGTCCAACGGCGGCGACAGGGAACGTTTTCAAGTCTGTGGAGTGCTACGGAGGACAAAAGGAGAACCTAGCGAGCTGGCAATTTCAAGCCCTGCAGCGAATCTGGACCGGCCGTGCAGATCGGCATGGGCTGGATTGGCGAAAGACGCCACGCCCGCTCGAAGCAGCGATCATGCCGTATGGAAGCGAGGCGGGCGGCAGCAGTGGTTCTCGTGTCCAGAAGGGCCTTCAAGCTGACAGAAGCTGTCGATTCGGAGCGATGCCACTCACTAACTGCATCGTCCACAGGTGATTCCGCGCAACAGGACCTGCAGTCTGACGTAAGCTGTTCAAGTGCATTATGCAAGCCTGGCACACAGTGGAGCTAATGCAGGTACCAGCAAGTGAAGGTGTGGGACGGTCAGAGTACACAAGGACTGGCGCATGGCTCGCACACACAGCGATTCGATTGCAAAATTGTAATCCATACTCGCGGAAGCTCTGGAAAGGTGGTGATCGAGGTACTCGTGCGTTCTCGGCAGCCACAGTCTGGGCTGCTGCGCAAGGTGCCCCAGCAGACAATAGATCAGATCGGCTGGCGCGTCAACCTGATCTAGGCTGAGGCACGGCTAAGAGCTCCACCGCGATTGCCAGCTCACATCTGCCGGTCTGAACACCTTTTAGCGCCGCCAGCCAGATTTAGACGGTGAGTGTGTCTTGGCGGCGGTCTTGAATTGTTTCGTTCTGTCTTGTCTTGTCTCGCTCGTCGCAGCGCGAAAGACTCGTAAACACGACGCGCTGGACGCGGAGTGCCAGACTGGCGGACCGATTCAGCTTGGTGGCTCGAGGTGAAGATTCCGTGCAAAATCCCGTATGTAGTCATTGCTCCCAAGAAGGGTGCTGGCTCACGGATCGCTGAGGAAAGTGACTTGGCCGACAACTTGGCGTGCCGGCAGGCGGTAGAACATTGTGGTACAAAGCAGAATGCCTAACCAGCCTGCCATACGTTCACCGGAGTCCGTGCACACCGCACTTTACAGTAGTGGCCACCAAGAAGACACGCGGAAGACAGAACTGACGCGAATGTCTCAAGCCGTGATCCGGGACTGGGTTTTGGTGCTCCTCGCGGGCTGAACATGGGCGTCGTCATCGCTCACCTTGAAGCGTGCCGGGACACAGTCGAGTGGCGTCGATAGGACCGTTAGTCGGCTGTCGAGAGTGGGAACGCGCTGGAGGATGCGTAACGCAGTTACCGAGGGCGGCGACCACGATTGCTTCCAACAATAGCCTGGCACGGTGCTGGCTGGCGGGACTGGGGCGAGCAATCTCGAGGGCGGCCGGCCCCTATTGCAGGTCTGGCAACACGAGCTGGCCAAGGACGAGGCAGCGGGCACTACTGAGCCTGGCCTACGTGGGGAAATTACCTGCGGGCAGCCCTCCACTTGCGGCAGCCACCACCTGCTCTCGTGCCTGGCGCTAGCAGGCCCCATGCAGCAGCCCTGCACCTCTGATTCGCCGGCCCCTTTTGCAGGACCCCAGCCCCACCCCGGCCAGCCAAACATCCAATCCGTCCAGAGCTCAAGCTCACGACGACCCGACTGACTGACAACAAACCACGACCGACTGGGCCCCGACCGCCTGCCAGACTGCCTGTCCAACAACGCAACGCGCCCACCGCCGCCCGCTCGAGCCCTCCCCACGGGTAACCCGCCCACTGTAGCGTCGTAGCGCTCTAGGTAGCACCTCGTGACCGTCGTCCGTGTCCTATCCATCCATCCTCTCGCCCACGCCTGTCCAGCTCGACTCGACCCATCGCCGGCACTCGCATACCCAGTCATCGCCCCCTTCCCGCCTGCTCCCAGTCAGGCCCCATCCTTCATTATCGTCCGTCCCCAGCCGATCCTTACCATGAACGGAGTGCCGTCAATACGTCCCCAGGCGAGGTCTATCGGGATGGCAATGGCAGCTTGCGGTGGTGGAGTCGATAATTACTGTATGAACAGCCAAGCAGACGGGCTGGGCCGGTTTCAAGGCTCACCCATGAGAAGTGCATGCTGAGCCCAGAAGATGCTCAGTCGCGAAACATGTCAAGCCGACAGCAACACATACAGGGCGAGGCGAGCACGCAATGGTGTTGCCCTTTGAACGATAATGTGCAGAGCACCAGATGCCAGACCTGTTTCGCGACCAGATGTCGGCAGGCACTAACATTATTGCGGTGCATAACGATGCCTGTGACACCACCACGAGCCGCCAGTCCTGGGCTGGTTGCCAACCAGGAAATGAGCAGCGTGCTCGCCTCTTGGCTGGATGGCTACTGGGAGATGAGCCAGGGGAGAGCGTGACCCCGGCGACTCTGTGGCCGCGGGCCACTCTGGTGCGGACCAGGGTGCTGGCCATGCAATATGGGCCAACCCTGCCACCTCGCCGCCGCCAGAGCGCGCGCATGGCCCATCTCGACTTGGCGCCAGACAGGGCCTCGCAGCAGCGCCCATGCGCCGCCGCCCCCAAGGACCATAATAAAACTATTGGGGCGTGCTCCTGCTGCCCGCTGGCCCTCTCCTCTCTCTTCTCCTCCTCCTCACGGAACGACTCCTCGTTGCTCAAGGCACCCCCGCCAGCGTTCGTCCTTCGTTTCTGCACAACCTCACCTACCGCTTCACTCTTTTAGCGGGCATTCGTTTCTCCTGTTGCACGAGCACAGCATCGCCTAATATCTAAAGTTCATCATGAAGTCGACCTTTGCCGCCGCCGCGGCCCTCGTCGGTGGTGTCAGCGCCGCTGCCCACGGCCACGGCCACGCCGCCTTCCACGGCCACGCCGCCTTCCACGGCATCGAGAAGCGCATCGCGGCCGACAACGGCACCTGCGGCTGCACCACCATCTACACCACCTACCACGGCAAGCCCACCACCATCTGGCCCTCGGCTCCCCCAGCCCCGACCACGACCTACACCCCGGCCACCGTCCCGACCCCGATCGTGCACTCGTGCCCGACCACCGGTGTCTACACCTTCCCGGCCGAGATCGTCACCCTCACCGAGACCACCACCATCTGCGTGTCTGCCACCGCCATGACCACGGCCACCGTCCCCTGCACCACCTACGCCCCGGGTACTTACACTGCCCCCGCTGTCATCACGACCGTCACGGACACCAAGACTGTCGTCACCTGCCCCTTCGACATCCCGACCAGCACCCCGGCTCCTCCTCCGCCTGCTCCCACCTACGGCGCCGTCCAGTACGAGGCTCCTCCCCCTCCTCCTCCGGCCGAGACCTACGTCGCTGCTCCTCCTCCTCCGCCTGCCACCTATGCCCCGGCCCCCCCGCCCGTGGCTTCCCCGCCGTCCAACGGCCCCGGCTACACTCCCAAGCCCCCGACTGGCGGTCTCGGCGGTAACACTGCTGGCAAGCCCTGGGCTATCACCTTCACCCCTTACCTTCCTTCGGGCGGTGGCTGCATGACCCGCGAGCAGGTTGACGCCAGTATCGCTGCCATTGCCGGCTCTGGCATCACCACCATCCGCACCTACTCCACCGACTGCGACACCCTCTCCTTCGTTGGTGACGCTTGCAAGAAGCACGGTGTCAAGATGATCATTGGTGTCTTTGTTGACAAGCCCGGCTGCCAGGCCGACCACCCCTCCATCTCTGAGCAGATCGATGCCATTGCCGCCTGGGCTCAGTGGGACATTGTTCCTCTTGCCGTCCTCGGTAACGAGGCCATCATCAACGGCTTCTGCACTCCTGCCCAGATCGCTACCCTGATCCAGACCGCCAAGAGCAAGTGGCCCGGCTACAAGGGTCCTTACACCACCGCCGAGACCGTCAACATCTGGCAGCAGAACGACGCCAAGGCTGCCCTCTGCGGTGCCGTCGACGTCGTTGGTGCTAACGCCTGGGCTTTCTTCAACCTCGCCACCAGTGCTGCCAATGCCGGCAAGTTCGTCAAGGGCCAGCTCGACATCATCAGCAGCGTCTGCCCTGGCAAGAGCGGTTACGTCCTCGAGACCGGCTGGCCCTCGGCTGGTAACGCCATGGGTGCTGCCGTCCCCGGCCCCTCTGAGCAGGCTGCTGCCATCAAGTCCATCATCCAGGAGTGCGGTGACAAGGTTGTTGTCCTCTCTCCTTTCAACGACAGCTGGAAGGATGGCTCCACTGCCTGCGCCTGTGAGCAGCACTTCGGTGTCAGCAGTATCATCAACATCGCTGGCCTTCCCTTCTAAAGAGCGAAAGCATGAGATGCTGATGCTGAGGGGGTAAGCCGTCCATGGCTCTCCCAGAGGCACCAGTCCGATGCCCAAATGTACATGACCGAGTTTCTTTGTTGGATTAGCCTGCTTGAATATAATTTTGGACCAGGACAAATGAGGTCATACATACACAAACCAGACATTGCTTTTTCTCGACGATCCAGTGGTCCGTCGTCTTGGGGAGGTGGTCGACAATCCAAACACGCAAAGCCACGCTTTTTTAGAGATCTTTAAAGGATAAAGGTGCCGACGTTCCACACGCTTGACAAGTCTTCTCTCTCTGTCCCTGTCCTATCCTTCTCTCTCTCTAGCACGCCCTCGCACGAGAGAGCCTAGTCGGGCCAGCAAAGCGGCGGGGCTCTGCAACCATAGCATCATCAAATCCGAAGTTGTCTTTTTTTGCTTCAGCTTTTTTTATTATCCATCTGGTACCTCGTGGTGTTGTTGTTGTGTTTTGTCCCCATCACGTCTTTACTGGCTGGGGGTGTGAGCCCACGCTGTCTCTCGCTTTGGCACACAACTCAAAACTCGTATACACTTTCGCGTATATACACACGTACACATACACAACACGTAGACACAGGTGTCTGGCTGTCACTACTACTGTTCCCGACCAATGGTAGACCCTTTTCTCTTCTGCATTACTGTAAATGATCCTGTTGTGCGTGTTCCCAGCCGCGTGCCGTTGTTGTCGTCTCGTCCTGTGTGGTCTGTGGCCTCGTCATGCATGCTGGGTGCGGAGGAGAGGAAAGATGATGTGAAAACAAGAAGACACTTCCCCTTTTCCTCTTTCCTGCCCTCCCCTTGCGAATCGTCGCCGACCCGTGGTGTAGTGACAGATTCGCATGTAAATCAGTAACTAGCTCGTACAAACTACCCACGCTGAATGATGATGGTCCTTGTGCTTCCGCACATCTATGAGTTACGTAGATGTGTCTGTTCCCCCCCCCCCCCCCCCCACACACACACAGCGCGCTTCGCCATTTACAAGTTGTCGGGCAAACACTCCCGCTTTGTCTATTGTAAGCTGGCTGGTTGCGGAATCGTGTACGGCAGACACAAGCAGCGGCTCATTTCCCAGCCTTTTCCCACATCACATACAGAAACCCCGCCCAGTCTCGATTGTCGTAATAACCGACAGCCGTAGTATCACGGTCAGGGGATTTAATAGTGTGTCAATTGATGCTTGTGCGCGCGTGCGGGTATATCATACTATACTACAAACAAGGTAAATATGACGGCTACATCAGACATTCCGTTCCATGCTCATTCTCTCATCCAACTCGTGAGACAATTGCCAGCGTGGCCAGTGACACCAATTGCATGCGGTTGTGCTCGAGGTATCCACGAGTAAAAGAAAACAATATCTACGCTATAAAGTATGTGAATGCGGTCAGCATTGTGCCACCGTATCGGCCGTATCGGCCCGTATCGGTCGTGGTGCAGGCTGCCCGCCTGCCACAATGATCCGCTCAAAACGGCATCAAATCTCCGTATGCAAGAAATGCTTGCCGGCGATGCTCTGTAGGAGTCTTCGCCATGCCGAGCCCCTCTAGTTCTGCTTCTGACAGCCAGTCGCTGCTGCGCGAAATCAGCGATGAATATACACCATCGTGTCGCTCAGTCGGATACAGAAAAGAGTCGCCAGCCCCGTGGTCGCAGCGGCTCAGTTGCAGGAGGCCGCCCCTGTAATAGTCACAGCATAAAGCTAGGAGTTCTGAGCCTCCGTTGGTGAAAGAGATGCCGCCAATCTCTCCGAAAACATCAAAGGTCTGCTTGGTCTGGAACGTGCCGGCATCGATAATGTTGAGATAGTCGGCTTCTTCGGCCGCTGCCAAGATACGCCGGCCAGATCCGAGTGGCGAGAAGCGCAGGCTCCGCGCACCAGACAGCTCAGTTGGAATGATCGCCACGGGCCGGTCCCAATACCGCGCATCCCATATCCGGACCGTGCGGTCTTGGTTCCCTGTGGCGACTGTCCATCCATCTGGCGCCCAGTCGCAAGCAAATCCAAAATCACTATGGCCCACCAACGTCTTCAGGATGCGGCCACTATCGGCGTCGGTGATGAAGACATCCTGATGGTCGCCAACCATCACACGCAGCCTGCTGTCAGGGCTTAGGGCTGAGCAGTTGATTATACATTCGTACATTGATTCCGACAGATGCTGATTTGTTCCCAGGTCAACAACGCGGAAACCATAGTCGTTCGAGGCAAAAGCCGCGAGCGGAGCGTGTGACCGCCGAGCCTCGTGTATTTGAACGTGATTCGTGATACCGCTGGGATGGTCGGTCAAGCGTCCTTTTGTGGGTGTTGCATCTTCAGTGTTGAGGGATCGGTATCTGAAGTCGCCAAAGAAACCGCCTGCGATGAGGACATCCTGGGAGGCTGTCAAGGTCGATGTTTGAGCATCGCTGTCACTCTCGAATGTCATGGCGGCCTTTGTACTGCCGTCGTTCGGATTGATCTCGCGCACCGCCTTCAAGCTCGGATAAAAGGCTCGCGACCGAGACGAGCAGCCCAGGATGTTGCGTAGCTGAAAGTGCAGAAGGCGGACATCACGTTTGATGCTCATCCCTTGAAACCTGTAAAAGTTGCAATCCGGCCGCAGATGCGGTAATGGCTACCAAGGCAAGAAACAACAGGTGAGCCGACATGGCCCGAGACATGCAGACAATACTCGTTGGTGTGGGTACTCACTATTTGACCGTCAGAACCTTCCCGGTTGACATAATTGATGTAGGTAACCTTGCGCCGCTGGCGTGCGGCAGTCCTAGTGACTTTGAGGCTCGGCCAGTTTATCCCCTGGAAATCGCATTCATCACCTGCGAGGTCCTCGAGCCGGATTCTGCGCGCGTCTTCCTGAGCCAGCTTCAGAATCGCGCGCCTGGCCTGATATCGTGAAACATCGTGATAGACATCCTCTTGCCGAACACAAAGCCAATGGCGTAAGAAGTTGACCACGTCCAGATTTTCTGGCCCGAGAGAGACGGCGTTCGGAGGGCTGATGGCCATCGGATGTGACTGCATCAGCTCGTCGAAATCATCGTGCTCGTCTTGGATCTGCATCATCTGCTGCGTCATGGGCATGCCCACGAGATGGCCGTGGTCTGGAGGGAATGGCGGAGGATCGGGAAGCGGCGGCAGCTGCAAGTGTGGCGGAATATTTGTAGGTATAGTAAGAGGCAACTGCAAGGCGCTCGGTTGTGTCTGCGGCTCGACATCGTCTAGTCCTTCGTCGTCGGACGACAGCTGGGATAGCTCTCCGAAGGCGTATGAGTCGTCCATGGTGGAGTCTACCTGGGCGGAGCCAGCTGAAGAAAGGAACGCGCCACTGCCTTGATGCAGGTCATAGTCATCATCGCTGTCGTCTGGGCTGTGGTCGTCGGCCTTGTCCTCTTCGAACTCGGCCATCTGTGCGGTGGGATTCAGACACTGTAGGAGCCAGTCCGGGGAAGCATCCGGCGCTGCCACATCCGCGCCGTGTTTATAGAGGTTCTGGGTCGTGTGCGGGGATGGGCCGAGTGGGCCAGAGGGCGCTCCGCCGTGCAGCCCTATGGAAGCATGACTGGATGCAGTGTATTGGCTGTGGTTCTGGGCGATGCCGCGGCCGCTGTCGCTGGCGCCGTCGGCCTGGACAGTGTTGAGGTGGAAGAGGGCAGAATTGTTGTTGTTGTGGTGGTGGTGATGGAGGTGATGGCCGTGGTTGGATGGAGGGTGGTGGTGGTGGCGCCAGGCGGAGGCTGCGAGGGCCGGGTGCAGAGAGAGGTGGTGGTCCGTTGATGCGCTTGTGCTGGGCGAGCTTGTTGGTGGTTGTGGCCGGCCAGTTGTGCTGAGAACGACCTGGCCAGGCTGCATGTCTTCGCGGCTACGGCTTCGGGGCAGATCGAGTCAGGCACAAGCAGGATGGTGGTCCGGTGGAGCAGGCTCGATACCTAGGCGCCTTGGACAGCACCGGGTCGTCTGCTGCAGCCGTCAATGATGATGATGCCTCACGGCGACGCAGCTTCCAAGCTGTGGCTACTTAAAATACGTACGATAACGCACTTACTCCCCTTTGCTGATCTTGCGACTGGCGACGGCCTGGCATGTGCAGTGGCATGGGCAGACACAGACACGCCCGACAGGGTGGGAGCCGGAAACAAAACCCCAGTTTCTGCCCGCTAGGGGTCAGGAGAGCCGGACTCGCGCGGCAGCCTGATGACTGATGGTGGTGATGATGATGAGATATCTATCCGGTGGCTTGCTTGCTTGCTTGGGCTGCTGCGTGCCTCAGACACGGCGGGACGGCACAGAGAAGCAGCGAGAGAGACGAGCGGCAGCCAGACGCGGACACAAGCCAAGCGGCGGGGCGGCAAGAGTGATTGTTGAATGGCACGTGAGACTGGTTGGTCTCGAGCTGGGGGGGATGAGTCTGACTTGATATTACAAAAACGAGTCACGGTTGTGTGCTATTAGGACAGAGCAAACATGCTGGGCACGGGGACTGCTCTCTCGTTGGTTCTCGCAGGCCGACTTGTCACCAGCCGACTTGGCTGGGTGTCGCATGGGATTATTAGCAGGATTGGGCAAGCACAGCGTGACGAAGGCGGATGCAAGGATGATGCCTGCAGGACGGGGGCAGGCACGGCGGCCAACCCAACGATGGATGGAGGACTGGGGTCTCTGCTCCCACGGCAAGAGGCAGGAACCAGAGCATCACAAGACGGCACAGGACAGACAGACAGACAGACAGACATACCGGCGAGATGAGACGAGACACGGGTGTTTCCAGGTTCGGCCGTGGCGGCGCCCCGTGCCAGGAGCCATTGTCAGTAATTAACAGGGAGGGACTTTGCTCACCAGAGGCACAGCAGAGGACACCTTAATTCCACCACTCTTGGATGGGACTGACTCCGGGGAGCCGGGCGTGCTCAACGGCTCCGAGGAGGGGATTGCTGCCGTGTAGGAGCGGCGAGGGCAAATACATAGTCACAATGACGGCAATAGCCAGCAACGCCCAAACTCTAAACATTCATGCCCGACGCATCGAATCCGTGGCAGCCACATGCCGCCGCCCGTCCGTCCTCGCGGGATCGATCACAAAACCGCTACGGCCGCACCCAACGGATCGTGCAGGAACCGTGCCCGCCGCCCCCGTCCCCAGCCAGCCTACCATGACCCCTGGCCTCGCTCCGTGACAGCAAAAGCCTTGGGCCCCCGCCCGTCCCGTGTGCGGCACTTGCCGTCGTCGCCTCCGCCATATCGATCGCCGTCTCCCGTCTTCATTCTTCCCACCGGGTATCCGGGACCGCCGAGACCATCCTTTCTCAGCTCTGGCTGGTGGCAACGACCGTTTTTCTTGGGGGCAGCTGCCACGTTTGGGGGCCGACACTAGTGAAGACCGTCATGGCGGTTCGTCCCCTCGAGAGGCTGGCTGCCCTTCGGTCCTGGCGCCGCACAGATGTTCTCGGGGTGGTCAGTAGCTTATCGGAACACCAAGACCATCATCCATCATTGCCTGCCGACACACTTGAAGAATCCAGGTTCGTTATATCGTGAATGCCCAAGGACCTTCATTTCTACGAATCAAATAACCTTTCTCGGGGCAGCACGGCAAGGCATCCTCACCGTTGTCGACCGGCTCACCGGGCGTCCACACACACACACACACCAACCCGTCGGTACCAAACGTACGGCCAGGCTGACTTCCTACACGGCACGCCTTCCTGCACGCTGCGGACCATGGAGCATTCTCCGACGCTTCTTGGCGATGCATGTCCAAACCTTAGTTTTGTTTGCTTGTCTCCGCTGCGCTGCTAACAGCCCCTCGTCCCCGCGGTAACTCTTTTACAGGGTGTCGAGTTTCCACCAGGGAGCGGAGCAACTAACCCGCCTCCCCATTCCGTTTTGTTCATTTTATTTGGCATCATTCTTTCTCTTTCCGTGTTTCTTCCAATTCTCCTGCAATCTGCATAGTTGACATTGCTCTCTGAAACCCGGTCTTCTGTATTCGCCCGTCATGCACGTCTCATTGTGGCCTGACCTCACACTAGGGCAGGTAACAAAAACAAGAACAAAACAAAAGAATTAGCCTGGCACACCGACTAAAACGGTCAAGAGCAGGGCTCAGAAGATGCTCAACAGTGCAGAAACCCCCCTCTCCCTGGGTTTGAGGGTTAGAAAGTTCTGCCTGGTCCCAGCCAACCAACCCGCCCCGCAGCACGCATTGATCGGTATCGTACGAGTCGACAACACTTGCAACTCACCCACACAAACACTGCTGGTTACTGGTTCAAGTCGAATGACTTAGGGGGCTCCTACCCCGTAGGCAACGAGTTGTCCGACCCTTGAGGAGTGATCTATCACATTGCTCCACCCCCCGGCTAGAGTTAGATTGCCATTGCCGCCCAACCCCAGGGGCTCAACATGCATGCCTGCCGAGGTTGACAGGTCATATTGAGCCAGTGGCACCGATTGTCACACTGGCCAGCGTCAAAACTCACAACCGACAGAGGGACGACGAGTAGTATCGGTGGAGCGTTGTGTGTGTGTGTGTGTGTGTGTGTGTATATATATAATAAATATTTTTGATATTTATATCCTCTCACTATTAGTATCGACCCCGAGAGCTCGCAAAGCTGTCTAAGAAAAGCAATGTCGTTGTTGTATTTTCAACCCAGGACGCCGTATTAATGCCGCTTGGTCCTGTTACAAAGGAACCGCAAAGAATGTGTTTTTCCCCTTACATGCCAATGAATGCTGCTTGTGTCATTCGCACACATAGGCCCACGACTCACGTAGCAGCCCTGCGCAAGTAAGAACCAAACAAACATTCGACCAGTCTCAGAGACAAGACAACTACGCGTCCGAGTAGTACTGGTCGTCGTAGTTCTGCGAGTATGGCGCATGAGGGGCACCATGCCAGCCACCGCCGACAACAGATTCGCGCGAACCCCACGGGTTGGCGTCCCGCATACGGCGATCGCGCTCAAACTCGGCCCAGCGCTTCATCGTAATCTTGCTGCTGTCAAACTCGCCCTCGTACTCGAGACCAGCCTTCTTGGTCTTCTCGCCATCCGTCTTTCGAGTCTCACCCCACGAGAAGTCGTCAAATTTCCAGAAAGCATACGTGGGCAGGACAAAGTTCCAGATTGGCAGAGCGAGGAGGTAGATAAGCATCCACAGGACGTAGGACCAGGAGTGCGCAGTGATGATAATGAGGGCACCAGGTAGGCCGAGAATGAGACCAAGCAGAACCAAGGGAATAATCTGTGGTTCGGGTGAAATAATCGAGATGACAACTAGAGTCGAAATGTCAGCTTCTATGACCATTTAATGCTTGCAGACAGGAGAAGTACTTACCGACGTAGATGGTGAAAGCCAGAGCCGCAGGAAGGACAAGGGTACCAATCAGTTCGATGGCGACAACGAACTGCATACTGAAGCAGAAAGTACCACACAGATCCTTGACAAGAACGAGTTCCATGAGGTTGTGAATAGTCGAGTTGATCCAGCGACGGCGCTGGGACAGCAGGACCTTGAACTCGTCAGGAACGGTAGTTTTGCACACGGCCTGAGGGACGAACACCTGCTTGCGCTTCGGGAAGGTGCGCAGCATGAGTGTTGTGAGGTATCGATCCTCTCCGAGCAGAAGCAAGTTCTTCTCGTGCAGTGTCTCGACAACGTTCTCAGAGTAGTGCTCAACAATGTCGGGGTTGGCGAGAATTGGAACCCAATAGTTCTGACCACCCTTGGGGGCCTTGATGCGGTACATGCAGAAACAGCCGGGTAAACAAGTGACACCACCAAAGACGGACTCGAATGACTTGGCCAGGTGATGTGAGATGAAGTACTCAAACACTTGGATAGCCGTCACCCAGCTGGCTTTCTTGTTGGCGATCTTGGTCTCGCCACAGAGGCCCATGATGGCAGGGTCCTTAACCATGGCATTCAGCATGTGCGTCAGACTGTCGGGGAAGACCTTGGTATCGGCGTCAACCATGAGAACAGTTTCGTAGAAATCGGGCGATATTCCGGTGACCTTCCAGAGACCGTTGAACATCTCGAACTCGAGCTCAGTCATGCGCTCGTCGAACATGACCTTCTGGAGGAACGACATGAGAATGACTTGACTGTCGCGCTTGCCGCGGTTACCAGGCTTCGACTTGGTCGCCTCGTCAGGCGTGCCACACTTGATGACAAGCATCATGGGGACACGCTGCTGCTTCTCCACAGGAATGCGCGAGGAATGTCCATAGTCGTAGAAACCGGCATAGATCTTGGCCATGTTGTGGCGCTTGGCGCCACTGGCCACTGCAACATAAGAGAATGCTTCAACCTCCTCAGGTGGCATGGTGTGGTCCTTCATCATGCCCAGACAGATTTCGGGTGTCGTCATGGTCTCACCAGCTCCCTTGATCATACCATCGCAAATAACGAGGATGACCTTGTGGCTGTTCGGGTAGTCTGTCATGGCGATGGAGTCGAGAGTAGTACGAAGACCCATTTCTCCTTCCGAGTAGGCAGTGACAAGGCAGATGGAATGAATCAGAGGGAAACCGAAAGGCTGGTAGTCAGCTGGAGGCTGGGGCACCACGGCCTCGTGGATGAAGCCAGAAGGGCCATAGCTGTCAAGCGTTGGGGGACACCAGTGCCGCTAACATAGGCGTCAGACTTGACTATGCTCGACTTGCTGTCGTTTGCCTGTCTGTACAGGGAACCCGGGTGGAGAAGAGGCCCGCTAGAGGCCTGGCTTGCCATGGTCGTCGGAGCAGCGCGACGAGTATTCCTATCGGCGCCATAAACGGTAGAGAAGCGTGAGGTTGTGGGTAAGAAAGTGCTGGCGCGCTTGCTTGTGCGATCGGAACCACCGGCGCTGCTGCCAACATCGCCAGTAATACGGGGAGGGGCGCGGTAGATGTCTTCGCTCCAATCTTCAATCTGCTTGTTGCGCTTCTTCTTGTCGGATGTCTGAGAAGTCTTCGGTGCAGCATACTTGCGGCTGAGGAACCATTGAAAAATAACTGCCAGACCAAATCTGGCACCAACGACGGAGAGAATGAGCACCAGTGACACAATGAGAACGACCTGAGATGCGATGCAGCCAACTGTCGAAGTATCAACAGTGCCGACCTTGATGATTTCCTCGAAGCACTCGGCCATGAGCTTGTCGTCGGTAGACTGCAAAGCGCGCGTGACATCACGACCCCGTAGGGCTTGGTTGGTGGGGTGATCCTTGTTACGGAGGTTCTTCCAGCGTTCAGGAATCGTGACCTGTGTCTCGTCGAACCATTTGAGCAAGTCAAGATCGAGAACGTTCCCGGAATAAACAACGAGGTTGCGGCTAGAGTTCTTCAGATCATCCCAATCGAAGTAGACCGATGCCGTCTGCTTGAGATCGAGGTAGAAGGTATCGCGGGAGTTTTGAGTGGTGTGGCAAGAGTATCCCGTATAGTACGGCCAGGTGTAGTTTGGCGTGGAGGAGCCATCCTGGTTGAAGGCTGTACAGGGGAAGTACCAGGCCATCTCGTCCGGGTCCTGGTCGTTGCGCGGGATACTGGAGCCCTCTGCAAGCTTGATCTGGCCCTTGCACTTGCCGTTGACGTTCTGGAACATGAAACTGCCATCTGTGCCTCCGTACTTGACGGGGAGATCGTATAGGACGTTCAGGAATGACCCATCCTGCCGAAGCGGGATGCCATCGGCGGGCGGGTGGCCGGATCTGGTGAGGTCGTACGCGGTGCCGTGAAAGATCATGTATCCGCCGCCAACTTCGTTGGCGTGAAGGCGCACACTGGGCTGCGCGCAGACCGTCTGCGTGAATCCAAAGGTGAGGTAGCCAACAATGGTCATGATGAGGAGAATGATGCTGATCAGACCCATCTTCTCCCTCCACGCCCTGCGCTTAGCCTTGGAGCGGAAGCCGCAACAGTTGAGAATGAAGTCCGGGCACCACAATGTGACGATTGCGCAATAAACGTTCCAGGCGCTTGGGGGTGAAATCACCTCCTGCGGACCTTGCCGCTTGCTCTTCTTGCCAGACTTGGAGATCTTGCCATTGGCAACACTTGAGCGGCGACGACGCTTGGCCTCATGAGTCGCAGCCTTCGCCTTGGGCTTCTCGGAGTCATGGCGGGGGGCTCTGGGTGGCGAGACATCGGAGGTGCTGTGCAGGGTGGTTGCGCCGCCAGAGACTTCCGTGGTGCCTTCATAGTCCTCGTAGAGAGGGTCGTTGCCTGTTGACGACGGGAGAGTCGCCATCTTGGCTGCGTGCTTGCGATAGTGGTAGTTTGGGTGGTCTTTGTCGATTCTGTTCCTCTCCGGGCGGATGAGACTCCTCTTGCGCGACGGGCCTCCAGCAGAGGCTGCGTGGGTATTCATTGTTGGTGAAAGAGGTTGGCTCTCTGTGTTTCCATGATTAGAACTCCGTATGGTCTCGGCGAAGGAGGTTCCTGAAGGCGCACGGTGGTGTCCCGGTCTCCCTGACCCAACTACGGGTTGGTAGCCACCAGTTTCGACATCATTAGGCCGCTGGTGTCGGGTTGGTGATTGACGATATGAGCTTTGGTCGTAGGGCTGTCGCGCCCCAGGCCGATTGGGGAGGGACATGTTTCTGTCGAGAGGAACGGGCAGGTTAGCAACGCAGTTTCCTGGACCACGAGGTTTGGAGCCAGCAGCGCAGCACGGCGAGGAATTACAGCTCGTGCAACCCAAGCAGTGCTGAAGGAAGCGTGCCAGACCAGGAGCGAATGCCTTAAGGATGAGGATGGAGGCTTGGGAGGATACGTACAAGGAAGCCGCTCAGGGCCAGGTTTGCTATGTCTCAGACGAGGACGGGCGAAACGCGTGCCGCACGGGGGGCGGGCGGTGCTGGGCTCGGGTGCGTGCCAGCTGGGGAAGAAAACGAAGTGGACGAGGCAGGCAGGGGAGAATGACGATGTGGACAGCGGATACGAAGAGGACGGGGCGGCTGGGGAAAACGAGTGTACTCTGCGCCGTAGGTCGACACGGCGGCGGAGACGAGGAGCGGATGAGCGAGAGACTGACAAAACAAACAGCCTCACAGCGACAGTGGCAGCAGCGACAGGCAGGCAGGCAGGCAGAGCGAGCGTTGGCGATGCAACCTTGGGAGGGAACGTGCGAAGACGGGCGCCAGGTTAGGGGAGGAGAGGAGAGCCACCCAGGAAATTTGGGGGCGTCTGTGTTGTTTGGAGGGCAACCGCTGGTCAATCAAGGCACGGCGGCAGCGCCAACCACCCCTGCTCCACACCACGGCCGCGCTACCACGGAGCACTCATTAACTCAGGCACGGAGGATCCTCCAGCAGCTCGTCCAGGGCCGGCCTTTCATGGACAGTCCAGCATCCTCTACGGCGCCCGCCATGCGGCTCAGTGCATTGCGTACGCATGTAGGCGAGCGTGCCGCAAAGATAGTCCTTTAGCGTGCATTTGCCCTGGGCCACAGTCCTTCACAAGCTCCGCGAGGTAAATTGTCTGGCGTTTGAGCACCATTCCTACTTACTCCGAGGCTCTGAGTGGCGACTATCTGGGTCAAGGTACGCTATGCGTGAGACTGCTGCTGCAGGCCAGCGCGAGGCTGGACAGCCTCGCTTCTCACAACTCTGGAGGTTGGGGTTTTCCCTGCACATCACAGCGACTCTGTGGCCGAACATTCAATTCGAGCTTCAAGGCGGCCAGGGGGTTGAATAGTGGACGTGCAGATGCCTACTGTTGATATTCTTGACTGTTTCTCTCCAAGCTCAACAGAGGAATCTGCCCTGGGATAGGAGGATCGACAGGCGCTCGCCTGGCCCGTTGCAGCCGCACACACACTAGCCCCTCAGAGGCGGCCAGCAGCTCGGCCGCACACGGGGAGACAAGACTGGGAGGCTGAGGCACTGTGCTCGCTGGGCTTCTTGGCAGCCCCAATGAAGAAAACCCGGCGCGGCTGGCGCCTCCTGAACGTCTGCCGGGTTCTCGCCCTCGATCTATTTTGGTGAGGCGCGGCCAGGGACGCTCCTCCGCTCGCAGGGCATACCATGACGTGGGGGCATGAAGTTGCCATGTCTCTGAAGAAAAGACTTCGGGGCCAGCTCGACGGGTAAGCCTCGAGCCCTGGCCTGTTTGCGGGCTTCGTGTTGGAACTCTCGCATGCAAATCCCTTGTGTTATGCACATACAGTATGCCCAGCTGGGTCGCTGAGCGCCGACCTGCCTGCCGATCACACGCTAGAACCAAACAAGGTGCGCGCGCAACGTTGGCGTGAGAAAGGGGGCCGGCGGGTGGTGCGATGCTCATTGAGCAGCATGGTGGGATTTCCTGTTTGGGAGCGAGGCGGCCTTCGGTCCAATGGCCATTTCCGATCTCGTGATGGGTTGTGGAGCTGCGCTTGACGAGATTTTTTCTCGTGTTGGAAAAGGGATGGCCTGCTGGACCCCTGGCCACCGCCTCCGCTGATTCGCCCATGGTCTTTCGAGAACCCGAACTAGGCTGGGGGGACTGCCCAGAGGTTACCTGCGCTCAGGATTCCAAAGGCCAGCGGCCCTGGGGGCAAGCAAGGTCGCAACGTGTACTAACCAGGGAATGACTGAGCATCATGCAACCAGCATGTCGCACGGGCAGGGCATGCCACCAGCCCAGGATTGCGAAACCCCACACGCATGGATGGCATCCCTGCCAACGACGTAATCAATCGTGCGCTATCCCACGCACAGCACGACGCTGAGTGAGGTGGTGTTGGCGTTGGCCTGACGACAAAAGTTGTGTGCATGTACCTGCAGCCAGGCAGACACGGCTGCTCGAGGACTTCACCTCCTTGGGCTGCCGACCAGCGCCTCATGACACCATACTCTCTCGTTGATGACAAGGTTGCTGCGTGGAGTGCTGGCCACCGACGGACGTTTGTGTGTCTGCGAGATGCTGAGACATTTGTTTTTGTGCCGTGACTCTGCCTGAAGGTGGCAGGCGCGCCTGCTTTGTTCTCGGCATCCCCAATCTGCATTCCATCGCGTGGTCGTTACAGATTCGGCTCCAGGCCTCGGTGGCTGCTCCGCGCCAGTCCTTTGTTCACTTTAGCGTAACGGGCGTCGTTCCCAGTCTTTCGACGAGGCGCACTTTTTGGATTCCGGAAAGTCTCTGGAATGCTGCTGAGCGCGTGATGCGAATGGGCACCAGCACGCGCCGTCTTTGTGAAAAGCAGCGGTTTATATACTCGCATGATATGCCATCGAGCCGCCAGTCTGGGAAGTCATGAATGCAGCGACGCCTGAGCTGATGTCCAAGAATATAGGCCCGATTGTGGCTCCCTCATGTTTGGTAGCTGTTCCCACTCGAAGGCATACTCGAATCACAGGTCCCCAGCCTCCACACAAAGTACTAAACCGAAGTTTCAACATGGCAGGTTCTCGGAAACTTAGTGTCAGGGTCGCGGCACAGTCCAAACGCCAGATGCTGATCTGCCGAGGGCTCGGCGGCACAGACCAGTTAAAGGTCGACAGGACGGCTTTTGATATTGATCGCCGCGCAGCCTTCTCGTCCAGTTGCGGTCTTGAATGCATTGATTGAGATTTCGCCGAATATCGTGACTTGCAAGGCCTCAGGCTGTAAATGCACCCATTCATTTAACCACCATCGGAGTTTGCAGGGTTTGTTTCGGTGCTTCCTCCTCGGAATACCAGCAAGGGTCTCCGGTGCATTGGATCCCCGGAGCCCAGATGGCCCTGATGCATACTCAACCTCGTATCCCATTCGATGGGTCCACGGCTCGGGGGTTGGTAAGCGCAATGAGGCGCGAGGTGTATCACAGATTTATCTGAAATGCCACGATGGCAGAAGGTGCTCGGCCTGGTGGTGTTAGGCGACGCAATAACAGAAGCGAGCTCAGGTTTGTCTGGCGCATTTTGTGCTTCGACCTCGAGGCATTCAACGCGAGCCTCTGCTTGCGACAGACGCTGGCTGGTCTCTGTTGGCGCCTGGTACGGGGGGTTTTGAGGTCTTGTCGGCGACTTTTGACCGGCAGACATGGGCCATGACGGTCGCAATTCAGACACCCATGGTTGTGGAGAGCTGGCTGGCAGGGAGGGTCGCCTCCCTGCAACCTTGTGAGGTCTTGTCGTAAAGGCCATCCCAGTGCACATCACGCCGGGGATGTGGTCCCTTGTACCAGACCTGGATGCTCTCACAGCACATCGTGAAGCTCACCTCATTGGGGAACTGGATCTGCGGTTATGGGCTGATGCTCTTCAGCAGTCGGCCAAGTACCTTCCAAGGTTATGGTAGCTTGCGATCAGGCACTACGTAGTACAAGACGCTGTCCACTTTGTACCCACGCGTTGCCCACTGCGCTGGTCCTGTCGTCTACCAGGTGCTGTGTTGAACCCCACTGCGGCTGTCAATGCATTCCCCAAGTTGACAAGTTCGGTGGAAGCTTCCGCCCCACTGTCCCACTGAAATTGCAAAGTGAAGGGCAAGCCACGGGAAGCCGGATGCAGAGATGGTTAGACAGAAGTATTAATAGCAATGAACCTGCGCGAGACGAGTTTTACCATCCCCGAATGTTGGGCACTTATCTCGTCTGGTTCGAAGACGATGTCATGGTCCAACCGCAGCAGTCGAGAGGCCAAACGCTTGGCTTTAGGACGGCACAAATACACACTCGGCAGACCTCAGCCGAAGCCATCGTTGCCAAGGCGATACTGCGTATTCAACCACTGTCCTGGCACATCCTAGCGATTGGGTTGACATCGGAAGCATGGCACACAGCGTGAACCCGCCCAGCCTCGTCGATTGCGATAGGAATTGATATCAGGGAATGGGGATGCCCGCTCTGGTGCTAGGCGCCGCAGGCGCCGCGTAGGAGCAACTCGGGCGTTGAGTACGGACGGCCTGGCAATCCAAGGCTGCATGGTGAAACATTGATATGCCAAGAACTCTACCTGTGTTGCAACAGGCTTGGGGTTCATGGTCGTGAATCCTGATTTGATGCCGTGCTTGTTATTGTTCTGGTCGAAACGGATCTGGTGCTCCTGGTGAGAGGTGACTAGCACAGCGGACAGTTCTGCTACGTGTGGTCGGCATCGAGAATCCAACACTCCGGGATTTGGTGCGCCTGCCAAACCGATTCGCACCACCAGACCGGCCGAGATTGGCCACAAAGGGTTCTCTTATGTGCGTCAAAGAGCTGAAACATCCCCTGCCATCAATTATCCTGTGCAGCAATAACGTCATGGCTGGCTGGAGCCGGGCAGGCTGCCTGCTAGCGCATATGATGGCAGTCAAATTCTTGAGTGAGACGTGTAAGTCGGACGAGGCTTCCCCGAAGTCTTCACAGCACCACGTGAACGCTTCTGCATTTTGGCGAACCCAGAGTTCAGGTTATTGGAATGCGACCAGCACTACCAGGAGCTAAATTAGCGTGCGGCGGGAGCTTTCTTCGAGTGGAGCAGCACACCGATCATTTGGCGCATGAGTTAGATGAACAGTGTTCGAGAGAGCGGTTGCGAGGATGCTGGTGGTCCACACCAACCCACCCAGCTGAATGCTGTTTCTGCCTAGGCCTGTGCGTTTCGGGAACTCTGCCAGCGAGGAAGCTTCTGTGTGCATGTCATGCCCCTGGTTGCGAGCTGCCGGGACTGGCGCCTTCGTCCTTTTGTGCAAGATGGCGCCTGGAGCCCTTCTGATATCTCAAACCGCCACAGGAGTGGCGCTTGGACCCTCGTCGAGGCATTACGGCTGTTGTGGCAGGCCCCGCTGGATCGTCCATGGTCCTGGGGAGTTGCTGGTAACGTTCCCAACATGGCAGTAGGCCAAGAACGACTGCAGGAACACGATGGACAGGCTGCTGTGAAGGACCGGGCCCCGGCCACTTGAGCCGCTGCGATGTGAGATCGACGGGGCCACGGCCTCCTGCGGGCGCCAACACGGGCAGGTCGGAGTGGGCGGGGGAGCCGGGTAAGGCGGACACGAGGGAGGGACGTGGGATGCGTCGGTTTGGGTGGCCGGCTGGCCTACGAGAGACCTGTTGCAATGCGATGGGCGGGAGGTGACTTGGACTGACTGACTAGCTCACAGACAGCAGATATGTGCCTGCCTGCCTGCCTGCCTTACGCCTGGCCAAGCCATGGGAGCTCCAGCTCATCGTCCCTGCCGACTCCAATCACTAAACAAATCCCCCCAGCCAATTTCCCGCCTGCCAGCGTCTACGCTACCTTGGCCAGCTGGCGTTGTGTCCTAGACAAAAGCACGCTGGTTTGCCTCGAGGGACTGCCACCCAACAACGACGGCATCGTGAGCGGCTGCGCGCAGTGCCATTGTCATTATAGCCAGCATCATTCTCAACGCCATCCCCATCATTGTTTGCATCGCCTGCTGCAGGGCCGCTCGCTGTCACGCATCTCCCACAAAGGGCGAGCGAGCCAAGCAACCCGCCAGAGTCCCAGCCAGCTCGCCAGCGCCGACAGTTCGTGGGCCGCACCGCCTCCGAGTTGACCGCCAACCCTGGCCCCAGTCTTGGCCCCCCTCCTTCGGCCCCTGTCTTTGTGCCCTTCCGCGCCTCTGTTTCTTGACGGAGCCCGGCTCTTGCGTCAGTCCATAGACTTATTCGTGTTTGATCTAGTGATACCCTCCCACCCCAGTTTTTCCCAAGCCCTTTATTGCCGCTCGCCGCCGGTCCCTGCACATTCTCTCACCCCACGGCCTTTGCTTGTGTACTTCCGACAAGTCCAGCACCTGCTCCTCGTTCTGTCGCCTCTCAGTCCCGCCCATTGGGGTACAGCATATCACCGTCTGCTGGCTGCCAAACACCGCTGTGGCCCGCCGTTTCGCAGCATCTCCCGCACAAAGAGGTTCGCAGGGGCCTTTTCAACAGGTCCCACCGAGCTCGCTCAGGGTCAAGCAAGCACCTGGTGTGGACAACGGAACGGCAACGCAGGACCATCAGTCGTCCTGACACCTAGCCATGGCTTCAGTCACGGCCAATTCGCCGCCCGCGACTGCAGCTTCTCCATCGTCTCCCGTCCGCTCTTTGCACAGGAAGCCCGTCAGCCCTCCCCGCGCGATCCCCAACAACATGCCAGGCAACATCCGCATGGCCCCAGTCTCGCCAGTCCGACTCAACTTCCAGCCAGACAGCCGGGCGCTAGGATCCGATCCCAGTTTCCAACAACAACGAGTTTCCATGTATCTAGACGATCATATTCACGATGCCAGCGACGCCCCGGTCACGAGTCAGCAACCACAAGCGAGGGCGCCATCACATGCGCACTCGTCTACTCTCCCGAAGCAGCGACAGGCCCCACGTGTTGAGCTCGAAAAGACCCTGCCTCCGGGCTCCGAACATTCAGATATCCCCGGCCAGATTGGGAAATCCACGGCGAGCACGGTGAATGGTCAGGGTGCTGGTGAGCAAGATAGGCTCAGCAGAGAGTCTGACACAACCTCGACATCCCAAGTAGAAACTTCTCAAGCTTCTTCGGTGGAGACGAGCCACAGCTCCGTCTCGGCAGGTCCTCAGGAGAAGAGTGGCAGCCAGACAGGCTCATTAAAAGATCCGATACTGGAGGAGGTATCAGTGCCTCAGCTCCAGTATCACCACCAAGCATTTATGCCGCGGGTGGCCAGTGTGCCGTTGGAAATGCATTCGCGCAACTCGTCCAACACGGATCTCGGAGACCCAGGCATCAACCGCCACCTGACGCCCAATTCCAATATCCGCAGAAGCTCCATGCCACGACCGCAATCATCTTATTCTCTGCTCTCTGATGGAGGTCCTCGCGGCAAGTCACCTCTAGCAGCTCGTCGATCGCCAGACGTAAGGCCACAGTCGTATGCAGAACTTCTCAACGTGCCGTATCCACAGCCAGCTCCGGCACCGATCACATTCGACAACTCACAATTGCGCAACAATGTCGGCACGAATGCTTCTTTACTTAGCGCACAAAAGACACTCGAGATGTACAGACAAAACGTCAAGAAGACAAACGACTTCTCCATCCAGTACTCCTTCGCAGTGTTCTTGATTTCGACCGCGCAAGAGCAGGGGCTGAGCCGGTCAGAACCTGCGAGACGCAAGGGGTCGGCCAAGCCTGACACTCCAGAAATCGCCGAATCATCGCCGACCGAGCTTGTGCGAGAGGCAAAGGCCATTCTCACCAAGCTTGCGAGCGCTGGATATCCTTTCGCCCAGTACTACCTGGCTGATGGCTACGCGTCCGGCATATTCAATAAGGGTAAGGAGGATCCGAACTCCGCATTCCCGCTGTTTGTGCTCGCGGCCAAGCACGGCCACGCGGAGTCAGCCTACCGTGCGGGCTTGTGCTATGAATTTGGATGGGGCTGCCGTTCAGATCCCACCAAGGCGATTCAGTTCTTGAGGACAGCTGCCTCCAAGAACCACCCAGGTGCCATGACACGTCTCGGTAAGGCCTGCTTGTCTGGAGATTTGGGAGAATCTCGCTACAGGGAGGGTTTGAAATGGTTGAAACGTGCATCAGAGGCGGCGGACACGATCTACAATGCCGCACCCTACCATCTCGGCACTCTGTACGAGACGGGCTATGGCGAAGACATCTTCAAGGACGAGGGCTACGCTGCCGAGCTTTTCACTCAGGCTGCTGAGCTTGGCCACCCAGAGGCTAGTTTCCGCATGGGCGATGCTTATGAGCATGGGACGCTCAGCTGCCCGCGGGATCCTGCGCTCAGCGTCCATTTCTACACAGGCGCAGCCGATCGTGGCCACCCCGGAGCGATGATGGGGCTGTGCGCATGGTACATGGTTGGCGCCGAGCCTGTGCTGGAGAAGGACGAAGAGGAAGCGTACGAGTGGGCACGGAGATCTGCAGAACTTGGTACGTGTGCTCTTGTCACTACTGACATGACCCCATGGAGACAGAGTATGCCAGAGTTGCTAACCTCAACATCTCGCCTTAGGTTTTGTCAAAGCACAGTACGCTGTCGGTTATTTTACGGAAATGGGCATCGGCTGCCGACGTGATATTCTAGAAGCCAATGTCTGGTACGTCAAGGCTGCCGACGCTGGAGATGAGAGAGCCAAGCAGAGACTGGCCGTGATTCGCGAGGCTGTCAGTGGAGGCGGTCCTCGCGGAGTTCCTATGGATGTTGCTCCTCCGCGCAACGCAAAGATGAAGAAAAACCAATCCAAGGACGATAAAGACTGCATCGTAATGTAATTGTTCAACGGGGGCCGATGGGAGAGCAGAATTCAAGGGTTTCGGCGCAGGCACCTTTGCTTCATGGTATCAGGTTGTGGTTTGGGTTTGGCAGGTACACCGAAGCGCTTCGCACTTTGTTGGTGCTGGTCGTGCGACCATGCAGCACGCATACGCATTCTTGGAAACTCTGAGGGCTGAGGGAGGAGCTTGTCGACTTTTCTATCTTTTTTTTCTTCACTGCTGGGATATCAGGAGGTCATGGGAAAAGGTGCATTTTGTCTCGAGTTTTGCCCCCCTTCATTCGCACCTGCATCGCATCGCTCGAGCTTTCATCAACTGCATCAGCCATCGTAATCGCATCATCGAAAAATTGACGTAATGACCAGAACGGTTCTTTGGCACGTGAATTTGTGACGTGAATACAACTACTGGCCATCTTGTAGTGCCAAGATTATCAAAAGACCAAGACCCCGATTTTGCAGAATTACGCGGATGGGGACTGCTCTTTCACGACGCAAATACTCCACGTATTAAAACTCAGCAACAAAGGGAATCAATAACTTGAAGGGCAGGTCGAAGATGCGTAAGGGAAAAGGGAAGGTTGTCCGCGGCGACAGCTAATGCGGCAATGTGTCAAGCAAGTTGTGTTGACAGAGACATCCGATTACCCTACTTTTGGGACATCAGGAAGTGCACATAAGACCATGACTATTTACGCCAGCATGTCAGAGTGTGGGATGATTATACTTTATATACGCTATGCCATGCAGAGCAGTAGAATGGACAATGCCAGAAACAACAAGTCAGTGTTCTTTGTGCGTTGCAAGTGAGTATGGCTGAGTGCAAGAACCCCCGGACTGATTATGAGGACGAACAAGCAAAAGAAACCCAAGAACGCCTCCCATCGTAACCTCGTGACCATAGCTCGTAAGAAAAGAGACTTTTTGCGATGCGCTCGTCTCAGTGAAAACAGGGCAATGTCATTCCCCCCCATCCATTTACTCTCATCAGCATCATGAAGAACTCCTCTTCGACTCAACTTCCTCCCCTAGCTCGCCGGGGCGTTTGGGGTCGACCATGGCCGAGTATCTTTCGTCACCCCATCTTGCGCCAATGGTAACCCATACATGCTTGCTTGGACCACTGTGGACCGTCTCACGACAGCCCGTCCATTGCTGCCGATGTTCACGGGACATCCGGCTATTTCCGATACCACCGTTCATCACCCATTCGCGGATAATGCCCCGGATGAACTCAATCTTCTGGCGAAAGTGATTCGCCGCGGGGATACCTTGAAGCATTGGGTTGATTTCAGGCCGCTTACGCGTCGTGTTGCGGACAGGTCGGACTGCAGGCTTGGTCGCGAAATTGAGAAGTGTCTGCAAAGGGTACGACAGAACGGCACGGTCATCCAGCGCAGACTCGTCCAGCTCGCCGGTTGCTGCAAGCTTCTCTGCTGCCTCTTGGGGAAGGTGCCAGAAGTGGCACCACGTCCCTTCGGCATCAAGAACGATCTTCGTGTGATCAGGGAAATTGAACTGGGAGTGACCGTCTGCGAAAACCCAGCAACCGACATCACCGATGCGCTGGTAGAATGTCACTACATCGCTCGGCGGCATCGACTGCACTGCGTCTGTCTTCGGTGCGTGGATAGAGCCAGAATCCTCAGATACCTCTTGATCCCGACCATATGCCATCATGTAATTCGCAAACTTCTTCCATAGAATAAGAAGCTCACGCTTCCGATAGTCGTAGATGTCTCGCCCAACTGGCACTTTGCTGGGCGTGCCATCCTCGTTGATCGTGATTCTGAATTGTGAGGGGTTGACAAACACGGTCGATATGCCTCCTGCACCGTTGTTTTCGTAGAACTGAACCGAATTGGCCATGGGCACAATCTGATGGCGATCCGGGTAGCCAGGATCGTGCCGGCGTGCGCAATGTTGTTCAGCCTCGCGCACGAGAATGCACGAGGGTGGGAGAGTCACCGTTTTGCCCCCCCTCGCGCTCCCCGGGATGCTCCGGAGGACGCACCCAACACCTCCGTCGTTGAGGATATAACCGAGGCCAAACTTGTTGGAGTAGTCGACCCATTTCACGACAATATGAGGTGAGGAAGGTGGTGGGCTCTTGCCCATGACGGCCATGGAGCGAGAGTTTAGGGCTCTCTCCAGCTCGGCCTGCAGTCGCGACAGGCGCTCAAGTACAATGTCTGGCTTTGTTGTCGGGACTGACATTCTGCGCTCGTCCGGACCAAACAAAGTTCCCAATGGTGGCTCTGCAGGAAGCGCCCCAGATTGCTGTGATGGCTCCGGAATGGCCCTAATACGTTCAGTGCTCGAGCTCTTCTCCTCGATTACAGGAAAGACATTGTTGGAGACACCATCCAGGGTCCTCGTGCGAGTCTCAATTGGTCTAGAACGCGAGGCCGATGTCCTGACGGTCGGTTTTGAAGCCGGCTTGGCCAGGACGTCATTCGCAGTAGAGCTCGTGTTGAGCTCCCGTCTTGCACGAGTGCGGAGACTTCCAGCTGTCACGGCAGGCGCCGTTGGTTCTTCCGCCATCGTTTGCGAGCGCAAGGCGGTGTTTGTCTTCGCGGGCTTGTTCTGAGCTCTTTGTTGGGCCGCAAAGCTTTGGGGAGGTGCACGAAGGAGGCCAGATGGACCGTCGTGCACCGCTGCGGAGGTCTCCCCATGGCGGACGGACGCCTGCATAGGACCAACAATGGGACCATCGAGGAGCCTCTGCTCCCTCCTCACTTCGTCAAAGGGCCTATAAACAATGCCTTCGGCCAGGGGGATGATGGGAGTCAGGCCTGCCTTCTCCTCAAGGGCCATTTCTCTCCACGTGCTTTTAGGCGTGGGCCTCTCACCAGCCCACGGACCGACCTCGCATGCTCTGCACATATCCTTGAGTATCCGCAGGTTGTATGATGCCATTTGAGGTGTCAGCTCGGTCGCATAGAAACGTTCCGCATCCGGAGGGTAGTCGCGCAGCTTGGGAGTGATCTCTTCGGGTGTCGGAATGTGGCCAGAGAGGAAGAAGTCGTGCTGAACAATAACATCAGGCTCTGGGCGGTGGTCTGGCTCTTCGAGCATGGACGCCACCAAGTCTTTGGCTTCTTGCGAGATATACTTGTTTGATGTCTCTGGCGTTGGCCACTCGTAATCACGGTTTCTTGCTCGCCTGTAAATCTCGTCGGTTGTGGACGACTGGAAGGGAGGCTTCGAAGTCAGCATGGCAAACCTAGTGTGAATGGGTTAGCGGCTACACTTTCATTTTAAGCGTTGACGTAGGCAAGACATGGTACGCACATGATGATGCCCAAACTCCAGAGATCGACCATGTGGTCATGGCCTTTCTTGCCCTTTTCGAGAATTTCAGGGGCAATGTAGTTTGGAGTGCCGCAGAGCGTGGTGCGGCGGATTGTCTGCATATCCTTGCCTGTCACGAGCAATGCGGCCAGCCCAAAGTCGCCGATCTTGGCATTCATCTGCCGGTCGAGGAAGATGTTGCCCATTTTCAGGTCTCGGTGAATGATGCCTTTGCTGTGCATATATCTAATCGCACCAGCAATTTGAATGGAGTAGAATCGCACTTCGGGCTCGGTCAGGCCCTTTCGACGCTTGACCATATCCATAAGGGATCCGTTCGGGCACAGCTCGAGCACGAGGTACGTGCAGGCATCCGCCGAGAATGCTCTCAGGAAGTGCACAATGTTCTGGTGCCTCATCTTGGAGTGAATCTGGAGCTCGGTTTGGAACTGGACGACGGTTGAGTCAGCAATGGCGATTCATCATCATGAACAGTGAGTGAGCGGACGGACCTTCTGCTCCATTTTTGGGGCCATTTTGCTTCGGACGATTTTGAGGGCGTAACGCTTCTTATTGAGATAGCCTTCATAACAAATGGCAAACCCGCCTTTGCCGAGCATCTTGCCAACCTGGTAAGAGGCTCCATCCTTGCGGTCTGAGCTGGGAGGCTCGTAGACAATGGGCGGAGGCGGAGGCGGGTGCTCCTTGTCCTTCTGGGTCTGCTTGGACGCCAGGGCTGCTTTGACCTTTGCGGCGGTCTCCTGTGCTTTGGGTGGGCGCTGGACGTTGACGTCGCGGGGAGTTAACGCGTCAGAATCAAGACCGTGCTTTGCCGCCGAGACTCTGTCCGCCATCTGGAAAACAAAGGTAGCGGGCAGCCGAGCGGGCTGTGATGGGCTAAACTTTCGAGTGGTGGACGACGACGGGATGATCAGGTCATGTATATAAATAGAGCCGACGTCTAGAGAGGAGGGCTGGCGTGTCAGTGTCCATGTACCAGAGGCGCGGCGGTAGTAGTCTTGACAGGCGGTCGTTGAAGATGCTGCTCAGGGACCAACGGACCATAAAAGACAATAGCAAGCCTAAATATCGAGTGTTGTGGATGTGGTAGGGACGACAACAACTTCCATACGGCCAGTCGCGGTGTCGGTAGGGGTGAGTGGCTTTGGCGAGAGGATGCTCATGAGGCCACAAGCCTGGGTGTCGTTTGCCGGTGAGGGCTTGTGATGGGCGCAGAGGCGAGGGTCGTTGTAGCTTGAAGAACAACAAATCCTGGAGCTGCGACTGCTGAGCAACAACTTTGAGATGGGGATTCTCCAGCGCGCGCACACACACACGACTGCCATGCCATGCCAAACACGCAACGAATCAGGGGCCACCAGTCGGTGTGGGGCGCGTTGCTCCGGAGCAACGGCGGGTCAACCCCTGCTGGTGCCTGCCCTGTGGACTGCGACTGCGGGCGGGACCTGGCCGAGCCAAGCTCCGTCGGCCGCCGCTGCTCCCGCCCACCAAACGTCAGACAACCCTGAGCTTGGCCACAGACTGAACGGCCCCTCCACAGCACACTTTCTTCTTTGCTCTGGAATGGTGTCCGGCCGCGACGACTGCTTCTATGCTTCGAGTCACAAATACCACGAGTCGAACCGCCCGTTTCACCGCTCCCCTGCCGGCACTCCCGTCCATCCGGCACAATCGCTACGTTAGTCCCTCTACGCCGCCTTCGGGCACACCGGCCTCGACATCCACGGCCACCCACACGGGTCCGCCTACCGCCATGGTTGCCCTCCCGCTCTTCAAGCTCGGCTCGCTCTTCATTCGACACATTTCCAAATATGGCGCAGTACGTGATGTCGTCGTTTTTGGGCAGTTTCCTGCTCGCCCGCTCAAAAGACTCCCCGGCTGACCGTAGGCACCGAACCCCCGCAGAATCGTATAAAATTACAGGCGCACGAGCACCCCGGCTTTCGCAGGTTCGCCGCCCGCTACGGGCAGTACATACACCAGTTCAACATGCGCATGAATGTGTCCCTGCTGCGCGACACCGCCGCCGAGCTGCGAGCCAAGGAGAAGGCCCAGGCACCCACCGTCAAGACCAAAGAGGAAGTCGAGAAGGAGGAGAGCAGAAAACTGCGGCCGAGGACGGGCACTACAACCACAGAAGAGGGCGCCAAGAAGAGAATGAATTTCCTTCAGGTCTGGCGCCGTAAATTCCGGCCCCTGCCCGAGGAGAAGGCCGTAGACCTCTTTGCTGACGTGCTCGGCGACGCCTTCATCCTCTTCGTGGCCAGCGCCATCATCCTCTACGAGTACCAGAAAGCGGCCCAGAAGCCCGACGCCAACCACGAGAGGATCAAGGAACTCACCGCCCGCTTCGACGAGCTCGAGCAGCGCGAGGCGAAGCTGCTAGAGGCCGAGAAGCAGCAGCAGGAGCGCGTGCGACTGATCGAGGCGGCGCTACAGGGCTTCAAAGACCCGGCCACGAAGAAACCGCTCTTGGAGCCCTCGCCTTTGCCCGTGGCACTGCCGGAACTGCGACCGTCTGCAGCTGGCGGCGTGCCTCCACAGAGCCCTCCGGCAGCGTAAAAGTCTCCTCCTCCGCATTTCATTATAGATTTGTATTATAGCAACTCTGCATATACCCGGCGCATGGCGGCCTATGTTTCAACCTTGACGGGCAACCAGGGCGCACACTTCTCGGAAGTATGACGCTGGTGTCTGAGACAAGACGATTTGGGTGGACAGTTTTAGACATTTGTGCTTTACTTGCTTGTATACCATCACCACTTAGCTCAGAGGATATATTACAATTACGTTCGAGCGATTCTAGAAATGCTACCAGAGGTCATCGTGACGATATGCCGCTCCACTGATTGATGCATGTCTCAGTATCAATGGGAACACTTTGCTTGTTGATTTCACCACTGCACGAATACATTGAAACTAGCCCCAAACCTCCACAGCAACGCTCACTAGACTCTGCTGCACATGTCAAGTACAAGTCTATATTGAAATCAGCCTTCTCTTAAGGCTTCCCGGGCTTTGGCATCTTTACAGGGAACGGATAGGTGTTATTGACTTGTGTATAAAACCTACCGCGATATCAAATCGGGCAATGCGCGCACCTCCCAAAGAAGCGCTCCACGGGCGCCAACCGTGATGAGAGACATGCACACAACGATCGACAGGCACGGAAGGAGCAACCCGTGTGATGTACGAATTGATCGACGCAGACCACCGGCATTCTAAGTACAAGTGTTCAAAGTCGTGCACACAAAAACACCACCAAGACTTCTGCCCGCTCAATGGACCGAACATACGAGACCGCTCCGGCCCTTGAAAGCGTCAAGCCCGCCTTTCAAGCTGTGCAGAATCAATCTTGGGAGACAGGCCCGTGCGACAAAAACACATGTTTCTTTGCGCCGCCGGCCCTTTCTTCACGAAAAACAGCCAGCAGCTTCTAGATCCCTATCTTTGTCGCACCATGGACAGGCTTCAGTTCTGCACCAGTCTCCGCCAACGCCCAGCATGCAGTAACGCGGTGATGGCCTTTCGCACCGCCAAATGGAGAGGTATGTATGGAAGCAAGTCTGTTTGTACATCATACTCTCCAAGGCGTCACAGCAACTTTCATGAGACCTGAACGCTTACTCTACTGCAGAAGCCAGACTAGAGACCCACGATGCCGCCATGCTCCTCCCAGCCCAGCAGTCTCGCCAGCTGCACGAGTCTGTGCTGCGCGCGAGCTTTGTGTCGACGAGCGACCTTGATGTCGATGACGGGACTACAGCAGGCAGTACATTTTCGGCGGGTACCTGGCAGCGTATCGAGCGGTTGTACTACCTGAATGGCAGCGGCCAAGATTCGGTCATTGTGTTTGTCCTCGAATATGCTAGCAAAGACAATGCCGCGTCTAGTAGCCGTGCGATGAACCTCTATACAAAACTGCAAGCCGAGTACGTCATGGGACCAAACCTCGCTTTTTACATCATGTTGAGGTCTAGCCACCTGACAATGCCCATGTCTGTCCTCAGCCTCATGGAAAGCGATCTTGTTATCCCCGTCGTCCCTTGCGCAACGTGGGAGCTAGTCCCACAGACACTCGTAGCCTTCCATCGACAGTTGTGCGTCAACCGCCGTCCAAAGCTGGTGCCACGAGCCCAGAACAACAACGCCTCAATCGAGCAGACTCTCGAAGTGTTGCGGCACAGTATCACCCACAAACCACTCTCGGACCACAGTATCCACGTACTGACGGACCTGACGACTGGATTCCGTGATTACTTGGACAAGCTCGACGACCCTGAAGCACAGGAGAAGATCTTGGGGTATCTCGGAGAGGAAGGGCAGCGGGCGCTTGCGTTTTGGCTGGAGGACTTTGTAATGGAATAGGCTAGCGCTGTGGCTCTCCAGACTTGAACATATTTCTCGCGCGGCAGAGCCCATTCCTGTTGGGTCCTGCACTGAGCGCCATCATGGGTGGCTTGCCTGCGCGAACCTTTCATGGCAGAGCTGACACGATACCTGCACAGCTTGTCCCACGCTCATCTACTCTACGAGTCTGATTGTGGCGTGTTCTTTGGAGCAGCCTGAAGTCACGCCTTGGCAGTGTGCCCGTGGTGTCTGTGCTTGGAGGTGATGGCTCAATACGTCGCTGACCGATCAATCACACTCTGCACAACCATTTGATCCTAATGGTCCCAGAGGATATTTAATCCAGGAACTAAGAAGTATGTGCCCAAGGGCCGAAGCTGCATCTGTCCGCTTGTGACAAGGGCATTTGGCCAAGCGCGGGCCTGCATGTCTGGGGATGCGAGCCTATAAATAAACCTGTGCCGTGCTCATATGATTCCGCATACACTAGGAACGGTGACATCTAGGCACGCCGGCGCGCACGCCAAGGACGTGGTTGCCTGCAGATTGGCATCCAACAGGGACAAGTTTCTGGGTTCGCCCACAGCCCCGAACATTCGCACAAAATTTGACTGTTCTTCTACCTGTCAGGAGTTATGAACAGGCCGCGAAGGGTTTTGCCAGTAACGGATGCGCAATAGAGACATGCGGCACCTTGGGGAGAACGAAGCTCGGAGAAGGCATGACGGCACGAGAGTGGATCTCCAGCTGGATCTCATGTTACTCATGGCAGCCACGTGCGCAGAGAAATGCCCTGGTCCATCAATTGAAGCCAGTCACGTCGAAATGCTCCGGAGTCTTTGATCGGCCAACAACGAATCATGTACATGAACCAAGGAATCAAATTCCATGCTATTGCTGAAAGCTGTGGATGGTCCAGTCTGGCGGCCCCCAATGGCCAGATTCGGTCGCCCCCACTGTCACGGCCTCGCCAGCTCATCTGAACCAATAGAAATAGCCCTCGAGCCGCCGACTCGCTTGATTGGGAAATTGTGTACTGGGCGCGTGCCGCTAATGCAGAGCTTTCCTTTTGCTCACAGGTCAAAGCGAGATCCCCAGATCTAACGGTCCCCGAGCTTTTGCTCGGCGGTGGTTTTGTGGATTCTTGATAATTGGTAAGTCGTACGGTCCTGTTTGGCGGTGAGATGTGGCTTGCCGTATTTGGGTCATGTGGCCGTCTCCCATTTTTATCGGCTCGTGTCGACCCGAAATGGCCGCCACAATCACTGTCACCTAATGACATTGATCATGTTTGGGTGCTGGATGGTCACCGAATGGCATGTACTGCAGTTGCGCATCAGGTCTGACGCAAGCCGGGAAGCGCGCATCTTCGCTGCAGTAAAGCGCGAGGAAGAAGCTGCACGCCGCACGTCGCATGTCGTACATTCATTCCTGGATGTGCATGGCCTGTGCAGAGTTGCGACTGAGAGCAGGCTGCTACTGCAAGGAGACCCGCAACACCCTGGCCTCGGAGTAGAAGTGCTGAGTTCGTCAGACTAGAGCCTGTGTTTCCAAACGGCGGCAAGCTTCGGCTGACTGCCGTCTTGATTCCAAACAAGTGATCGGGGATCGTCTCGTCCCTGAGATATGATGGAACAATCGTCCCAAAAGTTGGGTTTGAGACTCTAGAGTGATCGCTTGCAGAAAGCTGACGAGTTCTCTGCATCATGAACCTCGTCAAGGCCCAAGCTCTTACAGGGTTTTACGCTAAGACACCTCCTGTGGGCAAGGATGCTGACCAGGGTACACCCCGGCCACAAAACACAACGTGCCTCAGCAGTGCCAGGCCCGACCATGCGGCTGTGTCTTGAGTTGTCTTGATTTCCGGAGAGCTGGAGAATTCTCTGTGAGAAGGAGTAACGTGGGAGGCCGTGATCATCGCCTTGGTTGCCGTTCTGCCCATGATTGAAGGCAGTCTCCGACAGGTCTGGGGCGCAAGGTGCGACGTGCAGATGGCGCCCCCCCCCCCCCGCCCCAAATTGTAGACGGTACCGAACCCCAAGGGATCGGCTTCTGACTAGCGATCATGTGGCTGAATGCAGCGATCTGATCTTGAAGACCGTTTTGCGCTGATGTCTGCAATCGATGACTAGCTGGGCGACGCATCTCCACCGGCTAACGGAGATCGCATGCTGAAACTAACAGGATCGAGGCCCAGTGATGTGCATTTTGCTGTATGCTGCAGAATCTGTCAAGGGTTGGCCCGCCGGCTGCAGACGGAGACCCTGGCGGCGCACCATTGTCAGGGACCTGGGAGGCCGCAATGGTTCTTCCGGCTCGAAGTTCGAGGCTCCTTGACTTGGTGAGCCTGGGCAATGCTTATGAGTGTGGTCGGCATCGACAGACGCAAGCACAAGTCTGCAAGACCTTCGGTCTCTCGATGTCCCTAAGAGGGAATATACTAATGAGTCGTAGGCGGTGCTTACGCCGGCCGAGCTTGGAGGTAATCAGCCGTGATGAGGCTCTTTCAGACGAGTGGGCGAGCTGCAGACACGGAGGAGGAGAGGAGAAGATGTGTGGGGCGGCCGGGCGCTGGACGACCCCCCGGCGACACTGCAGCGACGAGGAGTGTCGCACCTGCCCATTGGCCAGCGCCTCCTGTAGCCGCCAGGGCTGCCCTGCCCCACGCGGCCAATCACCTCTGGGGGCGCCCCCTCCACCGTCGGCAAGGTGCTGCCCTCGGCCGCATGCGCCGCTGGCCACCGCCAGCCACCGCCCACGGTAGCCGCTCCACCTCGGCGGCTCGACAACTTGGCCTCGCTGACCTGGGCCCGTCACGCGCTGCCCGTATTGGTCGCCGCTGGCAGCGATGGATGCACAATCAATCAATCAGCCAGTCAATCTATCTACGTCCCGAGTGCGCTCGATCCTGGGCGCTGGTGCATACATGGCGTACATACATGGCTGTGAATGTTACAAAAGAGCAGCGTGCCCTGCGCCTGGCAGCCCTGCGTCCCGCCCGTCTCAAACCCGCCCAAGTGCTGCCCCCTTCGTCGTGCACCGCCAGACAACCCGACGCCGTTGCCGTCTCGGATGCGGCCCCTTGGGACACGGCCCTGCCCTGCCCATGAGCCCCCTATGCCCGCTGTCGTCCCAGACCGTACCACCAGAGCCGGCACATCAGACGACGCCGCCGCCTGAGCTCCTGCCTGCGCCCCTCGCAACGGCATCCCATCCCCCCTGCTCTCCCGAGAGCACCTGAAGCAACACGGGGGAGACCAAGGAACCGCTGGCAAACTGTGGGCTCGCTCCCGACAAAGTCCAGCCCAGCACCGCCGCCGCCCGTTGCAATATAGCCAACCGCCGGCCCGGTCTGCCCACGCCTACTGCCGCCTCCTTCTCTCCTCTCCCCTTCCAGTGCCTGCCGCATTCGTTGTTCGCTTCAACCACTCGCTGTCTTTTCTTCTCGCCTCGTGTGTGCAGGTCTGGTTACCTCGCAGCACTTCGATTCGCTTCTCCGCCCTCGACTTCTTTCTTCTTTCCGGCTCCTTTGGTCGTATTCTCCGTGCCGGGCACTCGTTTCGCATAATCCTTTACCATCTCTCAGAGGGTCGATCCTTCGCCAATCGTTGTAATTCCTTCTTTAGACGCTAAGCTTTTGGGTCGCCTTTCGACTGCGAAGATACGAGGAATCGGGAAACGGAAAATCACCGAAAAGAGAAGAACAGAGAAGCCGTCGCAAATAAGACGCCTCAGAAGGGATATCTCTCAACCTCAAGTCAGCTACGAACACATCTGCAACAGCAAAACGCGACCGCCGCCTAGACCCGCCAACCAGCAACAACCGTCAAGATGGGCAGACTTATCAAGAACCACTGGGCCCGCCTGATTGTCCTGACCGCAGCTTCATGTAAGTCGTACTCCCCCCCTTTCGACGCCCGCACGCTCAGATCGGGAAAGAGCCTTCGCGACTGACACGCTTATTTTGTTGCCCCCGTTCCAGACCAAGTATGTGCTGCCGTGGAGGGCTTCTTCTGGCCCAAGATCTTCTTTGACTTCTTGACAAAGTCGCTCAACCCGGTCGTCATGCCTCTGCCGATACTGCAAGTCATCAACCTGGTCATGGGCCTTGCCATGATGGCCTGGGAGTTCCCCCTCAAGCCAATCGCCGGCTCCAGCATCCACCGCAGCCTCGAAGCCCGCCTGGCCGTCCTGCCGCTCGCAGCGCTCGCCTCGATCCTGATGTACCAGAGCACCAACTCGGCAATCTACTACGTCACAGCCATGGTCGTCTACTTCTGGGCGTACAGCGAAGGCGAGGTATGTAATGCAGAAAGCACCATCACTCTGGCAAAAGACGCTCCTCATGCTAACTCCCCCCGTCTCTTTGTAGATCATCTGTGCAAAGCCTTGGAGTCTCCCCCAGCGTGGTCGCCCCGGCAAGGTGTAAGAGAGAGAGAGAGAGAACTTTAGAAAGGGGAGAGAAAGAGGTTTCGGTCTGCTCGATGTTGGATCTCCGCTTTTGTACAATTCAAGATCTCACGACCACCACCCCCAAAGAAATCGAGCAGTTACCAACCACCAAATTTCCCGTTTTTCAGCCAAAATGCTCCAAACCGCAACCCGAGCAGGAGACCCGTGCACGTTGCTGAGCTCGGCTGGGCATGTATTGGCTTTTTTCTCGTCAAAGGGGATGATGAAACCCCCATGGATTGATGGATGGATGGATGGATTGATGGATAGAAGGTTTCCAAGAGCAGAGCAAAGGAGGGGGAAGCAAAGCAGGATTTACATGGGGGTGGGAAGCACACACACAGGTAACCCCCAGGCCTTGTGGCTGGAGGAAAGGGCCGTGTGTGGTAAATCTTCCTTCTCTCAGCCGATACCCATATTCTGGAGGATGGATTCTTGCTAAATGTTCAAGTTTATATGAGAAGAAGACGGGGCAGGAGAGACTCTATTTTGAAATTACCAATTTTTTGAATCACCAAAAATGAACAAAGACAAAAGAAAATATAAAAAAAAAACCGGGCAGGAGAACATTTACAAATGAGAATACCCCTGAACTGACCAATTTGCCGGAGTACGGCAAACTGGGGCCATACCGAGTTGTGTGAGCAGTAAAATCACACCATCATAGCCTCGGGGGAATACCCTAGGAACAAACACTGCAACTTCGTAGATTCATCCCATGCTCGCTCACGCACTCTTCACTCAAGTCTCCTCTGACTATCACATTGGATGATCGCGATCTCCTTGCTGAAATGAGAGCCCCTGCTAGCCGGACAACGGAGACGTGCGTAATGTCTCTCATCCCATGGCGACAGAAACTTTGATTGCATGGACCAGAGACATAACACAATATGCCCTCGTGTGGACTGTGCCGGGATGTGGGACTGTCAAACACATGGAGCTCGTCAAACAGCTTAATCAAAGTGGCTCAAGTCGCTGAAATTGATTCTGTTTGGCTATTCATATCTCATGCGTTTCGCATTATAAGATTACAGAGTTGGGAAGTGCTTGCTGTCAAGGGCTTGTCCCTAGGGGCTTTCGCTCCTGGTAAACCTTCGAGATCGCAGAAGATTGAGATCCCTCTTGCACTAGCACCAGCCTTGACCTGGCGACAACGCTTTTCGTCTACAGCCTCCTGATAGCTGGATAGCGTGTACAGTGTCGTGCTGTGGCGAGCCTATAGAAATGCCTGCGCAGCAGAGGAGGCGCGCGAGGCTTTCTGTCTGGCCGAACCGCTATTCTCTATCTAGAGGGCTGGCTAGAGAGTTGGGAGCCCTGAGAGTCGTTCTTGGGACCTTGGCGCTCGGGGAACTGTAGAGTAGCGATCATTAGCACGTGGCCATTATTCAGAGTGAGTAAGCACTCGAGAACAAGAATTACTGACCTGAGACTCCTGAACTGTGCCCTTCTCCAAGATCACCTTGATGACATCGTCCTCGCCGGAAGTGCCAAACTCGTTCTCAAGGGTGGCTTTAGACGCATCGTCGAACTGGCCCTGGTTGCCTTGCCTGTAGAGCCGATTGTGTTAGCACCCTGTTCTCTTCACTTATCATGAGGTTTAGTGCAGAAGAAGCCAAGTTATCTCTGGAGTCTTCACGCGTGTGCGAGTAGAGTCACGCTCAGATGCCCCATCCACTGCACCGCTCCCGTTGGCATCATTTGGGGCACACGACCGGTCCAATTGCCCGGTCTGCTGGAACATCCTGCCGTGGAAGTCACGAGACATGCGGAGGCAAGCCCAATTGGGTCTGTCCCGAAGAGCTGAGAAGAGATTGCCATTGGGACTTACTTGTGGGTGATGAAGATCTTGAAGGCCGATATGAAGTGGGCGAGGGGGACGGACTTGTCCGACTGCCACTTCTTGTAGGCCTCGAGGTCGTCAAGGAAGATGATGAAGTCCTCCTCCTTGCCCTTGTAGTGGACCTTTGTCTGAGTGGTGGCGCCCTTGACCATGTTGACGGTGTTTGTGTTGGTAGTGGGGGAGAGGTAAGTCTTGGTGAGAGTGAGGGTGAAGTCGTTAGAGAGCTGCGGTTCTCGAGCTGCTGCAGTGGTGAAGTTGTCGTAAAAGTATGATGAGTTTGGGAAGGGGAAAGCAGACGGATGGTGTGAAAGGGCGGGGGAGCTTTTAGAATTTAACGAGTCACACGTCCTTGGTCTGGCACCGGCGTTGACGGCTGAGGGCGCACCCCGCGGCAGGTCGTGGCAGGTGCGTCCTTAGCTTCGTCCACTCTTGCCTGGCGATGCCGTGCTCTGCCGTGCTCCCGTCATGCCAGAGCTACGTCATGAGACAAGGACAAGCAGCCGGCGGGCCCAGGCAGGCCGGCACCTGCCTGCTTATTTGGTGTGGGGCGCCCATCACGAGCTTCAGGAACATTCCCTCCTGGTCCCCAGCCCACATCCAGCCGCGCACGGCAGGCAGCACGGAACAGCATTGTACCTGGGCCCTCTGTTGCACATTACGTCCGCCCGAGCATTCCAGGCTGACCCAATTGCTTGCTGCGGGCCAGGCACAGTATCTGGCAATGTGCACGCGACATCGTAGCCGACTGGTTGTTTTCGAAAGCAAGCTCCTTCCCCGCAAATAAACAGCTTGCTTCTCTTTGCAGCATATGTACCCACAGGCCACGGAGTGACGTCATTCCCCGCGACAGCTCTCCACATCCACGTCAGGCACTTTGACAGCTGTACGCTAGCTTTGTTCCGTGGGACTGAGCACTCTTGTTGGTGGACGAGCAGGTCAGAAACTGACCCCAGCACATTGCTGCGTAATATTCGTCTCAGAGATAGTCGTATGCTTGTGCTGTGTTTCCTAGTATTGTAACGATGCTCACGTGTGGGTGAGTACATACTACGCTCCCAACGGCCCTAGTACATGAACTCCGGCAGGCCATGTGAAGACCTGCATACCGGCACTGATACAGAGCCCCTGGCGCTATTGCGCAAGCATAAGGCGAAAAGCGCATCCCCCACCTATCGGAAAAGGCTGCGAAGTCCTGACGACCTGAGCTCTCGGTTCAAGGTCTTCACCCGAGCCCACTTTTTCCCCAACGGTCCATGTTGTTCTCGTACTACAGGCACTGCCCGATGCTCCACAACGTTCTCCTTTTCTAGGATACGTGACGAGACAGACTTGATGGATAGCCTTTTGTGCCGGCTGCTGTTGACCGAGGCCGTCCGAAGGATAGGGCTTCCACAAGTCAGCATGTCCTCTCCCCTCCTCAGAACTTCGTACGACTTGGCCGACTTAAAGCGTGGTACGCTGTCACGGTGAGGACCAAGGTCGGATGCGGCCCCACTGTCCAAGGCGTGCGGAAGACTGCTTTTGCTTCGTTCGGCTTCATCCCTGATCATGGGAAGTCCTGGCTCGGGCTCTTCAATGTCCTCCACCGAGGATGTGTACTCGCCACAGCTCGTCCGTGGCACGACCCTGCCGCTGTCTTGCTTCTTGGCTACTGGCCCGAGCGGTGTTGTTCGTTTTGAAAACGAGCTAGAGATGCTTGCCACACTGAGCTTGCGCATGACGGTAGATGCAGAGTTGCGCACCAAGTGCTCACTTCTCGAACGACTCGTCATGCCCGGGAAAGGCAAGGTCTCCCTACTCCACACATCCGCAAGCAAAACCTCCAACCTGACTCGCTCAGCTATAGCAGGGGCTAGCGTGTTCCGCGGACTTGTTGTGAGTAGTGATTGTGACCGGCTGATGGTCGATCCTGATGCTTGAGAAGAACTGTCTTTGATTGTTGTTGTGTTTTTGAGCACCACTTGGCACAGCGCGGATTTGGACCCAACAGTAGTTGCTCGCTGGATAGAGACGCGACGAGCAATAGTTCCTGAGTGCTTGTCAGTAAACCTCTTCGTCTTCATCCAGGGAGTCTGGGTTCGAAAATTACCAGGCTTGCCAAAGATCGTCCCAAGGCTTTTGATGTTCAAGCTCATCGAATCTGAGGGCGCAGCCTCGCAGACGCCGAAATTTTGCTCAGGATCGGGCCGAGTGAGGCGTGAGCGCCATTCAGACTCTTCCTTCGGATTACAGGCAGTCATTATGATTTCGTACAATTGGCAGTCGTGCTCAAATACAAGCTTCCAGGAAAAGGGAGCGGTGTGGCATTGGAGTCCTGGACAAATGTCAGCACGGCATGATTTCGTGGTCGGCCTGCGGCTTGGTCTCACCTCGCCCATTGTCGACTTCCTCGATCCGAACTCCGCCGAGACCGACACACAGCCGAATGAGGTATCTTTGATCGCCTTTGTCGGCCGTTGCAAGGCAGAGCCGGTCCTTGTACAGCAGCGAAATCATGTAAACCCCTTCGACCCCATTATCACTCTGCCAACAGACATGCAGGACCCCACAGAGCTGGATCTGCCCAAAAGACCGGGTCTTGGATCGGGACGCCGAGTCCATTTTCTGTGTATGCTGTCAATACTCTTTCACGCGATGTGGTGCACGACCTACGTACCTGACTAGGGTAGGCAAGGCGATCCTGTAACAGCCATGTCTTTTCCAAGGAAGCCTTTACGTCGGGATCATCGGTTGCTCTGTTGATCTCAGTAGTAGCTTCTCGCAGCCGGAATAGAACGTCCTCTATTTCCATATGCGAGCCTGGGCAGTCGCATGCCGGGGTATACTTGAGCAGCTCTGAGAACAGTAGAGGATACCGGCAGACTCTCTGAATTGGGTTGACGAGCAGATCCGCGATCGTGAGGGACTTTTTGAAATCGTCTAGGTTCTGCTGTTCCGAGCCAATAGAAGCTGCGAGCGCTTCAAGACCCCTTTGGTATGACTCCCATCCGGGAATAGTCTGATTAGCTGATGCCAAGTCCTTGATCATCATTTCATACTTGGCACCATACTCTTCATACACGAAGAATCGATGTGTTCGACGCGCAAAAATTCGCGCCACCTCTGCGGCTACCACCGGGTCCGCAACCATACCGCTGCCAGCCTGCGACCTTCTCTTGTCGCCTCTATGCTCGTCAACCGAGTCGAGACTGTGCCAGCGGTGATGGCGTTTGGTTGGCACCACACTGGAATGTACCCCCAGGGCCAAGCCGTCGGCTGTGGGGAACTCAGAGCATGGAACCACCAAATGGAGTTCGCTAAGCATTTCTTGATGAAGTTCCACGATCTCCGTGAGATTTCTGTTTATTGATTGCCGGAGCCCTTCGTGGGTGGTAGGCATAGAAGCCAGAATTGTGACATAGACGTTCATCAAAAACTGACATCACTGATATAGCTTTCCTCGGTGCTCAAAAGCTCTTCCAAGATGCGCCGACGTTGTAAGGATCGCTCGATGACCTCTGCATCTGGGTTTGCGCTTGCGTCGAAATAGCTGTCTTCAGAGAATCTGGGGGCCGGTGTTGAGGCTCGGCTGCTTCGTTCGGTCCACCCATGGGAAGAGCGTGCCGGCAACCGCCTCCTGGGGGCCATGAGACTGGTGCTGGCGAGGCTGATACTAGCACTGTGGACAGCTGTCAGGAAGGCGAAGGAGGATCCTGACGACGACTGTCTCGTCAACAGGTGAGGACGAGAGTGCTCAGGATGGAGATCGTTTGCCCCTCTGGAGCAATCTGCGATGTCCAGAGCCGCTGACCTTCGAGCCCTCCTATGCAGGCTCTGCATCCATTTCTGAAAGGGTCTGTGTCCAGCCGCTGCATGAGTCCCCGCCTGGCGTTCGGCCTCGACTGCGACTTCAATGGATGGTATAACCACGCCTGAAGGCCTCGATATGTCTTCTGGTGGGCTTGTCTCCGGCTCAGGTCTCTCTGTGCAAGCTTCCCACGTGGCCTTAGCATCGAAATAGGAGAAGTCGAGACCGTCCAGATCAATGTCCGAAACTGTTTTCGTGGCGCGCAATGGCGATATGGCAGCTGCGTACTCATCCATGGCTTGCCTAGAGACGTACAGAGAACAGCTTCGAGGCCCATCTCGCGGGTGGTGGTGGGGGCTTGCGACGGCGGCGGCCATTGTTCAAGCAGTCTGTTCCAAGAAGGTGAAGATAATTGGGGGTCCAAGACAGCCAAAAAGCATCAAAGCATGTTGGTCATGATGCAGAACGAGTGGAGAGCAAGAGAGGCTGCCCTGGGCATGTCGGGCCCCCAGTAGACCTGGCGCGAAAATGTGAGGACCTGTGGCAGAGCAGCTGTTTGGGCCGGTCATGTGCGTCTTGAGGTTGAGACGGCAACAGAGACAATGGCAGGCACAGCGCTGATACGGTCCTACCTGCCGATCGAGGGAGTCAACGTCACCAAAGGGCAGGAATGTAGGGCCGAGGGGTGATATGGCAGCAGGCCCATAAACTCAAGCCACAGTCAGCCTGTGTTCTCGTCAGGTGTCTAAGTACAATACACTTTGGGCGGCCCCCGTGACAGGCTGATGACACTTATCTTCCGACTCCGGATACCGACACGAAACTTTGTGCAATGGAGACACAGCCTGTCACTGTATATGAATAATGTCTGGGAGAATAGACAACGAGCAGCGGATCCCCTCCACACGGTAGGTGAGACACGTGTAGGTCTATGGCACTAAATTTCGAAGGTGGGAGCACGAGAGACTGGGACTGGTTTTGCGAAATGCTCTCTCGAGAGAGGCTGCGACCGTGATGTGACGAAGAAGAGCACGAGACAAGCAAAAGCAGTCAGAACGCCGGTCCTTTGAGAAATACACTATCGACGCGACAATCTCCCGCGGAGAGATAGTGTACGCCGGCGAGCAGCGTAGACACTGTATTACGTTCTCTTTTCGGCTGGGCCGGCCTGCGGAGGCGTTGCTAGCACGGGAAGCACGACAAGGCGGCCATGCAGGCTTGCTGCACACTAGCACAATGTGCATCACGGCTAGCGAATTAGCATCGCTACAATATGCGTCATAAGGGGTAATGTCTGCCCAGCAAAACATTTCCCATCAGGGAGATCCAGGATCCACAGATAACTCTGGAACCTTGTCGACAGCGACATCGACAGCGTCATAGTTGCAAATCATGCGCGAAAACGGCGCTGTAGGTGATGAGGAACAACAGATCCGCCGTGTCCGTGCTCTGGCGTAGTGCGTGGCCATTACAGAGAGACACTGGAACCACCAAGTTGTTCGGCGACCATTCTGCTGGCTTCGCACCTTCAATATACCTCGGTAGTCATCTGAGGACTCCCATACGATGAAAAGCCCGAATGGCGGTTCTTGGTCATCCTGATGCGCGTGCATGGGACCGTCAAGGGCCCTGCCTTCATCGTTCTCACCTTGGGCGACTAATTAAATTAGAGCCCAGATCCCATCGTGATGCCTTGGCACGTCGCTGGCTCCAATGGAATGCAGCCCTGAGCTTGACGGGTGTTTATGAGCCCCAGTCATGCAGGGGACAAGCGCCGATCTGCCGCACCTGGGCGGGTCTGTTCCTGTTTCCCTCCACCTTCCACAAGCTCGGAGCCCGGGCTTCCAGGTTGTGGCTGGTGGACTCGAGGTCAAGCCACACAACCACACCAGCCACAGTTCGAGTTCGGCACATTCGCGTAAATACTTGACCCAGACCCACTTTTGATACCCGCCCCACCAATTTGCCCACACCAAGGGTTATTGGCAAAATCAGCCCCGTGCAGTGAAACTTTTCGGGCCCTTCCTCCCTGACCTTGCCTTTGAGGAATCTCCATCGACGATACTAACGACAACCCCCATCTAGCGACATCACCGTCAACAACCGCAGAGATGGCCAAGGAAGCTCCCGCCCGCTCCGGGCTCACCATCGGTCTTAACCGTGGCCACGTAAGATGAACCACCCACACCGCCCGTAGCATCACCACTTTGCCCACATCCGAACCACACAACACCTACTCTCCGTGCGCACGGCAAAACCTGCGAGCAAGAGCCAGAAAGCGACCGATCGCCGAAAAGCCCCGCCGCAGCAATGTCTCGCGCGAGAGAGAAGAGGAAAAAGAGTGAAGAAGGAGGCAAGAGATCCGACCACGAGCGCCCCCGACGCCGCTGTTCGCGAAGGGGAAGGAGGAATGAATAAATGAATGGATGGATGGACACACACATCATGCATACATTACATACCAAACGGAACCCTTTCACGACCACCGTCTCACCTCGTGGAGGATCTCTGCTCTTGCTACATTTCTGCGTCGCATCCCACACGCACACAAAAAAAGTCATGGCAGACGATGGACGCTGGGGCTGACTGGAATACTTTTGCTCGTATAGAAAACCACCGCTCGCGTCGTCAAGCCCCGTGTTTCCCGCACCAAGGGCCACCTGAGCAAGCGCACCGCCTTCGTCCGTGACATCGTCAAGGAGGTTGCTGGGTAAGTCTTTATCCCAAGAAAACTGATGTGCTTTTTTTTCTTTTTTTCTTCCAATTCGAAAATAAAGTTACTAACGTGGTTCGCTTGTCAGCCTTGCCCCCTACGAGCGCCGTGTTGTTGAGTTGCTGCGCAACAGCAAGGACAAGCGTGCCCGTAAGCTCGCGAAGAAGAGGGTAAGCATCCAGCGCTGTTATATCGACTTGATCGCACAATAGTCAAGCTAACAGCATCACAGCTCGGTACCTTCGGCCGTGCCAAGAAGAAGGTCGACGAGCTCCAGCGCGTCATCGCCGAGTCTCGCCGCACTGCTGCCCACTAAGCAGGTCCTGATCCATCTTTGAAAAGTAACAAAAAAACTTTCGAAATGGGCGAGACTTTCATGATACTATCCCTCCCATGGATCATCTGAAATGAAGATCACTGGGAGAGGTGGATCATGCGTGGCGGACAAGATGTATCTGCTGCCAGGCTCTGCAGACGGCAGCCCACCGCGCCACGAAAAGGCGTGCGGGAATGAAGAAGAAAAAAAATGTTGTTAAGGTCTAGATACCAACAGGGACAAAAATTATGGCATGGTCCGGCGTCATTTTTATGGAAGGCAATTGATTTTCTTTCACGACTCAAGACCGTGAGCTTACACTCACATACGATGACTCCTCTGGTGGAATTGCCTCCGTAGATGATATCTCGATCCGACAATGATATACCAAGTTCGCACTGACAATGTTCTGATGACGCACAGCCAACGGCGCGGTGTACAAGAACCTCCTTCCTACGTACATGTATCGTGTCACCAATTGTAAAACTTTTTTGGATAGCATCTGTCCATGATACGTTGGATTACGCTGAATGGTCTAGCAAACAGAACGCTATCAAGCCCAAACTCCATACAAATGCGATGCTTCCCATGTCGTCAATCATCTTATTTTTTGCTGAAGCCTTTCAGCCACTTTGGCTTTTTAAAGCCAGATCCGTCACCACTAGCGCTTGGCTTGCTCTGAGCCGGCATGCCTGTCATGGATGAGCCGTTGCCAGCCTCGTTCGCCTTGCTCGCAACATCAGGTATGTCTGGGATCCTGACTTGTTGCGCTTTGCTGGCAGCACTATCCTTAAGAAAAGGTTTCTTGCGGATCTCTGGGGACACGCTCTCGTCCCACACGAAGTTGACGAGAGTGTTGGTGCGCAATTTGTAGCCAGTGATCAACTTGCCTGCCGACTCATTGGTGTCTCGAATGAGCTCGCGAGGAGGGATGACAAGCTTAAATGCCGCTGTAGGATTCGCCATCTGTGACCTGACATCGGCATACAAGACGCTACCAGTATCATCCTGGCCGTATTCTCGCTCGAACATCGTGTTGTCGGGATGCCTGACTCTAATCAGAATTTGTTGCGTCTTCGCCAGCGCCTCCTTTTGGGCAGCAGCTTTCTCCTCGAGTTCGCGATCGGAAAGCAGCCGCTTGTTCTCTCCCAACGATTTCAGCAAGCTCTGATGAGCACGGGCCTGTTCGATACCAGGAACGAAGGCCTCATCCGCATCTTTGTCGACAGCGGCTGCTGGCGCGGTTGAAGACGGCGCTTCGTATATTCTAATAGGCCGAGCTTCTGTTGAAGTAGGAGGGGGCCCGACGACCATAGTATTTTCATCGCTGGCTTGCTCTCTAACTGGTTCCTCGCTCCGTGGTGTCGTTCCGGAAGTGAGTTCCATCTGTTGACCAACTCCTGTCGACAGTGTCGATTCATGCTGAGGCGCAACAGGTTGAGAAGAGGCGGCCTCTGATTGCGAAGTACTCTCCGTCTGGGTGTTAAGAACTTCGCTCGACTGTGTCTGTTGAGTCTCGGCATTCGCTGGCTGCTTGTCGGCAACGTCCTCCTTGAAATACTGGTCTATCTCAGTAGTCGCTTCGAAGAAGGTCCTCTCCGTCCTCTGGAATGACAATCGAAGCAGAACTCCACCGGTGTTGTAGCCGAGCTGCGACAAGGTCTTCTGGAAGTCTGTAAAGGTGGACAGCTTCTGGGTGTCATTGCCTAGCTGGACAACAGGGGTCTCGTAGTAGAGCTGCCCGCTGCCAGAGCCATTCGCCGTCGCCGGGATTCCTCGCTCGGTGAAGTTGCGTGCTCTGCCCTGGGCGTCCTTTTCGCTCTCGAACTGACGCAGGACCTTCCATATTGTGTAATCGCTAGGAAGCTTCTTCGTGAGCCTGCCTCCCTCGGGAGGCGGAAGCTGGAGCGCAACGCTGATTGGTGTTGGAGTGTTTGAGCGAGCGACAAGTTCGAGCCTTGCGCCCTGTACAAGGCCGGAAGTGCGGTATGTGTGGGAGAGGTCGACGAGCTTCGATTTGTGCCTGAGCTGGAAGCGTGCCGGAGAGACCTTGAGCTTCTCGCAGGCCTGCTCGAGAACTTCGGTAAGGCGGGTGCTGGGGTTGACCTTGATGACGACTTGCCGGAGGTCAGTGCCGACGACCTTGACGTTTGACGCCATCCGTGGATGAGTGAGCGTGACGTTGCGAGCAACAAATGTACGATCCGTCTAGCCAACAGCTGAGTCTATTTGCAAAGAAAGGCGCTTAGGTCCGTGTTTCCGTGTTGGCAAGCGGATGCCACTTGGAGGTTTGGAGGGCTGGGGGGACTTGTATATCGAAGCGGGAAGTCGACCCTGGCCAGAGCATGGCATTGTCAGGTGGGGGAGCAGGTGGCGCAAGCATTCGTGCCTGGCCCGGTGCCTGCGGGGGAGCTTCGAAGGCCCTGGAAACGGGTGGGCAAGGCGAGGATGGTCGCTAACACGCCCAGACAGCTGGCACCGCAACGCAAGCACACAGAGAGGCATCACAGCAACAGGGCGGCAGTAGGTAGATGGCGAGCACGCCTCTGACGCAGGAAAGCTTCGAAGCTGTTTATGGTCATGGCATTCACGAAGAACAGGGGACCTTTGGCTGAGATGCAAGATGCGGTAGTGGGTTACCCGGCAGCGGGCAGCCTGCGGCAGGAGGGAGGCTGCGCGGGGCGGGCATCCTCTGGTAGGTCGTGCGTGCGTGCACCTGCCGCGACAGCGTGTTTGCCTGTGCGTGCTTGCTGTAGCTGCTGTGGGCACCACCCGCCAGGCCCGCCGCCTTGAGCGAGCTACGACAGCTCGACAGCCTCGACGTCAGCCGCGGGCGCCTGCGAGCTGCCCGAGCTCCCAGCACCACCACACCCCAAGCCTCCTCCACCCGCATCACGACAACCAGACGACTCCAGACAACCTCACGTCGCCTCCCCCGAGTCCCTGCCTGCCGCTTGCCCTTCAGGCTTCAATTCCACGTCTGTCCCATCGCCATCCTTGGTGCGGAGCCGTCGACGACCGCCTCTCGCCAGCCTTCTGAGGCCCTCGATACGACCGCATAGCCATCATGGTGAGTAGCAGATCTGGTTTATGGACACAGGAGAACACGGAGCTAACCCGCCGATGCTGCGATATAGTCGTCACCGTTCGATATCAGTATGCAACACCCTCCGTGATGAAACGTGCACCTCCCAGGCCACCCGGCCACCCGGCCACCCCTCGAAGCTCTTGACAGGCCTAGTCCGGGAACAACACAGATGGCTCCTATCCACAAACAGCATGCTGACCAGCTCCCTCAATAGATGGCGGCGCCTGTGTGGCCATGGTCGGAAAAGACTGCGTGGCCATCGCATGTGACCTGCGCCTTGGTCTGCAGGCTCTGACAGTCTCCAACAACTTCCCAAAGATCTTCCAGTACGGCGACGTCTTCCTAGGCCTGACGGGTCTCGCGACGGACGTCACTACCGTCTCAGACCTCTTCCGCTACAAGGTCAACATGTACCGCCTGCGCGAGGAGCGCAACATTGCCCCAACCACATTCGCCAATCTTGTCTCCTCTTCGCTGTACGAGCGCCGGTTCGGCCCCTACTTTGTCAGCCCCGTCGTCGCCGGTCTCGAGCCCAAGTCGGGCAAGCCCTTCATCTGCGGCTTCGACTCCATCGGCTGTATCGACTTTGCAAAGGACTTCATCGTCAGCGGAACAGCGAGCGAGCAGCTCTTCGGCATGTGCGAGAGTTTGTGGGAGCCCGATTTGGTACGCGTTTACCCCACCACCCTGCCCACGCAGGCACATTGCATCCGATCGAGATCTGCCCATACTAATTGGATGCTTCACCAGGAACCTGAGGATCTCTTTGAGACCATCTCACAAGCGCTGCTCAACGCCGTCGACAGAGACGCGTTGTCCGGCTGGGGTGCCCACGTATACATCATTGAGAAGGACAAGGTGACCAAGAGGTTACTCAAGGGACGGCAAGATTAGGCATTCACAAGATGGCGAAATAAACTTGAGCCACAGCAAAGAAGAGAAAGACACCCAACATAGATCTTTGTTCTTCCAGACAAATCTGACAAAGTCACCTGCTTTGCTGACGTGAAGATGAGATGCAAAACAGCGGGTCCTGTGAGACAAGCCTAGAGGACAAGTCTGGAAGCGAACAGGCGGAGTGACGTCTCATCGTAGTGACTATGCTAATCCAGTGAGCTCGTATTTTCTGTCCTTCTGATTGTTCCGCGACATGACTCTGCCCAGAGGCCTGTGCCCTTCCAGGCATGTAGTGTCGGGCAGCTCATCTTTTGTACTCTTGATGTTCCATTCCCTACGCTTAACTGCTGTGGCTCATCCGCCTTTTCGTGTGCACTCATGGGGGTTCTGTGTGTCGTTGTGGTGAAATTTGATGTATATCTTTTCTCTTCTTCTTTTTGTCTATGAACCTCTCTTGCTATCGTATGCATATGCTCTTGTTTACTCGCGGCAGCCACATGCCTTTGTCTGTCCATGGCCTTTCTAGACTTGAATTCTTTCTGACGAGATATATATTCTACAAAGGACTGATGCAGATGCTGATGCAGATGCTGATGCAGATGATGAGATATGTGGGCAAGGATATGGTAATGGTTCAGGGGGGGGGCATCTCTCTAAGCATGCACAGTCCGTCAGTTTACGCCTCCTTCTTCGCCTTGACAGCATGGTCTGTCGTCTTCTGGATGAACAGTTGTCTCTCAAAGAACTTGAGAATCTCATCGATGAAACTGTGAAGAAGATCGTTAGTGGGCATTACAAACAAGGAACAATGAATTAGTGGCACGACTGGAACACTCACATGACTGGCGCGCTGATGATGAGCACTGCCTTCCACTCATTCCAGTTGAGCGGCAGAATCGAGAAGAGACTCTGCAGGAACGGCGTATAGAGTAGTGCGAAATGCAGGGCCATGGACAGGCAGATGGCGTAGACGAGCATCATGTTCTCCCATAGAGGCAGGGTCAGTAGGGACTCGCTGGACGACAACGCGTTCATAGCGTTGAACATCTCAATGACCACGAGAATCGAGAGCGAGACGGTCGATGCAGCCTTGGCCATGTCGCCGTGGAACATGGAGCAGCCAATCTCGGAAAACTCGGCCGAGCAGCGGTGGAAGTGCGAGAGCTGGTAGAAGCTGATCTGAGGGCCCTCGGGGTTATACATAAACCACCAGGCGTAACCAGCAACGGTGGCAACGCCAACGTAGGTGCCAATGACGAGGTACCGGAAGAACAACCAGCCGCCAATGAGAGGCTCATCACGCTTTCTCGGGGTGCGTCTCATGATGTCGTGGTCAGGAGGGTTGAAGGACAGAGCAGTGGCAGGGAGACCATCAGTGACCAGGTTGACCCAGAGGAGCTGAACAGGGACGAGAGCCTCTGGCATGCCAAGAGCCGCGGTGACGAAGATAGAGACAACCTCTCCGATGTTGGACGAGATGAGGTAGCGGATAAACTGCTGGGTGTTGTTGTAGATGGAACGTCCCTCTTCGATGGCAACTTCGATAGTGGCGAAGTTGTCATCAGCCAGAACCATGTCCGCAGCCAGCTTCGCAACATCCGTTCCAGAACCCATGGCAACACCGATATCAGCCTTCTTGAGGGCAGGGGCATCATTGACACCATCACCAGTCATCGCGACGACCTCACCCAGGGACTGAAGGAGATCAACAAGCTTGGACTTGTGGCTGGGCTCGACACGCGAGAAGAGTGAGGCCTTTTTCGCAGCCTCGAGTTGTTCGGAAGGGCTCAAGTTGTCAAACTCGCGACCAGTGAAGCTCTTGCCCTTGAGATCTTCGTACTCGCCAAAGACACCAATTGACCGGCAGATGCTCTCGGCCGTGTTGCGATTGTCTCCAGTGATGACGATGACTCGGATGCCGGCATCCTTGCACTCCTTGATGGCACCAGCGACTTCAGGGCGGGGAGGATCCAGCATCCCAACGAGACCGAGAAGAGTCAGATCCTGTTCAAGCTGGGCGTACTGTGCGGTGGACTTGGCAGAGGTGATGAGCGGGCTGGAGGAGACGTCGTCGATGCTGGCAAGGGCAATCACTCTGAGGCCGCGGTTTCCATACTCAACAATTTCGCGTGACAGAGTGTCGTAGATCTTGCTGCTCATCGCAACACGCTTTCCATCAGCACCGACCAGAGCGTGGGAGCAGCGCTCGAGAATCGACTCAGGCGCGCCCTTGACCAGGAGCTTCTTCTTGGAACCGTCCTTGACGAGAACGGACATGCTCTTGCGATCGCGCGAGAATTCATAAGTCGCCAAGCGCGGGTACTTGGAGTCGTAGTAACCGCTAGCATGGTGGACACAGGCCTCAGGGTTCGAGTTGGCAGGCGCGCAAGGTCCAATCTTCTCAGCCAAGACACGAAGGGCTCCCTCGGTAGACTCGCCCACATTGGTGAAGTTGCCGGTGCGAGCGTCGTAGTTGAGCCGGGCATCATTGCAAAGAGCGGCGACCTCATTGATCTGGCGGATAGTAGCCGAGGACTGTGCAAGGTCACGGACAACCTTGCCACCACGGAGAACGTCACCCTTGGGGGCATAAGTGGTACCCTGCACATCCAGTTCCTCGAGATCAGAGCCGTTCTCGGAGAGGTACACAACTTTGGCGACGCTCATCTGGTTGGTGGTTAGGGTACCAGTCTTGTCCGAGCAGATGACGCTGCAGCTGCCAAGAGTCTCAACAGAAGGCAGGCTGCGGACAACGGCATTCTTGGCAGCCATCTTGCGTGTGCCGAGGGCGAGACAGGTAGTGATGACGACGGCAAGACCCTCGGGGATAGCGGCGACACCAAGGGAAACGGCGATCTTGAGGTAGTAGATTGCGCCCTTGCTCCAGTGTCCGTGGCTGGGGTCGGCAAAGTTGGGAATGTTGATAAGCCAGACGAGGATGCAGATGACGGTGATGACCTTGGCGAGAGAGTCACCAAAGTCGTTGAGCTTCTGCTTCAGCGGGGTTGGCTCGGAGATCTGGGCAGTAATGCTCTCGTGAATATCTCCAATTGCGGTGTTCGAGCCAGTCTGCACAACGATAGCACGGGCACGGCCAGTGACGACAGTGGTTCCAGAGAAGAGCATGTTGATTTGGTCCTGGAGGACAGCCTTGTCATCTTTAAGCACGGCATGGTCGTCTTTGCCCACGCTCTCGCTCTCGCCAGTGAGAATAGCTTGGTCGACCGCGAACGAGTTGCTTTCAATTGAGATTAGGCGGCAGTCCGCCGGGATACGATCGCCGACGGTCACAGAGACGATATCACCAGGAACCAGGAAATCGGCCTTGATGCGCGAGATCTGACCGTCGTTGCGGATGACACTGGCGAGGGTGGCTGAGTATTCCTGGAGAGCGGCGATGGCCTTCTCGGCACTGCTCTCTTGTGAGACACCAACGACGGCATTGAGGATGAGGATCGTGAGAATCTAGAGGCAGGAGACAGCGCATGTGTTAGCAGGTGACCCTGACAACCATAGCAGGCCGCTCGGCAAAGAGGGAATCGCAACTTGAGGTCGAGGGTGGCAAGTACATACAACGGCAGGATCGACGAATGCGCTCCAGCCACCCTCGTCCTCGAGGAAGGCGAGGAGGAGGGAGACGGCAGCAGAACCGAGGAGGATGAGGACGAGCTGATCCTTGAATTGCTCGAGGATGAGCTCCCACAGAGGAGTCGGGGGTTCTTCCGGGATTGCTGGGTCGCACGAGGGACAGTTAGCATGCAGTCAGTTTGCCGCGGCCGTCAGCCGTCTTTGGGGGGTTGCGTTCTGGGGAGGACACCTACAGTTCTTGCCGTGCTTTGCGCGGAGAGTGTTGACCTGCTCGTCGGTCAGGCCGGCGTCAGCGCTGACGCCGAAGCCGGCGAGGACCTTGTCGATAGGCTGCGCGAAGGAAGCCTCCATGGTTGCTTGGACGGCGGAGGCACAGGCGGGCAGGACAGGCTCGAGAAGGAGAAGGAGAGGACCCTTGAGTATTGCGTGATCCCGGGGACTGGGACTGCGACACGGGAAGCTGAGAGTGGGAGTCCAATGCGGCTCTGCCCTGGGGGGGAATAATATGTGTCTCTACTGGGCCGGTGCGCAGCGCAGAAGGATTGGCGCAGTTGGGGAAAAAGAGGCCAGATGTCTCGAATGCGGGACGGAGGGGTGGTGTGTGGTGGTGGTGGTGCCTGGGGGCCCTGCGCCTGCTGGGTTTGGTTCTAGCGTCGCCGGGTTTGGGGGTTTGGAGTGCTGCGCGGATGGCAGCTGCTAGCAGCACTCTGGCAACGAACGGATGTTGCCGGCCAGTGCCTCTCTGCGTGCGACAATCTGCTGTCTACTTGGTGCCTGTCGAGCGTCATTAGAAATCAGAGAGAAGCCCATCGACGCGGAAGGTGGCCGGACTGGGGAATCTTTGTCTGCTGGGGTGGTGGGACCCTGCCTGCATCGCCGACTCGAGGCCTGCCGCGCCGCCGCAAGCAAGCCCGGCAAGGTACGCACCAGTCGCCGCCACGCACAGTCCAGCACACCCGCCCAGGCATACCCCACAGCCGCCACGTTCTGGCCCACGCACGCATCGGGGCGCACTCCCCGGACTCGACAAATGCGCCACGAGACAAAAGCTCCTGTCACCAAATCCCAAAGTCTGCTCTCATCTCGGCAAGAAGCTTAGGACCATCATCCATGTCAGTCTGGAAACTCTATACGCAGTAGGCACGGAGGAAGAGGGGCCCTACTATCTTGTCTCGTCAAGCTTTCTTCATGATTACCGTGCGACATACAGCAAGCCTGCAAATGATTGCCACCTGAGTCGTGGCGTTCGACTACCCCCTCCTGGTTTGTAGGTGACCTGCCCTCTAGTCTTCCCTGACAACACCTTTGTCTTTCCCAGAGCAGACCCGGTGGACCAAGTCCAGCTTTTCCAACACCCAGCCCCCAAATGTTCAACGCTGACCACAACACGCGTGTCAGCTGTCCGAAGCGTGCCCTTGTCGGTTGCGCAGTCCCCACGAAAACGCGCGGCTGTGGGGTCAACCTGTTCGGCATCACGGCGGCACGCCCCTCCCAGGACGTGCCGTGTTGCCCGTCCTTGCCGTCCGCTTCCGTGAGCACCAATCGGGCCTGATACTTCAGAGATGACCTCGGGATATTTCAGGACTCGTGCCGAGGCGAGCCGTCGTCTATAATCTATACGTGCCATTGATTTTGTGTATTCCAGATTTCCATCGCTTCATGTGGGTTTCAAGGTCTCCCAGCCATTCATGTCGCTGCCCTCGTCACTGTCCAGCAGATCGATAGGCTTCCGTGGGATGCTTCTCCCAGCCGGCTGATGTTGTTGATAGGCTGCCTGCGCATCTGAACCCGCAAACGTTCCGGCTCGTCTGGGTGGGACCGCCTTGCGCTCAAGCTGGCCAAGGCCCGGCAGGCTGACGCCGCCCGGTGGTGATGTGGGTCCTGGATGGTGGCCCGTCCCGGGGGCCGTGCCTTTCAGCGGGAAGGACGTCGTGCGCTGCATCCCGCCCGTCAGATGTCCCTGACCTGTTGCCTGAAGCCTTGAAGTCAGATCAGAGATCTTTCCGGACGGCGGTCGCAGCGGGGAGGTCTTGCCCGGGTCACCGGTCATGGTAGCTTCTGACAGCCTTGGGCTGGTCGCGGGGGACGTTGTGCTTAGATGTGCCGGTTTGCGCGCTACTGGTGGCGGCTTGGACTTGTTGCCACCCTGCGTAGCTGTGCTGCTCCCCGTGCTGCTCAATGGGACAGATTCGGAACTGCCTACAGAAGTGGTGGATAAGGGCGCGGCGGGAACCGCATTAATCTGGGCACCTGTGGTCCGACGAGGTGGCGGCGGAGGGGCAACTTCGACTCTTTGCCTCGTGGCGGGCGTGTCGTCCGCCAGCTGCATTCGCCCAGTCTGTCCTGCCAGCTTGGTCGAGTCGAATGGGGGCGGCAACTTGCGTGGCGGAATCGTGGACGCGCTGGCTGCTAGTTGCATGGAATGACCAACATGCTCGTAAGGTGAGCTGGACAATGATGAGAAGGATGACAGCCTCGAGTTGGACCGAGGAACAGCAACCCAGTCAGGCTCCTCAGTGGGAGTGAAAGGATTCGCAGGTCGCTTGGGGTTCAATGTCATGACGGAGTCCTCCTGGTTGTTCCCTGAGCTTTTAGGCGGCGCGATTGTTGATTGTGCCATCTTGCCGTTGTCTAGCCACCATCGTTGCTGGTCCGAACTTGCAGGTGGGAGCCCTGGCTCGATAGGATCGTAACCGATCAGATCTTCATCTTCATCTGAGTCCTCGCTCAACAAGTTCGCGACGGATTGTCCCACTTCGGCCCTACGCCGCTCGTACAACTGCCGGCTGAGCTTGTCGCGCCTCGCCTCGTCCACAATACTGACAGTACATTGAAACGTGGCGTACACAGGTCTGTGATCAGAGAACCTCAGATCAGCAGAGTTGTAGCATAGCTGCCTTATATTCGTGCCTTTGCGCAAGATGCGATCTGTCCAGGCGGGTATTCGAGCTTTCTCGCTGATCTGGTGTTAGCACACGCTACTTACTGTCCATGCCAGCGCCGCCAAGACTTACGAGGTGTCGTATCGATCTGTGCCAATGTCAAATTTGTAGGTTGGCATGAAGGTGATGCGAGCCTCAGAGTAGTGCGGAAAAGAGAGACCAGCAACCATTTGAAGATTCAACTGCGATGCTATTAGCAAGGGAGCCGCACGAGCGGGCTGAGACGGTAATGCTGAACGTACTTGATCGTTCTCGTAGAGCTTTTCAATATCCCTCCTCCGAACAAGTTCCATGGCTCTCTCGTAAGTCAAACCGACACGGTAATTGAAATCCCCCAGCCAAATGACGGTGTCTAGGTCACTAGTCAGTCCTTGTATTACACTTTCGAATCAGATGGAAACCATACCATGATCGACAATGCCTCTGTTCCTCTGAAACCTGAGTCCGTGGTCGATAGTTGCATAATCTCGGTTCCGTTCGTCGTAGTTTGCGAATCCTGCCGCAAGATGGGCAGTGACGAAACATATTTGGGTATTGGCGTACTCCATTCGGATACCGACGGCACCCTTGTTGCCAGCAATCCCCGACATGCCTGTCTTCTTAACACTTCCCTCGACGTTCTTGATTTTTGGCAGTGCAGAAGACTTTACGAATATGCACAATGCAGCACCTACAAGCTGTCCGCTCCGAAGGAGGACATAGCGCTCGCCATTCAACTCATCGGCTCTTCGATTGAGTGCCGTCTTTATAGCCTTCTCCCACTGCTGCTTTCTTGTTGGGTCGCTGTTCATGATTTGCTGTGCACTGAGCTCGACAATCTCTTGAAAGCCAACAACCACAATCTCGGGCTGCTCCGAGCCGAGCTCCGGAGGAAACAACCATGGCGAAAGGTCGTCTTGGATGCCAGTTGTCTTGCCATTCAGATTGAAAGTTCCGACCCATCTATGAGACTGTGTCAGTAATGAGAAAATTAAGGGCAATAACTATATGAGCGTACTCACATGTTGACGGTCTCTGTCGAAGAATACTCATTGCTGCGTTTCGCAAGCTCGTTGGAGATAAAGTCACTGATTGGGTCGAAGAGTAGCACAGGGGCTTGCCCGACTAGCCTTCCAAGCAAGAGATCAATGGTATTCTGCCTCGCCTTGTCGGCAAAGTTGTTGATATAGAGTCTGGTGGCACTCTTTCGGGCATCGGCGAAAGCACCGGCGAGAGACATCTTTCCATGCCGAGTGAATGAGGTCTTTAGAGCTCCTGTTCCAGCATAGATTCTTGAGAGAGCGTCGCCATTATCGGCCCAGAGGGTAGAGTGTCTCATCCAGAAATCTGAGGCCGCGTACTCCCCACGGTGGTTGAGGAACGACTCGACGGCCAGCTGCGAGATCAGGGTTTGGATGAGATTCGTCCGATCAAGACAGTCTAGACAATTGGTCCTAAAAATGCCCTCTTGCTGAAGCACCACCACCAACCTCCGGCGATCACCCAGCTCTCCACCTGTTTCATACATATCATCTGTTTCCTCAGCAAGATAATATGCGAAGCCATCGGCGGAGTTCTCTATGTATTGTCGAATGCCTCTGGCAGCTTCATAGCCAGTCGCTCTCGTCTCGGCATGGAAGTCATAGTCTGTGTGCCGCAGGAGGGCATGATCAGCATCTTGAGTTGTTCCAGTGCGTGATAGTGGACTGTGCCGGATCCCATAATGGTACAGCTGGGTCAGCTGTGCCTCTTCAGGCTTGGTGGCGCTGAGCAAGTTGACAACATGTACAGCACCGTACGATTGCTCTAATTCTTCAAAGTGCCTGTCGAAAGCAGGCTGGGCTCCATCCGCTGAACGTGTGACAGTGATCTTCTGCTGCCCCGGAATGAGTCCGGCAGCTTGCTCCCAAAATACTGGCACCGAGCCTCGAACTTGGGCGTACGAGAAGAGGACACCCGTCGGACTCCAGTATATAGTTTCTGTTTCGACAAAGTTCGCAACGTGGCCATCATCGTCGATACCTCGACTGTTGAACCGAGTGCCGGCCCTCTGACAAGATAAACGCGAGACAACCGTGAGGAAAGATGGTCGACCAGTGTTTGCAGCTCTGAGAGGTGCTGCGGACTGCGGGATTGTCATGGTGAGACAGAAACCCCGTATGGCAGACGTGAGTATCCGTGAAGCATCCAGCGCCTCGCGCTCGTGAGGCCGGAGCCGTGAGCGAAAGCGAAGCAAAGGATTGACCATGAACGAATTCCACAAGAAGGCGTCGTCAAAGTTGTCTATGTTGAAGGTGTCTGAATCAACGGGCCGGTCTTGGAGTCTGTTCGTCAGGTCGAAATCCGTGCTATAGTAGAAGCTTCCATTACTAAGGAGCTTCTGCAACTCCTGATATGGGTACTCGATCTCACCCTCCCTCCTGGCCAAGTTCTGGCCGTAGACGGAGGCCGAGTCAGCCGTCTCGGTATCGTAGGGATTCAACAAGTACACATTGTCGTACGCTGCGCTATTGAGACAGAAGAAGTTGACGCTCACGATGCGCTCCACGGTCTCGCCAGGGCGCAGCTGAGCGACTCTTGTGGCGTGAGTAACCACACAAAGAAACACATCCTGATCTATGGAGATGAGACCAAGAGTTCCGTACACCGGCCGAGGAGTCAAGGGCCTGAAGTCCGCCAACAGGGACTTGGTAACCGGTGCAAACTCGACCATGCATTTCGCCGTGTGATTATCGGTGCGAGGCCGTGCAGACGGCACCGTGGCGAGCAAACCATCGTTTATGGCTTCCGAGGTCGTAGAGCTGTGGCGAAGGATGAGGGCATGCGTGGGAGTCGCTATGGCGATCGCTCGGTGTGGATAGTCACGGATCAGAAGCTGGCTCGACTTTTCGGACGAAGGGATAGACGTTGTGCCAGTGGGCGGACCGGCGATATGATGCTGCTCCATCGTGCTACCTGTTGGAGAATCCGGCGATGGGGATTGTGCCAGCAGCTGCTTCAAGGTCCGATTCAAGCCGTATCGAGTCGAGCATTTGCCAGCATTCGAATTCGTTGGCTAGGCTTGGTTGGCTGCGCCATTGGTGTGCGTATCGAGCTACACCGGCTTGGCTCGTCGTTTGAAACCTGTTGTCGTGGCTTGAATGCCCACGTTGATTATTTGTGTGCTCTGCGCAGCAGTCAGCTGCCTCCAGCTTGGGCGCAAGTGCTTATGACGTTTTGGTTGGCCAGCCTGGCTACTGCGCTGGGACCCCTCCGCCCCGTTTCCACTGCCAAGCTGCGCCAGCATACGCCTGTTCTTCTGGAAACACCCCAAAAATGGCACGAATACTGGTGTGTGCTGACACGTTTTCTTGCTGCCCAGGTGATGTCCATCCTGTAATTTCCCAAGCTGCTTCCATCCTGCCTGTCTGTCGGTTTTCTACGCCAGATTGCCCATATTCACCCTTGATCTGGTAAGAAGCATCGTGCATGCATGGCAAACGTGTGCCGACATCCAAATTATCTTGGACAGCTCAGCAAAAGTACGGTTCTGCCAAAGACTTTGAGACGCTTGTCTGCGACCACTCTCCTCGAGAGTTCATGCGCAGTGGTCGGTGTCTGACTCTTGTCTGGATTTGCTTTTGTTCACGATAAAGGTCACGGTACTCGTCGATGGTCTAAACTAGCTATCATGGATCGGCGCCCAGGGGATAAGGATGTGTTTGCAGCAGGCCTCAGATTATATAGTTAAGATCATTTCCAAAATTTTGGATATCCCTCTTCCTATCATAATATGTTTTTGGAGTATCATCATTGACCTGCTACAAGGGGAACACGGAATGAAACAGCAGACCAATAGAATGGCGAGAAGGCCTGGGCCCTCAGGGACTTGGCCCATACTCGAATGCGATCACCACGGACACGGCGTCCACCATCTCATCTCGAACGCGTCCGCGACGATAGTTCACGCTCGATGGTGGTTGTGCACGAACCTACCTGACAAAAGCTTTGACAAAATGATGTGCCAGTTTTCAGGTCACACAAGGCTTTAGCGGGCATTCCGGTAGGCGCGATCTCCGGCGAAAGGCGTCCCGGCTCCTGAGGCGTGCCATTGTGGTGTTTGATGTCTGGCGAGAGGAGGATGCTTGCTGGTGAAGAATGAACAAAATTTCTTGCATGGCCGATGGGGCTGGGATATTAAAACCAATGGCTTACGTAACGCGGAGTGGTTCCTCACACGACGCCAGTATGTGGGGCTCTCTGCAGCGCCGGCCGCAAAAAGCAGGCTGACCCTCTTTCTGATTCGCCCGCGCATTTTCCTGGTTCAAGCGCGGCTATCGCCAGCCTCGCGCCTTCCTCAGCCACTACCTCATCATCGCAAACACAAGTCCATCAAGCAATACTGCGTATCGCGACGAATCCTCTGCGCCACGCACGTTCTGGTACCTTTGCGTCGTCACTCTGCAGCGCCGCTTCCGCAATCATGTCGGACTTCAACCAATTTGGCGCGCCTGAAGATGAAAATGCAGAGATCAAGACACTCGCGCTTGAGGTGGTAAGTTGGTCGCAATCCTCCGTCCGGCCCCGGCTTGGAAGACCAGCAAATCTTGCCATGACTTGACCCGTGCTGACTTTATTTCTTGCTCACAAACAGGAAGCCGACACCGACAATTTCGAGTCCTGGGAGAAGCTCATCCGCGCATGCGAGGCCCAGGAAGGCGGCCTGAACCGCAACTCGAGCCCGCAGGCGCTCTCTACCTTGCGCGACGCCTACGACCGCTTCTTGCTCAAATTCCCGCTGCTCTTCGGGTACTGGAAGAAATATGCCGACCTTGAGTTCAACATTTCCGGGCCCGAGTCTGCCGAGATGATATATGAGCGTGGATGCGCCAGCATCACCAACTGCGTCGATCTCTGGACCTCGTATTGTTCTTTCAAGATGGAGACAACACACACCCCACACCTGGTCAGAGAGTAAGTATTGAGAAGGGCCTCCTCCTATCCCCATAACCATAATTCATCGGAACAGCACGGCCTTGTGCGCCTCGAAACCCTTTCCCGCAACAACCACTCCGTGTTGTCAAGTCACACCATGAAACAAGCGCAAAATCATATTTTCCGATGGTGAGAATACCAGCAACAGCCAAACTTGTTGGGGAGAATCTCACAGTCGTATCTCAGGCGCTGATTCCCGCGGAGAGTCACATGTTGCACCTTCTGTCGCCTCTTCTGCCCAGCGCTACTACGCTTGGCGGCATGATGCCGGATATGGATCGCGCACATTATGCACAGCTTTCCTTTGCCTGTATTGCCGTCCCTCTCCCATCCCATTCCAGTCGCTCCCCTTTAGTTTGCGTTAGCTGACATAATATCACAGGCTTTTCGAGAGAGCTGCGACTTGCGTGGGCCTCGATTTTCTAGCCCATCCCTTCTGGGACAAATACCTAGAATACGAGGAAAGACAAGAGGCCCAAGACAGGATATTTGCCATCTTACAAAGAGTAATCAGCATTCCCATGCACCAGTACGCGCGATACTACGAAAAGTTCCGGCAGCTCGCCCACACACAACCATTGACGGAGGTCTGCGAACCCGAGACCTTGGCTCGCATCCAGGCTGAAGTCAACGCCGAAGCGGCAGCCTATGGTGCTGCAGCGCGCTCAGAAGCTGAAGTCGAACGCGACGTACGGACGAAGATCGATGCCATGTATTTCGAGATATTCCAGCACACACAGGAAGAGACGACAAAGCGATGGACATTCGAGTCCGAGCTTAAGCGCCCTTACTTCCATGTCACAGAGCTTGAGCATGCTCAGCTGACCAGCTGGCGACGATACCTGGACTTCGAAGAAAGCGCAGGCGACTATGCCAGAACAGCCTTCCTCTATGAGCGGTGCGTTGTCACATGTGCTCTGTACGACGAGTTCTGGTTTCGTTACGCAAAGTGGATGGCGGGACAGCCTGGGAAGCAGGAAGAAGTGCGTCACATCTATATGCGTGCCTCGACAATTTTTGTCCCAATCAGTCGCCCTGGCATTCGGCTGCAGTTCGCATACTTTGAGGAGTCTTCTGGCCGTGTCGATGTGGCCCGCGCTATCCATGAGGCTATCTTGATGCAGTTGCCTGACTGTGCCGAAGCCATCATTTCGTGGGCCAACCTCGAGAGGAGGCAGAGCGGACTTGATGCTGCGATTGAGGTACTCAAATCGCAGATCGACTCCCAAAATGTTGGTCTCTTCACAAAGGCCGTCCTTGTGAGCCACTGGGCCTACCTTCTGTGGAGGACCAAGGGGTCAAGTGAAGAGGCGAGAACCGTGTTCGTCAAAAACATGCAGTGGTATGCCGATAGCCGGCACTTTTGGCAAAAGTGGATCGATTTCGAGCTGCAGCAGCCGGCAGTTGCCGGAGAGGAAGACCAGCAATCTGAGCGTGTCAAGCATGTCTTCACTGAACTGGTCACGAAAAGTCGAATCTCACCAGCATCCAAACAAGAGCTTCATCTGTCTTACATGGCGTACCTCCAAGATCGGGGTGGCAAGGACGCGATGAAGGAGTTCTTGGCAGTGGATCGCGAGATATATGGGTAAGTTTCACAGGACCGTTGCGTGCTGCTCTGCTTTCACATGGGGCTAATCACCTTTCAATGTAGTCCCTCCTCTCTGTCAATGCTTGACAAGTCTGCCGCCAAGGAGAACGGTGTGAGCAGTGGACCTCTGGACGAGGCAACGAAACTCAAGGCCGAGAATCGGTACCCAGGTTACTACGAGTACTACGGCGAGCCCTTGGGTAGCGGACAAGGCAATGCTCCGTTCGCCTAAACCTCACATTGTCTCAGATACCGAAAGGGCAATTCTGATGACCCCATTCATTTGGCTGCGGCAGACAATTTAACATGGAGAATCTTCGTATCCAACGAGCTGCCTGCCTTGTTCGGCACTGATATCCGAAGCTGAGTTTCATCTCGTCACCTTTCTGTACATTTAGCCACACTGGATTGCAACAAGGAGAACGGACGAACTCGCCCGTACAGGGTCGTCGTCTTCGTGGCATCCAAGTACTCAGAATCACGACGTCGGCTCTAGGCACTTTGGGGTGGAGATTGGAAAGCTCAGCACAGACCGACCGATCATGCTGCAATCTGCGTCTGGCATTGAGGAATAATGAATGGATGGGTGCCTGACGGCAATATAGGCAGCGCACAAAACATAACATTGAGCATGAACTGTAGAATAATTCGAATACCCAATACCACGGTCAGTGGACCAAAGATTGGAGACCTGCTCTGGACTTTTTGTGTGCATGATGGAAACAGTGCAATATACCAGGTCCTGTCCTTGGCGTTTGGGCCACTTTTCTCTTTGAGGCTGGTGAGAGGAGCAATCCAGCTTTACGCGGAACGGGATACTTGGCCCCTTCAAGGCACAGCAGGCGTTAAGCTCCGTCAGCCCTATCAGAGTAGGCGTACCCTGCCTAAAGACGAAACGCCGTGGAAGCACCAGAAGCCAAATACGAACAACAACAAAAAAAGAAAACGTGTCTGTCCAGCAGGTGTGCAGGACGAGTCTTCACGAAAAAACAAAGAAGGGGAGTTTGTTCTGGGCAGACAGGGATGACAAATGCTCCATGCCTGGGCTGTACGCAGTGGTGTATACAGATAGATGTTACCTGGAGCATGATCGTAACGCGACAGATGACCAAAAAACCCAGCGCAGTGTGTGGTAAGAAGTCCTGCCGACGGAAAAATGGAGGGAGGCGACGACGCGGCGAGACCGAGTATCCACCGCGTCCCGTGGCTACTCGCTTCCGTAATACAAATGCGCGATTCCGGGCAGGCGAGCGCATATGCACAAGCGCCTGGCAGAGGATCTCAGATATGATTGAAGAAGAAGAAAGAGAAAAAGAAAACTTTGAAGGACCTCTCGCCACATGGCGCAGCAGCTCTCGGCTTTGTCTTGTTCTCGGCTGTTGGCGATGCTTAAATTGGGTGGGTCCAAATAGACAGACAGGCACAGTCGACAGACCCGTCACCGACCCCAGAAAAGCACGAGGTCAAGCCGAGACGGAGAAAGGCGGGCTTGTGCTCACTAATGCGAAAGCGCTGGCAATTGGTGAGCCGAGCCGAGTGCTCCGCGATATCAGTGCGTGCGGGAAGCCCACACCGCACGCAGCAGAGTCGCAGACAGGAGGTCCTTAGTCATGAACCTCGTTGCCGCCCCAGCCCAGGCAAAGCTGTTGAAGAGTGATGGATGGAGATGACTCGTGGATTATTCTAGGCTTCGGGAAGCATATTCCTTCTTCCGCTGCCGTGACGGCCACTGGCCTGACGGACGAACACGTGGAGGGAGGTATCGGCCCCTGCCAGCCGTGGACCCAGGAAAAATCGACGTTGGCCCCAAGTTGAGAATAGCTGAGCAGCCGAGCTGAACTCGGCTCGCTCGCAGTGGCGTGTGCCAATGACATGTCATGCAGGTACAGCACCGTGCTAAGTCTTATCTCTGGCACCTCAAGCAGCCCGCTTGGGGAAGGGAGTATCACAGTGCGGAGACAGTGCCCATTGTCTGCGCAGCGAAGGGATATGGAGATGGCGTGTTGGGGGCTCCAAGGTTTCAAGGACTGGACCCGACAGAATGACTCTGCAGATACTTTCGAGACACCCGACCCGACAGAGGCGGAGGGCCCCTTGTGAGAAGATGTGGGCTGGCTGGGGATGTCCCACGGAAAGGACCCTCCCTCATCGCTGCCAGTCCCCTGTCCTGCTCCCTGATGGTGGGACCCGAACAGCATGTGCGGTGGGCCGACGATGCTGACCAAGCCAATGGCATCAACGCCATATCAAAGAGCGTCGTCTGCGATGCGGCCGGCGCCGCTCCGCGTGCGAGAAGATGGACCCTCGTGCAGGCGGCTCGTCTGGCAGTTCTCGAGTTGCCGGCCTGCTGCTGTAGGCAGGTGGTTCGGCCAGGCCCTGCAGTGAGATCAGAGGGTCCCCGTTCCGAGCGCTTCTGGGTCGCCTTTTCCCACTTCTTCCCCGGACTCGCCATCTCGTGCTCCTTTGCCTCGTCTTACCACTCCTCCTCACCTCCGTACATTCCTTGTCGCTCCCGCATAACCCTGTACAAGGTGAGAACACCTCCACAAGCATATCCGCCTCCCCAGTCGATCACCACTTGGGACCATCATCTCTGTCTCTGTTTCTCTGCCGATCCTCGGGATACTGGCCATTGTCCTTTTCCGCAACCCCCACTAACTAACATCCGCCACCCTTCTAGATGTCGGCTGCCAACATGTCCCGCCAGGCCCTCCGCGCCGCTCTGCGCACCACTTCTCGTAGCGGTCTCTCGACTGCGTCCCGCCAGGCCTTCCGCCAGAACGGCCGCCGCTTCTACTCGGCCGAGGCTCCCAAGCAGGCCGGCTCCTCTTCCGGCCTCCTCTGGCTCGCCGGTGCCGCCGCCGTGGGTGCTGGTGGCTACTTTGTCCTCGGTCAGGGCTCCGGCTCCCCCAAGGTCTTTTCCGCCACCAAGGAGGACTATCAGAAGGTTTACAACGAGATCGCTAGCCGTCTCGAGGAGAAGGACGACTACGATGACGGCAGTTACGGCCCCGTCCTCGTCAGACTGGCCTGGCATGCTTCCGGCACATACGACAAGGAGACTGGTACCGGTGGCAGCAACGGCGCCACCATGCGCTTCGCCCCCGAGGGTGACCACGGTGCCAATGCCGGTCTCAAGATTGCTCGCGACTTTCTCGAGCCTGTAAAGAGTGAGTGGCGGGCGCGCACTTCAACGCCTTCAGATAGGAACATCACTGACTGTTTCGCTCCTCCACAGAGAAGTTCCCCTGGATCTCGTATTCCGACCTGTGGATTCTCGCTGGTGTCGCCGCCATCCAGGAGATGCAGGGTCCCATCATTCCCTACCGCCCTGGTCGTTCCGATCGTGATGCTGCCGCCTGCACGCCCGATGGACGTCTTCCCGACGCTGCCCAGGGCAGCAAGCACCTCCGCGACATCTTCTACCGCATGGGCTTCAACGACCAGGAGATTGTTGCTCTTGCTGGCGCCCACGCTCTCGGCCGGTGCCACACTGACCGCAGTGGCTTCGAGGGTCCCTGGACCTTCTCCCCCACGGTCATGACCAACGACTACTTCACACTGCTCCTCTCCGAGAAGTGGACTCCTCGCCAGTGGAACGGCCCTTACCAGCTCCAGGACAAGGGCAAGACATTGATGATGCTGCCCGCTGATGTGGCTCTGATCCAGGACAAGGCCATGAAGCCGTGGGTCGAGAAGTACGCCAAGGACAACGAGCTCTTCTTCAAGGACTTCTCTGCCGTCATCACCAAGCTCTTTGAGCTCGGTGTCCCCTTCAAGGAGGGTGTCGAGCCCTTTGTCCTCAAGCCCACCAACGCGTGAGAGGGTGTGCAGTCAGTTTTGATTGAGTTCGACGGTGGAAAAGAAGGACATTATGATACCACGAGATTAGAAGGTGCTGTGCCTGCACCGAGCATAGAGGTGGACATAGAGCGGATATAGAAGGAGAACCTCGATGGCGAGCTAGTCAGACCTTGGTGGACCCTTGAGCCATAGATGTATGCTTGTGTTAGAGTAGATCAACAAGCCGTTTACCCGCTACAGGAAATGCGCACAGTCGTCTTGTGATGATGTTCGTGACTCATGAGACGATGGAATTTGGGGGGAGCAAGGATGGTCTGCAACACCATGCCAAAGCTTCTCATTGGCTCGCCCTAGCCTTTTCGTCCCGTTGGAGTAATCGATACACTGTTGTTCTCCAACGTGGCGAAGAGCTTGTCCAACCGGATTTCGCCTCAACTCTATTCTACGTGCCTGCAACGTGATTGCGCCGTGATTGACTGTGTCCTGCTCTGTCCCACCACGGAAGCTGCGAGATACTGGACCAAGGCATCACGCCCCCTAGATTATAACAGGTTTGACAAGAAATTGAAGATGATGCTGGAACATTTGTACGGGGATTCGCCTTCGTCAGCGGTCCTCATGTGCGTTGCGTTGATGAGTGGGTGAACGGTGCCCCACTATGAAGCTCGCCCGACGTCGGGAGCTTTTTCTGGCAGCAACCGACAGCCATTCAGAGAGACTTTTGATGAACTTGTCATCTACAACTCCAGCATCCAAGTCACCAAAGCGACACACTTGACGAACCACACAGGCTTCTGCCAGCCAGCGGGCGTACTGGAAAAACTTCATTTCGGGACCTGCATGGTCACAGCCACGACCACCATGCGTGCCACCGCAACAAAAATGTTCCCGACCTCTCGTGCCCTCGCGGCGGCGGCGGCGGCGCGCCGCCGTCTCGCCCAGCCCGCCGCCCTGCGACCTCTGCAGCGGCAGCAGCAGCGCCGGTGGGCGGCGGTCCACGACGTGCGGTTCCTGGCGACGACGCAGGCGCCCTCGCGCAGCGTGACCGAGAAGTACAGGGAGCAGCTGGAGCGCAAGGCCCGCGAGGAGGGCCACGGCGGGGTCGCGGAGCTCAAGGAGGCGTACAAGGACAAGATCCACCAGTACCGGCGCAGCGACGGCGTCGAGTCGGTCCCGGGGCTGGACGCGCTGCTCTCGGACGCGGAGCCGCCGAGGGGGGCTACTGCTACCGCCGCGGCATCATCGCAGAGCAAGACGACTACTACCACCACCACTGCGGCCTCGCCCGATGGCCTGACACAACCGCCGCCGCCACCACCACCAACGCCATCACAATCACAATCCGAGTCAACACCGACACCGGCCAAGAACAAGAACAAGAACGCCGCGATCAAGCCCCTGTCCGAGATCCTCGACCTCTCCAAGGCGCGCGCCCTGCCCGAGAAGGAGCTGAGCGCGATCTGGCGGCTCCGGCACGCGCACAAGCCGACGAGCCTGTGCGCCGTGATCCCCAGCACGACCTACGCGCACCTGGAGCTCACGGCGCGGAAGCACCCGATCTTTGTCCTGCCCGTCCCCCGGGGAGCCGACGTCGGCGCCGAGATTCACTTCCTGCAGTGGGTCTTCGACGCCGAGAGCGGCACCGCGACGGTGCTCTTCACCCAGCTCGCAGAGTACAAGGCGCGCGGGGAGTGGGCGCAGCCGCACACCAGCGTGACGCACTACTTTGACCGGGACATCGCGCGGGACCAGGGGGTCGTGCTCATGGCGGGGAGCCTGGTCGAGGGCAGGGGGGCCAGCCTGGACGACGCAAAGTGGCTGCTCATGCTCATGCAGCGGTTCTACGGCGGCGAGGGGGCCGGCGGGACGGGCGTCGACGGGGCCAAGCGCGAGCTGCTCGAGGCGTTTGGCAAGGGGGACAGTCGGTTCACGGTGGAGAAGCTGCTCGAGGAGAGTGAGCGCCTGGGTTGATTTTGCCCTGAAGCAGCCCCGTTCCGGGGCAGAGGAAGTTGTCTGCAAAAAGAGCCGGAGATGTGTTGTTGTGTAGGCTACGTGTGAGAGTAAGAATGAGCTTTGGTTAAGAATCCCAGGGCCGGACATGAGCTAGGGCAGATTGCCCCTTGTACAAAAAAAGAAACCACATCTTAGAAGGATGGAAACACGTATACTAGAGTTGAGTCTATATATACTAGTCGTAGCCATGTGCCAGCCAATATGTTTGGTATCCGTGCATTCGAGCTCAAGTTTAGATGCCCAATTTCCTACACTTTCCGCCAGAACTTGTCAAACAATATATATGGATACGTACTCATATATAATTCCCAGCCACGCCTGTGATTCAGACGCCTCCCTCCAAACCCATCCGCTGACTGCACACGCACGGCTACAGCTTCGCCCCTTGCTCCACGCGATCCTCCTTGCGCGCCATCTCCCGGACCACCCTCCGCAGCAGCTTGCCGCTCGCGTTCTTGGGGATCTCGTCGACGAAGCGCACCCCGCCGCGCAGCTTCTTGTGCTCGGCGACCTGGGCGTCGAGCCACTCCTGGATCTCCCGGGCCTTGGCGTCGGATTTCTCAGTGCCCGGCTTGAGCACGACGTACGCGCGGGGGACCTCGGTCTCGCGCTCCCGGTCGTGCGCCGGGATCACGCAGGCGTCGTCAATCTGCGGGTTGCCCAGGAGCTTGGCCTCGAGCTCGGCGGGAGGTACTTGGAAGCCCTCTGTTTTTGTGCGTCACCGTTAGTATAAGTATCGTATAGATGTAAATGACTTGAGTGGAGCGATTCTGGAAGGTGAGTACCCAGGTGCGCTAGCCACGCGCGAAAGGATAACCAAAATGGGCCAAAAAGAGAACAACGTACTGTACTTGATCAGCTCCTTGAGCCGGTCCGTAATGTAAAAATTGCCCTTCTTGTCGTAGTACCCAATGTCGCCCGTGCGGAAGTACCCGTCCTTGCTAAACGTGTCGGCGGCGAGCTCGGGTCTGTTCAGGTAACCCGGAAACACATTGGGTCCCTTAACCCACAGCTCGCCCTCCTCGCCCTGGGCAAGCTCGTTGCCGTCCATGTCCACAATCTTGGCGAGGATGTTGGGCAGGAGCTTGCCGCACGAGCCGTTGTACTTTGCCCAGTCTGCCACGGCGCCCTTCGTCAAGGTCGGGCTCGTCTCCGACAAGCCGTACCCTTGCATCACGGGGATCTTGAGCCGCTGCCAGACCATCTCCACGAGCTCCTTGCCGAGCGGGGCCGCGCCAGAGTTGAGCCACTTGACGCTCGACAGGTCGTACTTGTCCACGAGCGGGTGCTTGGCCAGCGCGAGCACGATGGGCGGCGGGATGCACATGTACGTGATCTGGTGCTTCTGGATGATCTGGCACGTGCGCTCGAGGTCGAACTTGGGCATCACGACGACCTGCAGACCCATCTTCAGTCCTTGAAGCGCGATGCAGGTGAGGCCCTGTAAAGTGTTTTGCGAGAGTTAGCGATTTGTCCGCCAAACGCGTAAGAAGAGAGTCGTTGTTGTGGCCGAAAAATGGCGAGTAGGGGATAGTAGCAGGACGGGTAATACGAGCTGCCTTGAGCAAGAATAACTCACGTAGATGTGGAAAAATGGCAGAATGGCGAGCTGCTTGTCGCCCTTGCCGTCGGGCTCGCCCGTGTGGTGCAGGCCGTTGTACTTGCCGTCCAAGTCGAGCAGCTGGACGAGGTTGGCGACCACGTTTGTGTGCGTGAGCATGACGCCCTTGGGCAGGCCTGTCGTGCCGGAGCTGTACACGAGGAACGCGAGGTCCTTCTTGGGGTCGAGCCTGGCGCGTGAGCTGGGAGAGATCTTGTTGGCCGTGTCGCGGATGCTGGTGAAGTGCTTGAACTGCTGGTCCCGGCCGTCGCCCATGAGGATGATGCGGTCCAAGGGGATGCCGGCCTCCTTGGCAGCGGCGGTGGCTATGGGCAGGAAGGCCGCCTGCGTGATGATACCTCGCGAACCCGAGTCTTTGAGCTGGAACGCCAGCTCGGTCGCCGTGTAGGCCGGGTTTGCCGTCATTGCGGCGCCGCCGCACCACAGCACGCCAAAGAAGGCTGGCGCAAAGTCGATCGTGTTGTTGGAGAAGAAGCCAAGTACGTCGCCCTTCTGGAAGCCCCAGGCAGCCCGCAGGCCCCGGCCGAACTCGAGGGCTGTCGCTTTGGTCTGCGCCCATGTGTAGGAGCGCCCAGTGTCTGGGTCAATGTAGATCTCTGAGTGTCGTCGCGGCGGCCAGGTCAGGTTGCTGTGATGAGACCCGTGTGGCTGGCGTAGATGCACGTACCTCTGTCCTCGGCAAAGGGCTTTGACTTTTGCTCAAACTGGTATGTCCACAGATCCTCGTCTGGAATGACGACGTCTGGGTAGACCGCCTTGACCGGCATTGTGGACGATTGGGATGGCAGCCTTGCAAGGGTGAGTGAAGGGGGGCAATGACCGAATGAGGGCAGGGGATGCAATTGATATCAGGACCTGGGACTGGGAGAGACTGCTCAGGGCGACAATGCCATGAGGGAGGAGGAATGGATGTGTGTCTGTGTGTGTAGTTGTGTGTGAAAACCAATAACAAGGCAGATTGGATGGATCATCGCCATGCGGAGAAAGACCACGAGACACAGGGGGGGGGGCGCCGAAGCAGCGAGGGCCGAGTGGATGCGGGCCCGTTCCGCGCCTGCCCGGGATGCCGTGGAGTGTCGTGGGTAGCGCGTGGGGTTGGACGCCGCCAAGCATTCCCCACCTTCTCCGCACGGAGCTGGCCCCAGTCTGGGCCTAGGTCGGCGTAATCGGCGTGGTCGGCGCAGCCCCAGCCTCTCCGTCACGCCGACATCGTGCACACACACAGCCCGCGCGAGCGGTGAAATTCGCGGAAGTGTGCGAGTGGGTTGCTCTGGTGCAATTTGTATTTCTATGTCAGACAGGAGCTCTATACGTTGAATCCACGACCTTTTGTACTCCACGCTCTGTGTGTGTATCCTGTATCCATCTAATCGACAACTGCAAATCCCATACATGACACAAAATGCCCTACTCCCGCGCGTCTTTGGTTGCATATAGCCGCATCGCTGGCCATCACGAGACTGCATCGCTGCTCGACTGCTCCCCTTCCGTCTGGCTTTGTTCTTTTGGACTCACCCACGCCTCTACCTCCTCACACCCAGCCGGCACCCGGCACTTGTCCCTGACGTTGCACGTCTTCCACAGCACGTCCCGCACCTCGTCAAAAACCTGCTTTCGGGCATCCATCGCCCAGATGACGTCCAGGTGCTCGTATCCCTCAATGACCTTGCTGTGGACAACCTTGACATGGGGCTCCCGGCCATTCTCGAAGCGTCGCAGCAGCCTCTTGCCGTCGACCAGGTCATCGTTACCTGCGACCCAGAGCGCGAATGGGCACACCTGCTCGTTGTACCATGCTGTTGATCCCTTGAGGCGTCTCCTGCCAGGCTGCTGCTGCTGCTGCTTGCCGTGCTGGTCTGCCAGAGCACTGCCGTTCTCCCGTCCCTTGATTTGAACAGTGCCCAGAGTGCCCATAGCCTCGTCCTCTTTCTCTTCGGCCGTCCACTGCTCCTTGGTGGAAAGGATGCACTTGTGCTTGGCAAAGCACTCTCTGCCAAGCCACCATCTCATCGACTCGGCGCTGACGTACACAGGCGCGAACTGGAACATCCGGTCCTTGAGCTCCCTGTCCCACCGCGTGTCCGTCCAGTCAAACAGAAACGAGAACACCTTGTACCCGAGCCAGCCGTAGATTTTCGGATGGAGAAGCGCGTGCATGTCCATCATGAGTGGGATGAAGGCATGTATGCCAAACATGATGCGGAAGGCTGCAGGCGAGATGATCCGCACTGGAAAGCATTGTTAGTCTGATCCAACAGGTGACTTCGGCGCTTCTTTCATCACTTACTGAACTTGAAATACATTTTGCCTATGAGCGGACCGGCATATGCCGCAGGCGCCAAAGCACAGAAGACGGTGAGCTTTTCTCCCAGGTCCGGCCTCTGCTCCTTGGCCAGCGCCACAAACGTCTGTGTTGTCCCTTGCGAATGGCATATCAGTCCGATCTTGTCGAACCCCGTCTCGAAAAGCACACGCGAGGTCAGCGCCGCAAGATCGTAGACGCCCATCTGCCGAATGTTCCACGCCCACATGCGCGGATCCGAGTATTCCAGCAAGACATGTCTTGGCTTGAAGCCGCAGCGGTTGTTGCCGAGAAAGACGTCATATCCGGCCTTGCACAGGTAGAACGCGAGGGAGTCGTCGTCATTGACACAGTATGCGCCCGAGCTCTGCAGGAGACCATGCATCAGGAGTACGGGGAACTTTGGCTTCTGGTTGGGGTTCCGGAGTCGCTTGCGCTTGGACCCGGTGAACGGGTCCGGCGTGCGGTATCCTCGCTCCTCATCATCGAGCTTTGTGTATTCGCGCGGGTCGTAGACGTGCCACAGGTCAATGATGAAGCCGTCCTCGGTCTGCACCTGGATCTCCTCGATGTCGAGGCCCACCCTGCGCGCATAGTAGGCCGGGTCGCAGACAATGGGATCAGGTCCACCTTCGGTTGGCGTGAAGTTACTGCTGCTCGTTTGCGGTGTCCCTTTCTCGTCGCTCGTTCCGTTGGTCGCCCCCTCACGCGCCGCCTTTTGCTTTACCCAAGCCTCGTTCTCTTCAGCACGAGTCCTACTCCTCCGCAGCTCTTCTTGATGAAACGGCCGTTTTGTGTCGGGGTCTTGCAGCTTGAGCCGCGACCATATCCTGAGGCACAAAGGAGGTATACTCGTGAACAGCGCACCCAGCACAATGACGGCGAGGAAGGCGGCGCTCAAGAAGAATGCCGAGACCCGGAAAGTCATACATTGTATGTCTCTCAACAGTGACGGCGGACCGTAAAGCGGGAGTGGTGGGAACAACGGGTTGGTGTGTGAGGGCGGTGAAGAAGCCCCCAGGGCGGCCTCGCTCGGTTTGCGGCCCCTCCTGCCCTGGAGCTTCTGGTTCGTGGCCTCTTTGACCTTCTTCAGGTGCCCGGTAGACTGGCTTCGTGAGCGCCGCCGGACTGGACTTCTCTCCTTGTCAAGGGCAGCCTTGAGGGCGTTGAGCTTGTACGCCTCGGGCAAAGGCACGCCGGGGAGACGGTGGCCATCGGCCGTGACGATGACAGGATCCTGGGGAGTCACGAAGCGGGCCTCGACGGCAACGGACTCTGGGTGCTCCTTATCGTGCGAGAGCTGGTGCGAGAGCTTCTCCGACTGATGGGCGTAGTCTATGGCGGCAGCTGCTGTGGAAGAGCCGGAGGGCTGTGACCCAAGCTGCATGGTGCCATTCATGTTTGACAAGCACCTGACTGGCGCCGTGGTTGAGTGAAGATGCTGGCGAGGGCCGGGGCCTATTAATGACGATTTGTGAGCTGCTCCCCCACTTCCAAGATTGCAATGGCGGGAAGCCAGCATGGGCTGCGATGTGAAGCAGGTTTTCCAGGAATGCACAGGGCGGGTCTGTCGAGTCTGCCCGTCCGCGCCGTCGTGTATCTCAAGTGCGAGCAAGGGAGGCACGCCTATAATGAGACATGGATAGAACAAAAAGGTTTATAAAGTTGAGCTACGGTGTTGAGCAACTGGGAGGGGGGGGGTAATATTAGACGCAGCGTCACCAACGCAACGACCTCTACCCTGGCGAGATGGACATTATCCAGACTCAGCCGCATCGAGGCGAGTCAAGGGGCCGCGGAGCTTGACAAGCGGCCCTGGCCGCCACACACGCGTGTTGCCGCGCCGCGATAACGCTGCACGCACGCCATGAGTGTAAGTGGGACCACTCGACATGTGAGGCCGCTTCTTTTGCCTTCGTTGGCAACCAACCCCTTGGGCTGCGCAGTGGTGGGTGGGCGTCATGGCCCGCGCTACGTCATGAGGCAGCGCGCATGCAAACATGTGCGAGGCCTTGTACTGTCCAAGTAGGTGGCGCATGGCGCTAGGACGGCTTGGGCGATGGTGCAGTGAACCACTGAGGCGTGCACTCTCTTTTGCTCCGCTCGCAGCGCTCCAGAGGCGAGACTACACCTGTCAGTCCGCCAGCTCGGCAGCCGCGCCAGGCTGAGGGACTCGTGGTGGGAGCCGTCGATCACCTGGCGCATCGTCTCAGATCGCAGCTGTCAAGGACCAAAAGATCCGGTCCGTTTGCTGGCTGGGGTCGCCACAGATGCCACAGGCATGATTCCCCTCCTCGAGCCTCACCCTCGTGGCATTCGGTCAAAAGAGGCGATGTCCTCTGGGGGGCACTCGATGTCACTGGTCTGGCCAGGCCACACACGCCTGCCCAGATGAGATCCTTTGCGCAAGGGATTGCAGTTGCCAATGACGCCATTCGAGCAAGACGGTATGTACACAAGTGTAAGTACAATTCACCACTGGAGCGCTGCGAGAAAGCGCGCGAGGGTGTGGTGCAGCATCCCAGTCTGAGGCGCCAGGTCTCGTGGAACACATGTCTTCTACACTAACGTGTTTAGCCGAGGGGAGCAAATCTGGGTGGTATTTGACAATGCTTGGCCGACAGCTCAGAAAGGCACGCACCACCAGACCGGCCTCCCCGTGGGCAGCGCGGGCTCGACGCTATGGAGGACCCCTGAATTCCCCAACCCCAAGATTGCCGGCCAGTGGTCAGGGTTAGCGCACTTAGGGGCCACTTGCTGGACAGTCCAGCACCACATACCACCAGGCTCGGCTGTCAATGCCTCGGCGCTTTGCCAGCCGGGGTCCTCCTCGCCTGCCGCGCCTGTGCCCGCGCCGCCAGCTCAGCCGAAGCAGCCCTCCAGCTCAAACTCCCCTCCACCAACGGCCACCCTCTCCCACCACGGCAGCCCGGTGCTTTCGCAAACCCTTCCAAGCAGCCCGAGCACGCGTGCATCTAATCCCGACTGTCGCAGCTTGCCCTGGGACGGCCGATTGACCGGTTTCATGTCCCGCAGCAGTCTGGGCACAATCCTTCAGCTCAGCAAGCCGTGCAGCTTCATGTCGCCAGCGGCTTGACGGCAGCAATCTCCAAACACCTTGATACCACGCGACGCGCCCAGGCCAAGACAAGATGGCTGCGCCATCTCGCTCGCCAGACCCCTCTCGTAGGCGAAGACGTAGGAGAAGACAGGACAAGGCGGCCATTTCGGCACGCCTTGTTCTTGACGGGCACGTCAAGGGTGATGTGGGCATCCTTTCGGACGACCTTTTTGCAGACTTGTTCCCTCACCTACGGGAAGGTATGCCTTGGAAGAGACTCCCGTCGATTGCTCTACAGCGCGCTCTACAGGCCGTATACTAACAGTTTTGTCCCGGCAGACGAGGCCGCCGACTCCGGTACCACAGACACTTCCGACGTCTACCATGTCGCCATTGCGCCGTGGACACCCACATCCAGTCCGCAGCACTCAAACTGGACCATCGTACCCATTGTCAAGTCTTCGGCTCTTGCCCACTCGACCGTCCAGTTCTCGCCATCCTCGATAGCGCTCCAGAGCTTCGCGACAACCCTCCAGCGTATCGCCCCTTCAAAATTATCCAGTCATAGTCGTAATGGCATCGAGGTCTATGTCCTCGACGTTACGGCGCTCGCTCTCGACACAGTGTTCGTCAGCCTGGAAAGCGATCTTGTGAAACGACTCGAGAACGGGGAGGGCACCTTCTTCAACGAGCACCCTCCAAGGGGTCTCGATGTTGTTGCTGCTGGCACCCCCGCAGACCGGCTGGCCGCAGCCCTCCGCATCGCTCTCAGCACGCTCAAGGTCGTACACAATGGCGACATGTTCCCGCTGCCGCTTGCGCCGCACCCCGTCACGCACACCCCGCCAACCCCTGGTGTCGTAACGCTTTGCGAGCCCGTCGCACAAGGTGTTCTTGCCCCAACGACCAAGATCGTGTTGACGAGAGGTGGCACGCAAACCAAAAAAGATCGAGCAGTACGGGCATTGAGGAATGGCGTGCGCCAGGACGATGAGGACACGGCTAATGACCAATTCTACTCCGCTGCCGAGGAACGATCGAAGACAGATGCCCCTACCGATACCGGTGACGACGTGACAGAGACGGAAACAGAGGTATCGGATCTCGAGCCTGAGGATGACCTGTCTGATGACTCGCTGGACGACATGATCTCGCTACAAGCTCCGGCACTACCGACCACCAACGTCAGCGGCCTTTCCACGATGCAGCCAGGTACACCCATGACGATCGGCCGAGGGAGGAAAACCAATGGCATTGCCACGCCCGGGTCCGTGTTCTCGAGCTTTACTGCAACGACTGCCCGGGCTGATCGACCCAAGGGGCGGCTCTTCAAAGCACAAGGCCTCATGACACCCATCCCGTCAGACCTTCTGCACCCGAAGCCGACTGCAGCTGACGATGAGGAGGCTCGCATCTACGTAGACATTAGTTCCCTGACGCGTATAGGGTGCTTCTCTGGAGACTGGGTCCGCGTGGAGGCATCAGAAGAGCCGCCGGCAAACGGCAGTGGGTTGTTTGGACTCGGAAGCTTTATTCACTCTGATACGGACGAAGCTGTCAGCCGACCAGCCAAGGTATACGGCCTTCCTGAGGGATACTCGCACCGCCCAGTGACGAGAATACCGAGCTCAAAGCACGATAATGGCGTCCGCAGGCCTTCATTCTTCGAGTCACAGATCCAGAAGCCGTCCGGGCCTACAGCGTACATGTCTCCATTACTCATCGCCAATCTGGAAAACACGCCGTATGTGCGCCTGGCTCCACTGAAGCGGCTCGCGTATCCTCGTCCTGGTCAAGCCAAGATTACGGGGGCATCGCATCCACCGTATGCTCGGGAGGTTACCATTGAGCAGATTCGCACACCGCTCTCCTCAGAAAAGGCTCTGCAGACTGCCATCCTCGGTGGGTTGAAGAGCCACTTCGCAAAGAGCATACGGGTGGTCAAGACGGACGACATTGTAGCGATACCAATTGACACCCAACTCGGACGCACGATACAAGATACCTCGGCATCTAATAGTGGCCTCGACGTAGACGACATCATTGCGCTCGAGGCTTCGAGTCGCGCCCGCTCTGGCAATAAGACGAGACCTGATGGTGTCGCGTGGTTCAGAATATCTCATATCATCCGGCAGCGATCCGACACGACCGAAGAAGGGGACGATGAAGAGGACGTATGGGGCGGCGTGGCATGTGTCGACACGGGCACGACCCAAATAGCACAGTCGGGAAGTGGCACAAGCGTGCTGCCAGGCACAAAAGACAGCAGTTGGCCATGCTACTTGGGCATCGAGGAGTCGCCCCAACTCGAGCAGCATGTGCTGTCCTCTGCTGTACAACAGCCAGCGCGGGGTTTCGTGTCGCCCTTGCGGCGCCGACTCCGCGAGCTCATGGCCGCAGCCACTAGCAAAAGAGCCATCCACCTCAAGATGCCTCCGGTGGCGATTCTGCTCGTGTCGACCCAGCGCAACATCGGTAAAGCCACTGCTGCCACCCAGGCTTGTGCAGACATTGGCTTGCACACCTTCTCAATCGATGCCTACGACATTGTCAATGAGAGCGGCGCGGGTGGCAGCGACGTCAAGACGGAGGGATTCCTCAAAGCTCGTGCAGATCGCGCAATGAGCTGCGGTCCGGAATGCTGTGCTCTCCTTGTCAGACACCTCGAGGCCCTCACGGCAGATCGAATGGTGACCGCGATGAAGGAGGTCTTGGCAGACGCGAGAGTACTTATTGCGACGACGACCGAGGTGGACAAGGTGCCGGATGGCGTGCGGGGTCTTTTCACCCACGAGCTGGAGATGAGTGCGCCAGATGAGGGCGAACGCGAAGGCATATTGCGCAGCATCGTCGAGAACCGTGGCGTGTCTCTGGCACCGGAGGTCGAGTTGAGCGGCGTTGCTCTCAAGACGGCTGCGCTCGTCGCTGGCGACTTGGTCGATGTCGTTGAGCGTGCGGTTCTTGCGCGTGAGGCGAGACTTGAGAAGCTCTCCAAGAAGGCCTCCATTGATGGAATGGCTGTCACCGTCCGCGACATTCAAGTGGCAGGAGGATCATCCGCACGATCGCTGATCAAGAGCGATTTCGAGCTCGCTGTCGATGCGGCTCGCAAGAACTTTGCAGACTCGATCGGCGCCCCAAAGATCCCCAACGTAACATGGGACGATGTTGGTGGTCTCAACAATGTCAAGGACGCCGTGCAAGAGACCATCCAGCTGCCGCTAGAGCGGCCTGAACTCTTTGCCAAGGGCATGAAGAAGCGCTCTGGCATCTTGTTTTATGGTCCTCCGGGAACGGGCAAGACACTTTTGGCCAAGGCCATCGCCACGGAGTACAGTCTCAATTTCTTTAGTGTTAAGGGTCCGGAGTTGCTCAACATGTACATTGGTGAGTCTGAAGCCAATGTGCGCCGCGTCTTCCAGCGCGCCCGGGACGCAAGACCCTGTGTAGTCTTCTTCGACGAGCTCGACTCTGTGGCGCCCAAGAGAGGCAACCAGGGCGACAGCGGTGGTGTCATGGACCGTATCGTGTCGCAGCTGCTGGCCGAGCTTGACGGCATGTCTGGCGGCGATGACGGTGGCGGTGGTGTGTTTGTCATCGGTGCGACCAACAGGCCTGATCTGCTAGATCAGGCCCTGCTGCGTCCTGGGCGTTTCGATAAGATGCTGTACTTGGGTGTATCGGACACGCACGACAAGCAGCTCAAGATTATGGAAGCCCTGACGAGGAAGTAAGTGACCCTTCCCCAGACAGAGCCCGCATATGTCCGGATCTAAACTAACAACGCTACAGATTCACTCTGCATCCCCAGCTCCAGCTCTCATCCGTGGCAGAGAAGCTTCCTTTCACGTACACTGGTGCCGACTTTTACGCGCTATGCAGTGACGCCATGCTCAAGGCCGTCACGCGACAGGCGGCCGCGGTGGACGCCAAAATTCGTGCCCTCAACGCGGCGCGCCACGAGGACGAGGAGGACAATCATCACCAGCGGCAGCAGCAGAACCCCATCTCGACGGCCAACTTCTTCGACCACTACGCCACGGCCGAGGATATCGCCGTCATGGTCACGGAGCAGGACTTCCTCGACGCCCACCGCGAGCTGATTCCCTCCGTCAGCGCGGGCGAGCTGCAGCACTACGAGACGGTACGGGCTACTTTTGAGGGGACCAAGGACAAGAAGACGGCCTCGTCGTCTTCTCCTCCCGAGGCCCAGTCACAGATGAATGGTCATCATTCTCAACCAGCGACGACACAGCATCTTGTCGTCGCGCGCCCTTCGTCGTCAAGGGGTAAGGCCAAAGACAAGGGCAAAGGGAAAGGGAAGGCCATTGCCACGGCGAGCGACGAGGAGGACGAGGATGATGATGATGAGCATGAAGGCGGCGCCGACGGCGTCAACGGCAGCAGCAACAGCAGTGGGAAAGGCAAGGGAAAGGCCGTGGCGGCCAAGTTCCAGAACGGAACGGCCAGCGATGACGAGGGACTTTACTGATCTTCCTCTTCTTCTACGCAAAACGTCACTGGGGAAAGCGGAGGCCCGGACAAAATGGGAGACTCCAAAAGAATATATACCATGATGTGGCCCCGTCACATAAAATCACTTTGTTGTGTACATGTATATATGGATACTTTATAGGCGGCCAGCAACAGCAGGACGCGCACGGGAGAACGGGCAGGGGTCTAAATTCTTGGCCAATGGCTCTGTCTCGGTCGCGACGTTGCATTCTGCGGAGACGTGATGTACGTCAAAACGTACGAAAAAAAAAAAAAAAAAAAGAAGAGAGAGCATTGTCCGTACTTGATTGGCTCCGAAGGCTGCGCTGTTGAGCAATGACAAAGAATGATGACCATGTCAAGTTCGGGCAGCACACAAGCTTGCGGATAATCACAGGGCAGGCAATGTAGGTGCGTGGACAGAGAGTAGTGTTGGGTTGGAGATATGCTTCGCTTGTTGAAGAGAAACCAGGGAAAATTGACACTCGCCGCCGCCCGCTACAAAACATGCATACAACTACATCACCCCCTGTCCTACGAACAACTTGTTCCCGGTCGTTCTGTGCTACTCCAGACATCGCAAAACATTGCTAGGACTTGGCAGCAGGAGCAGCAGTGGCAGATTTGGCTGTTGCGTCCGTCTTCTTTGCCGCCCCGGCGGCTTGCTTCGTCTTGTCATCCTCCTCCTCCTCCTCCTCATCGTCAGAATCATCGTCCTCGTCCTCGTCCTCGTCATCATCATCAGACTCCTCTTCAGAATCGTCGTCGTCAGACTCGTCCTCCTCATCGTCCTTCTTGGCAGCTGGTTGTACTGTGTCCTTCTTGACCTCTGGCTTCTTGGCTTCATCCTTCTTCACTTCTGTGGCCTTGCTTGGCTCGGCTTTCTTGACCTCTTCTGCTTTCTGCTTCTTGCTGGCCTCCTCATCTGAGTCGTCCTCATCCTCGTCGCTATCGTCGGAGTCGTCTGAATCGCTCTCATCCTCGTCCGAATCGTCGTCAGAGCTCTCGGCAGCCTTCTTGTCTTTGGTTCCAGCAGCAGCAGCAGCAGCAGCAGCAGCAGCTCCGGCTAGAGAGGTTGTCCCGGCCGCCCACTTGCCAGTCGTAGGGCTCTGCAAGCCCTTGTCTGCCGATCCTGTGGGTCCGCCTCCAGACTTCCAAGCTCCTGATGTGGGACTTTGAAGTCCGGCAGCGGCAGATTCCGTCGGTTTGGTCGCACCAGGCTCCTTCTTGTCCGCCGATATCGTGAGGTTACTGACGCCCTTTGTCGCAGCGGCCACTGCCGGATCAGCCTTTGCGGCTTCGTCCTTCTTTGCTGCTGTCTTTGTGGCCGCACCGGTCTTCTCAGCTGGTTTAGCAGCAGCAGCCTTGTCGTCAGCCTTGGCTGCCGTGGTTGCTGCCGCAGCGGCGTCTTTCTTCGGCTGCGCCTTGGCCTGCAGACTATCCGACTTGAGCTGCTTGGCCTTTTGTGCTGCCTGCTCGGCAAGCCCCCGCATCGGGTCGTTGGCGGCGGGCGTCTTCGGCGCGTCTGTCGGCTTCTGGTTCTCGGTTTTGGTAGCACCGGCGGCGCCGGCAGGCACTTGCGAGGCCACGGGCTGTGCGACGGGCTTCTTGGTCATCCGGGGCACCATTGCGGCGGCCTGCTCCTTTGTGGGGATGGTGAACTCGTCATGATAGATCTTGACATGCTCCTTGAGCTCGCCGTACTCGTTCCACTCTTCGATCTCGACCAGGTCCTGTTTTGGGGTTTGAGTCCAGGGTCAGTATTGTGTGCATGAGGGTGCTTGTTGCTGAGCAGGGCACTGTGCCCAGATGTGGTGCTGCAGTTGCGACAACAGGAGGAGGGCGCTGCTTACACCGACGAGAAAGCCTTCCTGGAACAGGGCGGGGAGCTTCCGCTGCCGGCCGGAAGGATCCTTGCCGGCACGGCGGCCCCAAAGCTGGCGAGCCCGCGGGTCGACAGCTATATCGAGGGCCTTGAAGGGGACACGGTTGGCGCGGAGGATGGTTTCGAGGCGCGAGGTGGCAGTGACGATATGGGCTGAGCCGGCGGTGAGTGAGGTAAAGATGTAGAGGGCCGGGTCTTCCATGAGGTCGTCGGGTGCTTTTGTCGCCATGGCTGCGATGACGAGAGGTCGCCCCTCGGTGATTAGGAATTGAAGGCGGCCTTTTTCGTCGTGGTTGGGAGCGCTGCGGGCCGGTGAGGCGGTGTATTACTGAAGCTTCGAGTGCTCTCTTGCTGCCAGCAGCATGGGCGAAAGGCGCGGGGTGGCGTCTGGCGGGTTGGTACGTTTAGTGGTGGTTGCTGGTGTTGATGCTGTCGTGGCCAGTGTCGAGTGTCTCACAGACACATCACATAATTAGGGGCTCGCTGGCTTGGGCATGAATCTGAGACCAGACTACCCACTTCCCCACCTCGTGAGGAGTGCGCTGCTCCTGCCCAGGTGCCTCCCCCACGCGCCGTATCAATGGCGGGGTTCAGCGCTGTACGTATCTTCTCAAGGTGCGTCTGGTACATACGTTTACCATACCCGGAGCAGCTGGAGCCAGCTACTTTAGCTAGCACATGCTGCTGCTCTGCTTGGCGACCAAGACACCTTCACCCACCACCAAGGGACCGCCTGGAAAAGAATCGCCTTATCTTGGTCCCCCGGTCAGAGCAGAGACAAACGAGCCAACCGGTCCGCACCCGGGTCGACCCGCTCGTCTCACGGTGCAACCTCTGCGACGGTCAAAAGTCCCGGCCGCCCATCGTCGTCGGTATGCATCTTCGTCCTGCTCCTCTGCCGCGGCGGCCAAGAGCTGTGGCCCTCCCTGCCTGTCGCGTGGCCAGACCCCAGTCTCCCAACGGCTGCGGGGGAACGTCCCGGCCGCGGACCCCCCCTGGTCATGCAGCTCCGGCAAAGGCCTTCCTTGCCTTGCATGACATCCCGTTATCCCCGTCCCGGAAGCAGCCCAAGATCGCGCCAGCGTCTTCTTCTAGCCTGGCGACAAGATCACTACGCCCCCAGTCTTTCTTGACCGCTCCCAAATATCCATAGACTCAATGATGGTGGCGGTGGTGGTGGCGGTGGCGGTGGCCTCCGTCCTCCATAGCCCGGGGGTTTTGAATCACACCGACGCGCGTGCCACAACAACCATCACTACACTCCTCCACTTCGGGCCGGAGCTGCTTCCGTGCCGGTGGCTGCGCTGGAAAGGGGCTGTAGATAGGGTTGACAAGAGAGCGACCGACCCTGCGTGTCACTTGCTAGTGGCGTGCTTAGTGTCGTGGTTAATTGTACCGCCAGGGGCCGCCTCGGCTACCTTTCCCTTCTGTTACACAGCCATGATATAGGTTATAATAAGCACGCGCAAGGACTTGGGTCTGAGTGTCACAACTTTCTTGACGAAGTTCCTCCCTTTCAAGTGCCGTTGCCTGGTCTTTCCTGGCATTTTGACTCGCGTCCACTCCCGACGGCGCCTCCTTGGTCTGTCCCGTGCGTCTCGCTTTCCAGACGAGGATATCGTATGGAGCCACTCCGGCGATGCTGCGTGCTTGACATGGTCCGGGGGGCAACATGTCCTTTGAAAATCGGCTACCGCGGTGGCACTTGGAGAGATGCGTGGCGTCAAAGTGCCGCAATCCCAGCTTGGCACCAACGAGACCCTCACTGATATGAGGTGATTTACTGGCACAGCGTTGTTGTCAAGCTCACGCGGCGGTTCCCATCGAAGCTGTGTGTCCGTTGTCCCGATCATGACAAAAGCGTCCCAAGATCACAAGGGTAGCCTGGTGTTCATAATCCATGGTAATAGGTTCCCATAGCATCCGGAGAATGCCTCGCGTGGACCTCAGGATTGGCCCCGAGTACAATGTCCAGGCCCTGCTCCACATCGAGATCCGACGGCACTGCGCTCAGTTCTGCAGCGTCAAGGATCGGGCTCGCGGTGAGCTAAGATCGCCCAGAGATCATGTCAGGCATGACTTCTGCCTTCGTGCTTGACATGAGCCAATCAAGCGGGATAGAATTGTCGAACATGATTCATGGCTTCGAAACGTGCATGGATGGGATGCAGGGAGACCCCAGACAGTCTACCTCACTAATTATGGCAGCCACATCCGCCGGGAACCTATTGGGACAGCAGTCGACTCTGGAAACCTTAAATTCCGGGGCCCTCGACCTCGAAACCAACGCGACGACGCTTGGGCCTCGCCGTGGGGGACGCAGGCCTGGCCTATTTGATCAACGACAGAGGACCGCAACCGTCAAAGCGGCGGAACAGTGCTACCGACCTGCATCGTGCCCAGGGCGTGCAGTCCGCCCCGCACCGCTGGATTCACGCTTTCTAGAGGCGGAAGCAGACGCGTGTCAGGCTTCAGAAACCCCGGAGGAAATCTCGAGTCAGAACCAGGGGCCGCACAGGGTTTCTGTGCTACGGCCAAGCTATGACAGCCTTCCTGATCGAGTAATGTCGAGGCACGTCGACCAGGTGAGAGGAGCTGCGTGATACTTTGACGGGACATACATTCAGACTTTCCGTGTAGGTGGCGTTGCGTCTTGAGCGTTGAGAGGTACCACCGATGTGCCATGGGACCATTATGTCGGCTGGTCACTAGTGGTTACGCTGGCATGTCTTGTCAGGATTCACTTCGTTGCCCAAGCTTGCATTCTCGAGCACAGGATACTCAGCTGGCCAGGATCCAGGCGGGGTCACAGTTTCAGATCCGTGTCTCGCCGTGCCTCGTGAGCTATTTGCTATGTGTCGTCCGTGTTGAGTCCTGATGGTCGTGGCGGGGCGAGCATTGGGCGCACGGAACACACGACTAATCATCTAACCATCATCGCAATCAAAGTCGTCCGAAGCGGCGGGTTGTGGGGGCGTGGGCACGCGCTAAGTGCTCTCAAAATCTCTCATTGCCGACAAGAACAGGGATAGCCCGTGGTTTCGAGACGGAATAATTGCGAAAGGGCGCTTGGCGGGCCAACAGAGTCCAAGGTCCAACTGCATGTAAGGTGACAGACAGGAGATCAGTCTCAATCCAAGTTGGAACTGAGGAGGGCTGCCAGAGACTGCGCTGATCTACTCTAAAACGCCATGGCAAGTTGTCATATGATATCTCAGTGGACATTGTGTCATACCGTGATCCCAGTGGGCCATCACAGCCTCGCATTATGAGCCAGAACGATGCTAGCACGTAGACATTGGCAAAGCGTGAGCCCGAGCCAGTGGAACGCCCTCACAATGCCTTGCAGACATCTCAGGCGCACCCCTGTTGGACCAAACGGTTGAGCCAGACTGGTGGACTGTTGATGACTTCAGCATGATGATTGCCAACTTCGCAGGGGTAGCTGATTGCTCAATGCCCCGTAAGTCATGCGCGTCCCGGGAGTCGCTCCACGGAGTCGGCAAAATACGCCGCTTATTGTGGACACCGGAACAAAAAAGCCCTAGTGCTCGAGACCGAGGAACCCTTGGCAGCGTCCTCGAGACTGGTAGCTGGGTGGATGGAGCATCGCTCCGCCGAGCAGCGCGAACAAGCTGATGGAAGGCTCTATAGGCTGGGGCTTCGGTGGTATAGTTTGCAATCGATGCCACTGCAACAGTCTTCGGGGGGCGCCCCGGACATGCAGGGATACTTTCGAGCGCTGATGCTCCTTGATGCTTGAAGGTCCCAGCACAGTCCAGTCGGAGATCTTATTGAAGCAAAGCAGGCGGGCTGAGATAGAGCACAAGAGGGCATCCTGGGGTCCCCTGTCACCAGCAAGCCTCTCATTACTGCGGATGATTTCTTGCACCATTTGGGCTAAGCGTTGAAAGAACCACCCTGTGCGGGATAAGATTCGATTCGACATAGGTTGAGATCGTGAAAGGGTGACTTTCCTTGACGTCGTGGCCAGCATGAGCTTTGGGAGGGGCTGCCCGCTGTGATATAAAACCCCAACGTCCGGCACGTTCGGGTATGCGGCTCGCCTTGACAACTGTCTCTCTGCCTGTTTGCCCTCATCAGTCCTTGTTGCCGTAAAGAAGATCTGCTACTATCCATACCTGGTCGACCTTGTCTGCAGGACGAAAAGGGTAGACACTCGTAAGCAAGCTCACCTGTTTCCGCAACCCGATCGCGTGTCGATGCTATTGACTGATTCAGGCCCTCTAGCTTCTCTGACAGGCTCTTATCATCCACCATCGTTTATACATCAGGAACAGCGAGCCAGCAAATAAGAAACAAACGAATAAGGAAACCAAGTCAATATGTGGATGCCATCCAAAGATGAGGACGCTGTGGCCAGGAAGACGGCTGTAGGCGGTCTCTATGCCGAGATACAATCTCGGTCAGTCGAATCCATAATCAACCCGGCGGAATGGCATGACGAATGCTTCGACAGTTCCGACTATGATCTTGGTCGAAGCCCTCGTCAGAAGTTGGTGTGCCGAGGCGCCTTGAGACCGGGCGGACGCTTGCGGCGAAGCTCGATGTCGGTCGATTTGCCAGCCGTGATCATGCAGTTGTCACTGCAGCGTTGCAGACACTGGACGCATGGCCAATGTGGCTGCCAGAACTATGTATTGCGCGGCGGCGACCTGTGCGAGGAGAAGTGCAAGAACAACAAGTGTGGGTTTGAATAAGCCGTCCGGGCTCGGCTTTTTCCGTGAGCTGCAGATCTGGAGCGAAGACTTGGTGGGTGCCACGAGACGAGTCCGGGAAGAACAACCGCTCAAAAGCAGGACAGGGTCGGACACAGGAAGGTTCGAAGGTGCAGTATTTCAGATCATGTAGCTCGCTATGCGCCTGGTGTATCATGCAGCCCTCGGGGAGAAGTGGCCCGAACCGAGCATGTCATCCCTCATACCGGTGGCTATAGGGTTGCCAGGGTTGGCGAAATCCCTGCACTGCATGGATGGTACTTGACTGTAGTGCTGTCTGTAACAGAAGAAGCAAAAGCATTGTTCGCGATAGGTTCGGGTGCTCTCCATTACCTCCTCCTGCTCGGAAGTCCCAGTACGTCGTCGGTGCGGTCAATCCACTCACACTCGGGTATACGAGAAGTACCGGGACCTTTTTGTTAACCCTGGAGACTCTATCTGTACAACACCGATCCGCAGAAGATTCAAGACCCGGCCCCTCTCGGTCGACCAGCCCGATGCGACTGTGATTTCTCCTAACCACAGGTCGCAGCATACAGCCCAGCAGGGCATGGAGCTTGGCATTGCTTGCGCATATGTGACACTGGATCGTTGTTAGTGTTGCTTGATAGTCCCCGCCCCCTCAAGGCCTGCGTCGTCAAGAAAGGGGAACCTCCTCTCTCATCAGTGTGAGGTTGACCCCGGTCGCATCTCGGGACAACGAAGGATGCCACTTGAAGCGATACCGCTGCGGCTCGCTGGCCATTTGTTATACCACAACTGTAGTCTTGTAGGATTGGTCAAACACCCGGTACATTGTCTGTGTACGCTAAAGTTGTCAATGAGCATGGCTCTGATAGCTTGCACAGTTTTGGACCGCTGGAGTTTTCTGCCAGTTTCGCAAACAGGTCTAGGTCCTCGAAAACCGCACTTGGTCGACGATTGCTAATAGTTAGGAATGAGCCATACTTGGTATCGCAGTGGCCTTTCTGCACGAAGATGATCGCGGTCTTGTCGCCGCTTGACACCTTTCTCCGGCTGGCAGAGGACAAAGTGATTGATGGGGCTCACATAATATGGTGCAGTCCGGTATATAGGTTCCTTCGACCTTACCTACAGGTGGTTCCTTGTTGTAAATTTGGTCAAGTTGGGCTGTCTCAGGCTCTTGCTCAAGGGCAAGTTTGTGTGAAGACAAGAGCCCCCTGTCGTTACAAGGCTGGTGTCACTGCCACCTTGGCGAGCTTGACGTTTCCCTCACCTACCTCCTTGCTTGATGCTTGACACGCTATGATGCGGGGAAAACAGAATTTCACCGACGATGTCATTGCAGCGGAACTGCATGCAGTGCAGAGAAAGAAAGAAGGATTTCCCTCTTTGCGCATCAGTTGACAGGCGCACAACCATCCCAAGGTCAAGATGCTGAACCTGGTGAGCCTCAAGTGAAGCGAATGTTCGGTTCTGGATCGACGCAAGCACCATTACTACTCTCCTCAAAGCTGTCGATGGACCGAGATAGGGCATTCAGTACGCATATGATCAGCGCTTGCGTCTCAGAGCCCCTCGCGTCTTAAGGGTCTTGCCATTGTGGACATGTGCGACGGCCCAATGGGTGGCCGTCAACGCAAACGAGCCACCCAAGGGATGAGTCAGCAATTGAGCAGCGAGGCCGCAACGGTCTGCATAGACTTGGTCAGCTTCTTGTTGTGACATTGAGGCGGCGCTGGCTAGACATCAACCTCAATGGGCACAATCCACGTCAAGCAGTGCTCACAACGGTCGAGTCTAGCTTCCTCAGGAGGTAGGTATCGCTATTTCAGCGCCCCATGCACATGACGCAGAGCTGGAGCCACGCAATCTCAAGGAGAAGCGTGGAAGGATTCTAAATGGTCTGTGCTACACCAGGAGCTTTCACTATATAATGTTAGATGCCATGAAAGCTATTAAGCTATTGATGGAGGAGGAGATAGGGTCAGGTACTTGAGAAATTAGTTTCACAAAAGTGGTGCAGCGAGATACTCTTGGGCGCTCTGTAATGAGATGTTGGCTGGGCAAATCTAGAAACACGAGAGTGCTCCTGGTTCTGTGGTGGACCATCCCAGGAACAGAGATGGTGTGCACGGAGACGACAAGGCTCTTGCTTGTCCTGCGGCCTTGCACCACGCCTCTGCTCGCGCACAGGCACCGTCTCCCTCCCTGGGCAATGAGACTGAGACGCTGAGAAGTATTTTGCGCTCTTGTCGTTCCTGAGCTCCACTTCCTGTGAGTTGGCTTGCTGCCAGCTCAGCAACCACGGCCGAGAACATTCGAAGCCGTTGGGATTTTTCTTTGGTCGACATGCCAGCCCAGCCCAGCCAGCAGAGCTGGGCTTGCAGCGAAGCTAACCGGGATCGACAGCGTAAGGCAAGGGTGCCTGCATCAGCCGGGATGCTGGTGCTCAGCATGCTATGCAAAGAGTCAGCCAACTTGCCGCCGATTCGGGCTGATCGTGGCCCTGCCCGACAGTGCAAAGCAGGTTTGACTCAGCTCCAGTGACGGCGCTACTGCAGGTCCCGTCGCCGCGCCACCGCCGAAGTGGCTCCCGATCCACAGGCACAACCCATTCTGCTGATGCAAGTGCACAAATTTTGCACAGCGCTTGCTTGGTCGCTGTGGGTGAGTCGTCAATGGCAAGCCGAGCTGCGTCGGCGTCGGCCTGAGCGAATCGGATCGGGCTGTCTAGTTGGGTGCCAGCACACCAAATACCCAATTAGTCCATCACGGCAGTCTCTGCAGTCTGTTTGCTTGACTCGAAGCTTGCTTTGGTGTCAGGTCGTGATTGGAGTGAATGGCCAAAGTCTGCCGCCCCGCGCGGAGTCTATCTTTTGCTCTCTTTACCGTGGAAGGCGTGGGCAATGACGCATTGTGTGCGCCCTTGGCTGGCTCCTTGGGATGACGATGGCCATTGGCTGTGTCGCTTGCAAGGACGGTCGTGATTATGTCCTGGTAGCATTCTGACGACACTCGTACGAAGCAGGCCAAGGATCAGTCTGTCGAGGTGGCTCTCTGGTCGCTGGTGTCTCCAGAGCATGTCCTGCTTCACCAAGGCGTAGGCGGAGGCCGCAAGGCACACCGACGCGGGCATATGCCGGTGCGCGGGTGCGCTGTGTCGTGGCAGGCGGGGGGGACAAGATGTGTCGAGGTGTGTGTGGTCCTCGAGCGAAGACTCTGATCGGGCAGGCTGCAGGTTGCTGCAGGGCAAGCGCAACACCCATGCCAGGTACGGACCTGCCCTGGCAGGAATCCACGCAGGGAGCCAACAGCCGGTTGGCTGCCGCGTGGCCCGGCCCAGAGGGTGGCGCCCAACCGGGCCTAGCCTTGCTGCGGGCCCCATCAGCCCCGTCGCCTGCTGCTCGAGAGCTCCTCCTCCTGCTCCATCCTCGGCCGCTCACGGTCCTGACTCTCTCTTCTTCTCCTCCTCCTCCGCCAGTCCGTCCTAGACCCAGCTTTTACGCTCTTTCAATCCCACCGCGGCTCTGAAAATCACGCTCTTTAGCCCCCGCCTCACACTCTTTTGCACGCCTCTTAAACCCAACCCACGTCCCACAAGGTTCACCCTCGATCTCACTCCCACAAAGTCTATTTCCGCCCGTTCCTGACTCCTGAGACACTCGCCCCTGGCTACACAACAACAAAGCCTATTGTGCTGCTCCAAGACATCACGACGCAATCTGCATTCCAGTCTCTGCTCTACCAGCATCAACCACTCCACACCAGTCAAAATGCGCGTTCTCAGCATCCTCGCTCTCGCCGCCGGCATCGTCTCTGCCAACTACGAGGTCACCTCGTACAGCACCAGCACCCAGTACCTCACCGCCACCGTCACTCTGACCCAGTGCAACCCGGCCAACCCTGAGTGCCCTCTGTACACGCCTCCTCCCACCACGTCGTCGAGCACCTCGACCAGCTCGACGACCACCAGCAGCTCCATCCACATCAACACCACCAGCGTCTTCACCTACCCGGTCCACAACACCACCTCGACCAAGGTCTACCCTACCACCCACCTCAACTCCACTGTGGTCTATCCCACCGCTGCCTACCCTACCACGGCGCCGCCGTATGTGCCCACCACTGCCAGCCCAGCTCCGTCGCAGCCTACCATCCCCGTCGGCGGTGCTGGTGCTCTCGCCGTCCAGTCCGGCCTCCTCATGGGTGTGCTTGGTCTCGGTGCTGCTCTCCTCGCTTAGGCGAGCATGCTTTGACCCGCTAGTCCTTGACGCGGTATCGGCCTCGACCATGGCGTTGCGTGTTTCAAGCGCGTGAGCATGCTTTCTTTGGGTTTCACTTTTCTTTCTACCACTCGTCCAAGGCTATAGTCTCCTATTGCCTCTCGGATGATACTGGTTCTATTATTCTCTGGGGACGGTCGGCTTGTTGTGCTTATTATTCTCGGTGTTCTTCCCCTCGCGGGGGCTCGACGTTCTTGTTTAATCACTGAGAACGTGGTTGCGTGGCAACAGTGTGCCTGCGCGACACATCGCCTCGCAACCAAGCCCCCTTTTCGCAGTTTGATACCCATACCTCGCGGTGGTACATAGCATCAACAACACTGCTATTGGAGTTTCTTTTTGGTTCAAGGCCCATGCTCCGAGGGTTATGTACAATTGGAAATAGACCTGGATATAGAAATGGTACATTTTGGAAACGTGTCTGATTCGTGGGTACAGGGCTTTGTGAACGTGATTCCTGAATACTCGAGTTGTTCGTGCCTTCATGTCTGGTCCAATTCATTCGTGTCGTTACAGCCGTGAAGACTGTCAAGGAGGACGAATTCTTATCTTGCCATAGACTCTTTAGAGTCCGCCCACGGGCCTGGAATGAGAGAAGCCCGACCCTTCCACATTTGTCGATATGATCAGGCGGCGTCAGAGGACTACCAAAATTCGTCACCCGAAATACAAGATCCGATCAAGGCAGATGACCGCGCGTGGTTCGCTTCCCATTACTGATGTCGCCCGTGAAGGCTGATCGAGCCCTGAACTGGTGCCCATTCATGTGCAGGCCAATGATGCCCAGCTCAAAGATGACGTGAATGAGGCAAACTCCTGATGACCACGACTTTGTCGCGTTTCATACGACCATAGTGCGATCTATGCCATGCGTGCAATTATTCGACGTGACAACCACGGTATTAGTCCAGATTTTGCTTGCCTTGCCCTGTTTGTTGTAAGGTGAGGCGCTCGGCCGCTCAAAGGAGCCAACCAGAAGGCTTCATCCGCTTGCCGACTTCTCCAACAATTTCTGCGCCCTTCGCAACCGGGCGGCTTTCTCGTCCAAATCGAGTGCTGGTTTGCCCTTGTTTCCGCTACCACTGCTGCCGTCACCACTCAGCCACGCCAGCGTATTGGCGGAACGCTCCGTGGAGGAAGCATCGCTGCTGTCGATAAGAACTGCGCCGTCGTCCTCGCCATATGTCGTCATCAACTCCCGTGCATGTGTGCTCGTTGCCGCAAGCCCAGTAAGCCCTTGCAGAGACCTCGTCGTTGATAGCTCAGCTGGTATAGCTTGGTGCTGCTGCTTGTTCCCCCGCAGGCCGACCGATGCACCGAACTTGCTGAGGACCGACGCTGACAGGAGGGAACCGCCCTTCGTCTTGCAGGTCAACCCGTCCGCCGAGACGCTCACGTCGATCGGGTGGCAGCACGTCCCGCATGCCCTGCTTTTCCGGCCGCCGCGATCATCATCTCTGCCACTGCTGCGCGCTCGCTGCACGGTCGAACTGCGGAATGCCGTGGTCCACGAGAGCGACCTGCTCGTAATTGAATTCGCCGGTGTAGCAGCCGAGGCAGCAGGACCGAGCGATGAGGTCGGAGGATGCGGCGCTGGCTGGACCGCCTGGATCGAAGCAGCAGCAGCAGCAGCAGGCGGTACCGCAGACCCAGGCCGCGGCATCGAGCACACGCAGCACATCCCGTAGATCCCGCCCATCCACTCGACGATGCGCCTTCGCTCCCACCGCGTGCAGTACGCCTTGCTAATCGTCGTCGTCGTCGGCGTCGTCATCATTTCCCCCGCGCCGTAGCCTTGCTTCGCAATAGTCGTGGTAGAAGCTGCCGTTGCCACTGCCGCAGCTGCGTCTGCTTCGACTACACGAGCGTTGCCATCGTTGTGCACAGCTCCTGGTATCACAGGTCTCCCAGTGGCCATTCCCTCACTCCGCTGCTGACGCTTCTGTGCCTGCTCATCGTGTGGCCCACGCCTGCCATAATCACGGGAGGATGCTGTGCCGGATTGAACAACAGGCGCAACCCGCAACGTAGCATCGCTGGCGCGGGACATCCTCAGCCGGCCCTGCTGCCACTTTTAACACATTGGGGGCCCCTGACCTGCGCACCCTGCAGCCGGATCTGCAACTCGTCCGCCGAACCTGATTCGTAGCAGATCGCGAGCTGTGCAAAAATCACGTTGGTGTGTCTTGCTACGTTAGAGTGCGCATGCCTGTGGTGGGGTATGGCCGTCTTAGGTGAACGGCGGAGCAGGTGCGCTCTGCTACGATAGTTTAGGGCGATGCCCGCATTTCGACACATTCTCACCTCCGGTAACGGACATCAAGCTCGACCGCCTTAAGTTCAAGGCTGCAGAGCAGGACTTGGGCATAATGTCCTGACCGGTTCTCGTGATGTCTGATCCCCGTCAATCTTTTACAGAACTCAGGCAAAATGACACAAGTAGAAGGTCTGTAGCAACATCACTGCCACATCCGCACTTCCGTCTATTAGAAACTGCACAGTCATGGCCAGAGAATTGCAAAAGAACAGATGCCTGCTGGTTGGATGTCCGTTTCATCCTTTGGTCGTCAGTGAGGTCTATGGCTGGTGCTATCTTGCTATCTAGAAGCTGGCGAACGGCAGCGAAGCGTTGGAGAAAGTCAACACCTCCTCCCTCGAGGATGTCTTGACGTTCAACCCTCCCAAATCAAAGCGCTTTTTCGTCTTTTGTCTCGAGACTGCGCGACTTGTCGTCATAAAAGTCTTGCTCCGTGTCGAGCTCAACATGATTATCGTGCCCCGTCGTCGTATCCACATGTCCTCACCAACCGAGCGCGTGAGTGCCGGGAGACGATTTATCGATTCGCCTTGCCACGCCTCGGCTGGCTCATCCTTCGTTATATGCCGACTATTTACAAGTCATCATCGTTGTCGTCGTCGGGCAGGGGCTGGTTGGCAGCTTCGTTCATCTCCTGCTGGTACTGGGCCAGCAGCGCCTCGTCGACCTGGGTAGTGGGAGGAGCAAGAGCAGGCGCGGCAACGAAATCCTGCAGGGGCACATTAGGTCATGGCTCATGCGTCGTCTCAGCGCGCCGGGTGACCATCTGGGGTGAGAGCTTACAAGGGTGGGGTTGCCAACAAGCTTCCGGGCGAGCCACAGGAAGGGCTTCTCGAAGTTGTAGTTGGACTTGGCCGAGATATCGTAGTACTGGAGGTTCTTCTTGCGGTGGAAGGTGATGGTCTTGGCCTTGACCTTGCGCTCCTTGACATCGACCTTGTTGCCGCAGAGAACGATGGGGATGTTCTCGCAGACACGGACGAGGTCACCTGGACAAACAGATCTTGGTTAGATCAAGTTTCTTCGATGCTGCTGTCGCCTGGAGCTCTTGGGTCGACTTACGGTGCCAGTTGGGGACGTTCTTGTAGGTGATACGGGAGGTGACATCGAACATGATGATACCGCATTGGCCGTTGATGTAGTAACCGTCACGGAGACCACCGAACTTCTCCTGACCGGCGGTATCCCAGACATCGAAGGTGATTTGGCCGAAGTTCTAGCGCGAGCGTTAGAATGGACGCATTGTAAAAGCTCGCGGACTGTTCCTCATGATCGGTCTCGCGGCGGGTGGGGCGTTTAACTTACGGTTGAGAAGCCGAGAGGGTGGACCTCGACACCGAGGGTGGCCATGTACTTCTTCTCGAACTCACCAGTCAAGTGGCGCTTGACGAAGGTGGTCTGTTGTTGAAAGAGAAACAGTCAGTCTGGATGTTTGCACGCGATGAAACGGCACCTGCCGATGCGCGATCGGGACGGAGAGGGGCAGGTGCCGCATGCGACAAGCTGAGGAGCTGGTGACGATGATGCCCACGGGACATACCTTTCCGGTACCGCCATCGCCGACGAGGACGAGCTTGAAGGTGGGAGTCTCGGTAGCCATGTTGCTGACTTGGCCGTGTGTATGTGGTGTGGTGTTGCGATATAAACAGGAACCTAGGCGGATGCGGGCTTGACGTCAGTGGGGGATTCTGCAGGCTCGTGGTTACTGCGAGGAGACGCACAACGACAGCTGGAGATGGATCTCGAGTGTCTGGAGGCAGGAGCAACGTGGGAGTTCGTCTGAAGGACGGATGCGTGGGTGGTTTCCTTGCGGGTGCGTACCTTATGGATAGGGGCGTGCGGGAATGAAGAGGGTGGGCTGGGCTCCTCGCGGCGATGATGTGAAAAGTTGTCGGTCAACAAAGAGCCTGGCAGATCAACCGCTAGCCCGACTACCCCTCCGTGAGGGTGGCTAAATTTTTGCCTGAACGATTTTTCTGTGGCTGGTGAGGGACCCAGCTCAGCGCCGACAGCCCCCGTGTGCACGGTTGTCACAGGCAAGCACTTTAGACAGGTGTGGCGCAAGCTCCCTATCAGCTACTACAACAGGCCTGTAGAGGTGGAGCTCAACCTTGAAAGCCTCCAAGGTTGCAGGTGACACAAAGCGCTTGCAAATGGAATGAATGCTATGTACATCTACCAGAAGCACCATCGGCAGTCTTTTATGGTGATTTAGGCTTCGTCTTGGGTACCCAGATTATGAGTCAGATCTGGCTGTGCTGCTCCTCATTCTCGTATTTCCGGGCGCAAGTGTCTTATCGTACAATGCCAATGCAAGGCGCCCAATAGCAACAGACGTGAGCACCTTGCCACTCCATTGCCCGAGCGGTTGCTGCCTCGTTGCTGCGTCAGTGCTGACTAATTCTTCACCATTACAGTGAAACTTCCTGCCTCACAATAGGCACCCAGCGCACTTGCCATTGATGCAGCCCGATCCAGCAGAAAGGATTTGTCATCTTGAGTCGCTGTGTCGACCTAAGTCATCATTATCGTACTGTGGCAGAGGTTGACGGGTCTAGAGGTCAACCTCGACATCAGGCAGCAAGCTACATTGGGCTCATTGACGTCCAGAGTGTAGTACACGTGGAATGTGCTGAAGTAAGCAGAACGGCTCTTTTCCTGCCGTGTGGATCATGGACCAAGTTTGTTCGTGGCTATCGGTATGCATGTCAGCACCAGGCGGACCATCTCGACAGATTATGGCGGCTGGAAGCTCTTCGGGGAATCAAGGCTACAGCCGTCACATTGGGAGGATGTGGCATCCCAACAGTCCTCGGCCACCCCAATCAGAACGAGGGACCAAGTTGAGTCGCAACTCTTGTCGCTGTCCGCCGTCTGAGCGTCGCGATACCTTGACAAGCACTCGTTGCTGAGGCAAAGAATTAGTGCACCTGCCCGTCCGTGACTTCTCTGGACAATCTTTATGCGAAAACTTACTCCCTGATTGCCCTGGACGCACTCAGCCACCTTCTTCAGGCCGTCGTTGTTAGCCTTGTTCACATAGCCGAAGTTGCGGATCTCGTCGCCCGCCTTGAGCCCGGCAGACTCGGCCGGGCTATTGGCTGCAACGCTGTTGACTCGGGCAAAGGGTTCGTCGAGGGTCTCTGGAATCGAGTCGCCCATCATCGTTGCGGCGCTTGTCGCCGTTGGCGCAGCATCTTCGGTGTCTTTGAGACTGGCAAAGTGCTCGTGCAGATATTTTTCTATCGTGTTCATGAGGTCCTTGTAGTCGTTCCGGAGGTAGATAATGCGGGACCGGGTGGTTCGGACTATTCGCAGACCATCAGCGACACACTCCCCGACAGCTGAAACTCGTGCATACATACTCTGCGCAACGTCGATGTCTGCCCGGGGAAACCCGTCCGCCGTCGTAAGCGGCGTGTCCATGTTGACTCCGTGCTACAGCAACGGTCCGCAAATCAGCAATTCAAGTTCCGGGCACTGAGTCCACCTGGAAGCTTGTGCACACACCGAATCGAGAACTCCGCTGAGTGCCTTGAGTTCGGCCTCCATATTGTCCTTCTTGGCCTGGAGCTCCGCGAACGAGAGATGGGCCGCATTGCCGTTGGCGAGAGGCCGTGACGACTCGCCCGACGGCACGGTGGGTGCGTGGATGTTGTCCATGGCTGCGACGAGGTCGGACTTGCACGTTTACTTCGTTCAGATCATGATGTTCCGAAAGCGTAGCAGCGTGGAGCTGTCGGCGAGCTCAGGGCGTTGTCGTGAGCAGGCAGAAAGACGCGTACGACTTCGAGGCGGTCCTCTGTAAAACCGCAGCGTTTGGTGAGCTTCCCCATCTAAGCGTACCTACCCCGCGCTGCATCGTTAGCGCCAGAATGGTCAACCCCCAATTCTTTCACTGCAAAACCACATACAAAGAACCCGGCGGAGGCTACACCAGAGACTTCTTAATGCCTGTAACTCCATCATTGCTACTTTACATGTCATGTTGAGGACTCGTCTCTGCAGTGAGATATATCCTGCATACAGTTCTCACGGTAGACGACCCTCTGTAAGGCCGATTCCAGATACTGTAGTTTCCTGAAACTTTTGTGGTCCGATTGCGCCCACAACGCCTACAGCCAACGACTCACGAGTGCCATTCTACCTTCCTGGGGACAGTCCAGCCAGGAGTTTAAGCTGTGCTTCAGCATGAGCGCCCTCATCATACATTGCACATTGCTTCTTCTCGTTGTCGTATCCCACTGACGAAATGCTTGGCTTCCTTTCTGACGGCGGTCTCAAAGCTCCACCGCGCGGAGGCGGGACAAGGGACGACAATCCCTGCCCCCTTGCTCGTCTCGGCACTCCAGCCCATGACATCATCGGCTGCTTTCCCTGGCCGTGCCAGTGTGTCTCACTTGTCGACCCTGCATAACATATTATCATTAACCCCAGGGACGCCCCCGACGAATGGTCGGAGCCTGCGTGTCCCTCCCGCACACGTCCAGCTGCCCGATGATGGCATATCCTGGTGGCGGGTGCAGGCTTCCCCTCCGTTCGTCGAAAGCAGTGTCGCTGGACATCGATCGATGGACGGGTAGAGAGCGGTCAAAGTGCCAGGTGTTGTCATATCAGTCCGCGTCACCGGTCCAGCCCATCCCGGCCTCTTGGGATGTGTTGCCCGAGGGAATAAGCTTAATCCGCAGTTGTATTGCGCCACTACTCTTATGTCCTTCAAGCTGCCCACATCCAGGGTCATAAGTCCCTCTTCTTCACTTTCCGAAGGACCACCTTAGTTTTCCTGCAACACCAGAACGCCTAACCGACAACTTTGAAGAGCACTTGTGCAAGACATCGATCTCTCGATCAAGACCATATTGTCACATTCCCTTCCCCCTTGTTGACCTTGGAGATCGCAGCCTTTCCATCCTGCACTGGGCCTTGTTTCTCCCATTTGACAGGTCCAAACTCCAGGGTTCGGAGATTTTGCCGTGCCTTAGCCCAAACTCTAATCAGGTCGCACGCAACTCAACACAACACACACACACACATAAACACACGTACCATCAGTGGTGGAGAACACCACCATCCAGTACAAGCAAAAGCACTATACTTCTGGCAGACCAGCAAACAAATCACCTTACACCATCGCCCACACACATCATTTCTCGTCCCTGTTGCATACTTCACCAAAGCCCGAGAAGCACCCGGAAACGAGGCACACGAGACTGACAAACCCACCACTCTCTTGCCACCAAGCCCCAAAAGTTTGACGGAAACCCCTTCCAATCATGGTCAAGCGGGACAAGGTAGACCCACGCAAACTCCTGCCGTCCCGTGCGGACCCGGAGTCGCGCGGCACGCGCAAGGAGCTCGAGAAGCAGTTCGGGTACGGCTTCGCCGAGCCGCTCGCGCTGGGTCTCGCGGCCGTGGGGCTGATCTGGAACATGGAGAAGCAGGTCAAGAAGTGCGAGGAGCGGAAGGAGAGGCAGGAGAAGGAGTGGCGGGATGGCAGGGAGGAAGACGGCGAAGCTCGTGGCTATGGAAGTCGGGGCCGAGCCAAGTCGAGTCGGAGACCTGCACCTCCACCGTCCTCCTCGGCCGGGGGCGGTGGTGGGTCGAGGTCTACAGGGAGAGGAGAGGGAAGGGGTGGGGGAGGGGGTTACTACTATGACGATGATGATTATGATGAGAGCCGCGATGGACACCATTCGACCCGCTCATCTCGAGGACAGCGGCGTGACGGCTCCTATTGTCCTTCCCGGGGACGGGGGCGAACAGGTTACGACGATGACCACTACTACTATCACAACTACCCCCCTACGTCTCGCAGGGAACGGTACTTTGTCGAAGACGTGGACGGCATCCCGCGAAGCGAGCGCAGATCTCGTGGTAACGGAGGTTTGGATGACAGCCGCAGCTCGTACCCCGGTAGCAGCGCGGTCAGTGGCACCACGACCGATGCTACGAGCACCACCGCCACCGCGAACGGCAGCCTGTACTCGGAAGGCCGGCGCCTGGCGGACCAGTATGATGACGGGTTCGAGAGAAAGAGATATGACAGCATGCCGACTGAGCCGCCCCTGGACGCGGGGCGGTCGGATCGGCGGAGGAGGAGTCGCAGGGATTCGTGGTGATTGAGAGTCGTGTACAGTGTTGTATCTGCTTGCATGTGTCACGGCTGAAAGCGTGGAAGTATTTGCTTTTGGCATTTCGTACGAGATATATGAATGACTTGATGACTTGATGACTTGATGACTTTTTAAACAGCTTGTTATGGAAGTATGCCAGAGAGTATCTCGTTGACCTGCGGAAGCACAAGCAACAATGTGCATCTTGGAGATGTGTCTAGATAATCTCGCTCGCTTGTGACGAGGTCTAAATCTACAGTGTATACACATTCGACATTTGTTTTCTCGCTCCTCACGGAGTCAACGCCTTGATCGTCTGCTCCGCCACCTCCGTGATGATGTCAACGTGGCTGTTCACATGCTTTTGCTCGACGAAAGGTGTCGCCGGGCAGTGGCGGATACAAAAGACGTCTCCGACAACCGTGCTAGACAGGAAGATCCTGCCGTCGGCAAGGATGGCGTCATACACCGTCTTCGTCAAGGTGTTCTGGGCTGCTGTAGCAGCTGCCACATCGGCAGTCTCGGCGACCGTGCCCCGGGAATTCTTCACCTTGAACGTCGTCAGGGCGAAGCGAGGCCCGGTGACAATCTCGAACAAGTCACTCCGCTTCTTCATGCCCTCGGCAAAGCTCTCGGACAGGCCGATGTGCTTCCTCACGTGGGCCTGCAGCCCCGAGATACCATAGGTGCGCAGCACGAACCACACCTTTAAGCTGCGGAACCGGCGCCCAAAGGGGATCTGCCAGTCCCTGTAGTCGGTGACGAGCCCCGAGTCGGAGTGCGTGTTGCGCAGGATCGCGAGGCTGACGCTCAGGGCATCAATGAGATGCTTGCGCTCGCGGACGAAGAGCAGGCTGCAGTCAAAGTTGACAAGGAGCCACTTGTGCAGGTTGGTGTTGAAGCTGTGGAAGCGGTTGAATGCCGACGTGAGGTGCTGGAACTCTGGGCAGATGAGGGCCACACCAGCATAGGCGGCGTCGACATGCACCCAGATCTCGCCCTTGTCGCCGCCAAGGTTACTGCGGTTCTCTGCGGTCTTGGGGGGTGCCAGCTCCGCGAGCACGTCGGCGATAGAGTCCATGTCGTCGATGGCGCAGGTGTCGGTCGTGCCGAGCGTCACGGTCAGGTAGAATGGCTCCAGGCCCTTTGCACGAAGGGCTTCGATGGTGCTACGAACCTCGTCGCCTGTGAGCTTGTAGCTGTGCTCGGCATGGACGGGAATAGAGCGATATCGCACGCCGGCGATCTGCGCGGCCTTCTTGGTTGCACTGTGAGTGGCAGCCGAACCCAGAGCGACGAGCTTGCTGCGCCGGATGGCAATGGCGTCCTCGCGGGCTTCCTCGTCCACGATATGCTCCGTAGCCTCACGAAGATACTTGTCCCGGGCTGCAACCATGACGGTGGCAATGGCCTCGGAGGCTGTGCCGTGAATGACACCTCCGCCCTGTGTTGGGCCGGTAGAGAGATAGTCCTCGGGCAGGTTGAAAGCCTTGGCCAGCCAGTCGAGGACGATTGTCTCGAGCTCAGTCACGACGGGCGAGCAGATCCAGTTGAAGGCGGCACCCGTAAAGGCTGACGAGTACATCTCGCCCAACATGGCTGGAAAGCTGCTTGATGACGGGAACCATGCCAGGAAGTTTGGAGACTGCCTGTAATGCAATTGATCTCGTTTGTCAGTATCTTACTTTGGGTTACCAGAAGCGCGAGGAAGGAGCTCTTGACTGACCAATGGGTGATGCCGGGCAGGATCTTCGACTCAATGTCCTTCTGGATGTCTGCCCACGGCTCTCCGTCTTGCGGCGGGCCGTCTGGAAGCAATTGTCGAAGATAGCCTGGCTGGACATCGGGGACAACTCTACGCTCCTCGACGGTGTCGTAGTACTTGACGACTATGCATTTCGTAAGCTGGCCATCCCACCCGGCTCATGACAATGATATTCTCTGCACTCACTGTCGTCAATGGACGCGATCGCAGCCTCGCGGAACTGCTTTGAGTCCATCTCGGAAAATGACGTAGTGACCCGACACCAATGGCCTTGCCTGGGACTCGCTGGTCTTTGATCTGGGTGAAAACTGGTATGCACGGACGTCAATCGATCAATCCCGTGTATCCCGGTGCTTCCAACAGGTCTGAGAAGGAGGGTTCAATTACATGCTTGAAAGTTTGGAGGAGAACACCTCCACGATGGAGGGGGAACATTACCCCGTATGGGTGGTGGGGTAGCCAGGAGGAGTCCACGCTACAGTAAAATCGCCATGTTAGGTCAAGATCAGCCAGTGCTTTTTGTGTTGTGTGCCAAAAGAGGTATCACGGAAGTATTGCTTCTTAGTGTCTTCTACGTTGTAAATCAGCTCAGTTTTGTGCAGGACTACCTGATATGCATGGCCCGTCTTGCAGAACATGGCACCGGCCGCACAACTCGTTTCACAACGAACTCGCTGTTCCGCGACCAACGGAGCAACCAACACCAAGTTAAATAAACCCAGAACAATACATGGCCAAGCTTCTCATTCCTACTAATATGAGTGCATGTAAATATGAACCAAAAGTATGATCGATGCCTTCATCTCCATGTCACTCATCCGCCCTCATGGCGGTCCACTTGACCGTCCAAACATATAGGCGCGGGCCTAGGCCATTGTCCGTGAGCCTCTGCCTCTCACGGCAACCAGGGCAAGCCGCATTTGCCTCGCGCTGGCCCTTGGGGCAAGTCGTACAGCGCATGCTCCAGTATGCCTTGTTGCCTCTCCAGCTCATCTTCTCGACCGGACGACCTCCAGCACAGAGATATCTCTTGTACTGTTCACCTGTATCCCCAGCGTCTTTGCCCCCTTCAGCAGTAGCAGTGCTCAGCTCTGATGGCTTATGACCTGGTGCCAGGGGGAAACGCCACATGACAGCCCACTCGACAATCTTGTCCATCTCGCCCTTCTTGTCTTCCGCCGTCTCAAAGTCAATGGTGAGCGTTCTGAGATTCGTCATCTCGCGGAACGCCAAGCCCCAAGAGTCCGGCTCGAATAAGCCGAGCTGGTCCTCCTGGACTCCAGCACAGGAGTCGTCCGGCTGGGCAACCTCACCAACGGCGCGCTTCCTCCGCCTCTCTGCCATCATCTCACTCCATGCCATCGTCCTGCCCATGTCCAACGCCATCTGTGCCTGGTCACGCACGCTCCGCCGGTAAGGGCTGATCTTGAGGGCGCGGTTGCGCTCCCAGTCCCACCAGTCTGACCGGCGCAGCGTGATGCGCAGGTGCCGCAGGGGCGCCCACCACATCTTGCTGTTGCTCATTCCCGCGTCGTCAGCCATGAAGTAAGGGTACCGGTGCCACGAGGTGGAATTCTGGAGATAGTGATGCGTGTCCTCGAGCCAGTACTGCTGGGTCAACAGCCTCACTTGGCGCGGGTACAAGTCCCGCTGCTGCTTTCTCGGCTCTCCGGGCTGTCCTCCGGGGAGGATCCCGGGAGCGGGCCTGCTCAGCCGCTGGGCGAGATAGGACTGCGGATCGCCGGTGTAGTACGCGGCGTCTGGGTCGTTGCCGCGGATGCAGTAGAAGACAAACTCCTTCTGCTGCAGCGGCAGGCTGTGCGTCTCGAGGTACACCCGGCGGCAGGTGAGGAGGAGATTGTAGTGGTCCACCACGGGCCGCGTGTTGTCAGGCCGCAGCCAGTCGAAGCCCTCGCCGACCTGCCGGCATTCGTCATTGTGGAAGCCCCGCTCAGTGACGAGGTAGCTGGTCTTCCGGAAGGGCTGGGAAATGGGGAGGAGGTCGTCCAGGACAGGCACGGGTTCGTGATCATAACGGACATGTGGATCGTGGGTGAACTGCTTGGCGTGCGGTGCGGGGGATCCTGTAAGTGCGTACTGGAATATCAGGGTCCGGATTTCGGCGGGGATCCGGCCATTGTAGAAGGGCGAGGTGGCCTGGGGGTCAATTGGCTGCGTTTCGAGGTGTTCGCACAGGTTGAAAGTCTTGTCATCAGCTTGACGATGCTGCCGACTGAAACTCGAAAATGGGTTTGGCAGCATGGACATGGCGCGGTTGGGCATGGACATGGACATCGGGTGTCCCGTGCCAGCCATTGCGCTGGTCAGTCGTGTCAGCGCAGCACAATGCCGCCTCCGCGTGGAATTGGTGCAAAGTTGAATGCGATTTCCTTTTTGGCACGGGCAAGAACGAACAAGAGAAAAACATCCGAGAATTGGAACTTGTACGAACGACCAACGTGGGAACTTGCATCCAACATAGTGCAAGCACCCCAAGGCATAAGTGTGGTGGTGCTCTCCCCCAAGTGGATCTCGTGGAGCACTAGGCAGGGCTTAGCTCTAGGCTGCAGCTCCATCCGATGCTACTTTTCAATCCCGCATTCCCTGTTTTCCATTCCGGAGCTTCCCCTCCCATTCCCGTGACGGGCTTACAACCTTCGCCACCCGTGTCCTGGAGTCGATGTTTTACTTTGCCGCTGGCCTGAGACATGTGCGCGAACCTGGTTGGTCGACCTAATCATTCAAATCGAGCCTGCGGAGGTGTAAATCACTTCGTTCATGTCACATTGCCGTTGAATGCATAATGTGACCAACGGAACGGTGGACAGAAAAACTTGATGCCATCATTCTTGTGTCTAAATGGAGCCACCAACGCCAGTTCCCAAACGAATTTTTGAACAATATGACATGATCGACTGTATGCAATTGCGAGCGCCGAAGTGCTCCTCCCGAGCCCAGGTCAAGTGCAGTCCATTTCCTAGCAGTCTGCCTCGAGGAAGGTCTCGAGTTCGTGACGACCATCGCAATAGACATTCTGGCAACTCGAGGAATCATCCGCTTAAGCAGTTTCCGCAGCAGCCTCCTTAGTATCAACCTTCTTGGCAGGGCGCTCGTCCCCGTGACCTTCACCGTCGCGGGTGCGCTTGCCGTTCTCCTTCTCGCCTTCGCCGCTGATGTTGATCTTGGGACGGCCGACGTCTCTGTTGTCGCGCTGCTCCGGGTCCCGAGTGCCGTTCTCGCGGCCACCGTCCTGGCGATCGCGGCCGCCACGTCCGCGGTTGCCACCCCTGCCACGACCGCGGCCCCGGTCGTTTCGCCCGCCGCGACGGTCCTTGAAGCCATTGCGCTGGTCCTGGTCGCGTCTCTTCTTCCAGTCGTCCGAGTCACCACTGCGCCCACCACGGCCGCCACGTCCACCACGACCCCCGCGAGCGCCGCCACGGGACTTGGAGTTGTGGGGATCTACACGCCCCTCCCGGATGTCCTCGTTCTTCTGGTCGATGTAGGCCTTCTTGGACATGATGAGAAGGGGGTGCTCCTTCCACTGGGGCTTGGGGTCCAGAGCCAAGAACTTCTCCGCGGTCTCCTTGTCAGCCCACTCCACAAAGACGGAGCCCTTGAAGGCTCTGTTCTCAGCGCGCCGGAGGCGGACAGAGTTGATCGCGCCGTATTGTGTAAAGAACTGCTCAATGTCAACCTGCGAAGTAGGCTCCTCATCGCCGAAGCCTTTGACGTAAATGCTCTGCTCCTCCGCCTGGCTCTGCTTGGAAGGGTCGAAGGGGACCTTGCGGCGCACGGTCTCCTCACCCTCCTCGCCCTCCACGATGAGGACTTTGCTCTCTTTGAGAGCATTGACAACGGCCGAGTAGGGCTGGAAGCGTCTCATGCGCTTGAAGCTGCTGATCTGCTTGACGGGGACGGCCTTGTTCTCGGCGCCACCGACAAGGTCGAAGAGGAACTTGTCGCTCGGCAAGTTGCTGTTGCTGAAGTAGAACTCGACCTGCAGGACATTTATGTATTAGCGGAGCCGCGACTCTCTGATGGCGGGCGTGGAGGGGCAAGACATACCTGGGTGCGGATCTGCTTGGGGTCATCGGTCTCGGGCAGGACCGAAGGGTCAAACTTGACGTTGTTGCGGAAGACCTTATCGTCCGCAGCCTTTCTGCCGCTGACTCTGAGCATTCCTTCAGGTGCCTGGTGTGCAGAAGAAGTCTTGTTCGCGGAAGGGGTCTGCTCGGTCTCCTTGTTGTCGGTAGTCGCGGGCTCGGTCGTCTCCTCGGTCGCAGGAGCTTCAGCGGGAGCCTCCGCCGGAGGGGCCTCGACGGGGGCCTCGACGGGCTCTACAGCCTTGACTTCCTGGTCGCTCATGGTGGCGACAGTTGTTTGATGGGCGACTAACAGCTGACTCGGCTGGTATGAACGACTGCAGGACGGGCCGTAATATCTGATGAGAAAAACAACACGCGGTTAGTCACAAGGCCAGTCATGTGGCGTCTTTGATTCTCCAACTGGCTTGTGAGGATCGATTGATGCAGTATGGTGCGCGATCGGCCGCAATCATGCGTGGACAGGCACGGCCACGGGCGAAAAGAGTCACCCGGCAAGGGTGCTGAATCACAGAGAGTGCCGGGACCGGGACACCAGACTGAAGAATGGTTGCGCGCAGGACATACCTGTTCGGGCTTGTAGTCACAGAACGAGGAATGGCCGATTGGATGTCGTCGACGCTTCCCGCGGGATTCCTTTTCGTGCGGTCTTTGGCAACCAGGCGTGATATGCAGTCGCAGGAAAAGAATTGGCAGCGAGGCTCGCGCACCCTGGAGCTCTCCACCCAAGGGTTTTTTTCTGCCGCGCGCGCCAATGGGCAGACGTTGCTAGCAGCAGCCTTTCGTGCAGCAGCACGGCCCCAGGTCTGCACATCGAGGCGCTTGGGCTCCACAGTTGCCCAGCCCGACCCCGCTGGTTGTCTTTGGCAGGCGGTCGATCGTGAGCAGCGCCAGCCTCGCGTCTCACGAGGGCTGCCTCGAGCGGTTGCTGTCGGATGACCTCATCATCATGATCATCAAATCATTGACGAAGACTGAGCAACTGGATATGAAGTTCGCGGAGCCTTGCCCTTTGAATTGATGTATAAGATTGCCACGGCTCCCAACATCCAAAGGCACATGCAAAATACCAGTGGCATGGTAGCCAGTTCTGGATGCTTATCCCATTCGGTCAGGCCCTAGCTCTGTAGAAAGCCAACATGAGAAGCACAGCTCGGCGCAAGGAGGGAGGATCAGCTCCCTAGGCACATCTCTTGGCTTGAGATGCACGTTCGAGCTGTGTCAGGCAGCCGCCCTGTTGTGTATAGAAAGCGGACCTCGGGAAGCAGCTCGCAACGATCAACGAGTCGAGGACCTTGAACGGGTCTCGCCTCCCGACCGTGCATGATAATTGCACTGCACCCAGGGCAGGACAACCTTGGGAACACCGAGTTTGTGAGTGGCCAGGTAAAGCAGGTCTCGTCAACGTCCCGTGGACAGTTCTAGAGCCTTCAAGCCTATGGGATGGATGCTAGTCTAGATGGCACCCGCAGCCCAGGCGGTGCGCGGGGCCTTCCGCAGCTGCGTCTCCAGCCAGGCGGCAGTTGCAGCTCTGTGCTGAGCAGCACTCCCAGCCCAGGGGCTGGCATTTGCTCCAAGAACTGGCAGCTCAGTAGCCTCAAGCCCTTCCGGGCCGGCTGAACTTACTGCCTGTAAGCACTGAATCATAGACGCACGCTTATCAAACGGCTCCCTCCGCCTCAAACTGCACCAGATACCAGATCCTCGTGCTGCACAGCAAGCTCGCGCTGGCTTATCGCCCATCCCAACTGTCCAGTCCCAAATCACTCTTCATTCCCTCGAGGCAGGCAGCTGATAGCCATACCTCCGCAACCGTCTCAGAGACACGCACGACTTGCATTGCACAGGAAACCAAACACTGAGCCCACCTCTCCTCCAAAGCTATCCTGGCATCACTGCTCTCCCGGGCCTCTAGAGGCGGCAGGGTCACCTGTCCATGATCTGAGCAGGAGCGCCTGCGTGCCGCATCCTTGTCACCGGCAGTCGGAGCCCTCCGCGTGGTCTTTGACGTGGTCCACATTCCCAAGCGCACTATCGAGGCTGGTCTGCCGTCTATGCATCAGATCCCGCTCTCGTAATGGAGCCACCGGCCCCCAGGTCCTCGTCGTTTGAACTCGACAGCGCAGGCAAGCCGGATCCATCTCCGTCAAGGAAGAAGCCGCGGAGGAGTGCGGATCCGCACAATCAAAAGCGCCGCTGTGTGTCCACGGCGTGCGTCGCATGCCGGAGGCGGAAATCAAAGTGCGATGGAGCACTCCCGAGCTGCGCGGCATGCGCCAGTGTCTACGGCACCGATTGCGTGTACGATCCCAATTCGGACCATAGGCGAAAGGGCGTTTACAAGGAGAAAGTCGACAGCACCAAGGCAAACGAGTCAACCTTGCAGATTCTCATAGAGGCCATCCTCAACGCCGCAGAGGATGATGTTCACGAGATTGTTAGGCAAATACGGACCTGTGACAATCTTGATGCCATGGCCACATCACTTGTCAACTCTGGCCATGGAATTGACCATACAGCTAGCGACGATGACACTGAGGTCGACCATGATTATGCGACCACTTTGCCCATGGAAGGGGAGCGGGATTTGGCCCGCAAAATGGGCGAGCTACGGCTCGAGAACGGCTCAGTTCGATTCATTGGAGGAACGTCTCATCTCATCTATCTTGGCACAGAGATGATGCCTCATGGAGATGCAGAGGCAGAGGAGTCTGTCATGGTCGATGCAAATCCCATCACAAGCTGGACAAATGTGACAGAAGACCCGCAGGTCGTCATCCACTTGCTCAACATGTACTGGAACTGGCATTACCCATACTTCACAACCCTTTCCAGAAGCTTGTTCTATCGCGACTTCCTGAAAGGGAAGTCCCAGGTCTCGGCACATAGGACAGCTTACTGCTCTGCATTACTGGTCAACGCCATGTTGGCTCTTGGCTGCCACTTTACCAACGTCGGTGTAGCATACGCTGTACCTGGTGACAGCTGGACAAAGGGCGATCACTTCTTCACAGAGGCGAAGAGGCTCATCATGGTCAACGACGAGTATGAAAAGCCGAGACTTACAACAGTACAAGCGTTGGCTCTCATGTCTGTGCGGGAGGCGGGTTGTGGGCGGGAAGCGAAAGGTTGGGTCTACAGCGGCATGAGCTTCAGGATGGCTCAGGATCTTGGTCTCAACATGGACATTGCCGGTGTTACCGCCCAGGACCAGCATCTGGACGAGAAGGAGGTCGATGCCCGCCGTGTCACCTTCTGGGGTTGCTTCCTATTTGACAAGTGTTGGTCCAACTACCTTGGCCGGCTGCCGCAAATACCGAAGAACTCATTCAACGTTCCAAAATACGACGTATTTCCCGATGAAGATGCTCAGGACTGGAGTCCCTACACGGATACTGGATACGATGAAGTCAACAAGCAGCCAAGCAGAACACGCGCTGTTGGTCTGCAGCTGCTGAAGCTGTCTGAAATAAGCAGTGACCTTTTATTGTTCTTCTACCATCCGAACCACATCGGACGATCGCACAGCAAGTCGGTCGAGTTGAAGAAGCTGAGTGAGCTCCATCGACGGCTTGAGGATTGGCGGAAGGATTTACCAAAAGAGCTTGAGCCGAAAGATGGCCAGCTCCCAAACGTCATCTTGATGCAGTAAGTAATGTGCTAATTATGGATCAGACCCACGATACTAACATGACCCAGCATGTTCTTCCACCTCCAGTACATACATCTCTTCCGCCCGTTTCTTCGGTACGCTCCGAATGCGTCGCCGCTGCCATCCCACGTTTCCCCGCGGCGAATGTGCACGGCGAATGCGGGTGCCATTTCCAAGCTCATGAGGCTTTACAAAAAGACGTACAACCTACGACAAATATGCAACATAGCCGTTTATATGCTTCACTCTGCATGCACTATCCATCTTCTCAACTTGCCTGAGAAGACGGCGAAACGAGACATAGTACACGGTGTGAAGCATCTCGAAGAGATCGCCGAGGATTGGCTATGTGGTCGGCGCACGCTAAGCATAATCAGCGTGCTGGCCAGGAAATGGAATTGCGAGCTCCCAGAAGAGGCCGCGCAAGTTCTACAAAGGACGGATGAGAGATGGGGATTTTTCAGCACCTCAGACGTACCCTCTCCCAGATCGCTCCCGAGGGTTTCGCCGAGCCCAAGCCTCCGAACGCACAGCCCGGAACTTAAAAAAGAGCAACAGAGCCCGGGTCACAATCAGCCTTTGAACATGCCATCAACTTCGCCTCCACAACCTCCACCAACGGCCAAGGGCGACTCGGCTTTTATGCTAAACTTGCCCCAACGCCACAGTGTACCACAGATGGGTGCCAACACGGCAGAGCCAGCAAGAGGCGCCTCTGACTATTCTGCTCCGCTGTCCATCGACAATTACACTGAAGCCGATTGGCGTCCAGTTCCAGTGGGACAGGCAGCTCCTTCCGACTTTAACGCAGGTTACAACCTCATCCTTCAGAGCGTCACCTCAGCTCCAGTCTCATCCAGCACGACACGAAATCAGACACCAACTTCAGCATATGCCGTGGATGGAGATGATTGGTATCTTAAAGACGGTGCCAAATGGCAGTCCGGGTTCGACGCGTGGGATATGAGTGCTGCTGCTCCTGGTGCTGGCACCGAGCAGTCGTCAATGTTTATGTTTGGCGCGAGCGATGGGAAGACCGTGGGAACGGCACAGCGCGCCAGTGACACTGAGGCAGGACCCTTGCGGGATTTTGGCTTCGAAAGTCTCGCTTCACTGCCGGGGAATCTCGAAAATTGGGATTTCACTGGGCTGGATTAGAGCACTATTACTGTGACAAGAAGAATTAACATTTTATCCATCACGCCATCACTTCTTGGCTGATAAATCTACACTAATGTTTCGAAAAGATAATAATGATCGAAAACCCCAGCCTACTTATCGATTCCCTGCCAGCATCAAGTTCTTGGTCTGCAGCGGATGACCTTCCAGACAGAATCATGTTGACATCCCTTGGGACAGATCATGTGCAACAAAGGGACCGAATTTCATTTTGAAGTCCGTAGGTGTAGATTCAATATCGTGAACGCCTAAAATTACAATCCAGAGTCAATTCAAAGAAACGTATCCTATGGCCACACCGTGCTTGCACGATACTACTACTTCACGGGTGACTGAGTAGTCCGCCTTCCTCCTAGTCCTGGTTGTCTTCTGTCCTTGGATCATCCATCTATCTGCTTTTCACCTCGGTGCCAATAGCTCTCGTGCCTCTTGAAACGGTGTATCGACGTATGTGTGAGTGAGAAATTCCCATCGGAAATAGCAAGGGCAACACAGGGCCGAAACCCACATGCACGAGATCTAGCGGCCAAGACGACCACGAGCAATCTCTGTGGTGAACTAGCCAGCCAGCCAATCGCATCTCCAGTTATACTTGAGTCGACCATGGTGTGACAGCTACATAGTACACAAAAAAAAAAAAGGTACTTTGACATCAAGTCAGCCACAGCCATTTATGGAGTCAACACTTCCTACACCATCAGCACCGCCACCGGCAGTCATGACACGAGCACATGTGGAACACCAGTAGGCGTAGCGGTCAATAACAGCCTTACGTGCCCCATTTTCTTGTTCACAGCTGCGCATTGCACCATATCTCCCCCGCTGTGTGCCCTTGGACTTGAAGCTGAAGAAGGCGATGCGTCCGCCACGTGGCACCCCTCTCTCTCTACGAAAGGGCTCTTTTAGTCTCCGAGATACCCAGTTCCGAGCGACACTTCACCAAATCTAGTCCACCACCACGCGACGTTTGTGACGGGGGACAGGTGGGCGTCCCATAGGTGATGATGATATATGCCCACCCCATCCAGGCACACACACACACACACACACACACACACATACACGCCCAGGCACGCGCACCAGATATCCCGCCTGGCCGACAAGCCTGTAATTAGATATTAAAAAGCGGAGAGAGTTGGGGTTACTCTACCAATTCTCCGGAATCTTGATGCGGTTAGCATTGGCTGACCTTTCGTCCCGTGCTTCCGTGGATGGGCTTGGGCGGTACTTGCCGTGGTGCTCTTCTCCTGCAGAAGTCGCGGGGAAAAGTTAAGTCAAGCTTGCGAGTTCTAGGGGGGGCCCCAGGGTTCTGTGTACCTGAAAGGCGTTGTCTCTTCTCGTTACCTGCCTTTTCCCCCTGTGAGGGTTTCTAAGGGTTCGGTGTAAGGGGGTTCGGGGAGATGACGCTTTGACAAAAACCAATGTTTGTGTCTCGTCTGCCTCATCTCCTCGGCTGGAAGAAGTCCCCGATTTGAGATGACAGTGCCAGTTCATGTGGCGTAGATGACGGGACGTGGTAGGCAATTTCGGTCCTGGGCGAGTTGATCCTATAGAGCTCAAGCACGAACACCCGCCACTACGGAGGCGATGTTGCTCGCCCAGTTGCACCACTACAGATTGACGAAGTGCTCCTCGAGGCGGAGTTGCACGCCACCACCAGCGGCGGCAGCAGCAGGAGCTGAATGCACGTCGGGGTGCTGGGCGCAGGGCGACGGAGTACGGCTTGGTTTGGAACTAAAAGGCTGTGAAGCCACCCTTGTAATGTCCATCCGCTCGGCCGGAGGGCCACCACACACATGCGGCAAGGAAACGTGCTCAAAGATCCCCCAGCGGTGGCTTTCGGATCTGCTGCCCCAGGGCCCCTGTAAGGCGGGTGAGCTAATGTACACTTCTTTACTTACGTCCGGATGCCCACCCGCATTGTTGCTGTCGTTGGGCGACAGCCATCTCGAGGACCCGCCCCCGGATCAGCAGCGCGGCAGCGAGCCAGCACGCACCCCGTATTGGGTGTTGCATGTCCTGCAGGGTCTCCTCGTCTGTGGTCTGGTCCTGTGTGTGCGGCACTACCCCAGTCTCACGTCCTGTGAGTTGCCCTAGTGGCTGCGGATAGCCTTGATTTGAAAAGCCTGCGGACTCATTCTTGATTAGTAGCCACACAAGAAAAGCCAACAAGAGCTCTTTGCACTTGTTGTGCAGGGGCTGCTTTTCCCCTGTTTGCACCGCAGTGTCACCAGGCATCTTTGCTGCGCGAGTGAACTGGCCAGCCTGGTCCAAGCCAGGAGGAATACGAGTAACACTCTGTTTGGTTAAACCATGACCGGTTACATCTCCTGTCGAATTGACATACCGGGATCCAGTATGTTTGGAAATCATTGAGATGAGCCATGTGGATGTGCCACTTAGCGGCCCAGGCTGTGGATTTTAGGGTTCTCTACATTGACGACAGCTCAGACCTGGGCGATATGATGGTGTTCAATGCTTCGCAAGGCAGGTAAGACTTACGGGGCCTATTCTTGAGAAACCTGGGTACGTGGTGTCAAGTCCATGGCAGAAGAGCGCCGGGCTAATCCGTTCGCACCAACGAAGCAGAGAGTACAATCTAGAAAGAGCTTAATCTCCACAATGTTCTGGGTTCCCTCCAACGCGCGAACGCCATAAAGGAAGGCCGGGTTGCCAGGGGTCCTGTATTTGGCCTTTGCCAGGGTGGGTGAGTTGGTAGTACTGCGTATGATTGGGATTGTCGAGCAGGGCGAGATGAGCTCTAGCCTGGCCGATCATCGCAGGGATTAGTCCTGCAGATGAAGCGTCTCAGTTTGATGCGTCAAGACTACATTGTGGCGTCATCTTCATGTTTGTTTGGTATTATTTGGAAAGGCCGTCACATTCAAGCCGGTCGCTGGTCCTTTCTCTCCACGGCCGCCCACACACATTTGTCGCTGACCGGAGCCGATCCTGACCTCGTCGCAATATATACTTGCATACTGAGGCTACTCATTAGTCTACATGCATGACGAAACCATGTCATCGGTGTAGGCATTGTCGTGGAGAAATTTCAGACCTTTTCGGCGCCCTCAAATCACAGGCATGTCTATGGGATCTTGGGACAAGAGGATATAGATCCTCGGCCGGAATCGAAGAAATGACGGGCGCTTGCCGCGAAACTGGCGCTGTATGCTGAGGGCTTTGTGCCACTCATGATTGAGATTATCACGACTGGTGAGGCCTTCCAAGGTTGTTCTGCCCAGGTGTGAATGTAGAGTCTGTCGAGATTACTCCATGATGCAGTGTGCTGCCCATCCCTGGACAAGCAGGGCCTGGGGAGTGCGGGCCGCTCCCCGGGTTGATTGGACGGATCGCCGGCTTAAGGTGGAGCAAGGTTAGTTGGTCGTTCGCCATTGTCATAACTCGGTCAGCAAGGACCGTCCAGCATTTCCAAATCCAATACCTGGCATGACTGCTTTCGGATGTCTAAGAACAATCATGAAGGCCTCGTGACAACCACTGGAGCCGATCACTGCTCACACCAGCATCCATTCCCGATGGATGGCGCAGACGGCGTGTAGGGGCAATGCAGTCCGTACGATCACAACTGTCGAGGTCTTGACTGCCAACAGCCCGGTCTGACCCATGTATTGCATGTCAGGTTTCGGCATCGTAGCGACGTGATTGTCATTTTTCACAGCGCTGTGCTTGTCATCCTGGTCCTTCTTTGGTGGAAGATGACATCCACACCCGCCTGGCTGGGTGAGGGAGACTCAAGCACTCCAGCACTTAGAGCGGATCCGTTTAAGCGAGCCAGTCGAAACAGTCGACCATAAGCCACATGGGCGTTCTGCTCGCAGCACCAAGCCAGGACGGTACTAGTGAGAGACTCACCGACAGCTTGCGGACCTGCGTCTATTTAAGAGTCCCGCGAAAGCATCGGGTGCGGTCGAATCGCCACCCGGGCCAAGCCTGTTTTCCACCAATCGCATGCCGCGGTGGATAGAGCTCTGCAGATGACAAGGTAGCCCGGACCGACTCGCCGACGCCTCCCAGGGGTACGGCGCCGTTAAGTTGCGTAAGTCTCCACCCGACAGCCATGGTTCGTCGGCCACCAGACACACCAAGGACCGATGAGTGGAGTGCTTGCATCCACGATCTCGTGGATGAAAACCTGGGCCAAGTCAGAGAATGCAGCGAATGGCCCAAGTAGGCGGCTTTCTCCAAACCTCAAAAGCAGATGCCACCCCTTCGTCTTAATAGCCCATTGTATTGACCGGAGAGAACCTTGCATCTGTTCGCCTTGACGCAGCTGTCGTCCGATCTACCGGGCCGGCCTGGGCAGTCCTCCGCGTTCCAGAGTGCTGTTCCTTGCGTATGGGGCAGTGGCCATGGAGGATGGCGCTGAGGGGCCCAAGGAGACTGGGCTCGGCTGTGCGCAATAATATGGCACCATCCGCCTCGCATTCAAGGTGGCCGAACAGATCCGACAATTGATGAACATCCATGCCGCACTTGTGCTGAATCCGAGATTGCCATCACCTGCCTAGCGATCCACCCCCGATGGTGGTGATGCGCGCCTGGGACAGCCGCGAAAGCGGTACCCAGAGCTCGAATGGACGGGAAGTCTGACTGGCAGTGTTGGTGGCCTGGCCTGGAACTGCGATGGCAGAGGGCGCGGTGAAGTGTGTGGCAGGAGTGATGATGGCGGTGATCCTCCGCATGCACCCCAGGCGGTGCCCGGGTGGGCCACGCGTGCATGGCACCTACAGCCAGCCGGGACGGCCTACCGGAGCTCTTCCCCAGGCCTTGCAACTGGAGCCATGACCACTCCTGGCGATGGGATGACGGTTGTGCTTGGCGCAGTCCAGGGAACAGAGGCTAGGGCGCAAGCGGTAGGTAACTTTTCATAGCTTTCTCTGGCTGGCTGGGATGCCTCGAACGTGATGTGGATGTGGATGTTTCCGCACCTGGGCCGCATCCCGCAAGCAGGTCCCGCCACCACCACCACCACTCACCAGCGCCAGCGAGGATGGCAGGTCCAGAGAGTGACGACGGTGAAGAGCAATGTCGAAGCGGAGCTGGGTGCGTGTAGTTGGGTTGTATGTCCCCTTTGCCTCACCCCAGCTGTGTAATACCCCAAGCTGGGGGTGGACGGGACTGGTGCCGGCGAGTCACGTCGTGCCTGCCTGCCTGCCTGCCTGCCCGGGCGCATGGGATGGGAAGGGAACCCTGGATCGTGCCAACCCAACCTCTACTGGCGTAAGAACCTCGAGGCAGCAGAGCAGCAGGCCAGACACTGTCACGAGCGTCCCGCATCCCCACACGCAATCCACCTCGCTCTGTGCTTGGCCCTTTTTCCTTCTCGACGCCTCCGCAGCGCCCACCCCAACGGCCGCCGGCCCACCCCTCCCCTCCCCCTCCCTCGTCCACCAACCTCATCGCCCCCAGCTCTGTCCAAGTCCGTCCCCTCCCTAATTTTATGGACTTGGAGACCCCAGGGCTTCTTCTGCACGGACGGGGCCGTGTTCTCGGGGTGGTCTTCCATGTATGCTGGCTGGTGTTGTTCCGCACACGGGCCCCTCTACCGCCACCCTCGCTCGTACCGCTCCTCGCCGCCGTCTGCCCAAGCACTCTTTGCCCCGGCCTCCAGCCTGTCCCCACCTCCAACAACAAGTCAAGAACCCCAACTTGCAGATCGACTCATGGTCCTGCAGCCGTGACCCTTTCCCCCTCGACTTCCCCATACTCATATAACGCCTCGTCAGCAGCCGGGGCACTCGCTCACGGCAGTCCTCGTTTCCAAGGTTCTGCTCGCCGACCACGCCTCTAGTCCTCTGCTTGGCCGCAGCTCGGCACCCACGTCAGCCCATCGCCTTTGCCTGTTCATCGCCAACCGCACGGGCACAAGCTCCACGTCGCAGTCTCTTCCGGTTCACAGTCTCGCTCTTTGACACCTGGCTTTTGGTCGGCGAGATTTTCTCAACCAGTGCTATCGACTCCAATTTGCCCACAAAATAGACGTGGATTGCAACTACTGCGGACGTTTCTGGGAATCGCCATCCGGACCACCTCACGAGGCCCCTTAGCACCGACATGGAAACCGATCGACTGTGATCCCCTTTCACCTTCTGGCGGATATCCCAACGACCTCATCACTAGACCCGACCTGGGCTAAAGATTTGTACCACAAGATACAACGCTAGACTCACAGGCTCACGAAATGCTGTCAAATCCCCTCCAGAGGTTCTCGCCCTACCACTCGCTTCAGGCGACCGGCGGGCTGGCAAATGGTGCACATGTTAGCCAGAACCACTTCCAGCAGAATACCTCGCTCCGCCATGGCAATCAATATGGGGTTGCCCACATGCAACAACAAGTAGGCGTGCAGATACCACCACTTGCACGTGCAAATCCAGCAAAACACCGGCACCATCCTTATGCCGACACTGCGGCAAAGTCAAATGGCAGGTCGGGTGTCGTACGAAGACGCATCAGCCGGGCCTGCGATCAGTGCAACCAGCTGCGCACAAAGTGTGATGGCCAGCATCCTTGTGCCCATTGTGTTGGTATGTATCCTGTCGTCTTCACATGCACATCTCACTCTAGGACTGACACATTTCATCCAGAGTTTGGGCTCGGCTGCGAGTATATGCGCGAGCGCAAGAAGCGGGGGAAAGCCTCTCGCAAGGACCTTGCCCAGCAGGCCGCAGCTTCCAAGGCTGCGTCATCCACCGAAGATAATGGCGGCACCTCTCCCGAGGCCCGGGCAGACGCCGCATCGCCATCCGATACACCTGCCGAAGAGACGAACGGCGATCAGTCCTTACGACACACCTCTAGAGAGCTGGACGACAGTCTTGAGCGATTGCCGACCCAGGAGACAGCGAGCCACAACCACCCAGCATCCGGCCTGCAAAGCCTGGCCGAGCTGAGCTCGCACCAACCACATATTCCCACAGAGCAGATGACCATGGAAGGTACCCAACTAGAAAGTCCAAACACGATGGCAATGGCTGCATACGGCACAGTCCCAGACTCCTATGAAGGTGCAGGCCTGAGCCCAAATATGCTGTCGAGGCAGGGCCCAAACTCCTTCAATCCGGGGTCAGCTCAGCTCGCGGACTATCCAAATCTCCCATTCGGAATGTCTGGTCAGACTCCGCCCACATACTCTGCTGATGGTCACGTCACATTCCAGATGGACCAGAATCAAATCGGCGGGTACTCGATGCCAAGGGATCCCGCCTCTCCCTCCTGGATGCCCATGGCATCATCTCCGAACCACTACCAACCACAGCTGGCCCAAAACAAATATTCTCAAGTTCGATATCCTGTCCTGCAGCCACTGCTCCCTTATCTGAACAATATCATCCCGATTTCGCTAGCTTGTGATCTCATCGAGCTCTATTTCGCAAGTTCATCTTCGGCCCACGCCCACCCGATGTCACCATACATCCTTGGCTTAGTCTTTCGGAAACGATCGTTCCTGCATCCACGAAAACCTCGGGTTTGCCAGCCTGCCCTCCTCGCGAGCATGTTATGGGTTGCTGCTCAGACTAGTGATGCTCCTGCTCTTACGAGTGTCCCTTCGGCTAGAACTAGGATATGCCAAAAGTTGCTCGAGCTCACAGTCAGTCTGCTCAAGCCATTGATTCATACGCCAACGGGAGAAGGGTCTCCTTTGACAACGGCAGTCAACCATGGGGTTGCGCTCGGGGGACTTGGCGTCGCTCTCCCAGGCAGTATCAGCATGGAAGGACTTGCAGGCGAGTTTGGCGCTTTTGGGGCAGCAGGCACACTTGACGACGTTGCGACTTATATACATCTCGCGACGGTCGCGTCTGCCAGTGAATACAAGGGCGCAAGCTTGCGATGGTGGAACGCTGCCTGGTCTCTGGCAAGGGAGCTCAAGCTCGGACGCGAACTGCCATCCTATCCAACCATCAACTCCAACGATCACCTCGACGCAGACTGTGATGCACAGCAAGATGAGATTCTTGGCGGTCGTGCCACCCCTGGCTCTGCCACCGAAGAAGAACGCGAGGAACGAAGACGCATTTGGTGGCTCGTCTACATCGTCGATCGGCATCTTGCACTTTGTTACAACCGGCCACTGTTCCTCCTCGACGTGGAGTGTGAATCTTTGAGACAGCCCATGGACGACACAGAATGGCAGAACGGAAGCTTCGAAGAACGCCCAATCGACGATCTCCTCAAGGCCCACCATAGCCGGCCTTGTGGTCCCCCAATGAAGTGCTCTGGCCACAGCATTTTTGGCTATTTCCTGCCACTTATGACCATCCTGGGCGAGATCGTGGATCTTCACCACGTCAGAAACCACCCACGCTTCGGCATCGGCTTCCGGACCGCCCCGCAATGGGACGAACAGCAAATGGAAATCGTTCGCCACCTGGAGGATTATGCGCAAAGTTTGAAAGAATTCGAGCTCGGGAATTTGCAAGGCCATCCGGACGAGACGAACAATGACTCGACCACGAATGATCACGGCGATACTCATTCGCCATCGGGGCGATCCGTACACACCAACTCCTCGAGGATGACGGAGTCGGACGTGCAGACCAGGATAGTCACATCGTACGGAACACATGTCATGCATGTACTGCATATTCTACTGACTGGGAAGTGGGATCCTATCAATCTATTTGACGACAACGATTTGTGGATTTCGTCCCAGGAGTTTATCGATGCAACGGCACATGCTGTCTCGGCGGCCGAGGCCATTGGCAACATTCTCGAATACGATCCTGGACTAGAGTTCATGCCATTCTTCTACGGAATTTACCTGCTGCAGGGCTCGTTCCTCTTGCTCTTGATTGCAGACAAACTTCAGGGTGAGGCCTCGCCAAGTGTGGTTCGAGCTTGCGAAAGCATTGTAAGAGCCCACGAGGCTAGTGTGGTCACCCTCAACACGGAGTATCAGGTAAGCTTCATATCGACACATGACTAGATGCTTTTGCATTGATGTGCCAGTGCTGACATGCTTTTCCCACAGCGTAATTTCAGCAGAGTTATGCGCAGCGCGCTCGCACAAGTGAAGGGACGTGTCTCGGAAGATTTGGGCGAACAGCATCAGAGGCGTAGAGAACTTCTTGGACTCTACCGGTGGACCGGGAATGGCACCGGTCTTGCGCTGTAGTTGCTGGGTGGGTAATGGACTTGCAGAATTCGGATCATGGAACACTTATGAATGTACAAAAATGGGAACGATGTAGCATGGCGTTTGGATACAAATTATCATCTTGGGAACTGGGCCGGCGCACGTAGCGGCAAAGGGAAGGTTCTAAAAGAGCTTGGTTCAACGAGATGTCGAGTAGGTAGCGCTCGGTGTTTTGGTGTCATTTTGAGAGACGGAGCAATCTGTCGAAGTTTAGCAAGCAGGACAAGGATTGGAATTGAGTAATATCTCCTCAACTGCATACCGCCCGGCTTGTGAGCGATTGATAGGCCTGTCTAGTCTAGCACTTTGTGCTTGTGTCCAGACTGGGGACACGGCAAATGTTCACTGGTTGACGTTCTGTGTTCTCGAGGGCCACACCAGGTGGGGCTGGCTTGTGTTGCACTCTATCTCGTCTTGCCTCGTCGCAACCTTTAGGCGGGGCATGAACAACCGCTCCCGCTAGACATGAGCCACATTGAGCTGGTACACGTCACCTCGCCTGCCAATACCCAGAAAGTCTCGGAAAGCAAAGTCCGGAACCCACAACAAAACTTTTAGTGAGGCGGGCTCAAGTGCTCCTTGCTGGAAATCGAGCATGGCCACCACCGAGGAGAGCAAGAGGCGTGCCGAGGAGCTCGTTCCGCGGTTCCAGTTTGAGAAGGTCCTGAACCATGGTGAGTGACTGGGCCTTTCGTTTCTCAATGCCCGACCGCTTCATCTCACGATGTGTGCGCTCTGAAGAGTGTTGGGATCACCCTGATGCCGTCTTGACGAGCTATTGCGCACGGAAAGATAAAAACCCCCCAAAAATAGTATTGCATGGTGGTTTTGGTCTTTGACTACTTCCAGATGCCGAGAGCGGTCACGTCCCGACTCCCTTGTTATACTTGCTCGCATATCTTTACCACGCCAGTGGTGGAAATGATATGAGCATCGCGATCAAACCCGCAATTCATCCCCCCTTACTGCCTTTCCTCTCAACCCAAGCCTGCCGCTAGACTGAGCGGGAATCTGTCGTTTTACAGCCAGCCATAAACTAATCACTATCCCCATGACGCGGGATCTAGATGGAGGAGGACGCCGCATCACCCTTCTCGGCGCAATCGACCAGCAGCCGGCTCTTCTGATCCTGGATCGGGCCCCCTTGCCCGACGCGGAAGAGTACCTTTCGGCTCTCCCAAGCAACCTGCGCAGCCTGGCGAACCTGGGCAACAACGACATCTACTCGTGGTTTCTGGCCTCCGGCGGGCCCGTGTTCACCGTTGGCGACGGCGACGACAACACTAGCAGCAACAACAAGAAGGACAAGTACGCCGACTTCAAGATCGACCTCATCTGGCCGTGCACGGACAAGCACATCAAGAAGCACAGCCGGCAGGGCGCGCGGGCGGTGCACGAGACGCCCCAGATCTACGCGGACCACGTGCGGCCGCTGATGGAGGCCAGCCGCGCAGAGGGCCGGCTGAACTGGGTGTACAACATCATCGAGGGCCGCAAGGAGGTCGAGGACGTCATCTACCGCACGCCGCTCGGCCGGGACGGGGACGAGGGGTTCCTGATGCTGCCGAACCTGCACTGGGACCGAACGACGACCGAGGCGCTGCACCTGCTCGGCATCGTCGAGCGGCGGGACCTGTGGAGCCTGAGGGACCTCCGGAAGAAGCACATCCCCTGGCTGCGGCACATGAAGGCCAAGATGGTGGACGCGACGGTCGCGACGTACCCGGAGATCGAGGCCGACCAGCTCAAGCTGTTTGTGCACTATCACCCGACGTACTACCACTTCCACATCCACGTGGTGCACGTCATGCTGGAGCCGACGGGGACGCAGGGTGTCGGCAAGGCCGTGGGACTGGACAGCATCATTGAGCAGCTCGAGGGCATGCAAGGGGACGAGGAGACGGGCATGGACACGGTCACAATGAACTATACGGTGGGCGAGGCCTCGGAGCTCTGGACTGATGTATTTCTGCCGCTTAAGCTCAAGACCTCCGGTAAATCTTCTCTACAGCAATGACCAGGTCATTGACGCCGGCGCCAGAGGGGCAGTCGGACCATTCCCCATCGTCCCTTATGCAGTAGATCTGCTCGTCTAAACGGACGGTGCAGCTCTTCGTCACTCCAGCCTGTTGGGGATGAGAGACAATGTCAGAATAGAGTAGACAACAGCAGATAAAAGGCACACCCCATGATGACGAACGGAGACTTACCGCGGCCGTCCTCTGAACACTGCTGCGCAGCATACTCATGCCCAACGCGCCATCGTCCTGGGCGGCACAGTTGTTGAGCTTGCCAAAGTCGATGCCATGCTCGAGGGCACAGTCCTCCACAAGCTCGCGCTGCGGAATGAGCTTGTAGTCACGGGTGAGGCACATGGTGAAGCCGAGATAGATCTTGGGGTCCGGGTAGAGGTGGGCGGCGCACAGCTCGATAATGTTGCCCATGCACTCGTTGGGGCCGTGCTTGCACTCGACGCCGTCGTTCTCGGTCGGGGTGCCGATGTACGACAGCGTAAAGTTGACCTTGTCGTAGACGCGCATCATGGCGGGGAGGACGAGCTCCTTCAGGCAGTCCTTGGCGTCGGGGCACTTGCTCATGATGTGCGCCTCCAAAGGCACAAGGTGCGTGTTAGCGGATGGCAGATCCGCATCCGGTGTGAAGTATGGAAATGCCGGGGTTTTGAGCGTCTTCTGCGGCACTGGCAGGGGGACGTCTGACGTGGACTGGTGCACGACGATGCGGCTGACACGGGTCGCGGTATACTTGCCGCTATAGAGGCAGTAGAGGACGATCGTGGCGATGAGGAAGAGGGCGACGGCGCGGTGCCGGCGGGGCGCGCGTCCCCGGACGGGGAGCTTCGAGTCCTCGACGGTGGGGAGGATGTTCTTGGCCGCCATCTTTTGGGTGGGAGCGTTTGGGCGACTCGGCCAGCGAGGCGGAAGGGCGGGTTTCTGTTGACGATGGATGATGGGTTGGAGTTGTAGTCGGCAATCCACCAGCCCCAGCCGTGCTGTACGTGCCTGCATGCAAGAGCACCCAGGCACACACCTACGCTTACCTAAGCGGCACTGTCTCAGATGATTTGCCAAGCACGCCCATTGCTAAAACAACGGGTCTCGCACCCCGGATTTACCAGAGACATACGATTCTGGAGGCATACTTCGTGCTTGCTCTGACAGCTGCTGGACTTTGGTATTATGCACGTGTGTGTATCTCACACACACAGCGTCGTTATCACCATTGAATCAAACTGACTGCCGTCGAAGCAGACCTTGAGTGCAGGTGGTCCGCAGCAGCAAACATGCAGGCAGTCACGTCTGGGAGGTTGTTCGTTCCTTCGCACTTTCCCCTCCCGGGCGGTGACTGACAGGACGGACCGGACCCGCCTCGTGAATTTTGTTGCCCGGCTAAGCTAATGCACGATCCGCCATGCCATGTCCTCCCCGACCTGTCCACATTTCACACTCTGCATTGTCATGGTAAACCAGCTTCGCGAGAAATCAGAGCGCCACAATCTTGCTTAGCTGCAGCTGCAGGACCCTTTGGAATCCTTCAGGAATCCCGTCGCAGCGGTCGGCTCCCCTCGTTGCGGCGACATTGTCCAGGCAAGCAAGCCGTTCGGCCAGTGGCAGGCGGCTACAGTGCCCACCAGGCCCGCTGCCAGACGTAACGTCACCTTGCAGGCAGGGTCCAGACCAGCGCTTGCTCCGGTTCCTGGCTCTCAACACCATCACAGCCAAGCCGGCAGGAAGGACCCTTTCGATCGCCATCCCAGCTCCCGCAGCTCACACGCTGACCCTGAGACCCTGATTTTTCTGCGTCCTGCGCCACTGCCATTACGGGCCCAATCCGCAGCAACCGAGAGCCATGTTCGACTGGGCCACGGCCAGATCTAGCTGAGGGCGGCACCGTACCCACTGCAGCCCCATCGTGACGCCCTCATCCACCTTCCAGCCACGGCTAATCTGCTGTCCCTGGCTGGACCCCGAGAAAGGGACTTTCTCACTGCAGCGACTCCTCCTGACACGACGCTCCCCCACCTCTGGCCCAGGGTCTTGCCCAGATTTGGGATCAGGGTCCTCCCGGACAATCAGCCCCGGTCTGCACAAAGCGTTCTGAGAAGCAGGAAAAACGAGAGGGACGACAAGGGCCGGCAACCAAGATTCCGGGCATCGAACACGAGGGCACAAACGGCTCGACCTAGTGGTCATTGCTTATTTATTCATGGGAGACTGTCATCAGGGCTACCGCCACCCGTCTCACCTTCTCGTCCAAAGAACCTCGGAGCTCTCAAGGTCTCTATCCAAGCATCCAGATAGGAAGGTTACCCATAGCCTCCAGCCCTCGTGGTAGCAGCATCCCGACCACAAGGGGATTTAGGCCCAACCGAACGGACAAGAACAGCAGCGATGGCTCCCTTCAGCGTTGAAGACTATCTGGCCCCCCTCCAGTGTAGCACGGAGACAGCCCATCAATTGTCCCATGAGATGTACCGGACCTTCCAGCGCTTGTCTGCCGAATCCCTCGATCAGTTTCTGCCTACCCCCATTGCGGAGTCTATACTGCGGCCTGCAGATGGCCAGCACACTGGACGGTAAGATCCCTCATCACCTCACCAGTCCTTCACGCCTATTGCCACGTCCTTCAGCTCATACTGACCATCGTGCAGGTATCTTGCCATAGACATGTAAGTGCACTAGCAGCCTGCTGGTATGGAATTCATAGACCTTGCTGACAACCACGTAGTGGAGGGACTAACCTTCGCGTCGGGTTCATTGAACTCCCGGGGAATGCGGTTAAGCGCAGACTCGTTGCCGATCAATCAGATCCCAACCTTTCTGCCCCAGACACAGGATCGCCACCTTTTCAAAGGCTTCTCGAGAGGTCATGGCCGATTCTGGAACACCTGAAGAGCCAGACTGCTGAAGACCTGTTCAAGTGGATTGGCACTTGCATCGTTGAGGTGGTGCAAGCAGGCCGCGATGCCTTCAACTACTCTCCAGAAGACGAGCTGCCAATGGGCGTCACCTTCAGCTTCCCGATGGTACAACAGACACTCTCGGACGCCACACTTATGACGATGGGGAAGGGCTTTACAATGTCGTCCAAAATGGACCTCGCGACACATTTGCGCAACGGATATAAGGCTTCCGCTCCCGCAGACCTGCCGAGAATCACAGTGTCAGCTATTCTGAACGACTCCGTAGCCACTCTTGTCTCATTCATACACCAATCTCAGGAGCATAAGGCTTTCAAGGCTGCCATGGGCCTGATTGTAGGCACAGGCTGCAATGCCACCATCCCGCTGCGAGATGACACACTTCACCCTAGTAAGAAGCCCAGCAAGATCGGTGTTGCGGCCACAAGCCAAGCGGTTCACGAGAATATTGCTGTCAACACGGAATGGAGCATCAACGGTACTGCGCCCGCTCTCAGGAAGTTTAAGCTCGTTACGTCCTGGGATGAACAGCTAGATGCAGCAGGTGAAGCACCCGGATTCCAGCCGCTCGAGTACATGACCGCCGGTCGGTACCTGGGTGAGCTTGGCCGCCTGATACTGCTCGAGTACATGATTGGCCACCTGGGTCATACTGTCGACCAGATACCAGCACGTCTTCTGGAGCGCTTCGGCCTGACCACGAAATTCCTCAGCCACTTCCGACCAGATCACTCTGACACTGACTTGGTTCAGACGTTGGAAACTGAATTTCCCAGCAGCACAGCCGCTACTTCATTTGCCTGGACTGATGACCTGGCGCAGGTCTTGTATCGTACAGCCAAGGCCATCGAGCTGCGAGCTGCGGGCATCATTGCCGCTGCCATCGTTGGCCTGTTAGCATGCGCAGGTGACATACCACTCCGGGGGGCACTTGAGAACAAGGTGGCACAACAGCAGAGTACTGAGCACTCGTCTGCTGAGACGAGAATACTAGGCGTCGGTTATACGGGCGGCTGTATAATGCACTTCCAGGACTACCTGGAGGATGTCGAACATTTCCTTGCAACCATCTTGGAGAGAGAGTTCGGCAAGGACCCTGCTATCCGCATAGTGCTCAAGCCGTGCCACGATGGTGGCATCACGGGTGCTGGCGTCCTCTGTGCTGCATCACTGCGAGCAGCGTCTGTTTCTACTGTTGGCTCTGCCACAGCGGTTTGCGCATAACACAGTGTTCTCTCACTAGTTGCCTTTCTTGTTTCTGCGCCTTTGAGGGCTGCTTTTTATACCCATGGCGAGCGCACGGGGCATACAGACGACAGCGAGCTTTATTGGGTTTTGCATTGGGTTGAAGATTATGATGCGATATGATGAGCAATACACGAGCTATGAATTACAGAACAGATTTTGATCATCAATGGAGACTTGCCTCGCTGGTACAATGAATGTCCAGGTGAAAGCGTTCTTCGCGGGGTGCGAATAGGACAACCATTGTGATGGGCGTACGGTATAGCTGCACGACTGGAGATGCTCCCTCTATTCAGCAGTTCCCTACTCGACACAGATGTACAGGTCTTCTTCTCCACTGCCAAACCCACGTAGCCTTGCCGTGATTCTTTTTTGCATTACCAATCCACTGGCAGTAGTACACATATATGCAAGATTCGGGCAATAAATACGCCAGCCGTCCCCAGTCCATGGTGGAAAAAGCATCATGATGAGGAAGTCTACTAATGATACCCATTCACTCCGTCCTGCGCGACAAGCGCGTCCAGCTCCTCCCTGTTGCGCCGGTACTCCTCCTGGGCCTCGCGCTCGCGGCGCGTGACGTGTGTGACCTCCTCCATCAGAGCCTCGCGGCGGCTGCGAATGGTGATCTCCTCGGAGATGGAGAGCGTGCGGAACGCGCTGAGCGCGGCGCGAGCCTTTTCCAGGGCCTCGGCTGCCTCGGCCATCTTCCCACGCAGCATCTTCGCGCGCTGCTGGTACCCGCCCAGGTGCAGCGTGAGCTTCTTCTCGAGCTTGGCAGACTTTTCAACTGTAGCCATGGTGGACTCTTGGACAGACTGTCGTGGGTGGGGAAATGGTCAGTAAGGTCGGTTCATAGTTGAGGGCATATTTGGGCCGGAAAAGAGAAGTGGGAAAACTCACTGCTAAGGCGGACTTCATCGCCGCAATCTCCTCCTCGTCGTCATCGTCCTCGTAGCAGCCGAGTCCTAAGAGGATGGCGTTGCTGTTCTCTCGGTTGAATGTCGCCTCAACTTCGGCAGGCTTGATGTCTCCTCTCGTCTCACTCAAAATCTGAAGACGGGCTTGAGCCAGAGCGTCGTCGTCAATCTGTTGCAGGGGCACTTGTTTCGCTGCAACAGCAGAGTTGACGAGAGGGTATCGGGCTGCATCGTGAGCAATAAGCAGAGCTGCTTCCTTTGCCACCATGGCTTCCAACGGATCCGCCAGAGCTGCAGCACTCTCCAGCAATGTTGAGAGCTCTACACGTTCTGGCCTCGGTAACTCCTTCTGCATCACCTGGGTCCGACGCCGCCGCTCTAGCGCCTCTTGCGCCTCCCGGATCATGCGCTCTCTTCGGTCGCGAAGTTCCGAGTCTTCCGGCAGGTCATCGACGGTTGTAGGCTCCTGTTGATCTTCGGGAAGCTCAAGGTCCCATTCTGTCTCCTTGGGCTTCGGCAAGGATGCGAGTCCGCTCCGAAGTTGGTTCCTTATTGCCAACTGATGCCTCTTCGCGTCACTTCCCGTCGGTGGTAGCATCTCCCCTGCGGCGTTGAGAGCGAATGAATCTCGCGGTGTCCGAAGAGGCGTCTGACCGACACGGTCAGGTGTGGCCAAGACACCATTGGCTCCATTTCTCAGAGGTGTCGCCATAGGATTCGGTGTGGCCATAACCTGCTTTCGTGGTGTAGCACCCTCAAAACCTGTCGAGGAGGCGCCCTCAAAGAGCTCTGCATTATCTCCTCCGAGAAGGGCTGATTGATTCTCGGTCAGCGCCCGAATGTTCCTAATCTCATTGGCAACCCGATCTTCCTGTGGTGGCGCCATAGGAGTTCGAATCGGCGTCTGCCCAGTTAACGTCGAGTATGTGTTGACAAGCCCGCGTGTGGCGTCATTTTCGCTCGACTGGGCTAGCAAGTTTGCGCGTTCACCCATCATACCCATTTTCACAATGTCCTCGAGCTCTCCCTCGCTGACTTGAGGCGCCGGCAAGTTCAGTGCGCGCCGTTTACTGCTCCGTTCTGCTTCCCGGATCTTCTGGGCTTGTCCGGCCTTGAGTGCCGCTTGTGTCGCTGCAGACGTGCCATCCTTGTCATTCTTTCTCCTCTTGCTATTTGGGTCCTCGTCCTCGTCTCCCTTGCGTTTGCTCCCAATCTGCTGCTTCTTGGGATCGAAGGCAGCTCTCTGAAATTCATTGCGGGCTTGTTCATCGTTGGTGTCGTAGAAACCGGGGGCTGGGGCCTTCTCGAAAGGAATGTCGGCATTGTAGTCCATCTGACCTGGCTTGCGGGTAGTGACCTTGATGTTGATCCCGGCCGTCTTGAGCTCACGGCGCTTCTGCAAGGCCGCAAGGCGGCGGGACTCCTCTTGCTGCCGCTCTCGGGCCTTGCGCTTCGCCTTTTTGCCCTGGGTATTGGCCAGACGAGCACGAGCTTCACTCAGCATCTCCTTCTCATCCTCGTCCATATCAATGGTGTCGGGCTTCGCGGGTTTCGTCTCGGGGTCGGGATCGATCTCGCCGGGGCGCAATTTCCTGACATCTTCTGCTGTGGGAGCTTGCGTCTCGCCGCCTTCGGGTCCCGTCAGGCCAAAGGCGCTGGCCTCCCGCTGCTCGGCTTCGTCAAGAAGTTTCTGGTAGCGTTCGAGGCACTGGTTCGCAGTGCGGCCGACGATTGGGGCGATGGTGCGCCATTGTGTTGGCATAAGCTTTGCAAGATGCAGCAGCTTTTCGTCCTCCTCTTTGCTCCATTCAATCTTCTTGATGCTCGGATCCAGCCATTCGCTCCATCGGGCCTTGCACTGCTTTGCCGACTTGCGCGGCAACAGCGAAGACACTCGCGCCCACTGATTCAGCCCATACTTGGACACAGACGCCTTGAGGATCTCATCCTCGATGTTGGTCCACACTCCTCCCTTGACAACGGGCATCTTGGCGGTTGCTATGGTGGTCGGGTGTCCGTGTCAGCCGCGCGACAGGCGCGTGGTGGCGGCTGCGTATAGCCGGCAGAGAGGGTGGCGGGTGAGGCAGCGACCGTCAGCTTCGCTGGCACAATAGCTGGTGGGTGTGGGATGGCGGCGTTGCTGAAGAATTGCCGGAGGCGCAACTTGGCAAAAGTTCGTGACGGAAGATCTGTAAGGACTTGCACGTTGCACGCACGCAAGTGTGCAGGCGCGTGCTCCAGTCGTGCCTGCAGACAGTGCGTAGTGCTCAGGTATAGGCAGAATCACGCACCGTGGGTCCCACTTCCCAACGACATCGACCACTCCCAGCCGCGCGCAAGTGCGCCTCCAAACAAAGTCACAACTAAAGTCCAAGCCGAACTCGTCCTTGGTTGCAGCCGACGTGAACATTGGGAGCTCTTTACTTTAATTGCTGTCGTGAACCCTCAAGAACATCGCGTGTTAACATGAGTCAACGAGTATTGAGCGCCGCCACACTCAACTTTGACATAGTCTAGCTTCCAGCCGCAAATGGACTCCTCTGTCTGAGCTTCTTGCCATAAAACCACAAGAACACTGGTCCCGGCCAACCGATCGCCACAGCGCACGCGGCCAGAACCGTGTTGGAAAAGCCCAGCCCTAGGCGCGCGTACATTTTGGGCACGAACAACGGAAATGCGAAGCCCGCCAGCCCTCTCAGCACAGTCGTGGCTCCCACCGCGCTGGCCGCGTATCTGGTGTAGACGTCAACCAGGAATGTCTGCACGCAGTTGAAGCCGATGATGGAGCCCAGCCCGAACACAAAAGCGCCAATGTTGGGTCCGATCCAGTGCGTCTTGTACTCTGCTGTCCAGCCATAGATGAGAAGCCCGATGGGCGTAAGAACGGCGCCAGGGGCCATCATCAAAACACGGAACTCGGGCTCGCCAACACCGCCGTTCCTCCTCTTCATGGCTGCGTATATCCGGTCCTGCAATCGTGCGCAAGTCTGCGCTCCTGCCCAGAACCCCACACCCAGAGAGATATAGTTGAGGCCACCAATACTGATGCTCATACCATAGCCATCAGGTTCGGGCCCGGACCAGAGCCCCGGGAAACTGGACAGCATGATGTATACAACTCCGTACAAGAACATCAGGTACATCGCCATAAACTGAACAATGACCTGGGTCGCGAGCATGCGGAATGGTCTGCTGATGGCAGTGCGGATGATCTCCCCCGCTGTCCGCTTGACGCTATCGAAAGGAGTGTGCAGCTCCGTATTCCCCGTCTCCTTGGCAAGCTTCTTCTTCTTCCAGGCCAGCAAGACTGGAGCATAAGTCTCACGCAATAAAAAGAGCCCGGCACACTGGATCAGCGCATCGAAAATGGTCGTGGCGTAAAACGCCCATCTCCATTGCGCATACTGCACAATGAATCCACCGCAGATAGGACCGAGCGCAGGGCCGAGAAGGGGGGCCAAGCTGTACACCGACATGGCACGACCGCGTTCTTCCGCCACGAACAAATCTCCCATGACTCCGCCACCTGTAGCAAGAGAGGCCGAGCCAGTCAAACCTGCGAGGAATCTGAAGACAATCAGCTGCTCCTTGTTCTGCGAGAGACCGCAGCCGAGATTGAACCCAAAGAAGACGGCGTTGGTGAGCTGTAAGACAATGACTCGACCGTATATCTCAGATGCGGGTCCCCAACTGTGGTTGGTAAACCTTGGGGTCAGCAACTATCCCCAACTCAAGACAGGACAGGCTCTTGACGAAGGCTGACGAGGGACTTACAGGAGAGGGCCCACAGAGAAGCCCAGAATGAAGATGGACAGCGTGAGGAACTGTATGGCGGGATCGTCGATGCCAAAGTCTTTTCCGATGGTCGTAAGCGCGGGTGCTATGATGGTTGACGACAAGGGCGACATCAGAGTAAACATGGAAGTGATGAAGACAACGACCCATTTCCGAGCAAACGGCCAATTTTTCGGATTCTCGCCGGGGTCGGACCATGTGACCAGGTTCGGATCTGAGGGATCAGGTGCCGTGGTTGTCTTCTTTTCCTGAAGCTCTGGGCCAAGCTCGACTTCGGCAAGATCAATGCTCGGACTAGGCTCGTGCCGGGTTTCTATACCATCGTGGATCAAAGAGATGGTCCGGGATGGGGTTCGTGAAGGTGATCGCGATCCACTCAAACGCGAAATGGTCCGCTGTAAACTAATGGGTATTGCGACGCCATTTCCGTCTTTGTGGGACGTGATCGAGTGTCCGTCGCTGTCGCTGTCCCCGTGTACATGGGGCTTCTCGATTTCGTCGGCGGTCCTTATGACGTTGTCTGCCGGTGGAAATTTGGGTGATGCCATGGTCGTGGAAGCGTTGTGGTTCTCTCCCTCGTCGTCATTTGCAGGGCTGTTGCCTCCCATTAGGATGATGAGTCTTCTCTGTTTGCCGAGTTGCGACTGGTTCTGCTGATAACGTTACTTGGACAGCACTTGACACTCTTGCGACAAGGACGTCTTTGTTCTGAGCAAGCGGCCATGGACCCGGCAACATGCAGGTGAGAAAGGCTTGTTGTGACGAACGACCAGCCTGCTCGCCGTGGCGTTCCAGTCACGATTCATGACAGGAACGCGATGTATGAGCGAAAGGAAGAGCCAAGAGGGGAAATCCCCGAACAGATTACGCTGCTGATCCACTCGAACGCAACACCAACGGCCCCCAGCATCGCTAATCCCGCGTAAACCCTGCCGCTATCTGGGTGCGAATTGCCTGATCTGGTAAGGCGGTTACGGGGGCGGGGCCGAGTTCGGGGCCGCCCACCGACTTCCGGAAACCGGGGGTGGCTTCCGTGTCGTGGTGCTTGTTTAGAGTTTCGGCCTGTCGCGTGATTGCAAAGTTGCCGACGGACCACAAGCTTGTCGACGTCAGACTCTTTGTTTGTCGTAGACTTTGTCAGCTTGCAAGGCATTGATTCTACGACTGCCGTCGGACACAGGGTCATATCACACAACCCATGGCAATCTGCAATGCCAGGGGCAGCACGGTCTGTCCACAGCCGGACTGACTGGTCCGCATTCGGGGCCCTATGCGGGGAAGGTAAGCATGCACTGCATCGCCTCGCCACTCGTCACTAGATTATCAATCCAGATAACATTATGCCTGGGAGGAGGGGTTCCAGCTGGACGCGCTCACACTGGGAACCTTGAACAGATTGCTGGTCGGCAGTGTGCCAGGTATGTGCATGCATCTGGGTTTGCCTGCAGAAAAAGGGGCAAGGGCGGTGAAGCCATACGAGATGGATGCCACTGGGTGTTTGCGTGTGTACAGAAGACACGGGTCTCTCCGTCGTCAGCAAGGAAAACGAAGATCGCTGTCGGGAATAGGACTGAATCCAGCGAAGTGGAGTTGGTGAGCGTTTTTGTCACGTCGCGGATGGACGTGGTGGTGGCCTCGGGTGATGTGGCTGAATCGAGAAAAACGTGCAGCTGGCTCGAGACATGACACTGGCAGTAAGACCGCGCACCTTTGGGCCCGGAGGCTTGGTCCCTGCTATGCGAGACTGGCAGATTCCCATCTTCAGAACTCTCAGGATGTATTGGTCCCTCTTCAAAGGTCGACTACACGTACCTAGCGTACTTTGGCTGGTTGAGAGTGGAGCGCCACACTGTGGCTCAACGAACGAACAACAATGAGGCGCCCCATCAACGAGAGAACTTGTTTCCACGACCTGACCTGGCCTGACCCACAAACCAGACCTGCCTCAGCGGCTGACCTAAGCACACCCGCCCGCAAGCCAGCGTGTGCGTGCATGCGGCATTGCACTCCAAAAATTTCGAGGGTATCGCGCGGCCAAAGAGGGACGGCAGCAGCAGCAGATTGAGGTGCGGCCGGGCAGCAACAACAACGACGACGATAACACCAACACTACAACCGCCACCATGGTGAAGCCCAGGAGGTTGCACGGCCTCAAGCGGCCGGTACGTTCGCCCCTCCGTCCAGTCCAATTCCACGGCATTCGCGATGCCCCCATTCACGCCTGCCGGGATGAGCACCAGGAGCTTTGCTACCCATTGACTGGCGATGCAGCTGCCCCCCTCCCCAGCAGGAAAACGCCTCACCACATGTGCAGACATTGCCCCTCACCTTCATAGACCCGTGTGCTGACCATTGGGGCCCCCGTTTGCCTCGGCGTACAGAAAATCCGGCAGAGCTGGAACAAATACAACCTCTACAACATCTCCGAGGCGCGGGCCCCGGGGCTCGGCAACGGCGCAAAGGACACGTACTTCCAGCAGAAATGGAAGGCAAAGGGCCTGCTGCGGGCGTACCATGGCGAGCACGTCGTCGAGCGCAAGTGGGCGCGCATGTTCTCCAGGCGGCTGCTCGGCGTCTCGAGCACGAGCCCAGAGTACCTCGCGCAGAACGACGGCTCCGAGATGGCCCGCGGCAAGGGCTTCGGCCTCGCCACGCGCCCGCGCGACGTCCCGCAGAATAAGAACGGCGCCGAGACGCCCTACATGCAGATGACGTTTGCGCCGATGGAGCGGAGGCTGGACATTGCCGTCTTCAGGGCCATGTTTGCCAGCAGCGCCAGGCAGGCAGCGCAGTTCTGCATCCACGGGGGCGTCAAGGTCAATGGCAAAGTCGTACGTTATATCCCTCTTCCCCCCTCCGGGCCTTTGGCAGTATCTTGCACCCACACATCAGACTGACTCCCGGAGCTTCCTCACCCGCCAGATGCCGTTCCCTTCATATCAACTCAACCCGGGCGACATGTTCCAGGTCGACCCGGAGCGTGTAATGTTCGCCACAGGCCTGCCCAAGCACGGCACGAAGCCAAGGCGGCCACGAGATCAGCACAGACGCGGCGGCAAGGCCGCCAAGGCCACAGGGGAGGAGGAGGCCGCCACTGAGGAAGCCAAGGCGGAGGAAGAGGCCAACGAGGAGGAGACGTCAGGTTCGGCAGCCGAGCAGGACCCGGACACGACAGACCTGCCCGAGGCCGAGAAGCAGGACATGGCGCCCACGAAGCAGGAGATACAAGGCCTGATCAAGCAGGCCAAGGAGGTGCTGTCCGAGCAGAAGCTCACCGTCGCCCAGAAGCGCCGTGTGCGTGACTTCATCAAGCAGTCGAAGCCTCTGCTCGGCAAGAGCAGCCGCGCCAGTGCAAACCCGGCCGAGATCCTGGAGCAGCTCTCAGAAATGGTGGCCGGCCTCAAGGTTGAGGACAGCAGCGCCGCAGAGGCGGCGGACAGTGCCACTGACCAGCAGCAGCAGCAGCAGAAGAAGCAGCAGCTCAGCGTGGACGACCTGAGCCCCGAGGAAAAGAACCGGCTGCGCGACCTGATCGCGCAGGAGCAGGAGAACCCGCACGACCCGAGCAAGCCGTACCTCACACCCTGGAAGCCGCGCCCGTACATGGCGCCGTTCGCCTACATCCCGCAGTACCTCGAGGTCAACCAGAACATCTGCTCCGCCGTATACCTGCGCCACCCCGTCGCCAGGAAGGGCCTGGCCGAGGTGCCGACTCCTTACGACCAACAGACTAACCAGCTCGCATTCAACTGGTATCTGCAGCGCAAGTAGATAAGGACTGTCCTTGCCTACCTTGTCGTCGAGCAAATGGCAGAAGTCGACAAGCGATTTGGCTCGTGGCATCAGGGACCAGAAAATGTACAATAGGCGACCTTTTACACTCACGTCGATCGCCATCGAGCATCATCACCCCGGCTCCAATCACCACTACCTCCACACGTTATCCCGCTGATGCAAGGGTGAGCAAGCCTGGGGAGGAGGACCAACGTGCTTGTAATGGGGCTGTATATAAACAAAGACGGCGCAGAGGAGGACGCAGAAGCGGCGCGAAAAGGGGTGGGAGAGGATGTTGGAACGTTACCGACTACAGCTAGGACACACAGTACCTAGACTTTGGGAAATACCGTATCGAGCATGTAGAGTCCTCGTCTCGGCTTCTTTCCACGATGTATAATACCACTACAATATACCAAAGGGGGTGCGTTGTACCACCAGAAAGAAAGCCATCCACCCAATCACGCCTGGGACACAAGTTTTGAACTCGTGGCACTCTCCCTTTCTGAAATCCTTTATTCTTGAGTCCGGAGGATTGACGTGCAGAGGACACACTTGTTATGACTAAACCCTAGCCTTGGTTTGCCACTACAGGGTGATCGCCTGTCAAGATCAAATGCATTGAGGTGGTCATATTTTGCGCCTTTAGCCATTGAACATCTTCCACGCATCATCGGCATGCTTGAACTCCAAATCGAGACCTGCGCAAGCCTGTCGATATCAGCCCACGAGGATTAGAGCACCTCAGATCCAATGGCCACCAACTGTGGTACACTGGTTCTGCAAAGCGTTGTTTGGAGCGTACGCCGAGCATGGAACAACACAATTATCACTTGACATTTCCATCAGTGCAGTTAAGGGGAATTTTTCTTTTTGACACCTAATTGCTACAAAGACATCAAAGGAAAGGAGACGAAGAGGCAATAAACAAGGAAAACACAAGATATGTGAGGACATAAGGAGACCAGTAGCGGAGGGACAGGCTCGTGTGATCCACATGTGAATGTGTACACATGGTTGGTGGCCACTTCTTTCCGGGCTACGCTCCTCGGTGGAACGAACCACGCGGAAGAAGGCTGCCACTGCGAACCAGAGGAGCCTCCCTTAAAATACAGCATCTAGTGGGGGGAGGGTATGCTCTTTTGGTTTTGGATGGTTGAAACAAGACATTAAGAAGAACTTGCGTCCCTTTGATGACCACGCCAGTCACCCTGCTGTGCCACCAGTTCCCGGGTATTGTATCGTAACGTGTTCGAACAACGAGTGGAAACACCGCATCGCAGCGAATACAAAAACGAGGCGGCCCGGTCCGACCGATCTCGCCATCGTTGGTATTGGTGTCATGTCGTCGTCAAGGTTGTAGGTATTGGATCCATCTGGGCCTTGCTGCATTGAGGGTCGCCTTGTCTCTGGTTACAGGTTTCCCATCCAGGCTTTGGTCACCCCTACGATCTGTACGATGATCACTCTTCCCTGTCGAATCGGAAAGTGTGACCATGCACAAGATGGTAGCCTTGGCAGAGCACCTAAACCGTACCAGGATGAGATCCGCTTGAGACTCTAACAAGCTTGATGTGAGGATAGTGTCGACGCTAGACGCAACTGACGTAGCAGTCCCTCAGATGGATAGATAGATTAAATGGAAGTGTGCATGAAGAGCAGAACGAAGAAGCGAAGAAGGAAAAGGCAGCATGGGTATGCAGATAGTGTGACGTAGAGAGCGAGTGCCCAATGTCATGACGCCTATCGCAAGGAGAAACCCTTGCGCTTGCCTTCCTTCTCGAGCGGGCGACCACTCTCAATGCGGGCCTTCTTCTCCTCAAGCTCCAGTCTTTGGCGATCGAGCTGCTCCTTCATCTCCCTATGACGAGCATAGAGCTCCTCTTCACTCTGCTTGAGCTTGCTCTCCTTCTCGGCAACCTTCTGCTGGAAGACCATCTTCATCTCAGCCTCCATCTTGGCAAGCTTCTGCTCGTGCAGAGCACGCTCCTCTTCCTGCTTAACAGCAGGGTTGACCTCCTTGAAGACACTGGGGTCCTGTGCAACACCCATGGCGGTGAGCTTGTCGGTACGGTAGTTCTCGTACAAGTTGTTGTTGGTGTGTTCCTTGAGCTCCTCCATGTGTGTGCGGATGAGCATCTGGCGAAGCTTGACGAAGTCGCAGTGCTCCTCGTTATCGACCTCGATGGTACCCCAAGGGTAGCTGCGGCCACGAACCTTGCGGCCATCGGCGTTGGTGACCTCGTTGCTGGCACCCACAACGGCGAAGGGAACCTTCGACATGATCTCGTTGTTCTCAGCAATGGTCTCCTCATCGTCGAGCTCGTACCGAGGGCCCTCGAAGATCTGGATGCCATGGTGCTTGATGTCGGCAAGGATCTGGAGCAGAGAGTATGAGTAAGTGACTTGCCTCGTGGAAAGACTTTGTATTTCATTGCACTTACGCGAGACTTGAAGCTGACAATCTCTTCGTCGGTCAGAGTGTCCGACTTGGCGATGACAGGGATCAGGTTGACCTTCGTGTGGAGGCGGCGCATGACCTCGATGTCGAGGGGCTTCAGAGAGTGGCCGGTAGGCTGGATGAAGAAGACACAGGCGTGGATACGGTTATCGACAATGTTCATGCGGTTGACCTTGTTCTCCGCATCAAGGTAGGCATCGAACCGCTGCTCAATGTTGTCGATGATGGGTCTCCAGGACTCGTCGTTGTTGACGAAGTCGCCAAAGCCGGGGGTATCAACAACAGTCAGGCGGAGGCGGACGCCGGCCTCCTCGATATCGGCGCTGATGGACTGAATCGAGACGGTCTTGGGAATGATGTCCAAGCTGGGACCCTTGCGGTCCTTGGGAGGGTACAGCGAGGTGTTGAAAAGAGTGTTGACGAGGGTCGACTTGCCGAGGCCAGATTCACCTAGAGACACAGTCAGCGAGCGCCTCGAATTCAGACTTGTCGCAAGAATGTACTTACCAACGACCATGACGTTAAAGTTGAAGCCCTTGCGAACACTCTTGCGGTGCCATTGGTTTGGCAGGTTGGCAAAGCCGACGTAACCGGTCAGCTTTCTGCGAACAATGTTCTTGCTGTCATTGATAGGAACAGATGAAGCTGGGGAGCCTGTGTCAGCATTGTTGTGCAAGATTCGAGTTATCAATCAAGGCTTCCTACCATTGGCGGCAATAGGCGAGCTAGCGCCGGAATCGACTGAAGGCTCTGTGAAACTATTAGCTTAAGCCCGGAGACGATTGTAAATAGGAGCCATGTTAGTAAGAAGCAAGAGCGGGCAGTCGGCAGTCGTGGCAGAGTGTACCCGGAAGATTGTTGTAGGCGTGGAGTTCATCATAGCAGACTGGTGCTAGCGGAGCCAGCCTTGGCGCGTCGACCACCAGCATGCTGCGATAGTGGCGGATTGTCGCAGGATCTTGATTCTCTTGATCAGTTGGCAGCGCCACACTGACTGATCTAGCCGACGTTGCGGTGATTGTTGACTTTCCGCTGCTACTCGGGGGTGATGTCGGGACAGATCTGGTGCTACCGGGCTGGGAATCGAGCTGAAAGCTCCGGGCTCTCGCTTTGTTGTGGTGATTCAGGAACGGCGCCATGTTGTGATATCTCCCTTGTGACAAACAATTGTCCGTGCGCGCACACACACTCAATGACAAATGTTCTTAACAATGGCCAGGTATTCCAAAGAATCAAGAGTGGATGAATCGACCAAACCGATCGGAAGCCGGCCGATAGGGGAGGACGACCTCTGGGGTGGATATGCCGTGTTCCGTCCAGCAGACAAAGATGAAACCGACATCGAGGGCAGGCGTTGACGGTACGCGAGGGGAAGTGGCACCATATCGATGATTCGTGGGAAGGAAGTTCGTTTGAGATGGACGTGGCAGTCACGAGACTGACCCGCGGGCCCGGGTTGCGAATGCCGGTGGCGTACGCTCTTGCTTCTTCCTCGCTCTGGCAACAGAGAAGGAGTTGACTTACCCATATCGAAAGATGTGTGAGGCGATGATATCTAAGCGATGTAGAAAGAGCGTGCTAGGTCTATGATGGGCGAACCAGTTAGCTTGGCGATAATGGCGACAACAATGGCAACAACGGTTTTTCTCGGGAGGGTCAGATTGAGCTCTCAAGGCTTGCAAGCAACGACGCCGGCACCAATTGATGCAGTAAGCGCCGAATAGGAGAAGCTGCTCCGGTTTGCAAGTCTTTCCAGCTCCTCCCAGCATGCTGGAAGAGGTTTTTGGCTGCAGAGCAGGGAGATTTGGGATGCGGTCCACGACAGAGTGATCGAAGTGAACCTCTGTGCTTCCTCAACCTCTACTGCGCCCAAGCCGCACACTTGTGATGTTCTTCGGGGAGGTGCGAGTGGATGTTGAAGGAGGGAGATGGACTCACCGGCGAGGTCGTCGCGTTTCAGTGCGGCTGCTCAGAAGCGGCGGTACTGGCCTAGAAGGAAGCTGTTCGGGCTGGAGGAAGACAGCTGTGCGTAGCGGCGGCGGCGCAACAGCGAAACGATGGAGGCAAGAAGGGCGGGGTGAAAAAGACCTGACGAGCGCGACGGCGACAGGAAAGAAGGAGACGAGGCAGCCGTGACGATGACACGAAGGGCTGGAGGAGTGGTCGTGGGCAGGGGGAAAAGTGTGACCAAAGGGTCGTCGCCAGGAGAAGGGGGTGCTCCTAAGTGCGTGCGTGCGTGCGTGGTGTGTGGTGTCTCCTGGCAGACGAATGGCCAGGAGCCAGCAAATTAGCTGCACGGCAGGCCGCGACCCTCGCCAGGTACCGTCCCTGCGCCGTGCAGGCGCGCAGGTACAAAGGGAGATTGGGCGAGCTGGGGTCGCACGTCTGGCGCGACGGGGACGTGCGGGCCGGGGAGCTCTCCTGCGCTGCCCAGCCTGTGTTTGCCGTGTCCACTCTGCGAAACACCCACCCACCCACATATTATCTACACCACCAGCCTGTCCTGGCATCACACCAACGAAACACACTCGGGACCTCCAGGCCATCATCACTCTCTCTGCAGGCGGTATGAACAGTAATCGCGGTGGCTAGCGCATCGCCCTGCGCTGTCCTGCGCCGCTCCCGCCCCAGTGCCCGCGTGCTCGCCGTGGCTCAAGCAATAATTACTACGACAAGAGCAGCCACCCACCGTCCAATGCCTGGATTCCGCCGCAGCAACCTTGGGAAGCATCCACTTCTTCGTGCCAGCGTGTTCTGTCGCGGCGGCGCAGCGCGATTTCGTCACCACATTGGCTCAGCCAGAGCTCGGCAGCTGCCGACGGAGCACTGCCATGGCGGTATAGGACGCATGGAAGTCTTGACACATGTGAAATCAATGCCGCGAGCAATGAGAGCTTTCCTGGACCATCTCGATGTTTTCGACAACCACAGTAGGAATTGTCTTCTCCTGAGTTGACCAGCCAGAACATCCCACGTTCCCCAGCAAGCCTGGCTGATCCCAATCCCTTGGGGGGGTCACCCACTTTCCCCCTTGTGACCGGGGTGTCCAGGCCAGCCTCTAAATGCCAGCGCTGGGCTTTGCCAGATCGCTTCCTTTTTAACTCGCCAGCCAATGAGCAGCCAATTATCCAATCTCAACCTGGCGGACTGCGACGCCCTCCTCAGACCCAGACGACAAAACTATCCGGCAACTCTGCTTCCGTAGCGAGACCTACAACAAAGTCTCGAATACCTTCGATACGTCGAGGTCACCGAAGAGTTTCACCACCAACGACACCCAGCTGGGTCAAGTGACAACAAAGGAGCTGACGCGTGAATTGACACAGGTCGCAGTTACCAGCCACGAAAACACACTCCAAAAATGATACGGGAGGACCCTCTGCCTCAGCTCAGGGCCGACTGAGTATCGAGCTCGGGCACCAGTGCACGCAGAGCGCACTGCACCCTGGTGTCGTCCTGTCCTGCTAAGACCCCTACCTCGTAAACCCCCTGCGAACAATAGGAGTCGACCCCTTATTAGAGCCGCTGCCCAATTCTCCGATGTGGTGTTCTTCGCGCATACATGCATAGGAAAGGGAGAGCTCAGGAATGCATTGCACGTACTTTTGTCTCGCCAGCTCGCGCGTCAGGCGCACCCCGCACTGCGAAACAGTACATTTCTGACCACCTGCGGGCTCAAGAAGCGACGTTCTATTGGTTCATCGTGCACTCGTCTGGTCTTGGTCCTCGTATTGCCCTGTTTTGGCCACGCGAAGTGATTAAGCTCGAGATTGGCATGGAGAGTGGAGCAGAACCTCGGGCCGGCCACGCCACTTATGTCGTGGTGTGATGCATTGTGCCTCGAACCATGGGTTTTTGCCCTGGGCCACGGAGTTGAAAGGCCGGAATTTAACGGCAGACACGGAGGAACTGCGTCTCGGGAAGCAGTGTCTTTTTTTCATGTGTGATGTGATTGCTCTCTACACCTTTGAGAGCAACCGAAATCCACAATTACGATCCGCTGTAGTACAGGCAGGCAATGCATCATCCAAGGGCCTGTACTTTTGTTGGAGGAAACCTACGCTCGTCTATATGTCGATGAGACAGTGCCAACGTACTGGCCATCTTGTACTCTGCCAGGACAGCTTGTCATACTTAAGGCAAGGTCCCGGCGCCTGTGCGACTGATATCATGTCTCCTTCGTGTGTCATCGAGGACGGCGCACAAGGCGTCAAACTCGGCGCAACTCAAGCGTCAGTCACCGCCATAATTTTGATGGCCGCGATCTTGATCAGGGGCTTGTTCGACAGATTGTTCGCCAATCGCCCCGTACCAGCGCTGATTGACACAAGTGCAGGAACTGGCCCGGCGAGACCTATTAGACCCGACCTTCCTCACCTCATGACATGGAGACCAGCAAAGTCCTTGTGTGGTTGGGAGGTCTAACAGCCGAGAGAGCCAAGACACATCTTAGCCATTGTCACTACTACAGGGAACCTTAAGATTTGTGGTTTTCGGTCGCAGCTTCAATGATCGTCGTCGTCATCAATCCTAACTGTATTGTACTAGAATACTAGTTTCTTGGTATAAAGAAAGCAATGACCGTAGGTCTGGTTCCAAAAATCCCCATCAACTCCCCATGCGCTGCACGCCGCGCGCATATATGCCCTGCGCCTGATACAAAGAAGAAAGAAGAACACTGGGCTGGTAGCCTGTATTATCCTATATAGTTCACCTGCACGTTGAGTCGTCGCTTTACACAATATGAAAATGAAACAGAGAAAGGCTTTTAGTCCCACCCCACAAAACTGTTGGTCGAGGACTCATACGAAGGCAGCGTCTCGTCGCTTGACGAGTAGTCCGGCACTGTGGACGTCGGGCTCGGCGGGTCGCTGTAGCTCGGGAGACTGCTGCGGCGCAAAGCCCACGTCAGTCTTGACGCGGCGACGCCGCCGCGGAGACGGCTCATGATGGTGCCGTTGCTATTATTGTTGGCGTTGGTGGTGTTCGTGGTGGTGTTACCATCACTAGCAGCCGGAGTGTTGCTAGAGGTGGTGGTGAAAGCGAAGAGGTTCTCCACGAGTCCCGCAACAGCGCGGAAGTGTGCGAGATCCTGCTCCATTGTGGTTGACTCTTCATCGCTTTCTGGCTCGCGGTGCGAGGTTGAGCACTCCGCTGCATGTTCAGTCGTGGGCGCGACCCAGGACAGGCGGGAGGAGTCGACGTGGTGCTCTTCGTGGCCCTGATGTGCTTGACCGGCGACATCGCGAGCAGCTGCTTCCTTCTCAACATCATTGCCTGCGGCCCGTTTGCGGCTTGTTCGTTCGTGCAGCCAGCTACAGATGTTGGCAAAGATCGCTTTAATGGCTCGGAGGCGAGCCTCGCGTTTCTCGCGCCATTCCTTTCGGGCGGCGCGACGGGCACGGCGGCGTTCACGTGCCTTCTCAGTGCAGGCAGCCCGGATGGCAAAGATGACGGCCACAAGCAGGAGCAGAGATGAGCCGACAGCCGCCGAGGTCTTTAAGGGGCTGGCTGTTAGGCTTGCCGTCGACTATTTGAAAACGGATCAGCACATGTGTGCACGTGGATATCGGTCGGTATACTTACAAGTCGCCATGCATGGTCTTGCTTATGTGTGGGCTGTTCGGGATATGGCGCCTCGTTCGAAACCGAGTCTGATGCTGATGTCAACACAATCGGGCTCTGGACTTGTTGTACAGAGGCGCCGATGATGGGATACATCATGGTCTGATATGGTCACAAGGCGTTAGTAAATTGATGCGAAGTATTTGCAGCCTACGAGTGGTGACACACCTCTTCGTCCTGCACCGGGGGGGCGTGTTTTTCCGGTGTGCCTTCTGCGGCTACGTCCGAAACATCAGCCTCCGGGACATTGGGCGGAACAATGATCATCCCATTCTGGTCTCTGTGAAAGCCATCGCGGTGTGCGCCAGAGAGATAGGTTTTGAAAGTGTCGTAGAGTGTTATGACGAAGCACTTGATATTGGTACAGTCGGATAGTGATTGAGGTGAGGCGAACGTGGATTTCGGGAATGACTTGGCAATGAAAAACTCCTTGGCAGCGATTTCAAATTCGAGTCGGGCAAGCCGCGCGTTCAGGATTTCGAGCTCATACATCTCTGACTGGAGGCTGAATGGCTTGTTCCTCGGCGTGCCTGGTGCGAGGCGCCCTGCCGTCGTGGTAGGGACTCTTATCACTGAGAAGGCGCCGTCCACCAGGGATACGCCAGTAGGGGCCAACTGCTGGAACTGCACTGTGAAGTTGAGGCCCTGTATCTGGTAGCCATCAATGTCGATGATGTTGAAAGTCAAGATTCGCTCGAAGTGTTGACGGTCGTCCACCTGGACACAGCTGTAGCGCCATTCCGCGTCGACTCTGGTGCCGTGCTTGGTAACGATGGTGCCAGCACCCATTCCGTCCTCGTCCTCATCCAGTGAATTGCCGTCCAGCGTGACATTGCTGTGTCCACATGAAGTGTCCGCTTCCGAGACCTCGAATGCGAGCAGCTTTGCACATCACCCTGGTCAGATCTGGGTGGACATTGATTGGCACGACTTGGCGTAGACTTACCGTCCTGGGAATGAGAACATCTTCGACGACTTTTGTCACGTCAAGGTCGATGAATGCTTGGGGTAAGGTATTGTCTTTGGGAGAGGAAGGTCAGTCGAGATTGATACGTCCCGGCCACAGCCGGGGTCAAGGAGATTGAGGCGGCTTACCACCGTCATTGCTGCCACTGAATGGGAGAGCCGACGATACGACTGAAGATGCCAGCACAATGGCTGCTGTCCGCACGAGGCCGTGCATTGCAACGAGCTGGGCACTCGGCACTATTCGCAGCAGACGCTCAATGGAAGCAGCATGAAAACGCGATGGTTGCGAAGGGGAGGTAAGGCAAAGTGACAGGACTTGCTCGCATGACAGTAAGCCACGTCGAGGGGGCGCCGGGCTATCGGCAGCGTAGTCACAGTCACTGGCGAGGGTGCTGACGCAACGACGACAGACTCGGCCGGAGGCAATCAAGCGTCCCGAGATGTGCGTGCTTTCAAGACCTTGTGCTTGTAGTAGGATGCGGAGGAGCAGCCCTTGGGAAGCATAATTGAGAAAACCAAGGCACACGGGTTCGCAAACAGCGCCAACGAGCTGAGGAGCGGCTGACAGCATATGAGACCACCGGCACACCCGACCATGAGGCACGGTGTACTGTAATGCGCCTGTGGCCGCTAACTTAAATGGCTGCCTGGCGCAAGGGCGACGGCTCTTGCGCGGCGCAGCATGCAGAGTCTCAGCTGGAGGAAAGTGTCAGCACCCACCCACCCTCGTCTGACCTGTCAGGTTGCTGCAGCTCGTTTAGCTCCGAGGCTGTGTCCTGGTTAAGCTTTCAGACGTACGGGCGTGGGCCCTTGCTGAAACAGAAAACAACGTCTGTGCCATTATCTATATTCTTTGCTTCATCTCGTATGGAGCTCGTTAGGAGCTCGCGTGGCTGACATCTCTTGAACGCGCCCAGGCAAACAATGTGTTGTTGGGAAAGCTTACACACACATACACACAACAGCATCTTCAGGACCTTCAGAGACTATGATCCGAAGAATAGCTATGAAGAGGGCATAACCTTCCGCGCCATCCATCATGACCTCGCTGGTACTTGAACGCTTGAATGATTGTTATTTTGTGAGACCGGCAACATACGAACCCTTGGTATTGCTGATGGGTTCCCTCGTGGTGGAGACTTCAGGATTCTAATAGTGCGGACCTGGACTGTCCGCAGGGAGACCTCTTTACCTTAGGTAAGCGCAAGCGGCCCCACCATTCCATCGTTGCGACATGACGAGCTCGTGCCCATCCATGCGGGATGCTGTGGTTGTCGCCGCATTTCCAAAGATATTTCACAACATCCGTTGCGCCTCACTGCCGCAACGAGGCTTGCCAAGATGGTGCGCATGGCCCTCTCCAACCATATCCTGACATCTTGCTGACTATGCGCGTTGCAGTTACCCTTAGGTCTTCTCAATGCCGCGCAAGGCCACCCGATGCTCGTCGAGCTCAAGAACGGCGAAACACTGAACGGCCACCTCGTCCAGTGCGACACCTGGATGAACCTCACCCTCAAAGAAGTCGTCCAGACAAGTCCAGTACGCGTGTATCCCGCCAGAGATAGCCATTGACGCGCAGTTTGTGCCGGTCGATTCACTGACACCCAGAACAGGAAGCCGACAAGTTCGTCCGCCTCCCCGAGGTATACGTCAAGGGCAACAACGTGAGTCTTTCAACTGGGTCAGAGTACTCGTGCACGTTCTGACGCAAGTGCACACTGCAGATCAAATACCTCCGCGTCCCCGACGAGATCATCGACCTGGTTAAGGAGCAACAACAGTCGCACGGCCAGCAGGGCGGATACAGAGGCGGAAGGGGAGGTGGGCGAGGTGATCACGGCGGCCGTGGCGGTGACCGAGGCGGGCGCGGTGGGCGCGGCCAGAGCCGAGGAAGGGGAAGGGGACGTGGCGGTGCAGCCTGAAGTGTTGCAAGTACGGTGGCGACTTAGGATGAACTTACCATCTGGAAGCCCTTCCATGACAAGCATGAGCACATCGCAAGACGGCACGGCAACACCGCCGGCACGGGGACTGCTCGATAATTGCGCTGGCGGACGTCTCTATGGGCAGCATTGATGTGTCACACTCAGCCCATGAATTATCTCTCACGCAGAAGACTGGAGGGCTCCGGTGTGAGAGCGAGGTTCCATGATGTGGAGAGCACTGCGTGGCATACCGCGGTACAATTTGCAGCTGCATTTTGGACAATTGCCAACATACCGCGGCGCCGGGTCTACCTGCTGACAGACCAGGACGAAACAGATTAAGCACTGAACATTTCAGCATGCTAGTATATCACCATATCATGCCACAAGATGATGCTAGTGCTCCGCTTGATCATGCTGTAGATTCTTTCAAGTGAGGCCAGCTGTTGATATATGGAACCAAAGCTTTCCCAATATCATGATCATGCAATGTTGGTTGGGCGAGCAAACACCACGAACTCATGGTGAACCGTCGAGATCGTGGTATTGTGGGCTTATCGATAGCTCCACGCTCTCCACGTGCGGCTGCCGGCACTCACCATCCCACGTAGCCAGGACCGATAATACTCGGCGCGTCAGGTCTTTCTGCGCCTAACAGTGCACAATCCCGGCCGAGCCAAATGATGGGAAGCCCGCTTGTCTACGATGGGCTTTGGCGGTGTCTCTGCCCCTCTGTGGGCTTGAAGACGCTCACCAAGGCCCTACGGCGCCCTCGAGTACAGCCGATCGCTGCTGTGCACCGAGCCACTTTTCGCGATCACTTCCAGCGGCGGCACACCAGCACCGGCATCTCGAGCAAGCGTGATCCAGCAGAATCCACCGACTCCGGATCCAGTCATTTCTCTCGAACGCGCCGACAATACCTGGACCGAGCGGACAAGCGCGCACCATGGCTCAACAAACTGTTGTCCATCAGGCCCGACGCTCCGCCGGAGCAGCTCGACGGGTTCTCGACACAGCATATATACGATGCGCTGAAAGAGCTACAGAACATGGAGGGAAGCTATCGTACGATAGTTACACTGGTGGAGTTCCTCATTAGGGTACGGAAGGAGGCGCCCAATGCGTTGCTCTACGAGGCCCTCATTCGTGCCAATGTCGACCCGTTCCTGGGCTCGGCCAGAGTCGCAAAGGCATTGTTGACGGAGATGTCGAATGCTGGCATCTCCACAACTCCCGCAGTCTACAATGCGGTTCTTCAGGTTCGTCCTTTCCAAGAATTGCTCTGTGCTGCCAAAGATCTTCGCTCAATTCTTGACACCCCGACAGGTCACAGCGATTCATCCCGACTATATCCTCCGCTCCAGAGCACTCCTCGATATGAAGCATCGGTGGTACAACCTCACCCTCGACGATCGTATCAGCGTCATTCTCGGGCTATTACGTGACGGGCAATATGAGCTCGCGCTGGAGAATTTGGAGGAGCTGTCGAAGAGTCCCGTCATTATCCCGCCCTGGTTGTTCAGCATCTTCCTGGTCAAGTTTGGCGAGCTCGGCTTCCACACCGAGAGCTTCCAGCTGCTGCAGCACGCAGTCAAGATCCATAATGCACAGCGCTCCCTACTTTCGTGGGCTTTCCTACTGGACGTGTACAGCAGAGATGGCTTCTACGCAGGCATCACGTACATTTGGGAGAGGATGGTTGCGCCAGGCCGATTGAGCCCCTCAGATGGCGTTGTTCTGCAGGTTCTCAATGCTGCATCGCGGCAAGGCGACGTAGGACTTGCAACAACTGCCGTTCAGTTATTGACAGAACGAGGCCGCAAGCTCGGGATGCACCACTATGAAGCTCTAATGGAGGCGAGCCTCAAGCGCAATGACCTGGAGAAGGCACTCACCGTAACATGCCTCATGAGCGGCGAGGGTCTCGCCGTCGATGCGTCCAGCACCAGGCCCATCTTCCTCACCCTGCAGGATTCAGAGACGGACACGGATCGGGCTCTGCAAATTCTCGGCAAGCTTCGTGCCCAGAGAAGCGTTCCAATCGCGTCATTCAATGTCGTTCTCGAGGCTATCATCTCCCAGCGGGGTTTCCAGGCCGCGTTGGACGTGTATCGTTCGGTGCGGAATTTCAGCTCAGACCTGCCGGACCTGAGGACATTCCACATCCTGCTTAGCCGCTGCACCAAGGAGACTTCGCGGAACTTCATCGTTGCCGAAATGGAGTCTTTCTCCGTAAAGCCGAATCGGGCCACATACAACCGGCTGATCCGCATCAGTGCGCGACAGCAGAACTACGAGGCAGCCTTCCGGTATCTTCAAGACATCAGGGAGCTGCGCAAGCCGTCGGAGTCGCTCAGTAACGGGCCTTGGATGGGCCGGGCGACGGCTCTTGAACTGATCAAACGCTGCATTCAGAATCACGACCCTCGGGCGCAGGAGCTGCTCGAGGAGAGCCGGGCTCGAGGGATGGGGCTGGACGCGGAGCTCGAGCAGTTCGTCTCTGGCTTCCAGGGCAATCTGGGTGGTGATGCAAGCGTTGGCACACAGGACCCTGCATCTATCGAGGCTGTAGGCCGGGCCCATTCCTTAGCTCACAGGGACCCTGGGACGTTGCGTGCGTTGAGCGCAGTGGCCTGAGTACCGTGGCCATATGTTATTTTCTGCGCAAAAGGAAATCCTCGCGGAGTCTTGTACACGTCAGGCCGTAGAAGACCTTCGTATCTACCGAATGCTCAAAACCTGAGACTTCATGCTAGCCTTGTTTCGTAATCAGTTTGCGGCCATGTGCCCAAGTCCAATCGTGAGGGGGACGCAAGCTCTTGAGATTTTTTAGTCTTTACAGCGGCCTGTGAACAAGTTGGAGCGACTCATGCAGCTCGGACGCAGCTCCGATTCCTGACAAGATGACAAAACCAAGATTACGAAAGCACAGCAGTCGTGATGTGACGTGCTCAAACCCAAAAAAAGAACGGCACCACTTAGGTATGTCCAGGGCCTCAAGGTGCCCCAGAGCCCCCACCGCCCCAACAAGCGCCCGAAGTGGAGAACCCTGTTTTGGGAGAACGAGCCTTGCAATTATTAAGCTCGGAGGAATACAAATGGGCAAAAAGTTGGGCCAGAACGTTGATTTGCTTCTGCGTCTTGGCTCATCAGATCACCCTCGTGTATTCTTTCTCTTTCTTACGAGGCCTTACGTGGGGGAAAGGGAGAAGGAGGCAGAGACGGGACGTTCCGTAGGAGCTGCTTCCTGGTCTCCCTGCGGCCTGCCCCGGTCGTCAAAGCACATTTGATAATTCTGGGAAAGGAGGATACATTCGTACATACGCCTTGCTGGATATGGCACATGCCGAAGCATCTCTGGCGAGCCACTTGGCACTCTACAATATCATCGCGAGAGACAGCCCTCAAACACCACAATCTGCGGGGGAAAAAGGATTTCGGATGATGTGTGGTGGCGAGGACAGCAGCTTAAGCTGACCATGACTCCTCGCCGCATCCGGACTTAAAGGATATATGCAGCATATTTGGCGGTCGAGAGTTCCGGTCGAGAAGATGGCTTCTTTTCTTATTTCCTCGCCGATTAGGTTGGCGTTAAGATAAGATATTGGGGAGGGTTTGCGTCATTGGATCGCGTGGTATCAGGACGCAGCCATGTCTGGGCTCGAAAACAACCATACGAAGGGCCCTTGCAGCTTGTGGGCGTGACTCAGGCCGGGCCAAAAGCCTGCCACGTTCCATAACGTCAGCTTCCGTTACCTTGGGTTCTGTGATTGGCCAAGATGGCTTTCGAGGGTGCTGTCTTCAGCGACCGAGCGGTATGACAGAATAAGTCGGACGCTCATACTGATCTCTGACGGTACCGGATCAGGATTCTTTTTTGTCCACCGCCTGGCAGCGTGAATCTCTGTCAGCAAGCAAGCAACGTGGGCGTGGTCCCAGCTGGGACATGATGGCAGGGGGGGGCTTAAAAACTGGGACCCCCTTGCCAGTAAGGTGTGCCCTATGAGGCCCTCCAGGGCTAGTTTGGTGCAGATCGACAGCACTCTGGCGGTGGCAGCTTTGTAATCGCTCCCCCCCCGGCAGTTAAAGCCGGTGCGCACCAGTGCTTGGCCCGTATCCCACTCTCGTGGCGCCTGGCAATGGGCAATTATCCCACCCGCGCCAAGCTCTCTTCTGCTTAACTCCATCGAGTTCCAGGGCCCTCCACGTCTCGAGTCCCCCGTGCCGATGGCTTGGCATGCGGCTCTAGCTGCCCGCGTCCAGGGCCCTGTCCCAATTACCAATGGCGGACCACTGCCATCATCTGTGATCTCCCGCCTGGCACTTTGCGGCTGCAGCACGCCATCCTGTCGGTGGGTGCAGACTGCCTGACATATCAAAATATGCACGGTCCTGGTTTGAAATCCGGTGCAACTCCATGCCGTGGAATCAGCACGCATTTGGCGATGCCAAGCAGACAGTCTCGTTCTCGTCGCTGGCAAGATGCATATAAGACATGTCCATCCCATCTGTCCTGTCCCATCGTCTAAAACAGCATCTTCAATACCAAGCCTTGACAGCATTGCCATAACCTGCAAACCCTTCCATTGCACCGGCAACAACAAGCAAGTGCCTTCTGTGTACAGTCCTTCCCATAAACACACCACACCACGGCAGCCACCATCGACTTAGACAGATAACAACAACAATGTCGGCTTGGTTCCGCGAGACAGCCGCGGGAAAGGCGATTCGCCTGCTCTCGGGCAACAAGTATCTGCAGTATCCCGAGGAGAAGCCCGACTTTGAGTTCCCAGCAGAATGGCGCCACATCATCGAAGAGAAGACGACGCCTGCTTCAAGGACTTCCCTCTCAGAGCAGTCACGGCCTGCCAGCTTGTCTGACGCACGCGACGAGGAGAACCAGCGCGAGAAAGCCAGTGACATCGAGGGCGAAGCGTCGTCACAAGACGGGGATGTCATCATGCCGGCAATCACACAGACAAAGTCCATCCCCATTGCTCCCCGCAAGACAGCAGACGGCCACATCTTGGTTGACTGGTAAGGGATATTTGTAGATTGCTGTAGGGAATGGCCCTCGGCTGACAGTCATCAACACAGGTATCGTACGGATGACGAGGAGAATCCATACAACTGGTCTCGAGGCACGAGGATCATGGTCTCCAGCATCATTGGCTTCTACACATTCATCGTCTACCTTAGTTCAGCCATGTAAGTCATTATTCCGACCGTCACAGGACGGCTTTCTCCTCACCAGCCGACCAATCAACTTACACGATCGGGCGCAGATACACTCCTAGTATTGAAGGCGTAATGGAAGTATTCCACGTCAACATCACCCAGTCATCTCTCGGCCTCGCCCTGTTCGTCCTTGGCTACGGCATCGGTCCTCTGATCTTCTCGCCGCTCAGCGAACTGCCAAACATTGGCCGAAACCCGGTGTACATCATCACCATGTTCCTCTTCGTCATTGTCTCGATCCCGACCGCGCTCGCCTCCAGCTTCGAGGGCCTGATGGTTGCCCGTTTCTTTCAGGGGCTTTTCGGCTCACCCTGCTTGGCCTCGGGCGCCGCCACGATGGGCGACATGTTCGGCATGAAGACGCTTCCTTACGCCCTGGTTGGCTGGGTTTCTTCCGCCTACTGTGGCCCAGCTCTCGGCCCGCTTCTTGCTGGTTACTCCGTCCCCGCAATGGGCTGGCGCTGGTCTCTCCTCGAGATCATCTGGGGTGCTAGTCCCATCTTTTTGGCCATGCTGTTTCTCCTCCCCGAGACATCGACCCCGGCGCTGCTGTACAACCGCGCCACCCGCCTTCGTAAGATCACGGGCGACGCCCGGTTCATGTCCCAAGACGAGTTGAACCGGCGCGGTCTCACAGGCAAGGAGATCCTTGTCGACGCCATCATCAAGCCTCTCGAGATCACCATCAAGGATCCGGCCGTCCTGTTTGTCCAGGTCTACACGGCCATCGTGTACGGCATCTACGTAAGTCTACGAGACGTGTTATAGACACGCCACCACACGACGAAGCCACGGGCTTATGGCTAACATTTGAAACCCAACAGTACTCCTTCTTCGAGGTCTTCCCGCTGGTCTTCCCCGTCTACTACGGCATGTCGCTGGGTCAAGTGGGCCTCGTCTTTCTGTGCATACTCGTCTCCTGCCTCATCGGCGTGGCGATATACGTGGTGTACATCTACTTTTACATGAACCCGCTGATGGACCGGCTCGCCCCTGCCGAGCCACGACACGAGATCCGGCTGGTGCCCGCCCTCTTTGCCGCCTTTGGCCCCACGATCGGCCTCTTCATCTTTGCCTGGACCGCGTCCCCAGACATCCACTGGATCGCGCCCACGATCGGCATCACCGTCTACGGCGCCGCCGCCTTTGTCGTCATGCAGTGCATCTTCGTCTACGTCCCGCTCAGCTACCCCCAGTACGCGGCCAGCCTGTTCGCCGCCAACGACTTCTTCCGCAGCGCGTCCGCATTCGCGAGCATCCTCTACGCGGGCTCCCTGTTTGGCAACCTCGGCGTGGCCAGGGGCGTCACGCTCCTCGCCGGCCTGAGCGTCATTGGTATTGTCGGCATCTGGCTGCTGTACTACACTGGCGAGCGGCTGCGGCGTCGCAGCAAGTTTGCTGTGTACGCTGCCGAGTAAGATGATGAGTCTACGTTTCTGAAACAGGCAATCGTCGAGTAGTTGTCGCCTTATTAGCGATGAGGTGGGGTCGGGGGGAGGGGATTGGTGATAGAGAGCAAGCCTTCAAAGAGAAGCGGGATTCACCCTGAGGATGAGTCTGTCAATACCCAAACTTATGCAGGAGGGTTTGCGCTGGCATAGACATCACTGCATTGTAGCATTTTACGGAGTTGGCCGACTGGAGGACAGGTAATAGGAGGAGCTCACTCAAGACACATAGACGGATACCCAAAGAAAAGAGATAATAACTAAGATCATGAACGATGACTGCTCAATGTTGACTGGTCTCAGTGAAGACATGGTGGAGAATCCGTATCTTGCCTGCACTGCCTCGGATATCTTGATTGGTCGGACCCTGCGACGAGGGTCCACACATGATGTGCCTTCCCAGGCGCTGTCACTGAGCGGGCACCCTGGAAGCCCCCCCGAAAAGTCATTACGCCATGGGCAAATTCTGAATATACTCTGTTGACAGAAAGACGGTAAAGGCGGTGACACTTGGGAATGGCGTCTCCGCAGCTCCGCAGCTCAAGATCAAAACCCCAAAATGACTGAGAAAGAATAGGTGAAAAGTGCAAGTCTGAGAGCAATGCCATCCTCAATCTAGTCGCCAATACCACAAAGGAACCGCCACGTCCGTCATTCAAGCAAAGCTGGCAATCACATGCCCAAGGAAAAATCGCGGTTTGAGTCCTTAATCAGAGACCGCATGGGCATTTGTCAGCAGCACAGAAATAGCCGTCTGACTTGCGTTGTGCTTATTCTGCTCAATTTTCAACGGTGAGGAGGGGGGGGGCGTTGTGCACCCGCCCCCAAAGACATTTCTTCTCCGCTGTCTGCGTTCCTTAGGCGGCGTTAATGGTGTATCGAGATGTAGGGCGAAGAATGCTCGAGAAAAAAGACCTACCATGTCACGAGACAGGCAGCTGGGTGGTAAAGACATGGAAAAGGAGAGAGAGAGAGAGAGAGGCATCAGCCTGGATTTGATAACAGAGGATAAGCAAATGGACTCCCTCTTACCTGCATAAGCCGGGGGATACATACGCTGGCAACACCTTGACTAAACAATCAATGGGCTCTCCGTGTTTTGTGACACTAGTCGAGAAGCACGTCCGACCTGGTTGTTCTTTCCATTTCCCCTCTTTTCTTCTTCTCCCCTTTGAAGACGGGGACACATACAATCCCAGGGACATAGCCAGGATTGTGTCATTGTATGTGTTGGCAGCCGGAAATCCCCAAGCCTACTGCATATGGCGGAACAGTTGGGGCCGCAACATAGCACGTTCGGCCCGAGGCCGGGCATCCCCTCCTGCATCACAACATTCACCGGAGGGGATGATAACGATGAATGGCCAAGCCCTGCTGATGAGAGTGGCTGAAGCAGACAACAAGGCTACTTTTTGAACACCAAGGGGATTTCGGGAGCGGGGCATGTAGCGAATCGGAACAGACTCGGCCGAGGGCGTATCGAATGAGGAATTGCATGCATACTCGCAATGATAAGCTGAGTCCATCTGTATCGTGGCTGCCTGGCGTCAAGCGGTTCAAATTGTCCCGGCTGATCAAGATGGCCTTGTTGTGGAGGGCGTGACTCTTGATGGTACCTCTCTTCCTCCAATGTGATACGTCCTTTGGGGGAGAACATACACTAGGCATGTCGTGCAAGAGCGCCCTCTCGAGCCACCTTGTGTTGGTTGGGCCGCCTTGTTCACACGATCCCTGTGCCACAACATGGAGGCCACACTCCGAGAGGTTGCACACGCAAAGACCTCTCACTCAGGGGCTGCGTGCCGCATCGAGGATGCACGGCGTGCAGCTCGCCCTTTCAGATCCCGGCACTAGCGAACCATCTCCAGCGCCTCCCTGCCGGAGCTACGTGCACCAGGCTGCTTTGGGCTCGCCCTGCCGCTTGCCCAAGAGTGTTGCGAGCCGCGCAAGGTTTTCCCGCTTGCCTCGGCGGGGAGGACTGGTCCTGGTCCGCCTCGAGCAATTCTCGAGGGAGGTCCCGGGGGCCCACTCCCGGCCCGAGAGTCGGCATGCCGCACCGGGCAGGCTCCGGGGTCGGCAAGAGCTCTGATTCGTCGGAATCTCTAGCGAACACGGCGTCCGACCTGGCCTTGGCCGAGTTGGAGGTGCTTTCGTTCTGACTTGTGCTTCCCCTACGGTGCGGACGCAGCTGAGCTTCGTAAGCATCGTGCTTGGGGCAATCCATCGGGACGTTTCAAGGTACGCCTTCTTTGCCAGCCAACGCCCTCGTGCAATCGACAAGCATCGCGCGGCCAGTCTTGCCAGTTTCGGGAGCGAAGCCTGTGGCGGGAAGCAGCCAGTCCACTCTTGCACGCTAGGCTTTGTGAGGTGGCTTTGCCCCACAAGCGCTTGGTCAATTCGAGCGAAATTGACCAGGAATGGGCGCCACGCCTGCGTCAGGAGCCATATGACTTTCTGTCGTTGTTGTTGCTGCCGTGTCAGCTTCGGGCCGAGGGCTGTCGACTCTTGTTTCTGGTCACTTGGAGCTCCGAGATAGGAGCGGTCAGATCGTCCTGCCCCAAACCGGGGAGCCCAACTCCCAAAGGCCAGCAAGGGGGTATATAACCCGGTGGTGCCCGCGAACCTTAATCGTAACCTGCCTTGTTGCACTGTCTAGGAGCACGTCGCCCTCCCCGTAACGACACAAGACAAACCTCCATCATGACTGCTTCGCACGGCTCGACAAGCAACGGAGAGCACCTCCCCTGCGACAAGGTGAAGAAAGAGTCTACCGCAGTCTTGTCGCGAGATCTTCGGGTACAATTCCCACGCATTGTTGGCAGCAGCGGAAACTTTCTCTCGCTCAACGATGGCCGCAAGATCCTCGATGCTTCTGGGGGCGCAGCAGTTGCTTGCATCGGCCACGGCGACACGCGTGTCCACAAAGCAATGCTCGCCCAGCTGAGCGAGGTATCTTACTGTGCCACAACCTTCTACTCCACCGAGGCATACGAGAATTTGTGCAGAGAGCTTGTGCAGACAACGAAAGGCCACATGAGCCGTGCCTACATCGTCAACTCCGGTAAGCCTGGCCCTTGTATCGAGTTCAGCATGGCTAGAGAGCTGACAAGGTGACAGGTTCTGAGGCCATGGAGGCGGCCATGAAACTCGCCAGACAGTACTTCTTGGAGAAGGCCTCCCCCGAACCCCAGCGGACCAAATTTATTGCCAGATTGTCAAGTTACCATGGCACCACCCTTGGAGCACTTTCACTTGGTGGGCATGCTGGACGTCGAGCAAAGTTTGAGCCGATGCTGCTGGAAGGGACCTCCAGGGTTTCACCCTGTTTTCCATATCGATGCCAAGCGGAAGGGGAGGACGACGAGGCGTTTGTCACGAGGCTTGCAGATGAGCTAGACCGGGAATTCCAGAGAGTTGGCCCGGATTCCGTTTGCGCATTCGTGGCAGAGCCGGTCGTTGGTGCGGTAAGCAGTGTAACGCTTGGACTGTGTTGGGATTGCAGCACTGACTGAGACGGGTAGGCCCTCGGATGCGTCCCCGCAGTTCCGGGCTACTTCCAAGCGATGCGTGACGTCTGCGACAAGCACGGGGCGCTCCTCATCTTGGACGAGGTCATGTGCGGTATGGGCCGCACGGGAACAATGCACGCATGGGAGCAAGAGGGCGTCGTCCCGGACATACAAACTCTTGGCAAATGCCTTGGTGGTGGCTACCAGCCCATTGCAGGTGTCCTTGTCGGCAAGAAAGTGGCGCACGCTTTGGAACAAGGCACTGGGTAGGTTGATTGCGGCCCATGAGCTTCACCGAGTCCATGCTATGGCTGACCAGGAAATGCAACGCAGAGTCTTCGTGCACGGCCACACGTATCAGGGCCACCCGGTTGCGTGCTCCGCCGCGCTGGAGGTCATGAAAATCATGCAGACGGAGAAATTGGTGTCAAATGTGTCTGCAATGGGGGCTCTCTTGTCGAAACGCCTGCAAGAGCAATTGGCAGCTCATCCGAATGTGGGTAACATACGTGGCCGTGGTCTCTTCTGGGGTATCGAGTTCGTCGTCGACAAGGCCACAAAGGAGCCATTCCCTGCCAATGCCGCCATCGCGATGAGGCTTTCCGAGCTTGGCCTTCTTGACCCGTACAATATTGCCGTGTACCCTGGGTCGGGAACTGTTGATGGCGTCCAGGGCGATCATATCATTGTGTCGCCGCCGTACAACATTACAGCCGAGGATGTCGAGCTCATTGCCGGCAAAGTCAGGCGTCTGATTGAGAACTTCTTCGCGAAGGAGTCCAGTTGATTCATGCGCGTTCGGCTATGGTAAGAGGAATTGGAAATGGCAGTATAAGAAGACCAGATTGCTGGTAGGAATGCGTAGCACGTTTGATTATCTGGTCTTCGAAGGTTGATGAGTGTCATGATCGAATTGGCGGGAAGGCCAATTACAATAGAAAGAACATATAATGGAAATTGACCGGCGTTCAGAGCCTCGTTGCTGAATAGAGCACCCTGTGGCTTTTAGTCGCTCTGGGTTGTTATTGTTGGCATGAGCAATGCGGAGGATTGACGGCCCAGGCCGTGGATTGGGTCTTGCACAGTGTCGTGAGTGCGTCAGCTATTTTGGACACGTTGCTCGGAATTCCCCTGCAGGGACTGTACTCCACCTCCACAGCGCAAGAGCAGGCCCCACCACGACTCCTGTCCTCTTGGGATACGTCAAGCTACATGTTGCTGTGAACAACCGGACGCGACAGCTCTATCATGGCGACAATGGCGGTCGGGCTCGCCAACGGGCGGCATGCTGCCGACGAGGAGGCCCGCGCCGAGGTCGACGTCCTCAACTCGCGTCTCGACAAGACGACCCAATTGTCCAAGAAGATACAGGCTTGCCTCGGCCGGCTCGAGGCCACCGGCAAGAGCGTTCGCGATGTATCCGGACCTCTTAACGGAGAAACCAAGAAGCTCCAGGTCTTGGGGAACAGTACGTCTATAAGTCCTCAAGACTGACGGTAATCCTCGATTGACCGGCTTATGCTCTTAGATATCGATTCTGTCATTGCAGCCATCGAGAAGCTCCGCCAACCCGCCGAGAACAAGAATGATGAAGAAGCCATTATTCGACAAGGCCCCGAGAAAGCAGGCTTGTCGATGTACCTCAACTCGATCAAGCGGCTGAACAAAGCCCTGGCCGATATGAAGGCCTCGAATCTTCGTGCCAACCGAGATACCATGGCCGACCTGCAGCGTCTCATCAAGTCCGGCAACACCCAACTCGAAGGTGCATTCGACAAGGTCCTGCGCGCACAGACACCGCGATCTATCGAGCCTCTGAACTTCATCACCAAGAACAATCCATTCCCGCTCATCTCACGGGACCCTGTTGGTCAGCTAGGGCTCATGAATGCCTACGTGTCAGCCAACACGGCAGGCGAGAACCCCCTCGTTAAGATCTATGCCGAGATCAGAGGCCCATACCTCTCGCAGAGCTTAGTAAATCTGGCATATGCTAGCGGGAACACTGCGCGGAAGAAGACTGCCGATGCGATATACAAGTCTGGTACAAATGGCATCGGCATGTATGCTCAAGCCATGGAGGGGCTGCTCGTGGCTGAGTACGAGAACATATGTGGCATTTTTACCAGGCAGGATTGGGGACCGGCATTCCAGACAACAAGCCAGTCGCCACTAGCAGAGCTCGCTCGCACCGTACGAGAGCTCAACAACCACATCAAAAGCCACCTGACGACCGACTGTTACCTTGCATACGAGGTTGTTGAGATCATGTCAAGCCTATCGAATAACCTGGAAACCCGGACCGGGGAACTCAAGGCCACCTTGGGCGCTGCACTGCGACCTGTTCGAGACACAGCCAAGGCATCTCTGGGCGAGCTCTTGGAGGAGACGAAGCGAAAAGTGTCCGCCATCCAGGCGCTTCCTTCGGATGGCGCCCCATTACCCGTGGCTTCCGAGACCATGACGCGTCTGCAGACCATGGTAGAATTCCTCCGGCCCATCTCGAGCATCATGATCTCACTCGGCGATGGTGGATGGAAGTCAGGCGCAGCCGCGGCAAGCAGCACTGATGCAATCCCAAGTCTCTCCTCCTTTGACATTGGCGCCGATGGAAAAGAGATCTTTGCCCACTACTGCACGGACTCCATAGACGCACTGATGCTGGCTCTGGAGCAGAAAGCCAGAGTGCTGCTCAAGGGCAAATCTGTACTGGGCGTCTTCCTCGCGAACAACGTCACAATCATAGAGCGCATGATTCGAGACTCTGATCTGAATCCCCTGCTTGAAGGCAAGCTCGGCTCCCTGGAGGGCTGGCGCAAAAAGGCGAAGGCGCTCTACTCGGAAGCTTGCAAGGACGTTTCTATGCATCTGTTTGATGTCATTCACACCAACAGGGCTCAGAGGCCTCCGTCTGGATCTATCGAGTCGGCTTCGATCGTGAAGAGTCTCAACAGCAAGGATAAAGAGAGCATCAAAAACAAGTTCCAGACTTTCAACACGAGCTTTGATGAGATTGTGGCTCGTCACAAGACGTATAGCATGGAGAAGGAGGTGCGGCTGATGTTCGCAAGGGACATGCAACAGATCCTGGAACCTCTGTATTGTCGTTTCTGGGACCGGTACCACGAAATCGACAAAGGCAAAGGCAAATATGTCAAGTACTCGAAGTCCTCAATCGCTGCTGTTTTCCTGACTCTATATTGAGCCAGCACCTCGACGCCTGCATCGCGGCCATCAGGATACGAATAGGGGCCGGTGAATCCGCGCGGAACCCTCGTGTTTCTGGGTCGACTCTACCTGGTCTGTGGCGGACGCTTATCGCTCGTCTGACTCTTGCATGCAGGAGCACTGGCAGGGAACATCCTACCAGCACACCACCTGTGAGCGAACGCTCACCTGACTAGGCCCATGGTCGACATATCCTCAGGGTTGCTCTCAATGCTTCAATGCTTATGTAGCAGCCGGAAAACTGCCCGATTCCCAAGCCACAAGCTGATGGCCAGCCTGGCAATCGACCAGTCAGTGTCCAGTATAATGTCGTACTCGGGAAGGCGAAAGACGGGTTTATCCGCTCAAGAGCTCGTCAGTATGCTTTGAACACATGATCAGGCTTGGTCAGAATACATTTGGCACCCGCAGCATGCGTATGCATACATCCTTGCGGAGTACGTCGCCCATTCGACAGCATAGCCCGAGCAACAGTGTGCAGTAGGACAGGAGAAGGTCAGCCATGGTGGGCGAGCAGCACCCTTTTGGGGTCATCTGCGTCGTTTGTGCATTAGTGGCATGCCGTGTGGTGGATAGTCCGGGTCAGGCCATGGAGGCACACAGACTCAACATGTAGGAGGGCGCGGCTCATGACTTGAGTCTTGTCTAGCCTGACTTTGCCTCGAACAACCGAGACGGTCGTGGAAACGAGACGCCGCGCTGATTGCAGGACTACCTCAATTGTACTGACTGCAATCAGTGTATATCTACTTTTTGCCTACGATACCCAAGAATACGATTGAACGAGACATTACGTATACTGAGTGCCGACCTTTTAGTAGCCGTATTGAGCAAGAACGATTGCCCGAGGGTAGGTGATATATATACAATGTTCGAGCCATCGACGTGGCTTTCGTGAGCACAAACTGCGATCCTGTGTTTCTTATACCAGCTCCAAAATCCTACAAGTAATGGCACGAAACAATAGGCATGTCAACAACGGATTGGCGCCTTTTATTCCGCTGTGATATTTCTTTCCAACGGGTTCACTATTTGCCGACGACCAGGGTCTGCTTGTACCGATACTTCTGCTTCCTAATTTCCGGACCGATCTCTCAATTCTGTATCATGGACGACCTATTCCTGAGTTGGTGCTAGTCTCGGGCCACGCCACCCTTATTGGAGTGTGCTGCATGCATCGTATGCCTCCAAATTAGCATTATCTTTCAACAGCATGTGTGCGGGGGGGAACCTAGCTGATGTTTGACATCCTGACATGGCCCGGACCGTAGCGTAATTTCCGACTACTTTCCTGTCATCCCGTTCCAACAAGCCTGTCGCAGGCTCTCACTTGCCAGTCTCGGCAATGCCAATCAACCGAACGAACGTCTCGCACCGGATCTCCAGCCAACCGAGACTGCAGATTGAGTCTCATCAAGAACTCCACGACAAAGACTGGCCGTTGAAGTTACACTGCGTCCGGAACCCTCGCTGTCTGTCCTCCAGGGTTTGTGGCTTGACTACCCCCTTGCCGAGAATGTACCCTGATTTCCAAGGGCCAACAACTAGGGTACACCTCGGCAACAACACAGTCAAACATGAACCCCCATCCCAGTTCTTCGGCATGCACAAAGAGGCCTTGTCGCTGCGGCGTCGCACCCCGGCCTCCGATCTTCCCTGAATGGCACCTGCGACTGGTCTTGGAGGCGGACAGATTTCCGGACTGCATCTCACGGGGAGTGCGAACTCGATATCGATGCTCTTTAGCATTGGAATACGATCCGACTTGTCATCATCACGAACCTCGTCCTGACAGATCTTCCTTCGCACCGGCTGCTGTTGCAACGGCCCAAACGCGCTGATCGGTAAGTTCAAGAGAGCCCGTGCTTTATACAGAATTATGCAAGGTGTTTGTGTCATGTTCACGCGAAGACATTCCCATGTTGCAACTGCCATCCCCGACAAAAACACTCCTGCATATACCTCGCGTGTTGCTTCGTCAGCTCTGACACCGCGTCACCTCGATTCAGTGATCGTATGATTGTTGGCCTCGGCGCCTCCTTGGTTGTTGAGAAAGACAGACACTGGCGCAATGGTCGCGACGGCAAATACCGCACTGACCTCAGACTCACCCTGGCACAGGTCCGGTGCGCGCGGGATCTCGATCTGGTTCTCGCCGTTGGGGGGATGCGCTGGTCTGTTTGCTCCACGCGTGATATCTGAGCGTTCCCGGCCTTCAGCTCCCGCTTCGCTCCTTCGGCAGGCCTCCTGCTTGCTGTTCACCGAAAATGGCGATACTGGTTTTGACCAGAGCCTCGACGCCTCACACCTACAGACGCACTGTACTTGCAGCCTCTCCCAGCATGGCAGGGGCCCGTGTGGGATGAGAGCATGGGCAAGTGACACAAGATATGCTGGCAACTCCATGCTGTGTAACGCGACAACTTTCGCCCGCCCATTGCGGAACCCTCCCCCCGTCTTTCCCATCACTAAGAGGCAACAGTAATGTGTGAATTTTTCTTTTACCGAGCTTACCGGGCCCCCTTAGCATCTCTCAGCTTTGGTACCTCGCGGCTTTTCAAGAGGTTCGGTGAACCATCAAGCTACCGATGTCGTCAACCCTGTAGACGAAAATGTGCCCTGTCTGTGTATGGACCAACAAAGAAAGTTACGGAGCTACCCCAAAAGCCTACCTCAACGTAGCCATGGCCAGCATCAGGCCCCTGAGCATTAACTTATGCCCTTGCTGCCTCCAAGGCGCTACTGTCACGCGGTGCCTCGAACAAGGGGGGACCCCCCCGATGATCTGTGTGCCCTTGTCCTGCGGAAACAAAACACACCAGCCCTACATACCCAACCCAGGGGGGACGACCAGCCAGGACGAACGAGTCGCGGAGCTTCCCGCGCAGGACGGGCGGGCGGGAAGAGAGGCTGGGACGTCCCAGCTAGCTCGGCCGGATGACGGGCCTCGCATTTTGGAGAACCACGCAAGGCTGCGCCCCCTAGCTGCTGCTGCTGTAGCTGCTGCTTCTGCTTCTGCAGCACTGCACAGCACTGCAAGGCTAATGCGTGAGCTTTGCCGCTTTCTCTTGCTTCTGCAGGAACACCCCCCGCGCGCGCGGAATCCTTGGCCCGGACGTGTGCCGTACAAGGTAGTTATCCGAGCCCGACAACAGGCCGCGTGGTGAGGAGCTATCGCGAGAGCAGTCAGTGGTTAGTCTCCCCCCTCTGACTGCTAGCTCTAGGCCACCTAGCCGGCAGAGGACGAGGACACACACACACACACGGGGGGGGGGGGGGGGGGGCATGGCGAGGCGAGGCTGGCAAGGCTCCAGCAGTCTTTCACCTCTCACCATCATGCAGCAACGAGCATGGGATGCTTGTCTTGCTCCTCCTGTACTGTACACGTACGCACGCACGCGGCGGTACTGGCTGTCAGCAAGTGCACAAGTGTCGGCCAGCATGCGGACAATGACCTCGGTCGACTGTCAACAGGCAGGCAGGCAGGCAGGCAGACTGGCACTGCACTCGACATCTGTTCTCGCCATCCCTTCACCATGGACCGCCTTTGCAGCAGCCCATGCGTGGCCAAAACATCCAGACAGCAAGCACAACACCAGTTCTGAAGCTCTCTCTCCGAAAAAGAGGAAGCGCCTGCTCACACGAGCAGGACCGACAGGACAAACCGGTCTCGTTTCAGCAACACAATTTATTTTGCTTTTTCCACCACCACCACCAAAGTCCACGGCAAGTTCCATCAGGCTCCTTACCTGGGCGGGACAAATAATCCCCCTTCCTCCTCCGACCTCCCCATCTCGTCCGTGTCCATCGGCCGAGACTCACGTCGCACACGGCCGAGTGAGTGTACATTGTCGCGTGCTGTAACTACCTTCACTCCCCCCTCCTTTCTCATGCTCTCGCCCTCCCCTGGTGCTCTCTTCTCATTATCAAATTGTCATAATATATATATATGTCCAATTTCAAAGTACTGTACCTGTGGCGGCCGCCTCGCGGAGCTTCCCCTCCTAGTGCGACACATCACTGCGACCCCCGCGTGTCAGCCGGCATATGTGTAAAAGGCAGAGGGAGAGAGACGAGAGAGAGGGATAGGGACAACAAAACAGAGCACACCCGTGCTGTCGCCCAGGTCCTGTGACCGTTGCCCCCGTGCTGTAAGGAACCGTGTCCAGCACGGCAAATGCTTACACCTCCCTGCCTGCCTGGTTGCCTGCCACGTCCTCCGTGGGGGCCTCTCGCTTCCCTTCCTTGCCGGCACCGTAATTTCGCTTTTGCTCTGGTTCTGCAGGGAGGACGCCGGAGTACCGAAGATGACCGAAGATATTCAGTGTAGGCGTGTGCGTGGGCATTTCGAGATCCTTCACTGGGACTGGGACTTCTCCTATGGTTGATGGATCGGGGGAGTCGTGCGCATGGGCGTATCAGGCCCGCTGCTGGCTGCGGGGCTTTCGAATCCTCCTCTCTCGCCTGGGACAGCAGCCTGCTGTGCCCGGAACCAGTAGGACATCTCCCGTATGTGTAGCAAGTCATCTGTATAATCTGCTGCCTTGGCAGGTGACGAGCAGCTTATCCGTTACCAATGTTGCTGGCGGTTGGCCTCATGATCGAAATGTGGTAGCATCAGTTATACACATTCAGGGAATTATGGACATGGCTGTTTGTGAAGTGAAGACAGCCATCAATCCAGTTCACAGCAAAGGAACAGCATGAAAATGCCAAGGTACTCTGAAGTCGTTGCAATGCGTCGCATTGTGCTCATGGTCCAAGTGACCCCCTATGTTACATGCGTCCTTGTTGGACAAAAATAAACGCCTACATGATGGTATCTCTCGCATAATAAGGACAAAGTCAACTGGGATCCGGAAGAAGGAAAACCGAAGCCTAACTGAAATCAAAAGGCAAGAAAGACAGCCGAGGCTGTTCGAGACAAAGAGTGCTTGCGAGGATCGTGGGCGGGTTTGTCCAGGGACAAGGACCGCCCCACGATCCAAGTGCGAGAAGAAGATAAATAGTAACGAAACGAATGGGTATGTCTTGTGTCATGCTGCGCTCACGCTTTGTTATGCCATGCTATACAACGCTCAAGGAAACCAAGAGAAAACAAAAATCGTGGACATCGAACCACATGGGGTCTTCGAAAAGATGTGGGGGTCGTCGTGGGGGTTTGATTGGGTGCTGACCAGGGACTGAAATGGTCCTTTGTGTGGGCACAAGTCAGGGAGAAATGCCAACGTGGTTCACGATGCAAAATTGTTGTGCTGCAGGTCGTGAAATGGAAATGGAGGGGGCGGCTTGCGACGGCTTTGACCATCGGAGCACTCCATGAACAGCAGAACCGAGGGCTTGGTGCCCGAGGAAAAAGTTGTCGTAGGGTTCCGATGACACGTGTGCTGCATGATCATGACCATTGCGTGATGATGCCGATAAGAGGGCCGCGGCCAGGGTGGCGGGTCTAGATTGCCCACGAAGGTTTTTCTGGCTCCTTCGAGTTTCTCGATCGTGAAAAGGGTTGCACTGAGTTGTCGAAATTCGAGCCCCGCACCGGAAGGATGATTGGGCCGAAGGCACCAGGTGAGCACCCCCAACTCTGATGTGCCCAGTTCAGTTTGGACAGCGCGGACACGCGTAGTGGTCGCTGCAATAGTCGTGGGTGCCAAAGTCTACTGCCTTGCAGCAGAAAGTGCAGCAGGCGTTGACGAGCTCTTGCACCTCCTTGATGGACATGGCGACAGAGTGTGATTGAGGGCAGAGCGGTTGCTGTATTGGTTCGTGTGCTGATCCAGAAACCCGTGGGCGGCCGTCTTTAGCGAAGTGCAGCACTCAGTTGGGAACTTGTTCAGCTTGTCGAGAGTCTTTTGGGGAGATTCTACCCAGGAAGTTGTGTATGTATGTATGTACTGTTCCGGGGCCGCGTTTCTTGGAGAATGGAGTACGAAGAGAAGAGGATGGTGATGTCGAATGGTAAAGATGAAGGATGGGAGTCTGTTGTGACTAGTGGCTGAGGAAGCTTGTGTTTTTGATTTCTTGGTTCCAGGACAAGCGTCGATCGAGGGCGAAGCCCGCACCTTATATGTCCATCTCGAGTGAAGGGAGAGGTGAACCTTGTTGGAGATTGACACGAAGCGTCATGCTCGGCCAGTGGATGCTCGTCACAGACAGGGGCCCACAAGCTGCCAGAGCACATGGCAGGGTTGGCGCGGCGGCAGGACCAGGGTTTGGGGTGCAAGGCCGCTTGCTGGCTTGTACAGTACTTGCCAGGCCCTGGGAATCGATAAAATCAGAATAAAACCAATTGCAGGGCAGAAGCGGGATAGTTGCGGGTGGTGTCCTAGCGGCACAACTAAACTGAAGCATGTCTCCGAAGCCCAAGGTGGGAACGTTGCGGCCAGGGTGCTAAGGGTCCACACAAAGTTTTTGCTCGGCCCTGCCCTCCTCCCCAGGCCGGGCTGTGGAAAGGGGGTCGAGAGGGGTGTGGGGAGTGAAAGCCGAGCCCTTGTCCAGAATGTCTGGGAGACGCCATAGTATTACCGGCACTGCGGCTCGACAGCGGTGAAGGTCACGAGGTTTGGCGTGACGCTCCCTGATCCGGCGCAGGCGCGACACCACAGGCCAAACAGCTCCACGGATCGTGTACTCGACGGCTCATTGGGTAACACGTGCGAAGACCGCTGTGCAGCCAACAAGGTGCCATGGCAAAATTGTCCGGTCGTACATTTGACAAACCCAACAGCCTTGACCGAGGGCCTACGGTGATTCGACAGCGCCACAGGAGCACAACCCTCGAGTCTCGGGCATTGGTGCCTGCGCACAAAATGCAAATCGAGCGGGAATATTGTGAGTGGGCCAGTCTGCGCAAGTGTTTGCATTGGACAAGCAGGGATCCGCGAAGTTTCTGGAGGGCTTCTACAAGAGAGGGGCTTGCCGCTGTGGTTTTTGTTTGGCCGTGGTCTTGGGCGTGCGCGGCGGTGTTGTCAAGATGCCAAATTTGGACGGAGGGTGGTGGAGAAGTCTTTCTACTTGGCCACTTATACACCACAGCGCTAAGCAGAACTCGGGATTTGTCGCTCTCTCAAGACTTGACAAGTGGGAGCGCTGGAGATCGCTGCTTCTGGCCTTGCGACATGGTATGACGACCCATCGCGTGGACTTCGCGTCATGTCTTCCAGCTCTGCCATGTCAGCGGTGTGTCTTGATGCCTTCGAGCCACTGAGCAGCCGTGCAGACAGCGCAAGCAGGCTGAGACGCAGGTCACCTGGAAGCCTTTGCACATGTGCGGCTTAATTTGGAATGTGCTGTCTCACCCGAAGCGTCGAGCTTGCTGACAAGCTTGGAGCAGGCTCGGCCAGCCTTGCAGGATTGAAACCGGTGAACCCTGAGAGCCAGTCAGTCCCAAACAGTTGCAACATGGGAGCCTATCACCTCGACGACCCCATTGGCGTGCATGCCTAGCGCTGTGCCCGAGTTCGCCCTGTGGTGGTGCTTTGCCAAGCCGGTTTTCTCGTGCCACAAGCAGCCCTGGGCCTTTGGTCGTGGTTTGGGTCTGATTCTTGACGGCCCACGCACGCCCATCAGACACTGGCTCGAGAGGGGTCATTCTGCACTGGTCGTGGGGATCCGAAGTCGGCTTGCCCTTGTGGGACGGGCCGTGTGCTGGTCTGCCCTTGAGATCCCGCTAAAGCCAGAGCTGCCGCCCCATGGTATTTCTGCTTCGGCAGCGAACAACAACTGGATCCTGTTTGTGTCAGAAGAGGTGGACGGACCCATGATGGATGGAGCCCTGTTGTTTCTGTGGGACGGGAGCCGGCGGCTACGTACTACGGTAGAGTGATTGCGGCGCCGACGGAGCGAGCACGAGCACGAGCCGCCGCCAGCTGTTCTTGAGTCACCACGTCGGTCGTCGACCTCGGGAAATGGCGACGATGACCTCAGTCGGCAAGGCGGACCAGGGACGCACGCCCGACCAGGATGGTGCAGGCAGACGCCCCCAAGGTGCTGCTGCTCGGGCGTCTCATCAGGCGCAGAGCCAGTTGGTTCCGCCGCCGCAGCCTGCTCCTTCCACACAGCCGCTGCGATTGTTCCTCGCTCTTTCCGCTTCTGGAAAAGAGCTCCAAGCCCGCCCGCGCCAGCACGTGCGGGGACCTGCGCGGGGTCCGCCGAGCGAGCTGACTGTCCCGCGCCCGAAACCCTTCCCGCCAGCTTGACCTGAAGCAGACATGAAGGATGCATCGTCACAATCCTCTGCTCCATGTACAGTGCTGTACATCCCGGTCCGACACGGCGCCTCACCAATCCCCGACTTCGTGCAGAGTCGAGGCCCACTCGCCCGTCTCTAGAGCATCGAAGCAGCTTAGCATGGCACGATGACGTGTCGGTCCTCCGTGACCTGCATTTCGCTCTAGTCGACAAGTGTTTGTTGCTGGGTTTGTTGTTGTTGTTGTTGTTGTTGTTGCTGCCGTGTCATTGCGTCGGACTCGAAATGGTTATAGGCCTAGACGACCCATGCAGCCAGAGCTGGCTGAATCCGTTCCCATGGGTGGCTTTGATGTTCAGTCCTCATCCTACACCAGTGGCTGTGAAAGTGCATCTTTCGGCTCCTTCAACTCGAACCCTTCGTCGCCCGGCTCGACCGGCACAAGATCCACGTTTAGGAGACTGCCATCGCCGTGGAGCACAACACCTCAAAGTCCCTGAGGCCCCGCATCTGTCGTGCCACCCAGCTGCAACAGAGTCATCCTGCGCCACGAGGAAGCAGCCGAACATGCAACAGCAATCTTCCTGCTAGCCAGCATACATATGATAGCGACTACCGCGAGTCTTTGGCGAGTCACAAACCATGCATGCGTGGAGGCAGAAAGGAGCCTCAGCACTCGTTCTTCTTTTGGCGTGCCGGTGCCCGTTTGGCGGGTCTCGATCTGAGACAGTACGGCTCGGCGATGAACTGCTCGGCCGAGCGGACAGCTGTGGACAAGAGTGATGACCAGCGAGAAGCAACGCAGAAGACCCTTGCACAGAAATCAACCAGCCGCCACGCCCTATCACTTGGTTTGGCCTCACAGACAGTGCTCCTGGCAACGAAGGAGTGAAAGCTGTCGAAGGAGCGAGCCTTGAGAGCTTCAGACAGAGTAAATGACCACGGCAACCATCTACCGACCATCGTGGCGCGCAAAACTTAATTCCTCCCTCCTTCAAAGGAGCTCAGCGACCCGCACTCACATGCCAAGGTGCCGTGGCTGTGTGATAGATGGAGGAACGCGCGATGCGGCGCCCACGAGGTCGATCCGACGCCCGACTCTGCACGAATCAACGAGCATACTCTCCACACGTACTAATCGTCATTTGGCGTTATCAAGGTCACGACTCATGCATGCATCATCACGACGTTCGCGCAGCAGCGCGAGGAGATGCGTGATCTCGCAGGTGGAGTCATTCAAGGCGATCCTCCTGCTTCGAGGCACAGATTGGCACAAGTGCGTGGCAGTCTGTGATAGGCGAGCAATGAGCCAACCCAATCGCTCATCTGAACAACGCCGTTGCACCTCCAGGTCAGATCATCAACCAACGAGACCTGCACATGACCTCTCAGCTGCACCATTATTCTCTGCCGTAGCCTTCGACCTCGGCACGGGGAGTCAAAGGCCACTCTGGTCCCATGCTTCAGAACATGGTCGATATGCATTGGTGCAAGCTTAAGATACACAAATCTTGACAAAGTTGCAGGATGAACGCCTGCCATGAGCCTTCATATGTAATCCTCCAGGTCTATGGAGTTGTCTAGAATTTACTCCGACTAAGAATGAGCGTGAGAACAATCCGTTGCCCTTCCGCCCATTCAACCTCGCCACCTTTTAAGCAAACCCACAATTCGCAAAGGAACCTCACCATTGCAGGATGCCGTACTAGGTATTCTCTGATGAAGCACAAGCTGCGCAGCACTTCATTATAGCGGGTTGCATCAATTGGTAACAGGCTCTTTCCTTGCACAAAGTTTGGAAACACTATGCGAGCACCAACCTTGGTCCATCCCGGACCACTAGACTAGCGAAGCACCCACAACAGCTGACTGGGGGGAACATTCATACTATGGCAAGTGTAGCGCAGCTCAATGCGAACTTCAAAGAACTGATCTGGCTTGAGACCCTTTGATTCGGCCTTGCCGAAAACGCATGAAGGGGACCCGTAATTCATGGTGGGAAAATGGTATGATGGCACGTTGGCATGCCACGTCCTCCTCGATGGCCATCCATTAAGAGTGAGGACTTGCCAATCTTTCGTACCAACTAGGGTACGAACGGTCTATTTGAAGCGCGACTTGCATTTACACGTGCTGGAAGGACAATTTACCGCGTCGAAATCTCGTCGCCAACCAGCTCTTCTCCTTGTCGTGGTGATCACACCCGCGGCAGTTCGGCAGGTCGCCACGTTTTCAACGTTCACTCGCGCTTCACTAGCCCAGCACAAGTACTCATCCCGCATGAACAACGTTGTGACGCGCATGAAGCAAGTTCGGAGCTTTTCTTGCGGAACCAAGCCGAATTGTGACAGCCTCCATTATTGATCAATTCGCGACGGCGTAACACCTGAGTCGCCGCGCTTTTGGAGATACAAAGTCACGACAAGCAGAAAACCAAGGCTCTTCGTGTATTTTAATCGCTTCCAGCTCCTTCCCATATCTTCTCTCATTCGAAGCCGTTGACTGAGCAAGTGGCTATCCCGAAAATGATGTACCCCTGGACTTTCCGGAGTTTGGGCACTAATAAACCAACAACTGTTGTCAGTCAATAAGGTTTGTCAAAGTTCACGATCGGAATCTTTGCGAGATACATCCCTCGAGCTAAGGACGCACCCCAGATCCGAGCATCAAAAGGCTTGGGGCAGCACAGACAGCACGATCCCCTCCTTCAGACACAGTGCTGAATGGACTGACCGCCACTGGGCTGATGCCACGCTAGTGGTGGCGCCGTCGTCAAGCGGCACCGACGGAAGGGCTACTGGCGCTGCTTCCGGCCGTCGACGCACCGGGCTATCCTGGTTTCATCCAACTGCCGTAGCTCCTCGACTTCTAATTATGCTCGAGACGGATTCTTCTGATGCCCACCAGCATGGATCAAGGGACAAGCGCTGTCTGCACTTTTCATGCTCGAGGGATTTCGGCTCGACCCACATGGTCACGCTAAGGGATTCATGCGCCCGAGATCATGATCGTGTTTATGCCAAAACCAGAACCTGACTCCAGAATTTGCTACCGTTTTCGGTTTAAAGCTCATGTGCCGAGCTGGCTAGCAGGTATTAGCGCTTGATGTACAATGTGCTCGAAATGTACTCCTACCCAACGTTCTCGCTCCCGAGGAAACACTTCCGCGCCATACCCCAACCCTGCCTGATCTCCAGCCTAGGCCCGTGGTGCGATGGCACAGATTCCGGCTTTCGCGCGCACACACATACGACTGTTGCGCCCGAGGGACCCTGGGGTGTACATGCATTCGTATGCACCGCGTCACGGTACATTTCCCCGACGCGTGGTTGTCCTTCCCTAGCGGTTTATTCGTCCGCGCGCGTCCTATCTGTGCTCTGGGTCTCTAGTGGTGGTGATCATTGTTACAGGATGTTGAAACTGTAGAACCAGCCCAGCGATTGTGTTGTAGTAGTGAGCTGGTGATCAGGGGTTGGACAATGGACGCTCCTTTACATAATGGCGGTCTGGGCCCCTTGCAGCAAGGTATGCAGCAGCATCAACGGAAGCGTTGAAGAACATTCAGCGGCGCCACATCATGTAGTACGTGACAACCGTCCGTCATACATGTGCTACCTTGCACTTCTGTCAAGATAAAACGAACAAGGGGAAGAAAAAGGTCCAGGGGCAGGCAAGACCTTGAGGGCGTAGACCCCGGCAGAGCCCTGGTTAGGTCAACGACACCAATATGCATGCCTCTCTCACCGTGCAGACTCGCATGAGCTGGTGGTCACATGACGGGTGGTTCCTGCCTTGGTCTGGATTGAGCTGGCACCCCCCCGCCCCCCGCCCCCCCCGGCCCGGCTGGCTGTCTTGACCGCTTCACAGGCCAGCCTCTGAGTCGTGCCATGCTTCTGCTTCTCAGCCTTAAGCTGCAATCCATGTCGTTTTGTTTCGTGCATGGTTCGGTCACATTTCCCAAAATGGTGAATAACCTTTGAACTGCAGCTTGAATGGGCTTTTCCGCGGCTTCTCGAAGCCCGTCGTTATTGTTCCATTATCAATTTGTGGCTCTGGCTTTTTTTTTTCTTTCCCTTATTTTGACCCGTGATCATTCCGGAATCCTGGGAATGTAACTTTAGCAGAACCTCTTCAGTTGTCAATCGTGGTAACTGGTAGGACATGGGTTCCCTTTTTGATGCATCATCATTATGCGAATTATGAATTGATAGAGGATTATTGATGGTGTAATTTACTTCTCAGAAATATCACGATTAAATGCATCAACGCCCAAGACTACTAACACCGCTCCCGAAAATATCATCCTTCCGCTGGCCCCGATGCCATACAATGCTTGCGTCACTGCCGCCAGCGCCACGACGTTTGAAGTACAAGATACGGTGCTGGGGGATGAACTCCTCGTCCGTCTGCTCCGACTTCCAGGCGTCGAGCGCGCGCTCGCGCACGCCGAGGAACCGGTCCTCGTAGCCGACAATGTACTCGCTGCTGTCGAGGTCCGGGTCCCAGCGCAGGCGGTTGATGACGTCGGCCGAGGAGCGGAACTTGCCTTGGTACGCGGGCCGCGTGGGGAGCTTGCTTGTTGCTGCTGCTGCTGCCTTGCCGGTGCCGCGCTTCTTCTTGCTGGACTTGGCCTTGTCTGCGGCGGTGGTGAGAGCTTCGAGGTCATCGTCGACATCCTCGTCGTCATCTTCCTCCTCTTCGTCGTCGTCGTCGTCGTCTTCCTCGTCGTCATCGTCATCGCCGATCGTGTACTGACCCCATTCGCGATCGTCCAGCTCGAGATCTCCCAGATCCTGACGGCTGACGACGGACGCGCTCATCCAGCTGGACTTGGCGTCGTAGAACCGCTCATCACCCCTGATCTGGCTCTCGAACTTGGCCAGAGCCGTCTGCAGGGCCCCGAGCACAACCTTGGACTCGTCCTTGGTCATCATCGTTTGTGCTGGCTCGGCGGTGTTCTTCTGGCTCGGCTCGAGTCCTGCGAGGTAGTAGCCCTTGTAATCTTGGATGTGGCCGTCGGCGTCACGGGTGGCGGCGGTGGAGGTGGTTTCTCTGTCCACAAAACGGGCTGGCCAGATTCTTGCATGAACACCAGGCACACGTCTGTCGATATCTGTTGTTGCAGTCGCAATTATTAGCAGGAAACTCATAGACATAGAGAGAGAGCACTTGACACAAGACAAGACAGTCACGATCAAAGATTCAAAGGACTTACCAACAAGCAGCATCGTACATCGCGACTCAAGCCATCCGACAAAGCCCGTACCCTTGGCCAGGGAAACGCCCCAGAACTGAGCTTCAATCTTGACATAGCTTTTGAAGGAAGCCAAGAACTCATCGGAGCCCGAAGCCTTGATACCACCTCGTGGTACACCCGCGGCACCCACTGCCTCCCCGACCACGTCGTTTGGCCCGGAAGCCCCGTCCATGAAACCGGACCAGGTCATGCCGGGAGTCGAGAGCTGTGCAGCTGCACGCCGGAACTCCCCGGCAATCGTCTTTGCTGTTGGCGCAGATGCCGCGACCGCGACGTTGAGAGCAGGGCCGTGCCAGCCGAGAATGGCCAGGGGCTCCCGAGCAGTCCGCACATAGCGCAGGGCGCGACCGCCGCCGCTCTCGGTGTGGAAGAACGGATCGTACACGGCGTGGCTGGCCCAGTCGAAGTCGGCATAGTAGTTGAAGAAGGTGGTCAGGATCGTCGCGGCGGACATGCTCGCAGTGTGGCCCTTGAAGTTGTGGCATATCATCTTGCAGACGCTCGAGAGCATGATGGAGATGTGGATGCCGCCCAGGTAGCCAAACTTGGCCGAGTAGATGCCGCGCTGCTTCGCCCACAGCTTAACCAGGTGGTAGGCAGTCCGGAACGCGGCAAAGTCGGGGATCGTGCGGCGCAGGTAGTACAGGTCGCGCATGGGCTTGAGCTTCGCGAGGGCCTGAGAAGACAGCTGGAAAGTCGGGTCGTTGGGGGCCACGCGCGTGGCGTAGGGCCACGTCTCGGCGATGAAGGCGGATGCGCAGTACTGCAGGTCCATCTTGATGCCCAGGACCTCGAGCTCGAGCATGGTGCCCGAGTGAGCATGGACCTTGCGGACCAGCCGGACGCTGCTGACCATGGCTCCGTCCTTCTCGACTTGATATCGCTGCTGCTGCTCCGCCTTGCGGATCCGCTGGACGGCAAGACTGAAGAAGACGTGTGAGCTGACCGGACCGATGCAAAGACAGTCCACGTCGGACGAAGCTGTCCAGACACCAAGGCCGTACGAGCCGACAGGAACCATCACAAAGGACGGCTGGCCTCGCGTGCTCGACGTTGCGGTGGTCGTGGCTGCAGCAGTGGTGGTGTTTGAGTCGGCTTGCAGGACTATCTCCTTCAAGAGCCGGAGCGCCCTCTCCCGCAGCTCAGCTTCTTGAGCACTAGGCATGACTTGGTGGCGGTCGAGGCATTGCTTCAGCTCCGTGACATCCCTGAGGGACTCTGGAGCCTCCTTGACCTGTATAGCAGTTGCCAGAGTGCTGTTGTTGCTCTCACTGCTGGGACCAGAGCCCGCCGCACTTGTCGAGATCTTCAATGAGCATCTTACGCCCCAGTGATCACTTCCGTACGATTTTGCTCCCAGTGACTCCTCGGGGTCAGCTTTCGTCGGGTGCCGAGGCCCCAGAACACCAAGATCTTGCCCAAACATGTTGAAACCAGCAACGTGGAATGTGTCCTGTCCCTTGACCAGAATTCGATCGTACCGTTGTGGCCTTCTGTTGAAGCCGCTGCCAACAATCTCGGCGGCCAGATCATTGGTCAGGGGATCGAAAGTCGCACCGTCCTCGCCCTCAAAGGCATCGTCGTCTTCTTCATAGCTGGTCTGATGGTCGCCTGTCAAGCCTGAGAGCAGCCGACCATCGCCTCGCTGAATCTTGGCTGTGGCCCAAGAGTCGACGAGACCGGCATCAAACAGGCGGCTTTCGAGGTCGTGTAGATATGTCACGGTCTGGGGGGAGATTGCCCCCTTCTGCCGAGCCATGTCAATCGCATGCGCACTGGTGCTGATGTTGAAGTCTCCGGTTAAGATCCAAGGGTTGTTGGGATGTGACTCTTCCAGATATCTCAAGACTGCTTGTAGCTCGAGCTTCTTGGCAGTGACAGAGCCATCGGTCAAGCCACATGTCAGGTGGACTGTAGCAAGGACCAGTGGAGAAGAGGGTGTCTTGCCAGAGCCTCCGTCTCTGCTAACTGGCGCTTGCTCGGCCAGGTCTGGAAACTGAGCCACGATCGAGGTCTTGTGGCGCCGTTGAAATGAGACTCGTTTCCATGTGAACCGGAAACGACTGAGGATGACAACGTTCAGATGACTTGGCAGCGGTTCAAGATCGTCCTGCTGAGGAGGACCGTGGGACGCAAAGGAGTAGTGTTCGCGGATGCTGCTATTGCCGAGAAGATATGTGAGAAAGTCATCCGTGACTTCCTGCAGAACGAGGATGTCTGATTTCGCTCCCTTCTCCAGAATATTTCTAACCAAAATAGGGTACCTCTGGTAGGAGACCGGATAGAAGAACTCTGCCAGAACATTGTAAGAGGCGATACTGATGCTTGTTGGGATGGCTACAGCTTCGATAGAGACATTGTTGCTCGCGTTGTACCTGACCCATCGCTGCTGAAGTGTATCAAAGCAGTAAGGTAGCTGGGAGGAGGCGTCCGTCTCCGCCTGCAACTCCGAAGCGTCTTCACCAGTCTTAGAAGTAAGCTTGACGTGGTTGTAGAAAGGAAGCGGCTTTGGAAGGACATCCACGGACATGGCCTTGAGGTCGATAATGCCCCAGGTTGTCATCCGGTTCAAGGACTTGGTTGTGGCAGTGGCTGGACTCTTCTCCCGTACGAGGATGTGCAATTTGTCCATCTGCCATGGCTGTGTTGGTAGCAGGCCAGCCTTCTGTACCAGAAAATGATGCGAGTCTGAGTTGAGGTCCTGGCTTTGGCCGATGGTCATGTGCATCTGGAAATTGTTCGAGGGCTTTTGGGATAGAGATTTCAAGATAGCAGTGCGAAGCCTCGAGACAGCTCGCTTCCTATCTGTGTCGTTGTCGGACAAGAATACGGTATTGTCATTGCGATGCGGAAACACTCCGGTGGAGTTGAGATGGACTGTGGGTGTCGCAGCACCATCATCCCGCCATGATGTCAGGCCAGAAAGTATGTCTCGGGACGCACGCTCCAGGGCGTCTGTTGCCACAAAGGGGTATAAGAGGTTGACATGCGGGGGCCACTTCTCATAACCTTTGTCGTATAAGCTGCGTAGCCTGTCCAGGCATGGCCAGTTCTCCTCGTCGGGAATCCAGCACAGAGCTGTGTCGTAAGAACTCAAGGCCACAGAGGCCGACTCTGACGCTATTTCTTGGGTCCCTGCCATGTCAGGTAAATGCTCAATCGTGAGTTGAAGAAAGATGGGAAGTGGTCTTAAATATGGAAAGAAGACTAGGCGAAATTGCCAACGCGCTCGCTGATGTGCAGGAACAGGGTATACACAAGAAAGCTGGATGAAGTGATTTGTATCAAGAGAAAACACACAAGCATTCAGTGTATGTAAGTTGTAGGGCCGAGACAGGTCAATATGTATAGAGCCCGGGTACCAAAGCATTGGTTCGCAGTCGACTGCGGTCTTCGTATAACAGTGGCGGGGCGCGGGAGACGGGCTCTCGTCTCGAGTCAACCAGGCACAGCCCCACCCTGCCCGGCGATGCAGCAGCACTAACTAAGTGCGCTACTGTGGACATGTTACGGGACTCTCAATGCAGGTCCCGCCATTCAAGCTTTCCAGTTGTTGTTTCAACCTTGCAACCAACCAGGGTGTGACCAAAAGTCATTATGATTCATCCCGAGCTAGAACTACCTGGCTGCATTGTGGGTTGTGCGTGCTGGATGACTGTGCCGGGGTGCTCTGTGAGTCACTCTGCTATAACTTTAGTGGAACTCGCGCTCACAGCCACCCTGCCTTGCGCATTGGCCGGCTGCCGTGGGCCCACGGGAACGCAAAAGCTTGAGCTACCCATATATTGAGACTCAGACTTGGCAGCGATTCTTTGCTTTAGGCAGGATGGTAGCTGTCTTGCCCAATCAGACCTCCGTGCCGTGTGGGTGGTTGTTTCAAAAACACCATACATATCTGTTCCGTGACTGCAAACTGGTTGCTTGGGTTCGAAATTGTGTATTAGACGGTTTATCCTAGTCGTCGCAAACAGCCAGCAACGCCTTTAACGCCATGCATCCAAAGTGAAAGAGAAAAAAGGCAGCAGGAAAGATCCATCCGAATCATCGCGGACGTCTCAAGCCGTTCATGCTGGCATGATCGTCTCCCCACTGTTACTCTGTTAGTATTCCTCCCAGTTGATTCCAGGCATCTGCCTCCCTTTGCCCTCCATGATGAACTCAAGCTTGTCCTCGTTGGTGATCCAGCCATGCCGCTTTGTCACGACCGCGTACCGAATCGGCTCTTTCCACTCTTCCCACCACGTTTTCTCGCTCTGCACAAGCACCTTGCGGCCCGAGTCCCCATTCCTGGCCGTTGCGAACGGCCAAACGGCCTTGACGACCTCATACTTCGCCTTGCCCGCGAAGAGCGTGGTGACACTTGTGAAGAACTTATTGACCTTGTCCGGGTTCTGCACAATCACTTTGGCGTGGGTTATGGGAAACTGGACCGTCACGACGCCCTTGTATTCCGTAGCGGCGACCAGACTCCGCAGTTGACCCTCGAGCCAGTTGGTGTCAAGGTTCGCCACGACGCGCTCGAGCATAAAGGTTTTGACAGTCGCCGGGTCCTTGCAGAAGCGGTCACACCACTCCTCGAGCCCGCCGTCAGACGTCAGGTCCGGCTTCAGTGCAGCCTGTGCGCCGCCGCGAAACGCCATTTCATCGGACCCAACCAAGCGAAGATAGTCCATTCGTAAGCCGGGATCCCGAGGAACGAGCAGGTTGAAGAGATTCAGCTTGACGTTGAAGTCGACCTTGTTCCCTCGCTTGCCTTGCAGCGTGATCATGGGCTTGGGCGGGACGGCGGCTAATGTCCGTACCAATCCGGCCAGGGCTCCAGGGTTTTGGGACAAGTAGCTGGCCTTGCTCGTTATTGTTGTGGTGTCTGTTGACATTTCAAACAGCGGCGGCAGATATTGCCGATAGTCTATCGCCGGCAGGCCGGGATAATACTGCGGGCCCAGTGGCACCGCGCCCTGCTGCTGTTGCTGGACATGAGACTCGAGGGCGGCGTGAGATGGGCCCGAGTAGGGCGGAGGCATTGAAGTGCCTGCTGCCCGCTGAGATGATTCATTGTGAGGATTACTGGAGTGGTCTTCATCACGGGGTCGATGGACTGGCCCAGCAGCCTGTGCAGACTTGTCGTCCATCCTGGGCACGTGATTGAATTGTAGCAGCCGCTGAAAGTATGGTTCAATAATGTCAGGCGCTTAACGGCTGTGGTGAAGTTGGACTCTGAGCAGCCTCCAAGGGTGGGTTGATGAGTAGTTGAATTTCGACTGATGCCAAGATTTGAGCGAGGGTCGGCTGAGGTGTGGATCGATTCATATGTGATCCGGATGGCTTAGGCAGCCAGAATAAGTCGGCATGGTCGGTTGCCGTGTAGATCAGCTGAAGCTGCAGCAAGCCATGAGCATAGCGGAAGATTGCACAGCACGCTATGCCCACTGCGGCTGGCACAGCCACTGGCCAGCACCTCCACTGAATGTTTTATTCTGGTGCCTGCCCCAATGCTGGTGGGCTGCCTCTCGCAGTGCTCTCCTGAACATTTGCACACCGTCAGGTTCCCCTGTTGTCGGAGGTGATGTTGATACAAGCTGCTTGAGTGCTATAAGAATTTCATGGTTCCTCCTACCGGTTCTTGGCTGAGCTTTGGCCACACCGCAACAATGGTTCAATTGAAAGCACATTGGGCCGCCGGCATCACTTCAATAGGAGAGGCCAGAGCACCGGCAGACATGATGCAGAGCTCGAGCTGGCAGATGCTGTAATCTGGACATCGAGGATGTTGGGCAACACCAGGGTGGCATAGGAGGGCCGGGTCAATGGGGGGTCACAGGCGCTTACGTAACACAAACCACTTTACGCGCTTTCGCGTCGTAGAGATTACAGACGCGCTTTTCGCGTTCCCACTGCCCCTCTCCCTTCCAAGTTGCCGTGCAACCGCCATCTCGAACCCCGGTATTGACCTCACAACCACCCCGCCGACTGTTCACCAACTCACCAAGTCTGGCCCTGAGAGGTGCAAGCCGTGACAGCGCTATCTCTGAGCTCTCCCATAAACAGAAGCGGCATCGCATACGGCCACCATCGGCCAGATTCTGGTCACACCGCCACCAACATGGACACCTTTATGCTCCGAGACGAAGCGACAAAGGAGCGCATTCGTCTCGCAGAGGAATTCCTCGATCCCCGTAAGTCAATACACCGACAGCCAGTATAATACTGGCAAGTGTTCAAGTGCTTGCAGGTCTGACTGATGGGCCTTGACTATAACAGACGACCAGCATGCGCGAAGTTACCGATCCGACATCATATTGATGCTCCAGAAGAACCAAAGGCGCCTTGTCGTCAACCTTGATCATGTGCGGGACCACAACTCAGAGCTTGCCGACGGTCTCCTTTTCGACCCTTTCGAGTACACTCTGGCGTTCAACCACGCTCTCAAGGAGATTGTGAAGACGCTGCCGCAGGCTAGGCCAGATCAGACCGACGCCGAGGTCTTGTATTACTGCGCCTGGGCCGGCAGCTTCGGCTTGAATGCTTGCAACCCGAGGACGCTGTCTTCTGACCATCTGAACCACATGGTCTCGATTGAGGGCATCGTGACAAGAACCTCTCTCATCCGCCCCAAGGTCGTGAAGAGTGTCCACTACAACGAGAAGAAGAACATCTTCCACTACCGGGAGTACCGTGACCAGACAATGACAAATGGCCAGACGACTTCCAGTGTGTACCCACAAGAGGATGACGAAGGAAACCCACTTCTCACAGAATATGGCTTCTGCACCTACCGCGATCATCAGACCATTTCGATACAGGAGATGCCCGAGAGAGCACCGGCTGGCCAGTTGCCTCGGGGTGTGGATGTCATCCTTGACGACGACCTGGTGGACAAGGTCAAGCCCGGTGACAGAATACAGCTCGTCGGCATTTTCAGAACGCTCGGAAATAGAAACACCAACCACAACAGCGCGCTCTTCAAGACGGTTTTACTCGCCAACCATATCGTTCTGTTGTCCTCAAAAGCTAGTGGGGGCGTTGCCACTGCGACTATCACCGACACCGATATTCGCAACATCAACAAGATCGCCAAGAAGAAGAACCTGTTTCAGCTTCTTTCGCAGTCCTTGGCCCCAAGTATCTTTGGCCACGACTACATCAAGAAGGCCATCCTTCTGATGCTCCTTGGCGGTATGGAGAAGAACTTGGAGAATGGAACTCACTTGAGAGGTGACATCAATATCCTCATGGTTGGCGATCCGTCGACAGCCAAGTCTCAACTGCTGCGTTTCGTCCTGAACACGGCGCCTCTCGCCATTGCCACCACTGGCCGAGGCTCGTCCGGCGTCGGTCTGACGGCTGCTGTCACATCTGACAAGGAGACTGGCGAGAGAAGGCTCGAGGCGGGAGCCATGGTCATGGCTGATCGCGGCGTCGTCTGCATTGACGAGTTTGACAAGATGTCTGATATCGATCGAGTTGCTATCCACGAAGTCATGGAACAGCAGACAGTAACCATTGCCAAAGCTGGAATTCACACGTCGTTGAACGCCCGCTGCAGTGTCATCGCTGCGGCCAACCCCATATTCGGCCAGTACGATCCGCATAAAGACCCGCACAAGAACATCGCCCTTCCAGACTCACTTCTATCCCGTTTCGACTTGTTGTTTGTCGTTACAGATGACATTGAGGACACCCGGGACAGACAAGTCTCAGAGCACGTGCTTCGCATGCACCGGTATCGTCAACCTGGCACGGACGAGGGCGCCCCAGTCCGAGAGAACGGCCAGCAAGCACTTGGTGTCGCCCTACAAAGCCAAACCGACACGCAGAAGCCCACAGACGTGTTCGAGAAGTACGACGCGATGCTTCACGCGGGCGTTACTGTCACTTCTGGCCGTGGTGCCAACAAGCGTCATGAAGTGCTCAGTATCCCTTTCATGAAGAAATACATCCAGTACGCCAAGAGCCGTATCAAGCCAATCCTGACGCAAGCCGCCTCTGATCGCATTGCCGACATCTACGTTGGCCTTCGCAATGATGAGATGGAGGGCAACCAGCGGAGGACATCCCCTTTGACCGTTCGTACTCTTGAGACTCTGATTCGTCTCGCCACAGCCCACGCCAAGTCCCGCCTCTCCAACAGGGTCGAAGAGCGTGATGCTGCTGCCGCCGAGGCTTGCCTCCGTTTCGCCCTGTTCAAGGAAGTGGTTGAGGATGAGTCGCGCAAGAAGCGCAGGCGCACACAGCAAGTCGAGTCCGACTCTTCGGAGGAAGAAAGCTCGGATGACAATGGCGACGACACAGCTCACAGAGGATCCACCGCTCGGGCAAGTGCTGCGAGGTCGAATCGGCGCAGCCAGGTCAGCGCTGGAAACCGTCGTGCTCGAACAGCAAGCACGCGGAATGGCAGCTCTGTTCCCGCCAATGACGAAGAGGAGGAAGAAGAAGAAGACGAGGAAGAGCAGGCTTCCGCGCCTGCGACACGCCGCTCGGGTCGGACCAATGCCGGAGCCTCCTCGAACGCTCTTCCGACGTCGCAATTGTCGTTCGCTTCCTCCATTCCCGCTTCACAGCTTGAGACGCAGGAAGACGACGAGGATGAGGAAGAAGAGGAGGATGAGGACCTCGCCTCGGGCGCGGCAGCGCTCAACATCAATGCTGAGATCACTCCTCAACGGCTCTCGACTTTCCGCACCGCGCTCGGCCAGCTACTCAACACGGACTTATTCGATGACGACTCGGCCACTGTCGGCGACGTCGTTTCCGCCGTCAACAAGCGCCTCGGTGGCTCGTCGCAGACCTTCACTCGCGACGAGGCGGTCAAGGCGCTACGTAAGATGGACGAGGCGAACCAGGTCATGTGAGTTTCCTTCTTTCCGCAACACTATTACGAACCCCTTTCGTATCTGTAGACCTTGATACTAATGACGATACGTGTGTTAGGTACACTGAGGGAGAACTCGTTTATAAGATCTAACCGACTCAGTCTCTCGTCCTTCCGGCAAACAGGAACTGGCTGAGCAGGAACAGGGAATCGGAGTGGTTGCAGTATGAATATAGACAAAGCGATGGCGTTTGGAAATGTTTGGTGTGCCATGTCAGGAAGTGGCGTAAGTGGTGGGTGTTCGTTGGACAGCGGAACGAGGTCACAGGCTGTTGTCATGAAATGCCCAGGATGACAAGATGTGCAATGAAACGCGACGACGATGGAACTAGTCCGGCATGAGATGTACAATAAAGCGATGACCCGAGCCGCTTTGGCGCCAATAAATGGTTGACGTGATGTCTGGCTGATCTAAATTCTCTTTTCACCACCCTCATCTAGTCTGTCTATAACCTTCTAGCCTCTTTTTGGTGTGAATTAGGGCCAGCTGCTTGCCTGGGAGTATATCGCTGGCCTTCATGTTCGTTTACGCCTGGCTGAACGCCAGTCTCGTCTTGAACTCTTCAAATCTGTCCTCGACTACAACTCCATTCCACGTCTCTCTTGCAGCTGTGGGTGTCGCATCCGTGTTCTCTGCCACCGCAGCCGGTGACGTCGCCTCTGGCCCTGTCGCCTCCTCGACTTGCAGAGCTTCCGGTACGGCTTCTCCCGTCTTGCTCTGTTCTGTGACTTCCCTGCCCAGGACAGGTACGCCTACTTGCTCGATCGCAAAGCTGGCCGCCACTGCACCCCAGGCCGCCGCCTCTTCCAGGCTCTTCCCCCTGGCCAGGGCGACGGCCAGTCCGCCCAGGAACGTGTTGCCGCCGCCCGTCGGATCCACGACTTTTTCTTTGTCCGTGTGGTACGCCGGGATCCAGCGCTCGACGCCAGGGTCGACTTCGATCTCCTCCCGCGACACGGACCCGTCACTGTCCTGCATCAGGCCGGCAAAGAGAGCCTCCATGTCCATCTCTGGCCGCAGGGGGCCGTGCAGGTGTGCCGCGGGCTTCTTGCGCCGCCCTTCGCCGGAGCGGGCTTTCCGCTTGCGGCCTCCGTTCCTGGCCAGGTAGCATCCCTTTTCGCCCGCGCGAACAACCAAGGAGAAGGATTGCAGCGGCATGCTCCCGAGGAGCTGCTCACAGGCACGCTCGACCGCGCGAGTGCTGATCTCGCCGGTCTCTGGATCGAGCCCGCTGTCACCCATGAAGCCAGCTAGCTCCGAATGATTTGGGCTGCAGATGTCGACCAGAGGTAGGGTATTTGTGCAGTTGAGCAGTTCGTCGGGCGTGCAGAGATCTGGGACGGGCTCCCATATGAAGATGGGCTTGGGCAGGTGGTTGCCCTCGGCCGTGGTCAAGTCGTTGCGCCGGGATCTGATTTCATTGACCAGCTCGCGACAGCGGGTTGGAGAGCAAATGAGGTGGAACGAACGAGCCCTGATGAGGGACGAGTCGAGGTCCTCCGCAGTAAGCCTCACCTTTGGGGTTGTGTATTTGAACGCGCGGTTCTGGTGCTTGTCATAGCCGTTCCAGCCCCTCGTCGTCAACCGATTTGGGTTGTCCCTCACCAATACTGAAGTGTTCCATGATGAGATTGTGTTCGCGACGCTCTCCGGAAAATCGGAGCCCTTGTCGACAATCCAGCCTACGGATTGTGACAACTGCGCTGGCGAAAACAGACGGGCCCCGAGAGCTGCATATGCACCTGCTCCGCCAAGGATGTCTTTGACTGGCGGTTTAGGAGGAAGATACTCAATGTCATCTGCAAGCATGTTCAGTGAGAACTTCACGCCGAAGACCCTGGCGAACAAGTATACAACACCGTGGAAAGCGGGCAAGGAGCATCCTCGTGTCGAGAGGGTGGGACACATGTGGTGCTGATTCACGGCAAGGATTCACGAGGAGAGCTCTTACCTATGATGAACATGCCCAACGTGACGAAATCTATCGAATCGTTGCAAGAAGTACCGGCTGGTTCAACCTGGGATGACACCACAGGTTCTGCCTGGTCTGTCATGGTGGTGCTGGCTTGTTGTGAATCAAGGTTGGTAAATCGCAAAGGTGCTTGGAGGTTCCATAGGTCGACTTGGCGGTCAGATAAGCACCAGCACGGTGCTCTGGCAAGCCACGGCCAGATCTGACCAGCTTGACTGACGGCAAATTTGTTCTACAAGACGATGTGAGGCGAAAGATCACGGCAGTCGAGGACTCAATGTAGGTTGCACGATAATCGGGGCGTGGAGGACGGGCAGACAAGACGAGATTGTCAGAACGAGGCCATGGACCCTAGTGGGGCTTTGTCATCTTAGTTGGTAGGCTGGTCCCTGAGTCGATACGGCGATTTATCTGATTGCCGACAGCGGACTGGTCGCCGATGAGGGGCGGACGAGGCCCGCCAGCAGTGAAAATTGTCACCTTGACGTAAATTCCAAGAGCCGCTGGGAATTTTGCATGCCGTCGTGGCTGGCGTTGATAGGCGAGGTCGGCAGGCCAGCGAATGATGACGCCTAAGGGGTGAGAGCGCCGTGATGGCCCAAGGGCTCAGCCAGCTGGTGCTCCGAATAGAGAGGTAGGTGTGCGGGACACTGGGCAGCAAGACCAATGCGGGCTGGCCGGTACGAGCAACCTGTGGTCGGATGGGTCGACGGCCAAAGTACCTTCAGGTACGTAAGTATGAGAGCCGCCCTTATGCAAGGGCAACGACGGCCTCGACGCTGGTCATTGTGTGTAGTGGGGGTTGGTGACATTGGCTGTACTTGGTGGAAGCACTTGAGGGCAGCAGCGTACCTGATGGTAGGTACGTACGTAAAAGGTGGCAAGGCCCACTCTAGGTAACTCAATCCTCCCCCCCGGCCGAGGAATCGTCACCTCCAGGCAGCTCCAGGCAGCTCCATATTAAGACAGACCAGACACGGACTCGGTGCTAAGTTAGTGCTGCCCCTGGCTGGCTGCGATCCACAGCCCAACAGTGTCATCTCCAGCAACCACCCAGCTTCACATACATTACCAGCGCCCACAACACAATTGCAGCCCGTCTCTGCAGTGCGTCTTGTCGCCACCACTTCAGCAGTCCCTTGCACCGACGACCAAAGCTGCGTGCCAGCTGCCCAGCACCACCCGCCGCCATGGCGTCCAACAGCATGCACAACTTGACCACCCTCATCAAGAGGTGAGTGACACCCTCAGCACCAACTGCCAGCGTCATCCATGGATGTCGAAGCTGACGCCTCCCCTCCCACAGACTCGAGGCTGCCACGTCACGACTCGAGGACATCGCCTCCTCCACGACCGAGCTCGCCCAGCCCGCCTCCCTCCCGGGCTCGTCCCCCGCCCCGTCCGCTCCCGCCTCGACACCCGCTCCCAAGGCCGCGCCGGTCGAGGAGCTGCCCGAGTCCATCGAGGACTTCGACGCCTTCATCGCTTCCTCCGTCACAAAGTATGTCGACGCCAGCAACAAGCTCGGCGGCCTCATCGCCGAACAGGCCGCAAAGGTCCTCGAGGGCTTCCAGAAGCAGCGCACCTTCCTTCTCATCACCGCAAAGGCCAAGAAGCCCAACATGAGCACCGAAGCCGCCCTCTACCAGTCCCTCATCAAGCCCATCCAGGAAGCGCTGGTCGCTGTCGGGGACATCAAGGAGAACAACCGTGGCTCCTCCGACTTCGCCCAGCTGAGCGCAGTGGCCGAGGGCATCATGGTCCTCGCGTGGGTCACTCTGGACACCAAGCCATTCAAGCACGTCGAGGAGTCGCTCGGCTCGGCGCAGTTCTTTGGCAACAGAGTGCTCAAGGAGCACAAGGACAAGAACCCGGACCAGGTCGCCTGGATCCAGAGCTTCTACCAGGTGTTCAGAGATCTCACAGAATACGTCAAGCAGTACTTCCCCAACGGGATCCCCTGGAACCCCAAGGGCCCCTCTGCGGCCGAGGTCGCCAAATCGGTATCGTCGTCTGGATCTGCCGCGCCGCCGCCGCCCCCTCCTCCTGCCGCCGGGGGTCCTCCTCCGCCTCCTCCTCCTCCTGGTCCTCCGCCTGTCCTCCAGATCAAGGAGCAGGCTGCGCCACCTGCAGCTGGAGGCGGTCTTGGTGCGGTCTTCAGCGAACTGAACAAGGGCGATGCCGTCACAAAGGGATTGCGCAAGGTCGACAAATCGGAGATGACACACAAGAACCCCTCGCTGAGGGCAGGCTCGGCTGTTGGTGATTCATCTATCCGGGGGAAGAGCCCGGCTCCTGGCAAGAAGCCCAAGCCCGAGAGCATGCGTGTCAAGAAGCCTCCCAAGATGGAGCTCGATGGCAACAAGTGGACGATTGTAAGTAGACCCCGACGGAGAGCTCTCACATTTCATGCCATCACACCAGAAGCTAACATGGATCGTACCAAGGAAAATTACGAGAAGCATGCGGAGCCCATTGAGATCGAGGCAGAGATGTCGCATTCCATCCTCATCAGCCGCTGCTCGCAGACGACCATTGTCATCAAGGGCAAGGCCAACGCCATCACCATTGAGAACACACAGCGCCTGTCCCTGGTCATTGACTCGCTCGTCTCCACCGTCGACGCCGTCAAGTCGTCCAACTTTGCCCTGCAGGTCATGGGCACGCTCCCGACCATCCTGCTCGACCAGCTCGACGGCGCCCAGATCTACCTGAGCAAGGAGAGCTCGAGCACCCGCGTCTTCACGAGCAAGTCTTCTGGCGTCAACGTCAATGTCATTTCGGGTCCCGACGATGACTACAAGGAGATCCCGCTGCCCTACCAGATCTGCTCGTACTACGACGAGAAGAAGGGCGACATGGTCAACGAGATTGTGGAGCATGCCGGCTAGACGACTCGGCTGGGGATGCGGATCGCATGCAGGGGAGGAAAGCAATTTGGATTTCAACACGGCAAGCTAGAAGAAAGTCATCTTTTCTGTGCGGCAGTACAAAGAAGTGTATATATGGTCAGAGGTGGTCTGTGAGATAGACTTGTGTAGATCTCAGAACAAGCATGCGTGACAAGTCTGCAAAGATGCTACTAGGTACTTGAAGTAGTTTTCCTATATATCTGTGCAAAGTCATCAAAGCTGTCATCAGGGGCGGGAGTTCTCAACATTACTCTACCCATCACGCCAGCACGCGAACATTGCATTTACTACAGACTACCAAGACAGGCATCTCAGATCTTTGGGCTTTATTTCTTTCTTCTTTCTTGACCTCTATGCAGGGAAATCTATATAGGTTATGCTTACAGGCTACCAGACAGATTTCTCGTGGGTTGGTGCCGAGATGTTGCCCGCGTGGCCCTACATTCCTCATCCGCTGCCACGTCTATGCGGTATGTTTCTGTCGAGGCAAAGCAAACAGAAAAGACATGGAGCTGGCTCGCAATCATTCGTGGCTATATACAAGTAGTAGTGGTGGTCTCGTCATGTTCGTGTTCGCCGGTGGTAGGCCACGCGCGCGAGCCTTTTGTGTGTCCACGGGGTCGCTATGCAAGTCGTGATTATCGCGTTTACAGCTTGGCCTTGGGAGCCTCGAGGGTCGGAGCCAGCAGATCGCGCATCTCACCTGCGGCTTCATTGAGGTAGTGGCTCATCTTGGCGCTGCCGAGGCCCTTGGAAACAACATTGAAGTTGATGCTATTGGCAGGACGTTAGTGATCTGGTATTGTCATCCACACGCGAGACATATGGAACTGACCTGTTTTCGTTGATCATGTAGGCGATACCGAAGCCGGCGTCAATGACTTGCGACCATCCGTATCCGTTGAAGAACTCGGAGCTGAGCTGACTGGTGGAAAGAAACCACGAGGAGCTGTAGCCAAAGGCAGGGTCCTTGTAGATGGTGGGCAACTCCTCGCCCTCCTTCAGACACTTCTTGAGGCCAAACAGATGTCTATCGACACCCTTGCCATCAGACGCAGCACTGATGTACTCAATGTGCGCAGCGGTCGCATTCTTAAAGAGCGCAACCTTGTCCTCGTCCGATACCGTAGGATCGGACATAGAATTGCACCAAGCGACACTCTCCTCGGAAACGGACCGGCAAGTCTCTGTGCGGCCGAGCTGGAACCGACGAGTAGCTGCCGACTCATATGTAGGCCGGTTCTTGCCGTACATCTTGTAATAGGCGAGCTGGATGATCATCTGGACGTAGGCATCGGGGGACGTCTTGAACTTCTTGATCAGGCCCTTGCCATAGCCCTGGTAGGCCTGCACGGCGAGCTCGTGTTGGCCAATGACCTTGTTGAAGTCCTTGACGGCACGGTCAATTTCGGCCTCGACCTCCTTGGTCACCTCAAAATCGACAGCGACAGGGTCGTGCAAGTTGGATCGCACAGAGGGGTTGCTGAAGTCCAGCTTGTTGTTGAAGATGACATCGTTGACGTAGTCGTTGAGGCGGTGCGTGGGAGTGCCGTCCATCATGCTGTGCTCACCCATGAAGCCGGAAGTGCCGTTGTCGTTGACAATGAACTGCAGGGGCTTGTCGTACCACCGGTTCTGGCCATCGCCGTGCCAGTACTGGTGGGCACGCTCCTCGTTGGTCACAGGCGCAGCGTCGTCGAGGCAGACCAGGAAGGCGGACGCCTCGATGGCCTCAAGGGCGGCGGCGTTCTTGGGCGACGCATCGAGAAGCACAGCACGCGCATCGGTCCAGACGTCACGGTTCTCGGAAGTCAGAGCGCCGACGGCGGGAGCGCGCTTGGCGAGCTCGTAAACCTTGGCAAACTGAGCCTCCAGCTCAGAAGTGTTGAGCTGCTGACCATCTACCTCATAGGTGATCTTCCAGAACTGGTTCTTGCGCACGGCAATCAGGTACTTGTGGTCCTTGGCCTCAAACTTGACCGGATAGTCGGCGGGTTTGGCGGCGACTCTGCTGGCGTTGAACATCCACTTGTAGCTGTCCATGCAGATGGGGAGCTTCTTCATGTACTCGGGTTCCAAAGTGCCGTTGTCAACGTCCTTCTTGAACTCGAGGACCGCGGTCGAGATGGCCGCAGCACGCTTGGCGGGGTCGCGCCGCCTCCGGTCGTCGCGGTGGGAGTAGAAGTAGCTGACGTAGGGGACAACAGGGTCGCGGTAGGAGAGGTAGGCCGCGTCGTTCCACCATTCGTAGATCCAGTTCTTGGTTTTGGGGTCCTCGCGCTTGGCGACGAGTCTCTGCTGGAGCTGCTCGCCGACACCGCCAGGCTTGATGAATTCCTGGACGGCTTTCGTGCTTGTGGCAAGCTCTGCAGGGCTCAGGAGGGCCTTGAGGGTCTTGACGTAGCGGGCGGCTGTCTCCTCGAGTTTTGGCACAGGGAGCTTGGGCAGCGACTCTTGGTATCTCAACATGGGGCCCTTGGACTTGTCCTCGACATAGCCTGGCGCATAGTGGGGTTCTCGTTAGCTAGACGCTCGGTAGGAGTTGTCGCTCGAGCCGGGCTACGGGCAAATGGGGATTGGAGCAAGGTGGGCGGCGCATTCTCTTACCCTGAGGCAGGGAGCTGTTGCTCCTTTTGGCGGCGGGAGCCATAAGGATGCTGGTCTTGTAGGTAGACTGGAGATGGCGGGCAGAGGTCCTGAGGGCGGTAGCTGGTACCCTGTTCTTTGCCAGTTGTGCCCACATCCCAGCAGCTTGTCGGCGCAAGAGATGGGGAGAAGGGGAGAGGAGGAGGGGGGAAAAGGAGAAGAGTGGAAGAGAGAGGGCGTCAAGTAATCAGAGGAAGCGTCACGGAGAGCCGAGGCCGAACGGGGACGGAGGTGTGGTAGCAGCGTGGCCGGCAATTAATAGCATGGGCTAGGCTGGCTGGTTGGCTGGCCCCGGTATGTTTGGAGTGGGTGTGGGTTTTGTGTGTGTGTGTGTGAGAGTGTGCGTGGGGATGAGCGGGCAGGCGGGCGGGCGCAAAAGGTGGAGGACGAGGCCGTCGCGAGAGCCGTGCAGCCGCGGTGAGACGGGGAAGGGGCTGCCCCAACCAGCCTAGGCCGCGCCGTGCCATTCATCGGTCTCAAGGCAAAAGTATCCTCTTGCCTGGCAGGCCAGACACCCATCAAAAACAACAGCCAAGTCAACGGGCCATCATGCATCATCGACTCTCACCCCAGCAGACGCAGCCGTCTGGAGGAGACCTGCCTGGTGACAAGGGGCAAGACCCTCACGGCTTTTGGATGTGCTTTGGCTGCGATACCAGCGCATTCCAAGTGTACACATTGCGTTATCGGCTTGCCTGCTTCTGGCACGGGCATCGGTCTCCAGCCTCGATTCTCTCTTACTTAGCGTAGTCTTGCAACAAAACAGCACGCGGCCAGGCGGCCTGGCCCTGGCACGGCCCCAGCCCATTACTCGCAGCTGTGCCGAGGTTAAAAGAAGCCGCCCACTCGTGCGGCGGCCAGTGGGCAGCCATGGCACCGAATGAACCGGCCCCCACAGACGGCCCTTCTCCAGATCTTTTCCCCATCCCCCCCCCCATGGCCCAGCTCGAAACCGACGCCGAATTCCGCCGTGGGGTCTTACCGTGCGGGCCCCCCAGTGCTCCGGCTCGCGCTTGACTGTGTCCTGGGAACCGCATGCGGCCCGGCGGGTTGTGACGTCGGCCGCAAGAAAGCCCGTCTCTGTAAACATAGCCACAAGTCCACTAACACGCTCTGATCAGTGTGATCGACAGACGCCTGGTTCTCTTGTCCTGGCCTGGGTATGCTCGTCCAACCCGTGGCTGAGCCATTCATTCCATACGTCACGGACCGCAAGCACAACGCCTTCCAACTGTGGTCGTCCAACAGAGGATGACGATGGAGATCAAAGGGCACCGGCCGGCTCGTGCCGTCCATCGTGTCAAGGCTCTGCATGCTCGTGATCGTCTGACCGTGCATGTGCCGTTGGCAAGCGGCGAACAGGCACAGCACGTGCACATGCAGGCCGGCCTGCATCACATCAGCGGCTCAGCGTTTTTCACATGTCAAGCGCCCTCCATACATACAGCTGGGGCCCCACACAAAAACCGCCCATGCACACAGCCCGTCAAAGTCCGCCAGAGCCGCCATCGTCTGGGCGCCCGCCCCTGGGCAGCCCGCTGCTGTCAAACTGCCCACGGCTCGGATCCGACGACATGTACGCTACACAACATGGCGGCATGACGATCATTGACACGGCTCAGTCGTCGCGGGAATCCAGGGCTCCTTCAAAATCGTACCTCCAAGTTTCAACACCACGCATTTCCGCATGCACGGTGTCATGACACTTCACCCGACGGCACATGGTGATAGTCGATGTTGGGCTCGTGTACAGCAAGCCCAGTCGTGATATCGACCAGTCGCACATACTTTCTCTGGAGTGCCCCTGGACCCTGTCGATCCAATTCGTGGCACTAAAGAAACACTCCATACACGTGCTGTCATTCCTCAGTTACTCTCCTTTCCTGTTGTTACCCCTTGCTTTACATCCCTCAAGCGAGTCAAGACTTTCAGCCAGGATGAGCTAGCCGCCCCCCTGCGATCAGTGGACATAATCAGGTTGTCCACAGAATTCGCCAACTGAAGGACATGAACATGCCCAATCGTCAGAGAGAAACCTCCATGCACCAGCGCACATTCTCATGACAGGACTAAGTCAAGCTATCCTATATTTCTAAAGTTTGGGTAAGGCTTCAGGGAAAGGCTTATGAACGAGAGTCGTGAAGGAGACGCAAGTATATACAGATGAGAGACAGGGAATGTGATTGTGTCCTCGTCGTAGAACCATAAGGAACGGACGAAGACCCGTGGTCTCTGTTCCAGAGTATCATTCGCCTACCGCAACATACCCGCCCACCGCACGATGAGACCACAAACTCCATGTAGTCCCTTCTAAAACAACACAACTGCCCCCAAAACACCCAGCCACAATGTCATCAATATGCTCAGCGTCCCGAACCCGCCTATTGAGGCGCTCAGCCCGGACGCCGTGCCGAGCAAGGCCTGAGTCTGCCCCGTCGCCGTCGCCGCCGCCGCTGACGGGAATCCCGTTGTGCCCACTGGATCCACGAGCGGCAAGACCGTCTGGACTATGGTGACGACCACGTCGCTCGTCACGACGGCCTCGGGGACCGTCAGTGTCACTGTGCTCTCGTTCTTCGGCCCACAGGCATCGCAAGTCTGCGTGATCGTGGTCATCGGCACGGTGGCCACACCACCACCAGCCTCCTCCGGGTTGGTCAGCGTCGCGTAGTACCCGTACTCGCACAGCCGGGCCGGGTTGGGCGGCGGCGCGCTGCAGATGTCCGTGTAGGCGACGCGGGTCACCACCACGCCGTCGGCGCCGTCGCGGCCTTTGCCCGGCGCGTCGGGCGGCGGCGGCTCCTTGGCGAGATTGCCGTAGACGGTGAACCTTCCTGCGGGTCCCGGCGAGGCCGCAGAGTATGATAGCTCCTTGCGCCCTGGCCCGCCGCAGAACTGGGAGCCGTCGCCAGGGCAGGGTGTTGTGCAGCTCGACGGGGTCTGCGCTGAGGCGTCCCCGAGCTCTGAGGCGCAGTAACAGGTACTGCAGACGTCATGGAAAGGGTTAGTCAGAGTATTTTCGAAGGTATGGATATGGCAGAGAGAGAAAAAGAGAGAGAGAGAGAGAGAGAGACTTACTCTGCCTGAACACCCGAGTACCGTTTGCCGGCGGCCGTGCATTTCGATATACACATCGAGTTGGTCATCGATGTCGAGTTCATCGCCTCGTCAAAGGTCGGGTAGCCGTCATCAGACTCGAAGCACCCAAGCAGGACGTAGCGCCCGATGGTCTTGAGTCCGAGAGGACCTGTCGTGGGTGCCGGGGCCTTACTGAGGGTCACGGTTTTTGTGAGGACATTGTGGGCAGCCAGTTGTGGCCTCGCGCTGGGGCGAGGGGAGCTCGAGTCTGGCCGGGAATCGCTCTTTGCCCTGGGAACCTTCTTCTGGTAGACGTCGATGTATCGGACGTCCCAGTACCTAGAGCAGTGTGGCAACTCTGTCAGTGGCCGAGATAAGATGCTGAGCCATAGTCACAGCAAGGGGAAAGCGCGCCGCTTACGCTTCAGTGTACGCTTCGGGGTGTCCGGCAACGTATGCCTCGCACGTAGACGCGAGCTTGCCGCAAGACTCTGTCTCTCGCCACAGACCGCCGGCGTAGTTTCCGCAAAAGTTCTGTGTCTCAAGTCGTGAGTATGTTTTACCATGCCGAGCGCATGCTTTGTGTTTCAGAGGGGGCCTTACGATGTTCAGGACAAGGCTCATGTTGTAAAAATACGTGTCGGCATCACAGCCCGATCCACCAAAGAGGGCGTGTGGCAGGCCCCATCCGGACGGCTGCGGGCGGCCGACTTGGATATCCGCGGGGACGCCGGCTCGCGGAAAGTGCCACATCTTGAGGAACTCGTCATCCCACTCGAGCGCGTAGACGCCTCCCCCGGCGGCGTTGAAGGCGTCGCCATATGATGTCGGATCCCGGGCCGGTGCTGCGTAGTTGCACCCAATCTGTCCTTTCTGCAGAGGTGCAGCAAAAGTGGTGGTCTCAGCATCAACCGATTACAACCTGCCCCCGTCCGTCCGGCGTCCAGCTTCCACTACTCACCTGCGAATCGCACTGCTCGGAGCCCTGGCTGCCCAAGAATCCGCCTTCTGGCAGCGCGCAACCAGAGTCTGTGTGCGCCGAGTACAGGTTTCTGATGGCGTTGTTGGCGCCTTCTACAATGCCAATCTCCCCTCCCTTTGGCCATGCGTCGGTGTTGTTGTTGAATGCCCAGACTACAATAGAGAAATCCTCGTTAGCTGTCCGACCTTCCCGCCCCCCTGCTGCAAACCATGTTGCGATTGCCCACTCACAACTAGGCCAGGAACCACACGAGGACGCGGGCATGTGCTCGAAGTCCGCAATGAAGAGTCCATGTGTGAAGCTGTCCCTGCTTGTGAGCATGACGCTCGGCCGGCCAGTATCGTTTGTCGACAGAACAGTGGTCGAGTCGACGCCGAGTCGCACATGGTTTCCCTCTTGGACAGATACGAGGCCATGGGCCATTGCACTGTTTTCGTCGAGATAACTAGGCGGTTCTTGGTCAGATTTGTCAAGTCAAACCTCGAGTTGCAATGAGACCAACTTTACGAATCCATTGCTGCGGTCGTCCCCCGTGAAGAAGTCGAAACTGCTCAGGAGACTGGCCCCGGCGTAGTGAGATGAAAGAGCGTAAGTAACATTGGAAAGAGTGGAAGAAGCCATGGCGGCTTTGAGCTGGTCAATGAATGTAAGGAGAGCAAGCTTCTCCGGAGAAGAATCGAAAAGAGAGGCTTTTGCCCGAAGGCAGCAAAAAGAGTGGTTGACGTTCCCAGTTGAAGATCTCACGATACAAGCATGTCAGGATGCATCGAAAAGGGAAACGCGTCGGAGCGGAAGGCGAGGCGCCATCTCCCATAAATGGCAGGGAGTCTGTGGGTCGATGCCCTTGGGGGGTCTGCTGGTCTGTCCAGGCGCAAAGAATGCCGTGGTATCATCGCTTTGGGCTCTTGGTTGATCGGGGAATGAAGATGAGACCTTCGGAATGGCGCAAAGAAAGGTGAGACATTGGCTATCTAGTCGGCCCCCAAAGTCGCGAACAGTGTCTACCGCGAAAGGGGGGGCCATGACATGGTCGTCGGGGATACATACGAAGTTCTCTACCCAAGGATTTGGCTCTCTGGACTTGGTTATCATGTGTTTTGATTACCTGTCATCTTCGTCACTAAACGAAAAAGAATTACCGGAGTGCGCAGTGATACGAAAATCGATGCGCGTACCAAGAGTGGACCCGTGTCGACTGTCGAACACACATTCCAAGGGCACTGCATTCAATCGCGTGCACAGTGATGGGCTGCGTGCGAAGGGGGGGGTCCAGTCCAGTGCTCCAGCAACCACAAGGCCGATGACAAGCACCAGTCAAAAGGACACGATCTGGCCGAGAACGATCGAGTCACGGTGTTCCATGGCAAAGCTCAAGCGACCAAGACCATGGTTTGCAAATCCGGATGGCCGTCCCAGCACTGGGGCCGGCAGCAAATTTCACATGAGCTTTTCGTCCTCGTGCTCCTCTTCGTGTCCGTGTTCCCAGTACTTGAGCTTGTCAACGTTACCGCAGACTAGTGATTATGATTACCGGTCAATAGGTATAGCCCACACCTGCGACTTCCTCCATTGTGTAGAAAATCAAAAAAGACAGTAGCAGAGGACTGGATACTGAGCCATGGTCAAGTGCTTGCCATGCAGTTTTACAGGATAATCGTGAATGGGTCGTCTTTCACCAATTTCCCTGTGTTTCCTGCCTGCACAGCGGCATTGATCATGACACTGCCGTTCGGCCTGACACCGCCCAGCATGAGCCACTGCCACAAGAGAGCCTTGACGTTCAGCAACAGAAAGCGAAGTGCATCAATCCAGGCCATAGAAGGGATCATGTCGTAGATCGGACCGTGAGCCTGCCGCCCCATGAACTTTTCGTACGCTCTTTGACTGTCGTCCCAGTATGCTCCTCGCATGCCTCTGCCCCAATGGACGTGGCCAAAGACGTGGACCAATGGCTTGACACGCCATACCTCGGCGAGTAGACTCGGACAGCCAAGGCTCAGGTCCATATGATGAAGCTTAATCTGTCAGTCACGAGACCTGTCTGCTGAGCTCCTTCACGATCAAGGGAGAATAATACATACAGGAGGTGTGTGGGAGATCAGTATTTCCGTATCTCGGGGGACCGCACCTCTCCACGGGTCGTCCTGAGAGAGATATTGGAAGCTGTTCCATGACATTAGTACGGTATCGTGTAGCGTAACCCAGCCGGTCCTTGCTTCCAAATTGGCAGTACTTACGCGTTGTCAGAACCACCGCATTTAGGGATGCCTGGAGCGCCGTAAAGATTGAGGCGGCGGCCATTGCTGAAAGACAGCGCCAGGGCATTGTGCTCGAGATAATGGACGCCTTTGAGATTCAGCTTCAAGTTCCTCAGTGCGTCCTCTTCCTTCCTGGCCACCGGGTCAAAGTAGTTGTCATGGTTACCAGCGACGAGCACCTTGTGCTGGTGGGGTAGAGCAGCCAGCCAGTCGATCTGGCGTTGGATGGACGCGACGGAACCGAGACTGGTCGTGTCCCCGGCATGGATAAGCAAGTCGCCATCAGGGACTTTGGGGACCAGTGAATCGTGGGTGTCGGAAATGCAGACGACGATCAGAGGGCGGCCAACTTTGGGGGGCCGCACTGGAATGCCTCGCAGCCATATGAAGAGGAGATGGAACCAGTACACAACCGCCTGCAGCGGCGACTTTAGAAAGCAGTCGAGCAAAGTCGGTGGTTCCCATTTGCTTGAGCGCCGGGTGGCAAGCTGCTGCAAGAGGCCCATCCTGAAGTTGACAAGCCCTCAGACCTAGCTTGGAGAGGGCGGGATGGGCTTGGCCAGGGCGCTATTTCTCCTGGTGGTGGTGATGAGGGCCGGCAGGTTGCGGCCCCTCTGGGAAGTCACCCCGTGGGTGTCTGGACAGCGAGACAGAGGATCCTGAATAGAGTAATTGTGGAATGCGGCTGGACCAAGCATGCATTGCATCTCGTTGGCTGGCAGGCTCCAAGGTCGAGGGCGGTGCGTGACGATGTCATCATAACGTGCACCAATGTTGAGCTGGGACCCACGAGAGCTGCTGATCCCTGCCAGCGCGCATGCTCGTGGTCGAGATGCCACGCGATGCCAACTGACAGCGTGCACGCACAGCAGCACCACGATCCGGCCAGACTGTAGAGTCTGCTGACTTCTGAAGAGGCGAGACGGGCGTTGCGTAGGGAGCGAGTCGAAGATTGAGTTGAGTTGAGCGCCGGGCAGGGGGACCGCCCGGATCGTCCCTGGGGATTGCAGGAGTGCTGCTCTGATCCCTGCAGGCACGCCCCTAGCGGGCGAGGCTCTAGCGATCAATGCCTGCTCCAGGTCCAGAGCTTCCCCAAAAGGCGACCCCGCTCATCGCAGAATGACGTTGACAACCCACCCCGGGCTCAGAAGCAGCTCCCGCCTTGGAAATCAAGCTGGCAGCGACAGTGTCGCGGTCATTGGTGTTGCACACACAACAAGGATACCAGATCTCTTGTCTCAGGCTTGTGCAGCAGCTAGCAAGGCAGTGATCAGCCTGCTTCCAAGCAGCTCTCCAGTCTCGGTGCACTTGACCTCAATTCCCTCTGGAAGCCACCTCTTCTTGCCTGCCAGATCACGCACCGAGCTGCGACAACACCTAGGCCTCATTTCGTCTTCTCACAAAGACATCCCTAGAGAGTGACAGGCGATAGCACGAGACGAGGCACCATGTCGAGTCTCAGGAGCCTCTACGCCAAGGGCGACGACCCGGGCCTCAGAACGAACATGGGGTAATTTTCCCCTCCTGTTTTCGGTCTTGTGAACATGACAATCATGGACTCGTGCTGACCTTCTCCCCTTCTCACAGTGTCGACTACGCCATCCATTACAAGATCCCCACCGATTCCAAAGAGCGGGCGGAGGCTGAGGCCGCTTTCACGCAGCTTGTCGAGGGCCTCACCAAAGTCGGCCTTGCTACCGAAGTTCGTGATGGACACGACTCGTCCCTGCTCATCTTCGTCAAGGTAGCCTCTGGCCAGTATCTTACGACCCAGATCTACCGCGAGCGTGTCCAGGATTGGCTCTACGGCGTTCGTGCCGCAGCGCCAGACAAGAACGTGGCTGCTGCCTTCGAGGCTGAACCCATCAGTGACGCTGAGCGGCTGCGGTTGGTATACCTGCTCATCACAAGACCCAAGAACGACGGTGGTGCTGGCATCACCCCAGGATCGGGGCAATGGAGCCACGTCGCTTCCATATTCCCTCTGCATGATCATGGCTTCAACAAGCAGTGGATTAAGGAATGGAGTTCAAAGTATGTCCTGACCGACAAGGACCTGCACAACATCCGGGACCGCTTCGGCGAGAAGGTTGCCTTCTACTTCGCCTTTTTGCAGTCCTACTTCAACTTTTTGGTTGCGCTTGCTGGCTTCGGGTTTGGCGCCTGGCTGATCCTTGGTCGTTACACCTTCTTGTATGCCGTGGTCAACTCAGTCTGGACTGTTGTCTTCTTTGAGTGGTGGAAGAAGAAGGAGGTTGACCTGGCTGTCCAATGGGGCGTGCGCGGCGTCTCAAAGATCCAACTTCCTCGAAACGACTTCAAGTGGGACCACGAGGCTGCTGATCCCGTCACTGGTGAGGCCGTCAAGGTCTACTCCCCCATCAATCGCTTCAAGACACAACTGCTGCAGATTCCCTTCGCCGTGGGATGTCTCGTCGTTCTCGGGGCTGTGTATCTCTTCTGCTTGTCAGTAGAGATCTTCATCTCACAGATCTACAATGGCCCATTCAAGACCTACCTAGTTTTCACACCAACCCTGATTCTGACTGGCGTGCTGCCAATGCTTTCTACGATTCTTGGCAATTTTGCAGAGAAGTTGACGGAAGCAGAGAACTATGAGACTCAAGACGGTAAGTGTCACGCCTGCCTAGCTCAAGTCTTGCTTCTCCTTTGCTCTAATACAGATGACTAGCCCACGACGCTGCCCTCGTACAGAAACTGTTCTTTATCAATTTCATCACATCCTACACTCCGCTGTTCCTCACGGCCTTTGTATACATGCCGTTTGGTAACCTTCTAGCCCCGTATCTGGACATTTTCCGTGTCACCGCTGAGAAGATCTCGACAAAGGGCGCCATCACCACTCAGGGCTTTGAGATTAACAAGGCCAGACTCAAGAATCAGATTGTCTACTTCACTGTGACAGCTCAGCTCGTCAACTTTGCACTCGAGACCATTGTCCCGATTGTCAAGCGCAAGGCAACGCAGCAAGTCGAGAAGATGACGTCAAAGGAAGCCGCTGCTGCGGATCCTGAGGGCGAGCATGCCTTTCTGGAGCGTGTACGCCATGAAGCGAGCTTGGCGACCTACGATGTGACTGGCGATCTCCGCGAGATGGCCGTGCAGTTTGGTAAGATGGCGCCGCACATTTGGATAACTGCATTAGTGGGCATTGCTAACGTATGGTTCTCTGGCCAGGCTACCTTTCATTGTTTTCCTGCATCTGGCCGCTTGCTCCACTTTCGTTCCTCATCAACAACTGGGTAGAGCTGCGTTCCGATGCGATGAAGATTGCGGTCTCTAGCCAGCGGCCCATTCCCTGGCGTGCCGACTCCATCGGACCATGGCTCAACTCACTAGGGTTCCTATCCTGGCTCGGTAGCATTGTGAGCTCTGCCATCGTGTTTCTCTTCAACAATGAGAACGAGGGTCCCGGTGGTGAGCCGTGGGAGATTAAGCTCTGGGGTCTTCTGCTGAGTATATTGCTCTCCGAGCACATCTATCTGGCACTGCAATTTACTGTACGCTATGTGTTGAGCCAGATCGAGAGTCCTGGCCTGCAGAAGGAGAAGGCCGAGAGATTCGCTATGCGCCGGCGTATGCTGAAGGAGAGCCTTGGTGAGGAAGTTACCCAGAAGCCCATCCCGCCCACGGTGCAGAGCGGTGAGAAGATCACTCGCAAGGCACTCGAGGAAGAGGCCAGGGAGATGTCTGTCAAGGGATCAAGCCCTGAACAAGCGTGAGTCGTCCAAGGGTCCTGTTCGGACTCAATTGAGCTAATTATGTCCTATAGATTCTGGCACCGCCAGCAGGGGATGGATGAGACCGTGCAGGTTGGTCGGCACATCTTCTCTCAGGTAAGTCTCACCGCGCCTTGCCCACGGGAACGTTGCTGACTGTGGACGTAGCATGCTTCGAACAAGACGGCAAAAGCTTGATTGGGTCCAGACTCAAAACAACAGCCAGTATCGCTGCATGATCATGGCCTATCCAAAATGCTGGACTATATTTCCAGACTGTAAAGCGTTGCAAGCGAGGAGGAAGTGGAGGGATAGAGATTGTGATGGAAGAAGAGTGGGAGAGATGGTGGACGCGTAATTGAACACAAAAGCGAGTAATGGACGGTCATAACGTGACCTTTTTTGAGTTCACTTGAAGGATACAACTACATATTTATGGTGCGCCGTATGGTATGCGTGATTGACAAAACGTTGCCAAGATCCTTGTGGCATCTTGGATAGACCATATTGGAGTATGAATACAGTGTGGACACTGTATCTTGGCCTTCCCCGGACCTCGGCACTTACCAGGGCAGGGCACCCTTTACCATGCAGCCGTACGTACACTAAGTCCGTAGCGTATGGATGTAACTGCCCACTTCCCACGACACCCGACGATAAACACCAAGGCCCATTCATTGTCGACAGCGCAGCGACCATCAGCGCGAGGACCGCCAACGAGCTGCATACCGGCCTCCACCACCTAGCACTTCGAGCCGCCCGCACGACCTACCACCTCCACCGCGAACGACGATTGCTGACGACACCTCAAACCTGCGACGTCAACCTCGGGTGGCGGCCATCCCGACGAGGCGCGAGCACAGAGCATCCCGACAAGCGAGCGCGGCTCTGCGAGGTCACCGGCGCCATGGAGTTCATGGCGGCCCTCCGGGGCTCGTTTGACGACCAGAAGCCGTCGCTGTTTGAGCTGCTGTCGGAGCAGCAGCTCAGCTCGCTGCTGCCCCCAACACTGCGATACCTTTTGACGGTGGCGACGCAGCGCTACCCGCGGTACCTGCTGCGGCCGCTCAACTCGTTTGACGAGCTGTACGCGCTGCTCATGGTGCTTGTGGAGCGGCACTACCTGCTCACCCGCGGCGGCTCCTTCACCGAGCACTTCTACGGGCTCAAGCGCGAAAAGGCGCTCGAGGCCGAGGTCCCGCGCGCGGCGGCGAGCAGCCCGGCCGTGGTGCGCGACACGCTCAAGCTGACGACGGGCGACGTGTGGAAGAACCTCGCCGTCATGGTGGGCATCCCGTACCTCAAGCGCAAGCTCGACGACACGTACGAGGTCGAGGCGCCGCGCGCCCTGCTCGGCTCCAGCTACACGCGCATGCCCGCCAACCCGTCCGTCAAGCAGCGCATCCTCCACTACTACAAGTGGTTTGTCCGCAACGTCTACCCCAGCGTCCACGCCGCCTACTACTTTGCCATCATCGCCTTCAACCTCGCCTACCTCTTTGACGGCTCAAAGTACCACAACCCTTTCCTCTGGCTGATCGGCACCCGTGTCCGCCGCATGAACGGCGCAGACTACCACGCCATCGAGCAGCTCACAAAACCCACCGCCGCTGCCCTGGCGGGTGCGGGCCGTCCGGCCCCCGGCGGGTTCTTCAACCCGCGCACCCTGGGGCCTCGCCTGCTCGGCAGTCTGAGCGTGCTACTCCCGACGAGCATATTCGCGCTCAAGTTCCTCGAGTGGTGGTACGCCTCCGACTTTGCAAAGCAGCTCTCGCGCAAGGCCGCCGAGACGTTGGAGCTGCCTCCACCGATAATATCCGGGCTCGGCCTGCTGTCACCACCGCCAGCATCACAATCAACATCATCATCGAAACACCCCGCCTCCACCAATACACGCAACAACACAGACAGCGAGGAACCCGCAACCCAACAACCACAACCACATCCCCTCGCCGAGAACGCCCCGATAGCAACCCCCTCCCTCCTCCCGATCCTGACAGTCCCCGCTCCAGAGGACTCCGAGGTCTGCCCGATCTGCGAGGACGACATGACGACGCCGACCGCGTGCCAGACGGGAGTCGTGTACTGCTACACGTGCATCCACCGCTGGGTCGAGGGCGCCCACCCGAAGCAGGAGGCGTTCATGGCCGGCGGCAGCATCAGCGAGCCCGAGAGTGGCGGCGGCGGTGCTGGTGCAGCTGGTGGCAGTGGCAGCCGGGAAGGGAAATGGGAGAGCGGCAAGGGCCGGTGTGCGGTCACGGGCCGCAGACTGCTCGGCGGGACCGAGGGCCTGAGGCGGATCATGGTGTAATAATAATAACCTACGCACGAGCATTGAGACATTGCTCGGCAAGGAAAGGGAAGCTGGAGGAGGGGATTGGACATTCAAAAGCACACAACATGATCAAAGGTTTATGGGAAGCAAAGTCAGGATTTCTTTGGCGCGCTTGGCCTCTGCACAGCGCTTGGTCGCATTGCACATACATGTGCCCTTCGGTCACGCTTGCTTCTCTCCTCCCCCCCCCCCCCGGTTCTTCCTGTACAGATACACATTTAGTTCGGATCGTGGCTATCATAAGCGGGCAGGCGCGGCATTGCAATTCTGCATATATTTGCATAGTTATGTTGACGGCAAGTTTTACAAATGTATACATACTGCACATGTCAATATACCTCTGCTTTTGGAAATTGGTATCGTTGGTCACTGTGATTTTTGTCATCACAAAATTCCAGGCTAGATGACTCCACCGCGGCCCCTGTAGGGAACTCTGCTGGCCTCCAGGCTTGCTTGAGTGTTTTTGAATTCCGTGTATACCAACGTAGGTACACACACTTAGCGCAGGTACGATATCTCTTGAGATCCTGGGGACAAAATTTCAAGGCAGGTAAACGAAACGGTGACGAAACAGACTCGCCTCCAGATATCTCCGACCCGCCTCTGAACGACGTGAAAGCTCCCAAAACTATTTGGCCCCGGCAGAAAAGGCGCCAGGCATATACAGACTCCTGAACTCATGGTAAAATGTGGCATCCAAGAAAGAGCAGGCAGAAAAGGGCACCGGCCCGAATCGTCAGTCCCTCTCCGTCCAGATGATCTGCGATCCGATAATCTCGATGTCGGTTCCGTCGATAATTTCAATCTCGGGCAGGCTGGCCAGGAAGGCGGCCTGCGCAGCCTCATCAGCCTCTGTCATCTCGCCATCTCCGGCTTCTTCACCATCTCCATCACTGTGATCCATTGCCTCGTCGTCATCATCCTCTCCCTCTTGATCGTCTTCATCCTCATCCTCCTCATCTTCTTCATCGTCGGTAATAGGTTCATAGTCCTCGTCCATCGCAACATCGATGATGGGCAGGAAGTCGTTGAGCATGACGCGCTGCTCGTGGTTGCTGGCTGCTATCCGGTCTGAAATCTTCCAAAACGCAGTAGGTCCAACGGGCCCACGCGGGTCGTAATCTCTGTAAGTGGCAGTCAGCATACGCCCCGACTCTATACAGCCGTGGATACTGCCTCGTCCAAGGCCTCAATGTTGTGACTGGGGTTCAGGAGGCCATGATTGGGAACGGCAAGCTTACCTGTCAAACCAGTTTCCCAGGACGCCGCGAGAAGACTTGACGCCACCAACTTGCACACTCTCGCTCTTCCACCGCTCAATACCCCCGAATATCGAGACTGTTGTCCATCGTACCTCGCCTTCCTTTGTCATCCTGACAGTGCCTGCAACGCAATAATTTGGTCAGCAGTTTGCCAACACCCCCGACCACCGGCCAAACACACCTCGAATAGCAATCATACCTGCCAGATCGGAGTTCGCATTATCGTCCCAGGTGTCGTCCAGCGACCGCGAGATACCCCGGAAGTGTACAACTGGCATATCCTGCCCGTCGTCAGGGCCAGGCTCCTCAATTTCCGTAACCGCAATTTTCATCAGGATCAACCTCGTGGCCTCACCCACATCGATGGCTGGCCGCGGCACGTCAGCTGGTAGAGGGTGCGGTTCCTGGGCGAAGTTGTATGCAAAGAAGTCGTTATAGTCGAGGAAGCACACGACGCGGAGCCAGGTGCCGTTGATGCCATACGGGTCGTCCAGAGGCCTCTTTTTCTTCCTCTCGCCATTTGCATCTACTTCTTCCTCACTGTCCTCGTCGTCGTCTGCTTGCGAACGGAGGGCTTGTGGGGGCATCGAGATTGGCCTCGAGCAGTTCTCACACTGCACCCGCTTCTCTCCATTTTCGTCCTTGTCATCGTCATCCGCGAGCATCGGCAAGCCCATGTACGAGTTTGGCCACACGCCCGCAAAGGGCGTGGCCCAGAAGTTCTTGTATATCGGAAACGACTCGAGCCCGAGCTTCTCGAGGTTCGCGCCGAGAACAAGCATGATAGCTTCGACCATCTCCCAATCCACCTTCAAGGTGGCGTCGCCGCCCTCCTCGCTTGTGCCGCTGCCACCCATAAAGGGTCCCCACTGCGTCTGTGGCGTGTACTGTCGCAGGTCATATACGCGAGAACAGGCAAAGGGGCGCATCCGGCTCTGTCGTGTGCGGTGGGACTCTGGATGAGCGAACTGAACCGGCTTGCCGTACAGGCAATGCAGCTTTGCGCTGCGCATGCGGTCCGTCTTGCGCGGATCCTGTTCAATAATCTCGTCCTTGCTGTCGTTGCTGTTATCGCTTCCAGAACCTCCGGTAGCAGCACCACCGTTGCTGTTGTTCCGGCCACCATTGCTGCCGCGGATGTTGCTGTTGCTGTTGGACTTGTAGATGGTCTCCGCCCGAGCACGCTCGTATATGGACGACCTGCACAGGAATGCTGCCTGGCTCGTCTCGTCGGCGAATAACGAGGCGAGCACCTGGGCATTGCGAGAAACCGGATGCGTGGCCGAGGTGGAAGCCCTCGAGCCTTTTGTGGTTGCGTTTCTGAGTAGCGTGGTGACCGTGTCGTACACGAATGGCAGCTCCTTCTTCTGTACCAGGGAGTCAGCGCGCCCGTCACAGTCGTGGGAATGCACCGAGGCACGAAGTGCCAGCTCCCTTTACCTTATCATTCACTCTTTTTCGCCCACAGACGACTTGTAGTCTTACAAAGTCCTTGAGCTGCTGCTCCCACTGTACGTTGGGGGCGATCTCTGGTGGCGGCGTGTCGAGATGGGCCAGGTAGACGGCCTTGTAGAGCGGCGCGTTGTCCCGCACGGCATAGCTGAGGGCCTTGCAGACCTGAGGCACACTGGCGAGATCCTGTGGCGCCACATGGACGAGGACGTGCTGAATGATTTCTGGAGGGAGCTCCGTGAGGAGTGTCATGGCTGTGGATTGGGCTTGGCGGGGTACCGTGGACGGCCGGTCTCTCTCCTTGAGAGAGTTTCTTGAGGCCTGGGAGCCGGCGTCGCCTGCCGGGGAGATTGGCCAGTTGTAGGCGAAAAGAAAAAAGGATCGGGTGCTCTGCCTTGTCAGAGGATGTGGCTTGTGAACAAGGGGTGCATAAGTAGCCGCCCCGGTGCTGCCTCGTGGCGTATAATGCCCGTAGACAGCAGGTGCTGATTAGCGGCAGGCAAAGACCCGAGTGAGGCTAGCCGTGTGTTGTTAGTCGAAAGATGCTGGCCGAGATGGCAGCAGCCCGATGTCTTCGTGTAGATGACGACCGGGTTGGACTACGGACGCTGTGGACCCTGTCCAGGCCAGCCCTGCGATCGGAAAGAGCGCCCAAGACGGACTGCGGCGCAGGACTACCTACTTGGCGTACCCAAGGCAGTGTAGGGAAGACGAGGAGGAGGATCAGGGTACATGGAGAACAAGGGCGTGGAGTCGAGAAGAGGAAGATGTTGGATGTTATCACTAAACGTTGGAGCACGCCTTGTCTCCGCACACACCCACAGACCATATCCACCCACCTGCTCACCCGCACGCACATGGCGCGAAACGAGGCTTATCGCCGACCCCGAATGCAGCAGCAGCAGCAGCGGCAACAACAGCAAACAGCACCTTGCCCCGAGGCGGGAATCAGCCTGCGGGTCATCAGGGCGGGGCATGGCCTGGGCTCTCCGCGAAGTACAGATCCTACTGCTACACAATGAATGAATGCGCCTCCGGGTGTAACCCAAAAGCTGTCGAGGTTGACAAATGTCTACCTCTGCTTCTTCTCAGCCAAGAGCGCGCACTTAAGGGTTCTCTAAGTGCGCAAGTACGTAAGTACGGTAGGGTGAGCTAGGTCGCTGCGGGGCACCAAGCAGCACTGCTAATGCTGACGCTGTTGCTGTGGGGCCGCGCCGACCGCACCACCAGCGAGATGCTCCTCCTCCTCCTCCTCCTCCTCTACCTAAGCACAGTAGCCTTCCCAGGTCGTTTCTTCATACTCAGCCTGACGACCACACCGGGGGCGAAAGGGGGCACACAAGTACGCGCGCCGCACCTGGAGATGACAAGGCGACGGGTGTATCTTCGCTTACTCATTTTTGTCGGCTTGGAACCAGGCGTCCTCTCCAGCACGATTGGAGCAGAACATCCTGTCCGCACATCAAATTACAAATTCGCCATGCTCTTGAGCCCCCCTCCCCCCCACAGTCCGCTTCCACTGACTTGCGGAGCTATGTCTCCCTCAGCTCCGGAGCTAACGGGGTTAGCACGCCAGATCTCCAGTTTCGCAGGCCCAAGCGGCACATCCCCCACACACGCAGTTCTTCGAGACATCGCAGGCGGACATGTTCGTCTCCAATTCTGTACATTCAAACTCAAGGCTGCGCCTTGTACGGGGGTATATATGTGGAAATGGGGAAAAAAAGAAAAATGCATCTCTAGGCAGGTATTCCTCCTGCCATGGCTGCGCAAAGTGCCAATATGCCCAAATGAGCAGTAAGACTTGGAAGCTTACCGGGCTCAAAAAGTAGAGCCCCGGCCTGAACAGAAATAAGTGTTTGAAGTCGTTTGCCAAAATCGTGCCACTCCAAATCGTCACCATCGCAAAATCATAGGGTTCGCTGGCTAATGCAACAAGAACACGTCATGGCATCGTCCCCCGTCTGGTCGTTTTCTTCCCCCCTCTAACCCCCCAAGGATGGCTCTATCATGGAGCCGGCGTGGCGTTGAGCTGGATGCAGTTGCTCAGCAGATTCGCGCCCTCGTGCAGAAGCTCCCACCGCGTCGACGCAAACGAGTCCTTCAGTACCATCAATAGCGCACTATTCTGGTTGATCCCTCGCATCAGCTTCAGATCCTCTGGGGAGCTCACTGACCCAAGACGTTGCAGGTAGTTGCGCATCTGCTCGACCTTTTCGGGCTGTGAGGTTGGCACCGGTGCCTTAGGACACGGCCCCTCCAGAGCATATCCGTAGCACCAGATGCACAAGGCGGCAAAGTACATGACCCACGGCCGGTTCAGCAGCACATCGTCTCGAGCAACGTATGGTACTCCGGACACGCTGCTGGTCCCGTCGGATTGCGGCGAGCTGGTGTCCTCCTTCAGCAGTACCGAGCAAAGAAACTTGAGAGCGTAGAAGGTCGCATCCCTTGCTTTTGCCGATGGCGCCCACTGGTCCTTCATCCGCCTCTGCGCGCTGTTCAGATCGTGCGAACCAATGGCCCGCCCAAGTAGCCGTTTGGCCCTTGCAAAGATCTGGCAGTCCACTATGTCCACGTGCATGGCCATGTGGGCCAAGTGGTGCAGGACATTGCGACTTTCAAACACGACATATGAATCGCCTCGCTTCTCGTAGCTGTAGGGATCAGCTGCCGCCTCGATGCGCTCCAGCGACTTGTCGAAATCGGTCTTCCAAGAATCAAAGGCCCGTGTCAAAGTCGACCGCCATTTATCACGACCTCCCAACGCCTGCGTGATGCCGTTGCCCAACGTGCTGATCTGCAGGTCTCGCTGGTTCATGTGCCAGCTGACACTGAGCAACCCGGCCATGAGAATCTGTCGTCCGAATGGGTTCGTCCGGACCTCTTGGTGGCCCAGCGTCCGCTTGAGGCCTTCGAGAAAAGAAATTGGCTTGATCCCATTCGACATCAAGTTTGACTCGATCCTGCCTACCTCGGCTCCACTAGTGGCTTTCCAGAGCTGGTCGTCGCACGGCAACGGGAGCCGCATTTCATGAGCGACCATGACCGTCGAGTGGCCAAACATGGTGGCATGGATCGAGTCCAGGAGGAACGCAGCAAACGCCGTTCTCCGTGTCGTCTCGTTTGTGATCCAGTGGTTCCACCACTCATCGGGTGTTTGGGCTTGGGCCGAGGTTGACGAATGGCGAGATCCATTCATGCCAGACTTGTCGTCCCGGGGATTCGGCGGTGAGTCCATTGCAGATCTTCCAATCAATGATCGGCCCCTGCGCATCAAGGTAATGGTCGTGGCATGATGAATGTGAGCTCGCTCATGGAGCTCTCTTGTCGAGTACATCTTCTCGTATAATTCCAGCAGGATCAAAGTCTGGAAGATCCAGAGTTTGGCTGGTGGCCGGAAATTGACATCCATGAAGATCTCCCACCTGAGATGCCACGCCAAGAAATTGGAGAGCTGAGCGCCAGCCCTAGTCACTTGAGGGCTGTGGGTTCGATCAAGGCAGGCAGCCCCGATGGAGATGACGGCAAGCAAGAGTAAGTTTGGCGTCTTGTCGGGTGAAAAGGTCGGTTTGTGCAGTATTGGCATCTGGTCGCTGAAGTGAAGCCAATAAGAGCCAATGTACTGTTGCATCATCCTGCGACTCAGCATGTGAGTGTCGTCACCCCGGTTGCCCTCGAGTATGTTGTCGCGTTGACGCTCGACTGGCGCGTGATCGTTCTCATGGAACCTGTCCTTGATGAAATCAAAAAGTTCCTGGCTCTTCTCCTCAGACAGTAGAGACTCTGGCAGATTCTGGTCAAGCAAGTTCGTGACAGACATGACTTGCTGCGGCTGGTTCGACGGTGGAAAGAAGCCAAGCGGCCCTCCATCAGGTCCATAATATGGCACGCTATACTGTGTTTGGTAGTCGCCATAGCTGCAGGGATATAGTTAGCACGCATCATCACTCGCAACAGTGCAGCAGAGTAACGTACCTAGAGTATTGGTTGCCTGACATCATTTGCCCCATGGTGGGCGACGCGTCAGGAGCACCGGTGCTGAACAGGTACGCCACGAGATCATCAGGAATCGACGAGTATGGTGACTTGTTGGAGAACCCTTCACCAAAGACAGGGATCGTTGTCGGCTGCGCCCCAATCTGGTCTAGGAGCATCATGTCGGCGGACGCTTGGTTCTGGCTCGGATCGACGTAATCGCCAGCCGGATCGGGCTCAAAGCCATGGGATGAGTCCCGCATCGCGTTCGACACCGGCGCTGCCGAATAGTCGGATGGAGGCAAGGAGAACGGCGGAAAATTCTGCGGCGCGACATATGGCATTGCGGGCGCAGATTGTGGCGCATGTGACTGAGGACCATGATAGGCACCGTGCTGTGTCGGCACCGGGGAGAGCACTCCATAGTTGCCACTGTTGCTTCGCTGAGCCTGCCGGCGAGTGTCAGGCGACTGGGCACTTCCGTGCCCGTTTCCGTACGCGGCTGATTCTTGACTCTGGTATGTCGCGACCCCATTTGTAGACACGGCGGGCGCATATCCCACCGAAGCGCTGTTTGCCACCGGACTATAAGAACCAGTACTGCCATCCCTGTGTGTTTGGTACTGATAGCCCGGCTGCTGTGTCTTGAGGAAGCCGCTAGAGGGGCGCATGGCTTCTGGTGATGCTGGGCTGTTCGTCATGCCGAGCTGAGGTCTAATGGACTCGACTGGAGACGACTGACCAACCAACGAGTCCCGCCGACTCAATGTTGAGCCCTTCGCCGAATGTCGATCTTTATGGCGGTTGCACAGGTCCAAGCGCACAAATGTGCGGTTGCAGTCCGGGAAATCGCACCGGTATATTTGTTTTGGAGCGTGATTCAGCTGGTGCCGATATCTGAAGGGCAAGTTAGCATCAGTCCATCACAGCTGACAACTCGCGCGTGGGAGTCTGGTGGATAGACTTGCAAGTGTTCTGCACGGGAATAGCTCTTCCCACACCCTTCGGTCGGGCATTCAAACTTCTTTTCGAGGCCCTTGCGGCTACGTCTCCGTTTCCGAGCAGGACCACCATCCGAGTTGGAGTCGCCATCGTTCTTGCCCTGCCCATCACCACCCTGGTCACTGTCATTATCTTCCGAGTGCCTGTCCTCCGAGAGACCCCTCGCTCGGCTCCGGTCGACCTCCATTTTCGTCCCGTGCTGAGCCCCAACATCTTGCATAAGTGTCATGGCTGTGTCAGCACGTGCCCGTGGCAGCACTGTCTGAATCTCTGAAGACTGCGACAGGACTAGCGAAATCATGATTCAGCTGTCGACATTGTCCTTGGGGAGTAGACACGATCGGTCGCGCTCTGGTGCTCTGATCTAGGCATGCGAGGACGGCAACAGGGACTGTGCGCAGCTCGTTGTCAGCACGCGGGTAAATGCTCGCCGGTGCTCGTTGGTGGGTTGTCTTCGTGCCAATCTTCCGGTGCTGCGCCTGACAGCGCTAGAGGTCGTGATGGACAACCTAGGACGAAGATTTTCGCACGAATCTCGTAAGGATCGAGCCGCCTCGCTCGGGAGCAAGAGGAGAGTAGCTGCACGACTTGAGACGAACAGCCACCAACCTTTTGCTTGGCGTCTGGTTTTGAACAAATGCAAAAGGATGCTGTGGTCGCTGGGTAGTGAGTATTGGCGCAGCCGAAAAGCTGCGCTGGTGCGTGTGGAATCGACAGACAGAAGGTTCCGCGGCCGAGCACACTGCAGCAAAGGTGGTGAGACAGGCGGGCTTTCCGAGCCAGCAAGTCGAGGTCGCTGCTTCTTTGGGGGGCGACGGCGTTGTTGTGCTACATGGGGCGCGGGGGAACTGTCAAGCGAGGCCGTGATACCACGAGGCGGAAGAAGGATGCTCGCCGCTTCAGCAGAAGGCGGTTGAGATGGAGTCTGGAGGGAAGCGGTAGTTGCGCAGGCGCGTGGTCGACGAGCCGGGCTGTCTATTATTGGAGAACGGGTTAATGGGGGGCCGGCGGGACGGGAGGAGAGGCCCGGCTGGCTGCGCACTTGGGCGGGCTTGTCCATGATGAGGAGGGTCATGAGGAGCTGCCGCCTAGGCTAAGCTAGTGCGGCTGCCACCCTCCAAACCCACCCACCCCGACGCAGCCGCGAGCGGGGGTCCGTCTGTGATGTGCACCCACGGCTGCTCGGGCCCTTTGGGCAAAAAGGGCGCCAGCCAGCCTGCCAGGCGAGGTGAGACCATTTCCTGCGTATGCCACCGCATGCCCCAGTGTCTTGCGCGTGCCTGCCTGTCTGGCTGTGCAGGCGACCCCCCGGGCGGCATAGGGACATTTGCTCAAGCGGCCCACCACGCGCACCTATCGAGCTGCCCATGCATGCCCGGGGTCCTCCTGTTGGTGTTGCGCGCTCGCTGCTTTCGAGCATGGGGTCGAGTGGGTCGGCATCACCAGTTGCGTGCTGTGGTGTCTGGGATGTCTTCCCAAGGGTTGTTGCAGGTCGCAAGGGCCCGCTGGCCTGGGGAGGGATATGGCCGGGGCTGCGCAGAGGGGTCTCGCCTTGCCGTGTCGTATCTGATGTGGGCAAGCAGAATCTGTTCCGTCCCTCTCTGAGGTTTCCGGTCCGTTCCTGAACTTGGCTTCACGCAAATGCGAATGCCCTCGGCAGATCACCCATATTTGAAGAGTCGCCAGGTTGCGGCCGCCGTGGCCCGGTAGCTTCCGCAACATGCCGAGTGTGCCCCAGAGGAGGGGAAAGGGACTGCAATCTACACGTTTTGTGTGACCCGAACGACGGACACCTTGGCGCGCTCCGTTGCCCAAGCAGAGACTCAGACAGGTCAAGGCTTTTGCGGGAAAAGACCCCCAGTCACCAAACACGACTTGCGCAGAGAACTGTGGAATGAGCGCGGAAACGGCCAACCATGGGCAGCTACTCGTCGTCAGCGACACTTATGCAGTTTGACAGGATTAGGAGCGCGCAGAGGCGCGTGCCCGAAACGTTAATGGTGAACAAAGGGACAATGGAAACGAAATGTGCCCTATTGACCACTAGGGCAGCAACAGGGCTTCGAGGCCCAGAAATCAACCATGCTAGAGATTGAAAGCCCCCAGTGCCAAGGCGTTCGTCGTCGGCCCTAGCGTAGTGTACCTATGTCCGTCCTTTCTCAAAGCCAGGTGGCCCGGCGCAAGACAGCCGATTCCAGACTGTCAGAGTGCCGAATAGAGGGTTCTAAAACTTTGCAGTGCAGCCCCGATGAAAAGTGTGGCAGACCAAGCAGTGTGTTGGCTAGGTGCGCAACCAGGGTAGTGACCCATGGCCATGGTGCTTCCATGCTGCTGTTGTTGTTGTTGGTGGTGGTGCCAGCAGCTCAGGGCAGTCCGAGCCCCTCCACGTCGGATTCCAGAGGAGAATCTGGAGGTGGGGAAGAGTGGTGGAACAATGGCAGATCATGGACTCCTCTACGTGCGCCTGCGGGAAACGCACTGGTCACCGAGGGAGCCGTGCGGCTTACGCCCCTGTGCTTTCGAGCCATGACTGTGCATGCTCCAACCAAGCTCTTGTCTCGAAATCTGCAGTGTGTTAATTAGTTCATATTCCCGCATCACCTCGATGGTGGCTGTCGGCCGCACTCCACTTTCCCTTCGGGCGGCACGCGGACAGGGGTGATGGCTGGGGAGCGATGCTGGACTGGAGATGGTCGTGTGGCATGCCGATGATCGAGCAGATACTTAGTCTGTACTATGGATGGTACAATCTTGCTGGGCGCATCCACTGGGACCGCTGAAGTTTGTGGCGCTGCTGGCAGCACCAGCTGGTCTGCAATGTTGCGTGAAAGAAGTCTTCGCATGCTTGATCGGAAGCGATGTCGCATGCATGGGCCGCGCCACGCGACGGTCGAGTCTCCTGTCACGGCGGCCAATGTTATTCGAATGTGGGTGGGATGCGCTCACAGCAAATTGGAGAGCTTGTCTTTTGGTTCGCTGTTCAAAGCAAAACATGTTTCTCTTGCCGTGTCATGCAAGGCACAGCCAACTTGTGAGCCGCGGTGAGACCTTCTGCTGTTGTTTGGATGCCAGTGTCCAGACCTGGACTGTGATACATGCTTTTTACCAGGGAGCTCGATATCGGCCGAGCCAATCTGTGGTCTACGTCGCCAATGCAGTGGATGCTGCCCAGGAATAATTCCACAAATGACCAGCGCTGGCTTTCATGAATCCAACAGCGTTCGACCCCCGAGGGCTCGTGCCGACTTCGGGCATCAGGCAAGATGGGCAGCCAAGCACAAGTGGTCGTAGATAGAGCCCGCGTACCAGGGCTGAAACGACTTGGCCCTCCGTGGAGAAACCGAGACAGAACAAATGTTGTAATTTCAATGGCACCGCGCTCCCTGTCCTCGAGGCATGTTCCCTCTTCTGGCAAGGAACTCTAGGGGCACGCGTCTCGAAAGTCGCTGGTGCTTCGGTGAACCCCCACGCAAGCTCCGTTGAACGCCATGCTCGGCTGTCGGTGGGATGGCTTCCTGGACCCTGGAGGCTGCTGGCCTGCAGGAGAGATGGCGATCTGACCATGGTGCTGGGAAAAGGGCAGAGTAGTGCCTGGACCAGGATATGCCTGCCAGCTGAGGAACAAGTCATGAACTACTAGCGCGGAGGAAAGGGCTGTAAGTCGAGGGTACGGAGTAGCGGCCACAGAAACAAGGATGCGGAGTCTCTTGCATGCCCTCGGACAAATCGCGCCCCCAAGCTGGATCGAGGCTGCGATGCCAACTGACTCCCGTCTTCCACAGAGTATTTGATGATGACCTTGCGCAATGCCGCGAAGCGCGGCCCCAAGTGGGACAAGGGACCGGCCGCGCTGAGCGAGGAAGCATCTCATGTCTTCAACGACGCCAGATGACGGGTGGATCGTGGAGTTGGAGCAGCATGAGGTGCCAGCGCGCGGGTGCCTGTCTTGCTTGTTGGACCTCAATGGCCTCGATGGCTGCGCTGGCCTTGGGCGCTGCGTCAATTTTGCAAGGTGTGGCAGGCGCGACCAGTCATGGGAATTTGTCAACGACCATCTGGCCCGGACAGCCAAGATCCCCAAATCTTGGCTTCGTCACGCCTCTGGACACAGCCGCAGGGGCCATCCATGCCCTGCTTGCGTCCGCCGACTCTGGTTCGTCCGCAACCCATCAAGTGGTTGGTGCCAATGTCGTCCGTCCTCGGCGGGACCTCGAAAAAGCAATCGCCTGCAGCCTCTTTCGCCTTATTGAACGTCACCTGATGATGGTTGATGCGCTACCATCGATCCGGCCCCACGCGGATGCATGACACTCGCTCCCTCCTCACGGTCCATCCGCAATAGTCACCGATCCTGGCAGCACATCAGCCGCCTGTGGGCTTCGGCGGCTGCCGATGGAGGCGCCGGCAAGAACCGTGCCGTGACCAAGCCGAGCCGTCAGCATCCTTGTCGTCGACGACAACAACGACAACATCAAGCCTGGCTGTGGCTGCCCCTGTATTTTACGCTACGTGTTGAATAACGCCTTCGTCCTACGCCGGCTTGGCAGTGGGCGTCGCAATCTGCCAATCTGCTGCAGAACCACCGGCAATTTCATAGTAAGACAGCAGACATGGCGTGCGAGTTGATATCTATTACCATGCCAAACACGAATGGAGATGTTGGTCATTGAGTTAACAATCACAACAATTCCAACGCTGATTAGGCTGTGATGATCAATCATATTTGGTAAAGAGCAAGCGGACTCATGGGCCCGGGTTTACCGACAGTGCAGCACGCCCAGGCAACTGGCAGGCATCTTGATGTGCCTGCCAACGATGGAAGCCTTTTCGCCGTCATCACTGCCACACAGAATTGGTATCTGCGAGACCGTCAAACATGATATTGATCCCACAGCGATGCGGACGAGCATCAAAAGCATTCTTGCAGCTGAGTGTCGTGACTGCCCTTGGGAGAGCCACTCTCGACGCAGATGGTTCTGGGGCTTCATCAATCATGCATTTTCACTCAAGCTATTTTCAACCCCGTTCACTTCCAAGACAAGATATAGAACCGAACAGTTGTGATACGATATGTGTTTGGTCACGAAAGAAGACTGCATCATGGTCCATTACTTCTGGCTCGTGCGTGATGAGCTCTCTCATCCTTCCAGCACAAATTCGCCAGGGGTCGATCCCCCATCTCTCGCCGCTGGACACTGTTCATGGTGCTTTTGTAGTTGGCAAGGGCAGTAGATAAATGGATAGAGAACCAACCTGCAAAAATTCGTGGATACCGCAAATTGCGATGCCGTCCAACACTCACTATCAGCTGTTTTCCGATCCTGCTCACATCGCATCCCAGCAGGACTACACAGATCCCACGGCATACTTACCACCTACGCCCAACAGACTGGATACCTCGCCTTTTCGTCATTGATGCGACCTAGGCTTCCAGGCTCCCGACTCACCGGGCTAATTTGTGTGCAGCATATCGCCCTCTCAACCGCGGATGTCTTGCAGCTGCTGGCATTATGCAAGCATAATCAGCCATGGCTCGAAACATAATTTCCCCTGGAGCCGCGGGCTGCTTCAAGACTTGAAAGTGAATGACCGGTGTCCACCGCGAGACTTTTCTGTACTTCCGGAATATCGAGAGAAATGACCAAACTCTGACTAAAATCCACCCGGTTTCCGGAACCGCCAATGGTAGCTGTGCGAGTCGCATCAATAAATCGGGCGTGCTTGCGCGCACAGCAGAAAGGTTCGAGATGAGTTGACTCCTTACGGAGTCTTGCCAAAGAGCAGGCCCTGGTGTCGAGCTGTTTACATATCTATAGAGCCAATCGCGTTTCTGAACTATTGGCTAATTTGCAGATAGGTTATGTATGGGTTTGGCCGGTTCCGGCTACAACGGTGGTGCCAGCCTTTACCACATCCTTGCGCTGGCCTTGCCAACGGCTCGACTCCGGCTGCGGTGAACTGAGATCGGAGAAATTGTTGAGTAGGAGGGAGGCTCCTGTACGGGAAGCTGTTGGCTGAGCACACTGGTAGGTAACTTCCCTTTCGGGGATGTTCTAATTGCCGGGACGTATAAAGAGTTGGCGCCTTGAGCCAGTGGTAGCTCACTGAAAGTCCATGCTAACATCTAGAGTTCCGTACATCCGGGAGCAATATTGTAGAATCGACCTCGACTAATGCTTTGGATCAGCATTCCCTACTTATCCTTTCGATATACCATAGCACGCTTGGTTTTGCACCAACTCCTTGCGGGTGGGTTCATTCGTTGCCAGTAGAGCCCTTGTATATTTCTGCAGACTTCAGAATATTCGGGACATGGCCAATTTTCTATGTAAATGTTGTGTAGGACTCGGATGAATTCCATGGCTATCCAGTTTTTAGGTGTTGCAGTGAGCATTTTATAAGAGTACGTTAATGTAATTGATGACCCAGTATGGGATACATCTGGGGACTACTATGTTTTCCCGACTTGGTCCTTAAAAGAATCCTTCCAAATTTGTATTTGCCAGGGCACGTTGTGTTCATAGGATTCTGCGTGTCGGACGGGCCTACGAGGCGCATGTCCAAGTTCTTGGTCAGCTGTAAATCAGTGAGAATGCGTGTCTAGGACGCCCTGTTGGAAGCGTAGAATACCAGAAACCATGGTCAACTGATTGATATCTTGTGTCGAGACTGCCGATGACTTGGAGCCGGTGTGGCTATGTGTTGTAGTTAACTCTGGGAACAGCAGCATGTTCTCACAAATGTATGGTCTTGGTTCGACCTCCTCCGAGGTCATCGATTGTAATATCGCCTGGTGGTTGCGCTGGCTCATATGCTCACCAATGGAGGGAACTAAGATGAGCACGCCGCGGCGCTCGACGCACTCCAGATCTATAATTGCTCAAGGAAATCATCCGAGGTGACCCTGTCTAGGTTGTATGGGTACGGATGTGTGCCTGTGCAGGTACAGATATTAATAGTCTACGCAATCGAGACGACAACCAGACGAGATAATGCTAACACCTTCGACAAGGCAAATAGGCGAGAGATCGGATTGCCGCCATCATGCTTTGTCTTCGGCAGCCGCCATCCCGAAGGCTGTATTCGGCTCGATCATGCCGTCAAGATCAATGGCCCCAAAATAATCGATTAGGGTTGGGACGCAAGACTTTGACGGGACCAGCTCGGCGTAACTGGGGATGGGGATGGGGATGGATAACCGATCAATCAACCAATGGAGGTCTTTGTGCTTGGTGTGCTCAAGGCCAGATATGGCTGGCATCATTCACAAGAATCATTCAAATTGGTCGCGAGTGTGCTCATCGAGCCTCGCAGCCGATGTTGGGAAGTGGGCGAGCCCCTTGGTGCGTTTATCTACAGTTCTGCCGCCTGCCCTGGAGAGGAAAGCGATAGTGCATCGTTGTGCCGTAAAGTGTAATGATGGTGGGGGGGGACTGTGCCGTACAAGATAATGTCCGGGCCGGGCAACATTGAGACCCTTGGAGATGCAGTGGCATTCGCGTGTCTCCCTTGCTAACCCGTCCAGTTTAGTGACCAAACCAAACCATACCCACCATGGGTTTGTCTTGGGACCCCCTCCAAAGATCCGCAGAGTCATTCCGCGCGGCTCAAGTTTGTCGATGCCCAGGCTGGGCCAAAGCTTGATTCAGACGTCATGGCTGCAGCGAGACAGCAGGCTGAGCACACACGTGCATTGGGGCACTGCAGGCTCCCCGTGATCTGTACGGCCACGACCCGTCTACGGACGGATCCTGCCGCCGATTCGCCTCGGTAGCCGGCCTGCAGTTGGACCTGGTCGATCTGGGCCCGCACATGGCTTCCCAAGGTGCTCCTAGGAACGGACGGACAGCTTGTGCACGTACACCGGTCCGACGCAGGCGAGACGGGCGCATGTGAGGCTGAAGGGGCGCAGTTGAGCAGTGCAGTCTGCCTCGTGGCCATGGGGTAGCTACGTAGCAAGGACAACAGACCGGCTGTGATGCACGACTGGCTGCACACAGCCTCGCGGATTGACTCGAAAGGAAGCCTGTGTTGCCGCCACGCCCGCTCTGCGCGATCCTGATGATCTATGCTGGCAGCCCTCGGGTTCCTCGATGTTGGCAAGGATGTTCCGATAGATCAAGGAGCTTTGTTGGTAGAATCGAGCCATTTGCATCCTGTACGCGGTATGTACTCCGTAAGTCTAGCGTTATCAGGCTGCCCCGCCGGGGCCCACTCCACAGCCTGGCAAGGCACTGGAGAAGGCTGCGCGAGTCGTTAGTGCGTGGTGATGTCTGTCCAAGGGTCCAGCAGCTGTTGGAGGCCGACACTGGCTGACCTGGAAATGAAACAAGTCCCAACTGCGGGCAGGCAGGCAGGCAGGCAGGCAGATGCAAGCCATCAACAAGAGTCGGCTTGGCCTACCTATCTAAGGCAGGCAGACTTGGGGCCTGGCCTGGCTGGCGGCGAGTTGAGACGCCAGGCGTGGGCCAGCACCAGTCGAGTGCTGCTCCACCCCCTCGCCGCCCCTCTGCCGCCCCGCCCCCCTGGGGTCGCGCCTGGCGCAACGGCGAATGAGAGTCGCGATGATGTGCAGGCCGTGGCCATTATCAGCAGCCTCACCCCGGAACCCTGCCTCTGCCACCAGCCAGTCCTGCGTGGCCATCGCCTGCCCCTCGGCTTCAGCTCTCTGCACTTTCGCTGCGTGTGCCGCTCCTCATCAAGTGCATGGCCACAGGCAGGCCAAGGAAAACCCCCTACCCCCAGCTCCTCCTCCGCCCACTCAGGGTACTGTGCTGCCCAGCGTCGCACCGGAGACTTGGGTGGCCATAACCCCCGGCTGTCAGCTCCGTCCCTGACGGCCTCTGCGTCCCTACTATCGGTTGGGGGCCCGGCGATCCTCAGTACACGCCAAACACCGCTCGCCCAAAGCACCGCACCGCACCGCAGCGCACGGCACCACACGGCACCGCTTCCTTGAGGCTCAGCCCGCGACCTGCTTGCCAGTATCAGGAGCACTCTGTCCCAGCCCGCCCCGGGTCTTGGTGTCGCTCCGTCGCAGGGCTGCCCGTCCTGCCTGCCTAGTGCTTGTCGCACAACACCACCGTGCTGTCCCTGTCCTGCCTAAACCTCGACCTCGGCGTGTCCCTCTCTCCCAGATCCTGCCAGCAACAACTCCAATTCCAGCTCGGGCTGCCACGCAAAAGCCAAGCCAATGTCCGGCACTGCGACGCCAAACGAACCGCCATAGATTCCTCCGCCCCCCAGACGCCCTTCCCATACAAGACACCTACAAGCTTCTCTTGGCAGCCTTCCGCGACGACACTATCGGAGCCTGCATGTGCCTCTTGTTTCACCCCGCCACTCCATCCGTTCTGACCAAATCGACTGCCGGCACGAGGCCGGCCACACTGCTGTTCCTGTTCAGCCTGGTTGCCATTACCGCCACCATCTGAACGTGCTTCGTTCTCCACGCAGGCATGGCAGACGAGGTCGAGCGCCTGATCACGGCGCCTTTCAAGGAAATCGTGGAAAAGGGCAACCTTGCGGTCGAAAATAGCAAGGACGCCCCAGAGGATGTCGCCAAGGCCATGCTGAAGGCCGCCCAAGGCCTGATCAAGGAAGGCGATCGCGCCCTCAAGAAGATGGATCCGCTATGTGAAAGACACCTCGCCGATTACGGAGCCAATTTCGTGATAGCGATCAAAGAGAATGGTAGTGTCTCCCAGAGCATCTTTCGAGTGCGCAAGCCGTGATGCTGACCTAATGAATTCGCAGACGATATATCGCAGCACAGATACGAGCTGGAGAATCTCCTGTGGGACTTCGACGACTATATCGAGGTGGACGGCTTCGAAGCATCCAAGTTTGAGGAACTGCAGGGCGCCTCTCGCAACACAGCGCCAAGAATACTTCATATCTTGAAGAGAATGCGACTTACAGCACCCGAGCCACCTTCACGACCGATTTCAGAGATAGCCAGCAGGTCAGCCGGCACTGGAAGCATAGCAGCGAGCGACGGGCCTGCCACAGGCATGATCATTGGCTCTCCTTCACCACTTGCAGTCGAATCCCCAGTCGTAACAGAAGCCAAACCGGAAGCGCCCTTTTTCAGTGCAGTCGCCGGTCCCGATCAAGGCCTGGATGGCACTTCAGGCACAATTCCTCGTGGAATTCCTGGAACGGCCACAACGTCCGCCCAGTTCTCTGCGCCTCCCACCCATCCTCCATCCGAGCCTCCTCCACGTCCGCCATCGGCAAACCCGTGGGATGTAGGCCGAGCACCCCGGACGAAGCCTGACTCACAAACTCCCGGTCACATCCCACTACCGAGGCGTGCGCCAATGTCCGAGTCGCCAATTCTCCATGCGATGAGCTCTCGTGGAGACCTACTTGACTCCTTTAACACAACCAGATTGGATGATACCACAGCCGTCAGCGCTGCAGAGGAGGTCGATGATTGGCAGCTTAGGGCTGCGTCTCAAAGCATTGTAGCTCCTTCAGAAGCCTCGAGAAGTCCGGATATCAGCCATCGCTGGACGAATTCGACGCAGGACTCGTATGAGGCAGGCAGTCCAGCCAGACAACACTCCGTTGCATACAACGAATTACCAAAGACTTCTAGGACAATGTCGACTGGAACCGATCACTCTGGGTGGCAGTCGCATTCCTATAGCTCTCACTGGAGTTATGCGCCGTCTGAAGTGCCCCCTCCCATGGGCTCACCTCCCCCCGTGCCAAACAGATCAGCCACTCGCTCTAGCAAAAAGAGTCTTGCTTCCCCAATCCGACAGACCTCACTCAGCGGAGAACGCCCTCCACATCGGAATCGGCAGCACTCCACGGACTCGGTTAATAGCTCCGTCCTGGATGTTCTAGAATATTCCAGCAGCCCCAATGCAAGCGTGCAAGGTGGTCCGCGATCATCAAGCTTCTCAGCTCTGTCAACACACGGGTTTGCGGCAAATACTGTCCCTCGCGGTGGTGTGTCTACGCATCCCATCCTGTACGAGGACACAGATGTGGGCTCTTCTAGAGGAAGTGACACAAGGTCCACAGCTCATGCGTCAATGGCATCAGCTGGATCACAAGCAGCTGGCTTGGAAGTGGCACGATATGCGGCCAGTGTTGAGGAAAAGATACCGGTGGAGAATGACGAATACACTTCAGGATTAAATCGGATGATGCCTCCCCGGCAATTCGACACCAGCATTGGCCCTCACAGTTCGTTCTACAAGCTGAAAGGCTTCTGCAAAGGGGCGGAGGAGATGCTAAAGGGCAACTCCACCTTCAAGAAGATGAAGCGACCCGTAGGCGTGAGTGTTGAGCGTCCGCCCTTTTATATCATAAGTTCTTCCTAAACTGACTGAGTATCTCGCAGGGCTTTGCCATGAGCATCGTAGGGAAATGCGCCAGCTGCCTCTTTGAGCTCGATTGGAAAACCGTTGAGGGCGACCTGAAAGGCGATTGTGAGTATTCAAACCTTGTGATTGAGATCCCCCAAACTTGCGCCAGATTACTAATTTCTCTCGAAAGCCACCGGAAATTATGTCGCCAGCGGCGTTGGCTACCGCATCAGAGCTCTCCAGAAATGTCACTTGTCGAGTAAAGCAATGGACGAATCGCTATTCGCCTGTCCCTTTTGTATACACATGGGGAAGACGATGGAGGAGAGCGACGCGACTGTCTTCATGTCCCAGAAGGACTTCTTCACTCACCTGTCCAGGCACCCCCGCCCACTTCCTGCTGTTCCCGGACTTACTGTCATTGAGACTGAGGAGATCCCGGACAACCTCAAAGACAACTTCGACCTTCACTTCCCAAGGCCAACGGTAACATCAGTCATGACAGGCATCGTTCCTGAAATTGCCCGACTTCCCACTGCTGTCGCGACCGAGACAAAGAAGGCCGTTTTTGGAATGTCCAGGAACCCTCCGGATCGGGCGCCGGTCCTCCAGTTCGCAGTTGGTGCCCGCATTGTCGGGGTTGAGTTTCCGGACAAGTACAACGGGCGCTGGGGAATTGGTTGGCATGACGGCACCCGCGGCGCTTTTGAGGCTGATGCGGTACATATCGACGCCCCTGCCAAAGATGAAGTCCGCATGCGTGGTGACAGCAGTTTGCAAGCCGTCGCTAAGTGGAAGTGGAGTCAGAAGGGCGACGACAGGTGGCTCAAGTTTGACAAGGGAGAGGTTATCAAGAACATCAGCTGTAAGTCTCTGACACACTTGTGGCTGGCGACAAAAACTGACCAGGCATGTATCAAGGGGTGTATGATGACCACTGGTGTTGGTCTGGCCAGAATGCAAAAGGCTCGGCCGGAATCTTCCCGGCTTCCCACATCGACCGTATGGCCCTGAAGTCCATCCAACCAGGCGACAGCTCCAGCTCAGTTAGCGAGAAGAAGAGCTCTCTCATTTTCGGGCTCCGAAGACCATCTGATCGTAAGTTTGGATCATTCGGAAGCAGCAACAGCAGCAACCGCTCCCCGACGTCAAGGATCAATATTTACTAGAACCCTCGGCGATTTCTTTGCCTTTTCTTTCTATTACAGTGTCATTTCAATCGTTTCTCTCAAAGAACGATAGCGCCGTGTCGAAGCCGGGCCTGTTGAAGTTTTCTCATACGAGCCATAACTGATTGGCGTTCAGGACGAGGGATGTAGTTCATGAGGCGTCAAGGGCGGGTATGACAAGATCATTAGGGTGTTTTGCATCTATTGCATTCATTGGATGAGTTCTATGAGGTCCTATGGGGTTTGTCTACGAAGCGGGCATGGGTTGAGCTACTAGGTTCATTGCAGCTTATGGCCATTTTGATTTTGTTGTTTCTGCTATATACCCTTTCACTTTTCCTGTATATAACCTTCTCCGCACTAGCTTGGATAGATGTCGTCGAAATCACCCCCCCAAAAATAGCAAAGCCATTTACTGTTTGGTCATGGACGGACATTTTTGTCCGGTTGGACCCACCGAGCTGGCGGTGATATGTCTCCTCTCCTTGTAACCGCCGACGTCAAGATGCACCACGGGATCATTCTACAACATCCCAGAGCACAATTCCTTGTCCCACTTTCGATCTTCGCGCGGGTGACGGGTCGAGGCGGAAGTAGCCGCTCTCGCTCTTGATCGACATCAATTACTTGACGGTTGGAGAGGTGAGCAAATCGCAGAGAGGAAAGACGGGACAGAACCGTGACGTCATCCTGCTTGACGGTCAGTATCTAGCGTGCTCATGCCACCACGAGGCACACATCACCAGTTGAGGGACACCCCCCACAGTGTCATTTATTGCTGCGTTGATACTCAAATCCACGAGCTCCTTCTCCTCCTCGTGATCTCGCCTTTCTCTGCCTGCCCAATTGATCTCTACCAGAGCTGAAAACGGGGGGCACAGGAAGCTGGTGAAGACTGCCCTGGCATTCCAGCTTCGCACAGCTACAGTATCCTTGACTCGGCATACCAGACACACAAAGGACGGCAGCCCAAGGGCAGCAAACCAGAAAGACGAGACGAAAAGGGGAGGGCATGGAAAGAGTATTTGATGCATACGGCCATATAGGTTGGAGCAGCAGGACAAAGAAAAGGTATTTACAGCTATACTCACACGCAGTATATGCACGAGTTCCCAAATATCTTGAACGCAGGGCGCACCACACAGCGGCAATTCCTGCCTCGCACTCGTGTAGCTCGATATCTGCATCGTCGTCTTTTGCCGCGGAACAGGACAGGACGATACTTGCCGCGGCAGCAGCAGCAGCGGCACCATCAGCGGGTCGAGTGCGACCGAGGATTCCGGCCTCTGGCACCTGGGTCTGGTCTCGAAGCATCTTTTACCACGCAGGCCGTCTCGCCTCTCACCGCTGGTGCCATCAACGCCGTGAGAAACAAAGCTGCGGGTGGAAAGAACAAAACTCCCACAGCCAGAACTTGTGGGAATAAGTCCTCTCCTACCACCACAATCACCAACATCACCACCACCCCCTTCACAACACTAGCCGCAACAATGAGCTGGATGGACTCGTGGTCCCGCCCTGGGAAATCCCAGGCCGTGCCGGCGCCGTACTACCTGCTGCCCAACGGCGGCGAGGAGACGCCGTACTGCCGCTCCTGCGGGCGGGTCATCAGCTCGCGCAAAACTCAACAGCAGCACCAGCACAAGCACCACAACAGCAGTCAGAACGCACCGACAATGTCTTCCGCCGCCATGGGGACGACGACGACGACGACGACGACGACACATGGCGGCGGCGGCGGCGGCGACACCGCAGTCAAGTACTGCTCTGCTCGCTGCCGGCACAGCAAGCCCGGCAAGCTGGACCGGGAGATTGAAGGGGTCTTTGTCAAGCTCCTGCAAGGGCAGAGGCACGAGGACGTCGCTGCAGCAGTGGTGGCAGCACGAGCCAACACAGGCGGCGGCAGCGGCGGCGGCGGTGCTGGTGGTGGTGCCGGGGGTGAGCGCGGTCATCATGATGCGCCGAGCAGCGCAGACCACATTCGAGAAGAATCCCAGAAGATGGCACCCGAGGACAACGGCAACGGCAGTGGCGGCGGCCAGGTATCCGCGGCGGAAAGAGTTTCGGATATTTCAGCAAAGAGTTCAGATCCGGCCAAGAACAACAGCAGCAGCAGCAGCAGCCATCACCACAAGAGACAAAGTCCAAGGTGACCAAGGGGGATGGCCGGATCCTCGTGCTGTGCGACGACGTCGAGGAGATTGTGTTTGGGCGCCAATCGAACCCGGCCAAGGTGTACGGGCGCAAGAAGAACCGGGCATCGCGCGTCATCCACGCTCGTGACGACGACGACGGCGGCGGCAAGAACAGAGACACCGCTGCAGACAAACGATGTCCTTCCTACGGGACTACCAAGTATCAGACGGACAGCGGAGACAGCGCCGTCGAGCTGGACTACGACCTTGACGATGAGGAACACAGTAGCGGGGACGAAGAGCATCACCCGCATGGAATTCACAGATCTACGAGCAACAGCAACAACAACAGCAACTACAATGATAACAGCAACAACACCAAGACCACCAGCACTGGTATCGACGGACACACGGCTGCCGCGTTGTCAGTACGAAGTGGCACGAGGGTCCGACCTGCGCAGATCGTATCCGAGGTCAACGGCAGCGTTGGCGGCGAAAAGGGCCGCGCGGAACGGTCGGAGGAGACGGAGGAAATGGCACGGCGGCGGATCGAGGGCCAGCAACGGGCTCAGCGCAAGGAGATGGTGCGTTGCGCTGCGAGGCGTGGCGTGGTGTTTGGCTTCAAAGTCGGCCTGGAGGGCGTCGCAAGTACAGGCGCCGTGGGAGCCCGCCATGGTGGTGAGATGGATGGCAAGGCAAGCGCCTCCAGCAAAAAGAAGAAAAGGTCGGGGAGAACCCCAGGGGCTGAAGGCGCTGACGACACGGACGTCCCTAGCGGTGCTCCTGTGATGCGCAAATGCGAGGCCGTGATGCAGGGCAAGGTAGTCGAGCCGAGTTACGCGAAGGGAAACTGGGGCATTCGATGGCGCGAGGACTGACGCTGGATAAGGCCGTGTCTCCTGCATACGTAGAATGATCTTGTCATGTATTGTTCTGTAGCTGAGCCATGACTTGCTTTCCGCACCCGTGTCTGCATGTCTCAGTCTCACTGGGAAGCCAGGGCGAATCGCTAATGCCGGCAGATCGCTGCCTCGCACGGCTGGTGTATTCGCTCGGTAGTGATGCTCATTCCGCCAAGTCCCGAGTCCTGGTGCAATGAGATGAGGCCTTGCCCGACAGGGAGACTCGTCATTGTCCGACCGGGGCGGATCGTCCAGAGACAGATTAAAGATATGCACGAGGCCGAATCCGGGGCGTATCGTGCCAGGCCGGGCCCCGTGCTTACGTGAGTTGCCAATCGTCAAAGGAACGCACATCGTCTGCAAGGGCGTGGCGGCCCATGTCGCCCCCCATCCATACATCTATCCATCTTGACAGACATGGGCAGTCCTGCTGGGAAAGCACCTCGTGCCCCCCCTGGCCTCCCTACCCGGCCTCCCTGCCCAAATCATACTACGCCTGGTATTTAGCTATCCAGATACCTTTTTCCATGATCATAACTGGAATTTTTCTCATGCCGTAGTCGATCTGGGTCTGTGCAACAGCCTCATATAAGGGAGGCCGGGGTGACCCTGCCCTGCTACCCATAGTCAAAGACCACGTGTGAGCAAGCTTGGGGGTACACGTACTGCACCTCCGGCAAAAGATGTGGCGTAGATACTCATCAAACTGTGCCGGAAAGTTTTCATTGCGGATCTCGACCAGCCGTTCCAGCACTTTTCGCTGACGACTCCACAATCGTGATGAAAACATCGGAGGCATGCAATTTCATCGGACATATCTCCGCTGCGGCAGGCTGCCCATTGTGTGGGGATTGCCCTTTACCGTGCGCCACATGAGCGCCACACCATCGTTTCCATGTCACGGATGCCCAGAGTTCATGGCGACCTCTATGGCATCGTGTTTCACCCTCTTGAGCAAAGACTAGGAGGCTGGGTATCGTGCATGCTGTGGATTTCTCCGTATGCGAGGTCAGATAGATATCTTCGTCATGGCACCTGAGTGTACAAGACGGGGACAGAGCATTCTCCCGTTGCCTTCATGGTTGCTAGCACAAAACGTTGATCCTGGTCGGGTGTTGTGATGACTTGGGACAAGAAAGGATGTGAAATTGTGCCAATCAAACACTATTGTGGTTGGACGTCGAACCGCAGCTTGGTCAATACTGTAGAGGCCTGAGCTTCGCAAGGCTCCGGGCTCCCCTACATGCGACAGCTGAAGACGCAGAGACACACGCGCTGCGCACCAGGGGTTCCTTGGCAGGCGGGAAGTCTCGTGATATCGAGTGCTTGATTGAGTATTGTCAAATGGTCTTGCAAGCGAAACAGCAACAGTGAAGCCCCGTCATGCCCCCAAGATCGTTTCTTTCCCTAGCTGGTGGCGGGGGCTGCTAGAGTTATGTCATCCAATAATTTGTTGCGGAACCCACTCGATAATATGCAGCGGAGACAACCCGCCGATCAATGCCCGACCTCAGCACCAGGCGCCTCGGCGTTTTGCTGTCAAGCACGAACACCACGGGTCCCACTTGATACATTCCATGCCACAGCGTGTGCTTGACATAAGGCTGATGAAGTTTGTCTCTCGACATGAATGTCCCGATTGACTGCCCGAAATGATGTCTGTGCTCTGAAACATTAATGGACCAGAAGTGGAGCCACCTCGGCCGTGAGCCCTTCCCGTGGTTATCATCTTGGCATGCCCGCCGGCCTCTTGGCTAGAGGAAGATGCCGTTGATGGCGGCTGATGCCACGACACAGTGCGGCATCACAGATACCGCAAGCGACACCTACAATCTGTGCTATTGGACTCAGAAAAGCCCTTCGATAGCTCTCCATTGGCATGGTGCTTGCGTAATGCTCTCCGGCAGTGAAGGCGTCTTGGCTCAAGCTGCACCAACGGTTTCGAGGGTCCGATAAGCGAATTAACGCGCTTCCAAGCTGGAGCTCTTGAAGAAGGATGGCACAGCAACTTTGATGCTACCTGACGCCAACGTCTAGGTCGACTTAGAGAGGCTAGTCTTGAAGAGCACAGCGGAGAGTCGTCAGCTATCCGAGGCACGCTGCGACAAATGCGCCAAGTTCGGGAGACCTTGGGTGCGGTCAGAGTGGAACGAAATGCCATGCATACAATGCCTGTCGCTGTCGGACGGAGGCGGTCCCCTGCTCGACCCAGAGACTTGGGAGCTCTCGGCGAACCCACACACTGTCCAGACTCGGGGTGAGCCACACGCGAAGCTGAGCTCGGGTCGGTTGCATCTGAGCAAAGGCATCGCAGTGAGAAAGCGCGACGGGAAGTTGACTTTGTGGGCCTCTTAACGGTCCGAGAGGGACGCCCGAAGATGACCGGACTCGACCTGGGGATACGAGCGCGCTCCGCCGGGGACACATCCGGTTCCGACCATTCCCAGCAGGCTGTAAGCGGGGTTTGCGATCTGCGCGTGGCCATCTGACTTTTGAGCTTGACAAGACCTGCCTGGAGTCGCGGTTGAGTACCATAGTAAGCTGCTAGAGAAAAGAGAGTTTGGCGCCGACAACTTGTGGGCGCCGTGGGTGGATCGATGGCTTCCGAGGTTATGACGACGAGAGGGTGTGGAGGTGTCTTTGCATGCAGTGCTGCTCGGCAGCGTCGAGGGCACCCGGGCGGGCTGGCAGTTGTCAACGTACTCCGTACGACCCCAAGCTATCGACGACTGATCGTCGTCCGGCTGGGCGGGCTGCCAGGCCTGTGACGAGCATGCGTGTCGTCGAGCCGATGGCGTGGCTTGAGTGCTGAGTGGCTGGGATGCAAGCGGACTCGTGGGATGGGCGAGCCGGGGGAAGCAGCCTCTGCAGGGGAGGCCCAGTAATTACAGTACATAGCTGATCAGGGCTGCACGGGCGGAGCACCAGTGACGCTACCTGGGTCCGTTTGGCCATGATTGGCGGTGGCCTGGCTGGAGCTTAAAAAACCTTGCCAGCGCTTCTCTGGTCACAATAATTGATAGATGATTGCGTGAGCCCTGCTCAGTGTCGCTGCGAGCTTGCAACCTCGACCTACAGGAAGTACTGGGTACATACCTTACTTAGCTAAGGTAGCGTACGTAGCTTGTTGTTGCTGCGGTGGCCGAATCTGGCGGAGCATGCACCAGCCTCGACCAGGAAGGCACGTCAATCAATGCAATGCACGCCGCCTCCTGCCTCTGGCGAGCCGCATCAGCGCACCCACCTGCCGCTTCCTCTCTGGCCGCACTCCAGGGTCGTGGTGGTGGTGGTGACGATGATGCGATTGCTGCGCTGTTATGTCCGTACGTACGTGCACCACTTGCTCGATACGCTGCCGGTCTTCGCAGCTTTGCTTATTCCCAACCACGCGGCGGAGACCAGTCCCCGGGGAACACCCTCGGCGCGTTGAACTCACCTTGCGTCACCTGATAGCAGATCCTGCCTGGTCGAAGCCGGGGTGCAGGGCCCTGCTGGAAATGGACATTGAGGACGTGGAGCCACCCGCCTGCTTGGCTCAGCCAGACCAGACTCGAGGGCTCTCCTCCAGCCAGACAAGCCATTATTCATCGATCCCGTGTCTACCCAGCCTAGGCGAGCCTGGCCCGCCACTTCCGTCCGCATCCATCTTTTGCCCGCCTCTTTCCAACCTCCACTTGACTCTCCCACGCTGCATATCTCCAGCCTGCGCTGCTCGCACGCGACTCCTGGCTTGCCCGCCTCGCCTCCCGTCCCGCTCAAGTTTGTCGCTGCTTCACACACTGCGTTTTGCAGCTAAATCTTTCTCCCACGGAACCAGGGACCAGGCCACGGCACCCACCGCCAACGACAGCCGCTTTGCTCGAACCGCATCAAAGCTCATCTGTGTCCGCTGCCGCTGGTGCGCTTCTGTTGATCGAGCAGCCAGCTCGACAAGACCAGGCCTTGCCTCGTCTCACAGCAAGGGTCTCTCTCCCCTTTGCTCCCGAGAGCGTCGCCTTGTCCCGGCATCCTGGCCTTCTAATGCTCCCGGACCATCCTGCGTCCTCTGCCACCTCGCACCAGAAGACGCAGGGCTCCGTATCCGCTGGGGTCGTGTCTCGACTCACTCACCCCAAGACCAGCTCGGCACCGGCAATTTGGACTTGGTCCGCAGACCGATAACCTCTGTGCTCGTGGTATGTAGCGCCAATTCCTTGCAGTCCCACACGCAAAGCACGCCCTCACAGATCCCAAGCTGTTGCAAATTGCGCATGCGCGTGTGCATGCGCTTTGCAGGGTGTCGGTGAGGGCCATTCCTACTGCTTGGCCATTCGTTGTGGACATGAATCTTAGACACATAATCCTTGTCTGCAAGCCACCGTTTATCTCGCAAAGAGGAGAGGGAAAAGTGGGCGACGGAGCTGCGACTGCGAGTTAGCTTGACAGTATTCAGCTCCACTGGCTGGTGCTCCAGAGCTTGCGGCACCACTAGCCCAGCACCGCCCGGCCCAGCTCCGCTCGAGCTAACCCACGACTCTGACCCAGCTTCCGGCCACTGAACCCTCTTCTGTCATCTCTGCAATGTCTGTCCATTTCGTCATTCCGACCCATTCTAACCTCTGCGATAATCCAGGCCAGCAACCACGTCGCACCTGCTGTCCCTAACAATACCGTCTCCCGGTCCTGCGAATTGAAATTTCGCTGTCTTCGTCCATCACCAGATAATGCGCATCGCGACGAGTCACGACGCCTAGAAACAACATCACGGGCGTCAACCGAACCTGTCAACACCGCTGGGAACGTTGTCAGTGAACCCGCGATACTCGCAACAGCGCAGCAAAGCCCGCCTGCGACCACCATCAGCCATCTGCGACTCGTTGTGGCTATGCAACGCGGCTAAGAGCCCACGTATTGCTGCTACACATCACAACCGCCCACGCAGAAACTTTTCGCAAGTCTGCAGAAAAGCTGCCAATCGAAATCCAAGCGAGAACATTGCGCGCGGCCTCAGAAGGTCCCGCAGCCAGATCTGATCATGGGTGGCTGCATGAGTTCAAATAAGGAGGAGGAAGAGCAGAAGAAGCGGAGCCAGGCTATCGACAGAGTATTAGATGAGGACTCGAAACGTCTCCGGCGAGAATGCAAAATCCTCCTGCTGGGTAAGGACCTGTCACGATCATCAAACCGTGCAGACTGAGTAGCGAGGCAACTGCTAACTGGTATGACCGTGCAGGATCCGGAGAGAGCGGCAAGTCAACGATTGTAAAACAGATGAAAATCATCCACCTCCAGGGGTACTCCGAGGACGAGCTCTACAACTATCGACCTACAGTATTCAAAAACCTGGTGGAATGCGCGAAGGCCGTCATCATCGCAATGGACCAGTTCGAGATCGAACCCAGTACAGAACCGATAAAGGAGCATTGCACGTTCTTGCTCAACTATTCGATCGAATCCGGACCCCAAGCTCACGTTGAACCGGACGTCGCCACAGCAGTCCAGGCTCTTTGGCACGATCCATGCATCGATCAATTAATGGAGCATGCCACCGAGTTCTATTTGATGGACTCAGCCGGATAGTGAGTATTTCTACGCATGCACCAAGCTGGACAATGCGCTAATCTGCCCGCCACAGCTTCTTCGACGAGGCCACCAGGATATGCGCCCCTGACTATCTCCCTAGCGAAATGGACGTCCTGCGAGCTCGAACAAAGACGACAGGTATATACGAAACACGATTCCAGATGGGAGCTCTCAGCATTCAGTAAGTGTATCGTCTTGTGTCTCGAGATTTCTGCTAACGCCATCACCAGCATGTTCGATGTTGGAGGCCAGCGTAGTGAACGCAAGAAGTGGATTCACTGTTTTGAAAACGTCACCTCAATCATATTCTGTGTGGCATTGAGCGAATATGATCAGGTTCTCCTCGAAGAAAGCAGCCAGGTGAGTTAGCACTCTGTGTCGTTCTCGCATCTTGACATTCTAACGCCTGTCCATTGATTTAGAATCGCATGATGGAGAGTCTGCTGCTTTTCGACTCCGTTGTCAACTCTCGTTGGTTCGTGCGTACGAGCATCATCCTATTTCTGAATAAGGTCGATATTTTCAAGGTGAAGTTGCCAAGGTCGCCACTCGGAAACTACTTTCCAGATTACTCAGGCGGCAACGATGTCAACAAGGCTGCCAAGTACTTGTTGTGGAGGTTCAATCAGGTTAACAGAGCTAGTCTAAACCTCTACCCACAGTGAGTCTACTGACAGATATTCCAAGTCTTATGAGCAGCAGCGTCTAACCTTGCTTGCCAGTTTGACACAAGCGACCGACACTTCAAATATTCGGCTAGTATTTGCGGCTGTAAAAGAGACGATTCTCAACAATGCCTTGAAAGACTCTGGCATCCTGTAAACCATCCGACCCTGGAAGTCGAACTGGCGGCACAATTGGTATTCTTGCATCGCATCGGCGTTTCTGTGTTTGGCGGGAACGCTCGATCCATCGTTTTATATATTGGTTTTATTGCATGGCGTTAGGGAGCCTAGCGTTTGGGTACGACGATTGGAACACGTCTCTCGCGGTGAGACGTGAGGACGACAACACGTGAAGTGGCCAAGGCTGTCACTGGGATGCGCAGCTTGGCAGAACATAATTATGATGTCCATTTGGCATGTGTAATGTAGGTAGAAAAGCTCCCGAGCACGTTCGCGTGTTCTTCGATGAAAATCAGTTGTGGTGAGGACTTTATGTCTGATTTAATCATCGGGGCCATCCGGGAGAACCCTTGGATGGGAAAGTGCTTGATGTCACCGCCCACTTGAGCACGTAGATGGTTCATCACCCATTGTCTCGTATCAGACTCGTCTGTACTGGGCATGTGGCTCTAGGACTAATGTTTTAAAGGATACAATCCGGCACTGCTCCCAAGCAATGGGAATCAGTCATCGCCTGCGGGTTTCCAGGCGAGCAATCAGCCACACCTTGGCACGCTCCGAGCCAGCCTGGGGAGAGACAATGGAGCTTGGGAGAGGTACCAGGGCAGGACTGTTTCTATAAAGGCCGTTGTCAGAAGATCTAATGGGATTGAGCCCCCCCACAGCACTAGTCGACAAACTGGCAACCCAATGGTGTCAGGTCGTGAGTGGAATCGGCTGCGGCGGACCCAAGTGGAGGAGGCAGTTCAAAGGCGGGAGACCTTCCGCCCAATGCAAGCCCGTCAGTATCTTCATCATCGATTTCCACGGTCTGGCCGCTCTCATGTGGGTTCGACACAAAGGGCGTGTCTACGGCGATCTGCCGCCCAGCGCCAGGGATGAGCCTTTGTGCTCGTCGCGGAGACGGAAAGGCATGGTTGAGTTGATGATGTCGTGTCCGTGCTGGTGGGCAGCAAGGGCGGGCTTTGGCATTGTGGTGAGGTCACCCGCTCTGCCCCCAAGTCGATAAACGAGCCATCGCCGATAAGAGGAAAAGCCAGGCACACGAGGATTGACAAGTGCTGGCTCGCGGATGGACCAAAGCCTCCCAACCCAAGTGCACCTGCATGCATGGTGCCCTTGGAGCCAGTGGCTTGCTGGCGCGGCCGCCTGCGTCTGTCTGGTCTTGTCGATTGCGGTGCTCCGCATGCGTCAGGTGAGTGGATCAGCACGCACACCCAGCAGCACCCGTGGACCTACCTAACCCCGCATGAGTTTGAGCTGGGGGCCCAGGCATGAGCTTCCCCGCCCGCTGAAGCTTGAGCTCCCCCAGCTGTTGCCCCGCCGCCATAGATGGGGAATCGCGGGGTCCTGAGCTCTGGATTCTGGAGGCGGCCCAGCAGAGAGCCACGACGCGTGTGCCATGCCATGCCATGCCATGCTGACAGCTCCTGAAGTCCATGCTGGACCTGTGGCATCAGAACGCGACCGGATGTCTTGAGATACAGACATGATGGTCTCAATGAGTACTGACATTAGCCGGTGCAGGGCGGTGCCACTAGGTCTGTCGGGCGGGCCTGCAATGGGTTGCCGACACATCCCGACAGGGTTTCGTCAGCCACGACACTTTGTTTTGCTGGGATGACTGCAGCTGCACCATGTTGAGCAGGCGTGCTTTTGCTGCAGCATGCTTGGCCAAAGTCGTCATTGTGCCTCGACGCGAATAGCTTGCTTGTCCTGCTTGTGCCCCCCTCCAGCCAGGAGAGCCGATATAAGACAGGGCTGACATCAAGCAAAGAAAGCCCGTACCAGACCACCCGATGCGTGAAGCCGTCCGGCTGAGGCAGAAGCTGAGCATTGAGCGCGGCTCTAGGAGGTCGAATTGATGATCTTTGAATTGGAGAAGTACGCCATCGGACGAGCACCATGCTAGCACTTGTCTCCCCCACCCCCTCAGATTAAGCAAATATCAGGAAACAACGGCGGGAGGCAGAGCAACGCCCGTGAGGAGCATCGTCCCATTGTGTCTGCACCAAGCTCCCCCGCCCCGTCCATGGTGTGTGCAGGGCGGCAACACTGGCTGCAGCTCCGTCGTGTTAGCGCGCGGCCTGGCCCTCCGGACCCGTCGACCCCCGCATTCCAGGGCGGTTGCCCACCTGCGCTCGTGTAAGCCAGTCACCACACCACGCCCATACGCCACACCACACCACACTCATCACGCCTGCCGTAGCACCGACCTTGAGCTTGCCCCGAACCAACCTTGAAGGTCCATTTGGCTTGCCAGTGTGTTCCTGCCCAACAGACTGCCGAGCCCGTCCGTCCCTACCCCTCCACGTCCTTCCTGCCGCTCGCCGTTTCTAGCTGGCCCTGCCGTGTGCTGTCCGCTCCCAGCTTATCTGACCAATCTTGCTCCTCTCTTTGTCCAGCTCAACATTCGATCCATCTTTTCCTTTCTTTCCACCCTTCTCCTCTTGGTTCGTTCCACTCAATTATCCTCAGCTTTCAGCTCTAATTGCTCGCTCGCTCTACCGCCAAGCTTCATCATCATGGCCACCGAGCAGAGACTGCCCTCGCGTGAGCGTGAGCGGCGCCCGTCCGTGGGTGCCCCGATTGTCGACATCAGCGGCTCTGTTGGGCCTGCTGGCATCTCTCGGCCCAAGCACAAGCGCACTTTCACTGGCTTTGGTGCTGGAGAGATCAAGAGTGTTGAAGGTACGTCCTTTGCCAACATCTTGTCCAGCATAGTGGCCTGTTGCTGAGATATTGACCGTCTCCAGCCTCCATCCCAGAGCCTCAGCGGGAGGCCTGGACCAAGAACCAATTTGACGGCTTCAAGAACAAGGACGAGTTCGAAAAGGAAGTGGTCCGCCATGTCGAGACCACCTTGGCTCGCAGCATGTTCAACTGCGACGATGTTGCCGCATATTCGGCCACCGCCTTGGCCTTCCGCGATCGCCTGATCAAGGACTGGAACAAGACGCAGCAGAGGCAGACATTCACCGACAGCAAGCGGATATACTACCTGTCTCTCGAATTCCTAATGGGCCGAGCTCTTGACAATGCCATGCTCAACGTGAAGGGCAAGGACATTGCCAAAAGTATGCCGCAAATTGGATGATTCATAAAGCAGCCACATACAGCTAACATAATGTCAAAGGTGCACTGGATGAACTGGGTTTCAGAATCGAAGACATCATCGGCCAGGAGAACGACGCTGCCCTCGGTAACGGCGGTCTTGGCCGACTGGCCGCTTGCTTCCTTGACAGCATGGCCTCGCTCAACTACCCGGCCTGGGGCTATGGCCTGAGATACCGCTATGGAATTTTCAAGCAAGAAATCATTGATGGCTACCAGGTCGAAGTTCCGGACTATTGGCTTGACTTCAACCCCTGGGAGTTCCCACGCCACGACGTGACTGTCGACGTGAGCCCTCATTTCTTTTCCTGCAGATATGTTCAGATGCTGATCTTGAGTCCAGATCCAATTCTATGGTCATGTTCGCAAGTCACAGGATGCCAATGGCAAGACCGTCGCCAATTGGGAAGGCGGCGAGACCGTGACTGCAGTCGCTTACGATATGCCCATTCCTGGCTATGACACGCCCTCCACCAACAACCTACGCCTGTGGTCGAGCAAGGCTGCCAGTGGCGAGTTCGACTTTCAAAAGTTCAACAGCGGCGAGTATGAGAGTTCAGTGGCCGACCAGCAGAGAGCAGAGACAATCAGCGCCGTCTTGTATCCAAATGACAACCTCGACCGTGGCAAGGAATTGCGTCTCAAGCAGCAATACTTCTGGGTAGCTGCCTCGCTGTACGACATTGTTCGTCGCTTCAAAAAGTCGAAGCGTGCCTGGAGAGAGTTCCCCGATCAAGTCGCTATCCAGCTCAATGACACACACCCTACACTCGCCGTTGTCGAGCTACAGCGAATCCTCATCGACAAGGAGGGACTTGAGTGGGACGAGGCCTGGGCTATTGTGACTGCGACTGTAAGTACAAGCACTTCAAGGATTATGATATTGCATTTTCTGACTCGCTCTTGCGTAGTTTGGCTACACAAACCACACGGTCCTTCCCGAGGCGCTCGAGAAGTGGCCCGTCGGTCTTTTCCAGCACCTTTTGCCACGCCACCTTCAAATCATCTACGACATCAACTTGTTCTTCCTTCAATCTGTAGAGAAGAGGTTCCCAGATGATCGGGATATGCTCAGCCGCGTCTCCATTATCGAAGAGTCGCAGCCCAAGATGGTCCGCAGTAAGTGGTTGCTCCCTGTACTAGCTAAAGTAACAACAGGTCGCAAAGTGCCGCATCGGCCTGCTCCCGCTGTGAGCTGAGAATAACGTATCCCGATGCTGACAGCTTGCAAATAGTGGCGTATCTGGCTATAGTCGGCTCTCACAAGGTCAATGGAGTTGCCGAGCTACACTCTGACCTCATCCAGACGACAATCTTCAAGGACTTTGTCAAGATCTACGGAGCCGACAAGTTTACCAACGTGACCAACGGAATCACTCCCAGAAGATGGTTGCACCAAGCCAACCCCCGACTTTCGGAGTTGATTGCTAGCAAGACGGGAGGCTACGACTACCTCAAAGATCTGACGACACTGAACAAGCTGGAGCAGTATGTGGACGACAAGGCCTTCCGCAAGGAGTGGGCCGAGATCAAATATGCCAACAAGGTACGGCTGGCGAAGTACATCAAGTCAACCCTGGATATTACCGTCAATCCCGCCGCGCTCTTCGACGTTCAGGTCAAGAGAATCCATGAGTACAAGAGACAGCAGCTCAACATCTTTGGCGTCATCTACCGCTATCTTCAGATCAAGGAGATGAGCGCCGAGGAGCGCAAGAAGCAGGCTCCCCGTGTCTCCATCTTTGGTGGCAAAGCTGCCCCTGGCTACTGGATGGCCAAGCAAATCATCCATCTGATCAACAACGTTGGTTCCGTTGTCAACAAGGACCCTGATGTCGGTGATCTGCTCAAGGTCATCTTCCTCGAGGACTACAACGTCAGCAAGGCCGAGATTATCATCCCCGCATCCGACCTCAGCGAGCACATCTCTACCGCCGGCACTGAAGCATCGGGCACGAGCAACATGAAGTTTGTCCTCAACGGAGGTCTCATTATTGGCACTTGTGACGGTGCAAATATTGAGATTACCCGTGAGATTGGCCAGGAGAACATCTTCCTATTCGGCACCCTGTCGGAAGATGTGGAAGACCTTCGTCACAACCACACATATGGCAAACATGCCGTCGATAGTGGTCTTCAGAAAGTATTCGACGCCATCACGAGCGGCAAGTTTGGAGATGCCAACGACTTTGGTGCTCTCGTGTCTGCCGTCCGCGACCATGGGGACTACTACCTCGTGTCTGACGATTTCCAGTCGTACATTGATACACAGAAGATGGTTGACGAGGAGTACAAGAACCAAGAGGAGTGGGTGAGCAAGTGCATTCGCAGCGTTGCGCGGATGGGGTTCTTCAGCTCTGACCGCTGCATCAACGAGTACGCCGAGGAGATTTGGAACATTGAGCCGTTGGCCGTCTAGAGATTACATCGATGATCTCGATAGAAAGGACAAGAAAGCGGGTGCTCGAGAAGTTAGGACCTCAAGTTTGTGTGCTCCTTCAACCGCCACCAAAGCTCGCTCTCCACAGTTCATAGTAATACAAGACAGCATTACACGTGTAGTACAATTCAAGTCCAGTCTCGTGATGCCTGGCGTACCTATTGTAGTCGGAACTCTGTTCTCAAGGGAGAGGGTGTGCATCCAGCACGCGCCACGTGGCTCATGGCTGCACGAACGAGCTATCGAGAGATGGCGATGACGACAACCATGGGATTTTGCGTCGAGCGTTGTGTTTGGCGATGCTCGATTGACGGGCGCCAGCGGGACCCAAACCAAGATTTCTCACCACGACTCGCGGCACGGAGCAAGATGGACCAGTAAGAGCAGCCCATGAATTGGACACATCGGATAAAGACCCGACAGAACCAAAGAGAGGAGGGGCCGGGGGCAGCCCCAGCTCCGGCCCGCATGGGCATGCCAACATGGGTATTGGGGGCATGGGCAATTGACATTGTGGGCGGGGGGAGGGCCACTGACGTCATTGTGAGGAAGAGGCGCCATGCGCTTCTGCAAGGTTCGACCTATTCACGTTGCAGGGATTGGTTCTTTTCCGGGACAGTTTCCTTGGAGAAGGGGCCGATTGGCCTTCTTTGGCCGTGATACGACAAGGAAGATGGAACTATGACGTCGTGACGTTTATTGCCCGAACATGTTTGTGTTTAGGCGATTGCTTTGTGACTGAGCCAAGTGCCAACTGACCTTTTTTTTGTTTTTTTTTTGGTGTCGTTATACTTCAGCTTAGTTCTGGTATGCTCAAGTGCAGCAGCGGCATGCATGCACTTTGAGAAGGTTGGTAAGACCTCCATGGTGGAAGAGGACCTTCTTTTTTTTCTCTCTTTGATCTCTTCAAGTGATGATTTGCTGCAGCCTTCAGGAGAAGGGGAGGGAGCCCCTGTTTCCCCACTTGCTGGAACTTCCCTTGCGAAAGTCTTGGCTTCTTCTTGGGTGTGTGTGTGTCTGTGTGTATGTGTGCAAAAGCTTCTGCCTTTTGCGCCTTTCCGGCTCCGGGTTCGGTCTATCTTGCATTCTTTATGTCTCAGGAAGAGAGTGGCCCGGGGAATGCATGCAGCAGCAGTAGTCGCGGCAGCAGCAGAAGCAGTGTGTCCAGCGGGAGATCGGGTCAACCCACCCCAATGGGACTTTTGGATTCGTGCATGCCAATTACTTTGTCGATTTTGGAGCCGAAAAATAAAAACGTGATGCCTTTTGCCCCCCTCTTCAATAGTCCTCCTGCTGGAGTCTGTAATGACTTCATGGGGACAGACTGTGCCCGCGTTGACCTGATGGATATGTTCACAAGCCTTAAGTATCTTAACTAGGGGCAAGTGCCTGGTGCCTGGTGGTCCAGCTAGCAGAAGAGAGACCAGTGGCGACCACAGGGCAGTCATATGTCAAGGCCGTCACAGGAGATATAGCTAGCGTACTTAAGGTACTGGTTTGCGAAAAGAAAAAAATACAGTACACGAGAAAGCTGCCGCCACACGGAGGAGAATGGGGGGGGGGTTGTTAGAGGGGGGAACAGAAGAGAGAGGAAGACATGAAGGGAAGGGAAGCGGGGGGATCGAGTTGTTTGGAAATGGCATGGAGACGGTGCCGAGTTGTCGAGACGGCAGGGCATGGAGAAAATCAGGTTCCCATCATGATTTTGAGGACGAGGAGGAAGGATCGGCGGCGCGGGAGATGGACCATCGACGATGCGTGGTGCCTGAGCCCTGGCCTGGCGAGCCGAGCGAGCTGGAAGAGAAGCGGAGAGAAAGGGCAGGGGGAGGGAGGAGGTGTGTTTGCGTGGCTGCCCATGGACGGTCACGCGCTGTGCAACCGGCAAGATTGACTGACTGAGTAGCTGACTGAGTAGCTGACTGACTGGCTGACCGGGTTGGTGTCTGGTCTGGTCTGGTCTCCGATGGCTGGGCTGCGTGCGGACGTGCGTGTTCGAGAAGGGGGCTTGCTGTCGATCGCGCGGATGGCAGGCTGTGGGCAGCGAGGCATGCATCGGGACGTAGACTACCTTAAGGTAAGGAGAGGCAGGGCCATTTCCTCCGGAGGGAGCGTCGAGTGCCTGGCTGAGCGGTGCTTTGGGGACACGGGGATCGAGCGTGGGCCACGATCGCACACCAAGGGCTCGATCGGCCCGGGCAGTGGTCGAAACGGCGCAGGCGGCAGCCCGGAGCCCCCAGCGCTGGGGCGGCGGCCGGGCCCCGGCACTTGCCCGCAGGCAGTCAGCCCCCCAGTGACAATTGCAGCAGCAGAGACAGTGCAGTGCCACTGGGTGAGGGGCACGCAGCGTGTATGTACCGAGTCTCTTGGGTACTGCCTGTACCACTCGGGCAGTCACTCGAAAGCAGCCAGCTGCGATCGCGATCGCAGTCTCCGTCCTGGCTGCCCGTTGTCAGCGGCTGGCCCCAAGCAGGCAAAAAGAGGCACGCAGTTTTTTCTTTCCCCTGCCTGCCCTCCTGTCTCCGCCGCGGTTCCTGCTTTCCATGTGTTTGTTGCGTGTTGCGGCCGTGGTGTCTGTCTAACTATCGGCCTGTCAACTCACCATCCCCTCCACCTACGCTACTTACCTGCACGCCCGTCCGATCGGCTCTCCCCTCTCTAATCACTCCTCGTCTCCCCAACCTGCTGGCGCTCTCCATTTTCGTCGTCTTTAGACTTTCCCATGTGCCTCGAGAACCTGTCTTTCCTCCCTCCTACCTCTTCTCCAACTCGCACAACAACGCCCGCCGCCGTATAGCATCCTCTATCGCGTGCTTCCTCGCCGCACAGCTGTCTCCGTCCCACCCTCTCCCCTGACAGGCGCCCCTCACAAAAAACACCACCGCGCAATCCTCCTCCTCACCAGAACCACCACCACTTCTTCGCACGCCGCTGCCAGCGCGCCCACAGTCGCTCCTCCTCACGTCCGGCAACAGACACTGCTGCTTCTCCATCCTCCAGCAGCGCAACTCCGCCCACCAGAGCATCCCTCAGGACCACTTGTACACTCTACTAAAAGGTTGCTGTGCTCCAAGCCGAGCACCGCCTACTCTCAAAAATGGCCGAATTCGTGCGCGCCCAGATCTTTGGAACTACCTTTGAGATCACCTCGAGGTGCGTCCTTGGCTCGGCGACTACTATTGCCATATCTACGGACCATGAGAAACTGACTTGCTATGCGCAACCGGCAGATATTCCGACTTGCAGCCTGTGGGCATGGGAGCCTTTGGTCTCGTCTGGTATGTTTCTCCCCCGCACAGCCGGCCAGCAGCAATATTTCTGCCCAGCGACGCTCGTCCTCGCGCTCCAGTTGCTAACCCCGTGGTCACAGCTCCGCCCGCGACCAGCTGACGAACCAGAATGTTGCCGTCAAGAAGATTATGAAGCCGTTCAGCACTTCGGTCCTCGCCAAGCGAACCTACCGTGAGCTCAAGCTGCTCAAGCATCTCAGACACGAAAACGTCATTTCTCTGAGCGACATCTTCATCTCCCCCCTTGAAGACATGTAAGTTGAGCCTCTTGGACCACCCTGACCATCCTGCGCCCACAGACCCGGTGCCCTCGTGGGGTTTGGGCGATTTTTTAGTTTTGTGCGTGCGCGGTGCTGACCATTGGCGCGTTCCCGAATAGCTATTTCGTCACCGAGCTTCTCGGCACAGACTTGCACCGGCTGCTCACTTCGCGGCCTCTTGAGAAGCAATTCATCCAGTATTTCCTCTACCAGATCATGGTAAGTTCCCATGTAGCCACTGCAATGTGCAGAAGCCATACAGGGCTGCTTGCGCACGATTCCAGGCGTGGCAGCCCGTGAGCGGCACTTCTGCACAGCGCGGACCATCGCCACCATGGTGGGGCAAGCCTCACGATATACTGACGTCTGCCAATTGCAACAGCGGGGTCTGAAATACGTTCACTCTGCGGGGGTCGTCCACCGCGACCTCAAGCCCAGCAACATCCTTGTCAACGAGAACTGTGATTTGAAGATTTGCGACTTCGGCCTCGCCCGTATCCAGGATCCCCAGATGACCGGCTATGTCTCGACGAGATACTACCGCGCCCCCGAGATTATGCTCACATGGCAAAAATACGATGTCGAGGTCGATATTTGGAGTGCCGGCTGCATCTTTGCCGAGATGCTCGAGGGCAAGCCTCTTTTCCCCGGAAAGGACCACGTCAACCAGTTTTCGATAATTACGGAACTGCTCGGCACTCCCCCCGATGACGTCATCAACACAATCGCCAGCGAGAACGTAAGCAACGGATGCTGTGTAATTGCAGAAAAATTGATTTTGCTGGCTAACAACGATTTGTTTTTCGCAGACCCTGAGATTTGTCAAGTCGCTACCCAAGCGCGAGAGGCAGCCTCTCAAGAACAAGTTCAAGAACGCCGACCCTGCCGGTATGTGGTTATGTAATTATTACCCCATTGTGAGCAAAAGCCTGACCCCGGTTTAGCCATCGAGCTCCTCGAGCGGATGCTGGTCTTTGACCCCAAGAAGCGTGTCACCGCGACAGACGCGCTGGCCGACGAGTACCTCGCGCCCTACCACGACCCCACCGACGAGCCGGTGGCCGACGAGAAGTTCGACTGGAGTTTCAACGACGCCGACCTGCCGGTGGACACATGGAAAATCATGATGTTAGTTCTTTTGCCTCTTGACACATTTCGGGGCGAGCCGGGAAATCTCGTTTTGACACCGGATAACTGACACGGAAGCACATAATTTCTAGGTACTCGGAGATCCTCGACTACCACAACATAGAGTCCAGCATGCAGCAAGGTGACGGCACCGAGTTCGCCCCGCAATAATGCAGAAGAAAATACCCCCCGAAGGTCCACGAGCTAGTCTCCCAGGGTCGTCTTTTCAATATGGCACAGCGAAGCTTTCATAATGGTCGTCGAGTTTTTATGATATCACGAAGTGAAACAAAGAAATAAAGCACATGATTGTCACAAGAGACACACAAGACACACACCCTTGCGAGTCACATACACCCGAACGAAACAGACACACAAACACACACAATAGGCCCCGGCGTTTCGGCGATGTTTCTCAGGTCCAAATTTTTCATTCTGTCCTTTATCGCACTGGCCGCAGGTCCCATGAATTTGTCGGGAGAGCAAAAGGGTCCATCCAGGGAGTGAGAAGTAGCTGCATATAGAGTACACGAAAACGCAGCGAGGGGGAGAAAGAGTCCCTCGTGGGACGGACATTCTATGGAGGACTGGAAAGTGGTCCTGCTTAGTTCAAGAGTGACGTGCGGGCAAGTGTGTGCTTGTGGGACGGGTCACCCCCGATATGGGCTCCGTATTATAGTTTCTTGCAGATATCACAGCCCGCAGGTTCTCTCTTGGCTTAACTTTTCTTTTTGGTTAGTCCCTTCGTGGTTGGCTTGCGCAGCAAGCTTGTCGTGAATTAACACGCCAGTCACTTGTTCCGGGTTCGCTTGGAATAGATAAGTGACGGAGGGCCAGCATGACACGCATAAAGAGGGGGGTTCTCCGCCCGAATAGCTCCTCACGGAGAACAGGGTGGGCCCCTGCATCTTGTTGCACACCGAGCAAAAGTATACTCTTCTTAACTCGCTATGCTGTGGAACGGGCGTGATGTGCCGACAAATGTGCAGAGTGCACCAATGCAGAGGTGGGTTACTATTTCACAAGCGATTGATCGGGCTTGAATGAGTTTCAATCAAGGAATCATGTCTTCCTCATTCGTTCAAAGCCAGCGTGGCCCGTGTGTGCACGCGATATATACAATGATCTAACTGATTTCGTTCCTGAACCCAAGAAATTGCGATGCCGATGCCGATTATGTGGATTCGATGCATGTCCGTGCCTTTCATTAAGCTTCCGAGTGTATGATACGAGACCTTCACTGCCGCGTTTTGACCCTTTCGCAGCTCATCTGGTCCATCTGTTTATGGCTTGGGCTCCTGGCTCGCAGAGGACGTACTGGGGACTGGCTCGTCGTCCGCTGCCGGCTGTCTGTCACCCTGCATCGACGTACCGGTCGCGGTCGTCGCTGGCGCGGACAAGTCTGGTTTTGGCTGTTCTGCTGTGGCTGTGGTGTCCGTACTTGAAGTCTGTACGGGTCGAGGAGAAGCAACGGCCGCAGATGACGCGGCAAGAGGTGCCGATGGAGCATCTCGTCTCCTCTCAGGACTCGGCGGCGCCGTGGACACGGACTCGCGCCCACTGTCGGACATTGCGCTGTCAAGCATGCTCTCACCAAAGCTGTCCTGCGTTGATGGCCTCACGGCGCTGTAGCCGCTAGGCACTTGCGCTGTGTCGTTATTGTCGTTGAAGACGCCAGACCGCATCGAGAATCTGGGTGCGTGCGGTGTAATAGGACTTTGAACCGGCGTTGTTCGCTCCGAGTCGGTGGATCGCGACTTGCGTCCCCATGCGGATGTCCATCCCCCGCTGCCGCCAGAACTGCTGTTGGTAGATGAGGTATTGAGCGAAGACACCTTTTCGCTAGCACTTGGCCGGCCCCAGGCTTGTTTGTGCTTCTGGCTCGCCCACGATGTCCAGCTACCAATGTAAGCACCAGCTTTGGCGCCGACTGATGATGTTGCAGTTGAATTCATGTGGTCGTCATTATGACCCGCACCGGCAGGAGGGAGTCCCGCAGATGGAGGCGGCGATCTTGCCTCCTCAGCGCGTCTTCTTTGTGCCTCCCGCATGGCCTCCATGTCAGAGTATAGTTTATTGAAGATTGTGTTTGCCTTCTCACGCCCAGCTGCGAGATTGCGGCCAAGGACCTCTCCTGCGACTGCAAATCGTTCGTCCAGGTGCATATCTTGAACCTGCTGCTGGATTCGGCGCTGAACGTCGTCGACGCTCAATCCACCCGCGCAAGGGTGCCTGGGCTCGACAATATCAAAGAGGTGGGAGTCCGTGTTGCATACCCAAAGGCGATAGTTATTCGTCCTTTCCCATACATCAATCCAGTCAGTGTTGAAGTCGTGTGCCGGGTCACCTTCGATATGTGGCAGCGCGGCTCGGGGATTAAGTGAGTTCTGTGCCAGGTAGTTATGGTACTTGACCGAGGATATTAGCGACAAGAGATACTCCTCGAACTGCAAACGGATGAACTCCTCGCTGCCGCGGTAGCCCATGGTCTTAGGCCGGCCAGGATTTGCTTCATCCCAGGTGTCGTTAACCTCCTGCGTGATCGCGTCAATCCACCGCCTGTCTGCGTGCGATAATGCCAACGCGGATCGCAATGAGCTTGAAGTGATGTTGATTGTTTTGTCATCGAGGTTGATGAGGATATCGCTGTATCGATCTTTCTGCTGTAAAAGAAGAGAGTTCGTGCTTCCGACAATATATGATTTCGTATTCTGGTCTGCCAGAAGATCAAGTTGCTGCAGCGGTGTGTAGGGACCAAATAAGCTACCCTACTCCGGATATTAGTAGCTGGTTGAAGCTTGTGGTCATCAAGATCTGGTGGTGGAACTCACCTGTCCGAAAATTTGAAGAGGCAGTCCCATGTAGGCAAGCAGAGACGAACGATCACTCGTCCGCAAGCTTGTAGGCTGCTTCAGATTCTTCTCGTAATTGTTAAGCTCTGGTCCCGCACAATCCTCCAGGTTTCGTAGAAGTCCTGGAATAAGAGACACAAGGGAGAACTGCATCATGCAAAGACGTTCGCAGCGCGATCCGAAGAAGAGCATCTGTGCACGATAGTGTTAGCTGCCGCGTTGTGAGTGTTCGAGGGTCTCAATCGCACCTTGTGCTGAAGCAAGCAACACTTGAGCAGGACAAGAGTCTGCCATTTGAACTCTCTGACAAGCTCTCTCAAGCTCATGCCCAGATACTGATCCCTATCAGCCTCGCTCAGCTGCCCACGCTCCTTTTCTTCCGCAAGACTGTCCTGAAATCTGCGCAGGATTTCAACGTCGGTGAACTCCCGCTGCAGAAACCATGCACTTGTTACGACGGAGAGACGTTCTCGAAGCATGCCGAAGAATTGCGGCGTGTCGGCAATCACCACTACTGCCTTCTGGACCGTCGATCGTGTTACCTCGGGAGGTCGATTGAGGAGCTGGGAGGCATCGAGTTGTCGTGTGCATGAAATTCCGAACAGCGAAGTGGCCGGTCCGTCGCCCGTAGCAGGCCGTAGCAGGGTGAAGTAGGAGAAGTCTTCTGTAGAGCTGTTCGCAGACTGTCAGCTGCAAATCCGGACAAGCACTAGAAAGTATCAGATTACCTACGCGTGAGCACCGTCGCTAAGAGCCATGAAAGGCAGGTTCGGCCAGGCCCAGTCCTCTGCCGGATCTCTGCCTTCTTCGACGCCAAACCAGCGTTCTACCTCGGGTCCTCGTGCATGGTGGAAGTCGACCACAGCGACAAGCGGCGTGAAACCTTTCTGGTTGCTTTCCGGCGTTCTCGAGCCAGGGGTTGAGGCTGTGGTGGCCGCGGCATCGACGCCAGACATCTTGGGCGAGAGGCCGCTAGGGCGTCGTCAGACACGAGCCTCTTTGCTATTGCCCCAGGTGCCGGGGCGAGAGGTGCCTGGGATGTGCTCGCGGAGCCAATCCTGGGTATTTGGAGAGTTGATTGCGTTCGAATGATGTTGTCTTGAGCTGAGGTGGATCAGCGTGCTGGAGGAGCGAATAGACCCACTCTGGTGTCTGGGCGAATGGCGGCTCCTCGTGACTGGCACAAGCTGGAGGACTGCGGGCGGCAATCGCGTGGTTGTGAGGGCTGACAACCGATAATCCAAAAGTAGGCTGACGAGGGCGGTGCCGGTTGCCCGCTGCTTGTGGGACGGAGTATCACGAAAGATGCTGGCGGGGCTTGGGGTCAGCCATCCAGGAGGAGCTGGGCCTATAATAATAAATTAGTCGCGGCTGGAAAGCTGGGGCCGATGCAGGAGCCAAGCGCAAGGTTGAGGGGGCTATTCCCACGCCGCCACCAGATGGTCCGCTTCTTGGTCCAGTTGCGCCTGGCTGTTGGCGTTAATGCACTCACGTGATCGGCAAGCTTGCACAATTCAGCGATATCTATGTTGTACTTCTGGATGCGGATGGACTGGAAGGTCAGCGATGAGGGTACTTACGCTACGTAAAGTAAGTAAAGTACTTACCTTAAGATACCCGACATTGTGAGAGTGAGGCACGAGAACCTGGAAAGAGGCTGCTGCGACTGGGGCTAATGGGTTGCAGCCCTCTACACGTGCATGGGTGATCCTTGGAGGGGAAAGGGAAGGACGCCGCCAAAACTATGCGCCAGAGGAGCCGCCACTCTTGGATCTTTGGATGAACGGCTCAGGTGCCAGGCCGGTCATTATGCAAACAACCACAACACTCCGATATCGAAGTCGACACCAGCGGGCCCGTCCTCGCGGCATCTTTTGGATTCAAAGGTCCAGTTCCCAGGCGGCGCCGCCGTGTCTCACCACTCCTCAACAACCCCTGCGCACCCAGCAGGCATTGCCGGCAACCTGGCAGGCCCACGCCGCCTGCGCAATGCAGCCCTGACGTGGCGGCATGCCAGCTGTCCCGCATGGCATAACTCAGCGCCGCCGCAGGGCATGGCCATGAGACCGGCTTGTGCGGTCAAGCACCCACTGCAACAAACAAGAGACCCATCTCCTGTCATGGACGACGGAGGTCCGAATCCGTCCTTAAAGGCGAAAAGGACGGACCTGCGCGCTTGTCGCCTGCCACTTGCTCATCCTGCGCACCCTTTCCGAGCTACAGTCTCCCGCTCCCGTGGTCGGATGATTCCAAGCTTGGTCAACGCATTGGTATCGTAAGACGTGACTTGCTCGGTTCTGTGCGCCATTTCAGTTCCATGGCCACAGAGCTGATATGCATGAGTCTCGCTTTCTGCTTCATCCAAACATGTCGCCAGGTGGCATCCTTGCGGGTGACCTTGTAGGTCATGCCAACGAGGACATCCCCTAATATCACGGATGCCCCCCGAACCTTATCCCATAGCGGACAAATGCAGGGTCCAGTGGCTCAGCGGCGCCTCTGAGCCAGCTCCGAGGGGATGAAAGCGTAATCGATAACGCGAATCGGCAAGTGGGACCCTCGCCCAGGGGCCCGAGGCTGCGTCATTGGGTCCTTGACCGCTGGCGCCCCTAGCCCGCGCGAAAAGAACATGGGCAAAATTGGCCCGACTGAGCAGGTCGCAGCATTCACACCACGCACCACCGCCGCCCACTCGGCAGGCCGTTGTCGCTTCCTCGTTGCTGGCCCACGTGCCCCGTCCACTCCTCCTCGATGATCCTTTCCCCTCCGCTTCTTTCCACGTCTCCTGCCCCCTCCGTCTTCTCTTCTGTAGTCCGTCGACACTCTGGATTTGAGCCTCTCCACGTCTTGTCAATATTTCCATCCTCACCGGTCAGACTCAGCAATAACTCAAAGTTCCGGCGCTTAGACAGTTTGACTGCCCTGCACTGCTCTTGTCGACCAACATCCCAGCTGCGAAGGCCTCTTCCTCCAGCGATCTCAACGGGCATCAACCTCTCGTCGACTTGACCGCACGAGGTTTCACCCAAGATGGCACCGAAAAGCAAACCAAACCACGACGAGACCAAGTCCGAGGGGCTCAATGGGAAGGAACGCAACGGCGCGGCCTCGAGATCGACAAAGATGTCTCGAGGCGCGAGTGCCATGGGCTCAAATCACAAGGACAAGGATAAAGACAGTGCTGGAGCCAACGGCGACAAGACGAGCAACGCGGCACAGCGCAGTGCTGCTGCTACAACCACATCTTCAACCGCGGCGCCTCTGCCAGCAGTCGCACCCCCTGGCGTAAGCCCGACCTCTGCCATCCCTCATGCCCGCACAACTTGTCAGTGGCTAACTCAAGGATTGTATCGGATCTCTAGCTACAATGGTCAACCTTTGACCGCGACGTCTTACACGATTACCGCCGCGAGTACCGCCTCGACACCCCGACCTGCTTCTCCAACTCATACCACCACTGGATCCTGTCGAGGCCGGGCATTGGTCTCCGATCACCAACAATGGCTCGCCGAGCCGAGTATCGCCGCCAGAGCAAGGACGATCTTGCCAAAGTCGTGCGGAAACACTTCAATGGCTTGGGAATTCAAGAAAATGACGTTGTGGTCAGCTTCTTGCACAAGGTCCGCAATCCCAGCATCGCGCGGCCAAGGAGGAACAAGCTGGCACCACACTCGTCACCTCTCCCATGATGACTTCCCAGTCCAGATGCTTGGAAGTCTACGGTCAACAACAACTTTGTTCGCCTCGTTTTGGTTTCCGAATATGTTGGGTTAAATGTCCCATTGCTTGACAGTTACGATACCAGGGTTCAGGGTGGTCGATTTCTTTCTTAGCCTGTTTGGGAGTTCTTCATACCTGGGAAACATTTCACTTGTGTTGAGTCCATCAAGTACAGGAGTTAACTGGCGTCAATGGTGTTATAGAGCCGGTCCGGGCTCGGGGAAAAGCTTGTTCGCATGTAATCATTCTGGCAACAGCCATCATAGCATAGCCGTTCAATTATGCCATCGGTGCTTTATCCGCAATTGACTTGCTCTACCTTGCCCATCGGAGGCGGGCGTTTTGACGTGGTTTCAAAGCAGTAAAGATCACGCCTGCGGGCTCTTGTGCTGAACTTGGCTTCAAAGTGACTTCGCAAGAGGCAGAGCGGCTATACGCGAGACTGGGACTAATATGGAGGTTCCCAAGCCTTGGCGCGACTGGATTGTGACGCGATGCTAGCTGCTGCATGATTCCATTAGTGAGGGTCTATTCGTACGTAACAGCGCTAGCCGCTGCTGGCCTCAGGCAGCAAAGCAGAATTTGGGTTTGGGCCGGCGGTGATTGGCTGAACCTCGACGATGATTGGAGAATGTTCCTTGCGACTCCCGCCGAAAAAGTTGGGGCGTCATTGTGCCAACCCACCGCCCCGGCTCAAGATTTCTGTTGTCCACGATCCTGCTGCCGGCATCCGCGGCTGAGACCTATCTGTAACGCACGTTTTCTCGCCCTCTAGTCACCACAACTCCCGACTGACGCCCGGCAAGCACACCAAAGTTCTAAGGCCCTGCGCAACAGCGCCCGTTGTGTCAGTTTCGACGACCATCTCCAAACTCTTCTCAGCCGGACCCGCCCGACATGTTATAGACCGACAATAGCCACATAGACTCTGCCGCATTTCATTCCACGTTACACAATCATCACCAAACACGAACATCATGAACTCGCCAGCGATCTTCACAAAGGCAGCACTGCCTAGTCGCGTGCTGTCTCCTGCCCACATCTATCGCAGGCAGAGGCTACGGGATCACTTGCGCAAACGGCCAACGCCGTCCCAGGCTTCCATCTCGACGATATCCAAACGACCTGTCCCGGCCTCCCCAGATGCAGCACACCGGTCGAGGCTCCAGCCTAAGGTGAGTGACGCTCCCGAACTTGATAGCAGACATCCGAGCTTGACACATACTAACACTCTGTCGTATTGTAGCAAACATTCCATGCGACATCGGCCTCCTATGCCATCAAGGATCCTTACAAGGCTCTGGGAGTGAGCAAATCCGCAACACCCGCCGAGATCAAGAAGGCCTACTACGGCCTGGCGAAAAAGTACCACCCAGATACCAACAAGGACCCTTCCGCCAAGGACAAGTTTGGCGAGGCCCAGTCAGCCTACGAGATTCTCTCCGACCCCAAGAAGCGCGAACAGTACGACCAGTTCGGCGGTGCGGCCTTCGATGCGAATGGCGGTCCTGCTCCTAGCGGAGGTAATCCCTTCGCGGGGGGCGGCAACCCTTTCCACGGATTCGGCGGACAAGCAGGCGGCTTTGGCGGACAAGGTGGCTTTGGCGCCAACTTCAACTTTGACGACCTGTTCTCGGCGTTCACGGGCGGACGGGGTGGGCCGTTCGGGGGCGCCGGCGGCGGCGGCGGTCGCGGCGGCCGCAACCCTTTTGAGCAGGAGATCATGGTTGGCGACAACATTGACGTGCAGACGAGCATCTCGTTCATGGAGGCTGCCAAGGGCACGAGCAAGACCATCAACATATACCCGCTCGTGCAGTGCGGGACGTGCGCAGGCAGCGGGCTGAAGCCTGGCACCAAGCGCTCCGAGTGCAAGCAATGCGGCGGCTCCGGAGCGCAGGTGCACTTCATGACGGGCGGGTTCCAGGCGGCCTCGACGTGCAGCGCGTGCCGCGGAACGGGCCAGGCGGCGCCCCGCGGATCCGAGTGCAAGACGTGCGCGGGCGATGGTGTCGTGCGCGAGCGCAAGACGATCAACATCGACATCCCCGCGGGAATCGAGGACGGGATGAGGTTGCGGCTCGATGGGGAAGGCGACGCGCCGAAGACGGGCCAGAGCGGGAACCCGGACGTCCGCGCCGCGAGGGGCGACCTGTACATCTTTGTCAAGGTCGCGTCGGATCCCAAGTTCAAGCGTGCGGGCAGCGATATATTACACACGGCCAACATCCCGCTCACGACGGCGCTGCTCGGTGGCGAGGTGACGATCCCGACGCTCGACGGCGAGGTCAAGGTCAAGGTTGGCACAGGCACCAACACGGGCGACAAGATGACGCTCGTAGGCATGGGCATGAAGAAGGTCGGCTCGCGGCGTGGCGCCACGGGCGACCTCAAGGTCGAGTTCCGCGTCGCCATGCCAAAGTATCTCTCGGCCAACCAGCGGACCATTGTCGAGATGCTGGCGGACGAGATGGGCGACAAGACGGCCAAGCGGATCATGAATGTCAACATGAATGCGTAAGTCCACTCTCACGCCCCTGTCAAACTTCCTTCCCATCACGAGAGAGAGAGAGAGAGAGAGAGGCGCACAAAGTACAGAGTTGCAGTGCTAAGGTCTCGACGATGTAGCTCCCCCTCGTCATCACAAGCCTCCAAGGACGACGACCCTGCCTCTCACCAGAACGAGGGCTTCCTCAAGTCCATGTGGCACAACCTGACCAACCACCCTGCTCACAGACACGATCCGGATGGCTCCGGCAGCAGCACTGGCACAGACGGCACCAGCCACGAGAAGCCGAATTCGGAAAACAATGGCGCGAAGGGCAACAACAATACCGACGGGGGCAAGAAGCAGGCCGGCTCCGGCTCCGGCTAGTGAAGGGCTCGCGTTGTATTACAGGCGGAGGTGTAACCGCAGGAGGCAATTTGTGAAAATGTACTATAACCTGAAGAACGATTGGACGACCCTTTGTACAAAAGAAAAGAACAAAATCCCCACAGAGCACCGACACGGTTCCAGAGCGGAAACATTCTAGACAGCTAGTGAGACAGGAGAGATTGGAAAAATGCAAGCGGATGGAGGACAGAGGCCGAGTCGAAGCACGCACTGCTACACTGCGGGGCATCAGACGAGCAGCAGCGTCAGGTTCACCGTTGACAAGGCCATCCGGTGCTTTGTGTTCTTCTTGTATCATATAAAATTTAAGGCGAACTGTTTTTTGGTCATAGATATTGAAGCGTATGTACAGGCCGCGGTCATGCAGTTATGCGTGGGTACTCGAGATGGGATCAGTGCCAGCCATGGTTGGGTGCGTGAAGCGTGAAGCTCTGTATATAATCCCGAACGCATAAACGAGAGCAAGCCTTGCCCCTGAGAAGCGCCCAGTGTGACGACTATCCAAACATGTTGCGTCTGTCCTGAATTGAAGCCGGGCCAAGCACCACCGTCGGAGTCCTTTCGCTAGGCCCAAGGGGATTTAGCTTGGCCACTTCAAGAATTGCAAATGATATGGGTGGCCGGGCCTGTGCTATCTTTACATGTCCTTACGTGGAGAATCTTTAGCAGCAGTGCGGGCCCTGGGTTGGGCGACCCTGGAACTTCAGAAGTCAAGATAAGAATCAAGGGGTCCTCGCGGATTCCCGTGGTCGCAGAACGGGCCTGCTTGGCTTTGGGGAAATTTGACTGCCGTTGCGGCCCAGAGCTTGGGAGCCGAGCGCGCGTGGGGGGAGGGGGGGGCTTCTTTCGTGTGCGGGCTAAATTTGGAGGGCCTCTTGACTCATGATGCCCAGGCGCCATCTGAGACCGAATAGCCCATACAGAGTTGCCTGGGGCATTCTTATGGCTGTTGCTAGGTTTGTCTGAGCGACTTGCCGTGGCCCCGGCGGCACTTCTTGAACGTGGAAGCGAAAGCCGTTGTGAAAGTCCAATACTAAAGGCACATTAAGCGCCGTCGCCGGCAATGTGGGGCGGGGCCTCGCGGCAGCCGCGGGGGCATGAAGCGCCGGGGGCCGACCGGGGTGGCGGGACAGCCAATGACGTACGGGAGAGGGGTAGTTGCAGCGCCGACCCATCACATGCGATGCTGGGATCTGCCGCCTGGATGAATACACTAAGTGAATATGGTGCGACGGGAGCTGGCGCCTCAGGCAGAACTCGGGCTTCGTTCGTCTGCGCATGGCAACCTTGCCTGCCAATGGGCCGTCTTACATGGACAATCGTCTTTTGGGGGGATTTGGACTAGATAGTTTGGCCCCGTGCTGGCCGCCATATGCGCTCTCGTGAGAGCCCTACCACTCCAGAAGTGTAGCGCAACTTATATGACGCCCGAATCTGCAGCAGCAGCAGCAGTGGCCCAGACCAGGGCCTATAACTGACGGGGCCGGCAGCCCGTCACTGCATGCAGGGAACACCGCTGACAGGCTGCCGGTTATGAGTGACCGGCCACTTGCAAGCCCCCAAACGACGTTCATGGGAGCCGTGTGACCAGCTTGCAGAGGCGCGGGAACGAGGCTCAGGGTCGGTTGGGCTTCGTGGGAGAGAGAAGGGACGGACTTGGACACAGCCCGGGCATCACTCCCTCGACGGTGCTGGCGTTGTTTGTGCTTCGAGCAACCATGTCATGCATATAATTTCCAGGAGGCACAGTGGATGGGGGACGGAGCGTGACAGGGAGAGCTCGAGCGTGAGAACGAGAGAGCATGTGTTGGTGGTGGCCTATCCCAGGTGATGATGTTAGCCATGCCACCGCCTGGCGGCCCCACACTGACTCTGAGGTGCCCGCCCGCGGTGAGCACCCCTCCAAGTCCGGCGCTCCAAGGCCCGCACTCCAGGCGTGTGGCTTCTCCAACTTGGCGGCCCTGGCCCAACCGCCACTGCACATCACCGTGCGATGTGCGCTAGGGGAGCTCACGCTGCTTCAGAGCTGCGAGCCCAAAACCACCCGCCCCTCTGAGAACCACGACACACTGGCGCATCTCACCCTACCCAGCCATCCCAGTGTCGACAGTCATCCTTCCCGGCGCCTTCCGGTCCCGTCTCGAGCTGCCAACTCCTTCTCCGCCGACGCAGAGAGTCGCGGTAGCACCCCGTCCGTCTCACTTGCTGCCCGACAATCCCACTGCGCGTCGTGCGCCGGCTGCCGCCATGCCGCAGACGCCCATGATCTCGGTGCCGCTCAAGGCCACAAACGAGATTGACTGGATAGGCCCTCTCAAGGCCTACATTCGCAACACGTACGGCGACGATCCGGAGCGCTATGCCGAAGAGTGCGCAACCCTCAACCGCCTCCGCCAGGACATGCGGGGTGCCGGCAAGGACAGCACCGCAGGCAGAGACCTGCTGTATCGCTACTACGGCCAGCTCGAGCTGCTCGACCTTCGCTTCCCAGTCGACGAGCAGCACATCAAAATCTCATTCACATGGTGCGCATCCCGCCAGATACCCAGCGCAGTCCTGGGAAAGCTCGGCTGACATCTTGCCTCTCGGTTTACAGGTTCGACGCCTTTACGCACAAGGCCACTGCCCAATACTCGCTCGCGTTCGAGAAGGCGTCCATAATATTCAACATCTGCGCCGTCCTTTCGTGCCATGCCGCGTTGCAGACACGGTCCGAGGAGTCTGGGCTCAAGACAGCATATCACTCCTTCCAAGCATCTGCGGGCATGTTCACCTACATAAACGAGAACTTTCTGCACGCCCCTTCGTCCGACCTCAGCCGAGAGACAGTGAAGACCCTTATTCAGATCATGCTGGCACAAGCACAGGAAGTATTTCTGGAAAAGCAGGTGGCCGACCAGAAGAAGAACGGACTTCTGGCCAAACTCTCGAGCCAAGCTGCCGATCTCTACCAACAGGCGGTAGAAGGGACGCAGGAGAATGTCAACAAGGCTATATTTGAGAAAGTCTGGCTCCTCTTCGTTCAGGTAAGTCGAGTGCCCGGGTGTCCTATTCCTCTGACTTTTGTTGCGAGACTCACAACCAGTCGCTGATTGTGTGTTGACAGATTAAATACAACCTGATGAGCTCTAATGCGCAATACTACCAAGCTCTTGCCGATGAAGACGCCAATTCATACGGCGTGGCTGTCGCACGGCTCATGGTGGCTGAAGTCCAGGCGAAGGAGGCGAGCAAGATCGCCAGCAATTTCCCCAGTTCCATGGCGCCAAGCACAAACATGACCTCAGAAACGGGACCAGCACTTGCTGAGATCACGAAACGAAACCTGACAACTATCCAAGAAAAGCTGCAAGGACTTCTCAAGGACAACGACTACATCTATCACCAGACCGTGCCGGCTGAGGCAAGTCTCACGGCGATTCCCAAGCTACCAGCGGCGAAACCAATTCCTGTGAGCGAACTGTATGCCGGACAGGATATTCAACGCATCACAGGGCCAGATCTCTTTGCCAAGATCGTGCCGTTGGCGGTCACGGAATCAGCCAGTCTCTACGACGAAGAGAAGGCAAAACTTGTCCGCGCCGAAACTGAGAGAGTCGATCTAGCCAATAGCGAAATGGCTGCGAGTCTCGACTACCTGCGACTACCTGGTGCCCTACAGGTACTCAAGGGAGGTGTGGATCAGGAAATACTGCCTGATGAAGATTTCCGGACTTGGTGCGACGACGTTGCTGGCCACGAAAATCCAATTTCGATACTGGACACTTTGAGAATCGACAGAGACTCCATCATTGGCACCCTTGACCGATGTTCGAAACAGCTTGACATGGAGGAGAGTGTCTGCGAAAAGATGAGATCAAAGTACGAGAGCGAGTGGACTCAGCAACCAAGCTCGAGACTTACTACTACGCTTCGAGGCAATATTCGCAATTACCGAGAGGCCCTGGACGAAGCTTCGCGCAGTGATGGACAGCTGTACGCCAAGTTCCGCCAGAACGAGGCAGACATTGAAGAAATGCGGAATGCAGCGCAACACGGTCGAGTCGACGAGCTGTTCCAGCGAGCTATACAGAAAGTCCGTGGCAAAACGAGCAACTCCGGAAGCCCTATTGGAGGCGAGGCAAACCTGTTGGATACTGATTTCGAGGATGGCGGCATGAGCGTGGCAGAGCAGATCAGCAGGGTGGAGGACATCTTGAAGAAACTGAACCTGGTCAAGCGTGAGCGGAACCAGGTACTCAAGGACTTGAAGGAGAAGGTTTGTCCCCCCCCCCCCCCCCGTGCGTTCATTTCCGATGACCAGTCTCGGTAAGCTAACTTATCTGTTGCCCAGGTTCACAATGACGACATATCCCAGATTCTCATTCTGAACAAGAAATCCATTTCAAACTTTGAGACGCAACTCTTTCAGCAGGAGCTCGAGAAATTCCGGCCGCATCAACAACGCCTGCTACAGGCCAACCATAAGCAGTCGGCCCTTATGAAAGAGCTTAATATGTCCTTCAACTCTCTTCTGCAGGATAAGCGCGTGCGGTCCGAGCAGACCAAATACGAGACCATACAGCGGCAACGAGGGTCGGTTGTTAACAGATACAAGCGAGCCTATCAGGAATTTCTCGATCTCGAAGCCGGGCTGCAGGGTGCCAAGAGATGGTACAGCGAGATGAAGGAAACGGTCGACAGCCTGGAGAAGAATGTTGAGACGTTCGTCAACAACAGGAGATCAGAGGGCGCCACTCTCTTGAGCCAGATTGAGCAGGAGCAGGCAGCGAACAAGAGCTCCCAAGCCGAGCTGGAACGGGAGAGGTTGCGTGGTCTGATGGACCGAATGTCAATAGAGCCCAATGTTTCAGGCCCGGCCAAATCCTCGAGTCGACCGACGCCGGCGCCGCTCAACTTCAGCAGCCCAAGCAACTCTAGCTACCCCCAAACGAACTTCGGAGGCCAGTACCAGCTTCCTCGGTCCCCACCTCCAAACCAGGCCACCTACCCGACTTTCTCTAGTCCACCTCCGCAGTCGACATATTCCTCCCCAGCTCCGCAGCAGCCCTACACGCCATCTGCCATGCAGACGACCTTTGGACAGCAGGCCACATACAACCCGGGCAGCTGGGGTCGCAATCCTGGACCGACGTCGCCGCCACCCAACCAGACAAGCTTCAGCCTGGGCCCTGCATCACCTCCACCCACACAGACATCCTTTGCCCAGCACCAGTATAGCACGTACGGCAACCACCAGCAGCCGCAACAGCCGCAGCACATGCAGCACCAACTCCAGCAACAACCGCCGCCGCAGCAGCAGCAGCCTCAACAACAGCAGCAAGGCTACAACATACCGAGCAACTTTGTGCCACCTCCTCCCCCGCCAGGCCCCCCACCGTTGGGTCCCCAGCAGACATTCCACTACGATCAGCAGGACCAGTTGCAGTCGAACCCTTATGGGCATCACCAACAACAACAACATGGTGGCTACGGCCGACAGAGCCAGCCACCTCATCAACAACAGCAGCAGCAAGATCCCTGGGCAGGACTGAGCGCTTGGAAGTGAGAGAGGGAGAAGAGAAAAGGAGAGAGCGAAGCTGTCCTCTCTACAGCCTGGAAGCACCTCCTTTTGAAAACTCGCAGAAGGATGCCTGGTTGGTTGGTTGCGCACGGGGAAAAAGGGCCAAACAACAAAGAACCCCGGCGCTGTGGGCAGTCTCAACAGCCCCGCTGTAAACACGGTGCTTGCCAGTATATAGATAAAGACGCGACGCAATAACAATGATTGAATTGACATGGCGAACCTGTGAGCCGTCGCTTGATTGTGAAAATGCGTCCCGCTGGGCTGTTGTGCTAACGGGCGGCAGGGAATTGCTCTTGAAAAGCAGAGGAGCTTCAACAGAATTCCAGCATACCGATGGGCAGCATGGTAGACTGATTGAAGGCCGATATTATGCGGCTTGCCTCGCGGGCCGGGTTGGTGGACGGGACCATTCCGCCAACGTGATACGTCGAGTAATGCTGATTGACGAGCTGTTTTGAAAGAGTACTTGAATCACAATAGTGCTACTTTTGGAACGTCACTTCTGCATATCTCACACACAGACCCGCGCCAGTTCGCCATATGTGACGGAGCCTGGTAGCCTGCCGAGACATAAGCTATGGGTTGATTGTTCTCATGCATTCGTCTCAAGACTCGTTACTGTGCTCAATTGGATGATGTGCCTCACTTATCCCTTTCCCAGCCGGATTTGCCGCTACCCGCGGCACCCTAAAACCCAGAAAACGGCCGGCTGATGCTGAACAACTAATAATGCGCATAAAGCACCTATCAAATGAAGTCTGGTGTATGTACTCCTTCCCAAGCCCTGAATTTGGCGTCTCAGGCGAGGTAACCAAGCTCATCATCTTCCAACCGCTCCAGATACTCCTTGTCAAGGAGGATCTCAATGCATTTCTTGATGTCGCTGACCTTGGGCACGAAACGCGACTTGATCTGGTTGATGGTCTCGCTCACGAGCTGGGAGTGCTTCATCTTCTTTCTCGCCTTCATGATGCGGACAATGGCGGACTTTATTCCAGACGTTAGCAAAACATTATTCACGGTTAGAATACTCTGCAAATCTGGACATACCTGCAAGACCAACTGTCTGTCCTCCTCAATTGTCTTGTTTGTGTCGACTTCTTCTTGCTTCTGCTCAGACTTTGTGGCGACGTTGAGGTTCACACGGATCTTTTTGCTCTTGAAGTCGTAGTTGAGATGGAATGTCTTGCCAGGACCGGGTTTGTCCCCGTCCGGCTTCATCGTCAGAACCTTGGCCTTGAGCAGGATACCGATCTGTGGATCGAGGACGTCGTTCGATAGCTGTGTAGCAGAGGAAATATCTTCATACGTCTGCACATCCTTGTCGTTGAACAAGAGCAGAACAGCCATCTGATACACGCTGACTTGGAACATGTATGGCGCCTTCTGGTTCTTGCAATAGCTGGTTTTGACCTCGCCCTTGCAGAGCTGCCACAGCCAAGTCAACTTGCGACCTTCGTGCTTGTTCTTGTAGAAGAGTGTAAATCTGTCGAGGTCAGCCTGCACCTCCGGCGGCGGGTTGAACGTCGTGTTAGGAGGCGTCAACGGCCAGAAGCTGGTGCCCAGAATGGAGTACGACGAGTCGAGAGATTGCTTCTTGTCGCTGTCGAGTCCCTTGCAGTGCTCGCGGAAGCCTGTGTTCAGGTCTTTCGAAGTCTGCATATCTTGGAACATACGTTGCAGCTTGTTGGTGTACTCAAAGCCGCACGCCTCCTTCAACTTGCTGATCATGCTTGTCTCAGCATCATCGGATGACGAATTGCTGTGTACAAGACGCCGGGCCAACATTCTGGAGTAGAACTTCTGGAAGACGTCCTTGTCCTCGATGTACTTGAACACCGTCATGATTTGTGTGAGGGTAGCATCGAGTTCAGCTTCCTCAACACCAGTACCGCTCTTGCGGAGAAGAACGTCGGTGTATTTGGCCAAGAGCTCGGGGGATTTGTTTGAGCCAGCCTTGCAGATGTCGTTCCTGTTCACAAACTCTCGGCAGGCATTGTCGAGAGAACGTGTGAACTCGGGTTCGTCCCTGAAAGCTCGCTTGACAAGACCCTGGTACAGCGTGTGCGTCTCAAGGAGTGCCTCGACATAGACCTTGGGCTCGAGTTTCTCGGCGTCGGATGCCACCTTCGCAACGGCAGCCAGGCCAGCATTGCGGACATGGGTCTCAAACTTTTGCCGCAGGGGATCGAGCCCGTCTGGAATCCTCGACAGCAGGCTGTACATTCGAGCCATGTCCTCCTCTCGGTGGTTCTCAAGCAGGACCTGGAACTCTTCCCTCAGGATGGCCGAATGGTCGGCGATGAGCGCCTTGTTGCAAGTCTTTTTCAGAGGCAGCGCAATGTCCTGGTGCAGGTACATCTTGACACGCTCCTCCTCCTCATTCAGTCTTGTCTCGGCCTTCTTCATATACTCCACCACACTGTTCTCGGCGACGAACTGTTTGGACTCGCTGACGTAGAACTGCTCGGTGGCTGTGAGGAACGGCCCCTCAAAGTGTGTCCTGTACACATCGAGTGTGGTCTTGCTTGCGTCGTGCTCGTCCAGGCCAAGAGACACAAATGATTCGACGACCTGTTTGATCTGGCCGTGTTCGATCGTCTCGCCGTTTCTCTGCTTCTCCACCAACTTCAACACCGCTGACATGACCTTCTCGTTGAGCGTCGTGAACAGCTCACTCCGCCATTGAAACAAATGCAAAGTGTAGACGTCGTACGTGGATTTCTTGCCCTCGTCCATCTCGCGCTTCACCCAGTGTCTGTTCAGGTAGCGGAACAAGTGATGGATATATTTCGCCGCCGTCGTATATCGATCCCATTCGCGAATGTAGAATGTGAGGAGCGCTTCGTCTGTGTATGCTTTCGACTGTTCGGTAAGTTCCGCCAGGTGGTTGTTCAGGTACTCCTTGAGCTTCTTGTAGAGATCCTCACCCAGAAGGTGGGCTTGACACGACGTTAGCAGAGCATTCCGAATGCAGAGAGACAAGCTACGGATAACGGTATGTGGTGACTTACCTCCACGATGGTGCTGGCCGACACCGCCAGAGCTGAGGCCGACCGCTTTTTGAGAGGTGCAGAAGTTGTGAACGGCGCTGAGATGAGCACTGTTAGCAACACCATCGAGCAAGTGATAACGAAGGCGTTTGGACTCACGTGTAAACACCCATGTACTATTGAATGATTCTAGAGTCAGCTACGAGTCACCAACAAAATAGAGCAGCGCTGGCGGTTAGACATGGCACACTCACAGTCTCAAGATCCATGCCGTCCGACAGATTGATCATGATCTTCGATATGCCTGCTTCCAAGTAGCGCCATCTGGACAGCTGGTCGTTAGTCACTGTGCGTCTTTGGTCTTCATGGAGGAGGGGCACGGGACGAACGTCGCGTCGATGTCCTCGCGGTTGGGAGCCGGAGGCATCTGCACCGGCGGCCGGGTGGCGGCTACCGAAGTCATGGTGAGGGAGGTATGGAATGGAGTTGCGTATCGATGCGGATGGAGAGAGTGCTGTGCGTAGCGTGGGTGCGTGAGGTGGACGGCGTTGAGGTTCGTGGGCGGCAGACTGGGGTTGTGATGACAGGATGAGGTGGGGAGAGTCGGGACTGGATGAAACCGACACGGGCGAGCGTGTCGCGGGCTGGAACGTTGAAAAAGCAGGCCGCCTGCGATCACAGGCCAGCAGTCGACAACAGGAACGGTGAGTCGAAAGAGAAGGTGTCACCAGCCGAGACGAGGCGCGACCAGAGAAGGGATGATGAAATGTGCAATGGTGCATGCGCCGGGCAGGAACGACGTGGGGACTTTGAGGAGGAAGGCAGCAGGCAGGTCGGGCCCGGCGGCGGTAGGAGGGTGACTGCGCGACTCCACTTGCCGAGCGAGTCGCAGTCCTGATACGTGCTCCGCAGGGCTGCCGTTCCCAGCCAGCTTGCTCAGCCTAAGGCTGCCACGGCGGGGCAAACAGGCAGCATACAGTAGCTCGGTACTTGGATTCACGTTGCAGGTGTGCTGCTCACCTAGGTACCTGGCTGTGTAACACCCTCAGGACCACCCAGATTTTGTCTCAATGCGATTTCCATTCTGTCTGGAAAAAGAACACTATTTAGAGATTCAGCTAAATACTGTATGAGGACAAAACTCTTGACGAAACCTGCAAAGTTCCTTTTCGCTGATAACCCCCCAACTGAGGCTCGTGCGTGACGGACGATGCTGGACATGTGGCCCCTTCGCCACCCAATCCTAAGGTCGATTTCCGCAATATGCAGTGTTTTCGATGTGGCCCCTAATAGTAGCAAGTGGCGGCCGAATACACGTCTTGCACGATGCGCAGCATATGTACGGAACCACGAACCACGAAGCCAGAGTGCAGATTTGAGTATTGTTTGAGCTTATGAGTATTGTCCCCAGGATATCCCAGCTGCGGCCAACCAGTCCAGACTATTGCTGTTTGCGCCACGCAGCATAATGCCATGACTCCATAACTCCTTGCCAAAAATGATTCAACGTGACCGAAATAGCGTAGACCGATAGTCTGAAATTCGTCTCATTTTCTGATATTCATCCTCCCCTGCTGTCCATGCCACAGCCAAGTACGATACGTCCTCATTGCACCTGCAGTTCCTTTATACCGCCGAGCTGTTCAGCAATCCGGAACACGCTGATAGTGAAGTTGAGGATCCATGAGATAAGACCAACAGTGACCAGAGCGGCTAAACTTCGCGCCAGACGAACGTTAGTCTCCTCCGCATCCATCGCCGCCTGAGTGGCACCGTTGGCATCACCAGAATGATATATTAAGGCCTCGAAAGCCAGTGCAGTACTTGCGGCTTTGAAGGCAATGAAGAGCACGTCCAGTAGCGAGAGGCCGACTTTCTGAGCGGCGCGGCGCAGGCCAAGAGGCTTCCCTGTATACTCGTCGTACACCATGTACAGAATGTAAGGAATTGCAATGGCGTCAATGATGATGGCTACTACAGCCTGTGAGGTCTCGGCAGTGTTTCTGGTGGGGATACTCGGGTCATGCCATCTTCTGAAGATCTGGGTCGCAACGACAAGTGCCGATATGGTGGTGACGAGAACGACGAGGCGGAAGGTGAGGGGTGCCATGGGGTGGCGCAGGGCGAAGTCACGAAGCTTGGCGATGATGGTTTTCTTCCGGGACTTTTTCGCGGCCTTTGGATCGAGATGATGATATGGCGACTTGACTGGCTGGTCAAGCCCGGGCATCTGCGCCTGAAGTTCTTCGTACGGAACTATTTGCGACTCTTCACCCTGACTGCGGCCATATGCCGACGACTGAACAAAGTCGCGCCACCGAGCATATGGATCCTCATGGGGATCTCGGTAGCCCAAGCCCATAATGACCGGATCAGCCGTCCGGAGGTGGTCCCATCGCCGCCCAGGCTTGTCTGCCCTTTTCCTCAAGAAGACAGGCAGCTTTGACACATGATCGTACTTCTCGTCAACCCAGTCCACGTAGCCGTCTTTGGATACCCTACGCCTCAAGTGATGGGTGCGCTTCCCAGAATCTGTGCGAGCCGCGGGTGGCGGCGCATTGGGCTTGGGCGGCTTGGTCGAGAGTAACGCGTCGTCCTCCCCATGCGCGCGAGGGTCATAGACCTCGACCCACGGAGGCACTGTCGCCCGAAGCTGGTTGGCGTCCTTGCTCGGCATGGCATGAAGTGATGGTTGGAATGCGCGCCTCGGGCTTCAAGAGCGAGCCCAGGCAAGCTGGGTCAAGGTTGTTGAGCAACACGGGGGTCGATGGCCACGTGCGCTGTGCCCTCAGACGCGCGGGGCTGTGGTTCCGAGACGCAGGATCCGAAGCGAAAAGATGGAATCCGATGTCCGGCTTGACGTGTGGAAGTGGCAGTCGGTCGAGAGGATCGTTGAGAGACGAAGGCTGGTGAGCACGGGTTGCGGTGTGGTGCGGCACAGAGCATCTGCACGAACAGCCAGCCAGCAGGCGAGGCACGGCTGGGCTGACACGCGGGCTGAGCCAACCCCAATGAAGAAGAGCGAGAGAGACAGGAGAGTCGTTGTATTACGTCATGCCGCATGGGTTGAGAAGTAGCGATACCAGGAGAGAATATTAGAAAATCACGAATGAAATGCAATGGCGAGACGGAGGAGCGAGTGACGGCAGCAGGCGCAGGCGGCGGCGGCGGCGTTTGGCCGTGCTGGAGCAGAGCGCGGCCAGGAGCGTTGGATGTGGTTGAGGGGAGAATGGGAATTTGCGGCCGGATGCAATGGAGCGGATGGCTCGGGCGCGGTTGCCAGGCAGGTAAGATTGGCTGGCTGGCTGGCTGGCGCTGCGGCTCAAGCGCGCGAGAAGGGGATCCGAGCGAGGCTGGGTCCTGGTTGGGGGCGCCGAGCCCTGGTCGAGCTGCCCAGGGCTGACTGCGTTATTATGTCAGAGGCCTGGCGCACCCAGGAAGGGATCCTTGCTGGGTCCTGGGGAGAGCCCGGGCGTCATAAACTGGGAACAGCTGGGAGGTACAGCCATTGGCCCCCAGCACACGTTGCAATAAGCTAGTGCCGGCTTGCAGGAAACATCAGAGACGACCCCACGCGGCGGGACAGAGTCTCCATCCAGCCTGGTCCGGCGCAGCGTCGAAACACGCATCATGACTCTCTCCCTGCTGGACTGAGAGGCCTCTTTTGCGATGGACATACTTAGTGTACGTAGGCACCAGGCACCACCGCTCGGGCAGCACCGCCACGCCCAACAATCGCGCCGCCCGCCTCGCTCGCGTGGGGCAGCTCTTCCAGCCCATGGCGAGATCGGCCATAAAAGTCTGCTGGCCACGATGAGGCCTGCCTCAACGTGGGCGCATCTCTTGGTTGGCAGGAGTTTGGATCGAGGGCTCCAACCAGGGACCAGGGCCCCAATTTGGGTGCATTGCGGGACCACGATCGAGCAGAATCCCATGCATTAAATACAAGGTTAAATGCCCACGTCGCTGCTGCATTGCGGCCTCTCTGGATCTTTCGAGTCCTGCTCTGCTGCATCCCGTCTTCACGAGAAGCCTTTCTGACTTCCTCTATTCTTCGCAACGACACACTCCTCAAAAAAATAAATAAAAATACACATGAGGTGAGCCCCGGTTAGTTGGCAGAAACCAAGCACCAGAGCACGAGCTTAGCGCAACCTTGGGGTCACCACGTTCCGGTAAGCTTTGAGCTGCAGCCTGTGATCCTTGGCGCGCCAGCCCACTTTGATTACATCATTTCTGTCACTGCAACAGCCTGTCTGCGCTCGATCTCTGTTCCTGGCGCCCGCCTCTTGTTCACCACCAACTAACTACAGGTAAATCGGTCCTGGCCGCGCAAAAGAACCGGTCGTTACTGTCCGACCTCGCGCAAGCCCGAGCTGCGAAGATGCGCCTCTTCCTGCTCCCCATATCGACCCGGCGCACCCTGCTCTACGCCCAGAAGATCCATGTCGTGCCCTCCGAGAAGCAGACCATTGCAGACAAGGTCATCGTCCGCGCCACGAAGCTCTGGGCCGGCTGGGAGAAGAAGGAGAGTGGCTGGCAGCGCAAGGTCGTCGACTATGGCAACTACGCGCTGCGGAGGATACCCTACGAGGAATGGGGCCTCAAGTCGGTCCCGCCTCTGTCGACACGCCGCCGCGAAGAAGAGACTGTAGGCAACTACAAGGCTCAGCTCATATACCCTGACTCGGTCATCCCGACAACAAAGGCTCTACAGGTCTTGCACACGCTCGGCACAGAGAGGGAAAAACTGCACAGGACGAGACTCATATGGTCCCTGATTGGCATGCCCATCAGTGCGCCGTTCGCCCTTGTGCCAGTGTAAGTACCGCCCAGTTCTTTGTCAGCGACCGACTGCCCTTCAAGAGGCTTGAGCTCACACACATTTCTACCTGCAGAGTACCCAATCTTCCATTCTTCTACCTCGTCTACCGTGCGTGGTCGCATTGGCGCGCCCTAGCCGGGGGCAAGCACATTCAGTTCCTCATTGCGAATACCCTGCTGTCACTGGCTCCGAATCAGACTCTCAGCTCAGTTTATCCGCCGCTTCTCAAGGAAGGCACAGACACTGCCCCAGGCAAGGACAAGGAAGAGTTACTCATCACGCAGGCCAAGGGCCGGGAGCTCGTCAAAGCCCTCGAGATTCCAGAGCTCGAGGTGGAACTGGAGCGAGCGATCTGGCAAGTCGAGAATGCCATCAACGAAAAGCACCAAGAAAGCGGTGCGCAGCAGGTTGTACCTCATCCTAAGGAGAAACCGAACGATAACAAGAACTCATGACCACATCACGCCAATGAATTATGTATCAACAGAAGGGCAGCATGCATTATGTACAAGACAGACTCATACCCGACGCTTACGGATGATAGACGATGAGGGTTGGTCGGACGGACAGCAAACGAAATGCGGATAGACGGGCGCGGCGGACCCCTTTTTGTACATTCGACAAATACCACTTAGCATCGTCTGGTTCACAGACAATCCGTCTCTACTCATACTTTTAGCCACGGTAATCATAGCGAAATACCAGCTTTCTGCGATGTGAGATATGTAAGATTTCTTACGGAAGATAGGGGTGACCGCGGAGAATCGCTATCAAGACCATGTATCACAGGGTCAAATAGTGTAGACGACATCACCACAGGCGGGAGGAGACGATGCGTCGTTCCACCATTCCAGAAAGCGAGGGATCTTAACAAGAAGGTCTAGACTATTCATATTCGTTGACCACAGCTCTCACTTGGGAGATGAGATAAGAAAACCGGGGCACTAAAATGCTTCGAGTAGTTTGCATTCATGGTCGGCATGAAACTTGAATTATCGGCAGATGACTGAGGCACCGGTCACATTGTGTCGCATCGCCTATCGCACCACGGCGTTATCCTTCAGTATCGTGCAAAAAAAGGCTTGTTGTCTGGAACTAAGCAACCTTAAATCCCTGGCGCCAGCGACGAGGGTGTTGGGCTAGATCTGGAGCCCGTCTGCGCTACCATACCACCGCAAGTGGTAGTGTGCCAGAGCCAGCGGCGACTCCGCATGCACGGCGTGCTCAATCGCCCTGCTCTTATTGCTTGAGGGGTTTTGAGTGGTGGCCCTAAACCAAGTTTGTTATTGCGTGTTATGCATGGCTATCTAAACGTACGTTCGCGTATCGTGTGGCAAAGTCTCGATTGGTTGCCGAGGGTGTGGTGCTCGAGGCGAATCAAACACGCCTTCCTTCCTCATGTCCGTCACTAGCATTCTTGTCCAGCTTTCCTCTTCTTACCAATCTGGACTATCACTGGTTCCCCTTTCTTTCCATCGTCTGTGTCATTCGTGTTTCGGTAGATACATCAAAAATGTACCAACAACAATAACAAAGGGCTGCGCGGGTCATCGACGATTAAGACAAACAGTTCCTACCACGTGGAGTGCGATTGAGAGCAGCGAACAGCTCCTTGCTTGCAGCTGTCCTCGCTTGGCAGACATTGCCGCAGGCGCCGGCAGGATGTCTGCGCCGGGATCATCTACGACGGCCGTTGATCGGCAGCAGGACGACAATAATAAAGATGCTTTCCAGCTCAAGCAGGTCGACAGCCAGTACATCCGTGCCTTGGGGCCTCTGAAATTGAGGGGGCCAACAGATGATATGCCGCAGTGAGTTCTGTGCTGTGACCAACCCTCGCACACATGCCTTTCCGAGATTGAACTTTATAAGCGGGATATTGACATGTATTTGACAACAGGGACTGGTGGTTCTGTGCAACAGCCGTACCTTTGATAGCAGCAACCCAGGGTCCGTTGTCCAATGTGCTCTCCATTGCGGCACTGGTCAATGTCTGGCGAGTGGTCCTCCCGAATAATGGCGAGTTACCTGAGGGCGCCGACAACTTTGGCACTCCCCTACGAGATCCCCAGTGGTAAGGACGCCGTCGCCTCAGCGAAGACCTTGATCGCCTCGCGAATACTACAACACCTCATGCGTTACGATGCGTCACTGACATCGCCGTCAGGGAACTCACATGCAACGGCGTTTCACTGGCGTGCGGGTTCCTTGGGAACATCTTCCTTCTCCTCCACTTCATCGGTCGTGTGCGTTATATCGTGGCACTGCCACTGTCAATCCTCTTTTGGTTCTTAGCCTCCGGTATTGTAAGCATTGTGATATCTCTGTCCACCACCCATTCAGCTTTTAAACACGCTAAATCCCAAGCTGCAAAGCTCATCGCGATCACTGTCAGCTTGAGCATTTATAGTCCTCCGGTAGGTCCCGGCGAGATCTATGGACAAGGTTACTGGCACGCCATACTGGCTGCGGGCTTGTACATGCTTGGCTCTTTGATGCTCATGGCGAACATGGCTGGATATCTTCTTGGTCACTACCCGCAAGATTTCGACCTTAACGACGACCAGCGTACTCTAATTCTTCAGACCACCATGTATTTTGTCTGGCTTGCGGGTGGTGCTGGAATTTACGAGCGTCTTGAACAGTGGTCCAACGCAAATGCATTATACTTTTGCCACGTCGTAAGTGATTCTTTTGTTCACGCCACAATTCACCGTGCTGACTTGCTTGGCAACATCTACAGAGTATTCTGACGATTGGATACGGCGATGTTGTCCCCACAACTAATGCTGGGCGAGGCTTCTTGTTTTTATACGTCCCCATTGGCGTGATCCAGCTTGGTCTGGTCATCAGCAGGATCGCCAAATTTGCTGCCTCAATCTCGTCAGATAACATTGTGAAGAAACACCAAGACCGGCGCAGGGCCATGACAATCGATCGGTCAGTCACTTCGGAAAAGGAGCTCCGGGAGCGCCTTGGACTACGTAGTATACCGAGGAGACCATCCACCGGCTCAGCCATTTCTCGTTCCGGCTCCTTGTCAGGACTCAGCAGATATGGCAAGTTCCAGCAACGGGGTAGAACACTAACCTTTTCGGAGCACCAACCCACCCTTCGCCGCGCTCTCACTCTTGGAGACCACGCTGGCGAGCCGAAGGGGAGGCTCTCGAGAGTGCCGACGTTGAGCGACATTGCACAAGGTCTGAAGAGCGGTCCTAGGCGCCGGCTACTGATTCTCAAAGAAGACGAAGACCGCTTCAATGCCATGCGAGCCATCCAGAAGGAGACCAGACGCTTCAAGTCGTATACGGCCCTCATCCTCTCTATCATCGTGTTTGCCATGCTGTGGCTTCTGGGTGGCGTCATATTCATGCACACTGAGGCCAGATTGCTTGAGCTGACGTATTTTGAGAGTTTGTACTTCTGTTTCGTTTCGCTATTGACCATAGGGTATGTTGGCAGATGGACCCGTGACAGAATCTGGCCTGGTTATTCGATTGCCTACTAACGTGGACATGTGGATCAGTTACGGGGATATAAGTCCAAAATCGAATATTGGAAAACCGGTGTTCATAGTGTGGTCACTCATTGCTGTACCTTCACTCACCATCTTGATCCAAGCAATGTCGAATACTGTGGTTTCTTACGTCGACCGCAAAACAAACTGGCTCTTGCCACAAAAAGGGTTCCTCAAGGTCGTTCTGGACGCAAATCCAAGACTAGGAGAAAGAATTGCAAGGCTCATCGACAGGCACAACGCGCAAAAGAGAGTAGAAGAGGGGTTTCAGGTGCAAGATCCGGACGAGGCTCCAGACGTCAACAACATTGAAGATGGGGACGAGGAAAGGGGTTCTGAAACCAAAGATGGAACGAAAATGAGTGAGGCTCAGAACAAAAATAGATCACCTACTTCATCGGCCTGGGACAGCAATATGGGGCGGCCACTAGCAAGCAACAGACAACACCCTGGCTCCGAGAAGACGGAGGTATTGGGGAGCAACTTGGAAGAGCGTCGATATGTGGCTATAACGGCACATGATTTTGCGCCACAGCTTTCAGCAGCCATTCGGCACGTCGCCCGCGATGTCAAGATGCATCCGCCCAAAAACTATACCTTTGAGGAATGGTTATATTTCACCAGGTTGATCCGATACAGCAGCCGTGAAAGCCTCAAGAAGGCCACCACAATTGCTCGCAACAAACTAGACGAGGGAGCACTCGCCAGAAACGAGGAGGATGAACTTGTGGCGCTAGAGGTTGCGAAGGATGGGGAAATAGAGGATGACAAGGTTGTGGAGGACAGCGGTCTCATCGAGTGGGACTGGATTGGCGAAGACAGTCCAATGCTTTCGGGAGTCTCTGAAGCTGAATGGGTGCTTGACCGCCTTTGCGAAAGCCTCACCCGCTACGCACGATGGCAGTCTCGACGAGTAAGTGTGCTATTATTAAACCAAGGCCCTTGATTCCGCGACATGAAACCGGTCTTGTGTCCAGACTAACACGATGCCATTTTCTGCAGCATGAACGTGCTCACGGACACAATCAGAAAGCGATCGCATATTTTACAGAACCCGTTGGTCTCGACGAGAAGACTGGAAGGAACAGATCAACGAACAATGAGAAACAAGCGACGGATAGGAGACAAAATTAAGAATGGGTCTTGAATTGAACCAAAAGTCATATCTGCATGAGATGTCTCTACGATTCGGTGCCCATTTGACGGTACATACTCCTGCAGCCAACACGATGCGCCAACTAAGGTTTAAGCTTGTTGTTGAGCAAAATGAATATGCCCTCTGATAAGCAGCGGCGAACCGAAGCCGGTGGTCGCGAGGAGATGGAAACGATCTCGGAAGCTGGCAGGACCGCCTGGAAGTGGTGCCATGAGACACCTTTCCACCTACAGGGGCTGGCTAGAGCACTCGCCATATGCCCAACGGCATCCGGTATCGTGACTTTCCGGCAATGGGGACACCCAAGAGTGACCAATGACGTAGAAGCGTCGAGACGAAAATGACTCTGCCGTCCTCCCATCTCTGACACTAACCCCTGTCGACCCCGTCTTTGGCTCAGCAGGTCGAGAATGGAGTTGAGACGGGGGTAGCATCACGAGCGGCCCATCCCAACTATTATGTTGCCATCCCATTGTCGCACTGCAACGGCGGGCGATGACTGCTGCGCTCAAGTCACTGGGGCACACGTTGCATGATAAGTTGAACCCCTCCCGGTGTCAGGTTCAACTATGCTAGGCCACCCCTGCTGCTCCAGACTGCTCGTTTGGGCCTATAGCAATAGCCCGGTGGTTCGTCCCAGGGACCTCAGGGGCTTGCAAGTATCAGACCCTTGTCGCAGCTTTGTGTGCCGTTGAGCCCAAGTTGCCCAGCGCACGGCTAACAGCTTAAAAGCTTGTCTTATGGAGACGCACCCCGGCCTGGCCGCCGCAACACCCGGCACCGGATGAGTTGCATCTGCCCTCTTCGCCTAACCCAAAGGCTTGGGATGGAAGAGACGGCACACTGGCGCCCGGTCATCGGTAGTGCCGTGCATGATCGCCGACAGGGATGTGACCCCTCTGTGTCCCCGGCGACAACTCCGTGACCTCATCGTCCGCCAAAACTCACGATGCTTGGCGAAGGGGAGTTGGACGAATCACGTCGATGACTGTTGAATTTGCGGGCAACTCAGTCACAAAGTATTTGCCCGACGCAGGCACCCCAGGTTTGGCATGGGTCGGAGGTCTGACCAGACAACCCCTCGGCAGCGTCCAAAGCCTGCCGTGAGGGGGATCCTCCCGGGCAAGCGGCACAAAACCTTCCTGGATGGCCCCCTCCCCATGAGAAAGACGGAGTATTGTGTCGAAACACATCCGGTAAGGAGGTCTACTGTGATTCGGATCCTCGGAACGCTCCCAGCAAGGTGGTTGACAGTCTTTGCAGTCTCCTGAGTAGCTTGCGGGTGAGGATCGTCAGAAGTGGCGTTGACACAACTCTGTATATATAGACTCTACTCCTCCCCCTTCTGCTGATCATGTTTCCCTTCATCATCATCATCCAATCTGACAACGTCTCCGAACCCCCTCTTCGCTTCTCTTCCATTCTTTCAGAGGTAAGCTTAATTCCTTTATCCTAGACCTGACTCGTCCCCGAATCACGATTGCTGACAATGAAGAACAGCTGTGCTCTTTGTTAATCCTTTTGTCTATCTTTTGAGCTGGTCTCTGCATTGATCTCAAGCGTTCTACATTCTCTGATATTCAACGATACCCACTTTGCAAGCACCAGCAGCTCCGTTCCTTCACATCCTCCAAAATGAAGTTCTCTGCCATCACCTCCGTTTTCTGCCTGGCTTCGGCCGCCCTTGCGGCTCCTGCCGCCCCTGCCTCTGTCGAGGAGCGCGCTCTCATTCAGCTCGAGCCCTTCAACAACTTTCGCTTCGTCAACCTGGATCTCGCCTACCTCCAGGCCATCAACGGCTTTGACCTGCAGTCCTTTGTCAACCTGCAGCTCAAGAACAACCTCGACCTGAGCTCCTTCCAGAGCCTCTTCCTGGAGGACGCCTTTACTGTCAACAAGATTCTCCAGCTCCAGCAGGTCGCCATCCTCTCCCAGCTCTCCGCCATTGGCGCATTCAGCAACATCGATCTGTCTCGCGTCAAGCTTGGTGGCTTCAACTTTGCCCAGATCGCCACCATCGCCAACTTCCCGCTCAACACCTTGATCAACACGGTGCTCCAGCCCCAGCTCAGAGTCGTTGTCGACCAGACTCGTGAGTATTCCCTCCTCTGCTGCACGCTTTGATGCAAAGACATGTCACTGACACGTCGGTCACAGCTCCTCTCACCATCATCATCTAAGCGATCAATCTAACCCCCCCCCCCCACAACATCTCGAAGCGAGGTTGGGGGGCTTGTTCTCATTGCCCATCCCCGTCCACAACCGACTCCAGACTCCGTTCCACGGCTCCCTCCAAATGGCGGACCACTTCGTTGTGTGCTTCTGCCTCGAGGACCTCCTTGACAACAACACGAACCTGCCCTCGCCACTCCATCCCATCGGGCCCGGCGCCCGTCGGACAATGTGTGCATATCTAGACCCCCATCCCCCACCCCAGGCCCCTTCGTCTCGTGGCTGGTGGTTGTGATATATGGGATGCCTCTGAACTTCCTATCACTGTTTTGGTGAATGGGAGGAAGGGGGCGTCATGTCCTGGTGACATCGGTTCGTGGGTTTTTCAAAGGATGTCCGTCAACATCAGGGTTTTCTTGGAGAGTATCGAGAGTATCGAGAGGATAATCATTCCATGGCATGATACCCAAGCGGAGCATCAACACTTGATAGGAGTTATATCTCGCCTAGCGAACGAAAAGAGAATTAAAAATATAAAAAATAAAAATGAAGGCACTGGCAACAATGAAATCCAGAGTGACCCTTAGCTTTCGAATTAGAAGACCTAGCCTGCTTACATCGGGTTCTTTACCTTGAGATAGAGGTCTGGAGCCGGCTTTGACGTATGGACGACCGTTCTGATTTTTAGCGTTTCCTCAAATGCCTACTTTGCCAGCCCCTTCACGATATTGGTGTGACTGAGAGCGACAGCGATGCCTCCAGCTCTGCCGTCCTCGTCGTCCTCGTCGTCCTCGCCCTCTTACACCGAATAACCCTCATCGGATTGTCCAACTTGGCGCAAGAGAAGTCACAGCCAAGAGTCAGTCTACTTGGTAGACCGAATACCTTCGTCCAGCTTCCAAAGGAAGGCTCGATCCCACAGCCATTTGGCCTCGAGCCAATCACAAAACGAGAGGATTAGATACTGTGCTGACTAGCATACACACTGATGCAGGCACGCGAGCACACGACCCCGGAACATGCCAAGTGCCGTCTAAGCCTAGTCAGTTATGGCACCACACTAGCTAGTCTACTTTGCTCGAGAAACCGACTCCGAAACGAGATCCCGCGGGATCTCGGGATCCAGGTGTCTGGGAAGATCCCCGGTCGCGGGGAAGGAGAGAGAGAGAGCGCGAGAGAGAGCAAACATGCATGTGCATCTGGGGAGGGGAGTTGACTGCAACCGAGGATGGTGTTGTTGGCGGTCGGTTCGACTTTGCGGGTCAAGGTCAAAGCAGTGTGTTGGCAGGGGTCCTTCTGTAGGACGATACACATCTACATCACAGCAGGCACAGGTTGTGTGATTGGATAATAACTTTGAGGTCAATGACCCCATTCGCAGTAATACTGACCGGTACCCTCTGAGTGTGTGCTCATCCGGCCAATGTTGGATTATGTACCAAGCTGGAGAGCAGAATATGTCTTCTATTCCTGCCCAGGCAAGAGAGTGAGCACCCCAGCGTAAGTTTCCCTCTCACCAATAACCAGACCAGTCTTGGACCAGCTCTAGTGCAGATTGTGTGACAGGTAAGTAAGTGATCGGCAGGGATGGATCGACTCTCCACGTCTGCGAGATGTCTCCGGCTCCCACTTTGTCAGATTTGCCGTGATGATTGGATCAAGGCGTAATTAGCTGCTTAGACTTTCCGCATGTAGTCATCGTTTCCAGTCCTTTCTGCACCATTGGGGCAGAATCGACCCATTTGCCTGCCCTGCGTAGCAGCCAACGTGATGGACTTGCCTTACGGGGCAACTCGAGAGCCAACTGACACGTACGCCGCGCACACACAAGCACAAAAGGATCTGCATCGCCTTGGCACTGAACCGCGTCAACCCGCTTTGGGGGGGCGATATAACATGCGGACCCACGAGTCAACAACTGTCATTAGTTTTCACTGTGATGGTGATATTTCGCGGTCGGGCGTGGTCCGTGAAGCCACCCTCGACCAGAGACTGCGAGCAGAACCCAGAGCGGTCAGACCCAATGGACGGCAAGAAGAGAGCCAACAACAGGACAAGACTTTGTAGCCCACACCACCGTGGGAACACTAAGAGAAATTCTGCGGCGCCCCACGTGCCCTTGACATGCTTCTCCCGGCCTTCTTTCGCCACCGCTAATAAGCTCGGCCGCACTCCTCCCCCGTCGTGGATCTGTACTACAGATGTACAAAGCCCACTCTTTCACCCCGAGGCGGCCTCGGCTCCACCCTGCTCGGTGGTTGTCGCCCATCTGCCGCGCCAAGGCGGCAGTGTGAGGCACAGCACACACCTTATGTTGTGGCGGTAGGCAAGCCTGGAGAACGTGGGGAAAGTCGGACTCCTCTCGCTTGCCGCCGCAAAGATTGGATCGTCAAGTTTCTCCAAAGATGTGAGTCAGTGTGCTTTGCTCATGGGTGTCCCTCCTTGTGCGGGCCCCAGTTCCCAATTGTTGTCTGCTCCCTCTCCCTTGGAAGCCCCCTTTGTAGGGATACGCATTGCCTCAAGCGGCTGAAGCCGCGCTGGGGACATCAGTCCCTGTAGGACAATCCATGCCACGCTCGAGAGCCCATGTCAAAGGTAGATGATGCTGCATGTCTTGGCTGATCTGATCGCCCATGTCCCTGGGCTCTATGCATTAAGAAGCAGGGGTTCTAAGCAACAAAGGCTGGAGAGAGGGTCCCGACCGAAAGAGCGCCTGCCAACTACGCCTTGTACGTTTCTCTTGTGTGTTCCGCAGTGCACACCACTTGTGTTGGATGTTGCCCTGTTCCCTGCCAAGACATCCAGGGGACAACGCTGGGCCAGTCTCTCACAATGCCGCCACGTCAAAAGTCACACCTCCAACGCGCTAGCCGCGAGCTTAGGCTCGTCGTGTGCCGAGAGGACTGCTGTGGGGATTACGTTCTCGCGGGGCCCGGATTTGGCCGACTGCTCGGGTGGTCTGGTTCTGTTGTGGGGTCGATGTGTAACAACCTGAGCTGGATGAGGCCGACATTTGTGCCGGCCGGACCAGCTCGACAAAAGCGAGGATAGTTACGCCGAGACGGTCACTACTCTCACGGCAACTTTCTGCCGAGATTTGCAAAAGCTGTCATGGTCCAGCCCTTGAGCTGTCAAGACAACGGCTAAAGCTCGTCTTCAGTTTCTGGCGGGCTACTGAGCTCGCTTTCGTCTCCACTGTGAGGACTGACGCTGTCGTAATCGTCGTTCTCGCCAAGAAGCAAATCCTCACTACCCTGGGCTTGTGTTGACATTCCGGGTATACGTGTGTCGTCATCTGATATCCAACCATATACATCATCGTCGCTATCAGCGATCTCGAAGCCAGTATCGTCCAGCTTGCGCTTGTGGTAAGCCACATCGTGGAAGTCTTGGCTTGGACTGTCCCGAACGTTCCTGATCCCGCTCTGGGAATAGTCAGTCATGACATTTTCATAAGGTCCAAGTGCCACGGCATGGAAAGACTCACTGTGGTGATCTGAAATGCAAACACTTGTCCGATGACTTCTGGAACTGCTGTTCCATTGACTTTCTGGATTCCGACAAGGCTGGCACTTCGCGACGATTCCTGATGGCCGATCCAGTCTTTGAACACTACTAAGCGTGTCCCCAACCCGGCTTCGAGTGCAGCGGAAGAGACGGCTGGCGCGATGATCGCACTCCGGTCTGCCTGCATCCTCGTGGCGCACTGAGATATGATGACGACGAGAATTTCCTTTGCGGCAGCAAGCTTCTGCAGACTCGATATTATGAACTGTATAGCTTGTAGTCGTCTTGACGAAGCACTTGGGCCTGAAATTCGCATAGTCAGACCACGCGTCATCCAGTGTCACGATTGGCCAAAGAATCTAAGAGTGATACTTACCCCTAGGAGTCTTCTTCGTTTCCACATTCCTGGGATACGCATGGTTAAACAAGGCGGAGAACGAGTCAATAACCAAAAGCGAGGTGCCATCTGGAATAGCAGAGCTCGTCGGTTTACACAGAAGCGCAAGCAAATGAGCCAGGCTCGGGGTGGTGAAGTGGTGCAACGCATCCAAACTATCCAGGGAAACCGGGCTGGTCTCTGCGTGGTCTTCAGCTTGGTCTATGTGACCTTGCAAGACATTGTGAAATCTCTGTCCGGAAATGGGATGAAAGCCATCTGAACTCGCCGTCAGTCTCGCAAGCCTGTGTGCTGGACCCAACATAAATAAATGTCCAACAGGATTTGGTGAGCTACTGACCAACCCAAACGACCTGATGCCCAGATCTGATGGAACTTGCCGCGAGCTGAAGTCTACATTGAGTGAGCAATCTCGTTCTCCAGACGTCCGAAGTCATGCCTGATCTTACGCAAATGCTGTTTTACCGGATCCTGGTGGACCCCAAATCTCGACGACTTGGCTGGTTTCAAGCCCTCGAGGAGCTGTGGCCTGGTCTTGTCCACTCACTGAGAGCAAAGGGGTGAGGGCTTCGTCAAGGTCATCGAGGCCCGTAGACACAAAGCGAGACCGCTGCTCTCCTAGGTCGTCCAGAACTTGCGCAGCAGAAACAGTCGGCATCCGATCTGCAAGGACATCAGCTGCTGGCAGGAGCGGCCACGACAGGAGTATACGCACGGGTCGAGCTCAAGTCGAAACTGGCCACGTCCTGGTTGGTGCGCTTTGTGTCATCCATCCTCCCTTCACGTGACTGCCAGCACACATGATGATGCCCGATGGCTCCTTGTACTCTGGCTCGCCGTGAATCTGATCCTGATCTGCCTTGTCGTTGTCAAAAGTGCCGCGAAATATCATCGATGAATGCTGCACCAAAGTCACGACCACGATGCAACCTGCAGACGTCGAGGAAGCCAAGCGACTGCTTCGAGGCACGAAGCCCGATTAATTGTGGAGACGCGGGGGTCCACCAAATCGGCTGCACCTCGCAGGTTGCATCAGCCATAATCACTTCAAACATGTTCTACTGCGTTGGACAAGAACTTCCAAGGCCGGACTGGTAGCAAAGCACCACGCAGTATGTCCCTCTTCTTTGGGAGCACAAAGTCATCGACCGGGCAGGCCACTTTGCATCCTTGGATTGGAGCCTTGGGAGCTCACCGCAATCTGCGCTTTCACTTGTTCCGCCAGAGCCTCAAGGCGACAGAACCATGTGGTCTCTTTCGCTAGGTTGCAAGCCGACAGCAATCTTGATTCACCAGCATTGTCCCCGCGGTCTGGAGGCCATGGCCTTACCCGTATGATCAGACGAGCCCTTTCGCCAGCTGGGTCTGGACCGGATTAGAGCATGATTGCGCATTTCATGTCAGCCACATCGACTCCTCGTCCAGGATCCAAACCTCCTAGGCTTGCGCCTCAACATGGGGCTTGAGAGGTCTAGAACGACGTCGCGGCGTGAGCATGGCACGCGATATCCGCCCTCAACATGCAGACGAGAGGAGACCATGCCACTGCCGCAAACCCGCTATCACGTCTGGAAGCGCGTGACCATTGCCAGCGCAATGTGTGGAGGTCGACGAGATCTGGTCCAGTCCACCTGGGCTATGCCCAAACATCAAGTCTGCCCAACGACGGAAACCCCAGCGCAGGTGGCGTCTGAAGGCGCTGGTGACACTCGGCCGATTCAATCCAAGCAGGTTTTGAGAATGGCGGAGACTTTGAGCCGAAACTGCAAGGTACACCAACGCCACCTAAGCCTTAAGTCTGCGTGTGCCATGTCTGTGAGAAAAGTTGCGTCGATTCTTTCTGCGACTCCGAGCAGCTCATACTTTGGGAGGGAGGACCTCTTGAACACCGTGGACGTATTCTCGGCGCAGTGACCATCGAGGTCCGAGGTCAGGAAGCTCCTCTCCTCATGGGACAAGACGACAGCTCAGAAGCACCACCGTCATAATCGCATGAGGAGGCATACTGTGCTGAGGTCGTGCACCTGATACCCCACAGACGGAGCTCCTTTTGCAACTTGTAGCAGCCACGATCGACCATGGGAATCAAAGACCTCATTCGAGTGCATGGGGTGACTTGGCCCCGGTGCAGGCCAGTGCTTCGGCGCTTCAGAGAGCATGCCTATCATGCCGCAGGGCCCTTCTTCGGGGAAACTAGGAGCCCGCGGGCTCCCTAGCCTTTTCATGCCAGCGGCCCAAGAGAAATTCTCGGACCTGCCGCCCCCCGTGAGCCTCCGCCCCAAACCGCTCTAGAGGCCATGCCAATTCCACATGTGGAGAAGCGGGCCTTATTCGGAGTGGTTCGCTGGTGCGGAGAAGGGCCGAAGCCTCGCTCTCGCGCCTACGTCCACCTTATTAGCGCGAGGTCAGCCTTGGTAACATGTGGTTCAGGACGATACCAGACCGCCAGCTATGTGCCGTCCAGTACATCATATCTATGGACCCAGTTTATCCAGAAAAAACCTTGGGAGGGCGCACCCACGAGGGAGGTTCCCAGTCGGTCCGACATATCGCGCAGCATTGTGCTACACACTGAACATGTCGGGGATTTATGAGCCTGGCCACCAATTAGGTTGTGTCCTGGACTCCGCACTTTGGGAACATTGGTGGCAGGTTTAAGGGATCTGCATTAGAAGTCATGATCGGGGCCGTCCACGCGAGTCCACGGACGCGTTCTCACGATGCACCTCCAGTAACGCTTTCTGTTGGTTTTAGGACAATATCCGAAGCCGGAATGTCAGGTCAACCCCATGACGCTGACCACGCCATGGGCAATTTCCCGGTGAGGCATCATGCCCTTGCTTGCGCGAATCGAGTCTATTAGGAAATCGTCCGTCATTCGCATTCACAGTTTCGCAAATCCGATGTTCACTGCCGACGAGCACCTAGAAGACAAGCCGGAGTGATACACATCGCGACAGAAGGATGGTGTCGTCGATTACCGTCTGAGAATGTTCACAATCAACGCATCTCGAAGGGGGACCTCTAGCTGGAATCAAACCTTAGCACGGACTATTCCCCAAGTCTAATCCAGAATTCAGTAGCAGGTCTTGGTGCAGTTGTTGGAACATAACGCTTGCTCCCGGTCCTTTCACATGTCAGAGCCGGCAAAGCAATCCATCTGAGCACTGTGCTTCACAGGCATTACACTTCAGCTTCAAGATACTCTGCCAGCTGCAGGTCTGCTGATGCCTCTAGGCCACTGAGCATATTCGCCATGAGGAGGCTAACTTTGTGCATGAGCGATACTTCCCCAGATTTGTGACCCCCAGTTTTAGGTCAAAGAACTGGGGTTGGCTCACAAAAGGAGCATTTTGCCGGGATGATCTGGCCCTCGGGGGATCACGGATGATGTCAACCCCCAAAACAAGGCAGACGGCCTGAATATGTCATTCAAAGGCTTACGCAGGATGGAGACTGAACCTCCTAACCTGATAGCAGGCATAGTATTCGTATGCCCACAAATTGTGACTGGGCACAAAGCGACAGAACGAGCTATCAGAAGCATATGCGACAGATTATGCGACGCCTTGGTTACTGGATGGCGCCTCCCAGCAGCTGAAACTCAGACCTTGCTCGCAGTTACTGGCTCGAACTTGCGAACAAGCCCGAGCATTCGCCCAGCACAAGCTTTCCACGGTGACTTTATCTTTACATTCAGCTTTCAACTCGGCTCAACTCTGGCTCATAGCCAACCCCAGCTCTTCCCCGTGGCGCAATACCCGCCGAGCTCGCTAGCCTGTAGTTCGTTATCTTCTAGAGCTACCCCACCCCTCGTCAAGACCCACGCCCGATAAATCGCGATTTTTGTTGCAGAAGGTGTGCTTGCGGAGGATGGAGTATCCTAAGGCGGATGATGAGATGACCGAGCGCTGTGCGGCTTTGTTTTGTGAAGCTTGTCGCTGCGAATGCCCTCAAGCATGCAATCCTCCACGGCGAACGCACTGGGCCTCCTTGTTTGCTGTCAAGTCAATTATGCATCGGTGCTCACCTCTACAGCTCAGGAGCTGACAACGAAGCGGACGGTACAATAGCCGCACACGGATATTTGCAGAGGCTTTAATTTTTGCTGAGAGATGCGTGCACCGTATTCGACGATATAAGTGCCTGGCACTGCCCAGTGCCTAGCATAGTGCCTAGCATGGCGCCAGCACAGGCGACAGATAACGACAGAAATGATGGCATCCACCCCGAACGGTCTGGCCAGTCAGTCGCCGCCGAAGAATGCCCCGGAACTTCTTCCCCAGGATCAGCACATGCTGCAGCTGTCCCCCACACTTACGGTGCGAACACATTGCTTCACCAAGTCCACTCTTGCTGTCAATTCGCGACCAACGGGAAGGATAAAATGTCCAAGGTGCTTGCCAAGAGACAAATAGGCCGTGGACGATGGCAGTGAAGGCGCCCCTACAGAAGAGGCAAACATTGCATAATCAGCGCCCCAAGAATGTGCGTTAGCTGCTCCACGATGACGCCAGAGCCCACGCATGACTCGAGTTCTGGCCCAAACGTTGCAGCGAGGTCGACGTACGGAACATATCTGGTGCTCCATTGACGGATGCCACCAGGGCTTTGGCCCATTTTTGAGAATGAAGTATCACTGGGCGAGGTCGACGAGGTCAAATATGGGGTACGGAGGTTTCATGATGACCGCATCAACGCGACGATCCGACTGCGCAATGGTCAGGGTGACGTCTTTCCCCTGAAGCGAATGGAAGACAGTCGTGGACTCATCTGCACGATCGCTCTGTTGTCAACCTCCCTCATATTCTGATCATCGTCAGGGGTCACGGGTGATGAGCACGCGCAACGCCGAGAGACTTATGAGCTGCCTGCTGATAACGGCACATGAGTATCACCAGAGTCACTAGTGAACAAGGTTGTGGGGTGGCACACCCTCACGCTCTCCTGGCAATTCGTGGGGTGCCGACACAAGGAGCGGGAAGGGACGAAGCCTATGCTGTACTCCAGGCGAGTCCCTTTGGGGGGTAATATCCCTTCGCTGCCAGGGCAAGCCTGCTCCCAAGCCTCACACTTTACTGTGACACCCACGAATCTGGAGAAGATCCCCCCCGGGATGGATGCCAAGACGAATGAGTGGGCGCGTGCTCGCCTCGAAACCACCACGCAGAGGGTTTTTGCACGGGGGCCCAGCAAGGCACTCGTCACACCAGCTGGCTGAGCTGGAGGAACAGGTGTTTGATTGCGTGTGTCGTGGCCGCGAGCCTCGACACGCGCACAAGCAAGCAGGCACGACGTAAGTCGCAATTGCGAGTCGGGGGTTTGCAGCAGCTTGCCAGCTCGAGCTGACTTGGCTAGGCCAGTGCACGACTAGACTCGAGCCTAGATCTATCTTTGAATCTGCGATGGATTCGTCTCTAGATTGCCTCCTGAGCTTCGGTGGAGGACTAGCCAAACCGGCCAATTGTGTCAGCGACTAGCCTGCTTGCGACTCGGAACAAGATGAGGTTATCAGCACGCAAGAGGAGATTCGTGGATGGCCCTTCCCGTCTCGTCTGCCGTCCCCCAGACGGGGGAAGAAGTGGCAGGGCACAAACAGTGTGGAGAGAAGCGCCAGTACCCGTGCGCTTGCTTGAGCGCTTCGAGACACACCCACCACCCCCTTCTTGGCCAGCCCTGGGTCAGCTATCGTCAGAGCCGCCCCAGTCGACGCCCACTGCGCCTAACAGAGAGCAATGGGGGCCCTGCTTTTCCAGGGAGCTCTCCCCACACGACAGGTGCCCGCCCTGACGATAGTACCGGAGGATCGCCGAGGGACTAGGCCGGGCAGACCTGGAGGTGCTCCGTTCAGCAGGACATTGATCTGGTGGGCGGCGGTCCCTTGAGACGCAACACTGACCTATCGATGGAGCAGGCCGTCCACGGCGCATAAAGGGTAATTTATCTCCTTTGCCGGACCCAGGAGCGAGCACGCACGAGAGGCGTTTGGGCACAGCTCGACGAACCCTGAATGCACCGCCGGTGATGATGATGTGGTGGTTGGCAACCCGGCCCAAACTTATCGCTGGCGGGTCCATGCTCGTTGTTTGACGGGGAAGGGGACATGATTCATGATGTGCACGACAGTGATGGCCATGCGCCATATGATATGGTGTAGGCATGGTGTGCGAGCTATCAGTGTCGACTTTGGGGGCCCGCCCACGTGCACGCCGCCGACATGTCAATCCGGGGCAGGGCACACACACTCGGTCCTGCATCGTTTGGAGCCGGACACCTTGAAAGTCGAGTCGTGAAGCACAGAGGAGAGAGAGGATAATAAGCCTTGGCCTGCTCGAGGCATGCTTGCTGAGGCGTGCACATGCAACTGAGGGCACAGAAGGCTCGATTGTGGCCGGGAATATGTAGACGCACCACCCACGCCCCTCCCTGAGCCCCCCCGCCTTGCTTGTCCACGCCCCCCATGCGCCGACCCCCACTGGGCCTACTTTCTCCCCGAGAGCTTTTTTTTTTTTCTTCTGTGCTGCCAGCACAGCGCGGTTCTTTTTCTCTGGCAGGACTTCCACGCCACCCCATATTTTTCGTTTCCGTCACCTTCGGGACTACTGCGCTCGCTTTATCACCACCCCCTGCGTTTGGGTTCTCAGCCGAACATGCCCGGGCAGCTTCAGCAGGGCAGCCAGCAGCAGCGGCAGCATGTGCGTGCCCAGAGAACGGGAGCACGTTTCCTCTGCCGTCAGCCTGAGCGAGTTGCGTAATCGCTGCTTTCGCGTCCTTCAAGTAGCTCCGATGGCGATTCCCGTCAAGGGGAGAGAACGGCCATCGAGTACGTGCTTGCTCTGTGGATAGAGACATTGGCTGCCGAGGGAAGATGAGTGGTACGCAGCGCCACGGGCAGCCAGCCAATCCATGCTCCGAGTGTGCGATGATCAGAAGCGCAGTCAGCCGTGGGGTGTTGAGCCCGAGGACACGAGTGAGGCCCCAGCGAGGAGGCTCAGTCAAGCACGAGAACTGGATTGGGAGGAGAGATGCAGAAACACCTTGGGGGCCAGAAGACGGTGCCACCACGGCCGCCGTGCACAGTGCTTGAGGCCAGCGCAGTTGCAGTGCCTGAACGTGGCTGCCCGCCGTGCTGGGCACCACTAAGGGGCCCCGCCATGGACCGTGAGTACCCCGGAGGGGCGTGGAGGCAGCGCACTGGGGACGGGAGACCCGAGCAGGTACGTACCGCGACCCCCCTCCCTCTGTCCCTTCGTCCGACACACCTCCCGCCCCGGCGCTCGCTCACCTGGCGCACCTGCGTGCCTTGCGCAGGCTGGGGCTACCTGCCTCCAGGGCAGTGCGGCGTGCATGTGTCAAGCAGCCTGACTGGCGCGGGCGCCCGCCGTGCAAGATCTTTTCCCGGCCCGCCGCCCTCAGAGACTGGAGAGGCCACCCTCAGCGATACCTGCCTGGGCAGGAGCGACGCTCCCACCCCCCTCCCCCAACTTTTCCTCCTCCCTGCACCTGCCTGCCTCAAATACCCCCCGCGCCCCCGGTTCTCGACTTTTCCCGCATCAACCCATCATCAACCACCACCACCACTACTGCTGCTCGCCAGTCTCACCACTCAACAACCGCAACAACTACTCGGGCAACCGCCACCAGCAACGCCAGACCACTAGCTGTTCACCATCTTACACTTGCTGAGAGCATTTGTGCCAGCTTCGACTCGACTCGAACCAGCCGGCTCAGATACCATCAAGTCACCGCCCACCGTCCTCAGGATAGCAACCTCGCCGTCTTGGCCGGCGATCACATGCAACGCTCACAGTCAGCGGTGGATTTTTCCAACCTGCTGAACCCAGACGCTCCTCCCGCGACGGCTCAGGCCGACTCTGCTTCCAGCAACACCACCAGCCAACCTCAGGTCGACGCCGACGGAGATTCAAGCATGGCTTCCGTCACCGTCATCCGGCCAAACGGCCCCCTCCCTGGCGGCCAGGCCACAGAGGCCACAAACGAGCTGCCTCGCCCTTACAAGTGCCCGCTCTGTGACAAGGCCTTCCACCGCCTCGAGCACCAGACCAGACACATCCGCACACACACGGGCGAGAAGCCTCATGCCTGCCAGCACCCTGGTTGCAGCAAGAAGTTCTCCCGTTCTGACGAGCTCACCCGCCACTCACGGATACACAACAACCCCAACTCGCGCCGGGGAAACAAGGCCGGCCAAGCTGCTCACCACTCCATCAACCACTCATTGTCGCCAGACTCGGGCATGATGGGTCCTCCTTCCGGCCCTCGCTCCATCCGCTCTGCTCCCAACTCGACCCTGGTTTCTCCCAACGTGTCCCCTCCCCACTCGTACTCCTCGTATGCTCTGCCAGGCCCTGCTCACCACTACGGCCGTGATTCTGGCATGGGCATCCTCGGCCACGCTGCTCACCAGGTCGAGCGGGAACACCACGTGCCTTCTGCGCGTCACCACCCCTACTACTCGCACAGCATGCACAGCTCCCGGGGTCATCTTCCCTCCCTCTCCGCCTACCACATGTCAAGATCCCACTCCAATGACGAGCATAATGATGACCACTACAACCACGCTGGACGTATCTCAAAACGCTCGAGGCCTAACTCGCCCAACTCGACTGCTCCTTCGTCGCCGACCTTTTCGCACGACTCGTTGTCGCCAACTCCTGACCACACTCCGCTGGCCACGCCCGCTCACTCGCCGCGACTGAGGCCTTACGCTGGAGTTGAGCTGCCCACGCTGCGCAACCTGTCTCTGGGCCACACTCCGGCTCTTGCCCCTCTGGAGCCTCAGATGGAGGGCAGCCCTTACCACCAGCCGCCCCCGCCTACCAGTGCCCCCAGCCATCGTTCTGGCGGCATGTCTTTGGCCGACATCATCAGCCGGCCGGACGGCAGCAGGAAACTTCCCGTCCCGCAAATGCCCAAGGTCGCGGTCCACGATCTACTTGGCCCCTCGGACACCTTCAACCCAAGTGGCCGGAGTTCTGCCACCGGCAGTCTGGCAGGAGGCGACTTGATGGATCGCGCCTGAGTCTTTGGAATTTCCCCGCCGCACAGCCCTGCCACCGTCCGATCACAGGGTCATGATTGATGATAATAAGGATATAGAAAGTACAACATAGACATGGGGCGGCGTATTTTGTGGTTTTTCTTTTTTTCCCCTGTGAGTCCGGCGTGGCTCGATTCTCTTCTCTGTTCCTGTAGGGATAGCTGGCGGTGCCGTTTGGGCAGCGTTCGGGCACACCTTTGTTAATGTATTTGGCCGCTAGCATCGCTAGCCTGCTCCCGGTTGATGGCGCACTACGGAGGTTTTCTAATGGTCTGAAAATACACCTTCAGTCTGTTTTCTTATTTTTGGGCGACTTACCGGGCTCCGCCCGTCCAACGTGGGCACACGTGCGGCATTGGGATTGTGTGATCCCAGCAGGCGGCTTACATAGACCTCTTTTTGTTTTTAAGACAACCCTCATCGGCGGAAATAGATCTCTCCTCCATAACCCAAAGTATTACATAAATGTTGCCTCACTTTTTGAATTTATCTTTTGAACCAGTGACGCACTTGATGCCATCCATTGAGACCCTAGGGTATTACATGATATGTTCGCTCATGAGAGCTGGCCTCCCCGCATCAAAGTTTGTTTTGAAATGTCGAAGCGCAGCCGCAGACACAACCAGAGCCAGGAGGCCAAGGCCAGTGCCAGTACGTGTCCGTGCGTGTGTGGGGGGGAGGGATGTGGCAGGGATTCCGTGGCTGGCTGGCTGACTGGGGAAGGGAAGGGAAGGTAAGGGAATAAAAGGAAGCGAGAAGCAAAGAAAGAAAAGAACGAAAAAAAAAAAAAGGATGGGGGGAGTTCCAATAAGCCGCACAAAAAATGATGACCCCAGCCAACCGGACGAGGAGAGTTCCCCGGGGAGGAAAAGCAAAGAGACGTGGGGAAAGAGAGTCTACACACACACACACACACACACAAAAGGTTGTCTGTCCCCTCCCCCAGAACAGAGAAGGAAACCAGGGTTCGTTCATGCTGGTGGTGGTGGTGGTGCTGCTGCTGGAGGCCGGGGCCGAGGAAAGTCGAAGCGAAAGGGCGAAGCAAAGCAAAGTAAAGCGAAACCACACCACAGCCAAGTTCTTGGAGAGGGGGGGGACGCGAACAGATGTAGCACAGTAGAAATAACATAATGTACCACGTTCTTTTCTCTGATGATGGCTCGTTCCGCGCGTGGTACGATCCGGAGAAAGATGACGTGTTTCTGGTGGGAAATGTTTACGGGTTGTTCCATAATGCTTCTCTCTGGTGCCCCACCCTATGACTGATGTTCGGCAGGCGGTTGACCGTTTTGTTGGTATGTAATGAATGAGAGGAGCGCCAAATATTGCCAAGTTTCTTGTTCAAAACACCACGTGTAGATTCTGAACAAGACGCACTCCGTGGCACAATTGACTTGAAGGTCGATGAATGAGGTGCGTTATGCGCGGTCACGAGGAGGAACAGGGACGGGCGGAAACAGGTCGATCCTTAACGTCCATTTATCGATCCATCCCGAGTTTTGCATGCATGTTGGTGACAGAATGTACGTAAAAGAGCCATGGAGATGTCCCGCTTCCACATTCCCTGCGACCTTGGAATAGCATGTGCAACTTGACACGAGACTTTGACGTTGCTGTATCCTCCTGCCCCATTGCTGAAAAGAACCCAAGTTGGTCATAACTGCAGTGCGTGCAAACTAGGCAAGTGACCCCATTCGATATGCTCTGCGCGTGTGACGCCGCGGCAGCCGAGAAGGGCGTTTTGAAACACGAGCGAGCTATTCTCCCAACCGCAGCCGTGCTTCCCCAAGAGGCTCTTGTACACGGATATCTCCGGTGCTGCCAACTCCAAAAACTGGAGAGAGGCAGGCAGGAGAGAGCATACGAGAAGGTTCAGGCGGTTTTTGAGCGGTGTATGCTGCTAGCCACTTCTGACGAGATGATTTCGCCTTCCTTAAGGTTCAATTTGGTGGCTTACACGAGCGCGGATGTCTTTTAGTTACGCGCAGAACCCTGGACACTCCCATGTAAGGAAAGTCGTAAAAGCAAGTCTTGGCACACTGAAAGCTGAGAGGAATATTCCAGCGAACTGACAAGCGCACAAAGCAGCTGAGGCGCCAGACGGCTTGGAAATTTGTGAGGCATACGGGCACTGTGCTTGCGTGGCAACGGACCCATTGGTTGACTTACACGTCAGCTGTGTTTCACGCCCACGAAGGACTTACACGAGGAGTAGAAACGAGCCCTGGCAGAGTTAGAGAGAGAGACTGAGAAAGACTGTCAATCCCTGGAGACCAACCGGGGGAGGCAGCCACTCGCTCGTCTTGTAGCACATACGAAGCAGGCTGCGCTCACTCAGCCTTGCTGCTTACGGCGAGACGAGAGCGCAACCCTCTCAGTGAGCTGCTGGCTGGCTGGCTGACTGGGCAAGAGACAAGGTTGCGCCTCGCTTCAGATGGTGGCGCAACCAATTACTTGGGCGTCCGTCTGCCCCAAGCACACCCACGCAAACAAGGGGCCGGGGTACGTGGTGGGCAGCATGGATGGCTGCCGCCTTCCCCGGAGGCTTCCCCGTGTTTCTTTTTGCGGGCGGACGTGCGGGCGGTGGGTGTGACAGTCGTCCTGGTGCTTTTTTCATTAATCTGACACAGTACTCCTTTGGGGAGGGACCTTCGTGCAGAAATGCAGAAGCCTCAGCTAGGCGGCGGCCAGGGATCCAGGCTGAAATAGGTCGGCCGTGAGCACTGCCCTGTTCCAATATTGCCTTGCTTGTCTCGATTGGGCAGCGCATGCTTCCAGGTCGCTTTAGTAATTCCCCGAGAGATTCTGCGCATCCCGCTCTTGACCCCAGACTCTGCCCGTTCTGCTCGGTTGGTTGATGACACAAAGATTCCAGTAGAGCAGCACGCCATGGAACAGAGACTTTCCGTCATCCCGAGCACGGCATGACGACACCGACCCTCTCTTTGCCGAGCGGCATTATGGATGGTGCAAGTGTGTGCTTGGTTTGGCACCTTATGGTGGCACTAAGTGGGCGTCTAGCCATCTAGCCCCCAGCCAAACGTGGAGGCGAGGGGAAACCGAGCCACAAGGTGTGGGCAACTGCCGAAAACCCTCATGTTTGACACAGCAATACTGATTTGCGTTTGTCAGAGCAGCAGAAGCATGAGAGTCAACCGCCTGGCTTTGCCACACCGACTTTTCACAAAGCCCTGAAAATTCTGCTGTGCGAGGTCAAGTCTGAGTCGTAATGGTTGCCAACCTTCTCCAACATCCACCTCGCGTAAACTGCTTGTCTCGTCGCCTGCGTTATCCTCTTTAGGCTGCAAGGGCGAGCGACTGCTCGGGACGAACTCAGCACTGTGTCGAGATTTGTAGACGATGGAGCGACAAGTGAGCAGGAAAAGAAAACGTGGGCCAGCGCGCGTCGCTTGTCGCGTTGTCGGTCCGCTGTCACGGCATAGTTGTTCTCTTGATTCCCACTCCAGCAGTCGGGTCGCGTGCGTGTCTGCCATTGGATCGAGCGATGTGTTTCGAATGACACGTATCATCCAATCGCTCGACTTCAATGGGTGTTGGAGGATGGTCGCATTGGAGTCTAGCCGTTGATAGGATGTCAGAGGCAGCATCCGACCACCCAATGAGCATACCAAATGCACCTTTTGTCTAGAACCGCCTCATCCTTGCAAACAGTGACCAAAGAAAACACCGCCCGGTAGCTATCCCGTCCATTCAACCAACCTTGCGCTGCACTTATCGGCACATTCCAGTGGATAGCACCGGCTGCCCAGTGTCACTGTGTTGGGGGTAGGTAACCCCGCCATCCCGCATAGGTCAATCTGGGGTTGATGGATGGCCAGAACAACCGTCGTTATCTCTGCAATCTCTGGGGCGTCACGCTGCGTTTGCCCGTAACGATGCTGGCCACAACACCAACAACCAGGGCTCTGATTTGCCTGTAGGACCGGGGTTCGTCCGGAGAAAGTGCGAATCGTGAGATCGGGGCTGAATCGCTTAGATGGCGAACCCCACAGGGACGGCACCCTTGCGGTATCTGTGAAGCCCTGCAAGCGCGATGGTCGCTCTAATGACGTCGTGTCCGTCGAGAGCCGGACAGAAGGAAAGGTAAACCTACTGTGCCCGCCGTCCAAGGCTACGAGGCCAGGAGATCGATCGATAGGGCACAACTGTGCTCATGGCGATGCGTGCTATGGGTTTACTAGGATCTGTTGCCCAGTCTCGTGGAGCAGCATGGTATGCCCCAGAGGCGCGGCTAATGAGGTGGATGCCCGCGTGCTCATTGTCCCGAAAAGCCGGACGTTTGAAGCCTCACGATCTTTTGAAAAGCCGCGTGTACCGCCATGACGGGACGGTCCTCCTCCAACGGGAACAAGCGTAGCGACAAGCATTTCACTGGGCTTGTGGCCACGCGGACTGTCGCTGACCTTGGGAACCCCCACACACCCATGGCACCTGACTACAGAAATGTCGAGAACCTCTTGTCACGCGGTTCCGGTCCTCGCAGGGTGGTGGTGTAGCAGCTCAGCACGGCCGCCGTCGTCTTCTGCGCACTGTGACTTGTTACCCTTGAGGTGGCTGTGATGACCGTAACGTGTGTGAGTGCGAGAGCATCATTCTTTTAGGAGCCTTCGTCAATAAGCAAGGAGGTATGGAAGGAGGCCTTGCAAGTACTATGCCGGAAGTCCGAGCTGTAGACAGAGTACGCGGGGGATTGCTTTTCGTCTGTCGCAGCGCAGAGCGCATGAATGAATGAATCGCCGTGCATGCAGAGGAGTACCCTTCACATTCCGTTACCAAGCAGGTCTCAGATGGGGCCCGCCAGAACCACCATGAGAAGGACTGAGCGGTCCACTCAAGGGGAAAACGGGGCCGGGAGTCCAACGCAGATATCCGTTTGGAGGGCGAGGGTTTCAGTTGCACTGTCTACGACATTGCTCAATGGGGAATATGCCTAATTGTTTGATGGCAGCAGGCTGGAGATTTCCGAAGTGCTTGCGTCCCAGACGGGGACCAAAGCCGGCAGGGAGAGACACTGCCTGTCATGCACAGGCAAGCAGGCAGGCAAACGTGTCCTGGCCGCCTCAGGAACGGCTGGCTGGGGATTGCGTGCTTGCGGGCTCATTTGATGATCAGATGGTCGGTGATGTGATAAGCCGCCGCTACGTGCCGTCGCGTGTGGGGATTCCGGCCGGGGTCTCCAGATCCTGCGGGATGCCCACACACGGGGTTGTGTTGCCTCAGCTTAGCCGAAAGTTTTGTCGATAATGGTCAGAGATATGCCATTGCGCAAGTCCGTCGTTGGCTATGACTGCATGGTCCACGAGCCGCCACTGCAGCGGCGGTGCTTGGTCGCGAAGGCCAAGGACGAAAGGGTCTCCTTGCTTGGCTGGCCACGTCGTTGTTGTCGTCGTCGTCATTCCTGGTGTTGTTACTGCTGCTCAGGAGGGTCCCTCGCCTCGGACGACCCTGTAACGATCATGGGCCCACTGCCAATGAGCTGGCGGCGTCGAGCGTTAGCTGCTTGATTGGTGGTGCCTGTGGCTGCGCCCGTGTGTCCTATCTCGTCTCGTGCCCGTTTCGTGGAGTTTGGGCTGGTTGCAGCAGCTTATCATGCTCCCGGGTCCGGGGCCCTGAGCCGATCCGACACACCTGCAATAGCAGGGGCTAGGCCAGGACGGACAGGGCAGGCGTGCGCAGCACTGTGCTGCTCACTGTGCCATGTTATCTCTGCTGCCCCTTCCGCCTCTGCCTGCCTGCACTCGACTGCACACCCCTCTCCCCTGCCATGCGGGGCGTGGGGGTTCTGCCCATCGCCGCCTCTGGACGCCCAGGGCCAGCCTGCGGTCTTTGTTCCGCCTGCAACCCCAGCGCACGATCCCGTCACGGCTGCTCATTCAGGGGTATCTTTTCGGTCCTGTCAGTCGCCTTGCGGCCTCCTCCGTGTACAGCATCTTCAGCCAACCATCCCCATCGCCAGCATCCTGCCCAAACGCTCGCCCGCCACTATCAAGCCGAGTGCCCCAGAGTGTCCGACGTTGTGCTGATGAGATGGATGACGCCCTGACACGTCCCCCCGGAGCGTGACAGGTCATCGCCTGACTGGTGTTCAGTGGTTGGTTTCGACCGGGCCTGTTCCGACCTCAGGATGAGCTAAGCCTCCTTCATCCCCACACTCCCCCGGACACCTCCCCAGGCCTGGCACGCCTTATCTCGCCGCCGCCGGAGTCGCCCGGGCCAGATGCGAAACATCCACCACAGCTTTCGGCTTAATCGGCTGCAGTGTCCGAATACCCTGCCGAAGCTCGCACATGCCGACGGCTGATTGCCTGGGCCGGGGACGCCTCACCTCGGTCAGCAAACGATCCGGCAAAGCAGCACTTGCGAACTCGGAAGGTCGACCTTTGACTTCCCGCACCTGCGTGACCGGCTCGGGCGGTGTTTGCCCAGTCGGCCTGCGCTCTTTCGGCCTACAGAGCATGCCTCGGCGGTCTCCTGGTTCCTCGCAGGGCTCAGCATCGATCGGCCCTTGTGCCAAGCGTGTCGTGATTGCTCATGCGCCGCGCAGCTTGAGATCCAGGGTAGCTTTCCACCTGCCTGCATATCTGCATCATGCAGGGTTCAACCATAATCTATTGCGGAGGATGGTTTGTCTCGAACGAGGAGATATGCTGCTCTGGTGTATGCAGCGTGGCTCTCTCCGAGGTTGCAACTGGCTTGCATACTTGGCCGGACCACCGCCGCCGTGTCACGGCGAGCTCTCGAATGCCTGCGGATGATGTGGCTCTTCAACAGCCGTTGCATGCCAATGCGGCCCGTGGCTCAAATGGCTGCATTGACTCCGCTTCGGCGACTTGTACACGGTCAGTTGGATCTCTGGACCTGGAGGCGACGGCACGGGTGTCCGGCCAAGCTCCAAGGGCCTCGCGGTGCGCTATCCTGGTCCCGAAGTCTGCGTCAATACGTGAATTGTCCAACCGAATCTTTGCATTCAAGCCACCGGATCATCATGGGCCCATTCATTACTGCCGACCGGGTGTAATGGGGGACAATGCAAGAGCTGGAGCATCTTCACATGCTAAACTCGGTGGACTAGGATTCGGGCATGGATCCTCCGCAATTTCTCCACGTCAAGTCGACGCACTAAGAGCCTCAATATACTGCGTACAGCACCAATGTCACGCCCATCCACAAGCGGCCGGCCCTTCACACCAAGACCTGTAGTTGACTCCCCGTCATAATCACAAGCTTTCAGCATGTTACCCATGGCAAACTCACCAGAGAAACGCTCCACTCTGAGCCGCAAGAGAAGCTGGCTAACAATGGACAGATGTATAACGCCAACTTGAGTGAGCAAAACCGCATCCTCCAGGCACCATGCCCAGCCTCGAGCTCACAAAGGCCTCGGCTACGTGGTTCAAGTGAAGCTACTATACAGCGGGAAAATTGCTGTACATTGAAGGTCGGATGACACGATTCTTAAACGAACCATGCGAGGCGCTATCTGCACCTCAACGAGGACCCGGCGTCATGTTGCGCGACTTGGGACAGTGCAAGACCTTGACCGAAAGTACATCGATAAAGACCAGCTCATATCGAGGGGTGCTCTTCGTATGGGGGTGGCACTTTAGCAGCGGTCTCATCGCATGCAATATCACCCTGTTATAGCCTGAGGGTGACTCTCGCACCATATCGTGCGTCGCGCGTCATCACCAGGCACGATGTCTCGTATACTCGATGGATCCTCTCTGAAGCAAGATGACAACTAGACCCCAGCATTGAGTTTTATCTCCAAGTCAGGTTTGTGCATGGCTAAAGTATGCATGTCCGACATAGGTGCGTTGCATTGGTCACGACTCTTATGGCCGTGGAAGAGACAACTGCAGGTTTGTGCATGTAGAATGTGGACGAGACGCGTACAATGTCCCATATCCTCGGTTAATATGAAGGCTGGTGCTGCATAACCAGTGAAGCGCCAATGGAGTCACCCGATGAGACCAGGTCGTGGCATGACAACATCGTTGCATTCAACGCCCCCCTTCTGGCGCTCTCCAAGTCCCGACTGGCAAGTGTATGGCCACCTCCCAAGACCGGGTGAGCAAATCGATCGAAGCAAGCTCATTGAGTGTCGAGGTAACTTTATTCCCTGACAAGATCCAATGCAAAAAACGACCTCGAGAATTATCGATCAGACTACTTGGGCACACGATGCAGACACCGCAGTCTGCCATCGTCCCATATCAAAGGTACGGGCTTTGATTCTCAGTCTCTGGCAGCCACTGGAACGCACTATCAAAAGTTCCTCGCTGCGGAGCCAAGAGGATCCTTGTCAACGTTGCAAGCCGGTGAACCTAATATTGCTCGTCCGCATGGATACCACAGTATCAGGCCTCAGCAAGTGTTTCGGAACGCGGGCAGGAACGATGACGACAAGTTCGACAGAAAGAGGGCCAGACACCACGGTCAGAACGAGCACGTCGTTACGAAGGACAGCTATCTCCTCGGCCCGCAGTTCCCGCCCACAGCAAAAAGAATTGACAGCTCATTTCCCAGGCACTGTATCTCTCGTGCCGAGCGACGTGACAGTTGTGTTGGCAAAGGAGACGCAGCCATCGCTAAATCTTGCTCCTGACGTCCAAGGTCGAGAATAATTGCTTTGGCTCACATGCAAAGTCAGAAGGGCGGGTTACTTCCGCGCCACTTTGTGTGTGCCACTAGCGGCTTCCACCCCGGACGTCGATCATGCATGTGTTGCAAGGGGCCGGTCGGAGAGAAGAGGGGGGGGGGAGCGGGAGCGGGGGATGGGAGGGCCAAGAGGTCTGGAACTTACCTCGGGCAGTCGGGGCGCTGGTCCACGGACGATGTGCCAATTGTCCATGAGGAGAAGGATCCTCTGTGCACGACGAAGACTGTGAGTCGAAGGGCCAAACAATCCGGGAGCGAAGCCTGCAAGCACTGTCGGGTTGGGGGTTGGAAGCCGGCAAAAGTCCACGTTGGTGCTTGTGCGAATTTTGAACATGAGAGCCCCACAGAGCCTCAAGCAGTAGCTTTATACACGGCGGGTGGCAGTGTGTATCTATGTGTTTCCCCATCTTTAGTTTGAAGCTACAACTCTTGGCCCGTGGTGATCAAGCGGGAAAGCAATCGCGCATATCTCACGCCATGAAGAAATTCTAGTAGTGATGCTCTCTATATGTACTTTCGACTATGTATACAGGAAAGTGTAATGCCTTCCTGCCCGTCCCATCCCAAGGCTATGAAACACCTCAAAAGGGCAACTGAGTCGCGACTCCCCACCAAATGTACTACGACGTGAGTGAGAACGATGCCGTGCCCGTCGGCGTCGCTGCTGTCGGACTGATAGGCCCTGCAGTTGTCGACGCCGGCACGGTAGAGGAGGGGGACTGCTTCTTCTTCTGTGCCCCTTTGCCAACAATTTTCTCGGTCCAATTCCACCCACTTGCCTCAGAGCTACCGCCCTCATCATGACCAGCATCACCTCTCTTCGCACTCGCCAGTTTGGCTGACGGCGGTGGCTGCAGGCGCGTGGCATTGTCGCCACCGTAAGCGATGTCGGCGTCCCATTCTGAGTCGTCGCCACTGTCGGCAAAGTCACGATCGCTCCATGTTGCAGAGTCTATCCTTTTGGGAGATGGCCTCGAGGCTGATGGTGACGAAGAAGACGACGATGTCGAGTGGCTGTGGTGATGGTGCGTGCTGTGTGGTGCCGAGCCGCGCTCCTGCGCCTGGGAAGGGAGGTCGGGCACGTCGTCATCGGCTTCGAGGTTCTCAGTATCAGTACGGGCCAATGAGCTCTCTCTCCGGCTGCTGTCCATATTGTAGCTCTTGCCTTGAGGCTGTGCACTGGTTTCCGCGCCCATCGAGCTGGGATCCTCGTGGGGGGCTTTGGCTCGTTCTGCATTCGTCTCTGCGGAATCGGCAGTGCGCGCAGAGGCTGCGTCGCTAAAGTGCGTGTCACAAAGATGTTTGACCACGGGCCATCCGTGGGCATTGCTGAACATTCGTCGCACAATAATGTTGTTGTGTGCGTCGGGTTCCATTTTCACAAGGACCTTGCGCCAGCTGAGATCTCGATGGTAAGCTCGCGCAATCTTTTCCTCTACCTTCATGCTCGAACTGTCAACCACTTCGTCGGGGTCTAGCTTTGGATGGTTCTTGCTGTCGTAATAGTCTCCCGTCGACAAGGTTGAGTCGGCCTTCTTGATGCCTGGCGTGGGCGGCTCGTGGGGCGTTGATGCACCGCTCTCGCCAGTGCCTCTGTGAGGTGGCGACTCTGTGCTAGACTGGCTATTGGCTGATGTGTACGATTTCCTCCGAAAAGATAGCCCGGTAGAGCGCTTCTTCGTAGGTGGTGGAGGGATGTCTGACGGGTGGTAGACGCGATCATGGAAGATTGTGCGCGGACGCTTTGACGGATCGAGAAAGTAGTCAACAGTGGGCATGACTGGGTTCAAAAGGTCGCCCGCGGCTTCTAGGATCGTGGTACGTGGAGGCGGGCCGTTCTCGTGCTCCTCCTCCAACTCGTTCCCTGATGTGACCGTGGACCTTGCCGGAGAAGTCGATTGATCTCGAGATTCATCAACCTTCAAGGTCTGACTTCGCCGATATATTCTGTTGTCACGCGGCGAGTGCGGTGGTGTTTTCTGGGCTTTTGAAGAATCGCCAGACTTGAAAAAGTTGAAGATGCCAGCAAATGGAAAGTCGTTGTTTGTCTGAGATGTAGACTCTGGCCCAGGCGAACCGTCATTGTACTTATCCCGCATAGAAGCAGCTAAGTGTAAACTTTGCCTGTCGTCTTCGAGCATGGCGTTCTCCGCCGGCTGAGGGACTTCACGCGAGCCATCGTGCGAGCTTCCCTCGGGGTCCGAAGGGCTAGGCGGTATTGAGACCTCTTCTTCCCGCTCTGCTTGCCATGGCCCACGGCGTGCGGAGACATTGGCACCCGTGAGCTCAGCCCATCCAAAACCCATGACGGTCTCTACAAGACCAGCCTCGCGCCGCGCCTTTTCCACACGGCCGAGACCTTGCCAGTCCAAGAACAACAAGCAGGCAGTCCGTAATGGTACAATGCCATCGTTGACCACATTTGAGTAGACTGTGCGATTCCGAAACTGCTTAAGCGCTGTATGGGCCGGCCCCGTAGGCAGAATACGCAGGAGAGGTTTCGATTCTGGCTGTGTCTCGCCAACGACCTTCTTGTGGGCGGATTCCCCTAAGCTGCCCATAAGCGCTCCCCAGCCACTTCTTGCAATTGTTGGAGCACGCCATGTGAGGCCCAGATCTCGCCCAGTGCGTCCAACGAGACCGAAGTCCAGCGCAAATTTGACGTAGATGGGGTTTTCGTTGCTGAGACCGAGCAGAGGAGAAGCCATGGCAATGAAGTTGATCGGCTTGATCTGCGTGAAAAATTCCGGAGAGTGCTTTTGAATGTACGCAATGGCATACATCTGGACAAGGCCACCCAATGAGTGCCCAATGAGGCTGATACTGGTCACCTTGTAAGCCCGCTCGGCCTCTTCCGTATGTTTATGCAAGTGAATTGTGCTGTGTTTATGGGCGGACTTGGCCACGCCTTCCTCGGTCTGCGATTTTGGATCGTCGTGCTTGACAGCTGTCGGTATGCCATCAGCCACCTTTTGAAATGATGGCAGATACGGCTGGTCTGGGTAGGTCATCGAGAGCACGTATCGTGCCAACCGTTTGCCCAAGAACTTGATGCCGCGCTCGGTTTTCGTCGCATTCCCCGAGAAACCCCTGACAATGACTTCTTCCTCGTCGTCTTCCTCGTTATCGTCTGTGTCTTCACCACACCCCTCACCCGATCTGGCTTCGTGAGGACGATCTGGAGCAGCTGTTTCCGCCTGGCTTTTCTCCTTGGCTTTCCTAGCCTTTCTGTCCGCTCTGGCTTGTTTTGCGGCCGCATCGATGCTCTCCTTCATGTAGAGCATGTCCGCACCAAGGTTGCTGTGCAAGCCGTGCGTCAGCACGACGAGGTGAACCTTCTTCTTGCGCTGCGGCTTCGGATTCAGTTCCGTCGCACTGAGGCTTGGCAGCGTCTTGGGGATATGTTGGACCTCGTGCTTGGTGCTGTCTGGTAACCTTGGCGTGTTCCAAAGACTCGCTGTGTCCTCAACAGTAAGCGTGATAGCTTTGCTATAGACACCCATGTGCTGAGCAGGGTGGTGTCCGTCCTTGGCGCCGACGCTTTGCTGGAAGTCGCTCACCCGCCCCGGCTGCGGAACCTGGGAGGAGTTTCCCACGGCAGGGAGGCTACTGATGTTGAAGCTCTTCTCGTCACGCGCAAGGAGAACCTCGTAACCAACGGCAGCGCTTGATGAGAACATGACCTGGCTGGCAACCTCGATGATCCAACACGCCGTGGTAGGCTCACCGTCGGCGCCTACGCCAGGTGGTGCATGGAAGTTCCCCGCCGCAGCGCCAGCACCGGCACTTTGGCGGATATTGTCGGGGACCGTAAGCTTGCACGTCCATGTGCCGCCAGCCTTGAGCATAGGTTCAAACTCAGGGACACCATAGCGGCGAGGATTTTCGAATTTGACATTAGGGTCGAAGTGTGAAGGATACGCCGAAACATGTAAGGTATATGGTCCGTGGACAAAAGCAGCGCGGAGTGGGATCGGCGAGGTGTTGCGGATTCGAAGGTGAAGGTATTCGGGAGAGGGCAGGATGCGATCGCGAGATGGGTTGTAGGTGACGGTATAGCGGACAACCTCGCCTATCTTGACGCTACCGACCTGGTGGAGGAGCAACATCCTGAGAGCGGCTGTTCCGACGGAACAGAAGGCGTGGGCTGCGAGAGGATATCGGGGTCGCAATAGTCATTTGCGCAGCGCGGAGCTTGTGTCGTGGCTTGCAGACGAGGTGTGAGCGGTGGTCGCGAGTCGAGTTCACGCGGACGTAAGGCTACGCTGCGTCGAGGGGCTGCTACCGTTGTGGCAGGACGCGAGACATTTTCTTGTGGCTGGCAGGAACGTTGGTCTGATACTGCTGGCGGCTCACGCGATCGGCTGAGTTAGACGGTCAGGCGGCGGAGCTGGCGGCGTGGGGGGAGGAAAGCTTGGGCTGGGGCGACTGACACACTGGCTCAGCGACCACTATAGGACCACACTAGCGACGGCCATGTGGACACTGGTTGGCAATGATGTCAGCTCGCCTCGGACCAGCTCGATTGGGCGGCGGCGCGGGGAGGTCAGCAGCCGTGGCACCGCGCGATAAGAAAGGAGCGACACCAATGCTGGTCCTTTACGACACAAGCGAATGCGTCCATGACATCAAACTTAACATTGGCACTCTCCCGTTGTCGAAACAATGGCAGCCAGCGCCGCTCAAGCAGCGATCCTGGTCTGCTCAGATGCAATGGGGCGGCATCAGGGGCACCCCTGTCGCCCACATATCCTTAATTGCTTAGCAGCATTGCCAGAGCCTCTCTCTGTCGCCTCAAGCCCCAGGGGTCGCTCCGCAAGCAGCTGGGATACAGCAAGCAAAGGCATCAAGGTCATACGATGCCCATGTGCACATCCCACGACCGTGTTATGAACAAATGGCCCAAATTGTATTGCTATGTCATGAGAATGGCTTATATGTTCAACACGAGCACCGGAACCATAGAGAGCGACACTGGGAATATAGCCATTGGCTCATGCTATTGTGCAGTCTGGTTGTAGAGAGAAAGCTCAGCTAAGCAAAAACTCCAGTCGAGGCTCACTGCAGCAACCCTCACGCCTATTCGAGTCATAGTCGGGTATCTAACAGCTATGGAGGCATGCCTCTTTCGAGATGTCGCCTGGTGCCAGATGGAGCCCACCCTGCGCCTCGTTTCCATATTGACTCTCACATATATCGTGGCTCATAAGTCGTCCTTGTTCATGTTCCATGAGGCACTTTCCAGTCTCGAGGTGAATTCACTGTCTTACATCGTGCTAGATGTCAACGGTAGCGCTGGCGCGTTCGTCTTATGCCGTCCTTGTCGCCTTTGCCGCTGGTTTTTGTTGTTGCTTGTGATGCAAAGGCTCCCAAAAGAGTGTCAGGGTACCAGCGAGAACCCATTGCCCTGCAGGACCTGCAAAGCTGCATCAACCTTGAGCCGTCACAGAACTTCGACGTTCGGGTGCGACAAGGACATGTCGACGCCATTCATCGACTCTGTCAGCTCCACGTCCCTCGCCTGACAAGCCAGCTTGCTGTACGGCATTGGTGTTGTCGTCGAGGGGCGATTCGGCACGTGCAATCTCAGCCTCGCGGCGGCGGCTCTGCTGACTCCTTGTGGAATGACTCGAGGGTGATGGCCATTCAATGTCGTCCACGAAATCATTGGTGCGCCGACGCATCGGTGTGCGCTCAATCGGTTGCATGCGCGGGCTCGACAGCTCTTCGTCGACGGTATGGTGCCTTCGCAGTGTAGGAGCAGGCGGGCCGGACATTGGCATCATCATAGTTGTCGATGGAGCCATAATTCTTGGGACAGATGGTGATGGCTGCATTGGCACTGGGCCATAGGACCGATGTCCAGGGCTCCCACCATTCCTCTGGTCCGAAAAACGCTCAGCTAGGCGTTCCATGGAGCCTACGCGTCCATTCACACCCCGGGCCCGATTGACCCCGGATATATAATTGGCTCCGGCCTCGATTCTGTCAAAGGGAACACCGGGGTGCGGAAGTGGTGGAGATGGCGGCTCAACAATTGACTCATGCCCTCGTCGGTAATTGTCGTTCATGAAATGACCTGGGGTGTTGCTAATGCCTACAACGCCGCCATAGTCTTCTTCGGGCTCGTCATACAAAATCTGTTGGCTGAAGGCTGGTTCTGTCCGATCATGTCTGCGACGACGACGCGTTTCCTCGTGATGCTGACTTGCACGGCTCCGGTTGGTGCGACCAGAAGATGACATTCTCCTGTTCCGCGACGTCGGCAAGATAGGTGGTGCTTCGGGGACTTGTGGTTCTAACACTGGGACTTTCGCTGCAGGATGGGTCGCGAGGCGCTCCGGTTTTAGTCCATCAACGAACCATGGGCAGTCGCATGATCTCCATTCTTTGTCGCAGGCTGCACAAGTCTGCTTGTGGCACTTGTGGCTGCGGAGTCGTTAGTGTTTAAATACAGTCTGACTTTACACTCTTCACTTGATCGACATGGCACTCACCATTCCGCCAGGCGATCGTCCTCGCTGAGCTGGACGCTGCACTCGCATTCGCGGCAAAAGCGCTGAGGATGATTCCGCACCTCTTCGAGATGCTCCATGGTTTGTGCATCTAATCCGGGACAGCCACGATTTCTCTTGTGAAGTTTCATGTTTAGGTTGCATGTCAAGCACACTTGAATTGTGCATTGGGGACACCGCCCTGTCCGCTGGTGCTGGTCAAATAGATCCGGTGGTATCCAGACGCCGCAGAAGTCGATGGGGCAAAATCGACGGGTGTGAGCAATGTGCTTGGCATAGCGCCTGTTCCAAGACTTCTTGTCTTTGGGTATCATGGCAGAGTCCACAGCTTCCGTGCTTATAAGCCGCCCGCAGGGACAAATGGGGGGCGATATAGGATCTGCATCCCGGAAGATGGTGCGCAGGCAGTGAGAACAAAGTCGATGCCGGCAGGCAAGCTTCTCAGAGAGATATTCGGGCGTTCCGCAACTTAAACATTTCCTGCGGCCAATCATGATTAGCAGAGCAGAGCAACCTGGGTGGTCGGGACGACTCACGATCTTGCATGTCTTTGGCGTGGAACAGCTTGCAATGTCTGCTGAGGCTCAATCCAACTGGAGGACCGTCTGGTCGAGTTGCTGCGCCTGGTTGGTGCGCTGCGAGAAGTCACGTATGAGCTTGGCGCAGTGTGAGACCGGTGGAGGTTGTTCGCAGATGACTGGGAAGAGTAATAAACCCTGGCAATATTGTTAGTATGGATACGCAAGCACAAAAGCACAACCAACATACTTTGGCGACGCTGGGCCACGTCTGGTTCCAGATTTGCGCTGCGGAGAATAGTTTTGTCCGCGTACAGGTCTCTTTGGGTCAGAGTGGTGCCTACGATGCTCTCTCGTCGGAGAGATGTGATTGGCGATGTGTATCTCTGGGAGCTGTTGTCGGGATCTGAGTCGATCTAGGTCACGCGTCGTGTCACGCTCGAGCAAGGATGACGAATCGTCTTCCAGTTCGTCATCCAAGTCCTGAGCAGACTTGAGCCGCTTCTTGACTGGTGTGGTCTTCTGCGTCCGGACGAGATCCGACACCACGGGGATCGGAGCACTCTCGATCTGTTTGCGTTGGGGTGTAGTTCTCCGCGATTTACGTAGGGCAACATCGGATTCTGAGGAGATGTCTGAACTGGACTCGTCATCGGAATCGGAGTCTGGGTCGGCATCAAATTCGGACCGGGAGGGTCGCCTTGATGATTTTACCCGGGATACTGCTCGTGAGCGCACAGCAGGTGTTTTCAGCGGATGGGCACTATCATCTGACAGATCTGTGTCCCCGCCCCCTTCAGTGCTGGGACTTTCGTCCCGGGGGTGTGGCGGGATGCCGCGTCGAAGTTGTGACGCCGCTCTTGAGGCTGCCCGTGATCGAGGAAGAACATTGACGGCATCATCATCATCTATATCTTCAAAGTCCTCGGACTCATCTTCATCGTCTTCCTCTTCCTCCTCGGAGGAATCGTCCTCTTCTTCAACGACCCGCCGTGGTGCTGAGGGTGCCCGAATGCTGCCCACAGGGGCCCGACTTCGGGAGCCTGTAGCTGCGCGACCTGACCTATGACCAGCAGATTGCGGTGTAAGCGGCATAGGGTCTTGAGCCCGGCCTGGCAGAGCATCAGAGGCTCGTCTGGGCCGTGAGCTTGTGGGCGGGTAGTAATTGGACTTGCGGCCATCATCTAGGACCTTTGTCTGGCTGCTGCGGCGTCGTTCTCGTGTGGGTAAGGAGCCGTGCTCGAAGCCGTCGGCAGGGTCCCAATCGCTTCGGTGGGACTCGGAGGATGTGCGTGGAGGGCGCGATGCCCGGGTCCTGTGCTTTCCTGTGCCATTGTGTGTATAGTCCATTCGATCGTGGGGAGCGTGCCTGCAAGTAGCCCGGGAGGAGAGGGCTTCGCAGGAAGAGGCGGTCGTGAGGAGGAGGAGCGATATCGAAGACGGCGAGGGGTGGCAGATGGGCGTTGGGCCAGGCCAGCGATTCGATGTCGTGCGGCGGGCAGGAGACAACTGGTAGCTGCTGAATGGACTCGCACCTGCATGCAGCCTCTAGACCCTGCGGTTGGGATTGGACAGACAGGCCGGGGAGGTCGCACTGGACGACGGTGTCTGCATAAGCACAGGGCCAATATGCACGGGCAGCATCGGGCAGCAGCGCTACAAGTCAAGATGCCGCTTGTCGGAGCGAGTGTTGGAGAGGTGGTGCAAGGAGCGGACGAGAACAGAGAGTGTGAGAGAGGTGGCCTCCTGGCAGAAGAGACGGTGCTGCTTGGAGGTCGAAGAGCAATCAAAGCAGGCGAACGGGAGCTGAGGTATAGCAGAAGGCGAGGCCAGGGACAGGCGCGGGACCTGGCAACCTGAGGCCGCTCGTGACGCGCTCAGAGGAGGGGTTGGTCCTCTGATCGGAACATTCGCAGCAGCTGGAGCGTCGTCGAGCGGAGTGGGGGGAACTGCCGCCCGCTGGCGGGTGAAGGGCCCCTGACAGCCCACCAGGCTTGCACGGATCAAGGCAAGAGTAACCGCTCTTCCCCTCGCACACGCCAAACAAGGCACTGCACTGATCGCCAGGGCTTGTTGGTGCGGGCAACTGTCCTGGCGGGCGACAATAGCTCACGAGCTACCCAGCCCTAGCTTCAGCTGCCAGACCACTAGCTCCCTACTCTCCTGGGTCGACACGACAATCGCATTGTTCTGGGCAGTTGTGCGTCATGTGATTTCTCCCTGGACGGAGGACATTTGATTCACCTCATTCTCACCACAACCGGCTGGTCCGTTGAAGAGCCTTCCCTCCGGCCGAGATCTTGAGAAGTGGGCGAGATCTGGTGCTGACAAGGAACCCCACGTAGGCATGGCCTTGCCAACCACGGCCCAGCCCGCTCTACTGCCACGCTAGGGACTGTGTGAGAGACCAGTGCTCATCCATCATCTGAGCCTTCGCAGTTGGCTGGCGCCGAACTCCCCCTGGCGCCACCTACCCAAACTGGAAGACACCGCGACCCTGGGGTTACCTGCCGCCGCTGCTCGCCCCTCCTGACAGAGGCCAGCCTGTTGGAGAAGACCATGGCAAGAGGAGGCAGCCCAGCTGTGTCTCAAAATCTACGCGGGTCAGCAGCAGCAGCAGCAGCAGCATCTACTCAGCATCTCAGTTCGATCCCTCACGCCATGCACCCCCAGTGCGTGTCCCGCCTCAGGTGATGCCCCACCAGCACCACTCTACCAGCCTTGCCATAGCCTTCGGGGGCCACGAGGAAGCAAAGCGACCACATCACGGGGCCTTAGGCGCGGGGACTTTGTGGACCAGTCGAGGACCAAGTTGCCGTCCACTTCCGCGCCGGCTCATTGCCACATGTCGAAATCTCCGACTCTTCTGGTTTCAGAGAGGAACGTCCACGCCTGCCATGCTCACTCATGATTAGTCTCTCCGAAACGGCAAGCCGGGCGGGATGCCTCGCGAGACAGACAACAGCGAGTCGATGGCGGCTCGACATGGTCCCTTTCGGCCATCATCTTCGCACGGCGCACGGTGCACTTGCGACGCTGCCCGCAGCATGTCTGGGCTGTCTCGCGCACACGGCGTTGCATCGCTTCTGGCCCCACGAAATCGAGGGCTGTTGGCGGGGCAAAGACTGGGGTCGCGGGATGGGCCGACGGCGGCAAGACATGGCTCGGCAACGGGGCAGTACTCAGAGACAGCGCGGAGCTGGCGGGCAAACGTCGATTCTGAATCCTCCAGGGCGACAGCAGGAGCTGGCACGACACCAGAGGCTATTTCTCGATTATTTCCCTGGCTTGACATGGTGTTCAAGTGATGAGCTCGTCACTGCTGCAAGTGAGCAAGACGTGTGCTATAACAGACGGCCTTCTTAACGTGTTCATCGGACGACCAAGCCGTTGTCTACTACATGGACCATGACTACTTAGTTTACACCTAATATATACGGGCGAATCTATTAGGGAAAACAGATGTTTATCGCTCTGTGATTAACGACGGTCGTATCAATTGGACCTCATGAATGAGCCTCAGCACCAACTCCCTGACGTTGTTCACGCTCACACCAGGGCGAAATCGATAACTCGTCCGGCGGAGTAATGAGCCCGCTTGAGCAGGTATGATACATTGGCTGAACTATATAGCAATGCCGCAATCAATGACGAGGTTCTGTCCGGTGATGCTCTTGCTCAGAGAAAAGGTCTTGACCTGCTCGGCAACATCCTCCACCGTCGCCACACTCTTGAGAGCGCTCCTCTCCCTGTTGGCATTAATGACATCCTCCGGGAATTGACTGCCCCTGCAGTGTAAAACAGAGCACATGTTAGCAATCAGACGACAAAGGGACTACATTGAACACATGCACCAAACTCCAAACGGGCGAGTCCAGACGTACCACTCTGTCAACAACAATCCCGGGCTGACGCTGTTGCACCTCACACTCTTGCCACATATGGTCGCGAGACCTCTGATCAAGTGCAGCTGCGCCGCCTTGCTGACACTATACGGCAGACTGCTGCCAGAGGGCCTGACGCCGGCCAAGCTGGCCACCGAGACGAAGCTGCCGCCTTCCGGGTTCTTGTCAAAGTGCGGCTTGGCCGCATACAGCAGCCACAGGTGGCACTTGACGTTGACGTTGTAGCACCGGTCCCAGTCCTCCTCGCGGACCTGCTCGTCGAGGTTCATAAAGTTGGTGAACCGCGTCCAGCCGGCATTGGACACGATGATGTCGATGCGGCCCATGACCTCGACCGTCTCGCGCACCAGCCGCTCCATCTCGGACTTCTGGCTGCAGTCCGCCTTGATGGCGTGGAAGCGCGGTCGTCCAGCCTGTTGGTCCGCGCCGACATCGTAGAAGACCGGCTGGATCTGCTCGGCCTCCTTGATCACGGCCTCGGCCTTTTCCGCGCGCGAGAAGTAGTTGACGACGACGCGGCAGTGCGGCGCGAGGGCCTTGACGCAGGCGGCGCCGAGGCCGGCGGACGAGGCCGTCACCAGGGCGACCTTGGTGGGTGCTTGCGACATTGATGCGGTTCTTGACTTGTGCTGTCCTCGTGTTTTGAACTCTTTATTTACGAAGAAAAAGAGTATTTCTCGATCCCAATTTCTCCTCACGGCGTGGCTCCCTGGGGTATAGGCTTCGTCTTGCTGTCGGACTGTCCGACCAGCTGCTCCGTCTTATCTAAGACGCACTGCCCTGGGTGGGGTCGACTTACAGCGCAAGTTGGAGACGAGGACGGGGACCTGTCCGACGCCGGTGCCGGGACCCGGTGCGGGGATCGCTCTTAGTCGGTTAAGCCGAGCGTACCTTTTCGGCCTTCAGTAATGAATGCTACCTGAGGTAGGTATTCCTCACTCGACAATTGCCCTGCCACCCAATGCGACTCGGGGATATCCCGACCTCCTTCAAGATTCACAACAGTCGGCTTGTAGCCGACGTCTGCTTATGCTGCAGCCCGGCAAGCAAAGAAACGCGGTTTACTGCCGTACCAGAGTATGTGGCATAGGCGTAGTTGGAACGGGCTCGGACAGGGCTTGGATTACAACACCCAGCGTGAAGGCGGCCGTTGCGTTGCATGGGTGGGACACGGAGCCTGCAGTCATTCTGGTCCTCAGCACGCATTTGCGCAAACATTTCCCAGCGGAATAATTTGGTACAGCAGGGGTAGCCGGTGACCTTGATTTGGATATCTCTGTAACGATTGCTGTCCACTAACGCCGCAATATAATAGTTGTTTGCGTGTGCCATGCCCACAGCTCTATGCCACGTGCCACAGTCGCGGCCCGACTCTGTCCCATCTTCCATAGTCCGACATTGATCATGACGCCGCCCTAGTCTTCGTACCTCGGCGGACTCGACGCAGGGTTCAGCAGCGTCGCCCGGAGAAAGACGAGAACCTCGTAGACCGCCTTGGGGACATCGAGATTACTGCTTCTCGTATCGTCCTTGGACCACAGCTTTTTGAGAAGGTTGTCTTGAATCACGACGACAATGAAGCGGACGTGGTGGTCCATGTCGGTCCACTCGGTCTTGTCGGGGTGGTAGAGAAGGTATTTCGGGTCGTTTGACTTGATGGCGTCACGGGCGAGCTGAGCCGTCCTGGTCTTGTCGGGCTCGACGGAGTGCGGATTATCGGCGAGGAAGTCGCGGCAGAACTCGCGCCAGGCACCGACGACATAGACGCTCTGGAGCCAGTCGCTGAACTTGGCTGCGTCCTTGAAAGGCAGCAGCTCGAGGACTAGACGCTCATGCTGTGCGACGAAGCGTGTGGTGGCACCTTGCGGCGAGGACGACGACTCGGAGAACCCGTGCCCAGGCATCAGGGGCGAGGCCTCTGGATGGCGGCTGGACGAGAACGACTTCATAGACGCACTGTCGACCTCACGAGACTCGGCACAGCCCATAGGCGAGTTGATTGGCAGCAAAGCGAGTTGATTTACAAAGCTTATCGGTTAAGGAAGCTGGAAGGCGATATTGACTCTGCGCAAGGCTGAAGGTTGCAGAAATGGCCAGGTATTTATATATCACCACAACGATCCTGTAAAAGGGTGCCTGGACGCTTGTGAGGGCGCCAACCAAGCTCGGCGGCCTATGTGACGACGACCCCATCGCTGCGGTAGTACGCACATACGTATAAGGTACGTATGTACGGCTGCAGTACAGATCTCTCGTCATGTAGGCGGGCATGCTTGCGGAACGAGGAAACCGAGTGCCTGGAGATGGCAATGGAGCCCTCGCAACCAGAAGCATTTAGGACTCGTGGGCGGGCTCACAAGAGCCAATGGCGGCTGCCGGCCAGGCCGAACTGGGGAAATGCCAGGGCAGTTGCGTGGCCATCCCCCCGACTCGGGTTGAGGATGCCTGCCAAGGCATCCTTGCTGGTCACGGCTAAACCAGCCCGTAAGCACGGGGTAAATGGTCAAGATGTTCAGCCAAAGACTCCTTAAACTGCTGCCTGAACAGCCGCTCGCATCAGGGAGGGAGGCTGTGGTCCCTGACGCGGTGCGCTAAGGGGCTGTCTGCCCCTCGAGGCAAGCCGCCGAGCATGCTTCAAAGAGATTAGCGCGCCGAGGTTGAGGACGCCAGGCCTCCCTCCATTGGCATGCTGGCTGCGATGGACGATCGTAGCTGGTGCTCATGATGCCACTCCAACTCCTGCAAATGCTCGATCCGGCAATTGGTACTTGGGCATGGGGGTTCAGACAACAGGATCAGTATTAGCAAACCATAGTGGCATCAAATGGCCGAGAGATCTTGGCCGCCTAGCCAGGCCACCTACCTACCTTAAGGTACCTAAACTTTGGAGGCAGGTCTGGGGAGGAACGATCAAGAACAGCTGAGATGGAAAGACGCTCGGACCAGGCCCGTCTCCACCACGACCCACCCATGCTGCAGTCGCGACCTTCAGTGAGAACCTCACTCACTCAGATGAGATGCCTCAGACAATCTTAATGAGAGCCATAGGGTACAGCTACTTTTCACCTCACAGGGTCGTCGCACGCAAAGCGGCGTACAGACCTGGGCAAATCGCAGCATTCGTGATAAGAGTTCGCAAAAATCGGATCTATCCCGTGGCAGGGACAGCGCCAAGTATTCACTTGACGTTTCGCAGGCTCATCCTACCCGTGAACGAATACCAGCATTGATTTTCTTATATGTGAGTGCTTGTCAAGCCAACAAACCCCTTCAATATTGTCCATGGCATCTTCCCGTCGCCCAAAATCCCCATTCGTACCTTCTGCTACCTAATTTCCCTCCACCCAGATATCAACCAGACTCCGTTGCTGATATTCACCCACAGACTACATTGGCGTCATGGACGCCGAGCACGCGGGCCCAGCGCCAACCCGGGCATTTACTTGGAGGTCAGTAATTGGCATTCGATACAGCTTTAGTCTTATGCAAACTTCACGCCTTGCTGACGATAAGCTAGAGATCCTCATCCAATGTTTGTGATTGTCTTGGTAGGCCAAGAAGAGATACCTTTTGGTGTCCACAAGGACCTCGTCTGTACAAAATCGGCATTCTTCAGTAAGCACTTCGAAGCACAAAGCAACGATCAACTCGAGCACATTGTCAAGCTCCCGGAAGTCGATCCAGAAGTCTTTGGCCTCGCCCAGAATTTCATGTACACACGGTCGGTTTTCGGGGAGAGTGAAACACCGCCTGGCTACGATACCCTGATATCTCTTTATGGACTTGGCAGCAAGCTAGAGGTCCACGGTATGTGTGAGGAGACGCTCGAGGCTATGCAGGAATGCCGCCGGATAACCCAGCACATTCCCGCAACTCCGGTGCTGGTGCAGGTCTGGGAAGACACGCCAGCGGGCTCACCACTCCGCAAGCTGCTCTTACATTGGGCAGCCGAGTACGTTCGCTCGTCAGACTCGCGGGAAGAGTTCACAAAGTCCTTGCCGCACAACGTTCTCAGCGACCTGGTGGTTGTTATGAGCAATCCGGACTTTGGGACGGCCAAGAACGCCTCTTCGACATCACATACAGGAGCTGGTTTGCCTTCACGGCGACGGCATGGTCACGACGGGGTAGACGGAAATAATGAAGGCGCGGAGTGGCCCTCAAAGACACTGAAACACCGACACTCCGATGCCGGGCATAAGCCCGCCACTAGCAGGAAGGCGTCGAGGACATCTTTGCCGACAGCATTAAAGCCCGCCAAAAAGCAACGCGTCAATATCCATATCACCCCTGGTCGACCCTTTAGCGAGGAAGAGAAGCTCGTCTTCTGCGCGGACCTGATCGGACGGATGCTCAGCGGGCCTGGTGAGTCCATCTTTTTGTCCTATCTTCAGTGATGCATGTTTGTCGAACCCAACTAACCATTTTTTACCCTTTCCTCGCAGGCTTCTGGACCCGCCTGGTTGGCCCTTTCAGGGAGCCAGTCAATCCCCAGACCGATGGCGTGCCAGACTACCTTGAAAAGATAACACGACCAATGGATCTTTCCACGATCAAGGCCAAAATGGACCGGAAAGAGTACACCACCAGCGACGAGTTCGCCGCCGACGTGCGCCAGATCGCGACCAATTGCTATGCGTACCACACAAAGGGCAATCCGACGTGGCTCGCGTGCGAAAAGTTCGAGGACCATTTTGAGAAGAATTTTGCAGGAATGGACAAGTGGCTGCTCAAGATGGGCGGCGTGGAGGAGCCAGCCTAGGCCAGTCTGAATCTTTGTCACGAGATATCAGTTCGTGATACTTGTGCGAGAGAGCATGGTCAGTGCCAAGGACAATGACAAGTACAACGGGGACAAGAGAACAGTGCCGAGCACATAGCTGAACCCCTGTCCATCGAGAAGGGTAGCAGGAGCTGCGAATATACGACTCGGCATGGCACGCGGGGAACACTATCATCATCAGATGTGCCCAACACACCCGCGATAGTACTTCACCGCCGATCACTAACCCTATCGAACTTGGGTTCATGTGTAGACAGAGGGGAGAACAAACGACCCTTCAAGCAGAATTGGGCTGGACAAGCGAAATCCATGTACAACATTAATCCGTAATCTGGTCAAAAAGTGAGAATTCGGGCAGTAGCTCAAAACACACCGCACTTGCCCTTGCACAAATCATTAGGCGCACTCCGAATATACACCCTTTGAACAATGAAAACATTCCCGAGCTTTCTGACAAAGATGGGGCAATAACAAAAAGTGGGCGTCACAGAGAGTATATAGATGGAGAGGATGGCCACACGGCAATCTAAGCGAATCAAGGGAATCAACATTCTACAAATGAGGCTCTGGCCGGATCTGACCTGGCTAGACGACAAGGGAAGAAATTGCATTCACCGACTGGGCCCGACTAGATTCTCAGGTCCAGTCAAGTTGACCAAAAACAAGTCCACGCAAACTCAACTAAGAGCGGGATACAGCTCCAAGCCGATTTCCTTAGCTCAGTGCATGAGCCATGCGACAAATGAAGTTTTCAAGGCATACCTGATCTCCAAGAAACATCATGGCACGGGTAGCATAAACCTCCCATCAAAGGGTACCCAGCTGGTGGTACCCATAGCACCCCTATTGCTGAGGCGAAAACGGCGCACTAAACCCCACTGCTCTCTCTTCCGCTCCGCTGGGCGAAGAAAGTGTTTCCCGACTAGTCAGTCTAAGAGTTGCTCTCACGGCTCTTGCGGTAGCTAGCCTAGTTTAGTGGAATTCTGAAATGTCAGCTTCAACTTGCTCTAATTCATGCCGCAAGGGATTGTCATCGCGTGCTTGAGACGCGTTCAACTAACCTCTTGCTCGACCTGCAGACCCTCGATGATGGGCTGCAGCTCGTTGAGGATCTCGTAGGCCTTCTTGTGGTACTCGGCCTGGGCGGCGACGAGCTCAGCCAGGTTGCGCAGGGGCTCGGGGGTGTCGAGAACCTAGCAAGGTGAATTGTCCTGGTCAGCAAAGGGGGGGTTTCGTCTTGAAAGAGTCGAGCCACTGGCACGGATGGGTCACATCACAAACTCACATTCTTCATGACACCAACAGCCTCCTCGGTCTGGGTGACAAACTCGTCCTCGGCCTTTTCAATCTCCTCCTGGGCCTCGGGGCTCAGCTCCTCGGTCGAGGTGGGCTGCTCGTCGCGGGGACCGCCGGGGATCTTCCAGGTGGTGCCCTTGGCGCGGGACTTGACCGAGTCGAGGGTGAGGCGGGACTTCTCGACATTCTTGCGGGCGCGGGTGGCAAAGGTGAGGTTGGTGTTGAGGGTCGTGTTCCAGCCCGCGAGGAAGTGGCTCTGGATCTGGGCGTCCTGGGCGAGGCGGGCCTCGCCGACACGCTCGCTGGCGAGCGCGTACTTTTCGAGCGCCGTCGCGAGCGGGTCCTCGCCGGCGTCCGTGTGCTGCTGGTGAAGCAGCTGCGAGCTGGCCAAGCTGGCGCGGGCGAGCGCATGGCTGAAGGTCTTGGGCTGTGGCTTGGCCGAGGGAGGGGCCGTCAGCGCGGCCTGCGCCTCGGCGGGCGAGGTCGCGGTCGAGAGCAGCTGCACCTTCTCGCTGACGGTGCGGCCGAGGTCCTGGAAGGTCTCCTTGATGTTGGGAGGGTAGTCATAGGCCTCATTCTGGTATTGGGAGCTGGAAAAGTTGGGAACAGGCGAAGATGTCAGCTTCGGTCGCATCAAGCACCACGACGACGAGGCCAGCCAGCCAAGACTGGTTCTCGGGGGCTGATGGTGTCGCAGGGAGGAACCAGACTCACGTCACAGCCAGGAGCTTGGTGTGAACCTGCTTGAGGGCATCGACGCGCTTCTCGAGGTCGATGTAGTCGGGCGGGAGCTCTGTCTGTTGAATCAATTGACCGCATTAGCACCTCGTGATCAGCAGGGGCACGACGTCATTTGCTTCAAGCACCAGGCGCATCGGAGCACTCACCTTGTCCTCAGCCTGGCCGAGCTGCTCCTTTGTGTACTGAAAGGTGCGGGAAGCGGCTGGCCCAACCGAGGTGGCGAACTGGGAGCCCAAATGGCTATGGCGACGGCGTCAGCTTGGGGGGGACATGACCGTGAGGCTAAAGCGACCATCGCGCGTTGAGCTCAAAAGGAGGGGTCCAGGCTGCGCAAGCCGAGCGCACAAGGTAGCGCAGTTTGAAGCTCTGGGGGGAAGAGGGGAATGGGCGTACGTGATCGAGTTTCCTAAGGCCTTGAAATCCATCTTGGGCGAGTCGTGGGTAGGTTGCTGTGACGAGGGGCAGTGTCGATGTTGAAGAGTAGGTTGGCAGGTTTCTGTCGAGCAGCCAAATCGACCGACTGAATGAATGCCTTGCTGGATGGATGGGTGGATGGATGCAAGCTGCCCTGCTGCCAGGAGCCAGACCCTGGAAGGGGGAGGGGCACGGCGCAGCACACCTGCACCCAGCATTCTCTGGCTGGTATCAGATGCTTGCGGGCAGGGCAGGGAGAGGCACAGCACCTGCTTCTCATTGGCCAGGCATACAACGGTCGCTCCAGGCCGGCTGCGTTTCATTCAATCAGGCTTCCAGCTCGCTTTGGCAGCACTTCAACAAGTGAATCCAGCAACCGTGAACCTGGCATTGTACGCCTGCAGATCATTGCTGAACACACCACACCGCATATTTCATGCTGTCTTGCCCCCCAGAACGGTCTATGAATACATTGCACAGCAGAGTGCAATCATTCAACTCCACGAAATTATGTTTTAATGTATTAGGTACTTAAATGCCATAACGCCATTACCGGCGGGTGCGTGTATCCTAATGGCTTCTACACCCGTGTACTTTATCCGACCAGTCCAAGCGCTCATGCCCGCCATGCAAAATCATAAGCAAAAAAAGGTTGTAATCATCACCCTCACTCTGTGAGAATGAGCGTCTCGGCTGCGGCCACGCCTCGCACATCATCAATCCCCGTACGGACGTCAACCAATCACATCAAGATCTACGGCGCTGTGGCTTGTCTGTGTATCGCTCCTCTTGTCGCCGAGAAGTGCGACTGCCAGATCCGTAACCCTCCATCTCGACCTCTTCTGTCTCAACAGCAGACGTTCGCATCCAGCTCTGACGGCCCAAAGGACTTCTTCCTCCTCGCGCATTATTGCGGTTGCTGCCACTCGGCACGCTCAGATTAGAGTGGTGGCCGCGGCCGGAGTCTCGTGAAGCAACAGGCGCAGGCGAGGGATCGCGAGACGGCCCTGGGCTTTCAATGTCGGAATAAGAGCCATCGGACGCATTTGCCCAGCCCCTGCGCTCCAGCTCGGCGTCGGAGAACTCGTAGACCTGGCCAGTTGGTGGGATTTTGTGCTTAGACGGCCCTAGATAAGCATTGTACTGGCTTGCCTGAGCTAGCTCGTACTTTTTGCGATCCTCCTCGCCCATGATGCTCTCGACTCGTCTTGGCATATAGACGGAATTGTTGCCTGTCCGCGTCGTCATGAAAGAATCAACAGAGTCGTTGAAATGCGACATGAGGCCACTGCTGTTGCCATGGAAGTTGTTGACACTGAACTGCGACTCTTCAGGGTGTGCGTAGAAGCCATTGGCCTTTCTCTCTGGGGCCGCGAAGCGACCCTCGACCTTGTCTGGGGGCAACAGCTTGCTGCGATTCCTTGTGATGCCACTCATGTTGCCGCCCTTCTTGTTCTTCGCAGCCTCGGTGGCAGCAGGGATAAACGTCTCGGGAACAACATTGAGCTCGTCGCCTTGCTTTTCTGCTTGCTCGATGGCTTGCTGAGGAGTTGTGGTCGCATCGGCAGTGGCGGCATCCGCACGAGGTCCTCCCCATGTCCGCTGGCCAGCTGTAAAGATTCCATAGACCATGTAGTACCAGTTGAAGAAGGGGTTGAGCACAAACATGACCGGGTACAGCCAGATCTTGTAACGCTTGAGCTTGGCGCCAAAGTAGAGCATCATCAGCCAGTTGAGTCCCAGGGAAATCGCAATAAACTGGATGGGAAGGTCCGTGGGCGATTTTGTTGTTGTCAGCATGGCGAGAATGATGATGAAGAAAAGCAACGCCGTGGTTCGAATCGTGTTTTGCATGAAGCGAAGGACAAGCAGGATCGGATACCGTTTCCACAAACGCCAATCCGTTAACATGCAGACCTCGTTAGTGATGAACCCGAGAAACCATCGGCGGCGTTGCTTGATCAGCGAGCGAGTGGTTTGTACAGCCTCTGTCTTGCAAAACGCCGACGTGCACATCTGGATCTGATACCGCTTCTTGGCACCAATCATGAACAAATGCGTAAGCCAGCGATCCTCGCCCAGGTGGCTCTTCGCGAAGTCAAACAAGTCCTCGCACTGCTCTGCCTTGTCCGCGAAGTAGTATTTGGCCATTCTCCTAAACGCAGAGAACCGCAGCATCGTAAGAGCACCCGGCAAACAGGTGACGGCACCGCATCCAGACTCGACCGTTCTCTCGAAGAGTTGTCCGTGTATGTACTCCATGTCCTGCAATAGAGTGATCAGGCTGTGCTTCTTTGTGGTGGAGGTGATGACACCGGTCATGGCGAGCATGTCGCGACGATTGCCGGGACTAAGCTCCATGTCATACACAAAGTTCTGTAGGCACACGCGGTCGAGAATGCAGTCGGAGTCGATGAAGAGGATGAAGAGGTTGTCGTTGCGCTTGAGGTACTCCTTGTAGACTTTGTCGATGAGTTTGAATGACATTTTTTGGCAGTGACGCTTGCCGCCGTGGGGAAATCTGGAAACGGTGATTCTGGCTTGCCGGTAGGAAACGTCGATACTCTTCGGATACGACTCCAGCGTCAAAGGTACGCCGAGCTTTTCGATTGTGTTGAGGTACAACTCGTCCTCCTGGTCGCCATCGAAAGACAGGAAAACGTGGATACACGAGGGCGGGTAATCGCAATCGACCACGGAGTTGATAGCTGTAACAAGAACATCGGGCTCCTCCTTGTAGCATGGCATCACGATGACGACCTTGGGTGCCGACACCTCGTCGAGGGCCTGCTTTGTCCGCTTCGTTCGCCCCAGGTTGTTGGTGACGAGCTGGTAGACGCAAAACAGCCACGGAACAGTCAAGAGGGCTGCGAAACTCCAGAATCCGAACCATTGCAAGAAAGAGACAAGATTGGTGGGCCAATGCTCCACGACTTTATCGGGGAGAGGCAATGTGACGACCATGATCGGCAGGAAAATGAATCTGCATGGTTGTTTAGCATGATGAGGTACGACAAAGTTAGACTGGCAAAGTGCCTCATTGATGTCGACCAGCACTTACCGAAACCCACAGAATAATGTCCCAATTACAATGGCGAGGAGGCGGATTGTCCAGTGTTCTGCTTTTTGAAAGACCTTGACGAGGCAATAGACAAAGGCTGCCAGCCATAGGAACCATTCTAGAAACGCTGCGAGCATGATGACACCAACGATTGCCGTATAGGCAATCTGATTGAAGATGAGCGATGTTGTCCTCGGGGATATGGAATTTGGGTGTGTCTTACCTCGTTGGCGGGCCATTCCGTAGAGGCCGCCATCTTGAACAGCCTCTGGGGCGTTGCAAGATGTCAACGCCACACAGCTTGGCTGTGAAAGTGAACAGCTGGAAACCGGAATCGATTGACACGGGGGTTTGTGCTGGAGTGAAATATTCTCGGGTAAACGGGCGTCGGAATGGTGGTCTTTCAGCTCCCTCGGGGATCGAGTTCTGGTGGTTGTACTACCAGGTGAAATGTGATGCGGCTGAACTCGTAACTGGCTTACACGATCTGGCAGTTACGTGCAGAGCAAGTATGGTAGAACTTTTGTTGACACAGGTTGTGCTACTGTGCGACCAGGCCCAGTACAGGTTGTGCGTGTCGATGAGATGGCTCAGGCACCCAAAGACTAAATATAGCAAAATATGCCGTCCTTGGTGGCACGGCAGTTGCGGGCAGGCGTTGTCTCAGCCTCTGGGAAAGTGACGTCGGGTGAGTTGGCAGCACGATGCTGTCGGCACCGGTGGCTTCTGGGAATCTAGGCCGGAGGAGTCGGAGGCTGGCCGAAACGAGCGCAAAGTCGATAGGACAGATGTGGCGGCTTCCTGAGCGGAACGAGAGTATTCGGCCAAAGAGGGGAGGATGGGCCTGGGCGAGGTTGCGCACAAACGAGTGAAGGTGCAAACCAGGCCAGAGAGCCGTGGACAAAGAGGCAGAATCAAGGAAAAAGCAAACAGAACTGCATGTGTGCCAAAAGAAAGAGGCCCAAGGCAAGACTTGGGAGTGCTTACCAGCCAAGGCCGGCGGCACCCAGGAGGCGGACGGTTACAATACATGTTATATGGCAGCTGCTGCGAGGTGCATGAGCCTGAAGCCCCAGGGAGCCCAGGATGCGACTCACAGGCCGGGCCCAGCTTTGAGGCTCCACGATGATGACCCAGGCCAGGGCATTCATCGACACAAGGGTCTGTTCCCATAATTACGCCAGAGGCAGCTCCAGAGCAGACAATCGAAGCCCACGGGCGACACTAGCCCTCAGGAAGCAAGTTAGCGTAGGCGGCGCCCCCATCGCCAGGGGCACCCGAGTGGGCAGCGGCCGTTGAGGCTGGAGGAGACCTTGGAGACCTCGCAAGGCCCACTGGTCAAGAGAGGTGCTGGCGGTGCAGCAGCAGTCCAACGCGAGGCTTGGCGCAGCGGTGGAAGACGCACAGCTGCAGGGAAGCAGTGGCCTGCCCCTGGTCGCACCTGCCTGCCAAGAGCCGCTTGCCGCCCCTGCCCGTTTTGTGTTGCATCACCCAGGCCCCGGCGGCCCATGCGCTCCAGGCGCTGAGCACAAACTCACACACGTACGATCTCTTGGAACTGCCCAGACTGGGAAGGCAATGCCCAGACTCTTACTGCTGCCGCTATAGCCCGGCTTGTTTACCTGCACAGGCTGGTCTCGACTCCTTTCTGCATTCTGGACGTGGACCTTATGGATCCTCGCCGCGCTGGCATAGGCCCGCAGACCAAACCCCATGGGATCAAAGAAAAGACTTTCGATGCAACCGACCAGCTACATAGTCCTCGCAAAGGACAGCGCATACGGCAGTGTCATGCACAGAATCAGCAGCCGGGCAGCTCATTCGTGGACACGCCCGCGTCACCACCCACCACCCCTTTGCCTCCGGGGGACCTTCTATTACTGGAGGGCCGGATGTCTCCGCCGTAGAATCACCCAATGGGGCAGAATCATGCTCCGTAATTCCAATCGCCGCCCATTTTCAATCTGCGTGGGGGACCGCTGTCTTCGGAACCCGGCGACCTCATCAAATGGATGAAATAGGTGCAAGGACAATCGATATGTGATTACCGAGTAGTGGCAGAAGCGCTTCGTCCACGGCCGCTCGTGTAAGCGGTCCCTGAGAAGCTGGTTCCTGAGAGGAACGTGCCAGCTTCGCGTGTGCTTGTTGCACGGTACTCGGCCCGCAAGCGCTAAGCTTAATGTTGATCCCGGACTAGCACGCAACGATCTCCGGACCAAAGTTTCAGCTGGCACTGATCTCGTCACCAACCCAGCCGCCCGTGCACGCACTCGCCACACACGCCGCACGCACGCACTCATGCATTGTTTCTCGTCCGAGGTGTGCTGGTACGGCACAATGACCTCAAAAATCCCATCGATGCGTTGTCGGTTACCCCGAGACTGAGGCAGACTTTTCGTCCATCCGAAAAGGCCCATGTTCGGCTCATTTTCCGAACCACTGACACCTCAACAAGCCACAAACCACGTCGAGCATTGTCGTGCTCGGCTCTCTCGCCATGGGCCATGACAAGCCACGACAATCCTGTGCTAACGATCTCTCGTGGTCTCAGGCGGCACTTCCCTGGCTCTTTTCCGCCAGGTACGGCACCAAATTAGCTCAGGTCAGACGTCCACTTCGCCAAGAATCCGGGGGGGGGGGGGGACGATTAAGGACAAGTCACAGACCCCAGGCTCTTGATGCGCATTTCCCGGAACTTCCGATGGCCAATGGATTGCGCGACAGTGTCAAAGTTCCCCGACACACAAGCGGTTCTCACAAATCTCGAATTCCAGGACGGCTTAGTGACCATGCAGTAAAGCAAACTGGCTCCTGACCTCTAGTTCAAAAACCCTTGGACATCCCTGGCATATACGCGGCCAACAGAAAGCACAGAGTATGCAGTTCAACAACATTGCATCTGTGACAACTGCCCATCCTTAACAAACTCAGCGCTGCCCCTTTCGGAATAGCTGGGGACGGCCTGCTCATTGACAACTGACTTGACATTGAGCAATCCCACCACGTCCTTCGTCCCATTCCGATTGCCGCCTCAACTGTTTTCAATATCAACAGCCACGAGTTGTGTTCGTTGCCGCAAATTTCGGATATCCGCCATCTCCAGATATCCGTGCCTGTCGGGTCGATCTGCTCTCCATGACGTGGCCAGACTGATGGAATTTTCCAGGGACGCCGTGAAATTGAGCCCGTACTGCTCTATACCATGAGCATGTCTGTAGCACCAAGACTTGGAAGAGCGACTGACAGGCACATATTGCCACGCAAGTGACAAATGCTGTCTATGATGCCCCCTTATATCATGGTTGGCTTGCGCCATGTTGACCACGAAGATCCGTGAAACCATAGCGTTTGCCATTAGGACTGTCCGACGATTCGGTGGGTCTGTCTCAAGGAATCCTAGAATTGGTGACATGACCGTCAGTTGGGTTTTCTGGTCAGTGCAAAGTAGAAATGCAAGTTTCGTAGATTTGAGGTGCATAGCCTAGGCAGCCTTGCTGCCCAGGCCCTTCGTGGCCAAGACTGCTGGAGAGGGAAAGTCGATTACGAATCTGCATCAGATGAGGTGTGTCCGTACCAGTCAACATCGCTCAGCTGAAGTCGGCGAGCTCGTTGTGCCCCACGATCCTTGCTGGGTTTCTCAGTCCTATTTGAGTGGAAGGAAGGTAGTCTCTCGTAGTCTGTATGACCCAAAGGTCTGATTAGCTGTAAAGTTAATCGTGAGTACCAGGTACAGGAATGCGTACTGTCTTGCTCTTCATTCTCGCGCATGTCGTAATTCAGCACAAGATTCTTGATGCGCTGCTGTTCCTCCTTCTCGGCCTGCTGCTGAGTTCTCATAGCCACCGCAAAATTGGAGTCGGACGGAAGCGCCACCGTCCTCGTCTGTGGTATTTGTTAGTCTGCGCAGATGGCTTGTACCAATCTCGGAAGGGGAGGTACCTGTTGCCTGTTGCCCTTCTTTGTCAAGAGCGAGAAAGCCATAGTGCTTGGTGCATGGTCGATTTCGCCGTCTTCAGCTTCGGGCGCTGTGTCCGCCGTGGCAGACGTGTCCCGCTTGGAGCGGACGGGAAGCGGCACGTCAAAAAGGGTCTTCCGGTCAAATTTCCTCGACTCTAAGCTTTCCGCCATCATCTTGGCATACTCGCGCTCGAAGTCGGCTTCATCCTCGGGATCGACCTGCTCGGCATTACGGGTCACGACGATCTTCTCGTCCTCAGATTCATACTCGCCAGGAGAGTCAAGTGCCTGATCAGCATCCTAGGGCAGACAATCAAATCAGCCATCGATATCGAGCTTGCCAATTCCATGACCCGCCACGAATCACAATTACATACCTCGAGATCGTCTTCGACAAAGTCAGACTCTTCGTCGCCACCAGCTTCGGGGAGATCTATGTCGCCATCGCCGTCGTCATCAGACGAGGACACGCTAGAGCCGTCGTCCTGATCGCCAGATTTGTCGATACCAGCATTCTTCTGATCCTGTGCTATTGCTAGCTGGAACGCTTTGAAAGCTTCTTCTGCATTGACAGCTAGCTTCCATTGCGGCCTGGTGAGAGAAAATGTATCTTGGACAATGAACTCAATGTCCATCGGCAGAGGATTCTTGGTGAATATATAGTACTAGTAATAACATCAGTGACGAGGGTACATGCCTGTCTGGCTCGGGTCGTGTTACCTGAAAGAATGAAAGGAAGTAGTCCAGCTTTTTGCCGGCAGCGCCTCGATTGAAAAACATGCCGCAGGTCTCAAGAACGGTTGCAACAAGTCGAATACGGAAATAATCGTCGGGCAGATCAAACGGGTTGATGCGCCCAGGCACAGGCGCGCCGCCTACAAACAAATCAGTCATGGTTCCCAAGCAAATATGTCGCCAGGGATCCTCCTACCGTGTCCGAAAGTCAAAATCTTGTACATCGTGTCGAAGATGGCAGGGTGTTCGAGCATCCGATAATTGTATAATTCGCCCAAATACTTCACTTCGGCAATCCGGCGTTGGTTGTATTTGAAGTCATTCTGCTCAAGTCCAAGATTGACCGACTCAACCACCGCGTCCATGACTGCAACCGCAAAATCGGGGTGATACCGATAGATAGCGCTGAGGAGAATAGCGAGGATATGGACACTGCCGTACTTAACCTTGCCAGGTCTAGAGAAGACCTTGCGCAGTACCACGACGACCTATGCACTGTTAATCTGAAAGCCCAAGGCATGAGGTCGATGCAAGGCTGAACTGACCTCTGGATCGCTCCAGGGCAATCTGCGAATCTGCTTTAGAATCTTGGTGTAGTTGCGCTTGGTCAAATCAACGTAGATCAACTTCCTGATAAATAGTTCCATGGGCGATCGCTCCTTTTGTGGTATGGCAGCTCTTTCCGGTGGATCAACGTAGTATATTGCGTTTTCGATGAGCATCCTCTCTTGCTGGCCGATATGCTGCACAGACTTCTTCCGCTGAAGAGTCTCTAGAAAAGTAGCCATACGTGGTGAAGTGTCCGCGTTGCGAAGCAAGTACCTGCCGCAATTCTCGAGTAGGTTGCAGATGATCTCGATGTTCATTCGAGAAAAGTCGTCGAGGCTGACTTTAAGGCAATGAAAAACAACATGCTCTGGGACGATTCCGAACTTTGACAGCTCTGCTAGATATCGGATGTTGCTGAGGCGTACTTGGCCCAGAAAGTCTTTTTCCTTGCGTCGCTGAAGACTGCGGAATTCGGCATCTAGATATTCAACCACGCCTTTGGGTACATCAGGCATGTATTGGCCAAGTGTAGCTACCAGTCGTGACCACAGCGGCAAGAGGTCGGTGCGACCCTTTGGAACTTCAGTGAGAGCTTTGATGAGTCGATTCCGTGATGCTTTTGAGTTGAGGAAGCAGAAGTCTGTGGCTGTGTCATCGACAGCCTCCTTATTCGTCAGCTCCGGTAGGCGTGCAAGAATCGCATCAACCTGAGCTCCAATTGTTTTGTTGGCAATGGCAGTAGACTGGTCCTCCGCAGGATCCCCCGGTTTGGGGAACTCGCTAGTCTCGGACGCTTCGACCTTTTTGCCAACTTGCTCATCGGTATCCGCTTTCTTCTTTTTGCTGTCCTCAAGAAGCATCCCAGGCACCTTGCCTTTGAGATCGACGAGGTTTTCGTAAAAACGCCTCTCTTCCTCGTCCTCCCAGATGCCCGCACCGTCGCTGTGACCGCGAAGGTACTCACCAGTCTTGACAAGGCCGATGGATCCGTTCATATTGCTCAGGCCGTCTCCAGACTCCTTCAAATCCGGCATATCCGCACCAATGGCTTCCGCCAACACTTGCGCATTGCTAACGAGGCGTTCCTGTGCTTTGAGTTGCTTTTCAAAGTTGGCCTGACGGTCCTCGAACACTTCCCCAGATTTCACGTAAGCCTCCGAGTTGCGGCCCTTTTGTGCAACAATACTCTTCTGATCCTTGAGCAGATGATTCTTGACGTCCTCGAAATATCTCTTCAAGATGTTCCGGAAGCGCTCCTGCATCTCAGGGCCGCAGAGGGGCGGATCATCAGAGGATATGACGCCATTGGCCGCTGGATCCTCCGCCTGATCATCTGACACGGCCTTCGTCGCGCCGTCTTCCTCCACTGTTTTGCGACTCTCTGCTGATGACGATCTGACTCCAAGGATATCCCAGGAGAAGGACTTTACGAATATCACGAGGAGTGGAAGGTTGACGTGTTCCCTGTCATGCCCAAGCAGATCTTTCAGGACTTCCAGCGGAAACGGCTCTGCGCCTCCGCCTTTGCTTGTACCGGAAGCTTTCAGCTTGAGCTCGGCTCCTTTGCCCACTGCTCCACGCGTGGCATCATCCGGTTTGGCATCTTCGAGGGTCCTAACAACACCAACGAGCCACAATTCGGTGATGATGCGGAGCAGCGCACGTTGCCGAACGAGCCTTTCTTTCTCCTCCTTTTCACGCACTTCAGGCGCAAGGCTTTTCAGCAGGCTCTTGTCGGGGGTCGCCATTCCCTTTCCTAGCAGCCACGCCAGGTACTCGGTGAACTCTGCCGGGCCGAATCTCTGGTGGAGAGCGCTGACGATTTCTACGGCAGCATCGATCTCGCCAGAGGTCTTGAGCTTGCAGAGACCTTCGTAACATGCTGAGATGATTTCAGACAGGTATTTCGTGAGGCTCAAGGTTCGAATCTCTTGAAGGAAGGTGTTCTGCGTAGAGGGAGTAACAGCTGTTCGAAGGCGCTTGATGAATGCCGTATTCTTCTTGAGAGACGAGTCGAGAGCCGAGGCGACTGGGAAGACATCTGTGCTCATGCGATGTTGTTAGTGACGGCGCGTGATCTGAGGAGCCTATGCAGATATGCATACCGACTTCTCCATCCCAGGCGCGTCGGTTGAGAGACAAAAGGTCCCCTAGTGCAGTCTCCAGTCAGCTGAGTACACGAGGAAGCACCAGAACAGCTATTTAGCCTGCCGCACAAGCTTTGGTCCGGAGGCGCATACGTTTTCGTGAGCGGTCCATGGTGGACGGCTCGGCAGTAGACAGCTTGAGGAGACCGTGGCGAGCGGATGGCTACATTCGGGGACTGGTCGAGATATGTGCCGCTGCTAAGGTATGAGAGGGCCGCGATGGTACAAAAGATTCGGCGTTTCGGCCTCGGTCGGCATCGGACTGCAGCGTGGCTTGACTGCCGTGATAACAGGCGGTCCTGCAAGTCGCCTATAACTTGGCAGGGCGTGTGGTGCGGTGCGTGGGCGTTGTCGGGAGCAGCACGAGACCGCGGGTTTCTGGTCGAGAGAGGGGCAAGCGCCAGGAATAGTGGCGGCAGGCTATGGCAGATCGAAGCTGCTAGGTTGCGGCATGGGCGCGTCTTGCAGAAAGGGCGCTGCTGATGGGCCAGAGACGTCGAGATTGAGGGTCAGGCATGGGCTGAGTGAGTGTCGCAAGAGAGGAGAGCACCGCCAGTGACCCGTTGAAGATTGGGGCTCAAGTTGATGATGCACGCAACGGGAAAGCCCAACCCGCAGACGCCTCTAGCCCGTTTGGCCGCTCCTCCTGCAGTTTGTGCATGTGGGGCCCGCTGGTCTGGCTCTAAGCTGTCCGGGTTTCGCTATCACAGCATGTGCCTCTCGACCTTGGGAGCATACAGCTCGTCAGCGTCGTGGTTCTTGAGGCAGGCCTGCACGGTTGACTCTCGGATTTACTGGGACATGTTGGTGCAGTGGTGAATTGAATGCATCGCCAAGTCCTTCAAGTTGCTTCAGACTACCCAATGAGCCTGAAAATAGCACCCGATCCAACGATGAAGCTGCACAGTTGGACGTTCGAAGTAGACTGACAGCCTCGAATCTCCCTGATTGATTACCTGAGGTAGATATGGTGACGAGCCCGATATGATGCGCCTTGCACACGGGCCGCCCAGATGAAGCGCGTCACCATAACACTGGGAGAGTGCATGAGATCAGAAGCGGCTGTCCAGGCCGCTTGTACATCAACCATGGCGCTGATTTGAACATGATGGATATCGTGCCTCATACGCTCCCTGACGCTGCTGGCCGTCTCAGCAGCCACCACGCCACCACCTGGGCATTTGACGGCCATTGGTAGGAGCCGTCGTGCTGGGAGCAGAACCCCACTGCCGCCGACCTTGCAAGTCATCCCATTGCATTGCTGCCCTTCCATCACCACACTTGGGCGTGGCCTTGGGCCCCCACACCATCATCGATCCGCCATCGACTCCCACCCAATGGTGCGAGGCTGGCGCTTCCGCCAAAAGTTGCGACACGCGCGACCTCCTGCGTGCTGCTCAGGTCTTCCAGAGCAAGACTTGATCTCTCGAGCTCACACAGGCTGTGCCCATCTCGCATCGGCTCTTGCAAAGCCCACCCGCGCATCGTAGCTGCAACGCGTTCGCGAAGTCCAGCAACTCGCTCGTTTGCCGAGATCGCTGGCAGACGCTTTGCGGTGTGCTTCCCAAGCCACTTCTCTGGCTGTCATCCCCACTCGCCTCCACCTTCCCTGCAGCGGATCCAGATTGCCCGACTGCATCGCAGCACGAGCCGCGAATCACGGGACTTTCACCAGGACCGCTCTTCATCACGAGCACCCGATTGCACCATGACCGACTCCTCCTCGAAGCGTTCGTCGCCCGAACGGGCCGGCCTCGAAGACCCCGATACTGCCGCCACGCGCAAGGAGCTCAAGCAGACTGCGATTTCCGACAAACAAAACAGCTTGCCGGCCCCCGTGGATACGCCGTCCGCCGCCTCTGCAGCAACCAAGGATGGCGACGACGAACAGGCAGCCGCTACGACCCCTGAGCTTTCTGCCGCCGAGCCTGGAATTGATCGATTGAAAGAACAAGTCTCGTCCCCAAAGAAGAAGCGGGCTCATGACGAGGTTGACGAAACCCAGGGCTCGAATCAGACCGCCAACGGTGATGTCTCTCCGCTGGCAGGAAGCGACAATAGGAGTGATCGATCCGAGCCTGAGAAGAAGCGGCCTCGCGACGTGTCAAGCGAGGTAAAGGGCCAAACAACAGAGGCAACAGTAAGGAGTAGCTGCAGTTGTCAATTCGCCATGCCGCCCGACTGTGCTAATATTTCTGTTCTCCAGACGAGCGCATCCAAGGACACGGACGAAACAGAGAAGTCCTCCGAGGGAGACAAGAAAAAGACAACACAAACAACAGCGTCAGCCTTCAGCAGCTCCGGGCTCTCTGCCTTTGCAACCACGTCCTCGCCATTCTCAGCCACTAGCAGCAAGCCTCTGTCCTCGTTCTCCAGCGGAACTGCTTCAGCTTCTCCTTTCAAAACAATGGGATCCTCCTCATCTTCGGTCTTTGGCGGCAGCTCTCTGTCCAGCGGCTCATCTCCCTTCGGCCAAGCCAGTGCTGCGTCGAAGCCATTCGGCAGTAGCTCCATTGGTAGCGGGTTCGGTAGTTCCTTTGGCGGAGCAAAACTCACTTCATTCGGCAAGGCTGGCGAGGCATTTAAGAGCACTAAACCGGCTAAAGCATTCGGCGCCCCAGAAAGCGACGCCGAGTCGGACAATGAGGATGAACCTGATGAGGATGCAGACGAACCAAAAGAGACGTCCGAGGAGAAGAAAGCAGAAGAGGACGAGAAGAAGAAGGTCAAGTTGCATAAAGGTTAGTTGTCTTCCCACTGAAAAGTTTTAATAGCGCCAAATACTGACGTAGATGGCAGTGGTTGTCGACGACGGAGAGACAGGCGAGGCTACGATCTTGTCAGTTCGCGCGAAGATCTACTACCTTGACAAGCTCAGCAAGGCTTGGAAGGAGAGAGGGGCTGGAAACCTCAAGATCAACGTACCACTTCAATGCGTCGATATCGACGAGGACACTGGAGCGGCTCTTCCTGGCAGTTTCGATGCGTCTAGCCTAGAGGACGGCGATGCCAAGATCGTACGACTTGTTATGCGGCAAGACTCCACGCACCGCGTCATTCTGAATACGGCAATCTTCCCAGCGATGAAGTTCAGCGAGAAGGCGGGGCTGAAGTCAGTAGCCATATCCTTTACTGCGCTTGAGGGTAACGCGGAGCCTGTCAGCATACAATTGAAGGTAAGCTTCCTTCATGACCCGGTTCCTTGTCACTGTAGTACCTAACGAAGTTCTCAGCTGAACGCCGTCAACGCCAAATCCTTTTTAAACGAAGTCGCGAAAGTCCAGCGGGAATTACAATCTGCATAGAAGCACGGGCGACTTTCATGAGGGCCCCCGCACTGCCGTGGCCGTTGGTTGATAATTAGCCTGTTCCAACCCATGACAACCAGACCGGGGGCTCAGGTATCGCGGCTCGAGGCATGACTAGTGCCAAACCATTGTCCTGCCTTCTTCGCTCCAAGTAAAGCGCCAAATTTGGTATTCCATTGGACCAAGGCAGATTCGAACGGTATGGTGTATTTGGGTCCTTGTCACTGTCAGTCTCCTTCCTCGTAACCAATAACTCACATGTCCCTGCAAAGACGACGGTGCAGCCGCGCAGTGTCACTGTGCAATTGTAGAGATCCTTGTAGAGGACTTCAACGACGAGCCGGGGGATCGAGACTCTTCACCAAACGGAAGACACTTCGGCGTGGCAAGGGTCTGGTCACTTTGGTATGCGGGGTCCAATTCGAAATGGTCCTGCTTGAATTGGATGAATAGATCGTCTCCTACGAGCGTGGCATCAGCGATGCCTATGGCCAGTTCTCTAGATAGCATCGCACCCAGCAACGTATAATTGATGTAATGCCACATCCGAGGTGGAGCGGACAGCACCGCCCAACGACTCCAGACGTTCGTGTGAGGTGTCTTCGCGTCCTTGCGATGTGAACTGTTGGCTTCACAGGGCAGAATATGCCTTGTCATCTGTGTTCCGAGCCCGACTCTCCAGACTAGCCAAAAGCGAGCACTTTCATGCGGCGTCACCCTTGCCTCAAAAAAGAGCGAGCGGTGCCACTTAATTGCCTTTGACTAAACGTGAAACAGGCAGGCCAGAAGCCCGCCTATTGACCAGGGTACACGATCTCGCCAGTGGCTGACCACGCAATAATCGTCGGCCCAGCAGCCCGAGACCCCTTGCCCCTGCCAGCCCAGCGAGTCTCTGCCAGTCGGTCCGGCCCCACGCAGATGTGATGCAGGTGCCAATAATACCACCACGCGGGCAGGCGCCTCGAGGCCAGGCCCAACCTGCTGGCCGAGGTCGCTTTGAGGCCACTCTCACAAGCCCCCTGTTGCACCGCGAGGTCGAGAACCCCAAGAGGGAGGAGAGGACAAGGCAGTCGTTTGTCTTGGTCATCAGGGTACTGCCTGTACTGCACCTCGTCCTGTCCAGCTTTCGTCCCATGCACCAAGAAGCAGGTGCTTCTGGCATGGTAGGGTGTTGCGCTATGCACCAAACTGCCCCGGCCTTGCATCCTGCCGTTTGAAGCGGCACGGCTTTTAAGAGACAATCTTCCCGTCTCCTCCCGCTTCCCTCAATCTGCCAGACACAGCGACGGCAATACGTGCATTCAGAACGCCTTTTTGCTTGCACAGCATTCCCCGCGACTATAGGTCCAGTCCCGGTGTCAGCCAACGGACCGCACCAACAACCTCCCTGCGACTGGTCCGATGCTGCACGCATCGGGAGCCGCACGGGCTTGCAGCTGAGAGGAGAACCCCCCAGAGTCCCTGTGAGCTGAAACTGCGCGCAGAAGCCACGCAGGCAGGCGAGGAGCTGGGCTGAAAACGATGACGGCCGCGCTAGAGCCACGGCGCCGCGCACACCGGCCGAAAGTCAAGACTGGGTGAGTTGCGACATCCATTTTCCTCACGTCCCGATGCCTATATTACGCTACAGATATATCGTGGGCTCCTTTTTTTTTTCTTGGTCTCGTTAGACGCCTCACGAGCCATGCCTTTCACCAATGTCTCTACCCACCTACCCACTGGGGGTGGGCCGTCCTGGTGGACGCCTGGGAAGGAGAGTCCAGTGCTAACCCACTCCTGCACCCTCTTCCTACAGCTGTATCTGCTGCAAACGCCGTCATATTCGATGCGGAGAGGAACGACCGAAATGCCTGCGCTGCCAGATCGCCGGCCTCAAATGCGACTATGTCCTGAATGCGCGACCACAGGCAGGGTCCGCGTCTGCCTCGCCCCCTTCATCATCCAAGAGCGACTCGCCGCCTAGTGAAGACCTGGCCGTCCAGCCGCCCAGCCCTGGCGATGTGGTCCGCTGCGAGTCACCAGACCCAACGTTCACCCTCGCTCCTGCGCTGCCATCAAACGTGCCGACCGGGGCCAGGGTGCGCGGGGGCGGCTTGACTCAGGCGGAGTCGCTGTACTTTGAGAACTTCCAGATCCGCATGGCAGAGAACCTGTCTCGCTGTGGGCTGGCAGACTTCTGGTATCGGACAATCCTCCGCGAGGCGGACGCTGACGACTGCGTGTTCCACTGCATCGTGGGCATTGGTGCATTGGGCCGCGTATATGAGAACAAGGACGGCCGGGTGCCATCACCGACCATCACCTCCTTCCTCGGTCTGCCTTCTGCGCCGCAAGGGTCGATGGTTTGGAAGGATCTCGCGCCTGCCATCAAGCAGTACTCACGCGCCATCTCGTCGTTCCGAGACCGCCTGACGGAGCCGATTCGCACAATACCATGTCGGACCATCATGCTGGTCACCATCCTGCTCATTGTCTACGAAATGTTGCAGGGGAATGCGAGGGCTGTGGACCGGCTCGTCGCCACGGCGCTGGTGACCTTGAAGGAAAAGATGAGTGCCAGCAAGATTAATGATTTGCACGTGCTGCTGGACCGGTCGAGACTCGACGATGAAGGCGTGGTAGAGGCGATCTACCTCATACCGCGGATAGCGGCCATGCGCATGTCCATGTGCCCGTCCACGCTAGACTTCTCTTGCGAGTGGTTGCTCAAGATGGGCACACACCCCATGAGTCTGAAGGCTTCAATGCCTCCGTCGAATCTTGAGCTTGAAAACTTTGAGTAAGCCTTGCTGGTGTTTTCTCCATTTAGTGCGGGAGGGCAAGGCCTATACTCAGCACGACCATTGTCTCATCTCGAAGCGGATCTAATCATCTTCTCTTTTCTAGGCACTCTTGGAACCACTTCCTCAGTCTCGCGACTGTCTGGTACAACCACACCCATCACGGCATTGCCGACGTGTTGGCGCAGAACGATCGCGCCCTGATAGATAAATTGGAGACCCAGCAAGCCAGCATTCTTGCCCGCACCAACGAATGGCGCTCGTTCTTGCAAGCCCGCTTACTGCGTACTGAAGACCCGCTCCAGCGGGAGCATGAGCAGGTGTGCCTATTCGCTGCACGAGTGTCAAGTTTCCTTGTCATGACCGCGTTGGATCCGCTTGACCTCGTCTGGGACACTCTCGGTGACCGATGCTATGACGCGCTGAACCTGCTCGATAGGGCACTCAGCGAGATCCCCGATGCGCAGATGCCGACACCGTTGCTTGACGACAAGGTCGTCCCGATGCTACACTATATAACGCAGCACTGCCGCGACAAGGAGGTTCGCGAGAAAGGCTTGAAGTTGTTGGAGCGGTGTATCACGCGGACGAGTCCGTGGGACATACGAGGCTCGTTGCTGGGCATGCAGGCCTTCCTAGAAGTTGAGGAGGAAGGAAGGGATGAAAAGGGATATATATCGCCCAATGCGAGATACAAGTGGGTGTTGGCGCAGTGGAACGAGGAGCACACGGAGTACAGCCTGAAGATTCAAGGTTTGACGTCTTCGGACGAGAGGCTGCTCACGGTGACTACAGCGACGACGGAACCTGTGCCTTAGAATGTCCAGGTCTTTTGCTCGAAAAATACTATGAGGACGTTCACGATCTGTTGTAAATATGTTCATGAATTCCACCATAACAAGCTTATGATTTTGAGCCGCAAATATCTTTCGCTTTGACACAATGTAGCAGTTCTTCAACGGGTTTTACACACAGACAAATCAATTCGTTCTGGGCAAGCCATTGAGAGAAGTTCACACGATGGAGATTTGTGAGGCATGCAGAGGGATAATTGTTTCGTTTGTGAACACGGCTGGGTCTTTGATGTCAACCAGAATTCGGACACCAGCACCGTGACACGGGGTGTCCCAAAAGTACTTGGGCATTGAACTGTGCTGCGTAAATTGGCTGCTCAAGTCACGGGACCACGCGCCGGTGTCTTGTCCTAAATGTGCGGACGGGACAGCCCCAAGCGCGCTGGGACAAGGGGCCAAGTCCCTGACGTCAGTGACCACTGCTCAAGTCGCAAACTAGCAAATGTTCACAACTCTGGTACCAGGATATGGATCACGCTGAACCAGGTGGAAACGGGCCAAGATGCCTACCCTGCGAGCCGCTACGGTCTCCAACCAACTGATCAAACGAAAGCGCAAAAGAAGGACCCAGGACCAAGCAAGTCCTGAGAATGAAAGCCACGACGATCCTCAAGCGGCGAACTTGGTACAAAGTGATGGACAGCAAGGACTAGACGATGAAACTTCGCAGCAGGAAGGAGCATCACAGATCAATAAGAATGCGGATGTGTCGCTCGCCGACCGCGGCATTTCCCAGCACAAAAGGACGAGAGGTTCCATTGCGAAAAGCTCCACCCCGGTATGCCTGATAGAATGGCCGCCATACTTCAAGGAGCTCGCCAAGACCCATGGGGCGCTGAACTTGGTGTCAACATTCTGCTCGACACGCAAACACATTGCCACGACGTTTGACACGATCAAGGCAGCCGTTGAGACGCAAACCAAGCGGAAGCTGACGATCGAGGATGTCGCTGCCATTAAAGCTCTGCGGTCGGACGGCATTACGTTCGCATACGTGGACGAGGTCATGCTGCAGATGGAGGTCAAGGGCGCTGAGAGGGACAGCACGTTCAAGTCTGGCCGTGCGAAGGATTTTCGGTCGCAAGGTCCGGCGGCGGATGCGTCTGTTGGTGGCCTGACTGGGCTCGACGAGATTGGGCGGTACCATCCAGACGAGGTGCCCTTTGAAGGAGGCAGACAGGTGCTGTTTTTTGAGTTTGTCGACGGCGATCTGAAGAGGCAGGTGCAGAATAAGAAGACAGGCGAGGCGACAAATCCACACCGCAAGCTCCGCAACGAGGACGTGAAGATGCCCGTCTTCAGCCAGAAGCAGCTGACCACGCTAATCGGCAAGCGCAACCAGAAGTTCAACGACGCCATCGTGGAGTTTTTGAACAAATGCGTCGAGGACCACGTGGACCCGGAGATGGTGCTCAAGCAGGAGGCGCTCACCTATGTGCCCGTGCCGCCAGATTCTGAGCCGACAACGCCGAGACCTGTGCAAAGCACTATCCCCAAGACGATACCCACGGAGCGCAAGGATATCCCAGAGATTGTCCAAGAGCTAAAAGACAGCCCCTGGTACACAGGGCAGATCGTGCCCGACGGGCATCGCGTCTTCGAGGCACAAGAGCCGGTATACGGCGAGCTCGATTTTCTCCTGAGCCAGGACATGGTGAATGCGCTATTCAATGCAAAGAACATCACGCAGTTCTACGCACACCAGACTGAGGCTATCAACAGCTTACATGCCGGCCGGAACGTGGTTGTCGCTACATCGACGAGCTCGGGAAAGTCGCTCATCTATCAGCTCCCTGTGCTACATGCCCTGGAGCAAGATCACAACACCCGAGCCATGTATATCTTCCCAACAAAGGCTTTGGCGCAGGATCAGAAGAGAAGCTTGAGAGAGATGCTATCTTATATGCCAGGTCTGGAAAACATGCTGGTTGAGACTTTCGATGGCGATACTCCATTTTCCGAGAGAAACATGATTCGAGAAGAGGCACGAATTATCTTCACGAATCCGGACATGCTACATATCACGATCCTGCCACAGGAAGATCGATGGCGCTCTTTTCTGAAGAACTTGCGCTATGTCGTCGGTACGTATTCGTCCCAACTTATTATCTGCCGTGCTTGCCTACTCACATTCGTCTCCAAACAGTGGACGAACTGCACTATTACAATGGCCTTATGGGATCGCACGTCGCCTTTATCATGCGTCGACTACGCCGAATTTGTGCGGCATTGGGCAACCGCAAAGTCAGGTTTATTTCCTGCTCTGCGACTGTCGCCAACCCGGAGCAACACTTCAAGACCATCTTTGGCCTGGACAATGTTCATCTCATAGACTTCGATGGATCGCCGTCTGGGCGCAAGGAGTTCCTGTGCTGGAACACGCCGTTCAAAGACGCTAAAGATCCCTCAAGCGGCCGAGGGAATGCCCTGGCCGAGTGCGCACGGCTATTCTGCGCACTGATCCTTCGTGGCGTCCGTGTCATTGTCTTCTGCCGTGTCAGAAAGCAATGCGAGGAGCTTGTCACCGCAGCCAAGTTCGAGCTGGAGACTCTAGGGCGCCCGGAATGCATGGCTCGCATCATGGGCTATAGAGGTGGTTACACTGCGCAAGACCGGCGACGGATCGAAAGCGAGATGTTTGAAGGCAAGCTCATCGGGATCATCGCCACGACGGCGCTGGAGCTGGGAGTCGATATTGGCACGCTAGACTGTGTGCTTACGTTGGGATTTCCATACACAATTGCGAACCTGCGGCAACAGAGTGGTAGAGCGGGACGAAGAAATCGCGACTCGCTTTCTATTCTTGTCGGCGACTGCTTCCCAACTGATCAGCACTACATGCAGAACCCGGACGAACTCTTCACAAAACCGAACTGTGAGCTTCAAGTAGATCTGGAGAACATGCTGGTCCTCGAGGGTCACATCCAATGTGCCGCGTTCGAGATGCCGATCAATCCCGTCGAGGATGCGAAGTACTTTAGCAAAGATCTGGGCAAGATTGCCGAAGAGAGACTGATCAAAGACGACTTGGGGTTCTACCACTGCCACGACCGGTTCCGGCCGAAACCATCGGATATGGTTGCCATCAGGGACACGGAGGACGACCACTTTGCGATTGTCGACATATCTCACGGCAGAAATGTTGTCCTCGAAGAGCTGGAGGCTTCAAGGGCGTTCTTCACACTTTACGACGGGGCCATATTTCTACACCAGGGAAACTCCTATCTGGTACGAGACTTCAAGCCCGACCAGCAGATTGCCAAAGTTGAGAAGGTCAAGGTCGAGTGGACAACACAGCAGCGCGACTTCACCGACATTGACCCCGTAGAGACAGAAGCCATCCGCAAGATCCCTGGGTCCATGTCCCGAGCATTCCACGGCGCGATTCGCGTCACGCAGAATGTCTTTGGTTACTTCAAAGTGGACAAGCGCCGACGGATCCTGGACGCGGTCGAGGTGGATAATCCGCCCATCATCCGCAACAGTAAAGGAATGTGGCTCGACGTGCCGAAGAGGGCTCTGGACATTCTGGTCGAGAGGCGGCTCAACGTCGCCGGCGCCATCCACGCAGCCGAGCATGCAATCCTTAGCCTCATGCCCAACTACGTGATCAGCATGCCAGGAGACGTGCGGACAGAGTGCAAGCTGGGCATGAAGGAGTTCGCACAGAAAGAGACCACCCGCAAGCGGCCTGCGAGGTTGACATTCTACGACGCCAAAGGCGGTGCCGGCGGGTCGGGGATCAGCACAAAGGCCTTTGAGTTTATCGACCTATTGCTCGTGCAGGCCGTCAAGCGCGTCGAGTGCTGCTACTGCGAGTCCGGGTGCCCGGAGTGCGTGTGCTCCGACCTGTGCAAGCATGCCAACGAGGTCATGAGCAAGGCGGGCAGCATGGTCATCCTCAAGACGTTGCTCAACATGCACATTGATGTCGAGGCTCTGCCGATGGGCCCGGAGGAAAACAGCCCAGCTGGCATTGAGACTGTCGTGCTTGCCAAGACGGTGCCCTCCAAAGGCAGGATTTTGATTGATGATGTTGAGGTCAAGGTGGAGGACACGGAAGAAGGCGTTCCTGACACTGCAGGCGGCTTCCTGGCAATGAGATGATGAATATAATGCATGATGATGTAGGATATGATTAGCGTCACGCATGCACAGGGAGACACTGCGCCATGTGTTGCCTATCTGTCCAAGTCAATAAACGAACCTCCGGTTGATACTACTTGCCTCCTCCTCGAGGCAGTCCGCCTTCGCACTTGGTCGCACCATTAGCTCGCCTTGCCCAGGACCCCCCTGGCGATTTTCCACGCGCACTTTCCGGGCTTCCGTATTTTATCACAGACGAGGAACTTATGTGGATCGATTGGGAGGGCTTAGGGTTTCCACAAGCCGAATTTGTTTCGTTTGGTAAAAACCTCACGAATCTGTGACATCTGTATTGTTTGTGTGTGTGTTTCCTGTGGCAGTAGAACATGGGCTGTATTGTTCTCTCTTTCTCCTTCTCTGGAGGAAGAAGCATTGCGAGCACAAAATGAGCCAAATGATGGCAGTTGCAGCGTACTGTATAGAAGCTATGATTGAACACGTACTGCCATCGGCCTCTAGAACGCCACAAAAATATCAGGTGAAGCTTATGTCGCTGATATCCCATGCAACAGAACGCCATAGAGCGAGCCCGAAGTATTTGGTGAACACTGGGTATAAATATTTTCTTGACAGTCTAATGAACGATACAGCACGCTGAAGACGTCGAAACAAAAAAGAAGAACCCAAGGGCTGGTCTATCCAAATAGGAAACGCCCGAGGCTTATATACAAATAACGCGACACCCGCTCGTCGACTGCTGACCCGGCAGTCATCCTTACGCGCAACCCAGTGGCTTGGCACAGAAGCCCGAGAAGTACAAGTTGAGCGCGTCCACGGTCGCCCGGCCGGGCTTCAGGCAGACGCTGGCGCCGACATAGCCGTCCGGCCGGACGACCACGACAACTCCGCCATCAGCTAGGTCTTGCACGCCGAGCTTGGTGTGCGCCGCGAAGCGTCCCCTGGACAGCCTCCGGTCGTCGACGTCGTCGGCGTAGACGTGGTCCCGATACCGCGCGAGCAAGGGCGGGAGCATTTTGACAGGGTCGACGTCGCCGTGCTGGGCGGCGAGGATGGTGCAAAAGGTGAAGTGCCTGCTGTGCGGGTTGTGCCGCTCGTGGTACGAGACGCTCTCGATGTCGTCCCGCAGATACTCGGCAAGGTAGGAACCCTTGGCCATGCTGTATGTGGCGAGATCTTGCAGCGCCGTGGCCGTCGTCGGCAACGACGGGTTGCCCGCGAAGATGTATATCCGGAACGCGCCGTTCTCGGGGATCTCCTGCTCCAGCGCGACCACGTTGGCGTCCGCCACGCGCGTCACGTCGGCCGTCATCATCAGGTTTCCTGGCTGCAACTTGACATTGCGAGGGCAGAGGAGCTCCGATCCGGGGATGGACGACGACGACTCAGACAAGCCGGACCAGTTGATCTGGTTGGGGCCATACTTGACGCCGTAGCCGCTGGTAAAGGCACAGGATGCCTTGAAGGTCTCCACAAAGTCGTTGACGTGCTCGGTGTTACTTCCATCTGTCTTGCTGCCGCTGCCACTGGTGCCCATTGCAGAGGCCGGTGGCGCTTTTTGGGAGAACAGCTTGGCGTACTTGTTGTCGAATGAGAGGAGATCCTCGGCCACTGCCTTCCGCTCAGTCTCATATGTCTTGAGGATTTCCCGGGATGCAAAGCCAGACTCGACTGCGTGGATCTTCCAGGCCAGGTTCTGCGCGTCGAGGAACGCCGTGTTCATTCCCTGACCAGCTTTGGGCTGCATTGAGAATCTTTGTTAGCTTCGGAACTGGAAGTTGTGGGCTTTCTCCCTCGAATTGCAATGGCAGAATTCGTTCAAAACACCGAGACGTACACTGTGAGTATGGCATGCATCGCCACCAAGGAACACTCGCTGGTCGAGCGTGTAGTTGGCAGCGATACCCTGACCGATCGGGTATACAGAGAACCAGTCGACGTTCTCCCAGGTGATGGAGTAAGGCCGCAGAATCTCCTTGGCTATCTGCTGCACCTCTTCCTCGGTTGCGCCCTTGCGCGGATCGAAATCTGGATCGGCCGACGACGCAATGCGCACATACAGGCGGACCATGTTGTTTTCTCTGGGGATGACCATGATGGAGCCACGGTTGGAGTGAATGGTGCATTTCATCTGTGTGTCATTGCAGGGCATGTTAGTGCGTGCTGGTTATGCTTGCATGAAGAGAATCCAGAAGCGGGAATCAGCATACCTTGATGCTAGGAAAGTCTGTCTGCACAACACCATCCATGACAGCCCATACGTAGGAGATGGGATCCTTGTAAGTAACGGGGATCCCCAGGGCCTGGCGAATGCCGGAGCGGGCGCCCTCTCCACTGAAGAGGTACTTTGCATACAGTTTCTGCTGGAAGAGACCGTCTTCGCGCTCGAGGAGGACCTCGACGGGGTGCTCTGGGTGCTCACCGGTCGTCTTGAAGTCCTTGATGGTCCAGGGCCGCTGCACAGAGACGCCCGACTTTGCCAGGTCGTCGATAAAGACGCGCTCAATGAGGCCCTGGTGGAGGAGGGTGGTAAAGGGGTACCGGGCCTGGAGGAAGGACGGGCAGCTGGGCCACGCGCCGGTCTTGACGATGCTGTCGCTCCCGTCGGGCGAGGGCTCCCAGAAGGCGACCTCGTACACCTTGGCCGGGTCGTGGGTCATGATGGGAGCCATGAGGCCCATGTTCTGCAGAAGGTCCATGGATCGTGGCTGGATGCCGTCGGCGCGGCCGCGTGGGGTGGGCTCGGCACGGTTGTCAATATGCTTGATTTTGTAGCCCAGGCGGGCGAGGAGGGTCGAGAGCATGAGCCCGACGGGGCCCGCGCCAACAATGACTGTGTTGTAGTCAGTATTGTCCGCTCGAAAGCATCTATATTGTTTCTGGCCGGGGCCTACACATACCAATGTCATAGAAGGTGGCTGCTGGGCGCTCCATCTTGCCCGTGGGGATCGGCATGGTTTAGAGCCTGTAGTCGTAATCAGACCGTCGACGGGGTAAGGCTGTTTATTTTTTTCCTGCGCTTACACGCTCAACCGACTAGGTTCGCCACGAATATGTGCAAGTGAGTCCAAAAGGGAGCTGGATGGAGGACAGGGCGAGCTTGAAGTCCATTGACAAGATCTTGGGGAGGACAGCGGACAGACGCCGATATTTGAATCGGCCGACCCGAGTGGAGGGACGAGGCTGGCCTATGACGACCCCAACTGGACCGGTGCCGTCCCGAACTGCCATTGTGGCCGTGGTGGAGCCCTTGATGAGACAGACGGGGTCCAGAGTCCAGACTGCTGGAAACGCCTAGTTCACCAGAAGGTGACATGCGGAGAATAGATGAGGCCCTGGTCATGTGGCTGGCCAATGGGAAGGAGAAGGATAGCTCCCGGGGCGCCGGCAGCACAATCGGCAGGCGTTGGGTGGTGTCTGGCTGAGCCGAGAATGGTAGCCGGACTCACGATCCTGGCGGTGGCTGGCCAGATCGGTGGGGCCGGAATCTGAGGGGGAGGACGCTGGGCGGAGCGGCATGGGGGAACGGCTCCCTGCTGTGGGGGTGGTGTGGGGCCGGTCATGGTGTATGTTGTGCTCTGCATCGCTCCTGCCCTTGAAGGCACGCCACGATAAACGGACTGCGCATCTTGTAAACCTCAGAGGGCCGGCAGCAGTCGACTCGATGTGACCTATATCGAGAGTCGTCCAAGGGATGGAGGAGGGAGAGCCGCTCCCATGCAGCGCCGGACATGTCACCAGAAGTCACCTCAACATGCGGAGTAGTGTAGTCAAGAGCGGCATTCGTCAATTCGATCTATTTCTCTTTGGACTCACTGCCCGCCTGCTCCGTTTGGTCACAGGTCGTACGTGATGTTCTTTGCCCTCGTCCACTCGTCAAAGCCCGCATTGAAGCGCCCGTAGCCGCTCGACTTTGCGCCGCCGTGAGGCAGTGCTGCCTCGTCCTGCACCGTCATCCGGTTGATGTGCACCGCGCCCGCCTCGATCCGCCGCGCTAGCCGCAGCGCCCGCCGCAGGTCCCGCGAGAAGACGGCCGCGCTCAGCCCGTACTCGCCCTCGTTGGCCAGCCGCAGTGCCTCGGCGTCGCTGTCAAACCCAATCACTGACATGCTCGGCCCAAACGACTCGGCCAGGTACATATCCATGCCAGGCTGCACACCTGCGACAACCAGTGGCCGCAGTGCCGTCCTGAGCTCGCCACCAGCACCGTCACCAAGCCGGCCGTGGACCAGCCTCGCTCCTTTGCTCGTGGCATCGCGGACGAGCTCCTTGTTCTTGACGACGGCCGCTGCGTTGATGAGCACTGGCGGGTCCTGATCCAGCGGGAAAAGCTTGTCCACGGCTCGCCTCAGCTCGGCTTCAAATGCTTCCTGGATGTTCTGGTGCACCAGAACCTTCTCGGTACTCATGCATATCTGTCCCGCGTTGAGGAACCCACCAAGCACGCACTGCTCTGCGGCCAGCGTCAGGTCCGCATCCTCGCACACAATGGCGGGCGCCTTACCGCCCAGCTCGAGAAGGACCGGCTTGAGATGCTGCCCGGCCAGCTTGCCGATGATGCGGCCAACGGCGGTGCTCCCAGTAAAGTTGATCTTCTTCACCGCCGGGGCGCCAATGACGGCCTCGGCCACCCCGGGGGCATTGGCCGGGCTGCACGCCAGGTAGTTGAGGACCCCTGCCGGTACACCAGCTTCCTCGAGCACCGAGCAAACGGCCCAGAGGCAGCGCGGGCTAAGCTCAGAGCCCTTGAACACGACCGTATTGCCCGCGGCCACAGGGCCCACGACAGCACGGAATCCGAGAGCATAAGGTGCGTTCCTATGTGATAGGACATGCACGAGCCAGGAGTCAGCTCTTACTTCCCAGAGATAAAGGTGCCTGATCTCCACACGGGGTTTAAGTCGCAAACTTACCACGGTGCCATGGCAAATATGACGCCGTAGGGCTCTCGCAGCACCAGCCCGCCCACCGAAGGGTCATTCAACCCCGGAATCCGGCCCTCCAACGTGCCAATCCGGCTGGCGGTGCCCAGGAGGCAGTCTTTGGCCAGGGCAATGTTGATAGAGCTCCAGGCGTCCCCGGCACCGCACTCGCTTTGCATGTAGCCCTTGAGTTCTTCGGCGCGCCCTTCGAGGATCACGGCCGCCCGCAGGAGGATGTCTCGCCTCTGCGCAAGCGTCGTGGCGCTCCACGAGTCGAGCGCTGCGCTGGCCGCGTCTACAGCCCGCAGTGCATCGGCAGGAGCGGCGTCGGAGCAACGCCATACGGTCTTGCCTGTTGCCGGGGATGTGACGAGAAACGTGCTGGGCAGGATCTCGCTCGTGCCGTTGGTGACCAAGGGGACGACAAAGATGTCGTCACCTTGTTGTTGGGCCGCGGCATCGCGTATATCGCCCATTTTCCTGCTAAAGGATCTTGTGGTTTTCGTGCGTGTTGGATGGATGGATCGACTGATTCGGCGGGTGAGTTGACTGGGAATTTTTCTTTGTCAATGAAGCAGAGGGAGCGGAAATCCAGGACATCCTCGATGTCGTTGCAATAATCGTCCTCGTCCTCCGTGACCCTCCCTTAATTCCGTGCCATGAAGACCCAGTGCTGTCCAAAACGCCTGCCGAGCCCCGAGCCCGAATCTACTTCATGCCGGCCGGCAAATCCAAGCGGGAAAGTCATCACTACGGCCCCAGTCTTGCGGAAAAGCCCCGCCCCCATTTGTTTCTCCATTTGGTGTGTACCATTGATGCGGTAGCTGTGCTCGGCTCTTCCGCAGTCTCGCGAGCCTAGCGGGCCGTGATGAAAAGTGGTGACGATGCGGGGGGTCCGGATAGGTTTTTCATGAGAGATCCTCATTCGTTCGTGGTGGGCCGGGTTCTCCGCACGAGCAGCTCCAATTGCTCCTACCCCACTTTTGTGTGGCCTCTCTCTTTCGGCTACTACCCGAATCTCCACTTGTGCTCCCCACGTCCCACGGGAACTCCCGTTTTGGGGTAAAGGAAGGGAAAGGTCGAGCTCGTTTGGTTTGGAAGGGAACACCAGTCAGGGAGTCCGACGTCTGGCTGGCCACACTCATTGCTGAAGGGATCTCTGTTGAACGAGCTGCCACCCATGCGTGTTACTAAGCAAAGATGAGGTAAGATGCAGTAGCGCAGTGACAGTGATGGTGATGGTCTCAGTGCGAGCAGAGCACAAAGAATTAAGTAGAACAACAGATCCCCGGGCAATTATGTTCTGCTCTATTCCCTCTTCTATGGACGACACGAACATGGTCGAACCCAAGCTGCTCCCTCATCCAAAGACACAATCTCTAAAGTAAATATCCAAACGCGCACGGCAGCTACAGATTGTCTCTTCTTCTTCTTCTTCTTCTTCTTCTTCTTCTTCTTCTTCGTCACCAGTCGTCAGTCATCATCGTCCTACAGGATCGCCACGTCAATGACCGCCGAGGTCCCGCTCTCCACCGACTCGACCGCGCCCGCCAGCGCGGCCTTGAACTTTGCCGCCGTGTCGACCCTCGCGGCGTAGATGTGCCCGTCGCTCGCGGCCCGCGCGATCTCCGAGTAGTTGGGGGCTGGGTCGAACGAGATGTTGAGCTCCCGGTTCGTGGCTCTGGAGGCCGGGCCGTCTGGGTGTACGAGCAGCATGGACCGGCGGGGGGCATTCCAGCCTGGGGTGGAGAGATTGGATTCACGTTAGTTTGATGTCGTTGTTATTATGACCTTTCAAGAGGAAAGGAGAAAAAAAAAAAGAAAACAAAGAGAAAAGAAACTGGACCAACATACCTTTGTTGTTGAGCACAATCGTGATGATTGGAATGCCGTAGCGCTGCGAGATCCAGTACACGCTGGACGGGAAGCTGAAGAGATAACTACCGTCGCCCACAATCTGCACAACAAAGCGTGGCTTCTTGGGCTTGCTTGCCCCCTGAACCCCGTTCCCACCATTGACACCATTCACGCCGTTGACACCGTTGACGGCCGCCGCCGACGCCGCATCCACCGCGTCGGCAGCGAGCTTGATGCCCAGCGCGCCGCCTCCGCTCCAGCCCAGGCCGCCGCCGCCGCAGTTGATAAAGGTGCCCGGCAGGGTGGTCCGGAGCTGCTCGTGCGCAATGGCAAAGTTTGTGACGGCCTCGATGGCGTAGATGGTGTCGCGGGGCAGGCTCTCGCGGATGGTCGCGCACACGTAGGCCGAGCTGGGCCGGCCGCCGCCGTCCGCACCCACCGCCGCCTTGGCGTCGAGGTCCCTGATGAAGGCGGCGTGGGCGGCCTCGAGGGCTGCCCGGCGCTGCGCGAACGACTCGGCGCCCAGACGGGCCTGGATGGACGGCTCGGCGGTCCGCAGGTGGTCTGCGATCTGGGCCAGGGCCGTGTATGCGTCGACGCGGTACCGCAGCTCTGCGTCGATGTAGAAGACAGGCATGAGCTGCTTGAGGGGGTCGCAGTCGAGGTGGACGATGCGGCAGGTGGGCTGGGGCTTGCACAGCGTGTTGACCCAGGGCACGTCGCAGTGGACGACGAGGATGACGTCGGCCTCGCGGACGCTGTCGTCGACGCCGTAGCGCATGCTGAGCCACCCGGGCTCGTCGGCGGGGAAGCACATGTCGCTGCCCCCCGTGTCGAGCACCCGCAGCCCCGGCACCAGCCGCGCCAGGGACACCAGCACGCCGGGCACCCGGTGGTCCCGCCCGCTGTAGCCCGTCACCACCAGCGGGCGCTCCGCCCCGGCCAGCAGCTCGGCAATCTCGGCCACGCCGTCCGCGGGGAGCGCCGCGGGGCTCACGGGCCGCCACAGCTTCGGGTTGATGCTGTACGGCGTGATCTCCTCCTCCATGACCTCCCGCGCGCCCATCAGGTACACGGGGCCCCGGGGCTCGCTCGTCGCAAACTGGATCGCCCGGTGCACCATTTGCTTGACGTTCTTGCCCGTCTTGATCTCGCCGGTGTATCTGCAGTACTGCGCCACAATCTGCTTCTGGTCCGGGATATCCTGCATCCAGTGACTGCGGGTGGGGGCAAACGTGGGAAGGAAGCCACTGTCAGTCTTTTGCTTTTTCGAAATTCGCAACGCAATGTCACCTGCCTTTGAACAAAAGGGCTTTTTCTTTTCGAGAGAGCTGTGTGCACTTACATGAACTCGGTTCGCGAGCCCCTCATCTCGCCCTCGATCGTAAAAGGCGACAGGCCCGCAAAGATGAGCACGGGGGCCCGGCCGGTCGAGGCGTTGTGGATGGCGGCGCCCATGGCCGACGTGCCCACGTCGACGTGCACAATCACGCACTGCGGCTCGTTGGTCACCCGGGCGTAGCCGTCGGCCATGGACAGCGCCACCATCTCGCTCGGGCACGTGTATATCCGCGGGAACGTGTCTGGCTGTTCGGTCTGGCCCTTGATCATGGCCTCGAGGATGCTGGGGTGGTCGGACCCGAGGTTGACGAAGCAGTTCTTGACTCCGGCCTATAATTGGCGTAGAAAAGGTCAGACACGGACAAGAGTCGGCTTGGGCTTCAAGGTTGAGGTTCCATTCTCATCTCAATTCTCGTCATGTTCCCGACTGTGCCTTCTGGGGAAGCTCTTTTAGATACTGAGCGTGAGACTTGCTTACCTCGACCAGAGCCTCGAAGAAGGCGAACGAAGTTGTATACATGGTTAGGACCGAGTCAACGGACGGCGACAACGAACGCAACGAAGGAGCAAGTAAGAATTGGTGCAAGGCCCTGGACCAGGCGGTATTCTGGGACAGCCACGAGTTGAAAGAAATATGTCAGATTTGGAGGGAGAAGGATGCTGTAGTGCAGGGCAGATCTGGAGACATTGGCGGTTTTGGTCACGTCCTGTCACGGGAGATCATTGTACCCTCGGTCTTCTTTCTCCTCAGTGCCGGGCTGTCCCCGCATCGCTAGAAGAGAGGGGCATATGCTGTACTCTTTCGCGACTCTGTCGAGAATATGCGCCGAGACCATGTCTTTACGGGACAAGGAACCCAATTTGCCATCTGAGCTGTTTGCCCCATTGGCTCGTCGGGTACGAGCCGAACTCGAGCCGGCCGAAAGTGGAAGTTGGGGAAAAGGGTCCACCGCGGAGACGTCTTCTTGGTTGGGGTTTTTAGTGGAGACCCAAAAGGTGGGCAAGGGTAAGAGTCGGGAACTGACAACTACGGTTAAACACATGCTTGAAAGGGCAGCGTAGGGGATATGAACGCACAGAAAGAACAGGGAAGAGATAGAGGTTGGGATATCGAGAGGTACCATAGTGATGCCAGTGATGATTCAAAAAAATGGCCCGGAACGGTTCAGGTGCAATTCGGATGCAATTCAGGCTCGAAAAGACATTATGCTCCAATATTCCCTCTACCTAACCCCGTGCAAGTACATGAAGAGATAACAGAGAGCTTTGATTCTAGAACTACTATATCCCCTTGTATGAATTGTTTTAATCACCTCATTGTCCTCCATGCCCAAACCTTGCGGACTACTTTGTTGCTTGTCTGTGAAAGATTTTGCCAGGGTTCATCAACCACTTGGGATCAAGGCTGGTCTTGATCGCCCTCATCATGGCCAGAGGCCCTTCGCCGAGCTCATCCTGTAAAGAATCAATCTTGCCCAGACCGATACCGTGTTCACCCTACAAGAGTACAAGTTCATGTATCAGTCAGTGACCTTCACCAACATGGCTATCATGGCTCCGGAACAATTCCCATCGCTCACCGTGCATGTGCCTTCCATTTCCAAGGCTCGGTCAACCATCCGGTGCACGCTCTGCTCGACGCGGCTGCGCTCCTTCGCGCCGTCGAACAAAATCGTCTCGTGGAAGTTGCCATCACCCACGTGCCCGATTATGCTGCCAAATAGGTCGAGGCTGTCTAGATCCTGCTTGGACAATTCTGAAGAATGGGGACCGGCGAAGATTAGTAAATAGAGACGGGGCGTGGTTCGACGCAGTTATTTCAACTCTCATTAGCCCGGAAAAACACTTACCAATGAGATCTGCGACGCGGGACAATGGCACGGCCACATCCGTCGTCCACACCTCACTGCCGCTCTTTCTCAGCGCGAGCATGCTCCACAAGGCCTCCTTTCTTGCCGACCACAGCACTTTCTGCTTTTCTGCGTCGTTTTCAAACTCCATGGCCGGGTTGCCGTGCGCCTTTGCCACCTCCTGCACCGCCCTGATGCTGTGGTTGACCAGTTCTTCGTCGCCGGTGAACTTGAGGAACAATGTTGGCTCTTCGCGCCACGTTCGCCCGGTCGCGCCAATCTGGTTGATAACCCGCATTTGCACGTCGTCGAGAATCTCAATACACCCGACGGTGATGCCACGCCGCACCACGTCGATAGCCATACTCGCGGCTGTCTTGATGGTGGGGAACGAGATGACGGCAACGCCAGTGTGAGTGGGGATAGGGGCCAGCTTGAGCGTCGCCTCAGTGACTAGACCGAGCGTGCCTTCGGAGCCGACAATAATGGAATTGAGATTGTAGCCAGCCGAAGATTTCCTGCAGATTCCACATATATCATTTGTCAGGACGGACAGTTGTGCACAAATTCAGTTTGCCACACGAGCCGCTGAGGGTCGGTCGGGAAAGGCTGTCAAAGCTTACCTTGGTCGCCGCCGCGTCTTGACAATAGTACCATCGCTGAGAACGACGGTGAGGTTGACGACCCAGTCTTTCATGGTTCCGTACCGAATGGCGTTCGTGCCGCTGCGTATGGTGGGATGAACCAAAGGATTAGCCTCTCCTGCATGGCGCCAATGCCTCATGTACTGCCACTTCTCTCTTACCTGCAGTTGGTACCAATCATACCGCCCAATTGAGCCTTCGATGTCAAGGGAGTTCAAATTGTCAGTCCTGCTGCTGCGGGCAACCATCATACAGCTAGAAAACGGCAAAACTTATGACATACAGATGGGCCAGGGTCTATTGGGAAGAACAGGCCGCTCGAGCTGATTATGTTGTTCATCTGCACCCAGGACATGCCTGGTTGAACAGTAATATCCATGCTGAGGCGCTTCCTGGTCAGTGGGGAAACTCTGATTTATGCAACGGATGCTTGTGACTCAACTCTTCAGGTCTGAACTTGACAATGCTAGCCATGTTGCAGAAATCGACGCTGATGCCACCAAAAGGCGCAGAAAAATTGCCCTCAACACTGGAACCTCCAGAGTAAGGTACTATCAAGTTTCGCGTCAGTATGATGATTGTAATCTGGTCATTACCAAGTGTGGCTAAACCGATTGACACCGCTTCTTGGGCGAAGACGCAGTCGAGCAGTTTCCAAATAGCGCTACTTACTGATTGGAACATTGTACTTGTGGCAAATCTTGGCTATGGAAGACACATCTTCCGTCGAATTGGGAAATACAACGGCCACTGGCAGTCTGTCGATGTTGACGGTGGACCACTCGGAATAGCCGTGTGCTCTCAGGATCTCACTGTCTGTAGAGACACTATCTGGACCAAGCTGCTGCTCAATCTCGCCCACTGCCTGCACTCGGAACAAAGAGTCAATGAATCAATCAGGTCTGCTTAACTCCATTTGGGTTGCACCAGACTTTGTCAGCCAATCAGTTGTCCGGGTTGATGGTTACTCACCCGCTCCATCTCCCCGACGGTGGCGTATGGTTGCTGATCAAGATCCTTGACGACATCTTGCTGGTTGAGAAGCCACCCACCAACTACTCCTATGGCAAGGCCCAAGAAAGCGAAAGGGGAGCTTGCAGACCACTGAACACTACTGCGGACGACAGAAGATTGTGGCGAGCTGTCGGTGCCGCGGCCGCCTGGGGATCTGTTGTTGTGGTAATCTTGAGCCAAGAAGCACCTGCTGCCTCTCGGGTCACGACGCACGGCGAGATAACCGCTCTGTCGCCCAGAGATCCGTTTGAGGGGGATCGTTCGCCTCAGTGGACTGGTGAACATTGCTTCAGACGTGAATATGGCGTTTGCGGTGGACGGCTCGGGCTGAAAAAAAGAGAAGACGGCGATAGTGAAGTCAACGGTCAATCCTGCAAAGGGCCAGGGACGACACAGTCGCCAAAGAGCCCCTGGCCATGGCGTGGAGGCCAAGCAACTCAATGCCAGCTGATTCGTGGTGGTGCTGTCTGGCATCGTCTACGGAGCAGGAAGGTGCAGGGGGGGCCACACCTGGCCCCACATTACCCCGCACCGGGAAGTACCCGTGGACCCCACTGGCTTGGGGAAAAGGAGGAGGCCACTGCCGAGCATCAAACAACGTTGGGACGACGATGTCACGTAAGACATTTGGGGATGCTCTCGTCTGGTCAGTCCTGCACCATCCAGCGTCCTCCCACGTTCCCTGCAGCAATGTCTCGAGCACTGCGAAATGGAGACGACTGCACGCGACAGCAATAGCGAGGAGAGCGGCAGAGCCAGGGATGAGCCCCGCCCCAGCAAGCGCCGGCGGCGCATCGCCCTCGCCTGCGACAGCTGCCGGGAACGCAAGGTCCGCTGCGACGGCTCGAAACCCGTCTGCGGACCCTGCTCCCGGCGCAGCGGCAGCGGTCCCGCCACCGGCTGCCAGTACAACATCATCGCCGACAGCGCAAAGCATCTCAGCGAGCGCGAGTACATTGCCAGCCTCAAGCAGCAGGTCCAGCTTCTCCAGCGGACCTCGGCCGACCCCGGTTCTTCCTCTCCAACAGGGACCAGTAGTCGCCGTCCCCCATCCCGCCATGAACCCGGACCCGGGAGCGGCGACTCGCCCCACGGCTCTGCGCTCCACGGTTGCCCCGTTGAGGTCCGCCTGGGCCCGTCAGGCAGAGGAGCCGGCGCCGGGACTGGCCCGGTCGACGACTACGCCCAGATCAGCGCCATGGGCGCGTCCATCCCGAGCCCGGACCAGATCCCTGGCGGCCAACGTACCCACGAATTCTATGGCAAGTCGTCGCTCGTTTCCCTCGTCCAGCAGATCGTGCAGTCGCCCTCGACGGGCGCTGGCAGCCGCAGCGGCCATGAAGCATCTCCGCGGCAGCCACCTGCTTCGGCCTCTCGTGGCTCTGTCCCGTCCTCTTGGTCGCCAACAGCTGGGCGTCCACTGGGCTCCGGTGCCTTGCTCGAGGCACACTTTGTACTACCGCCCCGCCAGCTGGCAGACGACTTGATCGACATATACTTTTCAAGCAATCACATTTCTACCCATGGACACACTCCGTGTCCTTCATGGCGGCCTACCGGCGCTTGTGGTTAGGTGAGGGAGATGGGGAGCGAACGACTGTGTCCACTAATGTTGGACTGGGAGCAGACGGCTGTCCACGCCACGTCTTCATGACGGCTGTTAATGCCATGTTCGCTCTCGGGTGCGAGTTCTCAGATCATCCCCCCGAGGAGAAGGAGGCAGCGGCTGCCATGTTCTTCGAGCGGACACGGGCCTTGATGAAGATGGACTTACTCGAGAATGGCAGCCTTGCTCATGTCCAAGCGCTCCTCCTCGTGGGACAATACCTCACATGCACTCACTATCCCACGCAGTGCTGGAACATTGTCGGCTTCGCTTGTCGGATGGCCATTGGGCTGGGCCTGCAGTCGTCTCGCAACGATGCCGGCTTGTCTGACCTCGAACTCGAGGTTCGGCGCCGAACCTGGTATGGCTGTGTGCAGATGGATATGTAAGTCGTGAGCCACCTACAGGCGGTCTCATCGTCGCTTTTCAAGTACCGTGATAGGGCCCCGACGCTAACTCCAGAATGCTTCCAGGACTGTAAGCATGACACTGGGGCGACCACCTTCTGTCTACATGACGGAGGAGGTGCCACTGCCAAGAGCCATCGATGATGAGTTTCTCGGCCTCGACCGGGAGAACGCCTCGCAACCTCCTGATCTGCCTTCGCAGCTACTCTTCACCCGGCACAACATCAAGTGCGCCACGGTTCTGGGTACTATTCTGCGCACATTGTATTACCCCTCTGTGGAGGCACGGCCTGCTTACCAGCAGCTTCGCAGCCGCCGAAGTCCCGTAAGCACGGTCGACGAGGACCTACATTCTATCCTCCAACTAGACTCCCAGCTCGAAGAGCTTGCAAACCAAGTACCAGAGCCGCTGCGATGGGATCGCACCGACCTCCCGGCGGGCTTGGATGAACGAGGTCGGATACTGAGGCGGCAAACAAATGTCCTCCACGCGCGGTACTTGCACACCAAGATTCTGCTGTATCGGCCTAGCTTCACGAGCTTCTGCGCCGGCGCACATGCACACCCCAAGGAACCTGCAGCTGAAAGCCCTAAATACCGTCAGCCAGCCAGTCTCAGCAACTCGCTTCAGTTCAACACAGCCGTGGACTGTGTTAGAATCGCCTGCGCCCTTGTGGAGTCCGTCAAGAACGCCACGATCGCAGATGTCACTGGTGCCTGGTGGTTTCGTGTCTTCTGTAAGCATTGAGCCATCTACCCTTGCCGCGTTTCATACTTTGTGTCTGGTTGTCCAGTTCCCTCACACGTCTCTGCAGACCTCCTAACGTGTTCCGTCATAATCATCATCGCCGACTGCACCCCGCCGCTGCGCCGAAAACTAGGCTCGACCATGCTGGACAAGGCGTGGGACGACTGCATCGAGGCCCTTAGCCTCATAGGCCAAAAGAGCTTGCGCGCTGAATCTTACTTGCGCTCTCTCCAGCTCCTGCGGCAGCGGAGTTTGGCCATGGTCCAAAGTATACACTCCTCTTGTAATCGACACCTGTGGGCTCCGAAAGAGAGATGCTGACCTCTCCGTCCTGGGCAGATGCTTCTCGCGTAAGGTCCCGGCAGCCGTCAACAGCATATCCAACGCGGCCAGGAACGCCCATGGCGCCGGCTCAGCCGAGCCAACAGCAACACAATCGCGAGAATGAAGCGCGGCTCACTCCGAATGATGTGGTGCACAGTGAGCCTGACAACACGGCACAGGGCCCGGCGATGAACGAACAACACCAGGAACAGAATGCACAACAGCATCCTCATGACGGTGAATGGACGGACAGCTTCGACGAGTTTACAGACTTTGACTTTGACATCCCTGCTCTTCTGGGCAGTTGGGAGGCGGATCTCAATGACATGCATGCAGGTGGCCATGGCGCGGGCCCAGGATTGAATAGTCTTGGCTACTCAGTTTCTGCCTTTTTGTAGCAAATATGACCTCAAAGGCGTCGAGATATGCCAACGGCTCGCCTCTGGACGCATTGTCTTCTATCTGCTCATTGTGCTGCGCTTTTGGTAGCTTGGCTGCCTAAGCAACTCCACATCAGAGAGGACGTAAATCCTTTGTATTGCATACCGGGACACCAAACACTTGAGTGCCATGAAGCATAGTAATTTCTATTTGGATAGTCTCATTTCTTTCCATGCTAAAATGTGCTGCAAAGCGCTGTGTACGATGCTCGGGAGGCATCGACATGCCATGCTCGCCATGCAATCACTTTTACCTCCTCCATGACTTGCGGGGAAGATTTCATCTGTCAATGGGAACACGCCACTGACTAGTAGAGAGAAGAGAGGCTAGGGTCCCGGTAACGAACCGGTAGGTTAAGGGACACCTGGGTAGTTCCCGAGGGGTGGGGTAAGATACTACCCCTTCTGAGCGACTGACATGCGAGCCGGGATGTTCCCCACGGGGATGCAAGGCCCCCACGATCTCTGGCCATTCTGGTGTCTTGGCTCTGGATGTGCTCATTCGTCTCCTCTGAGGAGCTACATCCCAACACTGGTCCGTTGCCTCGTCCTGTGTTGCTCAATTCGTGTGACCTATGTGACGCTTGACTCGGTATTGCTACCCCTCAGTTTCGGCTGGCCCGTGCTGTGCCACATGGTCTACACAGCTCTTATACCTATAAATCCCCAAGGCCAGGTTCACACCTACCTGTAACGAGTCTCGTCTTCGTGATCAGAAGGCTTCCCTTTGTGACAAGCCTGAATACCCCTCTACCCTTCTTCGAAACTTGATACATCCTATACCTATACAACACGCCGGCAGCATCATGGCGATGCATACTCCAGCCAAGATCGAAGGAGGTCTCGAGCACGTCGAAAAGTCTGAGAAGACCCAAACCGGCGAGACGGCGATCGATTTGGCGGCGGAGAAGCAGCTGCTCCGGAAATGCGACTGGCACCTAATCCCGCCCCTGGTGGCCATCTACTTTCTTTCGTTTATGGACCGCACAAATATTGGTATGAAAGCCTGGCTACGACTACAATACTCCATTTGTCCTTGGGCACGAGTTTTTAACGCACAAAACACGCCAGGCAACGCGAGAATCCAGGGCATGACGGCCGACTTGAACATGCAAGGAGCTGATTACAATATTGCTCTCTTCGTGTTCTTCATCCCCGTGAGACTGCCCTGCCGACGCAACGCATACCTTGCAAACACTGTGAGGCTGACAGGATGCTGAACCGTCTATATAGTACATCATCTTCGAAGTACCGTCGAACTTGGTCATCAAACGAATCTCTCCATCACTGTGGCTAAGCTCAATCACGGTCTTGTGGGGTATGTGCTCGCGCTATTCAGGCTACACAGGGGTCAATCGTTAACACAGTTCTGGGCCTACTTGCGCCAGGCATCTCAACTATCGGCATGGGCTTCGTTAACAGCAACGGTGGTCTCATTGCGTGCAGGCTCCTGCTTGGCTTCTTTGAAGCTGGCATCGTGCCCGGTAAGTACTTGACACCTCCCCACACGGACTGCATAAGCGCTTTTATCACTTTGATTTGGCCTTCTTTCCCCCTAATGGCGAATCATGCCCACTACTCCTGGCTGTTTGACACGAGCTAATGTCGATGGGACGAGGCACAGGCTGTATCTACCTAATCTCAATGTACTATCAGCGTTACGAGGTACAGTGGCGCATGAGTCTCTTCTTCTGCGCCGCTATCCTCGCCGGTGCCTTCTCCGGCCTCCTCGCTTATGCCATTGGTAACATGCATGGCGTCGGCGGATATTCGTCATGGCGTTGGTGAGTTACTCTTTCCTCTTCCCTTGAAGGCTGCGCCCGGGGGGCCGTGTTCCTCGCGAGAGCGCAACTGCTGACTTTGTGCAGGATCTTTATCCTCGAGGGACTTCTTACCGTTGTCATCGGCATCGTCTGCAGGTGGTGGATTCCTGACTGGCCGGAGACGGCCGGGTTCCTCAGCGACAGTGAGAGGGCTATGCTCATTTCTCGGCTGGCTGCCGACTCTGGAGACGCGAAGATGGACCACCTGGACAAACGTGCCGCTCGCCGCGTCGCTAAAGACTGGAAGATCTACCTTGGCACAATTGCATACATGGGCATCGTCAACAACGGCTATGCTGGATCCGTAAGTTAGCCCTTCCTGTCCGCTCAGAAGTGTCGCCCATGGCCATCTTCAGAACCAGAAACATAGCAATGTGCCCGTTCTTCTTCTGTCTAGTGTGCTGACTTGGCATCTTTGCAGTTCTTTATCCCGACCATCCTGAACCAGATGGGCTTCAAGGCGGCCGACGCCCAGATCCGCACCATCCCCGTCTATGTCGTCGCGACGGTTCTCTGTCTTGGCTCGGCGTGGCTCGCCGACCGGCTTCGCCACCGCTTCGCCTTCACTCTGCTTGGTATTGCAGTGGCTACTGTAGGCTACATTCTGCTCCTGTGCCAGAACTCGCTGTCCGTCGGCGTGCGATACTTTGCCCTCTTCCTGATTGTCGGCGGTGGCTACATCACCCAGCCCGTCGTCCTCGGATGGCTGTCCAACACAATGTCTGGCCACTACAAGCGGTCGATCTCCGCCGCCGTCCAGGTCGGCGTCGGCAACGTCGGCGGGTTCGTCGCCTCCAACGTCTTCTTCGACAGGGAGGCCCCGCGCTACGTCACTGGGTACTCCGTCAGCCTGGGCATGATTGCCATTTGCGCAATCGCCTGCACCGCCTTGTACGTTTTGCTCTCAATGGAGAACAAGAAGCGGGATCGTGGCGAGAGAGACCACAGGCTCCAGGAGCCGGATGCACACAACCTCGGCGACGACCACCCTGACTGGCGTTACACTACTTAAGGCGGTTGGTAGGAATGGTAGATTTCCAACTTGCTCGTGTGGCCGATCTCTACGTGAGAGGCCACACCATCTTTAGTTATAGCAACAGTCCGCCAGCAGAGAAAATGCGCTTCCGGGCAGGAGCTCAGATGTACACTAGAATGATACCTCCTTCTAGTTGACACAATTTACGGAACACCAAGAGCGCATAACTAGACATTTGTGTTTGTGAACTCGATTTGTCTCTATCAAAGCTTTGGTTTCCCAGTGGTATCATTGTCACCATCCAGCGCCAGCTCGCAGACCAACAAACCCTCGCCAATCTCCTCCTCGTCCTCGGCCTCACAGACCCAGGTCACTGTCCCGGCTCGAGCGCTCCGCACCTCCAGCTCCATCTTCATCTGGCGGATGACGCAGACCACGTCGCCCTTGCTCACAACGTCGCCCTCGTCAACCAGCACCTCCACCAGCTTCCCCGAGAACGGCGCGACCACGTGTGCCGGGTCGCTGGGGTTCCCGCGGCGGTGGTTCTGTGCCAGCAGCGCTGTCGAGCTCGAGGTCGTCGACGACACGTGCATCGTGTAAGCTCTGGAGGAGCCGCCTGCGGCGTCGCTCAGGACGACGTCCGCGGATATGGACGCCGGGAACTCGTTGCGCAGGACGCGAGAGAGCTCGAGGTGATGTGTCGGCGCCGCCGAGACTTGTGGTGCATTCGTGACGGTGTTGGCCTTGTCGTTAGCATCTTGTTCTTCGTCGTTCCGGGGAAGCAGCGTGATGGACCACGCGTCGCCTTTGCGAAACAGCAAGGTGGTGTTGATGATGTTTGTCGTCGTCGTGGTGCCCGAGGCCTGGCCAGAGCCCCCGTCATTCCCTCCAACTCCAGTCCCGGTCCTCCTCGACATGGCCGCCTGCTTCTCTGCCATTGCACGGGTCAACTGCCTCCCTTCCTCCACGAGCCGGCCCTGATTCACCTCCAGCCACGTGGTGTCGCATCTGCCCAGCGAGAAATCCTCGGACGCCGCAATAGCCCGCAGGACGTCTAGATTCGTCTTGACACCCGTGATGTGCGTCTCCCTCAGCGCACGCCGTGCCTTGCGCACGACGTCCTCCCAGCTCGCGGCCGTGACGATGATCTTGGCCACTACGCTGTCAAAGTCGGACGTGACGAGCGTGTCGTGGCCCGAGACAATGTGCGTGTCCACTCGGATCCCGCTGCCCTGGGGGAACCGCGCTGACTGGATCCTGCCGATGCTCAGAGTCCAATTCGTGGTCGTCTCTTCGTCTTTGTTCTCGTCATGGGCCTTGCGGCCGCTGCCGTTACCGTTGCCGTTGATATCGTGATCCGTGATAGCTGGTAGCTCGATTTTCTCGGCTGTGAGGCGAAACTGGATTGAATGCAACGAGGGCACGGCTGCCTTGTTTGCTTGTGCATGAGGACTGAGGCCGACTTGTGCCAAGCTCGCCCCTTGGGATATGCGGAGCTGTATCGCCACAATGTCGACTGCACAGATGGATTCCGTGATTGTGTGTTCGACTTGCAGCCGCGGGTTGATCTCTAGGAAGAAGAACTCTTGCGTGTCCGGGTTGACGAGGAACTCGAACGTCCCCAGAGAGAAGTAGTGAGTCTTTAAGCGTTCCCCGGGCAGGATCAATGTCAGTTTATGTAGACCCCGCCAAAGAACAACACATGAGTGTGTCTGGCGTACATGACGGGAAACCTCGTGACTTACCTTTTCCGCCATTCGGACCGCACACTCAATCACCGTATCTACCAAGGCCCTGTCTGATATAGTGCTCGGCGCGAGCTCGACAATCTTTTGATACTTCCTCTGGATACTGCACTCCCGCTCCCAGAGGTGCGCCGCGCCGCCAGAGCCGTCCCCGACGATCTGCACCTCGACGTGCCGGAACCCGTCGATCGCGGCCTTCTCGCAGAACACCTGCCGCGAGGGGCTCTCCTGGACTGCGCGGCGGAGCAGGTGCTCGAGGTCCCGCAGCCGGCGGACGAGCCGGATTCCTCTCCCGCCGCCACCGTCCACGGCCTTGATCATGACGGGGAAGCCCGTCTTGCTGGCAAAAGCTTGCACCTCTGCTAACGATGAAGTCGAAGTTGACAGGGCCGGACAGACGGGGACGCCGCCTTTTGATTGATCAGTCACAAACGTGAGCTAGTCCGTCCTTTCACGCTGCAAGCAACACCCACACAGCTGACAGGCATACACATTCTGGGGATGGATGGGAAGAGAAGACTCACATTCCTCGGCCAGCCTCCTCGCCATCAGTTTGTCCCCGGTCCTCTCCAGCACTGCCCAGCCAGGCCCGACCACCACGACCTGAGCCTCTTGCCACATGCGCCGCGCGAACTCGGCTGACTCGCTCAGGAAGCCATACCCCGGGTGTACCGCGTCGACCTGGGCCTCTCTCGCCAGGTGGACCAGGTGGTCAATGTCCAGGTAAGACGCGGGTGACGGCAGCTCTATGGCCTGCGAGGCGTGGACGGCGTGGGTGGCGTCCCCGGGCGTATAGACGGCGATGGCGACAATGTCGAGCTCCCGTGCGGTGGCGAGGACGCGGGCTGCTATTTCGCCTCTATCGGTGTTGTGAAGAAAGGAGGGAATCCGTGAGTTAGCATTTGACGAGCATAGATCTAAAGGAAACCAGAATTTCGCTTGAAAGGCGAAGTGTTTTCACGAGAGAGCAACTTATTTACCTGTTCGCAACAAGCAGCCGATGAATCGGCCGTGCTGGAGGTCTTTGTGTCATGGTCGAAGAGAAATTAGTGAGGAATCAGAACCTCTAACTCGCCTCTTTGCTAGCTGTCGAATGACTTCCGTCAGATGAATCATGAGAAAGGCATCTCAACGGGCAGGCCCTCAGTGAACGTGCCCAAGATCCAGTTGAATGGGTCGTCGTTCCGCGAATGCGGAACCCCAGACCAGCACCCCCACAAACCAAAGATGGGGATGCGGGGGCGGGCCGAGGCAAGCGTGCTCTCTCCTTCTCCACACAGTCAGTCAACAGACTGGTCCGATTGGTCCCGTGGCAAGACGACATCGTGAAAGAATCCAAGGATATACAGCTTCTCACAGTCCTGGAAAGCAAGCAAACAGGGCGTGTGCGCGGAACAAGGAAAGGAGGACCAACATGGCTGGCGGCAAGAACGACAATGACAACTCGTCCTCAGGGTCGAGTGCCGTTGACGACAACAACGACGACAACAAAAGGAACAACACAGCTGCTGCACAGCGACTAGCTCAAGTTTCGCGACACATTGGTGGACCATCACCCAAGGAAGATGTCGAAACAGCGCCAATGCCACTGAGAGGAAGCAAGAGAAGAACCCGCCAGAGAGCCAAAGATGACCCGGCCCAGCTACCAGCCGACCACTCCGACATCCTCGGGCAGCTCGACACGCTGCGCAGGATGGCCGCTACGCCGGACCCGTCGCACCGAGGGTACGCGCGCCAGAAGCAGTCTGGCAAGCTGTGGGTGCGGGAGAGGGTCGACCAGCTGCTCGACCCGGGCAGCTTCGTCGAGGTGGGCAGTGTGAGCGGCGAGGTCGAGTGGGAGCAGACAGGGCCCACGTCGGAGCGGCCAGTCAAGTTCACGCCGTCGAACAATGTTCAAGGTACGAGTGTCTTTACAGCAAGGGGGGAAAAGGATGTGACTGGCGGATGAAGCACCAACAAGCATCTGCCAAGGGTTTACATGCTGACAAAGTGGACTTGTCGCGCTATATCACAGGCTTTGGCAAGCTCAATGGCCGCAAGATGCTCTTCACGGCCGACGACTTCTCCTTGCGTGCTGGACACGCAGATGGCGCCCTGGCAGCAAAGACTGTAAGCAAATATTATATACATAAACATCCTCTCTGGTGCTTGTCAGACGCAGGACACACAAAGACTGACCATCTCGCCCACCTCAGGTCTACATCGAAAAGCTCGCCCTGTCCCTCCAGCTCCCCATCATCAAACTAGTCGACGGCTCCTCGGGCGGCGGCTCCGTGACCACGATCCGGTCTTCAGGATGGTCGTACGTCCCGCCGATGGACTCGTTCGGCCACGTGGTGAAGCAGCTCAACGCGGGAATCCCTAACCTCGGCGCCGTCCTGGGTCCCGCGGTCGGCCTGGGCGCCGCGCGCGTGGTGGCATGCCACTTCTCCGTCATGGCCGCGGACGTCGGCTCCATGTTCAACGCGGGGCCAAAGGTGGTCGCGGGCGCCACGTTTGAGGAGGGCCTGACGCCGCGGGACCTGGGCGGGCCGGCCATGCACACCACCAACGGCAGCATCGACAACCTCGCCGCCAACGAGGCAGAGTGCTTCCAGCAGATCCGCACCGTGCTGGGCTACCTGCCCAACTCGGGCACCCAGATGCCGCCCGTCCTCGGCCCTCATCCTCCTCCCCATCACCACACGTCCGAGGAGGCGCCCATTGACCCGATCGACAGACTGTGCCCCGAGCTGCGCTCCATCATCCCGCGCAAGCGCTCGCGGATGTACGACGCGCGCCGGATCATCACGACCGTCGTCGACAAGGGCTCCTGGTTCGAGATCGGGGCTCTCTGGGGCACCACCGCGATCGTCGGGCTCGCCCGGCTGGGCGGGAAGCCCGTGGGCATCGTCTCGCTCGACTGCGAGGTCAACGCGGGGGCCCTGGACGCCGCAGGCTCGCGCAAGATCAACCGGCACCTGCGCTTCCTCGACATCTTCAACCTCCCCGCGGTCCAGTTCGCCGACGTGCCGGGCTACGCGGTCGGCACGGCCGCCGAGCGTGCCGCCACCATGCGCCACGGCGTCGACCTCGCCGCGATGTACTACACCACCACCATCCCCATCTTCTCCGTCATCGTGCGCAGGGTGTACGGCGTCGCGGGCGGGATCATGGTCGACTCGCGCGACCCGCATGCCCGCGTAGCCTGGCCCAGCGGCGAATGGGGCAGCCTGCCACTCGATGGGGGCATCGAGGTTGGCCACGCGCACGAGCTGAGGGAGATTGCGCGGACCGAGGGCGAGGAGGCCCGGAGGCAGAGGTACGCGCAGCTCGAGGACGAGTATCGGCGGCTGCAGAACCCCGTGCGCACGGCGAACCAGTTCGGCATCGAGGAGGTCATAGATCCCGCCGTCACGCGCAGGGTGCTCGCAGAGTGGGTGGCACACATGTACGAGGTCATCCTGCCACAGAGGGTGCAGCAGAGGATCGCAGGAGTACTGAGGCCGCAGTTTGTTTGAGTTGAGAAGGAGGTAAAGGAGAGGAGGGGGAAGGAAACTTGAAAGATTGAAAAAGGTTCACTGGATGAAGGCGCAACAGCACCAAGCTTAATTGCTCAAATCACCCTGCCAGCAAAAGCCAAGGCAAAACCTTGACGTGTACTCAGATACAAACAAGACATTGGCACCAGATACTCATCAAGGCCACATCACTACGAGGCGGCCGACAAAGACTGTCGTCAACGACGCATTATCACGAAGAAGTTACGCACCACGTCAAAACTAATTCCTAATCGTCAAACGACCTTCCATTGGGGTATAATCAAACCTAACGCCTATCTACCTTGGTCAAGCTGCGAGGTTGGCGCAGTCTTCGCGGAAACATCGTCTCCCACCATTCGTGCTCATTATCGTAACAGCCTCATCCAAATACATGAATCGTCGCTAATCCGCCAAGGAACTGGGCCGCCACCAAACCAGAAGACCGTAAATATGAATGACAAAACGCCTCTTGACATGATATCTAGATGATGACACACTTCGTCTCCACCAAAATGTGCCGACAGAGAGAAATCCCAGACATAAAGGCACATTACCGCTTGACACTACTTACCACGCTGCTCATTGTATCGCTCATCTTCTCGCCAAATCCACCGACCCATACGGGCACCTTCAGACTCATCTTGACTCTTCCTTCCACAATCATGGCGAAGAAATGCGTCGCGAGGAAGGTCAAGCTGCCCAGCGCACGGAACAGCGCAAGAGCAGCCACAGCCCACAGGATGAAAGTGACGTAGGCATTGTTGCCAACACTCTTGTCATGGTAGATCTCGCTCATCGCCATGGCCAGGATGGCATTGGCCATCATCCATACCACGACCATGTATGTTCGCACGCTCTTGTAATAGTCCTCTTGCATCTGAGCCTCCGAAGTGGGACTCTCGGGTACCTCGACGCGGTCACGGAGGTTCCGAAGCGCCTCATCATATCCGGAGTCGATGTCAAGTTGCTCAGAAGGCATCTCGAGCTCGACAGTGCCGCCACCCTTGCCGACAGCACCTCCAAGGTCTGTCTTGATGACATTGTCACCCTTGGTACCCCAAGTCACGTCGTGGGTGTTGCAGAAGGCGTACACCTGCAAAGTGCAGATGTAGCTAGGGAGCAGCAGGAAGTACTGCGCAGCACTGGTGATCATGTGCCACGGATCCATGTAGACAACAGACATGAGGAAGTACAGCCCCACTGTCGAGGTTATTGAGACAATGACGTTGGTGAACATGTTGTTGCCGAGCGTCATCTCGTCTTTGAGACTGGTGAATTGGCGGACCACCACGTAGATCGTCGCAAAAACCGTGTACACCGAGATGATAGAGTAGACGATCACACTGGCCAGGTACAGCTTGCGTGCACCCTGAGGTCGATTGCCGAGAGAGATGATGAATTGCATGGCCGTGAGCAGGACGCAGCTGTACCGGAGGATGATGAAGATGACATTGCCAATGCCGTGGCCAAAAGGGTCAACCAATGGATCTGCCAGACCGCCAGCAATGAAGAAGAATGTGAGGTAGAAGTTGGCCAGCGAGAAGTACGTGAACAACAGCTGGATGAACTGGTACACAAACTCGATGTGCAGCAGCACCTTGCGGGCGAGGGTATGATCAGTGGACCAAATTTGCCTGAAGTGCACCAAGGAGTACACAGCAGCGAAGAAGGCGCCGTTCAGCCAGCGACGACGCTGCGAGATGAACTCGGAGAGCGCGTCTAGATACGAGATTAGTACTTGTCTGCGAGGGGGAACGCAAAGAAAATAAATGAGTAGACTCACCGGGGACATCAGTCTCTCCTGTGCAGCTCTTGACATATTTCAAGACCCACCGCTCGCTGCGCTTGGCGACCAGCTCCCAGCAGAGAATACGATCTTCGGCGAGATACATGTTGGCTGTGAAGACATCCGCGTGCTGGCCGTGCAGGGTTTCTCCCTTGAAGTACTGGCTCAGCGGGCCGTGGCCAGTCTCATCGTTTTGTAGGGCGTGATACCGGTACGCGCTGAGGGCACCAGGCAGAACCGTAATGTAGCCGAAAACAGACTCCAGAGGCTTGTCGAGGATGTTTGACATCTTGTACTCGAAGTTTTGCGATGCCACAAGAGGGTTGAGTAGGTACGCACCAAACTTGCCCTTCATCGCCTTGATCTCACCACAAGCGCCTGCAACATTCGAATCGTTGTCAAAGGCCTTCCACAGGTGGTAAAGCGAGGTGCTTCCGGGCCGTGTTCCGACGTCGAGGAGGATGCAGACGTTGGGGTTGAGAGCTCTGCCAAAGGCGTTGAAGAACCAGCGATGGGAGTTCAGCTTGCGCTGATTGCGCTCTTTTAGGCAGAAGATCAACTGACATGGCACAATGCCCTTCTCAGCTCCCTTGAATTTGAGGTCCGAGTCGAGCGACACCTGTGTTGTGTACTCGTAGACGTGAGCCTGCACGGCTTTTGAGTTGACATAGTTCTTTGCGATTCCGTGCTGGTAAACGCCCATGGCAGCCAGGGCATCAAGTGTGCGAGGATGAATCTTCTCTCTGCCATCAGATACGATGCAGACGACAATTTTTTGCCAGCCGTTGTCGCCCCAGGTTCTGGACTTGTTGCGTGCGCAAAAGTGGCTGATGTTCTTCATGACTGCATGCATCGTGCGTGTAAAGCCAATCTCGTCTTCGTTGTACATTGTGACGCAAATGAAGATCTCTGTCTCTCTCGTGGTCTTGCCCACGTTCTGGCGAAGCTTGTAGCCGCGTTCGACAAAGTCATCCGGGTCACACGTGACAGCCGTGTACCGCATATGGGTGAACTCGACCTCGTCCCTGCGAGGCAAGAAGCTGTAAAGAATGGTCGGAATCTTGCACTCGAGAACTAGTTCGCCGTTGATGAGTTGCACCTCCTTCTTCGACATCTCGGGAGCGCGGACACCACGGCGTTCTTGCTTGCCGCTAGGCGCAGAGCCATAATGCTCAATCTTTTCCTCGTAGTCATCGGCGTTGGGATCCGCGCTAAGGGTTGCCTGAGAGTCGGATGCGTACGAGTGCAGGTGAGGCCGGTTGTCTGTCACATCGGAACCAAACACGTCGTCATTGTCGGGATCTAAGGGGATATTGACTGTCGCGTCGTCTGCTGTGTAAGAAGAGTCGCGGGCTGCGCCAGAGAACAGTGGTGCTGGAGGAAGCGGCCTTCGAGGGCTTCCGCCGTATCTGGAGGATGGAGTGCCCGGGCGAGGGCTACCGTTGAGGTCGGCTGGCTCGTACTGGACGTTGGACGCAGTGGGCCGGGAGAAGTCTGACAAGGACGCCGTGGACATGCGCGATGGTGTCCATGATCTAGTTGGTGACGAGGCGCCATCTCTGGATCTGAAAGGCTCGTAGGCCGAGTCGGGTCGTGCAATGTAGGGAGGGTCCATGAAAGAGGACTCTCGCGAGTGACCGGATCTCAAGGATGACTGGAATGATCTCTTGGGAGTTGGCCGGATACTATCGTCATTTGCTTGGTCATTAGTCTCTGTAGATTCAAATGTAACGTGGTGGCTTTCGGGTTTGAGGCCCTTCTTCTGATGTAGGCTTCTCCGTCTTGGGGAGACGCCTTCTGGAATTGAGGGCAGATGAAGAGGTTCGCGAGACTTGCGTCTATCCCAAGCCGAAGGAGACTTCCTCTGTAACTTTACAGTAGGCGTCCGATTTGCCAACGGCTTCCGGGCTGGCGACGTGGAGGCAACCGGCTTTGGTGGTGTCTCGACTGAGGTGCTTCCGGCTGGGACCGTCCTTGAAGGTTCGCCTGGGCAGATGAATGGTGAGGGTTCTGTAAACAGCGGGCGCACATACGGTCTGGTTTCTGGAATATGTTCCTCCATCGAGGTGAGTAGCCTGATGGCAGCGCCTTGGCTTGGGTAGCCATGGTCTGGCTCATCGTCGTATGGCGGTAGCGAGTAGTCAGGTGGACGGGAGCCGTCCATGATGTCCACAAGCCCGCTGATGGACGGAGACCAGTGTGAATGAGTTGTAAATGGATGATTTTGCTTCAAATGTGCTTGCACAAGGCTATACCGCCTTTTGATGCTCAAGCGGTGTGGGATGGGCACCTCGTACCACTCTCTGGAATATGTACGGTAGCAATCAAGGTGAGCGGGACGACGACTTATGATGAAGAGAAGGGCACCTAGATAGCTCGGGAGGCGGCAATCTAGGAAAGGCGCCAAAAGGACGTCTATAGCGGCACTGTCGGACACTTTGTCTTGGCTGACATGAAGCTGGGCTGTGCTGTGAGATTGTTTTGGCTGGGCAGCGCATTACGTAGGGTGGTTGTTGACCCAGCAACGCCTAGGAACCCCCCCCCCCCTTAGTTGTGTGAGACGAGATGCAGGTCCCCACGCCAGCGCAGCAGCCACTCGCACACCAGCATGCCCCTTGCGCGCTCTCCACCTCCCGTCCCTGCATTTTAGGCTTCCTGGCGGCGGAATTGCGTTCGCCGGTCGCCGGTTATTGTGGCAGCCTGGGGTGGACCTCGCGGCACAATCCACAATGAGGTCCATTGGGTCGCGAAAACACAACTCCAAGACCCGTTGTCGCAATGAAGCCGTAAAAGCATAGCTTGTTTGTTTATGCTGGTAGTACCGTATTGTGTGCTCGCGGATGACGACAACGACTGCCTCCGAGCAACAACTCGTGTTGTACAGGTGGCCAGCCGCTCCACATCGTATTTGTAACAGCTAGCCTGATACTCTGCACCCGCCTACTTCCCCATACTCCAAAGGTCGTTCCAGCTCTTCTCATCGGAGCTTAGAGGAGCTCTTGCTAAGCCGAAGCGCGCGGGATTGCTGGTGTTGGGCTCAGGTAGGCAGATCCATTCCCTGACACAATCCGGGATCTCCTCCCGGACGTGGCTGATGCAGATCAGCGCCTGGTCCTGCGTCAGACCTTCTATTCTGACGCTGCCAGTCTTCGATTCTTCACTCTCTACAATTGTTTCTGAGCCATCCTCGTTTGTAATGTAAGTCTTCCGTTGGCCATGCTCGAGGAAAAGCAGGCATCGGTTGCGGACCCCATCGTCCATGCCGCTGCATGCTTCGTCCAGCACGACAATGTCTGGGTTCTTGATGGTTGCGCGCAGGAACAAAGCTACTCGTTGAGCCGAGGATGGCAGCCCACCAAACATGAAGTCATCTGCCCACGCAAGACTGTCGCTCTTGGACGAGCCTGAGTAATTTGGGTTCAACTCGGGCTCGAACCATTGTAGTGCAGCTTCGACCTTACCACGAGCCTGCTCGTCTAGCTTGGCCTTGGTGCCAAAGGTGTCCGCCCAGGCATTCTCGATGACCCCTCTTATAGTCAAGCTGCGTGGCATGTACTGGTGAACCTCTGGGCTTGAGTGACCAATACGACGCTGGATGTCCCAGAACGTCAATGGCAATTCGCCGGACTCTGGCTCAGGTAGGCGGCTTCTCCCAAAGAGCTTGATGGGCAGTGAGTAGGTCTGGGGGTGATCAGAGCAGACAAGGGACACGATTGTTGTTTTACCGGAGCCGTTGGGTCCAAACACGCCCCATCGCGCACCACGTCTTATGGTCCATTGCAGACCTGGCCGCTCAACGCCATCAACCTGCTGGGTCCAGTTGCCCAAAACCACCTTGTCGCCGTATTGGACCTTACAACCGTTCATCTCGACAATTGGCTCGCCGATGACCCGAGAGCTGTCTGAGGCTGAACGTCTCGGCACATGCTGCCGATTGTGATCTGGGTCTTCCAGCAGGGCCGTCCCAGATATTCCTTTCTCGGTCAGAATCCTGCCCATATGCACAATATTATGCACAGGCATCGAGGGGTCCTCCTTGACGGTGGCATTTAAGACACCACGGCCATACTTTCTTAGGTCTTCCAACACGACATCCTTCTCGCCCATACTGCCCACTTGAAGGTCATTTCTAAGAAAGACAAGATGGGTGATCCAACTGGGGATAGGATCCTGGGGCCTCGCACTGAGGACAAGCCGTGGTGCTGCCTTGCTTGCCAGCTGATGCAGTAACGGACTTAGTCCAGCGACAGTCGGAGGGTCGAGGCCCATGAATGGCTCGTCCAACAGCAGCACTTCTGGGGATGTGAGGAGTGCCCGAGCGATCCTGGCTCTCCTTCCCTGGCCATTGCTCAGAAACATGACTGGAAGGTCCAGAAGCTGTGAGAGCTTAAGGTCTCTGACGATACGGTCGAATAATGCCGGGCCCAGAGTGTCCTCCTTTGTTTGGTGCAGAGGATTAAGTTCCATGTTTCCAGTGAGGAAGTCGCGAAGTGAAAAATCCGTTTCGAGCCTCTTGGACTCGTACCTTGCCGACATGTAGGTCGCCGTGGCTGACGTAGAGGCCAGGGTCTCGTTGTTGAAGCCCACATACTTGATTGCGTTGCTGGGCACCTTGAGGCGGCTCGGGACAGCATCGCTGGCCAGATATGGATAAGCCCTTGCTGTTGGAGGTGTGCAGAGGTTCTGACCACGAAGGATGTTGAGAAAGGTCGTCTTGCCGCTCAATGACGGGCCTATGACACACCAATGTGACGGCTTATCAGTGCCAGAAGGCAGAGAGAAGTTGAGGCCGGAGAAGAGGGCCGGATTGGACCGGCTCAAGCCTGAACTTGGATGGTGACGGTGGAAAGTGCCATTGACGATGTTGATCACCGGAAGGCGAGAGTGAGACGGCTTCATCGTGCCAATTGGGTCATGATACTTCTGAGGGACGATGGCGGCGTCGGTCGAAAATGTGTGCTGCAACCACGCGCCTCAATACAAAGTCGACTCGAGGTGGTTGTCCAAGATGTCATTCAAAATATCACCGGATATCGGACCAAGACAGACCTGGGGTCGATGTGAATCAGAAGTACTTCCAAGGTACCGGGGCCAGGCAAGAATCCATTGCAATCACCAAGTACAGTGTCGTACTCGCGCTCACTCCAACAGCTTGCACCAGGCCCACAAGTGGACCGAGGGGTTCCAATGGAGCTCCACGTCGACGAGTCGTCTCTGCAGCCTTGCGCCGCCACTTCAGCCAGCAGCGATGCTGCATCATCCCCACCAGAGCTCTGATCGTTGTCCATCATCCACCACGAACACGACCGCCACGACGACAACCAGCAAGACCCAGGTCTGACTTCATTTCTCGCCGAGCCTTCCCCTTAGTCAATCCCTCACAACGAACACCCACCAAGCCTACGCCAGGCCTAACATCCAGACACAAACCGCCAAGATGGTAAGAACCCAAGCCCAACCCATCACGATATCTTGCTCCCAAATCTAAGCTCTAACACGCCCCTCCTTCCCTGCACACAGTCGATGCGCATCGTCCCCGCGGCCGACCACACCAGTACCTTCACACACCTGCCCAACGGCGTCAACACATCAGCCCCCTCCGCCCCGGGCCTGCACGACACCCTGAGGCACGGCCTGGGTCCCGACCCCCAGTCCACCACGGGCGTCAGCGACCCCCCCGTGTCCCGCCACCCGCTCGAGTCGCGCCTCAAGGCGTGGGAGGCGACCCAGGAGTCCGTCCGGATGGAGTCGCTGCGCAAGACGTTCGGCATGGCCGAGCCGATCCGCCGCGGCATGGAGCTCAAGATCACGCGAGACGGCGAGTGGCGGCCCCTCGCGCTCGGCGGCTCGCGCGGCGCGGGCCCCACGGGCGCCAACGTCCACGAGGACATCCTCCGCGGGCGCGAGGCCTTTGTCGACTGGAACGACGTCTTCACGGGCGAGGAGCAGCGGGCGAGCGTGGGCGTGCACGAGGAGATGGAGAGGAAGCTCAAGATTTGAAACTTTTCTAGAGATGGTTCGTCATATGGGCGGTGACTCTTTCGACATATCAGAAGAGCGGGATGATAGCAAGTGCGGCTTGCAGCTCAGTGCCGGCTCGATGTCTTCAACACGGCTTATCACGAGTAGCAAGAGCTGTTCTGAGCTGCGTCAGCGAACGGAAAGCGGTCGATAGAGATAGAGCACAGCAAAACATCACCCATCCTCAAGCAGCCATCTAGACTGCCTAGATCAAACAAGTAGTGCACTAGAGGCTTTCATTATGCAAGGGCTTTTGCATGGTTGCTAGGCCTCAACTCGCAGTGTTGACCGCTTTGGTGCCATAACATCTGCTCAGGAGCGTGGGCGAGTAGTTATACCCCAATGAAGATCAGCCAAGAAGCAACAGACTTCAATCGATTGATCATGACGCTGAGGCCTACTTGCCCCATACAAACAGACGCTCTATGGAAAGTGGGAGGCCAAGCATGCCACATCCACGGTTGTTCTTGTCCCACTTAACGTCATGACCTGGCGGTACATACAAGGCAAAAGACGTCAAGCAAAATAACGTGACCTGATCATGAAAAGCCTCTTGAATAGTACTGTAGAAGGATCGACTGTTTCCCAACGCGACGTGCGGGAGGGCTTATTGATAGCTTATACACAAATGATGTCTCGTGTCTTTTTAGCCCATGGCGCCTCTTGCGCCCGCCACGCCCACTTCTGCTTTCTTCGCCTTCGACTTGCTGTCGTCGGGGCCTCCAATAGTGCATAGAGACCGCTCTGTCGTAGTATACCCAAACCCAAGCACGCCAACCCATGCCCGAAAACAGCAAGAAAATACAATGGAAATGATAACAAGACCCATATAGCAAGAAAAGATATGTTCTGCCTTCGAGCGTAGCCCACTCAACTTGGCAAGCACATTGCGTGCCGATGTGGCGGATACCTCCACTGGCTTCGCAAGGCCAAGGACATCAAAAAGAAGCGCGGTGCCGCTTGCAAACATCTATAAGATGACACAGCATCCGCTCCGAGCTCTTCCCTCTGTTGCGGAGTCCTTGACGCGCTTCGTGGCCTCTTCTTCGTCTATTATATCCTGGGGCTTGACGGTCATGTGCACGACATTGGTGACTGACATCTTGAAGCGTTGTTCTGTTGATCTCGTCAGTATTTGCCGTCCTGTATTGCATACTCATCATCGCGAATCGTTAGACTTACGATTCAAGGGCATCCTATCTTCCAAAAGCTTTCCAAAATAAACAAGACGAATGGCACTGGGCTCCCTTGGAGGCTGATCCCAATCGGGACGCCATTCTCTGAGGATGAGCTCCTTCAGAGTATAGACAGTAATGCTGGAGGGGTCTGGCCTGCCGTCTTCGCTGTTGCCAGTGATTGTGACATTGCGTTTGGTGAGATACTTTTCGTCGATGCGGAAGGGATGCCTGTTGCCGTTTGAGACAAGCACCAACATTATGTCGACCGCAAGATCTCCAGCGCTGACTGGGTCTGCTGGGTCAACCGGGTTGATGGCGAGGTCTGCGTCATCTGCATTGGCGGATGGCTTGGCCGGGGCAGTTGGCGCAGCGGTATCCTCTGCCGCCCCATCCGTCGTGGCTACAGGAGCTGCTGCGGCCTCGCCGGTCTGAACAGGCTCTGCCAGGACTGATGACGGTTCGCCATTGACCGGCTTCGGCGGGATGGTTGAGAGATTCTCCATTTCGACGTCGCCGGCAGGCTGCTGCACGGCGAGGGGGTTCTGCTTTGTGGCCGCGTCGGCAGTAGAGGCAGCCTGGGGTGATGTGTCGGACATGCTGGTAGAATGTGCTGAGAGATAAGGCGGTAAACCAGCGCTGACGTGAAGACGTGTCAAGCGCAAGTCAATGGGTGTTGGGACCGGGCCAAGCGGATGCCTGCGTCGCACACAGGCCGCAGGTGCTGAGACCGTGGGAGCGTCGAAGGCTGAAGTTGCTTGGCGAGAAGGAGTGGTTGGAAACGAGGCAGATCAAGGTCGGACGAAGGGGGAACCGGGTCGAGAATGGTGGCGCACACGCATAGATGGGGAATTCGACAGCGGGCGATGGTTGTCGGCGAGATGACTGGCGGGGATGCCCTGTAGGCGGTGATGAGGCCTGCGCGTGATGGGATGCAGACGCGAGAGGGAAGGAGGAGGCAGTTGGCGATGGCGGACGAGCGTGGAGCAGACAGAGAGGTGGTGGTGCTGTCCGGGTGGTCTGGGGAAACGGCGTGGATCGAGAGGGCCGGAGCCAGTTGGGCTGCACGCAAAGTGGGCTCGCTGCTCCTGCGGGCTGGGGGGGGCGTGCCGACTGGGAAGGTGCAAGTACGTGCTGGGCGCAGCGCCGCTCGGGGTGGTCGTGCCAAGCTCGCGCTGCTGCTGCTGCACCTCCTTTGTCGTCGGCAGGGCCGCACCGTGCAAGCAAGTTCAGGGACCTCAGGTACATCGACACCCACCAAGCGCAAGCGCGCCTCGCCCCCTTGTCTTTGCCTCGTTCTCCTCCACATATGACCCGGCCGAGAGCATGCTGCCGTGGGCCTTGGCCTCTTGGCACCGGGCGAGCGACATTGGTCCTCCTCTGCCGACTCCGCGTCGAGACCCATTTCACAAAGCGCTGCTCGCGACCGAAATATGTGCTGATGCCGCACAGGAGACCCGATGAGAGCATCCAGTGGCGTCTGGGGGTATCTACGGTGGTCGCGTGAGACATGCCAGGAGCCCTTCTGGCGTTCCATCGCAGAATGAATGCTCTTTGCAGCCCATGTAGTCCCACCATTTTTTTTATCTGAATCCCCCCGCCCTCTGATCCTCCGTGCAGTCGTTGACTCGACTTGGCGCAGATTGAGATCCCCGCCGCATGGACAGTAGCTGCATTACCGGGTGCCGTTCTGAGGCAGCATATCAGGCACGAGCTACCTAGACTCAACCTCGAACCGTACCTGGGGCTTTGCCCTGTGCTTGTTCTGATGTGATCCTGGACCGGCCCCCCAGCTTGGCTGGAGCGAGAAATAGCCCGACCCGTCGCCAGGTGGGACCTGCTCAGGCCGGGGACAAATAACAAGTCCGCACCCGGGATCTGTACGAGCGTTTGATTTATTCTGTCACGACGGCTGTGTCCCCTTTACGCATGCACCTGCACCGCAAGCGTGATTGGGAGCGTCCCTGGCCCGCAAGATCCGACATGGACCCCATTGGCGGGGGATCCGTCAAGCGTCGTGATCTCGTCATCACGTCACCATCACAAGTGTTCGGTCAATCGAAAGACGCGCGGCGCCGCGCTTGCCACTCTGCTCGTCAGTGCTTCAATCGTGGCGAGGGTCTTGTTCGAGTTGACCCGTGCATCTTTCGTACTGCGGGTAATTTCCCGGATCAATCCGTGAGCCCTCTTGCGGCAGGAACCGCAACTAGTTCGCGACGCCTCGATGGGGGCTGCTTTCGTCTTAAGACAAACTCTAATCTCCGGGGCAAGTATACCGGTGATCCGGAGCTTCCATTTAGTTGACGAGCCCTCAGTTCCCAGCCCAGCATCAGCCGACCACCTCGCTGGTTGTGTCTTGTACATGGCCTTTGCAGGACACGGCAACGAATATGCTGGCGCTCATAGGTTTTTGATTGAAAGACCTCCGCAACGCCACCGAAGTTGCATTTGCTTAAGACGGCGGGCCTTCTCTGAGTCCTTGATCGTCAGGACTCATAAGCACACGACTAAGCGTGGTTCGTTTTTAACTTCTATTAACTGTGATGTGCATGAAAACGTTGTTACACCTGCGCCGTTTAACTCGTGGCACTCCCACCGAAAGGGCGTCCTCTTGTGTCTCTCCAAGCTCACACAGACAGCCGCGACCCCCTTCAACCGAACCAGTCTTGCGAGTTCGTATGCTCCAGCTTCAGTGAAATGGGCTGCCACTCTGTCGGAAGATACTCCGGCAGCAGGGCACCTTTGCTGGTTATCGCGTCGAGCGGGAAGTATCTGTCGCCCGCTGCATTTCGTAGGGCTACAAACCCCACGTCTGGTCCAAACCGGCTCAAGGCGACTTCCTCCCCGCCACATTTCGCGCTGTAGCTGTGTACGGGCGGGTCGAGACGCGGCACGCGGCGGTAGACGGTAAAATTGCCAAGTCCCCCGGCCTTCCAGGACCCGGCATACTGGTAGACCAGATCGTACAGCTTGCCCATGCGGAGCCCCTGTTCGTCACGGCAGTCGACGACTGCCCGATAGTAGGACTGCTCACTCCTGCCCTGGTTCTGGATATACCCAAGCTTCATGACTGCTGGCTGCTGCACGAGCATGCGGCGCCAGGAGGCACCTCTGCGGAGGTACGGCTCTCGATCTGCCCTGCTGCTGCCGGCGGCTTCCATGAATCCAAATGGGTTGCCGTCAGTCCAGTCGGCTTGCATGGCGTGCAGGTGGTAGAAATCTTGTCCAGACTGTAGCTCATGAGGCGGGAAGAAAGTCGGAAACCTCTCCTCGAGCAGCGGGTTGATACGCCGAGTTTCCGGGTTCGTCACGTCGTCAGTCTCCCGAGCGATGACTGGGTGGAAGAACAGCAGCTTTTGCAGCTCGACAGTCTGCGTGATGGCTGTGTGCCAGGCCCGGGATACCCTCTGGGCGAGGAGCAGGGTCTTGGTGTCATCGACGTTTGCGAGAATCTCGACCAGGAGCTCGGGCACGGCAAAGACAGCGGCAGCGGCGGCAGCTGCAGCGGCAGTCGCAGGCCCCGGACTTCGCCCCGCTGTCGAACCTCGCTTCTTGCTGAGCTTCTTATGCATCCCTCGGGCCGCTGTCTTGCTTGCTGGCTTGGTCTTGGCCTTGCTTTTCGCGGGTATCTTGCATATGCGGGATGGTGTAGCAGACGATGCAGGTGTCTGAGATCGCCTACTCGCGCTTCTGGTGACGGGCATCTTGGTATTCGAGTTGCTATGTCGGCGTCGCCTGGTGGTAGTCTTGTGCCGAGTATGGGAGATGAGCTGTTCTCGATAAGCTCTACCTTTCCAGAGCTGGCAGTAACTGCTGCTCTGTAAGGGCGAGGCTATTTATCATGTCACAACCAAGCCACCGCAACCACACACACACGCACATTATCATCCATCAGCAGACCAGCGGGTGGCCTCATGTCAGGCTGTCTCGAAGGCTCCTGCTGCCCATGAAGAAAATGCGCCCATTCAGGCAGAGTCAGAACAGCACATTCGCAAGAGGCCTATAAAAGTCCTAGTATGGCGAGCACTGCCGCAGCAGCAGCCTCAGTGCAGGCCATTTACTTTGTGTAATAAGCCCACCGGTTGCGTGATTGCCCAACGAGGCACAGCCTAGTCCGGACCCCTGTCCGTCGTCGTCGTGTAAGGCGGGTGAGGCGGGCGGGGGAATGGTGAACAATGCACAGCCTCCGCCGTTCCTCCGATCGCAATGCCGGTCCTTAAACATGATTCAAATTCCACGGGAAATGTTGCGGTCTACCGCCTGTTGGTCGGTATTTTCAGTGCTCAATCTGAAATAATCCCATAAAAAGAAAAAATAGTTTATGAAGGTTTTCGTGCTGTGCACTACAGCATGGGCACGTGTGTTGGCAATACAATCCCAACCGATTTCATAATTCTGTCTTTGCCCAGTCTGGCACCCCTTCATTTGTTTTGTTTTAATTTTTTGTATCTTCTTTCGATTTTGCTTGCGTCTGAAAGGAAAAACAAAGAACTGCGCTAATCCGGCAAGGCTCTCTCCAGTCCATGTGCTTCAAGTCCTCGTGAAGAAAAGCTTCATCAATCATTCAAGTTGCCCTGAGACACCATTATTGCCATAGATCAAGAGGTAAAATTATGGCATTTCGGAGGCGTCATGCGCGAGACGAAGCGAGACCCTATGTCATGGATATCCATATGGTGGCAGTTTACACCGTTCACGCCTCTTCCAACCACAACTCAACATAAAAAGGGGAAACCCCATGTAATAAGACAAAGGACTCAATTTATCGGGGGGGAAAAGAAGAGCATCCGACGCTCCCATCCCTCGACACGAGAATAGAATGGCAGAAGCCCAGCAAGAGCGTCCCTTTCAACTCGACATCTTTTACCGCCGCCACAGAGTATCCGACTGTCCCAGCTTGCACACCGTTCCCTGGGCGAGCGGCATCGCAGGCGACCACGTACCCGCGGCGCACCGCTGGAACGACTTGCCGTCGCAATTGTACGCACCCTCGGTCGTGCAAGGACCCGAGAGCAGCACGGCGCTGCTGTCGCCACCACCGGTGGTGGTCCCACTGCCATTGGTGCTCGACGCAGCAGGCGGCAGCACAGGAGCCACGGACGGCTGTGTTGTCGTGGCCATGGTGGTCGGCGTCGTTATAGTGAAGCCTGATCCTGCTCCGGTCGATGAGGGAGCGTTCCCGGCACTGTGGGTTTCTGAGCTGCACGCGGAGCTGTCGCCGATGGTAGGTGAGTTGCTCGCCGAAGAAGAAGCGGGAGGCGGAGCATATGGGGACGTCGAGGTTGTAGTGGTTGTAGGGGTGCTGACGCCAGCAGCAGCACTGGTCGAGGGTGAACTTGAAACTCCAGTACCGGTGTTACTAAGAGTAGCAGGAGGCGGCGCCACACCTCCTCCTTCCCCTTGTCCTCCTGCTCCTCCGGCAGCTACCTTGGGGATACACTTTGTGAGATCGCCAGTGATGGGCGCAAACTTCGCGTTGGGGTTGGGGCGGATGACGTTCGGACCAGGATTTGGGAACTCGACGTCGGCGCTGTCGCCCGTCTTGCAATCGTTCATGTCTTTGAGGTTGGCGACGAAGAGCTCCGGGAAAGCCGAGGCAGCGCGGAGATACGACTGTTTGAGAGTATCGTAACGAGCCATTGCGGTGCTGTTATTGCTGGAAGCGTGGGAGTCCTCAGACTGCTCGCCGTTGGCCGTCGTGCTGTCCGAGTGTCGACGAGACGGAGCATCACCGCTGCCGCCAGTGACAGTCACGGGAGCGCAGTTCATGTAGTACTCCCTCTGCCCGGCAAGCTTGCTCATCCATGTCCAGGCAAAGACGTAGTCTCCAGGAGTAATGCCCTCGGGGACGGTGAACTCGTACGAGCTCGGGGTCACCCCATCCTTGGCGGGACATCCGCCCTCGATGGACAAAATGACCTGCCAGCTTGAGCTGGCCGTCGGGACAAGGTCCTTCGTGAGAGCGAGCTTGCACGATCCGCCGCCGTGGATGGCAGTCCCGTCAAAGGCGAGGGTCTGCTTCTCACCAATGGCCATGGTGTTGGGTGCGGTGCGCGTCCGGGAGAACCAGTTCGCTGGATCGCCGCCCTCAGGACGGCAGGGGAACTGGCCGGCGTTGAGAGGGTCCCGAGCAAGAGGACCGTTGTCGGGCACAAATGGCTTTGGAGACACCATGGTCAGGTGTGCGGTGCATGGTCCTGCCACGACCAGAGTGGCTGCAAGGACTCTTGCGACGCCGGACCACATCGTGTCTGTCGCTGGCTTGTGGCTTGGAAATAAGAGAGAAGACAGCGTCAAGGGGATCTTGAAAACAATGAAGTTGTGGGAAGGCAATATCCAGAGGCAATGCAGAATGAGATGGAGTTGTTGTGATGTGATGTGAGGCTGGACAAGTCATGAAGAATCATGTGCTTGGCACGAGTGCTGATATACCGTCGAACATGACTGATCCTGAGCTGGCATGGGACAATACATTTCGTTTCAAGGCACCTACTCTCGTATGGTGATCCAAGCGGTCTGGGTCTGACCATAGCAAGGTAAGGTATGCAGAACCATCTCAGGAGCATCGAAACTCATTTGTTCTGTGGCTTGCTCGCGATGCCCACCATTTCATTGTTCCATTTGTGCATGCGACTTGAAAGATGTCTTGATTGTCATTTCAAAGGCACTAAACTTCGGAGCGAGGCATCGGACAATCTTTTACCATCGAACGGAGCCGATGGAGTAGTGGAATGTTTGCGTATTCACCGACATGGTGCGCCACTGTCAAAGCTCACCACCTCGTGGTAGGCGTGTTGTTTTGTATCACTACAGCCTCACGTCATAATCAGGTTCTCACACTCATAATCTTGCTTCAACTTGGCCGTGGTGAAGAGGAACTAGTCGAGGATAGCTCAATGTGTAGCAAACCCTGACTGTGAACAACTTCGCCGCTCCTCATTTATTCTCAAAGAACAACCAGTGCTTCGGGGTATAAGAGACTTTCAAATGACGTTTCGACAATGAAATTCAGTGGACCAGATCCTCCCGGCCGTCCTGCCAGCTGCTGCAATTAACACACCGCAATGCCTACAATCTGATTAGCGCAGAGCTCCACCAATTTCAACACTGATTGTCCGCGGGTCCCAAATCGGACTCGCCCAGGAAAATCTGAAAAAAGAAATGGCAATAGACAAGGTTGGTACCTACCTTCTCATTGATCCACTTGCGGCAGTACCGGCACTTCATCTGACGCCGGATCATGGGCTCCTTTGAGGCTTTCTGGTAAATGGCGGCAATGCCGTAGAGCGCGAAGCCCATGCTGAGGAAGTTGATGACGTGGGCTAGAAATTTGCTGTTTTTTTTTTTCGTGCCAGTCCGCTGGTGTCAGCTTGACCATCTCTATCTTACCTCGGCAGTGAAGAGGCATATTGACTTTGGATTCAAGTGAAAAGCCAGCCCGAACTTGCGTATCATTCTATCGTACGCCGAAAGGCGGCAACAAAAAAAAGGAAAGATCAAGTTAGGAAACGTACCCATAGGCCAAGATCACCGCCCCGTCCGTTACGGCCTGCTCAATTGTCGTATACCCGCCCATCTCCTCGTATCGCGGCCCAGGCTTGAGGACAGCAAACTTCTCCTGCATGTTACGGTCCAGCGGGAAGATTACCGAGATGGGCGGTAAGAGGATGTCGTTGACCAGCGAGGTCGTGACTGTTGTAAATGCCGATGCCAGGCTATAGACGTTGATGAAGTGTCAGCCAGTTCATAGGGATAGTGGTCATGAACGCTGGAAGAGATACGCTGCGGCTTCATTGCGATGCTGCTCGTGCCAGGACATCCTATCTCGGTGAAAGGGCATCCGTTTCGGCAGCAGGGTGTTCCCTATCGAATGCCCTCGCAGCAAAAGACGACATTGCCTCTAAAAGCACTAGTGATCTTTCACGGCAAATATTCGCACCAACTCATTCCATAACATGCAGCCCAACTTTGAGGCATATAAACAGACAAAGCTCAGACAAATACGAGTGGGCACTTACATCAAACCAAAAGCAACGTCCAGCACGTTTCCCGAGAACGCAAAGTCGACGAACCCGGAGAAGAAGCGCTTGAAGCGGCGCTGGCCGGTCTGCAGCAGCGCGGTGCGCTCCTCGTCATGCTGATAGTGGCCATTGTCTGTCGCGAGACTGCTGCTATCTCCGCGGCCGAAGGAGGGCGGCATCTTTCCGTTGTTGTGCTGATTTGTTTCCCCAAGCACAATAATGATGAAGGGCAACTTGAAGTCGGGCTGGGAGGTCTGGCGATCAGGGGGGCGGAGATGTGGAGATGGGTTGTGCTGCTGGGTTCAGGGGTCTGCCTCGGGGTGGTCGTGGGTCAGATGATAAGCAACGGTGCTAATTCAGCAAATCTCCTAACCAGTCAATCGTCGGGGAGATTCCTGCAGTCTCTTATGGAATCAAGGTAGGTTGCAGAAGTAGGTGAGTACTTGTTCAGGGGATCACCGTCGTCGCCCAGAGGTTGGAGGTGCGGGTGGTCCCGGGTAGTTTTCGAACCAAGCCTCTTGAATGTGGAGCACGGCTGCTGCTGCCAACACTTATAAGTCAGAACTTGGTCAACGACAACTCTGCAAACTCAAGCCAGGCTTTCCAATTACATTCCAAGTCAACTTGCTCTCACTTGGCTGGAGTTATATCGTGAATAAAGTCATAAAATTGTCCAAAGTTATCTTTTCCAACATTCACCAATAAACATGGTTGTCGGTCCTTGGTCTCAACATAATCAGGTGCAACCCCAAGTACTGACACCACACCCTTCTGAAACATTTGATGCAATTCGAACGACGTCGGGGTTGTGGCATCCAATCGTGCGGAAATGTCGATTCATTGTCCATTTCGGTTACAAACTTGGAGGATTGTCTAGTGGATTTCTGCTATAGCTATTATCAAGCGCGATCAACGCGCTAGGTACACAGTCTAGAACTGAAGAAAGAAATGGTATCTTGGGGTTTCGTAAATCATGGGTAGCAGGGGAGAGTTTGTTCAGTTTGGTTATGTTGCAGCGGATGAACAATTGCGCAAAAACAAAACGGGAGAGACCCTTTTGGTTTTCCGGGTCAATCGAGTGACTCCTCTCAATTCTAGTTGGTGTTTCTCTCTCTCCCTCCTCGAAATCCACTGCATTGCAGCGGTCTTGATTGTTGGGATTGGTTTGCGATGTCTGAGAAGTTGCAGTCTGCTTCTGCCGCGGTCGGTGAAGTCGCATTTGCTAGACCCCCGATCCTGGGCCGGCGCCTCCGCTTGCTTTTATTCGTTTATACACGCGACTTGCGGTACGTGACCCGGGGGAAGCAGCACAGGGAGCTCCAGAACACAAATGCGAGGAACATGGCCCCAAAGGCGCCCCAGCAGAGGCCGATAAACTTCATGCCCGCGTTGGCCGAGATGCCGACCTCGTCGCCGGCGTCCGTGATCTCGGCCGAGGCCTTGCGGGCAATGACGGTCGCGATGGCGGCGGCGACCGCGAGCACGACCACCGCGAGGAAGTTGAAGACGGCGTTGCCGATGATGGTCTTCTTGTGGCCCGCCTGCCGGCGGTGGCCGTTCCTGCGGCCCCAGAGCACGCTGAAGGCAATGGTCGCCAGGGTGAGCAGGATGGAGAAGCCGGACAGGGCGGCGCCGAGGACGAAGAGCACAAAGAGCGCGAAGAGGGCCGAGTTGAGGTCCTCGACGGCCCTCTCCACGCGTTCGGGGAGGGGTATCTCGGCCGTGTTGAAATGCAAGGGACCGACGGAGATTTCGTGGTTCAGGATCTCGGTGAGGTTGAAGCGGACTGGCAGGGTTTCGTCAGCTCTGCTGCTGCTATTGAAGGGAAAGATGGATATCAAGGCATATGTGCAGAAAGGACTTACTCCCGGCGGCCCTCTCGGTGCAGTTTGTCGTGTTGTACCACGCTCCGACGACGCTCGAGTTGGGTGCAAAGTCGCCCTGGCACCAGTTCATGACATGCAGGCTGTACCACTGCGAGATACCAAGCTTGTCGGTGATCTCGTCGGCCAGATCACCGATGACGTCGTTGACCTGGTCGGTCACAGCGTCCTGGATATCGTCGCCAATGTCGCCCAGGGTGTCGCCAAGGCTGTCCCAGAAGCCGCCGCTACTAGATTCCGACGGCTGGGCCGGGTCATTCTCGGTCGAGCTGGGGAGAAGATCTTGACCAAAGCCGGATACATTGAGCTGGGTTGATGTTTAGCTTGAGGGACGATAATTCAGCGTTGGAGGGTGGTGAGCTTACAGAAAGCATATGGTACTCCTCAAGAGCCTGCTGCTGCGGCCCAGTGCCGGCAAAGAGGGCAATCATGGACAGCACAAAGGCCGCGATCGACAGGGCCAGCGGGATGAAGAGCGGCCATGTCTTGACCTTCCAGGAGCCAAAGACGCCCATTGTGGATATTGCTGGTGACGACCGTCACACTCTCCTTGTCTTTCTGTCGAGGTTCTTTCGTCGTGGCCTAGAAGTGGGAAACTCCAGGAATAGCTGGGCACGGAAATGGTTGGTCGCCGTCTCAAGAGTGAGGGGAATGAAACGACGCGAGGGGACACGGAATCAGGAACAGGAAGGGCACGAGGTCCATCATATGTATTTCCCGACCGGAGACCACGAGGGCCACATGCAAGACAAGCAACGGGTCATGGGAAACAGGCAGCTTGTGCTGGAGCTAGCAAGCAGGGGACCAACGACAAGGACGACAGCAAGCCAGCCATTCCCCAGCCCTGACGTGGAGGCCACCGCCAGGAACGCGTCCATCTGCCAGGTTGACACGGCCATGGTGATATCAGAGGGCGGCAGGGGTCTTTGGCTAGCTTGTCGGTAGTGGCTGGCGCGCTCTGCTCAGCGGTCAGAGGCGCAAATCGAGTCAGGCCAGGCCGGGCTAGTTCAGGGTCTCGCCGTGTCGATGCAGGGTGTGGCCGGGGGGTGTTGGCGATGATGCAACAGCCTCGTGGGCCTGTGGAATGAAGAAACCCAGCAGATATGGGAGCTGCCCCCGAAACGCCAGCCGCGATCCTACCTTACCCACACGATTCTTGCGGTAAGCAAGCAATGTTGTGCATAGCGGACCATGGTCCATTTAGAAAAACACGAAGCTTGGCTTGCGTAGCAGCCGGTAAGCTTGGCATTGTGACCATACTGCGTAGTGTTTCCTGGGGCCGGGATGGTCAGGGTTTGAGCTGAGCTAGTCAACGACGGACATTCTTGACGGTGCCCATTAGCAAGCACCATGCACCCCTCTCCATTTCTCGAGCGAAACACCATTCGACAGTTTCTGAAAGTGTCTCAACACCACAAATAAGATCATTGCCGCATCTTCACATCAAGTCAAAATCACCAGCAGCTCTGGCGACCAATATCACCCTCCAAGTAAAACAATGCGCCAGCACGTCTTGGAGCGAACAGGGGGGTTTCTCTACCCGCTGTGACGTCACCTTCATAACCCTTGCCACAGGCCCACCGCTGGCCTGTCGATCCCTCCGTGCTGGACCCTGGTGAAACCTGCTTTTTGGACAACTGGCGCTCAGACACTTCACTGCTGGGTATCGAATCACAAAGTCAAGTGGCTGACAGGCCAGCTGGTCGTGGCCATTCTCCTTACACCTGCTTTTTACTGGGCGAACGAGGAAACGCACACTTGGAATGCAGGTTGCAATCCGTCTTCCGTGCGTGCAAGGAGACAACAGTGTGGCCGCTTGCTTACTTGCCCCGCGAGCTGCATGCCTCAAAGGGGACGTAATCTTTCATCGACACAACACAGGAAACATATATTTCGACCCAGACCTGGTATTCCATGCTCAGTGATTGTGGAACGTGGATGGAGCGTCAAGTTGGCTAGCCTCGACACTAAGCATGCCAGGACCCCTTGCCTTGCTTGTGGGGTTTGTTCCCAACTCTATTTCGTCGCATCGTGGCTGTGTACTTTTTTTTTGTATGTGCTTGCTTGCTCAAAGCGACGTGGCTGTCATCCATCTTGAGTCTAGGTCACTGCCCTATTACGTCTCTCTTCTATTTCTTGACGGAGACTATTTGCGTGTCTTTGTAATGGCATCTATGACTTGTCCCCCAGGGAGCACATGTCACCGCGCTGCTTGCTGCGCGGCCTCCCACTCCAACACCTTTTTGGCATATTCGGGCAGGACATCCCGCTCGACTGTGATCCACTTCCCCCGTCCGCCTCGCTGCACGCGGATGTGCTTTTCGACCTCGGACGCGGCTCTCACCCACTCGTCGTACTTGATGATCTGAGCCTTGGTCGGGCGGCTGCCGCCTCTGGCGCCTTCCTGCCCCTGCCCCTGTCTTTGCGCCGCCTGTCCTGCCCAGGAAGACTCCTGCCACTCCGGCAGCGCATAGCCCGACGTGAGCCTCAGCGTCGAGATCTTGCCCCAGTCTCCTGCCCAGTCGACACACGCGGAAGAGTTCCCGTCGTCGCGCACCACGTACTTGAGCGCCGGGAACCAGTCCGCGCAACCGCAGAGATCCAGGTACTCGAGGCTGTACATCCGGCCGCTCAGCCGGCGCAGTATCAGCGTCGCCTCGGTCCAGTCGTCGTCCAGCGTGTGGCTGTACGTCCCCGTACCGCTGTACTGCACGGACTGGCCGGTCGTCGGGGATATGACTTTCGTGTGCTTTGCGTTGGGCGTGAGTGATGGCTCCGGCCAGCCGACGAGGCTGAGATGCGTCACGGTGTTGAGCTTGCTGGCGATGGCCAGCAGGTGTTTCCACGACGGGGGCTTCGCGATGGTCGGATCAATGGCGAGTGAGAGACGTGTCAGGTTGGGTAAGAGTCGGAGGGGTGCGGCTGTTGGTGCCGGCGCGTCCCAGGATTCCAGCACCGTTGCATCTTGCTCAGGTGCTTTTGCTGCCGGAAAGAGTAGGTCGCCGACCTCCTTGACGCTCAACATTCTGCCTATCGATCCTGTGAGATCGAGATCTCTGACGTCTTCATTCAAGCTGGCAAGGTCCGGCGGCGCCACACCGTACTGTTCGAGTTCGTCGAGCGGCGGGCCCTGCAGGATCAGCCGCAGGTCCCGAGCGTTGAGGCCCAGGTGGTAAAGTTCTGATATGTACGCAATGAGCGCCGTGCGCAGTCGACTCGGCAGCGTGTAGATGTAGAACCTGTTCCAGTCCTGCTGCTGGTCCCAGTCCACGGCCATGCGGCGCAAGACCATCGCGATAAGGCTCTGCTCTTTCGGGTAATACGCGCCAGGTAGAGGAAGGGCCCGAAGGGTACTGGTCGTGCCGTCTTTCCAGCCAAAGTAGTTCGGCGAGGAGGCCACGTGCAGGGACTCGGCAAAGGTTATCCAGCTTCTCGGTGGCGGTGGGCCGGGAGGACCACGGCGGCCGTTGATGAAGCGGCGCTGGAGCCGTCGAGGCGGGGGCGCCGGGGACTCGGGGAGTTGGAGGATGCTACGAAGGTCTGGAGGCACACTGGGCGAGGCGTGGAGTTGCGACTGCAGGGCCGGGCTTGGGCTCGAGTTCAAGGTGCTCCGTCGCATATTTGCGAGGAGCTCGTTGACTGAGCGTTCATGGTGGTCTGGAGGACATTCACACGCAAGCGGGTCAGCTTTCATATTGTCAAGTGCAGCCGAACTTTGTTCGCGATGAAGCTCGGCGAGAGGCAACGAGAGAAGGGGGCAGGGGATGGCGCTTACCAGCATTGCGCGAGGACGACGACGAGAGACTGAGAGATGCCGGCGCGGTCGTCGGCGGCTTGGTGAACTGCGTTGGGTGTCTTTTCTTCGGCATTCCCAGGTGGTGCCAGGGAACATGATGCGTTCTTGCTTGCAGGAGAGAAAACCAAGAGACGCAAACCCCAAGAGCTCCGGCGGGTGGGATGGAGGTTGTCAAGTATCACTGGGACCTGTGACGCCCGCAACAGCGTGGGGAATGAGCCTGGCGCTAGACGCCGGGGTTAGTGGGGTTTATGTGCCATAAGGTAAGCAGTGATTCACATTGTGAGCTCATTTGGGAAATGAGTCAACACGACGGCAAGACCTCAGGTGCTTTCTGTGGGCAGTCCGCCTTGTCAGCGTCTGTTGGATATTATTCCTGGCTGTCTTTGTTGACTGCTGCGCAATATTTAGTTGTGAGTCACAGGCCCGCACGAGGCATGTTTCTGCGATGCTACGACTTCCTTCCAATGCACCACCACCCCTGTCTACGGGACCACAGAGCTTACACTCCTCCCACTTTTGAGAGAAGTTCCCCCGATTCTCAGATCCAAGCCACTATTTCACCGTCCAGCGACGACATTCAAGACTCCTCCGTCCACCGCAATGACCTCGCCATTGACATACATGTTCCGGGCAAGGTACAGCGCCGTCATGCCCATCTCCTCCTCCTTGCCCGCACGCATGAGCGGCACATGGCCCTTCTCCTGGATCTTCTCAGCAGGCACTTTGCTTTTCTGCCGGTCGTCGCTCTCCTTGGCCGTCATCTCGCTCGGGAAGTAGCCCGGCGCGATCGAGTTGACCCTGATCTTGGCCTTCTGGAACTCACTCGACATGAGCTTGGTCAGGTGCACGGTGGCACCCTTGGAGGCGTTGTAACTAAAGTGGCCCTGCGCATGCCTCATGATGCCGGACATGGACGAGATAGTGATGACCGACGGCGCAAAGTCGCCCAGCGGGCCCTTGGGCGCGATCGAGGCCTGCAGGAGCGGCAGGAACGCGACCGTCGTAAAGTAAACAGAGTTGACGTTGACGTTGAACACGTCAGACCACTCCTCGGGCGACTCGTTGTCCCACAGCTTCTGCTTGAGGTCCTCGGCGTCCTCGTGCTCGGGCTCCGCCTTGGGACCGGATACCCCCGCGTTGCACACCAGCAGGTTGATGAACTTCTCCTTCTGGCTCAGATCTGCCACGAGCTTTTCCAGGTCGGACTTCTTGGTCACGTCGCAGGGTCCAATGGCAATAACCTGTCCGCCGCTCGACTGTGGGGGCTGATGCTTCTTGGCCGAGTCTTGGATGACCTCGAGCCGGCGGCTCGTGATGTACACCTTGCAACCGTTGGCGGCGAGAGCCTGCGTGATCATGAGCCCGATGCCGGTGCCGCCGCCCGTGACGAGGGCGACAGAGCCGCGCATGTCGAACAGGCGGCTAGCCTCGAAGTGATGAGTTTCCGCCATGGCTGCTGGGTGTTGGTTTTGTGCAATATGAACCCTCTGAAGGTGTGGTGAGGTGAAGCAGTGGCTGATGCGGTGATGAATGAAATCAAGCCTGACTGAAACTGAAGAAAGGTAAGTGTACGACCGAAAGTGCTTTGTCCCGCTACAAGATGATTCCTTTTTGTGCATAACGATCCAGAAATAATCGTCGTGCCTGCGAACATCTCGATGCGGGCGTGTAAGTCGGAGGGATGTAGCAATGGTGACGTAGCGCTGGATTGGTGCGGAGGCTTTGCTCCTTGTTGCGTGTGGCTCGCCCGCTTTTGACGTTTGTAACGGTGGACCAGGTTAGACGAGCAGGCCTACAAATGCACATCAAGAAGGCTTGCTTTCGCAGTCTAGGAAATCATTGACACAAATCTGGCTCATCTCACTGCTCCATTCGAATGCCTTGGGACACTCAAGAAGTCATTTCCACAAAATACATGTGGCGGCACAAAACGGCCGGGCTTGTTTGGGACTGGGCCCCAACCAAAGGCTTGCTGGATTTTGAAGATGCTCCTGCTCAGTCGCGATGATCTGAGGATATGGTCAAATCGTCTTGGTTAAGTCAATGCTTCTGAGCAAAAATATGCCTGTAATCTCAGAGGCTTTTGTCTAATACCTCCAGATGGCGTCAGCCATTTTGACGACCTGGCCCATCTCCACGACATCATGCACCCGGACAATGTCGGCTCCAACTTGCACAGCAGCAGTCACCGTCGCGGCGGTACCGAATATCCTGTCGCCCGGGGTCGCAACGCCGGTGATCTTGCCTATGAAGCTCTTGCGGCTCGAGCCCAGAAGCCATGGCAGGCCCTCAAGTCCCGGCCAGTTCTTCAGCTCCTCAAAGTGTCGCAGCAGCTCAATGTTTTGCTCACCCACTTTGGCGAAGCCAAACCCAGGGTCGAGAATGATGCGCCACCTCCGAATTCCAGCTGCCTCGGCGGCAGCGACGCGCTCTAATAGCTCCTTGGCGACAGTCGGGATGAGGCCCTCCGGATAGTCGTTAAGCTGGCTCATGGTGGCTGGGTCGCCACGCATGTGCATGAGGCAGACCGTCTTGCCAAGCTTGGCCATCATGGGCAGCATCTCCAGATCCATGAGACCGGCCGAGACGTCGTTGACGATGTCTGCGCCGGCCTTGACAGCCGCTTCTGCAACAGAAGCACGGTACGTGTCGATGCTGATGGCAATGCCCTGGGCTTCTGGCAGGCTGCGGATAAGCTCGATTGCAGGGACTATACGCTTGATCTCTTCCTCTGCAGAGACCTGAGGCCGTCCTGGGGCAGTGGACTGCCCACCGACATCTATCATGGTCGCACCACCTTTGACGAACTTGATGATGGTCCGCGCGAGCGACTCTGGCACATGGGTGCCGCCGTCTGAGAACGAGTCTGGCGTAACATTGAGAATGGCCATGACATGTGTTTTCCGGTGCGATTTTAGCGCATTAAGGGGCTGTATCCCTTCGCCAATTGGCGTGAGTGTTGACAATGGCTCTCTGGCTGGCGGCAAATCATATAAGTAGTCCTGGATCATCTTCCATGGTTTCGTCGCATCTATAGACTTCGTGGCTGCGATCTGCGCCAGCGGCCGGAGTACAAACTCGCGCTCTGCGATGCCGATGTGTGGAATCTTGAGACGTTCGTGGTCGACAATCTCGTTCTCGTACATGAGGACGTCGAGGTCGATGTTGCGCGGTCCTTTATCTATGACCTTTTTGCGGCCCATGGCATTTTCTATATCTTGAAGCTCGTCTAGCAGGGAAAGGGGCTCGAGCTCTGTCTCAACCTGGACGAGAGCACGGCATATCAGTGCCTGCCTAGTCCTTCACGCTTGCAACACTGTTGTGAATTTGTACGCACCTCGCATGCGCCATTGACGAATCTGTCTTGGTCTAGGACATACATCGGTTCTGTCTCCCACAACCCGCTTGTCCTCTTCACAGTGATACCTCTTGATCCCATTTCTTTGCATGCTTGCTCAATCATGGCGACCCGGTCTCCCATGTTGCTCCCGAGGGCAATGTAGGCTGTCCGTTTGGCATCTCGAGCCTCTGCACAGCCGCAGCGTTGCCGTTCAGGGCTCGTTGCGAAGGACTTCTCCATCATCATCGGATATGGCCGGCGCGTCTGAGTGGCTTGTCTGCAAGCATGGGGAAATCGAGGGAGATCGTGCGCGGCCACGGCCCTGTTGGCCAATCGAGGGATACAGTTAATCTGGCTCAATTGGCGTCGCCACAAGCCAGCACGCAATGCCATTTGGCAGCGACCAGAGTGAGGGCAGACTGGTCTACAGGTCGAACCTGCGCGGACGAAGACGCCGGTGAGGCTCGACAGGCGTTGAATCGAGCGTCGAGACGAGCTGCGGTGCTCCCTTGCAGGGCCGGATGGTTGTAAAATTACTCGTCCCCCGCGGCCACAGAGGCGCTGACATGTAATAGTGGGGTCCGGTGAAGGGTCCCCATCTTCTGCCATCCACGGGGCATGCTTGGAAGTAATCGTCACGTCAGCATCTCTGCACGCCTGCTGACGAGCAAGACTCTCTGAATTGGCGTTCCACCTGAGCAGGTGATCGCGGTGGAAGCCTTGACATATTCTTGGCAGTTATCCGATAGACTCGGAGTCCTGCATTGCAGGGTATTCTACAGCAGCAGCACAGCGGTGCAAGCTGGCTGTCGGCGAGTTATTCCCTGGCCAGACGAAACCAGCTTAGTCGCAACGGCAGCGGCGGGATCGGGCTTTGACAAGCCAAGGCCAAGGGCAGGCACTTAAGGTTGCGTACCCACCGCCACTCGACGTCCTGGTGAGCATGTGACAAGCCCTGTCTCTCAGCTGCTTTTTTGCTCTGATACGCAGGCTTGGTGTCTCGTTTCCCCAGAAATCCAAGGATCAGCTCGGGTTGGCATCCCCCGGTTCCCCGCGCTCACCCGCCAGGTGGTGCTACATACATTCTGCCTCGGGATGTGCCCTTGTTGTTACGGACCCGGGAGACTTGATGTTCAGCGAGTCGAGAAAAGGATGGCCGTGGAGGCTGCAGCTTTGCGACTCGTCTTTGACCGCAAAGGCCGGTCATCCACAGACTCGCCCGCCGGGAACTTCTGTCATGTTTGCTGTCAGTCTTGTGAGCCGTCACCCGTGGGTTCCTGACTGTGTCGGGGGAGTAGAGGACACATGTGGGCTCCCCATGCAGGCCGGCGGTCATCCTCTGGTACCCAGCTTCGTCCTCTCCACGGCATGACCCCGGCCTCAGGGACGAGGATCTTTGCAGACGAGCCGGTCGGACAGGGTCCTGACTCGACTCGTGGTGACTTCGCAAGACGAGGGCAGGACGGGGCTAGCGTGGGCTGTTGGGTGAAGGACGGACGAGACGACAACATGCGACTCTGCAGCCCCACTGGCGCCAGCGGATGGATGCCTCGGCTCAGCGGTTGCTGCGCTTTCCCCAGACTCCACTCTGACGCCTACGGCAATCGCGACCGCCGCCTTGTCCCCGCGCCTGCCTCTCCAACTCTGTCAGGTGGCCCCCTTTGCCGTCTCTGCTTGTATAACCCTTCTCGTCCGCTCCCCTTCTTCTCCTTCTCCCCCCATCTTTCCACGAACTGCTGTGTTTCTAGACCGCCGACTCCGCTTGCATTGCCCTCGCTCCTTCTCACACACATTTCTGCATCTCCCCACAGCGTCCTCGAACATCACAGCAAGATGGCGTCGCCACGTAAGTTCTGTCTGCTCTCTTTCTGGCTTATCGTGTGACGATGCAAGTCGACGAGGTTGCTGACATGCGCTCGCCGCGCCTCCAGAGAAGATCCGGACGGAGATCACTGATCTCTTCAACATTAAGCACCCGATAATGCTCGCTGGTATGAACCAGGCCGCCGGGCCCAAGCTCGCCGCTGCCGTCACCAACGCCGGTGGTCTTGGTGTCATTGGAGGCATGTCCTACAGCCCCGAGATGCTCAAGGAGCAGATCGCGGAGCTCAAGTCATACCTCCACGACAAGAATGCCCCCTTCGGCATTGACTTGCTGCTACCCCAAGTTGGTGGCAATGCCAGAAAGACCAAGTAAGCCTCAAGCCACACCTGTTCTGTTCCGTGAGGAAGTGGCAGGCTGACGCGTGCCTGCGCAAAATAGCTACGACTACACGAAGGGCAAGCTCGACCAGCTCGTCGACATCATCATCGAGTCCGGCGCCAAGCTCTTCGTCTCCGCCGTCGGTGTGCCGCCCAAGGCTGTCGTCGAAAAGCTCCACAAGCACGGCATCTTCTACATGAACATGGTTGGACACCCCAAGCATGTCCAGAAGGCTATTGACATTGGCGCCGATCTCATCTGCGCTCAGGGAGGCGAGGGTGGTGGTCACACCGGAGACGTTCCTACCACCGTCCTCATCCCTGCTTGCGTCCAGATTGCCAAGGGCCAAAAGAGTCCCCTCACTGGCAAGCAGATCCCCATCATCGCTGCTGGCGGTATCGCCAATGGCAACCTCCTCGCCGCCTCGCTCATGATGGGTGCCGAGGCGGTCTGGGTCGGCACTCGTTTCATCCTCGTCGAGGAGGCCGGCGCCCCCGAGGGCCACAAGGAGTCTGTCCGTACTGCTAGCTTTGACGACACCATCCGCACCCTCATCTTCACCGGTAGACCGCTCAGAGTCCGCAGAAACCCTTACATTGTCAACTGGGAGGAGAACCGGCAAGCTGAGCTCAAGGAACTGACCGCCAAGGGCACGCTACCTTACGAGGCTGATCTCGAGAAGGTCATGTCTGGCGACATTGCCGGCACTGGCGTCGAGCTCAAGGAGGGCGAAGATGTTGACGATGTCATGGACTCTTTCCGGCCCTACCTCATGGGCAAGGTCGCCGCCCTTGTCAACGAGAACAAGACTGCCAAGGCTGTCGTTGATGAGTTCGTGGAGGATGCCTACGCAGCCCTTACCAAGGGATCCAAGGCTATTGCCAAGTTGTAAGCGTGTCAGATGAAGTCGACGTGGTTGTGAACGTGATCACGGCGCTGTGCCCAACCGTGAAGAAGAACAAGGAAAAGAAGAAACTACGGCTGTGGGCGATACCCTCCAGAAATTGCTGCAGCTTGCAAGCGACCGATACATTTTGTATACCATCTGAATTAGTATAAATGGAAATCATGTTGATAATAGCTGGGACAAAATGTTGCTTCTGGTGCTACTATCGTTGTGATTATCGCTATTCAATCTGCTAGCCCCCAGCTTCCGGCAGGTTTATTAACAACCACCTCGATGCAACCGGCATGCGCTACATCACAATGGATCAAAGGCCAGTCGGGACAATTGGGAATGCGTGAAGCGAATGTCCTTGATGGCGTGTCACCAGCCACTACACTGTTTGGTATCTCTGAAACGAAAGAAAAGATATTGAGAGCGCTTTCCTCCCGCTATCTCTGCCGATTGCCCTTGATTGTCATCCTCACCCGGCGTCGCTAAACTCGGTTCGAAGCTGCAGTCCTTGAGTCTGCGGTGGTGAGGACAAATATTGTAGGCAAGCTGCACGAACTCCAGTTGAGTGTGACCTGTCCCTGCGCTGGAGGAAGAAAGAAAAGCCCACAACCGAAAACCACCGCCAAACTCCCTTTAATACAATGTAACAAACTTTTCCACGCCAAAAGTGCCCATGGCTACTTGAGTACGTATTCAATAGAATACTGAGCAAGCTCTTGGCTGTAGACTCAACCATATTGGCCTTTAACGACACGGGAGCGACGCACCTACTCTCCTTCGCTGTTCAAATGTAGATGCAAACACGCGTAGTCTCTGCCTGCCCTCATGTCCGTCAATCATGCATGCATGTTATCTTCAAACGAACATGGCGCGAGCTTTTTGGCTCTGAAGCCAGGAATCAGTTAGATTGCGACGGGACGGTCGGGTAATATCCAGACGAGCTGGCCCTGCCCTCAAACCGTTGGCAGCTACCGGCATAGTAGGCGGGTCCGGGGTTGTACAGAGTCGACGGATGGCCATCATACTCATGCTTGACGCGCGAGCCATCACCAGCACCAATATGTCGAGCTGCAGTAATTTCATCAGCGTGATCGCCGCGGTGATCAAACATCTGGACTCGGTGGTGGTTTGCATCTGTTGTGCCTTCATATATCGTGCCGGGGAAATATTGGTAATCTTTGGATTCGGGCAACAACTTTGGGTCTTCCGTCATCGTCGTGTCCCGGGACAACTCGGCATTTCGGGTGGAAGAATAGTGCCCGGAAGGTCGACCATCGAATCCACCACTGCCGTATGAGTGGGGTAGCAACGAGGAGGGCCCGGCGCCGTAATCACTGCCCAGCAATGGGCCACCTCCGTAGCCGTTCATCCCACTTGCACTGCCTCCTCCGCTACCGGTACTTCCGCGGCGATCCTGCTGATAGTGACCTGGGGAGCGGCCCCGGACAATCATCTTTGCCGACTTTCGTTGTGCAATCTTGATGAAATGCTCTGGGCCCTGGTTGCCAACATCGCCGTAAAGCTCGATAACCAGGTGGTAGTACTGTTGGGCCGCACGCCGTTTCCCATTGTTTGCGGTTGCCTGTTTGAATTGAATTCTCTCGAAAGTATGATCCACCGGATAGTTGCCCCGCCCGTGGGTAATATAGCCGCCTTCGAACATACGAGCGTGGGCATCAGTACCGTAGAGCCCAATTGGCTGTGGTGGCTTGGGTTCCAGTCGTACTTTGTCTGGTTTAGAGACCGGGCCCTTGTCCCGCTTTGGCGTGTGTTGCACAAGGTCGATTTGTTGCGAATCACTTTCGGCGACGACCGCAGATATTGACATGGCGAAGCCGAAGACCGTGTATGTGTGAGACGAGTTCTCCGGCGTGAATTGTATCGGGGCGGCCAGTATGGGCGAGTAACTGTACGAGCATACGCAAGCAAAATAATTACGGCGGTAGCAGGTCCAGTCGCCTTCGGAATAGAAGAACCCTTTGTCAATAGCTCCTTGAATATCGAGATTCAATGGGGTGCTTCCTGGGTCTGCATAGCAAAGCCTGCCATTCATCGTCAGAGGCAGAAGCGGAGGTATGTTCTGGGAATGCCCGTTGGCGAATTGTCCAGTGTCCATCCTTCTGTTGGGACTTGTGAAGCTCACACTCGGGCTTGGCGTTGGTGACAAAGGGTGTCTTCTCAGTGAAGTGGTCGCCGTGGCTGATCTAGCCGCGTGATCGATTCTTCCAGGGTACGATGGAATCGCACGCGAGTAAAGATCGCGTGCGCTGTATGAAGGGTTTGGAAGAGCTGTCGAACGTTGGACATGGCTCATGCCTGTCAAGGAAGTGCTACCAGCGAAGCTGCATCGTCAGCATGACTCCAATACTCTCGTTCATCTTCTGAAACACATAACAAAAGCAGCATGGCATGCTCTCCAACGCTCGCACGTACTCGGATCCACTGTACCTCGACTTTGGCTCCAGGTTTGAAAAGACGTGCGTATTTGGCGTATAGAAGGTCGACACGTCTGAAGGATATCCGGTCGAGGAATTCAGTAGGGGCGCTGGGAACCCGCTGAAAGCCGATGAAGATTGGCAACTGTTATCTATGGCCAGAGAAGATATTGAATGATGGTCGTGCTGCAGTCTAGATGCGCAGAAAAGAGGTGTCAGCGCAGCTGTTGCCATGATCTCTGATATGCAGCCTCACGCCGGTACGCTGCCGAGACCTTGCTGTCGAATGGACAGCTTGGTATTCAATGGCTATGTCACAAGCAGAAAGGGGACGGTGGCACCAACAGCTTGTATCGTGCCACCGGGTTGGAAAAGATGGATGATGCACGACACACATGATGTTGTGTTCGCAGCGTAGCAAGCTAGCGACGCTGGTGTTGTGGTACGTGAAAGTGCCCAGCAGCATTCTACCCTATTTTCGAAAGAAGAGGGTTCTGCATCGCGAAAGCAGAAATGCCCGGCCAAGAAGGTCTTCTGATGCAAGGAAACAGTTCTGGCAGGATGGGAGATGTGTGTGATGTAGCGCCGCTGACGGAGTCCGCGGGCGCAGAACGGTGGCTGGTGTGGACAGAGTCGAAGGAATAAGACTAGCTCACGTACCGCATATCAATCGGGGTCGGCAGCTCGAGATACTCTAGGGACTCGAAGTCCTGCTATGAAATACCAAACGAGAGTTAGTATTCAAGATCGTGTCCAGGGTCTGCTCTGTTTGGCATTTCGCGCAGGCGTTGGCTGTGCAGCATTGCTCCGAAGCATTGGCAAGCTCGGGCGGCAGTGTACAATGGAAGCTGCTGGAACTGCTTCTTTGTGTACAGGCCTCGCCGGGGGAATGTTGAGAAGAGGGCCTGAAGAGCATCGCATGTGTTAGTCCAGGTTCCATGTAACTCAGGATGCCGCTCAGTGGTTCAGCAGTTGCGCCTCCCCCATGACAGGTCTGGGGCAAAGAGGACAAAGAGCCCAGTGCTTGGGATTGTAAAAGCTCTGGCCGTCACTTTTGGGCTCGCCAGTCAGCAAGTCCCCGAGCTCCGCCCTCGCGCTGAGCGTATGAGCTTATCCTTGCCCGCTGTGCGACCCCAGGTCGGGGGTCCGTAGCAGCACGATGCCACCAGTCACTTGAGAGCCATGGCAGCCGGGGGGCTTGACGGATCTGCTGGACGGCGAGAGCCGGCATGAAGGCTTGCCAGACCGCAGGAGCCGGGTGGGTGGCGGAAGAAGCACTGTCCAGCTACGTGCCAGTGCAGAAGCAGATGACGCTGCGTCGTGCATGGCTGGTGTAGCACAAGGCTAGCAGCTGCCGGGATCGCCTTCAGCCCAGTCTAGAACCTCTGCTGCTCGTGCTGCTCCGGCAGGAATGGCTGACGACCAAGAATCGTGCAGGTCCCTGGCACAACAGAGGCGAGCGGGTTGCGCCACGACTCGCTTCGCTCCGTGTAAGCAGCATTTGAGCCTCGCCAGGCCGTGCCCGTCACGGACAGGAAGCGGTGAAAGATGAGACTGTCAAGCAGGGCGTTGGGAGCCTTGCCATGCCCCTGCGCACACAAAGTGCTTGCTGCTCGGGGACAGACATGGGGTAGAGTAGGGGAAGGGCGTCATGCTGAGTGAACGGGAAGAGAAGGCAATGGGCCAAGGTGCATTTCTGAGGCTGCTATATTGGGTCGTGGGAGAAGAGAAAAGCACGGTGCTAGAGGTGTATGTCGCGAGACTCCATATATGTGTCTGTACGGATCTGTGGGAGGAGAGCAAGATGCTCGAGACAAATGTAATTTCGGGGAACGTGCTCCTCGATGCACTTGCAGTGAAGACGTTGTTGGGTTGGGAAAGCGCAGCCCGTAAGTAACAAGCTGGGAAAGTGGGGACGCGGAGCGATTGACCAGGCTGAGGCACAACGGGAAGCGCTCTTGTTTCCTCACGTTCGCCGTCTCTGCTGCCACTTACCTTGATTCGCTCCTTGGCTTGCAACCACCCGCGCTTCTCTTTCTCATCGCGGCCCCTCCTCCCGGGCGTGGTCCTTGTCTTCGACAGCCGTCCCCGTAGGGGCCTGCGCTCCCACGCGTCGGCTCCGCCCGATATGTCTAGGCTCTTCGCCCAGGATCAACCCAGGTCAAGAACCTCCTGGCACTCGGCCGGCTTTGCGTGGGTCCGCGGCGCAGCAGTAGTATCGATGTCGATCATCCGGCAGACGCCTGCAGCCTTCGAGGCAAGGATCTGGTGCAATGGACTACCGACCGTAGGACAGTTATGTCGCCTGACATAGAGGTCTCGCAGCGAAGAACAGCCGTTTAGGAAAGCAGGAGGCAGAGAGGAGAAGCATGCGCAAGGTCGAGGAGAAAAGGGACATTTGGCATTCCATACCTTTGAAGTAAGTGGCTGATTCATGGGGACGGACACCACCCGCTGCCTGCAGCAGCGAGGCAAACAGGGGGGGCAGGGGTTCAGGTTGTTGGGCCGCGGATGCAGCAAGCGTGCGGAGGATCTCTGACGTCCTATCGGCTGTGGCACCTATTCGTCAGTTTCCCGCGCTGTTATGCACAGGGTTGGAGCTTTCCGCCTGCAAAGCTAGACGGCTCGCGCTGAGGAATCAGGTGGGTGGGCTGCGTCTGCACAAGGACGACGAACATATGCCTTGGACTCGGGGTTTGACCGAGACGAAAGAATCGTGGCGATGCCCGGCAACAATGGGAGCGCCTGCTGTGGTTTTATTCGAAGCTGGCCGGCCTGTTGACGCTCCCGAGCAAGCAGATTCACGCTCAATCGACGTGCTCTATGCGCCTTGCCGCTTGACCTGGGCGCTGGTAACCACTCAACAATCTGGCGGTGACGGCTCAGGCTACCGGTTCCGAATCGAAAAGATTGCCGGCAATTCAACACTTGTCAGAGAGTGATCAGATGCCTGCAGCGCTCTGCTTATCGTCGACGTGGTTGTTGTCGGCCTGGGCCGTCGAACCTGTTATCGCCAAGCACGATGGTCTATGCACACCGTCTGACCGGTACTGCAGCTGACTTGCCGCACTGCTTCTCCGACGTGGATGCCTTGCATGTGGTTAGCTTCCGTTTCAAAGAGGGGATCAAGGCGGTGTCCTCCTATCCCATGCTGGCAACCACTCGCATCGCTGGCCTGCCTTGCGCTCAGGGTCGGCCCGCATTCTGGTTGGAGCACAGGGTGCGTGAACCCGACAATGAGGCCACCTCGCCGATGACCCCTTCCCGAGCCGGTAAAGGTCCGCAAGGCGTTTTTGTGCGTTGTCTCTGCACTTGCGGCAGCCACTCGCTGTCCAGCGTGGCAGTGGCCAAATCGAACAGGACTGCCATCCGACTGGACGAGACTGGAGAAACTCACCCTGATTTCGTCGACGCCCTGCAGAGGTCTCAGAAGATTTGTCAGTCTCTGGCAACCCCAAGTCCTAATGTCTGGTTATTCATCACGCTCCCATTGCGTCATCAGGGGGGTCTAGAATTCGTGCACCAGCAGAATCATAGCCACCAGATCCCCACTTGAGGCTCACCTTATCCTGTCTTCCTTTCTGCCTAGAAGTGCTCTGGGCGAGAGCAGGAATTGTACAGCACAGAATCTCCCGTTTCCACCACTCTGATGCTTGCGGTGAATGCCGGAGCGGTCTGTTGGTACCCGCGCTGCCGAGACTCGACCCTACGTTGTTAGCTTTGTGGTTTTCAGGCTCAGTTTAGCGAAGGTCCGCATGAAGGCCACTGGCATCTCGAAGGACATTTTCGCCGCCAGAGGGGATATGGCTTGAAAGGTTCAAGGCCCATGAAAAGTCTGAAAGGAGGCCACTCACGGTTTGATATTGCCACTTTATGTCGAAAGGATGGTTGATATTCTGGTTGAAGAATGATTCCACCACAGCCTGGAGGTGGTGGAGGACACACTTATACCCGAGCAGTGCTTCTGCGCCGGACCGGTCTTCCCGTCTGTGTGTTGGATTCTCCCGCCTCCGACGTTGGTTGACTTCCAACTTCGAACACAAGGTCCTCTTGATGTGACAAAGAAAGAGCAAGACGGAGAGCTTTCCAGTGTAAGATTATCGGCGGGTGGAGTCGGATTTGGTGCTGATGAATGGCGTGTGTCTATGCGTGACGGGTCTGTTGCTAGGGGTTTGAATGCCTTCGGTCAGACAGCGGTCTTGTACTTGTACAAAGACGCAAAGATGGGACGCAAACTCTGATGGTCTCCCTTCGACCACTTGGTAGGTTTGGTGGACTTTCTGGAGATGTACACGCAGAGAGGGACCAGATCAAAGAGATACCATGGGGGCCACAAGACTAATCCAAAAGAAGAGTGGTAAAAGGGGAAGACATGAGGTGAAGTACACGAAGAGAAGATATCAAGAGCTAGAAGAGGGAAGCAGCATGCGGGACCAGGGGTGTATAAGGGAAGGGGGCGTGGGCATGAGGGAGAGCGTGTGTATGTGCCTATGTGTGTGAGTGTGAGAGAGAAAGAACGCGGGCATGACAACTGGGCGTGTACACGCCTCGCTGGCCCGCGATGTCGACGCCTGTGGTCGCGGTTGTTGTTGCTGTCGTCGTCTTCGCCGTCGTCGTCATCATCCATCGCCCCATCTTGTCGGATCTGCCTTTTGCGCGTTCGGCCACACTCCGGGCATACTTTGCGTCTGCCTGCCGTCCGAGGGTCTGGTGATGCCTACACGTCTGCTCGTCGTTGCGGGAAAGGGGGCCATATGCGTTTCAAGGCGTGCGAGGCACGACACGGCTCGAGCTCAAGGAGCAGCAGCAAGTGGAATGTTTCGAACACGAGCTCAACGCCATCTTTACTGCCTTGCCCCGCGGCCGTTTCTTCATGCCAGTACCGCGTCGAATCACCGAGGGAGATGACAGCAGGTGAAGGGCGTGGAAGTAAGACTACGTGGAAAAATGGGTGTAGAGCTCATTAGCCCACTTGGGCTAACCTGCCAGACGACAGTGAACGTCAAGAGAGCGAGGATGTACCCCCCCCCCCCCCCCCGGTGCCGTGTCGTGTCGTGCAAGAGGATCAAGGCGCCGTAGGACAGACAGGAGGAAGCCGCACAAAAAAGGGACGCGAAGCTAATCCAGCACGCCGTGGTGTTGCATTAAGGGGCTGGAACTGGGGAGGAGAGAGATAGAAGCCAGAAACTTTGGTACCTTTCGTGATTAGCAATACACGTATGGCTAAGAGGCATGGATTTGGGCAGAAATAAGAACCGAGAAAGGCGAGAATCGAGAGCGCCAAAGGTGCGTGTCACTCGGATGTTTTCCAAAGCTTTCATTCATGAGCCGCTCGTGGCAGACTGAAGGCGTCGAAACCCTCTTTATAGACTTGTGCGATGACGCCCTCGGCGGCGGCAAGGATGGCCCAATAGGTCCTGCCGCAGGGTCAAGAGGGTTTACGCGGTTCGCTCGTCCTCTAGAACACCTGCGCTGCACGCAAACATACCCTTTTAGGTTGATGTAGTTTATTTTTACTGCACTTCCTCTGCCGACTCGCATATCTGCATCGTTGCCCACTCTGGCCCTGCACGGGTCCCATGCTGACACTTTAGATGCGCGTGGTCGTCGGCACCCGCAAGGGGAGCCCAAGAATCGCGGAAATACCAGGACCTGACCCACAGATGCTGGGCCCCGGCAAGGGAAGAGACTACGAGCCGACAAATCGAGGACCCGGCCAGACTGCCCCTTTCCGTTACATGAGGCGACCTCTGTTGGCAGTCATGCCCTTGGCCAATCCAAAAGAGGAAGTCTGACACACAGCCTGGACACAAACTTTGCCATTCTGCTGAAGGTTGTCCAAGACTCGACTGCTTGTCGGCGCCGACTGTATTGTGCTGGTATGGAAGCTCAGCACCGGGGAAGGTTTCCGGCTGGTCTGACAAGACTGGCTGTCGGGGGCGCACAGCCGAAGGCGTTAAGCTACATGATCTGGTGTATCTAAGCCTCAGATCTCAGATATGGCTAGTTTGTCCTGTGCCTTGTATCGGCCCTACATCAGCGGTATCTGTCAGTCCATCCTGGTAGCTTCTATGGCAAAGTATGATTTCTGACTGCGGTCGTCTAAGTGCCACCTTCGACCATCCGCCATTGTGTCACCACCCGCACTCTGTGGAATCAGGGGGCGTGGAAATATAAGACTCTTTGATACAAGGTAAACGTGAGGCGGCGACCTCAACATAACCGTGGCTCAGAGACACCGAGTCCATGACAATATCCAGTTACCTCACGTGCTGAAGATCTGACCATCCGCAGAGACTCGCCCACTCTCGCCTCGACGTACCCAGCATGCTGGCAGCCTCCCCCTCGATTGCCGTGGAAACAGGTCCTCAGACGGATGCGGATGGGCGATCCGCTTCCATGTCTTGGCTGGAAATGGGCTGTTGGACGGCTTGCTGCAGGACGTGCTGACAGACAAGTCGGGCCTGTCGTCGCGGCGTCTCCGTCTCCGCCTAGCGCCCTCTCCACTGACGATGTGCCAGGCCGGGGCGAGTGGGTCGAGGCAATGATCGCCTAGTCTCCGTCCAAGCGGCTAGTGACCACTGCCGTGGCCAGTAGCAGAGGTCCGGACCCTGCACATGCCGGAGCCGGGCGATCGTTGCAGCTCCATGTCAGATGGTAATCAACCCTGAACCCGGCCCCCGGTTGCCTGACGCATGCCTGTGAGCCCTCGGCGCCGACATGGTCCCACTCTTACGTTGGGATCACCCCGACTCGGTGTGGCCATGCGAGCATCAAGTAGCTGGAAGTCAGATTTGTCAGAGCCATGCCCACGTGCCAACGGCCATGTTCAACGGAACGAACGGTCCGTGCGAACCATCGGCCTGCCATTCTTGCGTTGCTAATTGCGCCCACAACTCCCCTCTGCTCTCCGCCGAAAGCTCAGCCATCCTAGTCCGCAAATAGCTTCCCTGCATGACAAGGACAAGCCTTGGCCACAAGTTTCTAGGCTGGCGGTAGTCGCCATGAATGGTCTCGCCAGTCGTTCTTGGAGCTTTGTAAAGGCGGAGCTCTGCCACGCTCCCGCCGGTCAATATTGACTCGCTTACGTGACTAAGGTCAAGAAAACGTCAGTGCTCACTTGCTGGACAGGTTTCGAAGGATACACGAGCAATATCAGCCTCCCAAATTCGAACCGATTCCGATAGCGAAGGCGTAGTTTTCCTTTGCTAAGACATACAGCGCGTGCCAAAGAACACGAGGTAAAGAGACTCGCGATAGTCCGTGGCCCGTCAAGCCACTAAGGAGGCAGTGTCAACCTACCTCGCTGCAGTTAGCCAGTCTGGTGAACTTCCCGCCGAGGCCCTGGGCACGGGTCTTCCCTATTTCGAAATGGAGTCGACCTCGTGGCATAGAGTTTTGCGGTTCGGGATCGCCGCTGACCCTAGTACTCAGCTGGTGGGTAAGTTGTGTGCAAATGCCGGGTTACCTTCTTTCAGTGAACGGGGACAGACCTACGAGTCGTATGTAAACAGGCACGCAAATCAACAACTGCTTGGCTAATATCCGTGAGACTACGTCAGATCTCTGTGGCAAATGGCCTTGTCAGTATCAAATCTGGTGAGGTGGCGATAGACCTGGCATGATCTTGTCCACGGAACCTGGCAGTTTCGTTGGCATGCGGACGTGCTGGGAACACATCATCATCATAACGACGAAGGTATCAATGACAACTGTCAGACGTGAGCATCTGCAGGAACCTGACCAGGATTACCACGTGCAACGCCACTTTGTTTCGCTGAGTTTAAGTCTAGTGACCAAACTCTACGTTTCCTTACGACGCTTCACTGGCTCCCGCGATGACGGGACCATGCAGAAGAAATTGGTACCTGGGCATAACTCTCATAGCATGTGCCTTGTTCCAAGCTGCCCTCCACGCACGATTTGGTGCAAGCAAAGCCTGCCGCCTCTTGTGGTCCCCGCAAGCCAGCGACGCCCCAGTACGTGACGCTGGACGATCCTAGCGCAAGTCTACTGCCGTGGCAAATAGGCATCCCAACCGTAGAGGCTTACGACCCACACCATTCAGGCGTGATGTGACACCATGACTATTCCAGAAGGTGATATGTTCCGACGGCCTTCCGGCATCCGACGCCCCGGCAGTGAATTTGCGCCAACATGCCATCGACGGGCCTGCAATCACGATCTCGTGCAAGGTGATACGATGGTAGTTCGCAGCACCGTTTGCTGCGCAACACGAAGACTACTCTTTCTTGCGCTGGATCAGCAACAAGCATGCTTTTGAGATGGCTGGACGGACATGGCATTGCCGTGCTCTCGCATTCCACAGAAGCGGCCGGGGGAGAGGTGGTCTCGAGGTCAGGGTGATTATGAATGAAGACAGCTACATGGTGGCTGGTGAATTGCAGTGGAGCACAGAGGTGACAGGCCACCCTCAAGCCTCTGTAGCTTGGCGAGGGAAGCTTGACGAGGGTTTGGAAGGGGCAGGCCTGCTGGGTTGGAGTGATGATTCGGCACCGACGTGAGGCTCTCATGTTAGCCCTGGACTCGACACCTGCGCCGGGTGGAGCAATCTGTGTAACGCCAGGCGCCAACCAGATTCCCTGCTCGCCAGAGGGCTCTTTGTCAAGGCACCTTTCCGGTTGTTTCATGAAGGTCGGACGAGAGATCAGGGATTGGCAGCTTCCGACCGGGCAAGGCTGCTTCATTGGTCTGGGTGGCCCTTTTGCTGAGGCAGTGCTTGTTGTCGGGAATGAGGTTGCTGGCCAGGGTGGCTGTCGATAGGACGGCCAACACAAGCAAGGAGAACAGCTGGGGCAGCCTGTCTCCTGCCGATCTTCGTATGTCATTGTCGGCCGGCCGCCATGAGACGTGGCGGTATCATGATGGCTCGCCTGTGGTTTCTGGGGACGGATGGTGGGGGGCCTCTGCCAGCACATGCGTGCGTGCGTGCTTGCCTGCCTGTTGATGGATGTGTTGGTAGGAGGCAACAGGTGTTGTTGCCTGGGGGGGGGGGGCAGGAGCACCCAGCACGCACGCACATGCCCTTCTGTGCCAATCCCATCCAGAACATACTCCCTCTTGGGGTCGTCTTCGTCGCTCACCAATTTTCCGCTTCGTCCAGCTGGCAGCACCCTCGACCCAGCGTAAGCCGGCTGCATAGAACTCACTTGCCCCTGCGGCACCTTTACTCAGAAAACTACGAACCACAAAGCGATCCCTCTTTGAGGCTTCTCCGCTGCCTGTACGTTTGGTCTTGCAAGACTCAGCCTCAGGCGCAAAGTCATCCCACGGCCATGGCTATTCAACTTGAGTTCTAAGCCACCATCCCCGCCAGGGGTTTCGGCCGCCGCTATGCCCATTGGCACACATTTCCATAGCCGTGATGAATCGGCACCGAAATAGGCTAGACAAATGCAACTACTGTGGTGGAAGGCCACTGAAGTCAGGTGAGGCCTGCCACAGCCATGCTTGATTGCTTCCGACCCCTGAAAAGAATCCTGGCTATTCATGCCATCACACTAAATGGCAGGGCATGATTGGTGAAGTCACTTACTGGCATAGGTCCAAATAAGTGGTATTCTTGGCTCTCCATTGGGTGGCAGAGAGTGCCCAGCCCTGCTGCTTGCAAAATTCCTCCACGCATTTCACAAATGGCACTTGCCGTTCGCCGCCAGCCACGGCTGGCAGCCTGTGTATGCATAGCCTAGTTACTTCAGGGCTTTGGTTGGCTGCTCTCAATGCGTGGTGCTGCATGTGCCGGCTGGGCGTCGACAAGGTCACCTTCTCGCCTCTGCAAGTAACCCAGCTTCGGACATACCCTTTGATCTGGCCGCACCACTGCGGCTGTTGCGTGCCAATACGAATAGAGTCACGGTCCTGGGCCAGCTTGACCGCTTCCCGTTTCCATGCATGGTACTTCTTGCGTCCGCAAGGTCTCCCCGGGATGGAAACCGGAGAGGCGCATGAAGCGATACACTCCATGGGGATTTTCCATCTATAGTACCCATGTACTGCAACGGTAGCACCGAAATGCTCAGCGAGCAGTCTCTAAACCAGGTGTGGGTTGGCCTTTTCATCCTAACGTGGTGGCATCAGTCCACCTCGAGAGAGGCGGGCAACGGACTGCTCTTTGCGGAAGCCCTGTCAGTCTGTGAACTTTGCGGACAGGCAGTGCGAGCTAGCAAAGATCCAACATCATGCACATTGCAACCCAGATTGTCGTGATACACAATTCCTACGAACGAGCAAAGCTGAGTCTAACGGGAAATAGCTGGGCTAGGCGTATCGACCTGCCAGGAATACGCGTGGGGAGACTCCAAAATGTGCACTGCCTACAACATGAGGTCGCACAGACCCATCGCATCTAAGACAGGCGGAATAAGCCTCTCGGCTGTCGCCCTGTGCACTGGGCTCCTCGTTTATCCCAAGTTGTACGAGCCAGTGTGCCATGTCCTTTAAGCCAAGAGGAAAGCTGTCTGGACGTAGTTTGCTTTTCCGCCAGGGAGCTGTCGAGCACACAGCACTGAAAGTCAACCATGTCTCCGCAGTAGGCACCCTTCCCCCTGTGGCTGATAACATCTGAAGGAGGTGAAGCTTTTGTTCTAACGTTGAACGCCACAAGTAACCGAAGAGCCGTCACCTCCATCCCCCTTTCTCCTCGCAGGGAACTATCATTTGAAGGAGCACTCTAAATGCACCTCAAGAATTTATATGTGTGTCACAAAGAGGCGTGCTTCCAGATGTGGAGTTCCTGCCAGGGCGTGACCTTGCTAATCAGGCGACCCGTGGGTGGCTGTCTATCGAAGCAACACAGTTTCATCGTAGGAGTTTTCCCCAGTCCGTCTGCCGACCCCCAAGTTTACATCAACAAACGACTTCTTGATTGTCCAGTTCAACTTTGCAGGCACAGCCTCTTCGCGTCACCGCCTCTGTTCGACGAGCGGGCAGTGCTTTGCGACGCTGGTCAAGGGTACCACCCTCCACTCGGAACTTTCAGAACTGAAAGCATAACGCGAACCTCCGGCTCACGCCTTCAATTAGAAATTAATGCCCTATTTCTAGCATTTCCACCTCTATGCTATCACTGGCCTCTAGGTGGGTCATCTGCAGATGCCAAAATGACCAAGAGATGTTTTCGTGTGGTAGGACAAGATGGTTATTGTTAGGTTTCCTTGGCGGCTTGAGCTCTTGGGATGGTGCTGATGGCTCCCTTTGTCTGTCCTAGGCCATTGACATTACCCAGAGGAATTTAGAAATCCCAACAGAAATTGTAACAGTGCCTGAAGAGCGAATTACAAGATCTGACATGATGAATATCCAAAAGAACTAGCACAAGGCACCGCATCATCATGGGGACTTTTGACCTGCGGGAGTGACCCTCCGCTCTCCTAGAGAAATAGCTCATTTTCTCGATCATTGCGGTGGAATTATGCATGACATCGTGAGCATGAGCTACATCATGACTCCAAGTCGGGAATATATTGTGGCCCTGGACCTGTACTGTTGGAAAGCGAGCTGTGCCGACAGTTGCGTCGCCACCGCTTTCCCAGCTGCTCCTTCTGCTTGAGCAGCCAATTCGCAAAGTCATTCTCCGCTAGCCTCCTGCCGACGATTGACCTTGTACACCTCTACTTGATACCCAGATATGATTGAATTCATCAGGTCCAATTACATCCGCAACAATCCGTGGAATTTTAGACTACCCTTGATGGAAGCCTCCATTTTTTGTGGTAGCATGGGAAGAAGAGTAGGCGTGCGCATTTCAACATCTACTCAAAGACTGTTTCCACACACAAACGCGTCGGCTGTGCTTGCTAGGATATACACAAGATTGCATAGAACGACCTCTCTAGGCAGGTTTACCCTAGTGTCCGAAAGAGGTGTCCAGTTCCAGCTCCTAATCATCGGACCCGAGAAAAGTTCGTGAAGGTCAGGGACGCCACCGCTGCCTGAGCAAAGGCGCCATTCCTGCCAAGTTGTTTCGTCAACGCATCGTGGCGTGCATATACGAGAGCCTTGACCCTCCCCTCTCAACATCGCCTAGGGACGCCATTCCCTTGTTTTTCTCTGCGGTCTTCGTGATTCTCTTCTCGACCCCCGTCCCAGCATCCGCAGCTGCAGGGACCCAGTAAGATGAACAACGGAACTGGCCCTAGACGATATGCAAGGCGGGAAAGGGGAGCGGCAGCGGCAGAAGCAGGCAGCCTCCGACCCGGGCGGCCAGATCTGAAACTCGATAACCACGTGTGAGAATTGATTACCGTGCATGACTAACCTGTCCCGGGTCTCGCGAAGACCTCAACCACGGTCCATGCCGTCGTCGTCGTCGTCATCGTTGTCATTCGAGTTTATCCAAGTTGTCCTTGGGAATCTGCATGTCCACGCCAACCTGTCGTCTGACGTTCACCGGTGAGGTTCTGGTGACGAATAGGCTCGTCGATCGGCTCATCGCCTCGAAGGGGCGTCCCTGGTGGTCTGCTGACCGGCTACATTTTCGCCCCCCCGTGTGGGCATCTGTTGTCTGTCTCGAAGAGCAAGTCCTCTTCGTGGCTGGCTGCCAGACCGCGCTCTCTGGTTCTTCCGTGCTCCGATGGGATACATCGGCAAACGCAGATGTCTTCCAGGACAAGGACAGCATGAGTATTCACGCCAATCCAACCGCCTGCTTCCAGCGTGACGGACCAATACTTTGTCTAGGCTTACAGAAGCGTCAGCAAGGTCTGTCGGAGATCGGAACTTGACGATGCCGTATGTCCTGGGCCTTTCTATCCCCTCCAGCCCAGAATGGTCCCCATTCGAGACCTCCTGACCATGTGATGTTTTTGCGCCGCCCACGCACAGAGGGCATCATGAGACATTCTCCGACTCCACCTGCATCTGACAACGGAGACGATCTCCTCTCGGATTCTCCCAGCCGCGCGAGACTCTTTGGGAGGCTTCCGCTTCGGCCTCCTTCTTGAAAAAAGAAGAATGGCACTGCACGAAAAAGAAGTCGGCCCATTCCAGAGCCATCGTGACACAGAGCAGTGTAACCTCGCCGCCACCAGCCTACAGCAACAATCTGCAGGAAGCTGGCAGAATAGGGCGAGGTTTCCCGCGGCAGGAAACATGCTTGCCGTTGGCCCGGGGGGCAAGAGGCCTGCTGCTGACGCAATATCGGCCCATGCCGACGACGGAGAAGAGGAAGGAGAGGATGCTGATGATGCTGATGACGATTATGGACTCTTTCCTACCGTTGCCGGAAAGGGCGTAGGTATGCCCTTCCGGAAGGGGGTGTGTGCGTGGGAAGAGGCCATCCCGTTTCTGCTGCTGCATACACTCTTCTGCTTGAGAGCTGCCGCTCTTTCACGACCTCCCCTGCTCCGTGCCCATGCTGCGTACTGCTGAGGCCGCGCGTGTTTGTTTCAACATGGGCGTACAAAGGGGACCCGGTCTCGGAGTACTGCTCCTGTTGTTTGGCTGATGCGAAGCAGAGAAGAGGGCTGAGCGATACCAGCAGAGTCCATCCTTTGGTACGTTTTCGGTGCCCGGAAGAAAAGGCTTCATGGCAGTGCGTATCGCTACTCCTTACATGGCGTGGCAAGTACTTTTGTATTCTAGCGAATAGGTCATCAAAACTCTGGGTCCTTCTATGAAGGACGGATGGCGTCGAACAGCTGGGTTGCAAGATATCCGTGGTCCATGCGGCGAGCTACTCTACAAGTCCCTATGAAAAGAAGAGTGACGACGTGTGTTGACTTTGCGTGATGCTGCAACATATTGATGTTTACAATTGTGGATAAGTGCTTGGGACATTCGCTCACAAGCGGGCACTCTTTCCAGGTTGTAGCTAATGACTTTCACATTTGCTGAGCAGCCTCACGCCTTGAGATTTCTCCCTGTCTGTGCAAAAAGAAGCTGGTGATGCAAAAAAAGTGCTAAGCCACGTAAAATTGCTTAAAATGGTCGCTTGCTTTGATTACAATTACTCTTCCATGCGAAATCGAGGATTATGCTGCAGCCACCACCAACTGCTTTGCGTTTGTGAATTGTCGAAACGACAAAAGACCACGGCTTTGGTTGCCAGTCGTTTGACACATCATTCTATGGACCTATGCCATCATCGGAAGCGCGCTCTTCGTGATATACTGTCCAGGTTTCTTTCGTTTCTCCAGCATGGAGTTGTAAGCTTTCTTGCCGATAACTGGGGAGGCTCGAGACCAAATCAGGTCGGCCAACTTCCACGACACTACGTGCTAAACGTTTGATGCTCGCTTGTAGTGAACGTTTGGCAATGGACGCATGGCAGTAGTAATGGAGTAGCTCAAGCAGGCGCGGCCTTAGCATGAAATTGGAGCAAGACCGTAGCTAGCAAACCTCAGGCGAGTCTATTGGCGTTGCGTGCTGGCGTTACTGTACGAAGAAATAAAGTCACCCAAATCGACTCCTTTCAAATAGTCATGAGCGAGCGAAACTGACTGAAACTTAACAGACTCATCATTGTCAATCGGCGTTTTCGCAGCTTTCCAAGCTAGCCTAACCGCTGGTGATCGAGAACTTTCAGTATCTCGACGTTGAAGAACATCCCCTGTTGCCCATACTGCGCTGACCATTGCGCCCCGTAGCCAAGACGCCCGAAAATGCCACTCGAAGATATATATTTTACATGTTATACAACCATAGCGATTGGCCCGAACCGCAGAACCATGGGCGTGAAAGTAGTTGCTCCATTATTGCTTACATGCCGCGGAAACGACGCTGTCCTCAGACAGCTCGTAGGCCCCCCGCCCGTTCCGCAGGAAGCAAGGACGAAGGCTATGTTTCACTTCCAGTTGACACCGAAGAGCTTGAATTTGCCGTCTCCGGAGTCGGTCTTGGCGTCGGCATTTTCAAGATATATCCTTGAGTGGCCCTTGACGTCGACGAAGAAATACTTGTACTTGAACTCGTCGGAGCCGACCCGCTTGATCAAATGTACACTCACAGTCCCGCTGTTGAGCGGTCCGTGGACATAGAAATGCATCTGCAGGTGTTGATTGCCTTGCGGATCATTCTTGAGCGTTGAGCTGAAGACGATGACGTTAGTCGTGGCCATGGCGGGATACGAGACTGACGACAAAGACTTACGCGATGGGTCTTGCTCGACGCCACTTGTTCGCCGTTTCTTCGCCATGAGCTGTGATCTGCTTTGCATCACCGAGTAGACCAACACAATCCGGGTCCTTCTTGATCCTGTCCACGGCCCGGTTGAAGTACGCAGTTTTGCTGTCTGGCGAGAAGACGTCGGTGTACAGGAGATAGCCCACGCCGCCCGTCATCGCGATGCCAACCAACACCATGCCGAAGTTGAAGGATTGCTGGGTTGCGCGTCCGGCTTTCTCTCCCGCCGAGAGCTCGCTCCAGGGCACGTGCCCATTGTCGTTGAAGGGCGTTACGGACCGGCGTTTAGAGCCGGGCGCCGAGGTCGACTTGCCGGAGGTGGTCGTGGCATAGCTCCGATGAGGGATGACTGCCTGGCGCAAGTGTGGCGCGAGGACGGCCTCGCTGAGTGGTCGAAGCAGAAGTTTCGTCATAGTGGGCGAGGATCCATCTGATGCTGGATGGCGCTGGCGATGGCGTTCTGAAGCGTTGATGCCGTGTTGTTCCTCGGTGACAGAGTCGTCCCTTTGCAGGGCTGATGCACCTGGTACCTGAAACGGGCTGAGTGCCAATCGTAGCTTGCGCTTCTGTTGTGTCTGTCAAGCGCTAGTGGGCAGTGAGAGGGTTGTTGTAGGTCGATGGGCACGAGAGCTCCCACAGCTTCCATGTCGCAAGACGCAACATGTGCTACTGCGGGGCGGGGGACTTTGGACGATGCAAGCTCATTTGCCGGGGTCTGCCATTGAACAATCGACGGGCGAGCTAGGCCTCAAGCGGCAGGAAGTGGGGGTGGCCTGGTGCCGCTGTGGGCCCACCAGTGGATGTGCCATGTCTGTCGCATCGCTCCGACTGGGCTGGGCAGCGAGCGGCGGCCCCCATAACGAAATCTGGCCGCACTCCCGAGACCTGAGACCACTGCCCTGGCTGTCTGTCTGTCTGCACATCACCAACTGTCCCGTCGCGAGCCCAGGCACGCGTCTCCAGCATTCCAGCCCGTCCCTGGTACGTCTCCGGTCCCAACAACCTCTCTGAGCTCCACGACGAAAGCACGCAAGCTCGGCACTGACCTGCAACCACAAGCAGGACCATCTCTACCCCACTACATCGCCCTCCTCCACCATCTCACCACGTCCGCGCATCGGACACCCCAACAACCACCATGGCCGCGCTTGCAACCAAGCAGCAGTCTCAGAAGATCTTTGAGAAGCTCAAGACGAAGCAAGCCAACAAGGTCAGTCCGCCCATGGCCTCCCTCGCGGCCTCACGACAGGCAGGCCCAACCTAGCACCCATCTCGACCGCCCCTATCCGAGCCGATGGATGATCCGGATCACTGGCACGCACTGAGGCAGCCCAATACTGACAGCGCCCAATTTGTGAATCTGCAGATTTGCTTTGACTGCGGCTCAAAGCACCCGACATGGACGTCCGTCCCCTTCGGCATCTACCTGTGCCTCGACTGCTCGTCCAACCACCGCAACCTCGGTGTCCACATCTCCTTTGTCCGCTCCACAAACCTCGACCGTATGTCACGCCCTCGACGCCCTTGCCGGCCACGCAACGAGGCCACCACCAGCAATGCTTACTGACCGCCCTGATTGTAGAATGGCAATGGGACCAGCTCCGGATCATGAAGGTGGGCGGGAATGAGTCCGCCACCAAGTTCTTTCGCGCAAACGGCGGAAGCGCTGCCCTTGCCAGCAAGGATTCCAAGACCAAGTACCAGTCCGCCGCCGCGACAAAGTACAAGGAAGAACTCAAGAAGCGCGCTGCGCGTGATGCGCTGGAGTAAGTGGCTTTGTCAAGAAGCGCATTTTTCTACAAGCGCCGCGTGGCTGACGTGGGTACATCTAGGTACCCTGAAGAAGTTGTCATCACCGATGTCGCTGCCGACGGCGCCGACGGCACCTCCACCCCTGCGAGCGACCATGGCGACGACTTCTTCTCGTCCTGGGACAAGCCTGCGATCAAGAAGCCCACCCCGCCAATCTCGAGGACGAGCACGCCCCCCGTCGTCGGCCGCACCGCCTCCCCTCTCCTCGGAGCCGGCTCCAACATTGCGCGGTCAGCCTCGCCACTTGCCAAGTCCGATTCTGCCACCGACCCCAAGCCGGCTGCCAGCCGCGTCACATCATCTGCAGCCCTCCGGAAGACAGGCACGACTGGAGCTCGCAAGACCAACGTTCTTGGTGCCAAGAAGACCACCAGCAAGCTCGGCGCCAAGAAGGTCACTGGCGACGTGATCGACTTTGACGAGGCCGAGCGGAAAGCGAAGGAGGAGGCAGAGCGCATCGAGAAGCTTGGCTACGACCCAGAGGCGGAGGCTGTGGAGGCGAAGAAGGTCGCCGCACCCACAAAGGGCGAGGCTTCAAACGTCATCTCCCCCACGCCAGTGGCTCCGCGTGGCCACACTCGCGAGAAGTCGGCGGCCGAAGTTGAGAGGCTCGGCATGGGTTTCGGCCGGTTAGGGTTCGGTCAGGTCGGCGGACCCAAGCCTGCGGCGGCACCCAAGAAGAACGCTGGCGGGTTCGGATCTGTTGGTCCGGTGAAGGCTGCTGTCGAAGGTTTGTGCATCCATCTACGACTCTAGTCTACCAAAGCGACCCTACTGACACGACGACTTTTGTTGCAGACGATTTGGATAGAACTGCCCGGGACAAGTTTGGCGCGCAGAAGGGCATCTCCTCGGACGAATTCTTTGGCCGCGGCGCATTCGACGCCAACGCCCAGTCAGAGGCCAAGAACCGCCTGCAAGGTTTCGAGGGCGCCACCTCGATCTCCTCCAACGCCTACTTTGGCCGCCCCGAAGACGAGGACAACGCGGACGACTACGGCGACCTCGAGTCCGCCGCCAAGGATTTCGTGCGCAAGTTTGGCATCACGGCTGGCGACGACTTGGATAACCTGACTGCCGCGCTGGGCGAGGGAGCCACCAGGCTCCAGGGCGCCATCCGCAACTACTTGAACAACTAGATCGGCAGTGCTCGAAGAGTTTTGAGCCGGGGCACAATCCAATATAAGCAAACCCAGCCCGACCCCGCCTCCTGAACGGTACGGAAATAGAGATGAATAAATCTGCTGGCAGGACCCACGCAGCAGGATTGGGCACGAGATATTGAGAGGAGAGTGAAATGAGGTAGAAGAAAAATTGACTAGCAGCTACCCCCCCTTTGCTATTTTGTCCTTTCTCGATAGACGCTATAGGTCAAAAAAGAAAAAGCTGGCAAGCCTAAGAAACACGCCAGCTGATCATGATGACGAAAAGCCTAATAACAAAAACAAAGAATGAAAATATTCATGCCGAGAAGCAACATAAAAAAGTGATGTTGGAAATGGGAAAGTCACAAGATTGACGGGAGGTAACAAAGGGCGGGAGGCAAGAGGACCGGGGGCTGTGCCCGCGCGCGCGCATGGAGTTCCCGGGCGCTGGTGCGCGCTGAAACTCTGGTTTTCACCAGGCCATTCTGAAAAAGCTTGTTTGTTCATGTCTTTTCTTTTGGATTGATCGCTTGACTTTTTGAGTGGGTGAGGGAGACCTGGTATCGTGTTCGTACATTGGGTTGTGAGAAAGACCACGCTTAACGTAACTGTGGCTTGCATTAGGCACACCTAGCCATCACCATCTCTTATTCCTCATCCAGTAAACAAAAACAAAACCAAAAAACCCCCCCCAAAAAAAACCCTTCACGGATTCCGCTCGTGGTTGTGCAAAAAATACTTTTAGAACATTTATTGAGAGAGTTGAAAGCAAAGCGAGGCGGGCCGGGGGCGCTGATGCCAAGTCAAGTATTGCAAGATACATTTGCAACCATGTCTACAACGTCGGCGGCGCAGATTCCAGGTCTCTCTACCTACTCCATACGGAGTGTAGTCGAGGCCAAAAAGAGAATGGAAAGCAAAACGTAGCAAATTTTGGTAAACAAAACTCTTTGAAACAGTGGGAATATCAAAAGACAAACTTGACTAACCCAACGCTTTTTGACCAATAGACAAAATTGCTGGTGAACCAATCATTCAGCAGGATAGCTCGGCGACGGTCCAGCCGTGGTTGTCGGCTGCGCCAAGCGCAGGCCATAACGACGACGACGGGTCTTGTGAGGCCACGCCGTCGTTGTTGTTTGGAGCATGCCAGACAGTTCACTCCGGGCCTCGGCTATGATCCATCACATTACGAGACGTGCCTTCTTCGCCCCAGTGTGACCGAGGGCGCTGATCTTCTTCATGACGGGTGCCTGATGCCATCGAGGCAGCTGGCGGGCGGTTTATGTGCTCCTGTCCGTCGTCGTGAGTCAGCGCTCTGGCAGCGGTATGCTGCTGCATGGTAGCGTCATCGGATGTATATGGCGAGACCTCCGTGGAGCAGCCGTAAGAGGGATACTGAGACGTCATAGAGGACACGTCTGATCGTTGAGGCCGTGCAGTGAACGCAGCTTCGTCGCCCGAGCCGTGAGACCAATAATCACTCCTGCTTCTGTCCGTGCTGGACGAGGGATAACCCTCAGGCTGGGCTTCCCCACCTGGTGTTCCCTGTGAGTACTTTGCCAGGTTGCTGTTGATGCCAACAAGGGCCCATGCGAAGACGGCCACGTCTCGGATTGACTGCATGAACTGATGCATCTGGGACTCGCCCCCGGCTGCGAGCCCGTTGGAGGCTTGCTGCACATGGCCAGGGGCCACATTGGCGTTGTAGTCGGTATACATCGGAGGAGGATCATGAGGGTGGATCGGCTCGGCACCCCATGGCGCGGCGAACAGGCCGTTCTGATAGACTGGGGGTGCCTCTGGCACTTGTAGTGTCGGTATGGCCGGTCGAGCCTTCCTGAGGACTACGACCAGGCCATCGGACGTACAAGAGATGACGGCCTCCAATTCGATGTGCGGTAGGCGTCTCCGACGGGAGCGGTTACGGCGCCCGGATGCTCTTCCGTCTGGATCAGAGGTCGTGCCCATGTCGACCTCCATCGGATCGTCGATGGGTGCACCACCATCCGAGTCATCGCTGGTGCTGCTCGATTCGTCTTCCATCGTGCCCGAATTGCCATTGCCGTCAGGGAGCCCGGAGTCCTCTTCCGTCCGTGGATCTCGGAACCAAAAGCGCATGTAGGCGATCGAATCGTTGGCCTTGGCACTCTCCAGGCACCTGATGGCATCGGGCAGGCAATTGGGCGCGATGCACTCGTAGAAACTCTTGTGCTGGATCTCGTCCGGTTCAAGGCCGATAATGGATGCGATGGCAGGCGTCGAGAACATGACGGACAGAGTACGCGTGAACCTGTTGAGAATCATGGCCGCCCGCGGCTCCCGTTCCGCAGGGGGCGTGGTGAATTTGGACGAGAGGTGCTCCAACATGTTATATCTCGGATCTCTACTCGACGAGGAAAACATGCGGCGAATCTGCGGGGCCTCGATCGCACGCCCTTGACAGCAACAGTCAGTTTAGTTCCAAACCCACGGAATGCCTGAGCCCAAATGTGGAAGCACTCACTCTCGCTCTTCATGCTACGCCGGTACACACTCGTACACGCGACCAGGACATCGTGGACGATGGTAAAACAGCATTCGCAGTTGATCCATTCTCCGGAGCGTGAGATGATGCGCGCATAGTTGAGGACCGCCGCTTTATCCAGCAGAACCCCGCGGTTGTGGATCGCTTGTGCGAGAAAGACCTCGTCTGGGTGGAAGTAGTCGAAGCACGACCTGCCCTGGACCTCGTGAGGTCTCCAACCTAGGATGTCCGTGATTGAGTCTGAAACAAATAGGATATTTGCCTCGGGGCTCAGGTCTGTGTCTGGTCAGCTGGCTGGCCATCATCCGCTCCTTTGTGGGCTGGAGGACTCACTGTGGATGGTAATAAAAGTGTGCTCCATGTGTGCGAAATGGTCCAGCGGGGAAGCCTCGGTATATTTGATGAGCCGCCGTTGGGGTTTCGACGATTGCTATCGTGGTGTATATGATGAGGTTTGGGTGGGAAAAGGATTCCAACAAATCCTCTGCTCAGATTGCGTTACGCGTTGCTGCTGACAAAGGTCCACTTAGACAGTCCGCAGTAGTGTGCAAGCCAAACCGATAGCGTTGTGCCGGGCGTGAAATTCGCTGACATGTAGCGGGACGAGCGTGGAGGAATTCGCCGCAGATCAGGCTATTCTCTGCAGATATGCCTCGAGAGTGGTGACTATGGCCAAGAATTCCAAGGCACGGCCAGAGCAGCAAGCCGACGCACTCTTTGCTGGATTGACGGGCGGGACGGTGGCAATGTCTCAGGATGTAGCGAAGGACAATACGGCACCACGTGGCGATGCTCGTTAGAGGAAAGCGTTGCGATGGCCAGGCGGCAAACCGTTGACTCTGGTGGGGCAACCCACGCGAGAAGATGTTGCGAATGGCCGATGCGAGATGAGGATAGTGTATCACCGGTAGCTGGGCCGAAGATGGTGGCGGCAGCCGTTGGGATTAAGCTCTCTGGGGGGGGAACAGGGCCGTGCTTTAGTGGGCAGGCAAGTATGTAAGTTGCCTGATGACGACAATGCGGGATGGCAGTTGTGTGATGTCGAGCTAGCTGGGATGGAGTACTAGTAGGCGCGGGAGTGGCACGCTCTTAGGATGCAAATAGTAGGGTCCGCTTGCAGGAACGCAGGAACGGGCCGAGATGGAGCCAGATGGGGGCAACGTCGTCACGCTCGGCAGACCGCTCTAATAAGCTCAATTGCTGCGAGGTGTCGTGGTGGATTGATCGAGTGGAAGATGTGTGGCCAAGGGGAGTCGTCGATGGGGCGAGGGCGGAGAGAGCGCCGAAGATAAAGTCGGGCGGGCGAGGGGCCGGTGCGGAGGAACGTCATTCCATGCGCATCATGGTACAGCGGCAGTCTGGAGGGGTGCCGTTGCAGGCTGGCACTGCAACCTTAAGACATGCAGGCCTCGGCTGCTCCTGCACTGCAGCCAACGACAAGGATCCTATTTAATAACAAAGGATCGACGTCGTTGGCGCTGCCCTCGAGCACTTGCGAGAGATCAACCTTGAGAAACAAATTACGTTATACTCAAGCTGATATACAGTAATTGCTTGCGGCCAGCCAGTGCCACATGGAGACATCATGGCCTGACCAGGACCAGGACCAGGACCAGGCAGGCACTCGTCGCCAGACTCGGAACGTCTCTTGGCCGCCTGACACTTACAGCAGCTTTCAAACCCCGACGGAGCATTCGTCTCGGTCGCGCCGTGCTTCTGTGACGCATGGACCTTGGCATCTGCCCATATCCAGCCTCGGCCTGCACCATCACATAATTAGATGCCATCTTCAGCCTGTCTTTGTCTCCTCATCTGTTCATGGTGGCCGCAGCTGTGTCTTCGGGACTGCTGCAGAGCGAAAGAGGCCGGCAAGGCTACCCCGCCACTGTGCCACACTGCAGCGACAACCGTTGGCTGCATGGTGTTGAGTTGGGTTCAAAGGTTGTGAAGCTGAAGGCCTTTGCGTCTCCCTGCGTTGTGGCCACCCCCAACATGGCAGCCAGTGTCTCAGTGCTAGGAGGCTTGCCCTGCCCAGGGCAATATCTGCGCAATTGTCTCTGAGAGAACGGCGGCACCCGCTTGCATGACCGTTCAAAAGAGTGTACATACCTCGCTTGGCTGGGTGAAGAATGGCGGGACCTTCAGCCACATCATGTCTTGTCCTGTGTTCGCTTCCCACCCGGGGCTGGGTGCATCCGGACCACTCCTTGTCCTGAGGAGGGAGGCTGCCAGGTGTGCCCACTCAGCACGGCATCAGCCGTCCGTGTGTGACGCCATAAGGGCACTCTCGCCAAAGAGGCTGTAGAACATGACACGTCGTCTCCCGAGGGAGCAAATGAAGCTGGAGGCATGCAGGCAGGGTCGGCCGGAGGATATGCCTGCAAACCCCCGCCTTGGCATGCTGGCAAGGCCAGAGGGACGTTGTCTCTGACATGTCACCGCGGAACAGAGCCGGCAAGCCACGCTCGCAGCTGCAGGTGCACCGGCGGGCCAGAACCCGGGCCCTTTAGGAAGGTCGCGTCCATTTGTACAGTGCCCGTAGCTCACAGGGTCGTCTCCAGGATTACCTGGCGAGAAAAGGTCCGGCACCTCGCCTCTATGGAAGGACGCGAGGGTGGGCAGATTGGGCGAAAGGAAAGCACCCGAACCTATCGCTAAGTGATGTTTTTGCTTCTTCTGTTACAGAAAGCACAGCAGCCAGGTATAATCCATGCCGTGCAGGGTTGTCGTCCAATCCTGGAAATTCCCGAAAGCTGGTTGTTCACTTCCAGCCGGACACTGAGCCAGGACCCACCAGGCCGTCACCCCCGCCCGGAGCCGGGCCCCTGCCCTGTCTTTTGCTGCACGGCTGCGGGCCCTTACCGCCGCCGCCGCCACGCTCTCGTCACGCGTTGCTGGTCCACCGTGACAACCTGTGCCTGTCCCAACACTGGCGTGTTATTGACTTAGCAGCAAACACACACACTCACACACACACCTCTGCCCCTGGGTAATAGGCACAAGTCACCTCTGCCTGCTGCCTCTCTGAAGCTCTGCAGCAGAAACTTGCATCAAAACCCCGCTCCAACGCAGCTCCGTGGCGTGGTGTGGTCATGCCACAGCCTTGACCGTGCAGCTAGCTGCCATGGCACCAGCACTCGAAATAGCCCATGGCCACCACGATTGGGACCTCCCCCGGCTCAAAGCCTCGATCGGTTTCGAAGTAGGTTGTCTGCCCATCCTGCCCGTCATCCATTGGCCGCTCCCTAATGAGATACGACGATCAGGATGATTTCCAGTACCTGCACTCGGACGATCAGGATACCGGTGAGTCCCGCCGAGTGCCTCTCGCTGCGACCTATCATGCCGGGCCCTTGACACACCACTGACTACGATGTTGGACAGAATTCTTCGATGTCAAGTTCTATCCTTATGGGGCCCCTGACCATGACCCGATATTCGCCGCCGTCAGCAAAAAACATGTGAGCACGCCTCCGTCGTCATGTTCTCTCTCACGTTGCATTGACTGACCTGTTTGAAACGCAAGATTGTAATATACAGATTGTGCAATACATCACAGCCTCCCTATGAGCTGGTGCAGCTCATCAGGGACGATGATGTGAGTGCCCGTCTCAACAAGAGACAAAACCTTCCCCCTCAATATTAACAGGTCGGGTAGGAAGAAGCATTGAACTGCACTTGCACATGGACGAAGGATCCCGAGACAGAGATACCTTTTCTGTGTGTTGCTGGGAGGGATGCCAAGATCAAGGTGTATGATGTGATACACGGCAAGCTCGTCAGAGTACGTTGCCCGAGGATAGTCTAGGATGGAAAACTTCTCATGGCTAACAACTTGTGCAGGTTCTTGTTGGCCACGGATCTGTATGTCTGGCTCCTAATCATCATGACAGGATTCGTCAAACAATGGTAGTAGTCTGACACAACCACACAGGAGATCAACGACTTGTCGACATGTCCTACCAACTTTCTTCTAATTGCTTCAGCATCGGACGACACAACAGTGCGGATCTGGAGCCTCGACGCAGCAGACAAGGATCAGCCGTGCGTTTGTCTGCTTGCAGGAGAGGGTCATTCCTCCAGCCTCCTGACAGTGGTATGTTGAGCATGCAGATGGCTCAATTCAAGGCGTACTGCTGATGTATTTTCAGGCATTTCACAATAACGGCCGATATTTGCTCTCCGCTGGACATGACAATGTCGTTTGCATGGTGAGTCGGGGAAGGCCACAACATGAATAGCTTTACAAATCTGACTGGAGCTATAGTGGACACTCCCTGATCTACCCAAGGCATCGCGAGAGAAGCAGCCGCCAGCGCCAGTCGTGGTCCATTATCCACACTTCTTCACGTCCGAGGTCCACAGTGGCATTGTAGACTGGTACGTCCAGCGAGGCTGTGCATATCTGCTGGCAAAAGCTGACATTGGATTCAGTGTGGCTTTCTTCGGGGATCTGGTCATGTCACGGGCATGCCATGAAGACATAATAGTCCTCTGGCAGATTGACGGCTTCTCGTCTGACGACCCTCTACCGACACCACTAGAGGCGCCCACAACGAGTGATACTGAACGTCTGACACGATCCGCATTCGTTCCAACAACAGCCTCACAGTACACGCGCCTCATACAATTCCACACCCCCGGTTGTGGATTCCAGTTCTACATGCGCTTCAAAATATTCCATGACGCGAAGAAGCACCCGGTCCTTGCGTTCGGCAGTGCCCACTCGGAGATTTTCTTCTGGGACCTCGCGCGGCTTATTACTTACCACGATTTCATGGACGAGTACACGGACACTGGTAGGGACAAGACAGCGGCAGTGCAGCGCCCTTCTTGGCTACAACCGTCGAAGGCGAAAGCTAGGACCGGGCCCGACTCGTTGAGTAGAGTCAGGGAGGGAAGCGACAGGAACTCGGTAGAGTCAGGTCGGACTGGGAGCATGGATGTGGACGCTCCAGCAGCGCCGCCAGCAGGTGCAGCTGCCGCCACGAGAGGATCGGCAAACACGACAGCAGCCGCCGCAGCAGCACAAGCAGGAGAACTCGCCATTCCGCCGGAAACCCTGGCGGCGTGGGCGGCCAAATACGATACTACCCGCGTCGAGGATGCCATCAAGGCGCACTCCACCAGTAAGATCACCATCAAGGATTTTGTTGGGCGGCAGGTGGCGTGGAGCGCAGGGGGAGACTGGTGTGTGGTGGTGGGCAGCAAGAACCTGGCCATCATCTTGCAGCGGTGGGACAAGAAGGACAAGAGTGACGAGAAGAAGGCCTGATACGTATAGGGTTGTCCACGAGAATCGCAAAGTCTCTCAGAAGGAGATGGAGAGTTGACTGGCAACCTCGCCCAGGGAACGATGCCTCTAGGTGACTGGCATGGTTGCTTTATGTAAGGTCAGACGCTAGGAAATTCATGCGACGTGAGGGAACATTCTTGTTGCTGGCGACAGATCAAGAACTCGTTGCATGCTGGTGAACACGGCTGTGATAGAATGTCCAAACAATGGATTAATTGTTCGGCTACAGTGATTGAGCACAACGTGCTCAGCAACGCTAGCGCAGGCACCTACCCGACACTAGCGGGTGTGGCCCACGTCAGTATGACCAGGGGGGGCTGCCGATTGTGCTTGAGGCGACCGTGGAATATTGGGGTCCACCTCCCCGTTAAACTGCTACCTAGCTCCAGCCTGCCCAGGGCGCGCTCCATCACGGCCAACCAGCACCGACGACGACAGCTCTCACGACCCCGGCCCAGCCTTTCGAGTTCAGACGACAACTCACTCAACGTCCGAATCAGCCACAGCTGCCACCCTGCCCGGCCTTGCACGCAAGGACGACTCTTCTGCATTCAACGCAGCCATTGATCGCGACGCCCTCCAGCCAAAATACCATCCAGCATGACTTCACATCACTACAGCAATCCCTCGATCGAGGATGACGACGATCTCATTGACCCTGATGATGGTAGGCACCCCTCTTCAGCATGACAATGATAGCCAAGGCAGCCATGGACTCAGACGCCATGACGATCTGGTTGTCTAGCGCGCACAGCAGAACTATGGACCGTTGAGCTCCTCCCGTACTCGGCGCAACACGCTGGCTAACCACAAAATCCATTCCACACAGCCGACCTCAACGACTTCGACGACCCGATCGGCAACAGCTCCCAACGTCAACCCCTGACCGGCAACATGGCCTCGGGCTCGTCGTCATCGAACTCACGCCCGCTCGACCAGGGATACCTGACCTCTCGGATCCCGGGCGAGGACCGGCGCGCGCCGCAGAACACCATCGACGAAACGGTCTGGGAGACGCTGCGGCGGGACCTGCTCGCCGTTTGGTCCAAGATGCGCGAGGTGCTGTACCCCAAGTACCTCCTGGGCGGCACCATGTTCGAGTCGCCCGACTCCCTGCGCGGGGTGTACGCCAACTTGCGCTCGGGCGGCTTCAGCGGCGCGCGCGAGGAGCTCGTCGGCTTGGCGGGCCGCGTGATGGACCCGGAGAGCCTGCTCAACCAGAACAACATGAGCCCCGGCCTGCGGGACTGGGATCTCTGGGGGCCCCTCATCTTCTGCCTGCTGCTCAGCTTCTTCTTGAGCCTGAGGGCCCAGGACAATCAGAAGGATGTCGTGTTCAGTGGCGTGTTTGCCATGATTTGGATCGGCGAGGCCGTGGTTACGCTGCAGATCAAGCTGCTCGGCGGGAACATGTAAGTCTTATCGCCAGGTCGTTCCGCCTGCGAGAACGGACACCAGACTGACAGCGGCAAACACAGATCCTTTGCCCAGAGCATATGCATCATTGGTTACACCCTATTCCCCTTGGTTCTCGCGTCGCTCATGTCCGCCCTGGGCCTGCCCGTCATCCCCCGGATCCCCGTATATCTTGTCCTGGTTGCGTGGTCGCTCGCCGCGGGCGTGAGTATCCTGGGAGGCAGCGGCGTGGTGCAGAATCGCGTCGGCATCGCTGTTTACCCCCTGCTCGTGTTCTACCTCGGGCTGGGATGCTTGTGCTTCATCAGCTAGAGCTGCGGCTGGCTGGACGTTTTGAGGATGGTCAGATGACAGAGGACTTTGGTGAATCCGGGTCTGGGTGAGAGAACCATCTTGAGGTGCATGCCGATGCTCTTGACAAGATGAAAACAAGGCGCACGTTTTTTTTTCCACTGAAGAAGCGATTCATTTTACCGCAATGCCAGACATTGTGCTTGAGAAATATGTAAAACACGGCTCGTGCTATGTTGCAACTCGTTATGGCTCTTCTCATGGTGTTTTTGGAAAATGCGCACAAATTCACGGCGTAGATTGCCTATGATCTTGGTGATTTGTACCGAGATTCTCATAGGAGATATCCTGAATGTGAACCTCCTCAGTAGCCAACAGCCTCCTCCTCATCGTCATCATCCTCCCTCCTCCCGACCATTGCCACAAATACCTCCACCCACCCTTCCACAGCGACGCCCTGCCCTATGACCTTCCGAAACAAGTCCCTCGCCCGGCGCTGCTCCTGTGGCCGCATGTCCAGCGCGGCGATCTGCTCCTCCGGCTCGCGAAGGTACTTGGCCAGATGATCCATGATCTTGGCGGCTTTCCTCCTCCGCTGGGTCTGAGTCCCTGCGGCTAACCCCGTGATGCCGCCGCCGGTACCTCCACTGTTACTGCCCGTCCCCTTGCCAGGTCGAGGGACCCCCAGAGCGCGAAGGACCTTTTCCACGATCCGCGTGGGGAGATAGAGATCGCCGATGAAGATGGCCAGGTTGGCGCGCAGGCGCAAGAGCTCCGGGTGTGATGCGAAGGGCGGTGTCTCCATCGTGCGGTCCATTGCGCTGGCGACTTGCTGCGCGAGGAGCTGCGTCTGTTTGCGGATCTCGTCTGTCGCTTCCTGCCGGAATTGCCGGCGGCGCCGTCGCTGTTGGGAAGAGGAATCATGTTCGTCACCATCATCATTTTCAACGTTGAAGTTTGCGTCTTCTGAGTCTGGGCTGCCGCCGTGGCGGAGGAGGCGGCGGTCTGCATCCTCGTCGTCGTCGTCGGCGTCGTCATCGGATATCTCGCTATCTTGTGAGCCAAGCTCGCCGTCATAATCCTCGGGGTATTCCACCTCAAGCCTTTCCAAGGCTACGGCAAACTCTGTTGATATGTTGTAGACCTCGAAATTGTACAAGGCCGGATAGAAGTCCACGGCACTGACGAGGTGCGGCCGGTGCTTGTCGTAAGGGAAGTGCGCGATGAGGTGCTCAAAGTAGGATCGCACAACGTCTGCGTTCTCGGCCTTGCCCCAGCGCGCTGACGCCGCGGTCTGTCCTTCTTCTTCTTCTTCACCGGGGATTGCCGCCGTATCGGGCTCCTGGGCCGCTGCAAGGTTGACGTCTTGCTGACCACCTTCCTCCCTGTCGAGTCCTGCCTCTGGTGATGCGGATGCGGTTGAAGACCTTCTCCCTCTGTTTCCCAACGCCATAGACCTTACGTCCATTTCGTCCGGGCGTCTTTGCGACCGGGGTGTCTCCCCTTGCCGCATCAATATCTCGGCGCCGACGAGCCAGAAATTGTTGAGCTTGATATCCACATCCCTTGTCTGCGCGAGCAACCCGAAAGCACGCTTCGCACGAGAGATGTCACCATCGGCGATGCATCGGTGCACCAGGGCCGTCATGACGGCAATGTGCTTCAGCCGCGCCGTCTGCTTCTGCACGACCAGCCGCCCTCGCGCGCGACTGGCTGCGCCAGCTGCAGTCTCAGCCTCGGCCTCGGTATCGTCGTACAAGTCGACGTCCGCATCACTGCCCTTGTAGAAACTTCTGCTGTCTTCTATTGGCTGGCGGGCAGCGGCGAGCTCAGGCTGGAAGTAGATGGCGTCCGGGGGCAGCGCCTTGTGCGGAAAGCCCGGGTACAATGCGGCCGGGTTCTCATCCTCCGGGGTCAGGCCGGCGACGGCGAACTGCCGCAGGGTATCTGGGCTGTGGCTGAGCGGGTTGATCGAGTCTGAAGGCAGTCTCGAGGCCGGCTGTCCAACCGCGGAGGTGAAGACCTGCGATCCCGTGGGCGATAATGGTGATGCTGCTGCTGCGGTTGTGGCGGCCGGGGATGCACGCTTGCGCTTGCGTGCCGTGTGTATGCCCAGCCGGTATGCCGGGACCGGGACGGCGAAAGGCCCGTCGCTCATTGTGGATGTGTTTCAACTGCGGCTGCTCGGTTCCTTTCAACGTGTGGTTGTGTAGTGGGCGCAGCTGTTCACATTATGGCATTCGTTGGAGCTGTAGCACTGACGAGGCGATGGGGGATGCGGTCAGGAAAATGTCATTGGCGAGCCCAAGAAATGTGATGCATGGTCTGTTTCCACATTTGCGGATGCCCTCTTTGAGCTGATGCTGCTTGCTTTGTTCAAGGCGACAGAGGTTGGCTGTTTGGAGAAGATGTGTAAGTCGAGATGCGATTAGTGTTTGCACGCCTCCGCTGCACGAAATCTGCTGGAGGTCGGCAAGCGGGCCGGTCCGCATCACGGCCATTTTTCAGCTCCAAAGAGCGACATCTCAACACCAATTAAACCCCCATCATGCTCATTCATTTATAATGGATGTCCCCTTAATATCACTCGGAAACGTCAAGGCAAGCAGAGATTCCTCAAGCTGGGTTTCTGTTAGATATCATTACTTGACCACAAAGGATCTGGCAGCTGACCAGCAAAACGACACACTGCTGATACCGTGCCAATGATCCAAGTCAAGTTGAGCGCTTTGGTTATCAAGGCCAAAGTGAGATATGCAAATGAACAATGAATCGCTGCTTTATTTCGGCAAGCATTCCGCTTTCCGTGTCCTATGTACAGTCGCGATCCAATCTACTCATACATCCCCCCATCCGCTTAGGCAGAGTTCCGCTCAAAGTATTCCCACTGGCCCGCCGGAGGCTTCTCCTCCAGGCTCTCCCAGCTATTTCGGGTTTCATGTTAGTTCAATTTAAATTTCCACCGTCTCGCAGTCGCGGTTTGGGGACTACTTACACCTTGTTCTCCTTCATGACCTCGACGAGCTTCAGCTCGTTCTCGGCGACCTGAACCACCTCCTCAATGAGGCCGGCGCCAATCTTGGTCTCAAGCTCCTCGATCCTGGTGAGAAAATGAAACACGTTAGGTCGGCCAGCATTCCTCTTTTAGGGCTGATGCTTGATCAGGTATATCTGCTTGATTGGCGCTTACTGGTTGGCAGTCAATTGCGGCTCAGGAGTCCACTCGACCTTCTTGGGGTGCTCGAGGGACTTGGCATCGAGGTATCCGAGCTCGTAGCGCTCCTGCTCGGCGCGGAGGCCCTGGTTGCCGCGCTCGGGCGCCTCGCCATCCCACTCGATATCGCGGGGGTCCTCATCGGTCGGGTCGGAGCGGTAAAGGAAGACGTCACCGCCAGCTGTGACAGTGGACGCGTGGACGCCGTCGAGGGTGGTCTCGGCGTTGACCTCAAACTCCTCCGGGTTCTCCTGGATGATCTTGGCGGCATTGGCCGCCCACTCGTCGTATCCCGGGGGCACAGCCGCCCGGATGATGCTCAGGCGGTGCTTGGTCAGTGCCTCGATCGATTGCCGGTACACCGAGGACTCGGGGAACTCCTTGAGCTGGTCGAGCGTCTTGGAGTAGAGGTAGATCAGGCTCGACCGCGGCGAGCTGTGTGTGTAGAGGCCAGTGAGGCCGGTCGGGTTGCCGGGGGTGAGGTACCGGGCGGGCTTGACGCCCGCAAGCAGTCTGAGTGTCCGCCGCATGACTTCTAGTAGGTGTGTGTGTGTGCGCGCCGAGTCGGATTGGCCTCTGCTGTGCTGGGTCGGGTCGCAGGGCGGTCGATTGAGGTCGCTGTCCCCAGAGGTAGCTGTTCGTTGACGGTGCTTCGGGTCGGGAGCTATTATTTCATGACGAGAGTGCTGGCGTGCACCAATGAGCAGGCGCCAGTTTCCAAAGGCGGCGCCCCACTTCCTTGCTGCACGTGATTGGGACACCTCCAGATTGTCCAACGTCTGCGCCAAACGAAGTGATCCAACAGATCTTCTTGTCAACTTGGGAAAATATAATATTTTACGGGAAATTTTGTATCGCAGAATACGATACCCAGGCTTGAGCCGCTCCGTCAAGGCAATTCCTTTCTTTCATGTTGTTAGGCATGTAGGCAATCGCACCTGTCACAAGGTGGGTTCTCAGGTTCTGGCATGTATGTCTCTACGTAGTGTGTATATATACGTGTATAAAGCATTGCTCCTCCAACGACCCGGGCTTGTGGTTTAGTGGTATAATACTCCCTTAGCATGGGAGTGGTCCGGGGTTCGATTCCCCGCGAGTCCATCGCATGGAGGTTCAAACCCTCCATTATACCTTCTTTTTGCCAATTTCATCGCCTTTTCGGCAAGCGAGGCTTTGCTGTGATTTATTTGGATGCTCGAGTTGACTTTTTGGGGCAGTTCTTTTTCTCATTGGTTACCGACACTCCATGAGCGCAGGTCTCGGTGGCCGCTCCGCACGCCGGGAATTGTATCCCCCATGCTGCGGTGCTCTATTTTCGTACCCGCAACAACGCGCTTAGACGGTGGGCAAGCGCCAGGTTTACACGAAGTCTTCCACGGTGCCCTGCTGTTCTCATGCTGTGTTGTTGTCTCGCTTGGGACCATTGCCCAACAGGCGCCTAGAACACGAGCCCAGGCCCTGAACACTGCGCAGCCAATCGAGTCCACAGGCGGGAGCAGCACCCCTGACTAGCAGACCCCTGAACCGCCGCCCGCTCCCCACCTGCGAAAGCGTAGGCGCTGGCTGGCGTCGAAACATGAAACAACCTGGATTGGGCAGTCATCGACTGGTCACTAACCACCAGCGAGCGGGCCAGCCCTGGATCGCCAGGGGACGCCCGCGGCAGTCCAATGGCAAGCGTCCCCAGACCCCGGCGGATGTTTCCCGTGTTTGTTTATGCTGACAGCTCGAGAGCGGGCCCAGAAGGTCCATCACCCCAGGCTCGCTAAAGGCACAGGCGGAGGGTCGACGGCCAACCAAGTTGGTGGCAGCAGCCAGTCGCCTGAGGCCCTCGAGGTAGCGTCGTTTCGCATAGAACTGGTACGCCCTTGTGTTGGGGGGCGTGCGCCACCTGTCATGCCTTAAAGATCGCCTGTCCGCTGCTTTCTTCGTCGTCGTTCGTCTGGCCATCGCTTACTTGCCCTACCGTCTTTGTATTTCCTATCTCTTAGTTCCTCACGTTACCTGGACTCGACGTCACGGTGATTTGTTCTCTTTGACTGGTACTGGTGCCTTGTTGCTTCGCTCGTTGAGCATCACATTCTTTCACAGCCAACTGCCCATACCTGGACGACTCTCTCTTCAAGTACATTCTTTCGACACTTCTTTGTGGCCACAACATCATCTACCTTTTCTTGCAACACAGGACTGTTGTACATTACTTTCTGCATTATTGTTTTCTTCGTCAAAGAGCAAATCAACAACGTCTCTCGACTTGCCCAGCTATTCACCATGCCTCTTATCAAATCGGTCAATCCGGCTAGTGTGGTAAGCCAGTTCCTGGCTCCCAGTGCTCTCGTGCTCAACGATGTTGGTAAGTTGCCCTAGTACGCCATTAGGATTCCGATCGTACTGACCGCTACCCAAGCTTCGATCCACGGTGTGGTCAAGACCATTGCTCGTGACACCATGTCCTACTACTCGGGCAATGTCACCATGACCCCAGAGGTATGTCAAGCATTCATTTTCTCTCAAATACCGACCCTAAATGCTGACTCTATCTTATCTCTAGACGATCGCAGTCTTCCCTGCGCCTCACTGTGAGTATTCCTACATGTCTGATTATTTCCCAAGCACATGGTGTTGACACGTCATCTCCAGATTGGTGGCAAGCCGGAGCGGCATGGGGTTCCATGCTCGACTATTCGCACTACACCGGCGACTCCTCGTACGACGAGACCATCACACAGGCGCTCCTGTCCCAGGTCGGCCCGAAGCACGACTTCATGGTGCCTCTGCACTACGGCAGCGAGGGCAACGATGACCAGGCCTTCTGGAGCTTTGCCATCCTCGACGCCGCGGAGCGCAACTTCCCGCAGCCCGACGACAGCATTCCGCCCTGGCTCACCATCGCCGAGAACATCTGGAACACGATGGCCCCGCGGTGGGACATGTCGAGCTGCGGCGGCGGCCTCAACTGGCAGATCTTTCCCGACAACCCGAACGGCATGAACTACAAGAATTCCGTCGCCAACGGCGGTTTCTTCCTGATGTCGGCTCGCCTGGCCCGTGCTACCGGCAACCAGACGTACGTGGACTGGGCGAACAAGGTGTACGACTGGTCCGCCAAGATCGGCCTCATCGACGCCCAGTACAACGTCTACGACGGCGCCGGGGCCAACAAGCAGTGTACCGACACCAATCAGGTCCGCTTTACCTACACACAGGGCATCTACACGTACGGCGCAGCCGTGATGAATGACGTCACCGGCGGCTCTGGACCCTGGGGTGACCGCACACAAGGTCTGCTCAACGCCGCGAAGATATACTTTGGCGGACCCAACAACGTCGCGCCGAACGTCATGTGGGAGCCTGCCTGTGAGGCTGCCGGGGTCTGTAACTACGACATGACGAGCTTTAAGGCTTATATGTCGCGATTCCTGTGGAATACGGCGCAGATGATGCCATCAACACGTCCAGCGGTTGAGGCTTTGCTGAAGCCCAGCGCGATGGCGGCGGCGAAGGCCTGTGCGGGTGGTGATAGCGGGACCGCGTGCGGACACAAGTGGTACACTGGCGGGTTCGACGGGCAGACGGGGCTCGGGGAGCAGATGACTGCCCTCGAGACGATCCAGGGTCTTTTGTCTGGCAGTGCGGCGCCGCCGCTCAAGGCTGGGCAGATCAAGCATGTCAAGGGGACTCGGCCGCCACCTCCACAGCCGAGCGGGACAGAGGGCAAGTTGACCAGGATTTGAGACGAAGGGCTGGTCTGGTTTTGATTAGAAATCTTTGTTAATTTCACTCCTGAGCAATTTTGGGACGTGCATAGATGCGGTAGTGTCACTAGACTAGAGGTGTGCGAAAAGTTGCCTTTGATAACGGGATAATTCGAGAAATGATATCATAAAGCACTGTTCTCAGTGTCAACGGCAGATAAGCTCGAGTGATGATGCTGCGTAGTGATTGTAGGTTCGGGATTTTATTTCCTTTTTGCCCGTTAATAAAGGAGGGACACTGCAGCTCAGATAGTTGTTGTCACACTCAATCGGACTACAGACTCGGAATCTGCTGTCCGAAGATGCAGGGATTCCGGTCAAGGTGATTGGAAAAGGAAAGCATGGAGCGTGGCGGTCTAAAAGACGTGTGCCTGTCAATATCTATGAACATCCAGCCTTTCTATATGTGCTTGCAAGTGTATCTTTCCATCTATGCCACGACGCTGCTGGCCGCGATCTCCTTCTTCTCCTCGTCCTTGGCAGCAGCAGCAGCGGCACCACCCTGCCCATTCACCTCGGCCAGCGTCCTCCGCAGCGATTCGAGAAATCTGGTGACCTCTTCCTCCGTGCCGACCGTGATCCGCAGGCAGCCCAGGCAGCCGTGCTCCTTGCCCCTGAACCGCACCACGACGCCCTTGTCCTCGGCCAGCGTCTCGTACACCTTGAGGGCGGTCACGTTGTCCGGCTGGCCCTGCGCGTCCAGGATCTCGTACAGCAAGAAGTTGCTCTCCGTGCCGCCCATCAGCTTCCCTACGCCGGGGATCTTGGGCAGCTCCGCAATCAGCCTGTCGCGCTGGGCCACGATCTTGGCGAGGTTGGCGCGCATCGTGGCGAGCCCCTGCTCGGAGACGGCATACGAGGCGAGCGCGCTCGTCGGGCTCGAGATGTTGTACGGGGCCTTGAGGCTGTTGAGCAGGCGGGCGATCGGGGGCGAGGTGAAGGCCGCGCCGAGGCGGATGCCCGCGAGCCCAAAGGCCTTGGAGAGGGTCTGCATGACGACGAGGTTGGGCCACTCGGCGACCCATTCGGCCAGGGAGGCGCCGTCGGGCGAGAAGTCGATGTACGCCTCGTCGAGGACCACGATGCCGTTCCACGTCGGGTGCTCGAGCACCCTGCGCACGTCCTCCTTGGCCAGCAGGCTTCCCGTCGGGTTGCCGGGGGAGCAGAGGTAGACGAGCTTGATGTCCTTCTCGTTGGACAGGGCGGCGAGTACCGCGTCCGTGTCGAGCGCGAAGGTGGGCGCGGGGAGCAAGGGGACCTTGTGAATGCTGATGTCGTTGACCTGCGCCGAGACGGCGTACATGCCGTACGTGGGCGGGCAGGTGAGGATGCGGTCCTTGCCGGGGACGCAGAAGCAGCGGAGGAGGGCGTCGATGGCCTCGTCGCTGCCCACGCCGACAAAGAGGTTGTCTGGCGTGATGGCCTTGGGGGTGTGGTGGTGGGTGTTGCGCAGGTTGCACAGGAGCTGCTTCAGGTCGTGCTGGTGCGGGTCTGGATACCGGTGAAGGCCCAGCAGGTCAATCTGGGGGCCCGACGACGAGGAGGGCATGCTGGCTGGCAGAGATGGCCCGTAGGCGTTCTCATTGGCGTCGAGCAGGACATTGGTGCCGTTGTCCTTGTAGTCGCTGTCCGCGGTGTCAGTATTGTGTCAAGAACTCTGAGATGTGGAGGAAACCCACTCTCTAGCACAGCGATACGGCTCGAGAGTCAGTATGTTTGGCCGAGCGCATGTCTCGAGGTTGAAAGGTGACATGGTGTATGATTGCCGTTGTACCTGTGTCCGTTTTTGAGGTGTGGAGGGGTACGAATGGACAGATACAAATACACAACTCGAGAGTCCTTTCTTTATACCAGGCTTCGAGGTGGTGATTGCAAACACGCCAATCGATATAGGCCTCACTCGATCAACTGCACAGGCTCCAGATTGCCAAGAATTGACTCAGCTCGTGGGCGGCAGGCCGGCTGGGGAGTCACTCCAGGGGGGGTGGCGTGCATGCCGGCTCCGGAGCCGGCCCTGGTGGTGACAAAATTGCTGCCCCGCTCCGGCGCCGATGGAGGAAATTGGGACACCACACAGATCTCGCAAAGATTCCGTGCAAAAAACAGCCGTGTACAATTCGGACAGTCCGCAGGGACGATTGCCGACCAACATGTGGGGGCCAGGAACCACATTGTTTTTGGGGTTGGGACATCACGCATGGCAAAGTGATCGACAGCCTGGATCTGTGTCGATTTTTAGCAGACTGGCAGCCTCTCATCTTGAGCATGTCCCAGCCAGCTCAGGAACAGGTTTGTTGACACAACTTTCTTATAAGTGCAGGCAAAGACGCTCAAATATCCTCTACCGAAAACATCAAGTTTTCTCGCCACTGAACTGGTCCTGCAAGTGAGAGACAGGCCTGAAGGGAGCAGCCTTGGGAAACTAAAAAATGGTCCAGTTACAAGAGGTCAGCAACGAGATGGCAGACCGCCTGAAGGCGATTGAAAAGGAACACGAGAAAAAGACAAACGATGCTGCCTCAACACCAGGTCAGCCAGCAACAGGAGATTCCGCCGCCGCCTCAAGCACCAAGCATGGCCCCATACCAGCACCGGGTCCGCCAGGTCTGGCAGACGTCATGATGGGCGCGCTCCCCTCGATGCCCCCGGCCCGGACAGCATTTGGCGAGAAGAAGACTGTCGACGAAGTAGCCGCCGAGCTGAAGAAGTCGCCCTTTTTCATGACGGAGCTCGAGGAGAACGACGAGACGGAGGCGTTCAAGGCGCTTGCGTACGAGGGCACGCCCCTCGAGAACGCTGGCGAGTTCAAGCACCAAGGCAACGAGTGCTTCAAGGCAAAGCGCTGGTTCGACGCAAAGGAGTTCTACACAAAGGGCGTCTTGATCCTCGCGGCCGAGGAGCGGAAGCGGAAACCCGGAGCAGAGGGGGGTGGGTGGAAACTCAGCGACGACGAGCGGCAGCAAGCCGTCGACGAGAAGTGGGCCGAGACAACAGACGAGGACATTGCAAACGCCACCGTTGCCAAGCAGAAACAGCTCCTCGAGCAGCTCTACGGCAACCGCGCGGCATGCCACCTCGAGCTCAAGAACTACCGGAGCTGCTGGCTCGACGGCGCTGCCGCACTGCGCCTCAACGACAAGAACGTCAAGGCGTACTACCGCTCCGCGCGGGCGTTTCTTGCCGTCGACAGGATCCCGGAGGCTGACGACGCGTGTGCCCGCGGGCTGGAGATTGACGGGAACAATGCCTCGCTCAAGGCAGTTGCGCGGGACATTATCAAGCGCAACGAGCAGGTCACGGCCAAGGCGCGCAAGGAGGCGGAGCGGGAGGCCCGGGAGAAGCGCCGCGCGACGCTGCTCCAGGCGGCCCTCAAGGCGCGGAACATCCCGACCCGCGAGACGGCGCAGCCGCCCGAGATGGAGGACGCCAAGCTCGAGCTCGTCCCGGACCCGGATGATCCCCGGAGCAGCCTGAGCTTCCCGACCGTGCTCCTGTACCCTGTACACCTGCAGAGCGACTTCATCAAGGCGTTCAATGAGATGCAGTCGGTCGGCGACCACCTCGAGTACATCTTCCCGCTGCCGTGGGACCAGGAGGGGAAATACACCAGTGCCGGCGTTGAGTGTTATATGGAGACGATGGCGGGCGGGCTGATCAAGGTAGGCAAGAAGTTGCCACTACTCAAGATCTTGGGCTCAGGCAAGGTGGAGGTTGTGGACGAAGTTGTGAGGATATTTGTGGTGCCCAAGGCTGATGCCACCGCTTGGGTTGCCGAATTCAAAAGCAAGAAGGCAGCCGAGAGGGGCGGATCATAGCTATAGCTTCAGCACAAATAAATGAATATCCAAGTCAAATCTTTACAGAAACTCTGGCAGTGAGCTGGTGCATATTTCAATGCCAACGCTGAGGTCCGCAGGCTATGATAGACTCAAGCTTTCTTCTCTGTTACTAGCACAGAATGACTCTTGTTAAACACGGTGCAGCTGACTACGTGAACTACGCGAGAATCCTCCAACCAAACCATACGAAGACCAAGATGCTATAATGTTACAAGCTATTAAACCCTCCTCCGCCACGGACCAATAGTTTCGATCCGACTATTACTTCTCTTGGCGGACCAATCAGTCCGCATCTCTTTTCCGCCGCTTGTCTGGCCGAGATTCGTCCTCAGAACCCCTCAAATCCAGCAGTGCTCTAGCCAGATCTCGAGTCTGCGTTGTATCCAGTCTGCGCTCGTGCTCGTCAGGGGGCAACAAGGTTGCTGCAGGAGGCAGGGACTCTTTTTGGGGTTCTGCCTGACGAGTTTTTGGAGAGCCTCGTGTAGAGACTGGTGTTGGAGAAGCTTCCGAGCAGGTCGAGGACGGGTATGATGAGTCAGGTGGAGAGAAGTAGTCCTGGAAACCAGTGCTACGAGACGCACAGTTGGAACGAGAGGAACAATCTACAGTGTCTTCGTTCCCCACAGATATGTCATCGATCTTGCGCTTGCAAGATGGGCTCAAATAAGCACCGTGGTGCGTAGTATGGTCTAATGATGTTGAATAGCGCAGTCGCTCATCAGGGAATCGCGCGCTGATCCTCGGCCATGGTCTCGTGCTCCGTGGGGAGACCGGAGCAGAGTCAGGTGCTCTAGCGACTCTATTGCCATAGGCGGAAGAAAGGGGGGAGCTGTGTATCGAGAACTCTGGAGACCTGATAAAACGCGTTTCGGGGGAGGGATAGTATGCACGGGAGGAGGGGGTGGGCAGCGAGGTTCGTGCCAGCTCAAGATCCTGGGATGATGGAAAACCAGGATCACGATGAGTAGAGTATGGTACTGATGGTCGCAAATGTACCGTGATCGTCTCGCGTGCTTCTGAAGGCGCTGGTCGAGAGCTTGGGACTGCGAGGATTGGTTGAGGAACATTATTTTCTCTCAACTTGCCGTAGCGCTGACGAAACATCTCCGACTCTCTCGTGGCCGCGTGTACTATGACTGGATCGATTTTCATGTAGCCAAATGCCTCCGAGCTCGGCGGAAGGCAAGATGCTGGAAAATCCATGCCGAATACGGGAATCAGTGCTGGCGCTATGCTGTGACAGAATGTCGCACAAATGGCCCTCGCGCAAGCATAAGGCATCCAGTATCCTATGGGTTGGGTGATCAGCCTAAGCTACAAGCACTGAGAACATAGCAAAACAATGAGGCAAACCAACCTTGAGCGACGATGGATCCTCCCGTTATGCTGTGGGTGATATCCTTCAAACCTGGATTGAGATTGAGCATTTTGCCAGGAACAGTCTGCCGATTCAGTCAGTCAAGCCCTGCTTGTCCATTTCTGGTCTGCTACCACTTTCGCTCTCTGCTGAATGCGAAACGTACCTTGGCATATCCATGGCACTTGAAGAAGGGGGTAATCCGAACCAAGCCGATGTTGTAGTCCCACATGACTGTGTATACGCTTCCAGATTTGGGACATGTGAAATCGTATTGGAACACTGCAGACTAAAGTGAGCACACTGTCCAAGAGCGACCTACAATAGCAAGGGCCATACCTTCAATGCTTTCGCGGCCAGTTTTCAGCTGAAAGTCCTTCTTGTCGCTGTTGTATGGGATGTGCCTGCTTGTACTTTTGATTCTGCCCAGAGTGGTGATGCAGAAAGGAAGCAGCTGGCGCACCACCGCACTATCAAGGTCCTCAAATGGTGGGAAATTGACGTCTCCCGTGAGTTTGTTCGTCCGCGGTATATCAAGGGTCCTTTTACCAGTGTTTCGATTTGCCAGTGCAATATGGTGTAAGGATCGTTTCGTGTGTTGATGGTCAGTAGTTGAAGAAAAGCCCGAGGTGACAGAGTTCCTTTCCTCTTTGGGTCCTAGGGTCGTATTGAGAATATAATCAATTTTCATCCTCAGGTCCGTTGGGCGCCTGGGCCAGGGGTTCCGAGCTGGATGCATCTTGTGATTCTGCAATGTGTCTGTCCGGTCCTCTGAGTTACAACCACTGCCCTGGCGGAAGGATGCTTTCATGCTTCAACCAGCCTGCTTTATATCCACGACAGAGAGGTTCACGGGATTCGAGTGATTGTAAAGGTCAGCGGAATCGCGTCCCTGTTGCCTCCATGAACGGTGATCGAAGGGTCGTTTCGGACAAGTCCACGCTGTGTTTGACCTTGCCTCGAACGTCGAGTGATGGCTTTCAGTATACTTGATGCTCAAGTAGTCTGGCCGTTTGTAAGTCGACTGTTCTGGAAACGAGCCAGAGTTCACCGCTTCAGCGTCGCAGCCGCTTGCCGCAGAAACAACGGAGCTCTAGGTGAGAACGGCTGCAACGATCCCGCTATGGGCCCAGAGTGTGCCGCGCTTAAGAAGGTGGCAGCAGCCGCCTAGACTTGCATCCACGCTGACACATGTGAGGCCTGCTGGTATTTCTTGCCTAGGAGGCCTGTGCAGTGCTCTGTTCGGTGCATTGCGTTTCTCCCTCAGGACGCCGGTCATGAGAAGAAAGGCAAATACACAGAACAAACCGCGGATACGAGGGAAACATCATGACCAGACTCGTTTCATCTGGCCGTCCGTCCCAGAAGCAGTGTTCACCCAATCCGGACAAGACAGCCGATCTGGCAACGCACGTCGGGCGTGGAAGCTGGACTCGTCTGCTTGACAGAGGGGAGTCTGGCAGCATCCTAACAATGAATTTGGAGCACATTTCGTGGCTCCGGATATTTGATAGACGCCGCGTGTCCGTATAACAGTCGGCCGTCAAGGAGCGGCAGCGTGCATGAGCTGCCGGGGGAAGAGCTTGGGGCCTCGCCAGAACAGCTGCTCGAAAGCTACAGCGTCCGTTAGATCGATGAGGACACACGTGTTCTGACTCGGCGCAAGTATGCTCCTGGTATTTTGAAACTGGGAGAGCGTTGGCCGTGCAGCCAATCTGTGCTACGAGGCTTTGCACTCAGTCTTGATGTCGCAAATCTGGCAACGGTGGGAGCTGGCGAAGGAATCTCCGGTGAGATGTGCTCCCATGTCAATCACCATTCCCTGCTCCACAACAGCTGTCAATAGGCGGATATTAAGAAACCATACGTAAGTTTAAGGGGTTGGATTCCAAAAGGCTCGCGTTACTCAATAGTCGGCATGCCAGATGAAAAGCTTGCCTGTCTGCCAAACTGCCCAATGCCTCCTCCGTCCTATTAAGACAATCCCTGGCAGATATCGCCACAGCCAGGAGAGCGTGAATTTTGGGAGACCAAGGAATAGACTCGTTGAAGAGCCAAGTTATGGGGACCTTTGCTGCACCCGTCCTTTGGTGTCCTTCCGCCAACGTGCATCTGGCAGATAGGTTGCACACGAGCATGCAGAAACGTGCATCTCGAGTCAACCCCCCCTTCTTGAGGCTTTGGCCAGGGTGTTACTGAACTGTCCTGGCTGCAGGCTGCCGCCATGAGCAGTCGGCGGTTTCTTGAGCGTATCAAAAGCGTCCGGATCGGGCGAGTTGCGTTTGTACACAATCATATAGTGAACAGGCCAATGCAACACAAAATCCCTTGTGCCAGGCCAGAGCTTCTGGTCCTGGTGGCATGTGCCTCCTTCAGGTTGCCGGCGCTTGGACTGCACTGGTTACGCGTACCAAGGGGGCCAGGACCCTCCACTGTCGTGTCTGTAGCCGCAACTGTCCTAGGAAGAGTTTGGTGAGGTTGACGATATGGTCGAAGCCGAGACTGTTGTGAGTTCGAGCCAATCAAGGGCTCAGCGAGGTGGCCGTGATGATGCCTTATTACGAACCTCCATTGGCAGTCATCGTTCCACTTGTTTGCGGGCAAGCGGTCCCGTAGTGTGACCACGGGAAGGTGAGGCATGGAGAGGGGGCCACTCAAGCACAGACGGACACACGGAGATCTGGATTCTTTCAATCCGTATCACCTGTGGCAGCCAGCACACTCTGCTGCGCACAGCTTTGTCCACACAACAACCATGGTGTGTCGTGCAAGGCTCTCAGTGCGGAGAAATAACACCAATGGTGGATTTGACACGGCGGGAAGCCATGTGGCAATCTTTGTGGCACATCATGGCGTGGTGAAAGCAGTGCCGTGCTTCTGCATCTCATTTCCATGTGGTGGAGTTGCTCTGATCGGTCAAGATCAAGTTTGGTAGATGGCCATGATGTCAGTGACGAGGGAGATGAGTGATTGCCTCAGTGGTTCAGCATGAACTCTCGCTAGATTGCTTCGCGTATAGTTGGGTCTACGGATACGGTCCCTAGGCCACCTGGCTTTTGTGTATCCTCCGCTCATGGCGGGTTGCTGAAAGTTCCCATCGACAGTGGGTGTCAGTGTACGTAGCTAAGAAGGGAGGAGCTCTGTCTGGGCTTGGAGCGTAGGATGATGGAGGGTTGGAATTGAGATACAGAACATGCTGGCCATGACCGAGAGAAGGAGGAGCGAGATGAAGCAAACCGCACGAAGACGTGTTCACCCGTGGCGATGACCTGGGAGACTGGTGTAGATGTCACAAACACTGGCTGAAGACTGGATGCTTCCAGCTCCAGGCTTGCAGATTGGTGAGACCTCCCTCCCTCTGACTTGGTAACTGTTTGGCGGTTGCTCTGCCTCTCAGCCACAACAGCACAGCAGATGGAGTGGCTGTGAGGCTGGTTCTGTCATCGTTGATACATCACAAGGTTGGCTCACCTTCTGCCGAGCTGACTTAAGTGAGCACTAACAGGCACAGAGCCTCGGGACCCACTTTGGGTGACCCTGGAGGTGCAGGGGCGGAGCCTGCATGACAGGAGTGGAGCGGGGCAGAAATTAGGCCAGAACCCTGCTTGGACGCGTCTCATGTTTACATAGCGCGATAAGATAGAAGCAGCACATGCCTGGCGACGCCAAAGTCAACAACGGCCTCAATCTTGCAACACCATCTCTTGCTGGCGACAGACAGTTGCAGCAGCTGCCTGGTGCGCAGCGTCGACTCCCTCGCGCGCAACACTATTGGCCTCGCGCTCTCCCATACTCACTCTTCGCGCGTTTCATTTCGTGCAGCCCCGTCAGCAAACAGCCAACACTCTCCTTTCAGGCTCGCATCGGCCACCAACCGCGTTCACTATACTGTCACAGTCCGCCCAAGCTGCAATCCAGGCTGATTGTACATGGTGACTGCACGGGACGCAGAGCTCATTCCCAGTGCCCACTCACAATCACTACCATAACGCCCCCAAGAACCGCACAGCCATCGTGTACCCGCCGCCGAGCTGGCAAACCGCCAAGATGGATTCCGACATTTCCAACGACTCCGTCTTCGACGACGTCGAGAATGACTCTGATGCGTTCTCGCCCGAGGCTGTACGTGACATTCCATTCGTGTGATACGTTCTGCCTCGGAGGGCTTCCCCAGAACTTCACCACGAACTCAGGCACAACCCATTCCCTTCCCTCATCCACAAGTCACCTCCAATACTGACCACGTCTTGCCACAACAGAAGCCAAAGGCGAAACCAGCTGTGAAGAAGGCGGCAACCGCCAAGCCAAAAGCCGCCCCAAAGAAGATGGCCCAAACCACACTGAAAAGCAAGGCCGCTCCGAAGAAGCGTGCCAAGCCGGAAGACGACGATGACAACAACGACGAGTCTGGCTTCACAAATACGCCACCTACCAAGAAGAAGCAGAAGAAGGAGCCAGCTGTCAAGAAAACAGGCGGCAACCCGCTCGAGGAGATTGAGAACGACAGCATGATGGTGGACGGACCTTCGGAGCCCAAGCCTAGCAAGAAGACAGCCACAGAGACATATCAGAAGCTTTCACAACGCGAACATATCCTTGTGCGTCCCGACACGTACATCGGCTCCGTGGAACGCACCGAACAGCAGATGTGGGTGTACAACAAGGAACTCCAGCAAATGGAGAACCGCAAAGTCAGCTTCGTGCCTGGTCTCTACAAGATCTTTGACGAAATCCTCGTCAACGCTGCCGACAACAAGCAGAGAGACGCAACGATGACCTATATGAAGATCACAATCAACCGTGCCGAAGGCCAAGTGTCAGTAGAAAACAACGGCAAAGGCATACCAGTCGAAATCCACGAGAAGGAAAACGTCTACATTCCCGAACTCGTGTTTGGTCATCTCCTTGCAGGTTCCAACTTCGATGATAACGAAAAGAAGACTGTGGGAGGCAGGAACGGTTATGGTGCCAAGCTGTGTAACGTGTTCAGTACCGAATTCACACTCGAATGCCAGGACTCCAAGAATGGCAAGCGTTACAAGCAGACATGGACGAACAACATGACCAACATGTCCAAGGCGAAAATCACATCGAGCACTTCAAAAGACTTTGTTCGCATTACCTTCAAGCCAGATTGGGACAAATTTGGCATGCCAAACGGAATTGACGACGATCTCGAGGCGCTGCTCCACCGCCGTATCTATGATATGGCTGGAACTGTCTCAGGCGTCAAAGTCAGCCTCAACGATGAGGTGCTGAAGCTCAACTTTGCCAAGTATTGCGAGCTCTACTCCAAGGCCATTGCAAAGGAGCGTGGCGATGAGGATCTCTCTGGTCCCAACTCGAAGGTCATCATCGAGACCGAGGGCCACAAGGGCCGATGGCAGATTGGTTTTGCCGTCTCAGACGGGTCGTTTCAGCAGGTGTCATTTGTCAACTCTATTGCCACCACGACTGGTGGTACGCACGTCAACTACATCGCTGATCAGATCTGTGAATCTTTGTTGAAGTCACTCAACAAGAAGAAGAAGGGCCACTCTTTGAAGGCCAATCATATTCGGAATCACATCTTCATCTTCATCAACTGTCTGATCAACAACCCGGCTTTCAACTCGCAGACCAAGGAGCAGATGACGACAAAGGTCAGCCAGTTTGGAAGCAAATGTGTACTTTCAGATGGCTTTTTGAAGAAGATTGGCCAGACTGATGCCATAAACAACATCATCCACTTTGCCGAGCAGAAGGCAGACAAGATGATGGCCAAGAGTGACGGCAGCAAACGCTCCAGAGTTAGCAATGCCAAGCTGGTGGACGCCAACTTGGCTGGAACACGACACAGCCACGAGTGTACCCTGATCTTGACGGAAGGTGACTCAGCCAAGAGTTTAGCTGTGGCAGGCCGTGCGATCCTTGACCCAGACCGCATCGGTGTCTTCCCACTGCGAGGAAAGATGCTAAACGTCCGCGATGCCTCGATTGACCAGATCACGAAGAATGCCGAAATCCAAAACATCAAGCAGTTCCTTGGATTGAAGCATAAGCAGACGTACACTGATGTCAAGGGTCTCCGTTATGGCCACTTGATGATCATGGCCGATCAGGATCACGATGGCAGTCACATCAAGGGGCTGTTGATCAACTTCCTCCAGGTTCAATACCCCTCTCTCTTGCAGATTCCAGACTTCTTCAGAGAGTTCATCACTCCGATTGTCAAAGTCTGGCAAGGTCCGAACCCCAAGAAGCCACTCAAGATGAAGTCTTTCTTCACACAGCCCCAGTACGAGGAATGGAAGGAGGCACACCAAGCCGAGATCAAGAAGTGGCAATACAAATACTACAAGGGTCTGGGAACGAGTTCGAATGAAGACGCACAAGTCTATTTCACCAACCTAGACGATCACCTGAAAGAGTTCGAGGTCATGCAGCCATCTGAGGCTGAACTCTTTGACCTGGCCTTCTCAAAAAAGAAAGCTGATGCTCGCAAGGAATGGCTCGGCAAGTTTGTGCCAGGCACATATCTGGATCACACGACAAAGACTATCTCCTACGACAACTTTGTGAACCGAGAGCTGATCTTGTTCAGCATGGCAGACAACATGCGGTCCATTCCGTCTATGATTGATGGCCTGAAGCCCGGTCAGCGCAAGGTTATCTACGCCTGTCTGAAGCGCAATCTAGTCAAAGACAAGAAGGTCATTGAGTTGGCAGGTTACGTGTCAGAACAGACTGCTTATCACCACGGTGAGCAGTCTTTGCAGATGACCATTATCGGTCTTGCGCAAAATTTCTGCGGCTCAAACAACGTCAACTGTCTTGAGCCCAGCGGAAACTTCGGTTCTCGACTTGCCGGTGGATCCGATGCTGCCAGCGCTCGTTACATCCACACGCGCTTGTCCCCGTTTGCCCGCCGTGTGTTCCACCCATTGGACGAGCCCAATCTCAACCACAATGTCGAAGATGGTAAGCGGATCGAGCCTGAAAACTATGCGCCAGTTATCCCGATGCTCCTGGTGAATGGTGCAGATGGTATCGGCACAGGTTGGAGTACCTCAATTCCCAATTACCACCCCACGGAGATTATCAAGAACTTGAAACGTCGCATGGGCCGCCTCGAAGGCGAGGAAGGCATCGAGTCGCCTTTCGAGCCTATGACGCCGTGGTTCAGAGGCTGGAAGGGAACCGTCGTTCCTGCTGAGACCAACCGGTACCAGTTCAATGGTGTTGCCTACCAAGACGAGAAGAAACCCAACGAGGTCATAATCACGGAGCTGCCAATCCGCATGTGGACAGACGACTTTAAGGCCCGCCTCGAAGAGATCATCCGTGCTGAAAAGGCCCCGTCGTTCATCAAGGACTACAAGGAGTTCAACGACCACAACAATGTCCATTTCGAGATTCAGATGGATGAGAAGCACATGAAGGCTGCGCTCGAGGAAGGACTTCTGGAGCGGTTCAAGCTGCAGAAACAGATTGCCACCAGCAACCTGGTTGCGTTCGACACTCGCGGCATGATTCGCAAGTACGAGAAGGTTGAGGATATTCTCGAGGAGTTTTACGTGTACCGCCTGAAGATGTACAAGCTGCGCAAGGTAAGCACTCCCGTGGATCCAAGGCTTCCGAACTCTGATTAACATGATCCCCAGTCACACTGGCTTGGTGTGTACCACGCCGATTATCGCAAGCTTCAGAATCAGTACCGCTTCATCAAGGAGATTATGGATGGCGAACTTGTTGTCAGCCGGAAGAAGAAGGCCATCATTGTTGACGAGCTGCGCACACGTAACTACGAAGCTTTCCCCAAGTCAGGCGATGCGAAGAAGGCCAAGTCCGAGGACGATGAAGATGCCGAAGACGAGGGCGGCGACCAAGAACAGGATAACGATGTTTCTGGCGGTGCACAAGACTACGACTATCTGCTTGGAGTAGGTGCCCATCCATTGTGACTACCTCTTCGGCGCATGACTAACGTTTGATAGATGGCTATCTGGTCGTTCACACAAGAGCGACTTGACAGACTGAAGGAGCAGATTGCTAAGAAGAAGGCTGAACATGATGACCTCGAGGCTCTCAGCGAAAAGGACCTGTGGTGTCGGGACCTGGACGATTTCGAGGCTGAGTGGGAGAACCAACTCCGTCTCGATTCCGAGATCAAGACTTCGATTCGAAGAATGGGTCGCCGCGTGTCAAAGAAGATAGGAGCGGGCCGCGGACGGAAGAAGGACGACGATGATTATGACCCTGCACCACGCCAGAGAGGGAGCAAGCCCGCGGCGAAACCCAAGGTGGAAAAGGTTGCTCCGCCAAAGGCTGCCTCACGATTTGCGGATGTCTTCGGAGCCAAGCCGAAGAAGTCTGACGGAGCCGGTACTGATGGCGCCAATGATTCAGATGCGTTTGACGAGGACGACTTTGCTGCGCTAAAGAGCAAGCCTGTGAAGAAGGAGGCTCCTGCCAAGAAGGCAGCCCCAGCCAAGAAGGCCGCGCCTGTCGAACCAGAGGAATCTGCCGATGAGGAAATCGAGCGCGAGCCAGAGCCGGAGCCAGAGCCAGAGCCAGAGCCAGAGCCAGAGCTCCCCCCAGCACCTGCTGGGCGGACCAAGCGCGCGGCCGCGGTGCAGAAGAAGACCTGGATCCTCGACGACTCGGACTCGGACAGCAATGATGACCAAATGCTCGGCGACATCGGCGCAATGGTGAAAGGCATCGGTGGCGGCGCAGCACATGAGTCCTCAGAGGACAAACCTCGAGTCAGTTTGTACAACATGACAAGACCAGAGAGCAGCCATGGCCCTTCCACGTCTCTGAAAGTGAAGAGCAAGCCTTCCAAGACCTTCGACTTGGATAGCCATGACGACACAAACTACGAGATGTTAGCCCGATCATCGCCAGCGAAGCCACCCCAGGCCGATCCCCTGGACGACTTCCTCTCTGACGACGACGACGACGACGATCTACCAGCGGTCAAGAAGAACGCCAAGCTCAAGGTTTCGCCAAAGGTTGCTGCCAAGTCTGCAGCCAGCGGTGCGGCTGCCAAGAAGCCAAGAGGTCGGCCAGCTGCTACGAAGGCAGCTGCTGCCAAGCCGACGCAGCTTTCTCCGGCTGCGAAGTTGTACGCCAAGAAGAAGGCTGCGCCCAAGTCCAAGAAGGACGACTTTGACATGGACCTGGACGACGATGAGGAGGACGACCTCGCCGAGCCCTCATCGCCTCCGCCCAAGCCTGCTAGTCGCGGCAGACCTGGTCGTGCCGCCGCCGCCAAGGCCAAGCCGGTCTATGTCGACGAAGACGACAGCGAGGACGCGGATGACTATGACATGGACGAAAGCGACTAGACGCCGAGCTTTTTGTCAGTTGGTTGTCTCATGGAGAGCACTATGCATTCAGGGTGTTTAGAGGAACTGGAAAAGCACAACGAGGGGGACTAGATCATTCTATTCTGAGTGCACAGAGAAGAAATGCAGACAAGGATGTCTCTTGGTATTGGCAAGGCGCTGGTGATTTTCGGCCTCTGTTCATGATATTGCTTGGGCACGACGGTGCCTTGATATTGGTATCTATTCATTATCTCTATCTGAACGGAAGCCTTTGTGAAATGTTACATGTTTTTGTGATGTTACCAACTCTCGTCTGGCGGCGCGAGTAATCTTGACCTGCGATATATTTCTCAATCGCTCGTACTTGGGACAAAATATGGGAGACCTCCAGATCACCTTGTGCTCGACGGTTTCAGAATGATGTTATCAATCAGCCTGACGGCCGGACCGCCACTGTGGCCGAGATCCTCCCCGGACTGGGGTGCCTCGACAGGCAACATCTTGACAGCGCCGCTGAGAATGCCTCCCTTCTCTGGGTCGACCTTCTCTAGCTCCATCATGGTGCCCGGGTCCGCGAGCGAGATGTAATCAACCTCAAACCTTACTCTCTCTTCGGGTGCCAGGGCCATCTGCTCCGCCAGAACCTCCTCGGCGACTTTGTTCGCCGCGCCCAGTATTGACCGGCGGTCGAGTGCCCCCTGCGTAGCGTGCTGCGCCTCCGCGGCCCTGAGAGCGCGGTTGAGCACCGTCGCGACCTTGCGCCGCCGCGCGCCGAGGTACACGTTGCGCGAGCTCAGCGCGAGGCCGTCGGGCTCGCGGCTCGTCGGGCGCACGACGACCTCGGTGGGCAGCATGAAGTCGCGGACCATGTTGCGGATGACGACGGTCTGCTGGACGTCCTTCTGGCCAAAGTAGACGCGCTCCGGCTGGACAATGTTGAACAGCTTCATGCACACGGTCGCCACGCCGCGGAAGAAGGTGGGGCGGCTGGCGCCCTCGAGGACCTCGCCGACGGGGGTGATTGTGACGAAGCTGCCCTTGGAGCCGACCTCCTGGCCGGGGAAGCCGGAGGGGTACATGTCCGCGGTGGTCGGGGCGAAGACTGCGCTGATGCGGCCGAGGTTGCCGCCGTCGTCGGCGAGCTGGCGATCGAGGTCTGCGAGGATCTTGCAGTCCGAGTCCCAGGTCACCGGGTACGAGGCGAGGTCTTCCTTGATGCCGAACTGGGCCGGGTTGACGTAGATGCTGACGACGACGTGGTGGGCCTCGCGGGCGGCGGCGCGGATGAGGCTCAGGTGGCCCTCGTGCAGGGCGCCCATGGTCGGCACGAGCCCGACGATGCGGTGGTCGAGCATGTGCGGCTTGCGCCAGCGGCGGACCGACTCGACGGAGCGGAGGATGCGGATCGACGAGGAGGGGATCATCTCGCGGGACTTGCGGGTGGGCGTGCTGCTACTGCTGCTGCAGGAGGATGAATAGGCCGCGGCGGCGGCAAGGTGTTGGCGGGGAGAGATTTTGGAAAGGGATGATGGTGGTGGTGCTGCTGCCACGGCCCATCGAGAGCGGCAGGCCGGAGCCAGTATCCGGCGGAAGGCAACTCCAAACATTGTGTATGGCTGTGGCGGTGGTGTTGTAGGAGAAGAGGGACGACGAAGGAAAAGAAGAAGGATTGCCAGAGGGGTCAGAGGCAGCTGGAATCTGTCAGGGGTATTTGAGGGCGGTGGGAGCCATGGCGGTGAGTCAATGGCTGGCTGTCGACGAGGCAGTCGTGATGGAAAGTGCCGTGCAGAAGCTGGACCGGCGTGGTGTTTTGTGCAGGCCCGGCTGATTGTGGAGGCCGAGGAGCTAAGTTGGCGGCTGACAGTTGGGATGTTAGACCTCGAGGGTCTGAAATGTGGGGGAGGGGCCACTGACGCAGCGGTCCAATCATGGCTTGCAGCGCAAGAGTGGCCTGTCCCTTGCCCTTGGCAGCTCAACATCTAATCCGGCCGCCCAGCCACTGCGACATCGCCCGCGAGTCTTTACCTGCCGGCCCGCCGACCTTCCCTGTGTCTGCACGGCCATATGTTCCGCCAGGGTGAAACACACGACAATTCTCGAGCAACACTTGCGATGACTCAGCTTGGGTGAAGGAAGAAATCATGAAAGAGTTACGCTCCGCCTCGTCTCGCCTGTGTGCGGTGGCATGCCTGGCCCTCGAGATCGCCGGCGTCTGTGCGCAGTACGGCCAGGATCAGGCGGTCCTCAACAGCAACAGCTATCTGTACAAGGACGCTTGCCCAGACTACGCCCAATATGCCAGCTATCCCCAGTACGTCAACTCACTTCGCAGGTGGTGTGATCTTGCTCGATCTTGGGTACGGCACGTGCTGACGTCGTCATCACCATAACTCCAGCCGCCCACTGAGCGATGGGCCTCTTGCCCTTCCGTTTCAGAGACCTGATCCAAGGTGCCGGACCTTTCAGTCCGACGCCATCGAGAAGGTCATTGAGGATGTCACCTCGCGCATGAAGAATCCAGACCTCGCTCGCCTCTTTGAGAATGCCTTTCCTGTGAGTACCAGTCTCCTTCGTACTGGATCTGGTTCCGCAGCAGCGCTGACGCTCTCTCTAGTCCACAACAGACACCACTGTCAAGTTCCATACCACTGGCAAAGACGGCCTCGGCGTGGACAACTCAGACACTCTTCCAGATGCTTGGCAAGGGCCGCACTCGTTTATCATCACGGGCGACATTATTGCCGAGTGGCTCAGAGATTCGACGAACCAGCTGTCTCCGTATCAGGCGCTGGCCAAGAAGGATCCGGCCATCTACAGCCTGATCCTCGGCGCCATCAACACGCAGTCTGAATACGTCATCGAGTCTCCGTACTGCAATGCCTTTCAGCCGCCTCCCATCAGCGGCCTGTCGATCACCCACAATGGGCAGGACGATGATGTGCACCCTGTGTACGATCCCAATTTCGTCTTCGAGTGCAAGTACGAGCTCGATTCGATTGCCCACTTCCTTGCGCTTGGCAACGACTTCTTCGAGCACACTGGCTCGACTGAGTTCCTCACGGACAGGTGGTTTGCGGCGCTCGACACCGTCCTGGACGTTATCGATGAGCAGTCTATGCCGACATTTGATCCCACGTCCGGAAGCTTCCGCAAAAACCAGTACACCTTTCAGCGTAGGACAAACCTGGGAACCGAGACCCTCAATCTTGCCGGTGTGGGAAACCCCCTGAACGGCGACACAGGCCTTGTCCGGTCAGCCTTTCGTCCCAGCGACGATGCAACCATTCTCGGCTTCTTCATCCCTGCAAACGCCATGATGAGCGTTGAGTTGCGCAGAGCCGCCAAGGCTCTGAAGAAAGATGGCAAGACTGCTAAAGCGGCCGAACTCGTGGCCTTGAGCGAGCGGATCAGCAAGGGTGTCTGGGAACATGGCGTTGTGGAACACAAGAAGTTTGGCAAGGTCTTTGCCTACGAAGTGGACGGATACGGCTCGTCGATACTGATGGACGATGCCAACTACCCGTCTCTTCTCGCGTTGCCCCTGATGGGCTTCGTCGAGCAGGACGACGAGGTGTATCAGAACACGCGCAAGATGCTGCTCGGCAAGGACTCGAATCCTTATTATTTGACGGGTCGGGATTTCCGTGGTATTGGAGGCCCCCATATCGGTCTGCGCAACGCATGGCCGATGAGTCTGCTCATCCAGGCTCGCACCTCCAACAACGACACTGAGATCAAAGAGTGCATTGACCTTGTCCTGTCCTCATGCAACCTTGGTCTCGTCCACGAGAGTATCGACGTGAACAACTCGTACTCGTACACACGTAGCTGGTTCGCGTGGGCTAATGGGGTTTTTGCGGAGACGATTCTGGATCTGGCTGCCCGCAAACCAGAGCTGATATTTGGGGATAGCACTCCATATACAATATGATGGCAGCGAAGAGGTCACAAGATGTGGCATTACAATACTACTTACAGGAGGATACAAGGCATTACTTTTGAGAACTGGGGATTATCGGAAGAGTGAATATTCCCACTCTGCACAGGTGTTCTGATGGTGTTTTTGCTCTGGATCATTTCTGCTCCTCGGCGGTCCCACTGCTATCCCTCTCTGCTCCCTGCCAGCTGGACGGTCCATCATCAAGCATTCTCCCAATGACCTGTCCCAGTCTCTCCACGCCTTCCACCAGATTCTGCTCCTCCTCCCACGCAAAGCACAGCCGCATCGCGTGGTCCAGTCTCACGGCGGCCTCGTCGCCTTGGACCTCAAACATGCCGCCGTGACCAATGACCAGATCCTCGTCACGCATACACCGCGCGGCAATCGCCTTGGCGCCGGGGAACGGCTTCTCTTCCGTGCCGACAGGCAGTGTGAGCCAGATGAAATACCCTCCGAATATGCCCTTGCCTTCCTTCTGCACCGTACCGCCACCAGCGCCGCCGTCACCTCCGCCTCCTGCTCCATCCTCGAGATCCAGCAAACCCCCCTGCCCAACCATGACACCAAACGGCCTCACCAACGCCCTCTCCACAGCAGTCATGAGCAACCTATGCCGGCGCCGATACGTCGGCCGCAACACGCTCTCAATCTCGCGCTGCAGATCCCCCGACCTGAGCAGCTGGCACACGATAGCGGCCGTCATCTGCGAGGGGGCGCCGCCGGACCTCGTCGCACCCGTCTGGCTCAGTCCCAGGGCGAAGTCGGGCGTAGACTGGGTCCAGCCGGTGCGCAGGCCGGGGCCAGCGAGCTTGCTGAACGACCCGTTGGATATGGCGTGGCCGAAGTGCTGCCTCTTCTGTGCTGGCTCGAGCGGTATGCCCAGCGCGTTGACGATGGTCTTTGTTGTGGTCGCACCGGCGAGCTTGCTCAGCTCTTCGTCGTGCCGAGAGGGCCCGAGGGCGAGGTCAATGTCCACGAGGCGCGGGAGGAGAGCCCGGTTGAGATCGACTTCTTCTGCCAGCGCCTCAACCGCCGTGGCACCCTTTGCAGAGTGACCCGGCGGGGAAGAGGTCGTAGACCACTGCAGCATGTCGTACACATCGTCGGACACGACCAGCGCGTCGTGCTCGCGCGCCAGCTCGACCAGCGCGCGCCGCCGGGCCAGTGACATGGTCTTGCCCGACGGGTTCGCAAACGTGGGCACGCAGTAGATGACGTGCCTGTAGATCTTGCGGTACGGGGCCGGGTTCTTGTACACCGGTCGTCGTGGGGCGGCCTCCTCTCCTTCCCGGTCCGCCGTGGCTTGGTGACTTCCCTCCTCCTTCTTGTTGTCCTTGCTCTTCTCCGAGCCACCCTTCTCCGAGTCGAGCTCCTCCAGCCCGGCTCGCAAGAACTCGAGGTCGATGCCCTCGTCGTCCTCGGGCACCGCGCGCATCTTGGCGCCGAACCCGGCGTCCGCCATGATCGGGCACGCGAGGAAGTACGCGGGGGCGACCATCCACACGGCGCGCGTGTACGCCGGGTCGGTGAAGCTGGCCAGCACGTTGGCCAGGGACTGCGAGGCCCCGCCCGTGATGGTGATGGTGTCGGCTGCTGCTGCTTCCGCGGCCAGTGGTGGTGGTGATGTGGGCGGCATGCTCTTTTGATGATGATGATTAGGAGGAGGCACTCCTCCGTCATCACGGTGTATGGGATCGCTGTAGAACTCGTCTAGCCATACGGCCAGTGCCTCCCGGAGCTCCTGGAACCCCGGGTCCGGGGCGTACAGCAGCGCCGAGGCCGGGGTGAGGATGGAGGCGTCGCTCAGGGCGGCCTGGGCGGCCTTCTTCAGGGCGTCGACGGGGAGCAGAGATGTATTTGGCCAGCCCCTGTGGAGATTTATTGGCGTCCTCTTCTTCTCCTCCTTCTTTTTGGTCTCGGGTGTAGTCTCGGTGGTCAGTGAGGCTGGAGTTGGGATGGGAGTGGTCTTGCCCTCCATCCCCCCCGTGCTGGGGCCCCCGGGGGCGGTGGAGGAGGAGGTTGTGCTGCCCATTCTGATGGTATATTTGGTAGTCACAGTCGATGGTGGACTGCCAGCGTATGATAACAAGGCCCTCGACCCCGTCTTGCTGCTGACTGGGAACGTTCTTGTTGCAAGACTAGTCCGATGACACGGCCGTGTGAGGATGAGAATACAACGCATGTAACTTTGGTCCTCTCCACCTAGCTCGACGGTCCTTGCCAGATGTGTTTGCTCCGGGGATCACTTTGACCGAGATCGCAATATCGTGTGGCGGGCTGCAAAGGCCAAAGGAAGTAGACGCAGCATGTAGTTCACAACTTAAAAAGTCTCGGAATCATGAGGGGGCGATGTGGTAAGTCGTGGGCGGATAAGTGGATCCCGCACATCGACTTCCGGGGCCGTCCATAGCCGCTCCGGTGCGTCTCCGGCCGCCCGGCTCGGCGGAGGTTGGCGAACGGATGGTCTCGACACTTATTATCAAGCTCGCCCTCGACAGCACGACTTTCCCGCACGCACATGTATCTAAAGGCACATGACGGCAGGCACCAATGTCTCGAGAAGCACAATCGCAAGGGTATCAATTTGTTCGCTAGTCACGCCTTTAAATCCTTTCCCAAGAGACGCCGCAAAGTCCAATACGCCTCTACCTCCTCCTGCTAAACCTACACGCACGTAAAAGTGCCGGCTGACAGGACTATCTACCAACCCCACGTCCTGGAGGATGCAGTGAAGACAGGTGGCTTCCACTGGATCCGCTCGGGCGCAATGTACCTCTTGGCCTTGAGCTTGTCCTTTTCCCTACGTGCAATGAGTGCCTCGGGAATGACGAGCTTGTGTTCGCCCTTGTGGTACACCTGCATCTTGAGCGCCTGTAACGTGTGCTCAACATCGACCGTCATCATGGCCAGCGACGATGATATGCTCTCGATACTCGTCTTCTCGTCCCGCTCGGCAGCCTCGATGAGTAAATCAAGAATGACCTCAGACCAGTACTGCCGGTAACTGAGAAGCCCAAGATCAGACAGCGGCTTCTCGGGAGAGCCCAGCTTGCCCTCGATCTTGGACAACTCATACGAGAACTGGATGAGCAACCGGCCGAAACCCTTGCGCTGGTACTGCGGCAGCGTCAGGATACAGGCGACGTTGTAGCCCTCTGCACTCTCCTTCTCCTTGGAAAAAAAGCCAACCAAGTGATGGCCCTTTTCCGACTTCTGCGTCATGACGTAGAACAAGAACGGGTCGACATCGTAGTAGAGCGTCTTGTGGTCGAGGAACATTTTGCAGAATAGACAGAGATTCCTGCACCAGGTCCGTTGTCTCTTTCCGTCAATCTCGAAGAACGAGACATAATCGTCGCGGTAGATCTCGTTGCCCGGCGGGTGGTGCAGCGTGCACCGGTGGCGATGCCGCACAAAGGATTTGTGGTCGGCGTAATAGTTGAGGCAGAACTCGCAGATGTAGATGACGTCCTCAAGGGTGAAGGGCTCCGGGTAGGGCGAGAAGTACCAGGGGAACAGGTTCCACTCGCCAAATTGCACCATTGATATGTTTCGGATTCTCGCCAGCTCGGTCGGGTTCTGTGTCATCGAGCCTCCTGTCCGCAGCTTCTCAATCTCCTTCTCCCTGCTGAAACCGCCCTCGTCCTCCTTCTTGACCTCTGCAACTTCGTCATCATCGTCCAGGTCCATCTCATCACCGGCCGCGGCGGGTGTCGAGGTAGCTTTCGTCGAGTCGGCATCGAGCGGAGTCGACGGCGCCTTCTGGTTGTCGACAAATTCGGTCCACGGGTGGCTCGGAGTGGTCGCCTCTGAGATGACCGACTGCTCGCGCTTGCTCAGCCGCTTAGGGTTCTTGTTGGCCGACTTTTTGTTCTTCGACACGGCGGCCGCCGTCTTGCTCTTGTTGTCCTTGCCCGGCTTGTCCTTGTCCGGGTTCGGCCACTCGACGTCCTGCTCAAAGTCGATGCGCCGCACGGGCACCCACTCGTCGAGGCGCTTGTTGAAGTTGTCAAAGTTGCAGTAGAACTGCCGCCCACTCTTGGCCTCCTTGATGCTCAGAATCTCGGCGCGCCGCGCCTGGCCTTCCTTCTCGACCATCGCGATGCACCCCACGCGCAACGTGTCGGGCGTGGCCTTGCTCTTCTGCCGGGGCACGTCGGCCCCGACGGTCGCCTCGCCGTTGAGAACGCCAGGACTCATTGTCGGATGGCTTTGGCGGTCTGTGGCGATGGAAAAGTTGATGGAATCGGGTGTGTGGTCAATTGACAGTGCGGTCGGTTTCGCGCGGTTGCGGACGGAATCTCATGGTCGCATTTGTGATGGGCAAGTGTTGCAGCAGGCAGTTGCCCCAATGCTCCACTAGAAACGTCCAGGCGCTGGTGGAGGGGCGACGCCTGTTGGTGCTAATGACGTGTCAGGTTTAGTGCACTTTCCAGAACCCTCCGGTGCGAGTGGCCACTAATCATCGCGTGCTGGTCACATGGTATGGGGGTTCCGAGGCACACTGGCAAATTAGGTCAAACCTGGCGAAGGTTTGCGAGCAAACATCAATTGTGCCATCTCTATGGCGAAGTGATACATAGCTCGCCATAGTTGTTTGTACCTGCGGAGAAGTCCCTCACTAAGAGTAAGGCCGCCATATATGGTTGTGACAAAAGGCGTTCTACGGCTTCAAAGGTTCTCCCGAACGAAACGCCGTCGTCTTGCTCAACAATCGATATAACTTGACGGCATGATTACATGCATCACCCAAGCAGGATTATTATAGCCGATCCAGATATCCATACTCGCCGTGATTATCAAATACTGGTCGTGCGTTCCGTAGATAATCGACCGATCCTGCGAGGAATGGGGAAATGGCATCGAGGGCCGAGGAAAGGGCAAATGAGAACTCTCCTTGGGTGATGCTCGCCGGTGCGTTTTGGTCGGTGTCCAGACATGGTCGTGATAGTGGCTCCATAATCGTGAAGTCGCGACCGCATCAAACAGTCACAACAAGCAGCACACATGCCTCTTCAGCAACCCGTTCCGAATCTCAGCAGCGGGTCTTAGAGATGATGGCAGGAGATTATCCCCAAGTCCAAGTCTTGGGAATGGAAAGCATTTGGGACTTTCTTCTGTGTGGTCGTCCATCAACTCTGAAGCACCATATCGTCACGCAGCTGCTGACAGCAAATGATCGAGGAACGGCAGACTGCATTCGCCCTTATTGTTGCCTCGTATTCAAGAAACACCGGGTTCAAGTCGAGGGATCCTTCACAGCAGCAGGATACGCATGCAGCTTTTGATAGATTCAGTGTCAGCAATCGTTTCTAGGGCGTGCTCCTCAGCACAAAGAAACAAACAAGCAACATACCTTTTCAGCGAATCCAATCCACTCCTCGATGCTCCTAACATACGCGTCTGCACCTGCATCAGCGACAGACTCGTGGCCCCAGACGACAAACTCGTCAAACACGCCCTCGTTGCGCAGAGAGGCGACCTGCGGCTCCTCAGAGGACTCGTCGTCGCCGTCGTCGAGGTTCATAGCATGGTCATCATCCTCGCCGGGCTGCTTCTTCTTTTCCTGCCTGCTGGCGACCGCACCGTAGTAGCCCTCGGGCAACTTGACTGTCTTGCCGTAGAGTTTCCTACCACGCAGGTATGCGACGTTTTGTGTGCCGTCTGCATGGGAGTGTCAGAAAATGCGCGGGAAGCGGTTCGATTCGGATTCCATCTTGGACGGACGGCGTGATACTGACCTTTGTTGATCGCCGGCTTCCAGTATGTGTCTATCGAGCCGACCTCGCCGTCGTGGTGGATGCGTGCGGGCAGCAGATTTACGCAAGTCTTGGGCTGGTCTGCGGCCTTGACTGGCCCCTCGACCGTGAGAATAGGCTGTGACATTTTGTAGGGTATCGTCTTGGAGAAAGTATGGGTTTGTGCGAGGCCTCCGTGACAAAGGCTACTGCTGCCCTGGTCTACGCAGTGAATAATGCCCGTGGTGATGGAGCCCAGAAATCAGACGCGACGAGACGCGCCGGAGGTGGAAACCACTTAATGCGGACCCACTTTAAAGTGCTTGCGGCTTAGACTCTGCTGCAGCCAGGCTGCAGGGTCAAAACGACCACTCAAGCACGAAGCCCAGTAGAACCATGAGATAGGTCTAAAGCAGTGTGTATCGTTTGGGTATTATGATGCGCTAGTCCATGTTGCTCAAAGATTGCTCGCTAATGCCTTTTCTTCTTCTTCCCTCCCGCAGCTTTCGTCCTGCCTTTGCCTTTTGCCCCTGCGCTGGCCCCAAGCTCTTCATCATCATCATTGACGAATCTGCTAAATTTGTGCGCGTGCTCGACATCGAACTCGGGCTTCTTCTTCCGGAAGAGTAGCATCGCGACTCTGGCATCCTCGATGCTCGAATGGACACCACCCTGAATCTCCACGCCCAGCACTTCCCGCGCAAGCACCCGCAGCGCTGGCTTCGGCCCATGTCCATACTTCCTGTACCCTGAGAACCTCGCCGTGTCGCGAATCTGGTGTGTGGGGTGGCTGAGCATGAGCACGGCGAGATCGTGTCGAATGTCGTGCCCGACCAGTATCCTATCCTTGAGCAGCTCTGCAATGACCTTCTGTACCTCGTCAAAGTCCCTCGCGGTCCGCATGTGCCGCGTCGTGATGCCCGTAATGCTCGTCCGCCAGTCCGTCACTTTCTCGCGCGGCCGCACAAACGAGTCGTACACCTGCTTCCCATGGAAGTCGACCACGCTCACCCGCGCCAGGGCGTGGTCGTACCCATCCGGCCCAATGCCGACCATCTCACAGTCCAGCCCAATGTACTTGCCGACATCGCCGATCTTGAGGCCTGGGGCCAATCCTTCATTGACGCGGTGTTTCTCTGCCTCGCTTCCCGCCCTCAGCAGCGCGTTGTCCTTGACGCCGAGGTTGTATGCTTCGGCCAAGGCTTCTGATGATATGCCATTGTCGTCGGCCCATAGTGCCAGTGATGGCTTTATTGTCGCCGGCGTGCCATTGGGGATGGCGGAGGACTGGGTTACGCCCATCGACGAAGACGAGGAAGGCGGTGGTTGTCTCACGGGCCAGTTGCGCTGCCGTTTGTTCTCAGCCTGCTTCTTGGGGGGCAGTGTACTGCTGGGCTTGTGTTTCTTCGAGATCTGTGTTGCGTCTTCTGTGGCTTTTCTCTTTGCGGGCTTCTGCTGCGCTGCCTGTGGCGGCGGCTTCTTGGGCGCAGAGGACGGCTCAGTCTTTATCTGAGCCTGCAACTTTTTCCAGTTTGATGAGAGCTCAGGAGCCATCTTGTCGTGGCTGTGGATGTTTATGAGAGGCTCATGATAGAGCAGAGTGCACGGAATTCAATTCTGGGACTGGGTCTGGGATCAATCTGCAGAATTGGCTGTAATGGCTGACTGGGCTGGGAGAGATGCGTGTGAATCGTGAGGGTGGAAGCACTGACAGAGAAAATGGAGAAGCAGGAAAACCCACAGTTTTGCGACAGCCACTCCCCACTGTGCAGAGCCGAGCCGGACGCCGCTACCTTAAATGCAGCTCCCGACTTACACAGCCCAGAGGAGATCTTGGTGCATGTCACATTCGAAGTCACGCCCAAAGTGCATCGGCGTTTCACCCAGCCGTGTGAAGGCTTCTTCTCGTTCGGCATATTGCTCCAAACATGTGCCGGTCGGCGAGCCAGTGTGAATAAGGGATATCTGCGTACCCGGCTTATCCTGCTCGAGTTAGTCGGATCTGGACGTGAGGCCGAGTCCACTTTCCCCGCACAAGCAATCCCTCACCGAGCCGTAGAGTAGTTTGCGAGGTCATTTCGTCCCCCTTCCCAAAGAGCTGTTGAGTCTGCGTGACGGCTGTGTGACGTTGTACGGGCATGCACCGGTGTAAGCAACCAGTAACCTTCATTTGAGATATTCTTCTGCCCGGTTGTCAGTTCCTGGTCTGGAGGAGCTCGTCAGCTGCTTCTGCTCGCCCCCCCCCTATTATATAAACTTTCAGGGTCCCCGATTGTGCAACCAACTTCAACATCGCCGCGCCGATCTCCCGCGGAACACCCTCACTTTCACCACACACTGTAAGCTGCAATTCATATCATTGACATGTCGTTGTTCACCCACTGATCCTCGATCTAGACCTGGTCTTTCAACTGCTGAGCCCTGTCGCTATCTGCCAAATGGCTCCGCCTGCAACTCCCGTGGCCGTCTCGGCGCCTGGCAAGGTGCTTCTGGCCGGCGGCTACCTCGTCCTGGACCGCGAGTACACGGGTCTCGTCTTTGGCCTCAGTGCCCGCATCAACGTTGTTGCCCGCAGCATCCCCACCAGCCCTGGTGTCCAGCTCAACGAGATTGTTGTCGACAGCCCTCAATTCCTCGAGGCTCAGTGGCGATACGGTTACCACCTGGCCCCTGAGAGGGGTGGCATCAAGGTCACTCAGTTCCAGGTGTACGTGAATGCTCTTTGTATCATGTCTCTTATCCATATCCCTCATGCTGGATCCGGAAATATCTGGATACATCCCCTTTGCATTCTTGCGGGAGCCTCCTTTAAGGATGAGCTTCCCGTCATGTTTCCAAGCAGGACTCTCAAGCTCAACGTCATTCTATACTACGATTCCAGACACTTGCACCAAGCATAAACCTACATATTACTAACTTTCAACATAGCGGCTCAAATATCAACCCCAACCCCTTCGTGGAGACGACGCTGAACTACGCCCTCACATTCATCTCAACCCTGGCACCCACGAACCAGTCTTTCGCAGCAGCCAGATTCACCGTCCTGGCCGACAACGACTACTACTCCCAGCCACACTCATCCTCCGCTGCGGACACGGCCAAGAAGAATCCAACCCGCTTCGCCAAGTTCCCCACGACCCTGCGCGACGCGCACAAGACCGGCCTGGGCTCCTCCGCGGCACTCGTGACCTCCCTGACCGCCGCCTTGCTCACCTACTACCTGTCCCCGTCCGACTTTGACCTCGCCACGCCTCAGGGCCAGCGGACCCTGCACAACCTCGCGCAGGCCGCCCACTGCGCGGCGCAGGGCAAGGTCGGCTCCGGCTTCGACGTGGCCGCCGCGGTCTACGGCAGCTGCAAGTACCGGCGCTTCTCGCCGTCGATCCTCAAGGGCCTGCCCGAGGCCGGGAAGCCGGGCTTCGCGCCCGCGCTGTTCGAGTGCGTCACCCAGGCCGAGTGGGACACGGAGATTGCCAAGGATGGCGTCTCCCTCCCCGCCGGCGTCGCGCTGCGCATGTGCGACGTCGACTGCGGTAGCCAGACGGTCGGGATGGTCAAGAAGGTGCTCGCGTGGCGCGAGCAGGACAGCCAGGCCGCCAAGACGCTCTGGGACGACCTGCAGGCGTCCAACGAGAAGCTCGGCGCCACCCTCAAGGCCGGCGAGGTCGAGAGCATCAGCGGGGCCGTGGCCTCGGTGCGCGAGCTGATCCGCGCCATGGGCACGGGGAGCGGCGTGCCCATCGAGCCCGAGTCCCAGACCGCGCTGCTCGACGCGCTGCAATCCGTCGAGGGCGTGCACAACGGCGTCGTGCCCGGCGCGGGAGGCTTTGACGCGCTGGCGCTCGTCATGAAGGATGACGCCGAGACCGAGAAGCGGGTCAAGCAGTTTCTGGAGACGTGGAGCGCCGACAAGGGTGGTGTCGTGAGGATGCTCGACGTCAAGGGCGAAATGGAGGGCGTGAGGAGGGAAAGCCTAGACCAGTACGACGGGTGGGTACAGTAGAGAACTAGAGACAAGTAGGCATCTTCACTCAAGCCCCTTTCTACCTGAAAGTGGTCTATCAAGGTGCTGTCAGACTTTATATTGTATACACCAAAGTGGCCAAAGATCCAGTATTGCTTGCAGTGGGCATCTTTACGAAGCAGGGCAGCATTCAGCCCGTTTGATGTGGCACACTTGTGAATGCTCCTGGCTGTGATTTTGATATCTGGCAATGGTCCACAATCTGGACCGACAACTACCAGTCCGGTGACTAGAATGACGGAACTCCTCAATGGCAGGTTCCATTCGCAGACCTGTCTTGGACAGCCTTACTCCGTGCTTCAGCGGCAGAGGAACGCCAGCCACACTGGGCAGACTTCGGCGTACCAAACATCGGCGAACCTTGGCCAGTCAGCGCAGTCCTATAAGAACTCCTGGGTGTCGCGTTTCCCTCCCTCTACATTTTGCATCCTTCTTTCCTCAACGACTTTAGGTGAGTTGTCTCTCTCATATAATTTCTCTCGTCAAACGTAAGCCAAGTCGCACAAGCTCCTGTGTCTCCAGTATCTGGCAGTAATCCAAGTGGGATTTTCTCAGAACCGAGGCATTCATCGCAGAATGCACTCACGAGCTACGACTGGCATCCGCAAAAGTGCTGCCGTTCATTCATTCCATTCTCGAAAAGGTTTTTTTTTCATTTCCCTAGTCAAGGCATATGACTATTCAGTACAAACAACTCGTCCCACCAACTACGTCTGCCCCAACGTCACTCCTCCTACTTCAGCTCAGCTCCAATCCTCACGAAAGCCTTTACCACCTGAGACTAGCTTGTCGACCTCGCGTGCCTATCCAATGATGGCGAGGGCATGACGATTCTGGTTTCGGACTTGTTCACGATCGCCACCTGCCAGGGAGAATTTCAAGTGTTTGCGTTAGCCAAGGCTAACGACTTGTAGGTCATCAGAGTTACCACAGTATGATAATCCTCCCACTTGGTCATAAAAATACTACACTCCTCATCTTCCCTACCTTTTTGAGACGCCGGTGGCCAATGATGTTGATCCGAGCCGACCCTGGGCTGTAGACCACACGATGACTGTGTCTCGTCGTAGTTGTTATCTCGAGCTCCACGGTGTATTGGCAAATATGACCTGAGGCTGCCGGTATGGGCGGTTGTACAGACCTGGTAGAAAGCCAGTCTTGACGCAAGACCTGGACAGGAAGACAAGAGAATTCGACCAATTTGATCTATGATGACAAGGACTCGCTAAGGTAGCCGACACCAGGGCATGAGAAGCCATCGGGCGTCTGGGACCTAGTCGGGCTGCTCTGAGGTCTCGGAACACGAGTGTGTCGTCTCATGGTGAACAGTATTGTGGTATCACATCGGTAGATTCGCTCAGGAGGAGGCACGAGAGCCAATAGACCAGGGGCTGTTAGGGACTTGAAAGCGACAACAAGATGGGCAAGGAATATGATGGAATGCAATGGGGCATGATAATTGGCGAGGGCGTGGCATCACCGGGTTGTTGGTGATGAAATGCCTGATGGTTGATGCTGCATCGCTGTGTCGACAGGCAGATGTAGTTGGAATAACTCGGCAGAAGGGGACACACGCGAAGAGGTGAGGATTGAGACTGTGTTTCGAGCATAATGAACATAAGGAGTCCCATGACACGACTGCGTCCTTGCTCTTTCCATCTACGACATCACGGAGGCGTTCTCGTGGCCAGAAGGAAAGTGTGATCGCTGCCCGGAGCGTCCTATAATGGTAGCCACGAACGCAGGGTCATAGATCTGATACAGCAATAACGAATCTTGTCACATGAGGTTCTGTCTACAGCAATCTCCTACACTCTATATCTCGGGCCTGTCAACTGAAGCGCTTGTGTTGCCGCCACGAGACTGCCGTCTATACTTGGCATCGCGGTCACAAAACAGATCTGAGCCAGGTAGTAGCTCAGTATAGTTGCCCCGGTTCGTATCGAGACAGTGAGCACATTAAGCATACCTCTGCCAGTCGATCAAACCTCCAACAAAGGCGCGGGATGTGAAACGAAAAGCATTTTGGTCCCGTCTTTATATGACCGGATGGATCGTGTTTTGTGCAGTCGCTCTTGGTCTATTTCCATGAAAATCGGGGCGGAATCAAGGTGAGCCACCGTATTTTGATGGTTCTCCAATATCAGCTATTGGTGCTCTGCGGTTCGTGGGAGATTAATGATAGATGACGTTCCAATTGGGCCAACTGGTCTCTCTGGTGTTCAGCATAGAGACTGCTATGCAATCGTTTGCAAATAGGCCGAGCTGGTCTAAGATCTATTTCTCCAGGTGTCTTCTTTCACTAATATGTTTTTCTCTGATCTGACAAGTGGCATGTCCTAAATGGTGTTCATGGAATAGAATCATCTCCCCTTGGTTCGCTTTCGCTCTGGTCTTATTTCACCTTACACCATTAAAGAACGTGACACGATTGGACGTATAGCATACCAATGCGGGAGAATCACCGCAACGTATATTTTGCATTCGAAATTTCTATATATAGTTGTAATGGAGGAGGCCTAATAGGGTGACGGTAAACCAGAAGTTGCATTGTCGTTGTTGTTGCTCTCAAACGTTGATCCAGTCTACAGTCCAGTCTGAGGCGGAACGGTCAAACTCCCTTCACCCAGAAGAATGATCTTTGATCTCAAGTAGGCTTCCCGCATCATCTTGCGTAGAACACAGAACACACTGTCGGTGAGACTGCCAGTATCAACACGGGAGAATGCTGAGGCCCAGGCGTGTAAGTCGACTAAAGTACCTAGGTACGTACCTTAGACAGGCCCCACAGATTATGTGCGCCTGGCGGTAGCAGGGGTCCAGTGTCCTGGCAGCGCCGCGCAGGGGACCCCGCAGCCACTGCCCTCTATCGGCTTATCAATCGAGGGGCAACTTTTACTTTTTTTTCTTTGTCGTTGCCCGACGCCCGCGAAAAGTCACCAAGCTTGGGGAGCCACTGAAGAGTCATCGAGGGGCGAGCCTAACATTATCGTCATCCACCTGGTGCTCCATCTTGGGCCTTCTCACCGATAGCAGCGACCTTTTTCCTCACAACACCCCGCCACGAACCTCCCCTCGATCACGACAGCTTCGGGGATCTTTTGTGCTGGACTGCACATTGACAGCGACTTCAGCGGAACCAACTGCCACTGCAGATTACCAACATGGCGGGCATGGAACTCGACGAGCCCATCTCGATCGCCCCGGTCGGGCCTGCGACCTCGACAGGAGCCACGTGAGTTCTTCCTAGCTCTCTACTTCCACAACGCAGACTTCGCATGGTCCGCGATCTCATCGTCTGCGTGATACGTTTTGCTAACTATCAGCATGCGACTACAGTATCTTCTGTTGCGACTGTGGTGCCCCCATCGACGGCACAACGGCGACTGGCGCTCGCTGCTACGACTGCATCAAGGTCCACCACGACGTATCACAGGGCATCCAGCGCGAGGCTGTGCTCAACTTCTGCCGCGACTGCGACCGATGGCTCCTACCACCCCAGAGCTGGGTCACCGCGGCACCCGAGTCCCGCGAGCTGCTCGCACTCTGCCTGAAAAAGCTTCGTGGCCTAGGCAAGGTGCGCATTGTCGACGCCAGCTTCATCTGGACTGAACCGCACTCGAAGCGTATCAAGGTCAAGCTCACGGTCCAGGACGCCGTATCGGACGGTGTTCTGCTCCAGCAGAGCTTCGAGGTTGTCTACATCGTTGCGCACCAGCAGTGCCCCGAATGCGCCAAGTCGTACACAGCCAACGTCTGGCGCGCGGTGGCGCAGGTCCGGCAAAAGGTCTTGCACAAGCGCACCTTTTTGTACCTCGAGCAGCTCATTCTCAAGCACGGCGCCCACAAGGAGACGATCAACATCAAGGAGGCGAAGGATGGCATCGACTTCTATTTCTCGCAGAGGAACCAGTGTGAGAAGTTTGTCGACTTCCTCAAGTCGGTGGTTCCAGCCAACGTCAAGAAGGCCCAAGAGCTTATTTCCATGGACACACACACATCGAAGAAGTCGTACAAGTTCACATACTCGGTCGAGCTCGTCCCTGTGTGCAAGGACGATCTGGTTGCCCTCCCTATCAGCCTAGCCAAGTCTCTTGGCAACATTTCACCGCTAGCCATCTGCTACAAGATTGGCACATCAGTCTATCTCCTTGACACACACACACTGCAGACCGCCGATATCACAGCGCCGATATATTGGCGTGCGCCGTTCACTGCGCTGGCGGACGCCCAAGACCTGACAGAATTCATCGTCATGGACTGCGAGCCCACGGGCCAGACACGGGGCAAGTGGATCCTGGCAGACGTCCAGCTGGCTCGCGCAAACGATCTCGGCGTCAACGACAAGACATACTATGCCAGGACACATCTGGGCGGCATGCTCTATGCAGGTGACTCCGTGATGGGCTATATGCTCACTGGCACCAACTTCAACAACCCCCAGTTTGAGGCTCTTGAGAACTCCAACACATACTCTAGCACGATACCCGACGTCATCATCGTGAAGAAACACTATCCCAACCGCAAGCGCAACCGGAAGAGGAACTGGAAGGTCAAGCGTATGGCGAAGGATGAGGGAGAGCTGCTGCCAAAGAAGGCCGACCAGGAGCGCATGGACCGCGAGTTTGAGCTGTTCCTGCAGGATCTTGAGGAGGACGACGAGTACCGTGGTGGTGTGGCTCTGTACAAGAACCCCAAGAAGGCGGACGAGATGAGCGTCGCGATGTCTGAGGATGGGGAGGAAGATTTGCCGCAGGTCGACATGGACGAGCTGCTGGATGACTTTGATGAGCTCACAATGGACGCATGATTGGAACTGGGACTGGATGGGAACAAAAAGGAGGCAGGGATCCTGGGCATTTTATAGGCGTTACTGGCATGCTTGTGCTTTCTTGAGAATCGATCATATTTCCAAGATACTTTATCACTTTTGTGTCTGTGTACATATCTGCCTTGACATCAATGACAGTGAAGGACTATACCGTGTCGTACGTCCATCCTTCGAAGGTAAGATCATGACTTGGAGACAAAGCCAGACATAGGCGCTTCTTATGCCGTGGGTATCATTAGGAGGACAAATACAGTCCTAAAACAACTTGCTAAGCACCCGTTTCGCCTCCTCCGGAGCCTTTTCTCCACCCTTCTTGCCAGCGGGCGCCTGCTTAAACTTGCGCTTCTCTCCACTCCGACTACTAGCCGCGACTGCCTCACCATCTTCCTCCCCAGCCCGGCTCTTCTTTGCCGCAGTCTTGGCCTCCATCCCCTCGAGGACCTTGGCTCTCTCAATGTTCCGCACAAAGTCCTTGTTCTCCTTGGTAGCCTTTGTGATCTCGGCGCGGATGCGGCTCGTCCTCTCGGCGGCCTCGGAGGCGATCTGCTCCGTCAGGTTGTGCCACTTGAACCCCTTGAGGTAGATCATGCTCCACACGTCGTCGCGGTAGTAGGAGCCCTTGGGCCCGCCTATCGTGCGCGCGTTGAGCATGCTGACGACCGTCTTGGCGTCGTTCTTGTTGGTGAACTCGACCCAGCCGTCCGTGAAGGAGCGCTTCTTGTTGCCGCCGGCCTTGACGCGGCGGGTGTGCTCGGCCGGGTCCTCGGGCGAGAGGAAGATGCGGTTGATGGTGCCGTAGGGCTCGAGCAGCGACCGCAGCTTCTGGGGCTTCATGAAGGGCGGCACGCGCGAGATGTAGATCAGCCCGGACTTCTTGACGGCCTTTTCGGTCGCGACGAGGTTCTTCTTGGTCAGCCCCGTCGAGGCGCGGGTGATGTCGGGGAGGTCGTGTGTTTTTGTTATTGTTGTTATCGTGTCGTCCGCGTCTTCGGCTTGTCGTGGTTCTTCATCATCATCGTCGTCGTCGTCATCGCCGGCTCTGCGGCGCTTGCTTGTCTGTGTGGGTTTCTTGCTTTGCTTGCTCCGCAACTCTCGATCGGACCCGGAGGCGTCGCTCTCGGGCTCCTCGCTGATCCGGCGCCGCTTGACGCTGCGGCTGCCGCCCTTCTGCACCTCATCGGCGTCCGAGTTGTACCCCTGGCTCTCGTTGTCGTCGTCGCTGTCCCCAGCGTCGAGAAAGTTGTTCCGCTTCTCGGACGGCATCTTGAGTATCGATGTGTGTGTGTATGTGGGTTTTCGAGAACCGATCCAGGCTGTGTGCACAACCTTGCGAAGTCTGATCTGCCTTGCTGCCGAACGATTGGGAGCGTTTTTGAGGTTGTGGTGTCGCGATGCTCTTCTGCGAAAGACTCGCAGTGGGACTTTACTCCTTCTCCGACACAGTCTCCAAAGTTCGTCAAACCTGCACCCTGGCCTGCGTTCGCTGCTGGGCTGGGAGAAGAAAAATAAAGTGGGCCCGCGCGCGCTTCTGGAAAGTGCAGGCGGCGCTCGGCAGATAACGAGGGCCGGCAGTTTGGGGGGCTTATCAGGGAGGGCGTGAGGGGTCCAGCGGGCCGGCCCCAGCGAGCAGCTCCGTGATAGGAGCTGCCCCGCTGTAAGTCGTGGTGGGAGCTCATGTGTCGGGGCTGAATGTCATCATAATAATACCTGACTCTTGTCCGAAAAGCTTGCCCCTCAGGGGAAGGTCGGGAGACTCTCTCTGTGTCATTGTGTAACTCTATTCTGGACGCCGGCTTGCTGTACACTCTTGATACGGGCAACCTAGTATCGTGGTCTCTTTCTTCATTGCCACTCCCTTTTTCAAGCAACAACAATATAGACAGGACCACCCACCATGTCTGCCGAAACGCTCACGACCATCTCGCCGACTACAAACGAGCCTATCCTGACAAGGACGGGTGCCTCGGCCACCGACCTCGAAGAGCTGCCCAACGTCGCGGCCGAGGCATTCAAGACATGGAGCAAGACGACGCTTGCTGAACGCCAGGCTATTGTCAAGAAGGCTCTGAAGCTGCTGGCCGACAAGAAGGATGAGCTCGCAGAGGAGATCACCGTGCAGATGGGCCGGCCCATTGCTTATACGGCTGGAGAAGGTGCGTGCCACAGTCGCAAGCTTCTTTGGGCAAGGGAGAACATGCTGACAAGCTGATTGTGCCATGAATAGTCACGACCGCCATCAAGCGCGCAGATTTCCTCCTGAAGATCAGCGAGGAGACGCTCAAGGACACAGAGGGCGAGGCTGAGAAGGGCTTCAAGCGGTTCATCCGCAAGGTCCCCGTCGGCCCCGTCCTGGTCCTCTTTGCCTGGAACGTAAGTTCGGATTCGTTGTCAAATCTGCTTGCTTGAACCGCTGGACTAGAACCTTGCTGACCACAACATCTTCCCCCGTCTACATAACAGTACCCATACCTCATCCTCGTCAACTCCCTGATCCCGGCGCTGCTGTCCGGCAACACCGTCATCCTCAAGCCGTCCCCGCAGACCCCGACCATCGTCGAGCAAATCAGCAAGATCTTCGCCGAGGCCGGCCTACCGTCCGGCGTGCTGCAGTACTTCCACAGCGGCTCGCCCTTGCTGATCGAGAGCATCGTGCGGAACCCAAAGATCGCGCACGTGTGCTTCACGGGATCCGTGGCAGGTGGCCTGGCCACGCAGAAGGCCGCGTCGGACCGCATCGTCAACGTCGGGCTCGAGCTTGGCGGCAAGGACCCGGCGTACGTGAGGGCGGACGTGGACATTGACTGGGCCGCCGGCGAGATTGTCGACGGGTCCATCTTCAACTCTGGCCAGAGCTGCTGCGCTCTGGAGCGGATCTATGTCGACGCCAAGATCCACGACGCCTTTGTCGAGGCCGCGCAGAAGGTGCTCAAGGGGTACAAGGTTGGCGACCCGCTGGACAAGGAGACGCAGATCGGGCCTGTCGTGTCGAAGCGGTCCAAGGAGACGATCGAGGCGCACATCAAGGACGCTCTGGACAAGGGCGCGAAAGACGTGACCCCGGCCAATGTCACTTTTGACAACCTCCCGGCCAAGGGCAACTTTGTCAAGCCCACCCTTCTCATCAACGTCAACCACGACATGACGGTCATGACCGAGGAGACCTTCGGACCGGTGATTGCCGTGCAGAAGGTCTCGAGCGATGACGAGGCAATCAAGCTCATGAATGACAGCGAGTTCGGCCTCACGGCCAGCATCTGGACAAAGGACACCGACAAGGGCTACGAGCTGGCCGAGCAGGTCGAGGCTGGTACTGTGTTTGTCAACCGCGCAGATTATCCCAGTCCGGTAAGTTTCATATGTTCCTATTGCACGCACGCTCTCGTCGTGCCTCCGATGTAGGAGATGAGATGAGATGTCTCGGCACTGTCTAATTACCATGTTCCTAACTTTCTGAAACTTTCTGACACTTTCGTCCCACAGGATCTGGCGTGGACCGGTTGGAAGAACTCGGGCAAGGGTGTGACCTTGAGCAAGTTTGGCTATGACCAGTTTGTCAAGCTGAAGAGCTACCACCTCAAGGACTACCCCAAATAGAGGACGTCCTGATAGACACGAGCCGTGGGTCTCACAGCGGGGATTTGATGGGGGAGGTGATTGTGTAGTACATCAGTCTGAGTGTCAATGGTGTCGCCAAGGCATGTCGCAGGCAACCACAGCATGAGAGGAGTGAATTCTCAAATTGTACAAAGAGTTATCACATGCTTCCGCCTGAGCCACGGGCATGATTGCAATTGCATGTTCTGAGCAGATGGATGGTGATTATTACCCCAAACGAATTGTGAAGCTTTGGCTGACACGTGCACGGCACAGTTGGAAGGGAGATCATGCAACTGGCACTAGTAGGTCTGCCCAAAAGACTTCCCATGATAAAGGCTCTTCAACAACAAGTACCAAAGTATCTGATGTTGCAAGACTTTTGATAAAGTGTAGTTAATGCGTAGACCCCAAATCGGTTGCGGAGGACAGGGCTTACGGCAGTAACAAGCATAAACAGATGGCAAGGACCAGGATTCTTTTCATGTAAGGCACAGGAGGCCGGGGCTTGTTGCTAGACGAGGCAGGCAGACCACGCAAGGCTTCGGGAATGCAGGGGGTTTGTGTTCAATCTCCGCGGCGCGCGCGATGTGTTCATGCTATAGATGTTCGCCCGTTGATAATTGCTGTAGCGGTCAGAGTGCTTGTCGTCCAAAAGAATACCCCCATGATCAACGCAGTCTGCGATCTTGGGGTAATCAATGTATCTGGGAAAGCTCCTCGTGCACTGACATGTGAGCCGCCCTGCCAGGCACATATTATGTCTACACTATGCATACCGGGTTTGACATGGGCCTACTCACGACGATAACTGTTGGAGCTCGGCCCCCTCTCGCTATTACTTGTCCCTGCAGCTGCTTCGTGTCTCACTTCGCGACACGGCCAACGCGACGGCTTAGCCATGTGCTGGAAGCCGCGTCAGACTGTCTGGCTGCAAAGCATATGCCGACATCCAAGTCTTTCAGGGCTACTCCTTGAAGCTTACTGCTGCATGTACGCAGTATGTCATGCATGCATGCGCAGAGACTATTAGCCAGGCAGTGAAGAGCTTCCACGGTCTCTAGAAGCTAGATCCAGGGCTCCTGCTTGTCTCCCGTATCGCGCTGTAAGCAAGTATGATTGTCTGACGACTCCGTTACCGGCTCCGGCCATGTCAAGTGTCGTCGTGGGGGCAGTTGTCCACCTGCGTAGTACGTACACGACACGAGGGGAGGGTCTGTACATACACGAAGTACCATGAAGTACAGTGCCCAGTACTGATTGCGAGAGATTGTACGCGTGCACAGCTTACACTGAGACATTCGCGTTCCAGAGCGGCACCCCCTTGTGTGCTGCGCAAGGCGGACGCTGCACGCGCCTCCTCCTCCACCAGTGCCAGCGCAGCCAGCGGAGCCATCGGGGCCATCGGGGCCATCGGATCCAGCAGAGCCAGCGGAGCCAGCCCAGTGTCGTCGTCAGTCACGTCTTCCCGTGTGGTCGAGCCACATGTCGGTCACGACGCCGCTCAGGCTGACCAGTTTGATCATTACCTCGATAGTGTCGACGCCGGCTGCTGTCGATGAACTTTGAAAGAGAGAGACATGATTGCGTAGTGCGCATGTCTGCCAGGGAAGAGGCCATCGGAATGAAATGAGACGTCTTGATTGATGTTGGAACGACTTGGTGATTCTTGGCAGTGCAGCAGGCGACGGCGTGTGCCGGCAGGAGGTGCAAGTGGGCGGTGCCTGGCCGAGGACGACGCTGCTGCTGGTCTCGATAGCTTGCCGTGGCTGGTCCCTGAAATTCCAGAAGGTCGTCATCCCGGCACAGGCGCCCGTCATGATCCATGCCAGGCCGTGGCTCTCCCCTGGGGCGCCTGCAACACAGGCTAGCGATGCTAGGCATATTGGCCAGTCCCACTCTTTTCCTCCAAAGGCAGGCTCAGAGCGGTGCCTGAAACTGCTGTGGCATGCATTCCAGTCGTGGATTGCCTGGCTGCGGCTTTGCCTTGACGTGTCGCTGCAGCCGGCAGTGCAGTGCGGTGGTGGTGAAGGGACAAAGACAAAGAGCCTTGGGTGCGCACGCGTAAAAAGTGTATGGACATGGTTGAGCGGAATATTTGGCCACACAGGGCATCGCGGAGCCAACGTTGCCTGATCGCCGTCTGGCTGTATCATGTAAATGCACGACCTGCATCGATGCCTGCGGCGCCTCTCACGCGTCGGCTGATAGGCCCCTCGAACGTTGTATCCGCCAGAGTGGCGTAGCGTCATGTACCTGGCACGCCCTTCCCCCAGGCACTATTGCAGATTGTCTTCAACCGCCCTCAGTCAGCCAATTTCGACCATCCCGACTGACCCGACTGTGATGGCCCTGGAAGCCTATCAGCGCAGATTTGCCATTTCCTGCCACGTGCAGAGTGAGCACAACACCCACCTTGGTGTCTCTGATCCAGTCTGGTGCGTCTTGTGTTGCTCACAGAGTGTCAAACAGTCCCGCTTGACTCTCTCCACCTTGTTGCAGTTCAGGCGTGTCCAATCCGGAAGCAGCGTGCCTTGCTTGGCCCACAACCTTGGAAGTGCAAGGTGCTGCGCTCAACAGTGGTGCGATGCTGTGCTGTGCTGCAACGTTCCCAAATGTCGTTGTTCATGCACCCGGTCCAGGCAATCCAGGTCGACTGGACTGGTCCAACCAATCTGTCTGTCTACTTAGTATCTGTCCCTTGGCGGCGTCGAGTTTTGCCGCCTCAGCTCTTCATCTCGTCTCCCCCTGCCGTGCGTCCATGCTGCTGCCAATGGTCTCGTCTCGCTCATGAGATGACCCCTGATGAGAAAGTTATGGCCCCCCCAATATGGGCCACTTTTGGCTTTCGACGAGCCCGTTCCTGGCAGTCTGAAGCAGCGCCCATTGACCAATCGACCAGACCTTCCTGTCCCGTCGCAGATCTGATCTGAGGTGCTGTGTCGAGACCGGGCCTGGCAGCCCCTTTGGCGGTCCCTGTCTCTGGCTGTGGCCCTGCAAGGTTCGCACCATTGCCCAGAGCAGCTCCCTGCCCCCGCGAACCCATTCCGGCACGCGGCCCACGAGACGTTCAATGTCCCCTGCGTGTCATGCTACAGGCCCTGCACGCCTCGTCGAGGACTACCTGCCTGCCTGCCTCTCGTCCGGGTTGGCCCTCCCAGGCGGTGCAGGTGTCTTGCCTGATCACCCGCCTGCTGGCTCGCAGGCCCCACCTGGCAGGGCATGCAGTGCAGGCTAGCCGGGGGTGCTTGTTGCCTCTGGCTTGCCGCAACGCACCCCCAGCAGCCGCGCTGCTTTCCCTCCAGGCTCGGCCGTTTTCATATATTGCCCCTCGTCCTCGCCATCGCGTCGTCTTTGCCGTCCTCTGCCACCACCATATCGACTTTCCGCAATCTGTAGCATTTCGTCTCGCCAACAAGACAATCAGCATTGCCGCCGTTACGTACAGCATCTTCTCTGCACCTAGCAACGCCCACGAGGTTCTCGTTTCATCGCCGTCGTGCCAGACCCACGCATCATCACCACGAAGCTCCATCAAGCAACCGTCGACTCTCACAAAGACCACGAGCCTGCCTGTCCACTGGCCTGTTGTCAAGGCCTTTCATCCGGACATCACAAACAGAGCTTCCAGGCGAAGCCGCTATCCTTCCACCACAACTACCACCACCACCGTCACAATGGTCGAGTGCATCTCTCTCAAGGGCTTCACCGTCCGGGTGCAGAAGCTCATGGGCATCAAGCGCAAGGCCGCTCACCGGAGATCGCTCAGAATTGTAAGTGCATGCTTTCCATGTCCTTCCCACAGACCCGGCGTGGTGGTTCGTTATTGCTCCCTCGGGCCTGTTGTACCACCAACCTGAAACCTCCTGGGCTACTGCTCCAACTGGCACAGACTAACACGAGATCCCTCCTACAGTCTGCGCCGTTCAACTTCGTCCATGAGTCCTCTGCACTGCCCGGCATCTCAGAAGACGAGTAAGTTATTCCCACTACATACTTCTACTGGCCCATGCCCACGTCCTTCATCATACCTTCGTGCTCGGTGCGGACGTGCCTACGCGTTTTGGCACAAGAGCCCCTCCATCACTGCGCTGCTCAGGGTGAGGCGGAGCTTCATCTGCCATCGGTCATGCCCGCCGCCTTTGCCGCCCTGCTGTGTGCTGCTGGTGGCTCCATCCCATCTGCCACGCGCCGAGCTAGGATCGCGGGCTAGCCACAACCTATCATTCCGACTCCACACCACACACCCCGAGGCACTCAGCTGCGTCTCTCGCCAATCTGGTGCCCGCCGCTAACGTTTCATTGGTGCACTCAGGATCTCTATCCTCAAAGAGAAAGCTGCCGCCTCTCGCATTGGTGTCGCCCCCGGCTCGCCAGAGCCCACAGCAAAGCTGCGCAGGGCCCCTGCCCCTCCGTCGTCGTCTTCCCCTCTGCGGTCACACGCGCCCATGGTTATGGTTGGCCGGCCGGTCCAGAAGCCGCTTGGCTCCATGTTCTGAGGATTGTCGCAACAGACCACAAAGGCGGCACATTCCGCTAGCGGCTACTCACCGCTGCCTGCTTACCACCACCAAGCGGAGTTTTCTTCTCTTCTGATACGAACTGGCGTGCTCCCAACGGGGCGGTCATTCCACTTTTTTGTTTTTTTTTCCCTTGCATTGATGCTGGAAACATCAAGGCTCTTCACATGAGGGGTAAGTATGACTGGGAAACGGATGGCATGACGGAAATAAAGGAGTTTAGTGGGAAAATGGGAGGAACCTCTATTTGATTTCGGTATCTTTCACCCCCTCGCACCGTGCTGCGAGGGTACGGGTACGTTCTCTTTTCGGAATGGCGTTACGGCAGCATAGGCATTTTTTTCATCCACGAGGTCGACAAGACACTCAGCAGACCATAACATACCCCGCACCACAGCGATGGGCGGCCAATAGAGCATTTCAAGACATTTGCATCTGAGCCATGATCTGCAATTCAGCTTCATCGTGTCATCCACACATGTAATGCATGCCTATGCCAGAACCGGCGAGGACCAGCCGCCTGGGAGATGAGTTTTCGACAAGCAACTCACTAGCGCCCTCGGGGCTTGAACTCTATGTGATTCCCGACCACTGACTGGCCTGCCAAACAAGATGGCGCAAATGAAAGTGAACAAGACAAAGGGCATTAATGACGTCTGGCTTATCTTGTGGGGGCAGCCGTGGCGGCCGGAGTTTTGAGGCGGGAGAGGGGGAGAAGTGACCAAATGCGGCCCGCCTCAAACTCAAAAACTTGATAGATGATTTGCCCTTGTGCCAATGGTAAAAGCGTGACGCGTGGGGCTTGGCTGATCTCGAGGGCAAAGTATTTTTTTGGTGTCAGTTGACCTCTCATCGCTCATACGTATTATTAGATCCCTGGTGTATATCACTGACAAGGGGTGCCTGCTATCCGATCGTTCGGGGTGAGAGGGTGGGGGGCAAGGGCTCCTAGAAGGAAATTCTGGGTGAGCAAGCGAATGTGTGAGGAGGACTTTTGGGCACGTTGGTCATTCGGAAGGCTGAGAGGGGAGAGAGGGGTTGGTTGGTTGTTTGGGTTCTGCCAGCAAAGGAAAGTGATGGGCATAAACGACGAGGCTTTGAGGCCGTTTCGCCCTTCAGGAAGGCTGAATCAAATCATCGCCTTGAGTGCATACAGACACCTAAAGACATAGGCTTTGTGGATCGATATAGAGTTCCTATCATCAGTGGGAGAAGTTTCACTTTGAGGACTAAACAAGAGCAGGGGAAGAAAGTTTGGCCCTGTCTTTATCATATGCCCTCTTCTTTCCACGGGTTTCACTTTCTGCTGGGGCCTGGTACTTTCGAACAATGTTTGATTCTTTCCTCGAGGCTTTGCCGATCGCAGGGGATCCTCGGGTGTCAGGTCTTCGTAGTGTTCCTGCGCATGTGATTTCTCCATCATGTGGGGGACTCGCTACCTGGTGAGAGTTTGAGAGTTTCTTGGCGGCACAAGTGCGTGATGCAGACTGAAAAACTCCCGATCGCGCGGCGATGCTGGTTTGTTTCAGTCTCACAAGGTGGAGCTCCATTTTCGGAGCTGTCTTGTGTTGCTTGTGCTGATATCTTTCAGTTGACATTGTCTTGGTTTCGTGTCGTCGCCGTTATGCGGACTTTGTGCTCGGCCATTAGTGATATCCCTCTGGCGTAGTGAGACCACGCCAGGAGCATGCTTGGGTGTATCATACTTGTCGCAGCTGCTCCCGTCACAGAATAGTATGCACTTTCACAGTATAGACCGCCTGAGGTGACAGGGCACCAGAACGAATCTGGGGAGGACCAATCAGCGATTATTCCCCGTGTGTGCATGTCCACAATGTTGATGAAAGGGCATCAATATGGTACGGGCAAGGCAGAGTACAATTTAGGATAGTCGAAGCTTGAGGAGCATCGCAAGACAGAATTTCCTCAGTCGAAGTCGGTAATGACGATAGGCTGCAACATTGTACAAGTGACATGCATTCATAAATGTCAATGCAAGACAGTCGGTGAAGACCCGAATCAATCTCGACGCGCCTGGAAAGATGGAACAAGCACATCTCAGCCATCGCTCCACTTGGCATTGATCTGTACCCAAGTTGACCACATATTCAAGAGTCAAGATAGGGTACTGCTGAATTCATTGTACTAGTGCAAATCTAGTTCTCGAAGCCAGCTCCGTATGCACAAAGTCGTCATGGGAACCTGATGCGCATGTGCGGCCGAAGCGCGGTCATCAATGTAAGTCATGATCGAGAAAGCTTCCGAGATCCGAGAGATCCCGGCAATTCAGCTGGACAATCATGCTCACCACGGCTAGTGTCAACAAGCCCTCACCCTACACGTTTCTCGGCGCGGTGGCTCTCCGTCGAAAGTCGTTAGACGCCCTGCACGAACTTAATATGTAGCAAAGCAACCAGTACTCCTTTACCATTGGGACAAAACACGATATTCGTCCTTGACCCTGAACCACTGTTTCGTGGGCGAGAAAGGTGGTTTAAGCATGCAAAATCCGAGCAACCACTACATGGTGGAAACTCGAGTCATCACCCGGCGAGACCTCCCCCAGTACGGAAAGGTGCTGCGTCTCAGGGAGGGGCAAAGCATTAGTCGGGCAACACTTGTGGAGATTAAATGACAACTCGACCCGACCGTCATGACTGTATTGGCTGGCTGGGTCGAGATGTTGCTGGTTGGGTCACTTGCTAATTCAACGGGGTTTCATGGGGGCACTGTGAATACCATGATATGCCAATCGTATATCTTGCTTTCTTATGCGGACCAGGCCGACAGTGTATGAGACCTATACTATTTGATCGCGAGTGTAGCTCGCGGGTCATATGTTTTGCGGTTTGCGCTCCGAGATACAAGCCACACGAGGTGTAAACATGCTCCATCCCTTGGGTCTTGAGCTCACCTTCCCGTGACTTACCTTGGAACCTCAGTTTGTATATTCTGTGCCACCAATGATGAAGAGAAGGACATGTTCCCATGCCGTATGTGATGGGAGTTGGTTACAGAGTATATTTGAAAGAGATCAACACTCTAGATCTCCTAGTAAAGAGAGGCTGTTACCAAGCGTGTGTCCTCGTTGACAGTCGGAAAGATATTCAACGTCCTGCTGTCGGCGTGCTTGCCTTAGCTACTGGACTGGTCTTGGCCCAAGGACTTGTAATGCGAGCTATCATGACCTCGCCCATGACATTATCGCATCCTCCAGCTCAAAGCCAGCGTCAAAGCCAACCCCAATGCCACTTATCCCATTTGCCGCTGGGCTTTGTTTGCACCGATTCAAGCACCAGTTGATCTTGGTAATAGTTGTAACACACTTAATGCTGGATGGTGACCTTTTCAGGCACAGAAAGTGAACACAGCCGAAGTCAGAGTGAGGACAACTTCCGGTCGTAGCATTCGCTTTTGAAATGTGCAGACGGTGGTATAACAAAGAATAAAATCTTGTCCTTTCATCCAATCACACGGGCTTGTGGTTTAGTGGTATAATACTCCCTTAGCATGGGAGTGGTCCGGGGTTCGATTCCCCGCGAGTCCATCGCAAGGAGGTTAGAATCCTCCATTGTACCTTCTTTTTGCTTTAATTTCGAGGTCGTCTTGATGATTCACTTACATCGTGGTGACTGTTTGGAATTCTCGCTTTTTTTTTTTTTTTTTTTTTGAAGTGCGCGCGGGTAGCGACTGGGGGGCATTGGCGCCGCCTGGTCCAGGGGTTTACCTTCGGCCGTTCAGGGTGACCAACCTCTAGATCCAAGTCAGAGGACCACAAAAGCCTTTCCAGGCTGAAATTTGCTGCGTACCTGAGTGTTTGCCGGCTGCCGGCTGTTTGCGGATTTCAAATTGGTTACATCGAGGAACACAAAGCAGCACAATTGGAAAGATAGTCACCGGCGGATACATGCATACAACCACGGCCTCTACCCAGTAGTTAATCTCAGCTCAAGTGTCGTGGGCTAGCATGGGTCTTTTTCTTCTTCGAAGAACCCTGTCACCAATTAAGTTGGTTGGCGAATGCGAGCCTGCGAATCGACTTGCGACCGCCATATCTCATAACGAACCTTGTTTTGTGGAACCACACCAGATGTTCAAAGTCATACCGCCGTAAGCCAATCCCTGCAACCATACTGAAGGCAAGGCTGTGGGCGCGCTTCCAGATGAATAAAGTGATATTTTGTCCACAATATTGGTTTCTAGTAGCGTTCTCAACTACCAACCCAAAGGGCTTTTTGGTGGATGGTGAGAGGCAGCGCCACGGTCCTCCAGTACTGCGTCTTGGTCACAACTTGGCCTGAAACAGCGCGTCATCAAGGATAACAAGCAGGCTAGCTCGGTCGGTAAATGAGCATCTACGCATTCGATGGACAGCTCGCTGACTGCCTACACCGTGTGCAGCTCATACCAGAAGTGGTTTTGTGCACACAAAGAGCGCTCAGTGACTGGGTTGTTGCACACTTGCTTGATTCCGTTAAAGGTATGCTTTGTCAGAAACGTAGCGTCTCCGAGATACTGAGATAGTACCTGGCGAGCACCGTAGCTCGCTTGATGCCTTAGGGAACCATGGGTTGTTGGTCTATAACATACTTGAGGGCCCTGATTTGCCATTGTTTTGGTCGCCAGTCAGTCTAGGGCAGCTCCGGCTGGTGAAGAGAGGATTCGCCCTGATACTGGGCTGAGATTCCTTCTTCACACTGTCTCACCACGGCCCAGCGCTACCCAGCGCCTGTCTCACCTTTCCCTTGCCAGGGAGCGCTGCTGAGATATCCAGCTCTGCAGACAACGGTCGGGCAACAAACAATGCACCCGAATAGAAGCGAGGACGTATATACATACCTGATATCGCCGGAGCCATCCCCAGCCCGTGCCCTGGTATTTTTGTGGCTTTCAATAAGACTATAGGACCATTTCGGCCCTCTGTAAGACACCATCACAATGATCGTGCGAGCTTCTTTGCGCCTGCTGGTGACTTACACCATCACGACAGGCTTGACCCTGGCACAGAGGTTCTATCTGCGCGTTTCTTTCGGGGGAGGACCAGGAGGCATCCCTCCAACCTCGTCCTTAATCTACCCTCCGACACCATCGGCGCCGGGGATAGACTGCCTAGTCTTTAGCACAATATCCGTGTTGGACACCATCACGTCGGCTACCACGCTTGTCCCCACGACGGAAACAACCCTCACTACCGAGTACGACACGAGCACAGTCACCACCACGCTAAGCGGGAACGTGTTCGTCTTCACGAGCACCGAAACAGTCATCGTCACAATAACCCACACTGACTCGACGACGGCCATATCAACCGTGACCAGTACCATCACGACGACCGCGAGCCGGACCACGACCGTCTCTACCCGTGCTGGATTCACACCTCTGCGGAGCGCTCTCGCCACCGCTGGTGGAGGCGGTGGCGGCGGCGGCAACGGTGGCCGACAAGGCGTGCTCGAGCGTCGCCAGGCGGGCAGCACCTTGTTCGGACCAGACGGGAGCCTGCCCTCGTGTACTTCCACCATCACCAGCACTCGCACTGCCATTCAGACCATTATTGAGACGAGCACGGCGGGCGGGGAGGCGGTGACGACAACGAGCACGCAAACCAGCACAATCACCACGACGTCAACCGTCCTGCAGCAGCCAGTGCCCAGCACCGAGACCGTGACCGTCAGCAGCGCCGTCACCAGCACCACGACGGCCACCGCGACTACCACCACCGCAAAGACAGAGACGGCGGTCGTCCAGGCGCCGGAGGCCACGTTCTACGCGCAGTGTGGCCCGGATAACATTCTCGACAGCTACGACAACACGGTCTTCGGAGCTGTGCTAACTTCCGGGGACAGGACGAGCGTACGGGAAGTTGAGAATCCTCGGGGCTCGGCTGAGTCCTGCTGCAGCCTGTGCGCGGCCGACGACCTGTGCAGGGGTAGTGGGCTCTTCGGAAGCCGATGCTATTTATTCCTCACCGCATCACCTCCCGACTGCGATGGGAGTCTCCCACTTCTTGAAATTGTCCGTGGTGGCTCGCGTCCCTTTCTAAGTAACGGCCACTGCGGGCAGTACTATTTGGAACCACTTGCAGGCCCGGTCTGATGGGTCTGCAAGGAGCCTATTTGATGAACGCTGTTTCGCGCCCGCGTGCCTTCGGGCCTCGTTCTCGGGTGTGTGTTCCATTGTCAGCATGCCAAGTGGGCATGTAGAGGCGAGAAGCCTTTTATGAGTGAAGAACATACTCTGTCTCTCTCCCTTTCGTGCTGCCCCAGCCCTCCCTACTGTGAGTGAAGGAACCACATGTCCCGGCCGAACGGGCCAAAGATCAAGATCCAATTGTCCGGTATGTCTTGGATGCCTTTCGAGACATGTCTCACCCATTTGGTCGGAAGCTGGAGAACGCGGGATGCCTTGTTCCCTAGGTAGGACGGGACACAAGAGAGACTCCTGTTGGGCCATAACAGCCCGAGTCTCATTCCAAGGGATTGCGCAATCGATTCCGCCTGCGGCACGGCCAGCCAGACGGCACTCATCCTGCACCACGCGGACCCCTCAGGCTGGCCCCGTGTCTCAACAGAACAAGGGAGACTACCTGCCAGCCGGACAATACATAAGCTGAAAGCACCCCAATTCGCTCGAGCTATAGCCCAACAACTGAACACTTTGGCATATATGCTGCAGATGAAAGACTACGCCGGGGTCTTCTATTTCAATCCTCAGATATGGCAAAGCAGTGTCGACCAAGCTGGCGACGCAGCTGCCGTCCTGTGCCTTCAGAAACCCTGGTCGTCTGCCTTATCCCCTGTATGTCTATCTAGTCACCACTGTGGTTACCATTACAGAGAGCCGCTCCGCCGTCACGTTTTATGCTACCGATTATAGTACTGCAACTTCCGTCGAGACTTCCAGTGGCCAGACGTCGACTGTCACTGCTACCGAAACCGTCTTCGTCACGGATACCACAACCGAGACGACGGGCATCACGTCGTCCTCGGTCACTACAACAACTACGACGACGACGCCAGAAACCGTTATCGTGCCCACTCCAGCCGGCTTCACACCCATTAACGTAGTTGTTCCCAGCGAGGAAGGCAGGCTCGAGCCTCGAGATGCCTCTCCGTGTACGTCCACGATCATTTTGACGACGACAGTTAGTAGTACTGTAACCGAGACGAGTACCGTCGAGGCAGGTGCTTCCGTTACTACCACTATACTGACTACAATAATCACCGCGACCTCGACGACCCTCGAGCAACCCGACGCTAGTACCGAGTCTACTACGGCTAGCAGCTTCATTACTACCACCACGACTATCACTACAACGTCATTTACCACTGCTACAGAGACAAGCGAGATCGTGAATCCGACGCCGACGGCCTACGCGCAGTGCTCCGAAGACAACTTTCTTACGAGCAATAGTAGGGGGTCCGTTGCTGGTTATTTTATAGACAGCCCCGTATCTTACGACTCTGAGTCAGCTAATGCGAATACGGCGGAGAGCTGCTGTGTGGCATGTGCAACTAGACCGAACTGCATTGGCAGCTATTTCTATTACGATAACGTCATTGCAGCGTGTGAAATCTTTTTTGGGACTGGTAATTCATTTATCTGCAACGGGGCCCAGGTAGGCATGGAGTATGGCCTCGTTCCAGGTTTCCGCCCCCCCCCCCCCGGCACCATTAGCAATGGAGGCTGTGGCCGGTGGGCAGAGAGGGTTTAATATCACAAAGGCCCCCCCGGAGCTGCGCCTGCGCCATATGACAGCCCCTCTCCGTTTGCGCGGCCAGAGGTCCTCTTCTTCCCTCGGCGGCTGCTAGAGACGACTAATACCATATGATATCTGCTGCGAAGTACCGTTTGTAGTATTCTTTATCTTCTTCGGCGATAAACTTAGCAGTACGCCACGGAATGACGGTCACAGCCTCGGCTGTCTCATAAAGAATCGCTGATAGTACTTGTAGCATAACTGCCAAAGCTCTCCGAGATATAGCTGCCGTCCTGTAGCCTCCAAAATCATGGTCGTCCACGCCAAGTTGACGGGCGGCGTGTAAGTGAGACCATGTGGAATGTGGGTCTAGTATTAGGCCGCGCTGTACTTCAGACACTTGGATAACGGCCTGGAATGGATTATTCGTGTGGCTGCTCGAGGCCCACCCTTGGCTCCGTGTCTCATACTAATACCAGATGATCTATATACAAAAGCCCCGGCCAGCCGCTTCCCCTGATTATTTGGGTTCCCCGGTCAGGCCAATTAGCTGAGGCTGGCCGCCGGTCATTCCCCCTGTACTTGATTTGTTACGATGCTCCTTCCTATGGTGTCTCGTCTGCTGGCAATGGCTGCCCTCGTAGCTGGCCAGGGCCCCCCGGCACGATTCTTCATCCAGGTTAACACACCGGGCTTCCCGCCATACCTCCTTGGACCAGCACCGCTGCCACCATCTTCATCCCCGTCGGGGGCAAGCACGTCGTCTTTATCGGAAACGAGCAGCTCCGAAGCAGGCGCAGTCTGTACCAGCCTGAGCACAGCGTATCTGGTCAGCACTGTGGTAGCCACGACTACGCAGTACGGCTCCGCTGCTACGTCCTACGCCACCGAGACCGTCTTCGTCACAAGCACCGCAATCGAGACGACGGCCTCCGTGTCCTCCTCGCTCACTCCGGCCGGCTTAGTACCCCTCAACAGAAATGTTGCTCAGGGCCGGCGTGGCATGCCCAAGGCTCGCGATGTCTCTTCGTGTACATCTACGACGACCCTGACAACGACAGTCGTCAGCACCGCGACCGAGACGAGCACCGTCGAGGCAGACGATTCCGTCACCACAACCACAATCACCGCGACCTCGACGGTCCTCCAGCAACCCGCCGCCAGCACCGAGTCCGTGGTCGCCAGCAACGACATCACCAGCACCAGGACCATAGTTACAACGTCCTTCACCACGGCCACGGAGACGGAGCAGCCCGAGGCTCCGGCGTCGACAGTCTACGCGCAGTGCTCGGAGAACAACATGCTAGACGTTGGTTATATTAATGGAAATCCAAGCGGTTACCAACGAGTACCAGTCTGGGCGGATTCGGCCGAGAGCTGCTGCTTGGCATGTGCAATGACTCCAAACTGCGCCGGCAGCGCCTACATGCAAATCTACTCGACGTGCGAAAACATAATTGCTGACACCTGCGCCCCGAATCAGCCGCACTTTTCCTATGTACTGACTAATTTTGAGTACTACACGCTTAGCAATGGAGCCTGTGGGCGGTTTTTCGAGACTGTCTAATATAGAACACAAAGCCCGCCACCACTCGGGGGAGGGCCGCGGCGGCCGCATGGCAGCCTCTTTTCGTCTGCGCGGCTGCTAGAGGCTCTCCTTTACCCCCCTCCGCGGCTGTCAGAGGCGATTGATACCATTCAGATAGTCTGCCGCGAAGTGTCATCCCGTGGTTATTCCTTTGTTCTTCCTCGGCGGAAGAAACTTTGGGCCAGCACTCCACGAGAAATATGGCGGCCATGGTCTCGGGTTCCATGATGAGTTGGCCGCTTGTGGCGCCGTACCTGCTACTTTTCTGTATCCCTTCATTTCTCACGTAGCTTTCTTCTCCCTTCAAGGTTAATGTAATGCAGAATTCTGCCCGGTCTGCCGAGTTTGACCCAATCTTTCCTATACATTTCAAAGCCATGCAATGTAATCACAGCTGGATGTCTCTCGGCCACCACGAATCCAACCAAACTACTAAGGCTCTTCAGTGAATGTGTCGTCGTTATCTTTGGTGATGTGAAGCGGCATACTGGTCAATGGACCCTTGGCGGCCATGATGACCTCGATTCAGGTCAGTCCTGGCAAATACGTAACACCCAGATACAGTGGATATCGTCGCTCCCGTCGGGATACTTCGCCTTTTGGCTCGGGCGAGAGCGACAACAGCTTCAACCGGTGGGCCCTGAAACCAGAGGCTTTTAGGTGGGTGGTTGTTTGCACTCCACCGGAGCAGAGAATGGGGGTGCAATGTTCAAAGTATTCACTCGGGAAGAGCCAGCTTCTTCTCTGCATAAGATGATCCCCCCAACATCTCGCAACGTGATCTGACCAATGCCCGCGACTCAGCTCAGGGAGAGAAGAGATGGCGTGATATCTTTCTCGCATATCGGGGTCTTGGCGAGTTTGTTTCCTTGATATGTTGCGCACATGTCGCCCACGGTATCACCCCACATCCAGGTAAGTAGAACCCGTGGAAGGGCGGCTCTTCCTATCTCGGCTGGCTTTGTGACTGGCGCGGCGGTTCTTGAGCCTCGTGAGGATGTCATCGTCGTCGTCATCATCATCATCCCCGCTTGTAGAGCTGGAAACCTCGACTGTAGTAGGCTGCTTTGAGTCTTTCCGCGGCGATGAAGCTCTTGGTGTCGTGCGAGCGCCTGCTGCGTGTTTGCCGTGTGATGACGCCGATGACATCGCGACAGGATGGACTTCTTGTGCCTTGGTTGCTCGCGCGGTATGGTCATGGTCGTCATGAGCACGCTGAACCCCTGATTGAGGTCGGACACGGACAGGAGGCCCGTCCAGATCCTCTTCGCTGCCTGTGGTCTCGTTGTCGTCATCTACAGCGACTTCCTTTAGTACCTCACGATCTCCGGTCGAAGCTGTTCGTCTCCGGAGGCCTGGAATGCTAGTAAACGTTGGGCGGGCTGTAGGTTCGATGATCCTAGGGGCACGAGGCGAGGTCCTTAACGGGACCGCAACACTCTCGACCGCTACTGCGGCCGACCGAGTAGCAGCTGTCGCGGCCGGCGGTCCAAGCAAGGCGGCAGTCTTCTGCGGTCTCTCCATCATGCCAAACAAGGAGGTGTTGCTGTACGGGTCTCCAGCGCTGTCGTCGGAGTCGTCTTCATCTTCATTCATGTTCTCATCCCTGTTCTCTCCTCGCTCTCGCTTTAGCGCCAGACTCTGCTTCTGCTTCTTCTTCTTCATCTCCCGCTTCTCCCGCCGAATCCGCTCGGATCGCGCCTTACGCTCCTGCTTCATCCGGACGAGGTCCGTCATCCGGCCGACCACGGGCCGCGAGATGTTCCTGATCGTCGTCGCGTTCTGGGATCTCGAGGCCGACTTGAGCCGCTGGTACTCGGCCGCGTGCAGGTGCGCCGTGAACTGCTGCGCCGTGGCGAGGAACTCGTCCTCGACCATCCGCCAGCGGTCGTCGTGGTCCAGGCCATCAATCATGAAGCTGTCAGAAGTGGTCAGCCAGAACTGCTCGTTTGCCAGAAGATGGATAGTTTATCTGATGCAAGACAAAAAGTATACCTTTCGCGAACTGGTTCTGGAGGTGGCGATGTCGAGCCAGCGCGGTCTGTTATGAGAGTGCTGGGTGTCAGATCCTTGTACAGGATGAGATATCGTTCGAGACAAACGCATACTACCAACTCACCCAGATCAAGCAGCCCCATCCCCGCTCCACGACGATTTCGCTCACTATCCCGCCAGCCTCCGGCAGTCGTCATGATCCCTTCCATCTCGCCTTCATCCGTGTGGATCTTGCAGTCGTCGCCGCGGTCGTCGTCGTCATCCTCCTCACCAGCCGACCCCTGCGTCGCATCTGGATCTCGCCCTAGCTTCGCTGTCGAACCAGACGCGCTGCCACGATATGTAGCAGGAGATTTGCCAATCACTCGACTCCTCTCATCCGCGATGCGCGCGGCCCCGACAACAGGAGTGCCGCCACCACCGCCACCAACGCTCGTGCGCTTCCACGGAAGACGGCGCGTCATTGCGTTTGTCGTGACATTGCCCCGGTGCCAAAACGTATCTCACAGCACATTCATGCAAAAATCCGCGCGGAAGAGAACGGCACTGGGTTGTAGCATGTATGTGCGCTTCTTCAATGTGGAACCATCCCGCTGTGGTGGCTGTGAAGTGAGGTTGAGTTTGGTCGGGGTTTGGCTGTGAGTGAGTGAGGCGAGACGGGCGGGCGCGCTCAGTTTGGTGGAACGCGAGGGAGAATGAAACTGGGGCGGGCAATTGAGCATCCGAATCGGCATCTCAAACATCCCATAACGATCCATTTCTTTGATCACATCTGCATCGCCATATGAATCAAACAACAGCAGATCATCATCTTGTTATGCTCATAATCATCAGCTCAATCAATCTCTAATCAAACAAGAACGACAGACCCGCAGCACCAAAAACAAGAATGCAAGCACGCTGGTTCTAACTTGCACAAGGCGCAACCAACAGCCATCATATAGAAATGTTGCAACTGCACCACCACTGCAGCGCAGCCACCTGGAAAATGTCCGCACAAATATCCTGTACAACGCCAATGCAAGTTGAGACATCACAATCATCAACCCGGCCAAAACAGGCCAGGCACCATCGTGCGGCAATAACATGTGGGTATCGTCCTTCTCCTCCTCTCTTTGCTGCCATTGTGGATGCCCTCGTCGTTGCTTGCGCAACCGTCTCTGCTCACCGCCCTCAGAGAAACCCGCGAAGACCTTCTAGGCGTCGCCACCAAAATTGCTCGCCTTGGCCGCCGCGCGCAGGCTCGCGATTTCACGCCGCAGTCTGGCATTCTCCTTCTTCACCCGGGACGTCTCTTCGCCTGCCTCCTTCATGCACTTGACGAGCTCGGCTTGGTCCTCTCGCTGTTTGCTCTTGAGAAGCCGGGCAATCTTGCCCAGCTCACTGTTCAGTTTCTCGTAGAGAAGCTCGTTTTCCGCCGTGCTCTCCTTGAAAAGCTGGTCAATCTCCTTGACCTTCAAGTCTGAAGCGTGGAGCAACAAGTCCATGTCTTGCTGCAGTCGAGTATGCCGGCCTGTCGCCTCGCTGAGCATTTGCGGGAACCGCTCCTGCATAGACTGCACACTCGCGCTCAACTTTCGAATGTCCACAGTCGTGCTTTTTGATGCCACGGTATTGACCTTTGCCATGTCTGCACTGATCTTGGAGAGCTCGCTCTGGAGTTGGGCATCGACGTCTTCCAGTGCCTTCTTCTCAACTTGCAGCCGCTCCCGGAGCTTCTGTGGAGACTGGAGCTTGAGTCTGGCCGTAGGCCGGCTTGGGCTTGTTGAAGGGCGAGGCGGGGAGCCCGGGGAGTCCCCCGTCGTGCTTCGGGCGGGCTTGAGAGTCGGGATTTGCGAGGTCGACAGCGTCTTGAAATGACCCTTGCGCGGTGACTCGCGGGCGGGAGGCGGCTCCGCGCGGAACAGGTCGCCAAAGTTCTCTTTTTGTCGGGGCGAGACTGTCGACTCCGCCTGCGCATCCTTCAAGCGCAAGGAGTTGGGGCTGATGGGGATCTTTGATGGGGACGGCGGCCGGGGGGTCGAATTGAACCTCTCAGCTGTTTGTTTCATGTTGGTGAGGGGCTGCAGGGGTTCGTCATCACCCAGGGTTGCAGCCGCCATGAGGGTCTTAAGGTCAGATAGAGAGCTGCGCCGCTTCCTTCTGGCTGCCTTTGCACTATTGCCCTCATGCTCGGGCTCGCCAATCGTCTCCAGCCTTTGAGAACTGGTCGGTCGCGAGAGAGCCGAGAACGCGTCGTCAAACGCACCGGCAATTGGCGGACGATCACGGGACCCAGGCCGACGGAGCTTATTCGGTCCAGCGATGATGCCATGGTCAACTGACCGGGTCCTGCCGACAGATGCTCTCGACAAACTTGGGATGTCTCCTGCCGTGGGATTTCTTGCATGCTTGCTCAGTGTCCGCCATACAGACGACCGTCCATCCGACTCGCTCTTGCTGTTATGGCGTAGGAGTGTGTCGAAGCCGAACTTCTTCCTCAGGGAAGACGTGTTCGAAGTCAGAGAGCTGGAGTGCGATTTTCCACCGCGAGGTGCCAGGGTCATAGTGTCAAAGTTCAAGCCGTGCTTTTCGAGAAGGGCTTCAAGGTTGGCAGAATGATCTTCGAAAATCCGATCGCAATCGTCCACAAGTCTGTCAAGGAGGTTGATGTAATTCGCCGCCGTGCGATCGGGCACCAAAATCTCAGCAAAGGCGAGTGTAAGTGCGCCGCGATCGCTGTCATTACCACAGCCGTCGAGGAGATCAGCCAGGAGCTTGATGAGAGCCGTAAAGGCCCTCCGATTCTGAGGGGCCATCTCGCCGAAAAGAAACCGAACAAAGTCGGAGAACTCCCCGGGCACTTGCTTAGAGGCTCGAACCTGCAATGCATCGAGTGCCTTTTGGGTGATGATCGGCCCCATTTGCTCCTTCCAGGCTATTCGAACAAACTTGTCGAATGCGGCGAAGATGACGTCCGGGCCAGCGTCGCTAGAATGTTCAATGTCGTAGGGGCTCTCCTGCAGCTTGTTGTAGATCTCATTGACGAGTAGCTCATCCGCGGCGGACCTATTGAGGACCATGCGGCCAACGATGTTGCCTTTGCAAGCCTGCAGACTAGCCATGTACCCTGTGAATGTTTGCTCCAGCCGGATTAGCGGGTTCTCAGGACGGTCGTCCTCTGCGCCGAACCGGACATTGTCCCTGCTTTTGACAGAGCCATAGAGGGAGCTTGCCTCTCGTGTGCTGTTCTGACGACTTAGTTGGGAGGCGGCTGTAAGGAGGCTAGCATCATCCGTCACAGCACGTTGAAGCTTTGGCGCACTGGAGAGGTCCAGGCTGCTGCTGTTTCCGCCCAAGAAGCTTGAGAGGTATTTGACGGGCGAACTTGACAAGAATGATCTTGTCTTCTCGGCTCGCGAAGAGACACTCAAGCTACGCAAGACTTTCGTGTGATATGAGACTAGTGCCGGACACAGAGCCGCGTTGGAGACCTGGAATTGAGTGCCGAGGAGTTGAATGACTATTGCAATAGTCCGTTAGCAGAACGAAAATCTGACCTGCTTGTCTCATTGAACTTACTTCGCCTAGACAAGGTGGGCAGGAAGTCCTCCAGCGCAATCTCGTCGGTGGACTTTTTGCCCGACAATCCGACCGTGATGACAACCACCTTTCGCTGGTCCATCATTGTCTTAACCTCAGAACACATCTCAACACCGTAATGGCCAACAGGGGCGCCCTTAGTTCCTCTTTCGTTGTCGATGACGACCCGGATGGGTGCTATCTGCCCGCGCCCCTCGACAAATTGGTCAATGCCCTCTTGGAAGACAGCAGCGTACATCGAGAAGCTTGTATCAGGCATGCGAACCGATCTGAGTGTCCACCTGGGATCCTCACGTTCGGCCTCGGGAAAGCGCGCCTCAATCCTGGCTTTGACAACGTCTTCGCACCATTTCGAGGCCTTTCCCTCGTACGACTCCTGTAGCACCAAGAACCTTGAGGTCATGCCCGTGCTGGTAACAAAGTGGCTGGCATGGGCGCCCTGCATCTCCTGGCTCGAGGTCATCCATATCGCACTGCCGTTCGAGGATTCGGTGAAGCGAACGTGGTTCAGGTTGTGCCATCCGGCAAACGCGAGTTCGTAAGAGCCAAGCCCACCAGCCGCGTGGGTCATGGACACGAGCAGACCCTCTGCCGAGGGTTTATCTATTTCTCTCAGCAGATCTCTTGCCGTCATGGTCGCATCGGTAAGCTTCTTCAATATGACAATGATGTCTGAGAAGAGGAGCAGGATGCCTGCGCGATCTTTTTCATTCTCATACGTGCTGTCGGTAACCTCGTGGGGCGCAGGAACTTCGTAAAAGTCCAGGGCGGTGATAAGGCGTCCTTTCGGCTCGAGATCCACGGCCCAGCTTTGAATCATGTTGCGTAGTCGATTTGTCACTTGTGGCTTGTCTGTTAGAGGGTCGTCCATGGAACAAATATTCGCGATGATGTCTCGCGCCTTGAGCATTGGCTGAAGTGCTGGATGTGTGATCGGGAGGCAGCCCACGATCTGGTCGATGAGCAAGCTGTAGCGAGGGAGCCTTTGCACCGGTTCAACAACTATCGAGCGGAGCTGCTGTTCTCCGGTTGCCGCAACGCGCTCAGAAAAGCTCGATTGTTGGGCAGTGAAGGATGAAATAAGCTGCGGGAAGTTCTGGCTTGCTCGGATATAGCTCTGATAGCAATCTGTGAAGCGCGGAAACCACTCCAACATGACTTTCGCAATTGCCGCGGCTCCACTTGCGTCCTTGCCTTTGCTTGCCGGATTGCTTGCACCGGCCACCCTCGATGATGTCGTGCCTGATTCCATATCTGCAAGGGCGGCTGCCTCAGTGTCATCCACGACTTTGCGAAGCTCTTGCATGAAAGCCGTGTTCAACTGAAGGATTTGTTCCGAGGACTTCGGAAACAGCTTGTCCACATCCGCTTCTGACGGGCTCGTACTGTCGCTAGATTTGTCTCGCGCTCGCTGACGGTAATCGTCCGCCATGTGCTTTACAAGCTCATTCAGCTTAGCAACATAGCGCTCCTCAGTTTCGACTAGCTCGGCCATGAAGCGGCGCAGCTCAAACTTCTGATCTTTCGAGAAGGACTTGCTCCTGTTCAGTGCGCTTGGCTTGCTCGGCGCCCGTCGCAGCCGCGATGTTGGAAGGAATATCGGTTCGCCGAACAGCTTGACCAAGCCTGTATACATGCCATACTGGCGCAGCGTCGGGTCTATAATGTCGTCTTCATCCTCTGACACGTCTTCTAACTCGCCGGCCTGCAGGGGTATGACTGCCCCTGGAGGCAGGACCAGGTCGATATCGACACTAGTTATGTGCTGGGGCTGCAACGCAGCATTGACCTTGCGAACGGCCTCTGCGGTGTTGTCAGCTTTGACCATGGCCTTGGCAATCTCGGCAGCATGGTGCTCTGAGAAGAGCTCCGGGCCGGAGCCTGGGCGACGACCACGGGTTGAGGGATATTGTAGGCGGACATAGTGCTTGACGGATTCTGGTAGTTCGTGGAAGTATTTGGAAAGAGCAAAGGCCAAAGCCCGGTAGACCTCGTCTACCTGGAACTCGCGCGGCAGATGCTCGACGACTTGGTAGAAGGGCGAGTTGGGCGAGATCGTGAGTCGCGGGAAGCACTGGAAGCCGGCGACGCTGTAGATGTGCACCTGGACGCGGGAGCTGTTGAAGGTGTAGTTGGCCGTCGTTGATGGCCCGTGGAAGATAAGAACTGGAAGGTGGCCGAGCAGGGGATCGGTGGCCTGGTAAAGATTGACATGGTCTGGCGTAAGCACCAGCTCTTCCGTGACGCGCACCATCGTCTTTGTTACTGGTCAGGCGTTCGCATGGCGTGTCGTGGGCGAGACGAGTGTGGGGAGCGCAACGAGACGGGAGTGTTGGCGGGGGCGGGAGCAGCGGTGGGAGAGCGGCGGATTTGATGTACGGTGGCCGTCGTGGCACAGAGCGGTCGCGCTCGCACGGGTAGCAAGGATAGGACGGCAGGGCGCAGTAGGCTTCTCAAGAAGCTATCATGCTCGCAAATAAATGTCGAGGTCGCACAAGAGGTTGCTGGGCGCAGCGCAGTCGAAGAGATCGAGGTTGGTTTGTTTACAAAGTCGGGTGCGTAGCGCGGGCGACTAGCGGCGACCAGTCGCTGCAGCCACCATGCAAAAGAAAGTTCCGCCGCAGTTGCTCACAGCTCAACAGGCGGGCCAAAGTCGAAGCGACGGGCAAATGATCGCAATGCTAGAGGGAGCGGCCCGTGTAAGTAGCAAGAGCAATCAATCGGAGGTCAGACGAACATTGGGCGGTGACTGACCCGAGGGGGAGGCCAGGCCGCCGACTCTGGATGCCCGCCCTCCGGGATCGCAACTTACCCAAAATGGACCGGTGCGGAACGAGCATGGGCCAAATCATGGACCGTGTGGATATTGGTGCAGAGTTATGCCAATGCGGGCAGGATGATTCTCCGCATAGTCGGGTCCCCTGTAATTAGTAGCGCGGTATGTGGTGTGCGGCTGGCAATGCTATCGGTGAGATGTTGCTCGAGGGGCCGTCGGTGGTGTGTGCAGCTCAGCGGCGGCCTGGATGTTGTCCCTCTTCAAGTTTGTGTGAAACGACGCGGGCCGCGACTGTTTACTTTCAAGGTTTCGGAAGGTGCCCTTCAGCTGGCTCAAAAGTCGTCACTGGCGACCAAGAGGTGGAGCAGCAACCCCGCTAACTCGCCCACTGTCGCAAGTAAACAACCTGGGAAACTGCGGGCAGCCGGGCTGAGCTGATGCCTGTCAGCAGGGCAGCGTGCTCGAAGTCGTGGGTGCTGGAGAGGATTATGTAAGCATGCCTGGATGCTCCAACCATGGGGCAGGACTACCCTTGCACCCTTTGACAACTGCGCAGCCCGGCGTCCGAGAGAAACCACCTCGTCGAAGCAGAAGCTACCTAGGTAGACGAGGATCCCGAAAACACTGGGACCAGGTCTGTCCTTGACACGCACGCTTATAAGGCGACAATGTCAAGCCAGGCAGATACTGGCGTGCCTGTGCTGCATGGGCCCGATGGTGTGGGCTACAAGTTGCTCGAGCTTCCCCCCGAGCTTCTCGCACTCCTGGAGTCCGACAGTCCTCCCATGTACGCCCTCGAAAGTGACATCCCTGCGCACGAGTCTCACCGCTGACACAAATGAGCAGCATCACAATCGAGTCTGGCTCAACATCTGCGGTCCTCAAGACGCCAACACACTCCTGGGGCTTGCGGCAAAAGAACACCTCCAACGCTCTTATCCTCCTCCAGGCGGCACAGTCGGAGCCTTCTGCAGGAGAGCCCTCCGTTTCAGAAGTTCCGGTTCCATGCTTGAAGGCTATATCGACTTTGCACGACACCATTGAACTTGTCACTGAACCTTCGGCGACAGCCGCACCAGCCTCCAGGGGAAAGTGGCACGAGAAGTTCGCAAAAGGGCGGTAACGGCCCCGTTTACTTCACCCCTGCATTCAATAGACTGCTCTCTGAACCATTGCATTCGCATGGTACTCCCCGACATCTCCCGTGGACACATAGCCTGCGAATGTATATACAGAGGGCTTGCCATGGTGGATCATTCAACGCCGTCACCGCATAGTCGCAGCTTGACCCAGCAGCAAACGTCTCACGTGTCACAAAGCGTGGCAAGCAGACTCCTGAGAGTCTCTATTGACTAGGCTTCGGCTCAGACGCCTTTGCTGCCGAAAGGCCTGTATGGAGAAGGATGCTTTCAGCCATAATTGCGGAGCAACTCTAGTTTGCTTGGGAAGCATGGCCGCCCTCCAGTCTCGCTTCTGACTTCTCCTTCTAGCATTCGTGCTGGGACTTGGGAATCACAATTCCAGGTGGAAGGACGCCAAGCCATTGTCAGATATACGAAGATGACGCCTCCTCGCGTCTGCTGCCAGGGCAGCCTGAAAACGGTTGCGATGGTGCATCAGATAAGGCCGAGGGCAACAGACACATTGACAAGACCAAAGCACGAGGCGCGGTAACAATCAACCCATATAGCTTGTGGTCAACGCAGCTGATCAGCCGCCGCATCCAGGCGGCGTTGTATAGCTTAAGGGCGGCATACAGCCACCATCCGAAGTGATATCAAGAATCAGAAGACAATACCCCTTGCGTAGGGAGAAGCGTCAATATAGTTCTTCCCTGTGCTTCCTCATAGTGCATCCTGTCTTCATTTGTAGAAAGCACACATCGTTACTACGTCATGAGTCAATATGAGCAGACTTTCTTCATAGATAAGCGAAATTTGATCTACCCGTCCCACAGCAAAAGCCGAACCGATCTAGCACCAGCAGTACTTCTCGTTGTTCACCCACACCACGTCTTCCGTTCTCGTTCCCTCGCCATACCACATCAGACTCGGGATACTCGCCTCCTCCCTCTCGACCACTTCGTGCTCGAGCCCGCTGTCCCGCAGCAGTCGCGCCACCACGCCCGTCGGATTCCACAGGTCCACGTGGGCGCAACCCCATTCCGCGGCAAACGCCTGCGCGGCGCGGATCACGGCCCGGAAGGCTTCCGTCGTCGTCGCCGCCGCCTCCCCATCTCCGTCCTTGCCAATTTCGTCCTCGTTCTCGACCACGAGCCGCAGGATGTACAGCGTGTTCTTCTGCGGTGCGTCCGGCCCAGCTGGCGTGGCGTAGTTGCGCGTCCAGATCGCCCATACCCGGCGGCCCTCTGGCCCCACGGCGATGCCCTTGACCTCGTTCGCCTCCGGGGCGCCGGGGTGTCTGCGGAGCGCGGCGCCGCTGCGTGGCTGCCGCGAGGGACTTGAGGAGGAGGAGGAGGACGCAGGACTCTCGCGGCCTTTGGCAGTCGTGCCGTTTGTGGCGGCAGTAGCGTTCCCCGGTTGGCCATCTACATCCGCCGCGAGACTTGGGTCGCGGTCGGGAAGCACGATCGACGCAATGTACGAGTCCCTGTACAAGTGCCAGAGCATCTGGTCGTGAGACGGGGCAAACGCCATGGCCGTCTTGCCCGTGGCGGCCGCGGTCTTGACCAGCTTGCTCCGCACGGCGGCCTCGTCGATCGCGCAGAACTTGGCAAGGTTGGCATATGTGATGGGCGTCGAGGGCAGCTTGGCCGCAGCCCCGTGCTGCTCTCCCTTGCAGGCCGCAAACTCGACATGCTGGCTGGCAAACGGGATCCAGCCCTTCTTGGCGTAGAACTTCTTGCCAATGTCGCTCCAGAGCGCCGAGCAAATCGCCTTTTTGCTGCCGCTGCTGCCGCTGCCACTGCCAGGGGCTGGCTTGTATGACGGCGAAAGATCCCAGTTCGCCAGCTTGGTGCCGACCTCCCCCAGCATACGCGAGGCGTACGACCGTCCACGGTACTCTGTGCTCGTGAACACGCTGCCTATGCCGTGGCCGATCTCCTCCCTGACCTGCCCGCTCCCGGGGTCCGCGACGAGGACGATCTTCTTGTACGACTCGCACGACGAGAGCAGAGGCCGGCGGCTCCGGCCGCTGCCAGCATCGGCGTCGTTGTCGTTGCCGTTGTTATCATTGGTGGTCAAGATCCAGTGCGTTATGCCGCCGTCGCGGTTCAGCGGGACCGTGGTGAGGTATGGCTCACGCTCGAGATATTGTGCCTGCGTGAGGGCTCCCGCCCATTCGGTGGCGGTCAGGGCCCATATCTTCTGCTGCTCTTCGTCGCTTGGGTGGGCGAGGACGACAGAGGGCGCAGTGGCTGCGGGGAGATCGGCTATGGTGCTGTCGGTAGAACCCATTGCAGGTAGGTAGTCACAGTACTGTACGTCTTGTTCTTGGTATGAGGCTCCTGTATTTTGTAGGACCCAGTTGTATTGCTGGCAGCGTGAAAAAGTTGTTCTGATATGTCTGGTTTTGGGGGATGCTCAGCCAGGCGCCGAGTGTGCTGCAGGATCAGATCGACCAGATACAGTGGTGGGCAAAAAGGAATAGGACAGATCGAGGTGCACGAGGTTCGTGGCTTGCATTCTCTACACCAAGATTATTCTTTGGTGTTAGACACAGGGGAGAACACGATTACAGCCAAGCGAGAATACGAAAGAAAGACAGGCCCCCTCCACCAGAGAGAGACCAAGTGGGCAGTGACGGCACTTATGTGTGCTTTGGGAGTTGTGAGCTGGTGGAGCAGACCGACTTCCAAGGTTAGCATGTCACGCCCTTTCGATGGGGCCCGGCAGAGGATGCGTGGTGGGGACTTGGCTTCGATCAGAATCTGGGGCAAGGGGTCGACAGCAAAGACATCACGGCATGTGCCAACTTTAGCTCGTCAAGATAAGCAAAGTCCCCTTCTAGCCCCCCTTTTGTGTGGCTTGTCGTGTCGTGTCTTGTCCAAGGAACCACCACCCGCGCGAGTCCGTGCCTATCTCCTCAAGCCTGGGCGGTCTGAGCATGATGAGCGGGCAATCGGCTCCTGTGGCGGCAGGTGAGACAGACGGATGACCCCAGCATCTTGAATCATCCATCTCCAGGCTTGTCCTACCCTCTTTGCGGATAACTTTTAGTCACGACCTCACCACCTGACCATCAAGCCTGGCAGGCGGCTCTGGCTAGCTGCGAGCGTAAAAGTCACGACATGCCCAATCAAGGCCGGCCCCTACGCAACACCGCGGCAGCTGCAGTACGTAATAGGCTGCGCTTATGAGGTGAGGCCTTCCGTCTCCAGGCTGCTGTCCAGCGCCGGCCGGCTCCTGGTGGGGTCCCCGATGCAAACCGCGTCGTCCGCCGCCAGGGGGCCGCTTTGCGGGGACGTGCCCCGGGTCGACCTGCTGTTAGCGGTCGACACTTCACGATCCTCGTCGCACCTCATGCACGGCGCTGCACACCTCGGTCGTTTTCATTACTTTTATTTCTTTTCGTGGCTGTTCCCAGGGCCCACAGCTGACACCGCCCGTTAGAGCTTATCTATGCCTCTATCCACCGGCCCAAGCCCTCAGTAGCCCGGCAGTGCCAAGCCCGTCTCCCTGCGATACCACCCTTTTAGTGACCGTGGCCGTCGTCCGGCTCACCCCGCTCCTCAGGGTCAAGCTTGATCAGGGTATCAATCCGCATAATGCTGATGCATGCCTCCACCGCGCTCTTGAGCTGCCGGATCTTGCTGATGCTGGGCTCCAGCACGCCCGCCTTGATCTCGTCCACGACCTTGCCCTTCATCAAGTCCAGGCCGTAGTTCTTGTACCCCTTCTTCCGAGCAACCGTCTTCTCGTCCTCGTTGCCTTCGCCTTCCTGTGTCCGCTGCGACAGAGCATGTCTTGACCGCAGCTGGGCCACGAGCTCACTCGCATCCTTGGCGGCGTTGACAGCCAGCGTCTTGGGAATGACAAGAAGAGACTGGGCAAACTCGCCAATGGCAAGCTGCTCCCTCGAGCCGACCGTGCCCGCAAACTCCTCCAGGTAGATGTGCAGAGCAGTTTCGACGGCACCGCCACCAGGCACGACGTTGCCGCTCTCGAGCACGCGCTTCACCGCGCATAGTGAGTCGTGAACGGACCGTTCCATTTCATCCAGCTGGAAGTCATTGGCGCCACGCAGCAGGATCGATGCAGAGGAGTGCTCCTTGGTGCCCTTGACCAGAATGCACTCGTCGTCAGAGATTCTCTCCTGGGAGACCTCCTCAGCATAACCCAGGGATGAAGCGTCGAAGCGCTCATCACCATTCAGGTCAGACAAGGTGCTGAGGAACGACGCGCCGGTCGCCTTAGCGATGCGGCGAAGGTCCTCCTTCTTGCAGCGGCGCACGGCCATGGCGCCGCGCTCGACGAACAGCTTCAGGCACATGTCATCGATGCCCTTGGTAGTGAGAATGACGTTGGCACCGGCCTTGAGAATCATTTCGATGCGCTCAATGACCATGCCGGACTCTCTTTGCCGGATCTGCTCAAGCTGTTGCGGGTCATCGACGGTGATCTGAACACCAAGCTTCATGCGCTCCTTCTGAAAGTTGATATCCAGACAAGCGATCTTGGCATTTCGTACAGTGGTGACCATAGCTTGCGAGGCCACTGTGCAGTTGAGAGCATAGCCCTTGACGAGAACGGACTCGAGAGCACCCTTGCCGTGCGCCTTGAGAATGTTGACAGCCTTGACGGGGTACTTGACCTCCCCTCGGTTGTTCTTGGACTCGACAGCGAGCATGGCATCGACAACCATGTTGGAGAAAAACTCCCAGTCCGAGCCGATGACCTTACTCGACATGGATGTCTTGGCAATGCTGAGCAAGGACTCGCGGCCAAGGTTGTCCACCTTGATGCTGACATTCTCGTTCATGTACTTGACGGCCTCGCGAAGGGCAAGACGGTAACCGGTGATGATCGTAGTCGGGTGTATCCGATTCTTCATCAGTTCATTGGCTCTGCGCAGAAGCTCGGCGGCGATCAGGACGACAGACGTGGTGCCATCACCGACCTCCTTGTCTTGCTGGTGGGCGAGGTCGACTAGGATCTTGCCGGCGGGGTGCTCGACGTCGAGGAGGCTGAGAATAGTGGCGCCATCATTTGTTACGGTAACATCCTGGATACAGATGGCAAGTCAGAATCGTTCTTGTTGATGACAAAGATTTGACTTTGAAATTCTGCGCAACCTACACCGATATCGTCGACCATCATCTTGTCGAGACCGCTGGGGCCGAAAGAGCTCTTGACCACATTGGCGATGGCCTGTGTCGCAAGAACTATCAAGCGCGGGATACCTGGTCAGCCCAAATGTGCCATGCCAAAGGTCGTATGAAGCAGAGACAACTGACCATTCTGTTCCCTAATGTCCTGACCAGAGATCTTCTGGCCACCGAGGAAAAGGTGGCCGTTTCCGGTCTGCTCAAACATCGACGCCATGGTGAGGGGTGGTGGCGGTGACGATGTCCTACGGGTTCGCTGGAAGCTTCAAGTGCGTCGCCGAGGCTGGCACGGGGACGGATCGACGACGGTCGTGCTTGGTGGTGCGGTGAGCGTGCTATTCGATCGCTCTCCAGACTGCCGTGAGGATGGGGGGACGTTGACGGGCAGCTTTACAAATGCATCCCACTAAGTATGAGGCTCCAGCAGGCAGGCACCTCCTATTGCTAGCGGTGCCTACCACCTCCCAGAACTTTTTGCCAGCAGCCAAAATTTGGAGCACGGGCCATTCCCTTGCAGAGGGGCAAGTAGGTACCATTACGTGAGCGTGGGGTATGCAAGTAACACGACGAGGAACATGCAGAGTTAGGACTTTGCAAGCTCTGAAGTAAATGTATCTAAAAAGCCAGGCAGTGATTGGGACTTCAAACTGACCGCCAACAATGAGGAGAGTGACCCTCATAGACGTTGGTGGCTGACACCTCAGCCCGGATCACAGAGAGTGCAGGCGCTCAGGTACATGCACGAGAAGTCCCTGGATCATCTCGACTTGGTGCATGCGACGCCCGGCGCGTGTTATCGGCGCCCCTGGGAAGTTATCGGGCCAAGCTGCGGGTCGGGGCCAGGCGCCCCTGGCGACAAGTGCGAGCAAGAGACGGGACCCCTCAAGCAGCACCTGAAGCCAGGGCGAAGCTGCCCCTCCAACGCGGGGCACCACTTTTCGCGTCTCGTCGCCCAAGGGTTCAATAATTGTACCACACCTCTGTCTTGGTCTGTGACTCCCTCCCGGCGCCGTGCTCGACTACCAGCCTCGATCGTCTTTCTGTTGCCGGCGTGACTCAGCATCCTGCCCAGGCACCTTGTCGCAAAGGTATGTGGCCCCTCTATATGTTGACCACTCTCGTTGAATGGGTAATTGCTGATCAGAAGCCCCGACTTACAGTATTGAATCGAGACGAGCAAACGACTCGAGCTCCGCTTGGGCTGCGCATTCAGAACAACAACTGCTACCCTCCCCCAAAAATCACCACCACCACTGTCAAGATGGAGGACAACAAGCCCGTCGAGGACAACAAGCCTCAGGAGCCCTCGAAGAGCGCCCTGAAGAAGGCTGAGAAGGAGGCCAAGCGGGCAGCCGAGAAGGCTGCGAAGGCCGCCAAGCAAGCCGCCATGCCCATCGTGGGTGGCAAGAAGACCGACGACATCATCGGCATCACAACGAGCAAGGCCGACAACTTCCCGCAATGGTACCAGGAGGTCGTTCTCAAGGCCGAGATGATTGACTACTACAACGAGATTTCGGGCTTTTTCATCATGCGCCCGAGCTCCATGTACATCTGGAACGTCATCCGCAAGTGGTTTACAGAGCGCATCGAGACCCTGGGAGTTGACGAGACGAGTTTCCCCATGTTCTTGTCCTCAAAATCGCTCGAGAAGGAGAAGGACCACGTCGAGGGCTTTGCTCCTGAGCTTGCTTGGGTGACCAAGGCGTAAGTGCTCACTCCGATATCGCTCTCCGAGTATCAAAGCCGGGTGTATACTGACATCAATGTGCACAGCGGTGACAAGGATCTCGAGGTCCCCGTTGCTGTCCGTCCTACCTCTGAGGCCGTCATGTACCCGTATTACTCCAAGTGGATCCGTAGCCACCGCGATCTCCCCTTCAGATTGAACCAGTGGAACTCCGTCGTCCGGTGGGAAGCCAAGCAAACAACCCCTTTCCTCCGTGCCCGAGAGTTCCTGTGGCAGGAGGGCCACACTGCCCATCTCACTGAGAAGCTCGCTGGCGAAGAGGTTCTGCAGATTCTTGAGTGGTACGCTGGCGTCTACGAGGAGCTACTGGCTGTCCCCGTCGTCAGAGGTCGCAAGACTGAGAACGAGAAGTTCGCTGGAGGCTACTACACCACCACTGTCGAGGGATACATTCCTTCCAACGGTCGTGGTATCCAGGGTGCCACCTCCCACTGCCTGGGCCAGAACTTCAGCAAGATGTTCGATATCACTGTCGAGGACCCTACTGAGCAGGGCAAGCATGTCCACGTCTGGCAAAACTCCTGGGGTCTCTCCACTCGTGTGATCGGTGTCATGGTCATGATCCACGGTGACGACAAGGGCCTCGTCACTCCTCCCCGGATTGCCAAGATCCAGGCTATCCTCATCCCTCTCGGCATCACAAAGAGCACTACTCCCGAGCAGAAGGAGAAGCACAGCCAGGAAGTCGCCAAGATCAAGGCGACGCTCAAGACTGCAGGTGTCCGCGTTGAGGACGATCTGAGAGACAGCTACACCCCTGCCTGGAAGTTCAACGACTGGGAGCTCAAGGGTGTTCCTCTCCGTCTCGAGTTTGGCCCCAAGGACATGGCCAACGGAGTCGTCAGCTTCGCGCGCCGTGACACTGGCGAGAAGGGCACTATCGCTCTGGACGAGATCAGCACCAAGGTGCCCGAGTTGCTCGAGACCATCCAGAAGGACCTGTACGAGAAGGCCGAGAAGGCCTTCCGGGAACACCGCCTGGTCATCAACGACTGGTCCAAGGTCGTCCCCGCTCTGGACGCCAAGAACGTCGTCCTGATCCCCTTCTGCGGCGATGGCAAGTGCGAGGACGAGATCAAGGACCTCACGACCGGCCGCGGGGACGACGACCCCAACACCCCCGAGGCCCAAAAGGCTCCCTCCATGGGCATGAAGAGTCTTTGCATTCCCTTTGAGCAGCCCGAGGGTCTGGTCAAGGGCGAGACCAAGTGTCTCAACCCCAACTGCAAGCGCATGGCCAACGACTACGTCATGTTCGGTCGCAGTTATTAATCACATTCCTGTCTGTGAGCGAGGTTTGCAGCAGCGTGTGAAATGTGCATCAGCATGTCGTCACTTCAAATAGCTTGAGGCCTTTGACTATAGACAAAACACAATAAATGAAGAAATGATGGAATGATGGCAGGCTTTCATGCATTGGGCAAAGCCGTGCGTTCGATTTGTGCTGCCATACTGCTGCAGCAAAAAGCTGCCGATATTCACGACATGTGAGACTTGTCACAGGATTGCTTCCAGGACTCAAAGGTCAAGTTCACAAATGGCACAGAAGCAGCAACACAATTCGAGGTTTTGGGGCTAGCATTTTTATTCATGATATCGTATAAGCAGGGGAAGAGCTAGAACCCTCCCTCCCCCTTATGCTCTGACAAGCATATCTGTTTTTCTTCTTCTTCCACTAAAATCTCTCCCCGGGGAAAATAAGACATCTCCTGTACCCAACCCAACTCCGCTCCCCATCGTACAGAAGGAACAGCGACGCCCGCGAAAGGCGCTTCAAAGAATAAGAGGAAATTCAATCGTGTGTGCCGAGAAGCAATATATACATCCAGTCAAGCTTTAAGCGTTGGCCTGGATGCACTGCTGCTGCTGGGCGTCGCAGTCGGACACGCTGCCGTCGAGCGAGCCGCTGTTGACGGCGTTGGCACACTGGTTCTTCTGCACGTCGCAGGCGCGCTGGGCGGCGGCGCCGAGGTTGATAAAGGTCGAGCCGTTGACCTCAAAGGGGCGGTTGCTGTTGGACTTGTTGATCGGGACGGGAGCGGCGCCGAGGGTGCCGGTGAACTTGTTGACGTTGCCGGTCGCGGCATCACCGGTGTTGTTGTTGTTACCGTTGCCAGCGTTAGCGTTGCCGTTGCCGGCGTTCGCGTTGCCAGTGCCGTTACCAGCGTTGGCGTTTCCACCATCAACAACACATCCATCGTTGGCGTTGCCGTTTCCGGCGTTGGCATTGCCGTTGCCCGCGTTGTTGTTGTTGTTGCCGTTGTTGTTGCCGTTGCCAGCGTTGCCACCGGCATTGCCACCAGCGACAGCCGCGTCAATCTCGGCGGCAGTGGCATCGTCGACACGGAGGTTTTGGGTCTCAATGCAGCCGATGGCGTCGTTCTCGTCGTCGCAAGTGTTGCCAGCACCGGTGGCGTCGTTGACGTCACCGGGAGCAAAGGTGCCGCTCTCGAGAGCGATCTGAGGGTCGGCGCCGATGGAGTTGAGCTGGCGGGCGAGCTCGAGAACAATCTCCTTGTTCTTGGCCGCGGCACCGGCGGACGCGGGATCCTGGTGCTGCTCAAGAGCGGCGATCTCGGGGTTCTTGGCAGTCTCGGATGTGCAGAGGACCGAGGCCAGGCCAACCTTGCCAGTATTACGCTCCTGTACGCTGGTGTAAGTTGATGATCGACGGAATCGGAGTTTGTATCCTAGGGACAAGCGCATACCAGAGTTCTGAAGACGAGGGCGTTGGTCATGCCCTCGACATCGTTGGCAGCCTTGGCGTTGGTGAACGCCTGGTCGGAGACACGCTGCTGCAGGCAGTCGAGGTCCTTGACGGCACCGGCACCCTGAGCAGCAGCGGCGTTGCCGAGGAGAGCAAAGACAGGGTCCACGACCTTGTCGACGTTGTTCAGGTCAAGAGCAGCCTTGACACCGGTCAAGAACTTCTTGTGCGATTGCTCCTCTGTAAGTGGCATCTATGGTCAGTCTTCATAACGATCCCTCATTTTCAAGGCGGAACCAGGGCAATGACTTACGAGGAACCTCGCGCTTGACCCGGAACTTAGCGGAAGCCACAAGTGGCTCCGCCCGGACATCGGGACGGGCAGCGGCCAAGCCGAGCAGGAGGAAGAGAGCGGCGGTAGACTCGTACTTCATTTTGACGGTTGAATGAGGGTGTTTTGAAACAGGTAGGTAGACCTGGTGTCTTGTCGGTGTCTTCTTTGGGAGAGAAAAGGGCGAGATGAAGAAAACAGATCTAGCCAGAGATCTTGTCAAGACGATAAAACAAATGTTAACGATAGTTCACAGAACTATTGAAGAAAGAATGTCAACGAAGGAAGTTTGTCAAAGGAAGTGAAGCCAGCCTGAGGAGGGAAGGGAAAAACAGAAACGAGAACTGGTGGCAGGGCTCGAGTCTTATACGAAATGCGGGCAGTATGGTCCGCCATGCCTGCTGTGGCGTTCGGTTTCCTAGACAGGCCTGCACAACAACGTGCCCTTGCGGCAGTACGATGTTTCGAGCATATTTTGCAGCACGGGTCTTCGTCTCAACATTCGAACCACGCTTGCCTAGCCCATGTAAGTGGGAGGTCAGGCCCGTTCCCAGGCCTGAAAGGGGGTTTGGGAGCATGACCCATCATCGTCTGAAAGCCCTGATGCTTGTAGTCCGCGGTTAAGGTTGCGCGGCCTGCAGGGGCTTTGCTGGGGACCTCTGAGCTCATGATGGAACGACGTGGTATCCATTTGCGTACAAACATGGGCCTGGCCAGATTCTGCCCTGGGTCTCATGTTCTCTGGGCATGGCCGGGTCTTGTTCAAGCCGAGCGGCAAGCGGCCTGGATCCGCAATGCCAGGCCTCGCAAAGTGACGGGGCGGGCGACAGGTGAGGCTCAAAACCGCATTGTGGAGAAGTCACCCCCAGGGGCTCTGTCTCATCTCTCGGTTGTGTTTCCGACCGCCTGGGGTCGTGTTGTTCACCTGCGCGGCAGACAAGTGGCTGCAAGTTCTGCGCCAACGGAAGATCTCCTCAGGGACATTGACACACTCGCCCCAAATATCTTGACTCGTGAGTGCACATGAAGCGGGAAACTATGTTGCTTTGAAGTTGGTAATGACAGGTAAGATCTGAGGGTGGAACCGCAACATGTGTTTTGTGCTCTACAAATTCCGGCAAACATGCCTTGCACGAAATGTGGACCACGTCGAGCTTAGGCAGTACATTCCACCTGAGGGCGTTTACCGTGGTGTCGGTCGATCTGCAAGGTTGCCATGCTGATGAATGTTTAGCTGACTTGAGACCTGAGCCGAACCTGGACTGTGTCATCTTACTCCCCTTGAGCTGAAGCAATCAGGGGTCCCCTGTTCAGGGCAATGTGGTTCCTCCCACCTCACCCTGGCCAGGGGCTGGCTGCGACTCCAACAGTTTCTAAGCCGTTGCCCAGGATCGCAAGATCCAGCAAACTGCTCGATCTCGACAGCCCGTACGTTTCAAAGGCATGGGATGAATGCAACAACCTCCGCATTCGTGGCGGTAGGTACCTGAACGTCAAGCTTTCTCTCCATAAACGACAAGTGAAATTGCTGTTCAATCATCTGATATACGTAGCGCTGAGCATACGCATGATGGAGACGTCACAATGGATTCACCATTTCCCTTGGCTCGAGTCGGCAGTCAACAATGCCAGAACCCTTCCGGGCATCTCTCCGTCTCATGTGGTTGCGGCCCGCCCAGAAAGCATGCTCATCCAGTAAGGTCTACGTCGATCAACGGGATGAACAGCAGCCGTTCTTGGCAGAGTCAGTGACGTAAGCTATGGTGACCATAAATAGATGCTGTTCGGATGGCGTCGCACAATCATCAACTTCTCAAGAATGCATAATCACGCAAATAATGACCTCTCGATCCTAGAGCTCGGCCTTGTAAGCGTTCGAATTCCCCATGAGCCGTCATCAATGAAGATTCAGAGCAGTCGTCGAATTAATGAAATGTCTTTTGAGGTCCGGTGTTTGACATGGTGTTTTGTACAAGGCGGCATGCCAAATGCCAGCTAATGTTAGATGTCTAGTAGGATTTCCTCTTCCACGGTTCCAGTACTGCTGCTGTTTACTTCTTTTCACCGCTGTCGTTTCGCACCGGAAAGCGGGACGAAATGACAACCCCAGCGGTACGCCACACTCGTCTAGTCATAATTGTACATAGTCGCGCGTCGCATATCGCTTAACCGATGACAAGCTTGTCCTCCTCGGGGAAGTCGTAGGTGGGAATCTCGAGGTTGAGAGGAGCAGGTCCTTTCCTTATACGGCCAGAGATATCGTAGTGAGAGCCGTGGCACGGGCAGAACCAGCCGCCAAAGTCGCCAGCCTCGCCAATGGGGACACAACCAAGATGTGTGCAGACACCTGCAGAACCCCCGTTAGCCCAATGTACTTTCCTCGTCGAATATCCGCCAGCACTATCCTGGCTTATAATTAGGCATATCTGGCGGTGATGGTGGTAACGTACCCAACATAACAAGCCACTCGGGCTTCTGGACACGGTCCTCGTCGGCCTGGGGATCACGGAGGGACGCGACATTGACCTTGTTGGCCTCCTCGATCTCGCCCTCGGTGCGGTGGCGGATGAAGACGGGCTTGCCACGCCACTTGATGATGACGTTCTTGCCCTCGGGGATGGCAGCCAGGTCGACCTCGACCTTGGCCATGGCCAAGACATCAGCGGAGGCAGACATGTTCTTGAGGAACTCTGTAAGAGGCGGCAAGTCAGCGAGACGCCCTTCAAACTTCTTCTGGTCGCATCACGATCCCCCCAAAACCCCAAGCGCTATGGTATCCGGCTGGGAGGTTTACTACATGGCCATCCCGCAAGCCCGGGGTCGAGCTGATGTTGATGGAAACCAGAGCAGCCTCGAGCTACGCAGCTATATCCCGTTCGGCACCCGCTTCCATCCGACAGACCGAAATCTTCCAAGTGGCCAATCCAATGTCGAATCCCTGCTCTCCCCCACGCCGTCACGTACCTTGGACGGTCGACTTGGCACCGGCAGCGGTGATGGCACCAAGAGTGCCGACCATGAAGTACTGGAAGACCTTGTTGGTGCTGGCCGAGTCGGCGCTGATGTAGTTTCCGAAGTCGGGGATGTTGTTGGCCTTCTGGGAGCCCTTGAACGGGCTCGAGTAGGACGAGGCCGGGGCATCGCGGAGCTGGGTGGTGGTGCTGATGGCGCGGACGTTGCGGGTGCACTGTCTCGAGACGCCGCGCGCGAGGGCGCGGGAGGCAATGGAGAGGGGCGCCATCGTGTGAATCGTCGCAATGTGGCAGCGCGGCGGCGGAGGAGGTGACGAGCGGCGTTGGCGGAGGTGCTGGTGGCAGGTGTGAGGTCACGACGACGCTGTGTGAGGTCTTTTTCCTGGCCCTGGGCTGGTTGCTCGCAAACGCAGAGGAATGATTCGGCAATGGTCTGAGCCAAGCCACTTTGGGTTGCTGGCCTCAGGCTGCTAGAAATCCGGCGGGCCCAGCTGTCCGGCCCAATGGCTGTACTCGAATTTCAATTCGAGCCGGGTCCGCCCGGCATAAGTCACGTGGTTAAAATGCCCTGCTGACTCAGCATGTCAAGTTTAGCATCATGAGAACTTCCATCTCATCAACTCCAAAGGCAACGTGAATGGTGATGCGATTCTTATCTGTAGGTTTTTCTTGCGGAAATTAATTCGCGTGCGAATCACATATCGCCATTTTTTCGTTTCTTGGTTCGCACCTCTGAATAGACATCCGTGCACAACCATCTTAACACAAATTTCATGGCAAATTTTGAAAATCTCAAGCAACAATGTTTTTTTCTTGTAAATTCTTATCTTGGCTATGCACATTTGTGCAAGGTCTCAATGTAATTGCTTGAGGTCTTCGACCATAGTCCGCATATCCTCCACAGAAGGACCAAGTCCGGCACAAGCCTGCTCCTGCAGCTCATCCGGCAGATCCAAGAACCTCTCGAGCAAGTCTCCATCCACGAAGCGGAAAGGTGCTTCGCCTTCGCGCTCGCTATTTCTAAATGAGCGATATGCATCAAAGTGAATACTGCCAACCTCGAAATCTACAACGTGATTACTCGTTATGCTGGCCATGTTGGTTTGGAAACGAAGCAAGAGGTCCTGGTAATTATCCGAGATGGTGCCAAACATGTACACACCGCCCTCGACCTGTTGCAGATGTCATTATCAGTAGATAGACCTGAGTGTTCAATTCCGGAGATCTGCACTTACCGTTCCGAGGAATGCCTTTGGAACCACAATGGCATTTGCACGTGCATCGACCGTGATCTTGCGGATCTTGTTCACCATCTCGCCCAAATTCAGTTCGCCAATGAGTTGTAGTCGGTGCCGATCTTCAACGGTGACTCCTCCCTCATTTTTCTTCAGGACCATGAGGTTTCCTGCACTCTCCGCTTCAAGCCAAGTCTGATCCTCAATATGGCACACCGCAGTCGACCAAGCAGCTTGGTAGTGTCTCGCGACCTCGGTCAGCTTCGCAGGCTTGCCCTCCGCCGCTGGAGTGAATTCAACCAGCACCATAGACTTCATCAAGTCTCCCACGGCTATGGTGTGCCCCTCGACGACCATGTCAACTGGGTAGGTCACGGGTCGGTAGGTCGCCAGCTTGGACAGCTCGGCTGTCGTAGTCGAAGTCTCGTTATATGAATAAACAATCACCGTCTTCGCCAGAGATGCGACGATCTTGTCTTCCATGACGTCGAGTACCCGACATGCGCCCTTGAGGTTCTTCTTGGCAACAATATAAGGTCTCCGCTCACTGTCGATGCCAAGAACCAGCAGGCGGCCACGAATCTCGTCACGCGACGCATTGCTTGTTTGCTCGTCCTCCACGAAACTCGTGCCAACAATGAAGCGCTCCACAAGATGCCCATAGGAATCAGGCAACTCTGCGCGAATGACAGCCTCTATCATCTCCACAGCTGGAGTGATTCCGAGCTTGAACTCCTGGCCCAAGCTCTGAAAGGAGACCTCGTCGACGAGTTTAAAAGAACTGCTCACGACTTCCTCATTGTCCACGATTTCTCGTCTGATGCAGCCAAGTCCGAAAACTCGCTCACTCCTTGAGTACGCTATGCGTCGCACCGTCTCGCCCATGGCCAATGGGGTGACATGCGTCCGACGTTCCGAGTCGATCACAGAGATCTTAAGCTCTTTGTCTGTCGCCACAACCAAGGAATCTGGGAATGCCTCGCTGTCGAATTGACAAACACACGTGGCAGAAGTGTCTTCCACTGCAGAAAATACAATTCTGCCCTCAGCACCATATATCAAGCTTGGATGCTCGCTGATGGAGAAGATGTTGTAAATGCCCTCTTCTCGAGAGAGTGTCTGGAGTCGCGCGTGGCGGGTGCCAAGCACAATGCTCTTACGACCTGAGAGTTGGAAATCTTCGGTTGATACGTTGAAGCTGAAAACAAAACCATCTTCCATAGAAACGAACAAGGTCGGTCCGGCTGATTGAGGAGGGAGGATTTGCGCCAGAACAATATCTCTGGGGACCGACGCGTTATCGTCTTTCCGTCGCAGAGACTCACTCTGCAAAGGTTGTAGAGTTGCGATGTCGACAATGGAAATGCTCCCCGAAGACCAGAAGCCGACCACGCCGATGTTCGGATATTGTTCAGGAAGGTGAATGCAGGCAACTTGGTCCTTCTTGCCCATGTTGCTTGACTCGCCCGGAGTAAGACCTTGAACTCGCAGGGCTTGCAGTAATCCGCCGTCGACGGACAAGAGGATCCGTTCGTTGTTGGCGGATACACTTGTAATGCTACCCTCCGAGGGCTTCCACGTTGCTTCAACCATGCCACCCTCCAGATTAAGGAGGTATGCACCTTGAGAAGTCACCTGCAGCATTAGTCCGCCAGGCAGATTTCGGGCCAAGAGTGTTTCCGCATCAAGCGTCAGACCTTTGAAATCACCGAGCTCCTCAACGTCCCCGTCGGCATCAAATGAAAAGACTCGTGTCTCCGTGAGGAACGAGACCACCAAGGTGTCATCCTTCCCGGAACCGTGGGACTTGAGTGCATAGACTCCACGAATGTTCTCCATCTCGCCGAGGATGCCTATATCCTCTAGTCCAACGCCACTGCGGACACTTCGCAGACTTCCATCTTTGTGCGCACCGCTGCCTGTAACTATCCTTGCTTGTCCTGAAGAGTACTCATTGGTGGTCTGGCCGTCGCCCTCCCTGTTGCCGAGGTCCATTATGCTCAGGTCGAGAATAGGTGCGATGTTTGCAAGTGTCTGGGTCAGTTGTAGCGACTTCGCCTCGATGTCAACCAGGAAGACTTGGGAATCTCCATAATGAGAGCCGACGAAGAGAAGATTGTTCCCGAGAGTGACCAGTGTACTGGCGCGGGATGTCACGCCAAGCTTGGCCATTTCTATACCCGTCACTACAGCACCGTCGAGAAGTATTTCCAAAAGCCAAAGATTGCCGTAGTCGTCGCCAACGAAATAGTGAGAAACGTCGTACTCGGCCCACGCGACGAATATAGAGGACTCCTTTAGAGGGAATTGGATCTTCTTCTTCGCAGCATGGTCGTAGTAGACTAGACGAGTCTCGCACACCACAATGAACCCGCCGAGTTGCGCCTGGGCATGCAGCGGGTTCCGCGTGCCATATCGTTTCTGATCTTCTTCGCCCTTGCCGACGGGAATCAGAATGGCGGCTCCGGGGTCTGCGACCTCAAAGAAGTCCTCTCTATCACGCTGCTCGAACCGGGACGCCTCGGTGTTCTTGTCGTCCTTGAAGAGCTTATAGATGACAATATGGGCGTCTGGAATGTCGGTACGCGTCTGGTAGAGAAAAGCGATCTGGGGATGGCCGGTCTCTGAGTGCAAAAACGTCGCTGAGCGAATGAAGAGCTCTGAGATGCGTGCCGTCTCCCTCCAGTCCAGTTCAAGGCGCTTGGTTCTGGTCTTGTACAGCCTGAGCACGTTGAGCACGCCCTCCCATAGCAGCATCACCATGAACTGTCCTGTGGGGTCAACTATGCACTTGTCCTGGCTCTGGGCATCACGCATGTGCTTCTCTTCCTTATCGAAAAACGACTGTATCGTGGTGAGCCGGGATAGCGCCGAGTCCCAGCCGACAGTGAAGTAGTGGAACCGGTCGGTGCCGACGAGGAGCAAGTTCGTCTCCTCGTCGCGCGGGTTGAGTTTCTGTATGAAGCATATTGTTCCGTTGACCTGTTTGCTATCCGCAAAGACTATGGTGCCCTCTTCGGTGCTCTTCCAGATCTCGAGACGGTTCGTCTTGCTGCTCAAGTGTCAGTATACGTGCTTTCATGGCAACGGCTACACCTTTGCGGATGACACGTGCGATCTGGAGACGGTAGAAACGTACGCTATCACAAGGCACTCATCCTCATCGGGGTACAGCTTGATGCGGAGAGCATAACGCACGCTGTTGGGGCGATGAATGGGAGCTATGTATGCCATGTTTCAAGAACGGGGCATGGCTCGGCCAAGACCCTCGGTAGTCATGGAGAAGGCGGCTCGGGTGTGTATGTGTGATGAGAGTCGTCCTGCACAGGAAGTGAGACGCAATAGAGCCGCCGCGAAAGAGAGCACCAGACGCCGAGCCTCGGCGCTGAACGAATGTGATTGGAGGTTGCTTTGGAAGCAATTGGGTGATGATGATGCGCTGAGCGGCGATAAGCACGACCGCTGTGGGATATCGCCGGTGCTGCACCTTGATGAGCTCAACGACGAGTGGAGGGGCAAACAGCTCTCCCCGGCCCGGCTTCTGAAGCGCCCCACTCAAGCTCCCTAGAGGCACGCCGAGACTTCTCAGGGCGGGCGGGAGCTACAGTGGATCCCAGCTGCTTGTGCCCCTGCGAGCTTTGGGACTCTTCCACCTTCAAGCACCTCACCGCAACACGAGTAAGTCGACTTTGGGTCACGCTTCAATTTTCAGATTTCTACGGACCTTCAGGCTCATGCTGGTACCCACGTTGCTATCTGCTGGCCCGGCGTCATTGTCCACACACGACCCTTATCCTTCTCCTTCCCCCTTGATATTGTTGAGCTGTACTCGCCACAGAGCCTGTCCGGTGCAAACAAACAGTTCATTGTCCCGTCCAAAACATATACCGGAGCATCCACCTGTTCACAGCACGTTGGTCAGTCCCGTGATGAAGAGGCACCGCGAGTGATTTCGTACCTGGAACCATGAGTAGCCCAAGAGCCAAGCCGCCGGCGCTCCATACTTCTACGCCGTCGCCACACGCTGCATAGACGTTGCCGACCGAGTCGCAAGCCACGGCCGATGGCACGCCTTTTGCGGCATATGCGAAAACTCGCTTGTTGGCCAAAAAGACCCCGCCAGATCGTTGTACCACATCGTACGCATATATTGTCGCGGCTCTGTATGTGAAAGAGACCAGATATCCCGTTAGTACATATTCAGAATGCATTTGGCGGCGACATCGGATCACGTACAATGCCTGGTCAAATGTCCCATCCATTCCTTGCGACTCCACGTCCGTGATGTACATTGTCTGCCCATCTGGGCTCAGCACAAGCGCAGAGGGGCGACCTAGCCCGTCGGCCACAACACGGAGGTCGCCTGTAGCAGTGTCATACCGGTACACCTGACTCCGCAGCTCGGGCTTGGGTCGGATTCCGTGCAGATGGCCACGGTCAGAGTCCGTAAACCACAAACCGGAGCCCTTGTCGCACGTGATACCCTGTAGCGAGTTGAACGGCCTGCCGGCGAAATTTGTGACCACAGCCACGGGCTGTCTGCCCAGGGGCATATAATAGACTCCGCCGGTCCCGGGCGTCAGATTCCCCTGCGAGCAGAACAGGATGCCGTCAGTCTGCGCGCAGGCGCCGGCAGGCATGGGCATATTCGCAGGCGGCCGCAGCTTGGCCCACTCCGCCGAGAGGACGTGTGGTCTCGCCTCGGCGTCTGGATGACGATCTCCCTCGGCTTCGACGCCGCGCACCTTGACTGAGATTCTGGACATCACGATCGAGGGCAACAGCGACGAGTTGGCTGTGGGCAGCAGGTCGGACATCGTGTAGATCTCATCTCGCTCGTGCACGTAAACACAACCGCCGTGGAAGAAACGGATGCGCGACGTATCTGCGGTTGAGAAGAGGAGGGACTGTGTAGGCTTCTCGCCGATGATTCTGGAGAAAGCGGGTTGGTACTGCCGCAGGCCGAGGTGTCCTGCGGGAAAAGCTCTGGAGTCATGGGGTCTGTGTTGTGAGATGCAGTGTTCTTAAAAGTGCCAGATTGCGACAGCTTACGTTGGGTTTGCGGCGGGCGCGGATCTCGCAGAATTATTTGATACCTTCACAGCCGATCAGCTTGGTTGAACTGTAGTTCTGAAGTTCTGGGATGGCCAGAGACCTCGACTTGCAGCAAGTCTGCCCGGATTTTTGAATTCGTCACCGTGGCCATTGTTCCAGAAATCCGAGACGCCCCTATGCCGTTGCCCACTTGCCTAATCGGAATCTATTAAAGCGACCAGAGAATCCTTGAGCATGCGTGGTTGAGCCGTGGGAAATTCTTAATGTCTTGCTGCTTTCGAGTGAGCAGAATGCAGGAGCGGCGTTGTTGCGGCTTCGACCCCTGATAGTCAGAAAGGTATGGGGATCCCCATACAATGCGGGCGTGATCCCAGAGGCCGATAACGCAGGTGCACAGCCACTGAGAGACTAATACCGTGATTGCCCGGGAGCAATCGCGTTCTCAACGTGTTGTTCCCAAGTCAAACATCACATGAAATACCACATGAAATATGCACATATATGCACCTTGGACTTTGAACTTGGTGATTATTTCACGACATTGAGAAAAGAGGCAGTTGTTGGCATATCTTTCTGGGCCGGAAGATAACGAGATAATGATATGATGACGTGCTAGCAAGATTGCACCTTGAATTGAGTCGAGTAACGCCATGTAAACCCCGTGATATCAATACACATAGACAGAACAAGCCGTCCAATTACTGGTTGGTTGGTACGAAAACGATCAGAGCTCCTTCTCCTTGCCGGAGGGTCTCTGGTGCAGCGCTGCTTCTCTGCCTGTCGTCGGTGCATCGCCGACGTATTCGCGACCACCGTACATGGCAAAAGCTTTGTGGAACAGCCACTCAACGGCAGTCTCCACGGGCTGGTCGAACATTTTGGGAAGCAGTGGCACCACCGCAAGGCCAAGACCGATTGGTGTCCAGGTCCGCAGTGTCTTGTTCTTGACATCCTTCATCGCCCGACCCGAGTATTTCACAACGCTGTGGATAGTGAAAGCCGGGAGACCCATACTGGCGATGCTTTGGAATACAGCACGCTGAACCATGACAGTCCTCCAGTCCTCCAGTGGGGGCACCTCTGCAGGCTTAACAAGTGCACTGCTGGTCTCGTAGAGACCGGTGGCCTTCTGTGCCTTTTCGGAGAGCACCAGCTGAGGATTGCGGGCCCTCTGATTCTGCCAGTAAGCCTTGTATCCCTCGTAGCTCACATCGCCCAGGATGTAGGCCCATGAGATACCGTAGGCACTGCGGACCAGCCAAGGGTGCGCTACAGGACGGAAGGACTCTCCGATATCACTGGTGTAGGCGACATATCGGTGGGCCGAAAGCATGATCGTGCGCAGGCGGTTGGTGTAAGCAGCATAGCGGACGTTGGACTCGGTACTGTCGGGGACGTAGCCCTCTACAAGCTCGTCGTAGAAGCTCTCTTCGCGATCGGCCTTGTCGACGATGCTCTGCATGCCCTTGGGCAGTCTGCGCCTGGCCGGCAGGGCATTCGGGTCGTAGTCTGTCGCGTCATTCTTGGGGTTGACAGGCGCGGTGGGCGGCGCAGGTGCCGTGCTTGACTTTGAGCTGTCGTCCTTCTTGTCCTTGTCGGACGATCCCTTGCCCCACCAAGGCATCCTTGAGGTGGCAGATGCGAGGGATTTGCCGGAGGTCGTTAGCGAAGTCGGAAGGAGAAGCTTGATGACACTTGGCAGAACCGTGTCTCTTTAACGACGCAAATGTCGAGTCTCGTGGGCACGGATAGCGCGGGACGTTTGGTGAGGTTGACGGCATGAAGGCCTAGCCGCAAGTGACGTAGACAGGCTGCAGCGTCCCGAGGCAGCTTGAGCTTAGGGCGAGTCTCGTCTGCGGCGCGCTCGTGGTGCGGATCCGCGGGCAGTTCCGGGGCGAGATCCGCTAGATGCAACATGCTGTTTTGATGCATGGACCCAACACCATGAGCAGATGTGTTGTTTGAAGGCGTGGTTTGCAGCAGCCCGAAGTGCCGCTTCGAGGTGGGTCCACAGCGAGCCAATCATCGCAGGCTCTTCCCACGCCCGGAACGGCGCCAATCGGGAATTCTCAGTCGGGCCTACGGGCAAGCTTTCAATTGAGCACTATTTCGACCGTGCTGCCACTTTGATACACCCCCTTCACGACAACCACAGCGACCCTCACACGAACCCGACCCAGTCGTTCCAGTCAATACCGCCATCATGGTTCAGATGTACACCATCGCCGGACGCCAAGTCGGCTCCCACTACGTGCGTCGCCCCCCTCCTCGAGCATTGCGCGCTGCCAGCGTTCCACCATCAGACATCGAAGCCATCCGACACGGCCACTGCGGCGCGCGCTCTCGGACTCGAAGTACCTACAGACTAGACAGACAAACTGACTCTGCCTCCAACAGCTCGCTATGGGTGTCCTTGCCGCCCTTTTCGGTGGCTCGTATGCTGCCTTCAGCGGCCCTTCCAAGAAGCCCCTCGCCCAGCAGACTCCCCCGATCAACGCCTCCAGCTCGGACGAGTCCGACTTCATCCAGTACGCGATGCCGAATTCTTCCGAGGTGGTGGGCACCATGCTAACCCAAATTCTACCACAGGAAATTCCTGAAGCAGGCCGATGAGGACGAGAAGAAGAAGCACTAAATATGTGGCATATTGGAGAAAATGGCGCTGCTGTAATGTGTCCAGACGGCGAGCGAAAACTGTACCATTAGAAAGCTGTCGAGCTCTAACGACTGCCTGCGTTTCCGATTTCGACGTTCAGCATATATACAATCAAGACGCGATATCGTGACCGCATATTCAGTTCAAAGGCCACTTAGAGATCCGAAGCTTGACAACTTGGGTCGGCTTGCTGTGATTGTCGACGGTGCTATGAGGTGGTCATACACTAAATCGCCTAACTAGGACTCGGTCTGTTTGATCTGACATCATGACGAAGTGTGGCAGGCGGCTCATCAGGATGGTTCAGGCCATTAAGCTGACGCACAATTGATGCCCGCAAGCCGTGTACAGGCCCCCTGGGCGTCAAGGCCAGAATGCCTGCATATCGCGATGTAAAGCAACTCAGAGAATCACGATTGTGCTCGGTTCAACACCCTGGAAGAACTCATCCCACTCTGGCGCTTCTGGTTGGTAAGATCGATGATCTGTCACAAGTCCCACTCGCCTGTACTCATGTTGATCGCTCAAAGGCAAAAGGACGAGCACATACCAACCCTCAGATGAGGTCTCTTCGTTGAAGCCACGAAATCCTGCAAGGACAAGTTGATCCTTGAACTCAGAATGAAAGTCGTCCGCGGTGTCAAAGCTGATGGAGGGACTGTCTATCTCTTCCGTCCAACTGCTAGAATCCGTCAAGGATTCTTCCTCACCCGCAACTTGGTTTACGCTGGCCATTGTTAGTCCTGACCCAACAGAATGGAACTTTCTTGAGATAGCAAGCAGCTTACCTGGGCAATACATCTGTCTCTGGAGTACGAAAACTAGGCGTCGGCCTGACTGTCCACTTATTGCGGACGTAGCTGATCGACAAAGGCAATGCCAATGGTGCTCTCAACTTGATATATCCACCATTGACCTGGCCAAATGGGTTTTCTCCAACTGGTGGACAATGGGATTCAACGATGATCCCTTCGGCATAGAGATTGACTTTATGAAACATGTAGAGCACGCCACAATTGATCGATGGCCACGACCACGACGGCGCAATGGCTTGCGGGCTTCTTTCAGGTATCTTGCCGTGGAGATGCCCATCCAAGTCGGCTCTCTCCCAGAGCAGAGAGCTAGGCAGGTGGTTCTCCCAAGTCCCAGCAAGATACTTGCCTAGACGAGGCTGCTGGAATGCCGCTGCGATCCCTGCAAACGCAGGGAGACGATCCTTGGAGAACGAGATGTCCAACCCGGAGTAATCGCCCACCAGCTTTGTCCACTGCTGGTGAGTTTCAAACAATGTGCTGGACTCTTTCAGAGCGGGAGCTTGGTGCAAACATTTACTGACCGTATCTTGAGCGTCCAGGGGACATTCATCGCCCAGACACTCACAGTAGTACGCCCGGCTGCACCGGATCCTGATCTCTTCATCGAGCAGGTACAACACTCTCCTGGCGAGCGTCGCCTCTTGAAAACACCACGCCCGCGTCTCAAGGTAGCTGTGGTCTTCCAGCTTGTTGTCATGACCCCAGCCGATGTGTGCGATGGGATGGCGGGCAATGATTGGCCATCTGCAAGTTTCTCCTGGTTGACCAACGAGCGGTATATCGACCGTGTCTACTTCGATAGGGTCAGGCCGCCTTAGCTTGATTCCAACGTGTGGATTTGGCGAGTTGCTTGGCGCCAAAACCACGAAACTATTTGCAAAGATGTGCTGCATTTTGCTCGACTCGACTTCCCAGTCCCGCTTACTATCTTGTATGATACACAGGCTGTCGATCCATAGATATCGGATATCGAGGTTGCAAGTAACCGTGATGACGTCCTGGAACAACGATGGGAGAGAACCCAGCGCAATCCCTTGTTTGTGTTGATTGATATTCTCTTTGGTCGTTTTCAGGAACTGTGCTCCGCCCCAGCAATAACTCAGTGCCGCATACCGAGAGGTACTCGCTAAGTCTGCAGCATCAACAAGGACTGGACAGGTCTGATTTTGCAAGTCGAGGACTCGGCGAGGAAGTGTCGGGCAGGGATCGCCTTGGCATTCCTCATGTGCTCCCGCACAGGTCTCGAGGCGCTCCAAAATTGACTGCCAAAGTTCTCCCTTGCTGAGATCGTGCTCAACCTGCGGAGCGCTAGCTGCAAAGCCACCCTCTAAGAAGGCCGTAGATTGTCAGTAAATATGCGTTATGGGGCTTAGTGGTTTCTGTCTAAGCGTATTACCCATCTCGGAATGTAGCTCGACGGCCATCTTTATAACAACTTTCTCACCGAGGCCATCATCTCTCCATTCGTCCCACTTCGCATGCGTGAGCACAATGCCCTCACCGTCAAAATCTGAAAACTGAGGTCGAAATGCATGAATGACGCTGGGCGAGGTTGTCATCCGGGCATATGTGCTCCAGATGATGCGACAGTATACGCAGACCGGAGATGCATACCGGCTCAGAATAGTCTGCAACGTGTCTGTATCTGGCTTGATCTTCAGTGGGATCATGTACATGGAGGGGCATAGTTGGCAGATTTCGAATTGGTCCAAATCGTGCGACGGCTTGAAATGGTTCTTTACGATCTCCAGATCCCACTGTAGTTGATGTTCCATCTTGAACGAACGGACTGGTACGACAGGCTCGATTTAGTCTGGTAATGGCTTATATGTCAAGAGGGCAGTCTTTGATCTTTACGAATGGTCCATGTATCGAGACGAAAGAAAACAAAGATGTCTCATGTCCCATACCTCACCAAGCAGTGGAAGACTGGGCTGCCCGCCAGGGGTTTCTTCATCGATTGACAGCCACATGGAGCCTACCGTGCCGAGTCTGCCTACCTGCAGCTTGACCCTGGCGGTTACACCAGACCGGGCCGAACGGCGCCAACACAGCCAATCACTCCTAAGGAGCATCCACTTCGGAGATCACGACACATATTGACGACCAACAGGTTGCGAACTGGTGTGGTAAGGCTTTCTCCTGATCTCCAGTGTTTTAGAGGCACATGTGTCGTGTTGTGTTGAACACCGCTTTGCGCTCTCTAACCCCTCATGGACATTGCAATCATGGATGGTTCTTCAACAACCAGCCCCATATATGATACCAGTTGGTATCTTAGTGATGCGGATTCGGTCACGAAATGGCCTTGATACTACTTGGAGAGTATTGGAATGCGTCTTTGATTTTCCTGTATGCCATGGCAGTGACAGCCTTCTATGCTTGAAGCAGGACGGACAAAATGCTCAACGCCACCGCTATATATACGCTCAGAACGATTACTCAAACAATAAAAATGCCCTGCCTATAATTCGATGAGATTTGGCGGCGGACCAATACCACGTAACAATACAACCGTGTTTCCTGTCTGCAATTGCTGACTGAGTTTCTCGTTGAACTCCAGCATGTTTCCAGACTCCACGTGGAAGACTCTGAGGCGGTTCTTCTCGTCTGCAGTTCGATTGTTGGTGTTTTCAACTTGCAGGCTTCTTGCAGCCTCGTCAAGCATGCGACCGACTACCCAGTCTCGCGAGTAGAAGAACATGCCTTTTGGAATCTTGGCGACCGTTGTCTCCGCCTCTGCCTCAACGTATAGGTATATCCGCTTTTCCGGCGCAACTCTCTTGTCTCCCTGGGCATCTCTCTTGAGCACTCTCATCGCTTCGTTCGCCGCTTGTTGAGCAGCACGGTCCTTGCCAAACAGGCCCTTGCTGGTCTGCTCCTTCTTTTTGGCGCTGTAAAGAGCCTTTAGTTTTGAGAATGTGCTTGCCGTCTGCTCGCGCACGGCATTTAGATCCCTCCCCGGCCGTGCGCCTATGGGGACCTTGTTCTTGCAATCGTGGTCCTCTTGTAGCCGGTGCTTGAGGCAGTAGTCGCGATTACACCGGTCGCAGTGCACCCCCGTAGACTGCGGGGTGCCGATGACGGTCTTGCAGCTGTCATCGCTGCAGGGCTTCACAGAGACGGTGTCGCGCATGAGCTTGCCGGCGCCGGCGGAGGGGCGGGCGAGCTGGGCCTGGCGCTTGCGCTCCGCCCAGGCGCCGCGGTTCTCGCACTTGTGGGCATCCTCGGTGCGGTGGTCGAGGCAGAAGGTCTTCTTGCAGGACTGGCAGTGGAAGGGGAGGAAGTCGAGCTGGTTGCAGTAGTCGAGCTGGCAGTGCTTGCCGATGAGGGTGGCGTCTTCGGTGCGGTCCATCTCGACGTAGCTCGTGTCCGAGGCCATGGGGTCCGGGTGGTTCTTTGGGGTCGCCATGGCTGCTATGAAGCCGCGGTCCGTATATAAAGGTGCGGTGCGGTGTGGTATGGTTTGTAATTCAGACTCGGCGGCACAAGGCAGCGGATGACTTCGTCAGCCAGGGCACACGAGAGACGATGGGTGGCGGGCCAGCGGGAGCGGCGAAGCTGGGTGAGGCTGCCGGAGAAGGCTCTCGAATAGCCAGGCGACGTCGGCGGCCATGACAGCTCCCGGACCGCAGCGGGTGCGCAGTTGAGTTAGGGGGCGCTTGGCCTGGCCCGGTGGAGTGCGCAAGCGGGAGGTTGCCTCCTGCCTCCTGGGGATGCCGACTTAGCCATCTGGGCAGCCCGGCAGGCGCTGACACATCCGCCGCCTGCGCCGCTGGACAGGCCAGAATTAGAGCAGTGCTAGCCCGCAAGCGGCATGGGATGGTCACAGCGACGTCCAGGCACCTGGCCACCCCGCCACAGCGAGCTGGGTCACATGCTCTGGCGTCACCCCCAGCGCTGCACCAGCGCGCGGCCTCGCGTCTTCGCTGGCGTCGGCGAGTCTGGATCATTGCGTCATTGAAGCCTGCCGACTAGCACCGTTTTTCCTTTTTTCCGCTCTTCACGTCTGCGTAGAGTGTACACTCGCAAGGCTGATCATGTGACGGGTTCGTACCGAAGCAACCACCCATCTGTGCATACCTGCGAACATGTAGCGACGCTCGCGCAGCACAATAATGCCACCAGATGTGCCCCGGAAGCGGGTGCGCACACCCTCGCCCGCACCCAAGGCGAGCGATAAATCCAAGACGTCAGCTCGCAAGACGACCGTCTTTGAAGACCTCGAGGCTTCCGCAAAGACCAGATCAGCAGAGAAGACCCTGTTTGCGGTCCAGCGCATGCAAGACGACGACAGCGACAGCAGCTCTCTCTCGTCTCTATCTGATGTCGACTTCGAAGATGTTCCCGCTCCAAAACGCCAGAAGGTCGCTGCCAAATCCCAGCAAGGCTCTCGTTCTGCGGTCGCGAACGCGAATGACGTGAGCGAAGAAGACGACGAGGAGGACGAAGACATCGAGTTTGAAGACGTGCCAGACCATGTGGAAGCCTCGGAAAAGCTCGGCACTGGGGAGATCGAGATCGAGCTGTACTCCGGGCCGCGAATACCGTTGGCCAGTGAGATTGGCAAGAAAGGTCTCACCAAGAAGGAGAAGGCTATGCGACAGAGGACGCATAACATGCACGTGCAGCTGCTCATGTGGCACAATGCGATCCGTAACTCCTGGCTCTGCGACCAAGAGGTACAGGCCATCCTCATCTCACAGCTCCCACCCCGACTCTGGGACGAGCTGGATCGCTGGCGACGTGCGAGTGGGTTGGAAGTGCCTGAAGAAGCGCCTAAGAAGCCAAGCCCGAAAGGCAAAAGCCAAGGTCGTGCGGGTGCAAAGTCCAAGGCGCAGAGGAGGGACTGGAGTGAAGCAGCAGATCGGCTTGAAAGAGGGAAGCCAGACCTTAGCCATGGCGACCCTATCCATAGGCTCCTCACTGCGCTGCGGACGTGGTGGAAGCAGAAGTTCACCATCACGGCCCCTGGCCTGCGGAAATGGGGGTACATGAACATGAGAAGGGCAGCAAAGCTCGCGGCCAGCCTTGGTCAGCCAGAACACGACCCCGAAACTCAAGGAGAACGCGTGCGTGATCTTGACGACTTTCGAAAGTTGGCACAAGGCTGTCATGGGAGTCGCGATGTTGGCTCACAGCTGTTTACTGCATTACTGCGAGGACTGGGACTGGAAGCTCGCCTGGTCGCCAACCTTCAGCCACTTGGCTTTGGCTGGTCCAAGTCTGAAGAGGCCGATGACGAGGATTCCAAGACTGATGTCAAGGCTAACGGGTCTGTCGACAAAGCTCCGCCAGCGAAATTGACGAAGAAAGCGAAACCAATCAAGCCTGCGAGCCGCCGAGTCAAGAAGAAAGGTGATGATGTGCTGGCAATGGATCTCGACGAATCTGATGAGTATGTCGAGCCGCTGTCCGATGCGAGTGACGACGATTCAATTGTCGATGTCACTGACGACTTCCGGCCTAAACCACCAAAACCAAAGCCGTACGATAAGGATCTCGAGTTTCCCATGTACTGGACGGAAGTTTTATCGCCAGTCACTCACAAGTACGTTCCGGTGGATCCTATTGTCAAAACCTTGGTCGGCAGCAGTCGCGAGCTCATCGAGTCCTTGGAGCCACGCGGAGGAAAGGCCGAGAAGTCGAAGCAGGGGATGTCGTACTGCATAGCGCACTCGTCTGATGGCACGGCAAAGGACGTGACTGTCCGTTATCTCAAGGGACAGATATTTCCCGGCAAGACGAAGGGCATGAGAATGCAGAGGGAGAAGGTTCCCGTGTACAACAAGCATGGCAAACTCAAGCGATACGAGTATCACGACTATTTCAAGGCGATCATGCGCGGTTATTCTCGCGGTGGCATTAGAACTCCATTTACGGAAACCGACTACGCAGAGGATAGCACTGATCTGAAACCTGCTATTCCTGAAAAGAAAGAGGTGAAAGAGGGGGAAGAGACTCTGCAGTACTACAAGAGCTCTGCAGAGTTCGTGCTGGAAAGGCACCTGAAGCGCGAGGAGGCTCTGCTCCCAGGGACGACGCCCGTGAAGATGTTTCGCAACAAGGGCAAAGGTGGAAAATTGGAAGCAGAGGAAGCAGTCTATCTTCGCAAGGACATTGTCCCTGTCAAGAGCGCGGAGACATGGCACAAGCAGGGACGCGCGCCCATGCCTGGTGCGGAGCCACTCAAGCATGCGCCCTATCGTGTTGCGACAACAAACCGACGGCGAGAGCTTGCCGAAGCCGAAGCGGCAGCTGGACACAAGATATTGCAACCTTTGTACGGCTACGATCAGACGGATTGGATCATTCCAGACCCCATCAAGGACGGCGTTATCCCAAAGAATGACTACGGTAATATTGACATGTTTGCAGAGCACATGTGTCCAGAAGGTATGTCATGCATGTTATGGATTTCACCGGTAGTTCTTCGACTGACAATGAGCATCAAGGTGCCGTCCATATCCCTTACCGAGGTGTCGTTCGCGTATGCAAACGCATGGGGATCGACTACGCGGAAGCTGTTGTCGGCTTCGAGTTCGGCAACCGCATGGCCGTGCCCGTCATCCAGGGAGTAGTTGTCGCAGAGGAGCATCATGACCAAGTGCTTGAAGAGCTGGAGAAGGATGAAGCCGAGCGGGCGCGCAAGGAGGACGAGAAGAAGCGCAAGCTCGTGCTCACGACATGGCGGAAGTTCTTGATGGGCCTCCGTGTCGCAGACCGTATCCGCGAAGATTATGCGCATCTGGAAGAACAAGATGGCGCAGAAAGCCATGCTCACCACAATAAGGACTGGCATGCGCAGATGGAGGAGGCAGAAGACGAGATGCGTTTCAGAGACGAGAACACGGCGGGAGGGTTCTTGCCTGAAGGCTTCAACGTCGAAGAGCCTGCAAAACCACCTCCGCCGCCGCCGAAACCTCCCACGAGGAGCGGTTACTTCGCCAGCAGTCAAGGAGATGAGGAAGACGAGGTGGATCCCTTTGAAATTGATCATGGCGTAGATATTGAGGCTTCACAGGCTGGCGGATTTGTGCCGTTTGATGGCGGTGATGGCCAAGTCGAAGAAGATGGTGGTGGAGGCGGGTTCATACCTGAAGAAGCACAAGACGGTCTACAAGATTCGCAAGAATCGGAAGCCAAGCAAGAAGCGATAGCGGTACGACCTGCAAGGACTACAAAGGCCTTGAAGAAAGCAGTGCCCAAGGCGAAAGCTAAGCCGAAGCAGAAGCAGACACCGCGGCGTCGAAGCAGGAGGACAAAGGTCGAAGACTCTGAGGAGGAAGATGACAGCGAGGAGGGGGATGATGATGATGACGAGTTCATGCTCGACGATAGCGAGTGAAAGTAGCAAGACCCAGCGCCTTGGTAGCCGGCTGCACCTGCTACATCTACGCCGAAAGAATTGTGGCATATAGAGCAAAGCCATGCAACTTATAATGTACATCTCATCCGGATTGTCAAGAAGCCATCTATTAAGTCACTCATTGAGCAGACCTGGCATAGTGTTCGCATCTGCACTTTGGCTGGGGAATATGCATCGGTGATTGTGCAATGCGGGGGAAAACACGCAAACGTGCGAGGACATGATGTCATGCCCACGAAACGACTTGAAACCAACATCCGAGTACATCTCATTACAGCACTGGCACCATCTCCCACTTCGACAATTGCTTCAATACTGAACTCGAAATAAGTGACCGGTCGCAAATAACCATGAAGTTCAACTGTGTCGCATCAGCGACCCTGTGGCTTGCCGCTTGGGCAGTAGCTGGTCCCGCCCAGCAGCATGATGAGACACTAAGCCGGCCGAAACCGCTGAAGCATATTCCGACATTTGGACTGGGGACGTGGCTTTCAGAGAAAAGCAAAGTAAGATGCCCTAGAAAGTCTGAGGGGCAAGTTTGAGGATTGTTGCTGTTGTCGTGCACGAAAGCTGATGTCAAGCTGGCAAAATAGGTTTCGGATGCGGTTGAATATGCCCTGACGCATGGCTACAACCACATTGACGCGGCGCTCATCTATGGTGGGTTCAAACCCCTTTCAATAACTGATAGAAACAGTTTACGACCACGAAGCTGAAAGACGATGAGAATAAAGGCAACGAAAGAGAAGTCGGCAAAGGCATCACCAGGTCCAAGGTCCACCGCTCAGACATCTGGGTCACCAGCAAGCTCTGGAATGCGGACCACCGCCCTGACAGAGTCCACGAGGCGATCGGCAAGACCATCTCGGACCTCGGCGTGAGGTACCTGGACTTGTACCTGATGCACTGGCCCGTCGCCTTTGTCCCGGGCGGCAGCGGGACAGAGCTTGACAACAAGACGAGCATCCTGACGACCTGGCGGGCCATGGAGGACGCCGTGCGGGCGGGCCTGACTCGCCACATTGGCATCTCGAACTTTGCGCGTGCAGACGTCGAGGCGCTGCTCAAGGAGGCAAAGATCAAGCCGTACGCGCACGAGTTTGAGACGCACCCGTATCTCCAGCAGCAGCACTTTGTCGATTTCCACTCGGACAATGGGATCAAAGTCATCGCGTACTCGCCGCTCGCGAACACAAACCCTACGTACGACGGAAATAAACCGGTTGCTCCAATCTTTGAGGATCCGATCTGGAGAGACATGGCGGAGCGGAAAAATTGCACAGTCGCGCAGGCCGTGCTGGGCTGGGGGCTGCAGAGGGGCACAGTGGTGATCCCCAAGAGTGTGCACAAGGAGTACATCAAGGAGAATCTCAACGCACGAAGGGTTGACTTTACCGAGGAGGAAATGCAGGAGATTGCGGCCGCAGATAAGAAGGTGAGGTTCAACGATCCTGGGAAGGGTTGGGGGGTCAGATTGTTCGCGGATCTGGATGATCCCACGAGATTGGATGGTGATGAGGAAGTAAGCGAGTTGTAGAAAGTCCGCTGGATGGATAGTCATGTATGTGGTGTGAGAGTCACGATATGTAAGATGAGGTGCACAAGGACCCAGAGTTGTAGGTCACCTTGGCAAAGACAAAAGTTCTTGAAGCTATGATTATGAATGAGACAATCCCATAATTTGATGCCAGCTAAATGAGAGGAAACAAAGTATCGAGCCGCAAAATAATGACTCCGCACAAAACCAGAGTAAATCATGTCTCATGCCGCAGGAGCATCAAGTGCGTTGAGCGCCTGAGTGCGCTTCTCCGCCAACAGCCACAGACGATCGCTGGGTACCTTGCCACCGGACTTCAGTGAGAGCAACTGTGCCGACTTGATCAGGTTCTTGATCTCGCGACCGTTCAGGTTAAGCTCTGCCAGCTTGTCCAGAACGTCCTCGGTGACATCAAACTTGTCCCGACCAGCCCTCTCGATAAAGTTGACCCAGACCTGGCGTCTTGCCGGGCTGCCGAGGTCATGGTACGGCAGGAACAAGTCCACACGAGACTGGAAGGCGTGATCGATGCTCGTGATGCGGTTGGTCGTGAGGAACAAGATGCCCTGGTAGTACTCCAGCTTCGTCAGGAAGATGGACACGAGCTCGTTGCGCGCGAGCGACTCGTTGGTCCTCTCTCCCAAGAAAACGTCGGCCTCATCGAGCAGCAGCATGGCGTTCCACATGCGGCACAGCTCGAGGGCACGGGTCAGCGCGGCCTCCACCTCGGCCGGCTTGGTGCCCAAGTCGCCGGCACTCATCGAGTACAGAGGCACGCGAGACCGCTCGGCGACAGCCTCAGCGGTGAAGGTCTTGCCGACACCAGGAGGTCCGAACATGAGGATGATCAGGCCGCGGCCCTTGTCAGGGATGAAGTCGTCAAACTCGCCCTTGGAGAGAGACTTGTTCTCGACGAAAGCCCAGGCGAGCTCCTTCTCGCCACCAGGCAGTACGAGCTTTTCAAACGCCTCGTCGTTCCAGGCCATGTCGCGCAGATCGTCGATGCGCAGCTCGCACCAGTGCTTGGCCTTGAGGTCGAAGCCCTTTACCCAGGGGGTGGTCATGAGCAGCTGCTCTTCGGTCAGGGGCTCGATGTGCTCGATGCGCTCGGCAGGTCCCTTGGCGGCAGGGCTGTCGTCCACGGGCAACGCGTACTGAGCTTCGAACCCGCTGTCCTCCATCTGCGCGTCGTCTTTGTTGGCGTCGCTGCCGTCCTTGCCCTCGTCGTCACCGCTGCCGGACAGCGCGCGAAGCTTGGGCCGCACGAGGTTGGAGCTTCTGTAGTATGCGTAGGCATCGACACATACTTTTCCAGCGACCTGAACCCAGCTGTCAGTAAGCTAAATCAAGACAGAACAAGGAACTGGCTCGCCCAAGTTAGACAAGGTGAAACATACCGGTCTCTGCTCAGGCTTCTCAGTCTCCAGCAAGATCTTGGCTCCATTGGACATCATGTAGTGGTAACCCCGGAGTCTCTCAAACTTGCGGCCTCGCTCGATCATCTCAGCCCGGATGCTGTCCTCCTCGCGAGTGAACGAGAGTGGGAAGACAGGCAGACCGGTTACCCTGCGGAAGCCAGCATACTCCCAGATGGTGACGCTGGTGCTTGCCCAGCCGGTTTCCTGGCCATTCCAGTCGACATACTCGAGGTGAATCACCCACCCTTCCGGGTTGCAGTTGGTGCGCGGCTTCTTCTTGTACTTGACGACCCGGCAGACCGTATCAGCGCCGTAGATCTGTGTCTTGACAACGGAGCTGGGAGGGAAGATCTGCCAAAGATCAGGGAAGGACACTTTGCCTGACCGCTTGGTCTGGGCGAGGGAGACGACGGACGAGGCGATCAGTGGGGCCAGGAAGGCGATGAAAGCGGAAGCCGCACTCTTCAGGGGACCCGGAGTGGCGCAGGCGTGGTATGCTTTGAGCTCCTCCCAGCGATGCACGAGCGGCATCATGGGCGGGTTGAAAGTGTAGTTCTCAACCTCCAGGTCGAGGTCCTGGTACTTGGCAAGGACTTTGTCCAGCACGGTACGCATGTTGGCGTCCTGGACGGTGATGGACTTGGTCACCCAGTGCTTGTTGACGAATTCGTGGCGGTGGATGATGGGCACGTGCTCAGTCTCCTTGGTGAGATGCTCCTCTTCGGCATCGACATTGTCGTGCTCGGCCCATCGTTCCGGGCACGAGTTGTACTCGCACCTGTGACGATACCACTTGCTCACGAGCTTGGACGAGTAGCCAAACTGGGACGCCTCGGTAGCCCCCGTGCTAGTCAGGGCCAGCGGCGTGATCCCTACAACGCCCTTGAGGATCTCGTCCATCTGGGTCTGGGAGCTTCCCTGCACACCCTGGGGCTCACTATCAGAAGCGGCATCGCTGTCACTGTCGTCCTCGTGATAGTCACGCTCTGTAGAGACACACTGTCAGTATGGGCAACCCCATGGAAGGTCCGTGTATATGATGGTATGGTGTGTACTCGTACGCTTGCGGGCAGTCTGCTTCGTCCGTGCCATGTTTCAAGTCTAGAGGGGTTGTATGTTTCGGAAGTGATTGAAGGTCGAGAAGAGGACTATTACACCGATGCTGAGCACAAAGGGAGGGTCAGGGCAGATAATGAGATAGTGAATGAAGACGGAAAGAAACAATGTCCTGGATGAGGTTGGACTTCAACATCTTTATATGCACGACGGCGAGCCGCAGGACCGTGTTACCTCAGGCAGCCAGGTCCTCCTCCTCTGCGGGCCGACACAAGGCAGCATGGGCAGCCTTGATGGAATGTCGTTGGATGTGAATGTGATCAGGAGACTTGATTGGCTGATGCAAAGCACTCCGGAGAATTGCACGGGCGAGGATCCCTTGCTCGGTCGGGGAGCTGGTTACGCCTGAAGTCCCACCGAAATAGGCATTCTTAGGCAGCCAAGGGCTCCACTACTTCAACTTGGCCCAATGAGAATAGTCTATGCTTCCGCCCCACTATAAATCCGAACCACTTACACGGGCAGTTCGACCTCCAACAGCGCCCCTCGAGCCATATCTCTTTGCAATCTTGGCGGTGAGATCATTTAGCTTTTTCGGCGAGCGAATTTAGAGTCATACGTGCGGGGTTGGTCCAGGCAGATCAGTTCAGTCGTGCACCCACATTAGGTTGCACCGTCAGCAGCACTCGACCTCAACGGACGCTTAGGTGACTCACAAGTTCTCTTTTCTTCTGGTCTTCTGTTGATATGCTGGAACATCCGCGATTGGTTGAATATTGTAAAAATTCAATACAATGAGAATGTTTGCTATGAAGTTCGTTATGCCCCGGAGACTTCCATGCGTGTGTTAAGCGATCGAAGCACCTTTGTGTATCACCATCGTCGGCACAATGACGAAATATGGTGTTGGAAATATTGGCCGACGAATTGGCAAGCAATCCTGGTAATAAGAGCATGAGAGTTGGCTTCCACGACATTGTCGTCGACTAATGGAAGGCACTTACCAGAATCTCACTAGAACCCAACCGTGTGTGATTCAATCAACTGGCGGCAGAACTTCACGGCCACGACTTGGGACGCCAGCATCGAGGCTGTGCAGATCGAGGTGTCGTTAATGCCTTCCATATCTTGACCAAAATATTTGGAGTTCAACTTAAGGGTCGAGCAAGGGCACGACATCGTCCAACGACAAATCGTGCAAGTATTCCCAATGATGGCACGTTGGCCAGTGTATAGCAATTATGATGTACAGTATCGGAAGCAGTTCCCTTCAAAGAAAACTTCACCTGAGCTACGCCAATGGATTTTTCGATTGGTATTTGGGGTATTGTCTGTTGTCAAAGACAGACATTGGCAAACGCAATGGCGAGAGCAAACCGTCACGTTCTTCAATCATCGGAGTGGTACAGCTTTGAGTTGCTGATTGTCATGTGCACGAGTCTGGATTGTCCTTCTGACCCATTGTTCTCTCAAAAAGACAAGTGCAGCACAATGCGGCTCTCGGGTGTTGGACAAACTGCACAGTCCAAACCACGTGCATGCAATCAAGTGCTCTTCCAACAACCACGACTTCAACCGCCCAATGTTCCCACCCCTCGTCCACAAACACAACACAACAGCTCCTGTAAGCTCCCTGAACGATTTGGAACACGCACGAACTAACATGACTCAAAGTAACCCCATCCAACGATATTCGAAGTTTGAAGCAGGCCTTTCGACTTCACCTACTTCAAGTCCGGCTGGCTCCGGACGACCTCACTCATCACTCACCATTACCTCGACCCCTCGCCAACCATCATCCGAGCAGCAAGAAGCACTTCAAATCAGAGCAATGGCTGCCCAGCAGATCTCTCCTACACCAAAGACACCAAAGACACCACTCATGCCGTTCGCCTACGCTGAGTGGGACTTTGGCGGCGAGCTCTCGATTCGCAATGTCTTCAACAAGGACAACATTGCGGCAACCCAGGCGAAGTTTGAAAGTGTCCTGGCTTCCCCGATGGCTCCCAAGAAGTGGAAGGACAAGACTCCGGTCACAGCTGCATCCCGTCGAGTCCTCCCCAGTGAACAGTCTGACCTTCAAAAGCTGCATGGGCCTGAGCTATACCGCAAGCTGTTCCGCGGCTGTGGTCTTCATGATGCCGAGATGATGCCCAAGATCCTCAGCCGGCTGTCCAAGATTGCGCCTATGGTGTACCCTACACACACCGCACTTCACAAGAACCTATTGGGCATCCTTCGCGAGATCAAGGTCCGCGGCGATGCTGCGCGATGGGCCGACGATTCCAACCTGCGGGCTGATGCGCTCGAAGTAGAAGCCGTTCTGGCCCATATCATCTATGGTGCAAGTGGCGAGGGCTATCTCAGCATCGCCAAGAGCCTCGTCCAGCTTCTCAAAGAGACTGGGCTCGCCTGGATCCTGCTTTCTACTGAGGCCCAGCGCATCCCGCCGTGCTGGGAAGCCTGGGCACTCAAACGCCGACAGGCAATCCCCGGCCTTCAACAACTCCGTCTCAAAGAGCTCACGCCCAGCCGTGGTGGGAGCGGCTCGTTCAGCGTCGACTCTCCAACACCTGGCCGGCAGGGAGATCACGACGATGACGTCTTTGTTGACCACGATGATTCGCACTCTCATCAGGTAAGCACTGCATCCTCTCAAAGCGCACATTTTCAGACGAGCTAACTCAAGAATCACTCACAGGCTATTGACAACAATGCTCACCAGACTCTCAAATACACCCCGCCCTCTGCATTGAGACCCTTGTTCGGTGATGGCCCGTTCAGCGCCGCTCGCACGGATGCGTTCGACCCTCCCTTTGACAAGGAGCCACGCAGCAGCGCAACCGTCTCCGGTCAAGACACGCCCACCGACGACTCCCACCCGAGATCTCCGCCCTTCAATGGCGAGAACAACATGAACTGTATGGGGGCCGACAGCCTCGAGGACGTCCGTGGGATGCTAGAGACCAACAAAGCTATGATCACCAGCCTCCAGAAGTGTCTGGAGAAGCAGACGCAAGCCCAGTCGGAGCTCTGCGCCAAGCATGTCCAGCAGATCAGCGAGATTCTGGACACCCACACAAGCCGCATTCGTGCGCTGCAGGATACTCACGCCAAGCAGATCCAGGAGATCCAGGCTGCCCACTCCTCCCTGGTGCGCGAAATCCAGGCCGTCCACGGCAGCCAGATCCAGGAGATCCAAGCGACCCATGCCGCCCAGATCCAGGAGACCCAGGCGTCTCAAGCCAGCCAGGTCCAGAAGATGCAGGCCACTATAGAAGCAAACGAGTCTGCCATGCGAGACATGAGAGGCTCCCAGGACACGGCGCTCAAGACGGCCGTGGAGCAGCTCGAGGCCAAGATGCAGAGCAAGTTCGACCAGGCACAGCAGCACTTCCAGTCGCTGTACAACAACATAACCCAGCCAACACAGGTGCACTATTTCACTGCCAGCCCTCCCCAGCAGCAGCAGCAACAGTACGCCACTGGCATGCCCCCCATCCAGCAATACTACAGTAGCATGCCTGCCATGCAGCACTACCCCGTCAACATGGTGCAGCCCCGACCTGCCCCAGTTCAGCCGGTGAACTACGACGAGTGGAAGCAGAAGCAGGCGCAGGAGCAGCAGCAGCAGCAGGTCTCTCTTGGCAAGCGTGCCATCGAGCCAGAGGTGTATGATGTTCCAGACAAGCGTCGGAAGCTGGACAACGTATCCGAGTGCTAGACTACCGCAGAATGGAACAGTTGGGAATTGATTGATGATGCACAGAGAAGGATATGAATTTGAGAGGAAGCGGCTACAAAGAGATGATCGGCTGTCTTTTTTTTCTATCGAGAGAGAGACTCGCGGTTTCCGAAAAGACGGAAACTTGCAAGCGGGCAAAAGTGAATATGGGGGAGCATGAAGCATTTCCAGTAAAATAGTAGATATTATGAGACAGTCAAGAAGTCCAGCCAGAGACCAAGCACAGAGAGGGCTTTAAATAAATATACTTATAGATTCATCGCCAGGACAAGTTGCCTGTCGTTCCCGGGATACACAAGCGAAGCGAGTCCACGAGTTGTATCTTCGAGCATCGCCGTGAACAAGGCCCGGATTGCCTAGTTCGGGCAGGGTCCCACTCTTCTGGAGGCTATGCAGCCTCTCACGGCTCAGCCCTCTCTCACTGCCTTGGCGTTGATTGGGCCGCCCACCTTACGAGCTGGGCCAGTCAATTTGAACTCGCAACCCCGATCGGGACTAGACCCGAGATGCGCTTGTCTGCCTCAGGCAGGGGTTGACTCTTGTCGGCCAGGGGGTTGTGTGCGCCGGCTCGCTGTGACTCCCCGGCGGCCGGAAACTCGACCCTTGACGTCGTGAGGTCGTGAGGGGGAGATGACTGTGCCCGTGGAAATGCTTTGATACTTCTATCACTCTTCCACTACAAGATCTATACGCCGGCAACACTTCTCTGCACATACACACGCAAAAGGACGCTTGCACTCAAAAATCAAGAGGACTAGAAGGCGCACTGCGCCGACCACCAAACTAACAAAGCCGCACGCACATATTGCCCGAGGTCCCCTCACAACTCCAATGGTTGAAATGGGCCGAGACGTCCCGGGCTGGGACGAGTCGGACTGGGAACAGGCCTCTGCATACTCCCATCTCGAGTACATGGCCAGTGATGTGGGCTATGACACGGAAAACTCCTGGCACGTTGTGCTCGACGACAACGACGACGACAACAATGAAGAAGCTACACCATACTCCCGGCGACCCAGTCAGAGCTCGATCAGCGCGGTGGCTGCTCCCCGATGCGAGCATTGGACCTCGCGGCGCTGCTCACTGACGCGAAGCCCTCGGCAGTGCTGCGCGTGCTCGGACTCGAGGCGTGAGAGTGCAACCGGGCTGTATGAGGCCTATATCGACGGGACAGGCTTCCTCGAGGCGGTGGAGAGGTGGGCGTACTACTGCCCCGGCTGCAAGGCTTCTGCTGCAACTGAACGTCCTGCGAGTGGGAATGGGTCAAGCAAGGAGGACTCGGTGACAGGACAGTCACATAAGAGTCTCTATGAAGCACCTCGCACACGAGTCAGAGATTCACAGGCACATTCCCCTGCCAGAACGCAGACGTCACCCGCCGAGAAGACAAACACCAGTGGACAGCACACACACACAGGCACAGCTCCCGCCGGCCTCTCCGCGAGCCCAAAAGCAGCTTCAGCAACGTCGGGAGCAGCAACAGCAGCAGCTATAGCCGTCGCAAGCCACCAGCGAAGCATCGCACGGGGGCTGCTCTACCAGGCCACCCGCTGCGAGCACTGGCTGCCCCGCGACTGCCACCTGACCGCCACGCTCGGCAAGTGCTGCGAGTGCGCCGACGCGCGCCACCGCAGCAAGGCGGCGACGTACTACGCGGTGTACCTCGACGGCGGGCCCAGCATCTCGGGCGCGGAGCGGTACATGTTCTACTGCCCCGGGTGCAAGACCGCTCTGGAGGCGCGACACGGTCCCGCCGTGCGGATCGGGGTTGCGCGGGACCGGGAGAGGCTGGTCTGGCAGGACCAGCGGCAGAGGCAGAGGCAGCGGCAGCAGTGCGCACGAGCGGAGGAGGAGGAGGAGGAGCGGCATGGAGCGGTGCTGTGCGCAAACAAGGGCCGCACGTTGACGACGGCGGCGGCGGCGGTGGCGGGTGACCAAGCAGATAGTCGCGCGGGTCACACACACAAACACGATCGTCCAGTGAGGATGTGGGGCTGCGAGCACTGGTATCTCTTTGACTGCTCGCTGACCGCCAAGAGGCGACTCTGCTGCGGTTGCTCAGACACGCGCGAGAAGGCGGCTGCGTATGTGAAGTATGTCGACGGCCAGGGCGACGTGCTGGCGGCCACTCAGTGGGAGTACTACTGTCCTGGGTGCCAGAAGGCCGGTAAGTTTTATTTGTCTCCAAAATCTGTCCAGGCTCAAGAGGGCTCTATGCTACTCTGCATGACAATTACTGACAGTGACTCTCTTGATATGTGTGCAGGCTCGGAGATGGCTGGACGGAAAGACCGCGGGCTGCGGTATCTCAGCTGGCTGAGGAGGAAGAAAGACGTGGCGACGACGACGACGACGACGATGACGACGGATGAAGTTTCGTGAAAGTACTTGATACTAGGACAGAGAACGGATTCGCTGCGTCTTGCTTTTACATATACCCCAACAGCCCTGACTTGATTTCGAACAAAGCAAAAAGACCAAGTTCGTGCTTGACTTCCCCGCAGATCTCAGAAGACAATGCAACATCACGTTTCGTTCGGCAAGCTTCGGACACTGTTGACTCTGATCTGAGTTGCTTGGGCGAGGCAACGTGATCAAAATAGATGAACTCTCTGCTTGTACCATTGTGTACTTGATATGTCACATTCTCAGCCATGCGATCTGGGTATCCTTCCTTCTCCTAAACGCCTCAAATTTTCCAGTCCTGCGTCCTAGTCTTAATTTTCCATTGGATTTGCTCATGGCCAATCCTGCAGAGCAGAATATGCCGCGCTTTTCCATCTTAATCCTTCTTCTCGACCGGGACAGTCTGCTCCTCAGCCTCGACATTCTTGGCGTCGGTAGCAATCGGCGCGGAGGCAGGCTGCTTCTTTCCGAGAATGCCCCGGGCGACGCGCAACATGCTGTGGCGGCCCTCCCAGAGCGGGTAGAGGCCGACGGCAATCGAGCTGCCGAAGAGCCAGATGATGCCGACAACGACCCAGCCGGTGAAGAAGGGTTTGGAGAAGACGTAGCCGGAACCGTACATGGGCATGGGCCAGAGGACCAGGAAGGCAATGGCCATGCACACCGTCATGATCTTAGCGATGCGTGAGGCCCGGACCAGCTTGGCCTTGTCCTCCTCGGGCGCAACAAGGGTAATGGCGCCTGCAGCTGCCGCCGCCTCCAGGTTGCCCTCAAGTCCGGACAGGTCAGCGTCGTCGCCCTGTTTGATTGCGGCCATGGAGGCCCAGTCGTAGTTGTCGGCGCCAAAAGCAAAGGTGAGCACAGGGATGAAGAAGATTGGGCTGAGGAGCGCGACAACGTTGCCTGCGAGCATGGGGCCGTTGGCACCGAGCGTCTCGACGGTAAGCACTCCGTTTGATTCTTTGGCGCAGGTCACGGTCCAGGCAATCAGCGCGCAGATGAGTCCGAGAACTGGAGAGCCGGCGGCTGCGATCCAGTTCTGCTTCTTCCAGAACAAGGTGAGGACTGTTGGCAGGACGGCGGACGAGATCATGACGCCCATCCACACGTAGAGCCAGCCCATGGAGATGCCGGCATAGTACAGTCCAACACTGAAGGCAGCCATTATGGCACCGTAGGCACAAACGCTGAAGTGCGACATGGCAATCAGACGAGCACCGGAAGCGGCAGGGTTGATATAAGTCCTATGAAGAGTCAGCTAACGCTCCGTCATGCGAGGAAATCACTTGGACCACTCACTTGTAGATATCATAGGTGAAAATGGACGAAACAGCAATCAACTGAGCCGAAGTAGCCGAAGTGACAGCCATGAAGATCATGATCAGGGTGATGATGGCGCCAGACTTGCCCAGCATGGCGACAGCTGCATACGGTAGTACAAGACCGGCGCTGACATCCGCAGGATCCATGCGGCTTGGGAAGGTAGGGAACGCCGGGCTCGTCTCTAATGCAAGTGCAGAAAGTCCCATGGTGGTGGCGCAGAGGAAGGGGATGGCGAACCAAGCCAGACCACCCACAATGTAGCCAGGAAGCGCATGGACCGGGTGAGCCGCGATCGCCTTGTTGTAGTAACCGTTGTCCATGAAGACGGTGCCAAAGTTGCCTTTATGACTCAAATTAGAAACTCGTCGCTTTATGCGAATCACTCACGATACTTACCAATGATGTTGATCAGGAAGAACTCTGCGCCACTCTTGCTTGTCATGGTAAGATAACTGCCGCCAGCATTACCGTCGATAGGGTGAGTAGCCGCAGCCTCGACAAGCCTGTCATAGACCACTGAGGGCGAGCCGAGCTCAGTGCCAGTGGCATAGGCAGTCAGAGCGAAGATCAAGATAATGACCAGGACGACGACAGTGTGCACCTGCAACCCTTGTTAATTGACGAGCCCAAGTGTGTCGGTTGACAAGTGGAGCTTACGTAGTCGGTAAGGAATGTCGCTTTGATACTGTCCAGTTGTCGTGTCAGTAAATAGCAAAAGTACAAAAGTAGGGAGAACTCACCCTCCAAACATGGTGTAGATGACAACACCCAGGGGCAAAAGGAAGCAAGCGGCAGCGGTGTGCATGCCTGTGAGACTGCTGGTCACCGCGCTACCTCCGACGAGAAGCATCAAGGTGACCAGAAGGTTACAGAACAAGCAGAAGCAAATGTACACGCAGTGGGTCACGGCGCCTTGAAAATAATTAGCAGAAGCCCTTTGCATAGTAAGAGTCCGAATAGGCCGAAATGGCATTTACCATAGCGAGCGCGGATGACTTCCAGCATGGTGTGTGCATTTGGAGCACGCTTCTTGAGCTAGTGGTTGTGTAGTTCTGTCAGCATACTTTTCGGCTGCTTGCAAATGTTCGGCATATCTTACCTCGATGGCCAGGGAAGCGAATAGAATAATTTGTACAGTCGCTCCAGAAGCATACTACAAGACTCAGTCAGTACCATGTTGTTTTGCCAGGAATGGGCTGGACTATCAAGTTAAAGCTTACCCAGAAGGGACCAGAGACACCATATCTGTATGCGACACCGGAAGATTGCAAAAGAGTCGCAGCCCAAGTCCATGAAGAAACGACAGCGGAAGCAACAAGTCCGGTCTTGACAGTTCTGCCAGCAGTGTTGAACATTTCACTAGTCTGCTCCTCACGGTTGTACCTGATCGACAGAACCCCGAGGTCAGCTAATATCCAATGAGGCGATCGAGTGCTGAGAGCCATACTTCTTGAGTACATAAGTGGTGAGCACCATGCCAAGAGCAAAGAGGAAGCCGAGGCCAACGACGATTCCATAGCCGTAAGCCTGGGTGAGAGGTGGTGGAACACCACCGCTTGAAGGACCGCCGCCGCCTGCCATGTTTGCGTGTTGGCGATTGTGGTCGAACGCAGGTCGAGCTGCAGTGTTTGCACAACAATACAAGCTGAATAAAACTTGCGCGTGATTCTCCAGCTGCACTTCCAGTCCGAGACCCGAGCGGGCGGTCCTCTGGCTTATATCATACTGCTGATCATAACCCAAATGGCCGTCGACCTAGGTAGAACACCTTGAGGACATCCTAGACAGGGCTGATAAGCAACAGCCTATTGAGACGCTTGTCCATGTAACTCTGCCGGCCCGGCCTGGAATCACAGATTTTTTTTTGGAGCACAGATACCACCTGCATGACTGGGTCCCGAGCCAAACTGTTCGAGCAGGCGGGATGTTGCACCTGCAGCATGGTTGAATGCTATCTTGGAGGTCCAAGTCGCTGCCGAAGAGCTCCCTTGACTAATCACTGAATTGTCCAATCAGAAGCTGTAATGGGGTCACAAAGATAAGACTTGGTCGGACGCACGAATCAGAAGCCAGCGATATTCCCGAACCAGGCCAAGGGACCTTGCGTGGGGAAGAAGCCGGGGGATGGGGGGCCACTTTCCCCATGCTGTGCCAGATGTTTCACTGCGAGCTTTCCTGATCGATGTTGGCGCAGGGTGATGGGCCGTATTGTCCCCATAGAGTGCTCTGACTAGTAAGTGACTTGATTAAACAAGGCCGCGACCTGAGTCAAGCAGCTTCTCGTACTCGCGACAGCGCCTGGGCAGTCTCGACCCGCTCTGAATAGAGTTTTTAGTCGGGCCATTGTCGTGTAGCTTGCTTGGACCAACCTGGGCAGGCTCGACTGTGTGCCACGGTTTGTCTGGCATTGGTACATTGCTGACGCTTCGTGACAAGAAAGTGTTTTGAGCGTGCGCAGGCATGTGATACCCTGGTCGTTGTGTGGTTGCGCTGATCCGGCAGTTAGCTGCGGGAGAGTATGGTCCGTGAGCTAAGTATGTGTGGTTGGGGAATGCGGCAAGACGCGCCAGCGATCTTGGAGGCGCTCTCTGGCGCAAAGCAGAGCTTCTCCGACTATTACGTCGTCGCGTTACAGCGCTAAGCGCAAGATAACATTGGGGACTAGCTATGGTTGTAGATAACACAGGCATCTTCCATTCGCAGGCTGACAAGGCAGCCCGTGTCTAAGACTTGGCTTCGCATGTTGGCCTCGCAGCGCTCGCCAATCTCGACAATTCAGCCGCATGGAAAGGGACGTGGCTTGCAGACAGGTGCAGGCGAGAGGTCGAGCTTTGGTAGCCAAGCATACGAGCTGAACCACCACCATTGACCAACACATGCCAATCGTCACTGCAGTATGGGAGATGATACGCAGAGTGCTGTAAAAACTCCAGGCTAGACGCCATGCCCAGAGACCCGGCACTCGGAGCTATCACCAGCAAGAGATGGCGGCTCAGAGTGTGCCGTGGCGTCTTGACCCGCGGATGCATCATCACAAGTCGTGGCGGTCGAGGCTAGCTGGCCTTCAAAGATATCCGAGCTTACGTTTGCGACTTGAGTAAAGACATTCGTGACCTCGAGGCCGCAGGTCTTATCCGCTCACCCGGGGTTCTCACTGATGACCCTTGACGTTCATCGCGCGCGGGTATCTGCAAAGGGCGTGGGATGCCCATCTTGGCTGGCCGATGCCGGACGGTCCCCAGCTGTCGTGTGGGCATGGCCCTGGTCGTGACGGCGAGTTCCGATGTGGCAGCCTTTGGCAAGGGTAGGGGCATCTAGTCTACACAGATAGCGAACGCCTGTGCAGATTGGAATGCGCCATGACGATCTCGCCATGATTGAAGTCGAGCAAAGCCACAGACAATAGCCTACCATCCGGGCAAGTTGAGAAGAGACCTTCCTCCAGTGTTTGCCGCGGAATGCGGCTCGAGTCTGCAACAGCCCACAGCTTAGTCATCACTCTCGACAGCCTGGCGGCCTGGCAGCCTGGCAGCCACGATGGGATGGATGGATGGGCCGTGCGCAACTGCCTCTCATTGGTGTAGCACGCATCGCGCCATTGTTGCCAAAATTCTTGAAAACGGAAGGCTGTAGGTTTCAACGGCCGTTGTCTGATGTGTAGGTCCTAGAGGCACATGGCTACAACCTCTGCCCAGCCTGCAGACGGCCCAGCCAGCATAGCTGCACAGCATGCGCGCCTCCTCGAGCGGGCAGCCGCTCTGCAGGGCGAGCTCGAGGTCTTCGCTGCCCACCTGAGCGAGGCCTACCGGGGATATTTCCAGAACGTGCCGCCTCTGGTCTGCTCCGGCATGGCTAGCACCGTCCGCGCCGAGATGGACGTGCTCGAGCGCGCGGCCAAGGACGCGGACGATGACAGCCTCGCCGCGCACCGCATCCACTCGACGAACCTCCCGTTCCTCGAGGCCGTCTGGGACACGGCGAAGCGGGCCAGGGACATTGTCAAGATGCGGCACGCCGTGTCGAGCAAGAAGCCCCGCAAGCATCTCCTCGCTCCCGGCACGCGCATCGTCCGGCTCGAGGGCGACTCGAGGGCGTCGCGCGACTGCAACATCATCATTGATCTCGTTGCTGATAGCGGCCACTCCTGGTACAAGGTCTCGTCAATGACCAATAAGCGGCTGCTATATGACATGGCCAAAGAGGCCGTCTACTGCGGCGACAGTAGTAGCGAGGATGAAGACGACCATGACAGTACTGCTGGCGGTGCCTTGCTTCATGAAAATGGCCCGGCCGGCAAGCCAGAAAACGGCATCATGCTCGACGGCATCCCCCTGGGCGAGATCGACATCCCTCTAGTCAAGCTGGCCAAGAATCTGGCCGACGCAGCACAAGGCTATCGGATCCGGTCCAGGAGTCCAGAGGTGTATCTCGTGCTGCCCAGGATGGTGCGAGGCGAACACCCTCAGATTGACAAGATCCTTGCCATATGCCACAGCGCTGGCGTCCGCGTACTCTGCAGTGGTGACCTGACAGCCCCGGATCCGCTCTCGCCGGCACTCCTCAGCCAGATGGCACCGAGCCCACGAGACCGCCTCGCGCACGTCTTCAACGTGGACACGTCGGTCCTCGTCGGCCTCGCGTCCGACTTCTCGCACACAAACGTCGTGCCCGACCCGTGGTTTCGCAAGTCCCACAGTGACCATGCCAAGCTCGAACAGGAGGAGAAGCTGCTGTCGCTCATTTTCCCGACCCTGGGCGACCGGCAGCTCGTCTGCACAAAGGAGGCCGCCGCGTCGTTCCGCACCATTGTCGACACCATCGCCAGGCCCTCGGAAAGGGCCAGAGCGGAGCTTCTCCTCTGGGGCGATGCCACAATGTCTCGCCAGCAGCGCCTGGCAGAGCTACAAAAGCTCTCGCTGTACCCAGTGCCACAGGATCTGCAGCTGCCCATACGCGTCGAGGGCGACGAGGAGAGTTGTCACGGCCGCCTCTCGCCCGCTGCCATGGCCGCCATGACGGACATTCCCAATCCGGGACGTGCCGTGTTCGCAGCCGGCTGGGCGAATGGCCACACCACCGTCACCTGCAACTCCGTCGCGGTGAAACAGCTCGAGAGGGACCTGGAGAATCTGCCCGCGCTGGAAGACCCGTGGCCGTCAATGTGGGCGTTCCCGACCTCCCGGCCACTGGTCGGCACGCCCAGACCTGACAATATCCAGCCAAGATCGAGGAAGACGAAACTCGCAAAGGAGACATGATACTTTGGTGGGTATTATATCTTCTGTGAAAATATGCCAAGGCCCTCGAGAAGACCTGGCATGGGCACTACCAGATACGTATTGATGCTGCTGGTCCAGTATTCCGGATGAAATATCGGTTTCTCGAACAGTCAAAGGGGCTGTAGATATAGAGACCGGAGCGTATTAATGTAGCCCGCCCGGAGCATCTCAAAGTCATAACTTGATCATTATGCCAGAAAAGGTAATCTGATACTCTAGAACGCTGGACGCCAGGACCTGATGGCCTGTCCAAAACTCGAAATACTACTTGACTCCGAGACCCCGATCTGAGGCAGCGATATCTGTCGTGAACGCATTGACTCCTACGCGTCGCTTATATTTCCCGCTCTACATCATCGCGTGGCCGTCGACTCCGAGGACCTTGCCGTTGATCCACCCGCCGTCCTGGGACGCCAGGAAGCAAACCACCCGGGCGACGTCGATGGGCAGACCGACACGTCTCAGGGGTGACCAGGTGGCGGCGTACTAGATCCGGCTGTTAGCGCGCTGATTCTGTGATTATATGATGCATCTCGCCATTGCAAAAGGGAAAAGAAAAGAAAAGTGGTATACCTCGTCAACCTCCTCGTTGTTCAACTCGGTGCCGCCGGGGATGTACTCGCGGCAAACGGCGTGGTACATGTCGGTCTTGATGCCACCTGGCGCGATGGCATTGACCGTGATCTTCTTGTCGCCAAAGTCGACGGCCATGCAGCGCACAAAGGTCTCGATGGCGCCCTTGCTGCCGCTGTACACGGCGTGCTTGGGCACGCCCTTTGCCTGGCCCGTGATGCTGCCCATGAGGATCAGGCGGCCGCCGACCTCGAGGTGCTTGTGGGCCTCGCGCGCGACGAAGAACTGGCCGCGCGTGTTGATGGTGAAGACGCGGTCAAACTCCTCGGGCGTGACGTCCTTGACGTGGCCGAACGAGACGACGCCGCTGTTGGAGCACACAATGTCGAGGCGGCCAAAGACCTTGACGGCCTCGGCGAACAGGGCGACGATCTGGTCCACGTCCGACACGTTGGCCTTGATGGCGGCGGCGTCGGAGCCCGACTTCTTGATCTGCTGGACGACCTCCTCGGCCGACTCGACGCTGTTGGCATAGTTGACAATCACCTTGGCGCCGCGGCGGCCGAGCTCGAGGGCCATCTCACGGCCAATTCCGCGGCCTAAGTTGTTCCGAAGAACAGAGCTTGGTCAGCCGTTGTTTTTATGGTCCGGCCTACGTATCTCTGGAGATATGGAATGAGAGAGAAACTTACCCGCACCGGTGACGAGCGCGACCTTGCCGGCGAGAGAGGCAGAAGCGAGGCCAAGAGGACCGGGGATGGCATCGTACTTGGAGTAATCTGTGGTGGTTCCGGGCATTTTGGCGGTCTTTCTGTAGATTGAACTAAAGGGATGTCTCGTAGTGTTCTCGGAATAGACAAGCCGGGTTGTCGAATGAAGAGTTTGGCTGAGTGATGGTTAGTGTTTGGTGGTGGTGGGAGTCGACAGATGCGTTGTGCTGGTGAATAGGATCGAGAAGAGCAAGCCAGCAAGACCCGGACAGGCAGATTATATATGCCAAACGAACTGACCGGGTGCTTGCCCGGGGTGCGCGTGTGAGTGAATGTGTGTCGGGTTGAGCAAACAGCCAGCGCCGACCACAGCTGCGTGTGGCGGCCCCCTGCCGGGACTCCCTTTCGACGCAACACACAATGCTTGCCCACCAGGGATCACACGCAGTTTGCCTTTGCCCTCAACTGATCGGGATCGTAGAGCATGCATGCATGCATGTATGCAGGTCCCGGCACCGCGGCGATAGATACGAGGCGAAGCCTGGGTCGGGGCTTGGAGGGATCGAGCACCATTGCTAGAGTCGGCCACTCTGGCGCGTTAGCGTGGTAATCTTTGGTGATGCAGGAACAAGGCCTTGCACACTCGGCGGTGGTCCATCAATACTTTTGCTTGGCGACAAGAGGCATTTCCTGATGAGGCATGCCTTAGAGGCCGCCCATGATCACTTTTTGGTCCTTGTGGCTTGCGGTTGGCGATGCGTGACCGGACTAGTGGTTGGCGAGAAGCCGGATGGGAGGCGAGGGCTGGCGGGTTTGTGTGGGAGCTGAGGTGGGGCGGCGCCTGCCGGGCCGGGATGAGCACAAGAAACCCTGGCAAGGTGTAACGGGACCGAGCCAAGACCATCAAGAAAGTGCTCACACACCGCAGGAGAGAGGCCGCTGTTGGTTCTTCTATCCCTTGGCTGTTCTGTCGAAGTGGCTTGGCATTGGTGGCAAGCCTGCGATTGTCTGCCGGGAAGTGGACGAATGTGGACTGCGGTTGCCGGAAGCTGCAGTCGCCCTTGCCCCTTCGAGACTTTTGGCAGTCCAGTCCAGTACACACCTGAAGGCACTAGCACTAAGAAGCTTACTTGGCCATCATCCATGGATGGATGGATGGATGCTCTGTCTTGTGAGAACACTGAGGAACCCTGGGGAGCATGCAGGGCTGCCCCGTGGTGGGGGGTGCCTTCCCCGGAGGTCAGAGTTGGGGTTGTCCGGCGCCACCCCTGCAATCCATGCCCGGCCCGGCGCGGGAGGGGCCTTGCACCGCCGGCCCCACTCCAAGGGTTGCCCTTCCGCTGACCTCAGCGCGGCACTGCGACCGACCCTGCAGATGGCCCTGTTGTTTTGCAGAATCTGGACAACAGGGACAGCTCATCTACGTCACCAGCAGGGCATGAACCGGGATCGTATTCTGCTGAGGGCGTAGAATTCCACCCGAGTTTGTTCTACTCTGTGCACTGCCATCCTCAATTCCTCCTGCGGGCATTTCGCCGCCCAAGCCGAAACCTTAAAAGAGAATGCTTCGAGAATGCAGATCACGCGGGAACGCTATTGTAGGCTGCAACAACACTAGCGAGAGCCTACACCTTAATTCCATGCCCTGCATTGTCCACGATGACGCAGTGCAAAAATGTGTTGAGGTCCAGGCGGTGAAGTGAATGAATTCCCATTGTGAGCGATGGTGAGAGGCAAGCGAACACCACTTGTATTGTTCCATCAGGCCGCATCGTCCTTGACAGGGCAGCTGCTGTGCATTCTTCAGTTGTCGTGCCACACTATACTTGGGGAGCAAACGTGTCTGTCCTGGACTGACTGTACTTGGTAACGAACGCATCTGCCGCAAAGGATGCTTCAGATGTTCCCGATTCGAGGTGGCACCGGCCAGATGCAATCCCAGAAGGGGATATCCTGGCTGCAAATGCGAGATCTCACGGATCAAATCATGCCTCCATCGAGACGCCGTTTGCGCCACAACGCGCCCAAATGTTTCGGAGGGCCTGGTGATGCACGATCCGCTATCCTTGCATGGTGCCCCCCGAAAAAGGACTCAGCTTTCCTGTTTCAGCAAGAAGGTGCACGAAACAGGCATACAGACATAAGGTACAGGCTCTTTAAGTAGATCCATAGCCCTGTGAGGCTCAAAACGAAGCTCGGCACCAACTCAAACACCAATCACAGTCCAAGGGCACGAAAGATGTGACAAACGCTAACATCTCACAGCCGGCCCGCAGCACATGCAGCGGCCCGGAACAGTCGCTTTTAGTTCTGAGGCATTGCAACCCTGATCACCGAGATCGTTGACCATTGCTTTTTTATCACTAATGGACTTTTTCTTGTACCAGATCATGCAGATCTCTTGCTAATTCGAGGTGGGAATGAGTAGCAAGTGCCTGGAAGTGGGTGTGGGATCAATTTCTCATCGCAGCGGTATGAGTCACCTTGCAACAAACACGGCTTGACCTGACTTGGGCGCAACAGGGACGGCGTCAAACAACACAGAGTGCTCAATGATAGGGCTGTTACGGAAGCATGCTCGTGAACAGAAACAGTCAGTGTCTGCCGCTAGCTTCCTGGGGGCACTCTTGATCCGGAGATGAGTATCGAGACGCATGGGATTTGGGGGGTGTTTGGCAAAGACTTTGGAGCCATGAACACTACACGTGGAGAAGGCTGTAAGCCACCGCTTTGAGATGTACTCGTCGCAAATCGGGGGCCCGGTAGTGTCCGCGAGTGACCGCCACCCCCATGTGGGTGTTCCAGCCCTCCGGGAGTTCACACGAGAATTCCACGGAACATCACAGAGTCCGTGAAACATGAAACACGGATTCGAGTGCCATTGAGCGTCTTGAAACATCCCGTCAAACATGAAACATCAATTGTTGACGATATCGCTGCGAGACCAGGCCCACTCGAGGCAGCCGCGCAGTCGCTCGTCGACATGGCAGAGCCAGGCACCCTGGCTTCGCGCTGCTGCCGCTCAAGAATGTACCCTCAAACTGACCATACACAAAGTGCCAAATGACGAGACCACTTCGACCTATCCGCTGACTCTCCGGCTCATGTGGCTCCACAGTCACCTCTCTGCCTGCATGACGTCACATGAGGCCAGTCACGATGTTTGACAGTGTCATTGTGCCCTGCTGCCATGCTGCCATGCTGCTGTTCAGGCACCGACCCGGGCTCGCTCGTCCTGCTGAAGCTAAGCCGTTCCGACTCACCAGCTTAGAAGCCCTTGAACACTCTCTGCGGACGATGTTCTCCCTGCCGGTCGACATCCTCAGACGAGGACGGGCAATTATTATCCCTATATTGGCAATAGCAATGTCGTGGGCGCGCAGTATGGCCCCAAACTGCTTGCCCACGTGATCCTCTGAATGCCGATTGCGCAACTCGGCCGCCTGATTCGTCAATGGATCATGAACAATGGCAGCATCGTGACCTGCCTCCCTCCAGGCAGGCTCCGCATTCGGAGCCGCAGCTCGCAGCCTCGCCGGCTGCCTGCCCAGCATATATAGAACCGTCCACCGTGGCCGGCACCGGGAGCGGAGGCGGTTGCGAACGATTATCGTGGCATCCTCTCACTCCTCGTCGTGTACTCCACTGGGATTGACGTCCAGCATTGATGCGTTTCAAGAGCGATTCCCACAAGCCGTCTCGCATTAGCCATACAAGCCGGTATTTGATAAATAAATATTCTGGTTTCGCCTTCATCATCTGTCGTCGTGATATCATGAAGCTCAGCTTCCTCCGATCACAAGCACGAAACACCAACTTGTACAGACACGCTGCGAAAGTCCACCATTACCAATCCTGAATCGTGAGCCAGACAACGTCCTCCATCTCCAAGCACACCTCGACATCCGGGAAGCAAGCAGCACTCCCAAGCTCAGGCGCAGGCTCACAACATCGAGACTCGTATCGACCACCATGAACGCACCATCCGGCCAAGCAGCAGGAGGCACGAACTGCGACAACTGGTTCCTCGGAGTGCCCTGCATCTGCTCGGACTGCCAGAGGCAGATGGACCACGCCTTGAGCGGCGCCTGCACATCTGACATGGAGTTTGGCACCGCTCAGGCCATGGACATCGATCCGCAGCTCCTTGGTCTCAACGGGCGGGCGTCGCAGGCACAGCAAAACTGCAATAACCCTTTGATGTTCTCGCCAGTAGTACAGACCATGCATGGTCTGCCCCAGGGATCTCCTCCGCAAGGCGTGCCAGTACTCGGCAGCCCCATCCAACTCACCCTGACGCAGCCTGGAGTCTTTTCTGCAGAGGGCATCGCTGGCTCAAACGAGTTTGGGATGCTGCCTATGCCGTCGACCTTTAGCCCTTTCAACAACAAGAACACGCAACTTGCCACAAGCAGCAGCTCACGCCAACGACCGATGACCAGAGCGCGCGCCGCGTCCATTCAGACCGCCGCCTTGAGCGACATGTCCGACACCTTCTCCCACACCTGGCAAAGCACGCCTGGCACAGACCTGCAGGCCGCATCTACAACCTCCTCTGCCGCGGCCACGCCCTTCAACGGCCTCTACAACCACCAGTACGGCAGTCCCGACAGCAGCGCCCCCATCACATCAAACCAGCAGGGCTCCTCCACCACTCACCCGCCAAACACGGGCGCATCAAACAGCATGATGTCTCCTCCCAACGACAGCACCAGCAACACCCCAAGCCTCGCCACGGCCCAAAAGCCCAAGCCGATCCCCATCACCAACGACATGTCGGACGCGGAGAAGGCGCGCCTCTGCGAGCTCAACGACCAGATCTTTGCCGAGCGCCTGCGCATCCAGCGCGCCAAGAACAACTGCGCCGCGAAAAAATCCCGCCAGCGCAGGCTCGACCTCATCGCCAGCCTGCAGGAGCAGGTCGCGCTCAAGCAGACCCAGGTCGAGGGCCTCGCGGCCGAGCTCGCGGCGGCGAGGGCCCAGCTCGGCGACGTCCAGGCGCAGCTCAACAGCCTGCAGGCGCACAACGCCGAGCTGCTGCGGGACAAGGTCGCGAGCCAGCAGGACGTGCTGAGCAGTCGGGCGCTCGGGGAGGAGAACGCGCGGCTGCGAGGGGATGTGGTGAGAATGCAGGAGCTGGTGAAAAGTCTCTGCCAGGGGAGTGTCGCTGGTGGTGGTGGCGGTGGCGATGGAGGTGAAGCCAAGGTGCTCGCTGGCTCGCCTTTTTCAATGGTGGAGGACAAGTATACGTCGTAATGGTGGGCTCTGTTGTGCCATGAGGAGACAGACACTCTTGGGCTGGTGATATCGATGGATTGTTCGTGAGGATTATCAGTGAGTCCATGGATTCACCAGCGATCCAGGATCAGATTCACTAACACAATCGTCAGGTCAATCCACGTGGGCATGCTGGCAAGACATGATAACTGCATCTCTAGTCTCAGCACTACGCAGTTGGCGCCGTCGTCACATGGGTTCTCATACCACGAACGAAACTTCGAGGCACTGCTGGCACAAGAGTAGCAGTAGTCATAAAACACCTCACCACAACAAGCAAGGGCATCCCCTGCTTGCCACTGTGGTCCGAAAGAATTCCCTGGATCAACGAGCGCGGCACCATCGTCCTCCATCCATCAAATGCGAACCCCTACACGGAGATGTTGCCAGCCACGCCTTACGCCGGCCAAGTGACTATCTGCATCCATGCGCATCAGTCACTTCACATACTACCAGATCTCTTACATCTCGACTTGTACATTCAGTGTAACACTACTCGGCATTGGAGTCAGTCCCTCCTCGTCTTATGCATTCTTTCAAATTTCTTCTTTATCGGCAAGCTTACCTACTCTTAATGAGCGTCTCCGATGCCGACATGTCTTTATACCAGAGAGGCAGTTGAGATCTGATTGTGCTCATGCAAAAGTTGACGTTGCCTTGAACGACAGGCGTTGCGGTTTCTGCTCGCAACCATCGCTTTCCTCACGACAACTGCGTGTCTGCTTTCGAGCACGTCTTCGTCTTTTCTCGTCTGGACCTGGTCCAAATCGGCATTTGAGTGGCCAGCATTACACCGTTTTCATCTCCGCGAACAATTCGTCCTCTGATCACCCGCAGGGTGAATGAGTCTTGTCCATCCCGTGAGGGCACTTGGCCATGGGCCAAGAAGACACACGACCACAAAAGTTCTGTGCGGTGCGTCAGTCTTCACAAGGATGGCGTACTCCACGCCATGCTCGACAGTCGTGTGGCAACAAAGGGGTTGAAATACCACTGTCTCAGCGGATCTCGAGCTGACTCTCCAGTGGCGGCATTCTTCTCCTCAAGCCTGTCTGCTGTCCAGCTCATGTCTACGCGACTACACAGCTGGCCAGTGGAAGCAAGACACCATCGCCGTGGGACGCGAAATTGCAGCACGACGTCCAGCACAAACAACCCGGCGAGAACAAGCTCTCAGTGGCGCCATTCCAAACTCCTGGTCGGTGTGCCCAGGACCACGATGTAGACGACGAGACAGAGTAACCCATCTTTTCACTTCCTGCCCGGTCATCTCTGCCGAATCTAGAGGAAGAGACTCAAGGTTTCCAGACATGGCCTTTTAGGGCAAGGCCGGGGGACTGTGCGTCTCGTCCAACCGGCAGGGTCTATACAATAGCTCTGCCTAATGGGTCCTCGCACCTCCTGTATCTTCTCCTTCTTCTCTGACGACGACGACGGCAACGACGACGATGCTCTCAATCTTCTTCCATACTTGTACATGTTACCTCCCTCACCAAGCGAGGCGCTGCTTTCATTTACCGCAACATCACACTGTTTCCATGTCATCTGGCCCCAAACGATTCTTTGTTCTGTTCCACGAAGCCTCACATCGTTTTCATGTTATTGTTTCTCGGTTCTTTGTACCCTCGGTTGGCGGACTCTTCCGAACATACAGCACTCGGCCCACCGCCATTTTCACCCAAAAAGCCCGGCTCTGTTTTACCTGTACCAGTCCAGTTTTCCTTTCGCTTGATACCCCTCTCTACTCCGCGTAGTGTTCTATGCTTTTCTTTTTTCTTCTTCTTTTCTCCATTTCGGAGAAGGTGCGCATACGTATGCGCGCGTGGAGATCTGGCTTTTCCCCGCTCTTCGCCGCCAATGGGCCGGTCGTGGTGGTTAGTGAAATTTGCCTTTTCTTTCCCGTCGGCGTCTTCGTCGTTGATCTTTTCCCCCATTCGCGGGTAAATCAGCCCCCCCCCCTTGTTGCGATGGATTTGGCTGTAAATGCACAAGAAAAGGCACCCAAAAGAAATTCAAATGAATTTATTACTCCCACAGTATGTTATGACCTTGCAACGTTCAAGCCGCCGAGGGGCGACAACACTCGATTGAACCATCCGTGATCCGAGAACGCTTTGGTCCGGCCCAGGTTGCTCACGACATGTGTGTGTCTTCTCGCAGTCGTTATGCCCTTGTTCATTATGTACACGGTCGCCTGGCCACACTCCTCGTAGGTTCGGTGCTTGTTTCAGTCACTAGGAAGAAGTGTCAAAGCAATGCTGCGCACGTTGCCCATGTCACCGTGAATTTCATGACCCGACAGGACCGTCCATGAAACGCGCAATGTGGTATTTGTTCGCAACCTGTAAACACGCTACAAAAAGCAGACCCATCTCATTACATTCCTTCATGATCCCTCGTGCCCAGCCCCGCAGGTGCCCCGAGCATGATTGTAAGACATGCTTCCGCCGCCAAACTCTCAAGGTGGGACATGTCGTCCTCTGACCGCGGCACACCGTTCTTCCTCACACAGATTGCTGCCACTCACCAGCCTGAGGCGACTTATGCGGTGGGCTGCTGCTGGTAGCCAGGCTGCGGGGCGTACTGTGGCTGCTGGGCGTACTGAGGTTGCTGCGCATACTGGGGGTGATCGTTGTAGGGCTGCTGAGCCTGTACTGGAGCAGGACCTGCGGCACCCTCCTTGTTTCCAAGCTCCACGTTGCTCGTCGTGGTGGCTGCCGAGCCGTCGTCACGGACGCAGCCGAGGGTGAAGAAGACAAAGTCGACAATGACGAGGATCCAGGTCAACGCGCCGAGACCGGCAATGCCGCCCATCACGCCGCTGATGGTTCTGTTCCAATAGTAGCCGCTGTAGACAGAGGCCCAAGAGGCTGCCCAGGCCCAGCCGGAGAGCCAGAAGATGATGAGCAGGATCTGGGCGACAAAGAAGCCAATTCGGAAGTAGACGTGGTTGGCGGCGAGGGAGAGACCGATGGAAAGGCCATACACAATCCATGACAGGATGGCCTGTGTCAAGGGAGGATAAGCTGTTAGATTACGGTTGCCACACATGACTGCCAAGAAATGGCGACATACCAGGAAGATTGTGAAGCCCGGCGCACCGCCATAGGCAAATTGCGACAATGCGTAGGCGGACAGAGCCAGAATGATGAGGGACAGCAGGATGATGGCGCCCTTGACATACAGCAGCCAGGCAGGCTCGTGGGGAGCACCGACAGCAATAAGACCTTTGGCACCCATTTTGATGTGTAGTGGAAGTGCGAGTCTGGATTACTCAGGTGAAGAATATGCTCCGCGTATTTGGAGGGAGTCCGGTGATGTCAGTTTGTGGAGAATGGTCTTGGACGGTTCCAATTCACTGAAGGGTATGATGAGATGGGCACGGCTGAGCTTTAATATTTCTCAGAAACCAGAACTAGCAAGCCACTTACAGGGGACATCAGGCATACTCGCCGCAGTTGGGGTCTCACAAGGCACACTCGATTCCCTGACACCGCTCCAATGACACCATCTACCTCGTGTACCAGACAATCTGGCACAGACAGATCATGCCTGCTTAAGGCTGAGGCATGTCAAGAACTTCTGGGCAAGCGCGGGCAGCAGTAGTGCAGCCCGAATCGCAGGCTGGTAGACTGTGATTCGCCAGTGTCTCTACCGAGACCCACGGGCTGAAAGAGGGGAACAGGGGTGGCATGCTCGAGCTATCACCATTGGCCGATGCTGCAAGCGAGCCGCAGCCCGTAGATTGTTTTCGGCCAAAGGTGGAGACGGCAGCTTCAGCTCTTGACCCTCCCTGGTCAATTCCGAGCTCTGTGATCAGTTGACTCAGAGGGCGGTCGAGCTTGTCTTGGTCAGGCCGCCTGCAGGAGAGTTGAGTTTAGGCACGGAGCTCTCCGGGGTGCTTGGCATCGCCTTGCTGCAAACTCGTGGCGGATGTGGCTGCACTGCCTCGATGTTTAATTGTATGGCAGCGGCCACTTGTTTATGATTCTCGACGGGCGAGAAGGTTGCCGGGTCGCGAACAACTAACTCTATTTCAACCATGCCCCAGGTGATGCGACAGCCGAGAGGTTCTTGGGGAGGTCGCCGGCGCTCCGTATCACCCCAAAAGATGGGCTTATCCCTTGAAAGCGCACGGGTTTTGGGGCTCGGGCGGCGTACCCGGCCATGCTGGCTGCGTTTGTTTCTCTTGGACAGGCATATAAGGTTTGCCGCGTGTCCCGACAGGCCTGTCAACGAGGTCCCTGGTTCGTTCGGCCTAAGCCACCACCGTTTGTGTCATGTCTTGGCACAGGGAGGGGGAAGTGCTTGCAGGCTGTGGATGTGCCGTCGACGGAGGGGCAAAGGCCGCAGACGTGGTGGGCAGCTCTATGGTCTCGTGGGTCCAGTCTTGATCGTGGTTGGGGGCTGGGAAGTAGCAATGTGAGTTAGCAAGGTGACAGTCATGCAGCGTTTTATCACCATGACAAGGTGGCTCCAGTATTACCCTTCAGCCGCACAGGCAGGGATAAGGCGATGGTGGCTTCGGGCTGCCGTAGAGCTATGGCTTACCTGACACCCATGCCTGAAGCGGGCCATCTGCAGAGACTGCCGGATCGAAGACGATGAGGCAGGATGGGACGCTCGCTTTGACGAGCTTCAAGATATTCTCTTGATGCTGCCCATTCGATGTTGTGGTTGTCAGGTAGGCATAAATGGGTGTTTGTCAGGTCTTGCCTGCTTAGTGCAAGTCCCCAGGACAGCTGCTCCTCCTGCCTTCCTGCAAGTGCCAATGGCTCCTTCCAGCTGCATGGGAGCCCGACATCACAGAACAACACTTGGTGGGGCGCCCGTCATGCTACTTATGGCACGACCGACCTGGTTGATGATCCACGCGAGAAAGACAGCTTCGGAAGACTATGCCATTTCGCAATTTTTCTCTATCCCCTCGACATTGCATCCCGGCCACCCTCCCTACACGGTCTCTCATCTCCGCTCAACACTAGTGCGAAGCACCTTCGGCTCGACAGCCTCGCCGCCCGCTCATGGCAGCCGTCTCATGAGGACTTGCAGGGTACGAAAGCATGGGTCAGGGCAGTAAGATGACTGGAGCGGCGAGCTACGCGCTCGCCCATGGTTTGACAGTGGACCACCTGGAACTGCCAGCACCATTCCTTGGCGGGCATTTCGCGAATCTCGACGACATGATCTCCCGCACCGACAGCCCTCATGTGCCTCTTGACGACTCGACTCTACCCCAGCTCGATCTCTCGGCATGGCCTTTCGTCCAACCCTGCCTCGAGCGGCTGCACACGTCAAGAGCCGCAGTCGATCTCATGAACCAGGCGTTGACCTTGGACAGAGAGGCTTGTCCCGTGGTTCCTGTCAAGAGCTGCAGGTCCGCGTTGAAGTTGTCAGCTTTGAAGATTGAGCTCCCACTGCTTGGTACTGACCATGATCATGATGTTAAAGAACTGCTAAGGTTGTGCCGCATCAAAAGGGCTCCACTATTGACAGGCGATACTCTACCATTGGAACGGCTCGACGTCGAGCAAGACGAGGCCATCGCATTTCCGGCGAGTGTCGCCACAACTCGTCAAGCCCTTACAAGTAACACTCTTTGGGACAAAATTGATGCCAGCCGAGAGGCAATGGAGTTCTTAGCTCAATCACTCGAATGTGTCTCCAGAGAAACTAGTGCATTAGATATAGGCGCGCAGCCCCGAAAGGCAAGACCAGTTGCAGCCGTCAATCTTTTCATCTCTACTGACGAACGTAACTAGTACATTGAGAGGCACTCCATGACCCCACCGCTCCTGAGTCCTGTCAGAAGCGCGGAACTCTTTATTCCTGATGCTGAGGTGTGCGAAGTACCATTGACGTCCGATCCTGCGACACTCATCGAAGATGACTTGCGGAACATTGAGAAACGCCTGTTCTACGAAGACAGCCCGCGCCAAAGTGATCATGCCCAAGTCGACATTCGACTGTTTGTATCCTCACCAGTAAACACAGAGCTCGGTACAAGCAAACACAGCAGGTCGTATGAACCGGTTCGGGTCGAAAGTCCTCTCCTTCTCCACGACAATTCTTCAAATACTGTAGAATATGGCAGGACTGTGCAAGACTACGCAAGCGAGATCGTCGGTCCACAAAAGCCAGGAAATGTCAGCAGCGAAGTTGATGATACATGCCTTCCCCATGAGATCTTCATGGAGGGGGCTCAGCAAATTGTCGATAAATTCCGTATAGGTTTGCAACAGGAACGCCTAGATGCAGGTGACGCAACGGCAAGAGTAGAAGTTCCCGTGGTGAACTTCAAGATTGAGTCGCCGACGTGGCAGTATTGTGCTCACGACAGTCGTATGCACTTTCGCCACGTCTTACGCGAATCTCAGTCCAGCTTGAAACCCCCAGGTCTCTCCCGACAGGTCTTGTCTGGCATGCCACTGAGATGGATCCCATTCTCCTTTGAGCTAGGGACAATTGTGATCAAGGAGTCGATTGATGAGCTCGCCGATGTTGAGGCGATGTTGGGCGACTGCCCCAAGGTGCGGATAGCTACAAGCGTCGACTTCAGCCCCTACGTGACAGGCTCTGTCAATCTCTTCAGACGCCATTTCGATGACGATGAAATAATATCACAGCAAGGCCAAATTACTGCTTCTCGGAGACGGAGCATCGAAGGTCCTGAACTTGATAGACTTCTCGAGGAGAAAACACGAAGTCTTCCGAACGGCGACAGCTATCGAAAGCCGCAATCGACCCACGACAAAATTGCCGACATAGGGCTTGGTGTGCAAGAATACATACCAGATCTTCGTCGTCCACACCATGTTGCAGAATCATCCAAAATGAATTTGTTGCCGGACAGCACCAGTGAAAGTGCGACCGGGATACTTCTCGACAACTTCATGAGCATGCACGCATACAAGAAGCGAAAGCTCACCTCGAGCACGTACTTTTCCAATGTTGCTCCACAGAGCCCAAGAATGGAGGTGGAAAACCAGAAATTGCAGCGTGCTGAGGTTTTAGAGAACGAAGTCGGTTTCGAGATGGTGACTCCGGCATCCGACTGCCCAGCTTACTTTCCACTTACTAGTAGCCCACATCCACCAGCAAGAATCATCAAGTCGCTTGCAGTAGATCGCATTGTATTCAACAAGCTAGAGGCTCAGCACCCAGCACTGTCAGTGATTGAACGGGACTTCTCAAGATGGAATTCCGTGAGCTGGAATAGAGGAGCCATCACAAGATCGCCAAAGGCGTCCAGACTTGCAACAGAGGCAGATTTCATCGTCTCACCACAGACAGGCATAATTGTGACAAGCTTGGTGAATGTCATGCAGAAACAATCAACAGTAGATTCAAACTTTGCGCACACGCATAGGACGGCCAATGGCGGGAACGGCAATTCACTTCGCGCTCGAGTCGCCAGTGTCGCACAGCGGTATGAGCGCCTGATTGTGCTAGTATCCGAGCGTAACATCTTTGACGAAACATCACGTAGGCTGAGCGTCACCGAGCTGCAAGATCTTGCCGAGTTCTCTGGTTTTGCCGCAGCGCTCAACAACCATGTCGACGTCATTTATACGGGAGGTGGTAGCGAAACACTGGCTAGGTGGATCATCGCTGTGATTACAAAATACGCATTGCCGTATGACCATGACATGCTAACGCAACATGAGTCGGCATGGGAGCTCTTTCTTCGGCGAGCGGGCATGAACACATACGCCGCTCAAATCGTTCCTGGGATGGTGAGCAATTCAGACCAAGCCGGGACAACGGCAATACACAGCAGGGCTCCGGTCAAAACAGGCCAAGATTGCAACATGCAGCCTCCAGGTTTGCTTGCCTTCATGAAAATGTCACCGGCGGAGCGAGTACAACGGTTTAGAGATTTTCTGGGTGGGGAACAGGTATTACATCATGTCAACAATGTTCTTGATACACAATGGGGCTGAGCTCGTCCACGAAGGCTCAGAAATCAGCGATGTCGTTCCATGAAGCCTCGAGACTTCCTCGACCAGGTAGAGACATTTAGGAATATCTCGCGGGGGAAGAGATACGGCAGTAGTTCGGAGATGTTCATTTAGGTGTCAAGGATTTAGCTAGACGCGGCACGATCATTGCTTTACCGTTTAGCACTTTACCGTTTAGCACTCTGCGCTGAGAAAGCTTGTCCTAGACACACGCCCGATCCTCGGTTCCACCATGATCCAAACTGAAACCGGCAATGCCCCAGAGCTTTAGGCTGCTCTCCTTGACTCTTCTACAGAGCCACTCCTCGTTCTCGGACTCGGAACTCGAAGAATTGCTCGAGGATGATGATCCAGAGCCCGACGTTGGCGAGACTGGAAACGGCCCAGTACTGCCATTAATATCCTCAAAACCCCAAGACCCAGACGCCGTAGCCACGACTGAGCCGCTCTGATGCAGACACGCACTTCCCACAGCCGCACCATGATGTGCCTGCCAGTCCCAAGCGGGTGCGTGCTCGCCCTCACGTGAGCCCACGGCCTCCCATACCTTGACCGCGCCGTGTGTCGTGCCAGACCAGACTTCGAAACCGCCCGCGCCATCCTGGCCTGGGTATACGTCACACGAGATCCGCTGGTTGCCCAGCGCGTCTCGGCCGGACAGCCAGCCAAGCAGCCTGCCCGTGACGCGGACGTCGTAGACCAGGATTCCGCGGGACCGGCGCTCGTTGACGAGAAGGTAGCGCCCGCAGGGGCTCCAGATGGTCTGGGTGATTCCTGCGCCGCCAACCCCGCCGCTGGACTTGTCGGTCGTCAGCCGCCCACCAGTGCTGGAGTGCGAGTCACTACTCGCGGAGGATGTCACGGCTGTCTGCATCTGCGTCAGCGCAGCGGCGGATGCCACGCCCCAGGTCGCCACGCAACGCCCTGAGCTGGCGAAATCGTACAGCCCGACCCAGCGCGTCCACGTACCCGCCGCGATGAGACCAGTGCCATCCTGCTGCGAATGACCCGGGGACGGCTGCGCGCTCAGGGTGGAGATGGTGCCTCGTAGAGTGCCGATGATGCTTCCAGCCCCGGCCGCTCCTGCTTGAGACGAATTGCGGTTGCCGGAAGGCACGGTCTTGATGTGCATTATCGCTTCTGATCCCGAGCGGCTCACGTCAAACTTTGCGAGCATGTTGCGCGTGCCGGCGATGAAGTGTTGTCCGGACCCAGGCCATATCAACGCTGTGGCAGTCTCGAATGTCTCGGACCGCGGCTTGATGAATGGGAGAGAAGAGGCTGCTGGGTAGGCATGAGATGTCGTCGTGGTCGTCGTGGTCGAGCCATCCGGCCCTGCCTTCGAGTGTCCACCATCTTCAACCTGTTCGTCCTCGTTGGACGATGCTGTTGACAGCTTCCTGCCTCCTCGCGGATCGTTAGACCGCACAACGTTGGGCTGGAGATAGTAGAGCTGGATTGGGTGGTCGCGGCTGGACACGAGAACCTGATGTGTGTACGGCTCGGCCAGATCAAAGTACGGCGCCGAGGCGAGCACGTTGGAGCGCTCGGGCAGCTGGATCCTGCACGACGGGCTGAGCTCCAGTGGCGAGACCTTGGGCGCGAGGAGGTCCTCTGGGACGATGTAGCCCGCGATCTGGTTGTCTGAGGAAGAGGTGAGGACTACCGTGCCATCAGCTGTCCACTGGGCGGTCTCGACGAAGGGGTCGACACCGCCACTACTGCCACGGTGTCGAGTGTGGCCTGGCCGGCCTCCCTGGGATGCGGTGTTCCGGCTGTGCCCGGCGAGGTTTGCTGTAGACGCGAGCAGTTCAAGACGAGGTCCTCCATTTGTGGCGTGAGCCGTCATGGTGCTGTCGTTGATGCTGCTCGGCGGGTCGTCGACTTGCTCAGCCAGCAGATTATGGGGCTGGAGAACCCATGCCGCAGCAGCAGTAGCAGCTGACTCCTAAGGGTGGGGAAGGCGATATTCTGATGTCCATGAACAGTCTATCGACAGGACTACTTGCGGCGGTGCTCACTGTGCCATCTGGAGAGCGGTCATTGCGTGCGATCCCACGCGGCACACGATTTCGGACATGCATGCTATTTGTGGTGGTGTCGACTTCGCGGTGTCTCAGCTCAGGCACGCCGATATCAGGAGCCGCCCTGGGTGATTCTGGGGCCCCTGACTGTTGTTGCGTCATGGGTGTGCCCTTAGGGCTGTGGGCTCCCTGAATTGGGGAAGCTTTGGCCCCCAACGACATCGTCACATGGAGTCGCACGGTTGGAGCTGTTGGAGCTAGGCTACCCGCTCATCGCTCCGGATCGAGCCTGTGCCTGGGGCGGCTGGTCAACGACTCCTCACAACAAACCTCGCCTCACTCACTCCTCCTCCCCGCAGGCTCTCGTGTGCAACCGCTCGGTTCCCAGCCTGACAAGGGTTCCCTTCTTATCATTGTTGTCCGTCTCAGCTCTCGGCAGCGATATCCTCTTCGTGGCCTGGGACAGCGCTGTGGTCCCAAGCCCCCGAAACCTCTCTACCCTACGACCGACTCGAAGCCGGCTTTGCCGACGCGCTCCTCCAGCCAACGCCATCCACCACGTCGGCCCCCTCTGAGCGACCTCATCGCCTGGCGTGCACGATACCGCAGTGCTTCGAAGTGGTCGACGCCCTCGTTGACAGTGTTGTCCCTCGCCAACACAAGTAGCATACCATTGAGCAGTCATCGACGGCCAAGATGGACGCGCTGTTCCTCAAAGACCGCTGCGATGCCCTCCGTGAAGGGGGCTTCACAAACTTCTTTGTCTCCATGTGAGTGGCCCTGATAGATCAGCCACGACCTGGGAAGGATGCTAACAGCACTGTCATCTGTCTGCACAGCCTCATCATCCTCGGCATCCTCATGTCCTACCTGCTCCAACATGTGCGGATCATCTCGCGAGGCACCTCGGAGGGGATTTCTCCATACTTTGTCCTGCTCGGGGTCACGTCCGCCAACGCGCAGTTTGGCAACATCCTTACGCTCCCCGAGTCGCGCGCCGACGTCATGTGCTGCAAGGAAGTCAGTCCTTTCGAGTGCACCGCGGGTGTGCTCGGCATCGTGCAAATCGGCACGCAGTGGATTTGCTTTGCTGTCATGTACGTGCATCACCTGCCTCGTTTGATCTCGCTTGCCATCTCGATCTAGACCTGGCTGACCCCCCCTCCTCTCAGACTATTGCTTTTCCTTGTCTTCTTCCGCCGAGACGACGCCGACGTGGACGAGGAGGAACTCGAGCAGGACCCAGACAAGCCTACCTGGCGGACCGCCCTGATAGTGGCAGTGGTGTGCATCGTGCATGGTTTTGCCGTCGTCATTGTGTCTGCTTCGCTGTCTCTGGGGGCTCCGCAATACCTGCTACCCTGGGCCAACTTCCTCGGTATCTCTGCTGCCGTGCTCGCGGCGGTCCAGTACTTTCCGCAAATCTGGACCACCTACAAGCTCAAGCACGCCGGAAGCCTGAGCATACTCATGATGTGCATCCAAACCCCCGGAGGATTCCTCTTTGCCGCTAGCCTGGCTGCACGGCTCGGCTGGGGCGGCTGGAGCTCGTGGGGTGTGTACGTCCTGACCGCCTTCATGCAGGGCATCCTACTGGTCATGGCCATCCGTTACGAGTGGCAGGCAGTTGAAAGGAGCAAGCAACAGACCGCTGCCGAGCGTCCGTCCTACAACCGGCGGACCACCCCGAGGGTGCTTCCCTCCCCCGGACCGTATTCGGCTCATCTCCAAGCCTACGGTGACACACAAGAGGAAATTGAGCGGGCGCTTGACCGCGAGAGTGTACAGGGCATGGGCGAGGACCAGCCTCTTCTTGCGCCTGGGGGCATCGGAAGCTCCGGGACACGATGATCGGGACCCCAAACATCAAAAACGTTTGTGAAGGGTTGTTCTATTTTGTAACGATTCGAATTGCCCCGTTGTTTTATTGGACCAAATTGTCTTGGGGGGTTGCTATTGTATATATTCTTCTTATTCTACTCGAGTGGGCTTGTCCACAATAACATGCCATGCCTGTGGCCTGAATCACGCTATCGGCTGACTCTGCAAAACGCACGAGAGCTCATGATGCGACTCTGGGCATAGAGAGCGTGACTTGCTGTATGTCAAAAGTTGAACAGACCAATCCCTCGTCCGACCTAACGGGACCGTTCGGCATCACTGTGCTTTTCGTCAAGTGGAAGCTTCACTCAGCTAGAGGGGCACACTGTAGGCACCAGGCAGAAGCTCGCGAAAGTGAGGGTGAGCTCCAGTGCCCCTGGGGGGCGCTGGCCCCGTGGACATCTCTGCCGTGTGATTGGCCGATAAGCAGATCCAGGCCCCGGGGACCGCTTGATGGGGTGCAACGCTAGCGCGAGGGCGACGCGACTTCAATGTGTCATTGAAAGGTTGACTCAGAAGTACAGGGTTGGCTGTGTATCTTCGTGGTCATGCTTGCCCCAGAGGTGAAAGAACAGCACAGGATCATGGGCAAAGAACAAGCAGCTGGGTCGAAGCGGATGTCAATTTCTGTGAGGTTGATGGCACTGGCCAAACCATCAAAGGCGTATCCAACGACTCATGGCAACCGATGAGCTTCTGGACTTTCAGACCAAGTATCGCCACAGCAAAATGATCAGGAGGGATGCGCCACTAGCACCCGCAGACCCGCGAGGGCGCCCCCCTCCTTCGGATGACATGGTCCTGAATCAAGCCAGAATTACTCATTCCCCATGCTCAAGATAACTTCTCGACCTCCTCGCCTCCCTGTTTACCATTATCCCTCCTTTTCCTCAGATGCGCTCGGAGGGGCAATAACGCAGCGTCTGGTCCCTTTGGCAACCAGCTTCGGTAGAGATCTGCTCGCTCCTGCCGCTTCCTGCGTCCGGCTTATCCGCTTCTGCAACCATGGCGGTTTACAACGCAGTCCCCCCACCTCCCGGTCTCGGCGGTGCTCCTATTCGGGGCACCACGCCAGACACGACTGCTCATGCCAGCCACCCGGTCTCGACGACGACAACAACGGCTGCTGCTTCTACGCAGCGAGGCCCGTCGCCATTCACCCGGTCGACATCCGTAACGCCTCAGACCACCACCCAGGCGGCGAGTAGTACCATCGATATCGAGGCGTGGGCCGTGTCCGCGATCGAGTCCCTGAGTGTCTCCCCAGCGGTGGCGCCAAGACAGCAGCAGCATCAGCAGCAGCCTCTCTCGATCCCACTTGATCAGGAACTCGTCAAGACGAGAAAGGTCTCGATAGACCCTCGTGCGCGGACCAATGCTGTGACTCCGCCGCCGCGCCCGCCGTCGGCTCGCGACAGCCAGAAGCGGCGGGAGGCCCTGCTCAAGGGCAAAGAGGGTAGTCGCCAGCGCAGGAGATGGGAGAATGGTGCGTATATGTTCCGCAGCCTTTGACATAAAACATCACGCGCCCGTGAGAAGGCGGGCAGATATGGCTGACTAGGTTTTGCCATATAGACCGCCTTCTCCATGTCCCTAACGTCCAACCGCCCGAGCCGATTGACTGGGAGCACCGCCCCACGCATCCGGTCGTTCATGTTCCTTACCAGCTCGCCTCAGCATGGGACTTGCACGTGCGCGCACGGGTCGAGACCAAGACCGCGGCTGCCGCGCGGCGCAAGCAGACCCAAACCCGGACGCTCGGTGATGAGCACGTCACCGGGCGCGTGCCGAGAGAGCTCTTCGTCCGTGCCAAGAAGGTGCCTGCTGTCAAGACGTGGGTGAGGTCTCTTGAAGAACCGGTCCGAAAGTTCCTCGTGGAGCGAGAAGCCGCCAAACCCGCTGCAGAACTCGAGTCGGACAGCAGTAGTACGGAGGATGAAGAGATAGTCTTTGTCGGGCGCAATGGCACCATGCGCGATGGTTGGAAGAAGGCCAAGCGGGAGCCCAAGGGCGCCGACGCGGCACCTCAAGAAGGCATGGTGTTTGACGCACTTGGCGACGACGATGAGAGTAGCGCATTTAAGTAAGTCGTGGTACACCTCGTAGGTCGTGATTCTGCATTACTGACCGTTTTGCTACAGACGATGGATTACTCACTCGATATCGGACTACTATGGCCTGAAGTCGCAGTCCGTGTTGATGGGCAACCCAAGACGCAAGGTTGTCTATGTGAGTCTCCACCCGCCGTCCGCGCGGCAGCATCCACAGTCTGTGCATGCCATCTCAGAGTTACCACGGCCACTGTGGGAGCTCTGCTGAGTATCAAAATACCGGTCGAGTTGAGGAGTTCACCACGCGATTTGTCAACTTCCAAAAGAAGCTGGGATCCATAAGTGCATCCGTGAGGGCCTGACAACATTCATCTGGCATCTGGTACGGGACAGCGCCACGCAAGATACACGCATACTAGAACAGACAACATGCATGCAGAGATTGGCTTTTTCAAGCCAGGGGGCATCCCCAGACCTCTAAGTTGAACTAATGCGGCTCGCGGGAGCTCTATGCTGCAATGGGGAACAGCTGCATATGCTGGCGTATTATGTGGCACCCGCCAACCCATAGCCATCCCGGGCCTGTGTGATCCGACTTACCGGCTCGTCGTCTCCTGGGGGGCCGCAGAGCCAATATCAATGTGTGAGAGGGGCCGTGCCGTGGGGGTGTGTGCTTGTGCTCAAAGGGCCCAATGTCGTGCCTGGTGAACCTTGAAGGACTGTATCTGACAGCACGATGTGTTGCAAGGATACTTGGACAAGCGGGCGTGAGGCATAAAATCTGCACACGGAGGATGCTGCTCTCGTCTTGATAGAGGACTACAAGGCCCGGCTCTTCTACTTGACTCCCTGCGCATAGGTCAACTGACACTTTCATGTTTGCCGCCTCGCTGGGGGGGCGGTGTGCCCTTGACGCAGAGAACCCGTCCTGATGCTAGCAAGTTCCCCGCACAAGGGTTTGATTGCTTGCAAGATTCCCCGCGACTGGGGCTCAACTTCGGCACATTGCGAGAGCCGTGGTGATACGAGGAGGGCTACACATACCCACGCTCATGCACGCCATCTCGGCGGCTGTGCTATCGGGGATGTCGATTGGCCCGACAAGTGAGGAGATTGGCCCTCACCGTCCATCATGGATGGCAACGGATGTGCTCCGGTGCTGCAGGCTGGGGTACCCGTCTCCTCACCGGCCAGGGCGAACCCAGAGAACCCCACATCGGACAAGTTGCGTTGAAAGAGCGAGTGGGGATGGCGAGGTGAGGCGCATAGGTCGTCTGGTCTGAAGGCCCCGGTTTCGCGCCGCTTCGTCGCACGCGACGTCGTTCCGAGCCGGGCATTTGCCGCCGCGCCGCTTATATGAACAGAGATCGGCATCGTGGGCCTGTCCACTCGTCTAGTTCTTGCTAGGTTCTTTCCGTGCCTGATTTGCCCTCGAGTGGCAGCCGTGACTTGTTGAACTTCGTCTACCTCGGACGTTGTTGCGGATTCTCGACTCAGTCCTGTTTGGCTTCATCGCGTCGACTTCAGCCTACACGATAGCACCGTGGTTCTGCGTCGTTGTGCAATCTTGACCTCTGACCAGCTGGCGAGTGACCGCTGGTTGGCATTCGGTTTGGTGGCTCAAGATCCGTGGGCGCGTACACGGCATAACAACTACACGTTTGGCAGTTAGAAAGGCGAGGCTAGGAGCGATAGCTTCTGCAACGAGCCGGATGGCGACGAACGGGGCGTCACGGCCTGAAAAGGACCCGAATGCTTTTCCTTACAAGCAGTTGACAATCCTCGGTGAGACATCTCTTGCTGCCCTAATCGCTGAACAGCCTTTTGAGGAAGCGCTACCCCGTCATCTTCCGCTCCTTCCTTGGCGCATCCCCATGACAATGACCTTGTGATTATGCCTTCTGTATTCTAGTTGAGCTAACACAAGTCCGCACCACGTCAGCGATTTGCCGGTTCAGCGAGCCCATCGCCTTCAACTCGATCCTCGCCTACACGTATGTGCTGGTGCGCGACCTGCGCGGCACTGACGAGGATGCCTCCTTCTACGCCGGCCTCCTGGTCAGCGCGTATGCCGTCGCCGAGGCCATCACCGCCATGGGCTGGGGCGCGCTTTCGGATCGATACGGCAGGAAGCCCATCGTGCTCATTGGCCTTGGCGGCGTCGCTCTCAGCTCGCTCATATTCGGGCTTGCCAAATCGTACTGGGTCGCGTTGCTCGCGCGGTTCATCGGCGGTGCACTGAACGGGAATGTTTCTGTGAGTTCGCCTTGTAGACGAAACGATCTGGCCCGGATGAGGGCCGACTCTAGCCTGTTTGCGTGCTGACGGAAATCTGTCTAAACAGGTCATGCAGACGATGGTCGCAGAAATGGTCAAGTTGCCTGAACATGAGCGTGCGTCTGACTCCCACGTCCTCGTTTACATCAGGCATTGAACTGAGTACTGACAAAATTCCAACGAGGCTACAGCAAAGGCATATGCCACCCAGCCATTCGTCTGGGTCCTTGGGGGCATCATCGGATCCGCCATGGGAGGCTTTCTTGCCCAGCCGGCGCATTTCTACCCCGACATCTTTCCTGAGGACGGCCTCTTTGGACAGTACCCGTACCTCCTGCCCAACCTTGTCGCAATGATCGCCGTCATTCTGGCTATCATCCAGGGCATCTTTTTTCTCGAGGAGACGAACCCTCGTGCTTCGAGACAAGCCAGTGGTGCGGGCATGAAAGACACCCGCCGTGGCTATGATGACGAGCACGCCATTAGCGACGAAGACGAGCGCGAAGACGAGGTCGGCGCCATCGAGACCACTGCTCTCCTCGACGAGAGAACACCTCTGCACGGGCGAGCGAAGCGGCACTCGAGCAAAACTCGCACCAGCCACAGCCGTGGCGGTGGTCGCAGGCTTTCAGAAGGCAGGATCACGGGCCCCGTGTTTATGGAGGAGAGCCTGCCGCTACCCATAGAGCACACCTTTGACATCCGCAGGTCGTCTATGAGCACTCTAGCCTCGTTCAAACAACGCTCCAGCTCGCTCCAACCACCAAACGGCCTCGTGCGGCATCCGATGGGGACAAACGGCGCGGGCAGAACAGACGGCCAAGACGACGAAGACGATACGGCGCCTTACACGGGGCGCGTGTTCGGCTTCAAGATCCTCATGCTCATCCTGGCCATGGTCCTCGTGTCATACCACCAGATGGCCTTCAGCGCGCTTTTCCCAATCCACCTCCTCGACGAGCCTGCCGTGCCCTCGCACACGGGACGCATCGACTTCCGCGGCGGCCTGGGCTACACGGTGCACGACGTGGGCTCGTACCTTGCGAGCAACGGCGTGATGGGCCTGTTTATCCAGGCCGTCATCTTTCCCGTCTTCGTGGCCAAGGTCGGCGTCCGGCGCTCCTTTGTCGTCATGGTCATCCTGTACCCGACCGCGTACATGCTCATGCCCTTCATCTCGGCCATGCCCACGGTCGAGCTGGCGAGTCTGGGCCTCACGCTCAGCCTGCTCATGCAGAGCTTCTACGGCATCATCTCGATGCCCTGTGCGCTCATCCTGCTCAAGGACGCGACCCCGCACTCGACCGTACTCGGCCGGGTCAACGGCCTCGCAATGTCCGGGTGCTGTCTTGCCCGCACCATTGGTCCCCCGCTCGCCGGCATCATCTTCAGCGCGGGCGGGAGCGCCGCGGCGTGGTTCAGCTGTGCGGGAGTTGCGCTGCTTGGTGTCGTGCAGCTACTTTTCATCCCGAACACGGTTGGGCCTGAAGAGGATGTGATCCATGGGGGCAGCGGCGATGTGGAGCGGGGGGCTGTTGGTGGTGGCGAGAGGTTGCATGTTGAAGCATAGAGGCTAAGGGGCGTGGCAAAGCATGAGTGGACGTGACGAGTCCCGGGGATATATATTGCATCAGGAAGAAACGGGGATCGTAAGTTCTGAGGAGGAATGTATATAGAGGCGAACCTCCTTGCTATCCATCCCAACATCACGAAGCATATTTCTCATTAGACCTGGGCTTGAGCATGTGCGCGCATTCAGCCTTCTGCCACGAGCACGGAGCAAGATTCGTGAATAGCTGCTGGACTGGCAAGCGATCCTGCAATACACGCCGTCCATGCTTGGTGTTTCTATATTCCATGCTCGCTCTCTCTCTCTCCTTTTCTATTTTGACAACCTGGCTTGCAGGTTGTTACCTATTCCCCCACTCCGGGTACATTTACATGTCTGCCTGTCTAGGTAGCAGCAGCTAGAGTAGTGCTATACTCTGCGCCCTGGGCATGTACATCTGCTCCATGTTCAAGCTAGAAGCTTTAACAAGCTCTCTGTGGGGATGCCCCAGTATGAGGCAGCTTGGATGGTGGTCCCCGTACCAAACACCCCTTCGCATTGATGCCCACCCCCGAGCCAGAAGCACGTTAAAAATCGTTCTGCATGGTTCGAGCTACATCAGCTTGTGAATTCCAACTTGAGGCACTCGTTGTAAGTCCGGTCCACGTGCGTGTCTACCGAGGAGGCAAGCGGCTTACAGAGGCCCACCATATCTTCTGCAACTTGGTGTGGCGTTAAGGTCACCTGGAGCTCAAAGGCAATTTGCCGGGGCTTTTTAGAGGGCATTGCTTACTTTATTTACCCCTTCTTAGTGTATAAAGCGAGCAGCTGCGAAAGTTGTGATGCGCACAGGGGTTTTGGTGCGGGCATCGACGAAAGCTGCTTACTGTTTGTCTGACATGTGCAGCTCAACCATCCGGGGCAAGAGCATTGTGTTTGACTGGGTATGGTATGCTATTACAGCTCTGATATTCCAGAGAGATGGCCCGTCTGGTGGTTTTCAGTCTTTGTCGGATTCCAGGGACGAAAATCACATTTTGCGAGCCTGAAGCACTGCCAAGGAGGGTGAATTGGCCGGCCTCCAGACTGAAGACGTTTCTAGACATTGAAATTTCGCAGACAGAGCTGCGTTTCCCTGGAGCAAACGTTGATCTTGCTTTTAAAACCGCGAGCACAATCGCAAAGAAGGAGTTGTGAGGCACAATAGCCGTCTTACGGACGGAGGACGTCAATCTCATACCGGAAAATTACCTGAGAACTTTTCTTCACCTCTGCACGGCGAAACTGCCAGGCAAAGAGCGCGTCATGAAGTTTCTATGCCTTCACGGCGCAGGGACGAGTGGTGCCATATTCAAGGCGCAGACTGGTGCGTCTCCTCCTCCTCTTCACTCCCCGTTACGCACAACGTGCCTGGCCTGTGTCCTTTCTGTGTCCTCCATGATCAACACATCCCACATGCAGGAACCAGCATCAGGAACAGGGCAACGCATTATTGATGCATGTCTGAACAGCGCCCGTAATGCCTGACTGACATAACCCGCACAGCTGCCTTCAGGGCCCGCCTTCCCCTGGGCAGACATTCGTTCGAGTTCATCGACGGGCCCCATGAGCTCAGCACATCCAAGTTGCCCGGCGGCGCAGGGCTGGACTCAGGCTCAGGCTCAGGCTCAGGCTCGGACGGACGGCTGTTGCCGATATCGCCATTCTTCCCGCCGCCGTACTACACGTTTCTCCGCTCGTACACGGACCAGGAGGAACTTGACGCTGCGCCCGAGTATGTCCTCTCGCATATCCTCCGAGAGGTAAAGGCGACCGGGATTCCATACGATGCGTGCCTGTGCTTCTCGCAAGGCGCGGCGGTTGTGGCAGGCCTGTTGATGAGGCACGCCACCGAAGTCGAGGCGGCAAGAATCGCAGCAGCAGCAGCAGCAGCAGCAGAGAACTGCTCGAGGAATGATGGACAGTGTGCCGACGAGCGACACGAGGAAAATAATGCTGCTGCTACAACAGAAGCCGCCAACCCGAACAAGCGGTGCAGAGCCGTGACTCCGCCGCCGCCGCCGCCACCGTTCAAGGCAGTCCTCTTCATCTGTGGCGGCCCTCCGCTGCCCATTCTGGAGTCCCTCGGCCCGCCAGGAGCCGCAGCCGGCATTCAAGTCTCGCAGAAGGCGTGGGACATTACTGCCATGACGGGAGAGGACCTCGCGAGGAAGACGCGGCTTATGGGAGAGCAGCTGCGCCAGATCCTCGCCCGTAACTCGCCTTCCTTCTCCTCCTCGTCCTCCTCTCCTTTGCTCCCCGGGACCGCTGCAGCACGGGACCAGGGAAAGCCCCTGCCGCCGCCGGGATCACGTCCTTTCAAGAGTCCCTGGGACGACTTGTCCACGCTATCGCACGACGCACAAGGCATCATCAGCGGCAACAAACACCAGGACCCGCGGCAGCTGCCAACTTCGTTCCCACTCAACCCTCTCCAGGCACAGCCAACAACAGCAGAGTCCGACGAGGGCCGTCACAACCACCATCTCGCCGACGTCTACGGTCTGGACCTGCGGCCCCCTCTGCCCGCCTCGGCAAAGATCTCCATCCCGACCGCGCACGTCTACGGCGTCAAGGACCCGCGGTATCCCGCGGCCATCCAGCTCGCCCTGTTCTGCGATCCCGCGTGTCGAAGGGTATTCGACACGAGGGCCGGGCACGAGATCCCCCGCGATAAAGCTGTGAGTGATGAGATTGCGGACATGATTGCTTGGCTTGAGGACACGGTCAACAAGAATGACCGGGCAAATGTCGATGGCTAGCGCAGCTGGAAATCCCGCTGCGAGCCCGTCACAGAGCTCTCGCGGGCACCTCAACAGAGATGCTCATCTTGCCCCTAGTGTGGTTGCTGCCTGTCCGAAGAGCATTACAGCATGCACTATAGAATCGCTAGAGGCATCTCAACGTTCATCTTGTGGTCACGATCGGATCAATTGTATGTTTGAGCGGGCACAACCGTCATGGCAATGTCAAAAGCAGTCCGCCCGTGCGGTGAAAAGTGTGAAAGTCATGCCTATTATGTATTCGCCCAAGATGTGTATGCGACCGGGAGTGGGTGGTCGGTCCGCTTCGCACGTGCCCAAGTGTGCTCGCGGCTCTCGTAATACATGATAGAATAACACGTTCCCGTCTCGTACCTCTAAATCATCCCGGTATCAAGCAATGCAATAGCTCAAAGCACAAAAGTCCAACTCCAGCGTTATGTACATGATTAGCAGCCAGAAACTTCACACCCTCTAAAAGCTGGCGACAGCAATCGCAATCGACTGATCTTCCGAGTGCGAAATGGAGACGGTAACTTCGGTCACGCCAGCCTTCTTGGCGGCTTCAGCGGCATCGCCGTGCAGCTAAGTGAGGCGTTAGCATGAGGTTTGGGTGATGAACAACTGTGATGTAAACTTACTGAGACAACAGGGGCACCCTGCTCGTTGGACAAGATCTCAATGTCCTTGAGCGGCGCGCCTGCACCCTTGCTCTGCACACCAAGACTCTTGAAGACGGCCTCCTTGGCAGACCAGCGGCCGGCGAAGGAACTCTGAGGGCTGGCAGCCTTCTTGCAGTAGGCAATCTCGTTGCTGGTGAAATTGCGCTCCACAAAAGTCTCGTTGTCGATGTTGATAGCAGAAATGTCTTCAACGTCAACGCCGATCTTGCTGTTATTGCCAGCCTGAAGTGTCTTGGAGAGTCCCTCCACCATCTCTCTGGTCTTCTGTGACTTGGGCAGCTTGGCGGCGGCGGCCTGCTTCGCAAAGTCGGAAGCGTAGGTGAGATCCTTGCTCTTCTTTTCAAGGGTGACACGGGCGTCGGGGTTGAGAAGAACCTTGCGGAGCTGCTCCTCGGTGTATGGAGAGTGGTCCTTGGCCTGGAAGATGGCGTTGTTGATCATGCCGTTGTGCAGGTAGCGGTATGCCTTCTTCTGGCGAGCATTGACCTTGGCAGCATACGCGTTGTAGGTGGCCTCATCAAGGACAGCATACAGGTATCTGGGGTGGATGCCGATAGCTTGGGCACCCTTCTGACCGAAACCGAACGAAGTCACGGAGAACGCCTTGACACCGTCAGTCTGAATACTGCGGCTAGGGTAGACGATGAAGTCAAACTGCTCCATGACCTCGTCGACATTGTCAGCATTCCGGTTACCGGGCACCAAGCCGGTGTTCAGCACCTGTAGACAGCCGTTGAGCATCCAGGCACCAGCGGCACCCTTCGGGTGACCAGTCAAGTACTTCTGGAAAATGCCGAGGACGGCGTTACCCTTCTTGCGACCAAGGTGGCGTAGCTGCTCACAGATGACCGACGACTCGTTCTTGTCGTTGGCCTTGGTAGAAGTGCCGTGGAACGAGGCGACGTCAAGGTCATCGATCGTGAGACCCCAGGTGGCGAGAGCGCCACGGAGAGGAGCAATGCTGTTGTCCTGCTTCCAGAAGCTGTTGCCGAGGCTGCGGAGGACTTCCTTCTCTTGGCGGACGGCCTCCTTCTCGATGTGGACGGCGCGATCCTCAGTGTACTCCTTCTCGTTGACCTCACCACCCTGTGACTTGATAGCAGCAACCTCCTCGTAGAGATACTCGAGCTCGGACTCCTTCCACTGCCGGATCTGCTTCTTGCGCAGCTCGATCTGGCGACGGCGGTACTTGATATCCAGGAGGGGAGACGGGAACTTGCCGGCGTTCTCCCGCGCAGTGGTGAGGACACCTTGACCAGGAGCAGGGACCGAGCGACCAATCTTGTCACTGGCGGTGGTGGTGAGGGCCAGAATACCATAGATAGGCAGACCCATGTCGAGCGCCAGCTGAGCGGTCATGATGAGCTGGATACCAGATCCCTGAGATTCCATGAAGCCGTTTCTGGTGGTAGTTGTGGGACGGGACATCTCCTTCGGAGTGCGGCCGTGCGCGAACTCGTCGACGGCGTTGCTGGTAGCCTTCATGTTGGCAAACTCGTACGAGCCCTCCTCGTTCAACTCATCGAAACCACCAACCAAGCAAATGCGGGCCTTGCCCTCCATGATGGTCTCGTAGCCAATGTCGACAGACTCAACAGCAGTGGCGCAGGCTCCGACAGGGGTCTTGATGGGACCCGAGGAAGACAGAAGCAACATGTTGACCCACGCTGCGGCAGTGTTGATGAAGGTCTCCTGGAGAATGTCGTTCTGGACAGGACGATCCATGAGGCGATCAACATGCATGCTGTGGATAGCATTAGAGCCACCCATACCAGCACCAATGCAGTTACCAAGTTCCGAGACGTGCACATATTTGTAGAACTCGTAAGGATCGGTGATACCAGAGGCGAGCAAACACTCGGCGACCGACACGAGAACGAAAAGAGTCGCGCGGTCAACCTGGCTGATAATGTCCTCGGGTACACCGTACTTCTTGGCATCCCAGCCAGTAGGAATCTGGCCAGCAACCAGGCGGTCGAAGCGAAGCGCCTTGGGGACCCAGAGAGTCGCGCCCTGCTTCATGCGCACAATGTACTCGCCACTCTCGGGGATCTCGAAGATCTCTGCCTTCTCGCCGTGCTCGCGCTGGAAGGCCTCTGCAGTCTCCTTAGACGTCTCGAACGGCTCGAGGTCGTGCTCAATAACAACCTCCTGCAGGAGCTGCTTCTTGTTGGGATCGTAACCACCGAACAACTCGGGCTCGATAAGACGGATACCAGAGTGGTCCAGGATGTGCTTCTCATACTTGGCCTTGATGTCCTTGTCATCCACGGGCTCGCCAGATTTGGCATCAACCCAGCCGGAGTATGGCTGACCCTTGATAGGGCCATTGTGGTGCCTGATCAGGCCCATGATCCAGGCCATCTCGACGCACCCCTCAAGGGAGAACTGACCATAAGCCTCCATCTCCCAGCGGGTTCTCGAGTTACCCCAGGGGCCAACTTCGGCGAAACCAGTAACAACGACAACCTTGTCAAGGTCGACCATGCCCTTGAGGTTGGCATTGAGAGGCGCGATTTCCTTCTTCCAGTCTGGCAGGGTCGGGAAATCGAACTTGAGGTTGGCACGAGGCTCCACCTTCTTCTGCTTGTACAGAGTCTCGGAGTCCTCGCCGTTGACAATCTTGTTCTCAAGGGCAGTCTCCTTAGTCACAGCACGACGTGTCTCGCTGGTCTCCATGATGTCCTTGCGAAGCTTGGTCATGGTCTCGTTGAGGTTGGGCAGGAAGTGCAGACCGCCGTTTAGGTCAGCAAATACTGGCTCGACCTGGCAGAGATCGACGACGTCAGGCGACATCAGGCCGAGCAAGTTGAACGCCATTTCCTGCTGCGAGAACGTGCGGACACCAAACTTCTCAACACCCTCCGCAACAATGTTGTTGGCCGACATGAGACCAGTGCCACGGGTCCAGCCAATGACGGCACCGCAAATGGTGAGGTAGTTGCCCCAGTCCTCGGCGTGCCAGCGGTTGAAAAGCGTCTCCAGACCAAGCTTGGACTCGGAGTAGAGACCGTCGCTACCGAAAGTGCCGTGGTTGGGCGACAGAGGCAGAACGACCTGCGCCGGACGGGTCTCAAAGCCCCGCTCGGCCTTCTGAGTCTTGACGCATCCGAGGAGGCGGAGAACATTTGTCAGCATGATGCGGTGAGCAAGCTCGGACTTGGAGTCGATCGAATCGATCTGGCGGCCATTCTCGGGAATGGCAGCAAATGGAACAATGTAGTCGAGATCCCAACCGAGACCATTCTTGCTGTCGTAGATGTAGTCAACCAGAGCCTCGACATCCTGCTTGCTGCCTCCATTGAAGGGGACAACAACCAGCTGAGAGCCGCGAGCGCCAAACTTGGCGTACATCGCCTGGTAGTACTCGGTGACCTCGCGGGAGAAGCGAGAGGTTGTGACAATAACCTTGGCGCCACCGCTGATGAGTCCAGACAGGACCTCGGCACCGATGGAACCAGCGCCAGCACCGGTCATGAGAGCGTATTTGCCCTGGTAGCTGACACCGTTCTTGGCAGCCTCCTCCAAGCAGTCGAGATAGACGCCGGTCAGCTTCTTGCTGTACTCCCAGCCGTGCATGTTCTGGCGACGAAGATGCAGGAACGGGATAGTCTCGACCTTGCCCTTGGTGTTTTGAGCACTGGCTTTGAGGGCAGCAGCCCGCTTGGTAAGACCAGTGGACTTGCTCTCCTTTGGCAGGATCTGAGACTCGTTCATGGCGAGGGAGCGGACAACATTGGCATAAAGCTTCTGGAACTCGATCTTGGCCGTCTTTGACATCTTGTGCTGCTCCTTGATGAGCTTCACAATGCGGCTGAGATCGTTCTGGACCTTGGTGCGGTTGCCGTACTCCGAGATCTTGCCGCCTTCGGCCATCTGCTGGACGTAGTGCTCAAGCTTGCGGCAGCTAGGGCGTGGAACTTCCTCGTAGGAAAGGTTTCCACGAGCATCGACGGTAGTGCGAGGGCCTGTCGGGACGGCGACATCCTTGTAGACCGGGGGGACGTTCATGACCTCGATGCAGTTCTCGATTAGTTGCAGACCAAGTTCCTTCGCAAGCTTGTAGGTCTCGCCACGTTCGGTGGGGCAGTGGTCGATATGGTACTGCATGAATTCGAGGAGCCTTGGGTTGGACTTGCTCATGATGCGGATGCACTGGCTGACAATTTCACGATCGACAGCTTTGAGACGGCCAAAGAGAACATCGTAGTACATGCTGAGAACGTCTTGGCGGGCCCAGTTCCATGAAGAATCGTATGTGCGAGCCTTCAGGGGGCTAAAAGAAGGCTCGATGCCCGCAGCATAGAAGTCGCCGTGCTCCGCGTTCCAGAGATCGACTTGCGCTTGGAGGACGGAAGAGGCTTCGTGGGATGCCTGAGCCGCCTTTTCGCCAGCGCGAAGGTCCATCTTGAGGTATCTGGCCAGAAGCTCGACCTGTTGCTTAAACAGAGCACGCTGGTCCTTGGTGAGGGCATCAATCGCCGCCGGGTCCATCATCATGCCTCCAGAACCGCCACCGGCGTCACCGCCGGCAGATACTGTCGACAGGCTGATTCCGGCATGGCTGGCGTACTTTTGAGTCACATCGTCGAGGAACGCCTTGGCGTCAGGCTCGCCGCCAAGACGAGCAGCAGGCTCCATGGTGATGGCCAGGACAAGGACACCGTCTTGTCTGCCTTGAGCCAATCCCCAGCGAGTTTCCAAGTACTTGCGAGCGGCTGTGATATTGAAGCCGCCAGGCATCTTGGAGGATATCAGACGGGCAACGAGAGCCTGGGAGGTCTTTCCAAGCTGGCCATTGAAGGTTTGCTGCATGACAGCGCCAAGCTCGTCTAGGGGGGTATCTTCGGGCTTCTCTGGTGTCGAACCGAACTCTTTTCCGAGGTCGCCAAGGATTTCATTTTGTAACGTGGACTTGCCTGAGGACAGAATTCATGGTTAGCACTGATGTAGCAGTTTATGCACAATAGATGGGATGGAGCGCAGCACAAACCTCCTACCAAGTCCTTGATGGCTTTGCTGAGCGGGATTTCAGCAAACGGTTTCTTCAGCTTCTGTGCAATCAAGGCTCTGACTACGTCCACAGCCGGCAGCGGGGCATCGGCTACGGCGGCGGCTGGCCCAGCGCTAGGGGCAGCAGGGGCAGCAGACACAGGAGCAGCGGCAGCGGCAGCGGCTGGAGCAGAGGCGGGCGCGCTGCTGGAAGAGCCCTCCGCAGCTGGCGCCGCGGCCTCCTCCTCTACTGGGTCTACATCGTAGTAGATCTCTTTGGAGTCTTTGTTGTAGCAGAGAATCTGGCGTTGAAGGGACTTGGCGGCGTCAAAGGCTTCATACTTGAGGCCAATGGTTCGCTTGGCCATTCCGCCAAGAGTGTCGGCAGGACCGATTTCGACTATACGCTCAGCTTGTTGCTCTGCGAGAAAGACATCTTGCGTCTCAATCCATCTGACGGGCGAGGCAAACTGGTAGGCCAGCAGCTCCACGAGGAGCGTGTGGGCGAGCTCCTGCTCGACTTCGGGGCGCATCTTGACTGTGGTGTTACCGCTTTGTCGTGCGGGGGCTTGATGGCTGAGTTGCTACAATTAGGTGGCCGACAAAAGACGACGTAGGCGTGGTCGTCTGAGAGCAGCTGTAGAGAATGGAATTCACGCAGAATGCGTCGAGTCTACCACGTCTCGAAGGCACAGGCCGTTCGGAACGAGATGCGAGCAGGCCGCCGGGCGGAGGGCTTGCTCTGAAAAAGAAGGCGGAGAGGGTATGAGGTCCGGGCTGAGCTTCTTGGGCGTGAAGTCAGCGGGATGTGTTTCTGCAGTTTGTGATTGAGGTCAACCAGACTCGCTTGGGCTCGAGTTGGATGCTGGAGACAGGGCAAGAAGCAAAGAGGGGCAGGATAGGGAGCTGCGATGGGAAGTTTTGGACAAAAACCAAACCAGGCAAGCTCAAGCACGACGGTGTCGACACTGGGACGGGTTGATAGAAGAGGGACCACGAAAAGAATGGGCCCAACACAGTAGCACCCTGGAGGGGGAGCGCGCCTGTGCAGGTGTGGAGGAAGGAGGGGGGAGGGGTGTGACTTACTCACCACAATTGGGAGCGGGCGAAGGGGCCAGCGACCCGGTCGCCACGGCGCGCGTACCTGCCGGAGACGGGACCACCAAGAACAGGCCTGGCTGGACGATGGGAAGTCCCGGCTCCACGCAGAGCAGCCTCCCTGACAGCAACTCAGAATTCGGCCGATATCGTATGCAGGACGTACGTGGAGGGGCCATTATTCTGGGTGGCTCCAACAGGTCTCGCATACCGCTCGCTCTCGCGGTTTATCACAGAAACCTTGAGGGGCAGAGTGAGAGCGAGCATAACAGCTTGGACGCGCGATCTCCCCCCGCTGTGCATAGGTATGGCTGGACGTTTTCGTAAAATCAGCCAGACATGCTTATCCATACTCGCTGACAGGCACGAATAGCGATCATCATGAGTCTGACACATCAAGCAGTGAACGACATCTAATCTCTTCGTCTGGCAGTGCGTTGTGGCGGCCTTTGCTTGCCTGCCTGCCGGCAAGTACCACCTAGGCACAAACCACATTTATCGCCACACCTCGCGACATCCGACGGCCCTGCAGTGGTCCCAAATCATGTAATGCGGCACTTCTGGGCATGTCACACCACATCGCAAACCAGCAGTTGGAGATTGGAAAGCGTCGTGGAACCGCTGTGCCAGAGACGAGGAGGCCGTCCGTTGACAGCTGTGGCCTTTCCCAAATGTTGAATTCTCAATTGCACCAGGGCAAGAATTGGGGAAAGGTCGACGTGGAGTCACTGCTCCGCTCCACACATCCGCCCCCTCACACTTTGGTTCCACCCCCCCCCCCCCGCCCCTTTCTCCTACTGCGTATGCCCGGCTTGCTGTTGCCTGGCATCGGAAATGTCCAGAGCACAACACCTTGACAGCCATGTCATGATTACAGGGCCTTACTCGTGGCTCGGTGAACAAACCACAAACCTCGTCTCGAAAAGGGCCTTCTGTGCCCATGTTTTCCACACCATAGCAGGCCAGATTCCCCATACTGCGGCAGTGGCTTCCCCGGTTCAAGTCCGCGTGACTTGGAGATGCATGAATCGCGCGCATAGTCTAGTCGCTGATCGCGCTTGGGCAAGCAGGTATTAGCAACTGGCCTGACTGCACAAGTCGTGCTCTGTACCAGAAAACCAGAAAGCTGGCGGCCCAGCCCAGGTCATCTAGTGTACTACGACAGTGCTGGACCCGGCCACGCCTTTACCGGGGCGGAATCGAGGGAGTGTCGGAACAAAGTGAGCTCACTCTGACAAAGGCGGTCCACCATCTCTTGCCGACCCCAGAGCGTGGGTTCGAAGGATGCCAGACCGCCAGCCCGGCCACCCCTGATTCGTCTAGCCAGACTCCCGGCCCACTCCTGTGGCTCCACTAGCTCCTCAACCATATTCGTGAGCTAGCTGCCCCTGGAAAAGTGGCGTGCCCAGACAAGACCCTAGATCTTCCATGGCTTCCAACGCTCCAGCTTTCCACGGCCCCCTTTCCCGCCCGCACGCAAACGCATCGGCCATTTTCCAAGGCCCGGCGTTTGAAATGCTCCCCTCGCAGTATCCTCCTCTTCCACATAGGTTTTAACCTCAATTGCGTTATGCAGCTGTCAGAGACCATGTCTACCACCACGTAGCAGCTCGGGTACACCGCCTGTATTGCAGGTCAGGGATTACGTCACACCAGTGTCGACAACCGAGAATAGCTCAACACGATAAGGATTGATTACGACGCTGGCATGCACCCTCCTCACCGTCAGTGAAGGGCCCTGCCGACAGTCATCCGCATCAGGGGACGGTCAAGGCTCGCTGGGGTGGCTGGGGTGGCACTTTACAAGCCCGGGCTGGGGGGTTGACAAGTGGCTCCTCGTCCAATCACAGCGCGATCTCATCCAGATCAAGTACCGGTACTTGCGAAGCTACTTGGGCAGTCGGTCGTGGCGGCAGCTTGCATTACACATCTTGATAGACTCCACTGTTAACCGTGCTTGTCAGGAACAGTCATTTCTTGCAATTGCTGACGCTCCGAGGACGAAATACCTTGACGGGTTTCCAAGCCTGGAAGCTACGTAAACGCGCTTCTGCCTGAAGGGGGATAGAGGCATTAAGCAACGAAAGAATGCCCGAGACAGATGGCGCCGCTCATGGGGGAAGCGTTGGCATGGTGATACAGCTGTTGAGGGAAGGACTTGATAATACTCCTAGTTGATCTCTACGCCGTGATCTCCGAGCTGGAACCGAGCTCCGACCCGACTTACACACACCAGGATGGAAACTCTACAGTTGGCGGGCCTTGTCGTTCCACTCTGGCCCATAACAGCTCAGATTTTGTGCTCAACACATGATGCCCAAGTGTTGAAGGTGTTCATCGATGGGCGTCTTCGACGAGCGGATCACTCACGATTGCTCAGTGGTGGGAGCCTCACTGTGCTTAATCAGCTGTAGAAGTACAAGTCTCAGTGGCCATAGAAGACAGCAAGCTTGGAAGCTCCTCGGCTTGGCCACGCCGTGTACTAGACGCACACCACGTCGTGCCCTTGACTGCCCGGCCCGCCTCTAGGACGGTGCTTCCAGAAGCCATCGAAGCACATGGGGAATAGTGCACCCCTCCAGCTGTGAAGCTTGACAAGGCTCGGAGCATCCTCCTGGAGCTATCAGATCTGCGCAAGGACCTTGTCTGAGGTCATTCTGCAGCACGATGACTTGATCCCATAGGCAAGTGCAGTAAGCTCCAGCTACCGACCCTGATCATGTGGGAAGTGAGCATGCGTAAGGGCAGATTGGGGTAGCAGCAGCTGCAACGACCACGCGCTTCTAAGACCGCAAGGCTTGGACGACGGACATGGGCTGAGACAAGCCAGTCATCAAACTTGTGTGGGACTTTTTACGCATCCAGACATCTTGGTAAACGACCAGAACTCGGCCAGGCTGAGGAGGTGCGCATCAAACATCTAGCCAGTAAAATAACAATTAATTGCAAAAGGCAGCGATATATGAAGCATATACAGTAATCTGACTAATGAGGGAAAGGGAGAGCAGCCTACCAATTACTTGATGACAGGGCACCAAGTTGTGACAGCGCGACATCAAGGAGCGTAGTAATGGCATCGCGATGCTTGGTTATGGTGTTGTAGTAATCCTGTCATGCTTGGGCGAAGCTCTGATTGGCTGCATACGGCCAGAGCTAGGGTGGTTCACGGGTCCAAGTACCGATACCTTGGTCGAGTGGGACCTGGTTGAGGATCGAATTCCCCAATCTGCGGTCTGCTGCCCCTGACCCTCGCACCCTTACCCACTCTAGAACTACACCCGGCCGTACAGGCAGTCAGGAAGCCGCCCCTCACCCTCCTCGCTGCTTCCCCAACAAAGATTGTCTAAATTTTTATTTTTGGCGAGGATAGGCACCGACGGGCCAAGCCAACTGAGCTCTGGCGTGCAAGTCGACGCCTCCACACCACGGGGAATGGGCCGGGAGAACCAGGAAGTCGTGCCAAAGATGGCTCGAACGTTGCAGCGTTGGGCCACGCGCACTCCCAGTGCTTGGAAAAGTGGCTTGAGGGGAAGCGGAACGCCAACATTCTGGCGGGCGGGAGACTTTGTAGAGACCCTGCACGCCAGGGACTCCCAGGCCAGGACTCCCAGGCCAGGACTCCCTACCAGCGCCGCTTGGGAGGGGCGATCCACACTCCACCGCCAACACTAGGAGGAGCTCAGAGCGAGGAGCTGCAGAAGCTGCTAAGGCCCCTCACGGGGTGTCTCTCCAGAGCGCTGGTGGTATCTATCCCAATCTGTGTGCAGGTACAGTAGAAGGTCTGCAACTCTCCACGGTGGCCAGAGCTAGCGGGCGAGCGGCAGAAAAAGTGTTGTACCTTTTTGCTCACCCCTACCAGACCTGCCAGGGCTGCTGCTAGTTGAGTGGTGCTTCCCGCCGGGACGCGGCCCTCCATCCTGCACGACCTCCCTGCCCGCATGGCGTCGCCCGCCAGCCAGCACGAGCTTTGTAAAACCACCAGCCTGCCCCTCCGCTACACTCTGAGCTTCCCACCGGCCCTGCTCCGTTCTCCCACTTCTTCCCTCATCCTCAAGACTAGCCCGTCCGCCCTGTCCCGTCTTCCCACTAGATACTCGCAGCACGAGAAATAGGAGCTCGGGTCTTCCTTCTCTTCGTTGCTTTCGGCGCAGTCTTCAACACCTTCTACCATCCCACAAACAAGCCGCCTGGCTACAACTACGGAAGGCACTCGCCCTCTTATAATCACCACGAAAGATACCCGTCTGACTCGGGTAACCCATTGCGGCCTTTCTCTGCCACTTGAATAGACTCTCATCTTCAGAACGACCAGATCTCCTGCTCTTTGCTGAGTCCACGGAGACTACCACAACCGCGATACCCGTGAGTGCCCAATGGGACAGTCACCTCTCGTCTCATGTTCTCGTGACTAACAACAAGTGAAGGAGTCGTTCCGGGCTTGTGACACAAACCAGACTATTCCACGATACCCTCAGATCCACACCGACACCATGTACGGCGCTGGAACTGGCACCGGTCCTCAGACCGGAGTCTCTACTCCCCGCACATCCGCGTCCCTCCGCCCTCTGACTCTCTCACACGGCTCCCTCGAGAACTCGTTCTTGGTGCCCACAAACCTACACTTCCACGCCTCTCAGCTCAAAGACCGCTTCACTGCCAGTCTTCCTGAGCCGACAGACGAGCTCGCCCAGGATGACGAGCCTTCTTCCGTTGCCGAGCTGCTCGGTCGCTACATGGGCTTTGTCGCCAATGAGATTGACGAGGGTGAGGATGATGAGTATGGCTCGTACGAAGAGGTTCTCAAGCTCGTTCTGAACGAGTTCGAGCGTGCCTTCCTACGCGGCAACGATGTCCACGTTCTGGCCAAGGGCCTGCCAGGCATCCCGGCAAAGCAGATTGGCGTGGTAAAAGCCTACTACGCTGCCCGCTCCGTATCAAACAGAGCCATCAAGCCCCGGGAGTCGGCTCTGACAAGAGCTGCCGAGGACGGCGATGCCACTCTTTACAGCATCTTTGGCGGTCAAGGAAACATCATTGAGTACTTTGACGAGCTCCGTGAGCTCTACGACACCTACCCGGCTTTTGTAGGCGAGCTTGTGACCTCGTCGGCGGACCTTCTTCAGAGCCTCGCCGCAGACCCCAGAGCTGAGAAGATGTACGCCAAGGGTCTCGACGTCATGTCATGGCTGCAGTCGAAAGACACCACGCCTAACGACGACTACCTCATCTCGGCCCCCGTGAGCTTGCCACTGATTGGTCTAGTGCAGCTTTGCCACTACCAGGTCCTCGGAAAGGGCCTTGGTGTCCACCCTGGCATTCTCCGTGAGCGCATGGAGGGCGCCACTGGTCACTCTCAGGGCATTGTCGTTGCTGCCGCGGTAGCGGCTGCGGACTCTTGGGAGACCTTCGAGAAGGTGGCCAAGGATGCCCTCACCATTCTTTTCTGGATCGGTGCGCGCAGCCAGCAGGTCTTCCCTCGGACTTCTATGACTCCTGGCATGCTCAAGGACTCGGACGAGAACGGCGAGGGTGAGCCGTCGCCCATGCTTAGCATTCGTGATCTGCCGCAGAGCGCTGTGCAGAAGCACATTGATGCCACCAATCAGTACCTCCCTGAGGACCGCCACATCGCCATCTCTCTCATCAACAGCCCGCGGAACATGGTTGTTACTGGCCCGCCGACTTCACTGTACGGTCTGAACCTGCAGCTCCGCAAGGTCAAGGCTCCAACCGGCTTGGACCAGACTCGCGTGCCTCACACTGAGCGCAAGGTCCGTTTCGTGAACCGTTTCCTGCCAATCACCGCGCCATTCCACAGCAAGTACCTCGCCGAGGCTACCAAGCTCATCGATGAGGACCTGAAGGACGTCCAGATTGACGCGAAGTCTCTGGGCATCGCCGTGTTCAACACCTTCACTGGCGAAGATTTGAGGAGCGAGGCCAAGGGCAATGTCGTCCCCTCCTTGGTGCGCATGATTACGCGCGATCCAGTCAACTGGGAGAAGGCGACGGTCTTCGAGGATGCGACTCACATTCTCGACTTCGGCCCCGGCGGTATCTCCGGTCTCGGTATCCTCACCAACCGCAACAAGGAGGGTACTGGCGTTCGCGTCATCCTCGCCGGCACTATTGACGGTTCCCCCCAGGACGTTGGCTACAAGTCTGAGCTCTTTGACCGTGACGAGGAACACGCTGTCATCTATGCGACGAACTGGGTCAAGGAGTACGCTCCTCGCCTAGTCAAGACTACCAGCGGCCACACCTACGTCGACACAAAGATGAGTCGGCTGTTGGGTACACCTCCCCTTATGGTCGCTGGTATGACTCCTTCCACGGTCCCTTGGGACTTTGTGGCAGCGACCATGAACGCAGGTTACCACATCGAGCTGGCTGGTGGAGGTTACTACAATGCCAAGACGATGACTGAGGCTCTCACCAAGATCGAGAAGGCGATCCCTGCAGGCCGTGGTATCACTGTCAACCTTATCTACGTGAACCCGAGAGCCATGGGCTGGCAGATTCCCCTCATTGGTCGCCTCAGGGCCGAAGGCATCCCGATCGAGGGTCTCACTATTGGCGCCGGTGTCCCGTCGCTCGAAGTGGCTCAGGAATACATCGATACCTTGGGTCTCAAGCACATTGCTTTCAAGCCCGGCTCGATGGAGGCCATCCAGGCTGTGATCAACATCGCCAACGCGAACCCCACCTTCCCGGTCATTCTTCAGTGGACCGGTGGTCGCGGTGGTGGCCATCACTCCTTCGAGGACTTCCACCAGCCCGTCCTTCAGATGTACGGGCGGATCCGCAGAGCTGAGAACATCATCCTTGTCGCCGGAAGTGGTTTCGGTGGTGCCGAGGATACCTACCCCTACCTCACCGGTGAATGGTCCAAGGCCTATGGCTACCCTCCCATGCCGTTCGATGGTCTCATGTTCGGCAGCCGCATGATGGTTGCCAAGGAGTGCCACACTAGCAGGAACGCCAAACAAGCCATTGTTGACGCGCCTGGCGTTGGCGACGATGAGTGGGAGAAGACATATAAGGGCCCTGCCGGTGGAGTTATCACCGTCCGCTCCGAGATGGGCGAGCCCATCCACAAGCTTGCCACTCGGGGTGTCCGCTTCTGGGCTGAGATGGACCAGAAGATCTTCAGCTTGGCCAAGGAGAAGCGCCTTGTCGAGCTCAAGAAGGGCCGCGAGCACATCATCAAGAAGCTCAACGATGACTTCCAGAAGGTCTGGTTTGGAAAGAACAAGGCTGGCGAGACCGTGGACCTTGAGGACATGACCTACGCCGAAGTCGTGCGCCGCATGGTCGAGCTGCTCTACGTGAAGCATCAGTCTCGCTGGATCGACCCTTCCTACACCAGGCTAGTTGGTGACTTCATCCACCGTATCGAGGAGCGCTTCACTACCAGCCCAGGACAGTCCTCGCTTCTCCAGAACTACTCTGACCTGGAGGACCCCTTTGGCACTGTCGAGAAGATTTTGTCTCATTACCCTGAGGCCGAGGACCAGATCATCAACGCTCAAGACTCGCAGCACTTCCTAATGCTCTGCAAGCGGAGAGGTCAGAAGCCCCCTACCTTCGTTCCTGCTTTGGATGGGGACTTTGAGTTCTGGTTCAAGAAGGATTCCCTCTGGCAGTCTGAGGACCTGGACGCCGTCATTGACCAGGACGTTGGCCGCACATGTATTCTCCAAGGTCCGGCCGCCGTGCGGTTCTCGACCAAGATCGACGAGCCCATTCAAGAAATTCTGGACGGCATCCACCACGCCCACATTGAGAGCCTGACCACAGACCTCTACCAGAGCAAGGCTGCTTCCATCCCTGCCATTGAATACTTTGGTGGCAAGCTCGTCGAGACCGAGACCGCTCTTGACATCGATGGTCTCTTCATCACAGAGGATGAGCAGAAGAGCACTTTCCGCCTGTCTCTCGCTCCGTCCGTTGTACTGCCTGCGGACGACGCTTGGATGTCTCTTCTGGCTGGACCCAAGCGGTCATGGAGACATGCTCTCTTCACCTCTGACATCATTGTTCAGGGTCAGAAGTTCCAGACCAACCCTCTGAAGCGCATCTTCTCTCCTGTCCGCGGACTCTTTGTCGAGATCCAGTATCCCAAGGATCCCTCCAAGACTGTCATCATTGTCCGCGAGCAACCCCGGCACAACCAGTACTCTGAGGTTATTCGGGTGCACCGCGATGGCCAGGGCGTTATCCACGTCGACATGATCAAGGACACCAATGCTCTTGGCAAGCCTGTCGCCCTCCCCCTGCTCTTCACCTACCACCCTGAGGCTGGATATGCACCCATTCGGGAGGTCATGGAAGGCCGCAACGACCGCATCAAGGAGTTTTACTGGCGCGCGTGGTTTGGAGGCGATGAGCTGCAGCTCGACGCCCCTGTCACTAGCAAGTTCGATGGTGGTGAAACTACCATCACCAGCGAGGCCATCAACGACTTCGTCCACGCTGTTGGCAACACTGGCGAGGCTTTTGTCGATCGTCCTGGCAAGGAGGTGGTTGCTCCTATGGACTTCGCCATCGTCGTTGGCTGGAAGGCTATCACCAAGCCGATCTTCCCCCGCCGCATCGATGGTGATTTGCTCAAGCTTGTCCACTTGTCAAACGGCTTCAGAATGATGCCTGGTGCGGAGCCCCTCAAGAAGGGTGACAAGGTCAAGACCACTGCTCAGATCAATGCCGTCGTCAACCAGGAATCTGGCAAGATGGTTGAGGTCTGTGGCACGATTTTCCGCGACGGCCAGGCTGTCATGGAGGTGACTTCCCAATTCCTCTACCGCGGTGTCTACACCGACTTCGAGAACACCTTCCAGCGCAAGATCGAGACTCCCATGCAGATTCATCTGACCACCACCAAGGACATCGCTGTTCTCAAGTCCAAGGACTGGATCAGCTTTGATAATGACATGGATCTTCTTGGCCAGACCCTGACCTTCCGTCTGCAGAGCTTCGTCGAGTTCAAGAACAAGACAGTCTTCAGAAGTGTGGAGACAAGGGGCCAGGTCCTCCTGGAGCTCCCCACCAAGGAGATCATCCAGGTGGCCAGCGTCGACTATGTTGCCGGTGTCTCCCACGGCAACCCCGTCATTGACTACCTTGAGCGCAACGGCTCTTCTATCGAGCAGCCTGTCAACTTTGAGAACCCCATTCCACTCAACGGCAAGGCGCCACTCCAGCTCAAGGCCCCTGCGTCGAACGAGACTTACGCCAAGGTCTCTGGCGACTACAACCCCATCCACGTCTCGCGCGTCTTCTCCAGCTACGCCAACCTTCCCGGCACCATCACCCACGGCATGTACTCCAGTGCTGCCGTTCGCAGCTTGGTTGAGACGTGGGCTGCTGAGAACAACGTCGGCCGCGTTCGTAGCTTCCACGCCTCGCTCGTCGGCATGGTCCTGCCCAACGATGACATCCAGGTCAGACTGCAGCACGTCGGTATGGTTGGTGGTCGCAAGATCGTCAAGGTCGAAGCCAGCAACGCCGAGACCGAGGAGAAGGTTCTGCTTGGCACGGCCGAGGTTGATCAGCCCGTGACCACTTACGTCTTCACCGGCCAAGGTTCTCAGGAGCAAGGCATGGGTATGGAATTGTACAACAACAGTGCTGTCGCCAAGGAGGTCTGGGATCGTGCTGACAAGTTCCTGCTTGACAACTATGGTACGTTATATACGAAACTCCCGCACCGTGTTTCCGCGACCTACTAACACTCTCACAGGCTTCTCCATTCTGAACATTGTCAAGAACAACCCCAAGGAGCTCACCGTGCACTTTGGTGGCCCTCGCGGCAAGGCTATCCGCGAGAACTACATGACCATGACTTTCGAGACCGTCGCTGCTGACGGCACAGTCAAGTCCGAGCGCATCTTTAAGGGCATCGATGCCAAGACGACGTCCTACACCTACAAGTCTCCTACTGGTCTTCTGTCTGCTACGCAGTTCACCCAGCCTGCCTTGACCCTCATGGAGAAGGCTGGCTTCGAGGACATCAAGGCCAAGGGTCTTGTCCCACGCGAGAGCACGTACGCCGGTCACTCTCTCGGAGAGTACTCTGCGCTTGCCTCCATGGCCGAGGTCATGCCCATCGAGTCTCTCGTCTCTGTCGTGTTCTATCGTGGTCTGACCATGCAGGTCGCCGTCGAGCGTGACGAGCAGGGACGCTCTAACTACTCGATGTGCGCCGTCAACCCTAGCCGCATCTCCAAGACCTTCAACGAGGAGGCTCTGCGCTTCGTGGTTGCCAACATTGCGGAGGCAACTGGATGGCTTCTTGAGATTGTCAACCTCAACGTTGCCAACCAGCAGTACGTCTGCGCTGGCGACCTGCGCGCCCTCGATACCCTGACGAACGTTCTCAACATTGTCAAGGCTCAGAAGGTTGACATTGCTCAGCTTACCAAGGAGCTGAGCCCCGAGGATGTCAAGGCTCACCTGCTGGAGATTGTCAAGGGAGCCGCAGCCCAGACTGAGGCCAAGCCCAAGCCTATTGACCTCCAGCGTGGCTTTGCTACAATCCCGCTCAAGGGTATCGATGTGCCCTTCCACTCTACCTTCTTGCGCTCTGGAGTCAAGCCCTTCCGGTCTTTCCTGCTCAAGAAGATCAACAAGACTGCCATCAACCCTGCTCTCCTGGTCGGAAAGTACATCCCCAATGTCACTGCCCGACCATTTGAGCTCACGAAGGAGTACTTCCAAGAGGTTTACAACCTTACCAACTCACCCAGGATTGCTGCCATCCTTGAGAACTGGGAGAAGTACCAAGACGAGCCTAACGGCTCGTCTGTCGGTGGTAGCGACGACTCGTACGTCAAGGTTGAGGGTAACTAAGCCCGGTCATGTATATACATGATTTTTAATGCGGTGGAAGAACGGCAAAAGAGAAAACGGAGCCGGAAAATGATGCATGTACGAGATTTTATGAGATATTGCGCATTGTGGTTCTCGGCTGGTGCGCCATCCTATATGTTTATGCCTTGTCTCTTACAAGTTGCGCAGAGCATTTTTGAGCTTTTCTTTTGGGAGTTTCCGGGTGGTCCTGGTTCACAAGCATTGATTATGAGAGTCGCTTGCTTGTACTGTTTGCAGCATTTTTTTGCTCGAGTTTATTGTCACAACTATCAAAGATAGAATGGTTTTTATCGCAGTGGAATATTTCTAGACATCCACCATTGCTGTATCTTGTGACCTGGCTCATGTGACCCATTTGCCACGCTTTTGTGTCAACGCGCAATTGTGAAACTGAAGTCACAAGTCCTTTATTCAAGCATGGCATCATCTATCTGATTTCTTGGTTGCCCGATTTGCCCTCTTTTTGTCTATATCTTGCCCAGCTCGACCAGCTTCTGATACACCAGCTTCTCGACAGCGACCATGCCCTGAGCATTGGGATGAAAGGCGCCCATCGTCTCGACGAGCTCGGGTGAGATGGCCGAGACCCAGGGCTCGGGGGACCCGATGGCGTGCCGCGCTCTGCTGAGCTCGGTCACGGGCACGAGGGAGCACCACTGGTCGCGGGCCTCGCCTCCCTCGGAGAGGGCCAGCCGGGTGGCTTGCTCGAGGACGCGCGCCCTCTCCTGGTGTCGCGACATCTGCGCCGGGGAGAAGGGCACGTCGATCCCGGGCCTCGTCTCCGGGCCCAGCATGGCGAGGTACTCGACCACGAGCACGTGGGCCCCCGGAGCGGCGGCGTGGATGGCGTCGAGGATCTCGGCGTAGCGTCCTGCCAGGGCCTGCAAGGGGTCGGTGAGGAACCTGTGGTCTTGCGGGGGTGGCAGGTCCGGGACGTCGTCTGGGGTTGAGTTGGCGGGGAGGCCCATTGCGGTGCGGAGGTAGGGCAGCTCGCGGGCGGCGTCGACGAAGAAGTTGCCGATGTAGCCGAGGTCGTTGCCGCCCCCGAGGACGAGGACGATGTCCGCGTCCGCGGGCAGCTGGGTGAGCTGGGGTGGGAAGGTGTGGCCCGGGTCGTCGTTGGCATCGCCTGGGTCGCCCTCGACGATCTGGGGATCGCTGGTGAGGTTGAGCAGGGTGGCGCCGGCGACGGTGAGGTCTGTGAACTTTGCGGCGCCGATATGCTCTGCGAGCAGGGCGCCGTAGTTGACGGCGGATCTGCCGGCGTGCTTGTTGGCGACGGGCGGGATGCCGGGCCCGGAGGCGAAGGAGGAGCCGACAGAGGCGAGATGAAGGGGCATGGCGGCGACTGTGATGCAGTCGTGCGTTCGTTCTACTGGACAGACAATTGCATCTCACGATGTTGGGCTCAGGCGGCGTTGCAGTTGTCCTGTCAGATCCAACCTGGCGGCTGGATGAGGTGATGATATAAGTGTGTGCTGCCCACGCGGCCTTGCTGGGTCTGAGCTAGGCAGACATGTATGAACCATGCCGGCCTCGTCAGCCGTCTCTTGTGCTGCTCCGACTCGGTCTGCTATTTGTCGCCTGTTCCGAGCACAAGTGGGAGGCTCTGGAGATGTCTGAGTACATGCAGTCGTGCTCTGTGTGTCTTGTTTGGGGAGGATGGGCGGACGAGGTCGACTCGTAGCCTGGGACAAGTCACTTGACAAAGCACCCAATGGATTCCATCTAATTAATCCTTGGATGTTGGGTGGGAACCAGCTGAGCAGCGTGGTCGCCTGTCATAAGAATTTCCATGCTAAGCAATCTTGTGTGTCATGTTTGCAGCCCTGCGTGCAGAATATTCGAGGCTCGTTCTGATATGAGCACAGGGAAACTCTGGCTTGCGGTGGGTTTTGTCTGGTTTAGGGATAACTATGCCATCCGCTCAACAAGCAAGACGCTTGAGGCTGAAGCGCCCGCGCGGGAGCCGGATCTCGCCGGGCCCCGCAAATGGATATTGGCGGCCACCAGCGCTGGGGTGGGGGGTTTGGAGCTGGCTAGCCATGCCATAGCACAGAGAGTTTGGGTGCGCATCCAACGGGCTGAGCTGCTGATAAGTGACGGCATTCTGGTTGGTAGTGGTGATTATGTCTACAGTATGGACAGAGAGAATGCGATGCAATACAATGTAATAATGCCATGTGAGTTTGATCTACATGACTTGGACCTGGACGGTCTGAGTGAGGTCTGCCTGCACGTGCAAGGCCCCGTGCTGTTGCACAGGCAGATCAAGTGCTGCAAGGGGCGTGCATGTGTGCAAGGTGCCTTCCATGTTCTGCAGTGAGGTGACTACATGGAAGCGCTGGAGACAGCAATGCCACCGAGTGTGCTGCCTCAGGCACAGCATGGCATCAAGACACCTTCCAAAACTCCCGACTGGGCCATCAAGACTCTGTCCACGCCGCCTTGTGACACGCCAAAGACAGCCCAGGAGCCCCGCGGTTCAGTTCAGGGACCAGGTACAGCGCTGTCCCACTAGAATGCGGCCCCCCACAAGCCTCCGATCTCCGCCGGTTGGGGGCCCCGCCACGCCTAGCAATGGCCAGCCCGTCCACTGTCGCCGTTCCCCGATAACCACCAGGACCTCCTGTAGATATATAGGGAGACACATCGTCGCTTCTCAACCGGCTCGCCCTGGAGCTTCTGGTCTGTTTCGCCTCTTCGAACAATCCTCGCAGCTTTTTTCCATTTGGCACTGTAAGCACAAGATCGAGAGCCGAGAGCCTACACCTGAACTTCGATACTAACACCCCATCAGCACAACCACCTCTTCATTTCCAAGCCACCATATAATCAAGCTCGCCTCTACTGGTCCGTGACAAGACAGTGACTAAACCATTGAGTCTTGGGCACGCCATCCAGCTGCACAGGAATCCTCAAGTCGGTGGTCCAGATAGAGTCCTGCATGGCAGAAAGTGCCACCATGTCGTCGTCTTCTCCCAACCAGCTCTTCCTGGGCTCCTTCATCCACAGTGTCGCTCTTGGCCAGCTCCAATACCTGCACAACACGGCCATATGTGTCAACAGCTCAGGCAAGATCGTGGCCGTCAAGCAGGACTGCGACCGTGACACTGCAGAGCAGACCCTCCTCCCACAGCTTGGCTGGGCTTTGGATAGCGTCACCATCACGACGGCCCAGGATGGCCAGTTCTTCTTCCCTGGCTTCATAGACACGCACGTCCACGCACCACAGTACCCCAATGTCGGCATATTTGGCAAGTCAACACTGCTCGACTGGCTCAATACCTACACCTTCCCGATGGAGTCGTCCATGGCGTGCCTCTCCAAGGCCAGGAGGGTCTACTCCCAATGCATCCGCAAATCGCTTTCCCACGGCACGACAACCGCCTCGTACTTTGCCACAATCCATGTCCCGGCCACAAACTTACTGGCGGATCTTTGCCTGTCCATGGGGCAGCGGGCGTTTGTAGGGCGCGTCTGCATGGACCAGCTAGCACCTGACCACTATCTCGACGAGTCGCCCGAGCAGTCCGTGTCTCGCACCCGGGAAGTCATAAATCATATCCAGTCTGTAGACCCAGAGTATGCCCTCATCACGCCGATCATCACGCCACGCTTTGCTCCATCCTGCTCAGGCCAAACCATGACTGCTCTCGGCGAGCTGCAAAAGGAGACTGCCTTGCCTGTACAAACGCACATCTCCGAGAACAACAACGAGATCAATCTGGTCAAGCAGCAGTTCCCAGGCATTGAGACCTACACGGACGTCTACGACCAGCACGGGTTGCTAACGGACAAGACGATTCTCGCACACGCCATCCACTTGTCAGAGTCAGAAGCCGACCTTATCTCGCAGCGGCAGTCCAAGGTGGCACACTGCCCGTGCTCAAACAGCTCCATCACCAGTGGCGAGGCGCGAGTCCGCTGGCTTCTGGAGAAGGGCATCAGCGTCGGCCTGGGAACGGACATGAGCGGAGGATACAGCCCCAGTATACTAGAAGCGGCGAGGCTGGCCAGCTTGGTGTCGAATCACCTGGCGATGCCAGGGGTCAAGTGGCCGGAGAACGCCACGGACGAGGAGCGCAACAAAGTCAAGCTCAGTGTCGAGGAGGTCCTCCATCTGGCGACCAGAGGTGGCGCAGAAGTTGTCGGGCTGCAGGACAGGATAGGTGGCTTTGACGTCGGCAAGGAGTGGGATGCGCAGCTTATCAAGCTCAATGCCGTGCCGGAGGCGGAGGATGGTGTTGGCAGCGAGTATGGCGGCAATGTCGACGTGTTTGGCTGGGAGACCTGGGAGGAGCGCATCGCCAAGTGGTTGTACAACGGCGACGACAGAAATACCAGCAGGGTCTGGGTCAAGGGCAGACTTGTGCATGAGAAGAAGTAGCGACATTGTGGCAACAAGCCTCTAGGTCATGAAAGTTTTTCCTGATTTTGTCCGACTCAAAAATGGAAATTTGTACACAGCCAGCGTCAGGGTATTTAGGTAGTTGAAATAAATCAGGCACAGAGAAATAATTGGCAGGAGCCAGCGACAACTTTGTTAGTCTCTTCAGACCGCCGATTGCGGAGCTCGTCATAGAACAAAATCGCTGTTAAAACTAACGAGAGCCTGCCCACACGTACTTTAGTTTGTCTCTGGTCTTTAATATTGAGCACTTAGGACATAAATGATCACAATATGGCAGTAACATCATGGCGGGTGCGAAATAATCTGTGTGATCGTATTTGAATATGGCCAGTCTTCAGATCCCGTTCTCGTATTTATTTCTTTCCTCCCCAAACCGCCACCACGCAACAATAAGCTCGCCTCCTGAATAGACTCTCTCTCCACACAAAGCCACGAGGGCCTTGTTTTCTCTGCACAAGCCGGTTTCTTCAACCCCCGTCTCAGCACCAATCGTCCAGCCTGTTTGAACAATGATGCCCGGGTCCGAGGACGCGCACACACAAAAGTCACAAAAGTCTCAAACCACCCTGCTCCTGGCCTGCTCAGAAGACCTCCTTGACCCGCCAACTCGTCGCCAGGACCCGCGCCGCGAGAAAGCAGCTCATGGCGATAAAGTACGACAGCGCGGCGAACACGATGAGCGCGTTCCATCCTTGCTCGCTCGCCGCGCCGCCGCCGCCGCCGACGCTGAGCAACGCGCCGCCGATGGGGACGCTAGTGAGCGTGCCGAAGCTGCCGAGCATCAGGGCGGTCGAGTAGAAGCGGCCGTAGTCGCGGGCCTCGCACAGCTGCCCGATGCAGACGGGGAACAGGCCCAGGTTGCTGCCCGACATGAAGCCGAAGACGATGACAAAGACGATGAGGAGGGCGTCGGCGCCGGGGCCGGCGGGGACCCAGGCGACGGGGAGCCAGAGGCCGAGGATGGTGGCGGCGCAGAGGCCGTTGGTCACCACGATGACGTTGAAGCGCCCGACCTTGTCGGCGAGGAAGCCGGGGAGGAAGCGGCCGAAGAAGGAGCCGACGTTGAGCAGGGCGAGGAGGGTGTACGCCGGGCCTGCAGTGTCGTTATGCGAGGACGAGGACGATGAGGCCTTGTGGTCCGCCGCGTAGGACACGATAAAGGTCAGCGGGATGAAGATGCCCCATTCCATGAACCACAGGCCGAGGCAGCAGAGGAGATACTTGGAATCCTTGAAGAGGCTCCAGTCGGGCATCACGCTGCTCTTGGTTGACGGGGGGCCAGCGGTCACGGCAGTGACGGTCCCCTGCTCGGTGACGTCTTGCTGCTGCTGCTGCTGAAGTTTGAGCTTCTTCTTTGTCGGCGTGAGGCGCGACCGCACAAGCAAGTTGGCCGGCACCGCGAGCGCAAGCAGGATGAAGCCGCTGATCCGCGTGCTCCAGCCAAAGCCCAAGCGGGGGAAAGTAGCCTGGAACAAGAAGGGGAACGCGATGCCGCCAATGGAGCCGCTGGTGGCCGCCATACCCGTAGCCAGGCCGCGGCGGGCCTTGAAAAAGTGCGCGATGACGCCGTATGCGGGGACGTTGAGCAGCGCACCACCCAGGCCGCCAAGGACCGAGTAGGTCAGGAGGATCTGGTAGTACTCAGTCGAGACGCTGAGGAGCATTTGGCTGGCTACGACCATGATGCTGCCAACAGCCACAAGCCAACGCGGGCCGTAGGCGTCAAAGATGGGGCCAGCCTGGATGCCTGCGAAGAAGACGAGGAAGAGGTACACGCTGAAGATCCAGCCAATGGTCGAGCTGTCGTAGCCCTTGAGCTGGTTGTTGGAAAAGTACGACTCGAAGATGGCGGCCGAGTTGATGAGCCCGTAGACGGAGATCATTGCGCAGAAGGAGCCAAACACCACGAGCCAGGCCTCGAGGCCGCCCTCGGGGAAGTCGTCGTCGCCATTGCTGTTGTCGGCGGTGTTGCCAGCAGCGGCATGTGGCTGGACTTGGTCGGCAGGGGCAGCCTTCTCGTTGTCGCTGCTGGGGGCCGTCACCGCGCGGGGGCTACCCAGGGGAGCATCATGCTCTACAGCAGCGGCAGCACGAGAAGTGCCACTACGGTTGTTGTTGTTGGCATTGTTGCTCTGCTCAGGAAGAGGCAGAGACGACGATGCAGGGGGGATGTGATCGGGGACTAACGCCGGCGGTGCCTCGACGACACGCGAGCCCGCCGGGACAGTTTGGTTCACGGAGCAGCTGTCATCTGCATGGTCGGGCCGTTGTGTCATAAGGTTTCTTGCCCTCGCTCTCCTTTGTCTACCGGTTGCTCATCAGAGAGGATGTGGCAGGAGGGGGAGAAACAAGGATTAGAGATATGGATTTTGGACGCTATTGGAGAGGATGCTCGAACGATTCGAGAGCAAGAATCTCCTTCGTTGGCCCTTCGTTGCCCGGCTCGGAAGAAACTTTGATGTAAGTCTCGACGAGGACAGAAGTAGCACACCAACTCTTTTGTTGCGTGTGACAAAGCACCAGCCAGGAGGAAAAAGTGGTTGTCGGCTCAAGCCTAGAGTGTTGCAAAATCAAGGCTAAACTGTTGGAGCAGGAACGAAGGAAAAAGACGAGGCTCTTTATATCTGCCCGGCCAAGCGTGGTCTGGTCGGGCCTGCTGGATTTCCCCACGCGCCTCAGCGGGGCCGTCCAGATTGTGGGGCCGCCCGAGGAAGAAAGACGGGAAAAAAGGAAAAAAAGGAAGAGAAATCCTTGGCGCGGTCGGCCGGCTCCGGTGCCCGCCCGGCCCAATGCAACCACAGCCAGGCTCCCCCTTTGAGCTTTGAGGCTGAAGGTGGTGGTGGCCGGCTGGGCAACCCGAAGGTTGGGGTCGGCATGCACCAAGCGAGTCGGCTTCCAGTCCTGTTGCCTCTCAATCTTGACACTCACAGTCTTATCTGTGAGAGAAGGGAGGGACGACTTTTCTGAGTTGAATACGCCAAAATTTTTGGCAATGCAGAGAGACAGACATTCGTTCCTAACGAGACTGGCGCTGTCTCCCAATAGCTCTGGCAAACCTTCCCCCTCTCACTCGTGATGCAGCCAATAGGAGGAGTCTTGCCAGTGGAGGATCACAGGTCGCGCCCTACGACGACCAGCAGTTCAGTGCAAGCTCGACACGCTACCATAGGCTACTGCGGCCAAAGATCCAACTCCTGGAAACTACACTCCGAGAACACGGACCTCGAGTTCCACTCTGTTACGTAATGGCAACTCAACGCCCAGTGCGCTGTCCGGCGGTCTCCCCGGCCATTCGTCATTGCTTTCTTCCTGCATCCTGTCGTTGCGGTGAACAAAGGACTTTCCGTGTCCGTTTCAACAAAGGGCCGGCGTGATGGGATTGGGTCAACATGGCAAAAGCTTGGTCCTTCGAACGCAAATTCGTGCTTGATGGACGGGCACAATCACCATTTGCCGAGTTGTACAGGGATTGGCATGCTTACAGTACCTGGTAACGTGCATAGAAAAGACGGTTTTGCTCTCTGAAACACGCTTCAAGTTGCAGAGACATAACAGAAGGCCTTGTATTTGTGAAGAGTATTCTACCTTATCCTGTGCCTCAACGCCAGAACTACCAAGGGGAATCATGAAACAGGGAAGAGTCCAGGGGAATCATGAATTGTCCCGGAAATTACCATACCATAACGAGCACTTTCTACAACATCGTCCTATCCTTTGTCTACATTACGCGTTCTCCAGGGCTCAATGCTGACGGTTGTTCTGGAACAAATCATAAATGCTCTGATCGCTCGTCTGGTCATAGACGTGGCCGCTGTAGCCAGACACATTGCTAGACCGCTGTGTGTTTCCCTGGTATGTCGGCACCGAGTTGGCGTTCGTCGAGCTCGTCCCATAAGCAGTCGAAGTGCGATTGTTACCCGAAGTCATGCCATACCAGTTTTGTTGTGAGTGGTTGTCGTTCGCGTTTGCCATCTGTTGGTTGCCGTAGCTGCCATAGGTCGACTGATTCGAATTGTAGGTATTGCTGATGCCGGAGTTGCCCTCTGGCATCATATTGTCGACCCCATAGGCAGTCGATGTCTCGTTACTTGGCAGACCGTAGTTGTATGATGTATGGGCTTGTGATGCTGACGACTGTTGTGCCGTCCATCGGTTGTTCGCAGGCTGGCTGTTATTGCGGTCACGGCTTACATATGTCCGGGTCGCTGCAGCCGCACTAGTGGTAGTACTGGGGCTTTTCGAGTATGGGTCTGCCTGTGCACTCGCATATGAAGGTAGCGATAAGCTCGTGGGCGGTGTTTGTTTCGTTGCTTTCGGCTTGTTGCCATATGCAGTGGGCTGGTGAGCCCCATTGCCAGAATTCTGTGGTTTCCAAGAGGACGTATGGTTTTCGGTCCTCGCCTCGTTATATCGTTGGTAGTTGTCCTGCGTCGCTGTGCCTAATGTGTTTGAGGTGCTTGGGTATGCCTGTGAGCCGGTGGCCTGATGTGTTGTTCCGTACACCGACTGCGATGATCCGCGATGTGAATTCGAAGACCCCGGTCCTTGTGATCTGGTAGGCTCCGCAGGCATTGGATTAGGGCTGGTTCGGTATTGAGTGCTGTTGGTCACGGCGCCGGGCTGCCTCGCCGCAGAGGCTTGAGAGTTTGCAGACTGCTGTGGCGGAGCTGCTGGACTGGGAATGGCTGCGGTAGAAGCAGGCTTTCTCGATCTCGGTCTGCTCCCTATCTGCTGCGCAAGCATGGTGGGTGACGGTGTCATGTGCGGACTGCTTTGCGAAAACTGAAGCTTGACGTGGTGGCACAGCCTCCATGTTTGTCGGAGTGCCTTTCTGTCGAGCTCCTGGGCCGCTTGGCAGAGTTCGGCGATGGTCCAACAATCTCGGCGGCGGCACCGGCGTCTGAGTTGTTGGCGGAGATCTAGCCGCACCTGATCGCTTTGGTTGACCAGAGCTCTTCGCAGTTGTGACAGTACTCTGGCGCGGGGTGCCCAAGGCCTGCTGGACGGCATCCAGAGCGGTGGTGAACTCGGGAAGTGGCTGCTGCGGAAAAGCGAGGCGGTCCATTGCCGCTTGGGGCTGCGGGACAGCAGTCATGTTATTGTGTTGCTGGTCATGAGAGTTCAAGCCGGTCGCGTGAGCGTTAGCTCCTACTGAAGAACCATTCGCGGCTTGATCTGGCTCCATCTCCGCCTCTTGATCAGAATGGGCTTCTGCCAGAGTCTTTTCTGACTTGCGGCGAGGCTTGGCTGGAGCATAGAAGCACTGTTCGCCCGGTGTCAACACGCAATTGCTGCATTCTGGCCTCTCCTCCGTACATTTGACTTTTCGTCTCTTGCAGTTGTCACATGCTCCCCGAGTCATCCTAATGCCTGAGGGCTTCAGTGTCGATGTCGTTGTGCCCACCACTCCATTCTCTTCGACATCAACAACGGCCCCGTCTCCAATAGAGACCTTGGTACTGCCGCCATCTTCTGGGGCAGCTTGAGGACCCGACAGGCTGGGGTCAATGTTCGCTGCAGGGATGGGTGCGGCACCTGCCGGAGCTGGACTTGCAGAGTTATTATCCGCGGCGTCGTTCGGGTGAACGATTCGCAAACGTTCAGCTCCATACATGGCGAACATTTCCAAAGACGTCTCTTGTAGTGAAGGAGCCTGGTTTGCGAAAATGTTGAGCTGCTCATTTGACAATGTGGACGGGTTGATGCCTTTGCCTGCCAAAAGCCGAATCGCAGCTTCCCTGCGCCGCTCTGCCTCAGCCGGAGGCACATTGAGCGGTGTGAAGCTAGGAGCAGGCGGCGAAGTCGTCGCCATCGCCATCGCCGTCGCCGGTGCCGTAGTCGTCGTGATTGCCGCTGGACCTGCATGTGCATCTTGAGTGGCTGCGGCGGCTTGTGATGCTGGTGTCGCCTCGCTAGTTGCTTGTGAGTCCAACGGTTTGACTTTTGACTTCCGTGGCTTCTTCTTGCGTGCAGGCGGCTCTTCCCCTTCTAACCCTTCTTCTCCCGCACTTGGTGCCGGTCGTTTCCTCTTCTTCTGTGTGCTCTCCACGCCCTCGGCTAGAGGAGGTCGCTTCGCCTTCGGTGTTCGGTGCGCATTTGCAGCTCCGGTCTTAGCGGAGACTGGTGGAATCGTTGCCGGCGCGAGCAGATCCATAAGTTGAGCGACGGTCTTATGTAGTGGTGTGTGCTCGTACTTGACCACAATCGCACGACTAGCTTTCGAGAAGGCGATCGATAGAGTGCCGCGACAATCGAAAGCCGGGCGTACTACATACATATATGTTAGAAACCGAGCGGCGCGGTCGCAAACCCCGTGAAGTCTGACTAACCGGCATTGACGCTATCAAGCCCTCCAGGGCCACTCCATTCGCCTATCGCAAACTTGCTGGGCGTCTTCGAGGTCGCGCGCGTCCATGCCTGCAAAGACTCCTTGCATATGTATGTAAAAGTCCAGCCTTGCGATGCCCGCCCAACTTCCCGCGCAACCCAGGAGGTGCCGTCCACGGCACCGATCCGGCCAATGATGTGCTTCGCGATCGCCTTCTGCAGCTCCGGGTCATCAGAGGGCTGCTTCTCGATCGCCTCTGCCGCAGTAACCCTCCTTGTCGCGCCGTCGTTCTGTAGCAACATGACCGGGTCGTGTGTCGCGTCGTCGGCGTTTGCGCTGAGGTTGAACATGGCGTGGTACTGAAACTCGCGCGTGACCGAGACGTGCTCGGCGCGCCATTCTGAGCATTTTGCCCGGATCTTGCCGTCGAAATGGCTTTGGAGGTCGTCGACGGAGTGGCAGGCAATGTTGTTGCGGCCGCGAGCATCGCCAGGCAGCCCAAGCTCAAGGAGGGCGTCCATGCTGGGGCGTTTGGCGAACGCAGTCGCAAAGGCTATCACGTCGTCGGCATGACGGTTCCGAAGTCTCTGTGACTTCGAGGCTCGGGACTCTGCTGTCGCGACTTCGTCCCTAAGCGTATGGGCGGTACAAGGCGCAGTTGCGGCAGCCGTGTCGCGATGGCCGAAGCGCTTGCAGAAGTTGTTGGAGACGAGACACAAACACGTGTGGCCGAGTTGACGCCAACCGCGATTGGACGTTGGGAGGGCGGGGGCTACTCCAGAGATGTACCCACAGCGTGGCAGCCCGGGGTGCGGCAAGGCAAGGCTAGCAGCCATGACCAGGCACGCTCCAGGGCTAACAACAGCACCCTGGTCCTTTGCGTAAACCATGGATATATATTCACAGCTTCACGATATCGGCTTCTAAATGGAAGACCTATTTTCTCTGCATTATTCCTATTCTACCGATAAACACATTGACTCCGGTTAAAAGCCGTGCACGAGTACCACGAGCTTGTCAAACAAGGACCCCCAAATCATGGAATCATAATAAGCACCTTCAGGTAAGCACTTACACGCCTAAGGCTGCCACTGCTGTTCATCAACTCAAGTCACCGAACATTGACACAATATCGTTTGCACGAAATGCAAAGGAATTTCGCCTCACATGCCATGTTGCTTTCATTCATAAGACGGTCACTTTTGGTGAAAGATGTTTTACTTTTGTTCGTCTTGTTGGGAAGAATCAAGCCGGCTTCACATGTTCTCCTCTGCCCACTGCTCTACGCGTTCGACCAGGTCCTTTTTTAGACCCTTCGCTTCTATGCCTCGCTCAACCAGCACAGTCTTCAGGTCTGCCACAGTGAGCTTCGATAGTGTGCCATCCTTGTACCGTCTCTTCAGCACTGCATCGTTGCTCACACCACTATCTCCGCCTTTGGAACTTCCTGTCGCCGCTGCCTTGGACTTCTTCGCGCGTGGTGGCTCGTCATCGTCGTCTTGCAGGTCTCTCTTGACGGATTTTCTGTCCTGAATTTGTCCTAGCACGTCATTTGCAGTGGCAGCCCACTCTTGTACTGTCGCAAAGGTCAGATACAATCCTTCGCGTAGGCAACACGGATAGAACTTACTATAGGCGCCACAGCGCTTGTGGATGGCGCGATACTTCGGCACAGTAGCATCGTCGGGTTGCTCGGGCACCTCATCCTCGAGGGCAAGAGCCTGCAGGATTCTGTAGTGCCATTGAAGGGCCGGATTGGGATATTTCGCCGGGTTGTAGCTTGCTGCGGGTAATTGCAGCTGGCGGATAATCGTGTGCATCTTGTTTGCAAGGTCTGGCGTCGTTTTCAGGCGCCCCGTCATGCCTTCTGGTGGTTCTCGGACATCGTCGGCGAAGGGAATTGGAACGAGCCATAGGCCTGCAGGAATAGCCTCAATCCCAGACGGCTCAGCGGAGGGTCCTCTTGATGGCACGATCGCGACGAGTTGAGGGTTGCCGTTCTTCCTGGCGATGTGCCAAGCAATTCCGATCTTGTCGGATTTGAGTAGCTTCGCCCACAGAGCTGAGAACACCCTGGTGGAGCCAACAAAGCCCTCTTCACTCGGGAAGATGAATGTCGACTTCTTCACAGCGTGCCAGAATTTGAGCAGTGACCGGTTCTTGAAACCAATAACTCGTATGACCGCACCTCCAAACTGCTTGATGGAGCCCTGCTCCTCTTCGCTGAAGTATACGTACTCCCCACCGAACTTGTAAGCCTTCTTGACCTCGCCAGTTTCAACTGTGCGAGCGCTGTCTTCCGCGATCCGGGCTGTCTCACCGACAGCTATCTGGGCTTTCTCATCGTCGAGCCAAACATAGCAACTTCTTGCAGGCATTTGTTTTTGAAGAATGATGTAGCCTTTTACGGATATTGTCAAGCCTGGGCCGAGCTCGAAAGGCATGTTTGAGAAGTAGGCACGCTTGGGAGTCTGCTTTGAGTTGATGTTAGAGACCAAAGAGTTCATCAAGGTGATGCCATCGCCCGATGTCGCCTTTGACACTCGATAGGAGCTCGTCTCGTCTGACGTCGGATCTCGGTAGATGATATCCTGCAAGTCATTGTCAGTTTTTTACCCCGAGCTTCAGCAAACTGTCCTTTGCACTGACATCGTAAAATTTGGTCAAGTCAAATTTGTTGTCTCCTCGCGTGATAGCGAAAAGGTCTATTGTCACTCCTAGATCATACAGATCCTTTGCCCGGGTCGCTGCGGCCTCCTTCGATTTCTTGTCATTGGCATGTGGATCATCATTGTCCGTGATGATGAACAGCCGCCGCGAACCAAAGTTGGGCGCTTTCGTCGTGAAGATCTGATTAGCACAGAACAACACGGATGACATGCTGACTTGCTCCTTAGCCGGAACCAGGATCTCGGAGGCTTCCTCGCTATCGTCTTCCAGCAAGGCCTTCAGCGCCTTGACATCCTCGGCAGAAGGGATGTCGAGGTCAGTGTAGACATAGCAGTGCGGGTAGCCCAGTGCACTCTGATGGCCGTCGCCTTCGCGGAACTTGGTCCCCTCCGTGCCAAAGAACATTATGCCCATCATGTCTTTGGGATTGGATATGATGCGCTGCTGCATCAGCTGATTTGCACATTTCAAGGCTGCAAGTACAGCCGAGTCCTTGTCCGCTTTCTTATCGTCTGAGTGAGGCGGGACTTGCAGCATGGAGCTGCTGACGTCTATGGCGAAGATCAAGGCATCTTTCTGAGCTTTGTAGTCCTGGCGACGCTATTAGCAAGTGTCGCAGGCTGGGAGCAACAAGTTTGGTTTCTTACCATCTCGCCCAACTCCTCCTCTTCCTCCTCCTCATCTCTTCTCTCGTACTCAGATCGATCCCCCATTGTGACTGGGTATACCAGATCGTCAAGAGTCCAGCTTTGGAAGAGGGTGTCGGTGTTCAGTGAATAGTGGTCTATCAGCTTATAACCACTCAATTGCAACGATGCAAGCTGTACCGGTAGGAAGAAATGTCTATTTTGTTCACACTTGGGACAGAGATGCCTGGTGATGGTTGTCGCGAATCAGGCAGATGTCGTCACCCCGGCGCGTTTGCCCTGTCGCGTAACTACAGCAGGCAGCCGCGTCCTCATGTGACCTGAAGTGGACTGGGGAAGCGCAGGGCAGACGCTCCCCACAATGCACAATGCCGCTGTCCCCGGAACTGTCCGAAACAGGCCTCGTCTAATTTCCAGTGTCCGGAATTTCACCAAGCACCCCAGTAATGGAGCTAGTTGATCTGCGCGGCGGCCGAGGCGATGCTCAATCGCAAAGAACAATGCTGTCATCGGGGAAAGTTGAGCTCCACCCCGGCCGGCAAAGTCTCATTCCGTGGGCGAGTAGAATTGGCCGGATTTGATCGACCACGACACAAGCAGTGTTCCTGCGACATTCCAATTCTGCTTTCTAGCGCCTTTTTCACACCACGTCTCATTTCTCCGGGCTTGCAGTTTTTCCTTACAAGCTCCGCGCTCATTTCACAGACTCGACCACCACAATGGCGACAATCAGACCATCTGTTCTCCGGCTATCCCGCAGAGCCGCGTCCTCCGCGCTCACGGGGCCGTCAACGCCCATCGCGCCGGCTCTTTCGAGTAAATTCCTCCAGTCTAGATCCTTCGCGACGCCCGTACCGCCAGTGACTCAAAATGCCGTCGGCTCCAAGGGCCCAACCGCCATGGTCTTCCTGAACATGGGTGGTCCCTCGACTGTCGACGAAGTCGGCGACTTCCTCAGTGCTCTCTTTGTAAGTCGCCCAAGACTGATCTCCACGAAAACATGCTAGATCTAGCAAACACTGACAGCATCGTGTGGCATAGGCCGATGGCGACCTCATCCCCCTCGGTCGCTTGCAGAACTACATCGGTCCCATCCTTGGCCGGCGGAGAACACCCAAGATCCAACAGCAGTACTCGGAAATCGGCGGCGGCTCACCGATCCGGAAATGGACCGAGTACCAGAATGCGGAGATGTGCAAGCTCCTAGACAAAATCTCTCCAGAGACAGCGCCGCACAAGCCATACGTGGCCTTCCGCTACGCGCACCCGCTGACCGAGGAGATGTACACGAAGCTGCTGGACGACGGGTTTGGCAACGGCAAGGGCGGAAGAGCTGTGGCCTTTACTCAGTACCCGCAATACTCTTGCTCGACGACAGGAAGCAGTCTCAATGAGCTCTGGAAGTGGCGGCAGCGGATGGAGGGCAAGGCTGGGTCTGGTGCCATCCAGTGGAGTGTCATTGACAGATGGCCCGCGCATCCAGGCTTGGTTGAGGCTTTCGCCTCGAACATCGAGAAGACATTGGAGACGTACCCCGAAGAGCGTCGGAAGGACGTTGTCTTGCTGTTCTCAGCTCACAGTCTGCCCATGTCCGTTGTCAACAGAGGTATGCCGGTCTTATGCTAAGGTCACAGACGAATCAATGCTGACTGCAACTTGTTCTAGGTGATCCTTACCCCGCTGAAGTCGCCGCGACGGTATACGCCGTCATGCAAAGACTCAAGTTCTCCAACCCCTACCGGCTGTGCTGGCAGTCACAGGTTGGCCCTCAACCCTGGCTGGGCCCGCAGACACAGATGTCTGTCGAAGAGTATGTCAAGAAGGGCCAAACGGATTTGGCATTGATCCCGATCGCCTTCACGTCCGACCACATTGAAACGCTGTACGAACTGGACAAGGAAGTCATTGGGGAGTCGGGCCACGCAGACACCATCAAGCGCGTGGAGAGCCTGAACGGCAACCCCATCTTCATCGAGGCTCTGGCGGACCTGGCCAAAACACATCTGCAGAGCGGTGTTGCGTGCTCGTACCAGATGGGCTTGCGATGTCCTGGCTGCAAGAGCGAGCGCTGCGCCGAGTCAAAGAAGTTCTTTGCCGGCCCTGAAAACGCGTTTGCCGTTTGAGGAGCGGCAAACATATTGTAACATTAGCTCGATACCACTTTTGCAAGGATTAGAACAAAAGATTCAGATTTGCGTTGCCCTTCTGAACGCGTTGGGCTCAATGTCCACGGCCAATGCACGTTAAGCAAGTGTATGCCGGAGTTAGAGGCCTTCGGATGTCCGTCTTGGCCTGCAGCCTTCACAGCCAGCCACGTTGCAGGACCTCGGAACGGGCGTAAGCTTGTGCAGACTGGACCCCACTTGCCGGGTCCAACGCCCCGGTCTCGCAGGCTTCGTTGGTTGTGCGGAGTCCACGGAGCAGCTGCAGCTCCACGAGATGACTCCGTCATCGATCCATGCTCTGTCGTCCCTGGGCCGGAACTCTTCTGAAAATCAATACGTGCCCTATGATTCAGACAGTCACGCTATGTCGCGGAATGAAAAGTGCTTGATAATCAAGGTTCGCACCTGAACACAAGGGAGACCTGGTACAGCACCGATGCCGGCCAGAGCAGGCTGGAGCTTGTACCTTAGGCTTGTGATTGTTCAGGACAAGGTTTCTTTCTTGGTGTCAAAGCCGTCGTGCAAACAATCCAATCCACTATCAGTATTGAACAGCTTGTCTGGGCTTGTTGTGTTGCCAGATGGACACATGGCAGTTTTCCACGTCGTGTACCAATGAGAGCATGCCGAGGCATGAGACATTGACCAGACCGGGAGCAACGCAACTTGTGTTGTCCCTGGTCTTTGGTGGTTGTTGTTTTAGTTTGATGATGCGGCCGATGCGGATGAGTGACCACCAACCGCTGCTCTTCACTGGTGGCGATAAGCACTCTAAGTACGCTTCGTGGTGTCCGAGCCAGTAGCGAGAGGGGCTTGTCTCGCACACAGATCCTGACATGGAGAAAACAAAGAAGTCGATGACTCGGGTACCTCTGTTGGGAGGGCGCAAGATATGCCCCTAGCCAGGACTAAGACGCCCGACGCGGCGGAACTAAGGCGGGTGGTCCGAAGCTCTCCACATCCACTCTTGCTTGCTTTTCAATCATCAGGGAGAGTGGAGGAGGAAGAAGAAGAAGCTGGCTGGGCCGATCCCTGCTCTGTGCCTCTCCACGCGCACGCCGACGTGGGGCCCTGCCTGCCTGTCGACGAAGCTTGACGAGCTGCCAAATGGGATTCCCAGATAACGATTCCGGCCCACCACCAGAATAGAAGGAACGCCCCGAAGCCTGCTGCCCTCCCTGCCATTGATGCCACGCCCGCATCGCCCGCGCGTCAGGATTACCCAATCCATCCGAGTTTCACATCTGCGACTCGCCCGGCTGGCTGCGCTCTGTCTTCCCTGGACAACTCCCAAAACCTCTACTCGATCAACCTCTGTGGTCTGCTCACGCGCTCCCTGCTTCCCGCCCGGTGTGTGCATCTACGCAGGGCGATTGTGAGCACCAGCTTGCGAGAGCAGCAACAAACGCCGCCGCTGCCGGACATTCCGTTCGCCCCCCACGCTCTTGTCCCAGCTTCCAGTATCCAGCCGCCTGGCCAACTCCGGCTTCCTTGTCTCGGGCCAAAGAATGTGAAAGGAAGCGCTCCAAGTCTTACATTCTCGTTATCCACCAGATCAGGGGCTGTAGCACAGTGCTCTGCTGTACTCATTTCCAAATCTGGCTCCGTGGACGACCTACCTGTATCAACAACTTAACTTCACTGAGCTCCGCGCCTGCTCTATTTCACCCCGTCCGTCTTCCATAACTCACGCTCCGCATCGTGCATCACAACGTCATCTGCCATGACAATTTCAAAGCCATCGGCGGGCCATGACGGCTCACTTATCACGGGGGTCAACTCAGTCCGCGGGAATCGCAACTCGATGGACCAAAACGAGTCAGCGCCATTGCTCGGCGCTGCTGCAGAAGAGCAGCCGAGACCACGGACCGGCAGCTATCCGGGTTCCGAGGACTTTGACGATCTTCCCTGGCATAGGCGTCCTACTGTTAGTTATCGCCTCCAGCGAATGACCGGCCATGGCCTTGACTTATGCGTAGCCCGACTAACCGGTTGCTTCCTCTAGGTCTTATGGCTTGTCGGCCCGTTCTTGCTCTTCACGTTGGCATTTGGAGGCGTCATCGTGCCCAAGCTCAATCTGTAAGCCAATATCTTCGGCGCGTCATGCAGCACTATAGCGTGCAGTACATCCACACGGGCTAATCTCAGCCCACGGCTTGCAGCATTGTCGATCTTGTGTGCCACCAGTACTATGCCGAGCGACAAGCTACATCCCCAGCTGCTCCTTTCGGCGAAGAGCCAGCCAAGGATTTGTGCCACAGTGCCGGGGTGCAGAAAAAGGTTGCGCAGTTCACCTTGATCCTGCAAGTTCTCACTGGGCTGTGCAGTGCTATCAGTGCCCCCAAGCTCGGCGCCCTCTCGGACCGTTATGGCCGTGTGCGCCTCCTGGTCGTTACGTCTTGTGGCGGTATACTTAACGAGGTCATCACCATCATGGCAGCCAAGTTCCCGAACGTGGTCGACTACCGGTGGCTGATCCTGGGTGCCTTCTTTGATGGCATTTGCGGGTCTTTTACTGCCGGCAGCATCTTGACGAATGCCTACGCAAGTGACTGCAGTCCCCCCTCGAAGAGGGGCGTCTATATCGGCTACCTGCAAGCCTGTCTCTTCGGGGGTCTGGCATTTGGACCTCTGATTGCTGCTTATTTCGTCAAATGGACAGGCTCTCTCCTGTCGATCTTCTATGTCACTCTAGGGTGCCACATTATCTTTGCTACCTTCATATGGTTCTTTGTACCGGAATCCTTGTCTCTCAAGCGCCAACTACTTGCCAGGGACAAGCATAGGGCGGATAAGGAAGAAGCCGTCCGACGATACGGGTCTGCGTGGACGCCCGCAAGCCTGGTCGAGACACCTGAATCCCTCTCTGGCCATATCGACAATGCGGCCGCGGCTCGTTCTGCCAGCCTGGCTTCTTCCCTCTGGCTGCCCGGTTGGCTTGCGCTGAATCCCTTCGCGCCATTACGTGCACTTGCGCCGCGGGGCCGGGAGAACGGAAAGGTTCGCCGCAACCTCATTCTTCTGACTGCAATCGATGCGATCTTGTTGTCGACAGCTTTTGGAGCCGGTACCGTCATTGTGCTTTACACCGAGTTCATGTTTGATTGGGGCACGCTTGAAGCTGGCCGCTTCATCTCGGCAACAAGCATGATCCGGGTGTTGGTTCTCCTTGGACTTGTGCCTGCGCTTAACTACGTCTTCCGCGTCAGACCCTTGAGACAGCGTCGTCTCGAAAACAACAACATTCACGTCATGGAGACGAATGCTGGCGCCGACAATCTTGACTTGTGGATGCTGCGAGCCGCGCTTGTTAGCGACTGTTTGGGTATCTTTGGCTACATCATATCACGGCGACCCGAGTTCTTTGTGCTCAGTGGCTTCGTGGCATCGATCGGTGGCTTGGGAAGTGCCACGATCCAGGGTGCAATCACAAAGCATGTGCCTTCGGAACGGGTTGGCGCCCTTCTAGGTGCCATCGGTCTCGTCCATTCGCTAGGGAGGGTCACGGCGCCCATCGTCTTCAACGGTCTGTATGCGGCGACGGTTGAGACGTTCCCTCAGGCATTGTTTGTGCTCCTGCTGGCCTTGTTCGTGCTTGCGCTGTTCGTCTCCTTCTTTGTGCGGCCATTTGGTAAGCTTGATGACACCCCAGTCTCTATGGCCCAGAATCTTACTGACCGGGTCTCTCTAGTTCATCTCAAGGAAGACGGTTACGCATCCGTGCCTTCAGTACTGGTCGACGAGGACAACCATGTCACAGAATACCTCTCTGTTGCTATTGCGGTCGAGGAGCAGGAGAGCGAGACGCTTCCCCATATCGACAGGTAGAGTCGTCGTGTATCTCGTTTTATTATTAGATGGCGGTGCATGGGGGTGGAACGAACTACTCATCTGCATTTTTATTTATTTATTTTTTAAGTCATTCAGGACATTTCCAGGTTTTGCATGTATACATTACTTTGCACAAGATACTCGATGGTTGGTAGAAGCATTAGTGCAGATCTCTTGTTCCATAGGCGTCGCTCGCCAACCTTAAGCATTCAGGGTTCGTTAAGTCTAGAGGGCTGGGCCACATTCACGTAGACCGAAGTATTGAGTGTCAAGAGCCAAGATCCACATGATGATCCAACGATTAACCCATCAGACCATGGGCCCCGGCTTGGTGCTTCTTCTCATCTTACAATGTTTGCTGCGTGTAATTTCGCGTAAGGATGACGTCTGTTTGTTTTGCTTGCGATGCGGGCAGCGGCCCAACAAACAGCAAAGTCGCCGCTGGTCGGTCCCCCTTGTCTGGGAGGAAGAGGACCGCGTCATGCAAATCCGCTAAAACGCGTAAAGATCGCTGTGCGATCCGCCATAGCGAGGTTCTACTGCAAGGTGCAGCGGTCTCGCAGGAGAGGGTTTCAGAGGGGCAGGCGCTTTCCCCGGGCGGCCTGGGCTGGGGCTGTGACGCAGCATGCCCCAAGGGCCTTTTAGGTTCGCGACCTCCACCAACCCTAGCGCGCGTCTCGTGGTAAACACTTCACTTTCTTGAACGCTTTCAAGCACAAAGCACGAAAGCATACTTGTTGGGAATAACAAGATACACCAAATCCAAAGGTACACATATGTAGGCCTAGTGTGACCTCTCAAGTCTACCAGAAACCCCGCAATACTCAGACGACAATGCCTACAGCGCAGTCACAAGTGAGCACCTCTCTCTAGCTTGGCTAGTCCCCGCCGACGCGCGGAGCCCGACTTACACGCGCCTCCCGTGCTTCCTCCCGGCTATGCGCCACGACGATTACTCCGTGTCTCTTCAGGATGCGATACTGATCAAGGACGGCAGAAATCACGCGTGCCGCTTGGCGACGCAAGCGCCAGAACGAACCAAGATGTCTCTGGTGTCGCAACTCCTGGCCTCAAGCCCCCACACCAGGCCCAGAAGACCATGTCGTGGGAAGAGGCCGAAAAGGCCGCCATGGCGGTTTTCAACGCGGAGCAGCCAGCCAGTAAAGACGTGCCTCGGAACCCCCAGTCTGAACAGAGCCAGATGAATGGTGCCCAGCAGGATGCTGCAAAGGCCAAACCAGCCGCGGCGGAGAAGACGAAGAAGAGGAAGTCGAGCAGCAGCACAGGCGCATCCACAGACACGGGCAGTGCCGCGAGCAAAAAGCGCAAGGCCGAGCAGTCGCTGGAGGAGGACATTGCCAACTACACCCAGGACCTGAACGACCGATTCGACCCCGACGGCCCGTGGGGGCCCATGGACGAGAGCTGCCAGAAGGTGCGGGGCCGACTGACCAGGCTCTTCGATAACGACATCATGACCAAGACGGCCTTCTGCGATGCGATCGGGGTCAGCAGCCACTCCCTGCGGGGGTTCCTCACCAACAAAGGCACCATGGGCGGACAGGGCAGTTCGACCTACGACAACGCGTGGGTGTGGTTCAAGCAGCGGGAGCTGGCGGGCCTGAAGATGCCCGACGCCAAGAGGCGCAAGCAGAAGATTGCCGACCAGCAGGCAAAGGACAAGGGGACCGCGACGCCGAGTGGCAAGGCGCCTGCCAAGGACCTCGGCCTGCCCGACATCAGCGACATTGAGCTCCCGGGAGAGGGTGGGGACGTCGTGGCGTGCTTTGACAACTGCGACGAGGTGCGTCGCAAGATCAACGCGCACATGAAGATCCCCGGTGTCACGGCGGCGCAGTTCTGCCGGGATCTGTTCGCACAGTTGAGCGAGCCGGAGACCGGGGCGATCCAGAGCTCGACGCTGACCCGGTTCCGCAACGCCAAGGGCCCCGTCGCGGGGGCCAAGTCGATCGTGTACTACACCGCGTACGTGTACTTTGAGAAGCTTCGCATCGCGCAGGGCAGGCCCAAGACGGAGCACCGCAAGAGGATGGAGGAGGCTTGGGGGGTCAGTGGCATGCGGCGTGATGCGGACGACAACACTCGGTAAGTTTGCTTCCACGTCCTGAGAAATGCCAGACAAGGGTGGTGTTTGAGTTTGCTGTTGCCCTTGAAATGTACCTCCTCGACTGATGTAGTGCTGACGCCCCTGCTAGGTTCTTGACCTGTGGCAACGAGCGGCCATGGGTTGATGAGTTTGGAAAGTTCCATTTCGGCCACAGATGAAGCCTGCGATGCTTGCGGGAAAAGAACTTGGATTTCGGGACGTGGCGTTTAGATTTTTTGGGTTTGTTTCTTCTTCATGGGAAGAACAGGTGCCAATGGCGCAATCTGTGTACTATAATCATTGGATGGTAAAGTTTGGGTTTCCATTGTGAGCTTATATTTTTCATTGTGTCAGTGCACGTGGCAGGCGAAGTATCTGCAATAAGGTTGAATCCCCGCGATGACAGAAAGCGTTGACGGCGTAGTGTGGGTTTTGGCTGACAATGGAACTGTTACGTCATACGGGCGCAACGCACCCCTTGCGCTAATGCAACCTCACCTTAATCCGACCCGGCGACAAAGACAAGGGTCCCTCCGAAGCGTGCTGATCTGCTTTCCCAGCATCCTACATAGATCTGACCACCACTCGCCCCCCATTGCCTGATTTTCTGTACATAAGTTAAACCAAAGGCCATGCAATGATAATACGAGGCACCCCGCTACGGCCGTCCTTCTTTGCCGTCACCACCACGCCTGTCACTCGCCGCACCACCACCCCTCTACTTCCTCCCAAAGTACGCGCAGTAGAGGTAGTCTTTCCAGTCCCTCCTCCTCCTCACTGGCAGCAGCAGCAGCAGCGCCGCACAATGGGCGGCACAACCACTAGCACTCCAACAGGGCCGATCCGCTTCGGCCCGTTCGAGGTCACGACCCAGGTCTTCCTGACGACCCCGCACTCGTTCGCCCTCGTCAACCTCAAGCCCCTGCTGCCGGGCCACGTCCTCGTGTGTCCGCACGCGCCGCACCAGCGGCTCACGGACCTGTCGCTGCCCGAGGTGACGGACCTGTTTGACACGGTCCGCAGGGTCCAGCACATGCTGGCGCGGCATTACTTTCGACCCCCCGGCGGGAGCGGCGGCGGTAGTGATTCTGGTGCTGGTGGTCCTGCTGGTGCTCGTGGTCCCGTGGCGTCGCCGCACGACGGCTCGTTCAACATTGCCATCCAGGACGGCGCCGACGCCGGCCAGACCGTGCCCCATCTCCACGTCCACGTGATCCCGCGCATCCCCGGGGAGACGGCCAAGGACGGCACCACGCTCGGGGACGCGATATACGAGGACATGGCCGGGGAGAAGGGCAACGTCGGCGGCGCGCTGTGGGATCGGAGGAATGGCGTCGGCGTCAACAGTGACGATGACGGTGACCGCGATGGCCATGGCAGCAGGCCCAGACCCGGCGGGGCGTTTGCCAGGATAGAGGACGCGAACCGCATGGCGCGGACCATGGAGGACATGGAGAAGGAGGCCGGCCTGTTCAGGAGGGTGCTGGCTAGCATGGAGAGTGAAGAAGAGCAGGTAGCCAGGTGACAAAAGACCTAGATGATTGCCAAGCGAGATGCAGTTCTACACAGGACGAGGTGGGAGGTGCGGCAGACAATTTCCGCAGGGTGGTTGATGTACATAAAGGAAACGAGACCGGGCTTGTCTATGATATCTGCATACTCTGCCCTTGCTGTATGCAAGCATTAACGGGCAGGCAGCGAGACTGCTCCAGCCTCATTCACCTTCGTCACCAATCGACACGTCTCAGACATAACGTCGCTGCGACAAGTACAATACACGCCAAGAGTGATATTAATTCTTCTATTCGTGATCACATTAGGCTCGCGAAGCATTGTCGATCCAACACCATGGCTGCCTGCCTAGAAGCCCCTCATCAGTTCGTCCAACAACAGCGGCTTCCGCACCGCGTTGTTCATGCCCTCGTGAAAAGTGACCCATATCTTGGTCTCCTGGCCCTCGTCTGCATTTCCATTGCTCCTCTTGGCATCACCATTGCCATTCGCCTCCTGCAGGGAAGCGCGCTCCTCGGTCTTGATGACCCGCCCGAAAAAGTCTTTCTTGACCTTGTCAAGTACAGGAAGTACCACTTTGGCATTCTCTTTGGGCATAATGACTGCTCCATCCGTGTCGAAGAAGACGTTGTCACCAGCTCCTGGATTGCCGGCCTTGAACCTTGCCTGTCGAGCTGTCCGTTCACGGAGCGCCTTAGTCCTGCGCAATTCCTGATCTAGAACCTGGCGCACGGCGTATCGTGTTGGTGCATGCGTCCCGTGCATGACGGCTGCCGACGTCTCAAATGTAGCCAGCATGTCGAGATCACTAAAACGAGATACCTGTTAGTGCCAAAGGTGTTCCGACATTTCGAAGTCAAGGGCCACTTACGGTTCCATTCGGTAAACCCATTGGCTGCCCCTCGTTGTGTTAGGATCCGTTTCGATCTTTCCCTGTTGCAGCTCGATCCCAACGTCGGCCAGAGTCTCAGCGGCACGCCGGACCATGGCTCGCTCCGATTCTTTCCTGACAGTGGCTGTGCCAGAGCCACTCCCACCAACAGTCACAGGCTTCACGTCTGGGGATACGAGCCGGATTAAGTAAGGCATAAAGTCCATAGAGACATCCTCGGGGCTCCTGAATGACCGCATCAGTGTCGGCTGGAGCTGGCTCTGTATTGCCTGCAGCATGGAACGGTTCGTTTTCTCTGCCTCGCGCGCTTCAAAGTCCGCACGGGGGCCAGAAAACGGCAGCGGTGGCTCGTCGTCATCGTCCATGTTCTTGTCGTAACCTGCATTTGACCTCTTGATTGGCATCGCAAACAAGTGATGGCAAGCAAGTACAGGCTGTGTAAGATACGGGGCCAGCTCCCAGTCTTGGCTACCATAAACCTTCGACGTGCATTGATCGTGGAAATGCATCCAGTCATACGCTTGATCCGGCTTGGTCAGGAAAGAGTCGTCGTTGAACTCGCGGTTAGGATATTCGAGGAAGACGTCAGTGAGGATACGATCTGCATCGCCTCCAGTCTCAATCATCTCGCGCAGTCGTTCCATGCCGTACTTCTTCTGCTGCTCGAGAAAGCCGAGCTGCTCTTGTGGTTGTTCACCAGCATGTTTCGAGGCTGGCGCCACAACGGCGATGTTCTTCTTGGGAAAACCGGCCCCTAATTGAAATATGCGGGCGACCACATCCTTGGTGTTGCCTCGACCGATCCCCCGCGCGCCTCCGCCGCCATGAGCGAGTTCCCGGACGATGTTCTGCTCGACCCATTGGCGGGTAAGCGACAACGGCCCCTTCAGACTGGCGGCACGGAGCCGCCCGGCGACCCATTCGCCAACCACCATGATTCCTCGCAGGTCGCCCTCGGCGGTGCTTTCTGCGCCCTTCTTGGCATCAATGCCACTAGTCATTCCCCAGGCGGCCTCGCACACCTTTCTCGCGGCATCCTTCTCGCAAGGAATCCCTTCTTTCTCGAAGACGCCCTTCAGACGGGTGACCACGGCATCGATCGTCGGTTTGCCGGTGTAGACTATCTCTGCAAGGTTTGATTGTCGAAGTGGCCGGAGAGATGGATGGTATATGTCGTTGCAAATCAGGATCAGAGGCCGCATCTGTCTGAAATCGTCCGTCTTCTTTTTCCTCTTGTTCATGTTCTGAGTCGTGCCTTGCCCGGAAGCATTCTTCTCGCCAGTTGTGATCAGATCCATCAGGGCCTTGATAAATCCACCCTCGCCCGAGCCTCCTGAGCCAGACACTACTCCGTCTACCTCGTCGATAACAACGCATACGGGTCGAGCGATTCTCGGTTGTTCTCCTGGTTTGTGCTTGGTGTGCTGTACGTTCTTGACCGTCTCCGTGCCCAGGACGGTCCTGACCTGGTTGTTCACAACATCCTTGCTGCGGTCGTCGCTTGCATTGATCTCGAGGACTTCATACCCAGCTTGACGGGCGCAAACATGCGCAAGAGTGGTCTTGCCGAGACCCGGAGGCCCTGTCAACATTAGGATCTTCCTGTGTGGCTTCTCCTCTTCCTCTTGGCCCTGACCTTGCTTCCTCGTCGCGGACTTAGGTTTTGAGGCTCGAGGAAATACAAGAGGGTCCCATCGCTTGAGCCACCGGAGCACGTTCCTATTGGTGTAATCGTCCCCTACAAGGTCGCCAAATGTTCGGGCACGATATTTCTCCGTCCACAGGAGCGACTTTTTCGGCCTCGCGCTGTCTTCAACCGATGGCATGGGTGCGTCCGTGTCCTCTACACTCTTTGGAGCTTTTTGCTCTTTCGCTGCTTGAAGAAGCTCGTGAATATCAATGCCGTAATAACTTCGCTTTGCGCGGCCCTCCTTGGTTTTCGATCGGGCTGCAATCATGCTCTCGTATGCGACATTCACAGTCGGTTGCCGTTGCTTGACCTCCAGTGATTGGCCAGAGCATGTTGTGATCTTGTGCGATCTGCTAGCCCCTTTAGCTGGCCGCCTCGCAAACACAGAACCCAAGCTGGACAATTGTGTGCCGAGTTCCTGTGGTGCAGCTGGTGTTGGCAAGGGCGGTAATGCCGTGTCACAGATCGCGGGCTGAGGCTCTTCATGGGGCTCTTCTGTTGTCGTTAACGGAGAGAGCCGGCCCGGTATTTGCGTGGTCGCAAGCCGACTGGGGCTCTCCAGCATCCGCCGTTTCGCGGCTGGCTCTGTCGGATCATGAACATCTTGATTTTCTTCGTCCGAGTCGTCGTCGAGTAGGAAACCAGCTTTTGTTCGAGGTCGAGGCTGCTTCGTCTTCGTTGGCGAATTTGGTCGCTTTGAGCTCGTCAATGGCAAGGAGCTAGACGGATAGACTAAGGGAGAAGACGCAGATGGCATGATGGGCGGGTTTTCGTGATGACTCGGTCGGGAAGGCCGTCGATTAAAGTCAGCACATGTCGAAGCACAAGGGAATTACACGAAGGTGTGTCGTTGGAGTGGTTGCGGCGTGCGGTATAGCTGTTGACATTGATGAGTGTATGCAGTAGTGTTTAATGCAGCGACCGGGGACGTGTAAGTGGAAACGCGTGTTGGGACGCGTCCCGCGTTGAGTGCAAGCGCATGGAGGGGCTCGCTCCGAACATGTGGGTCAGGGCCCATTGTAGCACTCAGATATTACTCAGGTTCTATTAGCTGCCGAGTTCAGTTGGGCATGTTAAGTCTGCAAATAGACCAGCCCGTCGCGACGGCGGGTCATGCTCGAGAGAACGAAAAGAAAAAAAAAGGAAAGGCAAAAGAACAACGACGTGTATATCGAGTTGATGCTAGTCCCAGCAAAAGCAAAAGGATATGATCGATGGCGGGCTCGATCCGCCGACCTTCAGTGTTCGCATGCAAGATGTTAGACTGACGTGATAACCAACTACACCAATCGACCGTAGATTGTTGAAAGTGCCAGAGCTTGGGTGCCACTATATCCACTCACACTTCACACCTCACCCCACCAAACGCGCCTTGGGCAAGGATACTTTCCTGATTGAGCCCTGGTCCGTCATCAACTGCCCGAGGCTAAAGGTTTCATACCCGAAGCTTAGCCCTTCTGAATGCCAGTGTCCTCTTCGGAAACCTGCAGTGAACCATCTTAAGCAGGCTCAGTGCGACTTGGCTACATCGCCCTATCAAGCTTGGTCATTTCGAACATTCAACGGCTCGGTTTTGGCCGTTTGTAGACTATCCTGTATTTAATCGTCAGATGGCACACTTTTCGAACCTCAGCGCCGAGCTCATCCTTCTGATTGCCGAGCTTTTGGAAGACAGGAGCTTATTGTCATTCTCACACACCAATCGACGCCATTACGCCCTTGCAGATCCCCTCAGATACAAGCGAGAGGCAGCTTCGGAGACGAGCACTTTTCTGTTGTGGGCGGCACGCCATGGCCGTAGCTCGGTGGTGCAGAAGCTGATCGAGCATGGCGTCAACGTGAATCTGCAAGACACATCAGGAATCCAGCCGCCAAAAGTGAGGCTCGCCGCCCAATACACATACAGTGATGCATGTAGTCCGTTGCGAGCACGGGAGATCCCAGAGTCCCCTCTGGAAGGCCCTCGCACAGTAGACGAGTTTGAGGACCCAAGCGATACGGAGGATGAACGGGGCGACTGGGAGTATTCTGTTGGAACGGTGACGACGAAGACGAAATGGAGCGCTCTCCACTTGGCGGCGGCGTATGGGCATGGGGACATTGTCGACCTGCTCCTGGACAATGGAGCAGATATCGAGGCGGAAGCTTTCGGGCTCTGTACTTGCGGCCAACGATCGAAGAGCTCCAGGTATATTTTCCTCTTCCCCGATCCCGATCCCACTTGGTCCGCCCTCCATATTGCTATTTGTCAGGGTCAAGACCACGTAGCTTGTCGACTCATGCAGAGAGGTGCATCTCTTGTGGCGAAGACGGGCCCGCAAGGTCACACAGGGTCTCTGGTGCTTCGTAGTGGCTCCTCTGGAACTGCAGATCCCGATGTTGACGGTGACGAAACACAATCTGCACCAACTTCTCCTGGTCTCCTTACAGACGTGGCCGAGGGAGACTCAGCACAAGCGATCCAAGCTGGATTTTTGTCAAACTGGGCTGATTTCACAGCACTACATTACGCCGCCGCGTACGGTAGCCTTGCTATGATTAGAAAGATCCAGGAAGCTTTGCCGGATGATGTCAACACTCCTGATGCGGCAGGCCAAACACCTTTGGCATATGCTTATAAGCTCGGGCGTATAGACGATGTTGTTACGTACTTGGTCGGCGAGGGCGCGGAAATCGATTGTCTTGCTGGCCCTACTGACACGCCTCTCATCCTTTCCTGCCAGAGCCGCCATTTCCTTGATGTCGTCAAGCTCATACAGCTTGGGGCTCGCGCCCAACAACGGATACGTAGTGTAAACCTGACGCCACTGCACTTGTGCTGCATGAAACCACGGCTCAACACAGATCTCTGTGCGGACGAACGACCGTGCTGGCCAAGGCCAAAGACAATCGAAGATGCCTTCCTGGAGCAGCACCAGATCGAGGCAGTACAGGCGTTGCTGGGTGCCGGTGCCAAGGTTGACGCACGCGATATGTGCCAGCGAACTCCGCTCGTTTACGCTGCGCAATATGCCACCTTACCAATCGTCCAGCTCCTCCTTGATGCCGGAGCAGACCCATCTTCAGCAGCTCAGCTCGAGTCATCTGATCGTATCGACTCTTCCGACCGGGTTGTCCGATCTGTGCTAATGGCCGTCGCTTTTGCCGGCTACAAACGATATGCTACGGACAATGACGCGGTTTTCAGATGTCTTGTACATGCCGGCGCGGACGTCAACTTCCAGGACAGCCGTGGTCAGACGGTGCTGCACGTTCTCGCCAAGCTCCTCGTAAAGGCTATCTCTGAGTACAACGGAACTTCAACCCAACGATGTGTTGAAAACATCAAGACCTTAGTCGCTTCAGGTCGTGTTGATTACTCCCTGCGGGACGAAGACGGGAAACTTGCGGTCGAGTATGCAATCAGAGAGGCTGCTTGTCGAATTTCCGAAGTCATACCTGTCAAGACAATAAGTCGCGCCATCACTACAACGGACCTCATACGGATCCGCGACAGTGTAGTCCGCTCCGTGCTGGCTGAGAAATCCATGGACAGGACGATGGAGGCTCTCGAATATCTACATCTAGTCTATCCCCGGTTCATATACGGAAGGCCAGAGACTCTGTTCATGACAATCAAGAGCGGCCATCAACACTTGGCGATTCGGCTGCTCGAGAAGGGTGCTGACCGGTCCTACAAGTCCCGGGCAGGCGAGAACTTGCTCCATATTGCCTGCCAGAAGCGTCTGGGTGAATTGGCGCACAAGTTGCTTGAAATGGGCATGCCCGCTGATGCTATATCAAAAAGCGGGGAGACTCCCATATCCGCATACGTCGACTCCGTCCTGCGGATGGCGCTCGGCGGCCCAGTTGACTGGGGAAAACACCCTTCCATACTGTCCCTAGTCGAGAAAGGAGCAGACCCGCATAGGATTTATTGCACGCCCCCGTCGGATCGGCCGAGACACTTCTTTCAGTGGCATGAGTGTCCATTAGACAGGATCATCAGCAGAGGAGACCACGATTTCGCCAGGGCCATTCTGAGCCTCAGCCCCCCTTCGCGAGCGACCAAAGGCGGCTCACCCCTCACACGTTCCTACCTTCATCGCGCCTGCTCGTTCTCGTACAAGGTGCCGGACCTCGGATTCGTCAAGTTCCTCCTGACGTACGGCAGCCTTGACGTGAATGGCAAAAACAGCTATGGCCGGACAGTGCTCTCGGAACTTGTCGACAGCATCACTCCGATGGCTCCACGGATCAGCCCCTTCAACCACGGCGTTCCAACTGTGAGGAATCTGGACGAGCAGACCACGAGCTACTTGCTCGACACCGGAGAGTATTCACCTCTTGCTCGGTCGGACTTGTTCCTCGAGTGCGTCAAGCTTCTTGAGAGCCACGGTGCCGAGTGGACTACTGAGAGTGCCGTGCTCGGCGCAGGTCAGCGCGGGGGTGAAGAGGTGGTGACGACTCCTGCAAAGGAACTAAAGCGGCAGCTCGAGTACACGGGCAGTGATGCGGCGAGCAGACAGGGACTGGAGTTCATCAGGTCGCAGCTGGTAGATCCTGACTGGGATCCTGATGCGCTGAGCCCGGGAGAATCGCCTTTTAAGGGTGGACCTTGGTCCAGTCTATCGGCAACGGCTGGAGATGCGGTCGAGTAGGCGGACGAGCACTCTTTGCGGAGTTTGTGACTACTGCGTCTCGGGCAAAGCCACTGCGCAAGCGTAGTTGGCTCCTGCTCCTTTTTTTTTTCTTCAATAACAAAAACTTTCCACTTTTGGGAGCAAGAGCGAAAGGAGATGATAGGTTTCACCAATCGTTTTTGTTTTTTATAGACTAAACAGTCATCAATTAAGTTTATATATAACTATAAAGAAACCATCTTTAGAGAAGGAGAAATGTTCAGTAAGATCGAATGAGCGCTACTCGATACTTCGATGTTAGTGGAGGACAAGGTCAGACGCCTCGAACCTGGCGCATGCATACCAGCATCTTACCCTAGCGTGCCTAACCTAAGTACGTACTTATAAGTACTTAGGTGAACCTCAATTAGGTGCAAGTGGAACCCCGGATGGTTTGGGATGGTGTGGGACTAAGGCAGGTTTGACAACCCGTTTTTAGAGCGAGATTTGGGCAGAAGGTTCCTCGCTAACAACTCTGCGACCACACCACTGGATGTCACATAACCTTACGCGGAAGTTTGAAACTTAATGCTGACATTTGGACAATAGCCCGCAACGACCCGTAAGTGGTTGACATCAACAATGAAGTTCGTGTCAGACAGGAACATCCACTTAGACATCAAGCTTCTGGCATCAAATGCCAACGCCATCGGAGGGAAAGAGGCAAAAAGGCCGGCCTAGATTCGAGGAAAGATGGCAAACACGCGTCTCGGAATTTGCGGTGTATTCATCCGGACCAGACGCCAGGCTGGGATTGGTGGGGTCTTTTCTTGACAGGACACTGGAAGGATTGGAAGAAGAAAGAAAAAGGAATGGCAAGCAGACCCGACGAGCAGAGTCGGCAGGTCATGTGTGCATTCCAGAATGCGAGGCAACCCCCCTTTGGGACGATTGGCAAGCAGCAAGCAGCCGCGGCGGTCAGCGGACGGCGGAGGGGAGGGAGGGTCATCTGACACTGGGGCGGCACGCGGGGGGTTGGGATGCTGCTGGGCATGACGACTCTGCAACGCGCTGTGGGCTTCAACCGCAGGCGTGACACTCTGCCATGGATCTGCCATGGAACGTGTGCCGCCCTCTGCATCGTATTTGGGCGTCCATGACATGCAACAGAAAACACGAAAAGGAATGCAGATTCCCATCTGCAGCATGCACCGCGCCCGGGCGACAGGCAGCCAATTGGTGGCGGCGGACAGTCCGCTCCGGCAGCCAGAGGACCCCGTGCGTGCAGCACTTTGCGTCATTGCATCCCCCTGTTCCGGCAGGTGAAGCTGCAAGATGAGGCGCCCTCACTTGGGAGAGCAACAAAGGGTCGCCTCAGCCACATTGTCCGCTGTAGCTCTCGCGGACCTCTTCTTTGCTCGTGGCTTGACCCATGGCTTGCTTGGCTCTTCTTTGTCTTGCCAGAGTATGGATTGTCCACGGCGTGTTTGACAATGGCAATGTCAACAATCAAAAATGGCTGTGCGTGCCCCATGCCTTCCTTACCTTAGGCCGGGAAGATAAGCCTGTGCACTGACTGGGCTGGCTGCCCTGGCGCTGACTCCAGCGGGTGTTAGTGCCCTGTGGCTGCGCCCGGCTGGGGATCACGCCCCTAATCGTGCCCGCTAACTGCGACAGGCCCCCCACCCCACCCCCGTCTGTGCAGGCAGAGCCTGGATCGCGATCTGCCACACGCACATGCGCTCCCTCGCTCTCCCACACGCTCACCTGCCTGCTCCTGCGGGCCATTGCTCGGCACGCACGCCTGCTCCTCCTGGACCCTGCGCCTGCATCGCGCATTCTCTCGACTGCTCTTGTCCGACGGTCCCGCCTGTGCGGTCGCCTTGCTGCGTTCGCCTTGCCTTGTGTCCTCTTGTGCCGTTCGGGCCAGCGACATCATCCTCGCTCCTACAACGAGCTCCCCGACCTCGGACCGGCACCACCTCTCACCTTCTCCGTCGGCAGGCCATGCGCGTCTGGTCCTGAGCCAGCCTTCACTTCTTCTCGCCCTCTTCTGTCAGCCGCGCCTTGTTGCCCACACCATCTGGTCTTGTGATTCTTGGCTCCGCCGACGCTCATTTTCAAGATTGTTGTGACCCGTTGACCGATAGGAGCGACAAGCCGACCTTTGACAGGAATAAAGAGACCAGCTTTGCGGCTGCCAGATCGAAGAACACGAACCGATAGGCAGAGAAACCAATATGACACTACTGGCACGACGTATCCGCTCCACGTGAATTCTCCAACAGCCTTGCTCATACAAGGAAAAGTCCAGGCTGTTTGAGCAATACCTGTGATTATTTTGCCAGGCTTGCTGGCCTGTGTCAGGCAGCATGTCGTCCCTCGAGGCCAAGATTGTCGTCCTCGGCGCCCAGGGCGTTGGCAAGACATCTCTTCTCACACGATACTGCAAGGGCTCTTTCAACCCCGCGCAGACGACTTCGACCGTTGGCGCGAGTTTCATGGCCAAGCGTGTCGTCGACACCGATACCGACACTGTTGTGCGCCTCCAGATCTGGGATACAGGTGCGTGGAAACTGCCGCAAACAGCGACAAGACCCTGGTCACTAACTTCTGCCGCTGCCATGTAGCTGGCCAAGAGCGATTTCGGTCGATATCACGACTCTACTACCGCGGCGCCAACGCCTGCATTCTATGCTATAGCATAACCGATGCCCAGTCATTCACAGAGATGGGAGTATGGCTCCAGGAGTTGAGGCGGAATCTCCCTCCCGACATCGTACTCCACGTGGTCGGCACCAAGGCAGACATTGTCGCTCGCGATCCGACACGCCGAGAAGTTCCATTTGAGCGGTGCATTGCGTATGCCGCCGAGAACCTCGCGCCCGGCCAGGCGTCGACACCTCCAGCAACCGCGACGGCAGTCGGGCACCACAGCCTGTTTTCCGGCCTGGCTGCGATCGGGCAGTCTGGGATGGGCTCTGGCGTTACCTCGGCCGCCCCAGAACCTCGTAGTCCGAGTAGCAAGAGGAGCAGCGGCTTCTGGGGCATGGAGGTTGGTTGGGATGCGTGCCACGAGATCAGTGCCGAAACGGGCGAGGGCGTCGAGGAGGTGTTTCGCGTGGTGACACGCAAGCTGGTCGAGCAGAACCGCAAAATGCAGGCCGAGCTTCTTGCTGCCACCGCGACACCTGGCCTGACACCGGCCGGAGACTATGGCAGTATGGAAGGCGGCGGCTACTTCGATGCCGTCAACAACCCCCGAGGTAGCTTCCGCGTCGGCAGAGATCGAAGAAGCTGGCTGTTCTCGCCAGCATTTTCGCCTGCGATACCGATAGACAACGCCCGCACGGGGCAGAATCACCAGCAGGGTCAACTACAGAACGGTCACTACCAGCAAGATAATAACCCGAAGGACAAAGGCCGATGTTGTTGAGGTTGGACTGAGTTGACGCGGACGGGCCCTTGCAGAGGGGATGGACGGATAGGTCACAACACGGCCGAGCGCTTCTCGGGTCAGCGTCGGACGAGCCGCAGTGGCATCCGAGCAAGGGGATCAGGTTGATCGTATATGGGCTGGCGGCATCTCAGTATCAAGCATACGCATAAGACTGAGTCGTGGCCGTGATACAGGAAAGGTCGCATTGCGGCCCCCTTTTGTGGCACGTCAAAAGTCGCGCGAGCCCTCTCCTTTCTGCATCACATCGGGCTCGCATACCAGATCATTCGACATTTGATTTTGTGCAAGGCGTTCAGGGCACTCACTCATGGGCTTTTTGGCACGATGATTCGGCACGTACGACTTGTTTCCGAGAGCAATCTCAAAACTGCGGAGAGCGTCTGTTTTTGGTGTTTTTTTCTTTTCCTACCAGCATTGTTTTTTCTCTCTCTCTCAGTACCGGCGGATGGTTTTTTTTCGTCGTTTCCATGCATTTCTTGGGTCTCATTATTCCACTTCACGTTAACCTCTCTGGGAGAGGGACGGGGTAGCATTGGCATCTTGTTTTACGGGCGGCATTATTCATGTGTAGTAGGCATCAAGCTCCTCTTCATTGCCGAAAGTTTCCTTTTTGGGGTCATGCTTCTTCCATCAGATCTTCGGCTGGGCGGTGGTGCGTTTCGCTTATATACATTTCTTCTCCTCCTCCCTCCAGTGGCATTGAATTAAAACCGAGACTGTTTACGCGTCTTTGGGGAAATCCTAAACCACGACGCACGATGAGAAATTGGACATGGATATATATATACATGTGTATCTGCTTGCCAAGGTCTAGGCTACTGTGTCTGTGAGCTATATGGGATTTGCAGATGCACGCGAAGTGTGTTTATTTAATTCCGCCCGTCTCACAATAAGATTGTTTTTGGGGCAAAGTCAAGATTGTTGTTGGCCACGCTCGACAATGACTCTCTATCTCTCCCAATGGTTCTTTATTTTAAAAATTCTGTCCAAACAAAACAAACGCCTTCCTCAAGTCCCCCATATCATCATCATTTTTACCGCCGCAGCATCCGCCACGTCTCGAACTGCATCAGTATATCCTGCGTCACGCCCCTCGGGGTGTCGCGGATCGCCGCGCGCAGCACCTCCATCGGCTCCGCGCTCTGGGGGCCGTACTTCCCGCAGAACGCCTTGTCGCAGATGCCCGCGATCTCGGCGCCCGAGTACCCCTGGGTCTGGCGGGCGAGCTCCGCGAGGTCGAGGCCTCCTGGGCCAGGATTTGCTGCTGGTGCTGGCGTTACTATTGATGCCGCTGCTGTTGCAGCACTTGTCGTCGATTGCGTCGCTGGCTGGTCTGCAGGTGGTGTTTGCATGGCTGTGGTTGGGGCGGTGGCATCGTCGGTTGTTGTGACAGTGGCAGTAGCATCAAGAGAGCTGGAGGACGGCGAGGACGAGGATGACGAGAACCGCAGCTCCCGTGCCTTGTTCGCAAAGATCGCCTCCCTGGCCGGGGCATCAGGAAGGGGCACATAGATAGCCTGGTCGAACCTCCCGGGCCGGACGAGCGCCGGGTCCAGAGAGTCGGGCTTGTTGGTGGCCGCGAGGACAAAGACGTCGCCCATCTTCTCGAAGCCGTCCATCTCGGTGAGCAGCGTCGTCAGGGCCTGCACGCCGCCGCTCGAGGCGGACGGGTTCCCCGAGGACCTGGAGGGCCCCGCGATCGAGTCGATCTCGTCAAAGAAGATGATGCTCGGGCTCGCGTCCTTGGCGCGCCGGAACAGGTTCCGGATCGAGCGCTCCGTCTCGCCGACGTACATGTTGAGCAGCTCGCCTCCCTTTACGGCGAAGAAGTTGAACCCGGACTCGGTGGCCATTGCCTGCGCGGTCATGGTTTTGGAGCAGCCTGGCGGCCCGTAGAGGAGGATGCCCTTGGACGGTTTCCAGAGGTTGGTGGTCATGTTCTGGAAAATGTCAAAAATATGTGTTAGTTCAGATACGCTGGGACAAATAGATGTTGTGGCTGAGAAGAGTTTAGAAAAGCTAAGAGAGAAACAGGACTTACAGCAGGCCTTTGAAGCACTCTCTGCAAAGCCAGCTTGACGTCGTTGTAACCGCCAATATCGCTCCATCGCACGGTTGGCGGCTTGAGATTGATATCGTGCATCGCGCTCGGCTGGACCTCGCGAAGTGCCTGCTTGACGTCGGCTTCGGAAATATGTACTTTACGCCCGCCCGTGCGGTGTCTCGTTGCTCTGGCGGCTCGGTACAGCAGTTTCGACAAGTCCGCGGCTGTGTATGCGTGGGTGCGGTCGCCGAGAGCCGCAATCTGCGAGTCGAACGTCTCTTGGTTGAACGGGGGGCTCCATGAGGCCAGAATCTCTTTACGGCCCGTGGCGTCAGGAACTGGTAAAGAGATGTGTTCCCGGAAGCGGTTCTCCCGCTGGAGTTCCTCGGGTATGTCTGTGATGTAGTCGAGGCAGGTGGCAACGACGAGAACTTTAGGCTTTGTCCTCGTCTGGTGTGCTCTCGCGGCGAGGTCGTCGAGTCCCTGAGCCAGGGCTGCAACGAATGCCTTCTGGCTCGTCTTGCCCTTGCCGATGAGCTCGCCAATGTCGTCGATCAAGATTGTAGTTGGTGAGCGAGACTCGACGGCCGTCTTGAAATGGTCTCTGACCGCTGGTGCTTTGCTCTCCTCGTCGAGCCGCACCACTCTTCCCCACTTGCTCGACGCGATGCGGTCGAGGAGCAGGGACTTGCCCGTGCCGCGACTGCCGTGAATCACAATGCCATAGGGCTGGAGGGGGATGGTAGCATCCTCGTAGTCGGTATTGAAGTCTTCGAAAAGCCAGTTGAGCTCGTCGACCTGGCGCTGGAGGCCTGGTACTGAAGAGATTTGAAGTCTTGCAGTCGCCGCGCTCGCCTCGTCCTCTCCTGCGAATTCGACCACTGTCTCGATGGGGTGGAACTTTGCGACGCCGTCAGTTGCCGAGTTTATCGAGAGGACGCTGAACGACCTCTTTGTGCCGCGTAGGACGATTTCTTCAAACTCCATCCCGGGGAAGATGTAGTCGGCAGTTTCTGGGATGTCACATTAGGCATTATATACAATAATTGTCTTTGTACATTTCAGACTCACCTAGCCGAAGCTCCAAGGCGACCTGCCAGCGGATCTGTTCCTGTGCGGTCAAAGGGGCGGCGTCGGCAGTGACGTCTCGCACAATGACAAGCCCGGCGTCCGGCACCGGGCCAGCACCCGGGACGATGCGGGTTGTCGTGTCGAGCCGCAGACCCGAGGATCTCTGGAAGGCCCTGCTGACACCCGCAACATTGGGGCCGTGCTGCTTGTCGAGGTTGGGCCAGGCGACGGCCTGCCTGAAGATGTCACCGCACTCTACATTGCACAGGTGGCCGGTTGTGAAGCCCGACGACATAAAGACCGAGTTGTGGATGAATATCTTGGCCGCATGTTTGTGGTTCCAGTCCTTCTGTGTGTCGTTGACCTGAGGCCGGACCTTGAAGTCTTCAATCTTCTTCATGATGGCGGGAGAAAGCCCCTGGAGGGCCGGTGTTCTTTGTTTGTTGTTGCTAAAAGACCAAGGGCTCTCACCATACGGAAAAAATGTGGAAAGACACTGGCAGTGGCAAGTCTGGTTTTCCGTAGTGCGCCAGGTCTACCGTGCCTGGAATCCGAGCAGAATTCCCCAGTACTTTGGAATTGTCCTTTACCAAGAGGGAATAACACCTGCCGCTACAATGATCCTCCTGCACCACCAGCCATCCATGGATATGTCCAAACCCGTGGAATGACCAGAACTGGATGTAAGTCAACCATCCGCAGCGACAAAAAAACATGGCGGGGTCAACTCGCGATAACGTGCTTTCTTGCCTGTGACAGCGTTGATAGCAGGGGTCCCCCATCTTCTAGCGCGGCATTACATAATCCTCCATCCCCGAGATCCACAACCAATACACAACCGACAATAGCCACGCACGACATCCAGGCACAACTCGACACGGCATCCACCCACACACTCCCTCGCCGGTTACGATGCGCCGAGCATCACCGCGGCCAGTCGCCTCATGCCCCTGATTCACCTGCAGAGGCTCGCACTGCGTCCTGTAGCTCGAGCTCCCGCGGCGCAATGGCTTGCCTTTCGGCGCCTGCACGGTAGCCACAGCTGCCGCCTGCAGGCTTCGCAGCGAGCACAGCAGACCCAGCAGCGGCTCTTTGACGCCCTTTTTCCAAACCAGCCCAAGAATCCCTCGAAGCAGCCTCGCTCCTCCAAAGCAGACCCTACCGCAAGCGACAATTCAGCACCAACACGCCCGGCACCACGATGGGCTTCGCAAATCTCGGACGAGCTCCCACCACTCGCCCCCTCCGAGGAGCTTCGCAAGCTGTCGGAACTGCCCGAGCCCGACGACGATGATGCCGACTTTCTAGACGGCACCCAGTCGGGCCCCCGCCAGGCCAGCCGCAGAAACAACAGCGACACGGCGGCCCTGCGTGCAACGACGATGCTGATCCTCAATGCGGCAAGCAAGCAGCTCGTCGAGAGCGACTTTATGCGCATCGGCGCCAAGGGCAAGCACCTCCCCGGCTGGGTCAACGGCATCGTCAAGGTGATCCAGGGCCGCGACCACGCCACGCTCGAGCCGCTGGGCCACTACTTCATCTTGTTTGACCGGCACGAGGCCGCGGTCGCGTACAGCGAGGAGGTCCAGCGCCTGCGCGACCTGGCGAGGAAGTACACGCCGGGAGCCTCGCACGGGCTGAAGCACGCCCAGCGCCGCCACAGCCTTCCGCAGGGCCTGCCCACAGACACCGGAGAGGACGTGGCCACGCTGATCAAGTCTTTCACGCTGGTTTCCCCTTCGCACCGCCCCCGCCTGCAGATATCGCGCCTCTCACGAGATCGCATCGGCGAGCTTGATCGCGGCGGCCCGCTGGTGGATGACATCTCGGCGGCCGTCGGCGGGTTCCGCCATCTCGTCATGGTCCACGTGGCCGATGGCGGGAGGATGTCGGTCGACGCGTTGCAGCAAGCAATCCGGGCTGACGGCATCGAGCGGAATCTGCCTTGGCGTGTGGTCAGCCTGAACACGGGGATCATCCCATTCGGCAAAAGCGTGCTGAAGCCGCGCGATGACACTCCACCCCATAGAAACGACACGGCCAGCCAGCACACAGCTTCCACGCCCAACAGCCCACCTGACGAGTCTGAAAAGGTGCCCGACGGCGATGGGGAGGACATCACAGACCACACCCACGAGGACAACGACAACGACACCATCTTCATCAACAACAACAGCCCCACTGACTCTAATGACCCCTACCCCTCCACCACCACCACCAACAACAACAACAGAGAAAGGCAATATCCGCGCTTCCTCGTGGCTTTCGCAGACGACGCGGAAGCAAGACGCTTCGTCCGCCACTGGCACCGGCGCGAGCTCACCCCTCTACTCGCCAACCCCGCGGCCTCGGCCGCAAACGGCCCGGGCCTGCCCCCTCAGAAGCGCAGCGCGCCTGCTCTGTGGGAGCACGCGCGGATTGTGAATGTCAGTCTGCTGTGGTGATTTTGAAGCCCTTTAGCCAAGAAAACCGTGGGGAAAGTTGGCTCGTGGAGGGTAACGGATGGGGAGCCCAGCAAGGCTAGGAGTCGCGGTTCGTAAGCACATGATGGCCAAGGGGGGGGGGGGGGGAGGACCTGTAAATTACTGTAAAAAATATAAAAAGCAAAACATGTCGTTACACATACTCATGTATCCGAACCTGGGTAAAGTCGACTCGCCCTCCAAATCGTACATGCACAACCAGTCAAACACGAGCCGATGAGTGCAGATGTTTGCTATAACTCTTCTCGCGTCTCACTTCAACATCACGCATTAAACTGCATCACTCATTGCGGCTCTTGTCAGGAATCGAAGCAATCTCAAGCAAGTTCACAAAGAAGATATATTGTCCCATAAACAACGACGGCGAAAAACCCTGAACTCCATCGAAAAAAAAAAACATTAATATGAAAGCCACAGTTGGATAAACCCCTGCCTCAACCTTGAGACAGGAGTGCCGGCGAAGCCTTAGGCGCGCACCTTCTGTGTGCGCTTCTATGAGCATAGGCTGTCCTCAACCCAGCGTGAATAGTCCTCTAGGGGATGGCCGCTTCCCACTCTCCCCCAAAGTCACGCCTCTCTGGCTATAGGACAACATGTGCAAGTGTGCGAGAAGCACGTCTATGTTCTTACTCGCATCGTCTCATCATGTGCTATCCCTCTGACCGTCCCCGCTGCTCTTCACCGCTCCAGTATGTCGAGTGTGGTCCTTGTACCGCCCAAGAATTGCAAATGGGGTATTCAGACCCGGACCGTGGATCCTGATCAATGAAGCATCGGCCGCAGATGCCCTGCGGGCCGCGCTTCTTTAGAGTCAAACGAGTGTCGCAAGACCGTCAAGCACGAGCGTTCGCACTTAGCAGCACTTGCTGAGACCACCGTTGCCATCGCTCCGACCGACATCAACTCCAGACTGTCCAGCACCAGCCTGAGCATCACCTTTGGATGTGTCGATGATGCGCTTCTTGATGTCTGCCGCCAGGTTGTAAAAGGCCTTGTCGATGTTGATGTTGCTCTTCGCTGAAACTTCAAGGAATGGGATACCGAGCTCGCGTGCCAACGCCTCGCCCTGTTCCGTTGATACCACGCGCTTCTCCTCCCAGTCGCACTTGTTACCGATAAGAATCTTGTTCACACCCTCGGTGGCGTGTTGTTCGACATTGGCGAACCATGTGCGGATGTCTAATGCACGGGTCAGTAATGGACCAGAAGTGCGGTGAATGGCGCGTATCATTTTCAAGGCATGCTCTGCTGTGCGGCTTCTCTGGGAATGGATGGTTCTTACTGTCAAAAGATCTCTGGTCGGTGACATCGTACACGAGCAGGATGCCCATGGCGCCACGGTAATAAGCAGTGGTGATTGTCCGGAAGCGCTCCTGGCCGGCAGTATCCCAGATCTGAAGCTTGACGCGCTTGCCATCAAGCTCGATTGTCCGGATCTTGAAGTCGATGCCAATCGTGGTGATGAAGGAGGGTGTGAAGGAGTCCTCACTGAAGCGCAGGAGACAGCAGGACTTGCCGACGCCGGAGTCGCCAATCAGCAGGAGCTTGATCTGGATCGAGGGAACTGGCTGTTAGCTGAAAGAAATCCAAGTCAAGGTCGCATCGCAAAGCAGGGGTGAGGACGGCGGCATTGTGCCAGAACCCTCCATCATGTCCTGTCCCCGTTGGCAAGAGCCTAATCATGGCGTTGGCGGCCGCATAGCCAGACTGCTTTGTCACTTCTGCAATTGCTCGCAGGCTTCTCTGGCTGGGATGGGCAGGGCACCGAGGCACTTCACATTCGCAGTGCGACTTGTGGATCGAAGGACGTACAAGAAAGTCATAGTTGCGGTTGCCTGACATCTTGGATGATGTGTGGTCTGTGATGGACACAGACTATAGCTTCGGATCTGGGTAGACGATGGTCTCGGGACGTAGGTGGTGTACAGAGCAATGCGACGCCTCTAGAGCGGATTGCGGTCTGTGACGAGTAGGCGATTCGGCGGGGCGAAAGGGGAAGAGGCTAGCTGGACAGAGTCGATTCGCGGATTACAGGCTGTGAGGGTATGAAGCTTGCGGGCGCGGGTCGACGTTGTTGATGCGTGAGTGCTGCCTTTGAAGCGTGCCGCCGGGTATCTAGAGGTGGGAATGCTGGCGTTTGAAGGGAGGTAAGTGAGGGCGCATACGTGAGTGGGCTGCCGCGAGATGGTGGGTGGGAGGTGGCTGTGGCCGGCGGTGATGATGGCAGTCGTGGTGGAGTCGTGCGTGCGCGCGGGCAGGTACTGTATGCGGCGACGAACGCTCAGGCGGCCCCAGGCTCCTCTGTCAAGGGCGGCCGCTCCAACGTGGCCGCCAGGCAGGCCACTTCAGCACTTGAGGTCAGTTCATCCTGCTGTTCACCAGGGCAGGCACCAGACCACTCGCGCTTGGCTCCTTTGGTCGTAGCGCCGATTCATGGCTCCCATCGCCAAGGCCCACTGCAGTGGTGGCCCCGTGCCCGCCTGGGGGACGTCTTGCCTCGAGCATTGTTCCTTGCAGCCTCGCCCAACTCTACTTCGCACCCCCAAGCCAACCTTGGAAGACCCTTGCTTGGTGCAGTGCCACCGGCGAGCACGTGGGATTTCTCATAACTTGCTTCTGCTGCGACTACTCCGTAATACCCGCTCGTCGAGCTGGCTGCTCCACCACTGACTTCATTAGAATTCACAATGTGTCGTGGAAGTTGTGGTGAGACTTTGGCCTGGATCAACATTGTCCATGTCTATTATGGTCTAGCATAAATGCTCTGCTGTCTGTCCGTCCCTACTGCAGCCACCTCGCGTAAGCCCACCGTATGCGGTCCAGTGCTCGCAGTTGCTGCTGAATCCCTTTGAGGTTCGCCAGGTCGTCCACATCCTCCAAAAATTCCTTTTCAATGTCCGATGGCAAGACCGAATGCGCCAGCTCTCTTAGTACATGCACCTCGCACACGAGCAGACCGTGGTCTTTGTAGGACAAGACATTGTTGGGCGACGGCGTGGCCTCGGAGAAGATGCGATCAATGTTGCGCAGCACCCGTACACACTTTCCAACCTTTTGCTGGGTGGTCATGCCCTTTCTGCCGCCAAGTGCAGTCCGCAGGTAGCGGAACGCAGACACGGAAACAAGGATACCTGGTGTCAGGCCTACAAAGCCAAACACAAGCTCCTGGGATTTCAGGAGGGAGTCGATACCCGCCATGGCAACCTCGACATCGACCTTGGTCTTTTGCACCTGAATCAGCAGTGTCCGTACCAAGTCGCCTCGGATGGTACCCATAACGGGCCTGCGTAGATCGTTCTCGTAGGCGCGCAGGACAGGTGTGAGGTCGCCTTCCTTGACCTTGGCGCGGATTTCAGCGATCTGGCTTTCAGACAAACTGGACGCCCCCGTCGCGGAGGCGGGCCTGTCGACAGCAAAGTCAACCACCATGCGTTCCAAGCTAGCTCTGTCGGCTCTTAGGCTATCCCGGCTCATCAACGCAATCTCGCTATTCTGATCGTGACGAATGGTTCCGATGACCTTGCGCACCGGCTCGACCACCCAGTTGAACCAGAAGTCTTGGACTGTCTCACCAAAGCCACGTATCCACTCGATGACGGCCTGTTTCCTGTTGACCAGAATGCGAAGAATAGTGCTCGATGAGAGGGTCAACACAAGCATGGGTAGCCAGTATCTCGTCAGTCGCGATGGTCGACCGTTCTGTGTGATCACGCTGTCTGCCTCGGCAACATGCGACGGAAGGTGCTTTTGAATGAGATTCTGAAGTCTCCTAGCGACAACCGTGGGGCGGGTTGAGTCGTCCTCCTCAACCTGTATCGACAACTCGGGGTCTTCTTCGACGCCCTGGAAGACCTTGTCTTCAAAGTCGGACACCCCCATATCCATGGTTAGCACGTCTCTGAGCACCATGTCCATGAGCGCAACGCTTCTCTCCACGACGCCTTTCCACTCCTGGTTGTGTGACATTATGAGGTCGCTTTTGCCGTCATCACTACCATTGCCACCAAAAGCCAAGCCCTCGTCTATGAGGACGCCGAGTCCACTGGCAGTCATCTCCCGCAGCCGCTTGAGTTTGTGTTGTTTCCTTCGGGCTTCAGCGCGGCATTGCGCCACAGGCGACATGATGCGGCGTTGGACATTGGCCAGTGACCGCTCTCGAACCGTCTCCTGCACGATTGAATAGAACTGCCGCCAGCCTTGTGATAAAGAAACCGATTGCGAGCCTGCTCGACCCTCTGCGTTGTCATGATCTTTGCTCGACACCCGCGTAGCAAGCTGTTGCAGTCGAACCCTGCTGTCTTGGTAGATGTCCCAAGACCAGGACCAGAACCGCGCGGGAGAGGTCTGGATCATGTAGACAGTGCTGTATGTATTCGATGATACGACATCATCCCAATACCAGATGTGGTTGCTTAAAGGGATAATCTGGTCGAGCAGTGTCCTCAGGACAATCCCATACGTTCGCACGGTAGCCTTGCTGACAAGTAGCCACTGGAGCTCTGCCTCGTAGTGCGTGGCGGGGTAGACATCGCTTTTGTTGGCGAGCAGGTTGGACTGGTACAACAAAGACTGCAACTGGTCTGCATGTAAATGTGCGTGCGTGCCGGAGGTGGTGGACAGAGTCTTGATGATGCGGAGCAACTCTCTGACGCGGGGGCTGTTGAGATCTTCGGCGCCGTAACCCGATGCCTCGCCATGACCAGGCGGAGCGAGGTGGTTGAAGGGGATGCGGTCGAGCTGGGCGTCCAGCCGCCGGACCTGATCGTCTATCACGGACATGCTCGAGATCGTCACAGGGTCTGCTGTGACAGATCAGGAGCCGAAGGTGCAGCAGGACATAGGCTAGCCTTCCGTGTGGGGGCCGCCTGAAAAGCCACAGTCCTGGACAAGCTGCTTTCCAATTGTTGCCGGTGTAAGAGGTAGACTTTCTGGATCGAGGTGGTGGTGCGCTGTGCGCCGTGACAGCCTTGGAAGCGGGCTAGGTATTGCGGGCGATGTTTACTTTGGAGCTTTGGAGCTCTGGCAGGATGAGGTCATCATCCCTGCAGTGGAAGCGGCGGGCAATAGCCCATCAGCTGCCGAAGCCGGCGCTGGCAGGTGCCAGGTCGCGGAGCTTGTACCTCCTCCCTCCCAGGCAGCTTCCCAACAAAACTTGGCCTCGCCAGGCCAGGTGGCCAGGTGCGCCATTGCGATCGAGGCAATGTGGTGGTCTCAGAATGTGAAGCTCTTGTCGGATGCCTGCTTAGTTCGCTCCAGCACATTCTACAGATATGGCTGCAGTCATCTGCAACAACGACAGCCCGGCCACACTCGGTTAGGGGAAGCCCGACTTCGGGTCTCGCTAAACGGTTGTCGAACACGAACACGAGAAAGGCGAGGAGGTGTGCCAGGCCCAGGCCAGGCTTACATAAGGCGGTGGGCTCCTGTCAAGCAGGCGGCCTGGCGTTTGCTAGCTCGAGGCGATTTGCGATGAGCAGATCGAGGCGGAACAAGATCATTTGCCACACTCACTCAGGGACCAACTGCCGGAAGCACTCCTTTCCAGGTGGGCTCATTGTGGCAGCAGCACTGCTGATTGGCTGGCAAGGCACCCGTCCAGCTATGCATCACCACATCAGGACGTGCAGTAGGTGACGAATCCACAGCTGCGCCATGTCTGGTGATGTGCGGGGATAGCACAGATGGACAGCTCGAGCTCCATGATGCTACCTTGCCGAGCTTGCTGCCGCTGGTGAAAGGCGCGAGACGCGAGGAGAGAGGCGAGACAAGAATCGGGTCTCCCATGGTGGTCATTGTTGGCTTACCTAATGCCGCCTCTCTCTTTCTCAATAGGGAGTCGGGTGGGCTGATGGAGCACGCGGACGGCCCGCACGCTGCAAGGGCGGCCAACAGGAGTGCGCGGCGCTGCGTGGAACAGGACGGACCCCAGGCTTCCAAGGGTTTGCTTTAAGATTGTCCACTCACTAACACGCCATGCGGGTGTGCCCTTCTTTTTTTCCCCGTCCACCGCCGCCACTGCCCCCGATAGCCTCTCCTATTCCCTCCTTATCAACAACAAAACAACCACCTGCGCCGAACTGCTTGGTGGCGGCCTTTCGTCCTCCTTCTTCTTGCCGTGCCCTTCAACTTCCGCTCCCTGCGACCCTCACGTGGACACACCTCAACGTTCTCGTCGACACATTCTCAGGTTCCGCAACCATGGCTATGTATGAGCCCCTTTCCTACCCAGCGTCGCTGTGGTACTAGCCCGAACGCGCTCCCCCGATACCGACGATGCCATGTTCCTGAACCACCACCGCTAACATGACCTGACTGGCAGGAACGCCACTCTCGCTGGCACCTTTGCCGAGCCGGAGACCCTCATGGGCGTCTTCGAGGAGGTCTCCAAGTTCAACGTCCACCTCAACATCATCGAGCGCGCCTGGGCCGTACGTTCTCCTTCCTCGACCACGACTGCACCATGTAGTTGCGAAGCTGACATGAACCATCCGTCTACTAGGCCTGGTATCTCTGGATGCAGAACGACACCCTGGCCACCGGCATCTTGAGCTTCGTTATGCACGAAGTCATCTACTTTGGCCGTTCCGCCCCCTGGATGATTATTGACGCCCTGCCTTACTTCCGCAAGTACAAGCTCCAGAACGTACGTTTACCGTGTCCTCGAACACCACCAAGCTGCTGCTCCTCTTTGTACTGACCCATTGAACAGCAAAAAGTCCCTACGCTCAAGGAGCAGTGGGAGTGCGCCAGCCTTGTCCTCCTCAGCCACTTCACCGTCGAGCTCCCCCAGATCTGGCTCTTCCACCCGATTGCCACCTATTTCGGCATGGACTACGGTGTCCCTTTCCCTTCTTTCGGCAAGATGGCTTTCCAGATCGCCGTCTTCTTCGTCATGGAGGACACCTGGCACTACTGGTTCCACCGCGCTCTGCACTACGGTCCTCTGTACAAGAACATCCACAAGCTTCACCACACCTACTCGGCTCCCTTCGGCCTTGCTGCCGAGTACGCCTCGCCAATTGAGGTTATGCTCCTCGCCATCGGAACTGTCGGGTCTCCAATCCTGTGGGTTTCGCTGACAGGCGACCTGCACCTCTTCACCATGTACATGTGGATCGTCTGCCGCCTCTTCCAAGCCATTGATGCTCACAGCGGCTACGACTTCCCCTGGAGCTTGCGCCACATCTTGCCCTTCTGGGCTGGTGCCGACCACCACGACGTCCACCACGAGCGCTTCATCGGCAACTACTCGTCCAGCTTCAGATGGTGGGACTACATGCTCGACACCGAGTCCGGCCCCGAGGCTGCCAAGCGCCGCCGCGACCGGAAGATCAAGGCAATGAAGGCCAAGGCCCAGTAGAAGCTGCGCCTCAGCTACATTCGAAGTTGCGCCTGATATTGCTCCTGGGAGTATGAGCTATCAAGTGCAATCACAACTTTGGCTATCGCCAAAGGACCGCCCGACAAGTTGCCGACATCTCCTTCCAGGGATATGGCTTTAAACCAGCTCGGCCCCCGGCATAACATCACGTTGAATGAGGAAGGCATTATAGAAATGGTCGGGTGCGATCACTTTTGCTGTTTAGAATGTACATATGGGGTACTCGGCGTTGGACAAACATAACAAAACTTCTAATACACAACGCAAGGCATTTGATCTGCCCGCGAGCAATAATACAAACTTTATACAAGCCTGCCAGTCGCGTTTCAGTCATCCGAGAATGGCAAGTTGTACCGGGATGAAGTTGATGTTAATCCCCATCTGTCATGCGCAAAGTATTGCCACTCATGGCGCTGGCTGGGTCTCATCCAGCTACTGATTCCTGTTCTTGGTAGGTACGCAGCAATCCGCGCCAGCCCCGGAAGCGACACGGTCGGCCAGCCCCCGAATCTGGCAGCTGATTGCGTCTTGCCCCGACTCGGCCTCTGTCGGTCCTGTTGTCGAGGAGGAGACTTTGTCATCACCAGCCGCTGGGAGTTGTGATGGGGGTGTGGCCTGCTCGCCAAAGTCCCGAGCCAGCTGGTCGCATATGGCTGCGAGCTCGATGTCCTTGTCCGAGAGGCCTTTGGGCTCATGGGTTGTCCAGCGAATATATGTTGTATTGTAAACCTGCATGATGTTGTTACTACCGAGAAGGACCAACAGGAGGACGACAATAAGAGCCTGAGGAGGCCAGGCGGATACTCACGTTGGACCACTCGGGATGATGGTTCTTTATTTTGCACTGCAGGGATACTGCAGTCATGAAGTCCTGCACGGAACAAAAGTGAAATGGGTTTTCCGTCAGTCGTATGTGGATCTTGTATCTACGACCAGAAACCCATAGATATAATTTGAATCCTGGCACCCAAGATTGCCCGAACGTGAAGGAGGGTTGGATCGTTTTGTTTTGGGGTGGCATCGCAACACGCATGTGCAAGTTGTATTTGGCTCCAGGCCACCCAACTTGGTCTCATGTGTCACTAGACTTACCCAGGTCTTTGCAAAAGTCTTGAACTTGAAGCTGCGCTCCAATCCCTGACCGCTCGAGATGAGTGTCCAGCGGCCGCCCTGGCCGGCGCCTGCGAGCAGGGACTGCAGCTTTTGGTTCATGGCTTGCTCGTCCGTACCCCTTGAGAAGATGGCTTGTGTCGAGGACATTCTGGAGGCCGCTAGGAAAGGCCTTGTGTCCCTGCGCCGAAAGGGACCTGCGAGACCAAACCTGGCAACTGCTGGTGTTTGGGATTGTGCAAGTTGTGATAAGCAGGAGCTGTAGGTCCGTAATGGCTGCATCTGGCGCGAGCTCGCTGGAAATGGAGACTGAGCTGGACTTTAGTCAGCCAGCACTAGTTCGTCAAGATGGTGAATATATCTGGCTGGTTTCTTGGACGCCTGGACTATGAGCAGCTGATCACGGTAGCAAGCTTTGGTTGACGACTGGGAGTTTTGGCGGTGATTCACCTGGGCAGTCCCCATATGGAGCTTTCTTTGCCCGAAATATGCATTTATCGCGAGTGAGTACTCCAAGCTACATGTATGCACCAATGTGCACTTACCTCGTCAGCAGCCGAATGTAAGCCTCGGTCCGTCTTCGCCCACCAAGAGACCACATTCCCAGGCCGACACTTCAAGTGCATTCACGGGGGCTTTGTTTCCTTCACAAAGTGTCGATGAACGACATCAAATGAAACTTTTGGGATGGAATGCTCCGGATTTATGCTGCTTCGCCATCACGGGCCCCGCTCTGGGTTTCTACCCCAACTTGGAAGGTGATACCTGAGGACGACAGGTGAGACTTTAGTGAAGTCCTCCCGTCATTCAACAATAATATCAACCTCGACCTGTGGGCCTGGTCAATTGCTTCGCATGTTCCTTCGACAATCCAAACAGCTCCTTGTCGATATTTAAGGTTCGTCGTCTCATGCACCATCGCCGTCAGCCACTTCTGCCACTAAGACCAACATCAGCAGTGACGTTCCATCATCAGCACCACCACCAACAACAACAACAACGACATGCGGGTCCCATATCACCCAGCCGTTTCGGCGCCGTGCGCACCGAGTCCAGCCTCCACGCCCGCTCCTTCGGGCATTGATGACGCCAGCAGCATTACCGGCATCCGGGCAGACCTGCTCATCCCAGGCCGCGGCGAGCCCGTCAAGCAAGGCGCGGTAGTCATCCGCGACGCCCGCATCGCATGGGCTGGCGCCTACCGGAACCTCCCGCCAGAGTATCACCACAGTGTGACGTTTACCCACGTCCCTGTCGTCATGCCGGGCATGTGGGATCTGCACACGCACTTTGGGGGCCTGGGTAGGGACGTGCGGTTCTTTGACGACCCCAAGGCTCTGCTCCCTGGCGCGGGGGTGCTTGCTGGCGCCATCACCGTGGAGGATCTACGGCGGACCCTGGAGGCCGGGTTCACCAGCATCAGGGAGCTATCGGGTGTGAGTCGCATGACATGATTAGGAATCAATACTACGGAAAAGCTACCTTTTTGACTAACGTACACCAGTACGCTGGCTATCTGGCTCCTGGAGTTGAAGGCGGCTACATCGCCGGGCCGAACATCTACTCGTCGATAGCCATCCTGTCGGTCACTGGAGGGCATGGAGACATACATGATTGCCTGCTGGACAGCGTCGTCCAGTCTGGTCATACAGGGGGTCCATTCTACCTGTGCGATGGCGTGGATGAGTGCATCAAGGCTGTCCGCGTAATGGTCCGCCGGGGCGCAAAGTGCATCAAGGTGTGCTCTTCGGGTGGTGTGCTGAGCCTAAACGACGACCCGGAGGATCGGCAGTTCTCAGATGAGGAGCTCAAGGCCATTGTTGACGAGGCCGGGCGGACGGGCCGTAGAGTCGCCGCTCACGCCATTGGCAAGGCGGGCATCCTTGCCGCCCTCCGCGCGGGCATCACCAGTATCGAGCACGGCTGCTACCTGGACGAGGAGGTCGCCAAGATCATGAAGGAGAAGGGCGCTATCCTGATTGCCACACGGCACATCCAGGAGAGCCTCCTCGAGAACCACGAAGGCTTCCCTGAAAAGGTCAAGGAGAAGATTGAAAAGATCGTCCCGCTGACACGGGCCAACTACGACCTCGCAGTGAAGCTCGGCGTGCGCATCGCTCTCGGAACCGACATGTGGAACAGTGACCCGGCGCACCCGATTGCGCACGGGAGAAACGGCATGGAGCTACGCTACGCGCACAAGGCGGGCATGAAGCCCCTCGACATCATCGAGGCGTGCACGGCGACCTCGCCAGAGGTGCTGGGCAAGCTGGCGCCGCTGTCGGGCCAGCTCAAGGAGGGCTACGACGCGGATCTGATCGCGGTTGCATCGAACCCGCTCGACGACATTGAGGTGCTCACCAAGCCTGAGAATGTCACGCACGTCTGGAGGGCGGGCAAGCTGTACAAGTCGCCGTCGACGCACTGACTCTCAGCTGGCCATCCTCTGGATATTGAATACTAAAAATAATAATACGACTACTCAGAATTTGCTATCAAGGGAATTTTGGTTGACAATAAAATAAATAAAGAGTACCATACGACTCCCTCTATAATAAGCAATATTGGTTTTATGATTCATGTCGCCCACGGACAAACAAACAGCCAAATCCAAAAATAGCACTGCAGAATCTAAGCCCCCAGACCCGAAGACACAATCACCAGCATATACTTAGGGCATCCGCCTCTTATACCGCGCCACCTGTTACTGCGCAGCTTGGCCCCGAATGATACAATGATGATGATGTTGCTGATGCCCAGAAGGATCATGATGAGCCCACACTGCAGCTTCAGCCACGCCCTATTTTCGGGCTTGTCTGAGCAGGATTCTCCTCCTAGCCTGAATCAAGAAAGTCTCTCCATGTAGTCGAAGTTATACACTTATATATAGCACCAAGCTCGGCTCCGAGCCGATCGCAGGGCATGCATAGGTACTGTTACCTACCTTATAGCCCCACGAGCAAAAGGCTCCACCTGCGGTTAGCAGGCAGTAGTACGAAGAAGGGGTGCTGAAAATAACTCCAGACTCCAGATTCGACTTGGTCTCGACGGTCCCCGCAACAAAAAGGAGTGTCCAACAGAGAGAGAGAGAGAGAGACAGAGGACCGTGCCCCCGGTGAAGCGTGAGCGCCGCGGCTGGATGCCCCTTTGCAAACCCCAGAACCTGCCCTAGCTCTGGGTTGCACACGTAATTACACACATACAGGATCCCGGATCAAGCAAACAAGTTCGTCTGATCGGTCCCGAATGTATTTAAAAACCATATCAGTCATTCTGACTTGGAGCAAGGACATACACAGCCACAAGGGATCCATCAAAGTGTCAAGACTAGCCCCCCTTCGGCTTTGCCGCGTCTGGCAAGCAAGATGTTGTCAAGCCATGGGCACATTCGTATACAACACTATTATCGAAATGCTGTTTCTCTGCGCCCTACTACGAAGATCCCTCTCCTGCAGGAGTGAGCAGGCAGGGAGGCACAGAGACAGGCAGAGTTATGGTTCAGTTTCCCCCTTTCCCTTGGGGGCTGCTTTTACGTAACTACACCATCCCGTAAATGGGGGTATGTCCCGAGTGTGGAAGGGAGCCGTTGGTGGTGGCGGCCATGCGGCCGCCTTTCCCAAGTCTCTCTCTCTCTCTCTCTCTCTCTCTCTCTCTGTGTGTGTGCACTGTAGTTAGTCAATTCTGGACGGGTTCTGGCCAGCGTCGGATGGCTTGTCCTCCAGCTGCCTATGCTGCTGCCTGTACTGTTCCGTTCTTGACTGACCTGTCAACTGGTGGTGGTGGTGACAGTCCTGAGCGATGGTGGTAGTGCTCAAAGCAGCAGACTTCGGAAATAGCGGCGTGTACAGGCACACTAACACACCTATACACTCTCTGTCTCTTGGAGCCCACCACACGTACCCATCCACATGTCCACTTACCCACCACGAGCTGCCATCATGACTAGCTGCAAAAGCCCGAGGGTGCTTGCTTGACCAAAAGAAGTGCAGAAGCAGAACCAAGGTCCAATAAAAGTAGGATGGGTGTGGGCATATCAACGAGAACACGAGGCAAAACGAAAGTCGATGAGAGCAAGCCCCAATATCCCCCGTCCCCCAGGTCGGCGATCGATACTCAGGCGCGAATGTGGCACTGCAGCTCCGGCCAGCTCCGGGGTAATGCCCAGGAAAAAAGATGGAGTAATCAAACGGCCGCCACACACACAGGCATGTGAGTGCGTGGTGGTGGTGGTGATCTCGAGGCAGGTGGTGAATATCCCCAGGCAGAACGAGGCGTTAAGATCGTCCGATGTTTTCGTAAGGGGGTTCGTTTAGGACAGGGCGATGGCCACGCAGCACCTGGAATGAGTTGGCAGCTTCCAGACCATGCAGAGGCTCCGAGCCAGGGGTTGTTGCTGCTGTTGTAGTAGGTGACCACGCTTACCATGCATTCCGGGTATTTGATGGCGAGGAGGGAGGTGAGACCTAGGCTATTACCCTTGCACAGCCTACGGACGAACTGTCCAGGTTGGATAGTCTCGCCGCGGGGATCACGTGCATGTTCTCGTGGATCGAGCCTGGCGACGGTGGGGATGTCAACCTTGTCACTGCCTTTTTCCATTCTTGGCTGTCAGGGATGGTGCTCGTGATATGGTTGGGGATAACCTCGTGGTCTTTGGCGCGCGGTTGTGCCTCTTGTCTCGGGACCGAGAGCGGATTACCCAGCCCAGGGAGTCGGGACCCAGTCGACTGGCTGGGCTGACAGGGGTCTTGGTGCGATTGTTCAGAGCTGCTCACCTCGATGGACCCTCGTGAGGGTGTTTGCCTAATCTAATTCGAGCAGTGTTGCCTCGTCATCTCGAGATGCGTGGTGGCGGTGGGCATTAACGGACCGCATGATTCGCCGGATCGTGGGCGAGGAGTCTGTCAACCCTAAACGGACAAGAGCAGTGTGGAGCAGAGAAGTATGGACTGAGAATGAATGTTTATGGAGCTTGAAAAGCACGGATTGCCCAGCCAGGAAATGGAAGCACAAAGTTGTTGTTACCGTCTAGTCGGTAATCAATATCGTCGCTCTTTCCGTCGCATACGTTCCGACAGGTTTGCCTGATGCACGTCCATGTCGGCCGAACAAGCGTAGGCGAAGCTTGCCAAGCCAAGGGTAGTCAAGTATTCCACAGTAGAGAGATAGGCGGTCTAATTACTTTGCTGAGCTCTCGAGGATGCTTGCAACCGTATTTGGCCAGCCGCCGAATTATGCCGTATCTGGGGACAGACCCTTGCTTTATGGATGGACTTTCCGTTGTGGGCATAAGGACGAACTGTGAAACGTCCGTGGTTGCTGATGATGAGACGGAGCCAGACGAGCCGGGGCGGCTGGCCGGCTATTCGTCTCTTTTCGTCCATGGATCCTCCTATCGGTATGCTGGGGGACTATCATGTCACGTTTCGCTGTTGCTGTTGCTGCGTAATAATATTTTTTTTCGTTTTCAAGACATCAGCTTGGCACAACGTCGTCCAGACAGACATGCCCATACGACGCCGCTCCAGTGGGTCGGTCGGTCCATCCGTTGGGTCGCCAATGGCATGGTGTGAGGATATGTACGCCTGTTCTGCGTCTGGTGCTTACCTACGACTTTGGCCAGGCGCAAACGGGCAATATTGCTCCATGAAGGGTTGGTCGTATTGGAATAACATAGTGGGAATCTCCACAACCTTTTGTGGCAGTGGGGGTGGCAGGGGAGGGTCCCCATGTCGAGCGGGAGGATTCCAAACTTCCAAGAGAACGAGAGCTCCCCCCCCAACCCATGCTTGTGACGGGCTGCCCGACGGCAGGCAAACGAGACCAAGCTTTGCAATTAACCTCCGACAAAATATCGTCGTAACGCGCTTAGGTAACGCAATCCTCGACCCCTTGGTGATGACGCCGCCGAGCCACGTCTGGTAATATGACTCCGATCAGGGCGACAAAGGCGCAGCCAATTGTGCCGTCTTCTTTGCCAGCCAGCCAGCCGGCCAGCCAGCTTGTCTTATCATGCGAGAGCCGCGGTGGGTATTCAGTACACGAGCCGGATATCGAGACAGCAGCGTGCATAATATTCCAGTCCGGAGGGGAATCCTTCTGGTCGCCCAAGGGGACCAGCCGGCCGACGGACCTTGTGGCTGTGTGAGCTACATGTTGGGAGCGGCCCGTGTTGGCAGATGCGGCCGCGTCTCGGCGCGCGTGTGCTGCTTTGTCACGAGGTAGCAACCCTGGTGGAGCCGCTGACAAAGGATACCCCAGACCGGGACGAGTCTTGGCGCTCGCAAACCGGCGAATCAGAACCCCACAAAACAGAGGCTGTCGCATTAGGTAAGATGACTAAGAAACTGAGCTGGCGCGGCTTGCTGGGACGCCCTCGCCCCAGCAGAGTCCGACCAGCCCAATCAGCAGCATTCGCCAGGCCTTGGCCATGTCGAGACTGTCAGGCAAAGGTTCCGCGTGCGCCGCGCGCCCGCCGTGCCTTGCACACAACGCCATACGGGAACGCCGGAACTGTGCCATCGCATGCCGTTGCCAGAAGCAGGGGTTGCGACATCATTGCCCTCCCAGCCAACTGCCGCCTCACGTACCCGAAGCCATGTGGGCCAGCCTTTGCACCGAGGCCCGGCCCGATTGATGGACGGTGCACAGCATTAGCTGCAGCGATCATCACTGCCTCCTGGCTGGGTTGCATCAACTGTAGAAACAGTGCCGTAATTAAGTCGCGAGTCGCTGGCATCTGGCTCGGCGACCGCCAGCAATTCACCTTCCAGACTCGAGTTGGGTGATGGAAACAAGCGGCATCATAATTACAGCTTGGCTCCCGTGTTCGTAAGACACGGATCTCTGAGTAATTATGCGTGTTTTCTCGGGCCTCAAACATCACGCGTCCGCAGGAACATGCCCACGCGACCGCAGAGCAGATAAATCACCGTATCACATGCTTACGGGAACGACCCAGCATTGATCATGCTTGGCGTTTCCTAGCACAAGCGAGGGTGACTTGCTGACGCGGGCAGGGCAGGGTTTAGCTGATAGACATCCAGGAACCACCAAATTCGCCGATACATCGTAGGGGCCTCGCGAGGACTTGATGGAACTTGTTCAGCAAGACAACTGAACCGGGCCGAATGTGTCTGGACCAGCCATTTTTGCACACAATCCAGTGGCCTGTTACATACGACCAGACGGGGTGACTTACACTGACAAAAGCCAGCCCCTCCCACAAGGTAACTCCGAAAGCAGTAATTATTTGCAAGTATTATTACCTGCTATGGTCGGCCAACCATACCAATCTTTCCCAGGATAGGGGACGCCATCCCTTGCATTACTTCCCCACTTTTGCACTCCAGGTCATGCTGTGTCCTTGTCATCTCAGTTGCAACACGATCTCTCGGGAAAGAACAGAAGGTGACGTTGGCTGGGGTTCCTGGGAAGCGTCTAGCCTATCGCATCTTGTAGTTGGGACGACGCTCGGTTGCATCCGACGGTCATGTACCAGGACACGCTAGTAGCGGGTGTTTGTGACTTCCAAGGTTGATCTAATGTCGCATTGGTTGGCTTAATCGAGATTGATAAGGTACCCTGGGGAAACGCGGCATACATGTATCTCTGCCCGGCTTCAACGTGAAGGTCTTTTGTCTCCCATACGATCAAGAGAGCGGCACCCATACGGAGTCGAAGATGTGATTGGGTGAATAATCCTACCAGGACTGAGGCACCCTAACTCTGGTTACGGCAAGACAATGTATGCAAAGGCCAATGCCTTGTTTCTCAAAGCCGACCAAGCGAACACCTGCTTTGCGAAGTTCCATCTTGCGAAGTTCCGCGGTGTGGTCTGCTCGGACAATCTCGATCCATTGCATCAGACGTAACCATACAATCAACTCTCTGCAGTTCGTCCACAGAAGAACTTCCTGCCGAGGGAGGTATGCGGCGATGTGTCCGGACGTCCGCTGACATAACCAATATAAAGGTGGGCGGGCTCTCGTCGTGGACTTCTGGGTGTCCACTTTGACATGTGGTCCCAGACAAGGATCACATCGACGCCTTAACCGCTTTTAGAAAAAAGGTCCCCTGTCCGCTTTCCCCACTGCGAGGATGTTGCGTCGGCAATGTCAGAATCCCTGCTGTCCGCCAACTCCAACGTCGCAGCAATTGGAATGAGTGCTTCAGATCGTGTTGGATCTTGCTTGACGACTCAAGAAAGTGGATAAAGACTTCACGAAACCGCCCCCAAGATGGCGGGAAAGGGACAGAAGCTGTTCTTGTGACACAGCCCTGCGACGTGAACGTCACCCATATCTTCACTTTGTTGCTTAGCAGGATAATGATTACTGTGCCTAGCCAACCTTGTTGTTGTAGGTCGGCCAAGGAGGCCAAGCAAGCCTGCGTGGCTGACATTCTGCTGAAGTGCAACCGAAGCGTATGTCGATCTTTGTGTCGTCATAGCCAAGAAAGCCCCGTCATCTTGAGACAGAAGGGACACGCTGCACAATGAGAATCCTAAAGTCGCGCAGTGACCCGACTGCTTGAGGTGCCGAGCTCGAAAGTTGGGCCTGGGTCACTCATTGGGATTCGGGGGTTCAAATAACAGGGGTCTAGCCCCACAGACGGACCAAATGCCGGTGACCTGGTCGGGGGCTCGGCGACTGCGACTGTGACAGTAACTTTAGGTGTGGGCGGCGCTGCAAGGGTTGAAAGCGTCGTGCCTAGCTACAGTCTCCTCGACGCTCAATTGTCAAGTCAGCCAGTTTTGTCAAGGCTCTGCCAGCGTAGAATATGATGCTTATATACTCCGGCATTTTAAACGCACAACCACGGGCCGGTTGCATCGTTCCTCTTGTGGTGTCGTCGAGAGTTTACCAGAGGCCATCAGAACAACCTCACTTTCGAAGGGTGACCCTGCGTACCCTGTATATGGTTTTGCTGGGCACCAGGGCTAGCCGGCGAGCAGGGCACGGAGGAGACGATCGAGGTCGGGGTACACATGAGAAACGGACGTTCTTTGATTACTACGCTCAGGTACGGGGAGCTGATTGTCTCGTTCGGATCTGCAAGTGACGACGGCGGGCAGGCGAAGAGACCTGAGTGGCGGAGATTGGCTACTGGGGCTGGACGGCGAGGCAAAACCCCTTGCCAGGCGGAGTGACATTCGAGACAAATTACCAAGTCCGGAAAGGCGCCGGCCTTGGGCTCGGGCATTGCTTTGGGAAGGAGTGCCATGCCATGCCATGCCGGTGGTGGTGAAAGCGCGTGTGTGTGCGCGCGCGACCAGATGTATGTCAGACGGCTGATTCAGCACGGAGTCGACCACCACCCACTTGCAACAACCTTGGAAGGCACTCCCACACCTGACGCTGCCTTGCTGCACCCTGGGCCCCTCCCTTCCCATGGCCCACTGGCTCGGCAGTCGCAGGACGTGGTCCTGCATTTTGGACTGGCGTATCTGCACCGCGATGAGATCGAGTGCCAAAGGTTGGCTCCCAAGTGCTACGTGCCTTTCTGGTTGCTTGCCTCGAGTCCTCGCTGGCAGCTCTGTCAAGAGACAATGGCCGGTCGCGTTGCGCGAACAATGGACGTATCCACCCCTCGGACCAGCCTGGCTGATCGTCCACTACGATGCCCACAAGTGCTGACGAGCTGAAGGCCAGCCCTGACCCGAGGAGCAACTCGGCGTACTTTTGAGTCCCAGCCGTCCTTACGATGCCGCCGGGCTTCTACCTCTGACAGCTGAAAGCGCCACCACGGCCAGGGTCTCTCTAACCTGCCCAACCCAGCACCGCACTGCAAAGTACAGCAAATCATGGTTTGTGGTTCCCGACACGAAGGCGGATGCAGCTCGTTGCAAATGCTGACGATGATCTCGCCAGGCCAGGGGGCACGGCATCACCTCCTTGCAGGCCTCAAAAGGCATCCAAGGCCGTCTCTGAAGGTGCGATTTGCCGATAGCTGTCACGGCACAATCTAACTCACACCGTAGCCTGCCTCGTGGCACAGAGCTAGCGGATAGAGCTGATTATGGACATGATCGGGAACTGGCCGAAATGTCACCGCCCCCAGCGAAACACATCTGGACTCGTGCCTCCCGGCGGAAACCGGGGCTGGCTCGCAAGGCACCTGGTTTACGTATCTGCTGCCCGGGAGGGCGTGCCGGATGCAACCATCATCCTCATGCTTGCTAAAACCACTCCTGGCCCTCGGACGCTGTTGGTCCTTTCCAGACAAAGTTGTTGGTCTTGTCTGACCTCGGGCTGCCAGGATGTGGCCTTCTCAAGGTGATTCTGCAGGATGCATGAATTGAACAATGCTTTCGCCCTTGCTCAGAATAGATACCAACCACGCGCGACATGCTTGTTCCAGAGACAAAAGCCCGGAAACGTTGCACGTCCGTTCTGGCTCGCACCAAGCCCCCGTCCATTCAGGACAAGGCCACCGCATGATTTGAGCATCTCTGAATTGCCGCCTTGGGCCGTCGATGACGGTCCGAGGTATGCTGACTACAGTGGCTTTGTGTTTCTGAGAGGAGCGCTAATAATAACCCAGGCTAGAGAGAGCCCGTTGACCAGCAGGCAGGGTCCTGGGAGGCGTCGGTGACTGGGCGGGCACGCGGGCGAGACGATCCATGGATACTTTACGTATGTATCAACAGGCATCGTGCAGCCAATCCCCACAAAGCAGGTCGTTGCTGACTTTACCATGTGGTTAATCAGCAGCTTTGAGATAGACCACGGGAGGGTAGCTATAACAGATGCTACAGCGCCTTGTCTCCAGCTCGCTGTTTAGTGCGCCAAGTGGTGTGTGCCGTACGCGACCGCATATGTAATCCTCTTTCAGATGCTCGAGAGATGGTCATCTTGTGGTACTTAGACTCTTACAGGCCGGACTCTTGCTCCTGAGCTGGTCGTGCATTCGTTTTCACTACTCCCACATCGATTCTTCCACGTCCAACAAAGAACGACCCCTTCTGTGCGGACACGGCCACAGACCTCATCACCACGGCAGCCCAGAACGCGAGAAAGCATATCAGTCTTCACCATACGCAGCTTCAAAGTTGTCCTCGATTCCAGCAGCTCCAGCCAAATAATAGCTGAACGCAACCTGCGGCAAGATCCAAGCCACAGGCAACATATACACACGACTCTTGCAAGGACAACGGGTTTCCCGAAGCACAGAAAGGCTGAGCTTATCCGACCTGTCTCAGTTCGAGAGGCAGTTCCTCCGCTTTGGATATATCCAGAGATCGAGACGACAACACTGAGGGCACGAGCACAGCGAGCATTGCGGAAGGGAAATCACTTCTCTCGACCGTCCTAATCTCTTCTCAGAACACCTAGAGTGGCAGACCACAGGTGCCGCAACAATGGCATACGCGGTCGCGAGTAATTATCACGGCCACCAGGTGAGTAATGTCTTACCCGCGACAACTTTGGTCACGCATCCACTGAGCGACACGGCAATTGTGCCAGTACACAGCTGCCGTGGCCAGTCGAGACTGAGGGCCATCGATGGCTTGTCCAGCCGCAAGTGAGTGACAAGAGACAATGCTGACTCATGCATGTAGGGCTCCGCTTTTTACAATGGTAGGCTGCTTTTCCGTCCTTCCCCACCTCGTCCCAACCAACTTGCAGCTGGCCTGCTAGCCGCACCCCTGCTCCCACGCCCCCTCCCGCGCGCCCGACGCACACTGGAAATAAGCTCGAGTTGAGCAGAGCCTTTCCCAAACACGTCCTGGGAGCGGCGGCGGATATGTAATCACCTTGTCATGGCGCCTCGCCGTGGCTGCCGTCAGCAGCTGCGGGCGACCCAGCTCGCCAACCGCGCCTTCCCTTATTACATGGCTCAGCCGCTCGCTTACCAAATCACCTGCTTCTCCCTCTGCTCCCTCACCTCATCTGCCTCTGCCCACCTCCCAGCACGCGCACCCATCCGGCCTGTCTAAGTCAGCAAGCCAGGCGTTTCCGCCCACCTATCCAGCCAAGCCGATTGGATCTCGACCGATCTTGCCTCGAGCTCTCAGGGCTGCTGACGCTGCTGTGGCCATCTCTGTGCGACGCCCTTGCACCAAGCACGCGTCACCGTGTGGCAGATACAGCCCATCGGCCGGCCTCAGCTAAGGTACCTCGCTCGCTCGCTCGCACGCATCCTCCACCACCTTCCTTGTCTCCGCGCGCGCCGCCAATCCCCAGCCCCCCTGCCAGCACCTGCACCATAGCTCCAATGAGCTCGATCCCTCCTGCCTATTCTTAACTCCCACGCGGCTCGCCCAAGTGCCGCCTGTCCCCATCCTGACAAAGCAGGCATCCCATCACCACCAGCCACCACCACCACCACCACTGCCTGACCTCTAGCACATTGATCTTCCCTGCTTGCCGAGGACCCAAAGGGCCACAGAGGATCCTCCTGCAGCCTACGCTGGGGCGCGTGCTCTGTCACCATCACTCTTGTAGGGCTCCAACACTGACTTCTCAACTCGGCAACGCGTCTAGATTACGACGAAGTCAGGTCCAAACCCCTGCATGTATCAAGCCTTCTAAGCCCACCTAGGTCATCATCGTCCTCGTCGCCGCCGTCAACTTCGTCCTCCGCGCCCGCCCGGCACTCGATTGGCTCGGCGCACATCAAATCTCTGTTGCACCCAGACTCGCCCTCGCCGCCGCCATCCTCGTATGGTTACGCCTCGCACTACATGGCGACTCAATCCCCAACCTATACCCCTGCCGCTGCTGCAGCACCATATCATCAGTCGGCTTCGGACATGATGCAGGACGTCTCCCCGTCATCCGAGAGCCAGTACCCGGCGCCCCCAGCTCCTCCAGCTCCGATGGCGATGCCCGGCCCCGGCGAGCCGGAAAGCCCTCCAGATGAGGGCGCAGATGCGCTCAATGACGGCCGGAAAGCCAAGCGTGAATTGTCTCAATCTAAACGCGCCGCACAAAACCGAGCTGCGCAGGTACGTTGACTTGTATTTTACTCGTACATCTTCAAATCTGTGACGGTGCACCAGGTCCTGACAAGTTTCTTCACAGAGAGCCTTCCGTCAACGTAAAGAGCACTACATCAAGAAGCTCGAGCAACAAGTTCGAGACTACACGGAAATGGAGCAGAACTACAAGGCTATCCAGAACGACAACTATGCGCTGCGCGAATACGTGATCCAGCTGCAGTCTCGGCTGCTCGACGTCCAGATCGATCCTCCGCAGCCGCCGCCGAATGTCAACATTGGGCCTCCAACGGGGTCTGCAAATGCCGCCGGTGCTCGCCCGCTCCATCCTTCATTGGTCTCACCGTCAGCTGGGCCCGTAGACCCAGCCGCCGCCGGTGCTAATCGAGGCACATTGGCAGACGTCGCCGCGGCCGTGGCTGGCCTGAGTGCCAGAGAACCGGGCGCTGAGCCAAGCCCAGAATCCATCTACCCGAAACCCCCCTCATTCTCAGGAGACACCCCTGAGGATCTGCGGAACGGTGATGGGATCAACCGTCAGATGCAAGACGGCTTACCATCTGCTCCGCTGCGGACATGAGCTTGGAGGCTTCAGGAAGATGAGACCTGGCCAGGTCGCTAATATCGTACAAGTCACCTGCCGGCCAAGTTTCGAGCCCAGTGTTGCTACGCCGGGATTCTACAGAATCTGCACTCACCAAGTAGTGATGATCTGTGTCTCGGGACACGAGCTTGCGGTGCTTGGGGGGCGTTTTGGTGTAGGACTGGGCGTTTGCTGTTTATCATCCATTTTGGCACCGAGCCACGCCAAAACTTTGACGAGCGATTTTTACAGGTCAACACAATTGTTATTGAAACTGCGTAGCATATCTTTTTTTGTTGCTGCAAGCACTCCCCGACGAGCGAAACGTAGAGGTCTACTCGTAGTGCAAGGAGACAGTTTTTCAACCGAGTTCAAAAGAAATACCCTTTTCAATGGTCCACACTCTGCAAATCCCTAAGTAGATTCAGTCATATACGTGAGTGCGATGTTATGCTCTGGCATGGCCATGCACAAGGTCGAGCTGTCGGAGGATCGCGATGAGCTACCCCGAGTTCCTCGCACAATGGGCTATGCTCGTACGGCAACTGGGACCACTTTCCCGCCGTGGCCAGCCACGCAATGGCTTACATTAATTAGGTACTTGAACTTACACAGGCCCGAGCCGGAAGACTGATCGCTTACACATCTGATGGCAACCCACACACACACATGCACACACACACACCTGCATGCATCGCACGCCTAGAAACACACGGGCCGTCATCTCTTGGCCCGGAGACCAGCCACTGAAACAGACACCAACGGTTTACGCACGCTGACTAGCAGCTTTGTACTTCACGAGGTCCACCACCGCCTGGATCACGCAGACTTTCCGGCTGACCGGTTCTTTTCTGCTTCTTCTTCTTCTTTGGTGAAAAGTAAGTTTGGCCGACCGTCCATTCACACTGATATAGCATGTCCTTTGATTTTAGAAGCTTCAGATTTCCAATGGAGAAAGAAAAGGCATAGATTCGGTAGGGCGTGGAAATCTTTGATTGCGAAGTCACTCACGCAGGGTCTGCCGCAATAGCCGGGTCGTCTACACTACTTCTGATATTTGGAATGTGTGCTCGTTGCTGCTTCAGACCTAACCCATCCGGCCGGGATCTCCTCTCTTGGCGCTGACTACGAGCACCTTGCTCGGCCGCTTCGATTAGTCAGCGAGCCATTGGTAGTGAGCTGTGTGTGAACACGGAGAGTTGGGCTTCGGCACTCATCCATCCACTCCCCCTCCAGGCAACCGAAGAAACCATCTCGTCAGCACTTGGTACAAGAATTATGGTTTCAGAGGAGTGGGCTCGCTGCACTCTCGGCGCGTTCCCCGCGTCTTTGACGCTTATGGCCCTTGGCCAAATCAGGCATACGAGTTGCCAAGGTCGTGTTCCTAAAGCGGAAAATCGCCGAAGTCGAGTCAGCGGTCTGAAATGGCTTGCGCATGGGGACTTGAGCAAGGGCAAAACAAGCAAGGAGAAGGGGAAGAGGCGGTGACGGTCTGCGGGAGCTGTGCCGTAGGGGGACGCGCTCGGCGATGGGTGCCGTCAGACGATGGCACGGTCGGAACCACGGACGAGTTTGTAAGCAGTCTCCGGAGTTACCGGACTGAGCTTGTCGCCGAAATAAGGTGAACTCTTCTCGGGTCGACAAGGGCCGACCGAGACAGAGACAATACGAATGACAGCAAGATCCAAGCAAAGATAACGTCAGCAACACATACCTTGATGTAGTCCTGGCCCTTTTCCTGCCATTCCGCTTTGGTGACTGTGGCCGCTCTGTAAGCCGAGCTGCCCGTCCACTGCGCGGCGCCTCGCCAGGCATCGAGCAGGGCATCGCCCGCGCGCCGGACCTTCAGTGGTGAATCGGCTGGCAGCGACATGGTCAAGCCCTGGCGCAGACGGTCGTCAAAGTTCGGGAAAAGTGTGTTGCCACCAGTCAAGAACACGTCCCGCAAAAAGTCGTCGCGGTTGACCCCTGGTAGACCAACGAGTCTCTGGTTCAGAATGTCGCTGGCAATCTCGACAAGGCCGGCTTGATCCACTCCAGCGATGGATGGCTGGAAGACGATCTCGGGCACACGAATGCGCTCAACATTGAGATGCAGCTGGTGAATCTCGGACTGCTTGCTTGGATCGAAGGGCCGAGGTCCTCTCAAGAAAGCGTGGACTAGACTCTTGTCCCAGTCATTCTGTGCTTCCCAAGTGTCGTCGTGGCCAAAATTCGGGTCATACCGGAGGAGGTCCTCCTCGAGAGTCTTCAAGTTGCCCATGAAGTCTTCCTCGCCCTCCTCATCGTCACTGCCACCCTCGCCCACGGCGATCTGACGATAGACACCCCAGTCGTCATCGTCAGCACCGAATGTGTCATCATCGCCACCTCGCCGCCGCTTGTTCCTCGGACCATCTGACGCGAGGTTGGCGATGGACTTCATGCGAATCTGTGACGCGAGCGACTTGCGGTTGCCCAGGTCTGCCTTGAGGCGGTCTCTCTCCTTCATTCTCTGCAAGACTTCGTTCCTCGCGGCGCGCCGCTCTTGCACCCATCCTTCCAGATCGTTGATACGGCGCTCCTGGTCTAGCCTCTCTTCTTCCGCGATGCGAGCCTTCTCGGCCTCCTTCTCGGCCTTGGCACGCGCTCGAGCCTCATGACTGGACTTCATCAGACGCTGGTGCCTCTTGGCTTTGATGCCAGCATCGTCCAGCTCCTCATCAGGAACGTCGAGTAGGCTGAAATCTGGCGCCTCCTGCTGCTCCTCTTCGACCTCGCCACCAACGTCTTTCGTACGAGCCTTCTTGACGGACTTCTCCAGATCTCTGATCGTGCGCTCCAGCTGTGCCTCATCCTTCATGTCTTCGCCGTCCAAAAGCCGTTTTGTCTCCTTCTTGGTGGCGTCGACCAGCTTCTCCTGGATCTTCTTGTAGTACTCGAGCTCCTCTTCCTTGCGCATGAGCTTTTCGAGCCGCATCTTGGCGGCTTGTTCCTGCAATCTGCGCCCGCTCTCCTTCTTGCGCTCTGCAATTCGGGCCAGCTCTTCCTCGCTCTTTTGAACAATGACCTCCTCGGTATATGGGTACTGGATGACGACATCACGTTCTTCGAGGCCTGTCCAGTCCAGATATCCACGCAGCTCGTTGTCGTAATCCTTGGAAACATAGCAGTGATCCTTGATCATGTTCTCCGCCTGTGACACGTTCAGCTTGCCAGGAAACGTGGGGTATTTGAGGCGCATAAGCTTGAGCATGTACTCTGACCCGTGCCAACCGCCCCAGTTCAGCCTTATCGCCTGGGCAAGCATAGCCTTGTGGTTGTAGACGGGAATGACGTGCGTCGAGCTGTAGGAAGATGACACGACCAGACCTGACTGGCCTTTGTTGTACCTGTATGAGAAAAGCGAGTCAATTCCGGTGGCGAGCGATGGCGCGCCGTAGCACTCGAAGATGATCTCATTCATAGCTGGACGCCAAAAACGCTAGACGTTAGCTTTGTCGTGACATGAAAAGATTGGTTGGCATTCTCACATTTCCGGGAATACGGCAGGTTAGCCACCGTCTCCGTGATGACGATTGGGGTGTCGATAGCACCATCTGCCGCATTCATTCCGAGCTTGAGGAAGGTCCAGTCTAGGACATGCTCCATGACGTCCCAGTTGGCCACCACACCACTGCCGGCCTCAAAGGCATTGCGAATGTGCCCACGCGCTGTGGTATCGGCATAACAGTCGGTGCCGGCGAAGGAATATGTCTTGCCCAGCTTGCGATCTCTGTATTTCGCCATTATCGGCGGAATGTTGATCCTGGGCTGAGACTCGAAGGACCAGCCCGCGCGCACAGCCGACGAGCCATTGTCGATGACGATGGCGGCGCTGCCATCAGTGCGGCTGAGGGCTTGCCGCCGGCCGTCTGTCTGTATCTCGACCGCCTTCTCGAATTTAGTCTCCTTGACATTGCATATGCGGGCAGGCGGGTATGTCTTCTCCTCGCGCTTAGGCAAGGGCGGTAGAGGGTCGTCGATCGCGGATGGGGCCATCGTAGCGCAACTGGCTTTCGTGTACGGCTGATGTATGGACTGTGATCAAGGGCGGAGGCGCGAGGGGCGCGGCGAGCTGCGCGGAGAGGGCGTGCACTGTGATCGGATTGGTGCAACAGCTTAGAGTCTCGTCACCGCATGTCGAGTGAGCTGCGATGCACCTCAAGCGGGAGACGATCCTGGTAGTCGGTTGCTAGGCGTGAGGGAATGCAACTCTGGAGGCTGGGGCCAGGCAGTGGAATCTATTCTGGTCGTTGTTGCTGCGGCGGAGAGAGGCGTTGGGTGTGTGGCAATGTCTTGTACTTGGCCAGGCAGTTTTTTCGCGTGCGACGTTCTAGAGTCGCGGTCTTGACAATCGTCAGCCACTTGCGGGTGATAGCTCCGGCAACGCAGCTCTAAGGCAGGGGCACCCCTTGGCGTAGCTTTCACCACGACAACACGGCCACATATACACGCCGCCACTACAATCACACACATAACATCACGTGGTCTCTCGAACGGACGTGTATTACTACATGCGCCTGAAATATATGAGCTGCTCACGATGAAATTCATTGCGCGCGATATTGTCAATTGAATAGCAACACCAGGCGTCCGCAGCGCTTCCCTTCGCGCACCAAACGTGGTCCACTAGTAGTAACAGCAAGCATAATCAAGACGGCTCCTTGAGGTTGTCCGTGGCTATCATTGTTTCAACGGTCAGTGGGGATCATACGGGCGGCGCAAGGGCAGCTCACCTTCCAAGTGGAAGAGGACATTGGACTGGTAGTTTTTGAACATCTGGGCGACCAACTCCACATTCATGTTCTGAACGTTGATGTCCTGAACATGCCATCCCCCGTCAGTATGAGCTACCACGACGGCAAATCAGAGCCGAGGGCCGGCGACTCACCTGCAGGCTCTTGTTCATGACTACAATGGCCTCATTGAGTTTCTCCTGTACTCCGTGGTGGTGTAAATAGCTGGATCTTGATGGTGGGGTTCACCATGTCAACATTGCCAGGTACAGGACTTACAACGTTGGTGATGATACGCGAAAGCAGCAGGTTCTGCTGGTGCTCATGAGGGCTCTCCTACACGACTTGTCAGAAAAGAAACCAGCCAACGAGCCTGCTTCAAGGCCAACACAGGTGTGTTATCTTACCATCTCGCTGTTGTCGCTGGAAGAACAGCAACGACGTGATGATAACAATCATGGCTGTTTGCAAGTGTTTAAGGTGGGCGCGGAGGAGAGGGAAGGAAGGCGGTACTGGTCGGCAGAATACTGGAGCGTCCAGATGTCTCGAGGACGCGCTCCTTCCAGCATGAGCGCGCCAGCGTGGAGCTCCCCCAAGTGCCCAAGTGATCGGGAGCTTACCCCAAGTGTACCAGCGCAGTACCCACCCTTCTAGTAATAGGACGCAGCAGCCTTGCACTCGAGCAGCGAAGTGCTCCCAAATCAAGACCTCCAGCACCCTACGACAGTCGCAATCATCACGACACTCCAGTTGACAGCTTTTCTGCACGCCACAAAACATGGCGACACAACCGACGGAGGCGCAAATCGCCCACCAAGAGCTCATTGACAGGCTCGACATCCACTCCATCCACAAGTCGTTCCGCAATCCGCACTGGAAGCCCAACCAGCGGCGCAACAAGAACATCAAGGCGATCCTCGGCGATGCCTCCCGGCGAGAAGCCGCATCGGCCTCGATAGCCGCTACTCCCTTGGACAACAACAGCGGGGCAGCAACACCGATGGATATCGACGGCGGTAACAATGCCACCAGCGACGACAAGAATAACGACGGGCTGTCGACTAGCGGCACTTCCACACCGGTCAACGGCAACACCGCCCCTCCAAACCTCGCGCAGGCTTCGAGGAGTCTGTCGAAGCTCGTTCTCGAGAAAAGTCTCAAGCAGAACGGTGCCCCTGGGTTGGGTGGCACGAGTGGCTCGCAGGCGCCGAGCGCCACATACACGAATATCGAGTCGGCGCCGAGTCTTGCGCACACGAAGCGCTATTGCGACATCACGGGGTTGCCGGCGCCATATCTGGATCCCAAGAGCAGGCTTCGATATCACAACAGGGAAGTATTTGGGTTCATCCGGACCTTGCCTCAAGGTGTGGGCGAGCAGTACCTCGAGGCCCGCGGCGCGCATACTGTGCTCAAATGAGCTCGGCGAGGGATACAAGACTCCATATTTTTTGTCCTGGAGAAGATACAAGGACTGCGACGTGTAGCTGTGCTTGAAACTCAATGATAGCCGCCATGGCCTGCAACGCGAGCACGTTGGGGGTTTTAAACGAGCAAAATCAATTTAGAAGGCTCGTGCATGGTTGGGATCGCACACCAATCGTACCAGCGAGCAAGCGCGTCACAACAGGTGGGGGAAGGGACATGTTCGACCGTCAAAGTCAAGCCTATCCTACGCACCAACAGCCTCTCGGCTGCCGAATGACAGGTTACGCTCCGGCTTAATCGCGATCGGGAAAGAGTTCTTCTTTCCATGTGGGTTGTTCTCTGCCTGTTACTGACGGGTACCGAGAGCGAAGGGAGGAATCGTCTCTCAGTGGCCATGGCTACAGAGAGCCAGATGACGCCGCGGCATATCTCAAAGTCACATGTGTGCTGTCATAGGGAGGATGGTAGTTTCCTGGGAGAACCAATATCACACAGCGAAGTGCTCGCGACATGATAGTCTGCCAAATTCGTGCGTGACACTGCCTGTAGCGTCCTTACCTGAATCAGCTCCAGATGGCATCGTGCGCGGCAGCTTTACGCCGCGAGAGTCTCGGTGCCATGGCGTAGCAGGAGATAGATTGGAGCTGCGCTCGGAACAGCTGGTAATGCTGTGCGCACGATGACCAATGTTTCAGCAAGTGTTGGGGAAGATGAGAGCCAGGGCGAGTTAGACAAAGGCCAGCAATTTTTTTATGCGAGGCAGAGGGGCACAGTGTCAGAGAAAGCGGACCGCCAGGCGGGCGCGGCCTCTTCGGGTGCTTGGCGTACTGTGTCAATCAGAATCAGCACGGTAGCGATTCAACGGAGTTCCCCACGACCTGGGCAGGGAGCAAATGCCATTGTTCAGCTAGACAGCTGAATGCGTGATCAGCCTGTCACTGCCGGCGCTCAGACGTTTGCGGGCCGGTCGTAATTAGATGACTGTTATTTCAAAACACATGGAAGCCAAGGCGATAAACTACGGATGGAATCACGTAGGAAGCCTTAGGCAGGCCAACTTGACCTCTTCATCGACGCTTTCGTGCTTTGACCTCGGCCATAGCTGTTGAGGAGCTCTGAGCTGTGAAGACGCTGGATCATCATCAAAGCCAAATGCAGTGTGTGTTGCCCCTTGCGCTTGCCCAGGCCAAGCCCGGCCAGGGGCGCACCCGCTGCACTTTGACGTCGAGCTAGGTAGCTCTAGAGGGCAGGGAGGGCAACAGCCACTGCATCGCACCCACTTATTCCCATGCTGTCTCAAAGGGGCATGCGACAACTGGCCCATTATACCACACCACAACTTTAAAGACACCTTTCGACGGTTTGCGCGCGCACTCTCTCACACGACCCTCTCGCCAACTTTGGAGCTCCGTTCAAATCGCTAAACACACCTTCTCCTCCGTTCGCAAGTCCCAAGCCTAGCTGCTTCGTCGTTCGGTCCAGCACACAGCAACATGCCTACCATGTGGTTATCAGATTCCCAAAGTACGCCTCCCCGCACAATGCGCCTCCTGCTTCGGCCGACCGACGATGTGGCTTCGTGTCCCGCCATCTGCCCAGGGACTTACCTGTTGTCTTTGACTTGACTGGACGCTAATCTCTTATGCTCTTTTCAGAAATCGGGGTCGCTTTCTGCTCCGGTGGTGTGTAGCCCTGTTAAGCTCCGATCCTCTCACGCGACCTCGACCGAAATCCAATATAAGATCAGAAGAACTGATGGGCAGCTGGAATTCTCTGTTACAGGCGGCTTCTTCCTCATTGGAGGTGTGATGCTCTTCTTTGACCGGGCCATGTGAGTCAGATATTCTCGAGGCGAACTTGTTTGTGGTTCGGACGTCCAGTGCTGATATATTTCAACTCCCACAGGCTTGCCATGGGTAATGTACGTCGTTTGAGAACATCATAGTAATCCCCCACTTGCGCCGAATCGTGCAAAAAACCACACAAGACACGAGGACGACGACCAAGATCTGCAGAAACGCACAATTCGCAACCCATAGAAAACGCCTCGACCCTCCTGTTCCAACCCCCGTACTTACACTCGCGGAAACAAACAAACAGATCCTCTTCCTCATCGGCCTCACCATAATCATCGGCCCACAAAAGACACTGCTCTTCTTTGCGCGGAAACAAAAGGCTAAAGGCACGGCCGCATTTTTCCTTGGCCTGCTCATGATCCTCATGCGCTGGCCGCTCATCGGCTTCTGCGTCGAGCTGTACGGCATCATGGTCCTGTTTGGAGACTTCCTCGGCACGATTGCCGCCTTCGCCCGCAACGCGCCCGTCGTTGGACCGTATATCGGCCTGCTCATCGATCGGTCTGGCCTTGGTGGACGCCGGAACGCGGAGCTGCCTGTATGAGCCGGCAGGGTGAAAGGGAAAGGGCGGATGAGACTTTATTTGCCTTGCTGGTGTCGGTTCATACGTCCAATGGACGATGATACTGCAACCGATGGCCTCGCTGGCCTCCTTGCAACACCACCGTGGTACAAGCAGAAAGAAACAGAACCGGACTCGACAGCATCACAGATACGAAAAGGACAACTCACGGCGTCCAGGTCCCGCGCCGGGCGAACGGGTATATGTGGGGTCTACTACAAAGGAGTTGCTTAGGCGTTATGGGCGTTGATTGCGCCAGACTTACGGCTGTGCCAGCAGGGCAGGGACACATTATTGTGATGAATAGGCTATGTGCATAGAACATGAAGCTGTGCTTCGATCCGATATAGACATAATAGTGATGACCCACGCTAAGGCTGCCCACCATTCGATATTGTGTTTGTTTCTTTGTTTCTCAAAAGCAGTTCGGTTCATGCAGGGTATGGTTTCAGCTCCAGCTCACGAAGAGGCACTGTCTGTCATTGCTAGCACAAATCAGAGAATGTAGAAACGTCCGACCGCTGGGTATCTCGCACTCAGATATCAGAAAGAAAAGTCGTGGTGAAGAAAAAGGTCATTCTCGAGCGCAGCTCGTTGTTCGTTCTGCTTTTACATATCTCGGGAGTCTAAATCGTAGAAGAAACCATCATGACGCCATGGCCCCATCATGGTGGTTGAGAAGGTCGAGGTAGGACAGATGTCCCGACTGAGCACTGCAGCCAGAAAGGTATGCCTGCCCCTCTGGCCAGCCTATTCCTCGGTGGTTGCCTTGATCTTCATCCAGGCAGCTCGATCCGGGTTCGAAACAGCTTAATAGCCAACGCCGATGAGGTAGTCGGCGAGAACCTCGACGGTCTGCCTCGAGTTACCGGCAACCATGGCCTCGCCGTGGTGGCCAACGAGAATGGCCTGCTTCGTCTTGCAAATGCAGACACCGAGTCTGCCCTGTTGGTGGGGGGAGAAACAGGCAAAAGTTAGTTATATGGTGCCTAATTTGGCCCCCCCCCCCAGCCCTTGGTGTAAAAAAGTCCAGACGTACCTTGCGCGCGTAGATGGATCGGTCGTCAATCTGAGCAACAACGTAGCGGTCGCCAGCGATGTAGATACCCTCGGCCTGGGCCTTCTGCTGGTTGGCGGGGTTGGCATAGATGTCGGCCAGCGCCTTCATCTCACCAGCAGAGAGCTAATCAGCAACATCTGTCAGCACTGCTGTCTTTCACCCACATCGACGCAAACGTCCGCGAATCCGTCCTGGGTTTCCGGCGTCACGCCCCGGCAGTAAAGTCCCCAGGAGCGGATATAGAGAGAATATGAGAGCGGGGTCGTCGTACAGTGAAGCCGGCGGTTGTGGCCCATGCGCTGTCACCAGCGATGGAGACGATGGCGGCCTTATCGATGTGGCCGCTGCCGACGAGGCTGTTTTTGGGCGAGGACTTTGGTCAGTATTCCTGATTTTTGCTGCTCATGGCTGTCCGGCCAGCTCGCGGTGGTCGTACCTGGAATCAACATAGGCTACACGCGAGATGCGGTCTGTTAGCGTGTCTGAACGGGAGCATCCGGGAGCACGTCACCGGCACGGAAGAGTAGCTTGACCGACCTTGCCACGACATGTTGGGTGGTGTGCGGGGGGGAGAAAACTGCTGCTCTGAGGAACGGTAGGGTAGGGTAGTTGGAGATGTGAGGATGCACGCGCGAACAGAGGCGAGGGCTGTGTTTGGCGGCGGAAAGTTGTGAAGCAACAAAGAGCACGTCCCGCTGCTGGGATCAACAGGGTTGGTTGACAAGTGAGCGGTGCATAACTTGGACAGAACCCACTTGAGCGCACCGTCGGGCCACTGGTGAGGTGTTGCTGTCGGCCAGGCGAGGAGGGGCAGCGCAGCCCACACTGAAAGCTCTCGAATGGCGCTGTGAGGGGAAGAGGGGCAGTGGCTCAAAGCTGTTCGCAGCGGGCCGCCACGCCCTTTCCAAGGTTTGGACGAACGCGCCTTCGACACGCTATTTTACCCGTTGAAGCCCGCGTACTCGAGTACGTACTATACCTGAGGGAACGTATCTTTGGCTCTGAGCACGAACGGGCCAAATCTGTCGATTGAAATGCACTAGAAACGATGATTGATGGCAGCAAAATGCGACCATCCCCTCCCATATATGAGAATGACGCAACGACGACTTGATTCAGATGCCTGGGCAATTCTCTTGGTGGCCATGGCTTGCATGAGCTGCATGTCCCACCCCCGCAGGTCTCGACTGACAAAACCAACCGCCAGAGCTTGGCCACCACCCCCAAGAGTCTGAAAAGGTTCGTCCCTCAAATCCACCTGGACATGGACAAACGCCGTCGTTCCATTCCCGTAACCCAGCATGCTTGTTGCTCGTGGCGACTGTCTCGCATTCGTCTTCATTCCGTCGTTGAGGGCCTTTCAACCGAAGCTTAGGTTTAGAGCTTCGCGCAACTTCATAGTCCAACGCAATTTGGACTGGCGCAAGAAGATTGTGCTGATCGACGGAAGCCATGTCCAGCAGTATCGAGACTGCCTCATCTCACATTTCAGCAGTGCCGCCACCGTAGGCTCTTCCAATGATCCAGTTGATACCCATGATTCCAAGAAATGGCGTGGAGATGCCGCCAGAGCACCATCTAGGACGCAAGACGTCGGCCTCTCTCACGACGACCACTTTTGAGGTCGATGGAGCGAGCACACGCCTCTATGGTGCATGTGCCGAAATCTACGACGATCAGGACCGTCGTTCAGGATTAGCCATGCGAGCCTTTCTGCGGTGTCAGAGGCTACCTATGAGTGTTGCTAATTTGAGCCCATATATGGCTGGCCGTTGGCCGTTATTTGCAACAGGCGACAAGCGAGCTGGAACAAGACGCAGCGCCGTTAGCTATCATTCCCTCTGATGCTTGGACTAGGTCGCTAAGGTTGCACGCTACTTTATATGGGACATTTCAGATGCTATACCTACCTACCATGGACAAGCCACTTCGCACCCCAAGACGACGATTGTGTCAGAACACCACCCAGTGGCGATCGACGAAACCCGACAAGCCTGCCGACGGCTGACTGGTGTTCTGGAAGGCCCAACTGCCGCTCTAGCTGTTCATCAGATTCTGAAACAACGACTAAGCGCATGTCCGTCACCGGCTGCAAGGGATGAGACATGAAACCAAGTACCCCACGACCCTTGCAATAAGCCGCCTAGGGCCCATGGGTCGATCCGCTCCAGCAGCGTCCATTGGCCATCTCCACCCTTGTAAATCCCGGACATTTACTGCTTTTGGTGGCTCGCCATTCCTGCTTTCCTCCGACTCAACTGGGCGTTGACGGACACGATCATGGCGACGGGGACCTCGCCAGGGGTATTTATTCACGCAGTGCAACGTAGCACCGCAGCAATGTCTCAATGGAAAAGGCTTCGAACTACTGGTGCTGTGATGGGACTTGAACGGCATCTCCGCCATGCGGGAGGCGGATAGCCCTGCCACGGCTCTCTGGCTCTAACCAGGGACGGAGACTCTGATCGCACTTGTTAGGCCATGGCCACCAGCTCGTCGTCATGAAACACCCGCCGCCCACATACGATGCTGCCATCTGCGCACAAACATCCTGACTCCGGCAGACTAAATCGGTAACAGGCTCAAACTCGCGCCAAAACCTCCAGGATCTGATCCGCGCATATCTCCAGGATTTACAATACAGCTTCGTCTTGGCAGATCGTGACCGTCCACACTGTCAACACAGCATAGAACGGTGCTGCCAACCTCAGAAGTGGCCCGTATGGATTTGTGATAAGCCTGCCCGGCCGGGTCGGGAAGAGACATTCAAGGAAACCTCTGGATACTCAAGACCGTCAATAAATGAGCAAACGCTACCAGATAAGCATATGGGACCACGTTAAGTATCGAAACAGAAAGCACGCAAGCAGTGGGGGGGGCTGCTTGCCATCATTCATGTTGGCAACAAGGACGAATCGAATGCAGGCACCCTCGGCTGCATCGCACGGCCATGCTGCTGTCAGACCAGGGATCTGAGGCGCTGGTATGTCCCCTTTATCATGCGCGCCCTCCGGTGCACCATACCAGAGGTGTGCCTGCGTCTATCTGACACGCAACACGCGCCCTCCCCTCTCTTGACCCTTTCATCATCTTGCCCGCAGATGCTGCAAGGTACAGGGCTGCAGACAAGGGCATCCCAGCAAGTGAAGCATCCACTTCAGCACTTCTCAGCTCCACTCTGACTGCCGCGAGAATGGCCGCCCACTCGAAGACTGCCAGCATTTGCCTGGCATCACTTGTTGTGAGATTGCGGATATGGCTGCTTTCCGGTGCAGAACCGTTACCGCAAGGGCCTCGTGTGCACGCGCGCGCGGCTGTGTGGAATTTCAGGTAGGACGAGGCAATACTATCGCCCTTGGGCCGCTCCCGAATCCACCATCGTGGACGACCGGCTGCATCATGGGGCGCAATAAGGACGCGCAGGGCCGCATCGTTCTGGCGTGCAAGCTAGATAGACAATGTTGGTTCCTGCTCATCGTTGCGACCTCATCCGACTCGACCTCTGTGTTGTTTCCATTCCTTCGGCTTGATGCTGTTTGACATTTCTGCAAGCGGACTGTCGTTGTAGGTTGGTCGCATGACCCTGGCTGGTCGGACCCGGGGTTCACATCAGAACTCACAGGGATACACCCCCAAACAAGCCCCCGAACCCCAGCCATGTTCAAACTAATTGGACATTGCTTGCCATTCACGGGCAGGCCCAATGAGGTAACTCGTTCTGGGCCTGTTTCGAACGTCTACCAGCATCGCCCTTTCGTCTCGTCCTTTTCTCTCAAGACTTGTCTCTTTGAGATTCAGTCTGCACCACCGACTCCGCCTCCACCACCATACCATCACACCATGTTGAGACCATCGTCCTCGGATGGGCTGCGCTCGGAGAGTGACACCATCGACAGCTTCAGAGTCGACAAGAAGAGACTAGACAAGCGCATATCGCGGGACGATTCCTGGATAGTTACGGGCAAAGCCGGAGCTCGAACTCGACAATACATTCCTCCTCGGGGACTGCCAACGCCAGAGGCGAGCCCAACATCGAATTATGTCGAGCCTCTCATTGTGCCCACGCCATGGGCACCCACTCCCCGAGAAGAACAGATCGGGATGGCGTTGGGGAGCCCTTCCCTAGTCCCGCCGTGGAACACTTCTGCGTCTCGCAATCCGGCTGGCACGGGCAGCCCGGCCATAGTTTCTCCGTTTACGGGAGCCGTGGATGGGCCGTCGCCCGGTGGGCCGACTCCGAGGAAGGGCTCTGGCAAGTGGAAGATCTTTGGGATGTTTGGTCGAAAAGCAGCAGATACCAGCGCCCAAGGTACCTCCCCAGTTCCAAGCCAGAGTGATTTTGGAACACCCAGAACACGGACAGATTTATACGAACCATCTACGCCGGGGGATATTCGGAGCAAGCCACCAATCAGCCGATCTCAGACAATGCCGTCCCCGCGCGAGTTCGGCAAGGAGACCAAGAGACGGCCTTCAATGTCGAGGATGCGAAAGCCAAAAACGAACGACCTGGCCCCGCCAATGCCATCGCCATACGGAAACAGCAACAACAACAGCAGTAGCAGCGTGATCACCCCAGCTGTGGGCCAGAGTGGCTTCCTTGATGTGAACATTCCTAGTATCGAGATGGAGAGATATAGCATCATGTTTGAGAAGGTGTTGAATCCTCAACGCGTCTCACTCTTGTCCCGGAGACAAGGTGCTCTAGAGCAGCTCAAGACTGCTGGCGAGGTCAAGAACAATTTCAAGGTAATGCATGCCGACACGAGAGTGAGCAGGTCTAGGACGATGACTCTAATACCATGGCAGAAACAGACAATCTCTCAACCCATCCGTCGAGCCACTTCACCAAGCACAACCTCGCACGCTAGGTCGCCATCCTTCACACTGTTTCCTCAGAGTACCACCCCACGGAGGACGGGACCAACAGGCAGCCAAATGTTGTCACCGGAGATGGCAAGAGCACGCTCAAACACATCACCTGCTCATCTGCCCTCGCCAACAAAAACGACTTTTGACCAACCGCCCTCGGAATTGAAGGGAGCTGGAACGGAAGGTGCCCCGACGTTGACGTATAACCACTTGCGAGACACCCCGCAAAACGGAAAACTCACGATAGCGTCATTGGCTCGAGCCCGCGGGGACCACAGGCATCCGCCACGGACATCTTATTTTGTCGGTGAACCGAGCCCGATCATGGAATCGCCCATGGAGATGGAGACGCCAACTGGACAGGCCGGCTCGAAATCTGGCGGGCAAGTTCCGAAGCCGAGTGCGTACGAGCTCTCAAGACAGATGGCAGCGGCACAAGCGCAGACAACGCCAACTGCAGCCATCAAGGCTCATGCGGCCAGCGCATCCACAGCGTCTTTAACCTCTGCATCTGCCTCATCGGCCGGCGGGCATGCAGCCAACTCATCGATATCTTCTGCGCAGACATATCGCACCTTGAACTCGCAGATCTCCTTGTACACGGACACGGACGTGGACGAGACAGACCCGATGGTCATTGGCGGGGGTCGTGAGATGACACCAGCAGAAGTTTCTATCGCTCGCCAGATCTCTCTGTCGAGGCAGCAGCGCAAGAAATTTCAGCCGACCCTCACCGTTGCCTCGACGCAGAACAAGGTTGGCCGGACCTCCTCGAAGCCAAGGATACAGACCGACCAAATTGAGAGTGCCCGCATGGTAACCCCCAAGACGGCTACGCCAACGCTCGTGGTCCCCGAGGATCCCCTGCACTCTCCCTACGCCACTCCTCTCGGTGTTGCGAGAAGCCGCAAGAGCGAAAGAATCATCATTGATGCTACGTAGTTTCACGGAGAACCAGGGTCCGTTACCTCGGCCTTGAATGTCGACTTTGAAAGTCATTCGTCTCTCTTCATGAGGCTTGCGTAGAGCGCAAAAACCGAACAAATACTTGCGGCAACTCGTCGCTCAGGCTTGACGTTGGAAAGCAACTCTCTCAAGCACATTTTTCTTATCACTCCCTCACACCGACCCCTTCACTTCTTGAATCAGAGCACAGGCATAAAACCTCTTTTGGAGCCGGACATCCTCCATTGTGATCACACTTTTCTTCAACTGTCAACCATTTTTCGTTCTTCCTTTGTTTCATTTCATTTCATTCCAGGACATGAACACGGACATGTCGGAAGGAGCATGGCGTGTGCGCGCATCGGGATCCGGGACACTTACATCATCTACTTTGTTTCTTTTTTACCGCCTGGAGTATCGGTGTGCTGAAGCTTTGGCATTTTCGCAAAATGAAAGCATGATTTCTTCCGTTTTCTCAGATCGCACTTCAAGAGATCTCTGCACGAAAGCACACTTTGGTATTCTCTGCTCTCCCTGCTCCCTGGAGCGTTATAGTGCCAATTCGCACAAACAACCAACAAAAACACTCACGTGCAATCCGGTGACTCATTCCCAACGGTCCAACGTATGTGTCACAAAGAGCTCGGTGAAAGCGATTGCAAGTCTTCCATGAAGCCGGGACACGGGCCCAATGGGACGACATGAGTCAATCGAGCAACACCCATTTTACATAGCACTGGAATGAGGAAAGCGTTGTGGTTTCTGGAAAGTCTTGGGCTTGGAAAGTCCCGTGATTGATTTCAAAAGTCTTTTGCATGGTGTAAAAACGAGGTTCTGTGTACCAATGAATATATCCATTCGAGTAAGGGGGTTCGTTGTGGTCATGGTGATTGGGGTGTTCTTCGTTACGGTGCGTTGTCCTGATTGGCTGATTCTTTGTATACGTATCTACATTAGAATGCAGCATGAGTTCTGCTTCTTTGCTTGTTCTACTCGGGCGTGTTCTCGTCAGCAAAACAGTGGGAAACCAGAATGACTGCTGATACTCCTTCCAACTCCTCGATCTCGGGTAGCGAGGACAAGATAGAAAGGGAAGGGAATAAAAAGAAACATACGGTAAAACATCTTGCTCTGGTTACTCAGCCCATCGCTCTTGGCCACCAGGTCGTCAATCTTCTCGCCGCGCTGGAGGACGCTCTCGATGGTCTTGTGCAGGACAATCTTTGTCTCGTCGAGCTCGCGCTGGATCTTCATGATGCTGTCGGCCTGGTGCGGGTCCTGGTACTTTGTGAGGTAGTCCTTGAGCTCGGGCATGACGACGGCGCCGCTGTTGTCGGCCGTCGCGGACGACCAGGTGTTCTTTGGGTGGGCGGCCAGGAACTCGTCGACGACCTTGGAGAGCAGCTGGTGCGCGACGAGCGCCGGGTAAGCGTGGTCGCTGATGATGATGCCGCACACGCCCTCGGACCGCCCGTAGGCGTGGAATGTGTAGTCCTGCTCCTCGACGTCTTGCCGCTGGCCTGGGCGCGTCCGCTCGGCCACCGTCTTGGCAAACAAGGTCATGAACTCGCCATAGCTGTTGAGAGAGGGTGCGAGCAAGCACATGCGTGGTTAGCGTCTGGCTCTCAGAAACAAGAGACAGAGAGGGAAGAGGGTCGCGGTCGAGGTAAATCGCAAAGACGGGCTTCGAGGCGCTGTGTCTCCCCGTATGCCAGGCAAGGGGGGTAGAGTATCGAGGGGGGGGTGCTTATCGTACTTTGCACGGGTGAAGCGCGAGTATGCGCTCAGCTCCTTCTCGGCGACGAGCTCGACGGCGGGCTTGGCGTCGTTCTTGAGGACCTATGCGACCGAGAGATGTCAGGGCAGTGTCTCTGCCATATGGACAGGCGATGTCTGTCTGGACTGTGGTGATGTTGCGGCGGCCGGATCTTGACGTACACCGATGTAATGCAACTTCATGGTGGCGGCGGAGATACCGTTCGGGGGGTCGAGGGATCAAAGGGGCTGCCGTGTGCAGACGAAGTCGGATTCAAAGCTTCCAGTGCCGTACGGTCTGGAGCAGTAGGGATATGGTACGAAGAAATGACGAGGCGGCGACAGATCAAGAGGTTATGAATGGTAAAGGCGGGAGGATGGCCAGGCGGGAGGGGCGAAGCGGTGCGCTGAAGGATGGACGAGCGTGGTGGTGGAGGGAGAGTCCCTGAGTGTCCCGGGTGCCACTGACCGCGGCACGGCGGCGGCGGCGGCGGCTCCAGGAGTGAGAGGTGAGGTCACTTGAGCACCCTCTATCGGTGGCCACTAGCGTGCCCAGGCGGCGGGCTGCTCCACGCCCGGGCGGTTGCCACTTGATTAAGCTTCTGCAACCCACCGCCTGGGATCTCTGCCGCCTGATCACTGCCTCTGTCAATGGCTTCGGTGGCGCCTCAAAGCTGACATCCGAGCCTCCGAGCTCATGTGGGTTCCCATGTGTTCCAGCGGTTGATCCTGCTGCCTGTTCTGAAGGTTGCGATTTGAAGTCAGTCAACCAATCTCTTGGTAGTAGTCGACGATGCTGCACGGAGCACAGGTCTAAGCTTGAGTATACAATATACCGTATGCTCGAGCGATCGATGGGTTGTCACGACTGGTCTGACCCAGGGTGGTGAAGGCAGCGAGTGTATCAAGAGAGATGATGGATGGTGGGATCTTATTAGTCCCCGTTGGCCACGGACATACACGCTTGCATGTTTCCCCTGACAATCTTTCGGATCTGGGAAGATAGTAGGCACGTACTTACTCAAGATGGCGAGGAACATGATGGGCGGAAAACACACTGCAATGGCACAGAACAATTCCAGGTGGACTTCACAGTCTCTCCAGACTCATAATGATGCCAGGCCGAGACTCCTGGAGGGGCAGTTTAGAGACCCCCGTTTGTGGTGGGGCCGCCGCCAGTCCCTGGGCCTCACGCCGAAGAGTCATCACTCTTGCTACGTCCTCTTTTAAATGGCACGCTTCACTTACAGCCATGAGCTGTGAGCCGTGAGAAAGCCCATTTTGCTTTCAGCATAGCCTTTATTCGTCACGAACACCCTAGAAAGCGTGCTCGCAGTCCAGACACAAAATTCAACGCACGATGGCCAGCTCGACGGGCGCCGCAGCCGAAGCACAGTGGCGGGCGCAGTTCGCCGCCATGAAAGCCGCCCTGGACGACCTCAAGCTGTCCCAGAGCCTGGGCAAGTCTCCTTCAGTCGAGGCCAACGACTATGACCTCGACGAGGACGAAGACTTCACTTCAGGCAACAGCGGCGACGATGTCTGGGACTTCATCTCGGACAGCGAGGCTGATCTCTACAGCAGCGATTTCGTCGACGACGCCCATGGCGATCCCCTAGCCGGTCCTTCGGGAACGTCATGGTTCGCCGAACAATGCGCCATCATCTCCGCCAAGCGGGATGGCCTGTCTCCAGACGTGTTCCAGGCACAAATCATAGAGATTATTAGCTCCGGGCGCTCCGACGACGAGGTCCAGATGCGGCTCACAGATCTCATTGGCTTTGATGATCTCGATTTCGTGATTGAAGTCCTTTCTAAAAAGGACGAGATCCTGTCAAGCTCTTTTGGTGCAGCCGAGTCACAGCCCACGGGCCAGCGGCTGCTGTCCAGAGCCGAGAGGGATGCTGTATTGCGCCAACGAGATTTCGAGCACAAGAACGCCTCGTTGGCATCTGCAACATACAAAGAGGAGCAGTACCCGCACGTTTATAAAGCACACAATGCCGGCAACACCCTCAGCTCAACAGGGAAGAAGTATGCTCTGCCAGATGGCAGTGAGAGGAGACAGTTCGAGAAGTACGAAGAGTACTTTGTCCCGGCAGGCAAGGCGGGCACACTTGGCCCTGGCCGCAAGCTCATCAATATTGCGGACATGGATGGGCTATGCCGAGCAACCTTTAAAGGCTACAAGACCCTCAACAGGATGCAGAGTCTTGTCTACCCGGTGGCGTACAAGACGAGTGAGAATATGCTCATCTGTGCCCCGACGGGTGCAGGTAAGACAGATGCCGCCATGTTGACGATCTTGTCCACCATCGGTCACTATGTCACCCCGAATCCCATTGAGAACACCCAGGCGACGGATTTCGCCGTGGATCTCGAGGACTTCAAGATCGTCTATGTCGCGCCTATGAAGGCGCTTGCGGCTGAAATCACGGAAAAGCTCGGGAAACGACTTGCCTGGCTTGGTATCAAGGCACGTGAATATACTGGAGATATGCATCTTACCAAGGCAGAGATCGTCCAGACCCAGATCATCGTGACTACACCTGAGAAATGGGACGTCGTTACCAGAAAGGGTACTGGCGATACCGAGCTAGTGCAAAAGGTTCGGCTTCTCATCATCGACGAGGTCCACATGCTTCACGACGAGCGCGGTGCCGTCCTCGAGTCACTGGTTGCTCGTACGGAGCGACAAGTGGAGAGCACGCAGTCTCTGATCCGCATTGTCGGTCTCAGTGCCACGCTACCCAACTACATCGATGTGGCCGACTTCCTCAAGGTCAACCGATATGCCGGCTTGTTCTACTTTGACGCGTCGTTCCGCCCAGTCCCGTTAGAACAACATTTCATTGGTGTTCGCGGAAAGGCTGGTTCGAAACAGTCGAGGGAGAATCTTGACACAGTCGCTTTCGAGAAAGTCAAGGAGATGCTCGAGTGCGACCACCAGGTCATGGTCTTTGTGCACTCGCGACGAGACACTCTATTGACGGCCAAGATGCTCTATGAAAAGGCTGTGGACCAAGTTTGTGTCGATCTCTTTGATCCTCAAGCTCATCCCAAGTACGAGCAAGCCGTGAAGGATATGAAGTCCTGCAAGGCTCGAGAGCTTCGCGATCTGTTGCCCAAAGGCCTCGGCATTCATCATGCGGGCATGACCCGGTCCGACAGAAACCTCATGGAGCGATTATTTGCCGAGGGTGTGCTCAGGGTGCTGTGCTGTACTGCCACACTTGCCTGGGGTGTCAACTTGCCAGCTGCTGCAGTCGTCATCAAGGGCACTCAGGTGTACAGCGCACAGGACGGAAAGTTTGTGGATCTCGGGATTCTCGACGTCCTGCAGATTTTTGGTCGTGCCGGACGTCCTCAATTTGAGGACACCGGTATCGGCATGATCTGTACGACCGCTGACAAGCTGCCGCACTACCTCACGGCTGTCACCGAACAACAACCGATCGAGTCCAGGTTCTCGTCGAAGCTTGTTGACAATCTGAACGCAGAGATCGCGCTTGGTACGGTGACCTCGATCGCGGAGGCGGTCCAGTGGATTGGGTATTCTTATCTCTTTGTCAGAATGAAGAGAAATCCAATGGCCTATGGCATTGAGTGGGCAGAGATGAGAGACGACCCCAGCTTGGTCCAGAGACGACGGCAACTTGCCATCCAGGCTGCACGAACTCTGCAAAAAAGCCAGATGATCATCTTCAACGAGACGACCGAGGAGCTACGGAGCAAGGATGTTGGCCGTATTGCTAGTCAGTACTACATTCAGCAGACGAGTGTTTTGGTGTTCAACGAGATGATGAAGCCTCACTCGACAGAGGCCGACATCCTGGCGATGATTAGCATGAGTGGAGAGTTTGACAATGTGCAGTCTCGGGACAGCGAAGCTGACGAGCTGACGAGACTCAAGACGGAGGTGGCGCCGTGCGACGTCAAGGGCGGCATCGACACCCCTCAAGCGAAGACGAATATCCTTTTGCAAGCCTACATCTCGCGAGCACAACCCGAGGACTTTGCCCTTGGCAACGATCTCAACTATGTTGCGCAACAGTCTGGACGAATCTGTAGGGCGCTCTTCATGATTGCACTTAATCGTCGATGGGGACATCAGTGCCTCGTCCTTCTGACCTTGGCAAAGTCGATTGAGAAGCGCATATGGCCTTTCCAGCATCCACTGCACCAATTCGAGCTGCCAAAGTCGGTACTGAACCAGGTTGATGCTAAGGAAACGCTCACGATTGAGGCGCTGCGCGATATGGAAGCAGCCGAAGTCGGAGGCTTGGTGCACAACCAGAATGCTGGCAAGAAGATTGCCGGCATCATTAGCAACTTCCCTACTCTCACGGTGGAAGCGGAGATTGCCCCTCTGAACCGTGACGTTCTTCGCGTCAAGCTTTTCATCACCCCCGACTTTAGGTGGAACGATCATATGCACGGGAAATCGGAGTCTTTCTACATTTGGGTCGAGCATTCAGAGACCTCGGAGATTTACCACCACGAGTTCTTCATCCTGAACCGGCGGAAGTTGTACGACGACCACGAGCTCAACTTTACCATTCCTCTGTCGGACCCCTTGCCAGATCAGATATATGTTCGAGCAGTGTCTGACAAATGGCTAGGAGCAGAGACGGTGACACCTGTGTCATTTCAACATCTCATTCGGCCCGATACAGAAAGTGTCTATACCGATCTGCTCAATCTCCAGCCTCTACCAATCTCAGCGCTCAAGAACCCTGCTCTTGAGGAGCTGTATGCCAAACGCTTCCATTTCTTCAATCCGATGCAAACGCAGATCTTTCATACCCTGTACCACACTCCAGCGAATGTGCTGCTCGGTTCGCCCACGGGCAGTGGAAAAACTGTGGCTGCCGAGCTTGCAATGTGGTGGGCGTTCCGCGATAAGCCTGGGTCAAAGGTCGTTTACATCGCACCCATGAAGGCTCTCGTCCGCGAACGTGTTAAGGACTGGGGGACACGACTGGCCGGACCATTAGGACTGAAGCTGGTCGAATTGACGGGTGACAATACCCCAGACACAAGGACAATCAAAGACGCCAACATTATTGTTACAACACCTGAGAAGTGGGACGGTATCTCGAGAAGCTGGCAGACAAGAGGCTATGTTCGCCAAGTGTCACTTGTCATCATCGATGAGATCCACCTTCTGGCAGGCGACCGTGGTCCTATTCTGGAGATTATTGTTTCACGTAGGTACCTTGCAGCTGAGGGCGCTTGAATAGTCCACTGACAATCAAGTAGGTATGAATTATATCGCCGAGTCAACCAAGAATCCTGTTCGGCTCCTCGGCATGTCGACAGCTTGCGCCAACGCCACGGACCTCGGCAACTGGCTTGGAGTCAAGGAAGGGCTGTTCAACTTCAGGCACTCGGTTCGGCCTGTTCCACTGGAGCTGTACATCGATGGGTTCCCCGAGGTCAGGGGTTTCTGCCCGTTGATGCAGTCGATGAACAGACCTACTTTTCTGGCTATCAAGAACCACAGTCCGGAGAAGCCGGTTATTGTGTTCGTGCCATCTCGTCGACAGACGCGACTGACTGCCAAGGATCTCATCAACTTTTGTGGTATGGAAGACAACCCGCGACGCTTTGTACACATGGACGAGGATGATCTGCAACTCAATCTCTCCCGGGTCAAGGATGACGCCTTGAAGGAGGCGATCAATTTTGGCATCGGGCTGCATCATGCTGGTCTTGTCGAGTCTGACCGCCAGCTTGCCGAGGAGCTCTTCCTCAACAACAAGATCCAGATCCTCATCGCCACCAGCACTTTGGCGTGGGGTGTCAACTTGCCTGCGCATTTAGTCGTCGTCAAGGGCACGCAGTTCTTCGACGCCAAGATCGAGGGCTACAAGGACATGGACCTCACAGATGTGCTGCAGATGCTGGGCCGAGCTGGACGACCACAATTCGACAATTCGGGCGTGGCCCGCATCTTTACACAAGACTCCAAGAAGGACTTTTACAAACACTTCTTGCATACAGGCTTTCCTGTAGAGTCCTCGTTGCATACAGTCCTAGACAACCACTTGTGTGCCGAGATCTCCGCCGAGACCATAATCACCAAGCAGGACGCGCTGGACTACCTCACGTGGACATTCTTCTTCCGCCGGCTGCACAAGAACCCTTCTTACTACGGCCTCGAGATCTCGGCGGAGGAGCACAACACGATTGCAGCACAGCAGCTGGCGAATGAGTTCATGATTGAAATGGTGACCAACTCACTCAACGAGCTGGCGGCGTCCAAGTGTGTCGAGGTCTTCCCGAACGGCGATGTTGACCCTACACCCCTTGGCAAGATCATGAGTTACTACTACCTCTCGCACAAGACCATCCGCTCGCTAGTCAAGTATGCCAAGCCAAAGGCGTCCTTTGTTGACGTGCTGACCTGGATGTCGCGAGCGACCGAGTACGATGAGCTGCCTGTGCGACACAACGAGGATCTCATCAACGCCGAGCTTTCGAAGCATCTGCCATACGGAGGCGACCACTTTGGCCTGCCAATGTGGGATCCCCACGTCAAGGCATTCCTGCTTCTACAGGCCCACATGGCTCGCATCGACCTCCCCATTACCGATTACGTCGGTGATCAGACGAGCGTGCTCGACCAGGCGATCCGTATCATCCAGGCGTCCATCGATGTCCTCACCGAGCTCGGCCACCTGTCCAGCTGTCTGGAAATGGTTACGCTATTGCAGTGCATCAAGTCGGCCCGCTGGCCCGAGGACAACCCATTGTCCATCCTGCCTGGCGTCAAAGCCGAATCCGACTCTGCCCTTGTGACGGGCAAAAAGGACAAGGGCAAAGACAACAAGGACAACGCAACGACCTTGCAGAAGCTCACTGCCCTGTCCCGCGCACAGCTCGACAAACTCGTCTCGAGCACCTTGCACATCCCACCGTCCCAGCAGACGCGCTTCCACCGCGCGGTGTCCATCCTGCCCAACATCGCCGTAAAAGCCGAGGACGTGACCGCGCAGTCCTTGACCGTCACCCTGCGCAGGCTGAACCCGATCGTCGAGCGCGAGGGTCGCATATACGCCCCGCGCTACCCGAAGCCGCAGACCGAAGGCTGGTTCGTGATCGTGTGCGACGTGGCGAGGGACGAGATCATCGCTGTGAAACGTGCCGGGTGGTCCTCCTCCTCTTCTTCCTCGTCCGGCGGCGGCGGAAAGGGCAAAGGGTCTGCGGGCGGCAGCGGTGGTGGTGGTGGTGGTGGTGGTAACGGTGTGAGCACGGGCTCCAAGCCCACAGCCCGCGCCAGCATCAAGCTGCCCGAGCCCGAGAGCCCCGAGGCCCGCACTCTGACGCGCAAGGTAGACGTCATCATTGCGAGTGACGCATACGTCGGGATGCAATATGAGATTCTGGGCGTCGAGATCCCTGGTGTCCCGATTGTCGATGACGATGTCGGCAAGGGGAAGAAGGGCGGCGGGAGTTGAGGCTGCAGGTTTTGCACGGAGAGTCCATTCCTTGGTCCTGTCCGATAGTGACAATACAATCGCAATAGACCACTTCTGAAATCGCGACGACTCGTGAGCACTTCCACAGCAGGGGTCGGATGTGCTTGTCGAGTGTGCTTGTCGCGAGGTGGCGTGTCAGATTCGGGGATTGACGTTGAGATCATGAAGTGAAGCCCATCATCATTTGTCATCGAGACAGATGCGTCGCGGGCCGTGCGTAAACCGCCAGGCTGCGTAGTCTTTCCCCTCCCGTGCGCGCGCATGTGTGGCATCTAGCATCCTGCTTGTGATCTCTTCTGTCTCTAACCTCACAATTTAGCAAACGGAGATCGGCCGGGGCAAGGCACGCCTGTGTATGTGTGCTTTCATGGGGAGCTGTCCCTACAAACTGTTCTCTGTGTATACATTGCTATCGATTATCTGTCTACTCGCACGCTGATATCCAACGGACATGTATGACGAAAATTATGACGTGAAGATAAGGGAGGCATCTACAGCTTAGCCTTCGGCTCCTTCCACGCAGGCGTTGCCAGAGTATCGTACACCTTGCGACCCAGATGATCTGTAGGCACGCTAGTGACGTGAGCGTGGATGTTCCTCGTATCAACGAGAGAAGGGTTGAGCTGGTCGATACTCGTGCAGCCAATGAGGCGCATGTTCATCTCCATCTCGTCCTTCAGAAGCGCCATTGCACGATCCACGCCGTCAAAGCCGTAGCCGGACATGGCGTAGAGGAATGGCCTGCCGATGCCCACGCCCTTAGCGCCTAGGCAAAGCGCCTTGAGGATGTCTGTGCCTCGCCGGACGCCACCGTCGACGTAGACCTCGATCTTGTTCTCCAGGCCGAGCTGACGCAGGACTGGCATGACTTCAGCGAGTACCTCGACCGCAGAGGGGGCGAACTCGAGCTGCCGTCCGCCGTGGTTGGACAGGACAACACCCTCGCAGCCGTACTCGACAGCCTTGAGAACATCCTCGACACGCTGCACGCCCTTGAGAATGATGGGCATCTTGGTAATGGACTTGAACCATGGAATGTCCTTCCAGGATAGGGCGGGGTCGATGAAGGACGAAATGGCGCGCGCCGCACCCTGTGAATTGTCGGTGGACTGTCCTTGCTGGACGTTGGTTCCCTGATCGGTGAATTTGGCACGCATGTCCTTCTCACGGCGGCCAAGCTGGGGCGCATCAACTGTGATAAAGAGACCCTTGCATCCACGCTTCTCGGCGTGCTGCACGATGCGCTTGGTGATCTCACGGTCCTGGTTGACATATAGCTGCATCCACTGCACCTGGTCGCCTTCGGCAGCGTCCATGATCTCGTCGAATGAGCATGACGCAAGGGTTGGGATCATTTGAATGACATTGTGCTTCCTAGCGGCCCTCGTTAGGACGACCTCGCCCTCCGGGTGACCAAGCTTTCCCAGAGCAGTGGCGGTCACGTAGAATGGAATATCAACTTTTGTGCCCAGCATAGTCGTCGAGAAGTCGACTGTCTTCACATCGACGAGGATCTTGGGGCGGAACCATATCCTGTGGTAGGCCTCGTGATTTTCACGCATGGTCTAGGTGGGAAAACAAGTCAGCATACAAATCGTACAGGGGTCAGAGCACAGAGAGAAGGACTAACAATCTCATCATCCGCAGCACTCGAATAATAACCCCAAGCGCCGCGCTTCATTGTGTTCTTGGCAACGGCCTCAAAGTCCATGAGGTTGTAGCACTGCTCGAGCAAAGGCTTGTCCTTGACGCGCTGGAGGCGGGCCTCCTCATCCGGATCGAATTCCTCCTCGACCTTTGCAACGGTGGACATGTCGACGGGACCAAGGTGCTTCGACTTGTCGAGGTACTTGTCGAGCGTGTCTGGAGGGTGGATGGGCTCGTACTCGGCGGTGGCGTCCTTACCCTGTGGCACAAGGGAGGTTATTTTAGTAGGTTGAAGGCAAGAGCGCGGGGACCAAGACGTCAAGGGCGACGTACGGCATACTTGAGGATGATCTTCATGCCGCCGGGATGTTCTGGATAGAGTATTAGCCGTGGAAGCTACAGTGCAGGCACGAGGAACTGCTGCATACCTGGCAGAAATTCCGTCACATCGTATGCCTTGCCATGGACGACGACCCAGCAAGACTCCTTGCTGTCGTGCTTGGACACCTCTACTCCTGAGAGAGGAGCCATGGTGCCAGACTGGGCGATTGGTGAAGGCGGAAGAGGCTAGGGCGAGATCGGAGGCAAGAGAAACAAGACGATGGCGGTCCGGCGGAAAAGGTCGAACCAACGGCGGACGATATGATGCCGGTGTGCTGAGCAAGAGTGGAAGAAAAACAAAGCCCCGACTCGCTGTACGGCCCAAGCAGGAAATATTCACAATGAAGAACGAGGACTCGGGAGGAAGTGCGAAAACGGGAGTTGTGGTCCGGTGGTTTTATTTGTTGCCGGCGGCAGGGGCCGGGGGGATTCTCTGGGGGAAAGCGCGATCGACTGGAGCGGCGCCCCCACAAAGCGCTCGCTGGCTCGGGCCAAAGGACTGCGGGGGAGCCACCATTGTCAATGACGGCACCGCCATTCGCCCTCCGCAGACCGGGGATGCGAGCAGCCATTCATTCACGGCGGAAGCCGTGGTGCAGAACAGAACACCCCGTTTCTCTGGCATTCGGCTGTCCTGACGGTGCAGTGCGCTGTTGACTCGGGGCATTTCAGCACCATGTCATCCGCTTGTGCAGCCTGTCGAGGCTGCTGGCGAGGTTGACAAGACAGACAGACAGACAGACATCTTGCAGGCGAATGCCCAGACCTGGTCCAGGCGTAAATTGTTGGAGATTGTGCAGCAGGTGGAGAAGGGCCCCCTCCCCTGGTGCGGAGCCTCTCCGCCCTTGCCTGGCCGTGGTTGCTTGCCTCGCTTGCGACCTCGCTCGCCTCCATCTCGCCCAGCCCAGCAGGATCCTCTTTCTGTCGTGCCTCCTCCTGCCTGCAAAGCTTATTGGGCACCCTCCAGACTCTTGGCCATCAGTAAAAACCCGGGGAATGATGGCCGGGTCGCAGGGGCGGTTGACCAAAGAACGATGGCAAAAAGTCCCCAGTCTTGCGTCCTCGGCGCGGCTAAGCTCGCTTGACTTTTCAAGATGACATTTGGAAATGCAAGACACAAGTTGCTGGATGGAAAGACAATCGGATCCTGCCCGGCCCTCTGACTTCTTAAGGCAAAGCCGGATCTAACCTACTCGAGTATTTTGGATGACGTTTCAATGGGAGGGCAATGCATGCTTTGAAATCGACCGGCTGGCAGGAATTGGTCAGCACTGCAGTCTAGAGTTGTCGCACGCAGCTTTCCCTCGAGCGAGACTCAAACTACCCCGCCGCCGAGAGAGCATATATACGCGTATATATAAGAGGAAACACATGTCTCCCTCGTGGAACATCAGCTACTGAATACTGCCTTCCCGCCGAGCCTCATCCTCACACAAACCTCAACAACAGCATCCAACATCTTTCGTCAGCCGCCCCACAAGACATCACAAAGCCATGCCGTCCGGCCACGTCAAAGCAACCGTCAACGGCACCACCATCGCCGAGGCGGACCACTACGAGTTTGTCGAGGGAAACATCTACTTCCCGCCCGACGCAATCCGCTCCGAGTATTTCCAAAAGACGAGCCACTCAACCCACTGCCCCTGGAAGGGCGACGCGAGCTACTACACCATCAAGGTGGGCGGTGACAGCGGAACCGAGCTGGAGAATGCCGCATGGTACTACCCCGAGACATATGACAAGGCGGCCCACATCAAGGACTATGTCGCCTTTTGTAAGCCCACCCTGAATGGACCACTTGTAGCGAATAAGTTTGTGAAAATGAGTGCTATGCTAATGCTGCATTGTGTCGTCGGTAGACAAGAACAAGGTTGACATTTCAGGACCCTGAAATCTCAATTGGGAGAATATACAGCTACGCAGGTCACCTTAGTGCTGGGGTACCATAATGGAATAATCCATATGGCTTATTACACAATGACGAATCCCGAGTGACTTTCCATGTAAATGATGTGTCATATTCTTCTGGTGTGTTATCTTGCCCATCCTTGATGGGTCTATACTTCGACAATCTCATTGTCATCATCATCATCATCATCTTTGCTGGCCGTGATCGCTTTCCTCGATGTATCCACCACCACCTCTGGCTCGCCATCCTCAAGTTCCGTGACCCGCGCCGCCTGCTCCTCTTCCTCCGCCGTGGCATCGTCCCGCATGAGCACCTGCACCAGTCGCTCGCAGGCATCTTGCACGCCATCGTTTTCCACGTGCATGTGCGTCTCCCGGATGATCGGGTACACCTTGACCTTCCGGAGGTAGTCGCGCACCTCCTTGGTCGTGGTCAGCAGCAGAAGCGTCTCGACGTGCGTCTGGATGATGTTGGGGTCTGAGTCGCGCTGCTTGTCCGGCGGCAGGAGCTGCAGGTCCGTGAGCATCTCCATCATCTCGTCCTCGTCGTACTCCTCGCTGCCCATGATCGGAAGCAGGATATACGGCAGGATATCGATCTCGTCGTCGGCGATCAGCTGCTGATGGTAAGGGATCTCAAAGGCAATGTTCTTGATGGTCGACGCGACGCCCTTGCGCCGCACGTCGGACTTGTGCTCAGTAAAGACCTTGATCTTGTCGAGCGGGATCACGCCGTCGTACTCCTGCTTCTTGAGAAAGTGCTGGCGGAACTCGGCGTGTTTCGAGAGATCCGCAAACAGGTACGCCAGATGATCAAAGTCGGCGTTCTTGTTGTAGGTGCCGTCTGCGCCCTTGACGAACAAGTCCAGTAGCTGATTAACTATCAGCTCGTCCGTGTCGAGCCCCTTCTGTGCCGGTTGTTTCTTCTCGAGGATTTTCTTGAACCCGTCATACTTTGCCAGGTTCGCGAGCAGCATCGAATGAAGATTTGCATTTGGCTCTTCAGGCAGCTTTGTTATTCATTATCATCATATTAGCCACAAAAGCCTTGAAGCATCAGTTGAGAGGACGTCTTGGGTCACACTTACAACCACATATCCTAGCAGGTTGTCCAGAAACTTGTCATCTGAAGCAACCCGGGCCAGGATTTCTTGGTCTCCCGTCAAGTTTATAAGGATGGTCAAGACATGTTCTGCTAATTTCTGTTTGTCGTGGTTAATGAATCGTCTACCTGAAGGACTCTGCTCACTAGCAGAAATGGGTACTTACAGGGTGATCTTTTATCAGAGTTTTCAGGTTTTCTACAGGCTTAAGATTGTCGGCCTTGAATATGCTCGGCTGAGAAATCGAGTATGGTATAAGCCCCTCCGCCGCAAGCACCCGAATCTGCGGGTTGGGGTGGACGATGAAATCCACCAGCTGTGATAGTTCATCTGAGTCAGAGATACATGATGATTCCCAGGTAGTTCCAGACACTCTGACAAACCTCTTCGAGTTCTGTAGGCATCGTGATTTTATCTGTGCTCTGTATAGGTGTTGTCGCAACAAGCCAAGCATGCGAACAGAAAAATCTATTAGTGACTGAGTGAGGCGCTGTTGCAGGACCCCACTATGATGATGTAGCCCGCTGGGGTCGCCAGAGGGCGTGCAGCGGCGCGCTCTATGGCGGGGGATGCCGCCCAAAAGTTTTATCGATACAGAGGGCCCCACTACATTTTTTATTTTCCTGTGCCAGGGTCCTCCACTGTCTTTTGGGCCAGCGGCCAGCGACGACGAAGTTTGGTAGCTGAGCTTCGAACCGACCGAGAAGTTCTCGCCGACCGTCTTTCCCACCAAAGACCACATCCTTGGATACCATGCCGAAAGCCACAACACCAACCCGCCACGCGGCGCGGCGGCACAACCCCCTCGAGGACGATGTTATCGCCACTGGTCGCCTGACCAACAAAGCTCCGAAGCGGGGTTCCAAGAACAAGGACGAAGATGCGGAACACTACATCGACGCCAGAGCCTCCAAGCAGATCCTGAACCTGGGTCGCGAGCTCGCTGAGGAAGCCGACGCCGCCGCCCCGAGGCCGCCCAAGGACAACGACGCGTTCGGCCAGAACTGGGCTTTCGATCAGCCCGAGGACGACAGTGGCGCCGCTGACGACGACGTGGTCTACGACGACGACGATGCTGCGTGGGGCGACGAGGACGAGATTGTGGAGGAGATTGAGCTCGAGCCCGAGGACCTAGACACCTTCAACAGATTCCTGCCCACCGAAGGCGAGGACTCGTTATTAACAGAAGGCTGGCCGGGCGTCGGAGGCCCAGCACAAGAACAGCAAGGCGGCGGAAGCAAGAACCTTGCCGACATCATTCTTGCCCGGATCGCACAGCACGAGGCTGGGGAGGATGTGCCACAGGAGATTGAGCCGATAGACGAGGACTACGAGCTGCCGCCCAAAGTTGTCGAGGTTTATACTCAGTGAGTTTCCTCCACCTCTTGAACCAGTACAATCCCTTGGGCATGCATGACTGATATTTCTTGTTTTCATCCAGAGTTGGTCTCATCCTGTCCCGGTACAAGTCCGGAAAGCTCCCCAAGCCGTTCAAGATCTTGCCCACTATCCCTCACTGGGAAGACATAATTGAGTTGACCAAGCCCGAGCAATGGACCGCCAATGCGTGCTTCCAGGCCACCAGGATATTTGTCTCTTCGAAGCCTGCCGTCGTGCGGCGATTCATGGAGATTATTCTCCTTGAGCGCGTCCGTGACGACATTCGCGAGACCAAGAAGCTCAACGTCCACCTGTTCAGCGCTCTGAAGAAGGCTCTCTACAAGCCCGCGGCGTGGTTCAAGGGGTTCCTCTTCCCCTTGGTTGAGAGCGGCACATGTACGCTGCGCGAGGCTCACATCATCTCGGCCGTACTGGCTCGCGTGTCAATACCGGTTCTGCACTCTGGTGCGGCGATCAAGGGACTGTGCGATATCGCGGCCCTCGAGTCTTCAGCAGGCACTGAGGGCGGCGGTGCCACAAACGTATTCATCAAGACCCTGCTAGGTATGAGTTCTGACCAGATCCGACCCTCGACATGCTATGGCGGCTAACAAATAATCCTCCCCGTCTTACAGAAAAGAAGTATGCGCTGCCGTACCAGGTCATTGACTCTCTCGTCTTCCACTTCCTGCGTTTCCGAAGCGTCAACCCAGCCGCCATCAAGGAGGGCGACTTGGCCAACATGCACGACGAGAGGGCATCGGCTCAGGCCAAACTGCCAGTCATCTGGCACCAGTGCTTGCTGGCGTTCGCCCAGCGGTATCGAAACGAGATCACCGAGGATCAGCGCGAGGCCCTGCTTGACCTGTTGCTCACGCACGGCCACCACAAGATCGGGCCAGAGGTCAGGAGGGAACTTCTCGCAGGACGTGGGCGGGGTGTTGTTGCCGAGCCACAGGGGCCGGCGCTGGACGGCGATGATACCATGTTGATTGATTAATTGACCCTGTTGCATACGGCGTTAGTGTTTGGCGGGCTTGCTACATTTGTTCGCGATCACGGGGTTTTTCTTGTGCACATAGAATTGGACTTCTGGGTACGATCGAATGCAATTGCTGACAATCAACCTCCGATCCATTGATTCTGCAAGTATATGGCTGAAGTGTACATAATGCTTCAAAAAAAGACCCGAGAGGAAGGTATGATGAAGATGTGTAGCGAGTCTGAAGTTCTGATATCTTTGTAAATGATATTTATACGCCAAGCGCCAGCTCCCGAGGGCGGATCGAAGTGCCATCGACCGCCATGACAAAACAACAAGGGCCCCATGATATTTTTTTCCCCTTCCACTTCTTTTACTATTCCTCCTCCTCTTCGCTCTTCTTGGTCTTCCTCTTCTTCTTTTTCCGCTCGGCGCTGGGCTCCTCGGGGGCGACATACTCCTGCACGCGCTCGCGCTTCTTCTCCTCCTTCTTGACCTTCTGCTTCTCCATGCGCTCCTCCTGGGCGATGCGCTTCTTGGCCTCGCGGCCGATGTGGTACTCGCCGGCCTCGATTTGCAGGTCGACCTTGCTCTTCTCTGGCGCGGGAGGGAACGGGGTGTACGGCTTCTTGGACTTGTCGCTGACCTTGAAGGGCACGCGGCGGCGGCTGAGGTTGCGCTTCTTGTAGTTGGGCAGGAACCGGTCCCAGCTCTCGTTGGCGAGCTCCGGGTCCTTGGCGAGCTCGCGCTTGATCATGAGCTCCTTGAGCTGGTAGATGGGGTGCACGTTGGCCATGCAGTCCTCAATCACCCGGCGCACCTCCTTCAGGCCCTTGTAAGGCCCCATCACGGACACGGTGTTGCCGTGCACCAGGATATACGTCTGCGTGAGGAGCTCGAGGGCCTTGAGTGTCTGGCCGCCGGGGCCGAGGATGCGCTGCCGCCGCTTCACAAACTTTTCCTTGTTGCGCACGAGGGAGCGGATCTTGATGATGTCGCACGCGACGCCGTCCTCGAGAATCTTGATCGCCTGGGGAGCAGGCACGCTTCGGGCTAGTAACTTGACGAGGTCGCGCGCGTTGAGGATGGCCGCTGGATCATATGTTTTTCTGTTTGCGAGCAGGAAAAACCTGGTCAGCGACTCTAGTCTACTACCGGGGAAGAAAAAAAAGGTACTTGTGGCTTCTGCTGAAGCGGGTTTGGAGAGAACGTACCTTGTCGTCTTGACAGTCATGCAGCCCTCGACGAGATCGAGCGTGCAGGCGATGCCCGTCTTCTCGAGCGACTTTGTGATGAGCGGCCATGCCTCCTTGAGGTAGACTTCTCGGTACTTGGGGAACAGGATCGCAAAGGACGACTCCTCGGCAAAGGTGCCGCCGGCATTGTCTTGGGGCTTGAACTCCTCAATCTTCCACTTGTCGATGTCGTCCGTGTCCCACGGCTTCTCCTTGTTGTTTGTTGACGGCATCGCTGTGCGTGTCTATCCAATCGTAGCCCAGGTGCGTTGGGGGTCAGGGGGTTGTGGTGTTTTGTTTTCGCGGGGTCTGGCGGATGGTCTCTGTCTGTACTGTCTGGCTGGCTGGCTGGCTGGCTGCTTGCTGGTGAACTTTTTCCAAAAGAAATTTGGAGCTGTCGGGCCTGCCGCCCAGGATTTCGTCGGCGCTAGAAACCGCCGTTGTGGGGCCGCCGTCCAAGTCTTGCCCGGACGGCTTGGCACGGATGCTCTGGCTGGTCGTGTCTTGTCTACAGAGCGGCCCTTTGCAGTTGTTTCTAGCAGCAGTCACAATCTGGGAGTCCAGGCCCTAGAGAAGAGACTTATGAATGATATACCATGATATAGTCGTTGCGGTCTTGAGGTGCCGCGTCAGATGCTGGCTGGAAAGTACTGCGCAACGACCTCTTACAGGAGGTACAACGAAGGAGATCTGCATTGAGGATTCCCAGATGTCGAATAACATGCAGCTACCCATGCGCTTGGAGTATCTCAGATCCCGCTTCAACATGGTCCCTTATGGCTCCCGACGAGCGCGCAGATGTTCTTTCGTACGTCGACTGGATATTTGGGTACGAGACTCGAAGGGGACATCACGCTGAGCCGGCTTGGAGCCCCACATGGCAAATTCGCCGCGCTATGATTGGTGCTAGCCTGGACCAGCCTTCTGGTCGCCTCCCTGGCTGAAGGCAGGCTGCATCGCAACTTTTTCAACTCGTTCACCCTTTCCCTCGTCATTACGCTCGCGCCGCCCACCCACGATCCGCGCGCACCGCTCCCACCACCACCGCACCACCACCACCACCACAGGCGCGCGTACAGCCCACGAGGACACACGTAGCACCCTGCCGTCGCCGACACGCAAGTCCGCCAAGGCAAAATCAATTCCGGACCCTGTCAATCCGTACGAAGCAGCCGCGCGTAGAGACGAAGAACCTTTCGCATACCACGCCCCAACCACATCCCTCGCATTGAAACCATCGCGAACGCGACCTGTGTTGAATCGCGCATTTCCAAACGCACTGGGCCACTTGCGACAAGCCGAGAACCCTTTGACGCCGTCAGTCTTACTGTAGGCGAGAACTTGCATACTGCGCCACCATGGCCGAAGACCAGGCGTTGGCAGCCCTCGAGGCTATCTCGCGACCTCCCGTTGAAGAGGCAACCGAGGCGCCTGTGGATCACAAGGTTGAGCCAGAGCCTGAACCCGTCACGGAGCTGCAAGCGGCAGTCGAACTGGAGCAGCAGCCGGAGCAACACCCGGAGCAGCAACAACAACAAGAACAGGCGCAACCTGCAGAACATCAACAGCATCAACAGCCGCCGTCACAGCAGCAGCAGCCACAACAAGAGGCGCCGCAACCACAACAGCAACAACCGCCAGTACCGACGACCGAGTCACCACAGCTTCGGTGAGTGTGTCCTACTTACTATCTACTGTAGCCCCTGCTATCGTGTGACAAGAGTTGTGGGAGAGCGTTCTGGGGCAGTCGACGCAGAGGACAAGGACTGGTCCTTAACGGAGCCCCATAGACCACCAAGCAATTGCGAGCGGCATGCATCAAGTTGGGCGTGTGAGGCCAATGGCTAATGATCAACCACATCTAGAGCCTCAAGTGCACATCTCCCTATCATGGTCCCGCCAGGATCTTCTCCTGCAGCCACTGCGCCGACAACCTCCGGCAACTTGGTAAGCCCCCTGACAACCTTGCAAAAATCCAATACCAGCTGCCCACGTGCAGAAAGAATTTTCCTGTGCGAGCATTGCACGTTTGCCCCCATCCGGCGCGCTCATGCGTCTTGCTGCATTGGAGCTGCAGCTATCAAGACCCCAGCTCCCGAGTGGGAACTTGAGGTGCAATCGGCGGAGCTTCAAGTGTTGATGCCGCCATTGATAAACTGATAGTGTTATCATTTATCTTCACCTTGATTCCGGGGCCAGCGTGCATCATGGCGGATGCTGCCGCTGTGACTGGCGCGCGCACTCGAGCAGCCAGGGCCTTATCTCCCGGGGGTTCCACCCACGCAGTTGCGCGTCCCCACGCCCAAGAGATTCTGGGAAGCTGCCCACCCTCCTTATCTATTGGTGCGGGCGGCCATGCGCCTGCCTCGGGCAGACCCCGCCACCACCCAAAAAGTCTCGAGATCCCCAAGATTTATTTCCTGGCGCCGCTCCCCCGTTGTTATCGCAGCGTATCGATACTCAGCTTCGGGTCACTTATCTGAGGCCCTCCCCACGCCTTCGCAATGGCCGCTGCTGCTCATCCCGCAGTGAATGCTCCCACTACAAGCACGGTTGCTAACAATGCGCCTCAACCGACACAGCCAACATGCCAGAACTGCAGCACTTCCACGACGCCGCTATGGCGTCGCGACGAGATGGGCAACGTCCTCTGCAATGCCTGTGGTCTTTTCCTCAAGCTCCACGGGCGGCCGAGGCCAATCTCGTTGAAGACCGACGTGATCAAGAGCCGTAATCGTGTCAAGACGCATCGTCCCGACATGCAGATGAAGAAGAAGGTTTGTCGGCCCCATGACAACCCATGACACTGCCGTGTCAGTCGCTAACTTCCTCTTTCACCATAGAGTCTACCTGCATCTCAAACCATGAACGGCCTGCAGTCAGCTGAGAACGCCCAAGCGTTAGCACTTGCTGCGGCACAGCGTGCTGCGCAGAAGACAAACGGCGTCGACTCCCCTGTGTCCCGGACAGGAACGCCTAGCCTCTACGATCCCAGCCTCGCCGGCTTCTCTCACGACATGTCCCAGTTCTCGGCCGATGGGCTAGCCCAGTACCCGCTGCCAACAGGCGCATCTCATACCGATTCACTCAACGGCGACCACTCACAACTCGACATGCCGCAGACGCATGAGCAGATGGTTGCGGCGAACGCGAGCTTGAAAACGCGGGTCAGTGAATTGGAGGTCATCAATGAGCTGTACCGGGGCCGTCTCACACAGCTTGAGCAAGACCAACAAACCGCCGACAACTTCCGCCATACTGCCGAAGTCGCGTCAAAAGAAGCTGCGCAAGAGCGTGCCAACCGCGAAGAGATTCAGCGCCAGCTAGAGGAGAGCCACAGGAGAGAAAACATGTTCAAACGGCGACTCGACGAGATGGAGCAGGAGAACCAGGACCTCAAGACCCAACTACAGGAGCTAGAATCGGGCCGGCACGCTAAGAAGGCGAGAACTGATGGCATCGAAGAAGAGGCTTTGATGCAGCTTACTGAGGACGGTCCTCCTGCCGCCGATCTCCCGCTCGATCCCGAGGTGGCCGCTGAGGATCAGCTCTCGCTAGACCCGGAACTCAAGGCCGAACCTGTGTCAGTTGAGAACGTTGAATAGTCTACAGATCGCAGTCTTCCGCCGGTGTACTTCACAGTCGCGCGACACTGTAACAACACCTCCACGTTCTCACCCTGATCACTGGTTGGCACTGCCATTACTATGAGCCTCGAATCATGTCGTTCCGGGACGAGAACGGTATTCTTCTAATGCATAATACCTAGTACTTGGCTTCTTCTAGCCAAGAACTACACCAAAAGCACACCCATATCTGTATTTGATCTCATGTTTTCGAGCGATGACGGAGGTGATGACTATTTCTTCTCAGCAACGATATCCCTCGGCTGGTTCTCCCCCACAAACAGTTAGGCACAGGCTTAGATTGGCTGGTGCCAAAAAGGGCGCAATGGAGTTTTAGGGATTGTGGCATACCGGCCTATTACTAGATAAAATACGTCCAGCTGTCGTTCAACTGACTCACTCCAATTCTCACCTGCCTACTCGTTACACAAAGATTCATGACCACCGGCCTGTGCATGATAATGCCTATGTAGTCGTTCACGCTTCGTATTGAAGTGTGCCTTTGATGCAACATGCCGAAGCTTCCACATTGAGCTACGATGCAAAATCCCAATGGATCTTTGTTATGGTACAAGGGGTAGTCTACAATGGAGAATGTTCCTCGTACATATGTCCATGTGGTCAAAGCAGTCCGTGAGTACCGCGGAAGGTCCTCATGCAATATGTTGATACCGTCCTTTTCCCGTTCGTGGGAAGCGTGCTTCCAAAGCCAAGCTCCGAATAGGTTGTAGCGAGGCAGAAGAAGCCGTGTGCAGGTCATTCGCGCGTGCCAATGCATGGCTTTATGATTTTCCGAGCCGCTTCTATCACCCCCATGTTGATTCCAGCCGCAAAATTTGGAGGGTATGCCAGACGTGGCCTCCTCCTAGTAGTTCTCCGTTTCAAAGTAGCTCATCAAGTATCTGACCTCGGCTCTGGTGTTGGCCTTGATATTGAGCTGGTCTGAGCTTCTCGGCTGCCGCTCGTACTCGCCGCGTGTGTTGTGGAGGACGGTAATTCTGCGTTCTTGCTACCGTTGACGTAGCTCAGCAGCTCCCCCAGCACGCCCCCCGGCTTCGGCACGGGACACTCGCGGTCCCTCGTCCGGCCCGTCTCTTCTACACGTTTCGCGGCGGCGTTGTCATTCGACCCGGCCGCAAAGCTGGCGATCCCGTCCTTGACCTCCGTCGTTGCTGTTGTCGTCGTTTCTGGCGGCGGGGGCGCGGCTTTCCGCCTGCGTGTCCTCTGCCTTGTTGTCGTTGTGATTGTCCCGTCCTCGTTGACGCGCTCGACGACAATGACGTCTGGGTTTGTGCCCCGGGGAGGAGCGTCGGCGTACGTGACCCGCGGCGCCGGGCAGGGCAGGATGTGCGGCAGGGCAACGACGAAGAAGGATACGGCGACGGTCGTTGCGAAGAGGGACGAGGTCATGCGCGACCGCGGGTGGAGGTGCGGCGGCGGCATGGCGGGCGGGCGGGCGAGCGATGTCTGTGTGCTGCCTGGTGCAGTGGTTGTGGTTCTGGGTTCTGCTGGTATTGCAGGTTTTATCCCAAATGCTGCTGGTGGTTGCAAAAAGTGCGCTGGCTGGCTGATGCTCGTGTGCTCTATAGGCTTGCTGTTCTTCCTGCGGAGGCGTGTGACAATGATGACGGCATTGCGCGCGCGAGGGCCGCGGGCTTGGGTGCAGGCGAGGCCGTTGTGCTGGATCGTGAGGCAAGTCGTGGAACGAAGAAGCTGGAATAGCCGTCTTGGTCGAAATCGCTCGATGCTGATTGAGCAATTGGTGGTGGTCGAGAATCCCAGTGGCACGTTTCTGTGGGGCGCTGCGCTGGCCGCCATAAGTACGTCTCAGACCCGCTCGGGTCAGTTAGAGTTGGCCGTGACAGCCTGGTCTCCACGAAACGACTTGCATACGTAGGCTTTGTGCCTTTGTTACATAGTAGTTCTCCATGGCTGTGATAGTATGACCCTTGGGCCGTATGTTTGGATCACAGGTTACATTGAAATGAGCCTGCAGGCAAAAACGTGTAGAGTGAAGCAATCAGGCCTTTGTCAATCCCAGCCTGAGCTCCAATAACCCTGTGAGCTGGTAACGATAGCAAGCTGCAAAGCTGGCAACTTGCTAGGCAGAGCATCAAAAGGGTCAACAAGTCGAATCCATGTAACTGTAGTTCTCTCTGGCAGTTGTTTAGCCATCACTCAATCATACATCTGTTGCGTGGTCTGCTGGGCATCGTCGACCTCCGTCTGGCTAGGGTCGTGGCGGCTAGCGGCATGCCCTTGGCTGCCTTAAACTCTTAGCGCTCTTACAGGGCTTGCCAACCACTCAACTTTACAAACCCCATCCCAGCCCACGACAATTGTCACACCCTCGCAACCACGACGACGACCTTGGTGCTTTCATTTGGCGAGCGACACGCACGAATACGGCCCATAGACCCAGAAGCCCGAAGCTCCTCGATCGCCGCAGCATCGCCTGCGTCTTGAAGCGACAGCGACAACTCCACGCGCACCTGTCGCATTGTCCGCGGGCCAGCTATCGCCACCTTGTCGCACATCTGCGACTGCGCACCCGTTATCGAACTGGGCCAAGCCGTATTGCCCAAGTGTCGGATAGTCCCGTCTTTTCAGCCTTGTATACATCAGTTCGATCCTGCGAAGACCTTTCGAACCAGCAAAGGGCCCGAGACGCGGGGACACTTGCTGTGAGGATGAGCGACCTCGACAAGTCCGTCCTCCACACCGTCACGAGAGCATGCGAGAACAGATGCTGACCTGCGCAATACAGAGCCATCGCTCAGCTGCGCGCATGCCGACCTATACCAGAGGCCCAGGTGCGCGAACTCTGCCACAAGGCTCGTGAGCTGCTCATCGAGGAGGGCAACGTAGTCACAGTCACCGCGCCCGTCACAGTACGTTTCGCCGCCAATCGGGCTCGAATGTGACCGATACCCAAGCTTTTCACGAACCATGGCTAACGCGGCTGTATCTGGCAGATATGCGGTGACATTCATGGGCAGTTCCATGACCTCATGGAATTGTTCCGGGTTGGTGGCGATCCCCCAGACACAAACTACCTCTTTATGGGTATGTCGTGCTGCTCCTCAGATATGCTGCAAGACCTTCATGTTAACCATCTGGGCAGGTGACTTTGTTGATCGGGGCTTCTACTCCCTCGAGTCGTTCTTGCTACTGCTCTGCCTTAAGGTCCGGTACCCGGACCGCATGACGCTCATCCGCGGCAACCACGAGTCACGGCAAATCACAACCGTCTATGGTTTCTACGACGAGTGCCTCCGCAAATATGGCAGCGCCAATGTCTGGCGGTATTGTTGCGACGTGTTCGACTATCTTGCTCTCGGTGCCATCGTGCTCGGCGCATCTAGCAACCTCACACCGTCAGAGAATCAGAACTCGTCCGAGCTGAACTGCGACCCCAACGATGTAGAAATCGAGGTCTGCAACGCCGACGGTGACAGAATAAGTCACTTCTCGCGCCAGGAGCGCGAAAGAAGCCAGTCCTTGAACCCGCAAGCGTCCTCCGGCCTCAACGGCAACACCGGGCCGCCAGGCTCGGGCGCATCGGGTTCCAGCAACGGCTCCATGGGGAACCCCACAGGCGCCATTCTCTGCGTGCACGGAGGCTTGTCACCATTAGTGGATTCCGTAGATAAGATCCGGCTCCTCGACCGCAAGCAAGAAGTGCCGCACGAAGGGCCAATGTGTGATCTCCTGTGGTCCGATCCAGACGATATCGAGGGATGGGGTCTGTCGCCGCGGGGTGCCGGTTTTCTCTTTGGCGCGGATATTGTCAAGATCTTCAACCATCGGAACGATCTGTCTCTGATTGCGCGCGCTCACCAGCTCGTCATGGAAGGATTTAAGGAAATGTTCGACGCGAGTATCGTGACGGTGTGGAGTGCGCCAAACTATTGCTACCGGTGTGGCAACGTTGCGGCGGTACTGGAACTGTTTGAGGACGGCGGCGGCGATGGAATCCTGGCGCGCAGCAACGGCGATATCGACCGGACACGTCTGGCGCAGGCTGCTATCCCGGGCGAGCCGGACGTTACTATTCGGAACCGCAGTGGCCCTGGCAGGCGGTACAGGGTGTTTCAAGCTGCACCTCAAGACTCCCGGGGAATGCCTGCTAAGAAGCCGGTTGCTGATTACTTTTTGTGATTTGCCTTTTGGCGAGGGCGATGTCAGGTCGGGTCGATTTTATGATTAGGTACATCAGACTTGGAACTCATTACAAGGGAGACGCTTCATACACTTCTCAGGGCAGACTCCGTCGGGATTAGTATCGTGCTTGGAGTTCCGGGAGTACTATGGGTGGTGGTAGGGCGAACAGTTTTAGTTTTACACCTAAGAGACATGACCATGAATTGGATCTGTTAGCCTGATCAGGCAGAGGCAAGTCACCGTCCATCACCAGTTGAGCTCGTAAATGGTGTTTTTGTGCGTGATGTGGCCGCTCACAGGCTTGACGGGAGCGCATTCCGAAGCCAACAGAAGATACGGAGGAGTAGAACAATATACAGTCCAACTTGTCATTTATCTGCAGCTCATCCATGACCCGCTCTCACGGGCTCAGCCTCTCGAGCACCCACTCGGCCTCACTCGCCGGCTTGTCGTCCGAGCCCGGCTTGCGAGTATACATGAAGCGATCATGCAGCCGGCTCTGCCGTCCTTGCCAAAACTCGACCGACTCGGGCACGATCCTGAGCCCGCCCCAGAATTCGGGCACGGGGATCTGCTCCTGGCCCTCGAACCTATCCTCGACCTCCTTGACCCAGCCCTCGAGCTGCTGCCGCCCGTCGTCCGCCACGCTCCTCGCTTGCTCCGTCGTGCCGGCAACCTCGCTCATGGGCTGGAGCACCTGGCTCTGGCGGCTGGCCCACGCGCCGATCCTGCTGCCCCGCGCGCGGGTGTCGTAGTACTTCTGGCTCTCCTCGGCCGACAGCCTCTCGGCCCTGCCCTCGACGCGGACCTGCCGCTCCATGGCCTCCCACCAGAACGTCAGGCTGGCCCACGGGTTCGACGCGAGGTCCTTACTCTTCCGGCTGGTCCCGAAGTTGCTGTACACCACGAACCCGCGGCCGTCGAGCTCCTTGAGGTACACCATGCGCGCCGAGACGCGGCCCGAGGGCAGCGAGGCGGTCGACAGGCAGCACGTCTCTGGGTGCTCGACGGGGACGCTGGCTTGCTGGGCGGCCGCGAACCAGGCGTGGAACTGGGCCACGGGGGAGTGCGCGTCGAGGTCCAGCCGCGTGAGGGTGCCCTTGTTGAACTGCTCTGCTTGGCCGTGGGCTTCTTTGCCGGCTGGGGCGACTTTATAATTTCAAAAGGACGTGGATGATGATGATGTCAGCCCGAGCTTGTCTTGTAAGAGTGCGAACGTGTGTGCATGCTGGGGGGTGGTGAGAACGAGGGCAGAGTCTTTTTCGTGTTCTTACAGATGAGCTTGGACGGGTCCTGGGCTGAGTGCAGCGCCATGGTTCTCGTGCCAATGGGTCTGCTGCCAAATTTGAGAGCCTGGGACACGATGAGGGATCGCATGCAGATTTGCAGTGCCTGCTCTTCTTGTCTCAAAGTGTAACGAACTGAGGTAGTCGTGGTTTTAAAGATACAGAAAGTCACGAGATCCAGTCAGTCAGTCAAGTCAGTCATCGACTGATGGAAGACAACGTCCCATGGTGGGGCATTTCCAGGCACTCGATCTGCGCCAGGGACTCGGCCTGACTCGACTCGACGAGAATGGATGACTCTCACGAACTGTTTAATTCAATGTGCTTTGAGTACCAATCTCTGCGGTCAACACACATGTTCCCTTTTTTTCCAGCTCCCGCGCAGGATCTTTTGTGCTGTGCGGTTACACGACGTCCTGGTTTTGCACGACGTCATCAACTCTCTTTTAGCCCTCCGACCTCGCACTGCATACATGCCGAGGTCTGCAGATTAGTCTCGAGGCCTCCGGCCCATTTACACCTTGCGCCAAAGCAACATCCTCGCCTTATCGTTGTCAGGTCAGTTCGAGCATCCCATGGCCCCGTCTGGAGCAAAGCACCTTGGATCTCCTCTTCTCAGATTCCATGTGCAACCTGGACGGCAGGCCACAGGCTCAAAGGCCGAGAGTCACAAGGTGAAAGCAAACTTTTGAAAAATACTGTAAGCCGTATTTGGCTTAGAGTAGCGAGTCTCTGGTTGCGCTTTCCCCCCACGGCTCAGTCTCAGTCCGCCCTACGCCTTCTCCGGACGTGATGCCAACAGAGCATCCCGGAGCCGTCCGGAGCAGCCCGTCATGCGGAACGGCAGCAAAAAAGAAAAAGAATGCACGGTTCACTCGTTCGTAACGAGGTCCTATTGGGAATCGAACCCAAGTCCCCGGAATACTAAATCTAGTAGAAATCAGAATCCGATGTGATGACCAACTACACTATAGAACCGGTGTGAGTGCTCTGAAGCGTATTGCGGGATATATGCGCGGTGCGCCGGGAAAAGTGGGACCGTGGCGCGTGTGGACCCTGCAGCCATCCGGGCCCTTCGGTCGGCCCCACTAAATATTTTTTTCTCGGAGGAGCCATCATCCCATCGTCGCACTGCATGCGCAGACCCCGCTAAAAACCCTGGCGGGAGAGAGAGAGAGCTTGAGATCTGATAACAGTCGCAGAGCGAACGATTCCTTGACTAACAGGACAAGCACCAGCCAACACAGCTCATTCCCTGTTCGCCTGTATACACGATAAACAAGGCGCTCTTTGATACCGGCAAGAGACCCACGCCACTTACAACATCACATCACACAGCAGAGACAATGGCAGACACGTCGGCGACCGTGGCGAGGCTGCGCGAGTCCCTGTGCTCCGAGGCGACCCCGCTGCCCATCCGCTTCCGCGCCCTCTTCTCGCTCAAGCACGTCGCCCGCAACGGCTCCGAGGCCGAGTCGAAAGAGGCCATCGACGCCATTGCCGCCGCCTTTGTCTCGCCCTCTGCCCTCCTCAAGCACGAGCTCGCCTACTGCCTCGGCCAGAGCAACAACCAGGATGCCAACGAGCCCCTCAAGAAGGTCCTCGCCGACCTCCAGGAGGACCCCATGTGCCGGCACGAGGCTGCCGAGGCCCTGGGCGCGCTGGGCAGCCAGGACAGCCTGCAGATCCTGCGCGAGTTCAGGGACCGCAAGGGCGAGGACGTGTGCATCACACAGACGTGCGAGATCGCCATCGACCGGATAGAGTGGGAGAATTCTGAACAGCGCAAGGCCGAAAAGTTGCACCAGAGGTGAGTTTGGATCTGCCTGTAAACGTGATGTATATAACAGTGCAATCGGGGGGGCTAGCGACATGATGCTAATGTGACGTTCTTCACCTCCTGCAGTGACTTTGCATCGGTAGATCCCGCCCCTCCAATGCCCGAGTCCAGCGCCACGGTCGAAGATCTCGAGAAGCAGCTCATGGACACGTCGGCGCCGCTCTTTGTGCGCTACCGCGCCATGTTTGCCCTGCGCGATCTCGCCTCTCCTCCCGACCTACCCACTTCCACCCCTGCGGTGCTCGCCCTGGCAAAGGGTCTGAGCGACTCGTCCGCGCTCTTCCGCCACGAGATTGCATTCGTCTTCGGCCAGCTGTCGCACCCGGCATCGATCCCGGCTCTGACCGCTTCGTTGGCGAATGTGGAGGAGGCGAGCATGGTACGCCACGAGGCGGCCGAGGCGCTGGGCAGTCTTGGTGACGAGCCAGGCGTCGAGGAGACCTTGAGGAGCTTCCTCAACGACAAAGAAAAAGTCGTCCGGGAGAGCGTCATAGTCGCACTCGACATGGTCGACTACGAGCAGTCGGGTCAGACCGAGTACGCCCTCATCCCCGAGTCTGCGCAGTCTGTTGCTGCTTAAAGCGCTGCACAAAAGTCGGTGCCTCTCTTGCTCGTATTGAGCCCACCTGTACATATACTACCCATTTAGACCATGGCGGTGACAAAAAAGGCGTTGGTGATTTTGATTTCATGAAGGTCCTTGGCATGCCAGATATTGTTCGCTTAGTGTTAAAGGACAATCATTGGTACTCTCCGCTTCGCTCAGAGTCGTGGACTTAGTTGTTGGTGTTCCACTTGTGCCCGCAGTCGCCGCAGGTGTAGAAGATTGTGCTGCCTTCGTCTGCACCACGAAGCTGCACAGCCGAGTATCGAACCTTGGTCTCGCCACATTTCTCGCAAGGCACGTTGGAGAGCGCCTCGGTTTCGACCTTGTGCCGCTCGACGGTCTGAACTGTGGATAATTGTTGGCGAAGCAGGGATGGGAAGTCGGAAGGTTTGCTCTTGGTGATTACGGTCTTGGAAGCCATGTCTAGACAGCAACGGAAAGGTTAGCCAGGAATGCTTGTGCTTGCGTGGTGCTTGCTGAAAAATGCTTTGCGCATACCCTGGTTGCGTGTGCCGCAGCACTCGCACTCGAGAATGTTCTTCTCATTGCCCTTGGACACCGGGAGAAGGTTACCGCAGGTCTTGCAGAAGATGAGCGATCCAATGGTGGCCATGTCGGGTGTTGACGGCGAGTTACACAGCGATCTTCCAAACCGAACACTACGTCCTGTTTATTGGCGACAGAATGTGCTGCTGAAGTTTGGGGGTTTGTTCTGACAGGAATCGACGATTAAGCAACAAGAAAAAAATGGCGTATCGAGCCAGCCTGCCCAATCTCGAAATGCGCCCGCCAATCAACAGGTCCCAATGACGCAGGGGTATGACCGCTTAAGTGAATAGGCCAGGGGTGGTTGCCTCGCCTAAAGCAATAGCAGTCAACAAGCGGGCTGGGCACTAGTCCATATGTCGCTAGACCGCGAGCCAGGGTCCCTGCTCAGCTGGGACATTGCAACAAGTACTCCTGCACCTGCGGTACTCATCCGACACACTGGTGAGAAGGCTGCTGTGGAAGTAGCCCAATGCTGGGGGTACTTGTCGTTTCCCAGAGTCTGAGATCGTCCATGGGATGCAGGCGCCTGGGCACGATTGAGTCGCGATTCGAGCTTCCGTTGTCGCCCTGCACAACAACTATTAACGCTGAGAAACATCGCGAGCGCACGCAAAGCCAACCCGACATCGCGGCCTCGCAAGTGCCTTCACAGAGGCTCGGATTGGCTTTCGGAACCGCGCGACGCCCTCGTGACACGTTCCAGTCTCGCGATTTGCGACAACACCCGAAGTCGCCAACCGTCGGTCCAGACCCCCGTCGCAAGCTCGTCGAGACCACTCGAATACACATGGAGACAGGGCCGGAGCGAAACCTGAACCTCTGAGCGACAAACCAAATAGACAATGCCCACGAACCCGGCCTTGGGATTGCCGTAATCTGTGGCCGTTGGCTCGCGACGCCAACGCTCTCGAGATGGCGGATCCGTTCCTAGCCGGCCAGAATGGCGGCATGCCATACTACAACGAGGCATCGGATCCCCAGGCATACCACGATGGTGCGCAGCAGCAACAGCGTTATGGCTACCAGGTGCAGCGGCAGCCATACACGCTGAACGAGGCACTGCCATACACTCCGTTCACCTCAATCTATCCGTTCCAGTCGGGTAAGAGCGACCCCCGACCCGCACCTTCCTCCACGCCTTCACCTCTGCTGGACGGCTCCGGGCTTCTGTCCCCGTGGCTACATGCACTTACCAACGAACACATTTGCTGACTTCTGCCTCCACAGACATCATCAACACACCAACAATTGGCTCTGGGCCGCTCGCGCCACCCGTGGCTGGACTACTGCCACGAGATGACCTGCAAGCGCTGAACCGCGAAGCGTCAGAAAACCCACAGTCGAAACGTGTCGAAGGAAGCCTGGATTTCATACAGAACTTACTACAGGCAGACAACATAACCGAATTGTGGGTGCTCATTATGTTTCGCACCAAGCCTTGTCCATATAGGCGGAGGCCATTGTGCCCGTTCAGGACCTCCTCACTAGTATTCCGCTGACCACTGCCCTCATAGCAAGTTCAAGACAGTACCATCGGCGGCCTCTGTGGGCGGCTCCGTCTCCAAAAGCTTGGCTAATGGTCTTTCGCCTTTTACGAGACTGATCTTCGATCAAACATCTGTCAGCTACACTTCCTCCTCACCTGATGTCCAGAGGACGTCCGTCTCGAACGCACCCAGCATGTCTCCCAAAGTGCTCAAGAAATCGCCAAAGGCACGGCGGTCTGATCCGCCCAAGATCGTCAAGCATAATCCTGCTTCCATCAGCAATGGGTCGTCGAACTCAAAGCCTCGAATAGAAATCAGGCTACCCACGCAGAGGGAGCTCGAAGCTGGACTGGCTATGCAACAGCAACCGGCGAAGTATGAGCCCACACATCAGTTGCCGCCTGCGCCGACGCAGCCGCAAACTGTCTCCTTAGCGGATCTAATGATGAAACCACCGTCGCCTATACCGATTATGCCAGCGCGGCCCCTCCCTCCCATTGAGGATCGTGCGGTGAACGAGCCCGAACCACAGGCGCAGGCGACATCAATAGAAGTCCAAGGGACAAAGGCCGAACCAGAAGTCCTAGTCAAAGCAGAAGACATCCCTACAAATCCCACCTTCGAAAATTCTGTACAAGAGACCAGCGAGCTGCATTCCAAAGCTGAATCTAATGAGTCTCATTCAACGTTGGATACAGCCGATGCGCGACCGGTCTACGCGAGGACGTCTTCGCAAAGTCAAGGTCTGAATGGCTTCCACGTAGAGTTGCCCACTGCCAAGTTCGATAGACAGGAGTTCGCAGTAGTCAACGATCCTCTGAGTGCTCCCTTGCACCTCTCCACCAAGAAGGGCTCAGGCTTCAGTAACGAGGACTTACTCAACAACGATTTCAACCAGCGGGATCTTGCGAATGTTGCTATTTCAGAACTTCAACGGTGCTTCCAAGAAATCTTTGCTGCTGAAGATGCTCTGGGAGGTCAACCGGGGTCGTCGTCTCATCTCATCATGGTCACAAACGACGGTGATTCGATGATGACTGTTGCAGCTCACACCAGAGCTCACAACCAGATCAGGAAGACCATCGAGCTGGATTGCTTTAAGCAAGCGCCCGTCGATGAGGTTATCCGCATTCAGAATCTCAGCGAAGTCAGTATCAGGCACGTAGACTCTCTAGACTTCAAGCTCGACGAGGGCTGGGGTGAAACAGAGGTGGGCTTCTGGGCTCAGCAATTGCCAGACATCGAGGCAGGTCTCAAGGCCGCTCGCACTGCACTCCGCGTCATGTGTGGAGGTCGTGAAGAGAAGCAGCTTTACTCGGAGGACTTGATACATCAGAGCCTCAACATCTTCAAGAACGTCATGGAGGGAATCGTCGTTCCCCTCGCTGAACTACGCAGCACAGACAATACGGGGCCGCTGTTCAAGCTTGTCTCGATTCACAAGAAGGCCATTGGATCACTGTTCACCGCCTGCCAGCGGCTGTTCTCCTTGATGTCAGACCTAATTGTGAATACAGACCTCTCTGAGAGTGTCGTGAACACATTGGAATATGCGTCGTCGAAGCTCATCTTCGTCGAAAACGCGTACAGCGAGAAAGACTCCGTGTTGGGAGTGCAGCGGTTTGACGGCCTGCGGTCTGTCGCGATGAACATGCTTTCACAGATATTTGTGATGAATCCCAACCAGCGCCAAGGCATCTTCACCGAGATTCTCACATCGCTTGAGAAGCTACCTGTCGGAAAGCAGCGCGCGCGTCAGTTCAAGCTGTCAGATGGTGGCAGCATCCAGCCCGTGTCTGCGCTCATCATGCGTCTGGTGCAAGCCAGCGCAGGAAAAGTCGAAAACGAGCGAGGAGTTCGACATGGGGCAGTTCTGAATGCAGTCGGGGAGGATGGCGAGAGCGAGGATATAGGGCTCCCAACTGCTCCAGTATATGCTGTCAGGACGGAGGATTTCGCCGCTATCCAGCATTCGACTGCTGTTCAGGAGATTTCGGGACTCGCAGAGCCACTCATCAATGCTGCAGCTCGGGATGCCAGCTACGTGGTCAACTTCATCGTTGAGAGAGCTCTCAAGTCGACCAAGTCTGGTGACACACCCTACCGCAATCTACTGGATCTCTTCGTTGAAGACTTCACGACGTGTTTGGACTCTCCAGATTGGCCAGCCGCCGAGCTTCTGCTGCGGTTGCTCATGTTCATGATGGTCAAACAGGTTGATGGGAAAGAGAATTCCGCTCCTGCACGTAACATGGCACTCGAATTACTGGGAGTCATGGCTGCAGCGATATCGAAACTTCGATCACACGTGCGCAAGATCGCCGCCAATTTCGAGGGTAGTGATGCCGATGCGCTGGGCCTTTGGCTGGCTGACTTGACCTCAACGGCTCTAGAGGGAAAGATCTCGCCAGACAAGGTCCTCGGCTGGCTGGGTCCTTACCGCATTGTGCTCGAGTTTCTTCAAGACCGAGTCACTGACGACCAGTACCTGAAGGCTGCAATTTCCTACCTCGTCACAGACTGGGCATCGCAGATTAGCGCTGGGTACGACTCGGAGACCAGCGATGATGTTGATGATAGGGACGCAGAATATGGGCGGACAGCATATCGTTTGAGGAACATGATAGAAGACTCCAAGTGGCTCTCGCGCGAGTACAGCTTCAAGCAAGTGGCTGCAAAGCATGCTCGTTTGGCACATTCGATCGTCCTCCTCCGATCGAGCTTCTGCTCGTCCTTCAACGTTGTCCTCAACATTCTCCTTGGTTCTATGACGACGGACCAAGCCACCGTGCGGAGCCGCAGCATCAAGAGCATCAACCAGGTCCTAGAAACAGACCCGACAATCCTGGATGGTGATAGCGTCGTCATCCAGCTCATCCTCCAATGTTCGAGCGACTCATCACCACAGGTCCGCGACTCCGCACTTGGTCTCATAGGGAAGTGTATCAGTGTTCGACCACATCTGGAAGGCATGATGACACCGACAGTGATTCAGAGATGCACGGATTCTGGTGTTGGCGTGCGAAAGCGTGCCATGAAGCTTGCCAAGGACATTTACCTAGGAAACCAGAGCAAGGAAGTGCGAAGCACAATTGCCAACGGACTTCTGCACCGTATGCAGGACCCAGACGAGGGTGTCCGCGAGTTGGCGAGGCAAATGGTCGAAGAGATCTGGATCTCACCCTTTTACAAATCGGACGATTCTGTCGAGTCTAAACAGGCCTTGACGGATCACGTTGCTCTGATGGTGCAAACAGTCAAGCATGGCAATTCTGCCCCAGTCTTGGACAAAGTCTTGCAGATAATATTGTCGCCAGAGTCTAAGCTTGCAGCGGCCAATTCTAAGGTGTGCAAAAGACTCGTGGCGAGTATGTTCGACCTTCTGGACAATCCTGAATCAGAGGACACTTCAGCACCTTCCGGCAAAGACGCTTTGCAGGTCCTGATGATTTTCGCCAAAGCGGACCCCAAGCTCTTCACCTTTGAGCAAATCAAGCTTTTGAAGCCTCACATTGCAAGTGTGAGCACCAGCGAGGACCTGGCTGTTGCGAGAGCTGTCGTTGTGATTTATCGCCGCGTTCTGCCAGAAGTATCCAGCGTCAACCCACAATTTCTTGCTGACGTCCGCAAGGATCTGATGCCAGCCGTATCGAAGGTCGGCAGGGCACTACTGGACGACGTGATCGCTTGCTTGTGGATCATGAGCGGCCTCCTCCAGACCTCTGAGCACCTGGCACGTCTCGTGTCCTCGAGTCTTGCAGGCATTCAGAAGATTAGGGCTTTCACTGCCAAAGGACCTTTGGACCAGCAGAAGATACGACAGTTCGATCGTTACTCACTGATCGTCGGCATGGCTGGCAAACACTGCGATCTCGATGCACATGCCGATATCTTCAAAACGCACTTCCCCAAGTGGCAAGGGGGGTCTGTCTCGAAGTTGATGGTCGACGTTTTGATCTTCTTTGCTAGCCCCAGCCAGCCTCTTGATATTCGCCGCCCAGCTCTTGACGCGGTTGGACTTGTCTGCCAGTCCAACCCGAGGAACTATGTTTCCGCCAACGTCTACACCGCTTTCCAGCAGGTCTTCGATGAGGAGAACCAGGTGCTTGAGTCCATGATTCTTAGGTCACTGAAAGAGTTCTTGTTTACGGAAGAACGCCGATCAGAACAGAGCGCTGCGACTGCCACCAAGGGGAAGGAGCAAGCCAAGAAGGACCTCAAGGTCATGGGCGGTACCACTTTCGATGATGTGGCCAGTGCAACAACCCAGCGTTTCCTCAAGCATCTCACACGTATTGCCCTGTCGAACCCTGACGACCATGCCTTCCTTGCCATGGAGGTATTGGCCACCATCAACAGACAGGGTCTGGTTCACCCGAAGGAGACAGGCATCACTTTGATGACCTTGGAAACATGCCCGCACCCGAAGATCAGCGAGCTTGCGTACCACGAGCACCGCGCTCTTCATGAGAAGCACGAGACGGTCCTAGAACGCGAGTACGTGAAAGCGGTTCAGTCAGCCTTCCAGTATCAACGAGACGTCATCCATGATGCTCGGGGTGCCACAACAGACCCATTTGCACCGAAGCTCCATCAGCTTGTAGAGGTTCTCAAGATCAGTAAATCCAAGAATCGTCTCCGCTTCTTGGAGAAGCTTGTCGCGCAGGTCGATTTTGAGCTCGCCAAACTCGACATGAAAGATGACATCCCCCAGCATGTAGAGTACTCGCGTTTCGTTCTGGAGAACATGGCATTTTTCGATTATGTCACCATCGGAGAACTTCAGGCCGCTGTGGCAGGAATGGAGAAGCTCTTTACCGGCACTGGTGCTAGCATCGCGCAGATCATCGAGGCCGAAGTTCTGCAGGTCAGCATGGTCAACGTGACAAACTCGCAACAGCCTACTGAGGGCGAGATGTCGGCCCCTGCAACCTTTGAGCCGCCAGTTCCTGTTGAGAGGTTGCGCCGCCTGGCTGCGGGCTCGACTGTCTTCATGCTGTTGTGGGAGGCAAGAACTCATCTTCGGCGCACGTATGGTGTCAATGCCAGTCGGCGTGAAACCAAGGGCAAGGGAGTCACCAAGGACCTTACAAAAGCGCCATTCAAATTGCCCAATGCTACCGGAGACAAGTTCTGGGAGGATGTGCAGAACATCATGACCGGCTTTGATTCTCCCAGGCGAATGACAGAGCAATGCAAGACATTCGTAGAGCTACTGAATGTCGACAAAGACTTCAAGGTCGCCGATGACGACGACGAGGAATTTGACGCCGACGAAGATCCTCAAACACCCGACGCCGAAGATGACGACGATGACGATGGCGGTGCAGTTGAGGGGAGAGGGCGCAAGCGCAAAGCAGCAAACACACCAAGTGGTCGTCACAAGCGCGCCAGGTCCGATTCCAAAGGACCCCATGGCCGCGGCAGACCCTCGAAGACGCTGCAGAACGATGATGATGCAAATATGAACGACGAGGGAAGTGCCTGGATATAGGGGTATGGCCAAGGACATTTCACTACTGGGCTCTGTGATGCTCGCCACTGATGCAGTCAGAAAAGAGATCAGGTTTGAGGAATGAGGTGGATCAAGGCGCCGGTTGCATTTTGGGAGGAGCGCTGTAAAGATAGGGAATCGAGTCGTGCCGGGCGCTTCGTGTTCAGACAACGAAGTCGGCAGGCTCCCTGTGCATTTGCCTTGGCGTCACGAGATTTCATGGGACACATCAGATACGGCAAGCGATCTGCTTTATTTGTAACAATGATACCTGGACAGAGCGTGCTCTGTTTTCAAGAGAAAGTGCAGTAGCTAGCCAAAGTAGCACGGAGATAACGTGCTAATATTTCTGGCTTTAGAACATTCACAAAGGCACAACATGCATCATTATCGGTGATGTCTCCGTCCTAGATCTTGCCATGCGAATGCACGCTCCGAGCATATGAGCAACTGACCGCTGACAATGAAAATCGCACGTCTGACGGTCAAAGACTTAATTGTCTTTTTTGTTTTTTCTTTCAGCTATGGATGTCTGTTCACTTTTCGCTCGGGAAGTATTGTTTTCCCCGCTGACTCTCATGTTTGCCACCACGAGACGATGGAAAAGAAAAGCGCAACTGTACTGCATTACTCCCTCTGTGTCCTGTGACTAGATATCCGGTGTAGATCAAAACGTTTATTTGTAACGTAATCCACGGGTGAGCGGGTCACACGGGTGAACGGGTCACTTTACTGCAATTTAATTGAGGTTCACTTCCTTCTCCTTTTTCTCCACCTCCAATCATGGGACGACAATCAATTGAAAGTGATTTGGTTCTAGCGTTAAATGCGCTCCAATCCGACCCAAAATTAAGCGTACGAAAGGCTGCGCAGATCTATAATGTATCTCGTACGACACTCCAGCAACGATACCACGGCCGAGCTGCGAAACACGACACCCGACCACCCTGCCAGAAATTAACCTCATACGAAGAGGAGAGTATCGTACGATACGTACTCGACCTAGATTCGCGTTCATTTCCACCGCGGTTAAGTGGTGTTCGAGAAATGGCGGATCGACTCCTCCGCGTACGCGACGCGCCACGCGTTGGAACGAACTGGGCCTCAACCTTCGTACGACGACGACCTGAGCTCCGTACGCGTTTTAATCGAAGAATCGATTACCAGAGGGTCCTTTGCGAGGATCCGGACGCGTATCGCGCGTGGTTTGAGCTCGTACGAAACATAATCGCGAAATACGGGATCCACGATGACGATATCTATAACTTCGACGAAACGGGCTTCGCGATGGGCAAGATCTCCGCCGAAACTGTCGTTACGACCTCCGATCGACGCGGGAGGCCAAGAGCCGTACAACAAGGCAATCAGGAATGGGTTACAGTAATCCAGGGTATCGCGTCGTACGGCTATTCAATCCCGCCATACATTATCTTCGCCGGGAAGGTCCACCTCGACTCCTGGACCGCGAATAGCCCTCTACCGGCCGACTGGGTAATCGCGCTTTCAGAAAACGGTTGGACGACGAACGAGAGAGGCCTAGAATGGGTAAAACACTTTGATTTCCATACAAAGAGTCGTACGAAGGGTACCCACCGCCTCCTTATCCTCGACGGCCACGAGAGCCACCATTCCGTCGATTTCGAGCTCTACTGCAAGGAACAGAATATTGTCACGCTCTGTATGCCTGCTCATTCGTCGCATAAGCTCCAGCCTCTCGATGTTGGGTGTTTTGGACCTCTGAAACGGGCGTACGGTAAAGAAATCGAAGGTCTAATGCGGGCGCACGTAACCCACGTTTCAAAGGAGGACTTCCTCCCAGCCTTTTATAAGGCGTACGACGCTGCAATGACCAAATCAAACATCCAGGCAGGCTTCAGAGCGACAGGCCTAGTACCGTACGACCCGAATTATGTGATTTCGCAGCTAGATATGAAGTTTCATACGCCGACACCACCAGGTTCCTCTGCTGGACTACCACCCCCATGGGTTTCAAAGACGCCGAACAACCTAATTGAGACCGAATCGCAGACGAAGTATATTGAAAATCGCATCGTACGACACCAGAATAGCTCACCGTCGTCCATTGTTGAGAGCCTACGGCAGCTGAGAAAAGGAGTTATAATGATGGTACACGAGCAGGACCTTATGCGCCAAGAGCTCGCCGAACTTCGAGATGCAAATGACCGCCTCAGCCGCCGTCGTCGTACGAAAAGAAAGCAGCTACAGAAAGGAGGGTCCCTCACGATTGATCAGGCAAAGGATTTGAAGGCTCAAATCGATGCGACGCAGCAGTTAATAGCGGAAACGAGTCAGAATAGTGGTCGTACGAGGAGGCCCGAAACGCGCGCGCGACGATGTGGCGTCTGCGGCGAGCCCGGTCATAATGCTCGTACGTGTCAGAAAGTTGTATCTGCCTCTGAAGAAGAGGATTCTGAATAGTTTGAATTGATTTAAGGCGTTGTGGTTAAATTGTCTTATATATTGTCGTACGAGTTACTGGAAGGTGACCCGTTCACCCGTGTGACCCGCTTACCCGTGGATTACGTTAACTTAATAGAGTATGGTCATCATCTTCGCCATCATCCCGCCCGTGTCGCTGCGTCACTGTGCACATGCTGAAGGTACTTCCGGTAGGCTGGCTCTCGCCATCTCCGAGCCGTGGGTTGCGTAGACTAGGATTGTGCTTCAACTAGGAAAATGTATGCATGCATGCATGCAAGAAAAAGAAACCCGACTGATTGCTTAGGTGTGAGCAGACGGAAACATGTCGACTTCCCCAGCCGGCGGGATCAATCAGTCGGACTCCCCGTCGTTTTACCTGACTAGCTCGTGTTTCCTGTGGATAACTACATGAAATTATCCAGATCGTCGTCGTCATCGTCAGACGGTGCTGACCAGTCGTCCTCGTCGTCCTCGTTGGTGACAGCCTGGGTCTTGCCGTCCTTGCCGTCCTTGCCGCCGTCGCACGCCTGGTTTGCACCAGCGGTGGCATCACTATGATTGCTAATCTTGATGACTGAGCTGTCCTGGGCCGTGCCGGCGTCCGCCATCGCGGTGTCTTCTCGATCGTGTACGGACCGATCAGCGGCCGATCCCATGGTCTGATCGCCACCGCCGGCAGTCTCGTTCGATGTACCCTCCAGAGTCTCTGCCGTGGGTGAAGAGCCGAGACTCAGGTCATGCACATCTCTCGCCATCGCGTTGACCATGCTACCTCCCTCGCTAGGTGTCATGACCGAGCTCGGCGCATATGACGAGGCTGCGCGGGTGCCCGTGACTGTGCTGCCGGTTGGAACTGCGATCTTGGATCGCCCGGACGTGAGCGTCTCGGTGTCGTCGAAGTCTATGGTGTTGCGGTCGCCGCCGAAGTCGTCTTCCGTGCCGACCATGCTCATAGCAGGTGCGTCGGAGGGTGCGATGCTCGACGAGAAGTCTGTGAAATCAGACATTACAGAGTAGCCTGTATGGTACGCTGGCCCAGGGCCGATAGGGCCCATGTCTGCGTCAGGCACATGTCCCTCCTGGAAAACCCCGCCCGTCCCGTCGTCAAGGCCGCCAGCCCATAGAGGGAGATACTTGAACTCTTCGTCAGTGAGGCCGAGCGCTAGATGGCCAGACCGAGCGAGCGATACTTCGAGATCGCGTGGGTGTGCCCAGGCATTCTTAAGTTCGGCGAGAGCCGTGCACACCTGCTGGTGCAAGACAATCAGGTCCAGCTGGTATATGGAACCTCGGGGCACAGGTAGTTTGCCCTCCTCTACAGCGAAATGGATGCTTGAGTTGAATATGGTGACTTGGCGTACGAGCAGTTGCTGGCAAGCGACAAATTCGGACCACACCATTGGCGCCTCTGTCAGACGCTGCCAGTAGTCGGTCAGTGCGCGCCTCGACAACGGGACCATGGTCTGCCAAGTGGTGAAATAGGACATGAACCGTGACCGAGGCACGTAGCACTGGCGGTTGCGTTCAATGCTTGTTTCAGTCTCACTGCTGAAGGCGCTGGAGTCGGGCGCATTAGCAATACCGTGCATGAATTGGATCAGCGATCTGTACACCTGAAAGAAATGCGCTCTTATCTTGTCGAGTGAGGCGGATGCGACGAGCGGCGTTGCAGCTGATGTCCGGGGATTGAGGTTGATATTTGGCAGGTCTGCTCCAGGCTCGACTGTGCCGATCATCTCGCCGATTTGCATAAACTGTTTCCACTGGTCAATCCGTAATAGCGTGAATACCCATGGGCTGACTAGATCCGCATTGACCTGCTGTACCCGCTCCGTGTACTTGTTCGTGGCGTGTTGGATCACATTTTCCAGCTCATCGGGTAGTTCTCCGCGTGGACGTCCAAGTACTGTAAACCGCCGACTGTGGGAGAGGGGAGTTGGACTAAGCGCCTCCATCGCATTCTCGGCGACGAGGATACGCATTGCAGCACGGGTGACGTCCCGGAGACCAAGGTTCCAGCCTATCTTAAGAGCCGTTTCTGGCTCGAGATCAATGAAGTCCGAGTTGGGCTGTGCCATGAACCAGGTGAACACAGGATCTCGCTGCGATCGGTGTGAGTATGGCTCCCTCTGCCAGGCGCTCTTTTCTGTCGCGATGGGGATGGACTTACAATCACACTCGCGCAATCAAACTGCTTCGCTATGCCTGCGATGGTGTAGACGCGGATTGCCGAGTTGAGCACAAGATCGGCGCCAAGTATTGTTCGAATAAGACGAATTATATTTGCTCTGTGCCGGACGGGGCAATATTCTGGGACCATGCGAAGCGGCGACATCTCAATGTCCTCAAGGTTGTCCTTGGGCAACCCATGTTCACGATTGAGAGGAAGGACAACGCCGGACTTTGACTCATAGTTCATTGGGACGTTGATGTGCTCTGGGCAGTTGTCGTCGTGACCAGAGACGAGGAAACGCGAGATGCCCAGCCTTTCCATGTTGATCCACCAGTCGCGCACGCCGTCCGGGATGGAGAGCTCTGCGAGCTGTGCCGCGACGTCGTCACCCTCGCTTGACGGAGTCAGGTCGAGCACGTACTTGACATCGGGCCCATACTGCGCCGGATTGATATACCTGCGAACACGAGTCTGTGCCCGCTCAGAGTAGAGCCTTTTGAAGAAGGTAGACCCCGTGCCGAGAAGAACCTCTGAGGGGGCGCGAAAAGTCGTAGACCGCCAGAGGCGGCCGTTACATTTGATGAACGTGGGCTTCGTGGAGGGGAAGTCGACGAGGATGAGCGTGTCGCCGGTGGTGTACATGGTCTCCATGTTGTCCAGGGCGTAGGCATCATCCGCCCCCCGTTGCTCGCTCCCGGTAGTGTTCGCATCAGGAACAGGCTGGTTCCTGAGCAGCCGTGAGATAGCATCGTCAAGTGTGGCTTCGCCAGGCGACTGTAAGGGTGAGCTCGGTGCCGCCTCTGACTGACTATCGCTGCCAAGCTCAGTTATGGCCAAGTCGGTAGCACCGTGGAAAGTCGGTCTTGCCGCTGTTGGTGTTGCCACTCCTGAGCCCTCACTGTCAGAGTCGGACTCCAGCCCCCGCGGGTCCCAGTCCATGTCTATGTCCAGCGACGGGACATGGTGGCCGCTGAGCGAAGACATTGGTGTAGTGATTCGCAGGTACTACTGGTATTTGACGGTGCGTGAGCTGCTAGAGGGCCAGTATCACTGAGGGCGCGTCACGTCGAATGTAAACTGGTCGACAGGTGAGGAAGCAAGACACGTTGGAACAAGGCTCGATCTCCAGGGCTGAATGCGCAGTTGGGAATAATACGAGCGAAAGCAGGTGCCAGGCTCCTGCCGAGGGCCACTGCGAGGGCAGCCTCGGAGAGATGAATGCTGACGAGGATGTATGTAGTGACTTTGGTGTGATCTCAGTCTAGGCTCGTTGAAAGTTGTGGCAGGGTCACGTTGACAAGACGAGGGAAACAAAATAAGACGAGGATTGATGACCCGTCGTGACTAGCAGGTGGTGTAGATGAACGAGGTGTCGCTTGTTTACGAATCAAGAACAAGGGGATTATTGATTCAGCCTAGAGTTGGAAGGCACGCTGGGTCAATCAAGGCGTCACAGGGAGCCAAAGGGATCAAGGCATTGTTGGTCAAAGGGGAGACTTGGAAAAGGCCAGAGGAGAGAGCCTGAGCTGACAAGCAAGGCTGTGTGTGCATTGCACGTGGATGCAGCGTGGTGAGGAGGGTGTTTGTTGTCTGCCTGTGCAACAACTGCGCCTGTTAAGCAAGTCCGTAGCAAGGCAGGCCGCCAGGCAGCAACCCCACCCACCCTCTACGCAGTTAAGATGGTCGGGCCTGGATGACTCCCATTGTGCCGCTGCCCCTCTCGAATGCAGGCAGCCATGGCAGCCAACCGCTAAGTGACAGCATCCTGGCCTTGTCTTACCTCTGTCTCGTGCGCGCTGTAATTATTTTGGAGGTGGTGTGCCTGGCCAGTGGGTGGTCCACGATTGGCGTAGAATCAGCCAGGCCCGGCACGCTACTGGTATCTAGAGTGTAAGTAACTGGTGGCGACATGCAACTGCCGCCTTGGCTTGGGGTAAGCCTTGATTGCTATATACTCTTATTAAGCTAAGGGCCTCGGTCAAGTATATTCCTCGGAGACAAGCCAAGGCCCTTTCTCTTTCTGTCGGGGATATACTTATACTATTAGTACGTCCACTCTACTTGTCACGGTCTCCATCTCCGGGAGGCACGTTTAGCAGAGACGTCGAGTCTACAACAAACGTATATATCTACAATGTAACCTCGAGCAGGACGCAGATAGCCTCATAGATATCAGGCTTCCCCAATACTATTACAAGACTGCCTCGCAATTACATCTTCCGCGACGTCTACTTTGACGTACTTAGACGAAGGGGAACATTAATGCTACCCGTTGGGAACACCCAGCCAACTGCCGCAAATGTGGAGCTGGGCCGACATGCACAATACCTAAATCCGTCACTCAACCGCCCTCATGACAGCTTCTTTGTGCCCATCTCTGGTGACCTTCTTCATTCTGCTCAATCGCGGCACCGTATCGCCTTTACTCGTCCGGCGCAGCTAGTCCGTCATGTTCAGGTCAGCTGCCAACCGCCTGAACTCGGTGCGAGGCAGGTTTTCGTCCTCGAAAGCAACCTCACCACATACTTTCGTCGAAGAGAGCCTTGCGCGCTATAGTCCTGGCGGCTACCATCCAGTACGTCTAGGAGACCACTTCTCCAATAGAAGAACAAGATAGTCTGCAAGCTTGGCTATGGCCTCTACTCGACCGTGTGGCTAGCCTTTGATCAAAGGTACGAAGCATTCTTTTCAGACTATACAAATCAGGCTGATTAGAGACTATTACCTAAAAGGGAGAAACGACATTTTGCCCTGAAGATTCTGACTGCCGATTCCTACGACGGCAAGCACGACACTTTTGAGATGGCCATCCTCAAGAAGATTAAGTCCCAGAGTGCGAATATTAGAGGACCAGGCCCGCAAAGCCTGCTTGGTCTGGTCGGTGACTTTGAACACACAGGTCCCCACGGCAAGCATACATGTCTCGTCTTCGAAGCAATGGGGCTAGACATGTCCAAGTTCAGACGCCTTTTCCCGCGTGCTTGTATCCCCGTGCCGCTCCTTAAAGACATTACACGGCAACTGCTCTCGGCTCTCGCTCTCCTGCATGATACCTGCAAGGTTATACACTGCGGTATGAAGCCTGCCAACATATCTCGTCCCTCGGATACTCGGACGACTAACAAAATATGTAGATATCAAACCACAGAACTTGCTCATCGAGACACCCAAGATCGCCAGCTTGTTTTCCAGCCTGAGCTCGGACAACTTTGTACCACAGCGACGTCCACTAGACCCACCACATGATTTCTACATGGAGTCAATGCAGGTTTCGTCGGCACAGGAAGATCTAGCGCAGGTACCGTCCGTGGCTGTCCGGCTAGCGGACTTTGGGACTGGTAAGTAAAGTCCATCACCAATGACCAGTATTCACAGGACACTAACTTTTCCGGAATGGAACAGCAAGCTGGGTCGACCGGCATCTGACCGAGTGGATCCAGCCGCAAATGCTCCGAGCTCCGGAAGTCATCCTCGGCGCCCCCTGGGACCACAAGGTCGATGTATGGAATCTCGGGCTCATCGTAAGAACCGCTAAAATCCCAGGACCCCTCCACTCAGTCGGCCTAATGAACACCAGAAGCTGACTTTTTTATTATTATCGCCTATCAGATCTGGGAGTTCGCCGAGGGATCGCTCGTGTTTGACGGCACCTGGACCGCCACGGCGCCGTACTCCTCCGAGGCACACCTCGCCCAGATGCAGGCTGTCTTGGGCAGCATGCCACAGTCCCTACTGACCCGGTCCAAGCACCGCAGCAAGTTCTTCCGTGAGGACGGTGAGTCCCGTGTGTGACGTTTCAGTGTGGAGTCTGCAATCATGCCAGGAGAAAACACGTGCTGATTACTTGTAATATCAGGGACCTTGCGTGAGCCGTCTCCTTTCCCTCACACGCCTCTCGAGTCGATCTGCAGAAACACCGCGTTCGACCACTCGGACAAGGCGCTGTTTCTCGACTTTATCGCGAGAATGATTCAGCTCGAGCCACAGGCACGACCGGATGCTCGGGAGCTGCTGCTCCACGAGTGGCTCAAGCAATAGCTGCTGCCCAAGGGTACGAGGTACCCGAGAGCTACTTCATGTACTCGGGAACTAACCATGGTAACCCCCGTAAGATGATTTAATTCTTACGCGGACTGAGCATGGACGCCTACCGTAGATGGTCGTTCTAATTCTGTATAACTTTTACAAAAGCACGCACACCCCCGCTCGACTGCTTCCGTACCTGGTTCCTTGCCATTCAAGTACGCCGGAAAGACAACCTGTGTGATATGCTATGGAACCACCATCTTATTGGTCGACCTGGTCTTGCCAAAAAAAACCAATCCCATGTATAAGATCATATCAACCGTCGCCAAGGCTGAAAGAGGACCGAGACAGAGGAATCCCGCCGGTTGTGCAGCTGTTCGTTTTCGTACCGAAGCCTTGTGAGCTCTGCGGGGAGACTGGCTTTAGTCACGTCCATATGCACCGAAACTATCGAAGGGCCCCAGATCCGCCTCGAGGTAGTGGTGTTATTCACTGCTTCTTTCTTCCTCTGATACTGTGTGATGTGTTTGAGCGAACCAGGGATAAGTTCAAGGAATGGCGCGAACACACTGCATCCAAAGGGACCTGTCAACAACACGTTTGCATAATACGCAAACGCCCATCATATTTGCAGCTACCTCGTGAACACAAATATACCACAACAAAAAGCACACCAGATCGAGCGGAAGATCGCTCCGCAAACTATTCCTTCTTGAATTCACAACAGCACCAAGATAAAAAATAAAAAATAAAAAAAAGAAGAGAAAAGAAAAGGGTATGCGTCCCCGCTCAAATGCAATCACAACCCGTGACACAGAAATGTAGGTTAATTACAAGGGGAGATGGATATACGCAGAGATATTGTTGTCACAGGAGCTCCCTCAGCACGGTGACTCTGGTCCTCGCAACCTCAGACCCCTGCGCACCCGAGCCCATAATCTCCATGATCTCCATCATTCGTGCTGATATTGCGGTCTGTCAGCAAAAGTTGCAGTGAGAGGAGAGTTCTTGGAAAGGGGGAAAAGGGGGGGGGGGAGAGAAAACTCACTGATGTCCGCCCTCGCCCTGGTGTAGAGAGGCTCCCTGCTGAGCAGCTGCTCGATATCACCCGCCGCCGCGGCATCGCTACCACCAGCAGTACTACTACTGTTCTTGCGCCCCCCGACGCTAATACTGCTCCCTCTCCTGCCCAGGAAAACCCCCTCCCTCCCAAGCTTCACTTCTCCTTCCCCGTCTGCATCCCCGCCGCCACCGCCGCTGCCTTGTTGCTGCTGCTGCTGCTGCTGGTCCCCGCCAGCCTCCGCGCCAAGTCTCCTCACCTCCTTCAATATCCCGCCGATGCACAGCGCCTCCAGGAACGCGCGGTGGTTCAGGACCCACCACACGCGGCTCTCCTCGGGCAGCAGCGCGAAAAAGGTAAAGAACGCCGTGATGGCCTCGTGCGCGGCCTCGAGCGTGGCCTTGATGTTGATCGGCACCTCGGGCGACTCGGAGGCGTGCACGAGCATCAGGTTGTGGTAGTAGTTGCTCGTGAGGAACAGCGTTTGGCGGACGACGCGCTTGTTGGTGACGGCGAGGTGGGCTATCGAGTCTTGGTTCCTGGTTTTCGTGGGTTGTCAGCGGGCGTGACAATGCATACAAACATCACCAGAGGCAGGGTCTAGTATATCTCGCAGAAGCAGACAAATAAAAGACAGGAAGTAGCAGAAGGAGAAGCAGAAAAAGACCACTCACCAGGACCGGAACACGTCCGGAAAGCTCCGATACACCCCTCGAAAGTCACCCACGAGCTTGCTCTTCTGCCTCTGCGTCGAGCAGATCGGCAGGTCCAGAGACCGTGGGCTGCAGATCGTCTCTTGCACGAGGTTCGCCAGCGTCCACGAGCCCCGGATGTACGCCGTGTCCGTGGGGTCCGAGTTGGCGATGCTCGACTCGTCGTCGTCAAAGTCGTCGACGTGCACGTCCGTGTGCGTCGCGTTGGGCGGGAGCGAGAGGAGCACCACGAAGAACGTGTCCTGCAGCAGCACGGCCTGCCAGAGCTTGCGGCGCTGCTGCTTTTCAAATGCGTTGGCGTGAGGTGTGACTGATTGTTTCGGGGAGTGTTAGATATAGAGAGAGATTTCTAGACTTGTCCAAGAGTCGTTTTGCGCTTGTGGCTTCGGGATCGAGCATGATGCCAAAAGGAGCTAGAAATAACTAGCACGAGAAGACTAAACTCACCAATGTTCGGGTCTCTATGCAAGCCCATGGCATAAGCCTGCCTCATCAACAACCCCGCAAAGGCCCAGCCATCCGAAGCATGGTTGTCGTTGATCAAGAAATAACACAGCAGCACCATGGCCTGGATGGACTGTATCGAGGCGGTGCTCATGTACGAGAACATGCGCAGCGCCTGGTTCCCCGCCGAGGCGTAAAACTCGGCCATCTGCCTGCGGTCGTCCTGCGTGCTCTTGGTCGTGCTGACAAACTGCGTGCCGAGAGCCAGCATGACAAAGAGCAGGGCGACGAACGAGGCGTCCGCCTTGTCCTTTTCCGCGCGCGGCAGAGACCAGAAGTGCTCGTACACGGCGTAGAAGGTCTGCCGGTGGACACATGGGTAGACTGGGTCCACGCACTCAAAGTACTGCGCGACTAGCATGTCGGATTGCACCTTTTCGGGCAGCACGCTGATGACTTCGGGCAGGCCACCCTCGCATGTCCAGTAGTTGGCAAAGGGATAGCCGGAGCCGATGCCAAAGACTTTGGACGCCGAGGGCAAGGAGAATGGGACATTTGATAGCAGGCCTGTGGACAAGGCAACGGAGCCAGACGAGACGATCGTACTGGTGAGGACACCTCTGTCAGCAATGTTTGGTAATGGTGGCCTGTCTGCTGTCGCGCCATTGCTGTGCAGGGAGAACGACGACCGCTTCTTGGGCGGTCTCGTCATCCTGCGGCCATTCGTAACTGCGCGTGATGTGCCCCTGAATACATCGTCAGCAGATATCGCACGAAATCAGCAGCGCAGTTGTCTCGGGACGAGAACACGGCTGCACCATGTCACGCGACCGACGTACTCGAGAACATTTGCCACATGCGCATATCGACATTCGGACTGGCGTTTTATACCTAAGAGATGCTGTCAGACTGGGTTCTGCTTGTGAAATGATGGGGGTCCGTGTCTTCTTGGATAAGCTCAGGGAGTCCCAAAACTACTCACATGCGAGACAATGTGGCCGGCCTCTATCGCACTATTTCGAACCAGCCGGGGGACACCAGGTTAGTGTACTTGGCCAACACAAAGAAGGCACACAAGCTGAGTAGCGTGCCAGAAGTGAGACAGCGTTCTGCCGACATGTGCTCACCTTGGTCTTGCGCTCCACGCACTCGAGACACGACAAGGTCGGCTTGTTGCGCTTCTGCTTCTTCCTGTCTGGCTCGCCAGACTCGGACGGGCCCGTGGTACTGGTGTTACCGGCGGCGCCGGCATAGCTCCCGCCGGGGCTCGTCTCCGTGGCCAGGTCCTCATCGCCGTCCTCGGTCGGCTCCAGCTTGGCCACGATGTAGGGCTGGACCGCAGACCGGGCCGAGTCTGGCGTGGCATAGACGACGCTGCCGTCTGCCGGAGACATCCCGGAAGAGGTGACATCCCCGGGACTCCTTACAGCGGTGGCGGCGGCGGCGGCGGCGGTAGCACGAGGGTGGGAGAACGGGAGGCCAGCCGCCGCCGACATGGGCGAGGCTCTGCCCGGGCGCAACACGGCGCCCTCTGTCGGGTCCAAACAATGGGGCGGTCCCCCCGTGCAACCTGGGACAGACAGCCACTGGCGGCTCTGGATCTGGCGATCTCGGGCAAGCACTGCGTGGTGCCCTGCAGGGAAAGTCGGGGCCCGGGGTCTGCGGGTGCAAGGCAGGACGAGCCGGGAATAGCAAGGAGTCGTCGGTGGTGTCACAACCACGGCAGGATGGAGAGGCAGAGAGGAAGCTTGGGGGGCCGCAGGCCGTGACCGTGCCCAGAGCTTGATTGCAGTCTTAGCGCGTGGTGGGTTTTCCGCACGCCGCAACGACATCATCGCCCGCCGCCCCGGGGCCCACTTCCCCGGAGGTGGGGGCCCCTAGCTGGCCCCCAACGAGGCTTGTACGCAACAAGCTCCAGAGGTCTCCCGAGGTCAGACGCCTGTCTGGCCTCGTGCACGCGTTTGCAATCAACCCAAATCGTTCACGCCGATCCGAGATTGTGGCGCAAGAGCACTGTTGATTCGCGATTCTCAGCCACAAAGTCCGCCGCTATCGGCCATCGGCCTAACAGCTGCCTGCTATGCTATGCTATGCTTTGCTATGCTGGGCTGTAGACCGCTTCTAATGCTCGCTTGCATGGAGCTGTTGTTCGTCGCCTCCCTTCTCTCCCCAATACTTGATTCCAACCCTGCCCTTTACCCTTCTGATGGTTTTCACACAATGAAAGGTGGCGCCAGTCCATTTCTGGTTGACGAGACTCGGGATCGCGGGCACAGAGCCATCTGGAATGCTCAGAGAGTGTCGTTGAGGACATCGAGAGGCCGGTCAAACCGTGCCAAGCTGGCCGGAGTGCACTTGACTCCTGCTGGACTGTTGCGCACGTCTTTCCATATCAAGAGAGGCGCCTTTACTCGCACGACATCTTTACTCGCACGAGCTGCCACCAGAGACTGTCAATGGGGGCTGCGACGAGGCTAGATGGCCCCAGGGCGTTTTCGATGGCCATGGAAACCCCACGCTTTCGTGCCGAACCAACGCGCACATATTTCATGGTTTTGGCTGGATATTGATCATCATGGGCTGCTCATCTCACCATGACCACTGTCGTGGCCGCTATCGTGGCTGGTCTCATGTTTCGACTTGTCTGGCTCTGGCATTGGGGCATCTGCGGTAGATCCTTGGTCAGCTTGCGTGCTGTCCAGTTCAAAGAGAGAAATCCCTTGGCGAGGATGTACGCACCGTCGTCCCGCCGCATAATTATGGGCCGGTATACCCTTGGCGTGGCTTCGACGGAATTCTGTTCGCTCCCAACGCCATCACCGGCTTTCCCTTGCGCCAGCTGTTTCGTAGCGCTTTCGCCAGTTGCGGCGAGGCGGGCTCTTATCTTCTTCACTTGCTCGGTACAGTCACCCTCGCGGAGAAATTGGTGTGCTGCTTGCTCACAAGCACTTTGCACAAACTCCAAGCCTTTATCAAGCTGATCATAGATATCCCCGGCGCCTGGCGGTCCTCCCCGTCCGCCCATTATGCCGCGACCTGTGGCCATGCCGGCCCGAGGTACCATCCCAGCGGGGCTGCGAGACATTGCCAGGCGGGTAGTATGGTTCATGTGCCGCGCTGCAAGAAATCGCTGTCTGAGTTCTTCTGGACTCTCATCGTTGCCATCAGTAGGGTCCTTCTTGTCTGACAGCTTCGTGTCTGCTGCGACGATACAATTGCCAGCGACGAGCCCTTTGCCGTCATCATCATCTCCATCTTCGTCTTCGTCGTCAGGAAATTCGAGCTCTGCCATGCGCTTAATCTCTGCCACCTTTGCCGCCATTTTGGCTTTGCGCATGAGATTGCGGGACGCCGACACGAACTTGACGAGCTCTTCGAAAAATGACTGGACCCAGCTGTCGTAGTACACTATGACCATCGTCTTGGAAAGGTACTTCCGAGCCACGTCCTGTGCGCTAAGCATCGACTCTGTCTTTTCTTTTCGGTGCACAACAGCCCGGGCTCGCCGCTTGGCAGTGGCGACGACTTCCTTCGTGTCATTTTGAGTTATTGATCTCACGTGTCGATTGGCTTCAGACCCGGTAACCGTGCTATTGGGCACCGGTGTGTCAGGCTTGTTACCTGGGGCTGGACTCTGAGCTGGGGATTCGACATCGTCGTCGCGGGGCCGGAGCGATTCGGTTGAGCCACGATTCCGCAGAGAGCGGGCCGAGGCTTGACTGCTTGTGCCGGCAAGTCTCGCAAGGTCGACCTGCCGCTTCTCGATTTGATCGTCGAGCTCGTCGAGCCGTTTCAGCCAATTGGGAATATTATCGACGAGAGTGCTCAGAGCATCTGCAGACATTCTGCTGGGCCAGCAGAACGCGCGGGACGACAGGCTGCGTCAGTCCTTATGGGAGTGCAATAATTGGTCGTGGTCCACGGTGTTGCCGATGTGCCTCGAGTTGACGTTACTGTCGAGCGGCAAAGTCGAGATGCCTCTGTGCGTTGGAAAGCGTGGGTTTTTCGTTCGCGGTGGGTCTTTGGTAGTGGGCTCGATTGGAGCTGAGAGTTGTGTACAAATGGAAGACCGTGCATGGAAGCGTGGGAATGGGCAGGGCGTGGTCGGCAGACTGGAATCCGAGCTGGTTGTCTCTGGAGTGGATGATGGCTGGAGAGACAAAAAGTTGAGGACGGCCATGTACATAGCATGTCATGGGGGAGGCTAGATGGCAGTGGATCGAAGCAGGGACCTCGGGCCTAATTATGGCGTCGAGTCTGGAGCGAGCTAGCTCTGGAAGGGCTGGCAGAGGGCGGAAGTGGAGTCCCGATGTCTCGTGGGAAAAACACACCGAAGCACACGGAGCAGGGGTTGGGGGCCCCGCCCTCGCAAGGGTGCCCATCCGACGGTTTCTACTCGCCCAACGATCAGCGGTGCTGGCTCCGGATGGTGGGGAGGAACGAGGAACCCCCCGGGACAGGAGAGGAGGATGGACACGACAGGGCTGTCTGGTGGTGAGGTGGTGGCCAGCCAGGTGAAATGTGAGGGCGAAGCCGGTCTGGTTTGATTGCCTACAGGGGCAGGAAAGGAGATAATCGGCGGCCGGACCAAGTGCCGCGAGAGATGTTGTCGAGAGGTTTGCGTCTCGGCTCAAGTGCTGAGTCTGGCAGCGGGCCGGGGAGTGCTGGGAGACAGAGCAGGGTTCAGACGCTTGCCGGCGGCAACGGTGGGCATGTGCTGGGCATGTCGATCAGAGCGTCATGCCCCCAAGGCGAGAGTTAATTAGCGTACGTTGTGAGGGCACACGACGAACCCGACTATGTACTGTGCTCATGGCCCCTTCCCCCCTGGATCGCTGGGTGTAACACAGCGGCCGCGAGCCTAACGAAGTTCCCTGTTGGGGCGGCATGCCGGCACGCCGCGTGCTCCTTGCGGCACTGCAGCCAGCCAAAGAGGCGGGAGAGAGAGAGAGAGAGAGAGAGCGGGCGCTGTCGTCGGTGACCTGAAGGATGAGAGTCTCGATGACGACGCGGTGCTATTGATGCTGGACAGTGATGGCCTCCCGTCCAGCTAGTGGCGGAAGCAGCCGCCGCGTCTGGAGCCCTGCGCTGTCAAGAGCCGCCAAGCACCAGGCGCGGGCCAAGAAGGCAATGGAAGTAGCGGAGAGGAGGAGCGGAGGCTCTGCCGGCCCGGGCGGGCCCTCCCCCCCCCCAATCCCAACTAGCGAACGTGTTGCAGCAGCTAGCGTGCGCTACTGCCGTTGCATCTCCAAAACACACACGGCAGCCGTTGCAGCAACCTTGGCCTTTGCATGCCGCTGCTGCTCTCCTCCGCCTCTTCAATGGTCGACGCCCGTGGCCATGCATGCATGCCATGGCTGCATAGGCCCATGCGTCCATGCATGACAGCTCACCGCGCAACGTTCGCCGCTGCGGATAAGGAGACCAGAGTCCGTCCCTCTCCGCTGATTCCTTGCTGCTCCTTGCTGAGCCCGCCCGCCCTGGCCTGGCCGCGTATTGCAACGGACGGTCGCCGGACGACAATCCTGTGCCCGGCGCAGCTTTCCTCAAACAGCATGTGCACAACCATCGAGATTGTCATCGGACGGACGGACGCCCCAATTGCGTACTGGTTGCGAGCCACCAACAACTTGTAAAACCTTGCTTCCGACAGTGGGCCCCTTCAGCTCGAGCTTCGTGTCCGGACCACCAAGTGACCAACAGAACCAGCAACCCCCAGCCTCCGAGATTCGACTTGTCTGTGAGGGCCCTGGACCTACGAAGCTCGACATCATGATCCCATCAATGATGCCTCGACGTCGTATCTGAGGTGCCTTGAGCTCACCGTCCTCTCCCCTAGGCGGACACGATAACGCATTTTTAGTACCGCCCGCAATGCTCCTGGGTAGTCAGAGCGGCCAGCCATGAGATGCCACCAGGGCGAGGTGCGCCTGGCCAATTTTGCAGTTGGCACCCACACGGGAGTTTCAAGGCTGGGCGGAGGAGAGGGAGCACGCCAACAATCGGCAGGGATACAAACCTTGCAGATGGCAAGGGATCCCCGCGCACAGGCTCGAGGATGGACGATTGCTGCATGCATCACGATGTCACATGCACTTCAGAGCATTTGACTAAAACATTACTGTAGTCGTCAAAGTCGAGCAGGCCTTGTGGGGTGAACGGCAGGCAGGGTTGGATGAGTCCAAGTGCCAGCCATAACGGCACCGTTTCTGCTTGGCTTCCTATGCTTCGACATTCCCTTATGGCGAGCTCTGGAGCCGCCCCATGTACTCTAACCCGTGGGTCAGACTAGGAGACATCGGCGCGAGATGGCTGACGGCACGATGTTATGTCATGTCATGTCACGCCCATCATGTTTGTGGTGATCCTCGCCAACAATGAGCCCTCGTATGGTAGTCTTAGGCCTTAAGATGGCGCCATGGCGAACGCCTCCTCTTGGCTGCCCGATGGAGACCCTTCCCAAAGTAGAAACGCCACGAATCTTCATGACGATTGTCTTGTTCTGTTGGTGATGAGGCGGCGCTCAATTGCATCCAATTATGGCTACCACTGGTGAAGTACGGGAGAAGAACACGCGGACAGTCATTGCTCTCATGGACGAGGTATCGATGGATGCCACGACCCAGGCATGAATTTGCGAGGTCAGTACCGCAAGTGAGCGCGCAGAGAGACACATCTAAGTACAGAGTGTGTTGGGTCGTGCCCGAGCGTGCTGTCATGCTGCCATCGTACTGCTCATGCTTTGTGTCCCTGCCGCAGCCAAGACTTTGACATATCATTTGTCATCATGGCCATACCTCGACCTTCTCCCATTCGCCTTCAACCTGCCCACCAGGAGACTTTGCCTGCCCGTCACTTCCCAGGAACGAATAGAACCACCGCCTACCCCTCGCGGGGTCGCTCAGATCGCAGCGATCTACAAACTCGGGCACGATGACGACGACGCGAAAGTTCTGCCGCGCCAGGTCATCCTTGACCAGGGAGTCGCCCTTCTGCCCGAGCTTGAGCCTCTCGTCGCCGACGGGCAAGTCGATGGGCTGTCCGCTGGGCGGGTTGCGCCAAGTCCCGCGCATCCCAGGGCTCAGATTTTCAAAGTGCGCGTAGATCTCACGGCGCACGCTCCACGGCTTGGTTGCCTCGCTGTTGCTGTTGCTGTTACTGCTGCTGCCGTCAACCGGGCGCATCCTCTCCAAGATGGTCTTGACCGTCTTCTTGCCTGCCTCGGAAGACGCCCCGTCAGCACCAGATGAAATGTCTCCGTCGTCAGCGTCCTCTGGCGCGAGCACGTATGCCCTCCCGCGCAGCCGCCACTGCACCATGCTGTCCTTGACCCAGAACATGGCCTCGACCGGGGCACCGCCGCCGCTGCCCACAACTTTCTCATCAGCCTTGGCCCCGCCAGCACCAGCAGCACCAGCACCGGCCCGGCCAGGTTCCGCATCCTCGTCGACCTCGACCCCAAAGAGCTCGGGCATCTTGTCCATCCTCACGTCCGTCGTGAACACGGGCAGGTCGCTGGTGAACACTCCCGCGGGGTTCCGCTCGGCCTCGTTCTTCGGGTTGACGGGCATGTCGGCCCACATGCCGCGGAAGACGCACGTCCGGACGCGAGGGGTGACTTCAACTTGCCCGCCGCTGCCTCCTCCGGCTGATGATCTTGATGATGTTGCGCCGCGGCCAGAGCGGACTTTCCGGATAGTAGACAGCGAGAACTCGGGCGACGGCATGGCGTCGACGTGCTCGAGGAACAGGTCCCGCCATGGCGCTGCCGCCCCCGCGGTTGCTGAAGAGGTGGACATGGTTCGTGTCCTGCTGGTGGTGCTGCGTTGTTGTTGTTGTTGGTGGTGGTGCGGCCGTGATAATCGTGTCCTATTACTACTACTCCCGCCGTTTCTGGGGGCCGTGTTGCTGCTGTTGTTGCCACCGGGTGTGCTGTTCCCGGGCGCGATCTGTCCTGCAATTTGCTTCACCCTCAAGGCTGTTGCCGATGAAGTACTTGGTGGTAGTGGTCGCGGCCGGATCAGACAAGACATGTAAGCCCTTCGTCTCACGGCAATAGTCCCACGGCAATAGGCACTGCTTGTATAGCCAGAGGAATCGCGGCGAGCAATCAGGTCTCACCAGATAGTCCGGTGAATTGGTGTAAAATGATGACTCTCCGGAATCACAGCTTAAGAGGTACGAGGGGTGAAGTAAGCGCTAACTGTTGGATCGCGGAGGTCGCGCAGACAACAAGGAAAGCGGACGGCAGGCGGAGACGGGACAATTGTACATCTGCAATGATTCATGATTGCGGGCCGGTCCGGTGGGGAAGGCGGCGGTGGTCTGGATTAACGATGGTGTCACCTGCTGGTACTGGCGGGAGCTGACCAATCAGACCCGTCGACATCATTTACTTATTGCTACCGTTGCTTGTGGTTGCAGGCAGACAAGATGAGCTCGAAATCTAAAGCGAATGTGAAATGAGAGCCAAGCGCATTTCCATGACGGCGGAAAACCAGACATAATCAGGATCTAGCATTGAACTCAGGTCCGGATTCGAACATCGCATGTATAATCAGTCCTGGCCTGCTTCGCGCAACCCCAGCAAATGGTCAAGCAGAGAGAACTGAAGTTGACACCAGTCCCAAGAACATATCAAGTCCAATCAAGGCGTTGTGATATCCAGGTGATTGACAGTCAACCAAAAGCAGGAATATTTTGATTCCGGGGTATCTACGCAAAGCCCACCAAAAAAACGCCAGACCAATCCAGGTCGAGCCAAATCAAGCCAGACCCGACGCAACCAAATCCAGCCCAAATCTCAAAATCAAAATGAAATAACTCCCCTCCAAAATGAAAACATACGCCAGATATGCATACAGATCGTAAAAACACGGTACATAGTACACGCGTACAAAACGTATACAAGCCCCCTTCGAACGTCAAATACATACGTCATCGACGGACGTATCCAAACACATACGAAGTACGTATGGAATGGAATGGTTGACGACATTTACAGGGTTTTTGTCATCACGTCATACGGAAGCTGGCAAGGCTCCCTTAGTGTGCTTGTCTAAGCAACATATTCCTATCTATAGAGCCCCCGTGAAACGCCAAAGAAATCAAACTCGCCGATAGTTTTTTGGTGGCCGTCGTCGACCGAGAAAAGCAGAAAAGTACGCCGTGACCTGGGGGCGAGGTCTATGTATGTAAGTAATAGAAGTGCACACGAAAGTGTGTGCAAATCTGTCGAAAACATCTAGTGGGACATGACAAGAGCCAGCAAAGCCATGCGGCAGTAAAGACCATAACGCATCTAAAAACGGTGTTAGTTTCCGTTGAGACCATGGCAGCAGTTACCAGACTTACCTGTCTAAAGTACGCAGCACGCTGATCGTAATCAACCTCCTCCGCAACCTCATCGTTCCTAGGCAGAGGGTGCAGCACGCACATGCTCTGCTTCGCGTCCTTGAGGGTGGCATTGTCGATCCTGTACGAGTTCTTGACCTTCTCAAACTCCTCGAGAGAGGGGAAGCGCTCCTTCTGCACACGAGTGCAGTAGAGAACATCGCTTCTAGCGACTATTTCGGGTGTGAGCTCTTCCGACTCGCAGAGGAACTGACCGCTGGAGACCAGCAGCTCGCGGACCTCGGCCGGAAGGGCAAGCGCCTTGGGCGAGACGAGCTGAACCTTGACGCCGTAGTGCTGCAGCAGGTAGACCAGCGAGTGGACAGGACGGCCGTAGAGAAGGTCACCAACGAAAGTGATAGTCAGGCCCTGGATGGTTCCAAGCTCCTCACGGATGGTGAACAAGTCCAAGAAGGCCTGAGTGGGGTGCTCCATACTACCGTTACCGCCGTTGATGACGGGAACGGGGCTGAACTTCTGAGCAACCTTGACGCAGGTCTCCTCGGGGTGGCGAAGCACCACAGCATCACCATAGCATGCCAGTGTGCGCAGAGTATCCTGCAGTGTCTCGCCCTTCTGCACAGATGAGGTCGAGGTAGAGATGGCAATCGTGCGCCCACCAAGGCGCTGCATGGCAGCATCGAACGAAGCCGAAGTGCGGGTGGACGGCTCGTAGAACAACGTGCACATGACACGACCACGGAGGGTGTTCAGAACACCCTCACGATCAACACCAAGACGCATCTCCTGAGCGACGGTGAAGAGCAAATGCAGATCCGCTCTTGAGTACTGCTTGACTGACAACACGTGGGCCTGCTTGAAGGAGGAGTGTTGGGCCAGCAGGTCGTTGAGGCGCGAAGTCGAAAGGTGCACAGGTGTAGTCAAGCTCAGCTCCTCCGTGGCGATAGGGCTTCTCAAACTCTGTCGCAGGCCACCAACAAGACCGTCATGAACCTTGGGCCTGGTGCTAAGCTGCTGCTGGCTCATGGACTGGCGACGGTCACGGCCAGAATCCGGAGTGAAGGACAAAGGAGGAATCTGAGCCTTCATGGGCGGTGAGAGAGGAGCAGCAGTGCGCCGGTGAGAGGACATGTCCTGACCCATGGCAGAGATGGGCAGGGCCTTGCCGTCGAGGCAGACAGTCTTGTTCTCGAAAGTGACCCGCTGAACCGCGCCACGCAGGATGCGGCCAGTGAAAGGCGACCAGTGAGCCTTGGGTGCCAGCGCGTATGCGCGGTCAACCTCGACCTCAATGGAAGTGCCAACCTGCTCATGGAGCTCGAAGATCTGCTTCGGGTTGTCGTACAGGCGCAGCTTGATATCATCAATGGTGAGCTTACCCTCTGTGACAGAAGTCAAGAGCAGAGGCAGAGCCTCTGCAACACCTGCCGCAGGATCAATGCTCTGAGCACCAGTCTTGCCCTGCATGGTGCGAGCCAGCTGGTAAGGCAAGCTGCCAACAGAGAAGACATCAATGGTGGCAAGGTGCTCCCAGAGGGCCGCCTGATCCTCGGCAGTTGGCAGCGCCTTGCACTCAGGGTACTGCTCGCGGGTAAGATAGAGAGAGTAGATCGAGACATCGCAGGTGGCAGCCAGACCCTTGAGCTTGCTGAGCGCAATCAACTTGATGTCGTCCTTGCCAGTCACGTTGGTGACGTGGATCTTGCGGTTGTGCAGACTTGCGAGGAGCAAGATGGAGGCAAGGTCGGTGGTGTTGGCATCCGTGACGATGGGCTTGTCAGAAGGCCACGAGTCGAAGTGTGCGATGACAGCAGCAACCTTGCTGATATTGTCAGAGAAGTGGTTGAAGGGAACGAAAAGCGAAGCCACCTCGTGAGCCACCTGGCTGACCTGATCAGCATTGTCCGAAGTAGCAGTGACGGAGTAGTTGAAGTCGCAGAATCCTCCGCGCTTAGTGAGTTGCTGAGCGAGCTTGAGGGTTCGGGCATCGGTGATGGCTCCCTCAGCACCAACGGGCAGGATACGGACCATGCTGAAACCAGAGGCAATGGATGCCTTGGTGACAGTCTGAAGGTCATGGCTGCCCTGGCTGACGATGCCAGGCACGAAAGCTGCGACGTTGATAAGACCGGGCAGCGTAACCGTGCGGTGACTTGTCTGGTAGTCGCGGTTGCTGACCTCCAGATCAAAGTGCCGCGCAATGGCCTCGATGAGGATCTTGGCGTTCTTGACGTTCGTGACAAGGGGCACCTGGTAGTCGACAGCCATGCGGCGAGTCTGGTAACCCTTGCTCATGTAGTTGGCGGGTCTGCGGTATCTGTTGCTCGACGGCAAGTTGATGTACAGGTCAATCATGTTGTTTGCCAAGTGCTGAGACAGGGAGAACTCGGATCTCTGCTCATCCTCTTCCTTGCCGAGGACCTCCAAGAACTGAACTGGGATGTTGTGCTCCTGCAGGAAATCGGCGGTACCGGCCGTTGCAAAGAGTTTGTAACCGAGTCTCTGCAGCTTCTGCACGGAAGGCAGCATCTCCTTCTTGTCCTTGTACGAGCCGATAGACAGGAGAACATTGCTCTTAGGCATCTTGAATCCGGTGGAGATGAGACCCTTGAGATAAGCCTCGTACTTGTCAGCACCAAAGCAGGCGACCTCGCCAGTGGAAGCCATCTCGACACCAAGAACAGGATCAGCGCCTGAAAGACGCGAGAAACTGAACTGGGGAACCTTGACACCGACGCAATCAGGAGGGATTGTGGTGGGTGGGTAGGCTGTGTAGGGTAGATCCATGATGGCCTTGGTGGCAAGCTCAATGAGATCAACACCCATCGTCTTGGAGACGAAGGGGAACGAGCGAGAGGCGCGAACGTTACATTCAATGACCTTGATGTCATTGTCCTTGGCAATGAACTGGATGTTGAAAGGGCCGGTAACGTTCAGCTTGTCACCGATCTTCCGGGTAGCTTCCTCGATGCGCTTGATGGTGGTGGGCTCCAGATCCTGGGGAGGCAGGATGAGGGTAGCATCACCAGAGTGTACACCAGCGTTCTCGACGTGCTCAGAGACGAAGTGGCCGATGACTGTTCCGTCCTTGGCGACGGCGTCCATTTCGATTTCCTTGGCGTTCTCAATGTACTTTGTGATAACGACGGGATGGTCCTGCGAAACCTCGGCGGCCTGGGCCAAGTACGTCTGCAGATCGGCCTCGGAGTAGACAGTGTTCATGGCAGCTCCGGACAGGACGTAGGATGGCCGGACCAGGACGGGATACTCGACCTTGTTGCAGAAGGCCTTGGCTTCCTCGAAGCTGGTCAGCTCCTTCCATGTCGGCTGGTCCACACCAATGTCGTCGAGCATGCGAGAGAACTTGTAACGGTTCTCTGCACGGTCAATCATCTCGGGCGAAGTGCCAAGGATCTTAACTCCGGCACGGTGAAGGGGAAGAGCGATGTTGTTGGGGGTCTGTCCGCTCATGGCTCCCAGGACACCTTGGGAGCCCTCAACCTGATAGATATCCATGACAGTCTCGATCGTAATGTTGTCAAAGTACAGTCGGTCGGCCTCGTCGTAGTCACTAGGAAGTCGTCAGCTTGCGAAAAGAACAATGGCGATCAGGCACACTTACGTTGACAAAGTCTCCGGGTTGTGGTTAAGCATAACCGTCTTGTAGCCAGACTCTCGGAGAGTACGGATGGCCCTGACTGAACACCAGTCGAATTCGACGGAAGAACCAATTCTGTAGACACCAGATCCCAGCACCATGACACCATTGTCCTTGAACTCAATGTCGTGGGCAGAGGCATTGTAGGTTAGGTAGAGGTAGTTGGTGAAAGCCGGGAACTCGGCCGCGACGGTGTCGATCTGCTTGACAAAAGGTGTGATGCCAGCCTCAACGCGCATGCGGCGGACAGCAAGCTCGTTCGAGTCGAGGAACTTGGCGAGCTGGCGATCACTGAAACCAAGGCGCTTGCCTTGGAGGAGGAGGCCAGGCTGCTTGACAATGTCGGCCGTGCTCAGCTGCGACATCTGCTTGCCGAAATCGCTCAAGCCCTTGAGCTTGTTCAGGAACCATTTGTCGATGTTGGTGAGCTCCCAGATCCTGTCGACGCTATAGCCAGCGTGCATGGCATTGGCGATGGCGAAGAGACGCTGGTCAGACGGCGTCTGGAGCTCGTCATCGATGGACATGAGGGCAGGAGTCTCATTGAAGCCCAAGTTGTGGAAGTCGATACCGCGGATGGCCTTCTGGATAGCCTCCTCGAAGCTTCGGCCAATGCTCATGACCTCACCAACACTCTTCATGGAGGAACCGAGCTGGGTAGACACACGAGTGAACTTCTTCAGATCCCAGCGAGGCATCTTAACAACCACGTAATCGAGCGAGGGCTCAAAGCAGGCGCAGGTGACCTTGGTGACGCTGTTCTTGATGTCCTTGAGAGGGATGTTGAGACCCAGCTTAGCAGCGATGAACGCGAGCGGGTAACCAGTAGCCTTCGAGGCAAGTGCGGACGAACGCGACAGTCTGGCGTTGACCTCGATGATACAGTACTCCCTGGAGAACGGGTTGAGAGCATACTGGATGTTGCACTCGCCGACCACTCCGAGATGCCGAATGACATTGACGGCAGTGGTACGAAGCATATTGTAGTCCTCGTCGGACAACGTCTGCGACGGAGCGACAACAATGGAGTCACCGGTGTGGATACCGAGGGGGTCAAAGTTCTCCATGTTGCAAACAGTGATGCAGTTGTCCTGGGCGTCACGGACGACCTCGTACTCAATCTCCTTCCAGCCCTTCATGCTGCGCTCGATGAGCACCTGGGGACTGACAGCGAACGCCTTGTTGCAAAGAGCAAGCAATTCAGCCTCGTTGTTAGCGAAGCCACTGCCCAGGCCACCAAGGGCGTAAGCAGCGCGGACAATGACAGGGAAACCGATGTCCTTGACGACGTGGAGAGCCTCCTCAACGTTGTTGGCGGAGGCAGACTTGGCACACTTCTCGCCGATCGACTCCATGCTGCGAGCAAAGAGCTCGCGATCCTCTGTAGTGATGATGGTCTCGATGGGTGTGCCAAGGACCTTGACACCGAGCTCTTCGAACTCATCCTTGAGCTGGATACCAACCGAGAGCGCAGTCTGGCCACCGAAGGTAATGTAGATGGCATCGGGTCTCTCATACTGGATAACCTTGCGCACAAAATCGGCCGTGACAGGCAGAAAGTAGACCTTGTCAGCAAGACCCTTGGACGTCTGGATGGTGGCAATGTTGGGGTTGATGAGGACGGTGTAGATGCCTTCCTCCTTCAGCGCCTTGATAGCCTGACTGCCAGAATAGTCGAACTCGCCAGCCTGTCCAATACTGAGACCACCACTGCCGAGGACAAGAACCTTGTTGACGTGCACCCGAGGGTGGGCGCGCTCGTTCTCCTCGATGGTGCCACCAGGGAACTTGACGGGGGCGTTTAGGAGCTTGGGATCCCTCGCGCACTCTGAGATTGTCTGAATGAAAACATCAAAGAGGAACTCGGTGTCACGGGGTCCAGGTGTGCTCTCAGGGTGGAATTGCACGCTGAAGTACGGCTTGCTCTTGTGCATGATACCCTCGTTGCTGCCATCGTTGGCGTTGACGAAGAGCTCGGCCCACTCAGATGGCAGGCTCGTAGCATCAACGGCGAAACCGTGGTTCTGAGAAGTGATGTGGCACTTTCCGGTGACCATGCTCGTGCAAGGAATGTTATGGCCGCGGTTACCAAACTTCATCTTGGTAGTCTTCGCGCCAGCGGCCTGGGCCACAAGCTGGTGTCCGAGACAGATACCGAAGACGGGAGTCTTGTTCGCCTCCAGCAGCTTCGCGATATGGGCAACGGGCTCCCGCATGACAGCGGGGTCACCAGGACCGTTGGAGATGAAGAGACCATCGTATTCGGAACCAGCCTGGGCAGAGAAGTCGTAGTCCCAAGGGCAGACCAAGACTTCGATGCCACGGCTGAGAAAGCACCGCAGCTGGTTGTTCTTCATGCCGACATCGAGACACAGGACTCGGAGAGGACGTCCAGAGGGATGCTTGAGCGCGGTTTCAGGCCGGGGCTTGTACAACTGAGGAGCCTTGATCGAAACTGTAGATCACCTGTTAGAGACGTTCTGGAAGATAAGATGGGCAAACTCGACTTACCCTCAGCAACCAAGTTCTTGGTGTTGGGGTTGTGCCATTCAATCTCCTCAAAGTAGGGCTTCCAGTCGCCCTTGATGCCGTTGCTAGCAACTGCGGTGCCGCTGACACCGTTTGCAGCAGGTTGCTTCTGCTGGAGCATGCGTCCCAGCATGCTACCCTCGTCTCGTATCCGCTCAGTGAGGTTTCTGGTGTCGACTCCGTACATGGCAGGCACGCCTTGTTCCTTAAGCCAAGTGCCAAGAGACGAGGTGGCTAAGAAGTGAGAGTAGTCCTCGCCGGCGTATGAGGCAACGACCAGACCAGCAATGTGGATCTGCGAAGCCTCAAAGTGAGCAGGACGGTCGCCCAGAAGCTCGTCCATAGCCTCGCGAGAGGGGACACCGTAGTTGCCGACGAGAGGAAATGTGATGACGAGGATCTGTCCCCGGTACGACGGGTCGGTGATAGACTCTGGGTAGCCGACCATGCCAGTCTGGAAGACGAGCTCACCAGCAACGGTCTTGTTGGCACCGAAGCAGTAGCCCTGGTATGAAGAACCATCTTGCAGGTCGAGGCAGACGAGATGGTCGTCGTCGGATCCCGCGTTCCTTGCGGACGACGGGAGGTAGTGTGTCGCGGGCATATTGAATGAGGGGTAGATGCTACACTACCGCTTCGAACTCAATGACGGGTGACGGAAATGGTGGTTATGAACCAAAGAAGCTGCGTAGAGGTAGTCGCGGTTCGACAGCCTGAATACAGCGCCCAATTGGTTCCGGAGATTTTTGTTGAAGCTTGGTCGAGACAAACCCAACAACGAGTTCTCCAACTCTAGCCAGGGGCAGAGCTAATGGAAAACGGATGGAGAGCCGAGCTGGCGGCGGCAGCAAACAGGATATGGTCCCAGTTGCAATCGAGAGGGAGCGCAGCTAGAACCTATCTTGTGCCAGCGTGAAGAGTGCTGCTTCAAGAAGCTGAGGTCATGTCGAGAGAAGGAGAGGAGGAGAGAGAAGGAGGAAGGGGAGAGGAGGCCATCGACAGCGGCCGCTCCCTAGAAAAACTTTCGAGCCGCCAAATTTTTTTTCGATTGACGCTGTAGCTTGGAGGAGCTCCCCACGCCGCCCCCATGCATGCCGGTGCCCGGACCAGTAACATGGAGGGGCGTAAGGGCCGCGAGTGGGGCGCTGGAGGGGTTCGCAGGGCTGCGGTGGTTGCATGTGAAAGATTATGTGGCGCATCAGCCGTCATCAGCTTGGGCCATGGGTTCCTGGACGTCTCGTAACTCCTTGAGGGACGAGACGACGGAAACAGCTTAAGCAGGACTCACTACTGTTTAGACCCAGTAGTGAAGCCCTGTCGTCTTGTGGCATCGACGTGGGGATGAGTGGTGCGGAAGTCCTCCATCCAGCAGATTATGCTTCTTTGCTCAGAAGCAGAAAAGTGCTAGGCTGAACGATTCAGTTTAGAGTAGTGCTACCACGGCCTGAACACTCTAAAGGTCTCCCGAGATCACAAAAGCCGGCCACGGTGTGCGCCACTTGATCTTGATGCAACTCTAGCACGACTCACCGTCCAGGGCCCAGCCAATGAGCGCCTTTGATGCAAGGCTACTGATCACCGGGCCTGGCCTAGTCAGCCAGGTCCCGTCAGTGACAACTTTTTTCTGTGATGGGGAACGGACTCCAATCTTTGCGCGTCCACGAGTCGTTGTGGGAATTGATCTGCAGCAAGAGAGCTGTCACTGGGCTCTGGCCCTGGCGTTTTTTTCTTCTTCTTCTTCCCTCAATGCTGGCTTGAAGTGGGCGGGGTGCGCGTCTCTACGTCACAGGCTGTATGGATATCCACTATCGATAAGATCATCGAGCGATAAGCTTGTGATCCAGGCGTGCTGATAGGCAACGGACGGTTAGCTGCGGGCTCCTCTTCTCGCTTTTCCTGGCACAGGACTTCCATCCCAGGAGACACGGGTTTTATGGAGGAATAGCGGAGTGAAGAAGAAGTGAGTCGCCGGCGTCGTTGCCCTCCAGGTCAGACGCTCGTGGTTAGTTGAGATCGTATTGTAGGAAGCTTCCAAGCAGGGAATGTAGTTGATTCAATCGCTGCAGAATCCGATGTCTCAGCGCCGTCTGACATGTGGGATGACAATAATCCGTCAGACCTGCCAGCGCCCATGGGACTGATTGTCGGGAGAGTCAGCTTCGCCACGATAGCTGCTCAAGTGCCAAAGTCCAGCCCAGGGACCTGGCCAGGCCTAATGTCAGCAACCAGAAGCTCTCTAGATAGTCAGCCTCTCTCCATGTGACAATTTGGAGTTGTTTCGTGGGGAAGGACGACCGTAGCGTGGGGTTCGGAGATAGTCGATGCAACGCCAGGGGATGCTCGCTGGCCGCGCAGCCAATGAGCACTTGCAGCGGTTGGGGGTTGACCAGGATTCCAGACGCTCCGGATCCCTTGTTGCAGCCATCAGCTCTCATTTGACATGGCGGTGTGCGAAGCCAGGCGGCGATCTCCTCTTCCGAGTCTCAGCATGCCCGTGACAGGCGCGTAGACATGCACGGGGATGCCCGGGAGAAGCTGCTCATGCAGCAAGCAAGATTTCCCCAGAAAGACCCAAGATGTGAATCTCGGATGTGGGCGGCGGCTGCGTGTAGATGCGAAGAGCGCTTCAGCTGGGTGGGGACGCGCGAGGAGGGTGTACATGAGGATGGTCATGTGGCCGTCCAAGATTGTGGACAGGATCCAGTCCATGGTCGTGACGACATGATCGCCCACTGCGGAGCGTCAATGACCTCCGGTGTTCTGATGGCTTTGCGGCAATATTCACGTCGAGGTCGATGCGTCATTTCGTGGGCGTGAAGAAGGGGGGTTGTAGGCACAATTTCCCGCATTGTAGTCATCGAGGACGAACGTCGAGGGTAGGACAAGGGACAGGTCTCCCGAAGGGATGAGATCGCCAACCCGGATCTCACGAGGCTGCTGTACCATCCCGCGAATTCACTGGTTGGCGAGCCTGAAGCTTGTGCATGTGCAGACGCAGCTAGTGATGCTAGTGGCCGCATCCTGGAATGCCATCTGCCGCGGGACCCGCCAAATAGAAACAGACATCCCATCGAAGAGCTGCCATTCGCGACAAGGCGACCTCAAGTCCTATCTGAGCTGCTAGCTCGAAGTCTATTGCTCACATCACAGTCAGTTCAGGTCAGGCCAGGGAATAGTGGTTGGCACGTCGTTGTAAGCAACAACCACACAACAATGCGGCACGGGGGCTGTCTGACTTGAGAGGAGGGGCGCATGTCACATCGGGAGAGCCTCAGCCCGCTCGAGCATCCCCAATTTCCGGAGCACCACTTTGGCGCGTCCACCTCACGCATAGCACGCCGCAGCTCCCAAGCTTCCGGGCGCAGGTTGTTTTCACAGCTCGAGTGGAATGCTGTTTGGCAGACTCGCAGCTGCAATGCCTGGGCTCTGGTACTGACGAGACAATTACGCCTCAGAGACATTGGCCTGTCTGACAGTGGGTACAACTCCCCGCGGTCTCACCTGGAGGCTCGATCACGAGCGGTACACACCGACCCCCAGCACCATCAGGGCTGCTCCCGATCACGATCTGACCCAGGTCCGAAATGCCTGCTCTGCTGTCTCTACCTCACCAGGAGGCCGGGGGCGATAGGATACAGTGAGACACCTCGCCAGAGCCCAATACAAAATGAACGAAGGCCTTCAGTGAACACAAATACACACTTACGGCGCTTCGCCTCTGAACACAACGCGACCGTTCTTGAGGCATTCTCCCCATCATTGAGCCATGCTGCGATGCCACGGATAGTCTCGAGCTGCGAAGTGCGCATACCACCCCACCCATCCATTTCCTCATCCCTGCTGTGGCTAGGATCTCGAGCACTTGCAGCACAGTCGAGGTGGGACTTGTGGAACTCGATGCATGCACGAGCACGCCGTTAGATGCTGCTAGCCTGCCTGCCTCGCCTGCTCTGTCTGTCCACCCCCCTTATCGCCCAGCTGCCAACAACAACAAGAACCACCCGACCCCCGTGCGGCTTCAAGCTGTTTGGTTCCTGCTTCTACTTCCCCTGCACTTCCAGCCCTTGGGTTCACGGCAGTATCGTCGCCGACTGTCACGCCTTCACCGGCTTCCTGCGCAAGGCGCCGGCCAGCGACCACGACAATACATCCCGTGTCAATGTCGTTCAAGTAGAGACTAACACGGCGCGCATCCCGTCGCTTCGCCAAGCGCCACCTCAGCCATGGCGAGCATCACGCCGGCTAGAGAAGTCCTCTCCTCTCTGCTGCAGCCGCATCGGGCCATGCACTCCCAACGTGCCGACCAGAACGTGTTTCGCCTGAATGCAGACACGCCCTCGCCCGGGCCGGCAACCAGAGCACAGTACAACGAACATCGCCACGCCACGGCCGACTTCACCACGGAGGCCGACGACGACGACGACGAGGATGATGAGGATGATGAGGACGCCGAAGCAAACGTAGGACAGGTCAATGAGCAAGATGGACACGACCGGCGAGGACGCAGTGGTGGAATCCCACGACTTCGGCCGGCCTATTTCCACAACAGCCACGAGGGGCGGCGCAGTTCGAGAGACCTGCTGCCGCTCTTCTCAGCTAGTCATCTAGGTACGGTATCCGATGAGCCCGGTGGGCTGCTTCAAAGCGTGCAGGCGTTGTATGCTAATTGTTGTTGTTGTTGTTGTTCACGTATAGATGCGTTACCAGTCTACAGCATTGTGCATGCCATCCGAATCATTGTCCAGACTCGAACCGAGACGACACTCACATGGGACCAGATTCGATCCCCGCAAGTCTCGCAATTTCTCATCAAGCCTATGCAGCAGCAGATCCGCACCCAGCATTTCAACCGGGCGACCTTATATGCGCTCATGGCCAACTCCCTGCAGTTTGCCAAGGAGGCGCAGCTCTACCCAGGTAATGCTGGTGTCAGCGGTACGCGGGCTCAAGTCTGTGAAGTCCTCGCACTTCGACTCTTGAAGGAGTACAGCACGCGGGAGCTCATTGACGCCCTCTCATACGACTTCTACCCGTTGCAGGGCGTTCCTGACTGGCCCGCAACTCCCGGCCAACGCAGTGCAGACAAGGCGCGACCGCCCACAGCTCGGTCTTCGACATTTGAGGTTGCCATCCGAGCTTCAGCCAAGCACTTTCTATCTCATCCCCTTGTTGTACAGCAGCTTGAGGCAATCTGGAATGGTGCCATATGCTTTTATTCTTCTCAGGACAGCTTGCACCGGAAGCCACCGCTCAGTCAGACGAATTCGAGCAGCCAGCAGAGCCGGCCTGTCGATTCGCGGACACCGTTGCTTACCTTCAATGTCCCGAAGGAACAGCGAGAAACTCTCCCCGTCCATGAGGCACCCGTAAGACGGACAGTCTCCCTCTATGATCCTCGGAACGCCTCTCTCTTCAAGCTGTCTAGATTGAGAGTGCCTCGATACCGACAATTCCTCTCCACAGCATCCTTATTCATTCTCATCTGCCTCTTCATTGCCGTTCTGATACAGCGTCCAGCCCAGATCAGCTTGCTGGAGCTGATATTTTGGTTTTGGAGTGCGGGTTTCATGCTCGACGAAGTCGTAGGATTCAACGAGCAGGGCTTCTCGCTATACATCATGAGCTTTTGGAATGTCTTTGACCTAGGGATACTCCTGCTCTTGGTCATATACTACTGCATGCGCGCATACGGCGTTTTCCTCATCGACTCACAAGACTGGAACGACATGGCCTTTGACGTTCTGGCGGCCAACGCTATCCTTCTCTTGCCTCGCATTTTCAGCGTGCTTGACCACTATCCGTACTTTTCACAGCTTTTGATCGCTATGCGGCTCATGGCAGTCGACCTTGCCGCAGTTTTCGTCCTCATCGTCATGAGCTGTTCTGGATTCTTCGTATTCTTTACCTTTTCTCGCAACAACAACAACGCTGCCGATGTCGGATACAGAATCTTTCAGATTCTGATGGGGTTTACACCTGCTGCCTGGGACGCGTAAGTGGCATTGTAACAAGATCGTTTTTGATCCTGCTGACCATACCATAGATGGGACGAGGCTGATGCACTAGGCAAGGCACTGCTCGTCATCTTCTTAATCATCTGTCACTTTGTCATTGTGTAAGGAATTTGCCGTCAGCTCGTCTTGCAGTCTGCAGCGCTAACAGTACATAGGACTGTCTTAATCACCGTCCTTACGAATTCATTCATGAGGATTGCTTCCAATGCGAAAGAAGAGCACCAGTTTCTCTTCGCCATCAACACCATTTCCATGGTCAAGAATGATTCCCTGTTTTCGTACATCGCGCCATCGAACATCCTTGCTTGGATGCTTATGCCTCTGAGATACGTGATGCCAATCCGACAGTTCGTCATGCTGAACCGCAACGTCATCAAGGCTACCCATTTCCCGCTACTGTTCGGGATTTTCTTCTATGAGAGATACTTGCTCGCCTCTACCATCTACGAGCCTACTGATCTCGTCGATAACCACACCAGGCGTGCCAGTAGGTATCGAGCCATGTTTGCCGACCCGATGAACCGTGGTGGGCTCTTTAGCCCGAACATTCGCGCACGCGAGGAATCCGTCGCTGGTATGCAGAAGGACAGGGCTTTGGAAGAGGTTTTCCGCAGACCACCCGACATGACTACATTGCGCAGTCAGAGGAGACAAGAGCGGCGGAAGACTCAGACCGCCATCAGGAACTGGATGGACCAAAATGACGAGATGGGTGATACAATTTCTCACTGGCCGACAATCGACACTCGCCGGAGTATCTCACAACGTCGTCTCAGCTTGACCCGCGACATGCCTCGTGGTGCACGACACTTGTCGGACGTCAGGTCAACTGCAAGCGATCCCGCCGATTTGATATCAAACAGCGGCTTCCCCTTCGGCACGTTCCGTGAGACGCTTGAGCGTCAGAATGCGCAGCAGGAGTCTGACAAAGACCACACTGATGCGGATGGCGATGATGAGCTTGTGACAAATGACGAGGACGAGGACGATCACCCAGACGAAAGTCAGTTTGCTGGCACGAACAACAGGAGCTCGCAAGACTACTTTTCCACGCCGTTGACTGCAAGGCGCACGGCTGTTGCTGCCCCGTCCTCAATGGCCTCCTCATTCAACCCTTCTGGGAAGGAGTCGTCGCCGCAAGCTCTGCAGCAAGCCCGCCGTGCTGGAATGCACAATCGGACGCTTTCAACCAATACAATCTTGTATGCACCACAGGAGTTCGGACGTCGCGGCCCAAGCCCGTCCTCAATCTCGGAGGAGCCGCCGGGTGCGCGGTCGAGACCACGAACTGCGAAGCTCATGACCACGATCGAATCTTCAGGACCAAGCGGCACCAGGTCCCCCCGGAAGACACAATACACGACCACCCCAACACGGCCCAAGCCAATACCTTCCAAATCTGTCCCTAACAGAAGCCATATGCCCCAGCTCGATTCTCGATTGAGGCGGCAAGTATCCTCCAGTGACATGGACATCAACTCTGAGATCGGCCTCGATGCGCACAACGACTTCGGGGCTGTACCGGCCTCCTTCGCAACACAAATGGCCATGGCAACGGGCCAGCTGAAGGGTCTCGGTCGAGGTTCTGCGGACGAGCGTGACAACGCCGACCGCATGAGCCGACTGGTCTTGGCGCGGATGAAGACGCTCGAGGAGGGACTCGCTGATGTGGCCAAGAACATGCGAGTTCTGCGAAGTGTAGTGCCTACTGCACAGAACTCTGGTGACGACGGCAGCCTGGATGGACTGAGCAGCGGAGTCGGAGGACCTGGACGGCAAAGAATCATCATCCCTGCTGCTAGCCATGGGGATAAACGCAAGTCTTGGACACAGCAGAAGCAGTACAGCAAGGGCGAGCGTAGCCGACCCACGACGGCAAAGACATCTGAAAAGTCTGGGAGTCGCGGCAGCACTGACGCGAACAAGTCTCCTGATCTTGAAGGTCGAAGGAAGAAGAGGACGGTCAAGGGCAAAGAGATTGCTCTGCAGTCTTCGTCAGATGACGAAAGTGGCTCAGACCACTTTGTTAGCCCGCGAATGACCTCGCGAAGAGGCTCATCGTTCTGAGCGCGGGCCCGTCAGCTGGGTTTGAAGGTATGGTGTCTGGACAGAAAGAGACCTGGGGACTGCCCCGAGGCGCTTGTGGCTTGGTCTTTCTACGCTGATGGGATTCGTTCTGGTATGCTTTCCTGGCGACCTTGATTTACGGCAGCATGGCATGGCGTGCATTTGATTTGTATCATCTCATGTGAGAACTGGTAGGCGGCAATTGTCCTAATAATGGAATTGAGATCATTGTTGTGGTTGCTGCAGTGCAGATACCGATCAGGGAATATCTATTCGCGTTCTGTACACCTCCGATAGTGACATGCTTCCATACCGTCCTTGCTCCGCCGATATCAGGAACACCTATACCTGGAAAGACTATCGCACTGCATGTCAAGGACACTCGTGCTTCGAAAGAGAGAGAAGAGAAACTTGGTTCTTTCCAGCGAGCACTTACACTGCCTGGTAGGGCTCGCCTTCGATTGCTCGTCGCAGCCTGCGTTATTACGTAATGCACAGCCCCCCTGCTCCGGCCAGCGACGTCAGGCGGAATCAGGGTCTGACGCAAGCCCAAAGAGCCAGAGGGAGGGCCTTGTGATCCCGTCATGCTGCTTGCCCTTTGTCCTCTGCATTCAATACCCCGATTCATTCTGCGTGCGTGCAAACAGGACCACGGACCTTTTACTGGCAAAGCGCGTTTCCCGCTTGCCTTTGTCCAATTACCCAACATTCACCACCGCAGCAAGAGACGCGTTTTCTTTCATCGTGGTCGCCGGAGCTGTTGGGGTCAATGATACAAGTGGCTCACGGGCGTCATTTCCAAGCATCCCCACTTTCGACATCGTGCGCACCAGGGCACCTGATTCACACACGATTGGTTCCGCGGACACACACGCATACACGGACACAGCTTGACCTCCTGCCTGACTGGGTGGGCATCGTTCATTCATAGGCGCCTTGCGATCACCCAAAGACTCACACGCATCAACACCTGCCTAAGGTCCACTGTGCGGTCTTCCCAAGCGACAGAGAGCTAGCCAGCTACCTACATCACCGCTACTCACCAGCTTAAACGGGGGAGGAAGTCCTCGGAGGCAATCTCCTTTCGTACATATCCCCACGCGATAAGCACGCCTGTGCCATTTCATCCAGGTGGAAATCAGTCACCCTGGCGTTCCGAGCACTCCGCGCAGCTGGCCTCGCAATAGGCCTGGGAGTCACCGCGCTCGCAGCCTACCAGCAGCACCAGCAAGAGAACGACAGCAGTAACAGCCAGAACAACCGCCGTGGCGGGAGGGGTAATATGTCCTCACGATTCGGTGGCGGGGGCCACCTAGACGCCACGTCTGGGCGCGAGGTGGTCTTCTGCCATGCCTGCGACCACGAGTGGTACAAGGACGAGCGTGGCGAGTCGCTGACCTGCCCGAGGTGCCACGGGGAGGCGACGGAGATTGTACGTGGATCTTTGTTGAAGAGCTAAGCAAGCATCATTATGTTAGAAACCGGTGGCTAACTTGTCCTTTTGTGTATAGGTCGATCCGCAGAACGATCCCAGGTCCATGAACGACGCTCAACCTGGCCAAGACTCAGATCCCGACGAAGCCGACATAGACGACTACCAGACTGGATTCTATGCCCGGCGCAACGTTTTCCGCGGCCCCGATCGCTTCCCTCCACCACCTTTCGGTCAACGCCCGCAACGAACGAATCCTGGCGATGGTGCGGATATCATCAGGAGCTTTACGGAACTGCTGGGGGATATTGGTGGTCCTGGCGGTGGTGGTACTGGTGGTGGTGGGGGATTTGGACCGCGCCCAGGACAACAAATTGGTGGACCACGCCGCGTCACTTATCAGAGATTCTCGGGGCCAAACTTCACGGGTGGAATAAGCAGCATCACCATTACGGCACCGGGAAGAGGTGGCAACGCACGAGAGCCGGGCTCTTTGGCTGGGGGTGATGCCGAGTTTCAGCGAGTTTTCGGGGACATCTTCCGCGGCCCTCCGTTAGACCACGACGGACATGATGAAGAGCACATGAGAGCAAACGCCGGAGGACAGAACCGACCCCTTGATCTGGCCACCGCCCTGAACCAGCTCTTTGCTAACCTACTCAACCCTCACGGCACCTATGGCGACGGGGTATACACTCAGGAAGCCCTCGACCGCATTATCACGAACCTCATGGAGGCGAACCCCCAATCCAACGCCCCAGCGCCTGCATCCGCAGAAGCGATAGAGTCGCTCACGAGAAAGCCGCTCGACGAGGCGACCCTGGGTCCAGAGCACACAGGCGAGTGCACGATTTGCATAGAGGACATGAAGCTCGGGGATATGGCGACGTTCCTGCCATGCAAGCACTGGTTCCACGAGGAGTGTGTCGTTCTGTGGCTCAAGGAGCACGCGACGTGCCCGATCTGCCGAGCCGCTATTGACGGTGAGGCTGCTGGCCGGCCGCAACAGCAAGCGACATCTTCGTCTGCACAAAGTGCCGCCAGTCCTTCGCACACTCAGCACCCACAGCAGCCATCACAGCCTCAACAGTCATTCGCGCCCTCGGTGCCGCCGGACTGGACGCGGCCGACGTGGTCGCAGACAACAAGCTTTGGTAACGCCAGCGGTTTTGGCGCCAGTGACAACATGTACGGCTCCCCATCCGAGCGTCGTCGGGCTTATCTGCGAGAACATGGATCTGCGCGGTTAGATGCTCTGAGAGATGCGGGCCAACGAGACCGCGAGCAGGAGCGATTGGACCGGCCGTCGGCATCTAGAGCTGCCAGTGGCAGCAGCAATAACAATTATGGAGATAATGGTGACGGCAGTAGTAGCACCGGGGGCGGCGGCGGCGGTCCGCTCAGTTGGCTTCGCGATCAATTCCGAGACAGACGGTCTTAAAAAGAGATATGCGGGCGATTCGTTTGGTTTCAAGGTACCTACTTCTTGGTGCTGTCGTGTGGGGTTTGGCGCTTAGCACAAGTCCTGAGGAGGTCTGCGCGGGCAATAAGAAGGCCTTTTCAAGTATTGAAGTACTCTACAGTAATGCAAGAGCGATGTTTGGCATAGTTTTCGAACAAGGGCTTGCAGAGGCTCTTCATGTCAGTTTCAACCCCGAGGGTGACTTCACATCTGTTTATGACTCGTGGCTCGTCGTGTCTGGGGGCCGTGACAGCCCCTTCCAGCTGTGGGGAGCGAGCGACAAAACCCCTTGCCACATTACGCTGGCTCCCTTGTCACCGGCACCTCCGGGGAATTAGATATTCTGGACGAGGGCTGTGATGCCGTATCTTGTGTTTCCAGAATTCAATTCTTGGAGGGGAAGTGGGAGATGTACGACTGCTCGCATTGGACAAACGATATCGCCGAGGCTGATGCACTTGATTTAGGTAAGTCCTCTTGAGAGTTGAGGTAATGCGTAGTGTCTTATCATCCGTGCCATCGGTCGTATCTCTGTGTAAGACACCTTTTTTCTCGTTGGCTTAGAGAAGGAGGTTTGCGAATTGGAGATAAGACAAAGGCATCGTTATCTGAAGATCTTCAAGCTGGGCAATGTGTCAAACGCGCTCTGTATGTGTATGTGCGTCCAGTTGCAGGCTTCCGGTATCTAAGGTTTCGTGCTACTCATGCCATCCATGATAACACGTTTTGTTGGCAGTTGTTGGGGATCGCGCTTGTTATCACGCCCCCCCCCCCTCGGCTCCACCCAGAATGCCTCGGCCGGATCAGCGACGCTAAGACAGAGGAGGGAGCTCTTAGGGACTCCTGGCCCCTCTCCTCGATACCTCCTTATCAACTGTGGATAAAGAGCACAGCGGATTGGCATCCGCCTCCAGCCGGCGGGCTCGCCTTGGGCTTGGCCATCTCTGTTGCGCGTGGGCTAAGCATGCAGATGACAATCGAAGGTGTGGTTTCCTGTGCTGTCGTCCAACCACTGTCACGGTTCTTCATCTGGAGGTCAACTGGTATGTATGTGTGGTCCGGAGGTAGGATGCCTTGTTGGGGGGAAGGACCCGCCCCCGACCTCTCCCCGCAGTCCCCACTGAGGAGAAGCTGAGCTGAGCAGGCTCTGGGGTTCCACTCACGCAGGGGCTGCCCCAGGCCGCTGGACAGATCCCTCCCCCTTGCCTTGGCCTAGATCGGAAGCTGCTGCTGGTACTGCTGCTGCGATGACTGTGGATCGCCTTGGCCGGGGAGGGGACAGAACAACGTCACCGCCATTACGCACTCGATTGCTAATGGCATTCTTGCGAGCCCGTCCAAGTGTCGTTGTCGTTGCCCGAGAGGCTGCGGCAGCATGCCCGCCCGCCCAGCTGGAAAGACGTGGGAAGGTAGGGAGCAGCTTTCTTGGCGAGCCACCGGAGAGAGCCGAGTCTGGTCCTCGCGAGCTAGAATAGCGATGGGTCGTGGAGGTGTCATACAGGAGTTAGTCGTATGCCAGGCCGGGAACCATCTTCCCTTGGGCGCCACCGCCCTTTCTCGTTGCCCCAATAAGTGTCAACAGCGCCGGCTTGCCTGCATCATTGTGCTCTAGCTCTGGCCCTACCGAGACATTGTTCTCCTTCTTGTTCCCGTGCCTGCAGCTGAACCCTTCCTTTTCCTCCTCCTCCTCCTCCTTACTCGAAAGCAACCTTTATCTCGGGTCTCATCGTGACAGGCAGTCTGGTACTGCATAATACAAAGACCATTCATCATCAACAACTTGCGAACGACTGACGACTCTGAACTCAACTCAACCGACCAGCCAACCATATACCCAGCTTTCACACCCCCACGCCCAAAGTTTCCCAACATCGCAATGCATCACGCGACCACCAACAACAACACCACCGCCCCGCGCCGGCCGGCGCCGACCATGGCCAGCACAGCGAACAGCACCGTCCTCCTGTAAGTAAACCCGACTCCATAAGACAACCCCCCCCCCCCCCCCCCACCACCACCACCACCCTCAGCCATCATTATTAGTAGTCCATGCATGCCAAAGCTCCAAAGCTCCAGAGCTGACTCTAGGGCCTTTGTCCTCACCGCCACGCAGCAGCAGCAAGAACCGCAGACTCGGCCTGGCCGCGGGCCTCGCGACGACTGCCGCCGCCGCCGCCGTCCTCGCAGTCCGGTACAAGCAGGCGGCCATGTCGCGCAACGAGCTCGCCCAGAAGAGCTCGGGTTCCGGCAGCTTCTACGTCAGCGTCGACCGGAGCGGCGGGGGCATTTGAAAATTTATTGAGGACGAGGACGAGGACGAGGAATCCGGGAAATGTGGAATGACTTTGGGGGAGGCGTAAGGAATGAATGCGACACGAGTGTTGGAGGGGGAGAGGGGATTTCAAAGTCTGAAATGATTATGAATCTGTTCTTTTGTTGTTGTGGTGGTGGTGGTGAGTGAAATACCCAGGCTTAATTAAAGACCTATGCACTCTTGCACTATTGAGCAAGCATAAAGTCTGGCTGTCGGTTGTGTGATGGACGTCTGGCGACTTGTCGTAGTAGACCTGTGTCTGGCTGGGTCTAGCTTAGTGAGCCTGTGCAAACACCAGGGACGGGCAGGGAAGTAATGTGAGGCATTGCAAGAGTATGTTATGCGCACATTAGTTGTAAAGGAGAACCAGCTTTCTAGGCTCCTCGGCGTTACAATACATTTTGCCGGCTGGGCGAACACACGTCTTGTTAGCGTAAACTGTCATTGGCTTTCCCTTGTGAGACAAAAGATAGTTCAGCTGGGGTGGGATGCTTGCTTTGGACTTGGACATATGTCGTTGAGAGTATCAATCTGGTTCCTTTGGTCCACCCGGTCTCAAGTGCGATAACTCTAAACAACCTGCACAGTTCCTAGGGACATCTTCGGCCAGGCATCCCTATCTGATGAGGTACACTGACGAGGTGCACGTCGTTATATGTGAAGCTACCGCAAATATGCCATCGGCTGAAGCACATACGCATCGGAGCTACGACTTCGTCAAAGAGCAAAGGATCATCCAGCCCTCAGGCATCCGGGAAAGGTCGCACGCATACGTGGGCCAAAGCACATTCTACTCTTATCTTGTTGTGCAAGTACATGCATGCTTCACTTTCACTTCGCCGAGCTGATTCCGCGTGGTAGGTGCAGAGAAGAGTAAAGATGTTCTTGAAGTCAACGCGCTGACCATTAATCATGAGGGATTGTACAAATGTGGGTTTCCTTCTGGCTCTGCTTGAACCCTTTGGGCGCTCTCCCCAGCCTGCTCCCTTTACGCGCAAGCGATCTGTGCTGCCGCGGTCCCCTTTCCCGTGTATTACTGCAATCCAAACCCGGGGTGTTGTGTCGCTCGAGCCTGGACGGAGCCTTGAATATTTCCGGCTGATCGTACATCGCGGCCTTCTTCTACCTTCTCCTTCCCTTGAACAGAATGCCTCCCACCACACCTGCCGCGATCGCAACGCCACTGATGATAGCCACGCCCATAAGCCCCTCTTTGGCGACCTTATCGTCGATCAAGCGCCGCAGGTCGGCTGCCTGGAGGTTTGCCGGCTCCTTGTCGAGCAGCAAATCATTGTACCGCCTCGCCTCGCCGTAGTTGCCCAGCTTGTAGTTGCCCAGCGCCAGGTAGTACAGGCACTCGCGCCGCCGCTCGGGAGAGACGCGGAAGATCTCGGACAGCAGGCGGACGCCGAGCTGCTGGTCGTGCCTCGAGTTGGACTTTACGAGGCCCCAGGCGTAGTTGAATTTCGTCTGCACGCCGACCATGTCGCCCTCCTTTTCGAACTGGGATCGCAAGACGCCGAGCTCGGCATCTTTGAGCGGCGTCTCCGCATCGACGGCGTCTGTGGGGGTGAGGAGAAGTGGTGTCAGCTTTGGGGGTTTCTATGCCCAGACTGGTCCTGGCAGGGTCGAGGTTGGGCACATACGAGGTAGTGCAGTCATTTTCTGCTCTCTTTGCGGGGCCTGGATTCCTGAGAGTTCTTTCGACGCGGGGTTGGGAGCGTCGTGTTGCAAAATGCCGTACTATGTGCAGCAGAGCTTGTTGTAATCCTTTTCGTCGTAGCTGTTGTCGAGCTGAGTGAGTGGTGGTGGTAGTGGTGGTAGTGGTAATGGTGGTGGTGGTGTGGCGGAAGCTTGTCGACCCCCCAACTGTGGCTCATCAGGTTTATGACGCAGCCGCGGCAAAGAGCAAGCCCAAGTTTGGTCAGGCCTGGTTTGCACCTGATGCCTGGGCGGCGGCGGCGTTTGACCCCAGGGTGGGGCGTTCTAGGTAGCTGGCAAGAGCGACCCTCCAAGGGGGGCGCTGTCCGAAAGGTGGGCCTCTGGGCCTATCAGTCCAGCGCGCCCGGGCCAGTCGTCCTGGTGATGTTTTTTGTTTAGAGGGGTCTCCAAGCTGCCAATCACAGCGACTCACCACGCCCAGAGGTCTCCCCAAACAGCCCATTGCGCGCTCGTTTGACCAAACGTCACATTCACTCACGAATGACGACTTATACACATCACAAGACCAACCCACCAACACACAACGCAGCCATCATCAAGAAATCCGTAGACAACAACAACCACCCAATAGCACAACATCACTACAATCGCGCCCAACTTCTCCATCGCGGGACAGGCCAAACAGTCACAGCGCTCACCGGTTGCACCCGATTTGCTTGCCAAAACACTCTCAGAACGAAGACAGCAGCCAGCTGCAGGATCCACGGCCACGATGCTTCTCGACGAAGACCCGGCTACTTTGATACACCACACCATCAACAACTTCAACACAGCACCAGACAAGCTCGCCATCTCACGCATCCATGACTCCCTATCGACCTTAAGGCAAGCCCGCGAGCTGCGCGCTCGCGAGGCAGAGGCGTCACTAAAGAGTGAGTCTAACCCCAATTACTTTGCGTAGACGAACTCCCCTTCCATGTGGTCACTTGCCGCCACCACAGTCAGACAGCATGACACGAGCAAACACTTGGTCACGCAGAAGTAGCTTAAACTAACGAACCATGGTCCTTTTCGCCGCATCACAGAACTCTCCCGGACGCTCAACACTTTACAAACACAACACGAGGAACTCGCGGCCGCGCACTCTTCCTCGCAACACGCAAGCGAGATCTCGCGGCTCGACACGCAGAAGTTCCGCACCGCGAAAGCCGCATCAGATCTCGAGATGGAAGCCGAGCGCCTGTCCTCACAACAAGCCGATCTCATTGCGCGCCTGCAGGAGCTCGAGATGCAGGGTGTCGAGGGCGCAGTCGGGAGCCGCGAATCAGGCGGCGGCAGCGGCGGCGGCGGTTCGGACCCGCTCGACGACGAGGTCTTGCTCAGGCTCAAGGTGTATCGCAGCCTGGGCATCGATCTCGAGCGTGACGAGACCAATGGAGAGTTCTGCAAGGCCATTGTGCGCAACGACCGCAAGGGCGATGTGCATGTTGTCAATCTCGACAAGAAGTTTTCGCGGTTCTTTTATGCCAATTACTTCTGGAACACTCTGTAGTCGCGTGTCAAAGGGGGTCCTCGATCTGGCAGGGAGTAGTTGGGTTGACAATGATCTGACCAGGAGAGTCACTGGTGCCGGGTTCACACTTGCTGCCTGTTTAAGGGCATGGGCGTCGCACTTGAGTTGGCGTAAGGTCTGACTTGGCGATTGGACGGGCGTTGCCGGCGTTCTAGGATGGGATTGCAGAAAAGATACCTCGTGAATTTTGTTTGTCAATATAATCACTGTTTGGAACATGATCTTACCTGACAATTGCACAGGGGGTTGAATTTAATCTCTTTGTTGCCAGTGTACTCCAGTAGTATCGAAATCGTCGACTTGCCTTTGCTTAGCAGAGAGGACTAAAGACTGGCTAAGTGGCTCGTCCTTGAGGCCTCTACATTTCCCAGGCAAGTTGCCCAGGGATGAACCGCAGAAGCCGCGGCGGAGAGACCAGGACATGCACATGGCCCACATCTCGATTACAACGCGTCTGTCGATCAACAATGTTGCACTACAGTATCGAGACGGCAATCATGCTATGGATGAATCTCTTCAATCGTCGTTTGCGACATTTTGCATCTCATGCATTAGTCCTCTGACATTCCGAGGATCGTGTCAAATTGACAAAGGAGGGTAAAAGTCTTCAGCTATTTATTACAGAAATTTTATACTCCAGAAGAAACAGAAAATTCGAGACCAACGCCTTCTTTCGAAACTTCAGCTCCGTCCGCTAAACGGCGATCCTCCTCGTTGGTCTGTTCTCGTAAGGCGGAAAGTAGCCGTCCTGGTCAAGACGCGTGAGTCCGCGCTGCTTCACCCCAGTCGGCGTCCTTGCACGGAGAAAGGTTGGTGAGGCGGTCATCCTGGCGGCCTCGGGACTCTGTTGGCCAGTGCGAGGCACTGCCTTCATGCCGTAGAGGCCAATGGCGCTACGAGATCCAGGATTGATATCTCCACCGCTCCGCGTTCGGAAATGGTGTTTCCGATCGGGCATTTCCAGCCTCGAGTTCAGGCTGTACCACTGCTGATCGTCCGTTCCGCCTGGGTCTGCGTCCGCGCTCTTCAGCCGCCATCCACCGACTCCCTCGAAATCCCTTTCAAGGGCCGAACCGAGAGAGAGCGGGAGCCCGTCGAAACTGCCAGTCGTGCGGATGCTAGCGGTCGAACTGTCCCTCCGGTTGCGTCGACGGCGCGGGGACAACTGGGTGGGAGATGATGGCGTTGGTGTGGTCGCATGCGGGCTACGTGAAGCTGGCGATGCGGTATTGTCGAAGCTCCGGCCGAGCAGGACGTAGCGCAGGGTGTCGATGGCCAAGTCAAAATAGACGACGAAGAGCCGGAAAAAGAGCACCAAGAATGCCAGGATGGTTGTGAGGCCAGCACATATTGCCAGTGGCACGGCCACAATGAAGACGAAGGGGACAATGAGTAACTTGAATGGCTTGAGCCAGCTCATGTTGAGAGGTCTCTCTTTCCCGTCTCGTGGCTGTTGCTGGTCCAAGGTCGCAAAGGGGATGGAAATAGGGCGGTTGCAGGATTACGAGCAAGGTTGCTGCGGAAGAGTCCAACGCGTGTCCGTTTTGGCGAGATCTGTGAGGTGGGGAAAATCCGGAGAATGTCTCACAAAGCTGCTGCACGAAGGGACTCGACAAATGCGCATTGGGTCTGACCTGGCCTGGACGGGTCGCTCGCGAATGAGAACTCGGTAGCCTGTCTTAATTGTCGCGAGATGGCACTGTAGGAGGAGGCTACGACGAAACGGGCTCGATGTGGTGTGGAGTAGACGACGAGAGAGAGCTACGGTGCTGCCAGCAGCGCAAACAGGAAGGCGATGCCTGGATGAGACGCTTCTCAGCGGATGATGCGGTGCATCGTCGTTATCGGTTGTGTGACCGGGACTAACCGGAGGTTGACGACGCTTGTCACAGCAAAGGAGGGCTGAAGGAGCGGCAGGACAATTGGAGTATGCAAGTGATAGTCGACAAAGAAGGATGGGGACGACGGAGGACAGACCGGTCTGTATATGGCCAGAGATGGAGCAGCAAGGAAGAGAAGGCCGGAGCAGGTTAGATAGAAGGGAGGGTGGTCTGTGGTTATGAGCTTGCGCAGTAGTTCCTCCGTAGGAGTGCGAGTCTGTGGTGGTGTGGTATGGTGTGGTGTGGTGGTGGTGGTGGCTCCCCATCTGTAGATGGCACAGAGACAGACCTTCACATGCAATCAACCGTCTCGGCCGGCCCTGCGCCCACGAAGGTTTGCCGCTCGACGTTTACGGCCAGCCTATTACGCCCTCGCTGCCTGCACCTGCCCGTCAACTCGCATCGTGCGATAAGCATGCTCCTTCTTTGCCGTGCCGTGTGAATCAGACAGGCTAGGCATGGGGTCTCTGCTTCGCGCATTTCCCCGGATCAGCCATTCCCACACCATCGAGGCCGTGCGTCCCCAGGGGGGATGCCTACCCCGCGACGGCCTCCTGGCACAGACAACCCCCATCCCAGCCGCGATCAGCAACGGCAGGCAAGCCACCAGCCTAGTCGCCCATCCCAGTGCCCCAGCCTGTTCTCGGGGGTTTAGGGCAGGTCCCTTTGGGCCAGACTAGTATGCCATGCCACGCCATGCCATGCCAGTCTCGCCTCACGACCGGCGGATTAGACTCTGGGCCAGTTGACGTGGCGCAGGGGTGGTGGAAAGGCAAGGGCCGACGATCACGGCTCACTGCGAGCCTTCGGGCTTGGGCCATGACGGCAGGGCGCATGCCTAGAACGTCAAACAACCCGCTCCTTTGGCTCTCGGTCGACACCTCGCCCTTCTCTGCCAGGGCGTGCGTCCTCGATATCAAAGGGTTGGGGGTAGAGGATGTAGAGTTCTGCGGTTGCGGGCAGGACAGGGGCAGACAGCGTGCACACACACAGTATGTCGCTTACATATGACCAGGATCCCCCAAATTCTCCAACGACGAGGAAAGATCTGCCGCTTGGCCAATGACAGCACCAGGCAACCAACCCCGCTGCGGCTACAATGGCGTCAATCAGCAGAGCGCCTACGACACATCCAACTTTGTCCCAACCATACTCCCAAAGTCAAGCTTGATGCCCGCCGTGCCGCGTTTGTCATCGCCGATACACGACACCAGCCACTAGCCAGGCTGTCTTGCAACCTTGGCACGTTGGTCTAGCGCAGAGACAAGCCTTTGTATCAACTTACCTCCAAGGAGCTGCATCGCTATCATCATACGGAACCACCCGACCGTCGTTGCGGACATTGGGTGCGGATATCGGTCCAGAAGCTTAAGGCAACATAGTTTCGAACTGCCTCGGAGATACCCTGCCGGTAGACAGTGAGCCAGCAACGTCGCCGACGAGGCCCACAAACTCTTGTGCTCGTGTTACCAGGTTCTGGGTCTATACTCACGGATCTGGTTACGGCAATTGACTTTTCTCAATATCACACCGTGATACATTGGACCGCTCCGGAACCTATCCTTTGTACTGTTGTCGCCATGTGTCAGCAGCACTCCCAGAACCGGGACAGAAAGGACAATGCTCAGCATGCTCAAGGAGCACAGGGTGACCACGCTCAGGGGCTAGAGGCCTTTCCGTGGGAGCTTGGAGTGTACGACGCACATTGCCATCCCACCGACACACCAGCCTCAGTGTCAAAGATTTCGAGCATGAAGGCTCGCGTTCTGACCATCATGGCAACTCGCGAACAGGACCAAGACTTGGTGGCTGGGACCTGCGTTGAATACGGTGTCAAAAACCCTGAACTTCTCAAGTCTGGCGAAGGGGGCGAGACGCAGCGAATAGTGCCTGCCTTTGGCTGGCACCCGTGGTTCTCGCATCAAATATATGATGATACGACAGCCGCACCATCTTACGACGGCACACCAGAAGGCAAGCGAGCGCATTACGATGCAGTACTCCAGCCAAAACCGTCCTCAAAAGACCCAGCCTTCAGTGATGGCTTGCCGGAGCCTCGAGCATTGTCAGCGCTCCTGGAGGAGACACGAGCCCGGCTTCGAGAACACCCTTATGCGCTTGTTGGCGAGGTCGGTGTGGACAAGGCGTTTCGAGTACCTGAGAATTGGACTGCCGATCAGGAAGCCAGTCGAAACCAAAATCTGACGCCAGGTAGTCGCGAGGGTCGACTTTTGAGCCCACACAGAGTTTCAATGACTCATCAGACTGCGATCCTGCAAGCCCAGCTGCGTCTTGCCGGAGAACTCGGTCGTGCTGTAAGCTGCCATGGCGTGCAGGCTCACGGAGCATTGTATGAAGCCTTGGCACAGACCTGGAAAGGGCACAAGAAGGAAGTCCTCTCAAGGCGAGAAAAGAATCAGATCGCCATGAACGCTGAGAACTTCAGCAGTAGTGACGAATCCGAGGATGATGATGCAGAGGTTGTCAGCAAGGCGAAGGCACCGGCGAAATCCTCAACGGGACACAAGATCACGCCAATGCCATTTCCGCCGCGCATCTGTCTACACTCCTATAGTGGCTCTGTCGACTTTCTCAAGCAGTACCTGCATCCCTCTGTGCCAGCCAAAATCTTCTGCTCATTCTCCATAGTAATCAACTGGGGCCAGGCCGGAGGTGGTGACAAGGCGGAAGACGTGATCAGGGCCCTTCCCGACAATCGCATCTTGGTTGAAAGCGATCTGGACGCTGCAGGCAAGGATATGGATAGCGACTTGGAGGAGGTTGCACGAAAAATCTGTGAAATCAAAGGGTGGAACCTGCGCCAGGGAGTTGCCCAGCTTGCGCAGAACTGGCACGAGTTTATCTTTGACGATTAGAAGTTGTGGAAACCCGGATGCACTGGGAGTGGTGGGGATGGCGAGAAGCCTGGATACTGGATGGCTGGGCTGGACAAGTATAAAAGGTGGGCTTTGGTGATGGACGGAGACGAGATATACTGTAGGAACTCCGCGACCAAGCTCATAGGTACCTTGAAGGACATGTCAGGTTCTAGTCAATTTGAAATCATGAGAAACCATGCAATGTATTCGCGGCGTCAAGACTATCTTGAGGTAATCAGGCTAAATGGCCGTCCCAACTCGACGCAGGTGAGCACGATTGGGTCTCGGTTTCGGCAACATATCCGCACGCTCTTGCACCGGAGGAGCTAGACTCCAACTTGAGGACAGCTGGGAGCTGAACCACGACAAAGCGACCTGACTGTCGCTTTTGAAGCACAGCTGACGGCCTGTGCCGATCCTCCGCGAGCAGAGTAGACCGTGTTACCGCAGCGCCTGGCGCGCCTGGCACGCTGCTGATTCCCGCCTTCGCGAGCATGTTTGCCGACGATTACAACGACGACGGGGCCCGTGGTCTTGGGGGAGAAGCTGGCGGTGCAGCCCCACCACTGCTGCTGGGGGCGGCCGTTGGCGAGGGCGACTTGAACGCGCCGGGCTGGGCGGCGCCAAGGACGGCGACCCAGGCCCAGCACCAGCAGGCCCAGCAGCAGGCGCAATCGATGTTTCTGCTCCCGCACCAGCAACCGCCGCACAATCTTTTCGCCTTTGACAACCACGCCCACCAGCCGATGATGTACAATCCGCAGCAATTCCCCATGGGGCCCGGCCAGCCTGGTGCCGGCGCCGCATATTCGGCCGGCCCCAACGTCATGCCTGGCGGTGCCGGGCCTGGCGCCATGATGCAGAACCCAGGCGCGCACATGGCCGGCCCCAACGGCCAAAGTATGTCGCTCTCTTCTCCTTGGTACTCCCGACGCGCTCCTCTGCCGGCTCGTCCCTGCGCTGGCCGTCGCGACCAGAGCGTCGGGTCGCTGTGCCGCGTGCTTGCCATGGACGACGTGGCGCCAGTGCCGGCTGTTCCACTCGAGGGCCAAGCACGGGCAGTTCATGGCGACACGAACTTTGGGTCACGTCATACGCGCCGAGAGGACAGAGCATTGCTAATGTCACATGTGTTGCGCCAGTGCCCAACTACCAAGCCGCCTTCAACCAGAACCCGTACGGACCAGGCAACCCCAACATGGCAGGAGGCCAGATGAACATGGCCGCCGGCTATCCCATGGGCGCCGGCATGCCCATGGGTGGCGGCGGTGGTGGTTTCCCCATGCACCCGGGCATGACACCACAGCAACAGCAGCAGATGATGGCGAGGATGCAGCAGCAACAGCAACAGCAACAGCAGAACGTTGGCAACGGCATGTCGACGCCGACACCGCAGAGATACCAGCCGCAGCCTGGCCACGGCACGCCAACACCAAACAGTGGGACGCCATCACAACAGCCTCAGTTCTCACCGCCGCCGAATGGCCAAGGAATGCCCCAGGGGCAGATGCAGAACAACATGCAAATGCATGGACAGCCACAACAACAGCATCAACCACAGCAGCAGCAGCAGCAGCAGCAGCAGCAGCAGCAGCAGTTCGCGCAACAAATGCAACAGCAGCAACTTCAACAGCAGCAGCCGCAACCGCAGCACCCACATATGCAGCAGCAGCAACAACAACAACACCAGCAGCAGCAGCAGCAGCACGCGAGTCAGCCGCAACAACCCACCTCTGCGACGATCCAGACACCACAGACACCGACGTTCCCCACCGGCGGATCGGGGACAGCGACGAACGGCGCCTCTACAGCCACGACTCCCTTGAGCCCAGGCCCGACTTCGAGAGACAAGGAGCGTAACGGTATAATACTCGAGATCAATAACGAGCTGTTGCTGGAGGCATTGCAGATACAACATACCCAGGCGATCCTCAAAAAGGAGAGGCTGGCTGAGGGAGGTGATGGCACAGGCGCGGACAAGAAGATCAAGGAGGAAGAGGACCTGCTTGCACAGGACTATATACAGTAAGTTGGTCAAGTGAGGCCGGCGCGGTGGACCAACGGGGCTTGCCCGTGTGCTGACCCTACCACAACAGATGCATGCGACGGCTTCAAGCCAATTTGGCATACCTCGCGGCGCTCGCCGACAAGAAGAGCCAAGGAGCACCGTCATCAAGCCCGGCGTTCCTCAAAGCGCCGCCACTCAACACCCGCGCCAAGCTCAAGCCGATGCCGACACAGGAGGGATCTGATAATGGCGCCGGCCAGGGGAACAGCACAGTATCGGATCGCGAAGAGACATCTCGCTATCTCCAAGACCTATACAAGAAGTTGCAGGCCCTGTTCCCCGGTGTGGATCCGAATAAAGAACCTGTGATGCCGGGGCCCGGCAGCCGAGCCGGTGCCGGTGTTGGTGGAGGTGCGGCCAAGCAGCCAGGCATCCAGACGCCAAGCCAAGCCAGCCCCGTGCCGGGGAACAAGCAGCCCCCGCCGCCGCAGCAGCAGCAGATGGGGCAACAGATGGGTTTCCCCGGAGCTCCTCAGATGGGGGGCATGGGACCGCTACAATGAGGAATGAGCCGAGAACAAGCTCAAGGCGAGGACTGTGATTGTTTTCGAACTGGCTCGCAAATCTCTGCGAGCTTGACAGGAACTTGTTGATCGATGGCTGCATCGCCCGTGCGGAGCAAGGCGAGGGTGCGACTTAACAGGACATGGTAACGAAGCTGTGAGCGTTCGCCAATCACTTATTATATCCCGTCTCGATTGTCACAAGGTTACTCAGTGGTTTTTTCTTTCTCTCCAGAGTCTTACGCCGGCGTTGGTGGTGGTGGTCCATAGCTATGCCTTTCTTTCTTGGATATACAAAAATAACATCATTACCCTTACAGACACAGACGATGTGTTTGCCAATGCGTTTGGCAAGATAATACCCAAGACGAACGCAGATTACATTGTACCGCCAAAGTGCCGACGACGCGCTCCTGCAAGTACATAGCACGGGTGTCCGCCGGGCAAGGTCTTTGTCCGTCGGGCGAGAGACCTTGCCGGCGAGGCGGTTCTTGGTGGCACGGCACGGACAGGACGTCCGATCGGGTGGTCTAGACCTGCTCAGGGAAGCGGGGTGTGATATTGCGATGCTCGGTGTGTCCAAGGGACCGTTTTACCCCCGCTGGTTAGTAACGGGTTTGGGTGGCGATTGTCGATATTGCCCAGAGCACTCTCCATCAGCACTAATTTGCAGGGCTTCATGCGCGAGTTCAAGACCACTCACTCCCTGCCGACTTCCCTACCTACCTACCTACCTACCCAGGTAGGTAGGTAAACCATCTCCAGCTCGACCAAGAGACCCTGCTGGAGTCCATACGTGTGTGTAATGATACGACGGACGGCTACCCAGACCGTCTCGACGTCCTTGTTAATATCAGGACGAAAAAGAAGGTGAGAGGCATGTGGGCCCGGTTCCTCGACCAGCTCAAGTACGAGCAGCCAACGAGAGGGCGGTGCCTGGCCTCGCCTACATAGAAGGAGAGCGATCGGGGAGGGTTGTGGATCACAATCAGCGCTAGGCCGTTTGCAGCTGGCTGCAGCTTCTGGAAAAGAATGAATGAGCCCGGCGCCGCCGCCGTCTTTCCTGCATGAAACAACCACGGAACCATGAGCCAGCAATCTTTTCCAAGAAATCCTGGAGGGCGCTGAGAGGCGGGTATATTACGGATGAGAAGCACAGCAATTTCAATGACGGGCACATGGCTTTGCTGTGGCGACAGGGACGGGGGGGAAACAGAGGGACACACAATTCAGCCAACGACCGGCTGAGCGCAGACCGCCTCGTAGTTGTTCCATGCTCGGTTTGCCTGCCTGCTCGCCCGGACAGTACGGACGGTGAGGTGCCGGAGGGGGCGGGCATGGATGGTTTATCTCGACTCATGCGAACATGCGGTGGTTCGTGCATGCCTGCATACCAGCGTGCAGGATGCGTCAATGCAGGAACGGTGGTCACGCTGGTTGTTTCCCAGCACAGAGGAACCCACCCTGCCCTCGCCTGCCCCCTGGCCAGCCCAGCCGTCTGATTTGCAACGTGACAGATGGAGCTTGGGATCTGCCAGGCTGGCTTATATTGGCGACGGTAGCATGTTTATTAGTGCGGCCCTCCAAGGCACAGTACCCTCACCCGCCCACTCGCCCACCCACCATCCCATTGATGCGAAGATTGAGCGCGCGCGCGCGAATAGGGACGAGCCAAAATAGCTCTTCCGTCGCGGTCTGGTGGTGTGTGGATGCCACTACAAGGTCCCGCCGCGCCGTGGTTGGCTGGCACCGGGCGGGCCTAATCTCGAGATACCCCTGTCAACGTCATGGGGAAGGGAGGCTAGCCAGGAAAAGAGGCGGGAAAGGGGACCAGGAGAGAGAGTCGATATTATGGCAGAGCGACAGGGTGTGTGTTGACCGCCGTCTTTCTGGTCCACGGCGTCACGGCGAGGCCGTTTACTTGTCCGTTCCTTTTCCGGTTGCAAAAAGTCGTGTGTTTCTCGTTTTTGAGTTGCACGATCACTGCGTAACCTCGGGTAGCTTGAAGTTTGTTGTTGTTGTCGTCCTTCGCCGATGTCGTTTGGCCCTCGATCGACACCCTGACAACCGCAGTTTCACCAGCGCCTCCGTCTGAAGCGCGAGACGCCTCCATCCATCTGTGGCATCTGCCCACTTTCTCGCACCTCCCCGACCCGACGGGGACCCCTGGCAGGAGGGATCATCCACACACATGGTCAAGAGAGACAAGCAGACAGCAGTCAAGCCAAAGTCGACAGCGCCAACCGCGCCCGCTCCTCTCCGCATCCGCACACCACACCACGACCAGTACATCACGTCTCGAAGGCTCCTTCTCTGAGGAACAGCCCTGGTCTCGTCCTCGTCTCCCCACTCCCCGCCAGCTCGAGACTTCCTCAACCTTCCTGGCACGCCCGACCCTCGAGCGTGGTAGACGCGCCTTTGGCTTTCTCCCAGCCACCGTCCCACAGATTTCGCGAGCCCTCCATATCCACCAACTACGACGTTGTCGAGCAGCAATCCGAGGCCTGCCTGCTAGTCGACCGACTACGAGTAAAAGGGGCCACTAGACCAAAAGGCGGTGCTCTCCGAAGCTCAGAGACTCTGCCACGAGGGCAACCCGTTGTTGGCCTCTCGCTGGAATGTCAATCTAGGCCCAGGCATTCCTCCCGCCCCGCCGACAATGGACTCCCAACCCGCTCTTCAGACTCTCGCGGAGCGACCCTCCTCTATGTCGGTGACGGCAGACACTCCCGCCGTCTCACCGACGACATCATCGCCGTCTTCACCAAGTCAGGCGGCGACGACAGTCTCGTCGACAGAAACCCCTGCCATGGACACACCCCTTACCGAGGTGGCTCCGTTCCCAGTCGAGCAGCAAGTCGACAACCAAGAGCCAGAGTCCGCATCGCCAAAAGCATCGTCCCCCGTCGCCGACGTTGCCAACCCCAAGCTCTCGCGCGGTTTCGACAAGGACGGCCACGATTCAATGGTCACCGTACGCCTCTCTGAGCCTCCATCGCTCCACGTCAACACCGACGTCCCGCCAAACATGTTGCCCACACGCAGGAGTATATTCGGACCTGAGTGCACGCCAACCAGCGCCGTTGCGACATCTGCCAGCGAGGCCCAGCTCCAGACACCTGCCTCTGACAACGGAGACGCAGCGGAGATCAAAGAGAGCGTGCCTGTTCCAGAACCAAAGCGCAAGGACGAGGATACTGAAAGCATAGCTGAGTCGCCAAGAGGCACCAGGATCCAGGATACTGAAAGCATAGCCGAGTCCCCAAGAGGCACCAGGATTCAGGATACTGAAAGCATAGCCGAGTCCCCGAGAGGCACCAGGATTCAGAAGACCAGCCTAATTGAAGACGATGAGGACTCGGACCCTGAGGAAGTTAACTGGGACGAGCTCCAAAGAACCGAAGACGAGCAAAGCAAGTCAAAGGACCAAGATGATAACGTATGTTTGCTTTCCATTCGCTCCCTTCTCTCCTTGGGGTTGGCCAAGTAGAGCAGCCGTTACTCGCTCCCAAAAGGAGACCAGAAGTGCTAACATTCTCGCACACCTCACAGTCAACGGCCATGCTCCTTGCACGACTAGAACAAGAAAACAACAAGCTGGCAATCAATCCCAAGAGCGTCAAGGTCAATGTCGTAGAACAACCAGCCACACGCCGCCCGAGACCACCATCGATGGCCCAGCTTAGAGAGATGGCCCATGGTCCGACGCCAATGGCCCTGCGGTACTCGGTTGTGCCGCCTCCACCCATGACGGACCTCGAGTTTTACATGGCACTGGTCAAGGATTACCAACAGACCGCAGCGCGGCTGCCAACCTTACTTTCCAGAAAGATCCGCAGTGGCATCCCCCCGCCCCTGCGTGGCGTCGTTTGGCAAAGTATGGCGCAGGCCGGTGACACGACTCTATTGGAGCATTTCGAGCGTCTCAGCGGCGAATCCAGCCCCTACGAAGGGATCATCGGCAAGGACCTGGGCCGAAGCTTCCCAGGAGTCGACATGTTCAGAGATCCAGATGGCGACGGGCAGCGTATGCTCGGCCGCGTGTTAAAGTGCTTCAGTCTCTATGATCAAAAGATTGGGTACTGCCAAGGCCTCGCTTTCCTGGTCGGGCCGCTCTTGATGCACATGCCGGACAATCAGGCGTTCTGTGTGTTGGTAAGGCTGATGGAGAACTACGACCTACGGTCGTGCTTCCTGCCGGACCTGTCTGGCTTGCAGGTGCGCATCTACCAGTTCCGAGAGCTTCTCCGACAGCACTTTACGGCCGTGTCGAATCACCTCGAGGAACTCCAGGTCGACCCGACCTATGTATCACAGTGGTTCTTGTCCTTCTTCGCTACCACCTGCCCGCTCCCCATGCTGTTCCGCATCTACGACGTCATCTTCGCAGAGGGCGCTTCGGAAACAATCATGCGTGTCGCTCTCTCGCTCATGCAGAAGAACGAGAGTCGAATCCTGGCTTGCACGGAGCTCGAGGATGTCATGCATCTCTTGTTATCGAGGGGTTTGTGGGATTGCTATCACTACAGTGCAGACGAGTTTGTCGAGGACTTTGTTGGACTGTCGAATGTTGTCTCCCGAGAGAGGCTGGCGCAGCTTGAGCTTCAATACCGGGAAGAGAAGGTCGCCACTAGCAATGCTGGACGGACCTCTGCAGTCAGCAACGCCGCTTCGCGGTTCTTGGGTCGCCTCTGGACAACTAGCGTGTCAGTCACCTCTCCGCGCGGCGCGCTGAGCCCAGGCCTCACTGCGCCTTCCCGGCCATTGAGCATGCTACGCAGGTCAACTTCGAAGCAAAGTTTGGCTTCGACATTGAACTCAGTGGAGGCGAGTTCCTCGAGCATTCTCAGCACCACATTTACGGACGCTACAGCAATATCCAGAGATTCCTCTACTGCCGATGCCAACTCGATTCGCGAATCGGCGCCGGTCGCACCAAAATCACAGGGCACGAGCAATACACAAGACAAATCCCTGCACAACCAGATCGAGGATCTTCTGACTGCGCTTAGCGAGCTACAGCGCAACCATGCGCTCCTTGCCACACAATTGCAAAGCCAGCAGGAGGAAAGGGAAGAAGACCAGAAAGCTGTCAGATCATTGCTGGACGGGCTCAAGAGGAATACCAAACGAGACAGCACAGATTCTGGAAACAGCTCCACGGAAGACTCTGACGACAGCTCACCTGTTCAAATGGCGACTGATGAGCTTACCACGCCCGAGCTGCGCCAGCTGGTCGAGAATGTCGAGGAACGGTTTGGAAGCAACAACCCAGGGCATGCGCGCAAGTCCTCCATGGCCCAGACAAAAGCTCAGCTTCGTGAACAGCTCGAAAGGACCAAGGAACACTTGATGATCGAGACCTCGAAAACACGAGAATCGGAGCGACGCGTCAATGAATTGACACAGGAGGCGAGCAATCTACGGGAAGAATTGCGGGAGAGTCACAGCCGTCTAAGAAGTGCTCATCAAGACAGGCAACGACTCGAGAAGCAGTTTCACAGCATGAAAGGCCGCGCCTCGATAGAAGCCCCGACCGCATCATCGGAACAGCCTGGGTGGTTCTCGTCATCAAGCAGACTGGACACGGGAGCGCCGGCAAACGGCAGGCCGGGCGGCCTAAAAGAGCTCAAGCTGGGACGTAGCAAGTCGACGCCAAACACCCAAGCTTACCCGGCTCGGAACTCGTCCATTGTTCGAACTCAGACAGAGCCAATGACATCAACAATTAGCGAACATGAGACGCTCGTCCTTGAGCTGGTGCAGGCCAAGACGGCAGAAGCAGTGGCTCGACAGGAAGCCGAAGAGTACAAGCAGAAACTCGAAACGCTCAGGAAAGCATATGGCCTTGCGGCAGTCGACACGCCGCCGGCCACCAACTCTGGTGGCCTGGGAGTGTTCAGTCGGCTCACTGGAGGAAGCACGGATGGAATGGGCATGACCAGCAATACCCGAACAGTGTCGTCGAGCTCGGCGACCACCCCAGCAACCACCCCTGGCACCGCAGCCACCGGAGGTGGGTTCTGGGGCTGGCGAAGATGAGTGGAGGGAGAGGGCAGAAGTACAAAGTTGGAATAATGAGAGGGAGAGCCAGGCTCGAGTGCCCTCTGCTTACGGATGATGACTATTCACATTTTGCATTGCTCAGCGCCAAGCAACACCTTTTTTGCCTTAATCCTCCCCCATCTTAGAATAAAGCTCAACAGCAAGCACGCACAAGATAGACAAGAGAGCAAACATCTTGCATAGTATTTATTGCCGGCAGTCGGTGCCCGTGGCGGATGAATTCGACTGCACACTGTCTCCAAACCCTGAATCAATCTTCCAAGAACCCGGATTGCCATCGGCCCGTCACGACAGGGAACAACAAAACCTGTGCGTGACGCTCGTGTGCATAGGCTTGGGGACGATCAATTAGTGGAAAGAATTAATGATATTGGGTAAACGACTTTCTCGTTCCTGTTTCTGCCCTCCGCATACACAAATCTCCTCTCCTTGTCTCCTCGCCTCGTTTTCCTCGACGCATTCTTCAGAGGTAGATTTGGTGGACGATTCCTTCCTCGATTGCATCCCCATTCCCCTGTCCGATTTAGTACCTGTAGTCGTTCCCTCGTAAACAGTATGCCGATGTTCCAAGAGCATGAATCCATAACCCAACGCCGAAAAATAGCAGAAGTCCGGACATGCTCGTCATTGCTTTGTGGAGGTCCGTCGAGGGGTCGAGTTGTAGTCTGACCCTGCCACTTGTCAAAAGTGGCCAGAGTCGCGTGTCTGATTAATGGCAAGCCACCGTGAGTCGGTTCATCGCCATACTGCACAGCATGGCGTTACGGTCTGAACCGCCCCCGGCAACGTCGTTGGCTGGCGGGAACCGCTTAAGCGTTGATGAGAGGCTCCTTCTCGCTCAGCGTCGAGGGCTCGGTCTTGGGCGCGGCGGGGAACTCGTTGATTCCGGTCTTTGGAGCCTCGGGGAACTGGGCCGATCCGACTTTCGAGGATTTGGTGGCAGTCTCGGGCGAGGGAGAGCGGCCAGAAATCATCTGCTGGGCCTTGGCAGTGTAGTCGCCCATGTACTGCTTGGTGATTTCGACGCCCTGGCTGGTGTGCTTGCTCGCGACGTTGCGGAGCTGCTCAGTCTGAGAGTTGACGATCTCGGCAGCGTGCTTGACGTGGTGGTCGATAAGCTCCTGGTTGGAGGTGTAGATCAAAGGCACGAAGAAGGTGGCGGTGGTGGCAATCAGAGCCAGACCCCAGTACGGGACGATGTTGACCAGGTAGTACGAGATGAATGCGCCAACGGCGGCCTGGTAGGAGCGAAATCAGTAGCTGCGGGTTTTCCTATAGTGTACGCGAAGACTTACGGCAGCAGAGGCACCAACGTTCTCGGCAAACAGGATGCGCTGAACCTCAATGACGAAGAAGTTGATGAGCTCGTGGACATCGCCAATAACGGCGTCCAAGGTAGACTTCTGAATTGTGTAGTACTGGCGAGGGCGCAGCTGTGTGGCGAGGCCATTGCTCATGACAAGCTTGCCGATAACCTCGGCGGCGACGGTGACACCAAGTGTCATCCAGGTCAGCTTGAAGGCATATCGCAAGATGTCGAGGTATCTGGCGGCAAAGATGAGAGTGACGATGGAGGCGTAGGCAATAGCGGAAGCTCCTGTCATGACGTCAGTGCGCTGAAATGGGATAACGAAACAGCTTATGACGCGGGTCTCTGCAACATACTAGGGTTGTTCCACGAGAGGAGCTCGAAGAAGAAGGAGTGGTAATGCGTCAGAGGCTGGCCAGTGGCAGCAGGCTCGGCGGGCGTCTTCCTGGCGTTGGCGAGGTTTGAGAACTCGGAGGAAGTCTTGGCGGCTTGGTCCTTGGCAGACTGAGCAGCGGGACCTTAAATTTGCGACAAAGCAAGTCAGTTTCGAGAACACGGGCACGTCCTGTTGTCTACGGTGGAAGACCAGGAAGCCAGGGCTGATGGTGCTGGATGTGGTCACGTACCGTTGGCGAGCTTCTGGTAGGCAGCCTGGGCGTCTGTAGGGGAGGTGCTGTTAGCTGGGCTGGTCTAGGCGCACAACGCTGGACCACTGGAACCGGGGCCGGGTGAAGAAGACTAAATGGTGGCTCAGATTGTCAGTTTTTGTCCGACTTGGTTGTGCGAAGCGCGCCTGGCAGAGATGCGGCATTGGAAGCACGTGATTCACTCGGAAACGGGACTGAGCACCTACCTTACTGCCTGTGAGGGTGTCGGTGCCGTTGGCGGCGGGAGCGGTCTCGGCCATTGTGAGGATCTGGTGACGATCTTTTTGGTCTTCGGGAGTGCAGAAGCTGTCGTGCTGTAGAGGGTCAGCTTTGACTGCAAGTTTGTCGCAGGCTGGGAGAGGAGGGGCAGCTTGTGGGAGAGGCGGCCTGGCAGGCACTACAGAGGGAGACGGAGCTCCCTGGCCTGCCGGTGGCGCAAGGCAGGTGGGATTTGCAGGCAGGATGGGGACGAGCGACGTACATTCTGGCGAGAGAGCTGGATTGTGCTTGGAGGAGACGAGCAGAGAGTTGTGGTTGGATTCGCACAGAGAGGACGATGGAAAAGAGGTGGGAGAGCAGCAGGCGGGAGCAGAAAGGAGGGAGCGGGAGGCCGGCTTTTGGGGAGCGGGAGGGCAGGCCATGTTTTGTCGCGTGTGGTCGCTGTCGTCAGAGGGACTGCACGGCGGCCGCGATACCCACCCACCCGCAGAAGGGCAGTAACTAGTCTAGCGGGTAAGGAGCAGCAGGCGCATGCATGCATGCGTGCAGGGAGGGAGGAGCCACTGTGATATCCACTTGTTATCTCTACTCTGCTCCGTACTCCCCGTGGACAGCCCTTTTGGTTCAATCTGGCAAACTGCGCTCGTCTCAATCCCCAACGGCCAGTGCTGCCGCTGGTGTGTGTGTTTCCCGCGGCATCATGCACCGCTGACGTGGATGTTGGCTTGATGAGACATGTATGTACCCAAGGTGGTGTAGACGTACATGCCCCTCAGTGACGGCCGTGGATGGCCTGTGTGACATGGGAGAAGACGACAACAGGCTAGATTTAGCAGCAGAACCAGGGCAGCTAGGCAGCTGGGCAAGGCTGGCTGGCTGGCTGGCTGGCTGGGACTCATCACATCATCATCATGACCTCTGGCCCGCCCCGAGACAAAGCTAAGTTAGGGCATGGATGCTGGGAAAAACAAGGACCCCTCCACCCCCTCGTGCACAACAGACAGCTCCCGACCTGCGACAGAACCATGGCGTCACTGCCTTAGGTAAGCCAGAGCACCAAGCTCCTTTCCTCTTTGGGCCACTACCACCAGCGACCACCTGCACGCTGTCTGGGCCGCGCTGCAACCCGCCAACCTTGTGTGCTTCGTCTCTCAACATGGCTACTTGTCGCGAGATTGCATCGCCCGCCAGCAAGTTGCTTCCTTGACTTGTCCCTGCAAGCTCCCGCCGCAGGGTGGACAAAAGATGCTGGCTGTGGTGGACACTGTTCCAGAATCTTCAGCCCACGGCCAGGGTAATTATGGCCCCTCGAGACTTTGCATGTGATTGTTTCACGAGCTGGCCTCACACGACCCCTGCCCCCCCCCCCCCATGGCCCCTGCCTGCCTCGCTCAAGAGGCGCCCCCCACCTAGAGCCCCTTCTCTTCCCACTTGCACTCACTCAAGGTCTCCAGGCGACATCATCCGGCCCAGTCACCCCGTCCGATCACGATGCACCACTCACTGCCCACCACCTGTCCGCGAGCACGCGATCATCAATCATCATTGCCCGTCCCATCGCTGCCTGCTGACTGATCCTGACGACATCCCGCCTTTGACAGCTCCTCTCTCCGGCCCTCCCGTCAAAACACTCAGCCCTGCCGCGCATCCTCCCGCCCCAGCAGAGATCGTCATCTCGCTGGACCTGTTCTGTCCCCCAAGCTTGGCGTATGCCATGCATGACACACTCTTAAATGACCGCAGGTCCCAGAGCACGCGGCCTAGCTCCTGCACAAGTGGGTAACGCAGCCTTCTGGATCCGTACCCGGATGCACTCGACGCCCACAACAGGGTCCCCATCCTGCAAGCGCTCCATCGAAACCCGATCCCCTGGATTCGGGGCAAGATCTCAAGCATTGTCAATCACTCACGGATTGGGACATTACTCTGTGTGCGCTGCATGGCCTGACAGGACGCATCTGGACTGGGCCAGATGATGCACATCCGGTAGTGGAGAAGGGCGAAAGCCCACGGCACGTGGCCCTGGGATCTAAGCCGACAGGGCCATCACAGCAGGCAAATCGACATGATACGTCGTGCCGCTTCCCTGGAGCCCACTCTGGCTTCATTTATCCTGAATGATTTGTTCCCCTCCCGATACTCGAGAGCGTATAGCCCAGACACGCTCTACGCTGGAAGCCGTAGTCGAAGCACCAATGCCCATTGTTGCTATGGAAGATGATCGCGTGGAGTTTGCAGTGTGCCCAAATCGATGAAGGATATAGCGAATGTTCGAGCATGTAGACGTGATCGGTGCAAATGTCCAGTTAGGAACTATCGTGTCACCTGGCGGTTTCCCTTTCAAAGTCCACCCAGCACTCTCGACGTTTCTCAAGAAGCCCAGGCTAAAGGATTCAGACGGTTCAGAGGTTTCTTTGATAATAGTAATAGTAACCGCAATAATAATAATATTCACAATCTAGAGGCTAATAGGAATAAGCCGTGAGAATTTGAGCTGTTTGTCCCTTCCGCCAAATAATTCGATCTTTAGACCTTGAGAGCCCAAGTCATCTGTCCTCAGTCAGTTACGTCTTCATGCGTTTAATACTATGACACTTCACACATTCGTGTATTACAAGACCTAGGGATCCTCGGCTGTTGAGAGAAAGGACGTATTTCCAACTTTAACGAGCTTCGTGATTCTCAGAGGTTGTGAGCCCGGAACGGCCTAGAGGCATCTCCGACATCCATGACTGACCAGAGTCTGAGTTGCCCAGCCCAGAGGTCGGGCCACGGCGGCGCAGAGGTGCAGAGGTATCTCCGAATCAACCGCCGTCGCACTTTCCGGAGATGCCAAAGAAACGTACCATGGTTTTTCTCTTTCATATAAGAGCAGGGCCGGTCGTACGAGATCTCGGAACATGTCCTGTAGCAGACCATCAGCTCAGCAAGCAGATCAACTCGATACCAAGAACATCTTGTCCAGCTCATCAAAGCCATCCCACCGACCACATCGAAGCCATACAGAATCAGCACCGGAGCTATCGAGACAAGATATAGACACCTGGAAAAATCAACCAAGCTGTTCCTCGGAACCATCATCGCAATCGCCACGCCCAGCAGCAGAAAAGAAAACAAAACGTCCACCAGCAGCAAACAGCCGCCATCACCATGGGTCCCCGGGGCTTCACCCCCTTCGACGTCGGCTCCCACCCTAACCGTTCGTTGAGGGCACCATGCTATCCCGATACCTGGCATGAGCGATCCACGCCTTCTCGGGGTGGTTACGACCCGGACGACGAACACAAGTCGGCCCTGAAGCTCCACAAGGTCACCATGGCAGCCCTGATCATCATCCAACACTGCCTCCTCTGCGCACCCTACTTCAAGACGTGGTGGTGGAACGGTCCGGAAATCACAGCATGGTGGCTCGTCGTCGCCATCACCTCGGGCCTGACACCCGTGCTGTTCATCCAAAAGGGCTACACGGTGACCGGGTCGCAGAAGCTCCGCGCGGCAGTCACCCTGTTCTGCAGCGTGCTCCTGCTCGCGCTGTGCATCGCCCTGACCGTCCTCATCATCACGCGGCCGGGCTACATGATGTGGTTCGTACACAACTTCCCCGAGATCTCAGACTTCCACCGCCGCCTGTACGCCGCGTACGGCGCCGCCTGGGCGTACTTTGTCCTCTGGACCGTCGCCCTGTGTTTCGACCGCGGCATCCTCAAGGACATGTTCCTCAAGCCAAAGTCGGTCAACTATGCGGGCCGCGCCGAGCAGGGCCTCGCGGGCTGGTCGACACCGACAACCCGGCACAGACTTGCATTCAGCTCGTCGTCGACCTCGTCCTCGTCGTCTTCTGGTGGATCAAGAACGTCATTCCGCCGGCCGTTGGTGCCTTCTCGACTGGCACCACCACCTGCGCGCTCCGCCATGAAACGAGGGCCGCCAAGATCCTCGCCATACGCAGGGCTGAAGAAGGTGTCCCGGAAAGCCGCGTCCGATCCGCCAATCCGGTCCAGGTGGTCGTCGCGCGGCTCATCATCGTTCGGAGGAGGACCTCAAAGACCGGGCTCGGCACCTCCAAGTTTCGGCATGTGGTCGGCCGGCAAGGGAAAGGGCAAGGCACCACTTAGACCACCCCCTCGGGCTTTCAGACGGTCACGCGGATCGTCGTCATCGTGAGATTATCGCGAGGTATACCAAGATCAGGGATTACAGAGGGCCAGACGGAATAAAGGTTAAGGGGTATAAAGGGTTAGGGGTATAGAGGGTTGGGGTTTGCAAGCGGATCGATCTCCCTGTTTAATGGGTTGAATTACGGGAGAAGCTCCACGGTTGCAAGGAAACTTGGGGTCATATCGTTGGTACTAGGAAAGCGGGTCTGAGAATTTGGCGTCTGGAGGAGTCTGTCGTTTTTTCGCAATTGATTTTTAGTTTCACCAAAAGTTTATGAATGGCTTCCCATCGGCAGTTGCTGAGACAATTACAAGCCTAGTGTGTTCTATGCTACCCCTCTGTAGCAACTTTGGCCATCTGAGCCCTCTTAAGTCCTTTAAACTCTGAGTATTCCCTGAAACCTCTGAATCAGGGTGCTAGGTATTTAGCGAGACAAGGCTATCACTCTGTGAACAAAGCGCCTCTGATGCGCTTTCTAGCTCGACGCCAACCTCATCGCCCAAATAATCGCTGCGCGCGTCATATTGACCTGATACATGATGACACTATGGACAGTCTGACCCAGATGGAGAGCCGGTATGATTGCTAAAACTTCCAACAGTGTGATGACGACGTCTTGGGCGGGCACGGTCCCAGAGGTCCACAGGGTCAGGATGACAACAACCGTCATTTATTGTTTTGGAACGCGAGTATAATGAAGCTCGGAAACCTGTGCCAATCGGGCAAATCACTGAGAACGACCGGCCCTCAACCTTAAAAGTTAATCGGCAAGTTCATGTGCGAGCCCTCGAGGGCGAGAACCCCCACGAGGTGCGCCCTCACGTGCTATTGGTACACTCTGTAACGACTTGCATGGTGGACTCTTGGCCTAGGGAGATACCCTGGTGTTGTTGGCGCAGCGCATCCTTCATCTCATCATAGTCTGCGGGTCATACCAACACCATCTGGGTTCGCGAGAAAAAAAAGATAGATTTTGTTACAGGTAGACTGCCAGTAGCTCAAAGATACGAATCCGGCATGAATCATGTCTCCATGTAGACCGTCCCAGATGTGCTACACCACCAACAAACACTGTATGGAAGTTCGTGAACATAAACGATACACCTAGACATGGGATCAACCAGACCCAGCCACCAACATTTTCTTCCTACAGTTACAAACCCTAAGCCAGGCCGTGAATCTCCTTCAGAAGCGCTGCAAAGGCCTTGTTGCCCTCAGCCTCCTTTTTCGCATTCACGTCCTCCAACAGATCCTCTATGGGAGGCTGAGCACTAGGTCCTCGACCGGCCGACTTGATGATACGCCAGGCCCGACGAAACTCGTCTCGGATCGACACGATGCCGTTGTGCGTAACGGTACGTGCGACGTTATGCTCTGTCTCAAAGGGATCCTCAATCGCAAACAAGTACCTGTTGCGAACCTCCTTGAACTCGGCGGGCTTGGCAGCCGCGGAAGCGTCCGCCGTTGGGCCTCCTTCCGCTTGAGCTTTCTCGGATTCGAAAGCAGGGTCGTCGCTGGGTGTCTCCTGTGCGGGCTGATCCTCTGAATGTGGAAGAAGACCGGACTGTGGCTGCCGCACAGTCTTTGCGCCTGTCCAACCCTTTTCTTGCTTCGTCAATAGACCTCCCTGGTTGCGAAGACTCAATACGTCTCTACCCCAGTCGAAACCTCGCTTGTTTGCGGTGCTCATCTTGTTACTCTGGGCGAAGTACTCGAAGAAGCCACGAAGAAGCGTGCCAATGCTGTCTTCATTCTGATTCAATCTATTGCTGCTTGCGAGAGCCTGTATGGCTTCCTCATCACGCCAGAAGCGGACGTTGTACCCCTTGCAAGTCGTGAGTCCTTCCAGCGCCTCTGGTGGCAGGTTCGGATCTGGCGGTGCCAGCAATTGCAGATTTGGGCACACAAATGGCTCTACAACGTTGACCAAATAGTGCAGAACCATGAGAACATAGCCGTAACTGCTCAGAGTTCCGCGGTACGATGTATTGATACCACGGACACGGGCCCAGTGCTTGATGAACAGAACCATTGGGCGCACGCGAGAGTCGGTGCGAGAATAGCATCGCAGCAGTAAGGTGTTCTGGAGGGCCAGATGAGCCGAAAAGTTGATATCGCATTGAACACCAATGTCAGACTTGGGAAACTCGAGCTTGTCATTGTACTTGTCTTTTGGCTGATTAGGAGCAAGTTTCGAGGGGTCCGGGAGTAGTTGTATCTTCTCAACGAGTGGTGCAGAATCTCGGGATATGGGTATGACAACAACGGAGCCTGCAGGGCCAACAGGCTGATCAGTAGCAGCATCTACAGCTCCACGGAGCAAGAGATCGATGTATGCTCGCACAATTGGAACATCTCGTGCTGCGTAGAGTTCCTTGTCCAGGGCTTTCTGGTATTCGTCTACGAGTTGTAGGATCTTGTGCTTCAGCGCAACATCGTGCAAGGATCTGTTGTCCGATGAAGACGCAAATTCCCGCACCTGCTCGCGGATGTTGACGTCATAAATACCTGCCACGTATTTGGCGAGCGACAGGACAAGTACGTCTGAGGTTGGACCCTCCGGGCCCGAAAGATCCCTGAGTGCCCTCAAGGTCCTGGCATGGTAAGTCGCGGCCGGCTCATGCTGTTCCTGGGATAGTTGCATGAGCTGCACGGATGGAATCTGCCGCAGGGTTTCTACGGAATGCTGCAACTCTTTGTTGAATGCGAGCGGGTTCTGACTGATTCCAGGTCTGTGGTGTAAGCTTTGCCAAGCCTGGACTACTGCCTTGGATAGAGCCTCCTTCTTATAATTGTCCTCATTGATAGTCTTGTTCTCGTAAAGCATGACGAGGCTTTCTCCCTCGGCCATTTTGAAGACTCCCATGAGAGACCGGCAAGGCGTGCCCTGAGGACCCGCGCTATTGTGATACGAAGGATAGTTCTGAAGTCTTTGTTGCAAAGCCTTCTCGTGTAAGCCCGAGACGAATGCTTCGCAGACTTCGTTGAGAAGGACATAATCCGACGGCGTGAAATCATTAGAGTTGGAATGTGTTAGGTCTCGGGCATTCAGTTGACGAATGAGCTTCTTGGCTTGGCCATAGTAATTGGCCAGGTTCTGGTTTGGTGACTGCTTGAGTGACCACTGCCTAGGTCTGGTCGAAGCTGGTGGTGCTTGAGCTTTCCGAGTTGAAGAAGTAATCTCCTGCTCGCCGGTGAGCAGCTGTGGCACAACTGGTTCCACGGGGGTCTGCGGCTCGAACTCGGAGTCATGCGCTCCGTCCTGGGGCTCATGGACGTCCTCATCCACATCATGATCTTCTTCAACTATGCCATTCTCCCACTTGCGGCGATTTTCCACCAAGGCGCGATAAAGCTGGGCACTGGGACGTTCACAAAGTTTTATGATTGGTACCCGAGTGCGTGAGAGCAAACGGGCCCCGAAACCGGCATCAAGGAGCGCCTTTTCGATGATGCGAGGAATGGGAGACTCCGCGTGCTCCGGGGGGTCGTTGACATAGGCGAGACGATTCCCAAATCCATATCTGCGGCCTTTGTCGCAAAGCCGGACATGAGACTGCCGAAACACTTCAACTCCACGCTTTCAGGTCTAAAATCCACGCGTTGGTTTGTCTCTGCCTCATATTGATGGACCGCTGCTTGGCATATGCTCTGGACATGGAGCCGAAAGTTTTCCTTCTCCGCAATCTCAGCAGGCTCAATTTCTGCGCCAGAGTTGACCTGGTGGCACAGCCAGTCTAAGAGGGCAGCCTGATTTGCAAGCTCCTCCGGCTTAACAAAATACTGTCGACCATTGGCTTGGTAGTGGTGGCCGTGTTGTGAGCCGCGGCCACGTGCAGCGAAACCGTTAGACTGAATAGCGTTCACCCCACGTGGACTTCGTTGATCGGCTGTGTGCTGGCGCTGTCTCCAGTCCTGTGTTTGCACACCATGGAAGCCACGATGTGTCTCGCCATGTTGAAAGCCCGGGGGCCCCTGCTGATGGGCTGCGAGGAACCCGCGTGCGTCCTGTCCACGCCCTTGGGACTGTCCTTGGTGCAAATCTTGGCGATGAGCTGCTTGGTGGGATCTCGGTCCAGGATGAAAGCTCTGACCGGTTGGTCTCGTATCACGAATCGGGGCGGAGGTCTGGCGAACATCGATAGGAATGGTCAGCTGAGCATTCATTTGCCGCCGTTGTGCTTGGTTAGGTCGCTTCTTGGTGCTCCGCTGAGGGCCTTGGGGAGGCTCAGCAGAGGGCCCCAACGCTGCCGCATCCTGGGCAAAACCTGCTTGACCTTGAACAGCTCCTGACGGTCCGTCGGGGCTCGCAGTGTCATTGCTCAGGATGAGGCCCCTGAGGCGGTCCTCCAGCGGGGACGATGAACCGTGGGACTGCATGCTCGCGGATCGATCTTGGTGACCACTAGTCGCGAGAGGGCAACGCTGGCGTTACTCAGGCATTCGTCAGATCTTGCGAGAGCGTGGATGCCACACCAGGAAAGACTCTGGTTTGTGGGCAGGCCGGTGTCGTGGCCGCGCAGAAGACTGTAATGAGGCTAGATCGTGGGTGTTGCAGGAGTGGACATGGCGGAGTTGTAGTGGTCCTGCGCCGAGACTGCAAACGAGGCTTCCATGTGAGGGAGCGGGAACTGGCCTCACGGTGTCACAGTGGCGTGCCTGAGGCAGCCCGTGGGGCGCTGAACTCGCTTTGGCTCGGAGAATTCCTGGAATACCTACGTCAGGTAGGCAATGCTCATGTCCTGAAGACCTGAAGCTGTAGCAAGGTGGAATATCACTCGATTCATTTGTGTTGGCATGCACGAGCTGGAGCTGTGCCTGCAGAGCTGTGGTGGGCTGGTGGGTTGATCAGGGACCAGAGGCTTGAGGAGTACTTAGCCGCAAAGTACTGCGGCTCAACTGGGGCCAGAAGAGCCCATGATTGGCTCGGAAGCTCAGCAATATGACGTTTTGCGGGGATGATCAGTGCGACCGCCGGCGGGAGAACTTTGTCGCAAAGTACCGCCTCTGCCTGTTCTTCCTCTTTGGGAGGCCCACTTGAGTCACCAGCCCAGCAAACGTCAAGGTTGCTTCAGTGCTCGGCCGCATCCCAGCGAGCTCCTGATCCGCCTCTGACTGCTGCTCCATCGTCCTCGCACCACCAGGCGGCTGCGCACGCGTCTCGACAGCAGCAAAGCCAATCCTCTCAGTCAGGAGATCACAATCGTCGCCCGACACGCGCTTGCAATTCGGAGGGCTTAGCTTCGTCCATTTTCGGCGCGCGCTCCAGGGCCCTCGTGACTTCGGCCGTGGCATTGTGCTGCCTCGCGGAAGATTCACGCTCCAAATGCTCGATTGTGCTTCAATGGTTGCATAGGCGTCTGATAGATTCCAACATCTCATCTGTATCTCACAGCATCTCTCAACTTGCACCGGACGCGCCGGAAACACCAGCGGCATGAGCAGCAACATTCCTAATGGCGTGCCAGCGCCAGGGACAGGTGCTCAGAAGCCGACACCACCGCCAGGCGCCAATCCTCTGCGCAAACCTCCCGGTCGCGGTTCAAGCAACCCCCTCGTCAGCCGCAAGCGCGTCATCAAGCGTCCGCCCCCTACCGCGAATGCTCCCGCAGCCTCCAGCGTTACCAACCTCCCGGGCTCCCTACCCAAGCCCATCCCGATCTCGCAGCAGAAACAGCAGAACTTCGACAGCCTCCGCGCCCAGAATGGCGGCTGGTCTTTCCCCAAGCCTGAAGGAGCAAACGACTATCCCTTGCGGATCACGAAGAGAGCGCTCAAGGAAGGGATGCGCTTCCACATCATGCGACTTGTGCCGGCACAGAGATTCACCAAACCCGATGATCCGGGCATCGACCCTACGAATCAGAACGAGTTCACCCGGCCAGTCACTCTCCATCGCCGCGATCCGCGCCAGCCGCCACCGGGACGTGAGCTTAAGGTCGAACACATCCCCGAGCCACCGGTGGTGGACGATGCCGAGGCACAGCGACTGGCCCAGATCAAAGCCGACAGGGAAGCACAGCGCGCCATAGACGATGCGCAGAAGGCCCCAGTCATTAAGGAGGTCCCTGTTAAAAAGAAAGACCCAAAGAAGGAGAAGAAGCCGCATACCCAAGTCGCGTGGCAGCCTCGTACCGAACAACAGCGGAAGGAAGGCGAGATCCGATACGAGGAAGCGCTGCCATGGCATTTGGAAGATGCGGACGCGCGCAATGTGTGGGTTGGGCAGTACGAGGCGCCTCTGTCGTATGCCAAGGTTGCCCTTCTTATAGATGGGCAAGGCTTCCGCATGGTCCCTCTTGAGAAGTGGTATCGGTTCACGTCCAAGAGAGGCGCGATCCAAGCCATGACCGTCGAGGAGGCAGAGAGGGCGATGGCGAAGCAGGCGCCCATGACTCGTTGGGCCATGCGCGATGCTCAGCGAGAGGCCAAGGAGAAAGCCATGGCGGATTCTCGCACGATCATGTATGGGCGTACTGCCGTCAAGCAAGAGAGCGCCTCGTTCAGGAACGCTTCACGGCGCGAGAAGATGGACCACGACGACATCGACATGTCTGGAGATGAGTTCCAAGATGACGACGAGACAGCTGGGTACGAGCCAGACCGCGATGAAGATACCAAGGACTCAAACGACCGTGTGCGTCGCGAGCAGCTTGGTGCGAACCTGTTTGGCGACGCCAACGAGAAGGAGGTTGAGCGAGAGGAGAAGGAAGAGCTCAAGGAGGAGGAGGAGCGTAAGCGGCTGGGCAAGCATCTGAAGAAGGCTCTTCGCAAGCGTGACAAGCAATTTCAGTATGATTCTGATTCGTCTAACGACCGGGACCCGTTCGCAACGTCATCAGTAAGTTCATTCATCTTGAACATCTCTGAACCTCAAGCTGACCTTCCCCTAAGAGCGAATCGGAGTCAGACTCGGAGACGGAGAAGAAGGACGAGGATAAGAAAGGCGACAAGGATAAGGCGGCTGCCGCTTCAGGAACCTCGTCCAAGGGCACAAACACTCCACAAGGGAAGAAGAATGCGGCCGAGGCCGCTAAGAAAGGCAAGTCGCTCAAGCGGCCAGGGTCCCCCATGGTCTCGGATTCGAGTGGCACGGAGTCTACACGCAAGAAGACCAAGACAGGCATCAACTCATCGCGACCGAGCCGTGGTGGCACACCCATGCCCGGCAGCCAACGCGGCCGTGGTGGGGCCGGCTCGGGCAGCGATGGCGAAGGCACTGCAGGTGAGATGTCTGACGGTGCTGGCGGAAAGAAGAAGCGCAAGGGTCTCCTAGCTGGTGACGCGCGACCTACGCCTGGAGGATCAAGAGCAGGCAGTCCAGCCGCGGCTGCAAGCCCTGCTGGTGCTTCTGCAACTCCCCGCGCTGGCTCTCCAGCTGCTCCGGCGAAGTCGTGGACGAATGCGCCGACCTTGGATGAGATCTCGGCTGCCCTACCTGCGCGCCCTCAGGGTGTGACCATCGGCGAGCTTATGAAGGCGTTTGCTGGTCGGATCTCGAAGACGGACGGACAGGACGGTCTCATGCCCAGGAAGGAGTGGCTCCGCCTCGTCAAGCTGAGCTGCGACTTTGGCGAAGACAGGCTCTTGCGACGGAAGGCATAGTTTCCCTGGTCAACGAGCTGGGCTCCAGTTTCGGCTTGGCCAAGACAATCTTCGACCAAAGCACAACGCGAGCGACTCAGAGACATCCGATGGAATATCGATTGAATAGCATGTCATCAAGTACAGCAAGCATTGTCAGGTACATGTTATTGCGATGCTGCTCAATGCCCCAAGCTTCGCGTTGAAGAGAGGCCATGGCATGAACTTGATTTCAACTCATAGCATACGCGGGCTCAGCTCCCCATTCCTTAAACAACTGTTTCTTCGTCCGTTGACAGTGGCTGTGTCCAAGAGTACTCTCTTCAATTCTATGATTAATGCGTGCAGTTGTGCGTAACCCTGCCACAGCAACTCAACTGGAGATGCATGCCATATTTTTCGAAATGACGCTTTTGACATGTATATCCATTTACTCATCCATCTGCCACGAGTATTCGAGCCCCTTATTCCGCTCGCGCCTGTTTATCGCCTTGAACCGCTCCGCCTCGAAGCCGTTGCTCCTGTCTACCCCGTCCCAGCGGTAGCCCGGCCTGATGCCGTATCGGTTGGGCGCCCATGCGCCCTGGTAGACTGGCCGCCCTTTGATCCTTTTCCCACCACCGCCACTCTTGCCGCCGGCAGCCGGCCCAGTCCCGGCCGCCTTGGGCTCAATAAACTGCGCCATGGTGTCTCCCCAGCGCGTCTTCTCTTTGAGCTCGCGATTCATCTCCTCGTCGTCGGCGTGCCGCGCGACGCCCATGAGCTTGGCGTCATCGAGCTTCTCCCGCCTCAGCCGCCTCTCTTCCTCCTGGACCTCTCCCCTGAGCGCCTGCTGCGCGGCGGCCTCCTTGTCCTTGGCGGCGGCCGCCTCGCGCCGCGCCTCGGCGCGCTTCCACTCGACATCGACCCGCCGACCCGTCGCGTCGCGGTACACCGTCTCGGCCTCCTTGTGCGACTTGCGCAGCTTGTCAAACTCGGCGCGCTCCTTGGCCTTGCGCTTCTCGAGCTGGGCCGACACGGAGGCGGCGGACTGCAGGCCCGCATAGGTCCCGTCGGACATCATGACCGCTGGGCTGTCGTCTTCGTCGCCGCCTTCGGCATTACCGCTCCTAGATGTGGCTTCTCTCGCGGCTGAGGCTACTATTGCGTCTGCTTCCGCGTTTGTAGTCGTCGTCGAGTCTTGTGCTGCTGTTGTTGTTGTCGAGGATGTCGTCGACACGCCGCCTCCTCCGCCGAGGGACTTCCACCCACTCTTCTTGGCCTTGCGGAACTCGGCGCTGGTCCCCGCGACTGTCGCCCCTGCGCCGCCTCCCAGCATATCCACGTCGTCGTCGTCATGGCCGCCGGTGTTTCCCCAGCCCGTCGCGTCGTCGTCGGCAATGATTAGGCCGGTGTCTTGCTGAGCGCTGTTCTTGCCGCTGCGCTTGCGTTTCTTGCTCGGTTTCGGGTCTGCAGTGAGGTAGTGTGCCGCGAGATAGCTCGCTGTGTCGGAGGGCATGACTCGGCGTGTGTGTGTTGATGTGGCGTGGGGAGAGAGAGGGCTCTGTCGGGTTTTCCTCCCTTGGAGGTTGCGAGGTGCGACAGTGTCGCAGACAGCAATAGACGAGATGAATTCGATTTGCCCACGACTTTTGAGATGTGCTGCAAGTCTTATAGGAGGATAGTGTCGAATAGGTACCGTCGGATATGCGCAAGAGGGTCGTGGACCTAAAAAATCGTACTGGGCGTTGCGTGCGTGTGTAGGTAGCGTAGCTTCGTTGGGGGACGAATGTTTGAAGTTGGAGTTTGGAGACCCGCGATCCCGTGTGGAGCTTGCGGCTCTGGAAAGGAAGCCTACAAACTTTGGCAAGGCCCCTGCAAAATGGCCAGTGGAGGCGCTACTCCAAACCACACGACGGACCCATAACTCATGAGCTCAATGGTGAAGCTGCAACTCTTCAAAGCGACCAATTCGTATCGACATGTCATTCAAGGGCTGCGAATCCTGGTGTCAACATGTTTTTTTTTTTTTTTTTTTTTGCTTGAACGACATATAGAATGACATGCCATTCTCGAACTAGAAACAACACCAGCCAGACTCAACGGATCATTGTATGTGCCCACCATGATCATGTGGGACGGCAGATTGTTGTTGCGTCCCACGAGATTTGATCTTGTCCAAAGTTTCGGATCCCTCTGCAGTCGGCACTTGAAACTCAAGTTCTTGCACTTCATATGTATACCTACCTAGGTACTTAAGCAGCGTAAGTAGGGGCCTATTACATACATCATCCACGAATAGGGACAGACTGCCACGGAGAAAAGTGGGACTATGACGACCCTCTGGCCCCTCCTTCAACGCCGCTGATCGGATCTGTCAAAGCTGCCCTTCTCCAACTTCACTGTCACTATTCTTTACTTTATTTTGGAGGATCTGCGCCTGCTCTGGCTTTCAAGTTGCCAACGACCCAAAAACCCAGTGTTTACCTCTGTTTCCAAGTACCGCAACTTTTTTTTTTTTTCAAAAGCCTCAAAATAAAACCCACCATGGTCAAGAAAATAACAAAGTCCTCCACCGGAGGAGGAGGCACAAACACCTCGCTGACCTCGCTCTCCACATCGACGACCACGCACGGCGCGATCCCGTCCATCCTGCACGACGCCCTCCCCTTACCGCGCGCCGTCGTCTTCGACCTCGACTACACCCTCTGGCCGTTCTGGGTCGACACGCACGTCTCCCCGCCGCTCAAGCCCAACGCGAACCACTCGGCGGGCGTCGACCGCAACGGCGAGTCGTTTACCTTCTACTCGGACGTCCCCGCGATCCTTCACGCGCTGCAGATCGCGGGCGTCAAGGTCGGCGTGGCGAGCCGGACCAGCAGCCCCGAGCTGGCGCGCGAGATGCTCAAGCTGCTGCACGTCCCCGGGTCCGCGACCGTGCTGGGCGACGGCGGGCTGCAGGATCTCACCGACGGGCTGTTGGCACAGCACGAGACCGCCGCGGCCAGCGCCTCGAGCGACAAGGTCAACAACAGCAACGGCAGCACTGGTGGCGGCAGCAGCAGCAGCGGCGGCGGCGGCACAACACCAGCCCAGATAAATGCCCACCTCAAGCAGAAAGACAAGACCCGCAAGGCGATAGACTTCTTTGACGCCGGCCTCGAGATCTACCCGAGCAGCAAGATCCGGCACTTCGAGGCCCTGCACAAGCGCACCCAGATCCCGCACACAGAGATGCTGTTCTTTGACGACGAGAGCCGGAACAGGGACACCGAGAGCCTGGGAGTTACCATGTGGCTCGTCCGCGACGGGGTCACATGGGCCGAGGTCGTCAAAGGGATACAGGAGTGGCGGCGGCGGAGGGGGATTGGGGAGAGGAAAGAGTAAAGAATGGGCGTGCGGAGAAGTTCGAGTTGTCAGGCGTCAGGGCCTGTTCTATCTGCGTTGCTTTTTATACAGAGGCCTGAAAGTATATAGACTTAAGTGCATATAGAATTTAGTCATAGAAGCCGAGCGAGGGCGACTGAGCGGGCTTTTGCACTTGGCTAACCATAGAATAAATACATCGAGTCTTTGTAAAGTACACTGCATGAACACACCTCGCCTGACCTTGGTCTTATAGCTTGGTTGCTATGTGGAAACGAGGCTGCTTTGTTTATGCAAAATTCTCGACTACAGATGCATCGTGTATTTGAAAGCACTTCCGACTTCTATGCGCAGACCTGGAAACCCCATTGCCGGCACTCTCTATACGAGTGACGACAATGTTTAGATGCTCGTGACCCCGAGTGAGGACTCCGTCTGCTGCTCGAGACGTACTCGAGATCCATAACTCTAATGATGAGCTTATGCAGCAGTAGGCACGGCCGCATCCTCCTTCTTCTCCTTGAGCGCATTGACCTCGTCATCGGTCAGCTTGAGCGCTTCAACCTCATCCACTGGCGCAGTGGTCAGGTGGTCGCCCTTATACACCTCCTCGCCTTTCACCGTGATGGCCATGCCGGCGACCTTGACCGTCCCGGGAGTCTTCTCATCAACCGGAGCAGTGGTGGTGGTTGCGCTTTCAGTGGCTGCGACTGCGGGGGTCGCTGCCACTGGAGCGTCTTCGGCAACAACGGGCGCATCCTCGGTAGCCGTTGTCTGTTCGGTCGTCTCCACGGCAGAGTTCAGCACGGCGACCTTGCAGACGAGCTCACGGCGTGGCTGGCCGTCCTTGTAGCCCACAGCAATACACTGCAGATGCTTGCCGTCCTCGGTCAGTTCCCACCGCTTAGGCCCAACTGGGAAAGCCGTATGCCCGTTTTCCCATTTGCACGTCTTCATGATACCCTCGTCCCAGGCAGGCTCGTCGAAGAACTCCCACGCAAGCTCGCCACCATATACCTTGGGAATGTCTCTCATCTCTATGAACTGCGACAGAACGGGGATAACCTCGGCTGGGGTCAGAATGAAGATCTTGGAAACAGTCACTGGGTCGAACCACTTCTTGATCCAACCCCAGACTGTCGAGAAGAAGTAAGGCGCGCCGATGATGAAAATCCCTGTGCAGAAATCACCATGTTAGTCTTGCAAAACTTTTGCTTGAAACATCCAGGATTCCAGATACGTACGGTCCAATGTCTCTGGGTAGTGTGACGTCGCAAGCTCACTGGCCGCTTGCATGTGCTGTCGTAGATTCCAGAACATCTTCAGGCTGACATTGGAGATGTCGACGACGTTCGTGCTGAGAGTGATTGGTGTCGGTGCGTGCTCGCGATCCGGGCACTGCGTGCACAGCGGCTGGACGAAGCTCGTCAGGTCCTCATAGAGAGCAACCAAGCGCAACAACTTGGCTGGTGTCTTGCCGTCAGTCTCGGCCATGCTGTATGTCGACTGTGTGTCTTTCTCGTAGGCCGCAACAGCCTTGGAGTCGAGGTGCGATATCCGGTAAACATAGACAGGCATGCCACTGATCATGGTCGTTAGTGCGCACGCTCCCGCCTAGCAATGATCTCAAGTTATCAGCAGGAGGAAACATACCGTTTGTCCCGACGTCCTGTGTATCTAGGGTACTGATAGCGGGAAGTTGTCAGCATTTTTTGTCAAGCATTTCGGCTGCCATAACCAAGGCATTCTTATGACAACGTGCCCGCTCCCAATCCAGCCGCACATCATGCCCAGGGTCGCCGTACCAATGTCTTTGATTTCTCGTACGCATCCACATCCATGGTGTCGTACAGGACGTCTATCTGGTTCGCCTTCCGGAAGGACTCGTTCTCGCTGAACTGCGTGTAGGCATCTTGGGGGACCCACCGCCGGGCGCGCAGGAAACGGCTGCAGGAAGATCCGGCGGGTTAGCGACACTGCGACTATTGTAACGTGTGGCCAAAACCACGATCGGGGCAGGCACTGGCGGCTGTGCGCCTGTGCGCCTGAGCAGGTGTTTGCACGTACAGCAGCTTGGGGTCGTCGTGGTTGGGGGGGGGCCGGGGGTGTATTCGCCCTTCTCCTCGAGGAGGATCTTGAAGTCCTCAAGAGCCTTTGCCTCGTGCTCCTCGAGGTGGCCAAAGTGGCCATAAGGGTAACCGACGCCGGGAGCACCGGCGGCGGGCAGCCGTCCATTGTGAACAGAACCCATGACGACACGAAGAAGGGAGCCGACGGTAGGCGCACAGGGTACTCGGGCGAGAATGGCTGGGTGTCCAAGGCAAGCTGGGTGAAGTCGAGCAGGGCAAACGAACGGGAGGTTCGAGGAGGAACAAAAGAGTCGCGGGAAACAAAGCCGGCCGCGGAAAGCTATCTCGGCTAACCCCGTTGTCCGGAGGAAGGTGAGAGCTTACTTGAGCGAGCAGGGGCCGTCACCTGGCTGGCGTCAAGCTAGTTGACGATGGCGACTCCAGCGGCTTCGGTCAGGGCGGCTGGCTGGGGCTTTAGCACGCAGCGCTGCAGCCCTGGTGGGGAATGGTCCAGAGTGGCGCGCCCCGCCCAGCCCGACAGCTCCTCGCACTGCAGGGCTCAACAGGGTCAATTACCCGCTGTGCCGTCCAGTCGGCGACCATCACAGCACCCCGGCCTTGTCACCGCGTCTCTGCAAATTGATCAGACGAGCCAGGGGTCCGTTTGACAGCTCGTGAGTTCCAGTGAATTAGAGCCTTGTTTGCCTGGAGGGGCAAGCCGCAGTCTGCTGCTCTGGGCGTGAGATGTGCCAGCTTCATTTTCCCGACTTCCCATCGGCGGTGCCAAGTCCTCGTTGCATCACGACTCTGGCCTGCCCAGAAGGCCAAGACAGCCACCGGGCCGCTATCTCCAAAGCCTGGGCTTCCAACCGTCGCCCAGCTTGCACCCCGGCGTAGACTTGCAGCCGGCCATGCGAGTCAGATAGTCAACCCCAGATCCGTCCCCCCACGGCCACCTAGCCCGCCTCTATGCGTTCCCGTGCACCTGTTGCAACCTCATTGGTATGGAACTCGTGATATTCATCCTTGGTGTGTGGCACTGAATCGCGATGGATCTAGATTTCCATGACGTGCATTAGTGCAGGCGCACGTTTTGGGCAAGGTTCGCCTGCTTCTCTTTATCCTCCAACAGCAGCCCAGAATCCGTGCCTATTTGGTACATTATCCGAGGCCAATCGTTCTTCTCGCTAATCCTCACCCTGATCTAATAACGCAAATGGATTGCTCGAGCCAGAGCTTGGTAGCCTTCGGCCCGTGCGACCTACACTGGACGATGATTTCTTTCTCTTCTTGCTTTTATTCACCGACGACTTCGTTGGATCTTCGAGTGTCACCCCCAATTTCGTCGCAATGCTCGATAATCCAGACGAGTCGAGATGTCTCAGTAGTGTCTGGATCGTGCCAAGTGTAGGCCATTGCTCTATGCTGGGAAATCCCGTGAGCCATTTCCTCAGGTTTTGAACGCCCTGCGCCTCTTGATTCGGAGACAGTGATCTGGAGACGCTCAAGGCTTGCTGTAACATTCGCAAAGAATACAGTGTCGCGTTGACCTGGGCTGTGAAGTGAATGAGATCCCACGGATATCTCTCTGGCGTGCTCTTTGATCGCAACGCTCGATGAAGCAGCAAGGGACTGACCGGACTCCCGCCTTCGCTGGCCTGCCACTGGAGCTCCGTCCAGACTGCAAACGAAAACCATAACCCCTCTTTCAAAATTGGCATCTGGGTCAGAGAGTCAAGTGCTGAGCATAACCCTTTACAGCGTTCCGCAGTTTGCGGTCGGTCGAAGACCTCGACCTCACGACCAGCCTGCCTCCTGCCAGCACTCAAGAGGCGGTATTCAATGACAGGCTGACCACGACACGGCGCAGAACCTTCTACGAGGCTATATGCCAGTGCTCGGATATTTGTACTCATCGACCAGGAACTTTTTTTGCAGGGGTCCTCCATCATGATGGGAAGGAACATCGACAGTCTGTCATAACCACGGGTCGTACCAGAGGTAGGTATTATCCGAGGTGCTTGCGCAAGTTGGCATTGGATGACAAGCTCAGACATGCGTGGATCTAGAGTGTTGATGGCCCCAAGGACAGGATGGTCTGGTGGCACAAGCGTCCGCACCGTGTGCTCTTCCTTGAAAATGGCAAACTTGGGAGATTCCGCGGAGTTGGCGATGTCCTTCTTCGCAAACTTGATGGCGATGTCAAGTGGAGCCTTCCGAAGGTCCATCTCGAAAGCGATTCGTGTAAGTCCACCTATGTCTTCTATGCACAGCTTTTGGTTGAGCTCCTGATAGTTGAATCTTAGCGCCTGCAACTTTGATTCTCCGTCACGACGAGTTTCTGCAAGGTCGGAGAAAAAGCACACATATCCATCCGTGCCAAGGTCTTGCACCAAAAGATCTGAGTCTCCTGTGAGAACCGTTCCGCCGTTTCGAGTAATGTCCGCAATGCAGAAGTCATCAGCCTCTCCAGGCACAAGCTGCACCAGGTTTCCCCAGTGGGCATGTTGTCTTAACATGTGGATGACACTTGGGACGAGAAAGGCGGGATGTGGCAGCTGCTGATTCGAGTAGTGCCCCTTGGCTCCCGTGAGGGCAATGTCAGGGACGACATCCCCAAAGGTATCTTCTGATGGAACCAGGACTCCTAGACTCTGCTGCGAAGCAAATTTCTTGAGCTTCTCGGACTGGCTTATCAGCCTCTGTATTCGTACATCCCACTTGCTTGATGGCAGATATCCGTCGAAATATATCTTCCTCCTGAGTTTGTGTGAGCTTCTGTAGTGAGGTGCTGATAAGGGATATCTTGCCCCAAAACTTACACTGTCACATCGTGGGCCTTGAGCTTGTCAAGCCAACCAATGGTGAGTTGTCCCAACAGCGCGTACGAGGGCTGACAAAATGAGGTCTGATCTCGTGGGCTGAGGACAAGGCAACCACTCAAGATCTTGTACACAAGGGCTGGGCCATCAATGACCACAGAGGAGTGATCAAGTACATCTGGAGTGCCGTAAGGCCGGATGGCCTCTGTCAATCCCCTGATTCCCATGCTGTGTCGTGATCTGCTAAAGAACAAGCAATTTTTCCGTCTGCGATGGCTGCGATGGTTGGCATTTCCATCTGGCCGTAATTAGATCGACGCAGTGGGCCCAGATACAAAGTTTGACCACGAAGTGTCCATATTTTCAGGCTTTGAAAAGGATGTGCTGAGTTTGGTAGGCCACCTCTTGTAAGTGTTCTTGTCCTGGCTGTGAAGTGATGTTTGTGCCGTGTCTTGTGAATTTGGGACAGCCGCAGAGTCTTATGGTGTCCGAATTGTGGTCGCAAGGACCTGGCCCAATTGCCTTGACTAGAGCGTCCGATAGCGGCATAGCAGGCCGTGTTCACATGCCGCTTCGCAGGCTCTCTTGACTCGGTCATTCTAGAGCGATAAAAGATGCACCACAAACTGAGATATAGGTAGACGCGTTGGGTACAGGGTTGCCAACGGTTTGTTACAATGCTGGAGGCGACAGAGAGGCTTGGATCGAGAGGCCGGAGAGTCTTGGAAACGTGGATTTTCACTGTCTACATCATGAAGTCAAGTTGCCGTGATGATTTGCTCTGAATGTCGTCGTGGCGGGAACGTACACGGGAGAGTGCTTGCTGAGTCGGACGATAACGGGAGACGCCTGGTGCGGTTCCGGGGGCTGCTGCTGCTGGGGGGGAGCCTCGTGGGGTTGGAGCTGCCTCGTCCCTGACAACGACCCACCTGGACCTGAAAACTTCACCCTTGCTGTTTCCTGAGCACCCACCGCCCTGACAGCTTCTTTTTCTTCCCAGCCTTCGCACTCGCGTCCTCGCTCCCAACTTCTTTCTCCAATTGCCCTTCGCCGCGTTTGCCTCTGCCGTTGCGTGCTCGGCGAATTTGCTGCGGGCTCATACTCGCAAACAGCTGCGTGCGTGGCCGTGCAACCAGCTGCCATGAGAGGCACGCTTGTCTTCTCGGGCTCGTCATGCCCAGGCCTCACGGCCAAAATCTGCTCGAATCTGGGCATGAGCCCGGCCGAGGCAGATCTGTCTCAATTCTCCAATGTATGTCAACTCGCAATTGGCAGCACCATGCGCGGCCGTTCTGCTGCGTGCCGTGTCGCCGGCTGAACACAGACAATCTGACCGCTGTCACAGGGCGAGACGAGCGTCCGCATCCTGACCAGCGTTCGAGAAAAAGATGTCTTCGTGGTGCAGTCGGGGAGTCCCACCATCAACGACACCATCATGGAGCTTCTCATCATGATCTCTGCCTGCAAGGGTGGCTCCGCGAACAAGGTCACAGGTAGGCTCTTCTCTTCCAGCTTTAGAGACTCGCGCATGTGTCTTTGTGCGACATGCTGACGCAATCGCCTCCATGTAGCCGTTCTCCCCTACTATCCATATAGCCGACAGTCCAAGAAGAAGTCGCATCGCGGCGCCATCACTGCGCGCATGCTCGCGAACCTCCTCCACGTGGCGGGCGTCAAGCATGTCATCACGGTCGATCTTCACGCATCCCAGATGCAAGGATTCTTCCAGTGTCCTGTGGACAATCTGCATGCCGAGCCGCTACTCGCTCGATGGATCAAGATGAACATCCCCAACTGGAGAGAGGCTGTTGTTGTCTCCAAGAACCCTGGCGGTACAAAGCGAGCTACCTCTTTGGCCGATGCTCTCAAGATCAACTTTGGGATCGTCACCACGGACAGGAAACGTGCCAAGAACAACATGTCGGCCAGCATGATCATGAACCACTTGGACGGCTGGGATAACCCACAAGCTTATCTCAACCGCCTGTCTCGCGCCCCGACAGAGCGCACGCTTCCCGAGTTGGAGAGAGAGACAACACCTCCCCCACCGGATGCCGAGGCCACGCCTACGCTTCCACACCGCACAAGGGCCGACTCCACGGGCTCTCCAAGAAGAGCCAACGGCCCAGGTCTTCGGACGAATGCGCTTCACAGAGTGTATCAGAATTCGTCACAGGCTTCGTCTAACGGTGACCATGCATTAGACGAGGCCCACGCCGAAGATGAAGATCAGTATACCGACGTGCGTGCCCTGGAGGTCACACATGGACGTTTGGTATTGGGACATGTCGTGGCAGATGACGGAGAAGGCTCGGAAGCCGGGGCCGACGGTAGTATCCCTTCACAGCCGTACGAGGACGACCCCATGGCCATGTCGCACGCCTCATCCTTCTTCGCTCCAGAGCCGCACGCGCTCGGCGGTTCTGGCGATGCCGAGGCTTCCTCCGATGACGACGAACAAAAACTGCAGGATCCCAAGATCGAGCACATGATCACCTTGGTCGGCAATGTCAAGGACAGGCCGGTTGTGATTGTTGACGATATGATCGACAAGGCAGCATCTTGGATTGCCGCAGCCGAGACCGTGGTAAAGCGCGGCAAGGCCAGAAAGGTCTACTGCATGGCGACCCACGGCGTGTTTGGCGCAGATTGCCTTGAGCAGCTCCAAGCTTGTGATTGCATCGACCAGATCATTGTCACCAACAGTTTCCCCATTCCCGAATCCAAAGCGAAGCAAGCCAGCAAGCTGATGATTCTGGATCTCTCGTACCTCCTGTCCGAAGCCATCCGCAGGAATCACTACGGCGAGTCGATCTCGCCGCTATTCCAGCATGCCGAGTAGACGATGGCAGATCACTGACCCCGAGGCATTTCAATTTTCAGTTCGAGCTTATTGATTTTGAGGTGAGGGTGATTTCCTGCATGGCGTTCAGGGATGGCCAAGACTGGCTAGGGCAGACTCCAGCGTCACACTCTTCGAAGGAGAGATCGTTTTGTTGCATTCCGAGGTAGATCACCAGGAGCAATACTGCAAAATCAGTAAAAGACGCATTCGAGGTACGTTATGAGTTGGCCGGCGCGTGAATGCAATCTGTGCTGTGCCATGTAGACATTTTCTGTGCAACCTTGACCACGAGAACGCCACCCTCTTTCCCTACACAAAACATCCCCAACGGTTGCTATCTTCGGATAGCCAGGGCTGAGGTCCCTCTAGGACAAGCTTCTGAACGGAACGTTGGTAGAGCGAAACCGATCTTTCCAGATCGACCCCGATAGTAGAAGGCCAGTGATTCAGACTTGACATCCATGTCTCGTTGCGCCCTCTCGGGCAATGGATCATTGGCAAGAGATACCTTTGGACAAATCACTTGAAATTCGTTTCGTCTTTTGTGTGGACATCACGCTATCTTGCCCTCCATAGCCAAGCCATCCTCAATGGGACCTTTTTTAACAACCACCTCCAATGCCCATCGTGGCCTCTGAATTGCCATAACCAAATGTCGTGTTATCTTCCATAACGCCGTGCTCCTGCCACCACCGTCCAAGCCAATGATCATTTAATACGCAGATCCCTCCCCTGAGCTGTACGCATGCTGCATGCTGCATGCTGCTGCTGCTGCTGCTGCTGCTGCTGCGATTGCCTTCCTCACAGAGCCTTCATAAACCGGCGCAGCTTATGAGCAGGACAGCCATGGAGCCGCGGCACTGGCGGGAGCACTTGCTTCGTGTATTCGACCCGCCACGGGTGCTGCCAGGCCTCCTTTGTGGCCTGCGGCTTCGGAGCGAAGACGAACTCTGCCGTGCTCTGCACCGTGGGCCGAGGATAGCGGAACTCCCACGGCATGAAGTCGTTGGGAAACATGGGGTTGAAGTGGCAGCCGTTAGTGAAGCGCATGAAGACGTGCCGGCTGTTGTACACGCCCCGGGTGTTGACCTCGGTCACCGTGTCCTCGTCCAGGGTGAAGGTCACGAGCATGATGTTGTACAGGTCCGCCGTGATCTGCTGCATCGCCGCGGGCGTCCAGGTGTGCGGCATGTGCAGCAGCTGCAGGAGGTTCGCATTGAAGTCGCCACGGGGAGTCGGGCTCGTCACCGTGAAGAGCTTGTTGTTGAGGTTCTGTGCGTACAGACCGTGCCGCGGGTGCGAGGGGGTGTTGAGAACGTAGTGCAGGTAGCCCAGGTGCTCGGCCTTGATCAAGCCAAAGTGACTGCTCGTGCCGTGAAGACACATTGAGAGTGCGCGCCAGTAGCAGTCCCCGTCAGGCGTGGCGTAGTTGTTTGGGACGACAAAGGCCACGTCCTCGACCAAGGGGAATCCCTGCATGACCGAGTAGCCATGTTCAAGTGAGGTCTCGATGTCGTCGCCTCCGCGGACGAATTCGCGCAAGCTGTCATGCTCGTCGCGGAGACGTGGAAGCGCCCAGGATTTGTGGTCAAGCAAGTTTGCGATACGGTGGCTCGCACGGGGAAATGTGCCAGCATCCAGCTCCTCGAGGTAGCCTTCAAGATCTATGCCGATCCTCTGTTCGTAGTTCGAAGGCACGAGGAAGTGGCTGTCGCTCCCCACGTTCGATGAAGAAGTCCTCTTCATTTCAGGCCTCAAGGCCATGATTCTGATCGCATTAGAGCGAGGAAGCTGAAATCGCAGCAATTTCAAGTCTCGCTGTGATGCCCTCCTCTCCTTGCCCCCAGTTAGCTGCTTGTTGTGTCTGCTCGTCCCGCCGCCAGCAGCAGAAGAGCTGCTCGTATGTGCTGCCATGGACAGAGAAGTATCTGCCGAGGAGGAGGAGTCTCTATTCCGTACTGATGAGAAGGAGGATTTCATGTTCCCCTGGGGCAGGTTGCTTGCAGTATCCGAATCGGAGTCAACAGAACAGACGTTGGCAGGTCTTCTTGATCCGGACGATACACGGCCGGATTGATGGCGAGAATGCGTGTTATTGTCAACACCGTCCACGTCAACATAGTCCTTCGGGTTTCCTCCATCGACATCTTCGTCTGAGCTATCAAGGACGACGATACAGTCGTCCTCGGATCCTTTGGGGGTCCTCGCGCCGCGCTTTACGTGGTCAATGTCAGAAAATCCACTGTTGCTTCTTTTACTTAGCAGGTCACTTGTGACGATGCTCATGGAGACAGGATTTTCAAGTGCTGATGTGCCCCGCAGACGGGCTTTTACTGTCTCTATGTGAGGATTTTTGACAAAAGGCTCCGTCAAGCGAATCAGTTCGCGATCGCGTTGGTAGAAGTCGTGCAGTGGAGCAGGGTCTTCGCATGACATTGGTGCTGCAGGCACTTCTGGGAGCGCCAGCTTGTCGGCACCGTGGAGTTCAAACCCCATTGACTCTTGGTGATCATGGTGGATGAGTTCGTTCAAGCCGATGTTCTCGAAATTCATGGTGCTAATATCCAAATCCGCCAGCGTCTGATGCTGGCCACTAACTGGTTGGCTGATACCATCGGAGTTCCAGGATGGGAAGTCATCCTGTCCATTTTCGTTGCTTTGGGTCTGGTGACGGGATACACGTTGACATGAAGGATTGTCCTGATTGTCTCTTTCAGGATGGTTCAATCTGTGCGAGAATGAAGAATTCAGCATGATCCATGTGGTAAGGACAGAAGACTTCAAATCAACCGGATCTTACCTATACTCGTCCATGACAGACTGCAGCAGTGCCCATGCAGTCGAGTGCAACTGCCCATCTTTCTGCCTGAAAGACTCGAGAAGGGATTCAAGCTCACCAAGTCGTGATTCTAGATCCCTCTCGAGCCCAACGGAATGCCCGGTAGTGATCATGTCAGGCTCTGGCATATCAAGCATAGATACATCACCATCATCGCGACCCTCCTGCTCACAATCAATAGGCTCAAGCGGCTGACTGGAACCGGTCTGCGGCTGCCCAGAGTTTCCCCCCGAGTCTTTGCGAATAGTTGCTTCCGTGTTGAGATTTCTTGTGTTAGGATAAGAATCATCGCGAGCCGGGTAGACAAGGCTGGCGGGAGGAGCGTGAACGCCATCAAAGACGACTCCTGCTGTGGCGATTTCGCTTCTTGCGAGATCGGCAGCGGCCGGGCTTCGTCCCGCTTGGCCAAGGGTCTGAAAGTAACTGCTGATGTCGCCCTTCTCCTTCTCTTTGCCCTTGACGGGCGGCGTGTCCTCTGGGGTGTTGTCCACTGCCTTTACTTTTCCTTGGCGAGTACCTTTGCCACCGCGAGAAGAGACTTGAGAGTAATCGTCATTACCTTCATTATCCTCCTGGTCGCTCTCGAAAAGATGGTTGCTGGTCCTGACCCTGGCTCTTTTTGATCTTCTTGTGCCCAACACTTCAAGGTCGGTATCGCCATTGGCATCTGTGACTTTGACCTCATATTTAAGTCTAGTCCTTCTGACACTTCGTCGCTGGCCAGCTCTTCTCGGCTGTTGGTCATCATCTTCACTCATAACGGCGTCGGGCCGGTCCCCATTGACGACGGCTGTGCTTAGGCTGATGTCGTACTCGCGGTTGGCACTGTCTGCGCGGGATGGTGACTCATCCACAACAGCTATGTGACTGTGGCCCATGGACAGCAGTGCCTCGGCCGCGAATTTGTCGATGCTTGAAGCCGCGTCCGGGGTGAGGCCATGAGAATCTGACGCCAAGGTCGTCTGAGTCGCGAGGTCTTGTGAAAGCTGGACGGGACTTGCTGAATATCCCGCTTCGGTTTGCCGTCGGACTTCTGGGCGATGCTGCCCACCAGAGTCGGGGAGGTGGAAGATGTCGTCTGATTGAGATGGCTCCACCGAGGCCTTGGATTCTGCCAGTCCTGCATTCTGTGCCCGTTCTATCGACAGAGCTTCGTCCCGGCTGTGCTTTATAGCTTGTGTGTCGGCATGCTTTGAAGTCGTATGCACGATGTCTTCAGCTTCGGTGCCACCTTGACCTACAGCTTCTCCTGTCTTCTCCACCTGAATCTGCTCAATCGACACTTGCGGACCAGAACCAGTTGTTCCCCAGACCGTGGCGTCGTTGGGAGCCCCAGAATCGCCAAAGGCGGCGTGGCTATGATCATCGTGACCATGGAACTCCTCAAGCTTTCCAAGGATGTCGGACAAAAGAACCGCGTCAACTTCCGCCTCGATATTCGCGTTCCTTGCGTCGCTGACAGCCTGCAGAGAAGTGATGGCTTCATCCTCGACCTCTTCTCCGGTCTGCAGTTTCTCTTCCTCCTTGACCTCTTCTCCCTTGATGACTCCATTTTTGACGTCTTCGTCTGCGACTTTCTCCTCCTCCTCTGTCTTGATGTCTTCACCTTCGACGTCTTCGTGCTTGATGTCTCTGCGCTGAGTGCCACTTTCGCCGAGCTCTTGCCCACTGGCGCTGACGGCCGTCACACTGTTCAGCGTGGCTGCTTGCTGTCCACCACTGGCAGGCAATCCCGCCTCGTTCCTCTGGTGAACAGCCTCGTTTTCCACTATGAGCTGTGCCGAAGCAGCAGCACTGTCATGCCCATTTTCAACCAGCATGACATCGTCAGCAGGGTCTTCTTGCTCCTCCTCCTGCCTAGGATCAGCTGGCGTAGAACGCTTCTGCCGCTTCGCCTCCTGGCCATTCCTGGTGCTCAAGCTTGGGCTGGGAATAACCGTCGGCGAAGACGAGCGCTTCTTGCTGCTGCTGCTGCTGGCTCTTGTGCCTCGATGTTGTTGTTGGTGGTGGTGCTGATGTTGATTTTCGGTGTTGATTCCGCGGAGTCGGCGAGCTTGAGCTTGAGATTCGGTCTGGGCGGCCGAGGTCTTGGACGGCTTCTTCATCTTTTCCCTCCCTCTCCCGACTCCCTGCTACGTGAATTCGGAGTTGTAGTGAGAGTGTAATCTCTGTGAGATGGGATGAGATGAGATGAGAGAGGAAAGTCGAAGTCTCTAAGTAAGTGCTCCGCAGCGTGGTAACGTGCTATTCCTACCAAAGAATGCGGCGATGACGATGGCGACTCGTTGGAGTTGGCACGTGGAAGACCTCGTGGGGACACGCACGCACGCACACACGCACGACCTCAGAGCTATACAGCTCGGCCGGCCCACAGTCACGATAGGCGAAGCAGTACAGACTTCTGCCTCGTGACTGTCCTTATTCACAGCCGTTTCGGAGAGGAGAGAGAGCAAGAGAGGGGTGTCAATGTTGCTGATTCCTAAGGAGAGTTGGCAACCTCAGTGCGGAAGTTCTCGGCTGAAGTGGGCAGAGCGTGAGTTGGTTGTGAAGTCGAGCGAATCCGTTGTGGAAAGAAGCGCCCACGTAAGCTAGGAGAGAAATGTTCGGAGCTAGATCGATCACTCACTCATCTAGCTCAGAACCTCGCACCCAAGTTGAATATATCCAAATCCGGGGGATCAGGAACTTTGCTCTGGAGGCAAAGAAAAGCAAAGATCTCCGTTGCGATGCTTCGCGGAGGATAATTCCCAGGGAAAAAGCACTTTTCGTGGTATGAGGAAGGGGAACGTGCTTGGTTTCCTTTCCCGACCTGTTGGTGAAAACCAAGGATTGAGCACTCGTTTGTAGCTCTGTGTCGGAATGGGGCCTTTTGGTTTTCAACGGAAAAGGGGGGAAAGACCTCCGAGGAAACGAACCGTAGCCGCGCAAGCACTCAACTGTCCCGTGAGAGAAAGAACCCGAGTTACGAAGATATCCAGGCAAAAGACTCTTGTGCAGTGTTTGCAACCAGTGCGTTTGTGTGCTTGACGAAAAGCCTCGTTGTCGCTGTGCCTCTAAGATGAAGCAATCGTTGCATTGACGCGGACGTATACAAAGGCGCGGGAGGGAGGAAAAATGCTCCGTCTGCACATCTGCACACACACGCATGCGCGTCGGTGGGATAAAATGAGCAAAGTAGTTGCTCGGCAACTGGTCCCAAAAGTATGATATCACGTATCTAAAGTCACTCACTCCAGACAAGACGGAAAAAGTCACAAACCGAATCGTGGACAAAACATTGTGTTTGTTTGTTTCAGGGTTCCTACAGAGGTCATTATTATCCTCTTCTGTTCTTCCTGCTCTGTCGTTCGTAGCGTTTCGGGGGCTGTCAATCCCCTGGCGTGAACGCGTTACGATCAATGGAGCAAGTATAGTGACCTTTGAGGACTACGGGAAACACGCCAGTTTGTGCAAAGGATCAATGTGAGCACCGGAGGCATCACACATCAGTGTACGCTTCGGTCTTCATATGTCGAGTGTTTGCTATCTGGAGAAAGAGCTGTTTCCACGATTGTCTGCCAACCTTTAGGAAGGTATCTCACAATCAAGAAATGCAAGCTGGGCACACGAAGGGGAAACTTTCCCAATAACAGAAAGAAGTGCAACATGAGATTTCTAAAAAAGAATCTTTGAATTGCGAAGCACATTCTATTTGTATACGCTACTTGATGATATATTGCAAATTCAGCCAGTAAACTCCGACCAGAAGATTATCCACTAGGCTCTTGACAAGCACACACAATAACTACAAACGCCATTCCGCTCTGCCGTGTCCAAGACCATGTTGAACACAAAACTCTTCACCCCCTGCGACCCTTTCAAGCCCACACAAAAGGATTACACATCTCTTAAGCAGCCCACGGGGAAGTCCACTGCTCCGTAGTCCAGAGCATATGGATCCCGCTAGCATCAACGGTCTCAATGTCCCGCGCAGCAACATCCTTCTTGGTTGTCAGCACGACCCAAACCCAGCCGGTCAGACCAGTGGGGGCAGTGGCAACACCATCGGCTCCCACGAGGCTGTACTCGACAGTGCCCCAGGGACCCAACCACGCAAGCCAGCGATCGCCCTGCGTGCCCTGGGGCAGCGTCACCTTGACGCTAACCAAGCGACCAGAAGCGCGATTCTCGCTTACAATCTGGAGCTCGGGCAACATCTCACCAAATGCGGGCGACTCGGTGCACGAGCCGTCAACGACGTACTTGCGCGCAATGTGCGGCCAGGCGAGCTGGAAGGGGATGAGCGGCTCCCGGGGCGAAGGGGAGGCAATGTGGCTCTGCATCATGCTGATGACGGCAGCCATGCGCGACTGCGCGCCCAAGCCCGTCGAGAGGGGAGTGACCATCCACTCGTCCGTCTTGGCGGCCAGGCCGATGATGTCTTGTGTCGTACCAATGCTTAGGGACAGCGCCTCGGTAACGGTCTGCAACCACTGGTCCAGCGAGTCCATGTGCAGGTTGTACTTGCAGGGCTTGACCAGCTCGCGCTTGTAGTGCTGCAGCGAGTCGGTGTAAGTGCGCAGCCGCACGACCGACTGTGCGGCGAGCGAGCCGAGGGTCTGCGTGATGGCCTCGGGGTACTGGTTGGCCCACACGCCGACCGTGAGCCGCGCGAAACCCTCAATCAGGAGCGTGGCGATGAAGTTGCCCTGGAAGAGGAGGACTTGGAGGTAGTCGACGCCGTCTTGGGTGATGGTGTCTGCCCACTCGTAGTCCTTGGGCGAAGGGCCGCCGGCCATGCCAGCCAGGTACGGGTCCAGCTCAGTCCCTACGGCCGGAACCACGTTGACCCAGTCTGCGGAGAGAGCAGCCAGGTCGAGGACATTGTTGTAGATGTGCGGAATCAGCACGCCATCGACCTTGAGAGCGCCGCCAAGCGGAGTGTTGGGCGGGATTGTGCTTGGAGGCGCATGGGCTGCCAGACCTTTGAAGGCGTCAAAGGTATTGGCGCCCTCGGCAGGGGCGTTGATGGCGCCAACCATGCCCGCCTGGCAGTGTGTAGCAGCAGTCTGAGCGCAGTAGAACCAGACGGGCTTGTTATCCTTGAGGGTCACCTCGAAAGTGACACCCGACGTGGTTTCCTGCGTGGGGAAGAAGGGTGCAGAGAAGCCGCCATCGAGAGGCTGACAGGGCTTGTCAAAAGAAGACTGCACAATGGAGTGGTTCTGTATAATTTACATGCGTCAGAAGCTGTCATTTTTCTTGATCAAGCACGTCTAGTGTGCGGAAGGCGACCATGGACTCACCTTGGGAAGATAGCTGAATTCGACGACGGTACCGGTGAGCTCCGCGACGTTGTTTGGGTTGAAGACGAGCTTGCCATCAAAACCGACATCAATGTGCAGCTTGCGCAAGCCTCCGTTCGGGAGGGTGCCAACGGCCGGGGTGCTCGGCGGCGCACCGACGGCCTTGTCCTTGTATGCTTGAAGGGTATTTCCTTGAGCGGGCCTGCGTGAGTGTCAGCGAGATGCCCAGGCCAGTTACTCGTTTGCTCTTCCGAGGGTACTTACGCGTTGATGGCGTGAACCATGCCGGACTGGCAGTGGTTGCCGTTCTGCTGGGGGCAATAAAACCACAGGGGCTTGGTGTCGGTGACGGTGATGGTGAAATCTGTCGGGGCAGCCACGTCTGGGGACTGGTTGGGCGTGAAGCCGGAGAAGATGCCGTGCTCTTGGAGTTGGCACGGGTGGTCAAACGTGGACTGTGCGACGGCATGGTTCTGAGACGATGGTAGGGATGGTATTAGCCGAGTGTGTAATCTACATATAAAAAGTCCGCTTACGCGTGGGTGTTATGAAAGTACTTACCTTGGCAAAGAACTTGTAGGTGACGGTATCACCGATGTTGGCAGTCAGCTGCTCGGGGTCGAACTTGAGCTGGCCATTCTTGCCGACTGTGACTTCGTAGTGCGTGGCAGACACCAGGGAGGCGGCCAAGCCGATCGTGGCGGCTGCAACCTTGAAGAACGACATGGCTGGAAGAGGATAGGGCCAGACGCAGAACAGCTTGGGCACTCTCCAAAGTCCAGACGAGAGAGCTGTTTGTGCCGGAGGCGATGATGGGAGGGAGGAGGATGAATATGATGGGACAGGCAGGGCAGTGAGAGCAGCCTTTGAGAGGAAGTATCTGCAGCATCTGTGGCCGTTGCTATTATACTTAAGGTATGGGGTCAAGCTGGCAGGAGCAATCGAGTGGTGAGGTGAGCACTTGCATGTAGTCACGGTGCACCAGGCCCAAGAGGGCCGCCCCAGGCAGGGCCATGCCGGGCCGTGCAGGCGCCTCTCAGCAGCGCTGTCTGACCGACCTTAGGACCGTGGCCCGGAGCTTCGCTGGCCCGGGGGGCTGGAGCGTGTAAGATGATTGGCCACGGAACGTGCGCCGACCCGGCTGGGGTCTCGAGTCAGACCACACAAGCGACCCGACACTCGCCAGGTTTATTTTTGGGCGCCAGCGCAGCAAAGAAAACGTCAGCATGCCAAGGGGGCGCCCCAAAAATACCCCATGGTTAAGCGCAACATCCATGCTCTGTCTCTCTCGGCCGATGCAGCTGTCTTCAGCCTTCGGCCCAGATGCCGGCCGGCCATCTAATTAGTTAATTAATCAATATCATCAAGGCGATAGACAAGGACTGTCCTTCCATGCCTGCTGCGCCGCCGTCGTGACCACTGCCCAGTCCTTCTGCTCTCGCCAGCCGGCCTCGTGGAACCTCGGATCTCGAGCCTTCCGGGCTGCTCCGCCTCACCCACGGACAACTGCCGGCCGCCCAAGCTCGCGACGACACGTGAGCATCGCATCGCATCGCATATGGCTCCAACGCCCAGCCGGAGCAAAGACGCTGCCGGTTGTGCACTGACAGGCGCCTGACTGTGTTTCGTGGCTGGCCGTGGCCTCTTGCCGACCCCGCCCGCGTCAGCCCTAGGGCTCAAGCATCAGCCACGAAACAAAGGCGCAGGCTCAAACCCCTGGTCAGCCAAAGTCGTTTTCCTAATGGGTTGCTAGCCGCGAGGGAAGACAGGCCGCCCGCTGAGTGGCCTGCTTGTTTTGCTTTCTCAGCGGGCCCCGGTAAGCTGTGCAAGATTGGCTCGAAACACAACCCGCCTGCATGCTGCTGCAGACTCCGCCCCGGACCTGCAGGCAAATCCCTGTCTTGCCCCAAGCCTGACCTTGTAAGGCTGGGCTGACCTCAGCACTCATCTCAAGCTAGTGCAAGCCATAAAGACCATGCCACAGGTCCCTGTTGTTGTCGGTGTGAGGTCGCCCTCGGCTGATTTGGTCGAATTCATACGGAGCCCGCGCTTGTATACATCCCCTCCCTTACGTGCTCTTAGGCGCGGCCATAGATATCCGGACACACGGCACACGCATCTGCTACATCTGTACAGTCACTCCCCCATTCCCTGCGGGTTGTCCTTCCTCCCAAAGTCTCACTCATATCTTCGGGTCAGAGCCTGCCCTCTCTTCCTTTCAACTTAGCATCGCATTTGTATTGCACCCTCTCATGATGGCGCGCCTTCCTTGGTACGGCATCTTTTTCGCCATCGTCTCGGCGGTTTTCTCCTTGCTCGTCGTCCTCTCCGGCGTTGCCGGCTCGGCTCCTTTGTTCTTTCTACAGGTTAGCTACAGCAACTCCTACTCCGATCCAGATTATGAACAAATGAGAGCAAATCCGACTTACATATCACGCAGTTCAACACCAGTAATTACCGCGGGCCGCCGAGCGGGTCGCAGTTGGGCACCTCCCAATTCCTCCAGGGTCTGACCACCGTCTCTGGTAACGACCTTGTCGGCTCCGGCAGTGGCCAGAACGCCCACTTCGCGCAGCGGTATCAGGTCACGCTCCTGTCGGTATGCCAGACCGACAATGGACGCACCACGTGCTCCCCGCCGAAATTCGGCTATACTTTTGATGTCCAGCAGGCATTCCAGCTGCGGGACGACATGTTTGGCGGCGTGGACATGACGTCCTTCTGGAGACAGACGGCCGCGTACCGGCCAGTCTCCCTCTTCCTGGCCATCGCTTACGTCCTCGGCACCGTCTTCACACTCGTCTCGCTCGTGATGATGTTCCTGACGGCGTGTGTCCCCAAGGGCGCCTCGCTGGTCGCCTGCTTCACGCAGACCCTGGCAGCCGTCCTCCTCCTCGCAGCATCGATCGCCTCGGCCGTGACCTTCTACCGGCTCGGCGACACCTACAACGCCACGCTTGGCCGGGTCGGCATCCAGACCGCCGTGAGCTGGCGGATCATGGTCATCAGCTTCCTGGCCGCCGTCGAGTCCTGGCTCGTGCTCATCTTCCTGCTCGGCCTCCGCAAGAGCATCAAGCGCCGCTCTAACGCCGCCGCCCGGAGCATGGCCGCCTCCAGCCCCAAGTCCATCGGCAACACCACAAAGGTCTTTGTCGCCGGGTCCGGACAGGCCTCCCCATCAGTCATGTCAGGCGGCGCGGCGAGGTCCGGGTACCGGGGAACTTCCACCTTTGGCGGCCTGCTTCAGAAGATGCCCACGTGGAAGGGCAACCAGCAGAAGTACACCGAGATTAACAGGCAGTCTGGTGCCATGGCTCAGACATCCGCCTACAACAACAGCCCCAGGGGCGGTCTCATGGCGGCGAACGAGGAGGAAGACTTCTCGCACGGCATGCCTGACGATGTCTCCCAGGGTGCTATGGGCTACAACCAGCGAGACCCGGCCGCCAGGTATGACGACCCGTCGGCCTCACAGGCGACGAAGACGGGGCTCCATGCCGAGACTGCCTACGATCCGTACCGCAAGTAGGTAGATGTGGTGTGGCGATGATACCCTGATGAGTTACGAGTTCGTGGGCAGGTGGCGGCGAGGGTGGGGCGAAAACACTGTGGCCGGGGGCAGGCTAGGTGTTCTTTGTGTTGTGCGAGTCTTGAGCGGCGGTGGCCATGACAAAGTGGGTTGAGGGTAGTAGACTAGTAGAAGTAGATATTGCCGAAGGGACGGTTTCGTTGTCGAATATGCATTGATTTCCTGGGGATTGGCAGACATGGGGGCGTTCCGGAGTATGTAACATGAAGCGCTATCATCAACAATGCAGATTGGTATTCTCTAGCGCAGGTATCGCGAGGAAGATGTGAAGTTAAGTTGACTGCTTTACACGCTTTCGGACAGTGGTCTGATATTGGAGTGTCCCATTGTTCTCAGCGGCCTCCAGTCGACTACACGAGTGACTCAATGGCTGGCATCTACAACACAAACAGGTGGGAATAAGTAGCTTCCCGACTAATACCGGACATATGTCCCATGGCAGGATCACTCGCTGGTTCTTCTGCTCGTTCTCTGGCGAGTCATTCCTGGCGGCGGCAAGTTTCCGGGTCCTGCAGCGCTTCTTCCTCCCATTTTCGAGCCAACTCTCACTCTCCTCGTTCACCTCACATCTGGGACCACAATCGTGACACCACAAGACGACTGCTTGGACATCACCGCATGCCTGAAGTGCCGCAATCCCATTCCCCATTCAAAGGCAACAAAAACGACGCCTCAAGCCTCCTCACTCGTACTTCAGACCGCCGCCTTTACACCACCTCCTCCTCCTCTGCAGAGAACAAAATGGTCCGCATCCAGATAATCTCAGACCTGCACCTCGAGACCCCGCCAAAGAGCTACGACATCGTCGAAATTGCTCCCCGGGCACCATATCTCGCGCTGCTCGGCGACATTGGCTGTTGCAGCACGAGCCACAAGGCCGAGTACCTCGGCTTCCTGAGGCGCCACCTGCGCGTGTTCCGCGTGGTGTTCTTGGTCCTGGGCAACCATGAGGCGTACCACTCGACGTGGCAGGAGTCGCGGGACGTCCTGCGCGAGTTCGAGGCCGAGGTTCGCAGGGAAAGGAGGAGGGCAGTCGCTGCCGACGTTGATGGTGGTGGCGGCGGCGGTGCCGATGGGAGTCTGGGAGAGTTTGTCCTGCTCGACCGGGACAGCTACACGATCCACCCCGACCCCGATAGCAGCAGCAGCAGCAGCAGCAGCAAGAATCTAGACCACAGTACCGACGACGGAGCAGTGACGATCCTAGGCTGCACCCTCTTCTCACATGTCCCCATCCGCGCCGCACAGCGCGTCAGCATGGGCCTCAACGACTTCCGCGTGATCGGCGACGGGTGGGACGTGGCCCAGCACAATGCCGCGTTCCGGGGGGACCTGGCATGGCTAAACGAACAAGTTATGGCTCTCTCGTCGGGGACGCATCGCAACGACGACGAGAAGAACAGCAACAGCAATAGCAGCAACAGCAAGACCAAGATCGTCATCTTCACGCATCACTGCCCAACACTCGACGACCGCGCCATCGACCCTCAACACAGAGGCAGCCCTCTGACGGCAGGCTTCGCGTCGGATCTAAGCAAGCAGCCGTGCGTGACCACCAACACCACCGCCACCAATAAAGGAATCGTCAAGCTGTGGGCTTTCGGACACACGCACTATAATTGTGACTTTGTCGACGATGACGATGGCGGCGGCGGCGAGGCAAAGTCCGGGATCAGGTTCTACACGAACCAGCGCGGGTACTACCATCGGCAGTCTCCGGGTTACCAAGAAGACAAAGTCGTAGAGGTGTAAATGTGCTTGGGTATGCGTGTTATCCTGCAGCGCGCGCTCTGAGAAGAGATCCTGGAAGGCTCGGTGGCTTGTAGTGAACGGTGTCGTTCAACGACGCGAGACATTGCGTGTTTGTACCAGCAGGAAGGATGGCACTGCATGGTCTGTCTGAGCCGTACAAGACCACAAAGTTACGAGGGCTTTGCTGATCATAAAGTTGCCATCGCGGGGCCTGGGCAGGGTCCTGCGCGGCTAGACGGAGCGGCCAGACTACTGAGAGAAAATATCGCCGGGAAACCCCATGCCATTCCGGACTCTTTTTTCCATTCTTAGCTTTCCAAGACACATAGAACGACGCCTTTGCAGCTGGTTCACCATGCCAAACACTGTGCAATTTTCCCCATACTCCTGATTTACCCAAGCCAAGACAAAAACACACCTAGCCAGTAGCGCAAGTCTGTGTGCCTGCGTCTACAGAAAACACCCTAAGTATCCAACGTCCCTAAAATGTCGCCATGAAGCCAACCTTGTCACGAACTTGGTCTGCAGGATTATTTTTTCTCAAAGTTAGCGCCCGCCCCTACACTATCACATCACCGCCGCATGGTCTGCGCTTTCGGCAGGAATGGCACTCACCTCGCATCCCACCCAAGGCCTCAAAGGCGCTGGCATAGTTCTCTAGTGTCATCAGGACTGAAAACAGGCCAGCTTGTACGCTTGCCAGGTTATCCTGCCACGGTCCTGATCCCGAGTCGGTCTCGGTTGTTGTCCCTTGGCCAGCGACAAGCTGCTGTGCCTTGCTCTTCACCATGAGCAGGGCGTAGCAGCTTTGCATGGCGCAGCAGGCAAACGCCGGCATCGTCCTTGGCGTGACCATGGGGGAGTTAGGGCCAAGGTAAATCGGCGCTGCGGAGATCTGACCAGTAGGGTTTGGATACGGCATTAGGTCGAATGCCTTGGCAATGTTGAGCGCTGACCTGAGACAGACGTCGGACGAGTGGTACATGGTGAAGGGCAGTCGCAGTGGGCCTTGTGCCTCGAGCACGATACTGGCGGCAGGTGTCGAGCGGTTTGATTGAGGCGGTGAGGACAGGCCATTGCTATGGGTCATCTGTCTCCTGGGTATAGATTCAAAGCTGCTCGTGCAGCAGGGTTGCAGATATTGCTGTTCGGGACTTGGTGTTGCCTCGTCTCTTGTCGATTTCAAGTCGCAGTGTTTACCGGAGAATATCGCCGTGTCAAAAAAGGCACAGTAGCGATGAACCTTGATTCGAGCACTGCGAGTGGTCTCATTAGACACGTGCGCGAGCTTGGCATCGTTGTTGCGAGACGTACCTGTTCAATTTTATCCTCGCAATGCATTTCAGGGCCTGCGCAAGTACGTGCTCATCGCCATCGACCGGTCGCGTGAGTGGACAATCCAGAATCCATGATTCAGATCTCGTACACATTGGCTCGAGACGTCGCTCGAGCTCAAGCATACGCTCAAAGATGCGCTGGTATCCCTGTCCCGCCTCCCGGGCTTTGTTCAGCTCCATGACGAATTTCGTGGCAGCCAAGATGGCTTGCTGAGCTTGGATAAAGTGACCAAACGCCTAACGGTAGTCAGAAGATTGTAGGTATATGGTATGCCAGCAGTGCACGTACCTCGCCATCAGAACGGATCAAAGGGTAGTGAGTAGTGATATTTGACACGAGGTTTTCCCAGGTTGGGGCCTGAAATCACTTGTCAGTGAACAGCTCGAGATCATTGTCGACCGGGGGTGACTAACCGTATTGCTGACGATTGATACTTGGGAGATGCATACATATGTCATCCACCAGGTCCTCCTCTTAGCGTCAGTGTAAATGTCTTGTTGTGTAGGGTCGGTGTGAAGCCCAAGCTCTAGAGCTTGCGTCAATGCCGCATTGGCCCGCAGAGACATCTTCTTGAGATTTCCGCGCTGCGCGTATTCATAGACTGACAAAAGGTCAAGTGCAATGATTGTCTCAAGCTCGTAAGGTACTTCTGGGTGAAACTGAATTCTGGCACTGCCCTGGTCAGCATCGTCCAGGGCTCTCGCGGGTTCGAGTTCGGACTCTGGCCGGTCGCTGGCAATTTCGATGCTCTCAAGTGCCGATTTCGCCAGAAGCTGGGAGTAGTTGCGTCGAAAGCGGATCGAGTCAGGGCTCATTGGCGTAGTGTCTTGAGGACAGGGTATCAAGGCCAGGATGGCAGAAAGCGCAAGACTTATTGGCGAAGGGGGCTCGACGAATTCAAAGTCGTTGTTCTGATAACTAAACAGGGGCGTGATGACTTCGGGGTATGGTGACGCCTGTGGGCGAGGAAGAATAGGAAAGAAAGGATGTATCCAGATATAATATGCGTTCAAACTGGCATCGTGTTAATGGGCCGCGGTGGGAATAGGCATGCTTTGTTTGGACAGGCCAGCTTACATGGCAGCTTGATCAAGACCATAAGTCCTCGCCATGCAGACGGTTGTGTCTGCAATAACCGGCTGCTGGAAAAGCTCCTCGAAGATCGCATCGCTGCTTTTATACTTGTCGCCCAGCTGGGCAAGGCCAGCTCCAGGCTCGATATAATTCTCGAGGTAGATTGCTGCTGTGACTGTTAGCTTCTAACGCAGACGGTAGAAACAGGTTCATGTTGGATCCGAGGACTCACCTGAAAATGGCATCTCCTCTGTCTTGCCGACTGGTGGATCTTGCCGTGCAGACACTTCTTTGCTTTTCTTACGAATGCGTGGACCACCACGTCGGCTAGGCAAGTACTCGCATTCACGGTTTCTTGTCTTGCACTAATGAATGCAGATAACATCAACATATCATCCACATGATTGCTCAAGAGGGTGGAGTCGGGAGGGGGGCCTGGACGAAGACATACGCTGGAACAGGGTTTGTCGCCGTTGCATCTTGTCCGTGATGATCGGCTGCGCATGATCAAGTCAGAAATGGTTCTTGGCCCATCACGCGGACCATCGCGTGGCGCGCGAAGCTCGAGCGCCCTCAAGCCACATGTAGGACTCACCAAGCGAGGCAGGCGCTCTTGACCGGCGGCGCGGCGAATTTCTTGCGCGGAGCCGTGGCCGCGCTGGATTCTGGGACTAGGGCCTCCATCGCAAGAACATGCCGCTCAAAGCGACGGAGCTGTATCAGAATGTGACAGGTGGAGCGCGACTCTCGCCCGACGTTGAGGCTTTGGGCAGCCTGCAGCGGTGATTCCCAGCAACGAGCGCCAGCCAGTTCGTTTGCATGGACCAGGTCTGTGATCTAATCCGGCAGAGGGCTGAGGGCGATGCTCTCTTTGGCAAGAGGGGGGCAAGATGCCCTGCGGGGTTGCTTTGTGTCAGGCGAAGGCGCCAGTGACGCTGATGAGGGTTGAGAGCACCAGGACTTGGTGGTTGGTTGCTGATGAGAGCGGGCTCAGATGTCGTCCTGGGCAGGCCTGAGGGTCAAGTATTGGCCAGTCAGGGTCGGCGCGGATCGGTTCTTGGCGAGCCCCCGGAAGTGGGGACGGCAGGATGCTCGGATCTGTTATGTACGTAGAAAACCATCAACAGCTGAGGTCGTGGTGATGGCTGATCACGCCGAGATAAAGGATCCAGTCCCAGAATACAGTTCCCATTCAGACAAGTCCCGGCAGTCGCAGCCATGGGGGGGCGCAGGCTGGCCATTCAGAGGCGACGCTGTCGGGGCGGGCTCCGCGTCTGGGGTCTGGGCGACGTCCAGATTATGAGTCGTGGGGACATTTCAAGCGGGCATGCGTAGGGCATGCGTGTGTGGGTGCGGCTGATAATCTTGAAAGAAAACGCCCAGCACTACTTATCACCAGCCGCACTGGGGGGGTGGCACCACAAGGCCTCGCCCGCGCGCCCAATCTGCTCTCGGTGCTCCCGACGCCGAGATGCTTAAAAGAGCCGGGCGCATCCCTCTGTGCCTGAACAGCAACTGAAACAAACCGCACGCACTGGCAGTCGTGCGTTCAGATCACTCGATCTCCCATCGCTTACAAACCGACTGCTCCTCGAACCCCTGCCAGCGCCCTGGAAAATTAATAGCGGAACGGCAGCCCATCTCTTGAAATGAGAGCATAATCGTGCCACCCCGAAGGCGAGTTGGTGCATGATACCCTGGCTGCCTCGCCCGCCAGCCTGCAAAGCCAGTCCTATCAGTTGTGATGCTATCAGTTGTGACCTCTGGGCACAAACTCTCTCTGGAGCTCGCTCATGGAAGCAAGCAGTACGTAGCATCTGATGCAGCGGAGCCTCATGCTCGAGCAAGCAAACACGTCGCAGGAAGCCTGGGCCAACCCCACACAAGTAAGCAGCCGACAAGGATTCGAGTCGTGAACGCTGTCGAACACACGTCTGCTGCCAAGATATGACGTCGACATGGACAAGACGTGCCGCCCGCGATCTGCGGGGACTGGTATTCCCAGCCGAGTGGTTCTGGAGTAACTATGTCCTGTCAAGACTGGACTGGCTGGGGTCATCCAAGCTTGCATCAAGTGGCCCTTGTCCTGACAGGAAGCAGCCCTTGAGAGGCAGGCACGAGCAGACACTGACAACCGGCCTGCGCAAGCACCATATAAAGTTCTACCCTGCGGCGCCTCGAGGTACTGACTGAACCAGTGACGCTGCTTGAACACCATATTCGGACGCGCATTGCTAGCCTGGCATATCTCTCAATGTCACAATGGGAAACGTGCACGATGTTGGGGAGGCAGGCCTTGAGCCGCAGCGGAAATGACCAGGCTTTATGCTTTGAGCCGAGGAGCATAACGATATGGTGCGTGCTTTGTCTCACGCAGGGTGGCCAGGGTTGCCGGGAGCAGACGTCATGCGAAAGCGACACACAGCACAGTACAGCACTGCACTGCACGGCATGTGTAAACGTCGAAGCTTGCGAAGCAAATGATCACCACCTGGACGGCGAGTGGGCAGACTGGACATAATAACGACTTGAGCCGTTGCTCGGGCCTTGAAAAGCCGCCGACCTGCAAATATACCCCGGCTGCCGGGCGGTCCCGATGTCACAAGGCAAAAAAGCTCGGCTACCCGGATGACCCTGAAATCCAGGGCTGCGCACTAGCCTGACGCCATCGCCGCAACCCGCAAACCCCAGGCCGGCCGCCCTCGGGTCGGCTCACCATCAACCCCCGACCGTCCTGCCTGCTTCCTCCCATTACACAACCGCAACCTCGAGTCGCACACGACCCTCCGGGCTGCGGCCTCGCTGTCAGCATTCACAACTCTGTTTGCTGCTTCTCCTGCCGAGCAAGACGCCGGGCCAAGCACTTTCCCTTAGCCGACACTCGAACGACCACGCCATTGACCGGGTCGTGCTGTCCGCCTCGGCTTCCATTCATCATGCGGGGTCTGCGCACTTTGCCAGCGACGGCTGCGCGGACTGTCGCCTACCGATCAGGCGGCCGGCCAGACACCTTGACGCAAAGCGCCATCTGTGTGCGGTGCATGCACAGCGGCATTCTCCTCAGACCTGATGTCGCAGAGAAGGCCACGCGGCGTGTGTCCCCAGCCGGCGCGTCACAGCCTCGGCTCTCACGAGCAGTCCCGGCAAAGCATGCCAGGCGCAATGCCTCAGTTGCGACGTCTGCTGCAGTTCCAGGTAAGAAAATATACCGTCACTGCAAGCAATGCATACTGCATACTGGCCACAGGACTGACTTGGCCTGCTGTTAGCCTCACAAACCCATGGCGACTTTGGCCCGCTCCAGGAATACGACCGCCGAGTTGCCGAGGGCATCTTACGAGACGATCCTCACCAGCGAGGCATCATACAGAGCCTGCAAACCCTCCACGAAGACCTGCGACATTACAGGGCGAGACCTGTCGTCCACCCCACGATCGAGTCCCTCAAACCCAGCACCTCCATATTCAGCTTCTTCGGTGGTGGCAAGTCCAGCAAGACAATCGGCGACATCCCAAGCAATCTGCCCCGCGGCTTGTACCTCTACGGCGATGTCGGCAGCGGCAAGACGATGCTCATGGACCTCTTCTACGACACCCTGCCCCGGGCTGTCAAGACGAAAATGAGGATACACTTTCACAACTTCATGCAGGACGTCCACAAGCGGCTGCACAGGATGAAGATGGAGTATGGTAACGACATTGACGCGGTGCCTTTTGTCGCCGCCGACATTGCCGACGCCGCGAACGTCTTGTGCTTTGACGAGTTCCAGTGCACCGACGTTGCGGACGCCATGATCCTGCGACGCCTGCTCGAGGCGCTCATGTCGCACGGCGTGGTTCTCGTCACAACCTCCAACAGGCACCCGGACGAGCTCTACAAGAACGGCATCCAGCGCGAGTCTTTCATCCCAGCCATCCACCTGCTCAAGAACCGGCTCCACGTCATCAACCTCGACTCGCCCACCGACTACCGCAAGATCCCCCGGCCGCCGTCAGGCGTCTATCACACGCCGCTCGATAGCCACGCCAAGGCGCACATTGAGAAATGGTTCCGCTTCCTCGGCGACCCGGAGAACCCGGAGCCGCATGCCGAGACGCAGACCGTCTGGGGCCGCGAGATCCACGTGCCTCGCGTGAGCGGGCGCTGCGCGTGGTTCACATTTCAGGAGCTCATTGGCAAGGCCACGGGCGCGGCCGACTACATTGAGCTGATGCGCAGCTACGACGCCTTCATCGTGAGCGACATCCCCGGCATGACGTTCCGCGAGCGCGATCTCGCGCGGCGCTTCATCACCTTCATCGACGCCGTGTACGAGTCGCGGGCGAAACTGGTCCTCACCACGGCGGTGCCGTTGGCCCAGCTGTTCGTCTCACCCCAGGAGATGCGCGAGTCCCTGAAAAAGGAGGGCAAGGAAGTCAGCGGGACTGATGTCGACGACGAGCCCTCGTCTAGCGCGCTGGACCACATGATGGAGGACGCCAACGACACCGGAGGCGAGGCCAGCAACACCATCAGCCAGCTCAAGAACTCGAGCCTGTTCACGGGCGAGGAGGAGCGCTTCGCGTTCGCCCGCGCGCTGTCCCGGCTGAGCCACATGGCCAGCAAGGAGTGGGTAGAGCGCGGCATGGGCCTCGAACACTCTGGCGGCAAGAAGGAGCACGATGACTGGGCCAAGGTGCGCAGCCGGCAGATGGAGGATAGCATGTAGAGGCGGTGTTTCTCCCTGTTCTCTTGCTTCTCTCGCACTTGGTCTTTTTTTTTGGCGTGCTCGTGGGTTTTTGGCCAAGTACAATACACAACCGGACGGGATTTGTTTTTTTGCTGGAGCGACTTGCTGCAGCGGTGACTTTGCTAGATACCAATATAGTTCTTGTGCATCTGGCACTCCTGTGGGAAATTCTCCAGGTGGCTATGGTCATGTATACCCGCTGTTCTCAAGTGCAAGAACTCGTCTGTGTAAATCACGTGGGTGCTCACGTCTCAGTAGCTCCTCGACAAAGCGTCACTCACGGCATATTTGCTGGTCATGTTATGACCTCCGCCACAGCCACTGTGGCAGTTTGGGTTCCGCGACAAATTGCTTATGTCTCGGAGAAAAGTGGTGTCGTTGACTTTTCGTATCCGTATTATTGTATCGCAAGCACGCAGTGATCATGGTTAGACATCTCGAGTCGAACGAACATCTTGTCTTCACGACCACCCGGCCGAGCCAGCAGACCCTCATTCGGCCGTTCTTCTTCGTCTTCCAGAATCCGAAATTGCAAGATTCGTGTGGCCGCGGCGGTGAGCAAGCGAGCGAGCGCGGATGCCTGCCTGCCTGCCTGCCTACCTGTCTGCATTGACGAACGTCGGGATTCTACGGCCAGGACATATCCTTGGGCTGACACTTTCTCGTACCCATGACTGGAGGCGAGCTACGCACCCGGGGCAAGCAGCAGTTGTGTGCGCAAGGCATGATGAGGGCAGTCTTTCCGTAACCGCGTGACCTGACATCCCGTATTAGTTGAAGGAACGCATCCCGACGGTGTACTCCCAGTCTGGACTCTGCTAAGAATCTTCTGTGTGCTGATCTTATGGACCAAGCTGTTCAATATTTCTGCTTCAATCACGGCTTTACCTGGGAGGTTTGTGCTCGCCCACCCAAATGTAAAGGTGCCCGGCTCCGAACCGTTGGCTGGCTGGCTGGCTTCGTACCTTAGCTGGGTCCACTTGCGGCGCAGTCCGTCCCGTGAAGGGTGGCGGTACCCCTGAAATGCATCCATGAATCTTTCTCGACGTATGAGAGGAACAGGGTGCGTCGTCCCTGTCTTGTTGCCCTTTGGCTCGTGAAAGCTTTGAGTGGTCACCAAGGGACAGCCAGCAATGCTATATTCGCGGCTTGTGCCCTGAGGATGGCAACGCCTGACGGCACAAGCCCAGCATAAGGCGGCGTCGAAGAGCTGTATGCGGCGGCGGGTGTGAATTTTGGCTTTACCCCCCCGGCCTGCGAACTGCATGAATGGCAGCAAAACGTGCCGTTGTCACATGGGTTCCTGCAATTTACCTCTCCCGTCGGCAAAAACGCACCGCCTCGAATCACAGCTCTGAGGGAGACTAGGCAGACTTGCCACAGGCCCAAGTCTGGACCCTGAATCGAACGAATGCGCGGGCGCCGAGCGTCGGCGTCCTCAGACAGCGCTAGGGGGGGGCTTTGCGGAGAAGGACGCCGTCGAATCCTTAGATGATGCTGAACCCTTGTCCAGATGTGCTCCAGCAGTTACTTTCGACAGAATCCCTGCAATCAGGCTGGACACCGCGTTCCCCATGACCGATCTCGTGATGTGGTCGCTACGAGGCTTGGTGATGGTGGAGTGCCGTCATGATTGGCTCGGGTGCTGTCGCCCACCCTGGCGCACATTGGACACATGGGAATGTCGCGACAATCTCGTGCTGCCGATCGGTTGCCTGAGGGTCCCCTGTGGTCCCTGTGGTCCCTGCCAATTGCCAAGTCTCCTGGTAGCCGAGTGGATTGTGGCTGGCACCCACATCCATAGTTGAAGGGAAATTGTGCTTCGACAATCAGGCTTTTCATCGTGGGCTTCAAGGCTCTCTGAGCATTTTGGATGGTGCATTCTTGGCCCGTGATAGACACCGACTGTCCATCGGCAGAGCACGGCTTAGGCTATCCGTGGACGAGCCACAAAGTCGCGCGGCTTGCTACCAGGTTCCTGGTGGTGGTTGACTGAGTGCCTGCAAGAACCACTACCAGATCATAAAAGAGGCATGATTGCCATAAGACGACGCCTACACGTGACCCTAGAGGTCGGTCTTCCGACAAGCACCAAGCACAAATGTAACAACAGTGCAGCTGTTGGTCCAGGCCGTTCCGTCCAAACAGAGGTGAAGCGCAGAAATGTGTCTCATAGCGGACAAATCGCCGGCGCGGTGGAGATTTGCCGGGGCCGGTCAAATAGGGGTCGTTTTCATCCACGAGAGCCACCCCTGGTTACGCCAGCGAGCACTCGTCCATACACAGTATTTGACTGCACAGTCACCAGTGGTCGAGAGCTTGCCGAGCATGGGCATGATTAATGTGCTATGCTCTTTCTGGTAGGAGCCGGCGCCCAGGAATTTAAGGCCTGGCGCGCACCTTATGATTAGCTTCAAGCCTGGAGCTGGGCCTGCCCAGCGCGCACGACTCGTCATGGATGGATGCGATCCCCAAGCACGCAATACCTTCGCGCCCACTCACCTCCTTCCAACCTCCCTTGTGCCACAGGGCCAGGATTTGTGCGTTGTTTTTTGGGTCAGGTGGCGAGCAGATCCATCGAATCTCGGTCGCGAGCTTGTCTAAGCCTTCAAGGAGTTGCGCCGCAGTGGTTCATTGAGCACTCCAAGGCCGCTGCAGAATGCCCCCGTGTATCTCGAGCCCAGGACGAAGCATTCGCCAACCTGTACAGAACACAACCATCTCTGTTACAATGCTGGCTTGTTGGTTGGTCGGTCGGCAAGCGCTCGGTGCCCTGTTTAGTCGGCCAAGGAGACAGGCCCAGGGTTGACAGGTCCAGGCCGTTGTGGGCGGCGGACCAAAGTCACAGGCGAGCCCGCAGTGCAAGGCTCTATCCAGACATGGCCAAGACGCAAAACCCCCACCGGACTGAGAACCCTGGTCGTTGTCGCCTTGGTCAAGCCCTGGCCGTTGGTTGTTGGCTATGCTACTGGTGCGTGCAGCAGATGGTGCAAGATGCAAGCTGCCTAGAGCTATGGGGCTGAGCAGATCGTCGATAACGGCACAAGAGCGGCAGAGACGCCGGCGTGTGTCGTCGATGCGGCCCGCCCGAGGTGTGTGCAGATTGCGATCCTATCGGGAGCGAGGTGCCGCAAGAGCGCAAGCATGCAAGAACGATGATGATGACGGCTCTGACGTAGGGGCTGCCGGTGCCTCGGGACCTCAGAGTCTGTTTCCCAGAGGCCGGTTTGACTTTGGTCGGGCGAGTCGAGGTGCTATTGCCATACATGCAGTCGCATGGTGCTTTAGGTGCGCAAGTGCGCCCAGACGGGCGGCCCCACCGGACTCCTCCTACTGCGTTCACTAATGTAGGCTCGAGCGGCCGATAACGTGTGGGCAGCGGCCAGCCACCAGGTCATGCAGCGAGCTCCTATTCGCACCCTGGCCGGTCGCGCGACTCGAGAGGGTTCCCTGCACGTGGGTACGCTAGGCCCAAGTGCCTCTTCAGAGCAGTGGGACTCATTACCAGGGGGCCGGCGAGGGCAGCCGCCTTAAATGTTCTGGCTGGCTTCCGTAACGGGCAGTCCTGCTCCAGCCAAGGCCAGGCCTAGTCGTCGATGCCATGTACCGCTGGCCCACGCCAATCTCTCTCTCTTAACCGTCCCCGTCCCGCCTCCTGATCTATACTCGCGTCCTCCCCGCCACCACCTCTCAACACCTCTCGCGATCGTCCTCCCGCGCCAGCATGTTCCTGCGATAACCACGCAGCGTCCGGTCGTTTCATATCTGCCGAGGCTCACCTTGCGCCCTAGAGCACGTCGCCGCCCCTTCTTCGCCCACCCACTCACTCACTAGCTCGCTCGCTCGCGCCAGCCAGCCTGCCAGACGTTTTGCTGTGGTTGTAATGTCGGCGATGAGAGCAGTATTTGCGCGGGTCGCCAGTTCTCTTGCTCCGGTATCCACCAAGGAGGCCATCTACCGCGAGCTTCCCTCCCGTGACCAGAGCCCCCTCGGCTCTCCGGCAACCACACACTCCAAATTCTCGACCAGCTCGCCTATACGAAGCAAGATGTCGGAAGCTTGGCGCAACCCGTCCACTCGCAGGAGGCTACAGGTCTGCCTGCGCACCACACCCAGGCGCCTATTCGCCATCGCCCTCTTTGGTTTCTTTGCGGTCGTTCTGCTCGTCGGCGGCGGCGTCAAGGCCCAGAGGTATATGAAAGAGAAGAATGCGCCGCCGCCTCCCGAAGAGGAGCAAGACCCTGGCTACCATTGGCAGAGATACCCAATGTGAGACACTCCCACACCCGTGGCAGCCCCATCCGCCGGGGTACCACAGATATGCAGCATTTGAGACCTGTGTCACTGACCAATCCGCAATTAGCATGAGCGGCTTCTTCAACGGCGTCAAATCACTCGTCAATTACACAGACTGGGAGCCGGAACAGCGCGCCTCGGCTGACACAACATTCGAGATCCACAACTCTATCCCAATGGATCCAGTCGTCGCGAACCCGTACCCCGACTTCGCCTCTGCCGAATATCTCAAGGAGCACAATCCCGTGTCGCAGTGCTACATCGATAAGGCTGAAAAGGTCCCTGCGCCCAACGTCTTTTCTTACCCGGGCATCCCTGCCAACATGACTGCTCCTTACTGGGGTTCTTATGAGCAGCTGAACATACCAAGAGACCGGTGCTGGGAACGGTTTGGACGTTTTGGTCCCTACGGATACAGCTATCCGTGGTCCGAGGGCGGCCTGGGGCTGTCCAACCACTCCGTCAAGACCGGCACCGAGGTGCTCGAGTCCATGTACCACAAGGTCGACTACCGAGGAGTCGACTGGGGCGATGCGCAGAAGCGCTGTCGCGAGAAGAACAAGGCCCGATTTGAGCCCACGACCCCAGGCAAGAAGCCGGTTGCGCGGACAGCGTACGTTCTGCGCACCTGGACTGGGTACAAGTACGACGACATCCAGCTTCTGTCGCTCCGCGCCATGGTCAACGAGCTGTCGCTCAAATCTGGTGGCGAGTATGACGTGCATCTCTTGGTGCATGTCAAGGACGACACGATTCCCATTTGGGCCTCCGAGGAAGTCTACAGAAAGACGTTGCAAGAAAACGTCCCCGAAGAGTTTTGGGGCATTGCGACGTTATGGTCAGAGCAGCAGATGCGGACATACTACCCAGGCCCCTGGATTGACAACCTCTATAACCACGCAAAGGCCGACATCTATGGCGTGTACCGGAGTGCTCATTTCCCGCTCCAGTGGTTCTCCCAACAACATCCTGAGTACGAGTTCTTTTGGAATTGGGAAATGGACGTCAGGTACCTCGGGCATTATTACGAGTTCCACAATGGCGTGGCCAAGTGGGCCGCGGCCCAACCTCGCAAGTTCCTGTGGGAACGCAGTGCCAAATTCTGGATCCCCTCGATGCATGGGTCTTATTCCAAGTTTTCGGCCCTGGTTGAGAAGGAGACCCTCGAGAAGAAAGAGGAGCCGATTTGGGGTCCCGTCAAGTTTCAGACTGATGGATCTGGTCGGGCCGACGGCTTGGGCATGCTGCCCTCCCCCAACTCGACAATTCCACCGACACCGATAGAGCAGGATGACGACGAATGGGGCGTGGGCGAGGAAGCCGACCTGATCACATTCGACCCCCTCTTCGATGTCACGAAGACGAACTGGGTTTTCAAGGACGACGTCACCGGTTACAATCTGACCGTGCCGCCACCTCCCCGCCGCGCGGCCCTCATCACCATTAGCAGGTTGTCGAAGCGCCTATTGGATACGATGCACGAGGAGACGTACAGGATGGCGCACTCCATGTTTCCGGAAATGTGGGCACCCAGCGTCGCCTTCCACCACGGTTACAAGGCTGCGTATGCTCCGCATCCTGTGTATTTTGACCGAAAGTGGCCGGCGGAGACGATGGACAATGTCTTCAACTATCCCAAGGAGCCGCAAGACAGCCCGTTCGCCTGGGGCGAGCACAACTTCCTGGGCAGCACGTTTTACTACAATGCCGGCTTCAGCGCGGCCCTATGGCGCCGGTGGTTAGGCCATGCCGAAGACATTGGCGGTGGTCGGGAGGCGGAGGAGATGGGCTCGGATCGGATGTGCCTCCGTGGCCTTCTCCTTCACCCAATCAAATCGGAAGCGGTAGAGTGAAGGGCCGAGGCTTGCGTCCGACCTGCCTCCCCCCCGTCACTTTTGGTTCGGCCTGCATCTGTTTTTCTCTTTGCTTTTTCTTTTTCGTTTTCCCTTCTCTCGACTACACATTAGAACCGGCGTTCACAGGGTGTTCAGGCAATATCGACGTTTGAAGGCACGGGTTCCATGGGCAGTCATCGGCATCACAGAGCCTACTCTTCTCGCTGGAAGGAGGCCAGCCTTGTCTGCGGTGGCAGCTTTGGTTTCCGCCGGGCTATACGGGTTGGTTGGCTGTGTTTTTTCACGCTAGAGGCGCGACCAAGCGGCATTTGTAGCATTTAAGAGCGTTTTTGACGGGACGGACGGGCAGTACATAATCCTGGGGCGTCTTGTTGGCAGAACGAGCGCCCGCTGTACATGGTCGCTATGCATGAGGAGGGAGGGACAGACGAGCCAGCGTCAACGCGATGACGACGACGGGCCTTGGAAAGCCTAATATGACAATGAAAGATGATTACATTCACGGTCTTGTTGTGTTTTGCAGAGGCACATGTTACTCGCGTCCATCTGCCGTGTCTGCGTGTTTTGCGCTGGAGTGGCGTCGTGGGGAAGTGCGTGATGTTGTTTCGGTGGTGTGTATGTTGCGGCTCCGAGGTTGCGTCATTGATGTGGTCGGCTGTCCGTCGTGCCTCTGGGGCCCCCCAACGAACTGGGGGGAGTCATTTGCGCATGCGATAAGGGAAGGCACCCCCAACGGCTCCCCCGCGTCGCCCGCACCATGCCATGCATGCGCGCAGCTGGAGCTTTCTCAGGCACCAGCCTCTCTCTACACACCTCTTATCATCGCCGAGAGAGCGGACTTCAACTCGAACCACTTCGTGCTTCCTCTTGATTACATTGCATTGCATCTTTTATCATACTTGTTGACACACCACAGTCCACGTACGCCATGAGGTCCTCTCTGCTCGCTCTGCTGCTGCCCGCCGTCGCCTCGGCCCGCTACGTCGAGGCCGGCGAGGCCAACCGCGTCATCCCCTACCCCAGCAACCTCGAGGCCCCCAAGGAGCACCTCATCGAGCTGACTCCCGGCGAGACTCGATGGGTGACTGAGGAGCAGAAATGGGAGCTCCGAAGGGTGAGTCTGCATCTGTGTTCTGGTCAAACAGGGTCTCTCCACCTGCGAGGCACGCAGCCGCTGACGACGTCATCATCATCCACAGGACGGCCAACGCTTCATGGACATTACTGACAACCGCGACCTCGGCTCTCTGCGCATCGCCTCCAAGTCGAAGCCCGTCTTCCCGCACGACGTCACGCTGCAGAAGGAGGTCCGACCGCTGCTCAAGAACCTGTCCAAGGTCGGCATGGAGGATCACCTCAAGACCTTTACGAGCTTCCACACGCGCTACTACAAGTCCGACTACGGCCGCCAGTCGTCCGAGTGGCTGCTGCAGCAGGTCCAGGACACCATCAAGGCCGCGGGCGCCGACAAGCACGGCGTCGAGGCCAAGCACTTCAAGCACTCTTGGGGCCAGAACTCCATCATCGCCACCATTCCTGGCAAGTCCAACTCGACCGTCGTGGTCGGCGCACACCAGGACTCGATCAACCTCTGGCTGCCGTCAATTCTGCCGGCCCCCGGCGCCGATGACGACGGGAGCGGCACCGTCACGATCCTCGAGGCCCTTCGTGTCCTGCTGTCGTCCGAGGACGTCATCAAGGGCAAGGCGGTCAACACAATCGAGTTCCACTGGTACTCGGCCGAGGAGGGTGGGCTGCTAGGCAGCCAGGCCATCTTCTCCGACTATGAGAAGAAGGGCCGTGTCGTCAAGGCCATGCTGCAGCAGGACATGACTGGGTTTGCCCAGCGCACGATTGACGCTGGCAAGCCCGAGAGTGTGGGTGTTATCACCGACTATGTCGACCCCGGGTTGACAGCCTTTATCAAGAAGGTCATTGAGGCTGTAAGTCGCCCGTATTCCACGTTTCTTCATACCCTCTGGAGAACCACTACTGACTCGTACCACCATAGTACTGCGAAATCCCCTGGGTCGAGACAAAGTGCGGCTACGCCTGCTCGGACCACGCCTCGGCCTCCAAGGCCGGCTACCCGTCGGCGTTTGTCATCGAGTCCGAGTTCAAGGACTCGGACGACCACATCCATGGCACCGACGACCAGATCAAGTACCTGTCGTTCGACCACATGCTACAGCACGCCCGCATGACGCTGGGTCTCGTGTACGAGCTCGCCTTTGCCGACTTTGCCAAGCTCGAGGGCGAGGCTGCGGGAGGTGTCGAAGTTGGTGAGCTGTAGAGCGGCTGCGCCGAATGAGGTTTTCAATGAGCGTTTGAGATTGGGCCATGGATCAAGGTTCCGCGAGGGCGGGGAAATTGGCATAGCTTTGTGCATTATCAATAACTACAGCATGGTTTTAAGCATCTAATACTTGGTGCCGTGAACATGGATTTCAATATGTGAACAGTTCCAAATGTGCACTTATCCAGGGGAGGTGGTAAAAGGGCAAGGCAGGCTTACACGCAGCACTCAATCTCATGTGTTGCCTCATCCCGAGCAGGACGACGATCTCTTACGTCTACCGAAATGCAAATGACAAAGGAGAAGATGACGAAGGCAGCGAGGCCAGCATGGACAAGGGCCTTGCCGCCGCCGCGGACACACGACCAGCAACACTCGCACTTGCACCCGCCGCGTCGTTCTCCTCACCACGAGGACCGCCGCCGCGGCTTCCAGGTCGACGAGGAGCAGGCTGAGCTGTCCACAAGAGATCCCCGGTTCCGTCGTTGATGTTGTTATAGCTGCTGCTGCTAGTGTAAGCCGCGATGTTGGGGTAGTTGATCCCCAGGCCGCTCATGTCGATCAGGTCGTTGTCGGCTTCGGTACGAGTGGTGTTGTCGGGCTGGTAGCTGTGGACATGGCTAGGCGCTGCTGCGGCTGCTGGATCTGTCCCGTGCGGTCGTGTGGTGATACCAATAGCAGCATCACCACCATCACCGCCCCCGCCATCACCACCACCAGCGACTCCAGTGGTGACAGGGGCAGAGGTAGTGACCGTGGCCGTGGTTGTAGTGGTAGCCGGGCCAGCAAAATCGCGGAAAGCCTGGCGCGCGGTGATCCCCGTCCAGCGGTTCGTCCAGGCAAAGACCTGGCGGTACCACTCGAGCAGATTCTCGGGCGACTCTATAGTGTGACCCTCTGCTGGGAACAGGACGAGACGGGAGCGTGGTTTTGGAGGGGGGCGGCGTGGATGTAGATGTGGATGTCGTTGGGAGTGTTGGTGGTGCTGGTGCGGTGGGAGGTCAAAGGAGGTGCCTCTTGCTGATGATGGTAGTGAGCCTGGTTCCCTCCCGTGTTGCTGCGGGAGGGTAATCATGCTCAGGTGCCGAGAGTGGCTGAGGCCGCTGCTGTAGGCACTGCCACCACCACCAGAGCTGGCCGTTGTGTTGTGACGCTGGAGGCCACTGTCGTTGCCGCGGCCATTTAGCTGAGGGGCGCTGGCACTGGCGGGCCGCCGACTCTGGCAGACCCGGAAGGCGGCCAGGCTCTCTGTCACGGGGACTTGGTGGTCCCGCTCACCGTGGAGGAGCAGCATCGGTGTGGTCCAGGTTTCGTTCTCGCCGGACGGCATGTAGGGGAAGATCAGGTCTGGCCGGGCAGGATTGTATCGTTCGAGACCCTCGGGGTTGTACTGTAGCTGGCTACTGAGTTGACTTTGCGGACGCGGGGACGGAGCCGGGAAGGATCCGGGAAGCAGTGGGCTCTCGACAGAGATTGGCATGGAGAAACTGCCGAATTGCATGCTGAATGGCCCATGGCTTTGGTTGCTGCTGGTCAAGGCGTAGGATGGGACATCGAACACGCCGGCATGTGAGACGATCGCCTTGAACTATTAATTGACAAACTCGATTAGCACACCATTCACCGCTATACACGGTCCCAAACTTATCGAGAAGATGGGGTACAAGCCCGGAAGGACTGCGATCGACCTACCTTTCGCCCAAAGTCTTGTCCCTGGATCCAGTTCATCATGTAGCCACCGTACCCCGTGCCGGCGATGACGGCGTTGTTCATATCTGTTCCAGGTAACTGCTTCAAGTGTTGGAAGAGGTTGACGAGATCGTCGAACGGGCGACCGCCCCAGCTATCTCGAACGGCTGAGAGTGTGTCAGCTTCTTGCTGAAAGGGATTTCTCAAGACGGCGGAAAGGTTGCTCACCAGACGAAAACTCCAGGCCAAAGCCCGTGCTACCGCTAACATTAGGCAGGACCACGAGATAGCCTTGCTCAGCCCAGACGGCCGCGTTCCACTGCACCGAGGCTGTCATCAGTATTGATAACTAGACCCATGGGAATTCTGACCTACCTGTGTATCCCAACAATTGTCCCAAGCTGCAGTAGGACCATCGTGCACAAGTATCGCCACCGGGTACTTGTGTCTCTTAGGGTCAAAGTCTCGCGGCCTCACGACATGTGCCTGACAAAAGTAGTCGCCCCCGCGGGAGCCTTCGCCTCCTTCAAAGTATATCTCGGAGACCTGGCTGCGAGAAAGTCCCAGACCTGCCCCGTGTCTAGACAGCGAGGAGACAGGCATCGGCTCGACGTCGGGTCCGTCAACCAACACAACCTGGTACAGCGAGTTCTCCACGAAGCTCGAAGTGGTTACGAGGACCCGCTCGTTGTCGTCAGCATGGAGAGGGTACACTCCATGGCACGAGCCATGCGATGAAGTGAGAAGAGACCGTGGGCGTGCATGTGGCTGCAGCTCGAGCTTGAAGAGGGCAACACGCCCGCACTCTCGTGCTGTGAGGTACATGGAATGGCCGTTTGGCGAGAAGCAAAAGTCGACGAGGCTCGACTGCCATTGGTCCCCGTGGCCCGTCACCATGTCGGAGACGCTGATAGCATTGAGTGACGGCTCGTGGACGTGCTTGATGTATATTTGTCGGTCTTCTGGACACTGCACTGGGGCGTGTATGAAGCCGATCATGGTTCCATCCTTGTTGAATTTAGGCTGCGAGCAAGTCCCTGGAGACACACTACGCACTCTGAGCTCGAGAATATCAAGCCCATGCTGGCTCGTGTATGAGTACAGCGGGGTGTAGTAAACAGTCGCCTGAAGCCCATGCCTGACGGGGTCTTGACTGCTGGGATTGCTTGCTACAAAAACAATACCTCGTTCGGAGATGTCGTAGCTGTCGAAGCCACTTGGTTCCGGGTTATCGTTTGGCACAGCCAGGTCAAGATCTGTGTTTCGCATCGCATTCTTGAAAGGCTGTGCCAGTCTCCAAAAGGCACCATCACGTTCGATGCTCGAATACCAGACTGCGAGGCGTCGCGAGGTCGTGCACGAGTTCCACTGGGCCGCGGAATGTCAACAGAAGAAATCTCGCCATGAAGAACGAGTATCATATCCGGCGGTTGTACTACTCACTTGTCTCGTCCGGCAAGACTCAAACGCCCGTGCTGTGTGCAACCGCTTTTTCTCAAGCTCCGGATTATGCAGGCTTCCATCTGAATTGGTCAATCCGACAACTGCGATGCCAACGCTGCCATCTCGAAGCCTTTTGAGTTTCAAGTCTCTGGTAAAGCCGGGGATGGGCCCAAGGACGACAGCTGGGTCAGATAACCTGTCCACATCCTTGAACATGATCCAGGTCATCCCGAGCTCTCCGCCTTTGAGGTACACAATGCAGTGTCGGCCGTCTTGATCGAACCAGGTTGCATCGTGGGCCTTTTCATCGTCGACCGCGACCCACGAGTTGCTTGTTTCGATGTTGATGATTCTGATCTCCTTGCGTGTCACTCCGCCAACCTCGTGGGTCGTTTGTGTGTAATGAGCCAAAGAGCCATCATGGCACGGAACAGCAGGGCTTCGCCGTGGGGTCGAGACCAGGAGCTCCGGAGTCAGCTTTTCGACCAGCATGTTGTTATCATGAAATTATCGATGAGTGTCAACTGGTAAAGGATCAAAAGGGAGCATCGAGTCGTAAGACCGACCAGGAATAACATTCGACTACAGGACAGCAACGACTTCACATGATACAGCGTACTACGCGCCGCTAATGTAATTGCGGCTCTGGGCACCTACTACAGGCATCTGAATAACGACCACCCCAGCTTGCGTAGGCGTCCAAACCTGGCCGCGTGGTGGTCAAGGAGTAGTGAGACCCATGAGTACGTACTCAGTGTACCCTCAAGGCAATACCCCGAACCGAAATGCGTGAGAATGGCCAGCTGCTGCCAAATTGGCTGTGAGCACGCCCGCATTGCGCGGCCGCACACCTGCTCAAGGTGGTACACGTCGCTGAAAGAGACCAACCCGGGGCCAGAGAATGTGGAAGCCTGGACGTGGGGCTGCTAGCAAGATGGGGAGAATGGTCCGAAATGGGTTCGGGAGGCGCCCAGAACACCAAGGGCTATTGTCCAGGCTGTACCCCGGGCCTGGCCAAGAGAGTTTGCAGTCGATCGTTTTGACGGGGATTGACACGTACTCCAGGCAACAGATCAGGTCGATCATATCCCACCCAGCAACCAGGAGGTTAAGAAGCTGATGGGCGACATTGATTTCGAGCAAACACTCTCAGCATCGGCTTCAACCATGACTGTCTGCCAATGGCGATGGTGGCACCCAAAACAGAGTTGTGGCGAGCATTAAGCATACCTTGTGGGCTGCAGCTCGATGGTGGGAAGCCAGGTGGTCTTGAGGGGAACAGGCAGCAATGTTGACGATGTGCCCAAGCCAAGACTTGCAGTCTAGCAGAGTGTCGTCTTGTGTGGTCGAGTAGCTGGGACACTAGTAGGTCATATTAGTGTAGAGGTGCCCTTTGGAAAGGTGCCGCGGTTGGCCTGGCCATGCTTGTATCCTCATTCAAGAGATGCGCAGTCAAGGGAATGCATTTTGGTGCTCAGGCTTATGCTTATGCATCCATCCACGCATTTCGCCTGTCAAACGATGCACGTAGGGTCCGAACGTGAACGTGGGTCTCACACGGTGCACGCAGAGACAGTGTGTTCATATGTGCTCATACGGTTAAAACACTGTGCTCGACATCTCCGGTGTCGGCGGGGCCTGGGGAGACAGGGACGCCTCCGGGACGCGCCTGCAAATGGGCTGATGTGCCTGCGTGACTGCACCAATGGGTGCAATCACAGCCGCTCCGTTTTTTCCCCCGTGTGCCGGTCCGTGATTACGTCGTGGATCATTGCTGGGGTTCCCGTTCCGATGCTTGTCAGCATTGCACAGAGGCTTTCGGACGCTGCCCGGGCCCGACGTCGCCGATTCTTTCAGTGCTTTGGTCATCATCGTGCGAACTGCCTGTCTGACGGTCTTGCCTCTTCCTTTTCTTCATTCGGTGTCTGTCATGACCACTGCTGACCACGCTGCTGCACCAACGTTCGACGCCCTGGCTGCTGATCTGCACTCGTCTTCTTGTCTGCTGCGGTCTCCGTTAGTTCAGCCAATTGTCAAGCCGTGACCTCGCCTTGATACGGCACACCGCATAACCGGGTACATGTCTTTCTGCTGGACCGAGTTAAAGAAAACCTAGGCTTTCAGCACGATAGGAATGCATCCACGAGCAGAAATCCTTCATTCCCCATCCTTTTCTCCCGCCCGTTGTGTGGTCTAAGCGTCTAAGCATCTCTTACCTTCGTCTTGTCCTGCTCGCCATTCGTAAGCTGGGATGAAGGACGTTGCGACGACTCCAGCGCCACCAGCCTCACCACCAGAGATGGGCTTGGCCTCCACCTCGTCCAAGGTCCCCGTGCCGCTGCCCAGTAAGGACGCCATGGCGGGCCCAGCCAACGAGCTGCGGAAGCAATGGAACACCAAAAATCTTGGCGGCCGGCTGGCCACCGATTTTGTCAGCGCCTTCTGTGCTGCTTCAATGGTTGCGCCAGTCATCTCAATAATAGATAGGTACGTTGTGAAGTCTAACAGGTAGGCTTGCCATGTGGCTAACCAGCGCCGCAAACGTGTGTAGGTCAATCATGGAGAATGCTAGTGGTCGGGCCACACTCAGCGACTCGCTCAAGTCATCGTTCCGCAATTTACTGCTCCGCCCGCAAACAGTGCTCTTCTCGAAACCAGTAGCTCTCATCGTTATGCTGTACGGCGGCACGTATCTGACAGCCAATACCCTCGACACCTGTACAGCAACTGTAAAGAACCGCCCGGCCACTCTCGTCACATCGGGCACCACAAAGTTCTTTGCCAGCTCCGCCAGCAACATCGGCCTCTGCATATACAAAGACGCCGTCTACGTCAAGATGTTTGGCCCTGCGACTGGCTCCCCGCGACCAGTCAGCCTTCCGTCCTACGCCCTCTTCACACTGCGCGACTGCCTCACCATATTCGCGTCTTTCAACGTCCCGCCACTTCTCGGCCCCGTCTTCGAATCCAAGATGAGCAATGAGCTGCGAAAGAAGATATCGGGCCAGACCATGGCGCAGTTCGCGGCGCCGGCCTGCGTCCAACTCATCAGCACACCCGTACATCTCCTCGGCCTGGACATTTATAACAGGCCCAATGGCCACGCAGGCCCGGTCTCCTGGCAGGACCGCTGGACGCAGGTCCGGCGCAACTGGCTCACCAGCTCGATGGCTCGCATCTGCCGCATCGTGCCTGCTTTCGGCGTGGGCGGTACGGTCAACGCAAAAGTCCGCAGAAGCCTGATGGAGAGGCTTTCATGATAAAAGGAGGTTTTTTTTGTTCACTTTCCGAGAAAGGTTGGGCACGAGAGTATGGCTTATGACTCATGAGCAAAAGGTACTCTGTGGCCTCTTATGACCTTGATTGTTTTTTGGTAGTTCTCGTATGGCGTTTATGGGAGTTATGAAAGGGTTTGCGTCACGCGACCGAGGTTTTCTTCGCTATCTTTGGTCTTTTGCTGCCTGGGCTACGATCGTCCAGACCGGATTCTGTACGATACGCTTTTGTGAGGGGTCTTTAATCAAAAATGCAGGAAGTAATGTGGTGCGCTTTACTCTTTACTCTGGGAACTCGGGATATAGACAGTGATGGAAGGAGAACCGTCAGAGGCAATATAAGCTGTAGTGGACTAGTCATCTGCTGCCCAATCTGCACACCATCCAGGGCGTGTTCTCATATAGAATCAACCATTTAACCAGCTTGACGAGCACAATCGGTCACCCGGAGAACAAGTCTATGTATTGTGTTTGGAAAAGGGCTCCCAACCTTATAATATACCTGAAGCGTTTAGCGCCTGGATGAGTTTATCACTTTCGGACAACGCTTTGTCCCTTCTCTTGCCGTGCTTCTCTGCCTGTTTCCTCTCGGCCCTCCGCGCCTCCGTGTCAATAAAGTTCTCCCAGAACTTGAGACCTTCGATGCCTTCCTCACGACACAGCACCCCCCGCTCTTCGGCCATCTCGAGCTCCTCCTCCGCAACGCCGATGCTCCACCCGAAGCGCTCTGCTGCATCGAGCGCGGTGACACCACGGCCAAACTCGCGCCAGTCCCAGGGCACGTCCTTGTCGGGTGGGAATTCGTGCAGGTCGCGCAGCCACGCGAGAAGGGACCGGATCGTGGTTTCGTCGGTCCGGTCGCGGCTCTGTACCACCATGACGCCGCTCTTGAATGTCCGCAGCCGCACAGGCAGTTTAAGATCCTCCCATAGGCGCGCCGCCTTCTCGAACTCAACCGGGCTCACGAGCTCGACACCCCCACGCGCCCTATTGAAGATGGCCCACAAGTCGACGAGGCTGACGATGCCACCGGCCTTCTTCAGAACGCCCCGCGCGTCGTCAGTCAGGAACTCTGCGAGGTTCCTTGACAGTTCGGAGATGTAAAGTGACTCGGAGCCGGATCCCCCTCCACCACCAACAATGTCCTTTGTTGTCACAAGACCGAGCTGGCTCACCGACTCTGCCAGCATCGCCACCTCTGGCGACGAGCCATCACTGTTAAGTTGCCGACCGAGAGAGTTTGCTAGAGCGATCACTTCCTGTGCAGAAGCCATGAGCGCATCAATGTCCTCGAAGGCATTGCCGATGGTCAGCTCCGTATTCTTGCGTTTGTCCAGGCCCATCTGCTCCAGACCAGCGATGCCTGCCGACCGAACTCGGACCGACCCGCCAGAGTCTCTTGCTCGGCCATCGCCGAACCTCCCATCATCATTGCGGCCCGGGACGGGCGGCGCCGCGTGCAGGAGCCATTTCCGTTGTGTAAGCGAGCCTTTGAGCTTCTCGTAAAACACCTTCTCCCCTCCAGCTCGGAACGAGATCTTAACACTTTCCGGATTCTCAAGGCCAGCGATGCTCCCTACAGTCAGCATTGGCCCCGGGGAGTCGACGCGTACCGGCTCGCGTGCGGAATTGGGAACCTGTGGTTCCCCCGTCACCAAAGGTGCTCCACACAACTCGCACGACAGCAACGACGGATGGTTTAGGAATGTGCAGCGGGGGCAGTGGACGCCATCCGAAGCCGTTCGGCTCGGTGGGAGTTCACCGGGCGGTGGAGATCCAGTGTCGGTGGTGTCTGCTAAAGATGCTGCAGTTCCTGTTGTGACTAACGAAGGCACGGATGGCGATGGCGAAGCTATGCTAGGAGACGGGATCTGCCGGCTCGCGACGTTGGAAATCGCAGCTTTGAGGACATGTGTGAGAGCGGGCTTGATGCCGCAAGCCAAGCATGGCGGTAGCGGTGTGTGTACGTTCGCGGTAGCGGGATCGAAGTTGGACGGGACAGGGTTGGGGAAACTGCATATCGTGCAGACCCAGGTCGCCGCCGTGGCCTGCGGAGCACTAGGCGGCTGCGGAGCTCGATAGCCAGAGTCTGAGGCCTGGGACGGAGTGCCGGTATTGCTCCTCGAGGGGCTCGAAATGGCCGTGCTCGTGGCTGTCCTGGACTGGAAGGAAGATCGCTTCGCTTGCCTAGGAATGAGCGTTACCTTGGCCGACGACTTGAGGAAGCCAGCCTGTCGTGGTAGATATGCAGATCAGTACACGGTTGGCTGGAGCGCCGGCTAGCGACGAAGAGCCTCACGGTTGCAGGCAGGGAAGGGACAGACGTACATAGAACTCATGGCGCTCGATGTCCTTAAGGTCAAGTCCGACCGAGTGTTTACGAGGCTCCTGCTTGTCAACATAGCAGATGCGATGTGACGTCAGGTAGACCTGGCCATTCTGCTGGTTGGGAAGCTTGAACTTGCTGCAGACGGGCGTTTAGGAGTCGAGTTAGTAACCGCTGACGGAGGAGCAGTGCGCGGCAAGGCGGAGGGCAACGAAGCTGCGAAGATGAGGCACTCACCCCTCGTAGAGCCCCACGTTGTCTTGGACGAGAAGGAGGACTTCATCGGGGAGGTATGCAGGCCGCAAGGCGGTGGTGAGGTCGATGAGTTTTAGAAACATTCGTCATGCCGGTCGGTGCCAGGAGTCGGCGACGTTGCATGAGGAGACGTGGGCAGCCAGCAAGTGAATGCAGGAAATGGGAGGGCGGCATTGTGATATGACGGCACCCAGCGAACGATGTATGGGTGCGACTAGGTATGCGATAGAGTCGCGTGGGGTGGTGTGGAGAGCTGCGCTATCGCCCAAATCCTCCCGCCAGGTCAGGCAAGCAGAGCCTTTCGCCAGGCCAAAGTGCCATGCTCCCACTCTTTCCGGGCACTTGTACACAAAGGGTTATTTGCTCTGAAGTATATTCTCCCCTTAGAGCAAGTATCCCCATGTATGCCTTTGTTGCTGTGTTGATGTGCACGTCAAAGACCAGCTTTGGAGCTGGAGGATGCGCTCTAACCAGACGCCGCCCCACCGGGCTCCTTCGAGTCCGCGCTTGCAGGCGTCCACCTGCCATGCAGCGATGCATGGCTGCCTCAAGGTGTCCGGAACGTAGCCGCCAGCCAGCTGCCTCGGGCCCGCGCCCAGCCACCGCCAGGGCCAATCCGGACACTTGCAAGCACTTTGACCCTGCCCACCTGATCACGCCCAACGGCGCCAAAAATCCACCTCGCACCACCACTTTGCCTGGTTATTTGCCTCTCCTCACCCACACTCCAGCGTTTCTTCATCTCACCCACCGCCTCTCTTCCATCCCCTCTTTCCACAACGCAGGCTCGCAGTCCATCACCAGCCCCGATCAACCTCTCCTGTCACAACACGCGCGACTGTCTGCCTCTCACCTCCTGCTAACCTCTTTGTCATCGCCACGATATCCGCCACGCCACGTCGCGAGCACGATCCGCCCTACTGCTACCAACGCGCAATCGACCATCCAAGCCAGGCAGCAATGTCCTGGGCAGCACCACCTGCCGCCGCCGCTACTCAGCCGGCCGCGTCGTATGCTTATTCGATGAGTGAGTTCTGTCCCTGTTGCCCCATGTGATTTCTCAACTGACCACCCACCCCTTTACAGACACCGCTTACACTGCCGTGCCTGTCCGTCAGACATTCGGCCAGAGCTACCAAGCTCAACCTCAATATACGTACAACGCATCCTCTCCTACTAATGCCCCTTCGCAAAACGCTCCCGCCATGCCTGCTCCCCCGGAACAGCAGGTGCCTGCCCAGCAGCAGCAGAAAGTCGACTGGCCCGACTCCGTCCGTAGATATGTCCAACGCTCGTTCCAGGAGTCCAACATCGACTCCAGCGTATCTCGTGCCGACATGGAGGCGCGACTCAAGCAGACCATCCGTTACACCCAGGACACTGGCACCATGCTTTCTACCAACTGGGATTTGATGCCACTGCCTCAGCAAATGATCAAGACCGAAAGGCAGCAGGCGATCCTGGCCACGATGAACATCCCACCTGGGTATGAGCAGGCCACGGCCGCAGCTCTCCAGGCTGTCTCCAACCCCAAGAAACGTGCCTCTTCAGATCTTTCATCCGATTTTGCCAACGCAAATAGTTCCGTGACCAGCCCGTGGAAGCCTAATGCCAACAAGATGAGCGCCTCTCTCCAAGACCGGATCTCGCGCCCAACCACCGACTCCGCAGCTTCTGCTAAAAGTAAGTTCCAGAAGAACACGGACAAGCGGCAACGTCGTGGTGATGGAGGCTATGTCTCGTCTTATCGCTCGCCCAGCCCAGAGCCCAGCGCCGGCCCTATCGTAGGACTGAACACGACCCTCGAGAAGAGATACCTGCGATTGACCTCTGCTCCTAAACCTGCGGATGTTCGGCCGGAGCATATTTTGCGTCAGACCCTGGATCTGCTGAAGAAGAAGTGGAGGAAAGAGGGCAACTACGCCTACATCTGCGACCAGTTCAAATCACTGCGCCAGGACCTGACTGTGCAGCGCATCAGGAACGAGTTCACTGTTTCCGTATATGAGATCCATGCCAGAATAGCTCTGGAAAAGGGGGATCTCGGTGAGTATAATCAGTGTCAGACTCAGCTTCGCGTCCTGTACGCATCGGGCATCAAGGGCAGCCACATCGAGTTCAAGGCCTACCGCATTCTCTATTTCCTGCACACCGCCAACCGCAGCGCGTTGAACGACGCCATGCTAGAACTAACCTCAGCAGAAAAAGAAGAGCGTGCTATCAAGCATGCCCTGGACGTGCGCTCCGCCCTCGCTCTGGGTAACCACCACAGATTCTTCCAGTTGTACCTCGATGTTCCTAACATGGGCGCATATCTCATTGATATGTTTGTAAAGCGCGAGCGCCTCGCTGCTCTTACCAGCATGTGTAAAGCGTAAGTCAACCCCGTTTCGTCTGAAAAGCCCGTCCAGGTCACTAATCCGGTCTACAGGTTCAAACCAGATGTCAAACTCCGCTATGTTACGGAAGAGCTCGCCTTCGAGTCGGATGCTGAAGCTGCGCAGTTCATCATCGACTGCAACGGACAGCATCTACTCGAAGAGAAGGCCGACCACATTGCCTTCTTGACTGGCAAGGCCGGCCAACTCTTTGAGCAAGCTCGAGCTTTGGCCTTCAGCCGCGTCGACTTGAAGGGGCAGATTTGATAACTTGCTTCGTTGTGACCTCTTATTTTATTTTCGCCTCCCGCCCTGCTCCTTCCAATGAAAAGCCTAAGCACGATATCGGTACCAGCACGATGCGGTTCGCAGTTTCAACGGCAGCGAGTCAGGCGACAAAATTGCCAACTTTGGCTTGCATTGATCCTTGGACTCACGGCGGTCTCGAGTAGTCGAAATGGACTACAAGCTCGAGGACAATGGCTGATCGAAGTGCTCCTCAAGCCAGCCACCGTCGACATAGCATCGCGCCAGTGGTACCACCATTGGTCATGACCTAGTACGACGATGGGGTTGTGCTTGCACGTCTTGCCTTCTAGCAGAAGTGGAAGCGGCCCCGTTGTACCGGTCCGAGTCACGATATAGCCCGGTCGGCTCTGGGGATATTGTGTCCCTCTCGCTCCCTTACGATCACAGGGGATTGCTTTTCGGCGTTCGTGGTCCAGCGGCTCAATGTTTTTTCTAATGATACCCCATCGAGTGACGACATGCCAGCACACCGTAGCCGACAACGAATGCCAGTGTTTGGAGTTTTGGACATCCCTGGGAACAGCGATCATGCAAAAGTACCAGTCTTTTCGCGCGTCTTCGCGCTTTGTAGTTACATAGCACCTCTTTAGAAACATAATTCACTTTTTTTCTTCCATCTTCCATGAAATCCCTGGAATCGTAACCGGTGACTCCATGTTAAAGCATAAGTTGATGACGTGCGATTTGAGAAGTGGTATTACAACAAGCCATCACGATGACAGAGTTGTGGCTTCAACATTTCTGATCTTCCTTCAGGAAAAGAAAAAAAGAAAAAAAAACTTTCAATTATGGTTGACGGTCAACAACTATCACTCAGCACCGACTCGTGGATAGGAAGCCTACTAATAACATACATCAATCTCACCCATTCAAGTAACTCGGACTACACCCGATGTGGCTGCTGTCGGTGAAAGAAAAAAAATGCCCTAGGTTGAGTGTGTAATGTGCGGGCACATTATCTCTTTGATTCCAGGCACGATGAGGACGAAAGCGCGAGTTCACGATTGTCATTCTGCTCTGCTTCTTCCCGGCTCGTAGAGTGGTTCACTCTTTTCACCTGGCCACACCTTACCTTCGCGATACGTCAGATTTTCACGATTTTTTTTCCCTCCCCTAGTTGACGAATCGCGGGGCTAGGCTTTGTCACATTTATAGTAGGTCACGCAAAAAAAATAAAAAAATAAAAGAATTCCTCTATGTGGAATCTGTCGCGCGAAGTTCTTCGCAGGCGGACGAGAACCGCAGCCCACTCAGTATACTCTACCTGCGTACGGGCTAGGGCCCTGGTTGCACTCTCAACTGTTGTAGAGACTTGGGTAAAGTAGGCCTCCAATCCATGTTGGAGGGGGCCGAAGACGGATGATGCATGACGTTGAACACCAGGAGGGGGGAGGGGGCGGGAGGAGGGGTTCCCAACGGATGATGGAAGTGCCGGCCGGGCAAGGGTCATTTGACGTATGCACTTTACGGACGATGACCTGACTGCACTGGAAGCAACCCCCTGGCCGATTCAGGGAGGGCAAAGTTGACAAAGAGCAATATGGGAGTGGCAGGTAATATGGTCTGTACCTTGCATGTAATAGCGGGAACACATATACCGGCGACTCGCGACCGTTTCATCTATATGGCGGGGATGCTGGAGGGACGCATTCGTGGTGACGGTATCACCGCCCGCACCCGCGTCTTGGGTTGTGCTCTCAATCTCTATCGTTGCCATCGCATGGTTCTTCTGTCACCGGATCGTGTCTGGCCCGGGCAGGTCGACATGGACTGCTGCCCAGGTAATTCCTTTGGCGTGCTTTGGGTGGAGGAATTGTCGAGCGCGAGCTGCCAACGGACGAAACGATCATCTAGAGCCTGGTCATAGGCCACCAGCATGGTTGGCGTTGCTATTCAGAGGAAAATCTCATGTCGTTGGGATGGTCATCACCTGTGTGTTGTTGTCGGCTGCTCGGAATGAGGTTTCACTAGTGACTAAGACATCAACACGCCTGAGAAGGTGGACCTTTGTTGCCAGTGCTTCAACGTATCAGAACAATGGCACGCTCCGCAAGGTCGACCGCATCAGCAAGCCTGCTGGGCGAGCTAACCAGGCGTGTGTCAACAGGAGTGGTGGCATTTTGTTCCCATGATGTGTACTGGCACGGGCCCTGTGGTCGCTGGTAGCTGGTTTGCGACAACGGTCATGCCGTGCACTGATTAGAACAAAGCTCAGCGAGACGCAATATCTGAGTAGTCAGCCGTTCTTGACGACTCTGTCGAACGTCACCCCAAGTTTCAGACAGCCCCGGCAAGGTTGCAACACCGGAACGACTTGCATGAAGCCGGAGGTGCCATGGAACAGGGGGGTGGGTGAGCTAAGCTCTCAAGGCCTACGCGTGGAGGCACTGCCAAGGACGACGATCACCAGAAGTTGATATGACGATTTGGACTTGGAGCCGAGTGTCTCGTGCTGCCTCGTAGCCTATGCTGTGGTGGTCGGCAGGTATGTTGCCACGATGAACCTCGACAGAGACAAGTGTATGGACAGAAAAACAGCTAGCTACTCGATGTCGTAGCCGGAGTCCGTCTGATAGACCGACGTGCGAAGCTCCCGTTAATGCTGCTGTATCTCAACGAGTATCAACACTGGCCGGGTTGTGGGCACGCATCGGTATCTTGTCTCATTGTGGCCGGACAGGCTAGGCCGGGGCGTGGCAGTCAGACTGATCGGGGCTTTGTAGGCTCTGTTGGATTATTGGTGCTATGTCTCCGTCGGTAGGTCGACTTGTCAAGGTTGCCGGCTTATGTTTTCGTCCACGTACCTTATTCTGACAGAGGTGTTGAGCTTACTCTCCTCACTACTCAGCACTATGGATTCAAGCCCACATCGACAACTGACGGCGCACCCTCGCCTCTCAGCACATGTCTCAACTCAAATTGGGCTCCGGGAAATTTTTGACAGGGGAAGCGACTCTGCTAGAATTGCTCGAAAAACTTCGTGGGTTGAAGGCTCTTCGATCACGATTGGGAAAGTGGTGTGCAAGGAAGGGTCTGTAAGGACCGGCTTCGAAGATGGTGCCCACTGCCAAGACATCAAGATTGTGTCTGGGGCGGATCCCGTCGGGATTGCTCCGCCGATCTGGAATGATTGACTTTGTCTCAGTAGTAGAGTCATTCCCTCTCAGTACGATCTGGATGAGAGAAAAGCGCAGCCAAGCGGCGGGACCGTGTCCCGGCCCGGGCGTATCATATCAACCCAGAGACAATGACTGGCTCCATGGAAGTCTCCGTCCTTCATAATAGTCGCATGATCTCGTCGCAGGGTGGCGACGTTCTCATTTATCGCGTGGCGCTCAGGCGCCATGATCCAGCTCTTACTGGGCTTTTGGCTCCAGCCTTAGTCGACGACGCCGGCTGCCTGCGATCCTGTCGAGGATGGGTGCCCTGGCCCGCCGGCCCCAGCTTTTGGATGGCGGCCGAGTCCAAGCCTGTGGAACAACCCCCACTGCCATGTTTGTAGCGCGCCCATCTGGGAGCCCACGCGCAGGGATCATCCATGCATGTATTTGGCAGCCCAATGTCGAATGCCCGAGCTGTATCTTCCTCTACTCCACTGTCCCTGCATGATTGCCCCTCTTGGCCTTTTTTCTCCTGGACAATGTTACAGGCCTAGCGGATGCTCACGGCTCAACCACTACCGTAAATGAAACGAAAGTCGAGGCTCGAGAATAAGTGCGACGCCGGCTGGTTGTTCGAAAACGTTCATCCTCCTTGCGGTCTCTGCCGCGTCTGGGCACGGGTATTGCCGCTGGCACTCTGCACTCTACGAGCGCTGCCTTCATGTCTTTGCACTTCACAGACAGGTGTCGTCAGGGGCGCGACCTGTATGGGCTGCTGCTTGCAGGCAACAAACATTGTCGGATATTTCCGACTTCCGCTCCCGGCGCTGGCGCTGGCGCAAGATATGAGAATGAGACTGCTGAACGTTCTTTTTGCGTGCGCCGTGATGGAGGGGTGAACTCTACTCTGACCACATTCTTCCGTTGCGGCCGCGGGCTCTGCCTAACCAACCAAGGGCTGTTGGGCGACCCCTGCGCTCGGTGTTTTAGGCCCAGGATGGCCCATTCTACCCATTGCGCTGTGAGGAGCGCCGGCTGCACTTCCCCGCTGCTGCTGGCCGGGTTGCTTTTTCGCATAGGGAGCGCAGGGGCTTTCCCGTCTGCCGTTGCGGCCCAAGTGCTGGTTGAGTCAGATGGGATAGGTCAGACTCGATAGTGACAAGAGCAGGCGGTTGGCCGGGCGGGCAAGGGCCTGAAAAGGGAAGTTGACGAGCCCTGCATCCGTTGCTGCTGCTGCTGCTCGTTCTTTGTGTGAATCAGTCTATGTACTGGCAGCCGAGGTGTCGCGTGGCTTTGGCGTCGTGTTCGAGCTGGGCCTTTGAGTCGGCGGTAGCAGCCGCAGCAGCAGCAGCAGCACAATACAACAGGGCGGCGCGTGCGTGTCATTCATTGGGGGGCAGTGGCGGCTGCGAGCACTGACTGGCCCGGTCCCACCATCGCTGGCTGCATTGATTGATTGATGCAGGCAGGCAGGTGCGCCTCAAAGCTGGCTCCCCTCTCTCGCCTCCCTCCCGCCAGCTCTCGCAGGCACGCTTGTCGACGCCGGGCGTTTCTCCCAGTAATCAACCATTCCTCTCCTCCAGTCTTTGCTCCCGCCGTCGTCGTCGTCGTCGTCCCTCCTCTGCCCGCCAGCCCGTCCTGCACGAGAGCAACAACTGCGACATCTCCTACGAGCTCCCGCAACGTCTACGCGCCCTCCCCGCTCCCAGGCGCCCATAATCTCACTGATCCTAGACCCCGCCGCCGGCGTCCGCCCACCCTGCGCACCCACGCGACCCGACTGCCATTTTCCGCACCTGCCCAGACGAGCCTTCCATCGCCAGGAAAGGGGAACCACAAGACCGTAGGCTTGGGAGCCGCAACTTCGCGACTTTGGTCACAGCCTTCTCCTACCGTCCGGACATACATTTGGTCCGTCTCTAGCCAGAGTCGCCTTCGCCGCTCGTCAGCGCAGACAAAAAGCAACGCGCGCTGCCCACCCCACGCTCAGTGCTGAATCCCCATTTTTGTCTCTGTATCCATCGAGTCATTTCGCAACCCTGCGGCCGACTTGAGCTATTATTCCTACTCACGCTTCCCCCAGCGATTGTCGCCAGTCCGCCTCGGAAACGCCTGACCCTGCGGCTTCTCTACATTGCTGGACCTTGTTCACAATCAAGACCGCGCCTCGTCGCTCGCTGACCCGAGTGCCGTCCCTGGGCCCCGACGACTGCTGTCAATCAGCAGCCGACAAAGAACCCACTTTCGTCATTACCGCTGGTTGTAGCTGGTTCCCGGTCGCCAGAATTGCGAGCTAAGCGACGCAGTGCCAGAATTCTGCTGCTGGTTCTGCCTGCGCTGCGCCCCTCCCAGCCCGCTCCGCCCGCCTCTGCGGCCTCTCGTTTCTAAACATACCCGCTCGTCACACACTGCCCGGATCCTCCGCCTGGGTTTTGCTACAATGAAGGTGCGCGACTCTCTTTTCTAGTTTTTGCTCCTCAGACACAGCATCTTGCACCCCTCTACTCCCACCAGTTGCCAATCATCATCATGCCTCCCTGGCGCGAATCATTCTCGTTTTTCGAGCCCTCACGGCGGGACTCGGATGGCGCAGACTCTGGGCTGGCTCCTCACTTTCGTCACAGCCGCCAAGCCATGACTGCAACATGGCGCCGCTCCAGATCGTCGCGAGATCCAGACGCGTTTGCAATCCCGGCTGCTAACAAACCGACCTTGATGCAGGCCCTCAGGCGATCGATCAAGGGCGACAAGGACAAGACGCCGCAGGTGTCCATTGCCCCAAAGTCGGCCGTCGCAATCGTCCCTCCCAAGAAGGTCAGTACTGCATCTGGCTGAGCGCATACACCACCACCGAGCGTGAGTCCCAGCTCTCTAACATGAATCTCTGTGCAGGTGATTCGCGCACTGTACGACTACGAGGCCCAACAAAGCCAGGAACTCAGCTTTTCTCGGGGCGACTTCTTCCACGTTATCGGTCGCGAAAATGACACCGACTGGTACGAGGCCTGCAACCCAGCGCTCCCAGATGCGCGCGGCCTCGTCCCTGTAGCCTTTTTCCAGGCCCTCGGCCGCACTGAGAGGGACAGCGCCCAGTCCGACTCAGGCCCGCGCACGTCGGGACCCAAGATCCCCGACCATGACTCTGGCTTCGCTGATTCCAATCCACTTCCGATGTCGCCACCGCCCGCAGCCGTCGCATCACCCAACCCAGCTGCCCCGGCCAATTCCGGCCATCGTGTTTCCAAATCCATTGGCAAGACTGGCTCCATGGTGTACGGCATAGTCATGTATGACTTCCAAGCGGAACGCCCAGATGAGTTAGAAGCCAAGGCTGGAGAGGCCATCATCGTGATCGCCCAGTCGAACCCTGAGTGGTTTGTTGCGAAACCTATCGGTCGTCTTGGCGGTCCCGGATTGATCCCTGTGTCCTTCATTGAAATCCGAGATATGGGCACCGACAAAGCCGTGGCCAACCCTGGCGATGCGATCAAGCGCGCCGGTGTTCCCCGTGTTGAAGAGTGGAAGAAGATGACTGCAGAGTATAAGAACAGCAGTATCACGCTCGGCAAATTTGACGTGGGTGGCGCGCCAGGCGCACAGCAAGGAGTCGAGCAGGGCATGGAGCGCATGAGCCTTCAGCAGCAGGCAGCAGTGCGACAAAGCCAGCAGCAGCCCAATTACCCTTACGTGAGTACTTTGCACACACGAATGGACTCGTGAAGAAGTTATGCTAATCAAAGGACACGGTTCTCAGTCACAACAGCAGAGTCCACAGCAGCAACAGCGCAACACACAGCAGGGACAACCTGGCCAACAGTATGGCTTGCGATCAGCATCAGACCTTCTTGCACCCATATCAGCCCGCATTCCGAGATACTGCTTCGCCGAGGACAAATACTGGTTCGTGGTTGAGACGACACTGGAGGACGGAAGGCAATGGGAGCTGTCCCGCTATTATGAAGACTTTTACGACTTTCAAATCGCGCTCTTGACGGAATTCCCCAACGAGGCGGGCAACACCGGAACCCAGAAGCGCACGCTCCCATATATGCCTGGGCCAGTCAACTACGTCACAGACGCGATCACGGAAGGTCGGCTGCACAACCTGGATATGTATGTCAAGAACCTGCTCGGTCAGCCAGAATACATCTCTCGGTGCAACCTGGTGAAGCAGTTCTTCGCCCCCCGGGAAGGTGATTATGAGACCGATGGTGCTCAAGACGGCGAGTACCGGTTATCAGGAGGTTCGAGGTCTTCAACCGATTCTCCTCGAGATGGCAGTTCACGACAGTCATCAAAGAACAACCTTAGTGGCCAAGGCTACGGAGGATTATCAGCCGCGCCGAAGCAGATGCAACAAAACGGCCAGCCGCCAATGCACCGACAAGGCTCCTCGATGTCTCAGCCGTCACAATCATCAATGGGTGCTCCGCAGGCACAGGCCGGCGCCGGACCAGCATTCAAAGTCAAGTTGTTTTTCAATGGCGACACTTTTCTGATTCGGGTGCCAGCGGACACCAACTTTCCCCAGCTTTACGAGAAGATTCGGGAACGGACCAAGGTGTCACACAATGACCAGATTCAGCTCTTCTACCGTGATGAGCGCAGCAACGACAAGCTCAGTCTCATGAGCAACAATGACCTCAACTACGCGCTCGACAACAACGAGAAGCTCGTCATTTATGTTGAACAGGCGTAGAGATGCCCATCTCAAGCATATACTGGCACGGGAGCACTTTCAATGTGAGACGTGTCGACCATTCGAACTTTCGTGGACTTTTAATGTCCTTTCTTTTCACTTCTCTTCCCACATATACCCTGTTCTTGTCATCTTCAGAATTTTCGGGCGAATGCTCCCCTTGTCTCATCCACACCAGGGGGAGACGCAGCACACATTTTGGGGAGTATTCTTTTTTTTTTCTTATGTTCTTCAACTTCTCCCCTCGTCCCTTGCTTGGGCTTTTGGTGCGGAGCTTCTCCGTTGGTTGTGAAGTATAGTTGGCTGGCATCACCGCGTCATGAACGCGATTGGGCGTACGATCCACGTAGAGAATGGGTGTTTTTGCAATTCACAACGAGGCCTTTGTCGCTACTAGGATCGCATAAGCGAACTCGGACTGAGGCGTGATCTTGTGACAAAATGAAGAAAAAGTTCTTAAAAACCACTGGCCATTATTGTTATCCTGATGCGCGCAGTGTGTGATTGATGAAAGTCGGAGTGAAGGACACATAAATGTTTATTGAGAGTACAGTGCAAACATGGTGCCAAATGCGTTGCCTCTCTGGTGAATGCCGTTCAATCGGCCATCTGTCATGCATATCATCATCGTCGTCATCATCATCATGATAACGACTGAGCAAGCGTACCGGTCGTGGTACCGACTGGAGCAACACGCCGCGTCTACAAATACAAGGCATACCAAGACTGCCAAGGTCTCGCTCATGCAGCGGCAGAGGGACGTATCTGCATGGAAACTTACACACGAGCAAAAACGCCCGTCAAACCCAAGCACAAAAAGCCGAAAACACCTCAACACCAGCTGTGCCGCGCAGCGTGCAATCCGGAAAACTCCCTCCTAGGAACCAGCAGAAACACGGAAAAAAGAGCGGCCGGTCCGATCGCTCTCTCTCTGTCCTCCGCGCGCGACAAGAGCCGGCCTGGCCGGCTCAACCGTCTAGAACACTCGCTGTTTGGACAAGCAACCCAGCCCCCAAATCTGCGCTGAACAGCCCCATATCCATATTCACATCTATGTCCATGCCTCCAAGCAGACCTCCTACACGACGACATGCGTGCTCATGTGCTCCACAGCCTCCTTGATGGTCCGCAGCATGCGCTGGTTCACACAGAACGGACAGCGGACGGGCCGGTCCGTATTGGACACCGGTGCGTTGTTGGATATGGGCGTGAGCTGCAGCTCCGCCGCCGCGGCTGATGCCGAGGGGTCATGGTGCATGCTGGCTGTGTGGCTGCTTGGCGTGAAGCGGTGTTGTGACGACGCGCGCGCGTGGCCGGGCTGTGGGGTGCTGAAACCGTTGGCCGCGGCCACCGGGTTTACGCTCGTGCCGTGCTGTTCGTGTTCGTGCTGCTCGTGCTGCTGCTCGTGCTGCTGTTGTTGTTGCTGCTGCTGGTGTTGCTGGTGTTGCTGCTGGTCTTGTCTCGAGCGCTCCTCGCGTATCGCTGCGGCTTCCGCTTCCGCGTCGGCTTCTTCCTGTTGGAGAGCACGCAGGGCGTTCTGTAGTACGAGCTCCGGGTCTTCGGTCTCCATGTATGACATCGTCTCTCCGTTCAAACCTGGCGTGGTGGGCAGAGGCTGAGTAGGCGCGGCCATGAGCGCTTGTTGTGAAGATTCGAGCTGTTCTTGCGCCTGTTGTTGATGCTGTGCCTGTTGCTGCTGCTGCTGCTGCTCGAGGCGGTGGATGATCTCGTCGCGCACGCGCGCGCAGGTCGCGAGGCTGGCCTCCACGCCGACCACCTTGAGCACCTGGTCGCGGATGGCCGTCGGGCTCGTATCGGCCTCGACCGTCATGAAGCGCGGGATCGCGTCGACGAGGTACGGGATGTCCTCGGCCGGGTTCGGCGCGGAGCCGTGCCGCCGCTGGCGCCGGATGAGCAGGCCGTAGCGCTTCTTGAAGCGGTGGATCCAGCCCGGCGAGAACTCGGGCGGCGTCTCGTCCTTGTACCGCGGCAGCTGGGTGAAGATGTTCTTGGCCTTCTCGGCGAGCTCCTCGTTCGAGGGCTGCCGGCCGGACGCGACGACCTGCCCGTGCCACAGCAGCACGAGCTTCTCGACATCGGGCCAGTTGCCGAAGCGCAGGCGGGAGCCGGAGAACTGGTTGTCGTTGTCGAGGCGGGCGTACTTGGGAGACAGTGAATGCGAAATGGTCGACTGGCTGATCGTCAGGCCATACTGGTTGAAGAACCACTCGATGCATGCCTTGTGCGGGGGGCGGGTCGCCTGCGAGTGTGCCCAGCGACGGAGGGCGCGCCGTTGATCGAGTGTTAGGGAGTGCCGGTCCACCTTGGACGACGACGACGACGAGGCGGCGACCGCGGCGGCGGCCACTGGCTGGTGCTGCACGTGATCATGCTGCTGCTGGCCGATGTCGCCAACATCGCTCACGTCGACATCGACAGTGACATCGACGTCGACATCGTCGTGGCCGTCGTGGGGATCTGGAGGCAGCGTGTCGTCCGGGGCGAGGGAGTGCTCGCCGTGCTCGTCGTCCGCATGGACCACGTCGGCCATGGTCAGATGCAGAAGATCCAGCCCGGCGACGGCCACCGAGGACGCGGTGGAGGACGACGTGGTGGCGGATGGGGGCCGCGGGTGCGGCTGCGACAGCCCGCTGTCGCGGGAAGCAGCGGTGGTTTGCGAAGCTTCAATTGATGAATGCGCCGACGAAGAGGACGCACTCACGGGCTTGCAATGACGCAGTGGGAGCACTTAGTCGCGTAAGCGGGGAGGCGCGTGGAGGGGGAAGGCGTCTTAGAGTTGTATGGGCGACAATCCGGTATAACGACTCAAAGGGGGCGAGCAGACCTCCCTCGAGGGATGAGCTTCGGTCTCAACCAGGGCGCGATTTTGAACGTATGGGGGGGGCTGGTTTGCACGGCTTTGCTCACAAAAGTTTCTGCAGACGTGCATGTGGAGCCGGGGGCTTATGAATTTAAAAAGCAATTCATTCGTGCCGTGCAATTACGTAAGCATCAGTCGCTCTAGAGAAGAAACGGATTGCCAACCAGTTTCAGAATATGGCGACCAACGCCTGAACCAAGTGTAAAAGTTGATCACAGCGGCACGAGACAGTGTCGCTGGATTTATCCCTGACGCTGTGCAGAAGATGAAGATGTCCTGCCGGTGTATATATACATGTCATTACCCATGAACGCATCCCAATGCCGACACCCCGGCTCTGCTTCGCATAGAGGTCGTTCAAATGTACTGTGATGATCCTCACCAAATGCGAGTTTACCCGGTTTCCCTCCTCCCAAAGTCACTACACGGACATCTTCATTGCAATAGTCTTGTGCGGGTTGTATCCATGCACCACAAAGTCCTCGTACTTCCACCCATCAATACTTCCGCCCTTCTCCCGCTTGATTTCTAGCGCGGGAAACTCCCTCGGCTCCCGCTCGACTTGCACCTTCAGAGCGTCCACGTGGTCGCAGTAGACGTGTGCGTCGCCCATGACATGCGTCAGACTGCCGGGCACGAGATCACAAACGTGTGCAATCATGTGCGTGAGCAGAGCGTAGCTGGCAATGTTGAAGGGCACGCCGAGACCCATGTCGCAGGACCGCTGGTACAGCTGACAGTGCAGATGGCCCTGCGGCCTCTGCGTCTCTCCGTCTTCGCTGGCTGCGCCGGTATTGTTGTTGTTGCTTCTGCTGCGCGGATACGACACATAGAACTGGGCAAACATGTGGCACGGCGGGAGCGCCATCTTCTTCAGGTCTGCCGGGTTCCACGCGCTCATGATGATGCGCCGGTCGTAGGGGTTGGTCTTGAGCTTGTGCACCACCTCGGCGAGCTGGTCAACGCCCTGGCCCGTGTAGTCCGTCTTCGCATCGACGTACTCGGCGCCAAAGTGCCGCCACTGGAAACCGTACACGGGACCCAGGTCGCCGACCTCACGGTGCGAGAGCCCCACGCTGTCGAGGAACTCGCGCGACCCGTTGCCGTCCCAGATCTTGACACCCGCGTCAGACAGGGGGATCGATGATGTGCAGCCCTCGACGAACCAGAGGAGCTCGGCGATGACGGCCTTGAGGAAGACACGCTTTGTTGTGAGGAGGGGCAGGATGGGTTTCCCCTCGTCATTGAGGGCGAACTTCATTGGTGTCAGGGCGAAGATGGAGAATGTGCCTGTACCGGTCCTGGTTCGCAGCTCAGATTGGGTCAGTCAAAAGAAAATAAGGGTCTAGAGCCTTCCCGGCACCTTGATTCGAGACACACCTGTCTGGCCGGTGCTCGCCGTTGTCGAGGATTTCTTGCACCAGATCAAGGTACTGATACTCCTCATGCCTCTTAGCCCGGACGGAGCCGTTCTGGGCAGTTTTGGTCTCTGCCGGAGGTGCAGCAGAGCCGCTCGGATCTGTCGATGCCGTCATTTTCGTGTCTTTTCTAAGGGCTTTTGTGCGATGTTCCGTGTATTTGCGACGGAGGTATCTGAAAGGTGAGAATGACGAAACGCACTTCTGTTGTAGGGAGACGCGTCGGTGGTCAAAAGACGCGTCCCCGAGTTTAATGGGGTGCATGAAGGAGGGGCAACTATTGCGGCGCTAACTCCATGGCGTTTGCGCATGTAGTGGATTTGCCCAGCCAATGACGGGTCGCCTCAGTCCAGAACGGGACTTTGACTCTGTGGAGAGCAAACAGTCCTGCCAAAGTATGTCATTTGCTCTGGTCCCGGGAACTGTAAAAGTCTCTTGAAAGGTTCTAGAAACCGCTTTGCGAGGTACCCATTGGAAAAACTCGAGTCAAATATAGTTTGCTTTTGCGGAAAGGTGTTCCTTTAACCAGGCATTCACGATCATGGCAATCAGAACGAGGTGCGGCAATCGGCCATAACCGTACCATTTCAAAGCGGAGGAGTCCAAGAGCTGCATAGGTCGATTCTATAATGCTGCACGCCAGGGCGCAGTATTAGCTGCAGGCCTGACACTGAATCCAAGTGTCTTCTATCGTATGATGCGAAATGCTATCAAGCAATGAAAAGCCGCTCCCAAAATGCCGGGCTCCTGGGCATATTTCCAAATCAAGTAACAACAACCAATGCTCGCTCTAACGCCAATCCAGGGTATATATGTTGTTCGTTGGCCATTATCTTCATTCAATTATTGAAAGCCCCTGCGGTGCTTCCTGTGCTCCCCTCTGTGGGCCTTGTCACATCCACATCATGTTGCGACTTTGTTGTCGATTCTGTTGCCATAAAGGTCGGTGGCCACCACGAGAAGGGCTTGGCAGCCTCTCCATCTCATCCGAATCTGACCCAGCACGTCCTTGGTCGCCTGTGCTGCTGTTGCTTGGATTGGCGCTGGCTGCGGCCGCTAGAGGCCATCGCTCTGAGTCCTCCTGAGATGAAGTCTCTCCTATTCTAGCACTCGCATACGCCTGGGAGAACTCATCGATCTCGCGCCCTCGTCCGTGAGCGTTACCAGCATCATAGTCCTCGAATCTTTCCTCGACGACGGGCGTCAATCCTGTGCCTACTGCCAACATAGGCTGTTGATGGAATGCCGGGTGCTCCCGCAATGGAGGAGGTACCATGGGCATCTGGCTTTCATTTGAGCGCCGTGGATAATCCTGGCCATGTTGGTACTGGTCCTCGTCGCTCCAAGACGGCAAAGGTGCAAATGCTGCTCCGTGATTGCCCATGGGACTGTTCTTCGTTAGCGAAAACATTCCACGAGTACAAGATGCGTACGGCACATACCTGATGTATTGTGTATCGGGTCCGGTGGGGGTGCGACCTGGGCCTTCGCGAGAATTCTTGCGTTGCCTCAGGATGAAGAATGCAGCAATACCAAGCAGTGCCACGCCGGCCGCACTGCCAAGCGTCGCGCCGATAATCACGGCGTTTCTGTTGTTGCTGTGCTCGGCAGGAGGGTCTTCCACGGGAGATGTAGCAGCCTCGCCTGTCCCGGACTCTGTAGAACTCGAGCTCGTTTGTGATGTTGAAGATTGCGTTTTTGTGGATGATATGGATGCTGACTTGCTGGTGCTGCTCGAAGAGCCAGTGCTTCTTGTGCTCGTCCCTGAACTGGAGCTAGCAGAACCAATTGTCGTGGGTTCTGACAATGAGGACACTTCCTGAGTCAGCTGCATACTAGACGCTGGCAGGTCGAGAGCAGTTGTGGCGCCTTGAATCGAGGTCTGAACCGTGGTACCGAGGTCGGAGGCCGTGCCACATCCGTACTGGTTGTAGCCGCCTGCGAATTCATTCTTGTAGCAGACGTCTGAGCCTCGACACGTGTAGATGTACGGGTTGACTACTGTCTGTGGTGGACTGTTGACATCTACACAACCGGTGTACACGCCCGCCGTACAAGGCCCATTATCCGGGCAGCAACCAATGAACCCATGGCCCTGATCAAGAACGCAATGCGAACCAGCCGAGCACGTCGCTGGAAGTGCCGAGTCGCCTCCGATGTAGCCGCATATCGTGTTAAAGTCCTGGCGCTGCAGGAGTTCGTATGGCAGATTTGGCGCTGCTGTAGGCGCCAGCGGCCATGACACCAAGTCAAGCTCGGGATGGTCGACCGTTGAAGTCTGCCGGGGAAGTGCACCGGCCCGAGTCAACCCTAATATCGCCGAGATGAATATGGCTGTAGTGGTCGCCGGAGGTGGCATGCGGAGGAAAGTGCTGCGTAGGGCCAGCCGAGACATTGCGTACTCGGCACGACTGGCCTTGCAGCGCAGTCTCAAGAATGTTGGAAAAGTCTCGGGGGGGAGTGTCTTTATGGATGGCGGAGCGTTGCTTGACTCTGTCCTGGGATTGAGTTTCTGGTCGTGCGACCCGCGCCAATGGAGCGTATGGTTCGGCTGAGGAGATGCTAGAATCGGGGTGCAGGATGGGATGCAGAGATGCGGAAAAGCAGGAAGGCTGGAGACGGTGTCGACGACGAGGGTTGCTGCGGGTAGTTATTCAACAAGATGCTGACCAGGGCCCCTGCTGGCAGTGTCTACGTGCATTGGGGCGAAAAGCAGGCGCTACAGCATGGGCATCGGGGATCATTGTTGCTCGAACGAGTAAGAGCATCGCAGTACGCAGCTCGAGGCCCACCAGGGGTACTCGAATACGACCACCTGCATCGGCGGACGGCAAAGGCTTCCATCAACTCACAGCGGAGGACTCCCGCCGCAGAGCAACCACCTGCCTGGCCCCCAAGGTCCCGACGCCAGCCACTTGCGCGACACATCGTCTCGCAGGGCACACGATGCAAGACTCGCCAGTTCGTTCAGGGTCAGACCGAGACGACGATGCCAAGTCCATGCAGAACGGAGATCAGCCACGCGAATGCCCTTCGCCTCGGCAGCGTCACCCAGGCCAGGATCCTCTGCCAACAGAACCACACCCGAGCTCGATTCGCCTCAATTCAGCAGTGCGGGTGATGATGCAACCGGACGGCTGTGGTGTTGGCGGGATCTGCGGTTACAGCCAACGCCTCCGCATTGGCCCCTGGCGGGTGGCTGACGACAGTGGCCGAAAAGCACGCTCTGGACCGTGTCTGGCGCACAAGGTTCCGTCCTGTAGCCCCCGCATGCAATCTCCCAGCTGGTTGGCGCGCTTTTTATAGCACTCGACAAGGCTCTGGTCTTCTTGGGATCTTGCTGTTGTGCTTCTGCACAGCCACAGCCTAACCAGTACCGGAGGAGTCCAGCTCGGTCGAGTTGTAACTAACTGCAGGGTATTGCCCCAGACTTGGCACGGGCACCAACTACCATGACGCTCCAGGCCGACTGCCGGCCCGCTTCATAAAGGTTCACGAAAACGCGTTTGTGCAAGAAGAAAGCTAGCCACCCAGGTACTGCGCGGGCCAAACCAAGCAGAGAAACGACAGTGTGTCTCCAGCATAAGCTCAAACGCCTCGTCTCGGCTCGTTTGTAATAAGCTAAGATCTGGCCGCCATAAGCTTGTCGGACCTGCGGCCGTGGACTGGCAAAGTGTGCGTAGTAAGACACTGGATCGACAACTTAGAATACTTTCTTCACGCCGCCGACCACCGCTGTCAGCCATTGGACATGCTGGGACGCTGCAGAGGATTTCCATACAAAAAAAAACATGTGCAGTCTAGCACAGATACAGTGCTTTCAGAGACATAAAACCATGAACCACGCAGCTGGTGTTCCGTAAAGCAGTCACGACATTTTGCGGTGAAGTGCACCATTTCTCCCTCCTGTGAACATTGCTGAAACGATTCCTTGGGGTATGCATGCAACCCTTGTAATACTTACAATTCGGCTGGCGCCGGCCCTCTCTGACCATACCATCAATTGGAACATGGAGTGCCCAGAATGGCGATCCAGGCGACTGTGCTCTGTCCTGGCATGCTCACAATGCTGTATCATCACGCAGAAATACTTGGCAGCAGGCGGCCGACGTTAGTGAAGGGCGCTGCGCCACTGGATTGCACGGGCCTGGCTTTGGACGAGCTTGTTTTCCAGCCTCCACCCGCTAACGTTTAGACCTCACGGACCCTTGCCATACCTGAGGAGATAGACCAGGTCCTCGTGGAAAGAAGGGGTCCCTGCCGTTGCCCAGTCGGCAGATTCTCGCGCAGTCAAGCAGCAACAGCTTCAGGCTTTCTCTGCCCATCTCAATTGAGCCTCAGCTGCCCTGTCCGACGACGGCATCTCCGCGCTGTGGTCAGAGGCTCTCTACTCTAGAGCGTCGCAACCCCGCAAGCAAGCACCACCACGATGCCTATCCGCGTCAAGTCCAAGCCTGCGCCAGCATCCGAGGCCCTGTCGCCTCGGTCGGGCTCGTTCTGGCACACTGAGCTCCCCGACATTGACCATGAAGATACATTCCGGACCGTAGTCAAGAAGCTCTCGCTGTGAGTACAGCACTGCCCGCCAGGCGTGCTTACGCAGCCGGCCAGCCAAAGACCGCCTCATTGCTGACACGCATACGATGCTGCAGGTACATTGCCGACGTGGTCTACACGCCAAGCACCTTCGAGCAGCTGCGGACAACTTCGGCAGGAGACCCTCTCCGCACTCTGACGGACCATCTCAGCCATCACGTAACCAACCCGGCGATTGTGAATGCACTCCTGTAGGGACCATCATAATGTCATGGGCAACAGGAACCACCGTATTTGCTGACCCTGCTGAACAGTGCTCTGCGATGGCACTACGGTGCTGGCAACGATGAGAGCCACGTCTCCGAGGCCCGGGCCAACGCCTGCGAGATTGTCGCATGGCGCTTCTTGACCCGCCTGTCGGAACGTGAGGCTGTCGAGTTCTGCTTGTACGAGATCCCCGAGGACTGTCCCAGCGGAGCGGTCTCGCTCCACGGCGACCTGGCCGATCCAGAGGATGGCACCCCTAGGGATGAACGTACGGCGCTCCTGGGACATCACCACACCAACAACGGCAGCATGGGTCACTCCCGCCCGGATGAGCGGCCTGCCCATGCCGTGGCCGGATCTATGCGCAGAAGCCAGCTGCTGCAGTCGGTCTCCAAGCTGACAATGAGCATGCATGCTGGTGATGACGATGATGATGACGACGACGAGGAGGAAGACCCAACGGCCCCGTTCAAGCATCTCAACGCCCTCGAGATTGCAGCCATCGCCGACGCCAAGAGGTTCCTCAGCCAGCACGTCGTGCAAAAGATCATTACCGGCATTTGGAATGGCGACATCATCTTCTGGGACAAGTTCTCGGTGCACACAGTCAAGAAGCCGCGCTTCTACAACCCGCGCACCGCCGATCCGTTCTCTCGTCTCCGCGTTCCAAAGTATCTCAAAGCCTACGAGGTCATGTTCTTCGCCAGCTTCCTCGGCTTGTACTACGGTGTGCTGATCGAGCAGAACAAGACTGGTCTTTCAGTGACTCAGGCTTTGTGGTACATCTGGTTCGCGGCCTTTTGTTACGACGAGATTAGTGAATACCTAGATGCCGGCTCCATCTTCTACGCAGCAGATGTATGGAACGTGTTCGACATGATCATGATTGGCATTGGTCTTGTGTTTATCGGTTTGCGTAAGTCTGCCTTATTGCTTTCAGAATCGACTTTTTGAGGCAAGCATTCTAACTCAATCTTCAGGGGCGGCTGGGCTGTACTACGAGGATAGGCGTCTGATCGAGAGCGCTTTCGATGTCCTGTCTTTGGAAGCATTGTTCATGGTGCCGCGGATTTTTTCGATCCTGAGCTTGTCTCCCTACTGGGGAACACTGATTCCCTGCCTGAAAGCGATGGCCAAGGACTTTATCAAGTTCATGGTCCTGGTAGTCATTGTCTACCTTGGGTTCTTGACTACATTCTCACTCATTGGCAGAGAGAGCTTTGGCTTCAGCCACATGGCCCTGATCGCGACCAAAATTTTCTTTGGCTCAAGCTACCTTGGCTTCGATGTGATGGAGAGGATCGATCCCATCTTTGGTATGTTAGGCCGCACACAGGGATCTGGGGTCACGCGAAATCTAACATTGCCACTCTAGGGCCTCCTCTTATGCTCATCTTCATCACCTTGAGCTCCATCCTGCTCATGGGCAGTCTGACTGGTATGCTGAGCAACAGCTTCTCCCGGGTGATCCAGCACGCGCGCGAGGAGTATTTGTACGTGTACAGCGTATACGTTCTGGAGGCGTCCACATCCAATCGCCTGACTCACTTCTACCGTAAGTCTTGGTCCTACCAATAGCCGGAAATAATGGTGCCGCTTACATGGAAAACACAGCGCCTTTCAACCTCCTTGCACTTGTCCTGTTCCGCCCTATGAGACTCTTCTTCCGCAGCGAGGATATCCGCAAGGCTCGCATTGTGCTACTCAAGGTCACGCACGCCCCGATTGTGGCCCTGATCCATGCCTACGAGTTTGTAGTTTCGAAGCTCGGCCAGGGCGGTGGCTCCAACAACTTCCACGGCCCTCGTGCCAAGACCTTCCGCGGCAAGGCCTTACGCCGTCCGGACAGCAGACCCCAGTCTGGCAACCGCCCGAACCTGCCTTCGTCCAAGCCAACGGCCAGCGGAGAGTCTATCAATACTCCGGCGCCACAGAGGCACGAGTCTGAGGAGGATGTTGGAGATGCGCCTTCAGACGTCGAGGTGCGCGTTGCCGAGCTCGCGGCAAAAATTGACCGTCTCACTACCCTTGTGCTGAGCCTGCAGAATGGGGCGGGTCTTGAGGCTGTGAGGACTTGATACGCATATCGCGACGAGCCTGGTGCTGCCCGCAATGGCGCAAAGAGAGGACGTGAAGCCTTGCATCTTGCGAGGCTGCTTTGAACCAAGCCGCTGGGTCTATCTTGGAGAGTTTACCGAGCTTGCATGATTATTAGGGCGGAATGGGATTGTTCAAGTTCCGGACATGAAAGAGACTGGACAACTGAGATTGAATACCATGGTCGGGAGCATTGAACGAGATCAGATCAGGTGATCACATAAGATTAGTTACATGACATGAGAATTGAAGCATTGCATCTATGGATACGGAGGACAGGTTGGAAACTGGCTGATGCGGGACCTAGCACGCCGACCAACCTCTGAAAGATGATTCACACGAGAGTGGACCTCCGGAGTCCTCGTATGGCGCCGACTCCTCGTATGGCGCCGACTCCTCCTCCGCCTCCGCATCTCGGAGATTTGCTCCACTTCCCAGGACCCAGCTGCGCGCCCTGTTGAAGACATTCTGCAAGTGACTCTTTATATGAGCCAGCCTGCCTCTGACCTCGGCAGCAACCCTGTAACGTCAGTCTAGTGCAGTTTTTACTCATTTGTCTGCTTTTCACGGGCTCGTCCGAGGAACGGCGTCGAGCAACACTTTCCCCCGCATTTTCTCCAAGTTCCCCTTTGAGACTCCTGCCGGACTGTAGTTGAACGTGCTGTTTGACTGACAAATCACCAATACATCCCCTGCGAGTTTACGGACTATAACTGTCCCCCAGCAACACTCCAGACTCTGCACATCACGGGGAAAGGCAAGCGTCGGCACTTCAGAACGTTTTTCTCTCGAAGAGGAAGCAGTTAAGACCAGGAAGAACATAGCTTGAAGGTCGAAAACCCATGGGAACAGGAAAACAACTCCTCTCTAAAGCAGAGCCTCGCAAAAACAAAACCAAAGACAAAAACCAGAAAAATGAAACTCCCCTTTGCAACCCTGGACGTCTTCACGTCGACCCGTATGCAGGGCAACCCGCTCGCCGTCGTCACCGTCCCGCGGCACCTGCGCGACAAGCTGGCGCAGGCCGACAAGCAGCGCATCGCGAGGGAGTTCAATCTCAGCGAGACGGTGTTCCTGCACGAGGCCGGCGGCGGTGGGGACGACGACGCGGAAGGGACAGCAGCAGCAGCAGAAGATGGAGCTGGTTCTTCTCCCGGCAGCCGGGGGAGGAGGAGGATCGTGGACATCTTCACTGTCGACCGCGAGATCCCGTTTGCGGGGCATCCGACGATCGGGACGGCGGTGTGGTGCTTATTCCACGAGGATGGGAAGTATAGCGGATCTTCTGCTGCTGCTGCTGCAGACGGAGGAGGAGTACCGGCGCTCGATGCGTTGATCACCAAGGCTGGGCCGATTGGCATCACCACTTCTTCTTCGACTTCCTCCTCTGGCAGAAGTGTTGCCAGCGGCGCCGAGCTCGGTGGTGAGAGCACGGCCGGGCAGTTTGTCAGCGCGAGCATCCCGCACAACGTCCACATCCACGAGCACACGCTCGCCGATATCCTGAACATCTCCTCGCCGCCAAGCAACGACGGCCGCGTGCCCGAGGTCGAGGGCCTATCAGCAGACCCGGCGATCCGGGCCGCCGAGCTGGCGGCCCCCGTGGTCAGCATTGTCAACGGCATGACGTTTCTGCTGGTCAAGCTGAGCAGCCTGGAGGCGCTCGGTCGTGTGGCGATCTCTGCGCTGGACTATGCCAAGTTGAGCCCCTCTGCTGCTGGAGAGAAGAAGTTCTTGCTGGATGAAGGGTGGAGAGATAGCCTCGTCGCGAGGTATTACTACGTCGATGTCCCGGCGAATGGGAACCAGGCAGGGGTGGGGAAGGAGGAAGACGTGCGACACCTCAGGACGCGCATGATCGAGTTCAACATGGAGGATCCGGCTACAGGCAGCGCGGCGAGTGCGCTGGCTTGCTACCTGACGCTTGCAGGCGGCACAGGAAAGAAATTTGTCATGACCCAAGGCGTCGAGATGGGTAGAAAGAGCGTGATCAGCATCGAGACGACGACGAAGGGCGCCAGCGGAGACGGCGGAAAGGTCGAGATCGGCGAGGTGCATCTGGGAGGCACGGCGGTTGTGGTCATGAAGGGCGTCTTGACTATCTGAACCTCATGCGAAAGACGTAGCTGCGGAATACCACGGAGATGCTCACAAAACAGCTTAAAACAACGCATGGCACAAATTCAGTCATTTTAGAGCTTTCTAGCATATGACGTTTCCACACGATTGGTGAACACCAAAGCCTAGTCATTCTACAGCCCCTCTGGCAGCAATGACGACACGGATGGATCAGACGAGACTGTCAGAAGATTGTAACCTGTGAAACTCATTATGCTGACTTTGTTTGTGATCAAGACTCTCGCTCGCTAATTGTCATTCAGAGATACACCCTTATAATTTGCCTTGGCGCTCACCTTCCCTCCACTGCCTCCTGATGATCCCGTCCTGATACTCTGTCGCAATGTGTACGCCCGCCGGACTCCACAGCTTGCTCATCACTATGCCCCTTCCAGCTTCGAGCCTGGGAAAGCAGACCTCCTGAATCCACCACTCGTCCTCGCCGTACTTCATGACCGCGTCTTCCGGATTCACGTGCACTACAAATGAGTAGCTCAGACTGGCCGCTCTCCCAAAGTCGAAGCCGAAGCCGGCATGGTTGCCCAGCATGAATAGGCTGTTGCGATCGGCCTCGAAGGCGTGGCACATGATGTGCATGCTCGAGCCTGCAGACTGCGGCAGCGGCGCGAGGAGTCGGTACAGGAGTAGCTCACGCCGCTCGTGTAGAGGCTTCCCCTTGTTGTACTCCCGCATGTCGACCTTGTGCATATGAAGCCCAGGGAACGTGCCGACTTCGGGCGTGGGAAGTTGGGCGTTAACACTATCGATGTCGGACAAAGGAACGGGATCCCACGCTGGCGGCGGTCTCGAGCTGAGGATGTCGTGGAATCGTTTCTGCGCGGGTTCTTCCTGGAGCTTTGCTTGCGATACGCCTGCCGGCCTGAATGATACCAGAGCGGTGAAGCAGACGGGGCCTAGAGGTAACCTCGAATCTTCGAGGGGAAAGACGCCGCGACTCAAGTCAGTACTGGGCCTTGTGGGCTGCCGAACGGTCACAATCAAGTTATGGAAGCCGGCGTTGGTGGCCAAAACCTGAACCTCATAAATGAAGGGCCTATCCGCGGCTCCGGCTTCGGCAAAGTAGCCATGCACGGTCTGTATGTGATGATTAGTATATGAAATGAGGTTGAGCTATTAAACGAGCATCGGTGGTTCAGCTTACATGAATGCCATACTGTTTTTTGGGAGCATCCTCGTCTGACCTCGCCTGGCTTTCTTCAAAGCACTTTGCCGCAACCAGCCCAGATTGCGCGTAAACATGTCCTCCGTAGGTTGCAGTACCATTGAAAGGCACAGGCCGGCCAGGCCCGTAGTCCTTGCGGTCAAAGGGCAGGTCAGCGCCTGTTATCCATGCAGGCCGTACGCTCATGTAGCGCTTGGTAGATCCTTCGTTGGCGGTGCGGCCGTGGGCAGGCCCGAGCTCCACAAAATCCAATGCATCGTGAAAGGCGAGCCGCCCGCCTAGCTGAGACGAAGACATGCCAGGTGCAGCAAGGTGCCAAACCGTCTGTGAGTTGGGGCCGATTTCTTCGAAGCTGAAGTTCTGTATCGCCTACTGCATTGAGCATGAGCTGTGGACGGAGTAGTTTCCGATTTTGGGGAGATGGGATATTTCCTGACAGGTCTCCCTTTGGAATTGGAGATTTGCCTTTTGGCTGTGCGTTGTTGATGATGGGAAGACCTCCTGAACGATGATGTTTGGCCTGATTAGTGGGTTGGGTGGACAACCACAGATGAGCCGAGGCGAGACGGGACGTGCGGCAGGCCCGCACGCTTTCTGGGGTAAGTAAGCGCACGTACCGGGGGTCCTTCTTGACCTGGCCGCGCTGTCCCGGACAGGTTGGGCTTGACCCTCAGGCTCCAGATGTCGACGTTCCCAGGCCTCTAGCGATGGACTTCCTTTCTTGGCGCGGCTGGACTCAATCTGCCGTGGTTTTCGGCTCTCCCAAATCTCTACTTACAAGTCATCTTCAACACATTTCAAGGCCGAATGAACGACAGGCGAGAGATCATGGCTGTAGTGGCTTGACATCACAATCAGACGTAGTTGGTAGAGTCAAAGCACCGACAACATTGACATGGACACTGGTGTGCCTATGTATGATGGAACTTCAGCTGGTCTTTGCCGCAGTCCAAAGTGGTTTGCACTGCGTGGCTGTACCCACGCACAGGACCTGACCAACGTTAGTGCCGACCCTGCACAAAAACCACTTTACGCGTCCTTGACGCGCTTTGACGCGCCGTGACATCCCTGGCAATTTCCACGCTGGCCCCGCCGCCCCTCGATGCCCGCCTGTTGCTGTGCCCACCCGGCCACAACTCGAGCCTCAGCATCAGATTCTCTAGATTGCGCTTCCTGACACTTCTGCCCCGAGTTGACCTTGTGCCACTGTGATACCCCATTTCCACTTCCTATTGATACATATCACCCGCTGCTGGTTTCGCCGCATCACTGCGGCCTCCCCAACCCCATTCACCGCCATGGCGACTCCAAGCGACAGCGGTTTTCTCATGTCGGATGCCTCACGGGCAGCGACCACCCCGAGACCAAGACAAGGCCAGCGAGGCTCATCGGCACGCCCGCGGGGCCCTCCTTCGGAAAGCCTGGGTGCTCCAAGTGACGATGAGGCCGAAGGCTTCGCAGACGACCAGATCCCCGGCCGCAGGAGGCGGGGTGACAACTCAAACATTCCCCGCGTAGAGGACAGGATCGGTATCACGGTCCAGGAACACTTTGAGAACTTTATCGAGGAGTGAGTCTCTCGGCTACCACCAGAAGACTACTATCATCTAACAGCCATGCGCGCAGGTTCATCGAAGCTCCCTCATCCTCGGCTGCACCGACTTCGAGCGCCGTAACAACAGACAAATACTATGTCGCCCAGATTCACGGCATGCGTGTCTACCAACTCTCCACCTTCTACGTCAACTACGACCACATCGCGACATATCAAAATGGAGGCTTGGCCAACGCCATCAACAGTCAATACTACCGATTTCTGCCATACCTGACAAATGGACTGCACAACATGATTGCCAAGTATGAGCCTCAGTACTTCCGAGAACATCGCCAACCCACAGCTTCGAGCAGCATGACCACATCGGGGGCCAGTCAAGCTGGTTCTGCCAGCCAATCCGAGCTGCAGGGCAGCAAAACTGCCAACCAGCAGACGGATAAGCTCTTCGCCATTGCCTTCTACAACCTCCCGCTCGTCTCGAGAGTGCGCAGCCTGCGCGCGAAGAACGTCGGCCAATTGCTCTCAATCTCGGGCACTGTCACAAGAACCTCTGAAGTTCGCCCAGAACTGTCGCTGGCGACCTTTATTTGCGAGGCTTGTAAGAACGTAATCCCAAACGTCGAGCAGACCTTCCGCTACACGGAGCCCACCCAGTGTCCCAACGCCGAGTGCGGCAACCGACTCGCGTGGCAACTCGACATCAAGCACTCCACCTTCGTCGATTGGCAAAAAGTCCGGATACAGGAGAACAGCAGTGAGATCCCGACAGGCAGCATGCCCCGGACAATGGATGTCATTATGCGTGGTGAGATGGTTGAGCGAGCCAAGGCTGGTGAGCGCTGCATCTTTACTGGTGCCCTGATTGTGGTGCCAGACGTGAGCCAGCTGGGTCTGCCTGGAGTGCGACCTACAGCTGTACGGGACGAGAGGCCAAACGGTCGCGGAAACGATGCTGGAGGCAATGGTGTTTCTGGTCTCAAGGCCCTGGGTGTGCGCGATCTGACCTACCGTATGGCATTCTTGGCTAGCATGGTCACTCCAGACACATCCACCCCAGGCCAGAGCGCTACTCGCCAGGTCAACGACATCATCAACCAGCTCACCTCTGCTTCTGCAGAATCTGCCGACTCTGCGGAGGAGGCTCAAGCTGCGGTCCTCAACTCAATGACGCCGAGTGAGATTGAAGAGCTGCGAGACATGGTTCACAGCGATCACATCTATGCACGTCTTGTCAAGTCTATTGCGCCAATGGTGTATGGTCACGAGATTGTAAAGAAGGGTATCCTGTTGCAACTCATGTCTGGTGTTTCAAAGACGACTGCCGAGGGCATGGCGCTCAGAGGTGACATCAACATCTGTGTCGTTGGCGACCCCTCAACTTCCAAGTCACAATTCCTCAAGTATGTCTGCTCGTTCGCGCCAAGAGCTGTGTACACATCCGGAAAGGCTTCTTCCGCCGCTGGTTTAACGGCAGCCGTTGTGAAGGACGAGGAGACGGGCGAGTTCACCATTGAGGCTGGTGCCCTCATGCTAGCTGACAATGGCATCTGTGCTATCGACGAGTTCGACAAGATGGACCTTGCGGACCAAGTCGCCATTCACGAGGCTATGGAACAGCAGACTATTTCTATTGCCAAGGCTGGTATTCAAGCCACCTTGAACGCCCGCACCTCTATCCTTGCCGCTGCCAACCCTGTCGGTGGCCGGTACAACCGCAAGACAACCCTGCGGTCAAACATCAACATGTCCGCGCCTATCATGTCGCGTTTTGATCTGTTCTTCGTCGTCCTGGACGAGTGCAACGAGGCTGTAGACCGTCATCTTGCGGAACACATTGTTAGCATCCACGCCCTCCGGGATAACGCTATCGAACCAGAGTTCAGCACAGAGTGCTTGCAGCGGTATATCCGGTTCGCGAGGACGTTCCGGCCTGAGTTCACATCGGAAGCCAAGGAGCACCTCGTAAAGAGGTACAAGCAGCTCCGTGCCGACGATGCTCAGGGTGGAGTAGGTAAGAACAGTTACCGTATCACAGTACGTCAGCTCGAATCTCTGATTCGCTTGTCCGAGGCCATTGCCAAGGCGAATTGTGTCGAGGACATCTCGCCATCTTTTGTGGACGAAGCATTCGACTTGCTCCGGCAGAGTATCATCTCAGTCGAGCACGACGACATTGACATGGACGAGTACGATGATGTCGCCGAGGACTCTGCCGCGCTTATCGCTGCTGCTGACGCTGCCTCCGGCGCGGACGCCGAGGGCGACGCGGCCATGGCCGAAGCCAGCGCTGATGCAGGCGAAAACGGTGGCGCCGCCGGGAAGAAGAAGAAGACGGCCATCACGTACGAAAAGTACATCAGTATGGTCAATCTGTTTGTGTCAAGACTTCGCGAAGACGAAGCGTCAGGAGCTGGCGAAGGCGTGGGAGGCGAGGAGCTTGCACAGTGGTACCTCGAGCAGCAAGAAGACGAACTGGATGGCGAGGAGGCGTATCACCAGGAGTTGGCCGTTGCCAAGATGGTACTAAAGAAGATGGTCAAGGTATGTTTTCTGCCTTTTATCCTTCCCAGACACTCGCCCCTAATTCACCGCTGTTCGCGTGTCGTACTAATATACATGTGCCAATCACAACAGGATCACATCCTCATGGCCGTGCAAGACGAGTCCACGACAACGGCAAGCAACGCCAACGGCACAGGAGGCCCGACGCTGCAGAATGTGACCTATGTCATCCACCCCAACTGTGCGGTGGAGGAGGTATGAGCAGGATAGATGGGGGAAAGAAAAGGGGCTGCTTTCCGCTCATCATTGATGATGTCCACGATCTGAGTTCATATTTGGGTCTGAGAGGAGTTTGTTTTTCTTTCTCTGTGTGTGTGTGTGTGTGTGTGTGCGCACATAATTGATGTATGAATCGTATCGTGGCTTTTGGGAGTCGGAGCTGGCCATCCGCAGGTTATAGAATCCGCATGTGGCAGGAGTATGGCAGCACAGAGGCAGTGTTTACAATAAAATATTTTCACGAGCCAGTTTTCTTCGCCCAATGCTCCAAGAAACCAGTCAGGACAGCCTTGCGCAGCTGAACGTGACCGTGGTTGAGGAAAGGTGGCAGTTAAGGCAGGATGCGCCCTTGTCCTCCTTTTGCAGCAAAGCCTTGACTCTCGTTAACAGGGATTTGCAAAAACGCGCATCCTGGAGGCTGTGACGAGCGTCGTCCACTTGTCAATACGCCGACTATGCATACACGTTTGGTTTCAACTTTCGTTCATTGTCACGCATGTTCGCAAGTTTTCTGAAAGAGAAAGATTCATTTCCGCGAGATAAAACAGAAACAACTGCATACAACACTCGTTTTCCCGCCCCTCCTGTCCTTCATTCCTATGTATCTTCATGTGGTGCAGCTCGCTGAGTGCAACCAGGAAGAAGTAAACGCAGGCACGAGTGGACGCAAACAATCGAGCTCGTGCATTATCCGGATCCTGTACCAAAGCCATTTCCCATGACGTCCCTCTTCGTGAGTGTTTTTTTCCGTTGCAAATGTGATGTTCACCAAGTTGACTGGCGGACCCTGATTCGCACCCAGATAATAGCAGACATCAGTCTGTCGTATCTTGGTATCAGGATCCCGCAGGAGATGACCCTGAGCCGAAACGGTTGTATATGAGTTTCGGGTTTTGTGGATATTTCCTCGGACATCTGCTCGGAAACAATGGAAGGTGAACTCCCATGGTCCCCGAGAAAAGCTTGCAAGTCCGCAGCATTGGTTGTTTCGCTCCATGGTTGTATGCCAGTAGCCTAAGATTCGTAATGTCCCTGCCAAACCCATGTACACGACATGATGCAACAAGTAGTGCTTGTTTTGCGTCCCGAGTGGGAGACGTGACGTACATTTGCTGAGTTGCGAGTCGTGGAGAATAGGGAGAAAGAACATTTTGACGATCCCTCAAGTGTTGGCAGTATGGCCATCTTTGCTTTCCATGGGTGGTGGGATCGTACAGCTCCGGCACAGCGCATAGTCCTAGCGCGCTCCCCGAAAGACCTCAGATGAAAATTGCGAAATCGACAAGTAAGCCAATGCCTGTGGGCCTCGGCTGTAAAGCACTGAATGCCTCGTCCTGTTGTACACGACTCTTGTTGTGAAAGTATAAAAAATAAAAGGTGCTGTGCTTGAGGCGGTGGTACTGTCCAACTGTGAGACACACTTAGACAACTCTCCGCCGTCGTAACGAGCGGAGAATGCCGTCACCAGGGATACACGTCTCAAGTCTTAGTTCTGAGCGGCTGGTGTTGAGGATGGCTGTCGAGACCATGCCTCAGACCGAGACCGCAAGCTTCCGCGCCCGCCACGCGAGGCCTTTGGCCTGTCAGATGATGGTCCTGCTGTGCTATTGTTGGGGCTCGGACCTTCGAGGATACCTTCACGACCGCCCCGCTGGCCACCACGAGGAGTGTGCTTGTTGCCGCCTCGACTACCGCCACGCCGGGGGTTGCTACGCGTTCGACCGCTGAAGCCAGAGCGACTGGCAACGTTGAACTGCACAGTCTTGACCTCGGGCATGCCAGGAGCCGAGACTCGGATGACCGATTGACCCTGCTCATAGTCAAAGCCGAATCGATGTGGCTCGGCGTTGGTGGCATGAACCCGATATTTCGGAACCAGCGGCAGCCAGTTGGGATTGACGGCATGCCACATGGCTTCCGGGGCTTTCATCGGCAGATGTACTGCGGGGAGGGACCCCATCTCCTGTTCCTCGAAGCATTCCTCAGCCATCTCGCGGCTCGTGTAAGTGCTATCGTCCGAGATCACAGAGCTGGCAGAGGACAGACTCGGCAGTGAGACATTCGCCGAGCGCGAGCCATGCTCCATGGAGATCCTGCTAGTCGAGTCCACGGTAGGGCGCGGGGCCTTTCTTCCCATGAGACTGTTAATCTTGTCCTGCCAGTTCCCTTGAGCCTTGGATTCGTTGCCGCGTTGACTCTGGCCCTGACTCCGAGCGGCAGCCACTTGCGTCAGGCCTCGAGCTGCTTGTGGGACGGCCGCCGCGGCTGCGGCGGCAAAGGATACCGGTGTCGCTGGTTTTGGTGGCGCTACAGGCGTCGCCGGCTTAGCTGCAGCTGGTGGCAGTTTCACGACGATGGGTCCCCGCGGCAGCGAGACATGTGGTCGGGTAGGGTTGCCTTCGTATGCTGGATGATCCTCCATGGTGGGAGGTGGTGGCGTTGGCGATCTTGGGCGATGGTGATGCATTGGTCCTTCGTCCAGACGAACGTCCCGTGTCGGCGGAAAGAATCTTGAGCTACTGCGCGACTGCGACATCGCCGTCGCAGCATTTGGACCAGTTGGTGCGACCTGGCTAGATCTGTGAAGATCCGAGGGGCCACCGGGCACGCCGCTGTGCATGTATACGGAGCTTCCTGCTTGACCTCTTCTGCCGTCTTCCTCCATCTTGACGGCGCGCCACGTCTCAGAGATCATGGGACCATGATCAGGGTTGATGCCCTGTTCTACAAGTCGCTGCAGCCGTGCCTCTTCCTGAGCACGGCTCTTTTCGCGAATGGCCTGATCGTCGGCTGCAGCATCGTAGTTCTGCCACAGGTTCCCAGGCGCCTGTCTCTGTTGTGCATCTTGAGTGCGGGCGGCACCTCGAGGCGGCCCAATCGGTGCAAGGCGAGCAGACGAGCTCTGTGTGGCTGGGTTGGCGGCCTGTGCCTGCGATACGCTTCGCGGAGGGGCGATCGGTGCCGGACGGTTGGCGATGTTCGGATTTGTCGGGTTGTGAATAGAATGGCCGAGATCCGCGATGAAAGTTCCATTGCCGAGTGACCGGTCATTACCAGGCGCTGCCCATACATTCCGTGAAGAATTCGACTGATTGCCACCCCAGGATGGGTATCTCTCTGCGCTTTGTGGCGCGTCGAGCCATGGTGCAGACGTCTGTGATCTGGGCGCTGCACTGGGCTGAGGTAAAGACTCAGTCTCAGCGCCGTCTGGTCGAATTGGTTGGCCCGCCGTGGTACCATTGACTTGATTGCTGGTCTCAGGGGTAAGAGCATCCGCACTGACATTCGTTTTGGCATCTGAACCCGATGACGGGTTGGCCTGCGCTTTATCTGCCGGTTTGGTCCTGGCCAGGAGAGCCTGGGGCACGTCCTTGGCTGGCTGAGAAGTAGCATCCTTTTCATCCTTCTTCGTGCTTTTGCGTTCAGGCGCAGGCCCCATGGCCTCTAGCTTCTTCCGAATGCGCTCTTTCCGCGCTTCCTCTTCGCGTGCCTCGTCCTCATGACGGCGTTTGATGGCAGCTTCACGTCGTTCGCGCATGAGCCTCTTCTGTACTTCAATTTCATCTTCGACCGGTACTGGTGGGGGAACAGGCGCAACTGGCTCCTGAACTGCATGACTGTGGTCCATGCTAGCTGGGACGGTGTTCGGGGAGGACCTGTTCTGCCAAGGTTGACCATGCTGGTTGGGTGGCGCAGCCACGTCAGGACCGCCAGACATTGAGCCAGAACGCACATGCTGAGGATCATGTGGACCGGGTATGTTGTGCGACGATCTCTCGAGGCGATACGCGAGCCCGCCACTGCCGCCACTAACGTTTGATGAGCCGCGACGCCGCCCGTATGGGCCTTCCGCTCCGCTGTTTCGGCTCGTTTGGAATGCCGCCGAGGGCTCGGCTGGTCCTTGAGTGTCGTGATGCGATGGACGCTGCAGAACAGAAGGCTGTTGCCGGCCATATCCTCCATCAGGTCTCGACCCGCGTCTGTCGGGTACGGGTTCATAACGTCCCGAGTGAGAATTGAAAAGTTCCCTGCCCGAAGTTGCATTTGGTCCGTCTCGCCATGGGCCGCGACTGAAGTCGTCCGCCGCAATTTCCTTGGTCGGCGGGGGAGGCGTACGAGTCTGCATACCGTCTCTACGCTGGTATCCCTGTGAAGCGCCATGGGCTGGTGCGTCGAGCACGATGGGTGCGGTCTTGTCGACAGGTGGCAGAGGAGCCCAGGGAGATTTGGCGGGCTGGGGTGGCGCCGGGGGCTTCGCAACAAAGACTGGCTTCTCAGGACCGCCCTTCAACACCAGGCCCTTACCAGATGCAAGAACACCGGGTTTGATGGACGGAGAAGAGACATTGCTGGTGGGTGGGACTGGGGACTTCGTTTTCGGCGGAATCTCGATTTGCCTCGGCGCAGGCGGGGCAGCAGCAGTGACCGGCGCCGCCGGTGCAGGTATAGGGCTCGGCGCCTTCTCGTCAGCCTGCGGCAGCTTGATATGGGTTCCATCAGTCCATGTTATAGTGTCTGGATCCCATTCCTCGTCGTCATCAATGTCGGCCCAGTTGGACTGGCCACTATCCTTGTCGGGCCCAAGTCTGTCTGCAAGGTGAATCCCATACTTCAACTGTAGCTCCTCGTCTGTAAACTTTTTCGGCTCGGGCGGAGGGACGGCTAGAGATCAAAAGTCAGTAAGGTGTTGTCCAGAGGACCATTTTTGGGCTAGCTCGCAGATTTCGGCATACGCTGGTTCTTGTTCCAGACAGAGCTGGCACTCGGCGCGACGGGTTTTCCATTAGGTCCCAGAGCCTTGTTGCTGCCACCTATCCCAGATTGCGACTTTGAAACAAGCTTCAGTTTCGAGGCAGAAGAGCTCGCATTCCCTGGCGCTGGGGTGGAGGAGGCGGAGCCTGCGGCAGAGTCAGGCCTGGACGTCGATGCCGCTGCGCCCTTGGACGCAAGAAATGTCCTGTTGACCGACACAGACTTGAAGCTCTGGGGCTTCTTGACAGTTGAGGAGTTGCGCGCATGGCCTTTGTCATCGAGTTTGGATTTTGACGCTTCAGTGTCGGAACCGCCGCTTACGCTGACTTCGGCTGACTGCACAAGCTCATCCACAAGTTCGGTGATCTGCTTGTTCTCGATCTCGTCGTGCGACCCATTTACGGGTGGGCTGGGTGAGGTGGCATTGTGGGGATCCGAGTCGATGTAGGCGGCGTGAGACTGTGGTGACGAAGAGAGGCAGCGTTAGTTTGAATGCTCGGTGGTTGCGCGCGTATGGCTGAAGATGAGAAGAAGGCGAAACACGCATCCTTCGGCGACGGTGGAAGCGCTCTTCTTCGGCCTGGGTCTCGAGCTGGGAGAATTTGACTTACGGACGAAGGCTCAGTTGGAGGTACATCGACAGGGTTCGTAGCGGTGGCTTCAGCAGCCATCATCCACTGCCGGTGGTCAAGCACAGGTTATTGAAGGGAGTCCGGAGAGGTCTTGCTGTCGCGGGCGAAAGATCTTGTCGGCGCTGGAGGGTTGTCGCGGATGCGCTCTGGTCGGTCCTTGGAAATGGCGATGTGCTTCGCTGGGCTGGTGTGGTGTGGTGGTGCCAGCGGCGGGTGGGAAAGGTGGTGGTGGTGGTGGGCATGCCTGTTGGCCCGGGCAGTGGCCCATCGGGTCGTGGCTGGGGGGGAGCGCGCTGGCCGCAACCGAAAGCATGCCCAGGTATTCCAGCAGCGCCCTGCCAGGCCGGACCGAGTCACACTTGCACCTGACCTCCAGGGCCGCCCGCCCAGGTGCCCAGGTGGCCTCGAGGCAGGCACAGCGGCACAGTGCATGGACCGTGCTCGCCCGGCTGACTTGCCATGTTTCCAGCATGCAGCAGCCACTGGAGCTTTTTAGGGCAGACGGTGCAGATGGGCGCGCAAGCCCATTTTGTCCAGGCTGGAAAAGACACGCTACTCGTGCCAATATTGTGTTTGGAACCACAACAGTTCATCCTGCGGTCTTGGCCCAGCCAGCACGTGTCATAGTGAGTAATATTCAGCCCCCTCAGGTAACGCAATGAGCACACTGTCAATATAGAGAGGCCGCATTCACCTCCCTTTGAGTCGCCAGCCTTACCCAGCATCAGCATGTACAGCATATTTTTAGTGAAAAGATGGCTCCACCGGCGACGAATCGTCCGAAACGAAGCACTGGAGGCGGCTGAATCTGACCCCAGTAATCCTTGCTTTTATTGTGATTGCCGTCGATGATAGGACTATCAATTTCAAACTGTAGCTTTCAAGAAATCGACTCGACACAGGCCCCCTTCGGTAACCATAATTACGCGTGCCTCGGTATTTTAGCACATGCTACGTACACAGCTGGGAAGAATGTTGGGCGGAGCGGGTGAGCGGCACACAGAAGCCGCGGGCTTGAATGGCACAGCCGGAAGCTGAGAGGCTGCCAAGCTAGTGGTCCATCCTTTCTCATTGCTTATTCTTGAGACGGAGAAACACCTGGAAGTAGCCTGAGGCTTGCTTGCTCTGCTGCTTGTGACCGTGCTTTTATTGTATGTGACTGAACTAGCTCTCTAGTTTCATAAGACTATTGACGTACCAATCATGCGCTTGCCTGACGGGCGACATGACGCGGCGGTCTTCACAAGGCGACCTGCACGAGGGTTGCTGGTCGAAGGCTTCTTTTAAGACCCACGTTTCTAGGACATCGAGGTGTTCATGCAGTAATGCAAGAATGTTGACAAATGGGACATGGTATTCAGGGCATACGCCCCCTTTCAATTCTAATACACGGCGGCTTAAGACCGGCAGTGCTTTTTCGAGCTTCTGTCCGGCTTGCCTCCTCGTCTTGTTTATTTACAGACTTTGATTTTGTTCTTCAACCACGTTCCTACACTCATCCACTACAGCCGCGTTGGCTTAGTGGGCGTTGTTCTTGTGGTGGCCTGTTTCGTATGATTAGTGACGGGTTTTGACATTACACAGCGGAAAGCAGAACTTACGCAGGTGGAAGTAGTAGGTCATGGGGTAGCCGATGACGAGGATCAGACCGATAGCGTGGATGATGGCTGTTTTGCGCGAGCATGTCAGTCTCGGGTTCAACTCCTGTGTGCCAGATTTCGCGGGGTATAGCCACGACGGCCACCCCCCGAATGGACGGAACTGTGCGACGTACGCTTGGCGGTAGGGTTCTTGCCAAAGTGCTTGGCCTGGTATCTGCCGAAGAGACCGGTGGGCTTGACCTCGGGGGCGGGACCACGGGGGAGCTTCTCGTAGAAGCTGACGACACGCTTCATGCGGACGGCATCAGGAGCAGCGCCGATGGCCTGAGGAGCGCACGGTTAGCATCATGGTTCTTTGCGAGCATCGTGGGCGCCTCATGTCGTCGATTTCTTGATAGCTAAGTCGCGCAACGATCATTCGAGTGGTATGGGCGCGCAGAGTGTGGCGTGACGAAATCGGGAGAGGTGCGGGAAAACCCGGTACCGGTGGACGTCGGGACGGTAAGCAGGAGAGCACGTACAGTAGGCGAAGCAACCTGTTGCAACAAGATATCAGCAAGACCGAAGAATGAGTAGAGTGGTATATGGCGATATGCGGCGCCGGAGGGCTGGACCCGAGGCCGGGGTTGCGGAGGAGGACTCACCTTGGGAGGGATGAGGGTCGAGAGACCCCGGCGGGCGACGAAGCTCATGATGGCGGGCGGGTGCGGCGTGAACGTCGGCGGGAAGATCAGAGGTCAATTGGGGGTCGTTGGACGGCGAACCTCAATCGACAGGAGGTGGTTGAGACGATGGGGTTGGTGATGGAATCTTTCGGAGGGCGAGAGCTGCGGTCGGCCACACTCGAGGACGAAAAGAACTCACTTCGAGGTTAGCGCGATGATTTGCCGCACTGGCCAATCATACCCCGCCAATTCATGACCGCCGGACCCACCACAACTGCCTCGCACCTCGACTTCGAGACGATGCAATCATCAACGGCCACAGCAAAGAGCTTGACGCTTGCTGCTCGATTGCCACCAGACCACACCATCAGCCACCGTTCGATCGTCGACTTCCTCGACGACATTCGAAAGAGGAGCCCGTCACCATGGCCTCTCTCAGATCCGCCTCCGCCGCCCGGCTGTTGAGGGCCGCCGCCCCTCGCACAGCTCCTGTCTCCATGGCCCAGCGACGCTTCAAGACCACAGACGTCGACCGCACCGGCGCGACCAGCATGGCCGGCAACACCGAGGTCGCGAACCACGTGCCTGCCGTACCCCAGGAGCGGTTGCCAAACTCGCCTGACTACGGCGTCCATACCGACAAGGCTACCTCGTACGTCCAGATTCTGCGGCAGCCACGTCTTCCATTACCTCCAGCCGCTTGAACAGCAATGCTTCACCTCTGTCGCGGGATCAGAGAGTTCAGGACATCGCCGGTCTGATTCTAGCCATGCGTTTGGGGTGCAGCATGTGGCACATGATTTGGGCTGGTGGACAAAGGCTGCGTCTGCAGAAGCAGGTACAATTGACCATAACACGGCTAACTCAATATCGTCTGGATTTAGAACCTTCACCCCCGTTCCCAAGCGTGTAATGGATGGCAGTGAGGACGTCGACTCCCTCCCTGCCGCCGTGCTCTCTGGTGCCCCGATCGAGCTGCAGGCCAGAACCGTCCGGTATGCTTTTCTCACATACACCCCGATGCTCCATCCAATCATCACGCTATATGCTTTCCCCCATTGGACATAGCCAGTCTCAACCAGAATAACACATCTGCTCGACCCTCATCACCACGTGCCATGCTAACCTTGGCATTTCCCGATAGCATCTACAAGCAGGCCAAGCCGGCGACACAGTCTGGCTCCTGGGGCGCGCACCACTGGCGCATGGACTGGGACGTGCTGGCCAAGGGCCACCGCTGGGAGAACCCGCTGATGGGCTGGCAGTCGTCCGGCGACTTCATGCAGGGCACCAAGATCGAGTTCAAGACCAAGGAGGACGCCATCGCCTTTGCCGAGAAGCAGGGCTACGAGTACTTTGTCCAGGAGCCCAAGGAGCGCGTCATCTCTCCCAAGGCCTACGCCAACAACTTCCTCTACTCGCCCGGCAAGCTCAAGCACATCCGGACCAAGTAGATCGACTTCGCTGGGTGGCTGGAACATGCTATCGCTTCTGCGGCCGTGGGACAATGTTCTTGGACGAGAACAGCCATGCATATGCTACCTAGGTAGACGAATAGGCACAGGCAGTGCTCCAGGTCTCACTTGTCGCCTTGTTCTTGCACTAGAGTGAGGCAGGCATACCTTGTACATATATAAGACAAATGATTCTTGGGACATCGCTCGCGCACACAATCCAATTTGTATTCATGCACCATGTTGAGTCTTGCAATTATATTCCATTGAGGCGTACGCACAAAAGTTTTGATTGAATTGATAACGCCGGAGAGAGAGACCCTAATGAATTCCAGTTCCCGCTTGCCCCTAATTTAAACGCCTTGCAAACACCCCCAAAAGGCAAAAACTCGCTGCCAGATGCCAATGTGCACAACAAAACAAAGGCCAAGGAATCAATCACAGTTACGCATTCATCGACATTGGCTCGTCATGGCCGTTCTCGTGCCTCAGAGACTCCTCGGCGTCAAGACCAATCTCGATCCGGGCCGGCAGGTCCTTCTTGGTCTCACTGCGCGCCGTAACCTCGCTCCACACCCGCATCATCACGAGCTGGCGGATCGCAGCCTCACGCCGCTGGCTCTGGCCATCGAGAATGGCCTTGTTGACCTGGTCGGCCACAGCGCGGCGCAGGCTCGGCTGCAGGAGCGCGGCTAGTGGGGGATCAAGGCTGTCATGCGGGAACACGAGCAGGGTCATGGTCTTCTCCAGGTCTTCCAGATACCGAGCATTCTCTGAGGCACGAGGACCCAGCTGGGACGTGGCAAAGTCGAGAGCTCGTGTGATGTCGCCTCCTGGAGTGGCTATGCATGTCCTGATGAGTTCAACTAATTGCAGACGCAAGACGGCAAAGTGAAGATCCTTGTCTTCATCCAAGATCTGGAGTTTGCCCACGTTAGCACTACGCCATGCATGGCAAGCTTTGTGGAACCGAGCATAAGAGGTAGTAAGGAGGATGTGTGCTCATAGAAAAAGTGGTTGTTCCTCATCACCAGTCCGAAGACTATATGAGTGGTGCATGTAAAACTCGTGTTCTAATCATAGCGGGAGGTTGTGGCAGATGTGCATGTGCGCGTCATGGTGACTTACGGATGGGTCAAGATCATTCAGCTCGTCAATGGCAGCCTCGATATCTCCACGATGTATGGACGCCTGTATCCGCTGCCTTGCCTGGATATCTGACATGTCTTGTTGTGGTGGGAGGTTCGCCTCTGCCGAAAACTTTGCGGCGGCATTGGGATAGCCAGCGACGGTCAAGTAGTCTAGTATCAAAGCATTGATGTCACTGCGCCGCCTGTTAGCTGAGTGTCTACCGTTGCGCAGTGTAAGACGGTGAAGAGGAAGTTCGGCGTAGTGTGGTTCAGAAATGAAGAAAGATAAAATCTTTATCCGCATGTATGTATTCTCGGAGAGATTCCCATTGATTATTCGTTACATCATGTTGAGGGCGGCCGACGAGAGTGTGAAGGACAACTGGACAGAGGGAAGATGCTTACCTTTTGGGGGTCTTCACGTCCTGCACCTGTTGCGAGAAGAGATGCAAGGGCGTCGTGGTGGACGTAGAGGAAGTCTGCAGACGTCAGCAGAGGCTCCGCGATCAGGTCGCAACGAGGCGCCCGAGGACGATTGGCCACTCTGAGCATACCATTTTGCTGCGTCGCAAGCAGTGGCAGCTTCACAGCTGCCTGGTCACGGATCGAGGATGATGCGCGATAGCGTGTCTAGAAGGGCACGTCCTTTACGAGGATCGACGGGTGACAATGTACGCAGAGAGTCTGCCACTTGAACCGGCAAGGAAAGAACGGTAGTGGTCGAGTCGACGGATCTGCGTGAGGCAGGCGAATGGCAAGCAGACGCGAGGCTGTGAGGAAGAAGAGAGACGGTGATGAGGCTCCGTCGGCCCCGGTGCAGAAAACTCGACGTCAAGAGCCGCGAGCAAATGAGGAGCTTTGACCACTTGTGTGCACCTAGGCGGACACGGCGGGGCAGAGTGCAGGTACCTGCACAAGATGCGCTAGGCAGGCAGCAGGCAGGCAGGCAGGCAGGCAGGCCTCGGGACCCCTAAGCACAGCTGGCACCTGGCCCTAAGGTTGCTGCAAGGGCTCTGAGGCGGCAGTCTGCGGTGTGCTTGCAGCAGTTCTGTAGCGCAGCCGCCGTTGCAGCGGAACATGCCTGGATGAGACAGACAGGCAGACAGACAAGCCTGTCTGTGGTGCCGTCGTCACAAAGGCACGTGTGCACGGACAAGACTCTTCGACGACAGCTCTGTATGGTATCCCTCGTGATGCACTATGCCCTGGTGCTCTTGGCTGGCCAGCCAGCCAGCCACTGTGAGCATCTGGATAGGGCTGGCTGATGGGGCCGCCGCAAAATGCTGCTCCTCCTGCCAGAACCGGGACCGGCCGATGCGCCGCTGACCTCCACCGGCTCGGCCTATTCTGCTCGCAGCCTTGGCCAAAGGGGCACGCGACAGCCTGACCAACAGACTCCAATACCTGTATACGTCGTTCAGGCTGCTCCGGTCTTGCAGGAGAGTCGGCGGTCTCTTGCGTTCGTGTGCCCAGTCGCTGGAGGGTCTTTGCTCGTTTCGTCGTGCCGGCTCCTACATTCTCCCTGCCCGTCTTCCTCGACATCTTGGATATCTCGTCGGATTTAACCCGCCACCACCGCAAGCATGAACACCGGGATCAGCTCACCAGCTGCCAGGCTGGACGATCCGCTGGACACTGGGGACACCATAGCCAAACGGGTGCACTACAGCCCTCCGTGGGCTGACCTGAGCATCATCGGCGTGGCTGGCAGCTCCGGCTCCGGCAAGTCGACCCTGTCTCATGCCATTGTCAGCAAGTTGAATCTGCCTTGGGTTGTCATCCTGTCAATGGTTAGTCGATAAGAGTCTAGTCTGGAGCCATGATCATTGCAAATCAACCTTGTACTGACTGGCCTCCCAACAGGACTCGTACTACAAGCCCTTGACCCCGGAACAGTCTAGGATGGCCTTCTTGAACGAATATGACTTTGACTCTCCAGAGGTTCGTAGTCTGGGATGTATTGTTTGCGTACATGAGTATGGGCTCATCACAGGGACAGGCCATCGACTTCGACGCCCTCGTAGAAACACTGCGGAACCTCAAAGCTGGGTAGAAGCCTTCATGATCTGTGTCTCATGCTCCAAGCGTCCTGACGATGATTGCCAGAAAACGTGCCGAGGTCCCGCAGTATTCGTTCGAGAAGCACGCCCGCCTGGATTCTACCACATCCATCTACTCGCCTCACGTGCTGGTGCTCGAAGGTATCTTTGCACTTTACGACCAGCGTGTGATGGATCTCATGGATATGAAGGTACCAGAGCGGCCTATGTCCTTCCCACTGGCTACCCACTGACGAGGAGAGCAGCTATACTGCGAGGCCGACATGGACACCTGTCTGTCACGACGCAGTAAGTCCATGTGACCCTGTAACTCTCTCTCTCTCTCTCTCGTGCAAAGACACTAAATCTTTGGCTCAGTATTACGAGATGTGAGGGATCGTGGCAGAACTGTGGAGGGTTGTATCAAACAGTGGTTTGGTTTCGTCAAGCCGAATTATGAGAAGGTATACCGCTAGTCTTTGCGGCTTACATTGATGGACGACCGACTAACCTGGGCGTTACAGTTTGTGCAACCACAACGGAACAATGCTGGTATGTCCCACATTGACCTAATGATGGACCTGTTCGCTGACCATTTCGATCAGACATCATCGTACCTCGTGGAATCGAGAACGTTGTGGCCATGAGTAAGCCAGTGAGCATATTATCGGTGGTTCAAACTCTGACGCCTTTGCAGCAATGGTAACGCAATACATCGAGCGTAAACTGGTCGAAAAGTCAACACACCATAGAGCGGCCTTGAAGACTCTTGAGACCGGCTATGATAGCGAGCCTCTGTCGAACAAGGTAGTCATCTTGACCCCAACAACTCAGCTTCGGGGCATGAACACCATCATCCAAGACATCGACACCAGCAGCGAGGATTTCATCTTCTACTTTGACAGACTTAGTAGCCTGATCATTGAGCAGTACGTCAAAGTGCCCTTATCATGCGACGATTCTCTTGTCCAAGGCTAACCAGCGTTGTTCTTTGTAGAGCTCTGAACAATGTCCTTTTTGAACAAAAGTCTGTAGAGACTGCTGCAGGCCACAAGTATCAAGGACTTACTGCCCAAGGAGAGGTCAGCGCCGTCATTGTTCTCCGCGGCGGCGCCACCTTTGAGAGTGGGCTCCGGCGGGTGATCCCAGACTGCCGAACTGGGCGCCTGCTCATCCAGTCCAACATCCGTACTGGAGAGCCAGAGCTGCACTACCTCAAGCTGCCCAGTGATATCGAGAAGCACGACAGCGTGCTGCTCCTCGATGCGCAGATGTCCAGCGGCGGCTCGGCGCTCATGGCCGTCCAGGTGCTTGTAGATCACGGCGTGCGGCAGGATCGCATCGTGGTCGCCACGTACTCGGCTGGCAGAGTCGGGATCCACCGGCTGACCCGGGTCTTCCCCGAGGTCACGGTCGTGGTTGGCAACCTGGTTGCGGACTTTGAAGATAGGTGGATCGAGAAGCGCTACTTTCGGTGCTGAGAGAAAGGTGCCTTCTAGCTGCTAGCATTTGCGAAGGATAAGAACCATTTACCACGGCATAGAATTTACGTGTGGCCTCACTTTTGTTTTGTTTCAATGACTTAGTTTCCGTCTTGCACATGACTTTGAGCTTCCGCGATTTCCGGTACATGAAGCAGTAGCGTGGTCATTCGCATTCCTTGCAATCTTGGGTTGTTAGGAGTGTAAATGACTGAATCTGGTGGAAGTCGAAAAGTCAGAGTAAGTTGCAGCATGGACAAGTCAGGATGGAGTACAGCAACGAGACGAGACCATCTACAGTCTTGTTTCACGTTTCACTCCGTCTGATATTCGATACACAGCTCTCCTGTATCTAGATAAACACTGGAAAGAAAGCTTGTCGGGCGACCAAACCAGTCTTTCAAGATTCGGCAGACTCTCGAGTCGTTGGCACATCCATCCGTAGAAGCGTCCCCGTCCAAGTAGTCCCGTTCTTACGAGACAGTTTGTACTCACCCACAATCTGATAACCCTGCTTCTCGTAGTAACTATAATCATTGTTAGCTCATTCTGCGCTGGTCATCAGAGTCGTCACCTGGCCCAGGACTCTACGGCAGTGATGCCAAATGAAATGCTCACTGACCTGGCCAACTTGCCGCCATTACCTGCCCAGGCGTCAACGTATACCGTCCGCTTGCCGTGTGCCGCGGCATAATCCCTGACGCCCCGGAGAAGCGCAGCGCCCGCGCCTCGCCGATAGGCCCCGACGCGGCAGTCCGTGACCATGACCTCGAGGTACACAAAGCCGCCAGCGGCAGCAGCAGCGCTTCTGCCCCCGCCGCCTCCGCGCAAGGGACCATCCTTGCCGAGTCCCAAGTGCGGCTGGTTCTCAAGGTACGACGAGACCCAGTCCTCTCTCAACATGGCAGCACCGACGGAGAGGAAACGCCGGTCACCGCCCTCGGTAACACGCACGTGGACACCCTCGGGCAGAGAGAGTTGGGCGGCGGCGGCGGCGTCGGCCGGCCCGTCCTGCTCCGCCTCCGCCGCCGCCGCCGTTGGGCTGCTGGGCAGTTCTGCCTCGCAGATGAGGATGCGGAGGACTTCGCCATCTGGCGTTGGCCGGAGGCCTCGAGACTGCTCGACCTGCTCCGTCGTTTCCTGCGTGAAGCCCTCGCGTTCCGAGAACGGCTGCATCCCCCACATCTCCTCGCTGCCAATCGAGGCGAGGTATGGCAGGGTCGAGTCGAATGCGTCGACGATGAACTCCCCGTCCGCCGGAGATAGGCCTGCGGGCCGGATGTGAAACGTTGGAGGCGTCATGGTATGTGTGCAGTGAGGAAAGGGTATGTTTGAATTGGAAGGGGGGTATGTGCAGTGTTGGGGTCAATGAATGTGAGTTTTGGGGTTGTGAATGCAAGCTGTGGGAGACTGTTTATCAGAATTGTTTATTCTGAGGCCTTAATGAAAAACCCCGCTTGCAGAAGTTCCAAGGCACAAACCGCAAGGCGACAAGACGAGAAATGAACTCAATTGTGAACTAATACATCCTTGTCAGAAGACTTAAAAACATTTAGGTTGACAGCGGAGTAAACATGTCTCACCAAGCATTCTCAAAACTTATATACTCTTTGGGTGGAATTGCCTATGCCGCCGTTCCGTGGTGGTCATCTCGTCTCGCCATGGTTCGCTTCGTGGTGCGGAAACTACGGTGGTTCACGTGGCGTAACCTTCACATGCCTGTATGCAAGAAAAATCCATATTTCACTGTCCACAATAGCTATCACTCTTCGGTTATAATGAGCACAGTTACTATATAAAAGCCAAGCACTGAAGATCGGCGAGGAAGAACCATGTCCTCAATCAATCGATATGGTGAGAGTCCCCATCGCAGCCCTTGTTCCCAATAGAATGGCGAACACCCGGTCAATTCTTGTTTTCGGCTATTGATTTACACAAGAATTGGACGCTTCATTAATGCGTGCCCTCATTCAATTCCCGAGATGCTCCAGCAGCTTCCCGGCAATCTGTTCAGCATCGAGAAGGAGACTGGCCAGTTTATGGGTCTGACTCTGGCCCTGATAAGCCGGCTTGTCGTATGCAGCATCGCCATCATAGACTGGTTTGTTGTAGGCAGAGTCCCCGTCAAGGCGGTGGTTATACTCTGGCTTGTCGTAGGCAGAATCCCCGTCGAGACGGTGGTTATACTCTGGTTTGTCGTACGCAGCATCTCCATCGTACACTGGCTTGTTATAGGCAGAATCCCCGTCAAGACGGTGGTTATAGGCTGGCTTATCGTACGCAGCATCTCCATCGTATATCGGTTTGCTGTAGGCCGAATCTCCGTCAAGGCGATGGCGATAGGCTGGTTTGTCGTACGCAGCATCGCCATCATACACTGGCTTGTTGTACGCCGAGTCCCCGTCCGGACGGCGGTGGTAGGCTGGTTTGTCATAAGCAGCATCACCATCGTAGTGCCGGGCAGCGGCGAGCGCATGATGATCATGAGCTCCAGACTCAGACTCTGTACACAAGTTAGACTGTTAACCGCCTGGAGAAGGGGAACTCCCGACTTGCGTACCTCGTTGCTCCACTGGGGCGGCCACGGCCGCAAGGGCAAGAGTGGCAAATGCCAGGGCGTAGCTGGGAGTCTTCATTTTGGAAGTTGCGGAGACGGAAATTGATGTAAACCGAGGTGCTCTGGGGTAATCAGAGCGTTGTGGTTGTTTGTCGTCCCTTTCCATGATTTCCACGGGAAATTTGCTTTTTAATATACTCATGGCCGGGTTTTGAGGTAGCTTAGCAGCTTGCTGCGATACTTTTACGGCCGTGGTAGCCAATTTCCAGCACTCTGGCAAAACTTGGCGGACCAGATCGATACGATCGTCATCGACGCACCAGCAAGCCTTCAGCATCTCCCACCGGTGAGACAGCAGGAACACATGATATTTGGCCCTTGACCAAAAGCATCGACATTGGCGAAAGTATCGACGGAAAGGGCTTTATAAATGGTTTCCTCCTGAGCATAAAAGGACGCTATAGCAAAAGATCCAAGACAACATGAGGGTTGCCTTTGGCTGAGTGGTTAGGTACTCACGAGCAAGGTGTGCTTAGGTATGTGGAGGATTCGACTGTTCCTCATCTCGATGCTGCTTGGCTCGTGGCTAAGTTTACAGGGTGAGTGTTGTCTTAGTCGACGATGCTTCCCGTGGTCTTGTCCACGACGGACACGCCTTCATAGTGGCCTTGAGAGTTCTAAAGAGGATGTCCCGAAGACCGAGGTATACATTGATAGTTTTTTTATGTTTCAGGTTGGTAAAATTTTATTGGATTATTGCATCAATGTCCGCGAAGTTACGATATATGAGCAGGCGCTTTGGGAAATCGTTGGTTCGAGCGACTACCGTGTCTATGCTATGGTCGTTCATGGTACCTCTCGGGCGCATCACATCCTTCCGAGGTTCAGCTGAAGAGATAGCTCGGCTGATATCTCACTGCGTGCTTGAGGTTACTCAAAGAATGGGAATCTTTTCGAGAGTCCTGATATTTGTTAAGACACATCATGAGCTTTCCCCGATATTTGATTCAACTGTGACTCTGAGGTGTGTCGTTTCCGCGCAACTGTCAGAGGGCTTAAAGTTTGAGACAAGATGTATTAGACCAGCCGTCGAACAGGTTGTCTCCACGCTTCCACGCCAACGGTATTTGAGAGACAGCGTTTATGCAACTCGCTAGCCGCGGACCGGGCCGCCTTTTCATCACCTAACTGGCGCGAAAGTCGACGCAGGTCATACTTTCCGGCCGGACTATTATGCGCAATCTGAATCACCATCCCGAAACCCAGAGTTAAACTGCTCGTGGCCTAGCTGAAATGTACAATTATAAGACACAAAGGTCACGCAGCTGTCTCACCTTCATAATCAACCTCGCTTCTTAACCAGCCAAAGACACCTCTCCATCTGCTTCAAAAGAGTTTGCAGCTCAGAACTCACACGTCAATGGCCAAGCCGGGTCGTCACATGCTTTCAATGTTGCTTGATTTGCCAAGGCTCCTGAATCCTCAAGTCATGAGCAGCCAATTCGAACCGGCGGGCCGGCCCCGTCGTTGCTGAGCTCGCCTTTGCCTCGTGTCATGCCCGTTCCGCGGAGAAGGCCCAGAGAAGTCGTCCGAACTGTATAAACTTATATACCCCTGGCATTCGACTCTGTCTTCTGCACACAGAATTCCTCAACGTTTCCTTCCCACTATCCGACATTCAATTGACGCGCAACTCCAGCATAGCCATGGGTAAATCACAACTATATCAACCCATTGATGTGCAGTCTGACGACGGCAACAAGTCCAGCACTGAGGCCGAGGAGAGATATGGTCTTCTCTACGGAGAGGTCCGTCCGCTCCCTCGACACAGCAAGCTTGTCCGGGCGCTGCTCTGGCTGGCCGCCATCATCGGTATCATTGTCTACACGGCCGTGGTGGCCGGGACTGCTGCATTTACCGCCTACAGGTTTCTCCAGAAGAACACTCTCCACGGGACCCGGTTTCTTAAGTCTCCTGCCAACGACTATATTACCTATGAGTCTCGCGTGATGGATCAGTTCGAGTACGACAACGAGAAGCAGTACTTTACCGATCCAAGCCCTGAGATTGACGCCAATTGGCATGAGCTGTTCGAGTGTAAGCCCCCCCCCCCCCCCCCCCCCCCAATAAGAGCCCAGTCAGGCCTACGGAATGGATTGAGATAAGCATACTAAGTTGGCGATGGTCAATAGACCAGAACATTGCCATTCAGCCGGAGCTGATGGAAGAAATGGGCCGAGCCGAGGAAGGCATCCGCTTCCCGGATGGTACCTACTTTGGTTCGATGATGGTCTTCCATAACCTTCACTGCCTCGTGAGTTGTGCCCCTCGTGGTGTCCTTGTTGCGACCAGTCCCCAGAATCGCAGTGTCACAGGAAGAAAGATAAGCTAAGTAACGCCAGAAAAACATCTACCACACCCTTCACCCGCACTACTATGGCATGAACAAGTACTCCGAGAGTGAGCGGGCGCAGCACAAGGAGCACACTGGTACGTACTTCACACACACACACACACACACACATATCGAATAGCTGCAGCAGTATCCAGCCCCCGGAGTTGACTGACAGTGGAATACAGAACACTGTCTCAAGATGCTCAAGGACGCCGTCATGTGCCAGGGCGACCCGACCATCTTGACCATGAAGTGGGCAGAGACTGGGCTCCGGCCCATCGGGAACCTGACCAGCCCCCACGAGTGTGTGAACTGGGACAGGCTCATGGAGTGGGTTGTGCCAAACTCGAGAAACGTTTTTGAGGATGGCATGCTTGTGCATCCGACCCGCGGTTCGTATAATACCCCTTCATTATTTTGCCGCTTGCCCAGGGGGGATGGAGGCTGACATTGTAGCGTTAGGGCCTGTATTCATCAACGGGGAGTTTGCAGAGAGTGTTGGGCATTTCTGATTGAGAGACTGGGTAAATGAATGAAGCAGTTTAGGCACAGAAGCTCCTAGGTCGCACAGCCGGATCTGATGATGGACTATGTCATCTCCGCTGGAGACAATGAAATTGCGATACGAATGAGACCGAGATTGCAAACATCAGAAGGGTAGAACTCCTGACGTCAATCCCCAAATTGCTGGGTGTATTATTGTTGTATAAAGTGACAAGCCACATGTTGTGCGGGGATAGAGTATATATCCAAGTCTGCCGAGTACGCTACTTTTCGTACGCAGGTGTGTAATTACTATGGCGCGTGCGTCGTATTTGATTGCATGGTTGCAGCCTGGCAGCACGTTCCACATGTGATGAGATGTGATGTGGCGGAGGTGGTGGTTTGGGTGGTTTTGGTGGTGAGACAAGTCACCCCCAAGGCCAAAGGCACCTGCCTCCAAAGCTCCAATGCCTTGAACAGGGTGCATGCATGCATTTCCTCACGGACCAACCACCACCACGCGTGGCATCCGTCCTCCAACTTCATCACTTCCCACGTCCTGAGGAGCCTCATGACCAAGACCAAACGAAAAGGCGTGCTGCGTGTCCAGCACAGCCCACCATCAGTACATATGTCTGGTATAGTCAGACTCGCACTCTTCACATGCCGCTGGCAGTCTCGAAAGGCCCATAAAGGCCCCAAGCTCCAGACCTGCAGAACACGCCACATTGACGTTCTCGTTGGAGAACCATCACGATAAGCTACAAGGCCACGTCTCAGCGTTGCAGCGCCTGGCCCGCCAGATGACCACAAATCCCACCCTGATCGACATGCCAGTTTCTGTCTTGTCCTCGCCCGCCACCCACCTCATATTAGTGGGCAGCCATTCGGAGAAGCATCGACTGCCAGACGAGCCGGTCGCAATTTCGCATCCTCAAAGCCGCGATGCTAGCGCCCGAGCGTTTGCGCCCGAGGCTGCGGCACAGAGAGAGACACCACAGGGGGAGGGGGCCCTTGCTTGCACAGGCTCTCGGACAAAAAAAGATTAATCAACCTGCATAAGGACAGACAACCACACCATACCAGCCGCAGAGAAACAATAGAGCCCCAACTGCCGTGCCGGCTAGTCCCCAGGGAGGTTACAACCGCCAATAGGGTTTGCATGGCTCGGCAGTGGCGCACCTTGGCGTGGCAGATCCGCCAGGGGGCTTTCTGTTGGGCCTCTTTTGCCCTTTCTTTCCCTCCCCTACATACTTGCCATCGTGTCCTGCCATCATCGTGTCGTTGGCTGCAGTTGATCTGCCTCTGGGGATCCCCGATGCTCGGTCTCTTTACCTAAGTCCCCAGGGGTTCGGTGGATCGCGAGCAAGGAAGAGTGAAAGCCACACGTAATTTTCGGGATGAATGGGGCCGAGATGCAGTCGGCAGGGTGGAACCAGCAAGACGACACGACAGGCAGACGTTTAGGAACACGGGCCGATGGGTGAGCCGGGCGGCTGCTACAGTAGCTGGAGGACGCCGCACAACCACCGCAGAAGTCCCCCATATGGGCCTGCCCATCATCGACACCAGTGCTGAATAGCGGAGGGCTGTGCTGACAATCTCGGCGGCACAGCACGGCTCATGTTGCGTCATTCGGTACCCACTGCGCAAGTCCACGGTGGATTGTCGGGGACCTTGTCCACGAGACACCCAGAGCCGCACAGGAGCACACGCTTCTCTCCGTGTCATTGTATCAGCTGTCTCTCTGGCACAGGCTGATAACAAGCCACAAGTCTAGTCCTCTTGTCGGACCGGTTCCAGTGCTTCTCGGTGGTATTGGCAAGCCATTTTCCTGCCCCGTCGCCACGTCTGCGCAGACACTTGCTCGCTAGGCACAATAGGACCGAAAGGCAGTCGACGCGCGGGACAGCAGGTGGGCCCCAGCCGGACCCATTCCGGGCAATCTGCCATTGAGTATTCCCGTCCGGACAGCATCTTGCTTTTTGTTGCTTCGTCTCTCGGCGAGCAACGTCTTCTTGAACAACAGCCCTTCTGCGTAGATCTTCCTCTGCGCTGAAAGCGGCATTGCTGTTCGTTGTCCTCCCGACACCACGACAAGCACGGCTACACGACGACACATTACCACCATGGCCTTGGACGAGCGGATCACCATTGGACTGGCGGCAGGTGTCGCCTTCATCGGTCTCTTCACGATTGGCTTCATCGGAGTATGCATCTGGGCTGCCCGGCGGCGGCGTAGAGTTCGTGCTCTCAAGGTAGAGGCTGCCGACACAAACAGCAGGATGGCTGATCTCGAGATCGGAGACAACAACGCGGCTCCTCTGTCCAAAGGCTCGTCGACAACTTCGACTGGTACTGCCCACTTGATGGCCGCCCGGGACGCTTCCCAATCAACAACAATGCCAGAACCGCATGCGCAGGCGTCTCAGAAGCAACAGAAAGAAACCCACGCTGTCCACGAGACAGCCAGTCCATCGAGAGACCAAGTCGACAACGGTTGCTGAATGAAAAGCGGGCCACAAAAGCAGCTTTGAACAATCAGCCGCGTTTCCCATCCGAGCCAAAAAATTTCCGAGACATGCCCCAGCATGCATGGCCGACACGGCAAATTCCACATCATCCTGCGTGCTTCTGCGACCGGAGTTCTGAACACCCAGTCGTTACCCACAGATTGCGCAAGCAGAGCATGCAAACCCGACGTCAGCAATTTACGTCTCAACGGCAAGCCGAGAAGAGTGCTTGGCTCGGCTAGTTCCCATGGCGACATAAAAGAGCCGGTCCCCAGAACGCACGGTTCAAGACAAGCAGGAGGAAGGCCATCTCCCATGATAGTGGAAGCCTCGCACGGGGGGTGCTCGTGAAGCCGCTGTGCATCTACGACCACTGCGGATCCGCCACGACTCTGTTGTTGGACGCGACCAGCACAGTTGCTTGCCCAAACTTGCAGCCTTGTGCGCAAGAATGGATACTTGCCTCCTGTCGCTTGGCGTCTCATCGCCCGGCATTGCGCACTCATGAGCGCATGGAACGTCTCTGCCTGACGCCATGACTCGTAAGGTAGCATGTCCTAGAGCAGTGCTGGGACCTTGGCCCACTCAGGATAGCGACACGTTTATGGGAGTCGGAAGAGTGAATACCAACGGCATCGGACTTGCCTCGCGAGCAATCAGACAGAAACATCGTCCGTCGACTGTCATATCGACTGTTACGCACGGAGCGATTGAGGCTGCAATGACGATTGCACTCTCGGCACAAAAGGAACATCACTTGCCGGCCTGGTCTCTTCAGTATCGTGCTACATTGGTGTAATCGACATTTGCACCGCGGCTGGTCCACAGACCCGGGGAAGTCATGCAAGGAGCAGAGCGCAGGATCATCATATTGACGACTGTCCAATGTACTCGTCAAGTTCTATAATATATGAAATAAGATATCTACACTAATGTAATGCCGACATTTCAAATCTGAGAGATAATCCACATCCTTTCCGAGCCGTTGTTTTTATGCAAAAGATGTGCGGACGGCCCTCTGAGCCAGCTTAGGGAGTGTAGCGGTCGACGAGCGAGCCGCCGTTGCCATCGGCCCAAGAGCCCTTGAAGTCGGGCTGGCTGGTGATGACGGTACCATCCCCAAGGCGGAGTGCTGCCCAGCTGTCCTTGCCGCAGAGGCCAAAGGCCTGGAAGTTGGAAGGCGTCTGCTCGATCCAGTGAAGGTGGTCTAGATGAGAAAAACACGTTGGTTAGTGAATGCGTTCTGGTCTAGTAGTGTAAAGACAAGGTAGTAAATGGGATGTTGACTCACTCTGGCATGCAAATGGTCCCGCACAGCTCTGGTATCCCGGACCGCTGAAGAACGCCCACGACGCGGAGGCATAGGTGTAGATGTTGGAGCCGCCGTTGATGTAGTTGGCAAAGCCCATGCGGCAGCGAGTATCACCGCCCGAGCACCAGGAAAAGTCCGGGTCGCCCCAGCCAGAGACGCTGGCGACCCAGGGTGCGGGAGGGATCTGTTGGACGTTGTCGCCCTGGTCGTAGTTTGTCTCGGACTGCAGAAGCGAGACCATGACGTTGCTGGCCTTGCGGAGGTTGAGCTGGTAGAGCCAGAAGTGCTCGCTGCCCAGGCCGTGGAGCCATGTGCCCTTGGTCGACTCGACAAGAGCGCCACCCTTGGCTGCAATGCTGGAACCGCCGTTAAAGTCCTCGGTGATGTGGTCGGCAACCCAGTTCCACACGTTCTCGACATATGCGGACGAGCCAGAGGTGAAGTGCATGCCCAGGAAGGCTGCCTTGCATTCGTTTCTGGAATCGCGGCACTTGTCGGTGAGGCCGCTAGCACCACGGGTACCGCCAATGGTGATCAGCGAGTTCCAAAGGGCAACGTCGCCAGGCTTCGAGCCAGCCATGTTGAACTGTACTACAATGGCACCGGGGAGCACATCGGAGACGGTGAAGCGCATGTCGGAGATTTGAGCCACACCGACGTCACCAGCGTTTCCGACCTTGACAACCGGGCGAGGGTTGCTCTCATCCTTGAACCTGTCGCCGTTGCCTGTGATGGTGGCCCAGGCTTCACCGACGATGCGAGAGCCCTTGGGGATAAGGAGTGTGTCGTCCACGCGGTACTTGCCGAAGGGGAAGTAAGCAATCTTGCCAGTGCTGGCAGCAAGCTGCAGGATCTGGTTCAGGACCTGGGACTCGTCCTTGGTGTTGTCTCCGAGAACAGTGCGGCCACCGTTCTGGGCAGGGTCCTTCACGTTGATGAAGTCGGCAACAGTGTTGGAGGCGTAGTTAGGTGCAGGCAAGACAGGGTACCTGCCTCCGGGAGCAAGCGCCTGAGGGCGCGTGTTGGTCGTGGTTGTGGCGCCATAGACAGGGTTGCGGCCAACGGTGTTGCCGAAAGTGTAGGTATCGACGTGGGACCTGCCGGACAGGAGAGTGCCGTCCGGGTTTTGAGCAATGTCGGAGTTGGTGTCCTTGGTGAGGTTCTCGATCAGGAATGAAGGCCACACTGTGGTCTTGAAGGTGACGCCAGAGTTGATGGATCTGGCGTCTACCAGGCCGATGTAAGGCGAGCCTCCAGTGCAGAGTACGGCCGTGCCGACCGTCTCGAAGGTTGGTGCCAGGATGCTGACGGTGGCGCCACCAGTGATGAGCATGCCCACAGTGTTCTGGTAGAAGTAGATGGACTTGTACAGGGCCTGCTGGTGGCCGTCTTGCCAGATACCATTCTGCACACAAAATGTCGTTGGGTTAGAGACTGTGAAGGCTGGCCGTTATGGGACCTCGTGATTTGTGTGGAGTCTTACCTGTCCACGCTCAACGCGCACGTCCGCGAGAGCCAGAGTTGAGCCTCTGCCAAGTCTGATACCAGTGTGGCCGTTGCCGCCAGATGACGAGGCCATGGTGATCTTGATGTTCTGGAGTTGGGCAACCTGGGCAACACCCCAGTAGAGCGCGGTAAACGCATTGCCTACCGAACGTTAGTGGCTGAGATTAATGTACCATAGCCGGGACTAGGAATGAGTCTTACCACCGGGAATGCTCGTGGTGTCAAGAATAAGGTTCTTCAAGCCGACGGCGAAGGAGAGCTCTCCAGAAATACCAGTAGACGGATCCTGGCCTGTAGAACAATTAGCGATCAGGGCACGAAGTGAGTGTGCTTGGAGCACCATGGCTGATAAACCCTACCATTGATCAGGACCTGACTGCCCGAGAAGCCAGGGGCGGCCTTGATGATGGGTGGCTAGAAACAATACAGTCAATATCTCGCCGTATGCACAAAGTTACAGTTGTGAGACATACGTTGGTGGCGTCTCCCATGAGAATGGTGTCGGTGTTCATGTAGATCGTGTTGCTAATGGTGTATGTGCCCGGGGGAATATACACAACCTGTGAACGAACTCTCTGTTAGTATCCATCCTCTGCCACGACTGCAATAACCCGGACAGGTCGATACAACGTACTCTGGGCTGAGAAGCAAGCCACTGGCCATGACGAGTTGCGCCATTGGTGCCCTCGTTGATGGCTCGCTGAATGCCGGCACCATCGCCGGGAGCAACGGCCTTGTACACGGCGTACGAGAAGTCGCCGTCGAGGTCCGGGGCGTAGCCGCGAGGGTTGCCGGTGTGGTCCATGTTGGCATACCAGAAGCTCGTCGACTGCCGTTTCTCGTCGTGAGAAACGGAGCTGCTGGCACCCTGGACAGGCGAGGCAGTGGTGAAAGTGGCAGCCAGCAGGCTGGCCGCCAGGAGAAGGACTCGGGCCATCCTCGATATCCTTCGGTGAACCTTTGACCTTGTCGGAGAGTTCTACACAAGACGGCTGTGCAAAGAGAAGCGCAGAACCAGTTTGTCTGCCTCGAGGACGACGATGCCGATGATGGGCTGGTACTGTATAGCGAGGTCCGGGGACCAGATTGGTCTTATATCTCGAGAAGCCGGAGACGAAAGACTTTTTTCAGCAGGCTTGTTCTCGTGGTCTCATGGCGCCATCACGTTGAGGATAGACGTCCCTGCCCATGCAAGAGAGGGTCCAGATTGGGCCGGTTTGCTGGCGTGTCGTGGGGTGCTGAGTTGGAGCCGAGCTGGAAGGTTTGCTTGTGTGGCCTGCCGGTCAGATGTAAGGTTCCATCTGCAGGAGAGGGCCGTTGCTTCCCGCTGCTTGTCCCGTTTCTGTGGGGAAATAAGAGCAAGCCGCCGCGTCGATGGTGCGTCGTGGTCACGGTGTGGTGTGTGTGCACGTAGTCATGCCCCATGGTGTAGTCTCCGCTGCCAGCGAGACCGTCCATATTAGCTGACGCCAGCCAGGGATCAAGGGGGCTCCAGCAGGCCGCCTCGGCAAGCGGTGCTTTTCCGTGCTCATATCGATCCCACGTCACACTTTGAGAGGTGGCTGGCCGGCAAATTGCAACGGGCCCGCGCCACTGTCCAGATCGGCAGCTAAGGTGAATCATGGTGGCCACATCATGCAGCCGTGCTCGGCCCGTCTGGGGTCATGGCGGTGTCAGCTTTAGTAGGTACACTAGGTAGACGCAGAGATGCAGCCGCAGACGTCAGGGAACTCGACAAGATCTGGGGAGAGCTCGTCTGGGGAGCGTCGGGAGCTGGGCAACTGAGATGATGGCCTCGCTTAGCTGCCCGCCGGCAATTGCCGCACCGCGTGTGGTCTTTTGGGCCGTGATTGACTGTGGTGCGGCTTCAGAGATGTGGAAGCAGACAGCAGACAAGAGCGAGGTGCCCGCCCGATGGTTTGACAGGGTTGCCACATGCCAGGACCGTTCAGGAAGGTAAAGGTAGCAGCTGGTGCTGGGGTCATAAGCCGGGCGGCCCAGAGATCGATGGCACTATGCCAGGCCCGTCCACTTCTTTTGTCCCAGCCTCGTCGACGTGCATGATGCGGCAGTCTTAATTTTAGCATCCCCTCATTATTCACCTTGCTGATCATGACTGATGCTTTTGCAGTCGGCTAGGCTCAAAGCGCGACGGTCCGAATGCTGGCAAAGAAGTCACGTCTAGCCCCGGGCTGCCAAAAGGCAACGCTTTCCACCATTGGTTTGCCGGTACGACATCAATGCGATCGGAGCGCCCCCAGGCACGCTGCTCATCTCTTGGGGACTTCCTACCCTTTCCTCCCCTGAGGGCCGATGGAGCTCCCAGCCAGGTCCCCCGGTTCCAGCCCAGGCACGCTTGCATCCTTGCATGGGTATATCGAGTTCTAAATATAGACTGCCTGCACATGCATCATAGCACGCACAGGAAGACCTTTGCAGACCACCACCACCACCACCACCATGAAGCCGGCCCGCTAGGTCAAATCCGCACATACGACCGGCACATGCGACCCTCACCGACATACTTCGAGAGAAGCTGGGCCCCCCTTCTTTCTCGATGACCTTTCCATTTTGGATGCCGCACAGTGGTGCGGTGTGGGGAGACCTGCAGCCACCGCTGACACTGGCCCTGCCAAGAAATTCTAGGTAGCGTGGGGGGAGTCTTGGGCGATTGTCAGCCTGGTGCAGAAAAAGTATTCTGCACCGAGAATAGACTCGGCATATCATCTCACCAGCATGCAAAGTCCCGCGTGGACAGTTTTGAGTCAGCCCATCATCGGTTTGCGCAATGAACCCGAGCGAGCTTGTTTTTCAAAAGCGCTTCCTTTGAGAGATTTTTATCGAGTTTCACATGCACCACTTTTTGAGCCCGTAGCTCAGCTCAAACAAGGATACTTAGTTGATCATAGTAGAATTTTGTTTGAAAAGTAGACCCAAGAAATTTATAGATATAGAACAGGGCATGAGAAAAGAAAGAAGGGAACCCGTGATCCGAAGACGCCGCCTGCTAGATGCTCCTTAATAGTGACATTTTCCAACCAGAATGATGATGCATTCGGGAAGTGGTGGTGGGGGGGGGGGGGGACGGAGGAAAAGATATGTAATCAATCACAGTCCACTTTTCACTCCTCTTCCTCGTCCTCCTCGGCAACCTGTCGAGTCATGGTCCGTCAGCAACATGGCTTTTTTAGTCATAGAAATTCAACATGAGAAGCCAAACTTACGTTGTCGTGGAAGTCGCGGCCCTCCTTGGTCGCGGTGATGACGCCGGCGCGAATGCAGAAGTCGCCAAAGTGCTCACCCTCCTCGCGTTCGGTCGCATACCGCTTCAGCAAGGGCTTCATGATGGCCAAGATCTCGTCCTCCTTGATTGACGAGCGGTAGAGCTTGCTGAGCCGCTGGCCGTGGTACCCGCCACCCAGGTACATGTTGTACGCGCCAAAGGCCTTACCGACGAAACCGACCTCGGCGAGCCAAGGGCGGGCGCAGCCATTGGGACAGCCCGTCATGCGCATGACAATCGACTCCTGCTTCAGGCCGTTCTCCTCGAGGCACGCCTCCAGCTTGGAGATCAGGACCGGCAGATACCGCTCCGACTCGGCCATGGCGAGGCCGCACGTTGGGAACGCCACACAGGCAGACGAACTTAGGCGGAGGCCCGAGAACTGGATGTTGTCGAGCTTCCACTTCTTCATCAGCTCCTTGATCTCTGGCAGGTCGGCGTCCGCGACATTGCTGAGGATCAGATGCTGGTTGCCGGTCAGGCGGAACTCGCCCTTGTGCACCTTGGCAATCTCGCGCAGACCAGTCTTCATCTGGAACTCGGCAGTGTCCTCGATGCGGCCGTTCTCAATGAAGAAGGTGAAGTGGTTCAGGCCATTCTCGTCCTTCTGCCAGCCGAACGTGTCGACATTGCTCTTGAACTGGAACGGGCGCTCCTTCTCAAACTTCTTTCCCCACAGATCCTCAACCTTGCCACGGAAGACATCGACGCCCATGTCGTCAATGGTGTACTTGAGACGGGCGTGCTTGCGGTTCTTGCGGTCACCGAAATCGCGCTGGACAAGCATGATCTTCTCGCACACAATGTGGGCCTCGCCAGCTGGCACGTAGCCAAACATGCGGCCAGTCTGGGGATAGGTCTTCTTGTTGTTGTGCGTAGCACCCATACCACCACCAGCGAGGATGTTGAAACCAACAAGATTGCCGTCGTCACCCTTGATGGCGATCAAGCCAACATCGTGGGCGTAGACATCAGTGTCGTTGTGGGGCGGGATCGCAATGGTGATCTTGAACTTCCTGGGCAGGTAGGTAGGACCGTACAGGGGTTCAAAGTCCTGTACCGCGTTGCCACCAACCTGAGTCTTCTTGTCGTCCTCATCGGTGAGCCAGATCTCGTGGTAAGCATTAGTAGAAGGTAGCAGGTGATCACTGATCAGCTTGGACACTGCCCAAACCTGCTTCTGGTAGCCAGCTTCGGTAGGCAGAGAGCTGCACATGACGTTTCGGTTAATGTCACCACAAGCAGCAATGGTGGTCATCAGAGCCTTGTTGATGGCCTGCATGGCGGGCTTAAGCTTGCTCTTGATCACGCCGTGGAACTGGAAGGTCTGTCGGGTTGTGAGCTTCATGGTCTCGTTGCCGAGGGTGGTGGCAATATCGTCCATCTGGATCCACTGCTTGGGTGTCGAGATACCACCAGCAAGTCTGCAACGGATCATGAAGGAGTAGGCCGGCTCCAATCCCTGAGCCTTGCGCTCGTCCCGAACATCACGGTCGTCCTGCATGTAGGTACCATGGAACTTGGTCAGCTGCTGATCGGCTGCAGAAATGGCTCCTGTGGTAGTGTCGTTGAGACCCTCAAGAATGGTACCACGCAGATAGTTCGAGGCAAGCTTGATGTCTTCGTTGGTGATCGGCGGCGGCTCATCCGGAAGACCCTCGACATTGTCCACTCCAAGTGCTTGCCACAGCTTAGGCTCCCACTCAGCATAACCGGTCTGGTATCCATCCGGGTCCTGATCGTCACCAAGGCCGATGTCAGCAAGCTTCTTACCGCCGAAAGTGGTCAAGGCCTTGTCCAAGTCCTTCGCAGGCTTGTTGTAGTAGACCTTGTCCTCCTTGCGGGGCCAGTAGTGGCTGTCACCCAGGCCAAAGACGGAGTAGTTAACAGACGCCAGGTCGAGATCCGTGCTGTCCTTGACGGTGTGCCAGAAGGAGAGACCGTTCTGAGGGAACTCGCCCTGTCCGGCTGTAGCTGTGACAAAGACGATGTTCTCCTCACTAGATAGATCCTCTACAGGATAGTCCTCCATAGCCATAACTGTTGTCTTCAGACCTCTGGCACGACCGCGCGTGCCCAGCCTCTTGGCAATCGACTGAGCGTTGCCGCCATCAGAGGCAAAAAGGATAGTCAGCGGCGCGCCGAAGAGGCCTTCGAGCAATTGGTTGTACGCATCACGCGCTTTCCGCTTTTGCTGAGCGCGAACTTCAGTGCCGAAGTCTTGAGCAAGGGTAGCGGCAAACTTGGGCTCACGGTTCATCAACTGTGTGAGGTGGTTGTCGCGAGCAAGGAACTCCTTGAGCTCATTCTTGATGCGCTCAGAGTCAAGAGAGAACTTGGGCTCGGACTTGGTGTCGTTCTCGGGGTTCCACCGATACAGAGGCCAGTATCCGAGATCCACAGCCTTCTTGGTCTCCTGAAGGACTGTCAGAGGAGAGTCATGCTCGCCAAAGTAAGGCAGGTATGCGAGTACGACTGAGGGTCCGTCGAATTTATCGGCCTCGAGCATGGCCTGCAGCACCTGGGTGTATGAGCTGTATACGGCAGTGGAGGCAACATAAGCATTGCCAAAGTTCATGGCGTAGAGGCCAATGTCCTTCTTGCGCCTTGAGGCATCAGCGGTGTTGCGCTCTGAGTAGGGGGTCGAGTCAATGATGAGCATGTTGACGTTCTCCCCAGAGGCCAGAACGTGATGCACACCAGAGTTGCCAAGATCATACGACCAAGCATCCGAGCCAACCAACCAGAGAGACTCCTTGCGGAATAGGCCTTTGCTGGCAAGCAGCTGCCGAGCGACGGACGAACCATCGGTCTCAAGACGCGCAATGACATCGTCGGCGAGCTCGCCGGCCTTGGCCGCGTCTTCGGCGTTGGCAGCCCACTTGGCCAGCCAGTCGACTGGAGAGGCAGTGATGAAGCTGCCGGAGCTAGCAGCAACCTTGACTTCCTTGACAAAGCGTTCACGGTGCTCCTTGCGAGCCAGAAGCGAACCGAAGCCGAACTCGGGGCTGGCGGCGATCGTCTCCGTCAGGCCAGTGTTGCTGGACTTGAGCGCGTTGGCCATGTAGACACGCTTACCAAACAGCTGGTCCAGGATCTTTGTATAGGCAGTCTCAACCTTTGGCTGTTGGAGGCCATACTCGCCAGAACCGGTAGATATCGAGGTCTTGCCAACCTCGAGGTTCTGCACAGGCTTCTCGGACGACAGGTTTTGGAAGATGCCACGGAGAGCCTGCTCAATGGTGTCCGACTCGATCTGACCCAGCTGGTGTCCGATGATGGTCTCGACACCACCGGGGCCGCTCTTGACAGAAGTCAGGACATCAATCAGGACAGGACCCCATTTAGTGGTCTTCTTGGAAATCTGCTCGAGGACCGCGATTCTCTTGACGCTCCTGGGAATGGCGTCGAGAAGCTTCGCGCCAAGCCAGGGCCGGTATAGTCTCGCAGTGATGAGGCCGGCCTGGGCGTAGACGTCAGTAGGCTTTGCGGCATCGAGCGCTTGCGCGAACAGGCCGACGTCGGAGCCAAAGACGAAGATGGCCTGCTCAGCGGTTGAAGGACCAGACCACTCGAAGGGGCTGTACTCGCGGCCTGTGAGCTGCTTAATCTGAGACCAAATTGAGGTGATATAGTTGTAGATATCCTCAGAGCTCAGTTGCACCGCAGCAGCCTCGACAGTCGTGGCCACGGACGCGCTAGAGGCAGCGCTCGACTCGCTCTTTTCGCTGGATTTCGCCGATACTTGAGAAGAAGCGACCTTAGAAGCAGCACCCAACACGGTCGAGTCCGCGAGGTTCGCGGTTGTGCCGTTGGTGGCAACCTCAGGCTGCACGGAGGAGTTGACAACCCGGCCATCGTCCGCATAGATGCCACCATCCTGAGCGGCACCAGCCTGGAACCGCCGAACATCGTCTAGGCTGAGGAGCTGGCTGATGTTCTCGTTTGAGTCGGCTGTCACTGGCCTGTCATGCGAGGAGCTCGTTGGGTCGAAGAAGTGAATGACACCCTTGCCGGACTTGACGGCAAGGGCATGGGCAGAAATGGCAATGTCCTGCGCCTCCTGAACGGACTCAGATTGCAGGAAAGTCCAGCCCGAATTCCTGATGGCTGTTATCGCCGAGTAGTCTGGCAGTTCTGAGGGCCCCAGGGCGACATGGAGGACGACTGGGTAGTTGGCGAGCTTGTAGAGGTGGGCGATCGAAGGGAGGAGGACGCTCGAGGTAGTGGTGACCGATGTCAACCGGCCCGAGCGGATCGGTGCGAAGACGGACAGAAGGGGGTCTGTGTTGTAGCGAACAGATTGGACCTAAGAAAGGTATTAGTCGAGAAGTGCTTCCAGATCACAACAGGTTTGCTGTGTGGTCTCTCAAAGACAACGCTCACGTACCTCTGGCAGCGCGTCTGCGGTCTTCGCTACGAGGCCCTGCGTCTTTGCGGCCGCATACTTCTTGAGGTGGCTTGAGAACGCGGAGTCCTGGCCCTGAGCGGGCTGGACGGAAACGACGACGTCGCTAGCGAGGTACGCAATGCGCGCGACTAGGAACAAGACTGGTTAGCTACAAGCTCGTGTACTCAAGAAATAAATTATTGCCTGCCATAGCGACCCCCAGCCGGAGCACCACGTTCTCACTCGGATGGAGGAGAGTGCTTGTGCTGGGGGCAGCCGGCTGGGCACATCAAACCACCAATGACATGGCAGGCTTCTTGGACAGAGATGACTTACCTGCCTCGTAGGGCGTTGTGAATTGGATGTCCGCCATGCTGAGAGACGCCTGTCGATGTCTCGAGGAAGAGGCAGCAGCAGGGGAGGCGGAGGCTTCTACTTTTCCAAAGAGGAACGACATCGCGGAGAGGGAGGCCCGCAGCGGCGACTCGTGCTCTCAAATAGTCTGTGGCATCCGGGGGCCCGACGGGTGGGTAGAAAAAAAACACTGGAGACGGATGTTGAGCTGCTGGCCAGCCGGCTAGGCTGGAACTAGGCCGCGGTGTACTGAGCAAAAAGCCAGCGGGCCCCGTTCCAGTATCGAGCGTCCGTCAGTCGGTTCGAGAAATGCCATGTAAATTAGAGCCTGTCATTGACTGTAGTGTCGTAGCCGCGGCCGGCGCTGGGCCCCGCCATCGCGGTCCATGGGGTCCCCTCCACCGACTCGTGGCGGCACTGGGTTTGCACGGCGATTGCGTGATGCGCAGCCAATGAGCGACGTCCTCTTTCTAACCCTTGGGCATAGCCCGACAACGGAGCGGCCCACCATGCCGGCCTCGACAATCCTCTACCAAACCCCGGATCACGGGACTCGGGGCTTTCTGTAGGAATAAATGGCGCAGCCCTGCTATTCTCCCGAGTACGCCCAGGTGCGCCATGGAGCAGTCTGGCAACCGCCGGAACCGTTCTCGGAGAAGGTCCAGTGCGCCACTTGTTTCAGACACGGCACTGCCTTTTCCGTCATCTCCAGGAGCCGCACCGAGTCCCGCACGACTTCTGCCTCTTCCAAGGTTCCAAGGTTGTCCCAAGCGTGGCCTCTTAGCAGGCTGCTGGGCCCCCAAACGAAAACAGAGACTCGCAAGCGAATGCCGGCACTCGCTGCCACTCACCCCTCATGTCCAAGTTTCTGGTCAAATTCCCCAGGGTCCAACGCAGACCATCTGACCCTTGGCCAGCCCTGGGCGGCTCCCTCAGGCCACCACCCGCGCGAGCTAAGGAAAGACGCCATATGTGCGGCGACTTCCCGACACCCGCATGGCGAGACACCCCAAATTGATGTCGTGATTTTGTAATCTGCTATACCCGTCGATCTGCTGCAGGGCGGTTCCACAGCATCTTACGCATTTGATTTAACAAAGCTCTGTTTCAGCAGCAGCGAGCCTGTCAACCACTAAACCCACTGGCTCATCGCCGGTGAGGCCCCCTTCTGCGTCATCGACATCTCACGATGGAGGGGGAGGTCCACGACTACCTAGGTATCTGCAACAACGTCGAACCTATTCAGATTTTGCGAAGGGCATTGCAAGATTTGTAGCTCGTCTCGCCCTGGATGCAAAATATGTCAGATGGGTCTCGACTCCGGCGTCAATTGCGTGCACGAACCCCCTAGGCCGTGAGGACGTACACTCGATGCTTCCGTCACAAGGACGCTGGTGGTGCGAATGAAATGCCATTATTTGACCTGTGTGCCTGGATAACCCACCCACATAGCCACAAGAGGGCATGTAACAAGTTGGTGACACGAAAGCGCCTACAGAAGCGCTCGATCGTAGAGGGTAGATGCGCGAAAACTTACAGCAAGAGATGCGGATAGATGATTGATTTTCATCTGGGCAAATCGAACCTAGTGTTGCGGCCCAACTTGGCATCCGAATGCCGTGAGAACATTGATAAGCGATAATAGACTTGATTTTGGGAGGAGAGCAGGGAAGAAGAAGTCTAGACTCTGGAGCACCCATGCCTGCCAAAGACCCCTCCATGGCTGCGCTGCGCTAGACAAGCTCTTTCTGAACCACCAATCGTCAGCCAGCACCGGCAAGCACTGGGAGTGGCCAGCATCAAAGTCGATCATCCCACCTCGAGGTACTTTTGCTCGAGCTTTGCCTGCGGCATTCAGCCTCAAAGAGCAGGACGGGATATTTTGCCTGGCCATATCGCGCCGTCGGTCGACACAACGAGGCCACCTTAATGAATCCTTCCTGTGCCCGCAATCTTCTCAACTGCACCAAGCGCCGCAGTCACCTTGCGGCTTCACTCCAACGGGCTTCCAAGGGTCTCGCATCAGCACGGACATCTACCTCACTTCACACACAGAACCCCGGTGTTGCCGCACACCTTCAAGGCCCATCATTCCGACGTGCCACACAAATGTGAGTTGCCCTTTTCCCTCCTCTAGAAACCGCCACTGTTGTGGCCTCCGTTGGCGCATGATGTCGTCATGACACTGTCTGCGTGTCTCAGTGGGTATGATGGGCCTTAGCTTCGGGTTACGACAACAGATCAAGCGATACGGCGGATGAACCCTGGATGAAGTGCACCAAGTCTGTTTGTAGCGCACCGCGGATCCAGTGACTGGTTCGCGAACAAGGAATATACAACCCACCAACAATAGAAACATCCATCTCAGGCATGGGCTGGGTTTTGACACAGCCATGGACCATGAACTAATTGTGAGAGCCCGCAGATCCCTTTCCCGGTCCCCCAATCACCGATTCTCTACGTCGGCACGCAAAATGGCCCCAGCTGACCTGGTCGAGCCGCCGTTGCCCACGCCGGTCAACACGGCAGGCGACCTGGTCGAGGCTGCCAAGAGGGCTGCGGGTCGCAAGGCTGTCGAGGACTATCTGAGCCACGACTACCGCTATGTCGGCATCGGCAGTGGCAGCACGATCAAGTACGTCGTGGAGGCCATTGCCGATCTGCCGCGCGAAGTCACGGCCAAGATGAAGTTTGTGCCCACCGGGTCCCAGTCGCGCGAGCTGATTCGCGAGGCCAAGCTCACGGTCCTGGCCATCGACGACCTGGTCCTCGAGTTCAACGAGCGCGTGCCTGGGCAGCAGTACCTCGACGTGTGCTTCGATGGCGCCGACGAGGTCGACCCGGAGCTCAACTGTATCAAGGGCGGCGGCGCGTGCCACTACCAGGAGAAGCTCGTCGCCAAGTTCTCCAAGCAGTTTGTCTGCGTCGCCGACTACCGCAAGGAGGTCCCCAACCTGCTCACCAGCTGGGTTGGCATCCCGATCGAGGTGCAGCCCTTGGCCACCGAGGCCGTGCGTCGCGAACTGTTGTTGCTGGGCTCAAAGAAGCCCTTTGTGCGTTCTGGACTGCCCGGAAAGGCCGGCGCCATCGTCACTGACAATGGCAACAACGTCATTGATGCTCCCTTCCCCCCGTTACTGCTCAACAGCCAAGTCGACCAGATGGATCCCTCCAGAGGGCTGTGGACCGTGGACGCCCTGGCGCAACGGATAAAGTCGATCACGGGTGTGCTCGAGGTCGGTGTGTTCTCGGGTCTCACCGGACCACAGGCTCTGCAGCAGGGTATGGGCGGTGAGAAGCCGGTCAAGGTTTACTTTGGCATGCAGGATGGTAGTGTCAAGACCCTGGGTTGAGAAGGACCCTGACCAGCCATTGTAGAAGAGATCAGGGCGTGACAAAAAATATTGGTGCTTGATTCTGTGGATACATTTCCAATACCTGCCATCTGCAATTAAGGAGGGCGAAACGAAGAACTGTACACCAACAAGCTGTATGATTCGTGATTGTGCCACTCTGAAAGCCCACATCATATCTGCATGTGGTGCTCGGGAGGGCGTATTACTATGTGGATTTCGTTATCTGTTCGGCATGCCCCAGAAGAAGGACCTCAGTGCCCGCCAACACATTTTTGTCTTCGTCTCATGACACGTAAAGAGGCGTCCCGCCAGCCTGCCGCACGCCGCCCCGGCTTCCGACCTGATTCCAGCGATCCAAAATGGTCGTCATGTTTAGCACGAGCAGCCGTCTTGCTGGGTGTTTTGTGGAGTCGTCTTGACGTCGATCACTATATTGGAGATGTTAGCATAAACACATTCCTTCTTTACAGCTGAACAGCAATAGTGGCACAGTCCCGACCACTGCCAATTCACCCTCCCCACCATGTGAAAGTGAGAGGAGACCTGTGTGAAGGAGATGACGTACTCTGCGAGGTGACCTGGGACGCCGTGTCGGTGCCCTCCATACCCGGCAGGGCCTGCGCTATCCTCCGAAACAGGTTCTTGACGTTGTGGCCGAGCTTCGCGCTCGTCTCGACAAACATGAGGTTGTTCTTCTTGGCCTCATCCTCTCCCTGCTGCGTCGTGACCTCGCGCTTGTCGTTGAGATCCGTCTTGTTGCCGACGAGCACGATGATGACGTCGTTTCCGCGCTCGGCGCGCACGTCGTCTATCCATTTCCGTGTGTTCTGGAACGACTTGGCATCTGTAATGGGTGCAGAGCAGCACGTCAGTTTGGGTTTCTTGTTTCGGCATACTACTTGTGCCTCCGGACCAGTGTGCTGGTGCGGGTGTTGGGAGTATAGTAGGGGTTCGTACTTGAAATATCGTATACAACGACGGCGACACTCGAGTCTCGAATATAACTAGGAATCAGACTACGGAAGCGCTCCTGGCCGGCCGTATCCCATAGCTGCAGGCGCACGGTGCGGTCCTCCAGGTACATGGTCTGTGAATCGCAAGCACGTCGGCGGTGTTAGCATTCCATCTTGTGGTTTGGGTGCGCAATTCGAGCTAGTTGTTTGAAGCTGGTGATGCTGTCGTTCGTGGCCTCGGGGAACTCGCCTTAGAGAGGAAATCGATGCCGATTGTGGCCTGGTACATGTTGTCGAACGAGTCGTACATGAAACGTGTGATCAGAGACGTCTTGCCAACTGTGAGATTCGAAGGAATCAGTCATTATGCCAGTTCGCATCTTGTCGAGGTCAATGGTATTCGGGACGGCCTTTCGCTCGCTCGCTTTGAGGAAACGTGGATGTGGGCTGCTAGAAGCTGTCTTACCGCTCTGTTCGCCCAAGAAGACCAGCCTGTAGGCGGAACCTGTCAGCTTGCATCCATGACTGCCAGAGTGAATTGCAGGAAAGGCCCTGATGCGCCCACGCACTTGAACTTCTTGAGCGGGTTGTTGTAGGACCCAGCTGCCTGTGCCATGTTTGCGGTGCTGCCACGAGGGCGATCGACTGGAGGAATCGGTTGTGTCGTCGAGGGTGGTGGATAGCAGCGAGGTCGCAGTTGTCAGAGGTCGCGCGGCGCGCAGACGTAGAAGCTTGTCGTCGTGCGTCTTTAAGCAAATAAGTGAGGAGTGGGAGCGGTGGGAACAGGGAGCTCAATGCAACAACGGAGACGGCCTTTAGGAAGCGACTGGCTCAGTACTGGTGCTGGTGGCGATCCGCCCCCTTTCCGCTGGACGATAGGCGGAGTATGGAGTAGACCCAGCCAGCCAGCCCTGGGTCCAGAAGGCTTCCAACGTTGGCTTGTCGGTCCCTCCCAGCGTGCGGTGGCTGGCGACCTTCAGGTATCCCAATGGCTACTAGCGGCACATGACGGCCTGCGCTGACGGCCCGAACCAAACACTTGGGAAACCGGGACTGGTATATCTGCCTGGACAGTTGCATTTTAGGCCGATGCACCTGCATGAATGTTCTGCAAGCCCGTCAAACACACGCCTCGACACTAGGGAGGTCAAGACCACCCTAGGTAATTCTATGGCGTGCGAGCACCGTCCCCTACTGGCACTTCAAAGTCTACAATTACAGGCCACAGCATAATGGGATTCGAAGCCTGGACTGCGAGACGCCTAGCAGAATCGAAAAGCGCCGGATTGAGGCGGGGTATGGCCGACGGTTTCTTTCGCCGCATTGGTCTTATCTCGAGACGAGATGGTGATTGCTCAAGCATGCAGCTCCAGCGTTTCGTACATGTAATTGCCACACAAACAAGCAAGGCACTCCTGACGATCGATCCATGACCCCAAGGGTCGGGACTGGGTTAGCGTAGCAGCACGGAAGGACCCTCCAGGGCTCAAGGTTGTTCTCCACAGCACTGGAAGCTGGCGGTCTGCCCGTCCACCCGGCTGTCTGTCCAAGCCTTTGGCTTATCGCCTTATCCGCCTAACAAAAAAATTCGGTTCCCATCCCAGGTGCTGGCTGCCAGCGTCCCCCACTCTAGCGGCGCATCCTCAGGGACATTTACGATAGTCCTCCTCCCACCGCGCACACGACCACGGCCTTGCCCATGTCCTAATTCGCACCAAGCACCGGTCACAGAGCAGCAAATAATCCACAGCGATCATGCCCGTCATCAAGCCGGCCGCTGGCCCGACGACAGCCCCGGCCTCCTACAAGCAGCCGTCGAGAAAAGGCAAGAAGGCCTGGAGGAAGAACGTCGACGTGACCGAGGTAGAAGAAGGTCTCGATGAGCTGAACGAAGAGATCATCAAGGGGTAGGTGACTCACACCCAGGCTATTTCCAACCCAGAAAGCGTGCTGACATCCCTCTGCCTGCAGTGGTGTCCTTGCCGAACGCCCATCGGACGAACTGTTCACCCTCGATGTTGTCGGCGACGCCTCCATAAGCAAGAAACACCCCAAGAAGAGCTCTAAGCCACTCAAGGCCGATGAGATCATTTCCGCTCGATCAGTCATCCCTGCTGTATCTCTACGCAAGCGCCCCGGCGAGAAGACCACCGATGGCATCCTGTCCGTCAAGCGCCAGAGAACCGAGTATGTCACCCAGAAAGAGCTTTCGAGACTGAGAAAGGTTGCAGACGGTCATCACGAGTCCGTGATCGAGGTCTCGGAAGACACATTCGACCCTTGGGCAGTAACGGCACCTGTCAAGCGGGAGGAGGTGGCAATCATTCACGACAAGCGGAATGACCAGAAGAAGGCACCAAAGACCATCACACAAAAGCCATTGACGCTGGCCGCCAATGGAAAGGAGATCCCAGCTGTCGCCAAGCCCTCGGGCGGGTACAGCTACAATCCCAAGTTCGAGGACTACGAGGCGAGGTACAAGGCTGAGGCGGACAAGGCTGTGGCTGCTGAGAAGAAGCGCCTGGCCGAGGAGGAAGCGGAGCGTCTAAAGAAGGAGGCCGCCGCCAGATCTGCTGCCGAGGCTGAAGCGGCCGAGGCTCGCGCTGAGCTTTCAGAATGGGATGAGGACTCGGAATGGGAAGGTGTGCAGAGCGGAGGTGAGGAGTTGCAAGTCAGCAAGAAGCGACCCGAACGCAAGACGCCAGCACAGAGGAATCGCGTGAAGCGGAGAAAGGCCGAGGAGGGACGTCTCAAGCATGAAGCTAGGGAGAAGCTCAAGAAGGCCCAAGCAGAGCGGGTCAAGGAGATTGCACAGCAGGTGGCTGAGCGGGACAGTTCGCTCATCCTCGCAGACAATGGCGATGACAGCGACGACAGCATGGAAGGCGCCGATGATGTTCTGCGTCGCAAGCAGCTTGGCAAGTACAGGCTTCCAGAGAAGGATCTCGAGCTGGTGCTCCCAGACGAGTTGCAGGATTCTTTGCGACTGCTCAAGCCAGAAGGCAACCTTCTCAAGGACCGATACCGCAGCATGATGGTCAGAGGCAGAGTCGAGGCCCGGAAGCGGAGGCCATTCAGGAAGCAGGCCCGTACCACGCGCACCGAGAAGTGGAGCTACAAGGATTTCAGTATATAGGTGCATCTCGTACATTTTTCACCAAGCAAGCGGCTGGACAAAAATAATAGACAACGGCGTTGGGCCTTCATGGTCATGTTGCGACAGAAACGAGGAATGATGACTGCCAGGGCTCCGTTATCAATCAAACCTGGTCTTTCGAGGGTGCTTACTCACGTATGTTTCAGCTCGGCGACACCGCGTTGCCATACTTGGTCGGCACTTCGGCCCTGTTCCCACATTTTCATATGGCGTAAATGGTTGTGGGTAGCTGTTGGTTCATCCGCGCCTTCCGCCAACGGTGGCAGCTTTTTCACTGAGTGTGGAGGAAAATGGGCAAGTAGCAAAAACGCATGGGATGCAGGACAAAGACAGAAACGTAGCTCGCTGTCGTTGTTCCCAAATATTTTGATCACAATCCAGTCCGGTAGAGGGTCACTCTCTTTGGCAGACAAAAGCCAAGGCGGCGACCCTAGGTGACAATCCAGAGGTTGACAACTTGGCACAGGCCGGCTGGTGGGTCCTTGGGTCCCTGGCCCTGCAGGCGGGCGCTATAATTCTGGAGCCAGATTGATGTGTTGATGACGCAACATTGTAGCGACCATTGCGCTGGGAGGAAAGCCACCACTGCTCATCGCCAGCTGCTTACTTAGCTGAGCCGGCACAGCCCAAAGTCTTAAACGTCCCCCCACAACTCAATTCATGGTGCGATCTTTCGCGTTTCTACCGCAGTCTTGGCTTTCTCTCCTCGTCGTTGCGCAGCGAGACCAGGCCCGGCGAACGTGCGTCTCAATTGCTTTGCTTCGCCCTGGCATGAGCCTTTGTTGAGCTTTCCCCGCTACCCCCATCGTGCGCACGCGACAATCAGTCGTCATGGCGGGCAGTCGCACGTTGGCGAGGTCCTTGGTTGCCCAAGTGACGCCTCTCCCACCCTCACGATGTGTCCAGCCAACAGTCTCGCACTTTCAGCTCGTCCGCCAGCGGCTCGAGGCCCAGTCTCGCCAGTACAGCAAAGCGGCCAGGTCGTCCCCGACAGCTTCTCCTCCACGACGGCCCCTGCCAACGGTTAGCCCATCGTCGCCCGTTTCCGTTGGTATCAGGCGCTTTCTGTCTGGCAAACCTCTTCCTCAACGACGATCGCCTTTTCTCAACTTCGCATATCGATCTGCTGCCATCATTGGCACCGGTGTTGGCTTCGTCGGGTTGCTCGTGACGTCCTTCTTCATCTACGACGCTACGACCTATAGGGAAGCCACTGTCATTGGTGATTGTGCCGTCTCCAAGGCTGCCCTCGAACCCCCGCGCGGCGGCCCCAAGAACCTGCCCATCATTCAAGCTTTCCTGGACGACGAGGAAAGCGAGGAGCACAAGTTGCGCAAGGAGAAGCCAAGGCTCGTAGTCCTCGGCGGTGGCTGGGGAGGCGTGGCCCTCTTGAAGCAGCTTAACCCGGACGACTACCATGTCACTGTCATCAGCCCAAAGAACTACTTCCTATTCACGCCCATGCTTCCCTCTGCGACTGTTGGCACTCTCGAGATGCGCAGTCTGGTCGAGCCTATTAGACGAATTCTGCACGGTGTTGGCGGTCACTATCTTCGCGCGTCTGCCGAGGATGTCGACTTCTCCCACAAGCTCGTCGAGGTCTCGCAGACAGATGCTTACGGCAAGGAGGTCCGCTTCTATGTTCCCTATGATAAACTGGTCATTGCGGTCGGTTCCGTGACGAATCCGCATGGTGTCAAGGGTCTAGAGAATTGCCACTTCCTCAAGGATATCGAAGATGCCCGCAAGATACGCAACCAGATCATGAGGAACCTCGAGCTCGCCAACTTGCCAACGACTTCTGACCAGGAGCGCCGACGTTTGCTGTCCTTCGTCGTCAGTGGCGGTGGGCCAACAGGTGTCGAGTTTGCGGCAGAAATCTTTGACTTGCTCAACGAGGATCTAACTCGGAGATTCCCACGTGTGCTTCGCAACGAGATATCTGTTCACCTTATCCAGAGCCGCGGCCACATCCTCAACACCTACGACGAAGCAGTCTCGAAATATGCAGAGGAACGTTTCGCACGCGACCAGGTCGAGGTGCTCACGAACTCGCGTGTCAAGGAGGTGCAGGCGGACAAGATCATTTTCACTCAGAAACTGGAGAACGGTACACTCGTCGATAAAGAACTGCCTATGGGCTTCTGCTTGTGGTCTACCGGTGTCTCCCAGGCTGAGATCTGCCGCAGGATCGCAGAGAAGCTTGGCCCATCCCAGAATAACAGACACGCACTCGAGACCGACACACACTTACGCCTGAACGGCACGCCTTTGGGGGATGTGTACGCCATTGGAGACTGCTCTACTGTTCAGAACAACGTCGCCGAGAACATCATGTCATTCCTGCGCGGTCTCGCTTTCAAGCACGGCAAGGATCCCGAGACGCTCGAGCTGCATTTCTCCGACTGGCGCAATGTAGCCGCTGATGTGAAGAAGCGGTTCCCGCAGTCCGTAGCCCACTTGAAGCGCCTCGACAAGCTCTTCCAGCAATACGACAAGAACCAGTCCGGCACGCTCGACTTTGGCGAGCTCAGAGAGCTGCTCACGCAGATTGACAGCAAGCTCACATCACTGCCAGCCACCGCGCAACGCGCCAACCAACAGGGAATCTACCTGGCCAAGAAGTTCAACGCCATGGCTCACGCGGCCCCAGGCCTGCACACGAACGACATCCGCGACGGCGACCTGGACGCGGCCGTTTACAAGGCGTTCGAGTACCACCACCTTGGTAGCCTGGCGTACGTCGGCAACTCTGCCGTGTTCGACCTCGGCAATGGCTGGAACCTGATGGGCGGTCTCTGGGCCGTGTACGCGTGGCGTGGCGCATACTTTGCGCAGAGCGTCAGTCTGCGGACGCGGGTGCTGATGGCTATGGACTGGACCAAGAGAGGGCTCTTTGGTCGAGGTAAGTCTCACCATTATAATTGGATTCCAGGAGAACGGCTTATGCTAACAAATCTTTTGAACAGATCTGATGAGCTTCTAACAAGCGGAGTATGAAAACTAGAGCGTGATTGTAAAATAGAAACTGCAAGATATCTCGAGTCTGCTGAGCAGACGGTTGCAAGCCATGGACTGTACATAATTTTGGAGACAGATGTAGAGGTGGCACGCATTCTTCCAATCTAGATACTGAGTAAAGTTAATCACATATTCATGAGAAGGCGGCTTTCAATGTGTCCAAAAGTGAAGTCTGCAGAAGCCGACATCGGCCACGTGCAGTTGACCAATACCCAGAGCACATCTGCCCCCGAGGAGTCGTGACGTAAGCAGAAACGCGAAAAGGACCTGAACAAAGAGTAAAGAGAAAAAAACAGAACACCACAAGCAATGAGCCAAATACACTGGCGCATTCGAGGATGTAGAGGCAAAAATGAAAATGAATAGGTCGTGCCCGGGCTCGAACCGGGGTCTCAGGAAGATTGCAATTTTGATGACATCAAAATCCCACGTGCTAACCGCTACACTACACAACCAGGATTGGTGATTGGAAGACGTGGATCTTATGTTTACATCTATACACTAAAGATATCCTCCCTCGGCTGAAGCTGTGCTGCCTCCGCATCGGAGCTTGAGAGGGGGAGATGTGGGGTTTCGAGGGGTGCTGGCATCATCGCCGGTTCTGTTGACGACAGCTCTTACTCAGAGACAACCTTGCAACTGGTGGGGTAGAATTAGGACGTTTGACCTGTCTCGGAGCTTTTCTCAAGGGCCACTTACACTTGCAGACAAGCCAATTGGACATTGTCACCATTTTCCCGCCCTCCGGAGCCACCTTTTACTGCCCTTGATAGCCGAACTGGGCCGGGGGAAGAGCTTCTGACTGGCCGCCAGAGCGATATCGTTCGTCGCTGCGTTCCCCTCACAATCTCGTATGGTCAAGAAGTACCCGGCTATTCGTCCCGACTCATTACCAGCAAGAACCCAGAGTTGCCAGCAACCGAGTTCCTATGCAGACTCTTAGATACACCCTGCGCACTCTGCCTTGCCAACGTCTTCCTGTGCGGGTTATCCAAGCTTCTCTCAAGTACCACTCCAGCACCCGGACAACCCTGACCACTGCCCGCCATCCACTCGGTTCCAACAAGGCCGGCTCCTTTCCCTTTGTCTCATCCTCGACAACAACGAGGACGGCGACGACGCCCACTTCAACAAACCGCAACCGCACAATGGCGACCTCCGCAGTGGCAAAGCGCCTCGAGGGCAAGACCATCGTGGTCACCGGCGCCTCGTCAGGCATCGGCCGCAGCACCGCGTTCGAGTTTGCCCGCACGAGCCCCAAGAACCTCAAGCTCGTGCTCACGGCGCGCCGCAAGGACGTGCTCGACCAGATCGCCAAGGACATCAATGCCGAGGTCGGCGACGGCGTCAAGGTCCTGCCCGTCCAGCTCGACGTCAGCAAGCCGGACCAGGTCCGCGGGTTCGTCGAGAGCCTGCCGGAGGAGTTTAGGGAGATCGATGTGCTGGTCAACAATGCGTGAGTGGTGCACACTGCCCTGCTGCTCACTGTCTTTCGTCAACTGGGCTGTCTTTTACAAGACTTGCGTGCGCTTCCTGAGAAACCGCGGCGTCGGCGGCGGCGATGGTCATCTTGCGCATGCCAAATCATATTTTCCTATTCAAGACCGTCGTTTCTGCAAAAGCCAAGACGCCCAACCCACAAGCTAACCATTGCTTCCCTCCGAGACACAGCGGCCTAGTCAAGGGCATCGCCCGCGCTCCCGAGATTGCCGAGGACGACATGCAGATCATGTTCGACACCAACGTGACCGGCTTGGTCAACATGACCCAGGCCGTGCTCCCCGTGTACCTGAAGCGCGGCGGCGGCGTTGGCAGCGGCGACATCATCAACGTCGGCAGCATTGCGGGCCGCGAGGCCTACGTCGGCGGGAGCATCTACTGCGCCACAAAGGCTGCCGTGCGCAGCTTCAACGAGAGCTTGAGGAAGGAGCTCGTGCACACGAGGATCCGGGTCATGGAGATTGACCCTGGCCAGGTCGAGACTGTGCGTTCTCATCGCCTTTGTTTCCCTCCTTGGGAGATTCGATCGGCGTGTGTCACCATGGCTAACGAATGTTGCGGCACGTAGGAGTTTTCCGTCGTCCGGTTTTACGGCGACAAGAGCAAGGCCGACGCTGTCTACGCGTAAGTTCCTGCCTCTCTGGACCTCTTGGACATGCTGATGCTAACTTGGGCACCATAGCGGCTGCGACCCGCTTACCCCCGACGACATTGCCGAGGTCATCGTTTTCGCGGCCGGAAGACGTGAGAACGTCGTCATTGCAGACACGCTGATTCTGCCCTCGCACCAGGGCAGCGCGACCGTCATGCACAAGAAGAGCACCTAGACAAGCAGCTTGGGATTTGATATACATATATATATATATATATATAAGGAGCATTCATTGTATTGCAGCCCGTTGGCCATAGCCATACAAAATCGCGTGTGACCAGCACAGTATTTGCTACCTATCTTACCGTTTACTTACCTTTGTACTCTGTTTGCCACCACGTGCAGGAAAGACTATACAGCACTATCGTCTGAGTTAGCCAGGCTGAACGTGACCAACTAGAAAGTGAGCGGCGAGGATGGGTGTCTTGTATAAGTTCAGACTACCGGTTAAATCATTCACTTGAGTCGGCCAGCTCGCCCCCAGGTCTCAAGACGAAACCCAGGGAGAGCCAGCAAACGGAAGCCAAGCATGACATCAGGACAGACCCCCCGAGGAGGGAAAGCCAAAGAAAACTCCACAACCGATCATCACCGGCGCCTCCCCTCGTGAAAGGGTGGACGCGGCTCCGGTGCGGGAGGGCGGCTCGACTCGCTGTGATCATGGAATGGATATAACTGTTTTCAATCATGATGACATGGGATGTGGATGCGAGGCATGTGCGGCTTGCAGCAGCAAGTGACTTACGCTTTGAGCTTCCACGGTGGGAAAATAGGATCTCGCATGAGCGAAGCATCCTGACGCGAACAAGAGCCTGATTATTCTGAGCAAAGTTAGTCAAGAACCAAACCATGCCATTGTATGATAGGGGTTGAAGAAGGGTTGGGTTGAGTCATAATATCAGAGGTTGTTTTTGGTAAATTTTGTTATCTTCATCTGTTTCAGAAGCAGAACTGAAAATGGTGTATCATCATCGACTCGAGGGGTAGTGGTGCGTTGTTGAGGTCATGGGGATTGCTCCTTACCATTTGCAGGGTTGATAAATTGCAAATCTGCTCATCACAATTGCGACACAATATTTAATATATCCACTATGTGATCCGTTAGTTCTTGGGTCCTGAACACGGATATTGCGTTGGCAGAAAGGAGGGTAGAGGTGATGCTTCAGATGGTAGTGCATGTTGTTCAAGCCGCTCAGGTGATCGCGAGAACTGTGGAAACAAGTTCATCAATAGCAAGGGGGGAGGGGGATAGGAAGGGCAAAGGGCAATGAGGCGTGAGCCAGGTGCTTTGACTTACCAGCAATACAGAGACACAATCTCCAGACAGCGTTGTTCAGCCCAGGCCAGACCGCGAATATGGCAGCGCGTAGCATGACAGAGCCAGCTCCCACCCAGTTCTTACTGGTCGAGACAAATCAATCTCGAGCAAAGGGGTGTCGCCAGCTCTGAAGCTATCCCGCGCGCCACACGGTCGTGGTAGAGCCAGATGTGCAGCCGTGTCCGAAGGTGTGGTGATGAAGCAGGAAGGAAGAATTTGGATCGAGGTGCAGAGAGCGCAAAGAATTTACTTTGACTGCAGAGCTTCCACTTGTCGCTATTGGCTCGTGCGCAACAAGGTGGGGCCTTTCGAGCCCGCAGCCCACCTCTCCGATAGCTGATAGGCAAACCCGCCCGAGCTTAGCTCCAGAAAGTATTTCGAGTGACGCTCTGGAAAGCACGAAGAACGACGTTTGACGACATTTGCAGTGCCGCCCCCCCGGCTCGCCACCTTTCGCATCGAGGACCGCGGTAGAAACGGCCGTGACTACATCAATATCGCCATGGCGGACAGACGAAGGATCAATGGCCCGACGGGCACCACTCTGCCACCTGTTTTCGCGGAGCCTCCATCTCAGCTTCCACGCAAAGCGACCGAGGATGGCTCCCGCAAGATCTGTAAGCTGTCACACACCAACCCCATCTGTTGCTAGCAAGCGTTATACTGATGGGTTTCTCTCCTAGTCCTTAGAACCGGTGTCACCCCTTCAGCCTCTGGCTCGGCGTATATGGAGCTCGAAAACCCCAACGCCAGTCCTGGTGGTCTTGGCGGCAGCACACGAATGAAGCTCACTTGCACTGTCCACGGCCCGCGAGCGTTGCCACGATCTGCCCCATTCTCTCCGCATATGATTCTCACAACACACGTCAAGTACGCCCCGTTCGCCACAAGACAACGCCGCGGATACCTTCGAGACTCGAGCGAGCGAGACTTGGGTGTTCACCTGGAGACGGCGCTCAGAGGAGCCATAATCGCGGACCGGTGGCCCAAGAGTGGTGTCGACATCATCGTCACAATCATCGAGGGCGACCAGGACCGCGACGCGAGCGACTACCAAAAGGAAGCGGACTGGGACATGATGAACGTGCTGGCTGGCTGCATAACGGTAGCGTCCGCTGCCATTGCCGATGCGGGCATTGACTGCGTCGACACGGTGGCTGGCGGCGTAGCGGCTGTCGTCGCAAAAGCCGGCGCGGACAAGCCTTTGATCGTTCTGGACCCGACTTCGTCAGACCTCGACAGGGTACATGCAGCCTGTTGCACAGCGTATCTGCCCTCGAGAGGCGAGGTAACAAATATATGGTTCAAGGGCACGCTACCTGGTAATGGTCTCTCGCTGTATAACGAGCTGCTCGAGAAGAGTCTGGTCGCATGCCAGAACGCCCACCACGTAGTTGTCAAGACTCTGCAAGACACTGTCAAGCAGCAGCAGTCAGACGCGACGTGAGCCGAGCCAGTATGCGCAGCCTGTCAGTTCGAGAGCAGCGCCTCACATCATGGAGATTGCAGTTCTCATCGACCTATACCGGGAGCTACAAAGCATATGCTGTCGAGGTGGAATCATACCCACCAAAATGTGTATCGGCTGTTATGGTGCTCGAAAGACAGCAGCTATTCTCCGCGACAGCATCGGCGTATGGGCCAAGCAGACGGGACATATGATGATTGCAATGGCCACGCATACTTGTGTGATCTGGCAAAGTCGACATGCTGTCCGATCCGGACTCCGAGGCCCAGTCGACCGAGCAGCCATTTGCATAGCTAAGGATTCATGCCATCAGTGAGGGACTTGGGGCCACCTGGTGGAGGTCATGCCATTGAGGAACGTGCAGACCGCCACGATGAGCTGAGCAAGACTGGCTCGCTTGCCAAACAGAAGAAGACGCATGGGTGATTGCTTGACGTGTTACAGCTTGTCAGGCTTGCCACTAGCCTCTGATCTTGTACGCCAGCAATGCCTCGGGCCAGCGACTGATAGCGGGTCGAGCTGTGCTGATAAGACAAGGAACGCGCTGTGACGCGGTTGCTCTAGCGGGTCAGCCACCCCACTTCACCCCTGGAGTTGCTCCTGCAGCGGGCTAAATGTAGTAGCTTCGAGATCCAGTCGCAATGAGACACATTCAAGGCCCCGGGCGGGACATCAAAGTCCGCTCACCGGTGCTGCACTCATGCCCTATGAATTGCCCAAAAATTGCGCTGCCAGAGGTGAATGCCAATGTGCTCTGTGTACCTATGAATTTTGTTTGAATACGTAGCTGAGCCGGTGTTTGCCCTTGGCCTTCTGTCACGCCAAGGTTGCCGTTCCGGAGGAGCCGTTGCTTCCCCCGTTGCCCCGGCCTCGGAAGCTGGCTCTCCCTCCCCGTGCTTATCTGCTCTCCACGCTGATGGCTGTCGACCGCGTGACATGAGCTCATCCATCCACTCCACCCGCTTCCCATCAACCCCAAACACCGTCTTTCGACACACCTACCGCGAATCCGTCCCTAGAGCGGACGACGGAGGCAACCATCCATGGCTGCTCCGGGCGCCGCCCTCGGCCCGACTCCGACTGTTTTTGACAACTCGAGCGCCTGGCACAACTTCACCCTCTGGACCCTGCAGCACTTCAACGTCACCCGCTATGCTCCGTCTCTCGAGGATCTCATCTTTGCAGGCCCTCGCATGCTCACAAAGCTCGGCTCCATCATCTCCCTTCCCGACGCCATCGATGGCTTTGGCCAGCGCGTGATCCCTGACGCCACCGGCTCCGACTACTTCCTTACCACCACTCCAGCCGTCGCCGTCTTTGGCAGCGAGGGCATAGCTGCTGCTGCTGTCGCTGGGGCCGAGGCTTCCGTGGCTGCTGTTGCTGCCGAAGTGATGGACGCCGACACAGACCCGACCGCAGTCATGTCGAGGTTCTCCCTCGAAGGCGCCAGAGGTCTAGGCAGCGTATTCAGCTATGCGACGAGCAAGTGGGCATTGAGCTGTGTTGCCATGGTACGTCAGACCTTGCTTCCACAATGATAATGCACAAACAACTGGGTGGCTGACTGGCCATGCTCATTTTCAGGCTATCATATTGAACCGAACACACATCTTCGCTGCATCTCGCCGCAGGCTCCGATTGACGTGGCATATTCGCCTCTTTCTTCGATTCCTCCCGATCGTCCTCTTCTCGCTTCAGGCTGTCCAGCTGCTTCGCTCGATACAATGCCAGACTTCTCCCGACTTTGCCGAAATGCGCTGGGGTAATTCCAGCAAATCCTCTGAGCTCATGTTTGCGCAAGACGGCGGATATCTCCACAGCGTCAGCTCTATGCTTCTGCTTGGATCAAGCGACTATGAGAGCTGTCGTGCTGTGTCGATGGTGCCGTCCAAGTCTTTCGAGTTCTCCAATGAACTCCGAGGTTCTCTCTCACGCCTCTGGCCTCTATTCGGCACACTTTGCTTCAGTCATTTCGTCGAGACCATCTCTTGCGCCTTGCAAGGACGGCCTGTAGCCGTCGAGACCGGCATGACTCTGTTCGAGCATTCGCTAGCGTTCGCGGAAGCTGATGCCGCTATCAGTAATCAGCTCGGCTGGGGCCTGTTTTCTAACGGCTCCACGACAAATCCCACCATCCAGACTGCTTCAGGGGCCAACATTGCCATTTCACGATCTATGATCATGAGGCGGGTGAACACGCCACCCGAGGTTCTAATGGTGGGGTTCTTGTCAGCCATGAGCCATTTGACAAGCCACGTCCTGGGTGTGTTTGGTGTGCAGAGCAAGTATCGCCTCTATAGCACGGGGCTGTGGGCTATGTGCTTCATGGTCACCATCGTGTTTGAGGCGTATAGATTCTCCCTTGAGAGCCCTACTATGATGGGCTTGTTCAGGTACCCGACGGTCTGCATTCTTGGCTTTGTGCCACATGTTCTTGTGCTGGGAGGCATTCTGGTGTGCGCTGTCATATACGGGTTAGCATTGGTAGTGGCCGCCCTATCACCTTCCCCGGGCGAAGCACAGTGGACTTTCCGGGCTCGTCTCCGGCAAGCACACGAGAACATGCAGGCGAACATCTCGCTCTCAGAGATCCGCATAACGCGCGAGATGGACTTTTACACGGCACTTCTGCGAACAGGCTTTGGCGTTATCACCATGGCGAGTGAGGCGGTGTATCTGAACGAGGATCGCAACGTCAACCTAAAGGCACGAACCTGGCTAGAGGAAGAACGGTATCGCGAACTGGACTCTCTGCGGATGCAGTGGGCTACTTCTGGCGACGGGAGTTCGCGATTTGACTCTGTGGGGACGATTGGTCTGGTCCCAGTAAAAGACGGCCAGGTCGGCGCTTCGAATGGCTTCGCACGTGAGCGGGCTGCACAGAAGATTCCCAAGAGCAAGCTAGGCGACCGGCGTTCGAGGGACGGCGTCGGCGCTTCGGAACGCAGCAACAGATGGCTCCTGGCTCTAGAGTTTGTCATGAACATCAATAAGCTCGTGCTGCGGTCTGGAGCTGTCGTGCTCATCAAGGTCTTGTCTACCATTGGCGTACCCACTCCTCGTTGGCTCACCTGGTGCGCCAGCATAGGCAAGCCGGCAAAGAAGGACGAGCCAAGGTCATCGGGTTCAACGCGATCCAGAAAGACCCGTCTCACGGACAGCCAGGGCCGGTCCTATCTCCTGAATGACGAGAATGCTGATTTTGAGGCTGAGGTCTGCAAGCAACTGGAGCAATCTCCCGAGACTGCATCTTTGGGCCGTGAAGAGATCGATGCCCGTCTCTACAACGCATGGAAGAAGGGTAGCCTTTGGGGCAATACCGATACCAGCGGTGACTGGGAGCCGGAAGAGCGGGATGATGATTGGGACTCTACCAGCATGATCTACAGTGTGGCGGATACCGAAGCCGAATCGATAGACGAGCGAGATGCATGGATGGACTACGAAGAGGAAGATGGTGCCGAGGGTCAGCGCACGCCGACCCAGAGGTCACCGCGAGCCTCGAGGGAGAGCACGCCTTTCGACCAACCTATCGGCATGGACGATCTGGCACGCCTGCTGCACCCACAGAGCCCAGAGGAGCGCCAAGAAGCCCACACACTTGCCGCCCATCTCAGCAGCGAACGGATTCTTACGAGATCACAATATGCGAAACTGCAGCAAATCCAGCGCACGAAGATCCTGCTCAACTCTACCGTCGCACGCCGCGCGGCAGATCTGCCACCTCCCTATGTGAACGCGAAGCTATCCCCTCACGATGAGGCTGAGCTCCTCGAGCAGCTCATCATAGCCCGGCGACGAATGCATTTCATGCAGAGTCTTCCGTCGGCTTCAAGTCCTCAGACAGAGCCCAAGGAGACCACTTACGGCGAGGATGACGGGCTGGGCACGGGCGCGCCTGTGTGCGTTGTTTGCCACACGAGCCCGCGAAGCATCATTGTCTGGCCGTGCCGTTGTCTCAGTCTCTGTGACGAGTGCCGTGTGACGCTGGCCATGAACAACTTTGACAAGTGTGTATGCTGCCGACGCGAAGTCATCAGTTTCAGCAGGATCTACGTTCCCTAGATTTTCGTTTCTGCTTCGCTTGGGACGTGGAAGTTATTCTCACCTTTTTCATTGATTTATCTGCAATATCATTAGCGACAATGGTTTAAGTGCTCCCTCTCGGCCAGTTTTGTCAAGTTTAGGACGGTACATAATGAATCTCACAGGTATACTGGGCACATTCAGGATGCGAGCTGTGACAGGGCCACCCCTTTCCGTGAATGAAAGTTGAGCAGAACGGCCATTTATTGTAGAATTTCTCGCCAATTGGTTGCCTTTTGGCAGTGTGGCGTTTGATCTTGCTAAGGCAAACATTTTTGAACGCGGGTTTATCCTCGACATCGGCCCAGGAAAAAGTCCAAGTAATGCCAGGTGCTGAACTCCGCAAGTAGACTCACATCATGAAGTCGACAGACTCACAAGGTCTTGATCACCTGCTCGGGACTTGACCAATACCGGGGCCATTGGAATCATTGAAAGTCACACGGGCGGATAACAACACGCTCCTTGCCCGTGTTGCAAGCACCCCCCCCCCCCTTCTCCGGGAGGGCCTCCTCGTCATCACGCGGTTTTCCCTCGAAACTAATCCTGTGGCCGCTCCAGAAATGTTGGATCACTGCGAACCTTGCCTTCAAACTTCTTCCACCACTCCTGGAAGGCCTTGAGGGGGACGACCTCAACCTCTCCGGCCTGCCCGCTGAAGCTCGACAAGAAGTTGTACGCGTTCTGTATTATCCGCTGGGCGAGCTCCTGCGCCGACGGCTGCTGCGCCGCCGAGTCCCCCGGCCTCGTGGACGCGAGGCCGTTGCTGCTGGTGCTGCTGTTGGCCTTCTCCTGCTGCATCCTCTCGGCCACGCTGCCGGCGTCCTCGACGTTGACGCCCAGCACGACCACCTCGGCCGCGGGCTGGCCCGGCTGGGAGGCGGGCGCGGGGGCCGTGGGCAAGGTGTCGGCGTTGAGCTTGAAGACGGCGCTCTCCTTGCCGGGTCCCACGCCGCCGAGGAACTTGAAGTTGGGAGCCTCGGTGCCGCTGACGAGGGCGGCCGGGTTGAGGGCGAGGTATATGGCGGCGGCGGTGTTTGGGGGAAGCGTGATGCCCGGGAGCAGGAAGACGGCGACGTGGGAGAAGTGGCTGTGGCCGGACCCGGCACCGCCGCGGGAGGGGACGGCGTAGAGGAAGGACGTCGGGGAGGGCTGGGATGTCGGCTGGGTTATTAACGGCTGGCCTGCAGGGAGGATGCCGAGGATGGGCTGGGTGGAGGAGGAGGAGGAGGATGGATCGGCCATTGCTGCTGCTGCTGCTGCCGTGGCTGCGGGTGCCTCTGGGAAGGTCGAGTCGAGTCGAGGGTATGTATGGTCGCGTGCTTGCTTGCCTTGGTTCCCCGGAGGAGTGGTTTTGCCTTCCCCGCGCGCGCGCGTGCTATGTGGCCGTGGGGTGCCTGTCGTCTGTCGTCGCTTTCACTGCTCACGAGCACGGGCGTGTGACAGGCAAGGCAATGCGTGACGCGACTGCGCGATCTGATGCTGCAATGCACACACACATGCATGCAATGCGTGCAAGCACGTCTCGAAGCTTCGAGCTTGTGCTCGCTCAGGGTCTCGTCCGCGGCACGTCAGCCTGCATTTCCTGGTGGGGCGGGGCCCCCTCCGAGCACCGGCCTGCCCTCCGGGGCCTCTTCTGCCGCCTCCGAAACCACCGCCGCCGCTGCCGGGCACCGCCTTCGACCTCCTGTCTGCCTTGTGATAGGTGGTGTTGTGTTTTGAGTGCCGCCAACTTCAACCCCGCTGCTACTGCTGCACCTTCTGACATGTGTATGTAATACTTGGCATCCAGACCAGGCCCATGACAGCGTTCAATTCGAGGCCAACATTATCAGCTGCAAGTTGGCAGCAGTATTAGTCCTCGTTAGAACCCCCCTCGCGAATCCCCAGCACCGGATGCTAAGCCGGACCGTCCGCACGGGCCCGAAGCTCCGGAAAAGGCGCGTCTCGCACCTGCAAATCAGTCCTGCCCCCGTACCGAATCAGTATTGCATATCAGTCGGTCTGTTTTTCCAGCCGAGATCGCCTATCTGCCCGAAACCTCGTCTTTTCTCAACCAAACAGGCAGCTGCCGATCCAGTCGAGGCCTACGCTGGTCGTCTGCGCGCAATGACTGCCGGCAAGATGCGCATGACCAATCTAGACCTGATGAGAGTGGCCGATGCGTGAGCTCCTTTTCTTTCCTTCTTACATGTATTCAATCAACGTTCTTCCGCCTCGACAAGCAGACATACGAGCAAGCAGGCAAGGCAACACAAAGAAAACCCCGAAACAAAAGCTCGGCCCGTCGCACCGCCAGCCCGGCTACAATTCGTGTGCCCTCACGAAAAACCATCGCACACCCAACTGACTAGAAACTGACACTCTCGCGCGCGTTTGCAGCTTCCCTTATGCGGACAAGCCCGCCGAGGCCGCCGACCACGCGGCGCTCATGTCGACCCTGTACACTCTCGTCTGGAAGGACAACCGCACCGTCCTGGGCTATCTGCGGGACCACGTCGTCGAGGCCCTGCTGGCGGTGCCCGAGCCGATCCGGGGTCCCGTGACGGTGGACCGGGAGGCGCGCACGATTCACGCCTTTGAGTCGTCGGCGGGAGAGGCCCGGCGCACAGAGACGGTGGGCAAGGTCATGGCGTACTGGCGCGACAACGACACGTTCGAGGTGCTCAGGGGCTGGAGGGACGAGCCGTGGCCGGTGTACGGGTCCGTCGACGAGGTGCTGTACAGCGTTGAGCGCAGCGGCGCGGGGCTGTTCGGGGTTCTGCGCCACGGGGTGCACATGATGGCGTATGTCTTGGATAATGACGGGGAAGGTGAAGAAGGAGAAGGGAAAGGAGATGACCGGCAAGCCGGCACGCCAGGGCATCGGATGAAGATCTGGATCTCGCGGCGCTCCCCCACGAAACAGACATATCCCGGCATGCTGGACAACACGGTCGCGGGCGGTTTCATGACGGGCGAAATCCCCTTTGAGTGCATGGTGCGGGAGGCCGACGAGGAAGCCTCGCTGCCCGACGCCCTGATGAGGGAGCGCTGCAGGCACACGGGCATCGTCACGTACATCCACATCACCGACGAGCGCGCCGGCGGCGAGGCAGGGCAGATCTATCCGGAGATGCAGTGGATCTACGACATCGAGCTCCCGCCCGACGTGATCCCCGTGCCCAAGGACGGTGAAGTCGCCGGGTTCGAGCTCATGACCGTCGAGCAGGTGCAGGACGAGCTGGCCAGGGGCAGCTTCAAGCCCAACTGCGCGCTTGTGCTGCTCGAGTTCTTTGTCCGGCATGGCATCTTGACTCGGGAGAATGAGCCGGGCTTTGACGAGATTGTGGCCAGGATGCACAGGGCACTGCCGCTGCCGGGGCCGCACCTGGCTTATCGTTCTCCGTCGTGAGCCTAGAGTATATATGCAGCAACAGGTCTCTAGCTTCACCTTCATGAATTATGGTGGCGTGCGTCCTGGCGAGTCTGTTCGTCCCGTGGAAACGTGGTTGAATATGACATGCACGAATTGCCTCGGGGGAGGGGAACAAGACCAGGCATTTTTAACGTCGGTTGCTTTTGAAGCCTTCTTCCCTTCATTGCTCGAGAAACCAACCATCCGTCTTCTGAAATCATTTTTACGCTTGGTAAAGAGGTCAAGAACGGCCAATCAATGCTATCCAACCAATTACATGCAATCTGACTTTGTCTATCATGTCTGAACGCCGAGCGCCTGCCCTTTCAATTTTGAGTTCGTTTGTTTGCTCTTTTGTCGTAGCTTTGGTCTTACACGTTCACTTATTTCTTCACCAGAAGATAGGTGTTGTCGACGTGTAGCGGCGTAAGCTTCTTGTAGGGGCCTTCCAACTCCATCAACAAACCGCCAAAGGAAATGTAGGCACGACTGCAGAGAAGATCTAGGTCAGCAGCCGTCATGTCATGGAAAGTCTCTGCGCGCCTCGAGACAGCGCACACGGCGCCCGAGGAGAAATACTCACATGGTCTGCCCATCCTTGCCATCCTCAAACTTGTAGATCTTGCCGTGGCAGACGTAGTCGTACATATCGGCCAGGGTGCTTTCGTCACGGGTGTCCTTCCAGCCCTTCTCGTCGTCGTCGCGGGAGCCGTCGAGGGACAGCGACGTCGCCAAGACGACCTGCAGGTTCTCGCCGACCTGCGCGGGGAAGAGCTCGATGTTGATGTCGAGCTTCATCTGCGTCTGGTTGTCGGCCGAGGTCGCAGTGATGCGCGCCACGCGGTCGTACTTGGACTGGTCGTAGTCGGTGACCGTGAAGCTGTCCTCGAACAGTTGCGCGTCGCCTGCGAGGTTCGCCATGGTTGCTGTGTTGTGCAATCGAAATGCGTCGTTCTGTGTGTCGGCTGAGCGGAGGCTTCAACGCAGGCTGCGGGCGAGAATTTTCTGGTCGTTGCCGGACGCGAGAGCTAGAATGATCAGAGCTTGGAAAAAAGAGGCTGGCCTGCGATGCTCGGTGGAATTGCTGGCGGCAGGCACAATCGATAGCGCTTCCGCGGGGCAGGTGCACCCTCCAGACGCTCTTTTGCTTGCTGGAGCCGCCTGCATGGGTGTGGATTTCACGACGCAACATTACCAGCGGACCATTTTGGCAATCTTCATTTTGAGGTTCCGCTGCTTCTATATACGAGCAGAGAAGTTGTCGGTTTCCTGAGACCGGTTCTAGTCCATGGCAACGACACAGTCATGTCGTTCAGAAAGAGGAATGCCGTCATCAGCACTTCTGCAGCCACCCCCACGGTAGGCAAGCTCACAAATGCCCAGATACCCGGAGTGCGGCCCTCTCCATACGACAGCCGCCCGACCATATCCACGGGCACCCCTTCGTTGGACAGTCTCATGGCTGGGCATGCTGGCCTTCCTCTGGGCACGTCGTTGCTCGTCCAGGAACACGGAACAACCGACTTCGCCGGCATCCTGGTCAAGTACTATGCCGCCGAAGGGCTTGTCCAGGGACATCAGGTGCATGTCCTTGGCCTGCATGAAGGTTGGAAGAACGAGCTGCCGGGCATAGCAACACCCTCCTCTTCGAGGAAGGACACCACGGCCTCATCCGGAGACAAGATGAAGATTGCATGGCGGTACGAGACCCTCGGCGCCGCGAGTGCTTCCAGAGGTAGGAAGTCCTTTAGGCGACAGTAAATGAGATGGCCTCAAGCTCACCATTTCTTTTCTCCTTCGACAGAACGAAACACAACTGTCCATCAGTCCGTAGCTGGGGCTAGCTCGGCACCTATATTCTGCTACCCCTTTGATCTCAGCAAAAAGCTCAGCTCCGGCGATGTCAAGGGTCAAATCAAGTTCCACCCATCAATGAGCTCGCCCAGCTTCAAACCACCAGCCAAAGCGCTGCAATCGCCATTCAAGTTATTCATCAAGGATTTGAGATTGAAGCTGGCCAACTCGGCTCCGGATCTCGTACACCGAGTTATTGTGCCAGGATTACTACTTCCGACAGCATACTCGGGGTCCTCTTGCCGACCTGAAGAAGTTCTGCAATTTATGCATGCCCTCCGCGCCCTTTTGCGCGAGTATGCTGCTCGCCTGACGGCTCTCATCACACTTCCCGTCACACTGTACCCACGCTCTACGGGACTTACTCGATGGATGGAAATACTCAGCGACGGTGTCCTCGAGCTTATTCCCCTGCAGTCCAATGCGATTCATGCACCTCCGCCCACGTCGAAATCGGATCCCAAGTCCGAAGAGCAGACACAGGGTCTTTTGAAAGTCCACAGCTTGCCCGTCTTCCATGAGAAGGGAGGAGGCTCGTCGGAGAGCTATGCATCTCGGGAGGACCAGGCTTTTAGTCTCAGTCGGTCCAAAGGACTCGTCATTCGGCCTTTCAGCTTGCCTCCAGTTGGTGAAGAGGAGGAAGAGAAGAAGAAACAGGATGCTGGCAAGTCAATGGACTTCTAAAGCTTCGTCCTTGCAGTCAGCCGACATCCAGCCTCGATCGGTCTCGGTGCTCTGAAATTTGGCAAACCTGTTCTGAATCACCAGTACAAGCTTTCACGAACTGGACAACGGTTCAACTCGCGATGAGCAGGCGCATTCAGCTGGTCTCGTTGTTCTCAAAGGTTGCATGGGGGAGCTTCGATGCTGCTGAGCATAAGTAGGCAAGCTCCCACCACGCTGCAGGTAGCTTACCCGGCAAGGCCCCACATTCTGACCCAGTCTTGCAGTGACTCAAATTTGAGGTCGCAGCACATTTTCCAAGTTCTCTTCTCCCTTTAACAACCACAATCGCCAACATCAGGTAAGTCTATCCCCCTCGCCGTGGTCTCTGCACAACCTTCAATCATACCCAGGCTTTCATGATTACTCCAAAATCAATATCTGTCAATCCCCAGATGCTACAAAAGTAGCAGTTGTTGATACACGATTTGTTACACACCTATGATTTTACTGCCTTTCATACCTCTCATCACTTTTCGTATGCACATACTTTGGGACGTCAGGCTAACAAGCTTGCAAAGATCAGGAATAATCTTGCATTTCGTCTAGCTGGACGTTAAGTCTGAAGCACTGTTGGCGCGTGTCTAGCACAAAGACGGGCAAACATGGCGGCAGAAACCTCCTTGGCCATGGCTGCTGCTGATCATCCAATGGTTCGCATAACGCGCGTAGCATCGCGTTACCTCATTTTTGACATTGACGACGTGATGTTTCTCCGACGCCACCACAATCTGTGCAGTGTCTTTAGTGGCACAGTGCCGCAAAATCCACAGCAGAATGTGTTCATGGGCCTGCCGGTGGAGCTCATGGCTGAGGAAGCAAGAGCTCTCGTGGAAGACGGGGCTGCTTATGTAGTTGAAGATGCCGACTTCCACTTGCGCCTGGTGACTGAGCTTACCAAGCGCGCATCACTGGCCGCCAAAAAGTCTGAAGTTGATGTGGCGGTGCACGACCGTGAGGACTTTGGAAAGCAACGGGACGAGTACCTGATGGATATCACCCAGAAGGGCACAGCCGTTATGCAAGCGCATCTTGACGAGAAGCAAGCTCTGCGAGAGGCGTCTCTGCTGAAGGCCTCCACGGGCAAGAAGAACAAAAAGGGTAAGCGTGCAGGTGGTGATGTGGCTGGGCAGCCTAGCCAGACCTCGCAAACGGACGAACCTGCTGTCCCGAGCAAGCCGGCAGAAGACGACGGCGACGAGGGACTCTTCGGTCCGCCCGAACCCGTTGCTCCTCCTGCTTTGCGAAAGGCGCAGAAGGATACGCCGGCACCATCAATCCCTTATGCAGTCACTCCGACGACTACGGGGCCCTTGCTAGGACGAACGGCTGGGCCTCCAGCTCCGGGCACCCAAGAATGCAGCCTGATGGTTGACGTGCCGCCTTCATATCCGCTCTTCAAACACCTCCACGACAAAGGGTACTACATGATGCCAGGCCTGCGCTTCGGATGCGACTACAACGTATACCCCGGCGATCCTTTGCGATTCCACGCGCACTTCCAGGCCACCAGCTATGGCTGGGACGAGGAGATCAACATGATGGACCTCACGGCCGGTGGCCGTCTAGGCACGGGTGTGAAGAAAGGTTGGCTCGTGGGCGGAGCCGGGCCGGCTGTGGCGGACGAGGAAGCACCGCAGACGCAGGAAAAGCCGAAACACGCTGCCCGGGCATTCTGTCTGGAGTGGGCGGGCATGTAGTCGTCTCATTATCTAAAAATATACCCCATGCATTTTATACAACGATCCGTAATCATTTGATGACGTGCCTCGAATCATCTTGAGCCAGCTCATGTTCACTCTCGACAATCGCCTGTTCCGCAGGTGTATGCGTTTCATGAGCCCTGGCCAGTCTCACCAGGGCTTTGGTCACAATCATAAGGAAAGGCGCCTTCTCCGGGTGTTCATGTCATCCAACAGTGGCCGCAGCAGCATCGCGCTTGCAAACGACAACCCCTGAGCGAATTCGAACTTTTGATATCGTTCTTCTCGTGGATTCGGCTACAGCATAAAGCTTCCATACAGAGAAATATTCCCAGATCCCTCGGAACAAAGGGTCTGGTCAGGGCTCCTATGCAACAGCAAAAATAAACAAGGGAAAAGCAGCCCTCTTTCCTTGCGATGCCAAATGACTCTCTTCCGAAACAACGAACAAACTCCAAGCCGAAAGACGCAGAGAATCAAGATAAAACGCCAGACACCTTGGCCCATCTTTCCAAAAGAAGCTTGAACTCGTTAAAAACGCCACAGCCCACATATCGTGAAAGCTTCAGTGCACATGAGTGCACCTGCTGTGTCCTTGGATAAGGAATATACGCTGCCGACCAGACGGCTAAAATTGATGAAGAGGAGCAAGATGAAGGGGATTGCCGTCTGGTCATAATATAAAGGTGACAAGAATGAAGTAAAAGTTTGTCCAGGCCGGCCAGCCGCGGCGGGCGTTTGGCCAAATTAGTCCTCGTTCAAAGGTGTCATTAAGGGGCTTTTGAGGCGCGTGGGACTGCCGTTGCGACTCCTCCGGCCTGCGTTCAGCATTTGTGGGACAAGACGCTCGCGACTTTCGGTGCGGACCACAAGGCCGGCCCGATCGAGCGCACTACCCGGGTGCAAAGACTTGCGTAGGTCGTCAAAACTGCCGACATTGATCTTTGGCGTCGCCAAGCCCGATGCTCTGCCAATTCGGGAGCCATCACCGCTGCTGTCCGAGTTTTCGCCCTCGTCAGAGGACGTCTCGGCAAGTTCAAACTGGTCCACGTCCCCTTCCTCGAGAACGCGTTCGTAATTGTGGCTGCCGCGGCGAAACCACTTGTTCCGGATGGCAGAAAATCCCCTGGCGGACTTCTTAGGACTGCCGGGTTTCCGCCGTGGCCGTAGAATGGAATTGAGCTTGACGTACAGGCCCATTCTCCTGTCGCGCTTCCTGAATAGAAAGCCAAAAATCAAGAATATTATAACGAAGACAAGGACCGCTGTGGATGTTTTAGACTTGGCTTGATCGATGAGATCCTCGGCTGCGTCACTCCAATCGTTGTCGAAATCCGCGATCAGGCTCGCATTGTACGTGGAACCCGCGTACTGAAAATCGCTAGGTACACCAGGCACATTGCTGCCAAACCCGACGGGAAGATTTGAACTGCTCCGTGGTGGGACTTGGCCAGATGCGTAGAGCACCATTTTGCCCAAGGTCCAACTGACTTCAGTTCCGCTGATCTTGTCAGCAGCCTGGAAAGGTTCGAGGAAGCCCTTCTCTTTGGCAGCTTCTCCAATCTCCTTGGCGATGTCGTTATCAGGTGTCGGGGCTTCTTCAATGCCGGCCCGTGGGATACCCAGGCCTTCGTGAAGCACGCTAATGAGCCAGGCCGCCTTGAAGCATGCCTCCTGAGCTTCCTTCTCCGGGCTATTTTTCCGCGACTCAAGGCCGACCACGAGCTCTTCCCACTCCGTACTACAGAACTCTTGGACTTTCTTCTGGTATGTGTTGAAGTCGTAGATGTTCTCATTGCCGTCCGCGAAGACACCGTGCGTCGTATGCCAGTATTCGGATACGCCAACAAAGTGGTTGACTTCGAAGTCGATGGAGGGAACGTGCTGGCCATTGAGCAAGCACGGGTCTTCCTCGCAAGGCTTGTCGAGTCCAAGCAATGGTTTGGTTCGTCTCTGGCACTCATCCCACATGCCAGTGCCAACAAGCTCGAGTTCCTCCGTGACGCCCTCGATCAGGTCGCCGTTCTCTGTGGTGCGGAGACCTCTGGGAAGGCACGGATCGGGGACTTCGTGTTCGCCTTCGATCAGAAACTCGCTCACCAGCTCTTCCACGTACCGCCGCCTTGCTTCGTTCATGCCAAATCCGAGCCAGGTAGTGGTGAAGACCTTGTGTTCACTCGGCGCCCCATCCAACGTCCGCATTCGCACCAACTGGAGGTCTTCCGGATGTTGCGCAGCTACAGTCGAGTTGGGCGCAAAGGCAATCTGCGCAGACGCACCGCCCATGTCGAGAAATCCATACGTGTGGTGGTCCTTGCCATGGAGATGACCCTTGGGGTCATCAAAGCCACCCAGCAAGTAGTTTGCCGCAATCCATCCATACAGTCCTTCGGTCGAACCAGGAATAACTTGGATGTGGGACGAACAATCCGGAAGGGAGAACTTTGTCTCGGCGCGGAAATATGTGCAGATCTGGTCCAGCACAGCTCGCTGCTGGACAACCGGTAACAGACGCATACCGGCTGTGGCCATCAGGAAGATCGGCGTGTCGGGTTGCTTATCGAGGGGTACGACATCCTGTGCATGTTTGATCAGGGATTTCAGATGCTCCGGACCGATATCCTCGGGGTGGTCACCGAACGTTGACACTCCTGGTCGAATCTTCTTTGTCCAGCTCTTTTTAGTCTTGAGTTCCGGCAGCCGTCGAAGTTCCTCCGGCGAGTCGGCATCCTTGATGACATGCGCAGCATTTTCCCAGCGATAGACGTGGAGCCGTGTGCCGGATGAGCCAGCATCGAGGATTACTCCCCATCGCCCTGTCACAGATTAGCACATTATACACTTGCGAGTATTGGCGACTGATGATTGAGAGGAGAGATCTCACATTTGTCCTTGCCCATGCTGCGTTCAGTGGGTGTCGAGGTTGACGTGCGATCGCCTCCCAAGTAGATGAGTGGTGTATCCTTGTGAACCCTGCGTCTTCGAGTGGTGTCGCTTGTGGTCGCTTTACAACCCGGTCATGATATTATGATTGATCCCTTCTGCACTCCGATTCGTCCCGTCGTAAGTCAAATTTCGAGACAAGCAGCTGCTTGGTGTAGCAATTCGTCAGTAGTCGAGCATGGGAACCGCAATTTGAAGACGTGTCGTTGCTCTCTTTGTCGGAATGTTTTGAAGTCGCGTTCGTTCGTGGATAGGGGCGTGTGCGTCGAAGGGGGCGCGCGCCGGGGCGGGTGGCTTCGCGGATGTTGTTGTTTCTTCAGAGTGAGCGTGGTGGATAAGATTTCAAAGGACCGACGGATGCGCGGGAGCTGTCAAGAACGAAAGGAGCCGGAGCCGGAGCCGCAGACCAAGAACGAGGCCAGAGAGGGAGGGCGGTTAAGGTTGCGTAGTGGCCGCGAGTTGCGCAGTCGACGAAGTAAGATTTGGGGGTGGGCGGAGACAGGCGAGCGTGTAATTAGTAGGAGCTAGCGACGCTAATAGAGGGCTGCGTTGCGCAGGTAGATGCTGGAGCGTGGGCGTGTAGTGGGTGGCCAAGCTCGCACAAGACAAGCCGTGGTGTCTCGACTCTGAACGACTTCTCGGTAGACACAGAGAGGGTTTAGTTTGGATTGGCCGTCGCGGGAGAATGAAGACCAGGTGAGAGAGGACGCAGCAACGAGCAGCAAGAACAAGAAGAGCATGTAGGAGATGACAGCGTGCGGTACAAGAGCGTGCCCTCTCGGTGACAGGATCGCCAGGCTCAGTGAGTGAGGCATGAAAGGCCAGGGCCATGCAGCACTAGCGCGGCCCACCCACAGCACCCATGAGGCAAGTGCAGGTCGCGCCGGTGCTGGATACGGCCAGCCATGGCCTCGAGTCCCCTACTACGCCGTAGCTCCAGCCTGCCTGCATTGGAGAAGACGACCTGCCCTGCTCAAGCAGAGCTAGCTATCAGCAACCCCGTCCTCGACGCGTTGCCCAGGCGAAATGGGCATGTGTCGAAGTCACCTTGGTAGACGGGCAAGCGCAACACGTGGACTTGTCAGCCACGCCACGCCGGGCTCTGGCTAAGTAGTACCTATACGCAGTCGAATGCTGCTCAGCAGGCAGTCAGGTCAGCCAGGAGCGTACGCTGCTTGTCTGTCGCCAGCAGAATCAAGCACAAGAACGTCCGCGTGTTGGATCGTAAGCCCTGCTAGAGCTAGGACAGAGCCCTGTCCTGTCGTTCCAGGGCTCTGCAGCCTTGGTCGCGGGCACTGTGCCGGGTTGGCTGCAGCACCTTCAGCCGGGGCTCTCTCTTCCCTCTGTGACCTTCTCCGTCCCACTTCCTCCTCCTCCTCCACCCACCACTTATCAAAAAACCCCCCGCGGCGGCGCTGTTGCTGCAAAAGCCACCAATTCGACGCCATGATTCGTGCCTGCTACCCACGCTCTGATTCGCCCTCTGCCGCAAGTGCCTGGATCCGGAGGCTGCCGCTGGCCCAGTCCAGAACAGCCGCGAATCTGCATCTTCTTATCCGTGGCTGGCCCTTTAGCCAGTCCACACACTTTGTCGCCTTCACTTGGCCAGATAACGGCGCCGCGCCGTCAACCTTTGCCCTCACGCCTCGACGCCTTCGCCTCCCCTTACCCCTCGCCTGAGCGCCCCCCAGGCAGATCCCCAGATTCCCCTTTTGTCGCTCCCTCCCTGAGCGGTCTCGCCGACGGCGCTGGCCGTCAGGTCCACTGCCACGAGGGGCAGTCTCAGATTGCAGCACAGCGGCGAGAAAGAAAGAAACACGAGTCGCAAGGCCGGCGTGTCTTCGGCTAGGGCTGGCCCCCTGTTGGTGGCGCCGCTGCACCAGAGCGAGCAGGGCGGGCCGTATGGGTACGTCGTGGCCTTTGCAGCAGGATTGTGCACTCTCCTGCGCTCAAAAGTCGCGCAGCCCATTATCTGCGTTGTATCTCATGACGGCCTCGGTGGCCGTACCTAGGCTGAAGAATACCCAATCGGACTGGGAACAGCATCACGTTATGTCCTTCTTGCCATGGAGCCATCTACGAAAGTAGGAGAGGATGTCATCGTCGATCCCTTGCTCAAGCTGACAAACCCCCGGCCGATACGAAGTTGGGAGACAAGGGTCCCAACAGTCGGTGTCGGGCAAACCGCACTGTCTCACAGTCTTCCCGTGGTGCTCTTCCACGCATTTTCACATGAACATCTGCTCCAGCGACGTAACGTGCTCCACACTCGAGTATTCCCTGTCCAAACCTGCGAAGACTCCGTACGCGCGTTCCTTGGCAGCCGTTGTTGTTCTTGTGGAAGCTGGATCTGTAGCTTCAGCGGCCGATTAGACAGCCCACACACGGAAACCCCCATCAACCCCGTCTGGCTGGCTTATCATGATTAGAGACCAGCGACATTTGCAAGGCTTGCACCTGGAGGCAGACGGAACACAAAATGACACAGCTTGTCTCCATTTTCACCGTAGGTTGGTCACATATGACGCAATGGCCTCAGCCGCTCCCGTCAGCTTTTTGATGATCGACAAGTGGCCAGGGTTGCGTCTCGGAAGTTATCGTTCGCGCATAGATATTCCCGGCCCCATTGACTGCTCAGCTCTACTCGTGGCTGAATCTGCATCGACCATGGACAGGCTGAATTCCAACGGCCCTCACCTGTTCTTCTAGGCATTGCTATCTGGTGTCCGGGTACGCGTGCCAGGTTTGCCTGTCCGTGTCTTGCGTCGTCCCTCTCGCTGACGTTGTGCGGATCATGCCCATATAAGCGTCTTGGGGTCTCCAAGCGGGCTGTGCTGTCCATTGGTGCGGTCGGCTCGCTGAAACGTTGCTGTTTATTTTTGACACCACCTCGCCGCCATGATCAGCAGCTAATGGCAAACACGCCGCGCGGCCACCTTTTTTCGGGTCTTTGGGTCCTTGCAGTTCCTGCGTTTCTTGTCACAGAGTTTTTTATGCTTAGCTGACATCTCAATCGTCCTGTGTTTCCTTTTTTTTCTGGGGCGCGCAAAAGGCTGCTTCTTTCCACGGCAGGCTTATGTAGTTGAGAGCCACTTCCAACGTCAACTAGGGTAACTAGTGCGCGGCCTGTCTGACAACGTGATGAACGCCTGTTACACATGTGCTCAGCAGCTCGCATCATCACCGGGATTGTTGCCCCTCAGCTCTGCCGTCACACGTGCTGTCGCAGTACGTTTCCCATGTTTACAATCATGTCCATTGCCTATGTACCGCTCCTAGAGCACACCCCCACCCTCTCACCGTTGATTCAGCTCCACCATCTTGACCGGTTTCTTCATCTTTCTTATCTCGATACTTGTGATACCTCAGCCCTCGAGCCGGGACGACAAGGGGGGGCAGACGGGTGACATATACTATGGTTGCGGGCACAATTTTTAACACTTTTTTTTGTACCTCGCATCCCCACCCATCCATTTCGCATGCAGGGGCCTAGTAAACTAGATGAGCCAAGATGATGCAAGCAAATAGAGCAAATGTAGTAACCTAAACGTCATGAAGTGAGGCATATGGTGATGATTCTGCGATTCTGCTGCCAGTGATTCTGCTGAATCTTCTACAGCTATTCTGAAGTAACTGAAGCCTTGACGATGCGCCCGAGAGACGTTCATACAGCCCACCTGACGGAGAAGGAGCGTCTCCGCGTACGAACGCTCCGGCACGATGCTGGCTTTAAGTTACAGCAGATCTGTAGCCTTACCGGCTTCACTATCAACCAAGTACGTACGGCAATTGCCTCAGCGGTCCCTGGGAAACATACTGGCCGCCCAATGAAGATGTCGGCTGAAGACGTTGAAGTTCTACTCGAGTTTATCTGCGCATCGCAGCGGAACCGTCGGATGACCTGGGACGAGGTAGCCCAACAGGTGCTCGATAAGCGCTATGGCCGTTATACTATCCGCCATACATTACGCAAGCTCGGATTCCGACGATGTACTGCCCACCGCAAACCCCCGATTAGCGAGACAAATAGGCTCTTGAGGCTCTCGTGGGCTCGAGAGCATATTCACTGGACGAAGCAGCAATGGGGGGAGATCCTCTGGACCGACGAAACCTGGGTTACCGGGGGCCACCACCGGCGGCAATGGGTTACCCGACGGCCTGGCGAGGAGCACGACCCGACCTGCATCGTGGAGAGGCACCAGAGGAAGAAGGGGTGGATGTTCTGGGGCTGCTTTTCAGGTACTGCAGGTAAAGGCCCAGGGATCTTTTGGGAGAAGGATTGGGGTACAATTGGCGAGGAGACATATCGCCAACGAACAGTACCTATTATCGACGGCTGGATCAGACTCGTGGGCCTTATAGGTATCACGATGGTTCTGATGCAGGATAATGCCTCTGCCCACTCGGCTGCCGGTACTCTTACCGACCTCCAGGAACGCGGCGTCCAGATAATTACCTGGCCACCCTACTCCCCGGATTTGAACCCTATTGAGGCCGTTTGGAATAAAATGAAGGACTTCATTGAGGAGAAGTACGGCCTTGAGGAGCTACCCTCGTACGATAACCTTAGGAAGTACGTCAAGGAGGCCTGGGATGCAGTCTCTAATACCTTCCTCACAGAGCTCCTTGATAGTATGCCTAAGCGCTGTCAGGCAGTCCTTGATAAGAACGGAATGCATATACCTTTCTAGTACAATTACGCCTCTCTAAATGGACACGATTTGAGCTGCCCGAAGTGCTGCGTAGAGTGCTACGCGAAGTGCCCATTTGCAGCCTGTCTGTCAACGACGAAATGGTTGCCTACTGCCCGAAATGGCGCCCTCTGATTGGCTATTATTACCCCTGGGGCCCACTCAATTTTACCCCTGGGCCTGCATGCGACTTGCTGCACAGTTAAAAATTACCCATATAACCATAGTACCCCTGCCTGCATTTTCCCACGACCGGCACTCTCGGCAGTTCGAGGTTGACAGCCACAACCCTGCCGGGCTCCATGCCCGTCGTCATGATCATCATGATGGTTTCCATTCCCCGAACGGTACCGAACGGTGATCCCTGCATCGCCACGCGAATGACAAGATCGATGCCCCGATACACATGGCTTGAGGATGCGATTTGGTCCTTGGCCACACGTATGCATTCATTCACACGGCAGGCCCGGCTGGTGGTGCTGTTGGTTCGTAGGTATGTAGTCTGGCAAATACCCGAGCTAGACCATCAAACTGTTCGTGTGACATTGGGAAAATCTAGAAATTTTGTTGATGCTCTGGCTTGCAATGCTCAGCGACTGGCACGAATTGTGTCCATGCTTGGCGATAAAGTGCCTGTCTGTATACCATAGTAGAGGGGTGTGTGTGTGTGTGTGTTTGTGTCTATCGCTTGCGTAAGGTGGCAATGGTCCTGTTAAGCCAGAGTTGGGACTTGCCGATGTCATAAGCACCAACTGCTCGGAAACGACGATCCACAATGCAATCCAGGGTGTGTGCTGGGCAACAACAATAACAACAACAACAACAACAACAAGGACCTCAAGCAGTCAACGCAGGGTAGACACTGGAACCATGCAGTCCCGTTTTCCCGAGGTCCAGAAGTTTTGATATTTACACACACGACACGGCATTGCCGGCAACCACCCTCAGAAACACACCACTTCGTTAGGCACGGCCTAACAACACAGAAGAAGACAATGGTACAGACGATGGAGAGATGAAGAATAGTGAGAGCTCGGACAACACGTGAATGCTTCGCCGCCCCATAGCGTAAGGGGACACACCCCAATGATAGGCCGATTCGGGGGTTGGGGATGGGGGTTATTGGACTTACAATGGCGGAAAGGCTGTCGTGGATTCACACATATTGCCTGTGGCTTGGTCCCTCGGACTGTTCTCACCCCCCCCCCCCCCCGACGCGCGCCCGTACCAGATTTTATTTCGATATTCCGTCCTAGAGGGTTAAAACAAACACCCATGGTTCGCGCATGTTTTGTGAGTGCGTCAGTCCTGTCTCTTCCTTCAGTTGCTCGTACATGCCCTTCGGGGGGAATTCTCATGGAGACTAGGTCGTGGAGGGTTGTCTATACCAACGCCCTGACTGCCGCCTTTTTTTTCCTAACCACTGGGTCGTTGACTAGGGATTCTGCTTTGGCTCTAACATGTGCTGGCCGTTGACGTACAACCTCAGCCAAGATAATATCGTCCTGTCGTAATCCCTGTCGTCAAAGGTGCTGTATCTTGGGCTTTCTTATCCGTATAGGGCTCTGCCGCTCGACAACGACAGGACCGGATGGGTCCACTTCATGAATGCAGTGAGCCTCACTTTTCGCTTCGATGAATCAAGACATGGCCCTAAGACGTTGACCGAAGCAGAAGTGATGGTGTCTCATGGGATGCCACCCAAAGATCCGGCTCCAGGCGATTCTGTCTATGATGAACGGCTGTGGCCGTGCGCCTATTTCGTATCATTCATGGCTCTTGTGTGGATATTAGACCCGCAGAAGTTTCTGTGAAATGCAGAAAGATTATGTCATCTCAGAGCAGCGTCTTTCCTGATAAACGAGCTGGAATGCCATCGATCGTGATAACTTCTGCTCATTGCCAAATATCACTGTGGGGCGTTTGCGCTTGGACAGGTATTTGCAAATATATTGAAATGCTTTAGAAAGATACGTCAAGCTGTTGGTCACTATTCCGTCCTGGGTGGCTCACACATCATGGAAGTTTTGTGGCATTCGTTCCTGACGCCGTTGGCCCAATTCACAAATGAATCCATCCATAGCCTCAGCGTGGAGAGACTTGATTCCCTCCCGTCTTGGCCGGATGGTAGAACCGTTGACTGGCACTCGAAGAGTTGGGCGCCGGCCGTAATGCCTCTATATATTTGCATGAGTCACAAACTCAAGGAAATACCGACGGTCTCGAGCGGAAGATATACTCACGTCTTACGCCGGTCGATGGTGCTGCAAGCCCGTCAGTGCTGGTTGCCTGACTAACTCTCATCCCTGAGCTTAGTCCAACCCCAGGATACCGTGTGATGCCTTTCGGGCTTCGGTGGGAGCTTGTAGGCACCGAGAAGGCTGACCGCATGTTCTCCCGAGCAAGGCTGTTCGCCAACCCACGTGGCGCAGTGGTGCTAACAACGCTTGGTTCGCCAATTCTCTGGCGGTGAGACGAAGGGGTCAGTGGAACTTCAACTAGTGCTTGTCAGTACATTGGTCAATTTGCAATCATCACGAGTTCATTCTTACAATGGCCGGTCTGCGATGGCGCCGGAATTCTACGTGAGTGGGCGGGCGGCGGAGGTGGTGGCATCATATGCGGTTGCCAGGCTGATTGCCTGATGATCTCCTGCGGAGCGTGCTCGTACAGATGGCTTGGTGCCAGTGTTGACATATCGAAAGAGGCGCTGTGTGTTCCATGAATTGTTGAATCAGCTGCGTCTTCGGCGGCGCCTTGCACTTGACCGAGCATGGTTTTCTGTTTGAGCTTGTCGTAGAGCTCCTGTATCTGCAAGAGTTTCCGTGTCTTGTCCTTGTAAGCCTGTGCAATCTCCTCGTTCTTCTTTTGTAGGACTTCGTGGTCCATGGCGATGCCTGGTCGGTTATCGTCAGTCTCGTCCCCCTAAAAAAAGGCTGGCTGGACTGCCACTGACCGTGTATCTTGCCTTGCAGATTGGCGATCTGTGAGTTTGCTTCGTTGATAATCCTCTCGAGGTGGTGGTTAAGATCAGTATATTTTTCGGTGAGCTTTTTGCTCAGATGTTCCTGATACACACTGATGCCCGCCGCGACCATCAGTGACCTTGTACAGACGCCGATCGTCTGTTGCTCTGGGACGTGTGCGCTTACACCTCCTGTGTTGTCTGGTACGCCCAGAAGCTCAACCCTCTACTCGCAGTCTCGATGATGGTATGTGGCGTGAGGCCGCTCAGCACACTCGTCTTGTAGTCCTCACTTGGGTTGAGCAGGGTAACCACAGCATCATCAGGATGGGTTAGGGGCGAGGAGCATGCTGGGCATGAAGGGCGATGGTCCTGGCGCCCGCCGGCGAGACCGAGGCGCGCAGCACAGTCGGGACAGAAGATGTGACTGGCGATCGCATTTGGGTCAGTTCTACATAAACAAACCTTGCTGGTCATTGTCGGAGACCTGCCTGCATGTAGTGACGACTGCTTTGTCGCCAAGCTGCTTCCTGCACTTGAGAGCATTGCATCGTAGTATGTGCTCCATTGGGAAACACGCTCCTAAGAGGCGCCTTGGGATATTCGGTCTTTGTGCTGTTAACGAGGATGGGCTCTAGTTGGAAGACTCGTGCGATGAGAAGCGAGCAATAGATGACGATGAATCACGACGCTCTGGCCACTTCCTGGCGGGCCGTGGCGTTTCTCGAGGGTCGTTGGGGGTCGAGGCAAGAGCAACTGTCGCACCTTCCGCGATGAAGCACCCTCCACGACCAGCCGTCCAGCATCATCAACTATTGGGTGTGCCTGCGTCATAGAATCGATTTACCTCAACACTCCCTCAACATGCTCCCAGCCCGAGAGATCTATAGTGCCCACGTCGAAGCGGTGTCGTGATGCCGTTGCTGCTGCTCAAGTGCAATCTATGCGGCCCTCAACTTCCTCGACATCCAAAAACAAGCCAACAATGATACCACGAGATTTGCGATTCGCCCTTGAAACATGATCGCACCCTCCCAAGAATACGAGGAGTCCCATAACCCGCTCAAAGCTATATTCATGGTTGAACCTCGGCCTAAGTACATGTAGTTTGAGGTTTTCCAGCCTTTGTGGTTGATAGAGGAGGTGCGTGAAGCGCATTCTTGCGTCGCTTGAAGCTGATCATCTTCTCACGAGTCCGCTTCACACGCCATGCATTTGGGTTGACTGGGAAAGGGAACATTGAGGTACTGTCCCAACACGGCGATGCTCACGAGCCTATGTGTACCAGTTTCTTCGCTTCCGTGTGAGGCAGACGATGAGTCGTGTTTTGCCAAAATGACAATACATCCCTCAACCATCCCTCGACGCAGTTGCTTTCCTTCAAACGCAACGGACATCTCAGCTTGCAAAATCGATATGAGATTACCATTATCATTATTCGCCAATTGCGCACACTACTTCAACATACCATAAGCTTCACTGCGATTGATACTATGACAATCCGCCAATATAATCGTGTGCACCAAGTTCAATCCTCAGAGCGAAATCCTATTGACGACGTTCAATTTTGGGTAGCTCAGCTCCCACTGTTCTAAGAACCAGTACACGGTTGCCGACTATTGCAATTCGCTCCGTTCTTGCCTCCCATCCGGCGAAATATCAATCCATCTGTTGAATATCTCAATGGCCATCTTCGGTGAAATCCTTCACACAAGCTCAAGGTGCTTGTAGTAGTGCTTTGCCTCGGTCTCACATGCTCACTTGCTGGCTCATATTCCAGGCTTCATACCGTCTATGCATGCGATCACAGTTGCACGGAATCATGGCTGCAGGGCATCTCTACCTCCTCTGTAGCTCTGCCCTCTTATCTTCTAGCAGGCTGTCCTTATGAAGCACCAATATAGCAGTCATGACATGCCATTTCGGCATCTTAGGGCACCTCGGCCGAGACAGAGCCTCCGAGAATACCAAGAGCGCAAAAACCATGGTTCAACGGCCCTCAGAACTGGTGATGCTGACCACCAACAAGGTTCGAAGAGGGGTTTCATCCACCTGCGCTAAGATAGGGGCCCAGGCCCGTATATCAGCTTGTTCTATAGCGTAGCTCGCGATCACCATGAAGGGTAAGCCAACCTAAAGAGCCCCCAGATTTTCGATCGGCAGCAACCGAGAGCCAGGCTCAGACAAGGGACAACCGTGGACGATGTCTTACCACCCCGCAACAATGCCACCCTTTGTGTCACTCCGCAACACTAAAGTCTCGTGTCAATGCTACAATGAGTCAACCAAGACCTTAGCTGTCTTTCGCTATAGTGTCCTATCTGGGTTAACACCTCGCACTCTGAGGCAAAAAAGCACAACTCTCAAGTCGCAAAGTTGACCCTCATTCGTACTCGGTTTGCCTCTACACAAGGATTAATCTGTTAGGCTCTTCACCTCACATGTGCGCGTAACTATACTGGATGATAGGACAATCGTGGTGATTGTAGCACATCGGCCTCGGCATTTGTGCGCACCATCAACCCCCCGGAAAGCGCGGATCGCCCTGCCTGGCCGAACAAGGGGAGGGGGGCCATGCGCGGATCATCAGCATGCGACCCGTGAGCCGCAGACCAGTGGCACAGCTAGGCGGACGAACTACCGGCATTGAGACCGTGTTGTAACAGATGCTTCGAGCATTTGCCTGCTAAGATCCCTTGCTACGATCATGAATGATGGATCATCTCGACCATTCTGATTTCGACACCTGGACGCAACAACGGACGTGAGCGCACCAGTCGCATCGAGTCTTTTCCACACCATAATGAGCGTCAGTCCGACACTGGGAGAGGATAGGATCTACAGCTGCTGGATGACTTTCAAAAGGCTTCATTGGGCCGGTGATTTATCATCATGTCGACCGGGCGGATCGAGCGAGACGTCACTAGTCTTGAATGCTTTTTGATATTTCAAGGCAAAGAGGCAGTCTTGACACAGCGCTGATTCTACTGCACATCGCGTTGAAGTCGTCCCAGGAGACACAAAGCTCAAGGGACCATGGCTGCAACACAACGGTTCGTCGCGCCGCCCAGTTGCAGACATCGTGGGCTCGGATTCATGCTTCCCCACAACAAATCGTGGTTGGGCAGGCGCTGATCTATTTGATCCGCCTCATGCATCAAGAGGAAGGTCAAGCCGAGCGACGATCTCACTGGACATGGAGAAAGTGAGCGAGACATACCCCAGCTTCTGGGGTGCATGGCTAGTTGCCCCACAAACCCCTGTTGACCTTGATCCAAGCCCCTGAATGGAAATCCGGGCTTGACTTATTGCAGTTACTTCACGTTCTGACGGGCCGACAATCCATATTAAGCTTCCGTCGGGCGGCGAAGGATTGGTCCTGAACACAAGCTGGACCTGGTTTCGTGTGGGACGTGGGCAAAAGGCAAGGTGGGTGTGTATGCGGAACCATACGCAGTATGCGTGCCAGCACACTCACCTCCCACACACCCAGCACCCTTGCGCGGCTCTCAGCAAAGGCGGGTAAACTAGGTTTTCAAGGGAGGCCAGGGGTAGGTCTGAAAGGGAGTCTGTGACTCGCTCCAAAAGAAAGAAAACCTGCATGACTTCCCTATATGCCACCCCATACATCGCACTTATAGGTACGGCCGAACGGAATCCAGCTGATCGCTGGCGGCGGGCTACACGAACGCTCCGAGGGAGTTAGCAAACTGTGCCAGCGAGGGTCATCCTTGTGGGACAATCCGCTTTGAGATATCTCAAGGGGGCAAAGGCCTCTTCTCCAGTCACATGGCGAGGTGGAAGCGAGTCGAGCTTTCTCCACGTCCTGCGGACCCCGAGCCTCAACTGCCGGCTGCCGTGCATGGCCAGCTCAATGAAAGCACGATGGGCAGAGGACAGTGAGTACGACGCTGGATCCATGCTACGGCAGGCACAGCAGCATGGAGTCTCCATCGACAATCTTTGTGCTGGCAGCCCACGGAACCCAGGTACTCAAGCTGACACCAGCACTTACACGCAGGCAAGTTGGCCCTGCCAGTTCATCAGAGGATCCAAACCCGCAGACGGCCGTTACTGAGAAAAGACACGATGCTAGGCGTAGAGAGGCTCAACATGCCTGGTTTGTAGCTTGAGGCAGACTTGCTTGGCTCTCAGGTCCCGGTTCCCCGTTGCAGCTGTCATGTCGACACCCGTCGTCAAGCGAAAGCGTCCCAACGGCCTTGCATATGAGCCCTTCACCACCATGTGCTCTCCCGTGAAGCCGGCGCAAGTGTCAAAGCAGGGGGCCGTCTGCGCTCCCTGGACTGGCCGATGCGGTGCGACCGCTATTTGTGACAACACACCAGGGCATCATGGCTTCTTCCCTCCAGGAGCGGAGAAAACGGCTGTCAGCCTTTGCTTCTTCCCCAATAATCGAGTCGGTCGACTTCGCATCGTCACAATTTACCTCGTCACAGTTTACCTCGTCTTGGGCATCGCTGCACATGGTGGTGTTCCCACTTCAAGTCCAAGTACCAGGGACCCATTGTTTCGAATTGACAGTGTTCCTAGGGCGAAGCATGCTATGACGGAATCATACCGACATCGTTATAGCGAGTTTGCCCATCAGGAACGAACACGACTTGCTTTGGGTCCACCACTCTCGATCGCGACTCATGTTCTCGATGGATCTTGAGCCGTGCATACGGGGCTGTCGCTGTCTGGGACATGGCACATGAGTCGTCCTACTCACAAGTGTCAACGACTCGCTCCTGTCGCTCCTCACTTACCCCATTTTCCAGGGCCTACAATCCCTGCTCCCTTTTTTTTTTTTTCTTGTTCTTTCTCGACTTTGCGAAGAGCTTCACCCCGCCTTCTCTCCGCAGTCTCGCTTCGAGGTGGCCAGATGGCCCGGCTGCCTGCCAGCTAGGCACTCTTGCCACACCTACATGTGCATATGCATGTGCATATGCACAAGCTTCCTGCTTGCCCTCACCCAAGTGCAGCCTGCCAAAGTCCCATGACTTGAGGTTGCAGTGAGCCACAGAGGACTTGCACCCAGGTACACCAACGGGAGCACTGCCCGCACCAAGGCAGAACAACCAGAGATCCTTGTCGCTGGGAAGCCTTGGGGGAGCCGCACGCCGCCAGGGCGCGCCGGCCCAGAACAACCGAAGAACCACGGGGTGTAGATATCAAACCTTCACGGCCGGCACACCCGAAGAACAGTAGCGGCACACATGGCTGCGATGATCGGCTCCGGGCTTTTTTGAACTCCTCATGGTCTACATACTTGCAGTAATGGCAGCAGGCAGCGAGCGTGCCAGGCACGAAAGGGGTGGAGGCCCTTATGTCAGTTGTGTTATTGCAGCGGCTGTCGATGTACAGTTCCGTCTCATCAAACTTGCGTTGCTATGCCTCGCGCAGCCGATGTAAGTACATGGAAGGGGGTGTCGTCACGACGGCTAATACCAACGAGATTAGCAGGAAAGTGAAACCCGATACACGTGGCCGTCGTGATGGAAATAATCATCCCTGACTCGGTCATTAGGCTCGGATGTACCAGCATACCCGAATCTTCATCGGTATGGAGGGTAATTACTTTGCTCGTGGAAGCCACATGTCGACGGGCTGTTTTTGCTCAGCCTCAACTGTCTGTCGGTGTCGTGCAGATACCAGACGCACATAAACAACCATGCCGAGACAACAGCGCAACAGTAGTAGTAATCCGGCAAGAGCGTGACCCTCAGAGAGGCAAAATGGCAATATAAATCGACCACGCCACTTTTGCCGCCAGCAAGGTCACGCCCTCGCTCACCCGCATACGTGGGCGATTAATATCTGGAGAGGCCGCCATTGTCTGGGGTACGTGGTCTCGCCTCGGGTGGATAGCCCGGGTTGTGGTCCTTGTGTCCTCCCTCGTGCGTGCCATTCCGCCCGCTTGAGCCAGGGCCGGGTTTCCAAGGCACGCCTCAGGGTAGCATAGAAACGACGACAACGACGACGGTCCTCTGGGGCAAGGGCGCAAAGGCGACTGGCTGTCCGAAGAGGGCTAATCCTTCGTGGGACAAGACATGACGCGCGCGTACTTCCAGCACGCACAACGGGTGCCGCACCCCCGCTTACACGCGGGAACTTGAGCTGCCTGTCATACGTACATTGCGGCGCATGTTCCGCCACCGGTTTTTCTCTGGGCATGGGCCCGCCCATCTGCTACTACCTTGATATGGTCCACGTAAACACATATGCGTGACACAGGTGCCGGCCGCGCTGTGCTTGTACTGTACTTGCGGGAGGGGGGGGGCGAACAAAATGTTGTTCTTTGTCATTCCTCAGTCATGCCCTCGCCCTAGGCCTACTTCCTCTGTCCAATATCCCCTGTGGGAGCGTGAGCAGCAAGGCAGGGAAGCCTACTCTTCACTGCGGGTACCTTTCGTCCAATTTTTGCACACCTGCTAGTGGCGGGTTGGCCACACTCTGATTTGATTAAGGACCTCGCCACTTTCCAGGGAAGATTTTAGCCGCTGGCGATGGGGCCACTCATCATCATCATCGATAAATCTACCAAGATGAGAGGGAGAATCAGATAGTGGACGAGAATGAACACGAGGGGGGCTAGAGATACAACCTGACGGCCCAGCCCGTTGCCGGCCGTGCCCGGCCATGTTGAAGTCCCGGGGACGATACACACACACACACGCCCTTTGACCTCGAAGTGAAATTCCCTGACTTGACCCCATGGTTGGGAGACCATTTGGGCACAGGGTCCAGCTGGTCAGTAACAATCAGCAATTGCCCTGGTCGGCATAGTGGCAAAAGTGTCTTACTCAAAGCAACGATGCCAAGCTGGTGGTCCTACCTCACTCACTCCCGCTGCAGGCAGTCAGAGTGTCTATCTCTCCCCTCTACCCTTTCAGAGAAATACTGACGTATTTTTGGGGCAGAGATATCCATGTCTTAGCAGTCCAAAAAAACAAAAACAAAAACAAAAAGCAAAGATGAACAGTCAATTATGAGTCGGTGTTTGTGATACAATACTACTGTTGCCGTCCGACTCTTTCTGGGGAGCAAAGTCGGAGCAGTTGCTATCCCATTGTCCAATAGCACTTCAATGTTTACCGCCTCTCGTCCCTTGCAGTACAGATGTGTACTTTGGTATGCACGCGTGCACACACGCACACACGCGCATGCCCACAGGGGCCGGACGTGCCAGTATTGCATGTAGAACTCGAACCACCAATCATAACGATATATATCCCAGCATACATACATACAAAAGCAAAAGCCGTGGCACATCAAAAAGGATTAAAGCATGATCCAGAGCACCGCCGTCATAGGCTGAGAGAGAGAGAGAGAGAGAGAGAGAGAGAGAGAGAGAGAGAGAGAGAGAGAGAGAGAGAGACAACGAGACAAAGAGCGGGAGTGAACAGGACCAAAGAGCAAGGGGGGGGGGGTTCGGCACAGGGTTGCATCGGCACAACAGCCGAGAGGGTTATATCACTGGCGGCTATTGCGTGTTTCAATACCCCTTTGACACTGGAAGGCGAGCTGTCATTCAATGTATGTATGTATGTGCGTGTGTGCGTGTGTGTGGGAGGAGGAGGGGTATATATGTCACAACCCGAAGGGTGCTATATGATACTTTGGGAGTAAATTCAACAGTGTCTGCTAAGAACACAGAGACAAAAGGCGAAACAAGATAAAGAAAGCAAGAAAAGAAGAAGGGGAAAAAAAGTGTACAAGGGTCGCGCGAAACCATCGGCAGCCCAGGCCGATGACATCCCGGCGAAGAAGAAGTGAATCGGGAGTAACCTGAATGAACACCAGAAAAATGAGAAGAAGAAGAACAAGAGAAAAAGAATATGTACATGTTGTATCGCAGCCAGGAACACCGAAACTCATGTCTCATGTCGTTGAATCAAAACCGCCACCGCTTTTGTTGCCGGCCCCTCTTTCATGAAGCCCTCGGCATGCTACCTGCCCCGGATGCTTCCCAGGCCACCCCTGGACCGATAGTAGTTGAACAATATAGGACGAACTTTTCTTCTTTCTTGGGAAATCACTGCGCAAAAGAAAACGACGACGGATCAACGCCGCCGTCGGTGCTACCACCAACGCCACCGTCGCTGCCGGCCCCGCTGCCCGGCCCGCCGCCTAGGAGGCCACCGTAGTCGACAAACCCGTTGTCGCTCGGCAGGCTGCCGTATTGGGACTGCTGGGTGACCCAGTCGTCCTCCTCATTGGGCATGTCCCAGACCATGCCATCCATGTTCCAGAGGCCATGCTGGTCGAGCATCTTCATCATGTCGCCGAACCCCTCCGGTTCCAGCCCGATGGGGGACATGTGAATCTCGGCACACCCGTCACTGCCGGCGATTGACAGCATGCCGGCTGCGGCCGCTCCCTGTGCGTCTGCAGTGGTGATGAGACTCATCTGCAAGGGTGTGGCAGACGTTGCCACGGCCATGCTGGTCGCTGAGGCGGCGGCGGCGGCAGCGGCGGCGTGATAGCTCGCGCGGCGACGCAGGAGGGTCGGTTCCAGCTGGCGAGAGGCCTCGTACATGCGCCAGACAACCTCGCGGCTGCGGTGGGCCGCCAGCGACCAGTCCTCCATCTGCTCGAGCAGCTCAAGGACCATGTCGATCTGCTTCTGCCACTCCGGCACCCTGGGGCTGTCCCACTGCCAGAAGATGCTGACCAGTGGGATCATGGCAGCCTGATACAGGAACCATACAGCATTCCAGCCGGACATCTGGTTGCGTGCCCACTCCCGGGAGATGTCCTCGATGGTTTGCTTGGCGAGATCACGGCAGGCCTCGATCGCAACAATGTCGTGCTCCGCTGCGTGCGAGGCGCCACTGCTAGCAAGGTTGAGCAGCACGGGACGGTGCAGGAGCATCCGCAGGTTCTGATACCGCCACTTCATCACGCAGCGGGCAATGAAGAGCGGCTCAGCGCAAGGATCACTTGTCCGGAGCAGCCATGGGAGGCCGCTGAACCACTTGACGAGTTCCCCGTCGAGATTGCAGCGATCCTCCGCTCGCAGCAAGGGGGAGATGGCCAGCAAGTCCTGAACCTGGGTGGCAATCTTGCAGAACTTGATGTTCTCAATCAAAGGCAAGATGCCAGCATGCTGGGCAGAGTCACGGCCAGAAGCCACACCAGCCTCTGGTGGCCTGATGTTGATGGCAGGTCCCCAGCGGCCAAATGATGGTCGACTCAGTGTTGTGGTCGCCCAGGTGTCGAGACAGAACAAACTCCACCAAGTGCGCCTGCGTGTCTCTGCGGCCGTGATGTCACTATTGTTTCCGGTCGGTGCATATGCCAGGCTCTCGCGGTGCAAACCCAATGCACTGGCCATACGGATGGCCGCTCCCAGCACAGCATTGGCCATGTTGGGCCGGTTGATGTAGTGAAGGTAGTAGCCTCCGATGAGCGCCAGCGCCTGGACCGTCTCGATATGACTGCTACCAAGGGACTCGATCGGAAGGTACTCCATGGCACGAGTGTAGTAGTTGAGGTGGCCGTAGTCGTCCGACTTCATTGCTACGATGCTTCCCATGGCAAAGACTGCGTTGAGTAGTGCCAGCCAGGGAATGTCGAAGCGCTGTCCTTCAAGGTAGTCGGCACGGAAAGAGGCCTCATCGAGCATGGGAATGAAGATGTGTATCCGCTTGAAGTATGCATCGATCAAAGTCTGCCCCTTCCACGACCATGGCACCCGTTGTGGCTCCTGTTGAGTGCTGCTCTTCTGCTTCATCACTGGCAAGTTCTGGACAATCTCCACACTGCTGAATGGCGGCGTCGTCATGGTGTTTCTCAGGCCAGGCTGAACCTTGAGCATGACCATGAGGGCTGCCTTGATGGAGGAAGCTCCCAGGTAAGACGCTTGTCGGTCCGGCGGAAATGATAGAGCATTTACGTCGTCAGCGACATCCGCAATGGCGTCTCTGGGGTGATGGTCGTCATCCCAGTCCATGTCTTGGCAGGACATTTGTTCCAGTCCGGAAAGACCGGTTTCTGATGGCGAGCTCATGTCGATGGGTACCGGCGACGGGTTCAGTGGCGGCGACGGAAGTCCGTTTGCGCCTGCCTCGGGGCTCTTGCCGAGAAGCTCCAGAAGCTGGTGCCGGGGAAGCGGAAGAAGGGCTTGGACATCGTGGCTGGGGAATAACCGCTTGAGAATGGACCGGCACTCTTCGAGCGATTGCGACAGAGCCTCCAGAGTTCTGAAAAAGTTAGACATTTGTGCGTGCAGATTCTCGCCGAAGTCACGTACTTTCTGGATGGGATGACTCTCTGGCGGTGTTTGTCATAAAAGCAGCGCTTGGGAGCGCGGCTGGACAGGCATTGGCTGCATGGTTGTTGGCCGTCGCAACGACTTTGATCGTGTTAGTCGTTGACGCAGCACTGAAGCTTCCGGGTAATACGAGACTTACATCTTGCGCCGCTTGCACTCGGCACACGCATGTGGGGTTGTGATTCTCTTGGAGATTCCGGCATTGCTCGACCTGGAGCCCTCTGTCGAGTCTGCCGACTGCTTGCGAGGCGTCACTCCTTGAACTGCACAAGGTCAGTCGTGCACCGGCGACAGCACGGGTATGCTGCACATCTTCACTTACAGGTATGGAACATGCCTCCCTGGGCAGGAATGGTGATCGACGGAGCCATGATGTGAAGGATTCTGTATCATAGACAGGCGTATATGCCGTGGAGCAGTGTCGAGAAGCACGACCCGAGGATGCAAGACGATAAGCGAGGTGATGCGTTGCCGAACCACGACTTCGGTATCTGTCTGCTGTGCTCCCGATGACCGACACTTATACGAAGCCGCTGCATCGGAGTGGCGAAGTGAAGACTATATACATGATGCCAAAGAGTGGTCCCCTGCCATGTCCCTGTCCAGGTCACGACGAGGGAGTGCTCGTGGAGCCTGAGGAGGTGTGTGCCCAAGCCTGTAGCAGACCCCATCGGGGGGCCGTGGTGTTAGTGAAGATGAGCCACGCCGTCGACCTTTGAGATGGCCCTGGCCACCCATGCCCTTCGAATGGAACCAAGGCAGGTCAATGCCGGCCATGCATGTAGGTACTTTGGTCGATTCCACCCTGAAGTGCGGAGGGCGCCCAGGCGGAGTACCGGCTGTTCGTCAAGTCGAAGAGGTGGTGACTAGGGTCTGAATTTGTCTCGAGGACACCGTCATTTCGAGGGGCACTCCTCCTCCACCCACCCACCCACTCACTCACTCACCCGAGCAGGATGGGTTGGGTGGACGGGAGGGTCTGTGTATATACCTTGCCAGGGTTCACGGACGTCAGAACCTGGCGGTAAATGTTTTGAGCTTAAGATGAATGATTTAGCGCCAGTCAGGATATACATTGCACGCTTACGGTGGGTTGAAACTGTTCAACAACCCCGAGACACCACGAGCAAAAGTGAGAAGCCCGGCATGACAGCGTCGTCCGGCACTTGTCACGACCGTGTCGACAAGAGCGAGAGTGCTTTGCCTGCTGCAGGGTTAAAAAAACCAGCCTCTGGGAGGGGTGAGTGACGGCTTGAGATCGCTGGCAGACAGGGCAAGACGGATTCTGCTGTCGAACTGGGTAGGCTGCATGGGGAGGAAACGAATCAACGCACGGCTGGATCTGGCGATGTGCCGCTGGTAGTGTCGATCAGGAATAGCTTTGAGCGTTTGGGCCGGAGCAGGGGGCCGGCCATGGTGCTAGGGAAAAACGGGAGGCAGTTGCGAAAGCCACCAACGAAGAACAAGATTCGCGGATGGGGTGCAGCGGCAGGGACCAGCCCCCCTGGCTGTGGGCCAGTACCTTGCCGGCTCTTTGCAAGCCGCCAGGAACACCTCGGCCGTTCACTCTGTGTGAAGCCGCACTTACGCAGTACGCAGTTTGTGCCCAGAGCCAAGCCTGCCAGCATCGGGCACGAGCTGTCTGCTTGAGTAATGTGCCGTCGCACCCCCGGCCGGCGCCTCGTACATCGGCTCGCCCCGGAACGGTTCGTCAGAAGGACTCTGGAACATTTTAATATGGGCGTCCTGCCTACCAGAAGTCCTGTGGGCGGCGCCCAGACGAGATTTGAGACTTTGACGCGCATCCTGGGCCAAATCCTGTGTGTAGCATCAGTCGGTCAGATTGTCCCCTGGATGATACTGCTGCCACGCTTTTGCTTTGTGCGAGGCAACATCGAGCAGGCCATGTGATGTGTCTCCAATTGTGTTCTCGAACACCCTTTCAGACAACAAGCCTGCATGCTCCAGAGCCGCTGCTCTCTTCTGGCCTAGCGACTGTCGGGCACAAGAAGCGATTGGCTACAGTTTCTTGAGACAGGGGTCCACTCCGCGGTGTCAGGTCGCGGTGCTCTCAATGCTAAATTCTGCCGGCCTGGCCGCCATTGTTGAAGAGAAGCACTGACAGGGTGTTCCGTCAGCCACCACCAGCGACAGACACATGGACAGGCCGGCAGGTACGCCCGGATCGGTCCATGGTCCAGGGCACAAGCGGATTAGCGCCGGCTCCACTCCAGAGCAGCCACGAAATCAGACGACGATGCCCCTCAAGTTGAGTGGCCGCCCCGGCAGTTATCCGTTGTTCTGGGCCGCCAGATTCGTCGAGCAGGGAACATCCCTGCCATGGCCAAAACAACAGCCGCGTCACAGAAGGTCAAGCTTCTTCGTAGGCGGGGTTCAAATGGGCGCCCGACAGTGCTTCTCGTGCCACCGAGGTGAGCCCATGGTTGTTCGAGCCGGCTCGGCCGTCCGTGGTGTCAATGCACCGGCTGCGACAAGGCCACACTACAGCGTCAAGTGCTCCAAAAAGATTGCCTGCCCACCTATAACCAGCGATGATTATGGCCGCGTTCGAGTTGACGTCCAACAAGGTCCCTCCCCAGGTGACCAGTCTCTTGGACCGTGTTGCCGGAGCGCAGTGTCAAAAAGAACGGAAACGCAGCAGCCTCAGCTGAGTTCTTGAGTCAGGAAAAGGAATACACGCTATGCGTGCAGCCTTGGGTGTTCGCCCGGTCAGAAATAGGGCCTCCTTCAGGGCGGCAGTGGTTTGTGCTGGACGGGGCACCCGACCGACTGCCGGATTCCACTTGACACACGCAGCGAGCAAACTTGGAGCCTTTCGAGGTTTGTCCTCAAGTAGCTGGCTGCCCTTGCATAGATCGCGGCTGGACAAGAGTGTGGTCCAGGGACCAGGTCTCCCGTCAAGCAACAGAGTACCAACTGGGAAACCTGAGTCGGGAGAGCATGCCGTCTAGCCATCTGCATGGCCCGCATCTGCCTGAAATGTACTTCATGGTCGCTTTGTCGGGCCCATCGTTGCTCAATGGGTATGCTGCTCAGGCACACTCTTTCTCAATGTCGCTGGTCACCAAGTCCACGTTTTGGGCGCTGTGCTTGCATATGTGCCATCATCCTGTCACACGAAAACCTGGAGTGCATGCGCGTGGCCACCTGACATGCGCCATGCGTCAATCCTGCCACGGCCGGCAATCCAGTCGCCTCTGCAAGTGCTGAAGAGGAGGCATCACGCATCGTCAGCGGCTGAAAGACCGCGGATTCCCATAACTCCGATAATACGGGTTTACTAGAGATCGGGCTGAGAGTGGCAGCGCACGAAGCAGGATGCTCTTGCAAATAGCCCCAGCACAGTGCTTGGCCGATGGAATGGCGATGGGATGTCGATTTGTGCCAGTGCAAAGGCAACCCCCTTTTTCCCCCGCATACGTGCGTTGAGTCATGCTGGTCCAGGCATCTTGTGACGGCCGCGAAGCATTGTGGAGCATGATTAAGGTTGAACGTCGTATGTGCTAGGAGGTTCGGGCCGCTCAAGATCTGGAGACTTGCCCCAGACTATATTCTTTGCGATTCAGGTCCGGCTAGGCCGATGTAGGAAGAGGGCCTCCGGAAACTGGTGAGGATGTGACATATGTCGCCATGGAGGACGACCAAAGTGCCGGCAGCCTTGTCCGCACAGGGTCCACAAAAGGTGTGTGATGATCGCGAGTTGCTTGACGCTCCTGACTGGAGTCTTTCTTTTACCTCCTTGCACCTATGACCTGCTGCATATAGGCAAAAGGACTAGTGGGCATGATTGGTTCGCTTAAACACGATTTTCTGGGGTATCATGGTATGGGGTATGGGGCTACCGCCGGGGTTGTCGACGTGTCTGCGTGACCGATTAACGTCCTCCAGTACAGTATTTGCGAGGAGCCGGACCGAGAGGATCGAGCAGTACAACACACCGCCTGGGGGATGAGAAGCAGGCGGATCTTTTTCTGATTCTCATCCAGACTAAGCAAAGTCCTTGTTGAGATTGTCTTGTGGGACGTTGTGCTCTGTCATCAAGGTCTGCCTGGCGGCAGTTGCACGCTCGTGAACGAATACGCCCATGTGGCTGTAAGCAGCACTTGGAACTGCAGGCCGCAGCTACGATTTCGGATCGTGCGGAGTCCCCACGGGGAATCTGCAATGTAAGACATCGTGAGAAAAGCCCGGCGCCGTGCTGGAGGTGAGCAGAGACTGTGCTTGTTGCGCCTGTAGGTGCTCGTCCGCGGCTCAAGGACCTGGCGGCTCGAGCTGCCCGCAGATACAAAACCCCGCGGGCGAACCCACTGTAATATCCTCGTTCCTAGTGGCACGCAGCGCCATTGGCCAGTCATGCCTGGGTAAGTCTCCAATAGAGGTGTCATCATATCGAAATTCCGGTGCAAGCAGGTCTCTGTGCTGGGCCGCGTGATCGTCTGGCAAGAAGCGAGGCCGGACAGGTTGGTGAGAAGCAGCAATGACGATGCAGCTGAAGTGCTTTGGACGAGTGGAATGGCTCCGTGCTGACTTGAGCTGGCAGCATCAAGGCAGAGTCGTGTCGTCTCCACAGGGACCAGGCAAATGCGAAGAACTTTGCCTCGGAAGGATCCAGAGCAGCGTCGTGAGGCACGGGTACCAGACTCGCCAGCCAAGCTGGACTGGACCAGGAGGACAGAGGGGCCGGCCCTTGGGCCACGGCATGGGCTCTGCCCCTGCCCAGGTGGTGATTGCCGGACCCAGAGGCTGCTCAGTGGGAAGAACTTTGGAAGTACAGGTTGCAACAGAGCGACCGCAGGTGCCGAAAAGGGCAGCTGTCACTGCCCAGTTGCGTCCAGGACCCCTGCCTGCGCCTTCCGAAAGAGGTTTCAGTGCCACCTTGGGCCGCCCCTCAGAGCGTGCGTGCAAGTGCGTGCCAGCCCCCAAAACCCAGCAGTGTAGCTAGCCCCTACCTACTAGGTACGCCGCCGCCGGCGCATGATAACTATCTGCGTGAGCCCCATGGCGCCGAGACGGCATTGTTGCCCTCGTTGCGGTCTGCAGCAGTGGCCATGCAGTCATGACAGCCGCCGTCTGCAGCACTTGCACCTCAAGCAAGAGTTCTGCATCCAGATTTGGTCATGCTGTGGCGCCTGCGTCATGGCACCCCTTACCCATTGCTTGCCAGGCCCGGGTGAAAGGGCGGTGCTTCTTACATACTACCACATACATGCACATACATACATACGCTACACGTCAGACACTCGAAGCCCATGGCTCTGGCATGGTCTGGTCCCGGCCTCCTGCTTGCTTGGCCGCTCCCTGCCCCGATCTGCACCCGCCTTCTCTTGCTTCTGACGATGCAAGACAAATTTACCCACCAAGCATGGCGCGAGCCTCGGGTAGGAAGGATGGCTACCTGGCCACTCGGGCTGATTGTCATGACCACCCCCCAGGCGGGCAGAATGGTGGTCACGATGATAATCATCGTGTCACGGGTCCCGCGCCAGGGCATTCTTCAGTCTCGGCATCTGGAAGAAGTCTGCTCTGCTTGATTTTCGCACTAGAAGGCAAGTCGAGCACACACGGGGGACACCCTCTGCCGGTCCCACCCCCCTCCCCTTAGCTGGCGATCTTTAACCACATGGTGGGATGAACTGGTGGTGGCTTGTAAGTGGTGGGCATGGCGTCGGCGGCAGCAGCCGGATCCTGTGAGCGTCTATCCGTCTTCTCCAAGTCAGGCACCGCAGCAGCGCCATGCCAGCTGTGGTCGAGCCAGCCCGTGAGGGGCGGTGGAACCTGGAGCGCAGGCTGCTGGTTCCAAGACGCCCACTGCCGGATGATGAAGCCACTTGGAGATCATAATAGGCCGTTGTATTACAGTACAAAGTCCAGACCGAGCCATGCTTGACATCCTTGCCTCACTAGCCCCGTCGCGAGGCGAGCGAGCACGGTGTGGCAGAGGCAGTGACGAGTCTCCTCCCGTCGACATTCCCCAGACCCCGCGTTTTGGATCGTGGTAACCTTGCGGCGCCGCTGCTGATGCGGTGATAGGCGAAAGTCACGAAGGATGGCCGTCAAGGAAGGATATTGCAGAGGCTGGAGCTTCGCCACCTTGGTAGGTGAGGTCCACTTGGTTGCAGGTCTGCCATACAGCTTGTCGCTTGCTTCAAGAATTCATCTATTTTCCCTTCGTCTCCGCAGTGGCAATACTCCCGGCCGCCTAGAGAGAGATCTATGGACATGTCGCCTCCACCACTGTCTACAGGTCCGTAAAAAGTTCGAGCTGCATGGAGTCACACAGCGAGGTCGCTTTCAGGGCCTTCATTCCGGCGCGGAGACCCACTCCACGGCGCACATTGGCAGACGAGAGGCTCAACTGATGGTGAGGTGGTATCGTGGCAGTCGCCAAGACCTTCAGGTACTGAATTTAACGGTTCATGACTAGCCTGCTTCGGGCGTGGTTTGTGTGGAGGGTGTTTGGGCGGCAGGAGGCAGCCGGAACGACGTTCCAGAGTCAACCGCCCGGAAAGACCGATCCCTGCTCAAGGCCCTCCCGCCCTTACAGGTGAAGGACTTGGCAACGGCTGCTTATTCCGTCGAATATGCATGTGTTGTCGATGGGGATGTACTGCTTCGTAATGATCTTGATGGTCTCTTGCGCGACCATGCCCCCTGTGAAGGCGGAGATGTTGTGGAGCTCGCCACCTTGTGCCCGAGCAACTTCTTGAGCACTCTGCAGCATACGTTCATTTTGAGTGACGGCAGGGGCCAGCTTGTGGGTTGCCTCCATAATGTCGTCCGCCGTCGCCTGCGGATTGTGAGCTGTCGCCAATAGAGCAAGGTAAATGAAGAGGTTGGACTTTGGCATGCTGAAGGCACCCCCTGTAGCTTCAAACATCGCTTCAGCTTCTGCATCTTTGGCTATCTCAGCCTCTGTACATAAATGCGTTAGTGGAACCGTGGAAGTTATGCGAGAATGGCTTTCATGTGAACAAAAGACTTGCCTATCAAAGAGTCGAGCCCTTTGTTGTTTGCGGTAGCATTGATTAGTCGAACAAAACGTGCGTTCTTGCAGAACAGTTCGACGTCGGCAAATTCCGCTCTCTCTCCACCAGGCATGGACTTCACAGCCTCAAAGACTTCTCGGGCATCCTTTTGTGCCTTGTTCTTGTAGATGCGTTGCAGCTTCACGTACACATCAGACTCGGCCTTCATGTCTGGTATCGCACCGGGAACGGGAAGGCATCCATTCTTTTCGTAGAATCGCTTTACCGCAGCGACCACCAACCAGAATGTGGAGCGGTTCTCATACTGTTTAAATGTCAGCCGAGCTCTGCAAGCGTACCATGTTGTTCGCCATACCTCGTTCGTGAGCTGGTGATCAAATATCTCTTTCACGCCATCCTCGAGTCGTGGGGCAACAACGTTCTTGTTTATGGCGGCTTCAGCTTCCTGGAAATTCTCCTCTCCACCTTCGGGGTTATCCGAACGCATATGTGACAAGACAAAGGCGCGGAACTCCTTTTTGTCCTTGGTCGAGGTTGGGTCTTCGCCATTGTGTGAACTTCTCCACTTCTTGAGAAAATGCAGCAGAAGGACAAGATAAGGGATATGGCCATGCTTGTGGTTATCGAGGCTGTCGATATCTTTAGTCATTTCCTCGGCGAACTGTGAAAGTTCAGGCCATGGACTGAGAAGCCGCAGATCAGTTGTTTTCTCCACCTCGGGATGTGTGTCAACCACTGGGAAGGTTCCGGGGAGGTTGATGCGGAAGTAGGAATAGAACCCTGCAGAGTGTATCGCGAAGAGAGGCGTCTTGTGCTCCTTGCCATACTCTTCAATAATACCGAGATTCTCGCGGGATATTGGATATGTGTAGAGGATCACCGTGAATGTAGGCGACGTTTGAAGAACTTTTCTCAGATCCAGCGGGGCCTAGCACACAGTATCAGTAGAAAATACATCAGAACCGAGGTAATTAAGTGAGGCTCACTCCATTCTTGGGAAAGTAGTCGCTTTGCACTTCCGGATTCAGTTCCTGCAAGAGTTTGGCCGAGCTCTCTGAGCGAAGCTTGCCAAGACAGCTCTCGTCAAGGAAGAAGTTGACTCCAAGGTCAGCTTCGTTCACAACGGCGTCATCAGCGATGGTGAATTTGCCAATACCTGGAAGTGATTATTAGCCTAGTACATGATCAGGAGGATGCATGATGCACTCACCAGGCAGCACGAGGTTCTTGAGCGCCTCAATGCCCACGGTTCCGGCACCAGAGTTCACAAGAAGGATGTGAGCAGACTCGAGCGCGGCCTGACCGCTCGCTGCCCAGAGCCGAAGCTGTCTGTCATATTTCTTCTCCTTTTCTGACGGGCCGTGCAGGATGGGTGGCGTCTGGCTCATCACGACTTCCGTCATCTTGGCCAGTGGAGAGCAGAGCTACTTCGCTGTGTGTCTGGACGGGCTTGTAACTGGCTCCACGCTCGACCACTTCAAGGACTCGCTCAAGACATATGGTAGCTGAAGCAGGAATTAATGAAGAAATGGCGGGAATCGATGATACAAGCTTGGTGTAGGTCTGGACCGCCGCGCCAATATCGAGCCGCAATGTCGGTAGTGGGGGAGTGCTCAGATCAAGGGTTCACATAAGCAAGTGCAGCCGTGACGTCCAACTCCACGCCCGAACTGGCCCCACTTGAGCTCTTGTGCAGGGATCCTGCCAGGCAGCCAGCGCCGCCACACTGCCGTGCACTGTGGTCTGTGGCTGTTCAACTGTGGCGGTGACTTAGACCATCGCTGAAAGCGCCTCAGACTCAAGAGAGATTGTTTCCAATACTTGTTGTTTTCTTGGTTTTTTCAATAGATCACTTGGTAGGGGGAGCGATTTGAATGTATCTTTCGCACGTATGATTCATCGATGATTGTGCAGCTCATCGCATCATGAATCTGACATTGGGTCTGTGTCTGTGGGCAAGTAAGACAGTCACATCAGGATCGATCACCCCCAGCGTCAACGCACGGCATTCAGGCATGCCGATCTTGTTAAATGTTGTGTGGATAAGCGAGACTGTAGAGTAGCGTGGAGTAAGCCATATCCATAAGAGTCGCACCTCTAGATGGGTCCAAACTGCGTCAACGCCTGAGTGGAATGCTTTTGCTGGAGATGAAGCTTCCACCACAATATGAGGGACATATCTAAGAAAACTCGCAGAACACTACCAAGACTTTTTGAAGATGACCGTGTGTCATGTTGACCGGCTCGTGCAGAAATAAGAGAAAACAAAATTCGTCCAAAAGGGTCAGCTCACTGGCCTCGTGCCTGCAACCGCATAACGGCCAACAACCAACCGAGCTGACTGCCACAGGCTCCACTCGGACGCTGAATGCGAATGCGAGATCAACTATTCACAACAGCAAGCGGCACTGGAACGCCCCGCGAAAGTCAAGTCGGGGCAGACGCCCAAGATGGAAGTCATACTTGGACAGGAGCATTGCCCGCCCGTCTGATTCACTCTCGTGTGCCAAACTTCTGCCGGTCGGTCCAACGCATGGTTCCGTTGCGCGGATGCGGCTCAAAAGTCTTGCCGAAAAGCAAGACAGGGCCTGGGGACAACAAACGACTGGTCCAGCGATTAAGGAGAATATGGTGCATGTGACCGTACCGATAGCCTTGCAGGTGCCAAAATTTCAATCTGAACATTGGTCACACTTCCATGTATTGGAACACTCTCCGCAAGTAACAAGAACGCGAAATTCCTCGAACTTAGTTCAGGATGAATAGCGACAACTAACTTACACCCAACATCGCGAGGTTCTGAAAGAAAATCCTGCAAATACCACAAGGGCGTGGTTTTCACAACGCGGATATCACCTTGATCCAGTCCGGGACGACATGGCCGAGGGCACTCCCAACACCAAGGTTCAGGAAAAGACGGCGCTGACAGAAGCTATGCCTACGTCAAGAGAGACCAACGTCAGTGGTCTTTACGTTGATGGGATTTCGACAGCGCGAATATCATTTCTATACGCTGGGTACGTAAACGTGGCAGTCAGGACTGGCTACGGGATCCCAACGCTGACTCGATCTACGTGGTAGAATCTCCGTCGGTCTTTTTCTAGCATTCCTCGACAGCACTATAGTCGCAACGAGCCTGTTTCGAATTGGCGCCGAGTTCAAGAGCCTTCAAAACCTCAACTGGTTGGCGTTGGCTTACACACTCTCTTATCTGGGATTAGCCGTGTTATCCGCACAAATCTCCGATGTCGTGGGCAGGCGCAACGCCTTTCTCGCATTCTACGTCTTCTTTGTTGGGTTCTCCATCGCTTGCGGCTTCGCAAGCACGCTGCCACAGCTTATCGCCTTCAGAGCTCTCCAAGGCCTCGGCGGTTCTGGGCTGTACTCTGTCGGCATGATCTGTGCTATGGAGCTGGCGCCCAGGACGCGCCAGCACCTCATTTCGGCATTGATCGGACTGATCGTGACCATCTCCAGTGTTGCCGGTCCGGTTCTGGGTGGGGTTTTGACAGAATTTGCCAGCTGGAGATGGGTATTTTGGATCAAGTGAGTTTGGCTTAAACGAATGACAGCTGTTATATTCCAGGTCATAATAACTGACACTCATGCCTCAGTGGCCCAGTCGGAGGCCTGTCCATGACCCTTACCTTTCTCGCTTGGCCTCCCAGCTCGAAGCAAGTCAGCCACCGCCGCAGAAGCTGGGGTGAACTCGATTATGTCGGTTCTTCACTTCTCATTAGCGCGGTGGTTCTGGTTGTGTTCTCATTTCAGAACGCGGCAGCACAGCCTGACCAGTGGAACACTGCCGTGTTTCTCGCACCTTTATTGCTTGGCTTGTCCTGTGCCGCAATATTGGTAGGCTGGAGTATTTTCGTCGAGAGGCGCTGGAAAGATCGCATGATCCCCGCTCTGCCTCTTAGAGTCCTGCGAAACCTTGTGTACACCTCAGCACTCTTGAACACAGTTTTACTTGGGTTTGTGTACATAATGATAGTCTTTGTGTTTCCTTTGAGGTCCCAGATTGTCAATGGGAAGGACGCCATGATCGCAGGACTCCTGCTGCTGCCGATGCTCATCGCGAATGCAGTAGGTATCGTGGCGTCCACGGCACTTCACCAGCACGGGAAACATACGATGATGCCATTGATGGTGGCTGCAGGTCTGACGATGCTGGGAAGTGGCTTACTTACGACCCTGTCGGCGGTGGTCGAGCTTGAGGCGAAAGCCCTCGGCTTTCTCGTTTTTGTTGGACTAGGATATGGTATCAGCGTTTCGACGACTACCGTCACCGCGGCCTTGGAACCAGAACCAAAGGATCATGGTAAGCTGCCCTCCTACAAGATTGCATGGATAGTTGAGCAGGTCATACTGATCATCATGAAGCTTCTGCACAAGGACTGATCGCCCAGATGCGAATTTTGGGTGGAAGTCTTGGTATAGCAGCCTCGTCTGCAATTCTAGGCACGAGACTTGGTCCGGAGCTGGCCCATGTATCGCCCGATCAGCTTGTGTCTGCAACGATCACAGAGGATGCTCTCGAGCAAGTGAGAAGGTCTACTGCTGATGCCTATGCTCTGGACATGCAAGTTTGCACCATTGTAGCAGCGGCGGCAGCCGTAAGTGCGTTGGCATCCTGGAAGAAACTGCCAAAGGTTGGCCGCGATGAGGCCCCCGTACGGGACGGGTGAAGATGAAGGCATGATGATGTCGGCTTGCACGCCAAATAATAGCTGTTCTATGCTTCAAAAGATCATGCGGTTCAGGTTCAGGTTGGCAAGCACGGTGCCGAAGCCTTATATAGACTAAGGTAGCAAGCAAGAGCGTGGGAGTACAGAGGGAGGGAGTCGGTGCCATCGGACTGCCGTATTGCGTTGCCTGGGTATTTGCAAGCCTATAGCAAATACAAAAATGCCATTGACAAGTTTGTACTTGACGGGCTTGGTAAAGAGAGAATCGCGAGATCCTGGCCGGAGCAAGGAAAGCCTGCGGCCACCGAGTGGTCCGACGAGGAAGTCCACAGGTCTCAGCTTGAGGGCGGCGCTGCAGATTTCTGCGTCATGTCGTAGACCACCATAGTCGGTGGATTTGGGTGCGTATTGCTAATGAGAGACGAGAACCCCGGCAGCTTTGCTTTTGGTCTCGTGCTCGTACGAGCCGCCCAAGCGCGCCGACATCAACGTGCTCAAAGTACGAGATGGTGTCCATAGTTCACCTCGTGTCAGTGGTGGGTGCATGCTTGCGCCAGACATTTAAGGTTTCTGTTCCCTGCAGAGACGAGGTGGATGGATGGAAGGAAGGAAGCGTCAATTGGAAGGGTCCGGGCGTGCCCCACCCAATCTCAGATCATCAAATCACGGCGGCCAACCCCTGGGCCCCAGTGTCTGGTACCCAAGGCTTGGCCGGGCCAATCCGCGTCGCCTCTGCGCTGACAGGACACTCTGCAACTGCACCCTAAAGTTGTCGCTGCTGGGATCCGGGCCAGACCTCCCTGCTGAGCGCCTCGACTTCCTGCTGCTGCCACACACGCTCTTGCGACGACATTGCTCACGATGGCACGCAGATAGTGCCATCGACACACCCCACAACGCATCCGAGGGGACTCCTCGACCCTATTCTTCAATCCACCCCCACCGACGCTCCCACGCACGCCCAAGCTGCGCCGGTCTCTCGTCGCCCTGACCCGCGAGCGCCTGCCCCGTGGCCGCCGCCCACCCCCATCGCCGAACCCCTTTCGACAGCATCTCGTGCCACGCAGCCTACGAGCACGTAGCCGCGCAAGATGCTTCCCTCCTACAAATCCTCGTCGCCCGACGCCAAGATGATGGCCAGGAACCAGGGTGCCTACGCCAATGGCTACCCTCGTAGCAAGGATACTTTTGACATGTCACCACACAGGTCCGTTGAAGTCTACATGCATCGCCCTGCACCTGGCGCGTAGGAGGAACAACGGAACTGACTAATGAGCAATCTCACCCACAGATTCCAACCTCGAGGGTCGACTCCAGCCTCGCGACGGAGGAAGAACTTAATATTCCGACTTGGCGTAATAGCGACAGTTACCTTTCTTTTCAGCCTCTTAGTATGGCCAGGAGCCTCCCAGATTTCGACAATATTCTCCTTCGGGCTCTTGTCCTCCGCTAGCAGCAGCGAATACTTTATGGATACCGTACGATATTACGACTTGTCCGATGTGGTCGGCACCGCGCGTGGCTGGGAGCGGGAGGAACGGATTCTCCTGTGCGTACCGCTCAGAGATGCGGAGCAGCACATGAACATGATGTTCTCCCACTTTCGCAACTTCACATATCCCCATCGGCTGATTGACCTTGCCTTCCTCGTATCGGATTCCAAGGACCGGACGCTTGACGTGCTCGTGGAACGGCTGGAACAGCTTCAGGCCGACGAGGACCCTGACCAACCTTACGGCGAGATCTCGATCATCGAGAAGGACTTTGGACAGCAGGTCAACCAAGACGTCGAAAGTCGCCACGGATTCGCCGCGCAGGCCAGCAGGAGAAAACTCATGGCCCAAGCCCGCAACTGGCTTCTCAGTGCTGCGTTGCGCCCTTACCACTCATGGGTGTACTGGCGCGACGTAGATGTCGAGACGGCCCCTTTTACCATTCTGGAGGATCTGATGCGTCATAACAAGGACGTCATCGTTCCCAGTGAGTTGGGCCCCGTGGGTCCCACATGAAGTCTTTCGTATTAACTGTTTTGCTTGCAGATGTCTGGCGTCCACTACCTGATTGGCTCGGTGGCGAACAACCGTATGACCTCAACTCTTGGCAGGAGTCAGAAACTGCTCTTGCCCTTGCCGATACGCTCGATGAAGATGCCGTTATTGTGGAGGGTTACGCTGAATATGCGACTTGGCGTCCACACTTGGCATACCTTCGCGACCCCTACGGCGATCCAGACATGGAGATGGACCTGGATGGCGTTGGAGGCGTCAGTATTCTCGCTAAAGCTAGAGTTTTCAGATCTGGTGTCCATTTCCCGGCTTTCAGTTTTCAGAAGCACGCGGAGACGGAAGGATTCGGCAAGGTAGGTGGATCGTATCCGGGTACAGTTGCTGTCGTGCTGTCGCTGTGCTGACCGCTTCGAATAGATGGCGAAACGTATGCAATTCTCTGTTGTCGGTCTTCCCCACTATACAATTTGGCATTTATACGAGCCAAGTGTCGAGGATATTAAGCACATGGAAGTAAGTCCTAATCCTCTCTATTAGAAGATTGGGCATGGCTGACATGAGCAAATAGGAAATGGAAAAAGAGCGGATTGCCAAGGAGGCAGCCGAGAAAGACAGGGAGGAGCGAGCCAAATACATCAAAGAGCAATTTAGTGATGCCGGTTCTCAGTGGGAGAAGGACAAGGCGGAAATCCAGAATCTCGCCAAGGAGGCCAAGGACGAGGCCAAGGCTGACGACCCTGCTGCTAAAGGGGCAGCAAATGGTGCCTCTAGCCAACAAGGCAGCAAGGGGAGCTCCAAAGCGGCACAGAAGGACGCGGCTAAGGGACCGGAGTCCTGATGAGATCGCTCCGGCTCCAAGCAAAAGTTTCAATCATCCTGGCCTCCTCCAACCAGATGCCCACATCGCCGATGTGGTGTATGACAGATACGAATACCCGAACGCTGTTCTATGGAGGAGCAGTGTTCCCTTGTGTGGCCTGGTCTGGAAGCTGGTACATAGAGCTGGGCTTCGTCCGCACTTCCCAATGCCTTCTTGGCAGTGCGGACAAGGCCATCATCGATAGAATTGTGTTATGGGGGCAAGGCGCATTATGTCCACGGTACGGTGTTGTGGCAAAAAGGGCAGACAATTGGAGATCGTCCGGACGACATCGACCTGTTATTAACGAAAATCAAGCATCAAGTAGTCGTAAGGAGGAGTAGTGTGCACTGGTTGGCACCGCTCATGTTCCTATATGCCTACTGCCGAAGCGTTAATTTGAGTTATAGAAATATTGGAAAGCGAAAACGCGACCCAATCAGTTAACTTCAGCCTTGATATGTGTACTCAGCGGTCTCATCGTCCACGTGCGCCGAAGAATTCAGCTACCATACAATTGTCAGTAGGATAGCGAGCTAGGCCGCCTATGATGCTCTGAAGTAAACGTGTTGTGAAATTGGGGATCTTGGGGGCCAGGGCGCTGGGCCCGCCAAGGCGCAACGCCCAGTCTTGGATGGCCTAAGGCGCGGCGGCCGTGTGTGCCTGCACCCCGGCCTCCACCAGCACATGGGGGTCCTGGAGACCACATCTTGACGTCTTGAAGACAACTCACCCACAAAGCTCCAGGATCGAGTTGACACGAACAACAAATGTGGCCCGAGCGGACGACGGAGTAGAGGACACGATAACATCTCTTCCAACATCGTCTAGGAAGCACTGCATACAGCCCTGTTCGCATCCGCAGCAAGCCGCGAAGCTTCAACATTTCCCCCCCTGGCTGGAGTCGAAGCTGCATCGACCTCGCACTAGCCCGCAAGCCCGCAAAATCACGAGCATCGTTTGCGTCAGACTTCCGCTACGGCGAGGATGAGCGGAGATGGGCAGTACAACGACACAACGGCAGGTGTAGGCACAGCAACAATGCCGCCTGCCGACCCGACCACCGCCCCGACAACCACGATCGGTGCGCCCGAAATGACGGCCGACACTCACTACCGAAGCCGCCCCGTCGCTGTCGCGGTCGACCCCGTGGCCCTAGTTATATCAGAATGCATCACGGTCACCTCCGTCATGCGCAAGCATGCGCGTTGGGCCCATTCATCCGTCTCGTCGATCCTCGGCGGAAACCCGAACCCGATCCAACTCGGGCCCCCGAGCCCCCTTATTAGACCTGGGAGCAGGGGCTCGAATGGCGGCTTTGGTGTGGACGGCTCCCTTGACGTTGGCGTGGCCAACAGATGGGGTCTCCGGGGGCAGAAGGGCAAGAGCATGGCGGACAACCCACTGATGGCTGGGTTCGGACGCCTGCGACACGACCTCCAAGGATGCAAAGGTAAGGAGAAGCTCTACACCATGTGGTTTGTGCCGTTGGTAGAAAGTCACAGCTGACTCACGCTCCGACCCTGACAGATATCCACGAGTTCGATGCGCCGGCGCTACTTAGTCCCTTCCTACAGGTCATCCAGGCCTCCTCAACCTCGGCGCCGATCACGATTCTCGCACTCAAGGCGATTCGGAAATTCCTGTCTTATGGCTTCATTAGTCCCGAGTCCCCCCGCTTCCCGTTAGCGATGCAGTCCCTGTCGACCGCCATTACACATTGTAGATTTGAGGCGAGCGACTCTGCTCAGGATGAGGTTGTGCTGCTCATGATCCTTCACCTGATGGAGGACATGCTGTCTGGCCCCGGAGGCGCACTACTCAGCGACGAGAGTGTCTGCGAGATGATGGAGTGCGGCCTCACCATGTGCTGCCAGTCACGACTCTCGGAACTGCTACGTCGAACGGCCGAGGCTGCCATGGTCCGGATGTGCCAGCTCATCTTCGAACATCTCAAGTACCTCGAGGTCGAAGCCCCCGACGATCTGGAGGCCCTCGAGACACAAACGAATGGTGACATGGATGGCGTCAAGATGGTCCCCGCAACGAACGGCACAGATGTGATCGCATCGTCAGATGGCCCTACCGCGGAGGTCGAGCCCCGACCATCAACAACGTCAGAAGATGTGGGAAGCGGGACGCCCAGCAAGACTGCCGAGACAGAGACCGTGACGGACGAGTCAGAATCATCGGAACCTGCCGAGCAGGCGGAAATCAGGCCTTACTCCTTGCCGTCTATCAAGGAGCTCTTCAGGGTACTGGTCGACCTCCTGGACCCCAGCGACAAGCAGCAGGGCGACGCGATGAGAGTGATGGCCCTCCGAATCATCCACGTTGCCTTTGAGGTGGCCGGTCCGTCGATTGCTCGCCACCACTCGCTAGCTTTGATTGCAGAAGATCGCTTGTGCCGGCATCTTTTTCAGCTCGTCCGGTCTGACAATATGGCGCTCCTGCAGGAGTCTCTGATCGTGGCAGGAACGCTGCTAGAGACTTGCAGAGGGGTGCTCAAGTTGCAGCAGGAGCTGTTTCTGTCATATCTGGTGGCCTGCCTGCACCCTCCAGTAGAAATACCACGGGAGGCGGGCATCGATCCCTTCCTCTACGAGGGCATCCCACAGAGGCCAACCTCAGTCAAACCTCCACCGTCACCACAGTCAGGTAGCGGCAGATCCACTCCAGTACCTGTCAAGGACAGGCAGAAGCTTGGCATGGAGGGCGGCGCCAGGAAGCCCGACGCACGCCAAGCAATGGTCGAGAGCGTTGGTGCCCTTGTTCGGATGCCTGGATTCTTGGTTGAGCTTTTTGTGAACTACGACTGCGACCCGAACCGGGGTGATCTGTGTCAGGATATGATCGGTCTATTATCTCGGAACGCGTTGCCAGACTCGGCCACTTGGAGCACGACAAGTGTTCCTCCTCTTTGTCTTGATGCGCTCCTCGGCTTCATCCAGTTCATCGCGGACCGGTTGGATGAGGAGGGTGTGCTAGGGGAAGGAGTACCTGATCCGAAGCAACTGAATGAGCAGCGGCGGAAGAAGGCAACAATCATCAAGGGAACAGACAAGTTCAACAAGAAGCCGAAAGAGGGTTTGGGCTACCTGCAAGAACATGGCATCATTGATGGAACCCCTGCATCCACGGCATACTTCCTCAAGAACACGACACGAGTCTCAAAGGCCGTGCTTGGCGACTTCCTCTCCAAGAAGGGCAACGAGGAGTATCTCGGAGAGTTTATGAACCTCTTTGACTTCCAGGGCAAGCGTGTGGATGAGGCCGTGAGGCAGCTTCTGGAGAGCTTCCGTCTTCCTGGAGAATCCATCCTGATTGAACGGATCATTGTCTCATTCTCGAAGCGCTACGTGGAAACATCGGGCACCGATGACGTGGCTGACGAGGATTCCCTTTTCGTTCTCACTTACGCCATCATCATGCTGAACGTTGACCAACACAGCCCGAAGATCCAGAACGGCAAGCGCATGGTGCTCGACAACTTTGCACGTAATCTTCGAGGCGTGAATAATGGCAAGGATTTCGCGCCAGATTTCCTGGAGGCGATGTTCGAAGCCATCAAGAACAATGAAATTATCTTGCCCGAAGAGCACGATAATGCCCATGCCTTCAGCTATGCCTGGAGGGAGCTTCTCCTGAAGACCGAGGGCGCTGGGCCGCTGGTCATCTGCAACAGCAACATCTTTGATGCCGACATGTTTGCCACAACATGGAAGCCGATTGTTTCTACGCTGTCCTATGTCTTCATGTCAGCTACTGATGACGCAGTCTTCAACCGGGTTGTGGCTGGCTTTGACCAATGTGCTCGCATCGCCTCTCGATATGGCAACATTGAGGCATTAGACCGAATCATTAGAAATCTGAGCTTCATGTCATCACTAGAGGCCAAGGATCTATCCAACACATCTCTCAACACTGAGGTCAAGCAGTCTGACGGCAGTGCTGTTATGGTCAGCGAACTTGCCGTTAAGCTCGGCAGCGATCTCAAGGGCCAATTGGCCACGCTTGTATTATTCAACATCGTCAAGGGCAGCGAGGAAGTCATTCAGGATAGTTGGCAACATGTGAGTCTGCTGATTTTCCTTTTTATGTGCAGATACAGTCCATCTAACTTTACACAGATCATCCGTATTTGGCTCAACTTTTTCGTCAACTCCCTCATTCCCTCCTTCTTCAGCTCGGAACTGGATGCCGAGTACTTCTCGGATCAGCAGATTCCCCCATCCTTCATTTCGTTTGCCAAGAGGATTAAGCTCCCCAAGATCCCTCTGCACACCACTCAAGTGATCGATCGCGCTGCAAAACAGACCGACACCGGTCTGTTCTCGGCACTTTCGTCCTACATCTCGAGCTATGCTGCGGACGATCCGCCGGAGCCGTCCAAGGAAGAGGAGGATGGTGCGCTGAGTACTCGTGACTGCGTCATGGCATGCAATCTTGGAGATGTGTTTGCGAAGCTCGTGTAAGTCTTAATCCTTACACTTTATTTTTGGGGTGCCCATCTGACAGCGATGCAGCGAGTTGTCTCCCAAAGCACTTGAACACTTTGTCGAGGCCCTTCTGGAGGAGCTCCCAGAGGACGAGCCTTCCTCGGTGCCAGTCATCACCATCAAGGGCGACAATGTTCCTGCTCCAGTACCAAATGGCGCTGAGCCTGCGAGCAACAAACCGATATATGATCCGAAGATGGTCTATATCCTCGAGCTGTCGACAGTGCTTGCTCTTCGGAACGAGGAGACGGTCGAATTGATTGGCGAGGGTGTCGCAAAGGCCCTCCAATCAATCTTGCGTGATGCAGCCCGATACCACACCTCCCTTGTCTCACGAGCTGCGTTCTACCAGTTCCATATTCTCAAGGCAAGCTACGTGAGTGACCAGAACTGCATCCTCAGCGATAGCGGCTCGGCTGACAGCTCTTAGGATCACGATTTCGTCCGTGCTCCGGTACTACTGCACACTGTCTCCAGTTTCCCCAAGGAAACCCTGACCAAGACTGCACAGCTTGTTCTGCAAGGTCTTAAGGTCTGTATCGACCAGCCTGGTCCGCTCCGCAGCGAGATCATGACATCACCAGACTTCTGGCTCATTCTGAGGACTCTGAGTGAGAGCTCCAGCTCGTCCACGATCGTCTTCGATATCCTTGAAGGCGGCGTCACTGGTACACCTTCTGCGATCATCGCCGACAACTATGAGGCTGCTATAGCATTGCTCAACGACTTTGCGACAGCGGCACGAGTAGGTGCTGCGGCTGAGCAAAAGGGCGAGAAGCGCCCGAGGAACGCTCGCCCCCCGCCGAAGAAGGAAGCTGCGAGGTAAGTGTGCTACTCAAGTGATCGGCAGAGTGCGGAATTCCTAACTGACGACTTGAGTAGCGAGAATGCCGTGGTATCTCGTGGTGTGAAGGCTGTAAACCTCATCTCAAGCATGACTTCTCGTATCCCACACCTCATGAAGCAATCCCATCTTGAGAGCAGTGAAGGTGAGTAAAGCACCAGATCCGGCTGTCCGTCCGCTTGGCACTAACAACAACGCCCTAGCTTGGTCTGCCTACTGGCTGCCCATTTTCAAAGCGCTAACGAAGCAATGCACCAACCCGTGCCGCGAAGTAAGGCATCTCGCCTTCGCCTCGCTCCAACGATCGCTCCTCTCCCCGGAACTGGCATGCGCCGATCACGAGGAGTGGACATCGATCTTCAGTGAGGTTCTGTTCCCGCTGATCTCGAGACTGCTCAAACCCGAGGTCTTCTCATCCGACCGGGACGGCATGAGCGAAACCCGCGTGCAGGCCGCCTCGCTCCTGACCAAGGTGTTCCTGCAGTATCTGGTGCAGCTGTCCAAGTGGGACGGCATGCTCGACCTGTGGCTAAAGATAATTGATATCATGGACCGCCTCATGAACAGTGGGCAAGGTGACAGCCTCGTAAGTCGTTCTCTCCATACCTGCTCACAACCTTCTGTATCGCCTGCGATTCGGTGTTTTCGAATGGTAAACTGACAATCTGCCCTGGGTGGTACAACCAAAAACAGGAGGAGGCAGTCCCCGAGAATCTCAAGAACGTGCTCCTCATCATGGCCAGCAACGGCCTGCTCGTGCCGCCGAGCACGAACCCGGAGCACGAAAAGCTCTGGGTCGAGACGTGGAAGCGGATAGACCGGTTCCTGCCCGACTTGCGCAAGGAGCTCGCTATTGGTGGCGAGGCGGATCTCGCTATCCGAGCTGCCAGCAATGAGAGTGGCCGGAGTGACGAGAAGGTCGTTGCTGCTGCTGCTGCGGCCAAGGACGAGGGGAAGGTGCCTGAGGGGGTTGTAGCTGAGTAGGATGCTGATACATGAATGGATATAGAGATCGGGAGACGCTGACTGGAAGGAGGGTTCCGTGGAAATGTGATACATTTGACTCAAGAATCAAGCAAAATCGAAGGCTGTGAGCAAAGCCAAGTGCGTCAGCTGACACGCTACGAGGAAGTCAATGTCATCACGCAATTGAGTTCAATATCAGTTGCGGCCACGCTTGCTCGTCATGACGGGGGTCTATTATCTTGAAATGTAGTGTCTGCGTATATTTTGGTGCTTTTATCAGCTCATTCCCGTTCACAGAATCTAGTCTTCACATGTGAGTTGTCATGCGGCCGGGGCCAACCTCTCATTGCAAGTGCATGTGATAGAGGTTCCGTGCCGCCGTTTGACCCCCCATTCCAGAATTTACATCCCATGAGTAACCTTATCCCACAGATCTGCTCCGGTAATTTGCTTGCGTACATTGCCTGTATAAGTTGCTCGCAGGCAGGGATGCCACCCTGCGCGTCGTTCCCTTGCGATCATTGATCACAAGATTGGCCGTCAGTGAGAGGGCGGCGGTGTGAACTCGAGGAAGAGCAGTGTCACGAAGCGCCGCCCGTCCCAGTACACTGTGTGGTACGTGCCCTCGTCCAGCGTGAGCAGGAGGGCTCTGCTCGCGCCGAGCTGGTGTAGCCTCCGCTCGAGGTCATTGATGACTGCCGAGGCGCACTGCCCCGTGCGGTTCATGTCCCGCTCGGGGCGGACGGCGTCTGGATCGTTCGGGTCGTCGTCCTCGCCCACGTCGTTGAAGGCGATCTGGGCCAGGACGAAGCGGCCTTTTGGGTTGGGACCGCCGCCGCCGCCGCCGTTGTCCCTGTCGTGGTTCTGCGCGGCAGGCGGCAGGTCATCCTGCACTGAGATGAGCCTCGTCGTGATTTTCGGGACGTACTCTGCTGCCGTGTCGCTCGAGACGGGCAGGGAGCCGTGGTCTGTAATCTCCTCGGTGCGGAAGTACAGGCCCAGGTGATGGGCGCCCATGGTGAAGAAGCGCTCTACGTGGGCGTGCCATTGCTCGGCCGGGCTGGGGCCGGAATACCTCAGCCTGCCTCCCTGCCCGTCCTCGCCCAGCAAGTTGCCCTCGTTGACGTAGCCCTCATCGTCGCCGTTGTCAATGGCGTCCGAGTAAGAGACATTGGTCTTGTGGGACGGCGGTGTGAGGACGTCGCTGATGATGTTTGACCATTGGGTGGCCTCGCCTTGGCGGTCCCTGAGGCCTTCGCCCGACAGTAGGGCAAGCGATATATAGATGGGACCGAGAAGCACGGCGGAGAACAGCCTTGTACTGCCTGGTCGTGGCGGTGGAGGTTGCCGAGACTCCCCTCTAGATGAGCCATGCCAGTGCTCCCACAGACTCGGCCTGGTCAGTGCCAGTGAGGCTGCGGAAGCATGCTTCAACTGGTGATCGAGGAGGCAATGTGTGTCCCCAGCCTTGTGTTCAGTGACTGCCGCTCTTGAATGGTTACTCAAAGAACGTGCCAACGGCCAACGACATTGACCGGAAGACCCCCTCTTAGGGTCCTGTATAGCAACTGAGAGTCCAGATCGGCAACCACGGCACACACTGGCTGTAAAGGTGTGCCGTTCCAGGCCACGGCGGATCATCTTTTGGCGTGCCCTCGATGATGTCCGAGTTAGCAGCAGGGACGGATAAGCACGGATGAGCAGCAAGATGTGTCTGGAGCAGAAGTGATTGGTAGAAGTAAGGGCCTGTGCGGATGGTCAATTGTTGTTCAACAAATGAGGACACATCATGCCTGTCTGGCTCGACACGTGTGTGTGTGTGTCTGAGGCCATCACCAGTCCGAGACTTACACGGCTGAGAACAGCCCTGCGCCTTGGTCAGCGCTTTGCAGGCCCAGCTGCGCAATTGCGGCAGGCACAACCGCAACCCCAGCGGGCAGGCCCCACCACAGCTGCAGCCGCGCCTACTCGCCCAAGCCATTTTGCAGGCTTCATTCTGACACCATCCACTTCCCAAACGCCAGCTCTACCAAGCAAGCATCGCAGCAATTGACTGCACAACTTGGACGCAACACCCTATCTGAGTAGCTTCGCGTAAAGCACCCCAGGCCCATCTAGAAAGATACCTCGATACACTGCAGCGCCTCTCACCATGGCCTCCAGCACTTCCGTCGCAACGTATGTGTCATTGCACTCCGACACATGCCGGTCGATTCGCCTTGTCCCCCTTTGCCTGATGGCGGGCTTCCGTAAGTCTGTGTACGAGTACACCTCGCTAACGTGATGTCGGTTCCGCCCTTGCTCGCGTACAACAGTGTCTATGTCCGCAACCTGGAAGAACGGGTCAAGCCCGAACCGCTCAAGGAGGCCTTGACGGCCGTCTTCTCCGATTATGGCAACATTATCGACATCGTGGCCAAGACCAACCTCAAGGCCAAGGGCCAGGCCTTTGTCGTCTTTGATGACCCAGCCGCCGCCGCCAAGGCCGTCGACGAAGTTCAGGGCTTTGAGCTCTTCGACAAGCCAATGATTGTCGCCCTGGCGCGCACGCGGAGTGATGCGACCGTGCTGAGCACAGGCGACAAGGACGAGTTTGAGCAGCACCAGCGCAGGCGGCTGGCTGAAAAGGGTTCGTCACGACCATCATCACAAGAGTCCCAAAGTCCCGCCAGACATGATCTCGCTAACCCGCGCCTTTCCAAAACTTGCAGACAAGAAAAAGGCCCTCGAGGCAGCCGAGGAGCAGAAGCGTCTCAAGCGTGGCGCCGCGGCCAGCGCTCCCACAGACCCCAACGCCAGGCCGTCCAAGACCGCGCGCGGCGCCGGCCTCAAGTCCACAGCTCCCCAGGCCAACACGGTCGTGCCCGACGAGTACCTCCCGCCCAACAAGATCCTGTTCGTGCAGAACCTGCCCGACGACTACGACATCGAGTCTCTCACGGCCATCTTCGGCCGGTTCGAAGGGTTCCGCGAGGTGCGCATGGTTCCTGGTCGCAAGGGTATTGCGTTCGTCGAGTACGAAGCAGAGGCAGGCGCGATCACGGCAAAGGAGAACACCGCGGGCATGCCGCTGGCCGACGGCACCAAGTTGATGAAGGTCACGTACCAGCGGCAATAGTCGCCTCTCGGCATTCTCGTAATCTCAGACTGGGATGGTCCCGACAACATCGTTTGTGCTTGGCGTTTAGATACCAGAAATCGAGACCATGAATAGATCTTCTCCCGGGTGGTGATGCTCGCGCAGGATTTGATCTATTTGCCCGGGATTACTTGAACTGCGCATTTCCGCCACGCTGGATCAGTACAATATGGCAAGGGCCCAAACAGGATGGCACCACAAAAGTCATGCCCACCGCAGCATACAAGTGAAAAGCGCATCTAAGAATTAAAGGCAACGCCGAAGAGATCCCTATGATGGGAAGCAAAAACTATCAATGCCGATGATTGCATGCTTCAACAATGCCTCTTATGACGAGGACAGTACCCAGCCATGGTCGAGACTCTAGCCAGAAACCCGGCAACAGACTTAGAAGATGACGTCGTCGTCATCGCCAGTTGACAGGACATCTGTTGGGCCCTCCTTGCCAGGGTCTACATTCTCCTGGTCGCCCTTGCCCTCGGCCGCGAGCCTCTTGGCCTTCATTTCGGCATCGGCAGCGGCCGTGTCCCGCTGCTTCTTACCAGCGACCTTCTTCAGCCGGTAAAATTCCTCTCTGTCCAGCTCATCGAGTTCCGAGTTGATATCTGCAGCATGGATTAGCGCGTGTAACGCGAGATCGGGTGCTGGGTGTGGACTCACACTTGATGGTATTTTCGGTTCTGGGGATAATGACGTGCTCGCTACATAGATCATTAGTTCTCCCTCTCCGTGAGGTTAGATGCACCTTCTTAGTATAACTTACATGGCATTTACTTTGGGGGGGCCTCAACGTTAGCACGAGGGCTTCGTACGAATTACACGGCATATAAATGACCACTTACCTCTCCGGTTGACCACCTTGATGACCTCGTCCAAGATGACAAAGGCAGTCTGCAAGCTGGCGAGCTCGACGAGCGTCTCGACTGCCCTGGCGTATGTCTCCCGACACCTCTGCACCTGCTGACCACCCTTGCCAAGACCGGTGAGGCCGAAATCGTTGTTGCCTTCGGTCAGGTAGCTCTCGAAGGCCGGCAGGAACACACCAGAGACGTTCTCCTGCTTGGTCCGCAGCCTGAAGCGTGCTGACCGCGCCGACTCTTGTACTTGGTATCCGATGTCGCCACCAACGGCATAAGTGACCTCTGCCAGCGAGAAGGCGGCGATCTGCATGACACGGCCCATCTTCCGCTTCGCCTCGTCTATTCTTCTCGTGATTTCTGCGGGGAACCGTGTTAGATCGGATGCTGCCTGGGGAATTGGTGCGTGGTGGTGGTGTTGGTCCTGCTGGCACTCATACCTCGGAATCGCCTGCGCGCAGCTACACGTTAGCCGAAGCCGTGCAAATAATCAATGTGAATGGCAAGGACAAGTGCTCACTTTGTAAGGGCCTCACTCTTGCGCTTCAGCAAGTTGTGGCCAGTCTCGGCGCCCTTGAGCTTGGACTTCATGAGACCCAGCGACTGCCGGGTGGGAAAGACGGCCTCGCGATCCTGTCAAGGCCATTGGTCAGCTCCTCTGCTGCCCATTGTACGTTGCGGACACACAGAATCCGCGTACCGCTGCTCCAGACATGATGGCTGGATGGTCTTGCGACTATTGGCAGACTGCAGAGTCGTCGGCGATGGGCGAGGAGTAGGATGCAATGGCGATCGTGCTCCTTGTGGATGAGCTGGTCAACGATGGTTCGAGGTAGCCGAGGCGCACAGCGAGGGCTTTGGAGTCGTGGAGGGGCGACAGATGTAAGTGATGCGACCGGGTGCGACTCAGTTCTCGTGTGCGAGGTCCAGTGACGACGATGTTTGGAGCTGTTGCGCTGCAGGCGAGGCAGGCAGCTTGGAGTTGGAGCTCAAGGCGCATGCACGAGTCGAACCCACTCTGACGGCGTGGGTGGGGCTTCCGTGGACATGGGCTGTCTGGGACGGCCCAGCTATCTCGACAAAGTGAGACAGATGCTGGCCTCTTGAACCGCCCATGCGCCATGCACCATGCAATTGCAATTCTGTAGATGAGGACTCGCTTCTATGGCCAGTTCTCCTCAGCCGGATGACGTGAAGGCATCTGCAGCTTCGTAATCAATGCTGGGTCTTTCAAGAACTTGATGTCTCTACAGCTACTAAGCGGGGCACCTGCTGCCAGCTGAGACAGGACAAGCGCGGTTCTGCTTAGCGCTCCCTGCTCCGTCCCGGCAAGCTCGCAGAAAGTTGGGGCGCGTCGCTTCAGGGAACTGTCCTGCCAGCGACTTGTAAAGTTGTTCAGGATCTTTCGCCCGACCACAGTCTGAGACTGTCCGCGCAGACAGTCACCCTCAGACGCCGGCTCCCTCTTCTCCCGCCAATCCTCAAGAGAGACAGCCTGACAATGTCGTCCTGATCGACCACCGCCAACTTCGCTCCCCAAACCAACCTCGAGCCAACCCGCGCGCAGGTTGCGCATAGCTTCACATTCGACCGCTGCTGCCGCCATGGCTCCCAACGGTGTGCTCAATGGCGTCCATGCTCGAGCTGGGAGGAAGCCGGATCTTCACCTTGTTGTCAGTACATCGCCATGTTCCAGAGAAACATGCCAACAGCGCCCAGGCTCCTCGGCCAGAGACTGCCTTTGGAATGGTCCATGCTAACGTGTGTCTATGTAGACTGACGAGGACGCCGTCTATGAACAAGACATAGTGCGAGATCCCGGCAACACGAAACCATGGCTTGCGTACATCGAATTCAAGTTGAAGCATGGCACAGTCATGGAACAGGCATTCGTCATGGAGCGGGCCTGCATACAACTGCCGCGGTCCTACAAGCTCTGGAAATTGGTGCGCGCTCCTCTCCGCTCCTGTCACGCGTTCGCAGCAGCATGTTAACGATGATCATCACTTTAGTACTTGCAGTTTCGGACAAAGCATGTCTCCAAGCTGAACGCCGCCGCCTTTGCCCCCGAGTACAAGAAAGTGAACTCGCTCTTCGAACGAGCTCTCATCCTGCTCAACAAGATGCCGCGGATATGGGAAATGTACCTCAAGTTTCTCCTGTCGCAGCCAGTCGTCACGTTGACTAGGCGTACATTCGATCGGGCATTACGGGCGCTCCCCATTACGCAGCACAACCGGATATGGGCGCTCTACCGACCCTTTGCGAACTCGGCAGCTGGCGAGACCGCTGTGAAGATCTGGAGGAGATACATGCAGGTCCACCCCGAGGATGCCGAGGACTTCGTCGAGCTGCTGTCGCATGTCGGGCTCTACACAGAAGCCGTCAAGAAGTACATCGACATTCTGAACAACCCGCGCTTCAACAGCAAACAGAGCAAAGGTCACTACGAACTGTGGAGCGAGATGATCGATCTGATAGTTGAGCATGCGAATGAGGTGGAAACAAGCTACGAGACAGGCATCGACGTTGAGCGCATCATACGCAGCGGAATCAGTAGATTCGCCGACCAGCGGGGCAAGCTGTGGTGTGGTTTGGCCACGTACTGGGTCAGGCGCGGCAGTTTCGAGCGGGCAAGGGACGTATTTGAGGAGGGCATCACTACCGTCATGACAGTCAGGGATTTCACTCTCATTTTCGACACGTATGCGGAGTTTGAGGAGTCCATCATCGGCGCTCTGATGGAGCTGGCCTCGGTACGCGCAGACGAAGGCAAGACTGACGAGGACGCCGACTTTGACCTTGACATTCGCATGATGCGGTTCGAGCAGCTCATGGATCGTCGCCCTTTCTTGTTGAACGATGTCCTCCTACGGCAGAATCCCAACAACGTTAGCGAATGGGAGAAGCGCGTTGCGCTATGGGGCGACAACCAGCAAGAGGTCGTCCAGACATACACGAACGCCATCGCGGCCATCCAGCCGAAGAAGGCCGTCGGACCTTTCCACCAACTGTGGGCCAGCTACGCCAAGTTCTACGAAAAGGGCGGAGACATCAAGAATGCCAGGATCATCATGGAGAAGGCCGTCAAGGTGCCATACAAGTCGGTTGCTGAGCTGGCCGACATGTGGATCGAGTGGGCTGAGATGGAACTCCGCAACGAAAACTTTGACGAAGCTGTCAAGATCATGGCGAAGGCTGTGCAAGCCCCCAAGAGGTCTGCAGTGGACTATTTTGATGAGACTCTATCACCTCAGCAGAGAGTTCACAAGAGCTGGAAGCTATGGAGTTTCTATGTCGACCTTGTGGAGAGTGTCAGCTCTCTGGAGGAGACCAAAAAGGTCTACGAGCGCATCTTCGAGCTCCGCATTGCGACGCCACAGACCGTTGTCAACTATGCCAACCTTCTCGAGGAGAACGACTACTTTGAGGAGTCGTACAAGATCTACGAGAGAGGCCTCGACCTCTTCAGCTACCCGGTTGCCTTCGAGCTTTGGAACTTGTACCTCACCAAGGCCGTCGACCGCAAGATCGGCATCGAGAGGTTACGAGACCTCTTTGAGCAGGCTGTCGAGGAGTGCCCACCCAAATTCGCCAAGGTGCTATATCTCATGTACGGAAATCTCGAGGAGGAAAGAGGTCTTGCGAGACACGCCATGCGGATCTACGAGCGAGCCACGAGAGCCGTTTCCGACGAGGACCGTGCCGACATGTTCAACTTCTACATCACCAAATCAGCATCGAATTTCGGCTTGCCATCTACGAGACCAATCTACGAGAGAGCCATCGCGGCACTGCCCGACGAGGAGGCCCGCGACATGTGTCTGAAGTTTGCCGACATGGAGAAGCGCCTCGGCGAGATCGACCGCGCGAGAGCCATCTACGGGCACGCCTCGCAGTTCTGCGACCCGCGAACCAACCCTGCTTTCTGGACCAAGTGGGAGCAGTTTGAGGTGCAGCGCGGCAACGAGGACACGTACAAGGAGATGCTTCGCATCAAGCGCAGCGTGCAGGCACAGTACAACACGGACGTCAACTTCATCGCATCCCAAGCCATCGCGCGCAGCCAGCAGCTGGCCAAGGGAGGAGCCGGTGACACGAATGGCGACGCCGAGGTTGCTGACGCCATGGAGCAGCTCGAGCGGCAGGCTAGGGCGCCGGCTGGGTTCGTGGCCGCGAGCACTGGTATCGCTGGGACGATTGCCAAGGATGCGGGTGCTCCCGCTGTGACGGCGAATCCAGACGCCATTGACCTGGACGACATGGATGAGGAGTAGTAGGGGCAGCAGGAGCCCGATGTAGACGGCTTATTGTCCTTTTTTTGACGCCGACACCCATCATGACTGGCAGCTACCCGAGGAAGAGGTCATGACAGGGAAAAAGGCTTCACTTGCAGGAAACTGGCAAGAGCCAGACCTGGAGTAGGAGGAGGGTGAAGAAACTATCAGGGAGCTATAGGAAGCCCGCGACGTCGGCCTTCTACAAGCAAGATCGCATTCATCCCGTGAACAGGAGCGGCGTTTGCTTTTATTTTCCATTCTTTTCATTTTCTCGTTGTATCACTTACATCACGAACGACTCTTGAAATATGAACAACACATTCCGCCTTTCTGGTAGGAAGAGACACCGCCTTCACCGCGATTTGAAATCTGATGGGAACAGGCATTGTGGTGGATATAATGCTATCCATTTCAAACAGTTGATATCAATTTGCTAAGCATACAGGAACACAGTGACCAAAATCAATAAACCCCATGCCGTACCAGACCCGTCATTCCCGTCACGATTCGCAGACCATGACTATTCTCGTACAAAAAAAAAATTACAGTACCCTTTTTGCGACCAGCACGCCTTTTTGTGCAGTCGTCGAAGAAGTGGTACAATTGGTCGTCAAAGAGTTTAGCCAATGACGACTATTGGCTAGAAGCACTGGCCTGGCTGGCCTTCCGAGGAGCCTCGGGAGTGGTCGAGGTGGCGTCCTTCTTGGACCGAGAGAAGGACCAGCGCTTGGACGACGTCTTGGGAGCCGTGAGCTTGTGGAACTCCTCGACGGCGTCGCGGTTGCGCTCGACGTGGCCGTCGCGCGAGCTGGGCGTGGCGTAGATGCTGCCCTTGCGCTTCTGGAAGCGGCTGGGTGGGGTCTTGCCCGCGTCTGTTGTGTGGAGCATCATGTTAGTGGCTGCTATCCCCGGTATATGATGCGGAAATGACGGGGCGATTCGCTGGTTTTTGTCATGGTGAACTCGCCGCGACGGAGAAGGTGGGACGCGCGAGGAACTAAGCAGGTTCACAAATTCTTACCCCATTCGTCCGTGGCCGAGTGGTCGGTCGAGGTGGTTCTCTGTCGTGGCATCTCGACTTCGCCGCCCACAAAGGTGTTTGTGAATTGGGGGTTCTGGGTGTTTTCGGTCGCCATTGTGGTTGTGTGTGCGGAGGCTGGAATTACTCTGGTGGATTTGTGTTCCCGCCGGGTGTGTATGTGGGCTTGAGTGTGCCTGTGGTTGTCGTCAAGCTGACAAAAGGGTATAGGATATCTAGGATGTGGTCGTCGAAGTGGCAAATGATGTGGTAGGGTAAGCCGAGACAACGGTTCAGGTGAGTATCATAACGGAGAAGGTCAGAGAGCAGGACGGGGAAATGCGAGCTAGATATACCACCATCCAAGGCACCGAACTTAGAATGAGTCAAGGCAGACATGGAGCAGGAACGCAAGCTGCGGAGGGGGAAGGGGCGATCAGCGACCCTGAACTGGTCGACTGCACTGGGAGTGCATGCTCCTCAGAGCATGATGCGCTCAGAGCAGTAGCTAGCTCGCAACTCTCGACACAGCCCACTCCCGCCGTCTTGGATCTCCCCGCCGCCGCCACCAAGCCAAGCTGCGTCAAAGGGTGACAGTGACGGATAAGATTCAAGCTACTTGGGCAAGCGGGCACGCCTTGATTGGCCACGGGGCGCCCGGCTGCGTTACGTACTTGCAAGCTCGACCTCGCCATCCGTCGATGGGGCCTCTTGCTACGTCGCCGATAGCACAGCAACCAGTGCGTGCGGGCAGCGACCACACCCTCTTGCCCAGCCATGCCCATACCGTGCTGGTGACTGATAGCATGGAGCAGACAGCCAGCCTAGGCTACCTGACCGAGGCGGAGCTCATCCTCACCACGTATCCCTGATCCCTGGCGTCCACACGCCGGTATAGATGGCATTTGCCCGCGCGCATATGTGATTGTAAGCATACTCGTCATCACCGCCAAGAAAAGTGGCATACCCTGTCTACAGACGCCTCTTTGCCACGACTGGCCTCACAACAACGGCTAGGCATCCCAAGGGCTTACCACGGGGCGATCCTGGTTCCACGGCTGCTTCACGGAAGCGGGCAACCGGCGCCTCCGAAAGAGATGACCATACACAGGATACGTGGGCACGGGACCAGACGACATATTCAAGAGGACAGGGTACCATGTCGCCTAGCAGTCTTTGTCAGAAAGTCGACTACAGAGGAGCCTCGAGGCAGCTGGGGGATCCTCGCCCCTCAGGCAGCCTGAGACCAAGCGACTACCCAGTGCGGGATGGCCTGAGATTGCTGGCAAGCGCGTGGCCCGGAGCGAGCGCAGCAACCGATGATCTCCGTTGTTTAAACTTGCAGTAGCTCTCATCCTGGAGACCTTGGGCACAGGGAACAGCAGGGTTCGACAGGCCAATCCAGACCACAGATGCGGACGCACAACGCCGTGGCTGGCGAGGCTGGTTGGCTGAGGTCCACTCTTGGACGCCCCATGCCTGCTCACTGAGAGCATCAACGTCTTGTCGCTGCAGCTCCATCTGATCTCAATATGGGAGAGTGTGTGCACGACGTGTGGTGAGCAGCCACCCCAGGGTGGTATGGGGCAATCAGGCAGGCGGGGAACCTGGTCCCGGCCCCACTGCCCCTCCCCCGCGTTCATTGCCGTTCCGTTGTCACCACAATCAAAGGTGGAACTTGACCCAAACTGCCGACTTCTCGCTAGACATCTCACAAGCCGATGTGTCACCCTCATGTCCATCCGCAGCTAATTTCCTCTCTCCAACGAGTGCGCGTCAGTCGCCACTCAGTATGTTCTTGTCTCCGACCACGGAACGGCCCTCTCGCTTGTTTCCCGTGCCCCAGGCTCTACAGTGCACCCACCAGCCTTGTCTGCCGATTCAGCACCCATATCTCTCCTTGGCACCAGCGCCCTGTTCTCAGCTCTCGGTGCCTCTGACCACTTTTGAGTTTACCTCGCAAGGATGTGGCTGATGCTAGGGATAAGTCGGTGCAGCCTACTTCGCTACGCACACCTGGGCAGCACTGGACCTTCTCCTGGCGCAAAGCCCACTTTGGAGCATGCTTGTTGTCGCACCCTTTGCGCGACTCTACCTACCAGTGGCAGCTTCAGCTCAAGTGACTGGGGCTTCGAATGCAAAAGAATGTCGTCCCCTTGCGGTCAGATCAAGCTCTCCGCAATGTGTCAGATGTGAACCCCTTGGCAGCAGGGGACTTCTCAGATGAACCATTCTCTCGACGGGCAACAACTCCCATCATGGAAATCTAAGCATCGAGCATTGTCTTGCGTTGGCCGCGCCACCAATGATCGCCATAACAGACGTTCTTGGACTGGCACTGTCTCATCTGAGCCTGATGTAGAATGTGTAGCCGCTGCACCACCTCCGAATGCACTGGGATAGACCCAATCAATCAAGGGAGCGGAGCCGGCGAATGTCACGACCACAACACCACGCAGGTGCTAAGTGCTGCAGGACCTTGGGGCTCTGCTGTCATGCACGCCGACGTCACTGTTCGGCGAGGGCGAGACCCCAACGCAGGTGGGCACCAATAACAACGCCAGGGCCCAGGGTCTTATCTGCGCCGCTCCGGCATCTGCATGGCGTGCAGCTAGGGGTAGCGTGAGACATCGTCAAGCGGCACCTTGTCCCTTTGTCGTACGTTCTCCCCCAGGCCGCCCGCTATCTTAGCCTGAGCGGGGGAGGGTGGCCCTGTTGATCAAGAACGGCAGAGTCCCTCAGATTGCGCCTCGAGGTGGCCAGGCAAGTTTAGCCCAAAGAGTCTTCGCACCGCGTGATGCCTCACCGAAGGGCTGAGAGTAATTCCCGGAGCGCAACAAAACCGACGCCAATTGTAGGTTGTGGATGGAAAGGGTTGCAGGAGTTTTGCCCCTGGGAGTTGACTACAGGGCGTGAAACCCGCAGTTTGGCACCCGTCTTGTTCACTTTACAAGCTTGATTCGTGTGAGGATGATAATTACCGGAACTTTGCACAGTTTGTGCTACCTGTTTCGTATCCTGTCGTGCTAAATCTACCATGGCAATCAAAAATGGGTCATGTATTCAACCAAGGTTCCTGCCAGGATGGCACAGTTGAAGGTGATGCACCTTGGAGCGAAGCACATGTGAGCAGCAACGAGTTCTGTCTACGAGATACGGCAGCATCCACTTTATTGATAAGGGCAAACAGTAGAGTGGTGTGCTGCTGATCATCCTGTATCGCTTTATCATGCCATCTTCCGGACCTGACCAGGTCTCTATTCTCCTGAAATAGGAGAGCACAAGTCGATGCTATGATACCGTGAAAGAATGGAATAACAAGTATATTGGCTGAGGTACAGAAAATCAATTCTCTTCTGTTTCGACACCGGGCGTGGAGTAGCGCCAAATTGTCTACATTAATGGGCAACGGTTGCTCTTGTGTCTAGAGCTTTGAGCCTTGCCGACATCTGAATTGCTGAAACCATCTTGGAACGCAACTTATAAGCCTTCCAGTACGGATTAGCAGCGGAGTTGGAGCAGGAATTGTAGAATAGCTAATCCTCTTCTTCTTTCTTGGGACATAAATCATGTCTTCCAAGTAAGCTGTACCTCGATTTCGGACAATTGCAGTACATGGGCACTTGGAGCAGATTGGAGGGACCCATATCTTTCATGGTCGAAATGTGGTCTACAACTTTGCAAATAATCAAGGACAGCTTTCAATCTAGTATAGATACAGTGTCACCAGACGTCAATATGAAATTTCAGCAGACACCAATTAAAGGACAGGATGTCGTGCTTGTCTCCTTGAGAATGCCAAAAGCCAGAGCACAGCTCGCCTCCAGCACAGTCTCTCCCGCCTTGATGCACGGACCATATGCCCTATCCACATGCGCGAACGTCAAACGTGGGGCTGGCTGCAGCAGCCTTGTTCAACCTCATGAGAGAGCCACTCGCTCGCTACAGACTGCCGTGGGAAAGGCGCTGAAGAAAAAAATCAAATACAACCTGCGACGGGGTCAAATCTCATCAGAAGATTGCACGCCTGGCACCACCAGAAACCAAAAAGTGACTCAAGCCTACCTTGGAGCGACTGCAGAAACATCAACTGAGGCCGTGAACGGCTGACAGGATGAAAAGCTCGCCGAGTTGAGTCACTCCCGCGTACTCCCTCGATGCACCGCCTGCGCCGGCCACTTTTATACGCCGCCGTTGCTTTCCCCCAGCAGTCCGCATCTACTGCCAGGGCTGCCTACCACTGCGCCTGTCCCATGCCCAAGAGGAAGGCAGACAGCCTCGAAGGTTCCCACCTTAGCAGCCCGCGGTCCACTCAGATTCGGAAAATGGCCACTGGCCCGACAGAGACGTCAACCGCCATCTCGTTGACGGACAAGGAGCGCCAGCTCAAGGAGCTCCTGCTCGATGTCGCCCGGTCTATCAGGGACAGCAACCACAGCCTGCAGCAGAATGGCTCATCGGAAACACCAGCAACAACTGCTGAGCCGGTCGTCCTGCGGTGGGCAGGCGGCTGGGTGCGGGACAAGCTGCTGGGCACCGAATCTGTCGACATTGACACGGCCATCAACACGATGACGGGCGAGGCGTTTGCCCTGAAGCTATGCGAGCTGTGCCAGGACCCGGCCGTCATTGCGCGGCACGCCATCTCGCAGTCCGACATTGGCAACCTGCACAAGATTGCCCGCAACCCGGACAAGTCGAAGCACCTGGAGACGACGACGATCAAGCTCTTTGGGCTCGACGTCGACTTTGTCAACCTGCGCCGCGAGACGTACACCGACGACAGCCGCAACCCGCAGGTGGAGTTTGGCACCGCCGAGGAGGACGCCCTGCGGCGCGACGCCACCGTCAACGCCCTCTTCTACAACCTCAGCACGGGCGAGGTCGAGGACTTCACCACCGGCCTGCAGGACATGCGGAGGAGGCTCATACGCACGCCGCTCGAGCCGTTCCAGACTTTCACGGATGACCCGCTGCGGGTGCTGCGGCTCGTCAGGTTTGCCAGCAGGCTGCAGTTCAGCATCGATCCTGCGGTCGAAAAGGTCATGGGCGATGACCGGGTCCTTGAGGCTCTCCGGGTCAAGATCAGCAGGGAGCGGGTCGGCGTCGAGATTGAGAAGATGCTGAAAGGTATGTCTGCGCGCGCGTACGCCATGCTGGCCATGGGGCTTGCATGACGAGCGATGCTGCTCATGGCGTTCATGCTGTGGGAAAAATCGACTAAACACAGATGTTTTGTAGGCAAACACCCCCGAGAAGCCCTCGAGTATATTGAGCGCCTCGCTCTCTACCACGCCATCTTCACCGACCTGACGTCCCCCACCACAACAGCAGCAGCAGCAGCAGCAGATAGCTCGAAACCAGACATCAGCAAGTGGAGCGTCGCATACAACCTCTTCGCCAAGCTTGCGGCTCGCAAGACACCGGGGTCCGTCTACGACGTGCTCGTCCGCCACGACGAGGCCGCCTACTACGCGTGGACGCTGACCGCGCTGGTCCCCTGGGAACCCCTCTCTGCCGCTTCTTCCGCGAGGCCGCACAAGGGGCCCGGCAAAGTCCCGCCGCCACCGGTCACCCTCGCGGCGCGGGAGGGCATCAAGACGCCGACGAGGTTCTGCGACCTGGTGACCGCCGCCCACAACAACCGCGCCGAGATCCTGGCGCTAAAGCAGGACGTCGTGATGCGGCGGGAGCCGCGCGTCGGCGAGCGGGACACGTTCGGCATGGCGATCCGCCGCTGGGACGCGAGGGGCGGGCACTGGCGGCTGCAGGTGCTGTACGCGCTGCTCGTCGAGGCAATGGAGGTGCTGCCTGCCACGACAGCGACGACAGCAACGAGTACCGGGAAAGACGGAAAACAAGAAGGAGAAGAAAAGGAAGACGAAGAAGCCTTCCTCGCGCAATGGCAGCGCTTTCTGGACCACCTGCACGACCTGGACGTCCTCGAGGCGCCCTCCCTGAAGCGGCTCATCGACGGCACGCAGCTTGCCAAAGCGCTGGGCGTGAAACCAGGGAAGTGGATGACGGCCGCGCTGGACGTGTGTGTCGCGTGGCAGCTGCGGCACCCGGACGCCACGGATCCTCAGGGCGCGGTGGACGAGGTCGAGGGCAAGAGAGCCGAGTTGGGTGTCCCCGATAGGAAATAGACTTCTTTTTTTCTTTTGCTGGTGTTCTGAAAATTTCCGTGGGGGGCAGGATACCCGTGAGGAGGCGAGAGTCTCTCTTGTGTGCAGTTGATGGAAAAAAAGAACTGGCCGAGCGAGTGAACGGAGGAAGGAACAGTGAAGACAAAAGTAAGAAAATGAGCTTGTCTGGGAAACGAACATGCGGATAGGCGGGTTAGACAAGACGGCGTTTGGATTTCTGCGCAAGAGGTCAAGCATGAATCTTGGCAACTTTACGACTGCATGGTGGAAAAGCATATAGAACATGAATGAGCGAAGGTCAGTGTCGCACCTAGTTGTGACAGTGACACGAAATGATCACGATATTATTGCAGAAAAAGAGAGACAGAGAGAGAGAGACAACCAAAGGGGTATATTGCTTTTGTGTAGATCGTCTACCATACGTCGTATACATTTAAATCTTTCTACTTGACGAGAGCTCTTCTTGCTTGACGTCTCGGCCTTCTTTTCCTCCTTTCCTCATTTCCTCATTTCAAAGAATTTTGGCTTCTGCCAGTCTTTCGCGCATCACCAAGATTCTCCCCGTCGCGGGGCTCTAAAACGTGTACTTGAAACCCCTCACACCCTCGAGCACAAGCTTGCCTGAGCCCTGCAGCTTGTTCTGGGACCAGAACCACACCGAGAAGACGCCGACCAGGAAGATGATGCCCAGATGCGAGCCGATCGAGACCCACACGGCGGTGATGTAGCCCGGGGCCTCGTCGCTCCTGACGATGAAGCTGCCAGCGATGCCGCCGGCGCCGTTCATGGCCGCGACGGTGGCGGCGGTGAAGACGCGCTTCCACTGGCCGGCGATGTTGTTGGCCTGATAGGTGCTCAGGGCGGCCCAGTTGGAAATGTAGGCGCCCGTGGCGAGGTAGGTGCCGATGTAGCGGACGGTGACCTGGGAGGCGAAGCCGAGCATGCAGAACCCGACGACGAGGCAGAGGCAGTTGAAGATGATGACGGGCCCGCGGAGGTTGTACTTGTCGCCCACGATGGAGGAGAGGAGGACCGGGATGACGGCATAGTAGTAGGGCGGCGCGGAGAGCAGGATGGCCTCGTTGGCGGAGAAGCCCATCCCCGACTGCAGGATGATGGGGAGGAAGTAGGAGAGGGAGGTGGAGACGAGGTTGAGGAGGAAGAACATGACGGCGAAGCCGTAGACTTTGGGGTCGAGGGCGTGGATGAAGATCTTGGACCACGCGAAGGGGTCTGGCTCGACGTCGTGACGGTCGGCGTTGATGCGCTTGACGGCCAGGGCCTGCTCCTCCGGGGTGAGGAAGTAGAAGGACTTGTGGGCGTTTTCGGGGAAATCGACGATCCAGAAGTAGGTGAGGATGCCGATGGCCATGGAGATGATGCCCTGGACGAGGAACATGTAGCGCCAGCCGGCAATGCCGCCACGGCCATCGAGCTGGTTGAGGCCGTAGTTGACGATGCTGCCGGTGGCGAGGATGATGACCTCGCCGCTCTGGAGGAAGGCAAAGCGGGTCTGCTGCTCACGGCGGGGGTACCAGACGGAGATGAGGTACGAGAGGCCCGGGTAGATGCCGCTCATGGCGACGCCGAGGAGGACGCGGAGGGCAATCATCTGCTGCCAGGTCTGGATGAAGGCGGTGCACATGGTGATGAGGCCGAAGCAGAAGGTGATGAAGCTGAACCACAACCGAGGCCCAAAGGTACGGCAGGCAATCGTCGACGGCAGCTGGAAGGCAATGCTGGCAATGGTGAAGATGAAGATGCTGACGCTGAAGCGGTTGCCCTCGAGCCCGAGGTCGGCGGGCATCGACGTGACCGCCGCGGAGCTGATGACGCCCGAGTCGAGCAGGTTGAGCGAGCACAGGATGCCCGCAATCGTGCACAGCCGCAGGTCGACCTTGCGCCGCAGCCGTCGCTCCAGCATCTTGATGTGTGCCGGATCCTCCGTCTCATCATCATCATCGTCATCGGCGCCGTCGCCGTCGCTGGTCCCGTTGCCGCCAACTTGACCGGCACCGGGCCCGGGCCGGAGCGACTCCGCATCGCCGTGGGCCTCGTATACGGTCGTCTTTGCCACGTCCTGAGGTGGCAGGCCGACTGGGACTGTGGAATGTGACATTGTGACTGCTTGGGCTCTTGACTGTGTCAGTGCAATGGCCCGCGACAACGACTCGGAAGGCGACGGAAGAGAAGAAAGCCACAGCCTGCCGCCGGCCGGGAGGGGGAGGCGAAAGAGTCAAGCACGTCCGGGGGTCTAGATATAGTTGGGTCAGGGACCCCTGGAACTAGCCATCTTCCGGCACTCGTCTCGATGCCTGTGATACTGTAATACAGGGTGCGGATTATGTAAGTGGGGATCGGACAGTTTGGTGCCGGCTTACAATTTCTCGCACGCCTTAGAAGCGGATGACAACGCCTGACTCAGCAGCTCATATTACCATGGCCAATCTGCAAACAATCGCAGGCCATTCTGCCGTGCCATCGCACCAAAGGATTGATTATCCCGAACTGCCGATTGGGAATTGGGTGCTTCGAAGCGGACTTCAAGACATGGGCGATCTCGCACCGTCGCATTGGGGCAGCCATGCCAACTCCCTTGAAGTCTGGCCATGTCAGACTTAGACATGCGGCTCAAAGTCAATTAGTGCCCGGCTATGGAAAGTGCGACGCCTCGTTTTGCGCGGTGCAGGATACAAGCTTTTGGTGGCAGCTGGCAGGTGACCCACCAGCTGTTGCACCTTCCACTCGGCTCCATGAGCTTCAAGGGCAGCAGCCGTGGACCCTCAAAGGCGCCGTGCAAGGGTCCAACTTACACAACACCAACCTCAGACCACACATCATGTAGCCACTGCGTAAGAACTGGGAGGCAACTGGTTCAATGTGCATGTGATGGCTTTGCAGGCAGTCTACGAGGCTGTTCGTGCCACACAGACAGCCCGCAGTACAACAATCGACCCCAACTGTATGTTCCATCATCATGAACCAGGCGAACCTGCCAGCGGCCCACAAACTGACGATACGCCAGTGGATCTGAGTGAGGTCACAATACAACAAGTCGATGAGTTCCTACGCCACCACGGCGAAAAGGTACAACTGTATGATCCTGTGTCACACCATGTTCACCATCAACTAAAGTAGTGGAATTCCCAGGATAGGCCAGGCGCTCTACTGACGGCATTGGCCGTGCTTGAAGCTCGTCCAGACCTTGTCCATGACCAGTCTTCACGAGAGCCTCTCGCGGGAATCATCAACACCATTGCACAGCTTATGACGCCGACATTAACAATCACGCAAGATGGTGGTGAGTGAGGCAAATTTTGGGAGTTACTGACTCGAGGCTCGGAACGAGGTGCCCAACTGACATTTATCTACAGACACTGCCGACTACCAGAATGTGCGCCAATCAGCAAGCATTGGCATCGATTTGGTACATCTGATCACGTCACAAGACGATGTCGAACTGTCCGCTGCAGCCACCGTTGCTTTAATAGCATATACCGACGCGACGGTGCAGTGGTCGGATCCTGATCTTGCAGAATCTGCACAAGAAGTCTTAGACGCTCACTTTGACCATGGGAATACCAGTGTCCAACAATTCATCCTGGAGGATGTTCTACACGCTTTCATTCGCCCATTGTTCTCAAAATCCCGACCCGCAACAGTGACTGCGTCCGGACGCAAAGCCGAATTTGTGCAGACAAGTCGTTACGATACCTTCAATGCCGACGCAGAGGCGAACAAGCCCTGGAAATACCAGAGCCGATACGCAATCACCGTATTTGCATGGACTGTCGACCACGCCGACGTAGGTATTCCGATCCTGGTGGTCTGGTTACACCCGGAGACCTCTATCTGAGAGTCTCGCTGACATTTCTGCTACCATGACAGCGCGAAACAATTCAGAAGAATTGGCATCAGTTCACACCAGTCTTACTCACTCTTCTAGATGAGACGGACACACCGTTAAAACTCAAATCTCTTGACATCTTCAAGGCCTTTTGGTCCAAGTGTCCTCCAGATCTGATGCAACAAACTGGCCTCGCGCAAGTCTTTGAAGACGCCATATTCCCTGCTGTGCTATATCTCCCCAGCCTGACCCCTGAGGACGAGTCCGTACAGGTGCTTAACGCCACATACTCGGCTCTGTTCGCTATAGCTGGCATTGACGCAGATTACAACACGTCAAAACCACAAAGTGATCCCAAGTTCAGCGACAAGCAGCGCAAGCTGGTCCACAAGATTGTCCGCGAGGGCATTCTGACCGCATACCAGCACTCAAGCGAGTACATCCGCATTGTTGAAGTCTTGTGCAAGCAATTACAACTTGTTGTGAATGGGATGGGGATTTTCGCTGTGAAGCACTTGAAGGTGAGGCACCATCTCTGGTCTTTTCTACCTGGGCTGTCTACTCATTATTATCTTTTGTGCCTTGTATTTTCAATCCATCTGACCTCCTAACCTCGCGAACAGGATGCCATCCCAATGCTGTCTGCCATTATCTCCGATCCTTTCGCCACAGTCCATCCGGCCTCTCTGATCGCCGCGCTTGACGCCCTGCGCGCAGTGCAAAACACATGCTGGCCGCGCGTCCCCAACTATGCGAATAACATTATCAAAATGCTCATGCTGTGCTGGCTGCGGATAGAAGAGGATGAGCATTCAAACAACAGCGATGGGCAGGACAACCCAGAGAAAGACGACCAACACCGGGGGGCGCCAAATACGGTCATGTTGGAAGCTTCAGTTATCAAAGAGAAGCTGAAACATAACGCACGCATGTTAGACGCAATACTGACCACATCACAAGAAGAACATCAAAACTCAGATCCAGTAAGCGGCAATGGGGAGAAGATTGAAGAGAGCCGCCGGAGTGTCGGTGGTGGGACATTATCAGAGCGTGTGCGGCCACTTGTCGAGAAGCACAGGTCTCTCGGGGAGTTGTTTGGTCCTTGAGCATCCGGTGTCAACCGTTGCGGCACGTATCGTTAGAGGCTTCAAGCGTTTTGTGGGAATGTGAAATCATGTATCAAAGAGCAGCGGCAAATATCCAAAGGAATCGTACGAGGTTGTCCTACCAAGAATAAACTGCGCATTATCGCTCTGCCCCATACCCTTCTCGTGATTCCCGGTCAAACACGACGTGTAACCATTCACAAATTGATGGAAGACTCCAGCTTTGGTCGCGGTGATCGACGCGGCTGGCTTTAGAAGCTACGGGTTTCGAGCCGTCCCTGCGCAACCTCAACATCTTTGATAATCTCGAGATCTCTATTGAAGTCTTTCCCAACAAGTTTAAAGTTAAACTAATAACAAGAGCCGCTCGCTGGCCGTTCGCTTGCAGAAGTACATATACTAGACTAGGCCCAGAAACAGATAGTGGGCCTCAATCTTCCAGGTCGAATATGTCAGTCATAGGCGTTGCTTCCACAGAGTTACAGCCGCCGTACTCCTCGTCAAAGCCACCATCGCCCCCAACACGCATCATGAGCCCCGAGTCTTCGGCCCCCGATGACAAGATCGACGCCCTCTTGCCTAGGCCACAGTCATTGTCGTCACAACAACCAATACCACCGAGCCCACCGTCACTACCACCACCGCCTTTCCCGACCCCGGTCCCGACCGCTGTTGCGGCCGCATAGCCCCCAGCCGAGACCTAGTCGACGGGCTGCTGCTTGAACAGGGACTTGCCTCTGAGCCACTTGCGATACGCCTTGTATCTCTTCTTGGTGAAGTCGTCGTCCGTCACGGTCAGCGGGTTCTCGGCGACGCGCAGCTGCTCCCAGTACGCGGCGAGGTCGTCCTCGCTCGTCGCCACCGTGCCTGCGCCGGCGCCCACCGCCGTGGTAGGGATGGTCGTGTTGCCCGCCCCCGTGGTGGATATGGTTGTCGTGACGCCGAGCAGGCCGCCCCCGTCCGTCTGCCAGCTCCCGCTGTTCAGGTATTCCTGGTACTCTGTCGAGTCCACGTCGGGCGGGGCGTCGCTGGATATGACGAGCGGCAGGGTCTCTGGGTGCCGCACGTACCGCGCGTAGTCGTCCGTCTCTTGCAGGCTGACGCTCGGGTTGAGAGACTCGTGGATCAGCTTCGTGAAGGTGCCCTGCGCCGCCCTCGTCTTCTCCTGGGGCGTGCGCTTGTGCTTGGATCCGTCGGCCGAGGCTGACAGAGGGTCATTGTGCTGCTGCTGCTCCGAGACGCTCTTCATGATGCCATGCGGGGCGCCGCTGGATTTGTTATCGTCGTGGTGTGGCTGCAGCCAACGCTGGAGGGATATTCCCCGCGAGCTGCTCCCTTGCTGCGTTGACTCGTTGTCTTCCTCTGGTATCGGTGTCGGCTTGCTGGGGTCGACAATCACGACGCCCTTCTTGGCCGCCGCCGCCGCCTTTTTGCGTTCATGCACCTCGTGGTCGCCCTCGACGCGGACCTTGAATGGGCTGAGATCGTATTTGCCCTGCTCCGCCTGCTTCACTGGGATGTACCTGATCGTCGAGTTCATTTTATACGGGAACATCTTTTGGAACGACGACAGCGTGGCTGGTCTATAGTATTCTAGCCAGTAGTCATCGAAATAGGAGACTGGCTTGTCGTTTAGTCCCGGCGGCGGTGGTACGTATGGGGGCAGGACCCTCTTCTCAAGATTGGCGGCGTTGAACCATTTCACGTAGTTGTGCTGTGCCTTTTGTGACCAAGCTCGTGGGTCGGCGTGGTGAAGGTAGTAATCCGTCGACAGATCCCACAGCATGGGCTGTCCCTGGGCGAAGATGTAGTTGCCCAGGAACAGATTATATGCCTCTTGCCGCTGGCTATCGAGGAACGAGTTGTTGTAGTAGCGCTTGAAGCTCTCAATCATGTCGCGCGAGTTGCTCGTCCACTGGTTGATTCTGCGATACGTCTCCATGGTGTTGACCAGCTGGGAGCCACCATACTGCACAGCAATAGAATCGCCGTGGTCGTGGTACATGTGGGTCAGCATGTTGACGGCATCCGTATCGTATTCGATGTACGTCTCCTGTAGTACGCCCAGTGCATGGAGCTGATGGCCCAATGCTCTCTTGCCGAGGATGAACTGTGCCGCATTCGTGCGGTCGAGGCAGTCGATGCAATTCGTTCTCGCCACGCCGTTTTGTACCATGGATGGCGTGATGTCACCATCGCCATTCTGGAAAAACCCCGTGGTCGTGATGACAGTCTCTGCGATGCTCTCGAGGGTATCGATGACGTTACCAGTCTTACTCTTGGCGGCTCGGCTCATGTCCCACGCCTTGTGTATGATTTTGTGTTCTTCTGGGAGAAACTGGTTGAGGTAGTCGATGGCTTTGGTGTATTCATCGAGCAGCTTGCTCTCTCTTGGTTGCCGTTCTTTGGCCTTGATCAGATTCAAGACATATACGGGCGAGCCATACCGCTCAAACAAGTTGTCAAAGTGCAACGCCGCTGGTGTATAGAAAGGATCAATCAGGTTCAGCTCAATAGGCGGCTTCGGTGTCACACCAGTGCTGTCTTGCGACCAATAGAGGGGAATACTGCCACGATGCTGTACATAAGAGGTGAATTGCGGGCTGGCGTAGAGCTTGGGCCCTGGCGCGTGGAAAGAGGTAGTCAAGGAATCGGACACAATCTGCTCCGTCTCGACATCATTGGCGACATATCCCAAATCGTTGGTGCCGCGCTTCAGGAACCTGGCACCTGCGTAGAACCGGGACCGCCTCGCAATCAGCGTGATGTAGGCCACGCGTCCATATATCGACAGAGCTGCCTGGTCGATGTGACCGTGGACAATCGGCCTGCACCAGTCGAAGGGGTGCTGGAGGATTCCTTCAGTCGGCTGCAACAAATGCGTGTTCCAGACAAACATGGAGTTGATATTGTCAAACGGCTCTCTCAGGAGGCCCTCTGCATTGGCGAGTCGTTCTTGAGTGATGTTGAACTGCAATGTCCGGGTGATATCGTAAGAATAGCTGAAGTAGAACGATCGAGTGAGGTCCAAGTTGTTCAAGATCCCCAGAAACCGCGACTCCTCAGGGTTCGCCGCACTGGGCTTGTACTTGCCCGGCGTCAGGGGGATCAACTCTGTGCCGTCCACTTGATATACATAATGACCCCCGATCATGGCGACGATGCTCTTCTTGGTGATGAGAAGCATGTAGTAAGGACCTGTGAACTTGATGAAGCCCAGTAGTCCCCAGGTCGTGCACCGCTGCTTGATGCCTCCTTTGTTCTTGTTTCCATCGTCGATGGTGTCCAGCAGGACATTCATCTCCTTCTGCGTGTAGACGACCTTGTCGTCATGGATACTAAGCTCCCCATCCTGGCTGTCGCGGTCAATCTTGAGCACACGGTAGCGCTTCTCGGTGGCATCTCCGCCCACGATGTAGTACTGGCCCGAGGTCTCGTACAGGGTGAACCTGGACATGGTGTAGACATCGTCCGGCTTGGTTCTGTCATCATCCGGAGGCGAGGTCTCCCGCGACGCCATATCGGGCCGGCTTGTACGCAGGAACGGCTGCGCGATGGCTGGCTCTTCGCCGTTGTCGTCGGCACCCTTAGGCTGTGGCACTGCTTGAGACAGGGTCTCGCTGCTTGCGTTGTTCTGCAGCAGCGGGAAAGCCGGCTCCGGGCTCACCTCCTGCTTCGGCCCGTCACTTGTGCCATTGCGCAGTGCATCCTCCGCGGGGCTGCCAGGTCCTTCCGGCGTGGTTCGTGCTTGCGAAACCGGGTCCAGAGCAGGTGCTTCGCCCGCCTCGGCCATCCTGTCTAGCGGAGCAGAGTGTTGATCGTTGCAGGCTCTATTGACAGTTGGAGCCTAGCTCCAGGCGGCATGCTTGGTCAGAAAGCCTCGTGTGTGGCCCTGTCGCATCGCTATGTCCTGTCGCAGGCATCCAGTTGTTCACAGCCGAGATTCACTGATACTACACAGACGTGATATCTTGGTGCTGGTGCGTGGACTGCGAGCGGTGATGCACGCTTGCCTCACAGGTCGTTTGGAGCCTCAGGCAGAGTCCACCCCCACCTTGCATCTCCACGGCCGCCATCCCCAGCTTTCGCACGTCATGTTGCAGCGCCGACGCAAATAGTCATTTCATGCATGCCAGCTCCGCGAAAATCAACAGGTGAATCGAATTCTGGGTCAAGTGTGGCATCGGACGAGCACTTAGATGTACAACATGCACCAACGATCGAGACTCGCAGGACTACCCAGGAGGAACCATGGCCCTCTGCTTTCACTTTTACGGTCTTCAAAGCCATGAGTGCTTGTGGTTCATCCCGGATAGACTACTCGCAGCCGGAATTGAGACTCTTCAACGTGGATCTAGCAGCGCTCCAATTTTGCTTTCACTATCGTTGTTGTTGGGTATCAATTTATCACGAAACTGTTCTGCGGAATTATGGACTACAAAGCTGCCACAGCTTGCTCCAAGTAGTTTCGAGGCGACTCCCACGCCAACCAGTCTGACCTCGTTGTTCTGCGTCATGGTTAGTACACTACAGCAGGACAAAATGTTGATCAACGCGGGGATTCATTGAAGGGACGTACGGCAGGAGACCCATCGAGTTGACCTTCCACACGCCAAGCGCAAGCGCGACAAACTGCATCGCAATATATGCGAGCCTGGCCTGGAGCATCTTGGTGCGGTTCGTCTCGCTCTCGAACCGCTCGAAGGCCTGATTTGTTCCCACGAGACCCATGATAGGGCCCTTGAAAGCCATAAAGACCATCATGATGCTGAAGATTTGCAGAGAGTTGCCGGACATGTACATCATGATGGCGGTCATGGGCAGGTTCTTGACGGGCGCAAGAGCAACCTCCCATGCCTTCTTGAGCTTAAGTGTATCCATTTCCTCGGGCGAGGGCTGGGGCCGTGTCTGCAGGGCAGCCTTGTCCTTCTTGTCTTTCTGTAGGCTGGTGTTAGCGGATGATGTGGCTTTCAAGGCGCAAGGTCGGGAGCTAGGATGTGCCGTACTTTTGAGAGTGCCGAGGACGACGATGGAAAACCGAAAGGGTCGGGGATGTTGTTGCTCTTCGACTTTGGCGGGGGAGGGTTTCTGAGATCGGCCACCCACTTTGGGGTCGAAGTAATAGCTTCAGACATCGCGAAGGCTTTTGAAAGGGGGCGCTCGGGTGATCGACCTCGCGAATTGGGACGACTGCGCGGCAGGTCGAGGAGTGCGAATAGGGGCGATGCGCTGGAGCTGTGGGCGGAAGCGTGAGATGGCGTCGTTGATGCAAGGACGGGGTGGGTTCGTGGCTTTGGCGATAGGTTCCTGCTGGCGAGTTGCTCGACAGACAGGCCGGTCGGACCAGACCCACCAGCACTTGACGACCCAGTGACAGGGAGCTTCCGGCTCACCCGCCGAGGGCGCCGCTGACTGCCTTAGTCATGGCTCCAGGCGGAGGACGGCAATTCAGGGCCCGACCTGGGAAAGGGGCACCCCAAATCAAAGGCTCCAGGCTGGCGGATGGCGACGGATCACTTTCCGCAACATCATTTCGATGCCTTCGAATTCTCGTCCAGGGCAGTCGACGTCCAATTCCACGACCCAGCCACCCCCAGCCCGGATCTGCCATTGACTTGCGCAGCTCCTGCCGTCGAAGCCACGAGGCCTCTGTCCATCTGCTCACGACCAGCCAGCCATTTATTGCGACAACCCGCGTACGGATCGTACGACACAATCCAGAGTCATCTTGAGTGGGAGATTCCAACCATAACAACGACCGCGACACAATAGACCGCGTACACTCGTCCTTCGCTGGAGGCTTCCGAGCAGCGTTGGAGGACAAGGAATTCAAGCTCTCCAACTGCCCACCGACTTTGCTGGGTCTCAGGGCCGCCCAGAAACGACAAGAGGGAGGGGTTCTGCTTGACCACACCAATTGTGCCACCAGTACTGCTGTCGCCAGCAAGAAAGCTACCTCTGCGCCGCCCACCCCAGCCCTCGCGTGCTGCCAAGACCCCTCTCTGTTCAGAGTTGGAGGCGTCGAGCCCATTCCCAAGTAGACTCGGGGACAACGCAAAACAGTACCAGCCTGTCACGAGGGCCGCAGCTGGGCTGAAGACGAGAGCTGCCACACGCAGAGACACCCACACACACCAGCAGCCCCGTCCACCACCGCAGCCATGTCGAGTGCTCAAGGCGGAGGCGACTCGAAGCTGTTTGCTCGCGTGAGTCCAACCCTGCATCCTCAGATATCACATCACACCACACGCTTCCCCACCTCCGATGCCTGTGCCCAGTCTCTATCTGCGCAGTCGCGGCTATCAAGCAGAATACCCCTCCCCCTTCACCCCGTACTTTTCCCGTGAAATACTTGTATCCCTCAGGTATTCGTTTATTGCGCCGCTCTTATGAGGCGCCCGCGACTTCATCGTGGCGTACACCCTTCCATTATGCCCAAAGCCCATGCTGGCATCCCCTACCATGAGCATGTTTCTCGCATATGTCCCGCCAGTCTACTCACGACCTGTGACGATGCAGGGCAAAGTCGCTGAGTTGCGCCTCGAGCTCAACAGCGGCGGCAAAAAGGACAAGAACTTCGTGCAGAAAAAGGTCGCCCTCAAGAAGATTGTCGCCAACATGACCATGAGCAACAACGAAATGGTGTCACTGTTTCCCGACATTATCGGCTGCATGCACATCCAGAGTCTAGAGATCAAGAAGATGTGAGTTGGCTAGCTGCAAGAGCCAAGTTTCGGAACTCCACTGACTGAAGAGGCTAGGTGCTTCCTTTTCTTGGTCAACTACTCAAGGATGAAGCCCGAGATTGCAGTAAAAGCAATCCCGGTGCTCGAGCAGGTATGCATGCGCCAGATCTTTGTGATATTCCCACAAAGCGAGCAGCCAGACTAATACTTCCGGCAGGATATGGAAGACTCAAACCCCTTGGTCAGGGCTCTCGCTCTTCGGACAATGTCTTATGTCCATGTCAAAGAATTCGTCCAGGCCACATTCCCTCTGGTCAAGCGCTTACTCAAGGATAACGACCCCTACGTACGAAAAACGGCCGCTTTCTGTGTGGCGAAGCTCTATGACCACGACAAGCAGATGGTTGAGAAGTCGGACCTGATTGAGCGTTTGAATCAGTTACTCCGGGACGACAATCCGACAGTGGTAGCCAGCGCCCTGGCTGGCTTGATGGACATCTGGGAGCGTAGCGACAACATCAAGCTCACGATTGATTACAGCAATGCGTCAAAAATGGTTGCCATCCTGCCTGATTGTTCCGAGTAAGTGGCTGCTATGAACTGTGCTGTCTGCATCAGACAACTAACACCAGCAATTCCAGGTGGGGCCAAACATATATCCTTGAAGCCCTCATGTCCTACGTACCACAGGAGTCTGGCGAGGCGACTCTGCTTGCAGAGCGGATTGCCCCGCGGCTTTCTCATTCCAATTCCGCGGTCGTACTGACATGCATTCGTGTCATTCTGTACCTCATGAACTACATCGCCAACGAGAAACAAATTTCAGCCTTGTGTCGGAAGTTGTCACCACCTCTGGTGACACTACTTGCAAAGGGTCCAGAGGTGCAATATCTGGCTCTCCGTAATGCACTTCTTATCCTGCAGAGAAGGCCCGACGTTCTCCGAAACGACATCCGCGTCTTCTTCTGCAAGTACAACGACCCTATCTACGTCAAGGTGACGAAACTCGAGCTCATCTTCATGCTCGCCAACGAAAAGAACATCGACGAGGTTTTGACTGAGCTGCGAGAATACGCCACCGAGGTCGACGTCCATTTTGTACGGAAAGCGGTTCGCGCCATTGGCAAGCTGGCCATTAAGATTGAGCCGGCTGCGCGAAGGTGCATCAACCTGTTGCTGGAACTGGTCGCCACAAAGGTGCCATATATTGTCCAGGAAGCAACCGTGGTAATACGGAACATTTTCCGCAAGTACCCCAACCAGTACGAGTCGATCATCGGAACGCTGTGTGAGCACCTGGACTCTCTAGACGAGCCAGAGGCCAAGGCGGCCATGGTATGGGTCATTGGGCAGTACGCGGACCGTATCGAGAACAGTGATGTCCTTCTTGAGGACTTCCTGTACTCTTTCGCCGAGGAGCCCGTCGAGGTCCAGCTGGCACTGCTGACGGCCACCGTCAAGCTCTTCATTCAAAGGCCCACAAAGGGTCAAGACCTCGTGCCCAAGGTGCTCAAATGGGCTACGGAGGAAACTGATAACCCTGATCTGCGCGACAGAGCATACATGTACTGGCGTCTGCTCAGTTCCGACATCAACGTGGCCAAGCAGATCGTCATGGGCGACAAGCCGCCAATCACAGCCGAGTCCGAAAAGCTCGACCCTCAGACCCTCGAAGAGATGTGTCTGAGCGTCGGCACTCTCGCAACCATCTACCTCAAGCCCGTGCAGACTGTGTTCCGCTCTGCGCGGCCCCGAAAGCTCGCGGACTCGCCTGCGCTCCAGAAACACCTCCTCCCAACGTCGCAGAACCTGCCGAGTTTCGAAAACGCCAAGAGTCTCAGCATGCTCGGCATGGGCGGCCAGCCGGCCGTCATCCGGCCCGGGCAGAACAACGGAGGCAACATGAATGACGCGGTCAATGATGCCGACGCCTATTTTGCGGGCATCGGCAGCCAGCAGATGGCCGCCATGGGAATCCATAACCACGGCGACACATTCGGAGACAACAACGGCACCGAGGCCGGATATGTGGTCAACCAGTACAATCCGCAGCAAGTGTATCAGCCTGCGCAGGGGGTGGGGAGCAATGGTGACTTGCTGATGCTGTAACGAAACGACTTGGGATGTCCTGGGGGGAAAGTCGGAAAGGCTGTTGCATGATGAAAGATGGTCACTGCTGCAATAACCTTGACGAGGGAATGTATATAATCGAATTTGGCAGCGGACGGATGTGTAAATGAGGAATTAATATCTTTCGAGTCCGACAGAAACGAAGGGCTCGTTACGAATATATGAGATTATTGGATCAGGACTGATCTGAGCATATTCACTAGGCACAATCTCGAGGCATCGCTTTTGTCGAAAGCTTCCATCCTCACATCCTCAAACGTCAAAAAATCCTCCATTATCACGCTACGGACTGGGGATATCCCCCCAAAAAGGACAAGATTAATTAAATGTACACATTTGCTGGAAACGTCGAAACCAGCAAAGAAATTAGCCTTCCAAATCGTCTCAGGACACCTGCCGCTTGTGTCTCTGCTCCTCCCTCCCCACCGACAAGACAGGCATGCTCGTGCTCGTGCCCGTGCTCGTGCGGACGGGCTCACCGACCGCGACTCCTACTCCCTCTGCCCGTCCTTGTCCCCCTTCTGCTTCTCCTCGTCCATCTTGTTCACCATCTCCTGGTGAGACCAGGCCGGACACTGCCGTGCCGATCCCCGCAGCTGAAGACGAGAGGGATAGAGGGCTGTTGTAGTTGGTAGCGTCTTCGGACTGGAAGCGGTTGTGGTAGGCGTGGCCGGCGTGGACGCTGCTGCCCACGCTGAGGGTCCTGCGCGACTGCGGCCTGCGGGGGCGCGAGAAGGAGGCGGCGGACTGCGAGGAGGAGGTCGGGCGCGACACGGACGAGGAGGCTACGAGGGGCGGCGTCGGTGGTGGTGGAGGGAGCGGAGGCAAGGGAGGCAGGTGAAGAGCGGAGTATGGCACGGGGGGAGGCAGGACGTAGTTGTAATTCCTGACGGGTTCGTCGTCTTTGGCTTGCTTGGCGCCTTTGTCTCTGCGCAGGATCGACATCTCGTGGCCGAGCATGTAGAAGTCTCCCTTGCTGCGCCTGTCGCTCTTGCTGCGGCCCAGAGAAGATCTCTGCTTGCTGTCACTCTGCTTGTCCGCCACGACCGCCTGCACCGGCGGTAGGCTCGCTCGGCCGCGGATCTTTCTCGTCCTGGTCCGGCCTCTGGTGTGCTGCTCCTGGTCTTGGTCGTCGGCAAAGTAGTCCTGCTGCAGCTTGATGCCGCTGATGAGACTGGCGTGGTCGCTGCTGGGCGCGTCGCCGTTGTACGCGCCGAGGCCGATGACGCCGCCGTTGCGGGTGCTGCTGTTTCCGCGGGTGCTGGTTCCGCGCGTGGTCGTCTCGCCCGTGTGTGCCCACCAGGCAGGGCCGCTCCAGACGCTCGCCATGCTCTGGTCGCGGCTGCCGAGACGACGCCCGCGCGTGCCCACGGCCATGAGGAGCTTTCTCCGGTGCTGCTCCTCGGCGAGGATGGCCCGGAGCCGGCGCGTCCGGATTCCAACGTATAGTCCAAGCCCCAAGGTGACGAGTACTGCGGTGCCCAGCACGGCCACCTGGATAATCAGGCTCCTGTCGACGGTGATGTCTGCAGTCAGCCGGCGTGACCCTTGGTTTCCATGCTTGACCACCCCGAACGATACAGGCAGAGAGCCGAGGTAGACGAGAGCAAGTTGCTTCGGCAGCGTCAAGGCCGCTGTAAGCGTAAACTGCCAGAACCTGATGTTGCAGGTCGAGAGGAATGCGGTCGAGAAGTGCGGTGGTATCGCGGAGAGGCGAGTGAAAAGGACGAGCTGGATGAAGTCAGGTCAGAAGATATAGCCAAATCTATAACACGGACGGATAGAGAGAACTGTCGAGCCATATCACATCAGCATAACCACTGCACCTTCAACTCACCAAGAAACCGCCTTCGCGGACTATGCGGGTCAGCGAGCCATATTTAAGGCTCGTGCATTCGAGTGTTAAAGATCGTCGTTTGAAGGATCTCTGAAATAACAGCCATGTGCCGACTGAAATGAAGCAAGTCAGCTTGTGTATGTTGCTTTCGTGTGCGAGGATCGAAATGGGCTTCCGCTCGTCGGGCACTAACCTTCGCCAAGTATCGTACTGACCGCCATGATCGCAAACCCTACCCATAGACCGTAGGCCGCACCGCACAATACAGCAATGATCTCATGGCCGAAAAAGGGTGGGAAGGAGGCTACGAAGGCAATGGCCCCAAGGATCAAGAAGCCTGCCGGCAGATCTCGTATAATGTCCGAAAAGGGTTGGAGAATCTTAAGCATCAGACGTCGTCAGTCCGCATTGCCAATCAATGTTTGCGGAATCGTTTCGGCCGGTAGGAGAAGTTGTCTTTGACTGACCTGGACGGCTTGAACGTGGAAGAGCGTGATAATGACAGCCAACGCGAAAGATATGATGACTAGGACAATGCCCACTATGTCCACCCGAAGGATGTCAGCAACAACCTGGCACGACGTTTTCCAGAGATGACTTTCACCACCTTCGCAGCGCAAGCTGCTGGAACTTACATAATAATCCCGCTCCCATACATTTTCGCCTCGATGATCCCAGTCGGGAGTCCACATCGTAATGCAAGGCTTCAGAGAGGACGTCGAGGTCCTGTCGCTTCGCCATATTCGCAGGCCGTCATCGATACCGTCTGCCAGCCACAGAGCATATGTGTGTATGCTGTTGTCGCGCGGTGAGGGACAGTTGAATGAAAAAGACCTAAGATAGATGTTGAGAGGCCGCGCCGCCTTTCCTCCGCGGGCGAACAAGGTTTTCTTCTTTTTTTCTTTTTTTTTCGAGTAGTACGGCCGTTGTCCGCATGGCCTGTCAAGACTGACGGGAATCTCGAACCAAGCGCAGTAGGTATTGTTCGCGGCTCAGCTAAGGTTTGCGACCAGGGCGCGCAGCCTGGATGTTAATTACCGTCTGTCGAGCTGCGCCCGCCCTTGCGTCTCCTGCTGAGACATTCCGCATTCCAGGGGGTTCTTGTGCCACGAAGTTGCAACCGTGACAAAACCCCGCCTGTCTCACTCGCTCTGGAAGCATGCATGGCGGCGACGTCGTGAGAATTCCTGAGGCCACAAGAATGGGCTTTGCGTTGCATTCGGCGCGTGGCCGATGCCAAAGACTGGGCCCCATGCCATCGACCAAGTCGCAAGTGTAGCTCGCTGGTGACTGCTCCCGTTTGCAAGTCAGAGCGGCACGATCCGTCCGATCCTGCCTTGTGCTCGCAGAGTAAGCACTTGTTAGACTCACACACAAGCAGAAAGCTCGTCCGCGTGCAAGATGCCGTTGTATCGCAGAGGACGTGATGCCTTCCAGTCAGTCAAACAAGTCCAACCCCCGCCGTCAAAATTCACTCGGGTCGGGAAGGCGGTTCCACCAATGCAGGCGGAGAAAGGCCGAGTCGCCCGCTCCTGCATCATCATACTTCTCAATAGCATCGCGAATCGCTTTGTTCTCGATCTCAAAACTGAGCTGAAACCCATAATTACCATGAGAACTTTTAGGCTCTGTTGTCGAGTAGATGCAAGTCGTACGTTGAATGTTCAAATCGTGACCTCCTTCAAGCACATAGCAATCCGGCTCAAAATGATCGGGCTTTAAGAAGTCCCGTACCATACTCGACTCACAAATGTCGACATCAGTCATGACGTTCAGAATAAATTCAAATCCCGAATCCTCTGGAGAGTAGACATGGGACCAGCATCGCAGATCTTCAGGGTTCGACCGAAATTGATCTTCTGTTTTTTCCAGGTCCGAGGCATAATCCTTGCTCCGGAGGCCACAGGTAATGACTGCTTTGCCGCCGTCGCCCGTCCCCGGCAGTAGGAGCAACTCGATCAGACATACAGACCTGGAGGAGCTCGGGATGAAGATGCACTGTGGTTCGTTCCAAAGCGCCTCGGGCATCACCCGTCCGATCACAAACCAGTTAGGGGTGTGAATGTGTATGGCCGTTTCATACTGCTCGTCGACCTTGGCTACTTCAGATCTTGATAACACGCCCGGTACTGTGACCAGTCTCCGTGGCGTTCGCTGCAAAGTACCGGATACCTGCGACTTGTACTCGTATAGTTCTGTTGGCCGAGCTCGCACAAAGCCGTGCCGCGGAGAAAGTTGCAGGTAGACTCCAATATTGGGACCATGCGGGTTGGCGATGGTTTCCCTCGCGCAGTCGAGATCTAATACATAAAGGCCGTCCATGATGAGTCGCGTTCTGAGCTTGATTCCGGTGTTCGAAATGCCTATCTCGGTGGTTTGTCTGTCTGTGGTGGCCACAGGGTTTGTGTTGATGCCAGGGTAGAACTCGGACGGCGAGTGTGCCAGGAGTCCACGATACTTTTCTTCTTCTGCGTCTTTCGCCCGCCACAAGAACAACGTCGGATCATGATACTGCCTGATGATCTCCTCCTGTAGCCGCCGGAAGGCTTTTCTCCCTTCTCCATACAGGAGCGGCATGTTTATGTCAAAGAGTCCCAGCAGGCAGTATGCCACATCCTCCTCGCGGGTTGTCTCTCTGTTAGCAGCCCATGACATGCGGTAGCAGACGGGATACGAAGTCGCTGGTCTTTGGCCTCTGAGCACTCTGAACGGTACCCCTGTGACTGCCTTCAACACGTGACAGTGTCCTCTCTTTGTCCCGCAGTTGACCCATTCGGAGTTGTAGAACTCGACTCTTTTTGGTGCGATGAATTCCTGCAGCGTCCAGCCGCGATGAAACCATCTACACTTCTCCAGCTGACTCGTGAGCCTGTCCGGATCGCCATAGGACCCGTCAGCCGAGTCGCCGTTGCCGTCGCCGTCCGGTCTCCAGGTGCCTGGTGGCATGTCCTCGAGGTATGCAAGGCAGATGGCAGCATTCTGGTACCAGGCATACATGGAGTTGATCGCCTCGCTCAGCTCTGCACTTGACGATTTGTCGATGCAGCATGTGTCCACCCAGCAGTACTGCAGAGGCTCCTTCCTCCGTCGAGCCAGGCGGCACGCCTGCTGTATCTTCTTGTAGCCGGTGCTGTCCTTGTCGCAGGCGCCGGTGCGGAATTCGTTGAATGTCACTTCCTGGCTCTCGGTCCAGGTATGTGAGAGAATCGCATACCTCTTGCTCTTCGGGTCTGTCACCCACTCGAGCTTGAGGGTCTGCGTGTTGATGAGCCACATTTTCTTTTCGAGGTGAGCGCCAAAGTCGTTAGTGACTGGGGGATTGAGGTCCAAGTCACAAGTTGGGCGGGGTGAGCTGTCTTGATCCATTCCGCCGACAAGGCTGAGGCGCGGCGCGTCTGGATTGGCTCTCGTTGCGCCTTGCAGGGAGGGGTCTTGTGATCAGCTGAAGGCTGGGGAGCCTGAAGTCGACCATGTCAGCTCGCCAGACTGGATTGTAGACATATGGAGATCCCTTGAGGAAGAAGCAAGTGTATTCGCCTCCCATCAAGAAACAGAACGTTGGTGAACACGTAGGTAACAGCTCTTAGAGGACTGCATTTTTCAGGCCACGTGAAATGGGTCGCTAGCGTTTACCAGAAGACAGCTGTGCACAGCTCAAGGCTTGGCTAGGAAGATATCAATATCCGTGATTAATTGCAGTGGGAATTCAATGCGGCCTCTGCCTCGCTGCCTCATGCGGCAGAAGAGTTTAGATCTTCCACCTGTCTGGTCGGGGTGAAGTGTGAGCGCTACGACAAACCTGCGTTAGACCAAAGGCCAATCCTGAAGCGTGATCGGACTAATACTGCCACAGGTATTCTTTTCTGATAGTCAACTCGTATTGTCTGAATGACATGTAACCCTTACTGTCGCATCGAATTTCAGGTGGAATTTTATATAAATTGTTGACATTTTACAATATAGCACCAACATACATACTCTCGACGATTTGCCCCATGCCTTTCTAACAACCAGTCCGCAAGTACAGGACTTAATAACAACTGGACACGAAGGTTCGAACTCAGCTGTTACTACCATACTTTAGGAATCTAATAACGTAATCCACAAGTGGGTGAATCACACAAGTGGATGAATCAGTCCCCCGCCACTTTCGTACAGGCTGTCTTCTTTCCCCCTTTTCTCCACCGATAATTATGGTACGACAATCAAATGAAAGCGATTTAGTTCTCGCGCTAAATGCGCTTCAATCGAACCCAGAATTGAGCGTACGAAAGGCTGCATAGATCTATAATGTATCCTTCTCAACCCTCTAACGACGACAACACGGCCGACCTGCGTAACAAGATATCCGACCACCTTGCCAGAAATTGACCTCGTACGAAGAGGACAGTATCGTACGATATATAATCGACCTAGATTCGCGATCGTTTCCACCGCGATTAGGTGGTGTTCGAGAAATGGCGGATCGACTCCTCCGCGTACGCGACGCGCCACGCGTCGGAACGAACTGGGCCTCGAACTTCGTACGACGACGACCTGAGCTCCGTACGCGTTTTAATCGAAGAATCGATTACTAGAGGGTCCTTTGCGAAGATCCGGACGCGTATCACGCGTGGTTTACGCTCGTACGAAACATAATCGCGAAATACGGGATCCACGATGACGATATCTATAACTTCGACGAAACGGGCTTCGCGATGGGCAAAATCTCCGCCGAAACTGTCGTTACGACCTCCGATCGACGCGGGAGGCCAAGAGCCGTACAACAAGGGAATCAGGAATGGGTTACAGTAATCCAGGGCATCGCGTCGTACGGCTATTCAATCCCGCCATATATCATCTTCGCCGGGAAGGTCCACCTCGACTCCTGGACCGCGAATAGCCCCCTACCGCCCGACTGGGTAATCGCGCTTTCAGAAAACGGTTGGACGACGAACGAGAGAGGCCTAGAATGGGTAAAACACTTCGATTTCCATACAAAGAGTCGTACGAAGGGTACCTACCGCCTCCTCATCCTCGACGGCCACGAGAGCCACCATTCCGTCGATTTCGAGCTCTACTGCAAAGAACAGAATATTGTTACCCTCTGTATGCCTGCTCATTCGTCGCATAAGCTCCAGCCTCTCGATGTTGGGTGCTTTGGACCTCTGAAACGGGCGTACGGTAAAGAAATCGAAGGTCTAATACGGGCGCACATAACCCACGTTTCAAAGGAGGACTTCCTCCCAGCCTTTTATAAGGCGTACGACGCTGCAATGACCAAATCAAACATCCAGGCAGGCTTTAGAGCGACAGGCCTAGTACCGTACGACCCGAATTATGTGATTTCGCAGCTAGATGTGAAGTTTCATACGCCGACACCGCCAGGTTCCTCTGCTGGACTACCACCCCCTTGGGTTTCAAAGACGCCGAACAACCCAATTGAGACCGAATCGCAGACGAAGTATATTGAAAATCGCATCGTACAACACCAGAATAGCTCACCGTCGTCCATTGTTGAGAGCGTACGGCAGCTGAGAAAAGGAGTTATGATGATGGTACACGAGCAGGACCTTATGCGCCAAGAGCTCGCCGAACTTCGAGATGCAAACGACCGCCTCAGCCGCCGTCGTCGTACGAAAAGAAAGCAGCTGCAGAAAGGAGGGTCCCTCACGATTGATCAGGCAAAGGATTTGAAGGCTCAAATCGATGCGACGCAGTAGTTAATAGCGGAAACGAGTCAGAAGAGTGGTCGTACGAGGAGGCCCGAAACGCGCGCGCGACGATGTGGCGTCTGCGGCGAGCCCGGGGATAATGTTCGTACGTGTCAGAAAGTTATATCTGCCTCTGAAGAAGAGGATTCCGAATAGTTTGAATTGATTTGAGGCGTTATGGTTGAATTGACTTATATATTGTCGTACGAGTACCCGATAACTGATTCATCCACTTGTGTGATTCACCCACTTGTGGATTACGTTATGTGCAATAGCTGCTTGTTTATTTAATCCGTAGTTCTCATTCGGGTAGCATCTCTCCTGTCATTTTCCCATGGTTAGCTCACTCTTTTGAACAACCAGTATCCGCGAGCCAAAGTTTGCAAGATTTGCGAAACTTTTAAGCGCAGGGCCGTGCTGAACAGCTGCTCTCGAGCTTCCGGCGTTGTGTGGTCGATAATTTCGCAGGAGATGGTCCCTCGAAATCTTTCCAACGCATGCTGCCGAAGATGACAACTCCGGCCATAAAGGAATTTGTCCGAGGTACCAATCGTTCTTCAGGCGCCAAGAAAGTTAGTGCCTGACTGCCACCTCCGTAGAGCGGGAAAGGCTTTGGCTGTAAGTCGTGTCTTGGATGCCCGTTCCCCTCGACGCCAACATCTGGGTGTCTGGCACTGGGCCTTCAAACATCTGACATGATGAGAAGCATGAGAAGCATGAGTACATTCTCTTCACTTTAGAAGACACGGGAAACCGTCCCTTCGGTATGTCACTCGATCAGTCATCCATCGTTGCACTCCTTGGCGGTTGGCTGACAGCGAGCGGGGAAAAGAGTGGTGGGACATAGCTCGTCCACGTCTGAGGCAGCATGCTACACGCAGCCAGAAGGCACACTTCGCGGCCCCTTTTGAGCATCACGGCATGCTACTACACAAGCAAGGACTATGATATGTCTATGGCGCCACGGCTGTATTAAGCCATCATGCTGATTCCGCAATCATTCACGACTTGCAGGGGAGGAAGGTAGTCCAGGTAAACATCACTAGAAGCCTGCGATCCTACATTGCTCATCTCCGGCATTCGATCCTGCGCCTCTGCGTGTATGGAAGTCCGAAGCAGCAAGCTGTAAGCACGACAGAGACGCTATCTCCCTCACCACTTAGCTTCCAATATTTCGTTATTTGCTTGTGCCAATAGACGAGACACGGGAAGACGCGGGCGCGAGACGGCTCTGAGCCCAATGAGACGATCATGATCGACGTGGCACACTGGGAACACATGTATTCCCGTGAAACTCCACCTGTAGTAGAAGAAACCCGAACCGGCAAATGCATGCGGCCGTGAGGAGACCTGTGAGACGCGGCGCTGCTACACGGTTAGCTGGCGACCTGGGGGGATGGGCCGATGTTGACGTCTCCGGCTCGCCGCTCACCACTTCAGCGCTCACCAGACGGCGCGAGGAGGCAAACATCCTCGGTGATGGGTGCGAAACAATTGTTGAGCACTGCCTTCATGGCAAAGAGCCAGGCTCCACATGGTACAAGGCTGGGCAGCGTCCTCTGTGTGGTTGTTGTCTCGCTGGTTTTCAATGCTGAGTTGAACGAATATATAAGATGACTTCGATCCCGGCTGTCTGCCCCCCCTGAATCCAGCATTCTCGCCAACATATTCAACGCAACCCTTCCTAAAACAGTCCGCAATCGAGCCAAAATACCTCTGACCACTCTCCTGCCCTGAGCCCAAACCCCCTTACCTCACTATGTCAGACGCAGAGACAACAGTTGGTAAGGACGATTGTTCTGATTCTGAAACTTCGTATGCCGAAAGCTCACACACTTGTGCTTCCAAGGAGCCACTGTGAGCCTTCAAGCTCCCAGCGAGGGCGAGACCACCTGGACAGCCACCCAGGTCGATCCAGCCAAGGACCTGGATAGCGGAGACAGTCAGGGCCGGCTCTCGCTCGAATGGAGCTATGGCCCAGTGCAAGTGAGTCGTCGCCAATCTCGCTACTCCCGAAGAGCGCAACAGAGGACTCGTGAGGCCTCTTGTTTGGAGCGCGCACCCCCGACGACCCTGCATATCCGCAACTCATTCTCTCGCTGGACTAACCTCCATTTGGAAAAACACAACCAACAGCTGTCTGGCTACGTCTCGACGGACACCTTCGCCCTTGCATATAGCCCAACTATCGCTGGCATCAATCTCGGCACCATTTACGGCAACCTCAAGGACGGTGTCGCCGTCAACGCGGACTTGAAGACCGTCAAGGGCCAGATCAAGACGTACCTCAAGAACGGCAACGAGATCTGGAATTACATTGACATCCAGATAGCATACAATGGTTCATACCAGGGAGACTACAAGATTATGACATTCTAGACTCATCCGAGATTGGCACAGGCTTTTGGAGAAGACGGTGTTCACCCGAAACTGGCGAGGAGTGCGGTGAAACATCCCGTTGAAGCGCCATCCGACCTTTCTATATTCTGTCCAGTAGCATGAATGAAGAGACTGCTTCGTGTGGAATTCTGATGGGTCATGGCAAGCACACGATGTTTGACAAGTCTCCTCGATTTGCGCACCGACAATTGAGCGTGTATTAGTGGACCTGACAATGTGGAAAGCTCCGGTGAAGATCCTCGGAGACACGACTTTTGCTAGTAAATTAGAATAAGGAAAGACGCCCAGTTGCCGGTTGTGACAGTGTGGAAGCAGCAAGATCAGTAATGCTATTGCAGCACTGGAGCCGCTTTTGTGTGAACACTCTCCGTCGGCATACCGCCGACTGTCATACCAGGTGCCCAGGCACAGACATACGTACCAGAGCTCTTGTGTGGTTGTTTGTACGATGGTCTAGCTTCGTCCTGCACGTACTGTCGGCCAATGAAGCTTATCCTAGCCTGCTTGTCTCAGACACTTGACTAGACACCCGGCCGTAATGCACATACTGCCCTTCAGCGCTTGCCACCTACCAGCAGTCATCATTCGTGCGCTGGGTGCTGGACAGAGCACGGCCTTGCGAGCAACGTGAGCAGGACTGAAGCCCACAAAGGTCTGAAAGTATCGACGCACGCACAAGCATGGAGTGTTCAAAACTTGGCACATGTCCACCACAGACTTTCATGGCGCCAAGCGAATAAGTCCAAGACTGGTGCGGATTTGAATATGCACAATACGACCTGACCAGATCACTTGGCTCCCTCAAGTGGCTGTCTCCAAGTCAATTGTACACCAGGATGTATTCCGAGGTGTGAAATATGTACAAGAATTGTCACAAGTCACGAGGCTTTCAGCCCCGCCGCATCCATTCTGGCCTGGTTATCACTATCCCCTTTTCGCATGATCTCGCACTTTTAGTAAGGATCGCCAGAAGAGTCCGAGTAGTCATAGCACGTCAGTCTGCCGTCGATGTTGCCAATGATATCGTCTGCAAGGTATGCAAATGCGCTCGAAAGGTCAGTGAAAAAAATGCTCATGTTTATATTTCTGGGCAGGATCTCTCCTTCATGGAGATGAGGAGTCTCACTTACGCAGGGGGACGCAGTTCTTTATTTCGACACCGTTGAAGTCGCGGCAGCCGATGCAGTATGAGACATAGTTGGTGTTGACAATGAGCGTTGCGTCGGCCGCGTAGCACGTGGGGCGGAAGTTGCCGCTGTAAATGTTTGAAGTCAGCCACACCTTGTCTCTGTGGAAGTGCAATACCCCTTAAGTCTGTGTGGTTCAGACTCACTCTTTAGCCGGGTTCATAACCCCATTGACGTTGTTCAGGCAGTGGTTCAAGTCGAGCCGGGAGGTGCGCAGGCGGCCGTCGAAAGTGCGGCACTCGCCCCGGAGCGTGGACTTGCCCATGACGCCGGTTCCGTCGAGGACGACGGTCGGGCAGGTCGATGCGAAACCACTCTCAAAAGTGTGCATGTCGCCATCTTCGCCGATAGCGGCAATGCCGAAGCCGGCAGCGGCAGTGGCAGCAGGAGACGTGGCGACTACTGTCGGCGAGGCTCCGTTGTTGTTAACAGGGCCGGCCATGGCGACAGAGAAGTAGCCCACCGTGGCGAGCAGGGCCGAGGCTTTGATATACATTATGACTGCAGTTGCTGAAAAGATGAACGAGTGAGGAGGTGTTGGGCAGTTGCTTGACGTGTGGCCATCTACAAGCTCATGACCTTGCAGGGCGCGTATCCTTTGAGCTTAAATACTTTCTGCTCGCCATGACAGAATAACGGCTATGTCGTCCTGTTCTGGATTAGGCATTCTCACCTTGTTAGACCACAATGGTACAAGCCAACCTGCTTCGAGCCGGGTTGGCCCGAATCCTGGAGTGACCCCTCCTTGCCCTTGAGGCGACATCATCACGGGATCGTACAGATCTCGAAGGTCTGTGTCTAAGCTCTTCGTCAGAGACTGTTATGTAATCGTGACATTTTCAGGTCCCGCGTGGTGGTGGTTGTTACATGTAAGCCCAGGGTCCCTTGGCGCCCTTGGTGACATCTCGAGGTAGCACAGGGTTTGATGCCGTCCATTGAAGGATCGCCGCTGCAAGCTCAATCATCCACGACCAATGGTCGGGGGACACTTGTGCCCCGTGCCGGAAGAGTCAGCATGCCATTAGCCTACTCGATCGAGGAGGTTGCCATCTCGGATAGCTCTGAGAAGGATGAGAATGGAGCACGCAGGACAAGAACCTCCTCCTGAAGCCACGACTTACACAAGAGACCGCCCCCACCCACTGTACCTGCGGCCCGCAACGCGCTAACCCCAAGGCGATAAGCCCCGCTAGAGCTGCCCGCGGCAGCCGATAGCGATGCGGCCCCGCTGAAATTTCCATCTCCAACGTCCAGCTCGGCTGCCGAGTGCGTACGCAGAGCCATCGTCGCATCTCTTGACCAAGTCCTCTTAAGCAGCAGAGCACAACACAACACTGCACTGCACCCCAGCCATGGAGGTCGACTTGCCCCCGATAGACCCGGCCCTTGAGCCCGCCTCCGCAGCTCCTCCTGCCACAGGCTCACAAGTCCCCTCGTCCTCCGCAGCCATCCCGCCGTCCTCAGAGTACGACCCGGACCCCATCATCGCCTCCTACGATGTCTACACCAACCCGTCCCTGCCCGCAGACCGGCAGCTGCTCATCATGCAGCACCCCAACCAGCGCCAGCCCTCGGTCGAGGGCTACACCAACCTCTCCGAGGTCCGCATCAAGCCCCGCAACCAGATGATCGAGGTCGACGTGCCCCTCTCCTACCACCTCAGCGACTACGACCGCGACAAGGGCTTGCGCTGGGGCACCGCTCTCTCGCGCAGCATGGCTGCCAAGAACGGCGGCACCCACGGCCTCGCGGGCGGCTTCGGCGTGGGCGCTCCCGCCATGCGCGGCGGTGCGGCCGCCGCCAAGCGGAGAAACGCCGACGAGGTCGACCTCGACCTGCTCGACACGCGCGACTGGAGCGAGGCGGTGCGGCAGGATCGCGTGCTCAGAACACAGACCCTGGGCGGAAGCTTCCCCGTCGAAGGCGAGAGCCACTGCCGGTGGATGGTGGGCATTTTCCAGGGCAGTAAGTCATGCCCTCTATTGAGAGATACCTTGGGGCGCGGAGTCAAATCATGGCTCGGCAATCTAAATCTAAGGAATCACCTCCGACCAGCGAGCTAACCATAACCTTTGCAAACCAAACAGAGCAGCTGCATCTCACACCGGCAACCGCCCTCATCAACCTCCGGCCGCAACTGCACCACATCGACGCGACCACAGAACAGGAGCGCCTAAGCCGCCCACGCGAGGGCGGCGGTCCCGGAGGCCCCTCCGGCGCCGGACCTTCCACATCCTCCGGCGGCGGCGGTGCTGGCAAGGACAGCGCGACAACCCCGGCGCCGCCCCCGCCTGCCGCCCGCGCCATCACAATGACGATCAAGTCGGCGTCCGGCAACGAGGTCACGACCGAGACCATGACGGACCGGCTGCGCTTCGCCCAGCAGGAGCCCTGGAGCAAGCTGAAGTACGAGGACGACTCGAGCAACCGCGCCTGGGACATGTTCAGCCAGAACCTGGTGTACAAGGGTCCTGGGGCCGTCGACTACGACGGCGGCGCTAGTAGTGGAGACGCTGAGGACAAGACAAAGACAAAGATCAAGACGTCCGCCGCCGACACTGCAAAGGGCCAAAGTAAGGCTGCTGCTGCCACCGGTGCGGACGGCGAGGCCATGGATGTCGATGGTGATGACGATGGCAGCAAGAACGCAGAAGGAAAGAACACCGCTGCGGACCCGACCCCTCCGCCACCACCGCAGCTGCGCGGCAAGTGGGCCACGACAGACTTCCTCAAGGCCGTCAGCGGGATGCAGGAAGGCGACGGCGCCGAGGCGGACAGGACGCACGAGGACATTGTCGAGATCAAGAAGGAGGCCGGTGCTGCTGCTGCTATTGCTTCGTCGTCGTCTGCGACGGCCAAGCCGAAAGCCTCGGCGGTGGCTAGGAAGGCTTCTGCTACTGCTTCAGGGAAGGGCAAGTCAGTCGCCTTTGAGTAGGAGTGGCGGCGACAGCAACATTGAGTTTTTGCGGTTCGATGTGTGTGCTGGTGATGTGCATCGGATAGTGGCGTTTTCGTTCGGTGCATAAGTTGTATTGTGGTACATTTTTCGGCGTTCTTGGGCAGATTTAGAACCAAGTCACAGCGTAAGCATTAGATCATTATGCCTAACTCGCAACGAGCAAGGGAAAAGTACTGGGTTGCACGAGGTACAAAATATTTGACTGGTAAAACGCTTGATATTTTTATGTGTGTTTTTCTTTTGGGCCGCTTTTTGAAGCTTGTTCGCAATTACAAATAGATAGGTCTACTGATGGTATTGAGCCAGATGGCTCCTTCAGTCATTCCTGTGAGCAAAGGTGCTTGATCCTGGTGTCCTCCCCTGCCGTGGAGCATTACTACTCCCAAGTTCGAGTTTCCTAACATGTATATGTCAAATGTCCGAAATATCATGTCGCTGGCACATGGCGTGCCCTGCCCACCGCAACCTGCCCTTGGATGCAAAAAGGGGACATGCCATGCACAGCACGATATGTCCATTTCGTGGTTTGTGTCCGCCAACGCGCCAACGCGCTGTTGCGCTTCAGCGTTCCAGGAATCCATGTCTGATTCCATTCACTCACGATACTTGGTGACCATACAAGAACGTTTGTGCCTGTCTGACACGAGACAACAGGCACAGTTTGTATCCTCACTCGTCTAATCAACGTTGAGGAGTTCAACATCGAGGCCGATGGAGCGCATGAAAAGGTTGACGTTGTCGAGGCGCTGCTTGGCCATGTCCGCAGGCAGAGTCTTGGCCATACTGATAGTACCCATGACACGGTCTCGAACGGAGGTGACAAGTCGCTGCTGCTCTTCCTGGCTGGCGCCAATACCGATGGCTGCCAAGAACTGCCAGACGTACACGTCCTCCCCGGATGTGACGGACCCAGGGAAGATATTAGGGAGGGTGTACTCAAGGACGTTGAAGAACTGGTTGAATTGTTGAACCCTGAGATGTTGTCAGCAATTGTTTGAAAAACTATGCGGCTTGATTACTTGACTTACCATTGACCCCATGTCTGCTCGTTCGCCTGACCAGCTTCCTTGAGCAGCTCGGCACGGCTCAGAATCATGGTGAACATGGAGACACCGATGCGCGTGCGCGCAACCTGGTCGACATTGGCATGTTGGGTGATGAGGCCCAATACACCAGTGACAATCGGGAGATCCGACTCGTTGAGAAGTTGGAAAAGGCATGGCATGACGGACATCGAGAACAGTTCAATGTTCTCACGCATGGCTGCATTAAGAGAGACAGGCTCACCAGTCTGCACCTGGGCACCACGCACAACATCAAGCTGATCCAAGTGGAACACAATGATGGTCAGGATAGTCGTGCGCTGCTCGTGGGTGAGATGCCGGAACACGCGGGGAATTGCCTTCTTGCCCTTGGGGTACGAGATGAAGGCAATGAAAGGGTGAATGGACGTGGCTCCGATAGACTCGTGGACCTTGAGCTCGCTCCACAGTCGCTGGTTGAGTTCCTGAAATTCGGCCTGGCGATCGATAAAAGCCTGGTCCGGGTTCTCACCGGGCGGTGGAGGCGGAGGCATAGCCCTCGACAGATCGTCCATCTTCATAAGGGTCAGGTAAACGTTCTCGATATCCTTCAAGGTGGCCTTCGTGTCCGAGATTTTGGCGTGCGACCGCTGCGCGCTGCTTGGACGGTTGGCATCAGTTGAGCTATCATTACGCTTGATGTTCAGCAGCGGCTTCGGGGTCTTGGCGTTGCTGAAGGAGATCTTTCCTAGACTGCCTTCAATGACAAGCTGCTTATTCTTTGGCTTGTTCTTGGCAGCCTCGACCGCGCGTTGCACTTGCTGCTCCATACGCTGGACGTGGTTGTCTGCACCGCGACCATGGCGACGCATACCGCCATGGCGGCCACCGGTCTGAACGAGATATGTCTGGGCAAAATTGTTGAGCGGCTGGTTCGGGTTCTGACGCTGCCCAGCCCGGAGAGAGCTTAGGACCTGGTAGTAGAAGTCCTCCGCGAGGGCGGCATCAGTTCCATGCTCGTTAGGATCGCCAGTGGCCGCCACCAGCTGCTGCAGCTGGATGCGGGTGATGAAGCTCTTGTCCTGCGGAGTCATCAGTCCGTTATCCTTGGAGAGCACGAAGATCTTGTGATTCCGCTTGGCGCGTCGAGCCTCAGCCTCTACGAATGCAGCCTTGTCTTCGTCACTCAATTGAGGTGCCTGAGAGTGATCCTGGGCTTGGCGGTTGAATGAGCCCTGAGCTCGGTGGGCTGCGTTGGGAGGGACCCCAGCCTGGGCACGGTTGGGATTCTGCAGGATCTGCGTCGGGGCCATCATAGCAGGTTGCTGATTCTGAAGCTGAGCTAGAGGGCTAGAGACGCTTGGTCCCGTGGGCGGAGTGTGCTTGGAGGCGGGTCGCTGCAAGACAGTGATGGGATGACCATGACTGAAGCCAGGAGACTGACCAGGCTGTGGGAAGCCCTGCGCCTGACGGTTGTCGAATGATTGTTGTCGGGGGTCGACAGGTTGTTGACGTTGATACTGCCCTTGGTGAGGAGATATCTGCGCATCGGGAGGACCAAAGGCACCGTACGACTGCTGAACAGGAGGTGTGGCCTTCGACGAAGATCTCAACTGTGCCTCTACCTCTTCCAGGCTCATCATCTTCCGTGAAGCTGCGGGAGGAGTAGGCTGACTTTGAGGTGTGGGAGTAGAGATCGTAGGCTTCTTTGGCGCTACACCCCAGATGGAAGCGTCCACCTGCAATTCGGGCTCGGGCTCCTTATACTTCTCATAGCCGGTTCGCGCAGGTCGCTGCTGATAGTTGTAGCCGGTCTGATAGTTGTAGGATGCGGGAGGAGGGACGGCTCGAGTAGCGGGTTGTTGAAGGTTGTACCGAAGATGTTCCTCTTCAAAAGCCCCCGCGACCTTGGCAGTCTGGCCAAAGAAATCAAAGTCCTTGCCGACATTGTTCGAGGCCACGGGGCCTTCATTGCCGCCACCAAAGGTGTCGTCGTTGAATGCGTCATCGGTCTCGTCCAGCTGGTCGCCAAGCCCATCGTAGGTGTCGTCGAACTCGAGCGCATCATCCATATTGCTGTGACCCGAAAGGTCCGCAAAGGGATCATACGTCTGGCCGAAGCCAGGCGCCGCGGTGTTGTGGAAAGCCATAATGGCAGATAAAGGACGCAGCTCGGGCTAATGCTGTCAGATAGAGCCTATAGTATTGTGTCTTGTTGGGCCAACTGCGGTTCATATAGTCTTATGATTAGCATTATCCAGCGGCATGGAACACAGCGATTGCGAAGCGACGGAGCTGGCTGTTCGTTGCACATGACACAAGAGGCAATGGACGATCCCGTAAAGGCCTGAGGCCTAGGTGAATTGATCAACGAGCCTTGCTCGCAGGGTGTGCGCGATATGGATGGCTAGGTGGGGTAACAGCGGCGGAGTCAAAGTCGGCCATGTCGCCAGCCTCTGGGACAGAGAGAAAGACGGCACACGATGCACGCAGAGGTGGCGAGATGATGGTGCACACGGGCCAGACTTACGACTAGGAAAGGAGAGGGATCTGGGATTTGCAACCGAGATGGGCCACTATCGTCATTGTGCGGAGGGGTTGGAAGCAATGGAGCGACAATGTCGGGTCGAGGTCGAGGTCTTGCGATTCCACGCGAGCGGGCGCACAGAGACGTCGCAGAAGCTGGCGTCTGGCGAAGGGTGCAAGAGGATATTTGGGCGGAGTGAGCCTGGTGCGGTGGGATTGCGACACCAGAGGCCCTCAGGTTGATGCGTCTGAGGCGACCTGGTGATGATGTGGTGAGCCACTGGTCGCATCCATGCTTCCAAGGTTGGATGGAGCTTGCAGGCACGCCTGCGATTCGCCAGCTGCAAGGCCGGAACTGCCACTCGTCGCCGCACAAGGCGTGGAGCCACCCTGAAGCTCTCGAGGTGATCCGTGCGCCGACTTCAGTACTGCAACTTCAAAGACTTGTCGCCAGTGACATGCTCCACGAACGTATCCTGGTTTTTCCCCTGGCCCAATCGCTCATGCGATGGATGAGATATTCTTGTCAAATGATTGACTTGAGTTCTCTCTCGGCGACATGGCGTTGTCTATAGCAGACATTTAAATTATCAGCACATCAGTATGCATTTGATAATATGTCCCAGCTTAGTCTCGGACGATTCAAAGTCCGCCCAGTTTTGCAGAATATAGGACGGAAAACCCGCTGTGTTTCTGGGTCTGAGAGCCATCCACGGCATGATCCAGAGAGCTCGAATTGTTACATGGCTACATCAATTGTACTGGAGCTGCAAGGCACAGGCTTGGAGCACGTTGGCCGGAGCGGGTGCTGCTACCCGTAGCCATTCAGCGTTGCGCATAGTGTTTTCACAACAGCAGAATTTCATCATCAAGGTACTCAGCGTATTTTGGTCAGGTACGTACGCAAAGAATTTCACCATGAGAAGTCCGCCAAGGTGTCTTCACGCGGGTTACACAATCGACAAGGACCTCGGGACCTCTAGGGAAGACCATCTTGTCACATAATGACGGGCATGGACCAGTGCTGACATTTCTGCTGCCACGAACTCGCCCTCCAGGTTGCCTACAGCATATAAAATCGTACTAGTCGGCCATTCATCTTGTTGCCCTGCCATGTGGCTGCACCAAGGTTTGTGTGGCACAGCGCTGGGTTTGCTTAAGCCTACCCTAGTTAGAGCTTGCACCACAACGCACGGCCGCTTGCCTTCTGGTAGTGACGTGTACAATGGGTTGGTAAGTGGCGTCTAAACATGGCCAAGGGGCGGCTACCAGAGAGACATTGGCCAGGGCGCGAGTGCAAAGACGGCGGCCAAGAGCTCGTGTTGCAAGATTGAATGCTTGACCACTTGGCCCGAGTAACTGGAGAACGTGCAGATGCGTCTTGATTTGCGCATCGCCCGACCGGGAAGTGGGGATGGCATTCTCTGGCGCAGAGCAAGGGACCCGACGTGATCAGCATCCATGCTTGTGAGTTGCGATGGAAGCCCCGAACAGCACTTACGATGGAGGGAGAGCTTGAACAGCATCTATCTGTCTTTTCCCCCAAAATGGCTGCCGGACTACTTGCGGAAGGCAAAGCTCAATGTGCGACTGGCCGATTGGGTTGATGGCTTTCCTAGGGCGGGCGGGTTCCGCCAAGACCGCGACACGCCAGGGTGTGGTGACCCCAGGATGCGCGGCCTCGGACGCAATGCAGTTTCGGCTGTGCGGTCTTCTGGAAGCCTTCTGCTTCGTCTGCCGATCAGGGCTCTGGGGTCGAGGGCGATGTTGGTCGACAACCGCGAAAGTCAGGCCCATCTGTACCTGGACGGATGCGAACCATCACCACGAAGCAATGGGTTCTCTGGAGCGCTGCTCACCGCACAATGGCATCTGCACCGGATGCAAATGTCCACGCCGGGACATGCTGTGCTGCCACAGGATAAGCGGCATCGGGCCAGATGGGGGGCTTGTCTCAGTCTGAAGTCTGTGTTGCTGCTAGCAGCCTGCCCGCCAGCCGTGTCCATTCCATCCTGCCTTGCTGTCCCCTGTCTGCAGCCATGTCCCACTCGCGACCAGCTTGAGAATGCGACACTAGACAATGCACCCTGCGGTCCCTTACGATGAGATGCAATGTCGGCGCCGGCTGGCCCTGCTTGGGGGCTGCTGCTGCATGCAGCTCTGCTCGTCGAGTCTGGCTACAATAGGGTACAATGATAATCGTAGAGAGCTCTCTGCCCCACAGGGCTCCCTTGCTAGGGGCTGGCGATGCACACGCAGGCACAAAGACAGCAGCAGCAGCGGCAGGTTGAACCCCTTGGCCAGGTCCTCCCTGGCGGCGTCCCCAGCACAAGGACTTGGCCACTGACGGCTGGATCCGCGCCCGCCGCGCGCCCCGCCCCTATTCCACCACAGATCCGTGGCGTAAAGTACGAGTGAGCGTGTCCACGTATTGCATTGCCCATTGGCGGCCCATACTTCCTCGTGCCGGCAGCCAAGCGTCCTCTTCCCTCCTCCCATCGTCTGTCAACTTTCGTGGTCCCTGCCTGCATCTTCTTTTGCTGCTGGCATCACGGGCTGCGTCTCCCTGTTGCATCTACACCAATTCGTCAAGATGGCCGCCGGCAGTGCGCGCATCGTGCGATACATTCTCCTCTCAGTCTTTGTATGTCCCTGGGTCTTCGTGGCTATCTCCGCTGCCTAGTCTACGGTACACCTTGCTAACTTGAGTCCGCCATCGTCACAGGTCTTGGCTGTGTTCTACTACGTCTCCCACTCGTCCTACGACGGCCCGGCCCTCAACACCGATTCCTTTACCAAAGGCACCGGCTTTGGAACCCATGGAACCCCTGGAGGTCTGACGGGTAGTGGTAGCGGTGCTGCCGGCTCCGGCAGCAATGCCGCCGCTGGTTCGGGCTCCTCTGGCAGCAGCTCGTCCAGCTCTTCTGGCTCCGGCCTCACGAACCAGCACAGCGGCCTCGATGCGCCCATGGCCATGACCCCTGCCGATGCTGGTTGGAACGACCTCACAGGCCCTGCCCCGGGTCCTCGCATGAATGCCACCTTCGTCACTCTCGCTCGCAACAGCGACGTTTGGGAGATTGCCAAGTCGATTCGCCACGTCGAGGACCGCTTCAACCGCCGCTACGGCTACGACTGGGTGTTCCTCAACGACAAGCCCTTTGACGCCACCTTCAAGAAAGTCACTTCGTCCCTGGTCTCTGGAAAGACCTTCTACGGCGAGATCCCCAAGGAGCACTGGTCCTTTCCCGAATGGATTGACCAGGACAAGGCAAGAAAGGTCCGCGAGGATATGGCCCAGCGCAAGATCATCTACGGCGATTCTGTGAGCTACCGCCACATGTGCCGCTTCGAGTCCGGCTTCTTCTTCCGCCAGCCTCTGATGATGAACTACGAGTACTACTGGCGTGTCGAGCCCAGCATTGAGCTTTACTGCGACATCCACTACGACCCCTTCCGCTACATGAAGGAGAACAACAAGAAGTACAGCTTCGTCCTCAGTCTGTACGAGTACGTTGAGACCATCCCCACTCTCTGGGACAGCACCAAGAAGTTCATGAAGAACCACCCCGAGCACATTGCCAAGGATAACTCGATGGCCTTCCTCAGTGATGACGGTGGTGACACTTACAACCACTGCCATTTCTGGTCGAACTTCGAGGTCGGCAGTCTCGAGTGGCTCCGGTCCGATGCCTACATCGACTTCTTCGAGTCTCTGGACAAGGACGGTGGCTTCTTTTATGAGCGTTGGGGTGATGCCCCTGTCCACTCGATTGGCGCTGGAATCCTGCTGCCCAAGGAAGAGATCCACTTCTTCAACGACATTGCATACTACCACGTCCCCTTTACCCACTGCCCGACTGGCGAGCAGAAGCGTATCGACCTCCGCTGCCACTGCAACCCTAAGGAGAACTTTGACTGGAAGGGCTATTCTTGTAAGTGCTCGCGTGAACAAACCGGCGATTCTTGACAAACGACTAACACAGATATCACAGGCACTTCTCGGTACTTCGACCTGAACGGCTTGGAGAAGCCTGAAGGTTACGAGGCCCAGCAAGACTAAATGACTGGGAAAACAGTTGGATGTACTGATACGGTGTTCACGGTTCATTGGAAGCGCCGGATGGGGTCAACCCGTGATTTTGTCATGCCATGTCAACCTGCAAATCCGGCACGCTCGACCTTCCGAGCACGGCCAAACAGAAAAGAACGAGTTGGAAGACATGAGGAGTCTTCTAGTAGGGACGGCGTCACAACGGTCAATTATGTCATTTTTGAGCATTTGGGCTGATCTTTTTGGACGGCACGGATCGGATCGGAGCGGCGGGCGGGCGTACCAAGCAAGCCAGGAAGATGGCAAATATAGAATGAAACCCACCAGGCCGGTATGACATGATTTGTTGTCTTGCTCTGTTCTCCAGGCTTTAAACTGGCGAGATATGCAACTGGCGTGATATCTTACAATGCTACTATGCTGCTCCCCTCCCATCAAGCCTTATGCAACGCCTATGTCGACCCCCGATGCACTCGCCAAGAGCCAAGTTTGCGCCCGTGGTGTATCTCTTTGATTCCCGTTCCTCCATTTTGCCGAAGTCCGCGATCTATCAATACATTGGCTCTCCAATCCACTGCAGAAATACTAATGTCCAGTAGGTGTACATGGCAGCCGACAAAATCTCGTAGCGGCGAAAGTGGAAGGACTCTGTGAGGTCGCTCGCGTGCGATATCTATTCATGCAGTAATTATACATCTCAAGATTCGACAATTATGCACCGACGGCAGCCTTCTTGGGCTTTTTTGTGCCAAACTTGCTGCGGCTGGACATCCGCGTCGCAACACCGCCCTGGGAGTTGGCGATAACTCTGTTAGCCAGCAGATTCGTCCACCTCCCCAAAACTCTCCGAGCGCTTCCTCATGGCATTTGCTCCAGCCTGGACGGTGGAATCTCCACACGAGGGAGAAATCTGACAAGATACAGACAAGAACGTAAAGACCAAGGGGAAGCAGAGAAAGACTCACGAGATCCAATGCGCCCCTGACAAGCCGATACCGCACACCAGGACAGTCCTGCGCCCGGCCGCCGCGGACCAGCACGACGCTGTGCTGCTGGATGTTGTGGCCCTCCCCGGGGATGTACGCCGAGATCATGCGGCCCGAGGACAGCCGAACACGGGCCATCTTGCGCTCGCCCGAGTTGGGCTTCTTGGGCCGCACGATGCCGACCTTGATGCACACGCCCTTCTGCTGGGGGCACCGCGTGTCGGACAGGGCCGGGGAGACGGCGTGGCGGGCGCGCTTGCCTTTTCGCATTCCCTGTTGATGTTGGAGAAAAATCAGGTCCATGTTAGCCTTGTCGTGAGTTTTCGCTTCCATAGTACGTGTAGGTGAATGTCGTGTTCGGGGTTTGTTTCTGCTGGGTGGGAATGTAGTTTGCGGGATGGAGGCCCCGGCTGGTTCTATGGCGGAAGGTATGTAGATCGAGCGGACGTCAAACGTACCCTTAGCACCTGGTTGAGGGTCTTGTTCTGGATGGGTGTCGTCGAGAAGAGGCGATGTGCGGGCCGCAGTGTTGAGCTGGCGGCGGTGCGGCTCGCGAGGGTTGGGATGCGCGGTGTGGCTGTCGCGGTGGTCCTCGGCGCTATTGATCGCCAGGCCGTTGCCGGCCGCAGTTGTCTGAGTATTGTCGCGACCATCGTGGTGGCTGGCTGTGTGTGTGTGTGTGTGTGCAGGATTGCAACAGTGCGCCAGGCGTGCTTGCACCTCCCTCCCGTCTTTGACGATGAAGTTGGCGATGCAATTTCGGCGCTCTAACTTGCTTGGCCACACACAACAGCTGGGGTCAACTGGCAGAAGAAGAGGTGGAGCGTAATCGATAAGCTGGCCAAGTAGGACAGACATGCGGGTCGTAGTTGGTGGGGCCGGCCTCTCGCTGTTCGCGTCGCCCACATTGTTGGTGTCTGCCCGCCCGCAGTTCAGCTTGTCTCTTCACATGCCGCACTTGAGCACCCAGTGAGTCCCCATTCAAGACCTCTGGGACAGCTGTGATTGGCGCGAGCCAGAATCTGGGGGCACGCGCGCAGCGAGAGCTTCCCCACGAAACAGTCGCCCGCCCCTTCGGCCTTCCGCCTACCCTCGGCAAAGCATGGGTGAGCCGTGGGATGCCTTCTCCGTCGCCCGCCACTCCGCCCGTCTTCTGACTACTTCTCTGACGCCGTGCATGTGTTGAGACTTTCTCCAAACCCTTTTGCCCCTCGTGATTCCGCCCCCTTGGCACGCCTCTTACAGCCTCAGCGAATATCGTGCAACGCTGCTTTTGTTGTTGCCCCCCGGATTCGCCTCCCCCGCCTTCCTTCTCCAAATTCCCCAACGACAACCATCCGTCTCCTGCTTCTGAAATCTCGTAATCAGCCGCAAAATCCGCCGCCATGTCTGCCATTGCCAGAGCCCTGCGGCCTGCTGTACAGCGAGGCCAGGCCGTTGCTGTTTCTGCCACGGCTTCTGCCGGAAGACTGTCGACTGCCTCTGCTAGAAAATGCCGTCCTACGCGGACATTCACAGCCCAGCAGTGAGTTCCCTGGCTGGCGTGATGAAATACAATTCTATCTTGATGGCGCCCTATATACTCACACCACCGCCTTTAGAATGCGCCCTCTGTCCGTCACGGCTCGGCGTTGCACCGAGCTCGACGAGCTGACGCCCACGCCGATAACGCACTTCTCCGAGATCGAAACTGCCATGCAGGACTCCGTCTCCAAGTTCGCCAACGACGTCATCCTGCCCAAGGCCCGTGACATGGACGAGGCCGAGAAGATGGACCCCTCAGTTGTCGAGCAGCTATTTGAGCAGGGCCTCATGGGTATCGAGATCCCCGAGGAGTACGGCGGCGCGGGCATGAACTTCACCTCCGCCATTGTCGGCATCGAGGAGCTCGCGCGGGTCGATCCCAGTGTCAGCGTCATGGTCGACGTCCACAACACCCTCGTCAACACCGCCGTCCTCAAGTGGGGTAGCCCCGAGCTCAAGAAGAAGTGGCTGCCCCGGCTCGCCACCGACACCGTCGGCAGCTTTTGCCTCAGCGAGCCCGTCTCCGGATCCGATGCTTTCGCGCTCGCCACCAAGGCCACCGAGACCGCCGACGGCTACACAATCTCGGGCGGCAAGATGTGGATCACCAACTCGCTCGAGGCCAACTTCTTTATCGTCTTCGCCAACCTCGACCCGAGCAAGGGATACAAGGGCATCACTGCCTTCATCGTCGAGAAGGGCACCCCTGGCTTCGAGATCGCGAAGAAGGAGAAGAAGCTCGGCATCAAGGCCAGCAGCACCTGCGTCATTACTTTCGATGATGTCAAGATCCCCAAGGAGAACCTCCTCGGTGAGAAGGGCCAGGGCTACAAATACGCTATTGGTCTTCTCAACGAAGGCCGCATTGGTATCGCCGCGCAGATGACTGGTCTGGCCCTCGGCGCCTTTGAGAACGCCGTCAAGTAAGTTTGCCACCAGCAAATGTACTCGTCTCCACCAGACAACACTAACCGCAACGAATCTTGCCAGGTACGTATGGAACGACCGCAAGCAGTTCGGCTCCCTGGTTGGCGAGTTCCAGGGCATGCAGCACCAAATCGCCCAGTCGTACACCGAGATCACGGCCGCGCGGCACCTGGTCTACAACGCCGCCCGCAAGAAGGAGGCCGGCGAGGACTTTGTGCGCGACGCCGCCATGGCCAAGTTGTACGCCTCGCAGGTCGCCGGCCGCGTCAGCGGCCTCGCCGTCGAGTGGATGGGCGGTATGGGTTTCGTGCGCGAGGGCCTGGCCGAGAAGTTCTTCCGCGACAGCAAGATTGGCGCCATCTACGAGGGCACCAGCAACATCCAGCTCAACACGATCGCCAAGCTGCTGCAAAAGGAGTACACCGCGTGAGCGGGGCAGATTCATTGATGTTGATGTGCGGGTGTAAAGACATAGGAACGGACGTTTGGCGCTGCGTTATTAGACATTTAAAAATCGGCATGCAGCAGCTACGCGACCATGAGGAGTCATGTATCTTGCGGTACTTAAAAATCTGGTAAAGAACAATAAAAACAAGCATACAGCCAAACGCGTAGTCACGAGATCTTCCTCGATTTAATAGCTGAAGGAATATATGTTGTGTCCAGCGCCCGCCAGCTAAGTCGTTGATCAATGAAACATGACAGAAAGGCTTGAGATGATCCTATGCCACAGCAGATTGTATGCGGAGTGGAAAGAACTGACGCGTACATCTTTCAGATCGTGCTGTGTGCTTTGTTCACACAAAGCTCCAGTCCTAGACGCTGAACATACGATTGCACAATTAGAGTAATCACGATGTGCTGGTCTCGCGATAGTCGAGCCATGAACGTGGGGTTGTGGGCTGTGCCGTTGCATAGCAATCAGCCATCCCGGCCCTCGCTACAAGGGTGAAGGGCCAGACACGGACATGGGTGCCACGCAGAGTGCACATATAGCGTGCTGCTTGATCCACAGTCCCAGCAGATGCATCTACCATTGTCCCAGTTGGGGTTGGGAGTGTTTCTATTTCTGGTCCATGCTGTAGTAACAAACACTTAGAAATACCAATACCAAGGTTTTGGATTGGAGAATATCCTGGTCTCCATGCACGTTGCCCAGATATCAGCATTGTATGACGTCCAGTGCTTAGGATTTACCCTCGGATTCTGGGAAGCAGCTCGTCATGCCAGGCCAGCACCCTTTGCAGGTTCTGGAGGGAAACCCCTGTGCTGCAGGTTTTCCCGGAGCTTTTTATCCCACAGCGATCGGATGCATACCATTCGCTGTGATATACGGCAGACGGAAGCATGGCCGTAGGACTTGACCTATGCCATGGGATCTTCCACGGGGGATTGGTTGGTGCCCGGGTGTAGGGAAATTATCAGGGGAATCCGGGCTGCCTTTTAAAACCTTACAGGCCCCCAGGCCACCAGAGCCGGGGAGAATGACGCCCGGCCCGCGGGTCGCATCTCCCTGCGGGTGAAGGGAAGCTATGCGGCGCCTAATAATCACGATGCGGCCACTAGACCCGAGTGGCGTTCTTTTTCTCCCTCCCCCTTGTCAGTGATGGCGTTCAACACAGTGGGTTTCTGCTGCTTGCTGGCTGCCCAAAATCATGTTGGTGGGGGCCACGGGTCCTGCTGCCGTTGTTTTAGGTCCTGGGTGGCTGGAATTGAGGGTACAGAGGCGTCTTTGAGAAGCTCCACCGTGAACCTTGTGTGCGCCGCTGCCATGGATCACCCAGTCAGACATACCTTGGATGCTGGAGATGGTTGTTGACCAGCTATCGTTCCCAAGTGGCATGCCCTTGCTCTCTTGAGCACTGGGCAGTTAGTTCCGCGCTGACACGGGGGTTCTCGTACTGTCTCCTGCCGGACACCGTCATTTCAAAAGAGCCGAGCAGCCGGTCAGACGTGGGTTGTGAATCAGCGAGCACCAGGCCTGCCTCCGCTGTGCCAGCAGTTGCAAGTAATTAGAGCCGTGCCGTCGGGGCTGAACGGGAGCTGGGGTTGTGGTTGGCTACCAGTTACGATGGGCCCTGGCCTCATAAGGCACAGCTGCACCTGCCATGTTTATTTTAAGGATCATCTAGCCTGGAGCACGGACGCAGCCCCTGCCCGGCGGGGCTCGAGTGGGGTTCCCCGTGCTCTGTCTCCTGCTCTTTCCTCACTTCACAATTCAGTCTCTGATGTCCTGGCCAGGCATGGCTGAACAAGTCACCAGTCTTACGGACTCACAGGTGAGACCTCTTAGCTTGATACGTTTGGATCGACGCCTCTTTCCCCTTTCGTTCCCCTGCTGTGTCCTGTGCCATCAGACAGAAAGACCTTGAAATGCGTCTAACTGCCCTCTGCCCAGGCAGGGTAAGCATCCCTTTCAAGTCGTCTCCTCGAGCCGCATCCCAAACCTACGGCATCGCCAGTGCGACGGTCCTCCTGAAATAGATCAGCCGAGTGCCTGCATCATGCATGCATGCATGCGCACTGGCAACGGCATGGCGACTGTGGGCAATGTACATACAGAGTGTGCCGATCGACATGGCCGTCTAAGCCTCATGGCCGTCCCATCTCCACACGGCTGGCCCCTTCGACGAGCTTGGAGATAGGACCCCTGCCTAGCTGCCAGCCGGCTGGATCTCGTGCATGGGCATGCGGCACTACTGCTTACATCAACAGGCCCATCCAGGCCTAGTAGGGCTGCTGGTCCCGGGATCACCACCCTCGCTGCCTATCAAGGCCTCTGGCTTCACGTCCACCTTGGAGCGGATCTCCTTGGCTCAGGACCAGGGCTCGATCGCACGCCGTCCAGCCCAGCCACTCCCCACCAGCTAGCTGTCCGTCGACAGACACACTCCGGAATATATATATTTCGTGCCCACTTGCTCACCAAGCTTGTCGTTGTTCCTATGCTGTCTGTTCTCTGCTGTATAACCACATCCACCCATACCCGAGGCCGCCTGGAGGAGCCCGCCGACAAGAGGACTCGGCAGACTGGACGACGATCACTCTTGTTCAAGACCTTGACCAGGGCCGGAAGAACCCCCGATTAGCCGCCCATCATGGACTCCGAACCAAACCACGAGGCCCGGACCTCGGTCAGCATCGACGAGAAGAACGTTGCAGTGCCTGTCATGCCGGCCATCCCCGTCATGGCCACGCCGGTTCTCCCGGTGGAGAAGATCCGGGCCCTGTCGTTCCCTCGCGGCATGACCGAGCACGACGAGTTGCAAGATATCGAGAATCTGGGTCATCGCTACGATTCCAATTTGATCCCCATGTTTGAGAAGGTGCGCAAGAGTCGACCCCAGAGAGACACGCTGGAGAGAGATTAATAACGGGCAACCTTCACAGCGTGCCTCGGCAACTATCCTCGAAGTCTTCTACGATTTCTGGGTTGTCGCCGTCTTGGGTATCTTTATGAATGTGAGTTCTTGACTCATACATGTAAAAGCGTGGACGAAATAGCTTGCTAATCCCCATTCAAGGTGCATGCTGTGAGCGACCCGGCCGCCTTGTGGTCTTATATCGGCTACATCAGGTAGGTCGATTCAACGAGACGCTCGGATACTTAGCCATCGCGCTAACTATATTGCAGTCTTGTGTGGTTCAACTGGTTTCTTGTCGGATGCTTCGATGTGCGCTATGTCACCGACAGCATTTTCTCAAGAGTCGCCCGCACCTTGCATCTCGGCGTCATCGTAGGGTTCGGTGTCGTCGCTCCGAACTACGACCCAACCAAGCAGAACAAGGGAACCTGGCAGTGCATGTGTAAGTGACGACGCGATATGGCATTTATCACGCGGCCAGCTGACACTCTCCAAAAAAGCACTCATCCTGATGGTCTCGCGCCTTGTGCTCGTCCTTGAGTATTCTACCATTCTCTGGCACATCCGGAAATTCAAGAAGGGCAGGCTTCCTCTACTTGCTGCCCTCAGTTTTCACTTTGTAGCTGCCATGGTCTACCTTGGTGTTTCCTTTCGCTTCGAGGACGGGCGCAATAGTAATGCTTACATTGCTTGGTACCTCCTCATGGCTCTTGAGGCCATTATTCAGCTCGGCCTGGCGCTGTACTCCAAGGTTCTGTCTTTCAACGGTACACATCTGGCTGAGCGAATGACTATCTTCACGATGTTCATCCTTGGCGAAGGTAAGTTGATGACCAATATGCCCCGGACCGGTGTTGGGGCCCCACTGACACCAGGCCCTCTTCACAGGCGTCATGGTGGTTATGGATAGTGTTGTAAACATTGTCAAGAACAATGGATGGAGTAAGTTGTGCTCATTGAGCTATCGTCCCAGCATCACCACTTAGGCTAACTCTCAACCAGCGCCCTCCACGATTGGTGTTCTCGTCGCCGCCGTGGGCACCATCTATATTGTCTTCATGCTATACAATGACTGGATGGTGGGATACTCCAGGCTGGTGAATTGGCGCCAGCTCGCCTGGACGATTTTGCACTACCCATTCCACGTTTTCCTTCTCCTGTTCATCAAGGGAAGCGCCCAGTTCATGATCTGGTGGAAAGTCGTAAGTTTATGCTCAGTCGACGGAGGCATTCGGAGCTTCATTTCTCTTGCTGACACCAGCACCAAAACAGACCCAAGTCGAGGCTGGAATCGACGATAAATTTGACCACACCTTTGACAATCTGAACGTGGAGTACGTTACGAGCGAAGATGTCGTCTCTTCCTTGAACAAGACCGTCCAGGACGTGTGGACAGAGTACAAGCCAGTATGGTCCATTGTGATGGACGAGGTCGATTACTGGTTCACTGAACTACGGGCTATTGACGATAAAGAGTGGAACATCCCGGATGACCAGAACACTGAGGAGTTCTGGAACACATACCGCAACGCACTCGACTATATACGCATTGCTGTGGTGAACAGTGTGTTTGGAAACTTCAAAATCGACGCCATTCAGGATCTGTATGATGCTGGGGACTTGGACAAGCTCGACATACACGAAGCGAATGCCAAGGCGTACGATGCAACCACGGAGCGCTTCTATCTGGTGGTGAGTCATCATGCACAATTCCCATCTTTCCTGTTGGAGTGCGGTAACCCGTACTTGCCAGAAGTCTGTGTGCTAACGACTTGTTGCACTCATTTAGTTTCAGTACGTCTTTACATGCGCCGGCCTAGCGCTCATCACCATGACGATTCTGTACCTTCTCATCAAGCGCCAACGCAATTCCCGCCGAGTCTCCATCTTCTTCTACATTCGTACAGCTATATTCTTCCTCCTGGGTATCGGGATGAGTCTGGTGACTCTGCTCAGCCTTGACTGGGACAACAAGGGACGATATTACTTGTACACGCCATGGCTGCTGCCTACGCTGTGCATGGTCTTCATCGTTCTCATCATCCTGACACACATTCCGCAGCCGCCGCCCGCAGTCGTCCTCAGTCGCGTGCCAAACCCGCTGCGAAAATGGACTGGCGGACGTGGGGGCGACCAGACCGGCGCAGCGGAGGGCATGATAAGGGCGCCCACATATGGTTCCAGCACCATGCAGCGACTACGCGGCTTTGTGGGCGGCAAGAAAACGAGCACCTCTTACTCCGCTTCATCCAACAGCGGGGGTGGCCAATACAGCCAGGTCCACGTCACGGAGATGACGATGAATCCAGGAAGTCGGCACTCGAGCGGCAGTATGCATGAGCATGGCATAACGCCGCCACCCAGCAACAACGTGGCTTATGACCCGTATACGTGGAATAGCCCGCAGCAAACACCGCCAGTGTCTACACAGTACTACGGCGCCGCCGGATATGCGCCCCAAGGGCAGCAACAACAACAACAAACATTTCAGCAATATGAACAGTACAGGCCACAGCAGCCATACCAACAGCAAGGGCAACAGCAGCAACACGCACCGCATCCAGGTTATTGACTGAAAGATCGATCGACCTTAGGCGGGAGTAAACCAATGAGATACAATTAGCGAGCATTGATTAGGGTACGGAGTACTGGGGTCATGTAATGATTTAGGTCTCCTTCTTTGACATATTATCGTGAAGAGAGGATACTTCATATGGAGCAGCAAAAAGAATTCCCATGGGTTATCTGAACCCAAACGTTGTTTTTAATGATAGAGAAGAATATGAAAAACTGCTGTTTGGTCAATATCCAAAGTGGCTTTGGTTTGGAATCTGTGACACACAGCATGTTTTGTCTCAGGCTGGTATCTCGTTCTATTGCCTTCAAGGACCCAGTCCTGGTTGCCTCAGATCTGACCTGCCTGGTGGCAAAGGCTACGTTGGAAAGGATAAGATTGCGTTGCAATCATGATGCCATGGGAATAAACCGCAGGTATTTTCCTTGACCACGAGTCTCTGTGTTTGCCAGGCGCTGGCTTGTGTTTGTGATGCTGTTGTTTAGATTGCGAACCTGTAAAGCCGGACTCTACACGCATTGCAGCAATAAGGAACCCGGCAACCCCTCATCTCTGGCAGTCGTCATGGTCCTCAATACTGCTGCCCTTCCCATATCATTCCATTGATTTTAAAATCCTGGTTGATTGTTGCCTCTGGCACCCTCTGAGTGATGGGTACCGCCGTGTTGAATCGTAAACTTTGGCACAAGTTAGGTACAGCAGCAGACCATTCGGGGCTAGCGCCAGGGGTCCCGCGACCCGATGTCCACCACCAGCACAGCACCCCTGCAGTTGCGATGCCACCTCTCCTTATCTGATGGCTACTGCCCACTAGACAGCTTCACTCACTGCGCTCACATCCATCACCTATATTGAGGACCCGTGTGGCACCCCATCCGACCTCAGCAACTCCCACGGGCCATATTCTAGCGCGACACAGACTATGACGCGCTCTTCCTTCAGACAGGCTATTGGGTCACTGGCCCTGCTGCTGCTGCTCCTGGCCGTGGTCGTGTCAGCAGAGGCCGTCAAGCATGAAGAGCAGCACGCGAGCAGCGGCCCGTCAATGAGCCTCGATGAGCTCGAGGCAAAGCTTCAGGTCCGTGCTTGGATTCTCTACACAAAGACGGAAAGCACATCGAGACACTAACATGGCAGTTTTCCACACCTTGTACAGACCTGCGCTGTCGTCCAGGACCTCAATGCCCAGAAACTCGCCGCCTCGGCCGACTCGTCATCCTCGAGCTTCGTGTCCCGCGCCTTCGCCGTCCTCTTCCCCGGCAGCCCGGCCGTCAATGCGATCCTCGCCACCTTGTACATCTCGGGCCCGCCCAATTTTCTCCTCGCGCTGTGCCCACCCAACATCGACCCCTCGTCGCTGGGCATCATGGTCGCCTTCGCCGTCGGCGGCCTGCTCGGCGACACGCTGTTCCACCTGCTCCCCGAGATCTTCCTCGGCGAGGACAGCCACGACTCGGTCAAGCTAGTGCTCGTCGAGCCCAACCGCAACTTGTTGCTCGGCGTCGCAATCATGGTCGGGTTCATGACGTTCGTGGCCATGGACAAGGGCCTGAGGATCGCCACGGGCGGGGCGGGGGGCCATGATCACGGACACTCGCATGGGCACGCTCACAATGATGACTCGGCGAGCGCGACGGCCTCGGGGGTCGAGAGCTCTGACGCGGCGGGCGTCAAGTCCCGCAAGAAGGCCGACGCCGCAAAGAGTGGTGTCGAGACGACAGAGGTCGTCAACGCCGCAGGCGAGAAGGAGATGAACCCCAGCGTGAAGCTCGGCGGATATCTCAACCTGATGTAAGCCATCCCCCCCCCTCCCTTCAATTCCAAACTGATCGTCACCCAATGCTTTCAAACGACGTCGTACTTTGTCGCACACAAACACCACTAACACCCAAGCTTTTTCTCCTGATTTACAGCGCCGACTTTACGCACAACATCACCGACGGCCTCGCCATGTCCGCCTCGTTCTACGCCTCGCCCACCATCGGCGCCACGACCACCGTGGCCGTCTTCTTCCACGAGATCCCGCACGAGGTCGGCGATTTCGCGCTGCTCGTGCAGTCGGGCTTCTCCAAGCGCGCCGCCATGGGCGCCCAGTTCGTCACCGCGCTGGGCGCGCTGCTCGGCACGCTCATCGGCATCGCCGTGCAGGAGCTCGGCGGCAACAGCAAGACCGCGGCGGCCGGCGCGGCCCCGATGGGCATGACCGAGGGCCTGTGGGGCACGAGCCTGACCTGGGGCGACATGCTGCTGCCCTTCACGGCCGGCACGTTCCTGTACGTCGGCACCGTGTCGGTCATCCCGGAGCTGCTCGAGACGGGGCCCAACAAGGCCCTCGAGCTGCGCAAGATGGTGCAGCAGTTTGCCGCGGTCGCTGTCGGCGCGGGCATCATGCTGTACATATCATGGGATTAGAGAACCCCGTGTGTGTGTGTGTGTGTGCTTTTGTGAAGACCGGCCATGCTACGCTGTAGATCAATAGAGCATGGATATGGATGCCAGGATAGAGATAGACTGGCACGGTGCTGGAAAGGATGTCCCACGCTGTTGTTTTTATGTGGCGGCTAGGCGAGCTGGGGAGGAGCTGCTCGGGCCAGACAGACGGCGCATTGTAAGAATACGTATATACTCCAGCATCACTTAGACGACTGGTAGCGTCCAAAAGGAGACTTTGTACAAGCAAGCATGTATAGCACATCAATACATGCAACCGTCATACACACATGGACGGCACAACACACGTTTTGCATCACATCACCGCAAGACAAAGGAAACTGGCGTGAGTGTCCGCGGCGACCCGGCTTGTCTCGTGTTTTCCTCTGGGCAAGAGAGCTCTTACGTATGTATGTTACTACGCTTTGCATGGATTCCTGGCAGACCATGTACATAGGCTGCAACCACTGAAAGAGGGGCCATTGTGTGTGTGTGTGTGTGTGTGTGTGTGAAGACGGCAGCTTTTAGCAGGTACGCCCACACAGCCTCGGCCTCGGCCTCCGCCGCCGGCGTCGGCGCTGCTGCCGAACGACGACCTCGGGGAGTTTGGTGTGCGGAGTTCCGCAGGGGCGGCCTCGGAAGCGAGCAGACAAGCGGGCGGGGAGGCCGGTCATGACTCGTAAATCCCAGGACCCCTAGATCTTTTTTCGTTTCTGTCACGCCGCGTTCCGATGGACCGGCCCGGCGCCTCCAGCTTTATGACTGCTTATTCTACTGCTTCAGCCGCAGCTCAATGCGCCCCCCGGACTGAGAACAGAAATTTGTGGCTTGAGCTATTCGTACAGAATACGGTGACCCGCTCTGAAAGGGAAGGGGGCGGCTTCCCGGAGCGCGCGAGAAACCAAAGAGACATGAAGCAGATACGCAGTCAGAGTTCGGGGGCGCGCGCGGTGTGATTTCTCGTGTATATGCATTGCCAGCAGCCCCAGCCAGGGCGTGTAGGTCTTTTCTTTTTGGCAGATGCATGGGTGACGTTGCCCTGTCCCTTTTTCTTTACTTTTCCGTGATCCTTTCTCTCCTTGGAGTCTCTCTGCCTAAGGTCCGGTGTCGATTGTTTTGGGGGTTTTTACGGTGACTTTACCAGCTTTTCGGCTTGTAGAAGCGTATTGTGAGGACTCTCTTGGAAATGCAGGAAAACAAGAAGACCCTCTTACCCCACGAAAGCCCAGACTTTCTGGGAAGACGGGTGGTGCTGGCCGCGCTGCTGAGTTCCCGCATTCGGCAAACTTCAAGTAAACCCCCCTGACTCTGACCGGGCTGAATTGCCATGCCAGATGGACGCGGCCAGCTGCTGGCGGGCTTTGTGTGCTGGAGCTTGCAAGAACAATGCCCTTAAACAATGCTAAACCGTCTCAAGCTGCAAGCTTGTCTGCTGTTGCGAACACCATGGCACCGTTATACGATAGATTGGCTCATGGGCCTATTTTGCCCCGCGGTGGTGGTGTTCTTGTCTTCTAGAAGGTCGGTCCCCTTGGCCATTACGCGTACCTGCAGAACAAGAGAAAAGTCTAATTTTGTCCGTGACTGAAGGTGACATGGGGCTGGAACTCCCTGTACGGAAGAAAGATGCGGAACATATTTCGCTTGCCACGGGCGGTCTGGATCCTCCTCGGCTAAGCTGGACCAGCCACCAGTGAACAGAATCGAGCAGGCGGCGGTGAAATCTGGATCGGATGCCAAAAGTAAATCTCCTCAGGAGTGTGTGCCCCTTGTTGGCGTACTTGCAGCTTAAGCTTATTTCCCCTTTTGCCAAGGGGGACCAAGTCTTCGATGGTTTGCTGTGACCTGAGGAACTCGGCAGCAGACAAAACAACATGGTGTGGTGTAATGTGCTGGTCATTGTGACGATTACGGGCTTGTCCGTCCTTGCGCCCGTCGAGCGATGGATGGACTTTCCCAAACGGATGCACTACCCTGCCCTGCCACTGCCTTACCTTTTCGCATTCGAGAAGTTGCGATTCCGCCATCTCCACAGAAATTTGTGGTCTTTCAACAACTCTGCCTTGAGAAAAATTCAGGTTGTCTTTGCTCATGTGGAGAATCGGAAAATGGGTTGCGCGCGATGTCAGTGGGTCCAGCCTGCTCGATGCACACCCCCCCTTCCTTGCCTTGCCCTGGCCGGCCGCAGGACAATTCCCATGGGATGTGTGTTGCAGCCATGTCGTGCTCAGAAACTGCCGAGGCCGGGTGTTGTTAATTACCCTTGGGTCACGGATGCGACTTGAACACAGCAATTTTTTGACAAATAAACCGCAAATTTATCCGCGTTCTCAGGTGGCGGGTTACAATCCTTCATTACGGGAGCTGTTTCCGTGGGCGTGATTGGCAATATCACCACCCATTGTTGGTCGACCACAAGAAAACAGATCCGCTGGTCATTGGCATGGAAATCCTAAAGCTTACATGGCAAGAGAGGCTATTTGCGTACCAGAATGAGCCGGATCGGGCCTGGCAGGCCCCAGTGGTAACAACAACGACGCCTCGTGAGAGCCAATTAGTCCTCTTGGTCACAGACGCGCGTCACACCCACGGCGTGCGTGGCCTCGAACCAAGACCGCGTCTGTGGCTGAGACAGTATCCCTGGCCGGGGCTCGTGAGGGACGCTCGCCGGAGTTTGAAGGAGATAAAAACCAACTCTCGACTCATCGGAAGCGCTTGCCTAGCCGTCGGCGATCAATCGGCACACCTGGTGGGCCAATGTGGGCACCGTTGCGTAGTGGCCGGCCCGGCTGGGGTCACTCCGGTGACCGACAGAAGGCCCTGAGAGCATGCGGCATGCGGCATGCCGGCATGAGGCTGTACTGTATATCTCGATCGCGCCCGGGGTGCAGCATGATACTGTCGTCAAACATTGCGATGTTGTGGGGTTCTGGCCATTGCGCCGCGGACAAGAACCTCCTCAGCGAAGAGTGCATGCGCAAGGCACCCTTGCATCCTGTCTGATTATCATTGACCTACTACGTACTGTACTCGGCTGGCCATAACTCTGGGGGATGCACCCTGTGCTACGAGGGCTTGTGCAGGAAAGATGATGTCAGAATTGAAGCATCCGGATGGTGTCACCGATGCTGACCAAAGGGGATGACCATGAATTGATACATGTACAAGTCTTCCAATCCGGAACTCTGCATCAAGGTACCGCAATGATGGGATTGGTCGTCCTGGATGGCCGATGGCGGCGGTGATGGATGGCGTTGCTTGGTTTGGGCAATTGCGGTCTAATAGTGCTTTGTCAGACACCAACCTGACACGACATGTGAGGCCGTCGTCGGCGGTGGGTGGTGGGTGGTCAAGTGCCGGCCCAGCCCAGCCCAGTCAGTCAGCACCCTGTGCCCTGCCCAGAGCTGTGCGTGCCGGTGTGATGGACCCAGATGCAATTGGATGACAACACCAGGGTGGCGGCGCCGCAACAGTTTCGGAGCCGCAGCCGATGGCAGGAATTGTGCGGACAGACGCTGGTGATTTGTGAGCATTGCGTGCTGGTGTTGGTAGCGTAGTCACGGGAGGGCGTTTTTGACATGTCAGGCGCCCCAAACAGGAGACTTGCGGGGTCGATCCACACTTGCACTAAGTAACTCATCTCCCTCTGCCCACGCGTCCAGTCTAGGTGTGGACGCCCAGCGGGTGACTCAGCCGTGGCTGCTGGTAATGGTTCTAATGACCTGCCCTTGTTTGCAAAAGGCGCGAAGACATGACAAGCCGGCATCGCGGCCGGCACCCGAAGCGGCGAGTGGCTGCCGTGGTCGGCCAAGCCAGGGCTGAGCGCCGTCACAGCAGCCGTGTGAGTGCCAGAGTTTGTGCCCAGCAGTTCAAACGTTGCTGGTGGGAGAACCCCAGGCTTGGCTGCCACCACCACCACCACCACCACCACCTCTTATCACCTCCAAGCAACAACATTGGCTGCCGCCAGCCCAATTGTGACCGTGGGGTCGTGCTATATAACACTGCGGGCGTCGCCACCTCCGCTTCTCGGGGTCCCTCTCTGCACAGCACCCGGAGATCTCTGGTTGCACAGACGAATCGAGTCGACACGTCAATACATGCTTTGCGTCCTCAGTCAGCGACTGCCATACTCTCCTCGTTGAGCTGACTCCGTACATTACCCCATTCGCACCATCCGCGCCGTCGTCTTCGCCATCGCCGATACTCGCCGGCATTGCCAAGAGAAGCACAAAACCCACGTGGGGTCCGGAGCGACAAGAGCGTCCAGGAAGAGACACAGGGCCCGCAACGTGACTGGTGCATCACGACAGCGGCGCCGACGACATCATCATCCGGCGGCACACCCTGTTGGCCATTAACCCGTTTGTAAGCCGGCATTGCGTGCTTTCGCAGTGTGTTGGATCCACCGCCAGCCCAGCCTGACGACAGCGAGGCACGAAAAGTCGGGGCAGAGTGTGCTGTTCGTGTCGAGGAACTCAATTCCCGCCGTGCCCCAGCAGGCGCCGCCCCTTGCCACACCCCTCTGGGGCTCACCCGCCATCGCCCCTGCTGAAAGGCCCGTTACGGCAGCCACTGCGCTGTGGTCGCGGCTTCCTCACTGTTGCTACTGCATCCACGCCTCCTGCCCCCGTACCCGGCCCCGCCGCTTGCTCAACCCACCCCCCACCGCAAAGGTCTAGAGCTAGCACCATCATCGACTTACACGCCAGCACGCGATATTTCCACCTGAGCGCAGGATCGTATATATATCCAGCATGTCGGGCCGCTCCCTTTCCGACCGCAGTGTTGCTACTGCTGCTGGGAGCAAGCTCTTTTCTGGATACGTACGCCGGCTCTCTCTCTTCAGCAAGCCCGACATGGACATCCACATCGACAACCACTTTCACCAGAAGGTCTACTCGACCGCCTCGCCCATCGCCGGCCATGTGAGCATCACCTGCGCCGCCGACACCCCCTTTGACCGGGTCAACATCCTCCTCCTCGGCATCGCCCGCTCGCGCATCGACGGCGTCAACATCCCCCAGATCACCGAGCACACGTTTCTCAAGCTCGAGATGCCCATCCCTGCCGCCAGCTACCCTGTCCCCAGAGTCCTCGAGGCTGGCGCCACCTACAAGATCCCTTTCCACTTCATTATTCCCCAGGCCCTTACTACCAGCGCCTGCAACCACCGCGTCGTCAACGGCGCCGTTCACGAGCACCACACTCGGCTGCCTCCCTCGATGGGCGCCTGGGACCGGGACGACCTTGCTCCCGCCATGGCCCAGGTCGACTATACCGTCCGCGCCAGACTGCTCCGCGACGACGCAGCTCACACAGCCAAGGTCTTTGAGATCTCCCACCCAATCAACGTACTGCCGCAGGCCGACGAAGATGCCCCCCTCAGTGTCTCGCCTAAGGACGCAATCTACGCCATGAGCAAGACCAAGACGCTCCGGAAGAGCATTCTCTCCGCCAAGACTGGCGTGGTCACGGTCTCTGCCACGCAGCCACCACCAGCTATGGCCAGCGTTGATGGCAGGTCAGTCAACGAGACGTCAGTCTCTGTCGACCTGCAATTTGAACCCGCCAACGCGGAAACGCTGCCACCCAAAGTCGCCATTACTGCGTCAAAGATCACAGCCCAAACCTTCTGGAGCGCTAGCGGCGTGGCCTCATTGCCAAATCTCGGCGACGGTCTCCGGTACCAGTCCGATGGGCGTGGTTCGTTTCCAGCCACAGTAAACCTTGCCTCTGCGGCCGCGCAGGAGCACGGCTGGACGCAGCACAATCGCGAGCAGGCTCGTCGCGACTCTGGCTACGGCAGCGAGACTGCTTCGGATTCTGAAGGCGCAAACACCAAGAGATCGAGCAAAAAGGCTGCGGCAAAGAAGGCATCGCCCGTGTATCACAGCACCCGCGTGCAGGTCCCTGTCACCCTACCTGCGCACAAAAAGATGTTCATCCCGACTTTCCACTCGTGCATCGTCTCTCGCGTATACGTCCTCAACCTCAGCGTCACCCTGACCTCTGGCAACGGGTCCACAGTCCACACTACTCTTTCGGTTCCTCTCCAGATTGGCGTGGTAGCACCAACTCACAGCCGTGCGACTGTCGATGCCACAGGTCTGCCAACCTTCGAAGCTGCCATCAATGATGCCGAGGTCGACGACTTCCTGCGGCCACGAGTGTTATCGGTGCCCACTGTCGAGTTTGTCCACGACGCCTTGCCAGGTTACGCCGATATCAGCGGCGCGCGACCCGTAGCGGCACACTGAGGCGTCTGCGACGACCGGCGTGCAAATCAGCACAATGTTGGTGACGATGATTTTCTTCTTCTTTGAAAATCGGAGAGCATGGGAACAGCGTGGCGTTTTTATCATTCTGTCCATCAATATCTGGGCATCAAAGTTTTTCCCTCATTCTTGCCTTTCATTTTCGCCAAAGATACCCCCAAAGAGCACGAGAGGACTTCTGGCTCTTTCGCATTGCATTGCACTCAAAGCAGTTTATTCTGGGATTTTCATATGCAGATACTGGACGAAGCGGGGGCCGACGGGATTGTACATTCTCCTATTTGTTACACGGCAAGTTCGCATTTCGGCGGCATATGCATTACTTGATACCCCGATCCCGTACAGATAATTTCCATGTTTGGATGACGACTTGAAATGGGGGCAAAAGTAAAATTGCGGAACTAAATATATAATCTGACACATGCAAAGAGACCTCTTTGACGACCTTGATGTTCTGAATTGTGCTGTTGGGTTGTCATGCATGGAGAGAGCATCAAATCATATCAGATTGAGTCGCCCCACTCTCTCCAGGTTGTGGTGGTGACAGTGGAGACTGGATTACTCACTCATGAAAAGAGTAAACTTAGCGCATGGAAGAGCTTTCCTTTGTTGTCCAACAAGTGAACTTCCCCGACCTTACACACCGAGATTAAATAGGGAAAGCCCAATGTGAATTGTGACGCGTGTGCATTAGACTCTCTGTTCTTTGCTAGGGGCCGTTGTGTCCTGTACTTTCTGCAGAACCACTTGTGCCGAGGTAGGAAGGTAGCATGCCCGCCGACTGGGTGACCAGGCAGGCCAGGCCAGGCCAGGAGAAGAGCCGGTCGATCACAGGATTACATAGGCAAGTCTGTGCCGTTCACATGGCCTAATGATTGGTAAATGGTCCCTGGGGGCAGGCACGGCACGCAAGACGCCCACAGAGCAAGCGAGGTGTGGACAAGGATGGCCATCCCACGTTGCTCGTGGTTCCTTTTCTGATTCGGGTGTCATTATATTCTAAGCCGCATCTCATCCCCCGCAACCAGCCAATGGCCTTGCCGACCCCACGGCGCATGGCCGGCATCCTTGCTCGAATCTGCTCCTGCGCGCGTTGAATCCCAGGCCGCGGTAAGCTGGGATGTCTTTGCTTGGCCCGACGGTGCATGTGCCGAAGGATGCGTGCCATCCCGCAGTTGTTGTGTGCCAGTATGCTTTGGCCGGCCTTGCATATATATCAGCACTTGTCTCAGCCGTCGTCATGTTTGATGGACCACCGTCTGCTTCACTGCTACTGCTAGCGGCAGCATACACTCCTTCTCGTGTGCCGACCTCCTTCGCCAGTTCGGACTGCCGATACAATGGTCTTGCTTCGCTCTGTCGCGATGACAGCCGCGCACTTTGCGGCTGTCTCTCTAGCTGCGCCGCTTGTGCGCGACGAAGTTCTTGTTGCCGCGCCGAATGAGGCCAGAGAGGCTCGCACGGTCGAACCTCGTGCTACCAATGACATCTCCAGCTGTGGTGGCAGGTGGATGCCCCGGGACGACGTGACCATTGGCAGCGGCACAGACGTGCGACCGGGCTTTGACTCGGCTGTCGACAGATTCTGCAGTGCTGTCAACGGCAAGACGGTCCCAGCTGGAGGCTACCTGTCCATGGTGACTGAGGTCTTCCTTAACGGCGGAAAAACACCGAGCCAGTACGGTGTTCTTGGCTTCCTTCACCGTACGTCTCTCCACTCGAGCTGTACTCGACCCAGCCTTCTGACGTGTTGCTAATGAAGAGTCTCATCAGTCGAGGTGCACAACAAGATCAGCTCGAACCACGTCATCAACAGTAGGTCTTCCAAATTGTCAGCATCCCTTCGTTGAAATATGAATGACAGACTGACGGACACGGATGAACAGTCGACAGCTGCAAGCAATACCTCAAGGCTCTCAGCGTCTCCGGTGGAAAATGCTCAGGTGCCACCAACAAAGACTCCAAGGGCGGCACTTGGCAAGTCGGCAACGAGGAGGTTTCGTACCATGCCATTGGCGAGGATGTCCCCTCGCAGCAGGACGCTCTGAACAAGCTGTGGACCAATGGTGCCCTCAAGGTCCAGGGTGTCTCCAAAGGTTCAGGTCCCTCGCTCAGCCCATGGCCGTTTAGCTCAATCGCAAAGATCAAGCCAGCTCCCTGCCACTCCCACAACGACTACGACCAGTCGATCCCGCTGTGGGCAGCTCTGAGTGCCGGCTGTCTCACTGTCGAAGCTGATGTGTGGTGGTCTTTCAACAGCCTCCTGCTGGGCCACATCCTGCCCACGCTTGGCCGCACTTTCAAGGGCCAGTATGTCGACCCCCTGAAGGCCATCATCGATTACAACAACGGCAACAAGGCCGGAGGCTCGATCGGCGTGTACCCTGCGGCGCCGAGCCAGACTTTTGTCCTCTTCGTCGACTTCAAGACGTCTGATGCGCAGACGCTCGACCAGGTTGTTGCCGCCCTGCAGCCGCTGCGTGATGCTGGGTACCTCAGCTACTACGACGATGCCGCCAAGAAGTTTGTCAGCAGGCAGGTGACGGCCGTGGCGAGCGGCAGCGCCGATTTCGGGCGGATCCGGGACCGGAACGGGGTGCCCAACGCCGACCTCTTCTTTGACGCCAAAGTCGACTACTGGGACAACGCCTTCACGACGGCCAACTCGTACTATGCCTCTGCCGACTTCAAGGACGCGATTGGGAACCCGTCCAATGTGGATCCGTTCAATGGCGCCATGCGGGACAAGGTCGTGGCGCAGGCCTCGCAGGCTCATGCCGCCGGCCTCAAAGTCCGCTATTGTGAGTGACAGGAACCGCCATCCCCATATATCGTGACCTCGGGCATTGAGCTGACTTTATGGAAACCAGACAACCTGCCGGGCGAGTGGATCTGGGAGGCGCTCGCCGCAGCCGGCGTTGACCGGCTCAACACGGATGATTTGTACAACACGGCGAGGATTCCGAGGCTTTGAGCTGGTGTGCCGATGTTGGTTGAACAGGCTTGGAGGAACATCAATCTTCATGTGTTTTTTTTGGATACTGAGAGGCCGGTATAGAAGCATGTCGGGCTGGAAAATCCAAGTCGTGGTGGGCGGTCCAATGCATCTCACCACCATCTCGCTCAATGACAGTCTGCACCGCGCCTTCCCAGCACTGATGAAATGTAAGCACTGGTTGGAAGGAACGACTGATCACTGGAAACCAGGTCCAGATCTCGCAACTGTGACGAGCAGGTGGTGATGCTCTCCGACCCCCAATATCACCGCCGCGACACTTCATATTGCAAAGTCCCACCACATCGTTACTTTGGCATGCTACTCTCTACTCCTTGTCCTCGGTCTTGACCCCACAACCATTTCGAGCTCCCTGCTTCCGCATTCAGACTTCAATCACGCGATGTATCGAGTCAGCCAACTCAGGCTGAGCTGCGGCCCGTCCAGTGACGAGCCACACTACCGCCGCGTGGACGAGCTCCAAGACCACGTCCGCAAAACAGGGACGCACCTCATGCCCTGTATCCCGCGCTACCAGGGCCACAAAGAATCCTGCTGGAAGCTCGCCATCGACCCAGGGCTGCCCGAAGGCCATCTCCAGGATGGCACCTGCACGTACTGCGCCACCGTGCGACCAGCATGGAATAAGAAGCTCGCAGATGTCCTCGGAAAGATTGAGATGATCCTGGACGAATGCTGGGGCGCCATGCAAGACGACTTCCGTGATCCAGAGAGGCAGTGCTACGATGACCCTGCTGCAGGTGAGCGCAGAGCCGCTGAAATGTGTGCCAGTGCGCTCCAAGCCATGATGCTCTGGCGTGAGGAGCAGTTCTATGCGGCGTCTGAAGTAGGAGGTGATCTCTTTGATGCCGGCCTGCCTTCGCGCTTGTCGTCGAGCCCCGCGAGCGACGAATTTGAACAGCATTTCCAGGACAATCATGGACCAACGCAGGACAGGAGGACAGAATACACCTCGTCATCCAGTAATAGCATGGGTGAACCAGACACCACCGACAGATCCGGAATGGTGCCCGAAGAACAACCATACACAGAGGCTCCAGCATTATCAATGCTGATCGACGCCTCGAAAAACATCGAAACAGCCGCGAAAGCTGGGACTTCTCCACGCCGAGCGGCTCACAACCATTCCCCTGCAGGGCGACACATACAAACGCACAAGCATCCTCATAAGAACAAGGTAACAAAGAGCCTAAGCAAGGGGTTCAACAGACAACCGAAGCCGTGGGGTTTGGCTGACTCTCGCGTGAACCACTTCAGCCGACTGGGCTACGAGCTGTTGCTCCATGAGCGACAATGAAAGAAAATCAAAACGAGCGGCAAGACAAGGCGTATCATGAACCGATTTAGTACAAGGTGCTGCGTCGAGTATACTTGCTATGCTTAAGACCATACCGTGGTTAGATCCGAGAGCCTTCTTGAGCACTTTTATCATTTTTGCCCTCGAGGACATGATGCGTTAGGAATTATCCCCGAGTCCAAGTATAGAAATCAGTGCTTCAGAGATATTCGAGAGATAACCAAAGCCACCAATCTAAAGTCTTGTTACTTGCTGCGCGTGATTGTAGTCCACTGTGAATCTTGATCCGTGGACTTTTCTTTGCAATGGAAAGCACGATGGGCTTGGGCATTATGAAAGTGTCAATCTGACATTTGAACATGTGCGAACTAGGTACCGCAACTACCGCTGGGAAACAGCGGATTATTTGATGGACTAACTGTTCAAAAAACATTACCTATAGAGACCGTTCAGAAATATCACTCCCGCTCGTCTGAGTCAGCGACACCCTCCTCGCAATCTCGTACAGAGCGCCCGGCGTCTGCACATCCTCGCCATCGTCGCACGCCTCCATTCTGTGGGGATTGTCACTCTTTGCTTCGCGAGAAGGCGTAGCTGGAGAAGTTGCTGACGTTGGAATTGGTGGCGGCGGGGAGGAGGTTGTGTAGACCCGCTCCCGACTCGAAGGAGACGGGGAGGGTAACGCTGAGGATGCCGGCGAAGGCGGGAATGGCCATGATCCCGAAGCTGGGCTGGTCGCACCACTACGATTTCTTGCGCCATCCACGCCGCTACTTCCCGAGGCGGCAAAGTTCGACACGACTCCTGGTGCTTCCCGCAGGGGAACTCCACCAGGGATACTGACTAGACTGCGAGTCCGAGATTGGCGACGGCTGCTGAAGCGGGTCTCGCTCTCGTGTGCGAGGCCGACAGTCTGGTTTGGGGGGGCAAAAGTCGAGGGCAGGGCGGAAAGGGACTGCATGAGATTCTGCATTTGAGACAGAGTCTCCCGCGCAACGATTTGAAGCCTGGCATACTCGCTCAACATTTGAGACGTGCTCATCTGATCAAAGGATTGGTACGAATGACGAATTGCATCGTATTGGTGGTGATGGCATGGACTCGCGGGGTCGTAGTTGATAAAGGCAGGCATGGTCTTGCGTCTTGCTCTATCTGCGACGGTTTGCTCCTGAAAGTGTGCGGATGACTTCAGATGCGCACCCCAGTGGTCACAGTGGGCACATGAACCGCCCGAAACACTGCGGTGACGCGCTTCCCGAGGTGGCGTGATAGACTCGAGATCCGACAATGCGGTGCTCTCCGCGATACTCTTGGCGAAAGACGCTCCGATCTCGACGCCTGGAATCAATGCAGACTGCTGGACCGCGGTTCTGTCGCTCTCACCATCCAGCAATCCTGGGGAAGGTGGCGTCTGCGGTGGCGCCTGCGGTGGTGTCTGAGGTGGCGTCCGTGGTGGTGTTTTTGGTGGTTGCCCTCCATTCAAGCCTGGGCCCGTCTTCTTGATGTTCTTCCATTCCATGGCTAGGGCGGCCAGTACGCCGACGCAGGCGACACCCATGCCGCAGAGGAAGATCCTGTTCAGCGCGTGATTGTAAATTTCACGGACTTGTGGCTGGAACTCGGGGGGAACCGCGCTGACAACATCTGCGGCTCCCACACTTCCCACTTGTGACGGGTCGATACCTGGAATGCCGATGAGGTCGGATGCCAACGTGGTGCTGAGGAGGTTCTGCCCTACAGAAGTGAAAATGGCACCTCCGAGTTGCTGCGCGAAGAACATGATGGCGATGCCCGTTGGGATGTCGGGCTTCGGAAGGACGGCTTGAGCCGCCAGGTTGGCGGCTTGCATGCCTAGTCCCAGTCCGACTCCAGCGACAATCTCGTAACCCACCCAATTGCCGGTCGACTCCGTCACGGTGAAAGTACTCATCAAGCCTTGTCCTACAGCCATGATTGCAGGGCAAAGCAACATTGACGGAACATAGTAACCGATCTTTGTGGTCACTCCACCGTTCAAGATGCTCGCGAGAACCATGCTAATGACAAATGGAAGCGTGTTGATACCAGATTGCAGAGGCGAGACACCCCGAACGATTTGGACTGCCCAACAATGTCGTTAGTGGATGGCGGACAGACTGAGGAAGGAGAGTGGTCACTTACACCACAGCGGGAGGAAGAAGATGATGAGCAACATAGATCCAGCCAGGCAAAACATGAAGACAGCACCAGCAAATATGCTGCGGCGGGTAATGATCGTGACTGGTACAGTTGCAGTCTTAGGCATGAGGACCTGTACTGTGCCGAATGCAATCATGCCAGCGCCAAACAGGCACAGCAGGAGTATGATGCGCCAGCTGTCCCACGCAAATTTAGAGCCTCCCCACTGAAGAGCGAGCAGTAGGCTGACCACGCTTGGGACGAAGAAGAATGTGCCCAGAGGATCAAGCCGTGTAAAGTGCTCAACAAGAGGAGCTCTGGATGATGGCTTGTGCGGCAGATGCAGAAACATAATTACGCAAAAAGCGGCGAAGCAGCCTACAGGTAGGTTCAGGAAGAAACACCACCTTGGAATCAAAATATCAGCTGTTGAACTTTCGTTCGTCGACGTCGCACGATCCAACTTACCTCCAAGTCACCCCGGTCGTGAATGCTCCTCCGACAAGGGGGCCAAGCACGGAAGCGAGGCCAAAAACACTTCCGAACACGCCTTGGAACATTGGGCGCTTGCGCAGTGGAACGAGCGAGACCATGACGATCATGACTCCGGAGAAGATGCCTGCACCGCCCAAGCCTGCAATGGCTCTGCCGATAATGAAAGCGACAGAGCTAGAAGCGGCTCCGCTGAGCGCAGCCCCAACCTCGAAAATCAGTATGCTGACGAGGAAGGTCCTGTGCGCAGTATTGAGTCAGCCAACATAAATTCCTCATATTTACGTTATAGCTTAATAGGCACTCACCTTTTGATGTCGTAGAACTTGTAGATCCTGCCAAAGAGGAGCTGCGACGCCGCCGTGGTGAGCTGATATGCAGAACCATACCAGCCAATGTCGCCCATGCTGTTGAACTCTTGAGTAATAGCTGGCACAGCAGTGCTGACGATTGTGCGATCGAGGGCCACGAGAAATAATGCTAGGAATATGCTGATGATGATGGTCCAGAATTTCAGTGTCCGTGGCTGGAAGTTGTGCTCGGCTTCGTCCACACCCTCCTTCGATGGGCCGCCCTTTCCTGCTCCCGTTCCCCTACCGCCCTCCATGTCGATTGATTCATTGCGGCCCATGGTGGACTTGAATTATACCGGAGGCCAACCACACGAAGTAGGGTATCGCGCTAGGCGCGGTCCGTATGCGATGGTAGAAGGCTGTCGTAGGAAGCTATCCCGAGGTCGCCCAGTGATGCCCTTGGTGGGTCGAGAGGGCGATGGTGGCAAACACCTGAGACCTAGATGATCCGACCGAGGCAGATGTTGCAATCATCAAATCCAACGGTGGTCCGAGGGGGCTGCCTTTGTCGCAACAAACGCGTTATGTCGAAGTCTATGTGCTCCGCGATACACACAAGCAACGTCGCTGGCCGGATCAAGTTTGCGTTTGTCTGGCGACGTCAGAGATATCCCGTCTTGGTTGGTTAAGCCTGTCACTCCCTTATTACAAGAGAGTAAAAGGGAAAGCCGACTCTTGGCACACGGCAGCAGACTCTCGCTGATACAGCCAAGGCAGTATGGTGGCACCCGGTCGAATGTGGCAGGTGCTCGAGGGGCAGGTCATGCTGATATGATGATTCAACTACCTGTAGGGGTGTTAGAACCAGTGCGAGAATTTGCGGGCAGTCGCAGCTCTCATCGCACAAGAGCAGCGCAAATGCAATGTTCTCTGCCTGACGGTGAGGAGCCGGACCTCTGGGCAGACTTAAGGTATTGTGGGTGGACCACGGCCGCCGTTGCTTGTCGGTGACGGGTGAGCCCCGGTTCATGGCTGCGGCGCCACGTGAGAGTGCCGAAGGCTGCATGGCCATGACTACGACGGGTGCCAAGCGGCTGTGGCTAACTGAGAGGACCACGGGATCTACGGTTGCGAGTGGTGTTCTGGGGTGGTTGACTGAGCGGACGTCGAGATGGGGACGTCCGGGACCGAGGCCAGCCACAGCGCAACGGGCAGGGGCGTGCTGGCGGCGCATGGCCGCGCCTTCTTTCCACTACATCACAACGCTAGCGTACTTAAAATACTTCGTGCTCAGCTCATCCGAGTCCTGCTGCATTTGCCTAGTGGACAACCTGGGGTCGATCTCGCCTGTTTATTTCCAAAGAGGCACTTGACTTGCCAATAGATGACACAATCCTCAACATCGACGGTGTTTACCCCACAATATGTGCGTGTTTCCAGCTCCCCGAGTGCGGCGGGACTACCACTACCACCACGTCTGACCTCCTCTCCCGTTGCACGGTTCCGGTGGTGCGTGACATCACGTATCCTCAGCCGTGATGGACTACCTTGGCTAGGTCTTATCAAGTAGAAAGTTCCCGGGAGAAACGGTAATGCTGACGCTGCACTACATGGATGGTACGTGGCTGTGGTCCTGTCTGCAACAGCAGAAGCAATAACATCGGTCAGCGGTAGTTTTGGGTGATTTTCCTTGGCTCCTCGTACCTATAATCGGAAGTCACAGTACATTGCCTGTGCCGTCTAATCTGCCCACACTTGCGTGGAGGACAAGAACGGCAACCTTTTAGTTAGTCCTGGGACCCTGCATGCAGCATCTCACCACGGAATTGGAGGGCGGGCTGCATGCGACTGCCCTACCGGCGTTGCTTTTGCTGCACGACTGGTGGGTGCCTAGGTGGAAGAGGCTCGTATCAATGGTGGCGAGGGAGCAATTGCTTGCCAGAGGCCTCGGTGAAACATTGGCACAATCAGGCTGGGACTCATATCCTTGAGCTTGGTGCCCACGCCAGCAACACCCGTCACAACGCCTGGTTGAAGTCGTGTTACCCATGACACGCTGCTGGAGGGGAGAATTCCCGCTGACACATCAAGCTTCTGTGCTTGCAACGCAGCCTCTCGACCAATGGGTGGATGTATGAGGCTGCCCGGCTGCCTGAGGCCGGTCGGGTGCGATCTCGGTCCCGAGCAACGCAGTTCGTGCCCGAGGAGCCGCGATAGCGTTTGATAGGGCCGCGAGCGGGCCACGAGGGGCTGCAAGTGAAGGGTCCCGCGGTGGAGCACCTTCCACAACCCAAGGTTGGCTCGGCCAGATCCATGGATCCCCTCCACTCCCACTCCCTCGCTGGGCCTGTGCGCGTCTATTCTTGTCCACCATCAGCAGCCCAATTAAGCCGTCATGGACGATGCAAGACGAACGACGACGACGACGACGACGGCCGAGCCTGGGTGCTCTGTTTTGGTCCCTTTCCCTTCTTCGGCCACATCCAAATGCGTTGTCCCCCGCGGCGCAGAACCCTGCTGGTGGTGCATACCTTAGGGTCCCTAGTAGGTACCTTGTGGTAGTTAGGCCAAGCATACGAAGGACTGCCATTCCTGAGTCTAAGGGAGACCACAGGCCTCATGTTTAGCAATCGCACAAGGAGACTGTTGAAACACGCAAACAGACGAGTGGGAATCTGGGCAGCTCTGGACTCTCTGCTGTGATTGCTCCGTGCTCGTCATCTCCGTCCCAACTGGGCAGGTGTCCCCTGGCACTGTGCCGCCATCATTTGCCCGGAATTCTGGTGCCCCTCTCTCCCTTGGGGATACTGCGAATCTACTTGTAGGCATCCATACACAGAGGACAGCTCGATGGTCGCAGTATGTATGCATGCATGCATGCAGGCAATACCTCGAGGTACGCTACTCCCCTCGAGACCCTGGCTGGCATCGAGGATGGATGAGGACATGCTTCAGACCACTGCACCCAAGCATAGCACGCCGGTAGCCACACGCACCCCAGATCACACCCTCCTTTCTGCGGCCTCGCCCTATCCCCAGGAACACAGCCCAGCACCTATCTGATCTGGCCCCCAACTCAGAACGGGCAGTTCCCTACATAGCTCGCACGGCCGCCGTCTGCGAAGGCACAAGCTCCCGTTGCGCCTGGCCCGGACGCCAGCAGAAGTATGCTCGCCGCCCAAAGTGCGCCTCCAGCTTCTTCCGGTGCCCCAAGCCGTTGGCTGCGTGCCGCCCGTCTGTGCGTCAGCAGCCACTCTGTCTGCCTGCCTCTATTTCGTTTGGTTTTCTTCTCTTTGCGCACGTCGGCCACGAGCACAACATAACATCATCATCTGGGGACGGACAGCGCCGTCGTCGACGACGACAACGACGACAGCAATAAGAAGCGCTCGGCCGTGTGAGGGCCACAACCGGAGTGTCACCACTGGGCACCTCGAGCCCTTTTTATCGGCCCCGGCCACAGCCCACAACCCCCGCTTCGTCCGTCTACTGGCGCAATCCGACTCCGTCGCCGCCCTGCACCACCGGACTTCCCCAAGACATCGTCCTCTTGTCCGCAACAGCTCCCTGATCCATCCAGTGCCTCTTGCTTGCTGTCGCTTAGCTGTCACTGGCTCCGACACGGACGGCTCGGTCCCGACCTGAGCTCCTGGCCTTGCAACCCCCCACCAGCGCCCTGCAGTGTCAATCGCCAGTCAATCGCGTTGGTTATTGGCCTCTCCCAGCCGTTGGTGGTCCGCTGGTGACTGCTCACCTCAGATACCCGCACCGCCTGCCGCTGTGCTCTTGTCCCACTGCGCCGACCCCTGCTGCCTCGCACATGAGCCATGCCCGACTCTCCGGACTCCTACGACGGCGATGCGGTCTACAACGGTGGTACGCCAACAGGGTCCGTAGCCTCTGCTGGCCCCGCCGGGCTCGCCGGGGCACCTCACATCGCGATCTCCAAGGAAGATCCCGCCTCTGTCATCAAGGTCACCCGCGGCCACTCTTGCCTGCTGTGCCAGCAACGCAAGGTCCGATGTGACCAGGCGAAGCCATGTAGCAACTGTGTCAAGGCTGGCGTTGAGTGCCGGGTTATCCCGCCACAGCCGCCCCGTCGTCGGAAGAAGCGTGTCCCCGAGCGCGATCTTGTCGAGCGTCTGCGAAGGTATGAAGCTCTCCTGACTCAGGCCGGCGTCGAGTTCGATGGGCTTGGTCCCGACGTCAAGATCGTCGACCCGGGAACCGTTGAGGATGGCGACGAGCTTGACGCAGACTTCATTCGAGTCCGGGCCAGGGACTCCCCCGCTGGACCCGAGTCCGAGGTCATCAGTTCGCCTGGCGAGACACCCCATATTCCAAAGTAAGCATATTGCCTCCATCCTTGCCGCCAGCCCGTTCGGACCCGTGCAACCACATGCTAATGGACCACCTCGCCGCTTCAGGACGTTCAAGTGGTTTCCTTTTCAGAAAGAGGTACGTCAGCACAGCACAGGACCTTGGGACTAATGCAGGGGTGATGCAATCGTCACTGCATCTGATAAAAGCATATACATCTGCATTCTCCGGTCCGGGCACAGGCCGACTAACACAAATCGGACAGTACCGGACACATACCGACTCTCGAGAGTCATCAGACGAGGACGACGGCGGCTCATCCATCAACAACGCATATGATCATATGTTTCAGCAGCGTGACGATTTTCCATTTGCAATAGGTGCTGCGCACGTCAACCTCACCGACCAGCATCCTTCTGCTATTCAGATATTCCAGCTGTGGCAGGTATACCTCAACAATGTCAACCCGCTACTCAAACTCACGCACACGCCCACGCTGCAGGTGCGCATAATAGAGGCCGGCGCCAATCTGAACAAAGTGTCGCAAAGTCTGGAAGCTTTGATGTTCTCAATCTACCTCATGGCAATTTCCACAATGCAGGATGACGAGGTCTACGCCACTTTCAATGAACCAAAGCGGGCCCTCCTCGGTAAATACTGCCGAGCCACACAGCAAGCCTTGCTTAATGCCGAGTTCATGCGGCAGCCTGATCTCACAATACTTCAGGCCTTCTTACTATACCTGGTGTGTTAGCTCCAAGTCCACTGCACTCTCGTGAGCTCTGAAACTAACATGGGCTCATAGTATGGTGTTCGACCTTTGACAGACCCTCGACAGATATTCTGCCTCAGTGGCATTGCTGTTAGACTCGGCCATCGCCTCGGTCTCCATCGAGATGGAGCCGCGTTCAATCTTTCCCCGTTTGAGGTCGAAGAGAGAAGACGTCTGTGGTGGAACTTGGCAGGTTTCGATCGGAGGATAGGAGAGATGACCGGGTCCACGATTACGGCGATATCGAGTGGTGGTGACTGCAAGCTGCCATTGAACATCAACGATGCTGACCTGCACTTATATGCGAGGGACTCGCCAACACCGCATACTGCCGCCACGGAAATGATCTTCTCGCTGAGCAGACTTGAGTTCCACAAGGCGCCAGGCAATGACAAGATGAAGGCCACGTTGTCCGAGGCGAACCCTCAAGCAGTCACCAACTTGGCCGATCACAGGTTAAGCACATACCTAGAGCGATTCTCTTCACACATGGAGGACACATACCTCAAAATGTGTGATCCCAAGATACCGTCAGTACCTCTAGAACAGAGTGATTATTTGTGTTCAGAAGGCTCACATTTGGCAGACTACACTACATGACGATCCTGATGACACGGCAACACATCTGCAAGCTCAAGATTATGTCGGGATTCTTCCGAGCAGCAATTTCCACAGCACCACAGTCGCCTAAACCAAGCTCACCCGCACTGTCGCAATCAGAAAACGACGCAATCTTTGTGGAATCGATCAAGATGATCGAGTACGACAGCATGATCTGGGACAGGGACAGCCTCCAAGGATATCGGTGGTACTCCTTCATGTACTTTCCCTTCCCGGCCTATGTCTGCCTTCTGCATGGTCTACGAACAAGGACGACGGGTGAGCTGTGTGAACGAGCGTGGAGCGCAATTTGCGAGAATCATGACAAGCGCGGTCTCCTGAAGCACCTGCGCACTCCACTACACATCGCGTTTGGGCCTCTATTCCTCAAGTCTTGGAATGCCAGAGAAGCCGCCGAGCATCAGCTCGGGAGGACTCTGGCGCCTCCAAAGCTAATTACAGTCATGCGGCAATATGTGGCCAACTTGCCGAAGCGAGATCGCTCGAAATCACCTACACACTCTGCTGTCACGACACCACCCAACATGGCACCACCGAGCACAGGCTCGACAGAGCACTACGTGACGCCATCACCGCCACCGATGGCTCCACAGCAGCATGTGCAGCAGCAGCACACGCCGCCAGCAACGGTGCAGCAGCAGAACTACCCAAACATTGACATGTACACGATGCACAGCGGCGTTGGAGGACCAGGTAGCGGGAGCAGCCAACACCAGCAACCTCACCAACATGAGCCGCGTGCTTATCCTCCGGGCAGCAGCGCGCCGATGCCCACTCTCAATGGCGGGACGGGCGGAGTGTTCCCAGAGCTCAATTTTGGTGGCGAAATGGATTGGGACTACATCATGAATCTCGGCTTCATGGTTCCGCCGCAACCGCAGCCTCATCACGCATTTGCGGGACAGATGCATGCGGCTCAGGACCCGAATCAGGCGCAGGTTCTGTGGTAAGAGTGGGCGTGTGCCGAGACGCATGTGGTTAGGTCGATAGCATGCATACACATGAGAGCGTGTTGTTTTCTTGCTTTTGTAGAGCGGGTCTGGATAGAGCATGGGGCTAATATGGTTGTCAAAGCCAGCCATGGAATACGAGAAATGATACCCCCTTCTTTTCTAGTTCATGCTCAACTACGGTTGCAAGATTCGTTGGTAATAAGTGCTCTGCTGCGAGTATGAGCGGAGCTCAGACTGCAACTTCCCCGGAGGTCAGTCGTGAAGTGTCATTCCGGGGAGCTATGACTGGCAACAGAGCCGCAATCCTTCAGAGCAAAGTTGTCAAGTTGAGGCGGTGCACGTTGCTTGAGAATTGGCTTGAAAACGCATCCATGCCAGACTGTGAATATTGAGGAGCCGGGCAATGGCTTAGATTCGGGCAATGCCACCTCAGCGCGTGTCTCGAGGCTTGGGATGGTAGTGCTCACGTGTGCTGATCAGCTCCTTTTGCTCGCTGTATCATTTCTACGAGCGATGACTGTCATCCTGCGCCACTTGATCAGGAACTATAACTGCGGTTGAGTGGGACATTGTACCGCATCAATGGATCTGACTGCTGGACTTCTTTTAATTGTTCCTCTAGAGCACTTGAAAATCAGAGCGATTCGAGCGGGATGATGTCGGTTTCAGGCTCTCGTTCTTCCTCTGGCTTATGGCGTCTTCCCAACTTGCCCCAGCTCGACTTGACATCGGACTCTCTTGTTTTGGGTTTCTAGGGTCATGCTTTTTTGGTTTATCTGACCGCACTGATTCCTGCTGGTGCCACTGCGTCTTGCAGATGGTCACGTCGACATCAACCAAGCCGACAAAATCCCATCGCAGACCCATCCACACAACTGGTCGACAACGGATCTAATGCGGGCGTTCCATTTCAGTTGCCCAAGAGTGTTCTTTTCGCAGCTGATGCCAATAAATGGGCATAGTGAAGACGCATAATGAGAGGGAGTTCTATATTGTGAGGCTCGGTCACGCATACCTCACTGCCCATTCACACAACAATACTTCCGTTGCATAGCCACGCATAAGAGATTCAATCGGCAGGAAGCATGCACTGAGGAGACGATAAGCTAAACCAGCATCCACGACAGGCACATCTCAAGAGTGAGACAAAACTCGCATCGTTGACACACTATCAAGCTGCTTCAAAGGTTCAGAGAAGCTGACTTCTCGAGCTATCTCTGTCCGTAAGCGCTAACAACGGTTGTTCCACCCCGAGGACGCAAAGCTCGTTGATGACGCTTTCGTGGTTCTGCTGCACCAGCACGACGCAGCTTACAACATTGAGCCTATCACCAACTCACCTGTGTGCTCAGGTTGCCCACTGCCACAGAGCTGCTTAGAAAACACACCAAGCAAGAATTCCATCCATCACTATCCTCCCCACCCAAACTCTTGAATCCAAGGCAAAATGGCAGGCCTTGCAGTCCCCATTGGCCATACCGCAGCGCCCTTCGACCCAAACATATCCAACGGGACATGCTACTTTGCGCCCGGCCGGCCGCACACGGGGCCGTACATACCGTGCGGAATCGCAGGGCTTCCCGGTCCTGCGCTGAGTGGAGGAGCAGTTCAAGGAGAAAGAGCTGCTAGCAGTGTCGACGGCGGAGCAGGAGGAAACCCGGCACTGGCGTGTTGCGTCATGGGCGACTATTGCGAGTCGAGCCATGCTTGTTACAGTCCCGACAGTGAGTGCCGCTCCTTATTTCCCAGGATCGACCTTTCCCCGCCGCCGCTCCTTGTCGCCGACTTTTCTCGTAGGGGGTTTAGGAACTACTCAAAGAAGGTTTCACTAATACTTGGGTTCTCTACATTGACGCATTCGCAGCCGACAACGTCTACCTTGCAGGCTGTGCAGACCCCGAGTACAAGTCCACAGCGTGTCCATACAAGTCTGATGCCTTTGCCAGCCAGGAATGGGTTGGCATGGTCTGGTCGTGCGAGGCGTCCGAGCAGCATGGTGGCCGCGCAGATCAAGAAGAGGCACGGAACAAAACAAAAGAACCTGGCAGAAGCCTCGCCGACTCATTCCACGCCCCGAACATCACTCGTCGTGTTGCTCCGCGAGGCATGATGATGAAGGATCTCGGCCTGGCCAACATCTCCATCACCGAAGGCCATACCCCGAGCCATGCTGCTGCCGGGCATGCTTCCCCTGGCAATATCCTCGCCGACAGCGGTAACAGTGACGGGCTGATCGGCTGGTCGGGCTGCCCGCTCCCGCATCCCGACTCAGTTGTGCCCGAGCGCATGTACAACATGTGTGACCCATGCTTGCTGGAGCGGGACGCGCTATTCATGGACAAACGCTACCTTACCCGTGTGGCAAAGCTGCCGGACGGCATTGGCGGCGTCGTCGCGTGGGAGCCGGGCTTCGGCCCCGGCACGCCCGGTGGGTTTGGGGCCAGTGCTGGCGGATCGGAGGGAAGTTTGGCGCCTGCGCCGTCAGTTGGGCTGTCGGCGGGGACGACGACAATGAGCTCGTGTGTTTCGACTATGAGTAGCACTGGTGTTGTTGCTGGTGGTACTGATACAACGACAGCGAGGGATAGTCAAAGTGTAGTTCCGACCCTGACAGATGATGACTCTGCGACTGAGGCACATCCCGCGGCGAGCAGGACAAACATCATCGTCGGATCGACCAGCGCTGTGGTCATCGTCCTCCTGGCCGGCGCACTGGCATGGCTGCTCGTGAAGCGGCAGCAGCGCAAGAGACAGGAGCGGCGCGTCATCCGGGAGACCCATCTCGCGCTCGCAAGAAGCCCTTCACCTCCCCAGATATCCTCGCGTGCTCACAGTGCGGGAAGCATTCCTGCTCAGCATAATAACTTGGGCAGCGCGGATGGGACTTATCGTGGTCTCCCGAGCAGCAGATCCATGTCCCAGGTCACTGCGCGAGTGGGAACCTCGAGTCTTCTGCCATCCATGGACAGCACGTCACATGGTCGAGGAGCGGCACATCTGGGCCCGGCCGGCGATATACGACGATGGAGCACCGCCACAGACTTCACAGTCACTTCCAGCTCGTCGCGCACCGCCATGGAAGCGATTACGGCTCAGACGACGAACCAATCTTCCCAGACAGCCATCACGCCTGTCTCGGTGTGTTCTCCGACAGCTGCAACGCCAGGCATCAAGAGATATTCCACAGCATTGACAGCCGGTGATGCAGCGTTTGACGGCGATGCCGCTGACGATCGTGACTACTGCTTCCGCACCGCCACAAGACAAGACAGCATTCAGCTGGACGGCAGCACTCCTACAAGCAGACGTCTAAGCGCAGCCGGCGACCGGATCGTCGAGCTGGAGAACCACATTGACCGCAAGTTGCATGCCCAGGGTAGACGGGAACGGGAGCAACCTGGCGACGGGGTCCCGTTTGAGCTTTTGTCTCCAGAGGCTGTGTATGTCCCGCCGAGCATCGAAAGCGTGAGAGACGGATGTCCGCAGTACAGGGAGGAAGAACATGAGGAAGACGAAGGTGACGACGACGATGTTGATGAGGACAGCCGGTCGTTTTCCTCATACCAGGGCGGCACGATACAGCATATCCAGCAGCTTCGTATGCGGATCGTCGACCCGAACACTGCACGTGTGCTGATTCTGGGTAAGAACAATGAAGGCACAAACAAAATCGAGGGCAAGGACTCTGAGAAAGCCTGATTCTCGGGCATATGGTCAGAGCTAAGATGGAGGCGGGAGCGCAAGGAGAAGATAGCTTGATTAGTGATTGGGACATTTCGATGAGTTTCGGTTAGCGATGGACCAGATAGCAAGAATTGGATGGTCAAGGCATTGCGGCTGCATCAAGAGATGATCATGTAGGATTAAAACGAGTGTTTGGAAATAGTTCCGAAATGTCTCTTATGAGGGTTTTGCATCGCCTGAAGTCCGCGATATTGTGATATCCAGCGTGGCAGCCACCGATTACCTCTCAAGAAGAATGGTATTTACAAAGAGTGCACTCCCCACGCTTTCCACAACATCGCCAACCCGTTTCAAGTTGGACCTCTGTGAATTAGGCCATTCTCTGCTCGCGGAACCACAAGAATGCCCTGGTGCTGTTTGCCCAGCTTCGTGTGATGAGACACGACTATCATTGAATCGGTGAAGGAACCCAAGGCAGTTATCACGCTACCTTCGCTCCAAGATCCAAGCCTGGCGTCCGAAGGCTCATAGGTCCTGTCTGCTCGAGTGCACAGTGTATGTATACGCGCCCTTGCTCAGATCTTCCCCGGTACGTGGACGCAGAGAACATTATTCTGGGCCGTCACTCATAAGACTAGCCGGAGGAACTTCATAACGAAACCTGCCACACGCACATCATTTGCCCACATAGAGTCAACTGCCTTGCCTCGCCAAGACAAGTCCAACTAAGATAAAGGCATCTTGACCACCACCCGGTTGCATTTATTCTTTCCATGCGACAAACCACAAGCTTCTCGGAGAAAAACAAAGGAGCCCAGTCATTCCTCTCGCAACGGCAGCAACCACCTCAGCCCCAACGAGACCTGGGTTCGTCCACAATTCTACTCAGAAGCCTTGAAATTCCTGGCGAAGCTAAATATCCGTCTCATAGACCTTCTTTGCTCTCAAAATCAACTCAGGCTCTCTTTCCTTCCATCAAGTCGCGAAGAACTCTCAGAAACCCACACCGTCCTCACGACTACTTCATCACACGCGAGAACGATGTCCATCGTCAACGAGATCCTCGCATCCATGGCAGCCGCCCAGAAGCGCACCGCCTCCTCCAATCTAGGCAGCTCGACCGGCACGCTCCCCAGTTTCCCCAAGCCCGCCACCGTGGCCCCGGACTACTCCCTCCTCAACAATCTCACGATCGCCATCACCCTGGCCGACGGCACCGGGTACAACGACGTGCTCGACAACTTCATCGCCGCTGACAGCCCGGCCTTGCTCCTCGGCCCGCGCAAGGTTTCTCACTATGACTTCGACGCCCTCATGCTCAAGATGCAGGACTTCATTGGCAGTAGCGACAACGGCATGGACTACCTGCGCACCGAGTGCGGCCGCGACATCGTCAACGCGGGAGACTTCCGGTGCTGCCTGCTTTCCATCGCTACGGGCAAGCACCAGCGCGGCGTCGATGCTTGAGGCAACCCGTGCCTGAAGCTGCGGTATGTGCAGCATGTGTCTCCTCCACCTGACGAGGATCTACCACGGGGTGGTGGCAAGCAGGACGTCGAAGAACAGATGCGCAAAGAACTAGAAGCTATCCAGGCAAGACTTGAGAGAGCGGCAAAGCGCGGACCGTCTTCAACATCAGCTGGGATCAACAGCTGCAGTGGAGAAAGCTGGGAGTCACAGGTAAGCGGCTTCCTATTCTGCTTCATGCGTCGGATATGCAAACCGAGGCCAAGCACTTGTTCTCTATCGGTTTACTTCGTTTCTCCTTCTCACATACATCTTGCTGGATGAATCAACACTGACACTTGTTTTGATCCCTAAGACCACATCCAAGGAGGGACATTGTGCTACCAAGAACGACGACTTTGGCACTAGTCCACCGGGACGCTGGCCGTCGCCGCGATGTGCTGGATTCGTTCCTGCACAATATGGGCCTAAATCGCGGCATGCCAGCAACTTTCGGTACCCAGAGACTCCCCTCTCCTCGTCCACCGAGGACAACGACCGTCGAGAAGACCATCTCGTATACCCCACTGCTTCCCGCATCGGGACCCGCGAGCGCGACCCCAGCCTGGCCACAAGCAGCGGCGGCTTCTGGGCAACACCTGCGGACACGCCTGTGGACAGTTGGTGATGATGTAGGATCGGTGAATTTGTCGATTGTGCGCTTACCATCACAATAACCCTTGGCAATCAAGGAACGGCGGGCAATAGCGGCCTGTTTTGCGTTTCGACAGGAGTGGAATGGTGTACAGCAAGGCACCTTCGGCGGGGCGGGGCCTGAATACATGATCTTGAGGTGACATTTCGGGAGCTGCCTCCCTACTGCATGCTGCGCTGGGAAACATTCTGCAGTGCAAGCTGAGCAGGTTATGGCGACTTTACAGATACGTTGCGATGCCTTAGATGAAACAAACTGCCATGAGATTGATTCACAAAGCACAGTGACACTATATCCGCGTTGCCTATGGCTGCTAATACCTGCACCACTGGGTTTAAATACGTCCGAGGCGGAGTGGCGGCCTGAGAATCCCAAAGGCATCCCGAGAAGACACTACGTAAACGCTGCAGTTCGACTTGTGGCTATCAAGACTACTCCCGCCTGGATGCAATGCGCTCCAATACTCTGTGATGACCACAATACTCTGTGATTACCAACCGCAAAGCGCCCAAAGGCTTAAATGCCAAAAGTGCAAGGGCGCAGATGTGCATTGCCTTGTCAGCATATGCAGAGTGCTTGGGACAAGCCGCTCCCTACAAGGCTCTCCTCACCACCTCTGACCCTGCCGCGGTATAATAAAAACGTGGACAGAGTTCTCCATGACCATGAAATGCACGGAGACGACCATGGCGGGTGGTGGAGGTACGTTGCCGTCGGAATCGTCCACAGGTGCAAGATTTCGTTGGGCAGCTCGCCTCCCCTTGCAGCTGTCGGAGCCACCTGTACCATTCTCCCAGGAGTCGAGTTAGCTTTCTTGTTTTTCTTTCTTTTTTTCTCTTTTTTTTTCCTTGTATTTCTTTTGGGCAGGTTTTGTACGAAGACATGAAAGGCAGGATTCGGATGAGTCCTGCTTGCAATTCATGGTCAGATGGAAATGGCGGTATTTTAAGCATACGGGCGCCGCAAAGGCGATGAAGCGGGCAGGATGTAATTGAGTTGCTGCTCTCCAATGTTGTAAGTCGAGAAGCAGCGAACGGTGCACGCTGTTGTGAGCGCACCTGCGGGCCACCACCACGAGGTGTGCCGTTTTCGGCCGAGCCGACCAATTGTGACGCGGCCCGGCGGGTGGGGCGCACCTCGGACTGGCCTAGCTCCATTGGAAAGAAAGCTCGAGGGGGCTGTGTGGAGAGAGGGAAGGAGGGCCCGTTTGTGCCGTTGTGCCGAGCATGTCACTCACCATTTGCTAATGTGGACAAGACTCTACATCACGCAGAGTAAGAGGGAATGCGCCAGTGGTGGTCGTGGTGATGATGATGATGATCATCATCCTGTATACGTGACGGGACCTCGAACACTGGCATGCAAGTGGCAGCAACACGGTACCTGCTGTATTGCGTGCAGCACCAGGTTTATTAATAGCCGCGTCAACGTCTTGGTACCTCCACTCTCCCTGGGGCTAGCTGGGGGCATTTTCAGCCACCGGCCGGGGACCTCGTGCGGAGACGGGACAAGGCGCCCTGAATCATTCAAAAGATGATAGATGGGCGATATAGACTTGCTGAATGCCAATCGAGGGCAGATTTGGGGGGAAGGAGGCAATGAGGAGACCATGACGGCCAGTTCAGCGATTGCCCTGCTCGGATAGAACTGTCCTGTTCGTTGACTGCCCGGGGCTAGAAACGGGGCTAGTCTCCAGGAACACGGGAAGAACGCTCCAGATCTGCACGAGGCTTGCAGCGGACGTCGTCACCCAGAAGGGCTGTGTAGAGATCAGAGGGGTCTAGCGTGCACTAACAACCAGACCTCCTCCTCCTGAGCAACTGCTTCACCCCAGCTATCCACATCCCTTTTGCCGATCGAGTGTTTCGTGGTGCACGGCCATCCACGACCAAAACACTTACTTGGGTGGTTGACGTGCTTGTGCGTGCGCTGTTCCTGGTCATTGCCAAGAGAGACAGACCCCTGCTAGGCAGAACTGCTCCTGCGCCCCACGTCCCGTCCCTCTCCAACTGTTCAGTAGTGAGTGAGTGGCCTGCAACAGTGGACAATAAAGACAGGCGCCCCTCCTCCTCTCTCTCTCCACATGCGCATCCTGCTGCTGCTGCTGCCGTAGGGCTGGCTGTGTGACTACAACAACTTGCACCCACCTCGTCTGACACACACAACCACTGTCGACGTCGCGAACCCCTTTTACACCAACAATTGGGATCACCATCCCTTTATTCTCCCTCCCCAAGGAATCACACACACAGCGGGAGCGGGCTCACAATTACAATCACAGCCACCACCACCACAGCGTATACCCGCCACCATGGCCGACGTCGAGGAGCCAAAGTTCAACACCCTCGCAGAGCGCATCGCCGCCCTCAACCAGCAAAAGAACTTCACCGCACCGCCCCCCGTCACCAAGCGCCCTCCTCCCCCGCCCCCGCCCGCCGCAAAGACCAATGGCTCCTCCGCGGCCGTCACGGCAACAACACCAAAGCCATCACCAGTCGTGCCCTCCCGGCCCCAGAAACGAGAACCCCCTGCTCTCCCACAGCGTACAAACACGTCCTCCTCCGTGGCGTCTGTGACAAGCACATCCTCGACAAAGAATGGCACCGCGCCCCCAGCCCTCCCCGTACGATCCAATACTCTCCAGCCGTCTCCAGCCCTGCCGCCACGGCGGCCGTCGGGCCAGCTCTCGAATGGCGATCGCCGGGGCTCCAATGCCTCTGACGTCTCTCACATCTCGACCGTCTCAACATATTCGCTCGGCAGAGCCTCCACACATGCCAGCACCGTCTCCAACGATGCTCCCCAACCGAGACGGGGGCTCCCGCCAACGCTCGACCAGGCAAAACTGCCACCGCTGCCACCCTCTAGAAAAGAACGAGAGGCCGAGGCCGCACGGATAGCCGCCGAAAACTTCGAAAAAGACCCCCCTGCCCGGCCGAACGGGTCGCTCGTCTCCATCAAATCCGCGCCCATCCTGCCGGCGTCAAGACCAGGCCTACCACCGCGGTTGCCCTCACGCCCGGCCAAGTCGCCCACGCCAGCACAGGACAATGTACAGGATGCCGGCGGGCCACGCCGCCTGCCGCCCCCGGCTACATCCTTTGTGCGACCCAAGACGACATTCGAAAGCTCCCGGCCCCTCATGGCCCGCCCGAACGCTATGCCCGCGAGTGACGCGCCTCCACCACCGGTGCCTACAAGCTCACGACCCACGACGCAGCAGGTGGAAGCCGTGGCCGCCAAGGCTGCCGCCATGAAGGCCGCCACGTGCCTCGTCTGTCGCGACTTTTCTCGTCCGGACGCAGTGGCTGCCCAGTTCCCAAGCGACTCGCTCCCCCGACAAGACCCGATTGGGTACCTGGCCAATGTGCTGTGTGGTTCCTTCCCCTCCCAGACGGACAAGGCGCGCGCCATCTTCACGTGGTGTCACCACAACATTGCGTACGACGTCGAAGGATTCTTTGGCGGGTGCATCCAGCGGGGCACGCCAGAGGAGACCATCTTCCGCGGCAAGGGCGTCTGCTCAGGGTATGCCGATGTCTACAAGGCCATCGCCGACCGGGCGGGCCTCCAATGTTTGGTGGTTGGCGGCCACGGCAAAGGGTACGGCCACACCCCGCTCAAGGACGGCGAGCAGCCGCCCGCGGAGATGGACTCGAACCACGCCTGGAACGCCGTAGTCATCGACAACAATGAGTGGAAGCTGCTCGACTCGTGCTGGGGCGCCGGCAACGTCGGCAACCAGCAGTACACCAAGGCTTTCAAACCCGAAGAGTTCACGCGGACCAATGAGCAGTTTGGCCTCAAGCACTTCCCCCAGGACAGCGCGCACCACTTCCGCTCGGACGGCACGGTCCCGACCTGGCGCGAGTACATGCTGGGCCCGCTCGGTGCGGAGCCCGTGAGCTGGTATGGTATCGGCACGGGCGAGGGCATCTCCGAGTACACCCTGGAGCCTAAGCGGAAGCACATTTCCGTGTATAGCGGAGAGACGGTGCGGTTCCAGGTCTCCAAGGTCTGCGAGCACTACGACTTTGCGCGGAACGGCAAGGGAAAGCCGCTGCTCATGCTCATAGACATCCAAGGCGTTGATGGGCGCAAGGAAGACTATGTTCCGTTCCAGACGGACGGCTTCTGGTGGTGGGTTGACATCCCGGCGCGGGACCTGGGTGCCCCCGGGCAAAAGGTCGGGTTGCGGGCCCTGAGTGAGGTTGAAGGTAAGGACGCGCGCGGCGTCACCAAGGAGGAGTACTTTTCCAGGATCCACCACAAGAAGATGACGAAATGGATTTATTACTGCCAGTGGGAGCTGGTGTGAGCAGGACAGAGCATGGTTGGTGCGAAGGGGCAGGAATGGTTTGCTGGGCATGCACATATTACATCATAAGCGATGTTGGTTGGTAATTTATAATGAGATATATGATTGTCATGATGGCATGGCGTTGCGTCTTTCCTTCTATTTTCTTTTTTTGCGTGACCAACATGACGCTGGGTCAGAGAGTAGAAAGTCTCGTTATGGAAGGTTTGCTTTTCCGCCAACTTGTTTGTTCTCGCCCCATCCCCTCCCGGCAGTAGCTGTTGGCTCGACATGCTCGGAGTCCGCTCTCTTTGTTCGTGTCGTAAGCTGCTGGTGGAGGGGCTTTTTGGCAACAAAGAAACCACGGCGCGCGCGCAGGAGGGTTTCACTTTGTTTGACTCCTTCCATGCGATGTGAGAGCTCTGGTGTCTTTGTCTCGACAGTCCACACACACACACACACACACACACACACACACACACACACACACACAAACATACGTGGCAAGCTGAGCCTGTGTGCAGGCGCATGATGATTAAAATGGCACACACGCACGGCATTGCAGAAGGCATAACTTCGAGGGAGACGACAGTGGAAAGACGATTGCCCCTTTGCTCACCGCCGTATATTGGTGACATCGGCGACACTTAACAGACTCTGACGAAATCGACGACGAAATCGACTCTGACTCTGACTCTGACGACTCTGACGACTCTGACGACTCTGACGACTCTGACGACTCTGACGACTCTGACGACTCTGACGACTCTGACGACTCTGACGACTCTGACGACGACGACAGCGACAGCAGCAGCAATGGCAGAGGAAACGGCGGGAGAAGCACAGACGATGAGGATAAACACAAAGTCCAAGGCCAAGGTCGAGGCCAAGACACAGGCACAGACGTGCATATACGTCCCGCGGCTCTGCGCGGATCCGCACTGCGGCGCGCTCGCGCTCGAGGTATCTGTGCACCGGCCGTGTGCTGGTGGTACTCTTGGTGCTACTGCTACTGCTACTGCTACCCGTGCTTCTTCTGCTACTCGTAGTGGTAAGGGCCGCCGCAGTGGTACTTCCGCCGGGAAACGCTGCTCTGGAGGTTGCATCCACCACGGCCACGGCCGCGGCGGCCGGCAGCAGCAGCAGCAGCAGCACGGGCAAACATGCCACGACGCGCTGATGTGTACTCTCCGACGCAAGGACCGCCTGGAACACCCTTCTTCCTCTTCTACTTCGTCGTCGTCTTCTTCTCCCAGAAGAGGCGGTGGTGGCGGTGGCGGTCCCAGAATGATGACGCCCGAATACTCGACTCGGCTCATAAACGCCAGCCTGCCGGGCCCGCTGGCGAGCTTCTCCAGCCCCTTGTTCCCCTGCGCGGCGGTGGGCGTCAAGAAGTGGGAGCGGCACGGGTTGGGGCAGATGGGCGGTGGTGGCGGCGGCAGCGGCGGGACGAGGTTTGGTGATGCGCAGGGGCGGGCTTGTCGCGGGTTTGGGACTGTGTGGTGGGAGTTTCATGGTGGTGAGGAGGGTGGTGATGATGATGATGATGGTGGAGCTCTCGGCCGAGGCATCGCTTTCAAGGGGGAGGAGGAGCAGCAGGAGGAAGAAGTGGCAAGTGACGATGCAGAGGACGAAGTGGGCATTGACAAGGACCAAGACAAGCACGAAGACAAGGGCACGACGAGGAAGACGGCGAACCAGCACCCCATGACCAAGAGCGGAAAGACGACGGGCCATTTCCTCCGCAGGTCAAACTGCGCAAACTCCGGAGGTCCAGAAGGGCTGCTCTTCTGTGCAGAGCATCTGCACAGGCAGTATCCGGACCTGTCGGGCAAGGAGCTGCAGAGGATCAAGGAGGTATGGGGGGCCTTGAGCCAGACACGGCCTCAAGGTGAGTACGATGCGGTGTATCAGGCGAGCAAATTTACAGGTCCTGTCGAAGGAAGGGCGACTGGTCAGGCCAGAGAGTCCGAGAAGTGGCGCTGTAGGATAGGGGCCAAGCAGCCGCAGTACTGGACGGCCTTGATGGGAAGAGGACTCGCTTTGTGAATAAAAGGCATCACAGTGGCACTTCGCTCGTGGTGTAAGGCAAAACGAACAGCCTTTAATTTTCGCACTCGTGAAACTAGAAGACCTCCAGAGAAAGATAAAGAAATATTGAGGCAAAAGCAGAAACTGGACTTGAGCTCAACATTGGTGCCCGGCTCCTGAAGTCCTGTCCACGACGTAAAACCATGAGTGAGTCTCGGCAAGACACGTCCCGTCGCAATAACATCCCCAGAAACCCGCCACCTGACGCAGCCCCGCGGCAAAAACAGACCAAGGCTTAGCGGCACCTGCAGCGGATGCTCGGGCCCTACCATGAGTCGCTGGAGGAGCTGTCGCTGTACACATCAGGGCTGATGCTGCGAGTCGGGCTCGGGTAGCGTCGGCGCTGGGTGGGCGTCGGTGACCACTCGCCAGGCGTGCCAGGCCGTGCGTAATATCTCTCAGAAACATCATCTGGCTCCTCGGCTACGACAATTCGAGGCCTAGAAATATTGGCCGTGTATGCGCCGGGGTTGCCCGAGGGGCTGCCCGACGGACCGCCTGAGTAGCTGCCCAGATAGCGCGAACCGCTGGCGCTCAAGCTGGAATGTAAGCCAGGCGGAGCACTGAAGCTGCTCGCTCGACTTCGTGCAGAAGATCGGTAAGAGGGAACATAGTCGCCGTAGGAGCTGGAATCTCTGCTCGAGTACATCGGCGGGTCTCGCGAAGACTGGCTCGAGGAAGAGGACTGTCTTCCCCGTCCGGATCTGCTGGGATAGGCCTAGAACTGCAGTTAGTACGGAATATGTGTCCAGGTCGAACATCAACGGCAATCTTACATTGTAGCGCTCAATTCTGGTCGTGGTCCAGAATCCACCTGACGCATCAGGGGCACGGCCACTGCTCCTAGATGAACCGCTGCCGTAATTGGAATATCGCACAGTTCCAGAGCTTGAGCCACTTGATCGCGATCGCTCATCCGCAGTGTCGTACTCGTAGTCCCTGGTATCGTAGCTGGACCTTGATGGCGTGTAGATAGAGGTCCCAGCATAGCCACTGCTGTCGTCGGTGTAGGATGGTCGAGAGCGTCCGGACCGATAGCTTCCTCCGCCACTGGAGCTATGGCTCCACGAAGGCAGACCAGCTGGGCCTCCTAGTGTGCTGCCCATCTGCAGTTCGCGCAGGCGAGCCCTCATTGCCTCAAGGTTTTCCTCGTCGCGGCTTGTCCATCGTCTGAAATCACTCTCGGGAGGGCTGGGTACGCTCGGTGGCACATGGCGAGACGAGGACCCGGAGCTTGAGGACGAGTATTCATAACGAGATCGAGACCTGTGGCGCCTTGTCATGGCTGTGAGACGCACGGTTCCGAGGGAACTTCTCGTTTCACAGAGGTTTTGTGGATAGTTAGCGATACGACGTCAGATCTGGCAGTGAGCGTCTAGAGCTGTGGTTGTCTTGGTGACTCTTCAAGGATCAGATCAAGGCAGTGGGTGCTCTGATGACGACGACGAAGCTTGTGTTGCAAGATATCTCATATGGCTGGTCGAATCAAGTCGCTTTTGTGAACAGATAGCTGAGGGATGTCTTATGACGTCTGCGTTTGAGATTAACCACGGCCTCGGTGTAGAAGACAACTCTTATGTTCGCCACGTTGATTCATAGTGCCTGGCCAACATCAATGCTTGTCAATGCCTGAGGCCGTGGTGAAACTCGGCCTTTCCGTATCATCAATCTCAGGAATAGCAAAACGACGGACGCGCTCGCATATCTGGCTGAAAGAACCCTTCAATAGCGTGGCTGAAATGGCGAGGTGGAATATGAGAAGGAACGCAGGGTGGAGCATCATTGTGTGGTCGGGACCAGCTCGTCAGAAGCACTCATTGATGGAAGACGGCCTCGCTGTGGACTGGCAGCATTCATGCTGTATTGTGAATTCCGAGGCCTTGCTAAAACGATTGACCGACTTCGCCCGCTGTTCTGAGAGTGTTGAAACGGCTTGCTTGCTTCACGGAATGACTTGTGTGGCACGCGACACGCTTTGACGGCGGAGAAATGTTCCGTGCTTGGCAGGCACAACCAGGCAGCGCAGCACCAGGCACCCGCTCCGGCAACGCCAGCGACAGGCTCCCAAACCAGCACAATCTCCAGCTTGCCACCGACCTTAACAGCACAAACAAGAGCAGCCGGGCCAAACAAGGAGCGAGCAGCCGTTGCCACAGCGACTCGGTCTCCCATGAGCGACGTCCGATATGGTGTAAAGGCTAGCATCGGGGATTCTCACTCCCCGGATCAGGGTTCGATTCCCTGTATCGGAGCACCTTCCTTTTTGCAACCGCACATGCATGCAGTGGCGTGTACACGCATCCCGGTGCACGGAGACTTCCCCGCCACCAAAACCTGCCCATGAAGCACTTCCAACCAATCAAGCACAAGGGCAAATGTGGTCTCTTGCTTGAAATCGGGTCAATTCGATGCTGGATGGTGGTAGAAACGCTAAGTATACAGAGTGGTTGTCATAGATCGCTGAGGACATGTCGCACGAGGATAAAGCGTGTTCGCCGTAGGGCGCTCAAGCGCTGCTGCGAATTGACGGCTCCTGCGCCGTGCTTCGTCTAAAGCTGCCTGCTTCCATCCTACAAGTGGTTTATCGTGGGCTCATACATGGCAGAAAACATGTTCTAGGGCTCTGAGAGGGCTGTGTTGAACACAAGTCCGAACAGGCGCAGATGGCGGCGGGCATTACATAAAGCGACCACGCACTACATCATTGAGCAGTGGTCAGCATCAAGCCAGTGCAAACAACAAACAATCATTTTCGCTCGCGCTGGGGAAAAGGCCTGCAAACACTTACTGACGAGGCGCCGCCACACTTCCTCCTCGTCCTCGCCATGGCTGGTCGTGGTCGCTGTCGGCGACACTGTCGGCTTCTCCACAGGGTCGGGGTTCTCGCACAGCTCGAACCAGTCCTGAGCCATGGATTCCCCTCCGTCAAAGCCGAGGTTGAGCAGCGTTTCGGTCGGAATGGGGTCGAACCTGGGTCACATTAGTTTCGCGAAAAGGCCAAGGTCATGGAGAGAGGACTCGCGCGTACCAATGCGATATCTCCATGCTGCCAATGTCAAAGGTTGCAGGAGTATATCCGGTACTGGTTGAGCGGCTGTCATTTCTGGACATGGCCGCCGGCTCGGAACTCGCCACGTTCCGTCTGCTGTTGGGAGGATCGAGATAGCTGGAGGGATCAACCTCTTTCCAGCTGTTGGTTTCAGCCTGTACATACTTGCTCGGCGTTTCCGTCCTCGTGGCGCTTTGTGAGCTGACTTCCGGCGAATAGCTGCTGATTGACGCAGTCTCTGCTGCTGGCCTGGCGGAAACTTGGATCTTTCTCCTTCCGATGTCATCGCTCTGATAATAGATGTCCCCGGGGTTCTGTGGCGCACCGTGAGGGCCAGAGGCTCTAGACGGGTCCGTGAGCAGTCCTCCGTTCCGCTGACTTGACTGGCCATTCTCGTATGCCTGGAGCCGCTCTGCTGGTACGATTGCAAATTTCTGCTCTGGAGGCGGGATTTGCAGATCTTCCGAGTCACCACTCTGCAGGAACCTGCCTATCCGGCTCTCGTTGAAGTAGTTCACAAGCTCAGTCTGGTTGTCGTTGTTCTTGATGAACTTGGCGTTGGGCACTCCGGTGTCCCCGTACGTGCCGTCGCGGAGGAGCTGGAGGACGAGATCCTCAATCTCTGGCCGGGCCTTGAGGACTACACTCCAGAGGCGCTCTCCGTTCTGGCTCGTGTAGCCGACGCGCGGACCTCTCTTGCGGATGGGCCGGTCGTAGGTGCACTCTGTGCCCGCGCGCTCGCAGACGCTGCACTTTGGCAGCGAGTTGTCGCAGGGCTGGTGCTGCGAGTTGCAGCGGTCGCAGGCGCGGGTGGCCTTGCGCTTCTTTGACGCTCGCTTGTCGTCATCGTCGCCCTCGCCATCACTCATGGCCCCTGGACGCGCGCGGCGGGAGGCGCCTGTGGTCCTCGCTCCGCGCCCACGGGTGTGCTGCAGGTCGTTCCCTTAGTGAAAGCTCGTGCAGCACTGCCTCAGCCGCGATTGCGATGGAGCAGCCAATGCCATGCGGTCGTGTGTCAGGCCGGTCAGACAGTCAATTCATCTAGACGTTGAGGCACTAGGCGTGGTGTGTGACGGAGGGAGAGTGTGAGAAGCCGCCGACATGTCTGGGAGGCGACGGCCTGTACTGGGATGTCGTCGTCCGTGGTCGACGCGACAATGCGACTTGCACACGCACGCACGGAGGCCAAGGGAGCGAGGTTGCGCACCGGCCCCTCAAGTCGGTCCCAGCTGCCGGAGCTGTGGCTGTCTGCAGCGGAGGGCTGTGGGGGGCCTATGGGGCCCTGTGGCTGGAAACGTGGCTCGTGGGGTCCACCACTGCAGTCAAGATGCAGCTTCCCCCACCCCGCGCCTCGCAGCGCTACGGCACTGCCGCCCGGACTGCCGACGTCGGGCGACGGGGTCGAATGGTCCCGGGGTGTGTAAACATTCATCCTGCGGGCAGGCGCCTCGACAGCATCACGTTTGCTTCTCTTTTGCCAGACGCACCCGACGGTCACGCGACACCAGGCACACACAAGCATCGTGCCTCGCCTCCGCCTGCAGTACAGCAGTGGCACCGCATCTGTCGCCATGCGTCGAGCACTCTGCCTTTTCCTCGAATGCCGGCTGCTCTCGCCTAGGTCGACATCGTAGCGCGCCCTGCTGTGACCCAAAGTGTGCTTACAGCCATCATCGCCCTGGGAGCAGATTGTCGCCGCCAGGGACAAGTAATCCCCCGAGTCCAACGCAAAAGCAGCGACATCATGACCACATCCATGGTAACCACCCAGCACTCAGGCTTCTCGCTGGAACTACCGCGGAGAGCCCCCAAGCTGTCCCGCTCCGATGCGTCAATCATCTTGGTTGGGTGCCGAGGTGCTGGCAAGCGCACCCTCGGCTTCATCGCGGCCAAGCACCTTGGCCGAAGACTCTTGACGGAGGAGCAGTTTTTTGAGCAGATCACGGGCTACAGCCGGGCCAGCTTCCTGCAGCAGAGAGGGCGGGAGGCGTTTGAGCGTCAGATGGCCGTGGTCTTGGCAGGGGTCATATCGACAAACCGCACAAACTGCGTCATAGAGTGCGGCACCGCGCTCCTGTCGCCAGAAACGGAAGATGTCATCCGCCGCCTGGCTGACACGAATCCAGTCATTTACATCCAGCGCGACAAGCTGGAACTGCAGAAGCTTCTTGGCTTGCCGCCGTCGGAGCTGGAGCGGTTCCTACTAAACGACCAGAGGCATCGCAACATCAGCAATCTGGAGTACTTCAACGTGTCGGATCTGGGAGGCGAGGATCACAACGCTTCGCTGCCCGCAGTGCGCTCGAGTTTGATGAGCGCGGCCAGACTTGTGAAAGCAAGAAAGGACTTTACAGCCTTCCTTGATCTGATTCTCGGCCAGGGACTCGCCCGATCATGGACCGAGAATCCCTTCTCAATCGACGCGGTGCCGTTGGAATACCGAGCGCACTCGTTTGTGCTGCACCTTCGGCTATCCTCTCTTCTCAGCTTCAAGCATGACCTGTCTGTCCTGGAAGCAAGCGCAGAAGCAGTGGAGTTCATTGTTGACACGTGGCCCGACAACATGCTAGACATCATCACGGAGCAGGTGGCATTGATAAGAAGGAAACTCGACCTGCCCATTATTTTCAATGTGGAAGAGTATCCTCGTGAGGAACGGCGGCGATCACAAGAGGAATGTGATGTGGTTGACCTCCAGCTTCTTCTCCATGGTCTTCGCCTCGGTGTCGAATATGTCAGCCTGGACCTCAAGAGGAATGAGAACATCATATATCAAGTCTTGACTCGGCGGAACCGGACGCGGATCATCGGACATTACACCTTTCGCGGATTTGGCCTGAAACTCTGGGACGACCCGTCATATTTGGATTGTTATTTGAAGGCACAAGAGCTGGGATGCCACATTGTCCGCATCTTGAGGTTTTGCATGGGGGATAGACCCGACGAGAGCCGCGAGGCTTTCATCAGGAGCGTACGCAGTCTGCCAGATCCAAAGCCACCGCTCGTGGCCTATGACTTCTCCGTGTTTGGATCCTCGATACCGAAACTAAGCGCCAACCTCAACCCTGTCACTCACGAGCTGCTCGTCAACTCTCCCTCGGAATGGGTGACGGGCGTCAACACAGGCCGCGGCGCTCTCAGAGTGGCGTTCCGCAACGGGACGCTCAAGGCGCTGCATTTCTACACCCTCGGCTCAAAAGTACACTACTCTGTCACGCCTTCCATGCAAAGGGCCGCGTTCGAGCACTACATGATGGCACACACCTTTGACGCTAAGCAGTGCAGGACGGTCGACGAGGTGAATCGTGTCTTCGCCGAGGACGACTTTGGCGGCGCGTCCGTGGCCCCGCCCTTCAAGCTCGACATCATGCCACACATCGCGCACCTGAGCTCGCACGCGACGGCCATCGGCGCGGTGAACCTAGTCCTCCCGCTGCGCGGGGAGACATCCTCGATCCTGGACCACGCCAATGCGCGCAACACGGGCGGCGTCACCCGGAGCCTGTACGGCGACAACACAGACTGGAGCTCCATCGTCAACTGTCTGCGCCGCGCCATCAGCCCGCGCAACTCGATCCAGCGGACGCGCACGACCGCGCTGGTCATCGGCGCCGGCGGCATGGCCCGCGCCGCGATCTACGCCCTCACAAAGCTCGGCTGCCGCAACATATTCATCTACAACCGCACGCGGGCGCGCGCCGACGCCGTGGCGACGCACTTCAACCACTTTGCCGCGCAGCACAACCTGTACCTGAGCGGCAACGGCCTCGGCCAGTCGCAGCACGTGCCTATCTGCCACGTCCTCGACTCGGTCAACCAGCCGTGGCCGGAGGGATACCAGCAGCCGACCATGATCCTGTCGTGTATCCCCGCGGACGGGGCCGACGAGGCGCCGACGGTCGACTTCCGCATGCCGCCGCAGTGGCTGCGTAGCTCGACCGGCGGTGTTGTTGTCGAGGTTAGTCTTTTCTTTCTCTCTCTCTTTTCTTGTCCTTTCTGGTTGTTTTGCGTGGTTTTTCCCCACATCGAACTCCATGTTCTCACCCCCTTCTTTCTACCCACTGTGAGGGTACACGACCAATTAGCACATGAACGAACAAGAGAAAAACAAAAGCTGATCATTACCTCCTACGCGAAACAAAACAGCTGGCCTACGAGCCTCTAATCACCCCGCTGGTCAAGATGATCCGCCGCATGCGCGACGAGGCAGCTACCACCGCCACAAGCACCAGCACCAGCAACAGCAACAGCGGCACACCCTTAGCACACACCCCTAACACACACACGAGCAACGGCAACAACACCAACAACAACAACAACTCGCTGTGGGTGATAGTCGACGGCCTCGAGGTGGTCGGGGAGATGGCGGTCGAGGCGTTTGAGCTCATGACGGGCCGCAAGGCCCCGAGGAACCTCATGACGCGCGTGTGTAATGAGACTTGGGAGAGGCAGAGCTTGCCGTTCCAGCCGCAGCGGTAGCTGGCAGCCTCTCATGCACACATACACACACACACACAGATGGTCACCTTACGTGTGCAGCGGTAGTCTGCGTATGATATGTGGAGAACAAGACACTCGGCGCGCCCTTGCGCAAGAAGTTGCTGTCGCTGTTGGCATAGCTGCTCCTCTTTTGCTTCATGCGGTGTGCAGCGCTGGGGAAGATCCTGCACTGGGGAGGACTCACACAGGAACATGAATAACGAGACGGCTGTGGCACAAGAAACAGCCATGGGCATGCGCTTTCATAGAACATGTTTGAGTCCGTATGAATAACGGCGATGCTATCAAATCCTGTGGCTACTAGAACTAAAGATGGGTCCACGAAGAACCGTGAAACGCAAACTTCAATCGCCAAATGCGCCGTGCTATCCTTCTATGACCATAAAACAGCTGGTGGTCAGAGTAAGCTCAACGCCGCCTGCCGGTGACCGCATCGGCAGGGTATGCATGAATGTCCCAATCATAAAATCCTCGTCAAGTTGCAGACAACGTGCAAGGTGACACCTCGGCTGCTGCGAAGAACGCTCATATACAGAAACAGGCTGGGAATCAAGTGAGGGGTATTACCACTTGACTCCAGAATCAAGGTTGAAATCGCTCGAACGGAAGAAGCCAAAGAAGCTCAGATGGTGAGTCCAAGTTGGATCAACTCAATCAGATCAGCTCGAAGCCATCGTCCTCGCGGGCGAGTTCTGAATGCTCCTCGACAGGGCCGTTGTTCTGGCGGCGAAGCATGTTGCGAGCCCGACGACCCTGCAGCGCGTCTCCATTGCTATCAACGATCTCGTATTCGTTCTCGACGAGTCGCTCAGTGGCTCGAGTGGCTCGAGGGTTCTCCTTGACGAACATCTCCAGCGACAGCGGTCGGCCCGGGGTGTCTGTCCGATCAAAGCTGTACAGGAAACCGTCCGTGGGGCTCCGAACGTCGCGAGCACCTGGCATGTCCTCGGAAAGGTAGTCGATCAGGTTGTTAGGATCTGAAAGCTGGACGCGGGCGTCCAGGTGGGCGCGGAAGCGGCTCTGAGGCATGTCGATGTGAGCCATCGGCCGGGTCAGCTTGCTCACGTTGTGTGTCTGTTGGCGGTAGCCACTGTAAGGTGTGAGTCAACGATCCTGATCCTGAAAAGGAAGCCGGTCTTTTCATATGAGGGAGACTCACGTCCAAAGCTTCTCGGGCCGGACCCGGCCGTCATCATCGACACCAGAGACATGGGACCAGACATTCATGGACCGGCGCACGCCAGGGAGGGGACGACCGCCGTGGGCCCACTTCTGCTTGTGGTCTCGGTCCCGCTTGGCGTCTTGAGCGTCGCTGCGCAGATCGCGAAGATCAGAGGTAGACATGGTTGGGGTTGGTTGCCGAAGATCGACGAGCGAGGTTTCCAGGATGTCCTGTTTAAAGGTGTGCCGACGTTCGTGCCGGCCGGGGTGTATATGAAAGACCAAGAGTGTTGCAGAAGAGGCCTAAAGTTTGTGATGTGGTAGGATGTAGGTCGGCGGAATCGGCGTGAGGTGGTCGAGGGTGCGGATGGCTTAAGCAGGAGAGAGCAGAAGACAGGAGCTGAGTCTCAGGACGGAAAGGCGAGGAGAAGGCGTGGTATCACTCTGGGCAGTTGCGATGGGGGTCAGGCAGTCCAAGCACGGGGGATGTGCTTGCTTGGAAGGGTGAGTCTTTGAGGGCGGGTTCGAGAACAAAGGCAAGCAAGTGCTTGCCAGGTACAGGTTGGCAGGTTTGAAGGATCACCAAGACGAGACGAGGCGAGACGAGGGCTAGAGAAGGCGTGAAGGGGGGCAGCTTGGTTGTTTATATTGCCATGCGCGGGATAGGGGGCCATGAATGACCGGACAGTGGTGACTCGGCCGTGGTGTCAAAGGGCCGCGGGTCGATGGCGGCAAGGCGCGGCCGGATGACTCAATGGGGCAACCTGGGAAGGCACGCACTTGCCCGCACCACACTGTCAGATGCGTGCCTGCCTGCTCCGGCAACACACCTTGGCGGCGGCGCGTGCGATTGGCTGCAGGGGGGTGCAGGGCGCAGACAGCCAACCTCTGGCCCGGGTGATTCATTCCAACTCATCTTAGATGATGACTGAGCTCGGCCGGAGCAGTGCAAGTGTCCCATGTCATCGCGACGGCCGCGCTTGGCTTGGGGGAGATAAGCCCCTTATCGATAGTCACGGCGCTGCCATCCGCATGACGCAATCCCCAACAGGCCTGGCACGAGCACGGCCTGCTCAGCCTCGACAAACCGGTTTCTTTGTGCTGCTCAACATGTCGCAAGCAGCCATCGTCGCCAGAAGGGCAGAGCACGCATGCAGCCGAGCAGGCCCAGGGTCTGAAGGGCCACGGGAGCTTCAGGATGCCCTCAGCTCCGGGCTCGCGTCCCCAACGCGGTCAGATGGAGGGGGAGGGTCAGGAGGTCCCGAGTCTAATGCAGCCCCTTATCAGCCAGCCAGCACCCCATCCGTCTCCCGAGGCACCGCCGCCCGCCATCAGGGTGGCCCCCAATCTCCCGGCCTTATCATTCTCCGTTCCACCAAGGCAGGAGGGAGCACGCCCGTCCTCGGAGACGCGATAAGAGAGAGTTGCGTCGAGGATTCGCGTTACAACCTTCGCTGAAAACAGTCGCGAGCTGTCTGGGCACCGGGCTGATCCGGGTCGGAGTCCATGGCTCTCCTGGCTGACAACCAGAGGATAACGGCCAGAAGCTGTCTGATTCCCAGGTCGAATCATGCCCGCAGGTGACGACATGTGCTCTGGTGACGGAGGCAGTGATGACAGAGCAGTCATCGCGAATCAGCTGGTACGTACTGGCTGAGTCGCGTGCCTGGACCTCCAGGGCTGTCTGTCATCAACACCAAGGCAGAGAGGGTCCTAGAATACCGATGACTGCCACGAGGCAGCCAATGAGGCAGCCCCTAGCCAATACCGTGCTCGGATGAGCGGCTGCCTCTGATGGGGGGCGTTCTTACACTTCACTCTGGCTGTCTCGTGTTTCTCGGGCGAACCCGCTTTGAGACGGCTGCATCCATCCAGCTGTGATACAAGTTGTGCCACACGAAAGGGCAGCTGCAGGCACATCACCAAGGCCTCTTGTCCTCCCCTTCCCAGGGCGTTCTTGGTTGTTTACTCCAACAGCCAGCGGCATCCACAGCGATGCTTCCCCACACTGGCAATGGCACAACACAGCGGGGAATCCCGGCAACCCCCACACGGGCGACGCGCCCATGCCGCCTGTGCCGTGGTAGTGTGCTGCACCCAGCAATTCCAGCCAGCCTCGGCAAGCCAGCTTGTTCGGACTCCATCGATAGCGTATGCAAGTGGCTACGATAGTTGCACGAATGGCAACATTTGCATTGACATGCTCTATCGCTGGAGGTCCAGTGGGAAAGTGGCAGCCTTGAGGGACGTCATCATCAACCAGACACATGTCTGACCCGCACCCGTCGTCATGCGGCCAGATAAGCCATGTGCTCCTCCCCCCGAGACAGGGATGCCGATAACATCACGACCCTCCAAGTGCAGTAAAGTGCTGTATGTACTCGAACTCGATCGAGGCGACGTTGCATCTCTTCCCCCAACTGCTCTCGCCCGAGTTCTCAGGCTTGTGAGAGAACACACCTTGGCTTGCGTCCTTTGATTTGCCGGAGGGACACACGCAAGCGACGACTCGCGGTAGGCTTCACATGAAACAACGCAGTCCAGGGGAGCCGCCTTGCTTTGACCCTTTGTCTGGGTGGAGACGTCCTCTCCGCACCAGACCCCTTCCACGATCGGTCCCCATCGATGATGTCGACATCAATGCCTGCAAGAGGCCCAGCTGTGCCTACTGTAGGTCGATAGATTGCCTTGGAGATCCACCGGGGTAGCCAGCGGCTCCTTATGGCTGTGCTGTGCCCTGCTGTGGCGGCGCAGCAGCCAGGACGACAGATGATGCTGGTGATGACGATGCGGGCGCCCCGGCGGCGCGTGGCGCTGCTATCATTGGAGAAAAACACCCGCCATGTGGGATCCCATGACCATCTCCCCCCCTTCCGGCCACTTCCCTCAAATGGAATGCCCGTCCAGAGAGTACTTGCAGACAGATTACTTGCATGCCTATGAAAGCAAGTTCGGCCAGCCGAGGAAAAAGCGGGGAGGAGAGATGACATCTGAATTACATTGCTGGGAGGACCTGCTGACCCTGTCAGATACTAGGCGAGCTAGGTAGACTTCCTTGAACCAGTCTCACGAAGTTCGTGACTGGGAAATAATTGGCTGGTGCATTTGCCGAGGAGGCGGGCATTGCAAAGCTGGACGACGCAGGCTTGAGGGCGATCAGTCGACGAAATTTTACGTCACAGCCGACAGCTGCTTTGTTGCCTTGTTTTCCAATGCCAGTAACGTGTGAGAGCATACAGGGGGTCCCCTTTGTGTTATTCATTTCGCAGCTGGCCTCAGTTGTTGTAACCAGTGGTTGATGCACTTGTTCACTGAGCGGGTCAGGCGCCAACTCCAGGGCTGCAGGCCGAGGGGGGGGGGGGGGGGCATGCGCTGAAGCGTGCGTGTGGCACTTACACGCACACAACCGAAGGCGAGGTCTGAGCAGCAGCTACAGGAACGACAGCCCTCAAAGACCGGTGCGCGCTTGGTCCGGCATGCCCTTCAACCAAGATTCGTCAAATTGCAATGTTTCCCAAGTAGCTGGACGAAACGAAGGGCCTCAGGCCAAAATGTGACGTCATGCAGGCCCCTGCTCCCACAGCTTGACACTGACAAGTGCGGTGTCCGAATTCTGGCTGTCGGTGCGTCGCCACCAGCTGGAAGCACCGCATCTAACCACCTCCCTTTGGGACACAGCAATACTCTCGGGGGTCCCTTGAGGATCTGGGGCTTCCTCATGTCTTACCACAAGTCCCAAAACCCCCCTAGCAGTTGTTCTGCATTTGAGTGTTCTTGTCCGCTTCTGGTGGATGTACGGTACTCGACGACAAGCTCTATACTAGGAAGTTTTCGAGTAGTCATTTTATTTTGTGTCCAGAGTTTCTCGTGGTGTATCCATTGCGAGTTGCGCTCTGGAATGAAGACAGCTTGCTTGTTCAAAAGTTCGTTCAAGGGATGTCTCTGAACTCCATCATCGCTGGACGTTCTCTGCTCTCCCCTGTGCGGCCGGTCTGGGAGGTTGCCTCTATGCGGGGTATGATACTCTTCGCTGGTGTTCATGTTTCAATGACGGCCTGCTCCCGAGGTATGGCGAAATCTGTGCGTGCTCCCGCTATCTCCCCGGGCCCTTGCTGCACGTTCCCACGCCCGGTCGTGAGCCTCAAGCGCATAGGCAACGACTTCCGGCTGCCTAGAGGGGCCCACAGACTGGAAGCCCAATGCTCTGATTTCCTCCATCCTCTGATAGTCATTTAGATAGTCTTGCAAAGGCTTCGAGGACTCTGGTGTAAAAGTTTCGCTCGGTAATTGACCCAGGCTGGCGCTCATGCTACCACCTCGTGAAACGTCATGCTCGTCGAGAAGCCCTTCGCCTGTTGAGTGACCTTGGCTGGCGGTACTGCCCGCATCTACTGAAACGTCATGCTCTTTGAGAATGGCAGCTGCAATATCTCTGAGCTGGGCGTCAGAATGTTGTGCAATGGTTCTAATCTCGTTGAGCGTTTCCGTCGGTATCATGTGCTGGTGTCTGAGCATGTCCAACGCTCGACGTTTGACGACCAGTGCCGGATTTTTTAGGCATTTCCCAATTCCCAAAAGGACTGGATGTTGCAGGGTGAGGCGTTCTTGATCATTTGAACCAGCATTGAACGGCAATTGTGATTCGAAACCCGGATGTTGCTTCATCTCGTAGCTGATCACAGTCAACAGTCCCAGCACCAGAGCCGCGTCTCCTTTGGCCCCCACTGTGGCCAGAAGCTCGACGAAAAGTCTCGAAGAGTTAGGCAGTCCTACATTGGGAGATCCAAAATGTTTTGAGATCTGTCGCAGCGTTTCGTGGAAGGGGCTGACGACAACTTCCCCCAATGCATTGACGCCTACCACATGGGCATACACAGTCCCAGCGGTTCGCGCAACCACGAGCGCGCCAGAGTCGCCTGGAGCGACAGCTATTTCCTGGATGTTAGAGTCTGAAACGAACATGGACTGCGTTGGACTCACCATCTCCCTGTTCCATCACGACTGTCCACATGATGGCATGGTGATGAGGATAAGTCAATGCTCCGAGAAGGGCAGGGACAGAGTCAAGCTTCCCCTTTTTGACCCGGCCTTGCGAGGCGGTTATGTAGACATCTATGTCCAATCCTGGTTCCTTGTCACTGACACTATCTAATATCCGGGGCTGCGGGGAGTTCTGGGAGTCCCAGTAAAGGTTTGGGAGGATCTGAGTCGTGCCCGAGAGTGGGAACAGTGCCCAATCAAGGTGGTCTGAGCCGTAGCTTCTGATGGGGGAGGGTTCCACGATCGAATTAATGATGGCGGATCTTGTGCTCTCACCCGGATGCAATGACACCTCAGAGTCTGATTGCACTGGATCCCGAGCGGTCGAGGTTTTCTGTGGGGCACTACGAGAGTCGGCCTCAGACGGTAAGTCGTACGATATGCCATCAAAATCCTCGCTGTCGCTATCTTCATCATACATCGAACTTGAGTCGGTAGAGTTCAACAGGTCTAGGTCTTTAGCACTTCTGCTCAGTTGCCAAGGGTCGCCGAACATGCCGTGATAAGCTGTGAGACAGAATGGCTTGTTGTCGACCTGCACCAGGCATCCAATGGTCGAAATCCGCGCCCCTCCTGTGGCCCAGTGCAGAGAGGCGCCACAGAGCGTGGTTTGACTGAGGTCTGAGCCATAGATTGCGATGCTGCCGGTGGCACTCTGAGCGATGACTATGTCGACGCCTGTCGTAAGACGCAGCGGCTCGTCGCTCGCCCAGAAGTACAAATCGTACGAAGGATATGGTGAGCTTGCGCTGGCATTACTTTGGCCAGAAATAGACAGGATGCCTCCGGAGGATAGTATGCTTCGGCGGTCCCTCACTGTGCGGAGGTATTGGCGGGCGACTAGACCTTTGCGGAACAACTTGTCAAGCTTTTTCAGTATCCAGGGCGGGCAACAGACGAGGACTGAGGGGTACATCTCCAGCCGGGAGGGTCCGCACATTCGGAGATAGTAGTCAATGTTGCTGGCATGCTGGCGAACCCGTGAATCGCTCTCGACGGCCTGCCTTAGGATGTCAACAACCGTCTCGAATCTTTTGACGTGGCCTTTTTCGATCTGCGACGTTGTGTCTAGGAAAACCAAGGTCTTTGGTCTTGAGAAGGGAATTTCGAGGGTGTGTGGTGGTGATTGTGTGGCTGGCGGACCTGCTTGTATTGTGGACACTGGTGGCGTGGCAGGCACTGCTGGTAGTGGTGGTGCTCCTGGAGGTGCTGCTGATGGTGGTATTGGTGGTGCCGGCGCCGAGAGCAATGGTGTTGGGACTATTTGTGGCAGCGTGGCGGGTGACAAGGCTGCTGCTGTTGCTGTTGCTGTTGCTGCTGGCGATGGAGGCGACCTCGGCGGGACCGATCTAAAAGTCTGACTCGGTGAAGACGGGGAGGTAGGCGATGATGGCTTGCGAGTTGGGCGAAGCCAGATGCTTGGCGGCAGCAGAGAGCCTGCCTTGCCATGCTGCGCCTGCTCGTGGATGTGGTGGACAGCCCTGGCGGTTAGCAAATACTCGTAACGCCGTGGAGCAGGCGAACCAGACTGCGAGCCCAGCCGAGCCCAGCCAAGAGGCCTGAGCTTGCGCAAGTGAGTCGCACCTACCTGACCGGAAGACGCGCCTGCCGCTGGGTGTGCTGGCGGGATGCAGGAGCTGCCTATGGACCTGCTGAGCTTGTTAGACGCCAGCCCTGGAGAGGCATGATGAGGCCCTCGTCACAACAAGGAACGGTGCGTCGTACGCTGTGGCCGGGCCGGACGCGGCACCCGGTGGATGTCCTTTCATCTTCTGCCTTGTCCCGAGAATTGCAGCGCAGCCCGTCCCTGCAAGATCACGGCCGGTCGCTGCCCCTCTGACTCCTCATGCCGGAAGGCGTTTGTGACAAATGATGCGTCTGGTGAGTCTGCTGGCGTGCGAATGCACCTCGAGATCCGTGCAGGCGGCGTCACAAATTTCATGTCTGAAGTTGACCACGACTGGCCTACGGCAGCGGCAGTCGCAGCAGCGCCTCCAACTTATGGTGCAGGACAGGTTCGCTCTCTGGGGCTGACCTGACCTGACCTGACCTGACCTGACCTGCATGTCTCGGATCATGTACCCTGCAGGGGCGCAGGAGGTGGCATCTGGTTGGCTCTCATGGGCAGCTATCGCGGCGGCTGTGTATTCCGCACACGACCTTGCAGTGCTTGCTGTGGCAGTGCTGCCGAGCATCAATCCCACCGCCGAGGGCCTCCGTCGTGACGACAGATGCTGAAGGTATCGTGCGTGTACTGTTCTCCCAATTGGTAAATCCCGCGGACGTTTCTTCATCTTCGAAGCACCCAAAGAGCATGTTAAGCCAGCGTCAGGATGCTGCTGGGCCCTACCACTTCCGAAAGAAGCGACATCACGTCACGACTCCTGCGCAGCTCACAGCAACCAGAGTCGTTCGTGACATACTTCCAGCACTATGAGTACGCCATCTGTGGCCCCCTCGGTCAGGGGAGGGCCTTCCGCAGCCACGAGGAGATCATCCAGGCAGCCGCGTCCCTATGCAACAATCCCGTCATGTCGAGGGCCGACTTTGAAGCACTCACGTTCGCTGGCAGAGTTGTCAGCCCTCAGGACAGGGAGCGGGCAACAGGCGGCCTTACTGCTGTCGCCCTTATGGTGGTCTCCGACTCCAAAGACTACTACTCGACGATATTCCGTGGTACGGTAAAGTGGGAGCCCCAAGAACCCTTCCTCACTTTCCTGCAGAATTTATTCAGCACCGGTCCATCAACAACGGCGGGTCAACCTGGTGGGATTCACACTATCTATGACCAGAAGAAACTCAAGTTGTGGAAATTACATTCCAGATTTGACCTAGAGATAGTCGGCACGAACGACATCTTTGAGCATCTGAAGCTGGACCCGATGGCCAGAACTCTCAAGATCTTCCACCAGGTGGCTTTCCTGAGAGCGCAGCTGCGACTGGCTGACGGACTCCCATTGGAGATGAATTTCGAAGAGTCTCTGAAACGGTGAGGGCTCATGCCGGACCCGTACACTGCCTCGTGTACTAATCAAAATTAAACGTGTATCAGCGGGTGCCTTCCGCCACAGCTCGTGTTCGAAACTCTCGTGTTGAACCAGCTGATACTGCTGCCAGTCTTGACTGATCGAAGGTCCAATAACCTCCTCGAAAAGCTCATCAGAAGAAATGGTTTCGACCCAACCATGCGCGATTATGACATCGTGCGCCAGATCCCCCCAGACTTCGTTTTCAGCGTCTGGGCAGCTCGCCTGGACGAGTTGCATGATTTTATAAAGCGGCCACCGCCAGGAAACTCGATTGTTGCTTGGTTTGAGCGACATACATCGGAAAGAAACGCACTCACGGTGGCTATTCTGGGTCTGTTCCTCACAGTTGTCATCGGAATCTTTGGCCTGGTGGTTGCTGTACTACAGCTAGTGCTTGCGTGGTATGCCTACAAATATCCCATAGCTGACTCATAAATCGCGAAGGTCTTGGATGTTGCCAGTCCTGTTTGTGCAGAGGGGAACGTTTCATAGCATATTGCGGGACGCTGGAAACTGTACATGAATTTGTGGATTTTGGAATGGGCGAAGTCTTCAACTAGGACAGATTCCTTGGGCAGCGCAAGGTCAACAGTGTAGCGACATAAATAGCAGAGCAAGTGTGCATCCTGAAAATATGTGATAGAACATCCGCTACTGCCAAATACAACTCTCTACATGTTATAGACTCCCATAGATGGAACTTGGCCAACCAACTTCTCATTGGTGGTTGGCTGGAACTTCTTCTCCTTGTACCACTCCTGCGCCACGACCGACAGCTCCTCGACCTCGGAGAAGTCAAAGGACGGGGCGTCCAAGAGCTCAAAGATGCCCCTGGCGTACGCCGGGTCAATGTTGTATTGCTGGGCGAGGTATTTTTTCTATGTGATCCCGGGCAAGTCAAATGTCAGTGAATCTGGACGGATAGAGAGACGAGACAACAACGACTGGGTTCAGGATAAAAAAGATGCCCGCCCTGAGGCAAGATCCCGATGCGCCAAGAAAGTGGATGGGCCTCCTCCCCCTTACCTGGATCTCTGGATACTGCACGATGCTCAGGTACTTTGCGGTGTTCTTGCACGTGTTCTGGCGCTCCTGCTCGGTCATGACGCGCCGCCACAGCTCGCGGGCCTGGTCGTACTCGCTGGCCTTGCCCTCGTGCCAGTAGTGGCTCTTGCGGCTGACAATGTTGTCGTTCACGACGTAAGGGGCCTCGGCCGTGTCCGGGCGGAACTTGTGCGCGAAGCTGTTGGGCGCGTACTGCTTGTTGCCGGCGTGGTTGGCGTCGGTGCGCATGGCGCCGTCGAAGTTGAGCGAGGCGTACGACTGGGCCATGAAGGGGCAGTTGACGGGGACCTGGTGCAGGTTGACGCCGATGCGGTGGTACTGGGCGTCGCGGTAGAAGAACATGCGGAACTGCAGCAGCGGGTCCGGGGAGTCCTCGATGCCCGGGACCATGCTGCCGGGCGAGAAGGCCGACTGCTCGACGTCCCGGTGGAAGTTCTCCGGGTTCTTGTTGAGCACGAGCCGGCCAAACTCCTTCATCGGGAACTGGTCCCGCGGCCAGACCTTGGTCACGTCGAAAGGATCAAAGCCCAGCACGTCCGGGTCCGCCTGGTCCGGCTGCATGACCTGCACCTTAGCCATCCACTCGATCTCCTCGCCCTTCTCGATGGCCGCCCAGAGGTCCCGCTTCGAGTAGTCCGGGTCCCTCCCGCACATGGCGACGGCCTCCTCGTCGGTGAACGTCTTTTGCCCGTGCTTGGCAATGAAGTGGTACTTGATGTACACAAACTCGCCGTTCTTGTTGACCCACTTGAACGTGTGACACCCGTAGCCGTGGTTGTTGCGCCAGCCCTGAGGCGTGCCGTGGTCGCTGAAGAACATCATTCCCGCGTGGTTGCCCTCGGGCGTGTTGGCGAGGAGGTCGAACAGCGCGTCAAAGTCGAGCAGGAAGTTGGCCGGGTTGCGAGACTGGGAGCGGATGACGTCTGGGCCCTGGATCGGGTCCCGGCAAAAGAATATGGGCTTTGTGTTTTTTGTTTTGACAAATCAGCACTGGCGTGTCTCTCGAGTCTTCTCCTGGAGAATGAGTGAAGCGGCAGGTGTGCGGACTCAAGGAACTCACAAAGTTTAGGCCGACGATGTCATAGTTGCCCTCTTGTGTATAGAACTTGATGGCAAACCCACGAGGGTTGCGTCCTTCATCCGGGAATTCCCTGCCAAAAGTCACAGTAGAGAATCGCATGAAGATCGGTGTCTTGTCGCCAACGGTGGACAAGAAATTGGCCTTGGTGAGCTCAGACACATCCTGGGTGCACTCGAAATAACCGAACGCGCCGGATCCGCAGGGGTGGACCATGCGCTCGAGGTTCTTGGACCTGTTGAAATGCTGCTGCTTTCTGTGGTGGTATTAGATTTATGTATCAGGAAACGCTTGTACTCGAGCTCCACTGACTGCAACAAGAATGTGTCGCTGACCAGCGGAAGGCCGCCAACCGTTTTGCTGTGGGCACTGTTGCAAGATGACAATTAGCACATAGCCATGCTCCTGCTCCCCCAAGGGCGCTTCAGAATGGTCACGCACGGATCTGGGAACGGAATGCCCTCGTTATTGGTAAAGTATGCGCCATCGTCCGCCCGCTTCCCTCCAGAGGTGACACCAGAGACTTTGGAGATGATGTCGGCCGGCCCTTCGTTTGCGCTTTGCATGTGGCTCATCCTTGGCCCGCGTCGTTCGCCCATGACTTCGGCCCCAATGGCAGTGGCTGTGGCCATAAGGGGATGCTGTTTTGCGTTCATTGCGTTCATTGCGTCCCAAAAGTTGCAATCCGTTATATGTTTGTGAGGTTGGATTTCAGGTTCCAGACTCCCTCGTGCTCAAGTCGTTCCGGCCTGTCCAAAGAACTCTTGTCGCCACGAATGCTGTGACGAATATTGCTGTTCTAGGGATGTAGTAATGGTATTAGATATTCCCCAATTCCTGAGGGATGGTGGGGGGAATCGGGATTAAGTAACTGATGAGCCTCGGGGTAGCTCCAATTCGAGGGATTGTACTTCGTCATGACTGATAATGCCAATGATGCCAACATTATCTGCATGAATCCAGGACGTAACTATGATGGTCCCATTACCAACGAAGGAGAGCTTTCTCCGGAGTCTGGACGGGATGTTCCAACAATTGGTTGGAAAAGCGCCTGATTCTGAACATGGGAGGTTGTTGGTGGCCGAGCTGTCACATAGCCGTTGGTGTAATGCACGACAAATGATTCGGTCATCTGGTACTTCCTCCTATCACGCTAGCCGGAGCGGATACCAATCCAAGGTCGCCCGCGCCGGGATCGTGCATAATACCCCACAGTTGACAGGTACAAGTTTGCAGGCGGGCGGAGAGGAGACTCCGGCTTGATCACCACTCTTAGCAGTAACATACATGGCAGTATCGCCCATGACCCCGGCTAACCTGCGTCGCTGGCAGTCGAACACGATTGCATGCAAGTATCACCTAGATTTTAGAGCCAAAAGCTCCGCGGAGACGACGAGGAACCCCCAAGGCCGCGACCGACCGAGCGGGCCTCACAAAAGCAGGAGCTTTTACTCCGAAACGCAGGTGAACCCGTGATATTCCTGCGTTGCTGGGAGTGTAATATAGCGTACCAGCACCTCCAGTTCTCCGTCTTTCATTATGCCAGCGTTCATCTCGCTTATCATGCAATTGTGATAGCCTGCTAGCTTCTCGATTGCATGTGTTACTAATGCGGGGCGTCGAAGCTCATCGGAACTTGCCGTTTCGTCTCCGGCCTCTGTAATTCAGGTACAGCACTCACATATGTGGCTGTGATTGGGCAGCTCTTCCAAATCGTTGAAGAAGGGGTGAGATCAACACCAAGCCTATCGACGCAAGTGGGCTGTAGTCAAGGTTTACTGACAAGTGACCGCGCGCCGTATCGGAAACCGATAGAAACAATCAAGTAATATCAGGGGAGGCCGTCACGGTATTATTCATAATGTGATTGATTACCCGGTTGTCTGATAGTATCGAACTAGATCCGGGCAAGACCGGAACGAACTTCCCATCTCTTGCAACGTTTTCTTGTCTCATTTGCCAGACAAGGAGTTTTGGCGCGTCTCCTCTTGAACTCCCTAACTTGCAAAATGCGTCATACAACTATTTTTTCTCGCAGGCGCTGTGCTGCCCAAGTTTGCAAGTTGTCTGTTCTGCACAGTCGGATCCTTGGCATAGCGGATGCTCCTGAAGCGGTGCACAGTGATAAAAGCCCTTGTGCCGCTTGTGCAGTGGAGCAGACATGTCTATATGGCTCAGTGATGCTCTCCATACGAACTCTCGAGGATGGAAAGGGCAGAGCATTGAGCCTGGGGGAGCTCCAAAAGATCCCAGTGTGTTGGATCTTGCTCAGATCTGGTGACCTTTGGTTCGCCAAGTGCCAAGTCGTCAGGCTCAGAGCGAGGCGTATTTGACCCAATCCGATAAGCTAGACTTGGACCCTGTATTGCCAGCCAATAAGCGAAACACATGTGTGATGAAGAACCCACCCGAAAGTGCAATTCATGGGATTTGTGGGACCACACTGCCCGGCTTGGCAGATAGGAAAGACCTTGTTTGATTGACATGTCTCCTTCAGACTGGGGTGTCGCCAAGCCGGCAAGGTCGCGATGCCCTTACGAGAAGCTGCTGCGCCTGTATGGTGGATACCACCAGCCGCCAGGGTCTTTGTTCTCCACGACCCGGAACTCAAGATATATAGCGGGGAGAAGGATGAGGGCATTTTGTATTCTGGCTTCGTCGTACACGATCTTCCTTGTCCGAACGCAGTACTGTAAACCTCATCAATCTCCGGTTCCAGTCAGCGGAGACCATCAAATCTGGTCCCGCCACCAAGTCGCAAGACAACAGCACACCGCCACCCATCGACCTAATGGCTCCCAAAGGCGTTGTTTACACGGGGATCTCCGGCGACTCCGATCACGAGCCTGTGGCAACAGGAATTCCAGGCTGGGCCATCGGTGTCATTGCCGTGCTCGGATTCCTGCTCATCGTATATGACCTCATGGTCTGGTACTTTTGGATAGTAGGCGAGTCATCCCCTTTTGCCAACCCGCACTGCCCTCTCTGCTCCTGGCCTGACGAGCACATCGCATCGTATACTCCAATGTTCTCAAGCTAACAATCTGCCCAACGGGGTCCATACAGAACGTGTTCGTAGAGATTTCGATAAGCCGTTCCGCTACGGCCGAGTCTTTGGCCAGGCATTCCTGTTCGTCATTCTCGTCACACCTGTCAAGATGCTCCTCAACAGAATGGGGGCCCGCAAGGATTGCTGTGGCGGTCTCTGCACGGCGCGCTGCCTACGACAGAAGCTGTTGGTGGAGGACATGGAGGCGTCGACAGCCCGTGCTAATGCACAGGAAAAATCGACAAAGGGAAGCGGACGATCGGTGTAAACAGGACGATATGGACCGCCGTGGCCGCTGCTCGACAACAGCTGACGGATTCGATGCAATCCGAATGGATAACGAATAATGATCATTGATGTATGTAGAAACGCCGTAGGGATCAGGGGATGTCCCAAAGTCTCCTTGCAATCCAGAAAGCTACCGCACATGAGTTCGATCGCGCCGCAAAGTTGCGCCATGGTGTCGTGCGGTGCAGATGGCATCTCAAGAGATGTGGCCGCGCGAGACGACTCTGATTCTATTGCGCATGACGGTGCTCGTGTATGCTCAAATGTAAACTGGTTGCCAATCCAATGAGATCATGTGTGTACGCTTCGGCCGCCTCGCCTGTGCCACACATCTCCTCCCATGGACCCTCGGACTGGCATGTCTCCTTTCCTGCAAGACGCAGAGGAGATCAAATGGCCACACCGGCAGCAACCGTCCCACCGCTGATCGCTGCTGCCGAACCACTCGTCTTGGCCGACCGGAGCATGAACTTGTACTGCTCGATCTGCGAGACACCAACAAGGACGAGCTCCTCAATCGTCCGCGGGCCCAACCCCTCCCTCCATATCCCAATGGTGCCGTTCGCCTGGGTGCTATCGACCGCTACCGACATGACGAGTCCATCAGCCTCGTCGGACTCGCGCATCTCCCACGACGCTGCCCCGTAAGCCTTGCCGCCCGTTTCCTTCCTGCGCAACATGCCCAATTTCCCACCAGAGCAGTCGCTGGCGTCGAACTGTTGATCCTTAAGGTAGACCTTGATCTCCCGGGGCTTCTGATCCGCCTGTAGATGCGGCTCCACCTCAATCTCAATATACGCCCGTGGAAACGTGTGGAAGTCGATGACGGCAATCTTCTCGATTGCGCCCTCGGAGCTCTCACCCACGCCTTCTCCCTCTGTGTGTGCAGACTTGCCGTTGTACCGGCTGACAACACACTTCCTGCCCCACGCACCCAGGACTGCCTGCCGTTCGACCTGCCATCGCGGTCCCGTGTCGCCCTGTATGCGGAGAATGCGCCGGTTGCTGTTTGGAATGACACTGTAGCGTACCTCCGTGGCTGCGTGGTCACCGCGGGCGATGCGCGGGTCGGGCGTCGCATCGGCGTATACGATGAACTTTTCGAGCCATTGAGGTGCCATGATGATGATAATAATGATGGTGTTGCGAGCTGCTTCCCGGGGTAAGTAAAGGGCGAAATGATGAAGCGCACGGGAGGATTTTGTTCACTTGGTTGATGAGGATTGACGACCTGGCAGAGAGACGGCAGACAGGACTTGAAAGGCGATTGACTCTATTATATGCTGGCGTGGACGGTGGAGATTACCTTGCGTTCTGTCCTCTCGGACCAGCCTTGTCGTTTTAGCCCTCTGTGTCTCCATCAATGCCACAAGCGGTCTGTGGCGTCAGCCATCAGCCTATATCGGCAGCGTGCCGAGGCGAAGCGGGGCGAACAGCTGATGATATCGTGAATACTCGTCAGTTTAGGGACCGCGGCTTGACCGTTCTAGGACTCAATGCAAGGTCAAGAGAGGAGACAGGACAGGGGCGTGACTCGAGTCGCAACGGCCCCAGCCGGCTGCCTCACCCGCTAGACCTCTTTGAGGGCTTGGCTACGCACTCAGCATTGTGGACCTGCTTCCTATACTTCTACCTCTTTGCGCTGCCGGCCGTGGGAAAAACCCTTTATACTAAGTATTCATCTGCGAGAATGACTACGCACAGAGTCACACGGGATTCGGTCTTCATATTCAAGGGGCGACCGGAGCTGCACCAGCAAGATCACACCCTAGCAGAAGGTTGCTGAAATGTCCTTCACAAGCTCGGGCCCGCCAAATACGCCTTGCGTTTCAGCCCCGTCAGCCCTACAGGGTCAAAACCAGAAGGTGGATCACGGACATCCCGTGGCCCGAGATCCCCGAACCGGGCTCCAGTTCATCGTAGCGCTGTCGGATTATAGGCTATCTTTTACCTTCAATAATCCTTTGGACACAAAGGTTAAAGAAATATGCGGAGGGGGAGGGAGAATAGGGGAGAAACTGGATAATATACACCCACCTCCCAGCTTGCACGTAGCATATGGTTCTTATTTCGCGTGCCTCGTGCATCAGCCTTCGAATCACCCTTTCTCCCCTATTAACTCGTTCCGCTTCAGGTTATCCAGGTCTAAAAGTCTTTCTGCGACTTGGAAGGGCAATTCAAAACCACACCAAGGGCCAGCCATCCGCATCCTGCACTCTGACTGCCAACATATGCCAGTTCTCTGGGAATCCGCCGACAGTCTTCTCAGCTCTTCGCGGATGTAATCCCAGATCTGATGCGCGGAGGCCAACGATTGAAGCTCCATGTACCATTTTGGCCAGTCGCTGGAGGTCCGCAGTTTGATGGAATCGTTCCAGCTGACGAAAGTGTCTCCGTCCATGTTGAGCTGCATTTTGCTGCTCTGGGAGCTCAGGAGTATGGTTTTGGTCGGTGGCAGAGCTTCAGGAGAGGGCTCTTGGGTGAGTTGAAAAGTGAGGTTCTGTGAGGAATGTTTTCTGGCTCTGCGAGCCGACGCAGTGGTTTTGGAAGCTCGATATCATCGATTTCCCGGGCTCATAACTGTCGCAAGTGGGGCTCGGTGCTCGCAGAGCTGCAGAATGAGGCTACAATGGTGTACTTATATAATTGCCTACGTACAAAGGGAACAATAATGAATGGTGCAGGCGCACTCCAGCGCGCCATTTATATGCTCCAGAAGAGCATGAATTGCTTAGTCATGTACTCCATTGTACATCAAATGAACCATGTGGTGCTCCCTGTCACACATGGTGAATTTGTCCGTATTGGCGAGATTACGATTTGAGGAAGGAGGATGAACCAGATAGGACGATATCCGTTGGAACCAACAACACCCCTGCCCATGCGTGCAGGCAGCCACCGCTTTGCTGACCCAAGTCGCACCACCTGACTCAGATGTTGCGTCCACCGGCAGGACGGATGCGTCCCCCTCGAACCCCTCTGGGCCCTCCAAACCGACGACTGCGACCACGATAATACCAAGATGGCCACGGTCTCGGCGGCTCTCGAATTCCCTTTATCCCGTCTTCCACGAACGGCGTCAGTGGCGAGGTCGGCGGACGGTCCTTCATGGCCCGGTACACCTCGTTCACATGTAAGCACTTGGCATGAGCAGGAGGCCGCAAGGATTCTGGTGCACAGGCGAAAAGTTCAACCTGGCTCACGTCGGCCTCGTAGCCATTGTAGCGCCCGGTTTGAGGCACCTCACCCCAGTCGAAGTGCTTGACGGTGAGACAGGGGGGAAGCTGGGACTTTCGAAAGTAGCTTGGAGATAGGTAATAGTGTTCGTATTGTGCTTGGTCCAGACCGATTGGATGTGGGAGATCCCGGACCAGTGGATTGATGCCCGCCTCTGCGCACCTTCGTTTGAGGTAGTCCCTGAACATCGGATTGGCAGACTTCTCTGCCTCTTCCCATAGCCCCTTATCAGGCTCGGGATCGAGGAGTGCCCATAACTCTGGCAGATTGGCCGCAATGCATGCCCGGGCAACAGCTGGCTTCATCCCTGGCTGGCGTCTGGCAAGCTCTTCATAGGTCTCGTGTATTGCTTGATCTGGAAACCAGATGACGTATGGCAGGTGTCCGCATAGGCGGTTTGGTGCGTGTGGTAATGGTACGACGGGGACACGAGAAAGGTCATTGCTCATTATGTACCGAGCAGTGATCGCCATCTCGAAAGGGGCTCTCTCCCCAGCTGGCTGCATAGTCCACCACTTTGCGAACATGACATTATGGTAGATGCCACGGGTGATGAAGCTGTCCTCCCGGTCTAGGCGGAATCCCGCCCGACGTAGTCGAGAATAGCGGTCGATATCGCCGTACCAGGCTGCCATTAGGATCAAAATATCCTTGTTCCCAGAGGGCAAGTGCTGAGGTAATGGCGACCAGAGTAAATCTGTGATTTGAGTGTTCTGGCTGTATTGGTCGTAGGGAGAAGACTCAATCTCGCTAATGTTGAAATCCTCTGTGATATTATGATAGATTGAGACCTCATCGTAGTCTGGGTCGTCAAGGTCTGGAGAGCCTTGGATCCCGGGGTCCTCGAGCTTGCGCCGTCGCTGCAGAGTCGATCGAACCGCAGTGTCGCCATTTAGGCCGTGATGCGCTCGCTCTGGCTGCTCCCTGACAGATCGAGAATAGTCGTCCATAACAAGCCACTGCTGGCTTTGACCCAAGACTGCGTCCAGGATGATCTTCGATTTGGGGTTTCGGCTCATGTTGTCGCGCGCCTCCTCGGCAATGGCCAAGTCTGGGAGCAAGCCGAGCGACTCATAAAGCTCGTGATAGCCAGCGACGGCACATGCGCGACCGACATTGTACTTCAAAGGCGGATAACGCTGTGCTAGCTGCCGGTAGACCGCCTCGGGGCCGACCTCCGGATACCATATGCAGTATGGCACATGATCTGGGTCCAAGATCTCGGGGATCTTGCCACTCATAATGTCGCGAGCGTTGAGAGCTCTGATAAAGTAGGCATCGTTGGTGGACCTCAACTCGTCGCAGTAACCTGGGTTATGTCTGATGCCGCTGACGATGCATAATCGGACCACCGGGCAGTTGAGGTTGTCGGGGACGGACCTCCCTCTCATGGCCTGCTGGCATGTCTCGAACGTCCAAGCACAAGTCACAGGACAATGATCAGGATGTCGAATGAGCCGCGCGATTCTCCTCGTCTCGTTGATGGTCTCGGCCATTCGTGCAACACGGCTGGCAGCAGTCATGACTGTGGTGTCCCGCGATTTCTTAATGCGTGGAGGGTCTGGGGCGGTGGTCCAACAGAGAAGAAGGAGAGTACGTGGGGAGGTGCTGCTTGGCCAGCTTCATCCTCTGCACCCACCCACCCATGCCTGACCCCAGCACCCTTGTGACTCGATGTACGGGCCAAGGCTCCAGCTTCCTGTGTGAACATGTGCCCCAGACTTCCTATCTCCAGAAAGTGACTGGTAACAAGGCCATTCCGAATGACGTGTGGGTTCGCGGTGATCTTTAGCGACCCAGAAATTATCCGTTCAGCACATATGCATTTCAGCATACTCTTCCTTCTGGGTATTCCGCGGACTCTTTACCGAACCCGATGACCTTGTGTATGAAAATCCCAGCCTCCACCACCCGGTGTACTGTAGTGGTCCCAGTATACGCTGCTATAACTGCCCTGCTTGAGATAGTAGTACAGATTGTCACCATTGGTCGACATGGATCCGCCTGTCTCCGTGACTATAGGATATCGCAGCCAAGTGCCCCAACCATTACTCCCCTGGTTTCCGAGCGACTCCTGCACAAAGTCGCTGTTATGGAGGAAGTCGAGGAATACATTTTCGGGGAGCTCGACGATGATTGGCATCTTCTTCTGCCGCGCCAGCGGTGCGAACGCACGAGCCAGAGGGTCGAACAGCAGCTCCCTCAGCTCTCCCAGGCGGCCCGTCGGGCGCACCTGATGGTCATTGTAGAGCGTGTCGAGGAATGATATGATGAGAAAACGCAGGTCCGGGAACGTGCTTGCGAGGCCGGCGAAGTTAGGGAGGCGCTCTGGGCCTGCTCTCCCTGCGTGGATTAGCTTCCCACAGAGCAGGACGTCGAGACGCAGCTCGAGCGATCTAATCTTGGCCAGATGATAAGGCGCCAGGACGTGGCCATCGGTGCGAGGTTCTAGAATGGCGTCAAGCAGGTCTCGGCTTTCGATCACGAACGAGTTGGTGCCGTAGAGAACCTCGACGCCTTCCACGAACGCCTGCCGACATGTGCGAAACCAACCCATCACGCCCACCGAAGCATCGCAGCCGGATCCTTGTTCTGCCCTCGTGGCCGAAGTCCAGAGCTTGCAAAAGACCAGCCGGCCCTCGAGGCATCTATCGCCGTGGAGCCAATGATACGGCGATCGGCCCGCGGCCAAGACTTTTTGTTCGAGGTGTGAGCCCTTGGGCAGCTGAGAGTGACAAACACCGCCATACCACTGCCACTCAAGCTTTTCATCCGACGGGTGAGCACCACCTCCACCACCACCCGAAGGAATACGGGATTCGCTCAGGGGCGCTGCACCGCCGTCGTGCTCATGGTCGCTGTGGACGTGTTCCCTTCGGGCGGGGAGAAGTCGCAGATCCACATGTAAGGTGCGATTCCCAAAAGCTTCCTCGAGTATACGCCTTCTAAGCTCTGGCGGCAGCTGGGCAAAGTTCCCGAGTGCGGCTACAGGATCTCTGTTGTTGTCCGTAAAGTCAGCGATGATGAATCGAGTGCCCTGACCAGGTAACAACGGGATAGGTGGTGGTGACGCAGCGATCTGCTCTGGCCGCTTGTTACGCCGGCGGACTCTGTCAAGCAGGCGGCGCATCTTTGGCTGGTGGAGCTGAAGGCCCTGTTGTGTGCCTTTGCAGTTGGAGGAATCGCTGACCACCAACCAGTTCGGGACCACCTCCGTAAACCCAACCCCCTGCTCCAGTGCACGGACCATTGCATCCAAGAGATGTCGTGTCTCCGGTAAGCGTCGTCAGTGTCTCTGGCCAAAGAACTTGGACGATCAGTCAGTATTCTAACCAAAAAAGACAAGTACAGAAGTGTCAACAACACTTGACAGGCCCCTACACTGAAGTCCATCTACCAGCGGAACTGTATGCGGGCAAGTCTTCAAAACAATTAGACTGGACCACGATTATTTGTGACTGGCCCTGACCATCATTGCGATATTCTAATATAGGTCAGTCCATTCGTGTTGGTTGATCAGATTGTCCTCTTTGGGTTTGAGTGTTTCATGGTAGATCAGCACCAGCAGAAAAGTGACGTAGGTCGCCGTCAGCAGCCACAATCTGGCAAAGCAGCTGTTGATGCCACGTTCGGCTTGCAGGAGCATGTGCTGCCCTTCCGCTATAGATACTTTGGGCCATTGGTATTCGAACATTTGATTATACTCATGTCTTCTACTATGCCAAAAACATGCAGGTTTTTCTGCGTGCCTCTGTAGGAATTGTGATTACCAAAGAGGCACCGGCAGTCACCCTCGGCATTCACTCAACATCACTCGTCGCCGATCAGGCTGCACCCGGACAGCCAAGTTTCTCGCTACCCTCGCCGGTCCACTCGGCGTCGTGTTGGCGAGGCACCCAGTTGTTCTTCATGCACGCCGCCCCGCCGTACACGGGCAGGTTGAACTTGGCCGTCCACTCGTACTCGTTGTTGTCACCACAGCCCGTAGGGCAGTATTCAAACTTCCAGCCTGTGACAGCAGAGCCGCAATCACGCATCGACTTGAGCAGAGTGCGCTGGCCCCAGTCCGACGAGGCCCAGCCGCGGCCGTGGATGCGGTAAGAGGTGAATAGGAACTTCCATTTGCCCTTGCAGGTGCCGCTGCGCTTCTGAATCATTTTGCGGTCCTTCTTGGGGTTGATCCTGGTGCGTCATTTGAGTTAATTATCAAATAATCAGGTCAGGGGTGTGAAAGAACCTACTGGTAGTCATAGTTGCCCCTGATCCATCTCCCGCCAAACTTGAAGTTCTTTGGGTTGTTGCGATCACCACCATCACAGCTATTAATGATACGGTCGAAAGTTTCGATACACTTTTCCTTGTCATACTCGTCCGAGCCCCCGCTCAGCTGCAGCACAAAGGTATGCTCATCGGGCGTGCCCTGATGGTAAGTGTGCTCGGCGCGCCAGTTGATCGTGTTATCTGGCTGCTTGACCTTATTGTTGCAGAAGTCCTTGTAGTTCTCGTTCACGCGTGCGAATTCGACGTAGGCCTTCTTTCCCGTCTTCTGCCAGCATGTGAACTCGTCCTTGGGAGCTGCGCACAGACCATCGTCCACGCCGAGCACCTTGGCCCGCATGTAGGCGATATTCTGGAGCCCATAGGCTGCAATAGCCTCGTGTCCAGCTTTATTAGGATGAAATATCGAGAGGAAAGAATCGGGAACTCCTATACCCCGAGGGGTACTGGGGAGGTTATCACCCGGGCAGCCCGGGGGGGCAGGGGCGCGGGCGTCGAGCTTGTGGAGCACGTCGGCAGCAGGATTGGCGGATTTCCACAGCAGGGTGTCGTACATGTACTCGCGGGACAGGCGGCCGCGGAATTGTTTTCGATACTCCTCAAACTGCCGCGTCTCTTCTTCCATCGCCTCGAGGTTCTCGCTGGCAGCGGCAGCCTGCGGCTCCGCGCGGCGGTGGTTGTGGTGCTCGTGCCTTGGATAATATGCCGATCTGGAGGAATTATCGACGGCATGTTTGTCAGTGTCGTTTCCATCCATGGTATCACTGTCTAGATCTCTGCGCCTGGTCTCGTCCTTAGGAGGTGAAACAGCAGTGTCGAACTTGATGAACAAGAGATTAGGTTGCGCTGGGTCCGGGTACAAGCCAGTGGATTTGGGCGAGCAGAATTCTCCGTCAACGAGGCTAGGCCAGTCACTCCAGTCGGAGAAGACAGCACGGAATTTAATCTGTGTGTCCTTATCATACTCCTCTACGACCTCAGAGATGACCTTATTGATTCCCACAACGAGGTTGTTGAACTTCTTGCGGCGCTCGATCGTTAGTCGGAGCGGCGATCTTAGCCAGGTCCAGAACTCAAACCATTGCCAGGCCCTTATGGCCCAGTTCTGCTTGTTCAGGTCGGCGCAGTCCTCGTTCTCGGTATTGAAGAAGGGCGCGTAGCCCGAGTAGACAAGGATACTGTCCTTCTTCATCTTGCTGTTGAGCTTGTCCAGGACATCCCGGATGTTGTCCTTGAGGATCGTGTCAATGTTCTCCTGCGCCTTGTCGATAAGGGCTTGGCATGCGGCCTCTCCATCCCAAGCCAGAATGACACAGGTCCTGATCATAGCGCCTAGGCAGAGATCATTACCGCCTGCCGTCATCATCACTAAGTCGAGATCGTTGCGCAGAGTATCTACCTGGTCGTAGATCTGAGCTGTCCTGTCACCGCTACAGGCCTCGAACTGGAATCTCTTGACACTCGAGCCCAGAGCATTGTCGACAATCTGGACATAGGAATAGTCGTATCGCGAGCACTCCCAAACCTTGTCAAGCTTGAGCCTGCTGCCGAGCTGGTTGCCCGAGCCAATGCCTGCGATGCCAGCCTTCTATTCAGTATTGTTGGCAGCTATTCAGAATCCAGAGGTGACTTACCAGCTGTGAAGCTGTCTCCTATCGCAGCCCAATTTTGGACCCAGCCAAAATTGTTTGGATTCCTGAGGCCATCATCGTCGTCACGAGCTCTAAGTGACTGCACAACGTTGGGTGAAGTGTTACTAGATAGGGCAGCCGCCGAGCCTAGCGAAGCGAGAGCCAGAGCAGCAACAAGGCAGCCACTGGCGCTTGCGGAGCGCGGCTTGAGGTTCATGGTCTCCCAGAAAACGCGATTCTGCTACTCTGGAATGTTGAGTGGTGCTGCAAATGGCTAGGCTGTAGGCTGATAGACATGAATCGACTTGGGGGTGCCTCGCAATCTATGAGAAGCGAGCAATGGCTGTGAGCATGGCCCGCAAGAGGAACACATGTAGTCGTCAGACCAATTCGGCACGGTTTCAATGAGATTCTAGTGAGCGATATCGCTAGTGGTTGCCGCCACTCATGCGAGCTTGCTCGATCTGTCCGGCTGACCAGATATCAGCAGCAACTTCGTAGTCGCCCCGATGCGGAAAGGAAGTCGCCAGAGAATAGTGCTTACAATACCTGCAGTCCGATAATTGCGTGGTAACGTTGAGTCCTTGCAGGCTTTTCCATCCACCAACCCAGCTATGCAATGGTGGTCATCCACAAGCACAGATTATCATTGGCCCGGCATATCGGACTCTGATGGCTGCAGCTACCTTGAAGACCTATCTGTGATGGGGAGGCCCTGTTCCGTCCAATGAAAGAAGCCTTCAACAGAAGATTCCTAGAACGGTAAAATCCTCCGTCAGAAGAACCCCTCCAGCATAAGATATATCCAGCAGAAGAATCCTCCAGCGGCCTGCACGGGCTGATTTTCTGGTAAGCAATCTCCGCTTACATAAGACAAAATACCCATGCCCTGCTCTAGACCTGCTTGGCGTGATCAAGATCTATAAGGCTCATGCAGGGGTCCTCCCCAAGGTCTTCCTGGCACTCATGGACCAAGACAAACCGTCTACGGATCCAGAGCACGCCGCTCACTCTTGGCACCTCTTAGGCTGGTGAAGGAACCGAGGCAGGCTCGTGGGGTGGAGCCACTGGGGAGAGCGCAGCCGGCGTATATGCGTCTTGAATCATATGTACCAGTACTTGTCCCAAAATGGCGGGACTGCAAAGTCGTATGCTCTGCCCGGTTTAGCAGCAAGCTACGTTTCTATAGCTCGTTGGGGGTTCGGCGCACGCCTCGCCAAAGCCCGTCTCCTCGGCCACGTTCTGTTCTATTCCCATGATCAATTGCTGAAATCCCCAACACTTGTCGCCCAGCCGTGCTTCCTTCTTGGCTGTCCCAACCCTTTACCACCACGGCTGCTCTATCGAAGCCAAAAACGACAAGCAGTGAAAACCTCCACATATCGTGATCATCATCGCCATGAGGGCTACCATAGCACATGGCGCAGCGCTCCTGCTGCTGCTTCAGCCTCTGTCACTGGCTGCTGAATTGTCAGACTTCGCGATCCAGGCGATGCAGGCAGATGCTGTGCCAGACTCGATGTCTGCTTCCGCAGAAGACCCCTACAAATGCTCTCGCACCAAACCGTGTGAGCTCGGCTGCTGTAGGCTGGACGAGACTGGCGACTCGGGCAACTGCGGTGCTGGTCCCGAGTTCTGCGGCAAGGACAATTGCCACTCGCAATGCAGCTGGAAGTCAGAGTGCGACCCGGGCTGGGGCATCCAGTGGTCCAACATGTCCTCGTGCCCACTGAACGTGTGTTGTTCTGAGTGAGTCTACATGAGCTTCCCGTCCTCTGTGCTTCGCAGACGACGCTTGTGTGCAGCTGATAATAACACCATAACAGCTATGGGTTTTGCGGCACAACTCTTGATTTCTGCAATGGTCGGATGATCGCCAAGCCAGAGTGCGCCATCACTGCTGGAACTTCGGACAAGCGCACGATTGGCTACTATGAGGGCTGGAACGCCCAGCGTGCGTGTGGGCACATGGCCCCAGACGAAATCCCGCTCGGCTACTACACGCACATCTTTTATTCCTTTGCGCTCATCGATCCGCATTCGTTCCATGTGGCACCTATGGACAGCGAGACGGCCTCGCACTATGACGAGGTTACTTCGCTCAAGGCTAAACAGCCTGGTCTTGAAGTCTGGATCGCTATCGGAGGCTGGGCTATGAACGATCCTGGGCCGTTCAGGACAGCATTCTCGGACATGGCCAAGTCTACAGCGAGCCAGGATGCCTTCTTCGATTCTTTGGTTAGTTTCATGCTACAGCATAACTTTGACGGCGTGGATATCGACTGGGAATACCCTGTTGCCGAGGATCGTGGGGGCGTCGAAGCGGATTTCGACAACTTCGTTACCATGCTTAAGAGGATGCGCCAGCACTTGAACCGCGCCGGGCGCCGCTTTGGTATCAGCATCACCCTTCCCGCGTCTTATTGGTACCTACGCGGCTTCGACATTATCAATCTCGAGCCACACGTGGACTTTTACAATGTCATGACTTACGACATCCGTATGTCCAAAGCCCTTTGACTCCCGCCACCCCCTCTCATTATCCATTTCCGAGGGATTCGAGAAGCGAATCTGTTTCATCGCGATCGCTAACCTTCCTGGGACGTACAGATGGTACTTGGGACAGCACGGTCAAGTCAATGGGGCCTTATGCCTTTGCGCACACAAACCTGACCGAGATCGACACCGCTCTGGAGCTGCTATGGCGTAATAACATCAATCCGAGCCGCGTAAACCTAGGCCTTGGCTTCTACGGCCGCAGCTTTACCATGAAGGACCCCAGCTGTATGCGCTCGGGCTGCGAGTTCACCGAGGGCGCAAAGGGCGGCGAGTGCACGGGAACCCCTGGCGTGCTGTCTGCGGCCGAGATTGTCAAGATCCTGGAGCGCGACGATGCCAAGATGACGCTCGACGAGGCCGCCGCCGTGCAGATAGTCACGTGGGACACGGACCAGTGGGTCAGCTGGGACGATCAGAAGACGCTTAAGATGAAGCAGGACTTTGCGAACCGTCGATGTCTCGGCGGCACTATGGTCTGGGCGATTGACCTTGACGACGGCACGCTCATTGAAGAACTCGGAAAGAACCTGAACCGGCCCAAGTCCCCGGTGTACAATGGCACGTATATTGTTGCGGATGCAGCAACTTATAACTCTGGTGAGACGGAAGAATTGTAGGAGTGGGAAATGCTGCTTCTTCGCCAGATAAATATGCCGAAGTGAGACAGCGTTATAGATAACTTATGAGATTTTTCATTTTGATCCAAACCTGCAAACGTGAACATTTCAGGGTGGCTAGTCCTTGTATGCATAGAGACTTGTAGCATTATACTGGTAATATGTCTTCCGAAACATTAATATTCTACTCGTCGTTGGGGATATGAAGAATATCTTTTTTGTAAACTTCTGAAGGTGTTGATAACAAGTATTTCGAGTCGCTAAGAAGGTTGATTTTGAGACCATAACGGAGTGATTGTACTGCTACAACAAGGTATCTACATGCACCTAGGCAGTTCGGTTGACAGACACATAGTTAACATAACAACGGTGTTCCATATAGTTAGCTACTAAAACGATAAAGCTCTATAACACTAAATCAATTTAAGGAGTAGTCATCAGTACAAATTTCTTTCAGAACAACTCGTGATTTCCATCAGTCCAGCAATGACGAATGACAGCTCAACCCAAGGAAATGTCACAGAATGAGTACCATCGAGCTCTGCTACCTCAAGTACTGCTCAAGTGTCGCACGTCTTGTCCTTTTTGCCCAAAAAGCTTTTGATGAATTTTCCAAAATTGGGGCTCTTCTTGTCGTTGGGCAGAACAAATGCCTCGCCCTCGTGATTGATATTGACATTCTCGTAGAGGCGCCTGATGCCCGCAATATCCTTAGGCGAAGGGATCGCGTTGGCGAGGATCTTCTGGCCGTCGTTGCGGAGCAGCACCGGCGTGCGCTGGTCATAGATCGATGATGGTTCATCGGGGTTGAGTGGCTCTCTGGCTGTTCCTGTCCCACCGGCTCCAGACGGGTAGAGCATGATGGACTTCCAGTCAACATCGACGTAGCCGGCACCCTCGACGGCGATTCCCTGTGTGTAGAGGAAGGTGCCTTTGAGGGGCAGCCAGTCGAGGGCAGAGAAGTCGTACTCTGAGGCCGCCTGTTGCTCGTTGCAAACGGCATGCTCCTGCTCTCGGCGCTTCTCTGGGTCATTGGGGTATTTTCTGAGGATCTGGTCCCTAACTTTTGGCCAGTCCTTCAGGGCATGGCAATCAAAATGCTGGCCAAAGACCTCGCCTTGAAAGATATCAGAGGTGTGAGCGTACGGGTAGTTCCAGAAGGCTGGGTTTTGATGTTCATGGTCTATCTCAAAGTCAATAAATCATGTCTGTCTTTGGGTTTACCATCCTTGGACTTACAGAGACCCCAAGCGTGGCCGACCTCGTGGGCCCAGTTGGCCACGCGGTTTAGCTGGCCGACATTTGAAACGGAAGAGAGCCTCATCGAGGGGCCTTTGTACTCAGGCCTGTCACTGTTCAGGGGAGGACGGGCAACGGTGGTGGAGTGGATGCCGAGGTTGTTGTGCGAAATGACGAGGATGCGGTCCCGCTGCTTATTTTCTGTGCAGGCCTTGCCCGGCTCTGCGACTTCCTTGTACTTGTAGGCCAGGCGATTTAGCCCGGACGAGCCGTCTTCAAGCTGGACAGCCCACATGTTGAATGCTGCTTCCAGACCCTCTTCGATGGCCTCGCGACTTTCTTGCGTGGCGTAGCAATAGCTGATGGTCTTGTCGGGCCAAAGTCTGGTCGAATCTTCGCTACTACCCGGTTTGACAGAAAAATATCGCTTGTGATGAGAGCTGACATTGCTTGCCATCATGCTGTCACGGATGGCGTAGCCTGCCTCGTCGACGGGGATGGCTTGGAAGCGGCGGCGATCGAGGTGCACATCATGGCGCAGAGGTGCCTCCCAAGCCCTGCTGCCGCCCAGCACGGGCTCTGCCAGGGCCGCAAGGGCAATGATAGTGGCGATGTTGTGGACCATCATGATGACTCGTGCTGGACGCCTGCCTAGGAACGCTGGTAGGTGAGATCGACGAGCACAGATGTGTACGCCAGGACAGGCGATGTGAGATGCCTTGAAAACCCAAGAGAGAGGCCGTAGGCGGGACCCGGACTCTCACATGCTGTCCGAGAAATACCGCACCGAACGTGCGGGTGCCGTAGACCCGAGCAAAGTATCGGTACCTCTGGTAGGACATCGTGAGGCCTGGCCAGACCGGCGGTCGAAAGATATAAGCGGTCAGGGGTGCGAATCCTGCCTATAACGGCTGCGGAGGATCTGGTCCAGGTTGGGGCCGTTTGCCAAGCGGACTGGGGTTAGTCCCAGCCAGACGGATCCCTCCTCTCCACGATCAGCCCTGCAAGTGCTTATTCGACAAGACCCCGAATGTTACAGCTGACAGCAGCCACCCACAAGTATCATGATATTGGCCCGACTTGGCACAGGCACGACATCCTTGAAATCACATGCTACCAAGCACAGCACCCTTAGGAACAGATGCAACCAAGCACAACATCCTTCAGGGCGGATGCTACTAAGCGTAATCTCCGCTTCTGCATGAAACTGCGAGACGTGATTCTGACAGGATCACGGAGCGGCGGAAGAGATGCCGCAGTGTCTTTGACCGGCCTTCTGCTTGATGTCCTCTCCGTAGACGCCCTGGCCTCTGACGTTCATCCTCATGTCATACAAACCAGGCATTTGGCTATCGAGTGTTGAAACATTGCATCGGCAACTCAACAGTCGTTGTCGCCTCTGCTCCAACAACAATGGTGACAGCAATGAGCCTCAAACGAGCTCTCGCACTCGCAGGGGCGGCCATCGTGGCCAGCTTCACTCAACTCGCACATGCGCAGACTGCCTCGACACCACCAGGCCCGACATTCACGGGATCGCCTAGTAACTGCAACAAGTGGTATGTGGTCGCCGATGGCGACAACTCTTGCAGCACAGTGGAGGCCAAGTTCGGCATCACGCATGACCAGTTTATCGCTTGGAATCCGGCGGTATCCCGCGACTGCGTGACCAATTTCTGGAAAGGCCAGGCATACTGCGTTGGGTTGAGGTCTGCTGCTACGTCCACGACATCATCCACTTCGAAGACAAGTCCAACATCCTCGTTGCCGGGAAATTCGACGCCTGCTGGGCCAACCTTTACCGGTTCTCCCAGCAACTGCAATAGGTGGTATGTGATTGGGGATGGCGACAGAGACTGCGGAGTTGTCGAAACTAAGTTCGGCATCACGCATGACCAGTTCATTGCTTGGAACCCAGCCGTATCCCGGGACTGCTCGATCAACTTTTGGAAAGGCCAGGCGTACTGCGTCGGATTGGGGCCTGCCGCGACGCCAACGACAACATCCAGTACGAGGAAGAGTTCGACGTCTTCTTCATTGCCGGGAAATTCGACACCCGCTGGGCCGACTTTCACCGGTTCTCCCAGCAACTGCAATAGGTGGTACGTGGTCGGTGATGCCGACAGAGATTGTGGAGTCGTCGAAGCCAAGTTTGGTATCACGCATGACCAGTTCATCGCTTGGAATCCGGCGGTGTCCCGCGACTGCTCGATCAATTTCTGGAAAGGCCAAGCTTACTGTGTTGGTCTGGGCACGAGCACAATCACCACGTCGAGAGCTTCGTCCTCCTCGGCCACAAGGTCGTCGAGCAGCTCCATGACCATCATCACGCCAACTACGCCTTACTCAACTCGCTTCCCTCTAACGAATGAAACGATCTACGGACCATCGTCGACCGAGGAGTGGCCTCCTTCAAAGACGCAAGCAGGGCAGCCTGCGTACTGCAACAACTGGCATTTTGTACGGGGTGGCGAAGCCTGCCCCAACATCGCAGGCCTTTACTCGACTTGGATGACTCTCGAAGACTTTCATGCTTGGAATCCGGCCATTGGCATCGACTGCTCGGGACTGTTCGTCCACTACTGGGTCTGTGTGGGCATAAGACCCCAGGTCCAGCTCACGATGCCATACGAGACCGGCACCGCTTCTGCTAACGCGACGATCGAACTGCCTCCGTATATCTCCTTCACACCGGCCCCGACTCCGACAGACAAGCCCGTCTTTGACACTCCATCGCCTACTCAGGGCCAGTTACCGGCAAACTGCAAGGCTTTCTGGAGAGCCGAGAATGGAGACACATGCGCCCAGGCCGTAGAGGAGTACTCCCCAATCACCAAGGAGCAGTTTCTCGCCTGGCACCCGTTTCTGAACGGCAACTGCAATGGGCTGTGGGCAGGCAACTGGTACTGCACCGCCGCCTTTGACTGGGACAATGTCCCTATGCCGCCCACGGTCAAGACGAGGCCCTCGTCGGTCCCGGCGGGCACTACGGGCGACTGCGTGGCCTGGTACAAGGCCACGCCGGAAGACACGTGTGCCATTGTCGCCCAGATGTTTGGCACGTTTGGCCAGGCCGACTTTATCAAGTGGAATCCTTCAGTCGGGGTCGATTGCTCGGACGGCGTCATTGTGGACAGCAACTACTGCGTTGCTGTGGCCGGCACGCCGACCACGCGAACGAGCGCTGTCTCGAAGCCCACGCCGCCATCATCGGCCCACAGTCCTGCCCAGGACGGCATCGCCTCGGACTGCTCAGAGTTCTGGTACGTCTCGGACGAGGACACGTGTGCCACAATCTCGTCGCAGTCGGGTGTTTCCCAGGACTCTCTGAAAGCCTGGAACCCTGCGCTGGGAAGTTCCTGCGCTGGCCTGCAGCCAGACTTCTTCATCTGCGTCGGCCGTCCCAGCAGCAGTGGCGGAGTTACCACCACCACCACCACCTCAGCCTCGCGAAGCAGCGCCCGCAGCAGTAGTAGCAGCACGATGAGTAGCCTACGCAGCAGCAGCACAACGAGCAGTGCACGCAGTAGCAGCAGCAGCATGACGAGAAGCGCAGCCGCATCCCCAACGAGCAGTGGCGGCTCGAGCGTACCAACGCCCGCGCCAGTCCAAAATGGCATGGCAAGCGGGTGCAAGAAGTTCTATCTGGTCAAGGGCGGTGATGGATGCTGGGCCATTGCCAATGCGAATGGCATCAATTTGAGGTATGTCTGGCTTCACTCTCTGGATGGTTACCATGGACGGGCGACCATCCATGCAGAGGCGGGCCCCTCCAATCCTCGAGTCACCTACTAACTTTGTCTCCGATATAGTGACTTTTACATATGGAATCCGGCTGTAAACAATGGCGGCGAATGTGCGGGTCTTTGGCCAGACTACTATGTCTGCATCGGCAAGTGAGGCTTGGTCGTATGTGGTTCACCATGTATCAATGCTAGATTGTGTACTGTGATCAGTCCCCCGACCACAGTCCAATCCAACACTTGACTTATGCCGTACCGAACCGTTAGCGAGTGGGCGGCCAGTGATAGCTAGACAGTACTAGATAGCATCTGCAAATGTTGCTGTCGCCCTTCGGTGATGTCACTGAATGAAGTGCAGGCAATACCCAGGAGCGCCATAGGTTTCAGAGATTATATTTGCTAAATTTCAAGGGCTCGCCTAGTCAGGAAGGCATATGGGAATCATCGACTATACAAATAGACGATCCACAAATTGTCTACAGCACTTACAACTGTCTCCCCTAGTCAATGGATCAAGTCTCATGCACTTATTCCAACCTTATAGACAAGGCCTCTCATCTCATAATTGCAGCGGGCTCTATATCCTCGCCCAATTCCCCTAGTCTCTCATGTATGAGGAACGAAGCCCATACCGCTCACCTTGTCAGGCATCTCTCTTCGCAAGCCCATGTCCAGAGGTTCTCCGACGACAGCTCTCTCTGCTTCAGCAGGAGTTCGAGGTTCGGGAGTACGTCGGCACTTTTTTCTGATGGCCAGGTTCCGCGACAAGCAGTTCGTGGCGGAAAGCTCCTAAGCCCTATACATGGCATACTAGTACAACGTAAGCAGCAAACACCCTCTCCCGTCTTTGGCCGTTTCGTTGTGTGTTTGACTCACCCTTTTCACAGTGTTGCCGCGCGTTTGAAATTATTGGATATATTTGAGCGAGCCAACTGATCTCAAAAGTCGAACCCTTCAAACTACGACTCACTTGACTAGCAAACTCTTTGCATTCCGCAGCAACACGGTGGGCCCTTCGAATAGTCTCTCCCAGTCAGTCCTTCGCTCAATGTATCTGGGTAAGCAAAGGCTCTCTTCCCGCGCTCATTCATGTGTTTGCTGAAAGCTCGGTACGCCGTCGGTCGACCCCTATCGTTCAAGCAAGCTGCCCCCAAACTGCGGTCAGTGGAGACCACATGTGCTATTTCGAGTTGCCGGCTGCATTGATCCCGGCATCCTTCCTAATCCGGCAGGAGACAAGCAACCCTGCCCACCCCACGAACGATCATCACATCACTGCTGTCAGACGGTGAACTGATTGTGACCAAGCTCCACCTAGAAGCACTCTTGGAAAATAAGCGAGGCGGGGGAGAAGGGGAGAGGAGCGAGCATGATGGAGCTAGCTAGTCAACCCTGACTGAGCCCTGGCCCCCTTGGGAGCATCTCATAATATGCCGGCACAGGCACCCCCGCAAAGTCTTTTTCCCTTTATAGGTGTTAGCCCAGTGGCCCATGCCCTGTCCTGTTTCTCGTCACAAGGCACACACACAAACACACGCCAATAGACTTCTCGGATGCGGGCCCGTGGCATTGGGAAGGATCGACCTCCCGCCGTCATGTATACTCCCTTGCTCGTGCCCCTGCCCCCCCTCCCCTGCGCATTACGGGCATGCCAAATATAGATTCCTCGCTCCAGCTTCTGTTTTGTTTTTGCGTGCGGAGAGGAAAAACGGCATGGCCCGCCTCCGATCACGTTTCTCTATTGACCAAAGACTGCAAGGGTAAATTCGTAGTTTATAAACGAAACATTGTGCCTTACGGGGGAGAAGGATTTGGCGACCTGTATTTCCTCTTCCAAGGACGTACGCAATTGCAGAGTCCTCCACCGAATACATAGTCCGGAAAACAACCACTGAGACATTGAGTCAAGAAGCAGCTGAAGATGCATCCCCAAGCGCCCTCACCACGCAGTGGCACCAGCCTCGCCTTCCTGGCCGTCGTCGCCGCTGCGCTGCTCTCGCCCCATCTCACACTCGCAGCCCCTCACGGCGGCGGAGGCGACAGCAGCAGCAGCCCGACAGCCCTCCGCCTCACGACGCGCAACATCGTAACCGCGCTCCCCCGCAGCGCGACCGGCGTCGAGGCGGCCGTCCAGCCGGTCCTCGACTTCGACACGGACGGGTGCTACAACACGGCGGCGATCGACAGCAGCGGACGCACCAACTCCGGCCTGGACTCGGTGCTCAAGTGTCCCGCCGACGACTGCCGCAACACGGCGCGGCTGCAAAACAACAACGTGTACTCGCGGCGGCGGTGCAACAACGGGTGGTGCGCGGTGATGTGAGCTTTCCTTTCTCCCCATTCTCATCCCCGCGGCCTGCCAGGGATGTTCAGCATGTCCGTCCCCGATAGACTATAAGTCGTGGTCGTGGTCGTCGTTGTTCCTGGAGAAAGGGGACTTGACCTTCTAGCCGTGGAGATACTCTTTTCTAATCTTACGTCCCTTCCTCCTCCCTCCACCCCCCCTCTTTAGGTACGAGTACTACTTTGAAAAGGACCAGGCCATCTGCGGCTCCTTCCTCGGCGGCCACCGGCACGACTGGGAGAACATCGTCGTCTTTGTCGAGCAGGCGACCAACACGATCAAGCGCATCGCCCCGTCCTGCCACGGGAAATACGAGCACGCAGCCAACGACGGGTTCCGCCTCGACGGCGCCACCGGCCGGCCGAAGATGGTGTACCACAAGGACGGCGCCGGGACGCACTGCTTCCGCTTCGCCAACGAGAGCGACGACCGCATCGAGAACGAGACGGGCCAGTGGTTCTCGGGCGCCCTCGTCGGCTGGGACAACTGGCCGAGCGCCGGGCTGAGGGATGCCATGCTCAACGCGTGGAGCGGGGGTGTTGGGCCCAAGCTCGATGGCGAGTTTGTGGATTCGCTGAGGGCGGCGGCTGGTGGGCAGGTGAGTTCTCTCTTTTTTTTATCCCCAGGCTTTTCCCTTGTTGTGCTGGGATGGGTTTCATGATCGGGAGTCGGGAATGGGTTGGATCGTGAAGCAGCTGTGGTCCGCACCTCGGTAATCCTAAAGACCGGATCAAGGACAAGTGACTAACTGTGTAATGTGCCCCTCCAACAGGTGCCAGGTTTTGATCCAAGCATTGATGCTTGATGGAAATATATGTCATGGATATCACACTGTCGTGGCGCATAATCCACACATCTAGTGACTCAGTATCGCCATACATAATGGCAGGGTCACGAAATTTCCTCCGAATAAGAAAAAAAAAATGTTGTTGTGACGCGCGGACTCAGTCGAGCCGCGGGTGTAATCCAATGTGTCATTCAAGCAGCCTTGGTGAGAGGCGGAAGATCAATCTCAAAGTACTCCTAGAGGCGTGGGGCCCCTCGCCCATTCCTGTCCAATCCCAAACCCCCAAACATGTAAAATGCAAACGCATGTGATGTCGTGAGTAGCCTAACCCAGACTTTGGGAAAATGTAGTTTGTGCCGTTTCAAGAACCTGGAAAAGAAAAGACACTTTGTCGAAGCGGCGCATTCTGCCGAGAAGAGCCTGTGCAAGCCGAAAGCAACTTGACGCTACAAACACAGCTTGTCGTTGCGGTCACTGCCTCCATACAGCCGCGAGAAATGGCAATATCATCATGTCATGAAGCCGGAAAGAGCGATACAAGGCGAAAGCATCAAGCATGAGACAGGGCTCATGGGCTGGCGGCGCCATGGCTTGAAGCCCGGTCGCTGTCGGCCTGCGACGCGTCCGAGTCCCGCCGAGTCTGGTCTCTTGTCCTGTAGGCAAAGCCCTCTGGTTTTGACTGTGAAATGTTGTTAGTGTTTGTGGCACACAATGGAGTCGAGTGGTTTGCCGAAGGATCTGGGACGGCAGTGTGTCTCGTCGGGTGCAAAGCAGGGGGAGCGTACCTCGGTTGGTGTTGTGGGAGCCATGTACTCGCTGACGCCCTTGTTCATGGCGGACTGGTCGATGTAGTAGCGAGGGCGGGTTCTGGGGACCTTGTAGGACGGCATTGTGGAAGATGTGGTGTGTGGTTTTATGTCTTTGGGAGTTGATAAGGCCGTGATAGCGCACCCTATGTATGGTGTCGAGGGCGGATGATTTATATGGGGTGTAGAGGGAAAGGGTCCCGTGGTGTGTTTTATGGTTTACAGTACTAGACGTTGGACCGGGAGCTAAGAGGAAGGAGGCGGGGTGAAGGTCGAGCTGCGAATGGGGTAATGACACAAGAGGTCAGTCATCTGTTGGAGTCGATGGACGGCCAGAAGCCAGCAGCGAGAGGGGCGGCACTTTATAAGACGGCACGGGCACATGCACATGCGCGGGACAGAGGTTAGTTAGGATGGGGATGGAGATGGGGAGGCATCGAGTGTGCGTGTATGTGTGTGTGTGTCGTGTCGATGCAGCAGCCCGCCGGGCAAAACCGGGCCCACGTCCTGCACGCACGTCGCCGCAAGTGGTGCGAGAGCACGCGAGACTCGCCAAAGACGAAAGAGCGATCGAAGGGCGAAGGGGCGGTCTGTCCCGTGCCTGCCGACCGGTGGTCGTGGTGGTCGTGCCTGAGGTGTCAAGTCACGGTACGTACCGGGGCCGGGCCACGTCTGCAGCACATGCAATGCAGGCCCCTCTTGCCACGGCTAATTGATCCCAAGAGCTGGATGCTTTCCCCGGTTTTGGGGACCCTATCAGCGGAGGCTTCTCCCCCAGTCAGCGCTGGTCTGCATCGTCGTCGGGCATTCTCGCATACGAGACACAAACGGTGGCTTGCCCGCAGGGTGCCTGTCTGTGTCTAGCCACGGGGCCCTCGTGATCGCAATGTCGGGTGGTGGTGTGTCCTTTGTCATGCCATACCTCGGCTACGACGACGGCTTGCCTGCACGTCAGAGACACTGGACCTGGTCCGTCCCCCCATTGGCGATCTTCAGGTACATGACTCCAAGTACCGGCCGATCACAAACTCATTCCAAGCTTCCTGTACCCTTCAGGTGAGGGCCTGCAATTGGCTGGTCTTTTGTCCTCCAGGTATGGATACCTGCACGTCGAGGTACTTTACTTTCTCACGTACACAGTGCTCTCGCCAAGGTACCCTGAAGCGAAATCTCTGTGCAGACTCTGAAGCCATCAAAACTGCACGCTCGGTCGTGCAGCCCCAGATCATACGTCATCAGTCCACCTGCAAGACCCCATCACCTCCATCGTCCCACCCGCGGATCGCGACGACAACGAACGACTCGCATAAATCCAGGGATGTTGTGTCAGGATCCTCCTCTCCTTGATTACTGTGAAGATAACACGGTGGGGACAGAAAATTCATCTGGCAACGAATCTGGACACCGGGTTGCCACGAGAAAACAAGCACACAGACATGCGGCACGCTGGGCCCCCCCATCGGCGTCAATCCGAAGGGATAGGACGTTGACCGCGCTGGCCGTGCTCCGCCGCGTGATTCCCTTCCCCCCAATTCCAGCAGGCAGGGGGGGTTCAAGTCTGGGCCTTCTTCCCCACACACCAAGCAGCAGACGACCACATCCCTGGGAACGGGCTTCCGTACGCCCGGATCGTTGAGCCGGCACTGGCACCCACCCTTGGCACAACACATCGAGAACAAGGCACCCGTATCTACGGAACAGACGAGTGCCTAAACTTAAATTACCGCGCCAGGCCAGCCTGCCTCGTGTCTCGGGAAGTCTAATTGCGATAAGCTGTGTCACGCGGGTGCGCGGTCGCCTTATCCATCCTTCTGGCAATTGGGGGCCCAGTTCTTAGGCTCGGCTGGCTGGCTGGCAGCCGGCAGTGTGTAATCCAAAGGCCCTTGCCGAAACAAAACCACGACGTGTTTGCTTGGTGTTTGTTGTGCCTCTTGAAAAGGGAAGGCAGGGGCGCGGCCCGGGAATAATGGGCTGCACGATTTGACCAAGCTGGAACCACGGCATCGCCCCTCTTCATATACGTGCAGAAACAAGCAAGCCAGCAACACGGCACTCATGTGGACCACAGTGTACAACAACTTCTATTTGCGCCTGGACCCCAAACCGAGCTGAAATGTATATCTCTATCGAATGTGGGAGGGCGTGTGTTTGGGCTTTGCCAGACCCATACCATACCAGTGTGCATCTGCACAGAAAGGAAGAGCGAAAGAGGAGGTGCCACAGACGGACCATGGATGTAGACCAGCTTATCTCACTCTCCTCCCCTCCTTCCCCCTGGAAGTAACTTGGCCATGGGCGGCGTGCCTGGTCGAGCACTCAAGGAGTCGGGGGATCGGGGAGGCTCATCGGAACAGAACCCCAACACAAAAACAAAGGACGCAAGAAAAAGGACGTATCCGCATACATTGTTTCCTTTAGCCAGAGAAGACGGCCGGACCGGGGATGGTGTACGAGTTGAGGTTCTGGTAGATGTTGATGAGGATGCCCGGGTCGTTGGCGTTGTACGCGCCAGGGAAGGTGACGCCGCTGGGGTTGGCGGAGCCGCCGCCAGTAACGGTGATTTGCTGCATCGGTGCAAAAAAGAGCACAGGTCAGAGATAGTCGGCCTGGAAGAAGAAGAAGAAGAAGAAGAAGAAGAAGAAGAAGAAGAAGAAGAAGAAGAAGAAGAAGAAGAAGAAGAAGAAGAAGAAGAAGAAGAAGAAGAAGAAGGAAACGCAGCAATGACAATGGAGATGATCATGAACAGGAATCATAAACTCACGTAGCAGGTCATGTAGAACTGAGCACCGCCAGCCTGGCCAGCCGCGTGCAGCGCAATCGTCTCGGCGCGGAGGAGGTAGTCGCCGGGCGCAATGCTGCTGGGGATCTTGAGCTGCTGCTTGCCGCAGCCGCGGTTGAGCCCCTCGTTGCCCCAGACCTTGGTGGCCGCGTTGTAGCCCGTCTCGAAGATCTTGAACCACTTGCCGCTGCCCGTGTCGGTGCTCGCATCCGAGACCTTGGAGAGGTACACGATGACCGGGCCAAAGTGGTTGCCGCCAATGCCCTCCTTGGAGCAGTCCCGGTCCCCGTTCTGCTGGTGCATCTCGACCGTCACGGTCGAGCCCGCGGGCACGCTGCACTTCTGGCTGGCCTTGCCGGGGTTCGCGTTGCAGCGGATATCGTTGGTGTTGACGGCGGTGACGGGGCTGTTGGAGGCCTGCGGTGTTGCGAGGGGGAGAAAGTCAGCAAATGTGGTCTGTTGGTCTCTGGCTTGGTTCTTGGTGCCTCAGAGACAGGTGTGTTTCCAGTACTTACTGGAAGTCTGGCGCAGACATTGCCCTTGTCAACTCCGTCCACCCAGAGTTGTTGAAAGGTTGCGTGCGAAGTCACCGAGGTGACGAGGGCCGCAGCCGCGAAGAGGACCTCGGATGTTCTCATGGTGTCAGAGAGGACACGCGAATATGGTGGTTTGCGCTTGGAAAGACCGTAGAAGAGTGCTCAGTGCTGGGACCGATGGAGACTGTCTTCAACCTAGACCGTCCAAGTGCTACATCCCGGGGGTTTTATACATCATGAAGGAGATGATAAGAATCGCAGAACACCTGGTTGAACCATTGAACTCGTGAAACTGAAACGCGAGTATATCCTCACGCAGCCCGTTTCGGCCAGTACATGCAGAATATCTGCTATGCATCCCAAAGCATCACGGAGGGCGGCGTCAGTGGCGTTGGCGGCTCTGCCACGCGCGTGACTGAGCTGGCCGTTGTGTTGTGGACGTGGATCCGGTAAGTGGACCATCGAGGCGGAAGCACGGGAAGTGCCTCTAACGCTGCAATGCGACCCAAGTGATTGAAACACAAAATGTCACGCAGGTTAAAGGCGATTTCATTGGTCCTCCAAGAACCGCCATATCATAGTCAGGGGAAACGGCGCCTGGGCAAGTGTGGTCCGCATCGATGAATGGAGGTTACCAGGGTGCTCACCATGCAGCCCAATCCGGCAAGCGGAGCAAACCTCCGCGATGCCTAGGATATATGAGGTCGATATCCACTGTCCGGAACCAACGGGGCGATGCGGTCGATCGTTGCTTCATTTCTCAATCACAAAGAGGTCTGCTGGGACGTCGGCGCGGCAAGAGGCTTGGCACGTTCATCAATGATGTTTCGGCCTGTCCTGTCGGACCTGTTGAACCTGAGTGCACCAGAGTGGGCCTCCAGTTCAACCTTTGCACAAATTTCAGACGATCTTCAACTGCTCAAAGTGTCAAGCTTCACTTCATTTGCTTAGAAAGCCTTCGAGCTCATCCGCCTCGTCCTCTTCGGATGATTCATCATCTTCCTCCCCATCCTCATCCTCCTCTTCGTCCGTCTCCTCTTCTTCCTCATCCTCCTCCTCGCCATCGTCGTCTTCTTCACTTTCCTCATCCGGGTCTTCTTCGTCTGCCTCCTCTTCGGAAGCACTCTCTGCGAGCCAGTCATCTAGAGTCTTGGCCCCCGCCCCATTGCTCTTTGTCGCAACGGGCTGCGGAGCTTCTCCTAAAACTTCAGACGCTGGCACAGAGCGGCCCTTCTGGCCATATTCTAATGCGGTACTATCAACTCCTCGAAGGCTAGGATCAGGCTCCCGCCCTTCCTGCACCCATGGAGGCAGCGGCTGGTACCCCTTCAGAGGGTGCACGCCGCCGCCGCCAGCTAGAACTAGTGCAGAAGAGCCCAGGATGAAGCCCTTTCGTGTTTCTGATGGACTTGGTGCCTGGGGCGCGGGCTTAGGCGCAAGAAGCATAAGCGTCGCGAGCTGCGGCACGCCCAATAAGGCCTTATATAGTCGAGTGCGGTCCCTCAGGTCGTATGAAGTATCATATCGGACCAGTTGTAGCACATAGTCCCACAGCCTTGTGATCGGGTGCACCTCGGTGAAGGCTTCAGGTATGTCGTCATTGTTCTCGGCATCCCTCAACTTTGCTGCTTCGGCCTCCCTGTTGATGTGGTGCAAGTAGACCTTAGCTGCAAGCAACACGATCTGGCGCTTGGTGATTTCCGATTCATCGGCGAAGCCTTTCAGCAGGATCCGCAGTACGTCAGCCGCGATATTGTTCTCCGCGTCCAACCCGGAGAACTCGCCGACGAGCCATACAATGGTTGCCCGGGCCTGTGGGTCGGTTGCAGAATCGAGATTCTTGGCAAGTTTGATAACAGTACGCACATGACCTTCTGGGTCTTGTTGGATCAGATGCCGTATGACTGTCAGTGACTCTGCTGCAAGCGTGCCATCGAGACTGGTTATTTGACCGAGAAGGAGCCGCATGCAACGTGCAGTTGTGGAGTGGTCTGCCTGCGCACAGCGACCAATCGCACGTACAGCTTCACGTACCAAGGCCTTGTCCGTGCCGCTAGAGAAGTGCTCGAGCTCGTTCAATATCAAGCTTTTTGTGTAGGCCGGGCTGTGGGGGAAGATGAGCGTAAGGACCTCAAGCTTGAGTTCCCACACCGGCGCCGGATCCGTCGCTCGCACAAGGAAATGCGACGCATACTTGGCAAACGATGTCGGATGGTCCAGACACACTGCTACAATGTTGTAAAGTGCGACTTGTTGGATGTCCTGGGGCCCCCTGACCAGCGCGACCAGAGGACCTATCGCTGCCTTTGTGTACTCGGGTGTCCCAATATCGTTGTAGCATCGTACCACTGCAATGACGACAGCCGAGTTGCGACTCTGTAGTAACGGCTTGATGCCGTTCAACAGGAGGGTGAGGTCGGGGTCGAGCACGACAACCTGCTCTTCGCTCGCGGCTTCATTCGTCTCTGCAGTGCTCTCACCGTAAAAGTCCTGTAGGTCCCCTGAATTGTTCTGCGGCTTTACAGTCCGCGTTCTCCTCGGAAAGCACTTGCGTGCATAGACTGTCATCATCCTCAGCACCGCAAGCTGGCTCCACTCGTCCATGTCGACAATTTTCTTGATGAGAGATCTGTAGTGCTTATGTATCAGGTCGATGCGCTCTGGGCAGATATCGAGGAAGGCTGAGACTGCCGCTCCGGCCACGTAGTATTGTTTGTCGCCGAGCAGTGTGCTCATGTACTTGAGCAGCTGAGGAAGAGTATTTGGCTCTAGTCGGTAGCATTTCGGAATCGCCAAAGCTGCAGCTTTCCGCACATGTGGTGACATGTCGCCTGTACCCTTCTTGATGGCAAGAGAAACGATCTGGCTGATCACAGGCACCCTTATGCCTGACATTGTTCGTAGCGCAAGGGCCCGTACTTGTGGGTTCGAGTCGGACAGCGATTTCTGGATGGTGTTGATCGAAAGGAGGGCGAGGTCGGGTTCTTGCTCTGCATGGTGAATGAGATATATATAGACAAGCTTCTTGATCTCGAAATTTGGTGAGGCAACGTTCTTGACGACGGAGGAGAAGAGCGGAAGGGTCTTTTGCTGTCGGTACATCATCTGCAACACGAGGAAAAGCGGATGTCAGCGAGTCGTTCTTCGCGGGTTATCTCGTGGGAACAAGTTGCCCGTACTGAAATGACTCGACGCAGTCCATCGAGAACTTCGCGCTCATTGCGGCTGTCCAAAAGCTTCTTGAGCTGTGCTGTGGGCAGCGCTCGTGAGGTCGTGGTCGGGCGGGCGCTGCGGGCCGCCTGGGCAGCTTCGAGGGTGAGATCGCGAGCTGGGCACGTCAGTGTGGGAGCGCAGCAGAGGCGACGGACCAGAGATTGGGACCTGACTGACCATTCTCGAGCAGTGTCGATATCCGCGATATCGACTCCATGGTGCTGAGAGATCAGAGCAGCACGGGCTGCCGAAATCGCGTCCCACGGCTGGAGCCTGCTCAGGTTAGAACTGGTCGTTGGTGATGATGCGGTGGGTTTGGCGGGGTGCAGCTCCGGGATAGCTCGCTGTCCAGCTGCTGCCACCAATGTCGTCAACGCAGTCCCTTGCAGCCAGGGGCGTTTCGGACAGCTGCCACAGAAGTGGACTGTCCGATTATCCTCGACATCCACCTTCAGGACACCAAGCAATGCCACGAATATCATGCGTCTTACAACCTTCAAACACTCGATCTTCAATCACCTGCAAATGCAGAGCCGGCAGTGAAACAAATCCATACTACACCATGACAACAAGCCAAGCAGCGCTCCCGCTGTTGCGATATCTACATCAGCGGACGCGCAGCACACCATGACAAACTGCACTCTCCTCTCACCAGCCCTGCCCTCGGAACTGCTGGCTCACATCCTGAAGTACCACACAGATCCGACAACCCTCATCATCTGTTCTACCCGCACAGACTTCGTCGCCAGCCTGCTCGGTGAGGTGCTTCACAGCGAACTGACGAGCAGCACCAATCAGCCAGGTTCTCCATCCTCCAGAGCGGACCTCGTCCGCAGCAGGTATCCTCACCTCGTGACATCACCTCTCCATCAGCTCGTCACATCGCGGCACATCCGCACGCTATATATCCCCACGGTGACGCACTTGCGGTCCTACCTGTCGGTGGCAGGCGTGTCCAGCAGTGCCTCTCCAAATCTACTCCAACCAGGACACCCTTCCTCCGTCTTTTCATCGTCCTCCAAGGTTCCTGCTGGCCCCCCACGCCGGGAGCACAGTGGTGAGGATGACGGAGCTGCCGCGAGGACAACCACTGCGAGCTTGCGGCCCAGCGGCACGGTGATCCTATACGGCTTCCTGGACCTACACCGCGACACGAGCGAGTGGTCCGCCCAGGGCCTGTCGCACTCGTGCTCCACGCTCGTCGAGTACGCGCATCAGCTCTCCCTGCACAGCGTGCTGCTGGTCGAGCCGGCTCGGAATGGTGGTAGTGGCGGCGGCGGCGGCGCTGCTGGGATACCGACTTCGCGTGGTGGCGAGCACGAGGGCTTCGGGCATGGCGACGACTCTGGTGCTGAGGGTGACGCCGATAATGCCGACTCGGTCGGTGGCGCCGCTCCTATTGCTCAAAGGACAAGTGAGCACAGCGTCAGGCGGGGGAGGCTTTCCTTGGAAGAATTGTTGACGGAGGATGTGCCCCTGCTTACTGGCGGCGGGAGCACCCTGCGCAAGCTCGGCATTGATGGAGACGAGCCCGGCTGGGCCGGCAGGACTGTGGAAGTTGGGCGTGTTCTGAAGCGGTGGCTTCGATTCCAGCGGATGGTGTGGGATGAGAGGACTTCTTCATGACCTGCTGCTTGGATGATGGCGTTTGAAGACCTGCGGGGTATGCCCACGCGTTCACGTTGCCACAAAATGTCATGTCAGCGGCTTGAAGGCAATCCCGAGTTGCTGTCATATCTTGCCAGTGTAGTAAAAAAAATTCAATTTTCCGAATCATACACCCGGCCTACTCGCCATGAGATGATGGTAAACAGAAAGGACTTCCAATAACGCCAGGCATCCGTGGTATCTAGTATCCTTCCAATTCATAAGCAAGGGCTCGTCGTAAACATGTTCAAAACAAAATGGCTTGCGTCCTGGTGCATCATCATCATATCGCTTGCTCCATCTCGGTGATGTACAGCTTGATATGAGATTCCATCTTGAGGAACTCGTCGTACGCAGCGCGGACCTCGTTCTCAATGTTCTCCTTGAGATCGAGCATCTGGGAGACGATCACGTCAGTTATGGTGTACTGGAGGAAAGTGAACAGGTTCTGGCCGCAACATACCTTCTTCTCCGTCTGCTCGATTCGCACTCTCCGCCGCTCAATCTCGGTGCCCTTCTCGGCTCGCTCCTCCGTGAGCTTCTTGTGCAGCGCGCGCAGCTCCTCGAGCCTCTCTTTCGCCTCTTGCGCCTTGATGCGGCTCTGATCGCGCAGCCGTTCTGTCCGCTCGTCCCACTTGGCAAGTTGCCTCTGGAGAAGGGCCTGCGTCCGCTCAACCTCGCGCACGTTGTTGCCTCGTTCTGACAGGGCGTCTCTTTGTTTGGCATTCCGCACGCTCTCCTCCTCCTCCTTGGTAAGCTCCATCTGGATTTCGTCGAGCAGCTTGATACATGACGCCACATCCGTCGCCACCACGCCAAACGAGTCTGTCGAGGTCTGCAGCGCCCTCGCCCGCCGGTCGAGGGAGTCGATGTGCGCCTTGTCCGCGTTGAGCGTGTTGTTGAGCTCGGCCAAGCTGTTTTGGAGGTTCGTCGGGCTCTGCAGCGTGTACGGCCGCAGCTTGGCGCTCTCCTGCTTCATGATCATCTTGTCGGCCGTCTTTTGCTCCAGGCGCTGCGTCAGCTGGGTCTTCTTCTCCTTGGCCTCCTCGAGCCGCGCGGCCACCTTCTCCTGGTTGTACCGCAGCTCGAGCAGCGTCTTTTTCAGCTCGTCGTTGCGCGACGTCTTCTCCCGCACCTGCACCTCCATCGCGCGCCGGTTGTGCTTCATCTCCTCGAGACGCGCCTCCATGTCCTGGTTCTCGCCGTAGAGGGTCTCGATGCGCGTCTTTGTCTCCTCGGCCTTGTTGAAGTGCTCGTCGATGACGTTGGTCTGGCTCTCGCGGAAGCGCACAAAGTTGATGAGGTAGCTGAAGATCTTGACGAGGCGGTCGTGGGTGGGCTTGTAGAGGTCGGTGAAGCTGAAGTCGGTGATGCCGGTCTCGAGCAGCAGGCGCCGCAGGGAGACGTAGAAGCCCATGAGGTTGCGCGTGTCTGGGGGCACGACGTCGGCGAACTCGCCGCAGACGTCCTCGGCGGCGGCGCGCATGGCGGGCTCGATGGACTCGCGGGTCGCGTTGAGGAGCAGCTCGGCGAACCACTCAAAGATCATCTGGACCTGGAGCGGGTTGGGCTTCTGGAGGTCCTGCACGGTGAAGGGGATGCCAATGTCTGTTATGCATCCGACAATCTCCTTGTCTGGCAGGCGCATGAAGGCGTCGGCCTCCTCCTCCTTCTTGCGGGCGCGGGACTGGGCCTGCTGCGCCGGCGGGATGATGGACATTCGCGGGTTGAACGCCATGGTTGGCGGCGGTCGGGCTCCGTATCCGATGCAAGGTGTAAGCAGCGGTGTTGTTTCTGACAGAGAGTGTTGGTGCGATTGATGGGTTGCGACGTGTCGGCTGTGTTGCTCGTGGGCGTGTGAAGATGGGCAGTGAGTGGTGCAATGTGTGAATCTCAGTCGGCGCAGAATATCCAGGGATCTCGAGCCGCGAGGTGCCCACTCTGAAAGTAAACATTAGGAGGCGGGGCACGCCCGCACGACATGGCCCTGGCGCCACACCCGTTTTGGGTTGGGACGACAACATTGGACACTGCAAGAGTGGAGAAGATGCAACGACTCCCGACTGAGGCACGGAAAGAGCACCTGCTCAAGCTCCAGCAGGTCGATACAAGGTCGGGTAATCTAGGGATGGCACGTAAGACAGTCGCAAAGGGTGATCTCATCCGTATGATTGTAATACCGTGCCGTCCCGGTGGTGCTACCCAGGCACGTGAAAGGGGCGCAAATCGTGAAAGAGGAGAATTTCTTTCCTCCAGGACTGAACGAGTTTGCACAAGAGAATTATGCCCGTCGCCTCATTCGCACCGCAAAGTAGAAGACGCAATGAAAAACCCGGCCCGAAAAAGCAGAAAAGGTGCCACAAGGACACTCTTCTCTTCAGCAGGCTGGCAGCGAGGGTGAGGAGCGCAAGGGTACGTTCGGAAAGCAAGATGTGCGGAAGAATACCCAGAAATTGAGGGCAAGCTTGCAAGAACAAGGACAGGAGGCTCAGGCTACGCGTGGAACACCAGACAATCAACCAAAAACGACAACAGTCAACAATGAGGCAAGATCCAAAGGAAAAGAGAAGCGGGGGCGCAGGAAGCATCTGAGGAAGAGTCCCCGCCAAGTCCGAAGACCACACCGAAGGCGAAGCACAAAGTCGACACCGTCGACTACAAGTTCCTAAAAGAGTGCTATATTCATCTGATTATGGACGGTGAAGCAATCCGCCTTCGGGCCGGACAAGATCAGGATCGGAAACCGAAATTCTTTAGCGTCATACACCGCGCAACAACATTTCACCGGCGAATGCAACATCCACAACAGCCAACACAGCAACCAAGGAGAGCAGCCACTACGGACTAGGCTACAGTACCTTGTCTGCAGCCCTCTAGGGCAAGACAGAGTGGCGATGTTGTGAGCGACTGTGTGAAAGCAACAAGTCGGCTTCCTAAAAACCCCGACGTGGTTATGAAGTACCAGAGAGACCCGCGCCCTCGCTCACGTATCCGGACATAGCTTCGCCAAAGCATGCCCTGCACCTTGCTGTCTCCACTCCAGCACGGTGCAGTTGTTTCTTTTTGTAATTGCTTGTTAAACAGCCCACCAACCACGTTCGAAAGAGCAGCTTGCAATTGCTCGCTACTTCATGGTCCAGTTTACACACCGACGAATCAGGTATCATCCAGCTACATTTTCATCTCTAGCCTGCGCCATTCTGCTCTCCGACGCTACAAGCTGGCCGCAGTTCTATTGATCTGGCGTTTTGCTGAGAGCAAGCCCTGACTCGAAACCATTAGACGTGCCCTGTTCGGCCTTACGAGTCGCAACCAAGGAAGAGACCCTCGCGGCTGGCTGACCTCCAATGAACTTCTTAGGAGCTGGATTCCCAACTCATGAGCTGTGCTTCTGTCCTGCTGCCAAGAGTAAGGTCCAGCGCGTGATGTCTGCACCATGATGTCCCCTCCGATCTGGTCGGGTTCATCAGACGCCCTCGTGGCTGGCTCGTCGAAACGACTAGCGGTGCTCGAGTCGTCTTTCCAGAATGCACAGCAACCACTCAGGAGCTAGCCGGGGATCGGTTGTCCTTTACTTCATTATTGTCTAGTTCGTGCAGCTTGCAACCTACCTAACTAGCTTGCGTGATCCATGACTCGAGAAATTCTGGGGAATCCTAGACTTTAGGAATACTCCACGGCGGGACCAATATATAGCAAGGTCATCCCAGCCACGACGGCCCTCTCCCCAGTCTGAAAACAGCATAGAAGAGGGCGGGGTGAGTGATTGAATCCATTCGAAGTGGCTGAGCAACCTCAATAATATGCCTCTCCGGGTCTAGAAAGGTTTGGACGTCGATAACAAGCAGTAATTTGACCAGTAAGGGTCGCCTTGCGCTGAAAAGCAGCAGGAACAGGAATTGCAGCCGGACACACGTTGGGGGACGGCGCATGCTAGCGCCTTCATCCATGAATTGCGCTAGGACTGGCTCTTGTGGACTTGGCCATGTGTGAGCCTGCCCTGCCTGCTTCAGAACCATCTTGACAACCTCTTACTCCAGATGGCAGTGGCAGACATCGCAGCCGGGCACGGGCAGTTATTGGCTGCCATGATCCTGGACAAGCGTACCGTACTGGTAACAAAACAAAGGAATGATCTGCGATCGTCTTTTAGACTGCTTTGCGTGCTACAGCCCCGGGGACTCGACAAAGGTTTTGCGGACGGCGCTGAAGCTCGCAGGAGCCAATCTGAGAATGTTCCTCGGGTGAGCACCGTTATCCTCTCGAGCCGGAAAGAGCTGCGTGGAAGTACCATGCACTGCCGCGTAGTAGCCTTGCTGAAACCAGCCAGTGACTGGTCGTGGCGGCTGGGTTTTTGTGGTAGTTCTGGCTAGTTCTTGAACGGTTCAATCCACAAAGCCAGCCTAGCTCTCGACACACCGCCTGCGCTGACTCGACCAGGGTCTTAATGTTGTAGACCATTTGCTGGTATCTGCCAACCACGACGCGCACAAGTCTCGTTTTGATCACGGCCTTTCTGCTTGTTGACAGGTCCGGGTCACGCATTCAATTCGGTGGTTTGCCGTCTGGAGATTGCGAGCGGAGCTTGTGGCTCGATAATAGATCACGGGATCTCATATTGCGGCCGAGCACCCCCAGGCATGTCATTTATCGCCTGGGCCCAAACGCCACGCGCGTTGGCTTGACCCAAGTGCCGGACGACGAGGCGGGTCAGGGCACCATTGCCACACTGCAGCAAGGCTCGCCACGCGATCCAGGTGGGCACCCCGCATCGTCTTCTTCCCGCCATCAATCTAGAAAGGTCCCAGACGGAGCTAGAAACGGAGGCACAAGCCAGAGCCGTCATGAAAATGCTGGAACTGAAGAGTGTCGACACACAGCCAGTTTTTTGGTGCGGAGTCACCGCACATCTTCTTCACACAGGAGCAAACTCTCCTGGCCGATCTGGTGGCTCTCTGGCTGCACTTGTCTCTGCTTGGTTGCATAGAGTTTTAGCCCAGCTCGCGACCAAGGCAGGAGGACAATCGGATTGTTGTCGCCCATGCTGCAGCCAATGGACTGCGGGTGAGGACTGTAGGTGGAACCCAGCCGAGATGCATCTCATATGCATACGTGCAAGCGTTGTACCAGTGGAAATCCCTGGGGATAAACGGCCTTCGTCATGCATGTCATGCACGTCTGTGGGTGTACGGCGCGTCCAATGCGTGGCGTCCGAGACAAGACAACCAGCTTGACTTGTCCCCGGAGGCAAGAGTCCACGCAAATGGTGGACGTCAGCAAGCCTCGCCTGGAGGCGCTGCACATCAAGGTGCGGATCCCAGATAGTACTAGCTGATGGTGCTGGTGATCATGTGTCGAAACAGTAAATTGCAGAGGCTCGAGCCCCAAGACCTTTGGTGCATCTCAATATACCTCACAGATGCTCAACGCCGTCACCCAGTGCCAGAGTCTGGTAAGGAGCCAGGAGCGCTGCAACGACTGCGTGCGTGAGTTGTCCTGCACGATGCAATGTGCGACACGTCCGTCACAGGTCCGCTGCAGATTATGCGCGACCCATGTCCTGTGCCGTCCACCAGCCAGCTCAACAATCTGGGCTTCCTTTCACGCCATGCCAGAAAGCTTCAGACCTGGCGGACATGAGAGGTGATGCCATTGGTATGACTGTGACTTGCGACAAGTCCGCTTGCCCTTAGGTGTGGACGGCTGCTCCCCCGACCGCAACTGCTCGTCGATCGCCTTTGATCGCCGTTCTGCGTGCAGATGGAGTCTGTCAGTTAATAGCAAGCATGGGCGCGCGATCGGACTGGCTACAAATCGAGACCGAGTCGTAGGGCACACCAGTCTGCCGGCGTATTCAGATTGTCGATTTTGAGCTGTCGCATTGTCAAGGGCTGCCGCGCACGTGGATGAACCCTTGATGTCTCCGAGAATGGAGAGGACCACACCCCACTGGTCTTGAGTGCGAGAAACCGGGCACCAGCAGCTGCTGCTTGTTTGGTCACGGTGACGCCCATGAGCAAAATGACATGGTGCGCCAATCATTGCCGCTTCAGCACAGGCCGTCTGATTCGCCGACAGCACTCACACCGCAGCTTTGGCGCCACATTCGTCTGCGCCATGACTGTGGCGATTCCTGTTCGTCCTGCTGGTACGGATCCGAGGTTGCCAGTCCCGCGACGGTACGCGGGGTTTTCGTACTCGCTCGAGCCAGACCCAAAGTCGCGCATCACGATCGTGTTGGGTCTGCTGGCTATGCTCACCAAACCACCTGTGAGACGGACTGCTGCCTCAGCTGTGTGCAAAGATGGAAGCTGCCACATGTGGATTGCCCACCGAAAGGAGCCATCTGTGGCAACCGGGGCCAATTCCCTAGGGCTTCTGCTCGAGTTGGGTGGCCCACAGTCGTGGACAATACGAGCCGGCATATCCACCAGTGGGGTGCAGTGTGCAGAGGAGGGAGGGTACTTTGAACGACCAGCTTGGTGGTACCGCTACCTAATGCGGATAGAATCCTTCTGCTTACTCTCCCGTTGCCTTCCTTTGTTGGTATGGGACGAAAGCTCTGGCACAAAGTCTGAGCAAGTTTAGCAGACTCCAGGCTTGCCCGGAAAGCTTCGCGGTGCCGCCTGCAGTACCTGTGCCGTTGGGTATGAGTCGTTCCAACCCCAGCGAAGCTAAGCCAAGGTCGAGTCGAGGTCGAGATCGCGCTGATCTATCTTCCAAGAGGCATGCCTGGCCTGGGGCCCGGTGTGGCTGGGCCTGGTGTCGTACTGGCACGTAAGGATGCATCTTCGAGTCGGGGGGCGCAGGAGTGCAAGTGGTTGCGTCTCAGGAACCAGCATCCCTTGCAGCTTTGACATCATTGGACGGGGGTTGGCTCAGATGCTTGCCCAGCCACCCTGGCCAATTCTCCGTCATGAAATTGGAGGGCAAGGCTGTCAACATGTCAGCCAGTTCCGTCGTCGTCATCTGTGCCATGGCCGTGGTCTGAACTGTATTGAGGCTACTATTGCGGGCTTCCGCTATCAAGACCGACTGGGTGCCCGCGGCGTCGGCAGAAGCAACCGGTGCAAGGTCGAGGGCGACGTGAGACCCTCAGCTGCTGGAAGGATTCAGATGCAGAGAGCGTGCAGAGGATTGAATATAGATTAATCGGCAAGAGATGAGGTCGACAGGGTGCAGGCATGAGTCTGTTTGAGCCGCCTAAGGGACTTGCCTACCTGCTGGCCAGAAACGTGCTTGCCCAGTCCAGTGTCCAGTCAGATTCAATGCGGTAATTGTCTCGAGTGCTCCTGCCACACCTGGACGCCTGTCTGGTGTGCATTGCAGCACGCAGACCGGACGGGATCAGCGTCGTTTGCACATCTGGTCCAATTGAGTTCAGCCTTGCGACAAAGTAGCTGCCCACCTGAATGGAAACGCTCTGGTCTGTAGACACACAATGCTCCCGCCGTTCATGCTTGCTCTGAGACACGACTTTGCATCTGAGCAACTTTGCCAGTCGATGCGACCCACCAACCTCCTCCTCACCTCCAGCCCAGATATCCTTGGGAATGGCCCCTTCGCCTTACGCAGCAGCCAGCGACGATGACCCGTGGATGTATGGTTCCAGCAACACAATAGTCACATGTGAGACTTCAGCAGCACTCTCCTGCTGCTTGGTCCCCGGCACCAGACGTCACGAGCGGTGCAGGTGCCGATGGCAACGGCAGCCGCGACTGCGACGGTGCCAGCGCCAGCGGGCTCGAGGCTTTTCGTGCGAAAAGAGGAGCAGGGGAGGACGAGCCGGCGTCCGTCCACCAGCAGCCATGTACTGACACGGCCATGTCAGCAGTACCTGGGCCCCAGTACCTGTCGTTTTCTCGACGCCCCTCCGGCCCCCTCGTGCCGCGACGGCTTCTTCCTTGCGAGCCCACTGCGCGACGCTGCGACTACTGCAGCCCCTGCCGCTGGAGTGGGTACATGCGACGTAGTGGCAGCCAGCTCGCCAGGTTGGCTGCGTGCCCTCCCCACATCGACACCGTCGCCGACGCCCTTCAGGCTCCATACACACCTCGCCCAACGCCCACTTGGCCACGGTCGATTGCTCATGCGCCGGGCCTGCCTACCTACCCTAGGGTCTGCTAGAGCGACCCTGTTTGCCCTGCTCCCGCCCTGTCCCGCCGTCACCACCGCACCCCGGCGCCTTTGCTTCTCAGGGCCTCACCCATAAACCCCCAATGGGGCCCAGCCCAACGGCCCTCGTTCGTGTTCCTGGACCTGCTTCTGCACCTTCAACCAGCTGTAAAAGGTGATCGCCTGGCATTCCAACACGCCCTGGCCGCCTTGCACTATACGCCCTCGCCCGAACACGCGCCGTCCAGCAAGATCGCGCGACACACTCTCGGCACACGCCACTCTTGCAGCTTGCGAACGCATCTGCGACAAGCACCAAGTACGTGCGCCAGCCGCAGCGCGGCCCGTCCTATCGTCCGACTTCAAGAGCGCACTACCGTCCTACCGGCTGCCCGACCACCTTCGGCCTTCGAATCCACGATACAGTGCGCAACAATCGCAGCGACCGACGCGCATTCTTGTGTGGGCTTTACGTGCGCAAACTCGTTGACCAGGCTGGAACGTTTTTAGACGGGTGCATCATTTTCCTCACAGAGCAACTTTCGGTCTTCAAGGCTGCCTTTACATCTTCTGCGCCGATGGCGAATCTCCGACTCCTACATCGCGAATCGCCCACATCTTTACGCCGTCGGCCGTACCTGCAATCAAAAAGATAGCGCCTCCTGCGCAGTCCTATTTGGCGGCGCCGAGACGCCCGCCCGCCAGTCGTGATGGCCCTATGGCCATTTCGACGGCGGGGCTCGCGCTTGCGTGCCCGTGCCAATACGACGGCAGACAACGAGTCTGTCCGAGGCACAACACGTAGGCAAACCGAGCCCCCGAATCGCCTCACGAAGGCAAATGCCGAGCAAAACCAGCGCGCGTACAGTTTCTCACCTGGCAGGAGAGATTCTATACGGGCCGCGAAGCCTCCAAACGAGGCAACGTCCAAATCAAACATGCGTCGGCGCAGTACGAGGATGTCCCAAATGGGCCCACCGCCTACCCAGGCTGAGGAGATACAACGGGTGCCGACTTTGCATCACGAGAATTCTGGGAACAAACGCAGCGGACAACCTCTCCTAGCGAAGAAATCGAGTAAGCGACGCAAGGAGGACCACGAACGGGAAGCCGAGATCAAGGCTATGAGCCAGTTCACCCCTTTGAGGCCTGCTACCAATAGCGTGACAAAGGGTCGGCCCATGAAGAAAGAGAGTCGTCGCTTGAGATCAGACCTAGCCAGGAGCTGGGATGGCCAGCCCTCTTCTGTTGTTTCATTGCCGTCGCCAGAATCAATACATTCGAGCATGAGCTCGGATTCAGATCACATCTCCTTCAAGGTCTCTGCTCTCGCAGCCCTGGCACCTCGCCCAACGATACGTTGTTCGTCAAACCCCATGTCTGGGGCTGGGCTTGGACGATCAGCTTCAGAGAGGCGCAGGCTTGCCGATCGCGAGCCAATTTCTGAAGCCACCCTCAAAGCTCACAAGCGAATTGACGACCTCGCCGATGATCTAGATGCGTCAGATCTCAGGGAGCTCATGGAACGCGACCAGAGAAGGCGGCAGAGGAAGAGAGAAAAGGACATGCAGAAAGCAGAGAAGAGGCTGGCTCGAAAGATGGAAAGGCAACGTGAGGAAGCAGCCAACGTTGATACTCCAACAAAGAACCTAGAAAGGGGGGTCCTAGGTCGGGAAATGACCGGCCTCGAGGACCCGGCATCTGTGACGATCACGTCGTCGCGGAGAAGACAGTCAGCAGAGTCCACAGGCCCAGGTCTCGAGGCGAATACGGTGAAGCGATCGAGCGAGGACCACCAGCAAGAACGCGAGAGAGTGCATCGCTCCATAACACCTCTAGGTGAATTCCACAGGACGAACAGCGGCCTTTCGAACTCCATGGCGGCGATCGAGGATGCCCCGCCATTGACACCACAAGAGACACCCCGACCCAAGTCGATCAGTCCGACCATCATGAGCTTTATACGCTCACGAAAGTCTGGATCGAAGTCTCCGCCCCACGATGAGCGGCATTTTGCCCGCGCCGCAGCCAACAGTACCTCTCCGTCACGAGCCCGGGCGGAATATGCTGAGTCTGCGGCCAGGACTTCAGAAAGTGGCTCATCGCGACCATGGCTTTCGTTCTTCAAATGGGGAGGCAGACGAAGAAGCTCGGTAGGACCAGCTTCATTCTCTAATACTTCACGAGACTCTATGCAAGGTTCACAAACCGGGCCGCCCCCCGTTGTCAGTTTCACAACGGGGCGCCGTCTGAGCTCTGGTGTGCCGAAACGGACCATGTCGCGTTTCCGCGAGGATCTTCCTGAACACCCATTGTCGCCTCCAGACTCGCGTGTGGGATCACCCGAGGTCTATGCCGGGTCCTCGGAACGTCTGCCCCAAATTACCGATGACGTGGAGCGCCACGAGGAGGCGAACTTCAACTCAGACACCCAACCAATACCCATTCCTACCCGCCATCAAGAACCGCAGTTGTCGCCCGTCCCCCTCTCGATGTCACTTGCGTCCGTAGACTCGGAAGGCTCTTGGCTGTCTGGCCGCATGAGCCGTCAGAGTCGCCAGAGGGCGTCCTCCGGGGCACTGGGGTCGTCTGTTGTGCACCCAATGGCAAGCACGTCAGTCATCTCTGAAGTTCAACATTCAGACCACACCGATGATGACAGTATTGCTGCGGATGAGTACCTGAACAAGGTTGTTCCTGCTAGCCCAGTTGAGCTAAATGCTGGCCGCGCACATGCGAGCAGCGACGACGACTCCACATACGAGACACAATGGGGCAGTGTAAGCCGAAAGCCTACCGTGGTGCATGGCACTACGAGCACGCGCAGCCGCGAGGGTCTTCTTCTCCAAGACTTTACGGACAAGTACCTCGAAACCAACGGCACGAAGCCTGTCGAAAACGGTCAACCTCGGACCCTAGATGCCGACAGCGCAAAGGTCCTAGAGATGTCTCCACGCTTGTCTGGAGACGAAAGGGTGCGTGTTGTGGAGCGTGGTACGCAATAAATTGCACGTTCCCAGGCACTACTCCCAGACCCGGTGCCTGTGAACAACTCCAACAATAAGCTCGCCTCGTAGACGATTCGTCTCTATGTCGGCATCAGTCATTGAGGACGCTAGTCGACACACTCTATCTTACTCTTGCGAATCACAAAAACAGAGCACTTTCCTTCACCTCAAAATCAAGAAAAAGGTATCCAGGACCATTACAAGACGAAAATCTTCTCCCCCAAGCAGTTACATCGAAAAGCAAAAACCCAAAAATAGAAAATCAGAAAACCAAGAAAACCACAAAAAACCACAAAAAAACCACAAAACCACAAACACCACAAACACCTTGGAGGAGAAGGGCAAAAAAAACACCGGAAAACACTACGAAATCCCGTCATGCTCGATATTCTTTGACGACCCAAAAACATGAGAGTTCAAATACTGAAACGTTCCATACCACGGAAACATGTCTTCTGGATACCACAACGAAAAAAAACTTTCTAAAACCACTACGAAATACACCCAATGGACAACAACACAAAAACAAAAAAAAGCAGACCCAAAAAAACTTGAAAAGCATCACCGATGCAAGAGTAAGAGAGTAAGGACAACACGGACCGCGGTGGTCGAGCGAAGTTGGGCGCTCACAGGTTACCAATTGGGTGCGATCTGTGTGTGGGAAAACGGCACCATGACGGGCGGGCCAGCTGTGGCCGGGGTTTGGTTTCTTTTATTTTCCTCGAAAGGCGGCAGTTTCGTCGCCTGTCGCGAGCGGCGTTCTAAGTTCGAGTGTATTTCTGGGGTTGCCTTGATTTGTGATACCACGAGCGGTTGACCCCTCGAAACATCTGGATTGTGTATGAGCCATAGCGGATATTTCGAGCAGCACATGTTATGTATGGTTGGCACTGGCCGATCTCTTTTTAATAGCCTGAATCTTCAAATTCAACTTTATCCAAGACTACATGCAAGACCGCCTGCGGGTGCCCTGGCCGAGCCGAAGCCGAAGCACGACAGACGGCCACCGTCCACAGGGGCGGGCTCGGGTGGAGCCCGCCCTGGCTGGCCGTGGCAGAGCTTGCCGGCTGCTTACATCATCAGCCGGTTTGCCGCTCTCACGTCATCGGCATCGGGGATTGCGCAGTGTCGATGGGCAGCCGGGGGTATGGACGAGGCAAGCAAGGTTGTCGGATGGTGTGTGATTGAGCCCCAAGAGACCGAGCTGTCTTGGACATAATTACACACGGTCTCTGTTCTGTCGAGTCTAGAATAGCAGCAGTACAGTACTGCTGTGGGAGGGCACACTTATGACCGACACTGACAAATCCACCTGGCCATGGATGGCGTCGGGCGGAGCGCGAAACGAGGGACGAGAGCCGGGGCCGGACCGGCCGCACGTGCAGGGTAACGTCTGGCAGGTTCTGCCCGAGACGTGGGTGCGCCGAGCTTGGTGCTCGCATAATCGAGCAGTCAAGCCTGGGGTGCAGGCAGCACCGGTGGTGTAATCTGAATTGCCGTTTCACAAGAGCTGCTGCTGCTGGTCGTTATCTGCCCGCTGCCCTTACAGAGCGGTACCTACCTTACCTAACTTGCTTGCAGGGCCTTGCTCGGACTGACAAACCACGCCCATTGCTCGCTCCTCCGTCACCAGCTCCCGTCCCGCTCCCCCAAATAAATACTTGCGCCGCGCCCGCCCGCTTCTGCCGCCTTGCCCCTCATGTTGTCATCGCCATCCACCACCACCCGCCTCGCCCACCGCGTCTTCAGACAGACCCTCGCCTCGTCCCACTACACGCGTCTCTCCAGCTTCCAACACCCTCACGCCAGACCGTTCCACGCTTCATCCCGCAAAATGACTGTCCACAACATTGAAACGTGAGTCTGCCCTCACCCCCGCCCTGCCCTGTCACCTCTACGTGTCCCTGTATCCCCCTCGCGGCCCAGCGCATTCTTCTCCTGTCACGGGAATCATCATTCCTGCAGCGGCGGTTGCATGCGTCTTGGCGCCGGTCGAGGGGCGATACATGACATCCAAGCTGTTCTGGCGCGCAGCGAGACACCGGCGTGTCAGCGGCAGCTTCACTCCACAGTCGATCATTTGCCGTGACGCGGGTTGCTGCAGGCCCTCGAGGCTGAACCCTAGACAGTCTTTGGATGCTTAGACTAACTCGTGGTATCTTTCCCACAAACAGCGTCGAGGCCTGGAAGGAGGCTCTCGAGAAGAACAAGGTCGTCATGCTCGACTGCTTCGCCACCTGGTGCGGTCCTTGCAAGGCCATTGCTCCCATCCTCGCCAAGTGAGTTCCCGCACGCTCTCCCCTTCGACCTGATCGTCCTTTGCGCGCACACACAGACACAAGGCGATCATGTTCATTCCCCGACGTCCCTTACTGACGGCTGTTTCTTTGCGCGCTCGATTTCAGGCACTCCAACGACGAGCAGTTCAAGGACGTCTTCTTCGCCAAGATTGACGTCGACCAGCTCCCCGACCTCGCGCAGGATCTCAGCATCCGCGCCATGCCCACCTTCAAGATCTTCACCAACGGCGAGCAGACGGATGAGCTCGTCGGCGCCAACCCCAACGCCCTCCAGGCCCTCCTCGTCAAGGCCACCGGCGCTTAGATATGAAATTTTGAGAAGTTGCGCGTGTGGCAGCAGAGAATTATACAATGAGGAAGAACAGAGTCGCTGAGCCACGGGCACGGCTGATGTCTTTTGCATTGGTTGTTGTTTTAGGGATAGAAACAAAGTCATAGTTGCTGTGATAAATATACCATCGCGCTCATGTGAGCCGAAAGATCAAAGAAGCCATGGTCCTTTTGTTTTGTTTCGTTTTCTCCAAGGGGAAGCCGTGACCTCAGTTTTCACTCGGTCATGTGATCCCATGCGAGCCACGAGACTGATCTTTTGACCCCCATCACCTGCATCTAGCTGGTCAAACCACCAACCCATCACTATGATCAATCAACTGACTTACATGTATCTAAATTCCGGCCGGATGAGATGGGGTTTTCCGGTCCCCCCAAGCCCCGCATGATGACCTTCGACTTCGAAATCTCTTCTCCAGCCTGGCTACTCCTCTAAACGTTATGATTGTTTGTAAACAAAGAGGCAAGCACATACGACCATAGGATCGAGAAAATTGAGGGTCCCGTCCGCTCCCCTGTACACAAGCTCGATACCGCCGGACTAGTAGTTGGGTCGGTGACGACCAGCGAATCCCCGGTGTTGTATGTTTTTACATTTTTACCAAAGTACCCGCCTGTATGCCTCTTTTTCCCCCCCGCTGGTGGAGATGTATTGAAAGTTCATCCATCGGTCTGTCGTTGTGTCTGTCTGCTTCCTTGAGATGCACTAAAGCAGATACTTCAGCGGTACGTACCCCCAAATCCATGCGTAACATGCTTCGCAAGTACCTTCTCTCTACCCACCATTTCCAACAAGATGCAAATGTCTGCAGTCGAGAGCTAGACCGTGGCGTGTCCAAATATTCTAACCCCTTCGGGCCTAGTTCTAGCTCGGGCACAACAACCCCTGTCATACTGGAGAAGACGAATCAATGGCGCTGTCTGCGCGTGTTAAAGCCTGCCTGCTTGCCGTGGCTTGTCCAATTCACGCACTCCGAAGTCGTACAGTGACATTCGGCAAGGGAAAGTGGCTGTCACTACGGAGAGTCTTCGTCTTCTTATTGGAAGTTACCTGTTGGTCATATTTCGACTTATCAGGGTAGGGCTGTTTGTGCAAAGCACATGTCGGTGCGTATGGGTTTTCTGGCAATGATAGCCAAACACTGGTAAGAAGCCCGAGAAAGGATCGTTGCAACAAGGGCGACGATCTGATCCTTGGTCACCTGTGTGGTTCTCCCTGGTCACGTTGTCTCTCTTTCCGCTAAGGAACTATCATGGCCTATATATAGGCTTAATGATCGACCACTCTGAAGGAACCGTCGTTCCCCCTGGTTGAGCCTGCGTGATGATATTTGTGCCTCAGCATAATGTCGGATATTGCTTTGCTCTCCTGCTTGTCTGCTAGCATTGTTGACTGCCGCACCCACGTCAACTCCCGGGCCTCTTTTGTTTGGCGCAACAACTCCACAAGAGCGCTTAGTATTCATCGCTTTGCTCCCGGTTGTCTGAAGGGCTTGGATTCGTCTTTGGTCTGATTATAGAAAGTCTCCACTAAGGTCCGAGAGCTGTGTCAAAGACTACTGCCACACGATGACAGTGCTGACACCAGCTCAGGCCGGTTTAAGTGGCGGCGCAGGTGCCGAAAGCTCTCTCCAGTTAGAAATGGAACCTTATAACCGTTGTGGTCATCTGAGCTAATAAATACCACGCTTGGCGGTGAAGCAGCCATGAAGAGCGTTCTGCTATAACAGTCCGCCAGAGCGATTTCTGACCGACCTTGATTGCCCTGCTAGGATATCCGCCGCTTTTGGCTGTACATTGCCTCGATGATAATTCAAAGCCTTCCAGCATGTATACTGTCGCTTACTACCAAAAGAAGAACCGAGCCACCCTCTAATAATTGATGGACTTGTTATTAGGTATATGCCGAGCGCGGAAGTACATGTTCTAATCTAAAATATGGTAATTGGTCGTCCGGCCAAGTGCGGTGGAGGAAGCGACGCTATAAGAACTAGCAATTTGTAGGTATACTTGTCAGTATCCTCGAGACGCATTGTTGGAGCTGAAACAGGTGGTATATACCAATTCAAGTGTAGCATGGTCGTTGCGCTTGTGAAGAAGCCGCGATCGGCCAAGGCTACACTTAGAAAATGCTAGTGTCTTACGTAGTTAGTGCATCCGTCCCAAGCTTTAGGATCTCAAGATGACATTGTCCAGCGAGGTCTTGAGACATCCCGTTGTTGGGACTTACTATGCTGTGCATAGGGTATATCATCTTGATCTTGGGACGTGGGACGGTAGTGCAGGTCACGCATGTACTGTTACGTGAGTCTTGTATGCCCCAAATATTATTGAATCTCAAGGCTACAGTTTTGGTAATATTTGCTGCTGGTCTTAGCTCGGACGGAGCATGAGTCTGTTCTGGCATGCACAAAGTGCGATGTAAAGGTTGCAAAACAGCAGAGAACTCAAAGCAGTAAATGAACCGAGGGAATTGCAGGGTGTCAGGATCTTAGCCTGCTACAATAATGGTTATAGCGCCACCAGCTCTGAGGCACGAACAGGATCCATGCGCTCTTCATTCTACAGTCTTTCTATGACGCGTCTCAAGAAGTCTCCTTGACTTCATAAGCGAGCGCCCTGGCGGGGTCGACAGTCTCCTTATCACCCCACGTAGCTTCCCAGCCCTGTGAGACCAGGTACTCCTTCCAAATGCCATCCTCGTTGTCCAATATCTTGTCACCGTCTTGTACCACAAACCATGCGTTCAAGGCGCCCAGAACGGCAAAGCCAGAGCCAACAAGGAAAGCAACCTGGTTCGCCTTCTCAGGATCGATGTAGGCAGCCGAAATGGAGGTGAAGACCTGTGTTCCAATGGCTGCGCCAGCTTTGGAAAAGGCTGAAATAAGACCCATGATCTGACCACGCACGGCAGTAGGGAATGGCTCCGTTGCGCCGAGGACGACAGTACTGTTTGAAGTTGAAGAATTAGCTCAGCACCCGCTTGGGCAGCAGTCAAGTGTCCTTCTTTCAAGCATGTGACATACCTTCCAGGTCCAACCTCGCCCAGAGTCAGGAAGACACCATACATGACAACGAACAACGGGAAGATTCTTTGTATCTGCTGGTTGAGCCCACCGAGAATGAAGCCCAAGATGGCCTGCAGCATGAACCCAAGCGCCTGCGTCTGTCTGCGACCGATCTTGTCCGCCAGATATCCACCAATGAATGGGCCCGGCAAATAGAAGCAGTTGATCAGACATCCCCAACCCAGGTTCTCCACAAGAGAATTGGAGGGATTGACTTGTGAAATAATGACTGAGCTGAAGATACCAAAGGGGATGGAGATCCAGTTGTACAAGAACCACGCTGCGGAAGCACCCGCAAGACGGCGGTGATACTTCTTGAAGATCAACCAGTAGGGGACTCGCTGCTTGCGCATGGCGGACTTTCGATATGCAGTCGACACTCGCATGCGCAGGCGGAACCAGAAGATGGATAGTGGAGGGATAGCACCCAGCGCTAGAGCCGTGCGCCATACGATCTCGTACTTTTCTTCGCTCTGGTGAACGCAGAGAAGCAACAAGAGGGGCACCAGCGCGCCCCAGCAGTATCCCAGCCCGGCCGCAAGATCCGAGATCAACGCGAAGATGAAGCCGCGCCTATTCCTCAGATGTGCCGCTTCATCGGAAGCTTCGGCTGCACCAGCACCGGCAACGGGGTACTCGCCTCCCGCTCCTACGCCGGCGATGCCCCGTGCAATGATGAGCATCCAGAGCAGACCAGTTGATGAACCACCGGCCCCGCTGGCTGCTGCGCTGAGCACGACGCCAAGAAGCAACAAGAGCGTAGTAGCGATGGCACCGGTCTTGCGACCGAGTTGGTCGACCACAACCCCAAAACCCAACATGCCGACGATCATGCCAATGAGAAAGGCGTTCGAGAGGCGTGCGCGCATGTCTTTTGTCAGGACGTCGGGGTAGATGACTGCCAGGAGCAGGTTGAGATTACCCATGATTGAGGCATTGCTGTTCGAAGGAGAAATCATAATCGTAAGCATGCGGGACAATGACATAACGCTACTTGCCTGGGTGTCCCGAGTACAAGAGTATCGATGGTCGAAGTTTGAAAGGGAGGAGAAACATACTATCCATCTGAACCCAGAGCAATTCCTGAGAATACCATCATCATCCAGACAGAAGCCTTGCTGTACACTGTAGGTTGTACCTCGCCCTTTTTGGTGTCGACTGCAACATCCTCATTGTCCACTTTGGCGCGCTCCTTTTCCTGGTTGACTGTTATGGCGTTGGGATGGCTATATTGCCCAACCGCCGGCGTTGGCTGAATCTCTGGATCTGCCGCCATGATTGCACAATGCTTCACTTGCGTAGCCCGCAGCAAATGGTGACTGTCATTGAATGGGGATGACTAGGGCAGGAGGAGCAACTGAATCTTGCAGACAATCACGAGAGCAAGCAGAGCGTGCCAGACACTGCTGTATTAAAGCTAGTAAGTCCCAAGCAGCGGCAATCTGTTACCCCTTCGGATAATGTCGCCCCGATAAACACAATGAGGTTGACCCGGCAGATCTCCGAATGCGGAGATATCGTTTGGAGAGCGTGCATGGGGTAGCCCAGGTGCCCCTCATGCGTGGGCACATCGTAACTGGGGTCGGAGCCATTGAACGGTTACTGATCCGTTGTTGGTAGGACATTTTTCTTTGTCCGGACCGACCCCAACGCAGCTTATCGTGCCAGGGCATGTAACATGCCACTCACTGCCTCGGGCAACAACAGCGGGTTGCGCCGGCCGAGCCCACTCTTCTCCGTGTCGCTTGCTTGGAAGGGTACCTGATCGACAATTCTTGCCGGAAAGAAGCCTGCATGGCCTGCATATCCCTTTCGTCGTTTGTACCGTTCCGCTATCGGCCGATCGGGTTGGAAAGATGGCTCGCGGTAACGGACGTCCATCTTATTGTTGTCAACTGTCTACTCGACAATCCGCACCGCCAATCAATCGGGCTATATCGAGGTACATTGTCACATACGTACAGGCTCCCGCACCTTGCCTGTAGGATCAGGAAACGAGAGCAACCAACGGGGTAAAATGCAGCTTCTCGAGATTGACATTCTCTACAATGAGGTCATCCCACTAAGCGATGGCCTCACTCTTTCAGCTCAAATCTGGCTGCCCGTCGAGGCTACAACTGCCGCACCGGCCCGCGTGCCCGCAATCCTCGAGTACCTCCCTTACCGAAAGCGGGATGGCACTGCAGTGCGCGACGCCATGAACCACCCATACGTTGCCAGCCGCGGCTACGCTTGCGTCCGCGTGGACATGCGCGGCGCCGGGGATTCCGAAGGCCTGCTGCTGGGCGAATACCTCAAACAAGAACAGGACGATGCCCTCGAGGTCATTGACTGGATAGCCAGCCAGAAATGGTGCACTGGGTCCGTGGGGATGATTGGCATCTCTTGGGGCGGGTTCAACAGCTTGCAAGTCGCCGCACGACGGCCACCACAGCTCAAGGCCATCATTTCCATCTGTTCGACTGACGATCGTTTTGGCGATGATATTCACTATAAAGGAGGGTGTCTGTTGACAGAGAACTTGACGTGGGCGGCGTCGATGCTGGCAATCAATTCCTCACCTCCCGATCCAGCACTTGTCGGCGAAGACAAGTGGCGCAAAATGTGGCTCAAAAGACTCGAGTCGGGCGGGTTCTTCGCCAAGGAGTGGCATGAGCATCAGCATCGCGATGCATTCTGGAAACATGCCTCGATAGGCCAGAGCTATGCCGACATCGAATGCGCCACATATCTGGTTGGCGGCTGGGCTGATCCTTACACCAACACCATCTTCCGCATGCTCGAGAATCTCAAATGTCCGCGAAAGGGCCTCGTCGGGCCTTGGGGACACAAGTATCCCAACTTTGGCGTTCCGGGCCCACAGATTGGGTTTCTGCAGGAAGCAGTGCGGTGGTGGGATTACTGGCTCAAGGGCGAGGACAAGACGGGGATCATGGAAGAGCCCATGCTGCGCAGTTACCTCCAGGATCCGTGGCCGCCAGCACCCTACGACGAGTTCCGCCCTGGCCGATGGGTTGCTGAAGAGTGCTGGTCGGATGAGGAGAAGCTCAAGGCTGGCGTGGTGATGGGTTTGGCTCCTGGCAGATTGACCAACACCACTGGCGCCAGCGACGAGAAACTGTCCATCTGCTCACCACAAAATCTGGGCTTTTCTGGAGGGCGATGGCTGGTCTTTGGCATCGAGGGTGAAGGCCCAGGCGATCAACGTGCTGAGGCCGGTGGCAGTCTTGTCTTCGATACAAAGGCTCTGGACGAGCCGATGGACCTGCACGGTCCGGCTGAGCTCAAGCTTCGCATCGCAAGCAACAAGCCCAACGCCCTGGTTGCAGCGACCTTATCCGAGGTCTTGCCCAATGGTGGCGGAGTGACGCGGGTGTCGTACGGCGTGTTGAATCTGACGCACCGCAACGGCTCTGACAATGGTCCAGAGCTCCTGGAGCCATATAAGTTCTACGATGTCAGCTTCAAACTAAATCATTTCGGCCAGCGCATCGGGAAGGGCAGTCAACTGCGCCTGGCACTGTCATCGACATATTTTCCCATGGTCTGGCCGTCGCCTGAGACGACAACGTTGACAATTGATTGCATGCACAGCAGCATTGGCCTTCCACTCCGAAGAGATAACCCGCTGGATTCTAAGCTGGAGAAGTTCAGACCTGCGATCAACGGGACTTTGCCCAAGACTGATATACGGAAAGCCACGCACAAGAACTTCGTCCGACACGATTGGGACTCGAATCGAACAGAGCTCTGTGTGTACTGGGACGATGGAAAGTGGGAGGTCGATGCCACAGGTTGGAAATTCGGGAACATCGCGGACCTGGTCGTGAGCGTCTCACCTAATGATCCTCTCTCTGCGACCGTGGAGCAGAAGTTCGATCGCGAGTTTGGACGAGGAGATTTAGATCTCAGAACGAATGGATGGACCAAGATGAAGATGACCAAGACAGACATGCTCATCACTGCGTACGTCGAAGCTTGGGATGCCGGGAAGCTGTTTTTCCAGAAGAACTATTCTGTCTCTGTACCGCGAAGCGGGCTTTAGTAAAAAATGTCTTATACACTAAGAACAATGAGCAAGGCTAGAAAGCTCAAGCCTCTGATATGTTAAGGCACTTGCAATTGAGATTGAAAGTCTACCACAGGTTCCCGGCATAGATTGGTACGGCAATAGGTACTGGTTACGATCCCTATCGTTACTTGCCCGGCCGGATTGGGACTGGCTTGGGTTCTGATCGGACTATGCGATACACAACTCGGCTTCAGTTGGTCAAACACGAGCTTATGTCGAGGAGTGGTTCCACCGCAGCTAAGGTCAAATCCAAAGTGCAACTAGGGCTTTGTTCTCCCTGATAAAATGGCGTAGAAACTGATGGTAACAAACGGATAGTGTGTACACAGTGCTGTAGACTGTATGGTCGGCCATCGCTTACGCTTGGCTGCGAAAGACACCAAGCCTGTAGATAATTGTAACGAATAGGAAAATAGAAAAACGGTTTCCTCTTAAAACGGGTGTAGTAGAGATCTAACAACCAGGCCCTTGCGCGGCGCTTCTAGCGCGGTTGCGCTGGTAAGGAAAGTAACTTCCGATTTTGGACGCAATCTTCCGATTTTGGAAACAACTTTCCTTACTACCGCCGGATCAGCAGTTGTGCCGGTGGCGACCAGCGAGTCCCCGGTGTTGTATGTTTTTGGTTTTGTTTTTTGGTGCTATGATTTCTTTTTCTTTTTACCTTTGTGGTTGTTGTGGTTGTTGTGGTTGTTGTGGTTGTTGTGGTTGTTGTGGTTGTTGTGGTTGTTGTGGTTGTTGTGGTTGTTGTGGTTGTTGTGGTTGTTGTGGTTGTTGTGGGTTCTCGTGTCCCCTGCCTGGCTGCCAGGACTGTCTATCATGGCAGTCTCCGGCGCAGTTGCCTCTTGGATGCATGGGCGGTTGTGGCGCAGTCGCCTTTTATCACAAGCACCGGAACGCGTCGGATCACGGCCCCGGATGAGCCACAATGCTACGAAGCAAAAAGGAACGCACCAGCCATTCGCGAGCCATGCAGTCAGCCCTGCAATGGCGGGCGCTGTGGTGCCAGGGCCGGCAGCAGGAGGCGACCTTCAGTAGCCTGCAGATATTTCACCAATCACAGTCACCATAGTGACCTCGTTCCAATGATGGCAGTGAATACGCACTGAGATCTGTTTAGGACTGGACAAGGACGATGTAGTGGCTGTTGGCTGGGGAGAGCCTCACAAGGATCCATGGATGTTTAGCGGGTCGCCCTGGGGGCCAAAAAGACAACATTGGATCTGCATGGTTGCGTCTGGTCAGGCGTTCCAGGGACTTACATCTAATTTTGAGAATTGCCTGATTGGGTATGGCGTTTCCGATCTGCCTGATCGGCCCCGATCGGTGTCATCCACAGACAGCCTTGCGATGGTCACATTCATACACCACCCGCATTGCGATACAGTGGCTTGCAAGGCTTTGGCCTGCGAATGTATGTCGAAGGATTCGATTTGCATCAGGCGGGCACGAATACGAGACAAGTCAGAAGATCGCCACGCAGGCATGGTGCTGCGGCCCAGCGGCCAATGTCGAAAAGCCGTGGTTTCACAGACTTCATCATGTCCGCCGGCCAACGACAAGCTGACCAACAGCTGACCTAGACTCGCCACTTGTATTTATTGCTTTCACATCTGCCAGTCTTAGTCTGCCTCGAACCGCCACCGGTCTGGAAGGACAGGGAGGTGACACTGGTTGCATGTAACCCCTGCGTTCGGCGAAGCAGAGGCAGAAGCCTCCTTCGCTGAGATATTATCTACCTACATTCTCGCCGCAAGTCGGCAACAATTCATCATGTACCATTGACGTCGCTCGCTCCAAAGATCGGACTGCTAAGTTCACTTTGCCACAAAGCCTCCAACTCTAGTGACAACTCCAATCTTCCCCTTCGAGCTGTTTCTGAACGACTGCTCAGTATGCCTTTCGACTACGAAGCCTACGACGCAAAGTGCGCCGCCATGGACATGGACCAGCTCCAACGAGAGTGGAACCACTACACCCGCTTGATCGCCGGCGGTAACATGACAACCGCTATGTCAACAGCCGCCTCGATCCCAACGGGTGGCGTCAGCAGCATAGGCATCGTCCACGCGGCTCCCGCCATATACAACGCCCGCAAGAAGCGCGAAATCATCGATAAGCACTTTGCTCGGCTCGGCGCTACGCACTCGACCCGTAAGCGTGACGTGTTGACAGGCATTGTGTTTTCTTCAACAGTTGGCCTGCTCTCGGTAGGACCGGCCAGCTTGGGGGGAAATGAGAACATCGTGGAACATGGCATTGGCAAGGCATATGAGACAGTAGGTTGAAGTCCCCTTACTTTTCATTAAAACCGTACTTGAACTGACCAGTTTCCTCTCAGAGCATAGAAAGTGTGATGACGGAGGCGGCTTTCGATGTGGATAATTTCGAGCCTCAAATTCGGATGGCTCATTACGATATCATTGGACCTGAGGGAGAAATAAGGCCTCCGGCTCGGGATGCGATCAAAGGCCCGTCCGTTGATAATGTTGCAGCCAAACCGTCCGAGAAGGCGAACACAAAAGATGACAACGTGAGGGGAAGCTCCCAATGCAGCAGTAACACCAAACCGAAAAGCTCGCACGACGAGGCGTCACTCAAACCACCAAGCGAGCCACAAGCATCACAGCAACCCGTGCACAGTGCCGCAGGGAATGAGTGGGCCGTCACCATGAATGCTCTGAATGCAGATTCACCCGGATATCAATCGTCGCCGACTCAAACTCGCCAGTGGAGCCGGGACTGGGACAACCCAGGCAGTAATGACGACAATCACAGCCGAAGTGATGATGGTGACATTACCAGCCTACAGTCGTCGCTGTTCGATAGGGAGTCGAAGGAGGCATTCACCACGTCCTCGGCATTCCAGACGTCAACGCTCGATTCTGCGGCTAAGATCCAGCAATTCGGCGTTGACGGCGATTTGACAGGTGAGCTTGATATTGTTGTTAGGTGGCTTATCTGCCAACCCGTCCAACTGGCCATACATGAATTGATTGCTGACCACACTACAAAGAGGCAGAGAACGAGAATAGATGGGAGACCGCCACGATATATTCCACGACCACCCACGACGGCAACTCACAGCCGCAGTACATTTTCATGTTTGCAAATCAACTTGTCCAGGACGCGGCTGGACACGCTGACCGGTCTCCATTTCTGGATGTTTCACCAGGGAAGCTTGACGAGCTCTTGCAGGCATTTAGCTGGTTTCTCCATGGGGAGTCAGACAATCCATTTCAATGGGAGGTATCGGTCATTTTGAATCGAATGCGAAGGTATCTTGCACTATTAACCCTTTGATTGCACAACTATCGGCAGGGTGCAAACTTCTGACATCTCATAATCGTGTGATCACAGGGAGATTCGAAGCCAGTGCGGGTCTGATCACTTGAGTGCTGACGGTGAAGATGCTTTCCCGGGCGACAACGATGATGCAGACGAAGATGAACGCGAGCGACGCGATCCACACCGCAAATCAAGAACGCTGGTTCAGGACTGGGTGAACGGCGTCGACCCAACATCCGAACATGAGATGGCACAGTACTTGAAATACGAGCATTTTGTCAAAAGCTCAAAGTCATACAATTGGCTGATCAAGAAAATCCAGACATACTCGTCGCTGAACAGAGACAGGTGCCACGCGATGGAGGATTTGAGGCAGGGCGTACAGAATCTCTTTGTCCAAAGAGACTCATCGAGGATAATGAGCCGCTCAAGACCTGCGACAGGTGTCGAGCTATCCATCACTCTCCACGACTGGGATATTGTGGCGTACCTCAAATCTTGTTCCAAGTCTAAACCCCACGTCAAGGATCTGGACAGCCTTCTCTGCCTGACAGGATCACCGGATGAGGCTCAGCTTACACTAGTCACGGAGTATTTCTCCCAGACTTGGCCAGAAACTTATCAGCCTGTGCTGCTGCTTCTGAAAGAACTGGTCCATGGCGACCTGGACACTGAATACTGCTGTATGTTAACCTCGCGGCCGCTTTTAGGTGCGCTCGCTGACAACCCCTCGCAGACAAGCCGCAGAAGTCCGCCGCCCTGTCGACGATTGCAGATCTGACCCTAAATCAGCTGACGGCCCAGCGAACTTCACAAAACGCAACTGTCTTCAAAGCTTCCGGCAACGTGCATATCATCGCAGAAGTTGTAGAGCAGCTTGGCTGGCTCATGTGTGCGCTTCAGACAACTCCATATCTCACCCCCTGCCACCCAGTCATGAAAGAGATGGCTGTTACACCACAGGATAAGACGATGCAAGGACTGACATCCGCACGATGCAGCCTCTATACCAACCGGACTCCGGAAAAGACATTCGATGGTGCTTTGGCTGGCATGTGCTGGTGTCCGCTTTTTTCAAACCAGACCTTAGTCACTGGCTATCCAACACTTCAGAGACCGATACCAAATACCGGTCTTGAGATGTCTCTAGGAACGATGTCCCTGTTGATTGGTACTAATCAAGTTGCGCAGCTAAACGACCGGATCTTGATGAAAGGATACAACTCACTGCTCAGTACTACACGAGGCTTTCCAGGGTTCACTTTATGGCATTTCTTGTTCACAGAGCACGAGGATGAACGGATAGCATATGATGATTCGAGGATTCCAGATATGAATCGCGACATCTCTATTAATCTCCGACAGCTCGAGAACTCTCGCCACATTGTCGGATGGTGCGACAAGGCGGCAGACCTCTGCGGTGAGCAACGTGCCCTGGCAGGACGAAACCTACATCAATCTCCGGTCGTTTGAACTGAATCTGCTTCAAGGACACCCGGGTGCCAACTACGACATCTCATCCTCGGGCTTGGCGAGGCCTCCGGCGTCGATCGTTATCGACCGACTATATATAGAGGCTGGAGCAGATGTTGTGCTTGGCGCCAATATGCAGATCAACAAGAAGGTCCCGCCCGTACGCTTGACCCGCACACAGACGTACCCTCGCCTACTCTCATGGGTAGCAACGCAATCTATCATCTTCCATGATGTTCAAGCCGATCGGGCATGGCTTATCGATGGAGCTTCGGCACTTCTACATATTGTCCGCGCCTCGCTACACAGGAGTATGAAAGACGACGATTCCCCTTACGACTGGCTTTTCGACACCACACAGCTTCAAGAGACTCCTGAAAACCGTAGTGGACGACAGGCAGCCATAGGCACCCTCAAGAAAGCGGCTCATTTAGATTTGCCACTATATCGACTGCGAAGAAAGTCTACGGGACAGGGCAGCGGTCCAGAATACTTCACATTCGGTGATTTGGTCGAAGAAGTCCTCCATACACTCGAACTACTTATCGACGCGCACAGTCAGCTGTTACGGGGTGGTGACGGATATGAGATTCCGAAGACGCTTGATCAACGGAGGAGAATCACCGGCTTTGATTTAATCGACATCATCGATCCGCCTGGCTCCCTCATCACTCCTCGGGCGAAGTCCATCAACGACCTGGGAGACGGTTGGTGTGATTTGGCTCAGTCTCTGAGAAGTCTCGTCATCTTTGGACGTGGCTTCGGAGAACTCATCAAGCCGGACGGCGAACGAGGCGTAGTGTGCTCGTTGTGGTCCTCTCTGCCGTCCAATATGGACTATCTCGGAGCTTCGACGTCGACCCTACAAATGCTCTACCAGAAACAACTCCTCAGAGATCAACCCACCCTCAAAGTGGGACAACTAAGCAAGAGTCTTACATGGGTGTCTAGACCTCTTCCTGAGAATGGCTGCTCGTGCGACAGTGCGGGGAACTCGGATCTCGCGCGACCTGCATGCTCTTTCCATCCCGTGCAGTCACTGGTCCGTGGTTCATTGTTGCAGAAGCTCGGCATACGCAGCTATCAGACTCCTATCGATGTTATGGCACTCGACGGACGTGGCGCTATGATATTTGAGCATCGTGTCAGTCTGCATCGTTTACTGGTCAGAGGCGACTCTCTGGCAGGTCCCGGAGAGCGGCCAAGCGAAGACGAAACGACATTGGATTCCTCGCTTAGATCTCTAGAAGATGCATCTGGAAACTCGGAGCTTCAGGACTCGCAGACGACTGTGCTGAGCACACCTCGAACATCGATCTCCGGATCGGGCCTGGTCACAAGGCCTCAAGATCAAGCTGGCGCGTCGAGCATAGGAACACGATCTACCAGACTTACCACGAAAATGCGAATCAAGAATATGTTCCGGAGGGATAGGACGTAGCCTTTCTTCAACTCCGAGATGCCCTAGATCGATGCAAACTCAGGTCAAGAAACAGATAGAGTAAATCATGTAAACTCGCCTCGAGACAGACTTTCGATTCTTATATTTCTTTTTGTTTATTAGTTCCGAGTACCTGGGCAGGCAATGACGAACATCGATCACCCTCGCAAGGTGCCACGAACCAGCCATGTAGGTTGTCGACTTTGACCCAGGACTCTTGAGCCAGGCGGACCAACTCTACAAAATTCAGACGAACCACACCGAACGGGCTCAGATTCTGCTGACTCGGTGCAACCGAAACCAAGCCTAAAGACTGCTTTTCGTGGAAAACTCAATTAGATACTCTGTCTCTTACCGACACACTGGACACTCTCTCGTCCTCGTACTCCTTGTCCCTCTCCCCCAAGCGAACCGAGCCCCCCCCCCCCTCTCCTTCTCTCCCTTCCCCACCACCAAGGCAAACCCCACCTAGCTCAACATGGGAATCACTAGTGCCCACACTCTGCAGTCGTAGCACATGCAAAAAAAAAAACCACACAACCCAAAAGCAAAGCGGGGGAATACCAGGGAGATAGAGAGAGAGTGAAGAAAAGGGTTACACGGGCACAATCACAGCAGCGCCAAGAAAGAAAGAAAGAAAGAAAGAAAGAAAGAAAGAAAGAAAGAAAGAAAGGTAGAAAGAAAACAAGACTCTGGGTTGGATTCGGTACACCGGATGCTCGACGCACTTTAACCCAAAACCCGCCAGCAAGGTCGCCCGCCTGCATCCCATTAACTCACTTCAACTAAGTACGTGCCCAACCACACGCGCCACCCACATGCAACAACAGCAACAACTACAGCAAGGGCCGGCCTCGGAAGTGCATGCATCAAGGCACATGCACACATTACGTGACAAGCTTACATGGGTGGCTAGCAAACCCCCCCCCCTTCCCTCCCTCAACAAAGAGACCCAGAGGCACACATAGAACGGGAGAGAGCCCAAAACCCAAGCCAGACCCAATAGACTCTGCCACTTTTAGACCAATAGCGGGGTTAGCATTACCAACGTGGGCAATCGGCTGTCCTCGTTCCCTCGTCGCCGCTTTCCATGACTTTTTGATGTTTCCTTGTGTCTTTGTGTGCTGTGTGCAACCTATCATCATGAGGGGTCGTCGGTGGTTGGCTGTTCATTGATGCGCTCGGTGAACTGCTTTCTTGCTTCGGATCTGGTGAAGGGAAAGGATATTTGGCTACAACACACTATCACACCTTGACTGCAGGGAAAGAGGAGAGCTGGATAAAAAGACCAGAGTGAAGATTCATTACTCATCAAGGCATAGCAAATCTATTAAAAAGTGGTGGTATCTAATCGTTCCTGGAAATGTGGCGGCTCTCCTTCCTCAGGCTGTGCTGGCTGAGGTTGCTGAGGCCCGAGGAGATGGACGAGAGGCCCGAGTTGCCAGAGTGCCGGCCGCTGCCCCACGACACGACGCTCTCGGCGTCGGCGTCGGCATCCCGCTGCGCCCGCCGCAGCCGCCGCCGCTCAGACATGATGCTCTCCGCGTCCGACTGCAGGCTTGTCGTTGACATGGAGGCCAGGATGCTGTCGAGGCTGCCCTCCTGGCGGTGACCGCCGTGGGCGTTGGAAATCTTTGTCCTCGACGATCCAGACCGCATGCTCTCAACGTCGGACGTCGCCCGGTCCCTCCGGTGGCTGGTCGAATGGCTGTCGCTTTCCCTCTCGGTCCTGTGTGCCCGGCTGGACGACCTCTTCGACCTGGACACTCCGGACAGCATGCTCTCAACGTCACTGGTGTCCCTGTCCCGCCTGTGGCTGCGCTCGCCTTCCTTTTCTGAGCGGCGGGCCTTGCTAGAGGACCGCTTGGACCGAGACGTAGTTCCGGAGAGCACGCTCTCAACGTCGCTGGTGTCTCGGTCCCGTCGGTGGCTGCGCTCCGCATCCCGCTCGCTCCTGTGAGCCCGGCTGGAAGACCGTTTGGACCGCGAGACTCCAGACAGCATGCTCTCGACATCACTGGTGTCCCGGTCACGCCTGTGGCTGCTGGAGTGGCCATCCTCGCCTCTCTCGCTCCTGTGCGCACGGCTGGAGGACCGCTTTGACCTGGCAGGGGCGGACAGAGTACTCTCTACGTCGCTCGTGTCCCTGTCCCTCCGGTGGGAGCGTGTGCTTGATGGATCTCTCCTGCTACTGTGGTGACCATGCGCAGAGTGGCTGTGGCTCGAAGAGGCCGGAGGCGGGTAGTGGCTGGACGAGTGCTTTGGCGTTCTCGAAGTTCCGGATAGGACACTTTCAACGTCGCTGCCAGCCCGGTCCCGCCGGTGGCTGGATGAGTAGCTGCTCATCCCGGACATGATGCTCTCCGTGTCGTCTGACCTCCGCTGGTGCTTGCGCCTCTCGGACATGATGCTTTCGGTGTCGCTATCTCCTCCACGCTCCTTGCGCTCTTTCCGCTCACGCTCCTTTCTCTCGGCGCGCTCCTGCTCCTTGCGGATCTCGCGCTCGCGCTGGTGTCTCTCATGCCTCTCGCGCTCGGCCCTCTCCTTCTCTTGTCTCTCAAGACGCTCTTGCTCCTCCTTCTCCTTCTCGGCGCGTTCCTGCTCCTTTCTGATAGCCCGCTCTCTCTCCTTCTTCTCTTGCCTCTCCTTCTCCTTCCTCTCAGCCTCAAGCTTCTCGAGCCTCTCTTGCTCCTTGCGCTCCTGCTTCTCTCGCTCCTTGCGCTCGGCCTTCTCCTTCTCCAGTCTCTCCTGCTCAGCCTTCTCCTGTCTCTCCTTCTCCTTCTTCTCAGCCTTCTCCCGCTCCTTACGTTCCTGCCGCTCCTTCTCCTTCTTCTCGGCCTTCTCCTTCTCTAGCCTCTCCTTCTCCTTACGCTCAGCCCTTTCCTTCTCCTTGCGCTCCTTCTCCTCAGCCTTCTTGAGCTTAGCCGCCTCCTTCTCCTCCTCATCTTCGGAGTCCTCCCCAGGCTTGTCATTGACAGACTTGAAGAGCTTGTTGGAAGGCAGCTCTTCGACGAGTGCCCGCATCGCCTCCTCACTCAAGACACGTGGCTCCAGAGTGGACTTGGTGGCGGGCTTGTCCTCCTTGCTGGTAGAGAATCCGAAAAAGCTCGTGCCAGCGGGCTTTGTCGACTTAGCTGACTTGTGGGACTTGGCGGCGGAGGCGGCGGCGGCGGCAGTTGCCTCCTCCTCAGTCTTGGAGGGCGGGGCACGAACGGAGGCGTTCTTATCTGATACCACGGAGACGGAAGCTCTAGACTTGTTGCTGACGGTGCTGGTGTTGTCGTCGTTGTTGTTGTTGGTGTTGCCGCCGGCGGCGAAGCCGAAGAAACCCCTGGCGAGGTCCTCGACGGCGCCTACATTGTGCTTTTCCTTGGACTTTTCGGCCTTCTTGGCTGCCTTTTTGTGCTCCTTTGCGGCCTTCTTCTCTTCCTTGGCCGCCTTCTTCTTCTCCTCGGCAGCCTTCTTTTCTTCCTCTCTGGCGGCCCTTTTTTCTTCCTTGGCGATTTTGTCCTGTGCTGCTGCGGCTGAAGTGGCTGCGGTGGTCGCTTTGTGCTTTGAAGATGGTTTGGCGACCTTTGCCTGCTTGTCTGCCTTGGTTTCGTGCGACGAAGAAATAGAAGATGATGACGACGACTTGCCCTTTTGCGATTTGCTGTGGAAGATGCGGAGTTTTGCTACTGCCTTGCTGATACCGATGCGCTTCAAGATGGAACAGACGGCCTGGGTGACGGTGAAGATGCCTGCTGGGTCAATGTGGAGATAGGTGAGGATATCGTGGCGGAGCTTGCCGCCAGTGAGACCGCTCTGGAGATACGAGTGCGGGGGCTGGATGAGAAAGTAGAGGTCGGCGCGGCTGTGGGCAAAGGACCACATGGAGCAAGTCCCCCCCGGATACCCGTAGAGCGAGCCCAGCATCTTGGCGGATAGGTCAGGCGGCGAGTCGAGTGCGAAGTCGATCCTGGGCTGCCGGGACGAGGTGGGTGGAGGCCGGGAGGGTTTGGCGGAGAGAGCAGTCAGTCGGTTTTCAACGGGAGGCCAGAAAACAACCAGGGCAGCTGGTTGACGCGGGCAAGGGCGGCACGCTGGATATTTATGCAGGCGGGCGGAAGCGCCGGGGTCGGCATCGTGCATTAGCCATGGTCCCGCGAGAGAGCGAGAGAGGAGCAAGCAGAACCCGCTGGGCGGAGGCAGGCAGGCGTGAAGCCCCTCCCCTCCCTCGGACGTGTGGTGCTCTCTCGCCGCCCGCCCGCCCGCTCACTCTCGTCTCAGAGCATGTCGCGGTGGATCGTGGGAGGCGAGGGGGTGGCCCCCGGGGAGGGGGGGTTGACTGGCCCCACGGGCTGTGGCAAGTGGGTGGGCGAGGAGGGCGCTGTCCAACCAGAGGCGGGCTCACCGCCTGCAGGCTGCAGGTACAAGAGGCGGTGAGCGAGACCACCCAGGATGTGAAGGCCATCCTGGAGCGTCGAGTGACTTGTCCGATGCGAGCTTAGACCAGGGCATGGCTGGGCCGTTGGGGATGGCAATGCCACTCCAGTGCTAACACAATTGGCGACTGGCAGCGGAAGGGAAGGGCGGGAGCGACCGGATCAACCCACGTTCCAGGGTTGGCGGTGACAGCCCCATTCCGGCCCAGCCTCTCTCTCTCTCTTTACTCTCTCCCAAGGAGCCTTGAAGGGCGAGGTAGGACACACACACACACCACACCACACTGGGCGCACTCAGATTGACAAAAAACTCGGCCTGGTCACACGGGACAAAGGCTGACCACATGAACGCGCACGAGACCAAACCGTTCGCCCTCGGCACCCAGCCCTACTTTTGACCAGCCGCGTCGAACCACCATGGAGGGCAGAACACACTTCACGAAACGAAAATTCAGGGCTGCAGGTACCTTGCCCCATCCCGTCGACTTTGGCGAACTCGATCGGCGCCGTCGACGTATGTGATGGCCCACATGTACTCAGCACACACCGGCAACGCACGCCAGACCAGGCTCGGCCGAATGGAGACTACTTGACCATCCTGGGCAAGCAGGAGGACTTGGCCCGGGTGGTGGTTCTGGTTGTTTGTCTTTTTTTTTTCTTTGTGGTTCTTGCTCTCTGCACACCCACCACTGAGCTGGCATGCTCGCCGGAGCAAGTGGCTTTCGCCGGCCCGGGCGCCCACTGGATGCTTTTCTATGTAGATGGCTGCTGTGGAGTTTCCCACGTCCTGCATTGTCTCAGCTGCGTGGCCGCGAGTTGTCTGCCTTGGAAGCCACAGGCCAAAAAGATTGGACGACGAGTTGCCGGAACACTGCTCAGAATAACTCAAAGGAGGGGCTGGTGCAGAGAGTGGGGCACAGTTGTCTGCATTGCCAAGTCTTTTTTGGTTGGGAACCGCCCTCCACTCGCGAGTTTCAAAGCCTGCCTGCATCCACGCTTCCGAACCACGACAGAACACCTGTTTCTGGGCCCGCAGTCGGTGATGTGGACAAGAGAGTCTCTGCATGCTGCAGAGCCAGCGGGCACGGAAGTCGCGTCGGCCAGCACACCTTTGGACAACACACGCGTCATTCTCGCGGTACGTTCGTTGCGCCTGGACAGGGTTGGCCAGACTCATTTTCTGCCGCCCGGCTCTCTGCTCGCTGCTTGCCTGCCTGCCTGCTCCTCCCTGACCTTCTTCTTCTGGCGTGTGTGAGTGGGGGCAGCCACAGGTTTTGCGATCTTGATGCTTGGAGTGTGCATAAGCATTCCTTGTTGGTGCGAGACCACGCCGGCACGCGCATAACCTGTCTGTGGGCATTATTGTCTTCTGGACGCTTCCTCCAGCAATGGGTCTCACGCGGTCATCGATCTTGGCACGGAGCGGGGCAGCGTCTGAAAGCACTAAAACACTCGAGGCAGATGTCGGAGCATCTTGTCAGCTCCTGCATGGCGATCCCCGGCACATGCCCGGCTGTCACGATCCCTGGACAGCATCCCAAGGGCCATGTTCGTGCCCATGGCAATTCCAGATCAGGACAAGTACGTGCATATCCAAGAGCCAGGGACAGGCCGAGAGGGTCAGATGGAGTCTCTAGCCGGAATCTGAGGCAACTCGCATCTCAGACGGAAGAAAAACCCCAGGATCTGTGGCTTCGGCACTTGGTGACGATGGGGCGGTGTGGCTTCGTGCGGACCGCTATGATGTGTAAGAGCGGGCTGCAACGCACAGTCCCCTGACTGTTTCTTTTCTGATCGACCCGGGCCTAGAATGCGCGTTCAAGCTGTGGAAACTGGCCGCAGTCGTGTTCGAGGCTAGAAAAAGGAAGTAGCAGCACAGTCCTCATTCAACTACTCTCTCGTCCTGCTCAGTTCAGTGTTGCTGAAGTCCATGCCTGGATATCAGCAAGTATTTCAAGTTTTATGTAATAGATGTGCAAGCCACTCGAGTTGTCTGTTCCAGGGTGGCTTCCAAGCTTCGAAGATTGCGTGCTTGTGGCTGTGCTTCAGCTACAGACGTGTTATGTCTCGAACCTGGGCCCAGACCGGATCTACAAACGGCGTCGACGAACTCTAAAATACAGACCGACTCAGCTGACTCGACTGCTGAGTATCAAATTTCATTAGCTGGTACAAGGGGTGTGTGACATCGTCACAATCTCTCTCGTGGACGCGCCTTGGTTCCTGAAGAACGGGTCTTCGGACTGCTACGGGAGCCATCTCGGCGACCGCGTGCAGAAGCTACAATATCAGCTGCTGGCAACAACAGAAGAGCGCAGCTTGAAGAAAGACGTGACCGTGCCAAAGCAATCCCCTGGTCAGGGTGTCGCTCCGTCTATCTGATTGCATAACCACCGTACAGGTTGGCAAGTTGGTGTGGGTTGCTTATGTGAACAGAGAATGGCTGCTGAGCATCACAATGTACTGAAGCGGGCCTTGGAGAGATCAAAATATGACCATACTTGGGGCGTGAAGCGAGAGAATGCAGAGCATCTATATGCTGAAGTTGGTCGTGGACCTCGCGAGATTGACCTGGCAGCCAAACGCCCGCGGCACTCTCATCTGAAACGGGGGTTAATAGGTGCTGCTGGGTGAGTGCATCTCGCTTTGTGGCCGGCAACAACGGCAAGGCGAGGACACATGGCCGGGCTATATTTGGGAACGGTAAGCGTTGTGAAGTTGGTGGAGAGGGTGGTTGTGTTTGAAAAGGCCTGGGCGGCAAAAAGGCGTCGTCATCGTGGAAGGGCTCAGTACATGAATGGGCCGGCCCGAGCAGATGGTGATGGAGGTGGAGACGACGTGCACGGCCACTCGCGGGTACGACGATGCTAGCGCGGGCTTAGCAAGAGGCTTGACTGTCAGGCTGGTCTGCTCACCTCAGCTTGGGCGTAAGAGCGTGCGTGGCCATGGTGTGTGCAGCGGTCGCAGAGGGCGATGGTGAGGCGGCAAAGCACGGGGAGAAACAAGGCCCGGGGTCGGGACGGAGCAAAAGGCGGTTTCAGTGCCTTGCATCATGATCGCGATTGGGACAATTGCATGGGCGGTACCTAAGGTAGGTGGGCCCCGACAACGTCAACGAACACGCAACTTGGGGATGGGAAGGGGAAGGGGCAGCCGCCAGTCGCAGAGTCTGTGCTCCTCGGCCTGCCAACTTGCCAGTCCCGGTCCTGGCCAGGGGCCCGAGACATTGCAATGACGTATTCTTTCTCTCCTCTCTCTGCCCCCGTCCGCACAGCAACACCAGAGGGCCCGATTACTCCCCTGCAGACCCGACCAGGCTAGCTCTAGCCTGCCTGGCCTAGAGAGGGAGGACTCCCAGCCATGGATTGATTGACTGGACTGACCGATGCGGACCTGCCGTGCCCTGGCTCGACGTTTCCAGCGGCGGCATGCCGTAGCCCGGCGCTTCGCATCATTCCAAGGTTTGCACTATCGGCTCCGCCTCCGCATACTCGCGAGCCCGCGCGCTCCCCATGCAGATTCGCCGTGCGCTTTAAATACTTGGTATCCTGGGCCCTCGCCCAGCGACACTGCCCTCCTCTGTTGTCTTGGCTTTCTTCTGTTGTTACCCGTCCGCAGACTCATTCCACAGCTCCACGCGCCAGGCGCAGCATCCCAGCGCTGTCCTTTGCCGATCTACCGTGTAGATCCATCGACAATCCAGCTTTCCCATCCTCTCGCTCGCGCCCCAATCAGGTCCCCACACGCCAAGCTGCGCCGCCGCCATGAGGTCCTCAGACGTCACCACCGCTTTGCTACCCGCACTCGCCCTGCCAGCGCTCTCTCTCGCCGTCGCTCTTGCGCCGCCTTCAGAACCTCGCCAGGACGGCCCCGGGTTCCTGGCCTTGCCCTTCACCCGGACGCTCAACACGCCAAGACTGCGCTCACGGCAGGACGTCGACGTCCCTCTGTACAATGTTACCACCATCAGCTACCTCGTCGAGTGTGAGTGGCTGCGAAAAGAAAAGGCCTCTGTGCTTCACAAGCCGCGATAGTCGAACTTAGCTGACGTTATGTTTTTCTTTGCGTGACAGTGTCCATTGGCACGCCAGGCCAGACCGTACGAGTCGCCATTGACACAGGCTCGAGCGAGTTGTGGGTAAACCCCAATTGCAAGACCGTCAACACGAACGACGAGTACCAGGACTGCGTCACGGACGGCCAGTACAATCCAGACGACTCGTCTACTTTCCATGACCTCGAGTCTCGCTCGTCCATCACCTACGGCATCGGCAAGGTCGAGCTCGCATACGTCACTGACAATGTCGCTCTGCCAAATAGCAGTGAGTCCCCAGCAGCCCCAGCTGTAGCATTTAGACCAGGAACGCGATACTGACTGCCTCTGTCCTCCAGCCATCGATCTGAAAAACATCCAGTTTGGTGCAGCCATCGCGACGCAGGACCTGAGCGAGGGTATCTTGGGTCTCAGCTTCGGCAACCACTCAAATCCCAGGGCCCTTCCGTACGCCAATCTTGTCGACCAGCTCGTGATGCAGGGCGTGACCAAGTCGCGTGCCTTTTCGGTGGCTCTGGGCAATCAGGACCTCGATGATGGTGGTGTTCTAGTTCTTGGCGGTCTCGACACGGGCAAGTTTTCCGGAGCGCTGGCGACTCTGCCCGTGCTCGGCCCGCAACTCGGCGAGAACATCCCACGGTACTGGGTCCAGCTCGAGTCGCTTGGCTCCACAATCAATGGCAAGACTACAACGTATAGCAACTCCAAAATACCCGTCGTCATTGACACCGGCTCGACGTTGTGCAACCTTCCCAGCTCCATTGTTCAAGACATGGTGCGGGACACCAACGCGCAGGTGGACAGCCAGGGCGATGTTCTCGTCCAGTGCTCCATCGCGAACAACAACGCAGCCTTCAACTTTGCCTTTTCTGGCGTCACCATTAGTATCCCGTGGTCCGAGTTCATCCTCCCCATCCCAGGCTCAACTACCCAGTGTGTCTTGGGCGTTTCCCCGTCTAGCTCGGTGGTCCTGCTCGGCGACTCGTTCATTCGCAGTGCCTACATTGTGTTTGACCAGGACCACATGCAGGTCTCCATGGCCCCTTGGGCCGATTGCGGCGAACATCAGCAGGCGATCGGGTCCGGTCCTGTGGGCAACGTCCAAGGAGCATGCAACTCGTCCAGCAGCACGAACACCACAAACCACAACAGCGGCTCGAGCCTCGGTGGGCCAGGTTGGGTTATGCTGAGTCTACTGGGAATGATTTCCTTTGTCTTTGCGAGCCTCTGAAGTGCTCACTGTATGCATTTGACAGGTGTCCCCGTTGGATTCTCACAGCCACGAGAAAGTTCCTCTGCAAGCTACGCGGTGAGGCACCTGATCTTGGAGCATTGGTTTTTTTTGTTGATTTTTGCATATGGTTTGGCGTTGGGCGGGATCATTTCGCACACGAGCTAGGCGTTTGGCATGTTTTGGATTCCCCTCATTTTAGAGCAACGGAGTTTGGGGGCGTGAAACCCCGTTGATTAGACGGTATTTCTTGCGTACAAATGTGTATTTATACCACAGCCAAGACCCTAGATCAGGGCTGCGGGGACGAGCATATCTAGAAGTGCATATGCCGAAAGACTCGGTCAAAGACGCGTTCTCAGCTGTCCAATCTCGTCTTCCGTGTCGAGTCAAGCTGTCGTGACAACGCCCGCCTCTGCCACTGAGAACTACCAGTCAGAACGATACAAAGATATGTCAGCGGGGTTCTTTCCTAATGATATTTGGAGCGCATCCTCGTTCCCTTGTTGACAAAACTGATCCTGGCAAGACCGAACGCAGTCTCCCGCTCGCTACGGAGGCGATGATTCAGCCGTGGCTGACGTTTTGTCTATAATTTCACGTTCCCATTGTGACCATCGCAATGGGCTGCGACAACGTGTCGTCAGCCCTCGGCACGCAAATCTCCGGGGGAGGGGCACAAACAAGGGTATGTACTTTACGCCTGGTGGTCGCAGGCTGCGCTCTTCATGCACGCTCGTCACAAGCTTCATCTTTAATCAATCCACCCGTCCATCGCGAGGGAGGCCCCGAATGTTGCCAAAATCCGACGCGAACTCCTCGGCTATTACAAAAACGCTCGCGACCAGAGAGGCAGAAGCTATCATGTCGGCATGCACAACACAGCAAGGCAAGGAGAATGTATTGCAATTGAGTCTAGTGGCAAGATATGTTACTACAAAAGAAAAAGGGGGAACCGAAGGAAAAGTGAAAAAAAAAGAAAACCACCCCCGATCTTGTTGCCAAAGTCCGCCTCCTCTATAAACCTTCCGGAGTTTTCATCCTGAGAAACCTGGCAGCATCCCGTGAAACAAACGGAAAACAAACGCTAAGACAGATAAAAGATCGAACAGACAGAACCAAAAAAAGAAAAGCTATCAGGTAGCCGCCATCACACCTCGGCCAGCCGGACAAAGCACTTTGCCGGCTTGAGGGTCATGCTCTCGATGACGTCCCAGTCGTTGAGGCCGCGGCTGTCCTCTGGCAGGGGCAGCAGCTCGAGGCTCCAGAGCAGCAGGGTGATGACGATGCGCAGCTCGAGGTAGGCGAGGCGGCGGCCGAAGCAGCCCCTCACGCCCGTGCTGAAGGTCAGGATGGGGCCGGCCTGGGGGGAAAAGGTGTCTTGTTGTTGTTCCGGTTGTTGTTGAGTGAGCCACCGCTCTGGCACAAAGGCGTGCGGCTCGGCGCCGTCCCAGGAGCCCCTGGTGTCGGCGGCGTGGCGCTGGGACGAGTCGCTGCGGTGGCTCTCGGGGACGGGGATGCTGGGCTTGAGCATGCTGGGGCCGACGAGGTCGAAGAAGATCATGGTGCCCTTGGGGATGGGGTTGCCCAGGACGACCGTGTCGACCGTCGCCTCGCGCAGCAGCGTCGGGATGGGCCCGTTGAGCCGCAGCGTCTCCTCGATGACGGCCTCGAGGTACGGGATCTGGTGGTTGCCCATCTTGGCCGTCATCTCCGCAATGTCGGGCAGCCGGCCCTGCGCGTGGGCCTCCGGGTAGGCCGCGTGGAGGGCGTCGCGGAGCCTCGTCTGCACCTCTGGGTGCTTGCTCAGGAACTTGAGCCCCCACTGCAGCGTCGTCGACGTCGTGTCGTGCCCGGCGCCAATGTACCCGTACAGCTCGTCGTACATGGACGGCGAGTTGAAGACGGGCGCGCGCCCGGCCTTTGCCGCCGCCGCCATCTCCCGGCGCAGCATGTGGTCCAGCGCCGAGCGGACGCCGTCGTGCTCGCCCCTCGCGGTGCTGGCCTTGCCCTCGGCCTCGATGCGCTTCAGCGCGTGGGCGACCTGCTCCCCGAGCATCCGCTCCTTGTTGGCGTGTGCCTCGCGCATCTCGGCCGTCCGGCCGTGCAGGAAGTTGAAGATCTTGGGGAACGGCTGGGTCACGGCCTTGCCCACAGCCTCCTGCATGACCATGTGCGCGCACAGGTCGACGTTGGGCTCGTTGACGGGGAACTCGAAAGGCTCGTCCTGGCCCTCTGCAGACTGCTTCTCGCCGCCGAGGTTGCTGTCCTTGATGAGCTGGGCATAGGCATCCGTCATGCTCACATTGTCGCCATCGCCAAGTGCAACGACCTTGATAATGTCAAATGCCATGATATGGATGTCGTCGTCAGCCCGGAACGGCCGCCCGTTGGCAATCTTTGCTTTGAGCTTCCACAAGTCGACAAACTTGACGGTGTTGCGGTAGATTTCCGGAGCAGACACCTATGGCCAATGTTAGCGTGAGGAACATCATTTCAAAAGATGCTCCACGGCCAGAACAGGACAACGAGATGAGCTGCTGCTTACCGTGTTCAGGAACTGATGCGTCATCAGATCCTTGACAAGCTCCCGGTTCTTTTTGAACTGCGGATCGCTGGTCTTCATCGCGATGTGGTGCCATGGCAACACGCCCTTGAACGCCTCAATGTTGCGGCCGCCCCGATCAAACTCCTTGCCGCGCCTCAGCAGGATGTCCTGAGCCTCCCGGTAGTCGGACAGGACGACCGCAGGCTTGCCGAGCGGCTGGAGAAACACCTGCGCGATCGGGCTGTTATGCTTGACCGTCTGCTGCCCGACCCACGCCCGCGCACGACCACCAGCCTGCTTGATCGCGCGCAGCTCGGCCGCATCTCCCAGCAAGAGCTTTGTGGCGGCCTCGTTGAAAGGAATGCCTGGCAACGGCTTGGGAAGTGCCCACTGGCGCAGCAGGTAGAGCAACGTCAAGACGCCCACCGTCACCGCGCTCGTCACCGCGGGGAACCTCAGGACAGCATGTCTCAGCTCAAGAGATGAGGATGACATGACTCCCAAAGGTTTCAGACACGACCCGATCAAAGAGGATCCGTTGGGTCCTGCACGAGCTAAATTCGAAAGGCAGCCCAAACGCTGTTCTTCCGCGGTCGACTTGTGGAGGTCTGGTCAGACCTGGGGGCACTCTACCAGTACTTGAGTGGTAAGTCTTATTCATAATGTGCTGGGCTTACAAGACTACATTAACATGCCCGATCTGTCAATCATGGCCTTCCTTGCCATTCCCTGCCGAAACTGCCAGGATCGGTGGACGCTAGATAACGTGGTACCCCTGCCAAGACTAGACGACCGAGCGCTCTCGAGCTAGCATCTGACGGTTTGGCTGGGCTCTGGGGATCGTCAGGGCACCATTCGTAATTACACACTAGCCAATATTCCTATGCGTCTATTGCTCCGATTCCACTCCTTTTGGGCCGTGCAAACCATTCTTGCGAATAAGAACGCAGTCATCGTGACCAAAATATAATTCGGCGACTGTTGTGCGGTGGAGTCCAGAATTGTCAAAGCTCCACTGCAGAGATTACGCCCCATTGCGCATGCAGGGAATTGCGCATTCAACCAGGAACTCTGACCAATTTCTGATCCTGATAAGCTGGGCAAGACGTGCCAAGCCCTAGGCATGGATCACAGACGGTCACCGGAGGAAGCAGACTGCCGTGTCGCTTCCGATGAAACACGTGTGCATCTCGCATTCGGCGATTTCCATGACACAACGACGCGAGGGCCGGCCCACACACGTGGGACGGTAGCGACCCATCCCATTCCCGGAATCCAGTATCGATCTGATCCGATCTCCGAGAGATTCCCAGACTGCCAAAAGAGTGGGAAAATTCGGATCGACATGTGTATCCGGATGAAGCCGCTGAGGCGAGGCACTGGTCTATGGGGTCGTGCTTCAAAGAGCGACGAGGCTGCCAATTGCCGACAAGAAGGAGTGCTCGTTGTCTGGCAATCATGCAAACTGCACATGCCGCCCGTGCTGCCTTGAAGGCCTTGAGCTTTCGTCGCTAGCTGTCGTCAGACCAGGTGTTTCGAGCTTGTTTTGCGCTTGACGCCGTACTGTGCCATCTCATACTCTGATGGCTGCTGTGGCGGCTTGATGTAGTCGACGATCATCTGCTTGAGACTGGATTTCCGACTGAGGCGTGAGGACGCACGCGAAGACTTCCGGCTCAGCTCGCAACTGGCCTCGCTTGCAGGAAATCCATAGAGCTGACCCTCTCCAGCAAAAGTGCGTCGCCTCTCCTCTTCTTCTTTCTGCTTCTTTGCCGCTGAGCGTTGCCAGCTAAACAACCCTCCCGGCTTTGGTGGGGGTCCCGTGGCTACGGCCACGACTTTGTACGTTTGCTGGGACGCCAAGGATCGCCACACCTCACGCTGCCGCCGGTCTTCCTCAATCGCCTCCTGGATGAACTTCTGGTAGTCTGATGAATCATCCTCGGTGCCATCATGGATCTCGACATGGGGCTCGTAATTGACGGGGACGGCTGCCATGATGTGAGCATTAGAGCCCCTTACTTCGTGGCGTGACGGGTGCGGGGCGTGGGGGACAGAGGCGCGATGACTCTGACTCGAGTTCAATGACAAGCCGGTGGTTCTCTGAAAAGTCGCGGCGGCATGCTGCGGCGAATATCCAGAACCATCTTGCGACTGTGTTCGCCTGGGAACTGGATGCTGCACGCGCTCGTTTTTGTTGAAGCGGGACCGCAGTGTGACCTTTGGCTGGGCTGGTGTGGTGTCGACTGTGCTAAACGGCTCTCGGTTCGAGCTGGCCGCTGGCTGCTGCATCAGCGAAACCAAGCTAGGCTTGGACTTGTGTCCCAAGTTTTCGCTCCGCGATGTCGCCGTCCGCGCTTCCGGCACAGTCGCGCTATGTTGCTGTGTATCGTCAGGCACCAGATTGTTGATGCCTGGCGAGGTCACGCCATCAGGTGTTGTAGACGTGGCAGCGACTGGCGTGCTCATTTGTGTTGCATGGGTTGAGACGTTTTGCTTGCTGCGCGTCCGCCGGAGGATTTTGCCGATCAAGCCAGGACGTTCAGCCTCGGCTGGAGGCCGTGATTCCCGTTTCGACATGCTGATCTTCAGTAATGCGCCGGAAGGTCCAGGTGATCAGCAATGGGCGGGACAGAGGCTTTGTAGGGCTGAGCCTAACCGTGGGTAGGCAGATGCGGGTAGATCAGCCCTTGCGTCCGAGACAAGCCTCCGACGTGGGCAATCTGCTCCTCCTGTGGACGAGAGAATGCGTGTGAGACGAGAATCGAGCAGAAAAGACGGGGAATAAGCACTTTATCATCAGAAGCGGCGACCGCGGAAACAAACAAGAGCCCGGAATACCCAAGTATGTATGCCTGGAGGAGACAGAGACGTTTCACCCGCGGGGCCAGACACCGGATGGCGGGGGCTAGGGTCATAAGAGGCCCATCAGGCGCCCAGACGCGCAAAACCGGGCATGAATGGCTCGCCAGGATGCTGCTGTTGTTGCTTTGATTTGCTGGGGGTTGTCTCTGGTCTGGGCGCGGGCGGCGATCCCACTTGCACAAGCTTCAGCCGGGCCCAAACCAGGGTGGCCGGGGTCGCCCCTGGGGAAAACCATGCAGGCCGGCAAACACCATCGTCGTGGCCACTGGCCCGTGTTGGTGACGGCACAACAAGGCCGGCGCCATGACTCGCCCGGGCCGGCCACTCTGCAGCGGGCGGGGGGTTGACCCCGACGGTGGCGCCCTGGGCAGACATCATGCTGGTGATGGGTCTCGTTATTGTGGTTGACTTCAAGCTGGCATCAAGATGACGGCAGGGGAAGAGCAGCGATAGGGTCGAGTCCTGTGCAGGGCAGATATTGATTCGACCGCTGAGCTGGGAACGCCCAGGGCCGAGTGAAAAAGCACCTCGAGGCATGTAACCAACGTGGGTGCGCCTGGCGCCGCCTTGATGCAGCCTCGTACACAGTTGGGGCCCAGAATAATCCGGCCCAACCACCCCACCGACGCGAACGCGTCGCGCCACCTGCAAACCCTCCCTTCTTCAAAACCACCATTTCGAGCGCATTTTGAGGTTATCATGGATGATTTTGTTGCTGGAGTGTGCGCCGATAGGCTGCCGAAGCAGGATTTCACTCCTAAGAAGAAAGCAGCTATCTGCGCCGCCCATTTCGCAGGTGTAACGCACCGCCGCATTGCCGAGCTTACGCGGGCCTCCAAGTCAACAATCACCCGCATTATCTCGGACTGGAAAAACAACGGCAACCTAGCCAAATCGCCTCGGAATGGTCGCAATGGATTCACAAATGCCCAGAGAAGGCGCGTACTAACTATCGTCAAACGCAAGCGAAAAGCGACGTGGCCAGAGATCATACAAGCCATGCCCTTCCAGATCTCCAAGACATCTATAAAGCGCATCATTCACGAAGCTAAGCTACGTAAGTGGAAAGCTCAGAAGAGGATTCCGCTATCTAAAGAAGCACGAAGAGCTAGGCTTGCATTTGCAAGAGAGTGGCTACCAAAAGTCGACGAATTGCAGGAGGTACGTGTAAGTGAAGTTGGTGGGATTATCCTGACTTGATCTAGGTGATTTTCACGGATGAGTCGTCCTGCCAGAACTCCACGAACGCACCCGCGCAATGGGTATTCCGCTTCCCAAGCGAGAAATGGGACGACCAGTTCGTTAACCTTAAATCGCACGTTAAGGCGAACCTATCCATTATGGTTTGGGGTGCCATATACCTGAAGAACGGCGTGGGGTGCCGGTCAGAGTTGGTGATAATGCAGCGCGAACCGCAGCCAGATCCTAACAAGCGAAAGAAGGGCTATACGGCCTGGAGTTATCAGAAGGCATTACGCGATGGCTTCATCCCAATATACGACGATTGGCAGGTATTTCAGCAGGATAATGCAGCAATTCATTGCGCAGAGAGTACTATGGATTGGCTCGCCGTCAGGGGCATTGCGGTACTACCAGACTGGCCAGCACACTCGCCAGATCTCAACCCAATTGAGCACATTTGGGCCTCAATGAAGCGCCAGCTAGTAAAACTGTTTCCAAACATTATGGCCCTCAAAAGAAACGACGGTGATACCTCCCAATTTGAGGAGTGTTTGAAGTCGGCGTGGGCAGCAGTGCCGGAACGGCTGATCACAAAGGTCCTCACTACAATGGACCGTCGCCTTCGCGCAGTGGCCCGTGCGCGCGGAGGATACACCAAATATTGAAGCCGCCATCGCCAGCTTCAAAATGCAATAATTACTACTCGATTCTGACCTCGTTTGACGGTTCTGTGGCCTTTTGTCGTGTGCAAGTACTGTGCAGCCAATTTTGGTGGGGGGGCTTGGGCCGGATTAATTTGGACCTGATCAGTAGGCCTTGGCGCACTGGCGTGCATGCGCCGTTGTAAGAGAATCGAGGGGGAGTCGACGGGGAAAGAGCCCGCCCGCTGCAGAAGAGCGCTTGCCTCGTCCGGCAGCAGCACCCGCGAGCGTCGCATCCGCACGCTGCAGCCCACCATCCTCAAACACGCCCGCGCAGAAACGGCTGCCGACCAGGTCATAAGAACTTGCACAACACCGACTGAGCTCTCAAGCAGCAGCGGGGTGCAGTCGCGGAAGACAGATAGCCTACATGGAATAGTTCTTGGCCCATATTTCCGGGGCGCCGGGGACCTGAAAGGTTTCTTTCAAGGTCAAGGTTGCCTTCCTATTTCACAGCACAGGTGACGAGGTGTCGTTCGAAACAACATCTATGGACTCCAGCCTGTGTCTCCTCCAGGAACGCAGCGAAAAGACAAGGACATTTGTTGCGATTGGTGCATGTGAATTGGCGGCCGACCTGCCCTGCTGGGTAAGGGGACCGAGGTATGTATAGGAACCAGCATCACCTGCCACCCCTCTCACAAACATGGAGCTCGTTCATCCAGAGATGCAAGGTGAGCTCCAGACGCATGATACGCCGAGCCTACCTGTGTAGTCTTTTTAGAATTGGGTTGTCAACAGCTTAGCGAGCAAGCAATCATTGCTGACGGCTGTGTTGAATGAATGATGCTCGCCAAATAGGAACATGCGGGCGCGTGACGCTTTGCGTGCGATACAAAGCCCACCTCGATTTCAGGGATTGCTTGCGAAAAGTGACGTCGACACCTGAACGAGGCTCACAAACTCAAGACAAGGCTTGAGCGAGACCGTTTGCGCTAAACGATAAATAATCCCTGGCCGAGCAAAAAATAGTCCGAGCCGTGAGCCCCCGGCCCAACAATGCGGGCTAAAACCTTTCCTCTCCTCCCCTTTGTCTCTGTAGCCATAGACGTGACGCCGCGTGATGCTAGAAGAGCAATGGAGAGATTCGAATGGGGGGTTTGTCGCTCCCGTGGCACATCGTGGCATCATGTGGATATTGTTATGTCCAGTCACTGCACCTGCGGTACCTACGTGACGGGCTAGTGCAGTCGAACGCGACCTGCATGGCGTCGCCAGCATCCTGTTTCCGAAGGCCACGCGATGCTGCAATGTCCCAGCCAAGGCGACCTTGCGTGGAAGTGCTACTGCACGTTTTAGGTTCACTAGCAAGTTGGTGGTCCTGACTCCTACACCTCGTTGGACCAGTCCACGGGGTACCGCCGTGCAGTTGGTCAATGAGCAGCCTTGGAGGAAAAAGCGAGCATAGCCATTGGTCAAATTTGGCAGAGTTGTCTTCTCCACATATCTGGCAGTTCATTCATTCATCATGAGCTCATCTGGGGAAAGCTTGTGCGGCATTCCAGGCCAGAGACGAAAGGGGTGCGCAACGAGCAGAGCCGGTTGCACAGCACAGCGCATGCAGATCCGCCCAGGAGACAGGACGAGACGTAAGGGCGGGCAACGTGGGAGGGTCGCACGCAGCAAAAGCACAGAAAGGGCCAGCGTTGCCGGAAGAGGCTGGGACAGGAGGTTGCATGCATTCCGCGGGCATGACCTCACAAACATGCCAGCACCCTGCCCGGCATATCTGAACGCAGTGCGCAGAGATGTGGGCAGGCAGGTCCACCACGACAGCTCTGCCTTGGGCACGGTACCCGCTTTATCGCGATGGAGAATTCCTTCTGCCAGAGCCGGGATGCGGTTGTCCAAAAGACACGATCAATTTTTGGTGGCGAGGGCTGGGGTTTTGCGCCAACGTGGGCGGGGTCGATGGTTGCAAGTGTCTCCATCTGCCAGGCCGACCGTCCGTCAGGGACAAGACAGGCGCGCAGCGACAGCCCTGGCCTGGCCTGGCCGGGGCACGAAAGGTCCGGAGACGCGGTCAGCACGGAAGACGGTTGGGGGCGGCTGCTTCCGTGGACGAGGTCACTGCATGATCATGGCCATCCATGGCCGAGCCGTGCAAAGACATCCATGGATGGAGGTGGTGTTGGCGAGCGTGGCCGAGTCTGGTGTCGACGGGTGTGGCTGGGGAGCGGCGGGCCTGCAGGACAAGGCCCGCTGCTGCCGCCTCGCCGGGCCGGCAAGTGGCTCGTGCCTCACAGCCCCAGCCGTCCAAACTCTGCATTTTCGCCCTGGAACAATTTCATGTGCGGAACCGCTTCGCTGGTGCTGCGGCTTTGGTGCTGCCACGCCACTGCCTGACTGGTGTGCTTCTGCACGCACTGCACTGCACTGCTGCCAGGTCCCCTCGTCACGACACCACCCACGCCTCCACCGACACTGGACAGACATCGCTGGCTCGGCCACTCACGCTCCTCCAACGCCTTCCCCAAACCCAAATTCTTCACCACCGCCCGATCCCGACCTCAACCTCAACCTCAGACTCTGCGATCCTGTCCCTTGCTCCTCCCAGCAACACCATCACCCGCAGCTCGCGACCCGCCCGCATAGCCATCCTCGCATACGCCTTTTCGCGTCACCAAAAGCCGGCCCTGCTCTTCGTCGACGCAAAAGTTTCGTTCCCACCACCCACTTTCCCACACACCCAACACCACCCAGTCTCTTGACCGCGTGCCACCCCGACTCCCGAGGCCACCCGTCAAGTCCAGTCCTGCTCTGCGCCGACGTCACTCATCGCGATTGAAATCGAGCACCCGACTTCCCACACCCCGCGAAAGGTCACCATGCCTTCGAACCTACCGTCGAGCTTTGCCTCCGCGGCCGCAGGCCAAAATGCTGGTCGTGAGAACAAGCATGGCGCCAGAGGTGATGGACGTGGAAGCAACAGTGGAGAGTGGTAAGCCGGCCCTGTCCTTGCCTCGGCCGTCGAAGACAGCTGGGAGTAGGCCTTGCTGCAATACGCATCTGCCCAACTGCAGTCTCATGGCCATGAGTGCTTCAGATTTCTCGAGACTTCCTTTTTTCGTGTGTTTGACATTTGCGTGCGGCGTGTGAAGTCCTGGAAGCGCGCATACTGCACGGCTGGGGCATTTTTCTCTGGTCTTCCGAACCACCATCTGACTTTTTGTACTTGCAGGTCCCGCCCGGGGCGGTCCACCAACGGCACTCTCACATTCCGCCGAACTTCTACGACCCCGTCCACCCAGAACCAACAGCTGCAGTCGTCTGATATCATGACTGCATCTGGAGACTCTGCAGTCATTTCCGCCATGGCTGCAGGCTCGTCAGGCACTGGTAGCATGAGGTATTCAAGAGAAGACCTTCTCGACATCACTGCCAATATTCCTCAAGTATCGTCCTTATTTGCCCCGGGCTGGCAACCCGGCCAGCTCAACGGTTCTGCGGGGCGAGGCTGGGGCAAGACTGCGGAAAGCCATCCCGCGCCACAGGAGCCTGATGTTTGTTGGGACAACAGTGGTTCTGTGAGACCCGTGGCCGCGGCTGGTATGACGTCTGAAGAGAAAGAGGTATGAATTCCCCACTCCAAGACGAGCGATCATTTCCTCGACAGGACCTGGTTTCGCTGACTTGTCTGTCACAGCTTTTCTCATCCGACGTTAACTCTGTATTGAAGCCGCCAGTGCAGAACAAGGATGGTAATCATCCTGGAGGGGGGCAAAACGGGCGTAAAACTTCCGTTTCGCAAGGCGGTACCAACAATTTTGGGATTGCTTCGCCTTCATCGTCACGCCCTGGGACTCGCCGGCGCGAGACGACCGATACCAACCCTTACTCTGGTGGCGGTGGATTGGTCTCGCCCACGTCTGCGACACGACCGAGCCGGGATGATTGGAGTTTTGCACGTCGAACCACAGACCTTAGGGAGTCGACCTTTGACGAAGCGGCGGCCGAGGGACCCCAGGATACCGGCAACAAGCCCAACCCCTTTGGCAGTCTCTTGCGACAGAACACGACACCCGCGCTCGGTAATGCGGCATCTCAGTCCCCATGGGGTCCGACACAGCCGAGCCAAGCGAGCAACGTGCCGTCTTTGTCTGGTATTGGAAGCTTTGGCAACTTCGCGATCCCTAGCTCCGCGATCGGCGACAAGCGCCCCTCGAACACGCGTGGGGAAAGCCGATTGGCACACTTGATTCCAAAGGATAACAACACGGACAATGCTGGGACCAAGCAAAATGAGTCTGGTGGGGTTGGAGCTCCTGATCTAGGGCGATCATGGCGTGCTCGGCCCAGGACGGACACCGATCCGTTTGGTACGGACGAAAACTTGTCCGGCAGTGCTGTGCTCGGCGGCGCGCAGGACACCAGCCCCCCGCCTGTGGGCACAATGAGAAGCCAAGTCTATGACACTCCCGTCAAGGGTTCAGCGGGTGACTTTGGCATGTCTGGCCTCAACTTGGGGTCTCACGGCGATCAGGATAATGCGCCCCTCAGTCCCTCGGAAACGAATCCGTTCCGGAGTCCTCACGGTGACCGTGGCGAGCACGACGACACGAACGACAAGCCACAAAGTTTTGCTGCGCTCCCGGAGCATCTGCAAGGATTCGGCCACCGGCCCTTTGGCCAAGGTGGCTTCGATGGCAGCGACCGCAGCCAGACCTCTAGCGTTGGAGCGAAGGCGTATCCTCCGCTCGGCAATCTCACTGCTTGGCCGTCCTCCGGAACGCCTGATCGCGAACGCGGCGGGGCTTTCCCAGGATTTGGTGGATCGCTGTTTGGCACCGTTGGAGATATCCAGTCACCGAGCCTGGGCAACCTGGGCAGTGTCTTCGGGCCCGCCAGCTCTACTGGACTTGCTGGCTCTGGTTCTATCAGCAGAGGCAGCAAGCTTGGATCTCTGTTCCCACCTGCTATGCAGGCACAGATGCAGTCGCAGGATCACGACAGCCTCAGTGACTCTATCCCCGACCTTCGCCATGCCAACCCCCTTGGAGCAATTGGCCGCAATCCCATCGGCGATCATCGTGAGACCGAAAGCCCACTCCGTACAAACCGGGGCATTTTTGCCGACATGTTCAGTCCTCCAGAGGGCACGAGAACGCCTTCGTCCGATCCCCTTCTCGGTGGCCTCCCGTCCACCTCACAGACGTTCACTCCAACGTCCGGGGCCCCACCATTCGCCGCACCTCCTTCAAGCGATCCGCCTTCAGCCCAAGCCAGGACCATGGTCATGCCGGATCGCATGCGCTGGGTCTATCTCGATCCTCAAGGGCAACAGCAAGGTCCCTTTACTGGCCTCGAGATGAATGACTGGTACAAGGCGCAATTCTTCACGCCCAACTTGCGGGTCAAAAAGCTGGAAGATCCGGAATTTGAGCCTCTTGGACAACTCATTCGCCGTATTGGTAACTCGCGCGAGCCTTTCCTCGTCCCGCAGATTGGCATACCCCATGGTCCTCCTACCCAGAGTGGGCCCTTCTCGCCAGGTGCAGGAGGTGTCATCCAGCCTCCTTTGGTGGGCGCCTTCCCAAGCTTCGGCCGCACTCTGACTGCTGAAGAGCAGAACAATCTTGAGCGTCGCAAACAAGAAGAGCAATACCTTATGGCACGGCAGCGCGAGTTCCTGTCTAATCAGCAGTCTATGTCGCGGGTCCAGATGCAGAGTGTCCCTGGCCTACAGCATCACTCTAGTGCCCACAGCCTGCAAAGCCAACCCAGCTTTGGAAGCATCACATCGCCTGGCGGATTACATCCCCAAGCCCCAATTGGAGCTATAGGTTCTAGTTCTTTTTTTGGGGAGCAGGGGGCGCCCCAAGCCGCCGCGTCATCTAGCTCTGGCCCAAACTTCGGAATGTTCAGAGAGGAGGACTTGGCTCGGTTGTCTGATCAGGATCGCCAGATGCTTACAAGTCTCCAGGGACCCGGCAATGCGAGTGGTCAACAGCCGATCGGCGCGCCCCCTGCTGATGTCGGTGTTCGTGGGCAACTCCCTGGTACCGATGACCTTGTAGAGGATGAGGAAGGTTTCCGTGGTCGTCTGCAGGAGTTTGAGCAACTCAGAGCTGAGCGTGATGCTCAGCAGGCTTCCCACGAACAGTTTGGCAACGCAACGGATTCGCTCAACTCGCACGACGTCGAGGAGAGCGGCGCAAACAACGAGGCGCACTCTGCTCCGGAGACTGACGAAGCCACTCAGCAACATGATGACCAGCGTAATGAAGCGACTGAGGCTGCCCAGAGACAGTATCAGCAGGCCCAGGCCGCCACAGTTGCTGCCAAACTCAGCGGTCTTCCAATGCCGTTCCCGCCACCGCAATCTGGCTCTCCCTTGCCTGCTCCGGCGCCCCAAAGAGTTAAGTCAAATCTGCCCGAGCAGTACGCCACTGGCTCGCGCTCTGCGACACCCGATGTTGCTCCCTCTTCTGCTACGACACAGGCTCCCTCTCTGGCTCCCTGGGCCAAGGACAACGGCACAGAGTCGCACAAGGGCCCCAGCCTGAAGGACATCCAGGCAGCCGAAGCTGCCAAGGCGGCCAAGGCTGAGGAGCAAGCGATACTCGCAAGGCAGGCAGTGCTCAAGCAAGAAGCTGCACGTGAGCGTGAGAAGGCTGCTGCAGTGGCCCCTGGCTTGCCAACAACTAGCACTTGGGGCACCGCCTCTCCCCTGAGCGCTGGGCCCACCGGTAGTCCGTGGGCGAAGCCCACTACTGTCAAGGGTCCCGCTGCCGGAGCCTCGGTCGCTTCTCCTGCCGCGGATAAGAAGAAGACTCTTGCGGAGATCCAGCGTGAAGAGGAAGCTCGCAAGCTTCGGGCAGAGAAGGCCGCAGCCGCGACCCAAGTTGCCACTGCGGCAGCGGCTGGCAAGCGCTATGCGGATCTAGCCAGCAAGCCCAACGCGATTCCTCTTGCTGCAAATGCGGTGGCAGCGGCTGCTGCCAATGTTGTCCCGGCTGGATGGGCCACGGTTGGCGCGAATGGAAAAGCCAAGGTGCCTGTCGCGCCTGCTGCCCAGCCACGGGCAGTGAGCACTGGTATTGCCAAGCCAGCCGTGGCCGCGCCTCCTAAGCCGACCTTGAAGTCAAACACTTCATCCCTAGGTAGCGCTCGCTCTGAAGCCGCTGAAGAATTCAACAAGTGGCTCGTTGGGCAGTGCAAGCGTGGGATCACTGGTGTTGATGGTAAGTTGGGCCCAAAGTCGTATACGTCAACTTCACACAGCTAACCACCATGAAAACAGCTCAAGTCTTTGCCGGCATCCTGGCAGAGCTCCCACTCGACGCAGCTCTGATTGCCGACGCCGTGTACGCCAACTCGCAGACGATCGATGGTCGCTGGTTTGCGCAGGAATTCATCCGCCGCAAGAAGTTGGCGGACAAGGGTGTTGTCGAGAAGCAGCCGACAAACAGCCCAGATGCCCAGTCTGGTACCGGCTGGAGCGAGGTGGCGAAGAAGAGCAGCCACAAGGAGGTCACCGATGACAACTCGGCTGCCGTCACGTCTGCTCCGGGATTCAAAGTGGTCCCCGCTCGTAAGAAGGGCAAGAAATAGGCTAGGATCAACTCGGTCGCACGCTTTGTGACTGACAAATAGCTCATGCCTCGTTTTCGCGACGCGTGGGCATATCTTGTATTGTGTAGCTTCAAGTTGCCATGGCTCGCCCAATGTCTGGGAACCGTCTGGACAAGTGTGGTGAATTAGCCAGGGCTGTTCTGTCAGATTTGTACGTGTACAGTAAGCTCGGCGTGCGTCCTTCTTAGCAAGGGCGTGTCTTGTACGAATCGATGTGAGAGGCCCGCTGTGGGCATTGTACAATATCTTGGAGAAGCTGTATTCCATGTGGTACGGGGTGTGAACATGTGTAACGCCTAATGTCGAGAACAACCCGCAAGATTGGCGCACTCTGCAGTCCCGGCTTCTGGAGCTGCATGTGCGCACGTGCCTCGAGACCCTGAAGACGTCAGGTGGGTACTGTACGTACCTTCTGGAATGCTGCCCCTCTAACTCGCCCCACCAAGGATTTTTTGGGCGTGCCAGAAATTCTTCTAAGCAGAGGGGCACATATGCCATTGGGGATGTCGAAGGAACTGGTCCGAGCAATTCGTATCAAGACGTGAAACTAATCATAAGTCACCCGCTGTTTTCTTTTCGTTTGTACCAGGCGGCAAACTGCGAAACTCTGGCGCCTTGCGGGAAAGCCCTGGACACCAACTACCCCTCAGCCAATATCTTTATTCACTTTACTCTGTTGTCGCACAGATCACGCCGTCCTCCAGCAGAAGATATCAGGTACGAGCCCGGTCAGCATGGCTGCCGCACCGGCTCCCGGCGGCAAGCAGTCGCCTTTGGACATCCAGAATATCGAGAGGTCCCTCGAAGGTGTATCCTACACGGCACCACTACTCACAGATGCCGGCAAGTCGCTATCACGACAGTTTGTACGGCACGTGTTGGCGTCGGCTGCTGGTTCCTCCTCACCCGGACAGCCGCTTCACGAGGCACAGAAAATTGGCCGGGAAGAGGCGATCAGAGTCGGTCTGGCCGCCCTTGGTGCATTCCTACAGGCGAACGTGACTGGTCCCGTGCTGGAGAAGAGCTCCACGATCGAAGCCACTTTCGCGAACCTCTTCCGGGAAGCCAGGGCGGAGGATTCCGGTGCCCCTAGTGACGGCAGCGACTCATTCATTGCCGTCTGCCTCCATTGGCTTGACACCGATGGCGTCTCGGTGTATCAGTACATTCCGCACATTGAGCTCTTCGGTCTCGCAAGGTACATCTTTACGTCTGGGGAGGTGCTCCCGCTGGAGAGTGTGGATGTCTGGGCGGCAGGCGAGGATGACGATCTCGCGTCTCACTTGGCTTGGACGCGTTTCCGCGTCCACTTGTGGCACTATAAGCTGCTCACGCAGCCATCCCTGAGCGCTGGGTCGGTCTTCACAAAGAGCGGGCGGTGGACCGATGTCGGCACGCTGCAAGAAAAGATTGAGAGCAGCATGCAGGAGGCGGAGAACTCGCTGGTCAGGACGACTGCATCAACAGAGGAGGCGGATGACGGTGCGGAGAGGGAGTATTTGTGGTCCCAAGAGTCAAGGGTGCAGTTTTACCTGGAGAAGGCCAACTGCCACATCATGCTCGGCAATGATGTCAAGGCTCGTGAGGCTCTCAAGACTGCGACCGAAATCAGCAAGTTTGCCTATGTGCTTTCCGGTGCACTCGGCAAGAGGACAAGATTCCAGGAGAACAATATCAGCCAGCTTGTTGTACTGGCGAAGAGTCGCGAGGCAGCTGGCTCTGACTCGGCGGTAGGCCAGCCTGCACCCGAGGCCTTGGCGTTGAATGACGACACGTTGCTCGAACAGATCAAGTTCAGCGGCGATCAGCCAATGCATGCAGATAGCAATGCCTCGGAGTCCATAATCCCATCCCAGCTTCGAGGCATCACACCGGAGAACCAGCCAAAGCTACTACCTGAAGACCAGATCATACTACTGGCTGAGGCTACAATACGGGACACCTTCTCTCCTGGAGATTCTCTTACAGCAGAGGAGGTGCTTCCCTTTGCAGTCCGTGTCATCGAAGACAAGTCGACAAACTGGCAGATCTACACGCAAGCTCTGCTTGTCCGTTCTCGTATAGAGCTGGCACGCAGCAGGACCGTCGAGCGTGGAGTGCTGCAGATGCAGGCAGTCGTCGATCAAGTTGTGGTCGACACCGAAGCTCCAGCGGCAACTCCAGATTCGAAATCACCGGAGGATGCGCAAGCTTCAGGAGAGGATGTTCCCGCAGTCATAGTCACATCCTCTGACGTTCAGGGGGGGGCCAATTCGGTTAACAAACCAACATCCTTCCTTCCTGCTGCTAAACCTACAGAGTCCGCCTCGTCACAGGAGCGGCTGCGTTTCGTCAACGCCCTGTCTTCCCCACCACGGTGGCATCTTGAGTGCGAGCTGGCGTATGCTTGGACGTCGGTGGGATCTCTGGTGTCAGCCATGGAGATATTCAAGAGGCTGCGGCTTTGGCCCGAGATCGCCCTCTGTCTCGCAACGCAGGGCAATCTGGACGACGAGGATGGCCGTGGCAGCGGTGGCGAGGAGAAGGCTCGTGCACTGCTCCGGTGGCGGTTGTTCCGTCGTACGGGCAGTTCTGATGCGGGCAATTACAACGAGCAGGACGATCGCCTGGAAGATGTCAAGTTTGACATCTCGACCTTGAGAGCGGCGGACTGGTATGGACCTGCACGGTCGCCGCCGCCGCCGAATGCGCCACGGCTTCTGTGCATTCTGGGCGACATTGAGAATGACCCATCGCATTTCGAGCAAGCCTGGGAGATTTCCAAGAAGCGGTATGCGAGGGCGCAGAAGTCGCTTGGTGAGCTCTGCCTGCAGCGACAGGACTACAAAGGCGCCCTCGAGGCTTATCGACTCGCTGTTCACGTCAACCGGGTAAGCAACGAACTCTGGAGCCGGGTTGGCGACCTTGAGCTGCGTCTTGGCAATTTCCCCGATGCGGCTGAGGCCTTCACACGTGCCATCTCAACAGCCACCAACGCGACGGGCGGCGATGATGCTCGCACTTGGAGCAATCTGGGCAGCGCCCTTCTCAGCTGGTACCGTGAGGTGGTCGCCGAGAACCGTGGTGACAAGGCAGCTGCTGTGCTCGCAAACGGAGACAGTGATGACGAGAATGATGTCGATGGCGAGAACGGTCAGTCGAATCAGCAAAAGCTGGACGCAGTCCTCGCAGACAAGCCCAGTACGCGTCGTGCCGCCGAGCTCGGCAAGCCCGCGTACAAGCTGCTTCAGGAGTCGCTGTCGGCGTTCAAACGCGGCGCAACGCTGGCTCACTCGAACTGGCGAATCTGGGACAACGTCGTGACGTTGGCGGCGAGCATCGTACCGAAGCCAAACTTGGACGACGTGATCCTCGGCGTCAGGAATGTGCTGCAGATTCGCAAGACGGAGGAAGCGCTGGACATGAGCATCCTGACGCTCCTGCTGCGCGAAATCACAAGCAACACGCCTCCAGCCCCGACTGATGATGCCACACCATACACGCCGGCTCGCGGAACCATTGAGCACAAGGTGGTCAGTCTTTTCGAGGACAATATTGTACCCTTGCTGACCACCCGCGCCGAGATCTGGTCGCTTATCAGCCGCCTGCGGGCCTGGAAGCGGGATTATGCGGGAGCCATGGACGCGTCGGAGAAGTCGTGGCGGGCGGCGATTGGCGGCGTCGGGATGGGCGCGTCGTTGTCTGCGGCTACCACGGCGCCCGGAGATGCCAACAAGGGTAACTGGCTGACGGATGCGGAGCAGTGGGATGCCGTGGTCACAAGGACCGAGGAGTTGGTCGCTGCTTATGAGAACTACGGGTCTAGGACCGAGGAAATTGGTCCTAGATGGAAGGGCAAGGCCCGCAGCGCCGTGAGGAGTGTCATGGGCAAGGCGAGAGAAAATTGGGAGGGGAACGAGCGGTGGAAGGTACTAGAGGGTTTGATGGAGGAGTTGAAGCTATGATCGTCGGAGTTGTGGCATTTCGCATTGGATATCAATCAGCTCAGGCAGATTGTCTTGTTGATAGCATACTACGGCGCGATGGGAAAGTGGGATAGACAAAATTCGCATTTTACATGAACAAATACCCGTGGTGTCGAGTGCGCGAGCCTGAAGAGGGATTTCTACCAGTGCCTATGGATAAGTGACGTGGCCTTCTCGAATACTGGTATCGAGGTCTCTGAGCAGTCGAAGCTCCGCTGCCTATGGCGACTCATGCTGTCTTAGTCAAGATTGTTTCCGGATCGCGAAGCTTTCGGCACTCCTTCGGGCCAACCAGGTCCCGGCGATGGCTGCCCGTTAGTCCTGGCCGCGATTAAAGACAATACTTCGGCGGTTGAGCGCACGAGATCGCGCGAACCGTGACTTGCCGTCGTATCCATATAGGCTGCTCATACATTGAGCAATCTAAATATCAAGCCAAACCTTCCGGCTACTGGTTACATCTATGCCAGACAAAGCAAGCTCTGTGACGGCCGGACCACTGAAGCAGGTAGGGAGGATGATTTGGTCATCGTGTCGCTATGCACCTCACCAGTTTCACCGAGACGGCGGCGAAGGATATAAGTTTTGTTTCCGCAAGCTCCACTACGCCTCTCAATCACCAGAAGACACTGGCTCGCCTGAAGATGACAGTTCACCGTGCTTCGGCTCGAATTTGGCCTTGCCCTCTTCGATCCAGCATTCAAAGAACAGCGGCCCAGCTTCGACAGAGCGGACAGGGGTCGTCCTGGCTCCGCCGACGTCGGCACCGGGCCGTTGACGCGTCTTTGATGGTGTCTGCAGGCTTGGCAGTGTTGGAATCCACGGCTGCGGATGCTTTTTTGGGTTTGCAACTTGGTCAGCTTTGATAGGACACACCCGTATGGACATTTGAGTGCGCGCAAGCTTACACCAATCGGAGCTTCACTTTGCTCGTGGAGCTCTACGGCAATGGTAAAAGTACAGCCGTCTGGCAGGGGCCCCATCTTCTCCCCAGCATAGGCCAGTCTGCGCACGGCGGCCCGCAGCTGCTCGTCAATGTCGGTCCAGTTGAGCCTGCTGTCCTCTGGCTCGGCAGCGGCATCGCTGCTGCGAGACGTGCGGAGGTCTTTGACACCGGTCCAGGCCGGGAAGGTGGCGAGGTCAAACATCCAGCGCTCCATGACGCGGGAGTCTGAGTCGTAGATGACGACGGCGAGGCGCTCTACGGTGCCCAGGACCAGTTGGGCCTTGACGGCGTCCAGGGCATCGCGGACCCAGTCGCAGACCTTTGGGTGGCGGGACTGATGGACTGGTAGGTTGTAGGCCCTGGTTGTGAGGAAGGACTCTTGGGGGTAGATGGCGCGGTAGTAGAGGATGTTGTGGACGCACACGGTCAGGAAGTTGACAAAGGCGCCGAGCAAGTGGGAGGCTTGGGCAAGCGAGACTGCCTGGCCGTCGGCCAGTGGTGTTGTAGCCATGGCCGACAGGGTCCCTTTCGTCGGTGCTGGCCTAGCAGAGGCGGTCAACAGGAAACTGGTGGTGGTGGTGTTGGTGGTCATCCAGAACGCGCAGCCATGATGAGGCGGCGCGTCCGTCACGGAGCCCGTGGAATCGCCAGGACCTCGAAGGGAAGCTTGGTGAGACGCTGTGAATGGGTGCACGGCGGCAACCTGTGAAGTTCACGGCGGTGATTGTGCCTAGCGGGGGAGGCTCCCTGATGTACCGGGGCGGCCCCTGTCGTGCGCGGCAGCCCCTAATGCAGACCCCTTCAAGGCACTCACTTGTCCGGCAGACCGCCATGAGACGTGCGTGCCCCGCGCCGCAGGTGCCCCCAAAACTTTGGAAACTTTGGACCCTCGCGCGCTGCCACTACTCCCACATCACACCACCCAGCCCGCCGCCTTGGGACAACACGCCGGGCTTCCTCTGGGCGTTCTCCTTGCCTTTCCTTCCCGTGCTTCTCTCTTGGTGTTTGTCGCGTCCCGACCCGCCACCATGGAGGACCAGCTTGTCCAGATCCTCGCCAACACGCAGCTCCCCGCCGAGGGGCCTCGCAAGCAGGCCGAGCTCGACCTTCGCAGCAACCGATCGAACCCGGCCTTCCCCCTCTCTCTCACAAACATTGCCGGCCATGCCTCGGTCCCCGTCCAGATCCGCCAGGCCGCCCTCTCCCAGCTGCGCCTCTTTGTCGAGGACAACTGGAGCGGCCAGTCCGACGACGACCAGCCCACCATCCCCATCCCCGACCCCGTCAAGGCCCAGATCCGGCCCATGATCCTCGAGCTCGCCATCAATGCTACCGACCGGAGGGCAAAGACTTCGGCCAGCTTCGTCGTCGGCAAGATCGCCAATATCGACTTCCCTGAGCAGTGGCCCGACCTCCTGCCCACACTCCTGAACATCATTCCTTCTGGCACCGAGGACCAGCTCCATGGCGCGCTCCGTGTCCTCGGCGACCTCGTCGAAGAGAGCCTCAGCGACGACCAGTTCTTCTCCATGGCCCAGCAGATTGTCAAGGTTGTCTACGATGTCGCCCTCAACGAGGCCCGGAAGCCTTCGCTCCGCGCCCTCGCCGTGTCTGTCTTCCGCGGCTGCTTCAACCTCATGGATATCATCAAGGACGAGCACAACCAGGAAGTCACCAAGTTTGCCGAGGACGCCATGAAGGGCTGGTTCCCCTTCTTCCTGCCTGTCCTCAAGCTGCAGCTCCCCGAGTACGACGCGTCCACCAACAATCAGCCCGAGAGCTGGAACGGAATCGTGGCTCTCAAGCTCCAGGTGGTCCGGTGTCTCCTGAAGCTCAAGTCGGTCTTCCCATCGCTTCTCTCGCCCGAGACGCCAGCATTCTTCCAGGCCGTCTGGGAAGAACTTTCCCAGCTTGTGACTCCTTATGAGCTCATGTACATTGAGAGTGACGCGCAGGGCCGTCTCGAGGACTCTGACGGCCTCCCCTTCACGCTCGACTTCCTCGTGCTCGAGGAGCTCGACTTCCTCAACACCTGCATGAAGGCACCCCCCGTCCGCAAAGAACTCGAGGCGCAACTGAGCGCGCACTCCTCGGCACACGAGACACCCTGGATACAAGACATCATAAAGTTGACCTCTTCCTATGCGCGCATCACCAGAGAGGAGGAGGAGCTTTGGGATATTGATGTCTCCCTCTACCTTGCCGAGGAGACTTCCGTCAGCGCCAACTATACCCCGAGAACCGCCTGCGGCGACATTCTGATCAAGCTGGGCGAGTGGTTGAACCAGCAAGCTCTCGAGGGCTTGTTTGGATACACCAAGACACTCTTCAGCAACAATGAGTCGTGGAGGCTGCAGGAGGCAGCGCTCTATCTCCTCAACATCCTCGTCAGCGATCTCCTCGACTGCGACAAGTCTGTGAGCACGCAGATCACCCAGGCTTACTTGGAACTGGTGAACTATGCCATCACTCGCGCAGATCAGCCCATGCTGCGAGCCAGAGGCTACCTGGTCGGTGGTGTGTTGGCCGAGTGTGACCCGGTTGCTGCCGGTCTCATGGACCAGACTGTGGCTGCTATCACATCCGACGAATCAGAGCTCGTTCAAGTCGCCTGCATCAAGGCCACAGAGAGCTTTATCAAACCCGATGTCGAGGGGAATCACCGTGGACCGGAAGCCCAGACCAAAGTCGTGCAAGCCATCTCGCAGTGGATGGGGTCCAAGGACATGACGGAGCTGGAGGAGGCTGATGATTTGCTTGTGTCGCTCGCCGAGACTCTGCGCGCGGCCATCAATATCGACAAGCGCATTACAATCTCGTCAGATGTCCCTGCATTGGACCTTTTATTCCTGATTGCCAAGCACGGAGCCAACAACTTCCAGGTACGATGATTATCACCTTCGCAGTAATTGCATGTATGCATGGAAAACAACTAACGGTGGGCGAAAATAGGTCACTATGCTCATCTGCGAGGCATTTGAGGATATCGTGCAGACCATGGCCGACCCTCAGTCTTACCAAGCACTTTGCGCGAAGGTCTTGCCCTCTCTGAACGGCGCTTTTGATGTTGCTAGCGTCACATCAGATGATCCTCTTGTCATTGTGAGTACAGCGGCTCTTTCCAGAGACTGCCAATCATTTGCTGATGAAATTAGTTTGCCACTGAGTTGATGGCTGCCCTCACGCAGTATGGTTCGGAGCCTCTCCCTCCTGGGTTCGTTGCCGCTGTACTACCAAAGCTGTCGCGTCTCTTGATGGAGAACAACGAAGGGGAGATCCTGAGACCCGCGGCGGAGTCAGTCAAGTATCTTCTGGCACACGACCACGAGCAGATGTTCAGCTACCAGGACGAGAACGGAAGGGGTGGTCTGGAGGTCTGCCTGCACGTGGTCGACCGCCTGCTCGGTGCTAACATTGAGGATAATGCCGCCTCGGAGGTTGGCGGTCTTGCTGCTGAGCTCGTCGAGAAGGCTGGCCACGAGAGATTGGGACCGTTCTTGCCTCAGCTCTTGCAAGCTGTGGCCAACAGGCTCGCTTCTGCCTATGGTGCCACTTTCATCCAGTCACTTATTCTCGTGTTTGCAAGGCTGTCTTTGGTTGGTGCCAACGACGTTGTTGAGTTCTTGAGCACCATCAACATCAATGGCGAGATTGGTCTGCAAGTTGTCCTGAGCAAGTGGCTGGAAAATTCTGTCAACTTTGCTGGCTACGACGAGATCCGGCAAAAGTAAGTGTCATGGTTCCCAGTTTCTCATCAGGGTCTCGCGGCTAACGAGAATGTCCCCGTAGTGTCATTGCGCTGTCCAAGCTGTACACCTTGAATGACGCGAGAGTCAACCAGACAATGGTCAAAGGTGACCTGATTGTACCTGCGAGCGACAGGATCGTGACCCGGTCACAAGCCAAGGCCAACCCGGACCAGTACACCATTATTCCAGCGCCACTGAAGATCCTCAAGGTGCTGATCGAGGAACTGCTGTCCGCGTCGGGCCTGCAAACGGCGGCCAACGCCGCCGCCGCCGCTGCCGCCGAGTTTGCCGACGACGATGACGACGATGGATGGGAGGACGACCCGGATACGATCGACCTGAGCCTGGGCTCCACCAAGAGAGACCTGATGGGCTTCCTGGACTCAAGCAACATCCGGCACCGCGACGACGAGACGCAGGAGTACCTGACCGAGTTCTTCATCCGCGCGGCCCAGGACAACGTCGCGGGTTTCAAGGACTGGTACGAGAATCTGAGCGAGGACGAGAAGGCCAAGCTTGCCGACATGGCGGGGGCGCAGCAGCCTTGAACAAGGCAAGGGGGTTTGGTCTAGACAAGGCAGAGTGCATAGACTTAGTGAAAATACCATGAATACCATACACTTGGAGCGACAAACAGTATCGCGGATAAGATCAAATAGTATCGTACCATCGCGCGACGGGAGTTACCATGAATGAAATATGTATCATTTAACTAGATAATACAAGTAAGAATGAAGGGTCAATTTGGTTTGTAGAAAGAACGCCTCGCAACCCGCGACCGTCTAGGAAAAGTTCCATGTTCCTCTTGCTCGTTCCATTTAGAGAGTGGAGGGCACAAGCGGACACAAAAAAAAAGGCACGAAAAAGGTGTTTTACAAATTGAAGTATCCCGACAGCCCAGAGGTTTTCCATGCCTTAGATGAAGTCGCCGCCTCCAAAACCACCGCCGCCGCCGCCAAACCCACCAGGGCCTCCGCCGCGACGCCCGCCCATTCTGCCAGATGGCGGGCCGCCAAAGGGGCCCACGGGGTCGAATCGCGCCCCCGGGGGAGCTTGAGGATCGAAGTCGGGCCTGTCGGGACCCAGACCGCCGAACATCGGGTCGCCGAAAGTGGGGTGCATGCCGCGGTGACCGCCGCCGGGGAGGCCGCCCCACCCGCCGCCGCCACCGGGCCGCAAGGGGTCATGCAGACCCGGGCCGAGTGGAGGTGGATTCAGATCATCGGCACCGACACCACCAAACGGAGTCCGGCCGCCGGTATGGAGAGGACCACCGCCTCGCGGCCGGTTGATGTCGTAAGGGTCCTCAAAGTCGGGCGGTGGGAAGTCGCCGGCCGGGACGGGGGCTCTTGGTGGCGGGTCCAGGGGGTCTCTGAAGGGATAAGGATTCGCAGGCTTGGGGGTCAGGTCAGGTATTTCTGGCTGCGGATTCCTCGGCCCACGCCGACTTGTATCTTCGGCGTCTTCGCGAGCGGCGCGGTCATCCGGCGATTCCTCCTGGTCCTCTGCTGGCTGCGCGTCACCAGGCTGAGAGCTAGGCAGCAGCTCCTGGACAATCTGGACATGGACAAGGTTGGCCAAGGCGATGATCTGGTCATTTGAGACGAGGATGTTGCGGAGTTTCTGCGGCAGGTCGGCCCTTTCTTCGAGACCCTCGTCGTTGAGAGTGATGCGCAGGGGTAGGGCGGCGTTGCTGATGTAGTCTTTGATGAGGACCTCTGCGCGGGCGATGGTGTCGCTGCCATGGGCGATGCCGCGGATTTCCGCCTTGCCGCCGAGGCGATCGACCTTTATGACGAAGCGGCTCGAGGAGGAGTCGTGGTGGGTGTAGACAAAAGCGTAGGTGTTGAAGCTGGCGTTCCAGTTTGCAGGCAGACGCGGGGCGATGCTGTGGCACTGTGCTTCTGCAGGAGGTAAGACCAGGGTCAGCGAACATGTGGGGGGCTTTGCAACAAGCAGGAGGAGGAGGAGGGAGAGTCTTACCGTCTGGCTTGTCCTCGTCGAAGCCGAGGAGGCGGAAGCCAAGCGAGGTCATGCAGGCGTGGACAAAGAGGGCGAGGGCTTCGTGGGAGCTGCTGAGGTCTGAGGTGGTGTCGCCATGCTGGTGGGTCGAGAGGGCCTCGGCCATGGCGCGCAGGACGGCCGAGGGGCTGAGGGGGCCGACGGCGACCATGATGGGCAGAGGTTCGTGTGCGCGAGTGGCGGCGTGTGTTTGTGGGTGCGTGGTCGTGCGATTGTCTGTTGGCGACGTGGTGGAAGTGGAAGTGGAAGTTGACGTTGATGTAGTTGGCAGGTCGTGGTGACGTGAGCGTGCCACGGGCAGCTGCTGCCTTGAACTACGAGACGGCGAGCTGGCAGGGCAGGTGTGGGGGGAAGGAGGGGAGGCCAAGCTATGGTGCTTAGCTCAAGCTTGTGTGGGTCTCAGGGTCTGCGGCAGTGGAAGCGCAATCAAGGACGACCGGGCCGGGGGCCTTTTTCTGACAGACAGACAGACAGACAGACAATCACCCTTGTGCAAAGACTGGGGGCCGCGCGGGTTTTTCCAGTCTGGGTCGGTCTGTGCCGACGTGGATGTCGTATGTACGTACCCAGAGGGTAAGGTGAGGTGCAGCACGCACGGCAGCAAGGGAGGAGGCAGTGGCAGGCAGGGGATCCACCACAGCCCTACAGTACCACTCCGTCCCGACTCCATCTCCCCCCATCCACTACCATAGTTCCTTGAGGTATGTAGTGTATGTGTCTCCCGTTCATCTGCCATCTCCACCTGCCCACCGCTGCTCACTCGCCCACGCGCAACCCTCGGGGCTGGCCATATTCATTCGACCCGTCCATACAAACGGCTTCTTCCGCCTCATCCCTTCTGCCCTGGTCCCAGAGAGCCTCTCCGTCGCCATCTGCAGCAGCCACGCTCGACCACTTGCATGCACCTCGTCGTTACACAAGGCCAGCCAACCAAGACACATCAATCGACATCGCCCTCCCCCAGCACCGCCTGCATCTCCTCCACCCCGTCCTCCTCCTCCTCTTCCTCCATCAACCCTCAGCCCGCCGTCACCATCCACGCTCTCTCCCTCTCTCTTTCTCTCTTCCTCTCTTCCTATCTCCCCCCCCACCCCTCTCTCTCTCTCCCACTCCCTTCCCGAAGATGCAGACTGCCATCGTCCTCCATGGCCCGACTGCTCGCCTCTTCCCTCCAGCCTGATGCCCAGCGCCCTTCCCTCTTCTTCCGCCTGCCGCCCGAGCTGCGCAACCGCATCTACCACCTCTGCGCCGGCAACTACATGGAAGTTGCCGCCGGTGGCACTCCCCTCGATCCAGACTCTTTCCTGCGCGACGGCCATGTCACCCCAGTCCCGCCCCTGCTCTTGACCTGCAGGTTGATCGCCAGCGAGGCCACGGCAGTTCTATACAGTCTCGCCCGCCTGCGGTACGTCGCCGTCCTCGGCTCCACGCGTGTCGAGGTCCACGCCGTTGGCCGCTTCTCCCCGCGTGCCATACACCACTTACACCTCGAGATCCGCCCCGTCTGTTGGCAGCAGGCCTGTGACAACCTGGCCCGCCTCGTGCCCCGCCTCACTAGCCTCGAGACGCTCGGCATATACCTGCCACGGCCCATGGGTTGGGAGCAGCATCCCCTCCATGACGGCGGCCTGGCGGGCAATCTGCCGCGTCAGACCCCCAGCAATCAGCACCACATCAACGGCTACCACAGGACGAGCAACAACAGGGCCTTGCTAGCGGACAGCGCCTGGCGCGCGCTCAAGCCGATCCTTGTCGCCGCTCAGAGGTCCGGGCTTGCAAGTCTCGAGCTCAGAGGTTCATATGATCGCCGCTTCGCAAAGCTCGCACAGGACCAGCTTGACCTGGACGTCATCCTGGGACCCCAGGACCACGACTACTACATCACCGAAGAAGACGGCGAGCTGGAACAAGAACAGCCGCCTGTCGACAATGTTGCCCAGAACGGGCCACTAGAACATCCCATGTCTCATGGACCGAGCAGTCCACAGCTTGCGGCACTCCCACTGACACCGGCCATCATGATTAGAAGGCCACCAATAGTGCATCTCGAGACCGAGACACACCAGGGTCATCCTTAGATTCTCTGCCACACAGACTTGAGCCATGGCGGACGATATATAGTTTGCATTACAAGAAATAATTTTATCTGCGCAATGCGCTCCCCCCGAGAGGAAGAAAAGGCAGGAGAAGGGAAAAGGAAATGAAAAGGTGGACCTCCGCCGAGGAGGACCCATTTGTAAAACAGCAAACCCCCAGAACTCCCCAATTCAATGATAAAGCAAAATGGTAAACGCCAGTGTGCATTCCGGGTAGCCGAGTTCCTTCTTCTGTCAGCCGGACGACCAATGCAAAACCCTCTCATAATGCTGTTCAAGTTTGAGATAATGCTGAATCCGAGCAGCACTTCGCTCCCGCCCGGAATATTTAAAGCGGTACAGTATGCAAAGCCGCCAGTGCCAGTGTATTGGAAGCTGTCATCGGCTTGTATCGCACGGACAACAAGTTCAGCAACCGCATCGCATCACGAAATTACTACCATCGGCGACTAGATACACAAAGTTAGCATGAATGGGAAACAAGGTGCTGAAACACGTTCACATACTTGAATGCAGAAGCGACCTGTTGCCGGCGCTTCTTGGTGCGAGGCGTGGTCTCCTCGACTGTCGCAGTCGGGGCTTGCCGTTTCAGAGCCCGGGAGGACTTTGTCGCACTCACGTCGTCGCCCTTTCTGTGCGCTTGCTTCTGTCGTTGCGGCGTGGGCGGCGGCGGCGGTGTCAGGCTAACCTTGGCCTTACCGCCCTTCTCGCTATCGCTGTCAGAGTCATCGTCGTCTGAGCCCTCGATCCCGAGCAGTGCCATTTCCGTCGGCGTGAGAGGTGACTCCGGGTGCGAAAGTTCGCTGACGATTGACGCCTGTCGACTGACTCTCCCACGGCTGTGCCAGCTCCTCAAGCTGCCTCTGCTAGATGGTCGCTCGGGGTCGTTCGTCTCGCAGGTGTGACGGACAGTACTCTCGTGGGGCGATGCCACTTTGATCGTGTCTTGTTCAATGCCCACCTGTGTTCGCGGTCCTCTCGCATCCCGGTCAAGACTATGCTTGTGTTTGAAAGTGTCTATTGATGTTGTCGAGTTCTCCTCACTGAGCCCTTGTCTGTCGGACAGCTGGCCCTTAGATCCCCGTGACTCGTTATTGGCGCTGGCGTGCTCATAGTTCGCAGGACGCTGTTGCTCGTCTTCATGCGCTTTAAACAATTGAGCTTGCCGATTGTCTGGGGGTGATTGGCGGGATGAATTGTATCGTTTCAGATGCACGTCATGTTGTCGATCATCCTGCTCAAGTCTTTGCACAAACGAATTGTTGCCTGACAAGGAACGCTTGGCGTCGCCCTTGCCATGCTTGTCGGGTGATGGCGCAACTAGGGCCTCATGTGGTGACCTCACGCCCGCTATCTTGGTTTTATCGCCTTGATTGGCCTTGTCCGCAGGAGGGCGTCCGTTCGCTTTCATCGAGGCATGTTGGGAGCCTTCTCGGGCACTCTGCTCTCTAGACTGCTTGTCGTGATCGGCTAGCCGCGCCAGCATACGTGGATGGATGTCCAAAGGATCAGCCCATAGTGGAAACCACTTCTTGATGCGCCATTCCTTAGTATCTCGGATGCTCAGAGCAAAATGGTCCACATTTGTCGCTGTGATGTACTCAGTCTGGAGCACGTCATCATACCCGTTTGGTGATGGAATGTCTTCCTCGCTGTACTCTTGCGGTAGCGGTTTCGAAATTGGACGGCTTTGGTAGTAGGGCACCCAGTCGGCAAAAAGCTGGCCCAGCATCCACTCAAAGTCGTCATCTTCCTCAAAGGGCCTATCGCCTCTCGATTCAACCTTCGAGTCGGTCGCTTCTGCCTCTTCAAAATCCCAAACAGGCATGTAAGGCACAACGAGCCCCCATTGGAGGATTTCGCCATCAGGAGCTGGTGCTTTGGTATCACTTGCAGACTGCCGTTGCTGCCGTTGGGCTTTGTCTGCTCTTGGCCGCTCATTTTGCTTCTCTGACACTTTCGAGTTAGTCTGTTTGGACTGACTCCTGTCGCCCTTACGATTGTTGCTGCCGTTGCTACCGCCAGGTGGGTCGTCCCGACGCCGTTCATGGCGGCCACGTCTTTCTACGGCAGCCGATCGATGGGGTGGTGACTGGTCTTGACCTTGACGTTGTCTGTGAGGACTCGCTTCTCGCGGGGAATAGCGCGGACGGTCCCGGCCATAGTCGCGACCCCTGTAGTGGCCCTCATTTTCTGATTGTCGATAATGCCTGGACGGCCATGAGTCCCTGCTTTGTTCTCTGGGACTTCGATCCCTGCCATATGCTTCGCGATGATAAGGCGGCGGCGAATACCGCGAGTGCCGGTCATGCGGGGGTGGACTGCCATGAAAGCCAGCATGCGCATCTGAGTATGTGGAAGGTGGCCTTGGGTAGTCGTGCGAGAGCGGATAAGAATAGTGGTGAGGTGGGAGTGGTGGAGGCGGAGGGTGATGGGGTGGGAGGTGTGAGCTAGAGTAGCTGTAGGGAGGTGACGGTCGTGGTCGCCCATGATCATGAGCATACCCACCATGAAGGTCATGAAGTGGTCGGTATGGCGGTCCAGGAGGCGGCGGCCCATATGGATTTGATGGGCCCGGATAGTGGTTATAAGCTCCTGGCGGTGGTGGAGGTGGGGGAGGGAGGGCGCTGCTATGGTGATACGGATCGAAATGTTGAATCGGCGCCCCATACGAAGGCCCATAAGGATGGTGATACGACGGTGGTGCTTGATACCCAGGCGGGGCCGGCGGCTGAGGCGGAAGGCTTACTCCTGATGGAGGATCATAATGGCTAATGCTTGAAACAGGAGTTGGGGGTAGCGGATATCTTGTGATCACTGGACCTTTTCCCCGTCTCGAGTTCGACGCCGCCCCATCGGCGGAAGTTCCGTCGCGAGGGTTCTGTTTCGCGGCCAAAGAAGCCTCCAAGCCCCTACAAGCCCAAGTATGGTTAGTGACTTGCGCAGCGAAGCGCAACGCTTGCCGTCGCGTTGTGTTGGGGAGAGGACTGGATAGTTGCTTACGCAGGAATCTTTCGTGCTGGCTCGGGACAAGCATTGAACCAGTGGCCCCTGATGCCACAATTGTAGCATGGAGGATCACCTGCACCGCCATGATAGCCAGGCACTCCATCGACCATGTTGACTGGCCCTCTCCAACAACAGCTACCTGAGCTCCCAGACTACTTGCCAATGGCGGAATGGGCTGAACGGCATTTGTGATTGCGGCACAAGGAGGCCCTATCGAGCAGTCAGCCAACCGCACCGTGGATAGACCTCTCCTTGATATGCTGATGAACAGGCGAAAGGGTGTGCTTGGAATCACAAACCTGTGGGAGAGCTAGTGGACAGGGTCCTCCGGGGGATGACGGCCTGGGCTGTCTGGCAACGCCGGTACTCTTCAGGCGTGAGGTTCAAGCTCTAAAAGCCTTTGAGAACAATCGCAGGATGGTGCCGAGAACGACCGTGGAAGGGTCGCAGGCTATCGATGCAGTTTGCCTGCCGGCTGTGCATCCCGCGCCAAGCTGGCACGAGGTCTGCCTCAAGTCGCGTCCAGAATGGTGGTGTGCCCGTCACGAACAGTGTGCACTGCTGATGCCCAGCACAGCAGGATCACAGTCGCGACTTCAGAGACCTTGACGAGCTCATCGAGCACAGAGACCGTGGATGTCGAGACGTCCAGTGTCGTCCAGGGTCACGGGCGTGCTTGAGGCGGGTGTGACATGGATGGCAGCTTGGGTGTCGCGATCTGGGTCCAAGGGCGAATGCGACAGACCAATGCCTGCGACTTGGGGCTTGGTCTGGGGTTGTTTGCTCAGATCACTAATAAGGGTCCTCCGGGGGTCGCCTGTCAGTCATCGGCAGGTACGTACTCCGCACACCTTGGCCAACCCACTTTCTCATCCGAACGGCCCGTCAGGGCGTCACGGTGGACGCTGGCGGCTGTCCACCACGGCAGCAGCCACTGTGAGGTGGCTTGGACTTCACGAGCATCTCATTCCTGCGACCTCGACACAGAACTCGAGGTTTGGATGAAAATCCTAATTAGAACAATTTCGCAAGGACGACTAGACTCGCAGCACATCCGCATCGACTCGAACGCACGAGCAGAACCACAGCACATCGATTCAGGTCTGTGGGGCGGCGCCACATCAGCTTCATGTCTGGGGCTTGAATCCAAGGACACGAAGATGTCACGTCTGCACTTTCTAGATACTGTGCGGAAAGCGGCTGCTGCACAGGACAAACCCACAGATTCATCGGGGCAGGTGGAGATCCCAGTGTCAAGCGGCAAAGAACATCACGTACACTCAAACGTAAGTACTTAGGCATTCTCGAGAACAGAGCGTGCAGCAAAACAAGCAGCGTCTGCGATAAGAATGCGATAAGCCGTGTGCCGGGAGCTGTGGCGGAGAGCTCCCCTGAAACTGCTGCACAGTCATCGCCGTCCATCCCACTTACCAACCAGGCCTCCCTCCCCCTCGTGCGTCAGTCGCGACACCTGGTTGTGACAGCTTTCGCCACTCACAACCACCTCCTGGCTCTACGATGCCTACCGCTTAACTCGCACGTCCTCCACGACCTACTACTCCAGCCTCATGTGAGACTTGTGCGACGCCCAGACCCATCCGATGAACATGCCGGCAACACCCTCCACTTTCCTTGCAGAAGAGTGTACTTTTTTCCGAGCACAAGGGAGCTGAACCCCAAATAACCTCCGTCCTTGAGAGTCATTGTTCCACCGATCCGTCCCGCTCAAAATGCCTGGGCTGCCAGGTTAGTTTCCAGAAGCTAGAAAGTGTACCGAGCTCGGGCTGATTCGTTCCTGCAATCTAGCCTCGGTCGATCTGGATGAATGCATCTCAAGGCTATACAAGAAAGAGCTGCTGGCCGAGTCGGTGATCGAAGCAATATGTGCCAAAACCAAGGAACTGCTTATGCGTGAGAGCAACGTGGTGCACGTGCGCGCACCCATCACCGTCGTCGGTGACATTCACGGCCAGTTCTACGACCTTATTGAGATTTTCAAGATCGGTGGATGGTGTCCTGACACCAACTACCTCTTCCTTGGTTCGTACGCTCTATTCAGCACGTAGAATCCAGGCAGCCAGGCTAACCAAGCGGTCTCTCACCACAGGCGACTATGTCGACCGCGGCATGTTCAGCGTCGAGACGATCTCACTACTCGTCTGCCTCAAGCTCCGCTACCCCGACCGAGTGCACCTCATTCGCGGCAACCACGAGTCGCGCGGTGTGACCCAGTCCTACGGGTTCTATACAGAGTGCTCGCGCAAGTACGGCAATGCTAACGTCTGGCACTACTTCACCGACATGTTTGACTTCCTCACCCTGTCCGTCGTCATCAACGACCAAATCTTCTGCGTGCATGGAGGCCTCTCGCCTTCAATACACTCGATCGACCAGATCAAAATTATAGACCGCTTCAGAGAGATACCCCACGAAGGACCCATGGCCGACCTGGTCTGGTCAGATCCTGACCCGGAGCGAGACGAGTTCTCGCTGTCACCGCGCGGAGCGGGGTACACCTTTGGGGCTCGCGTGGTGAAGAAGTTCCTCGCGGTGAACGGGATGAACCACATTCTGCGCGCGCACCAGCTATGCCAAGAAGGATTCCAGGTGCTGTACGATGACCATCTGAGCACAGTATGGAGTGCACCAAACTATTGTTATCGATGCGGCAACATGGCCAGCGTTCTCGAGGTCAGCGACACAGGAGAACGCTTCTTCAACGTATTCGCCGCAGCACCCGAGAACGACGCGGTCAAGGACATGCAGCAGGCGGGCTTGGACAAGACCGCTGACGGGAACGCCCTGCCAGATTATTTTCTCTAGGGTAATGACCTTGGTGGTCAGCTCCCACGCGATGGACTCGACAATGACGCAGACACTTTGGTTCTAGAACGATACGCGAATGGAGGAGCTTTCTTCTTTGAACTGCGAAAACTCAACAGTCGCACTTGTCGCTGTTACGATGGCCGAACACATGAGATACCTGTTCCTTTTGTATATACGGCGCCAATGTATACCCACTTTGCGGAGCGTCGCGGGGCATAGCCTGTTATAGACGGTAGTGATTGAGCTGATTCAAATTACCCACCATCTCATGAAACACGTTCTCAAACGTCTTCACGCGGCACTTTCAAGATGTCACAACTACTGGGCCAATTCACAGCTTCCATTTACAGGCTGGCGTGTGCGGACCCCCGCATGTTGAACTTGTTCTGAAGTTTTATCTATTTGTGCGCTAGGCTTGTGAGATGGACTGGTATTCGTGAGGGCGTGAAATTTTGTGAAGGTGTCTGGTTATTTCGTGCTTGCATAGTTGCGAAGAAGGCGCCTATGACGCTCCGAAACTTGAAGAAATATCATGTTTCCGCAGCGCCAACGGCTCGACGTTCAACGTGACCGTCTACCAGTCCTTGGCGATATCAAAGCTCCACTCAAAGCTGAGGTGAGAGATCTTGTCATCGTCCACGAAGCTGGACACGGCGTTATAGTGGCCGCGTGCGAGCATGCCGGAAGGGGCCTCCTCTTCGTTGACTATGCCGTCCAGTTAGTATCAATATGGTCGGAACGGGAGTTGCATATCATCGTGTAAGCAGATTAACTTGCATTTCTTCGTGTAGAGAGGCTGCTTCTCTGTGTTTGGCGCATAGCTTCCCTGTGCCAGGTGTTAGACTATATCTTTCGAAGCAACAGATGCTCCTCTACAACAACACGTACCAGCATCTCAGAGTCCTTGCTGACCCTGATACCCTTGCGCTTGACGACCTGGACGTACTGGAGACCGCTGAGGACCTCGTGCTGAACCTTGAAGGTGACGGACATGGTGAACTTCGAGCCTTCCTTGATGGTGAAGGGCTTGTCCTTGAGCGTGTTCTCGCTGCCGGGCTGGGACAGATCGATGGTGACCGGGCTTCTGCCAGGCGAGTCCATGGTCAAAGACTTGATGATGCATACACGCTTGTCGTTAGGGTCGGAGAGATCCTTGCCACCGCCAAGGCCGAGTGACTGCTTGTACCGCTGAAGGGACTCGTCGTTGGCATCTGCAGCATGATGTATGTTAGTCGAATCTGATCTTGTCCGTCTGTCGCGCAGTTGGGTGTCATCTATGAATCCGTGTAGCGTCAAGGTAGATATCCTTGGTGTCATGGGTCGGTTGGAGAGCTTGCTGGCCCGCTGAGGCAAGGCATTGTCACCAAAGAATCCCGGAGCTCCACAGCATGTCAGAAGAGGGTCGAGGCCATGATTGTAGTAGGCCTTTGAGTGCCAGTCCAGGTCCAAAGTAGATATGTCTGAGTTTCGCGCAGTTGCCGATAATTTTCGCAAGAAGCCGTTGAAGTTGCTATGTGATTCGGCAGAAGCCCTCGCAACCGGTAGGAGCGGCGCGATTTCGCACACGCTGTCCAAGTCTGCGGTTGTTGTGGTCATGCTGCAGTCTGGAACGGAGCAGTGCGATTTCCCTGATACGTCCCAGAAAAAGGCGCGAGTGTCTATTGCTCGGCTTGTTTGTGCACATCTCGATGTAGATCTTAGACAGGCAAACGCTTGAGCAGTAGGTGAGGCACTCATACGAGCGCAAGCGTACAGGAGCCGAGGAGAGACACTGCTCAGGGACTGCTGTTGAAAAGTGGATGACAGTGTCTGTATCCTGAATATGACTCCTCACACCAGGCTTTGGAGTCTGAAGCTGTGGCGCGAAGGGTTGTGTCGAGACGCGATGACTAGTTTTGGTGTCTTGACAGTAGTCGACCAGCTCCAGATGACAGGAGGGATGACATAGATGCATCAAAGCCGCCGAGTTCTCTGGTGACATTCAGGGAGAAGAGTGCCGGTAGGCATTGGCTGGTTGCCCTTGCTCATAAGCCGTATACAGTCTTCAAGTCGCGTCGTCCCTTATCTGTGGACACTTCTTGGCTGGCTCGGTCGTGGGAGGCTGTTTTCGAGCTTCGGGCGTCCCCGCTCCACCCCTCCCAGAGAAAGGTCAAAGAAGCGGTATGTGTCCATGCAAGCTGGTGTTGTTGCCCAACCAGTCATCGAGGCACGATAAGTTTTCGGGTGCGAACAAGAGGTCGACCGCGTTCGGATGACCTGACCAGGGGAGGACAACCGGGGAAGGAAGGTTCTGAGCTGGAGAAGGACGATGTGGCCAACCTTTGGAAGGTATGAGAGGTCGCTGAAGCGGTCGCTTGTAGCCTCGCTCGCGGAAAACAGAGAGATTTGCTGCCGCCCGCCACGATGATGACGTGCTCACGACGTGCTGGGTTGGAGGAGCTGGAAGTGTGTCTGCGATGGTCACAATGACTTACCCATGTTTTCGTATTCGGCCAAGCTCTGCTTGGGCTGCGAGAGCTTGTAGCCCTGGGTCTGCTCGGGCAGAATCTCCTCCTCGTGGGACGCCATGGTTTTCAATGAGTCGAGTAAGCGTAGGAAAGTTCAATGCGTCAAGACTGTCCTCAGGATACTCTATGGGGGAGAGCGAGACTGGCGGTGATGCGATTGTATATTTGTAGGGGTAGGTGGAGTAAGGAGCTCTCCATTGTTGCCATGCACCACGTTGAGGTGGGGTCCATTGGTGAGGGGCAGAGGGGGAAGGCCTAGCCAGCCGCCCACGCACCAGTATCCGGGTGGTGGGTGCTGGAGTTGGACGCTCCGGACAGACCTCACTGGAGGCAAGAGGCTTGCCGTCTGCACGACACTCGCTTTGTAGAGCTTGGGCCGGCAGCGAACAGCCTCAGCCCCGTTTTACCAAGACCTCGTGAGCATTTCGTCGCCTCGGAATCTATAAACGCTTCGGAGCAAGAGATCGAGCGCGACGCCCACAAGATTGATGGGGCCAAGCCTGCCAGCACAAGTTGAAGAGATGGTGGGAATCGCAAAGGCTATGCAGTGGTTAGGAGCCTGTCTGTGAAGCCTCGGAAAGCCTTGCTTGACGCACTCCACAGACGCGATATGTTTGATGCTTGCTGGTAGGTCCCCGCAGGCATTGGACTGGAGCTTGAACTGCCCGACGATACGTCTCGGGAACTGAGCCCGGCCCAAGTATTATGCTTATTAGGTAATCAATATCGTGTGCGGGTGCTGCAGCGTGGGCAACGCTTCAAAGTCTCAGGTGTGTCGGTGCAGTTTCGCAATGTTGGTCATCGCAGCGGCCCTGGCTGGATGCTCCAGCAAATGAGCGAGGATGAGCAGAGGAAGCGCACAGACCAGGTTCGCAGGATGAAGCAGCGTGAAAGGTGGATGGGGTTCATATGAGATGGCCTGAGCTTGCGAGCCCGAGTGCACAGGATTGGCCCTCGCCAGAGTGCGGGTGGGGCAGTCAAGTGGCCTTGTGCAGATTGTCTGCTCCAGCAGGGGCTCCATCTGCGAAGCTGACAGCTTGCAGGTACGCTTATGTATCCTGGAGAGGAGACAACCAGGGCACATCAGTGGCCACCATCAGCCGGGTGTCCTCAGAGGCAGACAGGCGCGACGAGGCCGTGGTGCTGGCCTGTCCGCAGCGTACGCCTTGCGAGGGGTGGGAGGCTTCAAGACGAGGGTGTTCATGTCCAAAGACCAGAATAAGAGGCGCGCGCGGGAGATGTGTCTGCTGGTGGAGGGTTTAGGGGGCCTCGCGGGAGATGAGAGCGCCGGCGGGCGTGGTGCCGGATCTGGCCACACGCGGCGCGGACGGGCAGGTCGCGCCGCGCGCGAGTCGAGCTTGCCTGCTTGGCCTGGGTGCGCTTGACATTCATGGGTGACGGCCCCGGGTTTTGCGGGCTCGACCCCCCGTCCGTTGTCGCGCAGACCGAGTGTCAAGGGGTGCTTGCTGCCAGCAGAGAGAGCAATTGCGGTCTTGGAGGCGATCGCTCGAGCTCGACAGGCACGACAATCCCGTGCCCCTGGCCCAATCCCTCGACCCTTTTTTTTTTTTCTCCTCTGGTCTTCTCTCTGCTCCCGCGCTGCTTGCCGCCCGGTCCTCTCCAAAGCCGCCGCCACTGCTGCTCTGTCTCCGCCGGAAGCTCGTCAGTCCTGTCCACCAGGCTCCACCACCCGTCTGCTGCTCGACTTTGCGCACCGCACGCACTACAGAGCTGCGCACACCCCCTTCCCGTCTTTCGTCTCGTCCTCCCTCGCGCGACTCTTCCCTCCTCCAAGCTCTTTGCCCAGCTCCTGCTCTGACCCGATCGCGTGCGGCAAACTTTCCCACAAAGGCTCCAGCGCAGACACCTCCCTCTGTCCTCGCCTGCGCGCAGCGGTCCCCTTCAGTCACCTTCTCATCTTCCTGTACGTTCCTCCCTCATGGCGCGCCGTTGCCAACGCTCGCGTCCACGCGCCCGCCAACCGCTTTGCCATTGCTCGTTCGCGCACCGCGCATCGCGACAATCGCCACAGTACTGACAGCGAGTGCGCGTTTGCAGAATCCCCGTATACACCTTGTAGTACTATTCCACGCAGCCTGCCATTTCTTGCTGCCCTCTTGCCCTTCATTCTTTCGCGCCCTAAAACACATCGTTCATCTCTTGTTGTTCACGATGGCCCCCTCCAGACAGCTTCCGAGCAAGCACAATCCGCTGCTGACAGAGGACATCCCTCCTTGTAAGTTGTTCGATCTCGTGACCCATCCCCTGATGCGACCCTGTCGCGAACCGTCGCTGACAGGCATTGTACACGCGCAGATGCCGACTTGGTGGCTCGCCGCCGGCTGGGCCAGACACAGTTGACGGCCAAGATGGTCGCCGCTGGCGCTGCAGGCGATGTCGACCCGTCGAGCCTTGGGGTCTTTGATTACGCCCACCTCCGTGCGCCTCTGCCCAAGGGCATCACTTCGGGCATCTTCAAGTCGTCGCCCAACTCTTACTTCCTCATGCGCCGCAGCGCCGACGGCTATGTCTCCGCCACCGGCATGTTCAAGGCCACATTCCCTTATGCCGAGTCGACAGAGGAGGAGGCTGAGCGCAAGTACATCAAGTCGCTACCTACCACAAGCCCGGACGAGACGGCTGGAAACGTTTGGATTCCGCCCCAGCAGGCTCTTGCCCTCGCCGCCGAGTACAACATCGGCCCGTGGATCAGCGCCCTCCTCGACGCAGACGAGATTGCCGTTACCAATGCCAGTGACAGCCCACCCAAGAAGATTGTTGCGCCGCCCAAGTTCGAGCCTCGCGAAAGCACGGAATTGGCCTCCCCGCCCGCCTCGATTTCTCGCAGCACGCGCGCTCGCCGTTCCGCTAGTCCCTCGAAGAAGCGAGTCATCGCATCGCCGCGTAAGCGGTCGTCTAAAGCTGCTGCCGCGGCTGCCGTGGATATCCCCGCGCCTGTAACGGAGTCTGCTGGAGAGTTGGCAACACCCGCCCCATCCACTGCCGCGGACGATATCGCCATCGAAACAACCGAGAAGGAGCCGGCTGTGGTGCTCGCACCTATGGAGGAAGAACCCAAGGTCCAGGTCAAGGTAGACCAGGATGTCAAGATCTTCCGAGGTGTCGAGACGACGCACACGACTATTGAGATCGACCTGCCGGTCTCCGAGCAGCCCAGTCCCGAAGATGCCAAGAAGATGATTGAAGAGGCCAAGGCGATGGTCGCGGCGGCGGCCGCCGAAGCAGCGGCCTCGTCCACCCCCATCACCAAGACAAAGAGGAAGGCTGAGGATATCTCCACAGCACCGGAGGAAGAGGGCGCCGACATGGCTGCGTCTGATGCGCCGACCGACCGAAGATCCAAGAAGGTCAAGACCGAGGTACAGCTTCGCAAGGAGCGTGTGAGGAACCGGGCTTTGGTTGGTCTTAGTGCCACTTTGGCTATTGGGTACGTGATCTCCTTTCGCTGCACGACTGTGCTGCTTGATCTTCGTATGACTGACCATCCTGGATAGTGCCATCATTCCTTACGTTATGGGCGTCTTTTGAGCGCAGCTGCCTTTTTCCTGGTCATGATGTCCAACGCGATACACTAGTATGGAGATGAAGGCGAGCGCAACCTGCATGTTGACAGTCACGCGTCCGCTCCCATCTCGACTCAATTTGATTCTTTTTGCACATACCCCTTTCCTGCGCCAGAGCCTATACAGATCGCGCGCACACCCCCGCGACTCCTACCACCACGGCATTTTAGATGGCCTTTTTTGCATAAACCCTCCTTGCCACTTGCACATTCGACGACATGACCCGTTGCCGCGAGAAGCACGAACGGCAGCGGCTTCCCATGCGTGCAGGGCGATAATATAATGGAAGATTCTTGATACCACTGTTACCCGCGCATTGTTGTTTTTCACCATGGATTTTCGGCGCGCGGGGAAATCGGGCAACTTTTGATTTGGTCGGGGTCCGGCGTCTGGCTGGGATGGCTTGTAAAATTTGGCAGTAGACAGATCAAGACGAGCCGTCTAGCACAGTCCGTAGAAATCCAGACTATACTGCCACAGACAACGAGTTACGGATCTTGTGATGTGACTTGGTGCTGCGCGGCGAGCGTTGGCCATACGTGCCTAAGTAAATACGCTGTACTTTAAGTATGCCATATCAGCGTGAGGGTGCAACCTACAGCCTTGCTCAACAGCAGGGTCGCACCCTGGGGCGGGCACCTAGGCCCCGAGAGTAGCTGGTGCCGCTTCTAGGCTAGCACCGGCAAGGGCCGGTTCTATTTTCCCCGGAAAACAGTACCCCGCGGCTTTCTCCACGTTTTGGTGGCTGGAGCTCCTCCTCACAGCCAACCGGGGGCCCGGTGGTGCTTCCGTCTTGCCGACTTGAAGAATGCAGTCGTGGGGTTTTCTTTTTGTTGCCGGCTCCTCCCGTCTCTCCTTCTCCATTCACATGCTTTGATTACTTTTGGGGGGTCTTCTTAAGCCAATATATCTCGTCTCTTGGCCGCCGATTATAACCAGCAACGTTCCCGCGGACATCTCCTTGCCGTCTTCGTGAGCATGCGACCTCACTCTGTGGCGTGGAGCATGCTCCGCTCCACACAACGCCGTGCATTCTCCTCGACGGCGAGGCGGCTCGACAACTATGGCTTCATAGGGCTGGGCCAGATGGTAAGTGTCCTGGCTCATTGCTTTGTTGGCAAGAAAAATGCCCTGCTCTCGGGTGTACGAGAAATAAGCGACTAACACCTCGGCACAGGGCTACCAAATGGCAAAGAACCTCCAGGCCAAGCTCCCCCCAACGGACTCGATACGCATCTACGACATCAACAAGGCGGCTGCGGAGAAGCTCGCGGGAGAGATGCGCGCGTCGGCTGCGGGCGGAGCCGCAGTAGAGATTGCCGAGAGCGTGCACCAAGCTGCTCGTGAAGCTGTACGTCCTCGCACGCCTGCCGTTTCTTACGGGCACGGCAGGAAAAGCAGTACCACACTAGGGCGCAGGGAAGGTGCATCAGATACGCTTGCTGACATGACTTTTCAACACACATTAGGACACTGTCATCACCGTGCTCCCAGAGCCGTCACACGTCAAGGGCGTCTTCTCCGAGATCCTCACGCCCGACTTACCGCACAAGAGCACGAGGCTCTTCATCGACTGCTCGACCATCGACCCCTCAAGCTCGCGCGAAGTCGCCAAGAGCGTGAGCGCCGCGCAGCAGGGACAATTCGTCGACGCGCCCATGTCTGGTGGCGTGGTGGGCGCCACCGCCGGCACCCTGACGTTCATGCTCGGCGCCCCGGACAGCACGGTGGACAAGCTCGAGACGATCCTCCTGCGCATGGGCAAGCGGGTGCTGCACTGCGGACCGCAGGGGACGGGCCTCAGTGCCAAGCTCGCCAACAACTACCTGCTCGCCATCAACAACATTGCCACCGCCGAGGCCATGAACCTCGGCATGAAGTGGGGGCTCGACCCAAAGACGCTCGCCAACATCATCAACGTGAGCACCGGCAAGTGCTGGCCCAGCGAGGTCAACAACCCGGTCGCCGGCGTCGTCGAGACCAGCCCCGCGAACCGCGACTATGCCGGCGGCTTCGGCATCAGCCTGATGAAGAAGGACCTCAAGCTCGCGATCCAGGCCGCCGACGAGGCAGGCGCCAGGCTCGAGCTGGGCGACCGCGCGAGGGACGTGTACGAGACGGCGGAAAAGGTCGAGAGCTGCAAGGGCAGGGACTTTTCGGTCATTTACAGATACCTGGGCGGCAAGGAGTGATTGATGCCCAGTACTGACGATTGGCAGAGGCAAGCCGTGGAGCTTCCTGTGGCTAATGCATGACAATCATCGTCGTGTCAGTCGCCGATACACTCCAAGAGAAGGCGGGACAATGGCCGATATATCTCTTGGTCAGCTACTTGGGACTACAGGTGTTACATTGATGTACATACATTATAGATTGCAGGCCCAGCTGAAAGATTCGGTAGGTTGTTCTGGACCGTGGAATCATCTCACGAGTGGCACTGCTCGCAGGTTGTGCTCTGATATTCAAGAACATTACTGGGACGAGGGCTTACCATTAAAGCCACCCAATCAGTACCTTCAGGGGCTAGAAAACGGTTATCAGAAAGAGAAACATTTGTTTCGAAGTCATGCGAGATGGTTGGCAAGTGATTAATCGCGTATGGCTGTAGCCACTGGCCGCAGGATTTACCATGTGCAACGCCGGCTGCTAATTGTGTGCATCAAGGTAATCAGCTTGAAGCGCGACTAGCGCGCGGTCAAACATTCAAAGTAGGAGAAAAGGCACCATACTAACAGAGGGTCGTGTATAGGATGGCGCCTCACCAGCCTTTCTGTTTGACGACTTCACAATCTGAACATGGCATTTGAATACTAACAATCTAGCTCAGGTCATAATTTGTTTCAATCTTGTGGAATTGATCTATCACATCATGTCTATAAGAAAAGACGTGCTAGCAGTCTATCTCCAGTATCCTCGTGGTTGCACAACCCTCATGGGTTTGAACCGACCTCCTGGGTCTCCAGTCCAGGAGAGGTACAGACGTAAGGGTAAGCATATAGGAAGGTATGGTCAACGCTGTAGTCAAAGCGACAGTTCCTCGGGGCTGCTCTCCAACAACCACAAGAAGGTATCACTAGCTACAAATCAGAAAATATGCCCAACCATGCAGGTAAACCCCCCGAACTTTTGTGCTCCTCGAGAAGACGTAATGACAAAGGAAAAGGCAAGGGAATCATGTCCATGAACTGGTATTATGTCGTAAGAAAGTCGTCAAAGGAAGGCGTTTGGAGCTGGCGACATGCTTAGTCGTCCTCGTCAGAGAAGACCTCCTCACCACGCTTGCGGCGGGCCATACGCTCTGTAGCAGTAATGAGTTAGCAGGTGAACATGGTAAGTTGCAGATTGGTTGCAGAGTTGACTTACCCTTCTTCTTCTTTCTCGCCTCGGCACTGGACAACTTGACCTTCTTCTTGGTGGTGACGATCTTGTTACCCATCGCATCAAACTTCTCCTCCTCGTCATCATCCTTCTTGTCCAGTCTGGGACCGCTGCCCTGGCCCTGAACCCAGTTGTGGCCGGAGGGAGTCATCTTGCCGTCAAGGACGGCCCAGACCTCCTCAGTGATGTCCTTGGTGAACTCGGCGGAGTGAGTGATGATGATGACACCACCCTCGAACTTGCGCAGAGCCTTGGACAGGGCACCCAGAGAGTCTCTGTCGAGATAGTTGGTGGGCTCGTCGAGGACGATCAAGTGAGGACGCTGCCACGAGCAGGCGGACAGGACGACCTTGACACGCTGGCCACCAGAGAGACCACGCATGCGAGAGTGAGAGACAAGCTCAGCATCCAGACCGAAGTTGGCGCAGTGCTGCTCGATCTCCTTGCGGACGAGAGGACGGAACTGACCAGAGGCGAGAGCCTCCTTCATATCGACCTCGGCGACCATCTTCTGGTGAGAGGCCAAGAGCTCAGAGCGGGGCAGCCAGACGTTGTCGGCAGTCATCATGGGGACCCAACGCTCCTGCTTGAGACCAATGTTCTCACCCAGAGCGAAAGAGCACTCGTACTCGTAGCTGTTCTTGAACTTTCTACGGCTGTGGATACCGATGACACGGCGCTGGGTACCCTCGACCTTGAAGATCTTGTCCATGGCCTTCTCATCATCCTCGGTGATGATCTTGTTGGCGCGGTCCATGGTCTCACGATCCTCACCAGTCTGGAAACGCCACTGGATGTACTCGGAAGGAGTCTTGTCCAGGTGGTTATCGATGTGGGCGAAAGCGTGCTGCTTGATGTACGCGATACGAATGTTCTCGTGCTGGTAGATCTCACCGGCAGTAGGGATGAGCTCGCCAGTGAGGACGTTGATGAGAGTGGACTTGCCGGCACCGTTGGGACCGATAACGGCAATACGGGAGCCCAGCGAGCACTGGAAGGAGATGTCGGAAATCTGGGGCTTGGGGGTACCGGGGTACTGGAAGCTCATCTTGGTGGCACGGAGGATGGCCTTGGCCTTGGTCTTGACACCCTCGAGGAAACCAGGCTCAGGGAAGGTGAACTCGATCTCAGATTCGCCAAGCTCGTAGTAGGACTTGGCAGAGGGGTTCTTGCGGACGAACTCCTTCAAGTTACCCTTGTAACGCTTGAGCTTGAAACGCTCGTAGTGGATGATGTACTGGGTAACATTGTCGAGGAAACCACTGTCGTGGGAGACGATGATGGAAGTGCAGGGGGAGTTGATGAGGTAGTCCTCGAGCCACTTGACGTTCTTCACGTCCAAGTGGTTAGTGGGCTCGTCGAGGAGCAGGATATCGGGAGCCTCGAAGACAGCACGGCACAGAGCAAGCTTCATCTTCCAGCCACCAGACAGAGCGCTGATCTCGCCGTTGACCATCTGGGGAGTGAAACCGAACTCGTCAAGGCGGGCCTTGACCTCCTCAAGGCTGCTGGTGACGTTGGCCTCCTGGAGCTTCTTCATAGTCCAGTCGATGGTGGTCATCTCAGTATCGGCAGAGTCAAGGTCGTGCTCGACGAAGACAGTCTTGACTTCGCTCTGCTTAGGGAAACCCTCGACCTGCTCGTTGTTGATGGCACGCATGAGAGTGGACTTTCCGGAACCGTTGGGTCCGCAGAGACCATAACGGCGACCACGCTTCAGGCGAAGACTGGTCTGGTTGAGCAGGATCTTGGCACCGTAGGCAAGGGAGAAGGTGCAGTTGCAGAGATCCTCACCCTCATCATCGTCGTCCTCCTCGGCACCAGCCTCCTCACCACCGGGGGTAGCGTTCTTGCGGAGGGTGTCAACAACAGCCTCAGCATCAGCCGGGCCAACCAGGACGGTGATGAAAGGCTTGATGGCAGCAGCCCAGGTAGGGGCAGCAGTCTCCTTCTCGTCAACGAGCTGGCCGGCAATGGCGGAGACGTAAGCAGACACGGGTCCGAGCTTCTCGACAACGGGAAGGGCCTTGCTGGGGACAGCCTTCTTGAGGTGGGCAAGGACAACCTTGATGTCACCGTCGTGGCGAACCTCGGGGATGACACCATCCTTGATGTCACCAACACGGATGAGGGTGTCAAGAGCCTGCTTGGTCTTCTCACGAGCCTCGGGATCAGCCAGGTTGTCGTAGTTCTTCTGGAGACCAGGCATCATCTTGGGCAAGAAAGGTGCAACGATGGCGGGATCATCGACAAGCTTGCACATGTTGTCAACAATGACGGCAGCCTTGCGCTTGATGGCAGTCTCACGCTCGGCAAGACCACGATCGAGAAGGGGAACCATGAGCGCAAGAGTAGGCTGCTCGACCTCGGTGACGAAGGTGGTGGCACCGAGCAAGTGAACAGTCTCGGGGACGTTCTCGGGCTTGGCGATACACTTGATGAGCTCAGGAATGAAGCGCTCGATATCCTTGTTGACGATGAGCTCGCAGAGCTTCTCCATGGTCTTGTAGGCACGCTCCTTGACCTCCTTCTTGGTGTCCCACATGGACTCGGAGATGACAGGGATGAGCTCGGGAACGCGGTAGGCGAGCTGAGCAGGGGCCGACTTGACGAGAGCGTCAATGCCGTCGAGAGCAGCAATCTTCTCAGGCCACTTCTGGGCAGTGAGGATGGAGTGGGTGAGGTGAGGAATGACGGCCTTGCAGGCGTTGGGGTTAACAGCCTCAACGATCGCAATGGTGGCAGCGATACCAGCGTTCTTCACACCAGCAATCTTGTCACCAACGGCACCCAGGGCAAGGGGGAGCAGCTCAACGAGGTAGGGCTCAACGGCGGCAGAAACCTCGGAGTGCGAGGCGATGGCCTGGATGGCGTTGGCAGCCTTCTCACGGAGAGCAGCATCCTTCTTGTTTACGATGGCAGTCTTGAGAGCCTCAACGGTCCTGGAGAGTCGAGGGCGCGGTTAGTCGGCCGCTGGAAGTGTTGCGAGTGGGCATTACCCTGATGCGTGGCGGGGGGGGGGAATAAGCAGAACTTACTTGACGGGAGCATCCTGGCTCTCGATGGGGCCGTTGATGAACTGAGCAAGGGCGCTGGACGCCTCCTTGATGTCAGAAGCCTCCTTGGAGATGGTAAGCTTCTGCATCAGGTCGTCGAGGACCTTGATGGACTGGGCGTTCTCCTTGGCAGCCATGGCGATGGTGTTTGTCGGAGAGACGATGGGGAGGTTTTCGGGTTTAGAGGAGGAGGACGGGTCGAAATCAATCGCTCGTTCTCGATGGGGGGTTTTTTATTTTTCGTGTGGCCTCTTATCGGGGCGATAACCGCAGAGTGGCGGGGTAGTGCGCCCGATGACGGGGAGTCGAGATCGAGGCGGGAGAGAAAGAACGCAACCTGAGCTGGAGAGTCTCGGGATGCACTCGTCTTGATCTTGCTAGAAGAAAAAGAGAGCAGAGATGGAGAGATGAAATGGAGAGAGTTGGCAGGAGGAGGGAAAGGGGAGGCCGGGCGCCATGGGACGGCGGGTGCTGACGACTTTTTATCTAGGTGTTGACCCTGCAGCAGGCGGTTGGTGGGACAGCCAGGCTGGCTTCTCCCACCGGGTTTCGGGCCTGCAGCACTGTCTTTGCCATTGATGGTTGCCCCCCCGAAGAACTTTTTTTCTGCCCGCCTGGCGGGCTGGCTGGCTGCTCAGCGTGCTGCTGTCCCGCCATACCGCGCACCCGCAAATTTTTTTCCTTTCCTTAGTCGCCGCCCAGCCAAGGGTGCACTACCCCTCGACTCGACCCCTCCAGAGCACGCTGTGCCGCGAGGGGCAACCAGCACTGGCAGAGTGGGGGCCTCCTGCCCGGCCGGCCACGGGCTGGCGCAGGGATGCCTCGTCGCACGCACGATGGCCTATTCGCACGCCCTCATTGGCCAGCTCTGCCTGGCCTGCGACCACGGTACTCCGCTATCTCGTCCCTATCGCGCCTTCGTCCTCAAGGGCGGTGAGCCCTGCCTCCCCTCTGGTCCCGGCTGGCGCACGGGTCGCCACCAGCCTGACTCCAGGTCCCCACCATTCAACAACCACCATCGCGACCACCAGGCGAAACGATGGCAGTGATGGCGTTTCTCCGCCAGGGGGGGGGGGGGGGGGGGGGCTCAATCATCGTTTCCGACCATAGACCCGCATGACTCTAGGACGGCCAGGTCCTGAACCCGTCGCCCACCTTCGTTATGGCACCAGATTCCGCTCGCGCATGGATGGATGTGTGCAACAGTCACGGCATGAATATGCAGGCACTGAGTAGCTGCCTCCTATCCCGAGGGCAACCTGCGCAATATGGAGTATCGCCGCTCAGTCTGTGTACTGTACTGTTGACACTTGCGCCACTGCATTTCGCCTTGTAATCGAGCTCTACCAACGTTTTGGGTTCCGGCACCACGATCTCCACTTTCCCCCACAATCGTGACAGACGCAACCTGATCGACAGGGATTGCTTTGCCGTTGCTCACGAGCAATTTTACTTGGTGTCTGATACACAGCGCTGTGGTCGAGATATTAGGTCTACCAGGATATGACTGTTGCCTGCCATCACAGGAGGCAAAAAGAATCCGCTACGGTTTGCAAGTTGATAAAAACGCCGAGCGACTGATATGTGCATCATCATGAAAGGATTGCCCTGTTGCACACATGCCAATCATGGCGTGTCCAGAATTTGCCATGGTCTAGTTGGATATTATGCTGCCGCTGCCGCTGCCGCCGCCGCCCCTCCTGTCGTTGGCTGTCATGCTGCCGCACCAAATTGCAAGCCCGCCAGCCACGGGCCACGGCCGGTGTCGCCACTCGACTCGCGGTCTACGACGCAGCGCGCCTATTTGCCCCGTCTTCCGCCTTCGGCACGTTGCCGAGCAAGGCCAGTGGGTCCCGAGGCCGTTCTAGAAGTTTTCGACGTGGACTGCACATTCTTCCGGGGTTTTCTACGCGGCGATATCTGAGAAGGACCCTGGCGGCCGCAGCGGCTGCTGTCACGACGAATACGGCCTAGTCACTCAAGGCAACTTTGGAAGGCCCCGAGGCGTGTCAGAAGCAAGTCGGACGTGGGTCCTACACGTCTCGCGAACACGTCTCTCTCGGTAGTCTCCGATATGCTGTTGCCACCAGCCCATCTGGACCTCAGGGGAAGCTTTTGCTCACAAGCGGCTTAAGAATGCTCTGCAAATTTTGTGGATATCGAGCTCATTATGTCACGCTTGTCACCGTCTCCAGCGACCTGCTCTGAGCGCAACTCTCCCCTAACCTCTCAAAAATGCATCATCAAGACACACCAGGCCTGAAACAACTGAGCCTGCATCAATTGATTGTGGTTGAATCAACGAGCAAGGGTTTTGTTGACCATGATTGCATTGACTGAGTAGTCGTCATCTGGAATGTCTGATTTTTGATCATGCAGAGAATGGTCCTCGACATTCCGGCACAGGTTGCTGAAAAACCGCTTGTTTGATGCGGTCAACGCTTGACCTGTTGACTATCTATTTCTGCTTCGTGTGAACCAGACTCTAGGTCTGAATTACTGTTGGTCACTGTGTTCCCTGCCTGTTCCATTTCGCTTGCGGTTGGTGACCCCGACATCGCCTGGTGTACAAACTCGTTGGTCGTCACTTGTGTGATGCTCAGTTCGAGAACCGTGGCAGGGCAAACGCTTCTGCGCTGGGGGTAGCTTGCTGATGACGCCCTCTTTTGCGTGATGTAAGAAACACTACGGGAAACCTTTGTCGCCTCAGAGTCATACTGCGACAACGGACTCGCGGTATGTAGCGGGTGCTCCCCGTCGACGAAGCTGCTGGTACGGACAAGAACAGACGAGTTGTCGTTATCGAAGTTGGCGCGGGAAATGATCTTGCGGATCAAGTCGGCGTTGGCCATTTCGATGTAAAAGCGGGTGAGGTACACGATGATTTGGAATTGCAGATAACTATGCGGCCGAACCGCTGATTAGGGGGTGATGAGCATCAGGACATGAGTGCTTTTGTGCTTACGCGTATTTGACCTGTAAGGACATCAGGCCAATCAGTGTAGCCTTGAGCTGTGGTTAGCACGAACCCATAGGCCATCTGCGACCGCAAGACGTCGCTGGCTTACATCAAGCAGAACAACCAACCCAACCATCGCCGCATTGTAGTTGTAGAGGTATTTGTACTTCTGGAGTCCGTTGGCAATGAGATGTTTCCGAACCATGTGGAGAAAATAGAAGTTGAGGCAAACGTCCATGACTGTGAGGATGCACTGCTTGAGTCGATCCCAGACCTTGTTCACCTCGATCCACATGGGCGAGATCTGAAGACTCGCTGGCATCCAGACGACAGTGACCACGACGCCTATTATTCCCACAATCACAAAGGTGATCCATTTCAGTTGTCTGGCTCGATGCTGGTCGCTCATGAGCAGAGCGATGCGGTTGATGATGATTTGCATGACAAGTTGTATCTGGATAGCCCAGACGATACCTGGTTTTCATGGAAAAGGGTCTTGTCAGCATTGAATGCCGAGAGAGGAGTTTCCATTGTGCATGGAGATAAACCTTAGACTCACAGAACCAAAGGAATATCCAGAAGCCCGGCTTGATCTTGCGGAAGAGGTAGAACCACGCAATGCAGCCATCGACAGTGTTCAAGACCAAGTGCGTCCAGATCATTATTATGTATGCAGTCACCTTGTGTCTTCGTCTCCACGACCGTCTCGACTGCCTCCAAGCTTTAAAGCCAACAAAGCCTGCCAGGCACAAGGAAAAGCCCCTGTCCAGAGCGCAGCAAAACATCAGTACCCATGTTGAGAAGAACAGACGGGTAGTCAGGGTATGCAGGATTGACGGACCAGAATATGGAGACGATGTTCACGTCGAGCTCCGAGACTTCACCCTGCTCAAACCATGGCGGCTTGAAGAGATCGTTACCTGCGCCCATTCCCAAAGCGCGATTCTGGGGGCATCACCGTCCTCGGATGAGAGTAGAACGATCTTGTAGACGTAGTGTAGGCATTCACATTTGCCTGCCGCTTCTGTTGCTCTGCGTTCTTTGTCGGATTCTGAATATTCTGTGTTTGGCTGTCTTTGCGAGGAGTGTGGTGTACAGGTCGTCAAGAAGCTCCCATTACGAAGGTGAAAGGGACGAGGCATTGGATTTCATAGACAGTGGCAGTGTGCGGCAGGCTGTATATGCGCAGTGAACACAACAAGAAGAACTGCAGCCAGAACAGCTTGCCCAGATCACACCCTCTCAAGGGACGGCCAGCCCCTTGCCAGTGGTCGCTGGGCTTTTACAGCAAGATAAGCTCAGAAACGCCACCATCTCACAGCCATCGCCAATGGATTCTTCCCACCTGGTGCAGCTCAGTAAACAGCTGCGACAGCTTGTCCCCGCTGATAGGGCCAGCAAGAGCCAAGACCAAGCCACGATGGTTCTTTGGCGCGAGCGGCTGAGAGATAGTGAGACCCTGGCTCTGCCAGACCTGAATGCTGGACTGCAACCTGGCATGGCATGTGCTTCGAACTGAGGGACAACATATGAGGCGTGCCGGTGCAACTTGGGTTTTGCGAAGCACGCCGCATTATTGGGCGCCATTTGCACCGCTGAGCAGCCATGTACGTTAACCCATCCGCCGCAACGCTTGTCGTTGGCGTGTTGAACGCGTTGCGGGTTGTGGTGCATGATCTTAAGCTACACCCATTCTGTCCTCAAGGAATGCAACGCCTATCAAGATTCATCGTCGTTGGAGCTTAGCTGGTGGATCTTTGTGCAATCTGGAAATGACGACAATGCCCCCGGGTCGTGACTCGCTCAGTGGAGGCATTTCATCATAATTAGAGACGATCCTCGTCAACCTCTCTGGATCGCTGGTTGCACTAATCCCTACCCTATGATGCATAGCTCGCCCTGGAAGCAAGAAAGCATTCACCAGACCAGCAGATCGGATGTATTTGTGTTCAGTAGCGCCCGGGGGTCCAGGCCTTATCTTGATTGTCGTAGAAGAGTTCGTGGTTTGGTGGCGTATGGCTGCACAAAAGTGTAAAAGCGGCTGGGAGCTTGGCCCCGTTGCGCACGATTGGCATGTTGGCAAGACAGCCAGCCACATCTCCACCCCCCACCACCGCACGGAGGACGGGACTGTCAAGATCACATCCCCGCCCTTGAGTCAAGTAGGTGTACGTGGTTCTTGAATGGCAGGACACTTCTGCTGGCTATGGAGTAATTAGGCAAACAACGTTGCGAACATGTCCTCAACCGGGCTTACACGATCGACTAGTTCACCTGAGGCATACTTTGAGTGCTTGCATTTTTTGTTATGCTTGGTACATTTCTGCAATTCTATGGTATCTCGTAAACCCAGACCAAATTTTGTCAACGCAAACGCCGATAAAGCTCTAGTAGTTTTTATACATCGCCTCCACCCCCAAGTCGCCCTCTAAGCACTCTCATTGGCCCAAACGTCATAGCCAAATGTGTCCTTCATGTTGACGAAACGGGTGTGGCGACCCTTGGCAACGGCCTGGACGGCCTGGAAGTCCTCGTCCGACAGCTCCGGGACCTGGAAGTTGCTGGCAATGCGCGATGGTGTGGAAGACTTGGGAAGAACCATGTACCCTCTGCGCAGGCCCCAGGCGAGGAGGACCTGAGCCAGCGTGTTGCCGCTGCGCTCGGCAACCTCGTTAAGTGTTGGGTTGGTGCGGACCTTTTCGCCCGTGGTGGGGACCTGATCCTGCGAGCCTAATGGAGAGTAGGCCTGCGGGATGATGCCCTGTGACAGGCAGAAGTCTACAAGCTCGCTGTTGGGCAGGAATGGGTGAATCTCGATCTGATTGACCGCAGGCGGCACGCGGGCAAAGCTCAAGAGCTGTTGCAGGCCGGGAATGGTGAAGTTGGAAACACCGATGGCCCGGGCCTTGCCGCTCTCATAGATCTCCTCCATCTTGCGCCATGTCGGCTCGGGGTTCTCGGTGAGCTCCTTGTTGATGATGTACTTTCCGTCGGGGCCCAGCTTGGGCTCGTGGGTTTCCGGGTCGGCCTCGGCAGCGATGGGCCAGTGGACGAGGAAGAGGTCCAGGTAGTCGAGGCGGAAGTTGCGCAAGGATGACTCCAGGGACCACTGCACCTGCTCAGGCTCGTGGAGGTGGTTCCATACTTTTGTGCAGATGAAAAGATCCTCGCGCCTGACGGAATCCTTGTTGGCCTTGAGGTAATCGTGTATGGCGTCACCGACTTCGCTCTCGTTCTTATAGAACCAGGCGCAGTCGAAGTGCCGATAACCAGCTTCAAGGGCTGCTGTTACTGCCTTGTAGGTTTCACCAACAGCACCCTCGCTGGCGAAAGTACCGAAACCAACAGCTGGGACCTTGACACCATTGTTGAGCGTGAAGGTCTTGGTTGCGGCCTGGGACTGTGTGGAGTGAGGCATTGTGATGTGTGTAGTGGCGTCTGTGTACGTATGTGTGTATGAACTTGTGGTAGCAAGCAAAGTAAATGATGCTTGAAGGGAGACTGTCACGAGCGGTTAGGAGTAGATTTTGGGGGCTTCGAGGTCAACGGGACAGACGCAGTTTTGTCAGATTTGGGAAGCTAGTGACGTGATTTATGGAATTGAGACCCGGTCTTCCACCCCAGACCCTCCGGGCATACCGACTTGCGAATCTCTGCCACGGTGGCAAGACATGCCTGGAGAAAACGCCAGATGTCGTGCCACCAGCAATGCCAGCTGTCGGGCACGGCCTTTCCGGCCCCTGAAAACCTTGAATAGAGTCATGTCATCAAGCTACAACAATTGAGTGAGCTGCTGCGGGCCAGGCGTACTGAATTATGACATAATGGGCCAGGAATCTCGGCACCATTGTTGACGGTCAAGGCACATGGTTCCACTTGATAAGTGAAGATCTGTAACGAACGGGTGGTTGCTGATAGTGCTGCCAGCCTTGCCGGACCCACACGTGCAAAATCTCTGCCCCGTCGAGCTGCTGTGCTGCCCGAGTGCTCAGGGAGCTGCGCGCAAGCGAAGGAAGCGATCGGCGATTTCGGTGACGCGGGCGGGCACTGATAGCTGGTTGGACGATTAGAGGGGCCTGAAGGGATGGACACGAAAGACTGGTGTTTCGAGTCGCAGACGGACAGCGCACAGCGTGCCAGGATGACGTGCGTTGCGCATTGTGTTCCTATCGCAGGCGGCTGTTGGCTGGCTGCGAGAGAAGGACCCTTGGGGCGGCTCCACGAGGGCGGAGCCGCTAGAAAACACAGCAGCGTCGAGAGGCTTTCCAAGCACGGGCTCGGTGGCAACGGGCGGGCCCAGCGGCGCCGGGCCCCGTCCGGATGATGTCAAAGCGGGTGCAACCTGACTAGCACACCTGCCGGCTGCCGGCTGGCACGCGGCCCAGGCCAGCTGCTGGTCCCCCGCCAGCGGCTCGCAGCCCGGCCCTCGCATCCACTTCGCGGCCGGCGCTTTCGCGGCTCGTGCTCCACCCTTCCGTGGGTCTTGTCGATGCACGCGAGACAGGCCGCCCGACTCGCTCGTCGAAACGGATGCAGCCACGCCCAGCGCGGCGAACCCTGCCGAGGCTGTGGACAGAATAAACCGGACAATGTGGGTCCATGCTGTACAGCACCTGTCCGGTTTATTCTGCCCACAGCCTCGCCTGCCTGCCAGCGCGGCTGTCAGCTGCTGCAGGAGGGTCCTTCAGGCACATCTCTGGGCATGCAGGCAGAGCCGCATGGCGCCGGCACTTGGCCGACCTCCCCCTGTCCTCTCAGGGTTCACCCCCGTGTCGCCTTTGTAGCGCGCGTCCGAGTCTAGCGCAACCGTGGCGATCTCCTGGTGGGCACCAACCCACCGCCCAACGACCCTTATGCTGTCCTCTTGCGTCAGTGAGGGGCTTGCTCCTTGCCCGAGTGTATCATCCAGATATGCGCTCGACAGCGGTGTCGTGCCAAGTGGCCGTTGCTGATGCCTCACGCAGCTGCCCGAGGCGCAATCTCTGCACGGGCGACGGCAAAAGTCCCGGGGGCCCGGCCGACGTGGTCGGGATGTCATGCCATCTTGCTCGTAGACGGCTCTCTTCGACAGTCGATATAAGAGCTCTAGCCCGCCCCTCTTGATGACATCTTTCTTGCTTGCTAACACAACAATCATCATCCCTTTCCCGTCCCACGTCTCTACCTGTTGCTGCCACACATCTTGCCTTAGTACAGCACAGAAGTCACCCTTTCCCAGTTCCACTAGCCTTCAGCCATCATGCCTATGTTTGAGGATTCCGACTTTGGCGTCGAGACGCCCACTAGCCCTACCCAGCTGAGGATGAAGCAATCCCAAGCCAGCATGAGCGGCTCGCCGCTGGCCGGGAGCCTCGCTATTCCCTCCGAGAACCGGGAGGATGGTCCGATCGAGGTCCCGGCCACCCGCTCCTCCGTCTCAGAGGCTTCCAAGTACATGCACAACCTCAGTGTCTCCCCTTCCATGAGAGCGCGGAGGAGCTCGCGCAACTCTTTCGGCACATCGCTTCCCATTCCCCGGAGCAAGAGACAATCTCGCCTGTCCTCTGTGCACTATCCTGATGGAGTGCCTACCGGTCAGCCCCAGCGCCCGGGTATGCCTCCGATCCAGCCCACACGCGCTCTTTTGGCTGCCCAGGTCCAGTCGGTCTCTGCCGACAAGGTCAAGAAGGCCAAGAATATGGCTTTCGCCTTCGACATTGATGGTGTCCTGGTCCATGGCGACCGTCTAATCCCCGAGGGCCAGCGTGCTCTCGAGATTCTCAATGGCGACAATGAGCTTGGCATCAAGATTCCCCACATCTTCCTCACCAACGGCTCCGGCAAGATCGAGACTGAGCGTTGCGCACAACTCTCACGCATCCTGCACAACCCCGTCTCGACCGAGCAGTTCATCCAGAGCCACACTCCCATGAGCGCTCTTTCCGAGTACTACCACACCGTCCTCGTCGTTGGTGGTGAGGGCTACAAGTGCCGCGACGTCGCCGAGCAGTACGGCTTCAAAGACATTGTCGTGCCCAACGACATTGTGGCTTCTGATCCCACCATTGCCCCTTACCGTGTTTTCACCGAGGAGGAGCGTGCGTCTTCGCGGCCTCGCGACTTTACCAAGACCAACATTGATGCCATCCTGGTCTTCTCCGACTCTCGCGACTATGCGACCGATATGCAGATCATCATGGACCTGCTCCGGTCCGAGAACGGCCGCCTTGGCACGATCGCCAAGGACCCTGTCTCGCAGCGTATCCCCATCTACTTCTCGCAGGGTGATTTCCTTTGCCCGACCGAGCACCCCATCCCTCGCATGTCGCAGGGCACCTTCCGCATTGGTCTCGAGGCCATGTACAAGGCTCTCACCGGCGTCGATCTTGAGCGCGTTGTCTACGGCAAGCCCGAGATGGCTACCTACAAGTATGCCGACGAGATTCTCACCTCGTGGATGGGGGAGCTCCACGGCGAGGAGAGACTGCCCGATAACGTCTACATGATTGGAGACAACCCGGCATCTGACATTATCGGCGGAAACCTCAAGGGCTGGAACACTTGCCTGCTGCGCACCGGTGTCTTCCAGGGTGGCGAGAACGACATTGAGAACCCGGCCAACTTTGGCGTCTTCCCTACTGTCCTCCAGGCCGTCGAAGCTGCCCTGCGCAAGGAACTTGGCGATGACTTCAAGATGAAGTTTGACGAGGAGAGCATCAACCCCATCAACCACGATGGCAAGGCTGGCGCTGCCATTGAGTAGAATTATATACCCCCCACCACCTTTTGCATTTGGGCATGAGCGCAACGATATAGAATGGGCAGGAGTTCTCTGGCGTCTCTGTTTTGGTTTCCATATCCATAGTTTCAAAGCATCTAGGACTAGTATGCAGAATTTCATTACCTGACCAACACCGATGTGCTGCTGTGCGTGATTTGTATTGCAATGTGTGCATACGTAGAAGACTCTATGCAACGCGCAACTGCCATGGTGCGCTTTCACACGCCAGATGTGGACATGTTCCGATTAGTTGTCTGACAACGTTGAAGAAATAGTTCAAACATTCGCGCTTTGAGAGTTGGGCTGCAAATAGTCGACAGGTTGCAAGTGCCCAGGTGTTCTTGAATGCAAGGTTTCCATGGTTGTGACCAGACACAAAAGTGTGCTAGCCCAAAGTGGCTTAGGTTATTTTGAGGGCTGTCCGGCATTGGATCCTGTTGGTTCCGGATCCAGATTCTGGTCAAGGGGCAAAATGACCAGAATAGCTCCGAGCTCGTGAGAATGCACATGTACGCTTGGTGTTAATGACAGAGTCGGTGCTGTTGAAACATGTTGTGCTGGCATTCTGTTGCAATTTGGCATCTTGCAACAGTTGACTGTCGGCATATTAACGCGCGAGCCCGGCTGGCCTGGGGACCCTGCACATGCAAGTGACGGTCCACTCCAGCAACTGCTATTGCTTCACGCTCGCTCCTCCCCAGCCCTTCTTGGCGTCAGGCGTGCCCGCTCAACTCCTCCGGCGCGTCAACGACCAGAGCCTGCAGACTGGCGCGACGTCCGTTGCCTCGCACCCTCAACAGCCTGCTGACAAGCCAGTCTCGTGGGCTTTTGCGTCCAGCAACCATTGCCTCCTGTGCCAGCAGTATTATTGTTCCTAGCCCGCATCCGACGACAGTTTCCAAGCAGCACCTCTCGTCCTGGGCGCCCCACCAGTCTGTATTCGGCCTGCATCCCCACGACGCGTCGCTACCACTTCGTCCAAACTTCTGCGCATACAGCACAACACCACCTGTCGCCAGCTTCGCGGTCCACGCCCACGGTTGTGGCAACTCTTATACAACGAGCGCGTCCACTCGCAATCGTCGAACTCGTAATTGTTTGGTCCGCGGGCTACGTGAATGACAATCAGCCACCCCAACCACCACCCACGATTCCAACCGTGGCTTGACAGCTGTGCGCATCAGAGACCACAACATGACGGAGGGTTTCTGCCGCTAATCGCCTGCTCCATCGACGACTCTTGGAGCCAACGTCCCGGCCCGTTGCCAGAATACAGAGTCTCCTGCCGCCTTTCGCTTCTCACAGCACGCGAACGCGTCGAGTACCACCCACAACACCATGCCAACCCTCCAAGTCACCCCAAGGTCCTCGGATCTCCTTCAGACAGTGGCCGACACACTGGGCAAATCGCGAAGGGTTGTCGTCATTACTGGTGCTGGCATCAGTACGAACTCGGGCATACCAGTACGTCGTGGCTCCTCGCTGATTGGGTCATTGCACATTCTAATATACTAATTGGCACGCCACAGGACTTTCGCTCGCAGAACGGTCTCTATTCCCTGATCCAATCTCAGTATGACAAGGCTCAGGCATCTGCGCTCGCCCGTGATGACGAGGACGAATTCGAGTCGAGTGGCCGAGCAGCCAAGCGTCGGCGTACTTCGATAGATCGCGCTTCAACTGAAGATAGAGACGCGTCAGAGCACGAGAATTCGGAGGCTGAAGACACGAACTTGACGGAAGGCGACTCAATCCAGGCCTTGGAATTACCGAGCCTACCTCCACTACATCCTAATCCAGTCGCTAAGTTGACCTGCGACGAGGTTTTAGCGAGGAACCACGCGCCGCTAACCACGGCTCCTTCCATCACCCGACTGACACGATCACGTGCATCTGGGATCTCAGATACGACACAGCAAGGGGGATCATATTCAGATCCTTCGGTCATGTCCCACGAATCAGCAATATCAAATCCAGGGCTTTCGACAACTTCTTCTCAGACGGACGAAATGGACTCTCCAGATGAAGGTGAAGATTCGATCCAATGTGTGCCCTACCGCACACCAAAAAAGTCGCGATTAGCTGCCATGTTCAGCTCTTCCCCTCTGTCTTCACCACCTCCGATTCTGTGGGACCCATACGAGAACGCGTTGCCCTCCACTGATATAAGCTCCCAACCTGCATCAGACTCGTCAGACGATTCGGATGCAGAAAATGCAGAGCACTCTGTCAACTTCTTTTCCACCTCCCAAGGCACACGACTACGCACGATGAAAGGGCGAGACTTGTTCGACAGTAACATCTGGGCTGATCCCGTCAAGACATCGGTATTCTACCGGTTTGCCACCTCATTGCGGCAGAAGGTCAAAGATATTGAGCCAACGGCAACGCATCGGTTCATTGCTCAATTGCGGGATGTCGGGAAGCTGGCTCGAGTCTACACGCAAAACATTGATGAGATCGAGAAGAAACTGGGGTTGTCAACTGACCTGAATCACGGGGCAGGCAGCAAGCGACGACGCTCTGCCAAGGCGGTCATGCAGCTGCAAGCAGAGCAGTCGAGCGAAAATATCCAGCAGACTGTTGGGGAAGGCTCACAAGAGCTTTCATCGCAATTCGTGGACAAGCTTCCAGGCGCGGTAGACAATGCAGACTCACTCGAAAGACGCGAGCAAAAGCGCCCAAGAGCCACGATACCACCAGAGAGAGGTGTGGAGTGCGTGTTTTTGCACGGATCCCTTTCCTCCCTGAGATGCTTCTTGTGTGGCAAAGTTGCAGATTGGGACGAAGACGATCGCGAGTCCTGTACCCTCTCCGGGGAGCAACCGGAGTGTCCCCATTGTGCTGGCGCAGCAGCCGCTCGTGTTGAGAAAGGGCGGAGGGCCTTAGGGGTTGGCAAGCTGCGCCCAGATATTGTGCTATACGGCGAGGAGCATCCGCAGTCAGACTTGATCTCCCCAATTGTCCAGCACGACCTTTCTGCCGGGCCCGATGTGCTCCTCATTCTTGGCACAAGTCTACGAGTTCATGGTTTGAAGATCATGGTCAAGGAGTTTGCCAAGTCTGTACACAGCAAGGGAGGGAAAGTTGTCTTTGTCAACTTCACCAAACCCTCCGAGAGTGTTTGGGGTGACGTACTCGACTACTGGATCGAATGGGATTGCGACGCTTGGGTAAACGACCTGCGAGAGCGTAGACCAAGTCTGTGGATGTCGACCGAGGAGGTTCAAGAGCAAGATCGACAAAGACGCGAAATAATTGCCGAAAAGAAGCGCGAAAGCCTTATTCGACGCGAGAACACGATAGAGAAGAGGCGTGAAAGCCTGGGAGAGAAGCAAACCACATGCAACGACAGCAGCAGAGTACCGGCGAAGAACCCACAAAGCATGCGAAATGACATGCAATGTGGTGCTTATCTCGTATGGGAAATTATGCAGTCTCTTGCGAAGATTGGAAAGCGCCCATTTGATAACCTGGCTACCATCGTGGAAGCACCATTGCGTGCAAAGGAAACACCTATTCCGCCACCTACTCTGCCGGTCTTCGCTCGTCTCCTCCGGGAGAAGCCTAGCATTACTATGTCCGCAGTCAACGAACCAGCGAGGGTTGAGGTTACCGCGGGCACGGCACTCTGCGCGCCAGCTTCGACCCCTGCGCAAAAGCTTGCAGGCGACATCTCGTCAACCCCAGCGAAACGGAAACGAGCACGCAAGTCTGCGCCGGCGAATCTTTGCTCGGCCCTGGAAGCCGGTTTGGAGGCCAATATGAGCTCCACGGTGCCTAGGCATCAGCCTCAGCTTTCATCGATCCAACAATTCAAGAAAGCAGCTGGCAGTTTGCCCCGCGCCAGCGATGCGGATGCTGTGGTTAGGATGAGCGTCCTCAGCCGGCCGCCCTCACCAATGGCGCTTGCAGCGACCATTATATCTCCTTCGCAGTCGATCCCTGACGTCTCAGCCGCATCCATCGGCGCAGCCGTCAAGAGCAACCCGCGACGGAGGAAACCCAAAGTGATATATGATCCTACACCAGAAAAGGAGGTCAGGCAAGCTGGCAAGAGGCTTCTACCACCCCCGATCCCATCGCCACCTACTCGGCCAGAACAGCGACAAGGGCAAGAAGGAACGCCACAGTTCGAGAGCAGGACGTTCCTACCTCGGCTCTCTGTCGAAGCGACTGGACCAGCACCGTTTCTCGAGATGAAGCTGCAGCTTAGTCCGCTGCAGTATCCTGTGAGGAACATCCGGCCAGCTCCATATGTGTTCCCCGAGGAGACGTTTCGAATGAGCTTTAGTGACCCCTTGCGGAAACTCGGCTATCATGGAATACCGGAGCCCATGGCAGTCACAGCACCTCAACTCCCCGGCTCTCCGGAGGATGCCAGACAAGATGTTGAACGGGCAGCATCGGAGCAGCTGCTCCGTGAGGAGGAAGCGGCGCAGACCTTGGCGTGGATGCAAGGTATCTCTGGCCGCTAAAAACAGGTACGGGTCGGCGTAAATGGCTGCGCATGTCAAGCAACAGTTTTCTTTATGAATAGATACCCCGGCAAATAGATCCATTGCAATCGTTTACTTGGCGAAAGCGATCTAACGTGTTAGTCGTTGGGAGATTAAGAATGAACGTGCCATGCGGACTGCAGTGTTCCGTGCACTGGACTCTTGCCCGCCGCCTTGCTGTGACCAGTGGGCCCTGGCCATCATTAGGCATCATTATGCTTGACGCAAGCCACAACACCAGGCTGCCAAATTGGAGGCCGGAAATCGGGAGTCTCAGAGAGGTACTAGGTGTTTGAGCCACTGCACACTTCAAAGGGCAGTTACCCGACGTTGGCGACTGCAAGGTACCAAGACGTAACCCCACCTCGTTACCTTGATTTCTGGACCTTGGTGCCTGCCTGCCAATGACCAGCGAACAGTGGCCAACTCTCATCATCGACTCATCGTGCGCTCAACGTCATTTTGAGAATCTCGTCATCTGAAGCCACGAGTGGTCATATTGCTGTGTTCATAGAACCCAGCCAGAAGAAACAAGCACAGCCAGCAATTCGTATGTTCCGTGCCACCAGGAAGATGACGGCGATTCCAGCATCCGACATTCCCAGCCTGAGCTTGTTGTATAAGCTACACAAGCTGGCGCCTACCACCCCATCGCGCCTCGTCGCGGGCGCAACATCGGCACACAATGACCGCATCGGCCTCTTCCGCGGAGACATCACCCACCTGGCAGTCGACGCCATCGTCAACGCGGCCAACACATCGCTTATGGGCGGCGGCGGGGTCGACGGCGCAATCCATCGCGCGGCCGGCCGGCAGCTTGTCGAGGAGTGCGCAACGCTGGGAGGATGTGAGACGGGCTCGGCCAAGATCACCAACGCCTACAAATTACCCTCTGACAAGGTGATCCACGCTGTCGGACCGGTCTACAACGACGCTCACCCGCTGCGCAGCGAGGAAAAGCTCGCTGGCTGCTACAAGACTGCGCTCGAGCTCGCGGTGCAGCACGGCGTGAGGACGGTTGCCTTCTCTGGAATCAGCACGGGCGTGTATGGATACCCCAGCCTGGACGCAGCGATGGTGGCGTGTGGAGTCGTCAAGACGTTTCTGGAGACCGAGGAAGGCAGGCAGGGGATTGAGAAGGTCGTGTTTGTGACATTCTTGGACAAGGACGTCCGAGCCTACAACGCGGTACTTCCGTAAGCATCCTCTATTCTGCAATAGGTGTCGAGAACGTGGACGACTGACATGGACTCTCCGGCTCGCGGAATTCAGACGGTTCTTCCCTCCCGCGAGCGAGGCCGGCTTGAGCGAGCGCTCGACAGAGGACAGCGCAGCGGAAGCCGAGGCCGAGGCAAAGGCTCAGCAGCTCCCAGACGTCCCGACGACGGACCCAGCGGGTAATGAGCACCAGCATACCTCAAAGAAGCAAAAGCAAGACGGGGACGACATTTGAACAGGGTCTTGCGCTCAATATGCTTCGTCGCATTTCCCCACATTCTATTGCAGGGTAATGTGCCGGGTTCAAGCGGGAGACAGAGCTAGTCTTACAGCACAGATAAGAGTCGCATCAAGCAATTCGTGCTTGTCAACATACATGGACCGGCCGAGTCCATGGCCATGTCCTTCAAGTCCGAGGAAGTGGGGCCATTGCGCTGGCAGACTTGCCAAGCATCTAGAGCTTGTAAGGGGGGGAGTGATTGGCAATATCGCGAGTAGGGCGCACTTGCAGAGGGTATGGAAGAACGCTTTGGCACAAGTACAGGGCGTGGGATTTTGCCCTTGCAAATGCACTGGTAGTATGCTGATGAGAGCTCAAGCACCAGCCAGCTCTCATACCTGAGGTGGTTAGCGGAGTGTCATAACTCACATTGAGAAGTGCTAAATATAGCAGCAGTGCGGTAAAGCCACCTAATTTCCAGATATGTGGAACCCTCACTCTTGGAAGATTGTAGTTGCGTGCTCGGAGAGGGACAGCACTAACTATTGTTCAGTGCGCTGTTCGAATTTTGGGCATGGCAGATCATTCCTAGCTTCTAGAGAGCCTACAGGACACGTCTCCTGCCGCTAACAAACGATGTACCCGTTTAGCTCGGTGCGACTCATTCGACGTGAGTGGTGCCTGGCCAAAACCTGGCTGTCGCCAATTGCGAGGACGACTGCCTCGTGTTCCAAGTAATATTGGGCATTGTTACGTTCCCTGACTAATGCTTCCGCACTTTGCTCAATACGTCTTCACAGAAATATTCGGTACCAGATCTTCAAGGCACAATAATTCATCATTGTTGGACCCCATGACCCACCACTCACTTTCCTAAAACTCCACGGCCAATACTCTGTCATCTTGGTTCTCAAAGTGACCTCGTCTTCCAAATGCTGCCTGCTCCCCTGACACAGTCACACCTTTTAGAGTTCCACCGCTCTTCTGATATCGACTTCAGGCAGCGGTGATAAGGCTCATTGCTCGCGGAATAAGCAAACGCATACTTTCGACAGGAAAGACCACTGCCAGAGGCGCAGAGTGACACAGCCGGCAACCAAGCAGAGAAGCTGTCCAGCGGAAAGTGGTGTGTCAGACACAGCATGGACGCTTTTCGACGTTTCCTCCTCCTTCTGAGCACGCTCGCTCTCTGCCGTGCGGGCATGGGAGAACTAGAAGAGGCTCTGATACCCAAACGCTGTCCCAATTTCGTCAAGGCAACGATCCCGGGGTACCATTCCTCATTCAGCACCGATCTGCTCCACCAGAAGCTCAGGGACTGCCCGAATGTTAGAGCACTGGACCTCCGGCTCACTTTGCTTGGCTGTACAGAGGGGCCAGAACGTTGGACTTTGCCGTTCCGACACGGAGAAAAGAATATATATCCTGCATTGACATGGCTACGGCTTGAGGGGTATCGGTTTCACGAAGTCACGTATGAACGGAGCATGGCTCAAAACTGGTTCGCCTCGACGAATCTGGAGTTGTGGGCCGAGGCCATGGACTGGTCAATGCTTGAGACACTGGATCTTGTTGATTCACTCAGTCAGCACTTTGTTGATGTTGTATGGCCCCATCTTGGTAAACTCAAGCACTTGAGCATCCGGGCATGGTCAAACGAAGATGAGCCGGACGCAGCCGAAGCCCTAATTGCACTACCGGGAGAAGTAGGACTCGAATCACTGAGCTGGCAAGGGCCACGAAAACCAGGCGGCTTGGAGAAGGTGCTGAGTCGCTACGGCCATAGCCTCAAGGAACTTGACCTAGGCCTGGGCAGGCCCCTGGACTGGGCGGCGCTTACCATGCAAGAGGTGCGCACCGTGCAGCAGTTGGCGCCAGGACTCAAGAAGTTGTCAGTCGTGGTGGAACGGAATGGGACGTGGCCACTAGAGATGCTAGCGGCGTTGGCCGAGCTGGAGAGTGTGGAGGAGATGGAGCTTGGGTGGCAGCTAGAGACGGAGCGCGTGCTCGAAGCGGACAGGCTGATGAGGCCATGGGTCCACAGACGCGAGAACCCATACCAGCAGCCCGAGTTGTCGAAGCGGGCCGCTGAGGAGTTGTTCGAGGTGCTCGAGCGTCGTCGGAAGGAGACGGGCCAGGGGGCCACACGGCTGAAGCGGGTGGTGCTGGCCAGTGGCAACGGGCTTCGAGCTTGGGATGGCCCGCTGGACACACCCGGCTCGTTTGAGCATGAGCGGGTGCGATACGAGTGTCGCCGCACCCTCTTGGAGGGCGAGGAGGTGGTGTGCGAGGCACGGCGATGAGACGGAGGCTAGCCGCTGGCGCTAGGGTAGTAAGGAAGCTTCTTTGCATCGTTAGTCAAGAGCTTGAGTCAAGCCTTTGGTGGCGCCTTCCCCCGCCTCTCCAACCTGGCGGTCCGCATTCGAGCATTGTCCCCATCCGCATCCAACGCTACCCCAGGTCCGCCCCCACGGCTGGGGCGTTGCTCATCATCATGCTGTGAATGCCCTGCCGTGTCTGCTAGCTGCAGCCGTGTGCCGGTTCCTTCCGGCAGGCTGGGAAAAGAGCTCGTCTGCGCAATCAGCTCGGGCGATAAAGTACAACCGGCCCAGCCCACGCCTTTCTGAGCCTCACCACCTTGCTTGCGTCAGCTCGCCCCGTGCGCGCGCGCTCCTCCTTCCCCGCACCCCAGACCAGGCCAATCTCTCCTAGCTCCAAGCCAGACAAGCCTTTTCGTCCAGATCCCCCCCTTCTTGGCTTGCCTGTCCTGCGAGGCCCGCTGCCCGATCTATTTATTCCCTCGCGTGCCCCCTTGCTCTGGACGTGATTGTCTTCAGTGCCGCAGAGGTCTTCTGAACCATCAAGACTCCCCTCGTGCAGTGTCCTCAGCAAGCCGCCGCGCAGCCAGTCCAGCCCAGCCCAGCCCAGCATGGAATCCCAACTTGCCGACAGAGAAGCCAAGACCCGGCACATGGATCACCCAGACCATCCGCCGTCGTCTGTGGGCAAGTATCTCGCGACCCGTATCACGTCGCTCAGGCCGCCCATGCTGAAGGCCCCAAACCCCATCCGCCTCATCCGCCAGCTCAATCGCCGCCACTGGGCCTTCTTCTTTGTTGCCTTCTGGGCCTGGGTATGCTCTCCCGCTCCGCGCCTTTAGACGTTGTCTCTCTGCCAAGGCAACCACGTACTGACGAGTCCCGGTTGTGTTTGTCTTGCTAGACCTGGGATGCCTTTGACTTCTTCACCGTGTCCCTCACCACTGCGGACCTCGCCAAGGCATTTGGCCGCACGACAACCGACATTACCTGGGGTATCACGCTTGTCCTCATGTTCCGCTCCGTCGGCGCCGTCCTTTTCGGTATTGCCGCCGACCGCTACGGCCGCAAGTGGCCCTTTATTGTCAACAACCTGCTCTTTATTGCCCTCGAGCTTGTAAGTGGTGCGAATGTGGTGATGGTCGTCGTGTGGTTGTTGTGGATTTCCGTGCTTCTGTGTGTCTCAAGACGTCATTAGCCCCCAGTGCCAAGCAATGCCACCCTGGTGGCTTGCAGTCTCTTGGCGCCTTGGCTTGGCTTGGCCGCCGCGCCCCATTCCGCTACCCCACGATCCTGCTCCCCACCCTTGTGCTTGGTGTTTCCTAGGGCTGGGCCACGTCCGAGCATCTGCTGACACCAACTTTGTGTTTCTGACAGGGGACCGGCTTTTGCAACACCTACGAGCAGTTCCTTGCCTGCCGTGCCCTCTTCGGCGTGGCTATGGGCGGCCTCTACGGCAATGCGGCCGCTACTGCTCTTGAGGATCTGCCCGAGGAGAGCCGTGGTGTCATGAGCGGCATGCTCCAGCAGGGCTACGCCTTTGGCTACCTGCTGGCAACGGCCTTTGCGCGTGGTCTAGTGAACACCACACCCCACGGGTGGCGCCCTCTGTTCTGGTTCGGTGCCTGTCCTCCCGCCATTTTCATCGTCTGGCGGTTCTTCCTCCCAGAGACGCAGACCTACCAGGACCACGTCAAGCTCCGCGGTGCTCGTGGCAATGTCGGCAAGACCTTCATCCAAGAGGGCAAGGTTGCCATCCGAAAGCACTGGATTCTATTGACCTACATGGTCCTCCTCATGGCCGGCTTCAACTTCATGTCCCACGGCAGCCAGGTATGTTTGAAGCGCTTGTTCATATCAAACGGTGCCGCGACTAATGATTGCCGCGTCACAGGATCTCTATCCGACCATGCTGCAAAACCAATTCGGCTTCAACGCGAACCAAGTTACAGTAACCCAGGTCGTTGCTAATTTGGGTGCCATGACGGGCGGCACAGTTGTTGGTTACTGCTCCCAAATCTTCGGCCGCCGCCTCAGTATCATGGTCATGTGCGTCATCGGTGGTGCGCTACTGTACCCATACACGTTTGTGCAGAATGACCGCGTCATCGCTGCGGCCTTCTTCGAGCAGTTTTGCGTGCAGGGTGCCTGGGGTGTGATCCCAGTACATCTCATGGAACTTTCTCCTGGCGCGTTCCGCACGTTCGTTGTCGGCACCAGTTACCAGCTCGGAAATCTGGTATCTTCCGCCAGTTCTACTATCGAGGCTACCATCGGTTCACGGTTTCCTCTTCCGCCTGGAGCGAATGGCGTGAGCCGGTATGATTACGGCAAGGTCATCTGTATCTTCATGGCCTGCGTCTACGTCTACGTTCTGATTATGACATTCCTCGGGCCCGAGTACCTCGCCCGCTCCTTCCACGCCGAGGACGACGCCGATTTGGCCGAGGCAACTGGGCATGAGCGCCTGCCTCGCGATGGGGTTGCTGGTTCCGGCGAATCGCGTGATCCGTCCCGTGACAGCAAGGATGCCGCAGCTGAGAAGGGCCAGTCCCGACACAGTGAGCTACCATAATTTGGCTGTCCTTCACATGGGTCAGATACTGGAAATCAGCACTTTGGGAAGAAGCGGGCTTGAGAGTTGGGGACTTTGTACTGCCCATCGTTTGTGTTAAAGCTATGCTAGTCGCCGCAACGGCGTCTGCTTCGTCCAACCGTCTTCTGCGCTTTCACCTGCACTTCGCCACTTCTTCATGTTGGCGAACACGATCGATTTAGGATCGCGTACACAGATATGGATGAGCACACCAGATTGTAGCATAGCTATACTACATGGATACCTGAAATGAAGCAAGGACTTATTACTCCTGCTCGAAGCAACTCTTGTGTCCCAAAGATAAAGTGAGGCTGCCAATTTGCCCCTGCATGTTGATTTGCAAAACCTCTTGAGGCCAAGGTCATAATACTGTTCGCAAAAACCTGCCCAACTCCTCGGCCTCTTCTGGCACAGTGCGCTCTGGCAACGTCGACAGAGCCCGGTGTAATCCATCGTCTTGTGCCGTGGCTTGCGCTATGAGGCTCTTGAGCGTGTCTGTCCTGTAGGCAGAGTAGGGCAGGGTGGCCTGGATGCTGACGAGGGTCTCGAAAAAGTCGACCAGGCTGAGCTGCATGAGCTGGTCTTCCTTGTCTATCATGTGCAGGGCGGCGAACTGCAGCAGCCCAGCACTTCTGCCTTCATTACTATTCTCGGTCGTGCTCGTTGTTGTGATGGTGGTGGAGAATTGCTGATACAGGTCATTCAAGTCTGACCGCGACACAGCTACCAGGTTCAGCGCAGCAAGCCGAGGCAGGATGCGCAAGACCCGGCCCTGGGCTAAAGTGCGCTGCTTCTCGTCTAGCGATGGACTGGGTTGACGAGTGCTGCAATAGGCAAGGATGAGTCCGTAAATGTCGCGGTCTTGAAAGATCCTGCGCCACATGAGCCCCTGGCCCGGCGGTCGTGAGGCTCTGGTGGCGATTGTTTGCGCACTGTTGGCATTATAATCACTGCCTGCTAGTGAGGGCGAGCTAGTTGCGTGCTGGGAATGCTCACAGTCCGTCTCGAGCAAACTGCCGAGCACGCGAGAGGCTCTCTCGCCGACCTCGACATATGGGCTGCTGAGCCACTGGGTGACGAAACTCGTCATCAAGGGCTTCATGACGGCGAGGATGGCCGCATCCCCTGGGGAGCGTGCGCCCTTGGCGAGGACGGAGATTGCGAGTAGGTTTGCGGAGGGCGCTGGGGAGCGCATGGCGAGTATGAGGGCATCCTCGGAGGCGAGGGAGAGGACCTGGGTCAGGGTCAGGGGATCCAGAAGGCGGATGGCTAGGCTGCAGAGGACGGCCGGATCTTGCTGAAAAGCCTTGAGAATCTCTGTGATCTTCGGGAGAAACCTGGGGATGAGAGAAGGGATATTGGACTCTGCGGAGCCCAAAGGTCAGGCTCGTGTAGGCTGCCAAGTGGCGGTGGGCGGATCGTCTTACCTGTGAGCTGGAGTTCGACATGGTCAAAGAGGGCACGCTGGATGTCGAGCGAGGGGTCCTCGATGAGGCTGTCGAGGTGAGCATCGAGCTCGTCGAGCCCGGTGATGGGGACGTTGTCGGCTGCCATGTTGACGGCGATGCGTTCTGTGCCCGGCATGTCGGTCTGCCTGTTGGCAACGCCGGGAAGCCTGAGAGAGTTTGTGTGGGTTTTGGTTGTGTATGCGAGTGCTTGAGGTGTAAGCTGGCAGGCAGCCAAACGGTGGCGTGGCGTGCTGTAATGTCACCCAGGCGTTGCTCGCAGCAAGGCCTGTACCAGATCGAGTCGCGTGGCGGTCTCGAGAGCACAAATGTACTTGTCGTTGATCCAGGATAGGAACCACCTCGATATCACCAGCCGGAAGGGGCCCAGTCCAGTCCTCTTCTTTGAATACGGTGCCCTGCAGCGCAGAGAGCCTGCTCGGCCAGCCGGCCGGGCAGCAGGGAGCGGGTGCGGAGGAGCATGGCGGGCGGGGGCCCACTGCGCAGCTCTCCGGGGACGGCCCCACCTAAATTTCAGTTCAGTCATATCCGCCGCCCGTTCTGCGTCGGCCTGGAATTTTCCTGCCGCCGACGCATCTTTGCTACAACGCCCTGTCGCCTGCCACCCTGCTCCGTCCAGTCGTGCGCGCATACAAACCATGGCTGCCCGCGGCGGCAGAGGAAGAGGTGGTGCCCGTGGGGGTCGCGGCGGCGCCCGTGGCGGCCGCGCACCTCCAGGCATCCCCGGCTGGGACCCAGAGACAAACATGCTTGTCAACGACCAGCCGCTCGACACCTATCCTGTATGTAGCCGGCTTCTGCTGCTGCTCGTACCCATCTACCGCGCGGAACATCGCCTGACCATCCCGTCTTGTGCTCGTAGAAAACATACCAGCCACCCGTGGCTCCTCCACTGTCCGATCTCGACGCCCGCTCCGTCGCCTCTCTCGTCTCCTTCCGCCGCGCTTTCCACGACCTGCCTCTCTACACCCACCGGCACATGGCTGCCGAGGTCATCTCTTCAGCGTCCGTGACCGACCCGCCCCCGAGACTATACGACCAGACCCAAGTCAATGCGCGCTTCGGCGTCAAGAGCAAGGCCACCCTCGACCCGTTCCTCGCCGTGCCAATGTACAGCCACCAGTTCGTAGACGAGTCCCGCACCCTGCCAGATCTCAAATCCCGCGAGTTCGCCAAGCATCTCTTTCCCGACGAGCTGTGGAACACTCTCGATGGCAAAGACCGCCCCACAGCGAACAGCGCCAAAGTCGCCAAGCTCAACGGGCGCGCACCCGTCGGCAGGCGCAGGCTTGAGCCCGATGACCCGTTCTCGGCATGGGACGACGACCCTCTGTCGGGGGCCAATCGTGGGGCGAGCAAGAGGCATGAGAATGAAACAGAGGAACAGCGGCAGAAGAGGATCCGTGAGGCCGCTGAAGGAGGCGGTGCTGGAGGGGATAACGAGGAAGGCGATGGTGATGTGGACCTCGATGATGACGAGGAGGAGATGTCTCAGGAAGACGACGATTTTGAGGACGACGAGGATGGTGGCGACTACGATGCAGAGCAGTACTTCGACGACGGGGTCGATGGAGATATGGAGGACGAAGGAGTCGGCGAAAGCGCGCTCGACTTCTAGACTCGATACGGAGCATATTTCCGTATGCCGTCATAGTCTAGGGATCTGATGACACGCGGGCGAAGGAGCTTCGACAAATGATGAGCAGGCGGGTGTTCTTGGGCGTTGGTCATTTTTCATTTGCCCCGGGAGTTGGACAGCAATTTGGGAAGCAGTTTGCACCCAATTTCAGCATTTGCGTGGCGTTACATATCAATTTAAGATACCGGCGGCCAAGGCTCACTCGTAGACGGAGCTGGTCTTCTCGGATTTCCACATGCCACGGCCCACCGATGCCTGTGGAAACAAGATTCTGGACTCCAACATTTCTCCTGTTCAACGGATAACGTGGTCTACACATGTGGACGCATTTTTGCCGGCTTACATCTGCGAACATCCTTGGAGCGCTGCACGGCTGCAAACAGTGAGTCGTTTTGTGATTTGCATACATTGAGTGGCGTTGAGCAAATTCCAACGTGGCCTCCACAGTCAGCCGGATCCGCCTCGAATGGGGTTTACGACTTGGGATCCGGCATGCATAGTCTATGCTTGGAAGTTGACATCATAAGTAGTCCCAGGCGGAAAGACAAGGGGAAAACGAACACAACCAGCAGGTATTCCTAGCAGTAGCTATTCATCGCGTCTTCAAATGCCGGACCCCCCTTGATATCGCGCTCGAATTCTTTGGCCACTTCCAGAACTTGGCGAAAATGCACCATGTCTAGAGCCTGCCCTTGCGCAACTGCCAAAGCCTGAGCCGTGGTAACTGTGTTCCGAATATGTCGGCCGTTGAGGTCATATTTGGCCAATTCGCACAGGTCGGTATCCGTGAACTCACGAGGGGCAATCTGGGTCCCCACTGGCGCCAGGCCCAAGAACGCCCTGAATATTGCCTTCTTGGACTTGAAATCAGGCTTGCCATACCGCACTGCAACGTGAACATGGGACCGAAGCTCATCGTCAAATTCCTGGACTCGCATCTTAGCTCGCGTCGTCCAGGAGAGGATGTTCACCCCGGAACTCCACTCACCTCTACACGCGCCGTTTTCAGGAACATTGTCCCGCAGAAGGAGCTCAGCTGACGCAAGAAGACATTGACAATACTGTTGCGGTGCGTGTTACGCATGGTCCGGTTCTCCAGATACACATCTGCGTCGCTGATTAAGAGTATCGCACCCCAGCTTCGACAGTTTTCGAAAACCTGACGGAGAAATGCAGCCAAGTATGCGGCGCTCGATCCCATCTCGTTGGTCGAAATCGTATAAAGTGGGCATTTGAGAACCTCGCTGATGGCCGTGACCGTCAGCGTCTTGCCAGTCCCGGACGGGCCGTGGAGTAAGGCTATGAAGCCTTTGCCTCTGCCTGTGATATCTTGATCAAAGCAATCTGTGGCTTGTCTTTTTTGTGTATCCGCTAGAGCCTAATCGTGAAGTCCGATTTAGTGGCCGAGCACGACCTGGTAATCTGGTATGCTAAAGGGGGGTGGAGGATCGAAGTCATACCTTGATGACCGACTTTACTTCAGGCTCCAGCACCACGAAGTCGTAAGCCTGTGCATTCCAACTGATGTCCTTGACGCCTGAGACGAGGAACTCCGCCCAAGTGTTCTCTTGAAGGCTGTAGCCGAGCACGAGTGGCGATGCGAGCAGGTAGTCCTCGTCAGATAGCACAAAAGTTCTTTGTCCAGCTACTTTCTGAGAATTCATATCGACAGACAAGGTATTTCCGTCTAGCAACTCGAGCTCCGGAAAATGTTCGGTCGCATCCCCATCAGAATCTGGATTGTCTGCGCTGTCCTCCTCGCCGCTAGAATCGCCACCGTCGCTCGTGTCGCTGTCATGACCTTGGGATCTAGTCGGGGCAACCACGCCAAGGGGATTGTTTTGAGGGTGCCTGCCTGCATCTATCATGACTCGACCATGAACCTCGCGACGGATGATACTGGCCTGCGCCCTCCAGAAAGCGGGACCCTGGTAGCTCTTGTGCAGAACGCCAGAGAGCTGTACAAACTTCTTGCCACGCTCGATCAAGTCTCTGCGTACGTTTTCGCTATTCTGATGGTACTGTAGTGGTACCACATTCAGACGGTTGATCTTTCGAGTTCCCCGAAAATAGTCAATGTCGGTGTAGACATTACGGCGACCTAGTCTTTTACCATCAAAGTCGACATACTGCGTCCCCAGTCAGAACAAATGCATCCGGCATCAAGATAGATATGTAGGTGCTTCTGACGTACCGTCCCCTTTATCCAGAAGGATGTGGTGCGAGTTTCACGAACGCGGCTCTGGCATTTTCCCACACGAAACACCTGGAGCTCCCCAGCTTCACCATAGACGTCCGTGAAGGCCAAGGTGTTGGGCCGCCAGAGAGTCCAAAGGAGATCGAACGTAATCAGCCCATTCTGAAGAAGTGGCTTAAGTCTGAAATTGGCACAGGATCAGACCTTGCCATCGTGCTGAATTTCGCATGTCTGCGTGACTATCACAATAGTAAGGTACTTACTTGTTTAGGATCTGCTTATAATCCGCCTCAAGATATTTGACAAGAACTTTGAGGTTTCGTCGTTTTTTATCGATCAAATCCTGGGCTGCCTGTAACATTTTTCGAGATTTGCCGCTTGGGACGATGTCCTTGAGCTTTCTCCGTAAGGAACGAATGTCTTCGAGGTAGCTGTTCAGGAGACTGTCAGAAAATGAGGCCCCATACCTTCGTTACAGAACCTCTAACTTACAGGAACAAAATGTCTGGGTCGATCACCATGTTCTCCTCCTCGATGCCAGATTCTTCAGATTTCCCCATAACCTGGCGCAAGCATTCCTGAATGAGCTCGCATTGAATGTCGACAACAGTGCTTCTATGCTTGCCGCTAGAGTCAATCGAGCGTCGCACATGAAAAAGGTATCCTTCGTATGCGTTGTCTGTGCATGCCTTTGGAGTCTCGTGAAGCTCATGACGGCTCGTCGTCTTACTCCACACTTGGTCAAGACGGATGAAATCGGGCTCCTTTGGCGCCTTCCTGTGGTGCATTGTTGTCTGGTTTGAAATCTGACCATTCGAAGCTTGCATTTCATTCCTCACAAGATTGTCGTGTGGTTCGCGCTGCTCTAGGAAGGGTTCTTCGTCTGGCCGGCCTGGCTCCTGAAAGGTCATGTTAATCTGGCAATTACTCAAAGCAGTCTTGGGAGTCCCGCGGCGACTGCTTGTATTGAAACATGAGAGAGGATAGTGACTATGATGTGTACCGGCGTCCATATTTGTTGCACCGAAGACAGAATGTCCGCAGGATGCATGGTCTCGAGGATATTCATTAGGAGCTGGGTAACGGAGCGAGCCATTTACTGCGCTATGCAACACGTCCGACATTTGGCGCTGCAACTCGCTCAGCTGCTGTCGTAAGGACTCGAGATTCTGCAAGCCCTCATTCTCACCCTGCACTGTTGTGCCTGACACCTTTGACGATTTCTCGGCTCCCATGTGAGGTGCCTTATCCTCGGGCGGTACTGAGGAGTCACTGCTGTAACCTGTAGCCGAGCTGTCGTCCGAAGAAGTAGCTGGTCTTGTTCTGGACTGCCTCGTCTTCAGGGCCTGCCGCTTCAGCTTGCGAGCGTGCTTGGGTGATGAGGTGTCATTTTCTCTATGCTGGCTCATGGCACGACCATGAACAGATACATCTTCCGCCGTTGCTGGGGTGTTGAGATTTGGTGGGGTCTTGTCAACCTTGACTTCTTGGGCAGCCGCACGACTCTTGCAGCCGCTATCTTGTTGTTGTCTGCTATTGCCTGGTGCCGAATTGCTGGGTGCCTCTTCACAAGATTCAAGTACTTGAGGATGGTCTGTCGCTTTTTTGGACGAAGGTGCCGTTTGGGCAGTCTCATTACCCGCAGATGGCGATTCGTCTTTGGAAGAACGAGTGCCGTGGTCGGCAGCCGTCCCATTGCCATGTTCCTGGTCCGCCATGGTCTCATTGGTTCTGCAGATGCGTAATGTGTCACAGGGGTCGGTGCCTGCAGGGAGAAGTGAACTCGCTGCTGTTTTGGTCCGAACGTCAAACCACGCTGATCTGATTTGGCCTACTATGGAGAGAAAAAGAGCAGGAGACTGTGACCGGGTGTAATCTAAACCGAAGTGCACATGAATGTATGGCAGATGGGTGCGTTCAAGCAGGGACGGTTGTTGCAGGTTGTGGGGTTGACACAGGACGCCTCGACGGCAAGGCGGCGTGGTCGCGACCGTGGGAGGAGTGTCAGAATGAAAGCTGGGGACAGGAGGGAAGAAGCATGAATTTATCCTGCTGTGCAGCACAGTGAACGAGCGGCTCCGAGGCAGGCATTGCTTACATGGCTGGTTGGAGTGAGTGTGAGGGTGCATAACTGCGGGGGTTGCGGCATGGCGACAATACGGCAGCTCAAGGCATCCAGGGCTACAGACGGGGCAGCCTATCCGAGCTTGAGGGAGGAGGAGACTTATCGCAGTCAGGTGCTGGGATGGTGGGTGTGAGTTACACAGCCCCTCTGCGGGAGCGGTAGCCGGCTGGCAGCATGATGCCAAGATGGCCTCAAGGTACAGAAAGTGTGGTGGGCGATGATTGGCTGGAGGAGGCCAGAGGATATTGGCAGCCTGGCTTCTTTCCTGGGAGATGGTTGGCCCGTGAAGGTAGATCTGTCAGCCTCCAGTGAGGCTATCGCGATGGTGAGCCTGACCGTCAATGGTCTGGGGTGATGGTGTTTCACTACCTGCACTCGTCCAAGGGTGCTACGCTGGGGGGGCTGCCCGGGGAGCGGGTCTGGCAGCATGGGAGACGAGATCTAGCGCTCTCTGATCTGGATCCGACGTCATCCCGCTTTCGAGCTCCAACCAGCTCCCCACTCGGGCTGTGCCAACCTTTGCCAACCTCTCCAAGCCACCAAGCAAGCTTTTCGGGGAAGGGGGGGGTTTCGCACAGCTCGTGAGCCTCGAACTATTCTTCCTCGTGCTCCATACACTCTACTTTCGCCTGTGCGCAGCCCTTTTGCTCCTGTGATCCGTCGCCAGACTTCCCTGTCCGCAATTTTGGCTGGAAGCATCCGCGCGGTGCTCAATAGCAGCACGGGACGTACGCGACAGTCAAGACGCCACGCACTCTCCATTATCTGCCAACAGTGTCATGGCTCCCAGTCGCTTCAGCTGGAGCGGGCTCCTCGGTTTGAGCTCGCACCCTTCTCACGACCACCATCAGTCTCATCATCGTCGTCCGTCCTCCCTCGTCTCCTTGTGCTCTCCTAGTGCCGCCTCGCCCTGTATGCTGACCTTGGGGGCGCCCCTCCTGACTATATAGTACTGCCGAGCTACCGCGATGACTCGATTGTGTCGGCAATTCCCGCAGAGGATGTCACCAAAATCGCCATCCGCATCCGCTATCTCGTCGAGGAGTGTGTCCCCTGCGAGCTCGCCGAAGAGCTGATCACTCAACCGCACAGCAGGATCATCACCCGCAAGGTCGTTTTGGCTGCTAAGGAGGCTGGCGGTGCCGAGCACCGCGCCTGTGTTGTCTTCTGTCTTCTCACCTCCAAGCGGTGGTTCAAACACCAGGCTCTCGTCGAGCTCTGGGATGCCGACCTGCACAAGCTCCGCGCAAAGGCCTGCGAGATGATTGCAAAGTACATCATTGAGGACGAGGACAACATGGATTACCTCCTCCAACAGGTCCTCCTCAAGCGCTACTCTATTATCTCTGACGGTGCCCCAACCCGTCCTGTCAATGTCATCGAACAGGCTGTCGATCTCCATGCTCTCCCTGTCATCGCCTCTTCCGGCTACCAGAAGTGCATTAGCTATCTGTGGCGTGGGTGGCTAGTTCAGGATGAAAATGATCCCTCCAGCTTCGTCGACTACAAGAACAGGGACAACACTTCCTTCTGGCCGCATCTCGACCCAGACCGCATGCGCGCGCCCGTTTACCAGAACGCATTCCAGCTCCTCGTCTCGATCCTCTATTTGGTCTTGTACACCATCGTCATCAACACCATCAATGCGAAGGGTGGGCTCGATATAGTCGAGATCATTCTGTACATCTTCACCGCAGGCTTCATCTTCGACGAGCTTACCAAATTTTACAAGGCTGGCTATCACATCTTGGGTTTCTGGAACGCCTTCAATAACACGCTCTACTCTCTTCTCGTCGTCTCGCTGGCATTCCGCATAGTCGCCCTGGGTTATCCCGTAGATCATGACACTGAAGGGGGTGGCGACCGCGAGAAGTACAACTCTCTCAGCTACAACCTCCTCGCCCTGACCGCTCCGATGTTCTATGGACGTCTGCTTCTCTACCTCGACACTGTGCGCTTTTTCGGTGCCATGTTGGTGGTTCTCAAGGTGATGATGAAGGAATCCCTGATCTTCTTCGCGCTCCTTGTCGTGGTCATCATCGGTTTCCTGCAAGCATTCATCGGTATGGACGTAGCCGATGATGGTGTGGGAGATGCCACACTTTTCATTTTGCAAGCTATGGTAAATGCGATTATGCAAAGCCCCGACTTCTCTGGCTTTGAACGCTTTGCTCATCCTTTCGGCATCATTCTGTACTATATCTTCACATTCGTCATCATGGTATGTGACTCGACCTCGGTTGCCTCTCAGTACTCCACACGAGCTAACTCTTGTTGCACTACAGGTCATTTTGTTGAACATCCTTATTGCTCTCTACAACAGTTCTTACGAGGACATTTACCAGAACGCTGATGATGAGTATTTGGCTCTTTTCTCACACAAAACCATGCAGTTCGTTCGCGCCCCTGATGAGAATGTATTTATTGCACCGTTCAACTTGATCGAGATATTCGTTCTTGTCATTCCGTTTGAGTGGTGGCTACCGAAGGAGCAGTACGAGTACCTCAACGATGCCATCATGGGAATCATCTACTCGCCCCTGCTTTTCGGCGCGGCCATTTTCGAAACGAGAACGGCCAACGAGATTCGCTTCAATCGCCAGAGAGGCGAGGCCGACGACGACTCGATTGAAGAGTGGGAAGAGTTGCAAGACCAGGTCGACTTCGAGGGTGATGGCTGGGCCAAGAAGGTCTGCGACAGCAAGAGCAATGTCGAAGAAGAACCAGCTGTGGTTGAGGTCAAGAAACTCAGGCAGGAAATTGACGAGCTAAAGGACATGCTTAAGTCCTTGACCAAAAGCTTGGAGGCAAAGAAGGAAGACAGCAGCCTCATATAATTTTGTATGGACGGTCACCTTTGAGCCCACGGCGAAAGGCAGTCTCTTGGTGGACGACAGATTGGTACGGCGTCAATGCAGGTCTGGTTCTGACGAATTGGGGTTGGATACTCAGGTCTGTTGCGCGCAAATCTGCTTTTGTAGCACTTCTCGCTTATCACTTTGTAATCTACTGCAATGAAGCTTGAGATCTTGGGACAATGGTGACATCTCATTTGCGCCTTGCGTAGAACATTGCTCAGTTATTTGAGTCGCAGCTGTGGAAAAGACTCATATCAAATCTGCGTCTTGTGCGAGCGTGGCTAAGCGGCATTCTACCCGTGTCTATGATCGCCGCCCAGATGCAGCGTATATACCAAATCAAAATTGGTGCGATGGACCAAAATGCATGTGAATCGCCTCAGACTGTACTGTCCGGCATGACAGTGCCTACTTCGCCTGCCTCCTCGCCGTCCGTACTGCCAGCCGCTGCGACTGGGAGAGGTTGTTCGGTGGTTGTGTTACTGATTATGCTGTCTCGACGACGCTGGCTCATGCCTTCGATGCCAAGACCAACCTCTCCGACACGTCTAAGAACACTTAGAAGGGCGGCTCTCAGCTCAGGGCTAACCTCTTTTCCGAGCAATTCTACTACGAGCGGGTAGAACGCCCTGACATGCTCCGCAAACTCCTTGTCGGGCCATGTCGTATAGCCCTCCAAAACATCTACGACCACAGGCCGCCATGCGACAATATTGCGTTGTTGAGATTCCTCCTCCAAGGCGATGTATCCCTTGATGACATCCTTGCACAGTGGAATCAAAGCTTTCTCCACCTCAGGACGACTGTCGGCCCGAGACGGCGATGTGTCTGCGAACATGCGGAAGAGGATTTGGATGTATGTCGCTGCGGCACCGCTTTCCTGCTTGAGAAGGTTCGGTGGTTGTTTCATGAAGCCTTCACGCCATAGACGCATTCTTAGCTCTTTGTCATTGTTGAAACGACGGGCAAAGAGGAACGACTTCTTCAGAAGAGCCATCAGGCGCAGCAGTTCGGTGGAAGGGATTTGGTCGTAGACTGTGTCGTTCGAAAATAGCTCATTCACAGTCTCGATCATAAGCAGCTGCAGCACACACCGAGAAATGATGCGATTGAAGAAACGTCTTCGTGCAGCTGTCACGACGATCGGTTGCTGCTGCAAAGAAGAAGCCGGTCTGTAATCCTCTAGCTGCTGTTGAGCTATTGCTTGACCGGAAGCCTCAATGTGTAGGGCTGGGCTTGTCGAGGGTACTGCACCCGCTGGTGAAGGATCTGTAGGCTCTGCTGCACCAGCACCGTTTACGGAACCGGATTTCTCGTCAGGGACTGTTTCATGGGTGGGCGATGTTGGCAAGTCAAACCCAAGACCATTGGGAGGCGGTGACAGAGCCGCAGGTGCAGCGTTGGTGGTCGCGGCCGAAAACAGTTGGTATGCCGTAGTCCTCTCGTAGAGTTCACAGAAAGCGCCAACAATCTTGGCCCAGTGAGACTCGTTGAACTTGGTCACGTTCTGCAGGATCAGTTGCTGCAAACAATTGCTGCCTATTCTCGCGATCGTATCATTCTCCTGGCAGATACAGAGCGCAAGAAGCTCCAGGAATCGATCGAGCATGTACTCCAGGGCGTCAAAATAGTGCGTGAACAGAACGATCATGTTGCGCAGAGCCTGGATCATCGTGGTTGACAACCACACGGACAGCTCCTCATGATTGAGGGCATTGGTCATCTCTGGTCGTGACCGCAGGACCATGAAGATGGGATAAAGCTGCTGCCTCCATAGTATGTCCCAGAACTCTGGCGGAAAGTCTCCGCCGTACCGCAAGAGCGCTTCAAAGAAATAGTTGAGCGCATTCGAGCGCACCTCAAGGTCTTCGCCCGTCATGAGGACATCATGGAACGCGAACAGAATCGGGAACCAGTAGCCTTCTTCGACAGATGTTCCTGCTTTCTTTCTGGAAAGCACATCAGCAGAATTTGTCGCATTCGTTGCGTCTGCCGAAAGCGCGTCCTTCTTGTGGGAAAGTGGACACTCTGGTGTCTTCAGCATGCGAGGTATGATGGACTTGAGCGTTTCCATTGCCTGCAGGCTCTTCTTTTGAAATCTGATGTTCTTGGAGAACTCTGTAAGACACACAATCAGATCCGTGAACGCGCCTTGTGAGATAACAACGCCAAAACGCGTCTTGTAGACGAGATTGACATTCTCATACGCTAGATTCACAATAGCCTCGTTCGGATCCCGCGCCGCGACCGTGAACACACCGAACATTGTTCTCCAGCCGGATCGGATGTTCTCGCCACGAGCCTGGATCATCTGGATGAGGCATCGCAAAGCCATATCCTTCACTGTGATATTCGTGGAGTTTGCCATGACATGCTCAAATGGCTTGAGGAAGTCCTTCTGGAATTTGAACCCGGGAAGTTCCTCGATCTCCATGAACCTCATCGAGAGTTGTCGGAGGGAATCAAGGGCGAAGAAGACGATTGCTGTGTTTACATGGCACCCAACCTTGTTGAAGTGCTCACCCAGGACGGCCCAGATGTTGGCCCACTCGAAGCGCACACGAGTCATGTTGTAGTAACTGATCTCGACGATCTTTTGCAAACTGTACGTTCTTGGGGAGTCATTGCTCCCTGAAACTTTGATCTCGTCCCAGCTGACCTCAGTGAGGGCTTTGGCAAAGTGGACAATTGCCTCACCGCTAAGATTAGCAGTATTGCTGAAGATGCGATCGACGCTTTTGATCATCTCGTCAGACCTGCTTTCAAGCGCAATTTCCATAGAAAACCCTCTAGTACCAGCAGTGGTACGACGTGATGATGCAGTCGACTTGCGCGAGTCACTGGTGTTGGTTCTCTCAAGAGGAATGAATCGAGCCTTCGAGACGTCGGGGATCGAGCCCTCGTCCACACCGCCAGTGATGAGTTGCAGCCGGTCTAGCTGACTGATACACATCAGTATATCTTTCCAGGAATCCCGCAAATAGTTGCCCTCAGTTTGTCCCAATTCGAGCAAAACTCTGAGCGCTTCGACATTTTTCGCGAGAATTTCTTGCGGGTTGTTGAGATTGGCTGCGTTTTTCAGGGCGGTCATGAAAGCTTCCCGTGGAGTAGACAGCTCAAACATGCAAGCGATCTTGATAGCGTGCTTCATGCCTTCGAGACAGAGCTTGTTCACCTCTAGGTTTTGTGCTTTTTGTATCTGACTCGACAAAGCCGAGAAAATTGACATCCAAGCCACGTCAAACATAGCCCCGACGTGTCTTGAGGAGGTTGCTGGAATGAAGCGGATGCCAGATTTGGCGGCGTTCTTGCGCTGGTTCTTGAAAAGGGTTTTGAATAATTGCTCGGAGCGCAAAGATATCTCTTCCGATTGCTGAACATAGGCTTCTCGTTGAAGATCCCTACCGACGTTGGACAGTGCCTGTCCGAGGCCCGCAGCAAAGCCAGTAGATTGAGACGCGTTCAAAATACCAGCAGCAGCCGCAAGATCGCGCTCGCTCTTCAGCACGATCTCATTGCTGGCAATTTCGTCGTAGATGGCGATCAGATAATCCGGCGGCAAATCAGCACCGTCGTTGATGCCCCGGTTGTTCTTGATGAAGTCATCCTTTGTCATGCGCTTGTCCTTCATCTTGGCGCTGTGGAGATCTGTGTTGAGGAGGATGACGGAGTACGCAAGAACGTAAGCAGTATCGGCGTTGGCGTAGGCATTCGGGTTGCCCGTTACATAGCGATTGGCAAACTTGAGCATGAATCGATCAATCTTTTGTGCCTCGCCCGGCAGACGAAACGACTGGAGGAATCCGCGAAGCGCATCGACGAATCTTTGCTTCGCGAAGTCCATCGTATCAACAAAGGCGTGCATTATTTCAATGTTCTTCGTGTCGCCTTCGCCAAGAAATTCTCCGATTTGTGACTTATCAAGACGATCATCGCGTCTCAGAAACTTTGCGATGTCTTCTGGGCTGTCGCTCGGGATGAAGCCTTCTTGAATCAAGATTTTCATGCCCTTCTTTGGCTTGAAATTGAAATGCCGGATCGCATTCGCCAAGGCAGTTTTCCGGGCCTTCTCCTTCTCCAGCTGTTCCGGGTCATCCTCAGCCATTGGCGTCGAGGGACCGACAGGCGTTTCTCGTGTCGTGGTGTCAGCGCCCGATGGGTCAATGGATTCCCGAATGTCCTCCATTGAAGCACGAGCATCTCCTTCAGCCGCAGCACCATTGACATCCGCACGGCCTGCGGAAGACCAATTGACCAGAGATCGCAAGGCTTCCACTAATGATTCAAGAGCACTTCGTTTGAGGGCGTATTCCTTTGGCACCTCAGGCTCGAGCTCTGGTGGTGGCACGATGTCTCTCACATTCAAGGGCGGCGGAAGCACGCCCTTGAGCTGCCACTCAATGGACGCGCCTGCACTTGCTGTACTTTTTTCGTACAGTTGTTCCTGTGCAGACGAGACCGGTACACCAACACTGGCGAGCTTGGCGAGATCCTCGATGACAGTCTGGAAGATGTTATCCACATGGCCATCACAATCATAATTCAAATATGTCTCGACCAGGGCTCGCGGATCTCCGGCAAATCGTCCAAGGATAGCAACGAAATACAGCTTCTGGGAGATAGGCGCTGTGCGCCTTGCCAGCAACGCCAAGTAGATCTCGTTGAGAAAGACCTCTATCTCTTTCTGTCGGCAGAAGTTAGCAATCCATGCCTCACACGTTATGCGTGAGAAATGAGAAAGGGGGAGAAGCTGATAAAGCCATAGGACATGTGGATACCAACCTTGAAAGGCGCCCGCATGAATTTCAGCATGAGCCAAAATATCTCACAGGTAACTTCGAAGACCTTGTCCACTGAGCTGGCACCATTTCTCGTGATGCTCAAGCATAGGTAAAACTTGATGGCTTGCAGGAAACTTGTCTGCTCATTATTCTTGGTATTGGTAATAGTGCAGAGTGGTGAAGTGAAAACGAGGATGTTGTTGTTGAGCAGCGTCCGGATCAGGTGTAGAGAGATGAGCTTGGAGCGCATGGGCTGCCCGCGCAAGTCGTAGAGCTGGTCTGGTGGCAGAACCTTGGTAGACAGGTTGCAGAAGGAGCGGAAGACAAGATATGCATCCCTTATGTAGACCTCATCTTCGGCGTCCAGCGCCTCGGGCGAGTCGTCCGGCCCGGCGTCACCCTGTGTCTGAGGCGAGGCCCCTGAGGTATCAGCCTTGTCGTTGGTTCGGAGTTGAGTGACCATCGTAGGCCCGTCGCCGAGATTGGAGTCGTCGAAGCTCTTGCGGTGCTCCAGGTCCTTGAGTGTCAACTTCGCGCCAGTGTGCACCTCGCTGTCTGGATTCGATTCTGAAGGGGCTGTATCGGGCGAAACAGTTTCGGGTGCTGCGCTTTCATCATCCAGCCCACCAACGTTGTCGGCGTCGGCATCGGCATCGTTGGGGGCTGATGGGCCACCGGGTTGCCGATACTCAGTCTGCTCTTCAGCAAGGTTACCGGAGCTATGCTTAAGCTTGCTCAGGCCCAGCCGAGCCTCTTTCATGTGCAATCTGGACTTGACACGCTCAAACACCATGCCAACCATTTGGGTGAGGGTACCCTGCGCTGCCTGCTGGTTCTCCGTGCTGCGAGAAAGCAGGAAGACATTGTAGACCTGGCGAACAGCCTTGAGAAGACCCGCACCGTGGACGACGATCTTGTCGCTCAGGACGGCGGCAAGCAGGGCTTGTATTATATGGCGCTGAACATCGACAGGTGTGGTCTCTCCTTGAAAACAATCGCAAATGGTGTCGATGGCTCTATCGATCATGGGCGCCTGCTCGGCGCCATCTTGCTGAGCGCTGCCGCTTGAGGTGGCATCGGGTGAAAAGTATGCCGATGAGATGAGCTTCTGGATGCAGTCGAGGGCTGCATTTATCAAGGTGCTGCTGCCAGACTTTGTCGCCAGCTGCAGAGGGGCGAAGACGACATTGGGGTCTGGTAGGTCGGAACCGGCATCCTTGAGGGCCTGAAGGGCCTTTGTGGCCAGCTCGCCCAATTGTTTGTTGCGTTGAGCCTCCTTGGAGGCAGCAATAGCCTCGAGCGGAGCAACGACGAAGACGAGCGCACTCATCGTGTCGATTGAGCTGGATGGAACAGAGGGCTCGAGAGCCGTGCCATCCGGCTGGGGTCTGTCTGTCACGATGTGGGAAGACGGACGGCTTATTCGTGGGGAAGAGAGGTACGGCTGGAGAGTGGTAGAGCGTTTGCAAGCGTCGGTGAGCTGGGCGATGGCTACGTCGATGGCTGTGGGCGAGGATGGATGAGGCAGGTTTACTGAGGCGCACAAGGTCGGATGTGCGCGAACCGGCGACTTGTATGCATCGTCAGCTTCAAAAAAGCGTCCCCTTTATTGAATGCTCAGCAGTGCCAGGATCAAGCGCGGCTAGGCTAAGGTAGTTGGACTGCAGGTACAATGGTACGCGGCCCTTGGTGCCAGGCTGGCGGCTCTGGCTGGACGGTTAACCAAGGTACGTAGCGTCAAGCTGGAACCCCTTGCCTGTCGAGCTCCCTCCCTAGGGTACGAGCAAAGGCCCACTCTAGCAACCCGCTTTCGTCGCGCGCTGCCGCTCGGCGCCCTGCCTGTTCGTGGCCGTCAACCAGTCGGGCAGGGGCGCGAAAGTCGTCATGTCCCACGAACACCTCCGGGAGACAACGCGGCCACTTGAGCAGACCACGCGGCGAGAGCCTCCTGAGGCTGCAGTGCCAACTACATACAGTATAAGGAGTACGGTGCGGGCATGCCGTGGGACTTTTCTGTATCAATGCGGTTGCACGGGATTTGTGGACGTGCCGCTTGACCATGCCTAGGCTCTTGGAGTACCCGTCCAGCGATGCTCGTTGAGGACACATCGGACAATTGTCCATTGTTTAGGCGCTTGCCCACAGCGACACGGAGCTTGCCAAGCTTGGAAAGTTATTAGCCCGAGAGACGAGGGCCGATGTTGACTCTCAGCCAATTACGACCTGATTGGGCTTCTGCAAAGCCTGAAAGAGAGTAGTGTATTCGTCCAGCTGCTTGCTCATGTATAAACCATCTCCCAATGCGCAAAAAGGGCTACACTCTCGGTCCAAGGCGCTTCTGATATACGTTACTTAAGGCATGAGCGCTCAGGAGCGCGGCATTTCTGTCGCGCCCATCTGGCAGGCGACAAACTCGAGGCTGAGCATACGGGCGCGACTGAGTAGAGAGCCTTGCGTAGGTACGCTCGTAGTACTGGTTGTCAAATGTAGTCTTGCAGTCTCTCCTTGTCAAACTGGTGGGCAACTAGGAGAATCAAAACGGCACGAGGTGAGGGTGGGCTCGAGCGTGCAATTCCGCCTGGGCACAGCTGCCAGTCGAGTAGCGTCAAAGTGTTGACATTGTTGTTGGGGAGGGACCCGACCTGCTCCGATGACCATGTCCAACCCCGCCACTATCCGTACTGTCACTTTGGTGGCCGTTGCACCATCTTTGGCGGCGTCCCAACAGTGCCGGGCACGGCTCAAGTCCCAGCCAGGCGTGCTCCACTTGGGGTCGTTTTATTTTTCTGATGGGCCCCTGCCCTTGAGTGGTGGTGCTGGCAGGCAAGGTGAGAGAGCAAGCTCGGAGAGAGGTGAGAGAGGTGCAGCTCCAGCCTGCGCAGGGGACTCGTCGATAGCGAATTATCTCGCGCTGCACCTGCCAGCTACTTTTTTCCCTCTCCTAAACGGCCCTGCCTGCCTCAACGCCGTCCCTCACGCCATCCCGCCGCCGTTTCCCCTCGGCCTCTTATTGTGGCCAGCTCCCATCGTCTCGTAACCACCTCATTGTCTTTGACAGGGCCGATCCGCCGCAGCCAACACAGCCATGATTGCCAACGTCCTCCGGAGGCGAGTCCTCGCGCCCAGCACCACCCTGCGTGCCACTCAGTCCCTCCTCGCCAGATACTATGCCTCGTTCCCGCCGCATCAGGTCGTCAAGATGCCCGCCCTCTCGCCCACGATGACTGCAGGCAACATTGGCGCCTGGCAGAAAAAGGCCGGCGACTCCATCGCCCCTGGCGACGTCCTCGTCGAAATCGAGACGGACAAGGCTCAAATGGACTTTGAATTCCAAGAGGAGGGTGTGATTGCCAAGATCCTCAAGGACGCTGGCGAGAAGGACGTCCCAGTTGGTAACGTAAGTTGTCATTAGGCTCGGATTTGGGAGACTCTTGCCCTTCCTCGCCCCGTTTACTGGCCGGGTTTCGATCCAGCTGTCGCTAACAACTACTGCTTCTCTTTCGTATAGCCCATTGCCGTTCTGGTTGAGGAGGGCACCGACATTGCCGCTTTCGAGTCTTTCAGTCTTGCCGACGCCGGCGGCGAGTCTTCGGCTCCGGCCAAGAAGGAGACCAAGGACGAGCCCAAGTCTGACTCCTCCGAGTCCACGTCCGCCCCCACGCCTGCCCCAGAGCCCGAGCAATACTCTAGCGAGGGCAAGATCGAGAGCTCTCTCGACCGTGCTCCCAACGCTAGCCCTGCCGCCAGACGCCTCGCCAAACAGAACGGCATTTCGCTCACCGGCGTCAAGGGCTCTGGCCCCGGCGGCAAGATCACTGAGGACGACGTCAAGAAGTCGGGCTCCGCTCCCGCTGCCCCTGCCGCCAGCGCTGGTGCTGCCTTCGAAGATATTCCCCTCTCCAACATGCGCAAGACCATCGCCAAGCGCCTGCAAGAGTCTACCCAGAACAACCCGCACTTCTTCGTCAGCAGCTCCATCTCGGTCACCAAGCTGCTGAAGCTCCGCCAGGCCCTGAACAGCTCCGCCGATGGCAAGTACAAGCTCTCTGTCAACGACTTCCTCATCAAGGCCATTGCTGTCGCCAGCAAGAAGGTTCCTACCGTCAACGCCTCGTGGCAGGGTGATGCAATTCGCCAGTTCAACTCCGTGGACGTCTCTGTTGCCGTCTCTACCCCGACTGGCCTCATTACGCCCATCGTCACTGGTGTTGAGGGCCGTGGCCTTGAGTCCATCTCCAACAAGGTCAAGGAGCTCGCCAAGAAGGCTCGTGACAACAAGCTTAAGCCTGAGGAATACCAGGGTGGTACCATCTCCATTTCCAACATGGGCATGAACGCCGCCGTCGACAACTTCACGGCCGTCATCAACCCCCCTCAAGCCGCCATCCTCGCTGTCGGCACCACAAAGAAGACCGCCATTCCCGTTGAGACCGAAGAGGGCACTACCATTTCTTGGGATGACCAGATCACCGTTACCGCCAGCTTCGACCACAAGGTCATTGATGGTGCCGTTGGTGCCGAGTGGATCCGGGAGTTCAAGAAGGTTCTTGAGAACCCTCTGGAGCTGCTGCTGTAGAAGCTCCACCTATTAGTAAAACAGAATTATACCACGACTGAGGGAAATTACGGGCGTCTTGGAACCATGATAGGAAACCTTTTGGGTCACAACGAACGATTTCGAACTAGACGAGGGGGACGACAAGAAGCAGGGTTGTGCAAACGTGTACAGTCATTAGCATCATACTCATGAATCTGCTTTTGTAATAATACCAAAACAGGAACTTTGGAACATGTAGACCTCGACTCTCCAACCTCGAGTCACTTTTTGCTTGGCGTCTGAAGTTCGTTGGGTAAAGCCCACGTGGCAAAGGCTCCCGATCCACGAGCCACGTTTCGTGAACACTCTGGCACGAGATTATCAAGTGAGTCATAGAGCCGACGTGGTGCGACGTGGTATTTAGTTGCACCCATAACCGTAAAGGCGAAAGCTTGAGGTCTGCAGGGACAGAGTCGGTGGGATAACCGCCAATAGACGATCACTCCCATGGTGACCCGTTGAAGCGATAACGATGGACCAGGCTGATGCTCTCTACCAAACCCTTTGCAGGTTTTGGTAGCCTGCGTTATACCGATGTAACGTAGGTGCTGTTTGCAAAATAAATAAAAGAAAAAATAACAAAACGTAGGCAACCTCTGAGATCAGCTGGCTTGTGCATTACTCGTGCTTTGTGGTGAGTTGTCAAGAGCAACCTCGCGCTGTCGCACAAATGCTCTAATCTTAACATTCTAAATCCAGGCGCGAAATGGTTCTCATTTCTACTGAAGCTAGTCAGCATGGCATTCGAGTCATGCACCCACAAGTAAAGCCTACGGAACAGCACGTCGCGATCGCCAGGGATACCTATACGATGGTCTTGACAGGCATCGCTTGCCAGCCAGCAAGTCGCGGAGGGTGTTCAAAATTTTGTTCCATATGTTGGATATTGTCAGAGTGTTATACGTGTGTGGACTTGAGACCCTGCAGTGCTGTCCGCGGCGGGCTTCACTACATTGTTCTGATCGTGCGTACGATGCTGCCACTCACCACACTCGTCGTTCGGTTTTAGCTATTTCTCGGGGTTTGGTGTCAACACCCTGCCTCGCCTTCATCATCGCCGCAGCTATTCGTGCTTGCTTTAAGATATAGAGGCTCCTTGAGTGATGTTGTCATATCAATACTTCGGTAGCTAAAGTAGTTCCAAGGCGTGTCACCCCAGCCTAGTTCAGACACTATCCGTGGCTCCTGACCTACGCTTGTGGAGGATAGTCATGTTTGCCATCCGGACAGGACGGGTCACATATGGGCAACACCAGAGCTGATGCAGTTCTGCACGCGACTTGTGGCAACAAAGATTTCAGAATGTGCTTGTATTTTGGAGGCAGTTCATTCTAGGCACCAACACTGGTGTGGTATAGGTCGTTTCGTGAGATCTCACGCTCGCGATTGAGTCTTTCAATCAATTCCTGTTATTCATAGTTGGCCCCTGCATATTACGGGTATCTGATTCCTCTAAATCCAGTGTCAGAAGTTCACTCCATTCTACGCCAGGTCGGGTTGAAGGCTCGAGTTTTACGGTTACTGCCAGAACCGGTGATGCTACCCAGCATGGTTCAACGGTACTTGCATGAGAAATTCTCAAGTTGATCGATCCAGCTAAGCTAGAATACTCGTTATCTGCCTGTTCTATAAGAGGGTTCAAAGCATGTGCCGAATAACCTTTCGAGAGACACTTGATGACACATTCGACAATAAAGCATTATGGAAGCTTTGGTGTACCGTCCATGAAGCTACCGCCTTGGACTTCCCCCATTTTCCGATTAGAACCTCCGTGATCCCCTGGCGCAGGGATTTGGCTGTGTGGGATCATGGGCCAGCCACAATCGTCTACATACAACACAGGCATTCCATCCAGTCTCCCGGCAAGTTATGCCAGTGAGATCAGTAACCCTCTCAAGGGCGTCGCTGCTGCTCGTGCTATATGACGCGATGGTCCACCATTGTCGGGGAGCGAATTCGGTCTGTCCTATTCTGCCGCGTTTGCCAAACACATTGATGTCCAAGTCGACTGGGTTGTCCGCCAAGGCCATTCAGATGCTTGTGTGGACCGTGGGAAGGAAGGGTCACTGTGCAAATTACCGATTGAGCTATGACGTCGGTCAGATGCTCTTTTATAATGGCTTGGACTACGACGCCAGATATGACATTCGCAGTGCTATTCTACAAGACAACAAAGTGCACGGTCAGAAACGGACCGATATCTGCATGACCTTGCCTACGGCTTGCCGCGACTTGAGGTAGCGCGATATTTCGGCACCTGGACCGGAGTTGATGCCAGCTGGACCTGGTACAAGTATCTACACAACAAGAAGACGAACCTGTCTGACAAGGAGCGCCCTGTTACCCGTGTCCCTCGTCTCGGGAGCGGGGCTTGTCCGGGCCATCGACACACAGTCTAAGCTTTTCCACGAGTAAGCCCAGTGCCAGGAGCGTTACCTCTGGAGGTGGTGAAAAGGCACGCCATGGGAACCAACCACTAAGTCACAGGGCGAGTGGCTTGTTTTCAGTATCAATTTGCATCGCCCACGTGGACCTTTCCGTTCATTCGGGCTCTGCAATGGCTTTACATGCCTTTGATTTTATCTGCCGTATGTATTTACGCCAGGATATTGTTCCAATGCTCTCCACCTGAAATCTTTCGCAAACCCAAGCGGTGGTTGTTTCATGCATCATTCAATCAGAGCTGCAAAGCTCCGTCCATTCAGAGTGCCTATGCACGGGATCCATACGTCTACGCACTACGAAGTATCTCCTATACAAGGTACCTGAAGCCCTTCGCCATGCGGAGAGCCTCGTTGGGATGGTCATGAATCTCAACACCCGTAGAGGAGACGACGTCGGGTGCTGAAGCCGGCACAGTGCCGGCCATATCCTCCTGAGACTTGTTCGCCTCTAGGCCTGCTGTCTCTAGATGCTCCAGCTCGTTGTTGAGGTTCTTCAGCATGTAGCGGAAGGCGAAGCAGCCCACAATGGTGAGACCGAACATGGCAGTGACGATGCCATATGAGCCGCGGTAGTAACCATCGCCATTGAGGTTCCAGACGTACGAACCAGCTACGTTGCCCAGCTGAGAGAATGCATTTATGAAGGCGATGGCCACAGCACGCTTGGCTGGCGGGCGAGGAAACGAGGAAGAAATCCACGAATAGAAGACGATGAAGCCGGCGTAGGCGCTGGCTTGCAGGAATAGGGCAATGTAGCGCGCGGCGACGTTGAGTGTCGACATACTGATGACGAAGCCCACAATTCCACCTAGAATGGGGCCTACAATGTGCCAGAACTTCTCCTGCGTCCGGTCTGCGTGGATAGCGTTGATCAGGCAAACAATGCAGGCGAAGAACCACGGAGGCGCAGACATAAGGAGCGTCGGCACGTAATCGAAGCCAAGGGTCTTCGTAAGGGTGGGGAAGAATGCGTTGAAGGAAAGGCCAATGACATAAGCGGTAAGAGTCAAGGCCATAACGTATGCCTTGACGTCGGTGAGCGCCATCTTGAGGCCGGTGAACGCGTTCTGGCCTTCCTCGTCGACATCGGCTTCGCCAACATCCTCGATCATACGCAGCTGCGCGACGGCAAGCTCCTCCGCAGTGAAACCACGCGAGTTATGCGGCAGGTCTGGAAGGAGAAAGGCCGCCGCGATGGCAACCGCCATCGTTATCGCTCCCTCAACTAAATCACAGAAAAGAGTCTTAGTCAGGGCTACTTGGTTCGTTCGAGCACGGTCTACAACGTCGCCGATTGAAATACTTACTCCAGAAGAGCCACCGCCAGGCGGCCCAGCCAAGTACACCCTGCATGTCGGAGAGGACGCCAGCGGCTACAAGTGCAGAGAAGGCATTCGAGATGATGTTGCCGCAAAACAATATGGCGTTGCGGAGGGTGAGCTCGCGCCTAGTGTACCACTTGCTCTGGATGAGAAGAGCTCCCGGGAGAAACCCCGCTTCGACAAACCCGAGGAAGAAGCGGACCGTCACCATGCCGGCAAAGTTGTGCACGACGCCACTCAGTGTCGAGATCAGTCCCCAGAACAGCATGGCCGCGGCGATGTAGAGGGAAGGTCTCGCAATCTTGTTGACTATCATATTTGATGGGACTTGCATCAAAATGTAGCCAACGTAACTGTCGGTTTGGTGAAATCGGTTACATTCTTGTCCAAGTTTTCTGGAACTCTGCGGTGCCCAACTTACAGAATAGAAAGACACGTGGCATATTGGTTGTAATCGAGATTGAGGTCTGCTTCCAGGCCTTTCAATCGAGCACTGGCAATCGCATTGCGATCAAGATAATTTAGGATATAAATAAGAACAAAGATAGAACACCGCGTGTCGAGTTTCCTGATGAGAGACTTTTCGACAGAAGCTCGGTGGGCTGGGTCCATGGCGCTGAGGAGCTGTTGAGCAGTAGAAGCGGTCTGAACAGCTGGGGCTAAGCCCTCGACTGTCTGGACTTGCTGCTTGTGTGTGTCTGACATGGCTGGCAGTGTTTGGAGGCTTGCAGGGGAACTCTCAGACGCAACCCGGGGCGCGGCAGGCGGTCGTTCTTATAGACCTGGCAGGGACTGGGGCCCCAGCTTCTGTGGTAGAGGAATCATGGCGCTGGAGCAGAGTTTTTTGCGGGATATCCACGTTCTGCGGGTGGCCCCATGGGCGGTGGTGTGGGGAATTCGGAAGCGAGCAGTTCGAGGAGGTCGCGTGTTCACCTGGTAGATGTTGAAGGACATCCATGGATGGTGTAGAGCAAAGCCAGGGCCCTGGCGCTGAAAAGGCCCCACTTGACGTGTAGATCCTGGGCGTAGGTGCCGGGCAGGGGCGTTTTCTCGGCGGCTTGGCACTCGACGGCCCACTATCCCGGGCCTCCTCCTTGCTCTCTCCCGCACCTCCACCTTTCCCCGAGTTCGCTTCCCCAACTGTTCCGGGGGTTCCCTCGTTGTATTTCGTCGTTTCAACACCACATATCTACTGTACGCCCATGCTTGTGCACAGCGGCACTCTGCCGAGCCTGCCCCCCACACTATCATCACTGGCGCAAAGCTTGATTTGAGCCTCATCCCAGCAGGGCTTGCATTGCTCAACCCCCCACGGCGGACGAGGTGCCCTGAAATGCTGTCTACAATATGTGCATCACCTCACTTGACTCGGAAGGCCTCGCTGGTAGGCCCGTAAACGTCTGTGCGGGCGTGTAAATGCTTACCCTGACCTGATCATTTGGCGAGCACGCTGAGCTGCGACTAGCCCACTCGAGGGGCGGAGTTTGCAAGCTCCGCCCATGGACCTTTCCGATCCGAGCCGCGTCACGGGGCGTCACAAAACCCCCTGGAGCACCTATCGGACGGGATTTATAATTGGCGGGCAGAGGAACCATAAAAATACGTAAAGCTGACGGTTCGCACTAGTCTATAAGTTGTACGTGCGCGCGTGGGGGGGGTTCTATGTTCATTTGCGTCGCTTGCCACAGCGCTACCTCTCCTCAACGCCATCCTTTTCGCCAGCAACCCCATAGTGGTCATGCATGTCCCAGCACAGATGCAAGATCGCTACGTGGCTGGAGGTACGGCTTGAGCAACGACCGCTTTTGTGAGACCTGCTCGTATGCATATCCGTAGCTCACAAGCTCCACGTCTGACCATCGGTCTCCCAAAAAGCTCAAACCCAACGGGATCCCTGGTGCCGACTGTATCGTCGTGTTTGTAGAGTCCCACTCCGTTTGCGAATCTGCTCCGAGCGAACCCATAGGTACAGTGACGATAGGCAAACCGGCCGCTGCACCCAACACCAGTGCCAGATCTGACAGCAACACTAGCGCGTCGACATCATTATCTTCTATCAGTTCGACTACGAGGCTTCGCGTCAACCCTGAAGCCGCTAAGTGCGCCTCCCACACCTCCTCGCTGCCAGCCGAAACATCACTTTCGGCTGCTGCCACGAGAGACTCGTAGCTGTACGTGGTGGCCCGCTCACGGGGATCGCTCTCAATGCAGCCGATGAGGGTTTCGAGGCTGTGCACAGTGCCGATATCGGCTGGGATGGTGTCAATGTATGCTTGCAGGCCGTCCCGAAGATCTGGCGTCTCGTAAATGCTCATGTTGCCCCTGACCCAGCTGATGAGCGAGCCCAATGGCACGGAACTTGAAGACAACGGCACATCGACGAGCACGGCACCTGCAGCCTCGAGATACTGGCGACTAGCATCAAAGACAGTCTTGGTCTCGTTCTTATTCACCCAATCGGACGGGGAGAGTGGGTTGAAGTCAAGCCAGACAACACCAAGGCGCTTTCCATGCAGTGCAGAAGTGTGAAGGGCGGCCATGAAGCTCGGCGGACCATCCCACGGCTGCGCAAGGGTGTAATTGTCCAGAGGATCGACGCCAGCCATGACGTCAAGGATGAGAGCAGCATCCGCGATGTTCGGAGCCAGGGGACCGGTCGTGTCCTGACGAAGTGTGACCGGTACGACACCGTAACGTGACGTCGTGCCCACGGTCGGCTTGATTCCCACAACATTGTTATAGGCGGCCGGGCAGGTGATGCTGCCGGCAGTCTCCGTGCCCAGAGCAGCCGCGGCGAGGCCGAGCGACGCCGCTACACCACTACCACCCGAGCTGCCACACGGGCTCTGATGCTCGACATACGCACCAAAAGTCTGCCCGCCACGAGCGCTCCAGCCGCCAGTCACATTGATGCCTCGCGCACCGCTGAATTCGTCCGCATTGGTCTTGCCAAGAATGATGGCACCAGCATTGCGCAGTCTTGTCACTACGGTGGCCTCGACAGTAGCTGGAGCCGGAGCAAGACAGACACTGCCGGCGCCGGTCAGCATACTGTCCGTAGTGCCGTAGTTGTCCTTGACCAAGATGGGGATCCCAAAAAGGTGTCCTTTGGCAAGTCCTGCAGCGCGCTGCCTGTCAAGCTCGGTGGCGATGGCCAAGGCACAAGGATTGATCTCGATGACTGCATGGAATTCATCGTTGACCTCAACGATGCGGTCAATATAGAGCTGTGTCAGGTCGTGACTGGTCAAGCGACCTGTGTCGAGCAGCATGGCAAGCTCGGTGATTGAGGTATCCAGCAGAGAAGGAACATGGTCCGAGTCCGAGCCCGCATCTGCAAGCGAGCCAGTGACTGGCTGCCGAATCATGGATGTAAGGGCGAGGAGGACGGTAGATACAGGACGGAAGGCCATGATCTTTGTGATAGTTGAGGCAACCATGCTCGCACAGCTTTAGAATGAGGATCCCGGTACAGGGAGCTATTTATGTAGTTGCAACTTGCAGAGGGAAAATAATGAATGGTATGAGGTGCGCGCCATTTGTGTGCCTCCAGAAAGCACCAATTGCTTAGTTAGGCACTCTGATGTATCCCTGAATGAGGCATTTGCTCCTCCTTGAGATGCGCCATTTGCTGCTCCCGAGATATTTTGGGAGATGAAGCGTAGCGATCAGCCTTGACATTGTTGCTGCCTTGGCACCCTCCCACCTTCTAGTCGCTTATTGGCCGGGGTAGGCCCCATCGCGTGCCAACCCCCGTCCGTTCCACAATGGGTATCGTGGCCAATTAGGACTGCGCAAGTCGGTTGTGGTCAGACAAGTACCCCCGAGTATTTTTCGGCCGATTCTCCCATTCCTTAGCCCCGAGGCCGCATCTGCCCTCGGCCATCAAAGTATTCTGTGCCATGCACAGGCAGTACACCCTTCCTGGTGCTCACTTGCTCGCAATGCGAAGGATGCGATTCTCGCCCGAGCAGACTTGATCTGCGCAGCCATGCTCCTCGAGACTTCTCCAATACACACTCATCAACGCCTGGAAACCGCGCACGTCGTGACCGCGACCACGGATCCCTGTGGGGCAGTCTGTGCTGCGTAGCACATCCGAGCCCGACTTACACGGCACCTCCTCAGGCCGAGCTGCTCGGTGCAGCCACTTCCCGCCGACCATGAGCGAAGCCACTGGGAAAGTCGACCGCCGCCGCCGCCGCCCTGCTCTGGCTTGTATCAGTATGCGACCCTTCCCCTCGCCGCTATCCTGCATCTTGGAGGTGGCTACTACCAGACATGGGACCCTAACACCTACAACTTCATTCTAATTCATCCGCAGGCTGTCGGAGATCAAAAATTCGTTGTGACCGACAGGTGCCTTGTGGCAACTGCTCCAAGTCCAAGAACAAGACATGCGCCTATGATGAGCATGGTCACCGGTCTCTCGAAACCTCTCAAGGCCCGGTCACAAGACCAGCTTCGGATCCAGTCCGTCCTGCTCGGCCATCTCATTCCCCCGAGTTGAGGTTCGGTTTCGAGCCCAGGGCAGAAGCAGGCCTGGGCCGGTCTACGGCATCGTCTACGGTAAGCCGTGACGATGTGAGTTCCATCTCGGCGAGCGGGCCCAGCCTCGCCTCGTCATCTGTATCCTCCCTGCACGTCGATGGCTTGCAGCAGCGTGTTGCAGAACTCGAACGCCGGCTGGCCCATGCCGACAAGACGAGCGCGCGGCATGCCTGGACAGTGCATGTGCCCACGCCCAAACAGCCCGATGAGTGCGTTCACTCGGTCCCTTCGAGAAAACTGCATATCATGCCTCGTGCCGTCATGTCCAAGACTCGCTATTTCGGTCAGAGTCACTGGGCCAATGCGGTCTTGCTCTACAAAATGATCCATGACACCTTCCAGTCCGAAGTCATCAAGGCTATGAGCTCGGATATTTTTCTGCTCCTTAACAAATGCAAGACGCTTGGGCAGCGAATCAAGGCTAGCCGCCTTCCCGATATGTGCTCCCGAACTCCTGGAAACGACCTGCCTCCTCGCCATGTTGCAGACGAGCTGGTCAAAAACTATCTCCGCATTTCCGAATCTGTCTACCGTGTCCTACACGTGCCATCCTTCACATCCCGTTACGAGGAGGCATGGACCACTCCCAGTGCCATTGATCCATCCTTTATGGTGCAGCTGCACCTCGTCATGGCTATCGGCTGCACAGTCTATGATGCGGAATTCTCGATGCGAAATACGGCCATCCGCTGGGTGTTTGAGGCGCAGTGGTGGATGATAGCCCCATCCTTCAAGAAGCGACTTACCATGACTGACCTTCAGAGTATGGTCCTGTTATGCATGGCGCGCGAGCTCGTGGGTGTGGATGCCGATTTTGCCTGGATCTCGGCGGGCTCAGTCCTGCGGATCGCCATGCAGATGGGCCTTCATCGCGATCCTAGCAGGCTTCCGCCAACTGATGCTCTCCAGGCCGAGTTGCGCCGCCGGCTATGGGGGACGATCATCGAGTTGAACGTGCAGGCAAGTCTCACCAATGGCTGTCCAGCGCTGCTGTCATTGTCCGACTTTGACACAGAGCCGCCATCCGACATCGACGACGCCGATTTGTCACCGGCGACGGTCACGACCGCTCTGCATCCCACAGCGGGCGGTTGCACGGACACGACATTAGCTCTAGCCCTTCGGGCAACTTTGCCAGCTCGTCTCGCGATCTGTCGTTTTCTCAATGATCTTGGGACGACGAGTGCATATGAGCAGACCATGGAGCTGCACGAGAACTTGGCCGCTGTGCACAAGAGCACATCTCGTAAGCTGGCGAGCGCCGAACGTGCCTCTGGTCGTAAACTCAGCCTTTTCCAACGACAGATGTTTGACTGTACGATACGGCGCTATTTCATTGCACTGCATATACCACACCAGGAGATGGCGCTGAAGGAGCCGGCTTATGCCTTCTCAAGAACAGTGATCCTCGATAATGCCATCAAGATCAATACTGCGTTTTGTCCGGCTGCTGTCTACACCCCTTTGCCACCTGGCGAGCCCTTGGCACCACATCAAGACCCCGTTACTGAGAAAGATACGGATCTTTCTCGATTATCTGCCCTTGCATCCTGCTCCTTCCGCTGGGTCCCCGTCTATACGGCACTTCTTGTCGGCCTTGACTTACTGCACCAGTACAGGGAAGAGTACACTTTCAGTCCAGCAACTCCCCGACCGGATAGTCTGGGAATCGCAAGTATCATACGAGCGTGGTCCTTGCGCCGTATCAAAGGTGGCGACATGAATATCAAGGGTTACGTTTTCATGACTGCTCAGTGGGTCATGATTGAGTCGTTGGTGTCTGGGGGCAGCGAGGATGACATACCCAACTTACTGGTTCGTTCAGCCACCGTGGCGATCCGCACAGGATTACAGATCCTGGAAGAACAGATTCAACGACTGTTGCCCGGACAAGTGAATGAAGATGTGCCTTGGGCCTCCATGCAGCCATCAGTGGATCGGGACGTATCCTTGTACGACGATTGGGAAGGGGTAAGTTTGCCACCCTACCATTCCAACCTTGAGGGGGCAGATGTCGCTAGTTACTAGAACTAACCAGCCTCAGGCGGGGCAGTTCTTCCTCGACTTTCTAGGGCTAGAACCAGTCAGCCACGCCTCCGAGACATCGGACCTTTTGGGGGCGTCGCAGCCATGGATGTGAAGCGCACGATTGTAGCAGTGCTGCTAGTCAGAGCCGACATATTGCGTAGATCCGGATAGTCAAAATGTCAACTCGTTCTTTGAAATAGACGAAGCTCGGCAGCAGTCACCCAGCAGATAGGCTCCGATAGCACCCAAGTTACTGTGACGCAACGGCATTGAGCCGGTGGTGTCGTATCGTCATGACATGGGGCGATACTGATATTGCCAACAATGGGCCGCGCCTACATGCCAGATTGTGGTAAGTGTGCAACAAGAAACCTACTTGGTTCGCTGCCATCGCCCGAGTCACAGGACAGGAGGCTAGAGTGGACCATCTCCCTGGTCCGCCATGTGCCTGGTCCGCCATGTGCCCGACAAATACTTCCGCGCAAATGTACGGCACCAACACGGCCCGTTACGCCATGCTCTGTTTCTGCATCGGCGCCCTGTACACGAGCAGTGCGCAGATCCTCAACTGGGTCTCCGAGGCCATGGCCCTGCCCGACCAGAAGCCCTCCGTGGCGCTCGCCTTTGTCAACTCGTGGGGCAACCTGTCCATTATCTGGGGCAGTCGCCTGTGGCCGAGCGGCGAGAGCCTGGGCTACAAGACGGGCTTCACGGCCGTGGTGATCTTCACTAGGTTCGCCGTCATTCTGGTTTCCGTCATGCCGTACTTTTTTAGTCTCCTGCCTAAGGAGCCGCGGACCAAGGTGAAGCGCGGCCTCATCGCGATCCAGGCCGGTCAAGCTGCTGAATGGGAGGACTAGGGGGGTTGGCGACTTGAATGGCATCAGGGCATTTTTGTAGATCAGCATAATGCAGGTACGGTACGTGGGCTAAGATTCATAGCTTACTCGACCATGGCCCGCCTAGCTAGCCTGCGGAGCAGCCTCAGTGCCAAGCCGGGTGGTACTAATAGATGGAGCACGGAACAAGAGAAGCCGATGACTGGCAGAATGCGTGTATGCTGTTCTCCGAGTGCCTCTACCTGGCTCCCCACGTCGGAGCCTTTGAGCTCCACCAAAGTAGGTCTGCATGGCCAGTAGGGATTGGCATCATTATATGTCCAGCTCATAAATACCAATGGACAGTACGACCTTCGGACAACGACATTTAATCTGGTCGTACTGTATTACTTGGTCCCCACGATGTTGATATGGGGAAACGCCTTCCCAGACCCAGATCTTCTGCCGCTCGAGCCAAATCACACGTAAAGCATGCACACCACGCTGTCAGTCCTCGCAGCATGCATAGAAGAATGAAGATCGTCCTTGGTCATATGCTCCCTACACCAACAGAGTAGATTGCTTGTTCGCTCCAGCATTGTATCGCTCAGCAGTTAGCTCGGGCGAAGTGGACTCACTCGTTCGTGCTGTAAGCGCTGCTGGCTGTCGTCGTCAGGACGTCTTCCTTCTTGGCGTCTTCGGGCAAGATTCTCATCTTATCACCTTGGTCACCATTTTCGAAGGCGTCGTTCTCACTCTCATACTCCGCGACTGTGAACCATTGCCTCCCGTTCTTATGAGCATCAAACCTGCCACTCATCCGCGTGAGCTGGTAAGCCGTTGAGCCGCCCGCGCGAGAGTTCCCTGCAGTCCCGCGGGCGGTACTCTTAAGCCGCGAGTTCTTGCTGAGACCAGTCCGTATGGTCGATACCTGCTCCTTGACGAATGCGCGCAAAACTGGGATGCAGGCGGCGACTATGGTCACCGAAAGCTCGATAGTGGCCCACATGGTTGAAACCACACCGTCGTCTGTCAGTTGCGATCCTGTCGTCAGCTTGCGTATCAGGGCCTGGATGGCTCTCCATACTTGGGGGCCTCGACTGGAACGTTGAACTTACAAGAGACGTCGATTGATGAAAGCTTGTAGAGTGCCATGCTACGTAGAATGGCCATGGCACCGGCACTAATAACAATTTGTCAAATTCCGGAAACCTGCACAGGCTCAAGTCTTGTACTGCCAGGCGGGAATACTTACGCCATGCCAAGGCTCATGGCAATGCCAACGCCCACCTTCTCGATCGGGCGCATTTGAAGCGCCCACAGAATCTTCCATGGCAGCAGTGCGAGAGTGAAGTCGGTAATGGCAGAATACACTGCAGCGAAAGGCATCATCAGTTTCTCTGGACGTGCTATTCTCAAGCACTGCACTCACCACCCTGGATAGTGCCATAACGCACAGAATGAGCCTTGTCGATACACTCGCCAGGCCAGAAGTCGACGAAGGTTTTGACCAAAGGTCGACACTGAACCCATGGCAGAACCGCGACTGGCACAGCCAGCAGGACCAGAGAGATTATGACAACCCAAATGAGCCAGTTCGTCCATTTCCAGAGATTCTTGGTGAGGTGAAGCAGTGTGACTGCAAAGGATATTTTGGCGGCGTTGATGCCGATGGTAGAGACTGTGAGGCCACTGGCGCCCAGCGTAGCGATCTGGTTGAGGTTTCCGAAGGGTACTGTGACGCCAATGATACTCTAATTAGCAGAATGTCCTAGTTCTACTTGTCCAAGAGAAAGGCTTCGTTCTTACCATCAAGTGAATGCATGCCGAAGCCAAGATTGACAAGGAGCTGGTTCAAAATCGACACTACAAGCAGGGTGCACTATTGAGTGAACGGCGTGGTCAGCGGGCACCCTCGGGGAGGCCACAATAGCAAACTAGCCGAGCTTTTCTCACGGCATGGCGAGACTTACCCAGGCGAAGAGGAGAATGACGTCGTCCAATTGCACGCGACGCAGAGAGACGCGAACGTAGATGCGGAGCCCAAGGATGAAGCCGGTCACGGCTGTGAGGCACCAGAGCACGGCTGCGACCATGGGCCCGCGGTCCTCGTCCGGGTTGCTGACCCAATTGGAATGTCCAGAAGCCATGTTGGACAGGCTACGCACTCGTGAGGCCTGTCCAGCCTGCGAGTGCACTGAACGGTGGTATAGGCGGAACGAAGCTCGCCAACTGGCAGTGCAGATGTCGAGATGACTCTGTATCGTCTTGATAGTGAAGCAAATTCTGATCAGGCTTGCGAGGCCGGCTTCTCGACTGCTTGCAGTGGGATCAGGGAAGCAAGCTGGCCAGGCTGGATGAGCAGCGACATGGACAGGCAGGGCGGCTTATAGGAAAGCCAGGACGTCTGAAGAAGGAGCACGATGATACGCCATGGGCCCTCTCCACAATGAGATGGCTGCAGCATCATCAGGGTCTTCCAGACATTGCAAGCGGTTGTGCGCTTCAAGCCAGGCCCAAGTAGAATCTCCAGGATCTACAGATTCGGTCCCAGACGATCGAGCCCGAGCGCGTGTCAGATTGGACCCCTCCCCAGCACTAGTCTCTTGCTGCGGATCCTGCCGGGGCGGCTTCGACTAGCAGAAATACTACAAGGCTTTGTGTCCGTGGTGCTTGTTCTGCGATGGACAGCACAAGGACGGGTGAGTACATCCAGGTTCATGGATGGCCTTTCCTTTCTTGTGGCTCGCTCGGCTCGGCTCTGAATATAAAGCGCCAGATGTCCCTGTCATCGCGTGCAGAGGAGCCGGGCATGACAACGCTGATGAAGCTGTTGCTGAGGAGAGGTTGATGCTGCCGTTGGCCGCATGGCAGTTGTTGTTGCGGACCAGTCCGCACCATTCGGACGATACGCACGAGGAAAGCGGAGGTCCAGGCTCGTAGTTTCCGCCGGCTTCAAAACGCCGTCCGCCAAGCCTCCGGGCTCTCAAGCCACCCCGCCGTCGCCTCCCGCGCCGCTCCGCCGATCACGACCGTGGAGCCACGGGCCCCTGCCGTGATAACAGTCCTTGCTGCACATCCTCATCGCAAATTTCTCTGTATGGTTGGTCCGCACGGGATTCCTTCTCCGGCCGTGATGCTCTTTCGCGTCCGTGCTACAGTGATTTTGCTCGACCGATCCAAAGATCGCGCTGCGCTGCCGACTGCAGGGTCCTCCGGCCTAGGGGTGGGTCTCGGCCCTCGGCAATCTGCCCTTGCCGCGAGGTGGCAGGCACCTCATCGCGCAACCACACCTGCCCCATCAGCCATATTCAAGGACAATCAAAGATATCATGAGTGACTCCGCGCTATTTGGTAGTTACAGGTTGCTATTATGTTTAGGAGACTGTCATTTCACTTGCTGCGTCTCACGAACGGTTGTATGCTTTGAATGCCCATCGGAATGCTCTTTTCAATGATAAGTTTGCGACCTAGGCCTCGAACCCCCTATCGGTGGACCCCCCAAGTGGTCTTCAAGGATTCGACCACGATTACCGAAGTCTTTTAGTGGGTTGTGGCTCGCAGCTCAAAATCCGATAAGTCAGCAAAGACCAGCACCCTTGAAAACGACTTGGGGGCTCCACGGATAGGGGGGGGTTCGAGGACTAGGTCGCAGACTTATGCCTTTCCGTTCCATACCGACCGTATATTGGGCGAGCCCCAAATACATGCTGGAAGCCCCCGTACCCCAGAGAAGGCTTGTCGCCGCGAACAGTGGCTGCCCCGCTTGACGACCCGACTGAGACTTCTCCAGATGATATCCCAGGTGATGGCCCTTTTCACCCACCTCCGAGCCAGAGTGTACCGGATCCCGCAAAGAAACTAGTATGACGATACATTATCGAGGTGTGTATGATATGGCGCGCTACATGACCCCACGCTCGGTGGCCCTATTAGACATCAACCACCCGGAGGACTATATGACAATATTGGACACCGGCAGCGTAGTGTACGATCTCCTGAGACGAATTCTCATTCCGCACAGTACTCAATCCGAGCCACGATGCAGAACAGAGTGGAGTACTTCGACACAACCCGATAGACAGGAACAGAGGAGTCACTAGAACCGTTTACATGTAATTTGTGTAAGCCACCCAGTCTTGAGACATTGCCGTGGTATGCATGGTACTTGTGCCAAACTCGAGATGGTTGGAAGCAATGTGAACTGTGGTCTACATGACCCAAACTAGTGTTACTCACTACGCCAAATTCCGCAAACACGACCGCATGCTCCATCTCATCGCCAAACCGCCAGGCAGTGGCTGACCTGAAATCCAATCAACGGAAAGAAACGCTATCGCATGTTTGAACTGGCCGTGCCCCTCAAGCCGCGCCAAACACTTTTCTGAAAGCATCCATGAGGATCGGAACTGTGCACCACGATCATCAGTACAGGCTCTTGACTTTGCACACGTGATACTGAATAACTTACTGTGCTCGTCGCCGAAAATGAGCATAGGACGAAGACGAACAGTCCGCGTACCACAGGTACCAATGTTAATGCCGAGCGATCTCATCTTGCCGACCAGAGCAGCAGGCTCGCGTGTATCAAAGGCCAGGAAGGCACCCTTGCCCTTGCCTCGTAGGTTCTGGACCAATTCCGGATAATCTAAAGCTAATAACTCGAGTTCTGCCCAGAGCTTCTCACCAACACGCGCCTGTTCCAGGTCAGAACATGTGAGCGAGACCTTTGTAGTGCTCACGGATCACTTACAGATTTTTCGACGAGGTTCTTGTCGAGGATTTCATGGATAATAGCCTTCGACATAACAACCCGAGCAGGGTCACCAATCCAGCTGTCCGCTCTTTGTCAATTCATGGTCTCAAGTCATACCTGCTCTCTGAAGACTCAGATCTTTACTCACGTGTTGAACTGACGATACGCAGTGTCTGGAACCAGCTTCTCGTTGCCAAAGAAGTACCCTGCGCACTGCGCACGCTTGGAGAAGGTAATCATGTCCGGTGGGCTGCTCAGGTGCCAGTGCTCATGAGCCCAGAACTTGCCCGTAGCACCAAAGCCTAAGCGTGAACATGTGTCAACAAATTTCCTGCAGAGGCGGGGCGGCACATCTCTCATAGAATGACCTCACCTGTCTGGACTTCATCGACAATAAACACGACATTGTGTTTTGCAGTAATGTCCCGCAGGCCTTGGAAAAAGGCAGGGGAAGCATGGTTGTCACCACCCTCAGACTGGATAGGCTCGATGATCAGTGCCGTTACGGGACAATGCCTGGTGCATACAGGGTCAGTCAGACTCCAGAATGGCATTTCGACCACCAGGAACAGGGACTCACCAGCTTGTGATAAGCATCTCAACCTGCTCGAGGCAACGCTTCTCCTCAGCGGCGTTTTCCTTCTCGTGTTTGTCAAGAGGGTACTGGAGAACGGGAAAGTCTGCCTTGGGCCAATTGAAGGCTGGGATGTCAAGCTTATGCACAGCCTTGGAACGCGTGCAGGACAGACTGCCAAACCCGCGGCCATGGAAGGAGTTCTTGAATGCAAGAACGGCAAGATCGGGCGACCCAGGCTTGGCATTATCAAGACACGACTCAATCTCCTCTTGTGTCCACGCAACTCCCTCTCCTCGCTCACGGCGCCTCCATAGCATCATCGCGGCTTTGAAAGCGAGCTCATTGGCCTCAGAACCAGACTGAGCAGTGAAAATCTTATCGGTGCCCGCAGGCGCTACACGAAGCAACCCTTCGCGTAGGATATCGTTCCACCAACGTGATGGGAAATTGCCAATGGCAGGCCGATTAACCAACGCTGAGATGACGTCTGGAGATTGAGCAGCCGCCAGCATGGCCGGATTGTTGTAGCCTACAGGAACCGAGGCTATCTGCGAGTATACGTCCAGATATCGATTGCCATCGACATCGACAATGCTACAAGCAGATTGTTAGCGGGGTGTGGACATTGCTTTAGGACCTGGATGTATCATTCGCAGTGACGCACTAGTTGCCCTCGCTTTTATCATAATCAACGACAAAATGAACAGCTCGAGCGTCAAAGACCTCATCGAGCTTTTTTGCGCTGGCCTTCGAGATCGGGCCGGGAATCTGAGTAGCCACCTCGGGCAAGACAGCACCGGGCATTATGGAAGGTATGGCTGGGGAGAATAAGACACGAGATGTTTTTCTTCTGCAGGCAGTCTCTTCTGTGGCGAAGTTGCGGCATCGAGGAAGACGAGTGATTCAAACACGGCCAAGGGAAATAGAGAACCTCGATAGTGACCTTTAAATAATAGGTTTGAAGGACGGATTCCACGCCCGCATGTACTTGCCCGATACGGTTAAAGGCCTGATGCTGCGTCGGACCTCACAAAAACAGTGGCGTCGGCGCACTAAGTTCCCCACACTCTCTTTCCACAGCAAAAGCATAAACCAGGAGATTCCCCAGCCTTTTCCTCTTATCTATCCTACGCGGCCGCTTCCCACAGTCCGGCTAGAACACCCTCTTTTTGGAAAGTCTCCTTCGCCTTTCCTTAACGTAGAGCTACAGCCTGGTTTTATTCAGCCTTAAGGAAGACTTAGATCCTGCATGCGCTATTTTCGTCCGCCATCGGCCTGATTCGCGCCTGTCAGCACCAATTATCCTCTCCCTTTTCCAAAATTGCTGTTATGTACTGATCGATAGGCACCATACGTCTCTCTGCTCGCCGATTATCGGTTATCGCGCAGTGTATGGGTAAGAGACATTGATGAAAATCAAACCATGGCGGATTGCGTAAACACTTTACAAGTCACTGAGATGAACCTTTCCTTCCCCTCAATCTCAGCAGCAACCACCGATACCGCGGACGTAGCGACTCACCCATGCATACAAGCTCTTGAACCAGAGCTTCATCGAATTTCGACAGTAAATGATTGCATGATTGAGGTCATTGGATCTCCCGACCGTGCAATGTCATCATCCATCCACGACCGAGAGAATAGTCATACATTTCCCACTTGTAATGTTTATATACTTGAGTGAGTTGTGGATAAAAGCTACAGCTGTCCATACAGCTCGATCGTAAGAAGGAGAAACCTACAAAACGCAACGATGTGGTTCAAGCCTCGTGTCATGCAATTACACATGATTCTGCTGACTTCTCAGCGGATTCAATGTACGGTACCCAAATTGTCAGCTGCTGGTTTTCATCCCGGCAAACACCAGCAGTGATCACTTGAATGAAGTTGTAAACAGGGATACCAGGAGTAAGCATATTAGTCATTCTGAACACTAGCTATCTCGATCGCCGGATATACATAGTAATAGCTATGATAACAGGCGCGAGCCGAGGAAGACGATATCGTCGGTGCGCGCTACGTCTCGTGACCTATCAAAGAACGCGCAATATAGAGAGTCTCGAATTGCTCTCTAGTTTCCATGATAGCTGGTTTCGCTTCCTGAACAGCAAAGTGGCGCGGACAGCAGAATGGCGCAGAAACATGCATCCTATCTCAATGAAATTGACAGTAGTAGGTTCAGTACTACTGCAATACTCAGAACGCGATTTGAAGTCCATCTACGGATCAGATTTTTATAGAATGTTGGAGCTTCCAGCAAGTCTAATAATGTTGGATTCGATGTATGATAATAGCCCGCACAGTGAGTGGTAGGGATTAGCAACATCAAAGAAACTGGAACCAGCAATTACACCCACCACCTCTCATGCTATATATACAAAACATGCAGAACATTCCACTATTCATTTTCTCGACATCAATGTTGATGATTCACTTTTAGCGCGAGCTTTGTCTGGTAGCCTCCTGTCCACGTCTGTAGTCAAGGATGTCAATCGTGTGGTGATGTAATACAGTCATCCAAGTGGCTTCCTAGACGAGCGAGTCTCACATATCAAGTTCAGTTTCGCTTTGTATATGTCGAAGTAAACTACTTCTATATTGGCAGATCATTTCTGGAATCCAGCAATTTGGATTGAGCCACGAACATGAAACAGGCTACGGTGGTGGAATTGATACCTCCAAACCATACCGGCGCATTACTGACCCGTGCCGGATATAACTGTAAGATACATACTGCGTGCTACGAATGCCTTATCCCAAGTACTGGAAGCACGAGAATCCAGATTATTAAAATATTGGACACTCGATAGGTCACGCCCTGGATGGACCCTGGACTGCTTCACTGCATAGTGCATGGCAGAATACCCCCCTGTACAAGCACCTTTCTTGCAATACGAAGGACTACAATACACCCTCGACCGTGGGCTCAGTTTATAAGTTGAGAGTATCCATTATCAATTTCAACCATGGGGATATGGTTTAAATGACAAGATAAGACCAAAGGTGAGCATAAAGAGTACAAATAAGCAGTCTGCCTCCGGTTGAAGATAGTGCAATAGTCCGATCTGCTTTTTGCAACTAATATTCTCCGCATAGCAGACAAAAGTTCAATTACAGCCAGGCGACTACATGGTTGAAGAAATACAGTAAGGCAGGCAGGCCATGAGTGGTGTATATCTATCTATATAGATCTAGTATTTCAACGAGCTCACTACAATAAAATTGGTCACCGAAGGCATGTACCTCATTTCCCAATATGGTTATTTCGTCCGTGCTCTTAATATGAAAAAGGATGAATTCTGAAGGTTTTGCACCCTATTACGACCAGGAGCTTCATGCTAATAAAAGTTGTGCTTCGAAGGTAATGATGACTACAGTGTATCATCTAACCACAGCTTTCAGAGTCATTGCGTCAAGGTAATACTGTAAGATAATAGAAAAGAAGGAGTTCGTAAGTATTGGTTTCTCAATCTCTCTATATAGATCGCATTCTGCATACGCTTAAAGACATGTCTAATATTAGTAGTGTCAATATGGTCCCACAACTAGATCTGCTTATATTTACATTATGCTGATCGACGAAAGAACTTGGTGCTAGTTCTAATCCGTAGCCTTATCAGGTTATTGTTACCAACCTATTTTCTTCGTCTGAAGCAATAATAATAATAATTATTATTGCTAGTACGCGCATCCATCTAGGTTTCGAGGGCCTACAGACCCGTCGTATAGTCAAGCGTGTCAGAGCCGGATGAAACCATATGCTATGTACTCAGTACGTCTAAGCGGCGTCTGCGCTGCGTGATCCCGTCGCGCGTTACGAATGGCTCTCACCATCCAGACGTTCTTTAGGCGAATTTCGCCGCTAGTCTCCACGCCCTGCAGCTCACAGGAATGCAGGCACAAGTACAGCAGAGAAAGTAATTATACTAATCACTTACTAGGCGAGCTCTATCAGAAGACTGCTGTGTATCACCACCGTCTAGAAAGACTTACCATTTCTATTGACTCCTCTGATTCACTGTCATATATGCACACCATGAATTACTCTCGACTTTTCACTACTACCATAACACCTGCCTATGTTATTAGTCTGCTCACTCATGAACTGGAAGCTCTCTGAGTGTGTACTGGAAAACTGCAGCCGGGTAGTCGATCTTCTCAACACCGGACAGCTGGACTATAGCGACGATGAGAGTATGTCGGAATGTCTCTTATGAGCGCAAACTACATACTTCAATACTTACCTATGAAAATGGCAGGGCAGCCGCAAGAGAATTATAGAGGTGCTGTATTGCTTTGAACTAACTGGGACAGATATGAGACCAATTTAGCCTTACATGCATTTCGTCCGTATCGTCGTACTTCTCTGGAGATGTGAAAGGAAAAAGAAAACAATAAGACATCGGACATTATCGCCTTGCACAGGACAGAGAGTACACTTACTCTATGGACGCCAAAGCTCCGAGTTTGTTATGTTTCTTTTTACGGTACTTCAATGCGGCTCAGTGATAAGAGCCACAATACTATCGTACTGACATGATACTTTGAGACTCCCATAGAATATAAGTGCCGTAGCCGCCTGAAATAGCAAAACAATAATCTTTGATCCTTTTTGAATCAAAATGGATTCCTCACAACAAGTTAATGATCCAAAATGCACCAAAATACACTACTTTCCAGAACTTATAGTGGGATAAAAAATGGAAGGCCAAACGCCACGACAGAAACACGTCAAAAAGCAAACGTCTCAGCCGAAAGGCGCAGCAATAATAACCTTACGCCCCAATTGAATGCCTGACTTATAAATTGTACCGCGCCGATGTCATTCCAGGGCTGGATCATGCAAAAGCGGACTAATGAGCCTTGATGAACTGCCGTGTAACGAACGGGCTCTAAAGATAGACAAGAGAGGCTGGTGGAGTATATAATTATGGTAAGATGACCTAATCAGTATGTCCAGCTCAAAATGAACGAAGCTTCAATTCAGTTCTTATCATCGCCGACGGAATACATTCTGGCCTAAATTCGAAAGCAACAGAGTTATTTGTGACACATGATTATCCACAACAAGTGACAGGCAGGCTTCCATGAGAGAATGCAATCTATTACATCGTGATACCTACCCAGTTTGATATATCATGCTAGCAACAGCTGCACTTGTTCTCGACATCGTAATAACATCTATTATTGTCAGCATACTACATATTAACTGGAAAACCTTGCTCTGTCCCTCATTTCATAGTGGAATGTATTATACCGATATTTCGGTAACGCAGCTATCTTTTCTTCAGCTTACCGATGTTCTCCTCACAATGCTTGTGGTTTCTTCTGCGAGTGCTCATACCACACGATATATTCGACTATGTTAACAAAGAGGGTAAAGAGTTGACAGTATCTCACAGACCTGGAGAACTGTCACCCGTTCTTCTTAGGTTTGCATTTTTAAGTATCCGTGACTAACGCCTCGTTCTCACAAATGGTCGCTCGATGGCAAGCGTGGAGCTAACTTCACATATAACGCTCGTCTGTCTCATGTTTGGAAATGCTTACCTAGCCTTGCGCCTCTTCTTGGCGATTGGAAAAAATAGCCTACCGTGGAGGTGGTTGTAAAAGCAGAAAGCTACGCGCTCGACATGGGCACGTACGTCAGACTCTTCTCAAATGTGGACTCCATACCAAGATTGCCCGGTTTCAGCACTAAAACGAGAATGGACAGCTCTTTCTGCAGTCTTCATCGTCACTTAACATCAACTTAGATCACTAAGACGAGACGTGAAAGTGTAAGAATAAATGTCCCACAGGTTCCTTTGGACGAGTTCAAAGTGCGGACAGCCTGGCAATCCCTGTACTCAAGAAAAGGCTCACTCCGCAGAGCTGCCAAGATTGATTTTGACGGTTGTTGAAGACCGAGTAAAGTGACCGAGTAGCGAGCGAGATTGTAGATGGATCAGTAGATAGACTCCATGTCAAACCTTTATACAATCATCATCATTGACTTTCAAGGTGCACAACGCCATCACCTGCGCGCCATTGAGCCACAGAGGGTCATCCCCTATACGTGTTACAGCTTGTAAAGCGAGACCAACGAAACCAGGGCATGCCACAGGTAGTATTGTCCTCTAGACCACTGTGGAGGTATTCGTGCTGTATTAAAATCAAGTTCAATGGGTCCAGTCCTATAGACTATTTTTTTTATCGATATTATGCTGGTAGTTCTACAGTAAGATTCTGTGCGAGACTCATGTTATTCTCAAATTGAGCTCTCCAGAGGTAACTTCAAGGTCTTTCAATAGGGAAGATGACATAATTCAACTATCGTATTCGGGGATGCAAGGTACAGGAAAAATGTGCTTTTGATGTGTGATTAGAAGTAAACCCGCTGGCACTCCAGAGTCTATCTCACACATATCAGCCACTCGACCACTGGTCAAGAACACAGGAGCTCACCAAGCTGATTGCTAAATTTGTGCCTTCTATTAAATATTATACCTTATGTATATACTGTGTTGCTCCATAATATGATGTCTCGGTCTTTATGAAGGGGAGATTAACCATGTCCAATCTTGACCATGACTATTTTAACAACTACAAACCTTTAAATAGTCGTCCTCAATCATCATCTATCCAAGCGGTGAAGACAGCATCCAACAATTGTCGCGTGACGCGGTGAGCTCCAAGGTAATCATTTATATCTGGGATAGCTGAATAAGAGTTTTGTAGAAAGAGTGCGGGAAGGTGGGTTGAGTGAGTACTTCTTTGCAATCTTTAGCTTGGATTATCTATCATTTGGCAGCATAGCAATTTTGGGGTGGATGTGATTCCAGTGGAGAGTGTAACAACCGAAACCGTAAGTCTTGGTATAAATGGACCAGCACTCTACGATTATATGTAATAGAGTTATTGTCCTACGCGAGGGCAATTCCTTCAAGCAACATCATTCCTTTGTACCAAGTCAACAAGAGAGTAAATGATCGAGAGGAATATTTGGGGCAGGGAAATAAATTCCTTGCTGGGATAATAGTAGCGCTCCATATCCGAGCAGCCCCAGTGTTTCACGCGACTTGTGATGCAGTTACGGTTTTGAAGAGAGATCAGAAACATTACTGTAAGATGCGTGTGATTGGCTAGCTTACTAAGTGTACATGGAGGAGCTAACGGAAATTTGCAATTTGCATATTCCCCCAAGCCTCAACGTACAGAGAAACCCAAATGTAGCATTGAAAAAAGACATGTGTCATGATCGTACGGTCTCAATTTATTCTTCGGTAACGCATCCCGAACGTCAAATTACCAGGCCATATACTCGTTTCCGACTTAACAACATTCTGAGCTGCGGTATATGTCCAATAAGATAGATCATGCTCTGACATGAATCGGCCCATTCTGCATTAAAATCGCTTCTTCGCCTCTAAATAACGACAATGGGACTTCGTTCGGTATTGGAGTGGGTGGACTGCGCTTAACCTTGGCTTTTCTCCCAATCCCAGTTGACATGAGCCAATTTATCATCTACTTCCGAGTTATAGCGTGAAGCCCTGCTGTACCCAGATGAATGAGCGCGAAGTATGCCACATGTGGCTGCTCACTCGCCTGATTCTCATGTGCAACTCGTGGAGGACGGATGGTAAAGACATGACCAGTGAAGGATGCGCTTTTTCTCTTGCTGAAAAAAAACAAACTTCAGACGCGGGTTCCTGCAAGAAATGGGTTTTTACAGGCCATATATAGACCAGCCACCATTTTGGGTCTAAGGGCTTCGAATTTTAGAATTTTTCCTCGCGCGTTCGCCCTTAGATAGTACTGAAGATTTACAAATGTCGCCTAGTATAACATGCAGTCGTTTCCCAGTAAATCAATCAATATGCTAATTGAGCTTTCTGATTAATCCAGGGCAACCACATACTTGATACAGCATGAATATTCATTGTTAGCTATAGCTGGAGGAAAATCGCCTATCGCACAATAGTAGTAGTACATCTGTGGACCATGAATCTGATATTGTTCTCAGTACAATTCAAGCCTTTGTTCTTTGAAATTGCTATGCACGGTATATTATACGCTAGATTTGGCGCTACCGAGTGTGCAGTGGCAGGGGCACTCATCATTTGTTTACCTTACCTATTAGGATCTAGCCATTCAATGGAGAAGAAGACCACGATGAGACGGCATATGAAGGCAATATAAAATAGACTTTTTGTAATTCACACGATATTGCCTCTATTCAGACTACATATTATATTACATCATCCCTTTCGCTACAGTGACTACAAATCACGATGTACCCGAGCTGGGCCTGTTGGAACTTTGTGCCGCAGCATAATATCTGCTGGTCATTGTGCTGGGGGGGGTTAGTAAATGTTTTCTACAATGCTCAGTAGAATATGTTTGAGGATTCCAGATACCGCTGAGGTTAAGAGAGAAAAGGATTCGCTTTCTTGCTTCAGACATGTGTGAGCGGGTAACACTAACGGTGCTAGCCACACTCGATAGCAGATGAAGTAGCCTTATTACTTCCCAAGCGGGAAGATGGAAGTATAGTCTGGTTCATAATTTTCGTGGAACGCTGAAGCACCACGTATCACCTTTTGAGGTTTCAAGTTAGCAACGGAGTCTACTTTCGAAGTAATTTCATTTGTGGTAGATTAAGTAAAAGGTCAGATAGGCAGTTCTCAAGATCACGTCGTTTTTCATTGCGCTAGCACAGAAAGGACTTGTAAAATTAGTTTCAGAGGCGGAAAATATAGATTTGGTACTGTTCTACTGTAGAATTGTCGCGCACGGTGCGTGTTTAGTCCAGGTTTTCACATCTAATGTACTTCAGGATAGGTATGAGATGTGTACTTCCAATCCCGTGAGCACCTTCTTTATTTTCTTATGGGTATTAATGAACTTCCTCTTGGTCCTTTTGTTTTATCTTATTGTTTGTTCTGTTGTCTCCTCCTTCGCTCTCGCAATAAACTCATTTTGGGTTTTAATTCACAGCACATAGAGGCGAGTGATATGTGATACAGCTCTCTTCGCCAGCACAAATCATTCCGCGGTAGGCCAGCCGATATGCGTGTTCTGGGCAGTATCTCTGCGCGTGGTGTTCTTGGGGTAGTGAAACAGCCTAACAAGGACCTCCTCGTATGAGCAGTACACGCTCACTCTGAGAGGAAGGGAGAGAGTCGCGTTACCTTGTCCTTGTTTTCGCCATTCTAGCAAAATCTTGTTGCGAGGCAGAATATCTAATAGTATGCGATGAGTGAGCTGCGAGATGATTCCGCGTGTCAAGAGGACTTACACCTGACTGCCATTAACGAGAATCTCACACGACGTTACTTCTCGACATATCATAGCAATTCTCTAGGCCTTGCTGTTTTACCTCCGATGCTTACACACGATGATGATAAAGACGGTTAATCCGTCTATAATCATTAATTTAGTGCTTAATTCAGGGCTCGAGATGCCGCCCCGTCCAGGAATGTATGTAGCTAGGCATGTTTACAAATGCGGGAAGTCCTTGATGTACATAACATCTCTTTGCTGGCCATTCATGGTATCCCACAATGAGCGCATATCGAGTTTGTTGTCTCTCGTGGTGATGTTGACGCCAGCAGCAACGAGCTGAGCATTGGCATCTTCGCGAGCCAGTTGTACTGTAAGAAATTGAGTACTTAGTATTTCAAAAGCCTTCTCCGGTTGCCATCTTTCAGAGAAATCTTACCATGGATATACACAGCCGAGCTCTTGCCACTAACAAGTGCGTGGTAGACATTGGTGACATTGTCTGAATTGGCGTCACCAATGGCATACACGCCAAAAAGGTTGGTAAGGAGGCCCTTTGATGCGTTCACTGCAAGTCTGCCACCCCAGAGGTCGACGCCCATGTCAGCGCCTATAGTTGAATGCTGCTCGTTCTCAAATTCGACGAAAAATGCGCCACGCTCAATCGACGGGCCATCATTGAAGTTGACGCGGAAGAGGTCGTGCTCAGGGTGTGTAGCCAGATCCGGCGCGCCAGGACTATCGAGGGCATTCTCAAGACGCTCGATAGACGCGATGGTCCGATTGTCGACTGTAACGTTGTTGAGCTTTAGATATTCGGCAGCACCAGGGAATGAGTTCTGGGCAGCTGCGAGCTCAGTTTCCGTCTGAGTGCCGTTGACAAAGGCAACAATATCGCGATTAAGCGTCAAGATCTCCCTGGCCATGCCAGCAGCAGCATGCATCGGCCCGAGCAGACCAATAGGCTGATCGGCGTGTTCGTAACCATCACACCAGGGACACCAATAAATACCTTGGCCCCAGTTATCGAGAACGCCCGGTGTACTGGTGATAATGTCGCGAAGTCCCGTCGCAAGCACCACCTTGCGTGCCTGGAGCGTGGCCGGCAGGGTTGAATTTCCACCCAGTGTCACTGTGAATGCTGTGTTGTTTGCACTCTGTGGCTCAACCTTGGTCACCGTCCCGTTTGCCATATGCGCCGTCGGATAATCCGAAATGAGCTCACGAGCGGCCCAGCGGAAGTATGCGGGCGTGACTCCTGTGAAGAACAGTCAGCGTCTCCCGTTCATTACCAGTGTCCCGTTTGGCATCATACCATCAAACCCAACCACGTCGTGCATGTGCCGAGTGACGCCATTGCGGTACTCCCCCGAGTCGATCAACAAGACGTTGCGGCGGACACGTGCCAGGGCACTCAGGCAGGCCAGCCCAGACGGTCCGCCTCCGATAATGATGGCATCGTAGATGTCAGATGAGTTTGCTCCGGCGTATGTGCGTGGGTGTATTACGGCTGCCGCCGCGGCTGCCACGAAGATAAGCGCCTTGAGCATGATATGAGAGCGCTCGTAGTACCACGACAATACTGATTCAGCATATGATTGCTGCTTGCAGTATGCTTGTTGCAGGCGAACACTACCAAATTGATTGGGCTTACATATGAGATGTCTGGCAGCGTGGGCGATGAGGGCGGGCGCCATCCTCACTGCTTTTATACCACAGCCTTTGGGGGTCTTACAGTGCGTATGCAAAGAAGACCAATTGTGTCGAGATATACATGCATCGCGAAACATGCCGCGACGCAACCCGTGCCGCGAGACATGTCTACGACATTGTGGATCAGGTACTCACCCGCCGTAGCAGCGTGATCTCAAAAGTTGGTCGCGCCGGACAGGGTTGAAGGGAAGTCGCAAGATGACCCTTGCAATCTCACTGCACTGATCAGCGTGCCTCGCTTCGATGTCTTCGTTATGACTTTGGACTGTGAAGGTTGATCGGCAGTGCAAGATCGTCATCATTTACTATGAGAGGCGGTCCTCATGCAATGATGACAGGGCATGCCACGGACTCACTGGCCATCAATAGCTCGGTCCCAAATTCAAATTAACAACGCGTGACACTTTCCGTAATCTTCGCGGAATGAGCAATTGCCGATCAGAGGAAAGTTTTATTAGCTTGTTCTATTATGCAGCTGACAGCATTGCATGTCAAACTTCAGTGCTCGGGCGCAGGTTGCCCGAAAGTGAGGACTGATCACCCTGTCCCGTAAGTCCGCAAGTGTAGCATTCTGTACACTTGCAATGGTGGCACATGCCCATGCCAATGCCAGTAGCACATGCCCATGCCAGCATTGTTGTGACATATTTCGGCGCCCTGCGTGTGATCGCCCATGCATTCATTACACCACGGCCGGAGAGTGCCGCCCTTGTCCAGCCGTATTACTGCAAAAAGTAATAAGACATTGCTGTGTCTGGTTCACGGCATGCCAATCCAACAAGTCGACATATCTCAAGGGCAATATGAACCAGTAATTGAGCTACTGTATGATATCAGGAAGAGAAAAGCTGCGAGTCTAAATCGGGCTATTGAAAATGCTTGGTTATGCTTCCAGTAGACGGCAGACAGGATCATGCTTATTGTTACTTGCAGCCTTTCACCCGGCAACCCGTGACAAGGCGCCCATCTCGATGCTTGAGCCTTACAGTGCACGGAAATGAGACTAAGTTACCTGATATCATCAACCGCCGCTTCATAGCTTGGTCTTGGACACAAGATAACTGTTCGCGCTGCCAAGCACGCTCGCTGCCTGCTCGACTATCTCATTGACCACATCCGCCGCCGTCTGGTTCGGCTTGTTGACGGAGCCGGCGACGATGCCAAGAGGTCTGTTATTGTTCGTCCATTAGAAATTCTGTGCAAAACTGTCGAGGCTTTGTATAGCAGCTCACCTGAGTGCAGACTGATCCTCAATTTCCTCTGTCAGCTTTCCCTGCGCATGCAACCGATCGAGATCATGCGAGAGCGGCAGGATGCCCTGGCTAAGCAGCTTCTTGATCTCGTCCTGGCGGTTGTTCTCCCAGTCCTCGACGTACGGCGTGCGGAGTGATCTCAGAGGCCTTCCGGACCAGATCGTGCTCTTGATCCACGAGTCGTACCCTGCATCAATTATTCTGTTTGCGAGTTAGCAGAATGAGACGGTCAGAGGGGTGTCGCGGAAGAATTTATCTTACTGCTGCTTGGCCACTTCTGGGTATTTGGACTCGACAGTAGGGATGAAGCGAGTGCCGACCCAGACGCCGCTGGCCCCGAGCATGAGAGCCGAGGCAAGGCTGCGGCCGTCGTTGACACCACCGCCCACGACGAGGAGCACCGGCTCCCCAGTCAATGGCGAATTGTACTGACGACAAATGTCTGCGCATGCAGGCGCCAAGATACTGTGTTGATACCTAATCAGCTTCCACAAGCTCTATGCAGAGTGACGTGGATGGCGGCACACAAGTATACCTCGTGGGAATATCGCCAGTGTGGCCACCCGCCTCGCCTCCCTGGGCACAAATGATGTCGGCGCCAGCCTGGCACGCCTTGTGTACATGCTAAAGGTTTCCAGACACGCGCGTCATCAGCAGGCTGCGTTCAAAAGATGTCGGCCAGAAGAAGACTGGTTAAGCAATACAGGCTGTCGAAAGCTATGAAGCAGTGGGGGGGAGCACACCTTCGGATGGCCGATCATGTTCATGTACAAGACACCGGCCTTGTGGAGTTTGTCGACGGCCCACTTGGGCGGGACACCAACGGCGGAGACGAAGAGCTTAGCACCCGAGTTGATGACGATGTCGAGCATCTCTTCGAGATTCCCGTGGGTGTAGTCGTACTGCATGGGAGCTAGGTCAATACAATGTTGGCCCACGAGATCCTCTACACCTCCACCGAGAAGCCAGACATACATTGGTCTTGCGGGCACTGCCGCCGACCTGCGGTAGCAGCAGGTCTACACCAAACGGGGCGTCCTTGTTGTGGAGGAGACTCTTGAGCTCCGCCAGCATGTCACGCAGCTGCTGAGGGGTGTAGCGAGCACCGCCGACTGTGCCGAAGCCGCCCGCATTGGTGACGGCTGCCGCGAGCTCGGGGCCCGCGACCTGGTCCATACCGGCGAGCATGACGGGGTGCTTCACACCGAGCAGGCGGGTTAGCGCCGTCGTGATTAGGCCGGAAGCCATTGTGAGAGAACTGCTGTCTGGTTATCAGGGCGGGAATGCAGCCCGGTATGATCTTCGACTATGTTTGAGGAAGGGAGCAAAAGACACCCGTGAGAAGGCACTGGCGCATTGGATGTCAATGTAGGAGTTGCTGGGAACTTCAGTAAGACCCATGTGGTCAGAGAAGTCTCCCCTGCCCTCTGGACAGTGAGAAAGCCCCAACCACCACACGCAGGCAGACCCTGGACGCAAAAGGTTGCAAGGATTGGCTGGATGCCGCGACCGCCTCGAGCTGGCTTACTGACAATGACACGGGCGCGGCAAAGCGCATCTGGTAACAGGCAACTGCAAGGATCAATGCTGACAAGGCCAATTTCCCCGCACCAGCCCCATTGTACGGGAGCTGCGGTTTCCCCAAAGCTTCCAAACATGCTTCCAAGCTGTCGAACGTCGCCCGTACTAACCGAGCTCGCCAAGATGATCTCCAGACGGCAGCGTCACCAGGGCGACGCCCAATAGGCTACGGCACGATTTGGGCCATGGAATCACGGCCTTGCTGAAGGATGTCGTCGGCCCCCATCTCTGGGCAAATCGACAGTCGATAGCTGGATGGACGGTTCGTCCTGCCTACGCTAACGTAGTTGGGCAACACCTCGGCTGTTAGTCCCGAGCCCACCTGGGAACACTGTGTGTCGCGAAGAGCATAAACTGTAGATGCACTGTGTCTGTGGTCACTGGGGCGGCTGACGCATGCTGCCGGCTCCATTTTATTTTGGGGGTTGTCCTGTCTGTACAGCACAGCCAGGCGAGCCAGGCACAACTTGAGAACCATCCACCACAGTAACTGACCGCAACACTCGCAGAATGCCAGCCGCCGACGACTCATCTGGCGAATCGCGCTTTGCAGCCGCCGCTCCTACACCGCAGCAGGTCCTGTCGAACAACACGGTTGGCCTCGTTGCCCTCTCCGATTTCCGCAAGCGCCGCGCCGAGCTACTCGACCAGCAGGATCGTGATGCGGCCTCCAGCGATGGTCCTCAGACCCCAAACGCTACTTCAACGCCTCCCTCCCGCTCTCAGACCGGCACGCCAGTCCTCATTCCCGATGGCGACGGCATGACATCTGGAGGCACCGATGCCGCTCCCGGGCCCCCCAGGAAAAAGAAGAAGGCACTCAAGAAAAGCGGGCCAGCCAAACTGTCTTTTGACGACGACGACGCCGACAACGACGCCGCCACTCCTCGGACCAAAACCAGAAAGAAGGCTGGAGTCCTTGACACCAACGAGGATTTGATATCTGGCAACAGCAATGCAACACAGCGCGATGATGTGACGCCACAAAGCACGACGTACAAGCTGAAAGCCAACTCGGCAGTATCAGTCGTGCCGCGGTCCATGACTAAATCGGCTCTACGCCGAGAGGCTGCTGAACGTGAGACCCTGCGCAGGGAGTTCCTTGCTCGGCAGGAGGCTCTAAAGGCTGCTGAGATTGCGATTCCGTTCGTATTCTACGACGGTGCCAATCTTCCCGGAGGTATTGTACGCGTCAAAAAGGGCGACTTCATCTGGATATTCTTAGATAAGAGCCGGAAAGTCGGTGCCCAGCTTGGGGTCGGAGAGAAAACCAACGCGACAAAGGTATGGGCGCGTGTGGGTGTAGACGACCTCATAATGGTTCGGGGTGGAGTGATCATTCCTCATGTAAGATATTCCAAACCACAAAAGCAAGCGATATTCAGCCGCCGCTCAATATCCGATCATTGGGCTGACATGTGAATTCAAGCATTACGACTTTCTCTACTTCATCATGAACAAAACTCTGGGTCCCAACGACACAGTCCTCTTTGCCTACAGCAACGAACCGCCATCCTTGCATTCTGCTGATACGGACTCTGTCCTAAGCCAACATGATGCTAGCTACCAGCCCCTGTCGACGGCAGTAACAAAGGCCGCATCGCTTGTTGATGTGCGAGCTCTTGAGGGTGCTTCGGATGATCCGTCCTGGACCAAAGTTGTGGACCGGCGATGGTACGAGCGCAATAAGCACATTTATCCGGCGAGCACGTGGCGCGAATTCGATCCAGAGAAGGACTATCGGCAGGAGATCAGGCGCGACCTCGGCGGAAACACCTTCTTCTATTCATGAACCTTCTCTCCTCTGGCATCGGCGCTGTGCTTCCGCACTCGTGATTCTAAATGGCCGTGGCTTTCTGAGTATCATTGCGTTCTCCATATCTCGGACTAACGATCTGGCACCAGCAATTGTTGTTGGAGATAACGAAGACGCGCGGAAACATTCCTGATGGATATCGGAGTGCTCCTCCAGACATCAGTATATGCTGCGAGTCCTCGCCAGACTCATCCGACGCACAGCCGTATTATCAGTGTAAGGAAAGCCATGAGCCACCATCCTGGCCAGAAGATGAAGACACAGACGTGATTCCCAGAGCTGAGCATGATGGTGAAGAATTCGAACTCGAGCTTCCTCTTGAGCCTGCGCATGGTGGTGCAGCTCCAGAATAGCCAACTCGCACTGACTGCCATAGTCGCAATGCGCATCAGCTCTCGCTTGAATAGAAGCGGGCAGCAGGCGGTGAGCGCTTGGAAAAGGCAGGCAGCACGGTTGAGGGGGAATGCTACTCGCTCTAGGAAGAGGAGACACGAAATGCCGAGCTGCTGCTGATACAGTGAAGCCACACGGGCGGCAGGCGCCATAACTGAGACAAAATCAGTGGGCACTAAGAACGCCGGCTCTTTAATCGAAGCGGCAATGATGGCTGTCCTCGACATTTCGGCAGCAATGGTGGCGTAGCGGAGCAACATGGTGGAAGGCACTGCGTGGTCGTATCTTCGTGTAATTCTGCGAGTTGCTAAGTCAGGTGGCCAGTTGCTGGTACGTCCTTAGACGGAGCCTCGGGTCAAGCCGTGGAGGCAGGCATTGATGGTGATTACGCCATGATATACCAGATACGAAGCGGTTAAGAAGAGACCCCGAAACCTGGCACACGACGCGGGGAAGTTTACAATCATCGAGGCAGCATGCATGTCAAGTCCCCCCGCGGTCACGTCCGGCAATGGCAAGAGACCAGGCGGCAGAGGCGACTGTGCGCCGAGAGGAGTACACAGCCGCACGTGGAGCGTTTGCGCTCACCAGGTTGGTCGTGCTCTTAGCGGCCCAAGGTGCGCCTGATCTGTCTTGTGTGCATCTCATCCGGGTCACACCTGTCCTAACGGCCTCAACAACCACGGTGCCAGGTCTTGACGCGGCTATCATTTGGCCTCTAGATTCACAGAAATGGCATGGCCAGTGTCGAGGATCCTGCACTCCCGGCGCGGCTGTCGTCGTGGTCAGAGGGTACGGCAGGCGTGCCGGTGCTGACCAGTATGCTTGTAAACTTGTCAGCTGGATAGTGAAAGCGAGGCTCCGGATGTGCTGTGCCTAATCTGCGTTATGGAGGAGTGCCATATTTCTCGCTTCTTGTCTCGGCAATCTCGAGGCGTGCTCATGGCGTGTTATGTGATTGGCCCTTGGCCCGCGGTTAAAATCGCACCTCCATCTCAGCACTCCTCCTGATTGACAACGGAATTTCGGGTCATCAATAACACAAAGTCTACTACATTGCCACATCCACACTTCAGCGCACATGTCCATCGGCGACAATAGATTCGTCTGTGCTGCCTGGGCTTGTTCGGGAGTATCGCTAGTTTCAGTTGTCGACGACTACTGCTTTTGCTTTCAAAAAGAGTATGGTGCTCTTCCAGTTACACTCAACGGACTCGAATGACTGGATGTCCTCCACTTAGGCCACATAATGCAAGTTGAACATAATGGGTAATGTCTCCAATTCAATTGTATCCGAGTATGAGGCTGGCTTTCTGCAGAAATGTAACAGGCGATGGTTAGGAAAAAGTTCGACGGCTGATCTCTTGTAGTTCCTGAGATGACCGTCCAGCGTGGTGCAGCCACAATTGTACCATCTAACCTGGGCCGTGTCCTCTCTCTTCATTCATCCTGCAGGAACACGAGTCGCGTGAAGTAACAGATGCTCTGCAACACGTTCTCGTAGTGCTCCTCTATGCTGGAGGGCAGTGCGACAGCTTCCACCCTCATTCTGTCAGCAAGGCGACAGACTTGTTTCAGAACCAAGTCTGGCAGCGGGCTTCTCGTAATCTCTAAAGACAACACCAAAGGTAACAAGGTGTTGCACCGCAGTCGCGCGATTCGCACAGCGAGACTGTCCAGGTCTGCACACTCGTCTTGAGTGGCCCGAAGATATAGAGCATCGCAATTGTCGGCGAGGTCAATGGTGACACCTGCACCGTTCTGTCTCGGGTCGTCTTGCGTGGATTGTTGTTGACACGCTGCTGACACATCGCGCACCTGCAGCTGGCTCTTTGATAGCAGCTGCTCCGCCCTGTCCTCACAGTCTGGTCCATACAGACGATCGAGGAAGCAGAGCAAGTCCTGTGGCGGTGCAGCACGGGCTCTGCCCTCCAGCTGCTTCTGCGTACTGAGGTATAATGCATCCGAAAGTTCTTCCAAGAAGGGCTTTCTCCGCTCGTACACCTGTTGAATCTGCTCCGTGTACGCGTGCCGCGTCTTGTCCACAGTGAGATAGTCAACTACGGCTTCCGTGTCGCGACTCACCTGCACTACCAAGCCGGGCCACTGCCTCAGCAGCTGGCGTGCCTCAGGGGTCTCGACAATACCGCCGCCGCACGAGATCACGAAGCCGGTCCTACGAGTCTGCATTGACTCGGAAAGAACCCCAAGTTCCTCCTGCCGGAACGCCTCCCAACCACGCAGGCGGACAATCTCACTGCAGGCTATCCCGTTCCGAGCTGCGAGGTCGTGATCGAGATCCAGAAACACCCGGGACAGGACAGAGGCGATCAAGCGGCCAGTAGTGGTTTTGCCCGCTCCCCGCATGCCAATGACAAAGATTGACAGGGAGCAATCGGGTCGCTTGCGAAGCAGCGGTAGCTGCCGCGTGGATTGATTCTCACCCACCCGAGAGTCCCGCAACCTCAGACAGCGTGTTTGTTCTTCGCACGGCATGTTTGCACACTGGAGGGCACTGGAAGGTGTGAATGCCACGATCAGGTAGTGCAACAACACCGAAGCTCCAGCGAGCAAACAATATTGTCACAGAGACGACTTGCGATCGTTCCAGGAGAAAGTTGTGCCTCTGGTGTCCCATCAAACGCGAGCTGAGTCAATAGGTGGTTGGAAAAACACTCCGGCGGTCCACCGGAGCTTGTGACTGTTCCACCCTAGCATGTCTCCGACCGTTTTGCGGCCGGCTCCCAGAGCCGAAGCCAACTCCCCACGCAAAGCCGAAAGGGGAGTTTCAATCCCATGAAGTATGCATTCAGAACATTTGGGGATAGGTAAGGCGTCCAAAAAGGGTAATAAAAAAGCCTCACAAGGAGGAAAAAAACATACAACACCGGGGATTCGCTGGTCGTCACCGACCCAACTACTGATCCGGCGGTATCGAGCTTGTGTACAGGGGAGCGGACGGGACCCTCAATTTTCTCGATCCTATGGTCGTATGTGCTCATTTCGGGCAGTACAATTCTATATATAATCAACAGAACAAGCTGATTGCCTCTTGTGTAGACGGTAGCATATGTAGCATCCTTCTGGACCGCGCGATAGTTGTAAGCAGATGCCATGGGCCAGCACTTGGAAACCATGAATAGTGCCATCATTATGTTCAATATGAAGGGCAAGTCTGTAACCAGTACGTATTTTATCGTTCGAGGGTTAGTCAAAACAGACTAGCACGAGGTCATACTTCGGCTCCACTGGCCTTTATAATTCGTCTGAACTGTGCCTTGCCCCCGAACTTCGCGTCCGTAATGCTATCGTGATGGGACGGGTGACACCTTGCCCTCATTTCGCAGCCAACCATGGATTAAGCCTCGTCCAGTGTTGACCAGATACTATACAAGCACGGTTCTGTGCTCTTACCCGACGACGATACCGCAAGCTCCTCCGAGGGCGCGAGATCAGAGGCCGTGTTGTACCACGCAACAGGCTGACCTGTAGACGAACTTTCGAGTTGGCCCTGGTGCAAGGGTTGATGCTTCCTCACGCAAACGCCGTATGGCCCACGGTAATTGTGGCGTCCAGTGGAGGAACGGCGTATAGATACTGCCCTTGGTCCTCTCATGGCACCGTAACAGCCTCGAAAGTGAAAGGTTGGCAGTTATGTGTCGACCTTCTGGGAGAGTAGGCTGGTCGCTGCGAACCAGTCTTGTCATCACCAGCCGCCTCGACCTCGTCGTCCACGGCCGCCGAAGCCACCACCCGCGCCACGACCCATGCCTTGGTTGAAACCATCGTAGCCTTGACCTTGATTGCCCCCAAAACCCTGACCACCGCCTCCAAAACCCTGGCCCTGACCAGCTTGACCAGCTTGAGCATTCCCACCACCGTTCTGCATAGTTGCAAACATGGCTGAAGGGTCCATCTGGCTGGGATCCATGCCCCCCGCCATCATCTGTTGCATCATTTGCTGCATCTCGGGTGGCATACCATCCATTCCAGGCATGGGAGGGGCGCCTCCCGGGCCGCCAGGCATGCCGGGCATGCCGCCCATCATCATCATTTGCATGTCCTCCATCATCTTCTTGTTGTTCTGGGCCACGGCATCCTGGCTGAATTCGCCTCGCACACTATCCTGCTTGGCAGCATACATTGTCCAGGTGAATTCATCAAAGCCATAGTTGAAATAGTCACTAATGTCTGTTCCGGGCTTGCGCCATGGCTTGTCATTATCGGGCAGATCTGCGATCGTGCGCATGGTCAGACGAGGCAGCTTTGTATAGTCCAACAAGTATCGCTACGCACCTGTGTCGATGTTGACCTGCGTTATAGGCTTGCCCGCCGGCTTATAAGTCGGTACCGCGTGGACATCAACTTTCGATGTCGAGACAGCTGGATGGCTCTGGGATGTCTTGCGGGTGGATAGCTGCTCTTTCACTGGGGCAGTGGTTGTTTTTGCAGACGGGTCGCTCGAGGCGGTTCGTTGTGGGATGTTCCTGATATCACTGTACCGCGCTTGCCTGCGAAACAGACACGAATGTCAGCATGTCAGCACGTACAGTGGCGATCAAAATTGACAAGAAAGCGTATGGAGTATCCATACGCTGGTGGTTCTGGTTGTGAGCCGTCCTTGCGCTCCGTTATGATGTCGATATCCGAGTCAGAATCCGAGTCGTCGTTGTCCTCGTCCATGGCCGCAGCGCCCTCGTCCTCCTCCTCCTCGCCCGATTCGAGATCTGCGTCTTGGGCGCGCACAGGGGCGGAGCCCGATGTGCTGGCACTGGTGTTAGCTTGGGCATCGGCAGCAGGCTGCGACACGACAGGCTCGTCTGGCGCGTAAAAGTCGTCGTCGTCGTCCATATCCATGACTTCTGGGGTTGATGATTGTGTAGGCTGGGACTGCGGCGGGAGATGGTCCCAAGGTTCGCAAGAATCTGTGGCCTGGTGGTACTAGTGCTGTCGTGCAATGAATGTGGCGGTGGTGTCGTTGTTAAGTTGCAAGCTGGTAGAGCTCACCTGGGCATGTCCCAAGCAATTGACATTTGAAGTGGTACCTGACGAGGTGCGTGGTGGGGACCCCCTGCACGTCGAAGCAAAGTTGCTCCACCTCGCGCCCCAGGAACCAGAAAGCTGCCGGAAGCTTTGCGTGCAGCTCGTGCAAAACAACAAAACCACAAAGACCCATCACCAAAGTCCACATAACGGCGGCCACCATTGCTCAACTGCACCACGCCTGGCGCTAGCAGCGCGTCTCCCATCATCCGAAGCCGCTCCTCTTCGATCGTCTCAGGAAGACCGCACAGCATCTGTAGTACTGCGCAGTGTGCCGTGCTACACCTCCTACAATGGCACTCGCGCGCTCTGCCAGCGGGCCTGGCCTGAGCATCAACACCGGCTCTGCAGGTAGCCTCTTGTATGTTTCAACAAGACGCTCCCTCCCTCGCGTCATGACCTTCGCACTGACAGCATCTCTCAGTGGCTCGAGCACCGCCAACTCACAGCCGGCCGCGCCTGCCACCTCGAGTCTCTTTGGCAGCAAACCGGCCACAGGAGGCGGCCTTTTTGGCAACACCTCGACTGCAACGTCCACCGCCCCAGCGCAGGCGGCCACGACGACGACTCCCAGTCTCTTTGGCGGCGCAACAGCCTCTCAGCCACAACAAACACAGCCGTCCAGTCTCTTTGGCGGATCCATTCTGAACAAGCCGGCTCCTACCACCGCGACCTCATCCCTCTTGTGAGCTTCCTTTCCTGTCCAATCTTGTCTTTCATTTGGTGTGGCCCAAGTCCTCTAACTCCCAGCCTTCTGTCCAGCGGCGGAGCGGCGGCGACTCCTCAAGCCACAACACAGCAGCCTCAACAATCACAGCAGCAGCAGCAGCAACAACCTAGCATGCTTGGAAGCTCACTACTGGGCTCTGCTGGCCAGCAACAGCAGACAGTGCCTGGTGTGCGCATCGACGTTTCGAATCTCAAGGGCACAACTCGGTTTACCGACCTCACGGACGAACTACAGAAGCTGCTCGAGCAGGTCGACAAGGGTATCCTCCACCAACTCGACTATCACCAGCAGGTGCGTGCGTTCATGCTCGGTCACGGACCTATGCTCGACGACATTCCCAACGACGTCAAGTTTGTGGCCAGCAAATACCAGGGTGTTCGTGGCGCTCTCGAGGCGGATGCGCAGGCCATCGAGGTCGCCCGTGGATTAGTCAAGGAGGACGCCGACCACGCTCGGCTGAGCTTCCGGGCAATTGACAACCTCAAGCTGCCACAGCAGTACCATGCCCCGAATCTCTGGGCACCTCGGTCCACTGCCGCCGCGACAGCGAATACAGAATCTGATGGCCAGGACTTGGTGTCTTTCTTCTCGGCCACAGCCGATGAGATGGACAAGCAGCTCAACAAGTACCAACAAAACTTGTCCGAAATCGAGTCCCACCTCCATGGTGTCCAACATGGACTCGTAGAGGAACTGCAGAAGCTCATGGCCTCCAAGAATGGTGCACCCAGTGGTGTTGACGATCGGATCCAGGATCTTGTGGCAGTCCTGCGTGATTTCGAACAGGGCATTCTCCGGGTGGCAGGACAGGTCGGCGGTGCTCGAGAAGGCATGACACGATTGCAACTTGGGGATTTCATGGGTGGGTCGAGCGGCAATGGCTCGCGGGACTTCTGAACTTCTTCAATTACTCCAGCACAATCATTCTCGTTGCCTACGCCATCTCATCCAATTTTCCCGGCGCGACCACGATTGACCCATTGTAATAGATAGATTTGGGCGACGAGCGGCGTTGCGGCGTTTTGCACAGTACCGGCAGCATTTAGGATAGTTGCTTCCTACGTGTTTTTCCTATTAGCTCACATTTTCCGCGCAATATGAAACCGACATGTCACGATAACGGTGTTATGTGTGATTGTTATGAGTGGCGTTCGGATTTGGTACAATGTGCCCATGGGCGGCGTGTGCTGTGGCTAGCGACGCAGTGCCTTCCTCACGGTGAATGATGCGGGTTCGCCGCTGGCGCTGAATTGACCAGCACATGTTTATTGCCATTTTACTGAATACTGGGAAAGAAGTCTCTTAAATGAAATCTGTCCGAGAACGCGATAGTGGGAATCGTGAGTAGCAGCCTTCCAACGTTTCGTGCAAGAGCACTTTCTCTTCGGACAGCCCAAGTTGATCCGTCCGCTACGTATAAATACTCTCAGTCCATGAGTTGACCTGTAAGCCAGTCTCGGCCATCTCGGCGTCCTTGAGATACTCCAGAGGCATCCACACCAGGTGCCCTTTGACTTCATCAAGTTCGGCACGGATATCTTCGGGAGGCATAAAACGGTCGAAGATGTGCCCGGACTTGATCTCGCGGGGAGGGAGAAACGAATCATAATCTTCAAATGTTTTCACTGCATTCAATAGGTATAATTAGACACACCACTACTGTTGGGGTGAGAAAGCGGGTATAGACTCACCATGGTCGTCCGGATCTGCATGGAACAAGTGCCTGAAAATCTCCGTGTTCTTGGTTGCGTTGCCTGTCCACATCTCCCAGACATCGTCACTCATTGGATCTTCCACGAATTTATAGGACTCGTCTTGATCCCAGGGGTCGTTGGGGGAATCATCTCCAGGGGGTTGTGCGTTGAGGTCGTCAGATGCGTCCATGGGCTGGGGCGGCAGAAGACCAAGATGCTCGCGCCACAGATACCGCCGGAGTGTAGCCGCATGTCTCCCGGCTTCGTAAGGATGGCCGTCCATCGTGCTGGTAATAATATCCGTGTCTTCCATGACGATGGACAATTCGCTGTCGTGGTTGCCCATTTGGCTGCGATCGTTCAGGTTGCTTGACCCACAGATGACAATCCGATCGTCAACAATGAGAATCTTGGAATGGATGTAGAGCTCCTCCTGAATCCAGTTCTCAACCTCATCCTTCGGATCACCCTCCCAATTCTCATCCGAAAGCTTCCCTTGCCCAGCCATGGCGTGATGTGCGACCGAGTAGGCCGTAGTTGTTTCTTGACCCTCCTCCTTGGCCTGTTCGAACTTTTTCTTAGCTTCAATGTTTTCGACATCGCCGTTATTCTGCTTCTTGTTCTCTCTTTCAGATCCCATGTGTTTGTCGCGTTCGCCTTCGACATCGGCCCGACCGTGGATACCCTCGCCCATGACCTCTTCGGCCTCGGCGCGCTGTACTTCCTGGTACTTCACACCAGATGCTTCCTCCTGCTTCTTGACAGCTGGCGTCTTGTTCAGACGGTCGTAAGAACGGAGATTGAAGACGAAGATATGGTTCGTAGGGTCGACTCCCTGAGCCTGGATACGTTCCATGATGGAATGCTCCCCACGGCAGATCGATTTGAATTGGTAGTCCATTATTGCACGCGTTCCAGCAGCTTCTTTATCGCGAAGATCACCCGCAAAGCCAGGCACTGCAGGGATCAAGATGATGACACGGAACTTCCGACCTTCCTTGCCCGCCCTCACACAGGCTTCGACAATGGCCTCTCCGATTGTGTTGTGAATCGGGTTCTGGTGCTCGCCTGTAGCTGTGATGAAGAACTGGTTCTCAATGTAAACGAAGTGCTGAGCCTTCTTGATGATCTCGATGTATGCGTTTTGGATGCTCTGGTCCTTGAGGATGCCACTCGACCAGTCTGAACTCGAACGGACGACCTGAGCCTTCACAGGGCCTCGCTTGCCAATGTCCTTCGTGGCGAGCGGGCTCAGCGGGTGCATAGTGTACCCGCCTTCAGGATGCTTCGGCCGTTGCACGCCAACCAAATCCTCGTCGGCTCCGGTGCGACCCTGAAGCTCCAGCCACTCAAAACGCCCATCTCTTTTATACTTGTCACGCTTGACGAAGTTCCAGCGAAGCACGAAGTGCTCGGCAATATCGTAGACGCAAGGGCCAATAATGCTCATAGAGACGTCGTGCCAGGGCATGCGACCATATTCGGCCTTTGACAATTCATTCTGCTTCCAGTCGTCCACATTCTTGAAGTCCATGACTCTGTTGTTGTTGAAGTCTTGACCTGGCCAGATTTCCTCCGCCACCCCCTCGGGATGGACATCGGCAAGGGCATGCTGTGCACAATAGTCAGTCACCTATATCCAGAAGCTGGGTTGTTTTCGAGAACACCACACTCAGCTGGTGGATACGAACCTGGTGATTGTCCCACCGTCCAAAACACAGGTCGAGCCCTCCAATAAAAGCCATCTCGTAGTCGATGACAATGAACTTTTCGTGGTGTGCCCAGTAGAATGTCATGTCAGCGGCATTTTCAAGGACGTTGTGGTCTGGGTGGCGCATGATTTTGATGTTTCCGTAACCGGGAGATCCCTCCGGGCACAGCGCCTGGAGAGCATGCTTGGTATGCTCGGAATTGCACGTGAGAGCAGCCTCAACCTCGCGGTAGACGATTACGTAAATCTTGACGCCCGCCTCGGCACGCCGCTTGAGGACCTGATCAAGGCGCCATTGCTGATTGTGATACGGAGGACGCCGCAGAAAAAGCTCAGGGGATAGCCACCAGTCCTCAATATAGATGGTTTCCTTTGCCCGCTCGAGTGCTTCAGACACGGCCTAGTTGGTTGAGATGTGTCAGACTCCCGCGACGCGCCTGTTCGCAGTTCGTACCAGCTTTCCGGGTTGGGGTTGAGGCTTACCCAGAAGTAATCGCGGCCATCCACGTACCATTTGATCAAGTTTCCTTCACGTTCCGGAAAGAAGGACTTGAAGCGGTGCTTCTCGGCAATCCCGCTGCGCTTTTCATCACACCGCTGCTCGTGCTCCTCGTCATGGCGATGTTCCGGGTTGAACTGGAATTCGTCAGCGATGGTGCTTCACTAGGCAACTACTAATGAATCTCGGATGCTCGACCTACCAGATTGGCATATTTACCAAGATGATGCCTGATGTGAATCCGATCTGCATTAGCCACGCGTGTAAATTGAGATGGTCCTGGGGCCTCATTACTTCTTGTGGTGCAGGGCGACCTTGGCGTCGTGGAGGTGGGTGCCGGAAAGCTTCTGCTTGATCTCATGAATGGGATGGCGTAGCTTCTGGGACAGAGAGTGGTGTTCCCGATTGCCCTTCACGTCGGGGTCGGCCATGCTTGCGGTTTATGCTGTGGATCCAAGATATCTCAGGCACGTTGCGCAAGGCAGTCACTGGAGAGCAACAGAATAGAGTAGCAGCAATATGGCACAGCCAACATGAGGCCGTGGAGAGGAGCTTTGTTGATGGAGAATGGGGTTTGAAGGTTATATGATGGAGGAGGGAGGGTGCCATGTTATAAATTGGCGGAAGCGAAGAGCGCAGCTGAGCATGGGAGCAACCACAGCTACATCGAGCAAGGTTGGACTACGCCGTCATGGGGCGGGACTCGAGAGAGAGCAAGGCAACGGCATGCGAGCTGTCAGGGACAGACTGCCGCGTATCCGGGGCGATCCTATCGGGGCAGCTGAGGCACGCAGGGGCGGGGGTCCGGCCCCGAGTCGTGCCTGCCAAGTTTTAAAGAGTGGTGCATCATGAGCAATCGCACAGGACCCAGGCATCACCTGCTGCATGCTACGCCTTTTAGAAACAAGCGTCCCTGTGGCAGAGCCACCAGCGTAGACCTGCAGTCCTGTATTGCCATCTTCAAGCGCAATGTCTGGAAGAGAATCAGGACCATCGAATGCGTGGATGCAGCTGCCTGTACGGCTTCACCATCCCGACTTGGCGAACAGGGCAGGCCCGTAATGATCACCAGGAACAGGGTATCTAGAGCAGATGCGTCATGCTCAGAAACGTCGCGGAGAATTCGCTCGGCCGGCGTGGGAGCGCATGATGCGGGGCATGCCCGATCTCCACCCGGCTCTGTGACGTCACCGCCACAGGCCAATGCAGAGGTCTCGTGCGCCATCTACCGTCGCTGGTGGGCCACATGGCTGTCTTAAGGTAGACAGTTCCTGCTTGCATTAAATATGTTTATATTCGAACACAACTCCCAGTCATTTCAAGCAGCAGCCATGAGGGGAAGTTCCAGGCGAACACCCGCACAGCCCTGTGGCTCCGAGCTTGTCATTTGTACCAGTGCAGGCAAGCCTCATCGCTCTGTCGCATAGATCTTTCGATTTCGGAGCCCCCAAGGTCGAACGTCAGGGCCGCCATTTGTTGCCCAGCTTGTTGGAGCCGGGACTTTGTATGCAAACACAGTGTAAATAAATGCGGCAGACTCGATGAGGCCAGCGAATCGCTCGACTTCGCTAGGCAGACTCTATGCAATAATAGGTGTGCGGCTTGTCTCCTCGGGACGGAGTCCACTTGTAGCCTGACAATAGCGTTGCATAGATACTGAGAGTAGACCCTTCGTGATCGCGTTCAATAGAGCTCGGCCTGCTGAAGTAATGAAGTTTGAGATGCCCAGGTTGGAGTTCGTTCCACACGGGTGCCCCTCCCCACCCCTCAATGCAGGGGGGCGCTCACCTCACACCAGTGGCTCGCTCAACTTCCCCACACCAACGTCGAGAGCTCTCCATCCCAGGGGTCTCGCCGCCCCTCGAACCCTCATCTTGTTCCTGACCGCCCTCCGACATCGTCTTCCACTCCATTCACAATCCATCTCGGCATTGCAATCAAGCACCCGTCTTCTCCGTCCCTTCAACAAGCTCGACGTACAGCCGAAACTTATCAACCATGTCTGCTCCCGTCATTCCCGCTGGAGGCACCTTCCTCCACACCTTTAAAAAGTCCTTTGTCGACGTTCCCATCGATGCCAACAATGACAATGCTATCGACACCACCGCCTTCCTCGACGCCGCCGAGTCTTTGACCACCATGTTCGGTATGCATACAACTACTAAGCCGTTGATCCAATTTTGTTGCCTCGCCGACACCTAACTTGTTCGTCATCTCTCAGATGCCCTGGGCTCCGTGGCCTTCTCTCCCGTCAAGTCGGACATGCTGGGCAACATCAAGGTACCTCGACAAAGCACACCGTCCAAACAGCCAAGAGTCTCGCCTTATTAAGTCACTTTGTCCAGAAACTCCGCGAGCGCCAGCTTGCCGCCCCTGGCGAGTCCGCCACCGTCCAGGCTCTCGTCGTCAACGAGATCAGGGCCAAGAAGCACACCGCTGCCGAAGGTCTCGTCTGGCTTGTCCGGTGCGTGGATCTCAAGCTTCTCGATGATTATACAAGACCCATTGTCGGCATCATGCTAATACCGGTTGTGCAGTGGACTTGACTTCACATGCATCGCCCTCAGCCAGAATGTCGCCAAGGAGTCTGAGGAGCTCGCTGACTCCTTCCGCAACGCCTACGGTGCCACCCTCAAGCCGCACCACGGCTTTCTCGTCCGCCCCGTCTTCTCCGCCGCCATGAGCGCTTGCCCTTATCGCAAGGACTTTTACGGCAAGCTCGGCGCTGACGGCACCCAGGTCAGCAGCGAGCTGCGCACATATCTCGCTGCTCTCGAGAACGTCGTCGCCATCCTCAAGGGCTTCCAGGAGCGCAAGGAGGCTAAGTGGTAAATTTCGTGACACCAGGAGTCTCACCACGTCTTCACTACTGGACGGACCACCAGAATCCTTGATGTCTGCTGCAGATTCATTTTCAAGCCGACAGAGCATGAAGAAAGGACGATCCGAGCAATGTTCGAGAACGGGCGGAGTGTCGATCAGCATCGCTAAGACGCCACTTTATACGAGAGTTATGAGCAAAATGTCACGCGCAAAGAAGGCATAGTAAATCTGATGCTACCTGTATTTTCTGACCTATCTGAGTACGAAACCAAGCCAAAACAATCATCGCAGGTGCCTTGCACGATGCGTGTTTCAGAACTCATTATCATTCTGCTTGCCACAATAACCATAAACAACTGACAAGGTGAATGCATCAGCTCATACTGTTGTGTTCGTACATTATAAATCAGCTAGGAAATGTTGACAACGCTCTCCCCTTTGGGGTACGAACACTGATATTCAAGTGTAAGCTTGACTGTCTTTGATGGGTTCAGCGTCACGTCCCACTCAACCTTGCCATCGTGCAATAAACTGGCCAGCGCCGTGCCCCAGGCCGTCTCACCATCATTCTCAGCATCACCGTCGTTCTCGCCGCTGCTGTGTTTCTTCGTCTTGCTCGTCCCAGCCAAGGATGAAACCATGCCACTGTCCTTAATGTCCACCTGGCCGCCGTCGACTACAAGACCACGAGGTCGAAGAATCTCGATACGCACCCGCTCGTCCTCGGTTGTCGGGATCTGGTCCACCACTTTCAAAGCCACAGGCTTTGCCGAGGCGGCCATGTTCGGCCCCTTTTCCGAGGCCCTTTCCTTGATCATCGTCCTGCGGCTATCTGCATTGCTCCCAACACCGTGTTCGCGACGATTGGAAAGGATAATGTGACGCGTGTACACGCGCGTGATGTCCTTGTTACCGCCAAGGAGGAACCCGGCAGCGCTCAAGCTGCCACTGTTCGTCTTTACAAGTGGGCCCTGGTAGCTCACTTCTACCGAAGGGTCCTTGCCCAGGTCGAGGTGAATATACTCGCCCGGCTTGACGCAATCCTGGGGCGCGCCGAACAATCTCTTGCCCGATGGCGGAGGTAGCTGCATACGGCCCAGGAAGCTGCCGTCGAGGGTCAAACTTGCGAGGCCGCTCAAGATAGGAATTTGACTGCTGTTGCGCAGCTTGACACGAAGGTAGGCCGCGGCCTTCAATTTGGCAACAACGGTCCGGGAAAATGTGACCTCTGTAAAGTTCGTGATGCGAGTCACGCGATGGCGCGAAGAACCGCCCACCCCATTAGCAGTCGGCGCACGCGGTTTGAGAGTCTTCATGCCGGGCAGTTCGTAGTTGGAGGTCAAGCCCATTTGAATAAATGAGAGATCTTCCTCTCCAGAGGGCCAGGACGGGACTGAGCTGCCGGCCGTAGGAAGTGCCTCAGCCGGGGCATCTCGCGTGCCGAGCTGGCTTGCGGCGCCTGTGCTTTCACTGCGGTTGACATCCGCACTGCCGCCTGCTGCTTGAGAACTGGTTCCTGCAAAGGGTGATGACTGCGAGTTTTGGTTGAGTCCCACCGCGAAGGAAGATTCGCCAGATGCCACGTCAGTAGAAGCTGTTTGATGGAGGTTTGAGCTCGGGGCGACGACGGAAGGACCGGTGCTTGAGTTCCCGAAGAGCCCGCCAGCTGTGTGAGGCAGGACACCTCCAAAGAGTCCGCCGCCAGCATTATTGTTACTGGTTTGAATGGCCGATGCCGAACCAAAGGCATTAGGCTTTTGCCCAAATAGCGACGTCGCGCTCGTGCCGCCGCCGCCGAATCCTGTCGTAGTAGTTGCAGAAGAGCCAAAGAGACCTCCCGGCCGAGCAGCTTGCGTGCTCTGTGCAGACCCATCTGTTTGAGCAGAAGCAGACAACCAGGCATGTTTCGAAGTTCCCAACGTGCCGGAACCTTGCTCGGAGCCGTATCCAAACATTGATGATCGCGACTGGATAATAGTGCGCGAATGACTTTGCAAGAACATATTGGATTTATGTTTCAACTCGTCCTGAGAATACAAGATGTTGTCAGACACACGTTCGGTTAGTGTGGTGCTGTCCTTGTCGGCAAGTTTGACCTGCCAGGTGTGAAGGTTTGGCAGCTTGTCCGCTAAGTCCGTGGACTCCGCTTGTGAGGTGGTGAGAGAGATTTTGCAACCGCTCCATGTTTCTGATGTGTAATTTGTGAGAAGAGCGTCGAAGCACAGAACAGCCGAGCTCGATACGGTCGAAAGCGCGAGGTCGTATGTTGGGGTCCAGTAGGCGGAGGTGGTCATGTAGCTCAATGTCAAGCCACAAGGTCCCTTCGTGCCTAAGTGATGTCCATCTGCGTCGTCGGCTGAGCTTGAATGGGCAAGGTCGCTGGAGATCGAGTTGCGGCGGGTAGAGCCAGGAGTCATCACGGGCATTTCGAGCGTGACTGTAACCACATGAACATGCCGGGGCCAGCACGCCTCCCGCTCCTTACGGATCCGTTGCTTCTCCTTGTAGCTCTCCGCAGCCTTGCGCTGCCGACTCTGGCGCTCCTTCTGCTTTGCCGCCACGACTTTGAGCTGTGCTTTAGAAAGCCTTGCGTGAGCCTTGGCTGCGGCCTGGACATCGCAATCGATCTGACTAGTGAGCTTGAGGATCTGCTGTGAAAGATTGCGACTCTTGATCTTTCCATCCATGCTGTCGCGAAAGGCCTTCTCGCGCTCGGATCTATACGTATCGAGCCCGGCAGTGATATCGAGCTGTGACTGGGGTGGTGGCGGGTAGTCTTTCCCCTCTCGAGTCACTGGCGGCTCCGGTGCTACAATCCGTCGGCCGTAGGCATCGAGTATCTTAAGGCGAGCCTCGGCGCTAGCGACGAGCTCTGCAGCGCGCTCTTTGTCGTCGTGGAGCGAGGAGATCTGCTTGCGCAGGGCCAGTATGGACTCACTCTCCTCGGGGTTAGTCACCTTGCTGGAGGCAGACTCGCTGTCGCTGTCGTCGTTGTCATCATCGCCGCCGTCGTCATCGGAAGCTGGGTACACATCTTCAAAAATCTCGCGGTTCGGGAGGAGGTGGACCGAGAAGTCGGTGATGGAGACTGGTCCAGAGACCTCGAGCTTTATAGAGTGCTCGTCAACGGTGGGGGATAGCCCGACGATGGTGACGTGGTTGGTGCCTGGTTGGAGGGAAATGTCGTCGATGTCGCGGACGACGTAGGCGCGGGAGGGCGAGAGTCGGACGGACCGGGTGGGAATTCCGCGCAGGTGATACTGGACTGTGTGACCGCCATCGTCGGGCGGGAGTCCAGTGACAGACGGCGGCGAGGCCGGGGGGGCGAGGGAGCCAAAGACCATGATGGGAGCAGACTGAGCTGGGCAACACGGCACAGCAGGGCACTGCACTAAACTCGACGCTGGGCAGGAAAGCAGTCGTCCGGGACGAGCAAGGGACTGTATTTCCTAGTGATACTTGACAGCTAAGTCGATTCGTGGAGGGTGGACTAAGATAGAGCTACACGACACGAAGAGCAAGAGACGCGAACCACACTCGGAGACACACCACGTGCAGCAGAGCCTTCAGATGGAGACGATCACAAGGGAAGGTCAAAACTCAAGATGCCGCAATGCTTTTGCAGTGAGGTTCTGGACAAGAAGTTGTGGTGGTCGTGCGGTGTGGTGCTTTCAAGACCTGATGGACTTTGGTTGTGAAGGACGCCCCTCTTTATAGTGGACGGCCGGGCCAGTTGGTAGGGCGCAAAGTGGATCGCAAGGCAGACTGCTCGTGGTTGCCCGACATTATTAATGTCCTGGTGAGTCAGCACGAGCATCAAGTGGCTGCCTTGCCAAAGCCCCACAAGCCCAGACAGCCGGCCGCACAAAGAAAGAGCCTGTATTGGCAGTCCTGCGACTGGCCGCCTCCATGGCCACGGCTGGCAATGGATATTCGATTGTTGATCATGTAGTGCCGTCACGGCGGCCGCACCATGGCGGCCTGTGATTTGACCTCAGTCTGCAGGCACAAGCTCAACCCCGCGGCCCCCAGCCACCGAGCCCATGCAGTCCGGCATTGGGCAGAGAGGTACACCCAACCAGCCTCGTCTCCATGTGGTGCACTTCTTGACCAGCTCTAAGCCGAGAAAGCGTGCTCATATCCTCGAGCCAGCTCATTGTCATAAGTCGTGCCTGTTCCTGTTGGCAGGTCGTCCTTGCAGCCCCCTCGTCGCTGCCATCAAACTCCTCCTGCTTCTCCTGTTTACTGTCTCGCACCGAGAGCCGCTCATGGCGGCAACATATCAGCAGCCGGCGTCCATGGACACCGCTGGATCTCACACAGCTGGCACCTCGTCCTTCCCGCCACCGACAGCATCGTTCCCGCAACAGCCATGGGAGCAGACTGCCACTCCTTACCGGGTCAATGACGTCGACTACAAGACCAGTGGCCGCCCGCCCGCTCCCGGTCGTGTCTCCTCGACTGCTGTCCCCGGCCACTCGGCCGAGTCTGTCATCAATGCCACGAAGCCCCTCGAGCCCGTGCCAATGACCACAACGCCGTTCGAGGGTACCTCGCTCAAGTCCATCCGGCTTGCTGCCGAGCTCTCCCTCCAGGAGCTCATCAATGCCCGCAACCAGTTTCCCCCGTCGACCACCTTCTCGGCGTCCGGGCCAGCCAGCACGGTGCCCAGCAACGCCCACAGGATCCGCGCCTACCAAGACGTGGCCCTCAGTGACCTCTATCTCCTGCGAAAGGAGATGTCGGCCATCGCCAAAGCAGCAGAGGCTCGGCGCCTGCGCAAATGGGTCTTTGGCGTACTCATTGCGTCCTTTATCCCTGCCGTCCGCAAGATATTCCGGCGGGCTCCAGAGGATGAGGAGGCAAATGACACCGAGTATGCCTTTCGTAAGAGCAGGTCGCTACTTGAGCGCATAAAGGACTCGGTAACGCCTGGAAGCAGGGCAGGCTTTCTCGCGACAATGACGCTGTTTGTAGGTGCTATTCTCTACGTCTTCCAGAATGAAGTCACGATTCGTGTAGCCAAGACCACGAGCAAGCGGCTGAAAAGACTCGCCGCCAAAATCGAAGGCGGCATAGAGGTCCTGGATGAGGACGACATCAAGATCCTCAAGGGTTGGCGCTGGAGAATACTGATGTGGTAGTGGGCCCTCCAAGTACTGGCTCCATGTTTGAGTGATCTGAAGGAGCTTCGAATGAAGCCCTCCACTGCCGACGTATTCAAAAACCTCTTGCTGGCCACGACATGATACTTTGATTACATAGTGTTAAACTCGAGCCTAAGAGATGCATTTCGACTGTCCAGGTAATGGCGACGTGCTCAATGCAAACATGAAGAGACATTCCGTACATATGAAGTACTCGACTCGGAGGTTCCGAAACAGATCTTGTGCTGTATCCTGAAGACCTGCTTTGGTGGCAGGCTGTTCCGTCATAAAATCCACCAATCAGCATATTCTTCACCTTTCGCGTCATGCAGGGTGAATTTCAAGAGGCCATATATTCCGTCGCAGGTGATTGGCAAAGACCCTCGAACGATCAAGGTTCTGAGCGGGTAATTGCAGTCACCAATCGGGGCCGGGCTACACGTTGCATCGATCTGGGGTACTGGGCTCAACCCAACTCCGCAGATCGGCAATTGCAGACTTCTCCATCAAGGACCACTGCACTGCCAGGCCCTGGTCCCACGTAGTATCTCGGGACTCTTTCCCACGAACTCCACGGTGTGTTTGTGCGGGCTGTGGCGGCTATGCGTGCCAACACCTGCCGAGCCTGGCCTGGCCTGCCGAGCCATGAGATGCACTGAGTTTCCGCCATGGGGGACAGGTATATAATATGACGTGGTTCTTCTCGGGCATGGGCGAATAACACAGTTGCAACAATATGTGCAATTTGACGACCACTCCCATCATCTCCCCAACCCGAATTACGATACATCATGCGCCGCCTTTCGTCAGTCATTTTGAGCCTTCTGAGTGCATCGGGCAGCTCCGCCAAGACCCCGGCATTCTTCCTCGCTGGTGACTCGACCACTGCGGTTGACGGCGGCTGGGGCGACGGTTTCCTGGCAAACCTGATCGCGCCGTCCTGGGGCGTCAACGTCGCCAAGAGCGGTGCGACGACAGCCTCGTTCGAGGCAGGCGGTTTCTGGGACAAAATCACCACTCTTGTCGCCGACAACGCCGATGAGTTCGACTGCTACGTCACCATCAGCGTGCGTCCATCTGGGCCCCTTCCGTCTAGCCTATGGCTCAAGAAGAGTAGTCCCGCTGACGTGTGTGCCTCGAGCAACTGTAGTTCGGCCATAATGATCAGAAGCCAGAGAACAATGTGCCGTTCGATGTATACCAGGCCAACCTCATACGATTCGCTAGCGTGGTCGAGGACCTTGGGGGTAGACCTGTGAGTTCCTCCTCAAGCATAATCGTCGTTCACTGAGAGGTACGCCTGACGGAACGCTAATGCGGTAAAGCTGCTTGTTTCATCGCTCACTCGCCGCAACTTTGCATCCGATCATAACGCCACTGATTCCCTCAGCAACGAGCGCCGGGCGGCCCAGGTGGCTGCCGAGAAGACGGGCTCGGCCTTCATCAACCTGAACCGCGCAAGTCTCGACTACGTCAACGCCATTGGTGAACAGGCCGCGCACACTTACAACGGCCCGGACAGTCCCACTGATAACACGCACCTGAACTTGTGGGGCGAGACGGTGTTTGGACGGATGGTCACCGATTTGGTGACGCGAGCCGTGCCGGAGTTGGAACCCGTGTTCCTGAAGAACAAGACCATGAGCGACCTCATCTGGAGTGGTCAGGCAGCTTGAAGGTCGTGCAATCTAGGGACTGCCACTTAAACCAAATAGTGAGGCACTGAAGTTGATGGTTTGTGCTTCTTAGGTCTTGGCAACGGGCATCCTCTACATGTCTTGTCTACTTTGGTCTATATATCTATACCGATTCCCGCACCAGTATGCGCAGCTCCTCACACTGCCTGCGACATCACTTTGTCGACCTCGTCGAGCCACCACTTATGTATGCGCACATCATTTGTGAGTTCCGGGTGGAAGCTCATGCCGAAAACATTGCCCTGCCGCAACGCGACAATATCGCCTGGTCCCTCCTGTGGCTCTGCAATCCCTTCGTCGTGCAGACCGCTGCCGACCTGCGACGCGGCTGCCTTCTTCTCGTTGTTTGCGTGACGCCCAGGCAAGACTGCGAGAACTTCTACCGGTGGCGCTGTTCCTCTGCCCCCTTTCTTGTCGTCATTCCCAGTCGCAAGCAGGCTCTCGACCACAGGGGCTCGGATGAAGACAGCGGGAAATGGTGGTTCCGGATCGGCATTATCTGCCTGCAAGAAAGGCAGTTCAAGATCTGTCACGAAGCTTTCGATCTGTCGGCCAAAGTGGTTGCGATGCACGCGGACGTCGAGGCCGCCCACGAGCTCCTGCCCGCCGCGCTTCGTAGAACTGGCTTCTTCGCTAAGAAGGATCAGGCCGGCACAGGTCCCCCAAGTCGGTTTCTTGAATTTTCTGTATAATTTGTCAGAACCCGAAGGGACTTTTATGAGATGCCGCTCGAAGCACGTGAAAGAACAAGCACCTTGTGCGAAAGGGAGGGCTTGCAACATACTTGACAAAGTCCCGCAGGGGCTCAAGCAGGCCCGACTGTGCAGCAACGAGCGACAGTGTGGTGCTTTCACCTCCAGGGATCACCAGTGCCGCGCAGAGTGCGAGCTCGTCAGGAGTGCGGACCTCGACGAAGGAGAATTGTGTGTTGTTGTTGTTGTTGTTGTTGTTGTTCGGCGGCCAACTTGACGCGGGGCCGGTAGCCACGGCCCCAGTGCCGGGGGTATCGGCCCCGCCACGGAGGGCGGCGGCGCTGGTGGGTTTTGTTTTGCGTGCGGCAGCGGCCCGCTCCAGGGACTGGAGGTGTTCAGCGAAGCCGCCTTGCAGCGCCAGGACGCCAATGGTCAGAACTTGCATGGCTCCGAGACTGGAAGCACCGAGTGGGAGGGTGCTTGTGTCTCGCTGGCACGCGAGGATGGTGACTGAGGTCGTCAAGCCGGGCCAAAAAAAAAGTGTTTGTGGACGGGTGGAGGAGACGGTAATGGCCGCACTTCGAAAGAAAAATGTGGGGGGTGACACAGTGGTAGCCGATCGTTGCAGAAGCGACTGCGGGCTCTGACGAAGGCGAGGAGCGAGATCGGGGGCCTTGAGTACAGTGTGCTGCTGGCTTGGCGAGTTTGGGTTTGCATGTCAAAGCAGGCTTGACTGGTGTGAAGAGCAGGCCGGAGATGGGTGGGTTGGCACGGCTTCCCTCGGCCCGTTTCCCACCCATCGAGGTGTCATGACATTCGCGCTGCTCCCAACCATGGCTCCCAAGACCCTGTGGCGCCAAACCTTGCCCCGCTCCTGGACCGACTCTGGATGGGTGTGCTGCTGTTCCGCTATCCTCGCTGCAGTGTAATGCGCTCACAACCGGTCGCGCCACTGGCATCTAGCTCCACGGCGCCAGGTCCGCACCGCTGAGCCTTTCACAGGCGGCATCTGGGGTTGTCGTTTCGGACCCTGCCCTGAAAAGTTCTAGATCCGCGGCCCCCGACCTCGGCGCCCCGCGGCAACGGCACCTTCCAGCAGTACCTGCCGGGTATCGCATGTCAGGGCAGGCTCTGGACGACCCAGACTAGTCCGTTGCCTACATGGCGGATCACTCGTCTCCCCACACGCATGCTGCCGAGCCTGCCGGGACCAGGACCCAGAGGGTACTTTGTGGTGACGCCCTCGATTCTCCATTCCCCCTCCAGCTGCCAGTCCACAATTAAAGGGCAACCCGCGTGTGACTGCTCCAGTGGGCGTGGCCCTGTCCACTGCCAAGATGACTCAAACCACTGGCGTTTCCTGGGCCGAATCGAAACTTGCTCGGTGAAGCTAGTGCTTGGATCGAGGGGCACAACTGCTACACTGTACGCCCTTCGTCAACTTGGGGAAGGTGGAAGGGCGCGAGTCACCCCGCAGCACCTCGATGACCACAAGCTCAATTTTGTGTCTAGATCTTTTGCTGCTGTTGTCAAACTTCCTTCGCCCTTCTTGCTTTCCCCCTTTTCTCCTTTCTTGTTTCCCTCTGTTTTCATTTGTCCTCTGAGCTTCTCTTCATAGCAGCCCTACACTCTCCCCTTCCTGTTACACGAATCTCGACCTAAATCGACATACAGCCACAGAAGAACACAGACATGGTCAACAATGCAGGTAGCACCGGCACCGGCGCCGGCGACGCCTCCGCGGCAAGCCCAGCCGTAGCCTCGTTTACCGTCAAGGCCGGACTGGCGCAGATGCTTAAGGGCGGAGTCATCATGGACGTGACGGACGCGGCACAGGCACGCATCGCCGAGGACGCCGGAGCGTGTGCCGTCATGGCCCTCGAGCGGGTGCCCGCGGACATCCGGGCCGAGGGCGGCGTCGCGCGCATGTCGGACCCGCACAAGATCAAGGAGATCCAGGACGCCGTCACCATCCCCGTCATGGCCAAGGCCCGTATCGGCCACTTTGTCGAGTGCCAGATCCTCGAGGCCCTCGGGGTTGACTATATCGACGAGAGCGAGGTGCTCACCCCTGCCGACGACAAATACCACGTCGAGAAGGCCGGCTTCGGCGTCCCCTTTGTCTGCGGCTGCCGCGGGCTGCCAGAGGCCCTGCGCCGTATTGCCGAAGGCGCCGCCATGATCCGAACCAAGGGCGAGGCGGGCACTGGTGACGTCGTTGAGGCGGTCAAGCACATGCGGCAGCTCAAGGACGACATTGCGCGTGCCGTCGCTGCGCTGAGAGACGGCGGCGACCTGGCCATCCGCGCACTTGCCCGTGAGTTTGAGTGCGACGCCGCCTTGCTTAAGAAAACGGCGGAGCTGGGACGGTTGCCCGTCGTCAACTTTGCCGCTGGTGGTATTGCCACTCCCGCCGACGCAGCACTCATGATGCAGCTCGGCTGCGACGGCGTGTTTGTCGGAAGCGGCATCTTCAAGTCGGGCGATGCGGCCAAGAGGGCAAAGGCCATTGTCCGGGCCACCACGCACTTCAGAGATGCCAAGGTGCTGGCTGAGTGCAGCGAGGGGCTAGGAGAGGCCATGGTCGGCATCAGTGTCAGCAGCATGAGGGCGGACCAGAAGTTGGCTGGCAGGGGCTGGTGAACAAACCATATCTTGGACGAGCGCGCCTAGAAAAGGGCCGGCGCCCAGGATCGGTCGGATAACAAAACGAGAAAAAGGCGCAATTTTGATATTGCAGGACATGACTGATGCACAGTCGCAAGAGTTGAAGTATCATTCAACATTGTTACACTTTACAAAGAAGCCAATACTACAGGAGTTTTTCTTCCGAGAGAATATGTTAGACTTCTCAATGTTTGCGACAGTCAAGGGCCCCTTGGAAGGCCTTTTCAGATAGCAGAGTCGACATACCCAAGTGGAGGGCGGGAAGCTGTTTCGTGCGTTAATCGTTACCTTCAGCAGCAATCTCAACTCTGTACGTCGAGCTGACTAAAGCTGCCCTATTCCAAGCTAGTGCCTGCCAGATATGAAATAAGGAACCAACCGGTCTGATCTATAAACACGAATGCGTGTGATACTGCCTATAAGCTACCCCCAGCAGATGTACGGGATGCTCCCGTTTCCATTGACGCCTATTGATTAGGTGCACACAACCTGGACGTATACAGCACAGCTAAGGAGTCACATACATCGCACGTGGAAGCTGAACCCCAGCGTGAAATTCACAATATCGCCCTGCCTTGGCTTTCACGACGCAGATGGCGCATTCACAAGAGCCCTGCTTTACGAATACATTACATGAAAAACAAATGCGCAAATCTTCCTACAGCCATGGCTGATGGAAACACCAAGCGCCACAGGAATTTATTGTACATGATGATTCCCCAAGGGTATTGTACGCCATCGGCCATGAACATAAGACGCCGGAAAAAAGAAAACGTCCGGCCAAATACAGTCTGCTGCAACTGCAGCCCGTTGAGCCAGCTAACCCTGCAAGGTTGCGACCATATTACAATCATGGTCGCAGATGCCTCCTGCCGTCCTCGACACTTCAATCAGATGCGAGTATGCCGTACAGCTCAGAAACACTCACGCAAAGAGCGTCCTAATATGTAGATCGCTCAAGTCCTTTGCCTCTGACACCAGGCAGTTTACACCAAACGCCATGCTCCTCGCACAAAAACCACAACAGGCAACAGTGCCAAAACGACATCAACTGAGAGAAGGTACAGCAAAGCGAGCTCCGATGCGAGAAAGGGAATTCGCATCTAGACACCGCCGCCCATAAATGCGGCAAGATCATCGAGCTCAAGGAGTTGCCTTTCAAATGCCATGCACAGCTCGGCGGCCGTCATGTCAGAGCCGGGATGCACGACGCTGTCGATGCCTGGATCCTCGGTGGACGAAGGTGCCGGTGATTCAGCCTTGGTCTGAGTCTGCTGGCGGGGGCTCGCAGTAGCAGGAGTTGATGCTGCGCCTGATCCGCCGTTGATGGTCGTGAAACCGGATTTGCGTGGAGGCTCGCTGCCTCTGCGCTCGCTATAGTCAGGCGGGTGGGCGGATGAGGGTCGGTCGTATTCCATGCGGTCTGCAGGGTGGCTATTGTTCCGGCTCGACTCGCTCACGACATCTTCTTTGGTGCGAGAATCAGGGTCGGCAAGGGGTTTTCCCGTGGGATCGCCATTGCGGAGGACCTTAGCCATGACGGTCAAGTGTCGGTACCAGGGCACAGCCAGGATCCAGATATTAGCACCATCCTGCAAGAAGCGCATGCCATCGCGTACAAAGGCCTCGGCCGTCTCGTTCACATCAGGTGGGGTGAAGCCCTTGAGGCTGAACCACGCAATGGTGGAGCTCGCTGTGAAACACGAGAACAGCATGACAAGGGGGAAGTTGAGGACCGCATCCTTGTCGGCGTTGGCCTCGAGGGCCAGGAGCAACGAGACAACACTGTGAGAGGCCGCAAACACCCTTTCGACTGTCTGCAAATGGGCATGAGAAGCCATGCGCCATGATTCTTGGCTGAAACCCTGGGTTGTGACCATGTGCAACAGCCGACGCCTGTTGACCATGATGGTGGCACAATGGAGAAGGCAATGGAGCATGGCGTAGGTGTAGCCGCTTCCCATCGTGATGTGGAGATTGATATGGCCAGGCTTGTCGACGTAGTGAAGCGGGAGGGAGTTCCGCACGGCCTCGATGCCCGCCTCGAGAGAGGCGCACTGTTCCTCGGAGAAAGTCTCAGTGGTTACAGTCGTCAGCATTTCGATGACGTTGCGCCATGCTTGGGTAGCCATGACAATGTGGCCGAACTCGCCAACCTCAGTCAGTGGAGTGGCGGAGTCGGGAGCCGTAGATGGTATACCACCTGCCAGTGTCCGGACATAGACGGGAGTGCCAAAGTTGTAGCTCATGTCTGGGCACGGCAGCGGCACGCCCTTGATGTCGAATTGGGAGACGGCTGGGTGACGGCCAGGGCTGCTGGTGAGGAAGCAGTCGAGAATGTAGATGAGCCACAAGGTGCGGCGAAAGGACTCGTCCTTGATAAAGCGATCTGGCTCGCCGTGGCCCTGATGTGCGGATATTATGCGGTACATCTGCGCCATGCGAGCAGCCTGCCCGAGGTAAATGTAGGCGCGAATGGCGTTCCTGTTGCCCCACTCGTGGATGGTAAGTAGACACAAGGCCTGAATATCGGCAAGGTTGGGGTTGTCCAGGTTTTGCATCACGAGGCTGATGGCCTTTGCTGCAAAGTGCTCAGCAGCAGCGGCAGCGCCGCCCTGAGCACCATAACGACGAATGAGAGCGGGCGAGCTCCTGTAGACAAAAAGATTAGGGTGTCAGCTTGCTTGCATGCGCCCGAAGTAGAAAATGGGGATAGGACATCGCAAAGACTTACCGTGCAGCACAGGCCAGCAGACCATTTACAATGCTCCCCTCCAGCGTGCCATTCTTGAGCTTCTGAATGAAGGACGGCTTATGGAATGCAACACAGGATGGCAGAGTCTTGTTGATAACCCTCTCGCACTCGGCGGCAAGCTCCGGAGTAAGCCTGGACAAGGTAGACAAACGTCAGCGGGGTTCCGGGGAGGACAGGACAGACATGGGGGATTGCCGGAAATTGTGGAGACGGAGGCACGCGACTTAGGAGTGCCTAAGATCCCGAGGCGAAGGGCACCTTGCCCCGGTTGACGCGCCACTCGACGCTTTTTTGGGGGCGGACTCGCTGGCACCGCCCCGGGCCGCTTACTCTGCGCGGGCTGGCCAACACATGCACGGCACCCTGCTGAGGGCACGCGATGCGCGGACAAGAAGGGCAGCAGCGGTGGGAAAGGGCGAGCGCGGGAGCGCAGAGCAACAAGAGCCGTACGCTGCCGCTTGTGGGGGATAACGAGAAGAAGCAGCGCCTCGGGGGTACGGCCGGAGCGAAGACTAGCAGGACGGGAACGGGAGAAGGATACCTACTTTTCACTGGCGGTAGCTGCAGGGACAGACCGTTGAGGGACGACAACGCCGCTCGTGGTTGTGGCGGCAGGTTGGCGGTCGCTGGCGACGGCAGAGACACTGCGTTCGCCATGGGGAAGGCTCTCGCGCGGACGGGAGACGCGTGCCGGAGACTGGCCGTGGTGGTGAGCGAGGCTTTCGGAAGGCAAGTAGCACTCGTGCATGCCCTTCGCGCAGTTCTTGCAGGGCGCGCGGCCGTTCTCGTAGACACACTTGGTCTTGCCCTTCCTGCAGCGGACGCAGGCACCGCCGGCGCGGAGAGACGTGCCGCGGACGACAGAGGCCATGGCGGGTGGTCGGATGTAAGTGCGAGCCAGACGGCGAGGTGAGGTTGATGACGATGGCGATGGAGGAGAAGAAGAAGGAGGAGAGGTTGTGGAGATGAAGGAGGGAAGCCGGCGACGAGGGAGAGATGGCGGCAGGGGAGAGGCAAGGACGGTTCAGTGGCCGGTGGCAGGACCGGAGCGGGAGCACGAGGGGGATGGGGAAGAGGTGGGTGGAACGGAGCAGACGGAGAGGGCGGTGATGGGACTCGGGGGCATTTGGGACCCAGGGCGGTGGCAGGTCGGGCGGGAGTGGAGGCAGGCGCTGGAGGGAAGGGGCGTTTTGTCTAGGTGCCCAGGTGGAAGCTGGGGGCGCCTGCAGCCGGGCGGCGTCGAGGCAGACGAGCAGGCAGGAAGGCAGGCAGGCAGGCCGGTCAGTCGGTCGGTTCCTGGACTGGGCAACTCGGCCAGGGACAACGCGAGAGGCGCGGCGAAGAACAGGAGCGCTTGCGAGTGCGTGCACGCACAAGCTGTCGCTCGAGTGAGGGCGCACGCGGGCGGGCGGGAGACGGCAGGTCTGCGGCCGTGAAATGAGGGCGGCCTTGGAGGGCGCTAGAGCCACCTGGCACCCCCGGGTCCGAACCCTCCTCGTCATGCCTCCTCCATCGTCCATGTTCCGCCAGCCCTCCCTGCCGCTCCTTCCCCCAGGTCCTCTTGTGTTCTCCCTCATTGCTCTTGCCGTGTGCAAGCAGCCGACAAAGTCCGGTGGCGATGGCGTCTTCTACCCGGCTCTGGTCTCGGGCGCTGTAATTACGTGCCTTGCAGCTGGCCACACAGCCCTCCGTGCGGTCGTCCGGCAACGGGACGCAGAAGTGCCCCCCCTCCGTGAGATGCCTCTGTGTGCCTGAGGCGGCCGGCAGCTGCTGCGCCTTGGCCCCAGTCCAACTGGGGCCTGGAGCAGGCAGGTACTCGAGCAGGCAGACAGGACCGCGTTTGCCAATGAGAGATGCGCGCAGCTCGCGGCCGCACGCCGGATGCAAAGGGTGCCAGCAATTCGACATAGGCCCACTTGTCGCCTCGGCGCGCCGGCCCATCCTTCTCGGTGCTCTGGCTCTGCGCACCCCTCCCTCCTTCCGATGGGGCCGTGGTGACACGGAGCACGCCTTGCTCGCCCACTCCTGTCACTGCTGTCCTCAGACCTGTCTCCCCTTGCCTTTTCGCATCAGCCCACCCTCGCCAGTTGGCGCGCACTGGCCCATCTTCTGCCTGCCCGCTCATTTGCCTGGGAAACGGGGCGTCTCAAGGTGTGTGACGGCAGCCCAGCATCGCCATCCACCGGGGGTGCGGACATGGCTGTGAGCCTGAGCAAAAGAAAAGGGACCAGGGCGGCCCTTGGCTGGCTGGCTCGCGCCCATTGAGCGTGCGCTTCTCGGGGGCGCGCGGTGCACGCTCGCCACACGGAGCCGCCAGCCCTGGCCACCCGCAACCGCCCGTTACTGACTGCCCTGGTCTCCATCTCCCGCCCGGCCTGGTCTCCAGACTGGACTGCCACACCACTCTGCCGTCGCACCCTGCCGCCGCCTTTGGTCCTGCTGTGTGGTCGTGTTCGCATGAGCGCCACATGAATCGCCTGGAGCCTCAGATCATCTATGCAATGCGGAATCGAGCCACGCAGCCAGACCCAGAGCCGTGGATTGGGGCACGCAGCCTGACGAGGCTGGCTGGCAAAGGCTTGCAGAGCGCTCGGCAGCAGAGCGATTAGCGGGCCACTAGCGTCCGTCATCGCTGGCGGGCGGATCGGACGGTGCAGCCGGACATGGACCAGACCAGGCTTCCCGCCAGCTCTTGCTTTTCCGCCGCGACAGCTGCCAAGCGCACAACTGCACACCCAGCCCAGATCTGCCCGTCTCTCGAATGGGAGAGAAGACTCGTTCACTGCAGAACACTGCGTCACCAGGCGCACACAGATAGGGCCAAGTACGCTGACAGGCATGGAATGGGCAGTGTGAGTGCGTGTTGAAGGGTGAATCGGCGAAAGGCGGCCGTCCTCTGCTCATCCCGCGTCGCCGGCGTAATACCTTGGCATCTCTTTCTGGTGTCGCCTCCGCCCGCCCGCCCGCCTAATCACACGAACTCCAACACCCTATTATGCCTGACTTGAGCCCTTGGCCAGCTATTACATGTCCGCCTGGACTGACCAGTCGAGCTCAAATTGGCCAGCGACATCCAAATTGACGTTTCTTCGGCCGCTATGCAAGCAATCCGAGTTCATGTGGTATTCCACCCAGATCAGAGTAAAGCCTGACCATGATGATCGCAGTCCATGCGAGTGATGCAAGGGTTGGCTGCGTATTCATGAGTTCGCTGACAGAAGCACCGAGAGCAACCTTTTTGGGATGCGATACAGATAACTACACTAAGTAGGTAAATATTTTAGATGTGGGTGCTTAGGTGTCAAGACTCCGTGGAGCTCCCCCGTGGTCAATAGATCGGCAGTTCCGGGTTGCTGGTGAGTTCGGCACTTCCAAAGTCTCGCCCCACCATCAGCCACAGTCTCCACTGCGGTAGCTCCAGTGACATGTGGCTTGCGTGCGTGCATGGCCCCAGATCTCGAAAGTGCCGGTTCGTAGTTGTTACTTGATTTCTCGCCTCCGGCAGTTGATCTCTTTTGACCGGAGCGAGTCTTTATGGCTTTTTCTACTATGTGATTGTTCGCTGCGCATCGCATCGCATCGCTCGATTGCTTGTATCTCATCATATCCGCCATCCCAGCTCGCTCGGACGTGTCGGGACACAGCAGCCTGTGCTTAAGACCATACCATAGCGCACTTCAAAGCTCAGCATTCCCAGCAGAGCTCGCATTTGATCAACCTTAGCCGTATCCTGTGCTCCCAGATTGCGTCCTGTGTGGGCCAAAGGCAAAAAGTTCGCCTCAGCCTGGGCACTGGCTGTTGCCAGCCACTGAGGCTCCCTGTGGAATCGACGTACTTCGAATAGAGCATGCAAGCCTGGGCTGTCACAAGGCAGCTTGCATCGCGACTTAGGCTCGATCCGGCGGCAGCCATCATTTCTATCGCGCACTCACCACGAAGCTACCAGAGGGGACCAGCTCTCAGTCGGCTCTTTGTTCGCCAACGCTCTGATACAGGCACGGTCTTCACCTGGAGGTACGACGAAAATGCGAACATGAAGGGTGATTCGACGTTCCAAGAACAACAACCAGAGGGAATGGTAGAGAAGGTAGCGGCTTTTGCTTCTGATGGAGAGGTCATCAATGAGGAGCCCGCGGGCTCCGTGCGCCACGATGACGCCCCTCTGGTTGACTGGAAGGAGGAAGTTCTGCACCGAATCAAGACCTTCCAAGGGCCCCCGGAGAATCCTGGGCGGCAACGGGAGCACTACTTCAGACAGCTCTACCATCGAGACAGACCGATCGACTTCCGGGTTCTCGCGAGGGCCTCACCTGAGATCGCGAACCAGATGCTTGGCAGGCGCTTCGACACCCAGGATACCGAGAAAGGTCCCATTCTGGTCAGCGCGCTACTCGACAAGCACTACGGCGGCCTCAAAATGGAATTGCCCCCCGACCGTCTTTGTCCGCCGATACCGAATCGCCATCTGTATATCTTGTGGCTGAAAGATCTTCTCGACAGCACTGGTCCCCTAGTTGCCGAGACGTCATTGGCCACGACAGAACGTGAACTGGTTGGTATGGACATCGGCACCGGCGCAAGCGCCATCTACCCCATACTCGGCTGCGCTCAACGGCCATGGAAGTTTATTGCTACCGAGCTGGACGAGAAGTCATTTGAATGGGCTCGTAGCAACCTGGAGCGAAACGGATTGTTGGACAGAGTCAATCTTGTCCGGCGTACGAAATCATTCAACGAGGACTCCTCACCACTCATTCCTATGGACGAACTAGGCCTTGACCGACTGGATTTCGTCATGACGAACCCGCCATTCTATGAATCCGAAAAGGACATGTTCCAACGCGTTGCAGAGAAAAAAGAGGACCCTCTCAGCGCCCATACTGGTGCCCCCGTTGAGCTATGGTGCGAGGGTGGCGAGGTTGGCTTCGTCAGACAAATGATCAACGAGTCAATGGTACTGCGTGACAGGGTACAGTGGTATACCGCAATGCTGAGCAGTCCTCAGAGTGTGGAGAAGCTGCTGGTCGACCTCAACCGACTCGGATTACGGAATATCGCCACGACAACCTTCATCCCAGGCAAGGTCACGCGTCGGTATGCACTTGCTTGGAGTTTCGGTGACAGGCGGCCGTCGGAACGCGCGGCGAGGGGGGACAAGTATACGATAGACAACAAGATTTCCCGTAGCTTGTTCAGCCCAGCGACGGAGCACACGATACCGCTCGGGCCAGACACAGACCCGGAAGTGCTGGGAAGTAGCATCGAGAAATATCTCAGGTCCGTTGGCTTGCCAGTCTTCGAATGGAACTCTGCGAAGCTCAAAGGCTACGGCTTCACTGATGAGCCTTCGTGGAGTCGGTCATATCGGCGGAGGTTGCAGCTGGCGGCCGAAAGATCCTGCACGGATGATCTTCAGCCACGGGCGGGAGAGGAGGCGGACGCCGAGAGATCTGTGATGGACGCCACAACTTCTGCATTCGAAGGGAAGCATGGAAACGATGGAATGAAGACGGAGAGAGACAGTGTTCTCGCCCAAACAGGCCCACCAAAAACGAAACAAGAATGGGAAGAAGAACTTCAAGCACCACTCCCGACTACGCTACCGGAGCTCGAGCGGGCTCTCGAGGAGCTTCAAGCTCCCAATCTTTCCAAACCCACTTCGACTATGCTGAAAATCAATGAGCTGATGCAGCTCAATGACGACTACATGCCTGCCGAGGATCCGTCCACTTTTGGGGACTATGGAAGGCGTTACGAGTACCAATATAATGCCATATTGGCAAAGCAGATGGCCATGCGGCAGCAAAGGGCAAAAGATATCGAAGCCCGCATCGCACGCTTGAAGAAGTTGGCACCGCCTAACAAAGTTCCACAAGACACCTTGATAGGCCCAGCTCAAGCCGATCGCCACTCGTTGGCTGACTCGCCAAGCACAACCTTCACGTCGAACAGCCCTCTGAACTCAATTAAGCGCGCTGCCGCGGAGGATCAAATGTCTTTGAAAGATCGTTATAAATGTGGCTTCACGCTGGAACTCGAAGCGAGCCGGATCCCGGTCATTTTCCATGATGGGAAGTACCTCAAGAGGCCGTTCGTCCGCGACTCGCAACTCAAATTACGGTGGCTGAGTGGTTCAGATCCCGTCATATACGAAAGCCTCGTTGGTGCCCTGAATACCAAGTTTGCCCAGAGAAAAGGGACGATGGCAGGCGCTATTGCGAGATCTAAGCAACGCACGATGGAGCACAATATGCGAACCGCGAAGAAACGGGAGAAGGCAGAAAAGCGACGTCCTAAAATTCGAGAGCCAGGGATTGCTACATGGCATGAGAGGTTCACAAGAGCCCAGCATGAGTCTGAGTTCAGTCGGACTTTTGATGTATTGGACGGTGACGAGCAGCGTGTCGTGGATGAGGAGAAAACACAGCCCGCGGAAGAGCCTGTGGCTAAAAGGCAGTGACGGGCTAACACGTGCTGGCAGACCCGTCCCTGGAAGAGGAACTTGCGAAGACCTGCAAAGTTTTGTCTCATTCACGCATCGACGTGTCAATGGCCATTTGTTTTGTATTTACACCAATGACAGCGAACAGATGGATCCATCATATATCAACGATACGAGATGGTCAATCTGCGAGGCCCAACTAATCGAGTTTGCTGCACAGACAATCCGTCCGCAGTGCCACGGGGAAGCTGGCTCATGTAGCTTTTGTTTCCCAAGAGCATAATATATACTTCCCAGGATTGAAGTTGTGACACTGACTAGACTTGAATTTGCTGCAAAGCAATCCTTTTTTTTTTCTTTTCCCCCGGATTGAGATTCCGACTCAACGACAGGCGGGCTATGTGGCAATCCGGCGAATATGAGGATGGTGCAAGCAGGTTTTCTTTTATCGGACATCTTCCATATGTAGTGGGAGTTTGACCCGAGTATGAGTCCCAGGAACACACGCCGGGTTTTGGTCATGGGTCGCGGACATGGACACCTTTCAGGGTGCAAGCAGGGGTTGAGGCCCTGAACTGCCCCACGTCATGGGTCCCAGGCGGATGCCTCCCTAAAGGTTCCCAGGCCTCCTTATCAGGAGTGACGTCGCGCTGATAAAGCCAACAAGCTCCTCCATGCCGCCTATCATGCACAATCGACGTACAACTCGTGTGCACTTCGTGCACTTTTCAGCCATATCAGTTTTGTCAGATCGCGCCCCCAAGCAATACCAAGGTTGCCTAGCGCGTGGCCTGCGAAGCGTGCCCTGGGACGTCGGCGAAGTGTCAGCATACACATAGAAGACGTGACGCAGCCTGCCATCATGAGCGAGCTGCTCAACTACCTCCTCCAGAACGAGGAGTCTTTTCGCAAGTAAGGCAAACCTGGCCGTAGCGGCTGTCCGAAGATGAGCCTTTCAGATCAGCCTGACCGTAGAGTAGGACGCGACTCCCCGCCCTCTACTCCGACTTTCGCCAGCAAGCAACTTTGAACCCTGACGGGTTCCAAGCCAACGTTCACGCATGGAAGCGCGGCCTCTCCAATGCGGCCCTTGCCGGCCACGTGCCCTCGAAAACGGCCACTCGATCACACCTTGTTCTGGATCTCGATGACGCTATTCTCGACTCCCTGACGAGCCCTCAATATGGCCGTCCACTGGCCCTTGGTTCTGTCCTTAACGAGGCTGTCGGCACGGGCGAGATGCTCCCTCTCCAGCAGTTCCTCAAGGCACAACAATCTATATACCAGAAAAGCTGGGGCAGCATACCCTTGAACGTCCTCTCCTGGGGGTTACGACAGGTCGGCGTGCTTGGCGCGCCAGGCACGGGGCGTGGCAGCGACAAGATTCCTCACGGCCAGTTCGTCCTCCTGCCTAACCTCGAAAGCGCCTCAAAGGCATTTGTGGACGCGACGCGCGGTCGCACAAGCCCGTTTGAGCGGACGTTTTCTAAAGCGCAGTTTCGGAGGACCTTCGGCAATGCCGTGCTGGGCCACAGCGAGCAGCTCTCAGATGCCGACATGGAGGTTCTCATTCGGCACCTTACGCGAGACAAGCCCGTCCTTGCTACAGACGGCACGACGATCAAGATCCGATCGGACTCCGGCGCCAGCGAAAACGAGGGAAGGATCACCGAAGAGGACTCAGCAATCGCCAGCCTCAAAGACCTGATCGAGGACCTGACCAGGCAGACGGAAATTTTGGGCAGACGTGTCGAGGAGCTCAGCGCGGCCGCCCAAGACGCCGTGCGCCGCAAGAATCGCGTCTCGGCCCTCGCGGCGCTCAAGAGCAAGAAACTCGCCGAAACCAATCTCGAGAAGCGGCACGCGACACTATACCAGCTCGAGGAAGTGGCGACCAAAATTAGCCAGGCCGCCGACAACGTCGCCATGGTGCGCGTCATGCAGAGCAGTACCTCAGCGCTGCGGTCGCTCAACAGCCAGGTCGGTGGTGCCGACAAGGTCGACGAGGTCCTCGACTCCCTGCGTGAGCAGATGGGCCAGGTAGACGAGGTGGGCAATGTAATTGCCGACACCGCGGGCGTGTACAGCGCCGCGACTGTAGACGAGGCAGAAGTTGACGACGAATTCGAGGCCATGCTTGCAGAGGAACGGAGGAAGGAGGAGGCGGCGCAGCGAGTCAAGGATGATGCAGTCAGGAAGGACGCAGAGGACACGGCAGCCGAGGAGACGAGGAGGAAGCTGGCCGAGCTCGAAAGGTTGGGTCCAGTCCCGACACAGCAGCCAGACGCAGGAAAGGAGGCAGAGAAGCGACCAACGACGCCTGGTACAGCTACCGCTGAAGAACTGGAGAAATTGAATGTTGGTCACACATCAGCGGAACAGCCAAGGAAAGAGCCCGTGCGGCTTCCAGCAGAGTAGAAGCACTCGCTCTCGCGCAAATTCTATCTACTTTGAATCTATTTCTTGTAGAGGAACCTCGACTACACTCTGTCCATACAAATGGGGTATCATGGTTCTGTATTGTAATCATCAACGTTCATACGAAGCTTTTCTACGCCAGACGCCACCGTTATCCGCGCCCTTGATTGTAGTGGAGATTCCCGTCGGACGATTTCAGAGAACTGCGATGCTGTCCAACCCGGGAGCGCGTCACGTTGGACTCCAGTCGTGGTGATCGAGATGATGTGGCGGTAGTTGCGGGATTGTTAGCTGGCTTTGCGGCGACATAGGGACGCCATGTCTCTGGGCACCCAGCATATGGAAAACCTGAGGGCTTCTGTCAGGGCTACTACTCGGCCAAAACTGTTGCTGTGGAAATAACGGTTGTTCCCAGGCATGTGTGGCGGGAAAAGGCGGCAGTTGTGTAATATGTGCATGATATGGAGTGTAGTTGTTCTGTGTCAAACTCGTCATTGACTGGCTTGTCGCAGGCAAGGTCGGGATTGGAACTGCAGAGACCTCCTGTCCGTAGATTTCGACTTGAGCATTCGATGTCTCTGCTGTTTGATTCGAGGCCGCGTATTCATCCGGCTGTGCAGTCTCTTCTAATACCTGGCTCTCTTCAGAGCTTTCTTTGGCTGGCACCTCGGTCTTTTGCCTCGACCTGCGTGCTTGTGCGATAAGGTCTTGAAATGAGGCATCGTGCTTGACGGCCCATGCGGTACCATCGAAGTCTTTGGCACGAATCTGCGCGCCCTGGTTCGCTGCCCTCGAAGATGTCGGTGCATCAGCTCCTTGGGTGCGCTCCCATTTCTCAAGTTCTCGCAGAAGCTCGGCTTTTCTTTTCGGCTGAAGCGAATCGCAGTTGGCATTCCACAAAGTCATCCACTCCTTGTGTCGCTTCTCCAGCACGGCTTTCGACCCACGTGCGTCTATCCCTAGCTCTTGAAGTTTCTTCCGCAAGGCAGCTTCCTTTAACATCGAGTAGTTGATAGCAGGCAAGCGCTCAAGTGTTGGCGGCGGTTTCGTAGTGGAATGTCCGTTCGGTGGGAGGGAGGTGGCGCTGGCAACGTCTCGTGTAGGCTTTCGTTGTGATTCCACGATACACTGATCGAGGTGTTGGTATACTTGAGCCTCCTTCATTCGCTGATTACAAACCGGACAAGCGACAAGCCCGTCATCTACTTAGGAGGTCAGTAATCAAGGACTCATTCCATGATTCCCATATTGGAGGATCCTGGGGTTCTCGCACTTGGTTCTGGTGAATTTTCGGGCTCGCAAGTCAGATCAATCTCTTGACGAGCCATCTCGGCGGTAGACTCCATGGCTCGTGATTTGCTTGCCCGGGCGGACGATCGCAGCCGCTTGCTAGAGCGCCGACCATCATCTGCTTCGTCGTCATGCTCCAGCTGGCGCTTGGGAGACGCCGAGCCGTCGACAGGGATTTGTCCTGGCGGCTGCCGAGCAACCTTTATGAGCGCTGGGCGAGCTGCTGTGAACGCCTGCACGGCCTCCTGGGTTGCCCAATTGCTGCGCAACTTGAGCTCTTGTTCAGGGGCGCGGCAGAGCGGGCACTTGCCCTCGTTGGAGAGGGCACGGCGGATGCAGACAGAGCAGAAGGTGTGATTGCATGAGGTGAGCATCGGCGTGTCGTAGAAGTCCTTGCAGACCTGACATCGCAGAGCGGCCTCGACAGCAACGAGACCGGCGAGCGGGGTATTGATCCAGTCTGTCGAATCGGCAATGTCGTGCTCGTCGCCGTCCATGGCGGCGGTATGTATTCAGTTGTCGCGATCGCTCGTGGCTGTGGATCACAGATGTGGTGGTGGGAAGGCAAGTGAGTGCAAGCCCTGGATCTCCGTCGCGGGATGACGGCAACCACTCAACGCGTCCGGTCCCCATTAAAAAGTTCCCCGCGACCACCACTCCACGTGACGGCGCGACGCGCTTCCCTGCTCAGATCTACGGCAGCAGCAACGACATCTTGACAAGCCGCACAAGCACAAGAAGATTGACTGAGATTGAAACAGTTGAGTGGTGGCCGCTGATCAAGGCAACCTCAACCTCGAGATGGACGACTACAGGCAATATCTTGCGCAGCAAGTCCTGACCGAGGACAAGCTGGTATGTTGCTGGACACCATTCACATCCTGGCACGCCCATTACTTACCCGCCATGCGGATCAGGTCACCTATCGAGTGCTTAGCCGTGCTCTCAAAATCCATGTGAACATTGCCAAAGAGTGAGTCCGTTGTGGCGGGTTGTCTGCATTCACTTCGATCATCCCGCGCTGACTGCTTTTTAGAATGCTCTTTGAGTTTCATAAGTGGCAGAACGACAAGCGGCCGGGCAGCCTGCACGCCACCTACTTGATATATGGCATAAACAAGCCTACCCATGACGAAGACGGGGATGTGGACATGACAAGCTCGCAGACTTCGGAGGACTACCCTTCGGTCAGATATTCTGATGAGGTACACACCGAGACCTTGGCTCTCGCCAGAGAAGAGCAGCTTGAAGGTATCCTGCCTCCCTTTGACCGGTAGGGGTAATAGCAGTGGAGGCTAATGATGCTCACTAGAAACTCTTGCACAGTTCGACGAAGTCAGAGCCATTCATATGTACAGCATCGGACCACATCCTTTGAAGGACGTCCAGCTACTTGCGGATGCCGCTCGGCAAGTCTTGGATCAAGCCCCATCAAATGACTTTGCGGCTGCGGCCAAAACCTATGGCACAATATCCAACCCCAACATGCGCAGGAGAGAACGCCGGGGAGCTGGTCCGACAAATGCAGTCGGCAGTAACGCAGGCGTGAAAGCAGAAGCGAAGCCCGCGCTCACATCCAAGCAAGAGTCTAAGCCTGTCACGGGAGCGAAAAACTCAAATGTCAAAGAGGAGGCACCCGAGGTCAAACCGGCAGTCTCAAAGGTGTCTGCCCCTACGGTCGCCAAGAAGTCGTCCACAGCGGCTGCACCGTCTCTCAAGCGACAAGGCTCCTCATCTGGTATTGGACAAATGTTCGCCAAGGCTGCCGCCAAACCCAAGAAGCCTGCGGCACCCAAGGAAGCGGAGAAAGCGCAGCCCAGCCCAGCCATGTCTGACGATGGCCAGGACGATGACGACGTGCAAGACCAGCCGATGGAAGTCACAAATACTGAGGATAGCGCCATGACTCGCCGTTCCAGGTCAGACCGACAAGCCGCCCTGCGCCGCATGATGGATGAGAGTGACGAAGAGCAGGAATCTTCCCGGGCGAACACGCCACCTGAAGATGACCAGATGGATGGATATGAGACAGCGGCACAGGAAGATGTCGCCGTAGCAGCAGTGCCGGAACCAAAGGCCGACGAGCCAGCAGAAGAAGTCACGGGCACTACGAATGGCAGAAAGCGCGGCAGGAGACGCGTCACCAAGAAAAAACAGGTCATGGATGACCAAGGATATCTGGTTACGATTCAGGAGGAGGGCTGGGAGTCATTCTCCGAAGACGAGGCTCCACCGGCCACGAAAGCCAAGACGAGCGCAGCAGCAGCGACAAAGGCTTCCTCAGCAGCGGCGACCAAGACAGACGGGGGAGCGAAGCCAAAGAAGGCAGCCGGAAAAGCCGGCCAGGGCAACATCATGTCCTTCTTCTCGAAGAAGTGAGGCGTGCGAGAGGAAAGGAAGACTTTACAACACCCCTTCACCCATGTGAGGACGCGTTGCATGACGAGAACCTCGCTTGTGTAGAATTGCAGGCTAGCAATCCTTTCATGCACTCAGCAGAACAGTACCGTGCATGGGACTTGATACATCATGACAAAGCAAATCCATATTCATCAAGTCTTTGGATGGTCAAGCGAGCTGATGGACAATCACCCTAATCATTATGGATTGCTCAATACTGCAGATGAGAATCCCCGAGACTTTTGACCAATTACCATGTAGATCAATGGATCATGTGCAGATGCAGCTCAATTGCTGACTGCATCTGCGGATGCTATAGCATTACAGTGGAACTGAACGGCCCTCTCTCGCCCTCAAGAGGTTGTTGGGATGCATGCTGTACTAGACTAAGATATGGGGGCTAATACCTGTGTCTCTTGTTGACTGGTGATAATAGTGGCAACGACGTCACGGAAATTGAGTAGCGAAGAGCCTCGGATCGTCCTCAATTATCGTGTGCTTGGTTCTCAGCAATAAGGAGTCCGCTTGGGAATCGTAGGACGTCCATCGCGAAGAGGTTGATAAGTGGGACTCGATGCCGATCTTCGATGCGAAAGCGAGCAGCCTGCACGAGGGATCGCGTGCTACTAGCCGCAGAGGCTGGCGAGCCGCTCGCGCAATGCTATTCCCCGAGGTCAAGCTCGGCCGAAATTCAGCAGAGGGGAGTGACGTCCATCACAAATCCGAGTAGATGTCATGGAACCATGCCGGCTCCGATGGGGGCCGGCCGTAAGGAGGCGAAGGGTCTGGAGGTCTCACTCCGGTGCCAGCGTCGTCAGCTGCGTGATGGGCCTAGCGAACGGGGAGAGCTGGCCTCCTCCGTGGATCAGGTAGCCCAGACACACGACACGCCTCGTGGGACAGCAGGACATTTACTGGCTGCCTGGCGTTCAAGCACCCTAAACATTTTCTAGTGCTCACCCACCCACCTCTTCCTGTCTCGCATAATTAGCAGACTGCCACATGCGAGCTAGGGTGGCTGTCAAATCCGACTCCGTCCATCGTATAGACAACACAGCATGAGAGAGTCTGCAGGACGATGCGCAGCCGGATGCAGCGGATGCCTGAGCAACCAGGGGGCATGTTTTCATGGCTCTGGAAGGGGGTTGGTTGACCGCCGATCAAGGATTAAGCTTGACCGATACTTGAACGGTGCTGCTTCCTCCTTGAGATGGAGTGCCTGCGGGAACTGCATGCTGTGGTACTATGTAGAGGGCCCTGGCGCAGCTTCGCACGGCACACCGGAACATACCTTGTTCCAGGCAAGGAGGATTCCTACTTCTCCCGCCCCGTTCACATGGGCCATGTGCAGAGTATCCCACCACCTCAAGCAAATATGCTGCGGCTGTGGGAGGTAGCCTGTGGCTCTTGGGTTCTCTAAACGGCTCGGTCGAAGACGCCATGTCGCATGGAAGCAGCTCCCTCGACGCACATGATGCATCTGTTGCGGGGGGGACTGCGTGTGACGATGGCCTTCGCCGTGCATGACGAAGACGAAGCCAACGGGGATCCAAACATGCTTGGCCCACATGCTCTGTCCGAGGCTGGTGACCAGGTGGGATCGGCGACGGAGCGCGCAACCCTCGGCAGCGCGAGTGAGAAATATTCTGGAAATCTCAGTTGGGACTGCACCGTGCGTAGACTGAACAGTGCTCTAGGTACGCCACGCGTGCGTCGAGTCTGACAGGGATGGTGGCACCAAGAAGACTGGGCTCCCCGCTTTTCCACGTTGGTTTCCTGCCAGTCAGAGTTTTGCGCGGGAGTGATCCGGACAAGACTACCAGAGCCCAAGGCCCATGTTTGTGTAGGCGGCTTCCCACCTCTCTGGTCCTGTGCCCAAAGTGTATCGAGTCTTGCAGCAGCTTGACTCGTGGTGGATGGCCAAGAAAGAATCTGGGATTGCTAGTATAGCAGTTAACTACCTTTTGAGCTCAGCCTCTGAGCCTCGTGACATGTGAAGTCGTTGCCTACCTTAGGTAAGTAGGTAGGATCTGTGTTCAGATGCCCTGCGCTTGCCATACCGGTACCAATATAATATCCCTGGTTACAGAATTGCAACACACGAGGCCCCAAAGGCCCATGCTTCAAGGTCCTGCCAGAGACGTCGATGCATTCGATGACAGTTTCTTACTCCATGATTTCCAAGAACGGACTGTGCTCAAGCACAACCCAAGCGCGTTGAGTTGATTGGGAACAGCAGAGGAGCTGAGCCATAATCCGAAATGAAAACAAGTTCGGGTAGACCAGGAAACCCCTGCTCTAGGTATAAGTAGCTTCTGTCACAGCTTCCAGAACAGGCGTGACTGGCTTAGAAAGGCAGTACGAGCATGTCCGGTTTTTGACGGTACCGTATCCAGGTACACAAAATAGCGAGAATAGCGATGAACACTGGCGAAAGCTGTCAATTTGAGTGACCTGCAAGCCCACCCATCAAGGTGCGCAGAGGCAGGAATGTGAGAGGGCTGGGATGCATTTTGCGTGGCTGCTCGAATGGTGAATGGCCTTTTGGTCGTAAGATTGCCATCCTTGCCATTACCAATCTGCGCGGATGCATCCCTGCCAGGCTTTCAGTGGAATTGTTGATCCTGGTAAGCCAGCCGCCAGTGACTGCTTTGAGGGGTGCAGGAGAGGTCCCTCCGACATTTATCTCCAGTAATCCGTACATACGCGAGATCTCGTCACGATAAGCTCGGAGGCAGTAGGCCAAGCAGTTCAAGGACGAAATGCGCAGACTCACGCGTTAAAGAGCTTAACGGACTAGTAACGATGCAGCCCCAATGTGGTCGCGGATCCAACAACGAATCAGTCAATCCATCTCATCGGTGTGGCAGTCAATGTGTGCGAGGTTGCATGCCTGTCTCAGATGCTCCATCCTTGCGCGCACATTTTTGGAGGGCACAGAAAAGCCGGTGAGAGATGGTTATCTGCTGGCAAGCCTGCCTGCAGCTGATTGACCAGCGTTCCCCAGAAAGCTGTGCAGTAGCGTGCCACGCTACTCAAGCGAGCACGAGATCTAGAGCCACAAAGTTGGTGTTCGAACGGGCGGTCCCTCTGGACAAGCAATGGTTGCAAGTTCCTTGGCTGGCTCGGGGCAGATATTGCTGAGAAGTTGCAAGGGCACCGCGGAGTACTCGACCTGTCTGAATATGACTTTTCGGCTACAAAGTTTGCCTCCTCTTTGGTCCTCAAGACTGGTCAAAAATCGAGCTCGTTATTGCATGATGGGTTTCGCCCGAAAAAGCAGCAAGCGAAAAAAGTGCGTCCTGGTGCACCGTGCGTTGACATGAAGACTTCCCCACAAGCCTTGGCATGCCGATGACTTATGCGGTCTAGTGAGCTCTTCGCACAGTGCGCCAAGTGCAAGCTGCAAGGAGGGCCAGCCACTGCCGGCCCTGGCAAGGAAGCAATGCTTTGGGCGCTGGGACACGACTCGCAGTCCGAGTTCTGCGATCGGTGTCTGGTGTTGTTGATCGTTGATTATGAGGCGCAGGTGCCGGGTCCCATGTCACATACATGCGGGAAGCCTACGGGTCCAGGACTGGACGGTTCGAGAAGATGTCGCGAGTTCCTGAACGTGTCGATCTGGGCAGGGAAGCCCAGTGGGAAAAACCGGCCAGTGGCGTCAATGGACTGAGTCACCACTTTGCCCAGGCGACCAGGCGCGAGGATTCCCGAGAGAGGGCTCCTGCTTGTCGTGTGCCGGGCGGGAGGAAGAGGACGCTTTGGGGGGACCAGGCACGACGGAGCCAGCAGGACGCTAAAGAGGCTAAAGGAGCGGGCTAGCAGGGACCAATGAGCCACACTGTACGTGGCCGTACGGAGTCGGGGACGTTGAAGTGCTGACTGCTGCATTGTGACGCGGACCACCCGCGGGCCCCCACCAGGGCTGCAGCCGGCGAGGATGGGAGCAGAGTCCCAGTCCAGTGTTGTTATGTCCGCCTTCGCCCGGCGCCCGGCTCGCCGGGTCCTCGCAGAGCAACCATGGTGGTCTGGTTTATCACGGCTCCTCGTCCGCCTGCTTTCTTCCCTCCTGCCTCCCTCCAACCCACAATACACACCCCTCACATAATCAGCATCGCGCGTTTGTTTGACGGCCCTTTCGCTGTCAAATGAACCTGCACAACCCTTTCCCTTCTTTTCTTGTAAGTCGTCTCTCTGGCAATCGTCGGCGTCATCGTCGTCCAGGTGGCTTTGTTTGTCATTGGTGGTTGTTTGCCACCAATAGCTGTTCCCACCACCCTAGTCGTATGATCGTGGGTGACGCTGCAGAGGCCATCATCTGCCCCCCAGGCCACCACGACGTCACACCAGCCCATCCCCTTGGCTTCACGAACCAACCCTCAGCTAACAATACCCCTCGTGATCAACAGCCCCTTCTTCCTTCCCGCGACTACTAAATGCCCCTCTATTCGTCTCTCTACCAGAACCTTTTTCGTCAAGGTGTCGCGAAATCTCTTACCCACGGTTACGCGCAGTCGCTCGTCGCCGCCACCCACCCCCATGTTCTAAACTCCCAGAATCGGCCCTCGTTCGCGAGGCGCAACAGCCAGCGTGCAGGGCCAATCTCCGCCTTCCAGCTTCATGGCGCCTTCCACACTGTCACCCACAACAATGCCACGCTACCTCAGGACAGGCATCATGACAAGGCCGTCATCCAGGGTGGTCTAGATGGCTATTTCGAGGCTCTCCAGAAGCATCAGGTCGCCGAGGATGCCGAGAAGGAATGGTCATTTCAATTCCAGAAGTCGATTGAGTGGAAGCCCCAGGCGGCGACGATCCTTGGGCCCGACGCCGACGCTACCGCTATCCAGTCCGAGGAGACTGTCGCCATCCAAGCTGCCCAAGCAGACGAGATCGCCAGGCTTCCAATACCGGTGGATGCAGAAGCTGCGCTCGCGCATATCGATGCTGCCCTGTCCAAAGAGCTCGAGGCTCGCGAGCTGCAGGAGGAGCTTGAGGAACGCTTGTCTTCGCGAGCCCCCTCTCCAGCCCTTGAAGGTAGCCGTCTCCCAAGCAGGTCTGCCACACCAGCTCCTGAGCATGTTGCAACACCCGTCAGTATCACAAGCATTGCCACTCCTGTCGATCCCCAATCGCGCACGTATGCGGATCATCTCACCCGGCTCTGCGAAGATGGACGCTACGCCGAGATCCCTACAGTCTTCGAGACTATGCTCGTTGCTGGCGTCCAGCCCATTGCGCCTGCCTATAACGCTCTGCTCTCCGCAGCAATCAACATCCCTGTGGAGCGCAACCAGGTCGTAAGTAAGGCTTTGGACGTATATGCCGACATGAAGCGCCGCGAAATCCGCCCCGACGCTGAGACGTACAACATTTTGGTGGGACTCCTCGCCGAGCGCTCCCTGGAGGTCATTGCCATCAAGACCTCTTTCGAGCAGCGCAGGCTACGATACGGTGGGATGGAGGAACCCGGCCAGTTCATGTTCGCATCCACAGAGCTTGACTTCGCCATTGTATCTGAGGATGAACGACTGGACCTCGCCATGAAGTTGTTCGAATCCTCAGTACTGACACGCAAGACAAACTATTCATCGGAGACCTACCATCAGCTCATTACGGCTTGCGCCCAGGCTGGTCGTGTCCCAGATATGCTTCGCCTTTTCGACCACATGGAGCTCAGCGACGTTGTTCCTTTCGCTGCGACATTCCCTGCCATGATCAATGCCTTTGCCAAGACTGGCGATCTCGCCAGCGCCGTGGAATGCTACAACGAGTACAAGGAGCTTGCCGTGTCTCACGACGGTGGCAAGTACAGTCTCAACGACCGCCTGGACGCCCACGTTTATGCTGCAGTCGTTCGCGCATACGTTGTGAACGACCGCCTTGACGGGGCCATGCGCTTTTTCGAGAAGGTTGTTGCATCCCACGGCGAAGCCTCGCAGAAGCTTCAGGACGATGTCATCGGCGGTGGCTTCGTCAAAGGCTTTTTGGACCGGGGCGTGTATCACGAGGCGCTTGAATGGGCGCAGGCTCTCGAACTCGAGGGACGGTTCCCCTGCATGATTGACATCGCTACCGCTGCGGCCGATGCCGAGGATAAGATGACCGCTGTTGCTGCCTTCGCCAATGTCCCAAGTGGCACCTTGGGTATCGCCAAGCCTGCGATGGCTCTCTTGGCCATGAGTATTCGGCAAGGTGATGTTCCCGCCGCTGCGCGCTACTGGGACCTGCTCAGTAGTATGGAGGTCGATGCGACGTTCATCGAGCCAACGGCCATGTATGCTGTTGCCCTGATCGGATCTGGCCAAGTTGGTGAAGGCCTCGTCGAATCTGAGATTATGTTGCAGCGCATCCGTGACACCGGCGCCGAGGTTGCGGATGAGATTGAGGAGGCTGTCGATTTTATTGCTAGCTTCATGGCCAGCCACAACCTCCAGGATCCGCGCGAGGTCGCCTCTCAGTCGGTCTTTCCTACAAACACTTTTGTTGCATCGCCTTACTCCACGTCCCAGACTGCGTCCAGCTACGAGGATACCTTCGACCCTTATGCCCATAGCACGGACTTCAAGGGTTCGTCGCTGATCTCTGACGAGCTGGACGGTGCTCATGGCCGCAAGGGTCCGAGACTTGGTGATGCACTGGCCCGCTTTCGCAATATGCGCCGTGCTGGTCGCCATCCGCGGTACATTACCTACGCGAAGCTTATCTCAGCCGCTGCCCGCGAGGGCAAGATGGATACATGCCACGATATTCTGTCTATGGCTCGCACCGACGTTCCGCTCCTGCCTCAATATGCTGTTGTCCGGTACGGATGGTCCTCCATTCTCGACGCAATGGTTGGTGCCTGCCTGACTTTGGGCGATCGCATCCTTGCCGAGCAGTACCACAGGGAACTGCTTGACTTTGGTGCCGCACCATCCGCAAATACATTTGGCCTGTACATCACCAGCTTGAAGGAGTCAACGAAGACCTTTGATGAGGCGTCTGAAGCTGTCAAGATCTTTCACCGTGCCAAGGCTGAGGGTGTGGAACCTTCCTCGTTTCTCTACAACGCGTTGATTGGCAAACTCGGCAAGGCACGTCGAATCGATGACTGCCTGTTCTACTTCGCTGAGATGCGCTCACTGGGAATCAAGCCCACCAGCGTGACCTATGGCACAATTGTCAACGCCCTGTGCCGCGTCAGCGACGACAAATTCGCGGAAGAACTCTTCGACGAGATGGAAGCAATGCCCAACTACAAGGCGCGGCCCGCTCCCTACAATAGCATGATGCAGTTCTTCCTGACCACAAAGCGAGATAAGGCTAAGGTTCTCTCATACTATGAACGTATGAAAGCCAGAGGCATCACGCCAACCGCTCACACATACAAGCTTCTCGTCGACACCCACGCGACACTGGAACCTGTCAACATCACGGCCGCCGAGGCCGTACTCGACATGATTCGGGCCTCGGGCCAGCAGCCTGAGCCTGTCCACTACTCCTCACTGATTCATGCCCGTGGTTGTGTTTTGCACGATCTCGAAGGTGCTCGCAAGGTCTTTGACTCAGTAATGGCGGATCCCACGATACAGCCAAGTGCGTGTTTGTTCCAGGCCATCTTCGAGGCAATGGTCGCCAATCACTGCGTTCTCGACACGGAGCCGGTCCTGGCCAATATGCGCCAACGTCGTGTTGAACTTACTCCCTACATCGCCAACACTTTGATCCATGGCTGGACAGGCGCTCGGAACATCGAGAAGGCCAAATCGGTCTACGACAGCGTTGGCCTCGAAAGGCGTGAGCCAAGTACATACGAAGCGATGACTCGTGCTTTCCTGTCGGTGGAGAACCGCCATGGCGCACAGGCCGTCGTGAGTGAGATGCTCTCGCGCGGCTACCCCAACGCTGTAGTCAACAAGGTTCTCGAGCTTCTTGGTGGCGGCAACCCCTCTGAAATCAACGCTGTTTGACCTTGCAACAACCAGCTGTCGATTTCTACATTTGTTCCCTGTCACATATTGTGCGTTTAAGCTTTGTCATTTTCAGCATTTCCTTTGTCTTTGTCTTCTTAAGCGATACCCCGTGCGTTGTACAGAAAAACAGGTTCAAGGAAGGATACACCAGGGTAGTGCTTAACGTCAGCCGGGGTCTCGGTCGAAGCATGGACATGTCATATTTGCACGGCGTTCTGGGTTGTTTTTTTGGCATTACGACATAAAAAAAAACCACATTTTGGGCCGGGTTTGCTTCACGAAAGGAAAGATACCCGGACAAGGACGGCCGGCGTGCCGCGGATAGAGAGAAAACTCCACTCGATATTGGCGAAAGAGGGATTTGGGTTTGGGCTGCGGTACTGCACTTATTGGGAAAAGATTTGCGCACGCAGCAGTCCGTCGTGGTTCGAAAGGACCGGAGCAACTCGAATTCTGGGGAGGTATTACGACGGATTAATGCGACGACATTTGACGTCTACAACTATTGTACCAAAGATTAGAGCCGGAACAAGAACCACACACTACTCCTGTCCATCATCTTTTGTCCCTCCTTTCCGTGATTGTTCTTGCAAGTGGGATTCACTCTGCTATGTACTCGATCCCTCGGACTCGTTTGTGGAATACCACGAGTAACCAACTATTTCTCGGGACGTTTTCCCGGCGAAGAGATTATTTCCTGTGTAGGCGGTTGTGGAATTCCATGTCAGCCACGTGCGCTTTCACGGTCGGATTAATATTATGACCTTATTGTAAGCAGAATAGCAAGTATCAATTATGAAGAGGAACACGCACGCAGGCGTTGTGCCAACAACGTCGATCCCCCGCATGAAAACCGGGAAAGCGGGGGAGGCAGGAACTTTGGAGAAACTGGGATGAGCTGTTAAGGATGATGTATGGGGTGCTGTTTGAGATCGATGTGCTATTTTATTCTTTGCAAGTCGCAGAATCATGCGATGCAGGCTTAAGATCGCTAATACGGGCTAGGACACACGTCTCTCCATGAATGACGATGCCTAGCACTCCGAGAAGCACAAAACTGACATCTTCGGCCTCGAATCCAGAGAAGGCCATCGCAAGCTGCAACACCTGACTTACATGGAATGTCTACATGCATGAGGGTAACATTGCATCCCGTCTTGGTGCGGGGGAACTCCAACAAGGATACGTCACCGACTAGCCCTGGTGACAACAGATCGTCAAATGACATGCCAACAGCCGCTTGAATCACAAGTGGGTGCAACTCGGCTAAGTCCAAGCTATCAGTAATGGCTGCTGGTAAAGAGAGAGTGCCCGCTCGGGTCGGCTTACGCCGAGCACTGGGATTTCCGTCTCGTCGGCGATTCCTTACAGGTCAATAACCGGGGAACGATGCTTCATATTCCTTATATATGTCACGCGTTGCAAGGCAGCTTGTGTTGCAAGCACCAGTTTACTTCGCCAGTAATTCTCGCAAGTACCGTTTTCGGCAACGACACCACTAGCAAAGCTTCGAACGAGCACGAAAGTCCTCAACTAAATTGATCAGCACCATACACCATGCCGGAGCGGCGTTTTTGGCCGTCAGGTGGCTTGGGCAGATTCGTACTCTGTATTTGGCTCTGTTCCGTTGGCCTGCAAGTCTTGGCTATAGATGACCGTGGACGGCGTAGAGATACATTTGACATGCTGGACTTTGTTGACCCCCTAATTGGGACTGTCAACGGAGGTAACGATCACACCCTGCTGATTTCTGGACTGATATATGCATTATGCCAAGTATGACTGACTTGGTTGGCCCAGGTCATGTTTTCCCTGGTGCTAATCTGCCGTATGGCATGGCCAAGCCCGTAGCAGACGTCAACACAGAGATTCAAGGCGGATTCGCCTCGGATGACGGTGACAGTTAGTGGATCTCGAAGCCTTGTCGTATCGGGACTCGCCTTGCCTTCTATCTAACCGTTTTACTTCCAGTTACTGGCTTCTCGCACATGCACGATAGCGGCACTGGCGGAGTAAGTATGGCCCCGGTCAAGCGGAGGCAGCGAACTAACACATGCACACAACTGCGATAGGGGGCATCGCTTGGAAACTTCCCCCTGTTCGCGCAGACGGGCTGCGAGGACGATGAGCTCAACAAGTGCTACTTCCGCAAAGATCAGCGGGCATCCCAGCGCCTGCACGGCTCCGTGGAAGCCCGCCCAGGATACTTTGCTGTGACGCTCAACACGTCCGTCAAGGCCGAGATGACCGCCACCAACCACACTGCGCTGTACCGCTTCACTTTCCCACCCGACGCATCCAACAACCAAAGCGCCACGAAGGGAGGAAAGCCTGTGGTATATAGTCCTTTGATTCTTGCAGACCTGACTGACCTCTCCGACTCGCGCACTCGTGGCAGTATTGCTGTAGACCCGGACACGGGGCGGATCACGGGCAACGGGACGTTTCGGCCGTCCTTTGGTATCGGGACGTACGAGCTGCACTTCTGTGCTGACTTTCAGGGCGCCGAGATCCGGGACACGGGAGTGTGGCGCAACACGCGTGCCGGATCGGAGCCCAAGAACCTCGAGACATTTGAGGACGGCAACAATGAGGATCCACCGCTGCCTGCGGGAGCGTATGTCCAGTTTCATCCTCCTGCGGGCAACCAGGTCCTGGCTCGGGTTGGGCTGTCGTTCATCAGCGCGCAGCAGGCCTGTAGCAACGCTGAGAGGGAAATCCAAGGGTTTGACTTCGAGGATATACGAGTTGATGCGGAGGAGGCGTGGCGTGACAAGCTGGGCCATGTGGTTGTTCAAAGCGGCGGCGTTGATGTTTCCCTGCAAAGACTCTTCTGGAGTGGTCTGTATCGGACGTTTATCTCTCCTCAGGATTATACTGGTGAGTTTGAACGCCCTGCTCTCTCTGCCATGAATCGAGGACTGATTATATCCGTCGTCGACGTCGAACCATCACCACTGACACTCAAGGACATTCTGAGCCATAACAGGCGAAAATCCATTATGGCAGAGCACCGAGCCGTACTTTGACTCTTACTATTGCATCTGGGACAGCTTCCGCAGTACACACCCACTGCTTACGCTGGTCGATCCGCACGCGCAGGCCCTTATGGTCCGCAGTCTGCTCGACATCTACCGTCATGAGGGTCACCTGCCCGACTGCCGCATGGCGTTATGCAAAGGTTTCACACAGGGAGGCAGTAATGCCGACAATCTCCTGGCCGACTCGTATCTGAAGGGCTTGAAGGACGGCATAGACTGGGAACTTGCATACGAGGCTGTTGTCACCGACGCTGAGGGTGAGTTCATGCTTCACCACCATGCGCAAGGCGGCATTACTGATGACAGATTCGATGACAGTCGAGCCTGCTCTCTGGACAGTCCAAGGTCGCGGTGGCTTACACAGCTGGAAGACCCTTGGTTATATACCAACCGACGACTATGATCCATATGGCACGGGACTCATCACCCGCTCCATCTCGCGGACAGTCGAGTACTCGTACAACGACTTCTGCATCGCCGCCCTGGCGAAACGCATGAACAAGACCGGCGATGCCGAAAAGTACCTCGCTCGCTCGTCATACTGGCAGAACATGTATGACGCCCAGTCGCGGTCCCTCCTCAACCTCACGGGCTCCACCTCCGCCGGCGACCTCGTCGACTCCGGCTTCAGCGGTTTCCTCCAGCCACGCTACCAGAACGGCACTGTTGGCTTCCAGGACCCCAGCCTCTGCACACCACTTTTCAACTTCACGTCCTGCTACCTCAACCCGGGCGGGCACGAGACATACGAGGGCGGGTCGTGGCTGTACACGTTCTACATCCCTCACGACCAGGCTACTCTGATCCCAGTACTTGGCGGTGTCGACACGTTCGTAGCGCGGCTGCAGTACCTCCATGACACCCCCGGCCTGCTGTACATTGGAAACGAGCAGTCGTACCTGCTCATATTCCTGTTCCATTTCGCCGGCCGGCCGGGCTTGTCGTCGCGGTACGCGAGGAAGTATATCCCGGGGTCGTTCAACGACACGCTGTCCGGCATACCGGGCAACGATGACTCGGGTGCCATGGGGAGCTTTACCGCGCTTACCATGATGGGCTTGTTCCCGATGAGTGGGCAGGATGTCTATCTCATCATCCCGCCTTTCTTTGGGGAGGTCAGTGTGCGGAACGACGTCTCGGGCAACACGGCGACGATAAGGTGCCTCAATTTCAGTAACGGGAGCAGCGGCCCAGAAGAAGACGGCAACATCTTCATTCAGAATGCAAAGCTGAATGGCGAGCCGTACACGAAGAGCTGGGTCACGCACTCGTTCTTCTTGGATGGTGGAGTGCTCGAGCTGACGCTCGGGGCGAACGAGAGCACGACATGGGGCACTGCACAGGATGATTTGCCTCCCAGCGCCTCCACGCACTTTTGGGAGGATTGAGACTTGCGAGCCAGGCGTAAAATTGGCATGTTCCAGAGTTGATTCTGCCTCTTTTGTCTAATCCAGGCGGACTGATCTAGATGTTCCTGGCCCGCACTTCTGGCGGCTGCTAAGACGCCGCAGATGTCTAATTAAGTACATGCCCTCGGATATCCGATGCTGAGCGTTTCGCCTAACAGCCGCACGACAGAATCTGTGCTCAGTCAAGCCTAGTCAATAGGATACGACAGCTCACCGAGTGCGAAATGTATCTCTTTTATGCGCTGGTGTTGTCGTTCGTGCCGAATATCCTCGAAGCATTTGCAGGGGCTTGTGTCCGCCCAGAAAGGAGGCTGCCTTGGCCGTCCTCCTTGATGCGTGTTCCTACGGGATCTACTAATTCAAGTCTGATGTGACATGGCAACACTTGTCATATGATACTGTGGTGGCTGAATAGACGTGAAGCGGGTAGAGTGACGTAAACGCTAGTTCAACAACATCACATCTTTCGAGGATGCGTGAACTCCCATGTCGGTCCAGCAGTGGCTAGAGGCAAGGACTTATGGATGGCCGTCAGTATCCAATACAGGTGAGATGAAAAAAACTAGTTGCCCGCCTGGGAATGGCCTACCCGTGCACAGCGCCTCCTATGATCATTTCGTTGGTGGATCTTGGGAGAAGTTCATGCTGTAGCCACCAGTCTTCTCGTCTTTGACCATGTTGAAGTTGTTGGTACTCAGTCCAAAGGGCTTCAGCAAGCCATTACCCAGCTAGAGACAGCCATCAGAACATTAGCACCGCAAGACGGCAGAAGGCACTGGTCCAGCTTCCTCAAAGAAGTCGACACTGGGGGGGCCACCAACATCCTTAAGTTTTCCCCACATCTCGCCCATTTCCTTCTCCTGGGCCGCCTTGATTCTGGCTGGTAAATCACGCAGCTGTGCATGCACAAGCTTCTTGTCCGCCAGTCCCAGGTTCGACATGCCCGAGAGCTGCTTGTAGTCCTCCTCAGCGCCAGAGAGATTGGACCAGCCGCCGAGTTCGCTTTTGGCTCTCGCGCGGCGCATGAGCGCCTTTGCGCGTATTCTCGCGACATCCTCCCGTCGCTTCCTGAGAGCCTGCTCCTCTTGGCTGTCTTGTTTGGGTACTCCTGGACCACTGCTCTGAGCCCCGACGCTCACAATCTCCTCCTCGACATCGTCATCCTCATTGGTTTGTTGTGCTGCTTGTGACCTTTCGAGCTCTTCCTCGCCGGCGAGGATCTCTCTGTCTACCCTCTCGAGGCCCTTGAGGCTATCTGTGGCGCTCTTGATGGCCTCCTTCCACTGCTCGAGCTTGAGGTGGCATGCGGCGACATTGGAGTGCAGGACGGCGAGGTCGTAGTAGAGGTAGTGTGGGCAGAGGGACACCGCCTCCTGGTAGCTGTCGATGGCGTCCTGGTAGCTCCCCGAGGCAAAGAGAGAGTTTGCCTTTGTCTTGTGTTGTTGCGACTCGGCGAGGAGTTTCTGTGTCGAGGTGGTGGTGGGTTCAGTACAAGTACAAGTAGACGAAGCAAGCAAGTGTCGGATCGCAAAATGGGGCCTTACATACCGCTTCCTCCTCTGGTGGGAATCTCTCCACTGGCGGCTCGTCGAGCTCCTCCTCGAGGGGCTGCTTGCTTGTCTCGGGGACGGCCGAGGCAGTGCTGCTGCCGCTGGGCTTGTCCGTTTGAGCCATCGCAAGGGCAGACCGGTACGCTGTGTGCAATGTAGGTGGTTGCTAGCAGTGTCGGGCTGCTGAGCAGGCGGTGCCTCGTCGTCATAGCGGGACGGGCTGCGCTGGAGCCCCGCCCCCACCAGCGTGCGCTGTGCCCCTGCCCGGGCAATGCGCAACCCCACTGAGGGTCCGCTCCCGGATCGCCATCGGCGCCGGCGCCGGACCGCACCCTCTGCCAGCGACGCCTGCTCCTTTTTCTCCATTGCTGCGATAGCAGGCTCCTCCTCCTCCGTGGCAAGGCAGAGTCCCGACTACAAGTCACCCGCCCATCTCGACCAAGCGAGGACAGCCCACCATGGCGCCTCGTACAGAGTAAGTCTCCAGGTCTCAAAGCAAAGCGCACCCTCTCGTGCTGTAAACCCCTTCCTGACCAGGACCGTGCCCCCCCTCACAGCTTCCCGCCAGTGCGCGCATGCCTGTTCGACATGGACGGCCTGCTGCTCGACACCGAAGACATCTACACAGAGTGCATCAATATCCTCCTCGCCAAGTACGGCCGGCCCAACCTGCCCTGGTCCATCAAGGCCCAGCTGCAAGGCCGCCCGGGTCCAGAAGCCAACGCCATCTTCCACCAGTGGGCCAACCTGCCCATCGAGCAGAGCGACTACCTCACCCAGTACTCGGCCCTGCAGGCAGAGCACTTCCCCCACGCCAAGCCCCTTCCCGGCGTCGAGCAGCTCCTCGCAGACCTCGGCCGCACGCGCTGGTGGGACCTCCCGGCGTCCTCGTCCACCGCCGCCGACAGCCGCGACCCGGCGCGGCACCGCGTCCACGTCGCCCTCGCCACGAGCAGCAACAGCGCAAACTTTGCCGTCAAGACGACCAACTGGGCCGAGCTCTTTTCCGTGTTCCCCTCGCACCGCCGCGTGCTCGGCGACGACAAGCGCATCACGCCCGGCCGCGGCAAGCCGCTCCCGGACATCTACCTCCTCGCCCTGGACACCATCAACCAGTCCCTCCCGCCGTCGGAGCCGCCCATCAGGCCCGAGGAGTGCCTCGTGTTCGAGGACTCGGTACCCGGAGTCGAGGCTGGCCGCAGGGCCGGCATGAGGGTCGCCTGGGTCCCGCATCCGATGCTCAAGCAGGAGTACGTGGGCCGCGATGCAGATATCCTCGCCGGCAGGATGGGTGCTGCTGGGGTGGACGTTGACACGCATCAGCTCGGAGACCATGACGATGGCTGGGCAGACTACATGCCCGATCTGACAAACTTCCCGTACGAAAAGTATGGTATCGTCGTGCCCCCCGCCGAGGTTGAGAATGATCCGGCCATGAAGGACGAGTCGGTGGCTGAAGTTGTCGCCGTCGCTCAAGCGTGATACTTGACTTGAAGAGGGGAGAAATCTTTTACCATGTGATGACGTACAAGCAACGACAACCTAGAACACGACTTCGGTCGTCAGAGTCATGTGATTGTGGAAAATAACTAGACCTGCGAGATAGATATCGCATGCTTACAGGGTCATCGATACAGCCCCGTTTTTTTTTCCTTTTTTTTTTCTTTTCTTTCTTCAGTTTATAAACAACGTCGTCGAAGGAACTCGAGACCCGAGGTGCAGATGTGGTGTTTGTATTTCACACAACCGCCTGCCCTAGTAGTGCATTTATGCTTCTTTCCAATCCCGAGCTCTTACTCTATGCAATGAAAATTACGCCTGGAGTCCTGTGAAGCTGTTCCATTTGTCCTCACTGCCCATTTTGAAATGTCAAACTCCCGGCCACTTTCGCTAAAACATACAAGTAACCTGTCATCGAATATTGCCCCAAACGCCCCAATGCGCGCCTCTACTATGCTCCTGACATATATACAAGTAACAAAGGGTGTGAATGGATACCAGGGACCAGCAACGATCCAAACATGATCGAGTGTCCACTTGTAAAATGAGCAGTAGATCAAACCTTGACCTGCCCGGGAGTTATCGGAATAGGGTCTGGGACTGATACGTGATATTTGATGCTGCTCGGCTTGGAGGTTCATACCAGTTCTGGTACGGGTGGTTCGGTAGGCTGAAGTCTGCGAAGCTCAGTGGATTCACGCGCATCGGCCTCGGAGCTGCGACTGGCGCAGTAGACGTTGCCACGGCCATGCTGCCCCGGCGTGAGATTGGCGAATCTGCTGACACTGGAGGCGCAGAGGGCAGCGCTGTCACACCTAGCGGCTGCATCGAGGGCTCTGTCTGTTGCATGCCTTGTTGCTGGCGGGGCTGCATGCCATTCAAGTGACCATGCTGATGGCCGTTGCCGTAAGACATCGCAGTATAAGCTGTCGGCGCGGATAACCTCTGCTGAGGACCGTTGTTTTCGGCTTTTGCACCATGAGACGAGCCTCGACTGCTCAGACTGTTTGGGGTACCCGGGTTGCGCGGCGGCTGCAGAGTTGCGCTGGCGACCAGTCCGCCGCTCTGCCCCATTTTCTCCCATCCCCAGACAGATCGCAGTTGCTTTATGATGCCGGCGAGTTTCCACCCCGTGTCGTGGTCGATCTTCTCCAGGATTTGGGCAATCTCTTGCTGCTCAGCGTGGTCTTCGATCACCTCGGCAACAAGTGCGACGGATCGAATGGATACACTCGCTACGCCGTGGTCCTGAGTGTGTGCTGTGATGCCACAGACCTGATGAGCGTGGTGCAGCTGAATCGCCTTTGCTTCCTCGCTATTCCGTGGAGAAAGTGGATTCATTTGTGCCAGGAGGCATTGGGCGGTATGGTAGTAGAGTCTACCGACAGTGGCTGCTCGTTTTATAATCCTGAAATACACAGTTAGCTTAACTCGCGAGCCCAAGTGAAGGAACAGGAGGCAATTTGCATACCAAACATTAGGAAACAGAGATTTCGAAGGCCCAGTCTGCTGTGATGGCAGTATCACCCCAAGCGGGTGCATTGTCGGAGGGCATGCATCATGCCAGCTGTCGCACATGTGCTTCAGTCGTTGCCACTCGGCGTACCGTGCCTGTAGGCGTATCTGCTCGTCGTGAGGGCTCGCTTCCTGGAACTTCGGAATGTTTGCTCGGAAGTTGGCGATCTTTGCAACAAGATAAAAGAGCCGATGTACCCAGCCTTCCTCAGTAGTCTCCACGGTGAGATCCATCTCTAGACCCCACTGGTCCGGCTCCCACGCTGTTTGCCAATTGAAGGCCAGGCAGCTCAGAAGCTCCATGCCTACATTTAGCCAGAAACAGGCAGCTCCGAGCCCTGTGCTCCTCGCATTCCAGTTACACTCCCGAATCAGTGCTCGAGCGCCCGCGATATGTGACATTCTCTGAGTGGGTTTCTCGCTCATTATCTCGTACACATTGAGCACGACAGCCGTAGCTGCGCACTCCGCTGTATTCCGTTCCGGATTCTGCAAGCTGCGGAGAAGCTGCGTTGTCGCTGTGTCGTAGTAAAATAAGGCCTTGTCGTCGCTATCTTGCTGGATGAGTGTGAGATACTTGACGCCGCAAGCAAGCAGCGCATTCAAGAGCATCGGGCATTTGAGGGCATGATAGGGCACGAGCCGCGAGAAGTGCTTGTCTGGATCAAGGCTGTCCATCCAAACGCCCACCTCGGAAACAAAGACTTGCATGAGTCTGAGCTGTTCCGGGGAACTGATATGGTCGAGATCGCCGCTCTTTTCCCTGGGCGGAGTGATGATGCCTTTGGTATTCCTTGATCCGCGCCTGGAGTCAACGAGCGACAAGTTTGGCGTCATGCCAGCGACCGACTCGGTTGTCGATGCGCTGCCACTTTTCTGACCCGCAAGTGTTTCACTGTTGTCTCTCCCATTCATCTTGGAAGAATGCGCAAAGATGTCGTAAGGCTGATCGTTGAATCGATCCGACGGCGCACCACCGGGCACTACCATGAAAGCTTGGTCCACAACTGCGCCTGAATGATATCTCGCATCGTTGATCAAGTCAGGATTGACTTGTCCCAGCCGCTCATTGTGATACAGGCCATGCCCCGATGCGAAACCCTGTTGATCTATGCTGGTAGTTGGCCCTATATGGAGACCGCCGTTGTCGTTTGGTCGAATCTGCACTTGCGGTGATACGTATTGTGTCCGTTCTTTGCCAGCCTGCACAGAGGCTGGTTCCACTGCGAGGTGGCGGTATTTGGCGAGTCCACCTCTGTACTCGGAAGCAATGAGTCTGGACTCATCTTGAAATTGAACTGCGTTTGATCATGTAAGCGAGGCCTTCTCGAAGCGTGCCTGCCCGGGGAGGCGAGGACAGGGATTGACGTACTTGACCACTCTGGCGTTGTAAAGATGAATGGAGGCTGCTTGCAGGTCATGTCAATGAAGTTCAATCGGACGCCGCGCTTGCATTCGCGATTGCTCTTTCGGCAATTGAGGCAATCTGGAGTACCCTCATCGCATTTCAAGTGGCGTTCACGACATGTCAAGCATCCTGAGAATGTGTCAATGGCTGGACCACAGATTTATGTGATGACAGAGGAGGAAGGCTCGTACCTGTTCGCACCCTCTTGCTCTTCGATGGAGGCTGTGCCTCCGAGGCCGCCATCACAATATGTCAAGCGATCAATTTCGAAAATGGTCAAGGGAGGTAATTGGCCTGCACTGTATTAGGCCGTGCAGGAGTGACTGGGCTGCAGGCCACAGCCGCATTGGTTCGGCGAGGAGGCCTGATGTATCGCAGATTGCCTGATGATGTGCAACATGCACTGCAAAAAGGGTTCGAGGAGTCGGCTGCGAGCGTCATGAGCAGAATGTCCTTGAATCGGCTATAGGCTGCACCCGGGCTCCGTCGATTGCATTGCCGGGCACGGCAGACGGAGCGCGACACAGACCGGCGGACGGATTGCCGGCAAAGACAGCACGCGGGGGGCCCGTGATTCCGGGCTTGCTCCGTGTGGACGGTATGGGGGCCGGGCGCGCTGAGGCAGCCTGTATTGTCGTGACGACTTTCTAGGTGCGCGAGGATGCGAGCACCAATGTGGTGGGATCGGCTGAGATGTAAGTGAAGAATGGCAAGAATTGTCGAGAGGTGCGGAGACGGGGTTAGGGGAAACCCAGGTCAACGGATCAGGGGACAGGGCTCGTCCATGGCGTAGGCGGCACGGCACGTGTCGTCGAGAGCTGGCCAAAGTCTGGGCCACCCATGCTTGCCACTAGTTAGATCGGATGCATGGGTGGCAGAGAATTGCTCCCGCTAGCGGATGTGCGTTCCGTGAAGAAACTCGAAACCAAACAAAACAGGGTCGGTAGCGCAAGTGCTGAGTGGCACGTCGGCGAGCGCGGACCAGGGTGCGTGGCTGAAGAGATGGGTCTGTAGCCAGCCCAAAGGTGTTTTGTCTCAAGCTTGGCCAATGGTCGAGGGGCCAGGCGCCTCCAGGCTAGCAACAATTCAGATGGTGCTGCTGGGGTGGTACACGATCGAGACGCCCGGCAGCAGATCGTGCGAGCCACGAGCACTAGCTGAAATCTACCAAGCCATGGGTGAACCCTAGGCTCGCGCACTTGCATCATGCCGCATGCAGAATCGCGTAGCTGACAGCGAGCAAAGAAAGGCCTGCAGACATGAGTCTTTCTGGCCCATTTCGATGCTACCGACTCGAAATAATTGAAAAGGCACCCCATCATCATGTCCCGTGTATGACAATTGGATGACGGCGTTGCGGGTGGCCCTTTTGGGTTTATCCGTTTGGCCAGGATGGCTGCTCCTGTGCTGCGGGAAAAGCATAGGGGTGCAACAGCGGCAAGGCCACGACGGGATGAGACCTCTCAGACGTGGGAGCACTGAGGCGTCGCACGCTTCCCTTGCGAGGTAGTGGGCTGAGACACGATAACGTGTCTTTGAGTCTCGTCGCCAACTTTGCCACAATCAGTGGTGCCTCGTGACGAACTAGCGCGAACGTTTTGTGTTCCCAGCTGAGCCTCGCTGGAAAACGAGACAAACGGCGAGGGGGATCACGAAGCCGGGGGGGGGGGGCTTGCGCGTCGGGATGGGATGGGATGGGATGCGGTGCGGTGCGACGGATCGGAGTGGATGGAGCGAGTGCTGGGATGATGATGGCAGGCACCCATGGCCTTGCAGACGTGCCTGGCATCAAGGCGGCATGGTGACGCAGCCGCATCGTGGGTCGTCCCGTGGTGGCTGGCTCTGCAGGGCTGCCCTGGGCCGGTTGGTGGGTGGTCTGCGTGGCTACTTAGCGCACAGAGGCGCGGATGCGCAGCATGCCGAAGGTCCAACCTTGGAAGTCTGGAGATGGGGTTGCAATGGACTGTGAGGCGACACAAATGAGCCCCAGCCGGGATCCGCGTAATTGTGCGATCAAAACAACACCGGATGCCTCTGCGCTATTAGGCTCGACATCCGCGAGATAGGCAGGCATTGTCATGCTGGATGGACATTGGATCAACAAGGGGTCCCCCCCCCCGGGCATGGGCAGCCGGGATGTGATTCCCCACCTCTGGACAGCTCTCGAGGTCGAGGTTTCACCCCGTTTGTGCGCACGTGGCCCAGCCGGTGGGTCGCACGCACATTCCATTCTCAGACAACCCGCCGCCTCGACCTCGACATCCAGGGACGGCCCTCGCCTGAAGCCCCGCCTCGTGCCAGCAGACGCTCAACACTTGCGATGAGCAGTCGGGAGCAGGCCCCGGCGCCCAAGTCGGTGCTTCGCGGGCATGAATCCCAGGTCCACGTCGCAGCTTTTGTCCGCCACAACCAGCGCCTGGCCACTGGCGATGCCGAGGGATACGTGGTTCTGTGGGACCTGACCATCCAGAGGCCCCGTGCCGTCTGGCGCGCCCATTCGAGCGCCATCCTGAGCATTGCTGGTTGGGGCGACAACAGAATCATCACGTAGGTTGGACTCCAAGAGCTGGCTGCTGATGGCCGTAATTAACTGGCTGGTAGGCACGGCCGAGATCATCGTCTGGTTGTTTGGAAGCTCACAGAGGACGATGAAGCAAGCCTGAGCGTTGCCTTGCCGCTAGACAAAGGCGCAGCGCATCGCCCTGAACCGTGGTTGCTTCACCTTCTCAACGTAAACACCATGAACTTTTGTGCTTTCGCTTCTTGTCCGGCAGGCAGAGGCACTGATGACGAGCTCCTCGTTGCTGTACCCAACACTCTGGCCTCAGAGTCAGTATGTAATCCATACTCTGTACGTAGCCTTGAGCATAAACAACCTCTAACGCATGCTTTCAGATCGACATTTACCACCTTCCCAGCCAGACAAGGCAACATACAGTTCATACTACAGGCCAGTCGCAACAAAAGACGGGCATGGCCATGGCTCTAGCCCTACTACGGCGCGCCTCCGTCCTGCTGCTTGTCGTTGGCTACGAAAATGGTGTCGTGGTGGTGGCGCAGCAATCTTATCAAGGCTCCTGGGACGTCACATACCGTTCTCAATTACACACACAGCCAGTGCTTTCGCTGGATGTCTCACCCGCTCAAGACTATTTCCTCACCTCTGGTGCAGATGCTTTGATTATCAAGCACCCAATCCCAGGGTTTATAGCCTCTCCTGGGAAGGACGAAGTCACGCTTGGCCCTGAGCTGAACGGGAATGTCGCAACTGAGCATCAGCACTCGAATGACACGCCGACTGCTCCACGTTCTGGTGTCTCCTTGCTGTCATCGGCACTAGCTGGCGAAGCTAGATCACCCCGGCCGATACCCATCGCACAGAGAGAAGTAGTGACGACGTCTTTGAAGGTTATCAATACGAAACATTCGGGTCAACAGAGTTTGCATATCCGGTCCGATGGCAAGATTTTCGCAACCGCGGGTTGGGACTCGAAAGTTAGGGTCTACTCTTGCAAGACCATGGCAGAGCTTGCGGTGCTCAAATGGCACGAGGCCGGCTGCTATGCTACGGCATTCGCTGATCTTGGCGGACCCCAAGTGGGCGGGCCAGCGAGCCAAGATCAGTCTGCGCTCGCTTCCGCCCAACATTTGTCAAGCAAAGACCTGAGCGTGAAGGGCAGGCGGATCCGACAAGCAAAGGAAACGCACTGGCTAGCAGCTGGCAGCAAAGACGGCAAAGTCAGTCTCTGGGACATATACTGATATTCTGGTAAGGTGGGTATCCCTTATATTCCTCAACGAGACCACCAGATCGACGTCGCCGCGCTCTATGTCACGCACGGAATGAAAAAGGAAGCGTACAGATTCAGGGTGCTCGTGATAACAAATGCTTCGACTGGCAAGGAAATAGCCCGCCTGGTATGCGAGACAAGCCATAACTCCCATATTCACAGGCAGGTTTCAGAACGACCACCACGACCTAACAAACCATGACCTTACAAACGTCAACTCAATGTCTTCATCGTGTACTGGCGTCGCTCTGAGATATGTCTTGTATGCGAGTCATCGCCCTGCCTGGAAGCCACAAGAAGCTTGTCCGTTGTGACAAAAGTCGGCGCATCCGAAAGCTGATCTTCCATGAGAACGTATATCGTTTCCCACGGGAGAGTTAGTACAAAGCTGAGGCCGATCTAGTGGAGAGATGCGGCTCGTACACTCCATCGCTAGTCGCCGCACTCAGCAATAATTGACGGACAGTCTTTAGCATCAATTTGAGCCTCGACGCTGAGTTTTTGCCTGCCAGACCCCCTGCTGCAGACTTGGTCTCAATGACATGTTTCTCTGGGAGCCTCATTGAAGAACTCGTGGCAATACTCCGCGGTAACAGACTTTGAGTGAGGAGGGACCACGGGGTAGATCATAAGTTGTCCAAGAAGTGAGCACGGAACTTGCGATTAGCGCGGTCAGCAGATCGTGTCTGAAATTGATCGCCCAGAATCTCGAACACGAAGATTTCGTCCTGTCCGGAATCTGCGTGTGGCTGTGTCTGCTCTTGCTGCGTCTGGTCCGCCATCTTGACATCTGTATTCGTCCCTGACGTGGTTCCGCTGCCAGCTGCGTTACTGCTCGTTGTTGTTATTGGCTTTCCGGGAGCCGGAACCTCAACGCGGAATATGGTGCCCTCCTTTGGCACAAGCTTGACTGTGTTCTTGCGCGTGACAATCTGGACCGCATACCGCGAGTCGCGTACCACGATGCCCTCAATGCCGACCCTGCTCGGGCACGAGCTCCTGGAGACACGCACTCGAGCACCGTGGATATCCGCCGAGGCTAACTTCGCCGCTGCCGTCTGCCCACCTGTGAACAGCTCATTCCCCAGTATCTCGCGGATATATCCCAGCCAGAGCGCGTGGAGCGGTTCGAACACGGCATAGGCCTGCTTGTCGCGCGGAAGATCGTACAGGCCCATGCGCCTGCGCTGCCGGGCAGAGAGAGGTTCGGGCTTGAGTCCTGCGGCCCGCCGCTTGCTGGTCTTCTGGGAGAGGTGGCGTCTTCTGGCGACACGGCGGGCTGCGCGGGCGTCGGGACCCGGGCCGGAGGTCGCGACTGGAGGTGGGGAGGACGGGCGAAGGAGCAGCGGCCGGTGCTGGATCTTGTCGGTGTAGATTCGCTGGGTGCTGTCTGGGCTGTGGGCGCGGGCGAGGAGGCTGTGAGTGAGCGACTGGGCTCGGGGCTCGTCGTTTTTGGCGGCGCCCGCCATGACTGCTGCTGGCAGGTATGGATGGTCTTGTTGCCTGTCTTTGTGGGATGTGAGGGCAGTGTATGGGCAGTGGGTGGCTGTCTGTCGCATTTGGCAACGTCCGGCCTGATCAGCAATTAATTATGGCGGGCTTATCGTTATCGAAGGTTGGGGTTAAGCTTTAGCAGCGGCGGTGGTGGAACGGGGCTTGTGCAAGGGTCACTCACATGAAGTGCCCCCGACGACCTCGGTAGTGGCCAGTTCTGGCGCTTCCAAGCCGCGCCAAATGACGTGCAGGCCCGCTCGCTCGTCCTGGAGCCACTTTACCCCGGACTTGCTTGCTCCTCCTCCCCAATCGTCTCCTCCAACCCGTCCCAGTCCACCAGCTCCTCCGTCTGGTGCTTCAACTGCTGGCGACGCCCCAGGCAGACTCTGAGCTCGAGCACCCATTCCAGTGAAGCCGCCTGGGTACTACCGGCTCGGTACAAGGCGCGTACGACGCCGCCACGGCTCTCTGCCGACGCGGTCTTGATCCAGGGCAGCAACCACGACGAGTACACGCCCGCGCGCTTCACACGACGCAGCCGGACCTTGCCCAACATGTCCAGCAACGATGACGACCCGACAAGGGACTCTGCGCCCGACTTGCAGATCCTCGGCGACCAGGTCACCTTCCAGCCGCGCAGCTACATCGAGGAACGTGGCGGCAGCGACGACAACGAGGAGGCCCTCATGAAGAACATGCACAGCTTCCGCGCCGAGCCGCTCCAATTCCTCCGCGAGGTCTCCCTCTACGTCTCTGGCACCGGCTGGCGCGCCTACGACAGTGTCATCGGCCGCCCAATCTTCTACCCAGGCTTCAGCGAGCAGATGATGAACTCGGTCGTGTCGGCTCCGCTCCTGCGCACCCGCATACGACAGCTTGCCGAGCAGCGTGTCGAGACCGAGGAAAAGGAAGGATGGCTGGACTCGAAAGCATCAAATTACCCACTGAAGCGGGCACAGCGCCTGGCAGCCATCGAGAACGGTCTCAAGGAGGTCGCGCAGAAGATGACGAGCGACATGATCTGCAAGTTCGAAAGCAAGCCCTTCATTCGAAGCGCATACTATGTAGTCACACAGCTGCTCACTCGCGCCTACCACCAAGGTTCGTGCTGCGCAAGATCGAAGCTGCAGCTGTGCAGACATGCTAATTCGACAAATAGGTATTCACGTCTCCAGCGAGGAAGTTCTACGGTTACGAAAGGTAGCGGAGGAGGCAGAGAGGAAGGGCCAGAGCATTATATTCTTGCCTTCACATAGATCGCACGTCGACTACGTGTCCATGCAGCTCATTTGTTATCGCTTGGGGCTTGCGCTACCGGTTGTGGTCGCAGGAGACAACCTGAACTTCCCTGTGGTCGGAACATTCTTGCAGCATGCTGGTAAGGACATCCTGAATGATATGCGCGTGATTAACCATTCGTGGCTTCATTGAGACTGACTGCGCGTCATAGGAGCGATGTGGATCCGCCGTTCGTTCGGCAACGACACTCTGTACACGACACTTGTGCAGACTTATATCGACACATTGTTACAGGGTGGCTACAACTTCGAGTGTTTTATAGAGGGAGGCAGGTCTAGGACAGGCAAGTTGCTGTCGCCCAAATTCGGCATTCTGAGCTTTGTTTTGGACAGTATATTGTCGGGCAGGGTCAAGGACGCCGTCATTTGCCCTGTCAGTACACAGTACGACAAGGTCATTGAGACGGAAGGGTACGTCACAGAACTTCTTGGTGTCCCCAAGAAGAAGGAGAATCTTGCCGATTTCCTGAGCGGTGGCTCTTCAGTGCTGTCTCTCAAACTTGGCCGTGTCGATGTCCGATTTCACGAGCCTTGGAGCCTCCGCGGATTTGTCGATGAGCAAATGAGTCGCCTCACGCCATCGCCTAGCAATCACAATTGGGAGGCTAGGACACCAGAAAACACCAAGCTGCGACAAAAGCTGCTCCGCACTATGGGCTACAAGGTGCTCTCGGACATCAACGACGTCTCAGTAGTCATGCCTACGGCACTGATCGGCACAGTGTTGCTGACGCTACGAGGCCGAGGCGTGGGCAAGTCTGAACTCATCCGGCGAATCGAGTGGCTGACTGCTCGAGTTCGCGCTAAAGGTGGGAGAGTCGCACACTTTGGCACGTTACCACTGTCAGATGTGGTGGAGAGAGGCCTCGAGGTCCTTGGCAAGGATCTGGTCGGTGTCATCACCGGCCTCGCTGAACCTACCTACTACGCTGTTGACCGTTTCCAACTTTCCTTCTACCGCAACATGACGATCCACCTTTTCATTGCGGAGGCACTCGTCTCCGCCGCAATGTACACGCGCGTCAAGCAAGGAGGCGGTCCCGAGAACCAGGATATCACGTATGCAGCGCTGCGTGAGCAAGTGCTCTTCCTCTCCTCACTTTTCCGCGGCGAGTTTATCTTCCCAAGCGAGGGTCTCGAGTCCAATCTCGAGAAGACGCTGGTCGGGCTCGAGCAGGATCAGGTGATCTCTCTGCATCGTGACGCAGAGGGAAAGCCTGTGACAATCGGACTGTCCAAGGAGGAGCGCGAGGCCGGACGGGAGAACTACGACTTCTACTGCTTTTTGATTTGGCCATTCATTGAGGCTAGCTGGCTGGCCGCCATTTCCCTCATGGGCTTGACCCCTCCCGCAGGGCAAGGGCCGGATGATATCTGGATCGAGGCTGCCAAGGCGCAAAACAGCGCGCAGCTTGTAAGTACACTTTGCAATCCAAAACGTGGTGCACTCATTCCTAACAAGAAATAGATGGGCAAGACGCTCTACCACCAGGGCGACCTCTCCTATTTCGAGGCCGTCAACAAAGAGACCCTCAAGAACTCTTACCAGCGTTTCGAAGAGGAGGGGATCCTCTATACAATCAAGTCCAAGGACTCAAAGTTGTCCCCGCCCCGGCTGCGGCTCGCGAGCGAGTGGATGCCCATGCGCGACCCGGTGAGCGGGCGCGTCGTGGCGGATGGCCGACTATGGGCATTTACGGAGCGGATCGCAATGAGCCGGCGCGAGGGAAAGAACCGGAGAGATGGCGCGACGGTCAGCACGAGGGTGCTACGGTTGACGGATGAACTTGGTGCAAAGTTGTTTGCTGAGGCCGCGGGTAAGGAGGAAGCCGGCAAGATGAGTTCCGAGGAGATTGCACGAGTCAAGCAGGATATAAAGGAGGAGCGAAGGAGGCGGAAATTGGAAGGCAGAGCGAGGTTGTAAAGACGGCTCTTGGTCTAATTTCCATGTAAGATGAGAAAGGTGTGGTAGTTTCCCAATGATTCTGGACACGACTTAATGTTGTCCAGCCAGGCGTAATGCACTGCGACGTTTCCAGGCCGGATCCTCTTTGATAACTGTCGTCCATTTAAGCCTGTTCTTATCGATCGCATTCTTCCATTCGAGCCTACCTGTAAAAGCGGCGTCCGAAGTCTGTAATCAGTGACTAAACCCCCATCCGCAATCCCTAGTTGTCGAGCTTGCCTCAGCAGGTGGCCTCCAAGGGCCGATCATTCATGAACACAGGAATATATGCAGAAATGGTTACCGCAAATACAACCAAAGCTGCTGCCAAATGACGAAGCACGGATCCCTTCATCGAGGAACATTTGGTAGGGTTACAGGTCAAGCTCTTCAAGTAAGTCGTGCAAGACTGTGTCTCACCTTTGACGTACAGAGAGCGGACTGTTGCCGCTTGATGGGATGCTTTGCCAGAGTCGCCTCCATAGCTTGACAGGAGCCCCCTTCGATGGTCACCTCAGTCACCACGCTTGAGAACTCTTTCCTTATGAGTCTACAAAGTGCTCACCGTCCTTCATCTGGCACTTGCGTAGGTAGGGTTCTGTCAAATAGGTAAAGTTGGGGTATGAACTGCGAGCCTATAGCTCATTTACCGTGGCTGAGCACCGACAGGAGGATGAGGCAGCTTATGTGAAGAGTTTTGCCTCTGGCTTAATGGGAGACAATGGAGTAGCTGGAGACTTTGTTGGTTTTCCGGTGAAACAAGGCCCTTGGACACTCCGGTCCCGAACATGTTCCAGTCGTACAACCCCTCAGGCTACAAGCACACGCAGACAATCGCTGTTGACTTGAAAATACAGAGAGGGCCGTGTTGGTAAATGGAAGAAGGCAAGCATTCACCAGTCCAGGAAGGCATTTCCTTGAGGACAAAGTAGTCCAGTTGTGTGCTCGACAGCAATGAGGTGTTTGGGATACCAAATCTGGGAGAAGCCGTGGTAGGCGATTTGTGTGTCGAAAAGCCAAGCACAATGGATGAGGCCGGTCCACCATAATTGCTTGCAATTATTCTGTATGTTTGCGACATAAAGCCAAAATACAAACTAAGATAGGGGCTTTCCCTATTTTGTGGAAAGTTTGATTGTCTCGCAACTCGGGTTTGATTCTGTTTGTGCCTTTTCTGCCTAGTCGCTATGGCCAAGTATCCGGCAAGCAGAGTTCTCATGCAACTCTCACGGAACGATTAGCAAAGCCTGTCGCATCACTGCCGAAGGCCCTGCACTTCTTCAACCTTGCATTCCTCCCACAGCAGAGCCTTTATCACTTCGAGGCCTGCTGAACCCTGCCCACGGTGGTATAGAATGTTCATGAGCCGATGATGGACGCGTCCCTCGGTTTCAGTCCCCCATAAGCAGAATATCGCCGTGTACTCATCGCGACTAATCTGGCCACCAACAGAGTCAATGAAGAACACGACCGCGTTTGCCAAGGCATAACAGTACTGCTCGTATAGTACTGGAGCGTGAGAAATGTCAAGAGTTCTGAGACACTTGGTGATGTCGTCGTGAAAGATCGCAGGACGGTACACAGCCAACATATTGAAGTTGAAGTTGACAAGGGAGTGCATAATCTGGTTCTGGCGCTGCGGCATCAGTAGGTAGTCTGCGAACAGCCACGTTTCCATCAGAGTTCTGTACCAGGCCACAGTCTCGTAGTCATACTTTGGCCAGGTTGCGCGATCCCATTCGAGGTAAAACTTGATGCGGATTCCTTCCATTCGGAAAAACCCATGATCCTGCGCCTGAACCCATTCGGTCATGATGAGTAGGCTGTAAGGGCTCGCATGCTCTACTAGGTTGAATATGAGACTCTGGCTTTCGGCAAGTTCACTTGACAATGCTTTTCGGAAATATTCCGAGTGATGTACTAGCAAGCAGGCATTGACTTGGCAAGTTTGTCCGCTTGGGATGTTGATGGTCACTTGACGACTGTCTTCCCTATGATTTCTTAGCCAAGACAGAAGGAAAAAAGGGTTTCAAGACTCAAGGAAGGTTTGGAGAGTCATACGACGAGAAAGACATGTTATCGTAAGAAAAGCACAGTCTCCTCCTATGAAGAAGGGGCGCTATTTGGCTCGCAGTGATGTCGCGGACACTCGTGGTTGGCACACTTTGGGTGATTTCCGGCCGATAGTGATTCCCGTGAGTGTGTTTCTTTGTCCGTGGAGAAAGTAGCAAAAAGACCTAGGGATTGGAAGGAGAATAATGGAAGTGGAGAGCTTCAGTCTCTAGGTGAAGCTTGCTGGCTGAAGGATGCCTGAGACAATTGTCTGCAGGTATTGTTAGTGCACGCTGGAACATTGATCAATCTTGCCTGGTTCTTCTCAAGGCATCAGGTTTCAGGCGCTGTATAACGTGGCGTTACTTTCTGCAAGCCTTTCTCCCTCCACTCATCAGTTTTCCTTGGGTACATGGCTTTTCTAACATCCGACTGGGTTCAGTGCGCAGATAACCGAATATCACAAAAGAATGTGCGCAAGACCCAAGCCGTCAAAAGGCTTTCGGCTAGCCGCGGAACGGAGCCATCTCCAGAAGATGATAATGCGGAACTTTCATTGCGAAGAGTTTCCATATAGAGGATTGACATAAAACTCGAAGCTTGGAGTGTGCACGTGTGTACACACGAGGCCGTTCCTGTTCTTGCTGGAAGCAGTACCCAAGGGAAAGTTTCGTGGATGAGATAAATACCAAAATCAGGTATCTTGAATACTGCCAACTCAGAGTGCATAATAATGGAAGCCTCCTATCCTCGAGTTTTGAAAAACATCAAACAGGACTCGCAAATTCACGCCTAGCGAGGAACAGCGATATTGAACTTGCGTGCAACACTACTTGCAGAAAGTATATTCCTAGTCCTCACATGCTATAATGAGCACGTTCGATCAGGGACTCAACGTAATGTCCGGAGTAGCTGCCCACATCCCTACTGCCACAACGCCAAGCTGAGCGGGCTTTAGGGAGGAGGAGCGAGATCCGGTAGCAGCTCAGGGATTTCTCCGGGTCTCGGTGTGGGTCTACAGCGCCTCATCATCATACGCAACCCCGGATGGACATGGTCTATAATGGTCTGGGGAAGCCGCATTGGTAGAATGCTGATGGCGTGATTGATTATTGATTCTGCGTGATCATCAACACAGATGCGATGTATTCGCATAAAAGGCCATTCAGACCATGCCCTGCGTATGATGTGAATTCATAGGAGTTCGTCAGGCTACCAATCCGCACGCCGTCGATTCCATGATGTTTCAACCCGCCCTTGCTCTGTTATGCCTGGCTACGGCCGCTCTCACGGCCAAGCTTCCTTCTGGCCCTGTTGCACCGGGCCACGGTGCTTATGCAACATATTACAACAATGTTCCGGATTTGCTGGACGGTCAGGATGGCATCCCTGTTCACCCAGCCGATTACCAGGGCAGTGGAAAATTGGCAGTAGCTGTTGATATCGATGGGAACGCCATGGAGCAAGTCGAGGCGCATATATCGTACTATCAGGGCCGGTACTTCCTCTACTCGTCAGTAAAGTCCTCTTCGGAACTCTATTTCCTGGCCAACTGCTGATTTTGATAGGGCTACATGGGCGTGTGGCAAGTTTGTGTATGGCAGGATATCGGGGTTTGGCAATATCAACGCCGGTCAGCAAGGCTCAGCACCAAATCCCACGCAGCCTCGCGGGTAGGTTCTCCTAATCCACCCTCTGACGCAACCTTGAACCCGCTAACACACTCAGGTCGGCGCCGGCGGTTTGCGGCATCAAGTAAGAACTCATTGTGGCCGTCAGAGCGAAGAAGGTCTACTGACTCCCACGTAGGACTTATTCGTCGCCCGACATGGTCTCTTGGAAACTCGAGGATTTCTATATCCCACCTGAGCCAACAATCACTCCTACGAAGCCAGTCGTGAGATACTCAAACACCACTGACACGTACGTAATGCTGCTTGGCAATCAAGCCCTGACTGACTTCTATTACCTCGTCTCGAAATCACCGGCCGGCCCGTTCCGTGGACCCCAGGGTGATCGGCCAGGTGTGTTGTCCGGGCCCAACATCGGCCATGACTTTGACATTGCAATTGGACCCGACGGCACGCACTGGATGCTCACTGACACTTTCAACGCTGCCGTCACTCTGCCTCTGGACGGAAGCAATCCGCACATCACGACCGTCGGAATCACGTGGGATGTCGTGGTGCAGAAGCTGAATCCTGACCTCATCTCCGTCCCAGCCAAGAGCGCACAGACATTCAAGCTCGTCTTTACGGCACGGGAGCTGGCGGATAAAGGCCTGTCCATGGAAGCCAGCTCCTTTTTCTATCGCGACGGATACTACTACATGTTGTTTGCGCAGACCTGCCAGAACTGCGCAGGCATGACTTACTACTTCTACTCCAAAGGAAACCCCTGGGCCCTTACACAGATGGGGGTATCCTCCGAGAAGATGGATGCGGAGCGCAGAACAAGGGATCCAACGTGCTGCCCGCGCCCGACGGGGGCGAAATAATCCTCAACGCGGCGCTCGCGTACCGCACGAGCCCGACGTCGTGGACGCTGAACGGCGTCGTTGGCCACGCCAACAACAACCAGGCCCTCTCTCACACCTTCTACTGGCCGCTCGAGTTCAACGCAGACCACACCATCAAGCCGTTCACCTGCCCTCCCGAGGTCCAGATACCTCTGGCAACCAACGTCTCCACGTCCCCGGCCAAACCCGTGCGGCGCCAGTACGACTGCCGAATCCGCAACTGGCAAAGCATCGAGCTCGACTTTGAGCCGGCCAGGGCAGTCACATCACAGAATATTTCATTTCCAGTCTACCAACGCAACGACGACGTGTCGGCGGCCTTCACGCCTGCCATCATCGACGGTCCGCTGAACATCACGTTGCAGTATGAGGACGGATCGTTGTCATCGCATGTGTTTTCACCGCTCGAGGTCAGCTGGGCCGCGACCAAGATCCACGCCACCCCGCACAGCACCGGGGCGAAGATTTCCAAGATTAGCATGTCGACTAACGCGACCACGGGGTGCTTTGGCTACATTGTGGAAGCAAAAGGGCGACCCGGTACAAGTCCAAGCTCAGGGACGGTGTTGTCCAGTGTTGATGTGTACGGAAACCGCAAGGTGACCCCAAGCGCGCAGGTCCACTTCTATCGCTTCTGAGACGATGGGTACATTATATTGGTCGGACATGCAGATAGAGAACGCCGTGTATAATGTCGTTTGGCGCAAAGGCCAAGTGTGTTCTAATGCTTTGGAACCCTGCCACCTGTCTTACTCAACCAGACCAACTGTGATTGTACATAAAGTCACACCCTGGTAGAGCGATACTCGACCTCCTTTTCCTCATCTCGTCATCCCATCTTTCCCATCACTGCCTCCGTCATGCTCCCCTCCTTCCGCACCGTCGGCTTCCACACAGCTTGCCCAGCGGAGACACTGGGGTCCTTTACATCAAAGTCGAACCGATCACGCAGCTTCAGGCCCTGCTGCTGGTATCTGGCGCTCGAGATGGCGCTCGCGCCGTCCTTCATGAGCCACACGTCGTCGGTCAGGTACTGCCAGTCCTCGACGGCCTGGCGCATCGCGGCCAGCGTGGCCCGGTGCTTCGGCCGTGCCGCAAGGTTCTCGACCTCGTGTGGGTCCGCGACCAGGTCGAACAGCTCCTCTGGCCCGCGGTGGATGTATCTGCTCAGTCGGCGGCGGCCAATCATTACCTCGGGGGTGTCCGTCTCTTGTTCTTCGCTGTCGCCAGTTTCGGTGACAACGGCGGCGCCGCTGTTCCGTAGACCCTCCCAGCTCAAGCTCCCATACAAGTCCGTGCCAAACGGGAAGTCGAGCTTCCAGGCAATGTTGCGGTGGTACTTGAAGCGCCTGGTCCGCATGAACCGCGTGGGCCAGTAGTTTTGGATCTCGTGGAACGTGTGCGAGCCAAATACATACTGCTGCGGCCACTGCTCCGCGGGAAGCTCCTTGTCTGCGGCCAGGATGCAGAGGAATGACCGTCCGAGGCGCGGCGGAGACAAAGACGTGCTAGTGGTCTCAGGGGCACCAGCCGAGGAGGCCGGCGATGATGACGTCGCCCAGTCGATACAGGTCGGCAGGATGTCGAGGAAGGAGACCATGTTTGGGTTGACGACACCCTGAGCCGTCGATCCAGGCTGCCGGACGATGAGGGGCAGCCGGACGCCCGCGTCGTACAGGGTCGTCTTTGAATTGACAAAGGGCGCGCCGTTGTCGCTCAGAAACAAGACGAGGGTGTTCTGGTCCAGCCCGCGGCTGGCTAGCTCCCGCATGATCAACCCCACGCCGTGGTCCATGCGCGTGATGGACTTGTAGTACTCGACGAGCTCGGCTCGCAGGGCGGGGACGTCGCTGATGAAGTCGGGGATTTCGACGTCCTGGAGCTGGTAGTCGGGAACGGGGATGTGTGCCACGTCGCCGTCGTCATTGCCGAAGCCACCACGGGTGGTGTCGCGGTGGGGGTCGCGGAAGCCGACGGTCAGGTGGAACGGCCGCTTCGTCTCGCGGGCATGATCGAAGAACCGGCCCGCCTCGGTAGCGTTGGCGGCCACGTCGCGGCTGTCACTGGGAGAGAACCAATCCCAAGGATAGACGGAGCGCGGGCCGACGTGGACCTTGGCGATGATGCCGGTCTGGTAGCCCAACGACGCAAAGATCCGCGGCAGCGTCTCGATGTGGTCGTGGGTCTGAAAGTGGTTGCGGCCATGGTTGAGGCCATACTGGCCGTTCTGGTGGGTGTGGAGGCCGGTGTAGATGGTTGAGCGACTGCCACTGCAGGATGCGGTGCTGGCAAAGGCGTGGGTGAAGCAAGTGCCCTCGGCGGCAAGTTTGTCAATGTTTGGTGTCTGGATAGCCCGGGTGCCGTAACAGCCGAGCATCAAACCCAGGTCGTCGGCGATGATCTGGACAATGTTGCGGGGGGAGGCGTCTGGTGCATCCTGTTGCGACGACATGGCGGACCAAGGTGTAGTACGGGCCGTGGCAGGACACAAGAAGAGAGGCGGTGCGCGTGAGAGAGAAGCGATGGTGCTTTCAGAGCCGTGCAGGTGTTGTGGCGTGGCGTGAGGAGGGGACGGCCATGGCCGACATTGAGTGCCGGGCCATTAAATGGGACGAGATCCGGGACCGGATGTCGTGCTTTGGTGCGCCCGAGCCGAGACCGACTCCGGGCCCGGGGCTGTGGTTCGCATGTGGAGCCGGCCGAGCCCAGCCAGCAAGCACCATCAAATCCATCCTTTACATGGGCACATCCCTACACGCATTCACCAAACCCAAAGCAACCCTACACGACACCCGGGCGATGCAATGGACTCGTCGGAGCTGTCTGCCACACCGCGGCCCGCATGCCGCGAGTGCCGGGCGCGCAAGGTCCGCTGTGACCGTGACGGAAGCCGGTGTGGGCCCTGCACCCGCCTCCAGCTTGGCTGCTCCTATGCACCCCGTCCCCGAAGCCCGTCCACTTTGCCTGGCGACTCGGACATGGCCGCCTCTGCGCCATCGTCGGCACGGGTCACTCAGGCCGGCCTCGCACGACGCAGGTCTCGGCGGGCCTGCGATACCTGCCGTCTGCTCAAGACGCGTTGCTCCGGCACCCAGCCTTGCTCCCGCTGCCGGCAGCGCAGCCTCGCGTGCGTCTTCCCGCCCGGCACGGCAGCTTCTCCAGCGGCAGCCGACGATGCGTCCTGTCCGTCTCCAGCCGCGTCTTCCCCGCAGCGTGTCGTCTCGGACGCACCTTCGACGGCTTCCAGAGACACCAGGGCTGGCGTCGATGCTGAGCGGGCAGTGGTATCAGCACAGGCACAGAGATCCCCCACGACAACCACACCACCACCTCGAACAAGCTTGGCCCGGTTGACGGCCAACCCGCTCCAGGTCCAGGCAGACATCCGGGCCTACTTTGGCAGCCTGAGCGCAAGTCCTGCTTCTATCCGGTTCCTGCACAGGGCAACCGTCCTCGCAGACTACAGCCAGGGCCGCCTCGACCCCATCCTCACAGCCACTCTCTGCGCCCTCGGTCGACTCTATACCCTCGAACACAGCCAGGTCCATGTGCGCCGGGCAGAGCAAGAGGACGCCGAGGCCTGGCTGGCGGAAGCCCGTCGCCGAGTCGTCGAGGACGTCGCCACGGCGACCATTGCCCGCGTGCAAACCCTGATTCTCATTCTTCAGTATCGTGTGAAACAGGGTTCTGTCATGGACGCATGGACGCTGGTGGCTCTCGGTGCCCGGCTGGCCTTCACCCTGCGCCTCAACTACGAGCTGCCGGGCCTGCACCAGGACCCGATCACGCAAGAGACGCACCGCCGCATGATATGGGCGATCTGGCTGGTTGACAAGTTGCTCGCAGGGGGTATCGAGGACCTCGTTGTCTGTGCAACCGAGCGAGTCCATGTGCGCCTTCCTTGTGACGACTACACTTTTGAACGCGGGATCCCTTCGAGGGCCGGATGGCTAGGCCAGAATGTGGAGTCATCGCCGTCCGATGATCTGGCGTTGGATGCCTTGGGATTCTACGTTCGGGACATGGACTGCCGACACCGCATTCTCAAGTAGGTCAAAGTGCACATGCCTCAGGTATTGTCAAGCTTCCAGCTAATTCCTCTTCGTCCGGGCCCAACAGCTACACGAAGACAGTGGTGCGGCAGGGCACCTCACCGATAAACAGCGCTGGGGAGCTCAACAGCCTGCAGGCACAGCTGACGGCGCTGCAGAGGGCCTTGCCACACGACCTCCAGCTCACACCGGCACGCCTGCGCCTCAAGGCGCACTCGCATGATCTCGGAATCTACGTTGCACTGCACATGGCCTGGAACCAGTCTCACTGCAACCTGTACCGCCTCCTGGTCCCGGGCATGCGCGAGGCCGTGGCCGACGACGCCATCAAGGCAACTCCCCACGAGTTTGTTGTCCACTGCCAGACAGCCTGCCTCCTCGCCGCGATGCGCATCGCTAGCCTCCTCGCGCACCTGTACCGGGCCGGTCTCCGCAGAACACTGGCCATCCCCAACCTCATCGTCGGCATCTACCAGATCTCCCAGATCGTTCATAACCTTCGTTATCTACTGGTTCAAGAACCTGCCGATCAGACAACGACCCCCGGGGCACACGGCACAATCCAGACGGTGCAGGCCGATCTACAGGACGCGAGCAAGATGGTGCGCATCCTGCAGCCTCCAGGCACGGAGGGGCCAAAGGGCGCTGAGATGCTCGAGGAGGCGGATTGCTTCATCAATGGTCTGACCGACAGCGGCGAAAGTCCCTTTGACACCAACAACACTGGGAATAATTTGCCAGCGACTGCGACGGCACAGCGCATCCTCAGGGGCGATGGCAGCAGCCAGCAGCAAGAAGGGTCGTGGCGTGGTGGACGGAGCAGCCGGCATCTCGCCTCCAAGGGGTCTTTCCTTGATGATGTGGAGGGCCAGACTGCACGTGCTGTCGTCGTCGTCGGTGATGATGATGTCACCGCAGATCCCACCGCCCGCGATGACGATACCCTCAACGCGGCTCCCTTCCGCCACAACGACGCAGTCCTGCCGCAGAGCCAGCGCGCAAGTCTGGAACTGCAGGCCGGCGAATCACTCGTCTCGCTCCAGCAGCAGCAGCTGTATGATCACCACCAGAATCAGCAGCCGCAGCATGGAGCGTTGTCCAGGCCTGGCGCCAACCTCATCCCAGCAGGCTCTGCTTTACACGGGGGCGCGTTCCCTGGAAGCGGCGTGTCGCCTCTCTGGGGTGCACAGGAGGGCGCGCAGCACCCGGCTTCTGCGTTGTCCCATGCTAACAGCAATACCAATGTTCCATGGGACCCGCTCGAAGTCCAGATGTATGGGTACTTTGACCCGGTTCTCCAGGCTGTCATGTCTACCTTACCCGAGGCGTAAGTGGCAAACACGTCTGTGCCACTGTAGAATGTCGTTCTCCGGCGTTTCGGCGTCAATGACCGTCAAGGATGAATGGCAATGTATAATGATCTCGTAATGGCGTATCAGGACACCAATCTTGATCTTCAGCGAATAGAAGAGGGATGGGCTTTCGAGGCGGTCCTAAATAGTTTGTATAGAAACGGAGATGGTCTACGGGCTGCGGCATGACGAATGAACATCTTTGCGTCAGGTGAAAGCCTGTGATAAGAAGTCTCGCTGATTGCAACATCAGTTTTCCATAACACCAAAGTGCAGGAAAGCAAGGGGTATTTGGGTTCAAACTCCAGCAACGGGCTGTGATCATCTACTGGAATAACCTATAATTGAGGATGTATCAGCAAGTTGAACAGTCATTCGAGCGCTGCTTCTCTTTGTCGAATAGCCTGTTTGCTCTGCAATACCTCCTTGTCAGAGCCAAGGCGCTTGTCGTCCGGCCAAGCATCAGAGACGCGGTCTGCCAATGGTCTCTCTCGCTACATCAGACTATAGACATATCCCCAAATCGCGAATGATTATCAAGCACCTTTTTGCATTGGACTGAATAGCTCGTTTTCTAGATCTGCACAAAGGACGCCCTCCGCAGCATGCGTCAGCAGCACAACGTGAGCTGTTGGGGTTTGATGCACGGGGGATTAAGTAGGGCGTGGGGGAACGAGATCCGCGCAGGGACGAGATCCGGTCCAGCCGCCGGATGTCGTGCACCCTGTTCCAATGGCGTGCTAATGTTGCCATATGCCGCGACTTTGGGGCTTTCTGAACTCCAATCCCTGCGGGCTAAGTCTGGGGAGCCTTCAGAACTTGACTCTCTCTGTGCGCCACCATAGAGCGGCTACTTGCGCAATGAGTTCAATGTGGCCAGCGACATAAAGGGCTGAGGACTGCTCCTATGATCATCGTGTCCATCCTCAAAGCCAGGGCGGTTTATTACTGCTGAGGCGCTTGAAAATACACCATTCTCCGCCGGACTCTCTAGCAAGACCATCAACATGGGGTTTCGCATCCTTCCCAAACATCTCGCCTTGCGAGAGACGTTCAATACACGTTTGACCATGGCCATCCTCCTCATCACTTTCTCGCAGTTCAACTTCGGCTTTGACCAGCAGGGCTTCTCTGCCTCGCAGGCCATGGACTCGTTCGCCAAGCAGTTTGGCGACTACGACCCGGTCAAGAAGACCTGGGCCCTGTCCGCTGTGTGGTTGTCGTGGTTCAATGGCATCAACTATGCCGGCCAGGCCGTCGGTGTTGTGCTCGGCAGCTGGGTGAGCAACCGCTACGGCCGCCGCATGTGCATGTTCACCATGAGCCTGTGGGCGGTCGTCTGTGCCATCATCATCATCACTTCCAGGACGCGCGAGCAGATTCTTGTCGCTCGCATCCTCAACTGTAAGTCTTAGTTCTTCGTTTTGATTTATGCCCCCGCCCCTCGCAAAATCCCTGTTGCTGACGGCACGATAAATATAGACATTTACATCGGCATGGAGCTCGCCGTCGTCCCAGTCTTCCAATCAGAGATTGCTCCTCCACAGGCGCGAGGCTTCATTGTCGGCACGTACCAGATCAGCTTGATGGTAAGATACTCTTATCCGGCCTTGTTGTCGTCTGTCTCGCACCTGTTAATGCCGGCAAAATCCGCATCAGTTTGGAGGTCTCATAGCCAATCTCGTCGCGCGAGGCACCGACGGACTTCCGGACAACCAGCCTTGGATGATTGTCCTTGGGCTGTTCTTCGTCGTTCCTTCAATTGTCAGCGCACTGGTTTGGTTCATCCCAGAGGTTCGTTTTCCAACTAGTGCCTAGGACGGCTACAGTCTTGTGTAGAGACGCGACACTGACACAAACCATGTTACTCTCTCGAAAACAGTCACCTCGATGGCTCTTGATGAAAGATCGCCCGGAAGAAGCGATGTCTGTACTCCGACAACTACGCGAGGGCAAGTTCAGCGAAAGCGAGATTGAAGCCGAGTACGCCACGATTGCAAATGCGCTACAGAACACCGTTGCTCAGGGCAGCTTTATGGATATCTGGCGCGGCAGCAACCTGCGACGGACATGGATAGTCATTGGCGCCAACGTCTTTCTCCAGGCCACGGGCCAGCTCTTCATCTCGCTCTACGGCGCCCTCTTTGTCAAGTCGCTGGGCACGGTGAATCCGTTCACCATCACTTGCGTCATCGCTGCAACCAATGTCTCGACTGCCGGTTTGTCTATGCTCCTCACAGACCGTCTAGGTCGTCGGTGAGTACCACTACACAAACACCCTCTTGAATGTTTATATCCATTGATCAATAACTACCTAACACTTTTCCTCCCCTAAACAGAACCATGATCCACATCGGCGCCACCATCCAAGTCATCGCAGTCATGACCATGGGCGCCCTCGGCACTGTGACGCCGTCCACCTTTGCCATCAAGACGGGCATCATCACGACAATGGTCATCTTCAGCTTCGGCTACTCGTTCGGCTGGGCGCCGACCTCGCACACGCTGTCGGCCGAGGTGCCCAGCACGCGCGCGCGCGACATGACGTACCGCACAGCCAGCGTCATCAACATCTCGATCCAGTGCGCCATCGGCACCTCGATGCCGTACCTGCTCAACGCGCCGTACGCCAACCTCGGCGGCAGGGTCGGCTTCATCTTCGGGTCCATCGCCGCCGTCTCGCTCGTCTTTGCGTACTTTTGCGTGCCAGACTGTGCCGGCCGGAGCCTCGAGGAGCTGGACTATCTCTTTGCGAATAATGTCCCGGCGCGCGAGTTCCGCTACGCCAAGGTTGATTTGCAGGCGAGCGCGATTGAAGAAGGCAAGCTGGGCGGCAAGGCTGGTGTAGTCTCTGCCGAGCAACATGTGCGGGACGATTGAGAGGTGGTGACTGTGATTTAGGTGGAGGGGTATATCTTCTGACAATAGGATGCGATCAAACTGCCACTATGGGATCCTATCACCACCTTAGGCTTCTTAGACAGAAAGAGCAAGTGATTATACGAATGGATTTGTGCTGCAATGAGATCAAGATAGCATCGAAAGTTGGAGTCAAATACCCGACTTAGGCGAGATACTGCCTAGACGATTTACAACGCTCAAGTAGGAATAGGAACACGAGCATTCGAGGTGTTTGTCAGCCAGGTTTGTTGGCTGTTCATCTCCACATCACTGAAGGGCTGCAGACAGAAACGGCACCACGATTAAGGCAAGGACCATGAAAGGATGCCAGCAGCCCAGCATGGTGTCACATATGTTGGCAGGCAAGACGCATGCGAGTCTTCGGATCGAGCTGCATGTCTTGATGAGCGTGTGAGAGCTGACGGCTGTCCAGATGTCTATACTGAGTCAGTGATCTGCCCAGGCGGTTCACGGGCAGTTCACAAGCCGCTCCCAATTGCACCGCGAGAAGGAGCCACGGCAAAAAGTCAGAGAAGGAAGGGGCCTACGGAACGGCCTCAGGCCGTCACTGCCCACCTTCCCCCTTCCATGGAAGAGTTTCGACGTCGGTGCACTGCCCTCCGCCTCCTCCTTCGTCTTCCTCGCACGGCTCAGTCTTTTGTCGTCTCACCTCCACCAACCTGTCAATCACCACGAAGGACATACTTCTAGCGAGAACAACCACCGCAATCCTGGCCCTCATTCACTAAGCAGCACTGGCCATCATGCCAGCCTGCTTCGCCTCCCTCCAGCCGGAGTTGATACTCTGCATCAATGAATTCCTCCCAGTCACGTCTCAGGCCCAGTTGGCCGCCACCAGCACCGAACTCCGCTCCCTCTTGCACAACACCGTGTGCAAGAAAGCCATCGCAGCATTCCCCTACCTCATTCATTGGGCTGCCCAGGTCGGCCTGACCAATCTCGTGTCAGCTTTCCTCAACGCTGGAGCAGATCCCAACACTAAGTGTGCCGTCCAGTCCTGGCAAAAGTACAAGAGATCCCCAGCACGCACGATCCTGCTCCGCATGTACAAGCACGACAGCCGCTCCCGCAAGCAGTCCCTGTACCGACCCGATCTCGAGTTCAACTTCCTCAGCGGTGGAGATTTCTTTGATGAGGAGGGCTGGAGTGATTATGTCTCTGATCATGCCAACATGTCCGACCACAGCATACGTGCCAGCTACAAACACCAGCGACCCGAGCGTCACTGCATGGACGTCGAGTTCTACAGCGATGATGAAGAATTCGCCTGGAGACCCGAGCCATACACCTACAAGGCACGCTTCCAGCCTCTGCATGCTGCCTGCTCGCGTGGCCATGCTGCCATTGTCAAGCTACTGCTCGAGCACGGTGCAGAAGCTCATGGTGTTTCGTCAGGTCTCTGTCGATGCATCCTACCATCGCCCAAAGCTGGAGATTGGTGCACCTGCTGCCAGCCGCAGGAGCTGTGCCACCATACTCCGCTTCTGCTGGCAGTTTGCCACGGCAAGCATGATGTCGTGGACGTCGTCTTACAGCTATGCGCCACTGACGCAGCCACGGGCAACAATCTTATCAATGCCGCATTTATGGCCGCCCTCAATAAGGGCGACGGCATGCTTGTTACCAAGTTTCTCAACGCACCCTACAACGTCGATGTCAATGACTGCAAGGTCGCCGGACTCACCCCCTTGGCGTTTTGCGTACTCCGACAACGCAGCCTTGGTGTCCTCCGTCTGCTTCTAGACAACGGGGCGGAGCCAAACGACGATCTTGGTAGCGGACGTTCGACTATCGCCAACGCCTGTCTAAGCGCGCGATATGAGGCTGCCGCCATCATGCTACCCTACTCGAAGGACCCTGACGTGTTTTTCCCCAGCAACCCGGAAATGCGCGCGATTGCTGGCCCATACTCCACAAGAGGTGGCTTGTCACTTGTCCAAGTCACTCGGCCTCTCGAGTACATAGCAGCCGGCAGCTTGACAGCTCTGCAGTACATTGCGCCCCTTCATGCATCAGAGAACCCACTCCCAGTAGGAAAGAACGGTCGCGAGCTGAAAAGGGTTCGTAATGAACGACTCGCAATCGAAGCGCATGAACGTCAGCGTGTTAAGCTGGTGGAAGAGCTACTGAAGAAGGGCGCGAATGTCCACGCAACTCCACGCTCACACCATACGCCAATCGTTCTCGCAGCCGCTTCCCATAGCACTGACGTCATGAGTGTTATCCTCAAAGCTGGAGGACAAATTGGTCAAGAGGACAGCGTCGGCTTCTTTCCACTCTTGGCTGCGGCTTCTAGCCATTTTGGCTTGTGGTACGAGAACATTCCGGTGAGAATGTACACTGTTCTGAAGTTCTTACTGGAGCATGGAGCGGATCCAAACCAGGCCAGCTCCAAGACTGGCCAGACGTCACTCATGGTTCTCTGTGACCGCATATCGGAACACGATATCGTCAGCTGGAAGGACATTGATCTCCTCATCAAAGCCGGTGCGGATATCAATGCCAGCGACCACGACGGCATCACGCCTTTGATGGCTGCAAAGAGGAAAGAAGATCAAGACAAATGCGATCTCTTAGTCAAGCGCGGCGCACGGGAATCGCCAGCTGGCAACGCGTCCGCAACATGAGAAGGAGCTGTTTTGGGGCTCTCATACCCGGGATCAGCTTGGGGTTGAATGGGGATTAGGAATAACCAGTCACACGTTGTCAAGACGCCCGGCAAAGGACTGAGATGAGGATTTGGCGGTGACCAAGCTGCAAGCTCCACGCCAAAAGTAGAGGCAGTGCGTGTACGTCATTTCTCGTGTATGACAGCTAAGTTGCTGTGGTATCAGGTCGACTACGAAATATTTGCAGGCGGAGAAGATGTAACACTATGCACTTGAGAATTAGCTAAACAGGACAGGAATTCACTTATTTCACTGAATCATATACCGCTGCCCAGCTTTGCCCGACGCCTATCCTGACCTATCCCCAACGAGTGGTACCATGAGGACGGTGCCATGAGGACGGTACCATGAGGACTGCCTCCTCCACATCACGCCCTGCCACACCAAGGTTTTTGGAACGGACGGAGCTAGGCTATTCAATTGATGTGCGCAGATTCGAGCCGCTGTTATAAGGCACCTGAGGTCTCTGGCCGGGTCAGACTTACCTATCATGTAGCATTACGCCGGGTCCGACGCAATTTCCCTTCTTTCCCTTCTTGTCAAAGCAGGACGAACTCCTGCAGTGGAGTCTGATATACCTTGTTCACAAAGGCCTGATCCGCATTGATACCAACACCGAGACCATCCACAAATGGCAGATCGACAAAGTGGAAAACGCGCGGGCCTTTCAGCTGGCCGGTGCTATACAGGTCGTGTTCCATGACAGATCGGAGGAGAAGGCAGTCGTCCCACGCATTCGACGCGACCACCACATCCCCGACCTCTGCCTGTGATGTGCATAGACCGAAGTTGCCCGTGTCGAGGACGAACAGAGAGTGATTCGGAAGGCCTTTACTGGAAAACTTTGCGGGGTTGAGTGTATCGTCTAATCCCAGCGTGGGGGTATGATCAGGACCGACGCCGGGTTGACACCGCTGGACACGCTGAAAGCTGTACCAGAACCAGATCTCGTTGAATCCTGGACCTTGCCCATAGCTGAGCTCTTTGAAAATATGTGCCAGCTTCTTGGCGAGCTGACCATCCGCACAATTCATAAGTTCTACAAGCTTCACGTGGGCCGGGTCCGCATTCTCTGGTGGATGAGGCGCCGGGCCGCTCTGAGAGCGCCTTGAAGCACCGCTGCCGCTGCTGCTGCGCGCTTGGTGGACCTTTGCTATTTTGAGGAGGCCTACGACCGCGTCGACAAAAGCGGCAAGACTGTCTGGAAACGTGACTACAGCCACGACGCGGCCGATGAACTTGCCGTCGAGATCGAGGGCGTCATAGGCACGAGACTTGGTCTGTAGCACTCTCCAGCGAGCTGCTTGCGTGCCGTCGAGCACCTGCGGCAGAGCCCCCGTGGTCTTGGCTCGATCCCTCTGTACTGCCATGTCGGGGAGCCAGGACGGCCAGCGGTCCTCGCGCTGGTGCGTCCCCAGAGTCATGTAGCGTTTCACCACTTCCAGGACCATGAACTCGCTTTCGTGGTGGTATATGTAGAATAGCGCGTCCCGGATGACCGCGTTTGGAGGCTTGAGCGGGTCGACCTCGAGGAGCCGCGCCCGCGCGGCAGCGGTCTCCTTGTCCCCGACTGGGATGTCATGGATAAGGCCGAGCAGCGCGAAGATCTTGTCGCGGGGGTCGTGGCAGATCCGTGTGCTGCTGGCCACGAGCAGGTCGGCGAGGAAGAAGCTGTCCTGCCACCGCAGCACCCTGAGGACTTGCAGGCTTTCCCGGACGCTGCGCCTCTGGTCGTGGCCGAGCGGGTACAAGGGGTCGGAGGCCTCCTGGAGGATCTGAGCCTCGACGGCGGTCAGGCTGCCTGGGTCACGCCGCATGAGGTCCGCGTACGTGCCCAGTGCGGCCCAGGGTATCTCGTTGTAGTACATCTTGTACAGCCTCAGGTTCTCGCGGATGCGCCCGTGGAGCACGGGGACCAGGTCGCCCTGCTTTGGGAGGAGGGACTCCTGGAACGTCCACATGCGCTGGAAGTAGGGCAGCTGGTGGAACTCTGTGAAGCCGTTGAAGACCTGCAGGGCCGTGAGGGCGTGGCTGCGCCGGGTGCTGCGGTGCCAGTACGCCCGGGACCGGAAGGCGGCAGTCCACATGGTCCTCGACAGCCACCTGACGCCCCATGGTGCGTCGGGGTCGCTGGCCAGACACGGGCCCCAGGAGAGATATGCCTCGATGCGTGGCGTTGAGGGCCCCAGCCAGCAGATGACCTTGGCGGCCTCCTGGTAGACGCGGGCCATGAGCTCGATCTGGTGGCCCTTCTCGGCCGGGTCGTCCTGGTTGATGCAGACGGCGTCGGCCCAGATGGGCAGATCCGCGTGCCATCCTCGATGCCAGAGGAGAGCGTCGCCGAGGTTGCGCGTGACCTGGATGGCGGAATTGTCGACCACGATGCCTGTGCTGCTGCCCTCGACATCGCCCCACACGTACGAGAGGGCGACGAAACGGGGCTTGTCGTTGAGCGAGACGACGCTGAGCGAGCAGCTCAGTTGTTGCGCCTCGTTGTCCTTATTATTGTCGTTGTTTCTGTTGCGGGGCAGTGAGGGTGCGGCCGGCTCCAGGGTGAGCAGCCTGATCTGGGCCCGATGTGCATCCAGAGGCATGTATGGAAGCGACATGGCGGCTAGAGTTGCAAACGCAGTACTTTGCGAGGAAGGTCATCATCCAGCGTCATTGTTGCAGTTGCAATCATGAAGGATTCTGACAGCTTCAGAAGTAAGGACGGCTGAAGGAGGGCTAATTTTGGAAGTCCGCAGCCTTACATCCAGACAAGGGTCTGAAGCTGGCCAATGGCATTGCCCGGGCCTTAATACCCATGTCTCTGAACAATGCTGTTCTAGACACAGTCCCGTGATGTTATATTAACGCCTTCGTGATGCAGGGCACATCCGCAAACGTTGACACTGATGCGGCGCGTTGGCAGATCTGCCGCGCCGCTTTGGTGAGGCATCCCACCTGCAATAGCAACATGCTGAGCGCCTTTATCCTCGTTTCACCCCACAGCAAATTCAGAACTCGAAGCCGCATGAAACTTAAGATGGAAAGGTAGAGTAGAAATGCAATCGTCGTCTATTGTCTCAGCTCATTGCACTATCGATCATGTCCATCGTCGCTCGAGCTCTGCTGACCGTTTCTCCTTGACCGTCGGATGCTTGCTACCGTGCTTCACCAGCTCTCTCGACGTGTAACATGGGCACAGTGAAGCAATTATCAGAATTGCCGCGGCCACGCTATGTGAAAACCAACTCGACTCCGTCGCCATCCTCTTCCTAATCCTCATTAGATAGGTCTTCGTCAACGAGAAGCTCGTCTAGCTTGTACACTTTGTCTGCATGCGCGTGGTACCCGGCAAGATAGCAAATTGTTGCTTCAAGAACATGAACCGGGAGAGACAAGACACCATTCGCGATGATCTTCTTGTAATCGAGTCGGGCTGCATATGACGCCAGAATTGTTGTATAAAGGCGGAAAAGCATCGACCTTTCGTCCAGATCTTCTAGAATGTCCCAACGGACCTGATTGACGGAACCCTGGTGTTGAAGACTCACTTTATGAAGTAAACGCATGACATCATTCTGCAAGACAGGCATTTTCAGATAATCCGCGAGCTGCCATAAGCGATACGCTGTGTTGATATGCAGATCATCATAGACCGGAGCTTCCGGGAAGACATCTTCCAGGATCTTCTTGACGTTGCCGGCTGGTTTGGCATAGAGCCAGTCCACGAGTGCTCCCACTGTGAGATCGTTGGCATGCTTCTCCAGCTGGAATTCCATGCTCTTGGACTCTTTCATGCCACTGTTCAGAGCGTGCAGAAAGTAATCCGAGTACTGAACCAGGAGATGAGCATGAACTCGGAATACTTTTGCTTCTGGCGTCTTGATCACTACGATTTGATCAGAATCACTGGAGAAAAGATGACATTCAGTCAGTGATCTGTCATATCAACGAGACATTAGTGCGAGAATGAGATGCTCACAAGACCTTGGGAACTTCGGCCCGACGCTCGAAGGCCCGCTTTGATTCGGATGTTCTGGCCTTCTTGGTCGCCATCTGGATGTGCTTGCCGTGGAAGGTGTAGCGAGCTGCGGCCGCGTTTGTGTTGATGTGCGAGATTGGCAAATCACCGAAACGGCCAGACGGCTCGTGGAACAGAGAAAGAAGAAATTGCAGGGAGTTCTTGGTGTTACCGCTCGGGCGGAAAGCCTGATGGGGGTACGAAGCGCAAGCCGGCAAAGTATGTTGAAGTGTTGATCAGCCCGCAGCCAGGTGGCTTACGGAAGCGGTTTCTTGAAGAGTTAGTGAATTCCACGTGAGGTACTTCTGACCAAAGTCGTGAGTGGCTAGAAGGTGTTTAGCCTCTAAGAACTTCTAGCGGCTGGAGGAATTGCTAAAGGACTAATGGAAGTTGAGGTCGGAGTTATGTGAGACAATTTTAATTAAGCTTGTGGGTCATAGGTCTGATGTCGAGAATGGTAGAAGTCAACTTTGGTGCAATCGCAATTATGCCTCGCGCATCTTCTAGGAATTGCCAAGGGAGGAGAGAAGAATATACCACACAAATTGAGTAGAATATGCAGTATATAGAAAGATGTGTTGAATACACTTTTGTTGCACTATGTACACGCAACAAATAAGCCCGCTGTAGAGTGGAGCATGTTCCGTTTTGCCTCAGTGGTGAAATATCATAACTTTATTGGGCCTGGATACAATGGTCAACTAGAGAGGGCCTTCAATAAGATATGCCAAATCCCGAATTCAGGTCGGCTCCCTCACAATCTCCACCCCATGCATATGAACATTTAGCCACCTTTGATTGAGGAAATGGATGATTGATAAAGCCCTACGTGAGGAGCGTGCGCCCTTCTCCTCCTGCTTTTCAGCGCCTAATTTGTTGTCTGGGTCTTCCTCCTCACTCCTCAACAGAACATCTATCGCGCCTCACCCTCTAACCATCCGCATGGAAGACCACACCAAACCGGGCCTCCGACTCGACTCTCGTGACTGGAAGTTGAAGCATTCCCGTACGACTGGGAACTCGTTAAGAGAGTCGTCCACAGCGATGGTGACCCGGCCCTTCTGAGCGATGACAATTGCCAATAGAGCGCGCACCGCCAAAGGCTGGCCCGCCGAAGATGTCATGGCGACCAACGTCGCGAAAGTTGCCCAGAGTCCACCACTGAAGCACTCATGAAGAAGGTCGCTCTAGGGGTCGACTGGATGACGCTTGAGCAGGCCGACCTTGTTAAACAGCGCTTTAATATTTTAAAACCAGGCGAGTACCGCACATAGTATTGCATGGTCCAACTTGACCGCTACCGCGCTACCGCGCTGGAGATTTGCTCGCTTCCGTTGAGGAGCGCCGAGCGTATCGCAATTCCCGACTCAGACGTTAAATCTTACGTAGGCCTGGGTTCGTCTTGGGCCCGACAGACTTGAGTTAGAAGGTAGAGGCAGAGTGGGAGTTAAACCACAGTTTCAGGAGTGATCTCAGAAACCAGTCGACTTGGATCAGGCGGACTCTTTACAGCTAACGTCGTCTTTGGCTTCCATAGATACATCACTGCCGAGCTTGGTGCCTCTTTCGATGAAAGGCTGGCATATGCGCGGACGCTATACGGCAATGGTGCAAAAGGCTGTCTCTTTAACTCTTCAAGGGTCTACATAGCCACGTACGTTAAGAACAAGATTTCTGGTGTGTCTGGCAACTTCACCCCTACCGCAAAAAGAGAAAGCTCGAGTTCAAGAGATATTCTGATAGTGGGACGCCGGGAGAGCGAGACCAACCACATCATCTCGCACATAGCTCTTCCACAGGCTGATGGGGCTCAAGCTCGATCCCTCCACCGTATGGCCTAGCAGGGTGGTCTTCTGGAAGAGGATGAAGACTCCCGGACATGAAATGAAGATCTCCTTGGCTTGACGAGCAGTACTTTGTCGTTTTCGAAATCTTCACCGTACCTTTAATCTCGAACATCCTGAGCGGCACAGACAATCCCAACTCATTTTTCAGCCTGGGTCTATGCCGTCGACTGGGATCCTCCCGCGGGTGCGGAACGAGATGAGGATGCATATGCAGGCAGAGTCAAAGTTAGCTTTGGTTACCACCTCTTTCCCGGACTTTACCCATTTCTCCTTGAGGCAGAGTTCTCCCTCGAGAAAGTCTGCGAATCAATCGTTCCGAGGATCACATTTACCGCATCAAAGACTTCTCACCGTTGAAACAGCCTAGCCGAGACCGTTATCAGAAGTAGGTGATTCGGATCAGGAGGTAAATAAAGATTGAGTTCAGAAGTGCCCCACTCTGGCGAGTATGGATCTTAGTTACGAACATCTTGCCGAATTGCCTGCGTTGTGTGGAGGTCTCTATGTGCTTGCGGCGATGACAACTAGGCCCGACCAGCTAGCTACTTAATTTTAATTAGGCGTATGGGAGCGGCTGTGGCGCTGAGAATTCCTCCCACTCCTCGGCGAAAGCGCCCGGGCAGCCACTTGTCCTCTCGCCAAAGTGTCCCAATTTTTGGATAAATGTACCTTAAGCATCAGGCGCCATGATGGACGTGTTACGCCTGTTGGTCTCCAGGTTGGGAGGTTGAGTTCTTGGCCATGAGAAAGTTGTCTATCTCATCTTCTTGGAGTTTCCATTCATCCCTTGTGTAGAACCTCATTACTATTTCGACGAGTCGGTCATGCTCTATCCATTTGAAGTATTCCCTCAGCTTTTCGATGCTGCCTTCTTTCCACATAAACTTTTGGAATCTGGGAAGCGCAGATACTATCTTGGCACAGTCAAATCGCATCAGCTGCGAATGCAGGCGAAGCTGTCGTCGGCGAAATTTAGTGCTCTCTCTCTCTGCGAACAGGATTCGCATGGTGTCGTCTTGTAAATCTGGGATTTGTAGGTAGTCTGCAAGCTGCCACAAGTCATACGCGGTGTTCTCCCACTTATTTTCTTTGTCTCCTCGGTCGACAATATTCTGTAGTGACTGGGGTGTTGTGTTGTATGGCTTTTCGTACACCCAGTTGACCAAGAAGCCCATCGTCTTCTCGTTCGCATGCTCCTCTAGCTCAAATTCCAGACTCGATGACTCAGCGAGGCCGCTATTCAGAGCCTTGAGGAAGTAGTCGGAATACTGGACAAGAAGGTGAGCATGGACGCGGAACTCTTGGACAGTTTTGATCTTGATCGTGACCATCTTGCCGGATTGTCTGACTCGGCAAACTTATGATGAGTGGCAAGAAGGGAGAGTATGCAAGACGTGGGTGTCGACTCACGAGACCTTTGGAACCTTGTCCTCACGCTTGTGCACTGTCTTGTCGTCATCCTCCTCGTGCGCTCTCTTGGGCGCGGTCATTGTGAGCTGTGTTGAGGTTCGCAGGTGGCTGCAGCGATGAGAACCGGGTGCGACGGGCTTGCTTCTGTTTCACTCAATGGTAGCGTCGGGGAGCAGCCGTGGCGCTGCGAGCTAAGAAATGGATAAATGAGTTGTTCGTGAGGTGAGGTGAGGCGAGTCGAGGTGTAGCAAATCTCGCGAGTGCGCAAGCTTGACGTTGTCGCGGCGAGCAGAAGACCGTCAGAGATTGTCTCGTACTCTCTGCGGGCACGATGATACCGCGGCGCGAGGATGAGACGTGCTGGGAACAATCGGCGAGGAAGAGGCAATGATTAGAGAGTGCGTAGATGGACGTCTCTTGCTGGGGAAGGAACGAACAAAGGTTTCGACAGAGCCAGGCAGAAGGGATATACCCATCTCCTTGCACGGCGGGATGGACTGGTGGTGAAATTCTGCTCTTGCGTTCGAATGAGCACACTCGACAAAGCGAAGGAACAATGAACCGCTGAAGTAGGCAGGTCACATGGAGAAATTAACCACCGCAGAATACCCAGGCTGCACCTCACTGCCATGCGTCACCCCTCTGATGCGGCAAAACACGTCAAGATCTGTGTGTCATACTTCAAATTCAATTTCGCTATGCCTTTTTTTATCCCGTTGCTTCCGCTGAGGCAACACCACAAAACCGTCTTGCCAGCCCATCGCTAACCAATATTGAACTCGCTCGCCGCATTCATCGCCGCCATCATCTTCATCTTCATCCTCCGAGCAGCATCCGCGTCCACACCACCAGGCGCACCCTCATCATCGCTGTCTTTGCCAGCGCCACCGCGGGCACCACCAGTGCTCGCCCGCTTCCCACCATCACCACTGCCCTTCTTGTCACCAGTCTTGTGTATCCTCCTCTTTGCTGTCGGCCCCATGCCGATCCCGCCGGGCGCCTCGCGCAGGCCAAAGCTCTTGGCCGTGTGGCCGAGATGCAGCTCCGCAATGTCGAAGTGCTCGCGCTCCTCGCGGACGTGCGTCGCGTACGCGGCGATCTGGCCGCGGAATGCCTTGCGCGAGGCGTCGAGAAGCTTCGGGTTGCCGCCGATGCTGTTGCTGCCGGTGCCTTCCTTGTCCGAGGCGAGCAGGCGCTGCTCAATGTGCAGCTGGAGAGCCTCGGCGCGGGCATTGGGCGACTGCTTCTCCGTGACGAGTGTCGGTGGTTCGGCGGCGGACGGGTCGTCCTTGGGCAGCACGACTGGCGTGATGAAGCCCTTCTGCAGAATGGGTTCGTAGGATGTGGTGGTCGAGTTGGTGGCGTTGAGGAGCTTGATGTAGCCCTCCTCGCAGCCGGGCTGGAGGAAGAGGACAGCCTTGCCGTTCCGGCCGGCACGAGCGGTACGACCGACGCGGTGGACGTGGTCGGCAACGCAGAATGCCGGATCGTACTCGATGACGAGGTCGACAGCTGGCACGTCGAGACCGCGGGATGCAATGTCTGTTGTGAGGAGGACGCAAGGTTCTTTCGAGTCTCGGTACGCGGCGAGAGTGGCGGTTCGTACAGGTTGAGGCAGAGATCCATGTAGCTTGGAAAGCTTGACTGTCGTGTTGGCCGGTCCCGTGATGTAGGCTGCATCAGCAACAGTGCCGACCGTGTGGGTCTTGTCGTCGCTTGAAGACTTGGCAGTTGTCGAACGTATCAGGTCGAAGTGGAAGTCGACAGACGCTGTACAAGAGAAGAAGACAATGGCCTTCATGACAGATCCCTTCCTCGCAAACGACGACTTCAACAACGCAAGCAGCGTCACCAGTCGCAGCTTTGCCGGCACAATCAAGAAGGACTGCTTGAGCTGCGCCGGAGCCTGGAAGATGGCGTCGTTCGCCTCGACCGCATCGTCGCCATCCGCTTTGGACGCCGTAACGTGGATGGCGTCCTGCAAACTGATCTCTCCAAGCTTCTGCACGTTCATCTTCATCGTCGCCGAACACAGCACCGTGACTCTCCGCTGCGGAAGCACGTCAAACTTGACGCCGTCCTTGTTCTCCGTCTTGAGCTCCTCGGCCCTGATCTTGGCGACGATGCTCTTCAGCTCCTCTTCGAACCCCAGCTCCATCAGGCGATCGCCCTCGTCGAGGACGAGCCACCGCACAGTGCCCACATCCAGCACCTTTGTGTTGTCGAGATGATCAGCCAGCCGGCCGGGCGTCGCAATCAAGATGTTGACGCCCTTCCTCAGCCGCGCCTTCTCCGCCTTCTTGCTCTCCCCACCCATGACCGTCGCGCTCACAATCCACGGCGTGCACCGGAGCAGCTTCTCCAGCACGTTCGCAATCTGCTTGCACAGCTCTCTCGTGGGCGCCAGGATCAGCGCAAACAGGCCCGAGTCGCGGTGGATCTGCACGCCTGTCGCATTCCCGTCCTGGTCGTGGCTGAGCGCCAAGATGCGCTGCACGATCGGCAGCAGGTACGCCAGGGTCTTTCCGGAGCCCGTCTCGGCCTGCAGGAAGGCGTCCGTGTCGTCCTTGACGAGCGGCGCGATGGCGTTCTTCTGGATCGACGTGGGCGCCTTCATCTCCAGCTTGGACGAGAGGTGCTGGGCGATGCGCCGCGACAGGCCGAGCGCGTGGAAGTTGGCCGCCTCCTCGGAGAGCGGCGCGTTCGAAGGCTTCGCGGGCTCGGCGTCCTCTGCCCCGTCCTTGGACTCGTCCTCAAAGACCGTCTTGGCCACCGGGTTCGACGTGAACAGCCTCGACGTCACGCTGCCGGGGGGCTTGCCGGCGAATCTGTTGGGCCCCGTCTTGTCGCCTGCGCCGTGCGCGCCAGGGTTGTTGGAGTTCGCAGCCGCTCGGTGTGGTGGTGGTATCGTCGACCCGTCCGAGGTCCGCTGCCGCTTCGCTGGTCGCTGCTGGTCATCCGCCCCTGCTGTTCCGGTGCTCCTCCGCCGGTCGGTGTTGACGGGTGTGTCGTTGCTGCCCGAGGACGGGCCGGAGCGACCCGTCTTTGCGTTGCGCTGGGCGTTGAGGCGGTCGCGCCATCGGCCGCCGGTGTATTTGACCTGTCGCTTCAAGGGCTCGTCGCCAATGTCAAAGTTGAGGAGCATGCCCGAGTCCGCCATTGTGTGTGTTGCTGCGCCGTGATCGCGTGTGGGCGGGCACAGGCGTTGTGTGTGTATGGCTGTTGGATGTCGATGGCGTGTTTGGTGGTGCAGGCGGGCACCTTTGACAGTTTGGTGTTGAAACGAGGTGCAGCATCAGCAGATGTGTTGGATATAGCCGGCAGAAAAACGTCAACTTTTTGGCGGTCGACTTCTGCACCCCCGAGCGGGATGGCTGTTTGGTGTCAGCCAAGTGGGGTACGGGACCGGACCCTTGTCACTTGCACCCTGGCACGGGCAGACCACTTGCATTGCTGGCGGCTTGGTCTCTTCTTTGACCAGGGAACATTGTCTAAGTAGGCTCATGCATGGCTGGTTCCCCGACCGTGTAAATCGCTAGTATTGCATGCATATCATTTCGTCTACATCAAGTCCTTCTATAATAATAAACCCGTGCCCCTCAACCAAAGTCGTCCTCGGGCTTGCCGGGATCCCTCTCGTCCTCCGCAGGCACACCCTGCTGGTGCAGGGGCGCCGTCTCCAAGCTGGTCCCCATGGGCCTGCTCACACTGCCCTTCCTGCCTCTGGTATCAAGCGCCTCGCTCTCTTCGTCAATCACCTCGCTGCTGTCCGCCCCCGTGCCGTCGTCGTCGTCATCGCCGTCAAACTCGCGCAGGTGCTCGTTGAGCTGCTGGCCCAGGCTCAGCATGTACCCACTCGCAAATGCAAACTTGTCGATGCCATTCTCCGCGGAGAGCTCCGAATACATGAGCCGCGCCTCGTTCAGGCACCGCTGCGCCTGGATGTGCTTGGCCTGCTCGAGCCACGCCTCCGCACCGAGGATGCTCCACAGCGCCGACTTGCGTGGCCGCGAGCCCCAGGCCCGCGAGCCCAGCCCTTGCTTCGAGGCATAGCACACCGCCAGACGCTCCTTGATCAGCGCGTCGCCCACGGGACCCATGATCTTGCTCTCGAGCAGCCGTATGCCCCACTTCGCAGCCTCGTCTACTCCGGTGCCGCCGCGGAGCCGGAGCAGCTCCATGCCCAGCACAAGACACCGCAAGGCTCCGTATGGTGCTGTGCAGCGAGTCAGGTACGAATAGACGGCTGCCTCGAACATGGAATCCAGTGCCTCAGCTCTCGTCTTGGATGACAGGTTCTGCGGCATGATGAGCAGGCTGAGCGCGGCCATCTCGTTGGCAGCGGCGTGATAGCGCCAGGCCTTGTCGCTGTTGAAGTCGCCGCGGATGATGTCGTAGGTCGAATATGCCAGCTTCCAATCCCTCAGCATGAAGCTGTAGTCCGCAAGCTTCCTCATAATAGCTTCCGGAGTGTCGTGGCGATAGAAACCCAGAGGTTCGTAGTTGCTGCCCGAGCTCGATCCGGAGCCTGATGACCTCGAGCTGCTGCCGAATCCCCATCGCTTGGTCAGTCCCAGAAACCTCCCAGCCACGCCTTTGCGCTTCGATGCCACTTGGTCGTTCCACAGTGCAACCTGCCGTTCCATGTTGGGTATTATCGATTTGGTAACCATCTCCCTCACAAACGTGCGTATAGCCGTCGCGTCCGACTCGAAGATGTACTTTGTCGGATCCTCAAACGCTTCTTCGTCCTCGCTGCGCTTGATGTCCGCGAGCTCTTCCGCCGCGGACATCCACTCAGCTCGTGGCAGCGGTATGCTGTCGTCGTCCGTCTCGGCGCTCTGCGTGCCGCGGATGCGCAGCATATCGCAGTTCAAGCCCAGGTTCCGCCGCATCTGGTCAAACAAGGCCATTGACTTGGTAATGTCGTCCTTCTCCTCGTCGTGGACGAGCACATAGTAGCGCAGGAACTCCGGGTCGACCCAGTTCGGCAGGTGCTTGTCTCCTGTGCTTGTGTCGGTGTACAGGCGCCGCAGCGTCTCGATTGGCGACGCGGTGCGCGAGCTGATGGCGACGATGCACGCGACTGGATGCGAGAAAGATTCGTGTGGCGAGATGGGCAGGCCGGAGAGGAGCCTCCGCATATACAGCGCGTAGTAGGGTGATGGGACGTCGATATCGAGCCCGTGGTCGGTGCCGCCCGCTGCGTGGGGGTTGGTGAAGAACGCATCCTCGGCGAACGAGAGGTGTCTCTCCACGACGGCCTCGACGGCCTCGATTGTCTGCCGGCTCTTCTTGGCCGCATCTCCTTGTGCTGGCTGCTGTGTTCCGTTGGCACCTGCTGGTGGGGTGTTCTTGAGCACGCCCGACGTCGGTTCTGGGTGCTCAATCTTCTGGCCGAGCGGCGTGAAGTGGACAGAGTAGTCCTCGTATGTGCGGCTCGCGCCGTGGCTGTCTCTGATGATGACCTTGCCCTGCACGCGCTCGCCATATGGTCGAAGGAGCTCCCACAGGCCGCCGCTGAACCCCTTCTCCTTTATCAACGTCTCGGTATCTTCGGACGCGTACACGGCGATGTTGGGCACGAAGGCCTGGAGGATGAGGTTGAGCGGATCGCCCGGGCTTTCTCCCGCAGCCTGTGTCAGGGCGAGGGCATTGTTCTGGGCACCGCCGAATACTGAGCCGGAGACTATCCGCGCCGAGGGTGGGCGACTTCCAGACGGCGACTGTGGGCGGGATCCTGGAGGAGACAAGGTCGCGGCGTAGAGCGATGCCGACTGCAGTGACCGCCGATCTCGATCTCGTTCTCGGTAGGGTAAGGAGACGTCCGACTGGGACAGTGGGAAGCCTCCTGAGAGGGACTGCCGGGTCTTCGGGCTCTTCAGGGCGGAGGCTGCCATGGGGGGCGCCGATATTGAGTCGGTCGGGGCGTCATTGTCGAAGGACATAGAATCAGTGCGTTTGTCGGACGCCTCGTCGGGGGAAGGAGGAGGGGCAGGAGGTGCGACGAGGCCCACCTGAGACGCTGGTAGAGGATTGGCAGTAGCTGGCGATTCGTCACGTTGGTGTTGGGAGTGTTGTCATGATATGAGCGACCGAAAAACGCCCGACGAGGTATGCAAGGATGTTGGACAGGATCGGGCGTGGTTGAACCACGGGGTTGATTGACAGCCGTCGGCGAGCAAATAGCGTCAGCGCTGCTCTCCTGGACTGGGCCAAGGGGAAGCGCTGGCCACATGTACTTCCGTTGTGCATGCACATGGTGCCTTAGTGGGGTAATTTGACAGGTGCACGTAAACCATACCACAGACATTGCCATCAACATGTGCCAACCGCCAAAGGTGTCACAAGCATCGTCTTGCCGTTTTCCCGGACTCTCAAAGGAGGCATAGCAGACCCTTTCCAGCGCATGCGGACTGATATGTGGGATAATTCTGTTCTGGATGTGCAGCTCGGAAGTCCGGTATTGCACTGGACCTAGTTTGCCGCAAGTCGCTTGGATTCTGGCTCTTGAAGGCCTCCTTCAGCGGTGACCGCTTCTCCAGCTCCGGTTCTTTCTACTTCGTCCGCAGAGTCCCTTGCCGCTGCCGCTGCCGCCGTATTCTCCTCTGCAGTCTGTTCCTTTTCTGCCGCCATCTTCTGCCGCTTCTCCTCCCGCCATTGCGGCCCCTTCTTCTGGATATACCATAGCACCGGCGAGAACACTGCAAACATGATGCCAATTATGCTATAAGCCCAGCCAACACCGATCCTCCCAATCACGTCCTCAATCACAGCTATCGAGATGGCCCCGTACGCACAGCGAATCAGGTTATTCGCCGCCGTGGCCGACGCCGGTGCGTCCGGGGTAAGATCCACGAGCAGGATATTGATGACAGAAAAGGCGCCCGTGACGCAGAGCCCAATAAAGAAGGACAGCACGAGCGGGACGGCAATGTGCGCGCGAAAGTAGAACGACCACGCATACCCAATGTACACGAGCACGCCGAGGAGGATCTGCGGCAGGGCAACCTCGACGCGGACGCGCTCGATCGGGAAGCCGGGGGCCTCGACGCCGGACTTGCGGTCGATGACGACTCCGAGCCTCTTTGCCGTGCGCCTGTAGTTCCAGTCCACGATGTAGCCATTTGCGACGGACGAAATGGTGCATCCTAAGCCGAGCGGGAGGTAGCAGAGACCTAGCTGGAGCTCGTTGAAGCCGTATGCCTCGAACAGGCGAGTCGACAGGGTGGCGGAGACGGCTTGGAAGCCAAGAAAGAGGGCGCCGTTGTACAGGAGGAGCATGCCCATCTCTTTTCGCAGGAGAAGCTTCAGCGTTACGAGGGGGTTGGGAAGAGGGATCTTCTGTCGGGGTCGAGGAGGTGCGCCACTGCGCCTCTTGCGGTCCCTGAAGTAGTCGAGCAGTGTCATGTTCCATCCTCGCGGAGGGATGGAGCCGTTGCCAACCACGTTGCGTGCTGTCTCGGGGACAGCCAAGATGAAAGGGACCAGCCAAGTCACGGTGAAGATGACGAGGAACCAGAAGATGGCTGGCCAGCCAAGGTACTGGGCCAAGATCCCACCCAGCACAGGACCCAGGGCAGGCCCCATGGTAATACCTCCGCCGACGACTCCCATGTATCTGCCTCGCTCTGAGCGTGGCGCCAGATCCGCCACCACGGCGTAGACGAGTGCGATGGTGCCGCTGGCGCCAGTGCTCTGCAACATGCGAAGAACGAGGAGGGCGACGTAGTCCCTCTGGAGAGCCAGTCCAATGTTCGCGCCGAGGAATATCGTAAAGGCAACGATGAACGCCGGACGTCGGCCAGCTGCATCGCCAAAATTGCCAAAGAACATTGGCGCAAGGCCCTGGAAGATGGTGTAGGTCGTGACTGTCAAGTTGATCTGCGAGATTGTCACGCCGAGATCCCTCGAGAGCACAGGGATGGCCGTGAAGTAGACGTTGGCCGTCATGGGGGACATGAAGGCGGCGAGGAAATTCATGGCCACAATCCACCATATCATGGAGGGCGGAAAGACTGTGTAGGCTGGCCCGCTGGGCACTCTAGACAGTGCTGCTTCTGCATCGTCTGTCGAGACTCCAGCAGGAGCAGCCGACTTGACTTTGGTATCCGTGCTGCCAACGTTGTCTTGGCCCTGGTCTTGACCCATCATTGGGGTCTCATCTGGAGGAGTGACAGTCGAAGCTGGAGGTCTGCCGACAGTCGCAGAGATGTGCCCAGAGTCTGATCGTGGCCGTCCTGCTATCACTTCATCCCCCGCTGCCACCGACTTTGGATCTCCGTTGTTGTTGTGCATGAAGGTGTAAAGGAGCCTGATAGGGGCAAGGCATGTTTACCAGTAGGGAAGATGGAGACAGATGAGGGTGTAGCCGGGCTAGAAAACTTATCAGGGGACGACAAGCAGCAGATCGCCATATCTTTATCATGCATCCATGTCAAAGTAATGTTTCATTGCCTGCGGGGATAAGAAAACGACATCGTGACACACCACCAGCTACTAACATGAGGGGAAATCATCTTAGCCTTTGAACTTAGGGACCACAAGGAGCATTTGGCTTGCTCAGTTTCTGCCGCCATGGAAGCGACTAGGCATGCTGGCAGGAGCGCGCAAAAAGTCGAGCTCGGCGAGCTCGGTGATGTGGACGCGAGGCACAGAGGGCGACTTTTGGGGCCAAGGAGCGAAGCCGGCGAGCGAGCCTCTGGGGATAAGCCGGGCGCAGGGAAAGAAAACAATTACTGGTCTGTGATTGGTAGCCAGCCAGGAGGTAAAGATCCAAGAAGGTGGTCGGGGTATGATCGGGGCGAGGCGCCGGCTGGTGGTTTGGATGTCCGCCTCACGTCACCACTGATAGCCTTATCGATATGGGCCATGGCCTTTGGTGGGCTTGCGGGGAGTGGAGCGGCCACTCGCGACTGGAAGGAGGCTTGCTGGCCACAAGCGCCCTCCTACGTCAGTCGTCACCGATCGTGAAAGCGCCCAGATAGCTTGGAGCCGCCCAAGCGAGTCTGCCACACAGCTGATCATGACCAAGGCCCAATCATAGCGATGACGGACCTGACGCCTGCATTCGCCGGCCTGCTGCAAAGTCATGGCAAGCAGCTCAAGCCTCGGACGTTCAGTCCCGACAGCCTGGACGACTTTCTCAAGGAGGCTTACAAGATAGTACGACAGCTCTGAAGCCGAGGACCACCCAACACCCCGTCACAAGACTCGCTAACCACATCGTCTTACCCTGTCTCAGAACGAACACATAGTCTCACTGCACCGCGACCTGCGAAGCATCCGACAATCCTACCTCTCAACCGCACAGCCACGCCGCACACAGCTACGATCCGCCGCAGGCCAGCACAATGACCGCTCCTCGGGGATTTCGGGAGCCGGCGCGAAGCCCATGAGCGACCGTGACCGCGAGAAAGTCGATGCCGACGCGAAGCAGATGCTGCGCAAGCTCAATGCGAGCATCAAGAGCCTGCGCGAGACCGAGGAGGTGCGCCACGAGACAGAGATAGCGCTGATAAACCAGAAATTTGGCGGCGGGCGGGGCTTCAGCATGGCCAAGCGCTGGGTCGCGGGCGGTGTTGGCGGCGTTGCGTCCGCGAGCAGCGGCAAGTCGAGTGAACAGATTGCCGCCGAGGACCGGGAGAAGGCTGTGAGCACACACCGGGGCAGCGTATTGTGGATGCTCGGCCAGCGGCTGCAGGAGTGCATCTCGACCCAGCAGCAGATGATGGAGATACGGATATCCAGGGAGATGGAGAAGAACCGAAGCGTACTTGCCAAGGCACGTGCGCCGGACATGGCGGCGCTGCGGGCGATGATGGAGCCTGGAGACGACAATGGCCATGGCGGCTCCAACGCCGCAGCTGCAGAGATGGGCCGCAAGGCCGACGAGGAGGCGCAGAGAGCAGCAGCGGCTTACAACCCGGCGGCGGATCTGACGGCGGAGCAGATACAAATGTTCCAGCAGGAGAACGCAGACATGCTGCGGCACTACGAGAGCACGTTGGACCAAGTCAGGTATGTTGCCCACCACGCCGGGAAGCTCTACTCGGTAGCTGACACGATGATGGGGTCATTAGGACTGCACAGAAATCACTCGTGGAGATTTCCGAACTTCAGACACAGCTGGTGGACAACCTGACGGCACAGTCTGCAAATATTGACCTGCTCATGGCCGACTCGAGCAACACGACTGAAAACGTTGGCGGAGGAAACAAGCAGCTGAAGCAGGCGACGCAGAAGCCGAGCACGGCAAAGTACACGTTCTACGCGACATGCGGGCTATGCGCGTTCCTGGTTGTATGGGATCTGATAATATAAGACAGGGCTGTCCTCGCGTACTGCCCCTCAAGCCACTTGCCCTAGTTCACGGCATGACCATTGTGAAGCGAGAACGAGGCATCAAGACAGGAGTGATCGTCTTTGCGTGCCATGTTGCATGCACTTTTGGTTGTGGTTGCGAGGTCAACAAACCCACCTCCCACCGTCAGGATCCGGCATGGACTGCTGCGACGCTGCCGATCATCCTCGGTCAAAGAGTGCAAAAATAGATGTAACAGAAGCCGTGCTTGGGGCCAGCACCCGTCGCCGACTTTGGGGGTGGAGACAGGGACAGTCCAGCACTGTACGGGCGGCACGGCTACCCCAGAGGCCGGGAGCCTCGGCCTGGCAAAGCGCGAAGAGCATCTGACACGGGCACGGGCAACACCACAACGGAGCGGCCCTGCGTGTGGGCTTTGCCGAGCGTCATATGTCATTCCTGGCTGCTCTCGATCATATGCCATTTATCTAGTCCCGCCAGTCCCCTTGCCGACAGTCCTTTTGGCCTCGAGAACTTCTCTCTCTCCTGCGACGATAGCTACCGTTCCACAGCACTCCCATCTCGCGAGAAACAACTTGCGACAACACACTGTCCGTTCGTCGAGTCCGTCTGGCATCACCACACATTGTTGCAACGCCCTCTGTTTCCGACCGCTCCACCTGCGCGACACGACACGACGCAAACGCCCGTGGCACTGCACGGCCATTGCACAATCAATCAGCTCACCAACATCCCACAGCACCACTGCGCTTGTCTGATCTGCTTACGGAAGCACGCCATCCTCTGACTGCTCAGAAGCTGTCGTCCTGGTCGACGGCTGTGGGCTTTGCTACAGTAAGGTGAGCACCCCCATGCCAGGGCAGATGAATCAGCACGTCGCCGATTGGCCCGTTGGGCCATGGCATTGCGACGGCAGAGGCTCCGCAGTCGGCTCCGTCCCTGGCAGCGCCTGCAGTTCCGGTACCGTAATAGCTCCAGCTGGGACGGGTCCCGGCAGGCCCATGTGGAGAGGGCGCAGACAGTTGGGGACACCGAGACCCAGTCTGGGGGTCGCTATGTGGTAATGTCCAAGAACTCTGCAGGGCAGATGACGGATCATTATCCCATGGGATGCTGGAGACCGCGAGCAGGAAGGATGGGAACCCCGGCTGACACGGAGTGCTTGCTTATCACGCAGGACAGAAGAAGAAGAAACGCCAGGCGGTGCTAGCAACGTGCCTAAGACGCACTGCATCAGACGGCCGGCCCGGGCCCGCCCCTCCCCCGCCGTTTCGCAGCAATTCAGCCTGTTGTTCCCAACGTCGCTCCTGCCTCGAGAGTGACACACACTTGCAGCAGGCAGGCACCTCTCGGCCCACCCCCAGGCCTGCACGCAGCGCAGCAGGCACACTGCCGCGTACCTGAGTCCCCGTCTAGACCTTTATAACACAACCCGCCCCGCCATCGCTTGCTCTGCCTCCCTCCTCTCGCAAAATGTCAAAGCCAACCTCTTCCACCCCTTCCCCCTCTTCCTCCTCTCTCGCCAGAGTCAAAAACATTGCCGGCCACATGTTATCCCCCGCCGCCACCAGCTTCACGGCCCAGGTCGTCCCTCAGGCCCCCGAGGATCCCCTCTTCGGCCTGATGGCGGCCTACCGCGCTGACAAGGACCCCAAGAAAGTCGACCTCGTATGTCTCGCCCGTCTATCCCAAACAGCCTTTGTGTCCAGGAATCGCGTACTGACAGCGCAATACTAGGGAATTGGCGCCTACCGTGACAACAATGCCAAGCCGTGGGTGCTCCCCGTCGTCAAAAAGGTATGGTTTCCGCACTCTGACGTCACGCCAGCCCGCCCTGCCCGCGATATCCGCGCCTCAACATCGCACCATCACTGACTCACGACACTTGCACAGGCTGACGAGATCCTGCGCAATGACCCCGAGCTCAATCACGAATATGCCCCCATCGCCGGTATCCCAACCTTCACCGGCAAGGCTGCTGAGTTGATCCTCGGTGGTGCCGACTCACCCGCCATCAAGGAGAAGCGAGTTACCTCCGTCCAGACTATTTCGGGCACCGGTGCCGTCCACCTGGGCGCCCTCTTCCTCGCCAAATTCTTCCCTGGCAACAAGAAGGTGTATCTGTCCAACCCTACCTGGGCCAATCACAACCAGATCTTCACCAACGTTGGCATCCCGATTGCCCAGTATCCTTACTTCGACAAGGCGACGAAAGGCCTCGACTTCGAGGGCATGAAGAAGGCCTTGCTTGGCGCCGAGGACCGCTCCATCATTCTGCTGCACGCCTGTGCCCACAACCCGACTGGTGTAGACCCGACTCTTGACCAGTGGAAGGAGATTGCCCAGATCATCCGGCAAAAGTCACATTTCCCTTTCTTCGACACAGCTTACCAGGGCTTCGCCACTGGCGACCTGATGAAGGACAATGCCGCGGTCCGCTACTTTGTTGAGCAGGGATTCGAGCTTGTCGTTGCTCAGAGTTTCGCCAAGAACTTTGGTCTCTACGGCGAGCGCGCCGGCTGCTTCCACGTCGTGACTGGCCCTGCCTCTGACGCTCAAGAGACGATTACCCGCATCGCCTCACAACTGGCTATCCTCCAGCGCTCAGAGATCAGCAACCCTCCGCTTTACGGTGCGCGCATTGCCAGCACGGTGCTCAATGATAAGGCGCTCTTCGCCGAGTGGGAGGAGAACCTGCGCACCATGTCGGGTCGCATCATTGACATGCGCAAGGCGCTGCGCAGCAAGCTCGAGGAGCTCGGCACCCCGGGCACCTGGAACCACATTACCGACCAGATCGGCATGTTCAGCTTCACTGGTCTGACAGAGAAGCAGGTGCTCAAGGTGCGCGAGGACGCCCACGTGTACATGACCAAGAACGGCCGGATCAGCATGGCGGGTCTCAACACGAATAATGTCGAGTACGTTGCCAAGGCGTTTGACAAGGTCGTCCGGGAGACGCAGTAGAGGGAGTGATGGGAGTAGACTTTGTCTTTTTTTTTGCTTTTTAGCGATGTCTGGCGACGAGTCCTCGTGGTCTGCTTAGAAGTGCTCTGCGTCCGGGGGCTTTTTGTGTTTCCAGATACCTTTTGTAGCAGTGAAAGACCAAGGATAAAATTTGAGATGCCCCTTGCTTCTTGCTGCCTCACTGCACACACACTGTCCTTATCCGGTTGGATGCCTTCAAAATCGGTGCAACAAATATGATCAGCTCAAGCAATCCGCATGAGTGCGTGCCATGGTAGCCAGCAGCTCGTAGCCCGGGACCTTCGGCTCAGTGCACCACCACTCTCCATATCCCTTTACTCTGCTTCTTTTCAAATGTGCGAGTGGTCTTCCCTGGTCCTCATTGTTATCCGAAACCGGCAGCCATGCGGCATATCGACCCACTTTGGACATGATTGGCACCACGGTAGATGAACGAGTAATGAAGCACGCCTCGATGTATGGATTCTATCCTTAAGCATCTCATATCACACACATATATATATCTAGCCGCTGAGGTATCATGAAAAGCAAATGGTATTCCGCCCGCCTCACACACAGATCCAATCAATGGTATTGAACACCAGGGAGGGACCATATCCATGTGAAAGACGGGGGAACAAAACAGGCAAAACGATCAGGGTCCCCAAATTCAGAAAGGAGTCTATGTTTGTCATCATCACGTTTCGAGTTTGACTGAAATGCGGGAGTCTTCTAACTAATCTAGACGGAAGTCTCGTTGACCGTGGCGACGATCTTGCTCTCGACGAGCTGGGCCCTGGGCTCGTTGTCCTTGTTGGCCAGGACCGGGTCGCTGAAGTGGTAGCCCTTGAACTTGCGCGTGGGCACGTTGTTGTTGTAGAGGTAGTCGAGCTGCTCGAGCGAGAAGCCCTTCATCTCGGGCAGCATGAAGAAGACCCAGCCGATGGTGATGAAGGAGAAGGTTCCCCAGATGAAGCCCTAAGAAAGAAGTTCGTGTGAGCCCCGTAGTCAAAAACATACATGGATGGGTGGTCTTCCCAAAAACCCGAAAACAAAGAACACTCACAATTCTGCTCCCGAGGTTTCCAAAGTCGGGGTTCTGGATAAACGGGGACACCGAGGTGACGAGGAGGGACACGCCAAAGCCCAAAAAGACGGCCACGGCCTGGACGCGCTCTCTGTTGCGGGTCGGGGCAGACTCGGCCGTGGTGATCCAGATCAGAGGCGACTGGATGCCGAAGCCGGCCTGCCACAGGATGATGAGGGCCATTGACGCCTTCTGGCTGCTGTCGGTGCCGGGGTTGAAGACGGTGACCAGGATCGCGACAATGTACATGGTGACGCCACACACGGCCGAGGTGGTCATCATGATGGTGCGGCGACCAAACTTGTCCGGTAGGATGTGGCCTGATAGGATGCCCACATAGTAGACCATATTGACTCCCATGAGAACGGGGAAGACATCCTTGACCCCGGCGCCCACGAGGAAGGATACGATGTAGTTGACCATGTAGCCGGAACCTTGGGCCTGCTGGAGACACTGGATACCAGACGCAATGAGCGTGCGACGAAGGTCGGGGCCCTGGAGCAGGTCGGCCCAGCCAGTAGCGGATTGCTGCTCGCGGTCCTCCTCGATGGACACCTGGATCTTGGCGACGTAGTCGGCGGCATCAAAGTTGTTCGAGTCTGTGCGGAACAGGCGGTTGGCGGCAGCAACAGCCTCCTCAATTCGGCTGTGGGAATACTTGTCAGCACACAGCTTTGCAACACCACAAAAGGGTGACAGTGAGGAAGAAGAACGCACCCTTTGGTGACGAGCCACCTCGGACTCTCAGGGAGGAATGGCGAAGCAATGACCATGCACGTGGGAGCCAGCAGCTGCAGACCAATGGGGATCAAGTACGATGAGGCAGTGCCCATGGTGGAGGTCGCGTAGACAATACCGGCGGCCACGATGTAGCCGATGATCTGGACGTTCTGGTACATGTTGACGGCGAAACCACGGGCAGGGCCAGAAGACGACTCGGAGAGGTAGATTGGCACAATGTTGGCGGCCAGGCCCATGGACAGCGCTGCAATGAACTTGCCGCCGACGAACTGGTCGAATCTGGGGTGCTCGCCTACGGCACTGGTGATCTCAATGACGACGCCGACGATGGAGATGGCACCGGTGGCGATGAGGGAGAGCTTGCGGCCGAGGAAGTTGTTGACGTAGACGGCAAAGAGGCAGGCAATCATGATGCCGGCGGACTGGATGGAGCTGCCGAGCGACTGCTGCTGGGTGGTGAGGTTGCACGTCTCGACGCCGCCGACCATGGCACAGGTGCCGTAGTCGTGGAGGAACTTTTGGGAGCCGAGGATGGTGCCCCACCAGCCATTGTCGAAGCCGAAGAGGAAGGCGCCGAACGAGGCCATGAACATGCAGCCGAGGGCCGTGGCCGTGGTGTCCTTGAGATATTCCAGCATGGCGGCGGGGGGGTGGGGTGTCAGCTGGGAGGAAGGCAGTCAGTCGTTGTTGTTGTCGTCGTACTTTGTCGTCAATGAGGCAGAACAAGGCCGATGGGGGAGGCCCTTGGCGGCGGCAGGTCGAGCAGAAGCAGCGCTGCAGCAAACAACGAGCCAAGCAAGCAAACAAGCAGGCAGGCAGGCAGACGACAGCGAAGCGGGAGGAGGCCAAGGCGCCGGGGTTGGAGGGAGGAGGGATTCGCGAGTGGATTTATAAGGAGGATGGATGCCAGACGCCCGTGCGGCAGGGCTGTGGCAGCAGGAGCAGGAGCGCCGGCTCCGTACGAGGGTCCGTCCAGTGGTTATCAGGAAGAAGAGATGGGGAGAGCTGGGAAGGGGGTCCCGTCCAGTCTGGCGTGCCCCAGTCCCCCATCTGGGGTTCGCTCTGCAATTAATTGATCCATGGCAGTAGCGATCGGAGGGGCTCCGGCTGCCGCTCGGGGCAGGCAACTTTAGAACTAACCACCCTAGGGTGCGTAACTGACTAGCGACGCGTACGCTTGCTTACCTCAGGCAACTACGTGGGCAGTCAAGTATCAACTTGCTGCCAGGCGCATGACTCGCAGTGGCCATTGCGTTTGCTTGTGCTTTTCCATTCTGCAGCCAGCCCGTGCCCTCATGGGATGGGCGAGAGCACAGCAACAGACCACCACCACCACCGGACCAAACTCCGGCGCAGCACACACGCGGCGGAGAGCATGCAGCAGCGCCCCGACACCCCTGGTCGCCCATTCCCAACGGAACGGATCCCGGCCGCCCACACGCAGACTGCACCCTAGACTAGGTAACAGGCCGCTTGGCAGACCAAGCACAGTCCCGCGCCGGCCTGGCTAGGGCTGGTCTTCCAGAAGTCTGTCTCACCACCGACGGCCCCTTTTTGCTTCTTCCACGCAGAACGTGGGCTCCCAACGCCGATTCCAAGACGGGGCAGACTTTGTTTGGCATCCCCCCGGGACTCAACTGCTCGACCCGCCCAGCCCACACCACGCAGCTGGGGGTCCGCCCCTGATTACGCCGAACCCGTTCGCAGCGCCCTTTATTGGCCGATCGCGTCGCACATCGATTGCCAGTGTTACCCTCGCGACTGACCAGGCTGCCGGAGCTTATCAAGGCCTCCCGCACCCCCATCCCCGGCAAGCCGTCGGAACATGCAACATTATCAGTCATCGCCGGCCGAAACCTGCCATCCGACCGATCACACATCGCCCGGCGTCGCGCCCTTCGCGATAGCGCTGCTCCACACATGGCCAGATGCATAACCGTCACGCCGCTGGCTGTCAGCGGGCGTGGCCGTCGCTCCCTAGTGGCAAGACACCGGCACGTCCCAAGCCATTGTCTCGGTCACAATCGGCGCTGGTGGCTCCTCAATCGCATCCAGGCATGAGACCTGTGCCGTGGGCTAGACTCTGGGCGTGCCGGACGAGCATGACTTTGACGGAAGAGGGCGTGCATTAGCTTCCCCAGCTCCCATCTCCATCCCCAACCCTGTCAATTCGTTGAAGGCTATCTCGACGCCTTTGGACGTTCCGTCGGAACGGGTCCTTGATCGTGGGCAGCGAGCATCTCTTCCCCACACATATCGTCGAACATGCCCCGCAGCGCTCCCAAACCCCATACGGCCCAATTCACGAGGTCCCAATTTCACCATTTCACGGGCCGTGTCCAGGCACAACGGGGAGAGACCACGCAGCTGGCGGCACCTCAGTCTTTATTGCGCTTTCAGCTCGTACACGTTGTAAGCGATAAGGCGCTGTGGGCACGAGTGGTCTGATGGCTTCACTTGCGGACAGGATAGTGTGCTGGCCGCATGCTGCGAAGCTGGCAACTGCTCGAGATGCTGTGTTGGCAAGATTCATACATATGGATCGTCGGGAGTCGGCATGGTTCCCGCTTGAGAGAGCTGATACGCGCAATCGTCGGCTACAGAGTCAACTTCCCGCAGCGGTATCGCTGACCAATGATGCAGACCCTCCCAGAGACCGGGACACACACTGATCATCTGCTCTGCGAATCTACGCGCCAATGAAACATGTATCCCTGTCATTGGTCAGCCTCATCTTACTCCATCCCACTGGTGCAACTCCACGGTCTCCTCAAACGCCCCTCCTGATTTGCCATATCGCAGCATTATCGGCTTGGTCTTGATGCCTGACACCTTGACGGATTGTTGAGGCATACTACGATGATGCTTACCATTCTCTTGTCAGGATCTGCAGGCTCGCTCATGTCGTGATACAGCGCTTGACCGTGGGGGTGAATGTCATGAATGCAAGTCGCCTAGTTGCGTGGAGCCTGGCAGTAGTACACTGATGGTCGATGACCGAAGCACACATGGCTTCTGGAATTCTTAAAGTCCTTGACGTCTCCTGAGCATCAGGCACAGCTGATAATGGCCAAGCGTTAGTGCTGGGCGCGTTAGTGCTGGGCGCGTTAGATATCGTGCTATCTAACTGTGGCCAGCGTGTGGCGTCATCGCGTGGAGGCTCGGCAGTTCTAGACCGCACTAGATCATCGAGACCGCGACGCACCTCGGCCGCTTTCTTGCGCCTGTCACGGAGAACAGCTTGCGACTGCATCGTGTTTATCCGTCCGTTGGGCGACTTGCAATAGTTGTCCAAAGGATGTGTCAAGGGGCCAGCCTTCGCAGCACTGGCTTGCGCATGAAATCATAAAGTTGAGTAATGTAACATGGAATAGCAAATGGGCCATTTGGGGATATAATGGAGAACCTAACTCGTTGTCCAGTGCTACCTAAGAGTATATATATAATGCCTCGAGCCCTCTATAGATAGGTAACCGCCTAGGGACCTAGATGTATAAGTCGTCCGCTATATCCTTGACAAGGAGCTCTATAAGCATTACTTCTCTGAAATAAGTAGTAATTACCGTCCGACTAACTAAATGCCTTGGTCCACAACCCTTGTCCTTCTACGCCCCAACGAAGGGAGCAACGACACGGGAGATTCTCAAAACAACATGCATGATCCGCTTCTGATGGCGGCAAAGCGCGACTTGGCGGAAAGCAAGGAAGCTACAATCTATGGAAGCGTCCGCAGCATGTCTGCACTTTCTTTTTGCTCGGCCCTGAGAAACAGGACTCAGGCCAATCGAGACAAATTGAGGCGCGCGCAAAGCTATGGAGCGCGGCAAACTGTTTCTGAAAAATCGGTGCCATCCATTCCTATGTCGTGTCTACTGAGGGCGTGGAGAGCTTGATAAGCGCTTCCCGTTTTTCTTCTGTTTCTTCCCTCCCCAGACACATTTTCTTAGAGCAGAATGGACATTACTTCATAAAGTGGAATTACCACATTGGTCGGTTTCTCACTAGGCAAGTTTTGCGAGAGCCCGTGGGAAAAAATGTATATATCAATTGTGAAAACGTAGACTTTTTTCGTGGGCACCTTGCCTCCTCTCCTCTAATCTTCCCTTCCCTTCCGAGGAACGCCGCCGCCCCCTTCTACTACACGTGCAGCTCCGTGGTGGCCGTGTTCTCAAAGATGGCCTTGTACGGCTGGATCTTCTTCTCGACGACGCCGCCCGGCCCGCAGTAGCGCTCGACAATCTGGGCGCTGCGGCCGGTGTAGAGCTCCGGGCGGAGCATGTCGTCGATCTCGCCCCAGATGGGCCTGAAGAACTCTGTGGCCTTGATGCGGTCGACGAGGTCGTTGTGGCGGCCCTCGTGCTTGACCTCGCGCCCTGCCTGGTGGGAGAGTACGCGGATCTCCTCGTGGGCGTCCTGGCGCGACACGCCCTGGGCGCAGAGCTTCATGATGATGCTCTCGGTGATCATGAAGGGGAGCTCCTCGTGCACGCGCGCCGCGACGCGCTTGGGGTACACGACCATGCCGTTGGTGATGTTGTCGAGGCTGCCCACGATGGCGTCGGCCAGGAGGAACATCTCGGGGATGTCGATGCGGCGGACCGCGCTGTCGTCGAGCGAGCGCTCCATCCACTGCGTGGCCAGCGTGTTGGCAAAAGTCGCCTGGCGCGAGAGCAGCTCGCGCGACAGGGCGGCCACGCGCTCCGACCGCATCGGGTTGCGCTTGTAGGCCATGGCCGAGGACCCAATCTGCCCGGACTCGAACGGCTCCTCGGCCTCCTTCCACGCCGCCAGGTGCCGGATGTCGCCGGTGATCTTGTGCGCGCTCGCCCCCAGGCCGCAGATGGCGTTGGCCACCAGCATGTCCACCTTGCGCGTGTACGTCTGCGTCGAGATGTCGTAGCACCCGGAGAAGCCCGTCTTCTTGCACAGCAGCTCGTTGAGCTGGTCGCACTTGGCGCCGTCGCCGTGGAAGATCTCGAGGAACGAGGCCTGTGTGCCCGTGGTGCCCTGGGCGCCTATAACGTTTTTCAGGTCTGGTAAGTAATGCGTCTCGGGAAACCGACAAAAATGGGTGACGACGGTACAAGGGGGAAAAGTCGAGACAAACTCACCTCTGAGGAGCAGTCCGTTTCTGGCGTGCTCGATGGCCTCGAGGTCCATGACCAGGTCCTGGGCCCACTGGGCAGCGCGCTTGCCGACTATAGTGGTGAGGTCAGTACCTGCGTGTTATTCTGCATCTGAGAGAAAGCATCCGTCTATGGCATACCCGTGATCAGTTGTGCTGAGGAGACTTGTGTTAGCATGACTTGTTCTCAGTGCAAGCATAGACAGACCGGAGAAACATACCTGGCTGAAGGTGAGTGTAGGCAAGGGTTGGCTCCGCCTTCCACTCCATGGCGAACTTTGACAGGTTGGAGATGACCTTGGCCAGCTTGGGCAGGAGCAGGTCCATGGCGTCGCGCATGAGGAGGAGCTCGGCGTTGTCGGTGACGTAGCAGCTCGTGGCCTTGTGGTTGGCAGCTGTTAGTATGGTTGGTACAGCCGGGATGGGATATCGACTGAAAATGAGTGACAATACTTACACCGTAGTGGATGATGCCGGCGGCGGCAGGGGCGACGGCGCCAAAGGCGTGGACGTGGGCCATGACGTCGTGGCGGCGGACCTTCTCCTCGACGCGGGCGACCTCAAAGTCTTGGTCGGAGACGGTGAGGTGCTGGCGCATCTGGTCGAGGGCCTCTGGGGTGATGGTGTCGATGCCGAGCTCGCGCTCCGACTCTGCGAGCAGGAGCCAGAGCTTGCGCCACTGGGAGTGGCGGGAGCGCTGGCTGAAGAGGCGCGACATCTCGGCACTGCAGTACCGCGTCGTCAGAGACGTCTGGTACGTGTCGTAGGGGGACGCCATGGCTGGTGCTGTGCTGTGCTGTGTTTGTGTTGTATAGTGTTGTGATGCCTGGATGCCTGGATGGACTTGGCCGTGTGTGAGCATGCAGACCTCTTGTCCCTCTGGCTGCTGGTGTGTAATAACAAGTGTCTGGCACACCTGGCAGGCTGTTGTTGATGTCCTGGACAGACGATGCTCTGGCAGCAGGGATATGTTTTCGTGATAGCCATGTCATGTCATGGTGGGGTGGCGGCGGCGGCCCTTCCTGCCAGAAAAATCTTTGGGCCGACGTCGGTAGGGGTCCACCCAGCACCGCTCCCATCGTTGTGATTGGCCAATGGGCCGGAGCTATTATCGTGCCCCTCCACTTGCCTGGACCTCCCTCGAGCATATAAATCATAGACCTCTGATATCTAGAGCAGTATTGCGTGGCTTGCATTGCCTGGTCGCGGCGGCATTGATGTGTTTTGATACCTGCCAGGCGAGCTACCTTCTTGCAGCCATCGCCAACTCAACCCTCGACTAACATCAATATTCCTCCGTCGCGAATGGGTACAACGTCAAACTCGCCTGGTTGGGGGAATCTTAGGTCAAGTAAGGTGGCGCCAACATCTCACCAAGGTCACCAAAAGTGTAACTCGTCTCCAGTAAGCATCGGCTCTCTCCTTCAGTGATGAAAACTGGAACAAATGCTTCACCTCACGTACTTCAGGTATAGCACGCACCGACTGGGATTCGTCAAATCTACCAGTCGATGGCTCCTGTCTCTGAAACTGCGCAACTCTAGGTATCTAGCGCTGGCGGACCTCAAAGACTTTACTTAGTGCCATTGACCGGTTGACCCATAGCTGTACTAAATCGTCAATGAAGGGACATTACTGGGTTTGTGAATAGCAAGCACACGGAGTTCCCCACAGAGCTGGCGGTGGCGAAGTTCCAACACATGGGCGGTCCCCCTTGCGTCCAAGAGTGAATACAACTCTTCAGCGCAATGTGAAGCATGTGGAGAGCCAGAGAATTGCCAGTTTCTGGAGGCTCTGACGCCATTGGGAGCCTGTGAAGATATCGAGCAGAGTGCACGACGATCTTGGGCTATCAGTGGTAAAGAAGTCATTGACACGCTATTCCTGATGCATTGGGCGAGTGAAAGACCGCATTCGAGCGGGTAAGTGGCTCAGTTCGCCTTTTCCTACATGCTTGCCAGGTACACCTGGGCACACAATTACATGTGCAATCGAAAAGGTACCTGCCCAAGCACAAGCATTCTGAGGTCAACCATGCCGCTCCTGAGAATCAGTCATCTGACATCCAACTCCGTAGAAATAAAATTTTCGGACGGGCTCAACATCCCAGTAATGGAGAGACCACCTTCCTGGAGAGATGAGCCGGCATAGAAGCCTTATCCAATAATGCCCCATCATGCACAGAAAGTTATGCTGCTGTGGGGAGGGCCAGCAGGCAACCCCTACAATAACTGATTTATCAACAAGACCCCGTGTGCCACTGCCTGCATCTCGTTATTAAGCTGATGAAGATGTAAGATCACATGCCTCAATAACACCTGAAAGCCAAACCCCAGCCCAAGTTCTCCAGGGCACTGCCGCATGCAAACATCAGATGACCCGACGAATCGCGACAAAGCGCCCCGTCTTCACCCAGAAACCCTGCTACGAGAACACACATGGGGGGGGGGGGTTCTTTTTTTTTTTTTTTTTTTTTTTGGTTTTTAGCGGTGCAAGGGTCCAACGTCCCACTGCAGAAACAAGATCCCGTGACGCCAATCGGAGAAAAACGGGGGGGGGGAAGGCCCAGAAGAAAAAACACGGCCAAGAGCCGATGAACGACCAGATCGGGGGGGGAAGGGGGGTAGGGAGGTTGCATGCCTTCCCGGGCCTCCGCGCTGCTACGGCAGGCGGGCGCATACGTGCGTGCGGACGTGCGTGCTGCCATGTATGCAGATAGACTGACAGACCATAGCCACACACAGCCAGCCACAGAGACCAGACACACACACACACACACACCACGAGGCGCGCGCGGTGCATATGACTCAGATCATGACCCTACCCTGCTTCTAAACCTAGCCTGTCTGTGCATAAAGCAATGGAACACAAGCAGCGCCTGGGGGGGAAAATAAATAAGAAGAGGGTCGCGGGATACGGGGCGGTAGAGCAGTGGGAGTGGAAAAGGGTAGTAATGACGAGTCCGGATGATCATGCGCCTATGCCCGCAGGCCCCCCTAGGCCCCCTGCCGGGCCGGCCGGCATATGCCGACACCCTGGGCGATATGATGATCAGAGCGTTGCAGTGTTCGTCGTCGTGCGGTGCAGGATATAATCAGTGCCCGTGAAGAGGGCGTGTGTGGGAGGGGGGGCGGGAGACAGAGAGGCGGGTAGAATGGAGTCTGGGATTCCGCGAAAATGTGTGTGTCTTGGGACAAAAGGAAAACCCCATGGCGGCGGTGAGCAGGGCGAACGAGGTGAGGTTCCCGGTCCCTGTTTGACAGGTGCCATGTCAGGTTACACAGGGATACATCATCGTTCGTGCGTAGAGAGACACCAGTCTCAGATGCCCGGCCACTGGCATGATCCCAAGAGACACATGTGCTTTAATACAACGTCGGCAACTGAAATACTGTGCTTCGAGAACGGAGCAAGGCTGCGTGGGCATCGCGGTACGGTCGAATAGCTTCCGTTGAACACCCAAACGCCGACACCCTCGAGAATCGAGATGCCCAAGCTGGCAGCAGTGACGCGGGGATAGGTAATCCAGAAGTTGACTGGCAAGGTGTTCAAGAGAAGCTTTGCCGCACTAGCCGCCGAGAACTTCCCCCATGCACCGCCTTTCGATGGACGGTACAGCCAAATCTCGAGGAGCCACCTGCAGGGACGACGGACTCAGTGGAAGCCCATGTTCCCCAACCAGCCTCCATCGGCTCTAGACCCTCAAAAAAACCCCTATGATCAATTCTGATACCACCATGTGTATCTCCTGATATCAGATGGTGGCTTGGCCTGACCCCGTCCCAGTCGCCCGAAAGCCTCCCCTGCCGCCTCGACGCGGTTGACCCTCTTCTTCCCCTCCAACAAAGGAGCAGGTTTATTTCATCATATACACCCCATCGGCGGCGCCCATGGGACCCTGGCACACACACAACCACTATTCCGCCACGGCAAGGATGGGCACCGCGCAACGGCGAGCCCTGATTGGCTGCCTGCGGCCGTATGCAAGATGGCAGCTGACCACTCAAACTCACCCGCGCGCGGCTGCCGCACCCACACCACACCACACCCATGCCACCACCCTCCCAAGCCACCCCTTGCCCACTTACCACCACCACGCGGCACATATTGAAACCCTGCATCTCGAGAGAGCAAAGAGCAAGAGAGTGGCGCAGATAGAGAAAGAGAGAGGACCAGAGATGGAGCGGCGGCGCGTGCGTGCGGGTGCGTCCCGTGCCTTTGCTCGCCTGGTGGTCCTGACCCGCATTCGGTCGTCCGTTGACGGCCACAATCCCACCCTGGGACTATCTCTCTCTCTGTATGTATGCAATGTATGTGTCTGTCTGTAATGTATGCGTGTGTCTATGCAGGCGTGTGTGTGTGTGTGTGTGTGTGTGCTAACAATAGACACGCGGGCAAAACCCCCGCTCAACACACACGCTCTCTATCTCTCCGCGTCTCGTCATGCCAAGCAGGCAAATACGACCGCCCATCCAACGTCCTGTTGGCCCACCACCAACACGAGTGCCTCTGATCTCGCTCTCTCTTTCTCTCTTTCTCTCTCTCTCTCTGTTTTCCCCATCATGATTCAACGAGGTATTGCCGTGCAGCGCACATGGTGGCGAGATAGCTGGCCACCCCCTCCTTCTTGGGTCCCCGCTCCTCCTCCATCTTCCCATTCCTTGAATCAAGCCAGGCAGCAGCATTTTGACGATATGCCGGTGGGCACAAGGAGCGTCATAAGGACAAAATGATGGGAAGGAAACCCTGCTGTGTGTGTGTGTGTTATGTGCGTGTCGCCATGGAATTTACTTTGTTGTTTTGCGTTTAGATCAGAACCAAGGACGATCTTCACAAATGTTCACCCTCGTGCGGTTCGATTAAGTCGATTGCATCAAAGGCTATCCGCCATACAGTTTGGGCGCGAAGCGCCATCATCGCCAGTAACGCCTGCAACCAAAGACAAAGGAACACACACAAATCCGCAAGCCAAAGCCTAGTGCTTACATGCACCGTGCCTCCAAAAAGGGTCGTTGTTCCTGTTAAGGAAGCATCGTGGCCCATTTACATCCGACTCCGAAACCCTGCTGGAACCCTGAAACAACACAACGACGTCACCGATCGGCTGTCGCTTCTGCATAGTGGCCGAGCTCCCACCCCCACCACGGCCTGTCCACGGCCCATCCACACCACTTCACGGATCCCTTGGGGGCACTCGCCGACGAGCCCGACCTCTTGACTACTTGAACGCCCCTGCCTTGTTTTTCCTTTACACCGCACTCTCCAGTCCAGAACTACTACCCGTGCAAACGTCTTCACTCTCGATGGCCGCGGTCCACATAGTGGGCTCCGCTGTACACCTGACCATGATGCTGGTGCCCGCCATATGCCGCAGCTCCACTCCCGGAAGCAGCCCCGTAGCCACCAGGCACTCCCGCGTCCCAGCGGCCGTGCAGCTGCGGCGGCATCCCGTATTGATGTGGGGCCTGTTGCTGCTGCTGCTGATGCCTGGGGTCAGCTACCCCTCCCCCATGTGGTTGGAGTCCTGGTATCCGACCGATGCCTGCCTGCTGTGGCGACATGGGCTTGATGGTCGGTGAGAGCGCCCGGCTCGATGGGTAGCCGCCCCAGCCAGATGCGCCGCCCGATAACGAACGGGGTGATGGCATGGTAGGATGCGTCTCTGCTGCGGAGTAGTTGTTTTCCGGCAGGCTTGGGGTGTGCGAGGTCTGATACAGCCCAGGGCTGGCGTTGCTGATGGGAGTCAGAAGCGCTGGCGTGGCGCCAGTCGGCATTGTTGTAGACGAGGGGGAGGCGGACTTTTGGACAGGGTTAGCCAGCGATACAATCAGAATCTTCCAGACACGGGGACTTACGTATTTCGAGATGATCTTCTTCAATGCCTGGGACAAAATCTTCCACGGGAAGACCTTGACATCCTTCTCAATGTTCCTCGGCTTCGGGTTGGGGAAGGCCATGATGATCTTGAAGAACTCTTCACTGTCCGCCTTTGCCTTGCTGACAGTGGCAGGGCGGAACCCTTCGAGGTTGCGTCGGATCCGGTTCTTCTCTTCCACGGTGAACCGAGCTGGCGCGGCGACCAGCTGCTCTAGCAAGGAGATGGTGTCCACGCTGGTGACATAGCACTCGTCCTTCTCTTGCCAGTAGATGCAACTTATGCAGATGCTGTTCGGGGGCCGCTCGCTGACGGTCACTGGCCGGAAATTCGTGATCAGAGTCGAACCCTTTTGCTGCTTCGTGAACAAAACGATCCGACGCCGGTTTGTCCATTCTTCAGTCGTCCAGCCCCGCGCCATCGAGTCAAGGTCGCCTTGGATCTTCAGGACGGCCTTGTTTGAGTAGAGGGCATATGGGTTACCGTACGCGCCCGTACTTGAAGATCCAGATGACTGTAATGTGCTTGTCCGCACAAGCTGGGGAGTCGTGGATGTAGGCATAGGCAGCGAAGTGATGCTGGGACGCGTGATGGTGGTGTGGTTGATGACGGGACTCCTGGACTCCAATGATGATCCGTACGGGCTCCAAGAGGGTGTCTTGAGCGGAGGCGGTATCCGAGGATACTCGCCACCCATGTATGTCAGTCGCTGATACGGAGCGGCCATGCTGCTGTGAACAAGGTCGCCGTTATACCCCCCAACGACTCCTTGCTGGTCCGGATGAGGGTATCCGAATGCGCCTGTCGAGTTGTCGCTGACGTGCTCCTGCCCGTGCTTTTGGTGCTCCTCCCTGCCACCAGGTGACTTAGACCCCTTCCTGTGCGAAACTCCGTCGTCATGCGGGCTGCTCACAGCACCGATGCTGTGCTCAATTGTGAATGTGCCGATTTCGACCGTTGCCATTGTGTGACCCTCAGGGCTGTCTACTGAAAGGGACAGCGGCACAGTGACACTGTCGCTCCTCGTGAGGTGATGGTGCGGTACCTGTCCGCTCACAGCATAAAGGTGCCCAGAACCGTCGCTCGCCTCGCGGATAGCGTGAGCTGGGACACGATGGTCTCCAAACGCGAGATAGAAGTGACTCGTGACCTCGAGCAAATCATACAAGGCTGATATCTTGACGTTGATCTTCGTGCCCGCTGCACCACTGCTCGGCACGCAAGAGATCACTGTCGGCAAAGCTACGTGGCCAATATATGGCGCTGCAGCACTGTTCTCTGCGAACGCCATATGGCTGAGCTGTGACGCTGCATTGTCGGCCTGGGCTCCATGGAATTGATGTGGAGGGTACTGGTACTGAGTATCTTGATACGTCCTCGCGGAGTCGAAAGCTGACATGGAGTGTTAGTCTATATTCGTTTGCTTAATTTCACGAGATCACTGCCAAGAGTCTGATCTCGTTGAAGGGCTGCACGCACAATGCATCTGGGGCAACTGAGGTTTTGCGTATGCCGCCATGGACAGGAGACCAGTAGGGGACTCCCCTCGTCGGTCTCCGCCGTTTGCTCTGGCTGCAGCTTCCTCTTCGTATCGTAACGTCACAGTCTCAGGCGACTCGATGCTGTCAGCGTCGACGATGATGAGCCTGTCTGGTTGATATTGGGGCTGCAGAACCACGTCAGTCTGGGAGCGTCGAAGATCTGGTGAATGGTGATGGCGGCAGTGGTGGTGGTGGTGGTGTCGATGATGATATTGCTGCTGTCGTTGGGTTTGAGATGGACGTTGGAGGCAGTCTCATCGAGTGACTTACCTCGAACAGCTTATACGTCGAGAAGTCAAATTTCCCGTCAGACATGGGGAACGTCTGCTGTGCAGGGGAACAAGTGTTCCAGAGTGAGAAAATAAAAGAAGACTTGTTTCGGGAATGGTGGTGCTAAAGAGTGCAGAGTCGTCTTGGGTGCGGGTGTCAGTGATAAGTACGTTCCAGAGCATGGGGTGATCTAGGGATGGGGTGGCGTACTGCGTTGATTGGTGTCTTATGTGCAATCGCTGGTTTGAGTGGATGGCCAGTTGCTTTTGGCTTCTGAGTGGTGAAACATGTGCTCAAGTGGCCCGTAGATGTGCGCTGGGGTTCAGTGCAGCCGAGCGAGGAGGAGAGACAGAGTACCCTGATGTTTCTCGTTCTTCTCTTGGATCGCCTATTACTTCCAGGATATGCGCTGTGAGGAAGCAGCACAAGAGAATCCTAATGATGGTGTTGTGTGGTGCATGAGGATGATTGAAGCATAGATTTTGGGTTGGCAGGACGTGCAGACACTTACAAGTGGCAGAGCTGTTGAGTGCCAGTCTTCTGTAGTGTAGAAAGTGAAAAGTAGATGATGTTTCTTATGCAGCTTTCCGTGCGTGTTCTAATCGAGAGGCATGCTTGTTAGCAGAGGGTTCGCGGCTCTGCACGAGCATATGGGTGGCTGACAAGGATCTCTTGATCACGTTCGTTTGACGGCGGGAGGCGACTGAGAGAAACCGGAGCGGGTGATTTGAAGCTCGCGGGCGCCTTGGTACCGCGGTGAGATTGCAGCCGACGTACTGGTGAATGCTGTGGGAGATTGCTCAAGAATGAATGTGAGACGTGATCACCCAGGCTGGAACAAGATGGACAACGAAGACTTAAAAGGCTCCAGCGGAGGAAAAGGACAGCTGGAGCCATGTAGCGTTTTGCGGGCGTGGGCGGCATTCATGAGTGTTGGGGAGTGGGAGTGGGAGGGTGTTCGTATGCCGAATTCCAGGGTGTGGTCAATAGCTGGACCACATGGTGTCTGGTGTCAAGGCCTCAAAGTACCTTTGACATGGGCTTTGTTTTTTCTTTGGACCGGGTGCACTTGTCCAGAGCCTCCACTCTTGCTTGCTTTTGCCATGTCCCTCCTCTGGGATGCCAGGTACCCTCACGGCTGTTGTGACGTGGGCCCCGCAGAGACCACTTGCACAGGCGACTGGCCCTCTCAGATAGATTGGTTGGACAGTGACTGATATCCCTCAATGTATGCTGAAGGCGGTTTGGGTGCCGCTTCACTACTCTGTCCGAGCATCACGCGGGATCAAGACCGTGGCAGGCATCCACCCCAACTGCTTTCTTACCCCAGCAGGAGGAGCGTATAGCAGTCTTCAGGGAGATCATGGTTCAGTGGCTGTGATTTCATCCAGACATGGGCATCGAGCAGAGCAGACCGACCACGGAGTGTCGAAGGGGCGTCACCTCATCCGGAGTATCTGGAGCGGCACCGAAGAGTGGCCCCAGCACAGCCTGAGGGCTGGCTACAGAAACACCCGGAAGGCTGGGGGGTGAAGACGGCTAGGATCTGTGACGTGCAGGCCACGGGGACGGCTAACGGAGCAGGGGGGGCACGCGCAGGCAAGGAGTGCCAGGGATAAGCTGGCCCCAGATCGGACTTACCCTGCTGGACCTAGGTAGGCCTGGGAAGGGCCCACATACCACCCTTGTACCCTTACGATCGACGTCGACAGTCTCTCGTGGACGCTTGCCACGGCTGTCTGCGGATCCTGCCTCGAATGCCCCAAGGCCGTCGGCACGCCTGTCCACAGGGACCTGCTTCTACGGCAAGACTCAAGGCGCTGCTCTTGCGTAGCGTCCTAAGAAGCCGGGTGCTGTGCCTGTGCGTACGTGCCGTGAGTGAATAGGGATTTCTCAAGGTTTCCGATGTTCCGCTTGAGAAAATTAGAACCATTGGCCGAGTGTCATTCGTCGTCGTCGTCGTGGAGCGAAGGGACGAGCGGTGCAGGGAGAGTGTCTGCCGGCTGTCAGCTATCTCTTGGGTTGCGGAAAGCGCATGTACGAATGCGGCAGTCTGCATGCACGAGGTCGCGCGTCTGTGCAAGTCATTGGTCAGCTGCCATAGCAAGTGCGGCGCCGATTGGGCAGATCTGCACGAGGATGGTGATGCCCACACCACCAGCAAAGCCATGGAGTGAGGGATGGCCCCGGGCCCATGTGCGGCAGTAGTTGTCCTGTTGCTTGCTCGTCGACGATGTGCCGAGTCCTGGCCCAGCGACGACATCCGGGTGCAGTACATTCGGTGGCTGTCGAATTGCCCCTGCCCCGCCACCCGCCATCCCCGTCCTTGCGTGGGAATAGTGCCGCTAGCTGGTGCCGGCGCGTGCTGGCTGCTTAGCACCAGATCGATGGATGACAGTGGCGCGTGGATCCACTTGCTCCTGGGATCTTGGCGAGGGCGACGCCCCAAGTTGAATCTGGCAGGTGGGTACCAGAAGCAATGCGTCGTGCTGAGGGCCACGAGCCGCCAGAAGAACCTTACTCTGTTGACATGGCCTTGTCCTCTGTAAACTACAGCCACTGGCTCGGCCTCGTTGTGCTGTGCGGGCATGGGCAGAGTCGTTGGGCGCTCGGTTCGAAATGCACAAGGCCTGGCTCCATTTGTCATGCTGGTGGCACTTCCAGCCGCCCACCAGCTGTGGCCCTGGAATGCTGCCACCTGTGGTATCCTCACTGGCTGGCGGCGGCTTTGGGCGGCTTATCAAGTCTGGAATGTCAAGCTGACTTACAAGAATGGCGGGAGGGAACAGTCGACCAGGCTGATCTAACCACAATTCGCTGGCGAGCCAGTGCCAGCCAAGCAGAAGGTTACAGATGCGGACCCGCCGTCCAATTTCGGCAAGAAGCGTTGAACCTTGGATCGTCGTGGTCGTCGTCGTGGTCGGCACAGCTTTCGGCAGCAAAATCCTCGTGGCGGTGATATTGCTTGCAAATTTCGGTCCAGCAGGAGATTCAATATTGCATGCGATGTCACGTCCCAGGCAAGGCCTCGCCCTTGCGTTATATAGTTCAGGTAGGTGTGTGCGGTACTGTGGTCCCTGTTCGGTGCAACATGGAGGGCCAGCGCCGGATTCTGGAAGCGGGTTTCGGGCAAGGACGGACTGCGGAGGACCCGGGGGTTTGGGGAGGGACGAACCGCGTGTGACAGACGCTGGCAGGCACAAGGCCGCCCGGCCAGGGTCAGGAATCAAACATGACGATGCGGCGGGCAGCCCGCAACGGCAAGACGGCCCAGGGCTGGGGGACGACAGGACAGGCTGGGAGGGCGGCGCGGGCATGCTGGCTGGCGGGCATTTCGTAGCTGCTGTCGGTCGCACAGACAACGTCGGGTAGAGGCTGGTCAGACTCGAGCGTGGGATGATGGGATCGTGGGCGGCGTCACGTTGTGCTCTCGCGCGAGAAGGGGGAATCGACGCACACAGAGCAGGGAGGGGCGAGCCATCGAATTGTGGGCATGCAGGGCCAGTCAGTGAGCACCTGCCTGACTGCCTCAGGTGCTTGCCTGCCTTGCACCTGCACGCCCTCCCTCCCTCCCTCTCTGCCTGACCCTACCCTGAGGAACCCACCACGCCCACCCCTCACCTCTCCCTTGACACCGTCCCCGTGGCTTCGCACCACCACCCATCCCCACCCACGACCCGCCATCACCAGCAGGTGCTGCCTGTACACACGCGATGCGTCTCTACGGCCGTACATCGCCTGTCCCCAGTGATAACCACAAGTGACGCGCTGACCCCCAGCCGTCCACAGGCCGACAGCATGCCTCTCTGCTTGCGTCTGGGCCTCGCTGCTCCTAGCCTTGACCGCCATCACCTGCTGTCGCCCCTTCATGCAGCTGCGGTCCTACCCGACCTGTGCACTCGCTTACAGCACCTCACCTGGCCTTGCCCATCCACGGCCTAGAGCTCCCGACACACCGCCATAGATGCCAGCTCCCCACAGCTTTGTGGACAATGCTTTTTTCTTGCTCGCTGGCTCGCTCGCCACACATCCCAAGGCATGGGTATCAGGTCAACTGTTGGTGAGGCTCAAGAGAGACTGAGTGTCTGGCACAGCCCTCGGCAATAGCAATAATTACCTGGCATGTCAGATGAGTGGCGCGTGCATGACCTGGGCGCAGTGCGTATGGCCAGCACCGTCTGGATTCTTCACGCAGCCCCTGGCCCGAACCAGGCCTGGTGGTGGCAGGGCATGAGACGACTTGTCACATTGGCGACGTTCATGCCAGGTACTGCGATCATGTTCCAGATCTCGCCGGGATCCCTGCGGCAGATCATCCGTACAGCTCCTGGTCCACGGCGGTAGACGTTGGCCCAGTGCCGGATCATTGCCATCGTTCGAATGTGTGGCTGCTGTGGCTATCGCCATCCTCTCCAGTCGTCCACCTAGTACGCATGCATGTGCCACGACAGCACTAGAAGTCAGCACCCATTTCCGGATATTCCCACCATTCGTCGAGGCCGGGACCAGTGTCCCCCAGTGCTTCCAGCAGCGCAACAAAAAGAAAGCTAGGCTTGGCTTGCATTGCCTGTCCGGCAAGACGGCGCCAATCCTGCAGCCACCGCCGGAACGGGACAGTGGAGTCGTCCTCGACAACCTTGCCCTCGGCTTCAGGCGCCAGAGACCATTGGGTCGAGTGTGGAGCAACCCCGTTCCCTTCGTCGCTAACTTTTAAGTTGCTTTAGTGCCCGTACTTAGCTCGATCCCAATCCACGATGCTCTGCCGACTCCACCAGTCCTGAATGAGCCAATTGCGCCGCTCTACTCGGACTTCCAACTTGCAGCCCACGAAGGAGTCGGTTGATTGTTGATGCAGAGGCAGATCCCACATTTCGTCACTCGCAAAAGCTGACGGTGGCGATCGCGCAACGATTTCCGCCCAGATGCTGCGAGTAGTCATTGAAGCTTCGCAACCTGCTCCGGATCGGAATCGAGGACGGAGATGCATAGTACGGCCGCCGGCCTACACGGCGACCTGTCTCGAAATCATGTCCCTGCCAACAGGAAGTAGTGATTCAGATTCAGGACCCCTGTATCGTGTTACAGAGATCACGCAGGTAGCCTTGACACGCTGTCGCGGTTCTGTTGCAGTGTTTCCTTGGCCGACTTGGAAGGTCTGCGACTAGTGAATGCCAAAATAGCACCATGCTGTGCTGTGCCCGGCGATCGCGGTTCCCTCCGCACGGCAGATCCCGCTCGGCTATCATCCCAATTGTTTTGTATCACATCAAAGGCCTCGAGCAAATGCCGAAGCGGCCAAATCGATGGTCTGGCAGGATCGCCCGGACGCCATCGAAACGGAAGCCGGTGGCGCATCTGATGGGATAGCGGCCACTTGCACGGGGAGTATGAATGTTGCTGTGGCATTTCTGTGCGCCTGGGGCCGTGGTTTCTTTCACAGCTCTTGACACCACGGAAGACCTCGCTCAACGATGCAGATTGGGCGTGGCCAGCGTGCCAACACGTCGAGCTCGTCGAACAATCCGTCACGTCATTTCTCGTGCTAGCTTGACGGGGTAGGCTCACCGAAGCCAATGTCAGGAATCCCATCCATGTCCGTGGCTCCCACCAGAGAAGTTGGGAAGACTAGTGAAGACGCCCCACATTTATTCAATGGTGCTCGCCTATCGTTGTTTGGACAAGGCCACCGTGACGTGACTGGAGCTTCAAGTGGCTCTCGCGAACACGATTCTTGACGGCCAGGTGATACTTCCTGCATCAGGAGGCCTGTTTTGAGAGCACATACAGTGCCAGGACCTCAGCGCGAGACTCCGCGACTGCGCGCGTGCCGTCTGCCTGGGTGAGACAAGACAGAAGGCTAGTCAGGTCAAGGGGTCCTCCCCGCGATTACGAAAAATGAGGATCTCACTGCCAAGGCGCAAGGATGAGTGACATCCTGCAGGCTCCCGCCGGCGGCGTGCCTCATCTCGGCCTGTGCTGCTTCGATCCTGCCGGTGGCCGTGTCAGCATCGTGCTACAGCCCACCTACCCTCAAGCTACACAGCAGATCACGTCGTCACGCGGTCGGTAACCACCACCGCACGGCGTGAGAGGGTGTGTTCCGGAAGTCACCTCTATAAGGCACAGTCACAGGGCTCCGACAGCACAAGGCTTCTTTGTGGTCGACGATGTGCACCAGATTGCCCATGGGTGTGTCTGGTAGCACTGAAGCTGTCCGCGCCCGGGCTGGCTGGGGATTACGTCCGTAGTCGACGACTTGCACCGTTGCGCAGGCTACAAACGGCTGAAAGACGACACCGAAATCGAGCACTTGCGCCGTGGACCAGGAGTCACGAAGCATGACTAAGCAAAAGAACTATGTCAAGGGCACCTCCATGCTCGACCATGCGCAACCTGGAGCAGATGCTTGGAACAAGCTGATAAGAATCAAGGGCTAAAAGGTAGAATCACAGCTACTAAAGCTCAAAACACGGTTTCGAGCCGGGTTCGCATCACTGGGCAGGAAGGAACCCCAGTAAGTGTGAGATAGAGATGGCGTGAGCAGTAACAGCGGTCTTTGATTCTCATCGTATGGGGAGCTGCCCTCCAGTCGACCATTAGCAATGCCGAGGGCGGCTTGAAATTGAACAAGCTGCACTTAACGCAACACTCTCTCCTTTGCAAACCGTATGTCGCTCAGAGAAAAATAAAAATGCTTAATTTGCCTGTCTGCTGGGGATGGTGTCAAGTGGTTCTTGACTGGAGGAGAATGCTCCTTCGAAATTCCCTAGACTTGTCCAGCAGCGGCACTGGAAGAAGTCGTGGAACGGAGCAATTACCAGAGCCAAAGCCCAAGACGCGATGAAGCGGGTTTCACATAGATGGACTGAAGTGATGCCCCTTGGAGAAAAGATCCGACCGTAGATGACGAGACGCCCTAAAGCCATTGCTGATTTGGGTCCCGAATTTCTGGATACAGTCACAAGGACTGGAAAGTCCCCACAGCTGCATAAGAGGAATGTTACACAGCGATTTGGGGTAATTGGAAGGAAATTCATTGAAAGTCCGAACTCATGGATCTCTACAAAAATCGATCATCTTAGCTCGTTCTCTCTGGCAATGATGTCATCCGAGTGCCGGCCTTCCTTTCCATCTCCTAGAAGCTCGCGAACATCGCCCTCGCGCACATCCGCCAAGTACTTGTCGAATTTCTCCGAGACCCCGATGGTCTTCTTGAGGGATGCGAAGTTCATCTTCTTGTTCCTGAACTCTGCAAGTTGTCTCGCTGTCGTGATGGCGTTGCGAATTTGCCGACCATTCATAGAATAATCAGCGAGATCATCGAGATGAGCTTCAATGTCGTCGAAATCGATCGTGCCATGTTGGCCGAGGCCTTGAAGTCTCCCTAGAAAGTTTCTCCAGATCTGCTTCCGTTGCGCCCTGTCGAGCTTCTTGTATGGCAAGGAGATTTGAATGCGGGACTTGAACGCCTCATCAAACGTGCCAACCCGATTCGTAGTCAGGATCAGAATGCCGTCGTAGTATTCGAGGGCGCGTAGGAACACAGATACCAGAGCGTTGCGGTGGAGATCCTGCAACGTGCGCTGCTCGAGGAACACCTCTGCTTCGTCCAGAAGCATGACACAGTTCCACTTCTTGCCAAGATGGAAAATGGATTCCAAGTAGTTCTCCACCTTTTCGGGCTCGGTGCCGATATCTCCGCACGTGACTGGATAGAGCGGCTTCCGTGCGAGTTCCGCTACAGACTCGGCCGTGAAGGTCTTTCCTGTCCCTGGCGATCCATGCAGAAGCATGATGAGTCCATTTCCTTTGTTCTTGATGAGATCGGTACTAGTCTCGGCGGCCAATTGCTTGCTGACTAGAGCTTCTATCAGCTCCTTCATATCCTCGTCGGCAACCAGGTGGCTGAAAGCTTCATCATTCCAGACTACGTCACGGATCTTGTCGACCTCGATCTCCTCTGGATATCTAGCAATCAGTTACGCATTCAGAATATCTCAATACTTAGGCACAACGTACTCCATTTCTTGCGACGAAAATCGAATCCAGGAATGACGGCCGGGAATAAGAAAATGTCTGGTTCTTCTGGGTCACAATCGTTATCGGGTAAGCTTGAGTCTTTGTAATAATTTTTTCCAGGTAGGAAGATGGTCTTTGTGTACGAGTTATCGGGATGGAGTTCCTTGTATGTCTCGAAATCGACCATAAATCGTTCTCCTTCCTGTGACTGTTGGACAACATTTGCTTAGCAAAGGAATTTATGATGCAGATAAAAATGTATTATTTGCGAGGGCCACACCCTTGTTGATATGGCGAGGGACTCACATCTGACTGTTCCTGGCAAGACACAAATCTCTGCTGCCGGCATTTCCAGTATGTGCGTCCGCGACGCGATAGTCGCTCACGCGTCCCTGGCTCGGCGAAGTCCAGTGGAAAAAGCTTCAAGCTTTTAATGTCCACTTCACCGTCATTTGGAATATCGATGACGTGTCGTTCGAAGTTACGTCGGAACAGTCCGTCGAACACGATAGATCGAGTATCGACGGAGAGCGAGGCAGTGTTGTCCTTCTCTTGTACGGATAGTGTACAACCGATGGCGAGACAACCAAGAGTGAGAGGCCCAACTCTGCGGAGCAGTACAGTTCCAGGCCTCACAAGATACTCCAAGGACCATTGAGAAACCTTACCCTCGGCGAACTGGTCGATTACCCTGTCGTACAGCTCCCCATAGATTTCTTCGATTGTGTTGATGAGCTGAGACACCAAACGAGCTTGATATGGTCCGATAAGGGTCAAGTCATATGATTTCCTGCAATGGAACCACCAAGTGAACGGTCCATGCATTAGATCGCTCTCATCAAATCCCGGGAAGTCTGCGCGGAATGTTGGGAGTGAGTCGAGAAATGTCGTCATTGCCGAGACTGTGTCCCTGAAGACCAGCTGAACATGGTATTCAGACGGCTCAGGCGGGGGGAGGGCGACGTTTGCCTTGATCTGTTCATCCACAGCCTTGCGCTGGTGGTCCACATTGTATTCCTTGTATACTATGTAAGCAACGTCTCCAGCCTTCTCCACATACCTCTGGGGATCTTGGATGAAGTGGGAGAATTTGAGTTGAAGCGCGCCATCATGTTGATTCCAAACTGGAGGGGAAAGAAAGACAGCTGAATTATCGCTATCCAGGCGGTGGAATATCTGCACTCGACGCGCATCCATAGTCGCCTTCTCTTCCACTTTGCCGTGATTGCGCAATTCGCTGAGTTCTAGCTCGAGTTGACGAATCTTCTCTGACTGTTCTTGTAAGTGAATCTGCGCTTCTACGCATCGAGTACCACAAAGTGTCGCGTTTGTCCGTCGACCGGGAGCGTCGAGATCATTCATATAATACACAGAATTCGTATCAGCGCGAGTTTCGCTTGAGAATGCAGGTCCCACATTTGAGTTGACTACTCGAGCTATGTCCTTGTATCTCTTGAGCGGTTGCGTGGTTGACTGACTTAGGCCTGGAGTGTCGTATATATCCTGGCTTGCGGTGTGTTGCAGACGTTTGTCCTTGCGCCTGCTGCCATCGGAAGGATATCTCCCTGTTGAGGCAAGTCTCTCGTGGAGCTGAGGGTCGCTCTTGAAGTGAAGCGTTGACCTTGTTGGACCATTTGCCCTGGAAGGCTTCATTGTTGTTGTGGTGGTGATATCCATGCTGTCGCGCTCCTGGCTGGCTATCATATGGCGCCGCACAGTTCGCGGTGGCATATCCTCCCACGCTTTCGGGTCATCATTGCGTGCGCGTCCGAGCGCACGAGATGTGTTGCTCTGTGTAGCGCCAAGCTGGTCTACAAGCTGGTCTGCAGTAGCGCCAAGCTGGTCTGCAAGCTGGTTTGCAATAGTGGGAAGAGGAGGCGGCCTAGAAGGCGAGCCGTGGGCTTGGTGCTGCAGATACAGTACGTTCTGGTTGCCGCTCCCAGCATCAGCAATCCCGTCTTGGGAGATTGTGTAGTGGGTGCTATTGGCCTGGCTATTGACCTGGCTATCGGCCTGGCTATACTGAACCGATGAACGCTGGGGCGCACGGCCAAATATTGGAGCCGAGTCGTCCGAGTCGTCCGAGTCGCTCGTGTAGGTGATGACTGTGCGGGTGCTCATTGTGAGGGCGAACGGAACTCGGCGGCGCAAGTAAAAGAGTGCGCGGGAAGCAAAGTCAGCTTTGGTGCGAGCCTGGTCGGGCAACTGGAGGGTCAAGTACAAGCTGCCACGTCAGGCCTCAAGTTCTCGCACGTGATAACAGCTGCGGGTTGGGTGCAGCTGATACCAGGAGCCTGTCTTCTGCAGGTGCAGGGGCTCGCTGATGTGCCGCATGTTGGCTGTCCCGCAACACAGCCTCTGCACAGCCGCATCCCACGCCAGTAGAAGTCTTGAGATATTTCACGTACACCGCCCATCAAAGGAACCCGCCTGAAGACGACACGCCCGCAATGTCATTATCATCGGGAACTTGCAGCGTAGCTAAGGACGCCTTCACCTCCGCGAAGAAAGTCTTCCTGACACACACACTCCCCAGTTCGGGGTCTCTAACCGCGGTGGAAGATTCTGCCACTATTGAGGACTTGCAAGATGCCATCCGCCAATCTCTATCACTCTACGAAGCTCGTGTCGCGTCATCAGGCAAGACTCGGAAATGGTTGCAAAAGGCGTCGGAAGGCATCTGCCACTACGGCACCATTCTCGATGTCTTCGTTCAGCATCATCCAGAGTACGTCGCGCTTGTCTGGGGCGCGATGAAGTTTCTGTTCATCGTAAGCCTGACCCGAGCCGGGAATTGATGGTCACATGTTGACCACTCATGGAATCAAAGTCTGTGCAGAATCACGGTCAAACCCTCAAAATCCTTGCCAAGTCGATCGCCAAGGTGGCCCAGCATCTCCCTAACATCCAGAGACTCTCGGCTCTGTACCCGTCAAACGAGATGAAAGTTGCTGTCGAGACACTTTATTCGCATCTCCTAGACTTCCTACTCAAAGCGCATAGGTGGCTCACCGAGTCCAGGTTAAAGCACTTCTACCACAGTCTGACTCAGCCGCCAGAGTTGGTATATGGGGATGTTCTGGACAACATCAGCCAGGCAACGGCCAGAATCACCGAGCTGGCATCTGTTGAGTCGCAAACCGAGATTCGAAACATGCATGATGACCACAGCCGGGACCTGAAGGAGATTGCCTCTACAGTCAAGGCTGCTGAAGTAGCCAGAAAGAACGACATCCAGCTTCTGGAACGGTCTGTGTCGAGATTGCACGTATCTCAGACACACCAAAGTGCACAACTAACTCGCATCGTGATGATGCTGGCCGGGACAGACTCTACCATCCATGATGTTGTCACGAAAGTCGAGAGTACGTTGTCGTGCTACTCTCCCTTGCCGGAAGCCCGTGGGCCCACTGACACCGTGCTAGACTTTCACGCTATTCAGACAAGTGCTGTTCTGAATACCAACCTGCATTTGACGCAACTGGAACAGCTCCACGTGTTGTCAAACATGTCACTTTCTTTCGAAGACCCAGACAAGTGCCTGCAACGTCACTCTTCTCTTCGTCGACGTAGAGGCAAAGCTAACGGGGGCAAGCCGGTCGTCAACAATATCTGGTTATCCCCCAAACTCCGGAGAGCAGCAGGTTCCCCGTCATCAACAATCACCACTGTCCGTGGCCCATTCAGCACACGTTGGGCAATCCAAGATTTTGGAGTTGACTTGATCCAGGCGATATCTTCACCTTCGAGTGCAGCTAGGGTGCTCTGGGCCCTCACAGATGCAGCAAATGACAGCAGGAGCCGGGAAACGGTATGGAATACTGCCAATCTCATGAAGGTCCTCACGTGGCAAGCCCTGCGAGTTGTTGCTGCCAATACCAACACCGCCTACACGGCGAGAGAAGCGCTGCCTACTGAGAAGGACATGTCGATGCGCTACTCGCGGTTTTACACAACCCGCGCGGAGCAAGACTGGGTCACATTTTTCGCAGAAGTGGTTTCGAAGCTAGAACAGAAGCAAGTCTTTGTCGTCATAGACCTCGCAGCAGTTGAATCCTGCTGGCGTGATGGTGATGCCGGCAGGCGCGATGGGCAACAATTTGATCTGATCCGTGCGCTGGGCCAGCTAACAAGGGAGATCACACGCCCGATTCTGAAGATTGTCCTGCTCGTCTATGATGCGACGTGGTCAGGCCACGTCTTTGAGACTGCAGCAGGGTCGATTGTCCAGGTCAGGATGGAGAAGGCAAGGCCCATAACAATGCTTAGTCGGGGAATGCCGCAGGGCAAGGTCAGACGGGTTCTTGGTGCACGGTGATCATTCTTCAATCACAGTCATTCAGGGTTGCGTTATTTGTAGTCAATTCGACAATAGTCTAGGACGTCTCCCCAACTTCAATCTTCTGACTACTAGGCAATGCGGAACGATTGCGGCCCTTCTTCTGAACAAGTGCCTTTGGTCGAGTTGAATCATACCAGGCTGTACCAGGCCCATTGCGACGGGGCTGGCCCATGGACTCATGGACTCTGCTCGGCGCGTATAGTGGCGCTCTGCGGCAAAGCCTCAGGCAGTCGATCGGCGAGAGAACGGTGAACAGCCAGCCAAGTTTTTCTTGGCGAAGCTCAGCGAGTTCCACAAGCCTTGTTTGGGGAAAGTTGAGATCAACCGAAACGCAACGAGACCAAGTGGCGACGCTAACGCTAGAACCGGCACCAACTTATTCCGCCTCGTGGCTTGTAGCGGCCCGGCGATGATTCCAAACGGGCGATTTTGGTGATTTTGATTGGAAACTTCGGCACCACAAGCTTGCCTTCCTGCGTAATTACTTCTAGCAGCACGTGCTTCACTCACAAGCTCTGCCTGCCCAACAGATGACGTTATTCTCGGCAGTTTAGTTCGGGCACTTGCTGTACAACCCTGCAACCACCTCGTCAAGTGACCCATGCAGGAAAGAACGCACCGCACGGCTTGGCACGACGCTGTCAATCTATATGTAGAAACGATCTGATCTCGGATGGACTCCATGAAGAATCCTTACCTCACCTTAGATTATGGATGAAACCACAAAAGCAAGTGACAGCTTGACTTGCAGGGGTCAGCGTAGTCGAAGAGCAGACTTGGCAGGGCAAAACACGAGCGGTGCTCCGCAATGGCATTGCCGGACAGGGGTCCCGCAACGGCGCGCTCATTTCCCGCCTTGCACGCGATACGAGGACTTATGGAGAACCTTGGAACGCGGGGCCGTGCGATGTGACGATCACTCAAAATCTAGCAAGTGACAAGGAATGTTATAATGCGCATGTTATCCAGCCTGTCCACAAGACCACGATGGACGGCTTGGAGGACCAGCCGCATAGGACGCTCGTCACCTTGACGGGTTAGCAGCAATACACTCATTTTCCAACATAACCGAACCCGCAAGACGAGTTGTGTGTCCAAGATGCGCGGCCTGCTCCAGAACACGCTCCTCGCCGCCGCCGCCACGGCGTTGCTGGCCGGCACTATCCCAGTCACTGCCGCGACACAGCCAAAGCGGTTTATTTTCGAGCTCAAGACGCTCGGCTGCAGCGACCGCGTGAGAGCCCGCGTCGAGGCAGCACCCAACCTGCGCATCGCCAAGGCCTTTGAGCACGAGCTGTTCCCTGCGCTGAGCATCGAATGCGACGACGGCGACGACGGCGACGACGACGACAACACCACCAACCACGTGCACGGAGGCTGCGACTCGGATGTGGTCAGCAGGCTGCTCGACGGGGGCGAGGACGCGAGCTCGGCGCCCGTCGCGGCCGTGTACGTGCCCAGCGGCAACATGACGCTGCGGATTCCCGAGGTGCGCGAGGAGGCCGAGTTCGCGGACGACGCGGCGGCCCTGAACTACACGTTCCACGGCATCACGGGCGTCGCGGACTTGCACGCCCAGGGCATCCTTGGAAAGGGCGCAGTGGTGGCAATCGTGGACAGTGGTGTCGAGTGGACGCACGAGGCGCTTGGTGGTGGCATCGGCGAGGGTTTCACGGTGGCGGGCGGGTACGATCTCGTTGGCGATGGAGACTGGCCCACGACTGCTGCAGAGCCTGACGACCTTCCCAACGACCAGTTTGGCCATGGGACGCATGTTGCCGGCATCGTGGCGGGCAAGAGCAAGCAGTTTGTCGGCGTCGCGCCGGAGGCCAGGATCCTCGCGTACAAAGTCATTGGCGAGAGCGGCCAGAGCAACGAGGAGATGGTCATCGAGGGGTTCCTGCGGGCGTTTGATTCCGGGGCGGACATCATCACGGCTTCGGTGGGTGAGAAGGGCGGGTTCACCAACAACGCGTGGGCGGTTGTCGCCTCGCGGATGGTTGATCGAGGTGTCTTCGTTACCATTGCGGGCGGCAACGACGGCGAGGAGGGCGCGTTCCTCATGTCCAACGGCGCGGCCGGGCAGCACGTCATGACGGTGGCCGCCTCGGCGCCGGACGTAGTACCTGCGTACCCCTTCACCGCAGCTTTTCTGTCTGCGTCTTCCGAGAATAAGACCGAGGAGCTTGGGTACAGCCCTGCACCAGGGCAAAACGGTCCGGACCTGTTCCCAAGCAGCATCGCCGGGTGGCCGGTGGTTCCACTCAGTCTCGACCCCGGGTCCGGTGACGCGTGCCAGCCCATCGCAACCCCGCCGGTGCTCCCGTCACAGTCCATTCTCCTCGTCCGTGCCGGCGGATGCAGCCTGTACCAGAAACGAAACAATATCGCGCCCCTCAACGCCACATATGTCCTCCTCTACCAGGACGGCCAGAGCCCGTTCATGGCAGTGCCCGCCAACAGTGCCGGTGCCCCCAAGATCGCCACCATCGACGCAAAGGCCGGCGAGGCCATCATCCACACCATTGTCGAGGGGGGAAATGTCACTGTCAGTTTCGATCAGCCCAGTACGCGCTGGGTCGGCATGTACGACGCTGCTAGCGGTCGCCCGGCCGAGTTCACCCAGTGGGGTCCCAACTACGACATGGAGCTCAAGCCAGACATTGCTGCGCCCGGAGCTCGCGTGCTGAGCAGCTACCTGGGTGGCGGATACAAGGTCCTCAGCGGGACGAGTATGGCGACGCCATACGTCGCGGGCGTTGCGGCGCTGTGGGTGGGCCAGCACGGCGGCAGAAAGAGCGGCAACGTGGACTGGGCAAAGCAGCTTGCGGCGCGGATCATGTCGACTGCCCACCCGGGACACTGGGTCGACGGGCTGTCTTATGATGTCGTGGACGAATTCCTCGCGCCGCCGGTGCAGATGGGCGCCGGCAACATCCACGCGGGCCGCCTCTTCGCAGCCACCACGTCGCTCGACTTTGCCGGCCGCAAGTTTGCCCTCAACGACACGGCCAACTTCCAGGCAACACACTCTGTCCAGCTCACAAACTCGGGCAGCGCAGCTGAGACGTATACATTCTCTCTCGAGCCTGCCGCCGCGTTCGACTCGTGGACCCCTGGCACGGGCGATCCCACCCAGCCCGACTTTGGCAAGAACACCTTCAAGGGATACTACGACTTCAAACCACAGACCCTGGATCCAGAGGCGATTCTGCCTCCACCCTTGACCATCGCTGCTGGCCAGACAGCGTCCGCCGAATTCACCTTCTCGCCCCCGACGGCCGGCAACGCGAGCAACATTCCGCTCTACGGCGGACGCGTCGTCATCACCGCGACCAGCACCAACCAGACCTTTGGCATCCCGTACTTTGGCGCAGCGGCGGACATCAAGTCCGTCGTGCCGGGCTGCTTCGCGTACGCGGCGGGGATGCCCAGTATGGTCTCCGGCGCCGACGGGGACGGCGGCACCCCAATCAGCGTCAAGAGCAACTTCACGTTCGACCTGGCGCGCAACTTGCAGGACTTTCCGATGCTCGTGGTCTCCTCGACGTACGGCGCCGCCGAGATCCGGCTCGACCTGTACGACGCCGAGATGTATCCCGACATGGCGACAGACGTGGACTGGGAGTACCCTCCCGTGCCGGGCAGGAGGGGGTATGTCGGGTCCGCGACGTACTGGGCGCGCTCGAAGGAGTCGTCGTACTTTGACCCGTCAAGGGACGATGAGAACGACGTGCTGCCGTTTCCAGTTCTCATGCTGCCCAGGGATATGTACAAGCAGTACATGTGGCTGGGTCGGTTGGCCGACGGGACCAAGATCCAGCCGGGGAAGTACCGCATGCGGGTGGCAGCGCTGCGGCCGTTTGGGATGAGGGACGTTGCGGCGGACTGGGATGTATGGAAAGCTCCCGTGATCGAGGTGCTGCCCTTGGAGTAGGGTGTGGCAGCGAGTGCCAATGGTGTACCGAGTCGTTCTATTGTAAAACGATATAATTTTTATAATAAGAAGGAACAGGTTCATGATTGCGAAAGATCATCTCATGATGACTCCTTGTCATCACATGGGCAGTGGATGGCCTCCAGCCTCACCACATTGTTGTCACCTAGTTAACTTCTTTCATATGTCTTGCTGAGCAGTGGTCCGAGAGGTATTATGCATGTTCAGGCGGCTTGTAGAAGCGCTCTGTTACCCCCTCGGATCGTATGGGCAAATCGATGCGAGTACCGAGGCAGCCAAAACCAACACCAATCCGTATGAGTTTTCAAGATGGAAAAGATAAGGATTGGATTGATCGAAAAAGAAGAGGAGCTGTCTAATGCTATTAATTGAAACGAAAATGTTCGTACACGATGGCTTCATAGCCAACCTGCATGGCCGGCATGATCCCGAACCTCAGCATAAGTAGCGTAAGCAAACGACTGTCGCCCGCGTCGCACGCCGCATCATCATCTTATAAAGAATAACTCGGCAGCTCCCAATCCTTGATCTCCTCCTGAATGACAACCATGCTTAACACGTCGATCCCAAAGAAGGCCGCCGCTGCGAGGAACCAGTACATGAAGGCGATGCCCACCCGCGTCTCGAGCAACCCGTCGTACCAGGTTGGCGTCTCGGGAAGACCGCGCTGCACCTGATTCATGGCGGGGCGGAATTTGCGCTCGTACGCCTCGAGGGCGGCGTCGAGCTTGGCATTCTCCTCGGCACCGGTAGTCGCAGGAGCCTTGCCACTACTGCCTCGCGCAGCCTGACCAATCTCACCCGCGAGGATCCAGGCACCCATCACGGCGGACGTTGTGCCCATGCCCGTCTTGGCCGAGGGGCAGTACCCGGCATCGCCGATGAGGGCAACCCTTCCGCGAGAGCCCTGCGACGAGATCGAGGTCCACCGCTCACACCGGACGACACCCAGGCGCTCCAAGTAAAAGTCGTCCGAATCTCTCAAGCCCTGCAGGACTTCGCCAAGCCGGTGAAAGGAAGAGTCCTTGAAGATCTCGGCGAGCGCCGCCTTTTGGCCCGCGACGTCGCGCTCCGTGTGTGCCTTCAGGAGCGGGCTATCGCCAGAGCGGGATGTGCAGCCTAGGTACACCATGTCTCGATCACCGTCCTTGTCTCCACGAATCATTATCGAGCTACCGGGCCAAAAGTGGGCGACTGCCACCGAGTCGTTTTTGGGGACGGTGCGTTTCATGGTGAAGTAGCCACTATAGTCGCCGCTGTAGGGCAGGAATGCTGGGTCCTCATTGATGCTCAAGGAACGGGATGACGCCCTTTCATCTACTCAAAGTCAGTAACGTTATTGTCTTCCCGTAGAGAGTCCCGGTGCGTTCGAGGCAGGACAAAACAAGTGCGTTCGAGGCAGGACAAAACAAGAAGGGATTTGCTTACTTTCTGTCATCAGCCTGCGCACCTTGGAACCAACCCCGTCGGCGCCGACAACGAGGTCAAAGGTCTCCTGCGTCGTCTTGGTCTTGTCGCTGCTCCCCCCCGGGTTGTGCTTGATTGTGGCGATCACAGCCTTCCTCCCGTCGTCTCCAACCATCTCCGAAAGACCAACCACTTCGCTTCCGAAGCGCCACTGCACACTCCCAGCGGCGCTTTTGCTCGCGGCCTCCTCCGCCGCGTCATGCAGAAGCCGGCATAGATCCCCTCGCATGATCTCGTAGTCCGAGGTGAAACTCTGCAGCTGCTTCTTCTTGTTGCTGCTCTTTCCGTCCGCGCCGCTCCTGCCGCCTCCCGCCGCCTCCGCCGCTCTGTTTGCCGGGAAGAACGCCCATCGCTTGCCCTTGGCATTCACAAACTCAAACCCATCCTCTTTCGCGGCACGGGCGCGGAACTTGTCGTCGAGTCCCATCTTGCGGATGATCTCAATCCCGTGACTGCGCAGGTCGATCTGTAGTCCCGTCGTGCGTAGCTCGGGCCAGCGCTCGACCACAGTGACCGCATGGCCCTGCCGAACGAGTAGAGCTGCCAGGCAGGTTCCCGCCACGCCGGCTCCATTGATAAGGACGTTGAGGGACTTGTGATCGGCCATTGTGAGCCTTATCTTCTGGTGATATGGCCAGATGTACAGTTCTGACTATCAATGGTGTGAAAAGTAGTGGTGACTGTATGGTCGAGAAGTGTTTGAAGTCGTCTGAGAAGGTGTGCGACTGTTGTGATGCTGAAAAAGATCTCTCTACTCGGATGCTCGTCTTGGCAGTAGTCTTATATACAAACCCAACCAACATCATGGCCAGGGCTTTTTTGCAGTCCGGAATCAGCTTAAATCCGGTCACGTCCAACATGAAGTGTAGGACGACAGTTCTCGGCCGAAACGGTACGGCCGCCACATCCTCAAGATGGTCTCCACTCACCTTCTGGGCGCCGCAAATTTGACCCGGGCCGTTCCGCTGTGTTTGGGGCGCGCGCCATGACACGTTATTTCCTTTCCGGCCATATCGGACAATGGAGTTGTCCTTGGGAAATCTGATTACGCCACTGACTTTCATTCGTGGATCATACCCATTCATGCACGTGGGGTGTGACTGGGGGCGCTGCCGGCATAATATCCTTGTTGTACAATCGCATTCCCGAGCCACTTGTCAAGCCATGACGTTTTCTCAGTACAGGAGGCCCTCGAACTCGAAGCCAAGGTCAAGCCCGGGTCCACCATACCAGTCGAGGTCAAATTCCGTCCCGGCGCCAAAGCCGCCACTCGGAAACCCGCCCGCAGCTTGGCCGCCCCCAGCCGCCGCGCTCGCGAGGTTGGCAGCGAACATCTCGTCTCGAAAAGCCGGAGGCGCCCCCGAAGAAGAAGAAGCAACGGGCAAAGGGGCCGCAGCGGCAGGTGGTACGGGGGACACGGCCGCCGTCTCGTGCTCCCATTTCCTCAGAATATCCCGACATACGATCAGGCAGTCCCGGCCCTCCTCGGCCAGGCGACGCGGCGCATCCACCCCGTCCGCCGTCATGCCACTACCGAGCCCCTTTAAGCTTACGCCCGACGCCGAATCTTCTATCGCCGCGGCCTGCGCTAGTGTGAGCCGCTGAAATAGGTAAGCCTTGACGTTTGACTCGCCAGCGTCCCGGATGCGCGCCAGGCATATCTCTCTAGCCCTGCATACCACGTGCTTCAGGAGCGCAATGTGTCGGTCCGTGCTCGGGCGGCCCGAATAAGCCACACTCCCTCCTCCTCGTCCTCCCCCATGCCCAGCACTGCCACCTCCACTGGAAGCGGTACTTGTGCCCGGTGCGCAGGTAATGCTCACATGCGAGAACGCCGGCCCGCGCGGACGGTCCACGCCCGCCTCGCCGTCGTCATCGTCATCGTCTTGATCGTCGTCATTGTCGTCGTCCTGCTGCCCATGCACGGCCCGCACAGCAGAGAGCAGCTCCAGGCACACCACGCTCTGCGCGTTCCGTAGCGTCTCGCGAAACATGCCCCCTGCCGAAGCCAGGAGATGTGCAAATGCGGCCGCACCCTCGTCCTTGTCTGTGCCCTCGTTCTGGTCATGGCCATCATCATCCAAACCCGCGAGACACCCATGAGCTCTGCTGCTGCTGGTGCTGCCGTTGCCACCACCACCGCCGGCGAAAATGACGTCAAACGCAAAGTCGAGCGTCGTGGTCAGGGAGAAATGGAAGATCGGGTTGACGCGGGCGCGGGCGGCGAACGAGCAGTGCAGGTGCAACAGGAACCGGCCCAGGAGGATGCTGAGCATGTTCTGATGAAAGGCGGTCACGCGGGCTGGGGGGTTCCGGTCGTGGTTGGCAGCAACGCCCTCGCGCTGCTGGAACCTGCTCAGCTGGGCGTGGGCGTGGCTCCTGGCCCTCGCCAGGTCGGCGCTCAGCGCGAGGATGTCGGCATAGAAGAGCTCGGATCGCAAGCCGTTGAGGCGCTCGAGGAGCATCAGGCGCAGGGGCAGCGACGCGTACAAGAGCAGCTGGACTGACGTCTGGGTCAGAACCCCCTTGGGTTTCCCGCGTGGCTTGGTCGGCGCGTCGAGGACCAGACCGTCTCGCACGAGGTCCTCGTCGTCGACATTCGCTGGTGGCTCCGTGTCAAAGTCGTCCCAAGTCACGCGGGCCGGCAGGGCCACGTCGAAGGACGTCTGGACCACGAGTTCGAGGACCGTCGCCCAGAGCCGGCGGCGCAGCTCGGCGCGCAGGACCAGCGTGCTGTTGCCGCTCCGGGGTGCCTTGTGCTGCAGCACGAGATGCTTCGGGTCCCGGTGCAGGCCCATCTGCATGGCCGTGTGCAGCAGCGTGCCCGCCGACATCCACACGAGGTCGCCCCCGACCGAGTAGATCTGCCGTGCCAGCAGCGTCAGGCAGTGGATCTGCAGGCCCGACACGTCGAGGCGGTCCTTCTCGACGGGGCCCGCGAGCCAGAGCTGGGCTGCGTGAACCCACCGCTCGGCTCGCATGCGGAACTGGTGGTCCAAGGCCAGCTTGGGGTCCAGGCTTATGCCGAGGGCAATGACGAGGAGGATCTTGAGGCGCAGGCGGTGGTGCTGGCGGCGTTGTGGTGGTGGTGTCTCGGAGCTTGCTCCTCGTTGGTCCTCCGCTTGTCCTTGGCCTTGTGTCCGCCAGAAATGCTCATACTCGGCCCAGAACGTCGGGATATGCAGGATGCGATGGGTCGACTCGAAATTGCGGAAGTAGAGCCTCGCCGCCTCGTCGGCAACCTCGCGGGTTGGCACGGCCAGGTCCATAGGCTGGGAGCCAGGCGGGTTTCTGCTCGGCCGGCCCTGCTTGACGCGCCGCGCAGTCTGCTTGCACTCCCTGAGCAGCGTGCTCATCTCGTCGACCAGGGCCTTTGTTCCATTATCTTGTCGCTCAAAGCGAGGATCTGCTTGCTGGCCAGTGGCGGCGAGGACGCATGACAGGATAAGGCGCAGCTGCCAGCAGCAAGGCAGGTCAGTAACAGCCAACGAGCGCAGATACGATATTCCCCTTTCGTCTGGTTCGACCTCGCCCTCACCCAGACGGGGAGGCGGAACAGGCTTACCGGTGGCGCGGTTGCAAACAAATGCCCCCAAACAGGCATCCGCGTTTTGTCGAGCAGAATCTGGGGACTGCCGGTGCCGTGTTCTCTGACCAGGACCTCCCGATGGGTGGTGGTCTGCAGGCCGTCTGGGTCCACCACGCTCTCCGCGTCGTCCGCCCTTGTAATCAGTTGCGGCCAGATGGGCGGCTGTCCGTCTTCTTCGTCGAGCGTGTCCAATGATGAATGCGTAGCCCCGGCAGGTGCAGTGTCTTTAGGCGTGCCCTGCGGTGTGACGATGTCCAGGACCGAATTTGCATGGGTTGTTGCGGTCGACGCAGGCGTCTTGACGACCCGTTTCCTCTGTGCAGGTGAGAGCTCTGCCTCGCCGATTGCTTGTGGAGTATTGTGCGCAGAATGCTCTCCCGGAGCTCGAAACGTCCTGTAGAAGCATCCAACATTGGCTGCCACGCACTGGGCACATGGGTCCTCGCGACTGCACTTGATCTTGCGGCGGCGGCATTCGAGGCACGTCAAGGCGGCCCTCCGCCTGCGCCGGACCAGCCTGTCCATTTTGGCGGGGCCTGTGTACTCGAAAGTTTAACGCCGCCAGCGTGGTGAGTGCCGAGCGAGGTTGTGCGGAAGATGGTTGAGTGAGTGGCAGGCACAGAGAGGGCAAAACTCCTTGGCGGCATTATAGCTCTCGGCCGTAAGAACGGGGGAGCCCATCCAATCACGGGCAGGGCGGACGAAAGACACCGTGCCCGGCATAGCGTGACTAGTGCTGACCGCTAAACTCACCCGCTCCTGACTCCCAACCACAATGTCATTGGCCGACGATTTCGCCGTCGTCAACCTTCAGGCACCCACTCTGATCTGGTCAACGCGAGACCGACCTCGTCAAGCAAGATGCCATGTCCGATATGTCTCGATTTCCGAGGAACATCCCCGCTCACGCCCCGGGGATCAGGCTTTGTTGGCAAGCGGCACCACGTTAAAGAGGGGCTTACTTGGCCTCAGCTGGAGGCGTCAGCAGCGGGGCCGGCACCGTGTCACTGCTGCGAAGTCCTGGTGCGAGGGTGCCGCGGATGCTTTGAGCAGCACGGGATCAGCACTGACGATATCGTGACGTTCACTGTCCACTTCTACTATCAGGCCTTTGAGGGTCAAGATGAGGCGGAGAGTGCAGACATGGACAAGGAGTTGAGGTTCAGGCGGAAGAATGGCAAGGTCTTTGAGATACAGCTCTTCGCTCACGAGGAAGGCTAGTGATTGTCCTGGCGGGTGTAAAGAGATGAACATGCTTCTCTAACAAACACGTCTGTAGATGGCTATCCAATCCCTGATGCCTGGGAGTCAATCCCCGTCTACGGGCAAACGTCACCCAATACAGGCTCAGCAGAAGCTCTCGACAAAGCCAAAGACTGGCTCGACGAGTGCATAGAGGACGACGACTGCGCCGCCAACACAGACACGCCATTTCCATCTCGCCTGGTCGACGTCGGCCTGAACGACGGCGTCGTCCGCCTTGTCGAGACCAAGGGCCAACACGGACGATACATTTGCCTCAGCCACTGCTGGGGTCTGGCGCAGATCATCACCACGACCATCGCAACATACGAGCAGCGCAGGAAGCTCATCTCTCTGGACGAGCTATCACAAACCTTCCGTGATGCAGTGCTGCTCACCCGCCAGCTCGGCGTGGCATACATCTGGATCGACTCACTGTGCATCATCCAGGACAGCCTGGCGGACTGGCAGATCGAGTCCGCGCAGATGGCATCTATTTACAGCAACGGATACCTGACCCTGGCCGCGACGAAATCCTCCAGCGGCGCCGGTGGTTTCTACACCGACACCCCGACGACCGAGATATCCGGGGCCACCCCGGACGGGGAGGATTACAGCCTGTTCTTCCGGCAGCGCATCGACCACCACCTCGAAGCTGTCAAAGCTGGCACCGAGGACAATCCCAACAATCCCACCACCGCCACTACCGCCACCACTGCGCTTCAGAGCAGCGTGCTGGGCGAGCCGGGCGTTGGCGTCGTCGAGCCGTGGCATTTCACCGGGCACGCGACGGTTGAGCACCACCCGCTGCTGACCCGGGCGTGGGTGTACCAGGAGCGCCTGCTGTCGAAGCGGCTGCTGCACTTTGGCCCTTACGAGCTCTTCTTCGAGTGCGAGGCCGATACGCGCTGCGAGTGCGGGCAGATCCGGTACCACGGGTCCTCAAGGAGCTCGCCGGCCTCGGCGATGAAGCTGCTGTACGCCGACGCGCTGTTTAGCCTGTACGATGATGAGCCGAGGGGTGGCGACGGCGGCATCAGCAGCGGTGGCGATGCAGAAATGAGTAGGAGCGAGACCGGCGGTGTCGAGAAGGACCCGGCGGTTGTTGATCGGGAGCAGGAGATGCGGCGCTGGGCCAGCAAGAACCAGGAGTACATCGCCCGCACGTGGCGGACCATGATCAGCACTTACACGGCGCTGGACATCACCAAGGCGTCGGATCGGCTGCCCGCGATCGGAGGTGTGGCGAGGCAAATGGGCACGCGGCGGTTCAAGCCGCAACAAGCCGGAGCGGGGAAAGATGCCCAGCGAGAAAGTCTGGTCAACGACGACTATCTCGCTGGCCTGTGGCGGGCCACGATGAACGAAGACCTCCTCTGGATCGTGCAGCCTTCGCCGCTGATGAAGAAGCCCCGGCCGGCCCAGCAGGTGCTGCTGCTCCCGCCAAGCACCACCGCCGCGGGTAAGACGACGACGAGCCTACGAAACACCGCGCCAACGTGGTCTTGGGCCAGCGTCGACACGCATGCGTTCTACACGGACGGTTTTGTGTTCTGGGAGCCCGATGTGCTGCTCGATAACTTGCTCAGTCAGTCCTACACTCACTTTAGCTCGGTGGAGAGCTGCTCGGTTATTTCGGCTGCGGTAGACGAGTTCGGCGCGGTTTCTGCCGGGGAGCTCAGAATCAGGGGTCTACTTGCGAAGGGTGTTCTCGAGCGCGAGGCTGTTGATCAGGATGGCCAGAACGCACAACACGGCGGGGAAGATGGACAGGTGCTATATCGACACTTTATTTCATTCGCCCGCGCTGAGGCAACCATGGCGAGGGCGGAGATGGATGCTGATTACGACCTCGATGCCGAAGGACCAGCACGAGTGCTGCCAGGAGCAGAAGTGTATTGTCTGCGGATGAGCGCGGTGTTGGAAGAGTTGACATCAACGCTGATCTCCCTGGTGCTTAGGCGGTGTCCTTGGGATGAGAGCAAGTTTGAGCGGGTTGGCACATTGAGCATCAAGGTCAAAGGCGGCAGCGTTGATCCCTTAGGAAATGGCATTTACGCGGGAGTCAAGGAGGAGGATATCGTGATCGTGTAGACAGACACCTACAGCCGTTCTGATATTAGGGTCTGTAAGATTATCGGGCGTTCTCTGCCTATCATACAATTGCGACCCTATCACACGCCGCACTCCGTGTCCACCACTTTGCGCGAGGCCAGCTGCACCTTGACATCGTCGACCGCGAACTCCACCAGCGTGTTGGCGTCGAGATCGTACTTGGGCCACGTGAAGCTGCCGTGCGAGGGGTCCTTCTTGGGATTGCGAGCGAATGAGAGCCAGAGGCCCTGCATCAGGCCGGCGACATCCCATTCGAACTCGGTCGAGTTGCCGCGGAATTCGTAGTGGGTGCCGAAGAGGAGCGGGAGCTCAGCTGGGGTTGTGTAAAGCGATTAGTTCTGGGGGCTCATGACGTCAAATATTAGAACTCTTTGAGCGATAACTGACCACTGTGGGTGGCCCCGATCCAAGGACGCGGGGAGATATTGGTGAAGTTGCCGCCATACAGATATTTGTACGTAACCTGGCCGTATTTGGCACGGTTGCTGTTGAGGTCGACATCGCATTAGTAGGTACTCCTTTTGATTCATGAACCTCGGCACTGGTGCCAACGATGATGACTTACCTTGCCTCGCGTGCGGTCGGACAGGTGATGGCATTCAGACCAGTCTGGTACTGTCCGGGCGTCATGCCGTCCGGGCTGAAGGTGCCGAAACCGGCGCCTTCATTCGTGTTGCTACCCGTGATCATTGGCTGTGGCGTTTGTTAGTCCATGGACCAGCTCTGGTCATCCTAATCGCGTCCGGCCATCTGTTCAGGTCGGCAGGAGACCACTTACCAGGTTTGCAATGAGGCCCTTCTGAATTCTCTCCGTATAGTTGGCAAAGCTCGTGACATTGTCCGCACCTGGGGTGAACCGGGTACCAGTGTTTCCAAACGACAGCGTCTGCTGGATCTGCTTTGCATCGACCTTCTGGAGACACGCGAGCTGCTCCTTGGCAGCCAGGTTGCCGCAGCCGACAAAGCCCGCAAACGTGGAGAAGGCGGTGGGACCACCAGCACCTGAAGCCACGCCGGCGGCCCCAGAGTCGGCAATGAGGCCAGTGACAATGGGATCCTTGGGGTACGCGTAGCCGTAGCTGCCCACGGACGAGGCGCCCGCCGACTGGCCCCAGAGGGTGATCTTCTTGGGCGAGCCACCAAACGCGGCAATGTTGTCGCGCACCCACTCCACCACGAGGCGCTGGTCGAGCAGGCCCGCGTTGAGCGGCTGGGCAGCGGCGTTGGGGAAGCCGAAGATGTTGACGCGGTAGTTCATGATGACCACGACGTGGGTCTGAGACCGCTGGATCCACTGGTCGGGGATCTTGTACAGCGAGTCGGAGCCTCCGCCCGTGAAGCCGCCGCCGGGGATGTAGACGAACACCGGGAGGCCCTTGTCCACGGGCTTGAGGGGCGCGTAGATGTTGATGTACAGGCAGTCTTCCGACTGTCCGCCGTTGATGAGGAACTCGGGCATAAAGGTCGTGTACACGGTCGCGGCGTTGCTGAGCTGCTGCATGCACGACGGCTGGTAGGCCTGCGTGGTCAGGTGGCCAAACGGCTTCTTGGGCTTGGGCGGGAGGAAGCGCAAGCTGCCTACTGGTGGCTCGGCATAGGGGATGCCCAGCCACTGCCGGACGTCCGGGGCTGTCGCATTGATGAAGCCCGTCACCAGGCCGGCCTTGGTCTTGATGGTCAAGGGCTGGGCGGGTCCCGGGAATCCGTGGTCATGCTCGTGGCTCACTGCCTCCCTTGCCAGGAGCAGGCTGAGCAGGAGCTTCTGGGTGAGCTTCATGATGGATAGCGACGAGGGGACAATTGAACCAGGAGTATGACGGGGCTGGATGATGCAGGTGCCGTGAGGATCGTAGAATCGTGGACCTGGTAATTCGTGCAGGCCAGGGCCTTCTTATACCAGTGTCGATCCCCGGCTCGTATATTCGGGACCACAAAGCACGTCCGAGCCTAAACACTTACGCCAAGCAACAGAAGCATTGGAGGCGCCCTGGATAAAGGCTTTTACACTTTAACGGCTTCCCCGCAAAGTAGCACTAGTCAGGGGACGCGTTCGTCCCTGGGGGCGTCGGCACAATGGTTCCTAGTGCGGAACTTGGGCGGAGCTTGGGCTGGGTGGCTTTGGTAATTTGCGGGGGTGGCCCCTGTATACCCCGAGTTCTCCTCATTTCAACCCCTGCGTCTCCGCGTTCCCCCCACTCGGGTGGTGACGATGATCGGCAGCTGGGCTAAGCTCTTATCCGGCCAGATGCTCGAGGCCGTGGACTCGGCAGACGTGCCGTGAGGTGCCGTGAGATGGTTCGTTGTGATGGCCCTGCACTATTTAGAGCGGCAGCACATGACACCGGATTGGTCACGCGCCCTTCTGCGCCATGTTGGAGGCTGACTCTGGCTCTGGGCATTGCTTTTCTACTAACTTGCGGTAGAGAACAACCGACAGGGAGTGTTCAACTGACCGGGGATCGATGACCGGGGTGCAAACCCTCACCGACTCTCCGAGAAAGCTGTCGGTAGCTGAACCATAGCTGGTCAGAGCTGATAATGTGTGACATCGTTTTTCCTTACCCGTAGCGCGCTACTTTGATACCTCACGTCCCACACTCAAACGCCGACCCATGTTGGAAGCCATAGGCTGCAGACAAGTTTTAGGAGTCGTGGCGACATTCCCCGCATGGCAATACGCAAGCTGCGCTCTTGCTGAATGAATCGGCGTCTATTGATAGACGTGTTAGATTAATGTTGCCCATTGAAGCCTCATTCTCGGCAAAAGACTCAATTTAGATCGTCCTAGACGGGAATTAGCCTCGACTAGCAGCTGCTCGGGATTTCATCGTTAAGCACGAAGACTTCAGGGCCCGGGCCTGGAAAATCTTGGCTTCCAGGGTTGCCGTGATGATTTCGTCAAAGTAGGTTGCGTGCATACCAACACTTAGGTCTCGAACTATGGCCTGCCAGTTGTCGGGCCCGCTGCAGGAGTTGAGCACCATTATATAGTATAGGCACTGATCACGTTAGATGCAATGAAGTGGTATTTCTGCCTCAGATACACGGACAAGAGGCGCACCAATTATCAGTGACACTCGAGACCGCTCAAGACTGCTATATAATATCTACGCTTGGACCACTGATACTCTAAACAAAACAGCGGACTATGAGATGAAATCTTGACACAGGGGCTATTGCTGTTGTATGGACCCTTCAAGAACGACCAGACGGGGAGGTCATTTTCCTTGGAGTTAAATGGACGGGCAACGCAGGCTTTTTCCAGAGTGAATATGTCTCACTCCTGTCTACCCAGTGTACGCAATCATCGGCCAATCTCAGATCGAATGACCATAGGATCCTAGCAAGTATGAGACGCATTTCCGCATATGCGAGACTGTTTCTGGGCTTAGATAAAATTTCGTGACACAAAGCGCAGCTTGGGCGAAAGCATGCGAGAGGGGCTACAAAGGGAAAACTCACTTCTTGCCAATGCAATTTCGTGGACCGACGTGAAATGGTTGAAACGTCTTTCTTGCCTCATCAGGCATACTCGAATCCTGGAGCCATCGATCAGGTTGGAATGTTTCTGGATCTGTGAAAGTATTTGGGTTGTGGTAAAGTGCCCATTGCCAGATCCCAACGGTCGTCTGTGCTGCCATTAGCCTTTAACGTCACAAAGTATAGTGAATACCTGTTGTGAATACTTACCCCCTCAGGGACATACCGACCGCAGATAGAATCTCCGCCCGGCTGGATGATGCGAGGAATCGAGGTAGGGACAGGCGGATACAGGCGCAAAGTCTCGTTGATGACGGCCTGCATGAATTCGAGCCTCTGGACGCTCAGAAGGTTAATTTCATCCTCAGAGCTAAAGGACGATCGAATCTCTTCAGTGATGCGATGTAGAGCATCTGGGCTAGACCCAAGGAAGTATGTGGCGGCTGAAAGTGCTGTTGCCGTGGTTTCAGAACCAGCGATGATCAGAATACTGGCGTTGTCAACAATTTCAGGCATAGAGAGCACCTGCAACATGTTAGCTATGTCACTCCTTTTTCGATTCCAAGTGTACCCCAAGCGTGGAGCTTACAGAGTTACCATCCTTGCGGATCATGGACTCCATGAAATCATGGCGTTGACCTTTGTATTCCAGACGTTGGGCGACTTTCTCTTTGGTGATTTTCAAATGACCCATGAATCTTTCTTTCGCTTCGGCTGTGATGAAGAGTCTTTGCAGCAATGGAGAAAGCCAGCGATGCTTCCTCATCATGACATTGCGAGAAGCGCCACGGATCCGCTCGAAGATCAACTGAACCCAGGGATGATAACTGGTGGTTTCTAGGCAACCAAAAGGCTCTCCAAAGGCGAGGTCGCCAATGATGTCGAAGGTCGTCCAGTTGTACCATGCTGTCATATCTACAGTGGCCGTCCCGTCTTGACAATTTTGTTGGAGACGCAAGAGTAAGAGATCGACGTATTGTGTAATGAGAGGCTGCTGGTCGAGCATGGACCGAGTGGAAAATCCGTGCGAGAGAATGCGTCTCATTCTGCTGTGGTCTTCTCGGCCCGACGCAATAACACTGTGCGATATAGTCTTGAAGAATTCCGGATCCTTACCGTTCTCTCCTTCTCCTCGCTTTCTGTGGCCCATGATGTCCTCCCAGGCTGCTTCGTCCAGAAATGACAACTCATCAGGGGCTATCCGTACGATCCTGCCGTACTTGAGATGCAGTGCCAGGATCCTTTTGTGGGATTGGCCAGACAGGACCATGAGGCTATACGGAATGCGAGACGCAGCGAAAAGCTTTGGCCCTGGAAATTTACGTAGTGGGTGTGCAAGAACATTATACGTGGAGGATACAGCTGCGCAAGAGAGGATCTAGTAACGGGTGGTCTCTTATTAGTGATTCGTACTGTTCCTGAGGACAGAGTTCGAACTAAGAAAGGGGAGCTAGGGACTGAAATGCACGCACTAGAGCGGTCGCAATGAGCGATACGGAAGCACCTGTGCTCAGTGCCTGCTTGACAAAATAGGGCGATGAGCCCAGTAAGTCGAAAATGTCCATGGCTTCAAGCGTGATGGAGGATGCTCGGGATATCGTGGGCAAGAGTCGTAGCACGGGAAGGGCGTAAATCTCAAGTAATGGAGACTGCCTCACTTGTGGCCTAATATGCCTTTTATTGCAAACGTTGAGCGCAGTCGCTGGCCAGCGTATCGAGCATTTTTGCTTGCGGTGTTTTTCGCTTTCCCCTCTTTTCAACACGACTCGCCTTGTTTTCCGGAATTAAAGGAATTTGGCGGGGATATAGACTACACGCAAAATCGCGCGAAAGGCGAAGACCGACACTGTGAGCGTAAATCTCGGGATTCGGGAATCCCACCTCGAAGCCGCTCCATAAAATGAAACTTCAGGTAGGTACAGCACATCTGTATCAGCAAGTCAATTCAGCGGCGCAGAGCGTTTGGAAGAAGTTGCTAGTACCTTTACATAAGCATTTTACAACACCACATTACTCGGCAACCCATTATATCGGCGGATTATAGGAAGGTTCAATCTGGCAATAGTGGACAGTATAGGACAAGATGGCTGGTGGCGGCGCGCACGGGATCCGGACTTCGGGCTGGGAATTGTTATTGGCTGCGCCGGAACTTCTCGTTCAGGGCACGGTCTACCCCGAGCGGGACTGATTGATGGTCATCGGACTGCCCCCGCGGCGTTTGCATCAACGGCCTGTGCTCCGTGCCCAACCCCGAGGCGTTATCGCTGGCTGGCAAGTACGGCCCTACAAATGGCAGAGAGTGTAGCGGGAAATGGGGAGACTCACAGTGCGAGTCTCTCAGCCGCTGGTCAAAGGGTACGTCACTAGAATCAAACTTTCTGATTGCCCCAAGTATTTCTACATGCCCCAGATAGTAGCCGCGGATAGCGACGGAGATTTCTCTCCACAGTTTCACAAGTCATGACACAGCGCGATGCCATGAAAAAGCTCGCTCTCCCCACACGATGCCTTTCTCTACACTAACAAGGATACAACCAGTACGTACGACCATAGGATCGAGAAAGCTGAGGGTCCCGTCCGCTCCCCTTTCCATAAGCTCGATACCGCCGGATCAGTAGTTGGGTCGGTGACGACCAGCGAATCCCCGGTGTTGTACGTTTTTGCCGTTTGCGTCAAGTCTCTTTTTTTCTGGCTCCGGCGTGCGAGGCGAGTTGTCTCGAATGAGCACGAAACACCTGAGATCCGTCATTCAGTCGATGGAATCCGAACTTATATCAGGATTGGGTGACAAGTTCTTCATGGTGCTTGGGATCTGAGCTCTTGAGAATCCGGGGCCCACTGCTTCGTCGGCCGCCCATCGTTTCTCGTATCAGTCTCAGCGTATGGAGGGGGTATATTGCCGACCTGCTCTTCGTCCGGATAATTGTGGCGCTGTTCCTGTGACGGATCATCCTGGAGCATCAAAGGCTGACCCTCCTCCCCATATTGCGATGTAATGCCCTCTTGTTCCGGACTCTGAGCCACCCCGAAGCGCCTTCGTTCTTCCTTGCAGTCGGGGCCATACATTGTGGCATATGCGAGAATAATCGCTGCGATGTTGGCTCCACTAAGAGTAAAAGAGACATTGTTAGGTAAAGCCAGCTTTAACGTCATAGTCAAGCGAGAACTCACGCAGTGATTAGTCCTGCTACCCCAGCAGCAGAGGCACTCGTGGGAGGCTGGAAGTATCTGGCCGCGAGCGCGACCAAAACACAGACGCCAACGCATCTGACTCCAACAATGAACCAGCCCGTGATACGACGCTGGGAGAAGGACTTTTTCTCGGGGACCAACTTGACAGCCTTGTGTGCCGCATGAGAAACAGCGTTGAGAACTGCGTTGAAGCCGGCTCCGAACATTCCCTGAGCGAAAGTCAGAACCCAAAATTTCCAGCGCGAACGGGTAATCATGACCAATGCTTACCACTGGAATGCCGGCAAATATGAAGAACCCTCCACTGCGGTCGTCAAAGTTTACCTTCGATGTGGCATCAGTGACGAGACACGTCACGGCAAACAGGATCATGAAGGGCACGACCAGCCACTGCGAGCAGACGTACCAAACTCGAATACCTGCCATTTTGCGCGACCTGAATGTTGTAAATAATTGGTGCGTGGTGACGAGCTTGCGTGAGTCTGGCAGAATGACCAAGTTGTCAGAGGGAGCAGAAGCGCAGCTGTTTCGACTAAATAGATGCGCAGGAAGTGCTCAACTCGGGCAGCCAATGGAGACCAGGATTGACCGAGACACATCATTTGCCGCCACTGCGCCCAGATTAGGCAGGCTTCCAGCGACTGCGCCTCAGCCGCAAGCGCAGATGCGACCCCTGTCTCCCCGGGCGGCATTTGGGCAAAGGAATGGCCAAGGACTAGCTGAGCAAGACTGGCACAGGCTGATTGGCCGCACATGAGGCGCAGTTGTGCTGTCAGCAACCCGCTTTGGGGACCGAGGTGGGCGCAGAGCCGAAGCATGGCTTACTGGACTAGAATGCCTGAAACCAACCACGGGATCGACCGAGACCATGGGGGGGATAGCTTCTTGCATTGGCTAGGCCTTCGACAAAGGCATGTCAATGCACTGGGTCACATCACGGGTAACAAACACCATCCTGTTAGCAGTCTATTCGCTTGAGAGCCTCCTGAGTTTCCGCCTAGGTAGCAGCATTCCTGTAAAGACTGATCGGGTCGTGAACGCTTGCAACAGATCGACAGCCCAAGAGCTATTTGAAAAAGCTGCTGGCTGTTGGTCAACTGCCAGCCTTGAACCTCCTCAACGACCCACCCAGAACCTGATGCAAGCTGTCGACTGCTGCTTGCAGAAAGAACAAAAACAACACCAAACGACGAGAAAAAGCCAAAGACCAAGCGCAAGAAGACGCCGTCAGCATCCCGGGCTAAGATATTATGAGAGCTGCGTACCGTCCGTCTCGAGCTTGCTGGACGCCGCAATTCAAGCAGCTTTTCAGAAGTAGACATCCCAGACGAGTACTGGTGCACCTTCCCGCGATGAACTGGGCTCTGGGGTCTCCATATGTTGTGTAGATATTGACTTTGTCGCGAACATTGGTCATACCGACCTTTCTAACGGCGACGTGTCTCGCAGATTCTGGTGACAGCGGGCTATCAACCGCATGTTCACATGTCTTCGAAGTATCAAGACACGTGAGATTCAGAACTGCATTGGAGGCATCGATAGGGATAAAGTGTCCAGATGTCACTATGTTGAAGGACAGCAAGATCTCATCCAACCCCACACGTAGAGAGGCAGTCAGGGCTGGAGGCTCCTCCAAATTCGACAATGTCATGTCTGCAACCTTCTGGCCCGAGTGGCTCTTCTGATCATCAACTGACACGCTGGGTTTGGTATCTTTGGAGTAACCAAGCTGCTCATAATACCTGCCGTCGTATACGAACATACCCTCGCAAACAAAAGCCGAATGAGGCGCCTGGCGATAGCTCGAAACACTGCACAACTGCTGGGTAGATACTTGTACCCTCGAGGCTGCGGCCGAGCATGTCGCGCTGACGATTGGCTTGTGAACCAATCAATCTCAGGAATGCTTCGTAGCAGGAACTTGAGTTTGCTGCAAAGTCGGCGCTTCCCATGAAGCTCTCCCCGCCTAATGTACCAAGCGTTTGCAAAATGTTCTTCCCATCCAAGGTAGGGCGTTCTAGGAACTTTTGCATTTTCACGCAAACGACACCTCGCCGTTCCAGGACGCAGTACATGACGCTGTTCGAGAAGATCGTTCCCAATGGCGTTCGAGATTTCCTGTCGCGGGCAGGTGTCGATGCCGGCCCTCCAGCACATCACAGGAGCTTTGCATTTGTGACAATCCTTCACCTGTTGCAGTCCTTGCTGCCCTCGCGTTATGCATCAACTGCTCCCTTTTATGCAACCCCACGCCTGACTCGTATGGCAATAAAGCTGGCAAAGTAACAAACAAAGGAAACCCGGCATGTTTGTCCATGCACCAGCACTTTCATGCTGTGGACTGCATCTCTATGCTCTGCCGTGATGACGGTGTACATGATGTGCAAGGTGCTGGTGTCGGCGCGCATTGGCAAAACCAGTAGCAGCAGCAGCAGCAGCAGCAGCGGCGGACGAAGATGGAGCAGAGACTGAAGCAGTGGGGGAAGAGATGGCAGAGACAGACTGTACGTGCTCCTGCACGTGCTCCTGTGGGATCACTACAGCCCCAGCCGGCGGACCGGCAACCGGCGGATGGTCAATGACAGTCGTGTCGTTGTAGGTACAGGTCCTGCAGAAGTCGGCGGGTCGCTCCTCCAGCACGGTGCCATTGGCAAAGATGACGCCCGTGAAAACGCTCTGCACGCCGGAGCCGGTGGCGACCACCTGCGAACCCGCCGCTGGAGATGTGCCGTTGCCACTGCCACCGTCCTCGTCAAATGACGACAGTGAAACGGATGACGAGCCTCCGATGAGAGGATTGCGGATGGGCGAGACGGCACAGTTCTGGCTGACCATGTAAAGGTTGAGGCCGATGCAGAGCGTCTGGAGCATAGGGTTGTAATTGCCCTCGCTCAGGTCATATGTATGGAAGAGGCCGATGGCGTCGGTCATGATGGCAGTTGGAAAGTGATCAGGGCTGATCAGGCTCATGGCGGTGTGATAAATGGCCGGGTTCGTCTCTTGGTTGGCCCTGGCGTTGAGGCTCTGCGCGGACGAGGGCTGTTCGTTCCAGGCGAAAGTGAGCTGCCACTGCGTGATTAGGTAGTCGTCCTTGACTTCCGACCCAGTGCTCTTGATCTCGCCTGTGCGCGGCTTGTTCAGGAGCACTCCGCTGTGGTAGTCGAAGATGCCCTGCACGCTGTTCTTTTCGGGCCAGGCGTCGTGCCGGCGGAAGTTGTCTGATGAATAGATGCCAGCGGAGGGCCGCCTAAACTCCAGCTCTGGCGGGATTCTTCCACGGTCGAGGACAAGTAGCACACAGCCCTTCCCACCATTCTTGGACATGTAATCGCCCATCGTTATCGTGTCGATCCAGACGCCCCCCGGACTAGTATTCTGCAGAGGTAGATCTGCGCACCTGTTGTTGATTCCCTCGAGGCTTTCCAGGAACAGCTGCTGAGTGCTCAGGTCCCATTTATGGTTGCTGGTGATCTCCTGCATACCCTTAATGTACCAGACAACGACCTCGCCGGGGAAGTCGGTTGAAAACCGGTTCATACCGCTTATGAGATCATTGAGGCTGGCTCCAGTGGCCCCTACTGGAATAGCCGCGTCGTCAGAGTTGATATGAGCAGCCCAGAAGCTATCGCGCAGCACCGAGTATATACGCATGTCAAAGTAGCGGGCTCCGACACGGAGCTGGTTGTAGAGATCGAGGCTCTGGGTTGCAGTGTTGGAGCTGGTGCCGAGGCCGAGCCACGCCGGTGAAATGAGGCTCATACCAGCGTCGTGTGAGCCCGGGACAACGACATGACGCAGCTGGCGTTTCGAGATGACATCCTTAAGTCTCTGCTGCCACCCAGCGTGGTTGAGCTGCAGCGAGTTGTAGTAGCCGTAGCTCTCGCTGCCCGAGATAACGAGGGCGACGCCAAGTCCGTTTCCAGGGAAGCCGAGCTCGCGCCAGCCCATGCCCATCTCGGCGAGGTCAAAGACAACGCGCCGTTCGTACTTGTCGTCCATGTGCGTCGTGAGGTGGATGTTGAAGCGCTTGTTGGTTCCCTCGAGGCGGTAGTAGAAGTAGCCATTGGTCGTGGTCCAGTCAATGCTCTGATGCCACTCGTAGTCGACCCGAGCCTGCCGCGCTCGGCCAGAAGGGATGTCCTTAAAGTCAGCACGCACCTGATAGGGCGTGGGCCCCCCCTCGCGAATGAATCGGTAAGGGGTCAGGTTAACGATGTTGACATAGTTGGCGAGTTGCTGGTCGTCGTCGCCGTTAAGCGTAGACCCGTCTTTGGCGAATGGGGCCAGGGTACCCACAGGTATAACTTCGCTGCTGTACATTTTGTCGCTATCGAGGCAATCATTCTTCTCGGGAAACCGCTCCGGATCGAGGCGGCCCTGGGAAGGCACCTCCATGAGAGAGACATGTGCCCACTTTGGATGCTTGGAGACGGCCATGTTGGCACCCGCAGTGATCAGAGGCCCGCCATCACGCGTTACAAAGATGTGCTTGGCCCCGATCGCAATGAGCTGCTCGATGCGGATGTCGTCGCCGTTAACGACACCCAGCAGCCATAGAGCCTTCTGGCAGGCCTGGGGGCTGATGCAGTCCTGTGTGTAGGTGCTGAACCACGAGTACGTGCCGGCCGTGCTAACGTGGATGCCCTGCGACTTCCTGATGACGACCGCCCACGACTCATCGCACCCGTCGGCAACGCCTTGCGTGCACTCGTAGAAGGGGTCACTCTTGAACACCCCGAGGGCACCCGCGAACGGCGCAGGTGGCTTGGGCGTCGGCTGGTAGTACGGACTCTCGGTCTGCAACATGGTGGTGAAGATGGTCATTGCGTTGTCGAAGTTGTACTGGTACAAGACGCTGTGCTCAGAGGCAGTGCCGTAAAGCCAGACAGGCTTCTGGCTCTCGAACAGGGCTCCGCGGGCGCTGTAGACGGTGAGCTGCTCCATGTTGTTCATGGGATCGTCGAGCAGAGGATCATCGATCTGGTGGTCGGCAACCCAGAGCCACATGTTATCAAAGTAGCCAGACGCCCTCTTGGTAACGTGCAGCATCAGACTAGCAACCTGGCAGCTCGCCGGATTGATTCCAGACCGGATCGGAGGACACTGCGTGGGCGTCAGCAGTGTCCCGACTGCACCGCCGAGCCGGACGTGCACATCCCACAGCGCAGCCGAACCAGGACTGCTCGCTGCAATGTTCCATTCGACGACCACTAGCCCTGGTGTCGGGCCACGGCTCGTCAGTATCAAATCCTGCAGCTCGACGCTGCCCTCAGACCCGACTTCGCCCACTCTAAGCATGGGCCGCGGCTTCATGGCATCTCCAAAGTTGACTCCATTAGCCACCAGCTGTGACCACGTCTCACCTACCACCTTGGCTCCCGGTGGAATCAGGATCGTGTCCCGGATGATGTAGCTGCCAGCATCGACGTAGATGATCTTGCTGCCATCCCCGTATCGCGCAAAGGCGGCCTGAATCGCGGCAGTGTCATCAGTGTTGCCATCACCCCGGGCGCCTAGGTCTTTGAGGTGCACAAAGTCAGTCGGCGTCTTGTCCAGGTACTGGGGCCTCGCCCGTTCAAAATAGGGCCGGCCTTGTAGGCCAGGCCGCGAAGGGCCTAGCAGCGTCACGTCGCGAGTGTAATCCTTGGGGCCCTGAGCGAATGTTCGCACACTGGACTTGTACGCGGCGCCGATTACATACTGAAGAGGACAGAAATAAGATCAGCATGAAACCAGCTCGGATGCAACATGGGCCAATATTATACTCACGGTCTTGTAGTATCCAGCGGCCAGGATTGGACTTCCGGTGCCGCGCTCCTTGATGCCTCCACCGAGCTGGACATTATCCAATGTGACGCCCGTGTATCCCTGATCCATACCATCTGATGGTTTGATCATCTCGATGGCTGCTTTGCCCATGTTATTGAAGATGGAGTCAATGATGCTCACGGATCCTGGTCGCGACGCGTCTCCGTCGTTGTACAACTTGAAGCCGACGCCGACACTGTTCATCGTCACGCTCTTCCACGACCAGCCCCAGTCCCAGATTAGCTGGACACCTGTGTTGCAACCGTTGAAGGTCAAGCGGGAAGCGCTAAACTGCTGAGCGCCGCCGTCTGTTCAGTGGTGAGGTTGTGATGTTAGCCATCGTGATTGCATGGCTGGGATGGACAATAATGGCCAGCCCAGGGTCACATATGACAACAAGGGCGATGATAGACGTGCAGAAGGTAGATCACTTACAGATGCCAAAGTTACCGCCGTTGAAAGTAATATCCGAAATAACACCACCGCTGCCATTCTCGGCGTAGATGCCTTGTTGCGTCTGCCACAATGTATCTGTCAGACCAGGCACGAATCATCAGAGTCCTCAACAAGGAACTGAGTATCACTTACGGTACCAGCCTTGGCCTCGATGACAATGTTCTCTGCAGTTGTGGCCTGTGCGACCTGGTAGTGCATGGCGGCGACATACGCGCCAGGGTCCGTGGCCGTAATGTCGATCTTAATGTTGCGGATCTGGCCGTAGAACCGGGCCGTGTTGACGTACCACTGCAGGGCACCGCCGTCGGGACCCACGCCGCCATTCTCGACGTACACGTCTGTAGACAGCACTCCCAGGCCGATGTAGCTGGAAGAGGCAACAATGGTTGGCATGTTGTTGGCGTCGCCGATGATTTGAGTGCCAAACACCACGCTTATGGACTTGGACACGAGGTAGCGCCCTGGTGGGAAGTAGACGATGGCGTTCTTGCGCGTGGAGCCGTTGCACTTTGCACCGCAGCGCTTACCGTCGTCGATGGCGTTCTGGATGGCTGCTGTTGAGTCCTATTTATAGGGTTCATGATAAGCTAGATTAGCTTCATGGTACTGTCAAAGGAAAGGTATGACCAAAGAGAAGGAAATTGGGAAACCTGCCTTGGCTCCTGAGGGATCCGCACCATAATCGACAACGTTCCTCCAGGTCTATTGGCATAATTGTCAGCAAGGAGCAACCGCAAAGCCCAGCAAGGGGTTGTGGCGAAGCAAGACAAGAGATATTGGGTGAATTCCGGACGGACGAACTCTATAGGAGGTATCTAGCCCCCACGGCACACGGCCGAGATGCTTGAGCCCCTGCATCCACCAGGCGTCCGCGCGCTTCTGGGGCGCCGCGATAGGCTCGGCCTCGAGCTCGGCTAGCAGGGCCGCAGCCTTCGTCATCTCGTCCGTGGGGACGAGGACGGGGAAGCCCTCTTTTGGTGCGTCCTCTTCTCCTCTATTCCCCAGCCCCTGCTGCTGCCCAGTAAGGAGTGAGCCGCGGTTGGGAGCCGGGTTCTCGAAGCGTGCCTTATTCAAGACTTTCATCTTGGCAATCGCATCTCGGACAATGCGGCGCGCGGCCTCGACTTCGCTGCTGTCTACGGGAGCAGTTGCATTGCCGGCGGTACTCTGGAGCATGCTGCTGTTGCGGTTTAGACTGTGACCGACACTACCGCTCACGCTGGGGATCGGCGAGGCAGATGCCGGGACAACATGGTCGCGAGGCGAAGGAGCAGCAAGACCCTGAGAGGCCAAGCTCAAGCAGACTGCCCAGGCCGCAAGGCGAGACACCTGCATCCTAACCGGCGACTGTCTGGATCTCTCTTGTGCGTTATGAGGGGGAAGGCCCGCTGAAGGAGACTATATTGGGAACGACAGAAATAAGAAGTGGTTACAGAAAAATTGAGCGAATGGATGAGGATGCTGAATCACAACCGGGTTGGAAGCCACGGCGCGAAGCCTAGATATATGTCACCAGTCATATTCACCACAAAGTCTTCACCGTCTACATGTGTTCCATCAGCCCACTCGCAGTTGAGCAGGTGGAGACGGATCTTAAATGATCCTTTCAGCAGAAGTGGTAAGCAAGAAAAATGCTCACGACCAACAAAATGCACAAAAGTTCCAACACGGACAAGAACACGTTGTGGGAGAGTGAAGAGAGAGAGAGGCGGGTGACCCTGAAGGAAGCCAGACCCTGACTTTTGCACCTCAGATGTGCTGTTGGTTCTGGGGTCCGCAGTGTGTTGGTTGTTGGTTGTGCGCCGCGCTGCGGGTCGGAGATTGTCGTCCCCCACATGCCCCTACGCGTGGATGAATGTCGCTTGGAGAAATCCCCCCCGATTAGCCGACAGGGGAGAGGCTCTTGCTGGGCTAAAGCACACGAGGTTCGGTGATGGGGGACTCTGCAATGCGGCTGCGGGATGCAGGGCTGAGATTCAGGTTGAGCGTGCAGGCTACCAGGGCGCGAGTCGAGACCACGATCGAATCTGAGCATGGATACAAGCACCGTGCTAAGCAACATGACCAAGGCTGGGCCAAGCACATAAAGTTATAAAGTTCCTCAAGGACCCTCACACCCCTGGAACCAACACGACCATTGTGTCGGCGCCACGGCCCCTTCTGGCAGGTGGGTAAAGATAAAATCCCTTTAGGCACCTTCAACTGACCTTGTTGCGCCCCTGGGTGCTGCTCGGCAGCTGCACATGATAACCCACAGGCAACACTGCGGCAACCTCAAAAGTGTATCGCTGTCTCATGCAAGACCTCTCGACGCTGCGCCTGGCTCAACAACCACAGAACAGTAGCGTGAGCGCAGTCACCCTCCGCCATGTCGCTCCCGGCGTCGCCCGCGTCGGCACCAGCCAGTCTCCCGCTCACCACGACAATCGCCGCCAGTGTCTCCTCGACCCGCACCGGCAACCGTTCCTCGTCCACGCCCCACGCGGCCACGCCCCGCGCAGTCACGACGCCCTTCGTCCAGCGTCCCGAGTGCGCCAGCCGCTTCATCACGACAGAGTTCGTGCACACCGTCAGGCACTCGTCCCTCTCGACAACGACCCGCGTCACCCTCTTCGTGTCTGACACGCACGGCGGTGGCAGCGAGTGCGCCGGACAGCCCGACGGCTCGTCCTGGTCCCCGGCCGTCTGCCCGCAGAGCTGGACAGCGTGGAACATGGGGCCCTGGGTCATTAACCAAGTCGATGCCGAGGGAAATCAATTCTCGGCAGTCTGCTGCGCCAGGTAAGATACAAAAAAGAGGCAACCCACAGAGCAAATAGGAAGAGCAGACACTGATGCTCCCAAAATCTGTCATGGACAACAGCGGATACAGGCCAATGGACGGCAGCCCTTACACCCGCGATGACTGGGACCTGGACGCCCTGCTAGATGACTGGTCAGGCATATGCACGTCCGGCGGCCGCGGGAGCGTTGAGCTGACAGCAGCAGCACCACCCATCACGCACACCGTCTCCAACTTGGACCACGTGAGCGTGCACCAAGGCCTGTTTATTGCCTGGAGGCAGCTCGATGTGTCGAGTCTCACACCGGCTCCGCCGTCGCTCGGTCTTTGCACAGCCGCTGCCCTCGCGAGCTGGGCGCCCGGCCTGCCCGATGACCCGGCGCTCGCCGCCCTGGGTGTGTGCGCCGCGCCTGAAGAGGGTCATGATGCTCAAAGTGGCTATCTGCTCCTCTTCTTCGCCATCGGCTTGCCCATCGTTGCTGCGGGCCTCATCGCGGCGTTCTGCACGTGGTTCTGGTGCAGGCGGGCGCGGAAAGGGAGGGCGGCGGCCGCCACCGCGCCTGTACAGGTCGACGTCGGCGTTGACAAGGGTGGAGCAGGGACAGAGTAGCAGCCAGGTAAAATCCAGGGAGTGCGTATTTGTAGCATGTAATGGACGCGTACCAAACCTCCCTATATCTGTTATACAGAGATGACAACTGACTATAGTTCGGCCAAGGTCCCGATCTGGCTAGTCTAGAATCTTGATTTGGTCCTCTGCCCGCACGTGTAGAGAAGAACAGCGCCACCTACGTATGTCTGATCTTCATTCCCCCAATCGACCGGGATCCCTGTGCCATGCAGGTATGATGAGGCTGGCAGCAGACACTGGTTGTCACTACACGCGCAGCAGCAGCAGGTGGAAGGAGGTTAGGCGAGGGAGGCTGATGGAAGCTTGAGCGGGTTGTGGAGAAGATGCGGGAGGATGATCTTTGTGGGGAATCCCTGTCTAGCAAGCGACGACCCTTTCCGCGGTTGACCTCGGCATCGGCAACAAGATGCACTTGGCATCGAGAGATGACAGCAGGCTCTCATACTACACCGCATTTCCAACGCAGCTTATATGGAATCGCATATCCTGCACTTGTGGGAGAATCAGCAGAGCCAGAACGAAGAATGTATCCTTGTGGCCATGCCCATTTTCAGGGATATTCATTGAGAACCCCCGCTACTCTTCCTTAGGTCAATCAACTTGCCTCTGCAGGGGCGGTAGGAGCTTCGCCATTGCTCGCAAGGCTTGTCCCGACAAATACTACCAAGACAGCAGTATACGCCGCAGTGGCAGCCAGGACATCTTTGCCAGTGCTGTCGTTGCCAAACTGCGCGGCCAGAAAGCCAAATATCAGCACCGACACAGAGGTAACAATGAGACTCGTGTTGATCCCCTCGACTTTGCTCATGATCACCGTCGGCACGATCAGGGCGACTCCACCGAAGAACGCCATGATGAAACGCGAGGCGCGTGCGTGCTTCTGGGCCATCTCCGCCCTGCTCATCGATGGCTTCTGTTTCCCGACCACAATCTCGCGCGGGCCCCCCGGTTCTGTGGGTATTGTTGGAGCCTATCGAGTCTGGTTGAATGCCTGGCTCTCGTCACACGGGGATTCTTGACCTTGCCCTAAAGCAATGATCTGTAGCAGTTCGATGCGTACCTTGCGTTCACCTGCATATTCCCACACCCACAGACCCCATGCCAACTTGATGCTGTTGATCAGCCTGCTGCCTTTGTCCCTTGTTATGCGAAGCGTTACGAAGTCATCGTCGTGCTCGCTGTCCCATGATTGTGCTGCTCTCGAGTGCGCCCCCTCGCGCGCGCTCAGGATGCCAAGCTCCGCACGGAGCTGCCTGACGTCCTGGCCGGACGGTTCTTCGAGACCCCGTAGCCTGGCGAAATCAAGCACTGCACTGTCTTTGAAACAGGATTGAAATGCGCTGTCAGAGTGTGCCGAGTGCGACTTCTAAGACCCGCAATATAACTCACCATACTCACGTAGTTTGACTCTGATAGTAGCCCACAGTGTCGAGCGCGCATCGTCCAGTGCTTCTTTGGATCTCTGATCCGTAGCGGCCTGGCTATAGCTCACAGCTGGGCGTGGCAGAGAATACCACATAGGTGTGATCGTGGAAGAAGCTTCGTTCTCGACTCCCGGTTCGTACTTTTCAAGCTCCTTGAGAAGGCAGTCTATCTCATTTTGCATAATGAGCAAGTTCAGAAGATGAAGCTCATCGAACCGCCGCAGAATTGTGAGCTCCTCCTGCCGGTCCATGAGCCTTGCGATCGGAGACATTGCATCCAGACTGTGGCTGACATTGTGTTGGGGCATTGCCGGGGAAATCGAAGGATGAGGAGGACTGGTCGCTGTTGTCGGATAAGGGGAGAGGTCGAATGTCTTCAGGATGCACCATGGGTACAGCTCGTGCGGAGAAAGTGAAAGCCCCCCCGCGAAAGCGCCATACAGCCGTCTGCCAAGTATGCAGCCTGGTCATCACGTGATGCGCAGCTTTTGTCCACCCCTGAACTCCGTTCCGTGCTGTTCCTCATTTCTCGACGCCTGAGGGTACCACTTCCCCTGACAATCCACAGCATGCAGAAAGGCGACACAGCCGCCAGGATCGACCAGCAAAGTCGTCACTCACCAACTTTAGCAATCGATCAGCATCACAGCATATCAAGATGCCTGCAATCGAAGGGTTCAATTTTGTATACTATCCTTCGTCAGCTCTCAAGTTAGTGCTGTCGGGGAGCGAGCGATTAGCAAAGATCATCAATCCGCTTACGCCGCGCTTTATGGATGCCCTCAGGGATTACGTGATAATCACAACAGAGCTTTCAGATTTGATGGATGATCTCCCAAATCACCACGAGGTCAAAGCAGCTGAGGAGGATCTGGTGAGGTTGACCCAGAGACTAATCCATGTCACCAACGAGATTGGAAGACTAGGAACTTTACGACAACGCCTCTTCTCGATCAAGAAATTGAAACTCATCGCGGCCATGGGCAAGGGACTCCCAATGATCAGAGATCCTCTCATTATCCTCCAAAACGAGGTGGCCAACCTATGGTAAGTGAGGAAGTCAACATGGCAGTCATCTGGCCTCCAGCTATTGATTATAATGAGTCCTTCTCGTTCCAAATCGGTTGCCTAAATTCATTCACAGGGCGCGGCAGTCAGTTGAAGCGTGTCGCACCATTGCGGAAAGAACGCGTCTGGTAGCGGAGCAAAAAGCACTTTCCCCGTATTACCGAGCTGCTGTGGAAGCTCTGCTCGGTCAATACGTCGATGTCGCATCAGCCAAGGTCGAAACATCTCAGGCGTGCCTGTTGTCCGCCAACCGTCTCATACACGGCTCGCAATCCCTCACCAGCGGGTGGAACGATGAAAACGCAGCCACCGGCGAAACTGAGGACTCGAAAGGTATCGGTGTCCGCAAGAGGTTGATGGACCTATTGCAATACCCCTCGATGGGCGTACGACAGAGGAACGTATCTACACCGCGGGACTCATCCTGTGAATGGGTCTTCAAGGAATCAGCGGATACCACAGGAGACAGCCTGCGGTCTTGGCTGCGCCGGGGGTCAAGCTTATACGTCATTGCAGGAGAACCAGGCTCGGGCAAGTCGACGCTGATGCGCCACATCTGGGATACCAGAGCGGAAAATCTTCAGCTTGATGAGTGGGCCAAAGGCGACGGCTGCGTGCTTCTTTCGGCGGCTTTCTTCTTCTGGCGAAACGGCTCAAGGCTGGAGAGATCGGCGGAGGGTCTTTGGCGCGCCCTGCTCCTACAGGCCTTGATTCAGTCTCCGGATTTGCTGCCCAGCGTCTTCCCCAAGGATTGGGCACTGCTGTACGTTGGAGCAACAGTGCCTCCAGCTGGGTCTTGGACTGTTGCTGAGCTTCAAGAGGCTTTGCAGCGACTCGCAACACAAATGCAAGCACCTGCCAAACTTTTTCTTCTAATCGATGGCCTGGACGAGCACGAAGAGCACCATGCTGGCGGACACCAAACCCAAGAGCAAAGGGTTGCAGAAACCCGCACCCCGGAAAGCGAGCGTCGAGACAACGAGTCAGGGTACTTGGCCTGCCTCGAGTTTCTCGTCAACAAGCTCTGCCCTTTGGACAATGTCAGAGTAGTGCTGTCGAGCCGACCCAGCAGGATCATGGACCGAATGGGATTGCACCCATCTGCCTACGTACAGAACCACAACCAGGAGGACATAGCGTCGTACGTAGCAGGAACACTCATTCCAGACGGTACCATATGGACAAGGAGCAACAATGGCATCGACCGTGACACAGTTCGAGAAACCATACTCGATGCTTCTCAAGGGGTATATCTTGCAGCTATGCTCTGTGTGCAGTACACCAACCGGGCGCTCACGAAAGGATCAAGCATCGAGTCCATCAACATCCAGCTTCAACGCGGTCGAGATCTCAAAGACTTTTACCATCTGATATGGCACACTCTAGACCAAGATGTGAGAACCGAGGCACTGCGAGTCATGGGCGTAATGCTCAACAGAGAAGGCATATACCACAGTCTGCACCGTGGCGAACGACCACCCCGACTCATAGACATCGCCCTGGCCCTGGGAGAAGACCCAAAGCTCGAGAGACCGTGGCAGGCTGCACAACCATTGGTTGAGCGGAAATGTGCCAGAATCGCACAGAGCTTCATGGAGGCCTGGCCCGGGTTCATCAAGATTTCAGCCTGGGAGGGACAAGATGAATCCGCTAATAATGCCAATGGTACATTTTTCCAGGTCAGTTCTGCGTCGGCAATCGACTACTGCCATCGATCAGTGCCAGAGTTCTTCAGGGCTCATGCAGCAACAAAGCGATGAACAAACAGCAGTACTCCCCGAACAGCCTCTTCCTCAACCCCAACCTCCAGCGATCGAGACATTGGAGTTCTGTCCTCGGATCGCGCAACTCAAGTCACTCGTATACCAGATTACAATCTTACCACAGCCGTGCCCGCAAGATCACCTCCAGACAATGTGGTCATTCGCGACCATGGCTCTGATGGCTGCGAATCTCGTCGAGAGATACGGCCGCCCAAACCAACAGTACAGGGACCTGCTGGAGCAGCTCGATCAAACCATGTTTTCCCACCACAGGAGACTCCAGCAGAGCCGTGATGGTGAATATCTGCCCACGACCATACGAGACCACCGCGAGACCGTGGCCTTCAGCGACTACGGTCGAGACGCTCGCCGGCGAGCAGCCATGCACTGGGCCAATTTTCATTGCGACCCGCAGCGGACACACCCTCGCAGTTGGAATGACTCGTTCCTCTCCTTGGCCGTGCACTTTGGTCTCAGGCATCACCTAGAACAGAACATCTCAGTCAAGGCAGACAACCAGGACTGGGCCTTGTTCGACCGCAACCTCCCCGACCGGCTAGTCTGGTTCATGGATGGGATGAACGGACATGATGGCAAGACTGGGGTATCCTATATGGAGAGGCGTGGTGGTCGGCCGCTACTCATGTACGCCCTTGCGCCGCACCTTCCCTTTGCTACAGTAGCCCCATACGATCTCGTCAGCGTCGAGACTGTGCGACTCCTCCTGGACAACTGGTCGCGGCCGAACCGTGTTTTCGAAGGCCGGACATGCTGGCAGGAAGGTCTAGAGTGGCTCCACCGGACGTTCGCTATCGATGGAGGCGCAGCCATCTCCGATGCTGGGGGCACGCGCGAAGATGTCAGGCACGCTGCGAAAAACAGGTTGAACATTTGTCATCTTCTTCTCGACAGGGGAGCAGATACAAATGCTGCAATCGACATCACCATCTCTCCAGCACGGGGGACAAGCTCGGTAGCCTCCCTCAAGGGGATAACGAAAACCATTCTCACGGCGAAGCAAGCTTTAAAAGAGAGTTTTGCCAGTTGGGTTGACCAGACTGCGCTGGACGGGCTACTTGCAAGGGTAGATGGACCTACACAGAAACAAAGAGGTATACCAGAACTGAGAACCGGAGCGAGATGAATGAAGACGGCGCACACACACGAAGGGTCAGACCCCAGGAAAGTACAACAACTCTTTTCTCAAGGCAATTTAGTCTATTTTACGCGCCGAGAAATATCTACCAGACCGCTCAAGGCTTACCCACCCATTCCATGATACGGCCCCACACAGCTTCCCCGTCGTGCTTCGCGTCGATGGGGTCAATGGCAAAGCCAGTTTCCAGGTCCTTGTAAGTCGGCGCGTTCTGAACCAAGTCCTGCGCCATGGCAAAATGCAGCTCCGGGTGGCCCTGGAAGCTGAGGATGCGGCCGTTGGTGGCCATGAGAATCTCGTGGTCTTTGGCCAGGGGCGTAAAGTCGGGCCTGCACGTCTCGACCGCACGTCTGTGGAACTTGTGAAGGTTCTGTGTTCCGCGCGCGCGGCATGCATTTTAGTCGTAGGCCTGCTACACTCAAGAGGGTTGGACAGGGATATGTCTCGTGCACAACTCACCAGTTCATCATGGCCAGCAAAGAAACTCTTGCCTTCTGGCAATAGGACCACCTTCTCCACGCCGATCTGCGGTCGAATGTCAGACCTCCTCCACGTTGCTGCAGCAAGGTCAAGATGTTGTCGACTCACCCGCGCTCCGGTCATGGCCTTCAATTTACCTCCAAGTGCCATCTGTGATACCTGGTGGCCCCAGCAGAGGCCCAGCAGCTTGGGCCCAACGTCCTTTTTGGCTATTGCCCGGACATAATCGATGGCTGATTCGACCCAGGGTAGAGGCTTGTCGTCGACAAGATTGAACGTGCCGCCACTCATGATTACTAGGTCGTACGGTGAAGGGTCGGGCAGCACCTCGCCGGCCTCGGCCTTGACTATGTCCATCTGGGCAGATGGCATGGTTCGCTGGATGTTATCGGCGAAGCTCTGCACCATCATGTCGCCCCATGGCTTATCGGTTGTGTAGCACTGTACTAGGAGGACCTTCATGGTGGGCAGAGGTTGCGAGTGATGGAAATTGGGTCACAGGCAACGAGGACTGCTACTCCTGAATGGCTGGGTCGCTGGGTTTTACGTTTTGGCGTGCTCGCGATAGTCGGCGGCAGCCGCAGAGGATGGGTTTAGGGAGCCGGCCGCCATCGGATCAGAATTATCGATTGCTCGGGGTGTCGAATCATGAACCAGGCTACCTAGAGCGATGTCTGAGCTGGGTGGGCCTTTGCGCGCACCGCGCGGACCGCGCGGTCCCGACACATTACTTATCAGTTGGAGCAGGCGCGGCCGGCAGACCCACGCCGAGCTCCGTGGCAATAGACTACTCGCCATGGACTACTCCAAGAGCAAATCAGTCCGGGGTCCTCCAAACGAGCTGTTGGCCATCGCCACACTTGATCAAGATCGGTAAGTCCCGGCCGATGCGAGATATGACTGTGGACAGTCCAAAACATGACCATGACCTGTATATTAGATGTCGTATTGGCCTCCTCCCGATTCTCTCGGGCTCGCAGGCTGCCGCATCAACAGGCATTGCTCACCTTGGCTTCATGATGGCAAAGAACAAGTCCGTGAACGACATTGACCGCGAACCGTCCGTCCAGGACGGCGCAGCCGACGTTATCATCCCGGCCGAAAAGACCAAGTACGAACAAGAGCACGTGGACATCGGGCTGGCATACTTCCAACAGTCGCAGACCATGGACCCTGCACACCGCGAGGCGGTCGCCCGAAGGGTGCTCAAGAAGATCGACTTCGTCCTGCTGCCGGCCATGTGTCTCATCTACCTGCTGTCGTTTCTCGACAAGCAGACGCTCAACTACGCCAACGTATACGGCCTCAAGACGGACCTGGGATTGGTGGGCAACCAGTATTCGTGGGTCGCGTCCATCACCAACATCGGCTACCTGGTCCGGTCGTACCCGTCGACCCTGGCCCTGCAGAAGTTCCCCATCGGCAAGTTCATCTCGGTGATGCTGGTGCTTTGGGGTATCATCCTCGTCGCCACGGTGGGCGCGCACAACTGGGCCGGGCTGATGGCGCTGCGCTTCATCCTGGGCGGCCTTGAGGCGGGCATTGGCCCCGCCTGGATGCTCATCACCAGCATGTTCTGGACGCGTGAGGAGCAGCCGCTACGCATGTGCATCTGGCTGGGCAGCAACGGCATCTCGCAGATGCTGGGCTCCGGCATCTCGTGGGGGCTCGGCCACACCAATAACCAGCACCTGACGCCCTGGCAGCTCGTATTCCTCGTCATTGGCGTCATCACCATCTGTGCGGGTGTCGTTGCCTTTATCTACTTCCCGTCGAGCCCTGTCGACTGCAGGCTCTGTGACGAGGAGGAGCGCGTCGTGTCGATCTGGCGCGTGGCCGACAACCAGACTGGTATCAAGCACGGCAAGATCCTGTCGTACCAGATTCGCGAGGCGCTGCTGGAGCCGCGTGTGTGGTTCATCGCTGGCCAGCAGCTGTCCATCGGCATCATCAACTCCTCGGTGGCCAACTTCATGAGCGCCCTGCTGAGCGGCTTTTGCTACAGTCCAGTCGAGGTGGTCCTTTGGCAGTTGCCCAACGGCGCCTTCCAGCTCGTCTGCACTGTCGCCGCCGGCCTCGTGGCCTCGCGGTTCAAGAACATGTCCATCATCATGATCCTCGTCGTTCACGTGCCCTCGCTCGCGGGCATCATCGGCATCGCCACCATCGACCTCGGCCACCGCCTGGCCCTCACGGCGTGCTGCTGGCTGCTCGGCGTCGTCGGCGCGGCCATCATCCTCAACTGGTCCGTCATCGCCTCCAACGTCGCCGGCCACACCAAGCGCATGACGGTCAACGGCCTTAATTTTGTCTGCTACGCCACAGGCAACATCATCGGGCCCTTCATGTTCACCCCCGCCGAGGCGCCGCGCTATCTCACCGCGATCAAGGCCCTGATCGGCATCTACGCGTCTTCCATGTTCTTCACCGCTCTGATTGGCGTCTGTCTGTGGCTGTCCAACCGTAACCGGGACCGCGAGGCTGCCGCGAATCGGCCCGCGGCGGCCGAGACGTCCGAGGAGGCGCTGGAGGATGGGTTCTTAGACAAGACGGACCGCGAGCTCCGGTCTTTTCGATACAAGCTCTGATGTCTGGCTGCCGGAGCCACTGTATATATTTCGATCGTTCTATCGGCGGTTAAAGAGTGACCCTCCGCCGTCAGCCCTTTTTCATATAGCATAGTATATGTTCCTTCTGAACAGATGGTGGATTGTCGAAACATATTATTTCACCTGTGATCAAGTGGTTCTCAACGTCGAAAGAAGCAATTATTTGGGTTACACATAACGTAATCCACAAGTGGGTGAATCACACAAGTGGATGAATCAGTTATCGGGTACTCGTACGACAATATATAAGTCAATTCAACCATAACGCCTCAAATCAATTCAAACTATTCAGAATCCTCTTCTTCAGAGGCAGATATAACTTTCTGACACGTACGAACATTATGCCCGGGCTCGCCGCAGACGCCACATCGTCGCGCGCGCGTTTCGGGCCTCCTCGTACGACCACTATTCTGACTCGTTTCCGCTATTAACTGCTGCGTCGCATCGATTTGAGCCTTCAAATCCTTTGCCTGATCAATCGTGAGGGACCCTCCTTTCTGCAGCTGCTTTCTTTTCGTACGACGACGGCGGCTGAGGCGGTCGTTTGCATCTCGAAGTTCGGCGAGCTCTTGGCGCATAAGGTCCTGCTCGTGTACCATCATCATAACTCCTTTTCTCAGCTGCCGTACGCTCTCAACAATGGACGACGGTGAGCTATTCTGGTGTTGTACGATGCGATTTTCAATATACTTCGTCTGCGATTCGGTCTCAATTGGGTTGTTCGGCGTCTTTGAAACCCATGGGGGTGGTAGTCCAGCAGAGGGACCTGGCGGTGTCGGCGTATGAAACTTCACATCTAGCTGTGAAATCACATAATTCGGGTCGTACGGTACTAGGCCTGTCGCTCTAAAGCCTGCCTGGATGTTTGATTTAGTCATTGCAGCGTTGTACGCCTTATAAAAGGCTGGGAGGAAGTCCTCCTTTGAAACGTGGGTTACGTGCGCCCGCATTAGACCTTCGATTTCTTTACCGTACGCCCGTTTCAGAGGTTCAAAGCACCCAACATCGAGAGGCTGGAGCTTATGCGACGAGTGAGCAGGCATATAGAGCGTTACAATGTTCTGTTCCTTGCAGTAGAGCTCGAAATCGACCGAATGGTAGCTATCGTGGCCGTCGAGGATAAGGAGGCGGTAGGTACCCTTCGTACGACTCTTCGTATGGAAATCGAAGTGTTTTACCTACTCTAGGCCTCTCTCGTTCGTCGTCCAACCGTTTTCTGAAAGCGCGATTACCTAGTCGGGCGGTAGGGGGCTATTTGCGGTCCAGGAGTCGAGGTGGACCTTCCCGGCGAAGATGATGTACGGCGGGATTAAATAGCCGTACGACGCGATACCCTGGATTACTATAACCCATTCCTGATTCCCTTGTTGTACAGCTCTTAGCTTCCCACGTCGATCGGAGGTTGTAACGACAGTTTCAGCGGAGATTTTACCTATCGCGAAGCCCGTTTCGTCGAAGTTATAGATGTCGTCATCGTAGATCCCGTATTTCGCGATTATGTTTTGTACGAGCTTAAACCACGCGCGATACACGTCTGGATCTTCGCAGAGGACTCTCTAGTAGTCGATTCTTCGATTAAAACGCGTACGGAGCTCTGGTCGTCGTCGTACGAAGTTTGAGGCCCAGTTCGTTCCGACGCGTAGCGCGTCGCGCATACGGAGGAGTCGATCCGCCATTTCTCGAACACCACCTAACCGCGGTGGAAACGATCGCGAATCTAGGTCGATTATATATCGTACGATACTGTCCTCTTCGTACGAGGTCAATTTCTGGCAAGGTGGTCGGATATCTTGTTACGCAGGTCGGCCGTGTTGTCGTCGTTAGAGGGTTGAGAAGGATACATTATAGATCTATGCAGCCTTTCGTACGCTCAATTCTGGGTTCGATTGAAGCGCATTTAGCGCGAGAACTAAATCGCTTTCATTTGATTGTCGTACCATAATTATCGGTGGAGAAAAGGGGGAAAGAAGACAGCCTGTACGAAAGTGGCGGGGGACTGATTCATCCGCTTGTGTGATTCACCCACTTGTGGATTACGTTACATATATCCTGCGGGAAGCAATCTGTCTCGCCGGCCGTGTACGCTGTATCTGCGCCTGCTTGACACCTTTGGCCAAGCTCTGCCTCTTGGAGTGCCGGATCACACATCGAAGCAAGGAGGTTGGGTTGACGAGGCTTGCTTTCACTCGTGCTTCGCTCTGTGAGGATTTAGAAAAGCCTATTGCCAATGATCATACTCTAATCAATCTGCGACTGGTATCGCTTGTGTGCTCTCCAGCGGCATAGGCAGGCCTATGCCGTAACTCCCTTTGCAAAACGCGGTGGACATGAGCATGGCGCTGCAATAAAGCGGGACCAAGCCCTCTCAGGGCTACCGTGATAGTCCCGTCTCAGCAGGTTTCCTTCCCGACTTGACTACCACCGATGTCTCTCTGCAGGACAACGGGGTACTGGGGCTCGACTTCGCAGGTCTTGGCGGCGAGTCTGACGAGTATGTATCGCCACGCACATGCAGTACTCGTGCCAAACGCACTTGTGCAGGCACAAGGAGGGGAGGAGGCAAGAGAACGCTTGACATCGCCGGCACGTGGGATAACATGATAGGGCGTGTGCTTGGTGAGGACGAGGAGGCGCTGCTCGGCGCCGCCACGTACTTGTGCCGACCTCATGTAGCGCAATAGTGCTGGCAAAGAGCAGAGATTGGAAGTATGATAAGCTTCGCGGGATTGCGGCAGAAGTCGGCTTGATGAGTCACGGAAGCAGCTTGAGACCGTTCAGAGCCAGTGCTAACGCAGCATCCAATTGGCTAAGCTGGGCGAGGAATGCTGTGCTAGTGTAGAGCACCTGGTCCCCCGCCGTCCGTTGTGAGATCCGTAGGAATTGAAACTCCAGGGCGAAGGTCGAGGTCAAGGTGATGTCCGTAATCATTAAAGATCGGATTCGAGGCAAGACCATGTGAGGCCTAGCCCTTCCCACCGATTCAAGACGGCGCTTTGTGCGACTAATATATCTTGCCTACGTAACCCATCGAAGCATCTCCATGCCATCCATCCGTCATTCACCATTGCCGGTGTCCGAAACTTCTCGGCCGACGGCTTCGCTCAATACAGCGCCGTGCCTTACCAAAAGTGGCACAACGCTTGGATTGTGTTTTCTTGCCGCCTCCAAGGCGCTGCCGTGCTTGCCTGCAGGGGCGGAAGGCACCGCGCCGTGGTCGAGCAGCATCTCTACCAAGCGTTTGATGTCTGAGGCACGACGTGTTGATGCAGCACGTGACGCGCAGGCTTGCTGTAGCGGAGTGGCAGATCCGCCAGGCGCGTTGACGTCGGCGCCATGTCTGAGCAGCAGCTCGACAACACTGACCAGGCCGTGGTAGCATGCCGCATGCAAGGCCGAGCCGTATGGAGACCCTTCAACACACACGGTCGGGTCTGCCCCACGAGTGAGCAGCAATGCGCAACCTTTGACCAGTGCCGTGTTGTCGACCTCTCTATATTCACAGGAACCACACAAGGCCTGCAGAGGCGTGCCCCAGCGGGCGCCTCGGCCGTTGGGATCCGCCCCATGCTCAAGGAGAAGCCACAAGAGATCGATATCGCACCCGTGTCCCCCAAAATTGCGGCACGCAGCATAGAGAGGCGTGCCGCCGCCCTCCGCGGCTCTGTTGACAGCAGCGCCGTGCTCCAGCAGCATGCGGCTGATTGCGATATTACCATCACTGCACGCATTGGTGAGTGCAATGCTGTGCCCCTCTTGCCTGTTGACCGCTGCGCCGCCGCTCAGGAGGAGTTGCACGATTTCCATGTTGTCGTTCCTCCATTCAGGCCAGGACACACAAGCTGCCTCGAGGGCCGTCAAGCCCTTCCAAGTCATGTCGTTGACCACAGCGCCATGACGCAGAAGCAGTCTCATAGTGCCTGCGCCATGAAATGTGGCTGCAATGGCCAGGTAAGGAGCACTGGGCTCGCCTAGGTAGGCATCCGCACCATGCTGGAGAAACAGACCAGCAGCTCGCGTTTCATCTAGACCTTCGCAGGCAAACCCAAGGTCTAATCGGCTCGGCTTGGCGCCATGTCGTAACAGCAGCGGCAGGATGTGAGGCGATCTTCGAAGACTCTTGCGAAGCGCTACCGGATCCCGAGCAGGGTTGGCACCTTTCGCAATCAACATCTCAAGGATCGCTTCGCTGTGATTTGCCTTTATAGCTTGGCACAAGTCGCAGCCACCCTCAAACTCGAGGTCTTTAGAATAAAAGAAGTAGTCGGAGTACCTAACGTCTTTGCCTTCGAGAGCTTCGCTATTGAAGGGCTTGTTGTCGAAGGGCTCGTCATGTGTAGTGATCTGGAAGTCCCGGGCTAGTAGAAGTTTGACAAGTTTGGGATCCGGCAATACCAAGTCGAGCAGGCTCGTCTGCCGAGCTTCCATGTCCGTCTCCCTCCAATCGTAGACTGTGTAATTCACATCAAGGCCTCTGTCCAAGAGTCCAGCGATAGCGGCTCGGTTTGACTCCAGATTAGGAAGCTCTGGCGGCAAGCTCCCAAGTTCTGCTGCAGAAGAAGCCTCGGCTTCGCGCAGCCACAGCGCGAGAGCAAAGTGACGACGTTCCATTGCGAGATCGAACGGAGTGCGGCCTCTGCCATCCCTGACGTCGAGCTGCGCGCCGCGATGAAGCAGCAGGCGGATAGTCTCGTTGGTCCCGCTAGCAGCGGCGAAATGGAGTGCCGTTCTGAAACCGTCAGCAGGCTCCCCGGGCGCATTGACGTCATCACCATGGTTGAGCAGAACGCTGACTGTGGACCTTTTGCCCCGTAGTACGGCGGCTTTCATCGGGGACAGTCGCATGCAGTCCCCGCAGTCGTGTTTTGATTGATCAATCCTACCTTCATGCTGGATCAGTCCCTCCAGGAGCCGAGGAAAGCCTCCGTATGCCAACGTAAACTGTTTGCTAATGCCTGGAATTTCCGCTTCTCTGTGCGATGAAGATGGCACACCTACAAGTAAATGCAATTCCTCACGATTTAGATTCGTGAGGAACTGTACTTGCGAGTTCTCCGTGGCGGACCACTCAGCATGATGCAACATTGAAGTCGCCACGTACTCAACGAACGGCGCCTCGGAATTAGGACCGAAGCGCCCGCGGGACCGCGTGCTGGGAATGTAGTCTCCCGTCGTCTTGCGAAAGAATGAGTAACACAATTGTTTGATCCGTTCGTGGCAGTGGGCCGGTTCGGACTCTTGAGGGCCAAATAGCTCGCACATGCCGTTTTCGTTAATCAAAAAGTCCTTGACCGACTCGTGGATGAACTCTACTTGAGACCAATGCGTATTTGTGATCTTTGCGAGCCCTCTAGAGGTGCTGGTGATGAAGTTGTTGACAACCTCATAGGTGACCCTAGACTTATCCCAAGGTCCATAGACCTCGTTGGATTCGGGACTAATCCCCATCATCATTGCGCGGTAGAATTCTTTCGGCGAAAGAGGGCGCCTTGCGTAAATGATCCATTGAGCACAAAGCCTGAAGCTCTCGAGGTCGTGGGAGTCTTTGCGAAGGATCTCTCTAAACAGGTCGCTCAACTGTACTGGTAAGCCTTGGAGGCGTTCATGAAGCCGAACTGAATCGACCCGCCCCTCCCCAAAGTCTCGATACAGCAAACTGAGAACCAAGACTGCCCAGAGAAAGATGCCTTGCGCTTTTTCGATAATTTTGTGACGTAGGTCTTGCCGGATCCCTCTGGGCCACTGAGAAAGACTAGATCGGACATAGCGTTCGAGGTCCGACGCATCCCCCTCTTGCTCATCAAGAACGACTAGTATGCCTTTCCGCATACTCACAACTGGATACGGTCTGCTGGAGAAGCAGATGTGTAGTTTGACACCTTTTTCAAATGCGTGTCTAGCCTCTCGTTGGAAGCTCTCGACCATGGCGAGACCTTCATGCGCATTGCACTCGTCAAGGGCGTCAATGAAGAGCATCAAGTGTCGCGTGCTCAACATCCCAATTGCCTGAGACATCAGCCTTTGAAGCTTCTTCAAGGTCCAGGACGTATTCCTTTGATTGTCGAGGGTGGCTTGAAGCTCTGGGAGTTCTTTGAGCAGTTGAAAGAGGAATGATCGATACATGCCAACGGCCGACTTCTCTAGTTCGCCTCCTCGTGCATTGAAAAAGAATGCAAGCACGACAACTCTGCTCTCGGCATCACAGTCGTGTTGAAATTCGGGGACTGCTTTGTGTCTGAGGGAGGTGCCCAATGCTGCAGACATATCTCTGCTTGTCTCAAATAGGTATTTCATGATTGTAGACTTCCCAACTCCGGCGTTCCCCCTAAGCCAGAGGAAGCCGTGATGGACATGGTGTCGAGTAGGATCAAGCCAGTCTAGATATGCTTCGTGTTGCAAAATCCATAGGCATGTTTCTTCATGCCGTTCATTGATGTCTTCATAACGAGAGTCGATCTGGTCGAATGATAGGCTTTTGAGACACTCTTTGCGATGCGCCGCCAGCTCGGCCGACAGTGCTAGGAGGCTCGTTAGCAGGGCAGTACTATTTTGGCTTGTAGATCTGTACTCACCTGGATGCTTAGCTACTGCAGTAGCTGAAAGAGCAGTGGACCAAGACTCCGGAGCACGTTTCCGGAGGAACCGCTTGGCAAAGGCTGCAGCAGTTGCTGCCGCATAATCTTGCCACTCCTTCTTCTTATGGGAGTCTGCATAATCGCAGACCCCCCTGATGACCAGATTTGGAAAATCGTGATCCAGACCGGCAGCTTCCATCTCGATGCATAACGCATTGTGCAGTAGCCCGATCTCGTCACGCTTCCTCGCGTTCTTAACAACTTGGTTGCCGGAAGCAATTGTTCCGTAATGGACTACAGGTTTGCTATTTAGTCGGTCTTCTCTCTTTACTAGACGACGATTGTCGCACGAGCTGCAGCTCTTGGTTTCGTCCTCGTGCTCGTATGACGCGTGATATAGGCCATCGAAGAGTTTGGTTCGGTCTAGATGAGGGTTTTGTAATCCTCGAGAGTGCCGCATTTTCGAGACAATCGATCGATGCCAGCCTGGTCGAAGCTCGGCCTGGACACGGGCTGGCGTCGTCGCGAGCGAACTATGCAAGACGTGCTTTGGCGCAGTGCTTACGAATTCGTCCCCTTTGACATCTTTCCCCAAGTCGTGCTGAACGATATCTTGACCGACAACGACATCGCCGAGTCTGACGTCTGCAGGGAAAGGGATCCCGCCAGCGATGCCAACCATGAGCAGGAACCGGATGCTGGGGAAGCTGCGCCGCATGTGCACGGCAACGTTGGCCGCGCTGTTCGTCCCATAGGTGCCCGAGGGCAGACAAGCCAGGACGACGTTGTGTTCATGGATGCGACCGAAGGCGTATTCGTTGTAGTCGTTCTTGTCGCGGGGCAGTGTCTCGTGCTGTTCATCCAGGCAGGCGAGAGCCGCCTTTAGCTCGCGGGGAAGTGCACTGACCCAGCCTACGGCGTACTCGTCTTTGCTCGGACGGCGCCGAGGGCGCGAAGACCGTCTGCCGCTGTAGTTGGCGTCCATCCTTGGCGACCGTCAGGATAGAGCAGTCGCTCGAACCAGCGGGGGCTGTCGACACCAGGAAAGGCTCTGTCGTAAAGCATCAGCAAGAGCGCAAAAGCGATCTTGGGAGGGAGGCCGCCAGCAGGAGGGCAGATCAGCAGATAAGGCAACCGTGACCCCTCTTTGCAGGACCAACACGGGCACGGTAGCCGAAGTCCTGTCTGAGGTGATCCCCAGTCACCTGCATCGGCTTGGCTTGGCAATTTGCTGTCAGGCCCGAGTCTGTGCATGCTGCATGAACATTTGGCGGAGGTGTTGAAATCGCCTCAGTCGTATGAACTCTCCTTCACGTCATACAAAGCTTGCAACATGCGCATATAGTGCAGTAGGGAAAATCTCAAATCGATCTTGCGCTTAACCTTGCATACCACTTGTCATTGCTTCAGCATGTTGCAGACGTCCACACGACTCTTGGGAGAGGTCTATCACCAGCAGCTCAATTCAGATTCGCCAATACCAAGACAAAATATGAATCCAGCAGGCGTTCGATCTTTTCCACTTATAGCTACTCCAGTAGCTCTGGGCTGTGAGGCTGCTACTGATGGGCCCGCCGCCTTCGAGACGGCGAAGTTCGGCAAGAGGACGGGTTCTAAAATAAGATGGACCGCGAGCTATGGTCTCTCCGGTGTGAAATATTCCTCATGTCGGCTGCCGGAATGGGGCTATCTGTATGGTCTAAGTGCTTAATAGTAACCCTAGAAATACAGCTTCCTCCTCTGTGTTATCGCACATTATCGTGCATTTTACTGCATAGTATATCGTGGGCCGTTTAAAGATATCGCTCCTCCTTACTCGTCGTGTCCCTTCGCGTCAAAGGGAGTTATAAGTCTGGTTACATAACGTAATCCACAAGTGACTGAGACATACAAGTGAATGAGACACTTTCAGGGTACTCGTACGATAATGTATAAGAGAATTCAACCACAACGCCTGAAATCAATTGAAACTATTCAGAATCCTCTTCTTCAGAGGCAGATACAACTTTCTGACACGTACGAGCATTATGCCCGGGCTCGCCGCAGACGCCACATCGTCGCGCGCGCGTTTCGGGCCTCCTCGTACGACCACTCTTCTGACTCGTTTCCGCTATTAACTGCTGCGTCGCATCGATTTGAGCCTTTAAATCCTTTGCCTGATTAATCGTGAGGGACCCTCCTTTCTATAGCTGCTTTCTTTTCGTACGACGACGGCGGCTGAGGCGGTCGTTTGCATCTCGAAGTTCGGCGAGCTCTTGGCGTATAAGGTCCTGCTCGTGTACTATCATTATGACTCCTTTTCTTAGCTGCCGTACGCTCTTAACAATGGACGACGGTGAGCTATTCTGGTGTCGTACGATGCGATTTTCAATATACTTCGTCTGCGATTCGGTCTTAATTGGGTTGTTCGGCGTCTTTGAAACCTATAGGGGTGGTAGTCCAGTAGAGGAACCTGGCGGTGTCGGCGTATGAAACTTCACATCTAGCTGTGAAATCACATAATTCGGGTCGTACGGTACTAGGCCTGTCGCTCTGAAGCCTGCCTAGATGTTTGATTTGGTCATTATAGCGTCGTACGCCTTATAAAAGGCTAGGAGGAAGTCCTCCTTTGAAACGTAGGTTACGTACGCCCGTATTAGACCTTCGATTTCTTTACCGTACGCCCGTTTTAGAGGTCCAAAACACCTAACATCGAGAGGCTGGAGCTTATGCGACGAATGAGCAGGCATATAGAGGGTAACAATATTCTGTTCTTTGCAGTAGAGCTCGAAATCGACGGAATGGTAGCTATCGTGGCCGTCGAGGATAAGGAGGCGGTAGGTACCCTTCGTACGACTCTTCGTATGGAAATCGAAGTGTTTTACCTACTCTAGGCCTCTCTCGTTCGTCGTCCAACCGTTTTCTGAAAGCGCGATTACCTAGTCGGGCGGTAGGGGGCTATTTGCGGTCCAGGAGTTGAGGTGGACCTTCCCGGCGAAGATGATATATGGCGGGATTGAATAGCCGTACGACGCGATGCCCTGGATTACTGTAACCTATTTCTAATTCCCTTGTTGTACGGCTCTTGGCCTCCCGCGTCGATCGGAGGTCGTAACGATAGTTTCGGCGGAGATTTTGCCTATCGCGAAGCCCGTTTCGTCGAAGTTATAGATATCGTCATCGTGGATCCCGTATTTCGCGATTATGTTTCGTACGAGCGTAAACCACATGTGATACGCGTCCGGATCTTCGTAAAGGACCCTCTGGTAATCGATTCTTCGATTAAAACGCGTACGGAGCTTAGGTCGTCGTCGTACGAAGTTCGAGGCCCAGTTCGTTCCGACGCGTGGCGCGTCGCGTACGTGGAGGAGTCGATCCGCCATTTCTCGAACACCACCTAATCGCGGTGGAAACGATCGCGAATCTAGGTCGATTATATATCGTACGATACTGTCCTCTTCGTACGAGGTCAATTTCTGGCAGGGTGGTCGGATATCGCGTTTCGCAGCTTGGCCGTTTCGTCGTCGTGAGAGGGTCGCATGGGATACATTATAGAGTAGTGCAGCCTTTCGTACGCTTAATTTTGGGTTTAAATGGAGCGCATTAAGCGCTAGGATAAGGTCGCTTTCATTTGATTGTCGTCCCATTATTGTTGGTGGAGAAAAGGAGGAAAGAAAATGGGGGGTTAAGAATGGGCGGAAAGTGTCTCATTCACTTGTGTGTCTCAGTCACTTGTGGATTACGTTATATCAATCGTATAATAGAAGCAGCAAACTCTCACGCGCGCTGAATCCTCTTTCGTAGTGTCTACTCGACACCTCTCGCCAGGTGCCACACCTGGTTGTGCGAACGCCAAGATACCCCAGGGTCTCGCCCTCGGCGGCCCCCATATTCTTGGCAATGCTTGGTTGCCGGAACGTTTCCGCAGCACTCGCAGGAGGTGAGGATTCACCGGGCATGTAGAGTCTTTCAACACACTATCACACCACGTACGACCATAGGATCAAGAAAATTGAGGGTCCCGTCCGCTCCCCTGTTTACACAAGCTTGATACCGCCGGACTAGTAGTTGGGTCGGTGACGACCAGCGAATCCCCGGTGTTGTACGTTTTTTTGGTTTTTGATTAAGCTCTCCGCTGGCTTTTGGAATTGCAAGCCTGCTAAACGTGCTTGCTTTTGGCCGGATGATTGTGCACTGCGGTGTTGTGTGCTCGATATGTCTCGCCGTGGGCGACGCTTTGTTTTGACCCAACACACAGGACAAAGGCAAGCTCGGCGGATTCGGTATGTTTCTCAGGAGCGAGGTGAAATATATCATCTGATTGGATATGCATGCAAATCTATTTTTGATGCCAAACGCGCCACACGATAATTATGGCAAGCCTCCCGCAGTCCCTCAGAATTCCATCACTTGGGCTCTTCGATATCGACATTGGAATCTTGCGCCAAGAGTCCATTAAAATCCGGACGCCTGGCCCTAGGCCCACTTGTGCTTCCATACCCTAGACTTTATGTATTCATGCGTTCAAACCTATTGATTGATTAGGAACTGATCCGATCAGCAGTCCCTTCACGATGCAGTCAGCACAAGTTCTAGATGACACGGAACAGGTCTCAAGCCTGGTCTAAGCGGGATGCCGCATGACCACAAGACAACGCGGCAAGCAAGAAAGACTTACCTGATACAAGAGGTACCGGCCCCTGATCTTCCAAGCTACAGCCCCGTGGCAGTCCACCTCCCGCGTCCACGAGTCCTGATACATGACCGGCACGACCGCGATATCCTCCGGCGAAATCACCCCCGGCCATCCCGTCGATGGCGCGGGAAAGTGCGTCGCGAGCACATACGTCGCCGACACGGCGCTCAACACCGAACCATTGACAGTCCCTTCTTGCTCCTCGCGGCACAGCTGGATCACAGAAGTGCCCATGAGGTGCTGCGTCATGGCGAAGAGCGTCAGCGCCGCGGAGAGCGTCGCTTTGATCTCCTGGATCCCGCTCATGAAGCCGACCTCGGAGTAGTTGGCCAGCGCGTCCTGGGTGAAGATGCTGTCCAGCACGGGGAAATTGCGGCCGTCGATGGCGAGGGCGTAGCGCGAGATTGTGCGCCGGATGAGCTCCATGTCCGCCGCGGCGGTGTCGTCGACTGGCACGGTGTGTGAGGTGAAGATCTGGGCGATTTCCGAGCGCGTGAGGGCTACGCCATTGTTCTGGAGGACGGGGCAGATGGGGAGGGATGAGGTATAGCCAGGTGCTGCGACGTTGCCTTGCCAGTCTGGTGGACACGATGAGGAAACGGGAGAGGCTGCTCCAGGACTCGCCAAAGCGGCCATAAGCAACAAGTTGGGGAAGTGCATGATCTCGTGGGAGTAGATCCGAGGGTCGAATCGCGTGGTGAAGGATGTTGATGCGACGAGAGGCCCCAACGAGAAATCCAATGACCCCAAGCATCTTCGACAAACATCCGCGCTTCTGAGAGCCTATTTATATTGATATCAGAAGTGCCCGATTCTGTTGGTTCAGTTGCTGAACTCCGTCGTCACGAAACCAACAGCCGACAGCCTGCAGCTGGACGGCACAGCATCGTTTCGGCGGCGGTGGGCCGCAGGCACAAATGTTTGCTTGAAGGGGAGAAGCCACGAATCAGGCGCGTTTGCTTCGGCCAGCCACCAAATTAACTTGTCGCGTGCATCTGGTAGTTCCATTGCATACTTTATGCTGGGTTACCAACCAACATATGGTCACAGCTTTATGATATGGTGTGAAACACCTGACTGTGAATGAGTTTCATAATTCTACAGTTGATAATACAAGCTCGTGGATAGCGAGCGAACCGACGATATTCTCTACAGTCCCGCTCTTGAGTGCTAAACCTTTTCCCACAGCACCCATTTCCTTCCCAGGCACGCCCAGCGACTCAGCGCGAACAAGACCATGCTCAGGATCAGCACAGCACAGCAGAACCCAATCATGGCCTGCCCACTAACACCTTCCAGGAGCTGCCCGCCAATCGGCACCGACACGAGTGTCACAAAGCTGCCAAGGAAGTAAATCACGCCATAGTACCGCCCAAACTCACCTGGGGGGCACAGCTGCCCGACACAAGCCGGGATCAGCGCCATCCAGGACCCGGTGCCGAATCCGAACAGCGCCGAGAAGGCGTACAGGCTTCCCAGCGAGGTGTGGCCGAACGGCAGCCACAGCGCGACCGTGAAGATCTGCATGAAGAGGATCATGGCGAGCAGGGTGTTGAATTGGCCTAGCTTGTCTGATATGTAGCCTGGTCCGAGGCGGCCGAGGACTGAGGCGCCGTTGCATACTGCAAGGAGGTAGAACCCGATATCGGTAGGGTAGGCAGTTTGGGCGGTGGCGTATGTCGGGAGGAGCACTTGCGTAAGGAAAAGCACCAGCTCGAGACCGATGACACTAGCCGCGAATAGGCTGACCCGAAGGTCGCTGAGGATGGAGAAGGAAATGATTCTGTTAGAGGAAGCGGGCTTTGGGGCTGAGAATGTGGTTCTGGTTGCCGTCAAGGTAGACGATGACGACTGTTGCGAAATTGCTGGGCGTGAGCTTGGGCGTGCTGATTCTGTCGTTCGTGCCGGTGCGGATCGCTTTCGCAGAAGGATATTGCCCAAGGCGAGACAGAACATCGCCATGAACGCGAGGATCCTCATGGACCAGGCATATCCATATTGGGGAAACGCGTATCGGAGTATGATTGGGATGAGCAGGCCACCAAGAGACGAGCCAGCCATTGCGATGCCTTGCGCGAACCCTCGCCTATCCTTAAACCAGAGTGCCACTGTACCCAAGGCACTCGTGCTGAGCATCGCACCGCTAAGTCCCCCGATAATCGAGCAGCTCAACATGAAGTGCCAGTATTGACTTGAATGGGCGAGAAGGATAAACATGGCTATGAAGCCCACGCTGCCCAGGAGCATCACCCAGCGCGGACCGTATCGGTCGAAGCACGGCCCCACAATCAGGCCCGCGGCCAGCCATAGATACAGCAGCAGGCCAGAGATCCAGCCGATGTCGCGTGAAGAATAAAATCGCAGCTGGTGTCGTGCCCAGTAGTCTTGCAGTGTGCCGATGGCAGTAAGGAAACCGAATGAAGGGAAAAGGGTGAGTGAGGCTCCAGTCACCACCAGCCATGCCCGAATGCCGCCCTCAGGGAAATCTTCAACATCAACAGCGTCTTGTGGAGCGTCAAGTTCGATGGCGGTTGTGTCTGTGCTTTGAATCGTCGGTCGACTGTTGGTGCAAGGCGTGTTCAGGATCCGACACCCGATGGTGAATTTCTTTCCTTTCATAGTCGGCAGTGGAGCTTTTCAGATATAAGAACTTGGGAATTCCAGAAGAATCGTTCAACGACGAGGAGTTGAGAAGTTAAACGACAAAAACTGAACGAGTGAGTACTGGTCCAAGCGTATTTGTACAGGACGCTCGGACGTGAGGTTCGATGAACCAGTGACACAGTTCCAGCACGAGTTCCTCCTTCACGCCCATTGTGGTAAATGTCAGCACAATGGCAAACATGCCCCTTACTGCCGGCCCGGTGTGTATGATTCGCCTTGCCGGACCGAGGGGTTTCGGCAAACTTGCCAAGTGCCGAACACAAAACGCGATGGAAAACAGGGGAATCTGGATGTCTCGGTCGGCCCGAGATTTGCAATGCTGGCAACCGGGCCGGGTTCTTTCGCACAACACATGAACGAATTGAGTCGCTTACCTCTCCATACTTGAGCCAGATGTCCACTCTGCTAACCAGAGGGCACTGACTTCTTGGGGACCCGGTCCTGAGATGACGGCAAATAACACTCTATCGGTGTTTCTGGACGTGATTGGATGCCTGTCTTGTGATCTCATTTGGCGAACCTCTCGGAGGGCGATAGTCTCTATTCGAGGTCTGGGTCGCAAAGGTGTACTTTTGTCTTTATATCGGAGCAGCCCTGTCCGTGCCCAGAGCAAACACATCCCCAACCGTGGCAGCGATGACTTGGCTTACGCCAGCCACGACATCGCACTTCTTTTTGACGTCTTCCCGGAATATGGCGAATGCGAATCGCAAGACTTCTTAGATTTGAACGCGGCTGCAAGGACAAGGGCTTATGAGCATGGTCATGATGCTGCAAAGTCAGAACGTCTACAAATGCACGTTCTGTTGGGCGATGGGTCGGTACATATTTTTGGCTGTTGGCCTTCGCGATCCACGGAAGCAAACATCTCATGTGCTCGGGTAAAGTCCACCAATCAGAGCCAGCACGGTCGACTCTAGCTGCCACATGGAGTAGCACTCATTGCATCTCGCACGGTTTGGCAAGTCTGAATGAGTCTTGTCACCAGATACTATGGTAGCTGAGGTGCCTAGTTGACCTGAGCACATCCCCTCCCCAGTAGCCCAAATGTAAGTGCGGCTAGAAATGTAAGGGGCCTCAGCACTGATAATCGCAGCACTGGATAGCCTCTTGCGTCGTCGTCATGAATCTGGGAGCTGGCCTCTGAGATAGAGCACGACTGGTGCACGATGGCTTTGAAAGCTCATGCTAGATGTACTGCAAGGAGTCGGCCCAAGTCTTCAGGTCCGCAGTATATCACACTGATAGACTACTTGCCCTAAAAGGAAATGTCAAGTCTCTGGCCACACCTCAACGTAGACCCATGCATGGAACACCACCCTCCCGCAGATCTTCCTTGCTTCGGTAGGCCTAGGGCCCCCGTTCGGGCATCTCGCAGTTCTCGAAGCGGGCCAAGATGAAGCACCTGCGCCTTCATACGACCGGGCCGAGAGTATCATTATGGATCGGCAAGGTTGCTGATTCGTCGTTGAAGCGCAGGGATCACATCTGGAATGCTCTTTATGTGGTACCCTGGAGGCCGATGATGTACAATACGTCCAACAAGTCCACCCGCAGCAAGCAAACGATGCCTGCCCCGGACCCCCGACAAAAAGACCCTGCCATCAACTAAGCCACACGCGCGCAAAAGTCACCTCCTCGCCTCCTCGTCCCTCAGTACCTCTTCTATGAATCTGATCCCCTGCACGCCCTCCACCATGAGCCCCGACGTCCCGGCCAGGGCAAAACAGTGCATCTGGCCCTTCCACACGAGCCACCGGCCCGGAGCCCTTGCCTTGACGCACCGGTCCTTGAACAGCAGCGCGTCGGGCGCGAGTACGTCGCTCGTCCCGATGATCCCGTGGATACTGATCCCGTGCGTCGCGAGGCTGGCGAAGACCGAAGAGTCATGACAGAGCGGGGACACGACTGGATCGTCACGGGCGAGGGGTTTAGTGTTTCTCCTGCTTGTCGCTGGCTGCTTGGATTGCTGCTGCTGCGGCTGCTTTTGCCTCGAGCCCTGCTCGCCTTCTTTGGATGTCTGCGCCTGAGTTGACGCTGCGTGAGACGCACCCGCACCTGGTGGTATACCGGCCCCTTCATCCTCCTTGTACAACCCCGTCCATGCAGCTGCCACTTTCTCTGTGAGCTCCTTGGTCAAGACCGGGTCAACCTTGTCCACGGCATCAATGTCCGAATTGGTGTTGCGCATATCGACGACGGGGGATATGACGATGACGCTCTTGAGCACACTAGGCTGAATCGGGATGATCCTGCCGCCGCTGCCGCCATCGCTGCCACCGTGAGCTAGACCCTCACCCATTTTTGCCGCCTGGTTCACTTCCTTGCTCCTCCGCTTCGCTGCCGCCTCGAGCTGCGTGGCCCACCACATCCCCAGACTGAGCGCAATATTCCCGCCCGCAGAGTCGCCCATCAGGCTTATACTTCCCCGCTGCCCATCCACCGCGGACGTATTCGCTGCAGCGGCAGTGATGCTCCGCCTCAGGTACTCCCTCAGCACCGGCAGCGACTCGCCTGCCGGGCTCTCGGGCGCGAGCGGATACGACATGAGTGTGAACTGGTATTCATCGGGGAACTTGTCCGCCAAGCCCGCGACAAGGCGCCAGTGCATCGAGCTCGGGGGCGCCTGAAACCCGCCCCCGCGAAGAAGAGAACCCTATGCCTAGGGCTAGAGGCCGCTCGAGACGTTCCCGGTGTGGTTGTTGTTGTGGTCGGTGTTGCATCGCTGCTGGGATGCCCTGCTGATGACGGAGGGGACGCCGCCGTGGTGGTGCTGTAATGACGACGACGACAGTGATCACGACGATGCCGACTCTTGGGCTCAAAGTCGTACACCCATAGTCCCAGGCCGAACTCGTCATGTCGCTCGACAACGTCGCACGAGCTGGTGCGCTTGATCTTTGCGTCGCGGGAGAGCTTTGGCGATCCGCGCGGCAGGGCTTTCTTGGGTGGCGAGGTGAGGCGTGGCCGCAGAGGCTTGATCACGAGGCGGAGGACCCTGTAGAGCAGGGACAGGTCCTCGCGCGTGTCTACTATCGTGGGTGACAGGCAGTCGTAGGCGGACGTCATGGTTCACAACCAATGTGTATGAGATCTGCCGTTGCGTTTCTGGACGCCGGTGAGGCCCCTCGCTCGCTGATGAAAATGTCGACCTCGTGATGAGTGAGGTCTCTGCCGCCAACCTTGTGCTATGCGTGAGGTTTGCTGTTGTGACGACCTTGCACTAAGCAAGCAAGGCGAGTGACAAGACTCAACAGAAAGTGAGTCAGTGATCAGGATAACCTGTTCCGCAGGTCTACGTGAACGAATTCTGCAGCAGAGCCAAAGTTCATCCATGAGGACATGCCTGCGTTCACGACCTGCATGCAGGGACGGTTAGCGGCCGCTGCCACACGGGTGGCGTCTTGGTGGTGACGTAGACTACTGGCGCCAATCCGATCGACCGCGCGCTAACGCAAGATCACCTGTATTCAAGATCGAAGAATCCCGAATTAGACCCATGCGTTCAGTCTCATGGGGATGAGCGAGGATTAGCGCCCCTCACCAGCGGAATTACGCTTGCTTCGCCAGCCCTTTCACTTCGCAGTTGACAGATTCATCCTTGAAACATCCGCTCTAATGGACTTTTACTACAATCTGCGTAGCCTAGGCCCTATCATTTGCGTCTGTAGCTCCAAACTACCGATACCTAAATTTACTCATACACCGCTCTCCTCATTAAAGGTGACCGTCGTGTTTACCGACTTTACGTCTCGGTGGTAAAGCTGTTCTTTGCCGGCATACCCGCCCTCTGCCGTCACGCCCCAGAAATCAAACACCTGCTCTTGCGATCCGCTGCCCTCGCTGTACGAGTTGTCGCCGGCGCGATGGAAGTTGGCCGTACCCACCCGGCGGGTGTCGAGGCTCGAGCCAGCGAATTTCTTCGTGCTGCTCTTGTACGACTCGACACCAGTGGGGATAACTGCGCTGCCGACCACCTCCAACTGCAGGCCCTGATCAAGGTTGGCCCACAGGGTCAGGTTGCCCTCGGGCGCGATGGCGGCAGTGCTGTTGCAGAACAGTGGGTAGTGGTACTTAGAGGCGTACAGGCCCGAGACTGACCCGGCCGAGGCGTCTGCGCCCGTCGTATCAAGGGTGTTGAGATTGAAGAAGCCATATGCCGTCACCGCGCCGGGATTGCTGTACGACAGCTTTTGCGACCACGAGACCAGTCCTTCCGACTTCTCCGTCTTGACTTTTGCTGTGACTGAGAATTTGCGAGAGACGTCAATCTGGTATTCCAGCGTCTCATTTGCGCCAGCTGCATCCTGCGTGATCTTGGACGAGAATGCGATACTGGGAGCGGGTTGGCTCACGACGGGGATCGTGCCGGTGGTGACGGACGTCTCGCTGTCGAGCCACACAAATACCTTGCCAGTCAGGTACCACGAGCTCTCTGTCGTGGTTGATAGGGATGTGCTCGAGCTGCCGTCATCCACCAGCCCTATCACCTGGATCGTGAATGTGTGCTCGTTGCCGTCGCAGAGAAGCGGCAGCCAAGGCGTGATGTCAATCTCGTGCTCCCGCATGTCGAAAGCATCAATGCCCACGATGGGGCGGTGAAGCTGCGGCACGACACCGCCCGTGAAGATGGTCGGGTATGGCCAGGAGACACCAGCCAGCTTGCCGTCGACCAGCACCTGGATCTCTCGCCACGCCGAATAGCCCGGGTACTGGCCGTACTCGGCGTCAAAGGTGTGGATTGCACTCTGGGGCACGTTGGACCACCAGAACTCGTCGCTGCCCTGCCCTTTCGCTGCGATGGAGAACACCGCCCGGTTGGCGTTGCGCGGGAAAGCCACCGTGTTAGTCGCGTTCTGCTCTGGATATGTGAACTGGCTGGGCTGTCCTGCCGCGCCTGTCCGTTCCGAGATTGGGATGATCAAGTCTGCTGGGGGTTGGCCGCCCACCAGCACGTCGCTCTGGAAGAAAGTCGCAGTCAGGGTCGTGTTGAAGATGCCGGTGTAGACGTCGTTGACAATGTTCTCGAGGTCGAAGATGAGCTTCTGTGGCTGGCGCCAGAGCGACAGGAAGTGCGTCATGTCTTTGTCCCAGCCCCAGACGATTCCGTCCGCTGTTGGCTGTGCCGTGGTGAGGCGCCAGACCTCGGTGTCGCCGAGGTACATGACGCCGGTGCGGTCGTACTGCCGTCCTCGCACAGTCGAGGTGAAGCGGATGACGACGCGATTGAAGTCGCATGCCGGCGGGACATAGTCGGCTGTAGGGAATTGCGTTGCATCAGCCTCGTCCTGCTCTCTCATTCTGCATCCTGTGGCACCTACCGACGAATGGAGATCCGTAGCTGTTGGCAAAGGCGTGCTCCATGAGCACCACCGTGCAGCTGCCCGGGCCGTCCAGGGCGAGCACGGGCTGCGCGACCTGGAAGAACTCGACCGGCCCGGCGGCAGCCATGATCTGCTGCGATTGAGGCCGTCCCACGAGGCCGGGGCCAAGAGCAGGGTGCTTGAATGGGACCAGAGGACCACCGAGTACAGCGCTGTCCCCCGCCAGGCCACTGGCTGCGGCAGTGGTGGTGAAGCCTGCAATGGCGAGAGTGCCCGCCGTCGAGAACCGCATCTTTGCCGGTCAGATGCTGCCACCGCTGCAGAGCGAGGTGACGACCGCAAACGTGCCAGGAGGACAAGAGAGAAGTCTCGCACGCGGAGCAGCGGGTTCATTTAAGCAGCGCTTGACAATTGCCACATGCCGCTTCCCCCGCAGCCCAAATTCGCCTTGGGTAGCACAACGTGCCTGCATTCGGCAGCTGTAGGTCCCTGTGCCTGCTTCTGACGTGGTATTGTCGATCTACAGTAGCCAAATGCAGAAGGTGCTCGGGCGGAGAAGCGATAACGGCGGTTGGGGTAATCGCCGTCGCAGTGATCAGCCAGACTGCGAGAAGTCATGCTCTGCCCTCTCTCAGTGTCTTTTCCACGAGGCGACGTTCAAAATTGCCAGCATCAAGCTGCTTCAACACCGACTTTCATCAGGGACAACTGCATCCATGCTTTGTCTGGGCCGACCCTTTATCGGCTACAGCCACGCGGGGGCCTGGTATGCATGTTGGGCGTGCGTTAATCACTACTCTGTCAGGGACCAATCCACAGCCATGAGGATATCAAAGCTTCGCTGCACTCGTACGGAGATCATGGAGACAAGCCTCCGGGCGAGCTCGTGGTAGCCAGAACAAAAGAATGAACGGTGCTGAGCTATAGGCGTAGAGCAACAGATGGCGGGGCGGGGACCATGGGTGGGTGATCTTTGATCCTGCGAGCTATGGATTGTCTGTACGCAGTAATTATTCAGCACGATTCGAAGACTCAAAACAGAAAATCGTGGTGCGCAGTAACTTGGTGACTGTAGTCAACTGACCTCCAGATAATCTTGCACCATGGTCGTCCATGCCCGAGCCACCAAGCAATACTGGCCTGACCTCATTGCCGAGGTAGTCCGGTAACTTACCCGATTATAAATAAGAGAAAGTCTAACTTATCCGACGTCTAAATGCAGCATCAAGCTCGCCAGCGTGGGAGCATTGTGACGCTCATCGACCCCGGCTCCGACGGACTGTGCACCAGCGTGAGTGGACCGGACAAGGCCCTGTGCCTGAACATATGTCAGGGTCCCAAACCATAAAATGCCGTTTGTAATCAAAGCCCCAGGGCTGCGCCGCTCGCGAGTCCGAGCCGTGCCCAATCAACACCACTTGCATGCGTTCCGGAAAAGGCTCCTGTCAGCATAATCCCTGGTCGCTATCCACCTCAGCTCCACAGCCTCAACGCCCATTAGAGACCCGGTGCCATAAGCCTAGCCCGATCAGAGCCTGGCAGGCCAGCCCTGTCGTCGTGATGTGGGCTCACAACACGCTGTATCCTTACGACCTGGCCCCAGCTTTGGGGCAGTTGCCTGTGCTTACTTATCCTTTGTCCCGTCACCCCCCTCGACCGTCACTAGAGCGGCAGTACCTCATGATTTCTGCAGACACAACTCGACGTGAAAAGGACCTCAGAGACGGATCCGCGCACCCTCCAGGCTGCGTTACCACCAGGACGTCTGGGCAAAGCGGAATACACCTGGCAAAATGGTGTCAACACGGACAATATCGACAATTGGCCTGGCTGTTGCCACGGCCGTTTTCGCGCCGCAGGTCGACGCACAAGAGGACTTCCTCTCACGGTTCACCTTTCCAGGTCCCGAATACCTCGGCAAGACTTTCCACTACCTCGACACCCTCGAAGTCGCCTGGATCAGCAACTACACGGCACCGACGCTCTGGCTGTTCTGCCGAAAGAAGGATGATGACACGATATTCAGTACGTCTGAGGGACGGGGGGAGCGTCTCAGGAAACACGCAGCGCATTTCCTGGGAGTCGCCGACTAACAAAGACACAACCCAGCCCATTACAGGGAGCTCGCGCCAGGAGGCAACGCGACGCGGGAGGTCACGCTCCAATTCAAGGACATGGACCACTGCTGGCTCAATCTGCGCTCAGAAGGGGAGAAGTGGGGGATCAATGGCGTCGGATGGCAGTTTGACAACAGCGCGCGAGGCCAGACGACCATCGGCCTTGGATCCTCGTCGTCCACGAGCTCCGCGGCCGTGCCGTCCCAGACATGTGAGTCCCTGAACCCTAGGACCAATGGGGCGTACGATGGTTGAGGACATGAAATAACGCCTGCTAACCGTGGCATGCTTCGCCAAAGCGTCTTCGCAAACCCCCTCAGTCACGGCGACATCACCCACGGGCTCAAGTGCACCGCCGCCGCCCTCGTCACCGACCGGAATCCCAGACGACAGCCTGTCGACAGGCGCGAAAGCCGGTATCGGTGCCGGCGCCGCCGCAGCAGGCCTGATCATCATCGCCGCCCTGATATTCTTCTTCATGCGCCGCCGCAAGAACAACAACAACAAGCGCCCACCCGCCGAGCTGGCCTCACAGGAAGGGGGCACGTATCAGGACCACCCACAGTATCCGCCCGTGTACGGAGGCCAGGCGATGCAAAATAACAGCCAGTACCAGCAGCTGGGCACTCCCGGGGCGGGAGCAGGCGGCGGCACCTGGGTCCCGGCAGAGTACTACACCAAGTCGGCAGCAGAGCCGCAGGAGATGTACACGGGCGAAGTACAAGGCGCGCACGAGATATATACACCGCATACGGCACCGACCGAGCTACCCTCAGGAGGGCATTATAGGTAAAACGTGTGGTCGCACTTGGGAATGCAGATGGAACTGCCGTGCATGGCTTCTGTCGGGCGGAGTCAGGTCTGAGAGCCTGTCAGGGTTGTCACTTGCGCCGTCCGAGGGACGTCGACATACATGTCGAGGCAAGTGGCGTGGAGGTCGCGCCACCCACCCAGATGCCCTTCGAGCCCAAAAGTGAAAAGCGCCTGGATCATGCAAAGAAGCATATTCTCCTAAGCTCGAACCAGTGCGCAGTACTTTTGGCCAGAAATGGAGACACAATTCCCTGCCGTCCTTGGCAACACTCTGTGGACATGAAATCTGTAGGATGACCTCATGAAACGCGTGCAACGGCGAATCATGCTATTCTCCGTGAGCCCACGATGCTCTCTGATACAAAGGCGTCCTCCGCTATCCTGGCGCTCATCGAAGGATTCGAAAACTCCTTGTTCAAGTAACCGTGTCTCATATGCCTAGCTTTTCTCCAATATTTCTTCCAAGAACCTTCTGAGCTCAGAGAGGATACTGTCATGGCATTTCCCCGCCACGAGACGAGCATGCCAGGCACCACCGCCGCTGTTATCAAACCCCACTGCTGAAAGTAAAGCCCGCAAGCCGCGTCTTCGGCACGCCAGAACTCCTCAAACAGCTGACCCCCGCGGTGCCGGCTCTGGAACGACCATGTCGTGACTAGCTCGACGAACCAGCAGTTCCTGTTCCTGGCGCCAGATTACATCTGGGCTGGAGACGCGGAGCATAGCGAGTTGCTACTATCACGGTTCCCGAGCTGCATCACGCACGATTCCCAAAGCAGGCAAGAGCCAGCGCTGGATCGCACAGGGAGCTCGGAACAGAAGCACACCACGACCGGCAACACGGCAAGAGACGCCGGGCAGGAGGAGGCAGCCGCGCTCACGGCCGCCATGAGCTTCCCGGGGGCGACGTGGCAAGATATGCAAGTAGCACGCCCCGCACTCCGGCGTGTCGCCTTCTTCAGCGTCTAGATCCAGGAAACAACGTGGCCCAGCGGGACAGGTGGGCGGTTTGAGTGAATGATGGAGTACCCCTTGGAAATGGTCATGGCGGAGCTATACTTCACGGGCGTCGCGCGGCTCCAGCACGCCGCGGAGGCACATCCGGACAATGTTGGCGGCGGCGCTACGAGGTTTTACTTTGTCGTGTAGCAAGGAAGACAAGGAGCGGCTCTTCCACTGTGTAGAAGGCGACGGAGACGCTACATGGCACTGGGAGGCTCGGCGGCATATGAGCGATGGCGTGGCCGCTCTTGTGGAGCGGGCGGATGCGGTGCTCGTGTTCTACATGGGCAGCGTCGCTGGCACGCAATGGCATATGGCTTCCGAGCTTGGCGGGTTTCCACGCACACCATTGGCAAAGAGCAGAAGCGGCGAAGCACCGGTTGATCCCTGAAGTCATAGACCGCTAGGCGGATTTGTGCTTGGAAACGCAATAGTCTGAGTTGCGCATCCTCCGACTGGAGCAAAGTCTGATTGGTCTGTTGGACAATTGATCTTCGAAATGCTCCGTGGAAGCATCTGCATCATTATCTCATCCAAACGAGCTCCACGACTTCATCAGATGATCCTGTATCTCCAGAGCCTTTCCGCACATACAGCTGCCTCATCAACTGTCCGACGACCTCGGTATACTGTAAGTAGTATGTCTTGCGTTCGTCGTCCGGGACTCGGTCTCGCATTGGACCCATGGTATATGCCCACTTGAGATCTTCCTCACCCGCGGCATTTCCCCATGTTCGCTCCATCTTGGCCAGATCGATGGAACCCAGCCCATTTGCGTAAATGCTTATCGAGTAGCCGTTTGAGAGAATCGTGTCACTGCCGAATGCGAACCGCTGAAGAAAGCACCTCCTGCGAACAGAAACATGAAATGTCAGCATGTGTGTTGGAAGAAGACCGCGGGCCACAGAAGGGGTTTGGTATTGCCGGGCACACACACCCGCAGAACTTGGCCGCCCTCGCCATGGCCACTACAGGCTCCTTGTACCAGCTGTTCCAGTGATGCAGATTGAGCGGCTCGATGCCGGACTCGAAGAAGCCTCGCATATCTCTGGTCAGGTCATGCTGAAATCTGCTCGTCCACAGAACTCGTCAGTTGCAGGTCCCATCAGACAATATGGCCCGGAGTAAGGAACAAACCGGCTGCATACAGATTCGGTAGGACAGTCAGTCGGGCATTACTGTGCCGGTATATGCAGTCGCGGATAAGGACGTCGCCGAAATCTGGCGGAGACTCCCTGAGACATTGCCGGGCCGTCTGCATCGCTCCAATCTTGCGCGCGAGATGTGCCGAGATGTACGCACCCGCGCCGCCAAAGGCCATCAGCCCGAACTTCTCGAGCGAGGGCCAGTCTTCGGACAGCGCGCCGACGTACAGGTCCTTGTCGTCGTGGTCGAGGATGCCGAGCGCGGCAGAGAGGGGTGCTAGGTGCGGGAAGAACGTGTCGTCGTCGAGGAGCCCGAACCATTCCGTCTCGTTGCCGCTCATGACGATCATCGTATTGAGCACCATGAAGTGGGATTGCGACGTGGAGTGCCTGCTTGAAACCGGGGGTATGAATGTGGCATTGACCTGAGCCTTGTGGTAGTGCGCGAGGAGCTCGCTGATGCCCCTCTGGTGCTCCGTGTAGTCCTCTACGATGACAACGAGCAGCGAGCCGCTGCCAGACGCCCAATGAGAGATGCTGTCAAACGCCTCGACAAGCCTCGAAAATGTTGTCGCCATGCCGAAGGCGAGGTTGTGGTACGTCGCATTCTCGGGATAGGGCTTTGCAATCGGTATCGACAGCGCAGCACAGGGCTCTGTGGTCACCGGGCCGGTCTGGTCGAGTTTCACTTGGAGAAAATGCTCGGTGATCAATGGCTCGACAGTATTTGCGATATCATGCCGATCGATGTCAAAGCCGTCTGCTTCCTGGAAGCACCTTTTTGTGTACTTGAATTCTGCCGAGAATGTGACATGGCCGCTTTCGCTGGCTCGGCGGACAAAGTCCAGTGTGTTATCATCCCCCTCAGTGACGCTGAGCGAGCTTTCCAAGTCAGGCAGGTTCTGTAGTAGCGCAGTGTTGTCCTCCACTGGGTGGAGAAGGCTTTTCAGACGAGGCAAGTCCGGCAATGAATCGTAGTTTGTCAGCCAGAGGTGGCCCAAAATGAGTGACACGGCGGATGCAGCCACTACCAGTGCGGCACGCCGACGAAAGACGCTGGAGGTTGTCATCCTCCCTTGGAGGCTCGAGCCGTTGTGCTGTGAGGTAATGCATGAACCATGGCCGCGTCGAAGTCTCCGCACTGCGTCCTACAGGACTGGGGACGGACACAAGAAATAGTAAACAGAAGTATCGGATTTTCGGCAGGAGCAGACAGAAAGGAATGCAAACAGCAGCCTTCAAATGGTCAGGTTTCTGCCCTTACGAGCTACTCCACTGGGACGGGTCTGACCGGCTCGCCCCAGCATCCTTGGCCTTCGCCAAGTCGTTGTTGGTTCGGCTCCCGGCATTGGATTAACGGCACGGTCCATGGTGGTCCCTGCCGAGTCCCGTCAGACTGTCAATCAATGTGCAAACATGGCTGTTGAGGGGGAACCCCGTATAATTACACCCAATCAGATGGTCTGCATTGCCTCAAGACGGCCCGGCTTCTTGCACATTCAAGCAAGCGAGCGATGGAAAGTCAGCCGTCCTGTGGAAGTGGCTCGAAACGCTGCAGAGTGCTTACGGCCGACTGTGAACTTGATGATATCCTCAATTGTGCAAGTTGGTGAAGCCGGGGGCTGCTATCGTCCATGGCGTCGTAACCCTTTGCGTCATTCCGTAAGTGGGATTGTGGACTTGTACGTTGTGCGATGCCATATTTGGGTGCTATATGCACATAGTATTCCAAGGCAGGGACTGCTCGAGGCAAGGAGCCGTGAAAGTTTTGAGAGTGGTGTGCGCCAACTCGTGTCATAGTGGTCTTGTCCATTCATGTGGCTCACTTGCGCCTCGAGAAGCAGTCCGTCTGTAAGTAGGTGCTCGATCTGAGTGCCTACAGTACCATGCAAATTGAAGTCGTCTGCTTATACCTCCAGGTCCATGTAGTATGAAATGATCCTGCTGTTCCTCTTGAACACTATTGCCGAGAAAGTAGCATGCTTCAACAACAAGGTAAGGAACAGCCTTTGTCGGGTGTTTGTCGGCCAGATTTGCTGGCGTGGCCCAATACTCCGGATAGCAGGACTATTGGATGTCCAGCAGCCTCTATATGGACGTGAGTATCGATGGTGGGCCAGCAGTACTGCTCCAGCATAGAGTGGTATTGCCATTCGTGCCGCGACTATTGCAGGGGATCAGACGCTCATTCTTGACTCGAGTATTAACATTATTACCTGACGCCATCTCAAGCTATACCAGTCAAATGCTGTGGTCACAAAGTGTGAGGAGACTAATCATGACGAAGTTAACCACGGTGCGACAGCGCTCTTCATGGGTTTGCTGTAGGAGCAGAGACACGAACGAAGGATCACGGGGCCAGAAAATTTAATTCATACAGGCGAGGGAGGAACCGGCTTGGATATGAATGCTGAAGATCTGTAAAACAACGAAGTGAATCATGAGTAGTCAAGCTTATGAGCACTAAAGAAGTGAAATAAGGGCACACGCAGACGCACAACTCCTCCATGAATAAGGCGCGGTAATCACAAGTATGCAGGGTGAAGACTGCCACTAGCGAGCTTGATACACGTGGGTTCCATGTTTGATGCACCCTGCACGTCTTCACAGGGGCGATCGATCCCCCATGGCCGCTGTCGTCATCGTGGCGCAGCGCACCTGTATGAGCGATTTTCACCTTGCGTCCGGTTCCTGCTTTCGACTGCGAAATGCCTCACGAGCTTTGCAGAGGCATTTTCTGTCTGGCATCAGACGAGCAGAGCCACGAGACCAGATGGGCCCCCGAGGATCGGCAGTGTCTCCCCCGCCGTGGAAGCTGTCGAGTGATCAACATCTTTAAATGGCCGAGGAGGGAATGGGCCGGCACGCACCCACATTCACGATCTGACAGGGGCCCTTTCCAAAGCTTGACGGGCGACGGGATGGAAGCCCACCTGCTGCCAGGGCTAGCGAGATTAAGCTTAAGACCAAGGCGACGTGCTGCGGCGCAGAGGTACCACTCAGGAGCCGCATGCCAAGCCCAACGAAAGGGGGCTGTACCTCCAACCATGACTCTGCTAGCTTGCTCACTTGCTGGACCGCCTTTGCCAGAGAACTGGGAGCGAGCCGGCCCCGCGCCGTTTCCCCTCATGCACTCCCCGCTTGTCTCGCGGAGGGTCTTATGGCATGTCTGACTGATCAGCTGCGCAACGTGCTGGAATGGGGCACGCTGGAAGGCCGCCACTCGCAGGCCGGCGTGGATCGGCCATTGGGCCTAGGCCGGGCTGAACCCCTCACGCTTGGCATCACCAGTAGAGGACCCTGGCCATGGGAATTGTAGGCCGATATGTGCAAAGCCAAGCAGCCAAGGGCGCCAGCCACGAGGTGCCGGTGAAGCTGGCTTGCCTGGCTGCTGCGGAACGGCTAGTGGTTGGTGGTCCAAAGCCAAAGTATAACTGGTGATAGTCCCCGTGCGCGGGTGACTTTGGCCGCACAACCTCTGCCACTCTCCCCCCCTGTGCTTTCACAAGTGCACAAGCACGTAACCCGCGAGCCCCTGCCCGCGACGCCATCGAATAACAAAGCATCCCGCCGTGTCGGGCAGACAACCTCACCGGTTTCACACCGCCAGTCAATTCGTTGCCGTGACCCCCTTGAACGCCAGATCCAGCCAGCCGCGACCGGTGCAAGTACCACCACAGCCACCAATCGGCCGACCACTCTCGGCCCGCGACGCGCAAGGGAGGACTCGAAGGCGAGCACAGAGCTCACCCGAATGGACCCCCGAACCACGAGCAGCCACTCCTCGTCCAGTAGCAGCGCCGCCGCAGCAGCAGCAGCGACAGGGTCACCTGCGAACGATGAGGAGCCACCCATCGAATTGCCGGACCGTCCGTACCAGGCTGACGACAGTCCTCCAGCGGTAGCGCCTTCCGGGCTGACGTACGACGAGGAGAAGGCTCGCAAGATTGCCATCTACGACCTGAACAAGGCGCGCAAGCAGGTACGTAGCCACCACCTTGAGAGCGAGCAGCTTATGCGATTACACAATCTAACACAGGCGCGCACCTCGCTAGAAATTCCGCGGTGCACTGCTCCTCTGGGTCGCGTTCCAATCGACGGGTGTCATCTACGGCGAGATCGGCACCTCCCCGCTCTACGTCTTCTCCTCGACATTCTCATCACAGCCATCATGGGCAGACCTGACCGGTGCTCTGAGCATCATCATATGGTCGCTGACCCTGATCGTGACCATCAAATATGCCTTCATCGTGCTCCGTGCCGACGATGACGGACAAGGAGGCACCTTTGCCCTCTACAGCTTGCTGTCACGGTACACGCAGATTGTAGAGAGCGACCCGCGCACCAGCGGGCTCATCCAGATGCGGCGATGCCCGACGAATGAGCTGCGCCCCGGCGCTCGCAGCGTGCGGCGGATTCTCGAGAACAGCAGGGCGATCCAGTTCTCGCTCAAGGTTGTGGGTGTCGTGGGTGTCTCGCTCGTCATCGCCGAGACGGTGCTCATGCCTGCACAGTCTGTTCTGGGCGCAATTCAAGGCATCAGAGTCGCGGATCCAGACCTGGGGACTCCTGCGGTGGTTGGCATATCGTGAGTCTTATCCAAGATCGTTGTCCAGTCCGCGTCGCGCAATACTGACCACCTACCTTTACTACAGCTGCGCCCTCCTCATCGTCCTCTTCCTCATCCAGCCCTTTGGAACTTCGAAGCTTGGCACGACGTTTGCGCCCATCGTAACGCTCTGGATGCTCTTCAACCTCGGCTCAGGCATCTACAATCTCGCCGCCTACGACCACACTGTGCTCAAGGCCTTCAACCCTGCCTACGCCTTCAGCTACTTGGTCCGCAATAAGTACGAAGGGTGGAAGTCCCTCGGCGGCCTTCTGCTCGCTTTCACCGGCGTGGAGGCGCTCTTCGCGGACCTGGGCGCTTTCAGCATGACGGCCGTGCAGATCTCGTGGCTGGCGCTGGCATATCCGTGCTTGCTGTTCACATATGCCGGCCAGGCGGCCTTCATTGCCATGGATGAGACGGGCAAGGCGTTCACAAATCCCTTCTTCTACACGGTCCCGCCGGGGACGTTTTACTTTGGGTGCGTACCCTACCGATACCCGCTGCGATGCGCGTTCGCTAATGCTTTCTGTGATGCAGCTTGGTTATTGCCGTGCTTGCTGCCATCGTGGCATCGCAGGCCATGATTACGAGCACATTCCAGCTCTTATCACAGGTGAGGAAATTCCCGGCATGCTGAGAGGAAATGAACTTTTGCTAACGCCCGGGACAGGTCATGAAACTGTCCTACTTCCCACATATCAAGGTCGTCCACACGAGCGAGCGTTTCCATGAGCAGGTCTATATGCCGCTTGCCAACTGGCTGCTCATGGTCGGCACGGTGATCGTGACGGCGGTGTACAACAACGTAAGTTAGCCCCTGGCGGCGGCTCAGTCGTCCACATTATTAACGATCGAGTCAGACGACCTCACTCGGCCAAGCCTACGGCGTATGTGTAATACTGGTGACTTTCATAACGACATGCCTCGTCGCTCTCGTCGCGATCTTGGTCTGGCACGTCCCCATCTTCATTGTGCTGCCCATCTTCCTCATCTTTGCCGCGCTCGACGGTGCTTTTATGACGGCCGTTTTGACCAAGGTGCCTGATGGCGCCTGGTTCACGCTCGTGCTGGCCTTCCTGATCTCGTCCATATTCATCCTCTGGCGGTTCGGAAAAGAAGCCCAATGGTCCGCCGAGAGCCTCGACCGCCTGGCCGCGACCGATCTCTTCACCGCCTCAGACCCCAACTCGGCCACCAACACCGGCAGTGAAGCCCAAGCGACGGGCACGGAGGCCGGGACGACTTCATCCGACATGCGCCACCGCGGCAACCAGCCACCACACCAACAACAACAACAACAACCACACCTCGCGGCAGCCTTCGGCGGCCACCCCGTCTCGACAGTCCCTGGGCTGGGGATCTTCTTCGACAAGATCGGCGACCCGGCCGTGCTTCCCGTCAGTTTCGTCCACTTTGTCCGCAAGTTCGCCGCCCGCCCGACGGTGCTCATCTTTTTCCACATGCGCTCGCTCCCCGTGCCGTTTGTCGACCCGAGCGAGCGCTTCGTTGTCACGACTGCGCGAGCACTGCCTCCTACGGATTCGTCCCCGGGAACAGAGTCCGTCAGCAGAGGACGACGGCTGAGCCGCGGGAACAGCAACATGTTTACTGCCGCGGCGGCGGCAGCAGCAGTAGCAGCAGCAAGGGACGACACGCGCGACAGCGGAGTGGGCGGGCTCGGTATTATATCACAGAACGAGGAGTATGACCACGACCAGATCACGAGTGCCGCGGCGGCGGCGTCTGCTGCTGCTGCGACATCTGCGGCGACCACTGCGGCCTTGTTGCCAAATTGCTACAACGTGGTCTTGCGCCACGGGTACGCGGACGAGCCCACGCCGCCCGGCTTGGCCGAGGAGCTGGTCGCGCAGGTTGAGCTGGTGGTCGCGCGGTCGGCGCAGTCCGAGGATGCTGCGGTCCGCGCGCTCGAGGCGCTGCGTGAGGCATGTCGGAGCCAGACGGTATACGTGCTCGGCAAGGAGACACTGCGGATTCGCAGGCCTGGCGGGAGCAGCGGCTGCGGCACGTCGAGCAGCATGATGATGCTTGGCGGGAAGAGGATGAGTGCGGGGAGCGTCGGCCTGGATGTGGTGGAGCGGAGAGGCAGCGTGCAGAAGACGATACGCGAGTGGTCCCCCTGGAGTATCGGGAGGAGGATCCTGCTCGGCGCGTTCTTGTGGATCAGGGAGAACTCGAGGAATAAGCTGGCCGAGGTGAATATCGACGTGGACAGTGTGGTTGAGGTCGGCTTCCTCAAGGAGATCTCATGAGATTGTTAGTAGCTGTTGACCTAGTTGCGTGCCATTGGCGAGCAAGAACGTTTGTCTTCAGAACTGGGGTCTCCTGACCTTCTACAGGTCAACAATTTCGCACCTCTTCTGCCATTCAGGGTGATAGGTGTGACTGTGTAAAGACTTGTGTCCCTTAATTCTGCCCTTATCTGGAAGAGACAAGAACGAGTGGTTTGCGAGGGATCATATGATTTTACCCCTGTGATGCACGCCACGTGCAGCTTGCTATTGCGCACTACCAACCCTGATTCCAGATTGACTCCCTGGTAAGGAAACGATAGCCCTATCCTAGTGCAATGAGCCCTTTCGGGCGAACTAGTATGGATATTATGCATCCCACGCCTGTCCCAAGGTCTTCGGCTAACGCTTTGAGGACTGAGATCCAGCTACTTCATGCGTGAGCACGTGTAATGCGAGTCTACACGAACTGGCATAATCAACGGATAGAGTCGTTTAGATGACATCAGCAATGACGGAAAAGTCTTCACGGGACTAATTTCTCAGTATTTTGTCGATATGATGACGGACAATGACTTCACAATGTTAAAAGCACAATGGGCCGAGGACCTAGTTGTAGCTGACCGCCTAACCTATCATAGTACGAGAGTCTCCCTTTCGATGTCTCAGCCAAGACCCAGATGCGGAGGGAAACAGGGCCTTAGCTCCTCCCTTGCAACCTCAGACATGCCAGTAGGAAGAGTCGGTCAGAGGGAGAAGTCGACGGCCACACTCCAGCGTGCTTAATTTAAAGTTTCGCGCCAGAAGATGGAGACCTGCCAGATTTCTCGATTGACTCGCATAAAGTTCTCGACGCGGGAGGCCGGCAGCCTTATTAACACCACTTCCGGCACGCGAGAGTTCAGCTACCCACGAAGAGGCAGCAAAATAGCATTTGCGCGTGGCTTCGCTGGACAAAAAGCCCCTCACGATCCCCACGATCAGAGCAATCTAGCACCAAGCCCTCCGCCTCATGGGTCGCACATGGCTCCACTGTCCACGCTCCAGTATCAATAGGAGTTGCCAAGTCTGGCTTGCTCGGCCACCCCGCGCGACCGGAAACTGCCAATACCATTTGGTTCCGGGGATATAGTACTGGAGCTATGCTTTGGTCATGACCGGGCGGCTTTGGAGCGACCATACTAAAGCTCGATTCCCAACTCTCAGCCTCTTTCACACATTCTCACGACAATCCACTTTGTTGGTCAAAGATACACGGTGACACCATTCGCGAGGAAAGCCTTCTTTCTGCGAGCTCAGGCGGTACCACGAGTGCGGAACCGTTTCTTGGCATCTCTTGAGTTCCTGTTAGCCATCCCGACTGCTTTTCCCACTTTCAACAGCATTCAGCATCATGGACGCCTGGCAAATATTACACCTTGGCGAGGGGCTAATTTATGACCTCTTTGGCGTCGTCTTCTTCGCCTTCTTCGCCGTCAGCATCGTCGCCTTCCGCAAGCCCCTGCTCTCCTACTGCGCAGCGTCCTTCATTGTCTCCAGCGCGCTGTGGGTGATGACGACAGTCTTCAACCTCGGCTACATGCTCCCGCACCTGATCCGCGCCATCTACCTGCTCGAGCAGACCCTACGCCCCATTGCCGACCCGGAACAGCTCCAGCGGCAGACCCTGCTCATGTTCGTCCCCGAAGGCGTGATGGACTTGCACAGCAACACTTTTCCCGTGCTGTCGTCCTCCTCTTCAGCGGACGTGACGTCGGGGTTCGTCAGCCCGCCGATTGTCAACGAGGATCTGCTGCTCGGTCGGTCCTCCCCGCCTGAGGCTGTCGGTGCCGTCCACGCGGCGGCAGACTGGAGTGCTCATGTGCTGCCCGGTCTCGCGTCGACTGGTATTACAAGCTGCCTCGCCATCATGATGCTCGTCTGCATCTGCAGCGCCTTGCTCGTCGCGGTGTCCGTCGGCATGGTGATCGAGGCGCATTTAATGGAGCAGGAGCAAGAGCAGACACGGCAGGCAAGGTTCGGCCAGCACCCACAATACGGATGCATGTTCACGGACAATGAGGTCGACGATGCCGCGGCTCAAGAATCACTCATTCGCCAGCAACGAGAAATTCCCCGCCACCACACATCCTGCCACTGCCAGGGACTGGGCCCGGCTGAGACCAGATCGCGACCGGCCGTGTTGCGGGCTGCGGTCTGGATGAACAAGTTTGTCGGGATCGACGCACTACGTCACACAGATGTGTATACCGCGCAGGAGCGTGAGTCATTGCCAACGATTTGCGGGAACTTGTTCTTCGCGTTGCCGAGGCTCTGCACAAACATGTCCCTTGGTCCATTGAGACTGTCAACGCGGAGGGCGGGAGATGTAGAGGCCGTGCATGGTGGACTGGAGAAGAGTTAGTCAAAGCGGCGTAGGCGAGGAAGATGAATCTATCGAATGGGTCACTACTGACGAACGAAGGTAACCGACAAAAGCAAGGGCATCTGATATCCAGGAGGATACGCGAGAGAATAGGCACAAACCCCGACCATGTTGCATTCTGTAGTGTCAATAACCCCAGGCATAAGAGATTCCGCAGTGGTCCAATTGGCACTCTGTGTCTGAGCCCGTTTCGCCCACTTAGCCAGCAGTACTGCTATAGAATGTGCCTGGGCGTCATAGGGGCGCAACGAGCGACTGGGAACGAAGCGAGCGGATTCCAGCCGTCAATTTATCCCCTTCCTGCAACCTATGATGCGCACAAGAGTTGCTAGCCACCAATCGGACAAGCGAAAGACACAAACTATATTCGTCTAACCATCGAAAGTCCACTTTTGCAACGGGTCGATTCAAATCAGGCAGATACTTGGTACCTGCATCTCAGGCCCTGTCATGTTGCGTCACGACTTGTACCTGGCAGATGACGCCATGTAGCACCGGCAGGAACGCGTCTGCTGCCGATCGACTGTTATCAGAGTTGCAGAGGTGGAACCTGGCCAAATGTGCACGGGGACGGCAACACCCGCTCTCGGCGTGGTGCGAACCTCTTCGCGTTGAGGTCAGTGGGCCATTCAAATCGGTGGACGATTTCAAGAACTCTCTGATACCTGCTGGAATCGCCAGCCGACTTGTCGCCATGCCTTTGAGCAATAGCAAATCTTGACCAAATCAATGACGACATTCTGTCTTCCTGCCTCATCCAGTCCGGCTCCTAGCTGCTTGAATGGGACTGCCGGGCATTTGTCTTCCGCAAAATACCCCAAATATCGGTCACGTCAACTGGCCCCTGCCGATCGAAATGCCGAGCTCAGTGCATCCTGCTCCGGAAATTTCTCCGGCGGTGGTCGCTTGCAGACTTTGGGTGCGCGTCAACGCCCACCACAATACCACCTTGTCCCAATTGAGATCTATCACCGATGACGTCTTCCCCACGTCTCACAGAACAGCCGAGTCGAATCCCTGTCCCCTGGCGCCTCAACAATCTGGGGTACCGGGGAAAAGACGATGGAGCAGGGGGGCTTCAGGACTTTCGACACGTGTCGCGCCGGGTTTTGCATGCCATGACCCTTTATGCTTCATGCGAGGTGGGGGACTCCAGGATGACCAGGAATGTGCCGCATGATCGATCTCGGTCTCGGCAAGTGATTTCTGCATCTTGCTGGACCATTACAGGACAGGAAGGTATGGTGTCCCTGCCGATCAGGCCAAGCACGCAACCGGTGATCTTTGCTCAAAGACAGGTAGTATAAAAGGTTACAAGTGCCCGGGGAGTGGCCGGACGATGGTTCTTCGTGGAAGCACAGCCAAGCCGCAACAAAGACGCCAGAGACCTACATCCAGGAACCAACAGGCTTGGGCCAGTCCAGCGAGTCAAAGATATATACCAGTCGCGATGCAGATTCTCTCCATCCTAGCCGCGCTCTTCGCGACTTCGGCCATCGGCGCCGTCGTCCCTGCCGCCCTCGAGAAGCGTGCCATCACCTGCGTTGCTCCCGGCTCGACTGCCACCGCGCGCTGGACCAACGCGGCGGGCCAGGCATGCACCTTCAACGGTATAGTGGGCAGCAACTACGGCAAGAACGCTGCTGGCGGCGACTACTCATGTAATGGCCGCTGCGGCGCCGGATGCTCTGGCGTCGCGCTGGGCAACTTCTACACGCAAGACTGCTTCTCGCATGATATTTGCTCGTATTTTGAGAACGCCAGTGGTGGTGCTAGGTCAGTCTCGCTGCTCTTTTCTTCCCTGGCATTATTCGCTCTTCGGGCGGTCATTCTTCCGTACCTACTCAGACATCTGACACTTTCTGGGCGGGTTACGATACAGTGACAAGAACTGCGGTGCTGCTTTCAATGCTGCTGCTGACGACACCATTGGCGGTTTCTCGTGCGCCAAGTCAAACCCTTCGAATGCGGCTGTGGCACCGTCGACCAAACCTGTTTGCGTATGACCGGCATGGAGACTGAGGAAGGTAGTAGTCATGGTATTGAGAAGAAACACGAGCGAGGCATTAAATAAAATTCTATTATAACCACCCGTGCCCCTGTCGATTTCGTGACGAGTCTACAGGCCGGCACCTGGTCTCTACATACTCCATGAATAACGCACGCGACACTTCTACTTGCAATCTAGCTCTCGTTAAATCGCGCTACTTCCGACCGTAGCCGCGTGCAAACGTCCTCGCAGCCCATCGATTCCGTATTTTACTCTTCCCGCATGGTGTCAAGCAGGTGGTCGACAAATCATCATGGCTCCAACAGAGCCGTCGCAATATGCGACACCATACAGTTCGGAATTTATTCCAGCGGTCGAGCTCGAAGCATCAAGTATCCAAGGCTACTGTTGGATCAATGCCAGTGGTTTCCAATTAGCCGATATTGGGAGTGGCCACAGACGCTGGGGCGGAAGCCAGCTTCCCGTTTGGTCGGCACCTGGGCATGCCGAAAGTACAGTTACAAGACCAAGTACATGGTGTCGTCAATTGATCTAATGTTGCAAATGCAGAAGACATGATAGTGGCCAAGCCACATTGCCGGATGCGCCCTGCTCTTCTGAAGGTCGGCCAAAGAATGGGGACGGCTAGCCGAGTGGCTTTTTCGCCTGACTCGAGGCCAGGGGGCCACCTAGCCGACAGCACTGATATCGGGACCCTGCCCTCGCATCGCATCTGCCCCGAATTTCCACTTTTCCCCTCCTCCACGTACCATCCTGCCGACAGTCTCGCTGGAAGGCAAGGTCGACGCCGCCGGACCCGGCTGCTGCCTTATCATGGACATGTCACCGGCTGCACGTCGGCGGCGCAGACGTCGCGTGCCTGACGAGAATCGGAAACGGGCACCCCGAGCGTGAGCACCATTTGCCCGGCCGGCCGGCTGGCTGGCTCGCCAGTGCCCTGTGCTGTGGAACAATCTACTGACTGACGTTGTCTCGGCTAGGTGTACGCGATGCAAGGCGAGAAAGAGCCGCTGTATCGAGATTGAGCTGGGGGCATGCCAGCGGTGCCGCCTCAAGTCGCTGCCATGCATATTCGAACGGCAAGTGGTCAGATAGCCGTGGATCACGGCGGGTTCATGTGCTGATCGTACACACCGGGCAGTGAGAGGAGTCCGTCCGCAACCAATGTCTCGGCTCTTGTCGAAACCAGCAGCCCTGCAGCGTCAGGGACGACTGGCGAGGGTGACCCGCATGAAGACGACACCATCCAATGCGCCACGGCCCCAGAACCGAGTCCCTCCAAAGCAACGGTGACAGTCTCAGAGACCAGTCCCGCCGAGACCTTTTCTGGGGATGGACGTAAGTATATCCAGGATGCATCTGGAGGCATGTCCAGGATGAAGCACTAACGTTAGACAACGTCACAGACCCCTCTGAGCGATTCATGTGGCCTCGTTTTTTGTCAAAGCTTAGAGAGACCTTCTCGCTGGATGCCACAGGCCAGACAGATGCTACTGTAGCCCAGCCGGCTCGCCTGCCTCCTGCTCTCTCTCCGGCTGACCTGCGGCGTTTACGGAAGGCCGCGGACGCCTTCCCACCTCGTCCTGTCGCAGACTTCCTACTGTCTGTGTGCATAGAGCACGGCACAGATTCCTTCTACTACTTTGACCAGGTCCAGTTCCTGGCTGAGATCGACGAGTTCTACACAGATTCCAATTCTCGCCTCAGGTATGACACAAGCTTTATATGCCTGGCGTACGCCGCTTTCGCCCTCGGCAGTCAATGGACTACACTGGCACGACCTGATGGTCGCCAGCCGCCTCCTATTCTGCAAGAGGACAACGACCCTGGTCGTATATTCTACAACCAGGCGCGATCTCTCATTCCCGATGTCATCGATCTGCCATGCCTCCGGGCAGTCCAGGCGACGTTCGTCTTGGGTGTCTATCTCCTGCCGGCGAGCTCCATCGGGTCGGCGTATGTCTACCTCGGGCTCTCCCTGAGGAAGGCCCTGGCGATGGACCTCCATCTCAACGCAGACGAGGTTGGCGTCATGGACGACGAGGAAAAGGAGGTTCGCAAGCGGATATGGTGGGCCGTCTACTCGCTCGAGAGGTATGCAACCCCGTGGCCCAGGCTGGACGCAAGCAATCCGCTGACTTGAACGCAGGTCAACTACCATCAAGTTAAACCGGCCACGCACGGTCAACCCTGCCATTATCACTGTTGGCCTCCCACAGCTGTACCCAGCACTTGACGACAAGCAGAAGTTCAACAATATCGAACATCAGATAGCGGATGCGCGGCTGATGCTCATTCTTGATCGAGTCTCCGAGCCATCGTAAGTATTTGCAACGATCGTCAGTAAACGGCGAGATCCGATGATGACTGACACATTTCCACAGAGAGTGGACTGATGCGCAGAGTGCACCAGGTCGATTCGGCGACGAGCTTAAGCAGTGGAAGCGGTCATTGCCCCCTAGTCTCAAACTGACCAACGTGCCACCTAAGTCGTCGAGCTACCGCGCCACCTTTCACTTGTACCTCAACTACTACTTTGCGTGGATCGCTATGGGCAAGGTGAGCGTCGTCACAGTGGTCCGCGCCCGGTTGCGGCACGCATTCGGACCGCCAGCATCATCAAGAGCGACCCCTCATCGCCAGCCTGCTGCCCAGTCTGGTGCTGGCTTCCAGCCGAACAACAGCAGCACCCTTTCGACACCGCCCCATGTCGAAGAACACACGGAGAACATGTCACGCTCGTGCGTCAAGGCAGCCAGGAAAATGCTCGGCTTGTTCGAGGAGCTCACCCGGACCGGCAACCTGACGCGCTTCTCCTTCACCGACTTCCAGGGATGCAGCATTGCCACCATTGTCATCCTCCTCGCCGGCATAATTGAGCACGACGATCCAAGCTTCGAGCGGCTGGCCACGTTCGGGCTCAACTGTCTGCGCAAGATGGCGGAGGGTGGAAACGGGGCCGCGAAGACGGGCGTCGGGTTCGTCGAGGCACTGCAGAGCATAACCAACGAGGCTTCCGAGAAGCTGAAGAACGTCGCTTCGATTGCTGCACTGGCTCCTGTCAGCACGAGAAACTCGATCAGCGCGCCGGTCGGTGGAGCAGAAATGTCTCATGGGTTTGCACAAGATCAGACACCCGCGCTGAGCCAGGAGCACTACAACGGGTGGGTCGAGTGGCTGCAAAGACAGCCGGCGTACCAGTTCTCTCCAGATCAGATGATGACGCCGGCTGGAAGCAACATGTTCACAACGGACCAACAAGCACAGTTTCGTGGTGGCCAGAGCCTACCTCTAGGCACACCAAACGCCAATATGGCCACCATGCAGAGCAACGAGATGGCAATGCACGTCACCCCAAGCAACAGTAGCTGGCAGAACATGAGTCATACCGCGCAGGCGAGCACCGGCCATCAGGGTCAAGCTAGTACAAGCCCAGAGGCCATGAGGCAGTTCTCCAGATGGGACGGCGCCGCGGCACTCCAACAGCTTTCAGCTCCTGCAGCAGCGCCGATGACTCCTGGGGCAGAGACTCCGATGAGCACTGTACACCAACATGAACGTGCGCCGCAACAAATGGCACTACAACAGCAGCAGCAACAGTACCAGCGAGCACTGCAGAGCCAGCAGATGATGTCTTCAAACGCCATGGTGGGGGGCCATGGTGGCGCCGCCGGCGGAGGCATGTTTTCAACGCTCTATGCGGATGAGCAGGCGTTCTTGATGGGTCTTACTGGATGGGATGTGCTCGGGGTGTCAGAGCTGTATGAATGATGATATCCTCAGCATGGACAAATGTTGGCTATCTGAGCGCAAACATGAAAGGAAGCCAAACGTACGCCGTTGCAGTTTGCAAGAGCACAAACATCAAGTTTGCATTAAGAGTTAGAGCTGCTCTATTTGAAGCAATATGCTCGCTCAGATATCTACAACGACGCCTTGACCTTGACTGGTACTTCTGCATCTTCCACTAACCGTGCCGACCGACTCTTGTAGATCCGGCCCGCTTTCATGACACCATGGACGTAGTCATCCGGCTTGTCCAGTATCGTGACATCTTCGAGAGGATCCGCGCCCAGGAACAACATGTCCGCCTCGAAGCCCTCCTTGATCTGCCCCAAGCTCGTCTCTTGGTTGATGAGCCTCGCCGCGTTGATTGTGGCGCTCCTTAGCACCTCCAGCGAGCTCAACACCTTCGCCCTCAGCCTGAATTCTCCCGTCTGCGCGGCGCCCAGCGGTCCGAGCAGATCTGAGCCGTAGCAGATGGTGACCCCGGCCTCTGACGCAATCTTGAGTGCCCGCAACCCAGCATCCAGAACCTCAGAGTTCTTGCTCTGCCCGTCCGGTGGCAGGTAGCCAGACCACTTCTCCGAGGCCATCTGATCATACGTGATCAGCGTGGGCGTCAGGAAACACCCCTTTTCCTTCATTATCAGCGCCGTCTCCCGGTCGAGGAAGTTGCCGTGCTCGATGCCGCGGCACCCGTTGTCGATGCAGTGCCGGATCGCCTCGACCGTGTACGCGTGGGCCGTGACGTACGTCCCCGCGTTGCTCGCGCACTCGACCATGGCCCGGATCTCGCGGGGCGTGAACTGGAGGTGGTCGATCTTGTCCGTGGGGCTCGACACGCCGCCGCTGCCCATGATCTTGATGAAGTCGGCCCCGGCGCGGATCTCCTCGCGGACGGCCTGCATGCACTGGGCCTCGCCGTTGCAGACGCGGCCCATCATGGTGTGCGCGCCGCCGCAGCACATCGAGTGGTCGTGCGGGCTCCGGTAGTCGGCGTGGCCACCCGACTGGCTGAGCGCGTGGCCGGCGATGAAGAGCCGCGGGCCGGGGAAGACGCCGTCCGCGATGGCTTCCTTGATGGCCAGGTGGGCGCCGCCGCAGTCGCGGACGGACGTGAAGCCCCGGTGGAGCATCTGGGCGCAGACGTAGGGCTGGCGGAGGAGGCTGACCGAGTCCGGGTTGCCAAAGGCTTGCGAGAGCGAGGTGAAGCCGGGTACGGCGATCAGGTGGACATGGCAGTCGATCAGCCCGGGGGAGAGGTACTGGCCTGTGCAGTCGATGAAGATGGTGTCTGAGGATGAAGACGAGGATGACGACGAGGACTTGTCGGAGGGAGAGGCTGGCGTAATGGAGGCGATTTTCCCCCGAGAGATCCTGACGGTCGTAGACTTGAGGATCGTGCCGGCGGCGACATCAACGACATTGGCGTTGTAGAGTGTGTAGCTGCCCGCCGCTGGTCGAAGCCAGGGCTTGATGTCGCTTTCCTGGACCATTGCGCAGTCTCGAATCAGGCAAGTTGCAGCTGGAGGGTTCAACGAGAGAGAGACAGTGTCGACAGAGCTGAAGTCGCGGTATCGATCTTGCAAATGCAGCTAGTATGTAAGCGCGGAAAGGAATGGTGAAATATCCCAAGGTGGCTGTGTGGCTTTTGCTGCTGCTGTCCTCACAGAAGACGGACGTCGGGTGGTAGAATAGTATGGAGGATGACCCTGGGCGTCGGCCAAGTGCCTTTTCGGCATTTTGGCAGCTCAACTGCCAATCATCCCTTCAGTGGCTGGAACGGGTGACGACAACCGATATGGCGGGGAGGAGGGACAGATAGCCGACGCAGTGACTTGTTGTCAGGGAGGGCGGATGTCTGGCCCCTGAGCCAGCCCCAATCTCGCCATGGCGCATCGGCAGTCTGGCTCTCCTCCGGGGCCGGACCAGACAACTCACTTGTCTTTACTGCCACGCTTATCAGCACCACGCTAAGGGCACTTACCCATTATCTGTCTGCCGCTAGGGATGGGCCGTTGCCAGGAGCCCGGAGCCGGCTCTTGATAAGTTTTTATGGGGTCTGCCGTGTCGCTGCAGTGGAACAACCCCAGATTTCTCGTGTCCACCTGGGTCATTTGGCTGTGGATTCTCAGGTCATCCTCCTCCACGCCCTCCCCAGCCTGCATCGGATCAGCGGCTGTCCCATTGCTGCATCAGCTCATCTCGCTCCTTATCTCCAGCGTTGTCTTGGCGAACCAGCGAGCCGAGCCACTCCTTCGTCCAAGGGATATGCCGGCCAGCTCCAAGCAGACATAAGGCCAGCACTCCTCCGTGTCGCGAGGCAAGATCCAACCACTGCTCATCGGACATAACTCCGGATCGGCTGCTCTCACATATTCTATCGACGCACCCGCCGACAAGGAGTGCTTTCGCCTTGGGCAACAATCGCTCACCTGCTTACACACTGCGCAACTTGACAAATCCAGACGCTGACCACATCGCCATGGCGTCCGCCATTGAGAAACAATCGCCGCCGTTGGACGCAACCTCGGACAAACATCCCGAGAGCGTGGGCAAGCAGCCCAGCGTCGAAGAGCCCCGCCATGGCCAGATTGTCGATGGTACATACACCCCCGAGGAAGAGCGGCAGGTCCTTCGCAAAATCGACTGCGTCATCCTGCCAATGATGTGCTTCGTTTTCTTCATGCAGTATCTCGACAAGCAAAGTTTGAGTTACGCGGCAGTAAGTTATTGCGAATCCAGGTAGCCTGTGCAGGCTCGACTTACCTCTCGGTGAGAATCTTCTGTATTAACGACGACTTGTGTAGGTCTTCGGACTCATCACCGATCTCAAGATGACCAGTGTCCAGTACTCATGGTGTTCCTCAATCTTCTACGTCGGTAAGTCTGATCGTACACGCCCATTGTGCATCTCTGCCACTGACAGGCCCATTAGGACAACTCGTTGCCGAGTATCCCTTTATTTATCTCATGTCCAAGCTGCCCCTGACCAAATTCGTCGGTGCGACTGTGTAAGCACCGAGCCATGACAAACAGTCATTCAACCTCAAAGCTGACGAGGCCATTCTTGCCGGGTACAGAATTATCTGGGGCGCCGTATGTCTCTGCCTTGCCGCACCACAAAACTTTGCCGGCTTTGCGGCCGTGCGCTTCCTGCTGGGCTTCACAGAGGGTGCAGTCTCCCCAGCATTCGTAACCATGACATCCATCTGGTATCAGAAGAGCGAGCACGCCACCAGAACCGCGTACGTGCTTTCCTGCATACAACTTCCAGTCCACAGCTGGATATCCGCTAACTCAGCGCACTTCCTCTAGTCTCTGGGTTTCCATGAACGGCATCGCCCAGGTCTTCGGCTGCCTCATCATGTATGGCATCGGCCACAACTCCTCGCTCGCCTTACAACCCTGGCGCACCATGTTCCTCGTTTGCGGGGCCATGACCACTTTCGCGGGCCTTCTATTCTACTTCCTCATGCCCAACGGCCCAAAGGACGCGTGGTTCCTGACCGCTCGCGAGAAGGAGGTGCTCTCCCTGCGCATGGCCAAGGACCGCGATGGGGGCGACAAGACGTCGTTCTCCACCGCGCAGCTCTCCGAGGCACTGAAAGACCCCAAGGCATGGTTCGTGTTTTGGTTCGGCGTGCTGGTGACGATGCAGTCCCCTGTGTTGACGGTATGTCCCATCCATTCGTCTGATCTTGAGAAGCTTCACTGAGGAGAACACGTTTCGACTGACTCAATCTCGCCAGTTTGCCTCCCTGGTCATCAACACGATCGGCTACGATAAATTTCAGACTATGCTTTACACCGCACCATCGGGCGCGATCCAGGTTGTCTTCCTCTGGATCGGCGTGTTCCTGTGCTGGCTGTTCCCACGCGATAGAACTCTTGTTGTGCTCGTGCTCATTATCCCGCCGCTTATCGGTAACGTCTTGCTCATGAAGCTCTCGCTCAACTCTGGCTGGGGAATGATTGCCGCTTCATGGATGGTGAGTGCCCCCTTATTACTCACGCTGCTCCGCACATGATCACAAGGGAGAGTTCATAAAGTGCAAGAACGCTGACTCTCGTATATCGTTGCCTTTCATCTGCCAGGCCTCCTGCATCACAGCCGTAATGTCACCCCTGCTCTCCCTCACGGCGTCCAATGTCAAGGGCAACACCAAGCGCTCCGTCGTGTCGTGCATGTTCTTCATCGGCTACTGTGCCGGCTGCATCGCCTCGCCGCAGCTCTGGACCGAGAAGCCGCGCTACTTCAACGGCGTCGTGACCGCGCTCGTGACCTGGTGCCTGCTGTTTGTCGTGGTGATTGCCTACCGCGTCGTGTGCCAGCGAGACAATGCGCGCAGGGACAAGGCCATGGCTGAGAGGGGGGAGAGTCTGGATGACGAGAACAGCCGCCGCGGTGGTAGTGGGGGGGCTGTTGTGCTGGATAAGAATGGCTTGCCGAAGACAGATTTGACGGATAAGGAGGACGTGTACTTCAGATACAGCTACTAATCTCATGTTTGAGACGGAATATTTCATAGCATAAATAGATTGGAGCATGAAAGTCGCCGGATGGAAGCTTCAACACCTGAGGACCCCCGAGTCACTGGGCAGCGAGATGGAAGCAAGCGTATAGTGGTGTACTACTAGGGCTGCAAATAGCTGCAGCCTCACACGTCGAGCGAGAGCCCGCCGACGAGTCGGCACGCCACACGGGCAAGGACCGAAGCTTGCTGCGTTGGCCTGTCCAAAATGTGGGCAGGCATGAGGCAGCCAGAAACCCGAAGCAGCAACGGCAGTTGAGGAGATGTGATTGGAAGCTCAGACTATCCTGATTGTGCGGAGCTCTGTCTCGCCCTCGTCCGCAACTTGTATTTCTGGAGCCTGGTAGAGGGCGGCCTTGCTGAGCATCGCAATCTCTACAGCATTGCTCGTGACGGCCAATCCGATCCTCCCAAATGTGGTCATGCTCGTGTCAACAGCGAGCAGGAGTAGAAATGACACATAATCGTTCATGGACGTCTGCCTCTCGGCGGGCATGTAGTGAAGCGCCTTCCTGGAGTTCTCTACGTCGAACTTCTGCTGGCCAACGTCCAGGTGTACCACAGGACTGGCGTACCGGTGTGAATCGGGATCCTTGACGGTGACACCATCGACTACTAAGAAGAGTTGCTGGTACCCAAAGTTATTGTTGGCGGTTATCTCCAAGGGTCTGATCTCGCCTTCGAGGTCGAGAAATCCCCCCGTGACAGGGCCGGTCGTGTCCGCGGAGACGTAATCTAGATGGAAGTTGAGTACCTTGAATAGCAGATTTGTGCCACCTGATCGATGATAGCTGACGATCCCGTCCACTGAAGCCTATGAAAAGGATGGCGCTCGGTAGACCTCTGGACGTCTTGGTGGTGTTCCATATGTTTGTTCTCTCTCGGCGATATACCACAACAAGCCGGCCGCCAGTCCTTTGCGCCACATACCGACAACATAGACATCGTCCATCAGTGACGCAAAGTATCTGGCAACACCCGAAAGAGCAATCAGCTTGTCAGACTCAAAGGTTAGGCGTGTTGCGGAATACGTCTCCACAATGGAGTTCCAGATCCTCTGGTAGAACGCCAAGTCGTCAGATGCATGCCCGTACGTTTGCGAAGAGTTACTGCGCCAGGCCGGGTCAAGCCCCTTGAAATTCGCCAGGACATCATCACGAATTGGTGGCGGGAGCGAGTCCGGATAGCACTCTGCTGCGGATTGCTCCCTGCATTCCCAGAACAACTGATCCCTGGCGAAGTGCAGAACTCGAGGCGACAGTAGACGCTCCTGCAGTACCCATCCTCGTGTGTTCAGTGGACATTTGCTGACACCGCAACGCCAGAAGTTGGAGTCTACAATGGTGCCATGCACATAGTCTGACTCGGCCGAGACCCCGAGCCCTTCGACGCAGATGCGAACGTCACTGTTGTGACTGAGGCGGGGATCGCGACGGGAAAAAAGACCGTCTGAGCTATCAACTGCTCGTGCGGCAGAGATGTTGCAAAAGGAGTGTGAATATACCTTGTGCATCTGCGCCGCCTCGAGGAGCCAGTCCGACTGGTCGTCCCGGTCCTGCATGATGCACAGTGAGTCGATCCATAAGAAGCGGACACCGAGTTTTCGAGTCACTTGAATGGCCTCATGGAAGGTCTTTGGCAATCTGTCCAGATTCACGCCCTGTCCGAGGTCGGCCAACGAAGACTTGTTCAGCTGGAGGAACTTTGCAGTGCCCCAACAGTGACTTAGTGTCATATATCGTTCGGATTGGTCCAAGTCGAGGTCTGCCGTCACGACCACTCGGCAAGTGTCCAGAGGTGCGTTTGGATGGGCCAGGTCCAAGAGGCGTGTTGGAAACCATGGCCCAGCATTGGTCTCGACGTTGCAAGCCGAGTGGCTCGATTTGCATCGCCGGATCCAAGTCGTAGCTCGATTCCACGACTCTTCAGAGTCTGTACTGTAGCTCGAGAAGGATGTCATTTTTACCTTCTCTCTTCCTACTCGCGTAAGGTTAGTATGGTGACCCTTGACAGTCGGGCTGTTAGACGAACCAGGACCCCTTGCAATCCAGTAACTCCCATGCACAGGCTTCAAAGCTGGAATTTCTTCGACGCAGGCTGCCTTGAATGATACGGAGATCAGGAGGTCGCTGTCCATGGACTGCTTATCAGTATTCTTGATCACGTTGAGAATCCAGCAATCCGATACGTGGCTGTCAAGGGCTTCCAATGGATTCAGCAAATCATCAGGCCCTCTGGACGTCGATTTGTGCTGGGATGTCCGCTGGACATCGACCTCCCTCAACCGACTTCTGGTGGTGTCATCGATCTGACACCAAATAGGATAGCAAATTTCGCAAGCAGCAAGAGCAGATGCTTCGAGGCTGGCGGCCGTTTGATGGTGGTCGAAGTACACGGCGATGGATCTATCGGTGACAACGCGCTTACAGCCTTTGCGGTGCTCGAGCACATCAATGCATACGCTGCACAGCATGATGTATTTTGGTATGAGATTCTCCTGTCTCAGGTTGTAGCCGCGGATGCGGAAGGGTATGATGAGGTTGGGCGACATGAGGCAGCAAGGAAGCGGAGTTTCTGTCCGATATACAGGATATCTGGGCCCGTTGCATCGTTCTCGTGTGAGCAGACTTTTTCTACATTCTGGACTGACACTCAAGATGTCGAACACATGAGATTTGCCTGTAGCCTTGCCTTTGCAATCATGATCATGCTCATGAAACCTCAACAGATATGTTGAAGGTCAGCCTAGGACTTGCAAACAATGCTCCTCTTCTTTCCGCTTAGGCTGGAAGCTTGGATACTTAGGGCCTCCTCTGTGTTTTTCCTATAGATATATCAATAAATCCATATTCTTTCAACCAATCATCATACAGCGGGGATAGCTCAGTTGGGAGAGCGTCAGACTGAAGCCACAACTTCGGTTCTACAAAATCATCTGAAGGTCGTGCGTTCGATCCGCACTCACCGCATTGTATAACACGTTGAACAACATCGTTCTCTTTTTGCCCGGCGTGGGGAGGATGTGGTTTCGTAAAGAGGAAAAAAGAAAGGGAAAAAAGGTTTTTCTTTCTTTTTCTTTTTTTTTGTTGCTTCTCCTTACTCTCTCTTCTTCTTCCTTTTCCTTCTCAACTGGTGCTATGATAGCAGCAGATACGGGTGCTTCGAAAGCTCTCTCCGCGTGCGCGGCTTGCGGGAGCTAGGTCATGGATACTACGCAAAACACCGACATTTCCGACATGGTCACTCAGATCATTGTTCTTCCACGATTTGGTTTGCATTGTTAACACAGTGCTTGAAAATGACGAGAACAAGCTCATTTGTCGAGTGCGACAAATGTTGTACACATCATTTCACCTTGAGTGCCAGTCACAATCACATCTACGGGATTTCCGTGGTCAAATAGTCCGGAGCCACGTTTCAAAGGTTTGCTTGAGCTGGATACAACACTTTCTCGGATACGCTGACCTTGAGGAGCCCGGTGTCGCTGCCGGACGAGCCATGAGATTATTCCCAGTCCATCCATCCCTTGAGACTTCCACGCCGCAACCCGGCCGCCTATAAAAAAACGGTACAATCCACCTGACTCGTATTCGCCAACCCTGGGCACAAGTACTGACCCGATTGCAATTCTTACTGCCTTGTGAAACCCTCGAGCTGGGCATTTAATGTAATAGTAGCGAAGGAAGATCGTCTCGATCCCCTTGTCCTGCAGCATCGACATGAACTCCTGCTCGGAAAGGCAGGTTTTGACAGCGACCCAACGTTCTCGAGGAACAAGATCCGTCTCATTGTGGGCTCCAGGCGCGCCATCTGTAGCGCCTATCTCCAAGTACGGCTTGAACATTGACCGGCACGAGATGTAGTGACCTTGGGCCACTTCGCTGACCGCCTTGTGGGCGTTGAGCACTAGTAGCTTAAGCTCTTCTTGATTTTCGGGCATCGTGACTTGTTCGTTGGCTTGGATGTGGCAAGCGTACGAGTCTATCTGGACTGTTGCTACAATGCTAGCCAACTTTCTTGAAAGAATGTGATCGACTCAGTACCAGGCATTCCGTGCCTTTCGACGGACAATATATACACGGATCATTTCGCCCCCAGAGAGGTCATGCAGGCGTGATTCCAGATTTGTTCATCTCTCTCTTAGTCTCATGTGTGTTACCTTTGGCCATCAACTTCTCATGATTCGTACGCAGTCCAGTCCCTGATCTCATTATGCATTGTCCTACAGAGACTTTGTGTCACGCTATGCCTGTGTTATGGTCATTCTCGAAATGCCTAGTGATAGCAGCAATAACTGACACGCCGTACGCTGCGACAAAGGAACAGCGACCTTGTGTGCGCCTACGCTTTTGTTACTGGTCGCACGGGACTTTTGAGGTCTTCGTGCATGCTCTGAGGAATCTGCAACGTGAGGAAGGCATGTGGAGCATTATTGTGCGTGGCTTGTCACCCGCACATCAAAGACAATTCTGCACAACCAACATTGCACAAGGAGCAACAGCGGGATCAACTTCCACGCGCCAGTGTTGTTACCCGAAGCTGTGCTACGTACTCGTGGCCAAGAACTTCGTGTCACCATCAGTGGGCTTGGTTTATGGCTATCAGGACTTGGTCAATGAATGGCAAAATTACCTGAAGCCACGTAAACAAAGCAGGCTTGTTGATATCACTCGGCTACAATATACACGGCAGTGTGTCCATGGGCGCAGGCACGCGACCTCTCCTGGATGCCAAACACGACCCCCGGCAGATTCAAGACATGAATTACCGTCGGGGATAGTCAGCCTTTCTCCATCAGACATGGATCTAGGAGAATCGTCACAAGCAGTTGACACGTCGAACCAAGGTAAGCGAGCACATGTCTCCACGCTCGGCACAAGCATGTGTATAATTTGTGCAAGGATGACTCTCACCTTCGTCTGCGCCGGTTTCCATGACTAATGCCTGCGCCTCATTGGACTGTCACCAGATATCATCCGAGCAGCAGTTCCCTCCGTGCCAACCAGCACGAAACGCAAGCGGGTCTTTATGCAAGTCGATGCGAAAGCCTCAGTGCCGCTGCCGGCTCTTGCAGCGTCTCCACCACACCAAGCCGGGAACCTATGTATCACTGCTTCGCCATCACTAAGCACGCAGCCACTCATAGCGCCGCCCAGCTGACGACAGCGACTAATTTCTCCGCAGGATGGACCCCACCGTTACCCCAGACTCCCCACTGGCGGCGCTTGGAGTCGGACCTCGCCCTTTAGACTTCGGCACGAAAGCATTTGCCGGGTGAGCAGGAACGGGCGAGTGGAGAACGGAGCAGTTGAGTTCGCATGCCACTCGGAGCTCCCCGCACGCGGGGTGACAATGAACGATCGTCGCATTCTCGCGGTCGCTGGACCGAAGAGGGGTTGAGATAACATATGCCATGTTCCTCAAATGTTGCTTGTCAAATGAATCGGCTGGTGTCCCAAGCCTGTCCACGACTCTTGGACCTCAACATCATCCTACAATTCTCGACTGTATCATCCTGAGGAGCCCAACTCCGCTGCTGTCGACCTCCTCGCCTTTGGCACACGCCAGAAATACGAAACAAGAACAATCATGTCATACCCGGTTCTTGGACTCGCCATTGCGGCCGTCGTCTGGGTCGCCGTCCAGGCATTATCCAAGACTGACATGCCCAAGATCAAAGGCCTCCCCGAAATCCCGGGCGTCCCCATTTTCGGCAACCTGTTCCAGCTGGGCGTCGACCACGCTCGAGTGACGAAGAAGCTCGCCGAAAAGTACGGGCCCGTGTTCCAGACTCGCCTGGGTACAAAGGTGAGCATCAGCGCTCGCATATCCTGCTCCTCGGTCTCCAAGCCCCGTGTGTGTATCTGACCTCTTCTCCCCAAACCCCCCAGCGAGTAATCTTCGTCAACAGCTACGACACTGTCCGCCACTTCTGGATCACCAACCAGTCCGCCCTCATCTCGCGGCCGACATTCCACACGTTCCACTCCGTGGTCTCGACCTCGCAGGGCTTCACGATCGGCACGTCGCCGTGGGACGAGTCGTGCAAGAAGCGCCGCAAGGCCGCGGGCACGGCGCTCAACCGCCCCGCCGTGCAGTCGTACATGCCCATCCTGGACCTCGAGTCGACGGCGTCGATCCGGGAGCTGCTCGACGACTGCGCCTCGGGCACCCGCGACATCGACCCGGGCCCTTACTTTGCGCGGTTCGCGCTCAACACGTCGCTCACGCTCAACTACGGGTTCCGGATCGACGGGACCGTGGACAGCGCGCTGCTGCGCGAGATTACGCACGTGGAGCGCGAGATCTCGCACCTGCGCAGCACGAGCAACAACTGGCAGGACTACGTGCCGCTGCTGCGGCTCTGGGGCGCGCAGAACCCAAAGGCCAAGGAGTACCGCGCCCGCAGGGACAAGTACCTCGGCGACATGCTGCAGGACCTGAAAGAGCGCATCGCAAGGGGTATCGACAAGCCCTGCATCACGGGAAACATCCTCAAGGACCCGGAGGCCAGGCTCAACGAGGCCGAGCTCAAGTCCATCTGCCTGACTATGGTCTCGGCAGGGCTCGACACGGTGCCGGGGAATCTGGTCATGGGCCTGGCGTACCTGTCCACGCCGCACGGGCAGGAGATCCAGGACAAAGCACTGCAGGAGATTATGAAGGTCTACCCGGAGGGCAACGCGTGGGAGATGTGCCTGCACGAGGAGAAGGTGCCGTATGTCACTGCGCTCGTCAAGGAGACGCTCCGGTTCTGGACCGTCATCCCCATCTGCCTGCCCCGGACTAGCATCAGGGATATTACCTGGGAGGGTGTCACTATCCCAGCCGGCGCCACATTCTTCATGGTATGTCTTTGCCACACTTGATTAGCACCACCAGCTTCACCCTCAATACCACCAGACTCACTAGCTGCGTGTGTGTATACCATCTTGACCGTTCACTGACACCGAGGCCACCAAAACCCCCCCTTTCCACAGAACGCCTACGCAGCAGACTACGACACCGCGCGCTTCGCCGACCCGCACCAGTTCCAGCCCGAGCGCTTCCTCAGCGACACGTCCACCTCGGAGGGCGTGGGCTCCCAGGGCGGCGGCACCCCGCACTACGCGTACGGCGCGGGCTCCCGCATGTGCGCGGGCACGCACCTGGCCAACCGGGAGCTGTACACGGCGTACATCCGGCTCATCAGCGCGTTCCGGGTCGTCGAGAGCAGGAGAGTCGAGGACCGCCCGGTTATTGACGCGATCGAGTGCAACCTCGTGGCGACGAGCCTGACGACGGACCCAAAGCCGTTCAAGGTCGGGCTGGTGCCGCGGGACGAGAAGAAGCTCCGGGAGTGGATCAGGAGGTCCGAGGAGGCTACGGAGGGGTTGTGAGGTTGGCAGTTTCGCTCAGAGGTCGTGTCGGGAACTCGGGGGAATCGAGAGTATATCGTCAGGAAGTCGAACAGGAAAGCAAAAGTTGGGCATGAAATAAACCAGGTGTTCGTTCTCACGATGCTGAGTATTCAATGAATTACCTATCCGAGCAGGTAAACAGTAGGGCTAGAAGGAAAGCAGGATTCTAAAATTTAATAGCTAGGCAAGTAGCAACTCTCCAAAGCTGCTGTGATGGTCGTAATCTTGAATCGACCGTAGAAACTACCTGCTCTTCAAGCTAAACCCCATGTGTTGAAGGACAGTCGGATCCTGGCTCGGTGGGTGCTTCTGCGAGCCATCAAAGTTCCGCGGAATGAGAACCGGGTCTCTTTCGAGGGTGTCTGGGTGCACGTGAAAGCATCCCAAAGTGTTCGTGCCCTGAGGTAATGTCGTGATCGCTGGCAGTCCTCTACCTCCGTCCTTCGATAGACGCCTGGAAAGAGACTCCACCAAGTCTTCTGGAGGTACTTGATCGCTGATATTTTCGGCCGGATTTGTCGCATTACTGCTTGAATGCTCAGCTGCTCGTCCGACATCCATGACGGCGCTGCCCTCTGAAGTTTCCCCAGTGGTCGTTTTGCTCTCGGCGATATGTTTCCTGACTTGTTGCCGAAGAGCATGCTTCTTTGGATCGTGCTTCTTTCCCCAGCGCCACTGCATCCTTCGAATCCGGCGCTCTTCGTCAGGCTCGTCATCATCGTCCGCTTCAGCGTTTGATGCTCGCCTTGCCCGCTCTGCAGCCGCAGCCTCAGCGGCCTCCATGAACTCCTTCTCCAGCTTCTGCACCAGCTTGCGCTCTCTTGACCAGCGCACAATCCTGATGATGGGCCATGCCAACGGTCTCAGATACCTGCGGGCAAAAGAAAGAACCAGCTCGTCGGGGATCATCCGGATCAGGGCGCCGACAGGGAAAGTAAGCAATCCAAAGAACAGGGTCCATCCCCACTGCTCGGCAGTCAGAGGCTCGGTCTGAAAAGCCGACCCGCCCTTGAGTATGATTGCCACTTGGCCTCCGATGGTGATGAGCTGCACCACAAGAAACCACAGGTTTCGGTGAATGCCCTCAAAGACATTCAAGTTGTTGTCCGTGCGGCGACAGCTATTAATAACGTCAGTGAACCGTACCAAGAAACACTCAGCGACGGAGCGACCTACTTCGTCTGGTTGAAGACTTGCATGAACATGTAAATGTTGAACACAAACGTCTGCATCTGCCGCTCGGATCCCAGCCCTTTATCGCCACCCAGACCTCCACCAGCGCCCATAAAGTACTCATAACCACGATAATGTAAGGTGAAAATGACAATTAGCTGGTACACGGCCTGTCCGAGCACCATCTTCCACATTGTCGGGGTGATGATTGCAGCACCGCGTGGCTCTGGGCGTCTCTGGAGAAGTGTCTTGGTGGGGAAATCAGTGGCCAAGGCCAATGCTGCAAAGATGTCCATGATGAGGTTGAGCCAGAGTAGCTGAATGACGGCAAAGACGGCTGCGTCGACGCTCTCTACCAGAGTGGTAACAATAGTAAGCAGCCCAGCAGTGATGTTGATGGTGAATTGAAACTATCGACGGATGATTGGTTTCGTTAGTCACAGTCCTTATTTGGAATATGTGCATCTGGAGGGCAAAACTCACCTGGCAGAACTTCTTTGCGCTATCGTTGATGACTCGACCCCAGGCAAGCGCGCTAACAATACTGGCAAAGTTGTCATCCATCAGGATGATGGCACTCGCCTCCTTGGCGACATCTGTGCCCGAAACGCCCATGGCGAACCCGACGTCGGCAGCCTTGAGCGCGAAGGCGTCATTGGTGCCGTCGCCCGTCACGGCCACCGTCTCGCCCAGTCTCCTGAGGTGACGGACGAGTACCTGCTTATCGTCGGGGCTCGACCGTGCCAGTACCTGCAGACGTGGGACCACCACGTCGCGCTCCGCATCGGTGAGAGCCCGAAAAGTCGGGCCATCGAGGGCAAGGCCGCCGGCCGTGTAGATGCCGCACTCCTGGGCGATGGACATTGCGGTGTCAATGTTGTCGCCCGTGACCATGCGCACAAAGACGCCCGCGGTTTGACACTGGCGGACCGCGTCGATCACCTCGGGCCTGAGCGGGTCTTGGATGCCAAGCGTGCCGATGAAGATCAAGTCCCTTGCGGCGAGCTCAAAGATATCGTCTCGCCTGTAGGGGTCCGGTTGCGAGCTGGAGGAGGCAAGGCTGGTAGGACCTCCTCCTTGCCACTCCTGCCCGGCTTGCGGCGGCCACTGGTCGAAGTCCTTGTATGCAAGTGCGATTGGCCGTAGTTGTCGCTTGGCATATGCAGCTGTCGCCCTGGCCACCTGCTGTCTCCTGTCGGTGTCGAGTAGCCTTTTAGAAACTCCGTCTTTGGGATTCTCAATAAGCTCCGAGCATCGATCTAGGAGGATCTCGGCAGCGCCCTTGACAAGCAGCCGGTACTTTTTGCCGTTCCCCTGCTCATCCCCTGGCATGCCTACCACGACGGCCATCCACTTGCGCACGGCGTTGAACGGCAGCGTCTCGACAATGTCGGCATTCTCGCGCTCCTGGGTCAGAGGTCCCATGCCAAGGTGCTCTCGGCCGAGGCGCAGAAGGGCTGTCTCTGTGGCAGTGCCCACAAATGTCTCCCCTTCCAGAGAATCACTCTGGGTGCCCGTGCCTCGTTCAGCCGGGTCCTGTTCAAAGGCGGTCGTGTTAAGCGCCACCATAGCCCGCAAGATTTCTCTGAGATCTGGGTCGAGCGACTTCACGAACTCGCGCGGCCCGATAGTCCTCCAGCTTTGGGGTGAGGACGATGCAGATGCGTCACCGTCACCAACATGCTCATCATCATGTGCGCCAAACTGCTCGGTCCCGATAGTCCCGGCCACGACCGTCATCTTGTTCTGCGTCAGGGTGCCCGTCTTGTCAGAGCAGATGGTTGTCGCGTTGCCCATGACTTCGCATGACCGCAGGAGCCTGACGAGGTTGTTGTCCTTGAGCATCCGCGACGTGCCAAACGCCAGCGCCACAGCCACTGCGAGGGACAACCCCTCCGGCACGCCAATCACCACCACCGTCACCGCCAACATGAAGATGTCGAGGAAACTCTCCCCCTTGTCCTCGGGGCTGCCTTCAAAGTACTGCAGGTTGACACACCACCGGATGAACTGCGCCAGGAAGAACAGGATGCCGACGATGAACCCCACGACGATGATGTACTTGGCCAGCCGTCCGAGCTTGTGCTGCAGTGGCGTCTGCTCGACCGTCCCTCGCAGGGAGAGCTGGATACGGCCATGCGTGGACTTGCTGCCGACGGCGGTGACGAGCATGGCACCAATACCGTGGACGACCTTGGTGCCGCTGAAGAGGAAGACGTCTTGCTTTGCTGCTGCTGCTGCTGCCTCTCCTCCGGTCGTCGGCTGTGCTCCATCAGCAGTGCCAGCGGCGGTCGCTGGGCTTTTGTGCATGATGTCGGCCTCTCCCGTCAGTGAGGACTCGTCGCACTCCACTCTAGACCCTTCCACGAGGACCCCGTCAGCATGGAGGATGTCGCCCGCCTCGATCCGCAAGATGTCCCCGACGAGCACGTCAAAGACGGAAATGCGCTGGGCGCGGCCGGAGCGGACCACAGTGACCCAGCCCTCCTGCTTCTTAGCGTTGAGCTTCTCGAAGCGGTAGTTCTTGTGGTAGTCGTTGGCCGCGCTGGCAAAGACAATGACGAAAACGGCGGCCATGATGGTCACGCTCTCGACCCACTCCAGATTGGAGCCATCGTCGTCGTTCTCGCCATCCGCATCGGGTCCCCCTTGCTCGGCGACCGCAGCTACGGCCTCGTAGATGCCCAGTGCCAGAGATATGGTGGCAGACGTGAGGAGCAGGAAGATGAGCTTGTCATTGAAGGCGAGCCAGGCCAGCTGGAGGAAGGACTTGGGCTTGGGCTTGGGGAGGCGGTTCTCGCCAAATGCCAGTCGTCGGTCCGTGTGGCCCTGCGGCGTGTTGTTGGCCAGCAGGCCCGGGACGTGGAGGATGTCGGTGAGATGGGTCTCTGTCGGACTCGCATCGTGTATCACTCCCGCTTTCTTGTCTTCCTTGCTGGGTGGCGTCTCGATTTCGATTGTTGACGGTGATTTCGTATTCCGCATGGATGCTGCGCGAGCGGCGGTGAGGGCGTCTTGCCTGGACACCGCGCCATCGAGGCGGTCTTCGTCAACGCCTAGCCCTGCCCTGGTGTCGGTCCGGAGGCCAGCAGCCAGGCCGCGGATGCCGCCAAAGGCATCGAGCGCGTCTGTCGACCGCAGCTGGGAGAGCTGATGTAGATGTGCTGTGGAGAAGGCAAACTTGCTGGTGGCTCTGGAGGATGTGGCAGCAGCAGAGCCAAGGTCGTCGTCTGCGCTGTCTGCAGCATCCCAGGCGATCGCATCACCTGAAATCTTTGTCTCCAAGGGGATCTCGGGCTCTTTCTCCATGGGGATATGCCGTCCAGCCTCTGGCGGTGTAGAAGCCATCCTGCCTCGGTATCGTCAAGGGCTCCCAAGGTTGGACCAGTCTGGATCAGCGAAGCAAGACGACCCTGAGTCGGAGCATAGCACGGGTAAACGGAAAGCCACTCGTGTCTCAGTGTTGTGATGGAAGGGACGTAGAACGGGAAAAGAAATCCCAGCGACACGAAAAGCACATGGGGAGAGGAAGAGACGGCAGAACAGTGCCGTCAGGACGAGGCCAGAAACAAGGCACCCACTAACTAGGCCCCGAGCATGCATATTGGGAGAACAGGGCGTTTGGCCATGAGGCCCCCCCGGGCACCTTGTCGAGCCGGTGCCGAGAGGCGAGACGTCATTGGATTGGATTGGATTGGGGTTGCAGCAGGGCGGCTGACTTGTGCCCAGGTTGCTTGGCCGGGATATGCGGCACGCCCGCCTCCGGGAGTAGTGGGGCCGCGCCGTCCATGGCGGCTTGGCATGCACGCCGGGGCCGGCACGCACGGGAGCCCGGCACACCACGCCCGGCACACTGAAGTGCAGAGACTAAAAGCCCGTCAACCCCATGTCAAGGCAGAGACCGGCGACCAAATCACACCCTGCCCTTTCTTCCATCAAGAGTGATAAAATAGTCAAATGAGAGTCTCATCCTCACCTGCTCCCAAACGACAACCTGTGTGCGGTCCTTGTCCACCCATGATGCCTCGACCACCTCTGTGGATTTTTCTTGACAAGCACAACGAGTGAACACAATTGCCCTATGAAAGGTTCTTGATTCTGCCACGGTTTCATGGCCCGCGTTGAGTGGCCGACTCGCCCGAGATCCTCCCGTATTCGTAGTTCCTCGATGAGGCATCTGTAATTTCCACGTTCTGGGCAACAGAGTACCACGCAACGCCAGCGGACACGGATGGAGAAAAACCTCGGTCCCTACGGGCAAAGACATTATCATTGTCTCACACACACTGCACCTATTTCTCCGATAGCCCTCTCTCTGATCTCGTTGAGGACACGGAAGACAGCGCTCGTCAGGGCGATTATCTTTTGTCCTTCATGCGCTGTCCCGACCTCTCCACAGCACTGTCCGACCCAGGCACCCCCACGAGCTCATCTTCCGAGTAAAATCAAAGAACGCTACTACCTTGCCCAGTTCCCCAGCATTTCATTTCGCCCCGTAGGTCCCCACTCAAGTCGGCATACCCGGCCGGAATTGTTACCGGGGCACCCGACCGGGACCTCCGAGCCACGGGTAGACACCGAGCCGGAGCCCAAGTGAGGCCCGGGCTTGCTGGTCCTCCCTCAAATTCCGTTGGACAGCTCAATAGATGTTTACACGTGTGAATTCCCTAATTCTGCCTGCTTTTTCTTGAGTTCATTCTGTTTTGTGATCGTTCACTTCCGGGACTGTGCAAGGCATGGCACGGCACGGCGAGACCAGGACAGCACTGCACAGCACAGGGCAGCCCCGGTGCACCATTCAACCCTCGTGACTTGTCGCAACACTGCTTGCTGCTTGCTGCTGCCGGCCCCTCAAGGCCGTAGCCCCCGTGGATGTCCGCCCAATACCTTTTCCTTCCTTGAACAACCTGTGAAGAAGTCCATACCCTCGCGCCCCCCCCCCCCCCCGGGGGGGATCGGCACCAGACCGCGCAAGCTACGGGAGAGGGGTGACGCCGGCAAAGGTACGAAAGGGGGTGGTGGGTCACACTACACATATGGCACGCGCCTGCGTGTGGAAACTGAGCCAGGACGTACCAGAAAAAAGTGTAAGGAGAAAAGTGGAAGGAAAAGCATCCCACCCAAAAAGGAGGGAATTGGCTGAGATCAGACGTGTCGTCACATTGACAGAGTTTCGCTGCGAAGATGTTCGCACGCCATCGCAGAATTGGTGCCCATCGAGAGAACCCGTTTTCCCACAGAGTGTTCCACGACCGAGCCCGGCAACAGAATAATGGCGGCGCCCCGAAAAGAGCTTGTATACGCGTGGACTGCCGCGCATGCGTGGGACTCGGGCGGGTTATGATCCTCGCCCCGCCCATCCAGCCATTCTGCTCCTGCCCAATATCGCCTCGAAACTTTGCACACCTGTAGCGTTACACTACCCTACCTCCGTGTCACTTGCAATGCTCTGTTCGAGCTTTTCCACATGAATACGAGGAACAGTCTCGCCTCACGCCGTGAATGGGTAAGTGTATGCAGCGGGAGAGAGACAAAGAGATTGTCTCAGACATCATTACTTTTCTCGTCAATATGTACACAAATAAGGGAACCTCGCTACACTGTGAGGCAGAAAAAAAACCATGACCAAACGACCAACGCACTACTACTTGTGGCACCGCCCAAAGACGTCACATTCGCACTGGCTACGCTCGTAGCACAGCACGCCGGGCATGCCAAACAGGATGTGCCAGTTGAACTCGAACACGCGCCCGCTCGCCTCGTCGTGCAGGTCCGTCGCGAACAGCCACTCCCGCAGGGCAATGTAGTCCTCGCGGGGCCTGGAGAGGATCGCCTCGCGGGTGACGGCGAACTGCCCGCCGGACGGGTCGGCAATGGGCGGGAACGGGTGGGTCGAGAGGTCGGGCACGCCATAAGGGTCGGCCTCGTCAATGTTGTCGCGCTGGAGCATGAGCTCGTTGATCTTGGGCACCGGGGTCGAGGTGTTGGCCCAGAACTCGCGCCAGACCTCCTCGGTGTTGGGCGTGAGGTGGAAGTTGTCGGGCCGCGGGGTGTGGAGGCAGTTGGAGCGCGGGTTGCAGCGCATGTTGACGTAGCCGCGCTTCTTGACCGTGTCGAGGCGCAGCTCGCGGGTGGCCACGACGTTGGAGTGAAGGCGGGCATCGACGTGCCAGGCCCGATGGTAGCCGTCCTCGTGGGCGTGGAGGAAGAGGACGATAGAGGGCAGGTGGTGGTAGAAGTCGATGAGGAAGGTGATGTAGGCCATGGCCTCGTGGCCTTTGTTGGCGGGCAGCCGCAGCTCCGTCGGAGGCTTGTCCGCGGGCGGCGGGACGGTCGTGGCGACTGTGTTTGGTGGGACGGGGTAGATGGCTCTCTGCCAGCTGTTTTTGGTCGTCCTCATCAGCATGTTTCATCTGCCTGAAGATGATGACAAGAGGTGGTGGTACTTACTCTGGGAGCTCCCTTGCGACCCAGGAGACATCCTCGGAGGGCAGGTGGACCATGACAATCATCTTGTCGCCGACGACGCCGTCCCACTGAGGGTGTGGTCTGGGTCGCCCAAAGACCTTGTCGTGGAGGGCGTCCTTGACATACTGGGCCGAGTCCATGGTCTGCCACGAGTTGAGCCAGCCATTGCTGCCGGGGACGGTGATGTAGGCGTAGATGAGGAGGATCGAGGCGACCGTGTAGACGGCATACATGCGTAGCTTGCCGCGCCGCCGTACGAGCATCGTAAGGAAGGCCGGAGCGTCCACGCTGGGCGGCTCTTGCTGCGATGCAGGGGTCTTTGTGCGGGTGCGCGGTTGGCAGGCCGAGGGGCGGCTCTCGAGTTTGGCTGCAGGGCTAGACACGCTGTGAAGTCGAGCCTTTTGCGTTGATACAGGCGCGGGTCATGCAAGAGGTAGCGATTGTATGACGAGGGGGGGGGGGGGGGCTCGAAAGCGACGCGGGTTGGTGTCGAACGAGGGTCAGATCTGACTGGGGCTACCGCGACCTGATGAGGCTGGGTGAAGCAGATGTGGGTGGGCAGGGTCTGGCGCGGAGAGGCTTCAACTCGAGACAGGCTGAGTGGTGTCTTTGTCGTGGTCGTCCTTATCGTCGTCGTGTTGGTCGTCGTGATTGTCGTGGTCGAGGTTGGACAGTCAGACCAGGCAGCGGATCGGAACAATGGAAAACGAGGGTGGGCTGGGGCGACACTGGCTGATTCGTGCGACAGCGAAGGCAGGGTCGACAGGGACACAGACAGACAGACAGGAGACAGACAGGGCTGGAAACCTTGGAGGGACGGGCGTGCGGGCAGGGGTTTGCTGGCGATGGGGCAGGTCTGCCTGGGACGGCACAGTGAGGGCCTGAGAGCACGCCAAGCCCCTGGGCATCTGCATTCCCCATCCCAAGCACGCCCTCCGCTGCGGCTCGGGCACCATGACATAGGCGGCGGCGACAGCGGCAGCGGTGGACAGTGCTGCCGCGCACAGCCCATGGGTGAACCACGCGCTTAGGTACCTCCCGGGGACTAGAGGGCGCTGCTGGTGCAGGCATCGGGGATTGTCTGCCCTGCCCAACGTCCGTCCGTAGTGCGTGTGGGTGGTTGCCGGTGTAAGATGCACACAATCTGCAGAGCCACTGTCAAGACAGACACCACACCCCCACAAGTCCCTGAATCAGCGTGCAGCGTGGTGGGCGGCCCACTGGGATGGCTTCAGGGGCTGCCTGTGCCGGCGACCAATGCCCGGCACCAATGCCAGACGCCGCTACGCTACGCTAGCTAGAGCGGCAGCTTGCAAGACAATGCCACGCGCCAGTCGTCATCGTGGCTGCCGGTGGACACCTGGGCAGTCGGGTGGTGCCATGCTCAAACTCTGGACTGGACCCTGTCGAGCCTGTCTCGCACCTTATCGCTTATCAGTGGAGTGCTCTAATCTGCGTCTCCGGAGTATGTTGACTAGCGTAGTCCAGTGGAGTGCGGCTTCCTGCCCACCTGTATAGCTGAGAGGGGGGTTGCCGCATCGCTGTTACTTCACAAGGAATGGACTGACACCACTGAATCGTCTGGAATTCCAACAGCCAGTTCTCGTATTGATGCAATCGAATCTTCACCATCCAGCTCTCATCTCGTCAGCCAGTCTTCTCACGGGCGCCGCCACAATCCCAACCATGGCTCACAACTCCTGTCGCAACCCTGGCTGATTCAGGATCGGGTCCAGGGTTCGTCCCCGTCCGCCGCATCGGCCACGCCCTTATCGATCCTTCGCCACTGCAGCCTTACACCTCAGGACAACGAGGCCGGCTTCTTCTCCTCGTGCCACCGCCAACCCAGCCAGCCATGATCAGTCATCTGTCATCCTCCTAGTTTCGCGGTGCTCATTCCCTCGTCTACCATGAGCAACAAAACCTCGGCGCTTGCTGGGCAGCGACAGGTTCGTACGCGACCATCAGCCTGGACGACTGCGGTCCTCGCCGCCAGCTTCTTGCTCATCTTCGGCCTCTACAACCTGCCCGAGCTCTTTCTCGATGCGTCGGACGAAATCCCGACCACATGGCCACTCCATCTCGTCGACCCCGAACCGCTGCGCTACCCTGGCGAGTCCCTCTCGTGGACACCTTGCGGTGATGCCAAGGGCCATCCTCTCGAATGTAGTACGATCCACGTGCCCAAAGACCAGTACGCCACTGCCACGACTGCGCCCGACACTGCCGACGATCGCGACACGTTTTCAATCCCCTTGATCCGTCTCCGCGGCCGCAATGCCACCAAGAACATCCTCTTCAACCCGGGCGGGCCCGGCGGATCGGGCGTGCAGTCTCTGTACACCCGCGGCGACAATCTACATGGCCTGATTGGGGACGGGTTCCATATTATCGGATTCGATCCTCGTGGCATCAATGGGTCTAGACCGTCGGCCAGCTGCTCTCCCGTCTCGCACAAAGGCGATGCAACTCAAGAGTCGAACCCACTCATTCACAAGGGTATGCGCCATAGCGACTTCCCAGAAGTGCAGGCCTGGGCCGCCAACTTTGCGCAGGCTTGTGTTGACACGATGGGTGACTATGCTGGATACGTCAACACCCCACAGGTTGCGGCTGATATGAACAGCATCCTCGATGCTGTTGGGCAGTACGAAATGTACTACTATGGCGTCAGCTACGGCACCGTCCTTGGCCAGACATACGCCGCGCTGTTTCCGGAGCGCAGCCAGCGCATCGTCATCGACGGCGTCGTCAATACACTGCAGTGGTATGACAGCGTCCTCTTCGGCGACTCGCTGACAGATACCGACGAGCTCTTGGGGGCGTTCTTTGACGAGTGCCACAAGGCTGGGCCCCGAAACTGCTCGCTGGCATCCACCGGGGACAGTCCCCAGCAGATCCGGGACTCCGTGTTTGAGCTGGTAGGTCAGCTCAAAGAACATCCCTTGAGCACATACATCAACAACACGCACTATGGCATCATCACGGCAGAGATAGTCTTGCTCAAAGCGACTTTTAATGCCCTCTACAAACCGAGTCGCTGGCCAGACCTCGCTGATCGCCTCTCGGAGCTTATGGGCGGGAACGGGTCGCAGTTCCTTCTCGATCATGTGCTGGTTCCTGACTGGCCGGAGGCGCCCACAGACATCGTCATGGCGAACGACGGACTGTCTGGGCCCAAGCATTGGCGACAGGGAATCAAAGGGCTCGAGGAGGAGCTCGCCCCGCTCTGGAACAGCAGCGTCTTCGCGGATGCCCACAACAGTCTCTATATTCCCAAGCAGCAGTGGGTTGTGCCTCGGACGCACAACTTCTCGCTGAGCCACATCCAGAACGGCGCCGCGATCAACGGCCAGGGCATAGAGACTGCCCATCCACTGCTTATCCTCAGCACGAGCCTCGACCCTGTGACGCCCTTGAGGTCGGCGGAGGTGGCCAAGACTGCATTTCGAGGGAGCGAGATTGTCGAAGTGCGCGGCTATGGACACTGCAGCCTTGCCGAGCCGTCGCGGTGCGTTATCCGGGCGTTTCGCAAGTATTTGTACGATGGCATTTTGCCGAAAGGGCATACCTTGTGTGAGGCGGAACGGCCTTACTTTCCGAAGGATGACGACCGGGACGAGATACCAGGGAACGGTTCGCTTGGTAAGGTTGGGGCTGCTAGTGAGAACTTGGACGAGATCAACCGGGCTTATCTCGCTCAAATCGCGCTGAGACGCGATTGGGAGTGGAACAGAGGGATTTAGAGGATCAGCCAGGTTTATTTCCAGATCTCAATAACGATGTGCTATGTCTCAGCATAACACTCAAACCGTAGCCCCGTAATTTGAGCCAGCCAGCCGAAGGTCCTCCAGGAATCATGGCTGTACTGGCTGCTGTCATCCTAGAGGATGAATATTCGGAATCGCGTGAAGACTCGCAGGAAATCGATGTTGACAGTTCCCCAAGTCTCAAACTCTCTCTTTCTGGCCACGTTAAAACCCAAGCAGACGCTTGGATCTCCATCACTTGCAAGGGTGTTATGTTTAGTTTGTAGTGCGGCCAATCGAAACAGCCGTTAGCGTTGCTGCACGTCACTCCCCGCCAGTTGTACCTTGCAGTCTTGTCTGAGATATAGAGGCGGTGGGACAAGTTTAATTCACTTTCTGAGTGTCGTGAAGGACGCAGGCCTAGCAGGGCCCATTCAACCTGACTATAACACCGACCTGGCCGCAGTCTTCTCCCCACGGAAGGGCCACACCTGCATACGTTTTCTGCTGGCTTTGCTTCGACGACTGCATATCGACTTGCCCTGCCTCAGGAAGCCCTTCTCGCGGGTCCTCTTCAATAATGCTCGCCTCCTCCGGCAGATCTCGTCCCACAAGCAGCTGGGCCATGCTCGCGAGCATCTTGCTTGGCCTCGCCCCCGCCTGCGTGTCGGCCACACCCAACCACAGAGTCGCTGCCAATGACACTGAGACGTCTGTCGTCTCGCCCGCGTACATTGGCGTCAACGCAGACCCGGACGCGACGGGCAGGGTGCCTGTGCCGGGCTTCGACCTGACCACGCCCTTCCCCGGCAAGGCGTCCGCGGGATGGAGTCTGGAGCTCAACGTGACCCGGTACGCCACCGCCCCGCCGGGGCCGATCACCATCGTGGGCTACGACGGCAACACGACCCTCATCACCACGCGCCTGGTCCCCCCGCCGCCGGGGAGTCCCGGCGCGCTGTACAACACGGACGGCTCATGGGCCCTCTCGGACGGCGATGCATCCAACAGCTCTTCCTCCTCCTCCTCCTCGACCTGGTCAGTAACCATGGTCAGCTGGACCGAGCGGGCGATGAGGGTCGTGCCCGACGGCAACGACCTCGAGGACGGATCCTGTCCGGAGAGCGCGTTTAGCCAGGAGTGCGCGGACAAGATCCGCAGGGCCGTCATGGAGGACCCTTCCCTCGCGGACAAGGATGACTTCTCGACGACGCCCATCCCGCAATGCGGCGGGTACACGACTGCCTTCTCTACTAGTATGTCTTTTTCTTTTGTTCTTTTTGTTGAATCCTTTTCCCTGCTCCCCCTCTTCGCTACATCACGCGGCTTCCCCTTTCTTTCTTGGTGATTCCGCTATGTCGTGTTCGCGATATTTGCCACCGGCCACTCGGCCACACGCATGAAACATTATCACTAACCCCCAAATTTTCACCTCTCGCGTCGGTACAGCAATCCCCATGAACAGCACCTTCATGAACTCGTCCTCCTTCTCCCTGGGCATCGCGAACTCGGTCGATGCCTACAACGTCATCGGCGCCAGGACCTTCCCCATCCTGCTGGTCTGGGGCCGCAGCAGCGACACGAGGACGCCGCTGCCCGAAGACCACGTGCAGCTTGCCTGCGTCAAGGTGGACACCGTCGTGCGGGACGGGGCCGTGCTGCCGACGAGCAGCGCTGGGCCTGGTGGTGGTGGTGGTGTCCGGACGCCGGGAGAGGCGCGCCGGTTGGCGTGGTATGTCGCTGGGTTGGCGGGCGTGGTTGGGCTGGTGCTCGTTGGTTGAGTAACCTGGGTACCTAGGTACGTATTATAATGGGTTTCGGGATCCGGGGGGATGTGTTTGTTGTTGGCAAAGGGGTGGGGGCAGGGTCATGGGAATAGCGAGGTATAGGTGTCATGGTTTCTGCCCTTGTTTGAGATAGTTGTGATACCCATTCTCTGCAGTTTTGATCGCGTGTCTACTGCATACTCCCGATGAGTTGCATCTGGGCTTAGGTGGCGGTATGTGCTAATGTTGTAAGCAAGGTGAGCAGATGTTGTAATGCTCAGTACGTCTTGTGCTCCAGGTAAATACAGGTTTCTTGAGTTCTACCGCGTGAGACGATGAGTAACGTCAAGTTCCCAGCCCCGGGCCCGGGCCCCTAGGCACAGAGTACTCTAACCAAGAGTGCCTGTCCAATTCATGGCTTGATTCTACCAAAGTGCCTAGATGAGCCCGTCGACTTTCCAGTCCGTAAACAGCCAGTCATGAATACGAATACATCCCGGGCGATTGTGTTCGCCACCTGTGCCTGGCTCCCTCACCCATGAGCCGCTTCAAGTACAGCCAAAGGCCGAACTGTGACATACACACATATCAAGGCCGGTTGGCAAAGCCTGAGTTTCCCTGTCGGTCTCGAGTATTATCCCCTAGAACACAACATGCACCCGTGGTATAGGTCGCATTACCGAGAAGTATGGCACTTTCCCGTGATTCGGTGGGTTTGCCTGCAGCCTGAGCTATCAACTACAAAGTATGCAGGTCAGACCAGCCCAGTGTTAGCCCTATCCGCATACTACACCATCACTGCCTGCCTGCCTGCTAGCTCATCGGAAGCCGCGAGCCTACCATAGGACTACGGTCAGCACTAGCACTGCGCAACACATCGCCGATCCCTGCACTTCAGAGCGTGAGACCACAAACGCGGTAAGTAAGCTTTCCCATGCCCGCCACGGGACAACCTCTACGACGGGCTGAGGGATTCCCCATTAGAAAGAGGTGCAGTTAACTGCAGAGAGTGCGGGGTTTGGTGGAACAGCTGGACAGCATAGTTTGGCCCTAGCTGTGGAGTTGCGATGCAGAGCCGGGGGATATAAAGTTGATCCGGCCCTTGCTGTTCCGCTCCAGCCTGGCCCGAGCCCAAGATTCTTCGCACCCTTTCTTTCTTGGCTCCATGTGTGTTTGCTCTAATACACAGAGGACAAGTCTGATAGGAGAGTCCACGCAGCAACGATCTTCGTCCTTTTACGCCTGCTGTCCCACACATCGGAAAGTGCCTAGAGATAAAGTGTGCGCCTCCTCACGTTCAAACCCGCTTGTACGCAGACACGGAGACACTTTCCGACTCGTCCACGCGGACAGGGCGGGCCACGCCTTTTCATAACGGCGTTTGGAGCACAGCACAGCAACGACACAGTAGACGATGGCAGGGCCTTCAACCCAGTCACCGCCGCAACATCCGCGGTCGGGTCCGAAAACGGGCAGGCCGCCAACAGACACGACGAACGACACCGAGATCTCTCTCGTGTTCCCCGAGGGCGGGGTGCGCCTGTTCTATCCGAATGCTCCTCCTCCCTTGACATCCCCTTCACCTGTCTCTGCCGCGAACGAGAATGGCAAAAACGGCGCCACCACCACCACCACCACAAAGGGCCACCCGGTGATACAGGGCATAGACCCGAGCTATGTCATCAAGACGGCGATCCCGCCGCAGTCCAACTTCGCCGTTGCGCCGCACTGGCACGAGTTGTACACGGAGCACTTCCGCGTGGTGAGCGGGTACGTGCTGCTGCGGCTCGGGCAGAGGCACGTCATTGTCGGCCCGGGCGATGGGGACGTGGTGATTCGTCCGGGCGTCATCCACGGGTTCTGCAGGGCGGACATCTCTTCAGCCGAGGGTGGTGAGGGCGGTTTTGGGAAAGGCGTTGCCGAACGGGCGTGGCGGGAGCGGGAGCGGGAACGCGAGACCGGAAAGGATGGCGGCGGCGGCAGCAGCAACGTCGTCGATGGCCCCGAGAGCGGCCGCGGTGGTGCCTGGACCGGCGAGGATGTGGTCATGTACGAGTGGACCACTCCTGCTGACGGGCACAAGGAGGTGTTCTTCCGGAACATGCTCAGCTTTGCCAAGGACGATGTCGAGCCGCTGCTTTCTGAGATCGCGGTGCTGCAGCGGGAGCGCGAGCAGCAGCGGAACAAGGGGAACGCGGCGGCGGCGTGGATCGGGTCTCTTTGGTGGTTCCTGGGCATGCTTTGGGTGGTGGCTAGGTTGTTGGCCAGGCTGCCCAAGGGGATGTATAGTGTCGCGCACATGGACACTTTCTTCCTGCTGGTCGATGATCGATATGGTAAAGGACCGCAAGGCCGAGTCGGGCAGCATAATCGGGCGTTGAAAGAGGGTGCTGATGAATGGGACCGTCCCTCAAGGAGGTCGAGGGCAGTAACGTATATGCTGTTCGCTGTGCTGAAGGTCATCGGCCGAGTTGGCGGATGGAAGGTGTGGAAAGAGGAGTACACGCCAGAGAGACTGCGGAACGTCGCGCGAAGTATGCATTGAGGCGGTGCTATTACCCGTCACCCGCTGGAATGAGGGCTATCACGACAGATTGGGATACAATATTCTCACATTGAAATCTAAGCAGTATCTTGTAACAATTTCGCCGTTTCCGCTGAATCGCCAGGAGTTCGAAATACGACGGAAGAAGCCAAAGTAGAGATGAATAGCTCCAGGAACCTCGTGGCCAGCGCATTTGTAGTTGCTCACAGGAGCGGAAGTTGCGAGTGAGGCTTGGCAACGTGCGAGGGAGGAAGCTGGCTTGGCTGGCTTGGCTGGCAGGACTGCGGCACGGTTTCACTAGCCAATGGATGGTCTACATTTATGCAGAGCGCCGCTGCATATGGCTTTCCTGTTAAGTGTAAATCATGCCCTTCGTGGTGGATTCGGGCTGGGCTTGGATGACGCTGAGGCACCGAAATGGACTTGACGTGTATTAGACTCACTACATGTGGCTCGCTGATCTCCGCAAAGCGTCTACACGCTTCAATATTCGTATATAGGCCTTGTCAAGCACAGCACTTTGAGCAGGTCACCTCCGAGAAATGCTTTTTGTCAACCAGCTTTCTGAATACTTAGTTTCTGGCGTGCGCTCTATGATGGCTGCTGGAGCGCGCAAAGCGCAACATAGGAATAATCGTCAAATACTAACTTTTTGGCCTGCCCGCGAGGCTCCCAAGTTGCGCTTGCAATGTGCGGCGTCTTACCACAAAGCGGCAAGGACGAGCACAGGAACTACTGGATCAGTGGGTATCGCTCGGAGAAAGGCTGGGACCTGATCGACCAGGAGTTCGCTAGGCAGCCCAAAAGGTCGCATGTGTGAGTCGCCCTCGAATCCGAAATACAGAGATAGGAGCCTGGAGAGCACTGTACGGCGATGTACTTGGACCAGCGAGATTATGATTGTGGCTGTCCTCAGCCGCCCTGGGAGAGAAATTGATGTGCCTGCATATGGAAACTCTCTCTAGCTGGGACATTGCGGTCGTCCGAATCCATGGCAAGACAACAGCTGTGTCCATCGGGAGACTTCGGGACATGAACTACATCCTGGGTCTTGAGAAATAGACTCTTCATATCTGTTGGAAGCCTTTCTTTTAGCGATGCGAAATGCCTTTTGTCTCCACGACGATCCGTGGATTACGCCTTCTTCGCAGGTGGTCTATACACAAAGGTACATCAGTATGGCACGTATTTCTGATCGATCTGATTCCAGTATCAGTGAATTACTTACACCAGCACGCCCTCGACATAGCTTTTTCCCTCGATGGCTTTGACATCCGAGCCGGTGAACTCGCACACGTAGACACCCAAACCGAGGTGTTTATCCAAAGTAACACCCTCCCCCCGCAACTCCTCGAGCACCTCGGTGCTGGGGTTCTCGGTCTTGAACTGGACGATGAGACGCCGAACCTCTGCAGGAGCACTGCTGCCAGCTTGTGAAGACATGTTTGTTGTGTATTTGCAGAATGACTGGGAGTCTGTGGACGGCACTCTGATGCCTATGAAGATGAAAGAGGTTCCCTGGCTGGATGGAGTGCAAGAGCAAAGAGTTTGCGAATGGGTTTTGCTACTGACGTAGAATTAGTCTTTCCATCGAGATGACGAAACCCGGCTTGCAGAAGTTGCAGGATTGCAGCGTCTCGAGCTAAAGTATTCTGCCAGGGCGGTGAAGTACCAATCGACCAAGCTTAGATGCATATCTGCGTGGCTCTCAGAACGGAATCGGGAGACGAATGAGATTCACGATCAAGCACAAAACATCTTTCTGCTTTCGAGTCTTCCAAAGGAAGCCCGTTTTGGGTATCAAGATTACAACTACTGGATCTAGGCTGACTGGTGAAGCGTAAAGTACATCCAGGAATGAAGGAGGGATAGCCAGTATGCGAGATTGTCCTTGGTGTGAGATATGAATCGATTTTCAATTGCTCTTCTTCACAGTGAGCTCCATGATAACCTTCGTGTTTCTGGTATCTGAGTGTCAAGCGACCGGGCAGGGCTCTGAAAGCCGGCCGGAATGAAGTCCGAGAGCTAAGCCTTTCTAAGCATGTTCAGACCAATGAACGGCAGAGCTTGCTATTGCGCCATCACTTACTGCCCCTCACCAGCGGCGCCAAATCTACTCCGGGAAACGTGACTCAGATCCTGTTCGTCCACGCCGAATCGGCCTTGCGCATCCAATGATGCCCTCTCTATAGATCGTGGCAAACCCCATCGCAGCTTTTGGTTTTCTCACCAAGGACCCTGAAATGAGCAACCTCAGATATACTCTCCAGCGTTGTCTAGCACTCTAAACAACATCGACGAGTTCCCGTCAGCTATCGCCGCGCAAGAAACTTATCTCTACCCTTGGGAAACTATACGCAAGCACTTTTTACAGCTTCAACTACAGCAAGTTCCACAAGCACACAACCAATCCAATACAATCATGACTCCCGATGCCCAGCCTCGATCACACGGGGTCTACTCTCCAACCCAAATCACCGCTTTCCTCAACCACATCGGCCTCCCGCAGCGCCTCCACAACAACGGCCGCGCGCCTCCCCCTCTGGCCCTCCTGACCGCACTGCACACACACATGATCTCCACAATCCCCTACGAGAACCTCGCCATCCACTACTCGCCCACGCACCAGGTCTCCCTCGACCCGCAGGTGCTCTTCGACAAGGCCGTGACCAGGGGCAGGGGCAGGGGAGGGTACTGCATGGAGAACGCGCTGCTGTATTATCACGTGCTGTGTGCGCTGGGGTTCGACGTGTATACTGTCGGCGCGCGGACGAGGGTGAGAGATAGCGGGGGCGTGCCGGGAGGGGACTTTCCTGGCTGGTAAGTTCTTTTTCCTCTCGTAATTCTCTCTTTTGTTCCCCTTAGCCTGTGTGATTTAGACTGAGATTTGTCCCTGTTCTTGTCTCTCCTACATTCTCTTTTGTCTATCTATGTCTCTCTCTATCTCTTCATGGTCAACTATCATACCTAGATCTAGAGGACTAGCAGGATACTTCGGATTTCTGGCGAAACCACTACAATCGACGGGATCTGCGCAGACTCTTTCATTTCTCATCACTCTTTGGCATCCCTCAATCCTCCATCCTGTTAAAATGATGCCCTTACCTTTGTACATCTGACCTGACTTTACCCGCCGCCAACGTCCTGGGTTGCAAGGGTACACATAGTCAACATCGTCACCCTCCCGGCGACTGCCTCCTCCCTAAACGGCAAACCCCAGCGTTACCACGTAGACATAGCCTTCGGCGGCGACGGTGCACTTAGCCCCATGCCTCTGCCCCTCGACTCCAGCGGCGGCACGATTCTGCAGAACCTGGGCATGCAGCAGATCCGCCTGGTGCGGGAGTACATCCCCACGCAGACGTATCGGCCCGTCACTACCATCGTCAATAGCCACGGGCAGGGAGAAGAAGTGGACGACGACCGGCACAAGCTCTGGATCTACCAGTACCGCAACAACCCCCAAGCAGAGTGGAACTCGTACTACGCGTTCACCGAGACCGAGTTCATGCCCCTGGACTGGGAGGTGGTCAACTACTGGACGTCGACGAGCGATCGTAGCCACCAGACGCACCGGCCGTTGTGTATCCTGTTTCTGCGGAGGGCTAATAATCATGGCCGAGAGGGCGGCGGAGTCGCTTGTCCTCCTGGGGCTGCAGCTGGGACGGCTGATGATTCTCATACCCAGATGAAGAGGGCTGCCGAGGGAGCGGCAGATGGGACTAGCGAAGAGACCGAGGACAAAGGTGACTTCCACATCTACGGCAAACGCATGCTCGTTGGCAATGTGGTCAAGGAAAACCTGGGTGGCAAGACGCAAGTCTTGGCCGTCTGCGAGACCGAGGAGCAGCGCATCAGGGCGCTCAAGGAGTACTTTGGCATCACGCTGACAAACGAGGAAATCTCTGGCATTCGAGGCTTCAGAAGCGAGCTCAAGCCGGACGCGGCAGTCCTGCGGGCTTGATTTGTAGATCTGAAATTATTACCACGTCTTGTGCCTATTGTTTGTTGGACCATCAGCTTTCAATGCATGGTAACCCCGAAGGTGAGATTCTGCTTCGGGTAAGTCCTCATTCTCCCGACTATGAAGTGTATGGTGTTGCGATTGAATCAAGCCCATAAGGTGCAAGCGGTGCTCTTGGTCGGTCCTCAATGGCATCTGCCTGCGTCATCCTCAATCAGGATCGCCTGCCCGAGTTGTAAACAGTGCACAATCACATCTATCTACAGCGAAGCTTTGACACATGTTGTTTGTCGCCGGTACCGGCAGCAGAGCTGCATGGCCGGCAAGACCCGCGCACAAATCTTTGGAATCAACTCGGGATGAGCGGACAAGGGCCCCGCTCCGGAACATACGCCGGCCATACCGCAACAGGCAGCTTGGGCTTCTCCAGGTGATTGGAGATACGATGTGGCACGGTGGATTATGAGAGAGCAAACCTACATGTAATCAAAGCCTCAATCCCTGAATGCACATAGGGCACAGAGGCTGTGGCTTGCATGTGCCAAGACCTATGCCAAGAAAAGAAGGTAAAGAAGCATTTGGGACCAGTGCTCACACTACGGCGGAGAGCGATGTGCATTTGATGCAGGCGCTGCTTCGCGTTGACAAGGTGTGCAAAAGGGCGATGTCGCTTGGGGAGGATTTGCAGACGGGCTGCTGCAGGTCGTGCTTGTAGAGCGGCCAGTGAGGTGTCGCAACTGGGTTCGCTCCACGACACCTGCATGGTGGCACCAGCCCGTATCCGGTAGGCGTGGCAGTGGAACAATGCGACTGATTGGCTGGGGCAGATTGCCCGACTTTTCCGAAACATGTGATCGACAGCCATTGCTTCTGCCTTGCATCCCAAGCATTCAGACTGGAGCCGCGGCATCGCATCCTGACAATGGATGCGATCGTACGAACTGATCCCAACCCTGCGTGTGAGGAGTGGAATGTTCGCTGCCAGCCTGTGAAAGTGGACCATGGAGCTGAAAAAAAGTCCAAATATAGGGTACCTAGGGAGGCAGTCGGGCCTACCCCTGCCTGACCCAAGGGGTCGGGTCGTCAAAGATAAGCATGTTTTTGTTTGGATCTCGTGTTGTAGCTCCCGTGGGCCTCGCCGGTAGCTCCGGTAGGTAGTAGGGATGGGGTTGGCGGCTGGAAAGAGATCGGTCTCGCGTGAGTCCAGGCCATTGCGTTCAGCGCCACTGGGTGCGGCTCTGCATGGCGCCCAGTGCTCGTAGAGGTGACCCTTGGCTGATTTGTGATAAATGTCGCCTCGATGGCGCCAAGTGATGGCATTGTGGGTTTCGCCAGGGATGAGCCCAGTGACAGCCAGGCAGGGATGAGCAGCCTGCCTGTCGAAGGTCGAGCTCGAGTGGCCCAGGTAAACGAGGCGGCGCTGCTTCTGCTGGCAGGTGTTGTGCATGGCAGGCACTGTCGCTGGTGGCGAGAGTTGTGCCTCGCATGAAGTGGCTGCAGAGGCCAGCATTATCGTGCCTGCACTGATAAGAGCTGGCTCCAGACGATGCCCGTGAGGCGAGCGTTGGACACACACGCAGGCACGGGGATGTGGGCGACGGTGCGGATTTGGCCGCAGCGAGGGTGTCGTCGAGTCCGCAGGACGCGTTGCGATTGGCGGACGCGGAGCATGGTCGGGCACCTCAACAAGGGGGGCCAGATGCAATTTCAAGATTAGCGAGCGGGTTGATTGAGATGGCGGTCGGGAGCACAACTCTGTCTTGCAGAACGGTGTCTGGTCTTGTGTAATTGCCTTTGCCGTGTGCCACGTGGTTTTGGCGGTTGCTGATTCAAGTGTTTGCAGTCCGCGGTTGGCAGGCGAGCAGGGAGCAATGACTCGAGGGCTGCTCCTGCCTTCCTAATTCCCAAGGTGTGCAGCAGTCACAGCCCTGGGTGACTGACTGGGTACCTTAGGCACGCACGTCGGTACGTACCTACCTGACACACACCTAGATAGGCCGTGCCGTGCACTGCAGCAGATGCACCACGAGAACAGACTCGACCAGACAGACAGACTGCCTGCGTCTCCATCCCACGATTGCACAACTGACTGCGTCGACGCCAGCTCGACACGGCCAGGGGCGACATCGGCCCAGCACGGCGGAATCTCACTAAGCTCTCACTAATGCCCGTTGGAGCCACTCCGCGGCGCCGGCCCTCGCGGCACAGCATGCCCAGCTCGTCATCTCCCCGACCTGGCCTGGCCTGACCTGACCTGACCTAACCTGGCGCTCCACACTCCGCTCTTCTTTATTCCGGCCCGGCTCTCCAGCAGGTCCTTGTTGCGATGGGACTCTTGTTCTCGACGGATCGTTCACTGCCGCCTCGACATTCACTGGGACAAATGTTGCCCCGTGGGCACCGGCTGCACTGCATGGTCCACGACTCAGGCAACACCTTGCTAGGCACAAAACATTCGGCGACCTACACAATCCGCGTGTCGTGCCAGCTCGCAAGCCACAAAATCAACCTTTGCCAGGTCCAGTTCATATAGAGTTCCAGAAGTTCGTTCCGGTTAGCGGCGTCTGAGACCTTGCTCTAACCTGGACGAGGCAACAACACCCTTCGGCACGACACCACAGACACCATCGCCAAACCATCCTTCGCCACAACTGATCACGACGGCACACCAGCAACCGCGACACCAGCAGCAGCAACTACACTCAGAGCCAGGTCACCCGTCCGTCATCACGCACCTCCCGTGTCTGCTCTCTCCACAGCCAGGCTGTCTTTGCAGGTGTTGCGTCACTGTTCGCTTCGCATCGGCGCGACCCCCACGATGGCATGTAACGCTGCAGCATGCGGTGGCGGCTGCGCCCCCACGGCCGGCAACATCCCGTGCTCTGCCAACGGCCACCCTGACGGCGCCGCCGCAGACATTGAAGACTACAAGGCTGAGATTGTCCGCCTCAACTCTCGTGTCAGAGAGCTCCAGTCGCTCCTTGGCCCGGCTCCCAACCTCGCCAGCGGCACCCCAAGCACCTCGTCTGTCACTGCCGACGACGACACCCGCCCGGCATCGGCACACAGCTCCGCGCCCACGACGCCCCCTCGCCGCCTTCGTTCTTCGTACTGGTTCGACCGCAAGGAAGACCCGGCCCTCACTGCGCTCTACACAGAGCGCTACCTCAACTATGGCCTCACTTCGCGCGAGCTCAAGCCTTCCGGCGGCCCAAAAATTGGCATTGCCCAGTCAGGCTCCGACCTTGCTCCATGCAACCGCCACGGCATAGAGCTTGCGAAGCGCATCCGGGCCGGCATCATCGCAGCGGGCGGCGTGCCTTTCGAGTTCCCCATGCATCCCATTCAGGAGACGGCCCGGCGACCCACAGCCGCCCTTGACCGCAATCTGGCCGCGCTCTCATTGACAGAAGTCCTTCACGGATATCCGCTTGACGGTGTAGTGATGATCACGGGCTGCGACAAGACCACTCCAGCCTGTCTCATGGCTGCAGCGACGGTTAACCTTCCTGCCATCTGTTTCAATGTGGGCCCGATGCTGAACGGATGGAGCAACGGCAAGCGGATCGGATCTGGAACGGTCATCTGGGAGGCGCGCGAGCGATACACGGCTGGCGAGATAGATTCGGACCAGGTGCTGGAAATGATCGCTTCAGGAACACCGAGTCCTGGTCACTGCAACACCATGGGCACCGCCTTGACAATGAACATCATTGCCGAGACACTCGGCATGGCGCTGCCGGGATCGGCGGTGGTGCCTGCCGTCCACCGTGAGCGGTCTCAGTTGGCCTTTGATACTGGGCTGCAGATTGTCGACATGGTTCACCGCAACGTGTTACCGCTGGATATCATGACGCGCAAGGCTTTCGAGAACGCCATCGTGGCAACAACACTAGTTGGCGGAAGCAGCAATGCCGTGGTCCACCTGAAAGCCATCGCTGAGCACGCACACGTTCCCCTCGAGATGGAAGACTGGTACAAGTTTGGGTACGCACTACCGCTACTGGTCAACATGCAGCCAGCTGGAGAGATGCTCAGCGAGGACTTTCACCGTGCTGGAGGTGTTCCCGCTGTGCTCGCTGAGGCGATTGAGGCTGGGAAGCTGCCTCACCCAGACGCATTGACAGTCAACGGCAAGACGATCCGTGACAATGTCCAGGGCAAGATCACATGGGACCGCCAAACCATCAAGCCTTTCCAGCAGCCATTAAAGGTGAATGCCGGGTTTCTGCCACTGTCCGGAACATTGTTCGATTCTGCCATTATGAAAACATCAGTCATCTCGCCGGAGTTCCGGGACACGTTCTTGGCAAATCCGGCAAGCCCCAACGCCTTTGAAGGGCCCGTCGTGGTGTTTGACGGCCCAGAAGACTACCACGAGCGACTGGAGACGGCACCAATCACTCCGCACACAATCATGGTTATGCGTGGCGTCGGCCCGCTGGGGTATCCAGGATCAGCCGAAGTTGTCAACATGCACCCGCCCAGCGCGCTGCTCAAGCAGGGTATCAAGTCACTACCTTGTATCGGTGATGGTCGCCAATCTGGCACGTCGGGTTCGCCCTCAATCTTGCATGTCACGCCCGAGGCAGCTACTGAGGGCAGCAAGCTCGCCCTGCTGCGTGATGGAGACGTTCTTCGAGTCGACCTCAATACCAGACGCGTCGATCTCCTCGTCTCTGAGAGGGAACTCGCCGTGCGCCGGAAAGACTTGACCCGGAAGCGTGGACGGTGCATTCCACAGACACAGACAGGATGGCAAGACATTCACCGTCGCGAGGTATCCGACCTCAGTGAGGGCATGGTCTTTAAGAGAGCCAAGGCCTTCCACAACGTCGCACAGGGAGACATCCCCAGAGACAACCACTGATCTGGACTACTCATGGTCTGGCCTTTGCCAACATGCATGATAGCTTATCGCCCGTTCGAGATCTTCCCAACGACGACAACGATGTGTACAATGAAATAATGCTTTAGAAACGTCACACTTTGGTGACGGACCAATGATAGACTGATAGACTGAGGACTTGGGATCTTGGCATTTTTGCGATGTTTTTTCAGGCGAGGCGTTTTATCCAGGTTTTAGCAAGCGGCTCTCGACCACAGGTGTGGTGGACAGCTACAACAGCAGCCACCCCCAGGAGTCTTCGATGGCGATAGCATAGCTGTAATCTCAATCTGTCCATTTTCACTGCATCGACAGTTCACGCGTGGGGTTGTCGTGAAGGGATTGCGGTCAACTGACAATAAGTAGTCTGGTTTCCCAAGTGCTCGACTTACTCGAGTGTAGCGGCGGCGCACTTGCCATGGCTACTCCATCACTCGACCTCTGGCAGACATCTTTGACATCTATGTGTGTGTTCTGCCTCCTTCTCAAAACAACACCACCCTGCATTCCCGTGATTTGATCTCATCTGATCTGAAAAGCCTGTTACCTACCCAACACCTCGCAATCACTCTTGCACCCTCACACTATTAGTCACACACACCACGCGCGTATGGCGTAGGCGTGGGCGTGGGCGCGGGCGTGGCTACGGGGCGGTGGTGCTGCTGCTGGGCAGTAGCTGTCCCATTTAGCAGCGGACGAAGATGCTGCTGCTTTTGATAAGAAACATTTTTATTCTACAAATGTCTGAATCTCATAAGGCCTCCCCGGGGTTTCAGGGGGAGGGCAGGTTTATAAAACGAGAGAGAGAAAAGGGGTTTGATATGTAGGCGAGGGCGCACAAAAGAAAATCCGACTACTTGGAAACAGCCGCTTTTCATATTCACCATTGCAAACCGCTGATGCGATTGTGGCAGAAGAAGAAAGAAAAAGGAATCGACGAGGGGAAACAAAGAGAAGAAACAGCAGGACAAAGCGACCGGGAAGACAGACGGTAGTCGAAGAAATGAAAACAAAGAAAGAAACACGCCAAAAAAAAAGGCCCTGGAGGATAAGGATCGCCGGGCTGCATGCATACATCACAGTTGTGTGCGTGCATGCAGGGCGCTCTTGTCCGTTTTCGTGTGTCTCGCGAGTGAGAGAATGGGCAACGGTCATTTTCACGCACCTCTCCAGGAGAGGTAGGTGGAAGCGACATTTCAGATAGTCCATGTCATGAGAGAAATGCTTTGGAAGACCACAAAGGGAGCCTCCTCCCTCAGGCGGCTGGTGGCCGGATGGCGAACAGGATGGGAACGATGCGTGCAGTTACCTCGTCTGCTTGCCATACACCACACCACACACACGTATTTAGTTCCTCCCTCGTGAAGCTGGGACAGAAGGGGACCCAGATGCTGCGTCGTGATGAACAAAGAGTCAGATGTTTTTCAAAACGCCTGCTTGGATAATTCTTCAGGATGTTTGTTGATGTCAAGGGAACGCACGCTCTCTGCTCTTGTCCCCGCCTGCCTGCCCACTGTACCTCCACGATGAGTGCCGCGGGCATTTTTGTTTTATTTGTCCGATGCCACTCCAATGCCTGCAGATGCCTGCAATTGCCTGCGACGTCTTTCGATGTCACTGCAGATCGCCGACAGATTGCAACATGCCGATTCGTCCGCGGACCTTTCTTCCATCTTGGCCGCAGACCGGTCAGTGTCAGAAAAAGAAAACGCCTCCCGTTCGGGAATTTTGTGGCGCGACGGCAAGAGCCGGGCATGCCTTGGGGTGGTGTGCAGTACGGACGACCAGCCGCCTATTGCAAGAGCTCGTCTCTGCTTGCCTCAGCAACACCCGTCCTCTCCACACCATCACCAGACTGACAAAGAAAAAGTCACCGCCTCGGCCCCCCCCTGACACCGACAGCCAGCACCAGGGCAAGCCAGCGACCGTGGGGCCCTTCAACGAGTCAAGAGACCACAAAGGGGTTCAGGAGCAAAGAGGGTACGACCGCTTTCAGCGTCGCAGCACGGGCACTGGCGGGTGGCGATGGTTACATTGACCGCGCGTATCTGCCAGGTCCTGCTCTTTGGGCAACAGTGGATTACCGGATTGAGCAAGCGTGTTCCTAGTTTAAGAAACGCGACTGCCATGGCGAGACCCCTGTGTGCTTTTTTGTCGTGGACCGTGTCGTGTCCACAGGGCGAAACATCAGTCGATGCCGACAAAAAATCCACTTGAGCGAACCTTCGGTGCTACCTAGACAGAAGGGCGCCGCCGCCGCCTTGGTCAAGCTGCCTGCATCGTCCTTCTTCATGGAGGAATGCCGACATATGATCAGTGTGTCCAACAGAAGCCCGGGAGCAAGGAGATAGGGGATAAGATAGCACCGTACCCAGCTGGCCCTGGACTCGATGTCATTCATGTGCGGGGTGGCGGATGATGTGCACCCCGAAGAGGCGGAAACACCCGCCCGCCAAAGTGTGCAGCCCATGCATATATGCCTGGCAGTGTGTCAAGGGACCTGTGCCGAGCAGCAAATGCGGACGGCGGGTAGCTAGGCAGGAACAGCACAGGCGAGGGAGCCGGCATGCTGGAACTCGCTCTGAGACAGAAATAAGCATTTCTTGTTGGTGCGAAGGCAATATGTCAGCTCAGCCATGTGCAACGCTGTGGCTTGACAGGAGAGACGAGGGGTCGTGAGCGCGTGGGGGGGCTGCGACAGCCTTGTCCACCATCGCGGAAAATGGCCCACTGCCAGCCAGAGCTTACTGGCTGCGGTATGGGGCTGGCCTCGGGACGATGGATCCTGACCAGACCAGACGACAGATCACTGCTGCCCTCATTGGCCGCCTTTGGCGTCAACTTGCACAATCAGAGGGCGAACGATACCCGCTTTTGAGCGTTTGTATGCACAACGAGCGGCCTGGCCTGGGGTGGGCAGGAGGTCGAACTCGGTATGCACATCGCCAGGATACGGGGGCGGTTGGCTTGGCCTGCCCAAGTATGCTGTCTGGAGGCGGGCGGGAAGCAAGAGGATGGAGGTGGCTGTCCTGACGATCCGTGGCTTGCGTCTGCCACTGTGGCTCACTGCGCAGTCAAGGCCTCGCGGGTCCGAGTACCAGTCCCGGGTCGCCTCGGTTGTCGTGGTCGTGGTCGTATTCTGTGGTTGCTGTATTAATTAGTCAAATTGCAATTTGTCGCTGGCCTGGCTATAGTACAGCAACTAAGACACACTGATCAGGTCGTTGCTCGCTCGCATGAGCCCACGCCAGGGATCTGGGGCGAGGGATGATCAGCAGAGTTTCGCGTAGCATGAGAACAACGGATGTCGTACCGAGAAGCAGCACATGCATGGCTGGCTGGTAATTACTAGGAGAGTGACGTACCGCCTTTCGGCACGCCCAGCGGGCTGGCTGGCTGGATGAATGAATGCCTCAATATGTCGTGGGGTAGAAGCCAATGCGTGCGGGGAGTGAGCCACACACCAGCATTGTGCTGTGCCGCGCGGTGGATTGTGTGTGGCCAGAGGAGCAGCCAGGCGGCGTGGGTGCTACTATGGTAGAATATCGCTCTGAGACAGAGGCACGCAAGGTAAAGTAATCAGCATCCAGCTCAGCGTCTCGTGGGGCTTGGCAACGCAGTCGGTCGAGCGTCGCGGGCTGCTTTGTCCCAATCTCACATGCCGGAAATGAAGCTGCGGGTCTAGCAGACGGCCGTCGTTGCTTTTGTGGAGGGGGCCAGGATAGGACGGAGTCCGCCTTGGCCCCGGCTGGCGGTGCTGGCAGAGCGTGCGTGCGTGCTGGCGGTGCTCGCTCGAACAAACGAAGCCGCAAGTCGGGCCTGTTGCTGCTTCCAGACGTGGATGTCAGGGGCAACATGGTTTCCAGGGCTGCCTGACCCGACCGGCTGGGAGGGTTGGCTGGGTGTGTCTGTCGACAGGTCAGCTCCCGCCTGCCAGGCAGGGGCGAGGCTCCAAGAGGGTTGACGATAGTAGGATAGGCCCGCTGTCCGTCCTGGAGAGAGGAGGGCTCGCTTGCTTCAGAGATCGGGGGGAAGGGAGGAGGGGGGGCCGCTCCCCAACTTGGCCGCCTCAGGCGTCTAGTCTGGGCCTACCCTGCAGGTTGCAGGGTCTGTCGCCCTCCACTTCACCAAGCTCGGGAGGGTAGGCCCTCGCGAACCTTCTGTGGGTGGGCTCCCCCGCCCCGAATGGTCGTCACCCACGCACCTGCTCAACGCCTGTCTGTGCCCACCCAACCTTGAAAGGCCCGGCCCTGACCATCGAGGATGGAGCACCCATCTATCAGCGACGCCCAGTGATATCACGATGCCGGGGGGTGGCTCGACGGGTGCGGCACTGTCACCATCGACGGTTCGCGACGCCATGATGATCATCCGCGGCATGCTTCGCAGCGCCATCACCACGCACCGCCTCGCCCACAGCACAGCTGCACCTCCGTGATCCGGGCCCGGGGTCGCTGCCCCGGCCCCCGAGAGACCGTCATGGGGGCGGCCGTCCAGCCCTTCCTCCCTTCCCCGCCACCTACCTGCACTGCTCACGACGGAGATGACTTCGATGGCAGGCCCTCAAAGACTTGAAGCCAGCAAGACGGGCGGGCGACCTGATCCATGCGCCAGGCCACTCCGGCGCACACCGAGAGCACACAAATGCCATCGCCGTGGGCTGTCGAACTGACCGACTGGACTGGAGTGTGGGCAGCATGGGGTACCACCACAGAGGCTCCCAGCACATATCGCACGAGACCCATGTCGAGCCAAGTCTTGCTGCAGGCCGGGCTGCTATCCGGTCCCCGGGTCGCATTTCAGCCAGGCTCCGCCAGCAGCCTATCAGTGGCCACAGTCGCCTGTCGCATCCTGCCCATCCTGCCTGCTGGAGGATTCAATGTGGGCAGCAGGGCCGCCCCAGTGCGCCCAGATGCCAACCCTGCATGCCCGTCCTGCGCCAGCCTGTCCCGAGGCAAGCCAGCAGCGCCAGGAGCTCCGCCGGCTTGGAATTGTGGGCGCCGGCCGCCGTTGGGGACATCTCCAGCACGGGGCCACAGCGAAGGGCAGGCCCGCCCAGCGACCAGGGCCCTCAGGCGTTGCCATTCCCAACTCGGCACTCGACGACATGACAGTTCCCACTTGGCTCTCGCCAGCCCCTGCAGCTTCCTACTCAAATCTTGAGAGGTGAGCTGCCACCCCTGTCGCGCTTCTGCCGCCCCTGTCTGTGTACTAAATCAGACTAAGGTCGGCTCTGGGGCTAGGCCGGTCGTCACCTTTCTTGACTGCCACCATGCGCTCTCCTGTGCCGGCGCCCCGGTGCTCTGGTGCTCAGTGCTAGCCCGTTCTTCTGTGCTACGACCATCTGTTCTGCCCTCTCGCGTCTCCGCAGTTCGCTGTCGCCGCACTGCTGCTACCATCAACGACATCATAGCGACAAATACTACCTTTCGCCAACCTATCACAAAAAGAACTTGCTGCCGGCCAAACGACGACTTCTCCCCCGAGCTTTCGTTTCGCGTCCGTGAGTGGACCTCCCAGTAAGCGAGTGGATCGACATCAATACGACTGAGGCGCGTCTGCGAGCCATCAATACTACACCTACAAGCAATACAGATCGGCATTGCTTCGCCAGTTGGAGCATCCTGTCGGTGACCTGTCGCTCACATCGATCCACGTAGCCGAATTGATCAGAAAGCTCTGCCGTCGTTCAATCCTCGGCCACATCTCGTGCGATCGTACGCTCGTGTCTTTACCAAGTGTGCCAACGGATCCCGCGCCACGGCCTCCTCTGTTACGGCCTCGCCTACCTCAAGACGCGGACGAGTGAGACTGGGGGCCCTTCTTGGACTGACCGCATCATCTGCGACGACACGACTATTCCGACGCCATCGACAACTGTGGCTTCCCAAGCGTCTTGGCCGCCCTTGGGGTGTAGCTCGATTCAGCTCGATACGCTGACATTATATCACAATGTTTGCCACCGGCCCTAGCAGTGTACCACAGCTCAACATCGAGCCGGAAGTTTTTAGCGATGGCGAGTCGGATGGGGATCGCTCGCCTGTCGTTTCATCGCATCCGAAAGCCGAGGGCGGCCTGTTAGTCCTCCGTACTGGTCCACTATCGCCTGTTACAAGCATGACCGAAAGCTCAACATCACCGGATGAACCACCTCCAACGTCCAATGCTGCGAAACGACGGCGGCAAAAGCCTCTCAGCCCAGAATTGTGGGAATCGCACAAGCATGAGATATGCCGACTTTATTTGGACGAAAACAAGCGGCTGAAAGATGTGATGGAGATCATGGCTCGGGAGAAGAATTTTCATGCATCGTATGTGTTCATTTCTGATTTGAGCCGCGCAGCATGGGACCAGCCTTTTGCTGGGAGGTGCTAACTTTTTATAGGCCGAAAATGTACAAGACAAAATTGACGCAGTGGAAGTTCTTCAAGAATAACCGGCAATCAGATGTTGCCAACATACTGTCACTTCAAAAGCGGCGATCTGCCATGGGCAAGGACACCATTGTGCAGCGCAACGGCAAGCTGATCGATGTGCACGGATATATGAAGAGAAAAGGCATCACAGCTGAGGATCTAGCCACGGGCGTCCCAGTGGTTACGGAGACACAAAGCGACCTTCCGCCAACCCTCGACTGTCGCACACCGCCGCCATCACCACCCATGGTGCTTAGTCGAGGAATGACACCAACGGACGACCAAGTCGTACGGGAACTGTTTCACCAGTGGGCTGTTCCCAGGGTGCACATGTATCGGAATGTGGAGCGATGGTTCTTGAATCTCATCGATGACCACAGGGACAGCTCGGCCATGGAGTCCGTACGCTTGCTCAGAGAGTCGTGTTGGCTCTTTTCTCAGGGCAAGCACCAGCAAGCCGGCGAGCTATGCCGCAGCGGTTTTGAGCTTGTTCATCACGTTCTAGAGGAGTCATCGGCACTGAGTTTCTTCGAGCTCATCATCATGGTCCTGCGATACCAGAACGCCGATGTTGCGAAGGAGCTCTGGAAGTACCTGTCAAAGTATGCTGCAACCTGCAGGGACACTAATCACCCATTTCGCCGGGCCCTTACTGCCCTTGCCGATTATTCTCAGAAAAATACGTTCGAGGAAACCTCGCACGTCCTGCGGTGGACACTACAGTGGCCAGCGACCCGGTTTGGAGGCCGACTAGACAGCAGGCGGTTCGACTACAGCGTCTTGCACCCATGGGATCTGATTCCCATGAACTGCGACTATCACCGGTACTACATGTACCTGCATCTCTGGGACAGCGACGATATCCCCAAGGCCACAATTCCCGGCCTCGAGGAGTTCTCGGATGCCGGCTACCTCCGAGCAGATCTCCTGCTCGCATACGGAACCATGGAGGACTGGTATCATGAGAAGATTCCGAGGCTGGCGCACACCATGATTGATGATGATCGGGCGAGTGGCGCGAACTGCATATATCTGCAGTGGGTCTGCCTGTACGCGATTGCCAAATATCACAAAGCCAGTGCGTGGCGCCTGGAGGGTACCATGCGGCGAGACGAGCTAAAGCTGGGCATCTACTACCTGCAGATGGCGGCGGACTTGCAGGCTCGTAACTGGCCACACGGGCGCAATTACCAAGAGACACTGGCGATCCTGGAGCAGTGGAGCAGGGACGCTGGCGACAATGCAACTGCCGACTCCGCGGTTGCGAAACAAAGTGAGATTCACAGCCAGGCTGTCGAGGATGTCTCATAACATTGACCCTGACGTCGAGCTGCTTCGAGGTGGACTTATAAATGCGGGCCACCACGAAAACGCTCGATGTACACGTTTCCTCTCCATAACCCTTCCCTGGAGCGAGCTGCCTCAGCTCGACTTCGAAGCTTGCCAGGGCTTCTGCGGGAGGCGCTCTCAGCCTGCCCTCCCGGGTGGTGGCTGAGTTCCCAGACGGTCGGCCACAGCACGCTGGCTGGAAATTGGCCATGGACATTCTGAAGCCACTAACTCCAGGAGCCGTCCGCACGAGCAGGTCCCACTGAAAGGATCTCGATCGACAGATCCGCAATTGGTCCAAGTGAAGAACGACGTCCACCTCAGTCAGTCTGCAGCATGCCCCATTGCGCATTCTGCGATCTCGGCCAAGCCGAGTCGACATGCCACTGCTGGCACGAGTTGAACACCGTCACGCAGCCAAAATCGTTGCGGCGCGGGACATGATGAACAACTCGGTGATCCTGCAGCTTGGTGCCGCGACGCGGTTGGTGGCGTGTAGGGGCAAGCGGCAAAGTGACGAATATTACGTACTTGGCACAGCTCGTATATGGCAGGAGGATAAAAAAGGGAGAAAATGTGGCCAAGTAACAGCAATAAAAAGTAAAAGATTAAAACCATCATGTTCTCTCACAGCAATGATCTCTGATCAGGACGGTTGCTCCGTGTGCTCTCGTATCAAGCTGGGAGCTGGGTTATGCAGAAATGCCTCATATGCATGAAGCGAGCAGGAGCCCCTCCATGTGCTGCTGCGCTAAGGCAGCCCCTCCAACAAGCTCCAGGTTGGTATCGGTGGAAGGAGTCATACTTTTGGGAAGCTATGGATGATAAGGGTCTTGATAAGTGGCCGCAGCTTGTATCGCAAACAACAACCATTGTCTACCACCCCCCCCCCCCCCCAAAAACAAAAGCCTGTTTCCCTGACAGGTGAAGATCTGGTGACGGACGCCATTGTCTCGACTCTGTATCGTGGACGGCCGAGGCTCTTGACCTGAGCAAGAGACAACCTACCAGCGTCTGGCACGCGACACCACCCCCACCCTTGGACACGACAGACGGCGGTCGACGACTTGCACCTTCACCATGGCGGACGCAATCACGGCCCAGGCCGCCAAGCTTGTGCTTGACGATGTGACGGGCGAGATGGTGTCGACCAACGAGCTCAAGAAGCGAACCAAGAAGCGGGAGAAAAAGGCCGCGAGCGAGGCGGCCAAGGCGAATGCCCCCAAGGAGCCGGCAGCGCCCAAGGCTCCCAAGCCGCCTCGTGCCGAGGAGCCGGTGCTGGACCCGAACGCCATGTTCAAGGTCGGCTTTCTCGACGACGTGTATAAGGAGCGGCCGGTGACGCCCGTGGTGACGCGGTTCCCGCCCGAGCCCAACGGCTTCCTCCACATTGGCCACTCCAAGGCCATCGCCATCAACTTTGGTTTTGCCCGCCACCACGGCGGCAAGTGCTACCTTCGCTACGACGACACCAACCCGGAGGCCGAGGACGAGATCTACTTCACCGCCATCCTCGACATGGTGCGGTGGCTCGGCTTCGAGCCCGTCAAGATTACCTACTCGAGCGACAATTTCCAAAAGCTCTACGACCTCGCCGAGGAGCTCATCAACAAGGGCAAGGCGTACGTCTGCCACTGCAACGACGAAGAGATCAAGGCCCAGCGTGGCGGCGAGAGCCACGGCGCCCGCTTCCGCTGCGCCCACGCCGACCAGACACCCGAGAAGAACCTCGAGGAGTTCCGGGGCATGCGCGACGGCAAGTACAAGCCGCGCGAGGCGTTCCTGCGCATGAAGCAGGACATTACCGACGGCAACCCCCAGATGTGGGATCTCGCGGCGTACCGCGTGCTCGAGAAGCCGCACCACCGCACCGGCTCCACGTGGCGCATCTACCCGACCTACGACTTTACCCACTGCCTGTGCGACAGCTTCGAGGGAATCACGCACTCGCTGTGCACGACCGAGTTCATCCAGAGCCGCGTCAGCTACGAGTGGCTCAACCGCGAGCTGGGCGTCTACGAGCCCATGCAGCGCGAGTACGGCCGCCTGAGCATCCAGGGCACCGTTCTCAGCAAGCGCAAGATCCTCAAGCTCGTCACCGACGGCCACGTCCGCGGCTGGGACGACCCCAGGCTGTACACGCTCATCGGCATCAAGCGCCGCGGCGTGCCCCCCGGCGCCATCCTCGAGTTCGTCAACGAGCTCGGCGTCACCACCGCGCCGTCCGTCATCCAGCTCAAGCGCTTCGACCAGACCATCCGGAGGTACCTCGAGCTCACGGTGCCGCGGCTGCTGCTTGTCCTGGATCCAATCCCCGTCGTCATCGAGGACGCTGAGGAGGCCGAGCTCGACATGCCCTTCTCCCCCAAGGTGCCCGCCATGGGCTCGCGCAAGGTAAATTTCACAAAGACGGTGTACATTGACCGGAGCGACTTCCGCGAGGTCGACAGTAAGGATTACTTCCGGCTGGCGCCCAACAAGACGGTCGGCCTGTACCAGGTGCCGCACCCGATCAAGGCCGTCTCGTACACCAAGGACGAGTCCTCGGGCGAGGTGACGGAGATCCGCGCCGTGTTTGACAAGGAGACCAAGAAGGCCAAGACGTACATCCACTGGGTCGGCGAGGGCGCGCGCAAGTGCGAGGTGCGCATCCACAACTCGCTCTTCAGGTCGGAGAAGCCCGACGACGCCGAGGGCGGGTTCCTCAAGGACCTCAACCCGGAGAGCGAGGTCGTGCACCCGAACGCGCTGATCGAGCGGGAAGGCTTCGACGAGGTGCGCCGGCGCGCTCCCTGGCCTGAGGCCGCGGGCGAGAGCGAGCTCGGCAAGGGCGGGCCTGAGAGCGTGCGGTTCCAGGGCATGCGTGTGGCTTATTTTGTAAGTTATGCTTTTTATTCATCATCATTCTTCTCAGATGGCCGTTTATTCCGAGGGATGATGCGTGCAGCTTTGCTAACATATTCTGCTTCGACACAGGCCATGGATAGCGACAGCACGGACGACAAGATTATCCTGAACCGGATAGTCTCGCTCAAGGAGGACTCGGGCAAGAAGGACTCGGGCAAGAACTAGATGAGTAGAACCTGGCTCGCGAGAATAGAAGTAGCGATGTTACCAAAGTAAAGAGAATAAAAACAGGCCGAAGTTTAACCTCAAGGCTTTATAAAGCTCGGTCTCTCCCCCTTCAAAACGTGAAAAGGAATGAGATTCCGTCCTGGAAGTAATAAGTACAACACATTCTGCTGATGATCAAGTATTCACCATGCTGAAAAAGTACAGAAGGCCTCACGCCGCAGTTGCATGGATATTTCCTCATCCTTGTAACTTGGCCTTCGAAGCCTCGACCTCAACTTTCCACTTGTTACAAAATCCCGTCCAAGGATATCAACTAGACTGTTGCTACCCCTTTGCTATCCCTTTCTTGCCTTCCCTCCCTTCTGCCCAGCTTTCACATCTTGGCAGCCCGTGCCTTCGCGGTGGCCTGCGGGTTCTTGACCGCGTGCTCGTACGCCCAGTCCGTCAGCACGAGGGGCCGCTCCGTTTCAAAGAGGAACACGGTGACGCCGCCGAGCTCGTCACCGACCTTGCGCGGGATTGTCGTGTCGAGCGCCCGCATGGCACGCAGCTCCTGCTGGGCGGGGCCGTGCGTGCTCATCGCGCCATGCAGGCCTGCGGTGAAGGGCAGGAACCTGTTGCTGTTGCTGCTCTTATTGTTGTTGCCACCACCACCACCACCGCCACCACCGGCATTCTGGTTAAAGGGATGCCGCGGGTCCTGGGCGCTCACGATGGGCGCAAAGAACTCCTGCATCGTGTTGCGGTGGAAGTACGGCAGCCACAGCGTCTGCTCGGCGACCATGTACCGGGGCGGGATGACGGCAAAGTCGGCGACGGCGGTGCCCGGGCCGGCGGCGTGGTTGGGCGCGGAGAGCACGGTGAAGAGGCTCGGGTCGTGCTCGTCAAAGAGCAGGTTGCCCATGACGCAGAACTTGGCCAGGTCGTACTTGTACGGGTAGCACGTGCCGTGCCAGCCGGCCACGTCAAAGGGCGTGTGCGGCTGCGTGCAGTGCCAGCGCCGCGTGGCCAGGCGGACGATGATGGTCCACCTGCCGTCGTCCTTGTCGTCCTCCTCTGCTGTGTTGCCGATGTGGTGGTTGTGGTCGTGATGATGATGATGATGAGGCACGGCCCTGCCCTCGACGAGCTCCCCATCAAAGTAGGCCGTGGGTATCTCAAAGTCGCGCGCGTTGGCGAGGCCCGTGGACCCGAGAACGCCCAGGGCAGGCAGCTGGAAGTGGCCCTGGAACAGCTCACAGATGTAGCCCCTGCACGGTCTCTGCTCCCCGACGAGCGCAACCCGGTGCCGCACGCCGCGCGGGATAACGGCAATCTCGTTCTGCCGCACGACCAGGCGCCCCAGCTCGGTCGTGATGTCGAGGCTGCCCGACTGCGGGACCACGAGCAGCTCGCCGTCCAGCGAGGCAAAGGCGTGCCGCGGCGGCATGGACTCGGTCACGCTGAACAGCCACACCGCGATGCCCTCCTTGCGCTGCGGCTCGCCGTTGGCACCCACGAGCTGCTGCCCGTTGATCCAGTGTGTGGCACCGGCGCCGGGCACGGGGACGTCGCCCCACATGACGCTGTTGGGGTTGAGGTGCCTGGGCACGTTGGCCGAGTCCGGGCCGTAGCCGGACGAGACGTCGAGGGGCACGAACTCGCTGTGCTCGAGGGACGGGTTGGCGCGGTAGAGAAATGTCTGCTTGTTCTTGTCGCGGTCCGCGGTGAAGGCGGTGCCGCTGATGCGCTCGGTCCGCAGGTTCAGCGGCGGGATCTGCGGCGAGTTGTTGACCAGCGGGACAGCGCCGGGGAGGGCCTCAGAGCTGTGAGTTGGGGGGGAGATGAGACTGGCGGTTCAGGCAAGAGATGTGCTAAACTGAGAGACCACTTACGAATGGTAGTTGCCAAGGCCATGGAGATAGGTGTAAGGGTCCTTGACTGCAAAGTCCGTGTGAGGCGGCATGGCGACAAGATCACAGGAGTCGCGAAGGATTAGCACGAGATGATGTAGTGGAAGACGCAGAGAAGGGCACCCCTCACCGCAGTGACGCAAAAGCACAGGATGTACGAGGTCGACTTACAGCTGTTGGAGAGCTACTGCAAACTGCCTAAATATGTGCTAGCAGGTATGTCGTCTCCCCGAATTACACGCGGATACAACGATAAGAGCTACAGAGTCTCTCGAGTGAAAAATGACGTGGATACAGCGGAGAGGGCTGCCATTGGACGTATCCTTCCAGATACCGGCAGCATGTCAGCGCTGCCGGTTTGAACTGTCTGCGGGCTCGGTTTCCCAGCCCATCAGCAACAGAATGCGTGCACTCACCTGCCCAGGGCCAAGGCACCAGGCTCCCGAGCAGCTGGTGCTTGCTTAAACCGGCAGTGGAGCTTCCCCGCAGCCGCGGCCTGCTAATCCGGGGTAAACGTCACTCCGGGGCCCCCTGCCGGTACCTCCAAATGCCGCCGCGTTAGGCCCAGGTAACAGCGCACACCTGGCTGTCAAGAAAGTGGTACGCCGTGGCGACCGGCACTTGGAGAGCTGACACTGGCTACAAGAGCGGCAACACAAACCGAGATCCCCCTCACACACGCGGGGTGCTCGATGTAACAGTCGCCGCTGGCCAGGCCGAGGCCGGCAGCCGAGCAGCACAAGCTCCCGCATTCGTCTTGGCCGAGCCACGAGAGTCAACGTCCGGCTCTGCTTATTACCACACAGCCTGGACCATGAAGCTGTTGCAGGGCGTAGACGTCCGGACGACAGCACATCACTTCACGGGCCTCCACAGGGGTTTCCTCAGGCTCCAATCACTTCCAACCATCTCGTCTGCAGCTCGGCTCAAACGCCAGGTCCTGTGCCCTACACCATTAGCACTGCGAGCCTAGAGCTTCGAGCCATCATGGCGTCCTCAGTTGACAAGAACACACCAACCTTCCAGCGAGAGCCAGATGGCACACCAGTCACACAGATCCTGTACCTCGACGTTGACCCGGCGCGCAACCTTGAGGATGAAAGCACCCGCGACGGCAAGCTCTGGGCTGAGATGCTCGACCTCCTCCAGGACAGCCCTGGCTTCAAGCGCTTGTACTGGGGAAGGCGGCTCGAGGAGCCCGAGAAGGTACAGATTCACGTCGGTCAGTATCTGTGGTGGTTCTCATTTGTTCTCAATCATCTAGCTTCACTTATTTGGGGCTTTCCATGGACGTGGATCCCTTGAACGCACGTGCGAATGTTCACGGCCACTTTACTGCCCTTCTTTCGTCCCATGGCGAACATTAGCTACACACCGGAAAGCAAGGATCGTGGGCGCCAAGTTGTGCCCAATATCAACCTCGTCACTTGACACCTCTCATTCTGCCATTGTGTTCAGAACCTGGCCCGCAATCAATATCTTAAAGACTACACAATATGAATATCAACATCGACAGACTCGCAGTGAGCCAGACTGACTCTCTCTGCTCTGTCTCAGTCCGCGACACCATCGATGCCCACCAAACCTTCCTCTCATCACCTTCCTTCCAGCAAGACCTGATAAACAAGATCAGGCGCCTGACTGTCCTCCCTTCCCCATCATCAACTTCTTCCTCACCTCATCCAAAAGACAACGACCACCAACACCACCACAGACCCCCAACATCCCAACTGCCCCTCTCCATCCGCCACGTCTACCTCCACCCATTCACCCAGCCCTCCCCGCTCGGCTCCAGGCCCACGCTTGGCCTGCCCGTCGGCACGGCGATCTACACCGGCGCGACCGAGACCTGGTACGCCGGCGCCTGGCCCCTGTGGACGCACATTGTGCGGCACGTGGACGGCTGCGTGGGCATCGCGGGCGGGCGGGTGGCCGAGCGCGTGGCCGGGCTCGGGGACGGGTTCATGGTGTTTGTGGCGTGGGAGAGCGTGGCCAAGCACGACGCGTACCACGGGACCGGGCACTTTGCTAAGTATGGCGTCGTGCTGGGGCATGGGCATAAGGGGTATGTCGAGTATGGGCATGTTGTGTTCAGGGGGGCGAGGGAGGGGGTTAGAGGGAAGTTGTGAGTTGATGACGGGGGTCGGGTGGGAAGGGGGGCGAATCGGAGTTGTTGTTGTCGGGGTTGGGTTTTGAAGAGGACAACAGGAAATGTTGCGAGCAATGGATATCAGATTCTCTACATGAGGCGGTGGTGGTGGTGGTGGTGGCTTGTGCGGTATCTGTGCTGTCATTGCTATTCACAGCAAAGACAACTCTGTTCACAGACGAGGCTGGTGATTCACAAGAGTATCTCCGTGGTCTTGGAAATGAATTGTTGTCCTAAGGTCTGACATGTCCGTCTCGATCTTTCGATGTGCGTGAAGCACTGTAAGTTGTCCTCTCCCCTTTTCATAGCTCGCGAAAGATGTCGTGCAAGCTGGCTTCCGGATTCTTGCAAGCCTAAGTTCTGCTGGTTCTGGCACAGATGTTCTGAAACCAGCTTTCGCGAACTGCAACGTAAAATAGTTACGACGGAAACCTTGTGGGGATGAAGGGTCATTCACCGACTGCAACTTTCTGGACGCAGTCAACTCTGTCGCCACCGTCTCGTTCTTGCTGTCCGTCGTAGCTCGCTCGTCCCTACCAGCCAATAACGCACACTAAGCAGCACATCATGGTCACCACTCCTAGCTCAGTCGCAGAGCCGTAATCGTCTAACAACACCCCCAGAGAGCTATTCACTCTATTTGAAACCTCCACTAGTACTTGACACAATGACAGCAACAGGGATCTTCCCCGGAACGACCAGCGACAATGGCATTGATTTATCGCTCCGCCATCCCGCTAAATTGATCCACTGGCCCTTAGGGCGGGTGAAGCGCTAGGGGGAAGGGAGCCGCAATCTTGAAATTGTCAAAGCGGTCTCGGCCCACACACATCACCACCATCTGGGTCTCGACTGCTGACTAGCGCGCAGACAGACTGTCCGGCGTTTCGGGAGCCTCTACACAAGTTAGCACCCCCAATTAGCTCCCGGAAGGTAAGATCTCCTTGCCAACGTCCCGCTGGGAGGACCCAAGGATCTGGACAAAGAGTCGCAGGGTTCATGAGTGGCAGGGAATTGCCCAGTTGGGAAATATGTCTGCGCCTGCTGCCGTGGGCCCGAGTGGTTGGTAATGGCTGACCGTTACCTTTCAGCATTGCTTCTGTGTTGCAGATGATGTGCCTTTTCATTTTGCGCTCGTGTTTCAGACAAAATGCGCAGTCTTGAGGCGCTGTGCTCAAGTCTTCCCCATGGAATGGTTAATTAACGTATACTTTCGGCAGAGGTGACCAGATTCCGACCGGCAAGAGCAGCAAGGGTTCCCGAGGTGGTCTACCTGGGAGACATGACGCACGTAGGAGCGGCGACACGGCAGTAGTTCTCGAGTGTTTAGAGCCTCAGACGTATAATCGCGGTAGCGCTTACGGGTGATGAATTTCTGACAACATCGGGTCTCGTAGCCTCTGAACCAAGTTCGGCACCGAGACGATGCGTGTGTCAGGGGCTCGGGTGATGTCGGCATTGGCTCGCCTGATATCAACATTGGCTCGCATGATTATCAATATGGGCTTGCATGACAATCAACATGGATGACAGCATGGAACAATCATACGCAGGGGCGAGATGTGCAGTGCTTTTCGAGTTCAACAAGCCAGACGAGTCAGGAGACGGACCGGCGTAGCTCCAGACACGGCAAGCCGTGGCAGCGGCGGGACGGCAGGCAATTAGTGAACCACAGCACTGGACTGCTGACTCCGGTAGGGCGGCCCAGCGGGTAAAGTCCAGCTACGGGGTTCGCCCCAGGAAGCCAATCACGGCGCCCGCAGCGAGAACTGCGTGCCCCAAAACGGCAGCCAATTTTGCGTTCGTCGGCCCCGGCCTGATTTCAACGACACTAACTCCCGGCATCATGGTTCTCGGGAACGGCACAAGACATTGCTGGGCGGTTGCGCAGAGCACAGCCCCGTATCTATTTCTCTTGGCCCTGCATGATGGCGTGCACCGCTGCAAGTCCTTTATCGTTGTCATCTTGTCTCATTGGACAGTTGCGTCGTCTCTCTGCACGGCCTTTCTGTCAATAGCGTCGGTTCCGTGGCCACTCGGCCGAAAGACTCAAGGTCTTGCTGCTCGAGGGCGAGCTTGTATAGGTCTCACCTCGCGCAGATGTACCTCCGACAGTGATTCGAGTCATGCAAGGATATGAACCTTCCCAGTGTTCACCGCCTACCTGGCTGTTCAATGTTGAGACGAGTTCACGAAACACGACGATTCTCCTTCTGTCCAGTTTGCTCACAGAAGCACCACCTTACAGCTATCTATTAGTGCCGGGCCTACCATAACTACATAGACGGCACCAGGGACAACTCTGCAACCTACGGCCGCGGCTGGCATTTGACCTTTGTGCAGCTGCCAAAACCAGGCATGCGTTCATGCATCCGGGAGACCGGCACGGCTGGTGCTCTACCTACACCCTCGACCAGCACAAGATTCACATCATACTATCACGAAGAGCACGAGCTGGCCTATGGGACAACCTTCCGTTGGTCTCATCCCCATCACCACATTGCCCCGGCGCCCACGCAAATATTCCACCTGCAACAAAAGAAACAACTCGCCACCACGACTAGTCACACATCATCCGACCCCCATTTCCCTTGTTCATTGTCACATATGGTCTGATTTTTCAAAACCCCGAAAGAATAAGAAAAAAGAAAAAAGAAAAAGAAACTACCGACACAAAATACTCAGCGGCCCGCCACTTCTCGGGCGTCTCAACCGCCACCCGAGGCGAAGTGTCACGGCACAGGACCCTCGCGGTGTGCAAGCTGGCCGCCGGCGTTGCGAATCATAGCAAATTATCGCATCCCCCCCCCCCCTTCCCCCCAAGCTCTACCTGACAGATCCGCAAGTTTTTGCCCTCTGCCGTGTTCTTCCGCCTCGTCCTCCTCGCCCGCATAGCAACCGTTGCCGCCATGGAGCTAAGCCAAAGTCGGACACTAAGCCCTCGGCACGCTGCTGAAGACTTGGTTCTGCCGTCGAACTGTGGTTGAACGGGTGGATTACCGGGGGGGGGGGGGAGTAGCTGCTGCACTTGATCAATGCCGTGTGTCCTCACAGCTGGGGGCTGGGGTTGAGGAGAATTATCTAATTAGCGGTCTTTTTCTTTTCCACTTTATTGCGCCGCTCGCCTGATGTTGTCATTAGTGGTTTATGGTCATGATGATCAACTCGGTGACAAGAGGTCAACTGCAGATTGGGCACAACGCATGATAGACTTTTTAGTCGATATCCGAGCATCCTGACACGAACAAATGAACAAACTGTGCTACAGCTACGAGTTGCCAGGACGTTTGTGCCTTGACCAACAAAAGTCGCTAAGCCACTACAAAGAGCTTCTAAGACCAAGTTGCCAAGAGTCTTTGCAACCCCCACCTCCCTGACTTACTCACCCTGCGATGCGCCCAAAAATGCAAAAAGAGCGGAATTGTATGCCAAGTCGCAGATCACATTGAGAATTGTATCTTGCACGAAGCACAAAAATCCCCCAATGACAATTATATCTCGAAGCCTGAGCCAGTGACCAAGTAGATGCATTGACTCGGGGTGACGTGACAAGTTGGGCTGCTGTGTCTTTCCATGAAAGCTCACGAGCGGCGTTGAAACGCTGACTAAGCATACATTGCCCTGGCTGGCGCAGAGGACCTCAACACCATAACAGGCAAAACAACGGTGGGAATGTCCCGGAAATGGAATTTCTAGATCCGCTGACAGGGTTTCCGGTCTCATGCGCACAGCATTTCATTTTGAGACACGGTTCATGCAGGCAGCCGGCCGTAGAACTGCTCGCTCGCTTGGTTTGACAATCGCCATGCACCCCACACGCGAAAATGTCTCGAACCATCAGACTGGTCACCCACGCACTCACTTAATAGAGAACGCACGCCTCCTTTGTGCTTCAGGGTGAATCAGTAATCTTGCGGGCGGGTGCTCACGCCGCTGGGGCCGGCCGTCCATCCGTCCGTCCGTCCGTCCGCCGCATGTCCGTGAGGGCCCCGCCGGCCTTCCCCTATTCATGCGGGCGGATAAGCAATCCGGCCAGCCTTATGGAGGAGTTTGCTGATCATTCATGACGATAAGTGCTCGCCTGGACGTTTAGGAGTGAGACTTGCAGTGGTGCGGCCTAGCAGTCTGTGCAGTTGGGGAATGTCTTGGACCTTTACCTCGTTTTGTCAGGGGGTTGTTATGCGGCGTCCTGGACGACTCGATCGTCATAAAGCAACACACAACACAGTGTGTTCGAGTGTTTGCTGGTGTGCCTCCAGTGTTGGATAAGCGCGCGTCAAACTCGTTTCGTTTCGCCGAGCGTCCCGGTTGACGGATTAAGCCATGCTAAATCGGTCTTGTTCTTGCGCTGGTCCGGTGTGGCAGATTGCTCAATCAGGCGAGGCAATGCTTGATGCCTGCTTATATCCCAGAGGCATATAGAGCGCATGCCACGCAATTTCGTGCGCGGCATTTCTCCTTATGTCACATGCAATTATGACTTTGCGATCTGGGTCAACTGCCAGTGGCAGTCAAGTGGGTGGCCATGTCGTGGCTACGACATACCTGGCTAGCTCCAAGAGCACGGTGTTTGCCTCCTCTCAAGTCTTTGGGCGCATGAAGCAGCATGGAATTTCGCCCTTGGACCAGTTGAGCAGCCGAGCCTTGATTTGGATTGCTCTACAGGGGTCCGGCAGTCTAGGCAGGGACAGGGGTATCAAAGAAATCTTAGGGACCCTGCACCCGGGCAAGTCCCAGCACAGACACAGTGCTGCGGCTGAGCATCGTCTGATTTACATTACCTTGTCCTGTTTGCATCATGTCGATGTCAGGGAGAGTTTGCCGCGGCCAACTTGGACATACCATAGACAGGCTGTCTTGCGTGAAACGACACGAAGGGTCCTGAACTCTTACCGAGGCGGGCAGTGCAAATCAAGGTTTTTCTTCAGGTCGAGCATCAGGCGCAACCAACCAACAAAATGGCGACCCAGTTGCCTGGTCTCCCCTGCCGCCGGCAGAAACTTCCGATTTAGAGCGCTGGGTCCACGCATGCCAGAATGGAAGGAGGACAGCCCACGACATCTAGAAAAGGAAGAGCCAGACATTTTGAAGCGACGGCGTGCGTGCAGAAACCGAAGCGGGCTAGTCAGCTCTCCTGCTCGCGGGGCGAGCTGAACTCCTTTGTCGAAGCGTACCGCTGCCACCCCCCCCTTCGTGGCACATGTGTCAAGCAGTGCTGGCCCTGTCAAGACGAAAGGCCCCTGCCGGGGGTCCATCCGAAGCCCAGCCGAGGCCCTGCGCTGGGCCAACTCAAATCGCGAGAGCGGAGAGGCATATATATTCTAGCATTGGTATTGGTCGCCGCCGAAACGCAGAGCGGCTGAATTAGGGACGGTCTGACCGAGGTCATATTGTGGCAGCTGCGTGACACAAGTTGGTGGTCGGGGATGGGACGACGGTAACGCGGTTGATGTTACATGCGCAATGCTGGCTGTGACGACAGGACGGCATGCCACTCTGACAGATGCCGTGGGGCTGGTTTGGAGGAGCTGTCAGGAGGTGCCGTGGTGTCAGCTTGAGACCGACTGGGGAGGAGACCCACGAGCGCGGAGATCAGCGCACACAGAGACGTGAGGCCAGTCGGCCGAGCGATGAGAGCAGCAGCGGACAGACCAAAATGTTCCTTGGAAATAGGGATCCCGGTGTGAGTTCGTGATGGGATTGGAGGGGAAAACAATAAAGGCGAGCAGGGGTTGAGGAAGCGAGTCAGAAGAAGAGGAGGGACGCCACCCGCCGCCCGAGCAAGGTCATCACTCACCCACCAGACCGGGTCGGCATGCCCAGCTACTTGCCTCGTTGGGTGCGTGTATACATACATACATGCATGCACGCAGTCATGGGCTCGTCCACCTGAAGAATGTTGGGCGCGGCCCAAAACGAGAGAGAGTGTCACAGAGAGTTGCCGTCATGTTGGCGTCGTCGTCGCCGTCGAGGCTGCCGTTGGTTGGCGTTGGGGGCTAGGTTTACGTTGCGCGCCGTCCCGCCGGGATTAGGTGAGGGAGACGAGAGCGCAAGCGCAACCTAAATGGATGGAGCAGGGCGAGGCTAGCGCAGCTGGATGCCATGTTTGCCATGTGGTCATCTCGTGGCAGGCGGCAGGTTCTGGGAAGCTGGGCCGTGGAGCTGATGAAGATGAAGCTGCTAATGATGACGATTGCGGGCAGGCGTAATTGCATGAGTAAGCGTACCTTAAGGTAAGGAGGTAAGTCTGGTATCCTGATATAGATGTGCGTTCACAAGCCCGTCCAAAGTTGGGGTTGTTCGTGCCTGCCAGCCAGGGAGTCCCTGCCAGTGCCCGCAACGAGCAGCGAATGGTGATTGTGCAGGCCATCAATGTGGGCAAGCGACTCGCGTGCATCGGCAGTGCATATTGCGTGCAAGCAGTCGGGTGTGCGTGCGTGTGCATGCAGCCAATCTGTACCTGCAGCTGCCTGCCCTGCCTGCCTGTTTGCTTCTGCCACACCCTCCATCACCCACCATCACCACATCCTCACATCTGCCATCCCAGCTCTCTATCCGAGGCCACGCCGACGACACACAGCCTCGTCCGTGACGCCCACTGTGTGAAGCAAACTGCCGCCGGCAGAGACGCGGATGTCGCTGCTGCTTGCTTCATGGTCCGCCACCACAGCACTGGCCAGACAATCCCATCGTACTGTATTCATCCCATCGCCACGGTCTTTCTCTCGTCTCGCCTCCCGGGACATTGCTTCTCCACCATGCCGCGCCAGATCCCTGCCTGGGCCTCCCACACCCATGCCGGCCCCTCTCCACCACCGCTGCTCAAGCTCTGCCACCGGCGCCGTCCTAGCCCGCCGCCTGCCCCCCCTGCCCATGCATGCAGGCTGTCCCAAGGGTGCTCGCTAGAGCTGCCCCCAAACACGGGCCACACGCCATCCCAACGGCCGCCAGCAGGTCCGTCGCCAGTGGAGAGCGCGGAGATGGGCTCAACCGCTTCCCAGCGCCTTAGTTATGCTCATGCTCGAATGCCAGCCATGGCCGCGCGGCGAGGAACCTCCCGCCGTCGTCGTCGAGCCACCATGGAGTCCGGTCCATCCCAAGGCACAATCGCTCTCGAGGTCGCGGGCTGTCCCTGACGTCCGAGGCGTCGGCTTGGCCCTCCTGCTGTTCCCTCGCAATCCTGGTCGTGCATTGTCATCATCGTCGCCAATCTTGCCAGCTTTGATACTGCCCGGCTCTTCCCCGTCACCGTACCGGCGCACACGCCGCTTCTCCAAGGCTAATTCAGCTAAGGGGGACAGGGGGGTACGAGTCGGCACGTTGGCCGCCACTAGACAGGACCCCGGCCTCACGATTGCCTTTTGTCTGATACTTTTCTCCGGAATCTACTATAACCAGCCCGGCTTGCCCCCTCCTGCCATGAGCTAGGATCCCCTCTTGCTTTTTCACCCTGCTTGCCTGCTCCGTCCTCTGCTTCATCCAACGTCGACGGCATCGCAAAATCGACTTGTCGACTGTTCACTCGCTTGAACAAGATGGACAGCTGCCTCGCACCCGTCACCGGCTTCTGGCGCCGCTGGTGGACGAAACCAGGCCGCCTATTTCGCCGCACCACCACCACCCGCTCAGTTTTTGACCAGCTACGCGGCAAGACGCTCCTGATCCCTGATCTCAAGCCAATCTACTCGCGCTGGGAGAGCGGCCTCAACCCTGGCTATGAGCGGCTCTCGAATTTGATCGACGAAGCAATCGATGATTATGTGGTGGACGAGAAGCAGCGCCTCAAGACCCGGGCCATCAACCTTGCTTGGTTCGTTTCTGCGTAAGTTGACCTCCCATCCGACTTTGGCGAGGCGTATGAGTTCTGCACTTGATCGAGCTGGCTTCTTTCTTGGGCGACGACATACCGACGTCCACCCCCCTTATACGGATTCCTGCTAATAGTCACCTTGCAGGACATATCCGAACGCCGGTTGGGAGCAGCTCAAGACTATGGGTCTGCTAGCTCTCATGCTTTTCGTGTTTGACGACGCCATAGATAAGGAGATCGAACCCGGAAAAGTCGACTTTGCCTCCGACTTTGAGGCTGCCTCCGTATTCCGCGAGGAGTGCATCAGCTACGCACGAGCACAGCTTGGGGTTAGCCCAGATACGAAATCCGTCCCGCCGCCCCCCGAGTTCGCTGGATTTGGAGCTTTCACCGAACTGTTGCTAGCCACGTGCCCGCCCGGCCAAATTGATATGACGAAACTTGCCGATCGAGTACAGCATTTCATCGAAGCCCACGCGACCGAACAAAAGCATCGTCTTTCCGGTAGACTTGCAAGTGTACAGGAGTACTGGAAATTTCGTCATGGAGTGGGCGCCGTCTACGTCTTCTGCGCTGTACACCCATACATGGCCAATGTCAGCTTGCCGGATGAGTTGGTGTGGTCACCAGAGGTTGAGATCATGTCCTTGGAGACCAGCACGCAGCCTATCATGTAAGTCGATTGGTCAATTTCCGGTCCCTTTGCAACATGCGTGGTTCAGGGACCAAACAGGACACAGACTAACCTGTGTGTGTTGAACAGCTGTAATGATCTCTACTCGTTGAAGAAAGAAATTGTAAGGACAAACCGCGCCGCCGATCAAAGGTGTAGAATTGACCAAGGTTACAGGACGAGGAGACACCTGCAAATCTCATTCCCATCATGCTCGCCAGTACCGATATGAGCCTCGAGGAAATCATTGCCGATCTGGTGGGACAAATGGACGCCTCAGCGAAACGCTTCGACGATGCAGTGAACGCGCTTCGGGTGAAGGCGCAAAAGTACGACCAGGCGACACAAGAAAACCTTGAGCACTTCATAAAGACGTTTGAAAGCTTCCAGACTGGATGCTTCCGCTTCTATATGAAGTCGCGGCGATTCGGCATCAAGCAATACGAGCAGGCCGATGGTAGCTTCCTGATCCCTCTCTGACGACGACTCTCGACGAAGATCTGATTACGATTATGACGCTGCACCACTCCTTTATTCGCTACTGGTCTTCCTCGCTGCACTTTTCGACCGCGTGTAACACGGCGCTGTTTCTCTCCCTTGATAGATGGGGTCTCTTGTGGTCCTGCCGAAAAGCATAACCATACTGGCACCCTCTGCCCTTCTCTTCCAGTCATTCCCTATCTGTTTTGAGCACAACATAAAATACCCCCTTCTCCTTTCTCAACACATAGTTGGCATTTTCCTCTGCGGCATTGTACATATATATCCTTGGGACACACGGGGGTGGAGAATCTTGCTTTAGCATGCACTTTGTCATAGCGACTCATTCTCGCAATCACTTGTTTCGGTTGGTTGGCGACAACCAGACCCAGCGCGCACCGTGTTTACGTTGGCGTGAGCGTCACCTTGCTCAAACCAGAATATAAGTTCTTGCCCTGCCGCTGACTGGCAATACCCAACGGACCGTTGTGTAATGGCCGAGTGATGCGATGACCATTCCTAATGCCGGGAAGAGATGGAGCTGGCATACGTGCCAACGAGTCTTTCCCCTTTTGTTGTAAGCATTACCGCCGACCGCACAACTCCGGAATCGCACCATCAGCCACGTGGAAGAGGCCGTCGAGGAACAGTGTAAGTGCTTTTAGGGCAATCCCGGTTCTCGTCGGGCTCACAGTGCCCACGCAAGGGTTTCCATCATTGATCAGAAAGGCCGCCGCCCCACCGTGGTTAATACTAATTACCAGCAACATGATGTGTTGTGAGCTGCCACTTACTTTTACCCAATACAACGGACGCGGAGCAGATATAGAGAGATGCCCTCGGACGTACGGACTTCCACCGAGTGAAGCAGGAAGGCGGAATGTTATATATATATATGGATTTTAGAGGAAGAAGATCCTGGAAGTGCTGTCCTGGTTCAACTCGGTTCTGAGACTCCGCGCTGTGTGCATGTAAAGCGTGTTGGCTACGTGGGCAGGGAAAGTGGGGGGGGGGGAAGCGAATTGATGTCGTCGGCTCGGGAGGCTTTTCAAGTGAAGGCGAGGAAGTGAGCGGGTCGGGGGGGGGGGGGGGGGGGGGCTGGCTTGAAGTCCGCGGATCGGAGCCAGCCAGCCAGCCGGACTGGTGGGCTAAAAGTTGTCAGTTGGGGGTTTTGGTTTCTGCCCCTTTTTCCCAGCTATAAAGTGCTCACTTTGATGCTTCCGTTTGTGGGGTAGTAGAGGGCTGGCAGTGATGAGAATCCGGCCAAGCCAATGGCGTCTGGATTGTAATACGATGCGGAAGCCATCTCGAGGTTGTTGTCCACTAGGTGGGAAGGTGCTTGCCTTAAATGTGTGTGGTTGACGATGGGGTTGATAATTTCGCTTCACATCTTCCGACGAATCCGATTTACGGGTGGCTCGCTCTCTGTTGGGGCTTTGTGATGAAGTGCTTGGCATTTCGGGGTGTTCAAGAAGTTTGGCCGTCAACGTCGTTGTCGAACTTGCAAGCGAGTGGCTCCACGTGCAAGAAGCGTTGAGTCTGATTGGCTCTTTGGGGGAACGAGTTGTCGAGTTTCCGCAACTGGCACAACCGGATCTGCGGCCTTCCAAGGTTGCATGTGGGGCCGCTGTTCGCTTACCTCCAAGCGTTAACGGTGGTTCTCCTTTAGTGATGTCTGGCAATGGGTTTAGTGCAAAGCGGCGGGGGCTCTTGGCGTGCATCGGGGTCCCTCTTGCTGCTGGCGACAGAGCGTCGCTGCTGGCCTCACGTGTGCGCCTTCCCGCTTTGAACTCCTTTCATTCTGTCTCGGGCCCTGTCTTTTGCGCGCGACAGATGGACAACATGGACAGACAGGATGTGCATCACTTCCGCATGAGTCCACCGGGGTCCCCCACGCCCCGCCGCCCCGGCAAGGTCCCGTCATTGTTCGAGGGGCTCGAAAGTGGCAATGGGCCACTTATGGTTTGTCCACGGACACGATGGTCCAGGCTTGGCCCTGCAGTCCGCAGACTGACGAGTTGTTCTTGTCGGGCATCGATCCCGGTCTGGTGGACTTGTATGTGCCGCAGGGGAGATGAGATGAGATGAAAGATGGTGATAATGAATTCTTGGCACGCCGTCCGACGATGCAGTATATAGGTTGGGCGATGATCCCACCTGGTCCTGAACCCTTTTGATTGTGTCATCATCCTGTCACTTTCGGTCATTTTCGGTCCTTGATTTCCTTGACTGTCTGGTATCCACGGAAAGGAAGACGCCGCGGTTTTCAGGCACTACACTCGTTCAAGAGCTGAAGATCATTGTGGGCCGACATCATCCAAGATGCTGTCCAAGACAATCCTGCTACAGCTAGCGACGCTGCTGCCCGCCGTGCTGGCGGGCGAGTACACGCTGCGCGAAGTCGGAGCTCGCAACACCCTTGTAAGTGCACACACACACACCCACGCCCCGCGACCATCTCAAGCTCTAGACAACCCCGCTGCTCAGACACGGACAACCACGAGCAAAGCTGACACATGTCGCTCTCCAGGACTGGCGCGTTTGGCTCGAGAATGACGGAAAGGTCGTCTCCTTCTGACACGATGTCCCCGTGTATCCGATCCCCAACGACAAGCGCATCATCAACATGGTCGTCGAGATCCCCCGCTGGACCGACGGCAAAATCGAGATCAAGCGCACCGAGCCGATGAGTGTGTATTCCGCCATTATCTCACCGAACCGAGGCCCAACTTACGTCTGCGAGTTGGTTTGTTTGGCACTGACAATAGCACCTTGCAGACCCAATCTTCCACGACGACAAGGACGACCTGCCCCGTTTCGTCGAGAGCGTCTGGCCGCACAAGTCGTACCCGTTCCTGTACGGCTCGATCCCACAAACTTGGGAGAGCCCGAACTTCAACCACGACTTCACCAACTTTCCGGGCGACAACGACCCGATTGATGTGTTTGATATCGGTCTTGAGTAGGTTGCGGATTTTGCGCAAAAGTCCGGTGAGGATAGCATGCACTGACAAAATGAACATCTAGCCCCGGCTACGTCGGCCAAATCAAGCAGGTCAAGATCCTCGGCGGTCTTGCGCTGGCTGATGTAAGTCATGCTTCGTTATGCGCTTCTTCGTGTATGTCGATACAAACACATGGCGCTGACACTGCAGCACAGGGCGAAGAAACGGACTGGAAGATCCTTGCCATTGACACCAACGACACTCTTGCGGGGTTGGTCAACTGTAAGTCAAAACCATTTACCCCTCAAACTCCACGCAGCTGCGATGTTGAAGCTGACAAACTGCAATACAGCGCTCGAGGACCTTGAGAAGTACCGCCCCAACCTCGCCCAGACTTTCTATGACTGGTTCACCGTGAGTCACTCTCTAGGTTGGCTGGGATACTTCCAAGCGTCTCTCCTCTCCTAACCACTCAGTGCATAAACAGTACTACAAGGTCGCCCGAGGTGACGACCTGATCCCTATCATCGGCAACGCTTACCAGGACGCCGTGTTCATCGAGGACGTCGTGGCCGAGGGCCACGGTTACTGGGCCGAGTTGGTCGCGGGCACCGTCGACACGGGCAAGATCAACTACAATCAGACCTCGGACCCGTTGCTCAAGGACAGCTACGTCACGGCCTGCGAGGTCAGCGGCAAGCTGGGAATCCCGCACGAGAGCAATGTCTTGCCTGCCGCGGCCAAGCCGGCCAAGTACGACCACTGGTATTACCTGGATGAGAACCGCAAGCTGATTGAGATCTGAGCGTCGGGCAAGTCTGCGGTTAGCAACACCGCTTTACGAGCGATGGTAACTGCTGGGTAGCGTGTATCAAAAGAAACAGAAAAGCATCAATTGAAGAAAACAATGCTCATACTGGTGACTACTCCCTCTGGCAACCCCCAGCACCATATTTCCTCTACTGCCATTCCAGACGCCACAACATGCGACCCCTCAAAGCCCAACTCCAGAAACAAACTCACACAACCTCTCTGACCTTGCCACTCTCAACCTCATAAACCCAACCACTCACCCGACCCCCACCCGCCTGGCTGCCCTGGCCCTCACTCTCCGTGATCACAACCCCACTACCTCTCAAGAACTCGACGTCCTCCCTGACGGCCTTCTCCAAGTCGCCAAACGGCAAGAAGTCCAGCCCGGCCACCTCGGCGGCCGCGCTCTGGCCGAGGTTCTGCTTCACGAGGGCCCGGGCGTCGTCGTTGGAGAAAGTCAGCATGCCGCAGCCCGTGTGCTTGACGAGCACGATCTCGCGCGTGCCCAGGAGCTGCTGGCTGATGACGATGCTGCGCAGGGCGTCGCGCGCGCTGGCGCCCGCGTTGCGGATCACGTGCGCGTCGCCGAGGTCGATGCCGAGCGCGGCGGCAGGGTCGATGCGGGCGTCCATGCACGTCACTTTTTTGACGTGTTGTCCTGGTCAGCAGAGGGGCCTTTCGAGAAAAAGGAGGAAAAAGAACAAAAAGAAACAGGGAGAAAGAACATGGGGGTTATGTCGAGTTTTGTGGTTTGTGTTGGGATGTTGTTGACGGACGAGGAGAGGGGAAGGGGAATTGGTGGCGGATTGCTTGCATTGCGGGCACAGGGCTGAAAGTGACTTACAGACGAGGTACTTCTTCCCCGGTGGGAGTGGGAGGTGGCCCTTGTCAAAGGTGCTTGCGTACTCGATATTGCTCTTCTTGAGGTTCTCCTGGATCGCTGACATGCTGGGCAGATTTCTCCGGAGTCGCTTTGATTGAGTGATTACGGCCGACTGATACAAGAGAAAATACAAACAGCACCTCGATCATTCGGCAAGAGTGGGCAATGCGGAGAAGGTTAGTCTTTATGCCGAAGTAGTATCGGGATATGCTTTTGTACTTAGGTGGCCGAAGGGCTTAAAAACCTCAGCTCGCCCACCACACGCGCGCCTGCGTGACTGGAGCGTACAATGGCGTGCTTGTATGTCTTACCAATGCCTTGGGACCGAGTGATGTTTCTTCTCCAAATCCCGAGCCCCGGGGACTGGTGTGTTGCTTCTCCAAACTCCGAGCCCCGGGGCTGGGGTTGCTTCACCGCAATAGCCTTACGTGCGTCACAGAGCTCCCGCCTCTGTGATAAGGAACCCCGCGTTTTTTCGGGAGGTGGAACCCCCAAGATACGCCAAGCATTGCACCATTCAGCCACGGGTCGGCGGCTTTCGGCGGTTCACAGCATTGTGAAGCCTGTGTCATGGCTGATATGCTCTGGAGTGATTTGTGAATGATACCAGGCGGAAGACATTTGCGATCAAGTAGCGCTTTGGTTGCAAGACATTAGGCCAAGTCGATCGATGCAATGTCACTGAGAGCCCGCCAGGAAATCATCGGCAGTCACCTTGAATTACACTGCGCCAGGGCCGCGCCCCACAGGCAGTGTGCTGAATCACCTTCCTCCACTGGACATACTGCCTTGTTCACGATACGGTCGCCATGAGTGGATATGTGGTTCATTAAGTGGATTCAAATAAGGATCTATCAATATTACTGCATCGATTGTATCAACAAATAGTACGGTCCAAATCTCCCATCTATCAGTACGCTTCCACCACGGCGGGCCAAGAATTCAGCACAGAAGAAATAAGGAAAGACACGCTTGGAATTGAAACCGATCCGCCCAAAATCCTTGGCAATGTGGTACGCATGGTAAGCCCATAGGAAAAGTCTCAGTATCTGTAGCCTCCATCGCTGCGGCGGTACTGCCGCTCAATGTGTTCCTGGGGGTCCGGGTAGGGAAGTGGCTCATCGCGCTGCTGGCGTGGTGCACGAGCGCGACGGTGGTGGTCACGGCTGTCGCCAGAGCCATAAACGTAAGGGATCCCGTAGTCATTGTGGCCATTGCCGTCAAAGGAGCGGCGTGGCACGTGGCGGTAAGAAGGCTGCCGCTCCGGGACTACGGGGTACTGCGCATAGACGACTTGCTCGGGGGAGAAAGTCCGTCGTGGCAGCGGTGGTGGAGGAGGAGGAGGAGGCTGGTAGTGGGTGGACTGCCGTCCATGGTCAGCGTGAGTGGGACGCTGTTGCTGGCGAGAAGAGGCTGGGGAATAGGTGGTATAATAACCCTCAGGCTCATCTTCCCAGACATCTCTGGGATCCTGAAAGATGAAAGGCGGCTGGGGTACAGAGCGGGGAGTAGAAGAATGCTGCGGGGATGCCTGCTGACCCGCAGGGTATTCGTATACACGGTACTCCGTGGTTGATCCCTGGGTTCGCTCAGGTTGTCGGGATTGATGCTGGGAAGTGTTTAAGCTCGGGAGGTCGTCGCGGCCTCGCTGAGGGGAGTAGCTGAAGTCATGAACCTTGGCACCGGAGCCCCTCTTCTCCATGGCTGGCGCTCGAGCACCTTGAGCTTCTGACTCGGTCCTCTTGGCCTCGTTCTGTTTCTTCAACAAGCGCTCCCTCTCAGCCTGCTTTCCCCGCTGATAAGCCTTTTCAAGCCTTTCGGCTTCCAGGCGCTTCTTGGTTTCTCTGTCCTTCTGCCTCTCCGCGGACTCATTCTGCTCCTGGTGTTGCCGGATCAGCTCTTCATAGCCGATCCGGACTTGTTCGTGCCGAGCTTCCCTGCGCTGGTGCTCCATCTCGATCTGCGCGGCTGTCTCGAGACGAATCTGCTCCAAAAAGTGCTCGGCGCAGAGGTTGGTCTCGTGGCGGGACGCATCAATACTGCGCTCTTTCAAGCAGCCGCCTTTGGTGCACGAATGCAAGGCTACGCAGTAAAGACCGTGCTCCTCAGCCGGGTTGATGCAACCCTGGGCATAGCACTCGTGACGGCTGCAGTACGCGGCATCAGGCTTGGTCATGGAATGGCGGCCCGCGGAACAGTCGGAGACCTTGCAGCAGTCTTTCAATGGATTGATTAGCTGTCGACTCAATGACTGACATAAGGGGAGGAGGAAGAGGAGGGTGAGGAGGAGGAGGAGATGCTTACGGTCCATGCAGAAGAAGGATTTCTTTGCACGCGACAAGTCGCACCCAACAATGCGACAGCCGTGGTCGGAGCAGAAGTACCCGTCCGCCATGGCCAGCTGGTCGCACGAAGAGATGTGGCACTCGCGATGCTTTTCGCAGCGGCCCGCCTCATTGGCGCGCTGGTGGCACTTGGGGAGTGAGCACTCGTGCTGCTTGCAGAATGTGCCTTTCTCCGCCGGTACGCGGTCGCAGTTGCGCTCGGCGCACGCCAGGTGTCGTTGACAGTGCTTTCGGCCGGGAAGGGACTGGATGATGCAGTCTCCGTGATGACAACGGTCTAAGATGAAAAATGTGTGTGAGTTCGACTGGTTCTATTGTATGACGGATTGGATGACTGACGTGTACTGCAGAACCAAGCGAGGGCCGAGTTTGGTTCACTGTTCTTGCCTTGCTTGCTACAGCCTGGAGAGGAACACATTGAGTCTGCTGGCATGGTTAAAACAAGTTTGGTCTTTGAATAAGCTCTGATGAAAGGGCGAAGGAACCACTGCTTACGTGCTACACAAACTCCAGCACGAGGCTGCATGGCCGGTGCCGAGCAGAAGCCCGAGTGGTTGTCGAACTTTCTCAAGCAAGAGTCTGCAGTGCCATGGCCAGTCAGCAAAAGGGCGTCCATGACAACTTTGGGACCATGAGGGAATGCACTAACGGTCTTTGCAATGTTCTGAATACTCATAAAACTCTCCCAACTGGCTCTCCCGCTTGCAGTGTATCTTCTTGCACCCGGGCACGGCGCACTTCCTGTCGCCGTGTGAGACGACTGAGCTTCGAGAGTTGCCAAAGCCGGGGCTGTAGCTCGCATATGGTGAAAGGTGAGTCATCTTGTCGACTGTGTTCTGTGCGTTCTGATTGTGCTTGGCCTACACAGATCGGCCGACCTGTATTGTGGACGAAGAGTCTGAGGCGGAGTTGGTCTTGCGAACAAGCCTCGGCGAAACTGTTTGCAAACAGGAAGAAGTGCAGATTCAAGTGGATTAACCGACTTGAAAGTAATCCGGTATGGATCACAGAAGAAGATTTCAGAGGACTCTTCAGCCGGGCGAGGCGAGGCATTCTTATACAATCTCGAAGAGCCCGTCGAGGCTGTCAAGTGTAATAACATCAGGCGCGACCCGACAATGGCTCAAGTAGAGATGCAACCAGGGTGTTTGAGGCCACTGCAGGGATCCTGCGTTCAAGAACAAAGAGAATGGGCCTCCGGTGTGTGTGTGGCTCCTGCTAAGCCTACCACAGTTGAGAAGTCGACTAACCGGGGGACTTTGGCAGAGTCTGATAGGCTGACTGGGTGCTGTGTGACCCCTTTTGGGAGGGTGGACGGGGACTGGCGAGCCAAGGCGGACCAACCGGCGGAAGGTGGCTGAACCCCCAAACCCCTGGCGGTCCTGACGCTGTGCAACAACACAAGGCGCCCAAGGAATGGGCCTTGGGGAGGAGGAATCAATCAGGCTGCAACGAGACAGATGACTAACACAGACACGAAAACAGAGGTCCCTGGATCTTCCGTCGAGGAAAGCCTCGCCTTCGAGCCGGCTGATCGCGCACAGAGCGGGTTGCGCGTGTATCGATGTACCATTACGCTAATATGCAATGTCTAGTTATTGTGGTTTTGCGGCGCGTTAGCCAGGACCTCGCCCAGCTCATGCAAAAATACACCAGGAGCATGACAAGGACGTCTACGAGCTCCAGGGCCAGATACTTGAGATGTGGCGTGGTGGATACAAGGTGGGCGGGAATCTACAAACCAGCCCATATGCGTGCAAATGGTTATGCTCTGGTGAATTTTCCGGGGTTACTGGGGGCTACCCGTGTCTAGTAGCATGCAAATTATCAGCTTCTTGCTTGCTGCTATCCATTCCTCGCCAGAACCAGTCGGTTTGTCGCATACACGCTGCGGGTCTCGACCCTGATGCGCAATGGCGTAGTGTCTAGGCACCAAATGTGGGACTCGTCTCCGTACGGTTCCTTCACAGCAATCTACCTTCTCCGCCATCAAGCCGGGGGTTAAATGAACCTTGATTCTGTCAGGTTGAAGGATGTGTCCCGCACTGTGCCTAGCGATTACTGACTGTACTGTGCCTGTGACTAACACTTCCTCAGCATGTGCCTGTCACGAGTCTATTCGACTAGACGTGGCAGCACCACAATCTTGGCCGCCCTGGCCGTCGCAAAGCGGCCTTGCGCAGGCCATCCTACTTCCTGTAGCACGCCTTGTCGACCATGATCAATTGGGCCACACTCGCTGACAGTGGTGGATCTGATTGGCCCGATCTTTTGGGATCAATCACAGAAGAAGGGGCACAATTGGGATGCGGGAGGGTGGGCGCTGCATGACACAATAAAGAAAATCGGCCGTCTGGTTGCGTGTGCACACCAGCTGCAGCAACTGCCATCCGGTGCTGAATGACCAGCTTGGCTGTGCAATCCATATGAACATCCCACGACGAGCAGGGGGGGCTGCAGGTTCAAACAGGCAGCTTACAAGGTCTCCAGCAAAGAGCAGTGCTGTGGGATTCCGCGCTTGACGGTATGACCAACATTTACAAGTTGGCGTTTCTGTGACACAGTACAAGAAATCCAGCCGTATTCTTTTGCTTCGAAAAGTGACCTTTGGCTTTTTGTGACTGCACTCCCTGCACTGCACTGTCGGGTCACGATACCTCCTGCTTTGACCTTGCTGCTAAGCAGCACACAGCCCCCTCCCGTGGGGGCCGTAACCAACAGAAGTGGAAGAAAGTCGTCAGCGTGACACCCCTGCGTCCAGGGCCCTTTCCAAAGCTTTGGGCCTCCAGCATCAGTACGGTGTGACTACATATCTCTGCTATCGATTGTGTCAGGGAAAAACGCACGGCGCTTTTCTGGAACATGCGTTCGCCAGCGGGTCCATGCATATGGACTATGACAGGACCCTCTCGGAGTCAACGGCCGTGCTGGTTACTGTTTAATGATCAGCAGCTGGCTCTGGGCGGAAATCTGGCAGGTCTAACTACCCAACTAGGTTCCGCCAGTGAACAGGATTGGCCATGAGTCCGCCACACGAGACTTGGCATGGCGATTCAACGGCAGGGGCCCGGACGGTGGTCTCTCTCTCTCTCACGAACACCCCCTTTGGCTGTCACACAAATTTCAGAAACGCTGCCACCGATTACTTATTGCGTCATTGACACTGTTTTCGTCACCGAGAATTGCGGTCGCTTTTTATTGTCCTGCACTGGGGTGTCATGCGGTGGAATCGCAAAACACGACTGGAAGCGGTGTGGCGCAGCCAAAAGGGGAAAGAGGGCAGATTCCGCCTTCTGGTACATCATGGTATTTCACACCACGAGGGAGGAAGAGAGAATCCGTGGCAATCCGTGGCGGTGTGAGGATGCAGTATCGGGACCAACAGTTCTTGGCAAGGCTGTTTCGCTGCCAGGAGCCGGCCACATGAACATGAAGATGGTGCAGATAGCTTAGCGTGCAGACATTGCTGTCCTGCGGGCTCTTCGCCAACAGAAAAGCAATCTCATCATTCGCCGCCATTTGCTTTCACGCTTCAGCTTGCCCAGCCTCAACGGTAATATGTTGGTTATGAGTGGAAGCAGATGACCCGTCTGTAAGGTGCTGTGAGTTCCACAACCTGAGTTGCCGAAATAGTGGGACCTCCCTGGCATGAAGGGGCTTGCTTGGAATTGGGAGACTTTACGACCGACCAATTACTGCTGGCCTAATTATTCAGAAATTCTCCATTGAACCTCAAGTTGATAGTTGCTAGTCGATGTCATTAGCCAACAGGTAATGTCTTCGTGGTGTCTCCCCAATGGCATACATTGCGGCGCGGTTTGGATAAGTGGAACCGCAACCCGTTTATGACTGATGATTTTAGCATGCAACTTGAAACAACGCAGCATAAGCGATTGGGACTTTGGAGTTGAGTACGACTTGGCAATAGTCATGCGAACTATGACACTCTCGGTACACCACCAAGTTGCGTGGAACAAAACCTGCCCACCCTCGGTAGCGACATCACCGCGACTATCATTGTGGCCGCGGCGATCGGTAGACGCCGCCAGTCCTTCTCAGTCTTGTTTCTCGTCGATGCGGCCACCAACACGACGACAGTTTAGACACACATATCACTCATGGAACCTGTGCTTCCCAGTCTTGCGCATCTTAGACATTGTGAGGAAGCAACTCTTCCAGGCATCGTGCAAGTAAAGCCGATGATTGGCTACATCCATTTTCTTGTCTGAGGCGGAGAACGAGGTAGTCTGGGACCCTCTGGCCTGGTACGCATCTTTTGCAGAGTTCAAAACGATAGCTTTATTGATAAAAACCTGAAGAGTCTCATGGCATCGATCAGAAACCCCTTGCCCGACTAAACGAGAGCGGAACCAATCTTGGAATGCGAGGCAACTTTTCCCGAGGACTGTCTTTTGTGGTTGCATATGGTCTATGCCCATACTGCTGGATCTTGCCAACCGCAATCTCGTGAGGGAGCTTGCCACAATCCCGCCACCGCGCGACGTTGTCGCTGTGGTCATGCCGCACCCCTCAGAGTGGAGGCGACATAGATCAGCTGTGGCACGAGGCTGATAGCCGGTGCCCTAATCCGGCGGCAGCGGGAAAATTACAGTTCACTTATGCGCAGGACATGGACTGTTTGTGCTCGTGCCGGAAAGGGGATGTTACCATAAGGGCTTCTTCGACGATGCCAGCGTGGCAGTGTCACCAACAACTCCCAAGCCCTCTTCAGCTTCGCCACTCGTGCCGCTATCTCGCTGGCATTCGTCTCGCATATGGTTGAGCATGTGCATGGCCCATACACACCTCAAAAAGCAACGCGACCTCTGGTGTTATGGGGACGTAAGATGCTGGTTCGGACGGTGCATTCGCCGGCTCGAGCTCTCCGTAGGGCGGGATGGGTGTGGAGAAGGTCGTGCTGACACCTATGCCGTAGGAATCATGACAGACGGAGTGAATCGTGACTCGACAGGTAGCATTTGGTGTTAGTCTGAATCGCGGGTGGCAGGCGTACACCCGCCGCATGGTGATTCACAATATGTAGAGAAAGTATGTTGTCAAGGCGACTGAGTCAGAAAGACTTACCCGCTCACGTATGTTCGTGATAGTTGTGCATCGAAAGGGTGGCAGATCTCCAGCATGAAATCGTGCCTGTATTTTCTCGGGCTGCCGGCTAAGGATGATACTTACACTGCTGAACACACGTCACCGGGAAAGCTTGCGGAGTGTCTGTCTCTCACGAGCAGCAGCATTCACAATCATGTAGAACTGTCGCTCAGGGACACACGGGGTTTCGTGGGTTCGTTTTACTGTATTGGTTGGGCGCTCTGCCCGAGAGTGCCATGGAGACTCATTGCCCGCTGTGGCTGCTAAGTGGTATCATACACGTTCGTCTCATCCATCTCCCATCGCCTGTCTGGGGATTACACATTGAGAGGACCCTTGCCCTGGCCGACGGTAGGGCCCTTGGCGAGGCCCTGGCTCTGGCCGCCGCTGGCTGGGAGGCCCTCGATGGCCTCGCCGTGCTCGTGCTCCGGCATGGGGGCCGTCTTGTCGGCACGGGCCACGTGGTCGGACTGTTTTCGCAGAAAATGATAATCAGCAATGTGGTGTAGTTTGAAAGGGGACTCTCAACATGGGGGGGAAACTCACGGTAGGCTCCTGGCCGGCGCCGTGGATGATTTCGTTGTTGTGGGGGGCAGCTCAGGGGCGTTGTGTGCGTGGCTTCCGTCGCGAGGCATGTTGGCGGTTATGTGAGGAAGAGGAAGGGTTGGTTGTTGTAGTTGTGATGATGATGATGTTGTTTGTTGGATGAGGTGAATGTCAACTGGAAGAGAAGGAAGACATGACGGAAGACCGCAGCATTCAGCGGCTCAAAATATATCGTGAAACTGAACCTCGAGTGACGTTTGTAGTGCGCCTGGAGCTGCCGAGCTTGACGTCATCCCAGGAGCTGTGGAGGGGCACGCGAGCGGCCGGGAAGCCACGCCGTGTCGATTACCTAAAGTCCCACCATGCCGCCTTACTCGCGCGTGCTCCAACGGACGGTTCTACTAGAGGTGAAGGCCAAGGCCAGGCTGGCCAAGCGTCGTGAACGTCATTGTGATGAAGATGGAGCTGTGGGCCGAGAGGATCGGCTTCACCCGTGGAGCTGTGGGGTGGTGTCGGCAGCGCACAGGGGGGCCTGGCCGTTCAGGCACCACATCCCTGGCAGCCAGGGGAGAAAACGCTCCGGCTGCCGGACTCTGCAGATGGCGTCTTCCACAACGCGTGTCTACTGTAGCAGCCAAGACACAACCACCCCACGGATCAAGACCTCAAGGTGTGGTGTCGAGCCTGCAAGTCTGACGGCTGTGCCTGGCAAGAGGCCGTTGGTGATCAGCAACACGTGTTTGAGTGTGCCTGCTATCAGGCATGTCTTGTGCTGTAACTCGTCTCGAAATCACGGGAGTGCCTGCACAAGTTTCACAGCTCAGCATGTGGGGGGTGTGTGTGTGGCCCACCCGCCTCAGATCGCCGATTTCCTTCTTCCAACGTCCACCCAGTCAGCCTCGACTCGCGACCCTCAACTCATGATGGGGCCAAACAGCATAAGCATGAGCTGGCAGGCGCTGGGTAAGGCTCACCAGTGTCACGACTAATAGATCTCAGATCGCGGCGATTTGATGACAGGCATTTTACCCGTTCCGCTTGTTTACGTTACCTTATGTAGCGGACAAAGCAGGCAACCATAGACACAATCCAGAAGCGAACTCGGAAGATTGTTGCATTATGCTTGTTTAGGCGATTCACGATGTATTAGCATCCATCCATAGCTTTCTGGGATTCCACCATGGAAAACTCTCCGCTAGCAATATCTCCTCGCATTCTGAAGCAGCACGAGGAAACCAGCCTTCTGCATGCTTGCCTTCCAGCTTCTTTTTTTGTGTCCTTTGCGTCGGCATAATTGATTGGGAGTTGAGTGATGCCCCCTTCGTGCCCGGTCCCTGCAAAACACAACTGGGTGTCACCAGACTCATTGGCAGACGCAGACCTTCAAATGCATATTATATCACATACGCCTCACGTCACAGTTGTGGTCGAGACGAATCGCTGCCTTGGAACACTTTCAAGATTTAATGGGCGAACATCACCGCGACGATAGCTTTATCGCGGGAGAGGGCCTCCCATCTTGCAAGCCACAGGCGACGCTCGCGATCTAAAGAACAACCCGCAGATGCGCTGTCCAGTGAATTGATCGCCCAGACGACATTCACTCTACTACAAGCCACACATCCATCTTGCCGCCAAGTTCCTCTTTTTTCATTTACACGTTCCCCTCTAGCTACACTTTCCTTGGCTCGGAAGGTTTCTGCTCCCGTGGCAGACAACTCTTACCTGATTTGAACAGCTTGGCAGCCTTGGCGGAACCACCGACGACCCTGACAAAGGAAACACACCTTCCCTCCAGGAAACCCGAAGGGCGTATCAAAATGAACCGCCCAGCTCCCCAGGTAGGTCTCACGTGGCCATCACTACCTGCACTACGAGCACCCTCAACCCCTGGCACCGCTCTGGCCACTCATTCTCTAACTCACGACAAAAACAACAACAACAACCATCAGCACGCAACCGTTCCGGCACTGCCAGTCCCCGGCAGAGAGGCAGAACGAAATGCCGCCCCGCGTGATCAGCAATGGCACACGCCGCAAGGCTGCCAGAACTCGGATGGCAGACATGAAGAAACCGAGGAAGGTGGCAGCAGCGGCTGGATTGCCGACGCCAATGATCTGGCCTGCAGCTGCAACCTCGAGAAGCAATATCTCCCTGGTGGCGGGATGACCAGAGCGGGCGGCGAGTCCGATCATCACGCTGCTTCCTGCAGCATGGATCTCGACCTGCCTGCCCAGCTCGAAGATGACGAACTCGAACTGGTCGATCAGAGCATGTGCGTTGGTCACAGTAGCTTGATCGACAACGGGACTCGGCATGCCAAAAGGTACAGCGATAACGACAGCAACGGTTACACGATGATGAATGGCGATGACGGAGGTCGCGATAGCTACAGCCACAATTACATGGGCGATGACAGGGACGTCCACGAGCAGGAACGAGCCGACGCGTTTCCCCTTGCCACGCCGAATGCGCAGCACGTAGACAACGGCGGGACAAGCCCACCGCAACAACAGCAACAGCAACAAGAAACAGAGGAAGTACCTGACGAGGCGTTTGGGGATCTCTTTGGCTTGGATGTCCCCAGGCCCGGCGGCCCTCCCGGCAGCCCACAATCCGGATCACGGGAACACCATCAGACACGGACAAGCAGCTGGGACGACGCGAGCAGACGGTTCGGACAGTTCAAAATCACGGGACAGGTCGATGGGCGGTATGTCTACGACGCCGGGCTGCCAACGCCACCAATCACGCCCAGTGGTCCCAGAGAGGGCGAGACCGCCGAGAGGGACGACGACGACGACGACGACAGCGATGATGATGATGGTGCGAGCGAAGAAAACGAGCCTGATGACGATCTCGCCGATAGCAACACACTGGCTCCTGCAAACGCACAACATGGTATACATATACTCATGCCTTGGGCTCGGGATCCAAACAAGCCACAGCCGTGGGACAATGACTCGCGCTTCGGGCTTGGCTGGATGACACCCTACGGCGGCCTGACCATGGTGCCTGTGTGGCGGCTCGATCCGCCGTTGGAGCAGGATATTCTGGTCACGCTTTGGCAGGCCGGCGTGTTTGACAAGAACGAGGGTGGCGGCAGCATGAACACCCGCGACGACGCTCACGCGGTTGATGCAGGCGGAGTAGGAGCAAACAACACGCCGCGCTCCTGCTGGTCGAGCAAAGGCATCCGCGTCCGCCGGTTCGTCCGGGATGAGGAACCCGCTCACGCTTCTTCCCTGGAAAGCCATCACGACAGCGGTCGACCTCCAGTCAGTAATAACAACAACACGCTCCCGACGAACTCAAACCAAGCTCGCTACCACGCCGACGATACTAGGAACAGGCTGTACCTTGTCGCCGACGAGCGGAATCCGCAGCGCACCCAGACGTACATGCTCAAGCTCATGCTGCCCTTGTGTCCGCGCGGTGGAGCAAAGACCGCAAGCGAGGTCGCGGCCATGGCGTGGGCACGTGAGAACACTCACCTGCCGGTGCCCCGGGTGCGGGCGTTTTGTACATCTCGAAGGGAGAACCCGATGGGCCTGGAGTGGATCTTGATGGAATATCTCGGGCTCGGCGAGGACATTGACGATGCTGACGATGAAGCTGGCGAGGCTGGTGGTGGTGGTGGTGGTGGTGGTGCTATCGTGAAGGACAGGATGGTCCGGCCGCTGTCTGAGTGCTGGCATGACGTGTCGATGGGCGCAAAGAAACGGATTGTCGAGCAGCTGGCGCAGTATTGTGCTGCCATGTGCAAGAAGCCATTCGGGGGCGGGATTGGGAATGTATATCCCGGAGATGACAAGGGGCTGGTCTTGACCGACAGAACGGAGCGAGAGTATTGCGGCATAGCAGACACCGGCCATGGCGGGCCATTAAAGTTCCACAAAGGGCCAGTGGTGTCAATGCCGTTCTACTAGGGAGAGCGCGGCACGGCGCCTCGGAGCCTCAACAAGAACCCGGGCGAGGACGACCGCTGTGGACCATTCCTGCAGACACGACAGTGGAATCTCGGGAGACTCGACATTGCCCGCGCCGACCTCGAGGAGAAGCTGCGCTGGATGCCCTTCACCCCGAGTGGCCGGCGGCGAAACCCTCTCGGCACGCCGATGACCAGAGACACAAAGTCGCGCCCACAGCAGCAGACCAACATGCAGATTGTTCAGCGAATGCTCAAGCTGAACGCGCGGCTGGTAGCTCTGCAGGATGTCTTCTGGCCTGCACCAGAGTCATCACCATCATCGTCATTGTCATCATCATCATTACGAGCACGGGCGCGGTTACCCATACCGACATTCCTCTGGCACGACAACCTCTCTGCGGACAATCTCCTCGTCGACGAGCACGGCGTGTTGAGGGGGGTGCTTGACTGGGCCGACGTCTCGTGCTTGCCTTCGCACGCGGCATGCGAGCTGCCTGCGGTGCTACAGCTCCAAGACGGCGGTCGTGGCCACAACGACACCGCGCCGCCCCCGGTGCCGCCTCTGCTGGGAACGCGGGGCATGTTTGTCTGGCGGGCGTACTACGCGGAGCTCAAGAGGTACGAGATCGTTGCGATGCGGGAGCTGTTTGTGTCGCTGATGCGGGACTTGTCTGCCACGTGGACTCGGGCGTACGACGAAGCCGGGCTGCTGCGGGACATGGAGGCCGCGATCCAGAACTGCGACAGCGAGGACACGTTTGAAGTGGTGGAAGGGTGGGTTGCTGGGCTCGAGGGTGGGAAGGTGCCGGGCAAGGACATGAAGTGGCTGCATCAGGCACTCTGGCCGGTGTGAGTTTGGGGAGGAATAAAGTTCAGGGTGGACTCATGGGCTGCGGAGCGAGACGTGCTGCAGGTTTCAAAGTCGCGAGCATGGCTAGATCAAGATATTACCGAGAGGATGCAAATCTAGCATATGCAGCAGGCAGAGAAATGCGATCTCGCTCACACGTGCTGCAAACTCTATGGTGTTACATATCGGCCTCGATGAATGGATGGCCGTGGTGAGCTTGTGAGTGGGGAGTTGCTGCCCGTGCCGGGAAGGTTGACGTAGGCACCAACCTTGGAAGCCAGGGTTCGATCAGATAATGCCGGCCACCAAACACGGCCAGAAGCCTCGGCAGCCCCGTGGCAGTCAGTCACTGTGGGCATGCTCGGCGCGAGACCAGCTTTGGTCTGTGGCTTAAGAGAGTGAGTGCCTGGTGTTGTCGCAACGAACGGGGTTTGTCGACGCAGACCACAGCAGCTTGGAGCTACGCATTGAGATGCCCGCAGCTGCTGGTCGACCGTCAACGTGGACGCAAAGCTTTCGTCACTTTAGGCTAAGTGCGCATGGAACAGCTGGGAGCTCCTCTCTGGAGCTACTGAGAACAGACATCTGTGTGCCCCGGTTGATGCATTCTTTCCCCACGGACAAATGGATGCAGGCGTGTTGTGTGGATAAGTGGATAATGGGGAAACAATGGTGGGCGAAGACCGTGCTCGACTCTTGTATACACTGCATAATGGCATGGCCCACATCCACATTCGCAGGCCGCGCAGCCGTGCAGCAGGAGCTCCCCCGCTGCCCCGGCAGCACCGCAGCCCCCAGCGGCGGTCCGGCGGCACTGCTCGATTTTTCACTCCACCACCACACGACCAGCCCAGCCTGCCCGCCTGCCCGACCGCCTCCCCCCCAACCATTTATTTGTTCCCACCTCCACCTCCATCCTACATCACCAGCTGTGCCAGCGTTTCGTCATTTGCACCTCTCGACTTCTTCACAAGTCTTCTCGCCTCACACAAGCCAACATGTTCGCCGCGCGGTCTGTTATTGGCGCTGCCCAGCGCCGGGCCTTCTCTGCCTCGGCCCGTGATGTAAGTCGTCCCACCAGTCGGCCCTTGTTTCCTCGGACGTCTTGGCCTGCTGCTCCCGCGCGTTGCTCTTTTACCACGATGCAATGGCCTCTCAGCATCCGTCTCGACTTGCGCTCGGTGTCAGTCAGTGGTCTAGTTGCCCTACGACAGCTCTGGAGCGATCCAGGTTGCCGCAACTTGACCGACCACCTGCCTCCACGAAATGACGCACTTCCTGCTCTCCACGACCCAACATCGCGACCTCAATCATTGGCCATTACTAACACACCTCTTCCTCCTCGCATAGCTCTCCAAGGTCGCTGTTCTCGGTGCCGCCGGTGGCATTGGTCAGCCTCTGTCGCTCCTCCTCAAGCTCAACCCCCGCATCACCGAGCTTGCCCTCTATGATATCCGCGGTGCTCCCGGTGTCGCTGCCGACGTCTCCCACGTCAACACCAAGAGCGTCGTCAAGGGCTACGACCCCACCCCGACCGGCCTTGCCAACGCCCTCAAGGGCTCCGACATCATCCTCATCCCCGCCGGTGTCCCCCGCAAGCCCGGCATGACCCGTGACGACCTGTTCAACACCAACGCCTCCATCGTCCGTGACCTCGCCAAGGCCTGCGCCGAGTCTGCCCCCGAGGCCAACCTCCTCATCATTGCCAACCCCGTCAACTCGACCGTCCCCATCTGCGCCGAGGTCTACAAGGCCAAGGGTGTCTACAACCCCAAGCGCCTCTTTGGTGTCACCACCCTCGACGTTGTCCGCGCCAGCCGCTTCGTCTCCGAGATCAAGGACACCGACCCCAAGGACGAGAACATCACCGTCGTCGGCGGCCACTCTGGCGTCACCATTGTGCCCCTCTTCAGCCAGAGCAACCACCCCGACCTGAGCTCCAACGCCGAGCTCGTCAACCGCGTCCAGTTCGGCGGTGACGAGGTCGTCAAGGCCAAGGACGGTGCTGGCTCTGCCACCCTCTCCATGGCCATGGCCGGTGCCCGCATGGCCGAGTCCCTCCTCCGCGCCTCCCAGGGCGAGAAGGGTGTCATTGAGCCCACCTTTGTCGACAGCCCCCTGTACAAGGACCAGGGCATTGACTTCTTCGCCTCCAAGGTCGAGCTCGGCCCCAACGGTGTCGAGAAGATCCTGCCTGTTGGCCAGGTCGACGCCACCGAGGAGAAGCTCCTCGAGGCCTGCCTCGGTGACCTCAAGAAGAACATTGAGAAGGGTGTTGCCTTTGTCGCCTCCAACCCCGGCAAATAAGCGCGCTTAGTCTACCCCTTTGAGATGAATTGGCTTAGGACGAACCAAGAAAAAAACAAATCAAGAGAGAGTTCCGCATGGGACGTCAGTCTTTTTCCTGGCTTGGAGTTGTCTGGTCTCCCGGGGAAAACGTGTAATGGGGAGGATGCCCGGGCAGACTTTTGCGCGCCATCTGTACCCTTCATAGACTTGTCTTGATGTGACTATGTAATGAACGAGCTAGGTAGTGTAAGATACGAGATTGACGATTGCCCATGTTTATTAGGGTGGTCCAATTTGTTTGTGAGTTGAGCTATGCATCGCGCGAATGAGTTCAATTCATGTTGTTCCAGTCTGGTTCTGGTGTGAATTTTGAGGACACATGTCCGACTTCATGTGCGCTGGAAATGAGTGGCATGCTCAGCCTCGTTCGCGGTCGTGCTCCAGTCGTCATCTAATGGGCCCGGGCCCCGTAGCAACGAAATGAGGGTGAGTCACCTGAGCTCAAGATGAAAGACACGTTGGAAGTTCCCAATGGAAGGAGAACAGAGTTTTGTCAGCAAAGTGAATGCACAGCCCCGAGGTCTAATCTCGAGAACGCCGTTTCTGAAAGTAACAGAGCCGCAGGAGGGTTTCTTTCCACGTGGCAATTCAGACTGGAGCACGGGCTCGTCTACCCTGCCTGGGCAATCAAATTGGCGGCGGTGACCATGCTGCTGACGATATATGAAGAGAACATACTCCTTTCCTTGTAGACTCTCAGAAAACATTGGTGCTCAGAACGAAACACCAGGTCATTAGCCACAGTATCAGCCGTTTTGTAGTGCTGCTTCAAGCAAAGTTGCACGCTGACGACGGGGTGTGTCTCCACTGTCCTCCGCGCTCGATCCGGAGCCAAAGCCGAGCCACTACTGTACGCTTAGCTGCCCTGGTCTGCACTGCACTGCAACTGCACCTCATCCCATCTTATCTCATCCACTCACTGGCTCAGACTCAACGGTGCTGCGCGTCGATCCCGGCTTACACCAATGCTCTGATTCTCGGGTAAAGTGTCCGAGAAGATATACGCAACGCAAGAATTTGGCAGCCCAGTCACTTATCGAATTCGATCATCAAGACGCATCGAAACCGCCGGATCTGCTTGCGTACGTACGTGCAAGTGGCTGCAGATCTCTACCGGTAGTACACTTCGCCAGTCACTCCCGTCCTCTGACCACGACACGTCGACCACCTGTCAGCCAGCAATAAGGCCAGGAGTATCTAGTCGGTGTCTCGTGCGAAATCCTTCGGCTCCCAGGCACACGAGGGACGCCTCACACTCCGACATCTCACTCTCACTCACTAGCTTGCCTCCTCGGCGAGCAACCGACGACGATCCCTGCTTTTGAAGATCGAGAGCTGAGATATCGAACCACCAACTGCCTTTCTCCCTTTGTGGCAGACAGACAGAGCTGGTCAGTTGCGCTACGAGAAGCTTCCGTTTTGAAAGGAGCGACAGACCTCCAACCCGGCCAAACTCACGATTTGGCCACGCCCAGACGCTCGCCATGTCTCGACCACAAGCAGCCGCGCCAGGCACATCAGCAGGCGGCGTTGTCGTCTTTGGCGGCGGCACCGCGACGAACAGCCTCGTCGACGTGTTTGAATCGCTGCGCGCGACGAGCAGCAGCCTCAGGGGAGCGCGGGGATCTTCGGGGCAGTGCACGCTGAGCTATGTGATTCCCATCAGTGATAACGGCGGCAGCTCTTCGGAGCTCATCAGAGTGTTTGGGGGTCCTGGTACGTTGCGTTTTTTTTCCCCTGGTCGCCTTCAATTTGCCTTTCCAACCTTGTGTAACTTTGTGTGCGACGGGTTGGGTTGCTCGTTGTCAGGCGCAACCCCCCTCCCCTTTGAAGGCAGATAACTGACTTAATCGACACGGCCAGGTATTGGTGATGTGAGAAGTAAGTCGAGCTGCTGGCACGTTGTGTTTGGATACAGAGTTCCCCAATATCTCTTGTGAAATGCTGAGAGCACCCAACGCCATCAGAGTAGAGATACGCGCCGGTCTACCATCAGACACAACCATTGTGTTGTTCCCGCTGACATCATCTAACAGGCCGTCTCGTCCGATTGATCCCGGACTCGGATACAGACCCGGAGCGCGCCTCACTCAAAGAACTCTTCAACCACCGACTCCCAGAAGACCACGCTCTCGCCCGCTCAGAGTGGCTCGACATCGTCGAGTCCCGCCACCCACTCTGGGGCCCGTCCACCACCAGCACCTCCTCCTCCTCATCGCAGGCCACTCCTGGATCGACCGGGTATCCCGCGGGCAGCGGCGGTATATCCTCCGAGAAGCGGGAGCTCATCCGCAGCATCTTCAACATTGTCAACATGGAGATTGTCAAGCGCGCGCGACCCTCGTCCGTCTTCAACTTTAGCCGCGCGAGCATCGGCAACCTGTTCCTCACGGGCGGGCGCGTCCTCACCGGTAGCCTCGAGAGCGCGGTGTACCTGCTCGCCACGATCTGCGGCGTCCCCGAGCACGTCCGGGTCGTCCCCGCGATCAACTCGAATTTCACGCACCACATCTCTGCCGGGCTGGCGAACGGGGATGTCATCACGGGGCAGAACTCCATCTCGCACCCTTCGGCGCCGACGGCGCTGCCTGACGATGGGAGCAGTCGGGGGATGATGGCTGGCGGGAATGGTGGTGGTGGTATGGACGTGGATGTGAGGGATGAGACGGCCATGTTGGACCTGATCGAGGATGCCACGCTGCCTGGGTCCTTGCCGACGTTGAGAAAGCCATACATCTCCTTCAACAAGGGCGGCGGCGCGTTGACGCCGTTGCTGTCAACCGCCGAGTCGAGCAGGCCCGGCAGCACCGGGCAACACACCCCCATCACCGGCAACGATACGACAACGCCAAATGCCGCGAGGCCCACTAGCAACGGCAGGGACACACTGGACAGCCTGACCTTCGACTTGCAAAGCACCAACATCATCACATCCTCACCCCCGCAAGAACCGCAAGACCGAGAGCCCTCCACAACCCGGGCACCACCACCACCATCATTCCTCCTCCCGGGAGGCGACCACCCTTTACCCGCCCGGATAGACCGGATCTGGTACATCAACCCGTACGGGCACGAGATCTGGCCGCCCGCGAACCCCAAAGTCACGCAGACCATCCTGCACAGCGCGTCGACCGTCATCTACAGCATCGGCTCGCTGTACACGTCCATCGTCCCGTCCCTCGTGCTGCGCGGGGTCGGCGCCGCGCTGGCCAGCTCCCGCACGGCCCGGCACAAGATCCTGATTCTGAACTCGAGCCTTGACCGGGAGACGAGCGGGCGGCCGTTCCGGGCGAAGGCAAGGCTGGCAGAAGCAGAAGCAGACGCAGCAGCAGCAACGGAGAAGGGACATGCCGCGGCACATGGCCAGGGCCCTGATGACCAGAGCTATGGTACAGATCATACGGGAGGAGGAGGAGGAGAAGGACAGGCGGGGCCAGAAGACGAGGACTTCACCGCCGCAGACTTCATCCGCGCCATCGTGCGCGCCTGCGTGCAGAGCCAGGGAGAGCTGCCCGCCCGCATGGCGCGGCGGTCCTCGCTGTCCTACAAGGTCCGCCAGCAACAGCAGCCGCCTGCTTCTTCTTCTGCTGCTGCTCTCTCGCGCACTTCCGCTCCGCCTGGCGGCTCGGAAGATCCTACGTCGTCAAGTACCCGAGATGGCCATCGCCCTGCTGCCGCTGCTGCTACCGCCGCCGCGCCACACCGGACCAGCACCAACGAAAAACACCACCAGCAGCAGGAGCCGGATGACTTATTCTTCTTTGACAACCCGGCCGTTGTGCGCCGCTACGTCACGCATCTGGTCTACCTCGAGGCTCCCGGGGCGCCGCGCGTGGACAAGAAGGTCCTTGCGGGGATGGGCGTCGAATGTGTGCGCGTGTACGGGCGGCGGGAGGGGGGACGGGTGGTGGTGGTGGTGGTGGTGGTGAAGCGGCAGCAGGTCTTCTGGCTCCAGGAGGGCAAGCACCACAACAGCAGCAGCCACAGGGACCACTGCGCTACGACATTGCCGGGCTAACCCGTGCGCTAGAGGCGATCATCGTCATGGGCGGCGGCGGTGGTGACAAGGCTGGATTTACGCGCAGTCGCCGGAACACAAGCGGGCAGTAAGCAACTAGAGGTGTTAATACAAATATCAAGGTTCGTATTGAGCCGGCATCGGACAGATCCAGGGGCGCTGCTTTTCGCCATGCTCAATTGTTGTGCCCCCTTCACGGGCTGTGATCCAGCCAAGGAGTGAAAAGGCCGGGCATCAAACAAACATACAACTCCCGGGCCGGCCTGATGTTACGGTGGACTGTGCGACAGCACAATACTACCCATGTCCGGTCCAGAACAGTCCTGGCGAGGTTTCTGCCTCCGCGGATGGACCAGTCACTTGTTTCATGCTGACCTCGTAAGGGACACGGGGTCGCCGAGCCAATGCCTTGTTCCCGGCTCTTAGACCGCACAGGACCAGTGGTGGGCTGCTCCCGCACACCAGGAACATGTTATGTGCATCATTCGGACATATTCACCTCTTGCAACAACATTGCTAGCGGCATACGGAGGTCCTCACCCGTGGTGCTTGCCGATATTGTTGGGGGTGCAGCTCGTAACACAACATCGTCCCATTCGGGTGTCGTGCAGAGCTTCATGTCAAACAACTGCCCAATGACAAATAAGGATTCTGTCCACTGTGAGATTTCTGGCCTCCATGTTGTCGCGCTGCGGAGTCATCGGATCTAAAGCAGTGTGCGACATGGGTTGGTATTCCAAATTGCCCATGCCCTCGTGGTGCGCGTGTGCGCGGTACCTATCATCGTCTTCCGTCGGATTGTCTCGTCCCAAGAGATGTGAGCCAAGGTGGCTGCGGGAGACATCGTCCTACTACCACTTCAAACACTGGGCGGAGGAGATAAGCTGATCAGAGACTCGAAGCGGGAACCAGCCAGCCCGACTTCTGGAGCCTGGTTTGGGTTGAAACGACAAATGAATTATAAGAAGGTCTCAGCATCAGCGGAGAGCTCCAAGTCAAGCATACTTGCGGCGTGACAACATAGAGCAGGCGTGAATTACGATTGTGCTCGTCCCTGTCTTCCAACCTAGTACTTGTACCCGATGACATCCTCCCACTCATCGCCGGCCGAGTTGATGCCCATTTGCTCACTTATAATTATGAAGCTGGAAGTCGCGCAACATGTTGGGCTCTCGAGTGCTGAAGCAAGGCGCACTACCCTCTTCGGCCTCTGCCCGCTTAAGCTGCGTGTTCTTAGAAATGATTATGCAGGGCTCTCTCACCCCAACTGCTCCTTCGCGTCTGGATCATTGGTATCAATTGGAGACGATGCCCGCCATGCCACCCTGCGGCGCCGGCTACAGGGGGCTATCGGCGGCCAGCATCGTCAGCCGCCGGGACTCGGCACCCCGGGCGGCCCGCTTGGAGCACACCAGCTTCCGCCCAAGGGACCATCGTCGTATGCAAAATGCGCCTCGAGAGCCTTGCAGTGAGCCATTGGATGACTCGACTGGCCTAGCGACGCAAGAGCTGTGGCTTCGATTGGTGGGCCTACCTGCTGCGTATGGTCTCGAGATTCGCAGAGAAACGACTGCCAAGGAAGGTGAGACACCCATGTCGTTGGCAGGGCGTGCCGACTCAGAGGACCCAGCGGCGCCGGTGCCGGCGCGGAGCGGCGATTCAGCTGCGCGGGGAATTGGGCATGTGTCACGGGTCGGTGACTCGAGGCGGACCCTCGAGTGTTCCGAGGGTCCATTTTGGAGATAAGGCATCTCGACGGCCGGGGCACAAAGCACAGGAGGTCAGAACATCGTGGGGTCTACATATCTAGACCTCACCACCGCATCCAGATAGCTTGGCATCATCACTTCTCAGGCCAACACCACTGCATCTCAGTACCACTTGATCAACATGGGAGCAACAGAGAACGACGCCCAGGCTACGCTGCCTATCCGCCCAGCGCCGGCAGCCGCCAATGGCAGCTCGCCAGCAACCTTCGGCCCATCCTTGTTGGGGCAATTTCCCTTTGATCCAGAATACCGCAATATGAACCATGGTCCGTAGCACGAAAATCGTACCTATCACCCGTCCCTCCGCTATTTAGCGTCACTAACTGGATGCCCACCATTTAGGCTCCTTTGGGTCTATCCCAAAAGCCATACAAGCCAAGCTCCGCGACTATCAAGACCAGGCCGAGGCCAAGCCTGACAAGTTCATCCGCTTCACTGGCCCGCAGCTTCGCGACGAGTCCCGAGCCGCCGTAGCAAAAGTCCTGAATGCTCCCACAGACACCGTGGTTCTTGTAAGACCACCTTGGCTTGGCTTTACGCCAGCCTCCCTCTCCCACACCAAACCTACCTACCTCGGAACCACGCAATCCTGACCCAGACAACAACAACAACAGGTTTCCAACGCCACGACGGCACTCAACGTCGTCTTGCGCAACTTGACGTGGAACCCCGACGGCAAGGACGAGATCCTCTACTTCCAGACCATCTACGGCGCGTGCGGCAAGACAGTCGACTACATTGTCGACACCAACAACGGCAACGTCTCGTCGCGCTGCATCACCATCACCTACCCGGCCGAGGATGACGAGATTGTCGAGCTGTTCCGCGCCGCCGTCAAGACCTCGACCGAGCAGGACCACAAGCGGCCGCGGGTCTGCATCATCGACTCCGTCTCCAGCCTGCCCGGCGTGCGCTTCCCCTGGGAGGCCGTGACCGGCGCCTGCCGCGAGCTCGGCGTGCTCAGCCTCGTCGACGGCGCCCAGGGCATCGGCATGATCGACATCGACCTCGCGGCCGCGGACCCGGACTTCTTCCTGTCAAACTGCCACAAGTGGCTGCACACCCCGCGCGGCTGCGCCGTCCTCTACGTGCCGCTCCGCAACCAGCACCTCATGGTGTCCACCCTACCCACCTCGCACGGCTACATCCCAAAGTCTGCGGCCGGTGGCCCGCGGGCCAACCCGCTGCCCAAGAGCGCGGCAGCAAAGTCGGCCTTTGTCAGCAACTTTGAGTTCAGCGGCACCATCGACAACTCGCCGTACTACTGCATCCAGGACGCCGTGCGCTGGCGCGAGCAGACCCTTGGCGGCGAGGCCGCCGTCATCAGGTACTGCGAGGACCTGGCGCGCGCGGGCGGCCTGCGCATCGCCGAGATGCTGGGCACAAAGGTCCTCGACAACAAGAGCAGGAGCCTGTCGCGCTGCGCAATGACAAACGTATGCCTCCCCGTAAAGGTGGTCGACTCTGCCTCCGCCTCTGCCACTGCCGCCGCCGATGACACCGCCACCGTCACCGTCCCCGCCCAAGACGTCCCGCTCGTCCTGCAGTGGATCCAGCACGAGCTGCCCCACGCCTACGGCACCTTTGTCCCCGTCTACCTCTTCCAGGGCGAGATCTGGACCCGCGTGTCGGCCCAGGTGTATCTCGACCTCGCCGACTTTGAGTGGCTGGCCGAGAGGCTGCGCGAGATCGTCGCGCGGGTCAGCAAGGGCGACTACAAGGCCTAGCTACGCTACGTACCCACTCAGGTGGACAGCCGGGCATCGTTCCAGGACCTCTATGCGCAGACGAGTGATACTTTTGTTGAAATGAGAGGTTTTTTTTTATTTTTTTTATTTTTATTTTTTTGAAATAACGTAATCCACAAGTGGGTGAATCACACAAGTGGATGAATCAGTTATCGGGTACTCGTACGACAATGTATAAGTCAATTCAACCACAACGCCTCAAATCAATTCAAACTATTCGGAATCCTCTTCTTCAGAGGCAGATATAACTTTCTGACACGTACGAGCATTATGCCCGGGCTCGCCGCAGACGCCACATCGTCGCGCGCGCATTTCGGGCCTCCTCGTACGACCACTATTCTGACTCGTTTCCGCTATTAACTGCTGCGTCGCATCGATTTGAGCCTTCAAATCCTTTGCCTGATCAATTGTGAGGGACCCTCCTTTCTGTAGCTGCTTTCTTTTCGTACGACGACGGCGGCTGAGGCGGTCGTTTGCATCTCGAAGTTCGGCGATTTCTTGGCGCATAAGGTCCTGCTCGTGCACCATCATTATAACTCCTTTTCCTAGCTGTCGTAGGCCCTGAACAATGGACGACGGAGAGCTATTCTGGTGTCGTACGATACGATTTTCAATATACTTCGTCTGCGATTCGGTCTCAATTGGGTTGTTCGGCGTCTTTGAAACCCATGGGGGTGGTAGTCCAGCAGAGGAACCTGGCGGTGTCGGCGTATGAAACTTCACATCTAGCTGCGAAATCACATAATTCGGGTCGTACGGTACTAGGCCTGTCGCTCTGAAGCCTGCCTGGATGTTTGATTTGGTCATTGCAGTGTCGTACGCCTTATAAAAGGCTGGGAGGAAGTCCTCCTTTGAAACGTGGGTTACGTGCGCCCGCATTAGACCTTCGATTTCTTTACCGTACGCCCGTTTCAGAGGTCCAAAACACCCAACATCGAGAGGCTGGAGCTTATGCGACGAATGAGCAGGCATACAGAGCGTAACAATATTCTGTTCCTTGCAGTAGAGCTCGAAATCGACGGAATGGTGGCTCTCGTGGCCGTCGAGGATAAGGAGGCGGTGGGTACCCTTCGTACGACTCTTTGTATGGAAATCAAAGTGTTTTACCCATTCTAGGCCTCTCTCGTTCGTCGTCCAACCGTTTTCTGAAAGCGCGATTACCCAGTTGGCCGGTAGAGGGCTATTCGCGGTCCAGGAGTCGAGGTGGACCTTCCCGGCGAAGATAATGTACGGCGGGATTGAATAGCCGTACGACGCGATACCCTGGATTACTGTAACCCATTCCTGATTGCCTTGTTGTACGGCTCTTGGCCTCCCGCGTCGATCGGAGGTCGTAACGACAGTTTCGGCGGAGATTTTACCCATCGCGAAGCCCGTTTCGTCGAAGTTGTAGATATCGTCATCGTGGATCCCGTATTTCGCGATTATGTTTTGTACGAGCTCAAACCACGCGCGATACGCGTCTGGATCTTCGCAGAGGACTCTCTGGTAGTCGATTCTTCGATTAAAACGCGTACGGAGCTCTGATCGTCGTCGTACGAAGTTTGAGGCCCAGTTCGTTCCGACGCGTGGCGCGTCGCGCACGCGGAGGAGTCGATCCGCCATTTCTCGAACACCACCTAACCGCGGTGGAAACGATCGCGAATCTAGGTCGATTATATATCATACGATACTGTCCTCTTCGTACGAGGTCAATTTCTGGCAAGGTGGTCGGATATCTTGTTGCGCAGGTCGGCCGTGTTGTCGACGTTGGAGGGTTGAGAAGGATACATTATAGATCTGTGCAGCCTTTCGTACGCTCAATTCTGGGTTCGATTGAAGCGCATTTAGCGCGAGAACTAAATCGCTTTTATTTGATTGTCGTACCATAATTATTGGTGGAGAAAAGGGGGAAAGAAGACAGCCTGTACGAAAGTGGCGGGGGACTGATTCATCCACTTGTGTGATTCACCCACTTGTGGATTACGTTAGTGTGAAAAGCTGTACGGAGAGCCACGGCTGATGCGTAGTGCGTCTATTTTGAATGATATCAAGGTTTCGTGGACTCTTATTCATAATATGCTCGTATCGTGATAATGGAACTGCTGCTCTGACTGATTGGTTCATGGCTTGCTAGTAGTTGATGGCACGGAGGCATCTCCATGCGAGTACTTCACACAAGTCACGCGGCCAGGAATGGCATTGCAAAATGGCAGTGAGCGTATCCCTCACTCAGAGAGACACAAGTAGAATAATCTCAAGAATTATTCTCAAAACTCTACCCACACCCAGGCTCGTCGTCCAGTGCATTCCCCTTGATGTCTTCTCGTGGCGCTTGCCCGCCGTACGCGCCCCCGTCGAGGATGACGCCCTCGTTGTTATCGAGGTCATCCTGCACTCTGCGCCACCGCTTCGCCCGATCCTTGCGGCCTTCCAGCTCGAGACCTTTGCCCTTGCCATTCTCGTCGCCGCCCTCGTTGATATTGAGCACAGGCTTGAGCATGGGCTTGATCAGCCCCCCGAGGAGCGGGTTCCTGCTGAAAGTCCCTGCGCCGGCTCCACGATTGCCCGACGTTTCGGCCAGAGCAGTGCCAGCGGCCGGCTCTTCGTCAGAGTCTGGTGTCTTGGGTCGCTCGATGGCGGCCATCTTGCGTACCACCTTGCCGCCCACGAGATCGATACTGAGCACCTGCTGCCGCTTCTCATATTCGGGCCGTGCGTTCCACTCCAACTCCCGCATGATCTTCTGCTGCCGCTTCAGCTCGCGCGCGCGGTCCTCGGGGCTCGCCCAGATGTTTCCTCCGTACCCTTGCCCGGCGAGCACGCCGCTGACGTCAAAGTCTGCGGCCTCGTCGCGGACCGTGGTGCGCTGGGCGTTCTGTGCCTGGAAGGTCAGCAGGCGGTCTCTGTTCTCTAGAGCGCGCTTCTCAGCGTCGCTGCTGCCAGAGAGCGGGCCGCCTTCCCGGGGTCGCGTGAAGGGCGCAGGAGCCTTGGAGACGTCTGGTCGGCGGTGGGCCTCGCGGTCTGCGGCCATCTTCTCACGCCCGCGCTCGGCTTTGAGTTCGCGAATCATGAGCTGCACCTCGGCCGAGCTCAGGAGTGGGGTGCCGCAAAAGGTACATGGCCCGAGGCCTTCCTTGACGCAGATGACTTTGCCGCAGCTCATACAGTTTGGCGCTGCGGCGAGCAAGGGGTGCCTCGCAGCGACGCAGTTGCATCTCCTGCTGGCATCGTCAGTCGCTTGCGTGGGATTTGTGGTCATCTCGAGCTTGCGAATGGCTGAGTCGAGGTCTGTGAGGGCTGTAGAAGCACCGTGCATGGCTGTGCCGCCGGCAATGGTGATTTTTGTCTTGGGCCCCGGCGTTGATGTTCGCGAGACTGGGTTTGACTTTGCCTTGGACTTTGGCATGTCTGATATGAGATGGCCAGCAGCCGAAGGTGGTGCTCTTGGCGGCGGAGGCGTGGCCGACTTTGGAGGTTGAGGAGACTGCTGCTGCTGCTGCTGCTGCTGCTGCTGCTGTGGTCTGGACGTCGAAGCACCTTGCGATGGGACGGCCGGGCTGGCCCGCCGCGGCATGTAGTCATCTTGCAGGCTCTTTTTGTTGTAGGCGGTGCCGGGCGCAGGCCCAAGGTCGGCGACTTGACGCGGCGCCGGTGTGTGTATCTGCGGCTTCTTCTTCTTGCCTGTTCTGCGTGGAGGCCTGGGCACGCCATCTGTGTCTGAGGGCGGGTTGCTGGACTGTGGCGTCAGTGACTTTGGGTCCTGCCTCCTCGCGTTGAACGAGGAGATGAAGTCGACCGCCTCGGGAGAGTCACCGAGGAGGTTACGGAAGTGCTCGACGGCCTCGAGCTTGGAGAGGGTCGAGGCATAGTCAAGGACCTGCTTGAGCTCCTCTTCAGGCAGCGGGAGGAGCCTCGCGAGCTGAGTCGTGGACATGGCTTCTCGCAGGCTGCGACGTCGTCAACGGTACTGCACGGATCAAGCCACAACAAGGACAATATAATCAACTGCTTGCTTCAGAAGCTGCAGATGCGTGCCATGGAAGTGGTGGTTGCTGGTTATGATGGATGCACGAGTGAGCATCTTCCCACGGCCCACTTTGCAGTGAGTGAGTGAGTGAGTGAGCACAGCATCAATGAGTCGTCCGGCGAGCCGTGGTGGGGCATGAACGGTTGACGTTGGATGTCCCCTCCATGCTGACCTAAGCTGCGCCTGCCATCCCGAAGCCAGCATCAGTGGCGCCCGTGGGGGTCCTTCCAGCAGCCGCGCAGTCCGCCCACCCATGCACGCACATACAGACACACACATTCACTCACAGACGCCAACAAGCATTGTTCCGCCACACCACCATGGAAGCCAAGACGACAGATCCAACCTGCGCGGCCAGTGCACTGCCGTCGCCAAGGACAGCCGAGCATCTTGACATGTGTAAGCCTTCATATCTCTAGCGGCCCAGCCTTCCATTGCCTGGACGCCTTGGCTTCTCTGCGAACCACGTAGCAAAGCAATGCCTTGGCAGTCACGGGTTTACCAGCGCGGGATCGCCCTCATCCACTCGTTGCAGTTGTCGAGAGGCCCCGATCGCCGCCTCCTCGCTCTAGCACAAACACGCACTGGCCTGTCTGTGGACGCGATACTTGTCAAGAACCTTCCTCGCCTGCGCCTTCCACAGCTTGACCTTTTATAATTACAAGCGCCCCGCATCCGAAGCCATCAAGAGTCGCATGTGGATGGGAGAGGAGTCGAGATCACGTCGCAAAAGGCAGCGGCGCGGCTACGCTGTTCTGTCGTCACTATTTGCGCCGAGCGACGTGAAACGGACCTCACGACTCGGTGCAGTTACAGAGCACCCCGGCTCAGGCTGGGCCGCTCCGGTCCTTCCCGAGGGCGACGTGCTGATCGAAGCGCATCTTGGGAAGAACGCTGGTGACGAGGTGGCGCTGTCGCTACCACGGTGCTGGCTTGTGCGGCGCCGCGTGTCGCGATTCATTCCGGCGGTGCCTTGGCGGATGGATTGGGCTCTGGGTTGCCTTGGCAGCGTTGGTGCCAAGCACACGGTGAGACTGCTGCAGAAGGGCCAAGTCTGGTCCGGACCCTGATGAAACGCAAGCTGTCGTGAAACAAAACAGCTTTTGCGGCGGCGGGCTGCTATTTAAATCGGCGGCGACCCGCACCGCTGGTGTCTGCGGCAACAGGGGGCTGCCCGGCCTCGAGATCGCCTACAATCTCAGACGGGCGGAGCCTCATTCCTTGGCCCGCTGCAACTACCGGCCCTGTTTGCACAGGGATTCTCTGGCGGGCTTCAATCTCCTTCAGGCTCTGCCTGCGTTGCAACGCAGCAATTCTGCGACCCACCCTACTGCGATAAGGGCCATGCCAAGCTACCACCTGTCTGTTCTCAATGCTGAACCAGCCCTTCTGTGCTTCGGTGGCAGCGGCCTGCTCCCGCACCAGCGACACACTTGCCTGGCGTCGTTGCTGCACTTGGTGCTTTGCCAGAATGCCTGGAGATTCGGCCAAGAAGACACAAACATACGTGCTGACCCTCAGATGCCTGCTGGCCAGGCGTTCCCGCGCGCATGGAGCCCCAGACATGTTGCGGCCATCCAGCCAAGCTCGCGCTCAAGCATCATAACGGGACTCGATCACAAGTGATAGGAGACGCTCGATGGAACCTCCTTGTCAGTTCTGAAGCAAGATATGCCAATAAAGTGGGGGTCCAAGATCCAGCACCAGGCAGTGAGCAGGGGTCTTTTAACGTCGAGCAGCGGACTCCTGGTCGACTAGCGTCACAGGAGAGCATACCCGCCCTCCGGCTTCCACGAGGATCGACTCCGCGCACAGAGGCCCAGAGGCCTTATTTCTGTTTGGCATGGCAGGGGAAGCTGGTCCATGCCTAAATCGAGCATGAAGCCTGGCACACCCCCATGCTCGAGCACGATTTTTTCACTGGCCAGCAAAGATTGAAACGTTTCGTTCGACGGGCCCTCGCCCAGCTAAAATTAACACTCCAGTTCTCCGTACTCCACGTCGGGTAGCCAGTATGTGCGGCGGGCCTAGACTCGAGGTGTAGACGAAGTCGACCCCCTTTATAGACTCATGCGGGCCCGCGGCCTTCCCCAGAGCCAACATCTGAAGCCTGCTCTACTCTGTTTTATTCTTCGCAACGCGGGCTCGTGGTTTCTTTCTTCAGCATAGAGACTGGGTTCTGGCAATCCGCCTCTGATGACATTTCGCACCAGTAGTCATTCTTCCATTTCCTAGTGTCACTTGTTTCTAGACCTCGCAATCACCTCCGTTCGCACTTCGCCACCTGGCGCAGGTTCGCTATCCGATTCTCGACGCTCGACTTTCTTCTCGTTCACAACACCACCTTATCCACGATGTATTCACCCAGGAGATCATTCTATAATGAGCAGGAGCTTCAGCAGCAACAACAGCAATATCAACAACAGTATCAGCCACAGCAGCAGCAGCAGATGCCGGAGATGGCCAGCTATCCCCCACAGCAGGTGCCGCAGATGGCCAACTATCCCCAGCAGCCGACTACCTACCCGGCGCCCCAGGTCCCCCTCCACTCACGGCCAGGAAGTCAACAGTCGGATCACACGCTCGAGTCCTCGGCGTCTTCGATGACAGATGTCGACCTGCATGAGAAGGGGCACGCCCATGATGTGGAGAAGGGCAAGGATCATGATCATGCTCACGGACACGGTCATGTTGATATCAACGATCCCAACAGACCGAGATACGGTTTCAAGCAGCGGTTACATCACTTCACATGGGCGTGGTTCACCACGTCCATGAGTACGGGAGGTCTCGCGCTTCTCATTTTTGCTCAGCCTTTCCAGTTCCCCGGTCTTCGACAGATCGGCCTCGCCGTGTACATCATCAACATCATCATCTTCACCATTCTCAATGCCTGTTTAATAGCTCGTTTCATCATCCACACCGGCGACCTCACCGCTTCGATCACACACCCTCGCGAGGGCTTCTTTGTCCCGACCTACTTTCTTTCCCTGGCCACGCTCATCACCAGCACTCAACGATATGCCATTCCTGATAACGACACCAACCTCGTCTGGGCAATCAAGACCGCCTTCTGGGGATATGTCACCATCAGTCTCCTCCTGGCTATCGGGCAGTTCAGCTACGTTTTCTCTGCACACAGCTTCGGCCTCCACACCATGATGCCGACCTGGATTCTGCCAATCTTCCCCATCATGCTGTCGGGCACCATCGCCTCCGTCATCGCCGAGACGCAGCCTGCCATCGACGCTCTTCCAATCATAGTCGCAGGTCTCACTTGCCAAGGTCTCGGTATCTCGGTGGCATTCATGATGTACGCACACATGATTGGACGTTTGATGCAAGCTGGTAAGTGCAACTTCTATTGGCCCACGTACCACACCTACAAAGCTAACCACTCTTCCTCTCTAGGTCTTCCCAACAGAGAGCATCGCCCTGGTCTGTACATGAACGTCGGCCCGCCTGCCTTCACGGCCCTCGCCCTCATCGGCATGGCCAACGGCCTGCCCGACGAGTTCGACATGCAAGTCGCGGGCATCAGCGCGAAGCCCCTGATCCAAGTCTGGGCCCTGGTCGCTGCCATCTTCCTCTGGGCTCTGGCCCTGTGGTGGTTCGGTGTCGCCACTGTCGCGGTGATCCGCTCTCCCCCCAAGTACTTCCACCTGGGCTGGTGGGCCATGGTCTTCCCCAACACGGGCTGGGTCCTGGCCACCATCACGATCGGCAAGGCCCTGGGCAACGACGGCGTGCTGTACGTCGCCACGGGCATGTCGGTCGTCCTGCTCATCATGTTCTTCTTTGTCGGGTACCACCTCATCCGTGCCGTCAAGATCCAGGACATCATGTACCCCGGCCGCGACGAGGATGTTAATGACCACTGAGCGGTGGCGGCACTTGCTCACAGCAGCGCGAAACTCGATCACTCGTGTCGCGCTCTCGGACCGGTGCTGCTGCTACCGCCGCCGCTGTTGGACTGTTGTTGTGGTGATGATGATGACGGTGGTGTGGATTGCATTCTGGAGCCTGCGCGTTCCCTGTCTTACAACTCTTAGATCTTTTAAAACCCATTGCGAAAAAAAACTTAAAAAAAGAAAAAAATTTGTGCGGAAATACCAACTTCTATTCAGTCGTTACTGGCAAACCTGACCATGCGAGAGCATGCTTCTGAATACGGTACCCTTCCATGTGATCGATGTGTGGACGTGATACCGAAGGTGTGGCAGCGTTCTTAATAAGAATGATAGGCAGAGGACAGTGAGGCAGAGAAGTCCGCTGGAATTCCCACACATTGAAATTATCACACAAGCCACAACAAAAGCAGCTTTCTACATGGGAGAAACGCAGAGAGTACCCCCTTAGATTATCTCAGGATTCAACGCTTCCGAAATCGGTCTCCTACTCGACTTCATACTTTTCCTCTTATTATTCAAGTCGGCCCTAGACGCCATCCTTGCACCTTGACTTGAGCTTCTGCGCAACAGCCATAACCCGTTGTTCACGGCACGTTCCGCGTGTAGTAGTGCTGATAGGCACGGTGGATCTGTGGGTTGGGTTGGGACCTGACTCGCTTGATGCACGCCACGCCACGTCGGCCAGATCAGCCGAGCCCGGATCTGGATTGCAGGGGGGTACACGGAAGTTCTGCCTCGACCGCCAGCCGGACAGGGGGGAAGGTTTCGTGCAGATATAGATAGTTGCCGACGGCCGCCACCACCACCACTCATCTCGTGTTGGCCTTCACAATATTGGTGCCCTCTGAAAGTCCAGCTGCTTCTGGGAATGGTCAAGACTGCGTGCCAGTACCTTGCAAATGGCATTGCAATCGTCGGCATGGGTATGCCTAGTGGCCAGCTCGCCCCTATGCGCCGGCCCTCAACCCCTTCCCGCCGCAACGACTTCCACTGAAGGCTGACACAATTAAGTTCAATTGAGCTGTGCTTTGCTTTCATGTTAGGTTGGCAGTGCTGGCATATAGAACATGTGTGTCGTCGGGGTATCTCCTGTTCGGATGGTTTACTGGCGTGCCGGACAGAGGCTTATAGCAGTGAGATATAAGCACCCTCTTGGCTTGATCGATTTCGACTGGATAGAGTCGTGATCATAGACGGCTGGCATGCTTCCTTGGTATGGGCTCGGTCTTTTGATTTAACATTCTAACATGCCCTGTACTTTACGATCACGATGTTGAAAATGGCTTGGGCCATCTGTAGATGACAGGCTATCGCAATACTTCCACATACTTACAGTCTTAGTGGCTGTGCCATCTGCGTCCTTATCTTGGTCGGTTTGCTCGCATCGCTTAAGCGCAAGAGCCATATGTCATGCACGGGAGGCCAGGCATGACGTATAGCGATCTGTCAGGTACAAAGGAAGCGCAGCCTGAGGGGGCGAGCCACTGTCCAGTCCCGGAGAAAGCCGACCGTCCCCCACGTCATGCCCGCAGCCGCCCAGCGGCTTTTCTTAAATCCGCTGTCTGCTTTCAGGCGCCGCTCTCCCATTGGGCGAGCCAGGGCAAGTTTATGGGCGGCGCTGGCTCCAGCTGTTTAGTGTATTGCTCTGAACACGATCAAATCTGATAACTTAAAGAATACGAAGCTCAGCACCAAGCATTTCTCCAGGGCATTTCCCGCCTCTGTCCCCACAGCCCGCCTCCACAATCAGGCGATGCATCAAGGCCTTCGGGCGTCGGGGTTAGGCGGGGGGCCGGGTTGCTGGTAATTCGGCCTTATCCAGGGACCATCAGTCCCACAAAAGTTGCACTTTTCCCAAGGCGCATCGCATGTTTTCTGCGGCCGCCGCTTTACTGCTTACGCTGAGGCAGCAGCAACGCAGCATCTCAGCCCAGAACCCCTGGGCAAAGACCTAGTCGGCTGCTGGCGCCATGTGGCCGCGGCGGCGGCAAGCCCTTTTCCTTACCGCGACTCTTTGGCCCACATGCGACGGCTGTGCAGGGCTCAGATAAGCTCCGCTTGGCGGCTGATGCCGAAAGGAAAGGACGACTAAGCTAATCCAGGAACAACGATTGTGGCCGTCTACGATCCCATCGGGGTCGAAGTCGCGTAAGCTTCTTAGCCCGCAAACATGATGCCACGTACGAGCGGACAACTGCACCGAGCTTTTTCAGCCGGAATCTCCTGTAGATTTCTGGTGTAAACGCTCCGTCGACGGGCTGCGTTGGAAAGACAGAGAGGCATTTCTAAAAAGAATCCGGGTGTTGCGCAGTTATGCCCGCACACCTCCAGAGTCCTGACCAATGCCCTACCATGAGATATCTATGCGCAAAGTGCAGCTTTTGGGCAGGCTATTGGTTCGGCCCCCCCAAAGCCGGCCGCCCTCCCTGCAGGGTCAGCCTGACCAGCTTGACTGATTTTCCATTGCCGCCAAGTTATTTCTCGTGGGTGCCTTGTGAGGCGGAAAAGCCCATCAGCGTCATCAACATCATCATCACAGAGGCCGCCAGCTGCACGAGGCGTGGCGTGTGGGTTACTTTCAAGAATCCGGACTGAACCCGTGACTGTGCCGAGTGCAAAAGGAAAAAAGCCAATCGGCGATATTGAGCACTCGGTATGCCCCCAAGTAGAAACCAGACAACCCTGCAATAGGCATGGGCGTGATGTCTGCGCGTCCTCTCGTTCAAGCACCAATAGGATGCTTCTCAACTCGTTGACTTCTATTGGTCCTTGGAATGCGAGGGCTCTTTGGCACTCTTTCCGCAGGTGTGCTGCGGTTTCATTCATCACAGGAATAGGGAACTTGGGCCGGGGTAACCCCATGGAGACACCCGCATGGTGACATACCGGGACGACACTGGATTGGCGGGCTTGCTGAATGGTGGGTCATTTTATACGTTATCTGCAGCTGAGTATCCTTGGCTCTTCACTTGGCTCTTCACTTGGCTCTTCGCTTGGCTACTATTTCGAGATGAGAAGAGCATGAAGAAGACCCGAGTTCGACAGCACCGTGCACTAGTCGTCGCACTTCCGTTCCCGTGAGTTTCCGTCTATCACTTTCCCAAAACGAGCACAAATGAGGCAAGGTTGTTCTAACCTGAGTAGCGGCCAAGGGGAAGGGTCAGTACACCTGGGAAATGAAGGTGATAACTGATTTTGTTGCCTATCTGGCGCAGATTCTTGAAGGTTCCCGTTCCGAATGTGCGATGGCGGTGAGCTGACAACGCCAAACACTTCTGGATTGTGCCACCGACGTCAGATTCGGCGTGCCTGCGAAGCACGTGTTTCAACATCTTGCTAACTGTGGAACTGCCAAAGAAGGATCTGAGGGACGCGTCACTGCGGATAAGAATTTCAAGGATATGCGCAATGTACAGTCGGAACCGGCAGCCAGGGATTGTGCTGACAACCGGCGGCCGAACGTCCAATCCCCGAGTGGCACGAAGAGGCCACCGAGATTGTGGCTTGCATCAAATCCACGCTGCCGTAATTTTTCCATTCTCGGGTACAAGCGATTCCACGGTCGTGGGTCATTATCACTTTCTAGCACATTGACACCCCCCTCCGCCCCCTTTCCCCCGTCAGCAAAGCAAACGAGGCTGGCAACCCTATACGCATGCATGTGTATGCTACTGCCAGGGGTTCAGCAACTTCTACAAAGCCCGCTGAGCAAAGCCCACCCATGGTCTGCTCAGCCTCCATCTTTGCACACGCTGCCCACCTCGCTAGTAAGGGGTAGTCGGCAACTTTCGCTGGAGCCTAACAGTAATAGCATGCGTTGTGGGCCGCGCCGTCCAGGAACAGCCAGCACGAAGCGGTACTCACCGGTACCCTTGATTCGTATGCATCCTCTACCTACCCACTGCTGGATGCGGCACGTGGAGGAGGTGGCGGAAATCTGCAAAGCACGCCAAGCAAACATGCATTTCTGTGTAGGGCCCTGGCGAACGGGCTAATCCCGAGCTGACAGCCTTATAAGGAGGACGCGTCCCTCCAGCCGATAGACACCTTGTCGGTGGTTGTTTGTCATGTCACACACCAACCAGCAGTTTACTGATACCTGATCTTGACAATCCGTCCCGACGGACACGACAGACAGGCAGTTTTATTTCCCCAGTGAGAACTGCAAGGAGACTAGGCAGTATCCTAAATCCAACAACCAGCCTTGAAGACCACTCTAGCCTCGACACATCCGCCTCTATAGAAAAGAGACGTGCCGCGAACCACGAACAAGGCGACTACCGAACAACTGGCTGCCGGCGCCTGACCACGAATACCACTACAAAAGAACCCTGAACGGCAGAGTCGTCTCTGGTGCAACGGCACGGGCAGCAGACTGGGCACGACTGACCGCCAGCGGCGGCACGCGACGACCCGCAGAAGCAACCACGACGGGAAGCTAGCCAGCTTCTGTATAGTCGGAAGCTATAGGCTGCTGACTACTAGCCAGTCACGGGGGCGAGCGTCTGGCTGACTCTGAACCGGCAGACACGTGCCTAGGCCTGTTCCTGGCGGAAGAGGGCGCTAGTGCCGAAACCTTGGAAACCTGGGACAGACCCCTGGGCAGCCGCTGATTGGGCCGAGGAGCAGAATCGCGGGGAAGTGGTGGGCTGCGATTGGCGACGAGCGCTCCACCGGGCCAGGCCACGCGACGGGCCTGTGACGTCGACGGGGCACGTGGGGAAAGGCGTGATGGCGACGACTCAGGCGCCTGCCGCGCCTCCGTCAGACGGCGAGCCCTCGTGCTCAAATAGCATCCCCTCGCCCGCGCCGGCAGCTCGCTTACCGCCTCCCGCTCCGGCCCTGGGGATCGTCGTCGTCGCTCAGGCACCGCTCCGGCCACGGCTGCTCCACCCTTTGCAACTCTCCGTCGCCTCCCGCCTGCGCTCCCGCCCGTCCCTCTGGTCCCGCATCATGGGTCGCAGTAACCATGTCGTCAACTATGGGGCCATCCCCTCCTCCTCATCTTCCGCCTCGTATGGGGGGTCACCTGCGTCCAGCGTCCGCTCCTCCCTTATCGCAAGCGCCCAGCATGACGGCAGCAGCATCCCTCGCGCCGGTGTGACGCCGCACCACCACCGCCCCAGCTATAGCAACCTCGACCGCTATATCAGGGAGAAGGACTGCCACCTCTGCAAGCCCTTCGCCGCCCGCTGGTCTGCCTTCCGCGCCTCAGACTCGTTCCGCATCGTCCATATCGGCACCATGCTCCTCGTCCTCGCTGCCACCACTTGTGGCCTCTTCTTCTCCTTCGGCACCTCCGCCCCGATTGAGCCCCTCGGTCCTGGCGGCACCCCCTTCCTCCTCGACAAGAGCCAGTACTTCAGCCACTCGTTCCTCGAGACCGAGATCCCCTACATCGACATCCCCGATCAGCTGATCAAGGATGTCTACTACTACCGCTGGACCTCGCTCGAGCGCAACCTGCGCTACACCACCCAGGGCACGGGCTACATGACGACCGAGTTTGTCCAGCCCGTCTGGTACGCCCAGGCCTTTGGCACCATCAATGCCGCGGCTGGCCACCACCTCGACGAGGCAAAGTGGCTCCGCAGTCCCAAGTACACCGACGACTACTTCCAGCTCTACGCCCGCGGCCCCGCCAACTCGACCCAGTATACGGAATGGATCCTGCACGCCGCCGAGCGCAAGGCCCTCGTCTCCGGCGACAAGGCCTTCCTGGCCGCCCACCTCGACGACCTGCAGCGCGCCGTCCACGAGTGGGACAAGGTCCTTGACAAGGACGTGGGCCTGTACTACTACCAGCCCGTCTGGGACGCCCAGGAGCTCTCCCTGCCTGGCTTCGTGGCGGACCCGAACAACATGGACTGGGACCTGCGCAAGGACGGCCCGGACACGTACCGCCCCAGCCACAACGCCTACATGGTGGCAAACTGCCGCGCCGTCGCACGAGCCGCCGAGTTTGCAGGCAACGCTCAGGTCCAGGCAGAGTATACCAAGATGGCAGACGACATCGAGGCGGCCATGTTCAAGCACATGTGGGACCCGAAGAAGCAGTTCTTCATGGACATTATCCGCCCCAACAACCCCAATCTTACCAGGCTCGACGGCCGCGAGCAGGTCGGAGTTTTCCCATTCAGGTTTGGCATTGGCTTGAACGAAACGTACGCGCAGCCGGCTGTAGATGCGTTGTTTGATACCCAAGGCTTCCTGACCCCATATGGTCCGCCGACGCTCGAGGTTCGGGACCCGTGGTATATGGCTGAGAAGCCGGACAGCTACTGTAAGTGGAGAGAAAGACACCGGGGCAATCAATCTCCGGGTTTTCTTGTTCTTGCTGACCTTTATGTGTGTAGGCTGCTATTGGAACGGACAGTCCTGGCCATACTCGACTAGCCACACGCTCAAGTCCCTTGCCGCCATTTACCGCTCGGGCACGACCAACCTTACATCCGACCAGTACTACCTCTACCTCAAGACGTACGCACAGACGCAGCAGAAGGATGGGCATCCCTACGTGGCCGAATCTCACTACCCGCACAAGGCCATGTGGAGTGCCGACGGTTTTAACCATTCCGAACACTATGCACACTCGACCAACAATGACGACGTCATCAGTGGCCTGCTGGGTATCGTGCCTCAGGCCGATGACACGCTCGTCATCTCCCCGATCGTGCCTTCGGACTGGAAGTGGTTTGGAATCCAGGACCTGAACTACCACGGCCATCGCGTCACTGTCCTATACGATGCCGACGGTACCCGCTACGGGAAGGGCATCGGCTTGACTGTCTTCATCGATAACGAGCAGATCTACCAGGGCCCGGACATGAAGGCGACGGTCAAGATGCCACCTCCCCGCATCCCGGACAAGGACGTGCCGGTCAACATTGCGGCAAATCCTGACGGTGTCGGGCGCTGGCCCAGAGCAGATGCCACTTACACATTCCAGGCGGACTGGAGCTACAAAGCGATCGACGGCGTGGTCTACTACGACAGCGAGCCAGATAACAGGTGGACGAACTATCAGTCGCCCAACCAAAACGATACGCTCACGGTCACCTTCCCGCGGTTCAGGAACATATCGTCGGTGACTCTGGCGGCGTTCTCGGATGTGGACAGGAACGGACAAATTGACCTGCCTTGGAAGGTCGAGGTGTGGGGTAGCACGGGCCTGCTGGCCACAGTGTCAGACTCCGACCTGGTCGCGAACGACCGTAACACAATCAGCTTCAACGAGACGGAGACGTCGTTTGTGGCTCTCAACCTGTACAACCAGCCCGGCAGGTTTGTCGGTCTTTGCGAGGTTGAGGTCTGGGTCCCACCGGCTGGATCCGTATACCACGCTGCCGACGCCCTGCTAAAGGGCGAGACAGTGGACGTGCTGCTGGAAGGTAACGTGAACGGTGTGAAGCCCAAGAGCGTCGTCGGAGCCATGGCAGCCGATAGCATCGTGTCATTCTCTGGCGTGCTCGGGCCGGCAGCAGCTGGGAGCAGCACCGTCACAATCGTCTATGCCAACGCTGGCGAGTCGACGCTCAACTTGGCGCTCGAGGTGAACCAAGTGCCGCAGGCGGTCGGCGTTGCGCTGAAGCCCACGGAAGACGGCGCGTACGCCAGTGTGGACGTGCCTGTGAAGCTGGCTTCGGGCAAGAACTTTGTGACGCTGAAGGGAGGCTCTCCGTGGATCAAACTCGACACTCTGACCGTGTCTTGAATGTGAGACGACGACGTATAGAGAACTGGAGCGATACTCTTTTTTCTTTTTCTGTATATAGGCATGGCCCTCTAGATGGGGCCGTACATATGAGCATTACATGTGAAATACTCTGGATAGCACACATGACGTTGAACGCACAACGTCCCTTGGATAAAGGTACGAATCAAGATGTCAGCCAAGATAGTATGCAACCCCTATGTGCAGCCACCAGTCGTGACCACTACCCGGGACCGGACCCTGAAAGTGCCTTCTAGAAGCACCAACGCCGCGGCCCCATAGTAAATTGCCCCTTCTGGCAAGTGGCGCGCCGCCCTTCAAGTCTTGCTCCAGGCCGCCGCGGACAATCGCAATCAGCCCGTGCCAGGTGTGCCCGGTGGCGCTAGGACAACTGAGGACACTCTGCATCCTGCATCCCCATCCACCATCCTGGTGCGGCACGTCCCTCCAGCACCACCACCACCACCACCTCTCACAACCATCGCCAGCAACGACGTGCCCCGCGACCGTCGTTGGTGTCACAATCACATCGAGCGACCCCCGTCGAGCTCGACGTCTGCATCCTCCCCGCGGGACCCTCCCTCGAGACATCTCCGGGCTGATCCGCGACAACCCAAAAGTCGGGTCTCCCCTCCGACCTGGTGGGCGGCCGCTTGTCTCGCCATGGCGCCGCTCGTCGACAACGCCCAGATCAAGAGCGCGGAGCTGCTCTCGCCGCTCCCGCTCTACCTCCACGCCTACGTCTGGCCCTTTGCCATCGCCTGGCCCATCTTCCTCCGCTACTTCCTCACGCCCGAGCTCTATGAGAAGCACATCTCGTCCTCCGAGTGGACCTTTGTCTGGTGCGGCTCCATCATCACCTTCCAGAGTCTCGCATGGCTCTGCACCAAATGGAGCGTCAACCTGCGCGCCTCCTTCACTGCCAAAAAGGCCACCACCGTCGACAATGGCAGTCTCGTCAAGGTCATCCCCATCGCCAACGCCGGCTCGCCCGACATCTGCCCCTTGATCCGCGAGAAGGTTGGCGACAAGACCAACATCTCGTTCCTCTTCCAGAAGCGCCGGTTCCTCTACAATGAGGCCGAGAAGACGTTCCGCCCCCTGACCTACGACATCGACGCCGACCCAAAGCCGACCATTGGCTCCTACCAGAAGACGCGCGGCATCACGAGCCAGGCCGAACTCACCCGCATCGAGCAGTACTACGGCACCAACACCTTCGACATCCCCGTCCCGACCTTCACCGAGCTCTTCCAGGAGCACGCCGTCGCGCCCTTCTTTGTCTTCCAGATCTTCTGCGTCGGCTTGTGGATGCTCGACGAGTACTGGTACTACTCGCTCTTCACCCTCTTCATGCTCGTCGCCTTCGAGTCGACCGTCGTCTGGCAGCGCCAGCGCACCCTCAACGAGTTCCGCGGCATGAGCATCAAGCCTTACCACATGTGGGTCTACCGCCTCGGCAAGTGGATCGAGACGACCAGCGACCTGCTCCTCCCCGGCGACCTCGTGTCGGTCAACCGCACCAAGGAGGACAGTGGTGTCGCATGCGACATGATCTTGGTCGAGGGTACTGCAATCGTCAACGAGGCCATGCTTTCCGGCGAGAGTACCCCCTTGCTCAAGGACTCGATCCGTCTCCGGCCATCCGAGGCGACTCTTGAGACCGAGGGCCTCGACAAGAACTCGTTCCTCTGGGGCGGCACCAAGGTCCTCCAGATCACCCACGGTAATCCCGACGAGGAAAAGCCCAAGCTCGCCTCCGGCGTCCCGACCCCTCCCGACAATGGCGCCATGGCCGTGGTCATCAAGACCGGTTTCGAGACGTCCCAAGGCAGCCTGGTCCGCACCATGATCTACTCGACCGAGCGTGTCTCTGCCAACAATGCCGAGGCCTTGTACTTTATCCTGTTCCTGCTTGTCTTTGCGATCGCCGCATCCTGGTACGTCTGGGACGAGGGTGTCAAGAAGGACCGCAAGCGGTCTAAGCTCCTGCTCGACTGTGTCCTCATCGTCACCAGCGTCGTCCCTCCCGAGCTGCCCATGGAGCTCAGTCTCGCGGTCAACACTAGTCTTGCGGCCCTTGCTAAGCTCGCCATCTTCTGCACTGAGCCGTTCCGCATTCCCTTTGCTGGCCGCGTCGACGTCGCCTGCTTCGACAAGACTGGTACTCTGACCGGCGAGGATCTCGTCGTTGAGGGTATTGCTGGTCTTGGCCTTGGCCACTCTGGTACTGACACCCCTCGCGAGTCGGACGGCGCCCATAGCCACATGACTGCTGTCAAGGAGGCCGGTATGGAGACAACGCTTGTTCTGTCCACGGCCCATGCTCTTGTCAAGCTTGATGAAGGTGAGGTTGTCGGAGACCCCATGGAGAAGGCTACCCTCGCGGCCCTTGGCTGGACTCTTGGCAAGAACGACATCCTCCAGGCCAATCCTCACGTTGCTGCCGCCGGTGGTACTGCTGGCTCCGTCCAGGTCAAGCGCCGTTTCCAGTTCTCGTCTGCCCTCAAGCGCCAGAGCTCCGTTGCCACGGTCAACGCCATGGACAAGGATGGCCGCAAGATCCGCGGCACGTTCGTCTCCGTCAAGGGTGCTCCCGAGACCATCATGAAGATGCTGGTCAACGTGCCTGCCGACTACGAGGAGACCTTCAAGTACTTCACCCGCCGCGGTTCTCGTGTCCTGGCCCTTGCCTACAAGCAGCTCACTACCGACAGCGAGCTTGGCTCCGGCAAGATCAACGACCTCAAGCGCGAGAATGTCGAGTCTGCCCTCAACTTTGCCGGTTTCCTTGTGCTGCAGTGCCCTCTCAAGGATGACGCCAAGGAGGCGGTGCGCATGCTCAACGAGAGCAGCCACCGTGTCGTCATGATCACCGGAGACAACCCGCTCACTGCCGTCCACGTCGCTCGCGAGGTCGAGATTGTCGATCGCGATGTCCTGATTCTGGATGCCCCCGAGAACAACGAGGGTGGTCAGAGTCTGGTCTGGCGTAGCGTTGATGACAAGGTCCAGATTGACGTTGACCCGTCCAAGCCGATTGACCCCAGCATCCTCAAGGACAAAGATATCTGTGTCACTGGCTACGCTCTCGCAAAGTTCAAGGGCAACGAGGGTGCCTGGAAGTCTCTGCTCCGTTACACCTGGGTGTATGCTCGCGTGTCGCCCAAGCAAAAGGAGGAGATCCTGCTCGGCCTCAAGGACATGGGATACTACACTCTGATGGCTGGCGACGGCACCAACGACGTCGGTGCGCTCAAGCAGGCGCACATTGGTATCGCCCTGCTGAACGGCACGAACGAGGACCTGACGCGCATCGCTGACCACGCTCGCAACACCAAGATGAAGGAGCTCTACCAGAAGCAGGTCGACCTTATGAAGCGCTGGGGCCAGCCTGCCCCCCCTGTTCCTGTCCTGATTGCCCACCTGTACCCTCCTGGACCCTCGAACCCCAACTTCCGCAAGGCCATCGAGCGCGAGGCCCAGAAGAAGAACGTCACCCCGGAGGTCTACGCTAAGTCTATCGGTGTCGACGACATCGAGACCATCACCACCCCTGCCGCGCAAGAGCTCATCAAGAACGACCCCAAGAATGCTCGTCAGCAGCAGGCACAGAAGAAGGCTGCGAGCATGGCCGACCAGATGACGAGCATGATGATGAGCGAGGACATGTTGGACGATGGCGAGCCGCCGTCGCTCAAGCTCGGTGATGCCTCGGTCGCCGCTCCCTTCACCAGCAAACTTCGGAACGTCATCGCCGTGCCCAACATCATCCGCCAGGGCCGCTGCACTCTCGTCGCCACGATCCAGATGTACAAGATTCTCGCGCTCAACTGTCTGATTAGTGCCTACAGCTTGTCGGTACTGTACCTGGAGGGTATCAAGTTTGGTGACGGCCAGATCACAATCAGCGGCATGCTCATGTCGGTGTGCTTCCTGTCCATCTCCCGCGCCAAGTCTGTCGAGGGCCTGTCCAAGGAGCGTCCCCAGCCCAACATCTTCAACGTCTACATCATCGGCTCTATCCTCGGACAGTTTGCGATCCACATTGTCACGCTGATCTACGTCTTCCACTTGTGTGACCGCATTGAGCCGTAAGTTTCTTTTCCTTTCTTGAACTGCACACTCAGAACTGTACACTTCTAGCACATCACTGACACTTTTCCATTTATAGCCGCTCCGAGATTGTTGATCTCGAGGCCGAGTTCGCGCCGTCCCTGCTCAACAGCGCCGTCTACCTGCTCCAGCTCATCCAGCAGATCTCGACGTTTGCCATCAACTACCAGGGCCGCCCCTTCCGCGAGTCCATCTCGGAGAACAAGGGCATGTACTGGGGCATCATTGGCGTCACGGCCATCGCGTTCAGCTGCTCGACCGAGTTCATCCCGGAGATCAACGACCAGATGAAGCTGGTCAAGTTCACCGACGAGTTCAAGTTCAAGATGACGAGCGTCATGATCCTCGACTACGTCGGCTGCTGGGTCATCGAGGTCATCCTCAAGCGCATGTTCAGCGACTTCCGCCCGCGCGACATTGCGCTGCGCCGCCCGGACGAGCTCGAGCGCGAGAACAAGCGCAAGGCCGAGGAGCAGGCCGTCAAGGACGCCGCCGAGGAGGAGAAGCGCGCCGCCAAGGTGGCCGAGTTTGAGAGGAAGGTCGAGGAGCGCAAGGCCAAGCTCGAGGCGTGGGCCAACAAGCGTGGGAGCGGGCCCGCCATTCCTGCTGCTGGCGCGTCGACGTCGGTGGCTGCGCAATAGCCTGAGAGAAAAAGAAGAGCTGGATTTGATGTGGCAGCTGGTGGTGGAGTAAGTCGAGACGCGAGATGATGCAGAGGTGATGAGTGAAGGCTGGATATATCATCACCCGCAGCACGTGTATATCCAGGGAAAAAGACAGAAGGGTCCACCTTTGCACTCGGATTCCAGGCCAAGATATTGCGCTGAATAACGACCGATCCCCGGGTTTCGAGCCGAGCTACTCGGGGCAAGCCTTCCTCGTCCTTTTGGGGTCCTCTGAATGTGTGCGAAGTGTGTCGTCAAAGGGGGGAGAAAGGAGAGAAAAAGGAACTAGAATAGAAATGTACCAACTCTATAATTACATTATACACAATACACCAGCGCATTAAACACATACACACTGCGCAGGAGGCATCGTGAAAAGTATGCTTGCACATGGTTGTGTTACACACATGATATATCACGTGAGAGATGCTTTGCGGGTTGTGCCTCGGGTTGTGCTCTTTGGTGTGGTGCGGTGTGGCGTGATGTGGTGTGGTGTGGTGTGGTGTGGTGTGGTGTGGTGGGTGGTGTAGGTTCAGCCCAAAGGGGGCAAGGAGGAGATCAAGCGCTCACGCTTTTGTGCTGGCGGCGGCGGCGACACGCGTGCGTGGTGCATCAGAGAGAGAGAGAGGCTAAAAGCACAAATCTCTGCAAAACCCATGTCTACTTTCTCCCTGTGCCGTCCCCCCCCGGGGGGGGGGGGGGTAAAGGAGCCTCCAATCCCCTCCTCCTCGTTTCAGTCCCTCTTCTCCCCTTTCGATTGAACAAAGCCACGGTTGTGCGTGAGGCCTTTAGTAGACGAAGGAGGGGAAGGGAGGAGGAGGAGGAGGAGGAGGAGGAGGAGGAGGAGGAGGAGGAGCATTACATAGTTCCCGTGCACAAATGGATCAGTTGTTGTTGTTGTCTGGATGGAAAGGAGACGGACGGAAGAACAAAAAGGAGAAACACCTCTTGTAGGTCAAGTGTAATCAAGTTATACATGTGAATATTTATCTTTCTATCTTTTTCGAGAGTGGGTGAGTGAGGAAGGGACGGAGAGGGAAGGGAGGGAGGACATTATATAGTGAAAACCTCAACCCCCAAGGCCAGAACTATTAAGCCCCCGGTGACGGCCGTCTTTTCATCTCAAGGTCCTCCATCAGTAACATGTCTATTCGTGCAGAGATCTGAGAGGAGTGAGGGGTGGGAACAGCGAGACAGTGAGACGGATAGAGAGAGAGAAAGACAGAGACAGACCGGGCGCAGGCCATGACCTCCCGCCGTCCAAGCGCCCGTGCTGTGCAGTTCTCCTTTCCGCTCTGGCCCGCGCACATATATAATAGACCACTTTTAATCCTTGAAGAGATTTATGTGCTTTTCTTTTGGGATATTGTCCTGCTTCTGCTTCTCCCGTAATCATCATCACCAAGTTGACCATCAGCTGGCTCCGTTAGATCATGTTGAATGCTTTCTTGGCCCCCCCTTAGCGTGGGTCCTCCTCTCCATTTTCGCTGCTGCCGCTGTATGTAGCCCGAAAAAAAAAGAAACCTCGATATCTAAGGTCCCATCCTGTACAGTAAAAAGGCTACCTTTGAGGCAGGGCTTTCTCGAGACAGCGAGCGACCTACATGCACAAGCAAGGTTAGTTGCTATTTACGTGCACGCCATCTGGCGGGACAGAAACAGAAAAGGGGGCCATGCAAAACATACCTCAGGTCCGTAGACACCCTGGTTTTCGAGATACTGGCTCAGGCCCTTGACCAGCTCCTTCTGGTCGTGGCTCGACAGGCCGTTGATGGCGAGCTCGAGCAGGTCGGCGTACGTGACGTTGTACTGGGCGATAAAGTTGTGGTAGTACATGAAAGCGAAGCAGCCCATGATGAACTGGCAGTCCATGCGATCCGTCATGCCGCCGTGACCGGGGATGGAATCACCAAAGTCCTTGATCTTGAATGTGCGCTTGAGACCCGAGGCGAAGAAGCCGCCAAAGGGGGCAATCAACGAGGCAAACGTCGCAAACATGATGGCGTGGATCTGCATGGGCTCCATGGTAAAGGAAATGTTGGTGCCCTCGGGGAGGAAGAAAAAGTGCGGCAGCTCGTAGAGCTTGGGCAGGAAAACCGGGTTGGGCTCGCACTCGAGGCCCGTGAAGATGTTGGCACCGAGGTCGTGGGCGGGACAGATGAAGTAAGACGAGCGCATGAGGAGGTTCGTCGTGATGAACGCCCAGATGATGGTGCAGATCCATGCTCCCACAAAGCCCTCGACCGTCTTCTTGGGCGAGATCTTGAGCAGCTGAGTGCGACCGAACGTGATTCCGCATAGGTACGCGAAAATGTCGTTGGTGATGACGAGCGAGGCAGGCAGGAAGAACCAGATCATGCCCTCAAAGACGTTGTTCATGATGAAGTGGGCCTGAACGACAATCAGATATAACGCCATGTGCGTCCAGGCAAAGTTGGTGAACTGGAACTTGAGGTGGCCGGAGCGGAGGTTGGCGACGAAGAAGACGAATCCTATAACGTAGAGGACGAAGCTGATGAAGCGGTGGTGCGTCGCGAGCGGCAGGAGGGCCTTGTCGACCAGAACAATGTGCTTAAAGTAGTAGATGACGCTCTCGCCATAGAGAAAGTACATGGTGGTGCCGAGCCAGTACCAGTTGAGGCTCTTGATGGCCTTGAGGTCGCGGGCCTTTGTGGGCAAGCTGGCAATGGCAATGACCTCCTTGAAACAGATGATCTGGACGGCGGTGATGCAGGCGAGGATGTAGATGTGGCCCATGAAGAGGGCGCCGAAGAAGAGGGCGATCATGACGAGTGTCCAGAAGGTGCGCACGAAGAAGACAGCCTTCTTTTTCTCGTAGTCGGATTGTGGGGGCGCCTGCTCGTCTTGCGTGCCTTTGGGGATCTGCCGTATATTATCAGTAAACGTATTCCCCGAGCTGGGATTCCAGCCGTGCATGAGCAGCTAGGCCGTGGCGGTAGTCTGCAGGTAGAAAGACGGCCCGAACGTACCTCGTTGATGCCATCAAGCTTGGGCGAGTTCATGGTCTTGAGCGGCGACGAGCCGTCCTCGCTGCCGCTCATACTTGACCGGCGGCCTTCTGAGCCCATGCTGCCATTGCGGCGGGGGAACTGCACTCCGCGACGCGGTTTCGTCATGGTGGGCGGATCTGGAGGAGGGCGGCAGAGGTCGTCACAAAAGCAAGGCCCAGCGACGAACGAAGCGGGTGCAGAAGCTGCTGTGGCGACAGCGCAAGAGAAGGCGGGCAGAACTGACAGGCGGCGTTGAGTCGTCGTCGTCGTCGTCGTCGTCGTCGTCGTCGTCGCAGTGACCGTGGGCGCGTTCGGTGCCGTGGGCAAAGCTTTCGTCGGGATATGCGCCTTGGAACGAGAGCTGGTGAGAATACGACGTCAGTGAATGTGCCTTGCGGGGGTATTTGTGGGTGCCCGGCCGCGAGCCATGTGCGCGCCCCCTGCGCGCGGATCGAGCTCGATTGGCAGCGGCAGGAGGGCGATGGGCGGGCGGATCGTGGCGCGGCGCAGGAAGAGGCTCGAGAGTGAGGGAGGGAGGGGATTTGACTGACGAGGCTCTGTGGTGGGGAGCGCTGGGTGTTTGCTGTCGTGATCACGGCGGGACGAGAAGTAGGCGAGAAGAGTTGTGCGGAGGAAGAGGAGTAGTGGTGGTGGTGGTGGTGGTGGTGCATGCGGTGGTGGCTTGTCGCGGAATGACGATTTGTCTTAGGGCAGCAGGAGCAGGAGCAGCTGCCTGGCTGGCCCAGTCCTGTACCGGTATGAACCAGGCCAGAGCAGACTCTGGGCAGCAGCGGCGGATGGGGCGGGATGATGTCGACGGGGTCCACGCGCCGCCGCTCTGCAATTGCACAGCACAGCAACCGCCCCTCTGACTCGGCACGACACAGCCTCGTCCCGCCGCCGCCCGGAGTTAACGGCTGGCAAGCCAGTTCACTTTACGGCTTCTCGGCGACTTTTTTTGTTCATCGGGGGCCTCAAGCTGGAGGCTCGAGGCTGGTGGAGGTGAGGCCTCCCCATCTCGCATCTGTCCTCTTCTTTAAGGTCCGTGCTGGTCCACCACCAGGGTGGTTTGTAGGACAACAAGTATGGCGGACTTGTCGGTGGCGCATTGAAGAGGTCAAGTCGTCTCAAGCACATTCACATGAAGGAAAGACCTTGTCAGCACGTGCACGTGGCGGCGGCGGGTAGTTGCAACCGGTTTGTCTTGCTTCAGTCTGAGTCTTCTGCATCAACACCGACCATGTCGGGCTGTCTATCTGGCCGTGCCCAATCAGTGTGGATTAGCTCGGATGCGTGCGGCGCAGTATGCACGCTAGCACAGAGACCGTACAACGACAGCTGCCATTCCATGCCTGCTGACATCATAGGCCCTCCCTCGTCTTCGGGTATGCATGGCGGACCAGCAGCCCAAGCAGACGTCAAACTCTCATCGAGTTGCTCCACTTCAGCATTGGACGGAAACTGAATATCAGCCCTGGCGAATAAAACCACGAAACAACCCGCTCAGCCATCGAAAAAGCTGCTCAGCTCTGCAGCCTGCTCCGGCGTCACCGCAAGGTCGAGGAGCTCGTGCGCCAGCTCCGCCGTCTCCTCCGACACTAGGCTCTCGCTGTAATTGAGCCGTGCCAGGCTGAGCACGTACTTGTGCGGAGCCCCGGCCAGTGGTCCCGACAAACCCCGCAGCTTCTCGTCCGTGTCCACAGGCCGCCCAGGCTGCGATAGAGGGTTCATGACGATCGCGTGCAACAGGAATATGGTGTGGTTCACGAGTACCTGCAGCGCCGAGCCCGGGCCAGCCTCCTCGCTCGTTGCCGAGATATACTGCATGTTCCCTTCGTAAAGCTCGTCAATGGAGGACGCCAACAGCGCCACAAGCCGTGGAACCACCCAGTCGCTCCCCACAAGTTGTCGGTAGCCAAACGCTGTCGTTGCAAAGGTAGCCAGAGTCCGCAGAATCAGAACGCGAACCTCGTGTAGCTCTTCCCGCTCGATTCCCCAGCGCGTGCCCTCGATCAGCGGGACCGAGACGCGCTCAATGACAATCTGTGCCACCTCTTCAGGCGAGTTGTGCGGGCTGCGTGGTCCGATGCTCGTGGGGAAAACGGACGTGCAGAGAATCCGCAGGCCAATGCAAAAGTCTTGCACAGGATGCTTCTGGCTCAGCCACATCAGCATGAACTGCATCTGCAGTTCTGTCCAGAATTCCACAATGGGCTCCGCAGCGCCCTCCTTGGTCTGATCGGTGGAAGCACAGCCCAGAGCCACAAGGTAAAGAAGCGACATGATCTGTGTGCATGGAATATGCGCATTAAAGTTTTTCCAACTCGCATCGGTAGGGTCACCAGGGCCAGAGTGGTTGAATCTGGGGATCGCCACCTCATAGCACGAGTTGAGTGCGACAGGCAGCAGTCTCGATGCAATCCGTGGCGCAATGACGGTGGTGTTGAGCTGCACTGTGAAAAGTATCAAAGCGACGAGTTCGGAAATGGGAGCGAGCTAGGGAAACTCTCGTTAATACACAGCCCTTGTTATTTGTGCAAAGTCCACTACTACTCACACAGGACTCCTTGAAGCACTCGTCCCAGACCTGGACGACTTCTTTGCAGAACTGCACAGGCAGGTGCAATGGCTCGTCTGAAGTTCCGACCAAGGCCAAGCATTCGAGGAGCCGTGAAGCTATGCTCTGCGATGGTTTAGATGGCAGCGAGAATCCGGAGAGGTAGTCAAAGGTCATGGGCCGGTCCCGTGATGACCGATGGTTCAATATGATTTGGAGATACTTCAATCACATCAGCAAGTTGCACCCGTTACACCGGGACTGAACTCAAGACTCACATTCGCGATGGGCTCCGCTTCTCTGGCGGTCGTGGCAGGATCACCTAAGCTGCCACTGCCAAGATTGCCGGCATGAGCACCGACATCATCTGACTGAATTTCTAGCTCCATGACGGGACTGTCGAATGCTGGTCTCTTTCTCTTGTTCTTCGTAGGCGTCCTTAATCCCTTTGGTTCGGCGACCATTGTCGCAACCGGGCCAGCGTGCTTGGCGCGGCCACGCGTAGGGCTGTTTGCCATCTCGACATCCTCGAAGCCGTCCGAGACGCCCCATGATTTGGCTGCCGCGTTCTTCTTTGGCGTCGTGGGGCCGTTTGCAGTCCTGGTCTTGGCCCGCTCAAGCTCGTCCCTGAGGTCTCGTCTCGTGAACTGCAGCTCGGTCGCAGCCGTCTGTTGCGCAATCGTCGCCACCTCTGCCGCCCTCTGCAGTTTTGCGAGCTGTTCGGCAGACTGCTTCTTCATATTCTGCATCTCTCGCTCGTGGTCCTGCTGCGACTTCTCCAGCCGGCTGCGGACGATCTGGATTTCGCCATCTTTGGTGGTCAGGCGTGACTGCAAATCGCGGATCTGGGCCTGCAGCGTGGCTAGCTCGTGGGCGGCAGATGCTGCCTGTCTGACTGGCGCCTGTGTAGCTTGGTATCGTGCTGGTATCGACGGTGCTGGTCTTGGAGCAGGCGGTGGAGGCTGTGGGCGACTCGAGCCATACGCCGGCGCGTGGACAGCTCTGTGCAATGGGCGAGAAGCGATGGAAGCCTGTGGAGGAGCTGGGGGCTGGCCCCAGGCGGCATGCTGTGAGGGTGTCGTCACGGGTGCGTGCTGGGCGTACGGCTGTGGTACGCGCTGGGGCGAGATGGCCGAGGTGCCTCGCAGGTCGTCCTGCACCACGGCATCGTCAAGGTCGTCGTATTCGAAGTCGTCATAGGCCAAGCTGCGCTGGGTGTTGAGCGGCCGGGCCTGGGCAGCCTGGGTGAACTGTATGGCATTTTCCTCAAGCTGCTGGAGCGCAAGCGGGTTGAGACTGTCGAGGTCGTCATCATCGAAGTCGTCCATGGCGGGCCCAGCAGCCAGTCGATGTCTCGGGGCAGCATTGGGCCATGAGGTACGGCGGCGCACCAACGGGTCAGTTGTGACGGAAGTAGCAAATGCGTGGCGGAAGGTAAAGTCGGTTCACGCAGGTGGATCGCATGGTGTCGTGAATTCGGGTTGGAGACGGCGCGCGCTCACTGGGTGGCCCGCAGCAGGGACAGGGACTCCCCGCTCCCCAAAGCTGTCAATCATTGTGCAGCAGACTTGGAGCGCGGGTGCTTCTTGCCATATGTATGATGCCAGTGCATGTGGCGTGAAACGTTCAATCAGGCTACACTTCGACACATTTTTACTCCAACACCTTCGGATTCCCCAACAAACAGACAACGCCTCCACAAGCGCATGCCAGCCTACATCCCGCTTCCTTGGAGTCATCAAGGTTGTCGCAAGCCGTGGCCATCCCGGACCAAGAACCAAAGCAAGAACGCAGCCGTGAAGCCACACCACACAGGCTCCACACTGCGAAGCCAGGCGAGGCCAAGCCAGCCCTGGAGGTTCCAGTCGACCACCTGGGCCTCGTTGCTCCTCCGCTCCAAGTCGCCTCGGCCAACCGGGCTCGCCGCCAATGAGAAACCCTACATCCGTTCGACCCATGCCGTGATATCTTGGCTGTGCTTCCGGTGGCTTCGGGCCGAGCGACTGACACTCAAGCGGCGGCATCCGAATCAGGGGAGGGGCCACTAGGTTCACAGCCGTGCCAACGCTGCCCGTGAATCGTTGCCATCAGATTTCTGTCCTCCAACCCTTACTCAGTATTTGGGTTCACGCCACCCGGCCGACCCCGAAGAACATGCTTCACGACTGCAGAGACATGGTTGGCGGATGAGCGAACTTCCTGCGCCATCACACCTTCCCTTGCCTCGATGCAGTGGCCAGATGCAGCGACCACGGGCTGGGCGCGCCGGTGGCTACTTCGAAGCAAACATGCAGTGACCAGTGAGGCCGTCTCCCAGCATGCTGCATGGAATCGACCAGACGGCCAGCTGCTTTACGATCTGTTAAGGAGCCACCCACGTAGGGCACGTCCGCGTGGCGGTAGCTGATCCGTGAAGCCCACGGGGCCCCCGGGTCACACCCCCATGCAGCACACCACAAGTGACGCCCTGGACTAACAAACGCAACCCATCTCGCTTGCCTCATCACGGTGCAGATGCCTTTCTGGGGGCCTGACAAGCTGGGGGCATGGCTCGGGATATGCAATCTGCCTGGTTGCTGGGCTGGGCGCAGGGCCCCCTGTGCACACGTCAACTCGCCTGGCCGGGTCCTCACTTGGACAGGACGGCCCGCGTACGACACTTAGTCTGGCCACTTCGCACCAACTTCGCCCCGACTTACTCAAGCAGATAAATAGTCTTCGTGACCTTCAATCCGGATTCTCAAGCTAAAGACTAGCGCCAGTCGTATTCGCACCACCATTGTCTTGTCATTCATTCAGGAAACACCTGGACATCAGATGGGTATTGGACTTCTGCACAGTCTCCTGTCGTGGCTTCGTCGAGGGAGTGACAAGGTTGAAACCATGGTCTCCAGCGAATGTATCGTTGTGAATCACGATCCAAACGAGATCCGGCCTTTCGAACCTACCGAGATCGTGGTCAGCACCACCAACGAGCAAGCAGACTGCCTCTTCCTTCAGAAGCTACCTCTCGAGATCCGCCGAATCATCTACACTCACCTTTGGCGACACCCGTATGCACATGAGTACCATCAACCTAATGGACGTCATATATCCTACGAACGGGGAAGGTGGTTTAGCAGACAATGTGTCATGTATCCCGACGAAGAGGATCTCAACAGCATCCAGAACGCGATGGACGTTGCTTACGAGCAAACAAAACTGGATAATCTGCAACGGTGTCACGCATGGCTGAGGTCCACCTGGGGACATCGTCACTGGCGGTGCCAGGAGCGAATGTGTCGTCCTGCAACCGTAGTCGACAAGACTGATTTTATCTACATGATGCTCATTTGTAAGCGCATGTAAGTCTGCCGTTTGTCCACTTATTCGTGTGTTCTGGGCGATTAAAATCACACTGACCATCACCACAAGGTACCCTGAGATCATGCAATCCATATTCGAATCTAAGAGGTTCATGTTCAACGATATCATCTCTGCTCACGAGTTCCTGGCCGGTGACGGCATGCCTTTTGCACGACACATTCGTGATCTCGAGTTGACGTTCAATTTGGGCCAGCATCACTATCAACCATTCATGCTAGCTGCAGCAGAGCAAGGTGCAGGTCAAGACGCACTGGATAAACTTTCTCGGCATGGGTTGTTGAACGACATATGGACTGCGCTCGGGAAAATGGCGTGCTTGCACAATGTGCGCATTGCCTTCGATGTCTACGATCGAGGGGTCTGGCGCAAGATCCCGGAGAAAAACATCACCAGTGCGCTCAAGCATCTCAGTGTGCAGCACCAATTCACGATCGAGTTGCCGCCAAGACTCCCCATTCCTGCACCGAGGTTGGAGGGTCAGGCCCTGGACGACGACACTGACGGTAAGAACCCGTTTAGCGTATTGAGACGACCAGCCCTTCGATATTGGACCTTTGTGCCGGATAAGGTAGAGCGATTCACCTTCGAGACGCACCTGGACGACTCGAACAACGAAAGCTGCGCTATCGCGGTCCTGAAAGACGCCACCTTTGTGCACTCATCTCAGGCACCTTACAACAACCCTCACCTCCTGTGAGGACAGACAGGGCTTGCATGCAGGCGGCCGGTTTAGAAGTGTGGTCAGAATGACAAGCTATGACATGAGATTCGCCACCATTTGGACGTGCAATTCGGACGGGCCAGGGGCTATGGTCGTCACATCCCAGCACCTCGGGCCGAGATTGGCTTTCAGATGGAAACCCCCGGCCTTTGCAGATGTTGTTGGTCGTGTCCAGTCACAGTGCAACCGTGATAAGTGCAGGGGCTGTTCGCCTATCAAGGTAAAGTGGGACAAGCATGTCTTGGTCCAGCTGCGCGTTGATCATGATCTTTTCATTTACAACCAACATCTTGGCGCATTGGTTTCGACGTGGCGCTCCCGCGCCTCTTGGCCTAGACCTAGGCGGTGACGCATGCATTGCTCCGTCTCAAGGCGGAGGCTCAATTTCGCTGAGCTCTTGCAAGAGTTTCGACAAGAAATCGCTGTCCTACTTCGCAATCATCAGTATCGGACCTTCCCAGAGTCGCCCAAAGGGGCGCCTTTGCGTACCGCGTCCAGGCACTTATGAGGTCGTAGTCCTTGATTATGTTCACCGCCACAATATGGTGGTAGCAGCCTCGGTCAGGAACTCATGCGCAGTCATGTCCAGCGGAAGCTTTTGTCTCTCTTAAATGGTCGGATCAGCACTGTGAATTGGTGTATTGGCGATTTCGAGTCTGGTGCAATACCCGACCACTGCACGCGTGGACGTTGATGAAATGCGAAGCATCTGTTTAGCTTCAGTCAACAGCCACAGCCTGCCATCATGTGAGAGTCTCCTTGCCTTGTGCGACCACTACCAGCAATGGCAACAAGGGCGAGCCATCGCGGCAGGCATCCGGTCAGGCGACAGACCTTCCGACGAAACCCCAGATGCAGCAATTGCAACATAGGCCAGCCAAGTCGCCATACTGGTTCTGGTCAGTTGTCCATCCTACCGTCTAGATTGAGCCATGTGCGCTTTCCACGATGACCCCGGCTGACTTCTAATGTGAGACAGGGGTCTCGTGCCTGGTTGTCAGGTGGGGAAGTCTTCTTGTGGTTGCGGTCTGGCAAGGGTGTATTTCCACCTCTCGCACAGCGGGACTGAGCTTGCAACCATCTCGGCTCACAGCTCCATCAGCCGGTCTAGTTCTGAGATGATCCTTGTGAGGAAGAGTCAAGCAGAGAGGGAGCGGGCCAACTCGTTACCCTACTGGCTAGAAGCAAACCTGTCGCAGCCAACATTTCGCCCTGCACTAGACAACGGGACGGACCACGGAGCCTTTGATGCGGCCTGACTCTTTGCCTAAAGTGCAACAAGGTGCAGCCAACAAGCCTTCGCTTCCAGCCTAGGTGCGTCAGCAGTGCGCCTTAGTATTGGTCGTAATCACCAGCATGGAGGGTTCGGGCGGGGTTGCGAGCTGCCAACAAACTTGTTCACGGCGACTACGCAGCCACTCATATCCTTGGAACCAGCATGGCCCCTGTCTTCTGCCTGCACATCCGATTGGACGTCCCAGCGCGCAACGGCGGCCAGCGCTTAGAACCGTGTGTTCACAGTCCTTCTCAGGCTCGCTTGCGTGGGGTTTGCCGCCGATTCTGCCGTGTCAAACTATCAAGGTAGCATTGCTGCACCCAGCTCGACCCGGGTGCTGCCTGCCCAGGACTCGGGAATGCGCCCGGTGTTGGAGACCACAACAATATGGGACCACTTAGAGCATCTGCTCAGGCTCTCAAAATGTGGTGGCAACCCCATTAGACGTCGACAGGGACTCCTCGTTGACTCTCCGTTCTTACTCTGACAGTGTTGGGCCTGTGACTGTGCTTGATTACATTATCTCAGACTCGGGCGCCTCCCTATCGCTAGCATAGTCAGAGCTACTGTCAGCTACCCGCCGCAGCACCACCTTCGATGGCGCCACCAACAATACGACAGCCGAACCAGCCATTGCAATGTGTCATCGACAACTGGCAACTCGAGTCGTCTTTCTTCGGGAAGTTACCAGCAGAAATCCGGCAGCTAATCTACAAGGAGTGCTGGCTAGCTTCTGGCCCCCAACAACACATCTTCCTGCGCCAAGGTCAGCACTCTACACATGCGAGTGAGGCTGATGGAAGTGGCAAGACCAGCTCATACCTTACGCACTTTCCTTGCTGCAAGACTTCCGAAGATGACGAGGAGATCCTTGCTGAGCATGATCACATTGTTGAGGCTAAGAGGCAGTCAAGATCTCGCAGCTCCGCATACTTCGTCGATGAGGTGTGGTCATCGAGATTCAATTCACCATGGCTTGATCACTGGAGATGTGAGGAGGCAATGATGGAGGAGAGCCTGTTGCGCGAGTTTGAGCACAGCAGTGGTGTCAAGGCGAGGCAGAGGACATTGTTCATGCCGTTTCTTCTCTGCTGTCGGCGCATGTAAGTTAGGAGTAGCACGATGCTTGATAATTTCTCCAGACACTGACAGACGTCGCTTCACAGGTACCATGAAGCATTAGCGAGCATCTACGCAAGCACGACGTTCATATATACGGACCTGGCAGCCGCGCATCGCGCGCTTGTCTCGCTGTCTTCTCCTACAGCGCCTCTGGTGCAGTCACTGGGTTTCTCCTTGGCTCTTCCCTACGACATCTTGCATCAACACCGATACTATTCCTCGCCTGGTGCTCAGACTGGACCGTGGGCAGAGTTGTGCGTGGCGCTCTCCAACATGGCCCGTTTCAGTGCCTTGAAGTCCGCAGTCATACGCCTCGATCTCGCTGGCGGGGACACGAGAGCTACTGGATTGACCTCTGTCGTATCGAGCCACAGCAACAACACTAGCAGCCCTTCACCGGGAGCTCTTCCAAGCCGACGTTCATCGCTTGCCTCTCTTGACAATACCCCAGTTATCGAGCACGAGGACCGAATGTGGTGGCAGGTCCGCGAGCGCTGGATCTTGAGTCCTATCAGGGGTATGCTGGCGCGCCGGCTGACGGTGCATCTTCCCGAGAGGCGCAGACGGATAGGTCCTGTTGGGAACAGGAGGGGCGCCATTCTCCCAACAACAAACTCCTCGCCGCCATCATCGCCATTGACATCATCATCCACGCCGGCCTCTGTACACTCGTCCAGGGCAGACAACGGCGTTTCTGTCAGAGACTCCGGGGTGGATCAGGATGACAGTCCTGAATGGATGTGGCCATACCAGTACCGCGAGGGTGATGCGACCCCATTCATTCTGCAGCGTTATCGGCGATGCCGTCTACCTCGTGGTGGTGTCGTCATTAACAGGAGTTGCTCCGGGTCTGGCCCGCCTAGTCCCAGAAGCCTTCTGAGGTCGTGGTCTTCAGCAAGCAGTACAGACGGGTCCTCAGGTCCGAGTAGCCCCGTGCGCAACGCTCATGCAGGCAAGCCCGGTCCCGGCAAGGGAGATGCGGCGGCGACCAAGACGGTGCAAAGGGCATTGAACGCGTTGATAAAGGGGCGATCGAAAGAATGACGTTGTGGTGGTGAAACAGAAAGTGCCGGCTTCTGGAAGCAAACAAACAATATGATACCCCATGATGATGAGCAGACAACACTTTCAATGTATATATTTATTTCTCCTATACCAAGAAGAGCGAGCAACATGTCTCGTCGCGCGGGCTCTCGGCTCCAAAGCGCCTTACTGCTGCCGTGCAAATGTAAACGCGATGCCTGGCTGTGGCGTAAAGTGCAAGCACAAATTTCTGGAAAGAAATCAATTCTTTCGGACTTCTCTTCTCACTGCTGACCGAACTACTCAGATGGAGATGTCGAACAATTGATATTCTCGCGGGCTGATTGATGCAGTCGCATTTGTCCTTTCTGCGAAAGGTTAATGGGCGATCAATCATGATTCACCACAATTTGCGCTTGCATGGCCAGGCGGCGGGCGCCTGCCCTTTCCCCCCGCTCGGCTTTGACTTACATCCCATCCACGCCCTCACTCACTCGCGTACCTACGTCTACCATGAAAAGCACGTTGCCCAGCCACGTCTTTTACTTGCATAGCGGGAATACACTGAGAAGATGAGGCCTGAATAACCGATCCTGATATGCAGCCGTTATACTGAGGGAGCCTAAACTCCCTTACTTTCGCACAAGGGCCCCTCCACCATCAAACGCAGCGGGCCGTTCCGCCTCCCGTGAGCCGCAACCCCCTCCCCAATGAAGTGAACACCAGCACTCGCCCCCTCCGATAAAGTTTTGGGCCTGCGAGCTAACAATGTTATCTTTTATGGTGAGAAGCTCATACTTTCTCGACGCCGAAGTTCGGGAGCGGCACGCGGTGAGGATATATTTAGTGGACAGACCATCATTTGTGTCGGCCTTCTTCACTGGCACCAGGGGGGAATCCGGACGCTACAGACCTTTCCGCCCGTCGGAAGCGCGGATTCAGATGATGGGAGACAAGGAGTCGTCCGCAGCAGCCGCCGTCAGAATAGCGATGACGACGACTATCATCACCATCGGAAGCAGCGAGTATCTAATTGACAGAAAGCCAGTAGCGAACATATCGGATGCCACCACTATCTGCAATCGATCTGAATGGCGGCAGGAAGTCAGACTAAGCGGGGAATACATCCCAGCCACATTAGTCAGGGATGAAGTGTTGTTCCCGTTGCCATTAGAAACAGACGCGGGTCTGGCTGGCACTGACGGGGACGAAGGCGACCGCTTGTTAGAGAAGGTTATGGCTTGGTACCGCGACAAGGGGGATGATGTTGTCTGGACTGAGGAATTCCTACGAGGCGAGTTTTGGGAATTCCTCTTTTCCCTTTTTGTTTTGTACACGCTAACATGTTCTATGGGTTCAGTCATTGTCGTGCTTTGCAACAAGCGAAACCACGACTTATTCCTTGAACGGGGCAGGCAGCTTAAAGTCATTCCCTTGGTCGTCGGCACTGGTGGAAATGCAGAAGCAGCACCAGGCCCGCATGTCCTGCATTGTGTATCGGGCGAACTGTTCCCTGTACGAAGGCTGTTCGAGGACTGCAATGACTGCTTTGTTCGAGGTGTGATCTCGAGCGGTAGAGATGATGGAAGTGATGGCGAGGAGACTTTTCGCTGGGTCCCCGGAACGAATGTAAGTTTCCAATCGCGGGGCTACGGCATGAAGCACTGGCCGACTTGCAAGAGGTCGAAAACACCAAAGAGTGCTACGGCAGGATATCGCAGCCACACAGCCGTGAAGCTGACACTCGGTTTGGCAGTGCATCCCCGTGCCGTCTCGGTTACAGTGCCCGCCTCCGTCCACTGAGCGACCACTCAGCGGTCTACGATTTGGCGTAAAGGACGTCATTGACATTGCTGGCCTAGAGACCGGCTGTGGCAGTGCAGACTACAGGAAGTTCCAGGCCCCAAGAACCAGATCTGTAGCGTGCGTAGAGCGCCTCTTGCGCGCCGGAGCAGTCATGGTGGGCAAGATGCGCTGCTGTCAATGGTGTGACGGCCAGGATCCCCTGGAGCGGTAAGTGTTTTTTGACCTATGACCATGACTCTGATGACTCTGAGCCCACTCTCTAAACCCCAGCCAGCCCAGGCCAGCCCAGGCCAGTCCGGCCAAGGATCTGGACCATCAAGCTAACTGACTGACCTACAGATACGAGGAGCCAACGCCCGTGAACCCTCGAGGAGACGGCTGGCAAAAGCCATCTGGGTCGAGCTCTGGGTCCGCGGCAGGTGCCGCGAGCTACCCCTGGTTTGACTTCACAGTCGGGACAGACACTGGCGGGTCTATCCGACATCCGGCTGCAGTCAATGGGGTGTACGGCATCCGGCCATCTCGAGGGAGCGTAGACAGCGCGGGGCTTGTTTGTTCCACATGGACGGACACGACGGGCGTGTTTGCTCGATCGGCCAAGATCGCCAGAGACGCCATGATGGTGATGACGGATCCCTTGTGGCTCGAACAAAATGCGTACGGCACCCGTGACTCTGGCAAGCCACCGACCAAGTTCAATCTATTATACGCCGTCAACTCGCCTTATCCTCAGCAATCTGACAACAAGACGCCAAAGTTCTTCTCTGCAGGCGGCACGGGAGCCGAAGCCAGCACCCCGGCGGGGAAACAGCTCGAGGCCTTTGTGCGTGCCCTGGAGGAGCACCTGGGCTGCAAACGACGAGAAGTCTGCCTCGCCGAGCTCTGGCAGCACACCCGCCCTCCTGAAGCAGCATCATCATCATCCGCCGCCGACCTGACTGGATGGACAGAAAAGATTTACCAAAACGTCGTGTACCACGATCTCGCCAAGAACACCGTCGAGCCATTCGTCCAGCGTTTCAAGCAATCCAACGGTGGCAGCGGGGGAGGAGGCCTTATATCGAGCCCACCACCCGAGCGAGGCTCGACTACGGCAACGACCTGCCCGAAGCAGATTACCAAGAGTCTGTGCGCAAACTGCGAGTGTTTGGCGACTGGGTGAACCATCATCTCCTGCCCATACCTTCTTCTTTATCTTCTTCTTTTTCTTCCACTACTCGTCAACAACCACAGATAACCAAGGAGGACAAGTCGCCAGTCACGCTCCTCGTCTATCCTCAGAGCTGGGGCGTCCCGTGCTACCGAGACGAGGTGGTCCGGCGAGTACCAGGCGGCGACGACAACAAGAACAACAAGAACAACATATTCTGGAGCGGGTTCTCCACCTACGGACTCAGCTACTGCTCCGGGTGTCCGGACTTTACGCTGCCCGTGGGCGAGGTCGAGTTTCGCTCAAAGGTCACAGACACGGTGGAGAAGTTGCCGGTAGCGATATCCCTGCTCGGCCCGGGGGGCTGTGACAAGATCATGCTGGGCCTGATTGCGCAGCTGGAGGACGAGGGGAAGCTGAGGGCGGTCAACACCGGACCGAACTTGTTTCCAGAGTAAATCAGTCACGGAGTTTGGGAGGAGACATGGCAAAATGAGATATGCCAACAGTGAAAGCGTGTAACAAAGATACATCAACGTTGAATGGTAGCTCAAGTGGGACTGACTATGAAGAAGATTACAACAATGTTTCCCACGGCTGTCAGACCTCTTCACAAATTGTGAAATCACAGCTCTGTCCATGACTGAGCACCAGACCCCTTCTCCCCACACGGCACTGCTCACCTCCGATTACGGATGCGGGGCCGTCGGGAGGTGGACCGGAGCGGATACCTTCGGGCCGTCCATCGCAGGGGTCTGCAATTTGTCGATATTTTCCATTCTCCCAGCAGCGTCTTTGTCACACAATATTCAAACAAGAGTTTGTCGCCCTGACGCGGAGGTGTTGGGTACACGACACTAGCGCCCTTGCCGTGCAGAGCTTATCCGTTCCACAACACACCCCAGAAGCACTCCCGGGAGCACGCGCGAGCACCATGACAAGCTACGGCTCCGCCCCGTCGCCGGCCCAGCAGTCGCTGCAGCACAATACCGCGTCCACGGCCATCTCCGCACCCGAACATGGCCAGAACGAGTCTGGGAGCAGTGGAGATGCATCTGGGCGCCGATGGAAAGAGCGGCTCAAGTCATTCTACGACCGCAACTTTGGCCTGTTCCTTGTTTTCGTGGCGCAGTCTTTCGGCTCCGTGGTACGTACTTGGCTCGTATTCCTCCTCACAAACTGGCACAATGGGCCATATCTGCATCATGCTGAATACTGTTTGCCACGCTCTCATAAGCAAGACTCTGAGAACCAGCCGCTGACAATGTCTATATCGGCTCGAACAAACAGATGTCGACCGCGGCGAAGCTCTTGACTTCCGCAGATGCCAAGAACCAGCTCAGCGCGCTGCAGATCATCTTCGTCCGTATGCTCGTCACTGCAATCCTGGGGTCCGGGTATATGTGGTACAAGCAGGTGCCTGACTTTCCGCTCGGGCCGAAGGGGTGTCGCCGGCTGCTCGTGCTGAGGGGGTGTGCTGGGTTTACGGGGTTGTTTGGTCTGTATTGTGAGTTGTGCTTTTCCACCCTTGGCTTGCAAGGCTGTAATTCCCTGAGAAGTAGGGAAATCCGCTGACAATTGCACAGATTCCTTGGCTGTCCTGGAGATTTCGGATGCAGTGGTCATCACATTTCTGGTCCCGACATTCACGGCCCTGGTTTGTTTTGTCTGGCTTAGGGTATGTGGCCTTCAGCACGACAACGCTATTCATGCCAGTCACTGATATCGACTTCTCGTAGGAGCCATATACGGCGAAAGAGGCAGCTGCGGGCTTTGTCGCTCTCACTGGAGTCCTGCTCGTGGCCCGGCCCCCATTCATCTTCGGCAAGAAAATCACCAAGCCGATCACGCTGGCAATATTCTCACCAAGCGACACAACAGTGGGGGCATTTGACGCTGCCTCTCTGACCATGTACTATTCGACGAGCACCTACGCCGTGGCCCCGCAGCCGTCTCCGGCAGAGCGTAGCGTGGCCGTCCTGGTTGCGATACTAGGCACGTTCTGCGCGGCCCTGGCGTATGCGACGATCCGTGTCATCGGCAAGCGTGCGCACTCTCTCGTCAGCGTCAACTACTTTGCCGTGGTGGCGACACTCGGGTCGGCGTTGGTGATCTTGGTACACCCAGATCTGCATTTTGTGCTACCTAGAGGCGTGCTGCAGTGGTATGTCTGATTCGACCCTTTCGTGTGTGTGTGTGTGTGTGTTGCACCTATAAGGGGCGCCGAGGCTGACATGTAGCACCTAGGACTCTGCTCACCATCATCGGCGTTGCTGGATTTCTGCTGCAGTTCCTTCTGACTGAGGGCTTGCAAAGGGAGAAAGGCGGGAGGGCGACCAATCTCACTGTAAGCCAGCCAACGCTCCCCCCCACTTTCGCTTTAAACCATGCCAGATGTTATTCCGTGTTTCGACAGTCCTGCTAACGTAACTTGTCAGTACGTGCAACTCGTCTTTACCCTGATTGTCGAGCGCGTCATCTGGGGCACGACACCACCGCCTATCAGCCTTGCGGGCAGCGCGCTCATCATCGGCGCCGCAATCTGGATCAGTCTGCAGAAAAACGGCAGTGGCGCCGCGGCGAAGTCGGCTAATGTCAAGACGAATGGCACGACGCAAGAAGCTGGACAGCCAGATGATGGCTCTGTCGTGGTGGATGAGGAGACGGCACTGCTAGGGCCGCGTGAGGAGGAGATCAGACGGTAGATGGTTGTTGGTGTGGAAGGTGTGGAAGGTCGCAAGTGAGGGACGCAGCAGCGAATCCGAGGCTCGATACTGTTTTGAGCTGCAACCAATTCAAGGTGATGCGAATATGGGCGTGCTCCGAGGAGGAAGGTGTTTTTTGTCCGTGAATGTTTGCCAGTGCCCCGTGTGGTGATGGATCTTGCCTGGTGGGTGTTGGCGAGTCAAGCGCGTGTGGATATTGGATGGCCTCGAGCTACCCCACCCCAGCGAGCTTCATATTGTGAGAGTGAGCAGCTGCCAGTGACGTCGATCCCAACTGCCGGGTGCACCGGGGCCGCCCAATTGAGGCTATCGCGACCTATCGATTCGCTAGCACGCTGCAGTGCTCCAGCCAGCGCTGCGCGGCGGCCGGCCGGAGCAGGGCCCCCCAACAAATCGCTGCTTCTTTGTCGCTCCCAAGACTTTCTGTCGCACCTGCCTGCCATTGTTTGCTCTCCGTGGTCCCCCACGCGCACTGCTCCCCTTTGCATTTGCTGAGAGCGAGCCGTTCCTGCAGTGTCTGCCCGCGGACAGTAATCATCCTCCCACCCCACCGTCACCGTCACTGTCCGTCACACCAGGCCGTAGACCCCAGCTCGTGACCTTCCCAATGCCTCCCCTCTCCTTCTCCTCCTCCTCCGCATCCATCCTCCGCGGCTTCTCTCTCCTCACATCTGCTTCTCGGCACACCACCTCCAGGTCTCTTGCCTCTGCCCTGCCAGCTGCGCTCCCTCGCTTCAACACACACACAACTGCTCTGCGATACTGCTCGTCGCACTCCTCCTCTTCCTCTTCCGCCCCGACGCCCTCCACGCCCACAAACACCCGCAGCTACTCGCTCAACGCCGCCAACATGTCTGGCGAGGACATTGACAAGTATCTCAAGCACTCGCACGACAAGGTCTTCGAGTACAACCAGAAATGGGCCGAGCAGAAGGCCAAGGATGACCCAGAGTACTTTACGAAGCTCTCGGCCGGCCAGACCCCCGAGTATCTGTACATTGGCTGCAGCGACTCCCGCATTCCCTTTGAGCAGATCTCAGGCCTCCAGCCCGGCGAGGCCTTCATCCACCGCAACATTGCCAACCTGGTCGTCAACGCCGATCTCAACGTCATGTCCGTCATTAACTACGCCGTCCGCCACCTCGAGGTCAAGCACATTGTCGTCTGTGGCCACTACGGCTGCGGCGGTGTCAAAGCCGCCATGACACCCAAGGACCTGGGCCTGCTCAACCCCTGGCTGCGCAACATCCGCGACGTCTACCGCCTCCACGAGAAGGAGCTTGACGACATTACCGACGAGCCCCAGCGGTACAACCGCCTTGTCGAGCTCTCGGTCCTCGAGCAGTGCCGCAACGTCATCAAGACCGCTGCCGTCCAGCAGTCGTATGCAAAGAAGAAGTTCCCCGTCGTCCACGGCTGGGTCTTCAACTTTGAGAACGGCCTCATCAAGGACCTCAAGATTGACTTTGAGGGTCTGCTGCACGACATCCAGAAGATCTACAACCTTACCGAGTAGGGTGGTCCCAGCGACCTACGGACAAAGGAGAGTCGCGTTATTGTCGAATGTAGGAGTAAAAGATTGTCGAATGTTGCGTGTTTGGTCGATCAGGCGTTGAAGGAGAAGGGAAAGGCGTCAGGGGAAAGCAAAGATAAGCAAGGTAGTTCAAATAAGCACAATCCAGGAAGTGGCCAGCAAGGTCACTGTCATATATGTAACCGTTGTCGTTGCAGTCCCCATTGAACAAGCTAGGATGGCTGGGTGCTGGTGTGCGTGTGTCCTCGAAGCCACCCAATGACAGGCGTGCCAGTGTGACGGGGCAGGGAACATCCCCGGGCCGTCCGCTTAGATCCGAGATCTTGACAGCCTTTTATGGATGATGCGGCGCCAATGCGTCCATATGTGGACGGTCAATGTGGTCAAGGTCAGCTGGGTGGACCGGCAGGCGCGGCTGGTGCTGTGAGAATCGTACGATGATTTTCACTGCCCCTGGTCCGGTGCCCGGGTGCGGGAGAGGTGGGGGGGCTCGTTGGCCTCCCGGTCCTTGACTGCTTCCTGTGGGACTCAATGAGTTCGAGCGCCTTGAGAGAATGCGATAAACCATCGAGGAAGACACTGGGAATGGCCAAGCCCTCTGAAGCTCGCCAGCGGGCTGAGCAATCGACGGGAGTCGCCAGAGCGGAGAACCCCGCGCCTTTTCTAGAGTGCATGAGCACTCTGCAAGGATGGCTACAGCAGAATTCAGGCCTCGTAATCAATCCATCACGGCCGAGGTCTCTTGGAGGCTCCTCTCGCGGTCCAGGCACGACAGCCGCGCTATGCTCACATCATCAATCATTCTTCCGATTTCTCATCCATGATGAACTGTTATACCAAAGCATGCATGCGTGGCTCGTATACCTGTAGGGGATTTGGCTGGCTCGACATGGGAGCTGGTAATTGAAAGGAACTGGCCGCCTAGACTGGCTGCTTAGCGGGAGAGTGGCGACATTGGCAGCTCCACCACACCACACCATGCACACACACGACACCCACACCCCTCGGCACAAGCGGCCTGTTGGTAGCGCCCGCAACGGATCTGACTAGAGACGGGGAGGGGGTTATGGCCACCCAGGGGTTATGGCCACCCCAACCACCTGATCATGCAATCACGACAACCTTCCACAGTACCACCAAATTGCAATAGAATTTCGTAAAACTTTGTGATTCAATTATCTGCTGTCTGGACTGCAGCATCCACCATGTCAACGGTTGCTGCACCTGCCTTGCGCTGCTCTGCGACCTCCTGTTTCCGCGCTACGAGCTTTTCCGCCTGCTTCTTCGCGAGGCCACTTTGAGAGGCCTAGACCTGCTTGCGGTCGACAAAAAGCTTACTGGCGTCATCGCGCTTGATTCTTTTATGTGGGAATGGTGTTAGACTGTCGATTTCGGCGTCCTTGTGGTGGATCTGGTCGCGAAGTGAAGCGACCGTGGAAGCCAGCTTGTCCAGGCCCTTACCCGCCTTCTTGACGATGTGACGATAATCCCTCTCCAGCCCTCTGACCTGGCCGTTAAGGGCGCGCACTTGAGCTGCTAGGTCTGTTGACTTCCTCGGCGTAGTAAACTTCGCGAAGGAATTGTCTAGAGGCGGGTTCTCGAGCTCTGGAGTGGTGGGCAAACGGTCGGTCTCTAGCACCCTGTCTTTATTGACCCGTTCCGGGTTAATGGGCCATATTGAGGCCCTGCGAAACCCTGCCTCGATATTGCTCTTCTTGAAGGCCTCATTGGCCGCCTTGTAGTAGGCTCTAAGGAACCGCTGCTTCTGTAATGGCGCGGCGACGTCGTACGACTGCCACGCCTTTGTCTCGCGGCGATAGGCCCCCTTCAGGACGGAGAAAGGCACGATATCGAGGGGCTGCGTTTGATGTGATGTATGCGGTGGTAGGTATTTAAGATGTACCTTATTGCGCCAGTAATAATACTGGAATTCGTAGGTAGCATGCGTAGAGGCACTATCGAGTACCAGGAGGCGCTACTTATCCCGAGACGGCTGCGTTTCCGGGAGGTATATCTCTTGTAGCTAGTTAACGGCGATATCCCTAGTGCACCACCCTGACGGAGTTGCCTCGAACTTATATATTTCCATCTCTAGTGGCTAACTGCCCTGTTCAGGGAACTATTGCGCTTGAGGATTTTCCCCTTGCATGATGAAGAGGGGTGTTAGGCGTTCGCCTTCTGCGGAGATGCATTCCAATATTGACACCTAGGCGGATGCCTTTGAAGAGTCTATCTCTGCCCGGCGAACGTAGGAACTGCCAAGTACCTTTCCGCGGTAACTATCGCCCTCCTGGAGGCCCGTTTCGTCGAGGTTTGCGATGTTGTTGTATTTGATCTTCTTTGAGTCGATCTGATACTGTAAATTGCGATAAAAAGTTGCTAGAGTCTCTCTGTCGGTTCCCTTGGCTCGCGAGGATTCCAATGGGTACCCGACCTTGCTTGCAATACTTGGGTTGCGTGAGAGGAAGCCGTTAATCCAGCGCCCTCCGAGGATGTCATTACTGCCGGATGCGTTAACGATGGATTGGGCGAAGCCTGTGGCCTGCGTACGCGACGGAGCACGCCTAGCGGCCTCCTCATTGATAATCCAGCTATAGAGGAACGTCTCTTGACTTGGTGATAGCTTCATTTGGAACCAGTGGCTGTTGCGCGCGTTCTCTGCGCCGGTAAGGCGGTTTCTCAGTGTCGATCTAGGCACTCCCCAAATGGCGGCTGCCTTCTTGCGGTTCTCGCCTTTTTCGACCGCCTTAAGTGCCCGCGCGATGCGCCACTCGTGATCGACCTTATCAGGCTTCATTACAATGGAATTGGACGATTCTGGGCCAAATGGTGACGCGACGAATTTGTTGTTGTGATGGTTGCTGAACGCGCATCACGATGTGGGGGGGGGGGTGGCCAGAACCCCTGGGTGGCCATTACCCCCTCCACCCCCTCTAGCCCGCGTCGTACCTGAACCTAGAGCGACGCCGCCCACGGTGAGGTTTTGATGGATGCCGCAATCAGCCCTTGGGCTCTGGAAACCTCATGGGCCAGACTATGAGCCTCAGAGCCTCACCTGGGCTAGTCCATGCTCGGCTTCAAGCCATCATGTCCGTCTGCCGTGGCTGTCCCCACCGTTCCCGGGGCTTTCAGCCTCCGTGCCACCATTTGTCTCGGGGGATTACGTCCTCCAGCGACGTGGTGACAGAAAAGACATGGGCACACACCGGGTGATCCCTACCCCCGTGTATGTCTTGCGCAGGGCCCCGGCACGAGGCTGGGCGCTACAGCACGGCAATCAATATCTGAGATACTGTGGTCAGCATCGGGCTGGCGCCTTCCGCCTGGCTAGATCGCCAAAACTAGAGGATGCGGCTTCCTGGGCGTCCACGGCCAAGGCTGCCGAGACGCTGGCACAGGCTGCACCCCCAAGCCATGGCTTTTGGGCATGACCTGCATGGCTCCTGCATCCCGTCCCGTTCCTTTTCCGCCGCGCGGGCCGTCTGGTCGAGGCACGCCTGTGTTTTCTGGCCCGCTTTGGATTTCCGTCTTATCTGTCCCAGTCGTAACCTGCATTCCCTGATAACTTGGACCGTTCGGCCCTTTTTTTGTTCTTGAACATCTCCCTCAGCAAGACTACTTCACCCATCCTCGTCCCGAGCCTGTATCGCTGCGTTGTCTCGTCCTGCTGCCCACTTTGCTCTGCCTGCTCGTTGCTTCGTCGCTTTCCAACTGCGGTGTCTTGCTCCGCCCAATTGAGTCGACTCACAGAAAACGCACCATTGAACCAATATCGCGGTCTGCTGGCAGCTCTAATTCGCGATCATCGCCTCGGATACGGCAAACCAAGCACGAGAAGGCCGCAAAACCTCGCTCCCTCCACGGCTGCCGTGCCCACGGACGGTGGAGACGCCGTTGATCCGGATCGGCGCAGGGATCGGCTCCCTTGCTCTCACGATAACGCGCGGGCTCAACAACATCAGGGCCGCCACCAGAATATATTGTCATCCAAGTGTTCCCCTGAGGCAGCACTGGGCTCGCATCTTCACTCAATCCTCAAGGTTCCCTATCCCTGAGCCTCGACAAGCCATTTTCTTCTACAAAGCAGCACAATATACATAATCCGCCACCATGCATCGTCCTTCATTATCAGCAGGCCTCCTGCTCGCCGTCATTCTCAACATCCATAGCACATCAGCACAAACATCGTCACCAAAGCGAGGTCTCGTATCCGTGCCGGTCGGCCCGGCGTCCGATGAGAGGAACTGGGACAGGCCCGGGTCTTCCATCACCTGGTACTACAACTACAAAGCCGAGCCGTCCCAATTCTACGCGGACAAGACACAGGAAGAGTTTGGGTTTGTGCCCATGCTCTGGGGTGCCACCTCCGGCACGGACTTCTACGATTCGGTCACTGCACAGATCAAGGCTGGCCGCAACATCACACATGTCCTAGGCTTCAATGAGCCTGACGGGCCGACACAATATGGCGGAAGCAACATTCTTCCCTCGGTCGCGGCGAGTGTCTGGGTCAAGAACATTGAGCCCCTCGCAGCTCTGGGCGTCAAGCTCGGCCTGCCAGGGACGACGGGGGGCTGGGGAGGCGTGCCGTGGCTGCAGCAGTTCCTGGGCAACTGTTCTCAGATTGTGAGCGCAGGCCTGCCGGAGAAAAAGAACTGCACATACGACTTTGTCAACCTCCACTGGTACGGCAACTTTGAGGGCCTGGCAAGCCACATGGGCACATATGCCGCAGCGTAAGTGTCTCGCACATGCAAGGAGGTACCGGATCCGCTGGCTAACAAAAGTTGCTACCCAAACAGATTCCCCAACGTCACGCAGTGGATCACTGAGTATGCGCTCGACAACCAGGATCTGCAGGCGACGCAGCAGTTCTTCAACATGTCGATGGAGTACTTTGACAGACTGGAGTCTGTCGGGCGGTACTCGTACTTTGGCGCGTTCCGCTCGCAGTACAGCAATGTGGGACCCAATGTGGTCATGCTCAACAATGATGGCAATCTGACCGACATTGGCTCGTGGTATCTGGGCGGCAGCGCGACGGGGATTGATCCTCAGTCTGGCACCAAGGTTAACGTCGGGGCCCGTTCCGGGGCAGGCGCCTCGGCTGCCGTCCTTGTGGCCACATGGATTACGGTCTGGGTCTCAACTCTGCTGTAGTATGGTCTCCGTCTTCGCGTGCTCTCCAGGCGGGATGCCACCTCATTGACATATGGGCTGTTCTTGTTTTACGACTGGGATAAGGACGATGAATGGCTGCATGAAAGGCTTGTGATAGCCGTCAGGCGCACGTATCAACCACGAACGGACTTTGGGGGCGTTTGAGCAGGCGGTTTGGGAATACCGGCTGATCCCTTTGGCACAGTATAGACATAGACACTAGAGCGGCAAAGACTTGTTTTTTTGACAAATACGGCATGCTTACAAATTGTGAAAGATCACGAGAGACGCGCCTCGTCTGGGGAAGATGGGGTAGAGCTGGGGCAAACCTTTGGTGGAGGGCGAGGCCGAGGCCGAGGCGGCGAGATACTAACGGAAGGGGTAGAGAAAACCCGACATTTGCACCACGGACAGCGGCGGAACTTGTTCCGCCCTAGGCATGGCAGTTGTTGTGGCACATTGTGGGCGATGGGCGACACAGGCACTCGGTGAGATTTTCGTGCAGATGGAATGCCTGCCCGGCTTGAGACGAGATTGCCTGCCATGCAGCCTTCAGGACATGCGACCCGCGGGATTCCCCAGATGGCGGGCCACGGTGGCGAGCAGGACGTCTGGTGATAATCAAGGCGATTGAGATGGGGAAAAGTAACGCCTGTGAAGGTGGAGAGGACTACCGGGCCCGCGCCTGGAGGGCGGAAGCAGGGCGTGACCAGCGGAACGGCGCTAGGGCCCTCCCCTAGGTAGCGCACGCACGCTGCGAGGGTGCTGAGCTCAGCATGCCCAGCTGCTGCCCACGGGTGTGCTCTGTCCTTGGGGTAAATGCCTCGGCAGAGTGGCCGCTGGTGGGGCGGCAGTAGAACACGGGGCTCTCGCTTCGTTTACCCCAGAACTCCCTGGTCCTTTAACTTTGCCATCGGCCTCCTCGTCCTCCGCATTTCCAACTTCAATCCACTCCCCTCTTCCTCTCTCCTTCCGACCTTCTGCTTCGTGGACCAGCGGTTGAACATCAGTCACACATTGCTCGACTACTCCAGGCGAACGACGAGCACATACACATCTTCACACACACAACACACACACATACCTCACACACATCGCCACCGCCGCCATGGCTGTCGAACGGGTCACCTCGCTGCTCAAGCACATCACCCCCGGCTCCTCCCTGAGCCACATGTAAGCACTTCCATTGGGCTCTTTCACTTCGAAAATACTTGTCGTCTGGTGTATGGTCCCGCGGCTAACCTGTCTCCTCCCTTGCCAGCACCTCCAAGAACCCCGATGACATTGTCATCACCTGCGCCATCCGGACGCCCCTCGCCAAGGGCATGAAGGGCGGCTTCAAGGACACCTCGGTCGAGTACCTCATCATGGCCATCCTCGAGGCCACCCGCGAGCGCATGGGTTTCTCCCCGGACCTCATCGAGGACATCACCATTGGCAACGTCTCCGACTCCAAGGCCGCCTACAAGGCCCGTGCCGCCGCCCTCGCCGCGGGCTTCCCCAACACCGCCGGCGCCAACAGCGTCAACCGCTTCTGCGCCTCCGGCCTCAAGGCCGTGGCCGACATCGCCCACAGCATCGCCAACGGCTCCATCGAGATCGGCATCGCCGGCGGTGTCGAGTCGATGACGATCGGCGGCGACCGCCTCGACCAGCCCTTTGACGAGGCCGTGACCGCCAAGTCCCAGGAGGCGCAGGACTGCATGCAGCCCATGGGCTGGACGAGCGAGAACGTCGGCCGCGACTTCAACCTCACCCGCGAGCAGATTGACGTGTACAGCGCCGAGAGCTTCCGCCGCGCCGAGGCCGCCCAGAAGGCCGGCTGGTCCGAGGACGAGATTGCGCCCATCACCACCAAGGTCAAGGGCCCCGACGGCGAGTTCAAGGAGGTCACGCTCACCCGCGACGAGGGCATCCGGCCCGGCACCACGGCCGAGGGCCTCGGCAAGATCCGCGCCGCCTTCCCGCAGTGGGGCAACATCACCACCGGCGGCAACGCCAGCCAGGTCACCGACGGCGCCGCCGCCGTGGTGCTCATGAAGCGCTCGCGCGCCCTCCAGCTCGGCGTGCCCATCATGGCCAAGTACGTCGGCACCACCGTGGCCGGCCTTGCGCCCCGGATCATGGGCATCGGCCCCACTGTCGCCATCCCCAAGCTGCTCAACAAGTACGGCCTCACGCTCGCCGACATTGACGTTGTCGAGGTCAACGAGGCTTTCGCCACCATGGCCGTCTACACCCGCGACTTCCTCAAGATCCCCCACGAGAAGATGAACCCCCGCGGCGGCGCCATCGCGCTCGGCCACCCCCTCGGTGCCACGGGCACGCGCCAGATCGTCACGGGCCTGAGTGAGCTGCGCCGCACCAAGAAGAAGATCCTGCTCACCAGCATGTGCATCGGTACTGGCCAGGGCATGGCTGGCCTGTTTGTCAACGAGCAGTTGTAAGAAAACAAGCATATCACCCGCGAAGAGGTCTGAGGTGAGGTGAGAAGTCGGCGGGGAAAAAAAGGGAAAGGCGGATATCTTGTATGAGCTACGCATAGTTTATTTATTCTTTTCTTTTGGGTGTTCAAACAAACCAGCGAATTTGGCACAGAAATGAAAACAAGAATGGAAAATGCATTGATAATGACCAGTCATATTCGAAGACCTAATAGAGCGTGCCGCTGGTGCTGAAGTGTTGTGTAGGGCTACCTTGGCTGGGCTATCTCTGGCTGCGTGATAATGTAGTGCAGTGCCGTGCACCCACCCAGGCACACTACCCGGCTCCTGGTTAAGCTTGCTTGCTTGTCTGGAGTAAGCTTATTCTTTTCTCCAGCGAAATGAGGGGAGCGTTGTCTAGTTCCCCATGGGTATGGTGGTGTTGGTGATACATCCGTGGCGGCCACGGTCCACGTGAAAGGAGACTTGAAGTGCCACGCGGAGGGGAGCTTATAGGAACGACGTCTTTCTGGATCCGCCGGGTTCCTTTTTCTTTTTTCTTTTTCCTTTTTTTTGTTGAATCGTTGTGGTTTCTTGCGCTTACCGTATGGCGATTTGGTGTGGCGTTCCGCTTGCTATGCTTTGTTTGTCTGGAATGAGCTTGTTCTTTCATCCTGGGAAAATGGGAACCGTTGTCTGCTTCCCATGGGTACGGTGGCAGCGGCGGCGGCGGTGGTGGTGGTGGTAGCGTCCATGCCGGCCGAGGCCTACATGGAGGGAGACCGTATGAATCGCATGGCTGACTTATAGGGAACTCATGTTTTGAATGCTTATAATTTTGTGCGTGCCCAGGTGGACCGCATGGCGCTTTGGTGTGTTCCAGCGATGTGTGTGTCCTTTGAGACAGGCAGCATGTCATTTTTTGGACCACGGGTAACGGGCAACGGGCGTGTGCACAGTCTTCTCTATCGCAAGGAACTGTGTGTGGTGTGTGTGTGTGTGTGTGTGCTTTGTGTACAACACGCTCTATTTTGTGGTCCAGCAGGACCCGTTGTCGTCTTTGACTTGTGATGGATACGAACATTGGCTAACAGCGCTACTAAGCTTTGGCACCACCGTGGTGTATTTTGGGGGTGAGCAGACCTGGACGAGCGACAGAGAGCATGTGATGGCCCCTTGCCGGGCCTCTGCGTCCAGTATCACCGGCAGCTTGGTACAGCATTGCTTTGGAGCTTTCTGGAAGGCAAGGACTGGCCTGGCCGTACCTTTCTCCGCTGCCATGTGGGAAGCCTGCCGTGGCTCGCGTGGCTGCGGTTGTTCCAGCGGCACGTTATTCTTGGGATTTAAGCTTAAAGATGGTGGGTTTACTTCGGTCGCCCATGTGCAGAACGGCTATTTCGTGCAAAGTATTGATACGAGCAGGTCAAGGCTGATGTTCCGGATACCGGAGTATGGCATCGCGAGCAGAATGATAGTGTTTCGAAGCCTAATCACGACCAACTAAGTCGTTTGGGATTCACTTCCCAAACCGGTAATTCATGTCCAGGGCAGAACCGCCTCTGTTCGCTTTCGCAGCCGCTTCCCTTGGAACTTTGGCGCTCTCACATGCAATCTCACATGCCATCTCCGAATGCCATCTCGTTCCACACAATCTTGTGCGGTACAGTCCATCCATGGATATGGAACCAGCAAGTGTCGCGACCGGGGACAAGTAAGCCATGACGCCCAACCACAACTTACACGATGCCGGTACAGCTGCTTCCCGTCCAAAGCCGGACCGCACACACAGCACTCGCCTCACCTCACATCTGCCACTACTCCCATGCCAGGCTTCACATAGGGACGGCTACGGTCATAGACTCTGCCTCCCACAAGTAAAGTCTATTCATCGGAGATGCATACGCAGGCGAGGGGACGTCTCCCATTTCATATTTCTTCACCATCCGTCCTCCGTCATTTCCCTCCCTCGTAGCAGGGAGACATCTGTTCTGCAACAGCACAGTCCAAAGCCACCGCAAACCCAGACACTGCACCAAAACCAAAACCAAAAAAAAAAGCTCATTCTTCTTTCATAACATAAAAGAAACAAAAGGGATTCAGACAACTTAACCCCCATCCCGCGCAAGCCCAAAGCTCCTCGCTCTTGACATCTCGGACTTCAGAGAACCAAGGCTCGACAAGCGAGGCCACCCAGAAGGGCAACTTCTTGTGTATACAGCACCCTACAGCACAACAAAACCACAACGTTTTATACACATCCGACGATAGTCTAGCACGTTCTCCGCAGCTACCAAGTGTACAAGCAGCACGGAGAACAACGAACCCTTACGAATCCACGGCAAAGAGAAAGCCACGACAATAACCACACAGAAAAAGAACTCTAGAAAACACAATGGCTTCGCAAGCTCAAGTCAAGACCGCCACCGCCGCCACCGTCGCCGCTCCCGGTGCCGATGCCGGTGCCGCCAGCGAGACCACCAAAGACCATCACCACCACCGCTCCTGGGCATCGATCGCCCGGGGAGCCGGTGCCGGGAGCGGCAGCAGCAGCAGCAGCTCCTCCTCTACTGCGACAAAGTCCACTCCTGCTGCCACGCATTACTCTCCCACCGACTTCCCCTCGCTTTCTCCCAAGTCGTCTTCAAAGTCATCTTCCTCACGTGCGACATCGCCCAGCTCTACCTCGTCATCATCATCCCCACCACCACGGCCACCGTATTCTTCTTCTTCTTCCTACCGTTCCACCTCACCATCCTCCTCATCGGAGACTTCACCCGGTCCAGTCAAGCTCAAGCGGTCATACCGAGACGCTTCCCTCTCGGGCCTCAGACTACCAGGCCCTGCCCTCGACCGCCGCGAGGCCACGGCTAAAACGCCGGCGAACACCACCACCACCACCACTACTACTACGGCCAACACAAACTCCACCACAGCCACTCCGCAGGAGCAGGAGCAGCAGCAGGAGGAAGAGAAGAAGAAGACAAAAGACGAGACAGAGAGCAGTGGAACCCACCTTGACACAGCAGAGGCACACATCGACAAATTCGACACCAAGGCCGCCGAGGCTGTGCAGGTCGCAGATGACACCACCACCACGACCGCCAAGAAGGATGACGAAAGCAGCTCCCCTGCCACCACCACCACACAAATCAACCCATCCGCGGAGGAGGAGGAGGAGCAGCGGCAGCAGCAGGACTCATCGGTCGAGCAAAGTGTCGAAGACGAGACCATCAAACAGGACACACCTGAGCAGCCTCTCGCCTCCGCTACTGCATCCACCAGCCTGCCCACCACCCATCAAGACGACCTCACCGGAGGCATCGTCATCGCCAGAGGGACCAACTACACCAAGGCTGCAGAGACATCATCGCGCAGAGCAGCGGACCGGGCACAGCAGGAGCCTTACGACACGGAAGGACTCTACACGGCATGGCACTATGAACAGGAGATGCGGCAAAAGGCATTGCAGGAGTGGCACGAACAGCAAGAGCTTGAGCGGAAGCAGCGCCAGTGGCAGGAGCAGCGACGACGGCAGCAATGGGAGGATTGGCACCGTCTCCAGCAAGAGGCCCGTCAGAAGAAGGCCGACGAGCAGGAACACCCGAGATGGCCGCTCCCCGAGCAGCTGCACAGCTCCGACGACAACCGGACCGAGGCCGTCAACGAGGCGCTGCGGAGACGGGCGTCCGAGTATGTGTCACAAGTCCGCGGCCGAGTCAAAGAGCTGAGAAAGTGTGGTCTCGTAGGACCAGACAGTCCATGGACTACTTGCCCCGAGCAGAGGGCGCATGCTCTCTTCGTCGAGACACGCAATGTGCTCCGCGAAGAGTTCCACCGGGAACTCACATACCGGCTGAATCGGGCCAAGGGCAATAATGAAGTCGCCAGCAGGATGATCCGCGATCCCGAGCTATATCCGATGGAAACAACTGATGTCGAGCCCCGGACCATCGGGCCAACCGAGACGTATGAGCTAATGATGGAAGAGCTCAAGGTCTTGGAGGGGAAACTCGAACCGCGCTACGTCCCCAGGCAGCTTGATCCGGACGTGGCATATTGGAACCGGCTGGCACTGGAGAGGATCATGGACGATGTGATGCCCACCGTCAAATGGTGGATGCATGTGGACAAGGACTTCTGGTACAAACTGCCGTGTTGCTCACGGGCAGCTATCCTGCAGGAGCCGGTGGAGAAACGACCGGTCAGCGGGCATGGGCCAGTCTATGGCGAACTGGAGAAGGAATGGAAACACTAAAGCAACCGACTGGATGGGTTGACGGGTACAGGGCGGCTACCTTGAGAGAGCCGGTGCAGGTCACCGGTTGTCGGCCAATCTGTGGTGGATTGGGAGGAGCAGTGGAAACACGAAGCTAATGATTGGATGGTTGACGGGCATCGGGAAATGATCTGTACATTATCCATGATATGAGCGTGGACTGGACGGATGTAGGGGGATGGATTGTACAGTATTCATAATATGATCGGCTTTTGGATTCTCTCAGTGTGAAACGCACGTGCTTGCTGTCTGTGATGTGACGTCTGGTTTCCATGGTGGGTGGGGTCTTGAGCGTCCCATGGTTCCAAGGTTGAGTTAAAGTCGAGCGAAGCAGCGCACGTGACTTCGTGTCAGAGAGGGAGCGCGACATTTGGCACGAGTCAGCGACAGTGGCTCTAGCCTCGCCAGCGATCTTGGTAGCTGTCGTCATTGGTGTCGACTCCTGGTCGAGTGCGGCCTGTCTCTGCAACGGCTTGGGAAACTTTGCTGTGCAGCTTGCCACACTGACATGGCTTCGTGCAGTGTCTGTAGCCGTCGATTGCGTGTCGAGCATGTGTGTGCGTGCAAAATAGCAGCGTGGGACTGACAGACAGGCATGGGGGATTTGACGTGCCGTGGCCACACCCACAAGTGGCAGCCCGTGTGGACAACCACTGACTGCTACAGCATCCGCCGCCTATTTGCCTTGGGTAGCGTAAGGCATTCTTCTGGAGCCTGTCACAAATGCCCAGCTTTTGTTTGTTGTTTGCCGGATTGAACATTGCTGTCCCTAGAGCCAAAGACTCGACTCGGCCCGCCCGACGACGAGAGCGGGCGGCAGGGGCGAGGGATTGGCATGCATGAAGAATGCGCAACGGGCGACAGGCATCCGGGGTGGAAACGGCGCGGCACAGGGCTGGGTGGAGGCATTGAGAAGCCCTGGGCACACAACCCTGCGGTGTTTATTGCTGTCGAGGCGAGGTGGTGTCTCCGGTGAGAGGCATCACTACCAAGTGAGGGGATCGCAGGCTGCCACAAACGGGGCGATGCTGGAAAGTGCAGTCACGAACAAGAGCTTGCGTGGCAGGCACGACACGACCGGCTTGCGTACGTTCCCAGAGTCTGGTGCACTGGCTGGCGAATGGTGTTGCCTAGTCCGGAGCTGCGCTGTACCAGACTTGGACTTCCCCAGCAGCAGCAGCAACGCGCCGCGCCCCAGCCAAACAAGAAGCACAACCACACGAGTCATCGTCTGCCACAGCACCTGCTTGCTGGCTGTGCAGGTCTGCCCAACAGCCAGTTCCATGCCACTGGAATCAAGAGGCCAACGCTCTGGAGTAAAGCAGTCGTCATACAAACACACGCCTCGCCCACGGATCGCCTGGGCAGGGGACCGTTGCTGGAGAGTGGGTGCTGACCCGAGGTCAACCACACGCGTCTAAGCCAGCTGCGCTGCGCTGCCCACTTGTGGCCGCCGTGCTGTGCTGCTGCATGCGTCGCCGTCGCCAATTAGGCCGGGCCAAGGATCCTGCTTCTCTTCGTCGTCAACCACACACACACCTGCCCTACTCCTTCTGACACGCAATACACAGCATCTTCCCATCTCTGTCAACACTCGCTCTCTCTCCGTCTGCCCCTCGGCCCCGTCGTCTGCTGCTCCCCATTGCGTTGCTGGCAGTGTGCAGAGTACCTGTGTGTGTGGGGGGGTGTGCTGCCGACAATTACACCACACTACACGACCCCAGAACAATTGACGCGCGCCCACCGCACTGACTCCTCCCACCACCTGCCTGCCCTCCCGCCGCCTCCCCTCCCACGCGACGACAGACGCGGGTCTCCGTCTCCGCCCAAGTGCTGTTGCCGCCCGCCGCCAGCGACTCTGGTCTCTTGACCGACAAGTTCGCCTCAGACACATATATCCTGCCTGGCCTCCCATCACGCGTCGGCACTGCCAGGGACCTCGCTGCCGAATGATCTTGTCACCATCCGCTTCCTCGCAAGACATGTCACAGACCACGGCAGGCGTGCTCCCTGCGCCGGACACGGCCCACGGTCACGGTCACGACCACAGCCATGGCCACCCCCACCACGACTCGAGCACAGAATCGCAATCCACAACGGCCACAACAGACATCACTGACCGCGTCTTTACTCCCCCGGGCAGCGACAGCGGTCGGAGTAGCGGCAATGCCCCCGCCGCCCCTTCTTCGCAGGACTCCCAGCTCTTCCAGCTCTCAGAGCTGGCCGCTGCCCGGGACAAGATCCCAGAGGCCGACAACGCCACGGCCGTGTCCCGCAAGCGGACCGCCGACGGTGCCGTCAAACACACTCGGAACGGGTCAATGATGTCGCCCACCAAGCCCGGCCATTCGAGAAACACGAGCACGGTCAGCGTCGCCTCGACAGCAGGCAGTCGGATTGGAGAGGTATGGATCCGGCAGGTCCCTATGGATGGCGTGTTCTTGGTACTAACACGGACTGCAGCTCTCGGCCGAGCTCCGGGCGAAGCTTTCATATGCCATGGTCAAGGTCAACAATGGCTGGCAAGGGCACTCTATCGACGAGGTGGAATCGCTGGCGTCACAGGTAGCCTCACCAACCTCGAGCACCTCGACAATACACGCCCGCAACCGCGCGTCCGCCAGCCCGCGTGTTGCGTTCGCCCCGAACAAGCTTGGCTACGGCAGCACTGCCACGAGCCCTGCCGTTCAATATCCCCCATCAACTCGCGGATATGACTCGGTATGGAAGGACAATGTCAACAGACCCCGGAGCTCAACATCGCCTACTACAGCACCGGGTATTGCTACACTTGCACCGCCGGCTCCTATACGAGCCGGCGAGCACAATTTTGCTAACCCTCGCCGCAACTCAAACGCCAAGTACACACCTGCGTATCTGTCAAACGCCTCGCCACACACTCCTGCTCAGCCGAGTCCTCTCCAAAGCACACCAGGACAGACCACCCTGCGCACGCCACAGATAGACCCGATTTTATTCTCACCGCACCAGAACTTCCGTGAGCAGGAAGCGCTGGAAACCCTTGTGTTCATGAGCAGCCCGGGCAACTCGGCCAACATGAAGCACAACTTTCCTTCGTCCCAGGGATCACAAGCACAAGGAAAAGCTGGGGTACGAACGGCCCTTCCGACTTCACGACTCGGCCCTGGCGTGGACAACCAGGCCAACGGCCGCAAGAGCCTGCCAAGTGGGCGGCCGCAACAGACACCCGGAACGCATGCTAAGCATGTCGGCTTCGCCAAGTCACCGAGCAATTTGAGTGCCATGGACGTCGACGAGCCTCAGCTTTCGCCACAGAATCGCGGCACGCCACGACGGAGGACGCTGGGTAGCGGGCCACGTCCGTCACTATCGACGCCAGCTGGTCTAGGCGGGGCGGGCAGATCTCGTCCGGCACTACAGGACGTGGACATTGAGCGAATGCTAGACCGCGTTGCAGCAGCAGGGGATAGCTCCGACTCAGAGGGCGAGATCTCACTGCCCCACGACCGAAGGACACAACAAGGCGCAGCTGGCGTGGGTGCCTGACACGGCGGCGTATATAGCCCGAAGGCGTTATTATTTGGTACGTATATATGGCTTGGTTACCGCGACAAGAGCATGGCGTGTTGTTGTAGCGAATATCCTTTGGACTGGAGCTCTGCCATGAGGCACAGACACATTCTTGCATCGCACATTTGGATCATCCTTGGTATACCCGATGCTCGGGCGAGGTTAGGAATCTCGGCTGTCAATATCTTGGGATATCATCATATCACGAGCATTATGAACTGGCGTTTGTTGTGTATTTATATAGTGCTACAACTGGAAACACATTGGCGCCCTTGGAAAGGATTGGATGTGTTCGGCCCTGCCTGTGCCATGGCAATCTTAACTGCTCTGCACGGAGTAAGTAGTCTGGTTTGACGGAGTCCTGTCTAGCAGGTGAAACATTGTTTGTGATGTGGACAGGCCCCCGCGGAACCAACCCCGCGTGTTTTGCCATTTTCGGGTGTGGGGACCAGGGGTCTTCCTGGCAGGCGCTCCATTCCCGTGGATCCCCGCGCCACTGTTGGGGGTGGACGGGAATGCAGCGAAGATCATATGTACTGTCACTTTGCTTTTTCTCCCGCTCCAGCTCGCATCATCGGAGAGAAGGGGAAGCGGGGGGGTTTAGAATCGGATTGTTTGCTTCTTTTCAGGGTCGATGATTCCGGAACGGGCTGTTGGCTTTCTCTCTTGCTTGTGGTGCCACCACCCGGAGGAGCGGCCATTCGTTCATGTACAAAGGCAAGAAAGTATTCCTGGCTCAGGTGGGTATGTGCAACCACCCAGCTCTCGGATTCTGCGGCTTAGTTAGTGGGTGCAAGGGTGCTGCTGCTTGTCAACTGATCACGAGCACATCGCTACGCTGACCTTTTTGAGACAGACCAGTTGACAGCTCTGCAGAGAGACCCCCGGGGGAGGGGGGGCGAAGGCGGGTGACGCCCCTCCCCGTTCCCCGTTAGCCCACGTGCAGCCTGCTCGAAAGGGCTAACTAGCCCATGCGGGACGTCATTTCAGTCGCCCTTGGAAATCCTCCCTTCTTGTCCTTTGCTCGGAATCGGGAGCGGATTTGTTTCGCCCGTTCGTGAGGGCACGGCATGCATGGTATGGCTAGGCGCCGCGGCGTAAAGGATGCACAAGGGAAGCATTTTATTAGCCAAGCTGCATGTGGGTAGTCCACTGGGACTTGATTTGCTCGGTTCGACCGGGTCTTTGGTGGCAAACCACGCGCGCGTGTGTGTTTAGTTATTCCCAACGGAGCTTCCCTCTTGTCATGTTTGATAGACACCCCGTGTTTATGAAGCCCTTTTTTACAAACTTGATGGACGAAGCTGTCATTATGATGATGTTGTTACCCCTCCGTGGTGTTGGGCGAGGTTGTGGTGGCGCTGGAGCATCAGCCCGGCCCCGTGATGGCGTGCAGGATGCATGAAGGGTACATTGCCGTTTCTCGTCGAGTACGGGAACCCTGGGAAACGTGTGACCTGGGCTCCGCTCATTCGCACAGTCACGGGCACAAAGGCACCTGCCTGGGCTGCAAAGAGACATGCATGTTACCTGTTCATATACTGAGTCAGAGGGCGACTGGAGGTGTGTGTGCATCTGCACCCACCAGCACCAGCAGGAGGGCCGATGGCTCGCTACTTCTGGCGTCAGCTGGTCCTGAGAATTGTCTGGGGATGACGGAGGCAGGTGGCACGCCCAACACACGGTTGTTCTTTCCTCGTGGTGATGAGCTGGAGACGTGTGCGCGTGCGGATTTATGACGACAACGAGGTCAACTTGTGGTCAGACCTCGCCTCCCTTTCCACAATACATGCGACTTGGTTCTTTCTCCTTGGCCAGCATTCTTCTCCATCTTCTTCTTCTTCGACGTACAACTTGCACGACGAGCGAGTTTAGTAATACCCGACATAGAAATCCCCAGCAACAACGAAAGGGACGAGGACCGTGCCTGGCCGACTCGGATTATTGATACGATAGAAACTCGCAGTCCTCTGCAATTCCCCAGACGTTTCTTTTCTAAACGTCAGGTAGATAGCCTTGTGGCGTTTCAACCTCGCCATCTCTTCCCTGCGTTTCTACCACAATCGAAACAACAAATAGACAAGCACCACCACCGCCCGCTCGGGGCTGCCGCCACTGCTGCTGCTTACATTACGAAGCTGACTCACGCCCACCCATCCGACGTCTGTTTCAGCTCACCACCCCAAAAACGGTGCCCCCCGGCTTACAGATATTTATCAATATAACAACTGCTTGCAGCAAAATATCGTTGCCCGTCATCCTGAGCTCTCAGAGATCGGGATACATCGTCACATACGACAAAACAACATCAAAAGAGAACGACGAGACTTTTGATCCCTCTCCACCACAAGCAGAGCACCGCCGGACAGCATAGAGCAAAACACCACCATCAAAGTAGCACAATTTTGCAAAGAACAAGTCCACACACAAAAGATGGCGGCGCAGGAGTACTTCCAGAACCACCCAGCGGCGGCGAGCGCGTACTCAGCACCACCACCGCCGCGGCCGCCGGCGCACGCGGGAGTCCACTTCCAGCAGCAGCAGCCAGAGTATAACAGCGGTGGCAGGAGCGGCAACTACCCCCAGCGATACCACGGCAGTGCCGGGGACACCAGGCTCCTCGCACCAGCTTCTGCGCAACGCCGTCCCCCTCACCGCGACCATCGGCGGGACGATGACTACGACGATTATGACGATGATGATTCTGATGAGAGGGAGTACAGTCACCGCCGACCAAGAGAGCACGGCGGCGGCGGTGTAATATCATCATCCCGCCGCGCTTCGCCGTCGGGCAGGAGAAGCACCGATCGCAGCCGGAGCCGCCGCGGGTACTCAACTGACGATGACGAAGGAGATGAACGCGGCGGCGGGCGCTCTGGTAGCAAGTCGTCTCGTCACCGCCGTCACCGCCACGACGGCGGCAGCGGTAGCCACCGCTCATCTCGGGAAGAGCACGACCGCGGGGGTGGTGGTGGTGGTCTGGGCGCGACGCTCCTCGGCGCCGCGGCCGGGGGAAGCCTGGCCAAGAAGAAGATGGGCACGGGAGGGTTGGGCACCATGGTCGTCAGCGCGCTCGGGGGGTTGATTGCGAACAAGGTCGAGGACAAGATCAAGGACAGGAGGGGCAGCCACGGGTCCAAGGACCAGGACAGGGAGAGGGAGAGGGACAAGGAGAGTCGGAGAAGGCAGCAGCAGCAGCATGACGGCTCGCACCGCCGTGATGAGGATGGATATGACCGGCATGGTGGTCGGCATCATCTTCTTCCCCATCGTGGACATGACGGGCAAAGCAGGAGGAGCAGTCCCAGTGGGGGCCGACATCGCGGACATCGCCATGAGTAAAAGCATCCTTTGGGTATCAGTATCGCAAGGAAGGTACCGGTATTTCCGGACAGCGAGGGGGAAGGATGTGGCTACATACGATTCCGGGAAGGATCGAGAGCATGGCAGCCGCGGGCACTAGGTACTGGCTTGCGGCTTCCTCGCAAGGCGTTCGCCCTGAGCCCGGAAAGGGGAGTGTGTCACCGCAGTCTTTTAAGTCACGAATAAACGAGGGATGACCAGTCCACCAAACTAGACGCACCTCAGGGTTTTGCGGTTTTTCTTTCTTGTCTCGTCATGTGATTCGCATACATGTCTAGAGCAACTTCATTTCTGGAAGGGTGAACAAGATGCCGAACCTCGAGACACGACAATCTCGCGGAGAATAAACTTGACGTGGTTGGACTTGAATCTGTTTAAAAAATCGAACGGCTATGTGCTCAACAAAGCGGACATTTAAGAACTCGTGCGCACACAAAGAAATCTGAATCCTCCTCCCCTGCCTCGTCCTCCTTCCCTGCCACCGGCAGGCAGATGGCGACTCCGATGGAAAATCTTCCCTGCCTCGCACGGTTTCGACTACCGTACTGTATGACATCCCAACCACAAGGAATGCACCACAAAGAGAAGCCTCGCGCCCTCTCCACATCAACTAGTCGGCCACCACCTCAGATCGTTCCCGACTTGCCATAAGCTCTGGCCTTGCGGGTGCGGTACGCGTCGCGGTGCTTGTACCGCTCAAAAGTGCCGAAGCCGTAGACGCCAAAGGCGATGATGGTCCACACGCAGGCAATGTACAGGCCGATGGGCTCGATGAGGATGTTGACGCCGGGGACGACGAACGCGGCGGTGCCGTTCTTGAGCGCGGCGATGGCGTCGTCGACGGCCAGCTGGGCCCGCGCCATGTCGGAGAGCACCACGTCGTTGGCAAAGACGCCGTTGACAAAGATGGCCTCGTTGGAGGTCACCCGGGTGGTGGCCTGCTGGCCGAGACCGTTGGTCGCCGAGAGGGTGACCATGGGTGTGATCCAGGACTCGAGGAGACCCCTGCCATTTTGGTCAAATGTGTTAGCGAGTGCCGTTAATGTTTTAGCCGGAAAAAAGACATTGCTCCTTACTTGTCAACCTTGTCCGCCAGCTTGTTGGCATCAATGGTTCCCGCCAGCATGTATGTCCGGATCAGCATCGGCGCGGCTCCGCTCTGCCGGCGCAGGAGCTTCAGGTCGGTCTCCATGCCGGCACCAGTGTTGGCAGTGTTGGACACAAGCATGACCGAGGCGCCGCTGAAGGCCACCTTGGCAGCCACGTTGGCCGCAGACACGCCCGCAAAATCGCCAGACGCCGTCGAGACCTGGAACAGGCGCATGTCGGCCATGAACTTGCCGCTCCCGGGGGTGGAGTCGAGGCTGAGGAGGTTGTAGCACACAGAGGTGCCGGACGGGTTGGTGGCCGCGGTGATCTGCGAGAGCGCCTTCATGCAGGCGTTTGTCGTGTCCGTCTCCCACTTGGCCATGTCGACGGCGCTGCTGCTGACGACGTTGCTGCTGTTGTTCTGCTGGGTCTGCCTGCGATCGAGCATGGCGGCCTCGGGCAGGACGTCCTCGAGATCGCGGACCTGTGGCGTCTTCATTTGCGGGTCGGCGCTGTCTTCGAACCATTTCGCCTGGGCGAGGGCGACCAGGCTGGAGGTCACGAGTGTCCTGAGGGAAGGCATTGTTGGGCGTATTAAGAGTCGTCGTGTGAGTGCGGACTGGTAAAGATTGTATGGGGTGGTTCCAGATTATTTGATTGATGCCGACCAGCGGTAATTCTGCCTGAGTGCTTCACTGAGTCGTCGAGTTCTGGACGGACTTGACACGTGAGGGTATCGAGAAAATCGGAAGCAGGCAGGCGAAAGACAAAACGAAACGGGGACCGGCCCTTGACGACGACGAGGTTGGCGGACGAGGTGAAGAAGTCGAGTCGCGCCGAGATTACGCTTGGTGGAAGCAGAGAAGGGGCGAGGAATTCAGAAAAGACAGCAAAAGGAGAGCCACAGGGAGAGGTTGCAACGGTAGAGGAGACGAGTGCCGGGGCGAAAGCGCCAGGCGTGGTTCCTGGGAGCAGGGATGCCTGTCTCGATCGTGACAGGGGGGATGGTGAGGCTCAGCAGCTGCATATACAGTATGCCCTCGTGCTGGTGGTGGCCACTGGTCCAGGCCGTACGATGCGGGAGCCATGGTGGTGCGCGGCTAGCCGTGACAAGCTCTGCCGACTGCCTCATCTTGTGTTGCGTGAGGCACGATCATGATTCGATGCCCTCGTGGCAGAGGCCGTGGTGTGCAGCCCAAGGCCAAGCGTGGGTGCCAGGGGCGTGTTGCAGGTCTGTCGCAGGACCAGGGGGGTCTCTCCACTGGAGCGGGACGGCGGCGGGTGGAGAAACCTTGGGAAAAGGTGCAGCCACGACTCTTCCACAGCGCATGCCTGGCCCGCCCCCATGAAACACCAGGGGTCTCGAGTCTCGAGTCGCAAACTGCCTCTTCGCGATACCATCAAATTCGGCTCTTGTGTTGCGTCTGCTACCAGGCTTATATCTCGATGGTGAGATCACCAGCCATTTCGCCTGGCCTGCTGCTTTGCCCGCTGTGAACAAACAATGCCTCCATCGCTTCGACTCTTCGTAGCACATGCCACGTTCTTGACTCTCTGCCACTCGGTAGTATCTGATTCGTTCCGTCGTCATTAATCTGTACTACCTAAACTAATAATACCTCCATGACAATGCAATCATGAACGTCGTGCATGGAAACAACAAAACACAAAGAGCAGACCCTTGGCGAGGAGCCGCGGGTGGGGATATCATAATACCGTCCAACAACCTTGTCAAAAACTCCACAAACGCCTTGCATCGCACTGCACTCCACCTCTTCCGCCACCGTCAGATGCTTAGACATGCTCACTTCCCCTCGATCAACGACTTGAGCCGCTGGTGCAGCTGCGGCGCACTCGTCTTGACCGTGTGCGACACCTTGATGAACGCCAGGTACAGGCCGACCGCCGACCATACGCCGACGATGGTCACAAGTCCAAAGACGAGCTTGGCGTCGACGACACGTCCAACCACGAACCGCCACAGAGCGTCGCCAGTGTGGTGCAGACCGTTCATGGCAGCGGACCTCGTCTCTTCCTGAAGTTGCCTCTGCGCCTCCCTCGTCTCCCGCTCCTCGACCGCGCCCAGCATCTTCCACGCGACCTTGTTGCCAATCTTCTCCCAGGTCGCAGCTCGTGCTTGCGCAAGTCCCGCCTGGCTGAAGTGGCTGCGAAGCTCGGCATTAGTGGCGAGCAGCTGCACCTTGCCAACGAAGTCTGCGAGGTCCTCGGGCGGGGACAAGAAGCCAGTGCGGCCGTGGTCGATGATGTCGCTGGGGCCCCCCTCGTCCCGAGCAATCACGGGCACGCCGCTGGCCATCGCTTCGAGGACGACCAGGCCAAACGTCTCGGTGACGGAGCAGTGGAGGAAGATGTCCGCCGACGCGTAGTGGGCCATGAGGTCCTCGCCGACCTTGAAGCCGGTGAAGATGACCTTGCCCTTGGCCGTCGTGGCCGTGAACATGTCCTTGACCTCCTGCTCCACGACAGGGTTGCGATTGCCACCGACAATCACGAGCTTGAAGGCAAGGCCGCGGCGATCGAGCTCCTCGGCGGCCTGGGCGAGAAAGCCGTAGCCCTTCTCGCCGGCGATTCTGGAGCAGGTGAAGAGGATGATCTCGCCGTTGGGCGCCCACTGTCTGCGGAGGTCCGCACTGCGCTTGCTGGGGTTGAACCCGTCGGTGCTGACTCCGCGACGAAGGACTTCCATCTTGTCGCCATCGATGCCACAGGAACCTTCGAGGTATCGGCGCACAAACTTGCTCGGATAGAAGATGGTCTTGATCGAATCGTGTCGGAACAGGTAGCTCTGAACTTTGCCAAAGACCCAGCTCGCGACAGTGCCCAGCGGCGCAGGGAACAGGATCTCACAGTAACCGGCCAGGTCGGTCTGGAAATTGCACAGGATCGGGATCTGGGATTCTTTAGGGAGCTTGCGGAGCTGCAGCATGACCTGGAAGCCGAGCGAGGCAGGGCTGGCGAGGTAGATCAGGTCGGGAGCCTGCCCGAAAGTGCGGCGGTACAGCTCGGACAAGCGGACAGGGTAGACCACCGACAGTTCTGGGTTGACTGGGAGCGGGTATCCGGTGAGGCGGACCTCCTGCGTGAAGGTGATGGTGCCGGAGCTGGTGCTACTGGTCTCGACTGGGACAAAAGTGTTGACCTGGGTGTGGTTGTGAGGCGCGACGACGGCAACAAGAGCACCCTGCGATCGGAGATGGTTGACGAGCATGAGAGTCGTGCGCGAGACACCGTTGACTGGCCCGAAGGACTCGGTACATAGCAGGATGCGCCGGCCACGGAGGCCAGCGGGAAACTCTTCGAGGTTGGGGGAGGATGGCTCCATGTTTGAGAGGGCTGGCTTCACCTCGTATGACGGGAGCAGTGGTGCTGCCTTTGCGTCCTCGACATGGTCGATCTGCAGCTTGGAGGCGGAGGGTGACGCCGAGTGCTTAAAGTGCGATGCGATGCTGAGGTGTTGATAGTATGTCTGCCACTTGTTTGCGCGTGACGGCGTCACGTCGTGGGAGAGGAGTGGGCTGGTCTCGTGCTTGAGGTCCACGGCCTCGTCAGATGCCGCAGCAGGCCAGGGACTGTGGGAGTCTCGGTAGTGCCGCTTCGCCATGGCAATGATGTTCATGATGACAACCAAGGAAGGCACAATGATGGGCTGTTGCCGCGGGCGGGTGTGGGTGATCTTGTGGTTTGCAAGTGGTCAGGAAGTGGAGGTAAACCTCGATTTACAGCCACTCGAGGGCAAGAGGATTGCGAGGAACGACGTCGGCGCGGGTAGGTCGTACGGCCTACCTCTCTACTGATGTGGCCGCATATGTACCACGGGCAAGAAGCCCCTCACCTCACACCCGGGCGAACATGTCTCTTGCGCGCGCCGTGCTGCAAGACAAGGTGAGGCTCTTGCCGGCAGCTTGTCAGAAGTCGAGACACGGACACGGGGAGCATGTCATTGGCGAGCGAGGCTCGAGAGAGAGAGGGAAAGACCCATTCCAGCGGGCTCCTCGGTGCCTCCATCTTTCACAATTGCCCCTCCCTCATGTCATGGATGTGTGCGCCACTGCTGCTTCCAGATTGGGTAACATGGAGGATCGACAAAGGCCTGGCGATTCAATGTTGTCCATCAGGTGCCCTGCGTTTGGGTACATGGAGGTGGGGGCAGCTGCCCGCCGGTACTTCTTAGTCGCGATCGGATCTGGAAGGGCGCTCGGTGCGTAGGCACGGCGGGGTCGAGTCGTCGCATGCAACCGCCGCCGGCGGGAAGGATCACGGACGCTTGCAGGCGAAAGGTCGAGTCAACCTAAAGTGAGGCTTGTTCTGGAAGTCGTCGAGATATCCAACACCTGCAGCGGCCCAATCAGGTCTCCGTATCAGCGCACACGGTTATCTTTGTGCGCGCCAATGAGCGCCTGCAGATCGATCACGTCCCGCCAGCAGAGGCCTTGGTAGGCTGTCATTGGTGCACTATTCAGACTACTAGCTCTAGATCCCCAAGCATCCATCGGAGCATGCACACCTGACTTGAGCCCTGCATTTGCCCATGACCCTGAATGTGAGGTGGAAGACAAGTGAGAACTACCCTGAGGGTCGCATGGGAGCCGAGTCACTGTCTTCTCCCAGTATGCCTGATCATGCTTCCTTTGTGCCTGTTGTCATTTCACATACCCCCACGGTGGACGAACAGGGGCGAGGAGGGGTCACCTGCCACTATCACCACTCGTTCGCATGCTTCATCATGGAGGGGTGCCTTTCCGACTTTGTGTGACTCGAGCGCCTTATCGGGTAATTGCGGGACGATATGGTGCCCTCCTACCATCTTGGCTGCTATCCTCGCGCACGCAGCTGAGGCGACAGCCAGATACCGCTGGGGCTTGTGACTGGACAGTCAGGTTGCTCTTCAAGGTGTTGTGCTGCGCTTCAGTGGCTACGGACTTCCCGCCGTCTGCCCCTCGCGCGGACGCCGGGCAACGCTGATCGGCGTCCTTTGGCTACGCAAGGCAGCGCACTCTCTAGATCTACGCCAGCCTTTTGTATTGCTTGTGATGCAAGGACAGAAAAGTGCTTCGTGCGGCACGCCGCATCCTCAGGGCGGTCAGGTCGTCGATGCATGTGACCTCTTATTCTCCCTCGTCGAAGTGACATTTTGTCTCTGTGCCTACCTCTCCTGCCGCGTGGGTACTGCTGCAGTGTTCCCTGTTACTTGAACATTGAAGAGACGCCAGTGCCAACCCAATCGCTGGCTTTATTTCGTGCTTGTCAGCAGTCTCTGTGCGGGCTGGCCGCCTCATTCGAGAATCGTGTCAGCCTTGCGATGGCTGGTTCTCTGAGGTGTATCCCGCCTTTTGTGCGACCAAGATATTCTCGCTTGAATGCAGGGGTTCCACGATGCGCTACAGCCAGCGAGCGGGCAGTAAGGTCAGTGATATATCACGTCTCTGTAATTGATGACACCGTAGATACCCTGGTTACAGATGGAGCCGGTTAGGCAGGATCACCGCTGGTTGGCTCATTTTTCTGCGGCCCCTCCCAGAGAATGCCGCACCGGAAGGACAGGAAAAGACGCCTAGGGCGGCAGAGACTGGCTTTGCTCGGCCATGGCTAAGTGTGCTTGCATTCGGCTGTGAAGATAGTGAGATCTTGCCGAGAGACGCTTCTATGAGGAGGCTCGTCAGTGAAGTACTCCAGTTGTGGTGCCATAGTTGATGTGCATCTTCGTGGGACGGGTGGCCATAACAGGCTTATCGAAGGCGGAAAGCACATGTCCAGAGACAGAGTGATCTCAGCTCGGCGATTTTACAGCGATATGTAAGGTGTCATGGGATGGTCTAGCTGAGCTAGCGGCGTGCCGGTACGTGGACGATGAGGCCGGCGGGGAGCCAACCCGGAGCCTGCCCCTGCCCGCACTCCCCGGGCCACGAAACCGGAGCCGAGCCAACGCGCAAAGTGGAACCCCGGCACGGAGACGACGGCGATGCCTGCATGCCTCCCTGCTGCATAGCCCGTGGCCGGCAGGCTAGATGTGAAAGGACCGGTCAGAGTGAAGCGGTCAACTCGGGGCTCCTTGCAGAGCCAGGTTCTATGGTGCTTGGCGCATGTACTCATGCTTTGGGACAAAGCTATACCACAGATCTCACGGAGGCTACATGTCCGGGGTTGGTTGCGTCTCGTCATTACAAGCAAACATGAAGACTTGACTATTTCATAGGGACACACGCGACGCCTCGCACCAGACTTGCGGAACCCACGACGGTAGGCACAAAGCTTACGTGAGGCATCGCTCTGCTCTCGAGTTCTGCCACTTGAGCGCAACGCCCCGAGCATGCAGGTACGCTCAGTATGGGAGTGGAGTTTCTCGCGCGAGCAGTGTCCACTAATCCACTCTGGGCATCACCTAACCGTCTCTTGTCCCACGAGGGGAATTCTCGTCCTGCACAGTCAGGGCGTTTGCACAAAATGGAAAAGCCCCGGCGCCGGGACTTAATCTGCGCCCACCAGCATCAGCGGCCCCTGCGACGAGAGCGGGGTCGGAGTTGGAGACTTTGGGTGGGTGCGGAGCGGATGGTGCGGGGGAATGCGCAGCAGCACGTCATGTCGTGGCCCCCTCGTCACGCTGCAACCGGCCCCGGCCATTCAAAAACGCCCGACACGTATGCCTTCTCCCACCTCCAACACCACCATCGTCATCCGTCCATCCGTCGCGAAGCCCGAATCGCCGTGCCGACAAATTGAGTCGAATCGGCTTTTTATTATCTGGGACGAGGATATTGTGTGTATTCGACTTTGATCCGAGATTCCTTTCTTGTTGCTCTTGTGTTCGCTTGGCCTTATTCTGCTCCCTGTCGCCTCTCGTGTCGTTTCCTGTGCCAAAGACGCACATCAGTAGCAAATAGCTCAGCAGCCATGGCGCACAAGAACTATCTCCGCGCAGCCTTGCAATTCACGCACCGCTGGGCGGTACCTGGTCCCTCACAATATGCCAGATTCGCGCCGGCTCTGTCGCGGCACTGCTACGCTGCCCAGCAACAGCGCCGCTGGGACTCGACGACGGGCACGCGCGGCGGCTCCAAGGTGTACGCCTCGGCCGACGAGGCCATCGCCGACATCAAGGATGGCGATGTCCTGCTCAGTGCTGGATTCGGACTGAGCGGTGTTGCCGGTACATTTTTGTTCCTCGTCTGCCTCCTCCATCTAGCAGACATAATTGTGCAAAAGCAGCAAACACTAATCACGAGGACTGCAAAACTCACAGAAACCCTCATCCAAGCCATCCACCGCAAAGGCACAAAGAACCTGACCGCCGTGTCCAACAACGCGGGCGCCGACGGCCGGGGCCTCGCGCTGCTCACCAAGGACCAGCGCCTCGGCCGCATCATCATGTCCTACCTGGGCGCCAACAAGGAGCTAGAGAGGCAGTACCTCACGGGCAAGATCGCCGTCGAGCTGTGCCCGCAGGGCACGCTGGCGGAGCGGCTGCGCGCCGCGGGCGCCGGGATCCCGGCCTTCTTCACGGCCACGGGCGGGCGCACGTTCATCGAGACGGGCGAGATCCCGTACCGGTTCACGCCCGAAGCGGTGCTGGAAAAGGGCAGGCCGCGCGAGACGAGGGTGTTTGGTGGCAAGTCGTACATCATGGAGGAGGCGCTGCATGGAGACGTTGCGATCCTCAGGGCGTGGAAGGTGGATGAGGCGGGCAACTGTGTTTTTAAGTGAGTTGTTTCTTCTCTGGGGCCGTCGTAACTTCCTCAAAATGCTTGATTGACTGTACCTTTGGCAAGGAAAGAATGCTGACCACTAACCGATCCTGCAGATACTCAACAAAGACATATGCCGGTGTCATGGCCAAGGCGGCGCGCATCGCCATCGTCGAGGCCGAAAACATTGTCCCTGTGGGTTCGCTAGATCCCGACCAGATTGATCTGCCGGGCATTTTCATCGACCGGATCGTGCCGGCCACGGCGCCCAAGGCGATCGAGAATCTGAAGCTCGCGAAGCCCGAGGAGGATAACGCCCAAGTCTCCACCTCGAAGAGCCAGAACAACAACAACAAGACCCTCCCCGCGCGGGACAGGATCGCCAAGCGGGCCGCCAAGGAGCTCAAGGAGGGATACTACGTGAACCTGGGCGTCGGGATCCCCACGCTGGCCGCGTCGTACGTCCCCGAAGGCACGACGGTATGGCTGCAGTCGGAGAACGGCCTGCTCGGCATGGGCCCGTACCCCGCCTCCAAGGACGACGTCGACCCGGACCTCATCAACGCCGGCAAGGAGACGGTCACGCTGCTCCCCGGAGCGAGCACGTTCGACTCTGCCGAGTCGTTTGGCATGATCCGCGGCGGGCACGTGGACGTGTCCATCCTGGGCGCGTTCCAGGTCTCGGCGTCGGGCGACCTGGCCAACTACATGATCCCGGGAAAGGTGTTCAAGGGCATGGGCGGCGCGATGGATCTCGTGAGCAACCCGGACCAGACCAAGATTGTCGTCGCGACCGAGCACACGGACAAGTACGGCGTGTCCAAGATTGTGCAGGACTGCAAGCTGCCGTTGACGGGCAAGAGCGTCGTCAGCACCATCATCACGGACAAGGCCGTGTTCCAGGTCGACCGGGTCAAGGGCGGGCTGACGCTGACCGAGGTTGCGGCGGGGGTCAGTGTCGAGGATGTGAGGGGCATCACGGATGCCGAGTTTGAGGTTGCAGGGGAGCTGAAGATTTTTTGATTTTTGATATTGGCATAAGGGGAGAAGAGAACCGAGCGATTGGGTTAGGTACCTTTGGCTAAGTGGTCGATGGCGACTGGTGCCTCATTTGAACCGCACTCACGATGTTTTGTAGATACCAGATTTTCTTTTTTTTGCACATACACAAGATGGTTGCTATTGCACACAAGATCTGAGCGTACCGTCTCTCCATTAGCAATAGCGAAATGTCTATTTCAGCGTCTAGGACGATTGTTCGAATGACTTGCTCAGCCACCAGGTTCAACAATGGAGCGCCAGTTGTGGGATGTCTAGACATTCTAGTTACGCTGTAGCTGGCCCTGTGGCACTTTTCCCTTTGCGAAGGTATCTATTTGCCAATATTCAAGCACTGCCGCCGAGATCGGGCTGTGGAATATACTAGATATTTTGGTAGACCATCGACGTGTAGTCCAAAGCGGACATTGAGCGTGGAGCAAGTGTAATATTCCAATATGTATATCTCTATATGTACAACTCGTAGCACGAGATGGCAAGATCAGACGATCTCTCTCGGAGACTGGCCAGCACGACCATTTCATATGCCTGCAAAACATGAATCGCTTTCTCCTTCTTCCTTTTTCTTCTCCTTCCCACTTTGCCCTCTGCCACACTCAAGATTCACACACACTCGCCAGCTCACAACTTACTCCCCATCCCCGGCGCAAACGTGGTGCCGCCGGCAATCGCCTCGACGAGCCGGTCCACGCTCTCGAGCAGCCACACGTTGCCCTCGTCCGTGCTGAGCCACTCGCCACCCTCGACCTCGTCCTCGCCGTCGCTCTTTGCCCCGCCGCACTCTCTCGCGTAGCGCTCGTCGTACGCCTTCCTCAGGCCAAACACGTGGCTGACCACCTGCGGGCCCACGCCCGTCTGCGCGCGCAGGCACGCAATGGCGACCAGGCTGGTCAGCACCCTCCCGACCCTCGCGCCGTCCACCACGCCCGCGGCCCTGCGCTCCTCCGGGGTCTTCAGCACCGCGGGACTCGTCGCCGTGGGGTCGGACAGGAGGTTCGCGTAGTGCGACGCGAGGATGTGCACGGGCAGGTCCGGGTGGCTCGTCGCCAGCTTGTCGATCAGCTTCCGCTCGAAGCCGCGGTACACCGAGTCCCACAGCGCCAGGCCGTCCTGCTGCCGGGCCGCGAGGTTCTGCGGGGTGTAGCTGCGTTTGGGAGTGGTGTTGAGCTCCCCCGTGATGGAGGCCGGGAGGGAGGCGTGGAAGGCGCCCAGGGTGTTTATCGTGCGCGGGATGCCGTTGAAGGAGATGCACTTGAGGCCGACCTCGCGGATCAGCTCGGCGTTCTGGACGGGGGTGCGCGGTGGGGAAGAGGAGGAGGAGGAGGAGTCGTTGGCGAGGTGGAGGATCGAGGTCATGGCCTCGGGGCAGTTCAGGGTCGCCGAGACCGCCGTGGAGACGGTGACCCAGGCGGGCAGGCCGACTTTCCTGTCTGTGGCGTCGCGGGCGAAGCGGGCGAGGGCGGGCTGGACGGCGGGGGAGGCCTTTGTGTAGCCCGGGCGGGCGTGGGAGGCGTTGATGAGCGCCTTGAGGCCCTCGGAGAGCTTGGACATGTTGTTGCCCGAGTTGTGGTGGTGGTGGTGGTGGTGGTGTTGGGCTGAGGCGGTGGAATTGGCAGTGGAATTGGCAGTGGATATTTTGGTGAGGCCGTTGTGGGTGCTTGTGTTGTTGTCTTTGGTATTATCGTGGGGGAGTGAGGTTGAAGAGGTGGACTGCGATGTGGCTGGCGAGAGGGGTTTGGGTGGTTGTGGTTGTGGTAGTGTAGATGCGGCGGTGGTGTTTGTTTTGTTGCCGCAGTCGCAGTGGCAGGTGCAGGTGCCGGCGGTGCTGCTGCTCCGGCTCCGGCGGCGGCGGCGCTTCTCAGTGAGCTTGTGGGCGAGCTTGCTGCTGCCAATGCCCATGTCCACCAGTGGGTGGTGCTCAAGGTAATGCGGTGTTCTAGACTCGACGTGGTTGTAGATACTTTTTGTTGGGACAGCTTGCAATTACCAAGAATGTGGCTGTCTAGACTAGCATCATGACACTGGGGTCCTGCATCTTCTCATCATCAACATTCACGTCTCTCTATCTTGCAGCAGCAGCAGCACGCAGCTATCATAAAGAGCCACCCAGCACGCAACAACTGCCGAGGTTGCATCCAACTTGCGCAGTGAAGAAGCCCCCCCACAAGGGCCTTGGGAAACGGCCGAGCCCCGAGACGCGGAGACTGGCACTGCTCGGCCATTCTTGAACCACCGACGACTCGCAAACATGTCATGCCATGGACACAGTCAGTCGCCAGTGGACACCCACCACCACGCCCAAGCCCCAGAATTGGTATTTTTGGTTCTCATCATATGGCACTTGTTGTAGTCCCGAGAGGACGACGAGCCTTACATCGCCATATTCACATGTCAGCGCACACATGATAGCCAACCGGTATCGACCCATGGGACTTGCTGCTAGGCACCGAGATGTGACTCCTACGTCTCACATGGTGGAGAATCCGTCACTGGTCCGCAGTTGGCAGGATCAGGCATGCAAGAGGGCCTGTTATCCTTACACTGTTTTGTGTCCCATGGTAAATTGTGATGATGCTGAAGACTAGTTGTCGACATGATGACTGAGATTCAGAATGCTTGTCGTCGCTGTCCCCGCCGCTGCTGAGTCTATCCGCCATGGAGGCATAGTCACAAATGAGCACACACGGTAGTTCAGGAATCTAGACAAGGCATTCGCCACTTCGCACGGCAACAAGGACCTCAAAGGTGAGTTGCAGTATAAAGGATAACATCAGATATAGATGATGCTGTTCCCTCAACCTTTTTCATTACGTGGTGTCCCCAGGCGTGAACAAAGCATGCCAACCGAGGAGCTAACCATGCGTTTCCCTTCTCATGCTATGAAATTGACATCGGCAGAGGCAACCTTTCATGTGAATCTCATCACAGCACAAACTTGAACGCCGGGTCCCGGTCATCTCCACAGCCCGCATATGCGTCGTACTTGCCACGCGCCTTGTCGCGGTTCAGCTTGTGGCAATAGAGCACGTTGAGCAGGACCCTTGAATCATCACCACCACCACTGTCAGCCATGTGTGTGCTTGTAATCAGAAAGAAGATGAAGCATGGGGAATAAGCAGAAGACCAAAGGAGTAATTACACGCAATGGGATTGTGAGACTGTGAAGAAGAAGAAGGGCGAGGACCAAATTTATGGTACTTACAAGAACCACCCGGCGCAGAGAAGACCCAGGATGATCGTGTGGCCCTGCTGGTACTGCGGGCTTTGAGACTTTGGGTAGATGAAGACCTGTCGACAGAAGACACGAGGACGTCAGCACTAATTGCGACAGCCTTCAGGGAGCTAGCGCAACGTGGTCCATGAGTGTACCCATAGACACATGCACGCCACCAAGGAACAAGAACCAGAACTCACAGCGACGAAACCTCCACAATTCGCAATCGCCAGCTGCAGCGCGCTCGTCGTGGCCCGCTTGTAGTGGCCCGCGCTGTTGTTGCTCAGCCACGACAGCACAGGCGGCACGCTGCAGTACATGCCCGTCGCCATGAGCATCGTCATGCCGTACTTCACGCGGGGGTCCGTCACGTAGGCGATCCCCGCGTACCCGATGATGGCGATGGGCAAGGTGCACAGCATCAGGATGCCGCGGATGCGGAAGTGGTCGGAGGCAAAGGCCACAAAGACTATGGACAAGGAAAGGGGAGGTCAGTCAACAAGCCGAGCTGGTTGAGATCCATGTGGTATGGTATACGGGTTGGGGTCTTGGGGTCTCGAAGAAAGTGTTGGCTGTAACTTACCGGTCAGGACAGACGCCACGGCGTACGGGATGACAGACCATAATTGTGCCTGGTTGGCAGTGTAACCAAGAGCCTCGATGATGGTGGGTAGCTGGTCAGGCACACCATTGTCAGTGGTCAGTTTTCTTTGAGAGGAAGAGCGGGTTTCATGATGAGGGCTTACGAAGAGGCCGAACGAGTACAGCCCGCTCAGAATGCCAAAGTAGGCCAAGGCACTAAGCCAGGTCTGTGGACTGAGAAGACCGCGCACGACTTCTGACCAGGAGAACTTTTCCCTGTTTCGGGAAAGCAGCAAACTGCATTAGTACGAAACTTCGCTATGAAGCTGCCGGGAGCATGGCAACTTACCTCTCCTGCCCATCATCCCCATGAGTCGTTCCATGGATGCGGTTATACGCGAGAACCCTCTGTTCTGGCGTGAGGAACTTGGCCGTGCTGACGCTGTCAGGGAGGAAAAAGTACGCCCCGATGCCGACAACAACGGTCTTGAGTGTTGTAAGACACATTAGCTACGAGTCAGTCCAACGCCCGCCATGATGCTTGTAGTGTCTCGGCCAGTGGGCAAGAGATCTGGTGAGAGATGCAACTCACGAAAAGACCCTCAATTACAAAGATCCACCGCCACGAGTTAAGACCGCCGCGTGTGCCGATTTCCGCGATACCGCGCGCGAGAAGGCCACCAAATGCACCAGAGAGCGAGGCCGCGGTGTAGAAGATGCCGATACGCAGCGCGAGTTCCTGTCGGGTGTAGATGCCAGACAGGTAGAGCACCTACAAATGGGAATTGAAGAGTTAGCTCAATAGTAGCGCCAAAATCGGAGTGGGGCGAGCCGAAGACGCAAGAGGGTGCAGAGCACAGAGAGCACAAGAAACACCTGACAACGTACCATGCCTGGCAGAAGTCCACCTTCGGTGATGCCCAGCAGCGCCCTGACGGCGGTGAACTGGGCGTAGTTGTTGACGAAGCCGAGACACATTGAGACGATGCCCCCTAAATGCATAAGCACAGGTCAGCTTTCGTCAAACAGGCATAATGCTGTGCGAACAGTGTTCAGATAGATGCGGAAGAATGGGTTTTTTCCCGGACACCTACATGCAGTGGTGATGGCGGGCAGCCATATCGAGGGTGTGACCTTTTTCAAGACCAGGTTGCTAGGGATCTCACTGTGGCAAAGGGAGTCAGCGATTGTTTCGTCCGCGGTGATTCCGTCGTCCTCCGAGTCTGGACTGACCTGGCGATGTACGTCGCGTAAAACACGGCGAGGCCGTTGTTGTACTGGTTCCCCACCATGCCCAGATCGTTCTCGAGATTGTACAGCCTCGCGTTACCAACGTTGGTCCTGTCGAGGAACGAGCAGAGAAACAGCAGGGCGAGGATGGGAAGAATGCTGCAAACATGGAGCACAGGATTAGTCAAACGTGCTCCTGCCATGGTCTGGGTTGGTAAGGGTAACAAGAGGGGAAGGACGTACTGGGTGTCCAGCTTCCACAGCATGGCACGCGTCTCGTGCCGCTCCCTGTCGCTCATGGCCTCGATGACGCCGAGGTCTGTCTTGGAAGCGCTGGCTCCTCCGGCCTCGAACTCGCTGGCGTGTGGCTTGTCCATTGTTGTGCGTGCGCTGCGGGCTTGCTTGATGCGTGTCCAATGAGATGGGGACGAAGCTGCCGACAGGTAGAAGTCTGTTGCGGTGCTTGTGACGACTGTGGGAATGCGCGCCGAGTCTCGAGACGGAGGGGAAGGAAGGCTCAGAGGTAGGCGGCGTGGGGAATGGCAAGGCCAGAGGTCAGACAGAGGTGATGTGTTTTTGTAGGACGGCACAGACGGCCCGAGGGCGTGGACTGGCAGGCCGAGTCTGAAGAGGGGAGATGGCGCTTGAGAAATGGCCGAGAACGCTAACTTTTGGGAGGGCACCACTTGGTTATGATTACCATCCATGTTCCCCCAGGCCGTCCGTCGTCTGTTACCCCAGACCCCAGAGTTGCGCGTGGAGCTCCCCACTCTCAACACGAAAGTGGATGACTACGTACGTACAGACAATCTCAACAGACTAGGTTGCAAGTGCAAAGACACGTTTGATTCACGGCTGCTATCCACTGGGGATTCTACATTCCCTGGGGACGCCTGCTCTTGTTTCTTTCCAAGTGGCCCCAAGGAGGCTTCAGAAATGTGTGCCGTGGTGGGCGTCGTCAATTACGGCAGCCAAGGCGCGCGCCCAGGCTCGCCAAGGTGCCGCACAAGGCTTGTCTGTTGCTTGTTTTTTCCCCTTCCCGCTTCCCCACGGGCGGCCGACGCCCCCTTTTGCCCTTTGCGGGGTGGAACCACCCACCATCCACACCCAAGCTTCCCTCCCATCCCGACTCGTCCGCACGCGCGCTTTGCTCATCCGTCCCCAAGCACTCGGACCTTGATCAATGCCCGATTGGACGCGCAGTCGCAGTAGCGTGGCTGTTCACCTGCAAGAAGGTGTGTGTGCGGTTGCCCATGCCGCTGTGATCTGATTTGACTGGTGCTCTGCTGGGGATGATTGCGACCGAAGGACTGCAGCCAATGCCGGCTTCCAATATTGATCCGATAAAAAAGACAGGAGCTTCTAGAGCTGCAAGGCGGAGATCTGCGCGATGACAGCTTTCGCCTAGTCCCACACACAGCCGCCAGTCCCTGCCGATTCCGACGTCAACTTCCTGCCTTCTGACTTGGGTTGGAAGCTCGGTATCTCCAATAATAGCCAGGCCAAATATTTTCAAGATTCCAGGCTCTGCCCCCGCCCGCTCATGAGAAAACAAGTACCTCGTCTCGCTCTTGTGACTGGAAACAGATTAGGACTGCCACCATCGTGCTCAAGAGCATAGAATGGAAAATGTCATGGTTCTGTCAAGATAAACAGTAGACATCGTCCACTCGTGGGACAGAGTGAGAAGGTTGCTACTCTCAAGCTCCGGGAGATCATCCGAGAGAGTCGAGGCGTTGTAGTAGTTGCCTCTCCCGGCTAGCGCTATCGCGGCTGCTCTGCGCTCCACCGACATGCAAGCATCCTTCCTTGCATCTTTGTAAGAACTGCTGATGGAAGACTCCAACGGCGCCTCTGCGCAAAGGATGATGCTCTTTTCGTTGACAGCGATCAGCGCGCGGTTGCGGGGGGCGGGCCCGATCTAGCCTTGAGGGTACTGCGAGACAGGGTGATTTACCTTTGACGTCAAGAACCAGAACTACGTCAGCGACCCGTGGGATGCCAAGTGGAAGTCCGTCTCCACGATCGGGCTGCGCGACCTGGCGAGGAAGCACCTCGAAGCCCCTCGGCGTGCGGGTCTTGTTTGGCTTCTCCTACGCCGAGGGGGGCCCAACTTCCAGGCCATTGTGGACGGGCTGAACGAGTTCGAAGCCGTGGACCTGGACGGCAACGCGGCCGGCGTGCAGCAGTACTTTGCAAAGACGGGCTTGCCCGGGGAGAAGAGGATCGTGTCCAAGGGCGTCTTCAACACCTGGTGGAACAGCGCCGACATCTTTACGCAGCTCCTGCACGGCGGTCGGGATGCAGGAGTTCGGCAAGGTGTTTGGCTGGACGGTCCAGGCCCGGCCGGGCCAGAGGACGACGGACATGCTGGAGACCGGGGTCGACAGGGTGATTTTTGGGCTTGAAAAGACGGCCTTCTACGACCACGAGTGGACGCGGACTGCTGCGGGCGAGATCGCTCAGTGGGTGGAAAGCAACGGTGTGAGCAGGACGATCGCCGGGATCAGTGACAGTCCCTGGTGATGTGGCCACGTTTGAGCAGCCCGGGATGGGCTGCTGAACGGCGAGACAAAAAGGAGACTAGAGAAAGTGCCCCTGACACCTGAACAGCTATGTATTTCATTCTTCGCTCAGGGCTTTTCCATTACGTTGTGACAGTCGCCGTAGGCGGTCTATTGCCACAGATCTCTCTTCATCTCAGGCAGAGAATGCTAAGTCTGTCTCAATCTCAACTACCTTTCCGGTGCTTTGGGACCATCAAGGGCTACAAGCTCCGACGTTCAGGTTCCTGCTATCACGGATTACGTCCCCGACCACAAGCAGCAAGGCCCTATGCCAGAGAAGACATATCATTTTGCATATGAGCATCGGATCATCTGAAATTGTTTGCATGTCTATATAACGAAGAAGTCTAATGCGCATGCATATACCATGTATGCCCGCAGCGCTCCAGCAATAAAAGCAAATCGCAGGCTATGCAAGATACGAAAACTTTTTCCCACCGTCTTCTTTTTTGGATGCATGTGTGACCGCCGCGTCTATGGGAAACTCGCACAGACGTGCTAAAACCCGCCCCACGGCTTACCAACAACCACACTGCTGCTCATGCCGGTCCCAGAATGGACGACGCCCCCGACGCGAGCTCCTCCATCTCCGTCATCCGCAGCGCCTCCTCGACGTCGTCGACGAACCGGTGCGGCCCACCCACGAGGTCGACGATGCCCGAGCGCTCAAACAGCGTCCACAGCGAGCCCTTGCGCGAGGGGATCCGGCTGAAGAAGACGCGGACGCCGCGCTCGCGGTAGCTGGCCACGATCTCCTGCAGGACCTGCACGGCGGAACCGTCCATCGAGGTCACGCCATGTATGTCAAACACGACGTTGCGGTTGCTAGCCGAGTGCCGGACGGGCGGGAGCGCCGGGTGCACGTTGCCGGAGCCGTACACCTCGAGACGCCGCAGCCGGCTTTTGAGCTGGCCGGTGTTGGCGAACGTGAGGGGCTCGGGGATCTTGACAATCAGGCAGCCCTCGACGAACTCGAGCTGGTCGGGGTGGTCCTCGGCGTTGGCGAAGCGCTGGGTTCCGGGGATACGCCCCAGGATCTGGATGCGCGCGCGGGTGGAGTGCTTGATGACCTGGATCAGGGAAACGCCAATGCCAATGGCGATTCCCAGGTTAAGAGAAAAGAACACCGTAATGAGGATGATGCCAAACATGATCCCAAGCTCGGTCCAGCCCCTGATCTTGAGGAAGAAGTGTATGTCTTCTGGTGCTTCCTCGATCAAGGAGAAGGCGACGACCATGATGAGAGCCGACAGCACAGATTTCTGCATCGTGATTAGACTCAACACTGCACCTGATGACATGCACAAACAGTCAACTTACCGGAAGGTAGTAGAAGGCATCGAGAAGAAACACGATCGCCAAGACAGAGATCAAGCTCAGGAAAATCGAGCTCATTGGGCTCTTGCCTCCAGTGGACCTGTTGACCTTGCTGCGCGCGTAGCCGCCAAACGCGGGGATTGCCATGAAGCATGCGCCAACCAAGTTGGCAGTACCCAGCGCAATCAGCTCGCGATTGGGGCTCAGCTGCATGCCCTCGATGACCTCGCCACCACCCAGGCTCTTTGCTGCGACAGACGACTCGAAGAACCCGAGCATGCCGATCAGGAAAGAAGTGCCCATGGAGCTCCTGATGTGGTGCAAGTGTGCGAGCTGGAAAGGGTTCCGGAAAGCGAAAAGCTGACCATTGGCAGCTTCAACCTTACCTAGCACCTCAACACCCTGGCCCTCCCAATCGAGCTGCCACGCCAGGATTGCTGACAGGACAACGACAATCAAGCGGTCCGGAAAGTAGGCGACGCCGGGGTATCGCGGTTGCAAGCGACGTTTCACCTCTCTGTTAGAACCCTGTTAGCAATGCGGTCAACAAAGACAAGCTCATGCCATTCCTTACCGGAGAACCATCACAATCACGAAGCACACGATGCCGATGATGGCAGACAGCTGATGGGCCTCGGTAAGGTGCGTCGTGAGAAAGACCATCTTGTCCCAGGTCGTCTTGTGGGCAACGTCTTGGTGCGCCTTGGCTGCGGCAGCCAGGCCGAGAGTCGGTGTCATCTGATCAATAAAGATGACGAGGCCGATGGCGGAAATGAAGCCTCGCAGGAACGGCCGGCTGAGAACACTCTCGAGGTATCCCAGCCGAGTCAGCCCCATGATGAAGACTGTCGCGCCTGCCATGCCCACGGCGACTCCGGCGACCTTGGCCTGCAAGACCGCATCCCCATCATCACCCTGTCCTCTATCGATGCTGTCCTTGACGATAGACCCCACGAGGAGGGATCCCGCCGCCTCAGGACCAACCACCATCTGAGGGCAGCTTCCCAGCAGTGCGTATACCAGCGGGTTGAAGACGAAAGCGTAGAGGCCGTTGAGAGCCGGGACATGGGCGAGGTTGTCGGCATACGAGAGGGCCATGGGAAGGTACATGGCGGCGAGCGTGATGGCGGCAGTGAAGTCGCCCTTGAGCCAGGACCAGTTGTACTGACGCATCCAGATGAGGCAGGGGATGTAGTATGAGAGGTACATGTAGTTGGAGTCCTTGATGCCGTGCTGCTCGGCGAAGCTGCTCGTGTTGCGCATGTTGCGACTCTTGAGGCGGTCCGAGAAGACCTTCTTTCGGCCGCCCTTGAGCTGGCCGTCAATCGAGCCGATCGAGGCATCGGAGCCGACCATGGAGCTGTGGTCTTCCGAGTCTGGGTTGCGAATGCTCGGGATCGGGCTCGATGCCCGCGGGGAGAAGGTGCCGTGGTTGCAGTCGCCATCGTGTGCGCGCTCGTTGTGCAGCAGGGACGTGGTCTCTGTGTGCTCTTCGAGGACACCATCAAGCCCGTTGGTCCGGGAGCTGGGTCCGGGCCGGTCGTCGTCGCTGTGGTGGCTGTTGGGAGAGCTCGAGAGGGTATGACTCTGCCGCAAGGTGCTGGGCGTTGTCGGCGCGTGGTCGTGGCCTTGCGGCCGAGGTCCAGACGTGGGATTGGGGCTCGGAGAGGCCATTGCGACTTAACGTTGTCGCACGAGGGGCATACAGCTGGCGGTGTGCCGTTGCCGTTGCCGTCGCCGTCGTCGTCGTCGTCGTCGTCGAGAGCAGCACGCGAGGCGCGTGGCAGCGCACCGAGTGAAGGCTTGTGTCGGGGATTTGCGAGCTTGTGTCGGGGATTTGCGAGCTTCCGGGGGGCAGATTCGGTTGCGCACTGGAAGCCGGTGCTGGGCGTTTCTCGGCGGGCACTGGCTGTGTCGTGTCGTGGCACTGCCGGGCCGGGCGTGCTCGTGCAAAAGACGGTGAGACTGACGAATGGCGACGAACAGAATGATCGGCCGCGGGGCGGGTGAGACTGAGGAGGCGGCATTTGGCCGAGCTGCATTTTCTGGGGCGGGATGACGGCCGGCGTCGGTCATGCGCTGCAGGGCCGTGCCTGCCCCGGAAGGCACTTTCCGCCAACCACCAGACCATTCTACCAATGCAGGGCGCGCGTCCAGGGGCGTGGCTATGGCCCCACACACACCCACAGATGATACACCTCCTTGCACGTCGAGGAGCATACACTACTTGCTTCTTTAGCTCAAATGAATGTCACTGACAATTGAATCAATTGGGGTATATTCGTACATTCGAGGCTCGTACCTCACGTTCAATCATGTAATCTAAGAGTGGTTTTTTTTGTCATCGCCGGGAAGCGGCTAATATCTACTACATTGATGAAAAATGAAAAGGTTGGACATCCCATGAACAGAAAAGTCTATATCCGCCGGAACGCCTTGCAAGAAACACGGATGGACGGGCATTACGATGATAATATAAGGAAGAATGCGTATACATCACAGGGCCAAGCATTTATTGCTTCTCCCTATCAGTCTCACTCTTCTTCTCGGCCGGCGCATCCAGGTCATCAACCTGAATCGCAGGCGGAGCAGGGCTGACCGGAGACACGGTGATCTCGGGGGCATCCGCATGAGGCGGCGAAACAACAACAACAGCGGCGTCGTTGCTGCTAGTTGGAGCCGGCACCTGCTTCTCGTCGATGACGTTGTCATTGTCGCTCTCGACACCTGCCTCCTCGTCGGCATTCTTCTTATTCTTCTTGAAGACACGGAAAAGCTTCTGGAAGCCGCCCCGAGTAATGCGCCAAGCCTTGGCCACTGGCCCGCCAAAGATCCTGACGAGTGTGGCGAACCACGCATCGGGGAAGAGTCTGACAAGAACAGCCCAGGGCAAGCTGATGGCAGCGACGCCAACGCAGATACCCCACTGGGTGCCGCTGATACCGCCAGGCATGATATCGAAAGCGATGCCACCAACGTAGATAATAGCCACCTGGAGGCCAACCATGAGCATGTTGATGAAGATGAAGAACTGGTTGCGCTGGACGCCCTCGAAGATGTTGAACTTGTTGTCGAGGCGACGGTTGTTGAACTCGTTGAAGATCTGCATCCAGACGAACATGTTGAAGATCATCGTCCTGAGCTCCAGGCGCGCATCGGCGGTGTTGGGATAGCCCAGAAGCTGCATGCCAGCAAAGTAGAAGATCAAGGTGACGACAAGCTGGAAAATTGCCTGTCCAATGATCATCTTCCACATGTTGGTCGTGATCAGAGGAGCAGACTTGGGCTGAGGCTTGCGGTCCAAGATCTTATCCGTGGGCGGATCTGTAGCGAGAGCCAGAGCAGCAAATGTGTCCATGATGAGGTTGACCCAAAGAAGCTGCACGGCAGTAAGAACAGACTTCATCTCGGGATCCGAGACAGCCGAGATGAAGGCAAGGAGGACGGCGGTAATATTGACAGTGATTTGGAACTACACGATAGCCAGTTAGTGTACATTCAACTCCCATCATAGATCATGAGAAACTTACCTGGAGAAATTTCTGCACTGAATCATTGACAGCGCGGCCCCACTTCAGTGCAGTAAGAATGGAAGTGAAGTTGTCGTCCATGAGAACGATCTCGGATGCCTCCTTAGCGACCTCAGTGCCGCAGATACCCATAGAGAAACCGACATCAGCAGCCTTGAGCGCAGGAGCATCGTTTGTGCCATCTCCGGTGACGGCAACAGTCTCGCCGAGGTGCTTCAGTCTGGCAACTAGAATACGCTTGTCCTCGGGGGAAGAGCGGGCAAGTACCTGCAGACGAGGCAACTTGGCGTCCATCTCAGCTTCGCTAAGAGCGCGGAAGACAGGACCTTCCATAATGATTCCATCAGTGTAGATGCCACACTCCGTAGCGATGGCCTGTGCGGTCACGGCGTTATCACCAGTAACCATGCGGACGGTAACACCGGCGTGCTGGGCCTTACGGACGGCTTCGGGGACACCAGGGCGGACAGGGTCCTGGATACCGACAATGCCAAGGAAGACAAGGTCCTTAAGGATAGACGCGAATTCGACGTGACCATCTTCACTCATCTCAGCATGCGCGGGAGGCCACTGAGGGAAGTCGCGGTAGATGAGACCAATAGTACGAAGCGATTTTTTGGCATACTTGTCAATGACGGCCGCGATGTCCTTGCGGTCAGCTTGAGTGAGAGGAGAAGTGGCGAGAGTCGTGGCATCGGTCTTCTCAGAGCTGTAGCCAAGAAGAATTTCCGAAGCGCCCTTGACAAGAAGCCTGTGGCCAGAACCGTCGCGGAGCTTGATGACAGCACCCATGCATTTCTTACCGGAGTCGAAGGGGAACATTTGAACAGTTTGCTCGTTGGCGCGGGCTTCGGGGAGCGACTGCATGCCAAGGTGGTCACGGACGAGACTGAGAAGAGCAGTCTCTGTCTTGGAACCAATGAACGCAAACTGGCCGTTCTCAACACCCTCGAAGGCAGTGGAATTGATCGCAACCGACTGGACAATGGCGTCCTTGGTGATCTGCGGGAGACCAGAAGCCCACTGCGCAGGGGTCGATTGGTTCTTCTCGGTCTCTGAGTTCTGGCCAAAGCTGGTGTTGCCGAAAGTGCCTGCAACAACCGTCATCTTGTTCGTAGTCAAAGTACCGGTCTTGTCCGAGCAGATAGTAGTAGCATTGCCCATGGTCTCACACGCGCGCAGAACGCGTACGAGGTTGTTCTCTTTGAGCATGCGCTTCGTTGCGATAGCTAGAGCAAGAGTGACGGCCAGGGGCAAGCCCTCCGGAACGGCCACGACAATGATGGTGATGGCGACAATGAGAATGTCCATAAACTGGGAGGCCTTGACAGCCGCAGTAGCCGTGTTCTGCGAAAGACCAGCAACGAAGCGGAAGAGGAGAACAAAGAATAGGAGAGCAGCAGAGCTACCACCGATCTTGGCGATCGCGACAGCCAGGCCCTCCAGCTTCTTCTGCAGAGGTGTAGCCTCAATCTCCGTACGAACCGACATCATGATCTTTCCGAAGCTAGAGTTGACACCAACCGAGGTCACCATAAATGTGCCCATACCCTCGAGCACCTTCGCGCCGGAGATGATAAATGGATCCAGGTTCTTCGGGTTTGCGCCAGCTTCGAGCTGCTTCATGACTTCATAGCCAGACGTCTTCTTGAGCGCATCAGATTCGCCGGTTGCTGAAGACTCGTCACACTTTAGGTCGTGGCCCTCGATAAAAATGCCGTCCACCGGGACAAGGTCGCCGGGCTCCAAGTGCAGGACGTCACCGACGAGAACGTCGTGGACGCTGATCATGTACGACTTGCCAGAACGGAACACCTTGACCTCGCGGTCCTCCTTCTTCGCGTTGAGCTTGACAAAAGCCCTCTCCTTCTGCCAGTCGTTGAGAGAGCCGACGAGTGTCACAATAATAATAGCCGCGCAGATGGCGACACCTTCAATCCAGTCCAGGGCGGGCTTGCCGTCGGGATGCTCAACACCGACAGCTTCGTAGATGCCAAGGGCAAGAGAAATGACGGCAGCAACAGTCAGGAGAATAATGACGTTGTCGTTGTAGGCAGTCCAGGCGAGCCGCCAGAAGGAGGTTGCCTTTTTGGCGGGGAGGACATTCTTGCCGTATACTCTTATACGGTCAGCAAATGGCTCAGAGGCGTTTCCGCCTAACCTCTCCGAAGCAGCTGGGAACTTGTCCGAATTGACGCGAGTGGCCTGTTCGAAGCTGACATTGGACCTGACGGCTGTCTCGTCGACGCTGAGACCCGTTTTGGTATTTGCCTGCAGGCCTCTCTCGATGCCCTCCAGTCCGCCAAGAGCTTTGAACGCTGCCAGCGACTTGGGGTTGAGCAGTTTGTTGAGGTGCCCGGGGGTGAATGCGAAGGGGTTGTTGTCCACCTGGAAATCGCCCTCGGTGCCAGGGTCTGGCTTGAGTGCTGTCTCCGGGTCGACGGTGACGAAGCTGGCACCACATTCCGACTGTGCTGGCGTCAGGAACGGGTTTGAGACGTTGGAGACGAATGAAGCATTGGAGGCAGCCGTGTCGCTCCGGCCTCTAGTCTGGGTATCGACGGTGAGATGCGATCCAGAAGCAAAAGAACCAGCTGATGAGGTCAGATGCCTGGTCTCTGTGCTCTCACTCCCAGACCGATTCCGCCTATCGCCAGTGAGGGCCGGCGGCGCAAGACTGTTGGACGCCATGCTGTGTGATGTGTGGCTTCGTCCAAGGCGACGTGCCGTGCAGGGTGAGCTGCGGGTCCCGAGGGTCAGGTTGTCTGCCGGTGGTAGTGTGAAGTAAGTCCCGGTGAGCTAGCAGCTGGTAGTGTAGGTAGATCCTGCTCAGAGTGGCCCCTGTTGTTGTGTGTGGTGCTTGTCAGACAAAAATGTCTGGGTTGAGAGAACAATGCTTGAAACTCCGGGAAACCGGCACGCAGACATTGGATATATGGACGACTGCAGCTGTGGGCAAACTGGGCGGGAGCGCAGCAAAGTGTAAGAAGCCGCAGCAAAATGAGCGCAGGAGGGATTACGTCCTTGCCTGGTGAGGAAGGCGAGGCGACGCCCAGAGGTACCATGGAACCGATATGAAAGTATCATGGGCTTGGCTTACCCACTCTGGAGGCTGTGCAAAGCTGGGCAAGGATAGGGGAGGGGTTTTGCGCGGCTCCAGTGCAGCACCGACCCTGGTCGATTGGACGTAGGTTGCTCCGTGCCAGATGGTCGATGCTTCAAAAGTCCAGCGTCTCGCCCAGAGTGCGCATCACGATTGTCATAACTGTTGGCGCACCGTGGTTGGGGCCAGCAACGCCTAGCCGTGCCAGGCTGGCACCAAGACGCTGGGCCAACCTGGGCACACGCACGCGATCCACCATCTTGACAGGCGGTCGGTGTAATGGCGACGCAACTGTTGGCTTGCAGCTTTGGAGCATGTCGGGCGGTTGGGGGAGGCGGCCTCTTGGAAGGCGAGACGTGGATCTGTGATCTTGGCTGCTGGCGCAGCAGCAGCGCCGCGTATGAGAGAAGGCATCTGATGCTCGTGATGCCCGGGAGGCCCACGGGCGGGCGCGGTCTGGACGGCGGATACGGAGTACGGCGGGCTTGCTCACGGGGAGCGCAGTCAGGTGGTGGCGATTAGCTCAGCAGGCCAGATGGCGCGGCTGGAGAGGGATCCTGATGGCGCGCGCTGTCAGCTGTCCGAATGTCATGGTATGGTGGTGTGCATGGAATTATGCTGGTAGTGCTGGTAGACAGGCGGGCGGAGATTGCTGTGAGACGTGCACTCAAGCAAGCCCGTTACGCAGGCCCAACGTGGCAGGAGCAACGAGTCTTGGAATGGGAGCCTCTTGGCTTGGCCACCGAGGCTGTGCCTGCCCCTTCGCCGCTTGGCCGCCTGGGCACTCACTCTCACCTCCGTGCCTGCCCGTCACAATCCACCATGCACCGTCGGCGGGTTCCTCACCTCGCTCGCGACAAGTGGTGATCACGCGCGGCCCTATTGCCGCACGCCTGCCTCGCCTGCCCTGCGTCTCCTGGCTCAAACATCACGAATTTTCCGCAGCCGCACGTTGAAACGCCATTGGAGTCTGTTGCCCAATCACAGCCCGCCGCCCTGTTTCGGCTTCATCAGCCTCCGCGACACAGTTCCCCCATTTTCATCCCATCTGGCTGTCCGTCGACGTCCAGCGCCTTGAGGAGACGACCCGTGGACAGGAAGAGGCTCCCCGGCGCTGAAGATGGCCCCCTTTCCCCGCCCAGGACCAGACCAGCAAGGGTCCTGCTCGGTGCCCACAATCATCTCCGGGTGCAGCATGCGACGTTATCAGGCATTAAGGTTGTTGCTCGGGGACCGGGGCGGCTGGCAGGGGTTGGCCACTCGCCTTGGCGCACGCACGACGGGAGCGATCTGCTCCCTCGGGTGCGGCGCCGCTGACACAATTGTGCGGCGGGTTGTCAAGACCCTGATCAGGAAGCACATGACAAAGTGGCCACGGTCAAAACAGGCCAAAGTCTATGACAACACCGGCCGGCCTGTCGCCAATCGCCACTGCCAGGCTGCCTCCTCGCTCCCGTCGGCCTCGGCAGATACGATGCGACGCCTGGTCCAGTCCAGTCTGGATCAGACAATTGAGGGCTCCCGTCCCACGCAGAGGCCGCTGAAGTGGGCCAGAGGCCAAGGCACTAGCCACATAGCCTGTGGCTGCGAAGCCGCACAGCCTCAGCTTCGTGACTTACCTGTCTTGGCAGCTGTGGGTCAGAGTATCTCTGCACCGATGAACGAGGGCGGCTTGACCCAATCAGGTTGATTGCGACGCAGATCACTGGTAAGCTTAAATCAAACAAGGGAGGTTGTTGTCGAGGCACGCCTCATCTCGCATACCCGCCCGCCTGCCAGCATTGATGGCAACACAGAGACATGACGAGGGCCCAGAAATGCCCTGCCTGTGACTGATTTTGCGCACTTGAGACGTGGCAAGGTGAGTAATGGGGGCTGCCGCGTACATGCACAGCCCTCTTGTCTTGGGCTGAAGCTCCCGGATGCTCCCTTACCCGACGGATCACGGTCACGCACACCTTTTCACTCACCTTGGAAGGCCCTGCATTGTTGCACCGCAGCCAAGACATCGTCAATCAGCCTCCGAGACTCTCAGAGGAATCCAAGACTTTAGACGCACACCAGGCTCAAAGTTCCAGAGGCTTCCATCAGTGCCTAGGATGTCCAGGGAGGCTAAGCCTCCGTTTAGGCAACCCGGAATCGGTATTATTCCAAACTCCCCGGTTACCGACTTTTGCAAACGCAAGGCAGTCTGGTGCAACTTCAATGACGACTGTTGCCCTGCGCCACAGCAGGACCGCGGCGTGTTTAGTGTTCCGCCAGTGGCACTCTTTGTGCACTTTGTCAAGTCAGCTACCACGCATGGGCACAGCCTCGATGGCGTCGATCCTTTCATCACACTCTGCGGGCAGTAATCACCGCTCTGGGCAAAGAATCTTTTCAATCGAGGGAAACGCGTGTCGACTTCTAAATAAGCCTCCAAGCATGGCGGTGACAACAGCAAGGCTGCGTACGCAGGCAAGCCCGCATTGCTCTGTTGTTGCTACTTCCCCCAATAGTCAAGTCTAGGTTGGGGATGGACACAGCGACTTTCTCGATTTGAATAACTCCCAGCTCTTGGCAGTTATGCCGACCAAGGGGTTTATCCATGGCTAAAAGTATTGGCAAGTGTATCTCAAGCACCTGTTCTCACGGATCCCAAGATGTGCAAGCTCCTCGACAACGCCTGCCCGGACAAGCATCGGCTACACAAGTCGCCCCACGGTTTACCTCGTAGATGACTGCTATCATAGTCAACGCTTAGGGTCTATGTCGACCGCTGGCTGAGCTGACAAGTGACGACTAGTATTAACCAGCGTAAGTAGACAGATGCCTCTTGGCAGGTCCAACGGTCCATCTCTCTATCTGTATAACAATAAAAGCAAGAGCCCTTCAACTAGCACCAGCTGCTAACCCACCATAGTTTATGCACCTCCAGGTGCCTGGCTGCCTGACCTGGGTGCACATATCGCTTCACCTGATTCAAGATCAGTCGGGTTTTCCCTGAGTCATATTGTGTCTGAAGAGCAAGTATAGTCAAGCCCGCCTGCGGTACAAAATCGCTACCCATGTCATGTTTGTGCACACACAAAGAGCAGCATCATTCACCGCCAAAGCATATGGCTTAGTGCTTATCCACCCCACGATTGAGCAAAATACAAGAAAGGTCCGAAAAACTGGGCCCGCCACGTGGGGAAAGGACAGAGGACGTGGCAGAGGCAGAGGCAGAGGCAGAGTCAAAGGCTGAGTGCACGCCACCGACCACCTGCATTTCGCTCTGCTTCACCGCAAGATAACCCAGCAAACAGGACGAAATGTGCAATTTTCTGATGACAGTGATGTTCATGCTCCCTGTCTATCGAAGGAGGCGTGCGGCCGGCACGGACAAGCTGTCCAGTCTAGAGTTTGGACTATCGAGGTGGCTCAGACAGCTCGGCAGTGACAGGCTCGGGTTTCCTGAACAGGTCGAGTGAGAGCCAGGCACTTTGATAGAGATTTGGCCGCACGAGTTGCTGTTTTCTCAGGCACGAAGACGTAGCCAAAGAGCACTCTGCGAGCTTGGAATTTCTTGGCTGGGAGGGGATCGTGCGTCCGGCGCCCGGCGTCCCCATTGACACGTGCGAATACTATGGTAAACTGCGGCGCTGGCGATCGTTGCTGCTGTCCGACATTCTCCACCGGACAAAGTCCTGATCTGGCACAGTCCTTGCGCTCGGCGGAGGTTCTTCGACAAAGAGACAACAACGCCAATGCCTTGGCCTCTACGGCCGCCTGTCTCCCCAACAACACCAACAACAATCTGCAGCCCCTCCATATCTCGACTTTTGCACCTCACCCCTGCGGCGCCCAGGAATTAAGCATTCGACCCGCATCGATGGGACCAGCCAATGACCCGCTTCCTTTGCACATCCACACCCGTTGGAATGGAAAGGAAAAGCCCCGGTCTTTTCACTTCCCGTCCAGCACACCTTCCACAATGGGCGAGCGGCGACGGCGGGCCAAGACTCTTGACCTGTTTGCACTGCCACCACCGTTCGCAGCGGCCCCCTTGCCGATGGTGTACATACATGCCGTGAGGCAATTAAGAGTTTTTCTTTCCCTCTCTCTCATGTGCTATGCCCAGACAATAGTAATCAAATGGTGGTTGCTGTGCCAGATAACCAAGGCCCCGCCATAGCCGATGGCAACCCCTTTGCTTGCCGGCCAGTGCGGATTGTCCGTCCTTACGCACCACGTGCCCGCGCGCGCGATCGATCTCCAAAAGGAAGCGAATCGGCCAAATGGATATGCATCACTGTGACGTGCCATCATAAGGACAATCCTTCTTGGCTTGCCTGCGGGCGAAACGCACGAATGGCTACAGCTTATTCCACAATGTTTCAGATGGTACGTGTGCTTTGGCGCACCTGGGCGGCAAGTCGAAACCAAACAAAATGGCGCCTGCGTTCCCCCAGAAGAGGAAGAAACACTTCTCTAACAACCCTCCACCACTACCACCCACGTGGGAAGAGACGGGACGAAGACGAAACGATTCTCCTGGACCTGAACCAATCTGACACGACACACGTGAAACGAATCACTGCTTTGCTACGTTCACTTTGGGCTTTTGCCTATCTGCCCGCCCGTCGTTGCCCGGCTGTGACGTATCACTTCCCGCAGGCGTTTCGCCTTGCTTTGGTCGTCCTGCAGGAGGAGGAGGCGCGCGCCAGGGGGTGGGGGGGTTCGGCAGCAGCAGCTGCATGGTTGTTCCCCCTCCCTTCCCCTCGTCCTGGTTGGCTGGAGAGCGGGCCTTGGCTGCTTGGGCACAGCCTCAATGGAATATGCGGGCGCTATACTCGATGGGGGATGAGAGTTCGCTGTGCATGGGGTTTTGCGCGCGCGTCAGTAGCCACTCGGTTAGTTGTCTAGAGAGGGGGAGGGACGCCAGCCCAGATGTGGGTGACGGTTGGCTCACGTCAGAAAAGAGAGGAGATGGGCTGTTAGGAAAGTGCGCTTGGTCGTTCGACGACGGAGGTATGGCCTCAAGCGGTAATGAGTGCGGCGGTTGCTCAAACAGGTGGGTGTGCATGTCGATATTTGATTCTAGACGTTGCTTGCAGTGGTGATGTGTGGAAGTGCCTTTTCCCCAAACTGGATAGTGACTTCGGATCAGTGCTTGCGCACCATGTTGATGTGGTTGGTGGGATCGAAACGTAGACGTTCCGGATCGCCATTTGCCATGGACATGTGTTATCTGGACATTTCACAAGACTTTCCGACTTGCTACATAGATATCAAATGTTTTCGTTTCACCGTTCTCCCTCGGGGAAATCGATATTGTTAACTGCGGGTATTCTGGTCATCACTTTTGCCCGTGCCGTCTTCCATTCGATGGGGCCCGATGGCTTTGCTAGTCTCTTGAGTGGTTATCGGTCCCAATACACTCGCTATAGCTTTGCAAAGAGGAAGAACGTAAAGCGGACTCGAAACAGAGGCATAAAATAGTCAGGCGTATTCAGATAGTGATCAGTCCATTTGGTTTTCATATATAGCTTAGGCCAGAACTATAAGAAGTTAAATTTCGATGTACTACCGTTGACTCTGGCCAAGCCAACATCAAGCCGTGAATGGATCAATGTCCTGCCATTCACAGCTGATTCCTCAGGAAATCCGTTTCATTTTCGTACAAAGGTCCTATAGACTGGGCATGGAGATTTGTTTACTCCGTCTAGCAATAATGAAGCGGTTTTTCAAGCCAGACAGCCCGACACAACCGGCCTCACAATGTGTATTTTCCTTTCATTGAGAACCATACGCCCCCAATGTGGCGAAGGTGCACGAGTCCTCATGCCTTAGAATTATGCCCTGCCATGCCATATCCGTCGCAGAGTGACTTTCGATGGATGTACCGACTACAATACCTCGGCGGACATGCTCTGACCCCGGCTCCTGATGATTCCATCACCTGCGCCCAAGGCAGATTACTATTCCTAATCCAGTGTTAAGCTTATCCAGTTCAACGTTCCTTGCAGTCAGTCAGCGACATGATCTGGTAGCAAGGATCTTGCTAGTAATTTTTGAGGCGCGCAGGCGGAGTTTAGGAATGCGCCTTAGTTGTGAAACGTGCACGCTGATTGGCTGCTCGTCGCGCATGAGGGCGATGCAGGCTGAGGCATTGCTAGGTTGCAAGGTTGTCTCTGCGGACGGACTATACGCGCAAGCCTGAGCCGCCTGACACTATGAGCCTTTTGCTGTCTGCCTCGTGCATTTCCAGCCAGTCGGGTCATGCGGGGCAATACTGCAATGAAGCATGCGTTTGAATGGTTGAATATTCTGGAAAGTGCAGAAGCGCAGCGCCAATCTCGTTTTGTGTGGATCAACGACCGCGCAAATTTTGGCCACGATCCAGGCAACCTTCGTCCTACTCCTCGACGCGGGGCTCCGAGGCAGTGCTTCATGGGGCTTTTGTGAAACGAGGGTTTGGAATTGTCATCGTCTCGGTGCTGATGTAGTGATCTCGAGGAGGCCTCCTTTTGAGGCTGTGCAAGCCATGTGCTAAGATCGCATATGTCAGCCCGGACGTTCGGTTCCCGCGGACAAATTCAATGAGAGGGAATTGATTCAGAGAATGCTGCAGCACCAGTGTTTTGGAGAAGACTGTGATTGAGCACACGAGGGCAGCTCGGCAGCCATCGCAGATTCGGCTGTACTGCGGATCTGGAAACTGTGAGAACAAGCACCAACGTGCTGTAGAAAGCTTGAGGCGTGAAGTGAAGACTAGGGGGTGCGAGATCAATAGTATATGGCTCACAGAGGTCAAATCGCCATCTTTACTTAGAAGTTGCAGGCACGCAGGAGTGAAAAATGGCGTCGCTAAGCCTGAAAGCGATTGTTCTCTAACCATAGATCGGCCGTGATTCCTGGCCCAGGAAGAGGCATATCACTATCCTCCCTCAGTCTTTCCACCAGGAGATCTCGTGAGTCTCTCGGCGGATCCAGGCTTGCTGAGTTCTGCAGTACTGGGAAGGACAGCGAGTGATGTCCAGGGTCTGCCACACATCTACTCAGGTGAAGGCCAGATGCCTTCCAAATCCTTGGTAAATGATATGGAAATCTCGCCGCGGACAGATTAGTCTTTGAGAACACGTTGACTGACATTGCTGAGAAGACACTTCATATCATTGTGAGAGCGAAGTGAGGTGATGGTGAAGCCTGCACCAGTCACTACCGGTTGCTCATGTCAAGCTCTTGTCTCAATGCCCCAGGCTGCAAGCACAGTCCCCTCGCACCTTCTTGCAAATGCAACCCTGAGGCCAGAGCACCTTCCCACAAGCAAGAACAGCGTCTCCCTTCCTTTTCTCCTTGTCTCCAAACTTCATGAACCGTGTCTGGCCTGCAGCGCCATACATTCCAAACACACAATCCACGAACGATAGACAACACCCGAGTTCTTTTCGCCGCTTCCTCTTCACACGCTCCGCAAGAAAACAGTTCGGAACATGGCGAACGACACCGTCGAGATGTCCGAGCATCACCAAATTGCCAGCAACACGGACCTGACGATCCACATTTTGCCCGAGGGACCCAGACCAAAGAAGGGCGCAGCCCAAGACGCAGCCGCAGACATCCAAGACGCCGCGGGCAAGAAGAAGGTCGTCATTCACGAAGTCATCTTCCACGTCGAAAAGGCCGTACTTGTGCGCACCGAGTACTTTCGAGTCCTTCTCCAGGGACGATTCCGTGAGGCTGGCCAGCCGTCAGTCACTCTCCGTGGCGACGATGCCCACGCAGTTGGCGTCTGGTTCCGCATCTTGCACGAGACCGACCTCGAGGAGACCTATGCCGCTACCACGATCGGCAAACTCTGGGAGGTCGTTGCCGTCGCGAAGAAGTACGGCTTCGAGCCCACACAGGCCCGAAGCTGGTTCACGGAATGGTATAAGCGCAACGAAAGTCGTCTATTCAGTCCAGGCTCTCGATATGATATCAATAATCTGCGAATGCTTCTTCTTCCAGGATACGTTTTCGACGAATCTACTGCGTTCCTCCAGGTCACCAAGACTTTGGCCTACAATTTTGATGGCCATATTACCGAAGCCAGACCAACAGATGTGCGACGCGACCTACATGTTCCCGCCAACTTTATCCGTAAGCTTCTTAAAACCATAACCCGCCACTGCTGAGGGGGACATGAATAACCTGCCGGCAAAAACTAACCTACGTGAATCTTTTCCAGAACAACTGAACGCAGCAAAGGGCCGCTTGCGAAACATATTGCACAAGGAGCTCTATCTACCAATCAGGAAGCTGTTGATGGCTAGTTGCGGCCATAAGGAACATATGCTCTTCGCCTACGAGAAGAAGCTCTTTGCTTCCGGAGCCTGGCCTCTGGAGCAGACTGGTCACCGGAACAGCATCCGTGGTCTCCTTCAAAAGCTCAAGACTGTAGACAACGACGATATGCCCGAGAGCTGTCAAGGATGTGCCGTCAATGTGTCTGGTGTGATCTGCGAAGCGGCCAAGGAGGTCAACGACTACTTTGATGGCCTGTGCTTGGGTAAGTCACTCGGCCAAGGCGCCAGCTGAATCCATCTCCTCAGAGGCCGTCTTGGGGACAACCTCCTCATAGTGATCGGCTCAGAGTCAACAGCACGGCCTTGCTCGGTGTTTCGCCGGCGACCTTGCTAACCACTCTTGTGCTCACTAGACTGCATCAATGTATCCAAGCTGAGGGATAATGACGACGACTATTGGCATCATGCCTCTATGGGTCCGTGGGACCTAGAATGCCGAGTGGACCATGGAGAGCCGACTTGGTACTTCTCCTTTATGGGTCGTCGGGAGCATATGACTGCATGGCTAAAAAAGCGAAGAGTCCGTCGACAGCAACTACGAGGTTGGGACACAGCATACGGCGGCCTTGATTGGTGATTGGATCTCCGAAGGATTGCACTCCCTGCCCACTTTACAAGTGAGGAGACATGTCCTTTCGGCTTAGTTGAGACAACGTCTCTTGACCGAGTCGACTTTCTGAGCTGGCCAGAAGACTCAGACATAGGCACTCAAGACATGGCGAGGCAAGGCCAAGTGGAGACAAAGATAAGACACGTTTGCGACTCGTGGCGCATATTGTCTCGACAGCACGATGCCTTTCATGGACACACTCAGCGAGCCGACAGATTGAGGAGCGAGAAGCAGAAAATGGAATTGTTCAAGGAAATCTGGCTGTTCGCACACTATGTCTGTGTGGTGGTGACGGTGGTCTAAATAGGTATGTAGACGCTGAAAGCAAAAGTGAAGCACAAAACAATTGTCAAAGGGACAGGTATAGAACTCGCGCGGAGAAGAAAGTGCATAATATGCCACCAGCCTCGGATGCATCACGCCTCTACTGCATTACTCGCCACAGGGCTTTGGCCGGTCTGCCGTTCCCCCTTCGCCACTATTTCAGGCCGCGACAGCAGCAACCGCAGCATGAGGTGCCTTCTTCTCATCCTCATACGGGATGCTATGGTCCAAAGCGGGCGGCGGGCTGAAGCTCTCACCGCGCAGCCTGATGCCGGGAGTGATGAACCAGCTGTAAAAGTCGACAACCTTGTTCAGGGGCAGTAAGGGAGCAATGTACCGCTGGAGAACCTTTGGCTTCCACGACTCCCACGCCACGCGGCGCATGGCCACCTGGGACCGCTCCACCATCTCCTTGACGCGGGGGATGCGCTCCTCCTCGACCGCGGAGAAGGCCGCGTGCAGCGCCGGGAGCGACCAGGCAGAGGACGAGCTGCTGACCTTCTCCGACTGGCCCTTCGGACCCAGCACATGTGTCTGGAGCTCATTGACCAGCGCCGCACAGCTCTCGAAGCAGCTGTTGCCGCCCTGGCCGACAAGGGGGTTGAATTTGTGCGCGGAGTCGCCAATCAGAACCAACCTGCCGGCGTGCCAGCGCTCGAGCACAAAGTGCGGCAGCGCCGTGACGCCGCTGAATTTCACGTCGGCGAGGACCTCGCCGAGCTTCATGCCGTCGTCGGTGACGATGGTGTCCTTGCACCGCTCGAGCTCACGCTGCTTGTCCTCCTCGGTGATGCGCGGGATCGCCGTGATGGGGCACTTGTTGTCCGGGGCGGGAAGGGTCCAGAACCAGAAGAAGAAGATGTCGCCGTTGGCGGCACACATGAGGCCCGTGGTCGTGCGGGTGCCGCATACCGCCTGCATGTCGCCCGGGTGGAAGCCCGGCTTGGGCCTGGCGGTGCCGAAGATGCAGGCGTGTTCGCAGGGGACGTCGCCCTTGTCGGAGGCGGGGATGGCGAACGGTGATGATGACTTTGATTGCTGTTTCTTCTTGCTGGCCTTTTCTGACGTCGTCGTCGTCGTCGTCGTCGTCGTCGTCGTGGGAGTCTGGGTCTGCTTCTGCTCTTGCTCCCCTGCGTGCCGCCACATCTCCTGCCTCACAAAACTCCTCACGCCGTCCGCCCCGACGACGATCTGGCCCTCATACACAGTCCCGTCGGTCGTATGCACCCTCGCACAGTCCTCCAGGCTGTCCACCTTCGTCACCCGCTTGTTCACCAGCAGCCGCTCCTTGTCCTCGATCCCGCCGTACAGCACATTCAGTAGGTCGTGCCGCGCTAGGAAGAGGTTGGCGTACCCGTGCCGGGCCTTGATCACGTCGCTGGCCGAGCGGGTCATCATCCGCTTCCCGCCCTTGGTCGCGTCGCGCCATACGGCGTACCTCGTCGTCACCGCGGCGGCCTGCACCCCCTCGAACAGGCCCAGCTGGTCGAGGATGCGCAGCCCGTTGGGGTAGAGCCCGACGCTCGCGCCGTGCTGTGGGGTCACGCTGCCGTACGCCTCGAGCAGGATGTAGTCGATGCCCAGGCGCTGGAGCATCAGCGCCATGGTGAGGCCCGTGATGCCGCCGCCCACGATGATGACTTGGTGGGTCTGGACAGCGCCAGTGCCGGCGGCGGCGGCAGTGCCGTCGTGGTTCTCCTGGCTAGCCATACTAAGCGGAAGGAGGCTTTCGTTGTGTATGTCGTTGTAGTTATGCTAGTTGGTGAATGTCTTCCCCCTTCTTCACGGGGTGGTGCGCGAGAAGGATTAAAGGAGGCCACGGGAACTACTGGGATGTGGGCTCTCCCAAGTGTGTTTCCTAAAGCACGCCACTACTTGGGGGCGAATCAACTTCGGATAGGCTATCCGGCGGGCTGGTAGCCAGGGGAAACCCTGCAGATCCGTGCTCTCGTTTCTCACAAAATCCGAGCGTGCGGCTGGGCCGGGGGGCGCCTGAGCGGGTAATGGGAAAAAGAAGTCCTACGGACCCACGGCGATGAGTCGATGGGTCGATGGGGTCGATGTCAAAGCGGGTTCGTGCGGTATGTGTGCCTGCGTGCAGGAGATGAGGAGTGGTCCAGACGAAAAGACGAGGAAGAAGAAGACGGTTTCTTATCTGTCTGTCAGGTTGAGCAAAAGGATCCGGAGCTATAGGGGATTTTTGGACATGGATCTGACTTCATATGCCAACCTGGGCAAGGGAGGGAATTGCCAGGTCCGGGGCAGGCAACGGACATGGCGCCATGCAGGCCTGAGCCACTCAAGGGGTGGCAGTCAGCCAGAACCTCTCGGACGGCTCTAGCTTAAACTTTCCTCCTGCAGCCGCGCGCCACCTTTTCAGCCCTGTGACGGACGTTACCGTACAGGAAACGTGAGAAACCGTCCTCTGCTGGCAGCCTTAGAAGATGATGAGCAAAGACATCTAGAAACCCCCGCCGTCAAACTGCAGTAGGCTTGGTTTTTAGGGGGGGGGGGGAGGTCAAAGCATCAGTAGCGAAAAGGCCTACCTACCCTAGCTCCATGAAGAGGGCTCTAGGCAAGCGCCGCACATCACAATCCCCCCTGCTGTCAGACTCCTCCGGTCGCCTATTCGAATGGGACGTGGACGCGATTGGGCGCTATCTATACGCCTGCGTGGCGAAATCAGAAACATTTCCCACTGTGGACGTACATGGTGTTCGTCTTGCGCATGGCCACGTTGCACTGTTTTATAAGTACGCTGGCTAGTGCTGATCCGTGGCGTCAGCACGAGCGCTGCTGCTTATTCATGCTTCACGCCCAGGCCGGCAATAAAAGCCTGCTCTGCTTCCCACAAGCTCACGCAGGCGAAGCTCTGGTATTCCTTTTACGGAGTGCGCTCCACGCTAGTTTCCTGGTTCTGCTCTGCTGTCATCGCTGACGCTAGCGCCACTCTTTGGCCTGCGCTTTTTGGTCACACCAGCCCTGGTCTTCTTCAGTAAGAGGCTGTCGCGCCAAAATATCTCGTCAGATTGTGCTGGTGCTGGCGCTGGTGCTTGTCTGACCTGCCCCAAGGCCGTACCCGAGTCGCAAATCACAATCCAAAAGGACGCCAAACCTGTCGGTGAATTATCCCGAAAAGGGGTCTTCAATGCTCTCCCACATGCCGTAAAAACCCAACCTCGGGACGAACTCCGGCCCCCCACGCATGCGGCGTAACCCTGCATGCGAATTATATGCCCGGGCATGGATCGACCGAAAGGGGACTCAACCCGCGCGCGCGCGCTCTCTGGACCCCTGCTCATCCCCTGTTTCCTCCCCCGGTCGCTCCAACCCTTGAAATTGAGAATCTCCCGCGTGGCAGAGGCAGGGATACCCTAACGCCGTTTGGGGTCGAGGTTATGGAGGACCAGCGAGCTTCTCTGGTCGTCTGGGCCGTTCGGATCTCGACACTTTATTCATGCATTTTTGCCGTCTCCTCGTCTGGCATCAAGCATTAACTAAAGCCGGGAATAGAGGCAGGCACTCCGCCAGACTTGCGCCCCATCGCGCTTTTGCGTGGTTATCTTGACTGTCTTGACTTGCTTACCTGACCAGCATCCTTCCCCTTTTAGAAGAAAGAAAAGGACACCAGTACACACGCGTCCCCGAACGACGTAGATTGGCATTCAGTGATCCTGGCGAGCCCATCAGCTCGCCTCGCCCTGAAGAATTGGGGCGGCGCTGATATCACAATCACCACAACCATATCGCGGAAGATTTGGGACTGATGCGTGTAGGACTTTTTGTCAAACGCTGAATTTTCATGGGGATATCAATCAGAGCGTATATTAGCCAACGGCCCCTCTTCCACCAGCCGGGTTTAGTCTGGTCCCAGGCCTACGCACGCTTCCCAAATCCGTTCAAACCTAAATCTGCCCACTTTATCCTCTGCTGAGCCTATAAGCCTCCGGTATCGAAATAGTAGATGAAATCCAGGCCTCTCTGCCAATATAATGGTTTATATTCCCGGATACCTATTTTTTTTTCTTCCTTGTTTCCCTTTTGCTTTGGCTGGAAATACTCGTGATCGTGACAGTTACTTGCGACCTTTTCTTTGAACAAGTATCATCCAAGTAAGTGGTAGAGTTCTTTGACGAGTAGCTAGTATAGCGTGGAGACGACTTTATATCAGAGCTAGCATCGTAAAACTTGGGCAAGGATGAGAGCACACAGCGGCGTGCGTGTCTCTGTCACCCGAATCAAAGCACGCCCTTTCACCACTCTAAGTAGCAACAGCATCCCGCTCGCCCTGCCCGTACTGTCTCTCGTAGCATTCCGTAGCAGAGGATAAGGACTTTGAATGACCAGCAAAGACCATTCACGGGCCCACTTCGTCGAAAATGTATTCAACACCAGCCTGAATACGAAGAGAATGACTTCGATGAGGGTGCTGTTTTTGTTTCGTGGAAATACATTCGGCTCTTACTGACCGTTCGAGGGCGAGGCCGTTTGCAAGAGGCGGTGTTGTTTGCCGCCGTCCAAAATTTTGGAGCAGAGCTGATTTGGTGTCGTAGGTGGCGAGCATGTGAACTCCAGACGAATCTGGAGACGTCGCGTGGTATGTAATGCAACTCGTTCCTCCCTTTACTGCGCACCTGCCTCATGTTCACCTAAAGCGTGACAGGGACTAGTGATCATTTTCGGGGGCACTGAAAGCTCACAGAGCAGGGACACTGCAGCCTATGGCGGTGTTTACTTCACCCTCCAATGCCCTACACGTTTTCCGGAGCACGTCGATTGCTTCTCGCTGCTATCCTAAACACGCCACTCTCCCTTCGAAAACTCGAGGAAATCGACTCCTGCTTACGGCATCTCAACAGCGCGGCTTCTTTATTGCAAACCGATACTTGCTCTCACCCTTAGCTAATCTGGCAATCTTCCGAAACTACCCTGGCTTGCACTTCTCACTACTGTGCGTAACCACACACCTCTCCTTTCAACGACTTCTGAGAGCATCATTAGCTCCTGCTCACGGTATCTCGATAGCGCCGCTTCACTAGAGAAGGTTGCAAGGCGAGATTCGCACTTGCACAGAGTCAGCCTGGCAACCACACAAAACACCTTTCCACTTCCCGCTGCCGTTGCTGACCTCGCAGCTCTTTCTTCAACCACACACGAGCATTACCAACTCTACTTCTCGCAGAAAAGCTCAGGAGTCACTTCGACGGCAGGTGCAAAACAACGTCGGTTTTCACGCTCGTGCTTCCGCCCATCTCTTCGACCAGCAAACCCCACGCATTGGCCAACAGACGTTCTGTGAGTTCATGAATCTCTTGCTACAGGAGTGTCACCTTTTCCGTGAAGCATGATTTTCCGAGCCGAGCTAGAAATCTGAAGACCATCCTTCCTTCAAGACCTCACTTCTCTCTTGCCTCACCACCACCACCACCACATCAACTGCGGACAACAAGTACACCAACACAACTTCGATGCTCCCGTCCTCTTCTCTCGGCTTCTGACACTCTCATTTCTGTTTCACATCACCATAGACTCACAGTCACATTTTCTCTCGCACGCACTCCTGTACTCGGAAAACATCTTCCCATCCTCGAGTCTCGACTGTCCATACTTCACAACCACTACGGCCATTCACTAATGAACGACCGCTCAGAGTTTCTTCGATCTCTGTGTGACTTATTCCTGATCTTTTAGCCTCCACGTGTCTTCTCGCACTGTTTGCAACCTACAGGTGTGTGCTTTCCTGCCCTCCGGTCACTTCTCTCCCTCCAACTTTCATCTCTTCCCCTTTCACCACGTGGCGTTCACAGCCCGTTGCTCTTCCGTTCCGTCTTCTTGAGCACCTTCTTGTTTCATAACTACTCTGCTTCCGCTTTTCACAATCTGCTATTACGCTCTCCCTTGGCCAGGTCAGCCTCGTTCCAAACTCCGTGTCTCACCCTCGAGCACTCTCAGCTCTCAGGTACTTTCTGTAGATCAAGCCTTCATACCAGAAGTAGCCTATTCGCCATCCTCCATCACTTTCACACTTGCCACTTCTAGGGTCTTGCCGGGTCATCCAAGTTGGGCGTCTTACATCATCAAACATCACGTGGCGTCCAGGTACTCTTCTTCAACGATTCCCAACACATCTCCCATTGAAGCGCCACCTTCACCTTGTTCATCGCTTTCCTGCTCGCTGTTTACCAGGACTTGCGCTGTCCCCCAGCTCAAGCCTTGCACACAGAAAAACCTTGAGCTGACAGCTGACAGCTTCGGCACAAGAATTCAAAGCAACTTCGACGATAAGTACTTGGTCTACATACGCCACGAGCTACGCCTCTTACCTCTTATCCTGTGGGTTCGCTTCTCTTTTCCAATGCCAAAACTGCTGCTCTGTTATCATTGGAACGAGGACTGACTTTCTCACTTTTACACAGGTCACGGCCCTTGCTTGTCAACTACAGTACCAATATCCTTGCCGACCTCAATAACCGTCGGCCGACCTTTCAATCATACATCATGGCATCGAAGTTCAATCTCGAGCAGGACGGTCTGGGACAGCAGGAGCGCCTGGCATGCAGAAGGATACAGGAAATGTACTGGGCTCTTCAGTTAGAGCGTGACGCAGCATGCGAGATGCTCCTCGACAGCCAGATCCGGAACCGGCCTGTCCCCAGGCCACGCGCAACCACAGTTGCTGAGCTGGCCACTACTATCTACTATGCACCCTACACTATGTCAGTTGCTTTGCTCATCGCGTGTGCCGAGAGATCGCTTGGGTACCGGGTTCTCTTTTCAGACGCCTGGGTGTTCGAGACCATGGCCGGCCCTACCTGGCTCATGCTCAAGATGGACACCACGAGTGGCACTTCCGTGCTCCTCGTCGGCTCGAAGGCTGTACTGATCACCAACGCTTTAGTGAATCCGAACGACCGCTATCGCAACAGTATGACACCGCGCATGGTGCAAGAGGTCTGGAACAAACAGCGAGAGCTGCTGACAGAATTGGGTAACCATCTGAGATTGCACCCAAGCACAATCGCCTGGTTGCTGCGCCAGGTGCAGTATCACGATCCGACCCAACCGCCCAGCAATACGCGTGCGCGGCGCCAAATCACCGATACGATGGCGCATGACAATGGCACTGCATCACCGACATTCTACCAACTGATCTTAGATTGGGCAGTTGGTTTCGGACAGATCAACAAGTACGCCATGGATCGTTTGCGGGAGAAAAGGGAGTTGTACCTCATCGCCGCTGGACCCATGGCTATGGTTCTCGAAGAGGAGGTCAAAAGTACAGGTGAATTTGACGCCCCCGTCAGTCCCCGTGGAATACGTCTCCAGAACGAGAGAGCCCAGGAGCCACGCAAGAACCATGCCAAGCCAGTGACAATCGCGATGATGCATGCCAGTACCCACGGTGAGTGGCCAGGTTGGTTCCGCCCCAATGCCCAGAAGGCTCCCCCGTCCCAGCTGTTGATCGACGAGATCGGTCGCCTGGGTTGGACACCCAACATTGATGTGGCGACACTCCAGATGGAGGAGCCATCCGACGCTACTGCATCCACTACCAACGGCATCGCTACGAGAGCAACACGGAACAATGCAGCGCCGCTGATGCTCACTGAGCTCTACCCTGAGCTCTCTGATGTCTTCGCAGTCTTCAAGTATGTGGCCCGCCTCTTCGAGTTTGTCAGTAAGCTCGTTCTTCCATGCTTGTTTCTACTCTCGATCCTGGTAATTTACCTTGTCCTGAAAGCGGCTGGTGTCACCGTTCAGGATCTCATCTTGAAACCCTTCTACATCGCGTTGGAGTATTGCCAGCAGAGTATCATTACCTGTGCTCAGCTTTTGAAGCAGAGTATCATTACCTGTGCTCAGTTCCTTGTGATCTGTCTTCAATGGATCCTGAACCATCTCGACGATGACAGCAACAACGCAACCGCTAATCGCAGCCAGGGTCCAGGCAGCGTCACTGGCATGAATGCGTGGTTCATGTAGACACTTTCCGAAGTGTTTGCCAATGGAGAGCCTTCGTACAACTAGTGATCATTCTAACGGCATGACTGACAGGATATTTGCGGGTTCATTGGAAGAAGGGCCGTTCAGCCATGGCGTGATCCACAACAGCTTCGCGACGGCATTTAGGGGGGCCTAGAGTCGTGCAAAAGTGGCATCGACTTATCACTCTTGTTTTGCACTACTCCCAAATTTTCGAACATCACTCAATATGGCATTCCATAGGAGAACTCACCATTAGCTTTGGGACGGACCTGCAATCGTGCGAGCTCATACCGGGCTCCCGTTTCTTATGTTTCAGACAGCGATAAGGCATACAATCAATCCATGAAGACTTGCAGTGTCTCTGAATGCATGTTGCGTTATGTTTATATGTGATCATCAGACTGGTCGGCGTTAAGAGCCATATATTTCACATCTACAGTTTCGCCTTCTTTACGTATTGAAACTAATTACAAGAAAGAACAGCAGGGCCGTCACGATCATGGCCGACTTTGACACACGCATGGAGTATCACAAACATGCACAATCGGCCGTCGAGATCAGAAAGTATTTGGGTCGAGCTGACACGGTCTATTTATTCGACCGAGAGAACCCTCCTAGACACGTCATCTTGGTCATGCTTGATAAGCCCGTACATGATATGTATATATGTATATGCTCATACCCGTCGAGGTACATCATAATAATCGTCGTTAAATCGTTTCCTGAAACTTTTTTCCCAACATGTATTAGGGCAATTAGACCTTCTCGCCAGGGCGCTGCTCGACGTGGTCGGCGTGGCCGCTGAGGCCCAGGGCGCTGGCCTCCTTCTCGTTGTGGACCTCGTCCTGGAGGTCGGCGTCCTTGTTTCCGTGCAGACCAATCTTGTACCAGGGCAGCTCGAACAGGCGGTTCATGCTCTCGAGGGAGCGGCCGGCGGTCTCGGGGACCGAGAACCACACCCACAGACCGCCCAGGACGGTCACGGCCGAGAAGCACCAGAAGGTGCCCGCGGGGCTAATGCCGCCGTCGTGAACGGGCAGCAGCATATTGGGGACGGCACGCGAGTTGCCGTACTGGTTAGCAAAGTGCAGGGCCATGGCCCACGAGGTGGCGACGGCGCGGATGCGCAGAGGGAACAGCTCGGCGGTCAGGAGATACTGCATCGAGTTCCAGCCAAGCGCCCAGCCGAAGCCGGAGACGTAGATGAAGGCAATGGCAGCACGGCTGAGCGCGACATCGTTCGGCGGCAGCTTGAAGCCCTCGACAACGCCGAGCTCGGGCACCGAGGTGAGGAACGCGGCGATGAAGATGACCGAGATGGCCTGCAGGGAGATGCCGATAAGCAGCGAGCGCTTGCGGCCAATGACATCGACGAGAAACAGCGCGCAGAGGATGGCGGCGACAAACTTGACGATGCCAAAGACGGCACTGGCGAGCAGCGACTCGGTGGTGCCGGAGATGCCGAGCAGAGAGAAGAGGTCAGGCGCGTAGAGGGTGATGGAGCCGGCACCGGACCACTGGGACATAAACTGAACCATGCTGGTGAGGTAGATGCGGTAGAGGTTGCTGGGGACCAGAAACATCTCCTTGAGGATGCCGGTCCAGCTGTTGCCCATGGTGGCCTCGAGCTCCTCCTCGTGTTGGTTGCGAATGGCGCTGATCTCGGCGACGACGTAGGGGTGGTCGATGGGCAGATGGCGGATCTTGGACATGTTCTCGGCGGCCTTCTCGGGGTTACCGGCCTTGACGAGGAAGCGGGGCGACTCATACTGGAAGAAGGAGAGGATGAAGATGAGGCCGGCAAAGATGATGTGCAAGCTGGTGGGAGCAAGCTGTCACGCGTGTTAGTGGCTGAGATGAGATATGAGATGGGGTGATGCCTCTGGAGAAGCTCAAACTTACCCAGCGAGCGTGGGAGGTGTCGCCAATGTTGATCTGGGCGCCGTAGTTGGTGAAGTAGGCGAGGACGATGCCCAAGTAGACGAAGCCGGTGAAGATGCAGGTGCAAAGTCCACGCACCGACGCTGGTGCTATCTCTGCAATGTAGACGGGGCCAACGACGGGGGTCTGGCCGACACCGAGGCCGGCAATGAAGCGGCCGGCGTAGACGAGGCCGAGGCTGCCGTTGTTGCCCATGAACATGGCGATGCCGATGACCCAGAGGACGCAGAGCTGGCGGGTGGCCCAGATGCGGCCGATCCTGTCGCAGACGAGGAAGGCGAGGAGGGCGCCGGCGACGGAGCCGATCTGGACCATGGCCGAGATGTTGCCCTTGATGTTTGTCTGCTCGACGTCCGAGTAGGAGCCGTAGTTGATGAGCTTGAGGAAGTCCTTTGACTTCATGGCGCCGTTGATGAGGCCCTCGTCGACACCACGGGCGGCGCCGAGGAGGCCAAAGGAGATGACGGCGAACCAGAGGCGCCAGTTGAAGACGCCCTTGGGCTCGCCGAGCTCGCCGAGCTTGAAGACATTGATGGGCTTCTTGGGGCCGCCGGCCATGATGGGCAGTGGGTTGCTGACGAAGACGCAAGCAGGCTCTCTGCTGGGAAGGGGCGGGGGACAACTCGGGAAGGGTTGAGATCCTGAGAGAAATGAAGAGAGAGGAAGGGGGGAGGTGGACGGCACGAGGCTGGAGAGACACAAAGGTCACGAGGCCAGAGGAGAGGCAGCGGAGCGGGGGAATATATATGTGTGTGGTGTCGCAGCCATGGCGGTCCAGTCCTGTCCCAGACACGAAGCTGGGGTAGGGATACCTCTGGACAGGACTGCTACATTGTGATTGTGGAGGGGCATCCGTGGAGAAGCTGGTTGGGGATGCCAAGGCGCCTGGTCATGGCTGGTGCGAGCAAGCGGCGGCGACGGTGGTGGCGATGGAGCAGCAGGAGCGAGCGAGCGAGCAGTCGACGGGCTCACCGAGTCAACCAACGCGCTTGATTAGAGATGCGGTGTCATTGGGAGGGACGTGACTGGCTGGAGTCAGTCAGTCAGTCATCAGTGAGTGTCCAGTGAGGGGCCCCGCCGATTCGACCCGGGGGGGTTCCCCTCACAGCACAGTCCGTCTCTGCGGAGATGGGCATGGGCATGGACATGGGCATGCCTGGTCTCCCCCATCGCATCGTGGAAAATTCCCTTGACTAGGCTGGAATGACCTAATTAGTGGTGGTGGTGTGGTGTGCAAGTCAAGGTTGTCGTTTGTTCTCTTACCCAAGCGCGCCTGCCAAGCGACTTGGCGCAAACCTTTGCAAGCCACACGACCCGGTTTCGGGGTCTTGGCTGTCCATCCCACCGCCAACGGCTCTTTCCCTCGATTCTCTTTCGTGTCGCTTCGCCCTCCCAAGCCTGCCCAGCGCCGCCAATCCAGTGCCAATTCCCGGCAAGAGCCCCCAAGCTTTGCTCGGCAAGTGCTTGCCCTCGCCTGGGCAGCGCCTTCCGCCTTTGGGCTTCCTTGGACCCCGTCCAAGGTGACCTCATCCCGCCCATCTGCCTCTTTCTGCCTCTCTCTGCGTCGTCGTCATCCTCGCCTTGTACGAACAGGTCAGTCAGTTGCAAGACATGCCTGTGTGTCTACTCAGCAGTCCATGGCCGGGGCGGCATCTCACTCGCGATGCCAAGGAGCCAAGAAGCCCTTCTGTCTGGATGCAGGCGTGCTGCCGGCCACAAATCGCACGATGGCTCCACCACCTCTCGCGGAATCTGACCGAGCCGCTGCCACCTCGTGGGCGCCTGCCCCTATCGCGGAGCCCCGTAGGTGCGCCGCTTCTCCCACGTTTCCCCATTCAGGCAGCCCCCGACGGCAGACTCTGGCCGATGGCCAGCTGCATTCAGACTTTGCGCCTCGAGTCGACAGAGCCCCCGTGTCGGTGCTCCCACAGAGCAGAGCCACAGCCGTCCATCATGGCTTCGTGAGCCCTTGTCAGTCAAACCCAATTCACCACACTAGGCAATATCACGGGAGGGGCTGCATCTCAGAATTTCTTTTGACACAATACGAACCCACGAAAACAACGCATTCCCCAACCTCCGCCTCCCCACTTGCTTGAAATTCCTGCGGGGAGCGTCTGATGGGCTCTAGAACCCCCTCCCCACTCTCCACACGAGACCTTGTCCTTCACTTTTCTTATGGGGCCTCGTAGTCTGTAAGTCAGAGAACACGCGCTGGCAACGAAGCGTTCGGGGTGGGGCGGGACCATTCAGACGCATCCTCTCCGCCCTCTGCCGATCCCAACTCTTCAGCCGCACCACGGCGGTCTCCGTGGAGAAAGTCGATGAACGTCGAGGACAGATTACCATGGGACCAAGCCGTCGTTCCCAAAGACCCATCCGTATGTGGAAAGGCGCTTTCAAATCGGCCGCTCACTTGAGTGGATTTGGACGTCTTGGCATGCATCGAATCAGCAGCCGTTGGAGTTCGCCGCAAGAACCACGACCCGAAACATGAGGCCGTATGGTTTTTTAGAACAAAGCCGTTGCAATCATCACGGTCCGACGACATAGTAGACGAAGTATGAACAGTCGGCGTACAAACGTCGCCCAGTTGCTATCCCCAGGGACGCACAGTTTCTCAGTCCTTGACACGACCACTGGCATCTTCATGCAATCGAAGTGGCCCTCGTGAGGCTCTACCGAAGAACGTCTTGACTCTGCAAGCGCCGCCTGCATCAGAACCGCAGGAATGGATTGGAGAGCCTCAGATACCGCTTAACTTGGCTAAGACCCAGGCTAGCAGCCAGCACATCAGCTCAGCTTGTCTCTACTATGCCGTGCCACCCGACCAGGCCGTCCCCATCGGAGCGACCCGGATCAAGATGATACATGCAGATCAACCGCGGGGTCAGTCAGCCAGCGGGGAACAGAAGCTGGGGGAGAGCTGGAGAGCAAAACGGCGGGGAAAAGGGGGGGGAAAGTTGGGGGAGTTCTATCAAGCAAGCCACACTCACTCGCTGTCCCAACAACGTAACGAATCTTCAGGGCCATCGAGGAGGTGTGCCTCGTATATACGCTCGGAGGTCGGGAGAGCTCGTACGAGCAGGCTGAGACTCTTGGCATATTGACTGTGCTAAGTAATAGTGGTAGGCTGCCGAGGAGAGCGGGTGTCAAACAGAGACGATGTGGATACATTCTCGTGGTATGGGGAGATGGCGTTCCAGGGGGGTCGGCAGTAGCATCGTCTTGGCGGGCTGGCAGACTGCCTACAGCGGCTATATGGCTCAGCGCGTCGCAGGAATATGGATGCATCCATGCACGCGAAGGGCAGCACGCGATTCGGGAGGTTTTGATAAGGCAAGGGTTGGTCTGGGCAAGCATGAAGCCTCCGTCTAAGCTAGTGCCGTGGGCGGGGCGGATATCATGGAGTCGCTAGCATACGGTGTGGAGGCGGGGAGGAGATCTGGCTTGGGGGAAGCTGGGGGAGATTCTTTCTATTTGGGGAAGGTTTCATCTAGGGAGCGATTGTTCGGGGGAATCCGGGTGGTGAATCATGCACGACGACGACGACGACGACGACGACGCAGCACATGCAATCCAGAACAATGTGAGTCGTTGGGGATTGTGGCGCATCCCGTAGCTACGCTGCGCCGCCTTGGGGGAGTCCCCCATTCGTGCCTCGTGGGCGGGAGTTGGGGATTGGGGAAGGAGAGAGGCTATGATGATCTGCGGGGGACTTGGGGCCGGCCAATGTAGTTTGGCAGACAAAACGAAGAGGCCTAAGAATAAAGACAAAAGAACACGAAGAAAAGAAGGGGGATCTTGAAAAAGTTGGGGAAACGCGGGGAGGGCTCGTAACGGGGCTGGCTCGAAATGGGGGGGACGGGGTGGGGGGAGGCCCTAAGAATGGGGTTCTGCTCTACTTTTGGCACAAAGTTCGGCCGCCGTGGACGCCTGCCCCGTATTGTATCATCTCAGAAAAGGCTGCCGGTTACTCCTAACCAGTGAACTATTCCCCCCCGGGACTTTTAATATGACCTGTTAAGAACGGGAAAGAAGAATGGTAATTAGGAGCTGTGAAAACGGAATGCGGCTCCTGGTGATGAAGAAGAGAGATGGATTCCTGAAGCTGGGTGTTCCCTCACGGGGATGTCGGTGCACCGTGATAGTGCTAGTGCGCCTGACGAGGCTGGCATATTTCGAGAAGGAACGCCGTATGCCAAGATGCGCGTCAAAGAAAAAAAGTGCGTGTAAGACCACGATCCAAGTAAAGAATGCATCCTCCAGTAACAAGATGAAAAGAATTGCCCGACGCTTCAATTTCGCAAAAACTCCCAGGAACAGGGTAAACGTGCAGTAAATCCAGCGCTAAAAAGCTTACTGACATAATACGTAAACTTTAGCGTACTCCAGCCGCCGTGCCTGAGGCCTGGACCTGGCCTGACATGGCATGGCATGGCGTGGGTCTTCTTGTCCACGCCAACATCTTGCATCTGGGCCCCTCCAAACTCAAAAAGACGCCTCACGCGCGTGTGCGGCGCGCTTGGGGGTTCCAATGTCTTTTCGTATAAGCTGTCTCTTCGTAAAAGCTGTCCCTCGTAACAAGTGAACGCGTCACCAGTTCCCCAGCCAAAAGTCGTACACGCGTAAGCATGTTACCCGAACTATGTAAGGGGGTAGGGCCCGCCACAGTGGCGCGCGGAAACCCGCACCAGGGGGGGAAAGGGGCGTCGAAACAAAGTTTCTTGGAGACGGGCTAGAATAGAACACGGGCTCGGAATCGCCCGAGAAGCCTGGTACTGATTTGGGTAAGCTTTTGTCTAGCCGACATATATAGAAAACTAAGGGAAAGCGCTTATCCGGCCCGGCACACGTTATTCTCGTTTTTGTTCGAACCTCCACCGAGGTAGCCCACGATGGGAGTCGGCACTTACTGGGGACATTATGGCTCTGCTAGAATTGGCCTCAATCCCAACGGGCCCTATGTGACAGATGGTTTCAATTTTTGTTTGCAATGCCAGGTATTCATGGATGATATGATATGCTAAGGAAATATTCACTTTTGCAAAAGAGCGCAGCAAAAAATGGTACAAACACGCATTACACGACACGCTTCCTCAAGCGCCCCCCCCCCCCCCCCGGACGAATCACATCCCATCCCATCCCTAACACACATCCCTTTCTCCCTAATTTTACAGCTTCAGCACCTCCCCAGGGCGCCCAATCAGCTCCTGCATGACCCCCTCCAGCTCGTCCAGCAGCTCGTGCGCGACGGGCAGCCAGTCGGCAAACGTGACGACCTCGAACATGAGCGAGTCGCCGTCCTTGCCGACAAACGCCTGGATCTTCCACTCGCGCAGGGGTTCGTAGTGCGGGTACACCGTCTCGAGGCGGCATGAGGCGATGCCCTTGCTGCTGCTGTCGCTGCTGCTGCCACTGTTATTGTCACTGCCACTGCTGCCACTGCTGCCACTCCCAAACGACATCTCCTCGACGTGATACACATCCTGGTGCACGACCGTGTCGAACCAGTAGTCGCTCTCCGGCCCGTCGGCGCCCTTGGCCGGATCAACCTCAAACCCCGGGCCGAAGCACCCCGCGCGGATAATCTCGCCCAGGCCCATCCCCTGGTGCTCCGCGCTGGCAATGTGCTGGTGCTGCACGTGCCGGAGCAGGTCCGACGCCGTCCACTGCTCGCCGAACCGCACCCGCACGGGGATGTACTGCCACGTCGGGCCCATGACGGCCTCGGCGGGGCCGGTGCCCGGCACGTCCGTGTTGCGCCCGCTGACCACCTCGCCGAAGGTGACGTCGCGGACGCCCAGGCGGCGCGCGAGGCACAGCGCCCACGCCGCCGTGGGCAGCGTCGCGGTCGTGATGTCCCGGGAGCGCGCAGAGATGTCGACCGTCCGGGTGATGTCCCCGGGGATCTTGCTGGTCAAGGGTGGGAGGTTGCTGGGCCGCAGCACGCTGAGGCTCGCGCCGTTGAGGAGGTCCGCCCAGTAGGGAGTGCTGCGCGGGATGCAGTTGTTGATGGTGTGGTAGACAAACCTGGAGAATGGCAGAGATTGAATCACGCTCTTCTCGTCGCCCTCGTACACCGCGCCGAGCTGGCGGATCAGAGGGACGAGGCAGATCTCGTCGTACTGCGAATGCGAGATGCGCAGGGCGAGACAAGACCGGTCGTCTGCGCCGCGGACGTAGAAGAACTTGACGAAGCTGGAGCCCAGGGGCAGGCGGAGCTGCACGTCAAAGTTGCAGAGCTTGTGGGCAAACTTGTCAATGTTGCCCTCAATGTCGTACTCCTCGATCGCGACATCGAGGTGCTCGAGCACCACGCCGTAGCAGTCCCGGCCGTGCTCGACAAAGACCGTCCGGAGGATCTCGTTCCGGGCGACGAGCTCCCTGCAGGCTCTGAACAGACGGCCCGTGTCGACATTGCCCCTGAAGTGGAAGAGCTCGTAGCGGGAGGAGTACCTCGGCATCATGGCTGTGCCGCGGACCGCGACGTGCTGCAGCGGCCGCGTGGGCAGGACATCGAGGATCTTGGACGGCTTCTGCGCTACGAGCGGCTCAACTACCTCTCGCACAAACTGCTCCTTGTCCTCGGCAGCCAGCAGGGAGAACGGCGCCGCCTGGACCTCTTCGGCCTTGTCGGGCGTGACGTCCCGCTCCTTGCAAATGTCGGCCATGTCGTACAGGGTGCGATGCTTGAAGATGTTGGCGACGGAAAGCTCGATCCCCACGGCCCGAAGCTCAGAGACCAGCTTCATGGCGCCAATCGAGTCGCCGCCGAGCTGAAAGAAGCTGTCCTCGAGACTGATCTCGTCCTCTGCAACGCCGATGATGCGGCTCCACGCGTGTCGCAGCTTGCGCTGCTTGGCCGATGTGGCTGTGACGTGCTTCTTCTTCTTTTGCACCGTCGTGGCGGGCGCGGAAGTAGGGGCCGAGCGCTCAACAAGGACAACCTTGCCGTGTTCGTCGTGTTTTGCAAGTCGTTTGGTTCGGAAAATTTGCCCAGCAGAGTCTTCAGCGAGCCACCTGGGACGGGGCACCGCCTCTACAGCAAGCTGTGATGCGCTACACTGAACTACCAGTTCTCCGATGGCACCTGGAGGGACCAAACGCTCTGTGTCACTCGGGTCTACGATCCAGGTGTGTGTAATCCCTTCGACTGCAGGATCTAGCTTGAAGCCTTCCAAGCTAGCCGCGCCAGTCTCGCTGAGCTTCTTGAGCACCGAGATCTCGTCCTCCTCGACAACCCGTAGAGTGCCCACGCTAGCATCGGGCTGCTCGCAAAGAGCTTGGATCATACCACCGAGCTTGACAAGCATCTTCTCGAGCTGCTGCGACGACACCATCTTGGAGTCGAAGCTCGCCATGATGAGGAAGCCCTGCGGGTCGAGCGAGCACACCAGCATCAGGCCGTAGGTGTTGAACTTGAGTGCCTCCTGGGCGGCCTCGTCGTCGCCCGCCGGCACGAACCCGTCGGCCGGGCTGAGGTTCTCCTTCTGCTCCTGGTTGTTCAAAAACGGGAAAACATGGCCCAGCCCGGAAGGCTGCGAGGTGGATTCATTCGTCGCCTCGGATGTGCCTTCGGCGTCCGTGCTAGGATGCAGCACAAGACCCGTCCTCAGCTCGCATGCCTCGCGAGCGTCAGGGCTCAGGCGCCGGATGTGCTGCAGACCAAAGTGCTCGTGCGGGATAGCGGCAATGGACTGCTCGTGGATGTCTTGCAAGTAGCTCCGGACCGACGTCGCGGGATCAACGTTGACTCTTACAGGCACCGTCGCAATCATTGGGCCCTCGATCTCGTCTACGCCGGCGACAGGCGCATTGCGGCCAGTTAGCGTCTCGCCAAACACAACGTCGTCCGAGCCCATGTACTGCGACACCAGCAGCGCCCACGCTCCACGGATGACAGTCGCAATCGTGGTTCCCGAGGCAGGTCGGGTCGTCTTGACGTAGTGCTCGAGCAGAGAGTCGGCCTTTTGCTGGTAGTCCTTGAACGGCAGCGGCGGGAACTGCTCAGAGACGGCACCTACGAGACGCTCGCGCCAGTACGTCGCGGAGCTCTCTGCCTCTCCCTCGCCCAGAAACTTGATAAAGTGCTTGAATTCGGCGGGTCGTTCCGTAGTGAGGTTGTTGTACGCGCGGTTGACTCGGTCCACGATCAGAGGCATGCACCACCCGTCGTATAGAGCGTGATGCATGGTCAAGGCGAAGTGAGACTTGCCGGTAGACGCCTCGCTTGTCACGACGCCATAGCGAACAAGGGGCTTCCCGAGTTCGACGGGCTTGGTGCGGTCAAACTCGAGATAAGCATTGAGGCTGCCTCCTGGCAAGTCCGTGCAGTCAAAGTCGTCCTTGACCACGACTTGGAGTAGGCCGTGTCCGGGCACCTGCACGATGCGAGTCCTGAGGATTGCCGATGTCTGCGATGCGCTGCGGAATGCCTCCCTCAACCTCAAGGCGGCCTTCTCGCTGGGAAGCTCGACTACACGCTGAGCAACGTAGGCCTCGCTGACCTTTGCCGACAGGGCCATCAACGCCTCTTGCAGCGGTGTGCACGGGTAGATGTCGTCAATCACCGAAGGCTCAATGCCGCAGAGCTCTGCACATGCCGCGCGTGCGGCGCTCTCCGACCAGCTGTCCTGAAGCAGAGAGAACGGAGCAACATCAGAGATGGGCTCGCTCGAGTCGTGCTTGCTGACGAGAGCCATCTCGGAGAGTACCGGGTGGGTCAAGATGTCGGCCACCGAGAGGCTTACACCGGCCGTTCTCGCGGCAGCCACCAGCTTCATTGCGCGCAGCGAGTCGCCGCCGACGACGAAGAAGTTGTCGTGTGCGCCGATGGTCATGTCGCTGCCGAGCACCTGTGCCCAGAGCTTCGCGAGCTGCTTCTCCATGGGCGTGCTAGGCTCCCTTCTCTCCACCGACAGTGCTGCAAAGCCCGCGATGTCCTTGCGGCTGAGTGATGCGCCCAGCTCGCGTAGTCGCTTGCGGTCCGTCTTGGCAGACACCAGCTGGGGCATGATATGAAGGGGTATGAATGCGGCAGGCACCATGTACACGGGCAGGTTCACAGCAAGGCGAGACGTCATGGAGCCCAGAGCATCCTGGACAGACGTAGACAGCGACCCGAGCAAGTCGTCATTTTCGCCGACCAAGCCGGCCCGCTCAGCCACGAAGGCGACCAATGTCGGCTCTCCCGCCCCGCCGCCGGGCTTGATCACCTCAACCACGACACGAGTCTCGGGGGGAAGGTTCTCGCGCATGTGGTGCTCGATCTCTGCAAGCTCGATTCGCTGGCCACGCAGCTTGACCTGCTGATCGCCTCTGCCGACGAACACGATTGTGCCATCCTCGGCATACCGGACAAGGTCTCCAGTCTTGTAAAGTCTGCCTTTCCGGCCTTCATGTCGCGGACTTCCTGCGGTCAGCCATCTCGGATCATTAATGAAGACCGCGGCAGTCTTCTCCGGCTCGCCAAGGTAACCGGGGCCAACGATTGGTCCCTCGACGAGGAGCTCGCCAACTTCTCCCACGGGGACCAGCCGGTCGTGGTCTGCAGGGTTGACGATCCAGATCGATGCTCCAACGCCCCTCCCTATGCTGACATGGCTCTTTGTGCTCTCTGATCCGACATCGCCATTCACAGTGCAGCCGACGGTGCATTCCGAAGGCCCGTAGGCGTTGATCACCCTCGTGGTGCGGCTCCAGGCCGCGGCGTCGCCAGCTGAGATGGCCTCGCCACCGAGGCCAAGGACTTCCAGCGACGGGATGATGTCGGCATCGAGCACGCGAGCGACCGAGGGAGTCATGGCCGCCAGGTTGATGTTCATCCGGCGGATCGCGCCGCTCAGGTCGTTGATGCGCTCGGCGTCCGAGGGGATGCAGAGACAGCCGCCCACTGCCAGAGTGCACAGCATGCAGTCAATGGAGACGTCAAAGGCGTACGAGGCAAAGTCCAGGACCCGCGAATGTGCGCGGTAGCCGACAATGTCTCCGCGTGGCACGGCACCGCTAGTGAAGTTCTCGTGTGTGATGACAACGCCCTTGGGCTTGCCCGTGCTGCCTGAGGTGAACTGGATGTAGAGGTTAGTGCTCGGCGGGACCGCCGGCAAGGGCGAGCTCGTGGTGTAGGTGTCGAACTGTGCCTCGGAAACGATGATGTGTGTAGTCGTGGGTGCTATCCGCCTGCCGTAGTCGGCCTGGAGCTCCGAGGTCACGATGACCGAGGCACCTGTCTGCTCGACGATGGTGCTGAGCCTCCCTTCGGGCTGGCTGGGGTCCATGAGGGCAAAAGTGCCTCCGGCCTTCATGATGGCCAAGACGGCCACGCTCGTCCATCGGGACTTTTCGAACAGGAGCGGGACGTTTACGCCCGGCCGCACTCCGACAGACACGAGATGCGCGGCCAGGAGGTCGGACTTGTGCTCAACGTCATGGTAGGTAAAGTCGCCGTCCCAGGAGCTGATGGCGGGCCTTGAGGGTTCCTTGCGGGCTTGCTCTGACACGAAGACCTGCATGCAGGTGGTGATGGTTGGGGGTACGGGGGAGTTCCAATCCCATATCCTGATGAGATCGTCGGCTGGGATCGTCTCTTCTTCAAACTCTGTGGGCGGCGTTGAGGCCTTACTGCTGGCGGCTGCTTCATCTGTGTGTGCTTGGTCCGGGATTGTTGTGTATGGTTGTTCATGCTGTGAAGCGGGGAGCTCCGCAGGGGCTAATGTTGAAGCCATGACGTCAAGGAGTCTGCGGTCTTGATCTATGGCTACCATTCATTGATCCTGAGGTATTTGAGGGTGGAAGGAGAGGAAGATGAGCTTAGAAGGACCGGCGTGTGTGTGTGTGGAGAAGGAGTCGAAAAGTACAACATGACGAAGGCGAAGGAGTGAATGTGCCCAGCGAAGGCCAAACATTTTTTGCGAGGCCCCCGCCGCCCAGGGGGACGATCCATTCATGGGCCAGGCGACGATTTGGAGCCGACAACGGGCGGGCGGAAGTGGGAGCTCCATGTGGACGTGGTGTGGTGGTGCTAGCGGGCAGGACCGGCGCTGTGGGTGCCAGCGGTGCCACTCTGGGCGGATCTGATAACTCAATGGGGGATCTGATAAGTCGAGGTGATTTGCTGCGCGGGGCGGGGATGGCGTCTCTGCAGGCAGGTGGGCGCCTCTATAGGCACCTGCCGCCACACTCTGCTTGCAGCAGCGTGCAGCATGTCCATGTGCCATTGTCTGCAACGTCGATCGTCCTGTGCGTGACCCTGTGTTGCATTCGAGGCGTCCCCCAGAGGGATCGGTGGCGCTGGGCTGCTTGCTGCGCTCGAGTGCTGGTGACCTGAACTGGCCTTGATCGCTGAGGGCGGTCTTTGCAGGCCACCGCGAAGGGGCTGATGTGCCCTGGATCCGCCGCCTTGGGAAGCGAGGTGGGAAATGAGACCAGGGCAGGGCAAAGCAGGGCTGGCAGAGCCACCAGTGAGTGCAGTGAGTGCATTGTGTGTGTGTGTGGAGATCTGCCCCCACAGCGAGGAAGAATCTGATTAGATCAGATTAGATAAAAATCTCGGCACGCATCAGTGCGGACCCCACTCTCGGTAGTCAACACGCACCCTGATTGGCCTCGGGGGTCCCTGTGGATCAGTCCATGCTGGGAAGCAGTTTTTCATCATCACATCCGGTGTCGGACCACGCGCCGTCGTCGTCGTGTCGCCCGGCAGGGGTCCAACTGCCACCTGCCTGACACAGCTCGCGCATGTGATCTGGCTCCAGTGCATCTCCCTCGGCTAGGCTGTACGGTAGGGCTGCTTGATCACAACGGATTGATGCCCGTGTCTGCATTACAGAAGGGTCACCCCACGGGCACACGACGCACCAGTCACAGTGGCAGCGCCTCACGTGCCCAGAATCGGCCAGCACGAGGTGGTCCTTTGAGCAGATAGGCCTTGGAAATCTGCACGTATGTAGAAGCTGCAGTCATGAGTTATATTATTACTTGACCATCACCATCTCACTTCTGCACAACGGCTTTCGCGCCGTCAGCGACAACACAAAACCAACCCCCCGCATAACAATTCTTAATCACTCACCGGAGGTCATGACAACAGCATCGCATGAGGACTCTCTTTCAGAGCACGCGTTGGTCGCATCCCGCGGCCCCCTCTCCCTCCCCAACCACCACCACCCGCGGCAGCAACCATCATCCCCGCAGAGCGGTGCCACCCTTCTCGCGCCGTCTGTACAAAAGGCTCTGCGTCGAAAAAGCATAACCAGAGGAATCTGGAGAGGGTATTCCCTCGACTGTCCCCTCTAAGACACCCTTCTCGCCCCACACAAGGGCAGGTTGCTGGGAAAATACCTCTGCTGCATATCACAGGGTGTCCTAAGACAAATATCAACATGACCACCCGGGAATTAGACTCCCCGACATGTCGTGCACCTGTGCCAGCCACCCGTGCAACACACAAAACCTGTCAAAGCGCGCAAGGGTGATCCCGCACATGCACCGGCACGGGTAACTAGAATTGGGGATCATCGCACATGCAACTGTGAAGTTTATTGTTTAGGTAGTAATACTGGGCGGTGTCTGGGGAAACACGGGTCAATCATGTTGGGCGTGGTGCTTCTCCTTGAAACAAGGACAGGGTCACAGAGTGAGTGAGCGCATGCATAAGGCAGCCCGGCCACCATGTCTGTGCGGCGCGCCCGCGTCTCAGCGCGAGTCTTAGCGCATGCGTATGTGCGTATGTGCGTATGTGTGTGTGTGTGTGTGTGTGTGTGTGTGTGTGTATGTGTGTGTATGTGTGCGCGCGCGTGCCGAGAGAGAGCGTGTGTGTGCCTGTCGAGCCTGCGTCGAAGTCTGACAGCCCGCAGGTCACACACACACTACCCACTTGGTAGCCCGCGGGATCGACCATCTCCACCCCAGAAGCCAGAAGGGCGTTGTTCCGCTCCATTATCCCAAGAGGGCAAGTGATCGCCAGGCAATTACTGATTGCGATCATCAGCCGTCTTCTAGCGGGGTGACAAGCGCTGCTAACGTGGTGGATGATGGAGTTGGTTCCGTGGCTCGGATAACGACAGAAGCTGAACCCCGATCCCGCGTCCTAGTAAATGATGAGGAATAACAGGCTGGTGCGCATGTATTCAAGGTTGCTGAAACACGCAGGTATCGGCTGCAGCCCAATTTTGAACATATTTTCTGCATTTCAAAGAAGACCATTATGGATGTGTACACAGTAAATCTACATCATCTGTCTCGCGGCGACCTGCGCCATCTGCCTCCCAGTCTAGTACTTGATCGTAACGTCCCTCGAAATGGTGATTGCCTTCGAGTTCATGCCTTCCAGGCTGCCGTGCTCAGACGCCGCCGACGAGGTAATGTGTGTCTTGTAGTTGGTCGGGCGCAGCTCCGTCGCATCGTCGTCTGAATCTATCCGCTCGAGGTGGCTCTGGTGTTGTGATCTGCCAAAGGGGCCGTCGTCGGGCAGTGTCGGCCGCTTCGAGAACTTGGGCTTCCACGAGCTGCGCACCGTAGATCTGCTCTTGGAGGTGGTGTCCGCCTGGCTTGTGTTGCCAGTGCGTGGCTTGGAACCAACGCCGTAGCCGCTGGACTTGTTCCTGGATGCGTACGAGCTGGAGCCGAAGATTCTGGGCCAGAACCGGACGAGAATGACACGCACTAGATTCAAAGTTTACAGTCAGCGCTGCGCAAGGGGACGCTCCCGAGAAGTACTGAGCTGGGAGACTTACTCGAAGGCATGCAGGCGCACATGATACCAACAGTGATCTCGACGGTTGACCAGACTGAAACACCCCAGTAGTCGAAAGTGGCGTTGGAGCTGCCACGGAATTGCACCAGGGATGCGAGGCGAACAATGGAAATGACCGTGACAAAAGTTCCGACAACAACCACTACGAAAGGTCAGCACTGCTCTTGGGAACCACGGGGAACCACGACTCAGCAAGGCCTCTTACTAGCTGCAACACCAAGCTTCTTCTTCCAGTGCAGGTTGAGGGAGCTGATCTGTGAGAGGGGGAGGTACAACATCCAGAGGTCCAAGGCGATGCTGATGGCTGCGTTCGACCAGGCAATCACACTGGTATCTTTGCATTGAGCCTTCTTGGCCGGATCCTTCCAGCCTGTCCAGTTGTAGCTGACGGGGAGACACTGGAGAGCGGCGGCAAGCACAAAGGAAACTCCAAATAGGACGACGACGACAAGAGTGCCCCAGAGCATACGCCGGACCGATTTGTCGGGGAAGATGCGGAGGTAGAAGAACAGGATCGAGATCTTGAGCATGGCGACCTCCGTGAAGTACAGCAGTGTCACAATCCAGAAGGTGAAGGAAAAGTTCGTGATTTGATCCGGAGTCAAGGTCCATATGTCCTTGCCAATGCCAAACTCGGCTAACCGGACGTTGAAGACGGCCGACGGAACGCAGACCAAGACTGTGGCAATCATGGACCAATCGTCGGCGCCGAGGCCCATCTGCGTGAGGAATTGCTTGTAGACGACGCGGACGAGGACGAAAACGACGGCAATGATCATGAGGACGGTGACAATAACGTTGTACTCGACGCCGCTGTCATGTGGAAAGACACCACACAAGGTGCTTGTCGTGTTCTTGACCACTGTCGAGGCAAAATGTCAGAAGGCGCCATAACAGCATGGCCCAAGTCGACCAAAATACTTACCCAGCATGTCCTCAATCTTGCAGCTCAGAGCCACGCAGCCCGTCACGGCTGCGGTGTAAGCCGCATCGGCACAGTGGCAGGGAGTGTCGGTGATGGCGCATGTCGAGCTCGCGACGGCCTTTTGGAAGCAGGGAATCTGGACGGAGAAAGATGAGCAACGTGTCACCACGACTCCAGCGTCAGCGAGCTGGCTGTACTTACAGAACACGCGGGAAGACCGGCCTGCGCAACAGTCAGGCCCAGTAGCGAGAAGAAGAGGACGATGGAGGTGAGGAGGCGCATTTTGACGGTTGTGACGGGTTGCCTCGTCGACGACCACGAAACTCTATGATGGACGACGAAGACGAGCTCGACAGAGAATGGGGCGATGGAAATTGATCATGTAAGGGCGGCACGTGTGTCTTACATATTTCGACGTGTGCAGCAGAGTCCCGCAGGATGTGAAAGCTTTCAGCTTTGAGCATCTGTAGGCAATGACCCAGGTCGGCTCCACCAGGGATCCAGAGTGGCTGTCGCCTGTCGCTCTAAGCGGGCCGGGGCGGTGGGGAAGCCGCGAAAGCGAGGGTTGACTGGTCCGAGGTTGTCTGGCAATACGCAGGTATGAAGCATCGACGGGCGTGTTTCACCCAATGAGCCGAGTTCGCCATCGACAGCGACCTTGCAAGGGGCCTGCTGGGCGTGGGGCGCGGATGCCTGCAACAGGGAGGGCCCCCGGCGCCATCGAAGTAATAGACCAGAAGCAGGCGAATGGAGCCATGCTTGGAGACTTCTGTGGTTGTTGCATTCTGCGTTGCAGGCCCGCAGCCCTCGGCTGGCTCGGAACCACTTGCGAGTAGGCCCTAGTCCTCTAAGGTAGTAGGCAAGCTTGGCAGGGTTGCTGCGGGTGGCAGCACGCGGGATACGAGGCTCGACAACTGCCGTGACCTGCCACGGATCGGCAGCAACAGCAGCGGTGACCTTGCAGGAGGCGGCGTGCTGGCGTGCGTGCTTCTGGAGGCGGTCACAGGTGCCTTTTGCGCGGCACGAGCACGCTACACCATATGGATGTGCCGGTGGCCTGGCCTGGCAAAAGGTACCTGCATGCGGGTAAAGTGTTCGTCAGGACTGGAGGGGTTGGCAAAGCGGCCTGGCAGGGGTCAAACAGTTGATGCAGAGCCTGGGCAGGGGCCAGTCCGATAAGGTTTGGCGCCGAAGAATGGATGTTCATGCGAGGCGCCACCATCACTCATGATCTGCGCCAGGGCCAGGCGGACGCAGAGAATGGGGAACCTTTTGTTCAAGGGGAAGAGAACAGGCGGCGCGGCCCCTGGCTGTAGTACTGGTGCCGCCAATTGGCGGCAGAAGGGTGGCAGAAGGGTGGTACGAGGCTGGTAAGATCACGACACTTCTGGGAGTGGGCGTCCACTTCAAAATGGGGTGGCAACAACCGCGCCGAGTCTACGGGATGATGAAGAGAGGGAGGGAGGGAGGTGAATGCAGGCTTTTTGGCCAGAGTCGCCGGGCAGTGGTGGGACTTGTGACACAGCACTGTCCAGCCCTAAGCCTTTGGGGCCTTAGTGCCTGGCCAGGCACCACCTGCCAAAGGAGCGGCGTTTTTTTTCCGCGGGCTCAGGTGGACCTCGCGACGACAAAGTCTGTCCATTGCTGCCTCGTGAGGCATGCCTTGAGCACTCCGTCGCGGCTTCTGCCGGCGTAGCAGAGGAGCACACCTTGAGGCATCACGACTCATTGAAACAGATGTGCGGTCGCGTGTCGTCGCTGATCTGTGGTGTGCCGTACGTACCAGGGCCAGCCGCCGTGATCTCTTGGCGCAGCCAACTGCGGGTGCTGCTGCTGGGATGTCCCTAGAGGCACCCATCAAGCAACGGGATTCCTCCCGAGCCATCGTTGTCACCACCATCACCACTACGCACCACTGCGCACAGCCAGAATCATACTCGCGGGCGTCTTGGGCCACGTGGCCCAGCCTTGTTTGTTGCGAGTTGGTGGTGGCACACACCTGTTCAGTGTTCAGTGTCTAGCGCAAGTACCTGCCTCATCTACATGAGCCAGACGGGCACCAACTCTGAGGCACTGCCGTTTCGCCCCTGAGCAGACGCCACTGGCTGGCACTTCCCAGGCCCACCGTTTACGGGATGCAACCTCCCCTGATTTGCATTCCCGGTGCCTCTCCAACGACGACGAGGCGTTTTCTGAACACCGCCGGGCGAAGCTTACCCCCTATTCTCGGCACTTGGCACTGATAAGCGACATGCTCCCTGGCGGCGCATCATCAGTCCGCCGAATGGCGCTCCTCCACACGACCCGATTCCAATTCGACGACATCCTGGCCTCTTTTTTGAAGCATACCCGAGCTGCTGGCGCGCCTTTCGTTGTAGTTTGCCCCGTCGTCGTTTGCTCGCGTGCCAATGATGCTACAGAGACCGTTCATGTGCAGATTGTGATCGACCTCATCCCACCCTCCCACACGTGGCATCCCACGATTGAAAAAAGCTTGGCCCAGCATGCTAGGCACCAGAGCCCCAGGCCAACGTCCCATAACAAACCATTGCTATTATGTTCACGGCAGACCGACTTTTGTGCAACTGCATTGCAGAGTGGCCCAGAGGTAGCATGACGACACCGACGCTTCTGCAACAAGTCCTCTGCAGTCCAGCCTGCACCACACTTGCGGCAATTGGCTTCTTACCGGCTAGCTTACCGGCGAATTGCTACCTGAGTGCGGCTTAGCTCGTCTTGGGACAGTTGCGGGACACACAGGGCAACCGAGCGTCTTGCACCATTGCCGTGCTTCTAGCGTACAGGGTCGTGGAAGGGCACCACTACTGCCCTACAGTTGTAGCGAAGCGTGGGCCGAACTGTTGACACATCAAGCCTCTTGCGCAGACCGGAAAGCTCCATTGACTAGTCTCCGCGCGCAAGGCTATTGCAGGAAGCCCTGGAGACAGCCACATGCAGGCTATGACAAGGCCGTTCCGGAGGTGAATACCGGTTTCGTGGTAGCGCCTGGTGGAGGCACTGCGCCACCAGTCCACCCCCAAGCAAGAGGGCTGCCAGTGTCCAACACCACCGTGTACTTCTAGCCGTTCAGTTCGAGCCCCACCAGACCGAGCCCGTGCTTCGCAGTAGCACCCGATGCTGGCCCTCATCTCACTCCCGAAGCAGAACCCCTGGAAGGACTTTTCCTGCAGGGCCAAGCCGGGCATTCTGTACGTTTCCGACAAGAACTAGGTATCAGCCGTGGCACAAAAGTGCGCCCTACGCGGCTCATGATCACTTCGGTGCCAGAATAGAGGGCGCCACTCCGGGGTCGCAACCGAACACGACCGGTGAGACTGCCCTTTCCGGGGCAGCTAATTCCATACTTCGTATACTTTGGTTGCACGCTCGGCAACAGCCAAGGCGCATCATTGCCGTGTGGTTGTACCGGCCTAGTCCCGACGTCGCTTACAGTTCAAAAGTTGGTGGTGTACGAGGCCTTTACAGCCACGTGGTAATCGGTAAACTCGGCGGGTCTGGATACCGATCGTTGCCGGCCAACAAGCAGGAACCCATGTCTTCGGCGCTGATCTGCAGCAGGCATGCGTCATCGCTGAGCTCTCGCGTCTCTGCTGCGTTGACTCGCCCATGGATGTGTGCAGGCACCTGAGTCAATTCAAGAGGGCCGCTATTTTCTGCGTGTCTCCAGTGCTCGTCGTCCCGGGTGGTGCTCCCGGGTCGCTCTTCTCCACGACCGTGCCCGCTAAAGTTATGCAGCAGCTTGAGGGTGCCTCACGACACAGGTCATAGGCTGCAGCATTCGCTCCATGTGGATCGCAGCAATTATATCAAAGACACAGCGTTCGCCGTCGGACCGAATATTCATCACCACCGACTCGCAGCTGTCTGCTGCCACTGGCCACTTTTCTGAGATGACAGCTAATCTGAAGCGTTGGACCATGCAGATCCATAGCCCTGCCACCCTCCCATTGCATTTTGGGTGGCTACACCTTCCGTCCAGGACAGTACAACTTGATAGTGAGTACCCATTTACGGAAATGCCAACGCCCTCGCACGCCACAGCTCCACACAAGGCTAAGTGCGCCACCATAACCCATTCATCTCCTCGAAAGCCCCAACATACGGGAATTGAGCCTATTGGCCAATAAAACCGGTGTCTGTCGGGCTTTGAGAACCCCGCGATGGCGTTCTCTCCTTCTAGTCCTCTCCTTACTCCCTCCACCAAGCCCCTTGCCAAGCCAGGGCCATCTAGCCGCGCTGAAGCTCTAGATCAGTCTGCTGCTGTGGGCCATCGCCTCCACGTCTCCGGAGCCTTCCGTCGATCAGCCGTCGCTGGTGACAGGGTCGCTTCGCCGCAGGGCTCCCCCGGTTCGTGGTCTCAATAGCCGGATCGGATCTGCGAGAACCTTGCGAAGCTACGGGCTTTCGGGACAATTCCTTGATCGCGGGGCCATGGAGGCCTGTACACTGTAGTTCCTCGCTCCGGACGAGCGCGATGCTAGCCTGGCGATGGCATATTGCGTATATGCCAGACTTTGCTCCACCCATCACCCATGGCTGCCCTGAGCCTAGTGTGCCAACGACCGGGCGAGAAGAAGGAGTGGCGTCTTTGGTTCGGCGCCGGGACCCGAGCTATACCAATACAGCCCCTCCTCGGACCGGGGCCACGGGTTCAGCAACTGACGAGCCAAGGAAGAAAGAAGTGGACATGGATACCGCCAAGGGACTATAGTGTCGGACTTCTTGGAAGTGGTGCCACTACTCAATACAACGCTCAGCCCCCCGCCCCCCCCCCCCCCCAAGCAGGGAGGCTCTTCCGACGGACGTCCGGGTGGCACACGCGGGGCCCCAGCAGTAGTTCTCGTCTGAAATATCCGGTTTAGGAGATGGTCTAGGCAAGTAGTGGGTTGTTGATTAGAACTGGCGATGGGATGGTGTGGTGTTTCGGATATTTCGTCCCGGAGTCGAAGTCTTGGCCCGTGTCTATTTTCTGGGCAAAATGTTAGGTTGGGAACGAAGCCAATTTGCACGCATCTCCTGCTGCTGAAAGGGTTAGTGTTGAATTAGATGTAAGTGCACTGCCAAGTGCTTCAAGATGAGGGTCCCGACACGTAGCCCAGCAAGGCTTCAGACTTTGGGGCCGCAGAGGCCGTTTTTGGAAAGCCTACAGCTCTCCTGGCCCGCGTGGCGGCATGTTGTCGAGGTATAGCGCAACATATGCCCCCTTTTCCTAACGCTGGGCCATCACTATGAACGCTTTTCACTGCGACTGGGCGGCTCTTCGTCGTGCTTGTATGAGCGATATCCCCGGCCTGGCTGCGTTCTGTCGCCTTGGCTGCTTTGTGCGACTCATGGACCATACCCCTTAGCCCACACGTGCCTTTTTCCTGAGGCTTCTTGGCTGCGAGCATCGGCTTCATTGCGTTTTTACATGCCAGCACGACGCAGAGTCGGCCGACACAAGTTCCAAGAGTGAGGGCTCGAGTTGAGGGAACGTTTACCCCTTGCTGCCGTGTTTAGTCCCACAGCGTATATGGGGATCTCCTTCGATTTTGATAGAATTGTGCCTCGTGCTCATGACCTCGTTGCCAATTTAAATGTATCCTTGGTGAAGGGAGGAACTCGTTAGAAGGCATTGAGGAAGCTCCTCTTCACCGGGTGTTCTTTTTTTTTTTTTCTGGGACGAGCTTCACGCGACGAAGGAGAGCAGGCGCGAATTCACATGGTTACTTAGCCAAGAAGCGTAATGCACCACGTCGTGACACGCAAAGAGTTAGTTTGGGAGCACCACAAAAGGGGGGTTGACACCGTGAAGCTATGTCACAACTGCCCGAATAACCCGTGGGAAAGGATGATTCGTGTTGCCCCTCGTTCATTAGCGCGTACATCATACGTGTTTCGAATTTCACAGATTCTTCCTCTTCCTTTAAGCATATCAGACCTGCAAGCCTGCGGACACGCAGGCCTACGCTCGCTCGTCCTCGTCAGATGTCGAATCTGGGTAATGGAAGAGGGAGGGGTTTTCAATCGTCTCAGCTCATGTACCTTCCTCATGATCTCATGATATAATGCATATCTCACATGAAATCCAGAGTATCAAATGGAGCGCCCCTGAATAGTTTTGGCGCATGCTAACGGCTTACAGCTTCCAGCTAACGTGGTGAGCTGGATACTTCCACCCTCCGTGAAACTGTCGGTCTCAAACGCACGAGTGCTTTCCACATCCTAGGATACGCTTCAACGCAAAGCGTAGTCCACGCCAGAGTACAGGAGTTAGTTCGTGCTATTGCTCCTTCACAATCACGCCCCAGGACCAGCCTGCCTGTATGCGAGCGCACTGATGGACATGCGATTTATGACACGAGTGAGCATTCTCCGGTCCTGAATGCTTCTCTAGAAGGAATCCAGTGAGGCTCAAGTATGTTCCGATCATTGGGCCGCAAGTAAGCATCCAAGTTCCAGATGCTATTCGTCTTGACGACCAACAGAGTGCAGAAAATAGCATTTCACGAAAGCGGGCCTTTTTATGCCTTGGGTGAACGACAAATCCGCGCTCAAACAGTTTGAGCTTACCGACGTGTGTATTTCATATCCCTGAGATTATGCGCATCTGATCAAAAAACGCCCACTCAGTTCTAGCAAACAGTTACTTATTAGGTGATAAGCGCCGTCAAGTCTTCATCACCGATAAGCAGTTTGGCGCAGGGGAAGCGCGCCGGGCTCATAACCCGGAGGTCCTCCGATCGAAACGGAGAACTGCTAGATCAGAAACACTCATCTTTTGCGTGATTGCCAATTTTTTGCTTTGTTTGGGTATCTCGGAACCAAGATTGTCGCTCTCCTTTTTTTTTTTTTGTTCTCGTCTCTTCCTCCTTTGCGCTTCTCGGTATGCTTTTGGAGTTTTCGAGCGTCTGTAATCAACCCAGTTTGCACATGATACAAAGGACCTCACACACCAACCGCTGCCTCATCACTTTCATTATTTTTCCTCATTATATTCGTGCTCTTTATTGCCGTCCCGCAACGGTGGAATCCAAAGTCGCGAAATTCCGTAAACATGGCTCAGTAAACAAACAGCGCGACATCTTCACCGCATGGACCACGCCACAAGGATTCCGCCCAAGACCAAGACCCCGACGCCGAGCGCGGCCAGTGCATTATAGATGACTCCCTTCCGACCCGCAACCAGGGCATCATGCGAGGCCCTGGTATTCAGGAACGGGAAGTCCACTCCGTCCCCGGGCACCGGCCTCCCCAGGAACTCACACAAGGGGGCCCACCCATCCGTCGCCAGGTTGAACTCGAGCCTCCTCTCCGGGGGAACCTCCCTCCTCACCCTGGCAAAGTACTCGTCGTAGACAAGCCTGGCCCGCTTCTCGTCGAGCTCCGGCGCGCCCCGGACGTCAAACATGCCCTTGAGCATCTTCTGCACGGCGTAGCCCGCCCGGCAGCCCATCAGGTTCCACAGGGCCCAGCTCGCGATGGCGGCCTGGGGCATGGGCATGGCGGTGTCGCGCATCTGCGAGGCGAAGCTGGGCCACCACTGGTCAAAGTCGCGCTGGACCACGACGACCTTGGCGTCCGGGTACGCGGCCAGGAGCTCGAAGGTGAACGGGCAGGACAGGTCGGTGGCCACGTCGTAGGTGTTGCCCCAGAGCTCGTCCCAGTCCTTGCGGGTGTGGCGAGGGCGCGGGCGTGGGCGAGGCCGTGACGACGACGACGACGACGACGACGGTGGGTCTTGCAGGATAGATGGGTAGGTTGCCTCGGCGGCGCGCTCGAGCTCTGCCCAGGGCGAGTCGAACATCTTCTCGAGCAGGCCGTGGTGGACCTTGTACCCCAGCATCTGGTATGCCGTGGCCATGGAGTTTGTGCCCATGCGGAAGAAGCTGGCGTGGATAATCTTGAGGCCGCGCTCGTCGGGCGGCTTGGGCTGGTGGTGCGTGGGCATGGTGGCGATTGCTAAGGGGGAAGGGGGGCTGGGCGCGATGGACAGGGAAAGGTACGTAGTCGCTCTTTGAGAGTCGTGACTGTGGCCAAGGCGGTCAACTTATATTGGTCAAGTGTTCTGCGTACCGCCTTCTTTCAGCAAACTTGTGAACCCGCAAACGGGCCAGTTTGCGAGGGAAGACAGCGAATTAAAATGGCAAAGAGAGACAAGGTGCAGATCTGATAAGGCAAATGCAGGTTACCTATTGGCTCGGGAACCCTTACAAGTGGAGGGTGGTGGCCCGTTCGCGAGTTTGCGCGTTTGCTGAGAGAAGGCGGGCGGAACGTCCGCATGGAGTTGTCTCGGCCGCCGGTGGGCAGAGTAAGGCTACCCTATCGTCTGATGTGACCCCTGGACTTGGCTGTCGTGGGGCATGTGTGCCCACTAACATCCATGAATGACCGCAGGGCGAATATTCGCGCGTCGTTTGATAGCAACCTCGCTTCTTACCAGTCAGGCAGCAGATTCTATAAATCTGCACGACCTCGGACAAATGCCCATGCCTTCTGTTGGACTGATTGATTGGTCCCACGTGTATTCCTTGGTGCTTATTTCTTTCGAGTCTCCACAAAGTCCGATGATGTGCTGACAGGATTGTTAGGTCAGGCGGCGCGACGCGGCCTTGGCTTATGGCAGATAGTCGTCCCAAAACGGAACTTCGAATCGGGAGACTTGGAAAATTGAAACACATTTTTATCATAGTATATAACGTAATCCACAAGTGGGTGAATCACACAAGTGGATGAATCAGTCCCCCGCCACTTTCGTACAGGCTGTCTTCTTTCCCCCTTTTCTCCACCAATAATTATGGTACGACAATCAAATAAAAGCGATTTAGTTCTCGCGCTAAATGCGCTTCAATCGAACCCAGAATTGAGCGTACGAAAGGCTGCACAGATCTATAATGTATCCTTCTCAACCCTCCAACGTCGACAACACGGCCGACCTGCGCAACAAGATATCCGACCACCTTGCCAGAAATTGACCTCGTACGAAGAGGACAGTATCGTACGATATATAATCGACCTAGATTCGCGATCGTTTCCACCGCGGTTAGGTGGTGTTCGAGAAATGGCGGATCGACTCCTCCGCGTGCGCGACGCGCCACGCGTCGGAACGAACTGGGCCTCAAACTTCGTACGACGACGATCAGAGCTCCGTACGCGTTTTAATCGAAGAATCGACTACCAGAGAGTCCTCTGCGAAGATCCAGACGCGTATCGCGCGTGGTTTGGGCTCGTACAAAACATAATCGCGAAATACGGGATCCACGATGACGATATCTACAACTTCGACGAAACGGGCTTCGCGATGGGTAAAATCTCCGCCGAAACTGTCGTTACGACCTCCGATCGACGCGGGAGGCCAAGAGCCGTACAACAAGGCAATCAGGAATGGGTTACAGTAATCCAGGGTATCGCGTCGTACGGCTATTCAATCCCGCCGTACATTATCTTCGCCGGGAAGGTCCACCTCGACTCCTGGACCGCGAATAGCCCTCTACCGGCCAACTGGGTAATCGCGCTTTCAGAAAACGGTTGGACGACGAACGAGAGAGGCCTAGAATGGGTAAAACACTTTGATTTCCATACAAAGAGTCGTACGAAGGGTACCCACCGCCTCCTTATCCTCGACGGCCACGAGAGCCACCATTCCGTCGATTTCGAGCTCTACTGTAAGGAACAGAATATTGTTACGCTCTGTATGCCTGCTCATTCGTCGCATAAGCTCCAGCCTCTCGATGTTGGGTGTTTTGGACCTCTGAAACGGGCGTACGGTAAAGAAATCGAAGGTCTAATGCGGGCGCACGTAACCCACGTTTCAAAGGAGGACTTCCTCCCAGCCTTTTATAAGGCGTACGACGCTGCAATGACCAAATCAAACATCCAGGCAGGCTTCAGAGCGACAGGCCTAGTACCGTACGACCCGAATTATGTGATTTCGCAGCTAGATGTGAAGTTTCATACGCCGACACCGCCAGGTTCCTCTGCTGGACTACCACCCCCATGGGTTTCAAAGACGCCGAACAACCCAATTGAGACCGAATCGCAGACGAAGTATATTGAAAATCGTATCGTACGACACCAGAATAGCTCTCCGTCGTCCATTGTTCAGGGCCTACGACAGCTAGGAAAAGGAGTTATAATGATGGTGCACGAGCAGGACCTTATGCGCCAAGAAATCGCCGAACTTCGAGATGCAAACGACCGCCTCAGCCGCCGTCGTCGTACGAAAAGAAAGCAGCTACAGAAAGGAGGGTCCCTCACAATTGATCAGGCAAAGGATTTGAAGGCTCAAATCGATGCGACGCAGCAGTTAATAGCGGAAACGAGTCAGAATAGTGGTCGTACGAGGAGGCCCGAAATGCGCGCGCGACGATGTGGCGTCTGCGGCGAGCCCGGGCATAATGCTCGTACGTGTCAGAAAGTTATATCTGCCTCTGAAGAAGAGGATTCCGAATAGTTTGAATTGATTTGAGGCGTTATGGTTGAATTGACTTATACATTGTCGTACGAGTACCCGATAACTGATTCATCCACTTGTGTGATTCACCCACTTGTGGATTACGTTACATCATGGTCATACAGGATATATGATGCCCCTCCAGAGCCAAGTCTAATGGTAAAAGGCCGTCCAAAAGCCAGTTTGAAGCATCTGGTCATCATGCCGTCCTTCTTTTGCCGTGCTGGGCACTAATAGAGGAGGCCTCTAGTTTGGCACGACTTGCAGCGACTGCAGGCAGGCGACAACGAAGCACGCCCAGGCAGGGATGTCGACGCACCACGAGCGCACAACGTGGACGTTGAGCCACTTGCGCAGGTTCTCGTTGCCGTGGCCTTTGGGCTCGTCCTTGAGCAGCGCATCTACGGGCCACACTTTACAGTTGCCATGTCAGCACATGGTTGGGAAAAGAATCAATACGATAGTGCGGGCTGCCTTAGTCTCCGCGCATAGAACTCACTGATCTTTGGTACGAAGGCCATGTGCAGCACAGCCAGTGTCGTGCCCGCGATGAACCAACCGCGCGCACTTGAGCTGGGAGAGACCCCGGCTGCGTTCCCAGCGCCCAAGATATTCGCCAAGCCCGTGGCCGTGGTGAGCGTGTAGAGGGCCGCAATGTCCCATATGCCCTTGGAGAAAAAGGCACGGAAGTAGGACGGGACCAGGTCGTTTGCGCGGTTGCGGTGCTCGGGGGCCAGCAGGGCGTCGAGCATAAAGTACTGGTCGTGTGAGAAGCGCATCGCCATGGTCGAGGTAATGAGCGGCGCGACACGCAGCAGCACGGCCGGGTTGAAGAAGAGGCCAGACGCCATGATGAGTCACAGCAGGGTCCTTTGAGCGAGCGGCTGGGGGGCTAAGCGATCCTCCTGCGCCCCTGATAAAAGCAAGGGATCAGTGCTTGTCGTCGTAGTCGTCGAGCGAGAGACCGTGGACACTTGGACTGGAGGAAATTGGCTGCGTATTGGAAGGCAGGAAAAGTTATAGAAGAGGTCGCGTGGGCTGCGTGGAGACACATCGTGGGGAGCCCCCCCGTAAGCGCAGCGTAGCCAGGGGCGTGACCCGAAGCTCGGCTCAGCCCGGCCCGCACCGTCAGATGATAGATCCGCCAATGCGAGTGTGCATCTCAAAACCCCCCAATGAACGAAAGACTTGAGATTCCGCGGTGGTGTTGCCATATGAGCCCACTATGTTGTCAGGTGTCCCGCTCGGAAACACCGAAAGGCTTCCTCGGACGGCGCTGAACAAAGGGCAAGACGGATGTTCTAGCAGCGGGTAGGGGCGGCCCAGAAACCATTGGTCGGGTGACTGTAATTGTGACTAAACCTGAGCAAGCAAAAGTAAAGATGCACCGTCTTTACAGCAGGCAGTGTGGTATAGAGTCCGGAGCGAACTGGCCTATACCACGCATATGGCTGCTGCTTGGATCGCGGTGCTTGATGCCTGAAGCTCGCCCATGATCTAGGCGCACGCAGGCGCAGACTGTTGGTTTTCGCCAGGGAATTGCACTGCAATTGATCCTGAGCAGTTCAAGAGCTCCTGCCGAGAGCTATTTCCAAGGGCTGCTATTTTGACGCGTCACAAGATGTCTCTACTGGCTGGAAGCGTGTCTGTCCGGGCTGACTGTGCAGGGCTGTCCAGCACTGTGTGCATGCACTGGCCTCGCCACGGATTTCAGCCGCACCTTCCGTTCCGCCCGTCGTGGTCCCACCAGTCTGGCACCGCGCGCGTCATTGCTCCCCGTCTACCCCAGCCCTGCCCAGGCACAACCAAACCATTCCCGTAACGGCTTTGCGCTCAGACTTCGTGCCCAGCAACCTCGGACAACGCTCTCGTCCACGACACGGGCCGGCACAAGACCAGCCAGCTCCCGCCGTCCCACGAACCGACAGCTGCTGCAGTCCATCGACTCTCACCACAGCTTTGCTGCCCAACCCGAGCCTTGCCATGTCGGACGACGAGGGCGAGTCCTCGCTCGCGCCCGGCTCGACACCGCGCCACAAGGCGCCGCGCTTCACCTGGAACTCGGTCTACGAAGAGACCTTCTTTCGCTCCCTCTGCGAGTCCATCCAGCTCGGCTTCAAGGAGCACCAGAGCTTCAAGGCTGGCGCGTGGGAGCGTGCCGCCCTCGCCCTCCGCGACAAGCACAACGCCTATCCCGAAAAGAGTCACCTCATCAACAAGGCCGACAACGCGCGCAAGAAGTTCCGATTGTGGCGCTCCCTCCGCGAGGACCCCGAGTTCCTCTACAACCCGGCCACCCGCACCGTCACAGCCTCTGACGACGCCTGGAAGCGGCACATCCAGAAGGAGCCTCTGTCCAAGGCCCTGAGGGGCCGCCCCTTTGAGCACGAAGAATACCTCGAGATCCTCTTCCCCGATGTCGTAGGCTCGGGTGGTGCGCCTAAGCGCATCATGCGGCCACGGCGGAAGACGCTGACATCAGCAGAACCCGATGCCATACCCTCAACCGCCCTCGACTCGTCCAGCACGATGCTCAACAACTCCCACATTCACGATACTTCGCAGTTCGTACACGACTCGTCCCAGGACCACTCATTCCAACACCTCCAGCCAGGAGGGCCTGGCGTCGCCCCCATAGGCCTGACGCTTCCCTCAGCATCGACAGCGAACGTTCTTACACCTCCAGACGAAATCAACCCAAACGCACAGTCCCGCAAACGACCAAATGGCGACATGACGACTCCACAGCAGCACCAGTCAGCAAAGCGTCGCGGCCGCCCGCCGCGTTTCTCCCACCTGGCATCCAACGCCTCGCCAGCAGCTGCACAAACACCCAGCAGCACCACAGCTTCGGCGGCCGTAGTTCCTCGGCCCACCGCCACGCCGGCTCTACAACCGATACACCCGTCCTTCCAGACTAACGGTGCGGTGTATGAGTGCTTCACCATGCTAGCCGAGGCTCTGCGGTCGGCATCATCGCGGCCAGCACCCCCTCGGTGGCAAGAGCAGGCCGTGGAGATTCTTTTTCGCGACTTTTCGGACGAGGATGCCGATCTGCAGCTCAAGATTGCCGAGAAGGCGCTCACCGACGAGAACAAGGCCATGGTCTTTGTCAAGATGACGCCTGCCCTGAGGAATCACTGGGTCGGCAGGCTGCGGGACGTGCATATGCGGACACAGGGGAGTGGTGTTGGACCGGGTGGAGGTTTGGGCAGGGCCATAGACGAAGCATCGTAGGTTTTGTGGCTGGACTTTTGGACGACGCAGCAGCGAGCATGGCAGCATGGAGAAAAGTTTGATTCGAATCACTCGTTCTGGGTTCAAGGGAAGTTCAAAGCACCCCGTTTTTTTCTTTCTTTCGATTATGCGAAGGCGCAATTGGTGTTCTTTGCTTGGCAGGGTTTTCTATTCCAACCCAATGTACATATACCAGGGAAACATTCAGCTAGGTCCACACACTAGAGATTGCATCAGTGAGCTCCGACTCGCACCAGAATCTACATATCAAAATTGTTCCTCCCCGAGCCTGAGCAAAGCTGCCCGTGGTTGATTTGATGGATTTATTGAAACAACTTTCGAGTTTTAGAGTTGCTCTTCGCCTTTGAAGACTGTGAGACTTGGAATCCCCCCGCCGGTCCGAGAGGAGCGCAAGTGCCTGACCACGACAACCAGGGCTCGTCGAAAGGATGCTCTGTGACAGCAGACAAGACAGCACACAAAGCATCGGGCGCCTGGCAGCGGCACACACAGCTATTCCCGGAAGGCTAGCTAGTTCCAGCCAAGCAAGACGAGTATGTGGCAAGGAGGACCGGTAAGAGTTCGCTGGCAGATACGCCGAGCTGTTGCATGGATGCTTGCAGAGTTATCCCACAAGTATGACGTACGCACCCCAGGGAAGCGCGGCCCATTGGCGAACGGGCCTATCCGTGGCGTGCCTGACATTCATTTTAGACGGGAGGTGCAGCCAGAGGAGGAGCCCGACTGCGGTGGATCGGTGCGGGGAAGGGCATGGAAGGCATTCATTCCCTGATGCCGCCGATGTTGTGCCGCCGTTGTTGGTGGCCGCTGGTGGACAAGGAGGTAGTGAGATGTGGATGAGGGAGATGACAGGAGGTGCCCAGCTGTGATATTTTTTCGGGCCAAGCATCGAAACCTGGAGCCAAACTCGAATCTTGATTTGGTTTGCGGAGGGTTAAGGACCGCATAAGATGTGCAACCTCTCCGCTTGGAGGATTAGAGAGCCCTTACACGGCACAATGCTGAGTAGAGAACCTTGCCTAGGAAACTTGTTTGGGGTATGCGCCAACAAGATGCCAGGGATGAGAGTCATCATTGTGCGCAGGTCTGCTAATGTGAAACTGTCACCTGATGTTCGAGGACGGGAAAGTGCCAAGAGCGCGTGAGTTGCTGCAGTTGTCCTGGCCCTAGACGAGTTGCAATACACAGCGACAAAGACAACTTCACAGCATCAACTGATGGTGGTGTTTTCCGAATGCGTCATTTACTGGTCAGGCTTGCTGACACATTCACCCGCAAGTCTCATCAAAGGGGCCCGAACCCCGCCAGGGACAATCAGTGGTCATCAGTGGGTGGCACCTACTGGTCAGCGGTGCCGTGTTCGCTTGTGTATGTATCAACAAGGACTTTCAGAGGAGGACGGACGAACTTGCTCATGCCCGGACATTGGGTTCGGGAACCTGAACTGTCAGTGACTGGATTGTACCCGCCTTCCGTTCATTGTTCGGGCAGACAGCCGCTCCAACCAGGTTGACGTATCTAAGCCACGGACAGTTGTTGACCAGGGGCTTGACGGCCAAGACGGGTAGAATGTGCATCAAGCTTTCTAGGGCATGCGGGGAACCCTGATGCCAACTGGGGTTGCTTGGATCCTTCAGCGGCTATATGCAGACGGAGGCAGATAGTCATGCCCGGACACGAGGTCCGGACACACCAGTGACAAGGTCTAGTGAGGCAATTTCCCTGTACTGGTAGAGGTAGACATACGCGGGCCGCAGAGACACATGCATGGTGACACTGGACTGCCCAGGGAGTACACCGCGATCCCCTGCGATCATTCTTGTACCTGGTCGCCGAGAGACACACGACGTTGCAATTTCGGGGACCTCAAAGTTGGAGAGGCAACATCCGGCAGTGTTGGATGAGGGATATCGGGGGCCTGGATTGTAGAAGTGCTTCTTGATTGCCTGGATATATTCGTCCGTTAGGACACCGACGAGGGGATGATATGGTGGTGTCAGAACTTGGGAGGCCGAGAACGACACTATCGTGCTCTTCTCTCTGAAATACTTGCGAGCCTCCAGGCGTCCCTGAACGTACGGAGCTCGTGATTTAAACGTCCCAGACTTGGCGTGTTTAAACTCGTGACGCTACGCGCAGGGATACAACCATGGCCTAACAAATTATCGAATGAGTGGCTCTTAACTTGATGCATTGTTGGTTGAACAATAAACTACATTAAGAATGTTGCAATCAGCAGTCATGAATGCATCTTCAAGCAGTGGTACAAGGATGGACCGAGCCAATCGGCCGTTGCTGCCTGTTATGATACAACACAACACAGGATCTTGCAAAAGGGCGATTCAGCCACTTCTGCAGCAGCAGTCCAAGCGTGTTCTCGTCCAAACGAAACAGTTTCTCGCAACGCGACCATCCAGGACACTGATCCCTGTGTTCACCCCCGCTATTCATGAGTCGCCAGCATTGCCTCCATCTCGGTCGCGCAGCAAAAAGCCAAACCTCCTCCCTTCCATCTTCAGATCGTGCGAGGAAGCGCTCCAACCAGGCTCGTTCAACTATATCGAGCGCTCCTACATATGGGTGAGGCGTGGGTCACTTGGCTTCCAGCGCGCCGGAGAATCCTGGTCACGCTCTGGGATGGAGATCCTTCAGCGGCTAATTCCACTCCATACGCATGGGGAATTCTTGCCGTTTCTCCACCATGCGCAGATTCATTCATCCATGGAACACCCACTCAAGGCACGCGCAGCATGAAGCTGACGTATGTTGATAATTGAGAAGTGGTCATCATGAGTCTTGTACGTGGAAAGATATTTCCGCGGGAACATCTCCAAGGATACTATTGGTGCGCCTGGCCTGCTGGTGATCAAGAAGCTCTTTTCGAGGACTGTCGCTATGTGGGAGGGCAGGGACAAAATGTCGGACGATGGTAGAAGTCGCCGTGTCGTGGAAGATATTGACCATGGAAATAAAATCTGAGCCAGTTGGCTTCATGCTGATTCATAAGGCATGACGAGTATAAAATAAACGACTATCCCCACGACTTGTACTTCTTTGGTCTATGTCCAAACCACCTTCACAGTGATAAAGCATCAAAACCTCGGAAACTTCCCATCTTCATCTCGTAGAACAGTGAGCCAGCAGCTTCGAATATCTAATGTCTACGGCCCAAGATCATTGACTGACTACAAGACCAGGCTTCGGACAACATCTTCAAAATGCACTTCACCAACTTCGTCCTTATGGCTGTCTCTGCCATTTTCGTCGCTGCAACTCCTATCGCCGAGCCTGGCGTTCCCGAATTCTACAACGGCGAGAAGCTGGTCGCTCGTCAGATCTGGTGCACCGCATGCAAGAACGGCGGGCAAACCTGCTGCTCCGCCGTCCAGTGCGGTCAGTACAGCTGTTAAAGAACGACAGAAAATGGCTACGGTTCGACTTTTTGAATTGGTCAAATATGGCATCTCTGGTGAATCTGTGCCGTAAGGCAGGCGGAGATAGTGGCGTGGGACATGGTTTAGCACGGCACAAGCATCTGTATCCTCCTCCACGCCGCCCCACATAGGCTCTGACAACTTCGAGAAGACCAATAGTAGCTCATTCCTCATTGCTTATGATATGAGTAACCGGCCCTGGAGCTAGATGGGATACCGTGATCGGTTTACGTGTGCCGCGCGCCTAATGAGTAAATTCTGATACAGTCATCAAGTAGAGGTGGCTTGGCGGTCGGGGTGCGTGGCGCAGACAAGCGCGAGCTGAGTATCGTACTCGGTTAGAGAGTTAGCGCTTACAGGAATGAACTTTCGCCACTTGGACGGGAGCGAGAACAACCTCCTTTGGTTTCCCCAAGGACCATTCAAGATGCTGCGCATTTGCGGTAATGTGAGGTGTATGCGAGTTTCCTCTCCTTTAGTATTGTTTCCACAAGAACATCAAGGCCTTTTGGTCCCCGATCCTACCATCAACTCTGGTTGCACCACGCGTGGCTGCAACTGAGCACCCCTTCTTTTAAACACGTATCGCCTAGATGTCCACAGTCTTGCCATCAGGGAGGGCTTCCATTCGCCAGTGCATACGCGGCAGCTACGCGGAGGTTGATAAGCACCAGCTCACCACCCATGCACATGACGTATGGTGGGTTGACATGAGATAAGCGGTGTTAAAGCCTACTGTCGTAAATCCTCCTCCATATCCGGATGGTACCCTGGCTTGCTCGCGCTCCTACAAGACCTTGTCATGCATTTTATCTCGATTTTCCCTCTTTCCTTACTTCATATCCGATTGAACAAGGCTCCTTGCGACTACCGCAGTTCCAAAGCTGGCCAAACGCTGCGCTTAAATTCCACACGGATCAACGATTAACCATTTGTTCTCTGAGCATAGGCGCTGATCTCACGCGGCAGAGCAGAAAACACCATGGGCGGGTTATTGGATATCGTCTCGTCGCTTTTCGAGGGGCGCTTGCTGCTTCGAAGCCTTCTCTCGGTAAGAACTAGGAATCAACGTGGAAAGCTCCATGGCAAGGCCGCATGGCTCGCTTCGCTCTGAGTGCAGCTCTAACCAAGACCCTTATCCCAGGTCATCTCCGGTGGCATCCTCATCAAGGCCATCTACAACATCTATTTTCACCCCCTTGCCTCCTTCCCCGGTCCATTATCGCGGAAGATCAGCCGGATCCCCTGGACGCTGTCGATGTTGCGGAACAGGAGCATCTTCGACGTTGACGAGCTGCATCGCAAGTATGGCCCTGTGGTAAGGACCGCACCGGGCGAGCTGTCTTTCCAGGATGCGAATGTCTGGAGGGACATCATGGGTGGTGGGAACAGCGATATTCCAAAGTGGTGAGTGACAAACACGTTTCTCGTGCTGGAACCTTCGTGCATATCACGGCTTTGGAAACGGGCATCTGACACCAATATAGGAAAGGGATGTACGGTGTCCCAACTTTCCTAGCGCCGCATATCCAGAATACCGTCAGCAAGGAACATCATCGCATGCTACGAAAGGCTCTCGCGCCTGGCTTCTCAGACGCTTCCCTCCGTGCACAAGAGCCGATACTGCAGGGGTACATCACTGCCCTCATCAATCGCCTTCGTGCTGGCACAGACGGTGTAGCTGCCCGTGATAGGAGAGAGGAAACTTTTAACCTCGAGATGTGGTATCGCTATGTCGTTTTCGATATTATCTGCGATCTGGCTCTCGGCGAGTCTCTGGACTGTATCAACAGCAAGACCGTGCACCCCTGGATCAAGGGCGTGGAGGGCGCCGGCCCCGCCATGCTCGTTCTTATCGCCATCAACATGTACCCGACCCTCGCGGCCGGCGTGGACTGGCTGGTCCGCAGCTCTGCCCAGCATATGGCCAAGCTTCACTCCGTTCATATCGAGCCAGCTGTTCAGCGCCGCGTCGAAAAAGGCGAGGCGCGGCCGGACTTGGTGAGCCCACTGATTCGACTGCAGAAGAAGGCCAGAGAGGAGCATACAAAGGACATGACGCCCGGGAGCGCAGCGTTTAACGAGCAAGCGGCCCTGGACAATCTCGCCATGAACGCACAGGCCATCATTGGGGCCGGTGCGGAAACCACCGCGACAACTTTGGCCGCCGTGACATCGCTGCTCCTCGATCACCCGCCGATGCTCGAGCGGCTCCAGAAGGAGGTCCGAGGGGCGTTTGCGGCCGAAACCGCCATTACGGCAGATGCTGTAGGCCGGAAACTACCGTTCATGTGTGCATGCATTGACGAGACTATGCGACTGTTCCCCACGACAGGCGCACCCTCTCTGAGGAAGACCGATCAGACGACAAACATTTGCGGAACAGTCGTTCCAAAGGATGTGAGTTATTGCCTCTTACACATTCGTTACATGTGGCTACGGGGCAAATGACCTAGGGTTTCCACGAGTTTCCTGTGGCCGTATCTGCCATCGCATCAAGTAGCGCTTCAATGCTGACCATGGGCATGCTGTGATAGACGGTCGTGGGTATTTGGACATGGACACTACTGCGTTCCCCACAGTTCTGGACAGACGGAGAGGAATTCCATCCAGAGCGCTGGCTTGATGAGGACGAGCGTTATGCGGGCGATACCCGTGAGGTGTTCAAGCCCTTCTTCACCGGCTCGAGGGACTGCATTGGACAGAAGTACGTCCCGCTGCCTTTGACCTTACCCAATGCCCTTTCTTTTCGGCTCCTATCGGGCACGAGCGGAAATCTCTTTCCACTCGCTCCCATTGAAATTCACACTGACCGTGCACTAGCCTTGCTACTTTGGAGCTCCGCCTCATCCTCACGAGGATGATATACAACTTTGACATGGTGTACGCCGACGCCGCCTCGCGGAAGTGGACGAAGAAGCAGACGCACACATTCGTCACATGGAGCAAGACGCCGCTCAATGTGCGTTTGATCCCGCGATGAAGGAGTACGAGTGCAGAGGATGTGGAGTTGGCCGCTATAACCAAAGGATGACAAGGGGTTCAGCTAATGGAGGAAATTGAGACGTCTACCGACTGTTCAAGGTGGGCTGCAGCATCCTGGGTAGACTAACATTATACAGGCCCGTAATGTAGTCCAGCGAGGACGAGCGAAACCAAGAGCTGTCGCCGACAGGCCGCCTGACACACCCGCGTTAGGAGGGCTCTTTGTATGAGAGCTCTGGGCGCTGCCTACCAAATCACGTGAGCTGAGAAGACCGTCGCAACCGTTGTCGTGCCGCCACCGCTGAATCTAGGTTTGCTGAGCATCCATATGCCTCGCAAGGGCTGGTCGGATTTGGCCGTCCGGTATGATGAAGTTGACGGCGTCGGATATGAGCGGGCCCCTTGTTGCTCCAGCTCCTTGGTTTGACGTGCAATCGAAGGCTGTCTTGGCGTTTTGAAGAGCGCAGGGATTGAGAACCAACTGCATGAAGCAGGGGTGAGAGCCTGCAACTGCCCTTGCAACTGGCCCCGTCGATGGCTGCTGAAGCAACAACGCGGTATGTCTCCTGCATGTTGCCCATGCTCTCAGAATGATTTCAGGTTGCAAGCCTGGCATCATTCGAGACGAGGCGTCATGCACGGACACTAATTTTTTATCTCGCACACCCATTCGATCTCCAGGAAAGTCGCGGCCCCTCTTGTATATCCGTTTCTGAACAACCTCTTTTCCCCGACTCTGGCCACCTGCCATCTATCCTGCGCTTGTCCCTCCACCTCGGCGAGTTCAACACGAGACGATCGCGTACCACACAGTGTGACCATGTCTTCGTCTTGCGTAGGCTTCCCAAAATGGGAATCACCAAGCACGATCACCGAGGCCACTACAGGGGAGACACTAAACCTGACGCACGTATTTAATCGATATCCGGTGCTGACAACACTGCACTTTCAAGCTGTCCTTATGCAGAGGATAGGCGACACTGGGAACATCCGAACCCCTATTCTCAGTACGTCTCGTTAATCATCATCGATTGGTAGCGCGGAAGTGGAAGGTTCAAATCTGTCGATAAATGTCCCTTGCTAATTCGACGTCAGACTACACCATTTTTTGGGATCCCTCTACGCCCTTTGGACCGCCTTCTACCCAAGACTCGACATCACCTGTCTGGGCACCGATCAACAAGACCTGCTTGACCGCTGTATATTACATTTGGCGAATTCCGTCTGACGTGATTAGCGACGACAGGTCCGCTCAGATCTTTTTCGTTTCTTCGAGGTGGGACCTCACATCGGACAACGACACATTCAGTTCACCTGGCAGCCGGGAAAGCGATGACTTCGTCATACGGAAGCCGGCTGTGGCTGCACCCGTGCCGACCGACAATTCAACCACTGTAGCGAACACCAGTACGAGTGATGTAAGCCTCGGGTCGGATGCAACGAGCACGCCGGGACAAAGCGACAGCACCAACCAACTGTCAACTGATGCCGGCACAATGAGCTTCGGCGGCCGTCTCGGTATTGGAATCGCGGTACCTTTGCTCGTGTGCATGCTTTTCTTGGTAGGCTGGTGGCTGTGGCGACGACGAAGACTGCAGGCAGGGATATCGCCCCCGACCATCACAAGCCCCGCGAGCACAAGCGAGCGAACACGATTCGAGAAGGCCGAACTCGATTCGCCGGCTGTGGAACAACTACAGGAGCTGGACGGAAAGCATCTTGTCGAGGTAGACGGCCATCGCCACGGCCATGGCAGTTCAGCCTCTGGGAGATGTACGTATGAGTTGGACGCCTCACAAGTCCCGCTCTCGCCATCTGTCCCGAAGCGGGGTAATGTACGTTAGGGCTACCGGTTGAAGGGACAAATGTTCGTGGGATCTGTCTTGCAGAGCAATACTCTGGAATTGGGCCCTGCTACGGAAAGGCTGCTATGCCTAAAATCGTCACATCACCGCGCAATACATGGAAAACGGGCTTGCGAAGGGAAATATCAAAGCTTTTTTTTTGTCTCCCAGTTTCACGACGCGACAGTCCGTCCGCATCCAGAAGGGACGGGCGAAGTCACGAACCCTTGTGCATTAGCCTCCAATACTATCTGTACCATTTTACAAAGCTGACTTGCCCACAAAAGCTGTTCCCACACTGAATGGCATAACCACAAGCAATCGGCACCCGGCTGGCCAGGTATGCCAACCAAGAATCCAGGTTTCTGGTGGTGGACCGTGCCTGACTTACACATGGCCCACAATACACAATTTCCAGCAATTTGAGATTCAGGGAGAGGCGCAGAGGCTAATTACCATCTCATGGCATTGTACCAAGCAGTGTATCAATTCAGAAGATTTGCATTTTGTTCGTTAGAAATAGTCCCAAGACGCAAACTAAAGTCTCGTTAGTGATGGCTGGAGGAGACAGATATGCGAACCTGAACAGTGGGGACGTCTCTGGAGCAAGCCACGTCCTGTTGGCGCGAAGGGTTGCCGAGGCCTTTCATTCCTAGCCCGCGGGCATGTCAAGCCGACTGCTGGCCCAAATTTGATCAAGAATATTGCATATGTCTTCACCTTCACAGCCGGCGCGGGAGTCTCGTTGTAAGTACAGATTGCCTCTTAGTGAATCTGTATTCTCAAGGAAAGCTTCAACATTGTCGCAACCTGGACCTATGCCACCAGAGTTGAAAGTCTCCTGCATGTGCTAGAATGTTCTACATGGTCTTGGGCGGTAAGCCGAGTCTGAGGCCTGTTGGAGAACCGTGTCTCGACCTGTGCATTTTGGTCTGCACGTCACTGCAGGCTTGGGACAGAATATGGTTGACAGCCAAGACAAAAGATGTTTAGCGAGTGTCTTGGTGACATTATACATTTCGGAGGTGTGCAGGTGTTTGACTTTCGTATTCGTCTTGGACAAAGTACGATCGTTACTAAGCCTTGACGTCTTCGGCAGCATCTAGTCTGTCCATGAGGAGGCCGCTGTTTTCCGTAACGATGATGTGAAGCGTTTCAAGCGTCACTGCGTCCACGAGCGATGCAGGCAAACAAACATCCAGAACTACTGCTGAACGACACATCTGCCGAAGCACTTGCCTGCCCAACATCTTATCCGCGAGGCGACCATCTCATTTGCGTCGGCCGCAGGAGTCTATGAAGTTCAAAATACCCGCACGCCCAAAACAAGAAAAGGAACTGCTTTTCGAATAGGAGTCGGGTATCCAAGACATCGATGTCCTCCCATCCCGCCACAAATATGCTCTGTGGCATCAATCATATCGCCCGAGCATTCACAGTATGTGCTTGACTGCCCTTATTATCCCGTGATGCCGACGCATAGGTCGTGTCGACGCGGATCTCGGTGAGCCGCACAATCCCCTGCGTGCTCGCGCCGTCATTGTACGCGAGCCCATCGTCGTCGTCGTCGTCCAGCCGGTCCCATGTGCTGCCCTTGCTGCGCATCGGATCGCTTCTGCTGTTGTGGCCACTGGAGGCACCGTGATTGCCTAAGTGGGAGCTCTAGATGTGGTTGGGAACACGTTAGTCGGGGATGCAGTTCGGGCCCTGATAGCGGGGCCGGCTGGTGAGAGCAAGAGATATGAAAATATAGGAAAAGCACTCACTCCCATTCGACCGGCTCCATCTCCTGGGTTCTTGGAGATGGGCCCTGAAGAGCCGTGGTAGAACTTCGAGAACAGCGCCCGCAAAGGAGGCAGAGAGCATGCCATGATGCCCAGGCCCGCCTCGTAAATGGTCCAGATGATAGTGTGCCCGAAAAAGTCTGTGCCAGCACTGTGGTTAGTTTTGGATAATCATTGTCAATCTTCTAGGAAAATCTTACATAAGGTGTTGTCGGGATACTTCTCTGTATCGTAGTACGCAAAGAACGGGATGCGCACAACACCGGCTACACTTCCAATCAGGCCAAGCCCAAGAATGATCTGTACCGATATCTTCCTGCGCGGCGGCATCTGAAGACCCTGGAGAATGAAGAAGGGCGTGATGGCACAGGTCCAGTCAACAGCGGCCAGGCCGGCAGCACCGAAGTAGCTCAAGTTGACCCATCCCTGCGAGTTGGGCCAGTGACAGTGGCCACTGAGCTTGCAAAGGTTAGTACGTGCTTGATCGTAGTAGGTTGAACATGAGACGAGCGCAAGCGAGGGGCTCGACTCAGAAAGACGTACAGCTTCTCGTTCCACGTGGCCTGGAAGGGCTGACAGTTTCCAAACATAACACCCAGGCATCCCACAGCAATAGCGCCCATCATGGCGAGACTGCCCCAGATAATGTACGAGTATTTCTTCTCGGTGCTCAGGCGAAGAATCATGAGGGCCATGGACAGCTTGGTCATGAGCGAGGCGCCAAAGTAGATGAGTTCGAAATACACCATGTTCTCCTTGGTCCGCGCCTGGTACAGTTCAAGCTGGCCTTCGGGGATCTGCCAATCCCACGCGCCAAGACCATACTGTACGCCAATGATGGCAAAAACGCCAGAGGGGATAAAGGGAATCTGTGACAGGAACCAAGAACAAATGTTAGCTGGGATCGCTCGAGCAGGCACCGGGTCTTGAAATAGGATGGCTCTGAGGCTTCAATTATGATCTCAGCAATCGTTCACTCACGTAGCCAGCGATAGCTAGATAATCGTCCCAACCCATCTGCATTAAATTCCTCCCGACCAGGAACGATCGAGCATACACTCTCAAGCAGATGAGAATCGTGCAGAGAACCGCCAGTACGTAGACTGTGATCTGGATTGCGAGCCCGAATCCCTGTGGTGGAATCCGCGCTATCTCGTGCGACGCCTTGGCTATGTATTCGCCTTCCTCGTTCCGCGCTGCGAGGAGCAGCGATGTCGTGATTCGTGCCATTACGAGATGCCGATGGTCGTGTGGTTCATGGGTTGTACTTCGCGATGCTTGGCTGACTCTGACTACCTGAGTCTGTCTGGTCGAGCACCCGTAGTGTTTTGCCAGCACTCAGTAGCGTGAGAGGAGGGTTGTGTTCCTCGCTTGCAAGGAACCGAGTCAAAAAATGTATGCAAGGTGCTGTTGAACTTATGGAATCTAGAGCAGCCAAGAAGCAGGTCCTCCTGCCTGGGGCCGGGGGTGGGTCGGGGAAGGAAGGAGTACCAAGAACTGACGGTAAATCAACAACTTCGAGGTGCGTATTCTGCATGGATATGACTAGGTTGTGGAAGGCAATGGCTAAGGGTCAGGAGGCAAGAGTACAGTGCCATCTGTCCGACAGGCCAGCACAATCGCAATGCACAGAGCCTCATCTGCCGTGGGCAGCGCTAACTTAATGCAAAGGACAGCACCGCCGTGGACATCTTGCAAACCATTGGTACAACATGGGTGACGGTTGCCCTTACGAGCTCATATATGGTCCAGATGAAACCAGACTGACAGCTCGAACCAGCAAGATCGTCATCAGCCCATTGGAGTCCCGGGAGCCCACTGTAGGGTGGGTTTCCGGGGCAAGTCCCGTTGACGTGGGCCTGTTAGTTTTCCAAAGCATTGGATGTGCGGAGAGAGTACGTAGACTGCAGCTCTAACCGGGTCCTGCACAGGCTGGAAAACAACCATGACGAACCGGCTTCGAACCCACTAGTCATTAGCAAGATAATCGCGCAGATCGAGCACAAGATGTGCCTACTGACGGAGCAGAATCTTGCGATTCTTGATCGTGGAGCGGGCCTTATCGGCTGAAGTTGTCATGTTGGTTGCTCGCCAGGGTTGTTACAAAGGTGGATCCCGCATCCGTGCCGTGGGGGGCGATCACGAATTGCCGATCCCAATAAAACCGTTCGGCTGACTCGTCCGAACCCTGATGAGTGGCTTATTGGGTTGGCATAAAGGAGCAGAGGCCTGGACTATCAAAATGCATAGCAGCTCCTTGGGGCGAGGTGAAAGGACAGGGACCATCCCTCCGTCGATATTGCGGACCGCTGCCCACGGATGAGTCTCGGACGAAGCAGGGGCTCACGGTTCCGAGCCCCGATAGAGACTTGGCGAGTCTTGATGACATGAGCGCGACGAAAGTTACGAGTGGGAAGCCTCTGGACCTCTAGATGCATGTAGGAGCAAGTCCGCAAGGGACGTTGGTGCCCCGGCAGTCCAGAAAGTAGGGCCGTTGTTCAACTCGGTGGTGGGCAGAGCACAATGCCATTAAAGCCACCGCGCGAACAAAGATATAGTGGCGATTGTTCCTGCATTCGCATGACGAAGAAAGCAAGGATAGCGATCCCCGACGCAGGGATCAGGAATATCTCTGGAGGCAATTTTGCAGCACACTCGATGTTCACCCATGGCCCGGATACAAGGGTGCACGTTGCCGGAGCATTCCCAAGCTGCGAGGTGCAAGGATCTGATTGCAGCTCACACGGATTCCAGTCACCGGGATACTTGCAAGTATGCACTCGAGCGCGCGCCGTTGAGTCCAAAGGCCGTGAGCGTGAGCTCCCACAATGGCGGGTCAACTCCCAAACATATCAAGCTTGGCATCCGCGCATCCATACGGAGGAAGGATTTGCCTCCTAGCTCGGGAGTGTTGATGTTCTTGGTGCCTCGGCTCCTGTTCACAGCCTGGAGCCCAATAAAAAGTAATCTCGACAACCGTGGAAGATCTAACAGCACAGTCGCTAGATGATCTCCGATAGAATGCACCCAAGCGACATTTTGCACGACTCGACTTCCTCATCTGGCGCGGCGGGACATGGATGACAACGAGATCTGCACACACAGGGGTATCCATACTTCGAGCACATACCTGAACCCCAATCTTCACTTGATCCGAGATGTTGGTTTCGTGTGACAGGCAGGGAGGGACAACCTGGTAACGAACTGGGCCCAAGTACTCCACCTGTCTGACAGGCTCGCAGGGGAATCTCTACCACAACGTCGCATCTTGTCATTATTGGCCAATCTATATCCACAACTTGCGCCATGTACACGGAACGGAGGTTCCACTCCTTGGCCAAGGCCAGGGACACGGATTATCAGCTTGTACACAGCCCCATTGAGACATCTCTTCTTGTCCTTGCGTGAGCCGTTGTCAGCATCATACTACCGGTAGATCTCTGGCCATCGCGTTCCCTCCAGCAACAGCGGACCGACACAAAATCAGCTTTACCGGCTACACGTGCCATCAGACGTAAGCCCCAAGCCCGCCAAGGCATGTCAACTACGCACGGGGACCACCACCGTTCACACAGGACTTGCCAAGGATATCATCACCCATGCACGACGGCGGTGACCCAGGTCCACGCGTCAACCAATGGCCAAACGTTGGGCCTATGCATCGGGTGGGTACCAACGGCCGCTCGGGTTGTTCCGTCACCCCGGAACTGACCTGACCTGACCTGGCGACCTGGGTTGAAGCGAGCTGCAGAATGACAACCCACGGAGGAGGGTCCTTGCATCTCGATTGTATGCTTTTCAGGCTTTCTTATTCTGCAGCAATATCGGGGGAACCCTGGATCCAATTAATCTCCTAGGGCGTATGGCGTTCTTCAAAGCAGATAGACAACCCTGTGCGGCGGCCGCCCACAGACTCGAACTATTACCACATGCCTGCCCCAAGGGCACTCACTCCCCCATGCCCACCCCTGCATGCACAAGGCAATGCTGACGCTAGCTTAATGGCAACGGCAACTCACGTGGTCCCACAACGCTGACATCGGACGCCGCCATGATGCGGGCCCGGTTTTTCGGGTTCGTGGCTCTGTCAGTGGCCGGAAGGGCTACAAAACAAAGCTTGGCTTGCAGCGGGAGACAACGTCGGTGGCGTTAAACGTGATTGGGTTCTGACTGAGGGCGCCTTGTAGATTCTTGAGTTTTGATCAGTTTCCTGAAATAGACCACCGCATCGTGTGTGTGTGTGTGTGTGTGTGTGTGTGTGTGTATGTGATGTGTGTGATGTGTATGTATAGGAAAGTACCATAAGGTATCCTTGCTGTCAGTTTTGTTGCGGCCATCGTCCCCGTTCAGCCCACCCTTCGGCCGGTGCCAATTTCCAGGGATTCTCCATTTCTTCCCAAGATAGGGGACCCTCCGCATCATTCCTCCACAGCAAGCACAGCTCTGGTCTTTTTTATCCGTCCTGTAGCTTGACCCCGCGCGAGTTTGTGTCATTGTTTGTGTCGACGTCAAAGGCCGATTCTATGAGATCTTAGGTGCAAAACCTCCAGGACTTTATTTCACGGCGACCACAAAACGACAAACCACGAAACTAGAGCAACCATCAATACACGCGCGGCTCAAACACCCAACAATACCAAAAGACTGCGGGGTAAGAAGATCAAGACAGAGAAAGTCAGCAGAAAAGCAGAAAGGAGAAAGAAAACATGACGTCCTGGCTCCCCTCCTTCCTCTCGGGCGGACCAGCCCAGCCGGCACGAGTGCCCACGGACAAGGTGGTGCCCGTGGGCTACTTTGACGACACAATCATCTTCCGGACGTACACAATCTACGTCATGCTCGTGTACGACGAGGTTCTCGACGTGGACCAGCTGCACAGCGGGATGACGAGGCTTGTCTCAGAGCGCAAAGGGTGGGACAAGCTGGGGGCGAGGTTCCGGAGGAGTGTGAGTCTCTTTTTTTTTGCTGTGGCTTTTATTTGTTCGTTCACCTGAAGCTCAATGGTGGTCTGACGTGACTACTTGGCGCTTGCGCGTCGCGTTGTGGTGTTTCGCTATTTTGTGTGAAGAGGAAGCTATGGACGGTGGGCTGGGGAGCGGATGTCTTTAAAGATGATACGACAAGCAGCAACTACTGATACGTGCGTTTCTGACCCCCTCCAAAAAAACAGGCCGACGGGAAATCCTTGGAACACCACATCCCCACGACATTCTCGGCTTCCAGGCGAGCGGTAGACTTCACCTCGGCCGACCACAGTGACACCAAGATTGACGACCACCCGGTGGCCAGCAAGCTGCCGCGCCCATCCCCCTCGGCGTCGACACCGTCGGTCATCTGCGACCCGGACGACTTCAAGAGCCTCATCTACGCGCCGGGGGTTCCGATCTGGGCGAGCGACTACCTGTACTCGGACCGGCCGCAGTTCGGCCTGCGCGTCGTCTCGTTCCGGGACTCGACGGTCGTGGTCGTGCACTGGCTGCACGTCGCCATGGACAGCATCGGGCTCGGCAGCGTGCTGCGGGCGTGGAGGCTCATGCTCGAAGGGCGGGAGGACGAGATCCCCGAGCCCTTACCCGCCGACGAGTACCCGCTGGCTGAGTACGGCCTGGCGCCCAAGGAGAAGCACCTGCTCGAGGACGTGCACCTCAAGATGTCGGGCGTGCTGGCGTGGGTGGCGCGCAACCTCTGGATGCTGGCGGTCACGCCCAAGGAGTGCGGGATGTTGTGCATCCCGGCCAAGTTCTGGAAGAAGCTGCGCGAGCAGGCGCTCGCCGACCTGGCCAAGAGTGGCGGTGGGGATGGGGGTTGGGTATCGGAGGGCGATGTGCTGCTCGCGTGGTTCAGCCGGCTCGCGCTCGCGCACTACGACAAGGACAGCGCGGCGGCCCTGGCACCTGTCAACATCCAGCAGGTCGTCGAGGTCCGGGGCCGCATGCCCGAGCGGTTCCCGCCGAACCGGCCGTACCTGGGCAATGCGATAGCGTTCATGATCCAGCTCATGCCGATCCGGGACGCCCTCACCACACCCATCAGCCAGGTCGCCGGGGCGATCCGGAAGGCCTTGGTGACGCAGTCGACGCCCGAGCAGTGCGAGGCGTATGGAGCCCTGGTGAGGCAGGACCCGGTGAACCGCGCCCCGCCGTTCTTTGGGGAGAGCAGGATGCACTTGCTCTTGTACACCAACTGGTGCAAGGCGAAGCTGTACGACACGGACCTTGGGGCTGCTGTCAAGGGCGGTGACGGCAGCAGTAGTGGCAAGAAAAAGGCCGCTCCGCCAAGATACATCCAGACGAACCAAGGTCCTTACGACTTCCCAGACGGCATCTTTGTCGTAGGCAAGGACGCACACGAGAACTACTGGATAAGCGCGTACCGCCCCAAGGGGCTTTGGGGTGTGGTGGCGAAGGTGATTCGCGAGGAGTGGAGTAGTGAGTAGGGATATGGAACTTGGCAGTCGAGTTGTGCATCGCGCGGGCGTCCAGGTTGTGCTACGATTTGTGGTTTTTAAATTCAGTGATGAGAAGTCGGTTTTTTTTTTGTTCAAGTGACAGCGCCGTCTGCGTCTTGATTGATGTGCTTGACGAGAAGGTCATCGTACACTGTCAATCCGGAAGGGAGCTGCTGCATAAGACGTCGGAGATATGTAAAGTCGTTCTCGGCCATGGCCTTTCTCGTCATCTGCGCCGTCTCATGGTGGTGGTGGGGGTGGTGATTGCTGCTGCTCCCATCGTCGTGGATACGTGCTGAGCCACTCATCAGACCCCGGTCCGGGGCACTAAAGTCCTCAAAGAACGGGATCCTCGCGAGGACATTGGCCACTGCACACGCGACATCAAACACCTTCTCCGTGATGCCTACGCCGTGGACCTTGATCGAGTCCAGCGGGAGGTCCTGGACCGAGAGCGTCAGGCTGCGTGCTATGTGCAGAGGGTAGCCGTACGTGCGACTCATGCTGGGCCTGGCTCCCAGAGTGTTCGCCGTGCCGGTGTCATGCATCGTTGCGTTGGGCGCGATAAGCTGACCGAGGCGCAGGCGCAGCTGCCAGATGATGATGAGCAGCCAGGCTTGAGTGATGAAGAGGTTGGCCTTCTGTGTCGCCTCGAGCACAGCGAGACTGCGCTCGTCAAGGGCTGATGCGACCCCGGCTTCAACCTCATCCAAAGACTCGATGGATGGCCGGATGCTGGTGAGTTCCTGGTTCAGAAGCGCAATGAAGGATGTATCAAGGGGGCGAAACAAAGCTGCGAGACAGACGAAACCCGCGTGCAACGGCTGCTGACTAGCTGGATACATTGGCAAGATTGGTCCCGCACTCGTGACCTGCAGAGTGACCGGCCGGCGATAGCGGATGCCATGAGAGCGTTCCGAGATGAGCAGCACCCAGAACAACCGCTCCGCGAGCTGCCTGGTGGGCGGGTCCATGGTTTCGAGCCGCGTGAGATGATGCAGCGTCGTCGCCTCGCGCAGGAAGAAGAATGCCTGGCTGTGATGCAGGAGCGTGCCGTGACAAGCGTAGATGAAAAAGGTGAGGAGGACGTGCTCGAACGACGGGTTGGGGCGGCGGGCGAGGTGGCGATGCGCGGCGAGGGCTTCCTCGAGGAGGATGGAGCCATATGCCCTGTTGTTCTTGGCGGGGATATGAGCGGGAGCGATGCCGGTCCCTAGAGGGTCTTCCACTTGGAGCAGGACCATGGCGCTCATGCCCAGCAGCACGCAGTACGCCTCGTTGCCCGCCTCGGTTCCGTCGGTACGAGCTGCTAGACGGCGGAGGTAGTCCTGGGTGGCAATGGGGATGGTGGGATACAGGCGCTCGTGGAAGCGGTCGGAGCAGTGCTGGATGACTGGGGGCGACAAGAGGCCGGTCTGGCGGTGGAACGAGTCTCTGGCGAAGCTGGTGTAGGCGTGGGGCGTGACGGGCGACGCGGCAGAGTTTGTGAGCGAGACGGAGAGGGGCGAGGGGGCTGCCGCCGCACCTCCCGATGTCGACGCTGTCCCTGGCGACGGGATGCCTCCATTCCCACCCCCACTGCCGTCAGCGGCTGCATTGAAGCCAGCCGGTGCGCGGGCCTGCCGTGGCAGCTGTGGCTCGAGGGCCAGGCCCGAGCCGCACTGCTTTGCCAGGCCGGCCCGGACGCAGCGCTGGCACGGGCGGAAGTCGCTGCAGGCCTTCTGCAGCTTGCGGCATCGTGGACAGGCGCGGGGCACCTGTGCGCGCTTCACTCGAACCGCCTGGGGCGGCGGGCCGGCCTCGAGCTCACGGCGACCGCCTTCGGGCCCCGGGTCTGATGGCGGCGTGGCGCCCATGCCGCGTCTCTGGTTCCGCGTGTCGGGTGTGCTGCCGGGCCATCCGGGCCATCAGAGGATCAACGCCGGGGGCAGCTGCAATGCTGAGCAGCCGTCTGGTCGTGCTGCTGTGACAGGCCAGGTCGCGACAGGATTTGACGGCAGGAGGAGTAGTCTGACGTGAGTCGTGCCTGGTGGTCCTCAAGTAAAAGTTACCCCAGATTCTCCAAGTGGGGCGGAGGCACCACATCCGACGCCTACTGTTTTCATTACAGGGTACTCGTCTGGCCACGCCTCAAGCTTCAAGCTACAGTCGTGGGAATTCAAGGCTGAGTTGCGTTGGAAGAAAGTGGCAATATGATGGGACGTGGAGAAGACTCATCGTCTCAACGGTCACATGACAAATGATGTGCAAACTTAACCAGTTCAAAAAAGGCTCACTGGATTTTACACTTTCTGTTGTCCGAAACCAAAACAACGCTACCAGGACACGTCCTTGGCACGCCCTGCTCACTTCGCTTTCAGCGTCTATTGAGACATAACTCGTGCTTGTGAATATATACAGATCTTGTTGTACACTAGCTCTCCAGATGCCATCTCTCAAGGATCCCTTTATGCGACGAGCACCGGTACAAATACTTTTTTCTTTCAAAATGCGAGTGAGATGCGTGCCTTCCCATCCTGAGCTCCCGTCTTTCGTGTCCCATTACACACACACCTGTATGGTACAATCGGAAACTCCCTCGTCTAGTTCTTCACAGGCGCCTGAGTCGCGTCGCGCATGGGATCAGGCTTGGGCCCAGAGTTGCTGGTCGGGAGCTTGGTCTTGGGCGCAGGCGCCTCGGCTGTCACCGATGTAGGCTGAGCTTGCTTCGGCGCGGTCGTCTCAACCTTCGCGGTCTCCTTCTCAGGCTTTGGGATCTCGGCGGGCACAGCATCCGTCGATTCCGTCGTGGCGGCAGTCTTCGGGGCCGCAGGCGCAGCAGCCTCACCCTCGACCGGTGGCGCAGCCTCGCCGGCTTCTTCGTCGTCAGCTAGCTCCTCGCCGTAGATCTCGGGGTGTTGGCGGAAGCAGTCCTGCATGGCTCTGTAGGGTGAAGATTGTCAGCAACTCTAACGTTATTTTTGCACAGTGAACCACTATGGACGTACTGGAACTTGTCAATGCAGTCTATGCCCTTGGGCTCCTCGGTCGAGTACACGAAGCAGCTGAACGCGGCCTTGAAGTCCTCGCCGCAGGGGCCGTCGGCCATGCCGCCGAGGCACGGGCAGTCCCAGTTGATCTCGCCCGTCTCGGGGTTGAAAGCGCCCTGCTGGCCAGCCTCCGCCTCGAGCGCCTCCGGGCTGCCCGGCTGTGGAGCTGGGGATGCCTGCGCATCGCCCTCGGACGGGCTGCTGGAGGAGGAGGAGGAGCCATCTTGGTTCTGTGTCGTCTTCGTGTTCGTGGCGGAGGCCGCGGGGGACTTGGCGGTCGCTTCGCTGGCGGCGGCCTTGAGCTGCCGAGCCTCGGCCTCCTTGCGCTTCTGGGCGACGATTGCGTCGACGGTGGTCATGTCATCGTCGGAGAAGTGCGCCGGGGCGGGCACTGTCGATGCTGTAACGGGGCCGAACACTCGCAATTAGCATTGCTCACTCCAAACTCCAATCCTCGTCGATCCGGTGTCGATCTGATGGATGCTTGCATACATATGGGCTCCTCGGCAAACGCTGTGCTTGTGTTGTAGTAGTAGAGTGCGCCAATGGCGAGACCCCATCTGGCGGCCGAGCTCTTCCAGCTGCGGCTCTTGTCGGCGGGCACGGTCGAGGCGAAGCGCCGGGGTGCGGCGGAGCGCAGGGCCGAGTGTCGGACGGACGGCGAGATGCGCGGCGTGGCGCGCAGCGCTGAGCGGTACATTGTGGCGGTTGTGGATGCGAGGACGAGATGCTGGTGGTGTACAGAAGGAAAACAAACGAGAAGGGAAGCCGCGGTGGTGGGCGAGTGCAGAAAGGTGGCGGTGTCGCTGTAATCAAAGGCCGGCAGGGGAAAAGGATGAGGCAATCGACAAAAGCCGTCGACCGCGGGCGACTGGACGCTGTGCTGGTCGGATGTCGGCGTGGTGGTGGGTTTGTCAGCGATCCGGCCCGGTGAAAAATCAAGCGTCATAATTGAGCGGCTCTGCCCGAGGGAGGACGTCTTTGTTAGGACACTCTTTTGCATGACCCCACTTCTTACATCCACCCACTCGCTGCACGACTGGTAACAATACCTATTCAGGACCCCAGGCTTCGCACGCACACAGGGTCATGGCAGGTCGTTGTGACAGCATGGCTCAGTAGGCAGCTCTTCAGTACCTAGGTAGTGTCAGAGACGAATCATTTCTGCATCCGGGACGTTCAAAGGCAGTTGTGGTGCCTCCAGAATGGGACACATCCAGACCCACATTTGCATGTTTGTGTGCCGGCATGCGCATGACCTTCTATTGGTGGTCGTTCTTGATAGCCCAGCTGTGTGCTCTCGGCAGTCTTTCTACTGGCACCATGCTACAGAGTGTTGACAGTGGACAATCAAGAATGTCAGTCGAGCATATTATTCGCCTCGAGTAAGGTGTCTTCATGTGCGCCCTACCTGCACTCCACATGGTCGTGGTTTCGAAACATATTGTTAGTGTCTGTCAGATATGTCGACGTCATGGAGTCAACGGGTCAGACAATTGGCTCTTCTTGTAGTAGCCCGCGCTCAATTCTAGCCTTCCGTCCTTCTATACAGCTATTCCCCCAACCAGATCTTGAGGATTCCGCACGAGCTGCGATCAGGCAGTCAACCGCACCAGACACCATGCCTGCAGCAAACCATGCCAGCCATCACCAGCACCGTCACAAGCCTGGGCCAAATCCTACCATCGCTCAAGTTGCCAGCTTCATAAAAGCCCTCTTCCCCGTCCGCAATGGCGACGTAGCTTTTGCCTATCACAGCCCAAGGATACGCCGCGGTTCGTCCAAGAACTTTACCTTTCTCGACCCGCTGCACAACCGCGCCCCAGCATCGCGCGTCGTCCTATCAATCACCCCGACTCGAGGATTCTACCATGCCCTCGACGACGACCATCACCACCACTTTACTGAAGATGGGAACGCAGCGAATGCGCACGAGGCCAAGGGAAAACCCGGCTTGCAGACGCCGCTCGCGTTCCTCCATCGCCCATGGGCCCTAGACCGTCGGCGCATGCCCCGACGCGCGACGGTGCTGGCGAACCACAAGGGCTTCGATGAGGTGCTGACCGTCGGGAACAATGTGGCCCTGGGCAAGCGGCTGGGGATGGACGTGGACAACTCCGTTGTGATTCAGGGTTACAAGGGTGATCCTGATCGGACGATCGCCCTTGTTGGTCTTGTGGATGGTGGAAATGGCAAAGGGGCGGGCATGTCGAGAGGGAGGATCTTGGGGCTGCTCCAAGAGGAGTTTGGCGCGTTTGAGGGTGTCTATGGCTTTGACCAGGACACGCCTCACGAGACGGTGGAAAACCCGGACCAAGGGAGAAGTTCCATCGGCAGTGACAATGCTACTACGACTGCAAATGGAATCAGCTCAACTCAAGCCGGCGAGATAAACACACCGATCCGGGTGATCACCATCATGAACGCCTTCCATCCGGCCGAAGTTGAGCAAGTTGAGACTATTGCGGGAGAATTGATATCCTCGTCATTGTCCGCCTCGTCTTCGGATCTTGATGGAACCGGGGAGGCACTTCCTCTACCTGATGGCGGGGGAAGAGGAGCGGAGCAACTCGCGAGGAACTCTATTTGTTCACAGGTACTCTATCTGACTGGGGCTGTCCGCGAGCTTGGACTCCAGGCTGCTCGACAGCGTGGAATGGCCGTTGTTTGCGTCGGTCATCGGACGTGTGAGAAGTGGGGGATTCGTCACCTGGCGCGGCTCCTGCGAGAACAGTGGCCTGAGCTGAAAGTGGATGAAGTACTGGAGGATGAAAACGACGTGCCCAGCGCCACAGGAGAGGCGGCGGAGGCTAATGACACCGACGGGAGAATCTGATTCTATGCCCAGCTCCCCGGAGAACAACTGGCGGTCATGTTATCGTCATCCATAGTCACGAATATTGTAGGGCACTAGCACTTCACATAAATTATAGTGCTTGACCTCTGTAGTGAGTGGCTGTATAGTACTGTCTTCCTTAGTATCTAGCGGGGTGTACTCGCGGTCAACGGGAGCCGGCATGGTACTTGCCCAGACAATCCTGCTAGAGAGGCGAAATATCCCCAGGACCGCTCTCACCCCTAGAACGAATGATGACACTAATGTGATCGAACTAAGGTAGCGGCCCTTCTTCTCATCAGAATACGCCCCACTGCAGTCGGGACGTGCTCACTCTGCTGTATACCAGGTCCATATCTTAACCCTTCATTTGCAGAAAGGTCAGTGCTAAGGAGTCCTTCCGTTATAGCATGAGTTCCTCTACATCTCGTACAGCTTCCCACTTTTATCGCAGTAGCCCAGTGCTAGGTGAGTTGTGCTATATGTTGGATGTTGAACGTGGCTAAGTGGCTCTCAATGTCGATAGTTGAGCTATTGCCCACGAGAATTTCGACGCTATATATTACAGGTTAAAGTCAGCAGTTATGAAGGGTAGTATCTCGGGGTTTATTAAAGAAGCTTATGAAATAGCCTAGGTTTTAAGTTTTAGCTTACTGGGTTAGCAGGAACGTGTTAGCATATACTAGTATCGTGAGGAGCGTTATTACACATATTTAAAGTAACATACCACTTCATTGTACTGGTTCTCGTCAAGTCCGGACAGGTCGAACTTGGTACCATCAGCCTTAACAAGGGCATTCGGCCTCCCACAAGGGCCTCTTTTCCCGACGCCGGCCGGGCGACCAGGGCCGCCGTAGTCATAGTACGCGCTGCGATACTTAGGCGTTATGAAACATATCTCCCTACGGCCGTCACCCTTAAAGGAACCGTCGGGGGGATCCTTGTCGGGGCATCCTGCGCGCGTAAAAGCCCATATGTTGAGAATATTAGCCAAGTCGCCATTGAATCTGAAGCTGCCTGGGTTGGCATTCCACCCTACGGAGCAGCACTGGAAATGGATGTAATCAAGACATCCGAGAGCATATTGGCCCTGGCAGTTAGCGGACGGGTGCCAGAGGATGTCGATGGTCAAGATAGGAGCAGTCAGGTAGCTCAGGATGGCGAAAGTTTTGAAGAGCATATTACGAATGAGAAAGGTGGATGTGAGAGAGATTGGAGATACGCGACGAGCCGTGGAGAACGGTGATGATGATAATGAGAGGAAGATAGGTTTAGAGACGCCCGTGAGGGACATGCCTATTCTTATACCTTCTAAGCCTTTACTAGTACTAATACCTCTCTAGAGATCAACAAAAACCCTCGCTACTTTCATAAACCTGCTGGATTCTTCAAGAGGTGAACTACTAATGCAGCGAAGACATCCCTGCAGCTTTCTCGGTAAAGTCTGTAAGCCCGAGCACATGCCTAGCTGAATTCAGTCAGCTTGCTGACCGCGTGATAAACTGTTTTCGTCTATAATAACTTGTGCATTAGTCCGTCCCATATAACCCCGCACTGGTGGTACTCAAGGGCTGGCCCATTTCGTAATATGCGATAATGTACGGAACGCGGACATGTAAGCAACACAACCCCCTCAAAGCCAGCTTCCTTGGCTTGCCGGCCGAGCACCGCAATCCAATCTACCCTCTCGTTCTAGCGCAACCGGAACGAGTCATACCCATGTTCCGAGGCTACGACAAGTCACACAATCTGTTGACCACCCAGACGAATAAGCAGATATACCAAGAGTCTACTGCAGTCTGCTGTGGCGGGAACAAATTCGACACTGTAGGAGTTCTGCCATGGTTCTTTGATCAAATTGGTCCGTTGAGCATCGAGTATCCACGACTCCAGTGCTTTAGCAATGGCTCACCTGTACTCGAGCGAGAAGATATCGCTCGACTCACTATGATCAAGCACCGTTGCGACAGCCTCGTCTCCATTACTACGGCTGTAAAAAGAATCAGTGACTTGAGATATGATATGTTTGCCTGAAGGAAAGCTGGGGACGGCGGCAGCCCGTAGTCTTGAGTCTGGTCGACAGCCACTTCCGTGCTGTCTCGTCGCTCAAGGAAATCAGGGTGTGGGTGTCAGAGTCCGATCTGACAACCCAGGTCAAGACGATGATGACAGATCTGGGCTGGGCGATCGACCCCTTCAAAAGGAACGGCGAGGTATCACACTTCTCGGATGGCGATGATAACGACGACGATTACCTTGACTCTGACTTTTCGGATGAGGACTATTTCGACGGCGCCGAAGATGGCATGGACGTAGACGACGAATCGATGGACGGCTTGTGACGTTGGGGAGGTGATCAAGAAGCCAGAATATCCGCGCATCACAATAAGTCTACATGGCATCATGCCGAACTCTAGACGAGGCAATTAGCTCCATGTATTCGCGAAACGTCTTTGTGCAGTGGCATGCTAGATCCATAGAACGATCAAAATACAAGACAGGCCGCACAGCAGCTGGGACAGTTCCGAACCTCATGACACTATCCGTGGACAGTCCCGTGCGATTCCTCCAAAACCCCATCAGGGTTCGGGATGTCTGCCCACGTTCTCGTTCTTGTTTCAGGACCCCAATTTGGTTCTATAGCCACGTACACCTCCATCGGCAGCAGGCGCTCATGAAGCTGGACAGGAGATTGGGAGAACATCGCGAGGTGATCGCCCCGTGCTGTCGATTCTTGCGGCTCACAGCGAGCTAGCATTGGGCTGCACGCTGTGGTATGGTAGACTAGTTCCTACTATTTTAGTCCATGACGGTGATGCAACGAAGGGGAGACCGTCAGGAGTCTTGGTCGAGGCACCTAGTTCTATTTGGCTGTTTCGGTCGTAAAACTGCAGCCTAGAAGTCGGATGAAGGGCCGTGCATAGGCGGAGTTGCTAAAGTGAGCCAGGTATGCAGATCCGGCACACCTGTGCGGCCGACAGCCTTCCAAGAGTCTAATCAAACCAGTCCAGGGTTTGATCCTCGAGATAGTCCTCAGGGTCTGGGTCCACGGGTGAGACGCTGCGGGCCGTGGAATAGTCCGCGTCAGGATCGGAAATGTACCCATGCTCCCAAGTTTGTTCCGTCTCGAAGGACCAGTCAAGCTTTAAAGTCCAGCTTCGGCCCTCGAAAAGCGGTCTGATCCGCGTCGAGGGAGGCCTTGCGGTCATCCACACGACGACTTCCTCAAGATCCGGAACCGTCCTGAAGTGGCGATCGATCTTCCCCAGTATCTCGTCTGCGTCCTCCCAAGGTATATGCTGAAGCCCTACTTCCCACTCCGCGACGTTTGCGGTTTGCCGAGCACTCGCGAGCGTGCGCAGCCCCGTACAGACCTCCCGCACGACGTCCAGCGTGAGCACATCGCAGTCTCGAAGGGCGTGCCATCGCGCAGTGTCCGGATCCCGGGCGTAGTGATGGGGAAATGTGATGCAGATGTGCCGGATCAGTCCTGCGTTGCGTGTGCCAATAGAGTGTAGGAAGGCAGCCGGCGCGCCCTCATCAGATGTCTCTGAGGTATCGAGGTTAAAGCTGTTCTGCCCGTAGAGCACTGCGCTAGCTTCGTGATGGAGTTGCTTATTCGTGGAGAGAATCGCCGCGTCGACGCGAGTCCTTATGCGTCGCGATCCGAAAACGGCAATGGGGCCGTGGTAGACCAGGAGGAAGTAGAATATTTGATACCGGATCTCGGCTGGTAGGTCTAATAGTATGCTGGAGTATGGCGTTGTCCGAGTCGAGTCCTCGCCGCTCCTGGATGCATCTTGTGAAATGCATGTTTTAGACATTGCGGCGCCATATGCTGTGAATACTCCAGATGCCCCCGAGGGTAGAGATCGCAAGAAAGCACTGCTATAACTTGATCTAGTCTTGTATACTGTGTCTGCCTGCTTGGATTTATTGATGACTGTGTAGCCTTCGGCTCAAATGACGAAAGAGGAGACAGGCTGCCACGGCGGGGCTGATCTATCCACGTAGGCGTCGTAAGGACGGACCCTTGCATCATTTTCCGCTTCACTCAACTACGTCCAATCTGGAAGATTCGATCCTGGGCACGATAACAACCCGTTCTCATCCGCCTCTCTGTGTGCTCGACGGCGAGCTGTGAGACGCTCGATGACTCACCCGGCGAACACTGAGCAAGGAGGCTCATCATCGTCGCTGGTCGAGTGGCATCTACCCCGGGTCGTCCGCCCGTCAGCGTATTCCACCTACGACTATGCGCTGGTGATACTCAACCAACCGGTCGGTAATGAGCCGCTCTTTGACGAGCTATGGAGTGGCGGTACGCATGAATCCTCTGGCCCGGCAAATTTGGTCCAGCAAAATCTGGTCCTGCTGTGCCTGGTGCACCTCCATCCTCCAGAATAATATACTAATGTCGTGGTCGCCCACAATTCTTGCTCTGAACAGCATCAGAAAGAGTCGCCGCTGACGGCGGGGCAAATCGCGTCCTCCAGCTGAGCAAGCGCAAGGAGAAACAGCAGCAGCAGCAACAAACCCCATCGTCCTCGTCCGGCGGGTGGTACAGAGACCTGGACACAATCATCGGAGATCTGGACTCGCTCACGGACGAGGCGCGGTCATTCTTCTCCTCCCCACTTCCAGCTACCGTGCAGACTTCCACTGATCGCAACGACGATACCCAGCACCGACCAAGCAGGACATGTGACATCATCCACGACCCAGACCAGTACTCGACGGACTTCACCAAGGCGGTCCGCCACGTGCGCGCCAAGGCGCAAAGCTCCCGATCCACGAGCCACAATGGCGTCGGTGGCGACAGCGACAGCTCAAGCAAGCTGCCGCCGCCTTCCCTGCCGCCGCGCGACATCATCTGCCTTGGTGGTCTTGGCGGACGTGTCGACCAAGGGCTCAGCCAGCTGCACCACCTGTATCTCTTCCAGCAGGACGCCGGGTCGTACGAGCGCGAGGGGAGGATATTCCTGCTCAGCGAGGAAGGCCTGACCTTCCTGCTGCAAGGTGGCAAGACGCATCGGATTCACGTGCGTGCATCATCATCATCATCGTCGTCGTCATCTGAAGCGGACAAAAAGGCAAGCGCGTTTGCGAAGCACGTCGGCATCCTGCCGATCCGCGAGCCCTCGGTCATATCGACGCGGGGGCTCGAGTGGGACGTGCAGGACTGGAAGACCGAGTTTGGCGGGCAAGTGAGCACGAGCAACCACGTCGTTGCGGACGTGGTGGAGGTGTGGACGACGCGGGACGTGTTGTTCACTATTGCTCTGAAGAGGGACGACGGTTATGATGATTAGACGATGCCCAGCTTTTGCGCCATTTTTTCGGGGGAGGATTTATATTCTATCATTTTCTGATGGGGCGAATGTAGTCTCCCCAGTGAATCTTGGCCATCTTGCTTGAGCATATTTGAAGGATACCCAGAGACATGCCTTTCGAGCTTGGTCTTGAAATCTATGAACACTATACCTGAGCTAGCTACACTCCCGTTAGATGTCGCTCAGGTTCCTTAGAGCACGAGAGGTTTTAACAGCCACAGCCCCTATAAATATACCCATGGACAAAATGTAATTCACGTTCAATATGCAGGGATCATCAACGACGCCGAGTCGTAACGTTACCACGTGTTGTGGCTGATTGTGTCCGGCCGAGATGGAGCTGTACTTCATATGCGAATGACGCAAATAGGTCCGAGAAGCTATTTCCCAGGGCCATTATCGACTGAGCCAAACCTAGATTGGGTTGACGTTTGGTGGCGGGGGAGAGGCCAGGCGTGGCGGATGATCGGCCGAAAATGCTGACTGTGTGCGTCCACGCAACATGGCGTACAGGTACTAGGGTGCTGAAAGATCTCCGTACACTCCGTACACTCCGCATCTCTCCAGCTGCCGATATCAAGCATGCACAAGAATAGCATCGGGGGATATGCTCAAGGTTTGACACGTGGGCTGCAAGGGGGCGTCGCGCTGCCTTGACAACGACAGGCTAACTCGAACCAATGCTATTCAAAGATGATCCCAGACTCCACGCTGCCAAAATAATTAGAGATGCCTCGGGAAACATGACTGCCAGCCTCAGAACCCAAGCCCTTCGCGCCCCGCCCTGCAGAGCACCCATCACCTCAAGAAATGCAGGCATAGCCAGACAAAGAGGAAGAAGACCACGACGCCGCCCCAGAAGATCCACTTGTCCTGCTTCGCCCTGCGCTCGATCATGCGGATCGTGTCGCCGCTCACGCCGAGCGTGTTGGCCACGCTGTACAGCTTCTTCTGGGTGTTCTTAAGCATCTCACGCTGCGTGCCCAGGTCGCCTAGCACCGCCTGCCCGCGCGCAATGTAGTCGTCCAGCGCCGAGTTTGTGCTCGCAAAGAAGTTCTGCTCCCGCAGCGCGTGCGCCTCCCGCGTGTAGTCATCGCTGCCCATCTGTAGCTGCCCGCCTACTGCGCCGCCGCTGCCATATCTGTTTGTCGGTACCGAGCCTGGTGTCGATGCTGGGTTTGTGTGCGCGTGCGCGTATGGGTTCTCGGGTGTGGAGGTGGTAAAGGGCCGGCGGCCGAGCAGTTCTGAGCGGTTCTGGGAGTGCTGGGCGTCTGCGTGCTGGGTCTTGAGGGCGTCGAATTCGGAGCGGAACTCGGCAAGCTCTGCACGGAAGTTTTTGATGCGCTCCTGCGCCTTGTCTTGTTTCGCGGCGTTGAGCTCCTGCTTGGCGAGGGCTGTGTATTCGTCTAGGGTGCGGGAGAAGGCTGTGAGAGAGGCGGATATGGAGCCGAGCGCGGCTGGTGTTGGGCCGTCGGTGGAGGAGGCCAGATTCGAGAGGTCACGCTTGATTGACGTCGACTGCTTTAGCGCAGAGTTGAATTGTGTGTTCTGGCATAGAGGTCCCGGTTAGCAAGGAATGGCCTGCGATTCAGGGGTACTACAGCACAGCAGCGGCAGGCGTACCATGATGGCAAGAGGATGGCACAGGCGCCGAGCGTTGCTACTGTGGTGACAGGCCGATGGGATGGGAGAGTTGCGCCGGCTCGACGGGCTTGCGTAGTAATCCTGAAGGGCCGTGTGAGGAGGTCTGCAAGGCGCTGAAAATATGTAGTGGGGAGGAGTCCCCAAATGCAAGAAATGGCTGAAGCTATCGCCGATCACAGGGTGGGCGTTGCACACTTGGACAGCTCTCTGTGGGTGATGTGGCCCGTAGGCGGGGCGTGCTGGGCGCCACTTGCTTACTCGACTTTGGGTTAGCTGCCGGGTAAGGCTGCGATTCACTTAAACAGGGACCAGCACCGTCACAGCGTCGCGACTTCCCATTCCCAGCGCTGCCTGCCGGATGCCATTAATTCATGCCCAAGCACGTGTACAGCCACCGCATGTGACGAGACTGCTCTCCTGCGTGACAGCTCTCCAGGACACCTTGTCCTTTCTTGACGGCGTTGACGAACCTTGATGCCTGCTCGCCAAAGTCCACATGAGCAGACCTCGCTACAGCTCCGGCAGGCAGCGCCAGCCAGCGGGACTCACGGGGCATTGGCGCGCTCACCAGTCAAGCCTCTTCCACGCTGTCAATCTGCCAGGCCAGAGTATGGTCGGCCGTAGCCGGCACAGCCAGCCGCGTCTTCAAATAGTCTACAGCTGACTTGGCACAGGTTTCTGGTGATCGGCAGCCTGGAGCGATCCCCGTCTAGACGCCGGGGCATGTACGGCTGAGGCTGATTACTGTTCCGACCTACGCAGCGGGCCCAAGTCGAACATTTCGCGCGGCCTTCGAATCTCCTGCAATTGAGCACTGCCAGACAACCCATTAAGCACTGGCAGATGAATCGTGCTGCGGCGACCCAACGGCGACATAGGAAGTGCTGGCCGTATCGTGGCTACTACAGCATTCGGCTGCGATGGCGTCTAGACAGGCCAGTGCAGCCTTGCACCTCACCAGCCCTTGCATATCTCAAAGCTGAGGCTTCTCGATCTCTGTAAGCTCTGGTCTCGTCCTGCAACCATGGTTACTGGGCATCGCCTGCACCTGTCCGACTCAGCCGGGGAGTGATCGCTCTTTGTGCTCCGTGGCGCAGGCTCCGCTCACAGACACCCACTCGGTCGGACATTCACGCCCCGGCCGTCTCGCCGGTTCGCCCGCACGCTCTGCCGACTACGCTGCCTTGTGGTTGCGGTGTGCTTCCTGCTGTCTGTGCCTGAGCCATGTGGCATGCCAACCTTCCCCACAACCACATGGCCATTCATCGGCGTCTGCGAACGTCAACCCTGACTCTCCATTGGTGGATATCTTCTCTGCAAGTCCTGGATGGCGGCAGTCGGGCCCCAGCATGCCCGATTACGTCGCTGCATGTCTCTGCCGGCGATATTAGACTGTGTTGAATTCTCCTGTCCTCAGCCATCAAGAAATGCCAAGTCGGTATAATACATGAGCATGCTCGGCATCGACTATGGCCTTCCATCAACCTTCTACTACACACCACAGGCACTACCCATAAAACTCGTCCCCATTCTTCACCATGGCGGACAGGCCTGTTTCCGCTCTCTCGTCTGAGACGCTTGCTGCTTCAACCGACTTGCACAAAATGAACCATACGCCATCGGTGGACAGCGACGATGGCTGGGGCGACGTCGCCAAGCCGGGCGATACCAACGCGCTCCCCGGCACCGAAGAACCCCTTCGCATCGCCGAACGCAAAAAGTACTCAGTCTTCACTGTTTGGCAGAAGCGAGGCATCGTTCTGCTTGCCGCGGCCGGCGCCTTCTTCTCGCCCTTGACCGGTCAAATCTACTTTCCCTCTCTTCCAACCATTGCCTCCGAGTTCGGAGTCAGTGTCGCCGACATCAACCTGACAGTCACCGTCTACATGGTAAGTCTGCCGTAGAATAGTCCTTGATTGATGGTATCCTGACAACATCCAGATCTTCCAAGGCATCACACCCATGTTTGTCGCCCCGTTCTCTGATCAAACTGGTCGCCGTCCTGCCTACATCGTCTGCTTCGTCGTCTACCTCGCCGGTAATGTTGGATGTGCCTTGGCGCCGAACTATCCAGTCTTGATGGTCACTCGTATCATCCAGTCTGCAGGCGCCAGTACGACCATTGCTCTCTGCCAGTCCGTCGTCTCAGACATGGTCACGTCTGCTGAGAGAGGCCAGTATGTTGGCTGGACTGCGTTGCCCATCATCCTGGCTCCCTGTATCGGCCCCGTCATTGGTGGTCTTTTCGCAGAATTCTTGGGCTGGAGATGGAACTTCTGGTTCCTGACAATACTCGCTGGTGTCGTGGCCATCGTCCTTGGCATGTACATGCCCGAGACGTGTCGCAACATTGTCGACGATGGCTCGGTGGTCCCTCGCAACTTTTACCGCCCTTGGTGGCCTGTCATCAAGGAGAAGCTTGCCCTGCGCAAGGCTGCCAAGGCTGATAACTTTGAGATGAACGGCATGGAGCAGAAGCCCAAGGCTGAGAAGACCCCCATCAAGATCAAAGGTATCAACCCGACGCGCGCCTTCCTGCTTTTGCTCGAGCCAGAGATGTTCCTCCTTCTTCTTTACAGCAGCTTGATCTTTGCTGGGTTCTACGCCATGGCTACTGCTATGCCAACCATGCTTGCCAAGCTGTACGGCTTCGACGAGCTGATGACCGGCGCCATGTATACACCCATGGGTGTCGGCTCACTGGTTGCCGCTTTCGTCATGGGTCGTGTGCAGAACAAGAACTTTGAGCGCCATGCGGCCCTGCGTGGCATGGAGGTGCACGCGGACACTCAGCAAGATCTCAAGGACTTCCCGATTGAGAAGGTCCGTCTCGAGGTCGCCTATCCTCTGGTTGCTCTGTTTGTTGTGTGCATCATCGGCTGGGGGTGGGCTTTTGAGTACTGGGCTCCCGTCTACGTACCCGCCATCATCCTCTTCTTCATTGGCGTTGCCATGGTCGGCTTTACCAACTCGATCAACATTCTCCTCGTCGACATCAACCCTGGCATTGCTGGAGCAGCAGCAGCTGTAAGCAACTTCACCCGCTGCATGTTCGGCGCTGCCGCCTCGGCTGCCATCTCCCCCATGCTCATCGCCCTCGGTCCTGGCTGGTCTTTCACCATTCTCGGCTTGCTCTACGTTGTGTGCGCCCCAATGCTCTGGCTCGTGGTCAAGAACGGCATGGTCTGGCGCGAGAAGAAGATGATCCGCCGCCAGGCCCGCATGAAGAAGATCATGGAGAAGCAGCGCGAGAAGGCCATGGCCGAGGCCAGAGCCATGGGAATTGCCATGCAGGCTGCAGCCTCTGGCGACGACGTCCCTGGCGTGCCCGACATTGCCGCAATCCCCTCACGCCCGCCCACCATCGACGACCCTTACTTCCCGGGCAACAACTTTGCGCAGGAGCCCTCGATCGCTGCCCTCCGCATCCCCGACCCCCGTCTCAGCGTCTGGGGCGAGACGGGCCTGCGTGGCAGCCTGTGGGTCGGCAACAGCGATCAGTCATCCAATACTGCCCCGTCTGCCAACACCAACCGTTACAGTGTCTGGGACAGTGGCGAGGATTGGGTGCCGACGCTCCAGCGCCAGAGTACCTGGGGTCGCGCCAGGAACAGGGAGAGCGTCATGTGGGGAGCTCGGGACAGCGCCATGTTTGGTGGCTTCTAGTGGCTCTCAGTTCCAGTTGAAGGGGTCTTTGAGGTTGAGATCGCAAGCAGGCGGTCATGACGTGTGAATACATGTTTTGCAGATGTGGCTTGACGACTTTGTACCGGCTCGCTGTCCATGCATACTGTACGGCGTTTGTTGTTTCTCATTAGTGTTTATTGCATCACCCGGGAGGAAATAGAGCGTGTTATTAAGGAATTCAGAATGCATCAATTGCAACGGGATGTTAATCCGGTCTCTTACGAGCAATTATGTGAAATTCAGCGTCCAGCTGTTGGTTCGCCCACTAACAAGCCCCAGCATATCCCGATCGGGGGTTGTTCCACGGTTTCGAATCTCAGGGGTTTCCCTCCGCTATAATACGAGAAAGTGTTTCAGCCCCCAACGCCGGACAGGGGTGTACGACGCGCGCATACTTATAATCTTCATACGTTCACGCCTAACTCTTTTTTTTCTCCCCTGAGCTCGGGATGTGGCATTCCCCCTTAACACGTCCCGCAGCAGAAAATCAACAGTTCTCATTGCGTTTAGTGCCAGTGCAAACCACAAGCACCCAAATCGGCAAACCCCCCGATGTATACCCTGACGACCAGGGCATTATACGAGAATCGGTCAGGTCAAGGCGAACCAGGCCGCCGATGCGGTAGTACTTTGAGCTTGTTTGAAGCTGCCATCATGCCACGCCGCACGCGTGTGGCACGGCCATGCCGGCGAGGAGGAGGAGGAGGAGTTGGGGGTGGTAGGATGGCATCTTGGATATTATCGGCCATAGCCACGTCAGTGCTGCTAAGGCAAGGTGCGGGCGCGACTTTGACGACACCGGGCCAGGTAGCCCTTAAAGATTGGGAGCATGACACAAAGGAGGAGGAAGGATCCAGGGCGGTCTGCCCCGTGCTCGGGTTGCAGGTATGTGTCTGTGTTTTACTCCATTGCTTTTCCTATTCTCTGTTCTGGGTGGGAGGCTCTCTTCCTCAACAATAACCAGATGGATCCGTCGTCTTGCTAGCAGATGTCTATGCTTTCATTTACCGGACCAGTTGCTAATGAGACAACTTGACTTGCAGGACACTATATTCTTCGCTGACGCAACGCAGCCATGGGGGGCATGCTGGGAGAAGGAGGGATCGGAAAGCTTGGGATCCTTGCCCAGCACGGCAAGAGGTGCGATCACAGGCACCACACCAGCAGCAGCAAGCGATGACGACGAGGACGGCGAGGACGCCGACAGCAACAGCAATAACAGCAACAACAATTCCACCAAGCAGCGCGCACAACCACCACCAAAGGAGCCCGGCAGGACCAGCGCCGGCTCCATCTCGAAATTCTACCAGATCCTGCCCTCCCCGGACAAGGGCGGGGGGCTGGGCGTCTTCGCGAGGACTCTCATCCCGCGCGGGACGCAGCTCATGCTCGAGCCGCCCCTCTTCGCCGTCGTCCCGCCCGCGTTCCACCCCGGCCGGGGCTACGACATGGGGGAGATGCTCGAAGGGATCGGTGCGGCTGTCGAGCAGCTCGGGGAGGAGGACCGGGCGGTGTTCGAGGAGTGCTGGGAGCATCTTCAGGACGGGGAGGAGGAAGAGGAGGAAGAGGAGGAGGAGAATGAGCGAAAGCAGAGACGCGGCGGTTCGGATAAGCTCCAGCGGCACATGCGCATATTCCGCACCAACGCGTACATGCTGCCCGACGGACGCTCCGCCATGTTCCCGCTCGTCGCGCGCATCAACCACTCGTGCGCGCCCAACGCGGCCAACGTCTGGGACCCGCAGGCCCAGGTCAGGGTGATCTGGGCGTCGCGGGACATCCAGGCGGGCGAGGAGGTGCTGGTGTCGTACGCGCCGCTCCTCCAGGACACAGAGTCCCGGAGGGAGAGACTGAGGCAGTACGGGTTCGAGTGTGGGTGTGACGTCTGCCGCGAGGATGATGATGATGCAGGGAGTGCGGCTTCGGGGAAGAAGAAGAAGAAGAAGGAAGAAGATGCGACGAGGAGGAGGCTGGGTAGAGATCTGTCAGAGCTTGAAGCGGCAGCCGCGCAGGAGACGACGACGACGTTTATGAGCAAGAGGCTGGCAAAGCAGGCCGGCAAGCTCGCTGCGCAGCTTCGCGACCATGGGCAGGGTGAGCTCTGGGGCTATCTTGAGCAAGTGTATGAACTGGCCGCCGTGTTCTGGGAGCGAGCTGGCGATGAGGGGACCGCAGGTGGATTCAGGGCAAAAGCAGGTGAGATGAGAGTATTTGGGACAGTGGTGAGCTCGTAGCCGCGTGTCTTGGAAGTCTACATCTAAATGGTAGTTATTCTGAAATAAAGACAAGGGTATCTAATACAACACGCCGTCGAGTCCTAGTGAAAACCCTGGAAATATCGAGGTTCTATAAACCCGTATAAAGTACAAAACACTCTGGCTCAGTGGAATATGCAAAGAAGCGTTTCAGAGTCCATCAGTCATGCTGTGACTGTCGCTCTCCGTTAGTCGGGCTAAGACGCTCAAAGCGCCTCTGATCCGCTCCAGGCGGCGGCCCTTGCCCCAGTCGATGATACCACGCATCATCCGGCGCAAGTCGAGATAATGCTGCGGATCCTGCAGCAAGAAACACTTGACTATCGCCGTGTAGCATGCCTCGTCCTCTGCCGAGAGGCGCTTCCACGATATGTAGAGCCGCGCTTCCGTCCCGTTCGTGGCGATGCTGAATACCTTGTCATCTACCGGCGCTACCTCTCCTGTATAGGACCCCGCGTATTGTGAAAGCTCGAGGTTTATATCCTCGGCAGCTTGCAGGCAGGTCGCCGCACCGCCTAGGCAGCGGTTTGTGGCAGTGTACATGGTGCCTGTGTCGTCGCCCGTGCACTCGACAAGCAGGAACGGAAACCGCACGCCGTCCCCGGCACCTATATCTGAGAGATACCGGCGCTGGGTTTCGGAAAAGGAATTGTGCAGCTCGTAGCCGTAAAGTATGTCCGGCGCGGCTGTGCTGAGGGGATACTGGTGTTCTGGGCTCCAGGGCGACGACGCCGTCGAGAGGCCGGGTAAGCGTGGTATGGATGCCCCGAAGCTGCGTGAGTAGACGTCAAAGGGATGCCGCCTCGGCAGGATGCGCTGTGTAAATATTTTCGCCACCATGGGTTTCCTGGCTATGCCAAGGCTGAGACTCTGGAGGATCTGGTCGGATTCTATCTCACTCATGGTCGGATCGAGAGCGGTGCTTTGCATGCCATGCTTGAGCTGGTGGATGAGGCTTGCAACGTCCTGGGGAAGCGAATCGCACGGCCCTTTGAGGTGGATGTTGTGTGCTCTGAGGTTGACCTCACGATACTGCGGGTGGTTGGCGAAGTCCTGAGGAGATCCTGGCTCGGACTGCTGCCCTGGAGTTTCAGGAGGGAGAGAACCAGTGGCTCGTGGCGTCGGGAACCACGAAGAGGGCGTGCCATGCCTGCTCAAGTTGCTGTACTGGACCGGCTCTCGCGGATGCGGTGTGATAGGGCTGGCGCTGGAGCACCCGTCACGGTCGGGGACGGGGTGGCAGTCGCCGACGCCCTCGAGCCACGTCGCAACTCCCTGATGACGAGGGGGCACGTCGCTCTGCACTGGCTCTGCGGTCGGCGCGTCGAGTCTCTGCCGCTTGTCTGGTGAACTGGGGTCGTCGTGGGCGAAGCTGTGCTGGCGCTTGATGCCCTGCATGGGGCGTGGCTCGCCCGACTCGTGAAGAGCGGCCTCGGCCATGGCGTGGACAGTCAGATTCCGCGTTGCAGTGACGACTGCCTTTGGCGGTGACGTTGGGGAGCACGGTTCAATATCATGCTTGATATGTGTGGTCGTGACTGGTATGGATAAGTGTGTGTGTGCGTGTGTGCATGGCCCCTGCCTGCCTTGACATGTGGCAGTGTAGCATAGTGGGGGTCGAGTTTGACAGCCCCACTTCCTGCCTGGGGCCGCCGTTGGGCGGCCCATGCAAACGGAAGGCGAGCATGCTGCCACAACACCAAGACACACGCAGGTTTTTGTGATTGACCCTGTTTCCATGCATGCTGATGACATCATCCCCCAAACGGCAGGGCCACAAGGCACCACCCCTGCCGGCCCGTGGTCATGCCCGCTCCCCGGCACATTGCCACGCCGCTCGCATCCATCTCAACAGTACCTCGGTATTGAAAAGCGGTTGAGCTCAATTTGCAACACAGTGTTTCGCCGGGCATGCTACTCGATGTGTTCCCCATATACCACCACCATACGAGGAGACACGTACACTGGATCATTCACCATGAGCCTTTGGCTCATAATTGGCAGCTAAGACATCACCTTCCCAAGATGAACGCAGATAATTCCATGGCAGCCTCCACCGAGCTTGTTAGGCTTTGACTTTGCCCATTCACCAGGTTATTCACTAAATTTCTATACTCTCTCAATCCCAATGCAGCCAATCGGTTTCTGGTCACGTAGCTAAGACTCATCCGCTTTCAATTTTTGGGCCAAGCATGGCATCCCTGTTTCGAGTGTAGTCAGCCATTGGCTTCCTTAATTGGTAGTCATCGTCGGACGATGGTGCTTCCGCAATCCTCAAATGACACCAAAGCACTGCCTTCCCCAGAAGACATGGTGAAAATATGAGCGAGCCTACAAGCTGGAGTGGTGTATAGATGCTCACATCCCACTACACGATAATTTGCGAGGTTTGCGTCTTATTGTTCCTAATCGATCGTAGTGTATGGCCATGTTTCTGGAGATCCCAAGGCGAATGACCAGGTACATGCAGTCGGTGGCGTTTGAAGCTCGTGCATGGTCTTTTCGAGGTTATTCTGACATATGATGCGCACATCTTAATGCGGTATAGTAATTTGGAGCCGTCCGGAAGAAAATAACCCCAGCACAGCATTCATATACACATGGACACAAATGTATATATACTCAAGAATATTGCTGGCATCCCGAGCAGCACAATGCAGCTCACAAGACCAGAATCAATGCTTATCTTCGCGATGCCTATAAGGCTCCAGTACGAAAATAGTGGAGGAAATGCAGGGACTTGAGCCAATTCAATCGGTTACGCTTGGGGATACTTTGTTCGTTACGCGAAATGGCAGTATTTTCAAAGTACTTGCGATCATCACAGTTACTTGCCACTTCCGCCTGAATAGGGATTATCTAGGTATTTCGATAAGCGCCAGGATCGCGTGAGACGCCTTTGTATTGGAGCCTTATGGGCTTTGCCAAGATACTTGAGCATTTCCCACGACTATATACTATAGCCACCGCCATCACGACTGCATTACTCGACTATTCCCCAAGCTGTTCGTCGGCCTTGTAGTTCGGAAAAATGATCACCAAAGAGGCCAAAGTCCTCGGCATCCGCCAGTCTCAGGAATGGAGGTGTACCGGTCCTCGGGCGTCGCTTATGGACGGCTCGATCTGCCAGGCTGGGCGGTGACCCCTCGTTGGGTCAGTTCTGCGGTCGACAACACGGCACGTCTCAACAGTGACTCGGAAATGTAATACACAGTCACGTGCCAACCTATCTTTCAAGTGCAAATACTTCATGAAAGTGGGCAGTGCAGCAACCTCGACCGGAATTAGCTTACCCCGTTTCCTCGCGAACGCAAAAAACCAAGGCAACCCGTCATATCCGGAAAACTGCATTGTGCTCAGGCTGCAAGCTCACCTGAACGGCCGTTTTACATGTCCCCAGAGGCGCAAGCCACAGTTCCCACCCGGCAAAGATCCCTAGGCAGGGGAACTTTTCCGCGGAATTTCACCGTCAAACTCCGGAGGATGACCACTGAAACGAGCGTGGCGCCTGTCTAGCCCTACGCCGGAAGGACAGTCAAGCGCGCCACAAGTCCATCGGTCATTTCTGTCTCCGGAGTTCCGCTGGGGCGCGTGGCGTTGTGGCTGCATTAATCCAAAGAATCCTCATGGATCTCCGGGGACCATTTTCTTGACAAACGACACCATCCCCCCTCCCCCCTCCCCCCTAAACTTGGGCAGCCACCTGCTTTATATTGCAATAATGAAAAGCGGCCACCTTGCTGCGCCACGCTGACCTCACTTCACACCGTTTGAGACCCCTGACTTTATTTTCGGGCGGGCACACGAGAAGCGGAGGGGCGATCATCAGCGGAGCTAGCAAGGGGGGACGTTGAGGCTAACACAAATAGCCTCGTCACAGCTGAGCGAGCTAGTTCTGATGGCGCGCTCCGGCCGGTGCGGATCCATCAATCATCCAGGGGAGGGTGCGTGCGCGGCCGCCCGCCGCTCGGGAGGAGCCCGCACATGAATCCAAAGCCCGAACAGTGTCTTTTGCTACTTAATTACTGATGTGTGTGGTTTTGCTTCGCTTGACGAGCGGTCGACCTATAACGAAACGTCACGGGCCATGCCAGGCAGGAGAGTTCCGGGCACAAAAAGCGCACGGACATTATTGTTCCATGATTACCGGGCTCATCCTGGCTTAGCGAGGATTCCGCTTAGCTTAGCGAGGGTTTCCATTCAGCTTCAGCTTTGCTCGTACCATGTTTACCACCTATAGCGCGGTCGCCTAACGCGGCTGCTCGTAATGCTGGTGTTTCGATGCTCCGACCCAGCGTGAGGAGTGGTGTGCTCCCAAGCTCGGATCCTGGCAGATGGAGCTAGCTCACAGCAAAAAGAAGACGCTTGTGTGTCGGTGCCGAGCCGTGGCTAGGGTCGTCTGCGGATGATCCCTTGGCTTTGTGCTTCCCCGGTGGACTGACTGACTCGTGTGTTTGCCGGGCTCCGAATGACGATTTTCCGGCGAGTCAAGCATTAGCGGCTAAGGGGTGACCTGATGTGATAGGCACAGGGGCAATATTCACGCGGGGGAAGCTCGACATGGAGCAGAAGGAGGCTCAGAGATCTATATTCATGGATTGTATCTTGCAATGGCAGGTGTTGTAATCTAAAAAAAAAACATGGGGGTATACTTGAAGTAATGCCAAATCGCAAGGCAAGTATGCTATCATCTAGGAGTGGTCTCGTGTGGCAAAACAGAAAAAAAACGAGTTTTCGGCAGCAACATTGTAACCTCATCGCGCCGCTCATCTCCGTCCCTCGCCGCTGGTATACGTATACGCCTCGCTCTTATCCATCTCAATCGTCGTGTTGACCATGATGACGCCGGCGCTCGGCGGCGACGAGGCGAGGGGCGACAGAGCCTGTCCGTCCGGCGAGACCCGGCCGTTCGCGTGATGCTTGGGGCTGATACCACCACCGCCGCCGTTGTTGTTGCCGGCCTCGACGACGGCGCGATGATGCCGCTGGCTCGGGTGGCTGAACATGTTGGGGCCCACGGCGAGCTCCTCCTCCTCGCTAAGGCTCGACGCCGCGGCGCTGCGCACGGTCCCAGTCATGGGCTGGTCGTGATGGTGGTGGTGGAGGTGGCTGTTGCTCCCGCCGCCCTGGTACTGCTGCTTGAGCACGAGCTCGTCCTCGGAGTCGTTGCTGGGCGACGACTTGTGGTGCGTGGAGCGCGTTGTGTGCGAGATGTGGCTCCCGTTGCCGATGGCGCTGCCCTGTGGGCCGCCGAGCGCGGCTGTCGTCACACGACTCCGTGTGGACTTGCGGTTCACGTAGGACAGCTCGTAGCGCTTGGCGTAGGAGCTTGACTGTGTCGTTGTGTGGCCGAGGATAACGGAGCGGAGAGCTGTGTGGAAGGGGGGGTAACAAGGTTAGCCGGGTACATCGAGTATTGATGTCGGGTGCGGAGAGTTGGACTTACGAGGTAAGCAAGCTGCCACGATGGCCACGGCGGCCTCAATCATCGAGACGGTGCAGGTGATCATCTGAGCACCATTGTGGGAGTAGTAGGCACGGATGACTATCGACGAGGGAAGTGGTCAGCAGATTGGCACGGAGACCCAAGCACATGACACGGGAGCAAGTGTCTTGACATACTGCTTGCAATGACGACGAAGATACCGAGCGCAAAGATGCCGGCGACTCCAATCTTCTGCTTCATCTTCATCTGCAGCTTCATGACCATGGTAACGGGCAAGCAGATGATGACAATATCAGAGAAGATATTGACTGGGGCGTGTTAACCATACAGACTCCCACATAATCTCGATGCAAGGGACGATACTTACGGATTACCGTCAACCAGTAGTTGATCTCGCTCTGCTTGGGATCACATTGATCTGTGTCATCTGTCAGTAAGGCGCTCTCGCATTCGGCCACCACGAGCGACCGAGAGAAGACTCACATGACGGATCTATGGACCACCGCTTGTCGTGGGGATAGCACTGGAACATGATGTCGAAGAAGATGACCAGCCACGAGCAGACCAGAAATCCCAGCGTGATATTGTACGCCAGCTGCATCTTTGTGCCAGGCGCGGCAATCTTCTTGTAGAAGATGACGAGGGCGAGCTTAATGAGCCACAGCGAGGTGACGTAGAGCGTCGAGCCGGGTATAATCATCTTCATCATGCTGACAAAGTTCTCGAAGCTGACACTGGCCTGGGGCTCCGCGAGGCCCAGCGTCCACATGTAGTGCTGGATGATGAGGTCGCCAATGAGGCAGCATGCTGCCAGGCATAGCAGGCCATCCTCGAGGTAGAGTGCCGCCAGGCGCTGCCACCGCACGATGAGACGGGCAATCAGAAACCCCACGGCTACGACGGTACAGATGTACCATGACACCTGCGACAGAAGCGTATCATGTGTGAGCCGACTTGAAGCTTTCACGAGAAGAACAAGCAGCAGCCCCAAGGTGGACCTGCTGGTGCCAGCTGCGTGCTTACCACTTGTCCGAGTCCCTCAGCCGCCATGATGCGTATGGTTCGGCCGTCGACAGTCGCAGTGTCGAGCGAAGCCGGATAATACGCTGTCGTCCTTGTCGTCCTTGTCGTCCTTGTCGTTCCACACTACTTTTTGCCGATAGGCGACCGGGAAGCTCAGTTGTGTGTGCGCCTGTAGTGGAGGATAAGACTGTTGTAGACGCGCACGGGCAAGACAAAAGAACGCCAGACGCTGTCGATCAATGGGGAAGCCGATTGTCTCGGGTGGAGGTGCGGGCACACCATAAATAAAGTAAAACGCAGTACAGATCAGCTCCCTTGCTCGAATCTTGAATCCCCTCGCCTCGCTTGCGTTTCGGTTTGTTCCACGGCACCAGTGGAGCAGCTCAAAGAGGGAGGCACGCGCTAGGGGTCGATCGTCGGCGATCTGAGCTGATGACGAGACGCAAAGGGCAACAGGTCAATGTCTGTATAACAAGAGATCTGTTACCGGGTCGGGAAAAAGCTGGAGTCCGACGGGGACAAGACGAGAAGAAGTGGGTGATGAGCTTCGCTTGCGCACGGCGCCACATCTAAACAGAGGCAATGGATCGCGGGAACGGGCCAGGGGCGGGCTCGGCAGGGACAACGAATGCCACGGAGCAGTCTGGCTCTCCAACATTGGAGTAGGTAACAGAGACACCCAGGGGCAAGCGGCCAGTTACGTACGAGGACGCCCGGGAACCCGAATGATGACACTAAGAATTGGCGCCGGAGGCACAGACGGGGAAGCGAAGGCCGGATCCGCGGGACGGACCCTTCTAGTTTGGACATGGCGCGGTTCGGCCCCGCCACATATCGGCGAGGGAGGGCAAGGCGAGACCTTCCACCCTACCTCCTGTGTCTCTTATGTGCATAGTCTAGTGTGGTCCACGGCGAGAAAGAAGCTGAGCACAATCACTGAAGAAGCGTTGAAGCAGAATCTGCCGCGTACACGTATTGTCAATAGACCAATTCAAGAGCCTGTGGAGTACATCATCTGTCAACCAGCCGCATATTGGCCCTTCTGCCATGCTCCCACGTGGTACTCGAGTTGATTGGGCGATATCTGCCGTGTTCTCTGTCCCGCAAGGGACTTACATGTGAGAGTGGATGGTGCCAGAATCAGTCCCGATCATCTTATGCTTGGCAAGATGGGCCGATGATCTGCAAAAGGGCCCCAGATAGGAGCGGGCACTATCACGTACATACGAAAGATCTCTCAATACGAGTTGGCGCCGGGATTTGTCCGTTGCGCCTCGGAAATGGACCCTGTCGGCAATGTTCATCAACCTGGGCCCGGGGGCCGGGATGACCTAAGCAGAGAGGAAAGGGATCACCTTGGTCCTCCTTCCCATGATGGCCTGATTGCAATCCTGTTGAGTCCCAAGGGGCCCGTGTGAGGCACTGCTGGCCGCAGTTTGATGCGATAGTCAGAACCGGCGTCCCAACCTAAGCAGGGTCATGGGTACGTGCTTGCTTTGTAGTGCAGAGAGAAGAAGAACCTGTGGTGTTCTCGTGAGACTAGCACAGCCACGGGTCCAGGGTTGTCGCCTGCAGCAAAGGTAGCATCATGCACGCATCCACTTGCAGAAATCGCGTGGTATACTCCGTAGGCAGGCAGGGTTGCCATGTGCGACCCGAGAGTCTGGACTCCCTCCGGCTGCCGGCAACCTTGTGCCAGCAATTTGCCTGGGTCGTGCTCTCATCTTTCCCGCTCGATCTGACCACTCATCCTGCATGCTGTTTGCCTGGGTTTTGGCAGACATGGGCACCTGACAGGCCTGGGATTCTTTCTTGCTTTTTCGACCTTGCACTGTTGATGGAACTTTGTGGAGAGTCATGGCCACATTCCAGGCTCATTCGTCCACCCGGCTATGGGACCCTCCTGCGCAAGTCTAGCGCTCTTCTGGAAAGGTGCTCCGCAGCAAGGATCGGCGAGACACCGGCGCCGCCTAGCTGGGTGGGAACAGGCAGTGAGAGCCAATGTGTGGCTGAGATTGACTTGGGAATCCTGGTTCTACCCACACTTGCACGACTCATGTGCAACGTAATAGAGTTTGAGCCGGCCCCTGCGTGGAAAACCGGGCTGTCGTGCTGCCACGCTTGCCAAGGCCGAGCTCTACATACTGTATGTACTGCGTAGCGCCCGAGGCATCCGTCCCACAGCGACGCCACTATGTACGCCAGCAGCTCCGTCTCGACTCTGTAGCCAGCGTCCGCTTGTGGCTCAGTTTGTGGTTGGCCTCGAAAAAGCAAGCTGTCTGGGCAGCTAAAGAGAGTCGGGTGTCTGAGGGATGCTTCGCATGCCCTACAGACGAAGGGGCCCTTGATCGGGGCTGAGAGTCTGTGTTGTGCGGCAGCTCCTGGGCTGAGTCCATATCACGTCAGCTTCCGCCGAGCAGCATGGCCATTGCTGCGGTGAGCCAAGCCGTAGCTGGATGGCAAATGCAATGCAGCCCATCACGCTATAAAGAGGCGATGGGAGCATGGATCTGTCGGTGCCACCTAGAGTCTCCAGCTCGCTGCCCGAATGCCTAGAGGCACAGTCTCTCTGTCGGTCCAACCCGTGATGGATATTTCGTAACATCCCTGAGAATCGCGGAAGCGAGATCGGGCACGGCTTCCTGATCGAGCAGCCCAACACCCCGGCAGCAATCAGTCAGGCACGACCGTTCCATCCCTGTCTGTGCAGGTATGTCTTAGTTACCCCAACTGGCAACTTGATGATATCCTGGTTCGTCCCAAAAGTGGCGACCAAGAAATTTCTCCCATTGCCTTCAGGGGTGCTAACCTGGGCCCTTGGCCCTGCTGGGTACATTACTGCGTGCGTCCGTTGCACCCGCCCCAGTCTCGGCCAGCGTGATGGGCACCGCACCCTGTCAGATCGTTCCCGCTCCCGAACACGACGACGACGCGTCCCCGCCCCTTCTTGACACAACGTGAGCCTGGTTATAACCCCAGACAGACAGGCATCGTCGTCGGAATGGTGTAATCTCTGGGCGTTGTATAGGCCATCGTGGGCCAACGATTCTCGCACTGGGGACGGCTGTGGCGCTTCTGTTGACGCGAATAGCCGACGCGACGGGCCCGACGGCACTCTGCTAAACGGGTTGCGATTGGATCCGGGTCAGCGACTTGCGACGGTCTTCGGGCAGAAGTTCCAAGGACCCTGGAAATGTCATTGTCGTTCCGAGAGTAGCTCGGGGCTAAGGCTCAGGCTTGTGCTCACGGCGAATCGCGTCGCAACACTAATTTGAAAAGCGGACTCGCAGAGTGGTATGGCGCCGTGTGCCCATGCGCGAGCGCACCACCGTTAATAGTCGCTGTCGCTGGACGTGTTCAGCAACCGCGCCGATGCCAAATGCAGCTCTAGCGGGCGGGCGCTCTTCCGACGGCTGGCCGCTCTCGCCTCTCCATTATTCAGGGCAGGCAGGCAGGCTCGGCAGGCTGAACGACTCTGCAGCGGTCCCTGGACCCTGATGGCTGCACGGATTGGGTGCTGCGTCGAAGACCGCAGGCCTGCCTCGTGGCCGGCCCCCTGTTATAGCTGGTGCCCTGTTGTGCGCATGAGCCGACGCTTTGAACATTGTCTCGGCCGGCCAACTGCCGGATCATCAGTCAGTGATTAGTTAGCCGTTGCTGATCTTTGCCCCTGGCCACATAGCGCGAGCATGACCCCTGAAGTTCTTTTGTGAAATACCTTTTTACCTCGGGCATCTGCAGTTACACACGCTCCTCACTCAGCTTTCCATCTCTAACCGATTCGTTGGATCACCGGCTGCAGATCCCATCACCTTCTTTTTTCGAACCCAACGTGTTCCGTGCAGCAGCTGCGCGTCACTAGCTCCTTGCCCATCCCCTCGGGTCTTCCTTCCATCTCGCTTGCGTAGCGACATCGTGCCGTTGTTCGTCGAACACCGCCCTCCACTGACCCCCACCGCGTGGCTTTGTTGATCAAACAACAACATGCAAGCCCTCCGTCTCAGCCTGGTGGCTGCCCTGCTGTCACTGGCAGCTGCAGCTCCCCCGGGTCCCCCGCCTCCTCCCAGAGGGAGCCCCAAACCGGCCTGCTGCCCAGCGAATACCGTCAACCTGCCTCAGGGTCCCGTCCGGGGCTTTGCAGATGACAGCGGCAATTCCGTCTTCCTTGGCATCCCCTTTGCTGCCACTACAGGTGGCCAGAACCGGTACGTCGTCTATGCTTTCCAGAACACCTGCCAGTCGGTAGAGAGTGGCAGCGCTGTGCCCCTTCAGCTGCCACTCGCGATAGGGTTTCTTCCTTTGCTTTAGCTTGACAGCTAACCCGCTTCCACCCTCCACAGCTGGAAGGCGCCGCAGCCCGTTCCCAAGGCTGCTCCTGGTGTCACGTTCGATGCCACTTCCTACGGCCCTACATGCCCCCAGGCCATCCGGGACCCGACCTTTACCAGACAGGATGAGAACTGCCTGAACCTCAACATCTGGGCCCCTGCTGGTGCCAAGAACCTGCCCGTGAGTCCAACCCCAGCAAAAATTGTTAACGCGTCGGGACTGTATGACTGACCCCCGGGACAGGTGTTTGTCTACATGTATGGCGGTGCTATGGTCACTGGCTCCAACAGCAACCCCCAGATCCAGGGCAGCAACTTTGCCAGGAATGGCGTCATCTACGTCAACTTCAACACCAGAGAGTCCATCTGGGCGTATCCCAACTCTGGTGCTCTGGGCCCTTCGCAGAACTTTGGCATCCTCGATGTTAACCAGGCCCTGGATTGGGTCCACGACAACATTGCTGGTAGGTCTCGGACTATTCCACCGCGACTTGATTTTAATGTGCCTGGGAGACAAGACTGACAAGACTGTTTCCACCCAGCCTTTGGCGGCGACCCTAACCACATTGTCTTTGGCGGGCACTCGTCCGGCTCTGTGCAGGTCGACCACTACCTGTGGAACCACCCGTCGACTTTCCTCAAGGGCGCCGTGCAGATGAGCGCCAACGCCGAGTCGGGCCCTGCCTACGCCCCTCGCAACGAGGCCATGGACGCCGTCGCCGCCGAGGTCGGCTGCCCGTCGTTCGCGGCCGGCGGTCAGCTCGAGTGCATGCGCAACGTCGACTTCCTCAAGATGGAGACGTCATTCTTCAACTCGACGTCCAACACGTGGTTCACGCCCACCATCGACGACGTCACGCGCTTCTCCAACTACCCGGCTCGCTTCGCCCAGGGCAAGTACGCCTCGCAGGTGCCTCTTCTCACCGGCACCTCCAACGGCGAGGGCACCATCTTCAGCCTCGTCTACGGCTTCGAGAACAGCAACTTCTCGTCCTGGATCAACACCTTTGACGCCGACTCGCAGCACATCCCCGACGCCGACCTCATTGCCGCGTACCCCCCCTCCGAGTTCGGCAACTCGGACCCCGCCCGCTCGGGTGCCCAGTACGGCGACGCCCGCTTCAACTGCCCCGTCGACTACCTGCTCGACCTGCGCGTCCAGAAGCAGCCCACCTGGGTCTACCGCTTCTTCGGCGCCTACGACAACGTTGTCGGCGGCCCCCCCGGCACCGCCCCGACCCACGGCACTGAGGTCCCCTTCTTCCACGGCGGCAACGAGTGCTTCTCGTCCCTCTCGGGTGTCACTGCCGAGGAGCAGGCCCTCGCCGATGCCATCTTTGGCTGGTTCGTCCAGTGGATCAAGAACCCGGCCGCCGGCCCCGGTTGGGCCCCCGTCACCACCACCAAGACCGGCCCGCTCGTCAAGCTCGGTGTCCCCGGCGATGAGCTCACTAGGATCCCTGCTACCAGGCAGGAGTTCAACGCTCGCTGCCAGAGCGTAAGTCTTGTTCCGCACTTCTCTTGACTATATAAACGCCTCAAAGCTAACATGCTCAACACAGGTCTATGCTCCCAACTTCCCCAAATACCCCGTCGTCCAGAGCATCAAGAGCCTGCTGCCTTGAGCGCTCTCTTACCAGCAAAGCAGATGGTATCGGGATAGGCCCTTTGGCTCATGTCGGCAGCTCTTCCGACTGACACCATGCTCACCAATTCCGAGGGCAAAGCGCGCCGCAAACTCTGTATATAGCCCTGATTAGACATCTGCAGCTGGGTGCAGCGAATGGTTCACTCACGTGGTCCCCCAGTTGTGGTGCAGCGGCGCGCTTTGGCCATAGAAGTAATTATAACGATAGATCAAAGCATAGACATAATAATACACAGACATATGCTCAGCCTTCCTTCGTCCTAAAGTCCAACGTGCTTGCCTGATAAGGCATGTACGGGGGGATTGCCCTGGAAATTTATGATTCGGCCATCTGTCGTGCCAACCGTTCCGTGGGATGCACTGAAGTGCCGGTCTGCATTCGCCGCATAGACGGCCGCGGCTACTGGTCTAGCTAGCCTACCGTTTTTCTGCTTTTAAACCTTTTTGGATGATACCATGAACAGATGTGGCGACTACTCCATGCACTAAGAACGGTGCCTCTGCCTCTGCAAGAATGCTAGCTTTGGCTGTGCCTCTAGAGAACCCTTCACGCCGCACGTGTGGCGAAGGATTCTAGCTCACATGCTGATTGGATATGGTAGCTCGCGTGTCACGCTTCTGCTACCCCGGCTAGGGATGCACGTTTGACAAGAACCAAAGATAAAGACCATTTGCTATCTCATTGCCCTCCCGGTCCCACGAGGGCTGTGAGGGCTCCTTAGACCCTGACCTGGAATAGTGGAAACTGTTACAGTATTGAGAACTGGCATTCGTCGCACTGCATATCGGGTTGTCCTCGTTGCATAACATGATCAATTATTTGTAGAGGCTCAGATGCTCAGCAAGTTGGTAAAGCCACTATATCATTCGAGACAAGCTCGATAGCCAAGGAAGGCATTGACAGGTGGCCTGCAAGTTTTCTGTCCATAGGCATCCCCGCGAAGGCGCGTATATGCCGTAGATCCAGCTTCTCTGTAGCGTTCCCTCAGTCAGTTCGGGTAGGAGCACTGATTGCGCAGGTCCATCGCAAAACACCTGCCCACTAGCTGCAGGGCCATAGGTGCGTCGCCCAGGCGGCCAGATGTAACCACCCGCACTAGCCATGGTAGGCATACTACTTGCCGCAACCCATAGACAACCAGACAGCCGTGTTATCCGACCACGAGCGAGTCCGACGAGTCTGACATCCCCTGACGGCGACACTCCTGCGAATTAGGCCAAGACATCCCACATGGACAGCCAGCGCAGCTTCGAACCAGCACTATTCCCTATTAATGCAAGGCTCCAGAGTTGGATGGGCCATAAGTTGCTCACGAGCTGAAAAAAGGTAGGGCGGGTAGGCGTTAGGCCCAGGCTCGGCGAAAGCTTGTTTATTACTCCGTACCCCGAATCGCAAAGCCAAGGCACGCCCCAAAACGCCACAAGCGCCCCCAAGGCGTTCAGCTGGCCTGCCGCACTCCATCGAAAATCAAGACGACGACGACGACTCTGGCCAACGCGGCACTAATGCCCCCTACACTATCTACACTACGGTAGCGGTGGTGTCGTGGTGCATATGCACACACACCTATTCGCTCTAGAGAAGCGTCGAGACTCGAACACAGGCTTTCATTCTACCTTGAATATTGGGGTCTGAACCACGACCATTGAACCATACTTTGCTTTTTGTTTCTGGCCTTGGTGTTCGGTGGCAGAGATCACTTCGAACCATGGAAACAGAGTAAACAGCTCCTGGGTTTCTCTAGCTGTCTTTATGTGTTCAGATGCGCAGCTAAGTTTATGGAGCGAGAGAACCGCAGAGCAATGTGGTGCGCAGCTCGATATCACCTGGAAAGTCTAAGTTCTTGGTGGCTCATATTCACTGTCCTACATGCATACGGTAGTGCATCTCTTTAAGTCGTTATAGACATAGGGACTCGGGCTATAGCGCTTGTCCCGAATCAGGATCTCAACCAGTTACACAGCGACTATCGCCAGCACCCGGGTTGATGGCCGCACGAGTTAACGGCATGAAAGCCCGCGAGGAGCAGTTTAGTGTCAGCAGAAGCTTTGCTAAAGCTTCACCAAAGGCTGATTTCTACCCGGACCATCAGCCAAGGCGGGATGCACGGCACCACGAAGCCACCAGAGCCTCAACTGGGACTGGTCTAGGCGCGCCTGAATTCAGATACTGGCCCTCCTCAAGCCATCGGTACAGCTGTACTGACACCACGGAAGCAAGGGAGGGCTGGCCGGGCACAGAGACACTCGCTAATGGGCCAATGAGGCAATGTATGTCGCTGAGTCCCTGGCCGTAGATCCAAGCCAAGCTTTCGTGGCTGCATGCAATCTGTCGGACATGGACCCCAACGGGCTGAGGCAAGCTTTGTATAGTCTGCGCATCCAGGGTCCCCGCGAGATCTCCCTTCTTGTGTGGTCAGCGCCACACACACGGACGATGCAGACCACGGATGGGCTTTGCCGGCGGGTATTAGATCTGAGGCGACATGTCTACACGTCGTCTTGGCTGCTTTGAAAATTTCCAACTTTCTTCCCGCTGGCTCAACTCCACCAGGAACCAAGTAATGCAATGATGTTCCCCTCGAGATTTCTGCTGCCGACAGTCGTGGCCTATGCCACCTCTGCTCAAGGGTTTGACCTCGGCGCATTGTTCGCACGGCAGACCAATGTGCCACGCCGTACCGCGGGCCTGCCACCCGATGCTCAGATCACGCCGGGGCCGAGCGTGGCACCAGAGCTGCTCAGACGGGACTCGTACTGGACAGCGCTTGTTGCACCAGACAATACCTGTGGCTTCCTCAACGGAGAGAATGGTGGGTTTTTCCTCTTCCTCTTCTTCTTCGCCCTCGGGACAGACAACCTTCTGTCCGCAACCATGCAAAAGACTCATGACCGCCGCTGACGACGTGTGGCCCTCCTACAACGCACAGACAACCCCTGGATGTGCGGCAACTCGGCATACTCATGCGCCATCATCACGACCTCGTCGCCGCCCTTTGGCCGCCTGGGTTGCTGCAGCAGCGGCGTCTGCGGGATCAAGGCGGACTGCGTCAACGGGGGCGCCGGGCTGAGCACGCGCTGCGGCGCGGCGTGCCAGAGCGACACGGAGACGGTCAAGTGCACCGGCGGCGCGAGCACGCTCTGCGGCAGCGTCGACTTTGGCAACGGCGTGCACGACTTTTTCTGCGCGACGTCGGGCGACAGGACCTTTGTCACGGCGAGCACCACGTACTTTGGCCAGCTCGGCCGGTTCTTCAGCACGTCGTCCTACGCGGCCGACTTCAACGCCACGGGGGCGGCGGGCCAGACGTCGACAACAGCAAGTAGTGTCTCGACGTCCTCCTCCCGCGGCCCGACTTCGACTCCGACGACTCCGACGACGACGCCGGCCGTTTCCTCCACTCCTGACACGAACCTCGTCACCGTGACGCCATCGCCCACGCCCACGCCGGCACCAGTCAACAACGGCTCCTCGTCCACCAACACGGGCGCCATAGCAGGCGGTGTAGTCGGCGGCGTGGCCGTCCTCGCGCTCGTCGGGTTGGCCGTGTGGCTCGTCCGGCGCAGGGACAAGAAGAGAAATGGTAACAACAACAACAACATCGACAACGGCGGCCATAATGCGCCGTCTGCGTATGGTCAGCACCCCGGTGGTGGAGGAGGCCCGCAGCCGCCTCCGCAGCAATGGCAGCAGCAGCAGTGGCAGCATCCGCAGCACCCGGAAATGTCCGCCGTGGTTGAGCACCATCCCGGCGGCGGCGTTGGTGGCTGGGGGGCGGCGAACGAGCTCGGTGCGCAGAACAAGGTACGTCTTTGAAATTCTCCGCAGCTCGGCAACCACTCTACTACATACGACCACGAAGCTCCGGGTTGTCCAAACAGGTCGTCTCGTCCTCGTCTCGTTCCGTGTTGTGTCATCTCGTCTCGTCTTTTTCTATAGTGTAAGCGGCAGCTAGCTAACATGATCATGTTTCTTTCTCCCTTTTCTTTGAAACACAGCCCACGCCATACCACAAGGAGCTCGAAGCATCACCCACGGGCACAACAGACCCGGGAACCGTCTCAGTCGCGCCCTACACCAGCGTCCACGAGGTGCCCTCGCCCTATAGACCCGACGAGGCTGCTACTGGCGCTGGCTCGCCTTGGGCTCCTCCTCCTCCTGCTCCCCCTCCGGCGGTGGCTTCCGAGGCCGGAGGCGACGCGGTGGGCGTGTATGGTCGGCAGGAACATCATCGGGGCCAGTTTCATGAGCTGAGTTGATGGAAAGGGATTTTGAGAGTTGAGCAAAAGACCGGGGAATGAGAGAAGGGAGAGGGGCGGGGTATGGGCCGCAGGCACTGTCACTTTCCCAGTCAGAGGTGATATCCTTTTTTTAACGTTGTTGGAACCGCCTCCTGCTCTGTAGTGTTTTGTGAAACTCTCTGATGGCTGCTCATATACATATAATGCAAATCACGCCTTCTCCTGCTGCACAACCTCCACCCTCCTCTCCTCCTCCTGCTCGTATTCCTCCGCCGCCATCGTCTCGCCCATCTTCTTGCGGCCGCCGCCGCTGCTGCTGCCGCTGTCACGCCCTCCTCCTCTTCCGTGCAGCTCAAACGGATCAATGACAGTGCTGGCAAACTTCCTCGCCCCGACCCCCTTCTCAAACAACACATCCAGCTGCGCGTACGTCCTGCCCTTGGGCTCGGGCACCCGGAAGAACACCCAGACCGCCGAGCACAGCGCGGTCCCGGCCCAGAAGAAGGCCGTCTTGGCGCCCCAGTTCCAGGCCCCCGACGAGAGCTGGTAGTTCGTCATGACGTTGACAAAGATGTTGCTCGCGTTGTAGGCCGCGCGCGCGAGCACGATGGTCTTGGCCTTGAGCCGCGTCGACGAGAGCTCCGAGACGAGCGAGTACGTCACGGGCCCGACGGTGAAGTCGTACACAAAGGTGAAGAGGATGAGCATGGCGCCGATGGCCCACACGGAGCTGTTGGTGCTGCTGAACCCCAGGCTGCCGACGATGATGAGGATCAGGAGCTGCGAGGTGAGGCCGAAGAAGTGGATCTTGCGGCGGCCGACGCGGGCCATTAGGAACCAGGATCCCGCGGTGCCGATCATGCCCAGCGCGTACTGCGCCATCGAGAGGGAGAAGGAATTCGAGGGGTCCATGCCGGCTTGGGTGCTGTTTGATGGTGAATGTTATTAGTAAAAAAGAGTGGACAGGATAATGTTATCATGCAGATGCGCAGTCGAAGGGGGACTTACAGGAAATACGCAAAGTAGCCCATCAGGTTCTGCCCGCCGAGCGTCTGAACGAGCCAGATGCCCACGACAATCTCTGTGCGGCGCAGGTCGACGCCCCGGAAGCAGTCGCGGTACGACACGCCCGACTTGGCTTGCCGCTCTAGCTCGTTTGTGTGCTCAATCATGGCAATCGTCTCGTCGGCGTTGAAGGTCGGGTCGTTGGGCGACGTCAGCCGCAGGAGCGACGCCTTGGCCTCGTCGCGCCGGCCGTGGCGAACAAACCACCAGGGAGATCTGCCAAGGAGCACAAGGTCAGCCATTGCACGTCTTCGAAAAAGTGGGTTTTATCAAAGTAGTCAATGGACAAATACGTACTCGGGAGCAAAGAAGACGCCAACGAGAATTGGCACCGGCCACACCCACTGCACGGCAAAGGGGATCCGGTACGCCCACTCGTCAGACCGCGTCGCCGTTGAGCCCTTGTTGACAGCGGCGGCGAAGAACTGACCAATGACCCAGCACATGTTGATGAACGTTGTCAGGTATGGCCTCAAGACGACGGGAGCCACCTCGGAGGCGTAGGCAGGCGTGACACTCTGGAACGCTCCCCACGGGATACCTGTTGGTGGAAGGACGAAGAATCAGCAACTGGGGTCATCGTGACATCAGTAAACGGACACTTACCACAGAGAACCTCCCCGACGACCAGAACCTCAACATTAGGCGCAAAGAAGAGCACAAAGATGAACAAGATCATCAACACCAAGAAGATGATGACCGTCATCCGGTTGCCGTACCGGTCCGCCGTCCAGCCGGCGAGAATCAGGCCCAGGATCTCGCCCGCGCGGGCGCCGTTGGACAGCGCAGACTGCCAGCTGGCAGGGACCTCGAACTTGTTCTTGCTGGCGTTGAAGACGCCGTACTTTTGGTTGAAGGCGGGCGAGGCGTACAGGTTGCCCAGGAGGGCGAGGTCGTACCCTTCCATGATGAGCGTCGAGGAGAGGAGCATCGACCAGCCAATGGCACGCGGGTACAGCTTGACGGCCTGCAACAGGCTCATTGACTGCTCCGAGTCGGCGGCGTTCTTGGCCTCGGCTATCAGGCCCTTGTCGTGCAGGTCAACGGGTGCTGCCGTAGGGGAAGTGGCGCCTGACTCGGGCTCGATATCGTCGGGGCGGCCATTGCCCAAGGGGTGCTGGCTGTTGTGAGCCATGGCGAGTTGCGATGGTTACACAGGGCCACGCCAAGGTCGGGGGACGAGGTAGTGCAAGAGGGATGAGATGATGGGAGGAGGAGAAGGGGGAAGGCAAGCCAGCCTTGAGACGACAGCTGCGGAAGGGAATGAGGAAAAGGAGAAGGACAAGATCGACCCAGTTGCTGACAGTTGTTCGGCAGTGATGGCAGGCTGATTGGTCCAGATGGGCTTCGCTGCCAGCCCAACCTCAAGGTGCTGACAACGTGCGGACAGGCCTGGATATTTATCCTCCAAGACACCGGCTGTCCACGGGACGTGTGGGAAGAGGCGTGACTACGGAGACATTGGCCTGTGGGACGAAGACGACTACGCGTCCGCCGGTCGGTGGTTGATTGTCAATGGGATGGCTTGTCGCGCCACGGGGACTGGACTGCCTGCCTGCCTGCCACAGCAAAGCTCGGGCTGAGAAGCGAGCAAAGATGACGAGAGAGGAGAAAAAGTCGGGGAAGCAGGGATCAGCTGCAGGCGAGTTTGGGGAAGTGCCTGGAAAGGCGGTCCCTGTTGCAGAGTCTTGCGGGGGAGCAGAAGCCCAGAGGCCTGGGTCGGGGGCGAGCCTCCCTTTCCCGGCCTGCTGGCTGGTGGAGCAGACGGCGGAGTTTGGGTCCAGGCATTGGCCGAAAAGATCTTGTCGCCTCCCCATTCTCCTCATCTCCCTCCGCCCTCCGCCTGCACGCAAAACAAATGTTTGCTCCCCGTTGCCGAGTTTGCTACAATCCTGCGGGGGCGCAGGCCGTGCACCCAAAGCTGGAGATGAAGGCGGAGTTTTCCTCGAGGCGTCTCTGTCCGACGAGGGCGGAGTTGATGTCGGGGTTCAGCCACCCACTCGCTCCAAATGGCGTTGACGTGGTGCAGGCGAGCAAACAACAGATACAGCACGTACTGTACTGTACGTGCCCCTCCTGACAACCCTGAGAGGCGTTGGCTCCGACGTCCGGCGGCGGCGCTTCCTCTCCGCTCTCCCTCTCCACTGTCGGGGTCTAGCTGTCTCGATTGGCCCGGCGTCCCCTCACTGCCGGGCCCCGATCAACTCGAGCGATTCTGCTTCCTATCCGAGCCCGCCTCCGCACACGCGCCGCTCAGGACAGGCAGGTGATGCAACGTTCTCCTCCATCTATCGGTCCGGCAATGCGACCGGTCCGTGGCCAACGCCTCTGCACGCCTGTTGGTTCCTGCCCAACTCCTCCCTGAAAAGACGGCCACCGCGCTCTCTCATTGCGCGCTCCTCGGCCCATCGATCAGGAAGTTGGTCTCTTCGTCCTTCTCATCCTCGCCTTCACCTATCGACAGAATTTCACAGGGCGCAACCATTCCCGCCCTTCAGACGCAATCATGGGCTCTGTCGTCGATGAGCTGCATGAGCATCCAAATGGATGGTACGGCAAGGAGCCGTGGTGGAAGGAGGCGACGTTCTACCAGGTCTACCCGGCAAGCTTCAAGGACTCCAACGGCGATGGCTGGGGCGACATTCCGGGCCTCATATCAGAGGTTGACTACCTGCACGAGTTGGGCGTCGATGTCGTTTGGCTCTCTCCGGTCTTCGACAGTCCCCAGAGCGACATGGGCTATGATGTTTCCGACTACCAGAAAATCTACGCGCCATATGGTTCGATCCAGGATGTCGACACCCTTGTCAAGGCCTGCCACGACCGTGGCATGAAGCTGATTCTGGACCTCGTCGTCAACCACACCTCGATCGAGCACGAGTGGTTCAAGGAGTCGCGGTCCAGCAAGACAAACCCAAAGAGAGACTGGTACATCTGGCGACCGGCGCGCTACGATGCCGACGGCCGGCGGATGCCCCCCACCAATTGGCGCAGCTACTTTGCCGGGCCAACCTGGACGTGGGACGAGCACACCCAGGAGTACTACTTGCACCTATATGCCTCTGACCAGCCGGACCTCAACTGGGAGTCTGAAGAGTGTCGCGAGGCCATATACGAGGACACGATGCGGTTCTGGTTGCGCCGCGGGGTCGACGGGTTCCGCATCGACACAGTCAACAAGTACTCGAAACGCACAGAATATGTAGATGCACCAGTCACAGATCCGACCTCGCCTCATCAGCCGGCACCTGAGATGTGGTGCAACGGCCCGCGGATCCACGAGTTCATAAGCGAGCTCCAGGAGAAGGCGTTGGCTCCGTTCGGGGCGATATCGGTTGGCGAGCTGTCCAATACTCCGCACCCGAGCCAGGTGGTGCCCTATGTGTCTGCCGCGGCCAAGGAGCTTGACATGGTGTTTGAGTTCAGCATGATACGGCTGGGAACAGGCGGCATGTTTGGTCCCAAGTATCACTATGTACCGTTTGAGCTGCCGACGCTCAAGGGGCTTGTGGACAAGTGGCAGAGATTCATTGAGGGGACTGATGCCTGGACGACAGTGTTTTGCGAGAATCACGACAATGGGCGGGCCGTGAGCCGCTTTGGTGACTGCTCGACACGAGACCTGTGGGCAGCTAGTGCGAAGACGCTGGCCTCGTGGCAGGCGACGCTGACGGGGTCGCTCTTTTTGTATCAAGGCCAGGAGATTGGCATGACCAATATGCCTGTGTCGTGGGGCATCGACGAGTACAAGGACATTGAGAGCCTCAACTTCTACGCCGAGGCCAAGCGGTCGGGGCGACAAGACGAGATTGACAAGACGATGCATGGGCTGCGCATCCTGGCGAGGGACCACTCGAGGATCCCGTTTCAGTGGGACGACGGGCCGAACGCGGGGTTCTCACAGGAGGGAGCGAGGCCCTGGATGCGAGTGCACGATGAGTATCGGGACATCAATGCCCGGCGGCAGCGGGACGATCCAGAGTCGGTGCTCAGCTTCTACAAGCGGGTGCTCCGGCTTCGCAAGCAGCTGCGCGATGTTCTCGTGTTTGGCACATTCCGGCTGCTGGCAGCAGATGACAAGGCCATCTTTGCATACGTCAAGGAGGGGGCCAGCCAGCGGAGAAGAGCGGTCGTGGTGCTCAACTTTTCACGAGAGGAACACGACTGTCCTGATGTGTGCGAGGCACTTGGGTGTGCGTCTGAGCAGACGACGGCGACATTGGTGCTGAGCACGGCGGACCAGGCAGGGAGCAAGGCGAGGCCGACGCAGGGCAGAGAGGCGAGACTGAAGCCGTGGGAGGGGCGGATCTACACCAACTTTGCGGTATGAGCTGTCGCAGAAGCGCAGAAGAGAAGAAGGGGTTGGATGGACATGTCAAATAAAACCATGGCAAATACACAGAGCCAACTAATTCAGCATGTCAGCAGAAATGCGAGACGTGGTCAGCACACTTGGCCAACAAGGTTTTGCAGGGGACTTGACTTGACGGGGCGTGATGGTCAGGCACAGGCACAGGACGAGGAAGGAACGTGGACTGTTGCTGGCAGGAGCTTGGGCCACTGCCCCCACTGCGGGCGTGTCGGCCACGCCCGCTGTGGAGCTGCTACGTCACCGCCTCTGCTCTGCCAGCACACACCTGTAGCCACAAAGAGGATTCTTCAGGCAGGAAGATCTCTGGTGCATCCGGGAACAGAGAGAGAGAGAGAGAGAGAGAGAGAGAGAGAGCAAGGGGCGAGTCAAGCGAGGGCAATCTGCGATATAGTTGAGGTCAGAGAGATGAACGCTGTCTTAGGACTAAAGAACGGCACTGCGTGGATGGAAGGGCCCTGGCCGGCTTGCATGTGTTCGCATGCGGCATGGGCCCCCGTAGAGTCATAATTCGGCCTACAGGAGCCGCAGACGTCATTGTTGTGTCGTGAAGCGGTGCCTGCCCAAGGCACACCACACCACACACACACAACCACAACACACCACTTAGCTGCACACTGCATCCCGCTGCAGACCAGCCCAGCCCAGCCAGTGTCCCGCAGCTTTTCCTCCACCCTACCCTGGCCCGCGAGGATTCCCTGCTTTCCCATCCGCCCGCCCGTCAAACTTATTTCCCCGTGCTCGCATCGTGACATCGTCCGTTTCTCCTCCTCACAAGTCTCTTCATCTTCAACCTCTACGACTTCCGTGATACCCCATCCTACAAAGATACCCCCCGCCTGCACCCAGACGTCCGCGACAGCCTCTCACACACACGCTCTACCAAACCCCTCATCTCACAAAACCTAACCACTTCGTCACAAGTGAGTGCTGCGTGTCCCACTGTCCCACGGCCCGCTGCTTGCCATCCCATGTCGCTTTCACAAGCTGACCCTTTCCCGACAGTGTCTTACGCCGACGTCGCCGCTTCTGGCCCCAAGCAGACCCCCGAGGAGGTATGTTCAATCGTCTGCTCCCCCACCAGTCCCTTCAGAAACTCCTTCAGCATCCAAAGACTCTTGTTTGCGCTAGCTAACCCCACTACCACCAGGCGGCCGCCCCCCAGCCCCCCCAGATCATCCCCAACGAGTCCGCCAGCAGCACGGCCTCGCTCGTCGATGTGGACACGCCCTCGGTCCGCACAGTCCCTTCAGACTTCAACGAGCAGGACATCAAGACGGAGACGCAGCAGGCCCGCATCGAGATGGAGGAGGCCGCCGCCAAGGCCCGCGCCGAGGCCGACCTCGCCAAGAAGAAGGCCGCGAAAAAGGCCCGCAAGGCAGATGACTTCCTCACCAAGTGGTTCGGCGACCTCAGCGAGGACGCCAGCACCGCCATCGTCGTGTCCAACCTAGCCGCCGTCATCGGCCTCGGTTCCTACCTCGGCTACAAGGCTTACGGCCTCTACGAGCGCGGCCGCCTCACTGGCAAGAGCGTGGCTGTCGGCCTGGGCATCGTTGCTGGCGTCGCAGCCTTTGAGGGCGTGCTCGGAGGGTAAGTCACTCTTTTTCTCGCTTCATCGGGGTGCACTGGTCTTGAAGATCCCCAGCTCTCCAGCATCATTATTTGAGTGTCTGGCGTCCATCGCAGCGCAAAGTGCCATGCCTCGTTTCCCCTAATCGGCGCCGTTGCTGTGCCCTGTGCTAACACCATGCATCCGCAGGTACCTCTACAAGGGCAAGAAGCAGTCGAGAAATTAGGCATTTCCCGAGCTCGACCAGTGCACCAAACTCTGCGAAAAGACGCGTTGAGGGGGCCGCACGGGGCCCCGGCGACTGGGCCCCGTGGAGGCTTTACCACGCTTATCGCTACGGCTCACAGCCACGACTACGAAATCACACCTCTCTTGTTCATTAACGCGGTTTTATTCTGGTTTCGAATTTTTCTTGGTTCAATGACGCGGGAATGGCGCAGGAGTTCGTTGTACGGGTAACGGTAATCCATCTCCATACAAAGCGGCAAACCAAACACATCAAAGAAGAAAAAAATTGAAGAAAACACCCTTGTGGGCGCCATTGATATGTGATGGAATGTGATTGATGAAGAAACCCCATGCAGAACGAGGTAAACCGAATAACAATGTGGTCTTTGAAGACAGCAGTCGGGATCAAGTGGGATCATCCCCAGTCATTTTTATGCTCTGCAAACTGGTCGCATCCCGGACAAATACGCCGATACGGATGTTACTAAACCACACAATTCGCAAGCCAAGCCCCCTCGTGCCACCCTTTGCTTTTGTCAACCCCTCGGCTCACGCACAAAAAAAAATGACGGGGCCGCTCATCATTCAGGATACGCCGCAAGAGTGATCGCACACAAAAGTGACGGACGGATAGGGCAGAGAGGTACGGATGGGGCCTTCCTTTCCTTCCTTCCATTCCTTCCGTCCTTTCCTTTCCTTTCCTTTCCTTTCCTTTCCTTTCCTTCCCCCCCTTTCGCGGGTTTTTTCTTACGCAGGCGCAAAAGTCGACCAGTCCATCCAGTCGAGGTCCGTCCCGCTCCCGTGGAACTGCAGGTCGTCCCAGGCGCTGCCGTCGGCGCCGACGCCGAGCAGCGCGCCCGAGATGTCGACGTTGTTGATGATGGCGTCGTCGAGCTGGTCCAGGGTGGACATGGTCGAGAAGAGCATGTAGTCTGACTGCTGATGCTGGTGCTGGTGCTGCTGGTTTTGCGGGTGTTGCAGGTGTTGATGATGATGTTGAGAGGAGGTCGAGGAGGAAGAGGGTTGTGGTGGGGGGAGCATGCCTCCTCCCCCTGCTGTAGGCGTGATGGGGCCGTTGGTTTTATTATTGTTGTTATTGGTGGTGGAGGAGTTGTGGTCGAGGTGTCCTATTTGCTGCTGGTGGTGGTGTTGTTGGATGTGGCTCGCATGTTGTTGGTGCGGCGATAGTTGCTGTTGTTGTCGTTGTTGCTGCTGCTGGTTTGTTGTTGAGTATTGGTGCCTCTGAGCTGACGACGACCCGTTTGACATGCTCATTGATCTCGACCCGGTATTGCCGTTGCCATTGTTATTGTTGTAGTCCGCAAACGAACCGCCAGAGTTGTCAGCAGCACGACCGGCGTACTCAAGGCTGCCGTTGCTACCGCCGCCATGACTGGCAGCAGCAGCGGCATCAATGGTCTGCCGGCGCTGCTGGTGGTGGTGTTGACCATCGCTCATCACGGACGGCGGCGCTGGCAACCGCTTCGCATTCGTCGGTGCCAATGACGACGACGACGACGCCGACCCGGAGGCCGCCAGCTTCAGGATCTGCCTCAGCTGTCCTGCAAACAGGCACGACAAGCCCTTGCGCTGTACCGGGGTTGATCCTATCCTGTCGAGCACCTCGACCGTCTCGAGGATCAGGGTCCGGATACTGGGCGCCAGCGCGCTGGCGCCTCCCCCCCCTGCCCCCGCTGCTCCTCCTTGCTGGCCGTCGGCGACCGTGCTGACGCGCAGCGCAAAGCAGGCGGCAAAGGAGATCATGATGGCCGTGTTGTTGGGCATGGAGCGGAGTTGGCCTTCGCCCTGGACCGCGACGCGCAGCACGTTCAGGGCCGAGGAGAGGCCCGCGGCGCGGAAGTAGTGCCGCGCGCACGCCGGGGCGCTGGTGTGGTTGATGACGCTGCTGTACATGGACAGCCGGGTGTGGGATGCGAGGATCTCGACGTACGGCGGCAGTGCCAGTTGCTCTCGATCGCCGATTTGGAGGGGCCAGGTGTGATACCACCTGTCGAAGAACTGGGTGATCTCGGATTTCAATCTGGAGCAGGGTAAGCCTAGAGGTCCCAGCTGAATGGGATGGGATGAGGTAAGACACGTACTTATCCACTATTGACGATTCCGGGATGGTCCCTTCCGCATAGCTGTCGCAAATACCTCGAACCTTGGCGATGAGATTTGCCTAAAACGAGATGATGAGCACATATGGCGCCGAGCAGAGTCTCCCCAAGGGCAACTTACCAAGTCTCGTCTCAAGACAGCAACGGACACGATGGAGCCGTCCCACCGGTCCGCGAGGTCGGACAGGTGCCACTGATCACAGGACTCGATAAGCGGCGACATTGGCAGGACATATTGCCGACCTCGTGCAAGGCAGACCCTGGCCACTGGTGTTAGCACTCTGCGAGTCAAGCAAATACTGACAGATGGCAATTACCCTCGCTCCAGGACAAAGAGGGAGAGCCAGACTCTCTCTCGCCGACGTAGTAACCTCTGGCCCATCAGCGAGTTTGGATCTACATGGGCGAAACCATCTACGGCAAGCGCCCGCTTGGCCGATATGCACTCCGAGGAGGCGACTGTGCCCCGCGGCGAGTTCGGCTCTGCCGTCACGGGGAGGATGATCTTGTTGATGGAGAGATCCAGGGCGATTGTGAGCGCCATGGACATGTACGTCGACGTCTCGTCGTCCGCCCAGTGCTCGCCGGCAGAGAGCCAAGGGACGTTCACCATGAAGGCCAGGATGATTTCTACAGACTTGAAGCGCCGGGACATGATGAGTCCGGCAAGATGCCGCCGGTGGTTTGATAGTCGCTTGTAGAGCGCCTCCATCGACGGGAGAAACATGGCTGAAGCTGCAGCTATGGACGTAAGGAGATAGGCAGATCGCCGCCTGACAAAGTCGACTGTGTGTATTACCGGATCAATTCCCCAGCGTGTGTGGGCAAGCTTGTCGAAGAAGCTGTGCCGAGGGTCAGTATATGTCAACTAGCTTGGCGGACATTCAGTGCATGTCCCAGGACAATCTTACTAGGAAAACAAGGCTTCGGCCTCAGCCAACGTCACGAGGCCAAGCTCGATAGGGTCCAGGTCATCCCCAACATCCAGACGCCCATTGAAGCCACCAAAGAATGTCTGGAGATGGCCGTCCCCAGCGGATCGCCCCGCAAAGCGCGTGTGGAGAGAGCTGAGCGCAGAGCCAGGTAAGCGCGGCGCGATCGTCGAGAGCAGCTCCGAGGTCCGAGCCAGGAGCTGGAGAGGGTTTTCCGCATCGTCGAGGTTCAGCTGCTCCTCGTCAACACTCTGCTCCTTGACGTCGCTATGGACGCTGGCCTGCGCAGGCGAGACCTCGTCAGAAGAGACAGTCCTGGGCGTGGACGATGTCCTCTGCGAAGCGGCGAGCGCATCGTACGACTTTGGGGACTGGCGAGCAGCAGCGGTGGTCCCGTCGGCATGGAGGAAGTCGCGGCTCTTGTCGAGCAGGTACCGCAGCTCGTTGGCCTGCTCGGGGTCCTGGATCTGCTCGCCGCCGCGGGCGGCGCGCTTGAGGGCCTGCTCTATCTGCAGGACGGCCTTCTCGAGGCCGGTGTGCTTGTTCTTGACGCCCTTGTGGCGGCCGACATGGTAGGCGGGGGCGGTGCAGTGGACGCCGCGCTGGTGGCAGCGCGTGCAGGTGCCGCTGCCGTTGGGGCGGACACACTTGAGCTTGGAGCGCTTGCAGTTGAAGCCTGTGCCGGGTCAGTCGTGGGCGGTCGAACACGTCGATGCAGCCGGTTCCGGAGACTCACAAGAGGCAAGGCGTTCTTCATCCTTGACGTCCGGGGCGGAGGACTGCACGCCAGAGTCGGCCATGGCGTGGTGGCCGGAGCATCGAGAGAGAGAGAGAGGCAACAGCAGCCAGTAGCGAGGAGGCGGCAGTGCGCAGCCGGCAGGCAGGGAAGGGAGATGCGGAGTGGACAATGACGGAGGAGAGATGCCCGTCTGTGTTGCGTTGGGGTGGAGGACTGGACCCTGGAAATGCGGAGCCGCCCGGTCGGAGCTGGAGGAGGATCAGATGGATGCAATGCACCTGCCTTGCAATGCACCTGCCTTTGCAGCCGCCTGCATGCGGGCGGCGGTTGCCCGTGTCGGCGCCAGCCCGGCCCAGGTTTCACCAGCACAGCACATCACGCCCGGTGGGGCCACAGGCCTCACTCATTCAGCTCGAGATAAGGACAACTTCAGAGACCCGCTTGCCATCTTTCTCTCCTCCCAACATCCATCACCAACTCGCATGGCCAGGCCAGGCATCCTTCAAGCAGGACACCCAAAACGAAGTGGTCTGTCCCCGGGGCTTCACGGCAACCTATGTACTGAACAAGGGGCGCCGTGGGGTCAGCAGTGGAGCTACTCGGCGCACCCAGCTCGTATGGTCTTGAAGTGCTCTCTGTCAGCAATCAGCAAAGTTCAACTCTCCACCCCATCCATCCATTACAACGCGCATGTCCAATTGGGACACAGCCGGGGGAGCACTGACGTCGGGAATCGGGATGAGGTCCATTATTTAAGGGTAGCCTAGCCCTTCCACAAGCTCTGGTTGTGGGACTGACAAGACCTGTCCGAGTGCGACAGAGGCGCAGCAGCGGCTTCTGTGCTTGATTACATTGATCAGCGGAGACATGCACCGTCGATCCGTGCTTAATTGGTGACCTCTGGGGCAGTTGTCAATATGGCCACCATAAGTTGTCGTAAATATAGACGTTTGGAAGCCTTAAAGCCTCTGGAATCGTAAACTGGTGAGATCCAGCTCGGACACATTTAAACTGGACAGCCCTCGAGTATTTTGTTCATTGGCCTCCGCATTGCACATTCACACGAAAATGTCTACATCACCAACCACAACACATGATCTACCCAAGAGATCGAGACGAGCTTGCAGCGACCCCATTGGAAACGGCACTGGCGAGGGCGCACTTGCCAATTACAAGGGCTGTGCCGTCTGCCACAACCAGGACCGGTATGGCTTCGGCTCCAGTGTCTGCGGACGCTGCAATCGTTGCCACGGCTGCGGCTCGAGTAATAACGGCATCGGGTATGCTCTCTCTCTCTCTCCCCGGTTTACTGTCCGGGCCATGTTTTCTCTACATTGGTATGCTGACGGGGGGTTTTGTAATTGATCAGGCCCATACAAGCTGTCTATTTTGGCGGGAAAGCGGTTGTAAAGAAGGCAATGGCTGGGTGGAGTCGGGATAAGGACACAGAGATTGAGCCATAGGGGTCGCAGGGCGAAGCCAAGGCTTGAGCAACCTGACAGCGGTAAACCGCGATTTAAAGATTCAGGCCCGCGTATAACGAGTGAGTCACATCCCGAATCAGTTCACGATGGTGATTGGAAAAAGTTCACCTGGCCACGATGGACGCGGACACACTGTCGCAAACGAGACGTGCCAATTGAAGATGTCAAATCATCGAGGTTCAATCTGTTAAATGCGCTTCCGTATTCGTACATTGTGGTTTTAATATCCCAACAAGATTTGTGCTCTGAGATTTCCTACTATTCTTAGGTGGCGGACTTGTGTATCTGGGGAAGGTTGTGCCGAATGTTCCTGTTGTATTGCTCCCTGTTGGTTCATACCGTATTCCTGAACGAAACGGAGCTTGCATGACGGCGTGTGTTCGATGAGAAGTTGATATTTGGGTCGTGAACCAAGTGCACTCGAGGTCCGACTCCTGTCATGTACGGAGAGTGCTGTCGGCTCTGTGCTGGTAGTGAATTTGCCTTCCGTAGCTTCGGGTCAGTGTCCATTACCCTCTTGATACTTGTGTGCCTTGTGCCCAGGCTGAGCGAATAACGCTAAGATACTGCGGCTGGGTTGCGCGCACAAGCAGCTACATATGCCAGATGTGCTGTACGATGCCGTGCTGTTGGTAAGCCCTTATCGCGGATCTCAGTATTCCGCCGTTCAACGTTGACATAGCCTCTGTTAATTGCCAGTGGCTGCGTCTATTGCCACTGTCTGGTCCCAATTCTTGACCTCACACTCCGATGCAGAACCCGAAGGAGCCATCAAAGACGTCAATCTCCTCGGCCTCGCGGCCGCCACGCATGCCCTTGAGCACATCGAGATCGGGCACCTTATTCGGGCCGTAGAACTTGAGCAGGTTGTCCATGTCCTCGTCCGTAAGGTCGACCATGTCGTTCCACGAGTAGGCATCGCTCACGCGCGTGATCCAGCGCATCCGCTTGGGGCCTTCTTCCGTCTTGGGCGCAATCTGGCGCAGCTTGCTTCGCAGTGTGCCAACCTGTGTGATGGCGTCGCCGACATTGGGCGGGAGCGACTTGGCGATGAAGTTGCGAATGCTGGCAGCCAGCCTAGGACCCTTGCCGTTGGTGCTGACCATGACTTGTAAGGGACCATCGCGGTGGACGGCGCCAAAGTAGAAGTCGCACTCGGGCGGGACATCGGCGATGTTGGCGGGAATACGGTGCTGCTTGCAGAGCTTCCAGACTTGGGTTGAGGCGGCCGGGTCGTCGATGGCGCACATGACCATGTCTGGGGCATTGCCGTTGCTCGCGGGAAGGGACTCGAGGTCGGAAGGCTCGAAGACGCGGTCGATGTGGTGGACCTCATTGTTGGCCACGCGGTGGCGGACCTCCGGGTTGAGGCCATCGGCCGGGCAGACGACGGTCACGATGGCATCGGCATTGAGGACGTTGAGGATGCGGCCAGCGGCGACCTGGCAACACACAGAGCAGCTGTCAGCGTCATTGATCTGGCCACGGGCCTGCACAATCAAGCAGTCATCGCAGAGACCATACCTCGCCACCGCCCACGACGAGGACATGCTTGTTTCTGATCTGCCAGGCTAGGATCAAGCTGCCACCGCCCTGGACCTTGGGGAACTTGTCGTTGGCCGACGCTGCTGCCGCCATGCTTGATGCTGCTGTGTCGGTGCTTCGAGTGTGTGGTGCAGGTAAGAGATCTAGTATGGCATGGCGGATGGCTGAAATGCCACTTGACCGCAACGATGGGTGACTTGCTGATGGGCTAGGGTTCAAAGGGGTGCGCGCGTGTTGCCGTGGAAGACGGACGGGCCAGGTCAAAAAATTGGAAGCAGGCGCAGGCGCCATCCGTGATCGGCGCGCAGGTGGTGTGTCCAGGGACCACGGGGTGGTCAGCATAGCGGAGTACGTCATTCCGCTCTAAGCAGCTGGAGTGCCCTTGAGCCCTTGGAGCCCTTGGAGAGGGGTTTCCTTGCGGGCGCAGCTCGAGTGGTACCGAGCTCAAGCATGATGGCATGCAGGGACATGATGCCTGGCCGACCATGCACGGCCTGCATCATTGATGTCGAATCTTCAGGAACATGGTCACCTGGCCCTTTGTGTTGAGCGTGAGGACTGCCGAGGGGGGGCTGGCTGTAATTACCTGTACCTGTGCTGTGGCCCGGACCTTCCCAGGCGCCGTCCAACATGTCGTGTGCTCCTTCTGCCCCGAGGCCCCTGCTGCACCGCCGGCGCTTGCCTAAGCGGCTCGCCCGCAATCAGCCCTCCACTCTCACCAACCATCACGCTCTCTCAACCATCCGCCAACCGCCCTCGACGCCCACCACCGCTTCGCCAGCTTGCGCGAATCTTGCCCGACCGCGTGGGAGAGAACCAGCCGCCGTATGCTGTCTCCCACTCCTGTTCGAAACCTCCAACCCCATCGAACAGCAACGCTAGCCTCACCGCATCCGGCCCCTGCCACGTCCACCGCCGCCCCGCCCTCGCGGCCTGGCTTGCTAGCACCACGCCTGCGACTTTTGCTCCCATGGCCCTCGATCGACTGATCCACGACCTCGAATACTGCCTGCGAGGGCTCGCCTGAGCCTTCTACCAGGACCGCCTCTTCCGCCATGTCCGGCCGCAAGCTCGGCGGAGGCAGAGTCCTCGGCAGCGGCAAGGGCCTTGCTCCGGCGGCTCCCTCACCAACAGGAGCCAACCGTACTACGAGCCCAGCTCCGCCCTCATCCTCGAACGGCCGTCGTCATGTTGCGCCCTCGCCGCCCGGCTCTGTCACCTCTGTTGGCACTCAGAATCCACTTCCCGGCTTCGCAAACGACCTACACTCAGCTGTCAGCTTGGGCGCTGCTGGCCCTAGCAATGGGGGATCCTCAGCTTCCAAGCTTGTCTGTCCGATCTGCGAGGAAGAGATGCTTACTCTGCTCCAGCTGAACCGACATATAGACGACAATCACCAGGAGCTTGCTCCCGTCGAGCAGGATGAGGTTAAGACTTGGTTCGACAAGCAGGTCCTCAAGGCGAAGCGCTTCCAGCCATTGTCCGTCATCAACCAGAAGCTGCGAGGGCTTGAAGTTTTCGAGTCAAACGAAGCCCCGCCGTCAATAGCGGCTCCGGCCAGTACGATGCACAATAGAGCTCCCGCACCGATCGCCGAGATGCCGTTCGACCCTGACGACATTATTACCAAATCTCACTGGCAACGGTCAGGGCCGAATGACCTTTGTACGGACCCAGCTTGTGGCAAGAGATTAGGGGCTGTCAACGGCAACATCAACTGCAGGAGCTGTGGCCGGCTGTTTTGTGAAGAGCACACCATGTACCAGATGAAGCTGTCGAGAGCGGCCAAGCATGAGCCTGTCAGGGGCCACTGGTATCGTGTCTGCGAGACCTGCTACAAGTCACGAGAGGGCTACAACGACCACAGTGGCTTGCTGAGAGACCACACCAAGGAGTTCGATGCGATCAGACGCAAAAAGGTCGACAAGCAAACCCTGGAGATCTCACGGCTGGAGAAGCGACTGTCGAAGCTTACCTCTCTGCTGGTCAACCCGCCAGAACACATCTCGGGAGGTCCTGGCGGTGGTGGCAATTTGCTTTCGTCAGTGACGTCCCTATCTGCACAGCGCAACAACCAGCGCAAGGCCATCGAACAGTCTGTCGTCACATGGGAGGATGATGCGAAGGTGGCCAGGTGCCCATTCTGCCAGCAAGAGTTCGGATCATGGACGTTTAGACGACACCACTGCCGAATGTGTGGCCGCGTTGTATGCGCTGATCCTCAGACTGGCTGCTCGTCTGAGGTGGGCTTGAACGTGGCCAACCCCGCCGTGCCTACGACGGAGAAGCCAGGCGCTGTTGCTGGTGCGGTCAGCGTGGACATTCGAATGTGTCAAGACTGCAAATCTACCCTTTTCGCCAAGAGGGACTTTGAGCAGGCCACGATGCAGAAACCGGCAGACCAGCGCGCATACGAGACACTGCGACAGTTTGAAAGGGGCATCCAGCAGATCTTGCCCAACTTCCAGCGCGCATTGTTACCACTCCAGGACGAGAACAATCCACCAAGCTCCGCTCAGATACAAGAGGCTTCCAAGCTGCGAAAACGTCTGACAGACAGCTTCACCAAGTACGATGTTGCTGCCAGACGAATACGAGACATGAAGACCGACAGTCCGACGCAGAAGGCGCTGCAGAAGTCGATTTATGCTGCTGCGTCCACCTTTCTGCACATGCACATGTTGCCACTGAAGAACCTGCCTCGAATGCTCAAGACAAATGCTTCTGCAAATGCCCGAGGCAGATTGCTGCCAACAAGCCACGTCTCAAGCCCGCTGCGGAATAATAGTGATTTCATGGAGACGGCCAGCCAGACAAGCGAGTCGAGCACAGTCGTTTCAGCTCTAGAGAGTGAAGAGAAGGATCTGAAAGAGCGACTGATTGTGCTTGAAGAGCAACGATATCTCGTGCAGACCATGATCGACAACTCGCAAGGAGCGAGGAGGTTTGAAGAGGTGAGCGCTCTGACTCGCAACATTGAGGAGCTTGACCGCGAGATCAAGAGTTTGAAGGGAAAAGTCTCGGGCGTGGAGGACAGGTGGCAGACGCTGTATGCGAATGGTGGGCCTGGTAGTGGGTAGTTTCGCAGTGAGATATGGTGAAGTGGTACTTTGCGGATTCGTATCCGTCGTTGACATCAAGCAGCATTGCAAGGCGTTTTGGGGGCTATATTCTTGAAATTACCTGAAAGAAGCATAACGCCGTAAGGGCAGCCACAAGCTTTAAGAATTGGTAATAATTGATCAAATGACATCCTATTTTCAGAGTCGCATATGCCGGTGACAAGTCGATCTGCCCGTTGTACGCGCTTTTACGCCTGTCATCCTCTGTACCTTTCGTCACGATGCTTTGTCGACGGATGACGCGCCCAACTCTTCCAAGTTCCGGGATTTGCTCATACCGTATGTTGTACTATTGTTTTACCACTTCATGACTTTCCTTTTTTCTTTCCTTCTTTTCCTTTTTAGAGCACCATCCTCGGGAGACGAAGTCTCACAGTACTCCCACAAAGGACAATCTCACGCTGTAAATCACCTGCCCAACAACGCATAGCGTGCTGGCCGCAAAATCAAACAAAGGCGTGAGTCCTGGCAGATTTCCCGGTCGTTTCCAAGATGCGCCCTCCGGGAATACGGCCAGGCCCAGAGAGGCGCAGCGAACAACGGTATATGTACCCCGTACTGGGGACCATGTGAATTAATTGAAATATTGTGCTCACAGCAACTTCTCCTACAGGTCCTCGTCGTCCAGGCCGCAACGCACTGCCCCAGTCTCTGCGCCTCAGTGTTCAGGCATCTTAAAGGGAAAAACATGTGATGTTATGGATGACTCCAATGATTTGGAGGTGGATTGGGCTGTTTCTCACTACTGCTGCGGACGGGTTGCCTCTCTTCTCAAAGCGAGGCAGACCAACCAACACACGGCTGCGCCATCCGCGGTGGCAGCCTGGTCAGATTTATGCGACCATCTTTGGCGGCCCGGGCAGCCACCTTTGAAATGGTGAGGCACTTTGATCAGGCATATCGGCCTCTGAAATGAGGGCTCCCGTTTATGCGTTCATGATCTAATCCATTATTTAAGCGCAAGCGCGCGCGACTCAACCACATCCTGAACGGCGGCCGATCGCAAGATCTTTTCGACAAGCAAAACGACTACATACCGGCTAACCCGAACCACGAACAACAAACTTAGAGCTACATCCGCAGAATAACAGCATGTCTGACCTAGGCGCCTCCAACACCTACACACCATTCCAACCTCCTGGTGACGCATCATCGGAGAGTACATATTTCGCGGGAGCAATCAGCGGTATCCCCCGATATCTTTTTCGCGTTTACGATTGGAGCTCCTCCGGATTCACTTCTCGCAGTGAAGTGTGCTCTCCAGCATTTGGGACTCTACCCAAAGATCTCTTCCGTCAGCCCAGGGAGGACGCAGCAGCGATGCTAAACGCACACTTGCGGTGGAAGTGCTGCGGTCGGGAGTCCCATAAACTCCTTGGTGGGAGGGAGTGCAATCTCATGTCCTGGACCAGCTCACTGCTCTTTGCCCTCCAGTACGCCTTGTATCGACACAAGACCCAGGACGCTAAGCCACAGCTCTCAGAAATCAAGATCCTGATGGTCGACACGAGGGATCTCTGCGATCGCAATGTTTTTACCCGCGACCTGCAGACAATCAGGGCATTCAAACAGTATCCGCCTAGCGACCAGGACGGTCTCGGGGAAGTCGATGACTGGCGCAGCAGCGGATCATATTACTTTGGAGAGTATCTCTCGCAGGGCAGACTCGTCCTCAAGCCAGAGCAGTGCTGCGAGGTCACCATGAAAGACCTCGTGGACCGCGGCCTATTTAAGATCTGCGCTGGGCTCGGAGACTCTGAGCATTGGCACCGGTTGGCCACGCGCGTGAATGGCCTCAGGCGCCGAGCCCGTCCAAAGACAGCTCTTTCAGAGGACGCTTTGCAGGTAGTCATAGACGTGGCAGAGGCTTTCGAAGGCTTCGAGGTTCCGGCGGCCCTTAGGCTTCTGGGTCTTAGCCCCTTTCACGCCAGAGAAGGGGGAGGCCGAATGGCACACGACGCGATTGAAGGACTACCAAGTAAGTCGATTCACTTTTCCTCTTCGGGCAATCTCTAGCTTAGGTACTTTGCTACACAAGGTGATGATAAGATTCGAGGCACTAACAATAGCATTTCACAGAGACGGATGGCAGCAGGGGCGTTGTGTGCGATAGCTCTTCGTCCCTTGGCGGCCACCATGACCACCTTCCCGAGCTGCAGCATTGCCAATATTGGTACGATGTCTTCGCAGGGCTCAGTGCACCCAAAGTCGAAGACGAGGATGGTGATCTGATTGATGAGCTTGCTCGCCTGGTTCTTTAGCATTTGTGTTGCTGGTCTTCCTCTTCCTTTGCCGGTTCTTTTCCCTTTTGTCTTTTGTTCGCCTGTGCGCTGAGAGATTTGTTTTTAATAGTACGCTACGTCTACGCAGGGTCAGCCACTTGTTGGAGTTGATGGACAGAGTTTGATTTCCTTTAGTCGGATACATCTACCATAGCAAGTTCAATTATGTTTGAAATCGTCAGAAATGACAATTACCCAACTCTGGCAACTGCACGCCACCCTACGTACGCTTCAGCCCCGGCACACGATCTCGCAGCTCCCAATACCCAGCCACGCAGCATCATCCCTAGCCCAAGCCCGCCAAGCGTCCGCGATATCTCTCATGAGCCTGAGCGCCTCGTCCTCCGTCATCCGCCTCCCGCTGTCCCTGCTGCTCGTCCCACCACCGTAAACACCATCACTACCCGCAGTGGGAGCATAAGAAGAAGTCAAGTACTTGACAGCCCGCTTATTCCACGCGGTATCCTTGTCGTCGAGCATCGGCGCGATCGACGCCACCCAGGCGTCTTTTTCTTCCTGCTGCGAGTGCGAGTTCAGGCTCCCCGTCACCTTGATCTGCTCTCGAGCCCAGAGGCCCGTGCCGAGCGCGGTCTCGAGCAGGTATTTCCCCGCGAAAGTCGAGCCGAGACCGGGGTACTTCTGCTCTGCGGCGGCTGTGCCAGTGATGCTGCCGGCAGAAGAAGAAGAAGCACCACCATCATCATCCTCGTTGGTCAGGTGCGTGGCGCGGAGCACGCCGTAGAACAGCGCACGCCACTGCGAGAGGAGCGGCGTCTCCGGGTGAATCGACATGAGTCCTTCAAGCTCCGCCTCGCGGGCGGCCACGATGCCTCCTCCTCCTCCTCCTCCGCCTCCTCCACCAACTCCTCCCTTCCGCGCGAGATCGTGCATGTTCCGCAACGCCGCAGGCCGACGAGACGGCTGCAGATGGCTCAAGACCTGGTGGCACGATACGACGTCGAATGTGCCCTTGGCGCTCCTCGGACTGGTTGTGGTCGCTCCGTCGCCACCGGGTATGCCTAGTTTCGAGGCCAGCACGCTTGCTCCGTCCCCGTGGTCAAGACCCCGCAAGATCGCCTCTTCGAGCTGGAAGACGTCTCCCGTGAGGAAAAGCACATTTCGCACGCCCAGCTCCGCCGCGCGCGAGGTGGCAGCCCGGATGAACGACTCTGCCGGGTCCACGCCGACAATGAACGCCCGGGGGAAGCGCTGGGCAAAGTCGATGGTGATGGAGCCTGGCCCGCAGCCCACGTCTAGATATGTGAAGACGGGGGTGGATTCCCGAGAATCGGCGGCGGCAGTGGTCTTGTTGTTGTCTAGGCTCTCGAGATACGGGAGCAGGTACATCCCCGAGTCGGCGACGGTGCGCGAGGCGTACCGGTCCCGGACGTGCCTGTCGTAGCCGGTGTTGAAGCGCGCGGTGGCATCAGTGGCTCGGCTCCCGCCCTCGCTGACGGATTCTGTTGTGGATGCCATGCTGTTGCTGTCCCTCGGGGGCTCACATACGAACTCTGTTCCGTACTGATTATGAGTCGTGTAGTTCTAGGTAGATCAGGGTTGTGGCTTTGTGTACAAGTTTGAAAGCTCCGTGGGTATGGCCTCCTCCTTCTTCTGCAGGCAAAGATTAAGTCCGGCTGGACTGTATTGGGAGGCAGGAATGGGAGGTGTTACACGAGGAACGGCCTGCCCAGGGTTTAAAGGGTTGTCCGTGGAGGATGGCAGAGTGACGTCGGCGGAACGAGTGCCGGGTCGCCGGAGTGGGGTGCACGGCACAGGCGACCCCACCCGGCTTCCGCTCCGGGCCAAGAGCTGACGCAGCCCGCAGCGGCTAACGAATAGTGCTTATTCTGTGACCTGAGACTGGTGAAGCAGGACCACATATCACTTCGTGACGGAAAGCTGGGCCGTGTGTGTGTGTGTGTGTATGTGTGTAGATCGGGTCTCATGGCTGATCTCCTGCCAATCTAGATTACCAAGCAGGATCGTTGATGATACGCCTTTTCGGGCCTTGTGGTGAACTAGCTACCGATTTGTCCACGGCTCACCCTAGTGCCGGCCGTTTTGGACTCTGTAATAGAGCCGACCGGATGTACTGCCCTCTTAGATCATTCACCTCTGGCAGCACCTTTGTCAGTCGGTAGCACCATGGCCGGCCAGCGCCGCTCGATGTCCACGGCTGCGGCACGTAGCAGTCCCCAAATCGGTCCCAGTGTAGCTGCACCTGTTCACGCCCGGCGCCTGCTGCAACGGACTCTCGGTGGGTAGAGATCGTCTTTGCTGCTGCGTCCCGGCCGAGCTTGAAAGTCTGTACGTCCAGCATGCCGTACCCAATGTCGTGATCCTCGAGTGCACCACCATGGGTTACATGATGCGCCTCACTTAGGGCCTCACTGAGCGTCTGGAAATGTGTTCGGGCGCCACGAACCATGCTAATGCAATACCGCCAGGAAGGTATCCCCACGGGTAACGGTGTGAGCTGCGGGTCGAATCCCCAGCCGCCGAGATCGTGATTAGGCCCTCCCCCGCTGACGAGCGTATTGGTGACACGGTCTTCGTCCAGCGTGTCCTCCCACGGGAGGTTGAAGCTGCAGTTCTCGATGGACAATGTCAGTATGTCGTCGGCGTGTACGAGAAGAGTCCGGCTGACTGTGGGCTCGACAGGCCGGCCACGGGCCTGGGCCTCGGTATAAGGGGTGAAACGGCGCAGTTTGTCGTCGCCGGCACGGCAGTAAAGGCCACGCTTTGGTCTCGTGAGGACAACCCGGGCTTGCTTGTCTGGTGGGATGGCGGCTACGGATCTCGCCTCTGTACAGGTCGCGCGCAGAGCAGTGCGGGCCTGCCAGACGCTGGGGTCATACTGGGCTACGTCGTCGTCCGTGTCAAAGATGCTGAGGCGGCGCAGGTCGAGATAGAGCCAGGGGGGCGAGGTGGAGCGGTTGCAGCCGGCATGATCGAGAGGAAAGGCGTGCACGTTGAAGAAGTTGATGCCGGAGCCCGCGGGCGGCAGGGCGTGAGACCAGATGAGGAGGCGGATCTCGGGGGGCAGCTGCGGGAAGAGAGAAAAGGTATGACCAACGTCGAGCGAGGAAGATAGGGACGAGCCGGACTCGGACCTGAGATGAGTGTGGCTGCCGACGCTGCATTCGTCGTCGTCATCAGCTGGAGGCGAAGGGCACGAAGGTGCGGCTGGTGGTGGTGACTGGCGAGTGGGCTGCAGTCCTGCCATCAAAAGCAGCATGCACAGAACCGGCGCCGGCTGTGGGATGTCAATGGCGAGTCTCTAGCTGCTGGGGAAGCACTTCGGAGAATGGCATTCTGCAGGCTGTCAGGGGCTTCGACAGGACCTGGTGGGGTGACGTAAGGACAGGCAAGCTGCGACATCCATGGAAGGCACGAGGCGGAACAAGCCCGCCGCAGACCCACACGGCACCACCCCCCACCTACCCCGGATTTCGCAAGACGCGTCGGCGCGGCTCACTCAGTAAACGCCCTGCCTGAGGTGGCTTGTGAGGTCCAACGTCAACACAAGCATATACCACGGTAGAAAATCCGTGAAACCGTCTCTCGCACTATCCCTGAGCACCAAATTGCAGCAGGAATACAATATACCGCCCTCACATCTGTTCTTCTCGGCAGCGTTTCCCATCACCTTGGCGCCTCCACTCTATTTCGACGCGTCGGCAGCACACCTACCCCAGGACCACCGACCGTCAGAGTCGGAACCCTGAGCAACTCGTATGCCGCCCCGTAAGCGAAGAGCCGCGCCTACGCAGCCCGAACCCGAACAAGAAGCTTCACCTCAAGCGTCCGATGGCTCCGACCAAGAAGACGACTTTGGCCCTGATGGCGCGCCGCGCAAGTCCATGCCATTCTTCAACGTCACATATACCACGCACCGCGCCTCCCCGTTGCACGTAGGGTCGGAGCCTTTGTCCGCGGCACGGCTGCAGACGCTGTCGCGGCGACTCCGTGACACCCTTGTCGGAGACGTTGTCCGAGGCGTGCAAGTGGGACTAGCCGGCGGCGATGATGGCTCTCTCGGTCGGGCTGGCATTCTAGAGAGCGTCGAGTGGCGATGGGTGAAGTGGGGTGACTTGATCGGCTCGCCGGACGACGACGATGATGATGATGACGAGCACGGACACGCCCGGGAAGGAAGTCTGGACCTAGGCGCGGGGGGCTCCGGTACCAGCGGCAGGGCGTCAAGGAAAAGTCGCAAGGCGCTCTGCCTCGAACTGAAATACGAAAATGCATACTTCACAGCCAGCCTGCTGCCGTCAATATACACAGACCAATCGCCCAGAGCCCTTGCATGGGATACAACGGGCACGGCGGCGCATGATGCTACAACTACCAGCAAGGCGTTTGTTCACCTGCCATTACTTCTGTTGCGGATGCCCGCCCCGCTGCGGTCTGTCGTGAGCGACTTCCTGGCTGGCACTTTCGATTGTCGCATCAGCTCGCTACATTTGGGCACACGGTCACTTGTTCACATGTGGGAAAGCTGGCTCACAACCAGTAGGATAGGCAAAGGTGGCGCGAAAGTGACCAAGGATGTCGTCCTGACGCTAGGTTTTCACCTCGAGCAGCCAGATGATATCACGGCGAGAACGACGGACCCCTCTGCCACGGACAGCATCGATGCCATGCACATCGACGCCAAGGACACGACGAGCCAGCAGCCTCCACCGCAAGGCCTGAAGAGCATAGACATCATTCTACCCGCGCCCCATGTGGCTCGGTTCTTGCGCGCTGGGCGCAGGATACAACGCAGTAATGTGCAGGCTCACGGACTGGCCGCCACCGGCAAGCGCAAACGGGGCGCAAAGCCAGCGCCCTCAGTGTTCTCCCATAATACGGGCGGCACGGATCCCACCACAACGAGTGCAGAACACCAAGATCGCCTCGCCCGACTACGACGGAAACTTGCCGGCGGCAAGAGCGAAGAAGGCTGGAGTTGGCGGTCCGCACAACAAACGACCCGGAAAGATGACGATGACGACGAAGACAATGATACCCCTACAGACCAGCCAAAATCTCAGCAGCAGCAACAGCAGCCATTCACGGAAGCAGTAGCCGCATACCTGTCCACCCACCTCGCGCTCGACATGTTCCATCCCGCGGTGAGGATAATCAAGATCGCCTGCGGCGGGTTCGTGGCCGCCGAGTCGGGCCGGCTCAAGGTGTTCGAGCCCCTGTCCTCGTCGCCGTCCAGTAGTCTCGGCGGGCGAGCTGCAGAGAGACTGGTTGCTGACCTTGCGCGGAAAGCGGCTTCTGGAGGCGGTGGTAGTGTTGTCGGCGCTGATGGCACCACCACAGAAGGAGGTAAAGACGGACAAGGACAACAGCAGGGACCGTGGAGCCAGGCCGCCCTGCGGATCGCCGAGCTGGCCGCAGCGGCGACAAGTACCGGAAACGTAACCTAGCTTCTTCATCTCCATATACTGACGCAAAGGCTGCTCCTAAAATCCATGCCAGTAGTGCGCCACTATCCAATCTCTCACAGCAGTGCTTATCCACGAAACTGCTGTCTTGCCAAGCGTGTTCGGGAGTCAAACTTTGTCGGGGTCGGCCCCTCCTCGGGGTCAAATCTGGACAGCGCCATGACAGGAGAGAGCCATGTTACAAATATCGCATTGATGTCGTGCAGGCAACTCGTAGAACGTGAACGTGCAAGTAACCCGTGGAGCAGTCAAGGGACAGCCCTGCCATCAAGAGGGGACTCTAGACCTGCCAGGTTATGTCGAATCTCGCGGCAATGTCCATATCAGCATGTGCGTGAGAGTTTGCCCTTGGAGGCGCAATGGTGGCGTACAAGCATGTCACAGAACAGTACAGTAGCAACAATTCCCGCCCAGTACAGACGGCATATCAAGGCACGGCTGGTAGCAACATCAACACGTAAGATCGAAGTGGTATATCAGCTGAATAAGAGCCCTCCTGGGATTAAGGAGCACATATGTGAATTGACCAAGCAAAAATACCCGTGTGCATGAGTCTCCATGCTGCCAGTCGGTAGTTAAATGATCCCAAAACGCCATGCGTCAACGATGACGACAGCAAGGTCAAAAGATACTCCGAAAACACCATTTTGACCGCTTCCTCCCGGACAATAAAAACTCAATCCAAACCAGCCAAACGCAAAAGTTCCATAGTCCATGCGAGTGGACGCCATCCGTCTCATACAGGGACACGCATTGCTGCATCGCGCCAACATGTACACTATCCAACAACGCCGTCGATGCCACCCAGGAACCGCCGCACGCGACCAATCTCCAAATCGCCCTTTTCGCTCTCGACTGCCCGTAACAGGCTGTCCACCACGGCGTCCACGTCGGCCTCCTGGATGCTTGTGCACAGCGCCACGAGCTGCTTGTACTTCATCTCGACATCCTTGCTCCTCGCGCGCAGCTGCGTCACGCTCTTCTTGGTGGCCTCATTGCGGTGCTTGAGCGCCTGGACGCGAGCACGGAGGACTCCTGCAGCAGGCAAGGAGCCGCTCACGGTGGTCGCATCAGCCCCCTTCGCAATCTCGTCGAGAGCAGAAGTGACCTTGACTTCCCACTCATTACCGGTGTTGAGGCCTGGTAGATTCTGTTCTAACCGTGATAATCGCTTCTGCTCTTCCTCGAGGCCCCGGCTCAAGTTCATCGTCTTCTGGCGTCCCAGAGACTGTGCCTTCGATCGCGCTTGTAATGTTTCCAACGTCCGTCTGGACTCGCCCATTTCTGTCGAGGTCGTCCGCAGCGAGGCATGTAGCGCGTCCAGGTCTTTTTGCTTCTTCTTAAGCTCAGCCTGAAAGCCTGACGTCGTCTCGTTTAGGAGATGTGTAATAGATGAGATGATCTCGTCTCCGCTTTCGCGGCTCTTGTGCGTGCTGCCAGCAGGCGCCGTCTTTTCGGCTGCTGTCGGCGTGATATCACCGTTCAGCTCGGTGGTGCCGGCATCAGTACCGACACCAAAGTCGACTGGTCGCAGGCCTGCCTTGTTTGCAATTGTTGGATCAGCCTCAATCTCGATGAGCTGCGCAACGATGCTTCGATTGCCTATCCTCGCAGCAATGTTGAGCGCGGTGTCTCCCGACTTGTCCTGCGCGTTGACAATCTCGCTCATGAAGCGACCGATTCCCATCTTGGGACTGCTGCCCTCCTGACTGCTGGCCACGCCTCCCTGGCGCACTACCCACTCTAGCAGGCTCTCCAGATAGTATCTGCTTGAGTGACTGCGGCCCTTGACAGCACTCGTGACAGCGATATGATGAAGCACAGTCCGGCCCCTGTTGTCGCGGATGTCGATCGTGCTGCCAAGAACATCGAGGAGCTCGGGGAAAGAGACCTGGTCTGAATTGTTCGTGACAGCGGATGCCCGCATGAGCGCGGTCTCGCCCGATGAGTTGACTCGGTATGGATTAGCACCGGACGCAATGAGGGCCTTCAGAAGAGGTATGCGGGCCAGGGTAGCAGCCCAGTGCAGTGCTGTGTGACTGGAGGCGTCGATCGGCGAGTCCAGGTCTAGGGGGCTCATGGCTTGCAGGATCTCGTGGTACGGCTGATTCCCGTTGTTATCAAGGAAAAGGCTCATCAGTTGGTTGCGTTTGCGCTCTGCCTCCGGCGAGAGGTCGAAGGGTAGCGGCACGAGAGGCATTGAGTCGTTCTGGTTGTCCATTGCGACCTGCGAGTACATGAAGGACGCGTTTGGCTCTGTCGGAGACCCGGGAAACTCGTTTGCGTACATCTCCATCGACTGTGAGTTGTAACCGCCGAAGCTATCAGCGGGAGTGAAGACACGCTGCCGTTTCCTCGCAGGCTCGTCGCCAAAGATCTGTGTGTTCTGTGTTGAATAGGCGGAGTCGTTGTGACCGAAATCCGACGTAAAACTCTGCTGGGAGTTGCCGGGAAAGTCGTCCATGTTCTGCATGGAAGACTGTCGGCTGAGCCCAGGCGGGCGGGAGGGCCCGTTGCGACCACGGGGGCCCGGCGAATCGAAACGCGCCTTGCTGATAGCAGCGACGGCATTTGACGCTGTGCTGGAGATGTTCTTGAAGAACGTGCCCGACGGCCCGTGCGTGCGGCCTTCCGCATTGTTGGCGCTGTACATACGCTTCCTCTGGGCGGCCATGGCCTGCTCCTTGGTCGGGGTATTGAAGTCGCCTTGGCCGGCAATGCCGCCGTCCTGGCCCATGTCGTAGGTAAGGAGCGGTCGAAGGAGCTCCTCCACACCGTACTGGCGGCATACCTCCACGCCACGCTCGAACTTGATCCAGGTGCCCTGGTATTTGCCATATCCACCCTGGACCTTCTCATGCTCGCCTGTCTGGATTTCCTTCTCGAGGATCTTGGTGCGCTTTCCTTTGTCGATATTGGCGACCTTGAGGATCTGTGTCGCATTCAAGCAGCTGTCATGGCGACGTCGCATGACGGCGACGCCATTGACTTCCATCTCGTATACATCGACGCCAGAGTAGACGGCCTAAGGAGTGTAAAAGCTGTTAGTGAGTGGCCGAGCAGTACAAGGAAGACAGCAGGGAGACGGAAGACTGACCGAATAGATCTGGGGCGCTTCCATGCTCTGATTCATGGAGTGGCCGTTTCGCATAGCCCCGGACTCTGAGAAACGGTGCAGCTGCTGCGAAGAAGGCTGGCTCATGGAAAAGGACTGCTGGGAGGAAGGCTGTGATTGCGACATTTTGAGGCCTTTGCCGTCGAAGCTGCTGCTGCTCGACGCTGTGGGGAGCTGAGGAGGGCCCAGTGCTGAGGGTGCCGCGGAGAAGGAAGCGCGGTGCTGGTGAGGCGGAAGAGCCGAAGGAGCGGCGGCAGCGAGGGTGCTGCCAGACATTGTGAGGTGGGAAGGGGTGGTGATGGTGACGGCGGCCATCGAGGCCCTGCGGAGCGCCAGTCGTCGTCAGTGTTGGCAGGCCCCTTCTAAGTAATATCTTTGTAACCTCTGCGACGGCGATGATGCTTGCTGAGGTAGGGCCGTGGTGTGTTGCTGGGCTGTAACTGCTGTGTGGGTTGTGCAGGACGAAGCAAGCGAGCAAAGGCAGGCCGTGCGGCGCGAACGACGGTAGAGGGAGCGAGGGTTGCAGAGCACAGTACGAGCCCGCAGGAAGCAGTGCGAAGAGTGAGTGCAGCAGCCAATTGTCGATGCAGGGATGTTCTCGAACGCAGGACGATGAGGAGCAGGGCTGGCCGAGAGAGGAAATAATTAAAGACGGGCAGCCTTGTCGCGAGGGCGTCGTGGGAGGATCGCGGTGGCAGCGTGGCCTGACGTGTCAGTTTCGTGAGGCGCCCAAGCGTGTCTGTCCCCGTCGGTCGCGAGCAAAGGGAAGCGGCGGCCAGGCCACCCGTGCGTGCAATTTCACCCAGGGCGCACCTGCCGCGCGTGTGGCCCCACCTTGTCCGCTTCCCCTCTTTCCAGTCCAGTCCCTGCCTGCCTGCCTGCCTGCCTGGGGCATCCTCCTTTGGCCAACTGCTGCTTTTTCCATGCACGGCTGTTCATGTCGTGCGCAGTGCATTGCATGACTCCCGGTGGGACAAAAGGCAGCCACCCATTCGCTCTCTGCTGGCTGATCCTGCAACCACTGCCGGCCCTTGACAAGACCGCGTTTCTGCAAGCGCTCGCTACACCACGCGTGTCGTCCTCTGGTTAGAGACTGCGCGTGTCGACGTTGGCATCACCACGCTGGGTTTGTCCTGTTCTGTCCAATTCACAAGCCACGCACAAAGAGACACACAGTGCTCACGCTGGGCGTGGGTTGCGTATTGGCGGAGCTGCTTGCCAAAGGCTCATGAGCAAGCATCCTTGGCCAAGACCAACTATGTAAGCCATGATTGTGGCCGACTGCCAAGCACGGCACATCTCTCAGGCAACACCACTCGAGCTCAGCAATCTGCCGCATGTCATACACTATTGTTACACTCCAAGCTGGTGCCTCTGACCTACGGAAACACTCAACCCCGGGCTCCGTGCCTGGCCCACAAATCCGGCTCCCGGGGGCCGGCGCGGATGATATGATAAGCGATAAGCAAGTCGACAAACCCCAGTGTGGACCCTGACCTGACCAACGCCAGGTGTAGAAAGCCCTCCAGCAACTGCGACACGATAGCTACCATCAGCAATCGTAAGCGTGCCCCCGACCACTTTCGATTCTGGAGCACGCATGTCCCAGTGAGATCGCACTGGTGAGGCTCTGCTGGCTGCACGAGCCCCACAGCCGACAAGCCTGCTACGACGACCCAGGGGAGCCATGCCGCCGCACATGATCCCCCACCCGGCCACGCCCCTGCACCTCTACCGTCACCTCCTCCGCGAAGCTTCCTACCTGCCCCTCCTCTGCCGACCATGGATCACTTCGCGCATAACGACACGATACCGCGAGTGCGAGCACTCAAGCGGCCAGCGGGCGGCGAATCACATCAAGTCCGCGCACGGCAAGCTGCGGTACCTGCGCTCCGCCAACGCGGGCAACGTGGAGCGGCTGCTACACCTGTGCTACTTGGCGACCGGCCGCCTAGGCAAGCGGCGGCGGGTTCTTGCGAAAGAGACGCTGATGCGCGAGCCTCTGATGAGCAGCGCCGATCTTGAGGCCGAGTCGTTCCTCCGCTTACCTACGCGCTTCCGGCTAGCCCAGACACACGACAATGCCACGCCGGCGCAGAGCAGCAGCGACTCTAGTCCTCCTGATGGAAGCCCGGAGAGCGGCATGGGCGGTTTTGCTGCTCTAGAGGCGGCGGCTGCTGCTGCTTCTGCTCAACAGACGACAACTAGAAGCGACGACATGGACGAAAGCGAGAACGAGCGGCCAAAGCACAGGAAACGAAAGGAAAAGGACTGGCTGGACAACTGGGACACGTCGAAGCTCAGAGCAGTCTCCAAGTCGCAGCTCGAGAAGAAGCCGCGCGGCAAGGGATTTGAGATGCGGCGGGCCTGGGACCCGGAGCTGTGGAAGGTGCGGGAGACCTGCCGCGGATTCACGATTCGGGATAGTCAGGTGCGCGCCCGCGAGAGGAGAGGGTACAGGCTCAATTTCAAGACGCTGCTCCCGCCGCTGCCCAACCACGAGTGGGAGCGGCTCGAGGCACTGGCCACCGGCAAGGGCGCGCCGGAGGAGTACGTGCTGCCACCGCGGAGGCCTGTCGCGCGGAGCATAATCGCACACTCGTCAGAGACGGCCCCGGTGGACGAGGCTGGCCAGGATGATCATGCCAGCAGCTCTGGCGGGAAGGGCGAATCTATCAGTACCCCAGGACCAGGTCTATCGTGGATGGACATCATCTCCAAGCCGATGCGGAAGCTCCAGCACCCGGGCTCGCGCAAGATGCAGTCCCTGTCCGGCCGGAGCGACCTCAACCAAGACCCGCGCGGGCCGGGCCGACCCATCGACACACGGGTCGTCACGCCGCGCCTGCTGCAGCGCATGGTGTACAAGCCCGTGTGGGAGGCGAGCGCGCGGATGAACAGCGAGAGGGACAAGAAGACGGGACAGCCCAGGCACCGGCTGCAGTGGGGCCGGGTGCCCGTCACGCTGAGCCAGCCGTCGAGCAAGATGCTGCCGTTCTTTGAAGGGGTCAACGACTTTGGCGGTTTCAAGGCGAGTTCTCCGGGGCTGAAGGGTCGGCTTCCAGGAGAGGGGCAGCAATGGAGAGCGAGGGAGGGCAAGTATCGGCACCTGGGACCGTCAGCACCTTAGACACTGGACGGGGTTAGCTGTGACGATGCGCTGTGCGGATTGTTCTGACCAAGTAGAGAAGTCGGATTGTGCTTTTGGTGACTCTAGCGACCGATGCAGGTTGTATCCGTTGTATATCATGTACATTAGACCAGATGAAAGGTTTCCGGCGTTATCAGGTATTATCCTTCTAAAATCGAGGCGTACTGTAGCAACACACTTTCCGCAGGCAGAGGAATCTCAAAGAGCATCCCAACCAATTGTCCAGCACGACTCTGACTCGACAGATGATTCCCGCTTGCCCAAGCAGGACGTCACTGCCTCCCCGGATCCAGCCGTCCTTGGTTGCTCGAGGATGTTCCTTTTCATTCACAACCTCTCCAGCCTTAAGACACGCAGGGAGCCAACGTCGTGTATTCCATCCATTGGTGATCGGCCGGACGCAAGTCCCACTGTTTTAGAGTGGAATATTCTAGAGCACCTGTCCTTCTTCGTTCTCCTATCTTCTCCATCATCGGTGAGGCTGACGCACCAGGATTCGCAATGGCATCCGATGAGCACCGTGCATGGGCGCTCCTTGTGGTTTTTACGCCCTTGACATGACATTTCGCCGAGGCTGCTGCACGCAACAGACACAAAATGGACAGACATGGGTCCACAAGCTCCAGCGGGGCCACACATGTTGGTGGTTGGCGTAAGCGGCGTGTTCGGGGTAATCGGCGTGGAGCACTCCGATTGCAACCCCCAAAATAACGTACCTGTGGATGCACACACACACCGATTCTGGATCGGATCGTGGTACCTGACTCTGCACGGGGTGACCCTTTGGGGGTCTTCTAGGCTAAAAAGTGCACTCCAATTGGCTTTGGCGGGGTACACGCCGAGTGGCCCCCCCCCCGGTTCCGGCGGTCGGCAGGAGAGGGGGGAATAGACGGCGTTGCTCCTGCCCTTTTATTTTATTTTAATTATGACATAACGCGGGGCGGCACTCGTGATTTAAAAAGGTAACACGGTCCTCCGCCTTGTAAACAGCTTCTCGAACAATTGTACTGGCCCAGACACTCGGAAAAGGATACTTTCTCCTCTGCCACACAGTCACACAATATTGGACGATTCGCGGACACCGCATTGGCTCGGAGAGACCCAGCAACGCAGCATTAGCATCGCCTCACCAAGTCAATTAACAAAAGTCACAATCATGCCCAACGCTCCTTGCACAGTCCGGCATGCTTGCCGAGAGGGTAAGTCACCGCATTCAGGGTCCAATTGATCCCTTGGGGTCAATTGGAAAAACATAGTCGCACGCATTCAAGCAGCCGACTCTTGGACGCTCACTCTCTCTCACACACACAGACGTCCCCGAGATCCTCGCCATGATCCGCGAGCTGGCCGACTACGAGAAGGAGCTCGCCAGCGTCGAGGCTACGGAACAGAAGCTCCTCGACACCATCGCCTTCGCGGACCCGGCCGTCCCGTCCAGCCCGACAACCCCGCAGACCGAGCCCATCACGCCGACCCGGCCAGCGCGGTGCCTGATCCTGACGACCGACAGTGTCTCTGACAGCAGCAACAACAACGACAACAACCAGGCAGGAACGGAGGTCGTGGGCATGGCGCTCTACTTCTACAGCTACTCGACGTGGCGCGCCTGTGCGGGTATCTACCTCGAGGACCTGTACGTGCGCCCCGCGCACCGGGGCAAAGGGTTCGGCAAGAGGCTGCTGGTCGAGCTGGCCCGGGAGACGGTGGCCATGGGCGGGGGCCGGCTCGAGTGGCGGGTGCTCAACTGGAACGAGCCGAGCATCCAGTTCTACCGGGCCATCGGGGCCGAGCCGCAGACCGAGTGGATCGGGCAGCGCGTGGACCGAGAGGCGCTGACCAAGCTGGCGGGAATGCTGGATTAGATTATTTGGTGTGTGTGTGTAATGTGGAAGGGTGGTGGGGAGGAGTGTAGTGCAATCAAATGCTTTTGTGAGAGCTTCGGAGAAGGGGGAGAAGGGGGAACCCAGGCGTTTGTGGGAATACTGCGACAACGATTTTCGCATTCTCTGCGCGGGGGGATAGGAATTCCGGCATCCCATAGAGATAGACCAAGACCTGGTTGCGATGCAAGTGGTCTCCGTGTTGAACCTGTATTTCTGAGCATGCCTGTCGCAGCAGGACACTCTGCAATCCTGTTCGCAGCACGATGGCGTGCATGCTTAAGTATTTCTAAGAAATCGCGGCATATGTGACGTCTTTGGGGCAGCCAACGCGAAATCAAAGGTAGCAATGGCCTTGATGCCACGAAATCGGACCTCCGCTACTGATCTGGATAGAAAGCTCTGGCATCCGATTGTGGATGCAGCAGATGGCCTGGCTGCTGCTACTGCGTCCCCATCGGCTCACATCAAGGCTACGGCCAGACAGGTAGCCCTAACACAGAGGCAGCATTTCCTGGTTTGCACAAACAATGGGGCACTTGTGGGGAGTGGCCACGAGGCGTGGAGTACATTGAAAGGGCGATTATCCCAAGAATGGACGTTGATCAAGAAATCAGCAGGCAGTGCAGCAAATGCAAGCCCGCCTCTCGGGCGTTTTTCTTTGGCCCGAGACGCCCGTGGCGGAGCGGAGGCCGTGGCCCGCCGGCGGAGGACGGACGGCCCACAGCACAGGACCCCTAGTCAAGGTGCCTGCCAGGCTGCCGATGCTGATGCCGATCCTTTGCAAGGTGGGCTGCCATTTCATGGTCCGATCGGAGCAGCTTCACCGGGCCTTATCTAGAATGCAGGGCAACCCCCAAAATGCATGCAGACGCTGGCATTCTGAGAATCACTCGTTGCCCGGCTCAATACAAACCAAAAACAACCAAGAAGAAAAAAAGAAGACGAGGGATCTCAATGCTGTGTTCTTGAACTGACAACACTCGCCACACCACAAACCTCCACCATGGCTTCTCCGCAACCACCTCCCCAGAACCGCTCGATCCTCATCATCGGCGGCGGCACCTTTGGCCTCTCCACCGCCCTGTCCCTCGCCCGAGCCACCGCATCCTCTGCTGACAGCCAATCCACAACAACAACGACAATCACCGTCCTCGAGAAGGACACCCAGATCCCCTCGCGCTTCTCCGCCGGCCACGACCTCAACAAGATCATCCGCGCAGAGTACGCAGACCCTTTCTACACGGACCTCAGCGTGCATGCCATCCGCAAGTGGCAGACCGACCCGCTCTACCAGCCCTACTACTTTGAGCGCGGCTACCTCAACGTCATCTCGGCGGCGGCCCCGGCGGCCACGAGGCAAGGCCTGGACAAGTACCGCGCCTCGCTCGAGACGCACCCGGCCTTCCGGGGCAAGGTCCGGGCCGTCCGGGGCGCCGCCGAGGTGAAGCGGCTCGTGGCCCAGTTCGACGGGCCGTGTGAGGGATGGGAAGGGTACTACAACGAGATGGCCGGGTACGCGCACTCGCGGGACGCCATGGACGCCGTGTACCGCGAGTGCAAGAGGGAGTTTGCCGACCGGGTCAAGTTCTGCGTCGGGCCCGAGCACGGCGAGGTCGAGCGGCTGCTCTTCGAGGGCGAGGGCGAGGGCGGGGCCGGCCGCTGTGTCGGCGCGGTCACGCGGGATGGGCAGGTGCACCGGGCGGACACGACGATAGTGACGGCGGGCGCGGGCGTCGTGTCGCTGATGCCCCAGCAGCTCGCGGGCAGCAGCAGCAGTAGTCCGGGAAGGGGACTGGGCCTGGGCATCACGGCCAGGTGCTGGGGCGTCGTGCACATCCAGCTCACGCCCGACGAGGCCGCGGCGCTGAGGGGCATCCCCGTGACCATGGTGCGCGACCTGGCCTTCTTTTTCGAGCCGGACCGCGACACGAACAAGCTCAAGTTCTGCCACATGGGCGGGGGCTATCACCATCTTGTTCACCAGGAGTCCTCATCATCGTCATCATCATCATCATCAGCGCAGAGCAGTGTGGCAGATGCAGGGCCGCCACGAGACCTCGCAAGCTCGCAGTTCGTGCCCGAGATCGACGTCCAGCATATCCGCCGCCTGCTGCGCGAGGCGCTGCCCGCCCTCGCGGACCGGCCGCTCATCGACGCGCACCTGTGCTGGATCGCAGACTCGGGCAACTCGGACTTTGTCATTGACTTTGTGCCCGGGGCGGTGGGCAAGTCGCTGGCCGTGGCGACGGGGGACTCTGGCCACGGCTTCAAGATGCTGCCCATCATCGGCGACATTGTCAAAGGCCTGCTGGAGAGCGGCGAGCAGAGCGTGGCCCGGTGGCGCTGGGCGGTCCACGAGCGGAACAATAATGACGGCAGCGTGGACGGTGTGCGGAACTGGCGCAACGGGGCCGGCAAGGACCTGGCCGACCTCGTCCGGGCCAAGCTTTGAGGGCGGAAGATTGGCATCGGCTGGGCGTCGCCTTGGTTCAGTTCGCGCAGTGTGCCGTTGATTGCCGGCCCTAACGTTTGCGGGGGTTAGCGTCCGGTGCCGGCGAGGGATCGGCGGCTTTCCCACCCCGGCCACACTTTATCTCCCGGGGCTCCGTCGGAGCAGCGGGAATGCTGATTGGTGCCCAGACGCCAGAATGGGGGGTGCGCAGATCCCTGTCTGGAGTGACAGCGTAGTAGCCAGAACCAGGGTAGCTTTATCTCTATCTGCACACGTTACATTCCCTTACTCACCCAATGGAGACCCCGAAGGATCTGCACGACCGCCGGCAGGCGGCCGAGTCGCGTAGGACATGATCTGCCTTATCACACCCACACATTATGTAAATGGTGACCTTCCGAGGTGGGGATGACTGGGATCAGGCGATAAATATCCGCAGGCGTTATTGGGAAGAAGACTGACCGACGACAGTTACTGTGACGCCTGGTTCCTGTCTTTCTTTCCCCCTCCTTCTGTGACAGACCGAGTTGTCATCAGTTCCCACCCGATCAGGAAAGGGCTCAGAGACACATCAGTTCAGTGAGGCAACATGCAGTTTGGCAAGCTTGCCTTTGCCCAGCGCCATGAGCGCACCGCCGAGGAGAAGTCCCTCGTGCGCAGGCTCGACATCTTCCTCATGCTCTTTGGCTGTGTATCCCAGGTCATCAAGTGTGAGTTCTGCGCCCTGGGCGATCCAGGTTATACATGTGTGTGTCGCTGCGACTAACGATGTGATCCCAGATCTTGTAAGCCACGAACTGCCACCACGGGCATGCCTCGGTTTCGGGCGTCGATGCAGCCTTACTCTGTAGACTATAGCCCCAACTATGCAGACGCTAACCATTGCCTCCCCATCTCAGGATCAAACAAACATCAACAATGCCTATGTCTCTGGCATGAAGGAGGATCTCAACCTCTATGGCAACGAGCTCAACTTGTAAGCTGGCCGATCAAGACCACCCCGAATATCGACCTGGACATTTTCCAGCCACTAATCACGCTCCACCCATTCTATAGCTTCAGCACATACTTCAGCATCGCCTACTGCCTCATGCTTGTGCCCTCGCAGGTCATCCTCACCTACGTCCGCCCCAGCTACTGGCTCTCGGGCCTCGAGATCATCTGGGGCGTCATCACGGGCCTGATCGCCATCACCACCAACGCGAACCAGGTCTACGTGCTGCGCGTCTTCCTCGGCCTGTGCGAGTCGAGCGCCTGGCCCGGCATGATGACGCTGCTCATGTACTGGTACACCCCGACCGAGCTCGCCAAGCGCATGGGCTTCTACCACAGCTGCCAGGCCCTAGGGTCCATGATGTCCGGCGCGCTCCAGGTCGCCGTCATCAACACCCTCCACGGGAGCAGCGGCATCGCCGGGTGGCGCTGGCTCTTCATCATCAACGGCATCATGACCGTCGTGGTCGGCGTTCTTGGGTTCGTCATGCTGCCCGACACCCCGAACAACGTCAACCCGCGCGCGTTCTGGTTCAAGGAGGGCCACGCGAAGCTCGCCATGGAGCGGCTGGAGCGTAACGGGCGAGCCGAGCCCAAGAAGATGAGCTGGGCCGGCACAAAGTAGGTCTTTTCCTCCAATGCGGTTTTTTTTTTCTGTTTTTCTTTCGAGTCTTCTTCAGGGTTCCAGGAGAGCTAAACGGATTTCTTTTGTGAACCAAAAAAGGCGTGCCTTCACTTCCTGGCAGCTCTACCTCATCTCGGTCCTGTACGTCGCCACCGTCATCGCGGCCTGGGGATACGCGTACTTCGGCCTGTTCCTCAAGTCGCTCCGCAACCCCGACGGGACGCCTACGTGGACCGTGTCGCAGGTCAACTCGATCCCAATTTCCGGCAGTGCCATCAACGTAGTTTTTGGTGCGTATATATACAATTCTCCCTATTCCTTCCCGCGTCTTCCGTTCCCTCATCCCCATCTCCCTTCCGTGTACCTCGACAAAGGACCTTAGAAGAGCCAGTTCACTAACACTTATTGGCTGCTGCTGCGGGTGATAGTCTGGATCTGGGCCATCCTGTCCGACCTCCTGCGGACCCGCTGGACGCTCATCGTCGCCCAGGGCCTGCTCGGCATCATGGTGTGCATCATGATGACCGTCTGGACGCAAAAGCCCGGCAGCACGCCCCTGGGCGTCGCCTACGCGGGCTACTTCATCGCGTACATCCCGCTCGGCACCGCGCCGCTCATCTTTGCGTGGCTGGCGGACATGTGAGTCCTTTTTAAGTGCTTGTTTTCCCCCCTCGTTCCTGGCTTCGCTTCTCCAAGGGATGGCGGTCTTGGGAGAGTGTGTAGTCTGATGGGGGAGTTTACCACGACGAGTTCAAGGATTGTCGTGAACACGCTGTGGGGAGAGCACAATGCTGACAACATCTCTCTTTCTTTGACCATAGCCTCCCCAAGGACCCCGAGGCCCGGACTCTGATCACCGGTATGGCCGTCGCCTTGTACTACGGCGTGTCCGCGTGGTCCCAGATCCTGGTGTGGCCGGCCGTCGAGGCGCCGTATTGTAAGTGGACGCCCTACCCTGCAAGACATACCTACAATGAGACGAATGCTTTTTTCTCGAGATGTGGCCAGAATTTATCACGGGACGTTTTGGTTGAAAAGAAGAAAACGCTGCTAACAAATGACGTGTTGTGCAGACCGGTATGGATGGCAGTCCTCCCTCGCGCTGTGGCTGCTGGTCATCCTGATCACATGCGGCCTGCGCTGGCTGGACATCAAGTACCTCAAGTATGTCCTTCCTCCTTAGCCTTTCCCTTTCCCCTTCAGACCATATCTCTCTCCCGTCCCCAATGCCTTTGCTGACCCAGAGGAACGACACAAAAAGACCGCAGCGCATCGCAGAGCACGAGCAGTACCTCGAGGGCAAGATCCAGGACCAGAAGCTCAAGGACGAGGAGGCGGCTGCGGCTGGTGCCGGTACCAGTGCTGGAGGTACCCTGCCCGTGCAGGTCGTCGACGGCAAAGGCCCCGCGGGGCAGGTCAAGGCTACTGCTGCTGTGGTGCCCGAGGCTTGAGCTCGACGGATGCTGTTTTATCCCGGCTCGTCCTGAAGCGCAGCAGCGGGAAGGGGCTTGGAAGGCAAGAACGTTTTGGGGGACAAGGCTCGGCAAAGAAAATGAGCAGCTTACGTGCCGCCAGAGCTCAAGAGCGTTCTGCTGCACATGAACGACGATTGGCATGATCTATGGGAATCGATGAGGTCGAGAGGGGACATATGATGAGGTTTTTGATAGCGTCGAACGAATGAGCGAGCGAGCGAGCAATGTTTGAGGCAGCCCCTTGCTTATAAAGTTGAGTTTAAGTGTCGGATTGCGGGACGTGCTGTGCATGACTGCAAGTTTTCGCGGTATATGATGGCCCCAAGCTTGGAGCGGCAGAAGAGTCGCATAAGGAGGGATTCTGGAAGCCGTCATGACATTTACACCAGACCGTTACGGAGAGAGAGAGAGAGAGAGCGACTGCCAAAGTTGTAGGTCTAACAAATCAGTGATGAAGGCTTGTGTGCTCTTCTAGACTTAGCACTTCAACTAGCAGTCGAGATTGTGCTTGAAGGACGGGCCCGCCGTGTCTGTGATTGGTTCCTTAACTCCTAGCGCCATTCAGAAGGGGTAGTTTTCGCGGAATTGTAACGCCGCATCGTACACAGATGGCCCTCTACCGGGTTTTCTTTTCTTCCACGAGCGTTTGCTTCAGTGTCGTCTTTATTGTCGTCTCCATTGTCGTCTTCATCGTCGTCTTCGAGCCTAGCTTAGCAGGTTGAGCCTCGATGTCCGGTGCTGAGTGCCATAACGTCAGTACTGACAGAAATGATTGCCTGCCAGCTAAAGAAACGTCAAGATACGGGCCCCGATGATGGACATACTTCTGCTGCTGTGCATAAAGTGCTGCTGAACGAGGGCAACTGCTTGCAGACCGGTCTGTAACACGCCGAACACTATGGTGGGGATATTTTCCGGGTTCATGGCGATGAACGCGACGCGACGTCTCGTGGCGTTTGCGGAGATGAGTTACAAATCCGGTTGGGCGCGGTTGTGTTTAGACTGCTTTTTAATACTGATGACCCAGACGCGTGAAAGACAGCTGCGGAAGCGATGAGACAGAGGTTTATAGCGGTTCCCTGGGAAATTAGCCTTTTCTTTTGTTAACACAGAAGGGTGATAACAAGAAATAACGGTTTGTTTCCACGTATTGGTGTAGAGCTGTCGACATTGATCTCCGTGTTGATGGAACTCGTTCCAAAGCCTGCTCCGAGACGCCCGTGGCTTTTATAATGACATTTTGGCCAGGCCAGCGCGTCGGCGCAAACGCGACTGGTAATTTCATTGTTTTTTTCCGGTCGGGCCTGCCTGCAGGACCACTCGCACTCAGCACGGCGGCATGCTGGCCTAAAGGTTGCAGGGTGGCTGGTGTTGCTGGTGTTGCTGGGGGGAGCTCAGTGTGTGTGTGCTGCGCCCTGATGACTCTTGACAAGATACTTCCTTGCAGCGCCAGCCCGGGCCCTGCTTTCCTTATAAAGAAAACTTTTGCTGCGAGCCCAAGGGACGTCTGGCCCAATTCTCCCATGGAAGCACCTCTGTGTCTGGCCGGCTTGCGTCCCGATTCGTCGACTTGTGCATGGCAGCCTCGCTGGCAAATGCACGCGGTGTCGGGGACGGTTCGAACGCGATCCTCTGACCCAACCAACCAGGACGGCCGACCATACCTGACACGCACAGCCTCATGCCCAACGCCATGTCGGCGTCCCAGAGCATTTGCGGCGATTTACGGCGGCCGGTCGAGGACCAAAACAAGTGCCCGTGGCTTTCCCGACGATGGGCGCTGCGCGGCTGTCGCGTCGCCAACCTGAAACCTCCCCTCCACGCGCAAGTTGCCTTGCCATGCAGCTTGGATACACAGAGACCTCAGAACTCGTCAGCCTATTCGACGTCCCGGATCCTGGATCTGTGGTCAGACTTGTGTGTGGCTGGTTGGGCAGAGACGGGGGGTATTGACCGAACAGGCCGCAGGTAAACGAAAGCCCCAGCACCACCGAGCAACCAGTGCCAGTCGTTGACCTTGTAACGCCGACCCTTGCTGGGTAGATTCTGGGCTCAGCTCGGTGATTCAATGGTTCTCCCGGGTCTTCCAAAACCCTACATCATGCAGCCCTCTCATGCTCGTAGCCTGTCAACCTTCGCCTTTTCTTGGTGTCTCTAGGATACTCAAGCGCCACCAGCGTAAGGCCTTTCCAATGAAATGAAGGAGCACAGCCGTGAACGCAAACAGGCCCTGCGAGGCTCGACAGAGACCAAAGCAGGACTTGGGCCGTGTTTCATTCGCCACGCAGGCAGATACCCCTGAAGCTTGCTGACGGATCTTTCGACAACCGCGATCCTATCGTCCTTCGCCGGATCTGTAAGGGCTCCGTGAAGAGCAATAAGGCCCATTATCATGCTGTAGCTGCTACCCTGGGCCGCTGGTCCTTATTTGAATTTCGATATCCAGATGGTACAATTTCAAAGTGCAGTCTCAGGGTATCCGCCTAACCCAGCATCTGCACCTGTTTGGAGAAGTAGCGCAAGACCTCTCACGTTCAAGGTTCAAGGTTCAAGGTTCATGCAAAGTGTCTTCGTGTAGTGTCAGATCAGGTAGGTTGAAAGAAAACAGGATTTCACAGCTTACCGGTGCTTGGGTTGATCCGCTCTCACTTGTGCGGCCCAGTCTGCCCATTGACGCTCGCCTTCCTGATCGGCAATGGACACGGTTCCTCCTGCGCTCGTCCCCACGCAGCCCTTGCGCTGGACTACAACGTCGCAATATCATTACAGCCATGGCGGTCCTGATGTTCGCTAGGATACTTATTTAAGTTGATGCTAAGAATAGGAGAGTAGATTCAACAACAAAGATGGGGTATTGGCAGCGAACCGGACTCACAACAAGCTCATCAGGCCTACAATCACGATGTTCCGGCAATTCAAGGTTCTGGACGGTTGCTCAAATACTGTACACTCGCTGTGGGTCAGCGAGCATGCGTACAGGTGCTCGCTCTCTCGACACAAGCTCAGATGTTTCGTGGCTTCCTAATGCAGAATCCCATCGCGGAGGGCTGCTTTCACTCGCAACAACTTGAAGACTTTGAGGATATCGCATGTCAAAATCAACATGCTGGTTCGCGGAAGTAGACACAAGAAGTATGCCGGCGTCCAGCACTTGTTTCCAAGATTCCGAGGGGTTTCCCCGTCATTGCTGACGTGTTGAGGGGTGGACAGTCAAGCAAGCTCCTCATCAGGCTTGTCCCTCGTCATACTTATGGTATTGGAGTATGAAGAAGGAGCTCGATATCATTGCTTATACTTCCGGATTCATCCCACGGGAGTCGTTAAATCTATATATGCTACTTGGGAACACCTATACTACGCCTCACGCCGATGAACTCAACCTCGAGAACATCTTACTCAACTCCCTCAACTACTACCTGGGCATATCACGGCCATGCACGGCCTAGCATGGGTATAACGGGTATATCGTGGGGTTGTGTAACCCCCTCCGCATTCGTTTTGCCGAATGGGGAGGGGGCGACTTTGTTGTTTGCGAGCATGATCTTTGTTCGCAGGTAGGGTCGTTCCAAACTTCCACTCGCTGGGTTCTATGACATGACGCACAGCAGGCTGTGGTAGGGCATGGGCTTGGCTTGTCGTGTGATTACTTCATACGCTCTGTGCCTCGATATCAGTCCCTGTGAGACATATATCAGTCTTGCTCTTGTTGGTCCGTAAAAAAGAACATGGACAAGGGAAAGACGGGATGGAGACACGGAGTGATAACAAAATATTGATGGTAGTAGTAGCAGGGGAAAGAAAGAGGAGGAGAAGAAGAATGAAGAAGGGGAGGAAGGAGGACAGAGAGGAAGGAGGACGGAGAGGAAGGAGGACGAGGAGAGGAAGGAGAAGAAGGAAGAAGGAGGGAAGGGAGGGGAAAGAGGACGGGCAGGAGGGAAGGGGGAAAAGAGAACGGGCAGGAGGGAGGACGAGGACGAGGAGGAATAAGAGGAAAAGAGGGCGTATGGTGTGTGGGTGTGGGACCAACAGGACCTACTTCTAACATTGCGAGTGTAGTGGTGCTGGGCAATGCCCAAGACGGCGAGGCCAATCTGGACGACACCCACAACAATGGAGCAGACGAGCTCCGGGGCCATTGTGTCGCCTGTGTTGTGTTATGTTGCGGAGTGGATGGGGACGTGGGGGGCAATGTGCGCAATTGAGAGATCTGGAGACTGACAGGTGATTTGAATGGGCAGCAGATATGGAGGAGGCGGACAAAGAGAACCAAGTAATGTGATGTTCTTGGGCGAGGGCTTGCGAACGATGTGCCGTGCTCGACCCGAGTGACCTGAGAAGAAAAGTTGGGCGGGAGCCTGGCTTTTATAAGGTGCTGCCATGCTTGCACAGGCCCATCTCCGACCACAGGCCCGGGGTTGTTAGACTCTACAGGGACTTGAAAAAGACCATTGCAGTGGTGCTGGGTTGAAGTCTACCCAGGTCCAGTCCACCTTCATTGAAGTAATGCGAGATTTCCATGCGGAGCGATTGTGGGCTCGTGGGGATAGAGCTGCGGCAGCAACAGCGGCAGAGAGTGAGCAGGACGTGGGGATGGAATTATGGCAGCGGCAGGAGCATAGAGTGCACGGGACGTGGGAAAAGGATCGTGGCAGCAACAGTGGCAGAGAGCGCACGGGACGTGGGGATAGAATTGTGGCAGCAACATTGGCAGAGAGTGAGCCTGTGCAAGACACAAGAAGCCTGTGCAGGAGGAGACGTGGAACAGCGAATTGGTGCAGGGAGTGTTGGAACTTTGGAAACTGCCAGAATTGGAGCCAGTGTTGGGGAGATCTGCACACAGGCTCGACACTTGTAATCGCACGCGTGCCTGGCCGTGGCCGACACAGGCTCACTACCATCTGGCGCTTGCTGCAGGGGAGGCTGGGCCAGTGCAAAGGAGGGCCGGTGCAGGCGTGACAGGTCCAATACCGCAGAGACGGGAAAGGCGGATCATGGTGAGCCAATGCAAGACACAGGCTCAATATCTTGTCCTTGCCCATCATGTATGCCTGCACAATAGAGGAATTGAGCGAGAAAAGTCAGTGAGCCTGTGCCAGGGGGGTAATTCCAGATCGGCCGCACGCTGCATCAAAGCATGCGCATCCAGCCTTCGCAGAGCGGGAACCAAGCCCTGCCAACGGAGCCTGTGCAAGGCATGACTTGACAGGGAGCAGCAGCCATTCTATCCCACAACCACAGCTACACGAGGACTGTCAAGAGAGCCTGTGCTTCCCAGGCTTTGAGCCAGTGCACTTGTCCTTCTTCCTTCTCGCCCTGTGTTGGTGACGACGACGTAGACCTGGCTTTGCGCCTGTGTTGGCTGGACTGGGCCGGGCAATGGGCCAGTGCACAGCCCCAGACACGGTCGGCGGCTAGGTCTGTTTCAACCCAGGACAAGATGGGGTGAACCAACAGCATTGTGCCTGTTGCAGCATAACGTTGTGGCGAAGCGTCCTGCTTTCTGCCCTTTGATTCATACAAAAAGCCTCCAGCTGATGCGATCCAGGTACCCAGGAGCATTTTGGAAAGTACATCCAAGTTCTTCATCATTTTCTCCCCTGGACAACAAGACAGCACGCATCTCAACCAGTCCGCGCTTCCCACCCGAGTCACTAGGCCAATCTCAACCAGGTCGCCACAGGGATTGCAACATGTCTTTCCAATGCCACATCTGCGACAAGCAATACACTCGAAAGCACAATCTCAAAAGCCATCTACGCGCCCACGCAGGTGAACGGCCATTTGTCTGCACCGTTTGCAGTCGGCCGTTTACGAGAAAGAGTGACTGCACACAACATGAGAAGACTCACTCAGGAGAAACGCCCCATGTATGCCGAGGGCCTCTGCAGAGCGGCGGCACTTGGGGCTGCGGCCAGGGCTTCGCCCGTGCGGCCAATCTCTCCCGGCACCATCGAAGGGAGGTCGGCAAGATCTGCATACGTCCGCGTGAAGAAGAGCAGCAACAGCAACAGCAACAGCAACAGCAACAGCAACAGCAACAGCAACAGCAACAGCAACAGCAACAGCAACAGCAACAGCAACAGCAACAGCAACAGCAACAGCAACAGCAACAGCAACAGCAACAGCAACAGCAACAGCAACAGCAACAGCAACAGCAACAGCAACAGCCAGCTGCGCAAGTCCCTATCTCACAATCAACGGCCCCTCTTGGCGCCTCAACCCCATCCGATAACATGCGCCAGTCGGCGGGACGACTCCAAGTGCTCCCGCCTCCCGAGCCTCCTTCTCTGCAATCGGAGTCAGACCTGTCTCAATTGTCGTCGGAGACGAAGATGGTATATCTGGAACAGATATTGCGTGGAAAAGGCAAGTCTAACAAGCCGTACTTATCTTGGGTCCGCATGCTCATTATTGTGTTACAGGCTTCGATGTAGACTCGGAGTTGCGGGCCATGATGCAGAAGGATTCAGCTTTTGCACTAATAAAGCGGGAGACAGACTCAGATGGAAACCGGACACTGAGTCGGAAACGGACAATGACTAGACGAGTACGGAGCGCGGCAAAGCGGAGAGTGTACGTGAAGAAAGAAAAAGGTGCGCAGGCGACGACTTCATCTCATAGGTGTCAGGGATGAAGTGTGTGGGTTAATGCTTCAAGCTAAAGCTAATGTGAAGCTTTCCATGGAGGACGGCATTTTTTGTGATTTCCTCCGAAGACTATTTCAGCTTCTGGTACTACCTCGCGACCATCGTCGCCATTCTGCGGTGAATTGCTGAGTCGCGGGAGACCCCTGATTGAACGTACTCACTGCTATTGTTCATCACTGAATAGCTCTCAACTTGAGGAACTCTTTCTCGCCTCAACATCTCCACATCCAGTGACTTCCCGCGTGGCCACTTGAACTGTTCGTGATTCGTTTTGATGAGCATCATGGCTAGCGAGCCTCTTTCCACATCAATTCCATGTTGAATACACTCTACAGAGATGCGGCAGTTAGGAAAACACTTCGAGCCAGACGGTCGCGAAGCGGGAGCAGTGGAAAGGTCGTAGGGGATCAGAGGGCACGAGAAGTCACCGTGTCTCTAGTGCTTCCTCGATGTAGATATTCCGTCTATCAACCGTCCAGAATCGATGCCATACTAGCTTATTTCAGAGGCACCTCGCCCTGATGTCACTTCCAGGCCACCCTCGACATTTTCGTATGTTCCGAGGGCGAACCAGCGCTGAGTCAGCTCTGCTATGTCAGCGGCATCACCCGGGGCTTACAATCTGCCACCGAGCCACATGCGTTGCCTGGAAATTGCCAATGGCGATGAGGGTCAACGACCGCGGAAGGAAACCCAGGCAGCACCGCTAGAAAGATGTCAACGGGTATCTTGACTTGGAGCGTAGGTTCGGCCATGGCGTCGTTCGACACGACCCCTTGCCCCGTTGGGCAGTTTGTACAACGAACAGTGCCTAACGTGTAGTCGAGAATAGACTTCTATAGGCAAAGGGGATCTAGGCTACATCTCTTTTCATAAACACCGTGCTCGATTCGTGCCCGGGTCCTAGGATCGCTGTGAGCTCCCGATGGTAATGGTTGACCACGGTCTTGATCAACTGATAACCCCTCCTGGAGTACCACTCCTGATTCGTCACCTTGGGCACGCCCCCGAACAAAGCATTGGCAATGTCCTCTCTGCGCTGGTCTTCGGCCTTGAGCGTGTCCAGAGCGAGTGCCTTTGCGCACAGTGGTTCCAGCGCAGCCATGGACTCTGCCGCTGCCATGGCGGCGCCGCCGAGGCCCTGGCTCTGCAGCACGGTGGAGATATAGAAGGTGGTGATCCAGTAGCACCCGCTGGCGGGGAGGTCGAGTTGCAGGTCTTTGGCACTCGGGTTGCCTGGGTCCAGGCTGATGTGGCCGACAGGCTGAAACTGCACGCCAGAAGGTGTCACGGGCTTTGCGTTTATGGATGTGCTGGTGTCAACTAGCGGGATGCCAGGCTTTATGGAAGTGTGAGCCACTTCATCTCTTTGAAAACGTCGAGGGTATCCGGCGTGACGAACCTTTGGATAAGTCGCGAGGTGCTGCTTGATCAGATCATTCCTGTCCGGGGCATCCTCAGGGATGACCTGTGCCCGCAGTCCGAGGTTAGCACTGTGACGGATGTTTATGATTGATTCCGCGTACGGAAAACTCACAACCCAGTAGATACATTTCGAGCCTTCAGCCTGTGCTGTTCTCCACTTCTCAACATGGTTCGAGTTCCAGCCGCATTGCACACGCTGCTGGAACAGTTCCTCAACGTGTTCCGGGGAGTTGGGATCCCATGGAATCAGAAGTACCACACGCTTTGCCATGATGTTGGACGTCGCCTGTCAGGTCGTTGTCTTGCTTGTGGAAGTGGTTGAGAAGTCAATCTGGCAGCACACCAACTGCTCCTGTGTCGTCGTCAGTTTTTGGGGGGAACAATGCTCGCACTGATTCAGATGCAGGGTACAGCAAGCTACTTGCACCAACATACATGAGCAAAGCAATGACTGGTGTAAGATGCGCTCGATTTTATAGGCTACCTGGGGCTTAGTCAGATCCTCTGAAGCATCCCAAAGCGGACCATTTTCTGCTCCACATGACACTTTCCATTTGCCTGATCGACAGGGGTATCCGGCCAAGGGCGCGCCGCTGACAGAGTACGGGCGGAGGAGGGGCTAAGACGACCACCCTCAGGTCCCCCCATCCAGTCTTTGTCGCCGTTCGATAGTGGATCTTTGTCGTCCGAATTTTGACCAATGAGCGCTTATGCTTGTTGTGAAGCTCATACTTTCTCCTCAAGACCAAGACATCAAGTAAAGGGAAGTCATCTGCTTACCAAACCATCAACTGCCAGGCCCGCTCTCCGCAATAATCCCATGTTAAACCTCACAGCTTGACCCAAGCAGCACATCATGCCCCGCGGCTTTGAACCACATCGGTTTGGGCCTGTGCAGAGTGGTTGGCGGCAGCAGTCGACCTTTGTGTGCAGTCTGATCGACGGGGTACTCTTGGCTTGGGCCTGTATTCCACGTCGCCAAGCCCTTTCCCACCAGCGCACTTCTGGGCCAGTGCGAGATGGCAACATGCCGGTCTCGAGGTATAAGAGTGAAAGAGGCTCGCCCGTATTGCTGCAATCAAATAGACTGGCCGGCCATGAAAACAGCAGATAAAGAACCCCCCCACGTACAGGTATTGAGAGCGTGAAAGACGACACCGCTGTGTTTCTTCTGTCCTGTGGGCAAGCACACCCACAGACATCCCGCCTGTCTCGATCACGAATGTTGTCTTGGATAGCCATCCACCACACGATTTCCCAAACAGCATCAGCAAGACCGACACAAGCATGGCCCCGGAGCTCATCTGCACAATCGTGATTGGCCTGGTCCAGATTGGTCTGGCGGGTTTTGCCATTGTCCAGCGTCACTATGACCGCAGGCTCAGAGGTAGGTCGATGCCCACCCTTACCTGGCCTGGGATTTCTGAACTTGCCTCCTTTTCTCTTTTTAACGGTGATACTTACTATAGCGCAAGTTGGGACTATCGAGGCGTACATCCTCTGACCTACTAGTACATTTGCACCTACCCGCGGTATCGCATACAGCCAGGGAAACCAATGGCGAAGATGTGCTTCAGTTCGGGTTAAATACGACCGCGGGTCGAGCGAGGTTGACCCAGCGATGACATCGTGATGGCCGGCAGGATCATAACAGAGCGCATCTTAGACGTGGAAGTTGAGGAAGATTTGTAGCGTAGGATTCCAAAACAGGAGAGAGGTTTAAAATGTACCCATCAAGAGTCACGAAAGCAACATGGAAGAGACGCTTGCAGAGTGGGTCAAAGCGTTTTGCTGTACCTAATATGAGTAAACAGACGATGCTTCAGCACACAACGACTGTATCATATAAGGCTCGGACGGACCAGACTTGGGGCAAGAAAAAACGAAACAACGCAAGATGCAAAAAACATACAACACCGGGGATTCGCTGGTCGTCACCGACCCAACTACTAGTCCGGCGGTATTAAGTCTTATATGTAGGGCAAGTAATATCTATTTCTAGAAGACATAAGGTCCATAAACGGAAGATACTTTTCCTCCATATATCTTAGTATAGTAACCGCGCCATATTTAACCGCCCCACTTAGAGGGCTATTTTCGATACTAGCGGACCGTTATACCTACTCCGTTATTAGTATCCGTTTTCCTTAGGGCCGTAGAAACCCGTTTCGATAATAACATAATATAGTGTTGGAAGGTATGTCCGATATAAGGATATTTATCCTTATATAAGATGCAGGGTTGATAATAAGGGATAAGTAAGTAAAGGAGTGTGTGAGTTACTATTAGAGTGCTCTATCTCTAAACTAAGTTCTAGCTATAGGAATAAGGGAGCGAAGCGACCTTATTGTGACGACCCGACCAACAGGTCGCAAGATCGGGCCAGGGACAAGGGTGTCACGATCCGATCTCCGGGGTCAACCGTCTGATCGGCGCTGTGGGGTTTATGTCCTGAATAAGGTAGGTAGCGACCTTATGCAATACTGACTCCGTGCTTGTCGTGTTCTCGAGGGGTTGTCGTTCGTGTCTCTTGCGAGATATCACACTCGGGTCAATTGAGTGACTAGGTCAAGTGAAGGGTGAGAATGATACTTAGATTGATCGCTGAAGTACAAAGGTAATGGCTGTCTATCTAGGAAATCCTTCGCATTATATCCTTTGCCCTTCATCGTGGTTCCAAGGAGGTGTGTCTCTGGATCGCTGGATATGTTCCGATCCACATATCCTGGATCGCTGGATATGTTCCGATCCACATATCCTGCTGACATAATGAAATGCTTACGTAACCTGGGGTGTGCCGTCCCGCGTGCATGACCTGCCCTTGTCCCTGGCCCGATCTTGCGACCTGTTGGTCGGGTCGTCACAAAGGGCAGGTCATGCACGCGGGTCCAAGAAACATTACCTAAGCCACCATGATGAGTCATCCAGGACAGGACCACGCCAAGACCGTGGAACTGTGCCAAGAACTGTGGGACTGCGCAGTCCCAGTAGGAACTGCGCAGTGCGCCGATAGAACTGACAGTTCCAAGGCACGGCAACACAGTTCACGATGAAGGACAAAGGATATATAGAGCCAGAAGGATTTCCTTGTAGACAGTCATTACCTTTGTACTTCAGCGATCAATCTAAGTATCAGTTTCACCCACACTTGAACTAGTCACTCAATTGCCGAGACTGATATCTCTTCCAAGAGACACGAACGACAACCCAGAGAGAGAACGACAGCAGAGTGTTAGTTGTTATTGCACAGGCTTTACCTATCTTGCGGAACAGCAACCCCAGCGCCCTGCCAGACGGTTGACCCCGGAGGCAGGATCGTGACAAGACGCAGACTCGAGATCGAGGCGTGTCGGAAGCTACAAGAGCAGCAAACTTCGACTCCCCCGGAGGCGATAACCGAGCTCTGCTACTATCGGAGCTATTTTAACCGGATACGCTATGATGCTGACTATCTTTGGCCCAGTTTGGCTCCATTGTCATCAAGGGCATGGGCTTCTCAACGCTTGACACCTTGCTAGTACAAATGATCGGCACCTGTTTCCAGCATTTCTTTGTCATCACAGGAATGCTGGTATCAACGTATGTCCCCAAGTCCAGGACGATCATTATGGCATGGCACATGTTTGTGTCAATCATCGGGGCTGCTATGATTCGTCAGATACCTGCTGAGCATCAGTGGGCCTGATTCTTTGGATCAACTCTCGTATAAAGCTGAGCATTTCTTCCCTATTGCGGGCTCTCCTTGTGCAGTGTCACAAATATCTTGAAACCGGAGAAACCTCGACTGTAGCGAGCCACCATGGCCATCACAACCAGCGCCGCGAACGGCACCACCAAGATGCCTGTCAAGACTCGCGAGGTGCAGAACCATCACATGGACTCGCAAGTCTGGAACAACTTGCCCCTGCGCTCTGACGACATTGTTATTTTGACCTACGGCAAATCAGACACCACTGTAAGTCCTTCCACCATCACGCGTCCAGACCATCGGGGGATCTAACCACAGCATACACAGTGGGTCCAGCAAATCGTTGGTCAACTCACACATCAGGGCGATGCGAGCCTCGCCCCAAACCTCGTATCGCCGTGGGTCGATCTGCGCCGCTTCCCGAAGGAGGTCATGCACGGCATGCTCGCGGCCCAGACACACCGGCGCTTCATGAAGAGCCACTTGCCCCTGGACGCGCTCGTCCGGAACCCAGACGTCAAGTACATCTTCATCGCCCGCGATGGCCGCGACATGGTCTGGAGCACGCACCATCACTTCACCAACGCGACCCCGGCGTTCTGGCACCTCATCAACGAGACGCCCGGCCGCGCGGGCCTGCCCTACCAGCCGCCCAGCAGCGCCAACCCGCGGGACCTGCTCGTCGACCTGGTCGAGGATGACTCGCGGGGCAGCCTGCCATGGCCGTTCTGGAGCCACACCCGGCAGTGGTGGGAGGCCCGGGACCAGCCGAACCTGCTGCTCGTGCACTTCAACGACCTCAAGAAGGACCTCGCGGGCGAGATGCGCCGGATCGCCGACTTCCTCGAGGTGCCGCAGATGAGCGAGCAGCAATGGGCCGACGCCGTCGAGCACTGCACGTTCCAGTGGATGAAGGAGCACGCCGAGATGTCGAGCCCGCCACAGGCGGATCAGTCTATCACATCCGCACGTTGACCTTGAGTTCAGTGTAATTGATTTGTGTGTTATATTAGTATCAGGATCGCATGAGCTTCGTGACACAACAAGGAAACTGGCAGGGCGATATCTGAGCCGAGGCTTGATTCTTGAGGAGCTAGATTACCAGCAAGAGTAGGGGGAAGAATACGGCTCCAGTTGACAAGGGCCGTAGAGCTTTATGTCTGGCAAGGCTAAGTTACGCTTGTAACGAAGCAGCGCTCTCTTCATCTTCTGTTGAGACGCCGACGGCCGTTCCTCGTCGTGGGCTTCGCCAGCAGACTGACTAAGAGAGCTACACCTGCAACGGCTGTGAAAAAGCCAAATACTCCACGGAAATCATAGAGATATGCTTGGAGAATCTGCTCCTTGGTATCGCTATCATCCGGAAGCAGGGAGAGTTCAGCGATGTAACTCTCACTGTGGATGCAATGTGATGAATTTCGTGAGTCGACGTCCGCCCCAAGATCTGAGCCGGGGTCAGGTCCGGCAAGCCCGGGCGAGAAGTGGCAGATCCCCTGCCGAAGCTGTAAACACCCCTTTGTAGGAAGTCTTCGGCCACGTCGTCAAAGTCCTCGAGGTTGAGGATGATTAAATGTGCTCCTGCAGCTCGCGCGAGGTTCTGGGCTATCGCTAGCAAGAACCCAGCGCCGCCCTCGGCTTTCCGTCCCGGGAAACGGATATGGGCTGTGTCGCGTAAGAACCGTCGACCACCAGTCTTCTGGTTATCCGTCGTTGATGGAGCCAAAAGTGCTAGCACCGAAAACCACAGAACACGTCGGATCTTGTAAGCCTCGCGGATACCAGACCCGCTGCCTGTGTTGGCCACCTCTTCCGTGTCGGCAATCCTTCGATGCTCAAGATCAACAAGTTTCGTGCCGAGCTTGAACTTTGTATCCTTGAAAAGTGTCAGTGCAAGTTCTTCACGTTGACTCGATGCAGCCAATATGTCATATCATGCGAGGTGGTAAACGAGAGTGGTTTTTCACCTGCATGGCGACCTCGTTGCACTACGACCAAATGTTCCTATCAAATCCGCCTCGGTGCCAGAGCAGGGCAGCCAGAGTGGCTGGTTGAACTAAACGTCATGCTCCAACCAGGCCTTCACGGTCACTTTTTCGCATGCCGATCAACTATAGGCGTGATATCCGTTGCGAGTAATAATTAGCAGATCTAACACTCCCGTCCTCCACCATTGGCAGTAGAAATCACTTGATCGTGTGCAGTGCGCGACTCGCCAGCCTATCTGCTTCCTGGTTCTTGTCCCTAGTAACATGCCAAAATATAACCTCTACCTTATGGTCGTTCAGCTCCTCTACCAGTTTGTTGAGTCTATCGAACAGTGCGAGATTTGCTACCGGCTTGCCTGTCGAGGTCCTGTAGCCATTCTTTTTCCATCGGGACGCCCACTCGGTCATACCTTTGACCAGGTATTCCGAATCCGCCTTGATGACCACCTGATGGAGGGTTTCCTCGCCGAATCCTTGCCTCTGTATTTGCAGTGCCTGCTGAAGCCCCAAGATGCCGGCATTCAGCTCTGCAATCTGGCTTGTTGCTTTTGTGTCTTTCAGCATCAAACTAGTACTGATATTGTGAGGAGAATTTTTCCCAACGAAGACGCCTACGGCTGCAGATGCGTAAGGTGTACCGTTGTTATGACAAGCACCATCAACGGCGATGACTATGCAGTCGAGGTGAGCTGGCAGTGCGCCGCAGTCTGCGCATGGATCGGCATCGTCGCATGCCACATAGGTCCACAGGTCGTCGTCATGATGGATTTCAATCTGATCAAGGACCTTGTCGGTGTACCTAAGACTGGGCACAAATCTCCGATCCTCTGCCCACTGTCGTATGTGTTCGATAGCGGCGGAGTGCTCGTCTCTTCCCATAGTGTTGCGAATGTGTGGAGTTAACTCTGAGTCACAGGAATTCGGTTGTGGAGTCTCGGAGGAAGTGGGCGAGATAGATAGTGCGGTTGTGCTTGGTGATGGGGAGGCGTCCTGACTGATCCGGAAACAAGCTCAACGATGGCTCCCGAGGTTGACCTGATATCGAAGTTTTCCAAGAGCAGATTTCATCTCCGAACCACTCTACGTCAGACACCAACGGGCCATTGTATCTAGAAACAACGCAAAAGCGAGGTGGATTCACTGTTGCTGACGTGGCAAGTGGTGATTCGATAGCAACTTATGCACAAAAGGTCTTGGACGATGCACTTGTGCGAAAGCTTCGAATTCACCTCAAGCTGGTAGTATTGAATCTGTGCGAGCTTGCATGTTGTAAGGCAACCAATCGAGTCGGATGTTTGCCGCGTGGCGTGCAGAAGCTGAAGCAGGCTGCAATAGACTGTCCGAAATAGTGAGACAACTCGACTTCCGACTGGTACGTAATGACTGTGAAAAGCATGAGGTGAGTACACTACCGGAATTCACTGCATTTCACGGCAGGGATGACCACATTGCCAGGTTTCGCCATCACACCCACACGGACAGTTTCATGCAGCCACGACCATTTCGGGAACTTCCACGTCGCACCACGTGGGGTACGGCAACCGAGACGCGACCCATTAATCCAGTAAAATCGGTCACAAGCATGCTGCAGCGGTCTCTTGGGTACCGATTCTTGTATGCACAAGTAAGCTCGAAGGCTTAGCCAGTTTGCCAGCTACTGGGGCAGAACAGGAGCTCACCACATTCTGGCCCCGCAGCTCACCGCACGACTAGAGCGCGCGTGGCCGCATCGGAAAGGTGGATGGGCGGAGTGTAACATTGACTCTGAGGCCGGTGGTAGTCCGCTATGGCATACTGCCAAGGTCATTCTGGTGAGGTAGGAGTGCTGTTTCGCGAACGGGACTGTTCCCATTGGTTGCGGCGCAGCGGGCCGCAGACATTTTGCTGCCTTGCAAGGATCACCTTGGGGTGACTCTGCAGCTAGCTCATCGTGTCCATAAGCAGCAGCGAGACGGCGACCTCGCGGCAGCAGTGGCGGCCGCCCCGCGCGTTGCTCGCACCCAACAAACCAGGAGAGAACGCATCGCTGGCGCCCTTCTACGTCTGTCCGCCTTTTCTGAACGACACAGTATATCCTCTGCCGGCAGGAAGCTCCATGGTGAATGGTCGTATCACGTTCTGGCATACCAGGCGAAGTCATAATGCTTGCACTCGTTCGCATCTGCTCCTCGTGTGGCCCAGTTTCCTGACCGGTCGCATGCATAGAAGGAAGACCAACCACCCGCATAGTTTGAGTTACGCGCCGTGGCGTCCGTGTGTACTTACTGTGAGCTAATAATCTCTAGCTGTACTTATTAGTATTGGACTCAAATGCTGCGAAAGCCTTGCTGAAGCTTTCAATCCGCGTCACGCAGTGTTTGAACCATGCGAACCCTGTGTATGCAGCTCGCACCACAAGTTGCGCTGAAGGTACGCACCTCCAGATCGGCGCTGGGAGAGATGAGCTGCTTTATAAAGATCATAATATCCTTGGATGCTGTCAGCCGTACCCGCAGCCTTATGTAATCTTCGGTCCCGATCTTCTCGGCGCGACCCCGCATGGGTACTTCGGCCGTTTGTTCCATTTCACCTGTCGATCCTTTTGTTAGGCTGCTACAGCTAGCTACAACGATCTATTAAATTCATATTCAAAGATGACCGCACCTTCAAGCAACGGACACACAATGTCGGACCTAAATTACCACGCGATGCTTACCACAGCACCACTCGACATCACTTGCATCGATGACGTCGCGGCCGACTTATCCACTCCCTTCGACTACCTGACGAACAGCGGCACTAACGCAGATAACGCCGAATGCCGGGCCCCCGCCGATGGGCATGGTACCTGACAGCTGGTAGTACTGACTTGACACTGGGAAGGGCCCTTGGGCTCTGACTGCCAGAACTGACATATTGCCAGTCAAGTCTCCCATAGCTCCCCCTTGAAGGGTCAACCTTCTACACCGATATACTTGACACCATTTCAGTCAAGTATATCACGTAGATAGGGTTCACAATCAATCATCATTATATTATTGTAACTGCCAGTTCTGACACTCTCATTGACAGCTGTGACACTGGGAACCCTAGCACGTTCTCGGAACTGTTAAAGACGCGATCGATAGGGGCTATGACGTCCTTCTCCTAGAGGACGGGTGTGAGGTAGGGGAGGCAGACATTAATAGCTCTGTAATGAAGAGCGTGTGGTTAGAGGGCGGCATCGCCGGCTGCGTCGCTCGCATTGATGATATCGTAAGAGCATTAGGCGTAACTTCTTAATTGTAGCAAGCTAAGGCTATCTTCTTCGCCCTAGACTAGTAGTACCTTCACTGATGTGTAGTGTACCTAGCTAGAGGTAGCATTCATCGACGGAATCGTTCCTGTGTCGCACTCAGTCCACCGGAGCAACCAAGCCAGTCCCCAGCCATCTATTAAATCGGAGTGCTTTGGGGCCGGCCCTTGGATGATCAAGCCGTCAAGCCCGCTTAGCTCGTCCGCTCTTGGCATGAGGGGCGCCGACTCCCGCGATTGGCTTCATGAGGGGCATCACCCCCAATGATTGTCCTTGGCTTGCTAGGTTTGGGGCTGCATGGACCACTCACCCTGCTATGAAAGCGACTCCGTTAGCGACCTGCCTGATAGTGGCTAGCACCGGCCTTCACCCGGCGCTATTTTAGTTACCCGCACCTAGCGCCTGGTGTTAGGCCTTGGCCATCAACACCCGCAGTCGCGCCTCGCTAAGCCACCAATCATAACGGCGGGATTGGAGCCCGTGCTTCTGCACCGGGACTAATTACCAGGAACATCCACCAGCCAGCGGCAGGCATGCTTGGCGCGCGCGCATCTGCATGCTGTAACACAACACCAAGTCCTATAGTTATCACGATTTGGAAGCAATTGGGAGTTGCTCAAGCACGTTTGGGAGAGTGAAGTATCATGCCAGGTACACCTGTAGGGGCTTTGGTGCCGCTGTTTTGCCGTGTAATCATGGTCACGTCCAGATCGATGAGACGACGAGAACGCCTTCGGGATCTTCCGCCATCCATCGGCGGATCCGACCTCAGTGGGCAATACTTGGCTCTCTTACATATCCTATTGATGCAACCTTCCTGTCCTAGACAACATGGGCCCATAACCGGGGTTTCGGGCCAGCCGTTCGACAGGTTGAACCAAGGGTCAATCCATTGGGGCGCCTTAGCTGCGCGAATACAGCTTCGCCCAAGAAAACGTCGAAGCGAGTCCGGTACGAGGAGATCGCTGCATTACTGAAAATATATGTATACAAGTAAGATCGAGTAGTAAGCCTCTCGCTCACTCCCACCACCCTCACCGCAACCGCCACGTCCCCTCGCCCGCTCAGCCTTCCTAAAACTACGCGCTGTCTCTACTGCCCACCCGTAAGCATTACCCTCCCTTGCTGGCCGTCACATCACCCTAACAGCTACGCTAGTTAGTCGACATGGGGCTACGCTCTGTTCTTGTTACTATCGCTTTGATCGTAGCTCTGGCCGGTACCATAACGCCCGCGAGCGCTGCGACCAATACAATATGTGCCCTCGACAGATGGGGCTCCGGAGTATACCGTTGGGATGAGGGGAGCTGGTCATGGCAGTGGATCGGGGGCACCGCAGACGGCATCTGGGGTGGCCGCCTAGGTTTGTTCGCGACCAACCCGGACAACAAAGAGCTCTGGAAATACAATGGCCAGCCTGGCTCCTGGCAACGGATCGGTGGTGGAGGCGTAAGGTTTGCTGTCACCGAGGCGACAATCTATGGGGTTGCAACAGACGGCCGTAGCACCTGGCGATGGAATGGTGGGGTCGACGACTGGTCGTATGTCGGCGAGGGCAAAGCCCTTGTTGCTGGTGGCTGGGACTCGGTATATTCGTGTATACAAGACAACATAGTTGAGGTTTACAAGGGGGGACGACATGGGATGAGATAGCCAACAAAGTCCCGAGTTGTGCGGTTGGTGGAGACGGCGAACTCTACACCGTGGGCAGCGACCGCCAGTCGACTTGGACCTTTCGGGACTGGCAGTGGCAGAGGATCGGTCAAGGCGCCGAAAAGGTCTGGGCTGGTGGATACGCAATGGTCTCGACGGTCAAGGATGCCATGTATCGCCACCTTTCGGGTACGCACTGGAACGTTATCGGCGGCGGCTCAGACGAAGTTGCTATTTCCGACTACCATATCTATTCCAGATACGGGGACACGATCTATCGCTATTCGGGGAATTCCGGGACCAACTGGGACGTTCTCCCTAACATTAGTCCCAGGACCATTACACCGTGCCCTTAAACGCACGCAACAGTCCTATTGCGCTGCAGTTGGCTACTGGGAGGGAGAGTGGCGTGTGACGACCCGACCAACAGGTCGCAGGATCAGGCCAAGGACAAGAGCGGATCATGCACGCGGGGCAGGCACACCCAAGGTTTCTTATGTAATTAAGCACCCTTATGTCAGCAGGGATGAATATGTGGGATCACGACATATCCAGGCAGATCCTCGAAGGATATGTTGGATCGCAACATATCCCAACATATCCCAACATATCCAAAGGACCACGATGAAGGACAAAGGATACATAGGTCATGGAGGATCTCCTTGTAAACAGTCATTACCTTTGTACTTCAGCGATCAATCTAAGTATCAGTTTCACCCACACTTGAACTAGTCACTCAATTGCCGAGACTGGTATCTCTTCCAAGAGACACGAACGACAACCCAAAGAGAGAACGACAGCAGAGTGTTAGTTGATCTTGCGCAGGCTTTACCTATCTGCAGAACAGCAACCCCAGCGCCCTGCCAGACGGTTGACCCCGGAGGCAGGATCGTGACAAGGAGCTGCAGGGGAAGCGGTCGACGGAAAACGTAGGGAAGCATTTTATGCATTTCGGGAACGGGAGGGAGAACTTTATCGAGGTATACACAATCGTAGAGTAGATTGGAGAGGGGAGGACAGTGATGGATTAACAACAAAGGAACAAGTGATGACGTGACGCCCGGGCCATATATAATCTATAGCGCACCCTATACCTATTCGGCGGCTTCCCGTAAGTATGACAACATCAGCACTAGGTCTCATTGGCCTGGCAGCGCCCCAGTCGTCGGTTCCACCGAAGCGAGCCACGGGTCGTCTGTGAGTAGTTAGTGCTTACCGCAGCCTACGAGACGGCTCTCGGTCCTGCCGTGGTCCCCGAGGGCTTCCCGCAAACCGCAAGTGTTGTGGCCGGGTGTTTCACTCGGCTGGTTGCAGAGAGGCTGTCGCCCACGTGTGGCATAGTTACCCTCCGTATTAGTGTGCTATCTCCCAGCGCAGCCTTGTGCGAAATGAGGCTGCTTATCCAAGCTAGGAAGTGTAGCCGGCTGACATCAGCAAATATACGAAGGGTGCGGGGACGGCCCTCGGCGGTGCAGGTTGGTGCTTCGCAGGGCTGAGAAAGCCTCGAGTATGCTGGCGTTTGCACTCTGTCCGAGTCGGCGATTGGTCCTACCTAAACGAGAGCCGGCTCTATTCTGGGGTGATCCACGTCGACCTTATCTACGTTGCTAACCTTAGCATCAGCGGCTCGCAAATATTGGAGCACTTGGTACACCAGGGCTGAGGCTCTCCGCAAAGCCATGATTGGCGCAGGTTTTTCTCCGACAAGAGATCCGACGGGAGGTCCGAGCTCTTGCAGATCAAGAGATAGCCCCAGCGCAGTGGGGGCCGTGTGGATTTGCCGCAGCGGTGGAAGTCAGCAGTTTGATTAGTATCTGCAGATCTAACGGCATGTGAGATGACGTGCAGCACGAAGATCTAGCTCGTAGCTGAGATCAGTCATTTCCTTCGGGAGCAGCCGTTCTATGCCGAAGCGGGGTTACACCTGCTGTCGACACATAAGTGATCGGAGTTCTGTAATCCTGCTTATTGTCTATCAACCTCTCCCCACTATATCCGATATGCCCGTGAGGCTGCCGTAACCTCTTTTGTGGGTCATAATTCCAGGACTCATTCTATGACGACCCCGGCTATTGAGATACTTCTCGCCATGCTTGAGATGCACCAGAAGCTAGTTGTTCCAGCTTAGCACAAATACTCGTGGCAAGTAGAAGCAGGGGCTCTTCGTGATACAAAGATCGCTGATTCTGATACGCGTGTGAGTGTCGCTGATTATGCCGGCTTTATGGCCAATGGGTCGATTTTGTCACTACAGCCTGCTGGGCACTCCGGTCGTACACTGGCAGCGGCAAGCAGCGTTCTGACTGCGGAGCCGTCAAATCAACACCCTGCGGGTGAGCTCCATGGCTTGCCATATATATCAGCGTATGTGCCATGAGTTTGAGGCCGGGCAAGCTTCGTGACAAACACGGCGCATCGGTCTCTTCGAAGGTGACTCTTCGGGGCATCTGCAGCGGCCATTAGATATTGATCGTCGACGGCGGACCACGAACGCGTAGATATCACGCACAATGTTTGCACAGCTACTGTGTTGAACTCTTGCACGTTCATCACATAGGGGCAGGAAGCTGCTGTCCTTCGCCAGGCTTCTTGCCTAATCACGTTTCACGCGGTGTTGATGCAAACTGATTGATGTCCAGAAGGCATAGGGTTTGATCATTCTGAAAGTATGTGAGATGGAGTTATCATGGCAAAACACGAAAACTTTCCACCAACCCGCCCCCACCGCATTAGTTTCCAAATATACGATATCAAAATGACGACACCCGCAGATGTCGACCTGCTTTCCGCGTCATCCGAGGTGGGATCACGAAAGGAACTAGATTAGACATCCGTGCGCTTCTCCTCGATGCTAACGGTCGGGTTGATCTCGTCGCCGTGGATGCGCTTCTCAACGGCCGCGGTGGCCCTGTTGTTGAGCTCATCGCTCTCGAACACTATTGGCGAGGGGAAGAAAAAGCAGTTAGCATTGATACCGAGACAGCGTTTCAACATAGCCTTGCAAGCCAGGAAGCGAGCCAGCAGGCAGGCGGAAAGTATATCACTGCAGAATGACTTACGGAAAGCAAGCTCCTCGAGGGTGCGGCCCTGGGTCTCCGGGTACAGGAAGAACACGATGATGCCCTCAAACGCAATCCAGCCACAATAGATGGCCATGTACTTCCAGCCAATGGCGGTGAGGGCGTACGGGTTGACGTTGTTGGAGAAGAAGAGGCCGCACTTGCCGAACATCTGCTGGATGCCGATACCGCGGTTGCGCTGTCCGTAGGGCCAGAGCTCGAGCAGGTAGGCTATTGAGAAGGAGAAAGCGATGTGTCAGTAACCGTGGTCGTGTCATAGGAACGAGGGGAGATCGAATCAGGCCAAGAGACTTACTGTAGGTCAGGGCGTTGTTGCCGATGTTGTAGGTGGGCTGCCAGGAGAAGTAGAAGAACAGAGCCGCAATGCCCGCCGAGGGGTTGGTCGTGTTGTTGTCCTTGGCGACCTGGAGGCTGTAGAAAGAGACCGTCATGCCGATATAGACCAGGAGCATGAGACCAGCGGACGTCATAAAGGCGATGCGGCGCTTGAACCTCGTGACGTAGATGGCGATGATGACAGCGGTGAGCAGGGACCAGCACTGGTTGGCGATGTTGATACGGGTCTTAGCGTAGGAGTTGGTGTAGCCCATCATCTCGTAGAGCAGGTTCGAGTAGTAGGACAGGAGGGAGTTACCAGACAGCTGGGTGAAGAGACCAAGGAAGATGGAGACGACGGTGCGGCGGCGCATTCCAGGTGCGGAGACGACGGACCACCATGTCTGCTTGGCGCTCTCCATCTCGAGCTTGATCGTAGTCCGGATCTGCTCCATCTCAGCCTTGACGAGCAGCGAGTCGGCATCGCCCTCGCCGTGGTACTTGACCAAGATCGCCATGGCCTTATCGTCGCGGTCCTTGCTGACCAGCCAACGTGGGCTTTCAGGGAGGAGGCTGTGTTTCCGTTAGCAAGATATTGTGAAAGAAGAGAGGGACATCAAAGTCGCTCGAGGAGACTCACAAGACAGTGGCAACCTGCAAGACTGACGGCGCGATCTGGAGGAGAGACGGGAGTCTCCAGGCCCAGTCGCCATCGATCGTAACCGTACCCAGGGCGATGCCAGCAGCAAGGATGGCGCCCAGGAAGTAGGAAGCATTGAAGAACGACGTCAGAATAGCACGCTCCTTGGGGTGGGCCAGTTCTCCGATCAAGGCTGAGCCGCCGATAATGGCAAAGAGAATGCCGACACCCAGGATTATACGCGCAATAATGTACATAGCGACTGCACAGATTGGTTCAACCTGTCTGGCCTCACACAATTGGCCCGGCTCTGGGTACGGGAGCGGGACTTACCGTGCTGGGCGAAACCCTGGATAAGAGCGCCAACCATCATAATAAGAGATCCAGACATGATAGACCACCGGCGACCGAATTTGTTGTTCAGCCAGGGGGCGATAGGGACGGCGAAGATGGTACCGAGCTGGTAGCAGGCGTTCATGAAGCCCAAAAGGCTGGGGTTAATATCGACCTTATTGGTCTTGGGATTAATGTAGCCGTCGCCAAAGTCTGCATCACCACCACCAGTCAGCATTGCGCGGGATTGTGCGCAAACAAAGGAAGCAACCCACATCTGTTAAACGTGTCCGAGTACTGCAGCGTGTTGAGCAGCTGCGAGTCGAAGCCCGAGGTGATCTCGACACCCATGCAGCAGATGAAGAGCCACACGTACATAACGCGCAAGTTGGGCTTCTTGTACCACGGCGCCTTGTCCTCTTCGACGAGGCGGGTGACGATGGGGTCGGCCGTGTGGCCCATGGTCTTGTTGGAGGCCATGATAGCGGTCGCGCAGCAGCGATGGCGAGACTGTCTTGTCGAATGTCGGTGGACTCGCGCGAGCTGGAGGAGACCTGGGATGTCAAGAAGAGTAGCAGCAGCTGCCCCGGACTAAGTAGCAGACAGCGAAGCCCTCAATCGGGTAAGTACCCTCGCATGATTCCTGTCATCCACGCACATACCCCGGACCCCAGACCTGGGGCCGACCCCGGGAGCTGGAAAGCCCGTGGGGGACCCGGTTCGACAGTTTATCCAGAAGCCGGACGCCGGGACCATTGGCCTAGCTTGTTCAAGCTTGGCATGCCGGGAGTATGAATCCCCAGCCGCTCAGGGACTCGGAAAAGTGGTGCCACGACAGGTCACTCACTCGCCACGTCGCGGCCACACGCAAAAAGGCACCAGCGCGTCCGTCTCTCTGCTCGTAAGGGCATTGGCTGGAGACGGCCCGACTAGCCAAGGCCCTCTTGGAAAGCTTGCAGCCTCTTGGCCCCTGCTCGGCCGCGGCTTGTCCTCGCCGAGGTCCTGGCTGGCCAACTGCATGCAACAACCCGGATGAAGGCTACCAGCCTGTCCGACTTTGCCCATT